TCTTTGAGCATGATATTCGCAGGGGCCCTTGACCTCCAAAGAACATGTTTCGTGTATGCAACTCCACCGGAAAAGTTTCCGGGCCCCCTGGTTCCCTACTGTACATACGGATTAGTCTAGTACAAGCCTCTTTACTATGTACAGCCACGACAAACTCTCACGTCAAGATTTGCGCAGATCAGGGGGCGCAAAGAACAAACGATAATACATGCCTAGCAGCCCTGCTTCGTTAACGACCGGGCTGAGGACACCCAACGTGGCATGGTGGTTTCTACACGCGAATGCCCATGAAACCCAGGGGCACAAACTGGTCCCTGCTCTGAGCTACAACGTATTCTCGAGTTGCGACTGGCTGCTCATGCTGTTCATGATCGCCCCGATACGACGTAACTGTCAAGATCTGTGCAAGGGAATCTCTGTTTAACGTCCCGCTGTCGCCCTACTCGGCGCTGCTCCGTTTGGTGCTTCGTAGGACATCCATGGCCTGTTGGCGTATTTGCGTATGATGTACAGCTTGCTCGGTGAACTACATAGGCAAGGCTGGGCTGAGTCCCCGGGTATGATCATGGCTGCATTACCAAGATCGACAACTCCGTGTAACTCAACTCTATTATTTTACAGAATTTCCTGAAAGGTCCACCTGTTCATACACATGACCACCGCTGCCTCTCAACGATTCAATGCCAGACTTCAGCAATCAGTGGATGTGTATCTTTGCCGCGAGATTATCCAGCAGTGCGGATACCACAAACATGGCAATTCGGGGTTAGCCGCGACTATTGACCGTTGACATCTCCTCATATGTAGCATCGCGCATGGGGAAATCTCTGCCATGCTTTTGCTTCCGCACCAATCACAGTGCGGCAACATGCCTCAGAGATATCGACTTTCTTGATCGGACACTGTGCACTGCTTTGACTGGTTATAGCGCAACTGTCTTAATCCTTGAACCGGTCGGTTCTATTCGATGAAGCATCTATTATTCCACGACAGGTCTGACATCAACCCCTACCTAGAAAAACGCCACAATCAGAAATCTGCGGTTAAATGTTCGCGCGGCTCTCGGTATTGCGCATAAGCCTGCCTGCATGAAGGACCGCCGATACAACACGTGGAACATTTGCGGCTATGCAAGCACAAATTGAACCTCGAACTGGAATACTACGGAAATCAAGGCTGTATGCGTTTTGCAACCCACCATCTTCCTCTCAAGTAGCTATTTCGTCCTTTGCCCCGGACTTCGCTTCGGTCATGGAGGGCTATACCCCAGACTCTAAAATACCGAGACACACCTCGGTAGGGCTTATTATCGCCCGTCAAGAAACATGATTGGAGAAGCGACGGAGTGGAAGATCGTCGTCATGTAGTTATTGTCACAGAATTTCATGCAATGAAGCTCTAGCTACATCAAGGCCATCACACGCAGATTTGGCGTAGTATCACAATGCGACATGTGCATATATTCAACCAACCAAGACGCTAAAAAGAAACGTCATTCTACCAAGGGTAGTGTCCCTTGTTCTCCCCTCCTCTTTACATGCGAAATCAAAGTGCAATACTTGCGAACAGGGTCACGTTGTGATAAAACTACATGATGTGTCGTAACAAAGATTTCCGCGATCTAGCTCATTCTTAACTCGCCATGATAACAAATGCGGATACTGAGCTAATTCCCCATGGCCATCCCTGGCTAGTGATCAGCTATCAATAGATGCCCAAAAGCATGATCGCGGGTCCCACTATCTACCTAACGACTGAGCCACCCCTTTTCCTTTACTTCTCTCTCTTCCGAAATAGATAATATTTGACAAGACGAAGGTTTGATATTCGCGCCGGAAGGATTCGATTGTGCTTCCGGACCCTGGTATACTCACTGACTCGTGCATCCGGCCTGTCCGGACTGACCGGTTTCATAATCGGCAACGCCGGCCACCGCTATTAGCTTTCATAGCATATCGTATTGACTGGGCGATCTGACTTCACAAGGAGGCCGCCAAGACCAATCACTGTAGTCTTGGCTGGCCATGTATTCGTAAGCAGGAGGCCTTGACCTCCTTGATGGCCGGGTGATTCCGTGTTCTGGCAATGAGGAAGATCAGACCATACTGTCTGCGCTTTCCTTTGCGCGGCTGTCCGTTCAGATCTGCACGTACGATCCAATTCTCATGACCTAGAGAAACAACTTAGACACTAGTCTAGACTAGTCCCGGGAACCGTCATAAGATAAACTAGTATATGCTCTAGTGTAATTGCAGATAACAAATACCATCATGATATGTCAGGGTGTATAACATCTGCTTAGGGGTATGCACAACAACAACTACTCCTAATTTTAGCAAAAGTATAATTTGATTCCCAGGCCGTATAGCAACACGCCTGCGCGGTCCCAGCTAGTATCCCGGCGAGCTCTTTCGTCCCGGCGTTACGATTGCTTTCCTTGTCCTCCAGGTAAGGAGTCATGGTTTGTACAGGAATAGCACTTTCCGAACAGCCCGTTCTCTTTTGATACTTGCTCCATAGCTGTGTCATCCATGGAGTCTAAGCTCTCAAAGGACAACATCAACGCTTCTAGGCCGTTTAGAAAATGGCATGCTGACAGTCTCTCCATGAGAAGAAGCACGGTTTCTCCTCGCTAGAGATGTTCACCAGTATACATTTTATATGAGACACCCAATACCACATGCGCGCCCGTCTGCCGAGTCGCTGAAATTCATGTCTCTACATTTTCGATCCTCTCTCGGCACAAGAAAGACATCATCCATTCGCGAAATCCCACTGTGTAAGGCGTCCGAACCCCAAGCAGCTCTGTGTACATAGCTACTACACCACTCACGATGTACAAAAAATACCGTCACTTCGAGAATACAACGTTCTATGTAATTATACACGCCCCATAAAACGATGTAGTCTACACAACACGCCTTTTTCACGCCCACCGTCTCGGGTTTTTCGAAGCTATACTCGCGTAACTTGTACTCAAACGACACTTCGAAACCTCGGTTTTGTTTTTGTTCTTGTTTTTATTTTTCCTTTGGTACCCTATGTGCTTATGACGTTGGGGTGACGCTGAACACTAATGATTATATTGTCTTTCCCGTAGCATCTCAGTTCACGCTAGCGAACTGGTACACGGTATAGGGGCAGGCGGAAAGTTGTCATAGGGCTGTGGCTCTATTCAGTAGTTGGATAATGGTTGGATGTTCCTTTTTGGTGGGAGCATTATTTCTCCCTGTCTCGGATGGATCTCCGTTTGATTTGTCTGACCTGAAACTGGCCATCCGCATGGTCAAGCCTTAAAAAAAAAAAGGATCGTTAGTAGCTCAGCATACCGCGTCTCGCGCCCTCGCTGAGACAAGACTTTTAAATTTTTAATTCACATAGTTGGGCAGAAAACGATACTGGTCGTATGTGACAGTTTCGTATTGTAACAATAGATATATAGGCAAAACCATTGGAGAATAAGAAAGAATATAAAATACAGAAGACAAAACTAACAACACCGGGAATTCCTTAGTAGTCATCTATCTGAGTACTAATCCAGCGCTTTAAGGACGAACCTACTTAGCGTAAAACGATCAATTGCCCCGCAGCTTCTAACACGGAAACGTGTAACCCATATACAACACAAGATGTAGGTCTCGCTAGCATAGCCAAACGGGATTTCATTTAGCTTAATTACGATTTTCTTATTATTAGAGGTCCGTATCAAAAGCCTGGTCGTTATTTTATGTTCCTTAATAACGACAGTACACCACGATAGGCAAAGTTACACTTTGTGAAGAGGCTATAAGCGCCCTCGTAAGCTCGTTACGATTATATATTTCTTACATTATATTTATAATTACACTATTGAAGTAGTGAGTGTTGGCTGTACCAATACTACAAGGGAGCCAAGTGGGTCGTACGACCTTCGTCGTGGTTGTCCAGGGTCTGATCAGTATAAGGTCGAAGGGATGGAACTTGTAAATAGTCGAACGGGCGTGCTCTTTCACGCTTTTGACTACGGTAGCATGGTTAGTTTTTGCAGCAGTGCATTCGGAAGACGACGAGAATGGCTCGTCGTCACTAATTAACGTTATTTTGGTCATCAAGTTCATTCTTTCCATTCATTCATCAGTGATCAGTCCGCGAGTGAACCAGCGAGTTCGTCGTGAGGCTTATAACCCAAGGGACAAGACAGTGGTCCTGGTTCACTATCATCGTACTTAATGCCTTTAGTATTAACAAAAACTTATTCTGTAAATACCATCTGGTTTATTTATTAAATTAAATTAACATATAATAAACTAGGACCACTGTCTTGTCCCCTTGGTTATGAGCCTCGCGACGAACTCGCTGGTTCACTCACGGACTAATCACTGAGAAATAAATGGAAAGAATGAACTTAGTAACCAAAATAATATTAATTAGCGACAACGAGCCATTCTCGTTGTCTTCCGAACGCACTGCTACAAAGACCAACAACTTGACAGTGCAAAAGTGTAAAAGCATGCCCTAGGAGACTATTTACAAGTTCCATCCCTTAGACCTTATAATGATCAGACCTTGAACAACCTCGACGAAAGTCGTACGACCCACTTAGCTCCCTTGTAGTAATAATACAGCCAACAGTCACTACTTCATTATATATCATTATAAAATAATTATTATAAGTAACTCGATATTAAAATCATTAACAATAGTGTTTTAAGTTATAAGCTTAATGTAAGAGTATAGGTGCGGATAGCACTAAGTTATAAGGGCTGACAATAACAGTGCGATATAACAAGCCTATAACTTTGTCGGAGTTGTTCTCGGCCTGATCATTATAAGGTCTGAGAGAAGGGACTTATAAATAGCTTTCTTTACGATGCTTTTCACACTTTTACGCAGTTAGTCGTTAGTTTTTACAGCAAAACATTCGGAAGATAACGAGAATAGCTCGTTATCGCTAATTAATAGTATTTTAGTCGTCGAACTCATCCTTTCCACTCTTTACTTATTAATCAGTCTACGAACGAGCCTGTGAGCTCATCGTGAGGCCCATAACCAAGGGACAAGACAGTGGTCCTGGTTTAATAATTATAAACAAGATAACGAGCTAAGTTTATACTAATAGAATACATTAATTTTAAAGAGAAAACTTTGCCTAATTTTGCGATAAAGAGCACCTACGGCCCTGTAGAGCTTAGAGGGGCCTACTTCACTGTTTCCCGATTTATCTATGGGAAGCAATCATGAGGTATCACTGGACGCTGACGATTGACTCAAGGTTGTGGGGGAAAAGCTTGTGAAGGCTTTGGGAAGCACTGTTGTTCACTTGTATCAGCTATGCGCCAAGTAGCGATTGAGTGTCAGTCGATTATTGACACCCATTATCTAGACATACCTGTTCTCTGGTGAGGTCGACATTGTGAACACTTTCTCAGGCCGGATATGAGTATGTTGACCTCGTGCTGAAGGGTATACCGCTCTGCCTGGATATCCTCTGACTCGGAAGCAAGCATCTTTAAGCGTTCATCGCTCATCTCGATGACCATAGATGGTGTGAGAATGTTTGGAAGATCGGAGATCAGGCAGTTCTCAACAGCTAAATTCACCACGTTCTGGGCAAATGTTCCGAGGGATATCTACAGAGCATGTACGTGTTAGCATTAACTTGCGAATACTGCGAATTGAGGAAAAAGTGCTTCCCGTACTTGAAAGTGTGTCATCGTCAAGTCGACAACTTTCTCAATGCCGAATTCACTGGCACTAGCTTTCTCTGAATGTTTAAGAGCCTGTTCAACATGATCGCGAACAAGACCCTTCCCTCCCTTCTCGACGAATGCAGCCGGGAATTTCTCTTCAAGTAGGCTTGCAATACGCCCTGCCTCACGGCCTACTGTCGTTGATACGAACGTAGTATGAAATTCTACGTCAAGCGGTGGACCGTATGCAGATTTATATGGCCTGAGAACTTCCTGTAGCTTATCCTTGAGAACTTGCTTCTTATCGTGAAAGAATTGGTCGACGCAGAACAACAAAATGGCATTGGAAGTTTGCTTGTCTCCTCCGATGAGGTGAAGGAACAGTTGTTCTACGAAAGACTTGACAAAATCGATGACTTGATCAAGATAGAATTTGGCGATGCCGTCCCATGGCCGTATTTGCATCTTGAAGAGCTGTAAACTAAGATTTCCATTTGGCTGACCTGGAAACTCACTTCCCAGATTAGCCGCTGCCAGGTGTCCAAGCTCGTCATGGAGATCCATCTCAGAAATAACACTAGGTTCGGGAAATCCGTCGAAGAGGTCGAGATATGACTCTAGATACTCGGGTATGCCGCCCAGCACACCTGGAAAGACACGATCGTAAAGTAGATTCCTTTCGTCGTCTTCCCATTCAACCATGCGATCCACCCCCTTAGTGGCCAGCGTTGCGTGAAAAGCACGGTTCAACATCCTGAGTACAGCCCGTAATTTGCGGGTCTCGCAGTCGGTATGAAGATCGCCAAAGAACTCGTCATTGTAGCGACCTTCAGTACCGTCACGTAGAAGACGCTGAAATTTCTCTGTGATCTCGAGTAGGTATGTCCTTAGGTCTTCAGGTTCTGAGCGAGGCTTTCCAAGTTGATCAAGAGCTCGTTTGCGTGCGGATAAATTGTTCTCAATATCCTGGATCAAGCCAGGTAGTGTCTTTTGAATGTGTCCAAGAAGGACCTTGCTGAGCTTCTTCCGTAATGGAGTGATACCACGGCTGATTGGAGAAATGTTGGACCACGCACCCGTCTGGAAAAATCTTTCCTCATCAGCATCTCTGTCGTCTGCACTCATCTCCTCTTTTCCTTCGGGTCGATTACGCAGAACATACCAGCCAAGCTTCAGCTTGTGCACGCTCTCCTGAGCTCTGGCCAGTTGCAGACACTTCCTCTCATCTTGTGATCCCGGTGCTACAAGATCGGGCTTCGTGATCACACCGAGCGTACGCTCCCTTTTGGGATCATGCCTTCTGGCCTCCTCAACAACGATCTGATTGGCTAGGTTGTTGTTCGCCGCTATAACAGCTAGGATAATGCTTTTTGGCTGCTTCATGTAACGTTCGGCGAGCTGCTGAACAATCTCCTTGCCCTCTTGTGTCTGTTCTTCCGTCTCAGAATGGAAAAAGCCCGGCAGATCGACAAGTGTGAGTGGGTAGACATGAGGTCCTGCAATTTCCACGCGTAAGACGTCCTGAGAGTAGCCTTTTGAGCTTCCCGGGTGAATTCCCATGTTTTCTGTGGCCTCTCTGATGATTTCAGGCAAAGCATCTTTGTTGAAGGTGGTACGATTGAAATTTTGAGAAGAGCCACCGCCGGCAGGGTCAGTCCTAACATCAATCTTCGTCTCTGGGGCGTACCTCATCACAAGCTCGGTGGCAAAGCGGGTGCAAAGGTCGCCCTTAGTGGGGAACCGGACATTCGAAAGAGCTTCAAGTACGGAGCTCTTACCCGAAGATTGGTCGCCAACCACGATGATTTGAGGCAAGTTGACAATCTCGCCGATCTGAAGCTCCCGGAGATTATCGACGGTGTCAAGCAGAGCCCTTGCCATTGGGCTGCTCAACTCATCCATCGCCACTGAATCGAGAGAGATGTCGTGTTCTGGTGCATCACTCATGGCTGAGAACAAAACTATGAGAACTCCCTGCCAACGAGGTGGATTCGAGTACTCGATTGAGGCTAAATGATAGACGTGATACAAGGCCAGGCTGTATAAGCAGGATTTTGACTTATGGATATACACTCCACAATAATATGTTGCAGTACCCAGTCTCTTATATAATTTATCAATCTTGCGAGCAACCCGGAATCTGCTGTTGAGGCCTGCCACCCTTGATTTTGATCACCCTATCCAGGTTACCTCCAGACTCAGCCAGCGAACAAGGATTACACAGCTACATGAGACGGCAACCCATGACTTCGCCTTTTCCGAAAATTATTCAAGATCGCACGGCAACTTGGCGGCCTGGTGGTTTAGTCGGCTTCCCATGCTGGAGATCGACAGTACATATTGATGAAACATGTTGGTTCGTCGTGCAGTTGCAGATAATGGACAGCCAATCGCTGTGCTGCTGCGCCGCTGCTGTGCCTGCTAGCCGCCAACCAAGCCTATGTAAGGATACCTGCAGGGGAACTTGCCATCAAGGCAGTGTCACAGTCTCGGGTTTTGGATAGTTTGGGGCGCTTGAAGAATGTAATTACTACCTAGGTTATGAGGAAGTAGAGTTGAGAGCAATAACTCGTGTACAGACTATGGTACAGGAAGGCGATGGTTGCCTCGTCTTCTCAAAGTGTCGCAACTGCCACAAACTCCAGGAATCGAATGTCCAAGCTGACTGCCACGCAAATTGACGATGTAATTTTCTCTTCTCTTCACCGTCATACTCAGTACTGTCGAAGACTCGAAATCAGCAAGCAACCGTGCATTGAAGCTAAATAGAATTTGGAGATAGTCGCGAACAGATCCTTGATCTAAGTCAACTATACTTAGCAAGTAAGCTGTGTGCGTAGGAGAATGCGATAAATAATGATCAGACGCATTGTAAAAGACATGTTTTGCAAAATTTGGCTTCCAAATTACTGGAATAAGACTATTCGCTACCGAAAATGCAGTTGATCCATTTATATCCGACACTTGGCCCGTTATAACGAAATTATCAAGTTACTTCGGTATCAACTTGGCCACATTGTCCCTTGCCACCACGCCCCTTCGAAGAGGGAGTACAAATGACGTCCATCTTCAATAGGAGATACTCAGACTCAAAATCTTCACCCATATGTCTGCCTCGCTTCTTCAAGCCAGGTGCCACGATCATGTCAACATGCTGTCCCGGTTCTGGTGGTATCTCCCTTCCTCTTGCTGCCATTGTTTCTGGGTTGAATTGTGCCGAGTGTTGCAAAGATGGAAAAAGCCAGTCGACGCGTGTCGCTTGCCTGCAGATTTTCTCGTCCAGACCAATGAACATATTGATAATAAGTTCGAGTTGATCCGATATCTTGTCTGAACCCAATGCAAATGGTTTCACGACATCAATGATCAGTGCGGAAATGTCACTAGTGAATTTAACCATCCGTCGCCGGCACTTCTCCTCGCCCTCACATTCCATAGACTCGAGAATAAGGGCCGAGGTAGTAGCCTTCCAAATTTGAAACTTTCGTTCAGCTTCTCGCCCCGTTGATATTCCTTGCCTAGAATGACAATCGCGATCTAAGAAGACTCTGGTCAGCGGATATTGTGGTAGGAAACGATCCGAACGGTGCCCACCTGGATGTAAGATATTGTATACGTCGGTAATAGACGATTGTAATTGCGGTGCCCAACGAAATTGCTCGAATATTTCGGAAACGAGTACTCTCCAGAGGAAGGATTGGACAAGGGCGGGGCCCATGGTCTCCGATATGCGATGGCCATGATTTCCATGGAGTTCTTCCATAGCCTCAACCATATAATTTTCCAGGCCGTCGCTTTGTGGCTGCAAAAACTGTTCAGGTGAATTGATGGCCGAATATTGAAAAGAAAAGGAGAAATTTCTGATCTCGTAGCGAAGCCCTTGCACCAAACCGTCGAGGTCTGCGTCGAGAAGCTGGTACAGCCTCGATTCTTGAGACCGTAAGTTGTTCAGCTCCGAAGCCGTCTTCTTCCACTTCTTGGTGACTGTTTCCAAACTTAACCTGGCCTGCTCTAGCTCATTTTGAGCCCTCAGTAGGTCTGACTTGGAGGTCAACTTCTCGTGCCTTTCTTTATGCAGCTCTTGCAAGGCTGATTGGATGTTCCACGTGTCCTTTGACAGGTGCTCAAATCTGTCAAATACCTCGCGCCAACGGGCATCGTCTTGGCCCGGAGCAATTGGTTGTTCTGGTATTTTGGCACGCTCTCTTCGTCGCGGAACATCCCACGAAGTTTGACGGCTTCGAGAAGACGTGATTAATTGTGAAGCGGGAACCTCATTATCACTATCTGAACGATCCGCCTGTGAATCGTTCGAAGCGCTAACCGTGCTAGTAATATTTCCAGCTACTGGGCTGGCCATCGTTTTTCTTGTAGCATGTTGGGGGGTTTCCTTAGTTTCTAGTTCCGAGCCCGTCATCATGGCGTTGAAAGCTCGCTCAGCTGATCTGAGGAGTTTCATGTCACGGAAAGCTTAGAAATGATAGTATGGTGGTTGTCGAGCAGTGTACAGAGTGTTGCAAAGTGGACGGCTAAATGCAAACAACATGTTCTGCACCTGCATATTCGAAAGAACGCAATCCTGTGTTACAGGGGACTTTTGATAAGGGCCATTCCATGGCGCTTCGTGAAACTTGTCTATCCAAGATTACCTGTTGGCCATGGCCTCGCAATCCAACATTGGAAATAAATGCCTCTCCAACATGCACAACCGCTGTGGGAGGCGCAGCAACAGTTGGTTCTGGGGCTGAAACGTCGACCGCAAACAGAACCAACTGCATTGCAACCCATGAAGAGGTGACCAATTGGAAGGCTGCTCTACACTGCCCAACAAAAAGAAATTAACCTAGTTACTTCATGATCTTCTTAACCCTGGTACCCAAGGTTTTGACGCAGTTCACACCCGAGCTTCAAGGTACTCTTCCATTACAAAAACAAATTGGAGATATGTGTTGAACTCGATCTAATTGTGCGTTCTTACTATAGTATCGAGCCTATAAGTCACTTTGTCCCACCCGCGCTTTTCCTTTCTGACATTACACACATCTTTTGAAAGCGACACCAAAGAATCTTGAACCGCGCCCCGGAACTGCACGCGTTGGCATGCGAGCGCACTCTGGATCTCACACTGTCCTAGTGGAAGATTTCTGCGCATTTGACTAACACGGCACCTGGAATCAATGCTAGAGTATTCTTCATAGACCCCGGAGGTTGGCTGTTGCGCAGACTTCAACGTTCGAGATATCAGATCACAACAGCACCGCAGTTAGCCTTTGTGATGGCATTCGGAGGCAGTCTCAGCAATATACTGAAAGGTCTCAGCGTCGGCGACGATGATAGCGATGTTGAGGATTGCCTGGTGATTGGTATTGATTTTGGAACAACGTAAGCAAAGACGGCACAGGAATTTAAATTGTTTTCTGCGGCGTCATCAAATAGCATATTGATATTCGTTTCGAGACAGGTTCTCCGGAGTGGCTTGGTCAACGAGAGCCGACTTGGAGAGTAGCCATATCAACTTTATTACCTCCTGGCCAGACAATGCCCGCGAGGAGGGCAAAGTCCCAACTGAGCTCTGGTACAATGATGCCGGCGAGCCAGCCTGGGGCTATTCCATTCCTGCCGATGGTGACCCATTTCGATGGTTCAAGCTTCTCCTGCTCCATATCGAAGACCTTGACCCGGAGCTCCGCGAATTCAGCTTTCTGGCCAAGGCTCGGAATATGCTGAAGGAGTCTGAGAAGACGGCGGTAGACCTGGTGTCTGATTATTTGCGCTTGCTCTGGGAACACATCATGTCGACGATCGAGAAGGCACGCGGGGAGTCTGTGATCGAAGCCCTTGCCTTTCATGTCATAATCACTGTTCCAGCAATATGGAAGGGCTATGCAAGACAGGCTATGGAAGACGCCGCCAAGAAATCTGGTATCCTCAACTTCCGTTTGGCAGGGACCACAAAATTGACATTTGCGCCTGAGCCAGAGGCTGCTGCACTTTCAACACTCCTTGAGCAAGGCAATAGCGTCCGGCCAGGTAATGTCTACGTGATCTGCGATGCAGGTGGTGGGACAGTGGTAAGTGTAGTTTGGGCTGACTATTTCCGGAGAGGTGGCTGATAGATAACACTTTAGGATCTCATCAGTTACGAAGTGAAGGACACGAAACCCATCATATTACAAGAAGCCGTGGTTGGAACAGGTTCGCTTTCCAAGCATGGCTCAATATTATCGTCACTGAAAAAAGCTAACATTCATTACCCACACAGGCGGGCTTTGCGGCGGGATCTTCATCGACCAGACGTTCGAGCATATGTGCAGTGGTCGGCTTGGGTCTAAATGGAAACGCCTGAGCAAAGAGGGAATCAGGGATGTCATGAGAACCGAATGGGAATACGGCATCAAACCACAGTTCAAGTCTCCCAAGTCAGCGAAGCAATATATCGTCTCGCTGCCCGCCGAGGCATTCAGGGGTCAAGGTACTGCGAGCTTTGACGATACCAAGCGAAAACCGCATATAAAGAACGGGCGAATCTATTTCGATGGGTGAGAGTTGTCTGAGAAAACCCATATGAGCTACAAAGCTAACACTCAGGAACCAGTTGCGATATCGAAAAGGCGTTTGAGGGCGTCTTTGCCGATATCTCGAAGCTTGTCGAGGGACAGATCCGAAAGTCCGCGGAAAGGGGCCTGTCTGTAACCGTAAATATGACTGCGAAGCTCGGAAACAAGTATTATTGGGAATATCACTGCTGACTTCTACTAGGGCATCATTCTTGTTGGGGGACTAGGAGGGAGTCCATACTTATACGAGTATCTTAAGAACATTTATTCCAAGTCAGAAATTGCAGTGCTTCAGTCCGGTGGAATCAAGCCGTACGTCTGCGGCGTTCACTTAATACTGATGCATTATCATGGCTAATATATCTTGATAGGCGTACGGCAATCTGTCGAGGTGCCGTTATCAAGGGGTTCCTTGAGGCACAAAACGATCAGCAAGATGGAGGATTTAGGGTACCACCGATAGCAGTTGAGTCAAGGGTATCTCGGGCTAGTTATGGAATATCTTGCAGTGCCGAGTTTGACTCGTCACGTCATCTTGAGCAAGACAAACGATGGGACAGGTTGATGGAATGTTATGTGGCGTCCAACCAGATGACGTGGTATCTAAGGCGGGTACGTTCTGATCCAAGATCTAAAGCACTTCTCACGTCTCTCACTATTTCTACCTTACAGTAGACATGACTTGAACTAATGCATGGAATATCAGGGAGATCTTGTTTCCAAGATGGAACCAGTTCGCCACTCTTACTACCAGATTTACGAAGAAGAGTTATTTGGCAAGTTCTTCACACTCAACCTTTATCAGTGTGATGACGAGGCGCCGCCGGCAAGGATAACTAACAGTGTCCGGAAACTTGGCGAGCTCTCCTGTAAACTCGATGTCGGGTTTTCTGACCTTCCAGACTACCCGAGGAAAGGATCTGGGCCCGCAACTAAAAGGTTGAAACTCGACATCGAATTAGTGCCGTCGGGGGCCTCGGTAGAATTTGTTCTATACGTGTATGGGAGGAAACAGGGCGGTGAACACGCCAAGATCTGTTTTGCGTAGCAGCGGACTGGTATGGTTTCCTGAATAATTAGTCTACTCCAACGCAGGTTGCTAAATTTGTGTGGAGTTCTTGCGGCACATGACTTCTGTATGATTAGGTACTTTCTATGGGATATACCTAAGAAATTCATCCGGATTGAATACGATGAGTAGCTTTTCCGATATCTGGTTGCATACTTTATGATGCTTTTCAAAAGCCGCGCTCAGAAACAGTATACAATTTCAGATTGTTCAAATGCGGGCGATTACGGTTCACGCGGAGTGTATAGATGGCTGTGTCATTTTGTAGTGTCCAATAGACTAGAACCAATCCTACAGTAAGCAATCGGAAAACTGGTAAACGCTTTTTGATGTCAATATGAAATCTATTAGAAGTATTGCAGCAGGGATTAGCTCTGGATATATATCAAAATTTGGTTGATCACGAATTACATTGCATGACAATTTCGTTACACATCCATTTCTTTTAAGCAAGAAGAGCTATCATCGATGATCCGAACGTGGCCCCAAAAGCAGCTGCAGTGAACGCATCACCCACTCTGTCTTTTACCACTGCCCAAGCGATACCAAACACAAACAAATCGAAAAGGGATAAGAAAGAGAAGAAAGTAAATGGCCGAGATATGCCAATCTTCTCTGACATATATGCCCCAAACGGTCACTTCCTTCAAGGGGCTCAGGAGAGCACAAGTATTCCTTTTCTTCGTTAACCTATTTTGGAGGAGAAAGACGAATGCATCTGTCCTGATTATACTTGTGACCTTCCGGATTAGAATGGTAGGCCATGATATTAGGGCCTACCCGAAACTCGAGATGATTAGCCTATTGTGTTCGCTCAAATTCAAAATTGTGTAAACTCATTTCAGTTATTAACAAGCTCTCAATGCTTCACAAATAGGGACTTAATAAACATATACCTCATTATAGTGAGAAGAGCTCATATACGACCATACGCATTAGAAAGCTCGGTATCCCCTCCGCTCTGCCCTACGGGAATCGTCGAATGTGATCGTTTTTATGGCTACGAATTAGTATTGGCAAGACTTTCGCATTCTCACACGCACGGCGCGCCACTTGCCATTTCCCCTGTAGAGCGATATGCGTTTTTCGAGCCATGCAGTCAATTTATCTTTCATAAACTTATTCGGCCGTAATGAGCAGATGTGAAGACAGGTTAGTGGTTTCGACACCAGCAGATAATAGGCCACGAGGCCACTGCTGGTGTCGACGCCAATATAAATCAATGAGATTGATGACTAACTCCCCGGGTTCACTCGGGGCTCCTAGCCCCCACTAAAAAACACAAAAATATATACATACAACACCGGGGATTCCCCAGTGGTCACCCACCTGAGTACTAATCCAGCGCTTCCCAGTTTATCTAGGGCAGAGCGGACGGGATGCCGAGTTTTCTAGGAGCTATGGTCGTATGTACTTGTATTTGCCAAAATTGTCACATATTATTAGCACATACTTATAGACTTCTGGATGGCATACTGCCTATAGGTGGTTTATTTCGTAAAGAGTAGCTCAACAGTATGAAGTCAGGCTTATCGTCGGTGGTTCCGAAGAACGTTGGCCTCCGATATATATCAAGATCTGGGGAGGCACACACGGCAAGAGGCCGTCTTCAGGGCTAATACGCATTGATTAGTTGTCTCGTTCTCGTGCATCAAGTAACTATGGCGTCCGCCCCAACAGCTCCATACGAGCGACATGGCGGTGCCGCTGCCCATTCAGTATCTTGACTTTCCTGATCGATTCTTCATACGTTCTTTCGCAGTCAGCGGTCGTTCCCGTATGGACTCCTGCCGCAACGCCTTCATCGCCCGGAAGCAGTCCCGCAGTGACATCCCCCCCTGGTCATCGTCCCTACTCCGCTGCTCCCCATGGGCAGCCGGCTGGCGATCCTCGTTCGGGCGCGGGCGAGTCAGAGGCAGAGACGACAACCTCGACGCCGAGCCCGCGTGGCGTTTGTATTTCGTCGTCGACGTCGTCGTCATCGTGTCGGTGACCGCGGCATCAGGTCTAGCAGGACTCCTCGCCGCGGAACCTGCCGCTGTCTTCGCGGCGCGCCTGGCTCGGCGTCGGGCCAGCGCTTTCTCGAGGGCGACATGCTCTTCTGGTGTCCGGCCGATCTTGCGGGCAGTTACGCGGCATGGGTCTGTGGCCGGTACGGCGGTTCCTTCTGGGCTCATCGCTGTCGAGCCACTATTCATTTTTCCCCCTTCCTTCCCATCGGAGACGTGTCTCGTTGTGATTCGGGTATTGGTGGTGGTGTTGCTGGTCTCTAAGCTGATTGTGTCGCGCTTCAGTATAATCGTTGGAGCTGCTGATGGTCTATTGTTCGGTGTAACTGTGGTTGTTGTTGTTTTGTTCTCAAAGTGTGAGACAGTAGCCTCGATACGAAGATTCAGAGTCTTTAATGGTTTCGAGAGGTCAAGGCTGGCTAACAACGGGCTGTGTTCCCAACGAGTGTTTATATGACTGGTGTGGTTTGATTTTGATTGTTTCTGGCGGTGTCTTGAACCGTATCTTTTATAGTGGTATTTATGCTATAGGCCTCGATAGCATTTTGGTGAGCTCATGCACAGGAGTAAGTGATTTCTCTGAAATGGTGATGTTCCTAATTGAAAAGGAGTCGGCATGCGTATAGGTGGTATATGAGAAGGCCGAGCGGAGGAGGAAAATGCGAGGGAAATGTGAATACTGGACAAGTGGAGATTTCTCGCCAAATTCAATCATACAGTTGATCTTATAGGATCATAATTGATCAAACATGGTTTTTGTCGATTCTCGTTGATTGCTGTTAATCAAGCTTGATTGGTGTTAAATTGAGTTGATTGATGTAAATCAGCCCCGATTCTTGTTGATCAAGCCCGATTCTTGTTGATCGGACTTGACTGAGCTCCACTATAATCGGTCCAGCACTGAGTTTAAAGTAGTAGACACCATACAGTTCGTTGTATCATATATACTGTAAATGCAAGTCATATTAAATCATTTTGTCATGAATTGAATTGAGGTACCATAACCTCAATTCTAAATAAACCACCACTATACCCCTGAACGCCATGCATGCAATGGATCTAACAATACTGGGCATATATCCCGACCATGTCCATGTTTTGATGTATACTATACCGGAACATCATATATACAGCTCACTTGCTGATGTACACTGGAATGCCATACACCACGACCGCAGCCGCAGTGAGATATCTAAAGCGACACGCATCCCTGGCCTTGGCCACCGCCTGCACAAGACTCGTCTTCGCACCACTCCGCATCTCGTCGCTTTCCTCGACCGCCTTGACGTTCTTCTTCCTGCCTCTTTGGGTTGCCTTGCCCTTGCCTTTAACGTTCGGTCCATCCTCTGCAAAAGTGCCCTTTGGCATCAATCCCCACTCCTCGAAGACCTTGCCTGCATAGCGGTCGATATCACGATCTGTGACATCCCACAGTGTACCGACGACGGCCGGACTGCCTGCGAGCATGTAGTTCCAAACCGGGCCATGGCTCTCGAAATCACCGACGTCGGCAAGACTCGCTGATGAACAACCCATGAGCAGGGCAACGGCACGGCACTTCTCCATCTTCCGGATTGTGCGGCCTCGGATGTACTGGGCACCCGAGCCATGACCGAAGTAGAGGAGAAGGTCAGAGTGCGTTAGCGATTTCTCAAATTCGGACTCGGTTGGAACGCGAGTCTCAATGGTAGACCAGGTTGGTGGCAGTGCGGCTAGGGGTTTAGCAAAGGTAGCCTCTGTTGACTTTAGGTCGGCGCCGGGGTTGAGAATATATGTTCCAGAATGCAGAGAGATGTGATGCCCATTGTTGGAGGCGCTGCTGTGCATTTCTCCATCTTCTCCAGCCTCGAAATGCTGGACAGGGGATGCCCGCTGCTCTAAGATGGAGCGCCGGAGACAGGCCAGCGAGGGAATCCGTGACACAGCAACGCCTTGCATGCAGGGTAGTGATTCCCAAGGGAAGATATGCAGGGCTTTGTCTAGCACAAGGATGGTATGCACGTTCTCATCGCCCTGACTGGTTCCCTTAACTGCAGCATGGTATGAGTGTAGTGCATCGAAAGTCTCCACCACCATTGAGTCAAAGTCGATTTCGTCGTACGCATTGCGTTCGCCATGGAACTGTAAAATGTCCACGACAAAGTACAAAAGATCTGTGAGTGGCTCGTCAAGATCGCAATCCGGAATCGTAGCGTCACCCAGGCCGATGAACAGATCTAAAATCCTTGGGTCGAGCGAGACTTTGGTAGTAGATGCGGTCTTGCTTCTTTTGCCACGGACTTGCTGTCTGGAAGGAAGATGCTTGTCAAGGACGTTGTGGAAGCTCTTTTGGAACCTTGCAAGTAGATCGGACCGGCGATGGTGCTGCGCAAAGATGCCACGAAATCCGCCGAGCCAGGTTTGTTCAACGTTCTCTAGTAGATCCTTCATTCGCTCGTCCAAAGCCTCACGCTCCGCCCACCATGCTGACTTTGCTCCCTTTTGACTCATGTCGCGAGCATCGTGGCAAGTCCGGTTAGCCACTTGAATGATATCAACCATTTCTGTACGACCTTGTAGGAAATCAAAAACCTCGGAGTCTGCATCCCTTGAGCTGGCGCGTTCTAGAGGAAGTCGAATGGCAAATGGACTGTGATCGGCCTGAAGCTTGGTGATGCAAAGATCGTGCTTATTGTCGCTTAAAGAAATAGAAACCACATTCCATGATTTGGGTATGATGTCAACGTATTCACGCTGAAATCGGTTCATGTCAACGGAGAAGCCTAGGCTGGATCGTCGGGGATCCGCGGCTTGCATCAATACTGGCCATTCCGCCTTTTCAGACTTATCGAGATCAAGTCGGAGAGTCTTGCGTTCGCGACGCCAAACCAAGTTTCGGGCTAACTCAATCGAACACGTAGCATGGGCAGGATGCCCAATGCCGGATGATCTTGTAGGGCATGTTGTCGACAGGAGAATGAAGACATTTTGAAGCAAGGCAGCAATTCGATACACAAGCCTCGCATTACCGTTGAGACTCGCAATGGAATGTGCTTCGAGCAGATAATCTTGGGCTTGTTGTAGGTTGCTCAGAAAGCTAGGATCCGCAGCGGGGCGCGTCTTTCGCGGCGGCGTTGCCTTTACTGATGGCTGTCGATCTGACTTGTCCTTCGGCGAACTGGCAATGGCAGGAAACGACAAAGTCGAGTCCTGGATCACAGAGAAGACAGAGTCTTTGCCCATTTGCTCCAAGCTCTGGCCAACAAGTGCAATAGCCATGAGTAACCGCTCTTGTGTAACATCGGTTGACAACTTGGAAAGTTCATATGCAGTCTGGAGTGACGTGACAGCTGCCGACCAGTCTTTGCTGTCAAGAGATGCCACAGACTTCTGATGCAAGATAGATGCCCGCAGGAATGCTAGCTGCGTATCTTCCGCAGCTACAAGAACCTTGGATTCCGCAGGTATCTTCGCTCTCGTAGCACCGATTTTCTTTACCGCGGCCTTCCTGGTCGCCGTTGCCGTTCTCGGCTTGATTTGCCTCACAGTAGCTTTTGTAGCCGGCTTCTCTTTGATCGTAAGCTTTTCCATCTGAGCCACGACTTCAAGTGGAACAACTTCTGCGTTGGTAGCACTCAACTTCTGCAACATCGACTCTGCCATGTTCATGAGATGCAGTTCGGTGTCGTAATCTGAGGCATCACGGTATATTCGACTCAATTGGCAAGTCATCTCGATGGCGGAATAAGTAGGCTCGATCTCAAGCAAAGCCGCTTTAACTTTGGCTGCCAATTCAAGAGCTTGTTCAGGCTTGCCGGCGGTCATTAATACTGAGGCTAACCAATGTTGCGATTGCGAAACATGACCCAAAGATCCAGTACTAACCGCAATCTTCTGCGCCTGTTCGGCATAATATATGGTTTCCTGGTACATTCCGACATGCGCGTATACTGAAGAAAGCCGCATGACAAATCGGAACAAGGGATACACCATGGCCCAGAACTCTGGACCCGTGTTGGCTCGGTTACTTTCTGCTTGAGAGCATTGTGAGCTATTAAAGCTAGAGTCGACTTCCATCAGTTCGGTCTGTGACACCTCGTCGTTGTGCTCCAAAGCTGCGCCACGCAAGGTTTCAAGCTTTACCCAATCGTGAAAAAGAATTCGCACGGCGTGCTTGGCTTGTTGTAACGCATGATGCGACTGACCACGCTCAAGTGCAAGCATCGAGTGCAGAAAAGATGCGTATGCTAGAGACAACTTTTTTGCGAGACGACTGCTTTTTGGAAACCTGTCGGAAGCCGGACTTGTAGCAGCAGTATAAGCATCAGCTAAACACTTTTCAGCAAGGTCGAAGTTTCCAATAGCCATCTGGAACTCAGCCGAGCAGAGATGCAGGTTTGCCGTAGCCTCAGGAGACACGGCTTGTTGTCCCAGAAACTTCAGCGTCGCAACCAAAACTTCTTCCGCTTTATTCGAATGACCGAGGGTGAGATGCTGAAGGCATAGCGCTGTGTTTTGGGAAAGGAACAGCTCAGGGTTATCGTCGCCACTTTTCCTCGAGACAGCTGCCGAAACAGACAAAATCGATCCCAGCAAGCCATTGCATCCTCTCATTCTGGCAAAGTCAGCAAGGCCTTGGAGGATCGTTACAAGCTGGGCCGGATTGTCGATATACTTGTAGATGTCGTCCGTGGTATGCGACTGTTCAAGCACAGAATTCCACATGTTCAACGCTTTCTGTATAGTTGACACTTCAAGTTCGCCATTAACAAGCGCGGTGATGCATGTTGTCAGTGCCTGAAGATGAGGGAGAAAATGAGCCAACCCGGAATCCTGTGCAAGCATCTCAACATCGATGGAAGCAGACAAAGCTACGGCCTGTTCTTGCCACTGAAAGACATTTTCTGGGGAGTCCAGGTTTACTGAGATCAGCTGGACGAGTGTTCGGAGTTGTCTGATAGGATATGTGTGAGCATCGAACGCGCCAAGTAATTTGCCGACATATGCGTCGCCTGGTTTCAGCTGCCTCCGACTCCTTGCATCACGAGAGTAGATAAAGTACAGATCGTGCTCTAGTGCTGTTGCCTTCTCTGAACCGGTCAGCAGCCATGTCCAGTCGCAAGGGTTTTGATCCAATTTAGCCAGGTTACACACTGTCTTGGACAGTGACGCAACCTTGTCGGCAGACATCCACGCTTGAAGGACGCTTTGGCTTGATAATGCTGCAGTGACCTGTGTGATAACATCCTCTCGAACTAGTGTATCTCTGATGGACCGTAAAGTATCTGTAGCGTCATCTCTCCGACCAGAAGTCCTGCATAGCTCGACCAGACGCTCCTGTTTGGCTAGAAGTTGCGCTTTCACCTGCTCGGCTTCGGATCTTTGTTTGACGGCTTCGATTGATCGGCGTAGAGCGAGTAGAGATTGGCTGTCCTTGACTTTTGGGTTTTGCCGCAAAGCAACGTGTTGCTGGTAGTAGAAATGTGAGATTTTAACGTGATAAGAGGCGGCCGCATTGTTTTTGATGCTGAGTAAGGCGAGATCTCCCATGTGTTCCAGAACCACTAGGCTATCTTGAAGTATGGGGTCCATGACTTCCCATGTAATTTTGCTTCTGTCCAACAAAAACTTTACTAGCATGAGCGCAGAATCGATTATAGGAGTGATGTATTTGGAAAGAAGCTGCCGCCGCTGCTCGAAACGTAATAGATCCTTGGTTGAGCTGTCTGCCGCTGGTGGCTTTCCGAGCCACCTCGAAGCAAATCGTGGTAGTTGCAATATTATTGATTCGAGGTTATCCCGTATCGCCGCCGATTCTTTCCCCAATTGTGTGTCGCTGAGAACTAGGTGTATTGCGGCTTTTCGTACTAGGCAAACGCTGATAAGCAAATCATCCAGCTCGGTAGAGCTGCCACTGAGTGAGCCTTGCAAGCCCTCCAGGACCTCTATCAGCAGGGTTTCGCTGACACATGATGGCGACTGTTTGAGTGAGAGCGCGATTAGCTGTGCCGTGACGGAACAACAACGTGCTGGTGAATCTTCTTGCGGTGTCGTGACCGCTTTGAGTTTCTTCATGCACACCAAGGCTTCCTTGAAATTGCCTGCATCCCTGGAGGCTGTTCCAAGCACTTGGTAAATGGCAGCCAGCGGTGATTTCGAGGATTCGGACGGACGGGCTCCCACAGTCTCTATCATTGAAGAGATTTGCTTGAAAGCGTGGCTGATGTTGTCGAATTTTGCCAGGGGCTCTAGCACACTCCTCCGCGAACACGCTGACAAGCATTTCGAGAGAGGAAGCAGGATATCATTATCGACATTTCCTTTGTGGCCAGACAAACCCCAAGATTGCAGCCGCGTTACCAATGCTAAAGACTGTATCTGAATGGTCGTTTCGGGCGAAGGGCTCAATCTCGGTTCCATAGCTATAGCATCATCTCTAGACGCAACGCTCGGCGTGAGTGATAGAAGGCTCTGCGCCAAGTTTTCCAGCTGCCTCGCGCATTTGACACGGTCCGGTTTCTCGTCTTTCGAAGAAAGGAGCAAAAGACTTGATGGTGATGACGGACTGCTCGCCAGGAGGAAGGGTAGAGCCGTGTCCAGATGTGACGATTTCTTCAACCCGTACAAGATGCGCAAAGCCTGGAGCTGACTAGATATGATCAGGGCAAGGACAGGTCCACCAACACCAACTGCAGGATAGTCAAAAAGGTCAGAAAATGTTTTGGCGGCAGAAGCTGGCTCGGCTGTCGTGGCTGGCTTGGATTTCTTGCCAGCGGCACCACTGGCCATGGCTTCCAGGCGACGCTTGAGCAAGCGCAACTCCTTGAGGGCATGTTCATAGAGGTTCAGCGCGATCAGCTTGCTGATGAATGAGGACATTCCCGACTCCAATTGCAGTTCTGGCAGGGCAGTTTTGCCGGCGTTCGACAAGGTTCGTAGGGCTGTAAAGGCTGCGCGGGCACACTCGACGGTGGCCAAACACCCGCTCGAGGCTGCTGATATTGCAGGTGTCCTGGTAATCTTTGCCGTCATGGGGGTCGTTGATACCCTGTTAAGGGTCCGCGGTTGAAGAGGTGTCATAGGCACCGAGTTAGATCGTCTGGGCCTAGCCCTCGCCGTAGACTTGACAGGTTTTCCATCTGCACATGTTTGCGCAACAGTTCTTGGCGAGGGATTCTTGGCTGCTTCTCCGAGAGTCTTCAAGGTCGCGTTTATGACCTGGGTGGCCAAGAGTGCCTTCTCCTTGGAGGAAAGGCCGCTGGCGTCTGGTCCATCTTGCTGTGGGCTTTGCGCCTTGGCCGGAGGGGCTCGCTTTGTCGTCGTCGTTGTTTTGGGTTTTGTTGTTCTCGTTGTTTTCGGTTTCGGTGGGGGTTTCGTGAGGTCTCCTTGGGCGTCGGCGCCTAATAAAAGTTCTTTCAATGTGGCAGATATGGTGGGTGTGCATGTCTGAATGGATGTGACGGCGCTCCGAATGGCGTCGGCCTGTGTGGTGAAGGAAGCCATGTATGGTGATGGCTTCTATCTAATCATGTCGTCGTGAGCAAATCATTAATAGGGTATCCAAGAAACGCCAGACCGCACAAGAAGAACGAGAGCTAGAAAAATGCTTCGTCGGTGCTGGTAGCGAATGCTCAATTGGTACTCGGTACAGTAGTTTGGGGAAAAGAGGCTTCAGGCGACGATGATGCGGTCACAAGTTGCAAGATTAAGCAATGCCTGCGCCCAGTGCTCACACTCGCATACAGACAACTGCAGGGTGCTCAAGCTCGGCGGGTAACTTGCGGGTATGGAACACAGCGTAAGTTAGTTGTAGTTGTGGACCAATTGCCAGAAATAGTCAAGCGGCGTTGACAGGGCAACCCTCTGGGGCACGCTTTTGGTACTTCATATGCATGTAGGTTAGTTATGTACGTAGACCTCGCCGGTCTCATGGCTGCCGAGTTGCAACCTTTGCGCTAGACTAGACTAACCTAGACTAGAGAAAGTCGACTTGGCTTGCAAGGGGAGAGAGAGTCGCAGCTTTCCGGCGGACACTTTTTGCTCGCTGCAACTTGACATACTTGAACGCATCTGTTCTCCTTATCGCTGGTCAACAAAAAAGTAAAAACAAAAACAAAATGGAAGCTGTTGCATTTCGCCGAATGCTTCAAGCACCGGCAGGAGTCGGAAACTCCATGCTCCGTCATGGCCAACGCTCTGTCCTCCCCGCCATGCGCAAGTACAGCTCAGCACCAACCGTTGCGCAACCTTCATTCTGGAAATCCCTAATACCAAAGCCCTGGCGCCCAAAGGAGAAGCGGCCTGATGTCAACTTCGGACCCCCCAAGACCCTCAAGAAGCCCAAGAAGGACTGGAACCCTGCCACGTTCTACATCGTCATCTTCCTCTTCATCGGTTCCATGTCCATCCAGATGATCTCCCTCAGGAAAGACTTCAACACTCACATGAGGAGAGCCGAAACCAAGATCGGCATCTTACGAGAGGTTGTCGAGAAGCTCCAGCGCGGAGAGGACGTCGATGTCGAGAAGGCCCTGGGCACAGGAGATGCTGAACACGAGAAAGAGTGGGAGAACGTGTTAAGGGAAATTCAACAAGACGACGTCATACAAACTCCAAAGCGACCAGATCGGCCGAGACACTCTTCCGGCGCAAGAGACGAACCCAAGCCAGAACCGACGCCAGCACCAGACTCAAAATCACGCTCGGAAAGTACGACGGAGAAGCCCAAGTCCTCGACCCCCAGCTTTTCTGGATTCTATTAATCTACGTGCGGCTTCATGTACATCATATACCCTACACAATCAAGACATCATATCCTTGAAAACAAGTCCGCCATGCTGCTCATGTTCTATGCTTTCACGAGCGTGCTGAACATCCGACGACTGCCGCAACCCTTCCACAAGCCTTGGCAATAGCTCATCCGTCGACAGCTCCACTCGCGCGCCCTGCGCTCCCTTCTGCAAGGGATCTAGATCTGCAAAGAAGGTCTCCTCTCCTCTCACACCTCCCAGATTGACGATGGCAATGGGTAAACCTCGATCCTTCGCTCTCTTGGCCAGCCGCCACGCCGAGTACGTCGCAAGTGAGGTGCCCAACACGAGAAGTCTGTCGGCACTCTCCACAGCCTGTTCTGCGTCTATCTTGGTCTGACTGCGGACGCTTTCTCCGAACATGATAACAGCGGGCTTCAATATACCCGCGTTACTGGTCGGCTTCAATGCTCCGTCGGAATCGACTTCGACCGTAGCCTTGCCACCTTCGGCTAGTGTTGGCGGGTTGGCGAGACAGTGAGGACACGCAGGGTATCTGAAGGTGGTGTACGGCGCATCTGGAAGGTCGACGTCACCGTCGGGGTTCGTCTTCATACCTCTCCTCTTTCGTTCATCTGGATTCTCCGTATCGAGAGCTCCAGATGCTATGATCTCCTGGAGAAATGCGGCCCAGGCAGGGTTCAGCCTGGCTAGTTCGTCCTGGAAGACGTCTCTGGGAAGTTCGGTTTGACAGGAAACACAGACTGTTGCCCGTAGATATCCATGTAGCTCGGTAGTGGGAAGGCTCGGGTGAGCTTTCGGATGGAATGAATCAACATTCTGAGTGATGACGCTCCGGACCAGACCCAGATCTCCCAGATGTTTTACCGCATAGTGTCCAGCGTTGGGCTTAGCCTTGTGCAGTGTTGTCCATCCGAGAAAACTCCTAGCCCAATATCTTTTCCGTGCTTCATGGTTCTTTATGAACTCTGAGTAGTAAATTGGACGATATGTCTTATTGACCCGATACGTGCCGTTTGTGCCCCGATAGTCTGCCAGGCCACTGGCGACAGATATTCCAGCTCCTGTGAGCACTAATGTAGACGCCGGCACACCTCTCGAGGTTGGCGCCGTGAAGAATTCCTGCAATGCCGCAACGGCACCGCTCAGCGTGTTCGCACTTCTGGGCGTGACGGTTGGTGCTGCCAGGGGATCCGTGTAAGGGATACGCATATATGGTTTGCGCAACATGGGAAAATGTCACACTGCCGTTTTTGGACGGTCTCTTTCTTCCAGCCCCTTAACTCTGGTTTCACGGCATATGACTGCCGAGTGGCTACTTGGTTGGCTACAACGGTTGATTAGACTTCCAAGGGTCGTTATTGTGATACTCTCGACTTGCATGGGTGAACGCAAACCACAATGCAATGCTTTCAAAGTGCAAGTCGTCACCACTGGCGCTAGTCTTGTCATGCTCGTCTCAAAGTGATTGCGGGACGCTAATCCTCAGTCGGTTGGGCCCGGTACCCGGTATTAAGCTTACAGCTCACGCATGGCCTCTCTTTCACGCTTGATCGGTTGCCACACATGATGCTTTGCAGAGTAAAGGATTCCCCCCAAGTCCAATGGAACCTTTCACTCCCCTTGTTTATTTAGAGAACAGACATGGAGTCTCACGTCTAGGACGTATCAAGCCAGTACCGTACGTATTTGTGCTTTTAGCCCACCATAATTATACAGCTCCTCACCGCCGTGAAGTACTGAATACTACTTAAAGGGGTTTAGCGGCTATGATAGATACAACGCGAGGTCGGTAAACATGCTGATTATCCGACCTTGTCTCGCAGGCTAGCCGATTCTTGAGATCCGAGTAAGTATCAGTATCCAGGACAATCAAGTAGTCAGTGGAACGCGTTGCAATGAGTGATTTTCCACAGGCCTCTAACCGCGTTCTCTCTTTTGTTTTCTTTTTCACCATCTCGGTCTCCATCTTCAGTACGGAGAAGAAGCAGGTCTCATCTATCCCGGAGAATTATACTCCTCGAGTCTAATTACAGCAACGCGTACCCTGTCTGCGCCGCCCACAAGCCGTGACCAACGGGCGCACCCGCTTACGTAGCCCAGCTCTGGGCAAGCAATCCAGAATCGCGCGTTTCAAAGCACCCTATCCGATGTCGTCGATATAGATGTGCTAGTCGAGAGACCCCCAGCCCGGCTTACCGATACAGGCACGGGATCTTAGGACGCACCTTGATTTTTAGGATTTGCCCTATCTTTGGGTCTGCATGCGACTATCTTCTTGGAGGTGTAGCACGCGCAGCACGGTTACCTAACATTCGCTTTTGTGAACAGCAGTAGGACTCAAGAGGTACTTGAGCAGACTGGGCCAGCTAATAAAAGCGAAAGGGGAAGGGGATAAAAAGGAAGGGCTCCAAAGCCTCCGCCGCCATGTCTGGCCGACGTTGCGCAGGCCTGAGACTACTGGGGCTGGGCCGCGTAACTCGTTTGCGAAAGGAGTGCCATCCAATTCAGTCGTCCCTCACATCAGCCCTGCACCAGAACTTGCACCGCGGTTACCCCTTGAGGACACCTAACCCCAACTCATTATATTCGTGTCGCGTGCTGCAAACTTCTTCGGTTTCCAATTCCTCAGACTCCAATCCATCCGAATTCCACACTCCCTCGTTACTGGAGACTTACCGCAGACCGAAACACCAGCGTTCATTCCTCATCATGAGCACGACGCAGACCCGCAGCCACGGCGGCCACGGTCACCACCACCATCACGACAACAGCTATCTGACTTCGCAGAACAAGAACGATGCAGGTGTTCGCATCACTCGGCTGGGCCTCTATTCTAACCTTGGCATGGCAATTGCCAAGGGCATTGGCGGCTATGTCTTCAACTCCAAGGCAATGGTGGCAGATGCCATTCACAGCGTCACTGATCTTGCGTCCGACATCCTCACCCTGGCAACACTCTCCTTCAGCTTGAAGCCTCCCACGGATAAGTACCCGACCGGGTTCGGCAAGATCGAGAGCCTGGGTTCGCTTGGAGTCTCCGGCATGCTTCTAATTGGTGGAGTCTGGATGGGCTACGGCAGCTTGTTGACTCTCTACGGCCACTTCTTCCTGGATCCTGCTGCAGCTGCAGAGTTGATGGAGCACGCCCATTCCCACGCACACGGTCACGACCACGGCAGCACCGACATTGTCCCCAGCCTGCACGCCGCTTGGCTCGCTGCAGGAACCGTCGCGATCAAGGAATGGCTATACCATGCTAGTATGTCTTTGAACCTTACATTGCTTGCAGCCATTGGGAACACGTCGACTAACTGATACACTCCTTTAGCCATGAAGGTCGCCAAAGAGCGCAAGTCTTCTGTCCTCGCATCCAACGCCGTCCACCACCGAATCGATAGTCTTACCGGCATTGTTACGCTCGCCGTCATCCTCGGTGCAAACATTGTTGAGAACGCAGCATGGCTGGATCCCGTCGGCGGCTTCCTCATCTCGCTTATGGTGGTCAAGGCTGGAGCTGAGAACACAATCTCCGCCCTTTCTGAACTGGCCGACAAGGGCATCGACGACGAAGTCAAGACTTCGGTCCGCAAGCACCTGCGCACTACGTTTGCCGATATTCCCGAGGGCCACCAGATCGAGCTACGAGATGTCTCTGGTGTCAAGTCCGGTCAGAACTACTTGGTCGACGTCGAAGTTGCTGTGCCCAACGCCTGGACTGTTGAACGAGCTAGAAGCATCGAAGAACAAATCCGCACCCGCGTTGGTAGCAAGGTCCGCGGCACTCGTAGAGTCCGCGTGCGCTTCGTGCCGAGTGCTGCTGCCGTTGCGCCCAAGTTTGACGAGTTCATCCCGGGCGATGTCAGCCCGCAGTCTAGCCCTGAGCCCGAAGGCCACGACCACGACCACGACCACGGTAATGGACACAACAAGTCCCACTAATTGCGGACGTCCTAGTCTCAGTCCTATTGCACATACTTGTTTTGGCGTTGAAAGGGAAATCCCATGGATACTTGTTCTTGACATAAAAGGCGGCGGCCATGATACCACTGAGCGGAAGGCTGGGGGAAGCTGAGCCCGTTAGATTTGGAAGCTTGTGTATGTACACTATTTGTACTTTGTCTTCCATTTCAGAGAAACTTGCATTAGACGGCGTTGGGGGATAGTCTGCTATATAGCATGCAGCATTCACATCCGAAGGGAGGATTTTGTGCACCGGCTTGTGAAGATTGACGAGCAGGTCATACGAAACAAAATAAACCAAAAAACCAACAACAAAGAATCATTCTGAATCATTGATTTGTATCTGGGTACGTGTTCCAAGGCACCCTTAGAAGCGAGCGAATCCTAGCGACTGTGAATTACTGTGACTCGGCATTCTACCTGAGCTCGCCTCCGAGCCCTGACAAGCTGGACCTCACGATACTCGACGAACAGCCATGAATTTCGGGACCTTATTGGAGCGCTTCTGTTTAGCCTAATTGCCCCTCGCAGCAAGGCTGATTGACATGCCGCCCCGCTATATACTCCGTACTTTGAGCTCAACCCCACGTCACTGCGTCAGGGTCCGACATGCGCTTCTCCAGCAGTGTGGCACTACTACCGGGTCTTCCTCCGAACATTTCTCGAACATGTTTTCTCCTGCTCACCTCAGTGCCTTTGAATTGGTGACAGACTAGGAAGAAAAAAAACCATAGCCACGGAACGAAACTCACTCGAGGCCAACAGGAAATCATGGCCCCCGGACCACTATACCTAGGTTTCGACCTGTCGACGCAGCAGCTTAAAGGTATGCTATAGGTTAATACTCCCCCCACAACTTAATCACCCTGCACACCAGACCGGCGCCCTGTACGACCGAACTCCCCACCTCAAGGTCGTCGCCCTTTTCACTGACAAGAACCCTTCCCCAACGCACAGCGATCGTAGTATCCTCGGACCTCAAGGTCGTCTCGGAGGCCAAGGTCGACTTCGACGCCGACTTCGCGGCCAAGTACCAGATCAAGAAGGGCGTCCTGACCAACGAGGATGAGGGTGAGGTCTTCGCGCCCGTCGCCATGTGGCTCGAGGCCGTCGACCTGGTCCTCGCCCGCCTGAAGGCGAACAAGTGCCCCGTCGAGAACATCAAGGGGGTCTCGGGCTCGTGCCAGCAGCACGGCAGCGTCTTCTGGAACGCCCGGGGCGAGGAGGCCCTGGGGAGGCTGGACGGCGGGAAGAGCTTGCACGACCAGCTGGCGGATGTGTTTGCCTACGAGTACGGCCCGAACTGGCAGGACCACAGCACACAGGCCGAGTGCGACCTGTTTGATCGGCATCTCGGCAGTGCGGAGAAGTTGGCGGATGTCACTGGAAGTTCGGCGCATCATGTAGGTTTGCGACCACGCAAGTTCCCCAAGTAAGGCTGAGGAAGAACGGTCGCTGACGTTGGCAATTAGCGATTCACAGGAGCACAGATCATGCGTATGCGAAGGAAGAGACCAGAGGTCTACTCCAAGACCGCGCGGATCTCACTCGTCTCCTCTTTCCTTGCGTCCGTCCTGCATGGTGCAATCGCTCCCCTAGATATTGGCGACGTTACAGGAATGAACCTGTGGGACATCAGGAACGAGAAGTGGGACGATTCCTTACTTGAGCTTACAGCCGGCGACAAGGGAGCGGCTTCCGAGCTGCGCAATAAGCTTGGAGAGGTACGGCAAGACGGCGGTGGTAGCATCGGTGCTATTTCGTCCTATTTCGTGTCCAAGTACGGCTTCAGCAAGGACTGTCAGATCGCACCCTTCACAGGTGACAACCCGGCCACCATTCTTGCCTTGCCGCTTCGGCCCCACGATGCGATTGTCTCGCTGGGTACATCGACAACTTTCCTCATGGTTACGCCGACATACAAGCCAGATCCTTCTTATCATTTCATGAACCACCCAGCAAACCCGGGCCACTACATGTTCATGCTGTGTTACAAGAATGGTGGCCTCGCGCGCGAAAAAGTACGCGATGCAGTTGCAGGTCCCAAAGATCCAAGCGATCCATGGGCGCCTTTCAACAAGCACGTGCTCGACACACCTCCCCTGGGCTCAACATCCGAATCCGGCGACCGCGCAAGGCTCGGCCTCTACTTCCCGCTCCCGGAGATCGTGCCCAACATCAAGGCGGGCACCTGGCGATACAGCGCAAGGGCGGACGGTTCAGACCTGCAGCAAGAGAAGGAGGCATGGGACGCGGCTCTCGACCCGAGGATCATCGTCGAGTCGCAGGCTCTGTCCATGCGCCTGCGCTCGCAAAAGCTCGTCTCCAGCCCCGGCGACGGCTTGCCCGCGCAGCCGCGCCGCATCTACCTCGTCGGCGGCGGTTCTCTCAACCCGGCCATCCAGCGTGTCGTCGGCGACGTTCTGGGCGGTGTAGACGGCGTCTACAAGCTGGATGTCGGCGGGAACGCCTGCGCCCTGGGTGGTGCGTACAAGGCTGTCTGGGCGCTTGAGAGGAGCGAGGGCGAGAGCTTCGATGAGCTCATCGGCAAGAGATGGACGGAGGAGGGCGCGATCGAGAGAGTCGACCAGGGCTACAAGAAGGGTGTCTTTGAGAAGTACGGAAGTGTGCTGGGAGCATTTGGGAACATGGAGGCCGAGATCCTCAAGGTTGCTCACAACTAGGCGCGGCTTCGCGGATCATTAAGACTACATTAGACCAAATACAGAAAGAACAAAACTCAACCTAAAACGAACCTCAGAACGAGGATTGGAGATACAGGTGCAGTGGACTCAAGTCAGTCATTGGAGAGCTGCGCATGTCATTGCCCATAAATCCTGGCCCTGAGCAGCTTTGACAGGTACTTGGCCTACATGTAATATGCTCGAAGGTAAAACAAATCGTAGATCTATCATGTTTAATTCGAGTATCCCATAGTAGAGCTCCGAGGGGGCTCACAGCGCCGGGGGGGCTTACAGACATGCACTAATCGCTCGCGGTGGAGCCCTGTGCCATTGTCCCCCGGGCTCTCCCTGGGTGACAAAGTCCTCGACGTCACCACCAAGCCAACTTTCTATGCGAGTCGCAAGCTATCTTGCAATTGTCGAATGTTTCAAAAGGAAACAAGGGGAGGGGGAAAAAAAACACGTGCTTCATAGAATCATTCAATCGCGTATATTGCGCATTCATTAACCTGGATTTTTTTTGTTCTTCTTGAATACGGACTGTCGCATAGTTTCCCCTTCTTGTTGAATTTGAACCAATCTCTGACGGAGTACTTGCCAATCAGCTATGTGCTTTATCGACCACTACCGCTGTTCAATATGATCCTGGGTCCTATATCCTACCTGGACTGCATCGTCTTCTGCGTCTTCCTTGCGCCGCAGCTGCTCATACACGTCGGACTGTTCGAGACCGTAGGGGTTGCGTTGCAGTGTCTCCCTTTCCTTCGTAAGCTGGCCAACCAATCCCCAATTGGCCCGAAAAGAAAAAAAAATTCACCTATTCTGTGGCATCTGACATGTAGCGAATAGTGCTCAAACTCCCCTACGAGTTCATTCGCGAGCGCTTCTTCGCGGACCCCTCAAAGCAGAGCCCCTTTGTGCAGGTAGCGAGCCCTTTCGAGGATTTCGTGATCCGCTGCGTGCGGTATGCGTTTGCAAACGTGCCGCCCAAGGTCGGCAGGGTGTTCTTCTCGAAGCCGGTGGCGTTGCCGTTTCTAAGGTTTCGGATGCTAAGGCATGGTTTTCTGCGGAAGCCGGTACATTGGCGCGAGCACGTTGATGTGAGTCTGCCTTGCTCCCCCCAAGGGTGTACGATCTTGTAGGATACGAGGCTGATGGGCTGCAGAAACGATTCAAGGGCATCTGGGTTACAAAGGATCCTACCAAGAAACCGGATGTTTGTATCTACTATGCGCATGGTGAGAGCGTCTTCGACTAGCCAATGCGAGGATCCGAGCTAATGTGTGAGCAGGTGGTGGGTTCAGCATGGGATCTTCATACTTCTATCTAGAATTCCTACTGGCCTGGCTGACGTTGCTGGGCGATAGCGGTTTCAGCAACCCGGCGGTCTTTGCTCTGGAATACACGTTAGTGCCAGATGACACGTTCCCGAAGCAAATGCACGAAGCCATCGCCGGCTATGACCACGTGGTATCCATGGTGGGCGACGCATCTAAGATCTGCGTCAGCGGCGACAGTGCGGGCGCAACCGTGCTCTTGAGTTTGCTTCTGCATATAGCAGATCGGGGGTGCGACAGAGAGAAGATGGACGAGAGCAGTGCTTGGAAGCTTCCCAAACCCGGAATGGCTGCCTTCATCTCGCCGTGGGTCACGCTCGTCTCAAACAGGCGCAAGAATACAGCAAGCGACTACCTCGACGCCGGGAGCCTGCACCAGTATGCACGAGAATATGTGGGTAAGCAATCGAGGGCAGATGACCCGTTGATATCACCGGGTAACTGCAGGGACCTGTCTTGGTGGAAGAGAGCCTGTCCTGCAGGAGGCATGTTTTTCGCATACGGTGCTGAAGAGGTGTTTGCACCAGAGATTGAGAATCTTCTGAAATTCTTGGAGAAGAACAAGATCCACGTTGCTAGCAGAGAAGAGCCCGGCGGCATTCATGCTTGGCCAGTTGCAGCGCTATTCTTGGCGAGCTCAACTGAAGACAGACAGAGGGGATTGAGAAGTATTGTACGATACGTTAAAGATAACATACCGTCGTAGTAGACGGGGCATAGATAAAATAGACGGGATCAGCAACACGTGCACAGCGTTTTGTCATGTCAGATTAGATCAAGTAACGGATCATCGATCGGGTGGAAACGAATAAGGAACCATAGCGTGTACTGATGTAAACACTCGGCTTCTAGTCCGTCCATGCATATGATCTCCCAATTAAAGCTCTTTGATACGTCTGTCATCATCCATGACGAGGTTGCAGGTGGTTCCGAATATGCGCGGAAAGCTTCAACAGACACTTGTCCAGAAGGCTGTGATTGAAAAGGAGAAGCAAACGGGACTTTCCTCAAGCCTGAACCATACTGTGATAAATCATCGAGCACAGATGAGGCAGAAGACGCAGAAGACATATCATATGCAATGCAACTATAGCTGCAGTGGTGATACTACATTCCTTTACACTGCAGCAGGCAGTAGACAAACTCTACTTGTAGCCAGGAGAGGGAGAGCTTTCTTCAGCTCATGCATGTTAAGCACGTCTAAGCTAGAGCTTACTCACTAGCGCGTCGAGTGCCGGGGGCCTAGAAGAACGGGTGGTGACAGAAGCAAATTGACTCTCGGTTCGGCGGGCTAGCCCGGGGGTAAAGCGAGGATGTGACGCGAGGCAGACAGGTTCGGCGTTGCTTGGTGGCGAGCCTGATACATCGTGTCGTTGTTGTCGATGGTTGCGATGACGATGGACTAGGTATGATGATGGCGATGGTGATGGTGATGATGATGAAGCTACCGCTGTGGACAGTTTGAGCCGGGCGATTTTTTTGTTGAAAAGAAGCGTGGGGTGGATGGAGGATCCAGTGATCTGCATTTGAGCCTTGAGGAAATATTCGGGTGGCTGTGCTGGCATCCTGCCTCGAAATGAGAAAAGCTCACTAAGGTGCATCCCCGACCCCTGAACGTTTTGGTCCAAGTCTGTTGGACTGGATATTTAAAAAAGCTCAAGCGCCGCCCAGCGGCCACTGTAGAGCTCGGAAGGCCAGGAAGAAAGAAAGAAAGAAAAAAACGCTCGGGCTTTCCGTTCTGAAGCGTCCAAATTGACAACCCCACCAAGCCTCGACCCTCGACCCTCGACCTTCGAATTTGTTCGCATGACCCCAGCCCAACACACGGCTTTTGATTGATCCGGCGCGAGCTCAAAGCACTCACTCGCCTAATGAGAAGTTCGCAAGCTGACAGGATTGATTGTCGAGACCCGATCACAGCTGTCGCATCACGACCCCACCACACCCGACCATTGTAGCCTGCCTGGCTGCCCAGGTCGGTTCCAACAGTAACTGTGCGTGAACTGCCTCCTGCCTAAGCCCTTTTCCCAAGAACCCCAAGGGCGGCGGAAAGCATCAGGACTTACCCCGGGTTCGGATCTGCGGTTTCGTCCATCCGAACATCAAAGCTTGATCCTGTTAACAAGCATTTATGCACTTGCATTGAGGCTGCATAGAGAAAGTCTGTCGAGAGTCTCGTTCGCTTCTCGAAGCTATCGAGCAAGTCCTTGCATTAGCCCCTCCATCGATAAACACCCTTGTCACCATCTACCTAAGGTTGTGCAGCGCTGGTATCTATCAAGCCACAAGCTTAGTACGTACCTCAACTGCTGTAAACACCACAGGCGACTGGCAGCGTCTGGAAGGGAGAAGTGTGCAAGTGTGTAGTTGTTGTTGTCTGGGTAGAGAGAGTGCCGATTGTCGCGCTTTGAGACAGTAGCTCAAAGGTCGAAAGCCAGAACCAAAACCAGAAGCACAACCAGAATCAGTCCGAACAAAGAAAATGGCTACCGAGGAAGGCACTTGGGCGCCCAAGTCGCCAGACCTTTCGTCCTTTTTCTCGTCCGGTGGGCCTGATCCAAATACTCCCGCTCCATTCACATCTGCGCCGAATCTCACCTCCGTCCCTCGTCCTGGATCTGGCGCTGGATACTCGAACTCGCCGCCAGTCTACAATAACCCACTTCACGCTCAAGTGCCAGTTCCAGCTCACGCTCACGCTCACGCTCAAGCTCAAGCTCAAGCTCAAGCTCAAGCTCCAGTAGCTGCGCAACATTACGGTCAGCCACAGCCCCACCAGACTTATTCTTCGCCTGCGAACTATAACAACTTGAATTCTTATACCGCTCCCTCGCCCAATTCTTCTCGTCAACAATATTTTCCTCCGCAGCAACCACAGGCACAAGATCCGTTCGCTCAAGTCCCTCAACCCAACTACGTCATATCACAGCCAGCACCAAGTCACTCTGGCCCACAACCTTACTACTCTGCATATGCCGAAACCCCGGCGAGCCACTACCTTCCACCACAACCACCTCAATTTTATAAATCTGAGTTCCCACCCTCCTTCGATCAGCATCTGCCAAACCCCTCAGATCTAGGTAGCCCCATGCCACCGCGAAGAACTGCAGCTGCCCAGGTGGCACAGCAACCAGAGATCATGGAGTCGCCCGTCAAGACAAAGTTCCCGACCGCACGCATCAAGCGCATCATGCAGGCAGATGAAGAGGTCGGCAAGGTCGCACAACAAACCCCCATTGCAGTAGGCAAGGCCCTGGAATTATTCATGGTCCAGATCGTGTCTAAGAGCGCCGATGTGGCCAAGGACAAGAACTCCAAGCGCATCACTGCCCAGATGTTGAAGCAAGCGGTCGAGGTGAACCCTCAGTGGGATTTCTTGCAAGACATTGTCGCCAAGGTCAGCGAGAAGGAGGACAAGGAGCCCAAAAACAAGGCAAAGGCCAACGACAACACCGACAGTGACGATGAAGTGGAAGCCGAGCCGAAAAAGAAGGGTAGGGGTGGCAGAAAGAAGAAGGCTGCCTCGTAGAGGCAAGGCAAGGCAAGGCATGTCAGCGAGACTATATGAAGGATACGATACAAATGGATTCATGATGGTGGACTATCTATGGATAGCTTTGGCGTTCGAGACTTTGCGGCAAGCATATACTGGCGTTTGACGGCAAAGAGCGTGGTGTTTTATTGGTTTGGTTTTCGCATTTAGTATTCCGACAGGTGTATAGGCACTTGTAAGGAAGTCTATACATAGTGTTAAATCAGAGGGTGTTCCATATAGGACACAGAATAGTACTACCGCTTCGCACTACTACATCCTGACAAAGAAAAAGAAAAGAAGGAAGAGAGAAAACAGGCTAGTGGCATGACCTAAGAGGACTACTGGCCCTTCCAAATTGTAACCAACAAAAAACATTCACCCCTTTGCACCAAAATCCGAGTAAGCTATGGCAAGGAACAAAACCTGCCTTGAGGACCGAATAGACGCGGCTAAGAGACTCGGAATGCATGCTAAAGTGGTAAAAATTGGCTTCGACCCCTGTCTTTCATGTTTATATTATAGAATGAATAGCCCGTTACGCCTTATACCCCTCGGGAGGTTAAAATAGCTACACATGCACCCATCACCTCAACATTAAATGAATCTAACTGCCTGACTAACATCTTGACCAAGTACAACGTTGTTATATACGTGACGATGAGCCATTGCTCATTTAGAAGGCAGTCTTGGTGGTAAGCTCTTCCACGAGATCGATTTCCTTAATAGCCACATAGATCTTTCTTATAACCATTCCCCCCGGTACGGATATGTAACGAACATAACTATTTGTGCTTTGAGGCTCGTATTATGGAATTTGGTTAATTTTATTCAGCTCAGTTCACGGTGGGAGACGATCACGTGAGCTGATTGAAGACATAAGTCATGATAAGATTTAGAACTTTTATCACAGAGCTTGATATAGAGTATAAGCCTATGCAAAATTCGGGAAATTGTTTCAGGGTCTAAGGAAAGCACATCTTCGGTCAAATGTATCCAAACATATTAAGTGGTTACTACCACTTTCTAGCACTGGGGTCATTCTTCGCAATCTTCTTGAGCTCCTCAATCCAGTAGTGTACACCATCACTCTCGTCTTCCGATTCTGATTCTGACGATGAAGATACCGTCGTGTCTGCAAGCTCCTCGTTATCCCATCGAACACCCAGAACTAGTGTGGTCGCAAGTTCGTCCTCGCTCATTTTCTGATTTTTCAATTCCAGGACAGCCCTCTCCAATCGCGGTGCCCATTGCGAGGTGAGAAAATCGACGAAACTCAAACCCAGCTCGGGGTAGCTCTTCGCAAACTCTACTTGTAGCGTTTTTAGTAAAACCGTCAAGCGGCTCTCTGAATCCCAGACCTCGGTGATTTCGTTGTCAGACAACTTGCACTCAGCCCCTCCTTGACAACAAGTATGAGTCATCCCCAGGGCTTCGAAAGTGAGCATACGAAAAGCCGATAAGCAGACAGAGTTATGACCTGTCAAATCGACGGAGTATTTCGTGAAATAATCGACAACGCACGAAACGATTGCTTGGGGTGAGTCCGTTCTATTTTTCGACCCGAAACATCGCCAGAGGCCTAAGAAGAGGAGTGAAGCGGGACTACATCCGCTCTCTGTACAGCAGCATCCGCAACAGTCCAATACATCCAGTGATGAGACACGCATGATAAGTGCGGCAAACGCTTCTTTATCCTGGCTTTGCGAATAGTGGCCAAGAGGACCATTCCAAACATCATCGCAGCATAGTATGAGGTGCGCTGCCGTCAAGAGCGAGTTCCGACTCCAACTATACGGCCTCCGACCCAAATTCCAACGCGCTGTGGCGTCCAACGTGGAAAAGTTTGTAGTAGGATCAGCACCGTGGTCCAAAAGCCATAGTGTAAGGTGAATATCCTGAAAAGGTCTGTGAAGTGACCGCATCAGCGGAGTGTACCCTGAACTATCCGCAATGTCGACATCCCGAAATCCCAACTCATAGATCAGGTTTGCCACAATATGGGCCGGTTTATGACCAGAGAACGAGGAGGCAATTCGCCCATACAATGACGCTGCAACTGAAGGCATTTCCGGATGAATCTGATGGTACAAGCCGAAGCCGAGGAATTCAGTTACCTCATAACCATAATTCTTCAAGCACGCTATGACATCAACTGTATAACGATCCAGCACAGTTTCCTTTGATAGTTCGTAGGATTGGATTTCTCGCTCGTTCAAAACTTCCAAGGCTATCCTCTTCAATTGTAGTCGTCTGCTTCTGATTTCTCCCAACAGTCGTTCTCTCACACAGTGTGACGCCCGGATGAAAAAAATCACTAGATTAGTCTGGCCAAAGTGCTGCGACTCCATGCCATCAAGCCAGCTTTCGAGACAACCGTCAATAGAAAGCAGCATATTCAAAGCATCCGAGCAATCACAGCCGGAACAAACACTCCAACGTGATTTGTTTCGACACCGGGCTGAACTATGTAACATAGCATAGTCGATGACGTGACACCGGGAGTTGTCTCGAAGACGTACTAAATTTGCCTCCGAAACACGTAACACACTCTTAAGCATGCGTAAATCTTTTACCGCCAGATGCAAAGGCGTTTGTCCAAGCGCATTGGTCTCAAAGATCGCGGTTTGGTGGGAAAGAATGTAGTCAATTTGCTCGTAGTGATTTGTAATTATTGCCGTACTCAGTGGCCCAGAATCGAATACTTCATCATTACTTAGTCTAATTACAACAAAGTCGGTGGAAAGAAAGGGGCCTTACTTTCAGCATGAGTTCGGTCATTTAGAAGATGTTGTTTCAAAAAATAAGCGTGCCCGTTGTAGCGGAAATTATTTCCACTACTGAAGTACAACTCTGGTGCCTCTTCAAAAAGAAGTCGTAAAGTGCCTATGGCATAGGTTTCGAACTGATTCGCAGCCAGACTCATAGCCGGACTTCTACTTATATGTGCATTAAGACATGAGTGCGATAAATCAAGCGGTGAACTGGCAAAGCCACCTTGATAACAACTCATTAGACTAACTCACCTTCCATTGAAGTCAGGAATATTTGCAGGAATACCTGCTCGTACCAGCTCTGTGGCGAATGAATCCAAAATTCCCACCTGCATCGTTTTTTGAATGCTCTGTGCCATGGAATATGTTTGTACCCACAGGTGTAATATTGACTTTCCGAACTCGTCAACATCGTTGGGCGTTGATCTTTTCTCCTTGTAAATTTGCATTATTGTCTGCAAAGCAGATTGGAGCACACGCGATGCTTCAGCATCGCTCCATTCTGTTGTGAAACAAAGGACATGCTGCAGTAATCTGCAAACCATGAACACAGGCGAAACTTTTGAATCAACCACAGGCCGAAAAGTAATGTTAGGACTTATGCCCCAGGCGCCAGCTCCCGTGGTTATCGCGAAGGTCAGGCGCAAGCCCACGGATAGAATGGAGTTGTGGCCCGCTACGACCAAATCGAACAAACGTGACGTTTGTCTAACACTGTCATTGAAATATTCGCAGGTGGGCGCATGACCGTGGGTCCGTCTCTCTGACCGCATCCAGAAATATCCAAGGCTCCATTGATTCGTAGTATGATCTTTCTGGTGAAGACAAGAACAACGTGGCCGCCTACGGACATCCCCGTAGAATACTTGAGGTATAGAATTGCGAGTACGTTTTCGCAAGCCCGTGGCCGTCCAATTCGGTGGTAACAAGTCATACAACTCCTTCGTCTGGCTTGGCTTGGCCAACAACCGTGACACTGCCGCTCGACGATGACCTGGTTGCCAGTGATCTTTTACGTCAAGTAATCGCTCTGTTTCTGACAAGCCCTGCAACATTCGATTCATAGAAGCAAGGGTGCTGCTCATTTGGGCCAGATTTGGCAGACTACTATCTGTCATTCCGGTTAGGTGATCCATAGCAGTGGTGATCTGCTTTAGGACATCGGCATTGTTCTTGACAATAGTCTTTACTTCGCTCACGTCGTTTCGCTTTGCAACAGTATCGAAACCCTGCCTAATAGTGCTCAACTGAGAAACGACCTTGGGCGCAAACGCCTCGACACCAGATTGGAGGTGACCTACAGTAGTGCTGCTTGCATGTATGGCGGCAGCCGTGGAATTGACTTCTGTAGTCACATCTTCTACAACTGTCCGTAAACCATGGATTTCGAGCAACAGCTGGCCGACCTTGGAATTGAGTTCAGGGATCTGGTCCATATCCGTCTTCACTTCCGATATTTTGCTTCCAATGTCGAGAGAATTGAGCCTGCAAGCTTGCTGTTAACGACGTTCTCAGTGAAACTGAAGCCTGACATACAGATGAAAAGTACTTATAACAGTCTGAAATACATTATTGGTCTTATGCAGCCTCTCCTCCAACATTGCTAAATTATGACGGTTGAAGGGAAATTTCAACAGTTTCATTCGCTCCTTGAACGTCGAGGATGAAGCAGATATGCCCACCAGTTTCTTAACAAAAATGTCCAGCTGGCTCAGTTCCGCCTTGCACTGCTCTAATGAGGAGGACACGGTGTCGACCGCGGAACCTCGGATCAATGCCAATTGTGGTAGCACATCATCCACGACTGCCAGCGACCTTCGCAGGTTCGTCAGCTGTGCCTGTGCCGACTTCAAGTCATCCTTGCGACTCTCGAGCGCCTCGAGGTACGTCGATATACCATTGTAGAGCTGTAAGCCGAGCGATACCAGGCCGGCTGCTGTGCCGACCGCTCCTACTGCGTCACCCATGAAGTCACTTGGTTAGCTAGGCAGCAGGAGACCATCGCTCAATCACCAGGGACGCAGTTGTATACGCCAAAATAGAACCGCAAATAAAAAAGGGGAGCGCAAAACCTGGGCTTGTTCACTACGGTATGGTCTCACGTGTGAGCTTTCGCAAAAGTTCAGGTAATTATAGACTATAAAAGAGAATCAAGATATATTGGATAGGTTCAGATGGAATCAAATGTAAGATAAGAATCTATCATCGTGGTTTCCCACTGTAAGATTGAGTGCCCAATTTTAGGCCCGAAGAAGCCTCGCAGAATGCCTTAGCGAGCCACACTGACTTCATGCACATGGTACGTATCTCTGCATGAGGCTGTGCTGTAGGTGCGACATGCAAAGCTTCATCACGGCATTTCCATGCAGCTTGGAGCAACATATAGTGGTCAGAAGTGCCACATCACTCCCCCCTTTTGGCGTTATATTGGTACCAATCTAGGCAATATGAATAACATCAACAATAGTCTAGCTTTGTGTCAAAACTCCAGGCGCCTTGCAGTAAAATGTCGCAAATCCCAATCCCGTATAATATAACAAATCAAATCCATCATACCCATTCCCGCCCCGTCTGCGGCTGACCTGTTGACGGGAGAGGCGGCGCGTCTTGGACCGAAGGTTTTTGGTAGTAAGGCTTCTGCTCCATCGAATAGTACGGGGCAGCCGGTCTTGGCTCTACCATTTGATACGGGCTGGGTTCCAAGTCTGTCGCGTTATATCTTGGTAGATCTGTTCTCGAATCCGTCGTATTGTATCGCGAAACACTTGGCCCGGGAATTGATGGCTCGCCATAAGCAATCCCTACCACACCCTGTGGCGGCTCTACCGAGTAGCGCGTTGACATATCCTGTCTCACGTCGGGTCTTGTGTCCCACATCGTATTGGCGTTTCCAACACTTCCGCTTCCTGCTGGCTTCATCACTGATTCCGACGTGCTTGTGCTCTCAGTTAAGGCCAACTGTTCCATGCTATAGTTCGCTTGTCTCGTGGCTTGTTCTTGCAACAAAATGTCCTTAGCCTTCTTCATCTTGAACCAAATATATATGCCCATGACAATCGTGACAAGGAACGTTATGACCAGCACAATCGTTTGCGTTCTGTTATTCGCATCCTGGGCCACAAGCAATACACCTAAGTAGACGATGAATATTTGTTTCGGTAGCGTCAGGAAAGTTGCGACGCAAAAATGCCAGAATTTGACATCGCAGGTGGAGAAGACGGCCGTGGAGAAATGCGACGGCACGATCGAAAAGCGGATGATAAACACCATCCAAAAACCACTGTCTCTCGTGACTCTGGCAAGAGCGGCATAGTTAAAATTTGTTCTCTCCAACTTCTCTGCTTTCTTTCGTAAGGCCTTCTTGAACGCGAACCATGTGCCCACTGGATTCATGTCAGTAACCATCTTGTGCAACGTGTCATAACACTCACCTTCGCCGAGAAAAGTGCCGGCGGCGACGATCGCGAATCCGATCCATAACCCATAGACGACACCACATAACAATCCGATGATCTCGTGGCCGAACAAAGGCGGAAACGAGATTATGATAAGAATGACTATCGGGATCAGCCAGCCTGCGGGCACATCGCGAACTTTTTCTGAAAATGGCCGTAGGATCTATAAACCAATCAACATGGTTATACGGAAATATGACTGTGATCTTGTATGACAAACCTCGACGACTTTGTCGTGATATACTGTGATTAAGACCGTGATAATTGTTATAATAATCAGTAGAATCCACCATGCTAGTGGAGCCGATATTAGTTACAAGTCTGTTGAATGATAGTACCAGATCGACTCGGACATACGTATGTATTTCGGCGTCAAGAATAGTTTCTTCCAGTTGATCGACTTATATTCCGTAGGCTCGGCCAGATTTTGGTATGCGCCCTCGGGACGCTCGTCCTTTCTCGCCATCTCGACGTCCTTCATTTCAGACATGTTAATCAATCAGTCCAGTCACACACTTTGGGCGGAAATCGCAATTTTGGGATTGGGTGACAGAGCGACCGAACAGTCGCAAAAGATACGAACAAAGGAAACAGAACAGTCGAACAACAGGAATGATGATAAGAGATATGCTACGAACAATGAATTAGAGAACAAGAAACCCGTTGCTTTGCTTGTCGGATCGGCGACACGGGTACTCTGGAAATAGCGGGGACTGAGGATCTTAGTCCTCTTTGGATGTCAAGATCGCCGTGTTTCATCAACCCCTTTCCTCGACGCGCTCGAATCTTGGCTCAGCCATGCACCGGGAGCGAGAAGATGAAGAAAGCTGCTTAGCCAGCCTAGCGGGTAGGGCAGAAGAGAAAGCGGGCGAAGTCGAGGATATGCAGGCGCCAGTATTTGACCCTTGGAAAGTCCCGGTACGAGAATAGCAATTCGAAGCCAATGAGAAGATGGGATGTTACAAGCATCCAAACCAAAGCGAAACACAGCACCACCACCACCCGTTCTGCTGTCTGCTCAAAACTGCCAAAGCGTGGCTGAGCACTAGACTCTACCGCATTTGTCCAAGGTTGGGAAGCAGACTGTTGGTTGCACAGCGTGGGTTGATGCCTGTTCTCACTATACGAAATGTTGACTGTGGCATTGCTCCGACCCCACCAATTGGCCTGTTCGCCTCGTCTAATCCAACACAAATGCCACTTAATTTCCGGTATTCTTGTGACGTAGGGGCAAAAAAGGTAAAGGCACTGCGTATATGCAATAACTACAGCAATCAATTGGAACATCTGACATGCATTGCAAATGCGCCACTGACAGGATTGAAGAACGAACGTGACTGGTTGACACGGCAGATGGAATTCCTTGGCGGCGATCATTTGCCCCTCGCATCCCGCTAGGCCACTAACTTTAGGGTACTTGTACCTATTAAGGTTACCCATGTCCTCTCTCCTCTCCTTTCTTTAGCGCATTAATAGTGGAATTATCGTAAACCATGCCTAGTGAAATAAACGCTGGGCCGTACTGGAGCAGTGGGCTGGTAGGCTATTCAGACGTCCCCAGCAACCCCAGATGCCACATTCCCACAACGCAAACAGAGTGCGTGTCACGGAACCTGATATCTCCGGCGATGCACCTTTCCGGAACGTCTTGGGACGATTGAGACGAGAATGGTCATTCGACGGATCCACACCGCAAGCCGCCACATCATCGGGCATGATGGGGATGGGCCAAGTCTTGCCAGCTTGCTAAGGTCGCTGACACCAGGCTGAGAGACATCTAACAAATCTAACCTAGTACAGTTCAGGCGATGATCGCTATCATAGCTGTGCTCACCAGAAACATTTTAACATGAAATAACATGTTCGCACTCCTGGGATGTGCCACACTGAACAGGAATATGTTTGTTCCTCGTATTCGAACACGTTACTTTCTAGATACTCGAGTTCCTCGTTCTAGACTAAGTAAATTTTTTGATTGTCTATCGAGGGAGTTTTTCTTAATTGTTTATAAAACTACCGAAGAAATGAGAACTCTATTGTGAACATGGCGGCCGCAGCTTGGTGCAATGTATAATATACTTTGTCTATATAATGGATATGTGTAGTCTGCATACTCTTGAATACTTTGAGCCTTATGTTCAATTTCCGATATTGGCGTTACTTAATCAGTTCAATATTACTTCTTATATCGAAGATGTGTAAGGCCTTGCTCATAAATCATTAATCAGTTAAAACCCCAATGCTTCCCTATTTCGCACCATCTAGAAGCGAGCCTGGCCATTCGCAAGCTTGATGGCCGGCTGAAGTTTTCTGATTTGTGGACTGTTGTTTTTAATCCATGAAACCTCCCAGCTTGGGTGGTTGTTTGCATTAAGTGGAGTTACTTCAGTTACATCACTCCACAGATTATAAGACCCTAGACCACGGGGTGTTTTATGTACCAAAGCTGCGCATGCGCGGAACAAGAGGCATTTAGCATTGCTGACCTACTGGAAGTCTTATTTCCGGTTCCATACGGGACCACAAACTTCGAATTTAAAAGAGTTTCGAAGATACATGTTTGTCCATTGCGTCTCCCACCCTCGAATCTACTGTATGTGAACATCAAGGATCCTGGGATGGACATCTATCGATGGCAGGCATTCCAGTCAGGCGGTGATCGTTAATATTCCACTGACTCTCCGTATCCGTTAACATGCGTGCTGTGGGGTGTTTCGCACCTACGTGATTCTGTATCAAACCACACGTTTCGTGCATCGGCTCCCACTACCTCCCACCAAGAGCAAATCAGGGTCTCGACACCTTGTCTTATCGGGGAGTGTCCTTCACAACTTCAAGCTCTTCGAGACACTAAGATACTCCCTGCGTTTATATCATCCCCAAGGCCTCACCCACTGCTCAACTGTCGAGTAAATCAACCTCAGTATATTCACCGGTGCTAAAGAGCTTGTGCAGTGTGCGCAGCTTTTGTCTGTCACTTGTAACCAAATGCAATCCAAATCCTACATAACGTCTTCGCTGAGCTTCCGAGGTCAACATAAGCAACAGGTGAACGAGGTTGGTGTCGTTATAACCAAAGACTATAGAGTCATTGGTCGCTGATGTGCACACCCAATAACGGCCATAATTGCCCTGGTTGTTCGTTGCAATACGTCTACATGGGCACCAAGAACCTTCCCTTGCCTTCAATAAAACAAAGTGGTGCTCTGTCCGATGAACGGGATATCAGGTGGCCTTGAAGGCGGATAGGGTAATGAAGCCATTCCTGGAATTGATCCAATCGTATTCCAGTTCAACAGCACAAATTAACCGCTCATAGTCTATGGCCAAGTTTTGTGACTCCTGGCAGGCATGAAGAATTATCGACTGGTTCTTGTCCAGTACAGACCAGCTGATGTGAACTGGTAGTAATATCATCTCCCAGATCTTCCATCTAATCTCCGTGGACCATTGACGATTTGGTAAAGGCTGTCGGCATGTTGCTTTTCAAATTCGAAGTTGCTCTTGGCACCAGTCTTCGAGGTCGACTCCATGGTGTTCTGTGTGTTACAATTACATCTGGAGCGGGAAGAAACCCTATCGTTTGCGGATTGTTTACTATTGCAAGTAGCCAACGATCAGCTTACAACCCAATCATGACGACCAAGCGAAGCTCTCTGTAACTGCTCGTGCTCGTTCTCTCGCCGACTCCCCCGAGCTATTTCGTCGCAGCATGGCTTGTACAATTTTATTAGTAACGTCCGATTAGGAAAAAAAATTAAAAAGTTTTACTTATGAGTTTGTGAACGACCTGAACGCCGGCCTTTCGTTGATGACGCTAACATAACATGACATGACTTCAGTAAAAAGGATGGCGATTCCGGAGCAATATAGACCTCGGTAATATCCAGTTCCACTGAGATAGGACATACGCAGCGGCAGTCGGCCTTCCATATTACGGAGCACGTCGATATGCATCTCTGGCAGTACCAAGAGAATGGATATTCAATCAGTACGTGTACATGATGTGTGGAGGCATGCGCGATGGACTGTTGTCCCAGGGGACTTCCAAATGGCGTATTCACGAGAGTAGGCATCTAAGCCATGATAGTTGTGCTTAATTGAATGTTTTTATTATTACGAAGTATGTACATGCCAACGAGAAGTCTCATGTGGCATGTGATGTATATGGAGTGTATGGATATTGAGTAACAAGTATACTCAGGCCTCAGAATTTTCAGTGTGAATAAACTCCCAGGAGGGTTGTACCTCATCGAGAAAAGATGTAAAGTAATCATCATTGGCCATTCGGAAAGAGAAAGAAACTCTCGAGTTATGATGAACTTTCACCAGAAGGGAACCCGAGATAGATAGATGTATATCCCGAAGCAGAAATGCAATCACCACGTCCATGCATTTGTTGAATGTCTAAACGGGAGCTGGCGAAAACCGAAAGGACAGCCCGAGGGTGAAAATTCACCATCGGTCCTGATAATCTGGAGCCTTTCCATCAACGCCGTACGGAGGCACAAGACTATGCGTTTGTGCCAAACCAACATCTGTAACTATCCATAGGCTGGAGCTGTGCGACAGATGCAGGAAAACACAGTAGTACCGCGACGGCTACGTGGCTGAAGGTAGTCGTATTTCATCTGTCCCGACGTGCGTCGACATTCGCAAGGTGCTGCGTGACTTGCAGCAGTGGTTTTTGTTGAACCTAACACGAGGAAGAAAAGTCTGCTAAAGTCTAGGAGGCCATCCATCCATAGATTTCCAAAGTTCGGCTAGGGAGCGGGTCACGTGGCCTGAGCTCTGGCCACCCACACTTTTTGACGGCACTTTCCCTTTTTCAGTGAGCAACCCTAATCACTTACCAAAGTCCCACCCTGCAGAAATATCCAGCCAATTTTCTCTCTCTTCCCCAAGATCTGAACTTCACGATCCCAGGAATCGACATCTAAGGCAACATCAAGTCAACGGTTGCCCATCATGTCGTTGGTCTCCGGAGAGAAGACGAACTTCCAGTTCGTAAGTCAGCCCTGCCTTCCAATCCCCGAGTCCCCAAAAATCAATACCGCCTACCCGCAAAACGGCGACGGTTTCCCCGCGACGACTGCGCATTTGCACGATAGCGAAGAGAATGCTTGGAACCAATTGGCTAACCGGGTTGAATAGATCTTGCGTCTCCTTAACACGAACGTTAAGGGTGAAGAGAAGGTCATGTACGCATTGACCCGTATAAAGGGTGTCGGTCGTCGTTACTCCAACTTGGTCTGCAAGAAGGCTGATGTCGACTTGAACAAGCGGTATGCACTACAAGAACAGCAACGAGACAGATGTGCGGATAGAGATGCTAACTGTGTTATTAGTGCCGGTGAACTCACATCTGAAGAGCTCGAGCGTATTGTTACCATCATTCAAAACCCTACCCAGTACAAGATCCCCGCCTGGTTCCTCAACAGACAGCGCGACATCGTCGACGGCAAGGACTACCAAGTCCTGGCCAACAACGTCGACTCCAAGCTCCGTGACGATCTCGAGCGCCTCAAGAAGATCCGCGCTCACCGTGGTCTCCGTCACTACTGGGGTCTCCGTGTACGCGGTCAGCACACCAAGACTACTGGCCGTCGCGGTAGGACTGTCGGTGTCTCCAAGAAGAAGGGTGGTTAAACGTCTGGAGGCAGTGGGGGAGTGGTTTCATTGGTTCTGGTCATCATTGCAGATCGGATTGGCGTGAAGGCTGGACATGGAATTACGCATCAACGAGAAAAAACGTCATGGTCATTTGCTTTTGCCAAGGGTTTTCGGCATCATGGATGTACTCTACACGAATGAATGAAGAGACATCTTCCTGAAATGATTTGACTTTTCTCCTGGGTCAATGAGGTGATGAGTTCATGACATGAGACATGAATCTAAACGTGCTAAAGTACTCAGGATACAATGTTTCGAGAAAAGTGGCCGTTCTCTAGCCCGTGAATGTGATATATTGCCATTCCGACAACATTTTATGTTCGTCACCCCCGTGGTCTATCAATGCCGTACTCCCTGCCATGCTCTAATAGGATTGAAACTAGAAATCTTGGGCAACGTCATCCTTGAGGTCAACAGACGACGTCAATATCTCGACTCTGCCCTGCCCCTTGGTTTCATTGCTCAGAAAGTCAGACAGACCTTTGTAGGCGCCAGGCTCGGCATAGCCCACCACCTCCCATTCCGAACCCAACACGTCCTGACTCTGTACTTGTTCAATATAGCTCAAGATTGTGTCCTTGACGGTTCCTCGTGCCACCTTCGGCTCGCCATCGCCTTCTGCTGCTTTCGGTGCCTTGACGACCTGCTTGAGGACGTTCGTGGAACATGTGACCCGCAACTCCATTCTCGATCTTTTCCACAGTTTGGGATCATGGTCGATGAGAACTTTCATGGCTTCCAGGGCTTGACTCTTTGCGCTCTTGGTCGTTACGACGCCAGTCCAGTTGTGTCGCTTGGTCTTCGCCCTGACCGCCTCGCCCTCTTCACCCGTAGCTGGCGTCGCGGTGCCGCTGGCGGTGGCACTCTTGTCGCCCTGTTGCTGATGCGCCGCCTGGCTCAGCTCGTCCAATGTCTTTGCGATGAAGGTGGTAGTGTGCAGTGTCTTTGTTTGTGGGTTGATGAGTTTACTGGCGACTATCGATATGACCTCGTGCTTCACCCTTTCCAGTTCTGCATCTCTCTCTTTCTCGCCCACTTGAATTTCGCCCTTGTTCAGTATTTCGAGAATGATTTCGTTCACAGGCTTGTCCTTGCCGAATGCCTTTGCCAGGTCGGTTTTCGGTGCCGTCTGTCCCTTACTGACATTGATGAAGACATTGGGGATCTGCAGAACCTCGTCTGTGTCGGTCTCGATGCCTTTGCGCCATTCGAGGATCTTGTTCTTGTAGCATGCGATCTCAAAACGCTTCTTGCCCTTCTTCAGTCGCACAACTGAGACATTTGTGAGTTTGATCTGGTTGCTGGGCTGGTTGATCTGTCGCGACATTTGAACGGATATTTGTGGTACGATAGAGGGGTTGTGAGAAAAAAAAAAAGTTTTACTTGGGATCAAAAAGTGATTTGTTTTCTTGTTTGTGAGTCTTATCCTGCCCGCAATTCTAAGACATACGAAATATTTCGCACTGCGGTGACGTGGGGCAATAGGCGAGCGGATTTGCGATCCAGGTGCGGGACAGCTCAACCCAACCTAGCGGCGCTTGCTACCAGTGTCAGTGTTTCTTTTCCTTGCACAACGTGCCTGCGTGCGACGGATCTGTAACTGCTGTATGTATTACTTTACTGTAGACACAAGCACTGGCCTTTGACGAACCGCTGCTACAATGGACACTACTGATCAAACACTCGCGGGGACATGCTGGCACGACGATGAATCATCCTGCATCATACTGGCTCGCAGTCATATCTGAATATCAAGATCAAGGCAAACCTTGCTGCAGAATGTCTCGTTATGTAGGAGCAAATGCAGGAACCGTTGGCGTTCAATATGGCATGCTAGATACATGGATAGATTACGGAGAAGCTCGTGACCGAAATGGCCGGGGCGTGCACACGCTTTGGGAGCCGAGATCTCCAGACGAGTCATTCGGACCTCAGTTGACCTATGACGCTTATCAGACCAGGCCCCGCCTCTATCGTTGTGCTGGCAGTGGAGATAGCTTGATCTACTCCGAATGCGGCAGGTAGACTCTTAGCAAGAAGACCCTTGAGGGAGGCGCAGCGCACCGCCAAACCCCAGCATCCTCATGTTACTGAGCAACTTATGCCAGGCACCATCGGCTTAAAGCTCGAGCCTGGTTGTCAGGGCAGCTTCATCCCGAAGCTCCTTGCCCCAGTGCGCCTTCGCACCCTCAAGGTCGTTTCAAGCCATCTTCCCCAGACAGCTCTCTCCTCCTCTCTTCATATCCTCCTTCATCATTCATCCATCATCATCTTCTCCTCCGAACCCCCAGATCCATCGGTATCGTATTGATATCGTATCTGGTCGCGCCTCCATCACCTGTGCCTCGACGGTTACAGCTTCTCTTATCTCCCAGCTCCGTATCTTATCATCGTCACCATGAGAGTAGCGACCTCAACGCTACTGCTCGGCGCAGGCTCCGTTGCTGTAGCTCAGCATGCGCAGATCGTTCTTGGAGGCGTCCAGGATGCCGTCAAGCCTATCTTTGGCTCTGCTTCGGGCTCCGCCAAGTCTACCCTCGAGAAGATCGAGGAGACTCTGGGCAAGATCCCTGAGGACGCCAAAGGCCTCTGGGATGAGATGCAGCTCCTGGTCCCCGGCTTTATGGAGAAGGCCCAGCACATGATTTCTACTCCCAAGCCTCACACCCGCAAGCCCGACAGCGAGTGGGATCATGTCGTCAAGGGTGCTGACATTCAGAGCATGTGGACCAAGACTAACGGCGAGGAACACCGCGTTATCGACGGCTCCCTCGAGGCATATAACCTGCGGGCTAAGAACGTTGACCCTTCAGCTCTTGGTGTCGACAAGGTCAAGCAGTACAGTGGTTACCTCGACGACGAGGCTAACGACAAGCACTTGTTCTACTGTGAGTTTTCCCCGGCCGTCAGCAGTTATATTCTCTCTGGCATGCTAATTTTACTTGTGCAGGGTTCTTCGAGTCCCGAAACGACCCCAAGAACGACCCCGTTGTTCTTTGGCTGAACGGTGGCCCTGGTTGCTCTTCCATGATGGGTCTCTTCATGGAGTTGGGCCCTTCCAGCGTCGACTCCAAGCTCAAGCTCAAGTTTAACGATTTCTCGTGGAATGCAAACGCCTCGGTCATCTTCATTGACCAGCCTGTCAACACCGGTTACTCTTACAGCGGCAGATCTGTCTCCGATACCGTCGCGGCCAGCAAGGACATCTATGCTCTTCTCTCCCTGTTCTTCCACAACTTCCCCCAGTACGGCAAGCAACCTTTCCACATTGCTGGCGAATCTTACGCCGGTCACTACATTCCTGTCTTCGCATCTGAGATCCTCTCCCACAAGAACCGCAACATCAACCTCCAGAGTATCGCCATCGGCAATGGTCTGACCGACCCCAAAACTCAATACGCTGAGTATCGCCCTATGGCTTGTGGTGATGACGGCAGCAACTATGGCCCAGTTCTCGACGAGGCTGAGTGTCAGTCCATGGATAACGCTCTTCCTCGATGCCAGTCTCTCATCCAGAACTGCTACGACTCCGGCAGTGCTTGGTCATGTGTCCCCAGCGCCATTTACTGTAACAATGCCATGATTGGACCGTTCCAGCGTTCTGGCTACAATGTCTACGATATCCGTGAGAAGTGCAAGGACCAGGCTAACCTGTGCTACACCGAAACTTCATGGATCGCTCAATACCTCAACAAGCCCGAAGTCATGAAGGCTGTCGGCGCTGAGGTCAATGACTATGAGAGCTGCAACACCGACGTCAACCGTGCTTTCCTCTTCAACGGAGATTGGTCGAAGCCTTTCCACCTGCTCGTTCCCGATATCATCAAGCAGATTCCCGTCTTGATCTACGCTGGTGATGCTGACTATATCTGCAACTGGCTCGGCAACAAGGCGTGGACTGAGGAGCTTGTCTGGAACGGCAAGGAGAAGTACAACCAGGCTAAGCTGTCTCCTCTTGAGGTTAGCGACAAGAAGTATGGTGAGGTCAAGTCCAGCGGCAACCTTACGTTTATGCGAATCTACGAAGCCGGCCACATGGTTCCGTTCAACCAGCCCGAGGGCTCATTGGACTTCTTCAACCGATGGATTGCCGGCGAGTGGTACGCTTAGATAGGAGCGCGAGTAGTATGGTGATATATAAGGCTTAGTTAGTCTTCATACTTGCAGGAGTACACGGTTTGATTCAATGGTTTTTATCAGCTGCATCGTTTGTCTGGATTTGGAGCTGGATATGTTTGTACTTGTGTCATCTGGATGTAAACTACAGAATAGAAGCAATGTCTAATCTGACGAAATGTGTTTTAATGCAAGCTCTGTGAGGTGACCGACAAATCCGGTGAACCTCGTTCGAACCTGAACCTTGTTTTCGAAAATAGTACCCATCAATTGAGTGATTCTGGTACAACCACACAGGCCTTTTTTCTTTCTTTCTCTTGTTCTTTTCTCTCTCTCCTCTACCGTCGCTTTGGTGTGTCCGGGAATGCCTCAACGGTCAAGGCTCCATTCCAGCGGGGTTGAGGACTACACGGTATAGCAAATGTAAGATCATTCTACAGAGATGTGACAACAAGAAATTGCAGAAGTCTCCACGCTAGAAGCCAGGAGGGTCCGCACTCAATGAATGTTGTAAGAAATTTGTTCTTGTCTTATACGCTCAAAGCAGAGGGTATCCGGCTCAAGATCAGTCGTGGAAGCAGACGAAGGCTGACCGAGCATGGCAGAAGACGGTTTATCAGTTCAAGTCGTAAAGAGTTTTGCACCTCTCTTGCAACTATCGTTTGACACTCACTTGCCGGGACCCGGCATCCTTACCTTTTACGGCTGAATCAGATGAGGCACAGCTGCGGTTGAGTGTCTAGAGCTCGATCCAAAAGATCCTCTGATCTCTTGGCGGCGGTTGTGTGCGTGCCGTTGTAGCCGAGTTCTGTAACGCCATCGGAAAGGCCATTTGTCTTAATGTAAGCGTCGGGCGTATATAGCAGTCCTGACTGAGGCGAAGCAGCATAGGAACGTCTGGCATTCAAGTCAATTGGTGACTGGCAGTGCATTGGAGAAATATTTTAATGAGGAAGATTTTGCGTTTGGTTGTTTCCGATCCACCGACTAGTCGGAGTCCGCTAAATAATCAGAGCCGAGGTGTCAATGGGATGGCACGACCCACATTCTACAATGAGAGGCTGGCACCGCGGATTCTGAACAGCACAACCGTCGCGTTTTCAGCTTTAACCTTCGATGAACTCTTCATAATGAAGATCATTGCTTTTCAATGGCTACATACTGATCAACACCAGAAAGGGCCTACTATGGCGAGATGGTGTGTTCAGTGCTCGCCATCTGACCGCTGCCACAAAGCGCAGACTTGGTATCCGCATTCGCTATCCTGCGCAAGGTCAAATCAAGCTCCTCTGCTCTTCTCCTTATCTCGGCCCACCCCGTCACAATGAATAGCAACCAAGCAAGTGCTCGCGTGCCCTATTTCCCTATGCAACTCCAACTTCAACCCATGCTATTGGAAAGCAAAGTGGAAACGAATGCAAACACCTATTCAGTACGTGTCCGGACTGGCGTACATATACTTGACACAACGAATAATTCAAAGACTGCGGCTTGAAAGGTTTTTCGATCATCCCATTCCACACCGCCGCGCATTGTCCCTTGTGAAGATGACTGTTGCAACTGTTGTCAAAGTCTCCCATCCAAGACAATTATATCTCGACAAGGATTGTCCAAAGCTAATGCAACTTCCCCATGTTGTCGATCCGGAGCTGCTATCCTTTCGAAACAAATACATTGACTCAAGTGAGGTAGGCTCGGGCCTGGATGTCTCTCCTATCGGCCTTTCTGTTACCACATCCTTTCCAGTTCGCTCCTACTCTATCGTCTTGGCAAAGCTCCCCAGGAGGGTCCCTAGATCCCTCGCCTGACGCCTGGTCTCGCCAAGGGCAAGAACGATATGAAAGGTTCCACTAGCTCGGATTCTTCGCAAAATGGACTTGCTGGTTCTTTTTCGGTCATTGTTTGTTGTCTCTTGAGAGTCATCTTCTTCGGCCATTATTTACATGTAACAACTCGATGGGCAGCAGCTTGTGGTTCCAATGTCACAACACGGACGCAGACTGGGATTTGGGCTTCAGTCCGTTACCCCAGTTTTTGTTGTGCTCACAGCTCTGCTCGCGTGCCTAACCTTAATCATTGCGCAAAATGATCCATATCATTGCCGATCACTTCTAAGTCATGGCAACTGGCCTGCGCGGACATCGAATTGGGACCCCGAAAGGGCTTTTGAGAAATGGGAGCCCGCAAGTTGTCGCATGGTGGAATACTCAAGAGATGCCTTCCATGATTGCCTAGGCGGCCGCCGGGTTGTCTTCGCGGGCGACTCAACGGTTCGACAAATTTACTGGGCCGCCGCAACTAGGCTCGACCATATGAAAGCACATGTCGCACTCCTGGATGTTTTCGTGGATGACACCAAGCATGACAATCTCCAGTTCGAAGCGGAAGGTGTCAAGTTGGAATTCATCTGGGATCCGTGGTTGAACTCGTCTGCCCTCCACAGCGAACTCACCAAATTTCGAGTACAGGAAACTTTTGCAGATATCGGCACAATCAAGTCAAAGGATGAAGAGTCAGCTGCACTTATCGTTATAGGAGCTCCTGGCTTATGGGCTGCTCGGCATGGTGGTGACGAGTACTTTGAAATTTTCAAGCATGGAGTTGAGAGCATCAAAATCCACCTCGGTTCGAATCTAGATGGAACCTTGAGCTCTCCAAGCAACGACCTGCGCAGAAACTACGACGAGGCTCCAAATCAGATCTTACTTGCACCTGTTCTGGTACCTTGGTACGACGAGCTTTCCGCTAATAGAGCAACAACGATCACGCCTGAAAGGATAGACAAAATGAACCAGTACCTCAGAGGTCTTCCTCGGGATGCACAGTCCCATGTGCTCTGGACCTACAATAAGATGACATCGGATACCATCAACACGTACGAAGCCAACGGTATTCATGTCAAGGATCAGGTTGCAGAGCGCAAAATCGACGTCGTGTTGAATGCTCGATGCAATGCTGCAAAAGGCCACCAGATTCCGAATGAGATAACATGTTGCATGAAATATCCAAAGAAGAATCTACTTCAGATCGCCGTCTATCTCGGTGCAACGGTCGCAGTCGTCTGCTTGGCAATTTCTGGCTTCTTCAAACGGCAAAAGTCGAGTTCTGTCGGGCTTCACGTCCAGGCAGCCATTTGTATTATCCTCATTGTAGTTGCATACTGTGCAATTGCCGACCGTGGCCATACTTTTGTGAAAATTAACCGACACTACGACTTCAGCACATTCATGGAGGGCTGCTTCATATTCTTTTTGCTCAGCCTTAACTCTCTGAAGAGCAGCAGCAGTCTTGCCAGCGCGTCCTCGACGCAAGAAGCTAGAGCCCGTTTCGGCTCTGATGCAGTCAACGACAAAGGCTTCTTATCTCGCGATCAATCCAACGAATGGAAAGGATGGATGCAGGCGTTAATCCTGCTTTATCATTATAATCATGCGTCACAGACCCTTTGGGTGTATAAGCTAGTTCGGCTTCTAGTTTCGGGGTACATCTTCTTGTCTGGTTATGGTCATACCATGTACCTGCTCAAAACAGAGGACTACTCCTTGCGGCGAGCAGCCGCTGTCATTTTCCGGCTCAATTTCTTGAGTGCCCTGCTGCCATACATCATGAAAACAGATTATAGCTTCTACTATTTCGCCCCCCTTATTACGTTCTGGTATCTAGTGGTTTTCCTCACACTTCGAGTGTTCAAAAATCTCAACCAAGATCCAGTACTGCTTTTTGCTAAAGTTCTCATTGCAGCTATCGTCACAAGCTACTTCATTTTTTCTCAACAACCTCTGCGGTTGCTGAGCAGGGCATGCCTGAATGTCTTCCGCATGCATTGGGACGCAACCGAGGCACGTTTCAGGCTTTCTCTTGACCGGTACATAGTATTCTTCGGAATTGTCACGGCATCTATCGTTCATCGAATGTCTGTCATCAAAGACAGTAGATCCATTTCCAGCTGGTCGCAGGCTCCGAATCCGGGCATCAGTCGTTCCAGCTCGATTGATCCGGCATTATCAGTACTTGTATTTCCCGATGCACACACGAAACCCATCAAACCTCTGGCCTGTGCATTTTCCGCCTTGTTCATCCTCTTCTTCACTGTGATGAACGAAAAGCTAGTTCACGAGAAGGAGCAGTACAATGATGCGCATCCTTACATGTCATGGATTCCAATTCTGTCATTCTTAATCCTCCGCAATTCTCACAGACGTTTGAGAAATTCCTTCATGACACTTCCTGCAGCTTTGGGGGAAATATCATTGGAGACATACGTCCTGCAGTACCACATCTGGTTGGGGGGTGATGCAACTGCAAAGCTTGGTTTTGGTATCTGGAAACGCTATGCTGGCTTGGCCTGGTTTGCAGGTCCCGGCAGGTACTTTGAGATGGTTGTCATAGGTGCTCTATTTATCTGCCTTAGTTCAGATACACGATATGCGACAGAGGCACTCACCAAATGGCTATTCTATGCCAAACCAACATCGACATCAAACCACTCAGCTAAAGACAGATCAGAATTCCATGACAAGAGGCGAAATAGTGAGGAGAGGAAGAGAATCCCGGACATCAAGCTTAATGAAAATTACGAGAGCCACGGTAACCGACACGCTGGATCGAGTCGTTTCAATGATTTGGGACAAGTGCTGACTCGGGACTTTCGCATAAAAGTTTTGGTGATCGTGGCGGTACTTTGGGCGGGCAATATCTTCTATACATGAGGACATTGCCAGAAATCATGAGACATGGTACGATATGATAATGTTGGGCAAGATGCTTATTCTTTTTTAAAGCCCGTATGCCGTCCAAGGGCTTGGCCTCTACTTAAGGTATTCGATATCATATGTCGTAGTAATTACAAGCACTTATAATTTCTAATATATACTGTAATATCCTTGCATCAATTCCTCATTCTGTAGTTGATGAGGCAATCACTGCTCATGCGGTAGAAATGAATGTGTATAACCGCATAGCTCCTTCGTACGATCGTCATCACTCAAACATCAAATCTTGTCCTAATTTTCTTGCATCTATATTCCGATGCATGTATTGTTTATTACACCTCTAGCATCACCGCCAAAGAATTTTTGTTGTTTCACTAAACATACCTCAACGGGTGCCTGCTTGAACCACCATTGCCTGGGTCAGGAAAATCGCATTGCAGAAAGTAGCCTTCAATAAGACCAGAGTCTTAGACCAAAAAGCACTAAGATGAATGGGCGTAGCAATCGTCCTGCGCCCTGGAATTGCAACTGAAATTAATCGTCCGGGCAAACGATCCCACGGTGTGGACCCCCCGATATAGAGTTTACTCATGGAACGAAGCGCTTACCTAAACCGACAGGCATCTGGGGGAACCCTATATAATCTCAGTGCCTACTTCCATCACTTTCGATACGATTCAGTCATTATTTTAGCACAATTAACGTAAGGCTTAGCGCCATTGACAGCTCAATCGTCGCTGATGTTAGATGAGCCCTACGTCTCGATTGCCAGACCAAGACCCGCCCAGGCACCAGCCCCCCTCTTGGTGCATCGGTTCGAGTCATAACTATATATACATTCCCCTATAAGGTCCGACCCAATTTCTCGATAATGTCATATCATCCTAAAGACCTGAAGACGTCTCCGAATACACTCTTTCAGGAAAACATGGCAACCTCGACAACCCAGAGGACAGGCTCCTGCCTCTGTGGGGCAATCCAACTCAAGATCGCCGGCGAGCCCCTCTTCACCAACCTATGCCACTGCATCTCATGCCAGAAGAGCACAGGCACCATACTCGCTTCTGTCGCTGCATTCAAGCCCGAGGTACGTTATTTTCCCTCTTCTTTATCTTTCTTTTTCATTTTCATTTTCCTTCGCCCTCCCCTAAAAACACATCTCCCTCCCAAGACGCATACTGACATCCCATAAAAAGCAACTCGAATACACCGTCACGCCGCCCGACGTCCTGAAGACGTACGTGGACGGCTCGCCTCTCTCGGGAAGCACGCTTGAGCGGTCCTTCTGCAGCATCTGCGGCTCGCGTGTCAGGAACGAGGCCACGAGGCGCAAGGGTGTCATGGCCGTCGTGCCCACGGGCATAATAGACGGGGACAAGGCGGGGCTGAAGCCTAGGTTCGAGTTCTTCTGCAAGAACAGGGAGGAGTGGGTGGCAAAGGTGGAGGGCTCCAGGGAGTTTGTCCTGTCGGCGCAGACGATGGCTGATTTGGGCTTGTAGGATAATTCAGTGGTACGGTTTTGGCCAACAAGAAGCTTTGGGGGTTCTAGTATCGTAAATAGGAGGAGCAGAAAAAAGGGTGCATCCGTATGGGAAACATGCTAAGCCTTCTCTCTCTCTATTGATGTTAAGCTACCCTGGACTTGGCGTTGCCGAGAACGTATACCGAAAGGGCTGAAAACGGAATATTATAGTGCTGAGATATCCTGGACTACAATACAAGCTGGTAAACATTTCTCATCTGAAGACCAGTACTGTACAAAATCTGACGATCAACGACTCAGCCTCGTCATGACTTATCGTAAATCATAGAGGGGGCTCCAAACGCCGAACTTTTCCCATGAGAATACACCAAGAACAATTCATACAGCTGGACGTTTCTAATCCTGCTTTGTGTGGGAAGCATAGCTCAGCTTTTGAATGTAGCAAAGGAGCTCTGCCCCTGATCGTGAAATCATGCATCAATCTGGTTGTGTGGCCGACTCCGCTCCCCCCATAGATGGGTATCCACCTTCGTGTGGTGGGATTTATTTTTTGGTTTGAAATAAGAAGCTCTAACTGGATGATCACTTATTTGACCAGGCAGGGCGCTTATATAACGTATCACTCCTTGAAATGGCAGTTCTCAACTGAGATTTCTGCGAGTTGACAATGTATCGAACGGTGGGCCTGGTGCTGCGATCGTCAGGTGCTCTCGAATGTCACCATCCGACTCCTCCCCCGGCACTTCCTTGGGAGCCTCATTGGCTAGCGAGTTGCTGAACTTGGGATGCGTATCCCTCCGGTCGCCGTAGTGTTGGTCGTGATATAATAATGGCAGCTTGTTGGAGTCCACGCTAGTATTCCTAGAGGCGCTTGGACTGATGCCGCTCGTTGTGCTTCGGCCTCCGTGACTCAATTTACGCCTGCCAAAGTTGAATGTAAAGTTCTCGAACAATGCTTGGTGCTCAAGATTCTGTTGTGTGAATGGCCGGTCTAGCACGGGGTCTTCTGGGGCCGGCTTTGGCTTTTTCGGTTTGCTTGACCATCCAAATGTCCTGGAGAAACGTGACGTGGTCTTGCTGAGCTCCTGTTCTTCGCTGTTGACAGGCGTTACTGTGCCTGATAGATTGCTGCCCTCGGAAGAGCTCGCTGATGGTTTCCTTCTCCACAAACCCATGTTGTTTATAATATTCTCCGCAGCTTTAGATGTAATTGTACGAAGGTATCTTGGTTATAGTAGTTTCGATCGTTTGGCCTTAGTGATGAATAGCAACTGAGGTCTAGGTGTATGAAATGTTGTGAACTGCAGGAAACCTGTTGAACGGTTGACAGCGGTAAAAAGGGACGTCTTTCAATCTAAGCTCACATATAACCCCACTGCCCACCGTAAATATTACGCCGAGGTGGCCATTGAAAGCATCGTCATCTCCACTATCGCTCACAGCTATTGGGCCCATTGTGTGGGGTAGATGGTGCGGGGGCGCCGATAGCCCCAGAACGCAGCCCCCATGCACAAAGACGTCACTGGGTAGGACCCTGAATAGCAAACACCCTCAGTCGAACTTGACCCCGATTTCTTTTCGCGAGCGAATATTCAAGCGCTATCATGGGCTAGTCGGCACATCACTAATGCAAGCAAGAGGTATGTTCACCCACTGATCAACACTAAAATGTTCCTAGTTTGCCGGCTGGGCAGACTTAGGACATGCCTCGGAATTCGCAGTCGACTACACAACATGTTCGTGATGTGGGGAAGATCTAGAACTCTTTGGACCGCCACGGACAGTCCTGGTGGTATCAACAAAGATTATACTGTACCCTCCATCTGGCTCCTACCTGACCGCTAAAATCTCACGGCACAGATCCGGAAAGTTCGAAATAATTTTCTACAGGTCAGCAGCTGGACTTCCAACCAACGGAGTCAGCGATGCCGTTCTACTGAGTTGAATTTGCTCAACAACATTCCCTTCTCAGGATATCAAAGCGCCAACTGAACGCTCGATTAGAGCGGAGCGATGTATGCCAACAACCACATCTATGCTGGAGAACGTATAACGATTGTGGGACTGTCACCAATAACTACTGTCTACAAACTTCTTCAAACAACCCATTGTTTCACGAGGACCCGTGGACATTTAAGGGCGACACTTGCTCAAGCCGTCATAGTCTGTGGACTCCGTGGAATAGGAACATAAGCTCAAAAACGTTGAGATATCTAAGAGTAAGGTAGACCAGTAATAAGGTATGAAACGGTCATTACAAGACCTTGATCCGATCAAGCTATGAGAACAGGACAATGTGTCGATTTGGCGGATCTGTCAAGCAAGCTTCATAACATGTTTTTACAACCACAAACCCTTTCACTTGATCCGCCCATGTCACGTTTCGTAAACTTCATTCTTGGAAAAGACTGATACTTACACAGCCACTCTTGTTTCGGCATTTGGACAACAACCTAGATTTGGCGTATATGACCGGTGTCCGCACTTAGGTGAACCTCCTTCCCATCCATGTCTTTGCACCCACCAGTAAGGACAGATTGTATGGCCTGCCAGATTATCCTGTTTCTCCAGGGTCCAGAGAATAGAGTTATCAGGCAGTATCCACTTGTCAATCTCGTGCCGTTTGACATTCTGAGATGTGGACGCCGTAATTATACTCTATCTTCGGTGTCAGAACACACTTGTAAGCATGAGCTTGTCGGTCGTACCAAGAAGCCCTGTCGTTACTTCGATATTTTGCGAAATCCGTGCCTTTAGATCTCACCAACCCAGGAAGGCGTCACTATTAACTTCTTCATTCGAGCAAAACGTTCGATGATGGTCATGCACAGTTGTTTAAGAAGCACGCAATTCTGTTCACTTGATCCGGCTGGTGCATAATGCCTGTTGAGGCTCTTGAAGGAGCTCGTTTCGCGTGGGTCTCATGTCTTCTCAGAACCCTGTTGTTCTCTGTCTCCAACAAGGGTAGCATGCTCGCCCCATTGGTGAGTGAACCCTTGTCGCTACCGCTCTTGGCAAAGCCCGAAGGCACGGATGCTCCTGTCAGAAACTGCCATCCTAATCTCTTTCAGATGATTCGTCGCAAAGTTGCATCCGATGACTGCCAACCCCATATCTCCCAATGCCGGGACTATCTCAAATACTTCACGGGGTTGCATGTAGAGGATACAATCAATCGCGCCGCGGCTAAGCTCGGGCAGCTTGTAGTCGTTACAGAAAACCAGAAACACCGTGATGACAATTCAAGAACTCCGTCCTAGATGCTTGATGGTGCCGGTCTCAAGGAGTGCGTTTGCACTGGTTCCATCTTTAAAAAAGCTTAATATAACGTGGGAAATAAGGCTTGACACCTTGGTAGGACTGAGGAGCCGCTTCGCCAAGATCTGAATACCGGGCGGATGGCACATCATCCGGTGGGATCAAGACATCGTCTACGACGATCTTCAGGCAAGTATAAAAACGAAAGAGTCCTTTCGCAGGTAAAGATCTTCTTATCGCGCATCGTATGATTTGTTTCCTCCTTCTCTTCCATATCACATTCTTTCATTTCTCAAAAGCGCCCTAGAGGCAGCATTATTCTTTACGATAATATTACTTTACTTTTACTCTCTAGTCCTTCGATAGGGTTTGTTTATTCTTCCTTGCCTCTTGAAGAGTGCTTTTTCAATCATCATCATGCAGCTGATACATATATCCGCTGGCCTTTTGGGTCTTTCATCATTGGTTACTTCTGGTAAGAGCACGAGAACAGTTTTGCAACCTGGAATATGAATTAACAACCTTCGAAGCACCGACAGTCGACCTTCAGCCCCCTACTGAACGAGGATTGAGGTGGAAATCAAGGGCTCAGAGGAGAAGCCCATTGACCATCATTCAGGAGGTCCAGGAGACCAACATCATTGTCGTGCAAGAAAACTTGGAACAGCTTGCAGCACAGCAGCAGATCATTGAGCAAGAGTTTGCTGCTCTTGTTCAGGCGGAAGTAGCTCTTGTGACTCAGCTGGAACAGATCAAGAACAACATTCGTGTCAACCACTTCAAGGCTCGCTTTAGCCAAGTGGTGAGTAGCATAGCTTCTCCACCTGAACTTCACATTCATCTATGCTAACTTGCCAAATTAGAACACAGTTATTGTAACCGTGCAGACCCTGGTTGACCAGCGATCGAAGGGCGCATCGAACCGGTACCTCATCAAGCAGCTCCTTGCTGACAATGGCAAGCCTGAGTCTGAGATCGTCGTCATGGTATCTGAAGCAGCTACTATGACTATTGCGGCCCCATCGGTACCAGTTGTCATAGGCGGTGCTAGTATTCTCTCTGCGCCCACTGCTGCACCGCAGATCTCAGCCTTTGACCCCAATGCCCCTTTCGGCCAGCTAAATCAGAGCCTCATCCTTCCTGCTGGCGCTCAGGCCCCCAAGATCAATCAGGTTTTTGCCGACCCGGCGTCCATCATCCTGCCGAATCAGAACAACCTCTTCATCGAAGACACGGGTGCCTTCCTTACCGATTGTGCACAGTCGAACGCTTTCTTCCAGCTCCAGGCTGCGCAGGTCTTTGGTTCGTTTGAGCAGTTGGCCGCGGCTCAAGCCGGTAAGCGGGTTTTGTTTTTGTCGTGTTCTCTTTCCCATGCTCGGCTTATCGCGAGAACGACTAAATACTGACTCCGAGTGTCACAGGTGCTGTAATCATCAATGATGTTACCATCATCGTGGACGATAACAATAACAACAACAATAACAATAGGAACAAGGGTGACAATGATAAAAATGGCAAGAAAAATGGTGACGACAATAACGCCAACAAGGGCCAGGGGGACGGCAAAAATGGGGATGCTGCTGCTGCTCAGTCATCATCATCGGCAGCTCTGGTTTCATCATCTGTGGCGGCAGCAGCTTCAGAGCCCGCTGCTGCGTCAGAAGCCACCGTAGCACCGGCTGTGACCGCTGCGCCCGAGGCTGCACCAGCCGAGGTCGCTCCTGTTCTCCCCTCTGCGGTTGTTGCTCCCGCACCGGCTCCTGTTGCCGCCGCACCTCAAGGATTTGTCACATTGGTCCCGCCACAAGCTGCGGCTTGAAAATCACAAGGCTTGGGTGTGCTCATTATATAAGCGTAATGAACCCAAGAGGACCATGAGCCCCATATCGGGAAACGAACCTAGGACGGCATGTGAGAGGCAATCTATCTATATGTTTGGGCGAAAGGAGTTATGGGAGATCCTTAACGGTTTGTCAGGTGTATTGAATTGATATTACACTATGCAGTGCAGTTTGCAAAAAGGACGTAGGCAATATTGGAGGCCAGCAGCTTTGTGGCAAACGCCACAGCAGGGGGGTGAGTACAAGATCTCACACACGACACCAGTACTCACAACTGGAACATTTCACGCTATCCGTCAATCAAAAGTCTTTGGTGGGCTGATACGGGTGCTCTCGGTGCACCAGTCTGGGATATTCAGGAGGGTTTTGAAGCAGAGAGAGCGATCGGAGCGACTGGAACCAGTTATCGGCCAGCCACCGGGACCGTCCCACAAGATGAGTTGGTGTGCGTACCGAGATATAAAACACCGTGGTTGTTTCTTGATTACTGAGCTAGGGTTTTCCAAGCAAGTAGTTAGGCATTCATTATTGACGGGAGCATCATGATTTTCGTACAATCTACTTCTTTTGGTGGCTCACTCGCTTCGTCAATCCCTAAATCGGAGCGGGCAAGCCTAGATAGGTAGCTTCGAAAGCTCGTAGTCGCAGTGCTAAACAGCACAACGCTTGGAACAGCATTAGATTACAATATTTTGGAAATCACGATGGCAAAGACCATGCAACTAGGAGCTGGGCGCCAGAAAGCCATGGCACGGGAGGTTTTCAGGAGAGCAAAGCGTTTAAGCAAGCCAAGGGAGATGGCCACCAAAGTGCAAAACATCTTCAAATACCAGGTCTGGAGTACGCATGAATTCAAGTCTCGTAAACGTGCGATGTCGGGTGCTTTCACTATTTGTATACTCTCGTAGCCGCGAATCCGTGGGTCTCGACATACTGAAATGCAAACCTTAGCTATGACTGAGCAGTATACAGTGTCAGAATATGGCAGTACACAAGGTGGTTCATAGTGTTGGGATAATCAGACTATTATGAAGCCCAGGAGCCAGTTAGAAACAGCAATCGGTTGAGCCATATTATCTCGCCCATCTAGATCCAGTCGAGGAGTCGGCGACGAGGTGAAGCGGGTGGGACACGAAAGTCCCATACTGGCGAAGTGCTAGAAGAATGATAGCCTTAGCGAACATTCTTCCTGTTAGTTAACGCCTGCAGATGCTAAACTTCGTATCGTGTAAGGCTTTCTCTGCTCTTAACGTCCCTCCTTTCGTACTATACCTTCCTTTTTGGGTACCCTTCTCTTCTTATAGCTGTGTTCTCAATGTCGTGTGCAACCCCTCTCGCCCGAACTCAGTCGTCAACTTGCCAAACATACGTGTGTGCATTGCCATTAAAATAAAATAAGTGGGCAAAAAGACGATATGAGCAAAAAAAGGAAAAAAAGAGAATTTGTTATAAGGTATTGAACCTCTGGCGGGAGTCGAACCCGCAACCTTCAGATAAACCACATGGTAGACTGAGGGAGAATTAGTGATACGATTCCAACAACCGAAGTTGTGATGGAGACTTACAGTCTGACGCCTATTCGATCATTAGTTTTTTGAGTTGGACGTGTATGTCAGGGAATTACCCACGCTAAACCATTGCGCCACAGAGGCAAATTTGTAACTGTGTTATCGGCACTGTTCTTATTTGAGAATATAATTATTCCAGCTATTTTACAAACTCACTAATTTCGTGCGTTGGCGTGAAAATCGTGGGCCCACCAATTCACGGAATGATCGGAGGGTCTCCTCTTCGATTAGTAGTCACGATATTTCTCAACAGGTTCTTCATGTGCTCCTTGTCCTAGTGGCCTGAAAGTGGCGCTGACCGTCGGCACATTCGCGGGCCACTAGAACACCAGAACCTCCAAGACGGGGGGGCTCTCAATCAGGACTGCTCTATTAATGATGCCATCTAGAAAATGTGCGCTAAGTTGTTCTCAGTGGAGTTAATGATCTCCGTGCTGTCTGCTATTTCGATGACTACTTGGGTTCATCATAATTCATTCAGCGAGCCCTGGCATTCTTGAGCGCTAGCCGTTTGCACAACCTTCGATCTCAAATTCACCTATACTCGGGATTCATCTCCATAAAAAAAATTCTTTCTTAACTAATATCCTAATGAGTTCAAGTAGCAACTGGAAGTTGATGCGTAGCTCAAAGCACATCTATCGCTAGACTAAGTAAATCATATGATTGCTCTATGAACTAACCATGTCCGAAAACAGTTGCGCTTAAGCTATAGTCGAGTACTAACCCCAAGGACATATTTCAGTACTTGAAAAGCATGTAGCCTCTTATGAAAAGCCCGGCGAAGCCGCTCGTCAATGTCATTACTTAAGAAACAGGGGTGCTGGCTACGATATTGGATAATGCTATATTAGCACCTGGAAACCTGTCAGTGAATAGATGATACGAAGGGGAAGGAATTGCTCAAACGCGGTCTAAATTATTTTGTCCGATTCGCAAGATTTACTCATTCGTATGCGTCTATTCTTTCTTCGGATATTTCCTGTATTATCATGCAAACATATGATACGGTGTGGTGCGTTCAGGAATACTCTATAAAATCATTATCCTGTCGAGTGGCATTCATCGCTAGTCACAAGACGGCTTGAGGCCGGGGCAAGGAGCCCCTGTGTAGCCGACACAACAACAAAAACGCGGCCTTTACACGGGTAGCAGCTATCACGACTGGGGGTAAACGCTTGACGGCCTGGAAGTTATAACAAGTCAGTAAATCCGTGTCTCTACAGGCCCGTCACTTGGGACGTTCGGTTGGGCATGCAAAGCAACCACATACCCTAGAATAATAGATATAAATATGACATGGTGCCCAGCGTCTACAGCCGCTTACACAAGATTATATGTAGTAACATAGTACATCATACAGAGGAAGATGGTAAGTACGGCGTCCATGTTCATCGAGTTCGCATTACACCACGCCAAAATATTCTCCTGGCAGCAGCGTCCGCTTCCCAGACCCTTTGAGCCCAGGTATAGTGACCACGAGGCACAAATCGCTGCGCCTCACAACACCAGACAAACAGATCTCCTTTCCCATCGGGCCTTCCAATGCCCCATTCATCCGTAGCCTCGTCGTACATCACGCATCCCTGCCGCGCATTCTCCTAAGAATCGCTTAATATCCAGGGTAGCTTGACCTCTACAGGTTGCATCTTCTCCTCCACCAGCTTCACCAGATGAGGGGCGTCCTTCAGCTCCAAAAGCCCCTTCTTGATGGTCTCGAGGGTCTGCTGCGGCAGCCCGTCCTTGCGCTCCGTCAGGATGTCCATGCCCTCCTCGGTGAACATGGTCTTGGCGAACCATATGACCATCCACCGCTCGACCTGGCCGTCCTCGCCCGTGGGCAGCTGGCCGTAGCCGAGCACCTTCCACTCGGACGTGATCAGTTTGAGCAGGCCCTTGCCGCGCCACTTCCAGTCGCCCTTCCCCAGGTCCGTGTCGACGCCGGCGACGGTCTTGAGGGAGCCCTTCTTCTCGTACTCGACGAGATCGTCGACGGAACCGTTCTTGAGGTCCGTGTAGGTGATACGCACGTTCCTCGAGGACCGCCACATGGAGAGCGTTGAGTGCGCGACGGCCCATGTCCGGCAGAACCACTCTGAGTCAGGCTTAGACAGCTCTTCACTAAGAGGAGGGCGAATGGTGATCTCGGTAGCCATGTTGCGAGATGAGGAGCAAATGACTGCGGAGAAGTCAGGCGTAAGTAGCTGAATGGGAAGAGAGTGGCCGATAAGAAGTTGAGTCCGAGGTCGAAACCTCGAGAAGTACTCAGATCGGTGGTCACGGGCTAAGTATGTATGGAAAGAGCTACCCTAGCAAGAGCAGGTACGGGAGATGGCGCAGTCGCTCGCAATGGTTACTGGTTCTGACACTCTGTGATAGCAAAGCCGATTCAACGTCAATGGAAGTGGTACTCAAAGTTCTATTTATCCTACAACATATCGGTAAAGGTCTATTAAGGGTAGGGGAAAGCTGGAAGAGCAATGGGAAACGACGAAACAAATAAGAGAAGGTGCCCGTACTATTGTGTCTGTCATTTGCCAGCTTCGCGGGTTGTGGAGCTTCCGGTACTGGGCAGGGGCGCTACAACCCCTTGACAGGTGAACTAAACACCAGTGGTCTCTTCCAGCTCTCGGTGATGTGATGTCACTAATCAGCCCCGAGTTTAGTTGGTGAACATGAAGAAAGAATAAAATTACGAGACAGATGATTTAATATGTATATACTCTGTATGTAAGTAGCATTTTAAATGTGCATGCAATTTCTCTGCTTCATTATTCACTCTCGCAAAGAATGTCGATTTAGTCTAGACTACGTAGCAACTCAATCACAATTAGTCAGAAGTAGCCTGCCCACCGTAGCAAGAAAGACAGAGAAAAAAGACAAAGTAGTCATGTATCATTTGCGTATAGGACCACTTTTATATAGATTTTGCGACGCTGTCTTCGTGATGCCCGCAGAAGAATTGTAAGCATGCGACGTTCCGTCGTCGAGTTATGGCCAACCTTCGCTTCTGGTGTTATACTAGACTATGTATGAGTGACAAAAGGCTGTGCTTTGGGCATACAAGCAACATCTATTTGAACGACGAGGCACCAATCCGGGGTATGGCAACACCAAACTTCTTATCTCTTCAAGGCTGGGCGAGGTCCGAAACTTTCTTTATCGATTGAGTCACGCTTTCTAGGCTTTTGATGTCATCGATTTCTCCAAGTGAAAATCGAACTCCCAATCTAGTCTTCGTGAGCCGTTACTGATATAGCAGATTCCTAATCCCCAGTCCCTTAACGCCCTCCAGGAAATTCCACTCCATCCTGATCAAATTACGATGTGTTTCATAGCGCGCGCTGCTTTGACCATCATGAACCGCTACTTTCAAATGTCCTTTTCTTTTCTTTTTTTGGTCTTGTCTACAATGCATTCAGAGGGCATCCTGGTTTTGCCTCTAGTAAGCCCAGAGCACCTTGTGATGCAAAATTCTGCTACCGAGTCGCTCAAACTCGTAAGGTGTGATCCAACTATCGTTGGTGCCAAGCTTCGCGAAGACACTCGCACCCTTCCACACAACGACTTGCTCGTCCATATCTCTAGCACTTCTGGACACCAGAATACGGTCGAACAAATCCGGTCGTCTCGCCCTTAGTTTCTCTTCGAGCGTTTGTGTAAACAGTGGTGTCTTTGAGCCGCCACCGATGACCATGATAGAACCCAAGTAGTCACGAAGCTTCTTCTCGTCGCCTCTAGCCGCATTCTGAATAGAAGTCAAAATGGCAATATCGAGAGGCGCCACAGGCAGGACGGCATCTCTCTCGTCAGCAATCTGCTTTGCTGTCCGTACCTGTGCATCGACGAACATGCCCGGCGGAGCAGGCGAGGTCCCATTCCTGCCATTGGGGCCCGGAGGAGCGGGTGAGTCGGTCCCAGTAGCTGTGCCGCTGTTACCGAAGACGAACGGCGGCGGTACCGGAGTCGAGGCGCCTTCAGGCGCGGGGCTGGCAGTCGTCGAACCCATCGGCGTGCCCTCTGCTCGTGCAAGGAAGTTGAATGCCGGCTTCTCCTTGCTGGGTGTGGCAACGTTGGGATCCGACGGGTTGATTCCATTTGAGGGCACAGACGATTCGGCCACGGACGGTTGGACTAATGCCAGTATAGCGAGTTGTGCCGCTGATTGGGGGTCGTCGGGCACCTGGACATCGTAGGCATTGTACGAGCGATCGATGAGTTTCCTGCGGCCGCGAAGCTTGGTGCTGTTGTCGAAGATTGCAGGGTCGTAGAAGCCCATGGGAGCTAGGATAACCTCGTCGTAGGTCTTGAACTGGTATTTGTGGGTAGGTTGATTAGGTGCACGGAGGTGGAATTCGTAGAGTTGTACCGAGATGTTGGCTTGAGACATGGTGCAATGCTTCATCTTGAGCTCTTCGGCAAGCAAGAAGTCGTAGCGCCTCCTGAGGTTGATCTCTTGGTAAGGGAACTGGTCGTAAAGCATCATCTTGATGAATGTTTCGGTGACATCGTAGCCGCCATACTTCATGTTGATGCGTGAGTCTTCAATCATAAGGCCGTCTTCGACGCAGGCAATTGAAGTCTTCTGAGCTCCAACATCGACGACACAAGCCTGGGTGTAGCCAGCACCGAAAGAGCCCGCAATGCTCTCCTGGATGAAGCATATCCTCTTGAATTCGAACCAGGTCATGCATGACTTCAGGACTGCCTCGACGTATCGCTTGTCGTAGAGATCAGGTATTACGAAGACGCAGCTGTACTCCTTCCATGTGCTGTTCTTGGTCAGCCCCAGCTCCTGTCTGATGGCCTTGTCTAACAAGGTCTCGAAGTCGTCGTATAGGTGCTCTGCCGTGGCGTACTCATCCTCGTTGAGCCAGCCATGCTGTATCGGCCACCACAGCTTGAACTTTGGGTTTGAGTCGTCCGGGACCCTGAGGGCGGCCTGGCCGAGGAAGGCCGAAGCTGGCGACTCGGGGTCTTCCAAGGTAGCGATGTCTGTCCACTCGATCTGCAAGGGATCGTTGTGTGTGGGTATCTTCTCGGGCTCGGTCCTGCGATTGTAGTTGGTAACCAGTTCTTTGGAGTTTGGCAAGACCTTGCGCTTGTTGGCGCGCATGTCGACCTTCAAGTCGCTGCACTGCTTCTGGTACTTCTTGGACCACTCCTCCCCGTAGATGTCGTCCTGGCTCTTGCCCTCGAACTTGCGTCGGGGGATTGCTTCGTGGATCTCCGACTCGGTCTGGGGGAACTTGGTGGCAAGGGTGGTGGGAATGGTCTTGGGCAGGGCGTCGCTCGCAAAGCCGATCCGCAGGTTCTGGCTCCCGGGATGGATGACGATGATCTTGCTCGGGTCAAGCATGGCATCGGGGTCAACTGCGGCGGCCTCATCTTGGTCGGCATCGGGCAAGGCCAGGGGGACCTCGGCATTTCCGTTGCGCGCGAGAGCCCGATCGCGGTCTTTAGCACTCTGCACGAGACGATCTCGCGTGGCCTCGGCTTGCAATCGCAGGGCGAGGACCTGGTCATCCCGCTTCATGTACTCGGTGTAGTAGTTCTTCTGGTTGATGGGAGGCACGTCGGGCCAGCTGGTCTGCTTCATGCCATTGTCGGTCCTCTCGAGTCCTAGTTGGCGCCGCCAGTAAGCTTCCATGCCGGCAACAGAGAGCAGAGGGTTCGGCGGGCCTCAACACCAAGACCAAACAGGGGGACAATCTGGCGATGGAATGCGACGAAACAGCAACAAGGGGACTCACCTTCCCGTAGGAGGACACGCTCGCTAACTTTGCCGACCATGGTTGCGCGCCTGTGCTGGGAATTGTGCGACGCGGAAGATTGATGTTACAACTGCATCGGGGTTTGTGCTGGTTCAGGTTCACGGCTGCGTTCCTGTCTCCTGGTGCTGTTCCAAAAACCTTCGCCCTCGCGCAACCAACCGGCGTCACCAAGCGAGCGCAGCCGCGTCTGTGACCCCCCTGCCCATATTACTTGGCTAGGTACTACTTAAGGTTAGTAAGTACTGTAGCATCACTGTAGCTCTCTCCATCTGGTGTCCCGCTCACAGTGGCCGGTGGGTCGGAAACGAGCACTAACCCCGCTGGAGCTGGCCGGAGCTCTAGCGTCTCTAACCTTAGCGAGTTGTGGCCCCCACGAGACCAATGTCATACTTTCTTGTTGTACCATTGCTCCATTTGTATTTCGCGAAGCCGTAGTCTTTTGTTTTCTATGCCACAAGTCTATCTAGACTTCTACTTTCTCCTGAGACGCTGCCATTGAAATTGGCAACCGAACAGCCGTTTATGCTTCAAACTTACGGATTACTCATTCATGCACAATCTTCATGTTGTATGAGACGATATGAATAAGTTGATACTCGATAAACTCACCCCAGGCGACATCAACGCCACTCTTTCCAAATCTGCCCAAGTGCTACTTTCCCGTACAATACATACCAACTATCATCATAATCTAGCACGCAAAAGTCTGTTCCCGGAAGTCGCATGCTTAACGCCAACGATCCGGTGATCAACAGTATGCTATGTTCACTGGCTGTATACAAGACCGCTGAGTAATAGATCCATTGTCTCCAGCTTCTCGCTCACGTAGACTCACTCATCAATACTTACCAAAAGAGAGAGAATAAAAGAATTTCGGAGTACAGAATACCGAGAGTATAACATATGAAATCCAGAAGACATGGAAGATAGCCACGACTTTGAGTCGTAACGCACGTAATTAGCCCTGGCTGCACAGGCAGCTGCAACATCACAGTCCATGCTGCTTTCCAGTGTGCGGTTCGACGGCAACATCTGCTCAGACTGACCATTTCGAGGCGATAGATGACCTTGCAACAGTGGCTAGCAAAAAGAGAAAGAAAGGAGTGAAAAGGAAATCCCATTCGATATCTGATTTGCTCTAGCGGCTTTCCTATGTGAGGCGACTTTGAAGCTGGGTTATTGGAGAACTGGTTCTTTTCGAAGCCCTACATTGCTGCCTTATTCGGGTAGGCCGGAGAATATCAGTGTTACTTCAGGTTCAGTGTGCCCAAAGAAGACTCGGAGAGCTGATGACACAGATCAACGACGTACCACAGCCACGAGCAGCAAAGAGGTTAGTTGGTTAGGCAGCTCGAAGGTATCAGGACGGCCACCGGGGAATGCTGGTTAAGCGACTGTCAGGGAGGCTTAGGTCACCGCCGTAGTTGCGAGAGCTCGTTGGACGCGGTTAAAATTGACTGTGTGGAAAGGTGATGTGCGAAAGGAATAGCAACTGGGTTGAGCGAATGGACGATTTATTCATTAGCGGCTCAAAGAACAAGCTTATTGCTAACTCACCGAGGAGTCACTGAAACATTGTGGTTGGCATGAGCCTTACGAGTAACAGAGTTGACAAGGCGTTGGGAAATTACCACGCCGTCTTCTCCAAGTTGACCTGAGAAGAGCAACGAGTATCAAGGCTCCTTTTCACTTCGAGCCTGATCATCATCCAACTGATTAACCATCCATATGCACCACAGCAGGGCCGCCCTGCTTTCACCAGCCGTTTCCTTCGATATCCCTCCAGGCTGGCCCCTGCTGGTCCCGCCAGCCCACACCAACCCTCTCAACACCAAACACAGCACCCGGCTCACCAAGGGCACGTACCGGCGCAGCGACCGGTGCATTCCAAGCGCCGCCCCCAAACTGTATCTCGATGGCACCCGTGGCGTCATAGCTGTTGCGGCACTCCCAGCCGCACCACATCCAGACCACGAACGTGTTGGTCGCGTTGGGCTCGCAGGTCGCCGGGTCCATCCGGAACGGAATGGAAGCCGGTTCCGCCAGCTCGGGCAAGTAGTAGTCGTAGACCGGGCCGTAAATGGCCAGGAGCTGCCGCTTTAACTCTTGGCAGAAGGGCCCGGCCAAGACAATCGGTCGATGGTGGCCGCACAGTGCATTCAGATGGATGAACTGACACATATTGAATAGGCGGGCTGTGGGAGCTGTGGCCTGCTCGATAACTTGAACTACGACCAGGTCAGCTGAGAGCTTGTTGGATGGCCAAAATTAAATATTCTTTTAATTGGAACTCACAGGAAGGATGTCGATGCGGAGGGGGTGGTCGTTTTTGATTAAGTGTTCAAATGGCTTCTCACGTTCTCCGGACAGGGCAATGGCTGTTCGTGCGGAATCTTTTCCCACTTTGTCAGTGAAGGCTTGGTGAAGGGCTGTGATGTGAATACGCCTAAAAACTCGCAGACGACGATATGGCAAGAGTGGTGCAGGGACAACCTTTGAAGATGGGATGTCGCTATTCAAGGTATGCGAACCAAGGAGTAGCAGTCCACGAGCAACAACCACGTCGAAAACACAAAAAGCCGCGCCCTAATGATAGTCAAGCAGTGATCTCGAGACAGATGGATCTCGTGGCAGATATCGTTTCAGTGGAGAGAATCCAGAAGAGGAAGCAACCCGTCATCGTTCCTGCAAGGTTCTCTCCTGGGGGTTTTCTCTCAGTCTCTATACTCGGCTCACATTCAAGGTAGGTTGGCCCGTCATCGAGGCGCAACCCGGTGACGTGACAACGAAGAACAAGGACGAACCACCAGTAAAGCCCAACGGAAATATGTCTGCAACTTTCTCTTCTTTCTACGAGGAAAATGACATTGATGTTTCTCTTGACCAGCTAAGGAGAAGCAACGTAGGAAAATAAAATAAAAAGCCCCTCAAAAAACCAATGAGCACACATCAAACATATTGTCCCAGGATGATTGTTCACTTTTCTTCCACTTCCCGCAGAGTTTCATCTGCCCCGTTCTCGTATATGTCGCTATATAACAAGCCGGCATGCGAGGAAAGGAGCAAGTGACTGTGAGCAAGCTGCAAGCTGTGACCACATGGAGATTCGGGTTCGCTACGTGGGACCCCTGACACAGAAGCGTGTGAACAAACGACCTGGGGAACACGATTGACTTGCCTATGTTTATCTTTTCATTTATAATTATATTCTTATCTTCTATGTCTTCCACATCATAGTCAGCTTTGGCTAGACTGTGAGGATATGATTTTAAAACCTGCATAATCAATGCTACTGAGTATATGTGTGGTGGAGACTATCCAGACCATCGTCGAGTGCCGAATCAATATATGTATGTTGTGAGGGAAAATCATTTAGTTTTGATATAATCACCGCGCGAAGTTTTTGTGCTAACAAGTTGCTGTTTACTGAACAAAACCGTCCCATAAAATCCAGCAACGCACAACGGATAGATGCCGCGCGCGAAACATGGGTACCGCCAGTTTCGTGACACACGCAGCATACTCATCTGAAAAGAACAGAAGCCAAATACGCCAGTGCTCGATGTTCTAGAAGCTGCGTGCAAGACTATTTCACCGAGATTGCTAGTCGCAAGCGATATCTAGCCAAACCAAAACGGCTTGGCCGGTCTGATGAGTAGATCCAATCCGATATGGGTATCTTGTATGCTGACTAAATATGATTGATATGGTCCCCCACAGTGGGAACAAATACAAACAGCTATGACTCCAAGTGCTTGTTCATCGAACCTTCAAACGACATGGAAAAAACCTAGACCCTAAAATGCGATGCAATAGTAAAACAGTTTGAGCTACACAAGAGGGAAGACAAAGGCTTAGGATGACTCAACACCATCCTTCTCCAATTGCTCCTCAACATCTTCATGGACGGCCCAATGATCGTGCCCCACGCGCTCTACCTTGACGGTACTGGCATCGGTCGATTCGGGCTTTCTGTTCATTTTCTTCTGCAGCTCCTCGGTGATGGCTTCAACGTCCACGCCGATATAGTCCCTTAGAAACTTGCCAACATCAGTGTTTTCAACGTTGCCTCTGATGGCATCAGTGCCGGGTCCTCCTGAGCTGTAGATGTTCACATCCACAGCTGAGTGGCCATGTGAGCTCCAGCCAATCTGAGCCCGTCGGCTGACCATGTCGGCAAAGTACTGCTGAGCAAGAATGGGATATTCGGCAATTTGGGTCAACTCATCGTCCGAAGCATCGAGTATGCCGAGTCCCGGAATAACGACCTTCTCGTTGATATAGGCCTTTAACATCTTCCCTGAAAGATCCTTACCTTCTGCGATGTGCTGATGCAACTTGTGAGCCAGATACAGAGAAGAGTATGAAGCATTGGCCAGGACAGCTGGATACCACAGGTAGTCGGGGTAGTCAATGCTGGTTTCTGTGCAGTTTGATCAGTATGATTGGCCATGTGCGGGGAGCTCTTGCGGAGGTGACATACGTCTTGCAACAGAAAGACCACCAGTCTCGTGATCGCTCGTTGCCACCAGGACACCGGGGGTCTTGCTCTCGTCGAGGAATTCCAGAACATGCTTGAAAGCCTTGTCGTATTCGAGCACTTCTCGCACTTGAGCAGCAGGGTCGTTGATATGTCCAGCATGGTCGATTCGGCTGCCCTCGATCATAAGGAAGAAACCCTTGTCGCTGTGAGCAGTAGCCTTCTCCAAAGCCTTGATGGCAGTCTTGGCCATCTCGCTCAAGCTTGGGTAGATCTCGTTCATGTTACGGCGGTCAAGCTCAAAGGGAATGTCGGTAGGAGCGAAAAGTCCAAGGATGGGCAGGGGAACGTCGTTCTTGCCCTCCCAGAAATCATCGAAGCCGGCACGGTCGTCGACGTAGGTGAAGCCGTGCTTCTCCTTGGCGATGGAGACGACGTCGATATCATCAGCTCTGCAGCTGCCCTGCGTCCCGTTCGGCAAGAAGTGACATCGGCCGCCACCAAACATTAGATCGACTACCCTGCCAAGTGCGCCCTCGCCAACTTCTTGTAGTGCGATATCGTCGTTTTGCTCGCGTACATCAACATGGCTGGCGAAACATGCAGGCGTGGCATCGGTGATATCGGTCGTGACGACAAGCCCGGTGGTGTAGCCGGCTCTCTTGGCAGCTTCCAGGACTGTGCCGCAAGGTGTATGGTCAGGGAGCATGGAGATGGCACCGTTGTAGCTCTTGCGCCCACAGCTGAAGGCTGTCGCACCAGCTGCGGAGTCGGTGATGAGGGAGGAGGAGCTTCGCGTTCGGCTGCTGCCCCAAAAGTGCTTATCGAGTGTCAGGGTATCTCCAAACTCAAGCCCCTCGATGTGCTGTCGGAAGGACCGTGTGAGCGAGAGCGATGCTGGCCCCATACCATCTGACACCATGAAGATGAGGTTTCGCTTTCCGCTCGGCTTGGAGAATTGTGTCTGCGAGTTGTGCGACATCCAGATGGCGAGTATGAGGACACCGGCAGTGGCGAGCAAAGCCCATAGGAAGATGAGAGCCTCGCGGAGTCGGAGGTGCCATGATCGGCCGTGGTGTGTGGAAGGGGCATCGCCGCGCAGAGCATCGTCTTCGGAATCAGTCATGGCAGAGTCAAGAGACGAGCGGCGCCGCTCTCGACGGCGGTCGTCGGCCAGCAGCGGCGTGTTTTGCGAGGGCTGTTCATGATGCAGGTCAGCTCTGTGCTCGCCATGAGATGCTCACGTGGTCTGCTGATAGGGAGGCTGGGGGAGGCAGAGCTCATCGACCTGACCCGAAAACGGCCTCTAGAGATTCCGCAAGGTGATACACGGCCCCGAGAAACAAAACCAACTTACCATGACTACAAGGGGTTGTGTAAACTTGAAGGAACAAGCTTCACAGAATTACGCTCGACAAGAGCGAGATTGCCTTTGTTAGGTACAGATAGAGATCACAAGCTCCAAAGTCAGTCTCGCTAAGGACAACCTGCATGAGACCTAGACCAGGTTAGACTAGACTAGGTTAAGCAACCTGTCGGAACCTGCAGTTGCTCTGTGTGCTTTCTTTCGTCTGTGGTACGGCTCCCACACAAAGCACAACGTACGGATCCGTATGTGCTATGTGTGTACTGCAGGATCCCATGCGAGACTAGTGTGACGTAATAGTCTGGGGTGCAGGAACATTGAACTGATCTCCAGTGCCCTCTTGCCCCATTGTTGTTACCTAATACAAGTCACATATGGCACAGTGCAGTATGTAGGTTAGGCGCACGCACCACACCACTACGAATTACCGTACCGACTTTGGTTCTCTCTTGTCACGAGCGCGACAATCAATCAAATCAATCCAAGCACTGATCCAGTGCACTCTACGCACCTGGTTTTAGATTATATTGGTCTTGGTCCTATGCAAGAGTCTGGTGCTAGACTAGAGCAGAGATCTATCTGATCTGCGAGTCAAACACCTCTTTCTTATCTACCGCCTGACTGGACCGTTCCGTTTCAGCAGTTGCCGCCCTAGAACACACCACACCTGAGACCGAGTCAATAGTACTATCCATATAAGGTGAGAGGGTAGCAACTCGCTCAAAGTTCCTCACCCCCCAAAAGCAATACCTCCGTCATTCTACGCGTCTCAAAGTGCGTCAATTGTCTATCGCAAATCTTGTCCGCTCCATACGCCCATTGCCTTACCAAATTGCCAGTCACGTTTAATCCCCCCCCCCCCCCCCCCCCCCCCCCCCCAATGACTTGGCGAATGAAGCCGCAAATGCCAATGCTTATCGTCAGTGATCTGGGTATCTCATAATGACATGAAACAAGCGCTGTTTAGGAAATGCAACCAAACGCCCGAAGATGTCATGTAAAGCGACGCATCTTGAAGAAATACAAACACCAAAAGGTTTAGAGAAACGGATTTCTGGCGCGCCTAAGTGGCGCAGTTGACGGTACAGGCGATGCTGAGGATGAAGGTGCAGGTCGACCTTGACTCGCAACTGCATTCCTAGCCCAGTCCGGCAGTCTAGGCTCTCTGCTATTAGCCTCTCTATCGGCTTTCAGTTCTTCGAGGACCGCCTGGTCGTCGTGCTTGTGCGACTTTCGTGGAACCGGAGCCGAACCTCCTCTCTGGGAGACGGACGGGAGCTCTGCGCTTTTCTGCTGCTTTAAGCTTGTTAGCAACGATGGTCATGTGGTCAAGTCTTGTAGTGTCATATGGGAGGCAAAAGACGGCACGTGTGCTCGTCACCAAGAACACCTACTTCAGGATGAATGGCAGACATGGCCCTACCCGATGGGTTATGGGTCTGTGTTCGTCTGTGGTTATTTACCCCTTGAGGCCCGGTTGCACTAGCGCCAGCTTTTGTTATCTGGTCGGCACTGTGAACTTTGTCGTCTGCAGCTTTGGCTGTTTCGCTGCCTTGGTCATCCGAGGAGACCGGTGCTAACTCCAGTGAGAGCTGACGAATAGCATCCCCGCTTAGCGAAGCCAGTTGTTCGGGGGTATACTTGCCCTCCAAGATCGCCTCAATGAGATGTGATGAGCGTGCTGATTCAATAAGCGCAATTTTTGCTTGGGCTGATTCGTGGTGGTTTCTTTGCCCATCCGAATCTCGGAAAGCGTTGGCAATACTTTGGGCGGCCTGCCTCTTTTTGTCTTTGGTCTCGGCGTCAGTTTCGCCTGCTGTAAAAAGTCTGCCAAGTTCCCCCTTGAGGACATTGGCATTGCCCCAGAAGTTCAGTTCGGATGCCGAAAGAGTACTTCCCATTTGAATTACTGCCTCTCGAACTTGTGTCGTTGGGCCCAACACCGGCTGTACTGTGCCTGTTTGGAAAGAGGGGTGTGGTGCACCCTCCAGGCTCTTTGGCGCAGTAGGAGCCGTACCCATGGAACCGTTTACAGGATGTGGCGCACGTGGACCATCGCCTGAAGCGCCGGCATGAAATTGTGCAACTGCATCCTGAGCATATATGTCATTCAACCCACCAGGCGGAGGCACCGAAAAAAAGGAGGAGGCTATAGGTGGCAATGGATGATGACCAGCGGCAATTGGCATCCCAGTAAGACGAGCCTGATGTAATTCAATAAGCTGCTTGGCCTCTTGTATCTCTTCGATGGTCAGCTGTTCGTCCTCGAGGTTTTCCTCTTCGAAAGTATCCGACAGGACAATCGATCGAATGCCTTGGACCAATTCTGAGTTGAGTACAACATCCAGCACATTGTCCTTCCCAGCAACCGCTGACAGGTCTTGTTGCTCAGGCTCGACGGGCTTGTCAAACATCTTTTGGAACGATTGGGCCTTGGGGATGGGGTTTTTCTTGTCTACTACACGAGACGCAAGTTGCAACTTGAACACACCCTTGTTTTGCATTTTCTCTTCAAACGTGCCGCCACAGATCAAGCGGTACACAAAAACCGGTTTGGTTTGTCCCAGGCGGTATGCACGGCCAACAGCTTGTTGTTCGTGCTGTGGGTTGAACTTGGAATCAAAGATAATCACACGATTAGCGCCTGTAATGTTTAGGCCAAGACCTCCAGCTGTGGTGGAGATCAGAAAGACATCAAATGTATTCCTATCATTGTTAAAGTCTTTGACCATATCTTGACGCTTGTTCATGGTGGTCGAGCCGTCCAATCGAATGAAGTTCTGCTTTTGACGGTTAAGAACGCTTTCAAGATAGTCCAGAGTGGGTAGGGACTGAGAGAAGACCAATACTTTGTCTCCTTGCCGAATGCTCTCATTGATTATCTTGTTGAATAGTGGAATCTTCCAAGAATGTACTTCACCTGCTGCGCCCGCAACATCGGCGTGACGAATCAGTGTAAGCTCTTCGCTTACTAGTTGTGGAGGCAAGGCCGCGTTCCTCGTTTTGCCGTCGTCCGTCTTGTTGTCAGTCGCCTTTATCAAGCGGCTTCGGAAGCATGCAGGGTGATTGCAAAGCAATGCAAGTATTTGTAAAATAGCAAAGAGTCTCGCTGTTTCACCGTTGACGTAGACATAATTCATGTAGAGCTCGTATGCCTTACGCTGCATATCTGTAAGGGGGACTGAAATAACAAATTCCGTCTTTTGTGGAAGCTCGTCCTTTAGTGCGTGGATGGTCCGGCGATGAACTTTGGGTGCCACCGTTTCTTTTAGTGATCGTAGTTTCACGAGGGCCTTTCTTCGTTGAGAGTGCAGGCTGTCAGCAGAAAGTCCAGCTTCAATCGGTTGAGCAAAGTCTTGTCGAAATTCTGTGGTGCCTCCCAGATAATTGGTGGCAATCCAATTGATCATGGAGTAGTACTCCAGAACATTGTTAGCTAGAGGTGAACCGGTCAAAGCAATTCTGACATGCGACCGGAAACCTGCTGCATATTCGCTGATAAGAGAGACCTTGTTCTTCAGCAAATGCGCCTCGTCTGCAACAATGAGGTTTGGGGCTTCAAGGAGGAGTGCGTCGATTTTCTCCGATTCCTGCATGAGCAGCTGTCTGAACAGGGTGTAGCCGATGAGCAACACACCACCCTTCGTAGACCATGATTCAAGGGTTTCCAATCGATCAGGCTCCTTGTAGTTTGCATCAATCTTGTACACCTCACCAAGATGATGCTTAGAACCGTGGGTCCAGATGATGAATTCATCGTACCAGTTATTGACAAGAGAGGCAGGTGCAAGAATTAGTGTTTTGGACTCTTTGAGGTCATCAGGTATCTGCGAGGACACGGATGGATCCGTTGATGCAGCGGCGCCAGAGATGGTCAGGAGCAGAGTAATGATCTGCATAGTCTTTCCAAGTCCCATTGTATGGGCGAGCAAGCAGCCCTGCCTAGACTTGATGTCCACAACGATCTGATTCCACATGAAGCGTACACCAGATATCTGGTGATCCTTGATACGCCGAGCGATGTTTTCTGGTACATATATGAAGCCCTGATCATCTTGCTTGGATTCATTGATGATGAAACCCATGTTCTGGCTTGCAGTAATATCGTTCGAAAGTGCCAGTTTTGTCCGCAATGCCTTGATTCGCTCAGCTTGTTCTTGTACACGTCGCTGGTCACTCTCGCGAAGATTCAAGGCTGCCTGGTCACGCTTAATGACTGTCTTGCGTTTCTTGCCATTTGAAGATGATTCATCTGTATCAAGATCATCCAAATCTCCTTCAAGATCTTTTTCTGGCTCCTCCAAGACCTTGGTGCTTTTCTTGGGCGATGAGAGAGGTGTAGCCATCGGCTTTTTGGGGGTCATCCCAATGCTGTAGTTGAGAGAAAGCTCCCGCAAAGAGGATACAAACTCTGGAAAGAAGTCCTTTTTATCCTCGAGAGCAATCCTGCCGGCCTGTGACTGGAACCAACGCCTCAAGTGCTGCGATTTATCTCCGAGGTAAGCGTCGAACAGACGGGCCAGGTGCAGTCCGTAAAACAAGTCCTGCTCATTCTCAGACCGGAGCGGGGTTTTGGGTAGATAGGGAGAGTGAAGGCTAGGGACAACAAAGCCATTCCATAGCTCGTCCACTTCCCACAGTGCAAAGCTGAAAATAGTAGACCGGTGAACCTCATCAAGGCTCTTCAGAAGTTCATGGACTATATTCTGGTTTTCAGCCAACCCGTTTTCTTGCAATTGTGAGAGTCCAAGCGATTTCGACTTTACGAACTGAGGGCGACTCGGCGTTTGAAACGATTTGACGATCGCTTTGCCTTTCTCGGGGGTCACAAGATCAACCAGCTCTACACCTTTATAAGTCCTTGAAGCACGCTTGATTTTGGGCATTGGAGTCGACGTTTCCTCGACCTTAATTTTGGGCTCGGTCAGGTCCAAGACGTCTTCCTCATCCACTACGTCCAGCATACTGCTGTTGTCTGCGTCTGCACGCTCTGTTTGAATGGTGCGCGCGAAAGCGGCCGGCAAAGCGGGAGCATGAGAGGCTACAGCAGTATGTCGGTCCTGGGGACCTTCGGCATGCTCTGCAGCTGGAGCCACCTCTGAGGACCTGGGATCTGTACCCTCGGCAAGGTCCGTGGGCACGTCTTCTTCGTCTTGTTCCAAAGGAAGCACATCGGCAGCACCAGTCTTGTGCTCGACGCCCTCAGACGTTTTAGTGGAAGTGCTGTTGCTGGTTCCAACTTCAATCAGTTCATTGACAATTGCGGGCTCTTCGAGGTTCGTCTGCCCGTCATCCTCGACTTCATACATGACCTCATCGCGTATCTGAGATGCATCATCGATGATGAAGCTGGAGAATTCAGGTTCGTCAGAATCTGAATCACTTGCCAGAATCTCCTCATCGGAGCCAACAATTTGTTCTTTGGCCAGTTTTGGTCGCTGCCGACGAGGCGCTCTTGGTAACTTCTTTGGTTCATGTAGGGACAGCAGCAGATTGAGGAGCCAAGTAGAGTATTCAAGATCAACGATGGTCTGATCGAAGATTCCTTCAACCTTCCTAACATCCGCTTCGTTTGTCCACGGCTGCTTGACAATCTCTTCTCGAAAATTACTCAGTCGTTGACGATAGCGAGCAATGAGTCGACTCTCTCTGTCAATAGCCTGCTTGAGCCCTTGTTTGCGAGCTTTGTTCCACATATGATTGGCTCTATGTTGGAGTGCCGGCAACTTGACAGTCTCCCAAGCAGCGGTTTTCTCCGAGATAATCTGGTCGACAATCGTGTTCTTCTCTTCGTTCGAGAGGTCGGTGCGAGGCTTTTCCTTGAGTTTTTCACGTTCATCTGCTTCTTCCACGATCTCTTTCCAAGTCTCCGAATCGTACTCGTCGTCAGATTCGCCCCATGCCGGCAGCACTTGATCGTGTTCCGGGTCGTCGCCTCCTAGAACCATGTCTGCCTTGCTAGGTCTGAAGACATGCTGCTGTTTAGCCAATCGGCGTTTGACGAGACGAGCACGCTGTCTTCTCAACCCGATCGGATAAGATTCCTGTTGGATTTCGAACTCTAAATCCTCGTTCGCAAGTGGTTGAGCAGAGAAATGAAACTCGATTATGTCTGCTCTATTCAGGACATATGGGCCAATGTAGGCTCCTGAAAGCTTTGTCGCAGCCGCTTCTTCTTCTTCGGGTGTCAAGTCGGATACTAGATTACCCTGGGGCATATTGCGAAGACCCTCGGCACTAACGTCAGAAGAAAGCGTGACGGGGGCAATCCTGCGCTTCTTGCGAATAGGTCCATCTGCAGTTGCAAGTTCCTGGGACGCTTTGGCTGCCGAAGTCGGTGGTGCAGCGGGTGAAGACACTGTAGGGGTTGCAGCTTGAAGAGGTGCAGCTGGCGTCGAAGGCCCAGACAAGATTGCTTGGGGAGTGTTGTATGCAGACTCTGCGCTCTCATCTTTGCGCTCTTCCTCTAGTTTTCTTTTCCTGCTTGTTTCGTCGAGGCGACCCAGCACCCCATTGTAGATATTGTAATCGTCATCGTCATCTTCCTTTTGTCGAAGCTTCCAGATTTTGTACTTGCGACTCGCGCGACGGAATTGGGTGATGGCATCCCTCAGTGTTTCTTTATGCTTGATCGCCTTGATCCCGAGATCAAACCAGAAGTCCGGCGCGTCGCTTGCTGAGCCGAGAAGGCTCTGCCCGTCAACTTCGTTCTCTCGTAAGCTTTCTCGGAGATGCTCGATATTGGGTAGCTTGGGCGGGTCGGTCGATGGTTTCCATGTTCGTTTTCCCGTGCAGAGCTCCTGTACCACCCTATCGGTGTCCCACTCCCAGGGATCAACAGTCGCTGTCATCTCGTCGCAAAGACTGTCGCATCGCAGATCTGAGAATGAGTGGAGCTGCGGTCTGGTGTTGGTGAAAGTTGGACGAAGAATATTTCTGGAAAGTTAGAATCAGTGATTGTTTTCGTTGCTGGGGGTTTTACAGGCAGCTTCCAGCAGCAATAGCAAGGTGCCAAACTTGAAGCTTTCTGTTGAACTACATGGGGGAGATAATATGATGGAGGAAGGGACTATTGCTCGATAAATTAGAGTCGACGTTTTATCGTACCTACCTTAGGAAGCTAAGCTTGAACCCGAATCTGAGAATATGAGGCACGCAATCCGGTGGTCTCACCAGTTCATTGCTATGAGGAGCTTCGCAAAGAAAGGGTAATGCAAGATGTGTACTATGCTGGGATAGCTGTGATGGGCAGAGAGGCAGAGAGGTCTGCGGGGCTACCTTGTTCGCGATTGCAGATATTCGGCTTGTTCGAGAATGGCTTCCGATCGTCAGGTTGGCGTTGCGACAGAAGGTATGCGCTGGGTGGTGACTTTGTGATAAGAAACAAATACTTGGTTGCTTATGGTGGATTTGTCAACTGGCGGTCCAGGTATGGATTCGGTCCAAGAAGCTCAGGAGAGTGAGTTCGGCGGGCAGAGTGCAAAATGCTCCGAAACACCAAAAGAAAAAAAAAAGATATGGAGTGAGCGGCTATTCCAAGGTCAAGAGTAACCGCAAAACGGGCGAGAGTTGGCTATCGCAGAGCTGAACACTCCCAGATTGCTCCACATCATACCATTTGAGGAAATCGCTGCCCAATAAATGGGGAGTTCGCCAACCATGAAATTGCCCGTTATTCGACTTCGAGTAAACTTTTGACAAGGAGTGGCGACCAGAGACAGACGACGGCAGTTCAACCGAATGTTGAATGTTTAATGTCCCGTTTTGGTGTTCCTACTGTAAATCCGAAATCCACAAGCTGGACGCGCTGGTGCTTGGGGGGATGTGCGGGGCGCGACGCGGAAGTGGCGCCTGTGTAACTCCACATATAACTAACCTTAGGTTAGTACATAGAGTGTAAAAGTATATCCTAGGTACGTTTGTATGTACATACAGTAGCACTCTGTGGCACTTAACTTACTGATAAGATAAGCGATTGAGCTTTGAACTCTACCGCACACGGTTCGTTCAGGTGGGGGCGGGGTAGTTGTTATTTCACATCATGCGGAATACATTTCTTGAGCTCGACGTCACACCCATCTGGTTGATGTTGCCAATAACACTATCCAAGCCAAAGTTGGAGTCGGAGTCGAAGCTGAAGCCTTCCAGCGAGTTGAGTCGGAGTAGTTATCTTCTTGGCATTTGAGGGCTTTCTGTTCTATCGTATTTGAAGCCCAAACTGATATTATTGTGTTGTGCATGTGAAATCCGGAATCAGTACCGTTCGGAATCAGTACTGTTGTCTGAAGTAGCATGACGCAATGATCACCATTAAGGACATACTACATACTTTATGTCTTGGATTGTTTTGAACTGTTATCCGAAGTCCTTTGAAATTGCTATAGTTAGTTTCGAGCATAGAATATACTCTTTCTTCGTCAGCTTTGTAATCAACCATCCAATTTGTCAATTCGTCTGCTAAGCTCCGTGATCGCGTCAATCGTGCTCCTCAAGTGGGGCAGTTCTAGGTTAACCACTTCGTTCCATCTGTCACGTCACGCACCGAAGACATACATAGTGGTGTCATTTCTGTGTTTGACTGACTGCCACTTGCTCATCCGTTTGCTCACCAGATCCCCCTTACGGAAGAGCAGCAGCCGTGAGACAACAGCGTACAAAAAGATTACCCACCAAAAAAAAAACCCTCTGATCAAAAGGTAGCTACAGAAATATCTGCACAGCCAATTCACGACTTGTCTTCGGGAGTGCTAACTTATACAATAGTATAACTTTTCATATTGCTTTCAGCATAGATACTTATACGGGATTCTTCAGACAAGATGTCATCCTACCCTCCTGAACTAAGCGCCTCAGAAGGCGAGAGACTCACTGAAGTGGTGAAAGATTGGTCTATCGCACATGGACTTACTGTTCGCCCACCTCCCAATCTTGTTAAAGCAGAGGCAGATCCTAGCAATATCTTGGCTACAGCTGTCCCTGTCACGCTCTTTCCAAGTCCCTTCCCAAAACTCTGCTTCGACCAAGGACTCCACGTTCAAAAAGCCTACAATGAGTTATATGCTTCGATCAGCAAGGATGAGGACTTTCTTGCGCAGATCGTGAAAGAGTAGCTCTCGCCCCTTTTGGACGAAATATCATGAGCTGACAAATTACAGAATCGGCGACAGTGATGACTTCACTCAAGCTCTCTGGAAAGTACACTTGAAAGTCAAGGAGGAGGGTTATGTCCAGCCTTTGTCACTCGGCTTGTTTAGATCCGACTACATGGTGCACCAGGAGCGTCCCGATTCAACGCCTCAGATCAAACAGGTGGAATTCAACACCATCGCTTCATCGTTTGGCGGTCTTGCGGCCCAGACTTCGCTCTTGCACCGTTATCTCTCAGTGCATGAGTATAACCTGCTCTCCAGCCCAGTCACTAAAGGCTTTACTACCCTTCCGGACAACCACAGCACAAAAGGGTTAGCCCATGGCATTACGCAAGCATACAGAGCTTATGGGGCGGCCGTAACAGGAAACCAGAAGTGTGTAATTTTCTTGACTCAAGATGGCGAGCGTAACATCTTCGATCAGAAGCATCTCGAATACCAGGTCTCGGGCCCACCCCAGAGCATCCTCGTCTTCCGACTTCCCTTCTCGCAAGTCCTGAAGCACACCAAGCTCGCGGAAGGCAAGGGCCGACAACTCCTCTACACCTCACCTCAGCTACCCCATCTGACCTTCGAAGTCGCTGTGATTTACATGCGCTGTGGCTATGGCCCGTCCGATTACCCTGACCAAAGCGCATGGGATGCCCGCTACCACCTTGAGCGCTCCGCTGCCATCAAGTGCCCCACCGTGCTCACACAAGTCGCTGGAACCAAGAAAGTGCAACAAGTCCTCGCAACGCCCAACACCGACGACTCCTCCAAGTCGTCTATCCTCCACCGCTTTCTCTCGCCGGCTACCCACACGGCGCTCAAGGACCTCGAAGCCACGTTCACCAATATCTATCCACTCGACACATCACCGGCAGGCAAGGAGGCCCGCAAGCTCGCGCTCGACGCGGAGGAGTGCAAGAAGTACGTCCTCAAGCCGCAGCGCGAGGGCGGCGGGAACAACGTCTACCGGACGGCGATTCCGGGATTTCTCAAGTCGAAGCCGGAAGACCACTGGGGTGCGTATATCCTTATGGAGCTGATCACACCACCACCGGTCAAGAACACCATCCTACGTAACGGCAAGTTAGAGACGGGTGGCGTTATCTGTGAATTAGGTATCTACGGCACATGCATTTGGGACCAGCGGGAGAAGAGTTCGGAAGGCCGCGGCATTCAACTGAACGAGCAGGCAGGCTATCTGCTCAGGACAAAAGGAGACCAAAGCGAAGAAGGTGGTGTAGCCGCTGGGTTTGGCTGCATGGACAGTGTCGCATTGATCACAGGCAGCGGTGGGAAGGATACAAACGCCAACAAGAGTGTGGGCACTAGTTAGGACCAGGCATAGGACGGGAATAAATAACGTCCAGCAGTTAGACAATCATAGTTGCCCAGACACTACCTTCAGATAGCACGATGCGTTTGGACAACATAGCACTCAGCTGAACAACTCTGTCAATGTTAACTACACTGACTACCCTGTTGACACCAACTGCTCTCAATTGGGCAGCGCTCTATACTGAAACTAAAAAATGGTGCCTACTCTACAGTAAGAACAACACAACGGCACCGACTACAGGACCAACAACAGCACACCGCGGCCCCTACTGGTAAACGTGCACCGGGCCATCCAGGTTGTATGTGTATGGTCCTTTGTCCCCACTCCAGCCGCATTGCAAGTGCTAACTCTCCATGACACCCACCGGATATTTGAGTTGCCAAGTAGAAAAGAAACCAAAATAAATAAATAAATAAAAAAAGAAGAAACAGTGTCCAGCAGATTAATGGTCTGAAATAAACTCAAAAAGAAGCCCCACGTGGGGGTCGAACCCACAACCTTTAGATTAGAAGTCTAACGCGCTACCATTGCGCCAGCAGGGCTGGAAAGCTGTTCTGCTTCATGGATTCTTGGTCAGTTATGCGGAAATAAGAAGTAACAATTTTCAGCTCACCTAGTCTCCTCTTTCTTCTCTAGCTAGGAAAAAAACTGGGATCGTTATTCTCACAAAAGCGGGTAAGCCAGCGTAAGTAAAAGTGTGTTGAGTTAAGTTTTGTGGGCTCGTCACCTACCGGCCAGCTGCGGCTTGGCATTAGAATATTTCTCTTTTGCTATGTGGGGCCACCAGTCCAAGTTGTGAAGACAGTCTACTGTATGTAGCGGCATCACACAGACGGGAGTCACCGTTGAAAACAGTGTCTCCACGACAATGAGGCAGGAAGGTTCAGGCACTGGACCTCTCCTCCTATACCATCCCCTGATCCCACCAAGAACCCCTCCAGGAAATTGTCTACCTGGCTTTCGAGTGGCCAAACACATTTCAACCACTGTGCCTGGTGGTGTGGCTGTTCAAGGCGATACAGCACATGGTCCATCTCACCTACAACAGCAACGGCTGGGCGAGATGACATGACCAGTCGTGTCTTAGTGTCGGGCTCCATAGTTGTGTGATGAGCGAACATCTGGTTATATGAGTGTGCAAGAAAACGCAGGCATATGTGCCTTAAAGAACATCATAGGACTGATTACATGTTAAAGATTCAAGCAGTCGTACAACGGACCCTGAGCGTGCTGTTGTACAAGATCTGGACCCCTCTCTCCAAATATATATATATTTACGGGCTCGGTCATTCTTTTATGTTACTTGTATGTTATTAAATAGAGACAGACATCAAGTATAGGCGTCCAGACCCCTGGGTCCCAGGTCACACACCCGTAGCATCACAAAAAGCGCCAGCCTCTCTTGCTCAACGGCTTCAAGGTCGGAGTCGCTGCCGCCGCCGCTTGCCCGGGAATGAAGAACGTCGTTATCGACCTGGCGGCAACAGTGCCCACTACCGAGCCATCAGCGACAGTCACGTTGGTCTCGGCACAGTTGTGAGCAGCGTCTGTCACCCAGGCCGACGCCGTCGTCGGCGTGAACCCTGTGATCCTCACGCTGACAGCGCTCGCCGAGCCCCCTGTGCTGATCACCACGACTGCCACGCTGCCGTCAACGTTCCTGAAAGCCGCGCTCTTGACACCGCTTCCGCCGCTGCTTCCGACCCGGACGGCGCCGGGTCTGACGAACCGGCTCCAGTTCGCAAACGCCCACAGCCTCTTCGAGACCTCGTAGTCGTACGGCGCCGTCTTGGCCACCTTGATCATCTTCTCGTTGGTATTGGGATCCGGCCACTGCACGCCCTCCCAGTAGAGGTACCCGGAGACCTGCGTATTGACGACGGCGGCGTAAATGTTGTTGGCCCAGGTCAGCCCCTCGCCGGCTCCGCCGCTGGCGTACCAGGACGCCGTCCACTGGCCGTTGAGGTCGCACTGCTCCGACAGCCAGACGGGCACCTTGGTGTTCATGGGGCTCGACGACCCGCCCGTGTACGTGTGCGAGGTCACCGTCCTGAGCAGGGCCTCGGCCCCGGCCGACTTGATGGCGTTGAGCATGTTGACCTGGTTGCCCCAGCCTTCGGACTCGCAGCACGCGATGCCGACCTGCGAGGACAGGTTCGCTGCCTGCAGCGTCGAAGACAGCACCTTGATCATGTCGGCAGCTTGGGCACCACTCGAAGACATGGATGCGTAGCTTGCCGCAAATTCTGGCTCGTTGAGAAAGCCGAGGCTGTGATCAGAGAAGTCAGAACAGATACCAATACTGTTATATATATATACACACATTTTGGAAAGAAAAGAAAGAACGGAAAAACGTAATCAGAAACCACACCTACTGCGTCACGGGAACCCCTGCATCGGCATAGTACTTGACGTAGCGCACCAGGTAGTCCGCATAGGCCTGCCTCCAGTCGCCGCTCTGGCAGCTCGTCCCGGAGACGCCGCAGAGCGTGCCGCCGTTGTTCTCGTTCCCGTTGCTCTTCATGTAGCCCGGCGCGCTCCACGCGTCTCCGTATATCGTCCTCACGCCGTACGTCCTGTAGGCCTCCTGGCTGACGAACAGCTGGCCGGAGTCCCTGCCGTCCCAGCTGTCCCGCGGCGCCGCTTTGGGTCCGCCCGGGTTCGTGGGCGCGAAGGTGTTCATGTGGTCGCTGCTGCTGTCGGGCGAGGACCCGATGCCGTTTCGCACGATGGACAGCCCGGCGCCCGTGGTCGTGTTGAAGAGCAGGTCGAGGAGCTGGCGTTGCTTTGTCTTGTCGGACATGTTCGTTATCAGATTGGCCCTCTGGAAGGCGAAGGAGCATCCAAACCCGTCCATGGTCTGGTAAGTCTTGCTTAAATCTACCGTGATGTCACCTGCGGCGCGGCGCCATGAAGAGAGCGCCGAGGTCGGTGTAGCGGCGCCGATGGCCAGGAGAAAACTTATTGCTTTCATCGTCGGCAACGTTCAAGTCATGAGTTGTTTCCGACAAAAATGCATATGACGACCATCAAACGGACAACATCCTAATGCCACTGAAGTTTGGTATGTTTATATAACGTGCCAGAGCTGTTACTGTCATTTGGCCGTCCATTAATCTGCATCTGCCGGATATTCCATGAAGCCCGATCCTATAGACGTGACCGGGTCATAACAGAGAGCCAAACGTAGCCTAATGGTTTTCGGATCTAGGGATCTTATACAATTGCACCACCTCGAGCTGTGGGGTATGCTGAGGCCAAGTCGGAAGAAGCAATCGCGACACGACACAGGCCGACCGGCTATATCAAGTCACTTTAGCCATACGCTGTTCGTGAACATTCAAGTTCTGCTATTAATAGAAGTCTCCTATGTATATCAACTCCGTACCAGATGTAGTATCGGGTATTATAAAACAACCGACAGCATACCGGTAAGTCTGAACTAGTTACCCTGCGCACTTGGTGAGTTTATGCATATAATTATACATACACATATTTTAAATTGAATGAGTACTTTACATATGCTGAGCTTTTGCTAGGCCTCTTGTCACGGTCGCAACAGAGCACGAAGACTTGGATCGTTGTTTACCGTATGTATTGTGAAGTCAAGAAAGCTAAAGAACAAAAAGACTTAATCGCGAGACACTTATACATATTACATGATCGCGTAGCTTCGCCTTGGTCAAAGCCGTCACACTTCTTTGATTATACGTGGCGTAATATGCTATGAAAATGGTTCCAAGTAGTTAATACTTGACGAAAACGCATGGTATGTTACGCAAACTATTACTTGATAATGCGAATGTTACTTAGATAACTCTACAAAGTTCCTGACGTTACCCTTTCGTCGTTGTATAGAATTGTCTAAGAAGAACTACCGTTCGGCAATTACCGTTTTTACGACACTTGACTAAAATCGGGATTACAATTCATGACCGACTCGAGAAGGCAGTAAGTACTACGCTTGAAAGGGGTGCACCAAAAGTTCGGAAGTCAAGTTGATAGCGAGTTCGTTTTCGCAAATATGGGGTTACGGTAAGCTGACGTCGACTTGGCATCTCTCGAGTAGTCTAGGCCAAGTTCCGCGTGCGGAAACAATGGCTCCTTTGCCCGCCAATGGATGATTTTGAGGTACTTTCCTTGTACGGTGGTGAACAACGCCACGGGGAGTCCACGAAATATCGCCAAACCAGAGATGTGTAAGCGACAGGAAAACTTATTCAATTTATAGACGTAGAATCTCTATCTAATTGTCTCATGTGTAATGGTTGAATTGCACAACTCGAGTCCAATCAAATTACATACTTAGCTGCCAACCGCATGAACCAAAACAGCTCCAATTGGTTGTGCCGTGTTCATAAAATAAGCAACTCCATGGAAACGCCTGTAAATGATTTGGGCTATCGATATCGGTGCTCTCTTTCCAGTGCAGATATGCATGATGCAAATCAAGTCTATCCCCAACCAGGTCTTTTATCATTTCACCGTCCCTTACATGAATGTCATGAATATCGTCCGCCATGCTCATGATGACCCGTTGGAAAAGATCATAGCTTAAGAAAACAAGGCAACGCCCGTATACACAAGGACCACAAGCACAATTGTGCTGATCGCCAGTGCCCGAGGCAAGAAGACCAAGGCAGCGAGGACGAACATACCCAGGCGCTTTACCTGAGCTACTCGATCGTCCAGGTCGGCGTTGCGGGACGTGTTGTCGTCACCGGACATGTCAGAGCTCGCAGCTCGCCGCTTACGTCCAGCGCGACGACGGCGCCTCCTAAATTCTGCTTGATCTAGGGGCTCGTCACCACCTCCGTCTCCTTCCTCTTGTCAACCGAAGTGGAATCCACCGGGGAAGCCTTGAGGCCCTCGGCCGCCACCACCACCACCACCAGTCGAGAAGCGGGCACCACCACCGCCGGGGAAGCCGCCTCCACCGTTCATCATGCTGAATAGAATTTCAGGGTCAATACCGCCCATACCCCCACCCATGCCACCCATGCCACCACCGCCGGAGAACATGTCCGAGGGGTCGACGAGGTCTTCGCCACTGTCATAACGGGCCCGCTTCCTGTTAAGTTGTTAGCGTTGTGCGTATAATAATCACGGGGACATATCAACATACTGAGGGTCGCTCAAGTTTTCGTACGCTTCACCAATGTCCTTGAAACGTTCCTCTGCTGAAGGATCGTTCTGGTTCTTGTCGGGGTGGTGGACAATAGCCAGTTTGCGATACGCCTTCTTGATTTCGCTGTCACTGGCGTCCTTGGAAACACCGAGGATCTTGTAGTAATCCTTCCGCTGAGCCTTCTTGAGCTCGAGTTCGGCCCTTCGGATCTCCTTGGCGATGTTGCGGTCCTCGGGGTCCATCTCTTGAATGGCCTTCCATTCCTTGACGGCGTCCTCCCACCGCTCGGCTTGGCCCAAAGCATTGGCCTTTGTCTTGCGGGCCTTCATGTATGAAGAATCGAGACTGATAGCCTTCTCGCAGTCTGCGATGGCTTCGTCGTACTGCTTGAGCTTTATCCTGCAAAGTGCACGGTTCTGGTAAAGCTTCGAGTTTGTGCCTCGGTTCGTAGGATCGACCTCCAACGCCTGAGTATACTTGTCGAAAGCAGCTTGCCAGCGGCCGGCCTTGTAATCGGTGTTGCCCTCCTCCTTCATGCGGTCGAGCTTCTGGACAATTCGCAGATACTTGACAGCGTCACGGTAATCCGGGTCGCCGCTGATGGCTTTCCGGAAATGCTGGATAGCCTTGTCATTATCACCCTGTGCGTACAAGGCACGGCCACGCAGGACCAATGCCTCGGGATCTGAGTTGTTGTATCTCAGGAGGGACATGGCGACGTTCTGCGCCTCGCCCAACGAGTTGACGCCTCCCATCTTCAGGTAGGCCGAGCCTCTCATCAGCTGCCACTTACGAGGCTTTGGTGCGCCGACTCCGAGGAATCTCTCGGCCTGGTCAAGGGCGTGCAGCACCATGGAGCCAGATGTGCCGCTGTTGAGGGCGTCAGTGGCAGCCTTGATATGGTGCTGCATTTCCCTGGCAGGAGCCATGTCCTTGGCCGAAGCCGGGGGCTGAATGCGGCCAAAGGTGACCAGGGCTTCATCGGGGCGTCCCAAGCTGGTGTAGATGCGGGCGAGCCGCAACAAGAACTTGGCATTGGAGGGATCTAAATCAACAGCGCGAGAACAGTCTTCCAGAGCCGACGCATATTGCCCATTCGACATGTAAGCAGCGGCACGGTTACTGAGATAGGTGGCAGAGTCCGGTATCAACTCGACAGCTGAGAGATGGGATTAGTCAGCGAGGTCTCACTCATCAAGGCCGGCACGAAGGGAATGCGAAGACACCTACCTTTGGAGTACTGCAGGATGGCGTTCTTGTAGTCCCTGTCTTTGAAATACTTGTTGCCCGCGGTCTTGTAGGCCTCGGCCTCGTCTGCCGCAGAAGGGACAGGGCTCGACGGGTTGGAGCGATGAGGCGGGGGCACCGGCCCATCGCCGTTCGTAGGCGGCGTCTTGCGACCATTGGTTGGCGATGTGACGGGGACAGTGAAGTTGTTGGGGTGCTGCTGCGCGGGCGGCGGCGACGACGGAGGGGCGGCCGAGGGCTCGCGGTCAATGTCCATCTTGTCGGTCGAGCTGCGGTTGCTCATGTTGGAGAGGGCTGAGAGGCGCTTGGCTCGCTCCTCGGGGGGAAGGTTGAGGGGGTGGGTATTGGGGTCAATCTTCTTGCTGCGACGGGAAGAAGAGGAATCTGTGTTCTGCCTACCAAAAGGTCGTGAACTTCGTGGCTTTGCAGGGGATTGCTCCTTCGAGGTCGGCGTGTGCGTGTGCGTCTGCGTGTGCGCAGGCAATGCGGGCGAAGCGGGTCTGGCACTGGTGGTTTTTCTGGGCGGTTGAGATTCCCTCTCCCTCTTCACTGCGGGCGTATAGTGGGGGGGCGGTTGTGGGTATGGATGCGGTAAAGCAGTGGCAGGCTTGACAGGCGAGTGTGGCTTCGAGTCTGTGCTGCCTGTGCCGTTGCTGTTGCTGTTGCTGTAACCGTGGCGAGGGTTTCTGTTCTCGTCGTTCTCGCCGGTTGGGTGCTTCTTGGGGGAGGTGGGTTTCTTTGAGGTGAATAAACCCTTCATTGGGTCAGCGAAGCGTATGGCAAGATTTCGAAGTAAGAAAAAAAAAAATAAGTTAGAGCCGGTGCCTCTTAACCCGCTGGGTATTGCGTAGTGCTGCGCTCAATTGCGGAACCCACACCTGCAATCTTTAGGCCCTTTTAGTTGTCTTAGGTAAGAAGGGACCCCCCGGGCTCGGTCTTGGGAGGTTCAGAAACGCCGCTGTAGATGTGCAAGTCCAGTGACAGCGAGGCTCCAGCACATGAATCGACGTCCTGGAGTTGGAGTATGCGATCGCAAAAGAAGCAAATCTCTTTATCTTCTTTCTTTTCTTTTTTCTGGCTTGCAAAAACGTTTCAGTTGTAGCCACACTCGACGACCTTGTGCGCTTATTTAGAGAAACTGTATCTCAGCAAAGGAAATATAATGCCCCAAACTGCCTTGCTTCCGTGACTCTGCTGTTTTGCGCACAACTTGCAAGAGTCTCAATGACTGACTCTGCTGGCTTGCACTTGCTGGTGGATTCTTCTTGGCACGGCGCAACTTTTCTCTCTTCTGCCACAAAGATAGACGGTGATGAACGCTCGTCACTTGGTTGGATACTGGACCGAGACGGAAACCAGCAAGGAGGCTGTAAGTCGGTTGCGCAGACAGGAGTAACACCCTTTTGCAGGAAGAGACAGAATATGGTCGATGCGTTGCGTGGTGTTGCGTTCGAGGTGAGAGGTGGAAAAGGTTGGGAGTAGGACGGGAGTAGGACTGGAGTCAGAGAGGGACGAGCTTCAACCACGAGAATTGATTGATAGATATCGGGGAACACTTGCGACTTTGTTTGACGTCTCTGCCTCGACCTTGATCGATTTATCAGCCTAGTACAGCACAACACAGCACAGCACAGCACAGCACAAACACAGCCGGCCAGTACTTTATCTCCCTTGCACAAAACGAGTTGTGATGTGCTGTTCAAATGCTCTTCCCATCCCCGGGGAATAAAAATCGTCAGGCTGGGGATTGGGAAATTTTTGTGAAATTCGACAAATCGTCATTCTCCTGGGTTCCGTCTACTTGCCCCCGCACCCTTCCACAGAGCAGACCCAGGTGTCTGGTACTTTCACAGGAGGGTTCCACTCGTCAAAGAGGCGGCCCAGTATTCACTGAGTATGGAGCGGTTCATCCAATAGATACAGGGTGTTGCAGTTTGTTTACATAGCGCTGCATCTACAGGCGACAGAGCGGTGTCCTCAGTGGTCATCTGCCACGGATCAGACCCATAGTGGCTATCCAATCGACCCCGTCACCATAGAAATATGGGAGGTTGAACCTGCGTTGATAGTGCAGATTGCGTCTGGTCATTACTTCTTCCAGAACTTCTCCCAGCATTTGGCACAAACGCAGGTTATCGATCGACTGGTGAGCCCGTTTGGAGTAGACAATGCGGTTAAGCGGGCGCTTGCTCCCGGCGGCCTGGTCACCCCCAATCCTTGTACAAGTATCAGTTATCCGTTGGGGTTATGAAAGTCTAGCAGGGTCCAGGGGGCCAATGCTTCCACGAGCGGGAGTCCCTGCAGCTTGTCACCAACCGAACGCCGCCTAAAACCCCAGGTGCCTTGTCGCACTTGCTGACCACCAGCCGCCGTGTTTCGGTCAGAATCGCCAGCCGCAATATCGATTCTCGAAGCTTCTGTGGGGCCAGAACTGATCACCATGACGCTCAGGCCAGTGGATCGTAAACTTGTCACATTGTTTAGCATGTACTATTTGTGCGAACGTACCGACGACACGCCCGCGATTATGCAAAGGGCATACCTCGAGCCGTCTCTGAAGTTTTCCTCAAGGTTCTTTAGTTCTTCCCCACGTGCTAAATCTAAATTGATCTCATATGTGGTATCTTATACTCTCCACCAGCTCAAATGGTCCCGGCTGCCCGTTTGTGTCTCCACTGGAGCGTGCTGTGTGGTACAGAAACTTCGATAGCAAAACTGTGATTATATCACAAAGATCTAAGCGTCGCGCCCAATCCAATGAACTCTCCCTATGCTTGAGATGCACTCAAAAATTGTGCATTGCAAAGGTCTGCGCCAACTTTCGATGTCACGGACATCCATAAAAGCATAACAATATAATAAAAACCATGCAACGAAGAAATGAAGAGGAGAACGGTTATATTGTAGGCAACGCCAAATTCGACTATGACGTATGGACATTCTAGCGATATTGGCTTCATGTAGAACAGAGATCGTGACGATCAGCAACATGCAATTGAAATCGATATCTTACATAGTAGGAGTGAGTGGCATCATAAACCCGCGAAATATAATTATAACAAGTCAACTAAGAACTAGGACTAAAACATACATATGAGTCTCCACATCACTGTTTGCGTCACATATACAGACCTCCCGATGGTATGGGGACTCACTAGTACCTGTAGATGTGCTTCGTAGTGATTTTCTGGTACGACTTACAGGAATTGAATATCGGACGGTATGATCCTGAACATTTAGGTTCTGAAAAAGTAAACCGGTATATAAATAGATCGGCTGACAAGCTAAGCGGAAATTCCACCCATCTACAGAGCACTTTACGTCGGGATATCTAGAAGCAATACAGCAAAAAAAGTAGAAGAACAAAATCAACCTCTCGCGAGCATAATGGTCTTCTGCACGTTTATCATCTCCTTCCAATTTCCGAAAAACTTCGAGCCAACCGTTGATAATAAGAGTCCCGCAGCACAATCAGCTGATTCTCTTATCAACTTCGGCGTTGAATCCCTCCTTCTCTAGCTTGATGCGCATTTCAGCCTCAGCCTCTCTCTTGATACGATGGAAAGCCAGTTTCTCAAATCGGCTGAGCCCTTTCCACCAGTGCTGCCCGGCTTGGTGCTCGCTAATCCTCTCTAAAAGCTCCGTAGTCTTGATACGCACGTCCTTGTCTCTATGGAAGAGACCCAAGGCCAGATAAAATAACCCAGCATGAGACTCGGGAGCGACAGTAAGCAGCAAACACGTTTCGTCGTATGAGTAAACGTGTTTGGAGAAGGCCATGTAGATCTCCCGACTTTGAGACGGGTTGAGCTTTTGTGTGCGCAGACGATCGTGCAAATGATGCAGGTCCAACCCCTTGAGAGGCTTGATCGTGTACAGCTGCGCGAGGTCCTAATTGTTGAGTTAGTGGTTGGACGTGGGATGTTTTCTTCGAAGCAGAATCGTACCTGGATGAAGCTGTAATAGCTTCGAGTGTTTCTCCAACCCTCGATCCTGCACACATTGCCTGCTAGTTCCTTCTGCTTGGCGGTATCGTCTGCCCACACATATCCGTGCCCACTCAGCCCGATGTTGCTGTTCTCGGCGTCGTCGCCACCAATATACAACGCACTAGCTCCGTACACACTTTCTTCAAAAGCGGCGGCTATCCTGCAAAACTTGACTATCCAGTCGCGCAACTTCGCACGAATGACCCGTTCGCCAAGCCTCGCGGCGATGCCTTTCAAAATATCGTTCATAAAAACCACGTCTCCGGTCAGGTCGCTGGATATCGATGAGCCACTGACCAAATTGGCAAAGCTAGGGTGCTGTTGTTGGAAGTAAACTAGACCCTCTGTGATGGGTGCGGTTTCAGTCCTGCTGCTAATCTTCATGCGCCCACTGGGAATATCGCATAATACGTCCCACCATTCCGGGTGAAGCTCGAAAGTGGGATTCGTGACCCCAGCAATGAAGCCAGGAACTTTCAACAAGTCGTCGATCTTGGTCAGATCTGTGTAAGGGAAGGCGTGCCTGGTAAATCCCCTCAGAATGCCCCCGGACGCCAAGGCGCATGCAGCAAGTACTGCTTCGGCAACATCCCCTGAGGGCATGTTATGGCCCAGAAAGATGATCCTTTTTTGTGTGAGCAGCGCGTTGGCCAGCACTATGATAGGATGAGTATTCGGTCCGTTCGTTGTAAGGTGGGGATGCACCGAGAAAGGTTGAGGTGATTTTGCATGCGGTTCCGAAAAGGTCTGGATAAGCTTGATGATGGAAAAGTCTCCCACGGTCTCTGGCATGACAGCAGTGGGTACCTTGACGGGGATGGGAATACCCTTGTAGAGGACCTTGCTTTCGAACTCATGGGTATCTCGAGGCAGAGCATGACCAGATGAACCAGCCAAATAAGCCTTTGTGCCCGCACGAGAGATTTCCTGCAGCTTTGGCGGGCTCCTGTTTGCATCCAACGGTTCTGTGACCGACCCTCTTCGATCCTCTGCCATGCGGATCTCAATCATCTGGGCGAACTTCTCCACGAAAAGATCTTTGTTGTCACTTGCCAGCAAGAGGCTTCTTTCCAGAAGACTCAGCTTTGGCATAAGTGACAAATCCATACTGTTGACGGCATCGTATAGCATCGATAAAGTCTCTGGCACAGGCGACTTGAAGTATTCTTCCAGCGCTAATAATAGAAGCGGCTTCTCGATGTCAGCAATTCGGCCTTCCAGAGTGGAAAATGATGTCATAAACCAACCTTGTATATGTGCAGGAAAGAATGTCTCGTGCATATTGCCATGGCCTTCACGACCGCTCCTCTCTTGGCCGTCTTGTCGTGCTTCGTATTAACCAGATTCAGTACGTACACCAAAGGCGGGCCCTCTCCGCCTTCTGGCTCATCGTCGTCACTAGATTCGTCGTCCAAGTCATCATGTTCGTCGTCGTTATCGTCGTCGTCGTCTTCCTCATCGGCGGTATCGTCGCCATCGTGCTTAACTAGACCAGCCGCCCGGTCCCTCCTTCGCTTCCTCCGCGCTCTACGTGCTTTTTTCTTCTTAGCCTCCTCTTCATCCTCTTCTTGTGTGCTGTCCTTGTGCAGGAAGAAGATGGTCCAGTCCTGATTGCGGGCGTGGGCCTGATCCGGCAACATCAACTCGGCCAGCATGTGCTCATCTCCGGTTATAGCAACAGGAAACTGGTGTTCCATGATCGGGCCCCGGTCAATGTCGAACGAGGCGACGAGGATGTATTCCACATGATTATCCGCCGAGCCTCTTGGGTACTGCGACCTCACTCGCCGCGGAGGGTTGGCATCGGGATTGACCCTCTTCGGCACTGGCGCCAGGGACGAGTGCTGAGAGGATGATGCCGTCCTGCTGCTGATGGACGATGTCTTGTTCGACTTCGAACTCGGGTTCGAGTTTCGATCGAGATCGGCCTGTAAGGGGGGTTGCGGTGACCTCGAGGGTCGCGAGTGGTGCGACATTGCCGAGGGGGATCGCGAAGATGGGAAGGAGGAGAGCGACGCACGGTGGCCGTGATTTACCGGGGGAGCATGGCCATTGTTGATGGTCTGGGTGGTGTTTGCTCTCTGTATGTACGGCCTCGCGGTGCCCGAGACTGAAGCCATAGTGGAAAGCTTAATAGTGGCCCGTCCCGTGCGGGACGGTGCCTGCTTCGTGTATTGGTACTGTCGTGTGGTCGGGGTTTGGATATGCACCTGCAAGGTATTCTAACACTTGGGATGCGTACATGCAGAGATCGTCGCAACGCAGAAGCAGAAATGTTTCAACTTTGACTCGATTGGGCCGAGAATACGATGTCGCTTCTGCACAAGGAGTTTTTCGTGTAACAGTGACAGAAACGCAGTGCCGTGCCGTGCAGTGCAGTGCGTCTTATGGCTGAAAGTGGTGTACCTCCTTTGGGATTGGGGGCCCCCGGTTCAGACACTTTGTCCGGAGTATTTCTATGGATGGGATTGGGATGGGATGTAAAAGGGGTCTTGGAGATCAGCGCCATCCGTTGCCATTCGTGGATGCTGTGGCAGGCTGTGAGATTTGCCGTTATGTGCGCTCGCAAATGTATTGGTTCCATCCTTTGCTATTAGTGCATTTCACCCACAATTCCGTGCCATTACGAAACATTTCCACCAGGAGAACATGCGATTGAGGAAGGACGGCCGATCTTTTGACTAGGAATGAGGGTGTATGTAGATAAGTCGGTGTTAGTGAGGGGGGAAGCGTCGGTGCATGGGAAGCCTAAAGTAGCGACCGGATCGAGAGACACGGGGCTATCTGCTACGCTATTATTCTGCTTGTTTCCTTGCCATGTTTTGGGGCCCCAATTCCTAACGAGATGATGTTGAGAAATCGGACCATGTCATGGGAGCTGCAAAGATTCCTCCATGGCAATCAAGTTCATCATCGCAGGTAAAGCATACAGAGTATGGTGACAAGCTGACGTGCAGGACCCCTAAAAAAAAATTACCCCTGCTGAAGATAATTTGCGAAGAGAAATGGAATGTTCGTGGAAGTTTTTGGTGCCAACTACAAGTACAAGGGGAGAACTCAATCTCAAATTAAACCCATATCTGCAGTTAGCGCCAACGACTACTGTGAGAGAAACCTGATGGATGCCACACCAGTGCCATTGCTTCCTCCTTCAGCCAGTCAGCAACCTGACTCGAGGACAATTCCAAGGGCCTGATGAACAATGCTGTAGGTTGGTGTAGTTTGTCCAAAAGGTGTGAGAAAAGTCGAAAATCGCAACAGCACGTGCAAAGCACACTCTTGCACTAGCTCATGTGCCCATTATTGTACTTGTTCATGGTATGTAGCATGAAGCGTACCTAGACGGCATGTGGAAGCTCTCTCATCTTTTCGTCCTAACTCACGAGCTACAGTCCGACGACTTTGTTCTTTCTCTTTTTCACAAGTCCGTAGGTACGGAACCAACCTGACTCCATACCTACAATAAACAAATGGCTGTAGGTAAATAAGCTACTTGCACCGTCGCGGTGGCGGTGGTGGTAGTGGCATTGGTAGCGACAGTGGGACGGGGACCCTGCGTCTCGGTATTCGCGCCAAGGCCAACGCTTTTTGGCGGTTTTGGGAGCTTGGACTTCCAGGCCAAACATCCAAACAGCCAACCTCTAACCATTTTACCCCACTTATGCAAATCCCCCCCTTTTGCAACGCAATTTCCGAGAAGTCGAAGATTCCCTCTGAACTGTAACTACGTGATTCCTTCACCACCTTTTGTTCAATTGATACTATATTCACAATATGGGTAAAACAAAGGAACGCGACTTACAAGAAGCAATTAATTTGGTCGAAAACGGCGAATTTCAGAGTCGCGCAGCCCGCGGCTTTGGAGTAGTGGCTTCCACTATATCACGAAGAAGGAAAGGATCGCAACCACATTCACGAGCCCACGAAGGCGATCAAATACTCTCAAATCTTCAAGAACAAGAGCTTACCGAATGGATATTACACGAAGAACGTTGCGGACGTGCTCCGGCTAAGAAAATCGTGCGAGAATTCGCTTGTGAGATCGCGTCAGGGCTCAGACCCGTTGACGAAGCTGTGAAGATTGGTCGTAATTGGGTAGATAAGTTCTTGAATCGCCATCATAACCTCAAGACTAAAGTAGGACGTATTGTTGATGCTGATCGAATCGATGGTATCAATTCCAAGTCCATAAAACACTTTTATTTATACGTCGACCGTACTCGAACCTATTACGATATACAGCCCGAAGATACATACAATTGGGATGAAACTGGTGTTCAAGAAGGAGAGAATCGTAATGGAACAGTCGTAGGAACGTCGAGATCTCGTCGATCACGTATAAAGAAGTCACCACAAACTGGTTGGATGACCGCGCTACACTACGTAAGCGCGTTGGGTATTCATGGCACCGTGGTCTATATATTAAAAGGCACACATCTTCAAGCACAATGGCTACCACAAGATCTCGAAGAACAAGAATACACAGCAAGTCCGAAAGGATGGACAAACACCACAATTGCTTGTGAATGGCTAGAGGATACATTCGGTCCTGAAACCAAACCTCGAGAGTCAAGTCGCCGTCCGAAATCGTGGCGGATGCTCATCCTCGATGGCCATAATACCCACGTATCCCCCCGTTTCATGTTGTTAGCGTATAGGATGCGTATCGCTCTTGTATACCTACCAGCTCATACCAGTGAAGCTTTACAACCACTCGATAAGTCGTGTTTCTCGTCCCTCAAATGGAAGTATCATCAACGACTGGCCAAATATCAAGGAATGCAAGCAACAGGACCTATTCAAAAGCAAAGAATGCTAGAAGCTTATGGCTTGGCTGTTCAAGATGCCTTTACAGAGGAGATCATACAATCAGGTTGGAAGAAGACTGGTATATGGCCCCCAGATCCTTCACAAGTACTTGAGGATACAGAGCTCTTCCCTCCTACCATTCCTTCAAGGCCTATCACACCACCACAACCGAAAGATCAATTAAAAGTGATTCCATTTACACCAGAAACCTCGAAAGAATATAGGGATCAAGTCTCTCACGTATTACGTCAATACCCAGGGCTACCAAGGGACGTGAGCATGCTACTCAAGAAAGGCGTCAAAACCATCGACTTGATGAGTGTTGAAATAGCAACAACACACCAAGATAACTTCATCCTCGATACTGAACTTGGTAAATACAAACCAGATAAACGTCAAACAGTCGAAAAAGATCCCAACAAGGTGTTCAGTAGCTTGCCAGATATTCGATCAGCGCAAGACAAGTTGGAAAAGAGGTTACGTGAAATGCCGCACGAAGATCAGCTTCCTATTGACTCTTTCGTCACAATGACACCATCTACACGTAAAAAGGCACGTAGAAGACGATAGGATTAATTATCATAATCGAGTTACTATGAAATTGCTTTGAAAACGTTATCCGAAGTTAGAAGTATAGTTTCGGGAACCCCGGAAATAGTGTTGCAAAAGGGGGGGGTTTGCATAAGTGGGGTAAAATGGTTAGTCTACTCCGTAATCTAGCCCCAGACCATTGTGATCCGTGCCATCCACGTCTGCCGCCGCAGGGGCGAGGCTATCGTTGTCTGGTCACCTTGTTTACTTTGGCCGATAGCCTCATTCCCATCAACCACTCATGAGTAGCACCCCCACGAGTAACATCAGGAACGGCAGGATACTTTTCACGACAATCTGTCGTCCATGCACTCTACTTGGCAGCACGTCTCACAAAAATCGTGACAAGACCATATCCACGTTGTAAACTCTACCCTCGTCGTCTCCACGATTGACTGCCTTTCTCGCACGCAACAGACCGCTTTGTTTACATGAGCTAGCAACGCAACCAAGACACTTAGTCCAGACACCGCTTCTGCCAACTTACATCATGGTATGACGATCGAGGTGGAGAAGACCTTTAGAGAGTATACACTAAAATCATTTCCCTCTAACCCCCAGGCTATGTCAGCTGCATACAAACCATCACCTCTGGGCTACGGTTCACCTCGAAGCTCTCCTTTCCGCAGACCAGAATCTCCCGCCGCATCGTCACCTTTCAGACAGTCCACACCCCCGGCCTCGCCTTCCAAAGTCGCGCCCGCATCTAGCCACCTTCGAACCCCTTCGCGACTCGGAAACGATTCTCTACCCGCCATCATCCCCTTATCGCCAGAACCCAGACGATCACCGAGGCCATTGCCTCAGCCGGAGAGTATCATGGCTTCCCAGCGCTTAGGGTCGCCCGCCCAGATCAGGACTCAGCTCCCGGTGCCTGCATCGGGGGGCAACGCACTCTCGCAATTGCAACCACAACAACTACGCATCCTCAGAGACGGCTTTCAAATATTGGATAGGGATAGCGACGGAACCGTCAATCGAGACGACGTCGCTGACATGTTGAACCAACTAGGTACGTCGGGCATGGCTGTGCACCATGCGCTCCACTACGGAAGCTGGAACTAAAACTGCCCCCTATAGGTCTTTCGTCGAGTCAATCAGAGCTGTCCCAGTTCTTTCCGCCGGGCGGGTCACAGACCATGACCCTTGCCGTCTTCCTCAACAGCATAGCGAACACGCTATCAGCAATGTCGCCCAGCAGCGAGCTATTGTCAGCATTCTCTGCCTTTGACGACGATGATAGCGGACAGGTCGACCTGGCCGAACTGCGGGACGCATTGCTGAACACGGCGCCTGAGCCCGGTGAGAGAGCGCTGACGCCGGGCGAGGTCGAGAAGATCATGGCTAGCTTCAGTGGTCGCAGGGCCTTCACCAAGAGCACCATGACAGCGGGGGCTTCGCGGAAGAAGGGAGAGGTCTTCAAGTACCAGGACTTTGTCAACTCAATTGTGGGCGGCAACGGACCAGCGGACCCTGCTACAAATGGTGGCTCTGAAGGGGGTGATGAATAGTCGGTCGAGCGAACAAGCAGGCGTTCGGGGTTGAATTATAGCCATGATTTGGGAGCATGTATATGACTGGCATGAATATGGATATGGATACATTGGCACCGGAGGAAACAATCACGGGTGGTCTGGAAGAACAACAAATGTTTTCCGCATTGCAACCACGAATCTTGACCAGACTTCAGGTGTAATTGCAACCTATTTTTATTTCTATTTTTATCTCTGCAGTCTCTTGTAATCACACTGAGTCTAAAACAGATACTTGGCGGCGTGCTTGACATGATCCTCGGCAAACGAGGAGATAAAAAAGTACGAATGGTCATAGTCCTAGAACAACTCATATCAGCATCATAAACAACCCAACATCCGCTCACCACTCTTCAAAAAGGGGGGCTAACTCAGTGGAGGCGGAAGGAAGAAGGATGGGGGGGAAGGGGGGGCTCAGCTCACCTCCTGATACCTGACGGTCACGCCCTTGACGCCGTTGCCCTCGACGGCCTTCTCCAGGTTCTCCGGCAGCAGCTGGCCCTGCTTGTAGAAGTTGTCGCCGGTGCCGACGTCGATGAGCGCGGGGACTTCCTTGCCCTTCCACTCGGGCCCGGAGATGAGCTCCGTCGCGTCGTGCCGCTTCCACGCCTCCCTGTCCCCGGCGCCGAGGTACCCCGAGAAGGCCTTCTCGCCCCAGGGGCAGCGCGTGGGGTTGGCGATGGGCGCGAGCGCCGACACGCTGCGGTACTTGCCCGGGTTCTTCAGGAACAGCGTCAGCGCCCCGTGCCCGCCCATGCTGTGGCCCGTGAGCGAGACCCGCGAGGCGTCCAGCTGCGCGCCCTGCTCGCTGCTGAACAGCGCCGACGGCAGCTCCTGCCCCACGTACGTCTCCATGTTGTAGTGCCGCGACCACGGCTCCTGCGACGCGTCGATGTAGAACCCGGCCCCCGCCCCAAAGTCCCACGAGTCCGTCTCCCCCGGCAGGTCCGCGCCCCGCGGCGACGTGTCCGGGTACACGATGGCGATGCCGGCCGCCGAGGCCGCCGCCTGGAAGAAGCCCTTCTCGGAGCAGTTTGCGGGCGTGCACTGTTTTGGTGGGAAGGTTCTGTCAGCATTCTTGATGTTTTGTTTGCGAGTAGATCCATGATCTGCGGCTCAGCCGTGGATTCGACTCGATGCCCCGGCATTGCTTCCTTGATAGGAGCATGACTATGCAGCAGATGTTTTTGTTTAGAGGAAACAGAGAGCTTACAGTCAGGCCGGATAAGAAGATCAGGACAGGGACCTTCTGAGTCTTGGCCTGGGGAGGTAGGTACAGGTTGACATCCATGGGCGTCTTAGTGCTCGAAGACTGGTGGGAAAGCTTCAGCAGCTTTCCGCCGAAGCTGGCAATCGTTGCTTTAGTCTCGAAAGACATCGTGAGGATTGGTCTGGAGCTGAATAAGCGGACTGTCGATGTTTGAACGCTGCGAAGCATGCAATTGGAGTACACGACAATGGAAAGAGTCGAGTATAGGTAGTATAGCTGGTTCGACAAACGTACCGCTTGGGGCCTAGGATAGAAACACGACGATCGCGGCTCTTGTTGGATATTCAATTACAATGGATTAAGACTTTTCAAAGCCAAATATGTACAGTAAAGCATTCCTTTCCAAGATACCCAAGCTCGGGAGATCCGATCTGTTCCATTAATACCTAGCTTCGACACCTGATCGGGTCAGTCGGCCGTCCACCCCTCCCGGCAGATGGGGCACTACCCCGCTGTGAAGCGCCCGTCTTGGAGAAATTAAGCTGTTGGGTCCCGCTGAATACATAGTCCTGGCGTCATAAGCCAAGACGAACGCCGAACCCCCGGAGCGCCGCTAATGTATTTGTTGTTTATCCACTTTTACATTCCCATGGTCGTCGTGGCATGCCGTAGCATGCCGTAACACTGCTGCTTCCGCTCATGTATGAAGCATAATTATTATCGTCAATCGCATCGTGTGATGAGATCGTTAGGTTATCACAAGGTTGTCTAAAACCTATGCTTTGGAGGACGGCCAGGGTGTTGTCGTCGCATTCAGGTGACAGCTGAAGGACTTGATCAAGGTATCCCACTTTATCGAGCTCAGGTCGTATTTGACGGGGTTGTAGAAGGAGACAGCACCGAACGTACAGCCCGTGGGCGATGTGCAGATCTGCGAGCAATTGCCTCTGCAGAGCTGATCAGACAGGAAATCCTTAGACAAGCCGAATTGTGTGGAAAGCACTTACGCTCGAGGGTAGCAGAAGAAGGCATCTCCATCAGGTGCAAAGGTCGACGCATTGCCAGAGAGCCCGGCGGGAAGGTCGTGGCAGTCTTGCAGGGAATACACCTCGTAGTGACAATCTCCTGTTGCGTTCGCGCCATGGCAGATGAGTACCTACGAGTCGGATGTTAGACATGCTGCTGAGATGTCAAGCAAAGGGATGAGGGTGGCGTACACCTCCAATCTCGCGTTTTGCCATTCCTGTTGTTGGTGCTGCCGATATCGAGACGACCGCAGCTAGGACGCTCGCCAGTATCGTGAAGATTTGCATGATGACTACTGGAAAATTGAGTTCTGGTCGAAAGGGTTGTTTCTTGTTTCTGTATAAGGGATAATTTGCAAGAGCCAACGTTGCAGACTGGAAGCATGTTCTTGTAAGCGAAGCCTTGTGGAATGCAAGACCTATTTGTATTGAGTTTCAACTGCTTTGACTAGATTCTGAGTGCCAAGACCAACGACGTCAAGTACATGGACTGTGCTCGGCGTATACTAAATGGCCCCAGAAATACCAACCATCCGCATGAAAGAAAGCTGCCTGGTGAGACCAGGATCACCATGGGATTTCTGACGAACACGGTAGAGACGGGCTCCATACGGCAGTGTTACATTATCAGAAGACTGCCCTTGCTATTCATGGCAGAGAAAGCTAGGGATGGGAAAAGGTCGAAAAGACCCCAGCCATCTAATTCCCCGCTGACAGTTCCGGGGCTGCGGCGAATAGGAACTGCCTGTTGGGGAGGCGGGCACCGGCATACTGCATGCGGCTTTGTCAGATTCAGATACGGAATCCTGCAACCAAACCGCGGGCTTGCGTCGGATTCCTATTGGGTCAGGTTGGCAGATCCTGCAGATATCCTCCGAACGAAATCTCGTGTTCGAAAGTATGCAGTCTGCACGCTTTGTGCCTGATATCGTGTCATCGTGACAAGTGTACAAAATACCCGACGTGATAGATTACTAGATGTGGTAGATGCTCGTTGGCTTTGACAGATGACATTAGGGAAAAGACGTCATGGCAAGGCGTAACATGTGTCTACAAAAATTGCAACGGATATGCTTGTTCTTTTCGTAATGACTAACCTTGGTACACTGAGAACGGGCTCCAGGGCTTCAGGGGGAGGCTGGTAGGAAGGTACTGTTCTGTGGGATTTGAACGTTTGTCATTTGCTTGTGGGGCACAGAAGGAAGGGCCTGAGAGCACCAGCCAATACAGAGTCCAAGTTGGCAATTAAGCAATTAGAGTACATCCCGGTCGCATATACGTGCATACTGTACATATGTAGCAGATGAACAGAAAGTGGAGAAGCATATAATATGTCACAGATTAGTTGGATGCCGAATTCCTTTCTTTGTCTAACAATGAGGCCAGTCAATGATGATGCATGCATACGGCTGCAGTTGTAGGGCTACTATGATCACGAGCATTTCGTCGCCCTTTGAGCAACACTTCTTGATGCCATTCTAAGGGATAAATGTTCATCGTCGGAAATATCAGGTCAATCCTCTTTCTTGACCATCTTGTAAATCAGAGCTCAAGCATACGTGATACATCTCTCCCATTTACATACTGGCCATATCCTTAAAATTAAATTAAATTTTTTTAATTTTTTTAATTATTTTTTTATAAATCGGTCAAATGTAGTACAAACAATCATGATTTGGTCAAAAATAGGATTATTGCCAAGCTAGCTTACGGTTTGAAAGCAAGGCTTCGCTGTACTCCTGTTTGAGCGCGAGAAACGGCACCATGATTGCAACCCATGCCGGGCAAACTGTCTGCTGCATTATCTTCCTTGTCGTAACCCAGCTGGTGGCAACGAATTGTAGGCGTCCTATCATTCGAGGATGCCGCTATCACATTTCCTGCATGATCTCGACAGGACTTCGTCAAGCGGCGATTCGACTGCCTATAAGCCATGTCGAAATAGCGTGGTGGAGGATATCCCCCGGGGGGTTTATGCGGTCGGTCCACGGTGCCATATGTTTCCCACGTGGGGTGCTCACTTCGGATGTTGAGGCGCTCAAGGAACCGGGAGGGCACTACTCGGGCTGCTACAAGCATCAGGAACACCTGGTCGATGGCGAGGGAAAGCGATTCAGGAGAATTGCTATATTCCTAGAAGCAAACCAGAAAACGCCTCGCTCAATGCACCTTTTCTCGTTCCACTATCCATGTCAACTGCACCACATCCCAGCACTGCGACATGGAGGGTAAATTCCGAGGGACAGCCACCCAAATTCAGCACGTGTTGACTCGTCTATTGCAGAAGCTCCTCGCATGTCCAGTCCTCGTAGCTGAAGGTGTGTTAGCGTCGCCTGGTTCAAAGTGGTGTTGAGTTATAGGTGCACGTACTATCCGTCAGGCATGTATCGGCGGACAATGAGGGGGATCTTCTTCTCGCGGAGCTCCTTGATGGCAATCTGCAAAGGATCTGTTTCGCCCTCGAGATCGACCAAGACCGGGGCATTCATGGAGATTTGCAGAGCGCGGGTGCCCAGAATGCGGGCCTTCTCGTACTTGGTCATATATGGTGTGGTGCTCCGCTCCTCGTTGGGGATCTTCTTGTCCTTGTGGGCCTTCTCTGTTTGCCTCGCGCGGTTGGCATTGGCAGAGGGATCGCCCGAGATGACGACGTTGTCTTCTTCTGCCTCAGCGCGGGACTTCCCGTACCCATCGTCGTCTTCGGGGACCTCGTCGTCGAAATCGTCCACGACCTCTTCCTCGTCGTCGAACATGGGTTCGTCGCTATTGCCGCGGTGTCAGCTATGCTGTGCTGTGCCATGCCTATGCCATGCCATGCCATGTCATGCCGCAAGCGCATTTGGCAAGGGGCGGGACAAGCAAAAGAAAAGGACAAAGGGGAGACTCACCCGCCGACATCATCGACTCTGTCATCGTCGTCACCGCCGCCGTAGTCAGACATTATGGGCGAGTTGAGTGGTTTGAGTGGATGGGGTTCTCAGCGAGGTCGTGGCTGGCGTGGACAAAGCTGGACAACGGTGGAATGCAAAAATTCTATCGCAAGGCTGAAGAAGCCGACGCGAACGGGAAGAAAGTCTTCCAAGGCTCCAACGCGGGATGGAGAAGCTGTGGCTGGTGGCTCGTGTCTCATTGGCCCGATAGAGGCCCGGTGGCACCGATAAGGCACTGATTAGCACCGCTGGCAGGGACCCTTCTGAGCTAATGGGAGAGGCCCCACTAAATTTTGTGAGTTAGCGCAGGAAATTCACAAGCCGAACCTCAAATTCACTTTTCCTCTGGAGGGGTCCCTCCCAAAGAATTGCTCTTCCAAACCAACAGTCGCCGGCTCGGGTCTTCTTGAGAGGTTCCATTATGTGACATTCTGATCACATCGGATCGAGCCGAGTTGAGTCGAATCGCATCGAACCCAGTCCAAAACACATTGACATCGCCGGCCTGGCCTTCAACAGCCATGAAGCGAATGACCCCCGAGTCCGAAGAGTACCCTCCAGCGCAGGTCAAGCGGAGTCGGCGTCTGGCACAAAGCACGCTCAAGGAGACTCAATTGGTAGATGGTGAGATCCTGCCTTTCTGAACCGGCGGCCCGCCCCTCACAACAGCTAACATGTTTCGCCCCCAGAGGTCTATCCCGACCTTGATGACGGCGATGATGCCAAGGATTCCGACGTCTCTACGTTCGCTCATGACGACGACCATGACGATGACCGCGACGACGACGACGCCGACAACGTCTCAGCTGCCGGTTCAGCAACTACGCCCTTGACTCCCATGTCTGGCATGTCGCCCAGGAAGAAGTTCCCCTCGGATCTCAAGACCATCAAATGCACTTGGTCTGGCTGCGAAAAGGCTTTCAATCGGCCCGCCCGCCTGACCGCTCATCTGCGCTCCCACACCAACGAGCGGCCTTTCAAGTGTCCCCACGACGGCTGTGACAAGTCCTACCTCGAGGAGAAACACTTGAAACAGCACCTCGGCGGTTCCCACTCGACTGAGAGAAAACACATCTGCGAAGAGCCCGACTGTGGCAAGAGTTTCTTGACCAGCACCCGTCTCCGCCGTCATCAGCTCGTTCACGAGGGCCAGGAACGTTTTCGCTGCCGAGACTTCCCTCCCTGCAACCAATCTTTCCGCAAACACCAGACTCTACAGCGCCACATTCGCGCAGAGCACCTCAAGGTCCCCGCCTTCCAGTGCAAGCACGAGGGCTGTATAGCCGGTTTCGATACTGCTTCCTCCCTCAGACGCCACACCGAGAAGGAGCACGCCGACATCAAGTTTTGGTGTGAGGAATGCAACAAGGACCTGGAAGACAACGCGACGAATCGCACCGGCTTCCCGACCATGGAGCAGCTGCAGCAGCACATGAAGAAGTCGCACATCAGCTGTACCTTTTGCGACCTCATCTTCCCCAGCCGAGACGACATGGAATCCCACACGGAATTGGAGCATGCCAGCCTTGTCCAAGATGGCCGCAAGAACGTTCTTTGTACACGTGACAACTGCGGCAAGGTCTTCAGCAAGCAATCCAACCTGCAAGCTCACATCAAGAGTTTTCATGATGGCTACCGCTTCGTCTGCGGCGAGTTTGATGTAACCAGCGCCAAGGATCCCAAGATCGCCAATTGGCCGTTGAGCGATGGGTGTAAGGGTGGGTTCGCAACCAAGGCCAGCCTGGAAAAACACATTCGCCATGTCCATCTGGACGTACCAAGAGCAGACCCGCCCGCTAGATTGAGTCACCAGCCCTCTGCGCCTCAGGACATGCTTGGCCAACTCACCAACACCAATGAGATGGCTCGGCGCACCATCTGCTGTTCTTGGTTTGGTTGTCCCCTCAAGTTCGTCCAACAGCTTGAGATGCAGAACCATCTGCAAACCCACTTCGACCTGAACCTCGGTGCCACACTTGCGCAGGATTTCAGTATGCCCAACGTGCCAGCCATTCCCAACGTTCCCGATGTCAGCTTCCTCAACTTCGAGATGGCCTCGCCGTTCCACAGCCAGCATTCACCGTTTAGTAGCCAGCCAGTTACTCCGGGGTTGGGCGAAGAGTGGGGTTACTCTGCCCCTGCAACACCACATGTCCCCGATTACTTCCCAGAGGCCGAACAAGAGTGGCAACATGATGAGATGGAGATGAGACAACTCATTGAGCCCAACGATCTCAATGGCCTCCTTGATCCTGCGCTCAGGCACGCAGGAATGTAATAATACCAAGAGGAAACACACCTTTGCATTAGGCGGCGTTATGATTTAAGACGGAAAAGGCATTTTCACGGCGTATGAAAACGGTCCGACCGATACTAGACGGTCATGAAAAGCCATGATACCCTTTGCTTTTCGCTGTAGATAAATGGCAAGCGATTCGGGGACAGTATATAGCGATCAGCTGCAGTATGGAATCTGCATAAGAATCTGGCAATCAAAATTAAACTTGTTATTCAACAACAGCAGCAGTGTCTGAACCTTCGCTATTTTGTCGCTTTGACTGTTTAATTGCTTCCATAGCCAGACCAGATCTATGCTCCATGAATCAACACACTTCAAATCACACTACCAAGTAGGGTGATTCGCGCTACAACAGTGCCTTGTTTGCTGCTCAAATTAGATATGTTATTTGTGTTTTGGGAGCCACCTAGTCACACCATTCCAATATCTACTCATAATTGTGTATTCGACTTGCTCGCATCTTTCAGGCATTTCCCCCTAGCAGGGTAAAACTGGTAAGCAACAGGTATTCTGAAATCTTACTTGGTAGATGGTTCACTCGGCGATGCACGCTTAAGAGCTCATCACCCCGAAGACGGTTGATTTCTATTCGGAGGAAGGGGATGCGCGAGGCGATAAGAGGTCGCTGGACCTTTGATCTGCGTTATCACAGGGCATTCCTGCTGGTGTTTTATGTGGCACACCTCTGTCCAACTTTCTTGTCCTAGAACGAGAAGCATGGATTCGCAATCGACAAACTAAGTAAGAGGAAGATGTGGCATATTCGCTTTTAGGTATGTTGAAAGCTTGCATGCTATCTATCTATAGTAAAGGACGTAAGGAAGCATAAAAGGCTATCAAGGGTAAGGATTGTTCTAAAATTCCATTGCACAGAGTGTGCTAGAGTCTGACTAACTCAGGAAGTCGAAGCAATGATTATTCTTCGTTTATCGAGGTGTCGACTAGAAGCTCTCGCATTTGTCTCTTAGTCCAATCGCTAACAGTCTTTTACCAGCAGATATATGTTCTGCGCTAATCAGAAGCCTACGCCCAACTTTCACAGCCTTAGTTTGAACTTCTGCCCCTTATAAGATTTACAAGTGGAAAGGTTCAGCGTTAACCTCACTCTCAACTAGATATTCATAACTCAGTCACTCAGTCGAGAGACTAAAAAAATAAAATTATTTTACTAGTTACTAGTTGTCAACTGCGATTGCAATGCTGTTCTACTGACACCGTCATTATCGGCTCTTCATTGTACCTTTACACAACTTCCTAGCGTACTATACCTTACAGATTTTCGATAGTCTATAGTCGATAGCCGGTACGTAGATAGTGTTAACATATTTCCCTCCATCAAGTGGTGCTATAGCTAAACTGGATAATGATTTATGTTAACCATGCCCGCTAAGATGTTGTTACAATTCGAAGCACAATTCACTTAATATGCTGCCTAGATCAAGGTTTCTCTTTTCTGAATTAAGGTAAAACCGACACATTTACTAATATATTCCGATCGTGAACGCAATTGTCTATTTGTCAAATCACTACATTTCAAGCAGTCTCCTATATCTACTCTGCTCCGTTTCTTGATTTCACGTTCACGCAATAGCAGCCCTTAGTAATGGTCGTCCTATAACAGACATTACTCTTGGAGCGGAATGCGTCAAGGGTTTTCGAAGCGTGTTGCTTTCCATTTCTAAACACAATGCAAGGAATATTTTACTGCTGAGTATGGGTTCTTTGAGGAAGCGAGAGTAGAGTATTTTATAGTTCAACAATACAAAGAATAAAGTACGCACAAAATTAACGAGGGCACGTTCGGAGTAGACTGCGCAGCGGTACTTTCAAAAGATATGATTGGTGAACTCCCGCGAAACAGTCGTCGCACTACTACGTTAGCGAGGTCCTTGTGATGTTAGAAAGAGTAAATTCAAGACGCGCTGAGACTGTACTGCGAATATAGCTGGTTCTAACAGCTTGTTTAGTGAATGCACAGCATATTCTTGGAGGCTCCTATGGCCGGAAAAGTCTCTTAGTCCCTTGCTCCTAGACTGGCTCAGGACCGACCACAGAAACCATACACCATGGTAATATAAGCCCTCGATAAGAGTGCATAAATAATGAGTCCTTGAAACACAAGGCTCTAGGCTGTATACGCCAAATTTATCAAGACCCTTACCCTTCCTTTAGTGCAAGTCTTACGGTAATGATGAAATACGCAAAACTAAATTCGGTGTAATTAATGCCAGTAGCAGCTTTCATGAAATTGAGATGCTATTTGTAAGAACAAATGAATGTGATTCTTCTGCGCCGAGGGTGATAATTCTTATGGAAAAAGGAACTTAAAAATAATGATAAACGAACACTTCCGAACAGTAATAGTAATAACTCTCCGACCTACAGCCTAACCTAACCTAGTGCTCTCCCTCCCCCCCCCCCCTTTTTTTTTCAAATTTTTTTTTTTCAAAAAAGAATTTGTGACAGAAATAAAAGAAACTCTCTCGTATGACTTGACGCATCCGCGAAAAAGTCATCTTTCGTTGATTTCCTAGTAGTCGTCTCAGACATAACACCGCCGGGTCCATAGACGGTCTTCATAGTAGTTATTTGTGAGCACCTGTTATAGCAACATTAATACAAAATTAGACAACCATCCAACCAGATATGTTATAACGTACATATTGGGCTTTCGTAAGTGATTTCAGCGGTTGGTCTATAATGATGATAACGTATAAACGATTGTGACGATCGAACTCAAATATAAAATTACAGAAAGTGGAAGACTTATATACTAGAATTTTCTATTGCTCCTTTAGCTACAGAAACGCATTCAACAAGGGAAAAAAAATCGAAACTAACAATCACCACTGGAGAAGGCCTGATTCCAACGTGTTCTTGCGTTGATACATGCTTGTAACTTCATTGCAAAGTGGCACCACGAAACAAATGCACACCCAAGCATTAAAGCGCCAAGGATTGACGAATCTGGACAGACTGAAATGCCATCGTAGCAACGTATCCTCACCAAAAAGGGAATTGAAAGGAAACACCAACGCAATATTTGTCACATGCCGATGATCATCGCCACCCGAGATACAAGACGCAAACGGCTTCATCATAGGCAATCCAGTGGAATGCACGTAGTCAAGTAGAGGTCGACCAACATATAATGCATGGGAAAGCTTCGTTGGTGTGTGTGCGCTTACCAATATTAATCCACCTGGAAAGCTCCTGAGCATCTTGGCATGGGACGATTGTCAACGTAAGCCATGGTGTAAAATACAACAAAAGCAGCATTACCGTCAGACGTGCCATAAGACAGCAGGTGAAGTTGAAATTGCCATCGCACTTCACCGCATGCGGAAGTGCTTCAGCTTACCCTAGTTCTTGCGTACCTGGAATGTCGAATGCGGGGTTGAAGTAGCAACAGCAGCTTACCAATTCCCTACAGTATATAATGATTCGCTGTGTATCACATCTTCGCTCTTTTGGTAACTGTATCATTGAGTGCCCATCCTTGTTTTTGACCCTATGAACTGAACAACCGAACTTTGCTCTTCATTTCCTTCGCAAGCTTCTCCACCATGACAGCACCAATTGGTAGCATCACACATCCTGACGATATAAAGTCGTTTGCCGATATTAGCGGAATAGTGGAAACACAGCAAACAAATCAACCAGTCTTCGCAACGTATTGGAAAATCTACGAAAATGGCGATGCATATGTTGCAATCGTACCTAAGAGCAGGCTCGATACCAAGATAGAAGAGGTGATACCAGCCTTACAACGAGTGCCAGACGAAAAGATATACCCAGACCTAAGCGCAGGTGTAGAACTGACAATCTTACCATCTACTTGGGCGTCAGACGTCAATATATTCACCAAACGGCCGTCTTTCATGTGGATCGAGGATGGTGATTACCATTGGATTCGTAATATTTTCCTGGCTGAGGCAAAGATCGTGGAGCAGATCTCACGGGCGCCTCACAAGAACATCGCCCAGTACTACGGATGCTACCAAAGAGACGGCCGCCTGACAGGAATAGCCTTGAGACGATACGAGTATACTCTGGTAGAGTATTTCCAAAAGGCGTGCGGAAACCTGGCTGTAGAGGTTTTTATGGCGAGGCTGGAGTCGGCAATACACCATCTACATTCACTAGGGTTAGCGCACAACGATCTCAAACCAAGTAACATTATGTTGGACACGGAAAACATGCCGGTTCTAATCGATTTCGGGTGCTGTCAGCCATTTGGGGCAAGATTGATGCAGGGAGGGACGGTTGAGTGGCAGGAAAAGCCGTTCAGTACTTCGCATTGCAGCCATGATATTTACGGGCTAGAATTGATTCGGGAGTGGCTTATGGACCCAAAGCGAGACTTGACAAGGTGTTAGATCATCAAGTCTCATCGCGTGTGACCACACAATACTCCTATTAGTAGTCAAGTAAGGAAAGAGTGCAGCAATCTTCGTGCGACGTAGTAATAGAGCGCCAACCTCGTCGCCGCTATTAACCTCTAGAGACCTTAAGGACACTGTTCTTTTTGATATGAGAAGCCGCGTCACAGACGCTTTACCAAGACAAAAATAGGAGGGCTTCGACATCGCTTTGAAATTGCAATAGCTTTATAAGTGATAGCTCTCAAATCGAAGAAGTACGTACGAAGGAGATGGCGAATTGGCGAATTATTGCTTTAATCTTGGATAAACACACATAGCCAAAATAATTCTAAAAGCCGTCACCATTATCATGAAAATCATCAATTCTGTGATGATGTTGGTGATCTCTTTCAAGTCCCCTTCAGCCTCGTGAAGTACTGCTAATTTAATTATATGCCTTGAGGAGATTTGGGTATCCGATTAGGCTTAGAGACCTTCTGCATATCGAAGTAGACCTTCTGGATAGCCGCTCCAACGTAGTAATGATTATATGGCTAGTAATTAAATATGTTTGCATTATCTTGTTAGATACGTGTGTAACTACTAGCCCGAATACGAATTTTGCAAGTGTTCTAAGATATCTATACACTAATTATACAAGCCGCTACTTGTGATCTTACTATATAGATCAAAGAATAAAATTGGCCCCACAAGCAGGTTTCCCGAGGTCTGATTGGGGCAGGAACCCGGCTAGATGGGTGAATTAGTGCAATAAAATACTATACAAAGCATCACATGAGTACCTGTCAGCCTCTCAGGCGTGAAATGGCTCTAGCTTGTCCCACTTGTTCTGGCAAGGGGCCCTGGTATGCCAGGAAACAAATTATACTACGCAAAGCGGTTCCCACAAGTCCTCGGACACTTACAGCCCATTGTACTGAAAATCTACTCGTCTACCAGAACTCGCCATCTTTACTTATAAATCTGACCACAACGTACTGTTCAAACATAGCTCAAACTCATATTATAAGGTCTCTTCAGCTTAGATAATATTGAACTGGGTACTGACTTTTTTATACCTATCTCTTATATGGGGGCAGATTGATGCAATAAAAACCGAGACCTCGACTTTGACACACGAACTACACTTATTGTCCCTGTCACTGTCTACTTTGACATTCGATCCTCATCAGTCTTTAGTATAAGGGCGATGGGAGGATCAGCCGCATTTCGGTGACAGACACCGTATTGCTTGCCAATCAGCCGAGGCAAAACGTTAAGACCCGGCTGTTTAGATCAGTTCACATCATCTACACAGCAGAAACACTGGCCGATCCTGAAGCATCACCGGGTACTTGCTTAATAATACAAATTACAACAGGTATAGCAAGGCTCCCAAGAAGGCAGCAAGCTTTGGCGTGAAGATTCTGAAGATATCTTGCATCCACCTCCCGTAAGGTTGTGTTGCAACTCGTGCAGATGTTTATGCAGTTCATATTCCATTATCCGGTGTGACTTGGTCGACTGGCATATCGTGAGATCGATTATGGTTCGTTGTACCAAAACTTTACACTGCTATTTCGAGCACTCGGTCGTGGCATTGCTGGGGCACAAAGTAAAGATGGTGCAAGACGAAAAAACATGTGTTTAATGCGTTTCGAGCGCACAAGATCGTAACTAAGCAATCCTTCAGAGGGGTGCGGCGTAGCGATAAGTTCTATACGCACTGGGTTAGTACTCAGTTGGGTGATCACTGGGGAGTTCCCGGTGTTGCATGTTTTTGCATTTGTATGTGACCTTGTCTACACTAGTCTGGTGCGACATTTTCACTTTCGGTAGCAGATGAAGCAAATATAATTCCCCATTGAACACAAATCTATTATCTGGTAATTACATTTCTATCTTTTGTCCGTCCGTATGTTTTGTCTCACCTAACCATACACACATGTTATCGTCACTCGCCTGATTACTTCCAAACGTAGCCATGGTACTCAAGGCCTCTCAAACGCCTCCTCGTGCTTCCAGGTCCCAACCTTCAACAACTTATCATCATCGCTAGGAATGAAACTTCCGGGCTCACATTGGACTGCCGGAGATCGTGGAGACAAGACGATTCTCCCCCCCGGGGACACGGGATTATGGGTCCTGCGGATTAGAATTTTCGGGACGCCATCAACGCCCGCCTTCCCGCGAGAAGTGGAGGAAGAGGAAGAGGGGGGGGGGAGAATGTAGCACCATTTATCTTGGTGTGAGGAGGACTGGACGGGGGAGACGGAGGAGTAAGACCACAAGGAGGAGAAGGAGGGGGATAAAGAGTATGGGCTGGAACACGAGGAGGGGAGGGGGGAGTAGTGGAAGAGCGGCAAGCACATCCGCGCTCGGCGTCCAGCTCGCCGACCGTCCCTGCCTCGATGCAGTACTCCAGGTCTGACTCCCACTGCAGTGCAGGTTCAGGCCGGGTGCCTATCGTAGCGTCTTCGCGCCTGACGACGGGAGGTAGTCGGGTGGGGCTGGGGAGTATGTGAAAGTCGAAAGCGGATGCGCTGCTGAATCCGAAGGTGAAGTTGGGCAGAGTGGTAGTTTCATGTCTGGGATTGGAAGCAACAGTAGGTTGCTCAGCCCCACGGTGGGTGGTCTTGTTGGAGGGAGACATCTTGTTTGCCTTTTTGAGCGAATGTTGCTGTGTGAGTATGATACAGCTGATGGTTGGACTATTTGGAATCAGATGAGACTTGTACTTACAAGCTCTGAGATGAAAAATGCCTGTTTTCTGGTCTTTCGAGCTTGTGAGTTAGATGAGTTTGATGTGCCCTGTGTTTTTTCTGGCTTTGGATCGAGAAGGAGATGTGGTGTTTATATAGACAATACTTTTCTCCTTACAGACGTGGTAGTTAAAGAAAAATGCCTTTGTTAATACAGTACGCATTGTACGGCTGGACTTTGTCTTCGCTCAACGACGTCCTTATTATCAATGAAGCACGAAGTCTAAAGTGGCATCATCTTGTAGATTTCTTTTTTGTCGATTGTATCTGTCAAGCTGTATCACTACAATCTCGGAGCAAGAAGACTCCCTTCAAGAAGATCAACATAATTCGAACAATATCAGGAAGCTAACTTCCACCAGCGACCCCAACGACACCTATCATTTCAAGGTTTGTATTCACACTGAAGATCAAAATCAATGGGACTTTACCCTTTTGTTCAATTGCAGACTTTGTTCTTTATGAACGACCCTTGGGACACCTGCGTTATGGTTTTAAAACCGATAGGTGGTACGATGTATCAATGGCGAGCTGGTTATTATCATGCGCGGCCGACTGCAACTAGTACTGCTACCGGGATCGATTAGGCGCAATTGTCATGAATAATCCATCACGTCGACACAGAATCCAAATTGATGCCCAATACTCAAGCACGGAATCATAAGACGAATAACCAGACCAGGCAGTATAGTCAACTTGATGCTAGACTAGAGTGATTGATGTGGCAACAAAGCAGCAAAGAGATTATTATGTTCCTATCATGTCGGCAATTTTGTTCGTTTATACGACTAGGCAGAACTATACGATCGCTTTATTCAGGTCGTGGTATATCTTCCATTAAAATATCACGGAGTCTTAGTCACGGTCATGTTGGTGGAGAGCAGGTCAACTAGAATCAAGGAAATCAATTTAACAGCCGAATCTACCGTACAATGCAAACGAAATGGCCTCCTTACATGGCCAACCATTTTTCCACACCGGACGCGATGATCGGAGGAAAGGACTTTTCATTTTTCATTTTGAGGATCGTGACAACTTTGCTCTGCAGAGCGTTGCCAAGTTTCAACTATATTTCAGCAGCTGGCTATTGCCCACATGCCTAAACGTGAATATCATGAATATTCAGCAATCAATGACCGGCGTCATTGTTTCCGTGTCCGTGTGTCGACGAGGAATCGTGTTTCTTGGACGCTTAAGCACCAAGGCTGGGGAAAGCGCGCTCGTCAGTGGGGTTCAGCGAGACGTTCTCGTTGCGGCCACCACGCTGCTGACCACCACGACCACGGCCCTCACCACGGTCGCCACGGTCGCCGCCGCGGTCACCACGGGGAGCACGGCCTTCGCCACGACCACCACGGGGACCACCACGTCCACCACGGGGAGCACGGTCACCACGGTCACCACGGTCGCCACGGTCGCCACGGTCGCCACGGTTTTGGTTCTGCTCCTGGAAAGTGTGGTCGATGTCGAGAGTCTGCTTCTGCTTGCGCTCACGCTCACGCTTGGTCTTGCCGCCGCTGCTGGCAATGAAGTCCTCACCCTCCTCCTTGGTAAGGGCCTTGGCGTTGGACCACTTCTTGTCGGTCTTGGTTCCCTCGTTGGCCTTGCGAACCTCGAGGTCGCCGCCAAGAGCGGCCTTCTTCTCGGCCTGCTGGGCAAGGTACTCATCGTAGGAGAGCTTCTTCTCCTCGGGCTCGACGGGGGTCTCGGGAGCCTGAGCATCCTCGACAACGGCCTCCTTCAGCTCAGTCTGAGCAATGGCCTCACCGGCCTGCTCATCCTTCTGCTCGGCCTCACCCTCCTGGGCGCCCCAGGATTGGGCACCCTGCTTCTCGGAGCCAGGGAGACCTCTAGCGTGGCGGTCATCGCGGTCGCGGGGGTAGCCACCACCACGTCCTGGGTATGGGTTAGCGAGTTTGCTACAGCAAGGTGGAGAAATAATGGTGAGCGGGGATCCAACATACCACCTCGTTGACGGGCACCACGACCGCCTCGGGGACCTCCGCGGGAAGCCTCCTCGGTGGTTCTTCGCTGGTTGGCGGAGTGACCGGCGTTTCTGTCACGGAAAGCTTTTGGTGGAATTAGTTGCTGCTCGAAAGATACAAGGTGCTATCTCTTGCACGAACCTCCCTCGTTGCCTCCGGGGCCTCGGCGACCAGTGTTGGCGGTAGCAGGGGCGGCAGGGGCTACGGGCTCGACGTTGCGCTTGGTGGTGCGCGGCTGGGTCTTGTCGACCGTCTTGACGGGACCCTTGGGGATTTCCTCCTCATCGTTGCCTGCACGAAGGGCGGTTGGTCAGCATCTGCACAGTCTGCGCTGGCATCAAGTTCCGAAGTCCCTGTGCCAGCATGGGGCGTGGAGGTTTAGTTCATACCGAGGAGGGCGAACAGGTTCTATGACGCATTGTTAGCCGGGTTGAATTGACTGGTGGATTCCAGGTGAAGAATGGCAGAGGGGTGGTATGATGCCAGCAATGCAACTGCAAGGCAGGAACGGTCCCAAGACACAAAAGCCCTCGCACATGTGCAAAGTAGGTCGAGGCCGGAGGTTCTTGTTCTGTTCTGTTCTGTTTGTCCTCTGGACAGACGACAGAAGAGAAGAGCAAGAGCAGGAGCAACAGCAGGAGCAAGAGCGAGAGCGAGAGCGTACCTTTGAAGCGACCGACATTGTGCCGTCGATATATTCGCCTTTCAGCAAGGCGTAGCTTTAAGGACGTCTATCGATCAATGATGGGGTGTTGCGACGATGGGAAAGGATACGGCCTAGGTGGTCATATCCTCGTGATAATAAAATCCGTCAGTCGTCGTGTCGAGTCGAATTGAATCGAATCCGCAAGCGGGAAAGGGCAGGAGTGGGTGATTGGGGGGACGGAGCTCAAATTTTCGACCACGGCAACACGCACAGTTGGAATCACCTGGATTGTGTGGGCTGCTTTTCCCAGCTCCTAGCTAGCTGACTGGCTGCGCTCTGCCGCTGCTCTGCGCTTCCCCCCGAGGTGAACCGTGCTTTTTGCACCTTTGCTGAGCTACCCGCGAAATATTTATGTGCCCTGCTTAGGGTTGGACCTTGGTTAAGCTCTGTGAGGTCATATTCCATACCATCTGTCAACCTTCTCTTCCTGCTGCCACGTTATTATTTACATGGCCCGAACACCCGTGCTTCGCAATTAAAACCAACATTTCGTCTAACATAAACGACGGCCGCGTCTTATCAGATCAAACCAAAAATCCCATTGGGCTTATGACCGTTTCTTTCTGCTGGGATAGTAAGTCAGCTCGACACGCACTCGTTCATTGAACTACATAGCTTGAGCACAGGTCAATACATCATCTGAGTTAGCACGGCTCGGCAGACGGTACTCCGTACAAGGAGCTATGACCTTTCCGTCCACGGATAGTAGTCGGATAGTCAGATAGCTCTGTAGATAGTCAGAACCCAATCGTTGGAAGTCTTACATAAAATAAAAATAATATCCAAGATTTAGACTTTGTGCAAGACGGCTGCAGCACAAACAAGCCATGTACACACTATAGTAGCCAAATGCCAAACCAACGGCTCAAGCCTAATCTTGTGCAGATGACAACATGGTGGAACGCTTAAGTAACAGCAAGCTGTCCCCATGTCCTCAGTACCACAGCACGGTATGTATTGCACTGATCTGACCGCAAGAGCCACCAGTTCAGCCCTACCATATACTACCCCGGATCGGCAGAATCTGGAGTCCCCGGTCCAGCGCCGTCGACGCTTATTGCTATCTTAATTTGCAGCAACTGCCGGCCGTTGTAATTCTTTTGTGTCATTGTTTCATATTCCTTGCTCCCAATCTAGATCATCGTTGGTGTGAAGTCCCGATAGCTCGTTTTCTGACGGCTGTAGGTGTAGTGTGCGCAAGCATCTGCTCAACGTGCTCATGACAGTAACAATCATAAACAATACATAATCATTTTCCGAGAGACAAAACCCTTCGCTCATCGGCACCATTGTCTGTGTAGCTTTTATTGATAGAAGCGACAGGAAACACAAGTCCCGTGCCCATGGCGAAATCCTTGATGTCCTCGACCCATGTCTATGCGTACATGAGAACCCAAGAACCGCGAGACATCAAAACTATACATCGACAGCAGCCAAGGAAACGTTCGTGTTTTGTTTTCCTCTGGTACCACCAAATTATGATTCTGCCGGTGTATTTAGCAAACCAAGAGTAGAGCTGCATCGTGGGGTGTTAGTTTTTGGTAACAGTATCCCGCGGGATTGTCAATCTCTTAATAATCGCTTGGTCCCGCCTTATCTCTGCATCAAAACATTCCAGGCCTCCTGGAGATAAGCAAACAAAAAAATCTAGATGTCACTATAAAACACAAACGGGAAGCCTTCTCCGCGGGCGATCTCTCGGACCAATTTTTCTATTTCTTTTCCTATTCTAATGGACTTTTCTCTCTCTCTCTCACTTCCTCTTCTCTGTTGCTCGGGTCCTTTATTTATGGAATGCTTCCCTGACGGCGCCTGCCGCAAGGAGCCTGAACGTTTCCACTTTGTATTGCTCGAGCACTGCTCAATTGGTAAGGATGTTATTCTCCTATATACACCATCTTCAGAATTATTTCTCGCAGGCGATCATTATTCGAAGATATGATCCGCTCTTTAAGCAAGAAAGACTCCAGTGAGTCTGGTGACTATTTCAACTCATAGAGTTAAATACACTCACTCCCCTTTCCTAGCCCGCGGGGCCAAGTGGTCAGAAGGAAAGCTAAGCTTAAGCTTAGCGAACTCGGTCACAAGATTCTAGGGCAGTCTCCTAGAACGACAACCAGCTGTGGGTGATGGCACGTTATTATTCCAATCACTAGGATAACAAAGTGAGGATACGACTGCAAATAAACGAAATGGAGATTTACATAGGCGTCATGTTTGGTACATGGCACGGCTATCGCAACAAGGAGTATCGAGACGGATTCTCATATAAACAAGCTTGGCAGCACAGATGAAGCCATCGTGAACCGTCACATAGCGGCTCTCAACGTCGGGTTTGCTAAGGGGCGCCAAGACACGAATGGAATGGCTGCACACTTCCCCAGCGTTCGGTCTTGTTCACTTGGAGGTTCGTGTAGACCGACATACCGAGGGGATGGATTCAGCACACTATTGCGAAATAGAAAAAGCCCTTTCGGGCACATGACTTGGAGAAACAGATCACAATATCGGCACGATGCTCCACCGAAATCTAGGCCTCATGCAAGGCGGTGAGGACACGAAACCAACCATCAGAGGAACGCCCGTAACCCACGATAGCTGCGGAAGACTATCGAGTTTGGCGGTTCCCCGAGCGTAGGTGGAAACAGCAACGATCGCTTTCTCCAACGGTGCTGCCTCTAGCCTTTCGAAAATCTTCTCAGAGCGGGTGCTCTGGTATATGCCGTATAAGCGTCAAGCCAAAAGATGAAGGTCTTAACGATGGCCAGGCATTCAATCGCGACGGGCCTGAAGAGACGGACGGGAGTGGAAGATCTTGTTGGAAAGCTGCTAATCATTTAGCGCAGATGGGACCCCGACGCGGCTTTTACCATCTCATCAAATCTCCAAAAGACCCCACCACCAAGACACTTGGTAGGTCTCAAAAGTGGACGCCTCTTGTCAAAGTATAGCTACATACACCCAACCCCCGACAGACCCGCACCATTTCCCTTCTGCACGCGAAGCCACTAGTCGCCAGCACTTGCCTTTTGTGGTTCACATGGTTCTGCGCCGCCCGAAGGACCCTTACGGCGCCAAACTGGAAGTACTGTACACCACTACCAAGCTCAGATGTTCGACATGCAGCATGTGGGCGTTCCGGTCGGCGTGATTGCATAATCTCCCAGCCAAGTCACAGGAAGTCAACCGCCGCCGGACGAAGCGTTGTGATGTAATTGCGCGAACAATCGCAACGCTCAATCCAGGGCTTTCAGATGGCCAAGCCTTACTCCTGGTTCAATTCGACAAAGGCATAAATGCTCATTAAAGACGGCTCCGAAGAAGGGACGATTCTAGCTCGAGGTTGCTGCGGGGTGGGAAAAATAAATAAATAAAACCCAGAGCATCCACCATGAAAAGGTTTCCACAGCGGTCGCTATTCCGTCTTGGGACCTGCCTGCGGTGCTGAGCGCAGGAGTTGTCTCGAGCGGACCATCAGTAACGGCGACTTTCGTGTCCAATGAGCTTTGAACCACTGCGTCCGCGCTGTCGACTTGCAGCTTTCATATGTGAAACGTTGTTCGTTCAGGCTCACAGGCGAAAACCTCGTGGAAGAAGGGTTGGTGGAAAATGATCAGACGTGGCTTCCGGGGTTTGGTTATCTGACGTTCGGGGTCTGCATTCTCTGTCCTGTCACGCGGTGTTGGCATTGGGGTAGACGCTGGGCCAGACGAACATGTGCCCATGAGCCGGTGAGAAGCAGAGCTGTTATTGAATCCAATGTGCCGGGACCCGACTACCGGCTACCATTTATTGATTTAACCGATTTTCTTTTCACGACTCATGCTCCGCGGAAATGCACGATGGGGTCATGCAGGCACATGCATCCTGATGCCTGTAGTTTTTCCTTTCCCAAACGAAAATATATTTGATACGGGCTAGCCTACTCAAGGTAAATCTACATTGGCTGGGGTGGTGAAGCGTTTGAGCTACCCCTCCCGCTTTTGATCGTCTGGAAACCCATTGCAACTGTGCATGGGCGTACTCAACGACCCCGCTCGATATATACACAAATTCAAGGAAAAAAGAAGACTGTTGACACTTGTCCGCTGGCCATTGAAGTCCTTCACGATCTGCTAGCTGGAAAGCATGAAACCAATTGCGTAGATATCTCTCAAATACGGCTGCCCACGTGAATATGTACAAGAAAGAAGCCTGGAGGCTTAGAAACGTCGCATCAAAAATAAAGATATGTACGCACAGCGAAGGTATAGGTTTCGAGGAACCCGTACCCCAAGGAATGCTCCAGCGTCGCAATTAGATGCGGAACTCTTCGATGTTCGCTGGCGATACTAGAATCGGCGCTGAAATGCTCGTATTGTGCGGCATTGTCTCAATGATTTGACAAACAACCTGTTCGTCGCTGTGGCCGTAATATGAGGTTAAATGAAGCTGTAACTTTTCCTTCCCACCGTTGCGCCGCCAATGCTGGTAAAAATAATTCGTCCGTTCTTTGGGTATAATGCCTTTTCCTGTCCTCGATTGCTGAATAGTTCGAATAAAAAGCTCGCCCATTCGCCATAACCTATGCCTCTCAATATGGGGTCACATCTCTGCCTCGTGCCATTATCCATTAACTTCTTCATGGTTGGATGCAATACGGCACCACAGGCGCCGCTTGTCGTCAAGTATTTATCCAATGATTACAAGATTGTTGCAGCGCATACTGTGGCTGACAACTTGACAAGCGTTCCTCAGTCGTGCGTCACAGTGGCAGATTCGTCCGGCAGCGTGCATAAGATCCTTGCCTCACCGTGTTAGGAGAGATCAGAATTTCTGCTGTGTTGTACAGCTCTATCGCATGCTGCTAGTATCGAAGGAGAACTGCGTAGGGAAAGCCATCGAGGCGCTCAGACCGAAAGGATCCCAGTCCAGAGCCGGATCCAGAAGCTGCGTCATAGATGGGTATCCTTGACCCGATGTTTGGACTGGCTCGTGCTGTCCGTCGCTCGCGTTCTGTTGTACCGCATTCCCAGTCGCGTTAGAGGCCATAGACATACCATGCTGATGTTGTTGTTGTTGCTGCTGCTGTTGCTGCTGTTGGGTGCCGTGGTATTGATTTGGGTAAGGGCCTGGCCCCGGGGTGTCGGGCTCGACGTCGTCGATCATGTCGTTAGGAGCATCATACTCCTGCTCTGTAAAAAGGAATCAGCCTAGGACGCCAAAGGTCTATTATACATAAGAAACGGGTCAGCTTGCCGAGCTGCTTAATGTGGTTCTGGAACCCAGGGGTGGGATAGAAGCCACCCGGACGTTGACCGACGCCAGTGCCGTGTTGCATCAGTTGTTGTCGTGCTGCCGCTGCCGCTACAGGGCCTTGCATCGGAGGAAGCTGTCGCATGGGCGCGGGAATCGTTGGTCGCATGCCCGAAGGTTCGCTGGTCTTGGGAGATAGCGCAGAGCCAGCATAACCGGGAGCTGGGTTAGTAGGAGACGCGGTATGCGATGGAGGCGTTGGGCGCGATGTTGGCGACGCGACATTTTGCATGCCGTGCATTGGCTGCGCCAAGGAGTTCGCGCCGGGTTCGAGCTTAGGTGCTATGCTAGAAGCAGATCTGCGAGAGTGGTGATGTCTGTTCATAATGGCCCTCTGGATAGGTGGAGGCTGAACCATATTCTGGGGCATGTGAGTTGGTCCGAGATTCGGACTGCCTGTTTTGGCTTGAAGCTCAGCTTGGACGTCAATACCTTTTTCAAGCAGTATCCTTTCAAGCAGTGAGTTCTTGTAGCGCAACATCAGACATTCATCAGCAGCGCTGCGATGGGCTGCTTGTAGGTTCGACAAGTTAGACTCATGAACCCTGATGGTTTCTTCTAATTGCTTGATGTACTCTGTCCTTCGCTCACGGAAGGCAGCCTGGGCTTGACGGTTCCTTTGCTTTCTCTCTTCCGAGGTTGCATATATCTAAGATTATGTTAGCGAAGGTTCATGGTCGGCTAGTATGTGGCAAAGTCCAAGCGCGGACAAACAAAATTGAGACACTTGGATATGTGAGAAAATGTTTTCACATACAGGTTTGCGCCCGCCTTTGCGCTTGGCCGGCTGGGTTTCTTGGATTGCATCAGGACTATGCTCTTGATCGGGACTCGAAGCCTTTGAATCATCAGGAGTGTTCTCCTTGGAAGGTTCTTTCTGATCAATAGACATATTGTCAGACATGACAGTTTCGGATATAGGAGACGATTGCCGACTGGCCAGGCGGCAAACGCCTCTCACAGGTGTATCAGGTATGCCAACACAAACGTTTGTGTAATGCCAATGTTTAGGGGCTGATACACAGTCAAGGCCCAAGTGAGGAGTTTTGATTGTGTAACGGATTCCAGTGTCAATGATGGCGTGATAGTATACAACCACAACCACCAGCAAGTTCCCCGAATACAAGCGTCCTCGGCACTCAAATGCGCGTATGCAAGCTAATCAGAACATAATCTGGGGAACCGAAGATCCGACAAGACGGGACGGGGTATGTAGGATTTGTTCTGCTGGAGATAAGGATGGATGATCCAAGCGGCTCCAGGGGAAAGATTAGGGGGGCCGTTACGCGCAGCAAAGACAGGTCAAGATAAGTGATGACAAGTGTGTGTATGGTAAGAGGAGGAAACGGCTGAGGGCGGGTTATGTAATTGTTTGTTAAGAGTTCAGCGGAAGGTTGCTTTGGACGATGGATGGTGTGCTTTCTAAAATTCAAGAAAGGCACAACCGGACGAAAGAATTAAGAAAGACCTAATGGTCAGATCAACTGGCGACTTGAGAACTTTGCGTGTTTCGGGCCGCCTGGGAACTTGGAAAACCGAAGAGAAGTTTTCTCGTCTTGTGGAGTGCTCCAAAGCTCTCGTTTCTCGGAACTGCAGCAGACGACGTCGTTCACCTTTCGGCTGGTGTTCGGCCTGCAGTCTATTTGTCTGTGCACTTGTGGTGTGGACTAGTGCTGGTGCATAGTACTGGTACTGGTACTTCTCAACAGCGGGCCCCCTCAAGGCGCTGGGCAGTGGGAGCTGAGGTCTGAGTCGTGACAGATGCAGACGTTTTCTGATTTGACCCGTTTTTCTGAAGCTTGGCTGAGATCCGCCTCGGTCCACGGAATGGATGTTTAGACTTGGTGGATTATCCCAGGACGTTTCTGTTGCGCAGGCGCTTTTACTTCAATTCTTGCTCACCCAGAAGCTTGGGGTGTTCCTAATGGGAAGGTGGGGAAACGATTGGGACAGTGCTCAAAAGTGCTCTGGAATAGAATAGTCAACCGACGGAATTTCAGATTGAACTGTTTTAGACCATAATACTACCAAGGCCAAAATACTGATTGAAGATATTGTAGGATAGTGTCGCAATGTCCCATGTGGAGAAACGAGATCGTTGAGAGCTTCCTCTGCAGTCGCGTGTACCTTCTGGGGGAGCCTGTTATTATAGAGTAATCGAAACTCAAGTACTTCCAATATAAGTACAAATGTACCTTTTGCTCCTCCCTTGTTGCATAAACCGGGGAAGCAGGACACAAGGAGCCTCATGTAGGATTCCTCTCATCTGGCGGCCTGCAGTCATCTTTTGAATTTTCGCTGCACCATGGATGTCACCCTCCATGATCTCAGGTGAAAAGTGCATACGATTTATTCACTTCACAGCACTTGCGACCGCATTACGAAAAGTTCGGAAACAGTGCAGACGACCGCCCAGACCCTGCGGCATCTTGGCGTGACTTAGACAAAAGGCTCGGGATTAATAGTCTAAGTTAGCAGCAGATTGCTCGCCTATAGTATGATATATTTGTACAAAATTGGTTCAATCACTACTTGCAAGCGATCAAGATTAGATATACCCTGGCTTCAGAGGCTCATTTGTACCAAGCCAGGTGACCTGTACGCACGGTACATCTAATCGAACCTAGGCTCCGTCTCTCAACCGGTCTGCCGCCCAAACCGAACAGTCAGTTGTTTCTATGGGATTTGTTTCAATCGCGGGCGGTTTACCACCACTTGGGACTCGAAAATTCCAAGTCTCAGAGCATTCACGAATGGCGATGCTTTAGACTAACCACCGCGTGACAAAAATGCGAATCTCGACCAACGTCAAAATTTTAAGCTATTGCCTGCCCGGTGGCATTTGAACTTCAGTGGGCGATCATTGTTATTAGCTCCGGCATCTACAGCCCTGATACCAAACATTTGGGAATCGTGCCTCGCAGTGATTGGTGTTTTTAATGGACCGGTGACGATATTGGTGTTCGATTCTTTACCAGGGGACGTGGTTTGCACTTCTCCGACCGGAAGCGCCGTATCGACGTCAGTAATGATAAGATACTGATGGTGTGTGCGGTCATTTCATGATGCCGGTTCATTTTGTGCAACCGACAGTTTCCTGACGTTGGTTGGCGAAAAGTGACAGACCCCTCCTCAGATCTTCTTCTGCCAATTGCAGATGATTATGATCATGAGGCTGCAGGGTACAGTCTCAATGTGTCTGGGAAGTACTCATCGCTAAGTGCATGCCAAGCATTTCACCAGTTCGTTCCCATGGACATATGTATTGCGTCTACTCTAGTTGCATGGAATCTCTGACGAAGTTGAGGTCTTTCAATCCATGTATCCAAGGTCTTATTAGACTGTCTAAGATCTTCCATAAGACGCTACCTGGCACAGCATCCCACGTCTTTTCGAGAACAGTGCCGTGGATAAGAGATAACGCATTTCGAATTTCCGCCCTAGCAGTTGAGCAATTCCGCGGCCACTGACAATGCAAATCTCGGGAAATTTTATCCCAAAAGAGACGAGATACCCATTAAGCCCCAACTGCCGCTCCTCGTAATCAGACTTGGCCATTTGCGAACGTGCCAGGGTCTACGATCATACACCGGATTGGTAGAAGCAGATCTTGGCACCTTTCTGAGCTCCTCGGAAATGTTCAGACTGATCTTCAAGGGTTTCGCTTCCACGCAAAATGCAGCGGCGTAGCGAGACTTAGCGCTCGGCCCCGGCCATCACAAAAATTGGCCCAGTGGAACGAAACCTGTCCAGCGGTGCACGCCGCTCTATGGCACTCGAGACGCCAACCAGTTCCCATTACAATCGACATAACACCTGTTCAACGTCTGCAAGTGCGACTTTGGTTGTTATGTATCACAGCACCGCTATCAAATGGTATGAAGGGGCAGGGTATACGACAATATTCTGACTTCACAATAATATGTGATCTTTCTTGTATGATTATCGAGTGTAGGAACATACATCTTCTTCATAGATGCGCAGGTCATATGACTGCCACAAGAATTGCTTTTCAGTTACAGGATCATGCAGCTTTTAAGCGTCATGGGCTTACGCCATTTGGTATGATCGGACAGAGGCTGAACATCTTACTATAGCCCTACCGTTTCAAGCTACAAAACCTACTGCAGCTTTAAATGACCGCCCCCTTGCATGGGCTGTTTAGAATCAGCATCGCTTCTACTTGTATTGCAGAGGCGATAAGAAAAGTCAATCTGTATCAGCAAATGCGCTCTGCCTGTTGGGACTTGATGCTTCAGCGGATGCGCTTACGGAGAAAGCGACATCTTGCGTGGCATGACCTTCTAGAAAGTTTCTAGTGTCATTCTCGATCCCGGGATCCTTGCACATCATCCTTGGCTACGAATCCTTTCTTGTATTAGTTACATCGCCGGGCCCTTGACATCTGCAGGTGCAACGTTCCAGCGAGACATGGTGGCTGTGGTCATCGGTGGTCGAAAACGGTAAGGCTCGTGCCGATGCCGCTTCGTGGCCAGCACACTTCAATATAGTGACTATCACTGAGAAGCGGCTTCAGGCTGGCTTTCGACCTCAGCATGAGACTTGCCTAAGGTTAGTCAAAAGGCAGGATCAAACAGGCTTCACCTTTCCGAGAGACATGATGTGCGCAAGCTGGGAGTATTAAGCGTCCGCCACCTTGTCGTTGACCACGAAGTCTCCAAACCCAGCAGTTTGCTTCTCGGTTGCCAGCCGCACACCACCACCATATCACATTCAGAATGCTGACTCAGTCCTGACGAGTTAGAGCGGTATAAAGGATGACTGAGAGTTCGCCAAAAACAACAAACCTGACATACAATGCAAGAAAATACTCGAAGGAGATATCTACAGAAGAGATCTGGGGCCCCGCAGAACCCACGAAGGAACACAGATGGCCTGTTCCATCCTCCTGAACGACGCCTAAGAGCACCATGTATGGAGAATTACTCGAGGATATCCTCGAGGAAGAGCTTTCCATCTAGAATCGTAGAAGTGTAAGGATTAAGTATTAGTCGCGACTTTGGGAAGAGTTATCTTGTACGACAGAGAGGTAGTTCTTGTTAGTCTTTCCTAGCCAGATCACTAATTTGAACCATATTTGCTGCACCTGGACTCGGGCTTCGTTCGAACATCCATGACATGGACGGTAGCCTCGGACTAAAAAATAAAATAAAATAAAAACTCTAGTATTGTGCTTGCATAACCGGTCTCGTTTCTTTGCTTACATATAACCTTAATGTTTTCTATGATCTAACAGCCTTGACCCCCTTTCCAAGATCAATGGCCACCACGGCGACAAGAAGCATGGCATTAAAACCTGCCATCAAATAGAACGGCGCTCCAGTGCTCGCAACATCGAAGAGGTATCCTCCCAATTTTGTCAGTAACAAAATCGCAGCGCCGCCACACCATGAATAGACGCCCGCCACCGAGCCCTTTAGCTGGACCCGCGAGATGAGTTTCTCATCTCCTCCCGTGCCCGCGCTGTTTCCATTCTCAAGCAAAGGCGCCGCCTCTCCCTCGCTGTTACCCTGTTCTGTCGCTGCCGCCGCCGAAGACGTAGGAGGCAAGTCTGCGCTCAGCACACCTCGGCCCAGCGAGCCAAGACTACACACGATGGCTCCTATCTGACTGATGCCCAGCAATGCGACAATTAAGAAGACAACTCCACTACCACCTCTGCCGTTGATGTCTTTGTACTCCGGACTCTGCAGCTGTGGGAACGCGATATAGCCGACAACACCACATAAAGTAGACACCAGAATCGGTAGGTTCACGCCTCTCCACCGCCTCGCGCTCAAATATCCAAACAAAGGCGCGCATAACAGCGCGATAAGTTGAGCGACACCGCTAAGGATAGACGACAGAATATAAGCCGCGCGGCACTCCTTCTTGAGCTCAGGCGACGGATCGTGCGGTGACCCCTGGCAGAAACCATTACTGATAAAGAAAGTGTTGATGTATAGCGGGATGAAAAGACTGATCGCCACAGTGCTGGCCCGCGCAACGAAGCCCCCGAGATAGCCAATGGCGATGTGCGAGTCGGTCAAGCCCAGACGCAGGGACGAAAGAAGGAGGTGACGGTATGCTAATGGCCTGTACGCCTTTGATTCGTCAGGCAGAACAGCATCCCCGTTCGAAGCATCTGCGCCCTTCCTCCGCGACCCCAGCAGCATCCGCCAGCCCTTGCCTTCTTCGCCTTTGAGCCCCTGAAGTCCAAAGAACACAAAGACTGCAACCACCAAAGCCACGGTTCCCACAACGTAGAAACTCGAGGTGATTGCCTGAGCCGGCGTGACGCCCTCGCCTTTAGAAAATCGTGCAGGCAGAGGCAAGAACAGACTCAGCGCCACCAGAGCACCGCATCCCGTGAAAAGGCCCACAAGACCCGCAAGCGCAGATGGCTTCCTGCCCTTGTCATCCTGTCGCATATCCTCATCTCCTCCGTCGCCGCCTCTACTGCTCCTGCCGTCGGCGCTCAAGTCTCTGTACCGCTCCGGCGTGATGGTGACCTCGCTCTCGAAGCTCATGGCGACGCTGTCGCGATTGCTGTTATGCCCGGCCGGTTTCCTCGCGACCGTCCTCTCCTCGTGCGGGTCCCCGGCGTCAGCACCGGCGTCGTCGTCATCCGTCAGGCTTGGCAGTATGGCGGTGACCATGGTCGCGGCGGCCGTGGCGCCGACCGCGAAGAGGATCCTGACAGCCACGAGACCCCTCACGCCTTCCCAGCCCTGGCCCACCTGCACGAAGCAGAACAGGCTGAGGCCGATGACCGCGTATCCCAGTACGGCAACCCAGCGCACGCCCAGCCTGTCGCTCACCAGACCCCAGACGGGACAGGCGACGAGCGCGACGATCTCATCGACGAAGCCGAGGGTGCCGACAATGTCGCCGACGTTGGTCTTGATGTCGAGCAGGTCGGTGATAAGGAACGAGACGGCCGAGTTGAGGAAGACGAGGAAGGAGATGCTGAAGAGCGATATGCCCAGCAGGTAAGTCGTGGCCTGCAGCGGCGTCGTGGATGGGGAGAAAGGCAGAAGACGGCGGATGCGCGACATGGTTGACGTCGATGCCAGATGGTACGAGGCAGATGGCGGGGTGGTTGTCGTACAAAGGATACTGAGACTTGTGGCGCGCAATTGGGGGGAACAGATCTGATGACAGGCCGTAAAAAGCACAGCCGTATCACATCTTCAGTCGAGGGAGACGAGCAGTTCGGAGTGGCCGGGCAGATCTAGGATTGTTGTTGTTTTGATTTGCGCATAGGTTGGATAAAGCTCCAATGTTACTTTAGTCTCCAGCTTCCCCATACACAGGGATAGGCCGACTTTGCTAGTCTAGCAGCCACAACCATGACGCGAAGTCAACAACCTCGATTTGGATCTAATCTAACGGATCATATCAAATGTCCTATGTTATATATCATGGCATCTTTGTTGGTCGGAGTGACTTTGTACCTACGTTGAATAAAAAATAAAAAATCGAACCAACCGACATACCAGTCTATAGAGAAAAGGCAAAATTGCATTAATACGAGGCACACGTGCTGTTCAATAAGTATTACTATAATTACCACCGTCTATACAAACCCCAACCAATGGTATGAAGCCTGTTGTGTACCCAATGACTACAAGCCCGGTCCGACTGCAGTCATTCTGCTGACGCTTCCAAACTTCACTTGCCACGCATAATAGTATATCAACGCAGCAGATGGCTGGCCGAGTATGGTGAACGTGATCCAGAACGTGCAATTGCCAATGATCTTGCCGCTCGGTTCACCCACTGCCTTCTTGACCCAGTCCGTAATTACTATCAGAGGCAGTTGGAACATCATGCCTAGAAACGCAACGCCTGTCGAGCTTGTTAGTGCTCAAGCCCCTCAAATTAGCGACGACGTCAACGTACCTATGACATTGTGTGTCGGGACACCGACCGCCATCTCATGCAAGACAGCCGAGACGAAGAAGACTGCAAAGAAACTGGCGTTCTGGCTATATCCGCGACCCTTCATTGGAGAATAGACATGGCGTCGCATGAACGCATGAACTGGTTTATTCCACATATTCCAGTAGTCGCGCAAACTGGTCGCATTCCACCAATCATCATAAAAGTTGCGGTCTCCGAACCTCGTAATCTCGGCCAGTGCATTCAGGGAGGATTGGAAGGTTGCAAAGAACCCGGCCAGCCAGATGACGAGCGATATTGTGGATAGTTTTAGGAGTCGCTCAATAATTGATGTAACTCTCAACGTGCTCATACTGTTGATGGAATTCTCCAAGACAGGAGCAGCGTATTGAGCGCTGCAAAACCATACCAGTACACTCAAGCAAATGGTCTCGCCAAGTCTCTTAAAGACGAACTTCCATCGTATCTTTTCTGTCCTCGGATATACTGGCTGATACACCAAAGTTGGGGCCCACCAGAAGTAAGCTAGGTTTCCCATGGTGATATTCTCTGGGTATGGGCATTTTGCATATATCTCGGGAAGCGCAGCCAACTCGCCCTTCACCGGATGTAAGTACGCATGGCGCAGATCTCGGTTCGTCAAGGCATAAGAGGCCGTCTTCAGCCAGACAATAATGGCATGAAGTTCTGTCGCGGTCCCAATCAAGGGATGGTGAATATGATTGTATACCGCCCAGCTGGTAATACCCAAAGCGAGAGTTGCGTTCAGCCCATGTAGCCATCTGACTCTGATCCACATGGCCCTGAAGACTTTCGACTGGTCTTCAGTCGGACTGGCCGAGCCTCCCCGGCGGATGGCCAGAGCTCTCGATGCTTTAGCTTGTTGTGCAGCAAATAGTTCAATTGAATGGGCAACCCAGAGGAAACACGGTATCACGAAGTAGAGACCAAGTCCCATGAGAAGATCATGCTTTGAAACTCCGTGGCAGTTGAAGCAAATCAAGTTGCCATACTAAGCTGCGTGTAAGCCAACGAACAGCTCGAGATGGAATGTGTGAAGCTCACTTTTTGAAGATTTTCAATAACCAACCGCAGGTTTCCGGCAACTGGCATCCATAAGCTTGTATTCTTTCGGGAACTGGTCAAGGGACAATACCAAGGACTATGACCATCAGATTTCGAAAGCCCAGAAAGCTAGGAGCCGTAAGGGCGTCATGGCTGAGAGTTGACGGCCTTGCTTCGGAATGAATGGCTGCAACATGTCTATATCTCCTTATCAATATCGGAGTACCACCGTTCGCATTGCTGTTCCCGTTGCTGTTGAATTCGCGTGTACGATCATCGGTTCGGCGTCGCAAGGTAGGGGTAGAAGCCGTTTCCACGCTTGTAGCAGTCACGGATTCCATGCTGAAGCCTGTTCGACTGAGGGATTGCTTCGTTGCGTAATGCCAGTTCTGCTCGTGGCAACACGTCCAAGTATCAATTCGATCCGCTTCAGGACGAAGGACAACTACGATATACCCCGCGGAGACTGTGCTCTTTGAGTGCGAAGTCCAGACTGTGGTTTTTATCTCCAGTAGCTTAGCCGGATCCCCCCTCCAAACTCTAAATGCGGCGGCGAAATCTAAAGCGAGCTATACTTTGAGATTGCTCAGCAATGGCTTAAATAGAAAAGGGTATGCCTGCGCCTAAGGTTAGAGCAATCAGCCAAATGAATGTTGTCGGTCTGGTTGTACCGCTGTACGATATGAAGAGTTTGAGTCCCACCTTGTTCTCTCCCGCTCGTCTTGACGTCGTGCCGGTTGGAAACCAAGTGTCGTGATATATGGGTAAACAGTTGTTATCTACGAAGATGGAGGGGAAGCTGCATCATATCTTGCAGATGGGATTGGTCAATGTAATTCTCCATTGATTCAATTGGAATGCTGCAGGTATTTGCGGTAATAGCGCCCGGTCGTGAGGGAAAATTTCAGCGAAAGCTGGGCAGAGTAAAATGCCTTTCAACATCGTTGCTGCATTGCATCAGAGCCCTGGCGATCCCGGTTCACCTAGGACAAGGAGTACAACAAATACGCATGTGATTGGGCGGGGCTATGCGCATTGGCTTTCGCTTCGGGGATAGACTTCTTGGGCTGAAGGAGCTTGGGGCGAGGGGGCCACCGGTCCATCAGTAATAACGGCTTGGGCGGCAGGTGGCTTGTATTGGTTGCCGGAAGAAATCGGCATCTCTTGGATATTCAAAGACGTGAAAATACCTTGGTATGCTACGCTGCTGCGCTAAAGGGCCAAACCTACTGTAGTTACGTATGTAGGCATGGCCGTGAGGATTCTGGAAAGGACAACCCCCTTTAACAGGCTTGGCCGGTAGGTTCCTTCAGGTTGAATGATAAAACTACGGTAGGCATCTCATTGACGACACTTGGCACCCTTGAAGATTGTACAAGTATTGGATCCATGTGGACAAGAGTAGGTATATGCTCTTACGTGTCAATAACACATACACCAGGTAGCACTGCGAAACAATGCACAATACAGACCATCACTCAGCGAGTTTCAGTGCTTGGAACCGGCCGTTTGGCAGCTGCTGGTTCTAGCGCGAACAAAGTAACCAAACAAGGCCCGGGGATATTCCGGGCTGCAGGTGCTGCTTCCCATCTGTAGTGGGTCCTTTGGCGACTGAAGCACGCGCCTGGCGCGTGCCTGCATTCATTCCACTCTGAGCTCCAGGCAAAGCATTCCATGGGAGGTACCTCAGCCTTGCAAAGTGTCTTGGGAACTCATGTGACTTCAACCACTTTTCCACATCAACATCAATCACACTTATGATCATTCGCGGCACCTTTTGAGTCTCCCACAACCCGTATGACTTCGAAATAGTGTCATTCTGGCATATCCGCACGATGGCCTACGAACCACGTGGAGGAGACCATGGCGGCGATGGGGCAGGTTTTGTAAGGGCCAGAGGGCGACGACCCGTCACTGATTATGGCGCGACTATGGCACACTGGATACGCGATCGCAGACCACGGTACCAGGGTTCTTTCAAGGGCGAGGCAGAGCGACCCAGCGCGAGCTATATCGTTGATGTAGGATTCCGGACACCAAGTAGCCAGTTGTCCTGAATACAATACTAATTTCACTAGATGCTTCCCCCATTGGCTAGAGTGACGAATCCTGCAGATTCGGTGCCTGCCAAGCACCTTCACTCATCTTTAAATAAGATCAAACACCCCGTCAATGTGGTGCGTTGGACCCCGGAGGGACGCAGGTTGTTGACCGCGTCAACTAGCGGAGAATTCACGCTATGGAATGGTACAGGCTTCAACTTTGAGACGATAATGCAGGCCCACGATGTTGCGATTCGTGCCATGGCATATTCACACAGTAATGACTGGCTTATCTCAGCGGACCACGACGGCACCATCAAGTACTGGCAACCTAACTTCAACAACGTCAAAGCGATCCAGGTTTCGCACGACCCTATCAGAGACCTGGCCTTCAGTCCAAACGACTCGAAATTCGTTACTGCTTCGGATGACTCAAAAGTGAGGATATTCGACTTCACAGATGGTGTGGAGGAGCGGGAGTTGAAAGGCCACGGATGGGACGCCAAGAGCTGCGACTGGCATCCTACTATGGGTCTTATTGTTTCTGGGTCAAAGGATCATTTGGTGAAGCTATGGGACCCAAGAGCGCCAGGTCGTTGCCTCCGGACACTGCATGGGCACAAAAACACCATCACGAAGACAGTGTTTGAACGAGTCCGGGGAAACTGCTTGGCTACATCGGCGAGAGATCAGACGGCCAGGGTGTTTGATTTACGCATGATGAAAGACGTTTGTCTGCTCAAGGGCCATGAGAAGGATATTTCTACGCTAGCATGGCATCCTATCCACCCGAATCTCCTGAGTACAGGAGGCTCTGAGGGCTCATTATTCCACTATCTGCTGGATGAACCAAATACCCCTGCTGGTCAACCTCTCAGTATCAGCCCATATGAGAGTGCGGATCCAGCATCGGCGCCAGCACAAACCATATATCCCGCCCACAAGATACCTTATGCACATGACTTTGCAATATGGTCACTAGACTGGCATCCTCTAGGCCATATTTTAGCTTCAGGATCCAATGACCGTATCACGAGATTCTGGTCAAGAGCACGTCCTGGCGAGACAGATATCTTCCAGGACAGATATCATATTGGCGAGGCGGCTGCCGAGGCTCAAGGAACCTGGCACCGTCGTGATGCACGTCGTCAACGACAAGAAGAGGAGGAGCAGGAGATGGAAGACGAAGCTGAAGGCTTGGTTGATCAGAAGATGCCGGGCAAGAGCCAGCACCCAGGGTTACCAGGGCTGCCGGGACTGCCTGGTCTTTCTCTACCAGCGAACGGTGTCCCACCACCTCCACCGCAGATTCCCGGCGTGGGTGCTGCACCAATGGGCACATCTGGCGTGGTACCGCCACCACTCCCCTTCGCAATGCCACCAAACTTTAGCGGTGCGCCGCCACCTCTACCTATACCGGGGATGGATCCCAACGATCCGGAAGCATTCGCGAAAATCACAGAAATGATGCAAAAAGCTGGCGTACCCCTGCCTCCTCCACCAGGAATGCTGCCACCGGGCATGGTACCACCTCCCAATTTCCAATTCCCAGCTGGTTACCCGGCACCACCTATACTACCACCTGGTATGGATATGTCAGGGCTAGATAGTGGTGGCCGTAGAAGAGCACCTCTCCCTAGTCAGGAGGAAAGCTTGAAGCAAGAACAGAAAAGAGGCAACTACACTCGCGTTAGGTAGGACGGGGGCCCAGAGTTTCCACAGGGTCGCCTTGAACATCTGAAGAGGACGGAGCTTGGGTTGGTTATTACGACGAAGCTTTACGCGTCAGCGATAGCGTTCAAGACCAATCATCCACTCCAGAAGGCAGCATAGGGGAATCCGCCGCGCTACATAAGAGAGAAAGGCGCACCGGGTCAGCAAGGCGACTGATGTGGAGTCGTGACAGGCGCAAGGAGCGTATATGCCTGTCTTAGCGCACGACACACAACCTTGGACGGGAGAAGTGATACTGCTGGAGATCCGAGCGTGTACTTGTTAAAGGCGTATCTGGATATTTATTGGAATTGGGTTCATGATACCCAGGCGTTTGCCGGTATGTGTCTGTGTGTGTCAAAAGCGAGCATGGCATGAGAAGAACGGGGCAGTTGACTTGGTCGAGTTGTTGCTTCTGGGAATGTCTGTAAATTATGCGCGTGGTGGTTCCTAGCACTTGTTGTCTAGTATAGTAGATGTAATGCAGAATGCTATGCTATGTCATTTCCTATGTGTTTCCGAGCCCGTCGTCTCCTCTCCAGCCTATATTACACCTATTGTCGTGAATGCGTACGGAGGCCCAAAGGTCAACTATTACTCCGAGTTGCACGGCTTGTGGTCGCAAATCTAAACCAAACGTCTATGCATCATGTACTCTGTACGGCGTGATTACTACCTCTTCACAGCAGGCACGGACGCAGCGCCCGGCTTGGCAAAAGCCTTCTGCCTGTCCGCGTAGTCCTTGATGACCAGCGCGCAGGTGGTATCCGCACAGAGCCTCTTGCGTCTCGTGACCGGCAGCTTGGAAGCAAACTCCAGCCCGCTCGCCCTCTCAACGGCCTCGACGGGCACCTCGAAGTCGGTGATGGGCTTCCCGTTGGGGATGGGCGCGTTCGGCAGAACGAAGGCGCCAATGGCGACGGGAGCGGAGGCGGAACCAGGGGCGGACTCGGCGAAGATGACCTTGTAGAAGTGGGTGGGGACGGCGACGTTGGGCGGGTTGCCGATGACCTCGTAGCGGACGTACCACTTGTCGTCGGCCGGGTCCTTCTTGGGCAGGTAGAGGGGGCCGGTGACGATGCGCACGCTCGGGTACCGCACCGTCAGCCGCCGGCAGAAGTCCTCAAAGTGCGCCCAGTAGTCCCGGTTGAAGCCCTCGCCCACCTGCGGGCACATGTTGGTCAGGAAGAAGGTGTCGTTCATGGCCCCCTGCGACCACTTGCAGTCCGCCGCGGGAACCTGGTGGCCCCGGTCGTAGCCGGACCGGAAGTAGTCCTTCAGCTTGGCCCGGAACTTCTCTGGCACCGACTCGTCCTCCAAGAAGGCCGAGTGCTTGCGGTCGCCGTCGCGCTGGGCTAGCGAGGCCGGAGTGATGTGCTCGACGACCCAGTGGGGGTTGCGTAGGCGGCGGTCGTAGGATGAGACGAGTGCCGATCGTGTGGCGATATCGGAGACCGGACCTGGGAAGCCATATTCGAAGACACCGGAGGGGTCGACCGGGGCGTTGAACAGAGCAGCAGGTGCGGAAGTAGACAGACCTGGCTGGCCTGGCTGTGCGAATACTTGTTTGGCGGGTATGGGTATAGGTGCCGAAGCGGCGGGCGTGGTAGAGATAGTTGTAGTGGTTGTGGATATTGTGCTTTGGTCGAGCTTGCGCTCTGATCGCAGCGAATACATGCTTGCGGTTATGGCTGCGCCGGCTCCTGCGCTGGCCGCTGCGATAATTGCGAGTGTTGTTTTTGACATCGTGAATGAGATCCCTGGCTCCCTCTGGGAGCTGCCTCTGCCACTGAGCTTTTATATGAAGTGAAATGTGGACGGGTTTTCCGGTGAAGAGAGCGACTGGGAGTCAGGCGTATGATGAATGAGTACACAGAGCCACGGGGTAGTTGTGGCGACCTCGTGGTGATGAGGGTGTGTACCTGTTGATCGATTGTCTCAGTAGGGAACCTGGGAAATTTTTGAGGTGCTGCCAGCCTCGAGACAGGGCTGAGAGGATGGGTTGGCAGCTGCAGGTACGCTGCGGCGCATGTTGTAACTGGAGAGACGCCCCCAGGCCCCCCTACCCTACAGAGAGGCCCCTGTACCCTTGGGATGTCTAGGGCGTGTGCTACTACGTAGCGGGGCAGTCAACGAGCCGCACGACTCACAGGGAGGCTGAGGGCTATCAGCTGCATGGCCCAGTTGATAACTTGATCAGTTGTCATTGTCCATGCCAACACCCGTTCAGTCGCCATGCTCACGTAGTACATATGCAGCCTGTGAGGTTTACAGGCCCAATATAGGCCTCTCTTAAATATGCCAAGTCATATGTTATGTTTTCTTCTCTCCTTGTCTTTTCTTCTTCTCCCGCACGGCGTTTCCTGCAGTTTGTCATTGCATGTGCTTGAGAGCAATTCTTGCATTACTTTGGCGATTTTGCCTTCCTTTTAAAGTCGGAAAACAATGTTGCACAGGAGGAATCATGAGCATGTCAAACTGTTGCACATCACACAGGAAGCAATGACATCGGGACGGATCCATAGTTCCAACAATAACCTTAAAGCGGTCCTGGTTTATAGGGGTTCTCCTCAGGCAGATCTTAGGCTGCAACCCCCCCACTGTCGGCGTCAAGTAACTACCAAGCCGATGCGGATGGAGACGTGTCGTGGACGTGCTGACCAAAGTGATGCTCCCTATTCGTGCATGATTCATCATCCTGGCTTGCTAAATGTAAGGCGCTGTTCCAGGAATCTGCTATGTGTTCAAGTTCTGAGAGTGTGTTACATGAATTCTGTGAGTCAGTACTTCGTATGACAAATACAAAAGCCTCGTGATACTATAGTGGGTTGCAAGTATCTGTGACAGAAACAACTTTAAATCCTTTGACCGTCCGCGTGCAGGCCAGAAAGGGTTTCTACAGGCCCTGTTCTGCACTCTCTGGGAGTCTCTCACTCTGCTTGGAACTAAAATACAGATGAATGGATCCCCTCAGATCTCGCTAACCTAGCCTCAACTCGGGCGCGGGTATGTATGCACCTTTGTCGGCTTTTTCCTAGCTGGACCTTGACTTTCCATGTTCGTTCCTGCATCGCATCTCCATGTCCGGATAATGAACAAGGTGAATGGCAATTGTGCTCTGGTCGAATGTATATACACAATTTCTGCGTAGCTGTGTTTTAGAGCATACCCTCTATCACTAAAGACGATACCTTGCACTCGACCTGGGACAAGGTTGCCGTTATCCCCCTGTTAGATTGCAACAAAGGTGACCCAGCAGGGTGGTCCATCAAGGTCCTCACTAGTTTGTGACGAGCCTGCCAGTGCCCTTGGCACTTAATGCCATCATAGCTACAATAGCGCCCGCATCACCGCCTGCCAATAATTCCTAAATATTGCCATTGCTCGTCTCTGTCTCTTTCCGTCATCGCCGATACCAATAACACCTAGAACAATTACGTGCACCCTGCCGACGGCATTTCGAATATACATATACACTGGTGCTCCCATGATATAGCGAACTCACCGAGAGAGTGTGCAGCAGGGAGGTGGTTACGCTGCCAGCACGGTTTTAAGCAAAGTCTCGCGGTTTCATTTAGCGAGGTTGTCCGCCATGGATACCATGGAAATGAGCAATGACACGAGGGGTTGGATCATGGCCCTCGTAAGTGGTGTTGGTAAGTCATACCAGTCGGTACAGCCATAAAACATATGGTATACTGACCTGTGTCACGACAGCCTGTGTTCTAGGCGCCAGTGTCATCTGCGTCGACACGCTCATCCGCCTTCTTCCTGGCAAGAAGAGCTTTCGGATACAGGACAGTGATGCATTTCTGGCCTCATCTTTGAGCCTGAGCTTCGGGGTTATGGTAAGTACGGTCAGTAAACCAAATCATTGATTTGAGACTCACTGTCGCCTGCAGATATTCATGGCTTTGTACAGCATGCTACCAGAAGCCAAAAGCTATCTCAAGAAAGGAGGTCTGAAGGAGCAGCCGGCCGGCTTCATTCTGATAGGTTGCTTCATTGGTGGATTCGTCGGAATTCAGGTCATATCACGACTCTTCCACCGCTTCCTCCCCTCTCATGTCGTCGACTGCGACCATTCCCACAAGGAGCAGCATGAAGATGAGCATGATCATGTAGACGGCGAGACACAGAGACGATCTTCACATGTCCGGGATTCTGACAAGCACAATCATCATCACACCGGTGACGACCACGAGCATAACCACGAGCACGATCACGCCAGTGTTCAAGAAAACAGTCTCGGGGAGAATGGCCCGGCTACAGAGTCGACCCCTCTATTGCCGAGCCAGAGCGGCCATGGACGCGGCCGGGAGTTGTCCAGACCAAGCATAGGAACCAGCAACAGTATGGCAGAATCTCTAACACCTCATCCAGCCCGCAATAGACCTGCTACAGCAAATCGGCGGCCGTCCATGGTTCAACTTATTACAAGGAGAGTCAGCGCATTTGCCGTTGATTCCAAAACGAATTGCGACGCTGACGGGCCATGTCATGGTTTTTCGGATCCTTGCGGTCAGGAATGTTTCAAGGCAGTCAGTAGCCGATCATCTAATCACGGTAATCGATCCTCTACTCACCTGACGAGGCCACCCGTTTTTATGCGTACGACTACCGGCAACAGTTTAACCGGTGGTATGCAGCCAGTCAACGAAGAAATTGACGAGGATATAGCGCCTAATCAACTATGCAAATCGCAAAGACGAATAAGCCGAGCTCGGTCTCGTGATCCGAGTCAGGATTTGGGTCAAGACCAACCAGCATTGGATGACGGTGCATCAGAGACTTCTGTGGATGTGGAAGCGCAACACCATCACCATGTTCCAGAGAATGCATTCCTATCCATTGGACTCCAGACGTCTATCGCCATTGCCCTTCACAAACTTCCTGAAGGTTTCATTACGTACGCGACAAACCATGCGAACCCATCTCTTGGATTCAGCGTGTTCCTTGCGTTGTTTGTCCACAACATCTCAGAGGGGTTCGCCATGGCCCTTCCACTATATATGGCGCTCAACAACCGTGCCAAAGCTATGGGGTGGTCTTTCCTGCTCGGCGGGTTGAGTCAACCGTTTGGAGCTGGCATTGCAGTCCTTTGGTTTAAAATAGCCAAGCATACTCACATGACACCGAACGATGTCGCATATGGTTGCCTTTTTGCTACCACAGCCGGCATCATGGCAAGCGTTGCGCTTTCGCTTTTCGTCGAGAGCTTGAGCTTAAATCACAACCGTAATCTAAGCATTTTGTTTGCATTCATGGGTATGGCGTTGCTTGGACTCAGCAGCGCATTCGCAGGCCATGCACATTAATGCAATGGACGGAGAACTGGTAGATAATTGAACCATTCATAAATTTCCGCTCAAGAATACGGTGATATGACGCTATGAGATGGTTGTACAGCATCAGGCGTTCTGGTAACAGCAAAGGGCATGAACAATAATGAATGATTTGCACATGGCATAGGGTTTCCAGGGCCAAACTTTAGGCTTGACAAGAACAACAGATTCCGCCCCGCGGTTGTAGCAATTTGCACATGTCCTGAGGCGGTCGACTGTCGATCGGCATTTATAGGGTTCAATAAAGATACGATTCAGACAATCTACATACGCCGCAACGAGTGATGATAGGCACAAAATGGTGCTAGGCTTTTTGCAGTGGTATTTTTATTTGTACGCAATTACACAAAAGTGGCTCGACCAAGTCGCTATAATCTTGTTAGTATGAAATAGCAGGGAACCACATGGGACGGTAGAGGCTTAGTATGCAGAGATTAGAATGCTCTGTCGGCTGCGTCTGCTTGTGCGATCTCCAGCTGGGCAAGGGCTGGAGTATATATCGCATAGTCAGATGCATACACCGACGCCAAAAAGGCCCATCGGGCGGGCGCAGCGTCCCATGGGTAACTGCGTTCAGCTGAGCCTACTGCGTCGCTGCGCAAGGGACAGACTGATCCAAAGGATCATCGCCCCAGCCGCAAATCCACGCGTGCTTTGCAGCTCTGTGCAACACGAAACAGAAAGCGAACTGTGGCCGAAGGATGTGTTTACGTGTCATTTGGGGGAGAAAAGACGAGGTTCGACTTGAAGAAGGAGATTCAGACCCTCGTGGAGAGGCGTAGTAAGCCTAACGTACGAAAGCAGCCAGGTCCACCCGCAGTCAGCAATTTTCGGTTTCAGGGTGCGAATAATGCGAATGCAAATGCAAATGCACAGCCATCCACCAACCAACTAACGGATTGATCGGCTTTTTTTCTTCTTCTTCTTCTTCTTTCGGTTTTGATTGTTTATATTACTAGTACGAGTGTTCATCAAAAATTTGAAAGATAACAAACCACCCTTGACTTTTCGGCCGGCGTTCTGCGTATTTCATTATTCCAATCCAAATCTTGCCAGGCAGATCTGCTATTATAGAGTCCAACGAAAAAGTGTACAATTGAGACACCAAGCAGTATCAGAAAAATCATGGACTCAACAAGGATGTCGCCTATCGCAATGCCCCAGGCTCCGGCGCCGGCGATGGTGTATGGACCGGAATTTGCGGGAGTCAACTTCGAGCAACCTGTAAGTGACATACCTGTTCTATCGTCCTAGCAATTGGAACTGTCGACGGCGGGGTTGTCTTTGAGCATTACAAGACTGACAGAGCTGGTTTCGTAGAGGCCAATGCAGCCGATGATGATGCAGCAACCAACGGGCAGTGAGCTCGGGCTTCGTGGTGGTGGACCTGGTGTAAGTTCCGCGCCGCAGAGGAGGCGGGTTCCCGGGCTCAGAAGTATCTAACGATAACTTGCAGGCTGTATGCTGTGGCATATGTACGGGCGTCTGCTGTGCTGAGTGCTGCGATTGCTGTTGCTGTTGCTGCTGCTAAGGAGGACAAGGCGATGAGAATGAAGCCAGCAGCAACCCAACCAGCGCGATATTTGGTCGTTACCAGATCCTTGAAGGCGCATTTGTTTTTCCCCGGAGTCATGGCGCAGTTCAAGAAGACACTTTTACTGCTGATGTTTATCATGGCGTGTTTTCTGGAGAACAGTATTTTGGATTTCATAGGTGGAAGGATATCATCCGCATAGAACAGCCCTACGTAGAGCTTGTTTTTTAGGTTTACATTATTTGCAACATAGAGGAGGCTAGTCCCTACAACGAAAACCATGTCATGAAAATTTTAAAGACTTAGGAACACGTATGTGCACTTATAAATTACGTACCAGTGGTTGATTGCTTTCAGACGGAAAAATTCTTATAAATAGAGATTGAATAGCATTGAACATTCACTTATAGTGGATGGTTATCTGATTGATTATCCAGATAAAATTGAAATAGTAAGGATGCTTCTTACGAGGATACTATGCCCTTATAGTGTGACTCACTGGCATATCATTCAAGTATTTAATCTTTCTCACAATCGCTCCTCCGTAGACGTTGCAAAGCAATACTAATATCTGGCTCTTGGACTGTCTACAGGTAACGAGAGATGACCTCGAAACAAGGCTTCTAATCTATCCGTACGTGGTACCCAACCAATGAAGCAATCGTTTCAACTAAAAATCGCTTGCTTATAGGTAGTCCACAACGGTGATCTGCGGGTAGTATGATATAACACTCCATAGTATCAGGCTAATCAGAACGCACCAGCCTATGATGCAGCAGAAGACTAGCCGCTAATTACGATGATGCATCAGTAACCAATGCCCCATGATAATCTTCTGTAAACATTTGGAAGAACTCCAGGTATATACCATGTAAAAATGGCAATATACCGCTCCTTCTTGATAAGTTGCGGATTGAATTGCATCTTGCAGCTTGAAAAGTTATCTCGGTTGATTAGTGCTTGGTGAATGCTTTCCTGTGCACGATTCTTTCTCGCAACGGGATATTTGCGTAGTTTATATATCCGCGCCTGTGTGATTGATATGTCTATTTGCTCTTTGATTGTGTCACACCATGGTTCCTGGGTGGTCACTGCAAGCAAACTATGTGCGTCATTTCCATGATAAGGTGAATGTAGTGGTAACTTGAATTAGCTGGATCGTAGCCTTCATTATTTTGTACCGTTGATAATCAACAAAACAATCGCATCGAAACAGAATATTTTCCTGTCTTAAATAATGAAAAATTGCATTAGGAGTCTGCTTTCTGGTAAAAAATAAGGTATTAGTTAACTAAACCTTGCAACGAGTTCATCTAGATGTAATGATAGGCATGGTCGCGGTGTTACAAATTGTATCCTCTTCGCCTTTATTATATAGTGAACTTGACCTGAGCATCTACATGGTCTCCAAGTCAGCACAAGTTTGTACGACAAACAATCCACAAATTTTGGATAGAGACCATGAATAAGTGTACTACTTTGTGTGTGTGTGTGTGTGTGGGTGAGAAGGAGGGAGAGGAACCCTCAAAACGTGCATACAACGATGTAGTTTGTTTTTTGGGAAGTGTATTATTATTATATCGTGATTTGGGAGAGGGCGTGGTTAAATTACTGCTTAAAACTGCAGAAAGAATTTTTGGCCTGCCTAACGAAGTGCTATACTAGATGATGCTATCATAATAACAAGGTATTCTCTTTACATGATGATCCACATGGCTGTGTGCGGATCCTCCAATGAAAACAATACTCCAACTTGGTATATTTTACATTGCATCTGGAAAGTGCTCACCTGAAATTTCGCGTCAAAGACAGAGGACCTGCGCGTGGAAATTCTCTTGGAAAGAGAATAATGACCCTATTAAATTGTGTGTGGCTAGATACAAACGATCGATTACTGCCTCTTTCGTGTTGATACCAGGATTGCCTTGTGGTGGAGATTCAACTCCCTGGATAATGCCAGCTGTAATTCGATCTGGAGGAGATCCATCTCTGCCTCGGCCAGGAATGTAACGAAGTCGCTGGAATTCCAATCCGTCCCGCACGAGAAGCCATTCTCCCAAACGCAGCTATATATCCTTATTGTGAACATGTGTATGTGTCCTTAATCCCACTAACGTTTGCACGATCGTGGAGTAACCTCAGAACGCTGGCCTAGGCATCCCACCTACCGTCATTAGTAGCCCTGTCAAAGCTGGAAAAAAGTAACCATTGCAATGCGAACTCGCAGATATGTGGCTCACCGTTTCTCATGAGTGGGACGTGTGGTCCATTTTGGGTTGCCTCAAAAAAGCTAGCCCTACTTTTGGCGAGTAGGTCTATCCATGGAACACGCTCTTCTGCTTCGATAGCAGACTGGAAAATGGAGGTTCTCATCTTCGGTTTCAACTCGAGGAGTCAATTAATGACTGTAGTTGCTCTATATTGACGGCGAGAATTGTTTTTCCTAATGGCTGATGCAGTAACTTCTTCCGTAATTGTCCAATTGACCTCCCCTGCGAATGTGTTGAATATTGTTCCGAATTCATCATAGGTAGAGAAATTTCACAGAATCCAGCTAATCGTCGTGGAGATCATGCTTGAGAAGCTGGTCTGTGTAACCATTCAGCCTACCAATTCTAGCTTGAGCAACAAGAGTGTTCTTGGCTCTGTCAAAATTGCCAACTCTGGCACCATTTTAATCAGATATACACAGTCTGAGACGTTGAGACTGGTTCATCCATAGCATTTGTGAGAAAATTTGATCTGAGCTTCTTGCTTCTCTTTATCATCTCAAGCATTTAATATTAAGAAGCACAACACTGAGCTAGGTACTAATTGCGCAATGGAACAACGGTTGGGTGACTCTCGGATCCAGCATCGGTGTAATATATCTTCAACCAAGTCGTTCAATAGACGGCCAGCCGCGGTGCCCAAAACGGCCCATAGGATTCAAGGAATAAAACCGTATGTGCGCCGTACGTTGAGATCCCAGACATCTTGACTATTGCGGTTCGGACAAAAAAAAGTGGGTGAGGTCGTTTTCCTCCAAGAACGAGGATTTATTCCAGACTACAACCAGCATCAAGAAGCTTGCCAACGAAATTCTGTCGTTCGGCCATTACCGCGCAGCTCAACGCTGTTGGCTATTTAAAACCCCACTTAACACCAAGTAATTGTAGTTGATGAGGTTTATGAAGGTTATAACAGTGGCAATACTATCAATGCTTACGCAGTTATCCATCGTCTGATTTAAAGTTGGCGTAGACTGTTTAGTAGGATTTATTGATCTATTTAGCATGTATCCCAGTACGGAGTCTGACCAGGAGACCTCAGCGCGATGTTTCAACGATTGATAATAGTCTGGCCATGACAATTTTGGCAGTCGATGAAAATTCTCATCCATCAAGGGAGCATAGTGCCGCCAGCACTTGAAATCCATTCAATAGCTGAACATTTGCTGTTGCATTTTCATGTCCGTCCTTACCGATTGTTCGAGTCCTGGCCAACCCCGGAATTCGCTACATGCCATCCAAAAGTTTGAGAGATCATGTAGATGATCGAAATATTGTATGCAGTCAAAAATAATATTCATTGGAGTTCTGGATATCCCGGATTGGGTTGTAGTCTCTTTCATTATCGGGGATCTAGGCGATGAGTATAAATGATATGTATAATGTTCAGTCGTTTTGAATGAATGTTTTCGGACTGCTGATGGTTGCAAAACACACTTTAGGTTTTTGGACAAGGATAATTTTCAAATGGTACGGCGAGATTTTGTGAATTAAATATGAAGAACTACTCGTCTAGATGTCTTGTTTCCAAACCATGATATTTGGTTTTTCTTCCGTTCGGCTATGTTCATGATTAGAACAAAGCGACATGTAATGGTGGTTTGAACTACCATAATACTAAAGGGGTCACAGAATTCTAAAGAATGCTTGAAACAGTGTTTCGATGCCAACCGAGCATAGCTAGCCGAAATGCACGACAAAATGGTTGCCTTTGGCTACGTAATGATATATTGATCTCGGTCATTGCCTCCTGGTTTTTTAATGATTACGGATTATAATTACGAAGGTTGAAATGAGTATGGAAGATCTAAATTACAAGCGCGAAAGATTACATAAGGATCCATGATGCTGAGGGAGTTGAATCAACATGACAGTAAAGGATCTAGGTTATGGGGGGTAGTCAATCAGAAACTGCGCACGAAATCGCATCACACAGAAAGCCAGTCATGAAGCAAGCCCGTCTAAAAGGACATAGAAAACCCAAGGGGTGTGGATTGTGTTATGAACGTAAGAATCATAGTGCAGCAAACAACTTGCAAGTTGCCAAGCTGGATATGTATTAGTAGTAAGTAAGATGCTGTTTGGTGCACCGGAGGAGACAGCGAATAGCACCGATTTCGCACCCAATATAATAATAAAACACTCGGATCGACTCTCGACACACCTGGGGCTCAAGAGCACATCAAGACGAGCAACGATCATAATAATGCCATTGTCGCACACGGGGAAGGAGAGAATAAGGTTACCAAGACAAACATCACATCTGTGATTGCTCTATCTCTATCTTGTCAAAAGTGATAGGTCGCTCGATTATGATCATAACTCAAAGTATGCAACAATAATGCTCGATCGTGTGCGGCTAAGGAAATGGGCTCTCCACAACGGATGTAGAATGAGCACTGCCGCGCAACTCGACAAGCGAGGCCACAGTTTTCACCTGGTTTGGAGACAGGTGCATACGTTTGAGATTAATGAAAATGCTTTTTGGTACGTGCATATACACACTGAATGCAAATTTATTCAGCTTTCCATTTTCCCGTGTCGCCTTGCAGAAGTTGCACCCAACCTATTTCAAATGCAGAATTTTATGAGATATTTTCGAAGAACTAATATACCTCCGTGTAGAAGTATGCATTTGTAATAGCAAACGTTTCCAGTGTTTCCACTGCAGCTTAGCATGATGTATAGACCTCTGACCTTAGAAACCTCGGGTGCCTTGAGCACTATTCTTGGCATCCTTGCGGGTTAAAAAGGGGCCAACGCATACTTATGCGTATGCATCTTCCTGGCATAATCGAATGACTCTTTGATATGATGCTTCTCGGCGCGGTCCAATAGTTTCAACTCAATACCAAGCTCACGAACAACGGAGAGGAAGGCCAAGCTTTTGTGCAAGGATGCCGGACAGTGTGCTTGCTGGACCAGGGTGTTTTCACACCCCAAGATGAGGAGGCTCATGTCGTTTTGACAGCTCCGGGCCGGCTCGATGGCGCCGCTCATCCCACACCTCCTCCCACGTCTGCAGTAAGCCCAATTTCGGTAGTATTTATGACAACGCCACTGAAGTCTAGCATTAGGGTCTTTTTGCGAGTTTCTGGGTAAAGCGGGACAAGCCCAGACCGCGGCCGTCAACGGTGCCGTCATCAGGAACCTCTATGATTCGTCTCAAACGAAACAGCAGCGGACCAGTACTTGGTACTCGATAAGTTAGCTATTCACGGGGGTCGTGTATATGCTGCAAAAATGAACTTACCGCGTCGCCGGTCATTGGCTACCATTGATGAGGCGTTGACGTACACAAGCTCTCTTCTTGCTGAAGAAACCACAACAATTTTCACATGGCATTCAAAGGTCCTTGGTTGGAAAGGTGCTCGCTAGGTTTTGACTGCTTGCAAAGCTTTTCCCATAGGATTTCAATGAAACCAACTGGCTTCTTCTACCTGCGACATATTTCAATGAATAACACAAAAATACCGAGATTGTCGCGGCAGCTACCGATGTAAAGCCAACAAATTCTTAGACTCCTAGTTTGACCCACTTTCCTTGCCAAAGTCATCATGTGCCAAGACATCAACTTGTGAACTTGTCAACTTTCATCACGATGAATGTTTGCCGATCTAGCGAGGTGTGTGATTAATCACGTTAGCTCTACATCTAGGAGATCTTCCAACATGCCGGAGTATACTGATTCTAGAGCGGCCCCCGCAGCTCCTGCGGTGACATGGGGGTCAGATGCACGCACACACCAAACGGGCATCGGACGATGCCGACCGACCACTTGTCCAACTTATCGAGATTCCGGCTACCTGGATGACCCTTGCTTGGTCATCTTGACATCTGATGTATCTCATCGTTGAATATTTGAGATTTTACTCCTGTATATGACAGAAATGTTACGTAGGAGAGGATAACGGATTGCCTGTAGCCCTCAGATTATTGAGTCACTATTTTATCTTTGAAAGATAGAGGAATTGTGTCTACTCAAAACGCGCCATTTGTTCATGTCTCGGGAATGATTCATTACCAGCTATCCGGATTCACCGTTGAGGTTGAGGTCATGGGCTAGTAGTCAGCAGTGGCTGCCCGAGGTGAGAGACGTGGCTGGCTGTAGGACAGCCAGCCCAGGGTTGATGTAGAAGTATAGACCAGACGACTAATGGGAAAGGAAACCTTTCTCCGATCTCTAATATAAGTTAGACAAAGGCTAGTCAGAATCGAAGCCCTCAAACTATTTTGGTAATGTGTTGATGATGTCAGGTATCTCGGGCCATATGGGTACTTGGTCGGGTTGGCTCCTTGCCATAAAGGGTTCAGCGAGTTGCTTATTCTTGTGTGTAACTGATGACAGCAAGAATATGCAGATCATTAGGTTTCTGCGAACGCGAGCTGCGGGTGTTGCATTTAGGAATTTCGATACAGCCAATAGGATCAGTCCCTATGTAGTTTGTCCGTCCTTGCAGATTTGCGCTGCTAACGTAACCATCAGCGCCGGACTGGCCTCTGAGAACTGCTTGCAGAAGAGCCGCATTTATCAATTGTGATATGCTGGGGATTTTAGTTTCATTGCGCTGCAATATACTCCATCCGGCGAGTGATTCGTGTCTGTTGCTAAGAACCTACAGTACAACCCCCCAATGGCATTCTCAGGTGATTCGGGAGGCAAGATTAGAGCCGGCTCTGGCAGAGCGCATGGGGAAGATTCGACCAGATCTAGCAAAGCCTGCCTTCCCGTACCACCCACAATATTCATTAGTGTCCGATCAATAGTCAGTTTTAATAGCGGCAAGGGTTATCTTGTCATAATTCGAGTGAGATTCGGCAAAGGGACAATGACCATGGCTTCTCGAAGGATGAAAAATATTGTCGAGGATGTGAGATGATATCTATATTATACCGCCCACCAAGTCTGAGCTGGAACATTGTCCTGTATTGTCTTAAAGTTTGTCCAGTATTTTAGGTATATAATGGTCTCGTTTTTACCACAGGATCACCTATTGACTGACCATATCTAAAATCTGAGGCACCACACCTTGGTCTGTTTCCCTCTGTGGCCAGCGATAAATTCCCTCCCACGTAATCAACATCTATTCGCATCGCATCTCCTTATCAGCTGGTTCAACCACACACCTCTCTAAAGCTCCCCCCTTGTGCAGTTAGTGAAGCGGTTCCTACTGCCCATCTGCAAGATCCCAGAACCATCGGCAACCTGTTCATGAAGCCCAACTCAACGGGAGCCCGCACCGATCCCATCGGCATAAACTTGTTCGCAGTTCCTGACCGCCAAGTTTCGAGTTACTGGAATGCGTCTCTGCCCAACCTAACCTAATAGGCACCGTCCATTGCTCTGAGTTAATCTTGGTACCTCATCGGCATCGTCAACTTCGACAGTGACTGGCTCGCTAGAGGCAAAGCGGTGAAGCTCACCTTGATCGGTTGACCCTTCAGAGCTCTATAGGACCACAAAAGCCGGCAGAAGGGTGTGAGATGTAGCGAACGCATCTAATAAAGCTAAGGCCAAGTCAATACGCGACACGGGTGTGAGATCTTTCTGCAAGCATTAGCCCAAACCTGCCGGAGGACAGTAGCGTACAGAAGGAAATATTGCATTGCATATTAGGAGTATTAGTCAAAATGTTTATCAAGCAAGAGCAGCCAGTTCTGCATAATCGGTATGTCTGCAACGACCAATCTTTGTGGAGTGGACAAGAACATTTCACCACAAACATTGATCAAGTACACGATAGCTTTCAAGAACCTGCAACGGTGAGGTTTCAGCTCCAGCTGCGTCAACACCAACAAGGAACAAGGAAGTTTGAGCCTCAGCACCCTCACTACCATCAACTGGATCAGCATACGACGCAGCAGGGCATCGTTTCTTGGGCTCAGGAACTGTCTCATCATCTTCAAGTCCAAGGTTGCCATCCGCAGTACCACACCTTTCCCAAGCAACAGCATACGCAATTTATCGCAAGTCAAGTACTGCAGCCCCAACGAGAGTCCATCAAGATGGAAGACGGCAGGAACTTTCCCCAGAACGTGGGCAACGATCAAACTAGCTGGCAGGTAAGTTTGTGCGAAGCCTTCTCCGCCACCCCTCATTGGATTGATCAACTTGATGTGATGAAGGACTCAACAAATCTCCATATTTCCAAGCACAATTCTGACTTGCTTTCATCTGCAGTTCGGAGACACATATGAAAGAGACTTCATAGATTTGCCGGTTTATAGTCCGTCCAACAACGGTACCCATCAAACAACGGGCGGCTACCATGTCTCAGGACGGCACCTTGGTCCGAGTCATTCCCACAACAACCATCAGCACCAGATCAACAAAGGGGGCATGGGCACCAACTCCTCACATCAGAGGACGTGGCCAACATTTCAGGCCACTTACGCGGACACCTATTCTCCACCGCCTTTTGCTCCTATTGAATCGGAGTTTCCCAGACAACAGTCAATGCCAGCTATCTTCGGCGACCCATCATCGACGAATTACATGGGAATGCATCGTGGCCTGCCCAGTAATGGTTGGGCCATCGATTCCAGCGTACCTGTCCTAGGAAATACAGTGCAGGCCAACGACCAGGCCAGCCCTCTGGGTACAACATACAGTCGCTTTGCATCCTCACCAACCTCCAGGGCCTCGACTTCCGCGAGGCTTAATGCTCCGATGGAAACCCATAGAGCTACCGTGGTAGGCATGATGTCCTACCCCACTACAATCTCACCAGAAGTTCTCCGGATCGACCGATCACCTGCACCAACGTCTTCATCCGAGCCGGCACATCTCTCCTTCTTCCCGACTTCAGATAGGGTGATTTCGAGAGCCGCATCCTTTGAGCAACAGCACTTGGCCCCGGAGTCATCTTCTACCAGGCGCGTTAATGCCAAGGGCAGGACGGCACTTCCCGAAAAGCCGTTCCCAACCACGAACTATACCTCGGCCCAAGCTGCGGCTTTCTTCCATCAAAGAGGGGCCAACGAGAACTCTACTCCCCACAGCAGATCTTTGCCTAACATCAAGCCTAAGCCACCACGAGTCTCGGTCTCTGCTTCACCAGACCCCGGGGACGCAGGCCTCACGGCCGAAGAGTTGGAGCGAAACAGGCATAACGAGTACCTCGTCCAGGCGAAGCGGGCAGGCAAGACCTACCGTGAGATCAAGCTTGAGGGGGGCTTCACAGAGGCCGAGTCGACACTCCGGGGCCGCTATCGCACCCTGACCAAAGACCCGGTGGACCGGGTCCGTAAGCCCGAGTGGACGCGCAAGGATGTAAGTTGAATACTTTCATCTTGCTTCTAGAAGCCTCGCTAACGTCATGGCCATGATAGGTCGAGCTCCTGAAGGAGGCTGTCCAAAAGCTGATCAAGGGCGCCAGTCCTAAATCGACAAAAATCCCTTGGAAGCAAGTATCTGCATATATTGCTCAGAATGGCGGCTCGTACAATTTTGGATACTCTACCTGCTCAAAACGTTGGGACGAGTTGGTGATGCAGAACACGTGATTTCAGTATGGATTTTGTACTTTGATATTGTGGGACTACTGTCATGGGCTGTCAGATTGCAGTAAATCATGCTCGGGCTGGTTTGGAGGACCATCGGTCAATACAGAAATGGATTTGACTTACATTTCAGAAGATGCATATTTCCTTTTCTCATTTGTCATCGGAGGCCACCCTCGGCGTTTGTCATTTTCCCATCTCATAATGCCAGATACGATAGCTGTCTTGACTCCATAGTTCGCAATTCCAATTTCTGGCAATACTTCTTTCTTCTTGTCCTCACTCGTTCCCACCTATTGGAGCCTACAGGCTACCAGAAACCACCTTTTTAGGTAGCACACCAATCTGCTTAAGGATACCAAAAAGCAAGTTCGGATTCCCCCGGAGCACATCGTATTGTTCTTGAGTCTTCACCAGTGCAGTGCCGGCCAGCAATGTGCCATTCAAGGCTATATGACCGATTTCACCGCCATCCTGGTTCTTGATTGCAGCACCTTCAGCCAGACGAGGACACAGCGCAATGACATTGCTCGTCATGGCCATGTTGTAGCTAAACCTGGCCTCGCCCTCGCCGGCAACCTCCTGATTCGGGAGCACCAGTTCCGCCGCTCTCTGATACAAGCTCACATACTTCTCGTGGAGCTCAATGGGACCGATATCCGGAGAGATGGTCTCGCTCAGGACGGTGAACGGCAGATTTCCACGCTGCTGCTGCCCCCGCGCCGACTCCACAAGCACGTTCCATTGTGACCCGTCGCCATTAATCTGCTCGTCGAGCCCATGCCTCATCTGCTCCACGGGCAGCAGCTGCAGATGTCTATGCGGCTGGCTGGCGCCCGAGTGCTCGCCCGAGTTGAAGAACACAAAGAGCTCCTGTCCTTCCTCCCAGTACGCTCGCACGCACGCGTGCGCGGCGGCGACGTCATCCCGCTCCAGCACGTGGGTCTGCGGCTTTGGGGTCTTGGTGATCAGGATGAAGTGCTCGGGGACGATGGCAAACTTGTTGAGGACGAGGGCGTGCGAGGGCGGCAGTTGGGCGATGGTCATGGACGGGAGCGGGTTCTCGAAGGGGTTAAAGTGCCTCTTCGCGTCCGCCTCGGTGTCTTTCGGCGGGGGGCCTTTCGGCTTGGAAGCCAGGGAGGGCGAGAACCGGAGTTGGAACTACATGTCAGATCCATTGTGAGCACAAATAGGTTCGCTCGAACGGTGCTCTCGTTGGAATCGGGCATGCGCCATGTTAACGTACGTGGATTGAGTTCACATCCAGCAGTGCGACCTGTGTGGGGTAGTATGTGAGATCGCCGCTTGCTTTTGCCTTGGCGAATGCCGTTTTTACCAGACCTGGCAGGTTCACTGGTGCCCGTACAGGTGACATGTCGTACATAGTTAATTATGTTCTTTTTGCGACGTTTCCGATCGTGATCTATCTTAGGCGACACATCAGGAAAGCTGCATAAGAGACTGGCGCTCATATGCATAGACCCCTGCCAGCACCTACCGGTAAATCGTCACGCTAAAAATACGCTGTTGTTTGGTAGCTACGGAAGATAATAACGACTTTGGTGGAATAACGCGAATTGTCAAAAACAGAAAGATTCATAATCGTGTATGAAACAAGCCTCAACTGTTATAGTAGTGAAGGTATGTCATGATAAAATATTACTACTTCCCGAACAGATTGGCAGGTCATTATACGGTAGATTACAGGAAGCTATATATATAATTACTCCATAACAGACATTCAAACAAGTACAAGCTTCTGATTGGCAAGTTCCATGTTCTGGGCATGCCCCATGGACCAACGAAATAGCAATCGTGGGCATTCCATATTCCCTAATCATCGATACATGTTAGCCGATTGCTCAACTTGTCCCGAACGATTGCTTGCTTGTCTGCAGAAGCTGTTGTCTTGTCTGTTGCATCGCCAACACTAACTGAAATCTGGCAACCACCGCGAAGAATCACCTCTGTCTCGGTTGGTAAGTGCTTGGTACCGCAATGCTCAACATCTTCAACGAAGGGGTCGAGATTGATACGACTTAGAACCCAACGAAAATTGGCTGGATCCGTGCAAGCGCCCTCAACCTTCGGAAAGTTGACATTGAGCCAAACGCCGTCTGGCAGATATGGCTTGCCCGCCGCGAGAATGGCGTCCGTGAAATTCCGAGCAAGTGCTGCATAGACCGAGCTACGCGACGGCACAGGGACAGTGTTCCAGGCCAGATTGCCAGTCGAAGCACCAGAAAAGGCAATAGACGGGACCTTGGCTTCGTGGGCGGCGTAGACGGCTATACCAACGGTACCGGAGAAAGGCACCTGAACCCATAGGTTGGTGCCGACATTAGGTCCAGAAACGACCAGCTCTGCCGGTTGATTGTTCCAGATTTGGGGACCAAAAGTGTCGAGGCCGTACCTGGCTGAGGTCACAGGGAAAGAATTTACCCAATTCAGTCGGTTGTTTGTGGAATTGGTTCCGACAGGTGCACCATCCGGCGAGCAACTGTTGTATTGACATGCATCATCCCTTGGGCTTGGCTCCTCATCGCTTGAACCTGTCAATGGTTAGGATATATGTATATATATAAATAGAATTATTCGTGCTACGAGACGAAATTGGTAGCTTACCTTGCCCGGAATTGTTCTCCGCTGGAGCTGAAAGCACGACATCGTGCCCAGCTTCGTTCAATGCTTCATTCAATGTTCTTATATAAAGCTCAGCCCATCCATCGTCATTTGACTGTAAAATGCGGGCGCCGTTGGCACCAATAGCGGCCAACGCACATATGATCGCAGTGGCCCGCATCGTACGGTGACTGGCAATAAGTGTATGTGAATCACCGAAGCGCCATAGACACCTCCTGAAGTGATGCGCCCACCCATAATATATATACTTACCAGCCTATTTTGACAAGCCATTGACTTCATTTAACTTGGGCAGATCAGCATCCAATGAACATGCGCCATCCACTTGGAGAACCCACGGCCAAGTTTCTTGCGTGTCAAAAACCCATTGTGGGTGCTACGTTAATGCAAATTGAACTGCGCCGGGCTGAAAACCGTCAACAATAACCTTTGACGATTTGTTAGGAATTGCCTTCACGCATGCTGCTTAGTACGGGCAATGTTGACTTTCAATGGCAACTTCACTGAAGTCTTGAAAGATGTTCTTTAATGCTTTTGGATGCCGAGCATGCTGGGATATGTATGTAGCGCTTCTCCTTCTCCAGGCTCGGCCACTGGACTGCCGACGTGGACCTGAGGGTCCGGTCAGAGCAGCATGTGACCATAGCTTTCTGAACCACGAGCTGGTAACTTCGTCATCAGGCGAAAGTGGTGGTTTGACCTTCGTCTCCTATTCCACTGCATTATAAGCACCACCTTACGAATCTTCAACACTCTTCAACAGAGCAGAAGTGTCTTCAACAGACCTTCAGGAGACGGCAACATATTACTATCAATGTACTTCATTCGTGTACTACATTTTGCCGAAATTTTGATTACCTAATGTCATCGATCTCAGACTCCGAATCAGAGACGGACACAATAGCGTCGCGACTAAGGCCCCTGACTATAGCTGTCCTCCTCAACTCATACCGCTCCAAGTACATACGCGCTATCGAAGGGTCGTATGTGAGGACTATCGGCGCAGTCGCGCCAGACGCGAACCTGACATTCTTTGAGCCTGCTAATCGGCCCGACGACGAGCTGCCGGATCCAGCCAAGTTCGACCTAATTGTGTTTGGAGGTGCCAATGTAGACCCTCGAAAGTCGCATCCCTGGATATTGAGGGTGCACCAGTTCTTGTTGAAACTGGTTTTATGTCATCCCAATCAGAAAATCCTCGGCTTATGCTGGGGCCACCAGACAATTGCTCGAGTGTTCGGTGGTAAGATCGTTGACATGGACAAGCCTCAGGTCAGTATGATGGTGATGGAACCGTTCCTTGGTAACAATGCGTACCTCGTGAACAATGACCGTTAACGGCCCTGTAGATCGGAGTCTATGATATAAAACTCACTGACCCAGGAATGGACTTCTTCCCCTCATCCGCGACCGCTGGTTCTCTTTTGATTCAACAACATCATAGGCGAGAGGTTGCGGAGCCAGGGCAAGGTTTCGTTGAACTGGCTCAAAACAACCAGATCCTCGTCAACGAGAAAAGAACTATCCTGACATTCCAAGGGCATCCTGAGAAGGACGCCCAAACAGCAAGGCTTCGAATGCATGATTCGTCCCGGTGGTTTGGCTTTGATCAGCAAGACGAAAAGGCTTGGGCGCAATTGAATGCTCAAATTGACCTGCCTCACGAAGGACATATTATATGGCAACGGGTTCTGGATTGGGTCAGAGAACCTCTTGTGGAATCCGAGGTGCAGATGGATCGTGACAGCCGCAAATCGAGGATCTGATTTCCAATATGAAGTAGTGTTTTGAGGCTGGCAGCTCACCTTCCTTATAGTTGGCGGTGAATACATATATTGAGACATGGCTCTACACACGTATGACTTCAATGAACTGCTCAATGCTTTGTCACCATTGTGGGACAGCTCACCGCGTCTTATTCTTATTTGGTCGGGGAGAAGAAAAAAAAGACAACTTCTCTGAAAGATGACTGATGCTAGCTCGGCCCAACCGCAGTGTGTGTCTCAGCGATGCGAGGCTTACCAGAGGTTATTGGACGCTCGTCCTGCTCGGCCTCATCTACAACAATTAGCCGAGGCTCTCCAGCCGAGTGAGGCTCATCAGCTGCTAGGAAACGATCTTCGGCATCGGTTGATGGCACTCGGTGGATACGGCGCCGCTCCATTCTTCGTCGCCAAGGCTTATACACAATGACAGAGCCCAGTCCAACCACAAGGAAGAGACCACAGATACTCCCTCCAATAATCTCAAAGTTGTCTCCGATAGCACTGACGCCATCCCAGAAGCTCCCTTCGGGTTCAGCGACGTTCTGTGCCAGGGACAGAATCTGAACGATTCCGATAAAGGCTGATACAAAGACTGTGATTCCAGTGAGGACGATAGAATAGTACAGAATTGCGACCCTGTCCCGCGAAAAAGCCTTCGATGTGTAGAGAGCCATCATCAAGGCACCATCTGTGGTGTCAAGCAGACACATTCCCGCTGTGCAAGATTAGTACATCGCTGACAAAATATCTGATGGAGCAATTTACCAGTGAAAAGTATGGGGAAGATCAAGATGATCCACAAACTTGTCCCCGCAGCACCCTGGATACTTGCAATACCAAGCACAGCAATCTCAGAACTCGTGTCAAAACCTAGACCGAACAATACACCTAGAGGATACATTTTCCAAGGGCGGTCCACAATGCGAAAGACCTTCCGGAATACATTGGCCATGAATCCAGCTCCTTCGAGCTGCAAGTTTGCAGCTGCTTCGTCGTCCCCACCGCCACCGGCCTCATGATGTGGATCGGGTTGCTGTAGAACTTGACGAAGACGCTTGATCAGACGATATAGAATCCAGCCATTCCCAACAGATAGTAAGACCAGGAATGCTGCACTGACACTTGTGCCAATGATGCCCCCGATGTACTGGAAATTGTCGAAGCGGTCTCGCAGTGCACCTGAGGTAGCCGCCACGACGATACACGTAACGATGACAATGGTCGAGTGCCCCAAGCTGAAGAAGGTTCCAACGGTCACTGGTCGTTGCCCCGATGCAATCAGGCGCCGTGTCATCAGATCAATGGCGGATATGTGGTCGGCGTCAAGCGCATGTCTCAATCCGAGCGTATATGATAATACTGCCGGCGTAATCATCGCCGGATAGTAATGTAGCACGACGCCTACTGCCGCCCACACCACGGCATTCGCCAATATCAGAGTTGCTATGATAGTGATGACGGGAAGCGGCAGCGCCTTGATGCGAGCCAAGGGCCCGAGACCCGGTAGATTGAAGCGGGGCATCTCGACTCTGATGCCCAGTTGTATGTAACGTTTCTGCAAGGCGCAACTTTCATTCAACTCTCAATATAACAGGACGGCTAAGATGATATCTAGCAAATATATCACCACTATTCTCTTGTCTGAACACGGGAAATAAATCTATTATGGTGAAGAAAATTGCGTGCTCTTCCCCTCATCCCAGCCCCACACAACGCATCTCCATGAGCAAAAACGGCCACTAATAGTCAGTCTTGGCATAGCGAGTATTTACTCAGAGATAAGAAAGCATCGTCGGAGTATATCACCTGCCTTACCAATCGAAACACGCTGGGTGTTTCTCCCGGTGCTGAAAAGCTCACGACTAGAGGGGTTGCAACAACTTCGGAAACAAAGAATATAAGTACCTGCGTTGATAGAGGGACATGGGCACCACTTCAATCACCTGGTTCCTCGACAAGCTAGCATTGTAATTATAGATATATGAAAACCCGTTTATGTTCACAGCAGAAGTATGCTCAAGGAATACTCGGTTATCAATTGACTCTGAAGACGACACAAGGAAAGCCTCTCACCTACCAATTATACAGCAATGCTTGATCCGAACTGTGCGTGAAAGCGGATGCAGTAGCTCTTTAACGACATTTTACGGTGGGTTTTAAGTTAGAGTCTTTGAATCCCCTTGCATACGTCGCGCGTTGTTGCGATTATGTTGCTGACGGAGCACAACCACCAAGGAGCAAGTCTACTAGTATTTGACAATTGGTGTCTTTTGCGCAAGTGCGGCCATCCCCATAAACCAAATTTTTTTTTTTTTTAAAAAAATTTAAAATAAAATAAAATTTATTTAAGTGAAAAAATTCTTGAAAACACCGCTATCCCTTATCTCTAACCTACGGTTAGGACGGTCATCCTCTTTTGACGTGGGTTGACTGTGGGGATGTGACCCGAGAGACAATCTTCACGAGTAGCATGGCCTGATAACGATCCGAAACCGGTCTTGGTATGCTAGTCATCTGAGTCGGCATGAAATAACTCCTAATGTACTTAGAAAGTACTCCCCCCTTCAATGGCGGAATTTGATGTTGATCAACATGCTGGAGGTCTGTTTCGTTTTATTTTCTGACAACTACTTGCCAAATGGAACGGATCACCAGGGGTCCAACCCACACCGACAGAAAAGATGCCAGCCTCCAGGTAGCGCATAGGCGCGCCGGAAGGTACAACCCGAGTCGTCCGAAACTTGCCAGATCAGCACGCGGCAGTAGTCCAGAGTCCTGAATCGGTCATAATTCAGCTGCAGTCGCTTGTCGTTGAGCACGAATCATCCTATGGAGCCGACATTGTGTGGTGAGATGCTGACCGATCACCAAGAGCTGGTGGTCAACGTGTCGGTTTGACGGCACTTATGGGATCAAACGTGGTCCAATTCAAGCGTACAGATGCGCTTCGCGCGAAGAGTTCCCCATGAATTGTTGCATTGTCACCGCATATGGTTGACGCAGAGACCGACCGCCGCGATTACTGGTCGCCAGCTGTCCGGCATGGTCGGCTACGATGTTGCAATCGAACTAATTACTGCAGTCCTTCTTAGTGAACAAGGCGGTCTCATTTCTGCGGCTGACAGCGCTCCACGCAACATTCAGTCGTTGCATCTACTGTACGCAAAACATTCAAGATTTCCCATCAACTCGAACCACCGCAGTCTTGCGAATGCATGGTTTATGGGCAACGGCGCCATGCAACATAGAAACTGTGCTGCAGACATGCACATACGCGTTGATATGCTCTGGGCGATTTTTCACTGCGTCTCTGTACCTTCTCGTTAGAGCAGTAAGCCCGCATCGATGTGCAAGTGTATTATGCATGATAAGAAACGCTGGGATTTTGAATGCTGTGACACTTCAGCGGTTTCCATGGCTTTCTGCCACTCTGGTGGAAAGCTGAATCGACGAGGGTAACACAGCCAACCGTGCCTCGTATTGCACTCATTTCAATTTCACCACGCTGATTGGACTTCGCTCAGCATATTGGGGTCTGAATCGCGGCCGAAGGGAACTAGGTTAGAAGGATGGGACCCACTGCTTATACATCTGGGGCATTATATATTGAGCTCAAGCAAGCAAACAGGGTGTAGAGCCTCGCGAGCAGTTGTTCTCACGGATGGTCAGCAGTGCCTCTATTTATGCCAATGCATTTATCGTCTGACTGTGCTCCTCGCCACCATGCAATTGAGCAAAGAACATTGTGTGACACAACCGACTTGTGGACATTACAGAGATCAACATCTTGTGTCGCTTTGAAATGGTCCCCTTTTCCTAAACTCTGGGGTCTTCGGGGGTCAGTGAAACAGACCGACATTACTGATGTATGTAGGTACACAGCAGCCGCTTGGCCCGAACAGGGTGGCGACAATTAGCGAGGACCCTGAAATTGTCTAAATAGAAAATCCGGCCCACAAAAGCTCCCAGCCCTGCATGAGCGTCCCAACTAACCTATGTACTTTACTTTACATACTGTAGTAATGGATGCCAGCTTATCGTTCCCCAACGGGACGGCAGCCGAACCAAGCGGCAGCCAGAATCGTGTTATCGCTCATGCATTACAGGGGTCACCTAGCTGTTGACATGGTGCACGACTCTACTGTGTAGGGACGACGTCCGATATGCAAGAAGACGGGGTCCAGAACTACTCAACCCGTATGGAACATTATTGATCACCTTGAGCAAGGGTCCCAACGGCTCTCAACCGCTAACTAACTTAGTCGTTCCTAGGAATTCCCCAGAATATCCGCCTCGTTGCGTCCCCTGTCTCCCGATGAAAGCCAATCATGGCTCGGATTGGCAAGCCAAAGCCGGCCTCGCTCGTGCTCCTATCATTGCGTCGGCCAGGCCTCTTATTGCTCATGCCTTCCTCTTCAAAGTCGGTGAGCCCTGCTCCCCTGATCGTTCTTCCGTTCGTATGCCTTCCTGCAAACCCCTTCCAGCCTGATCTTCCTCTTCCTTCTCTTGCGGGAGAACCAATCGTCCTATTTTAAGCCCATCCTCGAGCATATAGATCTGTTCTCGAAGACTGGTCTTCAACAATTCGCGCGATCTCATCAATTGAATGTTGCTTTGGCTATCTCTAGGTAAGATCCCTCGAGTCATTGTACAAGATTACCAAGCACGACCCGCGGCTATGTACAATACTGTTGAAGTGATACTAACGTTTACTGATGCAAAGAGCCCGAATCGGACTTGATATAACTTTACAAACGTACTATATCTACTGTGTCACGATCAGGAGCTCTGTACAGCCTGCTACCATGGCTCGAATTCGATCCCGAAAAGAGGCTCCTGGTTATAGCTCCGAGTCCGAGGACGAACAACCTACAAGATCACATAGATCGCATAAGTCGTCCAGATCGAAGAGATATTCATCATATTCGGACTCTGGGAATGAAGAGCCGGGCAGATCCGGGAGATCCTCGCAGTCTCGCAAGGACCTCGACGCTTTCGGCTATAGCTCCTCATCCGATTCAGGGGATGACTGCTACCGTAAGTCCAGCAAGAAGAAGAATAACAACAATCAGAATCAGAAGAAGAAGAAGAAGAAGAGGAGGCCCAGTCCCCAACGTAGCATCAATAAGATATGGCATCACTTGTCGGCCAAGAGGTTTACAAAGGCGCTTGCGATCCTGCCGTTCGATCCCGTGCCTTTGCCAAGCAACCAGGATCGGCCAAATGAGCTGCTGAGCGCCGGCTACAATCGTGCTGTCGAAGAGTGTCGGCGCAAAGTGAAGAAGATCATTCAAGAATGCAAAAGGGTGAACACAAGATATAGAGACCCTGGTTGGGATATCGTAGGTCACCAATTCACCCCAGAAGTTAGGTATTTACATTGAGGTTAACATTTCTCCCAGGACTGGGATTTGAAAATGGGCAAGGGCAACTGTCTCAACTACCTGAGTTCCAAGAAATTTGATCTCTCCGGGCCGCGCCTGAGCACCAGCACTGCTGTTCCCAAGGCTATCAAAAGGGTTCACGAGATTTTTGAAGCCCCGACCTTCATGGAAAACCTTGACGCAGGCGACGTGAAGCAGGGCCATATTGGAAACTGCTGGCTGATTGCCAGTCTCAGTGCACTGGCAAATGTCGAGGACGGCATCAAGAAGATGTGTGTCGAATATGACACGCGCATTGGCATCTACGGCTTTGTCTTCTACCGAGATGGCGAGTGGGTTTACTCAATTATTGATGACAAGCTGTATCTCACTTCACCGAATTGGGACTCGCCTAGTCTGCAACGCGACCTTCTAAACCAGATTGACCGTGAAAGCCAAGATGCTGAGCAGACCTACCGTAAAACCTATCAGACTGGGTCCAAAGCACTCTTCTTTGGCTCAAACTTGGAGTCAAATGAGACCTGGGTACCATTGCTCGAGAAGGCTTTGGCCAAGGTGCATGGTGATTACTCTTCACTCATTGGTGGTTGGATTGGCGAAGGCCTTGAAGACCTCAGTGGTGGTGTCACGACCGAGCTTCTAGGCAGCGATATTCTTGACCTGGAAAGCTTTTGGGACGACGAGGTGAGCAAGGTCAACAAGGAGTTCATGTTCGGCTGCTCCACTGGACTCTTGGATGGCGGCTATGGTGAAAGGAGTGGAATTCGTGAGGGACATGCTTACGTGATGATGGTAAGTCCTATTTCATTGCTCCAGAGTTTATCCTTTCATATCTAACACTATCTATAGGACGCAAGGACACTGAAGAGTGGTGAGCGTCTTGTCAAACTGCGGAATCCCTGGGGAAAATTGAAGAAGGGCATCTGGGATGGTCCTTGGAGTGATGGCTCCAAGGAATGGACCAGCGCAGCTAAGGAAGAGCTGGGTCATAATTTCGGCAATGACTCAGTCTTCTGGATACGTTATGAGGATATGCTTCGTAAATTCCAGCACTTCGACCGCACCCGTCTCTTCCGCAGCCCGGACTGGCGATGCTGTCAGCGCTGGATTGGAGTTGAGGTGCCCTGGAAACCTCAATACAATGAGAAGTTTCACTTCGCCCTGACAAAAGAGTCCCCCTTGGTCCTTGTGCTCTCACAACTCGATAATAGATATTATAAGGGACTCCATGGGCAATACAGGTTCTACCTACACTTCCGCATCCATGAGCAGGGTAAGCCCGGCGCAGAGGATTATATTGTCCGATCACACGGGAACTATCTTATGGATCGTTCAGTATCAATTGAACTGCCCTGCATGGAGCCAGGCAAGTACTCAGTCTTTGTCAGTGTGGTTGGTGTAAGAGACACAAGATATTCTACCGTCGAAGAAGTTGTCAAGCGTGAGTGCAAGAAGCGGGAGGATCATGAAAAGCTTGCTTCTGTTGGTAATGCTTATGACCTCGCCCATGCTAAAGGTGTTGCACATCTTGAGCAGGTTGCTAAGCTCCGAAAAGATTCGGATGCTAAAAAGGCGAGCGAGTCACGACAAGGTGAGCGTCGCAGGCTGTGGGAGAAGCGTCATCTCAACCGCGGAGCCACCAAACAACAGCAGAAGAAGAACCAGGCTAAGCATGAGCGAAATAGCGAGGTGCGTAAAGCCGAGCGTAAGAAGAAAGAGGATGATGAAGCTGCCGAACGCAAGGTCAAAGAGGAAGCCGAGGCTGATGAGGGCAAAAAGAAAGAAGAGGCCGAGGAGATCGAGCTCAAGAAGAAAGAGGCGGAGACGCCTAAAGACAAAGCGGTTCAGACAGACGAGACAGTATTCAAGGACAAGAAACGTGATTCCACTGTCAACTATGACAACAAGCCTGACTCTCTTCCAGCTCAGGATGAGACTGGAGGGCCGAAGAAAGATGCTGTAGACAAAGCTGTCGAGAAGGATTTCGAAGCCAAGTCTACACCATCACCTCCTGCAGATAACAAGAAAGACTACTCTTCAGAGGCTGACTCTTCCGACAGTCCTGTTGAAGATTGGGAGGATCTCTACAGCAGTGATGATATGTCGAAGAAGCCTCGAATGCCACCACCGCCGCCTGCTCCTGCTACCACCGACAAGACGGTCGAGACAGACGAGGAGGCCGGACTTCCAGATCCATGGAATGCGATTTGTATTCTGGGCTTCCGCGTATATTCCAAAGACGAGAACTTAGATCTCCGTGTCGTGATCGAGGGCGGGGAACTTGCGGAAGGTGGTATGGGCGAGAAGGGCGCTCAAGATATTGACAATGCTCAAATGAACGCCGCTGGCGAGCGTGAGAAAACCGCCGAGAATGACAAGCCCCAGGACGAGGTTGAAATCATTGGTGGTGAGGCTGTCGTTAAACAAAAGATCCAGCCCAATGGTAGCAGCGAAGAGGCAAAATCGACCTCCAAAACAACAGAAATCAAGGTGGACAATGGCAAGTCCGCAGATCCGGATGATGACGATGACAATCACTCTGTCATCTCGCTGGAGTCAACACCGATTCCTACACCAGATGAGGAGGTTGATGATCCAACAAACAACTGCACACCTCAGAGAGTCACCTAAAAGGTGTGATTAGCAAACTATTTGGATTTCTGCTTCAATTACGTCGTTTATGGGAATGTTCTTATAAATGCACAGCAGGACAGGTGGATAGACTGAAGCGTTCGTTAGATCGTATCGTTATCTGTTATTGTATTTTGTCTCATTTACGTTATTAATGGACGTCTAGGCAGAGCAAGTGCGTTTTTATTTTTATTTTATTTTCAGGCGAAGAAATGGACATAATTGTCTAAGGGGTAATGGATAACAGGAATCAAGATCTTCCACATATAAGCACATCGCTACATTCAAAGAATATACAGATTTACTTCTACATTTCTGCAGACAAGTGTTCACACCTGAAACAAGTGAACATGATCTATGGCTCAACTTCTAGGCATGTGTTATATCATTCATTGAAATTTTTCTCAACGTATATATTGCCTTTCACAACGACTCTACTTATGGGCAACCGATCGGCGACAAACTCATTGGTAGCCGCTCAGGATATCATCTTCCACATTCCTGTTCTTGATAAAGTGCAAGAACTCCTTATCTAACATTGGACATCAGTCAATATCAATGCACAATGTATCATGCAAGTACTCACAGCTAACTTTCCCCTCACCATCAACATCGTTGATCAGTTGATCAATCTCGGCATCACTGACAGGCTCCGCCAAGCCATCCATCAGCTGCCGGAGCTGGCTTTGGGTGATGGAACCGTTCAGAGACGGCTCAAACTGCTTCCAGGCTTTGGAATACTCCGCATCCTCGTCCTGCGGTGGGTATGGCTGGCCGGTCATCATGGTGATGAATTCTGAGCCCACGTTAGTACGCAGGCTATAAAGACCATGAGCCGGCGTTGACGGTACCATTGAAGTTGATCGTGCCGTCACCGTCGAGATCGACTTCCTTGACGATCTTCTCGACCTCCTCCGCCGTCGGTGGTTGGCCGGGGCTCTGAGACATCACCTTGGCGAACTCTTCGACCGTGATGCTACCTAGTTTTTGAGTATCAGCATGAGGTACTCTGGGGTTTCCATCTCGGATGCATCAGGCGCGTACCATCCCTGTCTGGATCCTGTGGCCAAGTCAGTACGGAGTTGGCACGTGGCATTTTTGACTTCACATACATATGAGTCAAAAAGTTCCTTGAACACCTGGATCTCCTCCTTGGACAATGTTCTGGCCTGTCGGTTTGAATTTAGTTAGTCATTCCAAACCCCTCTCAATATGTCCTTTCGACAAGGGCGACCCACCATCGTGAAAGCGGGTGTTGTGGTTTGTTGAGTTGCTCGATTCGCTGGAAGGGGAATCTCGTGTCGTCTCACGAACTTTCGAATTAGAAAAGAATGTAAAGCTCAGAGATCTATGGGTGTCGGAAGGGGAGCAGAGGTGACAGACAGAAAAGAGAAGCTTTATGTTGACGAAAAATATCACTGTTCGCGCGCTGAAACAGATCTCCTGGGAACATTCCGAGCCAAGTGCTTGATCAACATGAGGGTTGTCACGGACCCGCATTCCCAACGATGCGGGCGACGCTCCACTTTCGCTCATCGGAAAATCGGCCCCCTTTTTCTTCCTTTAGGCGATAAACTGCCGCCACGGTTTCTGTGAAAATGCATCTTCAGAAAGTACTACACCTGAGGAATACTGGTATGGTTTACAGGCATTTGGACGAAGTTCCTCCTCTAATACCCTTGTCAATCTCTCTGGGCAATCGCTCTTTGAAATCGAAGGTGCGCATTCTCTTCTAACGTCATCGTGGTCCATTCTAAACGGCAGCAAGCAGATTGTATTTCGTACTGCAAAAGAACAACAAGGCTTGGAAAGTCGTAAAATTCCCTCGCTAAATGATTGACGCTAATATATATATATATATATATATGTATTTTCGGATGCAAAAAATATTTAAATGCCTGAGCCGAAGCCCTTGGTATTGAACGCCGATACGATGCAACATGATTCTTGATAACTCTCAACCAGACCCCCTCGATAGTGTTGTTTATTAGGCGGTAATGGTGATGTTGGCGTAAAATGCGTTGACGTCGAACGATCCAGATGCCTGCAAGTTATGTGAGCACAATGGATGCACTCGGTCAAGATGTAAATCAACTTACGCCCACCAAGTAAGGGATGGCTGCAACGATTTGGTAGTCACCAGCGGCTGTGGTGTTAGGAATAGTCAGGTCGACCGTGAAGCTGTTCAGAGGAACGCTGTCGGGACTGCAACGTTTGTTAGAGAATCTTGGTGACGAAGAGTGTGTGAGTTCACACATACTAGATGGGGGTGAAGTCAATCTGGGTTCCGACGCAGATAACCTCGCCGCAGTTCCAGCTGGCGGGCTTCAGACCCCAGGTAATCTAGTATAGTGAGTTAGAAGCTGCTCCAGTCGAAACATTGGCCGAAATGCTCATACAGAGTAGTCAACGTAGTTCTGGACGTAAATAGCCGTGTCTAGAGTAGCGGTAACCGTGCTGCCGGCAGCTGCTGTGTCGGGAGCGGTCACGTTGTAGATGTAGGCGGAAGCCGAAGGCATGGCGGCCAGGGCGGCACCGGCAAGAGTCTTGATTGAAACCATATTGACTGATTAGTTGTTAAAAAAATATGATAGATTATAATAGGTTGTTCTTAGTGCTTGGAGTGTCTTGCAAATATGTTGTTTACTTGAGTGATGCAGAGGGTCTTGAACCTCAATGGAGAATCTTCCGTATCTATTTATTCTTTAGAGGGCACAGCCAACTCGCTCGCCGACATGGCCAAAATTGCCATCACAATCAACGTTGCATGACAGTCTACAGTGAATACGAGATTGGACCCAGGCTGTGAGGTCATTGGGTTACCGTAAGTTACCCGCTGATCGACTTCAAATCTGCCGGAATAAGCATGGCTGTAAACTGGCACATTCGTCCGTAGCGTCCGCCGTCCGCCGGACAGCCTTCCAGTTCGTATTGCGCCTCGATCGACACAACTGGACTTTCCGAGTTGGGCATTTTCATGTCAGTATAGCAAGGAAGCAAATATCGAGAACTTTGTCTAGAAAGAAGGATATCTCCGTGGGTTGAATGACGGAGACCGGGTGTGGGCTTTCTGGGCGCTGCATTCCCGAGGACCCTGCGTTTCCCCGTTATTCGCTAATGATTGGGGCCAACTCATGCGCTAGCAGCCCCCAAAGTTGAGTGCGGTACCGGCACTTTTCAGCACTCCTTAGCCGCTAGCTGACAAGCGAGGTTGCGCTGTGATCAAGGCAGCCGCCTCAGCTGAAATCAGCTGACGGTAAGGCTTGGAAGCACCGGGGGATCTCTACCATGGTAGTTGCTAAGCTATGCCCAGTGGACTTCTAATGTTGTACGCAGAGCATGCACAACGTTACCCTACTGAGTATACCTTGACTGGCATCTTGTATGCACTGTGCAGGTTCGGATGATGGCAAGGCGCGGTACGGGGCATGTGGGGAGCGCTGGTGCTAGCCAGCGCAGAGTAGCTTCGCAGACGTCACCGGCACGAACGTGTTGTCTTTGGTATGAACTGACGACATCATACATCTTTTCTCGTATACGAATGAACTATGGGGGTTTACGGCGAACCTCAAGAACCCAGAATAGCTATGTCTGTTTATCGACTGCATGCCCGTCATCGGCAATATAATCCACCTGTTCTTGTCTCCGTCGCTGGTCATGCCGCCGAGTCAAAAAGGCTAAACCGCCAGTCCAGAGGACCAATGCAATTGAACATGCAATCATAGCCCACATACCGCGCTGGAGAAAAAAAAAATGTCAGTCACCTATAGGGCATATAGTCGGAACTCCGGGTATGACTTACAACGAACCATGGCGCCATTGAGGCGCCGTAGAAAATGATGGACCACCAGGCGTTTACTGCATTGGAACCGACATTCATGCCAGCTAAAACCACAGCACGATACATCGGATCTTCATATCTCATTGTATCATTGCACCAGGCAAAAAATGTCGCCTGGCATGCATACACAGCCCCTGCCCAGTAGTACGCACCAAAGACGGTTGCCGTCGAAGCTGGATTAGTTGGATCTTTCGAAGCCGTCAAAATCATGGCAGATGTAACGATCCCAGTGATACCAATGAAGTAACCAACCAGATAGCGTTTTCCATTAAGAAAGTCCGTCAAGGTGGCCCAAAAAAGGGTTGAGATTATGCCGACAGCAGGCACACCAGTAGGGTAGTTGTTGAGCTGCGACACTGTGTACTTGTTGGTTGGATGGCTCTTCATATAAAGCGATAACAACGCATTTGAGGAAAAAGATTCTGTCTCGCCAGCAATGATCCATAGCCCGACGAAGCCCCACCAGTACCAGGACGTGAGCACCATCTTAAGAAACTTCCAAGTGATTGGCGACTTCTGTTCGACATCTGGTATGCGCGACAGGGCCAATGCCTTCTCTGCATCGGTCAAATAAAAGGCTGTCGTGGTTTGAGGCGTGTCCGGAAAAAATAAGAACCCATAGATCGCTACTGGGATAGTTATGAGACCATCAATGATGAACAGCCACCGCCAACCCGTCAATCCGCTCTTCTCATGTAAGGAAGAGTAGATACCCGTTTGAATGAAGCCGCCGATCATGGTGCCAGCGAGGCCAGATGCTGTAAAGATGCCACTGCGTTTACCGAGCTCACGCTCCGTGTACCACGAGCCTAGGATATAGTGGGTGCCAACGAAAGTGGTCGCCTCAGCAATACCCTGGAAGAATCGGATAGCCATGATGGATTGTGGTTTCTGGACTGATGCCGTTAACATGGTCAAACCAGACCAAATTACCATCATTGAAGGGAAGAAATAGCGCGGCTTGACATAATGTAGAGACAGATTCGCAGGGATTTGTCCAATGACATATCCGACTGTGAAGCATGTGTTGATCTGGTTATATTGATCGCCAACGAAACCAAGATCTTCTTTCATACCAGAGACATAGGCTAAAAATGTCAAGTCAGCACTCACCTCCTCTAGTCAGTTTATGGGGTTTCTAGAGTGCGGTGAAGATTCGTCTGGAAACAAGAGGCGGCTCGAGTTGTTAAAAATTAAGGAACTCGAGGAACGGCAAAGTTGACTCATGATTCGCTTACCATTGGCGAGATTTGATCTATCGAGCTGAGCCTTGGTCAGCATGTACTTACAGGTGGTTGAGTATTAAATACTTACATAATTCGTGAAATAGCTCAAACAACAAAATGTGAGAATGAAAAAATCAATCTTCTGAACGAGCTTCCTTTCACCTGGTTGGTATTCCGTGTGGAGGTAGTCATGCAGCTTAGACGAGACGCCCATGGCGGCGATCTCTGGTGCAAGCAAATTGCTGCACGTGGTAGGAACTTTGGTTTGCTTTTTCGATAAGATTCAACGTCCACGATGCTGAGAATCGACTCTTTAATGTGAATTGTCAGGGCCACGAAGATGAGAGGTGTTATGGCGCCGAACCTCCGATTATACCGTATCTTCCACTCCACTGCGCTTCGTAGGCATGCGATCGGACGGGTTTGATTCGAAGATAAAGCATACACCTTGGCAACGGCATTCGGTCGTTACAATCAGTCAACGTAGGCGCCAGAGAAGCGCTGTGGGTTGAGCCTCAGTTCATGATATGCGTCGCTCGCCGGCCGGCAGTTCTAGGGACCCTTGCGCTTCTTGAGATAAGGATCTGATCAATGAGTTGACATTGAGAGTGTGATAAAGGCTCTTTCAATGGCTCCGCTCATGGACCCCAACTTTGATACTTAGTGTCTCCGCAACTCGCAAGCGGACCGCGGGTTCTGATAGGCGCTCTGAACCCCAGCAATCTTTCCTATTCAGGTCAATCCACCCCAGCTACAGTAAGCGTATGTGTCGGAGGCCTTGTTATACCGTTAGCTTGATCGGCCCAATGCCGATAATGCCGTCAATCGGATCTTAAAGAACCTAGCTGCCTAAGGTCAATTATAACTCCTGGTGCCAAAGAATAGCGAACTTAATAGAGACGACGCACCTATTTATACAAGGTTGTAACGAGAGTCGGAACATTTCGAAACTATATGTAATTCAGGTTTACAGCTTATCGAAAATGTCAGGTTGGGAAGAACGTGCAGCAAAAAAGCGTCAGGCTCTCCACGATTCTATTCCGCCAGAGTGGAGAATCCCGGCCGAGTTGTTGCCAGCCGACGATGTAGACGATGTCACAAGCTTTCCAGAGCAGTCGGGATGGTTCAGCTCGGAGGAACTGGCCATTACGGGATCCAGTGCTCTTGGCTTGCTTTCCAAACTTTTGACCGGTGAGATAAAGTCCGAGACAGTGACCAGGGCGTTTTGCAAGCGTGCCTCAGCAGCACATCAATTAGTACACCCCTCCCTGACCCGCTACGATCCATGTTTTCTCAGTAATCTAATGCCTCTATAGACAAACTGTCTCTCTGACACATGTTTCGAGCGCGCGCTTGAGACTGCCAAAAAGCTCGATGAGCACTTGGCGCGTACAGGCAAACCTGTCGGCCCACTCCATGGCCTGCCCATCTCTCTCAAGGATAATTTTAATCTGTGCGGTCTAGACGCGACTGTAGGCTTTGTGAGCCATATTGGGGAGCCCGCTGAATATGATGCCGCGTTGGCAGAACTGCTGTGTGGCGCTGGCGCCGTATTCTATGTCAAGACCAACGTGCCCACGGCTATGATGATTGCCGAGTCCGTAAACAATGTCTTTGGGCGGACAGTCAACCCATTGAATCGAAAACTCACAAGTGGCGGGTCTTCGGGCGGCGAGTCTGCCCTCGTCGTCTTCAAGGGCAGCCCCTTAGGCATTGGCACGGATATTGGCGGCTCGTTGCGGATTCCTGCTGCATGTACGGGATTGTTCACTTTGAGACCTAGTTTTGGCCGCTTCCCGACATTGGGTTGTCGCTCCGGCATGCCCGGGCAAGAGGCAGTCCAGAGCGTAAATGGTCCCCTGACGCGGACCCTGGATGACCTGGAGTTCTACTCTAAGACGGTTGTAGACTCGGAACCGTGGCTTGTTGATCCGCGATGTGCCCCTATACCTTGGCGCGCCATCGAGTTGCCCAAACGACTGAAGATTGCGGTGATGTGGAATGATGGCGTGGTGCTGCCCACACCACCCGTGACCCGGGCACTCAAGATTGCCGTGGACAAGTTAAAGGCTGCCGGCCACGACGTTGTGGATTGGTCGCCTGAGGATCAATTCGAGGGCTTGGACTTGCTTGGACGCATGTTCGTAGCTGATGGCGGCAATGCCATCACGAAAGAGATTGAGCGATCGGGAGAGCCATGGCGGCCTGAAATGAGAATGTACGAAACTGCAAAGGACATCAGTACGTCTGAGATGTGGCGGCTACATCTCGAACGTGTTGCTTTCCAGAAGCGGTATCTCGACCGCTGGAATAAGGCAGGTATCGATGCCATTTTGTGCCCTACTACACCATATAGTAGCGTGGAGAACGGGAAGTTTCAACATGGTAAGGACCTATCTTTGACATCAACTGGTGAGAGTTTCTTGCTAACCTCTCTCATTCAGTTGGGTATACAGGCGTATACAATGTTTTGGATTATGCGTGCATGTCATTTCCGTCCGGAGTATCGACTGATGCGGAACTCGACAAGGCACTTGGAGAGTCTTATCAAGGATTGAATGATATGGATCGCATGGTACAATCAGACTGTTAGTTTCCATCATTTCGTAAAGAGCGGAACGACGCTAACTCCCTCCAGATAATCCGGCTGCGGTGCATCGTATGCCAGTGAGTTTGCAATTGGTTGCTAGAAGGTACGGACCAGAGAAACACATCAGTTCGACTATCCTGCTAATTATGACAACTAGACTTGAGGAAGAAAAGGTCATCGCAATGACTAGGGTCATACTGAATGCGATAGTCTAAGTATTAATCGAAGAGGAACTGCCAGCAAGTAAGGCACTGAGAAGAAAAAGAATTTAAAAAAAAAAAATAAACCATAGATGCTGGCCGAATAGGTATAATCAATTAAAAAATACCACGACGGTGATGGGTATGGAAAATAACGTCCAGAGATCTCAGTCAAAGCGCCTTGTTGCTCCGAAATAACTTTTCCATCCAAAATGCTTCCACTTCCTAACACCGTCGCACACATGCTTGGACTCCAGAATGTCCATGTAAATCCGGTTTTTTTTAGGGCAACTGAAAGTGGCGCCAGGAAACAGATAGACTAGCAAACAAACAACTAATAAAAGTACTGATGCCCTCCAGTGCCACCTGGCGGCTGCTGGGACATAAAGTCGAAATTCATATCAGTTCCTGTATAGAATGGATCGGGTGATTCTGCATATAATCAGTAACATTTATAAATTGTTGACACATAAGACGTACCCCAGAAGATAGAGTCATAGAGGTCCATTGGCGACATATTCGACATATATGCTGTAGGGTCCATTTGCGTCATGTCCGTAACGCCCTGGACTGATAATGGCTGTAAAGATGGATTATAGTGCATGTTCCTGACAAAAATATTAGCTTGCTGGTATAGTTTCATCAGGGAGTCGAACTGACGTAGAGAAGTCAGGCAACGTGGCCCCATTTTGAAGCTCGGTCATTGCGAGAGCAGCATCTTGATGTGGATCTAACCCGGGGTGTGCTCTTTGCTGCAGGTTGCCCATTGCGTTTTGCAAAGACGCAACCGGCGTTCTTGCCCCCGAAGGCACTTCGCTCTTGAGCCCCGAAAGCCCCTGTAACGACCCATAGTCATAGATGTGCTTCAAGGCAGTTAAGGCTCTAGACAACGGCCCAGATAGCTCAATATCTTTGTCGCTGATCGTGATATGTCCAGGTGGTGGACTGGTGCGCTCTTTCGCAGCCGCTGCTGAGAGAGCTGAGATGAGATCACCTTGAAGACGACGAACCTCCGTTTCTGTCTTAGGTTCAGATAAGAGACCGAGGAGGACAGCCGATGAGAGACCGTGGTACGTGAATGCCCAGCTGCGTGTCGGTATCACAGAGATATTGTGCATGGAGAGAAACATTTCGACTGTCTCGATAAGATTCGCCTTGCACATAGCAGACAATGCTTTCTTCTCGGACGGACTCAGCATTGTGCAGTCACTACGAAGAGCTGGCCGACAACATACAGACACCACAAACGCAGTGTGAAGTCTTAAAGCATAATGCTGAAGTCGGTCAACCACTGTCTTCAGTGCCTCTTTATTTCGTAATTGCGGGTAGACTTTTTCACGCAATGATAACACTTCATCACAGTTTGCTACAATGGTGTCATATGTCGCTGTCGAAGAGGCATCCGGATTGAGCTTCTCAGATATAATCTGACAAAGATGATACATGGATTCGAGGTAAGAAAGGCCTTGTACAGTGGCGCTCGGCGATAGCGGTATTGGACAGCATTGAATGTTTGTCATATTAGGTCTGTTTATTGGTTAAATCTCAACTTATTTGAAAGCGTTTTGACTTACCGATCGAACGACAGAGATGTGAGGGTGTCATGCCACTGGCAAGTCCACCTTTTGCAGTTAGTACCCTTTGCTTAGTTCATGAAGTTGTGCACTGTACCAAAGTTTCCTCCTAACATAATCTTTGACGGATAACTCTGCGGATCCGTCTTCCTGTGATGGTGCTCGGTGAAGTCCCAGAGACTGAGCAAGCCTGCATGTTAGTGCAAGTAAAGCCCAGGAGCCCTCTGCTTTCATATCGTTCAGCAAAACAAAGCTTGTCATTAAGAGCGCTTGGATCGAGTCGAGATTCGGTCTTGAGATTTGGTCGTCAGCTTTGAAGTTGTCCGTATTATCCTCAGTGTGATCTTACTGACCTAAGTAAGAAATTGCCAAGTCTCAGGAAATGGAAACATATCTGTATATATCTTTGGGAATTTCGAGTCCGGATATGGTATGGTGAGTCATGGTATTGAGAGCCAACAGCGAGGACAGCAAAAAGAATGGCAAGCCAGGAGGCGGAAACGTGTTGCGTTTTGGCACCCGCCTCGCGAACACTTCTTGCTCGCTCTTCAAGATAGATCATTAAACGCGACTCAAGATCTTCTATGTCAATTACGAAGCCCCAAAAGGGATGGGGCACCTCTTTGTATGATTTGAAGAGCCTGTGCTTGGGAAATTAGTGTGTAAAATATCCTTCAAGTTACTAGAACATACTTTAGGACTTCACGGTCAGTAGGAAGCTCCGCTGATATTTCCTGTGTCATCCTGTCCAAATGTTGCGTAGACATGAGCGGGAAGGGCGCAGAGTTGTCAAGTCCCCAGATAGGCCGCATGTCACGTCGAATATCTATGCCATTCTTCGTCTCTATGGGCGAAGGTTGATCGCGTAAGATGGCAGGAATGCTGTTTTGACCAATGTAACGAGGTATCTCCATAGACTCCGATTGATCTAAGTAAGGTGTGAGTATGTCACTTTGCTTAAAGACAGGTCGAATGTACCTATAGCTCTAGGCCATCCTGACGGTTGGTGGTCATGTCCATGGTCATACTCTTCACCCTCCTCGGGTGAATGGGGGCGTTTCGTGCCATGTGTGCTTCCAGCTTCAACTGATGCAGCCTTGCCAGCATTAGAACGATTGGGCTTATACGAGCATAGTTGCGGATGCTCCCGCTTCACGCAATTTTCGCATGGCTGCTGGTTATCACATTTGACCTTCCGCTGACGGCAAGGCCAGCAAGCAGTGCCTATCGATGCCATAGTCAGTAGACTGCTTACAAGCGCATGGTAAGCTTCAAGATGTGCTTCGCTCTTGTCACACTGACTCAAGAGCTAACTAGTTAAACAACGACGGTAAAGTTTCTGGGCCACTCACCATATCGAACTTTACGATGTGAGTGGATTATACGGCTAGCTTCTTCCGGTGTCAGATCCTCCACGGGGATCTGGTTGACGTCTTGGGAATTCGACATGGACACGGCGTATAAACCGTTCACTCAACCACGGACGGGCATGCGGCGCCCCGCTTGGCAATAACGATTAACGACTTGGGACCCACGGACGTGAGCTCAATTGGATCCTATACACTGTCGGGCTGTCTTGGCTTTACTTTCACTTCTGATGATTGAGTTTGCGACAAAATTGTTTCAGGAGCAGGATGCCGAGTTGCAAGCGAAGACCGAAGAGCCCTTCGTACAGATGGTGGCATGCACATCTCGCGCGGGGGCAGGATGAGGCGAACAATTGGCTAGTTAGGGTGGGGCTCAACGCCGAGCATGCCGAGCAGTTCACTGTGTCAGTATCTAAATGCACGTTGCGCCGCTTGAAGCCTGCCAAATCTCGGCGATGTTCAACATTAATCCGGCAAGATACCAATTGCACACAAGCTAGTACGGACGCAATAGTTGCTAAGTTACAATGCTCAAGCAGCTAACAGCCCCCCACACTGCGGGAGCGCCCGAATATGTTCTATGTAGTGTGACCCCAGAACACCCCTCCACTAAACGCTTTAGCTTTTCAGCTGCTGACAGGTACCGTATCTCATCTACGCGCCTTCCTCTCATTTACAAGCCTCCCCGAAGGTCAACGCGTGTCCAGACCGCCCCTCTTTCAATTGAGAAATTGGCTCGCATCGCACATGTGCTGTCGTGCTCGCTTCGTGGAGCTCACGCGTCCCAAACAATCGCTCTTTCCCACTCGCTCTTGTCTAGGTCTAACTTTATTCCACAGACCGAAGCTAGCTCCAAGCTTGTGCTCCGCCCTGGCTTGGGTCCTAGAGGTTGCCATTCGCTGGAGAGGGGTGTTCTTGGTCTCTGTACTAATCGCTACGTCTATAGACGGTTCGCTGCTATGCTTCTCGCCCATGATATGATCTTGCTGATTAATACGGGGTTTAGCTGCATTTTGCGCGTGCCGGAGGATTGACGTGTTTGGTTTAACCGCAAAGACCATTGGCCCTCTGCCGGTGGTCGTGGTGGTCGTGGCCATTCATGCAACCATTTACCCCGAAGAAGCAGGTCACTGCTGCCAACTCCTTCTCTTTCGCTCGCAGCACAAGTACCTCGTTCACGCATGACTCTGCAGTGGAGGACTCTTTCCAAGATCTGTCACATAAATACAATCTGCAGTTGACAGTCCCAGATAGGAAAATCTTGGAACGATCACCGCAGAAGCAACGAGAGTTAGCTGAGCAAGGTTTGGAAGATCGAGATGCAACCATCTATCGACGTTTTCGCATTCATTTTCGCACAAAGACACTGGACCTTGTCTTGAACACTTACGGCGAGCGTGTGAAGGTACTATGCGAAAAATGGGTGCGCAAACCTCGAGGAGAGCCAGATGTCACACCTCGGAAAACGATTTTGCCTAAGGCGACCAATCCTTGGGAGCGGGATGAGTTGAAGCGATTGTTAGACCAAGTATTACAGGAACACAGGCCAAATGTAGCTGAGTCTCGATTGACACTGAGAAGTGGTCGTGAGTTGCCTGCCTTGGACTTCAAGCAATCAGGTAGGACAACCCGGTTTGGTACTGTCAAGCGCACTTCAAATGAGTTTTCCGAAAAGATTGGCAAGCGAGCGAAGAATTCCGCCGGTGGTCAGCACGTGTCTGATCAAACATCTGGCTCTTCTATGGGTGTGGGACGGGATGAACGAAACTACTTTGACCTTTCTACCAATGTCAGCCAGGAAACAGTTGTGTTCTCTGACCATGGCCGCAGAGTTTCACAGGGAACACAAACCACGGTCGAAGCTAGCAGCCAGGAAAAAGCCAGGCGGCCACCTGCACAATCACGCTCGTTCTCCGTCTCGTCCAGCTCGATTCAGGCGCCGGAAGAATCCTTTGACCATGCCGAGAGCCATCCACAGTTACATGAAGACGTCCGACAATTCCTCGATAGTAGTTCTCCATTACATACATACTCAGACTTTGGCAGTCTGCTTCCGGACCATGAATTAGTCCAGCTTGAGGACAGTTTTGCAGAGCCGGATATTACGGAGATCATGTCACCCGCTATTTTGGAACTCGAGGAGCGACTACAAGCGTCCTGGCGTAAGTGGGAGGGTTAATACCATGAATGTTCTTGAAGCTAATCTGAAGTAGCTCGAACCCCTCCTGGACTTGCAAAAGCCCCCTTCCCCGTGCTGTGGGAGGTTTTACGAGTTCTCCTTCATTGTAAAGTCGAGATTAGTACGTTTGAGCTTGAATACGAACAGTCTTGGACCAATCAGAATCATCTATGGCGTATCCTTCACAATGATCCTTCGCTTGCTGGCAAAACGCTCCCTGAAAAGTCTAGCGCGGCTGCTTGGGATGCTGCTCTAGCCAACTTTTATGTCAATAATCAGGCTGTAATTCTTGTTCTTGCTTTGACACCAGCAACGGGAAGTAGTGGAGCGTTCTTCCAGGTGCAGCTGCATGCTTTGAAAATTGACAACACGCACCGCCTTGCTCGCCGGTTCGGTCCCGATCGGTTCATCGAAATGATCGTACCTTCGATTGATCGACAAAACATGTCTATATTAAAGACGTTTTCAGAGGAGACTATCAACTACATAAGGCGTTGGGTATTCACTAATGTTCACCCAATGTCTGGCCGGTTTTGGAAGCCCTTTTTTGTTCGTTCTATTCGTGAAGGGCCAATTAAAAAGGCGGCAAATAAGGGTGACTGGGTTGAACCTGGGCCCAAGCAACTCATGAAATATCGTTTTTACCTATTTGCTCAGGATGGAAACGACTTCCAGGCGCCTAGTTTGCCGGGATTCCCCGTCAAAAATGAGCCAATTGCAAGCCACACAAAATCGAGTGTCACCAGCATGATCCGATGGTTGCTTGAGCCGTCCGAGAACGCTGACCAGCCAAGTCTGAAGCTCTTCTCACGAATCTCGTTGGGTCTGAGTCGAACGGAACCAACCATAATTTTAGAGAAGAGCCAACTTCGTCACGTGCCCCTCGACATTCTGTCACCCACTGGGAAAGTGATGAACGATGGTATTGGACGGATGTCGCCAAATCTTGCACGGCAGATTCGCGATTCTCTGTGTCTAACTGAAACGCCCGCTGGATTTCAAGGTCGCATTGGAAGTGCTAAAGGATTTTGGATCCTTGATGTATCGGACAGAAGCAATGATGTCTGGCTTGAGACATACCCGTCCCAGCGGAAGTGGAATTGCAACTTTAACGACGAAGACCATCGAACTTTTGAGGTCAGCAGTTATCCACAGCTTCCTGCATCCGCCGGTTTAAATACCCAATTCCTGCCAATTCTAATGCAGCAGGCATCAACAAAGCGCAAACGTGAAGCGCTAAAAGAATATCTCAGTGATCTCTTAATACAACTTCTCAACGATGAGATAGAAGCTCAGAGGATCGCTATGCAGGACCCTTTGTCCTGTTCAGCCTGGGTTGATAGAAATTCAACATCGCGGCGCGTGGAGCGTCTCAATGACAACCAAGTACCTCGCCTAGGCAGTATGCCCCGACACGACGAAGATCGAATCCAATTTTTCTTGGCCGCGGGATTTAATCCCCTGAAGCAGAAAATGTTGTGGGATATGATATGGAAGCTCTGCAAAGACAAATGCGAAGAATTGAAAAAACGCATTAATATAAAAGTGGGTCGATCGATATATGCGTACATGGTCATCGATTTCGAGGGCATTCTGGCAGAGGATGAAGTCCAGGTCAGCTTTTCATCAAATTTCAAGGACGAACTCTCTGGTTTTTCTGATACACTATTGCATGGCATGGACATACTCGTCGCCCGGTCGCCAGCTCATTTCGTGAGTGACATCCAGAAAGTCAGGGCTGTTTTCAAACCGGAACTAGGAGCACTCAAGGATGTCATCGTTTTCCCAAGCACGGGCAATACGCCACTGGCCGACAAGCTCAGTGGCGGTGACTACGATGGTGACATGGCTTGGGTGTGTTGGGACCCTGATATTGTCAGCAATTTTGACTCTGCACTGGTCCCAGATGGTCCAGATCTCGTTAAAGAAGGTTACCTTTCGAAACAGAAGGGAACTTACCGCGACCTCATTGAAAAGCACCAAGGCAAAGCGACTCTGAAATTCTTGGAAGATGGATTTGATTTCAACATGCAGCCCAGCTTCTTGGGGTTGTGCACTATTTTCAAGGAGAATCTTTGCTATCAAAGGCATTCATACTCGGATGCCACAGCAATTCGCCTGAGCACAATGCTTAGCAACCTTGTGGACCAATCAAAACAAGGCATTGTCTTGACCGCTAGCGACTTTTCCAAATTCAAAAGATCACTTCTCGGGAAGAATGAGGCAGAACCTCCGCCGCCCAGATACAAAGCAGACTCGTGGGCTCCCAAAGACCGACTAGCGCACATAATTGACTATCTTAAGTTTAACGTGATGATACCTACCGTAGACGCTGAGTTGGACCGTCTTAGTAAGTCAACACAAGGCCATAAGGCGGAACCTTGGGACGAGGATTTGGCCTTCTACTGGCACTATTTTAATGACTTGCGAGTAAAAGGCAACAGGAGAATTGGCCATGGTATGGAAGTCCTTCAAAACGACATTGAGCATTTCCATCGCACCGTCGACGCGTTGCGGGCAAATGAGGACCTCACTTTTGACGAGAAAGTATGGAGGTCTTATAAAGAATTTCAACTCATCAAGCCTCGGGGATTTGCGGGGACAGTAGGCGATGTCATTACTGTGAGGCATCCCGAGGCTCAACAACATACGGAATGGGATCTTCTGAGAGCTTCGACATACTACAAATTTTATTACTGGCGATCCAACTTCATATGGTGGATCATTGGCTCTGAGTTGCAGGAAATTAAAGCAAAAGCATCACGTATTGGTCCGATCGTGATGATCAACGCGAGTACATATGCTGCAATGAGGCACGATCCAAAATATATACGCACCCGCAACGCGAAACTTGAAGGTCTTCAAGATCCATTCCACGAAGAAAGGGAGCCATGGGAGGAATGATGACCCAAAAGAATCACTAAAAGGAACCGCTGATTCAGATGATATTGCTAGGGGATCAAGCATTGGTACGGCAATAGAAGGTGGTAGATATAAGCACAATGTGTAAGCGATACAGTGTGCCAAATGTGCAAGCACGTATAACGTAGAATATTTTTTATTGCTAGATACCCCTTGATCGTTATTTGAAGGTCTTTTCCGCAGCATAAAAATAGAGCTGATTTTTCGTTGGCGGCCTCAGTTTTCAAGAATAACAATGATAAAGATGAAGTGCCACGTTGTATTCCACACAAGCACAGCCCGATTTCTACATCAAATGATACCCCCTACACCTATGGAGTTGTCCTAGTAGCGTAATCAACGAAGTACACAAAGACCTGCCATTTTCGTATGTATTGTCTCCTTGGGCCATGTATTGAGTATGTGGTTTGCTGCGCCGCCAAAAGTGCCGTTTCTCAGCAGACAATGTATTCTAGGTGCTTATAAATAATTTTGTCCTCTGGGTGATCCTGAAGATGTGCTTGAATTAAGTATTACTTAAGCTCCTAATCTACCGCAATGACTTTTTAGTCTAGGTTTGTGAAATTGCTTCAAAGATGCCTACTGCAACAGAATAGTTTGGCCTCACCATAATTGACTTTGGTCCGTTAACGACGGCGTACACGGCGCCAGCGTGAGTCTGAACATCAAAATCGCCCAAGGAGTTAGCTAAAAAAAAAAAAAAAAAAAAAGGAAACAAAAAGGACCCCTCGGTAGATCGTGCGCAACTGGCACCACTGACCAATATGTGGCAAAAGCGAACAAAAGCTGGCGCATATATGCATTAGTTAGTTGTAGTTCCTAACGAATGTCGATTGCGTGCCGTCTAGCTCGGCGTTGGATACCCAGATCTCTGAGCTGTGGGATAAACCAAACCATGGTTTCATCCACTATTGCTCTCCGGGACTTGTCTGTCCTTCTGGTTGGACAACTGTTGGCACCGCTGCATTTGGCACCGGGACCGCGAGTGATTTACGGAACGCGTCTGGCATTCTCGCGGACAACCGGTACTCGGTCTATCTTTCCAACAATGCCAGAGTCTAGTGCGCTTAAAAGTGTCGCAGAGCCCGGTAAGACGGTCGTGTACTACTGTCCAAGGCATGAGTCTATATAATTCCAAGTTGGTTTGCATGGTCTATAACTGTAGTCTTGCAGTAGGTCCGAAGAACGACCTAATGCCGAATGTATCTCGTCCATCAGACCATTTACCAGCTCGACGTGAACGTTTCTGGTCACTTTAGCTGGTGCTACAGTGGGCGTTGTGCTCTTTGTTGGTCTCTGATAAGATCCACTGCGCACGCGGATAGTTGGTACTCTGGATATTCAGAGTTAAGTCTACTTGCGCTCATTCACGTATGTATATGCAATTGCAGAGCAATTACCATGTTATTCTTCCCCCTGTTTCGTCACTCATATCAATTGGAAAATTTTCTTCTACTTTCTCCTCGTAGAACTCATTTTCGTCGCTCTGACCAAAACGAGGTCTAGAAAGATGTCACTTCTACTTCAATTACCTACCGAGCTTTGGCTCAACATCTTAGGGAAGCTTCACAGAACATACCTATTTCGGCTCCTCTTTGTCGATCATCAATGACGCCAATTTACCACCCAAAGCTTTACAAGCGACTGAGGGATATTCAAGAGCTTCCGTGCCCATAGGTGCTGCAGCCACGCCTATGGGAGTCAAAAATGAAGTCCCTATGTGGGCTATTAATTCAAGCATCCCCTCGACAGTAGAGAGGGTTCTGGAACTCGGAGCCGACATCCGAAATATCAACAAGTAAGATGGCTAAAATGCTATTTCGGGTTTCTTCTCAGCAGTCCAATACTCGTAGCAGCCGCCAGAGACAACCTTGCTAGAGTAGAGTCCTTGTTGAGTTACGGTGCTGACGCCTACACCGGTACCAAAAATGGGTTAAAGCCTATTCCCATGGTGACATCGGAGTTGATGGTCAGAGCACTAGTCAAGCCAGGATCAATGCCGACTTTATATACGGGAACGAAAAAAATACCACCTTTGCTGTACGCGCACGCAATGGTGAGGTAGAGGCACTGCAGATTCTTTTCGACGTCGGTTTGGATGTCAGGGAGCATGATAGTAGCGGAGGATGCGTCTTGCTGCAATCATATTGCTTTTTCGTACCGCTGGCTGCGGAGTGGCAAGCCAAAGCTAAGCAATTGCTGATAGAAAGAAGTGCTCCTTTGGGAGGCCGATTTAACTCCACCTACCAACCTAGCTAAGAGATGACTATCAGTGGGTTTGAACACGAACTAGAGCTTCAATCAAGCTGGTGCATAGTGGTGGTTTTGTTATAGACGATAGACTTGTGCTCGCAATGTTTGTTACGTTAATCTTTGTATTAGGAAAAGTACGTAGGGATTAGAGAGAGAGAGAAATACTCACATAAAAAAAGTCCATTCCTCTCTGCAAACAAAGCTCGATGTAGAGATGATTGTGCCCACGGGTTTACAGGACTTTGATGCCTAAAAGAAAAAGAAAAAAAAAAGTTTCGGGACCCAATGGGTGGAATTGAATGTGCAAGCCCAGCTAAAAAGAGTAGAATAGGGACGCGACAGTTCTTACGCAATTCTTCGAGGTCCTTCTACCACTAAGCCAAAACGTGATCCTCATCTCGAGCCATCAGCACCATACAGCATACAGCATGGATGCAAAAGTTCGATCTCAATGGTTGCAGAGAGGATGGTTTCAAAGATTGTAGAGAAGAGTAAATTGTGAGTACGCAATTTCATTCATGGTAAAAGGCAATGGATGAGGTTGTATGTACATCGTTCTCTGAAGTTTCTGCCGTTTTTATGGTTTATGTATCCTTCGGTACGAAGCTACAGAACGCGCGCGCCAGATAAATATCTAGGATAAGGGAATAAGCAGAAAAGCGGGCAAGGCTTCACCCAGTTAAATCAACCCGATGGGCAGTGAACACAATGATTTGTGCGGTCATCTCAAGTCTTACAACCAATGGCAAGAACCATTTGCGTTTTGCTGATACCCGAGATATCCTTTTCATAGATTACGAACCAGATCGATGTGGCTTGTCATACCTATTCAGTACTGAGATCCAACATAATCCTGCAGTATAATGTTGAAATGCGTAGGTACGCTGACTCTTTGTTTACTGCTTTGCCTGATAGTCAAAATTCATCGTTATTGAGGATTATTTGATTCACGTAGTATTTGCTTGTGGCACGATGGTTGAGGAGCATGGAATCAGCCCATTACAACAACTAGACTACGTGCCAGCTCTAAGCTGATTATAAATGCTGGGACAAGGAGGTCGATGGCGACATGTGGGGGTGTGTTGACCAAATCGTTCCCCACTCTATACTCGCCCATGGGTATAAGAGCGCTTGCTCAATCACACCTTATACGAAACGATCAGCACGACCGTACACATTAACTATCTATAACTAAAAACGATCTGCGACGTAATCGGCTTTCAGAAAATGTCTACTGTTGTCACAAAAACATCGGCTCCTGCCGAGGACAACACCCAATATGATTTCGCCAACTTGAAGCCATACCAGCATCCACCCGAGACTACCGCAGACCTCCCCTGGTCCGAGCTGGTCACTTTGGACCTCTCAGACTACGAGCGTCCGGGCGGCAAGGAGCGGCTCGCTAAGCAGCTCGAGCACGCGGTGCACCACGTGGGGTTCTTCTACGTGAAGAACTTCGGGCTGCCGCAGGAGGTGGTGGACCAGCAGTTCACGCTGGCGCAGAGCTTCTTCGAGCTACCCGTGGCGGAGAAGGAGAAGTACGAGGTGCGGTATGCTGAGGCTGACTACAACGGCTGGCGGCGGCCGGGGCGGCGCCTGGACGCCAAGGCCTACAACAACATCGAGATGTACAACTTCGCCAAGTTCACCCCGGACTTCGAAGGCAAGTACGACCACCCGGCGCTGATCCGGGCGCATCTCTCCGAGATCGAGCACTTCCACCGCACGCTACACGGGAACGTGGTCTTGCCGCTGCTGCGCCTGTTCGCCATCATCCTCCAGCTGCCGGACGAGGACTACCTCGTCAGGCAGCACACGTACGAGAAGAAGAGCGAAGACCACTTCAGATACATGCTCTACCACCCGCGAACGGAGGAGCAGTGGGCCGAGAGCAAATACGGCGCAGCGGGCGGCCACACGGACTTGGGGACCGTCACGCTCCTGTTCCGGCAGCCGGTCGCGGGGCTTCAGATCCTAGGCGAGGACGGCAACTGGACGTGGGTCAAGGCGGAGCCGGGCACCATCACGGTCAACCTGGCCGACACAATCTCACACCTCACGGGCGGGTGGCTGAAGAGCTCGGTGCATCGTGTCTTCGCGCCGCCCGAGGACCAGCGCCAGTACAAGCGCACGGGGCTGCTCTACTTCGCCCGTCCGCACAACGATACGGTGCTGCTTCCGATCACGGACTCGCCTGTGTTGGAGCAGGCGGGGGTGAAACCTCGATTTGATAAAAATGTGACCATGGAAGAGTGGGTCAGGGCCAAACAGACATTACAGCTCAATCCAGAAATTGCTCGCAAGCGATGGGCTGAAAGGGGAGATGGGACTGTCGAGGTTCTCGCAGGTTTTAAAGACCAAAGGTATAAAGAGTAGAAGGATTAACGCATTGCGTCATACTCTCATAATTACAGGTACTTGGTTCAAGTAGTAACATAGTTGAATTGTAATGATACAAGCCTATCGTCCTTTGATAACTCAGGCATAACAACAAATCATGTCCAGGCGTAGTTCCATATCAGTGCATCCTGCTGATCTGTCCTAGCGGCAATGCGGGCACAGGATGATTTCCAACCCCAGTTACATATAGTCTTCGCCATTCTCAGATCAGTTGGTTGACGACCTGCTCAACGATCGCACCAGCAGCACCAGCTCCAACAACAATCCAAAGCCATTGGTTGGTCAGTACGGCAGCCTTGGGCCAGAATGAATTATGACTCTCCTTGAAACGCTGGAAGTCTTCGTGCTTCTCCAAGTGCGATTGTGAATATCGGCGGTGTTGATGAGCTTCCGTCTGTTTGGTGCCACCGACATAACGGAGAAACAAATAATTGGCGACACTGCCGAGAATCTCGATAGGAGCCAACAAGTCAGATCCGTAGAGAAGAAGTGGGAATGAGAAGTGCACGAGAGCATCTCCGAGATAATTTGGGTGGCGGACGAGTGACCAGACCCCCTCCTTGCAAACGGCGCGCTCATCATTGACGGTTTCCTTGTACGCAGCGAGCTGCGAGTCAGCAAGGATCTCAAGGGCAAGGCCGGCAGAGAACAGTCCCACAGCTGTGGCCTGCACAATTGGCTGATAGCCACTGAGTACTTTTCCCTGATGATGGAAAGGAGCGGTGAACGGAAGAGTGATAATGGTCTGGATCAAAGCCTCGGGAAGGAAGATGCTGAACAGCGCATGGTTCCAGAAGCCAGGGTCCTTCTTGACTTCATCGTAACGTGGATCATCAGTACCCTTACCAGACTGGCGGCGTCTGATAGAGCGACTGGAGATCCTAAAGAGCAAACGTCCGCCCCAAAGGGTGACGCCGGTCAGGAGGAGACGTTCTGGACGGGAGAGCAGGGACAGTGCTTGACCGAGCGTAAGACCTCGCTGCACCTTGCGTCCAACGGCTGACCACCATGCGTTGGCAATAGGTGCAGTGGGCCAAAGCCAATCCTTTGCTTCAACACTGTCGGTGGCGCGACCGATGCCATAAGCAACAAGAGCTAGAGGGACATGCAGAGAGATGCTCGGGAGGATGGTGTCTTTGAAGATGCCGACATCGAAGAGCTCGCGGTGCCAGCTCTGATGGTAGTGGGGCACCGAGTGGTTGTGACCAGGAAGCTTAGCATCAATGGCAGCCGCTGGGGATGGCGAGCCCGAGAGACGAGGTGCTGAAGCTGAAGCGTTGAACTGGACGGTGCGACCACCCAGGAAAGAGTTACGGTCTAGCTCTGGGTTGGACATTGTCTTTACTGAAGTATCAATTGGTGGCGTGAAGAAAAAGGTAGACCACTGATGGCTTTCAAATCAAAATGATCAAGAATCTGCTTGGAAATCCAAGAGCTCTGGTTGAGTTCACAAAGTGCGGGGATGGATGGGATGCGATGCGGGAGGAGTTAATAAGAGCTCGACATCCCGTCCTGCATTGGGGTGACATCAGGATCTCCAACTATGGTTGATTCGGCACGACAGGCGCGCATGGAGAACGCGGGGATCAGTTCGTGCCTGCGTAGAACTCAAAAGCTCGTGCGGGGTGATCATGGCCCTTGACATGCATCGTGCTGAGGCAGATCTTAGTGTACGTAGAGTGGCTAATTGCCCAAGGATCAGCCATGGAGTAGCATTGGAACTCATGAACCGGACAATCGGCATATGAAGCCAATCGTCTCGAGGGCTTCCGAAACGTGACTCTCCAGCTAATCAGAGTGAGGTGATGTTCTTCGAGACTGCCCGTCGCTGCCGAATATGATGAGTACAAAATGATTGGCGCCTAGCTCTGCTTGAGGTGATGCGTTCCTTCAACCTCGATACCATTGTCCGATCAGGATATTCCCTCAACCTCCTCCCGCTTGTTTCTACACACTGGACAACCGGCCGCAATCTTGTCTCTCAAGAGCCTCGCATGGGTAACCTTGCTGCCCACAAAACGACCTCCTCGAAGCCTGTCTTCGTCATCATTTCCATAATCTATAATGCTTTGGTCCGGCTTTTCATCCGGATGTAGATACTCTAGGAGATGGCTCACGTGGTAAACGTGGCTGCACGCAAATCCGACCAGGGTTTCTGTTTCCCACTCCGTGAAGGGCTCATGGCACTTAGCGCAGTGTCCCGGCTGTGGGGCACGGTGATCATGCTCCGGTTGTTGTACCTTGGCACCGCCGGAAACGGCATGCTCCGTTGCAGGATCCACAATCTCCGGGACTGTAGGTGTGGCTGTTCCACTCACAGTCCCCTTCCCTTTCGTGACAATGGTGGGCACTCCTTTGGTCTCAACATCGACGTGATCTGGAGCCTTGAACTGGATGTTGTATTTGATTCCTTTCCTCTGACCCATCCGCAGCATATTTTGTGCAGCTGCAACTTCAGAGCGCAGGACACGAGCTACACCAGACGAGATGCTGTACTGAATCTCATGCTCTTTCATGATGTGCTTCAGACCTTCTCTCAAGCCCGGAATTTCAAGTCCTTCTGGTATACGCCTCACCAGCGTGATGGGGTTGATGGCTGTACCAACTTCCTCGAGTAGTCCACGAATAAACCTCGGCTTATCCATACTGTAGTTTAAGAGATCCTCCCACAGACCAGGATCATCTTTTTCTTTGGCGAAGGCGATAGCTTGTGAGACGTCGCCAAGTCTGTCAATAATCAAATAGAGCGCCCGCTTCATCTCTCCGGTCACCGAGTACAAATGGACCAGCTCGGGAACGTAATTGCGGCTTTCGCATTCCTGCACTGCCTTCTCGAATGTGTAGCTAGATGATACCTTCAACAGATCCATCAGGAGGTCTCGGTCGCCAAACGTTGCGAACAGGTGCACTGCAAGATCAGCGAAGTCGTCTACAAGACAAACCGCCTCATCCGCCTGCTGCTCGCGATACACCCTCCAAAGGCCGCGCAAGTAGAAATACAGATAAAGATTCATATCCTTCTTCTCGAGCTGCCGGACGACGATTTCGGGTCTGATAAGACCACGCTGTGCCTCTTCGACAAGAAGCGTGATGGCCTCTGAGGTCGCCTCATCGATTTCAGCGTGGGTCATACGGTTCAGTTCTGCTTCGGGCACTCTAAGCGCGATGAAGCTTGGAACGTCATCCGTAACAGCATCAGCTAAGTGGTTTTCCCTTATCAGCCGCATAGCAGAGTCTGCGTCCTGAAGTTTGATGTAGCACTTCAAAGCTTCTCGATGCTTCCCATTGGCTTCATGCAGATGTGCAAGGGATTCCACCACGATCCGCCAATCCCGTCCCTTTTCGCCGTCATCAATGCTGTCTTCTCGAACATCGCGATACTTGAGCTGGTTCTCGAGCGCAGTACTGATGGTATGTATGTCAAAGAGATCGGTATCCCAGTGCTCGAGCAACTCCTTGAAACGAGGCTTGTCTGTCTGTATGTAGTGGCCAAGTAGTATCTCATACACTGTACCGGGAATGGGGGGCCGCAAAGGTTCAGATGGTACGAAGTTGACGATCTCATCGAACTTCTTTGCTCCAGCAAATGTGTAGACCCACTTCTCCCACCGTTCTGGAGTGTTCAAAACCTTAGCAGCAATCTGACCAGCTCTGTTCCACTCACCCGTCTCGACAAGCTCTTGAATCCACATCTCTCCAATCCGTCGCTTTTCTTGCTCGACGGAAAAGTTTTGAGATCGCACTTGAGACTCGGCAACGGAAATGTCATCATCGAACGGGTCATTGCTGCTTTGTTGCGACTTGCTAGGGGTCGACGGAGCAAGCTCAGAGGGTTTTTCAGGAGGCGACGCCATGATCTCGGGGTGGTCGTCTAGAAGAGCCCAGGCGACTTCGTATCGGTGATGCTCCAAAAGCCACGCCAAATGATCTCCTAGATCCCTCTTTGTGGCCAGGATGCAGTCATACGGACTGTGAATGAATATTTTCGCACCTGGCTTGACGAGGTTGGGATGCACTGTCTGGGATGGGGACTTTGAAGACATTCGTACACTACCCAACGTGCTTCCAACCTGCGTGCTGGATGTCCCATCATTACTATCCTTGTTACTTCTGATGCTCGCACCGGAGCTGAACAGGGATTTCGGATTGATAGTGGCATTCCACATGTCCGCGCCGAAGTTGGTCATGGCTTCTAACACGCCTCGCGATTCAACTACCGATGCCGCATTGTTGGCTGGCAGTACGCCGAGATGATAATCGTTTGAAGAAAGCCGCTCATAACGACTAACAGTCAAGCTATCCTTGTCGATTTCGGCTTGCGACACAAGATCAATTAGTCGTAGTTCCGGTGCCAGAGCATCCTGGCGGTGTTTCTTTCCACCCGGGGGCTCACTTCCGGCGGATGTTGTTGATAACTGCGACTTGTGCCCTTTTACATGCTTGATGTCGTCTTCGGTCTCGTCCTCCTCTTCTTCAGGCTTACAGTATGCTAAAACAAGAAGTAAATTCTGGGTATATAAGGAAATGCCGGAAATAATGCAGTCCATGCGTAGCCTGGTGACATTTAGCATGGCATTCAGGGCAGAGGAACAAAAATGCAACTTACTTCTTCGCGATCTCCGCTTTACCAATGGATTTCTCGCCTACGTTTCTTCCCACGCCGACGCCTCCTGGATGAACATGTATGATCCAGATCGTACCACCCCATCCGACAAGTAATCGCTCGTAGTTCTTTCCGCGCCTTGTAGTTTTCTTGACCGTCGCAGGTGAGGGCTCCGAGACGGGCTCAGGAGCTTTGCCATCCTCGTCCGTCTCAATTGCTTGTTCGTCGATCCACTCAGCTCGACCCTTCCACACACCAGCCATTTCCTCCCACTCATCGGTCTGTGGTCTGTCAATATGGCCGATGCGTTTCCAGGCATCTTCTGCATCAGCCGACTCGAGCTGTAACTTGGACCGCATTATTTTGATTCCATGTTCGTTGAGCCAGACAACGTACTTGCCAGACAAGGACCATTTAATGGTACTAATGATGCCTTCTCCGGAATGCAGTACCGTATCCTTGCCGGTGTTGGTGCCCAGACCCATGCTGCCGAGCCAGCCAGAAGCTGCTGCAGCGGCGGTGCCAATGGTGGTCGAGGTGCTTCGGCCCTGAGGGGGATTCACTGTGAGGATGAGGCTCCCGGCGGTTCCACCGGAAAGGTAAGTCCTGTCGTTTTTGTAGTCTGGCGACAGAGCAACAGCCTGAACAGGGCGAGCGAAGTTCCTCAAGGAGACATCTTTCATGTCCATGAGGGATTGTACGCAGACATTGCCATCCATGGAAGACGTGCCGACGTATATGTTATTTGAGGGTATGTTCGGCAGTGCATCGGGCTCGCGTGGTTTGCGCGGAGAGTCGGTGGCAGTCGGCTTCCGCGAATGCACAGATGAAGGCTTTTGGCTTGTGGACTGAGATACGGCTCTTGCGGCCACTGCTGACTGGAGAGAAGTGGGAGGCAATGGCGGTGGGAATGGGGATATCGACACGGTGGTTACTGAAGCTGAATGGGCGTGGTAGTTTCGCAAGGATTGAAAGGCTGGCAGTTGAACGACATGCTGGCATTCCACGGTTAGATGTTTGCTCGAAAAGAAGACGGGGTAGTGCAGCAGTAGCAGCTTACAATGTTGCCTCCGTGGGTGCCCATCAGCATCTTGTCGCCAGCGACGAGGAAAGCACTGGTCATATCGGCTCTATAGACGGAGTTCAAGTGCGAGGTGAGTCGTGCATACTTGAGCTTGGGCTCGTCTTCTTCATCATCTGACTCGTCATCGTCTCCAGAGTCATCTGCCTCTGCTATGTCCTCACCCTCGCCACTATCGTCGCTCTCCTCGGTTTCGCGAGGGACAGGAGCGTCGTGCTCTGGCCGAGGCTCGACCTTGACGAGCTCTGGGCTGGACTCGGACTCGGACTCAGACTGTGCTTCGGCATTTTCGTTGTGTGGATTGTCGCCCAAGTCGGGCGAGCCTGTGGTCATGATAGGCGAATGGACGGAGACACTTGCATGTTTGAGGCTGGCCAAACACTAATCGAAAGGCGAAGGCTGATGTGTTGTGGTTTGGCGACCTGGACTTGCCTCACCTCGTTTGCGCGGTGTCGAAGCGAAGCCGCGGCTGCAGGCTGGCAGGAGCTGCAGCTACGGGGGGGGCCTTCTGGGGGTGTCTGGGGGTGGTCTCCAACTCAAGCTACAAAGCACCTACGTCAGTAACCCTTGCCCGGCCTTGTCTTGCCTTCCCCCCTTCCAGACCGCTAGATTATACACTGGGCACCACTGGGCACTGACACGGTGCAATGCAGGTGTGTTGGACAAGCCAGTCACACAGTGTGCGGTGTCTCCGTAGGTTAGAAAGAGCACTCATGCTGGTTAGTCTAGACTGACCTTGATGAAATGATCCTTTGTTGAATTCTAGGCGGTCAACCAATGACGTCCAGTGGTGCCCCTCACTAACGCTAGAATTTAGCAAGTGCAAGTCGCGTTACGTTAACTGGCCGACGCAACGCGTTCAGTGTGGCAGTTGGATGTGTGGGAAACGGCGACCTTTTTCAAAGGCTATTCAGATGATTTCTCTGGATGCCTTGAAGTCCTCGAAACTTCCACAGTAGCTGCGTCAAGCATCCATGGATCCCCAATTGCCACCATGGCTGCGGTGACATCCCTAGGGCTGCACCAGCCGACAGCACTGCAATATGCCATCCAGGAGCAGCTCATCGACGAGCACGCCCCCAAACCCGAGTACACCTGGCACACTTTTGTGAGCCACGATGGAGACCACGTCGGCGAGGACGAGCTACTCGTCACCAAAGAGGCAGTCATCTGGTCTAGGGGCAACATATTTCGCAAATGTTTTGGCTTCAAGCTTGAGAAAGAGCCTGTAACCCAGGCATTGTTGACTTACTTCCCAACCTCGGACCAGTCGTCACACCACAGCCCACGGCATGGATCCCAGTCCAAGCTGTCCTTTGACCGTCGCATATTGTCCAAGGCTTTAGTCGTCTTCCTCAAAACCCAGGCTCATATTTACTTTCTAGACGGCACAAGCCATGTCGTCCACATGCCCTTTGAGGTCGAGTCCGCCTGCGCCGCCCCTCAGGGCGTTATAATACAGCGCAAACCGAGAAACGATGTCGGTTCTGCTTCCAGCCTCAAGTTCCCTCGAGTCCCGCCGAATTCCTTTATATCACCCCAGACATCCCCTGTGTCCATGCGAAACTCGCAACAGTCCACCTTCACCACCGACACACTCGGTAGACCCAAAGCCCTGCCCTTGAGACTCACTCATCAGGGTGAGAATATATGGGAAGTGCCCAACGAGAAGGAGGACTCGCACTGGCCTCGCCTAGTTTCGCTAACCGATCCTCTACTCGACATGGGCTTGGTTGTCACGCATGCCGACAAACCTGCAAAGCTGAAGAACAGGCGAGTCTCTAGCAAGCAGCCGTGCTTTCTCGACCGAGCAGAGGAGATACTCCACATCGAGGAAATCATGGTGGCTGAACCTACTATGCAAGAGCGCTCCGAGCCTTTGGTTCTGGCGATAACCATCAACAGAGAAAGCAGTATGTACACTGTCTGGAGATTCACCTATCTCAAACGGGAAGATCCCTTCCGGGCCCCTAAATCCACCAAGAAGACGGGAGACCGTCGCAGGAGCTCAATGCAGCCCGGCCTCCCAAGTGGTGTCGCTTCCCCTACCCAGCCAAGTTTCCAGGAGAGCTTCGGAGCTACTCTTCCCGGCAAACGGACTCGCAAGAGTGAGAAACAGGAAAAGGTAGCCAAAGCTCTCGAGAATCTTGAGTCGTCTCTTGGCCTCGATAAAGATGCCGCGGCGGGTCGACGCACTTCGCGCCGTGTAAGTTCCATGCTTGCTAGAGCAGATCTCTCTGCATCGCAGGACAGGACAGCCTTCGGCGACCAACCTCAGGTCGCCAACCACACGAGCGGCCGTCGAGAGACATCATATGGAAGTAACCGCGCACGAACTAGCGGTGTCTTCGCAGGGGCTAGTTTTGGCGGAACAGTAATGCAGAGCGCAAACACTCTTGGTAGCTTCTTAGAAGCCCCGGTGGACAACCTGCTCGAAGAGTTGCGCGCTGGTGGAGATTTTGAGGGCTTTCATAACATGGGACTTGATGATCATGATTTTGACGGCATGGCGCGGGAAATCATGTTCACCAAAGTCCATAGCGTGCCGGTAGATAACAGCAACGTCAGGTACTCGCTCTCTAGAGTACCCGCAAAGGAGCACTGTAAGGTCTTTTGCCTCACAGGATCCCCTTCTTTGGAGGACGTGCAAAATCGACGCCAGGTTCTTGTTGGCTTTCAAGATTCCATGGAAAAGCGACTCCAGTTGTTGACGCTCTATCTTCAGACGCCGGCGAAAACCTCGACCGCCGGTCCCGAATCAGTAAGCATCACTTTCGGGCAACTCTGGAAAGTGCAGAACGTCATTGATTGCTGCAAGCTAGTCGACAAAACTGTATCAACAATCCTCGTGCTGTCCGAGGGGGCAAACGGCACACGCGAACTTAGTCTACAGGCACCTTGGAGTGAGCTGACATCAGTGTCTCTGCCTTCTAAACTTTCACTCTCCAATGTGCGGAGCCTGGATGAACGCGGTGGCCTTGTGGATAGGGAGGTCGGTCTCCGACGAGCCATCACGCCTTCAGTGGGCGAACTAGCGGGCATACGACACCCAAAACTCAATGGAGTAGTCGATATTCTCGATGGCGAAACGCATCAGCTGCACCAAATACGCATTCAATTGCAACCAACCCGACCTCAAGTTGTCAAGATTTTCAATGTGCTTAGAGCAGTTTTGCCATCATCGATAGGTGACAGGCTATTAGCTGGTTGGTGGCATATCATGGTTTGGCTAGGTACGCAAACCCTCGATGTCGCGGACCCCGAATGGTCCGCTTTTGTGATCCAGCTGCTTGGAATATTCATGGCCCTCGGGACGAATGAGCTGGTGACTGCTGTCAGTGGTCCCATCGGCCATCGAAGGAACAGAAGTCTACTCAGATCCAGCAGTGGAGCTCAGGTCGACCTCAGCGATTGGGACGCAATGAATATCTTTGAGAAGCCCAATTCCACCGCCCACCCATACTGGATAGACAACCGGAGCTGGCAGTGGGCCGTTGAGGAAGAGGATGCTGCATCAAACATGTTTCATCCAAGCCAGGGCAGGCAAGATGATATGTCGTTCATGGTAGCTCATCTAAAGTATGCTCGATCTTTCAGAGCGTCAAGCTCTGGTGAATCAGCTTATGGTCCTAGTGGCTTTGCTCCGACTACAGAAGTAAACTCCGAATCGAAGCGATTAAGCTGTGCACAAGATATACTTATGGCGCTGCACTGGTTACTCGAAGAACAGAAGCTGGATATAAGTGCCTATCATTTGACACCACCCGGCTCGGTTGACCTTCGAATTCTTGTTCTACAGATCGTCAAGTGGCTTCACTGGACCCATTGGTCGACGGTATATGAGCTAGAATTGCCTTTCGGTCCTTCTGACGTCCACGACAGTCTTGCGAACGTGGTCATCCCAAAATCGGTCCCCGAGCCGCGTTTATGGAGTGTTCTTGAATGGATACAGGACTCATTAACACAGGCAGAATCAACAGCAAACTCTCTGCCTTATCAGATATCTGCACTGACAGTCGATATTCTTCCACAAACTAAGCTGTTTGAACGCTTTTTCGAAGCGCTCAAAACGCGACGTCAAGGACCTATAGAATTCGTTGAGGCGATGCATGACAGCGGTGTGACTCCTCACGTTTTAGAGTCTTTACCGGACACAATTCTTGTGCCACTGCGAGATGCCATTTCCCGATGTCAGGCGCGTCCGCCGCCCACTTGGTCTCGTAGCTTGCTCGAACTTGTCGATCGTGCCGATGTTGGCTCTGTGTTATTGCCCCTCGATGGCAGCCAACAGCACTGCTCCAGTCTTGCGGTATGTTTTCTCCAGACCCAAAACCGTCTCATCACTGACATTACACAGGCCTCCTCGCATCTCTCGTCATGGGACTTTAGTTCTCTGTGCCAGAATGTGATGGATTTCAATGATGCCCCTGCCGATGATACAGCCGAAAGCGACAAACAATCAGTCATTCGCGCTATCTTCAAGGAAGACCGACGTTTAGAAGAAACTAAACTCATGCTAAATACCACCAGACCAAGAGGTTTCCGCCTCGATCCTCAACCTGAATGGTCTGAACCTTTCTACCTCGAACAGCAAAAGGAGCATGTGACACGACTTGCCACCAACACGTTGTCTATTCCGGCTGGCCGTGGACTAATGAATTATGGCCTACGGTTTCCACTTCTTACTCAAAAATACCACATCAACGGTTTCGTGCTCAATTGTGTCGTCAAGCCTACCAACGTAACCGTTGGTGTAGACAAAAACCTTTTCACTGAAGACAAAATTGCCTGGGCGTTTTTCCACTCAGGTGTTGCTGCTGGTTTATCGATATCACGACAGGCAAAAGGTGTAGACACTTCCTGGATCTTATACAACAAGCCAGGACACGACCTCAACAACCGACACGCTGGATTCCTGCTTGCACTCGGTCTCAATGGCCATTTGAAAGGTTTGGCCAAATGGGTGGCCTTCAAATACTTGACACCAAAGCACACAATGACCTCTATCGGTCTTCTTCTTGGACTCGCTGCTTCATATATCGGCACGATGGATTCCTTGATCACCCGGTTGTTGTCTGTGCATGTTACTCGCATGCTACCGCGCGGCGCTGCAGAACTTAACCTGTCGCCCCTCACGCAGACGACCGGTATCATGGGCATTGGACTTTTATATTGCAATAGCCAGCACCGGCGAATGAGCGAAATCATGATGTCCGAAATAAAACACGTGGAAACCGAAGACGATGAGGAGCCGCTGCGCAGTGAGTGCTACCGGCTAGCCGCTGGCTTTGCTCTCGGATATATCAATCTGGGGAAAGGCACCGACCTCAAAGGCCTTCATGACATGCGGATTACCGAGCAATTGCTGACGCTGGCTTCATCCACGAAGAACACGGAACTTGTGCATGTTCTTGACCGATCAAGCGCTGCTGCCGTCATGGCTATAGCGCTCATTTACATGAAATCGGAGGACCACATCGTCGCTCGTAAAATCGACGTGCCTGATGCTGTGCTCCAGTTTGATTATATACGTCCCGACATCCTGCTTCTTCGCACTGTCGCTAAACACTTGATCCTGTGGTCCGAAATCAAGCCGACACATAACTGGATTCGAAAGAACCTACCGGCTAGATACCATTCGAGAGTAAATCCTCCAACGCAAAGCTTTGACGATTCGCACCGGGGACCATTGAACACCACGCACCTCCCATTCTTGACTATCCTTGCGGGTCTTTGTTGGGCGGTTGCGCTGCGACACGCGGGTTCTGGTGACACACGCGCTCGGGATCTTCTCCTCGTGTACTTACAACGTTTTTACGGCTATTGTCGCTCGGCGCCGGTGAAGGCGAACTTCGATGATCGCACTGTACATGTCACTGCAAGGATGTGTCTAGATGTTGTTGCATTGTCAGCTGCGACGGTCATGGCCGGGACTTGTGATTTGAAGGTGCTTCGAATCCTGCGATCTCTCCACGGACGAAACGACACCGAGACAACCTACGGCTCGCATATGGCTACACATATGGCAATAGGTGTCTTAGCCCTCGGGTGTGGAACTCAGACATTTAGCACATCTAATATGGCCATTGCGTCATTACTGGTGGCTTTCTATCCAGATTTCCCAGACCAAGTACAGGACAACAAAAGCCATTTGCAAGCGTTCAGACACTTCTGGGTCCTCGCTACTGATTCCCGCTGCTTGGTTACAAAGGACGTCTCCACGAACACCCCCATTAGTGTTTCAATCATCATCAAGTTCAAAGGCGGCAGACCTGAGGAAGTGCGAAACACGCCTTGCCTCTTGCCGCCCCTCGCAGATATCGTCAATGTGCGCACCAACAGTCCAGAGTTCTGGAATCTTGAAATGGATTTCTCTGGCCCCGCAGGTTCTGAAACAAGGCAGAAGTTCGAGAAGAACCAGGCGCTCTATCTTCGCAGGCGGCCAGCAGGCGGCGACCCTTTCTCTGCGACTATGCTCGCTTTGGGTCGCCAAGCTGTCTCAACGGCTGAGGACCAGCTTCAACCGTTGGAGTGGCTTTTTGACGCTGCATCAACCCTGAGACGATTAACGCATGCAGAGCGCGATATTACGCTAGACAGCGCTGTAGGCGGACCCGATGTCAGTCTCAGCAGGGGTAGCGCGGTCGACGCCAGACTGGTTCTTGAAGAAAGCTTGACGACCGGTAGGAGGGACGATTTAATTGGCCTAAAGGGTCTTTTCGAGTGGCTGGAATGGAAGGCAAAGAAAGTCGAGAAAGACAAGCAAGAGAAGACGGAGGGGACGGCCTGGAATAACGAGGGTTGGCTGAGAGAAAGCATCATCGAAGGTCTCAAGGGCAAGGTCTGGCTTGCAGCACGTGAGGACAATTAGACTTGTATGCATACAAAGCATGAGGCGTATGCCTGCAATAACGAGCTTATGAAGAGATGATGGTGCTCTGCACTCACCTTAACACCAAAACCCGGAACTCCTCTACTCTGTTTGAATCGCCCAGAAGTGATATAAGTGCCATTGCGAGAACGCATCATTCAAAATGTCCTGGATAAACATGCTTTATGGATGGTTTGCCACCGCCACTGATCAGAGTGTACCCCTAGATATCTATGGACCAGGTGGCTACCAATCATGACTAACAGAGGCTAATGGAGATAGCTTAGAGAGAGCGGTATTGGATCAAGTGGGCTGCGTCAGTGCTGTCGAGGATACCATGAGAGCTGGGAAGGGGAACAGGCCGCTGCCAAAATGGAAGAATCATAAACGCCGAGTTGTTCCGATCTTTAACGAATAGTGTTGTTTTCAAGCATTTGATGTAAGCGAAACTATACTTTTGACCCATTCGTATCGGGAACGCAGACTTTCGGCAGGCGGCATCCGCCAACCTCTTCATCTTCGGACAAGAGGCGTGCTCAAACCGTGCCTTAGCTGCATTCGAGTTGGTTATTAAATTGCTGCAGTTCCCGGGGGTATAGTATGCCCACGGCAAGCAAGTTCGAGACGGTGTAGATCCTGGTGTAAGTGCGCGGTCCGCCCACCCACCCCCAGCTGCACTGATACGCTGCACCCCGAAAAATGCAAACTAAGCTACTGTTGGTATAGGAGTTGATAACGTTTGGAGATTGGGTAGATAAGGCCCCCCCCCCCGGCCAATGAGTATAGCTATACGCATACTATTAAGACAAGGCCCTCCCCCTCACTTCTGGGAAATTCAAGGAGGTTTGTACTGACGAGGCTGTATTCGAAGTCATACGATCAAGACACAAACTCTAGCAATGGCGTCCGAAAAGAAAACACCAGTCAGCGTCGGCGAAGATACCATACAGCCAAGTGGCGCGTGGTCTTCCAATGATATTCTCGAAGGCGAGCTCAAGAAAGGTGGCGAGGCGAATGAGGTCTTCAAGCAGACCGAGGATGGTGTGAATTTTCGTACCGTGAGCTGGCAGCGCGCAACGGTCATCTTCTTCAAGATCAACTTCGCCATGAGCATTCTCGCTGTTCCCGGCGCACTGGGGACTCTCGGAGCTGTGGGGGGCTCCTTGTCGATCGTCGGGTGGGAAGCTCTTAATACTTGTGAGGACTTCATTCATGTGCCTGTCACTGATTCTCGTTGACTGTCGTATACTGATCGTCATGAAAAGACACGGCACTGCTACTCGGGGATTTCCGCAACCGTCATCCCGAATGCCACAGTACGTCTCGACATCTGAATTTTGTGAACTTGCTCGAGCAGCGAGCTGACGAAGTGTTTAGCCCTCGCCGATGCATGCGCGATCCTCTGGGGGCCGGTCGGCCGAGAAGTATGCGGCATCGCCATTCTTCTCGCCCAGATCCTCGTGACGGCCGCTGGGATTGTCTCAACGGATACGGCCTTCAATGCACTTTCCAACCACGGGGCTTGCACAGTAGTCTTCGCGTTCGTCTCGGCGGCCTTGATCACCCTATTCTCATCCATCCGGACCTTCTCTAAGCTGGGTTGGCTTACATGGTGAGTGCCTTCTCTCGAAACTGCACCTTCATGCCGCAGAACACATTTCTAGAAGAAGAACAAACCCCGATCTGAACATCGAAACAGGGCCGGCTCTATTACATTCTTCATAGCCGTCTTCATCTTCGCCGTCGCCGTAACACAACAGGACCGGCCGGCAGCCGCCCCCCAGACCGGAGACTTTGACTTGGGCTACACAGCGCTTGCCTACCCGACCTTCGCAGCCGGCATGACGGCATCAGCCAATCTCTTCCTCTTCGGCTCGGGGGCCTCCATGTACCTGCCGGTGATGGCGGAGATGCGGCGGCCGCAGGACTACCGCAAGGCGTGCTACGTGAACGGGGCGCTCGTGGGCGCCTGCTACCTGACCTTCAGCCTGCTGATCTACGGGTACTGCGGGTCGTGGATCACGACGCCGGCGTTCGGGAGCGCGGGGCCCCTGTTCAAGAAGATCAGCTACGGCGTCGCCCTGCCGGGGCTCGTCGTCGGCAACGGCATCTACCAGCACGTCGCCGCCAAGTACCTCTTCGTGCGGGTGCTGCGCACCTCGCGCCACCTGCAGGCCGACACCCTCGTGCACTGGGCCGCGTGGCTGGGCATCAACCTCGTGCTCGGCGCGCTGGCGTTCGTCATCAGCCAGGCCGTGCCGATTCTGAACTATCTCCTCGGGCTCGCGGGGAGCCTGTTCTTTGCGCCGTTTGCGCTCATCCTGCCCGTCCTGTTCTGGATGCATGATTTCAGGTGGTCCGGGGCGCTGTCGGGGAGGGACAAGGCGCTCTGGGGGCTGCACTCGCTGATCGTGGCGATCGGCTCGTTCTTGGTCGTTGGCGGGACGTAAGTATTCAACCAGCGATTTCTTACCTTAGCGCATCAGTGGCTGACATGAGTTTATCAGATATGGCGTGGCTCTGTCCATCCAGCAGGCTTTCGCCAGTGATCTGATATCCAAGGTATTCGATTGTGCGGACAATTCAGGTACTGTCTCGTAGATGGAGAATATTGCATGGATTACTTTGTGACCGTTGTGTTGTCTTATTTCTGCATGACGAGCTACGATAGCGTATGAGATATCATTGCCTCAGCCAAAACGGCTTTAAGATAATAGTAATGGCATTTTCATCTATAACTCCTCCTGTTCCAAACGCCTCCCAATGCTACCATGAGCCCAATGACGATGTTGAAAAATGCAATGTTCTTACAGAAGCATATGAGTCTGCTCCAGGCTCTAATCTCCATCAAGGATGCGTCGGCCAGGCGTCGTCAATAAGCCGAGGAATATTCCGCCTAAGAACCTTAGGAAACAGCTCTACCAAGAGCTTCGCCAACTTCCTTCTCTCCAATGCTGCTAGGCTTGCGCCGCGTAATTTGTAACGGATAGCCTGCCTCTCTCAACTTGTCATCGTCTACTCCGCCGAACAGGCCGACCACGTTCATTCCGGGGCCGCTAAAGAGCATGTTGATCAATGTGGCCAGGTGGTAAGGTCGACAGATCGATGAGTCGAACCCGGTGTCCACGATGCGTTGTTGAAGACCTGAGACAGCATAGGAGGGCACCAACGCCACGATGACCGACCGCCGCACAGGCGCCGGGGCAGAGCGGGCCTGGCTCGGCGACGCTGACGCCTGCACGAAGGCGTCCCATGACTCTTCCTCAAAGTCACGGATCCGTCTTGTCGCCTCGAACCCATCCATGATGGGCATGACCAAGTCTGCGGTAGCATTAGCCAAGGCCCACCCAAGACGTGTGGCACAGCGAGTTCCGAGGCTTGTGTCTGCTCACCCATTAGAATGCAGCGGAACCTCTCTGGCTCTCGCTTGTAAATCTCCACAGCCTCCCGGCCGTTTTCGGCCAGTTCATATGGCTGTCCCCATCTTTCACAAATCTTACTGAATATCTGTAAACAGGGAGTAGTCGATCGGTCAGCGGTGTGTACCTTGTGCCCCGAAACAGAAACCATGTCAAGACACACACATACCTTGCGATCCACTGGGTTATCGTTCACGATGAGAAGTGTAAAAGCCCCGTTAAACCCCGCCCTCTTCAGACGAGATGGGAGTGTGCGCCCTGCGGTTTTCTGTGACGGCGATGGTGTACTAGAGATGGGCGCTGGTTCCGTGGTGATTACACGATCCAGGTAGAGTGACCCGCGTGGTACCGGAATTGCCACGGAGGAGAAGCCGGTGGGTGGTATGAGCCCTAGGGCGGCTAAGGCGCCGGAGCCGAGGGGTGCTAGAGGTGTGTGCCGCGTGCCAATGCCCGCCATTTCAGTGGCAGCATTGAAGGTTTTCTACTCTGCTACCGGTGAGAGCAGCGCGTTGAGAGCATGGTGATCTGAGCTAGGCTTAGGAAAGAAATCAGGCAGGTTGGGTGGTGGAAATGGGAATGAAAGTTTCGAAAAATGTGGATGGTGTTCTTGAAGTAACGAAGCAAATGCAGGGTCCATGATGGATCTTCATTAAGCCTCTCCTTCAACGGTTAGGCGGGGCGGCCGATCTGTACGTCATGTCACCACCAAAAACCCAGCAGGTTCGTAAATAATCCCGGACGAGTGTGCGGCGGCATGTTCTAGAGCGGAAATTTTGAGACACGAGAGAGGTACCAAACGCATCAGCTTGCGGGAGAACGGAAAAGAAAATCCCATCAGCCCAGGAAAATTCACTGTCATGTCATTAGTCTCGAAGCAAAATGCTACTTATCCATACAAGTCATGTAAGTCTCAAGTCTAACCGCCTATTGGTTTTAGCCGATTCCGGACACCTATAACGCCGCGCATGCACCGTTCTCACTTTGAGCGAACCGATCTATCAGAAGGTATACTGATTTCCGTGCCCCTTTGCCTGCCCATCCTATCGGGCCACAGCCGCGCTCAAAACCTGTGTTCTGAAGAAAGCACCCTTGGTTCTCTCAATCACCTGCTGGTAAACACTGCTGGGTGGATGGTTCATGACGACGGTGCCCTCCTTGTAGTCAATCTTGGCGTCCACTCTGGTGTCACGGATCAAGTTGACAATCCACTTCTCTCCCTCGTCCTGGCCAAGGCCCAAGCGTGCGCTCAAATCCTTGATGTCGATACGTGCGTGGATTTTGCAGTAGCTCTCGGAGATGAGGTGACGAGCGGCATCGACGAATTGCTCGGTTGTGGAGATGAGGAAGAAGTCTTCCTTGAGGATCTCCTCGGCAAGCGAGAGCTGACGCTGGGCCTCCTCGAAATCGAAGTCGATGTACAGGGCACGGACGAAGTCGGTGACAGGGTCCGTGTACTCGTAAGCCTCTTGCTTGACGATGCGCACAATGTCCTTGAGCTGCTTCTGGTACTGGCCCGAGTTCCTAGTGCGGCCACGGCCGGTGATGACGGTGGCGGTCAGGTATCTCAGAACCCAAGGGCAGCTGGTCTGAATGGTGTTGATGAAGGGAGGGCTGAAGAAGAGGTCCAGGAGGGTGTCGCGGCTGGCGTCGTCGTTGAAAAGGGGGAAGAGCGCCCAGTGAATGAGCCACGTCCTGTTGTTGAGCTGGGCGAGAGGGTTGTTGAAGAGCTTGCCATCGATGGACTCCTTGACCTTGTTGATCTCCTCGACGGCGTCCTTCCAGTTGGTGGTGAGGATTTCGGATGCAAGCTTTCCCCACGTGGCTGCGGCCACCTTGTCGTTGTCTGTGGAGAGAACACGGAACTGGTAGAGCAGCTCAGAGGCAGCGGCGTAGTTGCCACAGCTGTACTGGAAGTTGCCGAAATCGTAGAGAGCATTCACGCTGTCGACTGTGACCTATTGCGATGCGTGTGTTAGCATGTGGGGCGCTGTAAATGGACATGTTGTGAAATGACATACACCGTGATCCTTCTTCAAGAAGTCCAAGTTGGCAACCTTGTCGCTGCGCAGGTTGTTGACGACGTCCTCCTCGCCCAAGAGTTCGGTGATCTTGCTCGTCTCGTCCTCGAACTGCTCGAGGCGCGCGAGGACCTTCTGGCGCTTCTCCTCGAACTCGGCGGGGGGCTGTTCGGAACCATCAAGCTCCATCTTCAAGCTGCCGATGAAATCGATCATGTTGGTGGTCTTGAGCAGCTCATACTTGGCTCGGGTGAACTCGAGGGCCTTGGCATCATCGTCTTCGGGGACCTGGTTGTTGGCGAACTCGAGGAGAGGGAAGATGAGGTGTCGGTCGAGGTGAGCGACCAACTTGGGCATCAAATCGTATTCAGCCATGATGACGGTATTGCTGGGCGGGGTTGAGGTGATGCTGGACGTCGAGAAGGTTGGTGATACTTTTTGTCCAGTCGCAGGCAAACCCAAACCAAAATCAATTCGTTTCGATGGCGGGGCAGTCACCGAATTTGCACACAAATCCCACCAGAGTCAGTGAAGGGGGCGGGTTGTGGACTAGGCAAACGAAATGCCCGCGGTTTTGCCGTAGGCGTAGGGGATGGATAGAGCCAACTGCTGGCTGGCAGAGCTAACGTTAGACCAGCTAACCTTCAGACCTAGTTACAGTAGCTAGGTTAGGGACCATGTACAGTACGGATTCGTACACGCGCATGTAGCAGCCTACGGTTAGGCCACTAGTAGCAGCAAGGCCGCCAACCGCAGTCAGGCGAGGGATCGGGACCCGGAGAATTAGTGGCCCGGATCCCTTCAATTCCAGATGCAATCCGTGGTATCCAAAAGTCTCGAGCTTGCATCGCCAAACGGCAGCATCACAGCATCACAGCACTGCAGCACTGCAGCACTCCAGCATTTGTTCTTGATCTCCTGGGAACGAGCAGGCCATATTCACAATGTTTTCGAGGACTCTGAGGCCGCTGAGGACGGCCGCCGCGCCACGAACGCTATCTCCATTCCGCTCCAACGTCCCCATACTGGCCCGAAGCTTAGTCACAGAGTCTGCGCCGCCAGTCGCAACATCACAACCCATCGCACAAGCACAACCGACGAGTCCAGCCCAGAAACTGCCATACTATGTTGGGCGCAACCGCATGAACAATATTTCCGTGTACGAGAGGAGGGACCGCGGCGGTAGCTTGAAGAAGACATTGGTCAAGAAAGGAGAGGGAAACCTACAGGCTCTGAAGTTCGACATTGCAGAGGCTCTAGGGCTCACAGAGAAGGATGTCAAGGTGAACAACACAACGAACCACATTGAAATCAAGGTACGTTCATGCATAAGACTGCACAATGAAATCTCACCGTATATTCTGGCCAGTGCTGACAGCCTCGTAGGGTCATAGGCGAGAGGATGTTGTACAGTTCTTGAGGAACATGGGTTTCTGAGATGGCCCAGATGCCAGAGGAAACATTTCGAGATTCACCAACATGTAATTCGACAATTGTATACTATGTAACCTTGAACGGAGAGGTCACAGAGCGCCCAGACGGTGCCGATACCCTCAGATCAGTCGAGTCACTCGCGATCCAGAAAGTGCACCTTGATTCGAGGATGCGCCTTGTACCAAAAACCACAAAGAAAAAGAAAAACCACAAGAAACACAAGCTTCGAGAGCGCTTGGACATTCCATGACCCAATCTTGTCGCATGTGCAATCATCACCATCACCATGCATGCAACCCTGTGACATGGAGTCACATTGCAAAATCAGTTGCTCCTCCCCCTAGACCGGATGATTTCACCTGGGGGCTCTTCCGCTTACTCCCTAGCTTACCTGCACATAAAAGCGTTCCCAATTTTTTGGGAAAACAAATATGCAACCGTCATTATGGAAGCTAGACCACACTGCTTCGTCACTTGGCGTCCTGGAATCTGACCTCAGCACAGTCACCCATCCCTACTCTCATCGATGCCATCGCGCCATTATAGCTAGCAGGATGCGCTTAAATATGTTCCTTGGCCCCCGACTTAACTGGACTGTGCCATTGCGATTCGTTGTAGAACGGGGATGGGATATATGGATCTGCTATGGTAAGATGCCAATCCGCCGTGTCGGGAATGCTTTGGCGCCGGTACATTTGCCCTGGCCAGTTGTACTCTAGATCCAGTACGCATATTGAGCAGTGTGGTTGTAACAAACAGTCTCCATATCGATATTTCGTCAGCTCTAGCCCCCAGAATGACAGGAATGAGGCACACGGCGCAGCAGATAACGTGCAACAGCCCAAGATTTTGTTTGCACTTAATCACGGAAGGGGGCCGTTTTACCAGGACGGCCCGCTATTTTTGGACTTTCTAGACAACAAACCGGAATGTTGTGTTGGCACAACGTTCTTGTCAATGCAAGTTTCGCATGGGCTGATGCCACTCATATATTACATGCATTATTATGGCGCGACTGTAATTCGCCCGTTGCAATACCATGCGAAAATCCCTTGCTTCTTTGGAACACCACCCAACAACATTGGTGTTACCCGAGAACGATAAGGAAGGCACCGCTCACGGGTGCTTACGGCCACTGCTTGACTTTTTTTCTCATTTTTATTTATTTTTTCCATGGCATACACTCAAGAAACTCTCATTTATTCTTTGCTGGAAATCCTCTCCTTTCATTTTTCTTAAACTTATCTTCTACAAAAAGAATTCCAGCAGTTCCTTCGAAGATCATCCCCATTTAGCAACAGCACAGAACCCGTGACCCGTGACCCGTGACCTGTGACCTACAGCCTGGTAGTGACTCAGCCTTATACGAAATCCGGGCAATTATATGATAATCAAGGACCATGTCTTTCGAAAGCCCAAGATCAATTCCTGAGCGGCCAAATGCGTCAACGAAAAGCTCGAAAGCATCAACCATGCAGAATGGGAACAAGGTAGAGACCATTTCCAAAGGTTATGACGATGTTTCCGAGGCGGCTCCCAGTCATGCGCAGCATCCACGCGATGGTATATCCCCCCGAACATGGACCATAATGCTTTGCGGCAATCTTCTCATGTCCATGATTGGCGGTACGTATCCAAGCCAGCCTCTGGGATCACAAAATTTGACTGGTTTCATTGTTCAGGTTACGATACAAGCAACGTCGCAAATATACAGGTGCCTGTTTATCAAGCCTTTGGCCACATCGATCTCCTCCCGTGGGTCAGTTTGGCGTATTGCCTCAGCGCAGTTGCTATAGTACCATTTGTCCGCAAACTCACTTCGTTTTGTGATCTGAAGTGGATGGCTCTAGTTTCGTGTGTGTTAACATGCGCTGCATCAGCACTTGCTGGCGCTGCACCAAACATAGTATGTGTCATATTTGGGCGAGTCTTCATGGGCCTCGGTTCTGCGACGATATATCAAATGTGTGTAGAGATCAGTCCCGTTCCAAGTTATCTGCGGCTGATATTTATGGCAGAATCCTGTCATACAACGTTGTCTTCGCCCGGCCTCAAGAGCTTCCACTATTGCAAGCCCTAGTAGGCGCATCCTTTGCGGTTGGGCTTATATCAGGTCCTATTGTCGGGGGGGCTTTTGCAGAGAATGAACACACAACGTGGAGATGGGTAAGGCCAGCTGTCCATCCCACGTAACCATAGCCTGCTGACTAGACTAGGCCTTCTATATCGTCATCCCAGTCTTGGCGTTGACCTCGCTACTATTATTCTTTTACCCTTCTCATAAATTTCCAACAAAGAAAACCACGCTGCAGAATCTCAAAGAGATAGACTGGGTCGGGTGCGTCCTTTGGGCAGGAGTGTTCGTGCTCTTCGGTCTTGCGTCGATTTTTTCTGGCACAAAATGGGCGTGGGACTCTGGAGCTGTCATCGCAGTATGGACTGTGTTTGGCTTGGCCGTGTGGGCCTTCATCATCCAGCAGTATATGAGTTTCTTCACCACACCTGAACAGCGAGCATTTCCGGTCCATCTACTCACTGTCAGCGCTGTGGCTATACCCAGCCTGTGTGCATTGCTGTCGGCTGTCGCGTACGGCGCCACTCTGTATTACACTCCTATATACTTCGCCTTCACTCGAGGCCATGGAGCCTTGGGTGCCGCGGTGCGTCTTCTACCCTTTATAGGCGTGTTCATATTCATGATCTTCCTATCTGGAGGACTGCTCCCAGTGCTCAGATACTATAAGGCGTTCTTCCTGGTAGGAGCCGTCTTCGTGCTCATTGGAGGCGGCCTACAGCAGACCGTCACATCACAGACGTCGGAAAGCAGAGTCATGGGCTTTGAGGCCGTCATTGCTGCTGGGTTGGGGCTCATGTGGCAGATCTCCCTGCCCATTGCGTCCGCAGTCTTGCCACCGCAATATCGCATCGACGCAGCGGCTCTGGTCAACATGTGTCAGATGTGTGGAATATCGATCTCACTTGCGATTTCTGGTGCCATCTATGAGAACATCGGCTTTGGTAGGATCGAAGACATTGTGGCCGGCATGGGTTTCTCAGCTCATGATATTCGCGAGTTGTTGTCTGGGGCCGACTCTCCTATTCTATCGAGACTGGATCCGGAGGTTACACTACAAGTGATTGACGCAGCGACGAAGGCGATCGTCAGTTGTTTTAACTTGACCATAGGGGCCGGGGCTATTTGTTTCATCGCAGCTTGTTGCATGAAGTTCGAGGCTTTAGACTTCAAAAAGAGATCCGCCAGGAAGGTGGACACTGAAGAATATGACAAGGCATAGGGATGCAATGGTTATGGTTGTTATCACATGCAGGCGATGTCGTGGGTAGATTGGTATCGGTGTTGGGCAAGCGATTATCACGATGCTCTGACGTGTCGACTTTGCTAGTTGACATAATTCTGGCAACCGTAATCCGTACTCCCTAGTCGATGGAAAATATTAATCAAATATTCCTTCCCGCAGTTGCTTTATTTCACATCATGGGCCAATCATTGAGGCACTATTAGGCACTGAGCAATCACTGACGCGTCACCATACCAAGACCTACCCTGGCAAGCTCAAAAGTAACCAAGGCCTGGACTAGAGTCGAGGTTCCACAAAAGAAGCTTCGAAAGGTTAAAGTTTTCAGCGCTTTGGACAGCATGCGAATTTCATAATAAACGTGTTGCTCGAAATTTGAACAAAAGAATATACATATAAAAAATTACAGAATTAAGAAGTAAACTTTCCGAACTTTGATAAGTATATAAGTAATGTTTGCCCTACCCATATCTGTTCAAAACGTGGCCTTGATCGTGGCGAACGGGAAAGTCAGGACTGTTCAGCTTTACCCAACCAGACTTTTAGCTCGGAACTATATCAAGTACCGACACTTGTGCTTGTCAAAGTTGGCAATCATGCAGATCGCCCCTGGACCGTCCTCGACAGGGGCTTATTAGATCCATCCAATCCCAGGAAACATGTTTGAACGGTCACTACAGTATGATGGCGGAGCTGTAGGGTTGCATTACGCGGCTCCATGCCTTGTGCTCCCACCGCCCTGAGGAAATAGATTATAGCTAGACTAGACAAACCATGCAGCATATGATAGTTTGCCCCTCGGGAAATTCCGTGACAGCCAACCGTTATTGCCGTTTCCCCATTGCTTGCATATTGGCCAATATTGTCAACTGACAAAGTATCTGAGATCAAGTTAAAGTGCTGGCGCTCAGCAGTTTTTAAGCCAAAACAGACAAGCTCCACTGGAATATTTTGGCATGCAGACACTTCCAAGTTGTCCACCGGGTTTTGCGCGCGTAGCAGGCTCCGAACACCAGCCATGTTGTTTTTGCATGAGTTAAGGAGTCCACGTGGATCTGAATGTGGAAACTTATAGCCCGCCGCACTTGGCACAATATCAAGAGCCACTGGTTGCGAAGTGACTGAGCCACGCCGTCAAGATAGAAAGGCTGAACATGAGACGGAGGGAGCCGTTTTCGAGGCTAGGCTGTCTGCCGGGGGGTACGCAAGATGAAGACTCCTGTCTTCCCACAATGTCCTCTGCAATGTCGCTTGTGGGATAGTTGTTTAGACAGTCATGGTAAGCGCAAGTGAAGTATACGCGTCGCCTGAGACATCATCAAGGAAATTACACTGGCAACCGTTTAAGAAATCTAGTATAATAACACAGGTCGTTGCTCCATAGCTCATGTTGTATTTCAGCACATCGACATTCCCTTGTTGGATAGCCTGATTTCTTGCTTAAGCCTCAGCTCGTATTCGCTTCTTTTGTAAACCTCTATCCCATTACAAGTATGCAGCTGAACAAGCTAGCCTTTGCCCTCCTCGCCGGGGTGACTCTTGCTCACCCCGGTGAGGAGCACCACCATGATCGTGCGGTTGAGCTTAGCAAGCGCGAGTTCAAGCAAGCCGCCCGCCGCGGTCTCAGTGCCTGTTCTGAGAAGCTGAACAAGCGTGATGGAATGCTTGATCGGGCCGTCATGCGCCGCGCTGCCACTGTTGTCAAGTACCGCAAGCAGTTGGCCGCTCGGGACACTGACACTGTTCTCAAACACTACTCACCTTTCGTCATCGGGTTATACGACTGATACGCCTGACGCTACCATCTTCGCTACCAACAACACTTGTGTCTTGAACCCCGAGGGTGAGACTGGCCCATACTGGGTCAAGGGCGAATACATTCGCAACAACCTTCGTGAAGATCAACCTGGTGTTCCTATCGTCATTGAGGCCCAGTTCGTAGATGTTGAGACTTGCCAGCCCATTCAGGGCCTATACTGGTACGTCGTCCTTCTGCCCATCACATGCGGGGGATTTACTGATTTCTGTGAATCAGGGATGTCTGGAACTGCAACTCGACCGGTGTTTACTCCGGCCTCATCGCTACCGGCAATGGTAACACCGACGACCTGACCAACTATAACGCCACTTTCCTCCGAGGCGTCGCGAAGTCCAACTGCGACGGTGTTGTCCAATTCGAGAGTGTGTTCCCTGGTCACTACTCCGGTCGGACTACCCACCACCACATGGTCGCCCACCTCAACGCCACCGTCCTGCCCAACAACACTCTCACTGGCGGCACCGTCGCTCACGTTGGGCAGGTCTTCTGGGACCAAGATCTCATCTATGACGTCGAGGCTACTTACCCTTACAACACAAACGACATTGCCATTACTACCAATGCAGACGACCGCGTCTTTTCTACCGAGTCGTCGGACAACAGCGATCCCGTCTTTGAGTATGTGTATCTTGGCGACGATTTGAGCGACGGCCTGTTCGGTTGGGTCACCATTGCTGTCAACACGTCGGCTACCTACGACCCCAACTACTCGTTTGTCTGGACCGAGAGTGGCGGCATCGCCCAAAGCGGCGGCACCGTGTCTGTCGATGGTGGCTCGGGCGATGGGGGAGCACCCAGCGGAGGAAATGGAACATCGCCCTCGGGATCACTCTCGGGTGCCGTACCTAGCGGTACAGCTGCCCCTTCTGCATAGGGAAACCCCGTTCGGTCAATTTCTACGACTGCTGGCTAGAGGTCTCGGCTTTGTGCGGTTGACTTGTGTCGCACAGCTCTGTTTACAAACATACGAAACACGTAAATCATTTTGCCTTAGATCGATGTGAGTTGGTAACAAAGGTATCTACTCTGTTGAAGTTCAGATACCAGCTCTGATGCGCTGCACGAACAATGTTCACTTAAGTTTACAATACCGAGATCTTGGGAACGGCATTTGTAGAAACAAAATAGCCATCGATGAGGCTATGACGAAAGTGCGGGACTATGTGGTTGGTTATAAGATACGGGGCAGAATATTCGTCCCACCCAATTCAGAAGATGAAACTGTAGGAAGTTGTAGACCATCAGAGCCACGGAAAAGACCACAGGTTTTTTTTTCTTCGTACATCCGATAGATATTTGTAAGGATGGGAATAGGGTCGTGTGAATGAACAGTTTCTATTGAATCTAATTTCCATTCTATATTAACTCGCATCGAAATCACACAGCTTTGTGTTTCGTCACAAACCCGCTAAATAAGTCGTACAGGCGAGTCGCCTCATCATCGGCGACCTCCCCATGCGTCTTCTTGGAGTTGATCGGATGATATGGGAATGGTCTATACTGCGTCAGATTAGGGGGTTTAAGGTCTAAAATTTGCGAGTATGAAAATCGATATCCGTCCAATGGAAGAAACTTACCCATATTCAGGGACGAACGTGATGGGCCGCAGGTCTTCGTTCATCAAGCGCCATTCGAGTATCCGTAACCACCATCCTTCGAAGAATTTCCTCTCATCCTTGAAAACAGGATTCGTGGGTTCGGGGCATTGGGAAGCCTGGGTAGTGCCCATCCGGGCATGGATATGTTCGACCTGTAGAAAGTCAGCATAATCCACAAAGGGGCATGACGAAAGCCTTACATGAGGAAGGACCCTCTCGAGAATTTCGTTGTCTTCTGGGCCATCGAGGAGTCGTTCTGAGACAACCACCCAATGCGATATATCGGTGGTGATGCGTAAGCTGTGGTAAGTTGCGTCGTCAGCACACCCAACCAAGACGGCATGGTTATGATTCGATCAGAAAGGCGTACTTTGGTACACGTTGCAGAATATAGTCTGCTACCTGGGGGTTGAACATCGATCTGTTCCTGTGCGTCTCGTGGCATACCCGGCCAGAGAATCCCAGCTCTTCGTCTACGGCGAAAGTCTTCTGGTAAAACTCCACAGACTGGTCTGGAGTAAGGATGTCCCTACGTTTCTCAGTCAATTCATTCATCCCTCGAACTTTCACCTCTCATAGTATTCATTTCCGAACTTACGAACCGGACTGTGCATTAACCTTAATAGGTCTCAGGATCTTTGCTAGCTGGAGGTATTTGCGGTAGTACTGCAAATGATCGTCTGGTGTAAGGCCACTAGGCCGTGGTCCAACATAACTCGGCCATGCAGTATGGATTCTTGATCAAAATTCAGTGAGCCAACATCCGTTTGCAATATTGGTTGAATGGAGGTCCTGGTTTGTTTCAAGCCAGTCCAGAGAGCTTACAAAACTGTAATAACGAAATCGTGCTCATCCGCAAGAGCCCGGAGGGCGGGAAGTATCATATGATCCACACCTGTAACGTCAACCTCAATACCATCTGTTTGCTGTCAGCTGACTCATCCTCCGAGCATCCATTCTGCATTGAGTCATCTCAGTCGCTATTGAGGTTCACACATACCGTAGCCAACTTGCTTCAACACAGGAAACAGCTTCTTCCACTCCTTGAGGTCTTCTCCCGGTGCAACACCCCAGAGTGTACGTATACGCTGGATTTCCATGTTTTCCCAAAGAGCCTTCACAGTGCTCGTATAGAATTGGTTTCAGTTGGGATGTAAGACACTAGTCTAACATGAAATTCTATCACAACAGGTAGCCAAAGTTTCCAAAGCAAGAGTCGCAGCTTTATGTCAACATTGATTGAGAAAACCAAATCCTTTTTCAGAAGCTAATCAAGAGTTTCAATCGACTACAACATGTTATGCATGGATTGAAGCATTTCGTTGAAGCGCATAGTCTATCACGCCAGCAAGTCCGCTTCGCGGAATACTTTCTCAAACTGACCAGAGAGGAAAGCGCCTCCACCAGCTGCTTAGCTGCCGATCCTGAAAGCCGTCTATCCACTATACTGAGCCCGCCGGATAGTTACTCGATTCGTCATAGCCTTCGATGCACTTGCCGGACTTTGTCGTAAGTGCAGCATGTCCACAGGACAAGTAGTTTTGGATAAGTCTAAGCCAGAGGGTACGTCTATTTTCAACTAGACGACGTATGTTCTTTGTGTATGTTCATATCCTTGCTGTGATTTGTCGGTTACCTATGCTGGCAAACCACGATTTGGAGTAATATTCACGAATATAATAATGAGACGTTATTGATTAGAGAGCATTATATGAGCTATTCCAGAGAAAGGAACCGATGACTAAATTTGTAGTATTGTGAATACTAGTTCATAAAGTCCCCTCTTGAACACCTTGATGTACACTTTTACTTCGACTATAGCAACGACAACGCCATATTTCGTGCTCCACCCAAGCTCATAACTTTCTTCATAGCTGCACCCAAACGGTCAAACTCCCGTTCCTCAGAAACCACCATTCGGGTGAATGAGCACCTTGGTGTAACCATCAATCCTCTTCGCGAACTTCTCGTATGCCACCTCGGCGTCTTCGATGTTAATCTCATGCGAAACAACAAAGCTGGGTTTCGCCTTTCCAGCGATGATCAAGTCTCGCAGATACCTGTTGTAGGCCTTGACATTGCATTGGCCTGTACCGATAGTGAGGCCCTGCGGGATGATTAGCATAAGACATCCCGGCAGTATCAACATGTAGTTACCTTTTCAAACAGCTTTCCAAAGCTCAGGCTAATCATACCGTTCTTTGAGGCCGCATCAGGGGCGCCGGGGTCGCTAGGGAAATAGTCAGCTAACTTGGATTGCTGATGTAGACTTGAAGCAGGATGCTTACCTAGGGACGTAAAGGCCGGGTATGCCGATGCCGCCACACGCGCGGGTGACCCGTATCATATTCTCGAGGACGACGTTTGGTTGCTCAGTGTTACCTCCAGCACTAACGGCTTGGTAGCCGACAGCGTCAATTGATCGGTCGACCATTTCTCCGTCGTTAAGCTTGATGATCTGGTCGACAGCATCGCCTTTGGTGAAGTCGACGGGTATACAGTCGATCTTCTTGGCTGCCTCCAACCTCTCAGGCACCCGATCAACCACGTACACACGGCTGGCACCTCGGAGCACTGCAGAATAAGCGGCCATAATGCCTACCGGGCCAGCGCCAAACACGGCGACAGTCTCTCCTGATCTGAAGCCAGAAATTTCAATTCCATGCCAGCCTGTGGGGAAGATATCTGAGCATGGGTGTTAATATTGGGTTTGCCTCGAGCTCTTTGAAAGCTAACCCACCTGCAAGAAGAATGAAATCGGCCTCGTGTTCCTTTCCCGCCGGTAGCTTCAAAGCATTGAAATCTGCGTAAGGAACTCTGAGATATTGTGCTTGGCCTATCAAAGATAATGAGTGAGGTGAGCATTGAAAAACTAACTACGGCGCCACTTACCACCGCGGAATGGGCCCATAGCAACGTAGCCTAATGTTGACCAGTACTCAGTATATCCACTTTTCTCTCGCTGAAGGGTTCAATATACTTACCATATGCGCCTCCGGCGAAACCGGGGTTCACACCAGTACAGAAAGCCGTTTTGCCTTCTTCACAATTCCGGCATCGTCCGTCAGCGACGTTGAAAGGCATAACAACGCGATCGCCCTTCTTCAATAAAGTAACCCCCTCGCCTAATTCTTCGATAATGCCCATATTCTCATGGCCTGTACGGATTAGCGCCGTTCCAGAAGATGGTGTCTAAACAATGCAGGGGCAGGTCCATACCGAATGTTATGCCGGGCTCTGCAGCAGTTCTGCCTTCGTACATGCTTGTGGCGTGGTCAGTAATCGTGATTTTCCCCCAGCGTCTTCCATGGGAACTTACTGTAAATCGGAGCCACAAATGGCTGCCTTTGGGAACAATGTTATTGAGAAACACCGTGCGGCCCAAAAGATTGCGGAGAATAGACTTACGGTGGTAACTTTTACGATGATATCATCTGGATGTTCGAGTTTTGGCTTCTCAACTTCGGATACTTTTACCTTGCTCGGGCCGGCATAGTTGACTGCTTTCATTGTCGAAGTCATCGTGGTATAATATTGGCAGCGCTGAAGTCAAGTAAGTTGGTTGGCGTGGAGAAATTGGCGAACGTGATCATGCAATGATATTATAAATTGATCCAAAAGGCCTTTATAAGGTTCGGGATTCCAAATGACCCGCGGGCCAGGTAGATCTGGGATGCCAGAGAATGCTCGTAGGTACTTCGGCATCCTCAATTTGCGGGTATATGGAATACTTGCGTTGCATAACGTAGCCTACAGTACAGTATATGATGCGGGGAGTCCCGCAATGATCATAGCACGCGAAAGTGGGGGACCCGGTGAAGACAGACGTCTTATTGATTATTTACACAGACTTCCCCATGAGGATTCATTCGTCCCTGTCGCTGTCCGACTTCCTAATCTGCGAATTTCTGAAGTCATGTCGACTGGCTCCTTACCGGTGCATGTTTCGAAGACGCTTGACTTGTGATCACCAGCTCATGCTTCGGGCTTGGTTCGTCATCGTACAGCGCGGGGTGAGGGGAAACCAGTTCAAGATTCTCCAAGATGGGGGAAGTGGCTGGAGCCAAGCGAAAGTGGTGCAAAAGCTAATCGGTAGATAGGAAGCGGCAAGAAAATGACGAGAATAATCCGATCGAACCTCTCTGCGCAAAACGGCACTGTTGCCGGAGGAGTGCATAAGCCAAGATGCGCAAGCGCTTCAGTGTATCAGCACCGCCCACTAAGCTTAGGGGCAGTTTCCCAGGCCCTGAATACTTGCTGCATTGGATGCGGGGACTGTCAATGGGGTAACACTCGGCGAGTCTTTCCACCATCAGCAATGTCCAACAACAACTAGACACGATGCTCAAAGCATTTTGGGATGTCGGGGGAGTTCAAAAATTCTGTCAGGTGGACATTAGATATGCATTTTTACAGAATTCACTATCGCGAGCTGCAACTGTCTGATGTCCGTGTTTCAATGAAATTCGAATTTAGAAGACTGAAGGCTGGGTTGGTACTAAGCACTGACATACAAAATTAATCGCTATTTTGCAAGAACTGTCAAATCAACAATGAAATTTAATATATGGAAGTTTTACATTCTCGGTCAGTTGGTGACCTCGAATGATTCGGAATACTCTGCACCATCATAAAAAGAGGCACTTACGTGGCTCGAATGGCCATTGTGTTAAGAAAAATTTACAATTCTATGTTTATCCGCAACGAAGCAAAACGTTGGATTATCCCCATACGTCTTCTTGCCACTTGTTTCCTCTCTTCATTGACTCACTCCAATCAGAAGTCTTGGACTCTTCCCAGCCATTCTCCTTTGCTATCGAGCTCTGAATAACACGACCTACTTCTCTAGCCATTGACGCACGACCACAGATGTAAAGGCTTGCATCATTGTCCAACAAATCACAAACAACTGCGGCCTTTTTGTTGACCTGATCCTGGACATAGGTCTTTGGCTGACCATCCATCCTTGAGAAAGCCGTGATGATCTCTAACGCCCCTTCAAGTGCTACGACAGACTCTTCAAACTCTTGTTTGTACACAAAATCTTCATCAGGACGACGACAGCCAAAGAACAGAATCATACGCCCGACCTCTTTGCCCACGGCTTTTAGGCGCTTGCGCTCTTGAATGAAAGCGCGGAACGGCGCGATACCAGTACCAGCTGCAATCATAATTAATGGAGTCGAGGCCAGGGCAGGTAGCTTGAACTTTGATCTACGCACTGAGGCAAAGATTTTGTGGCCAGAAAGAGCCCCTGCAGGCCCAGAAAGTGCGTAGGTCGGCCCTTGTGTCACATGAGGCGGCGTTCCGTTAACGGAATTTGCCAACGCGAGGAGATAGTTTGTAGTGAGACCCCGGATCTGAGTCACTGAGGCTTGAGGAAGGGGTGTGTTCTCAACCCCGACGGTGATGGCCAAGCGACGTGCAGAAACGATGGATGAAGAAGATATGGAGTAGTATCTGGGTCTCAAGAGGGCAACGGTCTCTACTATATATGAAAGAGGCAGGTCTTTCCATACTTGATCAGGCGCAGCGTGCGCTAAGAGACGGCCAATTGTGACATGGTTCTTGCCTAAATGCCGCGAGTATGACTCCTTGTCTCGAGCTAGGGACAAGAGCAGCTCTTTGGACCCTGAAGATGGTGCGAATCTGGCCAAGTCTCTAATCACATCTCGAGATACAGGCGCACAGATCTCCAGAAATTGTCGGAAGAGAGCCTCCACAGTTGTGGGACTGGGTAACTTCGGTGTCGAGCCCTCCTCGGTTGTCGATATCCGAATAGGAATCAGCCGGCGCTCTTGCAAGCCCAATGCTCGTAAGAGAATATCTACTTCCTCATCTGGTGTCGTTGGGTACACAAGTAGGTGATCACCTGTCTTGTATCTGATTTCGGCAGCATCATTGAGGTCAAGTTCCATATGAAGGCAGTTTCGGCTTGTGGATGTGTATAGCTCATGCGCACTGATGATCGGTACTGCTCTGATGAGTGAAGTTTTGGACGCAGCCCTCCGGTTTCCAGTGTGGTGCTCCTGAGGTACACCGTGGCTCAGTTCGCTCGAATGAATTGATGTGTCCTCAGAAATGACCATTGTAGGTTCATAAGGAGAATCACGTTCCTCATAGTGAAGCTGCTCTCTGAATGTAGTGAATAGCTCATCTTTCCATGAAAGGAAATCTTCTTCTGTACCGCCAGTTGAATCGTCGGCTCTGCCAATTGGCAAAATTCTTTGAGCGTCCGCCTCGTCCAAAGATTCTACTATCACATCAAGGACACGGTTATAATATTTGTAATTGCTGTTTCCGAGTCCAAAGGCGCCATATCGAAGGTTCGGTAACTTCACTTTTGCCATGTCTCTGTGGATCCACTCCCATAGCCCAGCTGTATTGTCACTGGGATCACCCTCTCCAAATGTTGATACAACAAACAGGGCCAATTTGGAGTCCGGTATCTGACTGATAGTTTCCGGGTCGAAGTCTGACAGGTCTGCCACCAAGGCTTCGGTACCAAATCGGAGGTGACATTCTCGACCCAATCTGTGTGCAAATGTCTCAGCAGTACCAGACTGAGAACCCCAAAATATGACCAAACTTTTATTCTACAGGCAGCGTTAACGACATGCTGCAAGTGCCAAATTGTAGTGACTCACCAGTTCCTCCAACTTTTCTGCGATGTTCCTTGTTTCGCGAGCTCTGATATTTCGGAACCCATCTTTAAATTGCGGCCGCTCATACCAAATATGTGCGTAAGGATCGGGCTTGTCCCATGCGATGCCCCTGAGAAGGTATGCGGCAGAGCCAATTCCTACTGCTGCAAGAGCTGCCACATCAAATGCTGAATTAGGCGTTGCCAACTCTGCAAGTTGGAGTAGGGTCTGAGCATCAAGGTTGGCAGTCATCGTCGCTATGCTATATATATATATTTTTTATAACAATGACCAAAATATTTCTACGCCGAGGCGAGTCCATTTACGGTGGCTGAGAATGCATCTTTATCAAAAATCTACCAAGTCACACTGTTGACTTTGTTATGTGGGCTGGAACTACTCTTTTCGGGCTTTCCTTTCCTAATTCCCCAGAAATGCTAATTACAATCATTGCCACCGGGAAAATCTGGGGGAAGTGGGGCTGAGATAGGCTCAATTATTTCCACAATTAGTAGTTGCCCTTCCTGCCCACTTGGGAAGCTTTTTACAATAGTTGCATCCGGCCAATCGTTAGCGGCCAACAGGACTTAATAAACCTTAGCTTGTATTTGAGTATAGGCCGCCTCAGGCCGCCTAACCGGCTACCCCGGCTTCCCCGCATCCTCTCCCATGATCACTTCTCTACACCGATCTCATACGGTGTTTCATGTATTTGTGCCTTGAGGGATTGGCCCACTGGAGAGTATACACAGAAAAACTTTCCGTTCCTGGAAGTCGATATTCATGCCCAAACGCAGAGCGGCTGCATGCTAGACGCGGGGCGGCGATCCTGAGATAGCAAGTGAATGAACAACATGATTTGCTAATATTGTTGCATGGCTATGTCTATAACTTATCGTTTCTGTCTTCCCGAGTTTCAGTGATACATCCATTGACGAACACTCACAACTTCTTGCCCCTCAGACCAGTTGGATATCAAGGGCATACACATTCTTCAAGATGTATTCCATAGTGGTTGCTTCAGCGACCACGCTGTTTCTTATAACTTACTTCATTATTTTCCCATTGGTCAGTTTTATCCGCGACCCCAAACAACTACGAAGGTTTCCTTCTTTTCACCCACTCGCTGGCTTCACAAACCTGATCTTCATGCGAGAGGCCGAGCGCGGATTCCGGTCCAAAACGCTCTACAACCGGCACAAGGATAACCCTGTCCTACGTATTGGTCCGAACGCTCTATCGTGTACGTGATTAAACAACCTGGATCATCTTCATCAAGCCAGAGCCTCCATAAGTCTTCCTTATCGTGATAGAGAAATAACTAACTGTGATGTTTTTGTGACGCAGATGGAAATCTCCGCGCCATCAAGGACATTTACGGACATGGTACAAAGTGCATCAAGGGAGAATTCTATGAGACATTGGCAGGAACACACTACCATCTAGCCGACGTCGTCGACAAAGCAGAACACGCTCGCAAGCGAAAGGTGCTATCCGCCGCATACGCTCTCCAGAATCTCGAGAACTGGGAATACAAGGTCGCAGACAAGGCCGAGAGATTCGTCCGCGGAGCTGATCGGGCGTGTACCTTGCCACTAAAGAAAGGTCTTCTCCGACCCGACAGAGCAGACCTCACCTTTGATTATCGAGCATGGACAAATTACTTTTCTCTCGACGCCATTGCAGACATCGGACTGAGCGAGCGCCTTGGCTTTCTTGACCAGGGCAGCGACCTCTGTAAGGCCGAGAACATGGACGGCTCTCTCTTCAACGTCAACTACCGGGCGTGCCTTCACGCTACTGCTCGTAACCAGTCTGTTATTGCCTGGTCCCACAACTGGTATGGCTTCAATCAGTGGCTCACATCTCTCCTATCGCCTGATTTCCGTAACCGGTGGAACCTGAACAAAGGCTGGGACGGTATCGTGTTGCACCGCGCCACACAACGGCTCAAGCGATATGAAAACGGTGAGAAGCTGCAAGACTTCTTCCAGTGTCTAATGGAAGATAAGCAAGGAAACCCGCACGGTCTCGAGTGGGGAGAGATTGTCGCCGAAGTCTCTATTATGATGAACGCCGGGAGCGACACCACAGCAATCGCCATGAACAATGTCATGTATTGGTTGTTGAAGAACCCCGAATGCATGAGGAAGCTGCGTGACGAGGTCGACTATGTCCTCGATGGTGACGAGGTCGTGGCGCCTTACGATAAAGTCAAGCATCTTCCTTATTTGCGAGCTTGTCTTGACGAATCACTCCGTATCACCCCATCGACAACGTTCGGTCTACCCCGAAGAACTCCGCCCGAGGGTGCTATGATCCTTGATGAGTTTATCCCTGGCGGCACGAACGTGTCGATCTCGGCGTACGTCGCGCACAGAGATCCGGAGGTATTTCCCAATCCCGAGCGTTTCGAGCCAGAAAGGTGGCTGGGAGAGAAAGGAAAAGACCTACAACCCTACTTCATTAGTTTCAGCGCTGGTGCGCGGGGCTGCATTGGAAGAAATATCAGCTACCTCGAGCAGACAGTATTATTGGCTACTGTAGTACATCGATACGAGTTGGCGCTGCCGTACCCTGGTTGGGAACCCGAAAGACGGGAAGCCTTAAATCTTATGCCCGGGCCGATGCCACTGAAGATGTGGCGGCGGAATTCTTGATTAAATCTCGCAGTAGGACATGTTCATTTTATGTCATTTCTTTTAGCGTTGGTAGGTTAGTTGCATGGCACATTTCAATCAGAACTTTCTCAGTGAGCATTTATCTAGTTTGCGTTTATGTAACCGATTTGCACCTTTTCGTGAGAACAAGTCTATTCATCAGTGTTCATGATGGTGTTCCTATGGGGATCTCAATATAAACAAAGGATCTACTAATGATTTGAGTATTTCTAGTATTCTGACCCTTGGAAAAAATTGTACCACATTTGAGAGTAGACTCGCGTAACATATTTAAAATCTATCTAGTTACATTGATCCTGTATTCAGCATGCCTGCTATCGACATATCAGGAGATTTCGACCACCCCCAGGCATTTTTCAGATCAGTCTGACTTTCATATGGTTAGCTACATCTTCCCCAGATCGTATTTCTAAGAGCGAGACTTACGCGGCGCCGGTTGGCCAGGCCGCCTGTGTTTCGATTTTGACCAGCAAGTTGTATAATACTTCCTGTTCAAGACGATCGGTAAATCGATCACCTGCCATGACGATGGAGATTGCGGCATTACTATAGGTGGAGTCAGCCACACATAATGATACATGGTTTATAGATAGAACTCACACGTATCCTGGGGTAGTTTGTGGGTTCGACTAGGTCGTTTCGTCAGCATTTTCTTCTTGTTGAAACTCCCGCACAAGTACTTGCCTCGGCACTACCACAGATAATACGGACAAGCTTCTTGATTCTTTGGTTCACGGCTTCAAGGGCTTCCCTTCGAGCAGGACCTAACCTAGGAGTTTCCGGATTGTGCGCTTCTAAGACCAGCCGTGCAAGATAGTAATGTTGCATCCCAGTCAGCACTTCATCAGAGATGTATGTGATATCTGGAAAAAACTTAGAACCATCCGCTTCTTCAGGTACCATTGATTGAAAGCACCACGGCTTGTTTTCGTTCCATTGCTCGAGATAGCTGTTAAGCTCAGTCCATAGCGAAGGGCGCTGTTCTTGTACGCCAAAGCAGTATTGGATACAATATGCACAATGAAGAATGACCTTGTTAGCATAACTGCAATCATCCGCAACAGCCTCCAGGACTGGCGCAATATTTTTGTTGAGCAGACTTGGGTGTACTGGTCGTGAATGTATGAAAGCCATGAAGATGTCTTGACGTAGAGCCACCCAAAACAAAGCTAGTCTCAAACCACTAAATCCACCACTATCTTCCTGTGCTGCGAGAAAGACTCTTGTCCCAATCAGATGGGACTGCGAGCTCGCTGTGGAGAATGGGATATCGGTCTCCTCCAACCACCGAAGAATTACAGTTGCTGCTAGTAGCCCCTCGTCTTTTACAGCTGTGGCCCGTGATAACGAAGGGATCAGTGCCCTTAGACATTCATGGTAATACCTATCAACAGTGAACCCATCGACGTCTCCGATCCTGCTTAGTCGCTTGGCAGCGGCGGCGAGGATGGCATTTAGAAGAGGCGGACATGATGCTGCGCGTTTAGGGACAACGCGAGCGAAGTGACGCAAGCTATCACATAAATCGAACAGAGGCGCAACTTCTCTCACAAAGTACCGAAACAGATAGGCTTCGTGACTATCCTTTAATGGCCATCTAGACTGTTGGCCATGAGGCGCTGATGACGACTGATGTTCCTCGTTGGTCCAGAAGGGAAGATATCCAATCTGGGCAATGGGGGATTCCACAAAAGCCGGATCATAGGAAGGTGAGTCTAGCAGTTTACTTGCGTCAAGCAATTGCTCTAGGCCAAGGCTATCGAAGGCGCCCATCGATGGATCAGTAGCTGCATTCAGAGGTTGGAGCACCTGCTCATTCACTGATGCCTGCGCAAGTAGCTTTGTTACGTCACCGGTATTGGATAATGCTGTTGTCCCAGTTGATGATACCGAGCATGTGGTCCGCTTTCTTCTAGGTAGTTCGAAGTTCGAAGGCCGTTTTGAACGACCCGATGTAGCGTCTTCCACGGTGTATGAATACCTTGAAGCTGTATGACTCAGATCATTTGGCGCATTGACTGAAAGAGCATCTTCGTCGGTTTCTTCAAGAGATTGATTCGAAGCATACCGATCCTCAGCAAAAGCCGAGTTGGTGTTAGCGTCATTGTCAAATTCCGGATCCGATTTCTCAGCTTCGTGGATACCGATAATCTCGCGGGTCTCGTCCACAAAGCTATATGACCCAGGAACTGGCGCCCATCGCTGATTCGTCGCAAAAGTAAACTCTCTCTTGTCCTCAGAAGCACGCTGTGGGGTGACACTAATAGTAATTGGCACCAAAGCTCAAAGGATGGTTAATCAGCAGAGCACAATACACACCTGGGATTTAGTGTATGTCTCCATCGAACACGGTAACTGTGCTGGCTGCCCTTCTTAGATTTCTTTACACTTGATTTTCCTTTGCGAGCTGTCGAATATCTGTTTCCAATAGAATGATCAGCGGAGACACTCGACGTCGGCCCAGGCTTGGCGCATGCCACTGAGTTACCCAATCATACCTTGGTTGTTGAGACTATCAAATAAAGTCAGTGCTCACGTAATCGTTAGAAAACTAATAGCCACTCACGCAGGACTGAGTCCTGGTGTCTTTTGGTGCCTGAGTATCCCCACTGTCTTCCGGGGAAGGCATCACTCTGTGGATACCAGAATATGGTCTCCTTCATCCGAATAGGGGAACTTCTGCTTGGAGCGGCGTGTTGTGACCAGCTGGACATTCGCAAAGTCTATCTTAAGACCTCTGGTGAAACGACTCGCAAGGGTTAAAGTGGGGTTTCTGAAATAAAGATTCTGCACTTCGCCGGATGCAGAGGCAGAGTTCGTCAATAACACAAGGACGAGGATGATACTGGGACAGCAAAGTACAACACTTGCCTTTTGAACTCCAGAACAGCAAGTAATTTCCCCACACTGTGCCAAGGCCACTGCCATTCCCCCGCATGGATTTTGGGTTGGATAGTGCGCCGCAGACAAGATTTAGTGGCTTTAGCAGGGGGACATGCTCGCTAAACTGCCTAGGCGAGTCATGGTTCGCAGGCAAAGGCAGGTGATGATTATAGTTACAAGTACCTGGCTTTCTACTCGAGGACAATCCAGGTCACGCACTAGGTTAATACTTTCCATGATTGAAAACTTACTCTTTTCGGATTCTGGCGACGCCGGTAGTTTTCCCACAATGGGTCTATCTGAAATCCTTGCCAACAGCCATTCCTCCACCCCCGCCGAGCCCACACCCATCCCCGTGGGGAAGTGATGCGCCAAGCCTAGCCTTCACGCATGTGCAAAGTCGTTGAGGGAATTGGCCCTGACCCGGCCGAACCCATAGACCCAAGAATTAGCTGCAGGAGCGTCATTCTTGACTCGATACTGATACCAAGGGAATGGATTTGTCTTGCAACGAAAAGTATAGATAGTCTCAAGCTTCCACAACTTTTGGTTGATCTTGCTCCATCGGCCAGAGACACAGACGTCTTCCAGGAAGTTGCCCCATCTCGAGTCCTTTCCCATCAAACTCCCTTTCTGATTGAACTTTCGAGTCTTGCAATTGTTCAAGATGTCGAACGACTCAAGTTTTGAGAAACGTGGCGAGGACACTAAAGATAGTGTTGAGCACCACGAGATCGCTGAGAAGCTTGACCAGTCAAGTCACGATCCTATCGATGGCCTCGATACAATTGAACTTACGAAGACTGGATACTACTCGTGGCTTGTGTCTATCACAGCCGGCCTCGGTGGTGTCCTTTTCGGTTACGACACTGGCATCATCGCTGCCGTGCTGATTTATATCGGAGGCGACTTGAACACAAATTTGACCGCACAGGACAAAGAGCTTATTACATCTATCACTTCTGGTGGCGCATTTATAGGTGCCATCTTCGCTGGTTTCACTGCAGACAGATATGGACGCAAGATCGCAATTTACGTAGGATGTGCTCTTTTCATCATTGGTGCAATCCTCCAAGCTGCTGCCTTCTCCTTGGCTCAAATGGTCGTTGGACGACTAGTTGTCGGCTTCGGAGTTGGTTCTGCCGCCATGATTGTGCCTCTGTATATTGCCGAAGTCTCGCCAGCAAAATACCGTGGTCGGATGATCGGGCTCGATAACATGTCCATTACTGGAGGTCAACTTGTATCATATGGCGTTGGTGCCGGTTTTGCTCATGTTACTGGCGGATGGCGCTACATGGTTGGAGGCGGAGCGTTACCTGCTATCCTTCTGTGGATCCTGCTTCTTTTCTGCCCAGAGTCCCCAAGACAACTCATTTTATTTGGTAAACATGAGGCGGCCAAGGACGTCATCCGCCGCATTTATCCCAACGGCACTGAGGAGGAAGTCGAAAATAAGGTCAGGCTCATCTCCTGGCACGTTGACCAGGCCAAGCAGATGCACGAAGGGAAATCGCAATGGTGGATTCTCAAGCAGCTCTATGTCATCCCGGCCAACTTCAGAGCATTAGTATCGGCCTGTGGGCTGATGGCAATTTCTCAGTTGACTGGATTTAATTCACTCATGTACTACTCGCCCACTATCTTCGCCCAGGTAAGTTCACTCTTGGCACGGAAAGTTTCTTAGTTCACGTGTTTACTAACACACGGTCTCAGATTGGCTTCGCAAACCCGGTCGCTGTCGGCACGATTATCGCCGGTGTGAACTTCTTCTTCACTTTTGTCAACCTCCTCCTCGTTGACCGTGTCGGGCGACGACGTATCCTACTATGCACTGTTCAATTTATGGGCTTCTTCCTCATTATTGCGGCAGTAGCATTTGCACATATTCCCACGACTCATGATCTAAAGATTGTTGAAGGGGCCTCAATCACGTGGCAAGCAAACCTGGTACTGGCATCCATGATCTGCTTCGTCGGCTTTTACTCGTCTGGTATCGGAAATACTGCTTGGTTGAGCAGCGAGTTCTTCCCCATGGAAGTTCGCTCTATGGGTACGATGATGATGACGATGAGCTGCTGGGGTTCTAACATTATCGTGGCTTCTACTTTCTTGACTCAGATGGAAAATACCACACCCTCGGGCGCTTTTGGCTTCTATGCGGCTATTTGCATTGTTGGCTACGTTTGCATCTACTTCTGCTACCCCGAAGTGGCCGGATTATCACTGGAAGATATCCGACAGATTTTCAGTGAAGGGTTTGGTGTGAAGAAGGCAAGCCAGATCCAAAAAGAAATGAAGGCCCAGCGAATTTCTCACGCATAATACATGCTATAGACTAGTCTCGGACTAAAAGGTCACTATCACATTGGTGTGTTTGGATAAGGATAAAGAACGTGTGGCGGTATGGAGTCTTTTTAGTGTTAGAACTTCTATAACCCGGCCAAATGCTGTATCTTCATGAAAGCTAACTCAATGAGATATGAGATTATTAATTCTCATGAAACTCACGAAAACTCTAACCTGGCAATTTGATCTTGTGATGAATAATAACTTAGATACTTGATGAAGACATTCAATTGTAGATATACGGTCAGAAGCGAAATCAGTTTCCTAGTTTACTCTCTCCTATAACGTACCCCACGGGCGAACGGATCACGCGGGCGAACGAACCATTTTAGATCATTTTCTTACCATCTGACTTTATTCCTCAATACCACCACAACGCAACATGGTCGGTACTTGTAATAAAAGCCAAATTAATCTAGCGCTCTAAGCGCTTCGTACGAACCCAAAATTAAGTTTGCGACACACCGCTACGACGTATAATATATCATATAATACCTTACGTAGCCGATAACGCGGTAGAATTGCACGGCGCGAAATCTCCGCAAATAATCGAAAAATTAAGCGATTCTGAAGAACTAGCAATTATACGATATATAATTGACCTAGATTCGTGATCATTTCCTCCTCGAATAAGTAACATCGAAGATATGGCGAACCGACTCCTTTCCTAACGCGCCGCGGGACGCGTCGGAGTAAACTGGGCGTTAACCTTCGTACGACGACAACCACAACTCCGGACGCGTTTTAATCGACGGATCGATTACTAAAGGGTCCTTTACGAAGATCCAAACGCGTATCGCGCGTAGTTTACCCTTGTACGAAACGTAATCCAAAAATACCTGGGACCTCGTCTAGTCTTTCTCTTATTTAGGAATCAAAGACCCCGAACAACCTAATCGAGGAATTATAACAAAGCGAATATATACGAAATAGTATCGTATAATACCAGAATAGCTCTCTTACGGCTATAGACCAATTTGCGAAGGGTATAACGTAAGTAATGTACCGGCTCGTTCTTTTAGAAGGCGAGAATCTTGCACTTCGAAAGGCGAATAATATGTTAAGCCGACGCCGTTTTACGAAAAAGACCTAATTACAAGATGGAAGGTCACTTAGTATACAAGCTACAGAAGACTTACAGTCCTAAAAAGAGGTAGACCGGGAATTATAAGGTGAATCACGTCAAGGTAGTAGTCGTACGAAGAGGGTTAGGACGCAGCCATAGCGCTGTAAAAGGTGCGGAGAGCCCGGACATAATACGCGCACTTGTCAAAATGTTATAGAATCGTCCTCTTCAGACGAGGACGATTAATTTGAATTGATTTTTAGCGTTGTTATGAAGATGACTTATACTTTATAGTACGAGGTTGTAAGAAGTGGTTCGTTCGCCCGTGTGATTCGTTCGCCCGTGGGGTACGTTAGCCTTCAGTTTGAGATCCACTTTGGTAGGGTCAAAGCTAACCCTTCGTACTCTGCTAGCCTTATAAGTACTGCGCCGTTTCTGGATCTGCTTTTTATACATGCACAAGTGGTCCACCATAAACACAATCATCTTTACGTTTGTGCAACTATTTACTGTACTATATCCTAAACTAGTGTAAAATGCGCCAGCTCCGATCAGTCCTCTGGACAGGCCATTTGAAGAGACCGATGATGGTCTCTAAGCCTTACAATCATGCTCGGTCCAAGGTTGCACTTCAAGATCAATTCTTCTCGTGGATCGCCACATCTGCTGAAAGTGTACAGATAGATGATATGGAGGACTGAAAGGGTGTCGGTATAGTATGATCCCATTATAAAGATTGGCCCATCTTTCGCAAGAACCGCTTCTTGGATGATCCACATTCTTTTGAACCATGCCCGCTGGATAATGTTGAGGAACGTACAGGTAAATGATCCTTATTTATCACCAAGATCTCGCGCAATGGGATATTCTTGGAGGAACCCGATTTCCTTTGCTTGGGGATGCGAGGCAATCTCAGTGGCTTTATTGAAGACCAATCTCACCAAAGCATCATCCAAATCATCTGGTATTCCGAACCAACCGAATACGTGGAGAGCTGAGCTGTATATATCCTTCATCCGTAGAACTTGTTTTGCTTTCTTGGATGGATTGCTCTGGTCTGTACAAATCGCATCTGCCCAGAACTAGGCTGTCTCTCATTGCTTCAGTTCTTTGTTAAACTGGCCTTCCTCTAACCACTTTCTCAATTGCTTAAGCGCATTAAATAAGTTCTGCGTGAGTTCAAAACGTTTGTTCAGTAATATAATAGTGACACGGTCGTTCGTATCTCCCCAGACATAAGATAAGGCGTAACATATCAAATGCTCATTCAACAGAACATTCTGTATGTCGCATTGTACGTCATCGCTGGACGAGCCTGTGGCCATGAAAGAAACGACTCTGATTTCAGAGTCTAATAATACCTGGTAGGAGTAAGGCTCAGCCATTTCTACAAAATAAACCTATTAATTGAGTAAGATAATAAGACGCTATGTTTGACATCGTGTTCTGTCTTTAAGGGAGACTGGCCAGGGATGTGTTGCATTTGCTCTTTGCTCTATCTCACTATCTTGGGTGTTTGACAAAAGAGTGTTTATTTACCACTCAAAATATCTTTGACATGACGGAGTACTAATGTACCTGAAGAAGTAATTATACTTTCGCTTCCTTAGATGTAGAGTGCTTCACTATTGAAAATCCAATCAATGAATCCAATATCTTTCACTCGGTGAGGACGAAGCGCTAAGAGGCTTGCCATCATCGCCATGAAATAGCGACCACTAAAACTGAGGGAGATCAGCGTTGCAGCCGTTAATTCGTGCGGTCCTATTGGCGGGGATTCATCGCTGCTATAGAACGCTTCGCGAAGTTTGATAACCGCATCGACCAATTCGATTTCCTTCGAGCTCAGGGCAGACTCGAATTACGGAAAGAGACGCTAGATGAGAAGAACCTTGATCGACTGGCATCAGAGCACGAGATTGCCAGAGCATACCTTGATAATTATCAGGCACAAGAAGCAATTGCCCTTCTAGAGCCTGTCGTTACGATAGAAAGTCAGTTGTTCGACGAAGGCGATCCCGAGTAAGATGTGTTAACCGATCTACTTCGGGATGTATATGATCAGCTGGAGGCTGAATGAGAAACACCAGAGACTGAAAGTGATGGTCTGCGAGAAGATGCATCTTCCATATGAACCAGATAATTATTCAAAAATCAGTGCGTACAGCATTGAACAGTACGGTAAAGTCCTGTACGGTAAAGTCCTGTACTGTACAATACTGTACTGTATAACATGAGAAACACATACCCACTACAGGTCACTTGTGCGTGCATAAGAAGTATTGTAAGCAGATTCAGAAACGGCGCAGTACCTGTCAGGGTGGCAAGGTACATGAGGCCAGCTCGTGGCCCATTAAAGTGGATCCAAAACCGCAAGCTATAAGAGAGAAGGCCGGGAAGCTGATTTCGCTAGTGACTGTATCGTTATAAGTGAATTTTATTCTGAAGTAGTCATACCGTCTTGGTCCTTACGATCACATGAAGAATATTTCATAATTCCTCACAACAAAGCTCAAGCATATCGATAAGTGAGTTTTGTTCTGATAATGATGAGGACTTGAAATATAACACTTCAATCACACCTCGAACTTATCGGTACAGGTAGATGGTTAGGTGGGCTGTTTCATGAGCTGTGACAAAGCCAGTCCTGGGGTCGCTATTAGCGGATGGCCGGATAGAGCTAGCTCCTCGGGAATAAAATTCAATGATCCCCTTCACGATCAAGTCTTTTGATGCGCTCTTCGATATAACTAATATTTATTCAGGCTTTACTAAACGTGCCCGTGGCGTGATTTATACGATAACGAACATGATTAAAGGCAAGCCAAAATGACTTTAGCCTTTGCACCTGAAGCTTTCAGTACGGCTCCACCGGAATGTGAGTGGTGGAATTCTGCGGGGAGGATATAGTACGAGCTCAGTATACGTAAGGAGTCCCGTGTTTGAGTTTGCGCGGCTGGACGATTATCTCTACTGAAAAGGGAAAACGAATGAATGTGCAAAAAATGAAAGGCACAAGCTATGGTGAACTTGAACTAATAGATCGTCCTGATGGATGCCTCAGTTACACACATAGGGCAACCACTTTAAGTACCCTTCAGTGGAACAGAGGATAGTTCTTTTCCTCACCGTTACATCACACTACCTATCAATATATTACTATTAATCACCATACGTGACGTGTCTAGCATGTCGTTAGTGCAATATAAGCTATGTCGATACGAAGCAATCAAGACTATGGATACGTTAGTTGCGACAGCGAAACGATGACGCGATTTGGTGTTCAGCTCAAGGTGAACACTGCAAACGGGGTCAATGCAGAACGCTCAAACACCAAGACATTAATTGCGGGCAGCAAACTGTTAAAGTGAAGAAGCATGAGCCTTGAGTTCAAATCAGGACAAAATTCTATTAGCCTTGTCTAGCAGGGTCCAACTCGACCTTGTTTCCAGTGATCTCGTCAATCTCTGCCAAAATCTCAGGCGTCAGTTTATCTAAGATTGTCAATGCCCTGACATTTTCTACAATCTGCTGCGGCCGGCTGGCGCCCGTAATGACTGAGGAGACATTGGGGTTCTTAAGACACCAGGCAAGAGCTAGCTGGCTTTGGGTAACGCCCAGCTTGTCCGCCACAGTCTTGAGCTTCTTGACCTTGGCGATGTTCTCACGCCAAGGCTCATTGCCGTACTGACCCCGCATGAACTCGGCGAAGCCGTCTTTGCTGACGCCGAATCGCGAGTCAGAAGGTGGCGCGTCCACGGCGTCGTTATACTTGCCGCTTAACAAGCCCATCTTGATGGGACTGAACACGGTCAAGCCCAGACCTATCCGCGAGTACAGGCGCTGGAACTCGCCTTCCACCTTCTGCCGGTCAAGAATGTTGTAAAGGGGCTGCTCAACGATGGGGCCGATCATTTTCAGGTCCTTAGCAATCCCGACAGCCTCCGCGATCTCATCGGCACTCCACTGAGAGGTGCCCCAGTAACTGGCTGGTTTTAGTTGTACTATCCCAATGTGTATGTAATCAAGTTTGACTCACAATGCCATTCCCTTCTCTATAACATAGTTGAAGGCACGAACAGTCTCTTCCATGGGGGTTAGGCGGTCTGGCCTGTGTGCGTACACAATATCCACATACTCCAAGTCGAGACGCTCCAGTGACGATGTCAAACCCTCGATGATATGCTTCCGCGAAAGACCATGGTTGTTGACCAAGATCTCCCCGTTTACGGCACCCCAGTTGATCTGTGAGTAGTAGTATCAGCTTCAGCTCCGACCATTGCGTAACCGGTGTGAGCAAGACAGGTCGATTTACCTTGGTACTAATAACAAGATCACTTCTCTTCCAGCCATACTTCTTGATGGCTCTTCCCATAACCTCCTCAGACTTGCCAGCTGTATAGCTATTATCATAGTTTCAGCACCACATTGTCGTCAGGGTGAACGGGAGCAACTTGTCTTACTTCTCAGCGGTATCAAAGAAATTGACCCCCAGGTCATATGCCTGCTTCATGCACTCGAACGTCTTCTCTGTGCATCTTATCAGCCCCTTTAATCAACCATCAAATAATCAGCAAATGGCGCCATACCATCCTCTACATGGCCACCGTAAGTCAACCAACCGCCAAGGGCAATGGCCGACACGTGAAGGCCGGAGTTGCCCAGACGGCGGTAGACCATGCCAGTTTTCCTCGGTTCTTCCCAAGCCATGTTTTCGGTTACAGATATGATGTGAAAGGATTCGATCACGCAAGGAATCAATACAAATACGTGAGGCTCAAAAATTGAATGAAGTCTCGGCGAGCAGTGCAAAAAATGCCAAAGGAGAAATTCTCGGAAGCAGTATCAATCGAGGGGGGAGAAGCGGGGCAGCGTGGAACCCATGTCCAAGGTTAGTGCCACCCGATGCCTTCATCGGCTAAAGCACCCGACTATGGAGATTTCTAAGTTTAGTGGAACCATGGCTTTGGGCCACTATTTTTTGACTATATTCCTACTACATACAACTGACTCAAGCATGTAGCTATTCTGTATGAAAATTCAAGAAAACGTACTGGAAGCACAGTTCTTTTGAACATTGAAGTCAATCGCTAATTTACGGCTAAGACTTGGAGAAGTGCATGCTTTACGCTGCGCTCTTTTACACGAAAGCTGCAAGCTACCGAAGACGCCTATTCCGCAAATTCGGTTGGATTCTATTCATTCTTATGTCACTTTGTAGGCTGTAGGGGCTATTGTTCATCCCGAATTTTACGATGGTCCCCGAAGATCATTTCTCGGAAATAACTGTACCAAACGCCTATGTATGAATTTGTCATCGACCTTGGACTGGGCTGCATGCCAGAGCACAGTGGCTTACCGCCCCAAATGCAACAAGGCGCGCCATGAGGCCACCGAGTAACATATCCTCGAATTTCAACCACAGTTGAGCCAGGAGTATATGACTCTATGACATGGATACGATTGCTCATCGACCCCAACAAGAAATGACCCTCTGGGTATCGAGATAAATGAAGGACTGGCTTTAGCTACCAAAACCTGGAAACGGGGTTCCACTTGTGCCTTACGGGATGCACAGATGGTCATAGTCTTAAATCCTCTCAATGCGCGACTATTACCAGCATAGGCGAGCGGCCAGGGTGAATTACTGTCTTACATGGATTCCGTTGGCCAGTATCGCGCAGGTACCCAAGTTAGGTCTTGCTAATACCTGTGGCTATTCGTGGATCAATTGTTGATCCGAACAGGGTAGGATGCATGATTTCTGCTCTTTTTGAAATTGCATTTAGTTTCAAGAACCAGATGCGGTCCACTCGGTTGTCGATCCTGCTAATATGTCCTCGTTATTGCTCGTGATATGCTCGAAAATCATGCGAGTTAGCGGCGAAGGAGTTCTCACGAGCGGTGTACTGAAGTCCAGCGGCGGCCATGACATCTGCTGATTTTGCTGGTCAAGAGAGTGATAATTGGGCGTACTCGAACCCGTCGGCTTCAGTATGTTGGTGTGTGCTAGGATATCTTCTAACTCAGCCCACGCTGAAGGTAGTAGGAGAGAGCCCAAAGAAGGGCTGTCGTTAATATGTTGAGTAGTTTTCTCAATTGCCTCTTCAATGCGATCATCGCCATCCAAACCTAATCGTGGACTGGGTGCGATAGCCGCCATCCTCAGATAAAGAGAGGCGACTAACGGCTTGTTACCACCACGAGAAGAGGACAAAATTCTCTGAAGTCCTAACAAGATTTCCTCGGGATGATCGGATGGACTGACGGAAATATTGCTTATTACAGCATCGATAACTGCTGTCGCGATATCGTAGGTCTTGAATTCCATTGTTGGACCGTGTGCCTCGATAGCAGTTTTGGGCAACTGTGACATAAAGCTCAAAAGTTCCTTCGCAATTCGTATTGGGCTGCTGGCCATAGTAGCCATTCCAAATCTAGCAGCAGCACGCCAAAGGACAGCTCTCATCCACTGTCGCGTCACGAAGATATCGGCTTTCTGCACGTCGTTGCTCGATTCAAAATCCACAGCGTTATCTTGCAAATGCGTTTGCAACAGTCCGAGACATCCCTGAGCTGTAGACGTCATATTCGAAAGATCTGTATCGGAGTTTTGCAATATCTCGAAGATACCAGACTGGTCAAATACCCAGAAGAGGTTCACCAACTTGAGGAAGGCAGGTAACACATGAGCTTGATCGTCTCCAGCAGGAGTGGGAAACATTATGGCAGGTTTCAAGACGACAGGAAGCTTATGAAGCATTGCAACACCTCTCTCCGTAACGAAAAGTAACCAAAGGATGCGCCGCCGCATCTGTTGCTCTCCTTCAGCTAGTCCAGTGCAGGAGGCTTCCCGCTCTAAGCGCATCATCTGTGCGATTGTGATAGCTTGTCTGAGGTAAAGCAAGCTCTTCCCGCCGCCAGCTGTCTGATTTTCGTGGTATATGTGCAAGAAGAATGCGACACGCAATCCGTTGAGGTCCAGATGGTTGTCCTGATCTTCCAGGCTGATCCGAGGCACCTCATCGGGAGAAAGTGATTCCAGTCGCAGTTGCGCAATGGTTGCAAGCCGGATAGCAATAGCCAGCAGACGCAGATGGGGGTCGCCTGAAGCAAGGCCTTGATGCAGCTCATCCACATTGATAATAGGCCATATGGGGTAAAGTCTTTGACGATAAATTTCCAAGGCCCGGAATAGGTTGGCCATGTCATTCGTTGGAGGGCATACCGGCTCTGCGAAGTCGAAAGGCAGCGTATTGGGCGCCTGTTCTTCGCTGGGGATCTGATTCGGGGAGCTGCCAAAAGCACAATTACCTACCCCAACCTGCGCCGCTGAGATCTTTTGGATCGTCTTTGCGCGCAAGCTCCGAGGCCCTCGCGTCGCCTGCATACGCTTGAATGTACATGCTATGCCACTTGCAATACAACCACGGCATGGCGACGTCTCTGAGCATTTTACCTTTCTTATTTTGCATGCATCACAAGCACGCTTGACCAAGTTAGACCTTTGTGAAGATCTAGGCTCTTTGCCCGGCATGGCGGCGTCGTGGCCGCTTCCACTGCTCATCGCAATCGCGTAATAAGTTTCCCTCTGGACTTTTCGATACACAGAGGTTTCGAGGTTTCCTCGCTGTTCTTTGAGCTTGATGTTGAACTAAATATCTTTCAAGACCAGGGTGAGGGGTCCTGAGATTTATAGCTTGATATTCGCGAAGCAGAAGCTATATACCAGCGTGCTAAGCTCATGAATAATTCGACGCAGCTACTCTTTCGAGTCGTTGCCCATGCCCTGATGGTTCTCGGGTTGCTGCGACAAAAGCCCAGGCCACGACTCGTGGTATCTCCTCATGGCAGGTTACGTGTTGAAAGCGAAAAGATACATGAGTCCTCCTGTTGAACACATGGTTTTCACTGCCAAGTTCACGTTGCCGCGCGATCCAATAAACAGATATCGTCACGTATATTGAGGACCACCATCAATTGAGGAAGTTAGGTATTAAAATGTTACGGTCTGCACCCCATCAATAATTGGAGAAAAAGCAGCAGTGGATCTTAATTGTAGCGTGCTGAAGCGAGTGCCCCGACCGACTGTCCTGTCAGATCTTGAGATCGCGTTCTCCACTAAACACGGTATGCGTTAGTGTTGCTTAGTTCCAATGGCGTCATCTCCTAAGCCTCGGCTCTCGACGATTTGTGAATCGGACTTTGTAAAATGGAGGCCGTTCAAAGGCGACGAGTGCACCAATTCAGTATATGGACTCTGGAGCAGTTGTGTACATGCCCAAATATCGGTATCAAATTTACATAATCAAACATCAAGTGCAGCCTTCCGGCTCTTGCTTTCTAGATCAAGGTACGGGGCTTCTCCCAGGCTGCAAACTCGGTCACCAGCTCTGGCTGCATCATAGTCGTACGTAGCACAGTGGAACGTCGACCTGTTGTCCCATATGGCCAGGTCATTCTTGTTCCACTTGAAACGCACCTGCGCATCGTGATTTTGAGTGACGAGGTTGAAGAGATAGGCAAGCAGAACGTCCGACTCATCCTTAGTAACACCATTAATTCGCTTCGTAAACCCCTTATTAATGAAAACGCTCTTCCATCCGCTCACTGGATTGGTTCGAATGATGGGGTGTGTGGTTTTCAAGTCGCTGCCTTGGTTCAATGGTGAGCCACGAACACCCTTTCTCAGAGGGTTGCCAAGTCTTGCAGCTTCATCGTGGAAGAAGTTGGCATCGTGAGTTGCCGTGAGACCTTCCAAGAACTTCTTCATCGGTTCGGAGAGGCGGTCGTAGATTTCGTATCCTGATGCCCAGAGCTAAATATAGTGATCAGCACCAACCATTGCGATGTGGGTTTGCAAGTTACATACAGTATCACCACCAGTTTTGGGAAGTGTGTGAATCTTGAGCATGGCATAATCGGACGGGACTTTCTCAAAGGTGATATCGCTGTGCCAACCCGTGCTTGCGAATCGACTGACATCGCTCAGTTGATGGGTGAGACCGCCACCCTTCTTCTGCTTCTCACTTGAAATAACAGAGATTTGATCTCCAAGCTCGCTGCCCTCCTCGGTCAAGGGATGAACGTGAAGACCTGAAGATTCTGGACACCCCGACAAAGTTGACAATCGGATCATGAAGTCTTTCATTTCGACGGGAGTAACATCTTGATCACGCAGAAACACAACACCTCGTTGAGAGACTATAAACATCAGCCTATGGACGGGTACAGGATTCTGGCCTATCCAAGAGAAACTCACTTGTAGCAGCAAGGTCTTTGATGTACTGGTCATTCCACGCAAGGAGGTCTCGAATCTGCAGCCCGGTGTACTCGCGACCAATTACAGGGGTAATGTCATTCTGCTTGAAGCTATCCAGAGTACCGGAATACACTAACGGCTGGCCCAACCGAGTGCGGGACTCTTCATGGCCTCCAATAATATGGAAGTCCAATGCAGCGTCTGTGCTGACTGAAGGCATATTGTAAGAATTGTGAGATGTGCACAACGATTGTTGATACGAATTGTGCAACTGGATAAGAATTGCGAGTAAGGCACTAAAATGGCGTGATTGATAACCACTCTTTCTGGTAAGCCAGTCGTTCTAATCCAACCCATGGCGCTCAACCACACATGGGACTGCCTTAATATTCAATTCCTACAAGCCAAAACTCAGAAGACGACATGATTCTCCGCAATGGTGCAAGAAGTTGTCCTCCGAGAATTTCTCCAGTAAACCCCGCAACTCGGAACGTGGTAAACTAGCTTACACTATAGGCGAATCACCAACCTGGTCGGGTAAGGCGCTAGCGGAGATGGGGTTCCAATTGAGTTTCAACAGCCTCGAACCGAGAAGTTATCACGGTATTGACCGTTCGGTCCTTTGGTTCTCGATCCTTGATGCTGGGATCATGAACCTATCCGGAAGTGTCTTCGTGGCTCGAGGCTTCGCTTCGTTCGGTTCAGCTCATCCTTGAACTAACACGGTCAAGGCTGGAACCAATAGACGTTGTCCCAAAGGCATGCCACCTCATGCAGAAGCTAGCATACTAGATGGGTGCTTGCATATAAAACCTTTTATATAAATTTATCTGTCGGGCTACCACCTACTGCTTCTGGCCGATCAACTTCTCATCGTGCCAGCTCGTTCGATTCAACGTGCGTCAAGCAGAACTTCACCTATACCAGTTTTCGGACCAGTACGACGAGATGGGCTCTGTTGACAACATCGAGAGCGGCTCGAAGTCAATCCATGACTATCACCAAGAGCCTAACAAAGGCCAAGTCGAGGTCGGTCGTCAGAACATTCACGAGTCTATTAGACCACACGAAAGCTACGAAGGTGGTCATAGATTTGACCCTTACGCGACATGGACTGCTGAAGAAGAGAAGACGGTGGTCCGTAAGACCGATCTCAAGCTTCTGAGCTGGCTATGTGTTATGGTAAGAGATGTTGCCAGAATGATCCTCTTCAGCTATTGACAGCCAGGCAGTTTTTCGGACTTCAACTCGACCGTGGAAATTTGTCTAACGCTTTGGCCGACAACCTTCTCAAAGACCTGAATATCACTTCTGACGATTATAACAATGTAAGTCACATTCTACAGTGTTGGGTACTTGGCGCGTAAAATCAGGAGCACCAGTTGACAGGAGCATCAGGGAACAACAATTCAGCTTTTATGCTTCTTGGCAGCCGAGTTTCCTGTACAATTCCTGACGAAGCGTTACGGTTTCAAATATGTCTTGCCAGTGATGATGATCGCATGGAGCATGGTGTCTTGGGCACAATGTTTCATGGTCAACCGCGCCGGTTTCTATGTCACCCGTGCATTCATCGGTCTTTGCGAGGGTGGTTTTATTCCTGGTACTATCCTCATGGCCACCTACTTTTACACTAGCAAAGAGTTGTCGACTCGCCTGGCAGCTTTCTGGTCAACCTTGAATATTGCTCGTGTCATCTCAGCCCTTCTTGCGGCTGGTATACTCCAGATGCGAAGTATTGGTGGACACCCCGGCTGGTTCTGGCTTTTCCTCCTCGAGGGTCTTCTGACACTTATCTTGGGTGTTGTCTCAATCCTGTATCTACCTTTGTCACCGACTCAGACCACGTCTGTTCTGTGTCGTACCCCATGGTTCACCGAGAAGGAGGAGATTATCATGATCAATGTAAGCAAATCTTTCCATTTCGAGTAACTCACACTGACAAGTCTAGCGTATTCTGCGAGATGATCCGGCAAAGGGCCTGACTGCCGTCAAGGAGCCGGCTACATGGAAGGATATTAAGGAAGCCTGGTCTGATAAGTCTATGTGGGGTCTTTACTTTGTCGGTCTTGTTGCCTACATTCCAGCAACTCCCATCCAGGCATACCTTACTCTGACTCTCAAGCGCATTGGATTCACTACCTTCGCATCCAACATGCTCACTGCGCCATCTGCTGGTCTGCAGATCATCACCATGTTGGCGTTGGCATGGAGCAGTAACTACTTTAACGAGCGAGCTTTCCACTGCTTCATTGGCGAGTTCTGGCTCCTACCCATTCTCACTGCGCTGCTCACCATTCCGGACGGCGGTCGTGATTGGGCACGTTTCTCACTCATTACTCTGGCATCAGGGTACCCGTACTTCCACCCACTTGTGTCGTCGTGGCTTTCCGAAAACTCTTTCGATGTCAAGAAGCGAGCAATTACTGCCGCAACGTACAACGTCATCGTGCAGATCGGTTCCCTCATTGGTAGTCAGATCTACCGTTCGTGGGATGCACCCTACTACAAGACTGGTAACAAAGTATGCATTTCTATCTGCGCCTTGAGCTTGGTTACATTCATCGCTCAGAGACAATACCTGGACTACCTAAACAAGCAGAAGGAGAAGACTTGGAGCCAGATGTCTTTGGAGGATCAAGTCGCCTACCAGCAGGACCAGGAGGCTCGCGAGAAGGATGGCAACAAACGTCTTGACTTCCGATTTGCCTTATAGTTTGAAATCTACAGCTGGTGGATCTGACTCGTGTCCTTGGTACTAAATGCACTTTCTTGGTTTATCGCACGGATACCCCTCACAATAGGCTTTGGCAGAGTTATAGTTGCTGCACTGCCGATCGACATTAATTTTAATATATACTGCTAATCTCTAGTATATGCTTCTTAGTTGATACTTCTGGTGCTACTTTCAAAGATATCATGCTAACTCCACAAAGCGTTCGCTGGGATTGTGCACCCACTGCCGATTACGCGGCCAACTGTCTTGTTCTTTGTTCCCCGGATTGCATACCACAAGATCACGTCAACTCTGCCCTTTGTTCGGTGGTAATGAACAAAAAGCGCAACGCTAACCTTGCACCAGGTGCTTTGTTGTTGCGCAATTAATTTTTATTTATTTTTGCATTTTGCTGTAAATGTCACATGGTAAATACCAGCAACACAGGAATCTGAGATATCCATATTCGGAAGGCCGACCGAGACCCCTTAATTGTTACGAACATACGAACGGCAACGCAGCCTCCTGTGTATCAGAACAAACCGAAAATCAAACCACGAAGGAATCAAAACCTAATCCGTTGTCGCTCCATGTCGAACAGGATCTTCTGTTCTGAGTTGTCTGCTTATTCTCTCACCAACTGAGGCCATTCCTTTCATATCCTCCTTAACTATCATGTCACCAGTGCCTACCAGCTCGCTGTCCGTGCGCCGACGCTGCCACCACCACAGCGATAGACTGGGGTCAACAATTCGCATTCCCGCCGACAAGCAAAAGTCTGCCGTTCTGGGTTGCTATTTTCATCGTTGCTCCAGCAATTCTCGTCATGGTCGGTTGGATGGTATGGGAGTGCAAATTTGGAAGCGACGGCAATGACGATGTCTTGAAGGCGCTCAGGGAAAAGCAGAAAGAGGCCAATAGGAAGCCCGCCAAGATAAAACCCGGACAGATCAGCCCGCCGAAACCCAAGAAATAGGGTTGCCCGGCTGTATTACGGAGCGCCTCGCTGTAGAAATAGGACAGTATGACACGGCAGGAATGAGCAAGTACAATTTTTGAGGCTGGTTCAAAGCGCAAGGCTTATTCACGAAATCATGGCACAGATCGCGCGCCAACATCCACTGGACTGGCCCGGTTTGTGTTTCGTAAGCAAGACTTACGCTTCGATAAGTCGAGTACAGAAGCAGCATATCATAAGAACTTGATATCGAACACATTAAACGAAACTCTTTGGCACCAGCAGTTAGCAAGATCCAGCAATAGCTTCTTCGTCACTGCGTTTGCTCAGCTATGAGAGCATATATCACTTAGTCTCTATCGACACGGAATCCAAGGATCCGTCGCAGTCATTATTGCCGCCGAGATATATATATGCCGTTTGCTGGACGAGTCGACCCCTCAGCTGCCCCAGTGACGAAGTTAGCAAGAATAGTCAGCAGCACTAGCCTCAGAACTGGTGCAATCTGAATGTGTAGGAGACTCGGGAGGCTGAAAGCCCATTGAGAGGGCTTCTGGTACCGATTTGGGATAGCGCTAGGCTCAAACAATAACTCTTGCAATAAATTCGTTTTCTATCTTTTTTTTCTTTTTGTCAAACTGGTTGACTCTAGGTCTGATTTGTGTGTTGGGGAGTAAGTCATATAAGCCATTCCACCAAATAACGTTCTTTCTAATTCAAAATTCCCGGGGATATCTGGTATTGCGTTGTCCCACAGATAGACCAGGTCAGAAAAGCCAGGCGTTTGAAACCAGAGTGGAAGCTGATCGTGGCTAAAAGCCACCCTCGGAAAAGATTGAAAATATGTCAATCTGGATTTGGGTATAGTAAAGCTTCCTTTGCTCATAATACACCTTGGGTAGGTCCACCACGTTGTCCCGTGCAGTAACTGGCCATGATCCTTTGGAGTTCTTGTAATTAAACGTAAAGCATTAGATACATATTTAAGAGTGGAGGGCGATGGTAATGATTTCGAAAGTCTTGGATTAATCAAAAAGTGTTGTTGTTTTGTTTCATAATAAATATGTATCTTTGAAAACGTTGTGGTCGAAATTGACTCAAGATACGTGGTCAGTGAGTTACCAATCACTAACCTAATGATATTAATCACAAGATGTGCATTCGGTGTCCCCATTGGTGCCTTTGTCGCCATTTGAATGGCCATTGACCAAAACCGACTTGTTGAATTCTTGGCTATTTAATGTCAGCATGTCCGCCCTTGATTAAATTTCAAGATATCATAATCAGAGAAATGAGACTTACGTCGACTGGGGCACGTCCATAGCCGGGTTGCGTGTGAAGAAGTTGACAGGCTTAAATGAAACCTTAACAATCTCTACAGGCCTAAGCATGGTGTCAGTTATCGCTCCGATTGGATGAGATAGCGGCATGGTTACATGACAGGGAAATCCTCTATTCTGGGGACATGTTGCAAACCGAATTGAACCCATACAACAATATCGCCATTCGAGATGTCATCCTTTCGTGCGGCCCACTTTCTGACACCAGAAGTCTCTTTGTTCTGGTTCGTGTATTGCCCTCCGGCAAATAGCTCTTCTTCTTGATATTTAGTGACGTAGACCGAATGGTCGGCGAAACTATTCATGTTAAAGTTATCCTTGGCGTAGAGAATGGAAAAACTCACTCAGCTCTCTTATAATGGAAAGAGCTCTCCTCTGCCAGCAATGGCTGTACGGGCGGGACTTGGATCTTGTAAGCCACATTCTTCCCATTTACTGGGTTCTGCTTGTTTGGATTCTCAATCATGAAGACACGGTTCTTCTTGGATTCTAAATCATAACCACCGGTCTTCTCTAAGGTGGTACGCTTGCTGATGTACCCGTTCCCATGAGGATTGGTGTCGGCATGACGAGGCAAAGCGCTGGTCTCTTCATACACAAGTCGATTTTCTCTGTCACCGTCGAGCTCTGGGTCAACACGTAAAGACAGTATATGTTGATGATAGCCTCCCAATACTCCTTCGTGCACAACTGTTCCATAAGGTACTTCTACACCTTGGTCGATAGGCTGGGTGGACAACACGCCCGTGGCCCGAACTTCATAGGCCATCTCGCCAGCCTGGTCGAAGATGAAGGCCAAGATGTACTCGTAGTTGGCGACCGTGATAATCGATTGGATTACAAGCTCCCGTCGTCTTACCACAACGGGGCGGCCGGTTCTGTAGTTAGTGTGCTTCCAAAGGATACCAGCATCTTGTTCGTGGATGCACACAGCATTTGGCCTCTTTACAGGGCGTCCGTGATCGTCGGCAATAAGGCCGTCTTTGTACGCGATGGCACCAAGGCAATCACAGCCGAGCTTGAGGTCATTGGCCATGACACCGGCTCCAGCATCGCCCAGATCGAATGCTTGCTTCTTGTGGAACGGTGCGCGTGGGTCTGCGTACGGGACTGACATGTCACTCAGTGAGACACGATAAAACAACGGCCTACCATCATAAGATACCTCGTAAAGGACCATGCCTTCACGATAGTTGAAATGAATACGCATCTGCCACTTCTGCCATTTGATGATGTCTCCATCAATGGTGAATGAAGCGCCTTCAGGTTGTATGACCCTGAGAGGTTTGAGATCAGTCCTCTGATCGTTCAGCTCTGGGATGTATTCGTTGGCCTTGGTCGGTCGCCAAGGTTCGGTAGACTTTGTCTCCACACCGGCACCAGTGGGGAGGTATTCCATCTTCGTAACCTGCATCGTTACGGCATCCACAACCTTGTCGTATTATGTTAGTACTGGTATATCCACGTGGTAGTTTGACACAAGAAGACAAAACCGGAACAAGAATCAATATTTGACGGTGGACTTGGTTGCTTTCAGCATGAACAGTAATATCGAAATACGCTTGCATGGTTTTAGTGGTGGAATCGCGCCGGTACTTTACATACCGGTGAAAAGCTCAAGGGAAACGCATAGTGGTTGCTGTCTAGTTCCTTGGAATTGCTGGGGTCACGCATGTACATGTAGCATTGATATTGGCGAACATCATCCGAAACGCCATCAGCTCCCCTAATCTGATAAGCCGCAGGAAACAAGTGAAGCTTTATGTTTCAAACTTACCAGATCCAAGGGTCGCAAACAACAATCGCTCCCTCAGGCAGCTTCAATTTTTCGATCTCGGCCTTCGTTCGAGGATCCTCTAGGGCAACCTTTTCGACGGTGACGATTTCGTCCTCATCGATGGGCCCATGGAATTGTGCGGGCACTTCGGTGCTCCTCTCGATGGACTCCATGGTTAGGTTAACCACAACTTCAAAGAAAGAAGGAGTGCCAGCTAGATAGTAATTTACCCATGCCTTACGTGGTGGGGCGTAACTTCCTCCGTCTGTTTGAGTTCGATACTGCTGCATCTCCTTTCTTGACGGCTCATGAAGCATGATACCCTTGAAGCGAAGTTTGGTCCCTGCATCGTGACAACTGCGGATCAACTTTGCTGACAGCAGAATCTCCGCCTCAGAAAGCGATGATAATGGGTGTCGTGAGTTCCCCATGGCGACTTGATTGGTCAAGAGATTTCAATTATTGCTGAAGTATTCGTCAATGAGGTTTAGAATAATGGAAATCCGGCTCAGATCAAGATGTGAAAGCGAGGAAGTTCAGTTGCCACAGGAAAAGTGTTGGCAGAAGAGGAGTTCCCATCTTCAAGATAACGAAGTCCAATGCCTTGCGGCAGCTGCCCGCGTGCATGCAGTAGTGTGGGGTTAAACCGGACCTCCACCATAGCGGCCAATCCTTCTGGTAGGTACAAGCGATCAGATTTTATAGTTATCATGGCGCTTCGGGACGGTTCTTAGGCACTATCTGGCGAAACATGCAGATAGGCAGATACCGACAAACATGGCAAGGCCTTGTATATTTGCCGTATCATTATCGTTAGAGATAATTTATTATCTCTATGTAGCATATATGATGCACGTATATGATCGGTTTTAAGTGAAACCACGATATAGTCTCTATCCAGCAGGGACTATGTGCTTTGCATCGCGACTTGCGGATCCGTAAATCACAAAGACAACCTGGGTTGCTGCAATTCGGCCCCATAGAGCGAGAGTGACCTTTCCTGTTTAGGGCAATAAAAGGAGAACCGTGCAGAGTTATCTCAGCCATGACGGAGACTGTCGTTGTTAGATTGTTAGCGTCTAGTCTAGGTTAATAACTTACGTATCGCCGCTTGCGGGTTGATTCAAATGCACATAGGGCTGGAAACATTAGGTCACTATCGAAAAGAGGTGGTAGTATTGCATAAGTTAACACGGGAACTTTTAAATTACTAAACGGCCTGTGAGATAATTCTATATGGCAAATACATGCCTCTTGTTAGACCATGTCTCGTCTAATTCCGCTTTACATGTGTACTTCCTGGTGGAGCAGTAGGAACACTAACTAGTAACCTTAGAGGGTTTCAGCTACCGGGCTCCAAGATAGGCACCAAAGAAGCCACAGCCGCTCTCAAACGGCAAAGAGAAAGGTGAGCTTTTAGACTAAGTGAAAGGTAATACCCACGATCAGGCTTCTGACTTTGAATACAAGCAGCGTTCAGGGATTTGCCGATGCATGCAGATCTCCGAGAAGTTCTCGATAGCTTCTACTGTTACGAACATTGTTTACCATGGCGGGTAAAGCTACATCGCGTCACGGCCGCCGGCTCATTCGCAGTGTTCCAGCTTCGACGACTGCGACTGGATCAACGTGGGCAGACCCTATTTATTTTGCATCACCATCAGCATTAGGAAACTGGTTATCAGTCTATCATAAGTCCAAGAAAGAACTCTTCGTCGGTTATTATAAGAAACACACAGGCAGAATAGACCTGACATGGTCTAATGCAGTGGACGAAGCGCTGTGTTGGGGCTGGATTGATGGTGTAAGGAGGAGAGTTGATGATGACCGCATGGCGCAACGATTTACACCCAGGGCAAAGAAAAGCCATTGGAGTCGCATCAACGTTGAAAAGATGGCACTACTAGAGGCATCTGGTCGTGTTCAGGAGCCTGGTAGAGCTGCATTCGCGCTTCGCACCGAGGAAAACACGGCGCAGATGAGCTTTGAGCGCGAGCTCGTGTTCAGCGACGAATTCTTGAGGCGACTGTCTGAAAACAAAGATGCAGCTTCATATATTGAAGGACGAACGCCAGGCTATAGACGCCAGGTATGTCACTGGGTCATGTCGGCAAAGCGCATGGAGACACAACAAAAGCGCTTTGAAGAATTGATCAACTGCTCCCTTCAATCACAGGATCTGAAGCAATTCAGAAGGAAATGACATTGCACAATCACCACCAGGGGTTCGTGATCCCAATCTTATCAAGGCCGACGCCTGCAATGCTGGGGTTTCCTTCGATTCCTACGTGCAAAGCACAGCTGTTTTCATATTTATTCCAAGTCCAGATGCTATTTCAAGCAATGTGCCATCTGATCAACAGACAAGACCCGACCAGCATTCCTAAGCTACACTGACCTCAACACCATGCAGTTTTCCATCAGCTCTCCATTCCTCGAGCTCTCGAATGTATCGAAGCATGCCATCGGGCCATGGGCCAGCCTTGGCACTCTTCATCATCTCTTCGGGAGCTTGTGACATCTGCAAAGCTTCACCCTCATTTGTCAAATAGCCTGGTGTGCAAACAAATACAGAGCCCAGAAATGCTGCGCCTTGGGCAACGCGCATGCCCCACGTCTGCTCTGCTTCTTCCGAGACTTCTATTACTACGCCACTCTTTTGCGGGCCACCGACACGGTCGTGACCAGCTTTAATAATTTGAGCAGCATGGGTACTTAGCACGTCAAGAACGTGGCCGAAATTGGCGGTGGCTCCGCATTGTGATGGTCCCATCCAAAAGAGGTTCGGAAACCCATTAGTAGCACACCCATGCAAGCTTGATGGACCAAGAGAAGTCCATTTCTCTGTCATACTTGTGCCCCGGCCAACAATCTCGATTCCAGTACGCGCTGCTGGGTTGCCGCTTGCGACTCCAGGACCTCGATAGCCAGTGCTGAATATCAGAATGTCAACGGGATACTCTCTGCCGTTTGCTACAATCCCGTTAGGAGTTGCACTCTCGACTCCCTTGCCGTTTGTGTTGATCAAGTGGACGTGCCTCTTATTGTAGGTGTCCAAATAAATATCACTGAATGTCGGCCTCTTGCACCATGTTGGATACCACGGTGTGAGTGCCGCGGCTGTCTCCCTATCCTGCACTTCTTCGGCTACCCTGGCACGAACCTTGGCATTGTGTTCTGCGTCACGGGCTAACATGGTTTCTATGTGCTCCGGTACTTTCTCAGGAGAGACATGCCCGAATTGATCACTCCCTACGATTGCGCAGTATGCCTTGAGCTTACTCCATTCATCGTCGACGAGGTTTTCGTGATCTTCAGGAGCACCCAATGCGATATTCTCAGCCAAATTCTCCTGCCGGTACTTCTGCCACCCTTTCTTTGCAGCGATGGTTTTCTGCCAATACTCAGGATTGGTATCTTTCTGACCTCTGGTGTTCACCTGAGAAGGCGTTCGCTGAAAGACAAATAACTCTTCTGCACTACGACACCTGGTATCAGATAAGGCTTCCTCTTGATAGTTCGAATACCTCCGGGGGTATTGTAGAAACACCGAGAATGAGGAGCAATAGCCGACGGCCATATATGTCTCAAACTAAATATTGGAAGGATAGGGACTCGGAATCAGAAAAATACTTACTACTTCGCAACCTCGGGTATGATTTGAATAGCCGTTGCACCTGTACCTATGACACCCACTTTCTTGCCTTTCAGTTTTTCCATCACCGGGAACTCGGTTTCACTCGAACCACCGGTCACGTCGTAATTCCATCGCGCCGTGTGGAACATCACGCCCTCGAAGCCTGTTAATCCAGGCAGCTTCGGCACTTGCGGTCGTGGAAATAGGCCGGTGGCAAGCAGCACGAATTCGGCGTCGATCGAAAATTGAGTTTCCTCTTTGCCACTTGCACCGTGTCTTGTAGCCAAATCGGCCCTCCAAGCGCGTAGCTCTTCGCTCCACTGAACTCCATTTGCCTGCGTGCGGAACATTATCCTATCCTCGAGGCCAAACTGCTTCACCAGATTGACCAAGTAAGAGCGGATCTCCTTGCCGGAGGCGTATTTTTTGGACGGCATGTATCCTGTCTCCTCCAGCATTGGCAGATAGACGTAAGCCTCGACATCGCAGTGCAGTCCCGGATACCTGGATTAGTCGTCAATGAATTTGGCTCAGATTGGAAGCAAAGAGTTCCGCCTCACCGATTCCAGTACCATGTCCCACCTATCCCTCCAGCAACTTCCACTATGCGAATTTGTTCTGCATGAAAGCCATGTTGTATGAGTCTGACAGCGTTGAGAATGCCTCCCATTCCAGCACCCAATATCAGAAATTTGATACGATCCCCTGACTTGATAGGCCAAGGCAGTTTGTCGAGCGCCGCATGGTCGGCAAAGGGATCATCTACCAAATGTCGAAGCCGATCTTCACTACTAAAGTGCAACTCTTGGAATTGAGCCATTCCGTCAGCCCTTTTACGCTTCGCGGCTTCTTCCATGAATTTTTGTTGCGCCAACTGCGCATCGGTTACGTCTACTGTTGCAGCCATATTGATCTATCTTTGTAGCGTCGGAAAGAAAAGAACATGTGAAGGTACTTTGAGTTTGAGTTTATCAGACAACTTAGCTCGACTCATCCAAGTGTCGTCGGTCAAGCATTTATAATCCGGCATGGAACGGTCCGCAATTTAAGTTACATGATGCACGTTCGCACTTCGGCACGCCACCAGTACGTAACTGATGTGTAAGTCGCCATCTATTCCCTCGTTTCCGGCTCGTTACATCGTATAAGATTGTGCATAACCACCCGTATTCGTCTTCGGTTAGATATCAATTGCGGGGTTTTGAACACTGTCGAGAGGACGGGTAGAAAATAAAGGAGAGCCTGAAGTGGACGTAATAGGAGGGATGATGCGCGAGGAGAGCAGCAGAGCAGCAAAGTTTCCCTTCCCTTCCTGGGAGCTGACTTGAGCTCTTTGCAGCATTATTTCCACGCCTCGCTTCTTCTACAGTCAAATTCAGGGCCATTGAGACTTAAACTAACCAAGCTGATGGAAAACATTGACTGTCCAGGTGTTTTACATAACCAAAGCCAAGCCTGTGGGGAAGCTGGGGATCGGCGGGATTTGATAGACCCCTCCCCCTCCTCAGCGTTGCTCCCTTCCTCTAGGCGAGCCACATATAAAACAGAATTTCAATTTCGAATTTAGGTTTTACTCAAATATAATTTAGTTAACTCTTTCTTCTATTTTTGATATCTATTCAATAATCAATAATTATCTTTTGTTTTTGAATAACCGTTCTGTAAAGAATTCGCCGTTGCCATCTATCTGTGATGCATTCCAAGCAACTTCCCGACTTCGATGACCTACCACTTGTGGAGGGCATGCCCCAGGGCTGTGCTTGGGGTGTATTTGACAAAGATGGCAAGAAAGACCTTTTGGGAACGCTGAACCTGCTCACACCAGACGTCGTGGCGGCTGCTTGTTCAGAAGCACGTGAAGGTGTCTCCATCTCTTTGAAGTAAGACTTGTTGAGAAACACATACTTCAATATCTGGCGTGCTCATTCGCCATAGTTGGCCACTCGACAGTTCGAAGTTACCATCTGGTCGCATGAAAGCTACGCATAAGCATATGACCCTTAAGGAGACTGGCCTGAGCGAGATGTCTGGGTGGGATGATGAGCTGCAGTTTAATACACAAGTTAGTGATATCCATCAACATGTTTTGGTAAGATGATTCTCAAAAGCATATAAGGTTAGCAGTCAATGGGATAGTCTGGTCCATTGGCAGCACCAGGAATCCGATCTGGCGTACAATGGCGTAAAGGTGACCCATGACGCCCTCGCCGCACCAACTACAGCCGCTAACAAGATGCCGACACTCGATCATTGGCACCAAAGGGGCGGGCTCGTGGCTCGTGGAGTTCTGATCGACTTCAAAGACTGGTACGAAACTAAAGCAACCGCTGAGGGTAGAACAGGCGATGATATCATATGTCATCCCCTGGATGGTTATCGAATCACCGTTGATGACATCGAGACAATCGCGAGAGAACAAAACGTCCAGTTCAAGCATGGTGATGTGCTTGTCATCCGCACAGGTTTGACGGAGGTCCTTGAAGACCTACAACCGGCTGACTGGACGAGACTCAGCAATCCACAAATCTCAGGCATGCATGGAAGTCTAGAATCCGCGAAGTGGTTGTGGAATAAGCATTTTGCCGCAGTCGCTGGTGATGCAATCGCTTTTGAAGCGCTGATGCCCTTGAAGGAGGATGGCTCGCCGGGAAGCCCTAGCGATCTTGGTAAGCATTTCAAGTCCTGCCGCTGTGCATTTGTTCGTTAGAGCTGATTACTTAGTTCTGCATCCTTGGCTTCTGTCCATGTTTGGAATGAGCATAGGGGAGCTCTGGGACCTAAAAGCACTGTCAGCGCACTGCAAAACGACCAAGCGATATACCTTCTTGCTTACCTCAGTTCCTATGAACATCCCAGGCCTTGTCGGATCACCGCCCAACGCCCTCGCTATCTTCTAGCTTTACTTGAAGGCGTTGTGTGCTCAAAACTACTATGAATTCTCACCATTCCCGGGGTTACGCGGAAAGATACCAACCTACGATGAGTTTACAGACTCACTCATTACGATGATGTAGGTGTTTGCCTCCCGTTCGTAACTCCCGCCTAAAAGAACGTGGATTGTGCATAAAAGATGAGGCCAGCGCGAACGGACGAGAGCTGGGCATCACTAAAGATGTATATATCAACACAACTTCCAGTCGTAATGCAGTACCTTCACTGCCTTCCAATTCATGCCACTTCTGTTGTCCAATAGTGCTCATAATAAGCTGATATTTCGAATGTGCCCAAACTTTTCAAGTTGATACCATTGGTTGAACGACCAACATCCAGAGTAGTGTCTGGCAACTGACGAAGACAGTCTACCCGACTGTTACATACCCTGCCATCGACTCCATTCTATCCCTCAGTAGCAAGACCCGAACCCGCTTGTACTGACTCCAGAATCTCGACTAACAAAGTCAGAGGAGATTCGTGCCATTCTGCATGCCGTAGTTTTTGGTTCGCAAGCATTGGGTCGGTTGAATACCACTGGATAGAACAGATGAATGACTATTCTGGTTCCTATCGGATGTTTATTTCCATTGAAGAATAGACGAGTTTCCATTGAGTGCAATAACATTAACTGCATTGAGAAAAATGGCTTCCCCAATATGACGCCTCGTTGATGCATTGTTCTGAAAGCCATGGGGGTTACCATGGTTATGAATCAGGTCAAGCTGTTCTTGAGTCCCTCTCGTTTCCACCTACACTGTTATTCCTTATTCTTATTCCTATTCCATCACTCAACCAACCGACCAACCTCAGACAAGTCTTGTGCTCAACACAAATCTTTGACATTTGGTACAACAGACCAAGTCAATTCTGAGACGAAAATCTTGCCCAAAACCACACTCACCTCACACAAGAACAACTTCCGTCACTATGGAAAGCAACAAACCAAAGCTGAGCGCCCGCGAGCAGGAGATTGTAGCCATTGTTTGGCAATGCTTCAAGGCGGAGCCGCAGGTAAGTACTCCCGTGCACTTCTGGCCTAGTTCATCACTGATCTAGATAATGCTAACGCGTGAAAAAAAAAAATTCAATCAGGTTGACACCGACAAGCTTGCCGAGCTCGGCGGCTTCAAGAACTCCAAAAGCGCCAGTACCACCTGGGGTATGCTCAAGAAGAAGCTGATGACTCACGGCGGATCGGACATCAAAGACACGCCGCCCAAGTCGACCGGCAAGCGCAAGAACGGCGACGCGTCCTTTGGCGAGACTCCGGGCAAGAAGCCCCGGGGAAAGGCGGCCAAGAAGGCCAAGGCTCCTACCATCGAATCCGATGATGACGACAACGCCGCTGAGTAGGTTCTCGAGACTGGTGGAGAGATCTAGGCAAAACGTGCGCAGAGACTGCGCACGGGATTTGGGATGCCAGAGAGCACATTTATGGTGAATGGTGACAAGAGTTGCCTTCCAGCAAGGAAACGATAATACGGAATGGATTCTACTGAAGTCTCGCCTCAAAGTGTGCTACCAATAGTTTCCAGGTTGATAGTGCATTCCCACGTGAAAGTCTAAGGTTAGATGACATTCCTCAAACACCCGAAACCCTTGTTGCACTGTATTCGAAATCGCATAGATATTTGTATACTCATATGATGAATTACTGAAACAAGCCGAGTTGCGTTGCTGGGTAGCCGTTTCCAATCCGCAACCTCGGCATCTTTCGAATGACATTTCACTTGCATCTCAGCCTCAACACCGGATTCTCCCGACCTGATCTGGGCTTTGGTGGGCTGCGCAGGCTGCTAGCTGTGGGGAAATTTGGGGTCCACGTTTGGAGTTGGAGTGCTGAGTGCGTGGCTGCAAGGGGAAGAGAGGAGACATGATTCCGCACTAGTTCCCCCGCATAATCACAAGCTCGGCTCCTGGTCGGTAATTTCTAGCTTCTGGAAACACCCGAACGACGTCACGGTCCCAAGCCGATTGTCACAGGCCGAGAATATGGCTGGAGAGCCTTTGGGGCACCATTGGGACCTCTGCACCAGCACTTGTCAAAGACGGCCACGAAAAATGGTGAGAATACGCACTCAACTGGTCAGACAAGTATGATTCAGAAGCCAACGGTGCAAAGGCAATCTAACCTGGTGGTTTGCCAAAGGATCAGCCAGTCAGGAGTGACCTCCGGTGCGCCGAAGGCCTTTAGATACGTGACTCCGGCAGTGCGGGCGCAACGCCAGCTCTCCAAAATTAAGTTCTGTCAAAAGAGGACCCACGCGAAGCCGCGGGTGTCTACGCAGTGCCCTCGACAAGACAAAAAAAGATATGCTCGGATGTACAAGCACTCTTGGGCTTGAGTCACCAGACAGGTTCCTCTACCGCCGGACCGGCTTGGGACCTGGACTTATATACAGTTTGTCTACACCATGGCTACGTCAGGTTTGAGAAGTAGATTCAAGCTTCTTCTTCTTCTGTCATGAATAGTTGTGCTCTTGTTACTATCATTGCTCAGTTTCCTGTTTCTACTCCTGTCACACTCTCCTAAGTCTGCCGCCGCCCAGTTCCTTCCCATTGTGATCATCCTAAATAACGGAAGGAGTGTTTGAGTCCAAGTGCGAACCGTTGTCGAGACACGTGCTCAAACCTTTGGTGTTCCTTTTCCCAAGGTTTTCTATCCCAGTTTATCATTGGCTACCTTGTCATCGACACTTGTTTTGGAACAGCAAATATTGTTATAAAGGGCTTCACATAGGGTGTCGACTCGAGTTCAGGACTTTTCAGGGTTTATTGTGACAATCCGGCTGGGAAGTGAACCGTAAGGAAAGGTCCGAGTTCACCAGAGGAGCAAGATGGCGACCAAAGTGAACGAGAACGGCAAAAAGCCGCCGTCCGTGGCGACGAATCTGATAGGTGAGCTGAGGACGACATTAAAAGCAACGTGAGAACAAGCTGCTAAACATGGTTCTATCCAGCTGGTGGAGGCGCAGGTATGATGGAAGCGCTCGCATGCCACCCTCTCGGTAAGTTTTCCAGAGTCCTATGCATATTGTTCAACCCCCGAGTATATCACCTTCTCGACTAACATGTACTTTCTCTACACCACAGACACGATAAAAGTCCGCATGCAACTCTCGCGCCGTGCTAGGCAACCCGGCGCCCCTAAGAGGGGCTTCCTGAAGACGGGAGCCGAGATCGTGAAACGCGAGACGCCGCTCGGTCTGTACAAAGGTCTCGGCGCCGTCATGACGGGTATCGTTCCGAAGATGGCGATTCGATTCTCGTCCTTCGAAGCCTATAAGCAGATGTTGGCGGACTCGGACGGCGGCGTGAGCGGATCGGGGACTTTCATGGCCGGACTGGCTGCCGGAGTCACCGAGGCCGTCGCTGTCGTGACGCCCATGGAGGTGATCAAAATCAGACTACAGGCGCAGCACCACAGCATGGCAGATCCGCTCGACGTGCCCAAGTACCGCAACGCCGCCCATGCGCTTTACACCGTCGTTAAGGAAGAGGGTGCTGGCGCCCTGTACAGAGGAGTCTCCTTGACGGCGCTGCGACAGGGCAGCAACCAGGCTGTCAACTTCACGGCGTATACGTATTTCAAGGAGGCCTTGAAGCGATACCAGCCGCAGTACGAGGGAGGAAACTTGCCCGGCTATCAAACAACGCTCATAGGATTGGTCAGCGGTGCGATGGGCCCTTTGAGCAATGCGCCTATCGACACAATCAAGACGAGATTGCAAAAATCACCAGCCGAGCCGGGTGTGAGCGCGTTGCAAAGAATTCAAAAGATCTCATCGGAGATGTTCAAGTGAGTTTGGCACTATTGATCTGGGCTGGCCTTCGTTTAGTGGGCCGCCAGACTGCAAATGTGGAACAAATAACTGACTTTTGTTGTAGACAAGAGGGCAGTAGGGCCTTTTACAAGGGTATAACGCCGCGCATCATGCGAGTCGCCCCAGGCCAGGCTGTCACATTCACCGTGTACGAATATCTGAAGGCTCAGCTGGAGAAGAGCAGTCCCTCTATAATAAGCGGCGGCAAGTACGAGGAGTAGTCTATCGCTGTGTTGTACTTTGCGGGTCCCCCTTTGAAGCAGGCTGTGCATCACTACGAGGTATCACTTGATAATCGAAACTATTTGAGAGAAACAATGTAACGGCCTATGTCAACATAGACGAGGGGATATGGAAGCTGGAGCCGAGGACAGGTCTGAGTTACACTATAGCACTGAGACGCGCTGTATATACCATGAGCAGCTCAATATTAGCTGCAATAAGCGATTTATATTTCATGTCAATAACGACGAGTTTGCACGTTTCCGCAGTTCTGCTTGCCTAGTCGTGCTAACTGCATTGCCTCTGAGCAGCTCATCGACCCGGTCTCTTGGGACGTCTGAAAGCCTGCCTCACTTCGGCTTGCGGGTGTAGATCATCTAGAACGCCTTTCTCCGTGATTTCAGTCGGCTCTTCGACCTCGAACTTCTTTTCAACCTTGATCCCGCATTCGCTTTCGGCAGCCGTAATCACAGCCCGCTTCATGAGCGGATACATCATGCGGAACTTGATGCTCTTGCCCGCGGCAGCTGGGCACGTGTAAAAGAAGAGGATAGGGCTCTGCTCCTCCCCTCCATACGTATGCGTAAACCGCCAGAACGTAAACCGCGGCTCCTTGTCGTCAAGGTTCTGCACAAGCTCTTCCACGGTCGAAGGGGTCGAGGAGCTCGGCAGCAACTCGACGACCTCGCTCTCTGGGTTGATCTTGAGGGTCACGATGCCGGCGCCCTCGCCCCGCCCCAGGTTGCTGAGCGCCACGAGCGCGTCCGTGGCCACGGGCATGTTCATGGTCTTGCTGAGATGGATCTCCCTGACGCCGGTGCCGCGCCCCTCCTCGGCCTCGGCCCGCTTCACCTCGCCCAGCGTGCGCTCCTCCTCCGTCAGCGGCGCGGCCAGCCCGGCGTGCTTCTCGTGCTTGGCGAAGCCGGCCGCCGTCAGCTCCTCGGGCGTCGTGGCGAATATGGTCTCGGAGAAGTGCTCGCTGCCCAGCTCGCGCACGAGGGTCAGCCGCGTCGAGGCGAACAGCATCTTCTGCCGCACCTTGGCGCTGTCCGGCACATAGCTTATGGCGATGAAGCCCGGCGGGGTGGGACGCCGGCGCAGCAGAATGTAGAGGGCCTCGTTGGGCTGGAGATGGGGGGAGAGCGACTCGAGGTTGGCGGAGAAGTCGGAGCCTTTGGACGGGAGGGTGGTCACGGGGACCAGCGATTCGCCCTTGATGGTCACGAGGAGGCCGAAGATGGATATATCGGAGAGCAGGTTGTTGAATTGGCTGTTCAGCTCTTGCGAAGCTGGGAAGTATGCATGTCAGTGAGGTGCCTGCGGAGGGGATGTGTCGGTGGGAAGCTACCTGAGATTCCGGACTGCATCTTGATTCGACGTACTTGAGCCTGGAAGCCCCAGACAGATGTGGAGAACTGATTTGATGACGGCCGTCGTATTATCGTGGGATCAGTCCAGCATGCAGAACGTTATTTCCCTGGGTCATCACGGCTGTGAGTTGCCTTGAACGAGACTCAAGTCGAAGCTACAGCTCCGTGCTATAATATAAAACCCCAGCCCCACGTTACAGAGGATCCCCCCGCTATTCTCGGTGAGCCCGGTGTGCAGGTGGAGTCCTTCCATTTCCCTTGGAAGTGCCCTTTTTATACCTAGACTAGTCAAATATTCAGGCTTTTATTATAAGAAAAAGAAGAGAATTATCGTTGAATTCAAAAGTCCAGTTCTCTTATATTAGAATAATATCCTCTAATGCCCTTCTTTCTGTTACATCGATCCACGTACTTTTTATCAGCCCCTTCATAATCTTGTTATCAACACCTTCTCCTAAAGCGACACAGGATCCTATTCTTTGATATGTTTGGATCCCCATATGCGGTGGGACCTGAAGGTTCACCGGCTTCAGGATCAAGAAGAAAGGTCCACATATAAACTTGGATTCATCCGGTACGTCATCCCAAATCAAAGGCAACAAAACAAGTGCCGCTTCATCGGCTGCTCTGGAGTATTGTTCCGTTATCACGTGTGGTTCCGCATCCCATTCCGCATGGGCATATAAGCGAACATCTCCGATAGCGAAGTTAAAAAAACTATCATCGTTCTCTTTTCTGTTTATTGGAAGCTTAGTTCCCTTCAAGTGTATCCATCCGCCTATGACCTCTCCGAAAGGAATTTCAGGATACTTCAGTCCAACGTGTGTCCTTTGAATGAACGCAAGTTCGTTGTCTCGGCGGCCCCAATGATAGGAGACAACTCCATCTACACAAGCCCAAGACCACGTCGGCGCACGGTATCCCGTGGGGCGTACTCCAGGAACAACACGGGTGTCGATGTTCCAGCATAGATGCTGCAGTAGGTCGTTTGACCAAAGCCCCCCCAGATATTCTGTAGAGCTTTCGTTTGTGGTCGCTTGCCGAGAAAACAGTGCTGCTATACCAGCCAGTGCTGGCAATTTATCGTTTCCTATTGTCAGCTTCCGATGCGAATATTGTTCGACCATGTAAGTCCACTGATGGCGTATGCGTGTGGGGTCAGCTGCTGCCTCAAGAAAAAGACCGGCTTTCTTAGGCAATGTGATGGTGAACCCGCTGTCCTCCGCACGAACATTGCCTTTGTACTCTACAAGGACTTGAGACTGGGTAAAATGTAATGTTCGTTGAGACATGAAACGTTCTTGTAGTGCCCAACCACGAGATGACAACGGCGCATCTTCTAGGGAAGTCTGTTTCGTCAAATCGACAGCATACTTTAGTGGGGTGGCAAAACACAGAACCTCATCGGAAATTTCGCCGCTAGAGAAAGGGATAGAAATATATCGAGGCTCCAGCCTGTCGCCCAGGAAGCCTTCCGTGTTGCCAGCGGATCGGCTAGCTGCAATTGTGAGTGCTGCATTTCCATAAACTTCGTGCATGCGTGCCGATTCGCGGGCCCAATCTCGCACATCATCTTGAATTATACAAAGACTATCGATCCAGAGGTAACGTATTCCCAGTCTAATGGTCAGCCATATGGCATCTTGGAATGATTGTGGAAGCTTAGCAGTGCGGATTCCCTTATGGAGTTCCTCGCCTGTTTGAGTGTTGAATGTTATTGGCTGAACAATACCCCAGCAGTGACTGAGAGCCGTGTATCTCTCATAAATGTTGGCAGAATTACAAAGAATAACACACTGGCCGTTTTCCTCTATCTCTAAAATTCTGGTCGGCATCGAGGGAGGCTTCGTAAGTTGATCCTTCGTCTCAGTGTCTCTCATCCATTTCTCGATTTCGTTTAGGACTGAAAGCGAACGAGGTGATCGTGGTATTTTCTTTCCCTGTATACTGGGTCGGAGTGCACTACCTAAGAATATTGTGAGATGGGAGGGATAAGCTTGGCGTTTTTCACGTCGTCTTACCATCCTCAACGCAAAATTCAAAACTCGCCAATAACTGGTATGAGCTGAACCTCTGACTAGGACTTCTTGGAACATATCCAAGAATATGAAACCCATCAACCTGAGGCTTGCCACATATCCACAATTCGTAATCAAGTAAGTATCCATAGCGTTGCGCGTTGGCATGACGCATATTTTCTATAACTATGTCAACTTGATCCTGAACTAAATGGCATAAATCACAGGATTCTGAGCTGGAACGTAGGAACTTCAAATTTTTGTGATAAAATAGAAGGTTCTCCACGGGATGTGAGATGTCTCGATCTGAGCAATATGAGTACAAGCCATATCCGGGGAAGTTCCAATGCAGGCGTAGATTAGGGTGAGTGCCGATGGCTCTTTTCGAGACAGAAGCGAAGTCAAAACTGCGACACACTTGGCAAAGCTCCATGATTAATCGGCTATCACAGCTAAAATGCTAGTGCTATGGCGTTATGGGTTTGTTTTGCGATATTTATTGTAGTCATCAAAGGTGCCTCAGCGAACTTCACCGTTTCCGATAAAACACGTGATCAGATGCATGGAATCGTTCTGGAACAATACCCCGCTCAAATCATACATGCATTCAATCAACTGTTCAGGGTCGATGAGTCTATGTTGATATGGGGAGTGTGCTATGGGGAGAAAAGGGGGAGGAAAGGACTTGCAATGTGCACCTTGAGAAAAGAAAATTTGAAACCCCCCCCCCCAGACTTAGTGGAGTGTAATATGATAATGTTTTCTCTCGGGCATCTGCTTGTACTGCTGTCTTTTATCCTCCGCGACCTCCTCTGCAACCTCTCGGCCCTTCGAGGTCGGTCGCGGAAGAATTTGAGCTCAACTTGTTTTCCATTGACTCATAGTACATAACTTGCAAGTGACCTAAGAATTGATGCCGTTGCTTTATCGACCGCTACCTACCAATTTCGCCTGTGAGATTCTAATATTATGAGGGTGCACACTGTCCACGAGACATATCTGACAAAGAATCAGCGTGGGCAGTCACGGAGCTAACCTTGTGGACTGATATGCGGTGGTGAGGTTCCAGCGGTCATATCCGGGACTTGACAAACCTGCGAATAAAGAAATGAAGACGAAGAAACATACACATTATTGGCCATGTCTTCTATTTTTCTTATCCGCTGGTAGCACCAACGACGCGGCTCATTGCCTGACTGCTAACATTGCGACCACTTCATCTGTCAGCCTGCTAATCATCTCCAGTCCAGGATCATGATCAGGGTTGACCTCCGCAATCGTTAGCCCGCCAACCTTCTCGCTCGTTGTAATTACTTTCAAAGCCCTCATCATTTGCTCAAACTCAACTCCGGTGAAGTTCGGCACGTTCGCCAAGGGAAACATCCGCGGGTCAATGGAATCTACGTCCAGATGAACCATGACAACATCAACCTTCTCTTCAAGATATTTTAGCGCCTCTCTCGCATGTTTCTCTGGCTCCCGTGCGACCGATGTTGAGCTGATAACCTTGTAACCATTTTCAGAGAGAAAGGCGAAATGCTCTGGCTTGTTGCCTGGATTCGCCATGTTGGTGCCGAAGAGGACCATGTTGGAAGCATCGCAGACGGGCTCACCTGACGGACGGGAGAACTGCTCCATGACTTTCAGCGCACCCTCAGATCGGATGAGATGCGTCATGTTCATGCCCGCGAAAATACCCGTGGAGTGTGGATCGGTCGGAGAAGCCAGATCCGTATCGGCATCGATATAGAGAAGGCCAACGCGCTGGGGAGGAGATTGAGAGCCAGCATGGTGCCAGAAGGCGGACAAAATTGCCGGGGACATGCAGCACTCGCCACCAAGAATGAGCTGGAACGGAGGTGGACTAATATGGCTGGCCAAACTTTTCGCTATGCTGTCATGGACGCGGTGGCAGACTCCAATATTGACACCTTCGTTGCGAATCCCGCCAGGAGAAAAGGTTGTTGCCTTGTAGGTCGCAGGTGTCTCTAGCGGTCTATGTTCTGAAATGCTTCTCAGACCAGCCATTCGTAATCTTCCAACAATATTCACATCCTCAAAGGCCTTCGGCGCTTTTGATTTGCCTGGGATAACGGACCCACAATCTGCGGGTACATAGGTAATGGCGACTGAGCGTGAGGCTGCCATCATACCGCCCAAATCACTCGTATTATCGTATTACCTCGAGGAATTATTCGTTTACGTATCTACTAGGTTACCCATTTTGCATGACCTTGAGGTAGATGATGCCAGTGGTGTGCGCCCTTCGATTGTCCTGCCGACCTTAGCACAGAGCTATGACGTAGGCTCTGTCAGCAGCCGTATTAACTAGGATCAATTGACTCAAAGTCGAATCATCGATATTGTGCCCAGGATATGCGTATATTGGCGCATACCTTTTATTACGGACGATATAGTCACTTGAATGCGACGCAGAACAGGAGGTGGATAGAAAGTTTGGATGCACCAGGGTTAGTTATACTAAGTATACGAATGCACGCATATTGCTAGGCGCCAAAAACTAATCAATCAATTGAACGCACAATAGTATCACGATGATTTTCCGAGTTATTTTGAGGAAGAGCACGTTCATATCTCGAAAGCGTATGATACATAACTGACTAAATAAGGGTTTTGTCCAACATCCAAATCTACCAACTACGATCTCGAATAGTTAACCTAGCTGCCTAGGTTAGGCTTTTGCATTGATTTTAAGCCCCACTTTAGCTGTTCTAGCGACAAGCATAGACGAGCCTGAGAGAACGAGTAGTATGCCTGACCAGACTTGCAGCATGTTCCAGTTATTCCCCCCATCAGTCGCCAAGATAGCCCCTGCAATAGGGCTCCCAACCAGCGATCCAAGCGCCGCAGTGATGAAAGCCATGCTCAAACGGCTCCCCAGTGCAGCCAGATTCGGCGACAGACTCGCAACGGTTGGTGATGGCAGACTGACAAAAGTCCCTGTGAAAAAGCCATACAGAACGCAGAACCCAAGAATACCTGGAACGTTCCTGATGGCTATAAGTGCGAGACTCAAGACAGCAGAGGCGAACGCCATTACCATCTGCATGTTCAAGGTCCCGACGTAGTCAGCCGCAAAATTAGGCAATATTCGACCTAGGGATGACCCGGCGTTTATGAGCGCTGGTAGGTAAAATGCTAGGTAAGGGCTCATGCCGGCCCTGTCCATTGCGTATAGCTGGACATAGAAGAAGACGACATAGATGCCCATGTATCCAAAGAATATCCCGAGCCCGAAGAAGGTATAGGGTACGTCTTTCAGAGACTCGAGGTCCAAGAGAGACCTGCGGCTCTTGGGGTATTGGAGCGGGCGCATGACCACGAGAGGAAGTATGAGGGTGGCTAGCATTATGAAACCGATAACTCGGGTAGCCCAGGCGAATCCAACCTTGTATTGGACTTGTGTCCAGACAATAGGATAAACCACTCCGCCTACGCCAAGTTTAGCCCAATTGATAGTAGGGAAAACGGGTGTAATACTTACCGATACTGCTACCGAGAGATGCGATACCGGTTGCAAATGCTTTTTTGGTGCTAAAATACTGGGATACGACGGCAACCGCAGGAAGGAATAGGCATCCGAAACCAGACCCAGTGACAACACCTTGGGCCAAGAAAAGCTGCCAGTAGTTCTTGCAAAGACTTGTCATGAAAACCCCCAGGAGGCTCAGGAAGGTACCTAAGTACAACAGCAAATGGAGGTGGCCAGCGTCGTAAATTGGCCCAACAATCGTGCTTAAAAAACAGAGCAGAAACATTTGCATGGAGCCTATCCACGATATGGCTGAATCGGTTGACGTTTCCGCAATGTCATAGGTATAGTATGTTTGGAACACACCGTACATGTTGACAATGCCCCTGTGTACCTAGTCAGCCCAAGACTTGCTCCCGTCATCGCCCCAAGATTCCGACTCACCATGTGTTTAAGAAAATACAAAAAGAGGCTGCGACCTGCAACCACGCCAGTGTTCCCCCATTAGGAGGGACCGGCGTAGCCACGACTTGGGTGTCAGGAGGAAGTTGTAGTGGCGTGGTGTTCTGGTGGCCTTGCGCAAACGAATCATTGTCCCTAGTTTTATTTCGAGTTAATTACGATGGTGGACGATTCCGGCCCAGTTTGTATCGGAAACATACTCATGCGGCGGCGTAGAATCTCCAGTAGAGCTGACTTCGTGGTGTGCAGTCTTTTCGCTGACAGACTGCGACGTAACATCGATAGGGGAAGGCTCCTGCATGACTTGAGAATGTCCGAAAGTCGCAGGCGACCGGAAAGAATATCCAACGGTCGCTCAGAAAGAAAACGATATACAGAAATGTATAACAAGACTCTTACCGAACTGTCTAGGATGGTCAGTCAGAACAAGGAAGCTAGAACAAATTTAAGCTTATTAAGGTAAAGACAATAATTAGCCTCTAAAATCCCAGCCACTGTTATACGAGGGATGGCCAGCAGCAGTTTTCCAAACGTACAAGGCGAAGTCCTAGCTAATCAGTGGGTTCATTTGGGAATTCCATACAATCTCGTATCCATATTCTCTATGAAACATCATGACATGGCGCGATAAAGTTGACGATTATCTGCTAGTAAGCTCATTGAACGATGATTGCACCTAAAGCAAGTCCCAAGCCCCTGATAGAAGTGCATCCGGCAATATCCAGAGCTATATTGGGATAAGGTTCACGCCAAATAGGCAGTCAGGCTTCAAACCCATGGATAGAGAATCTGATCAGTAGCCCGAAAACCAATGAGCTCACGCAGTTATGCAGCAGCGTAATACCTATCATCAAGGATTCTGCCCATAACAGTGCCAAGATGGCAAGAATAATCCCTGAACCTTGTAAGCGCCGCTCCCTGTCGATGCGCTTACGATAATACTTCAACCCCGAAACCTATACAGCGGGCATAGTTCTCGATATTGCGGCCAAAAATTCGTGCAGAAAGCACCTGTGCCCAGAACTAGTTGAAACCCGACAGGATATGCCTGTGAACTACCAAATTGATTTCCAAAACCTCATCAGTGGCGATATTTCATCGTTGGTGCATATAGATAGTGTGACAGTGTGCATGTCAGCTGACATACGCGGTAGTGCAGGCAAAGAGTTGGTTGGCAAAGTACAGTACGTAACATCGTGGTAAGTATTCAGCTTGGCAGCCGGGTTGTGCAGACGAACGTGATGGACTATTTGTGCGGGACAGGGGCTGTACATGAAGCAATATGCATTACAACCGATACCGACGTATGTAGAATCCGCTTGGCACTTGAAATTTGTTGGCACAATAATGCGATAGAAGACGTGATTGACTTCGATGCAACTCGTTACTATGCAAACTATTAATTATGCCGAGGTTCCTTCACGATTTCTTATGCTACGAAACGGATGAGACCGCATGTTCATAGTGCCCTATTATTCATTCAGAAGAGATAGTGATTAACAGGTAGACGCACCAGGCGATGATGAGTGTTCCTGTGAGACAAGTACATAGTATCTGGACCAACGGGAACCCCCAAAAAGCCACGCATCATCCTATCGTCTGAGTCGTACCTGAACGCCGTATAGAGACAAAAGCCAGAGCTAGCACAGACTACTATCACGAAGGATTCAGGGTAGGGGTCCCAATTCTTCACGTTGCAGTGCCATTTACGAATTACGGAGTAGAGGGACGCTATACGACGGGACGGCCCATGGGCCAGAACACCCTAGCGCGAGGGTAAAAGTAAGCGGTCTATACGTATCAGCTGTGTATACCCTTTCGAGGAGGGAAGCATCGTGTCGGGTTACCCCGCACTGTCCTCTACTTTGCCCAGCTTACGGATTGCACATATCTCACATAAGATTATCCCGCAGCCTTGCCTGCAAGGATTCACAACTACCAGGATTGGCGGTTCTCTAGATATAGCGAGTGACAACTTAAGCAGACTGAAAGATGGTTTCGAACATGGGTGGAGTTTCTAGACTTCGGTCCATATTGGAAGTTCAAGGGTAAATTGTCGTATACTATTCATCATTTTCCAATTCTGCATATCCATTTCTGAACTGAAACAATCTGATAGTTTCTTCATAATCGTGCCCTGTCTCAAAGTCCGTCCGACTTGCCATCCGACTTTCCAGGATGGGTGACAATAGTTTAAATCTTACGGAAGTCTATGGACGCAGGCTCATGACTTCCGTTATCGATGATCGGGCCCGCTCTAATCCACAGAAGACCTTCATGTCCATACCAGCAGGCAAAAGCGTTATCGATGGGCAGAGAGACATATCATACGGCGACCTGGCACAAGCAATTCATCGCTCTGCTCGGTGGATAGAGGAAACGTTAGGAAAAGGTGTGGACTTCCCACCAATTGCAACCTATTTGCACCCAACAGATTTCCGACATGTCCTTCTTACATTTGGAGCAATCAAGTCAGGATACAAGGTATGAAATGAAGTGACCTAGAACCTTATCTGACTAAGAATCATGTAGATGTTCTACAGCTCTCCACGGAATCGTCCAGAAGTCCAAGTTGCGCTGTTGGAGAAACTCCAATGCACGACTCTCTTCACACCTGAAGATGAATCAGAGACGACCAAAGCGGTGCTCGAGAGGCGGCAGATGAATAAATACACATTACCAGACCTCGACTTTTTTCTAAACGACGAGCCTGTCGAGCCATATCCCTACAATAAGACATTCGAACAAGCACGCAAAGATCCATACGTTACCTTACATTCATCTGGTTCTACTGGCACCCCCAAAGTTTTGAACCTGAAACAAGGATATGCGGCAGCCCACGATGCCTTCCAACTTTTACCTAGCCTGGGTGATACACCTTGGACTGTCAGTACCTGGGCTGGAAAGCGAGTCTTGACGAATTTTCCATGGGTACACGCCGGAGGGGCACATATCATCCCTTGTGGGATATACAACGACTTCGTCACTGTCATACCAGCGGCATGGCCTCTCACTGGTGCCGATGCGAATCACTTACACGTGCACGCCAATATTCAAGCCGCCTGGTTCTCTCCGTCTGTCTTGATTGACATCGCGCGCAACCCGACCTTCTTGGAGAACATCACGAAGCTGACCAACGTCTCCTATTCCGGCGGCATCCTGCCCGCTCATGTCGGAGATGCCATCTCGAAACGCACACGCGTTTTTGGGAATATGGCTTCGACCGAGACTGGAATCCTACCAGGCGAAATGCCACCTCCCGATATGTGGAACTACTATAAGTTCAACAAGCGTCTCGGGCACACTTTCCGCCATTATGACGGCGACTTGTTTGAGCTTGTCTATACGAGAGATAAGGCGAACGAGAGTTTCCAGGCTGTCTTCTTCACGTTTCTCGATGCCGACACGTACGAGATGCGAGACGTCTACATCGAACACCCTACACACAAGGGATGGTGGCGCTCCTCTGGACGCATCGACGACGTCGTGGTCATGTCCGATGCCAAGAAGCTCAACACCATCCCGTACGAAGCGGCGATCGAGCGGCACCCGGGCATTGCAACGGCCCTGATGTGCGGCACGGGTCGTCCGCGACCTGCGATCTTGCTGCAGCCGAGTCGGTGGCCAGAAACGAAAGAAGAAGAGCGCAGACTCGTCGATGCGACGTGGCCGACTATTGAGAAAGCCAATGAGGCGGGACCCGTTCTGGGGAGGCTGATCAAGGAACTGGTCGTGGTAGCGAGGCAATCTAAGCCGTTCGTCAAGGCGGGGGGCAAGGACACGGTGATGAGATTCAGGAGTCTTCAGCTCTACGAAGACGAGATAGATGAGGCGTATAAGCGTGCTGAGGAGAAAGGCCTTCTCTACGGCGATGTTGCAGATAAGGGCAACTTGGTGTGAGCTTGTAAGATCCAGGTGCTGTGGACACGGGCCTCGAAGCTTCTCGTCCAGCAATTGAAATATAACTAATTGTCAGACTATATATGTGATAGACCATGAGATGTAGTCAGGCTAAGCTAATCATTCTAGTTGGTATGTCAACAAGTGCTCCTATTTGACTCAAATTATTCCATCTGGGAGGCAACTGGTTCGTAAGATATCTCATACTCGTCCTAACAGCAATAGAAGATGAACAGACTGAAGCGACTGAGATATTTTACAGTTCGAAATATCCGTCCATAAAACCATGTTGGTCTATGACTGCATACTGTATGGTATGGTACCGGTATTCTAGCGAAGTCACTTTCTTCGCGTAACTCTTCGTAGGCGGGTGTGGCTCAGCCTCGTCTCGGGGTTCCAAGCGCATGCACAAGAACTGTCCAGGGTGCCTCGGAGTAACACGATGGTAACGCTGGGTTCGTGCGTTGCACAGACAAAGCTGTGGGTAGGTCGAGCTGAAGTGCAGTGGAATGCTTGTCTGTGTCCATACTCGAGTACGATGTTCAGCACCGGATTTTGTCTCAAGAAGCACGTTCTTCGCAGCACGATCATCAAGTCAAGCACGACTCTAAACTACCGACTAAAGTACTACCTTACATCAAGTCGCGGCATTGTGTATCTGTTGCTCTACCTCTGACACCGGACATTTGGAACGTGAACTCTCAAGCGACGCGTCACCTCTTCCCCTGGGCCGTACCCGAATTGGTTGACGTAAGCGCGACCCTTAGATCTTAAGTTCATCAGACCCCCGGAAGATCGGCGTCGCGTATTTTCGTTTCGTTCCAGTGGGACTTTGTCATGCTGACCTAGACGAACGATCACCGGCATCTAGTGGTGGAACAGTAATTTGGCGTTTTGGTAGAACCCAGGGGTCTGTAATCCCGTAGGATGTGACTGCACGCACAATTAAGATATTGCAACAATGGACTAAGAGCAGATTTATTTCAGGGTTGAACAAACGCACAGCGAGTGCGTCATGAATAAATTGTATCTTTTCTATCGCCGCCACCACTCTAAGCTGGGTGCTGCTGCTCTGTCTGGCCCTTTTCCGGACCCCGTCAGATGCGCTCTAAAACGACCAGTCGCTAATCATGCAAGCCATACTCCCCAAGGAGTCGGTCATCAATACCAGGACTCATGCTATCTACTCCCCAAATGTCAAATATCGTGACCTAAACGCCATGCAATGCTGTCGTAAAACCAAAAACTTCAAAGTGTACAAAAAATCCCTAATTATGTCCAGCACGGTGTGGTTCATAGCAGTGCGAACAAAGCACCTACTCCAATAAGTAGAGACAGTAGGACTGTCGATCTAGTCATGGTAGGGTTGGCGGCGCTTGAGCCGCTAACACCCAGGCCACTTGTGGTGCTGGTGGTAGCAACCCCGGCGGTTGCGGCCGCAGCATTGGCTACAGAAACCGCATCGGGCACCGCACCAGTGCCAGTACCAATTTCCTTGACGTTTGTTTCGGTAGCGTTGAAAGCCGTCTGCGCAAGGGAGATCTCATTATTAGAGATGTCGTACACGACGTATGCCGACCGTAGGAATGTGTCGCCCAATACGTTTGTGCTCGAACCTGCTGGGGCAATGCCAAAGAGGCATGCTGTGACGCCGTTGGAAAAAGTTGGACGCTTGCCACTGGTAGTGACCAGGTCAAGGACAAGCTCGTTCATGTCAACCTTGATTGTTGGTGATGTGAAAGTGAAATCCAGCGTCCTCGTATCCTGGGCCAATGAGCAAGGAACATAGGCTGCACCCTCACTCGAATCGTACTGTGCGCCAACTTCGTCGAAAATCTGCTCGACCCAAGTATCGGGCAGGTAGGTCAACGACGAGCCAGAATCCAAAAGAACTGCCAGCGCTTGGTCGCTGGCAATGGTAACATTATCCAGAACTACGCTGGTCAAAGTGATCAGAAACTCCGAGTAGACGCCACCAGACGCCTGTATTGGCAACGTCTCTAGTGACCCGGTATACTGCGCTGTGTCCACCCCGCCGAACAGAATGCTGCCAGTGCTAGCGTCGAGGTCGTTCAACCATAAGCTGTAGGCGTTGGAGGCGATCGTACCATCACTCGCCATCTTGGCGGGAAGATTGTCGTAAGCGTCCTTGTTTGCCCGTCCGACCTGCACTTCGTTGACCGGATAACCGACGCCCAGGATTCCCTGCGCCGAAGAGCTCTTATAACCGATACCGAATTGTAAATTGTCCACTGTTGTCCCCCCTATCGTTACCGAGTCGGAGACATAGTCTCCACTGGCTCCAGACCCGTCCACATAAGATATGTTGAAATAGCTTCCGATATATTCGTATGTCGAGGAAGAATTGGCCGAGTATGTTCCTGCATAAGAACATGGTTTCGATTTCCCCATGCAGAGGGATGAGGCAGGAGTATTAACCCAAAGATCACTGCTTCCAGTATCCAGATGCAACCTAAGTGACTGTGCTGGCGTTCCTATCGTGGCGTTGACGAAGTATAAGGTTTCCTGCCGAAGCACTTAGCGAAAGCTACCAACCAGAAAGTCAGTTAGTCAGCCACCTACCTCGTTATCCAACGAAGCGTCGACCGAGCCTCTCCTTCTCAACCGGTCTCGCTTTACAGGGTCTTCTATCGTTCTCCTCTGCATGTTCATGCCCACTACTCTTGACGAGCTAGGGCTCCTGTCCTTCATGGCGAGAGCGTCTGTTGGTGCTGATAAAAGGCCAGCCACCAAGGCGACAACTGAGACTGACTTCATCTTGATTGATCCTTCTCTTGGTTTCGGCAAATCGTATCCCTCCTGGCCGCCGACAATATTTCGATGTGATATTGATGCTATAAATTGGACATTGAGGCTCTCTTGTGTTATCACCTGGAGAAGTAACACCGGGATTTAATAATATGGTGGCGAGGTTCCCACTCAGCCACTAACACGTAACTGGGACTACTCGTGCGCGTCCTTTGGGGCTAAGGTTGGATAGCTAGGGGCTAAAAAGTCTAAACCGGGAACGAAAGAAAAAGGGCGAGGCCGGGATGAACAATGGTAGCGAAACAACTGTATATGAGAATGAAGAAAAGCGAAGAATGGAGTGGATATTGTTGCGTTGCGTCGTCAGCCTTCTCCGGAGCAGAAAAAGACGGGGTGTGCATAGGTTGCCAAGTTGGATCCGTGATTTAGAGAAGCCTTGCCAAGCCTGCTTGGAGTCTCAAGAATTGGACGAAGAGAAGAATGGAATAGATGATGTACAATGGCAAACATAAGCAATTGAGGCTACTGACCTCGAACTCGCTCAAAGAAGGAGTATCCTACTCGGTGGGGTGATCCACAGGAGTGGATGTCTTGGCATATCTGACGCGCGGCCACCAACGTCGACACCAGGGCGATCCCCACAGGAGACCAGAAACAGTCAAGACGTTTGCGCATCCCAGCACAATGGTTCGCTGTAGCGCGCTTCTTGGAGGCCAAGGGGCCAAGGTGCAGGAGACTCTCCAGGGCATGATCATGGTACAAATCTGCCGCCACCCCCCCCCCCCCCCCCCCCCCCCCCGAGCGGCTTTGGTTGCTGTCGCAGGGCTTTGAGACGTTTGGATGTGTCAGGGGTAGGGACCCCCCTAGCTTACGTCCTCATCAGAAACAGACGATGGCCATGGCGCAAATGCCTTTCAGCCATCATGGTCTATGTCTCGAAGAGCCGCCTGGATCTGCCGGACTGCTGAAGTGCGTAAAAAGTGATTCCGACGATGAAGAGAGTTTGCCAAATTTGGCGGCATTTGGTGAGATTGATGGCTCAAGGTGGCGTAAGACTAGACTCGACGAGTCGGGGCAACAAGAACGATCGCATCATATTCAGAATCCAGGTTCCTGGGCTGCTGGGGACCCGAACATAATTCTTTGCATGCTACGCAAAGCGATGCGGCGAAAGGTAATGCATCTGGCGTCGCAATCGCAATCGACTAGCGGAGCAGAGACGCGGCACTTTCTCTCCGTTCTTAGAATAGATCACAGTGATTGGTGGCACGGATCCCCGTCTGGCACTGATCCGAAAATCCCTGCCACCTGGTCGTTGTCCAAGCCTCCCTACAGGAAACATCATAGCACGTTGTGAAACATGCTTTTCAACGAGATATCGTGAAGATTCGTCAGGCAGAGTATATGACCATGCTGTATCATGGCACCGTCAAATGGCGGCGTACAAGAACAACGCGAACTTATAGTCAGCAGCTTGGAAAATAAGCCTCAAGAACAAAAAGAGCCAGACAAGCACCTTGCCCAGAGGCATCAGCCGCCCACATTCCGATCTAGTTAGTCTAAAGTTAATAAACCGTGCGGGACCTGGCAAAGGCAAGCCTCGGATGCAAGTCGTTTTCTGGTCAGCTGACGCGCCCTCGAGCTGACTGGCAATGTATCTCGGATTTGGACGCAATCCAGAGCACAATAACTGCCCAGGCCCGTCAACTGAGCAGTTTCGCTCATTTATGGCAACTCGTCAAACCTGCACGCTCTCACGATAGTCTATGCATCTACCCGATGAAAAGAAATTACCTCCACCGGTAATTAAGCCCATATATCGAACATATGCGTCCACCCGTGGTTTGTGCATCACGGTTGGCCCGCATCATCAATGTGCACTACAACCACAATTTGTTATTCTCCGTCAATAATGCAAAACGCATGTTTTGCGTATTTGCCAGTCGGCGTAATTATGGGGACCGTATTTTGTCTATCGCCTGCTGACTGCCTTGTGAGCATCGGAATTCCGAGATCCTAGAATTGAAGCATTGTAATCGTGCGTCTCTAATCCACAATCCGTAACTACGGTTGGTTAAAATGTACTTCCCGCACACCGTATACTATACTCCGGGTCCGTGCACACCCGTTCATAATCAATTCATCCGAATGCAACAAGAAAGTTTGGCATTTGATACAACTGCATGTGTCTCTAGACGCAGAGCGAGGAATTGCCAGCGCGTTTTCTATGTTACTTCCATGTTAGTAATCTGAAGCCTTGGCATAATGCCTTTGAGCCAATAGGGATGTTCTGTATTCTTCTGCCTGCGCGCCAGATGTAGCAGGAGTTCACCATGACTGCATGCTCAACAAACACTAATTGCGACAGTTCCGAAGCGGCTCAGCGAGATGGGATCCGTGGCCGATATTCCAGGTGAGAGATCGCTGCCTAGTTATCTTGGCCGCGTGATATTTTTGGAGCTTCTCACTATGTATATCAACCATGCAAAAGATTTAATTAAAAATCTACTGTGAAGTAATTCTGCTTGTTTTTTCTTTAAGTAGTGGGAGCAAACACGTACGAATATGAACCAATTACCCCTGGAATTTGTATCCAACATGGACGCATATAATCCTGACCGATGGTAAGTTACTTTAACGTATACCTTGTCTTGGTCATCAACGCTCATACCCAAATTTCTAGTCCGGTCTATGCCGTACGCAGGCCCATGTTCTAGTATGAATGGCATGGCATATGACTGACGTCTGGCCACAGTCATTCTTCGGCGCAATGGGGTGCGCCGCCTCCATCATCTTCACCGTGTTCGGTGCATCATATGGAACGGCAAAATCAAGCGGCGCCATCTTCTCGTCAGGGATTATGCGTCCCGAGCGCTTGATGCAGAACACGTACGTGTGCTCGCACGTGAAGAAAAGCCTGATAGTGATGGATGGAATTGCTGACTTACACCTCTCGATGTCAGCCTATGCGCAATCATGGCCCAGATCCTAAGCATATATGGCCTGGTCGCCAGCGTGATCATCTCTGGCGATCTGATTGAGAAAATGCCACTGCACATGGGGTTTCTGCAGCTCGGAGCCGGCATCAGCGTGGGTCTTTGTGGCCTCGCGGCTGGGTTCGCGATTGGCATCGTTGGCGACGCTGGAGGTAAATCAATCTCTGCGTTCCCGATCACCCATGATGGCGAACACGAAGCTGATTTTACAACGACATATGTAGTTCGTGCCAGCACACAACAGCCGCGACTCTATGTGGGGATGGTACTTATTCTCATCTTCGCCGAAGTCCTTGGTCTATACGGCGTGATCGTTAGTATCCTGATGCTAACAAAGTCCCGGGACGCAACTGCATGTCCATATTGAGTAAAACGTCCAGATCGTTTCAATATTGAGAGCGGTTACAATAAGTATTTTTGATGATCAAGTTTATCCGGAGCAACATAGAATAAGTTGTGCCTGCTTACGTGGCACGACAGGGCGAAGGGGGGGCTTAGCATGAAGGGGAGTCCATAGTGCCAGCTGCGGCAACACTAAGACAGCAGCACATGGGCGCCAGGGGAGACACATCAGACACATTCATCATAGCCATTGTCCGCAGCGCCCAGGTTGTCAGGAGCAATTTGCATCATATCAGCGAGTCTCAATAATACTTTTCAGCAATTATGCACTTATTTGAGACAATTCGTACATGATTCTTTGTGATATGTTTCATCAGACGACGCTAGTGCTGAGCCGTAATCTTCTCATCCCTTGGACTGAGCAACATATCGTGACACCCGTCCTAGCTACGTATTCGAAAACTTTCCTTTTAACTTCGTCCTTTGATTACGAAGTACAAATAACATCCCGTCTTAGTAGTGGGTGGTTTTTTTAAAAGAGAGCACACACATATTATGCAACTTCCTACCTCTGTGCATCTTCAACAGTCGGTCTGAAAGCGCCGTCAATATGCCAGAATTTCATCCAGCATTTTATATAGCGTAAGATCACTTGTCGTTCGAATGTCGACCCCTGCTTCAAGAGAAAGCCCACTAATCGAGTCGAGGACTACAGAGCATGGATATTCTTCAGCAACCTGACAATCATTTTCAACAAATGGCTGCTTGACACGGCCGGGTTCAGTGAGCTATACTCTTTTTCCGGCGCCGTTCTCATAGGCACTATGGAAGAAATCCTGTACTGACTATCGCACAGGATACCGCAAGTGACCATTATTTTTCCCTTTCTCCCCCGGACCTCCCGCCTCCCTTACTAACCCATCGGCCCAGCTATCCTCCTGACAACCCTCCACCTGACGACCTCAACCCTGCTAACCCAATGCCTCGCCCGCTTCACCCCACTCCTCAATGGCCGACACGGCACCAAGCTCACGGGGCGAGCCTACCTCCGGACGATCCTGCCGATCGGGGTGCTGTACACGGCCTCGCTGCTGTGCTCGAACCTGGCGTACCTGTACCTTTCGGTGGCGTTCATACAGATGCTCAAGGCCGCTGCGCCGGTGTCGACGCTGGTGCTGTCATTCTGGCTCGGGCTCGACAACCCGCGGGTGTCCCGGCTCTGGAACGTGCTGGCCATCGCCGCGGGCGTGCTGCTGAGCAGCCTCGGCGAGGGCCGGTTCAGCTGGGCCGGCTTCGGGTACCAGATGCTCGGGACGCTGGCCGAGTCGCTGCGGCTGCTGCTGATCCAGGGCCTGCTGAGCAGCAGCAGCAAGGAAACCGGGGAGGGCGGCGGGGCCAGAAGCGAGGCGCACGTCGCCAAGGGGGTGGGCATGAATCCGCTCGTGGGGTTGTATTACTACGCGCCCATCTGCGCGGTTCTGAACGGAATTGTGGCACTGATGGTCGAGATGCCCCATTTTGACCCGGCAGACCTGCAGAGAGTTGGATGGGGTATTTTGGGACTGAACGGGCTGGTGGCGTTCATGTTGAACGTTGCGAGTGTGTTCCTGGTGAGCCCCCTTTCTTGTTTCTTTTTCTTTTCCCCCTATTCAGTCTCTAAACAATTTTTCTTGTCGCGCACCCCATATTCTCTCTTTTACACATGTCAGAAAACGTGCATTTCCTTACTGACTACGACCTTTCTACATTACAGATCGGACGTACGTCAGCGCTTGCCATGAGTCTCACGGGGATCCTCAAGAGCATCCTCCTCGTCGCGGTGTCCATGCTGATTTGGCACACGCCGATGACGCTGCTGCAGGCGATCGGATACTTGATCGCGCTCGTGGCCATGTTCTATTACTCTATGGGCGGAGTTGACCAGGCGAAGAGTCACGTCACAGCCGGCAAGGCATGGCTCGTCGAGAACAGCAAAACATTGTTCTCATCAGGACAATCATATCAAGTCGTGCCCACAGAGGCTGGTGGCCCCCGAGCGATACCGGAAGATCTGGAAAGAGGCCAATCAGGGGCTAATACTGGTCAGAGATGCGAGGAAAATGAGAGATTGGCCGCACAGCATGGATGAGAACTAGATGAGGTTTACTCGGTACTCCTATCAGAGTTCGCGTGGTCTACATATCCCCGCCATGAATACTTTTTGCCACTAATGATTTGGCACAATGTTAACCCAGGCGCGGCGTTTGTCTCGTGAAGTGCCTAATCTGAGTGAGCGCGTTCAAGTAGTTGTTTTCATTTGGTCTTCTCGGACCATATTGATTCATTCCTATTTATGTCGGCGTGGAAAAGAATCATGCGCGACTCTGGCGAGCATGGACAGACATTCCATTATTCTCAATTACAATATGCAAACGTCGCAGTATGGACGCTTGTGCTTTTAGGGATCCCATATTTGATCGTCCTAGAAGTCGGTTCCGCTAGAACGCCTGTTTTCTATGTCTCATCATCAATCTTATCGACTTCGGTCTTGGCCTCTTCCCATGTTTCTTTGCACTTGCGCGCCCACTCGATCTGGCTTTTCGCATATGCAAGCTAAAAGATCGTCAGCACAATGACAGTAAAAAGGGGCTGTACATCAAGACTCACCATGTAACGCCTGAGATCGTCTTCCTTCTCGCCCTGGAACCTCTTCAGATCCTTCAGAATGCTGCCACTTGCGTCTTTGACGTCCTGCGCCGAAACAACTTGAGCTTGCTCGAGCTGTTCAATGCTTTCCTTGGTCTTGCCGATGGTATCACGTCTTGTCCTTTCAGGGTCGACATCTGCAACGCCCTGTATAGCATGACGGATCGGCCCGAAGATCTTATTAGTGATGGAGTTACCGCTCGGTGCTTTCTTGTGGGTAGGGGGAGGGCTAGTATGCTCCGGAGCCCCTACTCTTGCTGAAGGAGCTGAAGAGAAATCTCCATGTGTGGGAGGGAAATCGGAGTCGAATGATGCGGTGTCCTCCCCACTGCCCTCCCTATAGTGCTGCGTTGAAGTCTCCCTCATACTTGACGATCTTCGAGGCGGCTGATGGTGAGAATTCCCACTAATTTGTTGCGAACTACTCAAATATTGTTCAATTCTGCGCGCTTCAGCTTCGCTTCGCTCCAATTGGTCAAGAAGAGCGCGCTTCTTTTGTAGTTCATCATTGGTCATCTCCTGCTGTACCCTCTTTGAGAGTCTGTATTGCAGGACGCTGCGAACAACGCTCGCGAACTGTGCGTTTTCTCTCATAGGTTCGGCGAAGCTGGCACCAAGCGAACCGGCAAGCTCCTCAGTTGCGATATACGAGGTATCAGCGGCCTGGCCCACCCGTTCGATAGCAGCACCCAATGTGTCCGACTGTTCTGACAAAGCGAAAGCGTTGTACTTGGCGCCCAGATCAGATAGATCAGTCGACAGAGAGGTGAGATGGCTCAGTGTGCGACGATTGACCTTCTCCATGGGACCCATCGACAGCTTTTCGAGTTCCTTGATAGAGGTTTCAAAACTTATGAAATAGGGGTCCAATTCCTGTTCGTTCAGTTCATGGTTCTCGGGGGGAAACTGATGGATGATTTGAGGTCCAGTTACACTCGCTGACCCGTCAAATGCTGGAGAGGGGCCTGTCTTTAGCTTGGCCGAAGCGGCGGGGACAGGAAGCCAGGAGTGTCCAGGTGACGGGTTGGCTGTATTCAAGGGCGGCGCCTTCAAAACCTGCTTGGGGATCGAAGCAACGGGATGCGAGTGGAGAACCTCGTTCCAGCTGGCATTGGGATCCAAGAATCTCCACCAGACGCCGTCGTTCCTTACTTGCTCCATGCGTCGACATCTGTTCAAGAAGACGGCCAACATGCGCTTTCTCAGGTCGATTATCTGCTGATCCTGCTTGGCATTTGTGGGGTTGGCGGCGTAGTCTGCCATGGTGTGCTTATCTGGGATGGGAGGAATAATGAGAGTTGGGTGAAGTCGAGTGAGGGCATCTCGCAGAGAAGCAAACTCGGAATATCGTCGTCGGACTTCGAGATCGCCAGTTCGGATGGTGTAGACAATGTACTTGCCGCCGTGCTCCATGCTCTTTCCAGCATCTGTGATTAGAATGGGCAGTTCTGGGTTCTCGTAGAGGATCTGCTCTATGCGACTGTCGTAACCACCAGGCTTCCTCTTGGGGACCTGACTCCTGGCTTGCTCGGCGTAGTCGTCATCGCTATCGACATCGCTGTGTTCCTGCTGCTGGCCATACGGACGGGGCGGCGGGGCTTCGTCGCTGGTCGACGAGGGGGTGTTGGGTGCATCGTAGCGAGGGTCTAGACATTCCCAGTCGGCATCAGCTTCAGCTTCATCTGGCGAGTCATCCAACGCTATTGAGTGCCACATTATGTACGCTTCTCTTGACCCAAGGGGATAGAATGTGTGTACGTATGCATGTGACAGGGGGATGGGGACAATCGAAATGCGCAAATGCAGCTTGAACCAAGGAACTACATGGGGAACGAGGACTTACAGTCTCGCGACGTGGGTGATGTTGGATTTGCTGAGGAAGAGGTGACTGAATCCCGGCGGTCAAAGCTGGTGCCATATGGATTGTTGTCTTCCTCGTCGTTCCACATGATGCAGACCTTGGTGGGCACGACCAGATCACTGTGAATCGGCGGTTAACAATGACAGTCGGCGATGGGGGCCTGAGAGATGGTCAACAATGACAGCCGGCGACGAGGGTTTGAGGGAGACGGCCAACTCACAGCTTGGTGATCGAAAGAGCAAGTGCGGTTACCGGCTCGTATCTCGTTCAATGCGATGCGATGTAGGTGCGACGAGGACACGGCGGCGAGACCGGGTACAAGGCAAGGCGGGGGAGGGGGGGGGAGAGGAATGGATGGTTTGAGGATGCAGCGACACAGCTCTTCAGCTGAGAAATCGACAACAAGTATTAAGATGGGATCATTGGCGCCACATGGCAGGTAATCACCAAGTTCACCAGGACAAGACAGTACAGCACAGTAGTTAGTGGGGTCTTTGTCGCTATTATCGCGGGCTGGTAATGGAGCTGGTCTGATAGCGACGGGAGCTCAAAACTGGGAGCCTTGAGTTGGAGCAGATGTTTTAACCTGAGCTTACCATAGCACTTAAGTTGGTCTAGGTTAGTCTAAGGTTAGTCTACTGTATCAGAACGAGCAATGACAACGACAATGACAATGACGACGGTCTCGGGTGCACAGACGCTTTTGTGCTTCCATGTTCTGCTCGGGTTGCTCGTAACCGTACTTAACCACTAGCTAGACTAGCATTGGCAGTAGCACAACTTGCTTGTACCCAAGGGGCCCTGCACCCTACTCGTACTACAATACGGATCTGCATGGACAAACCATAAAACGGTGACAAGGGATCGCTCCACCCAAGTCAATATATCACAAATCCTTGTTCAAGTGGTCCTGAATAAGGATCAATACCATACAGCTAAGCCCATGTTCAATAGTCGCCAAAGTTTACGGTTTCTTTTCGCCCAACTATATTGATCAAGTACGTAAGAGCCAATCACGGCAAACAACAAGAGACAAGTTCCAAAATTTAACGGCATGTCAGCCCGCGTTTGCTTCCACAATATAACACCAAAACACACAAAGGCACGGAACTGACAAAAGGGATTCTATTCAAGTAAACGGCTTTGCAGAATCCTGTTATCCATTCTAAGGAGGAGTAAATCCTAGAGAGTTTACAGTGTTTCGGAACAATAAGAAAACTCCACTAATACAACTCTAGCTTGATTACAAACACCAGCATCAACTCTTCTAGATCATAAAACCACTTGCATGCCCTTAAGTCTGACGATGCCGACGAAAATGACCGCTCTCGAGGGTGCCGATTCGACACGATAGCGCACCTTGACTTCATCGATGATAAATACCAAAATTCATGTCAAGGTCTCGGGGTTCTGTGTGTGATCTGTTAGCCCTCATCGACGGGGACAAGTTGCTAGGCGAGATCACTGCAAGGATGCCTCGGTATAGTAATCAACGCACCTGCGGCCCCAGCGCCGCTAGAGAAGGACACAGAACCGGATAGACTGGCTCATATCAGTATCGTAACACCACGAGTGCTGGTAAGAGATTTGCGGCATCGAATACAAGTTAAACCTGGCCAACTGGCTTGGTTGGGGTTGGTTCGCAGATATCTCCGAGAACTTCATGAGCTTCGAGAGACAGGGCAGAGAGCTCCATCAAAGTATTACGACATTGCCAGCTAGAAAATAGTTACAGGATTGCGAGTAGCAGTTCACAAAGGTCGTAAGTTCGCAATAACTTTCAAATAATACAACACTGAGTCTGTATGAGTTTGATGATCGGTTCACGGAGGGTAGTGAAATTTACTCCAGAAGTTCCAGAACTCTAGAAACGGACCTCGCTATACCAGAATGTTTACCTTTAGAGACATTTACTTGTACCGGAGACAGGAAAGAGGATATCTTTGACTGGCATTCAACAAAGTCAGAAGCAACAAAAGCGTTTGTAGTCGCAACAAGCCGTAACAAAGTATGATCGCATTGTGCAAGCTCTCACTCTAGAAGAAAATAAGGTCTTTGACGCACTCGTATTTCGAACGGACTAACAGCCGCTATAAAAGCCAGAAGCTTCATCAGCAAACAGATTTAATGCGGTACACTGTCCGATACTGGTGGTTGGTTACAACAACCATGAAGTTTTTTCAATTCATTACAAGAATTTTTCTCTCAAGTATTGTGCCCAGCAGCAATAGCTCTGACTGCTCGGAGAGAGAATTTGGTCATTATAATCCCAAGGTCGACGAGAAGAAAGCAATCGAATCTAACGGCTATGAACCCGGGCTTCGCACGAAGAAAGCAGTCGAGGCCGTCAAGGGCAGACCATTGAAGCCGGGTTTCTACTTCGTCCGCAAGAAGGGCTCCCGCACTGTTTGGGTAGAGAAGCGCGACGGAAATGGGCGCACGACCTTTTCAACACAGCCTGGTGCCGAGATAATAAAACACAGTAAAAAGAGAAAGCATCATAAGCATCATCGTAGCAGTGATAGGACACCGACAAACTACCTGTACGGCCATCCGTCTGAGGTACATACGAAATCGCTACGTATGGCAGCAGAATATATTCCTTATCAACGGTCTGAAGCGACTACCAGATCGCAGAGTATAGCTCCAGGATATGACCCTGATCAACTGTTCAGGTCGGCCTCAGCTCCTTCAGAATTTCTTGTTGCGACTTCATCATCAGCACATAGTGACCAGATGACTTCAATATCTAGGAGATGGAGGAACGGGCATCCACCTGGGCGCGACTACTAGTCTAAGAAATATAATTTTAATAACAGAAAAAGCACTCACTCGAATTACACGGAGATGTTTATATTCTTGTAGTAATAAACTTAAACACTCTAAAGGACAAACAACACAAGACTTCCAACGAGGAAGATGCAAGGGATATGGAAGCCTAGAAAAGTATCTAGCCTATATCCACATAAGATTCTCATGAAACAGTGTTACATATCTACTTATCACTCATTCACAAGCATTTCATCAATACTTAACATCAATAAAACAAAGAGAGTTGGCTTTTGTAGTTATGGCATTATATGGTCTATTCTGTCTTGGGCACAGAATTACGTTGCCACCATTGTTGCGAGAAACCCGACATGTGTAAGATATACCGATCCTAACAGTCGTCATATAAGAGAAGGTTGTCGCAATTTGCGCCTAACCGATCATCTAGTGGTCTTGACCGTAAAACCAGCGACGTATGAAACGAGTTGCGCAGTTTCAGTACTTTTTCCGATGCTTCTTCGCCGCCGCTGTTGCTGCTGCCAAATCGTCTTGCTGGCATTTAGGACATACTCCCCACGAGATCCGATATTCGTCTTCTCGGCCTTCCAAGGTGCTCCAATTCCTCGCGCAATTGACGGTGCCCACATCAATTGTCTCGGGGCATGGAACTATCTTGTCCGTGTAGCCCATGTGAGGTTCGACTATGCTGCAGGGATTTATATAATAGCTGAAACGCCCCTTACGAATCGGATCGTTCGAATAATGAGGGCAATTGGGGTGCCTTTCGCAGATCATTGGCCAGAATTCCATACCACACATGATGATTAATCGTGATGATTTGTTGTCAGATCTATGCTGTTCCAATGTTGGAGATGATAGACTACTGTAGGCGATTCTTAACGTAGAGCATTGGTTTAAGACTTTTAGCGGAATTTATCTGCTTGAGAGATACCTTGGGTTCTCCTAAGTTTCTTATTTCAATTTATACATGTTCAGCAGCTGAGTGTTAAACATATGGCCTGTTCACGACTGAACAACATCACAGTCCATGACATGTAGCTAACTATTACAGAACAATATCACAGCGCCTGTCACATGACTAACTGTTACACAGCACAGTTAATAGGGTAGAATATTGAGCAGTATCGCTTTGTCTGACATCATCCCCCATGGAATGGCGAGTATGCCGAAAAACACCATCACAATTCAACACTCAAGTCACTTTAGAGGGAGTAAATTGACCGCGATGGATCTTTAACATGAATTGGCCGTATCGATACTTTGACTAGGGTGTAAATTACCACATCCAGTGCCTTGCTCCCGAAGTCAACTGACCCTTGCCTGCCGCTACCTTTTGCCCTTGTCTTGGGCTTTCAGCCTCGTCTTTAGGGCACCATCGGAGGAATCTTTCCATATCTACGGTCACAGGAACCGCACTGGATAACTTCAAAAACATATCTTTCTTGTAGATTTTCCACAAGGTTCCACGCAGCAGTGCACCATGGGGTGTTGGCATTTTCGGCTTGGCATACGACATCATTTCCATCCTTGTCCTTTTTTTTCTCGATCTGCTGGACGCTTGATGGATTCCTGTGCCACCCGAAACCTATCGAGCCACAGGTGGGGCAATCCATTCGATAACAGATTATTCCGCACATGGTGAATGATGGTGATGAATTGCTGTTAGAATTGAGGCGTTACCGGCGCAGAAAGGTGTGCCGATGCAGGGAAGTGTGCCGACACAGAGAAGAATACCGACGTAAAGAATTGTATGGACGTAAAGAATTGCGCCGATGTAGAGAATTGATCGAGTATCTTAGATGTCTCTTTGATTTGGGCTGTGCTTGATTTACCTGACATCGTTGCTGCTAATTTATACTTGCAGGTTGTCGTGATGCACACTCATCTTCTTATTGGAGTGATTGATATCGCGCCCTTGAAATTTCGAGTCGACGGCTTTGGAACGAACCTTCAATGCCTGTGATATTGACATAGACCGTATACGCAAAGTCACTGGTTCTAGAGTAATATATCCTGAGAACGCCATTTCAAATATGATTCGACCCTCACGACTTCTTGAACGACGAGAGCAGGCCCAGCCAAGCCAAGAAAGCGTACAAAACTCCCCATAGATATATTGCCAGGAGTTATTGCAACTCCTATGAATATAAGCCGTGGCGCTATACGCCCAGAGGTCACACTTTCATACCTCAATTTCAGAAATTGTGAACCATTTACTTCTGAATAAACAGTCTTAGAGGATTCTTTGTTGAGGGGAGGGGGGAGAAAACCCCGTCTCCCGAGGGTTTATCAGAAAACAGTGGCACTCAATAAATATGCTTGAGGCATAATGCCGTATTTCAATTTCGCCCCAAGTAAATGCTGAGTGATGGCGAAAATATTGCAATAACTTCAAATTACAATAGTTGAATTTTGCGTTTCACATTGTGAATCCCAAGTATATGTCATAACGTCAGTGCAAGTTGAGCTCATTGAGAATGATTTTCGGTTTTGGGTATGGGTAAGAGTTGCCCTGGATAAAGCTTCGTTCAGAACACCGTGGCAGTGGCGGACCAATGTATAGCAGAGCATCAATCGAAACGGATCAGCAAGTTGGCCCTGCATCGAAGAGCTCAAAAAGCTTCAAGTGATCAAGTCTGCCAATACATAGTACTCTGTATGGGAATGAATGAATCGAAATCGCTTGTGCAACATTTCCAAAGCTAGTTACAGAACGGAGTACTTGTTGGTTGATACACCGCTTGGGCGCAATTCAAAATCCCCAAGACTCTGCAAACAAATGCGTAGCCACCCCTTATATCATACTTTCTGGAGTGTTTGTTGGGGTCGGTCTGCAGAACTTTGACTTTGACTTTGATTGTTATTTTGACCGACGGCACTACGGTGATGGCCAAATGTGCTCAGACAGTCACATGGATAGTTTATGTCGGAGTCGGAATCATCTGAGCCGTCTGAGCTGCAGAAGGATTTAGAGTTAGTTCAGTGGGTCACATGTTCCTGTCAGCGGGCCAAGAAGTCGCCAAGAGGAGCCCTGGAGCCCTGGAGCCAATGACGGCGGACTTCTCCACCATCTGCCCCTCAACAAATCAGGTCCAGTGCCGCGGGTCGGTGAGAGCTCCCGATTTTGTGTGGGAATTTCCCCAAACCAAAACCTCACCGCAACCGCTGAAGAATCAAAAGCCCGCCTTGATCAGATCAAGCCTGGAACGAGGTCACTTCTGACTCAATACAAACGTCGCGTGCCGCCCCTTGTGAAGTCTACGGACATACAGGATCTGGAAGATGGCCGTCTTACTATATCTTTCCTACTTCATCGGCGGTCAAGTCGCCCTTGCCATCCTTTTCTACATGCTGTCGTTGGTGGTTCCGAAGGCCGCCTTTGTGGCTCGCTCCCTCGCCTCATACATGTCGCTGATGGTGGTTGCACTATATGGAGTATTCGCGTCCATAGCACTGCGATTCGTCGGCAAGCAAGGAATCGCGCAATGGACTACTGGGCGCCTCTTCAAGTACCTCATGATCGCGACCACCGGCATCACCTTCGAGGTCATCGACCCCGAGAAGCACCTCGAGCGAACACGACCCGCCGTTTTCATCGGCAACCACCAGACCGAGCTCGATGTGCTCATGCTGGGATGCATGTTCCCCCAATACTGCAGCGTCACTGCGAAGAAGGCATTGAAGAGCTGGCCGTTTCTGGGCTGGTTTATGGCTCTGAGTGGCACGGTCTTCATTGATCGCAAAAACTCAAAGGATGCAAGACAGGCAATGAGCGGCGCCGCGGACGAGATGAAAACCCGGAGACAAAGTGTCTACATGTTTCCCGAGGGTACCCGTAGCTATGCCAAGGATCCCACTCTGTTGCCCTTCAAGAAGGGTGCCTTCCACCTTGCCGTCCAAGCCGGCGTGCCTATCGTCCCTGTGGTCGTGGCCAACTACTCGCATGTTCTGTACTTCAAGAATTTCGTTTTTAACGCAGGCAGGATTCCTTGCAAAGGTAATACCAGAAGTAGACTTCTAGACCGACAAATTCGCTGACATAGCCCAGTGCTCGATCCCATCCCCACCACTGGTTTGACGACCGCCGATGTCGATGAGCTCACCCGAACAACACGAGACTTGATGCTCAGAGAACTCGTTGCTTTGACCGAGAAAGCTCAAGGGCGGCTTATTGCCGTGCCAGCATCTAGTGGCAAGGACGGTGTCGTTAAGGCTAGTGGTGTCGATGCAGCACTTTCTTGAGAGCGAGCGCAGCATTTTTCAGCATCCAATGTTGATGAGCTATAACAAACACCCCCCTTAGAGAGATATGACCAGCCGCAAGAGCCGGGTCGTGATTTACAGCATTGCATATGCATTTGATACCCTTAGACTACTTTGCGCATTAGCATCTGGGCAAGCCTTGATTCTTCTGAGCCACAGTCCGTCATGTTGGGGACTTAGTCTATGTAGATGACGGAGAGCCGGACAGTGTTTTAGCAGGAGTTTAGTCGAGCATTGCTCAGAGGACTAAAGTACGTAGACATAGGCCAGCTGTCTGTATCAAGATATCATCAACGAAAATCGATACCAAAAATATCTATACAAGGGTTGCGGAAAGGCACACACGCTACTGGCACTTCTCCATGACTGGTCGTGTACAACGATCCGGCTTTTAAGTCATACAAATTTGCTTGGAACAGATTTGTCACGGCAAAAAATTGATCTGCCTAACTTCAAAGAGATCCAAGTCTGTAAGCTGAGGACGAAAGGATCTGAACATGTGTTAAACAGCCACTCATGACTGGACCGACACACGTGGAAGCTTTCGATCGAGCTCTCCATCTAAGAATCTACCCCTCTTTAATGGGGCCATATTCAAGCACTATTGCTTTTGACGTAAGCGGGGTAATATGCTACGAATCGGGCAAGATCGCGCACCAGCTGAAGCTATCTTGGCAATAATCCCATAACATTTGAGGTACCCGGATCTATGAACCAATCTTGTTCAGGAACATGGGACAGAGGTCTGGATTTCTTGGCTTCGCCAGCATTAGCTCATTACCTTATTTGGCTCTCTCAGGCTGAGGCCGCCAATCGAGAGCTGCAGTCGATACAACCCTGATTGCTCCAAAGTGCCGGTTCTGGCTTTCAATGACGCAACTTGATCTTTCATCATATCTCGTCAATTGAAGTGATGCGAGCCATAACAGTGAAGCCCCGTTGGTAACTATGAGTAGACGGCAACCAAACATGATGGAAACACTCCAGATTCAGACCAGTGTGGCATCGTTGGCATTCCGGCTTTGCCGGTCTTCGCGCAATACCAACTACAACAACTGATGATCATCAAAGGAAATTCCGTCTTTCTGCTGTTTTCTCTTTAAAACAATTCACCAGATCCATGATAAATTGGACTCGATCCAGTCTTAATAATTGTAATTGCTAGGCAAATAGACTGACAGTCTAAAATAAATTCCGAAATCAATGAGTCGGTGGTACTATCGTGGATGCGGTGAGGGGATCGTGAGATCAGCTACACACGTCCAGTTTATTGTGTACTACTGCACATCAGGCTTGGGGAACACTAATCCATGAACTAAGCCACCTTTTTCAGGGACAACGTTTCAAACAAGCTTGGCCGACTGGTTCAAACCTAGTACTCACCATCTGCAGGAATGACGAGCTTCGCCCGAAGAGGCACTTTGCAGCTGAAATTAGGCACAATACTTGCTGTTCAGGTAGACCGCAGCATTGGCTACCTCCACCAAACGACAATAAGTACGTCGATCCTATGTCTAATACGCCGATGATCTAAATTCAAAACACTCCATAACTTGTCTTTTGGTGCCCGATCCCAGCCTATCATTCATTCCGCTGGTGAGACTAGCATCCGGAGTAGCAATGGGCGGCCGACGCGTCCTAGTGACGTCGCTGTTGCCGCACACTATGGAATGGAATCCAGCTTTCGGCTGAGCTCAACCATGAGCTTCCCTCACCTGAAGAGGCAACCTAGAGAGAGACACCTAAACAAGCTTTCAGGAACACATGAGCCGCGCTGTATAAAGATCTAACGCGCTGCTCACACCTCAGAGCCTGCCCCATCATCAACACAATCCACAATTACAACATAATACATATTTGTTACCTTGAAGCACTCTAAAACCAAACCCAAAATGTCTGGCTACGGTAATAACGACGACGTAAGCCTGTCATAGCCCAACTTACACCTGATTGGCACAATGCTAACTTCTGAATAGTCCTACGGAGGTGACAACAATGATAGCTATGTATGATGATTGCCAACATACTTGAGCCTGTTCATTTGCTGACCGTGCCTCAAGGGCTCTCGCCAAGCCGGAAATGACAACTACGGCTCGTCTCGCCGGGACAATGATGACAGTTATGGCAGTTCCGGTCGCACTGGAGGCGGTATCGGATCGGGCCGCGACAACGACGACAGCTATGGTAGCTCCGGCCGCACTGGTGACAACTATGGTTCCTCTGGTACTGGCGGCGGCCTAGGATCATCTGGCAACGAGTTCGGCTCGTCCCGCCGCGATAATGACGATAGCTATGGCAGCTCCGGTCGCACTGGAGGAGGCATCGGATCGGGCCGTGACAATGATGACAGCTACGGCAGTTCTGGCCGTACTGGTGACAACTACGGTTCGTCTGGTACCGGCAGCGGCCTTGGATCATCTGGTCGTGATAACGACAAGAGCTACGGAACCAGCGGTACTTCCGGATATGGCTCAAGTCGTGTTGACGACCTCGCTGCTGGCGATCGCCAAGGTGATATCGACTCGTACGGAACCAGGGGTACTACCGGCGGTATCAGCGGCACCAGTGGCGGTCTTGGTGGTGATGACTCTTACGGCTCATCCGGCCGGGACACCTATGGTTCATCTGGCACCCGCAACGACGATTCATATGGCTCATCTGGCCGAGGCACTTCGGGCTCTGGAAATGACAGCTACGTATGCTTGCCTGCACATCTTCCACTTTTCTCCGTTGCTGTACTTGGCACCCCTCAGTTACTAATTTCGATCATGCAGGGTTCATCCGGCCGCCAGGATGAGAACGACCACAAGAGCAAGAAGAGTGACTCCACCTTCGGTAAGTTGTTGGAGAAGGCTGGTGATACTCTCAACAACCGGGGCCTCGAGGAGAAGGGCCGTGCCAAGCGTGAGGAGAAGGGAGCCTTTGGCGATGACAACTACTAGTTTATCTTTGCTTGAGGAGGCGCTAGAGAAGGTTAGCGACAGTACGCACGCATGTAAGAAACACAAAAGTTGAAGAACAAAGGAAAAAAGATATCCAAATGATCGATCGATTCGCAACATGCTTTTATACATGTGATATGTATTTCAACATGTCTAGCTAAGCTAGCAGTGCAAACGAATGACAGCTCGAGATCGACCACCTGCATTTGTCTGCTGTTCACCGAGGCTGCACGATGCGGTTACAATTCAAATTCGTATGAGAAGCATCGAATATTGGAAGTCTCTCTCATTGACAGGTGAATCAGCGCCACAAAACCTCATTTTCGTTCCTCTACAATATCTGTAAGTGGAGGGAATTCTTCAGTGGTTGTAGGTTCGACTAAAGTATCACATGTTTGAAGAGCAACAATACCATTCATTAGGCCAACGAAGAGCAGACATCAACCCTCGGAAGTCCAGTCAAGCCGAATCCCAGCCCACCCATCGATCTACACGAGTCAATGCCTAATTCTCATGGGCTGGCAGAGTTTTGGAAAGTGGAGCTGTAAAGGGACTACCTACTGAAAAGCCATTACGTGTGAAATTTTTCCAACAAGCACAAGTAGCACATCCGATATGGTGTAGTGGCTAACATATGACGCTCTCAATACTGAACCGTCATGCCCGGGGTTCGATTCCCCGTGTCGGAGACCTAAGCTTTGAATTACTTGTCTAGTTTTGCAGCGTTGTTCATAATCTCAACTTTTTGGAGGGTGCGGAGTATAAAATTTTTATAGCCCTAATGCGGACGAGGACCAATCAGAGACCAGCTTGACCATCGGCAACTCCCGACGCCGGGAGTTAGACACAAACCAGGATATGCAGAGCTTAAAGAATGAAGGACAACGATGAATTGAGATTTTTGGCATAGCAAAAGAAAAGCAATCAGCTGGGCAGGCATGGAAATGATAAAAAAGGAGGTTCTCAGAGTATTTCTGAGGGAAGCGATGATGAGAGTGGGACTTGAACCCACGCACGTTTCCGTACCAGGAAGTAGGTGTTAAGGTTGACCTTAACCTGGCGCCATAACCAACTCGGCCATCTCACCGGGGTTGCTGTTGATAAAATTGAGCTTACAATGAACTGAGTACATAATGAACATTGATCGGCCAAGCATATCGAAGATATTGTTAAGATACGGATCCGTATACTGGTGGAAGCCGGGTCGGGAACGAGTTGTGGTTTTTTTTTTCCTCCAAAGAAGAGTTTGGGTGTGTGGAGACGATGTCGCCGGGTCGTTCGTCAGATACCCTCACGTATCCTGGTAGAAAGAAGTATACCTAGACCCTGCAGGTCGTAGCGGGAGGTCATGAGTTTCCAAGACAATGCATCACTCCTTTTTTATTTGATTTGGACGTAATCCAATATGAACGAACATTCGTGAACATTTCAACGATTCCTCTCAAACTTTCGGCGCATATTCACCGGCGTCTGGCTGTGTGGAGAGCTTATACTTCCTCATTATTCACCAAACATGAACAACCTGCCGTTGACTGATTGTCTAATTATATCCATCTCAAGTACTCGTGAATGAAATTTCTCCGGGGTTAGCTGGGAACAGTACTTCCTGTGCTAAGGTTCCCTTTAACTGTGGAACGATATATAGCAGAGCATGCTGCTCGAACGGATACCTCCAGGTCACAGCCGTCGCTGGTGATTCTCACACGATGATCATGACCTTCACTGAGAGTATGTGTGCTGTAAATTTTTCACACATCTAGAATACTTGGTTGGCGCCAAATCGTCAATCTTGTGCTTCTTGTTTGCCAATACTCCGACCCTTCCCTCCTTTCTACCATAAACTGCATACTTCATTAATCACAGCGTTCTTTATCTCATAACGTAGGACCCTGCTCGTAGGCTGACAAACTCGCAAAGTCAGGCGTCGGAGTGACCGGCCGGCTCTCAGTGCGGAAAAGGCTGATGTAATCCCTGTGCGCCACATACTGACTATCGGCATAGCCGAGAAGGCTCTCGATCTTGCTGCTCCTGACCCCCTTGATCCGTGCGATCTCGGGCATCGCATAGTTCACCAGCGCCCTGCCGATCTCCAGCGGCTCGCCTCCCCACGTCTTCCCGTCGGGGCCCGGTTTGGCAAGCCGCTCGACCACGACGAGACGCACGGCTTCGTGCTGGCTGAACTGGCCCTCCACGTCCACGACGCCGATGGGCAGGAGTCCCGCCTTGTCTGCGAGAGCGCGCCGCGCGCCTGCGTCTATGTATATGGTACCGCGTGGGGCCAGACCGTGAGTCAGCCAGAAATAACGATCCCTGATCGGATGGGCCAGGGGCAAAAACCGCGTGTGCAGCGGGGGTTCCTCGACGTCGAGGGCCAGCGAGGCGGTGGACTGTGATAGTGGGTCTTCGCCATGGTGGTGGTCTGGAGTAGAGGCTCCGGCCTTTGAAGCCTGCACGTATCGCACTATCTTGTGAATGTTGTCGGGCTTGGAAGAGCGCGTAATGACGGTGGTCACACCGGCAGATGTTGCGAGCTTAGCGGCAACTATCTTGGTGCCCATCCCGCCGGTACCCAATGCCGAGCCAGCGCTTGAGACTGGCAACAGAATGTCAATAACAGGCTTACTCGTACCGTATGGGATAGGGAACTCACCATCTGCATGTATGGAGTCGATATCTTCGATAACCTGAATTGGCTGAGCGTCCGGATAAGTTCGCGGGTTCTTATCGTATAGACAATCCACGTCTGTCATCAAGAACAGAAAATCAGCATGGGCCATTGCGGCTGTAATGGCGGAAAGGGTGTCGTTGTCGCCAAATTTGATTTCAGCCACGGCAAGCGTGTCGTTCTCATTGACTATAGGGACAACGCCCATATCGAGAAGCTCATTGACCGTCGTTTGAGCATTAAGATATCTTTGCCGCTGGATCAGGTTAGACGTTATGTCGAAGAGTGCGCATGGCGGAGAATAAACCCACATCTGCAATGTCATTTCTCGTGAGCAATATTTGGGCCACTGGTTGGCGGTAGTGGCCGAACAGCTGATCCCACAGGCTGATCAACCGACATTGACCGATGGCTGCTAATGCCTGTAGTTGGGCAAGATGTTTAGGCTTCTTTTCCACATCCATCCGCTGGAGTCCAACCCCGATAGCGCCCGAAGACACGATGATAACGCGGTGGCCATCTTTTCGTAACTTGACTGCGGTAGCTACGATGAGACTGAGGATGGGTAGTAGTGGCTCGTGGGTCTTCTCATCGACAATAGAGCTGGTTCCTGAAGTTAATATTAATAAATGTCATGCTTTTCGAGGATGTCACAACTTACCAAGCTTTATAACGACGGTGAGCCGTTTCGACACCCTCATATCTGAGCAATTGGTATGAGTCAGTCCTCACACAAGACAAAATTCGACATCACATGAGTTCATTGAGGAAAACAGAACAGGTGATGAACCTGGTTGCGATATTTAAAATCAGGAGATATATCCTCATGGAATAGGGAAGCCGTACCAGGGCCTGCGTCACCGGAGCTAGTCATCTTGACAGGGCGTACATATGCAAGAGAGTCGTGTCAGCCAACAAAACACAAGTCAACGTCGTCTCCTAAGCGGTAATTGATTTCCCCACAATGCCTCAACCGAGGAGTTCCAAGGATCAGTGCGAGAAAGTTTCGTGCCCAATCAGAGCACCCTTGGTCGGAGCGCAGGAGTTTGTATGACAGAATTGTTGCGGGCGGCGGACCGGCACGGGAGGGCGGTCACTTGAGCGCTAACACCTCCGAATTGCCGGGCGGTCTAGCCTGGACGTCTAGTGAATCTTCAAGGCTTCCTAGAGCTCTTTAGCGGGCATCTTACAGCGCGTTCCCACTCGCTAGGCCTACAACTACAACAAAAATAATCATGGCTTCGCAAACCTCAGACTCCGCGGCGAATGTGTCGCCCGCATCGACCGTTGCCAGCTCGGCGTCGACATCGCCATCGCCATCCCCGGCCGACCTCCCCCCAATCGTCAAGAACGACCCAGCGCGCACCGGCTTCGACCCGCAGACGAAATGGTGGATGAACTACTTCAAGATCCTGACAGGGGGCATGTCGCAGGAGGGCATGTTCCACTACCGCGAGTCGCGGTACTTGGCGCACGAGGAACGCGACTGCAAGCGGTGCGAGCAGTACCGGGACTGGGCCTTCGCGCACTCGCCGACGGTGCGCTTCATGAAGGATAAGATCGAGGCCCTCAACGGCAACCTGGATCCCAGCAACGTCGTGTGCAAGCGGTGTCCGGCGCGGCTGACCGAGGACGGCGAGGTGCATCGACAGGGCGGCGGCTTCTCGCCGGGCCATGGCATCCTGCTGTGCGCCAACGAGGTCAGGAGTCGCAAGCACCTGGAGGACACACTCAGTCACGAGATGGTGCACGCGTGGGATCACCTGAGGTGGAAGGTGGATTGGAACGGCAAGGACCTGAAGCATGCTGCTTGTACTGAGGTATGTGCTGGCCAGAGCAATCTGCTGGGGCCAGGAAGACTGACTGACGCAATACAGATTCGTGCTTCCATGTTGAGTGGCGAGTGCAGGTGGACGAAAGAGACTCTCACCAACGGGAACTGGACTCTGACGCAGCAGTTTCAAGAATGTGTAAGGAGGCGTGCAGTTAAATCTGTCATGGCAAGACCCACTTGCAAAGATGATGTGCAAGCAGTCAAGGTGGTGAACCAGGTTTGGGACTCGTGCTATTCCGATACTCGACCATTCGATGAGATATACAGATAAGATGTAAGCAAGGAAAGGAGAGACGGCGGCGAGCAACCTCTGGCAAGAGGCTTGTATAAAATAATGAAGCACAATTGGCGTTCGGAGTCGGGGACAGCATGAACAAATATACTCTCAATGAACTTGGTTGGTTAGATACGAAAGGGAATACTAGCTCCCCTTGATGCAAAACTCCCGCAAATATATGCCTGCCTTTCCTTAAACGCCTCTCCCTTTAAAACTACAGTTACGCGAGTATAATTCCAAATCATTACTTCGTCATGGTCATTAATTTGCCTTCTCTCGGTTCGCAGCGCGCTCGCCCTTCAAGCAATGCTTGATAATCCAGGGGTGTTGCTCGACTTGCTCTAGGGGTATTCTCTTGTCCGGGTCAAGGACAAGCAACTGGCAGAATGTTAGTGTTCGCTCCAAGTTGGCTAAGGAAGATGTGCATATCTCACCCTTTTGATGAGGTCTTTTGCCTCGGGACTGACAAACGACGGGATCGACATATCGGCCCTCGCAATTCTCCTCTGAGTCATGACAGGTGTGTCCTCGAACGGCGCCTCGCCTACGAGGAACTCGTACGTCAAAACGCCGAGCGACCACAAGTCAACCTTCTCGTTGTAGTAGTTGTCCTGGCTGCCAGGCTTGATCATCTCCGGAGGAAGGTAGTCGAGAGTACCGCACATGGTCTTCCGGCGGTTGTTGGGCGCATGCACACTCCAACCGAAATCCGAAATCTTGAGCTCCCCGTGGATCCCAACCAGAATATTCTCAGGCTTGATGTCCCGGTGAATGACGTGCTTGCGGTGCAGATACCTCAGGGCGCTCGCCATTTGAGCAACGTACTGTGCAGCTTTCCACTCGGGGAAGCGGCTCTCCTTACGCAAGTGCTTGTATAATTCACCCTTGCAAGCAAACTCGAGGATCAAGAACACACGCTTGCTGTCGTGAAAGTGGCCGTGCAGCTGCAGGATGTTGGGGTGGCGCAGGTTGCTTTGAATTTCGATCTCGCGGCGGACCTGTTTCTCTACTCGGCCTTGTTGCAGCTCGTTCTTGTGCAGGACCTTCAGGGCACAGATGAAACCGTTGCTTCGCTCCCGTGCCAGATACACACGCCCGAATTTGCCCTTGCCCAACGGTCTCCCGATCTCGAACATGCCGAGGTGGAACAGCTTGATAGAGGGCTGCTCAACGAGCACTACCGACTTTCGCTCTTCGACGGATTCGGCCGACGTCCGCGATGCCGAGGGGAGGGCTTTTCGTTGCGGTGATGGCGGTTGCGAGCCTTTCCATTGTGCTTGCTGCGAAGGGAGGGCAACGGATGTGACGGTGTTGGTATTCTGGGTTTGGAGTGCTACTTTGTAGAGTTGTGGCCGGCTTGAGCTATGCGTGAGCTCCTTCGCTGTTACTGTGGTCTGTTGCATTTCGGTCAGTCGATCGCTCATGTCTTCGACCGGCACTGGCTTGTGCATGACATACCTTGGACTTTTGGTAGATCTTGCCGGCATTACCAGGGTCATTCTCATCGTTGACCGACATGCGCTCGAAGCGCGACTCTAACGCCCTCGCTGCCATTGAGTCTGTATGTTCGCCACGTGTGATGGGAAATGGCAAATTGTAGCTGATTGCGTTTCGAAGGGAATGGCGGAGTTGGCAGCTGAGAATGAATCTGAAAGCGAATGCTGCAACTATGGTTTGATTTGTGTTCACCGGTTGGAGCAAGTTCATGCTGAGGGCAAAGTTGTGTTTTGGGGGGCGCTAAATGACCGTTGCCCAGCAACCATCGCCACGACCCTCAAACCCACCCACCGACATCCTTGATACAGGATCCTCACTTTCGAATCTCGATCCGCACTATTCGTTTTGGCCAGTTGCTACTGTGACTAAGCCAAGCTGCACTGCATTGTATGTCATCAACCAAGCTTTGCTTTGTTTCAGGACTCTGGTAAGATATCTCCATTGGGAAATCCAGCTCGGGATTTGTTCATGCGCTTATACACTAGATTCTAGCACAATTTCAATCTCAGGTTAAGCAAAAGAAACAGTATAATGCCGTCTCATGGCCGGTTGATCCTGTGATTTTGTCATCACAATGCTTTTCTGTCCCGAGACCGTTTCACTATCTTATAGTCACCTGTGGATCTTTCCCCACAAGCTGGCTTCTTTGTACGTCGAGAGTTAAGACGCCATGCTCCCCGGATTCCGAAATACTGTCTTCAACATACACTGAGACGGAGAATCGTCAATTATTGAAGTTTTTGTCTCCGCATTTTTCAGTACACGTCTAGCTAGTATGTAGTCTGTAGCTTTGCCATCGCGGCAGGGCATCAGATAACCATGAAAGACCCAGCATCTTGTGATGGTTCCGTTTAAATCCAGAGCATCTCTTGCAGATGTTAAAGTAATGCTCCATATGGGGTCCAAGAAACAGGGAAGACGCTTGATCTTAGATACGGGCGTCGATGGAGTCTGTATGGCTGTATGGCTGTATATTTCAAGGATATGGAATCAAGGGCCTCCACGGACGTTCAAAACTTTTATCAATTTCTTCCCCATTAACACCAGAGCCGTGCCGGATGTACATGTGCTGAACGCCTAGTTTACGACGACGCAGAATTTATCCATCATTCAAAGAAGCTCTCAAGCACTTTCCAGTCGGAGATCGCCCACTACGGCCCTGTGGTCACTCAGGTAGACTTTATCATCAAAGACGTTTGGTAATACAGCATATCCGAGTGGAGTCCAAGGGCTCGAAACAAAATATTGAGTCGGACCGTGCCAGATGTAGTCTATCCGACCCAGCCCATCTTTGCGCTTGTCAGGCTCAAAACCGGTAAAAGTATTCGTCTCGCCGTACCGAGCCTTCGAGTCGACGTCTTGTTGCAAATCTTTCATCCACCCGTCATCTCTCATTGCAACGTACGCCTCCTGATCCGGGAAAGAGTTGAAATCGCCCGTCAAAAAGACGGCTAGTTTCTGTTGTGGTCGGGACCATGCTTGATGGATTCTCCGCAGGGTGCTAAGGATTATCTTGACGCTCTCGAGGCGGCTCTTCGAGCCCTTGTTGTCAAGGTGGGTATTCGCCGCAACGAGCCGCCGTCCCGTTTGTTTGTGCTCGAACACGCCGACCGTCAGGATCCGGATGCTGCCGGCGTCCCAGCCTTTGCCCGGCTCGTCCGGGGTCGGACTCAACCACACGGTCTCCGAGTGGAGCAGCACGAATGTCTTCACTTGGTAGATGATGGGGCTGTACTCGCCCTTCTCCTCGCCGTCGTCGCGCCCGACGCCGATGTGAGCCCACTCGGGCCCCCGCGACGGCTCCTGTCGCTTCTCACCGCCGTCGCCAGAGGGAAGCTGGTTCAGTCCCGCGAGCACGTCCACCAACTGGCTGTGCAGGACTTCCTGGAGACACACGAACGCCGCGTTGTGGCTCGACGAACCAGCCGTCGAGCCGCTGGCCGGTACGTGAGAAGAACCATACGTGAAACGCAGCTCGTGCAAGAGCTGGTTCGTGACGAGCGGCCGACGCTCGGCCCACGGACGCTCGTTTGTGAAGGGCGATGTGGTCGCATAGCGGATGTTGAAGGAGACTATGCGGAGGTGCAGCGGAGGGACTGCCGGGTATGAGCCGCCGAAAGAGCCATCAGGCCGCAATGGGTTCCACGCCGACATGGCTGTGTATTCATGTAAGCCCGACCTTATAAGCTCGAGAATCTTGGCAACTTAGAGAACATTTAATGACTATGTTCTATAGTTTGTGAATGGCTTGGGCAGCTCCAAATCATGTCGCCTCTGTATACTAGATATGATGGCCGGATGACATCTTGCCCCGCACTTGTTATTAAGGTTGCGCAGGAGTCAGTTGGCCAAATCTAGCTACTGCAAGGACTTACTGTTGAAAGCACTACTAACTATGGTCATATCAAGCTGAAATACCACAGCAACTTAGATTACCATCAGCTTTGAGCAAAGCAGTTTGCTTCGCGCCAGTGTTTTAACACTAACTGAGAGCTAGGACATGCAAGCTCGTTTTATAGTGTATTAGGTTAGATTTGTAGCTGTAGTGTCGAATCTAATGCATATACGACGTATCGCTTTCAGTCATGTTATCCAAGGCTGTGTGACAGAAACCAACATCTGCCTTCCGAATAGAAAAGGTGATGTATTTATAGTAGACATCTAGCGCTGAGACTATAGAGGGATCGAGTAACCTCTGGTCCACCCACGATGACCGGCTAACTAGCAGTAATGCTCCTCTTCAATGCAGCTCGTGATTCTGGTTTGTATTTCTCTAATCTACTCACTATGGGCTGGTGAAACCCAGAGGGCTCAGGTCCCCGCGTCAAACCGTAGGAACCGTACGTATATGAGATCAACTTTTCGCCGAGATCGAAGACCTTAGGTTGCTGGCCGGAGAACGTCATCCTATCACTGCTTCTCGCTAGACCCGGCGCTTCTACCGGGAGCTGGATGGAGAGCAGAGCAAATCGACACCTTCGACCAGCGACTAGAAGCTGACCAAAGCCCAAAAGGCCATTATGTTCAAAATTGAGGAATAGGAGTGGAAAAGAAAACACAACATTTTCAGACTCTCTTCCGGAGCTTGTCGATGGATGAAACAAACTGCTCGACATATGCTATTTCTGCTTCGTAATCATACTAGACTGATCTAGCTATGTCTTTGTATGGCTACTGGAATCAATGGATGATATTAAAAAGAAAATCTAATTGAGTAGAAGGAGCTATTTGCGAAGCGAAAGGGTCATCTCTTTCAATTGACATCGACCGATTCACTACACACCACACAAATTATAATTACATCTAGGCACTCGTCTTGAACTTCTTGAACAGGATCGCCTTTGTCGGATCCGGCAGCGCATCGAGGCCCATGTTCAGGTTTGGGTACCTTTCTGTAATGCCGTCCGGCATCTTGATATCGTAGTCTAGGAGGATGCGGGCCAGGATAAGCTTGATCTCGTTGGCAGCGAAGAACCGACCGGGGCTGGTTAGTTTTGTCAGCATCGAGCTCACCAGAACGAAAACTGCGAAAAGCTAGCCACGAGAGTGAGAGGGAAAACGCACCAGGCATGACGTCCGTATCCGAACGCCATGAAGTCTTTCGTCACGGTCACGAACTGGTATTGTTCCTTGCTCCTATACTCCATCGGGTCCTCGACCGTGCCGTTGCGGAGATCCATGAAACGGTGGGCGTCAAACGTCTGTTGGTTTTGCTTCAGTAACCCACACCTAACAAACACGAAAAGAGATCCCTGGGCTTGGAGCGTTTTCGATCAAACTTACCTCCGGGTTGGAATACAGCTGGGGGTCCTGAACAATGTTGGCGTGCGGAGCCTCGATCATCGCGCCGACGGGCAGGTGCGTGCCGTCGCTGAGAGTCACGGGCTTGTCGACGTAGCGAACGAAGCGGACCAGGTTGCCAGGGTTTGTTCGCTGCGACTCCTTCATCACGCTGTCGAGTAGTTTCATGTCGAACAGCGCGTGGGTGGACAGAACGCCGTCATTGGCTGCGAGGACGGTCTTGACTTCGTTGCGGAGTTCTTGTAAGAGATCTGGTCGGACGACAAGATCGTAGAGACTGCACACAGACGTTAGTCGCGAGGATACAACACGAGGTCTCAGGAATAACAGATTTGCCACCTACGCGAGAGTCGTGGTGAGGGTGGTCGTGTGGATCGCTGCAAGACTGAGATTAAGCTGGATCAGGCTCAAGTCATCATCGCTGATCCCGAACTCGGCGGTCTTGTTCATCATCCACTGGAGCATGTCGTCAGGTAGATCCTTGCCCTCCTTCATGAGCTTCCTCCTCTCAGCAATAACAGGCTTGAGGAAGGCCCTCGCCTTGCGGCGATGCTCGCGGACGCTCTTGAGCTCAGGAATGAAGTACTGTCCGATGGGGCGAGTCCAGGGCTTCCACTGCTTGAGCTTGCCGATTGCCGTGAAGAGATCAACAGTGTACGTGATGGCGCTGATGGTCCATTCGTCGCGGCGGCATAGCTCGGGCCCAATGAATATGTTACCGCTGATGATGGCGACGATGCGCAGAAGCTTTTGATATACGATTTCAGAGGTCCAGTCCTCGCATGGTCCCAGCTCTTCAACAACGGTCCTAGCCGTCTCGACGGTCAGTCTGGTGTTGATGCGATCTATAGAATGTGTTAGAAGAAGAAGAAGTAAACCCCCGATATAGTAGGTTGTATAAGCGCACTTAGACCACGAGTGAGATCGCTGCGGATGAGGTGGATAAGAAAGTCAGTATGACTTTGAGCCGCGCCAAGTCCGGTATATCGTTTCTCGTTGTTCTGTCATAATTAGCCAACTCTCCAGATGAATCGACATCGTGTCTAACCTTATCAAACGCTTTCGTTATGTTGATATGGTCATCCGAAAATCGCCTGGCCTCGTCGAGAAGATGACGAGGGAGTACGATTCGTTCCTCTATCAAATGTGTCAGCAACTGTGATCGGGCATGTAAAACGGAAGCTGCAAAATGGTAGAGAACGCACCGTCTGTGCCGGTTAACCTCCAGGTTACATTCTTGTACATTTCATAACCCTTTGCGTAGAATCCGTGCGCGTTGGCGATGAAGGCCTTTCGTCGCTGCTCTGCATTTCCAAACTCCTTGCCCACGAGAGGTATCTTGTCCGTTCCCTTGGCTTGGAACGTAAAGGTTGAAAACAAAAAGGCGGCCCCTAGCAATACGGCAACAGAGGCGAAGATGGGTGCCCGATCAGCAAGGAAATTCGTTAGTTGGTCCATGGTGCATGCGCGTGTCTTATGCCAGTGTGCCGAGACAATGGAGGGACTTGACAAGACGCAAAGCGGTGGAATTTCATGCGGTACACCTTGGTCTATCTATAGTCGTAAAATTCACCCGCGAAGTGACCAAGTCCACACTGCCACGTTGTGCTCGCTCAGATCATCTCATTTCGCTTTGTTCGCTACGGGATCCCGCAGGTCCGTGTCATTTACCGCCGATCAACACTTTCGCAACCTTCCATGATAGTACGCTAAATCCTTCGTTTACTTCAAGTCAATGCCAGGAGCCAGTCCGCTGGAAACCCAGGTATTTGGCTGGCCTAGCGGCCGACACTTGGGCTGTGTCATGGACATCAGGGGCGCAGTGATTGGTTCTCCCTGACGGGCCAAGAGATATACTCGTTGGCCGCCGCAAGGCCCATCCGGACAGCATAGCTGCACATAATCTCACGTTTCTCGGTTTGGGCCCACAATACCGAGTGGCTGTTATCGCTGTAACGAATTTCTATTGACCACTTGCGTCAAAATATCGGAGGCTCGTGACAGCCAGCAAACTCTAAAGGGTACTATTATTACAACGACTTCTCAATGTTTGGGTGGGATCGACACTCTCCACTAGTGTTGCCGCTAGTAAGGGAGCAATGGATTGTGTGTAAGCACTTGTTCGACAGCACAAACGCGTATCAAGGATCATTTCGTCCAGGGCTGTAGGTTGGCCTGCTGGAAGATGGTTGCCCTTTTTCCAGAGATTCGGGCATTTTTGTGTATTTAGTATTATAAAGCACGGCGAAATTCACCGTGCCCACTGTGCAGGGTCTGAAATCATCGTGTGTTCGATGTGATTAAAAATTATGTACAGTGTCTATCTGTCCTACGATGCTCTATAGTCATTATTGTGTTCATAGTCTTATGTTGCCATTATCATCGCCGCCAAACCACTTGGGTTTTTTGAAGCCATCTCCGATCTCTTGTAACCACTTAGGAGTTTCAATACTGTCGACTGTATTCTTAAAACGGTGTTGAAAGCTCGAAAAGAAATTATCATCCTCAGGTTCTTCGGACCTTGCTGCTCTCGATGACGGTCCTGCCCGCGATGAAGGGTTATCACGATATGAAGGCTCCGATGTCGCAAATGGTGTTTGTGCGCCTTGCGATCTTGCCGGAGGTACCGACAGAACTGGCGCTGCTCGGGTGCCGCCGATACCTGCCCTTCCTGAGATGGGAGCTTGTCTCGAAATGGAAGCGCCGTTGAGCTCGCGCTCAATCAAATCCCGGCCTTCACGCCATGATCCTGTGCCATAGCCTCGCTCATTCTCGTCGTCGTCGTTTACGAGTTCCATGTCGAAGCCGAACACGCGCTTTACTCTTCCATACAGTCCGAACAGAGTGGCCAACACTGGCACCAAAATGAGGATGGGAAAGAGATAATCAAACTGTTTCCCAAGCGGAGTAAGAACGATAAGTTTTCCAAGAAAGTCATGGAACATCGTCTCTTTGTAGATAGTCGGGGAGAGGAACGTCATGAAGTTGTACGAAAGCGGTACGCTCAACCTAGCCACCTGACTGGCATACCAGAAGGCCGATTCGTGGGCAGTATTGCGTCGAACAAGAGCACGGCCTCTCCACACCTTTACCTCGGTCACTGATGTCAGGGCAGCTGTGCACATGTATAATATCCAGAACGCAGCAATGACCTGACCAGCGAATCCTACTTGACCTTTTTCTCCTGTCCAGTGGTGAACTACCGTGAGACGGATGACCGAGAGCTCTGGCAGGGCGGCTTTGACCAATTCCGACCAGATGATGCAAATCGATGCTAAGGCGAAAAAGCCACCAGACAGGATTCGGAGTGCCGGCATGAAGTGGAAGTGCAGCAGATACCGAGTATATGGTGTGAGGATTGTGGTTCTTCCCAACATGGAAGCTTGTGGGCTCGCCCGGCCAAAGTCTAGCTTCTTGGAAGCGGCGGAGTCCAAGATTGCCTGCGTCTTGGCGGCTTCATCTAGCAGACGGTTCCATTCATCGATGTATCGTGACCTAGCATGACGCTGGCGAAAGAGCTGTCTGGTGAGGTCGGCGAGATACTTCTCGGTTATGACAGTTGGTAGGTTCCGGCTTTCAGTGCCTATCCTGGATATGATGCTACTCGGTCGAGCTTCGGGGATATTGCACATGTCGGCAAGTTCCTCAATCCAATCCCGAAAACCGCGGGCGCTGCCCGTCATCCGCTTGCTCAGTTCGGAAATTTGAGCTTCTGTCTCCTCCAAGTTTCCCAAGGAGTCTTCGAGCTTTTCGTAGAGCTTCGGCGCATGAGTCTGGAGACGGCGCAATCTGCCAGGGATGCTTGCATTGCGAATAAGCGTCCTTGGTATCGAAACCAAGCCATGGCCCATGAGGTAGATAGCCAATATCAGACCCCAGCAGTAAGCAAGTGCCATGACCAAGCCCTTTAAAGAGAATAGTGAGAGCCCGTAGGAGAAGACGACGTAGATAAGTCCGAGAACTCCGGATCCAATGACCATTAGATGGTACTGTGCATTCGAGCGTAGAGAGTACAAAAGTCGGTCCTTGGGCTCGCGATAGCCCGCGTCGGAATACTCGGCGAGGATGGGGAGGATGAACCTTTCGAAAATGTTAGCAGTTCCTCCTAAATCAGCCCTCATGTCACCATGATACATACCACGTCAGCACAAAGGTCAGCCAATATGTGATGCGCCATGACACCAAGAGCAGGCGAGGTGGAAACCAAATGCCTCTAGCAGCTTCATCGTCGGTCGCAGCGCTCGAGGCGAGGTCGATGGGAACCAGTAGTACGATGAAGGCGGGAAGCCAGAGAGCGAAGAAGATGGGGACTAAGATATATGCCGGTGTCGTTCGGAGAGGCAGGTAGTATCTCAGGACCATGAGAGTTATGAAAGATAAGATCAAAAGCGCGATGCCAGCAAAGGCTTCGGACCCTGCGGCAGAGGCAGAGGCCGTGGTGAGGACAAGTGCCGCCATCTTGGAGTGCTCTGAGCCTCCATCAACCGAAACCTGGGTACGCAGTCGTTGGCGTTGTCGATAGGTATTCGAACGAGATGGCTATGCGAATCGATGATGTATGTTGTTTGTGACCGCTCCAAACAAGAATGCCGACGCTGGACCAAGAAAATGCGTACTGTACGGATCCGCACGTAGTTAGAAATGGAGATGGAGAAAGGACTCGGGATGCGACAGGCGCCGGAGAACGAAATTAGCAAAAGACTGACGTATGCCCCGGCTCCTTTGGACCCCATTCCCATGCGCCATCAAAAGTGCCCGGATTTAGATGGGGGGGGTCCAGGGCCCATGGAAGCGCTAACCAGAGGTGAGTTAATCAACACCTATTTTAAATCCGGAGGCGTGCCGTGGCAACAACGCCGTGATTGAACCATGAAAGCCGGCGACTGATTTAAAATGGTTATTACAAGATACTCGCTGAGCCAGATCTGGGCTGTCATCTTAGCATGGGCCGTGTGACACCCGAGCTACAGCATATGGAGGCAATAGCTCTGCACATGGTTTGGTTTTCTGTGAACTCGTCTACGGGAATCTTGGGGACATGCAGCATTTGGGCCAGGAAGGCACATTTGATTGATTGAATACTCGGTTGAGGATCAAATCCATGAGAGACATGAACAGGTCCACCCTCACTCAGGGCACCAAACCGGTTCCTTGGTTCTAGTTACTACCCCAAGCCCGCAATCCAGATCCGCTGCATCTCGTCGGTTTGCTCTGGAGGCAACGGGCAACATGATCTACTGCGTTGACATGCGATGCAAACGTAGCTACTTCCACTACACCTCCCCGCGTCTCCTCGATGGCGGTCGCCCATGTTCCCGTCGCGGAAACGGGCATGCACGGCGGGCAACTGTACACGCTGGGAGCCTGGCAAGGCTGGATTGTTGGCAACAGTTCTCGAAATTGCGCACCGTTCCCCATTGAGCGGCTCTGCTCGTCCAACGGAATAAACTCCTGAACGCCAGTTTAATGCTGAATCTGCCGCGTGCCACCTGAATTCCTGCAACAATGCCTCTCTAGCTGGCGAAAAGGGTATCCTCGTCTCTCAAGAATTCTCCGCAGTCCGCCTGTCTGAAGCACACGACACCTGTAGGGTCCAGGCGTCTCGCCTCTGCCGTGGACCGCGCCGTGACGCCGAATCCCAGGGGCGTGTCGTTCATGTCGTAGACCACAACTCCCTGGTGCTCGGGGCAGTCGTCGGACCACCGTCCGACGTGCGCCTTGACAATGTTGCCGCCGTAGAGGAAGGGCATGGTACCGTTCGGTCGGATCCAGATCTTGTAGCGCGCATGGGCGGCGAGAACTGGCAGGCTGGTGATGTGCAGGCGGAACTTGCCCTGGAAGGAAGCATGTGTTAGTTTCAAGTCTGCAAAGGCTTGTCAGAGACTGCCGGTTCTTACCGTCTTGCTGTATTTGCCCAAGCAAATACCGATAGACAAGAGCTTGTCTCGCGCACACGAAACCGCCAAGTTCGCTATCGAGAGCAGAACATAGTAGACACGGTCCTTTTGTAACCGAAAGACATAGCGGTCTCCGTTCTCGAGCGGCGCGATGAGGTTGTTGAGGGAAGCACCCGTGTAGTTGGCCAATTTGGCGAAGAGTGCCTTCGTTTCTTCCTCTGTGAGTGGGCGCATCTTGAAGTTGTGTCTGTTTGGGCAGGTGCACTTTGTCGCAAAATGAAGTCGTCCCGAGCTCAAGATTCTCCAAGTTTTCCAGAAATTTTGGCGGAGACTTGATAACGATAAGTGCTGGGAGGCGGAATGGTCCCGCCAAAGTCCAGTGGGCTGGCTGTGAATGTGGGGTCGTCGCGCGTCGGACCCGCTGTAAAGTTGGACGTTCAAAAAAATTAGGTCCAGAGGCGAGGCGCAGGATTCACAGTCCAGTTACGGAGTCAAGAAGAAATAACACATGCGATATGTCTCTAAACATGGCTTCGAGACCCGCCAAGAAGAGAAGAATCTCCCCGTCAGAAGACGACGGCCAGTCAAGCGCCAAAGTTGCGAAAGCCTTCATGCGCAGTGCCCAAAATGTCAGTATGAGAGAGTGCGACATCTCACATCCCACCCTGGCACTCCTGAGACGATTCTGCAAGTGAACCACAAGGGGCTAACCAAACTTGCAGTGGGATCTGGAGCAATCTTATGAAGATAAAGCACGGAAAAATGGGAAGAAAAAGGACAAGCAAAGCAACCGCCTGCCTGTAAAGACAGCCGATGGTCGCTTGCAGCAGTACCAAGGTCCTGAGGACGATGTCGCATCCATTGATGACGAGGAATGGCTAGAAGGCAAGGACGTGTCGGATGTCGAGGCCGAGGACCCAGAGCCAGTTCCCGAGGAGCCACAGAAGCCTGTGAGAGAGCAGATCATGGAAGCCAAGGAGGAGCTCGCAAAGACAGCTACTGCACTGAATGAGAACCCGGAAGAGAATGGTGGCGCATTCAAGGCCCTCGCTAAATTCAATCAATCCAAGGTGGAAGCCGTTGTCAAGCTTGCACTAGCTACCCAGCTGGCCGTATACAAGGACGTCATTCCTGGTTATCGAATCAGGCAAGCCACCGAAGACGCGCCGGAGGAGAAGCTTTCGAAAGACGTCAGGAGCCTGCGGTCATACGAACAGGCACTGGTTTCAGGATATCAGACGTACGTGAAGGAGCTCACAAAACATGCCAAGTCAGGGAAGAATCAAGAACCCGCAAAGGGTCAGAGTTTGGCGAGCGTGGCTATCACATGTGCCTGCACGTTGCTGACAACCGTACCGCACTTCAACTTCCGCAGCGAGCTCATCAAGATCCTCGTGGGCAAGCTCAGCCACAAGAGAGTGGACGATGATTTCGTCAAGTGCCTAAAGGCCTTTGAGACTTTGTTCCAGGAAGACGAAGAAGGAAGGCCAGCTATGGAATCAGTCTCTCTTCTCTCGAAGATGATGAAGGCAAGAGAGTACTACGTTGACGAAAGTGTTGTTAACCTTTTTCTCCATCTCCGGCTCCTATCCGAGTTCTCAGGCAAAGCGTCCAAGGACCACGTTGAACGGGACAGGGAAGACGATTTCAAGAAACCCAAGCAAAAGAAAGAGTTCCGCACGAAGAGGCTGCGAAAAATGATGAAGGAAGAAAAGTCTATCCAAAAGGACATGGCCATAGCAGACGCAACGGTGAGCCACGAGGAACGGGATCGCATGCAATCGGACACGCTCAAGCTCGTCTTTGGCACCTACTTCCGCGCACTAAAAGCCCGCGTACCTCGATTGATGGGCGCAGTTCTCGAAGGTCTTGCGAAATACGCCCACCTCATCAACCAGGACTTCTTCGGTGATCTCCTCGAAGCCCTCAAGGATCTCATCCGCTACAGCGAAGCGGATGAGGACCAGGAAGTAGAAGAAGACGAGGACGAAGTAGCATCCGCAGCCGCCGATCGCAACACCACCCGCGAAGCCCTGCTCTGTACCATAACAGCCTTCGCCCTGCTGGCTGGTCAGGACGCGCACAATGCTCGCGCAGACCTGCACCTCGACCTGTCCTTCTTCACGACCCACCTCTTCCGGAACCTGCTCCCGCTCTCCCTGCACGCCGACCTGGAGCTCGGCGCGAGGTCGCTCCACCTGCCGGATCCGGATCTGCCCGCAAGCCAGGCCAACAAGTCCACGGCGCGGAACAAGGTCAACCTCCAGACGACCACCGTCCTGCTGATCCGCTGCCTGACCTCCATCCTCATTCCGCCGTGGGGCGTCCGCAGCGTGCCGCCGCTGCGTCTCGCCTCGTTCGCGAAGCAGCTCATGACGACCGCCCTGCACACGCCCGAGAAGTCGACACAGGCGATTCTGGCCCTGCTGGCAGACGTCGGCGGCACACACGGCAAGAAGGTCGCCGCGCTGTGGAACACGGAGGAGCGCAAGGGCGACGGGACGTATAACGCGCTGTCGGAGAGCGTCGAGGGCGCCAACCCGTTCGCGAGCACCATCTGGGAGGGCGAGATTCTGAGGAGGCATTACTGCCCCAAGGTGCGGGAAGGCGTAAAGATTGTGGAGAAGGCCTTCGGAAACGGAGGCAGGTGAGGCATCGGCGAAGAGAGGAGGCGGGGCCGTATTGGGATTTGCATGTGAAGTTATGCTGGACTGGCGAGAATCACTATAATCAGTAGCGGGCAGCAATACATCAAAAGTCAAAGCTGTAATTATGTCTGAGCTCTGACGACTGCATGCTTACCAGCGGGTCCAGGCTGCTTACAATACGATAGATGAAAAAAATTAGCGGTACTTATATACAATACCTTTTTGGGTCACAATTGCGAGTTCGCAGTGACAAGTGCTTATCGTGGCTGCTCACTTTGGCTATCTGAATACACAAGGGTGCACGATCACGATATCTTTTGGAACCTGGAATCATGAGAACTCATCAACAAAAGCTGGATAGCATGCCATAGGAAACAGTACTGATTATTAAACTTTCTGTCTTACAGCTCGCTCTTCTGGCGAAATCTACCCTAATGCAAAGAACATACAAGTATTAGGACTTACAAGATTTGAGAACAGTCACAAAAGCTGGCTCGCTGAAATGAAATCAAGGAGATGTGCTGGATATCCAGCAGAAATGAAATACAACAAGGTGAGCCAGTCTTCTGTAAGACATCCGACACACGACGAACGTGTTGCTTCCCAGACTTTGTACCCCGCCAAATAGCACAGAACATTTCGCAAAAATAGAACTGACAAGTGCCAACCAAAAGCAACAAGACCGTCCTGCCATAACAGCCATATGATCGCATATTGCTTGTGTCCCATCGTTGGTTATGTGCAGAGGTCTCAGGTGTATTGAGCTTGGTCTAGCATGAACTAGAGCACTGAAACGGTGCAGAAAGCGGTTGCAGACAGGGGAGCTGACTTCAAGAAAGAACAATCCTCCATGCTAGGAGCGGATACCAGCTCTTGTGGTTCCTTCGCCTTGATTGAACAGACAGCCTCATCAAGACGCATATCTTGAAGCAGCCATACCACCTCGACCATTGCCACGGCGAGGACCATACGAAACGGAGGATTGTTCCAGGGTAACTTGGTACGATCTCGGTACCACTTGAGAAGATTTCCCCAGATTCGACTTTTTCTCAATGTCTTGTCCGCCAAGAAGACTAACAATATGAGCTGGCGCCGGGGTAGGATGCGAGATATGTGTCGGAATCCATCGCTATTGTGAGATTGATTAGCCTCTATCAGTACTTGACTTTTCAATGATCAACTAACCTCCCACGGATCAGCAATTGCCTGCTTGACAGCTGTCGATGCGCCGCAAGAATTATCGGCCCACTTGGACTCGAGGATACCGCCGTGCTTTTTCGCAGATTGGCGAGATACAGGGTTGTCATCGTCGATGTCCATCCCTGCCATCTTAACATACAGGTTGCCTATGTCTGAGACATTATGAGTGTGCTGAAGAGACTGAACTGGCTGCATGTTCGTGTCTGACTGGGCTGAAACTGGCGAGGGTGATTCGGTCGAACCTTGTGCTTCAACTAGCGGCAACTCGGAAGTCATGTTCAGTTCGACTCCAGCCGTACTAGAAAGCTGATCCTGAGAATCTCTAGTTGGAACATTCTCTTCATTGGTCATAACGTTGCGTCTGAGTGAATCCACGATAGGGACTCCGTTCTGTCGGTCAATGTCGGCAGAGCAATCCTTGCGAGCGCGCTTTACGGGTACATCGGAGTCATTTGAACGTGGTACAACCCTCTTCTGGTCGTTGGTACTGCGATGAAGAACAGGGGGGTTCTTATCAGTCGTCGAAGTCGAAGTGTTTGTGGATTGAGAGGCCCCCAAAACTGCTCCCGAGTGATGCAAATGGATTCTCAAGTGAGGCGGAAGAGTGTTACGTTGATGTTCTTCTGTGGGCTTCGGACTTGCCGTAGCAGCAGTCGATATACTGGAGTTGCCTGCGAATGAAGAAGTTCTGGCAAGGGCTTCGGGAGAAAAGCCACCATTGCCGGCAAACGAAGTCTTCACGCCCGGACGCGACGTGTACTGAGAAGGCGAGAAAGGCGATGTAACACTAGACGTTACAGAGCTTTCACTCTTGGCTAAAGCCGAGCTGAAGCGTCCTCCATGGCCACTTGAAGAACCCCTACCGACTCTAATGCCTCTACCACGAAGGTTGTGGGTTCCATTGCCATCTTTGTTGTACGCATCTCGAAGCTCTTTCGCGAATTGCATCTGCTCCTCGAAACTGTAGCCTTGGGCAGACATGGTGTTAAGTTGAGAGATGTTTCGCTTCAGTGCACTTGTTACTTATTCTGTGAAGTCTGCGGGTCAGGTTGGGATAAAATAACAGCATCACTTCAGAGGAGCGTAAATTCAAAAGAGATTGACTACGGACCGAACGCTGGTGACAAGGACATGCGACTTACGATCTGAAAGGAGGCAGAAGAAAAACGATCTTCCGTATTTGCTGACTGCTTTGACGAAGACACCAATTGGGCAGGGTAAGATGCGAGGAGGGTCCAGAACAAGTGACGGACCACTGATGTGTGACAGCTGTCAATGAATTCGCTAGGACGGTAAGAGTGGCTCAATTACTTTGTAAAGACACTTACGGGCGAGGATAGTCAAGCACAGAGGCTCTCTATCTGAGCGACGTCAAGACCTAGTCTGGTCTATCGTGATGGCGTCGTAGAAAGAGCATGGGTATCGTATTTATATCGTGACTGTCAAGATGGAAGATGTATAAGGAGCGGCAGAGGTCAAACAAAGGAAAGGAAGTGATAGGGTATCGTGGTTCAAGCAGATCAACAAGCTGGGAGAAACAAACGAAACAACTTTGGCAGACTAGGGCTTGGAAGAAACTCCAGTTCTTGGTCAGTGTAAAACCAGGCAACAAGAGGACTCTCAGGTGATGGTGCTCACTATGTTGAGCTAGACCAAAATCCGCGATGTGAGAGTGGCTGGAAGATTTGTAAAGGAAGGGGAGGGATCTTGTTTTCTTACCAAAAATCTCAGCCGATCAGGCCTAGATGAATATTGGCCATCACCCTTGGACCTGTATCTGCCTCACGAAGGATAATCGTGAAGGAAGGCACCAAGTGTCGACGACTACTGTTTATTCCATTTCCTGGTTGCGGCTTCCACAACAGGGGGCCGGCATGCGGCGACTTGTGTAGAGTAGTGGCTTGAGAAATAGGCAAGTGACCTGGCAACTGTATAAATATCAATTTGATCACCAGTGACTCCTCGCCAGTTTGGAGACACACATGAATGACTTGGCTGTGCTGATAGACGTGCTGTCATGCAGTCTAGTGAACAATGTGTCAAACCATGGATGTCTTCTCTTGTGCCAAAGCACATGTTTCCTGTCATGTAATGGATCTATCTATAATGCTGGAACAGAACATATGACTTGACTTGACCCACCAACCGCCGTGGTCTTCGAATGCTATGAGAGCTGCTATTGTTCTTCAACTATCACACCCCCAGATGACATTGGATGGGGCATCCATGCTGACCGGAAATGTGTATGAACCTTGATAAATTAAATTAGACGATGGCAAAAAGATTCAACAGATTCGGACTAAGATGACGCAGGTATATGGCTATATTTCGCGGATCATACCGTCATATAACATATCATATACGGGACCCTGAAGTCCCCCATTCATGTTGGTCTTATGCCACTCTGGGAACAAGGAGTATTTCCCACTCCATCACCTCGTTTGCCCTTTTTCCTTTCACCAATGAATGTTTCAATGGTGTCAATCTTTGTCTCCTTGAAATCTGCCTCTCGAGCTTCCTTGAGCCATGCAATCTCTATCGTCGACACGTGTTGCCGAATGAATTCGACAAGAGCTTTAGAGGCAGGTGCATCCTCACGTAGCCCAACGACAGAAACTCTTGGTATACCAAGGGCTTCTGATAATCGATCCTGGCAGGATTTAGAGAACCCAACGAGCCTGACTGTTTGTTCTGCAGGAGTCTTGCTCGAGGCAACAGCTACCATTTGAGGCAAATGATTATTGATCGTGTTAGGCTGCCCAGATCGTGCGACAAATATCGCTGAGTAACTAGGCGGACTTGATTTAGTCTCTTTGCTAGTATTGGGCTCAGGTCTCACTTCCGGGCCATTACCACCAGCGCTTGCGGCTTTGTCTTGCAGGTTGCGAGTTACGACCGAAAGGCCCACGTCGACAAAGGAAGCGAGTTCAGGAGCTGGAGGACTCGCGGGCTGAGGTTCGCCATCTTCCGTTTCCTTATGTTTCCTTTTCCTCTCCTTCTTTCCCTTGGACGGCTTTACATACTCCGCGCGGTGATGCCCGATGGGTGTGAGTAATCTACAGGGGCAATTAGCCGATCTACGCAGCAATACAAAGGTTGGACCTCGAGGTTTGCTCATGACGGAATAGTATTGGATGAAAATGGCCCATGTTAATGCAACAATAAAAATATGCCTCAACTTACGTGCAAAGAAGCTCCAGAATGGTGTCTTGATCTTCCAATGTGATCTGAGGCCTGCACGTATCATTGTTAGTCATTGAGCACAAGAGAACCTAGGGAGAGCTTGCCATGAGACAGCTGTGTAAGGCGTGTCAAGCTGGAACACAAATTTCTTCTTCTCCATGCTTATGACAGCCCTCAAAGGGACGGAGATGACGTGGCTATTGTCGAATAATGTACACAGATTGACTGTGCAACGAGTGACTCCAACATAGGTGATTTTGAGGTAGATAGAGATTCTGATGTACAAAGCAAGGATGATTTGAAAGTTCTGAGTCGGGTAGTCTAGAGCGCCCCGCACAAGATACAGTGAGCATGGGGCCGCTTTGAGCATCTGTCTGAAAGCAAGTGCTTCTCACCAAATGATATACCTCATACCATCGTCCTATACTAATTAAGCTGTATGCATTTGTCATGTGTTCAATTCATCTATAGGTTTTACCTAGATGTTTGTGGCGCAGAATTGTTTGGTTTCATAGGCCTGGAGCTGATATTTCCATTCCGCATCTCCATTGCTACTATGAAAGTCTCAATACGTTGCTCGTAATTGTGTGAGGCAACATTTACCCTGAGCTTTGCCGGGAATGTGTTTCAAACGCACCTGGTTTGATAAAACCCATCACAAAGACCCGTCGTCAATGAGCGAGCTCTATTCGGATACATATTCAACATTTGGACTGCATGGGCTCTTGCATGTTGTCCGTTTTCGCGCCATCGACCTGCGTTAGCACCATACTAAAACCTGGCTCAAGGTTTGATGGGGACCCTTCACGCGTCAAAAGAGCCAGACGCGCATCCATAATCTCGCGTCTGCCAAGCCTCTAGTGAGTGCAAGGCCGATAATTGAACGATGGGATGGGAATCCCAGATGCAGGAGAAGTATTTCGTAGAACAACAGCTTTTGAGGGTAATCAACCTACAAGCATCATACATCTATTTATGTATAAAATTTTTATTTTTTTTTAAAGAATAATGAATGAAAAATGACAGAAAAGGGAATATCTCTGGGTGCTTCCGTTACAGGCACAGGTCAAGCCGGATAGCTTTGGCTGATGCACTATCACCGAGCAAACGTCGTCTTCAAGGACCAGCTGGGTTTAGATCAAGCAAGCACAAGCAACCACTAGATATTGAGGTCTTATCCTCTCATTGCACCAGGAAGACATCCCCTAGTGAGAGGAAGCTAAACAAGATATCTTCGGTTAATCTAGGGCAATATTCTTATAGTTGGTCCTAATCGATCCTGGTCTACAGTATGTGCAGAAGACTGGCGAAGAAGGTCGTAGTTTACCAAGGCCATTAAAGCATAACACGTCGAAGTGTCACAACGCTCAAGTGAAGAATGTATGTAACTGCCTAGGTTAGCTGGCACCAACAAAGTGCCCGAAGAGAGTTGTGTCTGCTACATTTGTACCAAATCACATGAGCAGGCGTCGCCCATCGCCTACAGTAGAGACCAGAACTTGTTGCCACATCTGCACGTGCAGGTGGGTGTGTTATTACTTTCATTCCCACTCCAAAGAATCAACAAGCACGACTTCTACCGGAAGTTCCTCTATGGATGCATGTCTCTCAAATTTGGTTTTACTAGATTGAACATGTAACCAGGCACAAAACAGATAGTGTCCACATTGTACGTTTGTTCGACCAGATTGCGACATTGAACTCCGTTGGGCAGAGCTGAGGTTGGCGCCAGCTGGTTGAGCTTTCCCAAGAACCAACTGCCAAGCATCCAACCGCACAACACTCGCATTCACCAATCCCGTCAACTTTTCTTTCCCAGCGACACCACGACGACGACACGACGACACAACGACACATCGATATTCTTTTGCAAATTGACGAATGTATCACAGCATTGCATACAGGACCACGACGAAGTTTTATTTTATTTTATTAGTATAAAGCATCCTTCAATGTGAGCATTGCATCATCGATTCTCCGACTCTTGATTCACAAGGTAAGCTTTTGGCTTTCTATCTTTTGCATCAGTTTGTTATACTAGGCTCCACGGTGATGCTGCAGGTGCCTGCTCCCGGTTCCTAGTGTAGCTCTGTCCATTCACATGGGCAATGATTAGCCTTCCGCTACTCCGTACTCCGTACTCCATACTCGATTCTCCGTCCAGCACCATGTACTAGCACTACCTGGCACGCTTCATCCCAGCATTCCAAGGCTACAGGGGCAGCTTTGGGCAGTTGCTCGGCGTGCAGAGCTTATAGCAGAGCTTATAGCAGGGCTTAGCAGAGCTCCCTAATCCCCCACAGTGTTCGCTAAACACGCCCCTCTCCACCCCCACTTCTAGTGCTCTCCAATCTCTAATCAGGCAGTCCTGCGTCACTGCTGGATCACCACCAAAAAAGTAGCTGGGGAGCTTGTCTTTGATCATCACTGCAGCTTCAGCATCAGCTTCAGCCTAAGACTAGTAGTTGTCCTTACTAGTCCAGTTGTCATTATACTCTATAAGCCTGAAAGAGCCCGTCCCCCCTTTCTTCCATCCCCCAACAATCATACCACCTACTTCTCGTCGATAATTCGTTTCTACTTTCACTGCTTTTTGTATACCTGCTCTGCTGCCTTTTCAGCGTTTATCCCTCCTCCCCCACACATTCCAGTCAACCCACATGCTAATACTGAAGCCTGCAAGCCGCCGAGCCTTCTCGCGCGAACGCCAAAAGCTTCGATCCTCCTCGAGCACAATTGGCGACCAGAGCTCGCTCGAGCGCCAGCCAGATGGAACAAGATCCAAAACCCGACGATTTGCGAGAACGAGCTGGATCTTCTGAGCCCGGCTTCACGCGTCCAAACCCTTTCGTCGACGCCAGTTCTTCCTCGCGAAAGCGCCGCCGAACATCGCTAGCAGGCTCCCGAAGCAGGTCCACCGATACTCTACCGCCACATCCCGAGTCTGTACCTGAGGTTGGCGCTGAAGCCGAGGCCGTAGCGGAGAACGAAGCGACCATGAAAGTCGATAGCCTAGAGCCTGCTGTCCCTAGCACGCCGCCGCAACAGTCGGATCTGCCTACGGAGCCATCCTCGTCGGAGCCCCAGTCGAGCAAGGTCACGATCAATCTTCGAAATGGCCATAGCAATGTTCAAAAAGACCCAGCCTCTCCCTCGGCAACCAAGGGACGGCATCGGGCTGAAGACGTCAAACCCAGCGTGGAACAGCCAGAGATGGACATGAGGCAGCCACCCCCCGACGCTTCGTCCTCACCGTCGATTGCAACTAGCTCCGATGTTGTCGTCGAACCCGTGAACGATGACGATGACGACGATTTGGAGCTCATAGGCGTACGGTCTACTATTCCTCACGTAGACATCACCTCGATATTGCTTACATTTCCCTACTACACTGCCGAGACAGGCCTCTACGATACAGTCGTAAGATTAAACTCGTTCTTCGCAACACGTGAGTACACTTGACTTGTCGCGCTCGAACACTCATTTTGTTCTCTCGAGCTTCCGTCTTGTTTCCTTGTATTTTTTTCTAATCTACTGGGTAGCTGTACATTTCGACGAAGTTTTGGTTCAGCTGAATGCCTGGTTCGAGAGATACTTGCAACATGCCACGACAGACGTCCCCGCTGCCGAGCTAGCAGTCAGGTCCGCTGTAGACGTGCGGTTGCTTTGGCAGACGCTGCCCGAGCTGTTTCAGACCATCTATTCGCGCAGGAATTTTCTCTCCAAGAATTCCACCACTCGCGAGCTTGCGGCGCAGTTGCTGTCGTTTATCCCTAGACTGGCAGCACACTTGGTGAAGTTGGACAATCGACTCCTTGACAAATTAGCGGACAAGCAGCTTCAAGATGTTGATTTAGTCTGTACAGAATTCCTTCACTGTCTAGGCGTGCTTACTGGTCGACGCGAAGAGCCCCAGTTACAGAACGGCTATGCAGCAGAAGTCGTGGTTGACAATGCGAATTTGTTGGAAATGTTTCAGAGAGAATTGGAGCCTGAAGCCAAGGACCCATCGATGATGAGACTAGTACGACTGGCAGAGTCCGTCTCAGCCCAGTCAAGTCACAGCCCGAGGAAGGTAATGGAATACCTTACCAGGATATGTGAACTAGCCGACAACATTGCTAGCGACAGTAATATTCATGTAACTCGGTTGTTGGCATCATACAATGGGTTGCCGACACGACCACAAAAGAATTTGACCTTGGCCATTAGGATTTTCACGGCGGCGTCGACAGCTTTGCGCCACGTAGTCGAAAAGTCCCCAAGCCATCTATCATCCGATCTGGTACAACCCATTTTGTTTCACTTGAGCAATCTGCTACGAATCGGTCTTCAGTCATCCTCTACAGATGCGACAAATATGCTAGCTATCCTACAAAAGCAACACCCTTCTCTCCCAGAAGCCTTTGTTGCTGATGCTGTGCTCCAGGAATGGCGATTTGAGCAACTCACTAGGATGATAACATCTCGCCAAATGCAGCTGCGTGTAGCGTCCCTAAGTTATCTTGCAAGTATTCTCGTCTACGAGTGGAAGAAGTGTCAAGATTACCGTATGGACGGCGCCAGCGATTATCTGAAGCATCTATCCACAAGACTAACAGCGACGGGGCTTGTGAATTATCTTCTCGGACCTACCTGTCATCCCGAGCTCATCATAGACGGTTTCAATATCATCGGGTTCTTAGGTGTCACTGAAACGTACGGTTCCGAGCAGACAGATCTATTTTGGCAGACTATGACCACAACCCAAGATCCCAGGATATCCGATGCTTTGAACAAGATGATGGCGAAGACGGCTAGCCATTTCGGAAGAGAAGCTCTGGCATACCTGGTTCACAAGTTTCAAAGCCTGCCGGCGGAGGCCTTCACCCCACCCATGAGAGAGCTCTGTGATACAATTATTCTGACTATCACGAACAAACAACCTGAGCTGGTCCCAAATGTCGCTAAATTCTGTCTACGGCTGGTGCAGGAAGCCTCCATCAGCGGCGCCCAAGGCTTTTCAGAGCACATGGACACGTGTGACTTTGCAGCCAGTAAGCTGTTCGAGATTCTGAACCACGCGAACCAAAGCCTGCGCCACGAGCTTCTCCAGGAGTGTCTAACTGACATCTCGCTAAAGACACAAAGCACCACCGGAAGTCTACATGTACTCTTTCGATTGATTCGTCCAGCATTGACCCAAGATCTTGCTGTTCTGGTCAAAGAACGTGATTTTCCTCGGCTTCTCGCAGAAGAGCTAGAGGCTACGATCACAAATGCGCGAGCGCTTGGATTCAGGCAAGTGTACGCATCCCCGTTGGGCACTGCGCGCCGTAACCTCATCGAACACATCATTGCTGAATACAGTGCTTCATTTCAGCCTCAAACCGTGGCAAAGTTTTGGCGCTTATTGGTTGGAGAAGCCGCGGCATCTCAAGATGACAGAATGATGGGCTGGCATACATTGAATATTGCCTTGAAAAACACCCGCTCGCCGAACCCTGTCCTGATCATATGCTTGAAAGACCACCTTCCACAACTGTCGCCTGAGCTGTATTGTTCCGGTACATTACAATTTCTGCGACAAGCATTGGTGCCACTCGCGACTGATGTGAACGATACAGCCCTTGATGGAGAGCGTGACTCTGATAACGGAGTTCTGGAACTCCTCTGGCAGATGATACTCAAGGCGCTTCCTCAGACCATCGAAAGGCAGGCGATTGACATATTGGTGAACGACATCTACGTCAAGGGAAAATCAATCACTTCATTCCCGTTGGACCGCGCGCGCAAGGTGCATTTCGCGCTTGTTAATCGATGCCTCCAGCAAATGGCAGATGCTGCAAAAGCACTGTCTCAGTCGGGCATATTGACACACGGCAATGAAGATAACATGATTACATTTGAAGGTAGCGAGCTCAATGATCATGAACTCAGGTTCACCAGGTCGTTGTACGTGCTACAAGCATTTCTTGCGGTTTTGCAAGATCAATCTCACCATTTTGCTGCTCCAGACCTGAGGTCTCTCATGCTGCAATCGCCCAGTGTGGTCGAGGGGGAGCCAGCAGACCTGAAAGTCCAGTCCTTTGACGGTGACCAACAAACTGATCTGAAGCCTCTCGCGATCGGCAGGCAGAACACGGCTGCTTCTCTGTTAGCTAGCATTCGGGAGGCAACGGGTTTCGACAACTACCGCATATTCTATCGTGGAGCGCCCCTAACACCAACTGCAGACCAAATATGCAAGTCTTTGGAGGAACTCAAGATCCACAACGGCCTCATTTTGGTGAAAAAAGAATCTGATGCGGTCTCTACACCGGTCAATATCAAGCCCGGCGCATCACCTCTTGAAATTGAAATTTTGAACCATTTCGAAGCATTATGGGATTATCTTAGTATGGGGGAGAGACTAGCCAAAGAGGTGAGGCATATCTTCTAAACATTTGATATATGTTACTAAATATAGTTGCTCAGGTCTACCACTTCTTGGTCAAGTTACCCGCAGATGGTTCGATTCTGAAGGCCTTTGAGAGCCCTGCGACATCATACCTGGACGTTTTCCCTCTAGGGGAGCCGTTCAAGTGTCTTTACACGATTCATGCCCTGCGTGAGTCATTGAACACTCGGCGCTTGAAGGCGCAGGCCATGCAGGTAAGCCGACCATCGACGGATGATTGCCATAAGGCTACGCCCGACCAAGAAGAGGCCCTCATGAAAGCCATGGTTCTTGTCACGGCCGCAATAGAGGACCCAGAAGTCATTGCTCGCTGCCCTTCTGAATCTTTGCAGATGGAGCTCAGTTTCCATCTGCTGGAGACGTTTGTGCAGTTGTTGACAGGTAAGACTCTTTCCAGCAGATGTTTGGTAATTGGTCCTGATGTGTTGAAAGACTCGGAAAATACGCAGGCTGTCTCCTCACTCCTCACTCGAGAACTTCAAGAGCGAATGGTGACATTGCTCTCTGAAGCCATTGCTGCGCAAGATTCCAGCTATGCCGTTGATGTTGCGAATCGCGCATTAGAAGCATTGCTCGAATGCTGTTCGAAGACAAATGAATTCTGGGGAAATTTCCAGCAACAGACTGCCCTTGGCAAAATCATTCGAGATCTCCTTTTCGACAACCGACCTTTCATGCGAAAAAACACAGCCAAGCTCATCAAGGATAAGTGCACTTACAATTACAGTGTTTCAAGCGTCACACCACTGCAATTCACAGAGTTATTCTGGCCTGTAGTCTCGGCACTCTTGCCTTACACTGCAGGCGAATCAACTCGATGTGAGGAATCTTTGACACTATCATATACACTTATGCAGAAATTGGTCGAAGCAGACTCCAGCGTGTTGGACATGCAATCTTGCATAAAGCAATGTGGAGAACTGATACTATCCTACACATGCACAGAGGATGTGTCGTATCCGGATCAAACAGATACTGTTGCGCGCGGCTTGATCTCGATTCTGTACTTCGGGGTTAAGCATATGGTTGAGCACGAGAAGCTACAACTCTCAAGCAGTTTTACTCGCAAGCTCTTCCACAAGCATCTATTTCCTCACGAAGATCCGCAAGGGCCGCTCGTCCCGCGCGTTGTGCTGAACGCTGAGACCCGAGGTATGCTCACGGGAATCTTCTCGCTCTTTTCCAAAGTCAGCGACGAGCACAACTTGATTGTTCTTCATGCGCTCAACGGTCTGGTATCATACGACGAAGAATCAGGAGACAGCATTCCCTACAAGTACGACATACCACAGGGCTTCGAGCGCTCCAAAGCCGTACGTGCACCCGGCGGCCATGTCGGACTGCGAAACCTTTCCAATACTTGTTACCTGAACTCCTTATTCACTCAGCTATTCATGAACCCACAGTTCAGACGCTTCATGATGCAAGTTCCAGTACCGAATACCAATACACACAAGTTACTCTACGAAACGCAGCTATTGTTCTCGGAACTTCAAGATAGCATACGTCGGTCCATTGATCCGAGCGCCTGCGTTGGGCAGATAATGACGTACGAAGAAACTCCAATTGATATCCACACCCAGATGGATGTCGACGAGTTCTACAATCTCCTATTCGACCGATGGGAATCACAGATGTCAAGTGGGAAAGCTAAACAAAAATTCCGATCGATCTATGGTGGGCAGTTGGTGCAGCAGGTCAAGTCTAAGGAATGCGAACACATTTCTGAGCGGATTGAGCCATTCTCCGCGATTCAGTGCGATATTAAGGGCATATCAAGTCTTCAAGACAGCTTACAGGCCTATGTCGACGGTGAGGTCATGGAGGGTGATAACAAATACAAGTGCGAAAAGTGCAACCGCCATGTTGACGCCGTCAAGAGAGCTTGCCTTAAGGAGATACCTGATAACGTGATATTCCACCTCAAAAGGTTCAGCTTTGACCTCAGAACTCTCCAGCGCAACAAGATCAACGATCATTTTGCTTTTCCCAAGGAGATTGACTTGGCCCCTTTCAAGGTTGAGCACCTCAGCAAGCCCTCCGGAGATGCTGAGCCTGATATGTTTGAGCTTGTAGGCGTGTTGGTGCATTCGGGTACCGCAGAGTCTGGGCATTACTACTCATACATCCGCGAAAGACCTAGCTCCTCCAAAACCGAATCCTGGTTCGAGTTCAACGATGATACTGTCTCTCCTTGGGATCCAATGAATCTTGAGGGCTCTTGTTTTGGCGGGAAGGATCTCGCATCTCGATTCGATGGTGGGCTTGGGTTTGAGAAAGCCTACAGCGCCTACATGCTCTTTTATCAACGATCTTCGACCTTGAAAAAAGACCAAAGCCGGTCAACGATGAGCATGAAGGGCTCGGCGCGGGTTGATCTCAAGCCCGATATCGAGATGAGTATCAAAGAAGACAACTGGGGTCTTGTTCACAGATACTGTACTAACGAACCCTCCCACATCACATTTGTGAAGGAGATCCTTGTACGCACATGGGGGTCTTCCTGCTCCCACAGTCACAAGGTTGAAAACTTGGCTATGCATGTTGCTCTGGGTCATCTCGACCAGATTGCATCTCGAGCAAAGGACATTCCTGACTTTCAACTACTTTATTCGATAGTTAGTCAAGCGTGCCATCGATGTATCACATGCTGCCTATGCTTCTTCGATTATTTCAGAGCCAGGACTGAAGCCTTGCGAATGCTGCTGCTCCGCAACGCAGAAGCACCGGTCCGACACGCAACAGGAAACTTGCTTATTCATGTACTGAAAAGTCTAAAGCTGCATCATCGGGAGGAATACGACCCACCATTCGAAGGTGATGAAGACAGCACTGATATCGACATTTATGACGTCAGGCCTTCTTTCCTTACTGCAGCTGTGCGAATGTTCAGCACACTGTTCGAGTCTTTCCACAACAGTCTCCGGGCCTGGCCCGAATTCTTTCACGTAATTCTGTCATTTGCCATGATGGGGAAGTTGGAAATAGCTACTCTCCTCGAAGAAAATTACCTCCTGAAGCTCATCATGATTGTCACTGCAGACGCCACAGACCAGGAGCTTCCCCCACAATACGCCCGGTTAGCTACAACGCTCTTCAGGCGACAACGGCCGCCGAGCTACGAAGCCATTATATCCTTAATTGATTTGCTGATGGATCAGTTGGACCCGGATGAGCGTGATTTTGTGGACTCATCCCAGGGTCGTTTACAATTAGTTCTCGAAGATGAAGATCAATCGGTACCATACACAAGTGATGAGGTTAACGAAATACACAGGCAGTGGGCCAGATCGCAGAACAGTACCTTCGTTGATAAATTGATACAGCACGGCCAAAATCTCAAGGCAACTGAGTCTATATGCCGGCGTCTCATAGATTTCAGCCCGATGATGGATCAACAAGTCTTCATCACATTGCGATTGGGTATCACAGACTGCCAACAGAATGCACCGCCTGTTGCTGGTTACTTACGAGCGGCTGTATGGTACGTCCGTTATAGCAGCAATGCAGTGCATGTGCATAACTTGATCAGAGATGTGGTTTTCCAATGCCGATCTCCGGCCAATGTTGAAGGAATGGCCTACCTATCGTTCTTCAAGCGGATCTTTGAGGGGGCAAGAAGAAGTGAACCGGATCCAACAGCGGTATACATCAGGAGTCTTCAGGAGCTTGCTTGCTGGGCGCCAGCTCTGATCGGCCACATGGACTCGAGCGTACGAGAACAGGTGGACAAGTTTCTTGAAGAGGTCCTCTGGGGCCTAGGTCCTGAGCCGTCCGTCTTCGTTGAGGAAGAGCATGGTGTGGAAAAAGCCCAAGAACTGGTCACTACTGGTAAACATCTGACAATCAACTGCTTGTTATATTTGCAGGAGGCCTATGTTGAACGTAATGCGCAAGCACCCAGGGAAAGCGTTTTGCCTTTACAAGAGGCAATTCAATGCGGTGCTGTATATTTTACTGACGCTAACGCTCATATTCATCCTGAACTGGATATCAAGTACGCCGAGTTCAAGCCAGGTAAGTTGCTTCGATAGATATGTAAGCGACCGTGCTGACTCGATGTCATAGTCATCCCTGAACTTGGTCGGTTGATGGTTGATGAGGTTGAAGAGGATGCTTCCGGTATGTGGAGTGATTCCACCTCTGAAACCCTAGAAGATTATGAACTGATGTCTTAAAAGATTGGGATAACTCGGTTGGCTCATCAGAACCAATCGATCTGGGTGACGTCTAGCTGTAGCCATCTTCACTACAGAACCAAAGTCAAGACTGAGGGTGCATTGGAACTTGGTGCTTGACTGCAGTCTCAAACGGTTCATTTGGCAGGTCGTCATTACAACGACTCTTTTCTGATCTAGTCCCAGGGGTTTGGCGAATGGAGTTCTTTGAGAAAATGTTGTGGATGCATGGCATAGGTGTGCAGGCGTTTCAACGAAGGACAAATACTCCGCAGCGGTATTGGTTTTTTATTTTTCTTTATTTTTCTGATTGATCTCGTGGAAGAAAATCTTCGGAAGCGCGAGCAGGTCTGCCTAGCAGCGTCTGCAGCATGGGTTTACGACATTACATAGGGCATTACGACTTGACGATGGGGATAATCTCTGTCTGAGATTGGCCGAACCTACATCCCCTTGATATGATTTAGATGATGGTCTTGAAATAGACATGGCCGTGACCAATAAGTTACTTTTCAGACTCCCGTGACAAAACTGTCCTTCCTGAGCGGGTAATTCCACCGTGGACAAAACTTGAACGCAAGTTGAAGTCATTATCAACGAAGCCTACTGCTAAAAATAAAGTCGATAATTCGGTTGAGGAGTTTCGCCCATAGTCCGCGAAAGCAAGGTAGTATTGGTCACTGCCGTCCTTGATTGTTATGTCTAGTTTGATCCACTCCAAGATTGGGCGCACGTTAGTTACGAATTCCACAATTATCCAAGTAAAATTGAGCGGTTAACTAGAAGATATAAAAAGATATGAACAAGAGGAAGCGAAGTTGTACGGCTGGAACTACTATTTTGGGGTCCTATTGGCTGGAAGATCTGACTGCCGGCGGCGATAAATTCTTGATGCCCTCTCGTGCCCCCTGTGCGCGACCCAGGGAGGTAGCTTGTAAAATGAAGGCCAAAGACTTGTGAGAAGGATGAAGAGTATCTTAATTTAGGTCGGGCAACGGACGGGATATGCAGTCCAGTTAAAGTCGTCACAGAACTAGACCAGACCCGGGACAATATGATTTTAAGGTATTCAGCAAGCTCATGGCTCTTAATCAATATATGATTACGGTTCAATCAGCGGCTCCAATTGCCGAAGATCGTGTGTTGTAGATTCGATCGGCCTCCCTATTTTTATTGAGCTGCAGCTTGGCCATACTCGAATAGGTCAGCTAGGGAAGCAAAAGGTGTGATAAGAATTACCGAGAAACAGGGATGAAAGGGCTCGCAGGGGGATGCTGGTGCTATTCTTGTCCTCTAACCGCCGAGCCAATGCGGGGTGGCTGGCCAAACAGAGCTTACGATAGCTTGGTGGATATGGCTCGTCATCAGCAGGAGGACAGCACGTTGAAGAGAGAGAATGGCCTTGCAAGGACTGACGTGCACATGATCTTTGAGACAGCAATTAGAATGAGGGTCAAGAGTGGGAATGGCACGTACGGTGTGGCATGGTCTGGTCATTCATTAGCCCAGCATTTGAGAGTTACAAGATGCATCATGATGATTGCCTATAGCAATTAGTCCAGGGAAGTAAGTATCTGTAGAGAGAAGGAAAGAAAAAAAAAAGGAAAGGGACCAAAAAAGCCAAAGCAATCGTGCCATCAGGATGGTCTATAGGCCTAAGTATCTGGAGACCTGGCATGTCCATGGGACCATGATAGTGGCATCCAAGTGAGCACCAACATGGTCTGGGGTTGACCAGGCCAAGAAGAATCAATTCCTCTCTCCATGAGACCGCTATGGCCGCCAAAAACGGACCACCGCTTTGTAGCCACTTGCTATGTAACCCCTGCGCAGCCACGCTACCCAGAGCCCAGACCCATGCTCCCATCAAATCCTGGGCATGCATCTCATTCCCGCGTTCGCCATGCAGACCTCATGAGTTCGTCACCGCAAATCCATGAAACCAGCGACTCTGGCGAAGGAACAATAAGAATCACATCAGATCCCTGCCGGGATCGCCAGATATAGCATGCCAACCGAGGAAGCCACCGTGAGCTACGTACCATGACCCCACGAATGCCTCCAGGGGATCCCCTGTGCTGTTTCAAGTCCGTTCTTCGTCTGAAATAAGTTAAGCTTCCTGTGCACTGCACTCGAGGTGACCGACTTGCGTAGCCGCCTACCATGTATGCTCTGTGCTTTTTATAACGGGCGACCCGATGGGGGAAAACCCAGAGGTACAAGCTACGCGTGCGCTGTTTCCGATGCATCTGAGGTATATTGCTCACCTCAATCTACATGTCATTGTTTCAAGTTTCAGAGCCATCCCTGCACCGTCGATCTGAAACTTCCCATTTCGGGATATGCAGGTCTGCTCTCTGAGGAACGAGGAACACAGCCATCAGCTGCAGCCGGTATATTTACATTGACGGCCTGCCATCCGAGCTTCTGGTTTAATCAACATAGATCTGGATCATCTCAACTTCGCCATACGGATCGCTGGACATCCGGACGTTTACTTATTTAGTTATTACTATTTCCAGCACTGCATCTTGGCCTCACAGCCTCTTTCTGTCCCTGTTGTTCACCTCCTTCCAGTAATACCCAACCAACGGAGCATACTGCGCCAATTTGTATTGTACTGTACTACACAGCCATGTCGTCGCTCCTGAAGCAACGGATATCCTCACCGCTTGAGGCTGGACCCTCCATCTTAGATTCGCAGAGCCTACCACCACATCTTACACAAGCCCTCGAGTATGCTTCCAGGAGACTATCACGCAAGGCGCTGCACATCACACTGGTCGTTGTGAGAAAAGATTATCAGCTCCCGTCATCAACGCTGCCATGTGCAACCCCTACATCTTCGGTCTCAGTTCCAGCGTCCCCCGAGTTCAGCTGGTCTTCCGGTCCATTATCCCCGTCACGATTGGTAGCGCCGGTGGCCGGACTGAGACAACTCGTCCGCCGCGGAACAGGTGGCTCTACCGCTTCGACTTCGACCACAGCCTCTGGAATTTCATCGAGAAGTGCGGCAACATCTCCAACTTTCCAACCTCATTCCACCGAGCCCCAAAGCCACACCCTACTTGGCAGCCTGCGAAGGTTGCCATCGACGCCTGCCACACCGTGCACACCAGCAACACCCTATTCAGCCGTCACGTCGACGTCTACATCATCAGCCTCCTCGACATCGTCCACGGCCTCAGCCGGCGGCCCAAACCCCTTCGGCATCCGTCTCCTACACACAACCTCGCTCTCGCCCAAGGAAGAATACATCCTACGCCGCACCATCTCCAAGGCTGAGCGCAAATTCCACACCGGAACCGGCTTCCTGCCCCCCACCTCCTCCGCATCATCGTGCGGACTGGACACCGATCTTATCCGGCGCTCCATTCGCCAAAATGAAGTCCTCTTCTCCTCCGAGGGCCTCACCCTGCTCGGTCTAGACAGACTGTACACATTTAAGTCGGCGCTGGCGGCGTATGCGCGAACCACTCTTCGTGGCCATGAAGACGCTCGAGAGCGCGAGTCCAGAATCGAGGACGCCGTCGACGAGCTGCGCCGGCTCGTCCTCAGCCGAGGCGGCCGCAGACTCGAGAGACGGGAGCTGTATGGTAGCTACGTGTGGATTGGTGTCAGCGCTGGTGCCCTGGGCGACGTGGAGCGAATGTACCGACGTGCATACGGAGGCGCCATGGGCGTCGGTGCCTTTGGAGAGGCGGCGGCGGCAGCGAGAAATACAGCAGCAAAAGCAGCAGTAGCAGCAGTCACTGCAACCATCACTACGGCATCGAAAGCAAACACGGAAAAGGAAGAAGACAACCAGGAATGGCCCCTCAAGATGAGTGTCGTGGCCACCAAGATGAGCAAGCCCGTGCCCAAGATCGGGCAGCCACCATCACCGAAGCCAAAGGCGCACACACCCATTCTGAAGCTGCAGACCAAATTCGAGGCACCAGAGCCCGCCGTGGCCGACGTGAAGAAGCCGAGTGCAATCAGACCCATCCCCGTGAAACCCGTGGCCACCGCTTCGTCCTCGTCGTCGACCCAAGACGAGCTCATCATCAACATCGACGTCTTCTCGGACGAGGAAGAAGAAGAGAACGACGGCGACGTCACGGCGAAGCCCAATACCGCCGGGGCAGCCAAGCACGGCATGTCCTTCTGGAACGGCATCGACGAGATGCTGGCCCGGCGGGACCACCACGGCCTGCCCTCCGAAATGGCGGTCTCGCCTGTGATCCAGAGGCTGCGGACCAGCCAGCAGCAGCGAATGGGCCCCGCCACGCCGAACGGGTATGATGACATATCGCCCGTCACCCGGGGCGAGTGGGGTTTCCTGTTCAAGGGAGATGGCTGGAACGGAGGACGAACGGCAGCCGTCGAGACGTGCTAAGCAATGATGCGGAGGTTTAAAAAAAAATTTCAAGTGTATATATATAGAACCAATTGCGGCCTGCAAGAGCGATCTTGTTCTGTTTTTGTTTGTCCAGCATTTTCAAGGAGCGCCTTTTTATTCTCCTCAGTATATATAGTTAGCCACGTTGCATGAGTATATGACAGATATCAAAATTATCCTCTATAACGAAACACTTTTCTCGCATTTCGGACAAGTGATTATCTGGACTTCGGTCTTCTTCCGCCTTGCTGAGACTGATGAAATCTGTGGCTTGCTGTCTCTTGACGACTCGAGACTGCCTGCTCCTTGTGAATATCCTCTCTCCAGCGGACATGGCGTGGAATGAAGTATCGGATAAGTATGGACTTGTAGTAGATTCCGAGATACTGTGACGGTCAAATTTACCTAGCCATCTCTGAACTCAACGGGTATTTACCTTGACGCCGTGAAGTGCGTCGTTATCGATGCCTACACTCGCAATTTCCCATTCCTGGCGAGGAAGTTTACCTGGCAGGTCGGACATCTTCTTGTCGGACGATGCATAGTGCCTTCAGTGATATGATGCAATCATCTCCACCCGTACCGTTGGCCAGCCTCTTTTTGATTGGTCTTTGATTTGGCAAAGCTCTCCTCCAGCGCGTCCTTCTGGTTGTGCACCTGCCTGACCAATTGCTGGAGACTGTGCTTGCCCGGCGCGATGGCGCGGACGGGATTGTAGACCTGCTGCTCCCCAGATGCGCGCAGCTCCTCGTTGTGTGCGTACTCCTGATCCGTGTTGAAGTTGATGACCCGCGTGGCCGACTGGGTGGCCGACGGCATGCCACTGCGACCGAAGAGCTCGCGCCGGGCGGCCGCGTCGAGGTTCATGTCTGATGCTATCGAGTCCAGGGAGTTGGACGGTGCTGTTCCCACCAGTGTCGAGCTCGTCGGCTCCGCGTAGGTGCTCGAGTATTGTGCGTCGTATGCCGCGAAGTCATCGGTGGCGTGTGTGGACTCCTCGGAGAACATGGGCTCGTATGCTCCCGTGCTTGGCGCGGAGGCATCTAGAACATCGTCGTCGGCTTCGGCGGAGATGGAGAAGAGGGATACTTTCTTCTTCGGTGGCGGTTCAGCAAGTGCTTGATGAACATCCGGCACCGGGCTCTCTGCTGTCGCGGCTGCTTTGGGTATCGCTCCCACTGCCTTCGTTGTCTTCTTCTTGGGGTTCCTCGAGACGGAAAGAGGCTTAAACATCAACGGTTTCCCGACTAGCTTGACCTCGTCTGCCGGCTTCTGGCCATCAGGTATTGAAGGCTGTTTGTTGTTTGCCTCTCCATCTTCGGCATCGTCGAACTCAGTATCCCTGCTGAAGCCAGGCGCGGCGCCAGTCTTCAAGTTGATGCCCACCCTTGGCGGTGCCTTTCCAGCATTGCCGTTTCCGCCAGTGCTACTGCTCTTGGCCGGCGGCAGTGCTCTGTTCTTGGGGGGCGGCAGGAGGGAGGCGAACCCACCAAATGTGCCGCCGCCTGTCCTGGCTTTCTTCGCTGGCGGCTCGTCGCTGCTCGCGTCTGGCTTAGAGGCGTCCTGTGCGGAGGACGCGCCAAGGCTGACGACGATCTTGCGCGGGTTCGAGCGGTCGACGACTTTCTGGATAGGCTTCTTCGCTATTGCGCTGCTCGTGGGCGTTGGCACGGGCTTTGCGGTGGGCTGCGCAACGGTTTCGGCGTCCGACTCCGAGTCGGAGTAATCTACCAATGCCATTTTGTAGTTATATAGTAGGGTGTGGACAACTCAAGGCTTGGTATTTGTTTTGTGGTGAAGAAAGGATGGTGGTGACGAGTAGCTCGATGATGCTGTGGAAGTCCTCCATACCAGAATGGATGGCTTGTGAAACTTACTTGCCTGTAACGCTAAATTTAGCTAGACTAGAAGGTAAGTTGATGTTGAACTACAGCAGATGGCGGCATAGTTCCGCAGTATAAACAATCTATGCATAAGCAGCGACTCAGCATTGCCCAGCGTTGTGTAGACTTCCCCATGCTCAGGGAACGAACCAGCTCAACTACCATGATCAATGAGAACATGCTTATTCGGCCGGCAGTCCTGTATCGAACTATCGAACCGATCAAATGGAGAAGATGCTCCAGAGAACGCTCTTTGGCAGGTGCATGAACGGCACATACGCTTCCCAATCTCAAAGTGGACAATACCTTGGCTGTCATAATGAAGCTCTCACCAAGCTTTCCAGATCGGTTGAGGATTACTTCCTCAGTAACTGCGCCAGACAGAACTGTTTTACATGGCGCCATTGCAGGCAATATCGTTCATACATCAATTTGTGACCGAAAGCCCGATGCGTTGTTGGTATTGTGTTCTTATAAGGGACGGCCACTAACATTTGGTGTGTTGCAGCACTTTCAATGGCGGGTTCGGCACTATTCCGTAGCTGCCCCTCACTAAAGTTGATAAAGTTAGCAACATGTCAGTTAAGGCCAATGCGTCAGGTTCCAACACTACCAACATCATTGTCACTATCTCACTCACTATCACCACTGCCACTACCACCTACCACTGCGCCACTACGTAAGACTGGTCGCGACCGCTTGGGACGGGAGCCGCGACTGATTGAGGAGGTTGAGCAACTACCGGGAATTCACGTTCGAGTTCAACTCCAACAACGGATAGGATTTAAGCAACGTGGCTCGCTGGCTTGACTCATTGTCGGTCCAAATCATTACATTCACATCGATGCTATTTGCAACCTGTAAATGAAACTCCTGTCACAACTTGCGCGAGCTCGCATGTAGCGGTTCTAGGTGCTTTCAGCATGTCTCTTATTCAGGTAGAAGAGTAAGTTGCCATGCCTCCGTCCGAGATCTACTTGTACTGATTGATCATCTACAAGTCTGGTATCTTACCAATTACGAACCAGCTACCTCAGTGAGGTGGCGGACGGTGTTGGCGAACGACTGATCACGTTGAACGACAACTTCCTCAACACAGCCCCTTTCAAAGCCGCTGGATGGCGCACGAATCCTGCTCTGATCAAACGAACCCACTCTCCGCCGATACCTACTGCTATCGCGTCAGAATACTTCCAAGCACCCCCCCGGTCTGGCCTGACCCTCGAAGATGATGTCGAAGAGGGAGGAATGCTCACAGGTGGTGGTACCGAGACCCCCGGGCCTGGCCTGGCCACGAGGCGCAGAAGGGAACGACGCCGAGAGCGCGAGATGGAGGAGGATGACAGCAGTGACCTCAGTGATGAAAGCGACGACGAACCCAGCCACAGGGAGTCCCAACAGTTAAGGTTCGCCAAGATGCCCGTTCGGAACCGTTCAGGCTCCTCTCCCATACAATCCTCGACCTTGCGCCAGAACGCCGGAACTTCGTCCCCAAGGGCTGCCCCTGGCGCTCGGAGAGGTTCCCAATCTGCCCTAGAAACGGTCAAGGAGAGGGCAAGACGAGACACTGTCACGAGTAGCGAAGTCTCTTCCGACAACGAATTCGACAATTCCGCCTACCGCAAGCATAAAGAGGCTGCCAGGGCTGCCGCCAAGTCTGTAAAACTACAGGCAAAAATTGCAGAAGAGCCAACCCACGGAGTGAACAGGATTCAAAGCGAACCATTGGCGGAAGAAGAGGACGACTCGGACCTCTCTGATGCTTCGTCTTTTGTCGAGAGTGTAGACTCCGCTTCCATCCTGCCCGATGTCGAGAATCCTGCCTTGCCCTCTGAACCCGGAAAGCAGGTTGTTGGAACGCCACCGAAGCAACTACTACGTCAGTCCACCGTACGGAAGCCTCCATCGCATCCCCAGCCGTCCCTGCGAATGGCTCTGCCACCGCCAAGACCCATGAGCACTATCCGGCCATTGAGTATGATGCAACCTAGGAGTCTCTTGTCTGATGCCTTCAAGGCCAAGAACACGAAGCCCGCCATGCCTTTCGAGAAATTTGCTACTCTTTCTGGTCAAGGTGACCCAGATCCATTTTCCATCCGTATCTACGCTCCATTTTCCAAGACGTCCTCCAAACCATTTGAGGTTCCTATTCGAAAGAACATACAAGACGAGGATGGAAGCTTCAGAGCCGTCACTGTTGCAGAGCTCATAGGCCTGAGCCTTTGGAGATACCATGAGGAGAAGTTAGAGCCTCCTATTCCCAGTGACAAGCTAAACGTTAATTGGTGGACGCTGCGCATGGTTGATGGAGACGAGGTTGACGATGATTTCCCACCCTTGGAAAGGAAGAAGCCGGTCAATGCCTTCACCACGGCCAACAACCGGGCCGCCAGGTCTCGAGGTAAGAAGATGTATGATGACTTTGGCCTAGTGCAAGCCTCCGCGGATGGGTTCCAAGAGAACCAGAAATTGACACCTCAATTTGTCCAACAGGAGGTAGTGGTGGAAAGCACAAACGAAGAGGATACACCAAAAAACACACCGCAGCCACAACCGCCCCTTCCAATGCCCTTTGGTCCACGGCCCAACCCAATCACCAATACAACTTTCCGCGTCGAGACCGCGCATGCAGACAAGCCACCTGCGCCAGCACCCGCTGCAGTACCAGCAAGCAGAGGTCAGCAAAAGCTTCTTCGGATCCATATCATGTCTTCAGATGTTGCGCCGGGTCAGATGGTCACTCTGGATGTTACTACCGATACCTATCTCGCAGAAGTGCTTGATTTGGTTTGCAACAAGAGACAGCTGGACAAGAACACGCACGTGCTCAAACTTCCGGGTTCGGGTGCTGTGGTTTTCGTTGATCGCTCCGTTTCGTCTATTGGTAATGTGACAGACTTGGAATTGCATCGTAGACGCTTTGCCACTGACGGTCCTTTGACAATTACCGGCTCACCAATCGGCTCCTCGCCAAAGGCCCATGTTTGGGACAACGCTCTTGCTCAGAAAAAGAAGAAGGACAAGGGTGTCGCTCCTCACCCACTGGCCCAGGAGGCCATGAAATTCGATGAGGTCGGAAGCAGTGATGTCAGTCTCAAAAAGTACGTGGTATGGAAGAAGCAGACCATGCGATTTGTCGGCAATGAGCGTCTGATAACCATCGACGGAGAGTATGTCTATATTCAGCCATCGTCCGGGGGAAAGCCAACCCGCGAAAGCGGTAAGACCACGAGTGTACATTTCAGCAACATTCTTAACTGCAGCACCTCACGCAAACATCCTGGAACATTCAAGGTATGGTGTATACTCTTCCATCATGCTTGCCGGCTATCTAAGACTGACCTACAACGTCCACAGCTATACGTCTTCAGAGACAATGCCCCCAAAAGAACAGACTACGAAGCGAAGAGTGCACAAGAAGCGTCCGAGATCGTGACTGAAATCAAGAAGGGGTTTGCGCCATATAATAAGGACTAATCGGCATATATCGTTACGTTCATGTGTGATGTCAACGCCAGCTCAGAGGATTGGTTCAAACGCGACCCAGCACGATAAGCCGTCAAATCAAGAAAAATAAGTATGCGCTTTTGAGCCAATCGAGATGGCCTGGTCCAGCCAAATTGACGCTGAACCCATCTGGGCAGCTGCTGCACTGGACCCCTGTCTGAAAATATGCATGCCAAGACGGCATGGCGAAGCAGCCACCGGCATGCAGCGGCGTGGCTGGGAATATAAGGAGGCCTCGGCACCAACGTCCACTACACAAAAAAGACAACGACACGCCATCGTCGGGTCCAGGTGAAGCTCGATATTTCAAAAACAAGAAATAATTGGTTGCTAGCACCGTTCGCGAACTGACAATGCATCTGATCAAGTCGTCAGCTTGGCACCTAGCTGCCCTTGCGGCCGTCTTGCCCGTCTTCGCTTCGGCAGCGTTGACGACGACCCAGACAGGCACAAGCACGGCGTCTTTCTTTTTGCCCTCGCGCTCCACCTCGTCGGGCTATCACATCTATGCCACTCCCATTACCTCAGATGCCTCAACCACGCAATACTTGCTCGCATGCCAAACTCTGTTCGGCGTCTCGTCTTACTCATGTGGCGGTGAGTTCACAGGTCTCACCTTGACCTACGGTCCAAGCTCGATGCACTTGAATCTCGGGCCCTCCGTGGGTCTAGAGTACAACTGTGCATTGTTGCCGGCGGCGGTATGCACGGTGACCAGTTCCGGTATCGTGGCGACTAGCACGGTGGTCAGCCTAGCCGCTACGGAGACCTCGAAGTCCATTACGCCAGTTACGATATTAGTGAATGATGTGAAAACCATTTCCTCCACGACAAGCCCTACCAACGCAGCGGCAACGACGACATCTGGTTCAGGGGGCAGTGGGGTATGCAAAAGGAAGGTTGGAAGCGGCAGTGGAGCAACGACGGCGGGAGGTGCAGACACAACTGCTGGCGATGCGGCTGCAACGACTACCGGGGATTGTTCGGACGGAGGCAGGGTCGGTGTTGGGCTGCTTATGCTTGGTGTCACGGCACTTGCAATTCTGGTTGGGGTAGTTGTACTGTAACATCAGAGGTTTGTCCATGATTCGCCCGTAAGTCGCTAGAGATAAACACGGCAAACAAACAGAAGAGACAATTTGGCCACTAGAGCCGGCTGGCAGCCAAAACAAGCGTCCAAAAAGTTTCCATCTTATTTGCTTGGTCGTATTCGGCCAACGCAGATGACTAACTACAACCTGCACGTGTAACGAGATCTGATGTCGACAGGGCAGAGGGCTTGGGCAACCAAGACGGAATTGATGACTAGCTAGGACTGAACATTGGTAGGGGAGAAACATGTAGCGATTACAAAGGTGGCCCTGATTCAGTCATGCAGAGCAGATGGCTAATATTACATCGAATCTCCGAAACGGGTTCACACGCGAGGAGGGACTTGCTAGGTGACGACGTTAATCTAGTGCAACAGGCGATAGATGATAGGCGAAAGGCAAGATAGAAAAACACAAGCATGAATAGTGGCGGAACAACAGGCACCTCACGGGTTGCTGCATCATACTACGATGAGATCTTGGGAGGGAGCTAATTATTCGGGGGGGGGGGGGGGGGGGGGGGGTTGAATCATGCAGGTGTCCTTTTTCTTTTCTTTGGAGCAGTCGGTACCAGTCAAAGAAACGATTGATCACTCCGAGGTCTTGAAAACTGAGGTCGGTTTGCAAGACCTAAACTCAGGACTCAGGACTGAGGACCCAAATCCCAGAACCCGGCTGGCATATTTGAATAATCGCTTCCCACTGCCATTGCCTATTGCCGTTGCCGGGTTACCCTCGTCCCCTTCCAGGATATTTCTTATAATTGAATCACCCAGCCCAGGGACCGTGCCGACTGATTTATTACTTGTCACTCACGTCAAAAGACGAGAGACTTCCTTCAATTTTCCCACTCACACTCCTCCACAACCCAGCAAACAGAATCCCAAAGCCACCACGCTTCTCTAGTTTAAGTACGCAGCAAAGGCTCTTCTTCCCATCTTTCTTGCAAACACAATTTTGATCGTCATACTCGTACAGACTGAATATTTTCACTCGTTCATCATCACCAATACACACATCCATCGACCTTTAACCATCAGACTCCAGTCATCAGTCATCCCCATATTACCGTCAAGATGCAGTTGATCAAGACTCTCATCTTCCTCGCCACCGTCACCTCTGGTGCCATGGTAAGTCATCACCATCCCAACAAATAATTGCTTTCTTGGGCCGCTCTTTCCCATGTCTCGCATCATCCCAATTTCCTCGCACCTGTTGATCGAGCTGCTGACCGAAACGGAATCGAACAGGCCGCTGTTCGTCAAGCTGCTGTCGCCCGCGGCGGCACTGAGCAGGTCGTGGCTTACTACGATTTCGAGTGCGATTGCACCACTACCACGACCGTCACTGTCAGTGGCGGCGTCACTGTCTACCCGACCATCGATAGTGCTACTCCCCCGACTACCATCTCCACTGCCTGCACATTCGACAATACGACTCCTGGAGGCTACCCCATTCCGACTCTGGCCACCACCACAGTCACCGGTGTCACCTCCACCATCTCCACAGTTCCTTCTGGTACTGGCAGCACTGGAGTTTCTCCTCCTGCTGGCGGTTCGGTTCCTCCTGGTGCAACTGTCCCACCCACTGTGACTAGCACCCGACCTAACCCCGCTACCCCGACTATCATCACAGGCTCTGCTACTCACTCCTCTAGTGTTACTCTTTCTGTCTCTTCCAGTAGTACCGACACTGGATCCGGCCCCTCCACCTTGACACCCGAGGCTCCCCCCACCTCGACTGCCTCTTCAGCTGGTGCCGCTCACCAGACCGTATACCTGGGTCTGCTTGGCGCCGCAGCATTTGCTCTGGTAATCTGACAGGCCAGTTCCACCAGAGTTACTTCTTCTCAAGGATCTACGACTGGGTCACGAATGGCAAGTATGGATGGATAGTCTGGGCTTTTCACGTATTCATGGATGCTATGATCTAGGAGTGTCAGGGAACCCGGTAATGAGAAACACGGTTGGGCATGCATACAGCAAGGAAAACACACATGAATAAGGCGTTTGTATTCTAGATCGTGTCGTTGCATAATTCCAGGATCATCATCACGGTTGATCTGGCATAAGGATAAAGGCAATGGTATGAAGTGGTTTCTTATAGGATAGAAACATGCTCACCAGATAGCTGATAATACATCATCGTTGATAGTAGTTTGTATGGGCGCAATGCGTTGCGAAGAGTTTGTCTGGCCTCATTGCGTCTGTTTGTCTGTCCACACCGTGTTGGTGAAATATAACGCGTTGTGTCGTTTACAAATTTCCGAGGTGTAAGCCGAGTGTCGTACTTTGAATTACTCAGAAGGGGAGGGTGGTCCAAATTTCTTTTTTTTTCGCCGGTCTGATTATTCAAGAGTGTGACAGGCGGAAGCAATTTTCAATGAAGTATTGCCGCCTTTGAAGTTCCGTGTCAAGTCCCCAACACTGTGTTCACGAGATCTTGTCGATCAACTCGAAGAAAGCCTAACCTTGACAGTCGACATTTCTTCTCAATGATGGGCTGTCAGATGAATAGCTTGTACCTCAATGTGCAGGATGCCCCTTTGTATAGCCCAACACCTTCAAAACCCCACGTATCAAGCTCTACTCGAGTGAGCTAGCAGGTGGAGGCACCACTGCCCGACTTCTTCCCCCAGGTTTGCGGTTCTGAACGCGGCCGATTGCATCCGTCGAGCTAACTATTTAGGGGGTTTTCTTTTTCTCTAAAAAAAAAATTTCTGAAGAAGGCTATGGAGAATTAAAACGGACTACTCTTAATAACCCGCCAACCATCGACACGATACGAAGCAGCAGGCTACGCGTCAAATAAGGGGACATGAACGAACGGAATTCTCTGTGAAGGATAAGTAAAGATTACATTTACTGTACTTGTATAATTGAATGTGTGATTCCATTGAGCGTCACCGTCAGTACTTATAATGGTTTCGAACTATAACTAACACCATGCGGATTTTATTTTATTTTACTTGATATTGGGTGGTACAATGGAGATGAAACTAGACAAGGTAGTGTAGTTTCGAGACTGGTAAACCGATTAAATCTTTCAAGTATCGTTGCTATTTCGCCTGCTCCCTTCCCAAGTGTTCAATGACATCGGCGCAGACAGCACGAGGGTAGGCCGTCCAGCCAAGGTTTGACAAAACCCGTTCGAATTCCGAGTGCACGTGGCAGCCAATGCTGACGCCGGGCACTTTTGTTTCAAATAGCCACCGACGGTTTGTTCACACGACTTCGGCAAAATCGGCGCCTTTTTCAACTCCTCGGGGTCATCATTACTATATCTGCAGTCGACGTAAGCGGGGAGTAAAAAGCCTGTCATTATAATGGTAACCGTTAGCAAACAGCCCACAATAAGTCGCGGTTGGGCTTGTCGTGCACCAAGTCGACACGAAATACACCCGCTGACCCGGTGGCTTCCGAGATTTGTGCGGTCGTGGTGCTCAACCAAATTAGACTAGGGATTGGTAGTTATGGCATGAACGATCTAGATTTGACGTTCCCAGACTTCTCTTTCCGCATTGTAGGGATGTGAGTGGTTAACTCAATGCAACGTCAACTTTAATGCAACTTAAGGCCAGCGGACGACTGTGGAGTCTACGCCTCTAAGAACCGAGAACCAAGAATGTCCTTAGTGTACACATACATACTTCCTCGAGGTAAGGCGGGCAGGTGACTACAGCGAGACAATTACCTAATCTATTCCGGGTGCCTCAAAACATGATCAGATATTGGGGGCGGTTGTACTTCGCAAGCAAGAGAGACGCGACGCGCCGTGGATATGTGGATCTGGAACCATAGTACATAATTGTAGCTTTGTACTGGACAAATGTCCGAACACGATGCTTGAGTGGATAGGTTCAAGTATTGAGATGGAACGGCAAACCATTTCATAGAGGATTATGCGGAAACCATTTCATAGAGGATTATGCGGAAACCATTTCATAGAGGATTATGCGGAAACCATTTCATAGAGGATTGTGCGGAATGCCTCTGCATTGACCATAGTAACCTTTAGCGGTGGACCGGTGTCTTGGTTTCTGCAACAATCGTATGTCCCGTCACATCGTCAGTTAAGTGGATTGAAAGTCTCGTATTTCTCAACAGAATAAACCATAATAAAGACTACGTAGGTCTAGTTTTGCACCAACTACTCGACGAGTATCCGCTACAATAGAAAGCAGAGGGGACATAAGTGACGGTAGATACATCCCTACGGTGGGTACCCAGTTTTTCATATTTATGCTTAGTTTAGTCCGATAAGGTTGGAATCCATAATTGCACCGCTATACGGAAATGTGGAACAAGTCCAAATCTCGGTTAAGCCCCCCGCAATACTTTATTTGCCTTTTTATCCCATTCGCTGCCGGAAAATGACTAATTATTTATGGTATAGGAGGTCGCTACCAGAAAGTCTTTGGTCCCTCGATTTTCTGAAGATAGTTGTGACCGGCTTGTCGCCATTTGTAGGCAATATTGCCATCAAGACACGTAACCACTGAAGCCGTTTAAAAGCACTCTTTCATTTTCGCGGCGTCCGGTAGGCAGTCTCGTTCGTAACTGGGACTGGTTCTGCGCATGGATCCACGAACCTGAAGAGGCATGTATCAAGAGTCTTGGCAATGAAGACTTTTACTAGCGATCTCCGTATTGTTCTCGCCAAATTCGAGTTCGGGCACGATACCCATCTATACACGAGAGCTGCAGGTAATCTAACGAATTTAAACCCAAGCTATAGCGGATCATTCATGCACAACCCGGAAGTTTATCCGCTTCACTGACTAAATAATCCCCTTCTCGGAGCCAATGGGAAAGCGACAACCTTTACAAAATGCACATATTCTTGCTAATTATCACGACCTAGGCCTTTGTGCAACTTGGCAGCACATGTTCAGCAGAGTAGACGCACAGTGTAGGACATGAGTATATAACAGAGTGCCTATCCAACAGTCTTGTTCATTCCATTTTTGCCATCACTCGTCACTCCTACATCTAGACAGTCCCAAGCCTGACAGTCATCATGGTCAACTTCATCAACCAATTCGTGTCGCTCCTGGCTCTGACCGTGCTCTCCACGGCTTTGCCCACCGAGGAAAACATGCTGCAGACTCGGGATGTGACTTGTCGAGACGATCTGCCAAGTAGCTCCCTGGCGAGAGTAAGTGGTCGAAAAAGCACACTACTTGGGGCTGTTGGGTTCATGGGCTAACTTTTCTCTCCAGACCAGTGAAGCTGTCGAATGCATCAACTACCTCAGTTCTCTTGGATCACAGGCCTGTGTCGCCACTGTCTCGGGACAATCGTTCTGCAGACGTGGTCAAACTCAAATCACTGGACTTAGCAGGATCCCCGGAAAGAACGCGCAGTCTACATGGTAAGATAGTCCCGAGGCCAATTGCCATATTATAACAACGTGGCTGACAAACATACAGCCAAGAGGTTGCCCGCGGGGCTGGCCTGATTTTGGACCGCTGCTCCAGGGGAGACGGCACGGTCAGGGGAGCGAACGAGGCCTGGGGCAATGGCAACCTGCTTGTCGACATCCGCAGAGTCGTATAATAAAATCAAAGGCACCGTTGTTGCATCATGGTAGCCTTACGTGGCCGAAGCCAAAAATCAACACAGAATAGCATAGATGCTAGGCTGAAAGAATCCTGGCTTAGTAATTAATGTAATGCGTCTACTCGATTATACCCTCTACTTCGTTCGCAAGACATAAATTGTGCGGCTGAATAACGATGGGCTGAATCATGCCATCCGAGACAAGGTTGTGAAGATTGAAGTCGAGGGCTATGTTGGACGTTGGCCCGGTTGGCCCTCTAAAGTAACTCTACAGCCGGTCAGCACAGCCTCAGCCACAATAAGCAGCAACGCTAAGCTTCAGCCAATCTCGTCGCTCCGTGTTCGACAGCTCCAACATCAGCACCAACACTATTCCGGCCCGCTGGAAAGCCGCGGGGCTTTGGCATTGCATTTGGGTGCAACATGCATCGGCCGCACGTTGGCTATACCGGGCCGGACGGCGTAGTGCTGATGCACTATTTTGGGCCACGGAAGAAACTTGCTTGCAAAGCAACACCACACGCCTGCTGGCGTCAACATCGCGAGTTGGCAACATGGCGACGATGACAAGTTAAGTACATAAAGTTCCAAATATTCCCAGATAGCTGAGGGTTTCTTGTTTCTTCTCATCATCATCATCGTCATCATCAATCACAATAAGAAAAACTCCAAACATTTCCTTTAGTCTTTTCTTATTTTCCTATTTCCTTTTGTTCCTTTATTTTCCTTAGAAAATATAAAAATCATCAAGATGTTCACCAAGACCGTGGCCGTTGCTTTCCTTATCGCTGCTGCCTCCGCAGCGCCTACCAGCACGTCTGGTTCAAGACTTCCCTCTCGCACCGTTCCTCTTACCGGCGTCACCCACACCGTGGCCGCCGGCCGCGGTGCGCTGAGCTTCGAACCCAGCAACATCGTCGCCAATATCGGCGATGTCGTCGAGTGGCACTTCGCGCCCCAGAACCACTCCGTGGCCCAGTCGTCCTTCGGCGAGCCCTGCAAGCCCCTGACGGACGCCGCCGGCGCCGAGGTCGGGTTCTTCTCCGGCTTCAACTTCGCCGTCCCGGCGGGCCAGAGCAACAGCGTCTTCCAGATCACCGTCGAGGACGCGAAGCCCATCTGGTTCTACTGCTCGCAGACGAAGGGCAACCACTGCCAGAGCGGGATGACCGGCGTCGTCAACCAGAACTTCAACTCCCCCAACACCCTCGCTGCGTACAACCAGCTCGCAAAGGTCTCGGGCGTGTCTGTCAGCCCGGCCGTTCAGCAGCCCCTCGGCGGTGTCATCGCTAACCCGAATCCCCTTGCTGGCTTCTAAGGACCAAAATCTTAGACGGGTACTGACACGTCACGCAATGGTCTGAGAGAATCATGGACGGGGATTAGAATGTGCTCAACGGGGTCTTGTTTTTATTTTTTCTTTCATTTTTTTCAACTGCATAGCGTTGGCATTTCGGCGTAGCGGTCTTGCTCTGGGTGGGCGTTTTGCATATCATTGGGAGTTTGTTGGGGTTTGCTGAGCATTGTGAAGATGAAACACATAATTAGCACATGAAATTACTTTGATCACAAGCCATAGGCTTCGGCCAATATCATACACCGCGAAAATGTTTTATTAAGACAGGTTTTGTTTGTGGTGACTGTATAATTCACAGGTGTATCGTATCATGTCTATATAAGGTGAAGATTGCTAGGGTATGTACAGCCTCGGCAAAGGAAACGGGGAATCTCTCAAACTCAGTTTAACTCCAACAAACAAGTGACTGTTGCAACAGATGCGAGCATCTCTCCATCTCGCGGATTATGTTGTCAGTGCCTTGGTCTACTCAGGCAGAAAAGCCCTGTGCCCGACGTTTGTTGTTGTTATTCTTGTTGTTCCCGTTGTTCGCCGTCTGGCCGGCTTTACGACCGTTTGTATTGCCGTTACCATTGCCGTTTCCATTTTTACCACGACCATTACCAGTGCCCGCCGTCGCGGTGGCACTCGCCGATGCGCTGGTCGCCGTAGCCACGGTGTCTGCCACGTCGCCCGCAGCGCCGGCGGTCGCCGCGGCTGCCGAGTCGATGCTCAGGAGCTTGTCGACCGCGGCGACGCCCTGATCACCCTGGCTGGGCGCCTCGACGTTGGCCGCCACTGCTTTCGAGAGGTCCTTCTGGTCCTGCAGGATCTGCGCGTTGATGCCCTGGAGGGTCTGTGCCGTCGCGATGTTACCCGGTGTGTTCTTGTTGGGCGTCGTGTCCGTCTGCTGGATGGCGATGCAGCCGCCAAAGGGCCCTGCGGCCGCGCTGTTGAAGCATCGGATCGTGCAGACGTTGCCGGTGGAGGCTGGCCCATGGGTGTCAGGTCCGAGAGCATGGAAAGTTGCTGAACGGGATGATGAAAGATTAACTCACCACCAATGCACTTCATATCGGCCGGGAGCGTGGCTGTCAGCTTGATCGTACCGTCCCCACCATCCTTCTCGGCTACGGTCAGGTTGGTCTGACCTGTGGCGCCCTGGACGTTTGAGGCCTGGTCGAGATCACACGTGTACGGGCCGGCGCCGTCTGTGTCGAGCTGGGCAATGGTGATATCCACTTTGCTGCCTGCCGTAACCTGTGTCACTGTCTTATTGCTGAGCTGGATTTCCGTCTGCTCGCCGATGTCGATGTTGCCGGCCAGCAGAGTGCGTCCGCATTCGTTTACCACGTTGGTGGTGATCTCGTTGACGTTGATGATGTTGGCATCGGACTTGCTTAAATCCACTGTAAATACCATTTAGTGAAACTCGCGCGTGATCAGTAATGATTGTTTGTTTACCTTGAAGCGGAAGACTGGCTGGTCCTTTTGCGCCTTGGCCGCTCAAAATCACTCCTTGCGCGCAAGCTACCGCCAGGAGAGCGGGCGCGACGAGACAGGTTCGTAGAAAAGAAGGCATCTTGTTTTAACTAATACAGATAGTGTCCAGCACAAAGAAATGAAGTAAAAAAACCCTAAAGAAAGAGAATCGGACCGGCTGTACCCAGAAAATAAGGTATAAAGTGGGTGAACAAACAAGCAGAACTCCCCACGGGGGTGCAGAGTTCATCAGAGATAGAGTGGTCTTATACGAACCTGCTTCTATTGACTCGGTATATTTTGCCGACCATATGATTTCATCTTAACCTATCGGATGTGTCAAACATCAGATCCACACCAGGGGCTCCGAGAATCATCTGTGACGATCTTCTGCTACCGCTCCCGTCTCGTCGGTGGAGAATCTTGGTGGATACAGGGGTTAAAGCACTGCCGAGATCTCCACTATCCCGCGACGATGAACAAGGGACGGTTCTGGTCTTGTTTGAGCCGCACTATATCCAGACACAGAGGCAGCGGCTATCCAGCACGGTTTCTGTACTATGTACTGAAGTCACTTGCCTACTCATGGTGTCCAAGACAGCATTTGAACGATGAGATGTAATTGAGACCGGCCGTCCCCATCATATACTAACCATGGTCACTTTGACTCCACTGCGTGACTCGTTGGCTAGATTGCACCATAGCAGTCAACTTTGTAACTAAACACGAAGTAGCCTCCAAATTCCGTGGAATTCCTGTAGAACGCATCAGTATGGTTGTCGACTTCGCATGCTAAACCCTGCGGAAGATTTGCAATTTTTATTTCCGAAGGAGTCGCAGGCACCAAGCAAATGGGCTGATGGACATCTCTTGGCAGCTTCATGTTTTACAACAGACCCCTGTCCTGGTGGAGTCCGTGTCGCAGATGTTGTCAGTCTAGGAAGTTCAGCCCAAACATCAGATCCCGACGTTTATTCTCAGGCCTGATAGACAAACATGTGCTGCGCAAGTTGTGCCTGACTCGTGAAAGCACGAATTGTTCATGGGCTTGTAAGATGAGTGAAGTTTCCCAAGTGGCATTAACCCCGTGAGCTGTGCCCTCTGTGCCGACTACATTGAGTTTGGATTGAACAAAATTGAGGCAACTCATCAAATGCTGCATGCACTCCATTGTCCGGGCACCTATACAACATTATGAATTCTCAGTGTGCCTTCCAGCCATCCAAGAACTTACTCCCCTTCATCTTCATACTACCAAGGAGAGGCCGCGGCCAAATTTACTCAACCAAAGACCATTAGATCTTGGGGCCACATGCTTCTATTGCACCAATATTTGTTCTGTTATTACGTAGACGTGTGGTGGTTAAGGCTGGGAGGAAAGACAAACGCTTGCCGATCTTGCGGAAGGCATTTACAGTGTGGACAATCACAATTGTTTAAACACTATCCCCATAAGCGTGCCAGTGGAAGTGTATCTTGTCCAATGTTGTGCGGCTAGTTGTACTTCAGCGCTTTTATACAACATATACTAAATCATGCGGTTTACTACTGAGGTGATGTCATGGCATTGGCCTGTTACTGACTATGAGTTGGAAGATAGTGGAAACGATTGATGTTTTGTTAGTGGATTCGCGCTAGTCCAGTAAGCAAATATTCCAAGAGCAATATGTCAGCCCTATTCTCCAACTATATCGGTACAATTATCAATCATTCAATAAACAAGGTCTTGAACTGATTTGACGATAGCAATAGTCGAGGCACTATCATTTTTGCTTGTCTTAATGGCCCTGGGAAACACCATCTGTGTAACCTAGTTCGTTATAGTACAGCTATGAGCCACTAATTAAGCACACATCCAATTTGCATGATATGATCAGATGCTCGACGATGTGCCGGAAGAGCATGACCACTTTGTGAATATCTCTAGTGGGCCGATCACTTCCGCCCTCTGGATAATCGGGAGCCCTGTTTCTGACAAAAGTTCTGCAGGTTCTGCCGACTTACGCGGCACTAGAGGCACCAACCATGGCAGACAGCAATCTTAGTGCCAAGACAAGCCGATATAGCCGTGACAGACCCGCCACCACATATTTTGACCCGAATTATTTGCAAATATCCTCTGGACTCGGACGGTTATCAACCGCAAAGAGTCTTGGCATGGGAGATGCTTGATTTGACGTCAGTTGTTTTGAACGAAAGCTGCTGTACTAGCTTAGCTGTCAGGCACTGTAACATTGACAGCGCGCAGTTTCCTGGTCAACTTGACTGCTTAGCGACGGACTGCTGAGATTTTTGAGCCAAAATGTCATCTGGCGAGAGAGTTTCGCTGCCCTCGTCCCCCGCAGATCGAAACTTTCCGTGTAGGGGCTTTTGCTGACATTTGCAGTTTCCGATCCTCTAGTCGAATGTAATAAAGTTTTTAAGAATCTTGCTGCAGTGTGTAATAGCCAGCGAGGATAGAATAATTCTTCATCCTTGAAGGTTTACATAATGAACAGTATATTGGTATCTGAACAGTTAGCACAGCGCTAGATAGTGATGAGAATATGAGAGTACAAACCTAAGGGGTGGCTGCAGCTCAACTGCGGCTTCTGCGTGTACTTTGTTTCAAGCACTTCCCGAATACTGTTGAGTAATTGAACGTAGGTTTGCTGAGGATTCTGCTTCAAAGCAGTAACAAAGGCCCAGCTCATAGCGCCAGTAGCTTCGGATGCAATCATGGCGTCTGCGGAGGTTTGATCGTCCTTGGAACCAGAAAACATAATCACATCGGCAGGGGAAGTCTTTGTCGCCATCGTCTTATTGTATGCATCGTCGCCATTCATTGCTTTCTTGGCGAACCCCATCACTGACGATATCACTCCGCCTATGTCGCCGCTTGCGTATGCTGAAAATGCGGCCAAGGCGCCCTGCCCGGCCTCGGCTGCGAGGTTAGGCTCTTTCAATACTCCCTTTGTCGAATATACATAGGGTAGATCCATTGCAGTGCCTGAATGGCAGGAGTCGAAGATGGCCGTGAGTCGAACACCAGGCAACAAGGGCTTCACGCACATATCATGGATATTGTCATCTACAATATGGCCCGCTGTTTGAAAATCGACTGGGTAAATGACTTCGTCAAATCCGTCATCCTCGTCGCCGTCCAAATCCTCGGTTTGCCCTCCATGTCCAGAGTAGTGTAGGAATAAAGAGTCGCCTGGCTGGGCCCCCTGGACTAGCCACCCCATCGCACGTATTATGTTCGCCTTTGTCGGATGTCTGACAGCATCGGATTGATCATCTGTTAATATGACCATATCCTCATACTTGTAGTTATAACGCTCGATCAGGAAGGCTGATAGATTCTTGACATCATTTATACAACCACGCAACTCATTCTTCTGACCAATATAATTGATGCCGATTAGGAGCGCCTTGCGCCGACCGCTACAATTCGAGTATTGGAATGTATAGCCTGCCGGGGCTCCTTGCCCAAATTGTTGTGGCGCACTAGGGACGTCTCTATGGCCATGAAAGGGGGGGCGTCCATGATTCACTGGTTGGCCGTAGTGGTTGATCCCTTGTGGAGGCGCAAACTGTGGCGGAGGAACGTGGTAGCTGGGGCTTCCATGGGGTGGCCCAAAACTATCTTGCCTTTGAAATCCTTGTTGTATTGGACTGTAGCTAGCTCCTTCCCATGACGGACGAGTCTGATGCCCAGGCGGAGGGGGAGGCTGGCGGGGTGGGTATCCGTACCCGTTATGTCCTCCTGGCGGTCCGCCCTGGTTTTCATAAGGTCCGGAATATTCTCTTTGTTGTCCTGGATAACCGCCGTGCTGGCTCGAAAATCCTTGATGACCAGAAAATCCCCTTTGATGATTTGGATACCCTCCTTGCTGACCTGGATATCCCCCGCCATTCCATTGCCGGTATGCCATGCTGTTACAAAGTCTCTGGGCGTAAAATAGATATACTCCAAACAAAAATGTCGAAATACTTTTGTGCAATATAGTAAATCTCTTGCTGTTACTATTCGTGTCTCTTGGTCACAAAGATGCCAACTCTTGTATCTTGTGTGGCGGGCAAATGTATGACTGGAACGGATACTTAAGAATAGCAATGCTCCAGAGGAATTTGTATATACTAATACTCCATCGAAATTGTCGTCTGACACGCGTTCTAACGCTGAGAAAGGCCACTCGGCATTGCGGCACGTGCAGGCAAGGCAGATGGTCACTAGCTCACGTTCCCGCTATAGTGCACGGCTAATCGGCATTCACGGTCGGAGCGGCCGGAGAAGCATGTCGTCATGTAAGTTTATAGATAATCACTTCTGAACAAATCGTGTTTAAAATCTTTCGCAGCCTACGGTGTTTGCTGAGTTACAGCTGTACTCTTGGCATAAGACGTGAAAGAACCAGGCTGCAAGATGGACTCAAAAAGTAAGTAAACACTAAAGGACCCATGCGACTATTGCAGTGTACATCAGCGGTCCTACACTATTACTCCTACCAGATCTGACAGCCTCCCTCATGGTTAAGAGAAACTTAAGACTGAGACTGTGGACAACTGTAACGGCCAGATTATCAACATGACCCACGCCACGAGAATGCTTTTTAACTCGCGGGAGGCTGAGAAACGCAATGCAGTACTTTTGTCCTTTTGACCTGCTTTGTCCTGCTTGCACATCTAGTCACACGCTGGTAAACTTGATGAAGACGTCCAGCCTGTCGAAACCACCACATGCCTCACCTGCATTGCCTGTACATGCTTTCTTGCAACCAGCAGCATTCATGTCCATCCTCCACACCCGCACACAGGTAGCCCTCTTTTTGACTCGTCGCTTAACAGCCCACCATGATATGAATGGAACCACTACTGTCACTGGTGTCATTACTATCAAGGCCTTTTAGCATACAGGCATTGGTAGGATAAAGATCTTTCCGTTGAAGGTGTGCGCTATGGTAGTTGCAAGGTAGTTCTGCGTATTTTGAGCAAAATTGAATAGTGGTTCGTGCCCAGGCATCTATAGTATCACACGGTGATATTGCTCGAGAATATATTCAGTATAACATCAGAAAAGTACTAATTGTATTTTACAGATTTCTGGAGAGCGTAAAGCTTTGTGGTATAACTGGGATTATAGGAATGCATGTACTCACCGGTATAGATGGTATTAGGGGCCAGATTATTCTGTATTGCAGCTGATTTTCCGCCTGGTAGCAGCGGCTGGTTTTTCTGTCTAGGATTTTGGTAGATTTGGGCAGCAAACGCTCCGAATCAACAGCTACTCGCCTTTCCCAGCACTTGTATAGTACCTCAGCAAGGCTGCTTCTGGGCCAACAGTCAACAAATTCATTTCTTTCAATCCCAATTTGTGTATTTAAATCCGATAATAAAGTCGGCAGCTAGTTTGGTCAGGCCAAGCTGATAGGCATGCCATAATTATGCAATTTCAGAGCCGACCAACAAACCAGCACCCGCAACGCCTGAGGCTAGGTAAAGAGCTGAGAACAATATGAAGAGTTATATTATGTCCGACTTGAATGATTAGCAAAAGTAAAGAGACGGACGAGAAGAAGAAGAAAATTTGACACAAACAAATATAATGAGAATGGTATTGGGTAAACAAGCGTGAATAGCGGTCTCGGTCACATAGCTCTCCTTGAGTTAGAAATTTGGACCGTCGGGCAATATTAGTCCCAGGACCTCTGATATCCCTGATGACTGTCTGGTCATCTCTCATTTCAGGCTGTCTTTAGTCCACGAACAAGACCATGCCATGTTGAGTCAAAATAGATGCTGCCCACAAGTAGACTGTAACCAATACGTATGGGACAAAGCTCGTGGACCAAACTACCACGGCCGGAAGGTCTTGGCTTATATCGGGAATCTTCGCATATGCGTACAGAAAGTGTGCTAGTATTGAAAGAGTCTTTCTAAAATACGAATACGGAAATCAGTCATGTAATTGGAGAAGCGCCCAGTTATTAATCAGCACAGTTCTACATGCCAAGTCCACCATATTGCTGCGAAAGTTTCCCCCTGAGTATATAAGCTTCTATACGCGGGAGATTTCAAGCAGCTGCGTCTTATGTGTAAGCAATACTTTTAGTAGTTTCTCGGTTGATCACTATAGTGCTAAATGCATCCGCAGGACTCCGTATGTTCCCAGGGCTCAAAAAGTCGCTCCCTTCCATCCTCTGACTCGGATTCGTAGAGATCCACGAGATCAGTATCTGCCGCCTCCGCAGCCTTCCGATTACTCCGGTACAGGTTGATATAGTTTCCCGTGTTGACCTCAATCCCACGCGGATCGCTCGGTGCGATCACTCTCGTGTAGAATGGCATCGGATTGCATTTATAGTAGAATTCTACCATGAGATTTTCACTCCAATCTTGCCACCAGGAGTCCTCGGCTTTACCTGATGGTTTTGCCATATCAATGATAGTAAGAGTTCTAAGACCTGTATCATTGAGAGCACGCACGTCTTCCATGTCATAATGCCAGAATCTGTCAAAGTTTCCGCATTCAATGGTCAACTGACGTATCGAGTTCCATTCCTCGACAATTTCTAGCAAGTATCCGGGCTTGGCCCAGATAGTGTCGTTATCAAAGTCGGTCCAGATATAGTGGGGATGAGTTCTCGTCTTGAAAGCCTTTGAATAACTGTTTTGCAGATACGACCGAGATTCGCTGCAAGCATGGAGGGCAGACGGTACCCTTGTTGGAGACCAGAAATAATCGCCGTAGATTTGCGCAATCCCGTTGACGACCGTTTTATTGATGACAACCACGCGAGGTTCCACGCTCATCTCCCATATGCTTCGGCGTAGCTCGAGAGGCAAGCGTGGGAAGGGGTGGAAAGTAGACATGATCTCCAGATGGTGAAGGTACATTAGGTACTGCAAACAGAAGCTTGAGTGGGCATGAGCTCTGGTCTTGAATGTTCTTTAGATAGATACGTAAACGTTGGAATGGTTGAATATTGGAACATGAAGTGGAATGACAGTTTTTGATCCTTCCAGTATCAGCCGCGAATATGAAAATCATATCATGAGTCAACTGGTGGGGCTCCCAGAAATTATGGTACCTGCCGCATTCGATCCCCTGTTCCTCGGCAGGGACATGCTAACATACCTGCTGAACGGCTAGTGGCCTTAAGACTAGACTGCTCATCCGATACTCTTCTCTGGACAAGATCCTATTCATATATCCATTATATTGATAGAGACTTTCGTGTGACAGGTACCCACGACTCGCAGCAATCCGTGCCCTGGAGATCCTAACAGTCGAGTTTGATTTGGGGGTTCGTGCACACCATCCTTCAGACGCCCTCCTTTTTCTACTCGACTCTAGATGAAATCATCATAGTTACTTTCCAACAACTCTAATCTCGGTTGTATATATTAGCACTCTAAGTGCGCTGCAACTTTTTCAAAGATGCTCTTACAAACATTTCTTGTTTGCTTATTTGCCCTCCCTCTTTTAGTTAGCAGCACTAGTCCTATATCCTCAAGCGCTGCAACTATCCATATCCATACTAGCAAGACGACCTTTCGTCCATCAGAAGGCCTGTCTAATAGAGACACTCTAGGTCCACACAACTTGCCATAATTTATAGATAAATTTGTGCAAAATTGGAAGAAGCAAAAATCCAGACCTCGAGACATCCGAACTGTCTCGAGTTATTAACACAGCCAATACGGTGAAGGAACAAAACATGTTGCTCCTTACGACTGGTCCTTAGGGCGACGGCAATATGGAAGATACAGCGGCCATCGATAGAGCTATGGAAGAAGGCAGCCGTTGTGGAGAGAATTATGGTGCATCCACAGTTAGACCAGACATCCTTGATAACCCGTCAGGCACATACCTTGTCAGTTCTCCTATCATTGCGTGCCATAACACTCAGATGATTGACAACGTGAGATATCCCCATTGCACCTCAATGGTTTATTCAATGGTTACCTGGGATTATCTACTAGCTCGCGATTCGAAGAGGGTAAAGAGCAGTAATATATCACCTAGTAAGTTTATAGCTCTAAGTTCTTGTAAGACTTCCGTGCTCACATGTTATTAGAACAACTTCGTGAGACAATTACGTATCTTCATTATTGACATATCAGGGGTCAATCGCCATGTGAGGTTAGTATTCGACTTGACACAACATCAGTATCACTCTGTTGAAAGTATTCACTAACATTATTTGTTAGATATCCACTTTAGGATCGGTGGTGCCAAGGGTTCAGACTTACAGGTAGCCGACTGTCCTAAGCTCACCGGATTCGTCAACTTAAATTCATCGCCGATTCTATGTTATTATATATGACGGAAACTCCATTAGCATACCTGGAGAAAGTTTGAGCTTGGGTTGCTGATTATGATTTTGACAGCGGGCCGGCAGGCTCAGATCGACATCTATGTTGCTTGTGGTAAGTCAACTTAGCAGACCACCGTATTCCGGGAGAATTGATACTGACCGATGGAAAAACAATAGTGGCTGAAAGTCCCGGTGGCACCACGTGTATGTATGATACTGCGAGTGAGTATGATCATGACGCTGATATCAAAGTCTCATATCTCAACTACCGCTGACCGCTGGTTTCTACTATGCAGTGCCCCTTTTACAAATACCAGTTTTGGGAAGCAGAAAATATTTTTATGGGCAAGGTCAGTTACACTCCTTTTCCGTAGCTAGTTCAACAGGTCTAGACTAAGATAGTCTGCTAATATCGCCCTTATCGCACATATTCAAACCAAAAGTCCCTATTTCTTTCCCAAACCTCGAGCTCCCGCTCCCTTCCAGAACCAAGTGGATAAATTCCTGGTTGATCCAGATTTCAAGGATAGCCCTTCCTCAAACCCCCCTTGCGCGGCGGCTTAAGGACTCAGGATCGTCGGCTCTACAAATGTTCATATCTCGGAGCTGATTAGTACAACTGGTATCAAAACTACAGTCAACCCTATGTCGACTCGCAAGACTGTCAGCGATATGTTGATGTATTTATAAGCGGAAATATACATCCTCACCAACGAAGCTAACCTCTATAAAGAATTATGAGAGTGGTACAGCCTTCTAAGATATTGGATTAAGGTGGGGGATAGCCTGGCTAATTTAGCCAATGGTTGCCAATTCAGGATGATCCAATCGCATGTGGCAAGATAGTGAATGCGTAGTGGTGTAGTTATCTCGTTATTGATAAAATTTTTATTTTTAATCTTAAAGACGTCGCTAGTAAATTTTACGATAAGCCACGCACGCTTGCCAGTGGAGTTGCAACCACACATCGATTTGCAAATTACGGCCTCACTACCGGCACTGATGTCGTCTGTCGTCAACGAGATGCGCCACGTTATCAAGGCTGCCGACGATGCTCTCGACCAGGAACGCAAAAATGGTTCTTGCAAAGTTCCTGGCGGCAAGCTTCAAGCTGACTCCCGTCGCCGGCGAGGCGGTGCCATGATGAGAGCCATCATCGGGATAGCCGACGAGCTAGCCAATATTGGTGTGATAATCTACGAGACTGTCAAAGACCAATCCAGCGCGATCTCGAGTACGTTCGGATTCATGATTGGTCGCATCTCTCGCCAGCCTTTCAAAGACGCCACGGTGGTGACACGCGGGATATCATAGCCTGAGGCAGGAAAGTTATCACCAAACATTAAGACAGATCTTGACAAGATGGACCAGCTCCGCTCCGCATGGTCATGGAAGTGATACTTGTGAACAGCGGCAATTCCAACAACGGTCGTCCCACACTAGGTACAAAATAATTATCATTCTTACCAGTTAATACGTATACATAGATTGACTGGCACGAAATAATGGCAAACGATCATCGAAGTTTTCTGCACGTTTGATAGGCGATGTTGGGCTTTGTGAGCTGTAAGAGCCATTGCTTGAGCATTCTCAACACTAATGCTCGTCCCCAATAGCCCGTTGAATAATTCATGCCTCTTCGCTCAACCTCAAAATTTTTGCTGCGTTGCCGCCCATGACCTGCTTCACTTCGTCACTTCCACTTCCCAGCGCCTTCTCCACTGCCTCCTTGTTCCAGGTCATACTCTCCCACTCGCCCTGTTCGTCGCTCTGCAAAGGCGGGAAGAACGGGTGATCAGTACCAAACATCAACCTATCAACACCGCTAGCATCGATGGCCGCCTTTAGCCCAATTTCCGAGTAGATCACCGCATCGAGGTAGATCTGCTCCTTCAGTACTTGCCAAACTGTTCTCCTCTGAGGCCCAACCTTGCCCTCGCGAACGAGATGGCCGTCATGCACGACACAGCTTTCTATACGCCCAGCCAGGAATGGCAGTGTACCACCGCTGTGTGCCAAGAGCATACGGAGATCGGGCACTTCATCGAAGACACCAGCTAGGTACATTCGAGCCACTGCGATGGTGGTCTCTAGCGGAAAGCCGAGTGCTAGCGGCAAAACATGACCATACTCTGCACTGCGGGGTCCCCATACCTCGCTGGGAAGGCCATAGTGCGGATGTAAGAAGATGGTCAATCCAGCCTTCGCGATCGCCTTGAAGACCGGAATCAATGCCGGGTCATCGAGTCCCTTGCCCAGTCCCGACGTTCCAAGGATCACACCCCGGCAGTGCTTAAGCCCATTGACAAAATCGACGTGTGCGAGCAGAATATCCTGCGGCGCCGTCAGCGGTAGGGTTGCAAAAAAGAATAATCGACCCGGATACTGTTGGCACATGGCTTCGAACTCCTGGTTGACGCCTTCGGCGGTCTTGCCGGCCTCGTCGGCGGCCACGAAGTCGAGCCATGGGTTCGCCAGCGAGATGACTGAGATGTCGATCTTATGCGTGTCCATGAAGTGAACCTTCTGTGCCAGAGACGAGTAGTGGCTCGTCACAGGCCGGCCGGGCAAGCTGGCCGACTCGTCCTGGGAGATTTTGTCAAGCGATTCTGCTTCTGCGGGCAAGATGATGTAGCGCGGGTCTTTGGCGCCTTTGAACCGCCTGATAAGGGGAATCTCCGAGCGAGACTCGAGTATCTTCACATACTCGGGAGGGTACATGTGTGTGTGGATGTCCACCACTGGAGAGGAAGTTGAGGGCATCTTGGAGACGGAGGGGCTATAATCCCTGGAAGCGAGTGAAATTGAAGATATTTGCGCCGCGCAATATTAGTCTTGTACTTCGCCAATGCCGATAACTTCACAAGAATCTTGTAATTCTCTTTGTTGACTACTCAAAACTCCGGAGGATCGAAGCGTCTTGGATGTCTTGAGGACGTCCGAAGTTGAGCTGTGAATGTGCCAAGTATTAGCCCCACTCGAGGTATTCGCATCTGAGGACTATTAGTCCGTGGATGACTTGACTTTCTCAGATATGCTGCAAGAGGCAGGCCAGTAGAATTCCTCAAGTTATTTCTATAAGGACAGAAGGACAACTTACGATTTCGAACTTCGAGCGCCAGTTTTGAGGTCCTGAAAACGATCACCGCCGGTTATCGTGTCTAAGCTCTCCTAACCGTCGGAGGTTTGGACCCCACATCCCCCGGGACACCTGTGGCAGCTTATCTGGCGGGGTATCACTCCACGACGTTATTAACAGCGCTGACTGCACTTATTCGCGGAGTGGACTGCTCCTGGTATACGAAGTGGCTCGCTTAATCTCTCAAAGTCCCCAGCGCCAAAGCCCATCATATAAGTATTCCACCTGGCCTTCCGTGGCGATTTGTGGAGGCAAAGTGAAACGGGCCTTGTATAGTATAAGTGACTAAAGTGTGTAAGTCCGGGTGGACCCTCTAGTACATCACATGTCCGAAGTCCATTTTATTAGCAATATCAGATACAGACGTCCGAACTGATCCTCGATCTTCTATAGGCTATACTTTTATATCAATCATGGAGAAGGCAGCTGTAAAAAGCGAGGGTCTTGTGATCCCGGTATTTGCAGATCTCGTCCCTTACGCTGAACCATCGCGAACTGACAGGTCTGCAGCTTATCGACTTCTCCAAGTTTCTGAACGGAAACCCAGACCAGCGCAAACAAACCGCAAATGCTATTTTGGAGGGGTTTCAGAATGCAGGCTTTATTTACCTAAAAGGATTGCCCTTTACGCCAGAGTACCGGAAGCACATCTTCGATACCTCTGCGAAATACTTCCGTCTTCCGTCAGAGACAAAGATGTCACACTGTTGGACGACGCCCGCAGCAAACCGTGGATACTCGGCCCCAGGACGCGAGAAGACTACGGAGCTGACCGACGCTGATGCGGTCAAGAAGCTGCGCGAGGGCAACCCAGATCTTAAGGAGTCGCTCGAGATCGGGCGGGAGGGTGTGCCAGACCACCCTAACCATTGGCCCGAGGAGAAGGGTGAGCTCGTCGACTTCAAAACCGTCATGACGAAGTTCCACGATGAGTGCAAGGAGCTGCACATGGAGGTGATGCGCGCCATAGCTGTGGGCATTGGCTTGGATGAAGGCTACTTTGATAGCTTTACCAACGTCGGAGACAACACTCTGCGCCTGCTTCACTACCCCGAGGTCCGCAAAGATCTCTTCACCATCAACCCAGGACAGGTCCGCGCTGGTGCGCACAGTGACTATGGCAGCATCACTCTGCTCTTCCAGGATATGAGGGGTGGATTACAGGTCAAGAGCCTGAATGGCACCTTTGTGGACGCAACACCGATTGAGAACACATGCGTGGTGAATGCAGGCGATCTACTAGCCAGGTGGAGCAACGACACGATCAAGAGCACGATCCATCGTGTTGTTGAGCCGCCGAGTGGTGACGGCGCCGTGTACCCTGCGAGGTATAGCATTGCGTAAGTCAAGACTACCTGATGAAGCGACGTGTGGGCCGACTGACTGATTCGTGGCGAAACAGCTACTTCTGCAACCCTAACTTCGAGAGCTATATCGATGCCATTCCTGGAACGTTTGCTACTGAGACAGAGAAGAAGTACCACGGAATCAATAGTGGTGACTACCTGGTGCAGAGGCTGGCCGCTACTTACTGAACGATTCACTGAAATAAGTATGAGTGTATGAAGACCGAGGATGAAGCAGCATTATTCGATGGTGACAACGTCAAGTATTTTTATAAAAAAGAAGATGAAAAACCCCCCCCCTCTTTAAAATATACTTGAAACCAGTAAAAGCTCTCTAGCATGAAATTCTTGACAGAAACTTCTAGATCACAGCAGTCCAACGTCATGACATTAGGAGAAATCTAGACCCATTCTGCAAAGCCGTTACTATAGACATTGAGTACGTACGTAGCAGCTATGGAGCCACTGACCGACCCCTGATAATCGGAAGCGTGGGGAGATTTGTAGTTCCGCTCAGTGGGAGCAAATGCCCCGCTGACCAACGTCACACCCCACTGACACCAAGTCACAGTGGGCTTTGGAAGCTACGCCTGCTACGTAACCCACTCTAACTCCAGGCTGCTTTTCTTTGCCACGCGGTTCAGCGTGTGGTTTAAACAAGAACTGGCGTCGACCCAAATGGGCCACTCGGCTAATAACAATTCAACAAGATGAAGAAAACCCTCCTTCTAGTCTTCATCCACGGGTTCAAAGGTGGCGATGACACCTTCGGCGCCACAGGCGACTTCGCCGAGCACCTGGCGACCCTGCTCTCCGTCGAGCTGCCCAAACTACAGATCAAGACGCTCGTGTATCCCAAATACGACACGCGCGGCGACCTGACGGAGTGCGTCGCGCGGTTCCGCGACTGGCTGCTCGAGAAGGTCATCGACCTCGAGGTCGCCGCCGGCACGCCGAGCCCCACCATCGACCCCAGCGTGCGGACAATACTCGTCGGACACAGCATGGGTGGTATCGTGGCGGCAGAGACGGCCATCGCGCTGGCGGGGGACGAGGTGATCCCCGCTGCCGCGTCGACGAGTCAGGACGAAGCAGACGGCAAACCGGAGGGGGATGAAAAAGACAAGCCAGACCATGGGGAATATCAGGTCAACAGTCTCATGTTCCCATACATACAAGGTGTCCTGGCTTTCGACACGCCATATCTCGGCATCGCGCCCGGCGTCGTCGCCCATGGCGCCGAGGGCCACTATCAGAACGCTGCGACTGTCGTGTCACAACTCTCCGGCCTCTCGGCCATCTGGGGCGGCAGCAAGGCGGCGGAGCAGACGACCATGGGCACAAAGAAGCCCATAGCTGCGCTCGAAGCCCCGCCGTCGAATGAGCAACAGAAGAACGCGGGCGCTTGGGGTAACTGGGGTAAGATGGCTATGTATGCTGGCGGAGCAGCAGCAGTGGCGGCTGGAGGTACCGCGGCCTGGATGAACCGGCAACAGCTATCGTCGGGCTGGACATGGGTTGGCAGCCATCTGGAGTTTGTGGGATGCTTGGCTCGGGGTGAGGAAATGAAGAAACGTGTCGCAAATATGGTCCGGCTCAACAAGGAGCTGGGTGTCGGTTTCGCCAATCTGTACACGAGGTTGGGAAAGGCCGCCAACTCGAAGCAGGTCAGCACGGTGGGGCTAGTCATAGGAAGCCAAAGGACATTCTGCAATCTTCCTTCGAGGCTGCAAGCTGGAGAGTGGAAGGAGGCTGTGAATGATGCGGCCAAGGACGAGACGGGTGCGCACATGGCTATGTTTGAGGCCAACGACAACCCGGGCTACACACAGCTTTCGGAGGATGCCAAGAACATGATTGCAAAGTGGACCAAGAACGACTGGTATGAGACAAGTAATATGGAACTTGGGGAATGAATGCGTGTGGGACTGGAAGACTGCTTTTACTGTGTTTTGGGATATGATACCTATTATTGACCCACCCAGGCTTTGCGTTGGCGTTCTGGCATTGTATGAGGTAAATAGACGTTACAAAGATGAAGGCGTATTAGTGCTAGTGTTCATTCCATGAGATGAACTTCGCAGTAAAAGTACCTTCGGACTTTGACTCCATTCCTGACGTCTTTTTCCATAATAAAATACTCAAATTAGAGTTTACCAGGGCCACGGCGGTCAGTTCGAAACTAATTGTGTCTCCTCATTGGGTAGCCTTCACGTTCTGCTCCTTCGCAGCTCTCAAAACCTTTCTTCTCTGTCTTTCCATGTGTCCAATCAAAATATAGGCACCCGCCGGCCAGATGATACACAAGCACGCAAGCAGGTACAGTTGGTACAGCTGCCCGTACTTCTGACCAGCCGGGCCCAGCGCGAGGTACATCATGCCCATCTCGCTCAGAATTCCGATCGGGTACAAGATGCGGTAGGAGCTGTAGCGAACCCAGAAGAACGGGTACGGCTCCCAACCGGCGAGCTTGAGCCCCAGGTACGAATAGCGGATCACCTCGGTGAGGGACCACGCGAACAGCATCGAGGAGTAGATGGGCGAGGAGCACAGCGCGGGGAAGGGGTACTGGACGCCCCAGACGGCGACGTAGCGGGAGGCAACTTGCATTGCGGCGGTGATGGGGTCGGAGCGCACGATGCCTGTAGGAAAAGAACACGGATTGTGTAAGCCAACAGAGCGTTTCACTTCGCGTATGTTTGGTACACCGGGTTTATGCAAGGGATGGGACATACCGAATAGGCCATGCAAGACATCGAGAATCATGAGTGTCTGCGTCCACAGCACGAAGTTGCCCGTTGAGATGTAGACGAACTCGGGACCCCTGATGAAGTTGGTGCCGAGAGTGCGGCCGAGGACGGTGGCCCAGAGGACGGCTGAGAGAGCATTGTAGAGTATCAAGTAACCAGTCTTGACGGGCGAGGACCCCTTGGCGGGCTTTGTTGCGTCTTGTGCCATGTCTGCACGCTCAATTGACTGGTTGGCCGAGAATTGACTAGAAATGGTGTTGTCGGAACTTCGTGACTGGAAATTTTGGCGTTGAGCTTCACATGCAGTGGACCTCGGGGAACGGTTGGGGTTAGCTCACCACATGGTAGCAGGGGTGGTCACTTAGGTGTAGTTATGTGCATCATATCCCAACATGACAACCTTCTTTTCTTCATTCTCTCCCATCAAATCGGGCTACAACTTATCAGATATTGATCGCCATGCATTCTCTAATCGCCTGCAGGTCATTTCTACTCCCGCGGAAAATATAGATAGTGTCTGTGTATTGAAACTGAAGCTGTTCCCTGACAAGCGTTTACTATGACGTACTTATCTCACTCACACAGCTGTATCCCAGTGTTCTCTACCCCCGCTGCTTAATAAGATAAGTTGCGATATGGCAGCTCAGACGCGCTGACGGATGCATACAGAATACAGCTTCAGCTGAGACGCTACGTACACCATAGCAATCCGGTCCTTTTGAGTCTAGAACCTGTGGATGAAGAGCGCACATCAGACGAATGTTCCAGTGAACCGTCTTCCGGGCTTCTCATAGTTTCCGCAAACAATCTAGTCTGGCAGCACGGGTCGTTCCCATTCGAGCATCATTCAACCAACAAGCAAAGATGGCAATCGATACGGCAATCCAATGTCATGCTTAGCACAAGGCACCTCTAAGTGCACAGCCTCTCGCAAGGTCATGCGGCAGTCGAGTATCATACCGGCCAACCTGGAACGCCAAGCGGTTTCCTCCGATCTTTTGGATCCTCTAAGCTCCGAAAACGCCATTGAGAGCCAGCCGAAACGTCTCTAATTCCCAAGCCAAGAGACTCTTTACATTACAATACAATGCTCTTCTTCAATGTGTGTAACCGCTTCCTTGGTCAATGTGGGGTCTGGAGACAACGTTATTGAGCCCATGCTCGTGGGTAAGGGTCAACCTTAAGGTAAAAGTGTGGGTATGCTGCACACCACTTAGCAGATCTCTATAGATCTCTCTTCTCCTTTGTTGTTTACTGTTCATACAAAGCTCGAGGCTTCGTCATCTCCTTATACTTTCTTCAGTAGTCTTTTTCTTAATAGTTTTCGTAAGGGGCAGGCTCCTCTTCTAAGTAACGAAGATGCAGCTAATTTCTCTTCTTCTCGGGGCCATGGCTCTCTTTGATGTCGCATCTAGCGCTCAGCACAAGTATGCAGTGGTATGGAGTTCCATCTTTGATCGACTAGGTGTACGACTAATCGCGATCACGTACAGGGCAGTCTTGCAAGCCGGGCAAATGCGATGGTTAGCGTTAGACAGCCAAGCACAGGTTCTTACGAGAAACGCTCCATCTGGACAAGTGCAATGCTACCCAAGATGTTCGTAGGCGGAGGAGCACCAGCGGATATGATAAAGCGCCAAGGCATTACAATTGGAGGACCTGGTGGTATTACAATTGGTGGCGGCGGCAATAACAACAACAACCAGGCTGGTGAAGGAGCAAGGGCTGGGGCCGGAGCTCAGACCGGTGCGGGAGCAGGCGTCCCAAGTAACAAGACAGCAGAAGGTATCGCTGCTCTGGAAGGCGCCAAGAACAACACTGGTGGTGGCTTGTCGATTGGTGGTCTAACCCTAGGGGGGCCTGGAGGTGGTATCACGATCAACAATGGAGGCAACGGGAATAAGGGTCAGCAAGAAGGCCAGCCAGCCGCAGCTGCACCTGCAAAACCTGCAGAAGGTGCTGCTGCGGCACCTGCAGAGGGCAAAGGCTCCGCTCTCCCTGCTGTTCCTGAGATCCCGAAAGTCCCTGCCGTTTCGGGTGAAGGTCAAAAGGGCAATGCTCCTACGGAAGGGGTTGCTGCTCCTGCCGAGGGCGTTGCAAAACCTGCCGAAGGTGCTGCTGCTGCTGCACCCGCCGAGGGCAACGGGTCTACACTACCGGCCGTCCCTGAAATCCCTAAAATCCCTGCTACCTCGGAAGAGGGTAAAAACGGCGCTGCTCCCACTGAAGGTATAGCCAAACCTACTGAAGGTGTTGCTGCGCCGACTGAAGGTATTGCTGCTCCTGCCAAAGGTACCACAAATACTTCGGGGAATGGCCAGGCTGCCGTTCCAGCTGAAGGCCAAGCGGCTCCTGTTACTGGTGAAGCACCCAAGAAAGCAGAGGAAATCGGCGCTGTTCGGGAGTCGGAACAATTCGATGGAAACGCAGGCATTACCGTCGATAAGAACGGTAATGCGGTCAACTCGGGAGGCGATCTGGGTATCACAAAAGGCTCGGACGGCAGTACCTCTGTTGGTGGCGAATCAGGCATTAACATCATCGGTCGTGCGCTTGGCATATCCGTTGGCAGCGAGTCGGGAATCGAGAATGTTGAACGCAAAATCGGTGCCGCTCCTGCATCACCATCACCTATCAAGCCTCTGGTAGCACCGGCTGTCCCATCCCTTCCCCCGGCAATTGCTGTAGCGCCTGCAAAGTCCCTTCCGGCCCAGCCAAAGGCTCCTCCTCCACCTGCTGCTCAGAGTGTAGCTCCTTTGCCCACAGCACTGCCGCAGACTCCTGGTCAGGGTGAGAAGCCGGCAGCACCAGTGCTGGCTCCTGCAGCATCGGCTTCCGCTGCGCCGGCTGCTGGTATTCCCAATTTTGTTCCTGGGACAACTCCGACTCGAGGTGCCTGAATTGACAATCGGTACAATATTGACCAGGCCCAATGAACAATATGCTGTGTTGGCATATCTCATAAGTGGATGGAACCGGTTGTGCAGAGTCATATATTAGTAGAGATGGCACACATTGCTAAAGAACTAAACTGATCGAAAATAAATGCTAGCTCGATGAATTTAACTCAGCAGGTGTTGGTCTATTTCATTTGGAAACTATAAATCAATACTGTAACCATAATTAAAGGCTTTGTACCACAGTGCGCAATATCTGGTGGTATGGCGTTTCGCAGCCACCAGCCAATAGTGTTGAATGCGATCGCGTGATATGAGGACATCGTGCCGTGTAGAGTTTAACTCCAAGTACATGAACAGGCGAGAGTAGCGGTCAATCTTCTTCTTGTTCTTCCTTTCTTTCTCTTCTACCTCCATCCTTCCTTCGTTCTTTATCTGGCCTTGTCTTTCAATAAACACTCCGGGCTCGAATGATTCGAACAACTTCAAAACAGCATGGATATATATCGCAGCAAAGATCTTTTCGCACAGTCACAACACGCCCTTAATTGAACTCACCAGCAACAATTGCTTGTTCTGACCCCGATCTATGCTTTGGCTCGAATCTTTGTAGAATAGGATGGGATATGACCACAGCTGTGCAAGGACTCTCGACAACTCGAGGGGGGTTGTCGGCGCCGCTGCTTCGAGTTTCTCCGGCAATGATTATCCATCGAATTCGCGACGACACACTCAGGCGGCCACGACGTAACATCTAGAAAGAGGGTTCATATGATCGGGTGGCCCATCGTGGAAGTCGTTCGGTGAACAGCCATATATGTTGTCTCACACAAAACCTTTGATATAACAGTTGTCCTAAGCAGGACCTCCTTTGTTACTGGATTCAGGGGAAAGGATTGATCGAAAGTTCATGGGAAGTCCCGCTTTCTCTTTCCATTCTTGCGAAGCTTAAAATCGGATCTGTTCCGCTTTCCAAGCCAAGTCTGCTTTGCTTGTAGCGGGTGCAGTTATATCATCCTAACAAATTTAGGAACGGAAAAAAAGGAAACTGGCAACACCCAACCACTATTTGTTTAGCTCTGCGTGGTCTGCTAGGTCTCGGCCCAATGATTGGCGACTCAATGTGACAGTATCATAGTTGAAGTACATCAAACGAGAAATCTCGAACATGCTGGGGAAACACATTCGTGGAGTGTTTAAACCCCAACCTGCTTGGGCTTTTAAGGTCAACAGCAGAGTATCCCGATAACCTTTCAAGTGGCGTCTGGGTTTCCCATCTTGCAGGGACTGGGCAAGCTAGTGAAGATAGGTTCTGAATCTGGGGAACGCGTTCAAGTATGTAACAGCACCACACATCTTTTCGTTATTGGACAAGAATTCCAACGAGCTAGCGAAATTCAAGAGTGTATGCGCACTAGTGCTGGCGCAAAGTCAAAATGTTGTATCGGCGTCGAAACTATCGCCCTACGCGGCTATTGCTGTTGCCATGTGCCATCTAATGGTAGCTGGCGAGATGCCCCCAAGAGCGCTTGATGTCATTTGGGCACTTCAAGGTTTGCGGGGAAGCGAATGAGATCGCCATGATAAGAGACGTCGCCTGGATGGGAGCACCTGCATATTGTGAAGAGTGTGTGGGGGTGGTGCGACAGGTTTAGGTGTCGGACGAAGCCGTTCGCAATGCAGTCATGTCGTGTGGACTTGTTGTTTGTTCTCGGGCACACTTGGGGCGCGTGCTGCTTTTAGCGTGGGCATTGAACAAAACAAAACCCGTGACTTGAGGCTGATTTATTGATCAGGACTTTGTTGAAATCTAACAGAGGAAATGCACAAACTGCGCTTACTAGTCAAGGTGGTTTACCCCCGCATGGTGTTGGGCCAAAAAAGATCTTCCACGTTTTGAGTCAATCGTGGACTTGGAGACCAAGGAGGCAGGGGAGGGTGATTACTGGCACTCATTGATCAGACAAGTGTGCCTAATTTTTTGACAATATCAGATTTGTGTTACACATATCTTGCCGATCGCCCTTGATTACCTGATTACGCACAAGCTGTTGTCAATGTCGGAATAGGCTTGCTCACTGGATAGACGGCTGTTTAAGCCGTCGGTCTTCATAGCGGGATTTTCAAGATGCCTAACTTAGTTGTCGAAAGGCAACCGCGCAGACCGCCCGAATCCGATGCCAGGTGCAAGCGATGCTTGTCTACATGGCCAGCAGTTCTGCACAACGCGGTCTTCCGGATGGAATGCTGACCAAAAAGAAAGAAACCGCCCCTCCCCCCGACCATCCCTGGCCCTCCACAAGCTTACCATGGGCCTCGGGGCTGCAGGCTGGGGCGTCGTGCAAGGATGCAGATGAACCCGTAATTGCGGTGTCTGTGACTCCGTTCATAGAAGCAATGGAATGTTCTGCAAGGATTCCCAAAGGGTCTTCTCTTCAAATCCACTTGGTCGATTGAGCTAGGAGAGCCTGGAAAGAAACTTGCTACATACATACACATATTTATTATCTGATCGGATTTGCGAGATCGCTGCACTAAGGACAACCTAATCATTAGTATGTCATATCTGAGGCGGGACAGTCGTGGTTGGGAGATATTTCTTGGGCGCTAGTTCTAGAGGACAAAAAGCTCCTGCAACATGTGTCGAGAGAGAGAAAAGGGCCTTCCAACGGAGGTCTTTGAGAGACGAAGAACCCAAACATGCCCGGCGTTGGGCATTTGAAATCAATAATAAATGCGAGCTGGGCACTTTACAGGGGTCTCACTGGAAAGAACAGCCAGATTGACATGCAATTGTACATGGTGGGAAAAACAGACTTGTAAAATATGTAGGCATCCATCCACATGCTGTTTATGTATGCATGTGTACACAGTATTTGGCTAGGCGGATCACCCGGCAATAAGTAATGACTTGACTTTGTTGTGAATTGCAAGATGCCCTGCGTCGTCGTTCTGAACAGAGACCCAACTGGATCATTCATGGAACATCCGATGACCTACAACACGATTCCCAGCAGCTTATCGTATTGGTGCAACTGGGAGGACTTAGAAAGCTTGACATGCTGCAGCAATCTTGTGGTCTGCCAGCGCTGCTGGTAATGGTTGTTCTCACTTTATTCAGGGCTCGTGTGACTGGCTCTCTTATCAGCAGCAGTGCTCCTGCTCTTGACAGCTCAGAATTCTCCACTGATGATCGCGATACCCAATAGGGCAGGACGGGCATGAGTGGAGTCAGCAAATACCAAGTGCCCTGACTGATACATCAAGTTGAGCATTGAACGCGGGATGAGACCTGACCCGCAATACTAGGACGATCAGGCCGTAGAGGCTATTGCTTATCAGGTAGGTACCAATGTAGACTCATCTTGCCGTTGATGGTCAAGAACCCAATCCATCTGTCCTGTTCTCTTCCGCCCTTCATCTTGCCTTGCTTTCATATGTCAATTACAATCTGGTTATAGAGGCAGCGGTCTTTGTCCTGTTTCAATAATTGAATTAAAGTCGTGCTAAAAGCTCTCCGGGTCTTGTCTCGTGTTCACCCGTTACCGCCACTGGACCCTGAATAGTCAGACTTACTCAAACGCACCCCCATCCGTTCATCAGCAAAGAGGTCGCAACAAACCGCAAGCCGGCACGACCGTTGAGACGACGCTTTCAGGCTTCAGGGATACAAAAGTTTTCAGGGACTGCGGAACTTTTTGTCGGCGAACCAAGAACTGCTTATTCCTTTCATTCCGCGCTTTTTACATAAGTCAAAGTATCACCTTCTGCGGCGGAGGTCCCACGTCACTGGGAACCTGCCCTGACATCTGCGTGGCCGAGACCTGCTAGCTGGCTCTGTTACGTAAAGTGAGGCACGCTTGATGCAGGACCACACGATTCCCAACGACTCAAGCACACGACAGTACCCCATTCTGTGTCTAGTGATTTTTTGAGTGTGCTTCCAGCCTGTCGACAGCGGGTTAGTGGGGCAGATCGACCTTTACTTGGGTACGGAGCATATCCTGGCAGAAACGCCGTCACATCTCATCATACATAACGGGTAGTCCGACCATGGAATGGCAGCCATGATCAGCCCTAGATCTTTCATGTATTCGCGCCAGCAGGTTCCTTCTTCCTCTTCTTCCAGGCCACCAACAGCAAAACCATCAATACTTGGATCGAAACGAAGAGATGATAGCGTTGCTAGCTCTTCTGTCAAATCGTCGAATGCAGCCCTGTCTAGTCGATCGAGTACCACCACTATGCCGAAGCGCAAGGAATCTCGCAATTTAAGTCGCAGCCCGCCAAGCACAAGCACAACCATGGCAACTGCTGTTGCACGCCCAATGACGCCAACCAGCGCCGTGCAAATACCCGTTAAGAATAAGCACGACGGAGTACACATACACAATCACAGCACAAGACACCATGCAGATGCTCAACGCCGACCGTCTGGCGGCAGCCAGCGCCGGAAGGACATGCATACACCTGAATCTCTTCCACCATCCGTTGCGGCACTGCTCGCCGTAACCAGTATTCCTCCGCCAAATAGGCGAGGTAGTGTACGGCAAAAGCGCATGACAGTTGATTCTATTGTACCGCGCTCGCAGGTTTCCGAGAAAGAATTGAGTCACGAACTTAGTCTGACTTCATCTTTCAGTCGAAGCCCTATGGATGTACTGTTGACACCACCTGAGGAACTCTTGGACGAAGATACCGTTTCAGTCACTAGCGATAGTTGTTTCACACCCGCGTTGTCTACCCGCGCGGAATCGCTGGACAGCCTCCCATCGCTAGGTGACTCGTTTGGTACTACCATTCTATCCGTTGACAGCCCCTACACGCCCAAGGGTAGGAAGTTCCGGCCGCCTAGGAGATCTTTGGAACCAATTTCCTCGCCTCCTGGCGGAGAAGCTGAAGAGCATCCCTTGTGGGTGAATCCAGACATCAATATCGACGATTTGGACTTCGAGGCACTTATGCCGCAAGTAGTCGAAGCGGACAACAAGCAAGACACCGTCTTCTTACCGCTCAAAGTTGCATTCAAGTCAAATCTGACAGCATCACTACGTGCTCTACGTTCAGCCGCTCGGTCATTATCATCATTCACAGCCTCCTCAGTACCACCTGAGGATCTACTTACTCGATCTATTCTTACCATTGACCCTCGCGTACCTTTTACGGACGAACGTCGACCACCGGTGCTGGAAGAAGAACCTAGCGAGGCCATGCGCCGTTACCTTAATCCTACAGACAGTGCAAGAATTGACACGCAAACCAAGACCGTGCCCAACACACGAAGTTTCACAGCATCAATTCAAATGCAAACCTACAAGGTGCAGCGGTCAAAGAGTGCTCCGTCTACAGCAAAACGTGCGGTTGCTCCACCACCACCAGCATCACCAAAGGTTTCTGCACCTCTCACCTTCCCACCAGGACCCAGGCAACGTGAGATACGGGAGAATTCGGATTTCATTCGCATTGCAGTCTTGGAACACCTCATGCGCAAGCGCGGCAAGTTCGACACCTCCCAAGAAGGCCACGCGCGGTGGTTGCTGCCCCCACGCAAAGCGAGTTCTAAACCTTACGAAATCGGCTCCGATGGTGTTCCCGCCCGATGGGTATCAATCATGCAAGATGTGTGAGTTAGCACGGCAGAGCACTACTATGTCAGACTGCATTTCCGCGGGTACCTTGGCAAGGCCAAGTTACCGCGTGTCCACAAAAGGATCGCCAATCACGAAGTCAACTTCAGGGATGTTTTTAGTCATTACTCGGTGGAAACAATCCTTGGACCAACAACATCGGCTCCGTTGGCAATAGAAGATGTGCGCAGGGGTTCAAACAGGGCAGCGTTCATGCAGAGACGTAAACAGGTGCAGGAGACCTCCGATGTCATGTCACGGCAATCTCGGCTTCGCACCAACTCCGAGGCTGGTCTTTACACAAACTACGGTCTGAGAACCCGAGACTCTCGCCATGTTCCCATTACTCGATAACGCCGAAGTCGCACGCCCGCCGACCCGCCGACTAACGTCAGTCTGACTAAGGCTCGGCACTCGCGAATAATGGATCCCCAGTTCCGCTCCATAATCGAATTTTCAAGGGTTCAGATCAACATCCTATCAAGCTTGACCCGATATTTGTGGAATGGACCTGACCGACGTTTCGGTACGAGGACAATTTGCCGAGATGGCTGTTGAACGAAATACAAAGCGATCGAACACCGCCGTTGCGCCCCTAGTGCACGAGAGGCAAAGAGGGAATAACTCGTACGAGGACGTCGAAAAACTGCACCCTGCCGAAGCAGTACAAAAAGGGACACAAAGTCTGGTTCAGCAAAACAAAAACAAACTTCACAAAGAAGCTTAGAAAATTCACGATCATGAAACGTCCTATTCCTCAAAGTAGCGGCCTATGCGCTAGGAACCGTCAATAGTTCCAAGTTGCTATTTTGCAACATGGCAATTTCATCCGACCTCGAAGGCTACAAATCTCTCTTTATACTTCAGCGTGCTTGATTTGGTGGTTCAATTTGTGATACCAGGAGATTTCTGCTTTATGCACGTTTTGCGAACCTGTCCAGTTTCGACGCATAGTTTGAAAGCATTTTCATTTGTTTTGCATTTCCGTTGGGTTGTGAGGTGTTTATATTGGTTGCATCAGAAAGGTGTCATGGTTGGTTACAGCACAAATGACATGCATTTTCAGGAGCATCAAATCATTTGTATCAACATAAAACGTTATTCCATGGGTGGTCATTGTGGGTTTTCTTGAGGGGCAGGCTCGCGAAACAGTGGGCTGGGGAGATTTGGCGCCGGGGCGAATCCAACTGTATGTGTACATACATATTTCAGGGTCTTAAGGGTTCTGAGGGACGGCGCTCTAGAGTGGGAATACCCGCTGTCCCTGCATTACTGCCCAACAATTTTTATTGAGGCGACCGTGAGATGAGGCAACGCCGGAAATTAACTCGAGTTTATTTCAAGCCATGAGGCGATCCTTACCACTTAGTTACTACTGCTCTTTTGGCACGGGTTAAGGGGCGGTGTGGCCACCTCCCTCTGTCAAACTCGACTATTGATACCGGTGGCCCGGGCTCGTAGGACAGCCTTGTCCCCGGTTAGCTAGTGAAATAATTATGCGTACATAGTAAAAAGAAATCTATGCAGGATGCATCGTCAGAAACTACCCTCGGGTATGCGTCTCGATAGATCTAGAGGCTCAACTGCATCCATCCAAGGTATCACCTCCCTCATTTGGAAATCAAAAATGCTGTTTCTTGTAGAACAAATTGTTGAGACTAACCCTGCCAAGCGGCCAAGACGCATGACCGCTTCCGAATATGCTATTCCGCTACTTGTCACGACGTTGTTAATTTCTCTGACTTATAAGCGAATCCAGAAAAAAAAAGCCGGGCATCAATCTTTGAATGACAAGAGGGGGGCTTCACCTTTGCTTCGGCTGCGCGACATATGGCTTCTTGCAATAACTCCTATCAATAAATATATGATCACGTCCCAGGACTGGAATTTGTGATTGCGAATTTTGTGTCCTCACTTGGAAGCTACTCTCGTGCGGTGTTGTTTCGTGCCAAAGTACATCTCTTCTCAGGATCCCCTCGGACTACTTACTATGTCGTTCATAAACGAATGGGTACTACGATTGAGGGCATTAGAGGGTCTGTACGACACCAATGCATGAAACACACCCAATTTGGCCCGCTATCAAGGAAAGATATCGCACCAGCTTGATCTCTGCCAATATGGCGAAGAGATCTGCTCTGTACGCCCATCAGGCTCTGTGAGGCGCCTTTTGGTATGGGCTTTGGGTATGAGCGCCGATTGAATCAATTGAGTACATGCCGTTGATAGCAAGAGCGCCATTTGATGAACCACATTTACTTGCGCCCTAACGCTTGATATTGTCTCTATGGTTGCGGACTTACTGACTGTGCAGACTTGTGTGTTTGGTGCAGCTTTATCCCCTATGCAAAGCCTTGGAATTATGGTTGAAAATTCGCTCGAATCAATACAACTCTCAATAGTAGGAGCCAGTCAGAAGTAATATCTTGTCTCTGACGTTGTGGGGCTTCAGCGTTGGTGTCGTTAAATAAAAATCTGTAAGACGGCAATGCCTATTCTCCCCTAGCATGAACATGACAAATACGTATCTGCATAGTGGGGGAGAGGATGGTTCGATCATTACACAAGTAGTATACGTCGCCATATTTACTGTAACCCTGAATATGTTACGCTCCACACTGGATGTATAAGGCTTTATACGTGTTTCTCCGTGCACATGATCCGTTCCATGGGCAGAGTACATGATGTGTTATGGCGCTACTTCGCGACGTATTTTTGCATCAGGATATCGCCATGGCCATACGAAATTCGACAGGCATGATTTGTGCCTTGCCTAGGATATTTGTTCTTTTTCATTAAGAGGGATGATTGTAGTATCCGTGCCGTGCTCATGCTACCTCTTCCCATATACTTGGTAAATTGTTCGGCATTTACATATCCGCATTTCCTCTACTAGAGTAGAAAGTTATTATGGCCTTGTACGTAGTTCGATGAGTTGACTCTTCTGTGTCTAGTACCTGCCTTGACCCAGTCTCCCTTGATTGCGAAAACGGTAGTTAGCAACTTGCTGACATTCTTCGTACCTGCGTAATCCATAACTTGTTGGAGCGCTCACTGCAGTACAACAAACCTTTTTCTTTCAATTCTTTTTCATTCTGTCACTCGGTACCTTGGATTATTGGGCCTCGGGCAGTGCTTGAGACTTGAAAATTGCAAACATACCAGGCCATGAAGCTTTACCATGGCCACAAGCATCTTTACTATCTACAAGTATCCCCGTTCTGAAACGAGGTTAACCAGACACTATAGCTACTACTTTTGAACCTGGCAGAAGGTGAGGCTAGTTTGAGTACTTCTGATTGCAGAATGTGTACAGTCTAAATTGCATCGGCTTTGAAGCAAAACTGTGTACGATGCAACTGCCAGCATTCCACGAATCACATCACGCGCAGGGCATGATTCTAAATGAGCCTGAAGTTCCAATGTCGTGGCGATCACAGACCGTTATGACTGCCTACTCCCTACTGCGTGATTGATGGATAGGTTCGTACTCAGCCTCTTGTTCGCCAACCATTCAATGCAAAGGACCTGGAGCATCGCGTGACTTGCCCAATGACTAGTCGAGGTATTCGGCTATGCACCCGATCGATAATACCTTGCTGGCATCGAATATAATGTGTACTGCAGCACATTGTTTCCAACCAGTCCCCGGCGTGGGAACACTGAAAGTCCTGGGGCTTGGGGTCCCATTCATCGTGGCTCAGTGGTAGTTTGGGGTGTTTGCACCCATGGGCGACTGCTGGTTGGGTTTCAACTCCCAAAGGTGCCCAGTTCAACTGGGAGAACACCTTTTTAGTTTTCATTTTTCTTAAAATCTATCTACCTATCAATTTTCCGGTGAATGGATGACGTTTCTGACAAATATCTCCAAGACTGATGGGTTTTTTTGTCCTTGGCAGGCCAGATGCTAGGTTTGACGTTGGCCTAGCAGATGCACCACTACCTACCGATCTACGAATCTTTGCAATCAAATCTCACCTTGAATTGTTACATGTCCAAGATGTATCTCATGCTTTCTCTGCGCCTACCTCATCACCAAACAAATTTCAACCATCGACCAGTGCGTTTCGGCCAGCCTCTGCTCGTGTAGCAAAAACCAATACGTGCATCCTTGGCATAACCCATTCCAAAACAATCTCATTCTTCACGGTGTATCTGCTAGGATCTACTTTCAATAATTCTAGAATTGTCGTGCTTATGGTTGGTCAACTGGGATGCTGTTAGCTATAATATGCACGGTCAGATTGATTTCTTAATATTATTGTAAGGGGCAGGCAATGCCTGACACAGCCTGGACCGCACTCTCAATGAAATGGATTTGTTTCTAGACAGTCGATATGTCGAAGGCTGGCTTGAATATCAAACGGATGCATTAGATAGAACCGTTTTCCCTAGGAGAGAATTGTCATGGTGATGTGTCTCTGTACGTTGGGACGCAAGGGACATCTAATCGGGCCGTGCCACTAATGAAATTACGGGCATTATAAGGGCTCGGTAGATACCGATTAAGACCATGGGGGAAATTGAACATATGACGAAAGTGGAATTCTTCGATGTTTTAGGAGCCGTTGAGTACGATCTCCAATGCTATCCCTGTCTATGCAATGACCAAGGGGCGCCAAGAGCAAACATGGGGTCCATTCGCCTGATTTTCCCGCCAATTGAACCGCATGGCTGACGAATATATCCAATTTAATAATCTACATGGACTTCTTGGGTCACTATCAAGAAGAACGGGAATTATTGGCATCGTAAGCCGCAGCCTTGGCGATAAGTGACCCGCTGAATTGACATAGCCTCGCGGAAACATAAAGAGGAGCACGTCGCATTCGGGACAAAAGCAAATCATCACCAGCAGTCTCTCAACCACTCTGCCGTACGTCATAATCAGAAGATGAAGCATTCCGTAGCTCTCTTATCCGCTGGCATCGCCGCGGCTGCCGCCCAAAACCAAACCTCGTACCTCTCTCGGTTCGCTGACTCTTTCATTAGACGTGGCGTCGAGCTTGACTACGGTTATACCCAAGCAACGCTGTATCTTGGGTTTGAGAAGGCATACGATCTCACAAAGAACGAGACTTTCTACGATTGGTATCAGAGTCAGGTCGAAGGAATTTTGTACCCCAATGGCTCCATCATTGACTGGAATTACTCCTTCCACAGTCTCGATGAATACGTGAGTCACTTCAACTTCCCAGTTTCCATACTACCATTCGCTACACAATCTCGAGAATCCTCGCGAATTTCCATTGGTTGCAGGATAAGTAGCTAATTGTCCCAAGCGCATGGGTAACAACTACCTATACTGGTTCAACCAGACCGGAGATGAGAAGTACAAGAAAGCTGCCCAGATTGTACGGACTCAGTTGAATGGCCATCCACGGACACCAACAGGCGGCTTCTGGCACCGTGAGCCTACTTACCCCAATCAGATGTGGCTAGATGGTATCTTTATGGCGGATACCTTCTATGCGAAATGGACAAGCCAATTCGATGCTGACAACGTAAGTTTCGAAATCGTTTAGATGAATGGCGGCCACTAATCATGACTAGACTACTGCCTGGGATGACATCGTTCTGCAGTACGATAACATTGAGGAGCACACCCGCAACACCACCAGCGGTCTCCTTGTCCATGGATACGACGAGAGCAAGGTTGCTGTCTGGGCAAACCGGGTCACTGGTGCTGCACCACTTGTCTGGGACCGCGCCGTCGGCTGGTATTTTATCTCGCTGTGGGAGACCCTGCAGGTCTTCCCTCAGTCGCACGAGGGCTACGCACGTCTGCTTGAATACTACACAACCCTAGCTGCAGCACTGAAGACCGCTCAGGACGAGTCTGGTGGCTTTTGGCTCATCATGAGTGAGCAATACGTCGGTGCTAAGGGTAACTATATCGAGAGCAGTGCTACTGCTATGTTCGTGCTTGGCTGGTTGAGAGGAATCAAGTCAGGATACCTTGACAGCGCTGATTACCTTGACGCTGCCAAGAAGGGCTACAACCTTCTCATTGACGACTTCGTTGTTGAGAACGGTGATGGGACTCTGAACTGGGAAGGCACAGTTTCGGTTGGCTCGCTTAATAGCAACGGCACCTTCGAAGTGAGCAACATACTACTTCGCTCTCCAATACCATTTGCTAACATACACAACAGTACTACATCAGCGTCCCACTTGCTTCAAACGACTTCAAAGGAGCTGGCCCATTCATGCTGGCCGCCTACGAATGGGAGTCCTGGGCCTCTAGCGCTTGATAAGCACCGATTGTCAAAGTGAGACAATGGCATCATTGGCATGTCTTAGGATTCAACAGTATCTATTAGCAATCCCAGACTTTATCATAATATTACTTATCGCTATCTCAGCTAAATCTTTTTCTTTCCCTTTTTTTTTTTTTTTTTTGTATATAAAAAAAAACCGTCCCCGAAGTTTCTGTAGTGACCCAAGATTAGATGCATGAGTGACCAAACCTGTTATTTTATACAAAATGTTCGCTCGGTTTCCGTTCATTGCGAGAATAAATATGCAATATTTAGCCTACAATCTACACAGCTATCAACCTGTATCTCCGTCGTTTTGACTGTATGCAGCTAGACGCGCGGCATCGTTCGACTTGGCTTGCATTGAACCAACAAATATTAAACTGTATACTGCACCCACTCTATGGGTAGACGATTTTACATACTTGTTCGTGAAAAACTATTGTTTCAATTGAGAAACACCAGAAACCTGAGGTTGTTTGCTTTTGAGCTCTGCGTTGGTCGTTGGCGTATTGTCACCTCTACAGGGTCCACGCAGCGAAGATTTATTGAGGGGTTTTGCTCAGCCACTGGAAGACGCCATGAGTTGACGAATCTGTCTTAGCCTCGGCAGTTGCGCAATCAAAAAAGAGGAAAAGGGAGAAAAGATCACAACGAATACTACGTACTACGTGCGAGTTCTAATCTTTGACGATCCGGTGAGATTGGCCATCGAAAGTCCGGACAAGTTGTATCCATTGGGCAAGGTTCCGGCCTGTTTCAGCGACCAGGGACCTGACCTTGGCTCTATTGGCGCGAAACACCAGACGTCTGATCCCGAGCTCGACCAGCCGCGTCACTGTCAGCGCATGCGCATAAAACCTTCGAAGCCGCCGCTACGTGTTTGCTGTCAAATGAAAACGTGATTTTGCAAATCTAGTGAATGACCCAAGCATTGTGACACGACTTCAATCCCTTCTACTCTACGAAAATCATGACCAACAACAGCAGAATACATCACTACCAAAATGTCCGGGTGGATGAGCGTGACGAAATCGACGATTTAGATGCGCACATCGACGAAATACTTGATTTGGACGAGAAAGACTACATGCATACGCCTATCCGCTCGAGGCGCACACATGTCATAGAAGTTCTGAACCGGTATCGATGGATAATCGACGGACTGCTGGTAGCTCTAATCGTGATGCTGTTGTTAGACCGAGACTGGGGAAAACATGACGAAAAGAAAAGGGAGCCTCTTGAAGGGACAGGGGACGTGACTGGTTTTGCCCCTCGCTGTAAATGATATGCATCGTTGTATGGTGATCACAGGCTGATTAGAAACATAGTTTCGCAGAAGATTGTAACCTTTCAGCCGGATCCGATGTTCCTGCCCGAGAATGGATCCGAGTTCTTTACGGACGAGGTCCGCCAAAAATGGCTCGGCATTGTTCCCAGTAAGTCTACAGATGCTCCGTGTATTATTTCTAAAAGGCTAATTCGCGGTGAAGGCGGTCTTGGCTATCTTGACATCAAAGAGCCGGAAAAGTATGAAGACCTCCCCCAAAAGTTAGAAGGATATCAAGGCAAATATGTTGTCACAACTTCAATGACGCATCAGCTGCATTGTCTGGTAGGTCACTCATCTTATTCAACCAAACATCTGGTCGACTGACACGATGGCAGTATGCAATCGCCGAGGTGTTCAGTGCATACAGCTCTAATATCATCGAAAAAATACCCCAAGAGTCGCCGTGGCATTTGGCCCACTGCTTCGTAAGTCGAACTCCATGATTCAGCTACAGTCTTTCCCAACGGAGCAATCAATATCAATAGGCCATAAGTAGAAGAGCATTTAAGGTCGCTCGCTAACTCACTTCTCATAGGACTACATTCGTCAAGCCATCATGTGCGCAGGGGATGTTGCGGTGGAAGGAAAGCAAACGACATTTCCCGAAGGTTTTGTGGGATCAGATGGGTGGGACGCGAAGCATGTTTGCAAATCGTATGACGAAGTCCTTAATTATCTCAATACGAACAGAGCGGACGACGAAGTGTGGATCTAAGGGCTAAGCATTATGCTAAGGCGGGCTGCAATCGTTGTTCTGGTTCCTCACGCCGTATACAGACTTTACAGAACCAAGGGAGCTGTCTAGTATACTAAATAACGGACAGGATGCAAATAGACATCGATCGCTCGCACCTTCAAGCAATCGACATGCCAAACTCCTGGGGAAGTTTATTGTAATACAGCCAAGTAATATCTGGGCTTGGTCCAAGCGGAAATGGGTTGTTGTGAGCAAGACTTCAACCGTTTCACTGTAAATAATCTACCCTCGAGACATGGCCTCACGCATAGCACTTGTAGTATTAGCAAACAAAATTGCAGGGGACACGCCAGATTAACTCAATTGACCAACGCACCTAACGGGTCAAAGGTTACAGGTCCAACCACGCCAGAGCAATGGTCCGCTTCAGGCGTCAGAAAGGATTTATAGAAGCCATCGACCTTTTTGACTCCTCCCATATTTGATTGCAAGCGGTAGTGATATCGTGTTGTGTCCTGGCATGTTCCTAATGGGTCTGCAATTCCATGCTATTCAGAAGCTTTCCACCCATCCCTTTGAAGTCCAACAAATTAAGATTATTGATGCCCATAATATTGGAGAATATGTTATTTAAATAGGGATCTGATGTCACAGCTGCTGCCCGCGTTTCTGGGCGGCTTTCTTTCCGGCCGGCAACTTCTTCAGGTTTCCGTTCCGCGTTCCTTTGTTCTCCCCAAACCAACTCATGCATGTATTATACGTGACACAAAGCCGAATACTTTTACGGCTCATATACGCTATATTTCTGTCGGCCAGGTCAGGTTCGTGGCAACACCGTGATATAGGTCAATAATTTTTGTTGATTTCCGATGTTTGCTTCGTATTATAGTTTATATTAGCGAAGACTTTTCGCGGCGGGTTTCTAGTCTGCGTGGTTGGAACGCACAATATAGGGGGTCAATTGTGTAGTGTAAAAAGGTTCCTTCACTGTGACGGCTAGGCAATGTGAGAAGAACTCTGTAGAATGCAAGGCTATGCGGCAGCCTTATCGTATACGTGAACCATTAATAGACCATACCCCCATCGGGCACGTAGTAGTAGCTTACCACAGCGTATACCAGGATGTTCTTGAAGCTCTTAAAAAGGAAACGATTTTCCAAGATTTGTCCACAAACGATAAGGGTCCAACAATGCATCACTTTAACTCTGTTCCACGACGAACCCGCTCATTTAATCCGAAGAAACCGGATACTTCCAAGCCTGGTACGAGATCCATGTTTGCACGCAACTGATAATCAATGCAGCCAAACCGAACAGCAGCGCAATTATCACGCCGACCAGAGTGGCCATCATAATATGCCTATCAGAAGCCTTCCTCGCCATGAACTTTTTAAACTGCCCCTTGGGTCTTGGATTTTCCAATTCGTGATGCAGCTCGGACAGACGGCTAGCGAGGTGATGATAGGATACGGTAGCCTCGCCATCGGTTCGAGATCCGTTGAAATCAGGACGGCATATATCAGGGTCCCAGTTCTCTTTACTTATAAGAAAATCCAGTAATTTCCGAGGATTCTTTTGTGCTAAGGGGAACAGTACGGTCTCTAACGAATCAAGGACTTCGAGGAGCAACTGTCTAGGAAGGCAACCACTAAAAGACATCGATAAGTTTCTGAGCAGGGTAAGTTGTTTGTATGACTGTCAACCGCGCTCACCGTTTCAAACTCTGCGCTACAGTCAAATCTTTAGCATCCTTTGTCTGCCTTAGTTGCTCTTTTATGAAGGCGGTATGGTGATATATTTCCAGGACGTTGGATCTCCGGTCGAGCTTCAGATGATCTTGCAAAATGCTCGTTCCGCGGATGCTGACCTTTAGGGCGTTCCTGATGTTAACTGCACTTAAGTCGCCGATAAATTCATCGAAATCACTGTGGGTATGGTCGCTGAGAATTGAATGCTTTGTTGTTGGAAAGGCTTGTTCGACAAATTCAGAGAATGTTGACTTGGGGCTCCATGGTACTCTTGCCTCAGCATTCTCTAAACGCTGGGGGGATGTTTGAAGAGCCGGCGCAGAGTCAAGCATGGTCATAATTTTGACCGCATGACCAACCAAGACCGTCGGTGGTATGATGGTTACCGTCCCGACTATCATATGTTTGACAACCCGTTCTAGCTCTTCCCGCGTGATATCAGGATTACTGCGAAGTACCCTCACAATTTCCAGCAATTTGGCTTCGTCTCGAAGGAAAGCGCGGAGTGTCGACTCATCGTGCTCTGGATCAACTACAGCCTTGCAAAACTGGACATAACGTGCCAATTTCTCGTAGCGACTTCCTGGACATTGATCAGAACACGGCCGATTGGAATCACATCCGTCGCAGCGCTCCCGAATCCAAAGTGCCTCTCCGAGTTTGCGGATCCATTTGTCTTCTTCCCGTGCTAATTCCATCACTGCCATGTCGGCAACGTATTTAACTGTCCTAAATCACAATGTCTAAACATAAAATTGAGAAGAAGGCGTACAGCCGGGCCTGACGAAAATTGCAATATGGTTTCTCATTTGAAAGTGGTGATGGTACATATATGCATGCTACCACTTACCCATACGGGGCGGAGCGCCCGTGGCAATCCTGCAGCTGAGGCTGAATCTGCACATGACACGTCATGCACTTCGCTGCCAACACTTACTGCGAGTAATTACACTTCTCGAGTTCGTTTCTGGGGGCAACTTGGACGATCTTCAATTGCACTCAGAAAATCTGCAACCAACTACATCAATCCTTCCGCGGACTTTTTCATCTTCTATTCCAGAGGAGCAGTAGCCTTAACGTCTACAAAGAGCAAGACTGTAGGACTTCAGCTTTCGAGATGGAAGCACAATCGGGACTGCCAGCGGCCCCAGTGAGCCTTGTGCCCACAGCATTAACCCAACACATCTGTACTACCAGTACTAACGACTTAGGAAACATGGAAACTACCCCACTGTCTACATTACCTTCCTCTACAGCATCGGCTTCAGCAGTTATACAGATTTATGCACACAAAGATCTTCAAAGATACCCCCATAAACCTCTCGGACAAGATGCACTGCATACTTTTCATGAAGTTCAGCGCATCTGTCAAACGGAATTGTCGAAACGCATCAGCCGTATAGCCGATCCGAAACACGTCTTATGGTCTCTTAAGATTGTTGGAAATTCGGAAGCCGAAGCTAGGCCATCGATTGTCTTCAATGCTACTAATAAGGTTGCCAAGGAGATAAAGAAGTTTTTCGACCAAGCTCACATACGTACCATTTTGAACAGCTGCGACTCAATTTTGAATGTGTGCATTATTAACACACCACCTCGCCTCCTCGCGTCCGAAAATTCGTTAGTCATCAGCAGACGAATACAACGCAACAAGGTACCGGATACCACATGCGGCATGCTCGTGAAAGTCACTCTCGGGGTACAATCAAATTATGGAACCCTGGGTGGTATTGTCCAAGTTGGCGTTGTACTTTATGGAATGGTGACTAGCCATATTATTGGGCAGCTGACCGGAGCCAACGATAGAAGCTACCATCAGCAATGCGGTGATAATGAGTCTATGGATGAGGAGGGTGCGATTCTCCTGGATGAAACGGTTGGCGTCGCAAGTGACGTGGTCAGCTATAAAACACTCACAAAAGCAGATATGAGTCCTGATGTCGAGAATCCTCTACCGCACTCTAGGGATTTAGACTGGACCCTAATACCTCTCGAATCTGGTTTGTGGTTATCAAATCACTTCGAGAAGCCCGGTGAGCAATTCGAGAAGAGCTGCCTGGATCTTACAATTGGCGAAGACATTAAGCAGGAACCGAAAAGCGTGGCAATATTAACAGGTAATGGAGTGAAACTCGGGAGTCTTGTACTGCAATACGCCTCGTTGACAATAAGTGCTGGTGGTTGTTTCACAGATGTCCTGACGCTCATCCTTGATAAGGAATCCCGTAAGTTGCACCCATGCCAGTTCTATCTTAAATGTTAACACATGCTTTCCAGTACTTCAACATGGAGATTCAGGTTCATGGGTTGTAGACCGAGTGAATGGTCAAGTGTATGGACATCTGGTAGCGGTCGATAGCTTCGGTGACGGATTGGTTGTTCCTATTCGAAGAGTTCTAGAGGACATCAAACAACAAACAGGAGCAGAATATGTCCAACTCCCCACCCGCTACCAAATCGATCAGCTTAAAAGCCGGGCTGAGAAATTCGGTTCTGTTCAAGCTAACCTAGAAGATGACAAGACGCCGCTGTTGGGGGCCGCAAAAAATGGTCATGAGCCTATCGTCAAGGTGCTCCCCGATAAGGGTGCCGACGTCAACGGCCTCCAGGCTGCTTCGTTGAGAGGACAGAAGGAGATGGTCCAGATGCTGCTCGACAAGGGCGCCGACGTCAACTTACAAGGCGGATACTATGGCAATGCCCTCCAGGCTGCTTCGTTAAGAGGACACAAAGAGGTAGTCCAGATATTGCTCGACAGGGACGCCGACGTTAATGCGCAAGGCGGATACTGCGGCAATGCCCTCCAGGCTGCTTCGTTAAGAGGACACAAGGAGATGGTCCAGATTCTGCTCGACAAGGGCACCGACGTTAATGCGCAAGGCGGATACTATGGCAATGCCCTCCAGGCTGCTTCGTTAAGAGGACACAAAGAGGTAGTCCAGATGCTGCTCGACAGGGACGCCGACGTTAATGCGCAAGGCGGACACTACGGCAATGCCCTCCAGGCTGCTTCATGGGGAGGACATAATGAAGTGGTCCAGATGCTGCTCGACGAGGACGCCGACGTTAATGCGCAAGGCGGATACTACGGCAATGCCCTCCAGGCTGCTTCGTTAAGAGGACACAAAGAGGTAGTCCAGATGCTGCTCGACAAGGATGCCGACATCAACGTACAAGGCGGACACTACGGCAATGCCCTCCAGGCTTCTTCAGAAGGAGGATACAAGCAGGTGGTCCAGATGCTGCTCGACAAGGGCGCCGACGTTAATGCGCAAGGCGGATACTACGGCAATGCCCTCCAGGCTGCTTCGTTAAGAGGACACAAAGAGGTAGTCCAGATGCTGCTCGACAAGGATGCCGACATCAACGTACAAGGCGGACACTACGGCAATGCCCTCCAGGCTGCTTCGTTAAGAGGACACAAAGAGGTAGTCCAGATGCTGCTCGACAAGGACGCCGACGTCAACTTACAAGGCGGATACTATGGCAATGCACTCCAGGCTGCTTCGTTAAGAGGACACAAAGAGGTAGTCCAGATGCTGCTCGACAAGGACGCCGACATCAACGTACAAGGCGGACACTACGGCAATGCCCTCCAGGCTGCTTCACTCGAAGGATATAATGAGGTAGTCCAGATGCTGCTCGACAAGAACGCCGACATCAACGCGCAAGGTGGATACTATGGCAATGCCCTCCAGGCTGCTTCACTTGGAGGATATAATAAGGTGGTCCGGATGTTGCTCGATAAGAACGCCGACGTTAACGCGCAAGGCGGAGATTACGGCAACGCCCTCCAGGCTGCTTCATTTCGAGGACGCAAAGAGGTGGTCCAGATGCTGCTCGACAAGAACGCCGACGTCAATGCGCAAGGTGGATACCATGGCAGTGCCCTCCAGGCTGCTTCGTTAGGAGGACACAATGAGGTGGTCCAGATGCTACTCGATAAAGGCGCCTTTCAAGCAAGACAGGGAACAGAACGTGCGCTATTAACAACTAATGGCTTCAAGAACAAGCGCGAAAGGTTACTTTAATATATTTATCTTACCCACTTCACTTACATTATTTATCGTGAAGTATTCCAAGCACTTTCGGATTCTAAAATGTTTACTTAATATTGATAGGAGCTAGGATTACTAATTAATTTCCTAGAATTACAGGCCGGCCATGTAAATGGCCATGGTTATTATAAACATATTAGAATTGTCTTTCTTTAAACGATTAGCCTTTGGTCATTGGGCGAGTAGCTGGTATTTACTTATTTAAGCGGCTATAAGATGGTGTCAAATCCACGTTTGCAGGACAACTTATATTTTCTACCTTATCTTTCTTATTTCCGTTAATAGAAGCACTTACTTATACTAGTGGCCCGGGTTCCCATTTATATTGATGCTCGTCGCGACGCTTTGTATCAACACCTTGAAACATACTCACTTCTGATTTATCTAACCAATGTTGAATAGGAGGCCTGGCAAAGTCCAGTAACGAGTACGGTATAGGGGTAGTTTTTCACCATCTTTAGCGAGGATAACAAGCCTCCCAACAGCCCTCTCGTTTCATGTATCATCCAGTAAGCGCCCACGCCCACACACCTACGGCCACCAGTACGGTCACCTGGTATGTTTGTTTTATTGCAACATATTCCACCTCATCATAGCAGGTTCCCCCACATTATTTTTACCCCTTCGAGCAGCAAAGTATCCTCCGATTATTTTCAAAGCTAGTTCATACACAGTCATTATTCTTGAAGTGTCCAGCCACGAGTGAACCAGCTGCTATTTTCAAAACTGTGGTGCGGGCCCAAGCCAGATAATTGGTCGACTGAAGGTCTTACATCTCTGAGATATACCAAACATCCCACTGGCTTTTGGTAATACTAGATTTCTGACTCGGTTAGACATCGATCTGCTATATTTAGCGACGAATATTAAACACAGACCTGGAACCTAGAGTTGATGGCCTCCGATAAGGTGGCACTGCTTTTCTTACTAATATAACAGTATCGGCCCAAACATATTTGTAGTTTTCGTTTCGTGCTAATTGTACAAAATTGGTGATCTTGCGACGACTCTTGCTTAGGAGTTTCTTGCCGTATTGCCATTCCTGGAAGTCTACCTCGTGATCGCCCCATCTATGAGAGAGAATGATGAATACCTCATTAAGGTAATGATTGAATTCGACAAGCTTCAAGGTCTTCGTGTCAATGAACCATATCGTCACATTATTCGGCAATGGAATCAAATGATAAGGCGAGCGCTACTGTTGGGAATGTCGATGGCATGGATATATTTACATGGATGGACAATTGAAGTCTGCTTATTCAGCTTCCACAGTCTTACCGCCATGTATGATTGTTACCTAAGTAGAGCCTTCGGACTATATATACATTTTTAAACAAAGGATACGGGGAATAGTTTCAAGATCTTGACAAAATGGCTTCGTCAGTAGTGAAGGATGCCAGCGGTCTGGGTACTTTTGTTAAAGTGCCCCAGTCCTACATATTGTCTGTAAGAGCAGAGCTACGGGGGCACCAGTTTGATGCATTGTTTGTTATGCACAGAGTGTCTATGCAAAGCTTTAGTCATGTTGTCATGCAACACTAAAGGACCCGGATTGGTGTCTTCCCAAAATGGAACATGAAATCTGGTTCACAGTAGGCAAGTGACTTACTTGGATTTATCAATTGAATCTGAAATCTTGAGCCTGAGCCATTCTCCGTTATTGAACGTAGCATTAGGTAGGTCAGTGTCCAAAATGTAAATAGCCATCTACCGCTTCCACTGTCACCTATGGACAAATCAAACTCTTGGGGAACGTCATTACAATGCAGTCCATTTTCGTTATGCGAATAACACTTCAAAAGATTTTATATTCTCCACAAGAACAAATGAAACCGGAATGGAGCCATCGGCATAAAGAACGTAGCTCGGAGTCTCCATTCTTAAGAGACTGATAGAAACAGTTGGTAGGGAAAGACGAGTTTCGCTTTACCACCATCCCTCTCCCTGATCGCTACAAACAATGATTTTACTACCATTTGTGAACTTGCTGGTAGATGGTCAGGTAAATCCGCTAGAATATCAAATGAAAATGAAATTGCAATACTACGACTGAGTTCACACAATAAAACGGTGCTAGGCCTGCGGACCCCGCCTACTTTTGCAATGCCGATGCTTGCCTAAAGGGTTCGGAAGCGGCGGGAGATACTGGCTGCCGTTTTGTCAACTCCTCTCCGCCAGATATGTCAGCTTACTTGCACGCTGATTTCCAGGGCAAAAACACCACGCTGTGACCCTATGACTGTCTTTCGAGTTGAACGCATGATTACGACAGGCGCAGCAATCTTGGTAAGTATCGACTTCATGAACAGCATCACCCGGGCCACTTAAGATCATTGTCCCGCTCTCGCAACAAATCAACACATTTTCAAAATATTAGCACATCATGATGGCTCAGCAGTCGGTCGAACTTCGAGATATCACTGCACGGTTGTCGATTGACAATACACATCCGAAACCACGACATGACATGAAGTGCGACGACTCACAGCTTCCAGCTCCTCGTGCGTTGCCAGATTTGCCGCTTGTCGATAGAGGGAAGGATGCGTGGCTGTTTTTGGCTGCTTGCTGGGTTGTTGAGGCTTTCATATTTGGTGAGTATAATTTCTCAACAAATTGTGGTTAATCCCTGTGGCCTCTTTTACAGATGCCCCTGTTATTGCTGAATGCCCGTCATGTCATAAACAGTCTTGCATGTGCATCGTCTTCAGCTAACATGTAATACGCAGGCTTCGGGGCTTCATTTGGTGTATTTCAGGATTTCTATAGCACTCACGAGCCTTTTGCGAAGTCGGGCAGTGTCGCCATTATAGGAACTACCACAATGGTAAAGATTTCTATATTCTTAGGTCACTAGTATTAAACTGATGAATAACTAGGGCATTATGTACATAGGTTTCCCCCTATTCATTGGGCTGTGCCGGCTCTACCCTCGATGGGGTCGGTGGTCAACGATGGTAGGACTTTTTGCGGCTTCCTTATCCATGGCAACGAGTTCTTTTTGCAACAACGTGCCACAACTTATTGTATCACAAGGAGTTATGTTCGGTCTTGGCGGTTGCATCGCCTGCTGTCCTTGTCAATTATATATTGACGAGTGGTTTGCTCGACGAAAAGGCCTGGCTTACGGCATCGCGTGGAGTGCTGGAGGCGTCGGAGGTGTTGTCTTTCCTCTGATTATGGAGACTCTCCTCCACGAGCTGGGGTTTCAGAAAACTTTAAGGATCTGGGCTGGCATACTCTTTGCATGCTCTGCTCCCTTAGCTTTCTTTATCAGACCTCGGCTGCCGTACTCGGCTAGTATACACCAAAGGCGATTGAACTTGCGGTTCATCATGTCTAAAAGATTTGCTCTCCATCAAGTGGCCAATACTATCCAGGCGACCGGCTATTTTCTACCTAGCATCTATCTACCCACATATGCCCGATCGGTCTTCGGCACCTCGGCTTTCTTATCAGCACTGACAGTCATGTTGGTCAATGTGGCCACAACAATGGGTCTCGTCATCATGGGGTCACTGAGCGATAAGTTTCATGTGACAACCTGTATGATCATCTCGGCGATGGGTGCAGCAATATCGGTATTGGTGGTTTGGGGGTTATCAGCATCTCTACCTGTTTTGTATTTGTTCTGCGTCCTTTACGGCCTGTTCGCCGGTTCCTGGGCATCAGTATGGCCTGGCATCATGAAAGAAGTTTCACAAAATGGTGAACGCGATGGTTATGGTCACGTTGACCCGGTGATGGTGCAAGGCATGTTGTGTGTTGGCAGGGGCGTCGGCAATGTTATATCAGGGCCCCTGAGTAATTCGCTCCTTGGAGGAATGCCGTGGCGTGGACAAGCTATGTCAGGTTACAGCAGCGGTTATGGCGTTTTGATATTGTATACTGGATTTACGGGCCTTTTGAGTGGGATGAATTACCTGCTCAAGCGCTTAAAGCTGCTTTGAGAATGCACTCAATACTGCCGGCAGATAATCTCTCACAAGACAAACAGAACGATTCCACTTGCATAATACAGTAAGAAAATCAATGCAGATCTGTAGACTCGATACGTATTGGCATCACGCACCTGGTGTGAAGAGAGCTGGATAGATGCCTAAAACATTCGACTCACCGGGCAATCCGGATCCGGTTAGGGACGCAGGGCCTACCGAGTGCAGCTTATTGGTCAGTCAGACTTCTGCTGACGGTGAGGAGTATTGTTCTCGGATTTGGCCTGACAAGTCGAGCAAGATGCGTAACGCACAACTCTAGTTGGTCTACTGGAGAGCGCGTTAATGCATTTGTGCATCGTCAGATAGTCAATCCTGTCTCATACTCACAACGCTCTTAATATCGTTGAAGGCGAACCTGAGCGCAGGAGATGTTATTTACCAATCGGATCCACGTGTAGTGTGCAGGTTTCTATTGCAGGTATTGGTGGGGTTGGCGGCGGAATCATACCTTACAGAATTCACCAGGTTAAGCACCAGTATTCAATGTCCCAGCCCAGACTTCGGAATATAAGAATAAAAAAATCATACGATTCTATGAACCAAGATTTGAATGAGCTTAATCCCTCTTGTATTACTTTGGCAATGTCGTTGTTTGGAACAGCAATCCGGAGTATAAAGATGGGTCTTAAACCCGAGCTCGGTATTGCGTGATCGCGATAGCAATGATGCCATCTACAACCATGCGGAGCTGCGATCAGCGCTTATAAATACAACCATTATATTGCGATATTCAATCTGGCAAAACAACTGATCATCAAAACACCGACAAAATGCCTACAGAATTCATCAGGTTCGTATTTGGTCTTCACAACTATTATCATGTGCATTGTTAACGGGAAGATAGCTTGACGTTCCCCAACTCGGCCACTGAGATCAACGAAGGCCCCAATCCTACTGATATTGATCCTCAATATCTTGTACGATATGCCAAAACTCTTGATGACTATGGCTTCAACTACACACTCATACCATATGGCTCAGGCGGTTTTGATCCCTTTACCATTGGTGCCACTATAGCCGCAGTGACTAAGAACATCAGCGTCATAATCGCACTACGCCCAAACACAATGTTTCCCACAGTTGCAGCCAAGGCTCTCGCAACCCTGGATCAACTGAGTCAAGGTCGCGTTGTAGTACATTTCATCGCTGGCGGAAGTGACGCTGAGCAGGCCAAGGAAGGTGATTTCTTGACCAAGGAAGAGCGTTACGGGCGTCTTGAAGACTACATCAAGATTCTACGACGTGCCTGGCAATCGAAGGAGCCGTTTGATTGGGATAGCAAGTACTACAAGTTCAAGCAGTTTAGCAACCAGGTCGGCCCAACCAAGGGTACCATTCCTGTATCTGTCGGTGGCTCGTCAGACGAAGCCTACCGTGTCGGAGGATCTTTAGCCGATATCTTCGGCCTTTGGGGAGAGCCTCTTAAGGAGACCAAGGACCAAATTACTCGTATCTATGCTGAAGCTGAGAAAGCTGGCCGAACAGACAAACCAAGAATTTGGGTGACGTTCCGCCCGATTATTGCGGAGACGGATGAGCTTGCGTGGCAAAAGGCTTACAAGACACTTGATGCCTTGAAAGCCAATTCTGGCAAGCAAACCTCAAACATTGCACCAACGGTTGCGCAACCACAAAACGTTGGATCGCAACGTCTGTTGGATATTGCTTCTCGAGGAGAAGTCCAGGATCGTGCACTTTGGTACCCCACCGTAAGTCTATCGCGTCTAGAAACACGTAAATATGACCTTGTCCAAGCTGACAACTTTTACCATAGGTCACCGCAACCAACGCGCGAGGAGCATCAACCGCGCTTGTCGGATCGCCACAAACTCTGTCAGACTCCATTTTAGACTATGTTGACCTCGGCTGCGAGCTGATCTCCATCCGAGGTTACGACAACTACCATGATGCAGTTGACTATGGCCGTTATATCTTGCCAAGAGTACGAAAGGAACTTGAGAAGCGAGAGAAGGGAGAGACCGTGCCTAATAGTAACGCACAGACTGAAGGCGTGGCTCCGGCTGAGAGCGGATAGAGCATTGGTTATACCATGCACACGCGACATGACGACAATAATAGCAGATATCCAAACTCAATGATAATAAGAATGTTCATTTGCTTACTTTTCAACGTGGAGTTAAGCTCATATGTGATGCTTTTGTGCGGTGTAGTATCATATCAATTTAGGCGTCGGTGATTCACAGGTGGATGCAAATCGAAATATAATATTTAGTTCATTTGTCTGCATGGCTTAAACAACCAGAATATGTATGAGATCTAATTACAATCTCTAGCAATCTATTGAAAAATATTCGAGAATTCCCCCCCCCCCTCATGACGTGAATAGAAGATTGAGAGATATGGCGAACCTCTCCTCTCGAGCCCGTGCTCTTAAGGACAAGCTTAACCTATACCGACCAGCCACCCCTAGTCTTGAGCTAGGGTTACGATTGGATGAACCACCTTTCAACGCAGGTCCAGCGCATGACCAGCTTTAATTTAAATTGCCGGGAACAAGGCCGTCTAGATCTTGATTCAGTGTTTCCTTGATTTAATGATCGGCTTTAAATGAGGGGCCACCCAGGCCCAAACTGCTGGCGGCATTCTTGCGAGAATTGCGAAGCTCAACTATTTGCGTGATGGAACGTCAAGGCGAAAACAGCTAATGAAATGCGTCTTATTGGGCTAATCGGGGTATTGGCGGGTTTACTTGGTGAAGTTAGCTCTGCGAGATGCTCAAACGACAGGTGTTTGAACGGTAAGTTGAAGGAAGGCATGCATATGAAGAAGTACCAGGCTGATTTGGCTGTAGCGGTGAGCAGGGCGCCGTCGCGTTTGAGGATCTCGGATTGCGAGAGTCTTTTTAGGGTGACGTTGATACCTTCGACAAGGTATGAAGTTTCTGTGATTGGCTGGATCTGTCAGTTGATATTGATATAGGACTTTCATCGAGACCGCAACTATCGTTACGACAGACACTACCACCATGACCACAGTAGCCACGACAAAGATCACAGCTACAGCAGTAGCCTCGAAGAGATGGGAGGAGCAACGTGAAGCCATCGAGATTCTACTCAGGAGGGCACTGCCACGGTCGACCCCTAGTATAAGCGTCAAGCAGAAGACTCCCAGCTATGCATCGCCTTGTACTTCTTTGGCTGCCTACTCAAATGCATGTAGTTGCTTGGGCGTTGGGCACACCACTACAACTGCCTCGACTCCAAGTACAACAAGGACAGTCAGCATCTCAAAATCTGCAACTGTAACCAAAATCGCAACAATTGTGACCACAGAAACCCTTATTGTTGTTAGCAACAACAGTGTCATCTCCAACAGTTCCACAAAGGCGGGCTTCACAAATTCGACAGCCTTGCTGACGATTTCTGCGAGCTCAATAACCTCAAGTGGGAGGTCAAGTACCCTCGAAAGCTTGACAGCTTCTTCCAATCTGAGCAATGCCAAAAGCGACAAGGGTGGTGAGGATTTGACGAGCAGCAGCTCAACTAACACCGAAGCTGCTTCGTCGAGTACTACCGAACTTGTAAGCAAGGAAGAAACTGGGGGCTCCACGGCCGGAGTTTATATAAATTCAACAGCTTCGGCCATATACGCAAACGCGACCACCGACATTGGACAGTTTGCAAATGTCACGACACCCATCGCGAACACTACAAGGACACAACTCGCCAATGGAGGGACCAGTACTGGACACGTAAATATGACAGTCTCAACCCCGATGCTGAACGCGACAGCCACTGGCCTCTTCCCCAACAGCACTTCTCTGCCAATTCTGAATGGAACAGCGCCAACAACACAAGTCAGCACGGCAAACACCTCAACCGCTCTGTTCATGAACGCGACCGCCTCGACAGGACTTTTGAATGCCACTTCTGTCTTGTTAGTCAACGCGACAAGCGTGCCTGTCCTGAATATCTCGACGTCGGCACCGTATCTCAATGCAACCAATTCCTCAATTGGCAGTCTCACCACATCAGTGCCTTATTTAAACGCTACTGTAATTCCGTGGCTGAACACAACCAAGTTGCCTGCTGCGAACGCGACATCTGTTCATTTCAGCAATACCAGCAGCTCAACTACGACACCCATTTCAACGTAAGTGGAAATTAAACAAGCCGTGCCCTTATCTCTATGAACCTTCCGGGACTGACTCTCATAAACCTTCATATGAGAATATCCTCAAAACTCTTGATTCATGGACTGGGTAATCTGTAAGACTGACTAAATTCTTGAACTAGATCGACACTTGATCGGTCTTGTGGAGAAACTACACCACCTTTTCTGCTCCAGGTATCACATCCCTCTAGTCTCTTCGATGGCTGGTACGCGAAGGTTAGCGGTGATCAAATCATGTTCACGTCCTCGGCGAACCATTCGGACAAGTTCAGTGTGGAAAGTTCCGGTCATTTGTGCGCAGTCGGTTACGTCGGAGACAGCGGTAATCCTACTATCGCAATTGTAGAGACAAAAGATGGCCTGACCGGAAGCGCAATCTATTTTATTGACGGACAACGAGTTGGAAACCTTACGGAGCGAGGGTACGGTGCACTCGACTGTGCTGTGGATGACGATTTGGCGTGCCAAGCCCGAGACATGTCCCACTGGGTTGCCTGCGGGCTTGGGCTAGACATCTCCAACGATGGCAACGAGATGGTGGTCGTTGATTCATGGAACTGCACTAGTGTTGCCCTTTCTGCAGTTTATAGTTGAAACCTGCACCTTAATGTCATTCTGCCTGAACTAATTGATGCAAACTCTTCACACGAAATCACGTGAGGTCGTGTTGTGACGCTCAAGAATGGCAGCAATTATCGCCGCTGACGCGCCACTCAGCACGCTAAAGTTCGTCGCAATTGCGAGGGTGACTATGTAGTCTCGCTGTTCTTAATTCTCCTCAATCCCCTGTACATTTGACGAACAAAATACACCAGTCCTTCATTCTAACGACCGCCGGTTCGTAGAGCCCTTTTTCCCTTCCTTTTTCCCTCTCAAAGGTTCGGTCATAATCGCGTCGCATCTCCCGTGTAACAAATTTCCGCTTATTGTTACAACGTAACGGCTGCACCAATCCCGCTCGTTCCGGTAGTCAATTGGTGGCTGCCTCAGCAACCGATGGAAGCACACAACAACGCAGTCAATACTGTAGCAAGAAACATACGGATTTTCCATTCTACCCAAAGGCCGTTCCGCGTATATCATGGTTCGACGAACAGTACGCGGACCTCTCAGAGGCGCGCAGACAATACCGTCGATACCAGCCGGCTTAATCACGTAATTCAGATTGATCACGAAAACAAGACCGCTCTGGTAGAGCCCAACGTTCCCATGGATGCCCTCGTACAAGCTACTTTAGAACACTCGCTGGTGCCTCTGGTCGTGATGGAATTCCCAAATATCACAGTCGGCGGCGGCTTCTCCGGATCTTCGGGCGAAAGTAGCTCATTTCGTTACGGTCCTTTCGATTCGATCATCAATTCAATCGAAATCGTTGTTCCAAGTGGTGAAATCGAGTGGGCTTCTAAAACGGCCAAGCCTGACTTATTCTGGGGAGCTGCTTCAGGGTTCGGAACCTTAGGTATTGTCACCCTGTTAGAGGTGCAGCTGAGAGATGCTAAACCTTATGTCGAATTGACCTATCACATGTTCACGTCTGTACCGGAGGCTTCCCTATCAATGCAACACCAGGCGCAAGATGCGTCAATTGACTATCTTGACGGCATAGCCTACGCATCCAACAGGGCTATTGTCTGCTCGGGTCGCCTGGTCAACGAAGTCTCAGGATCGACCTCGCTTTCGCATTTCACAAAGCGCAAGGATCCCTGGTTTTATCAGCATGTTGACCGACGGACTAAAGGTGCCTCTGGACCAGTCACAGATTATGTGCCTTTGGTTGATTATCTTTTCCGCTATGATCGTGGTGGATTTTGGGTCGCCAAGTATGCGTTCGCCTATTTCTTCACACCTTTCAACCGCGCCACACGTTCACTATTGGACCGTTTCCTAAGAGCAAAGGTGATGTATGCTGCATTGCATAAAAGCCAACTTTCAGACGACTATATCGTGCAGGACGTAGGTGTCCCATATGAGAAGGTCGAAGAATTCCAGAGATGGCTGGACGCAAATCTCAGAACATATCCGCTCTGGCTATGTCCACTAAGAGTACGACGCGACTTGCCAGATTCGCGGCACGGCCTGCATGCTAGATTTTCAGACCTAGATGCCCCAGAGTACCTATTGAACTTCGGTATCTGGCGGCCAGGGTCGCTCAATAGGGATAAATTCGTGCGCCAAAACAGGAATCTCGAGAAAAAGGTCCAGGAACTTGGCGGAAAGAAGTGGCTTTATGCACACGCTTACTACACAGAAGAGGAGTTCTGGGCTTCATACGACCGGGAATCGTATGACGATCTGCGGAGACGCTACTCTGCAGCCTACCTACCTAGTGTATATGACAAGGTTAAGGTTGATGTCGAGGCGGAAAGGCACAGGAAAAAGCCTTTCAAAGGAATTCGGCCGCTGCAGGGCTTATATGGAGTATATAAAGCCTGGAAAGGCGGCGATTATCTGCTTGCGAAATGATCTGCACAACCGGGCCAAAAGGAATTGGGCGTTGACGTTTATAATATGATGGGAACGGTCAAAACTAGCTACACTGATTTCATGGCCGCCTATTAATTAATTGGTACATGAAAACCTTCTCCGTTGTCATGACGTCTATTCCCGCACTAAGGTTAGATGTCTGTTCGTTTCACCACAAAGGCACCCCTCGACATGGTATTGATGACGATGAATCCGCTCTTGAAAAATGGATAGTGGCTCCAAGTCCCTTCGAAGTCGACGTTGCCACCATCTTCTGCCTCGTCATCCTCGGGGTAGATATCGAAGAAGGCAACTTCCTTAACGCTGCCACCAGTAGGATCTTGAGGGATAGAAGAAACGTCCAAAACACGGAGACCAGTGCCGTAGTTGCTCTGATATGCGAACCCGTCCTTGACGAACTGGTTATGGTCGATGCCCTTCACAGTGCTACGATATATACCGGTGAGTTTAGGGGCTTCGAGGGAGCTGATGTCCCAGAAATAAGTGACGGGGAACCCAGCAGCTCCCTCACCAGCCGAGTCATACTCATCGTACTCGTCGTCGAGTGCAAGGTACTGCTGCCATTGTGTATCGAGTACCCAGCCTTGATGGGTAAATGATGCACCCTCATAGGTAGTTCTCGAAATGATGTTGGTGGTGTTCTTGTCGGTGACATCGAAAATAGTGAGTGTGTCTTCGTTATATCCATAGCAAATGTCGCGCTCGGCGTACTTCTCGTCAGGGCCACGATAAACAAGACACTGGGCATCGTGAACATAGCCGTCGCCACTTGCACACCCAGGAGAGAAAGGAGCGCTAGGATCAGTTAAGTCAATGAAGATTAACCCCGACTTGCAAGAGGCATTCCGGGGCTGTGCGCCGACCGCGACAGCATAACCCCTCTCCTCGTTGACAACGACGTTGTGGGATCGGCCGACTGGAAGCTCGTTGAACCATCCGGTGAGATCTTCCTCGTTGGTAAAGACCTTGGGGCTCGCTGGGTCTAAGTCGAGCAACTTGGACATGTCAAATATCTGGACTCCATGGTAATAAGCCTCGCTACCAATTACGATGTAGTTCTTGTAGCCTTTGATCTCCCTCCAGAGAGACGGCTTTGCCGTGGTATACTGGGGCAGGCGGCCGAGGTACGTAAGCTTTCCTTCGCTGCTAATTTCCGAGAAAGAGGTACCATCACTTTGGGCAATTGCAATGAACTCTCTGCCCTCTGGACTCGACCAGCCCCAGCTGCCGGCACCCTCGCCGACAACGCTGCCGAGGTCAAAGTGACTTTTGAAGTCATAGAAATCGATCTATTAAATCTGTAAACACTTAAACGCTACAAGAAAGGGACACGTTCGACTTACGTTACTGCAGCGGAAGGTGTTGTTGGCATCTCCAGGAACGACTGCAGAGAGACCGTCGACACAAGCAACCGGGCCAGCCTCAGCACTGAAGCTCTTATATTGTCTAGAGTCAAAAACACCAGCTTTTCTCTTGGCATCCCAAGCAGCCTATATTTATCAGATCTGAGGACTATCCTGTGCTGTCAATGACAACTTACATGCTTCGTGTCCATGATGGTTTGGTGAACCAATCCACTCTCGTATTTCCATTGTTTGGCAGGATTCGCGATCTCTTTCGCAACGGCGAATTGAGACACTGCCAGCAGAGCAAAACCTGACACTGAGATCGACCTCATGATGAATGAACTAGGCTTTGTTGCCCTCTCAACAAGTCACTGACGGAGCGCACAACCGACAAGCTCAATAAGTCCACCGTCATAATCCCGGCCTTGTGGCTTTTATACTGCCATACCCTACCATTCAAGGCAGACAATGATGATTTGAATCGATCACGCTATCTCGACGAGCATGCCGAAAGAGGTAGGCAATAACTCGCCCAATCAACTAAACGGCGCGGCAACCGCCTTGCATAGAGTCCGGCAGTTCAAAATCTCTCGGCACGACTTGGCGCACGACTTGGCGACCCATCGCAACTTGGAATTCCGAACGACGAACGAGATACTTCATCCAATTAGCCAACGTAGTTTTCAACGCCTGACTGTCGCACGGCATTATCGCCCATATTGACTTGGTGAATATGGGCGGCTGTTTTGCTGCGATGCTACCTTCTGCGAGCGGGTGATGTCGACTATCCGTATCGATGGTACAACAATGGCAATCAGGTGGGGGTTGTCGCCATACTCACTCCCCTTGACGTCTTAAAGTCTGTCGCCACGCAAGATATTTTCAATGCGTAAAATTGCAAGAACCAAACCCGTGCAGGTCGCTACCACGGGATGCACCAGGCAACGGCAAGCAATCTCGAGACTTGCGGTTTGCGACGGCATATTTTAGGAGTCGAAAGATAGTGAAGTAACATCGACAACTAGTCGATACGAGTTTTGAATCGCTCTTCCATGTTTTGGCAGCTTGTAGATTCGTGAAGATCGAGGCATAATATCCTTGTGAGCCGACGGAACACGAATATACAGGTGTAATTGGGTTGTTGAAGAAGAAAACTTCAGGATGTGGAAGAACACAACTTATGCTTATTTGGACCCACAAATGATGAACCAATGGGTGGCATGCACTACATATGTATACACATATCTTAGAATAGAAGGGATCGGCGTTTGGCCGGACCGAGAGCATGGTCCAGCATTGGCCTTGCATGCCACAGCACCCCATTCGCGCGACAACATATTCCTTTTCGTGGCAAACCGACTCGGCAAGACTAAGCGGCAGTAGCACTATAACAAAGTTTTTGATTTGTTGGTTATCGATTGCGACGGTTGCAGCCAAGTTCCTCAAGTTCGGCACACTTTCTGTATACGGCAACTGGGCAGAAGAGGCTCATTCCACAAATTGCGAGGTGGCTGCCGTGCACGGCCTGAGCGGCTCGATTTTTTTGAGTGCTCATTTTCTAATGTTTTTCTCGGGGGGTAAATCCGTTCATTTATTTATTGAGTTTGGCACGTAAAATTTCTTTCTCATGACGCCAATCTTTGAACATCACTTTGCTTGCAATGCCTTCGATTCCCCATTGCACACTGGCACACACGATAACGTAATTTTAGATATTCGCTGTCCATGCCACTGGTTGGTTTAGTGGCTCAATAAGTGGCAAACATCGAGGTAGATAGCATTGATGCGGCAGTCTATTTTCGATGGTTTCTCAGTTCGCGTCTCATTCCGTAGGCTCCTGAGAATTTGAAATATCGAAGTCGTCATTCTTCCAAACATTCAACCACAAGGACACACAAGTATACATTCGAATTGGCCGCTCCATGTCCGGGTACGTATTGTTACTTACCGTCAACGTGTCGTAACGATTTCGGTGCTAGCATTGAGCTTACAACGCCACAGTCGTCGATCAGCATGATGCTCTTTTGAATATTTCCCATGGCCCTTTGTGACGAATTGGCTAGGGCATTCCGATTTGCAGCGGTTTCGTCTCAGTTGGATACTGCCTCAACACGAGATGGCGCATGAGGGGCGGATTAGTCTATGACTCCATGACGCTTTGACTCTGCATGCCGTTGTCAAACCGTTTCTAGTTCACGTTCAATCAATCGGTGCTCAAGGCACTCCGCAGTAGTTGTCAAGGGTGGGACTCGTTGCCGCGTTGTGCAGCAAAACGTAAGACATCCATTGGTGGTGATGGCCATAGCATTAATATTGCTTTGGTAAGATTACGGAATACATCCTCGTTCAGTTGGGGTACAATGGGGTTAGTGAATAGATTCAAAAGATAGATTCCCGCAGTAATCATCCAATCTGGAGTAAATTCCCCGAAAAGCGTCACAGGAAAGTGCATACTGTTGATTGGTACTATCGTCATCGTCCGGCTGGACACCGTCGGCGGCGTTGGATCTACTCTAAGACAAAAGCTAGCCGCTAGGGTTTGATCTCAGCGTAGCCCAATTGGCTTGAAAATTAGGCCGCCTTAATGCATACTATTCCAATTTCTCTCTTGGTCCTTCAAGGAGAAGTTGTTACTAAGATATAGGCTTGCCGTCGTTGTGCATAGGCGCGGTACGATGATGGACAAAAAACCCAGATTTGGAACTCTGGGGACATCTAGACTCTATTATAGCTTGTCATTCAAGAGTTAGCGCGTTTGTGGCTTCTTCCAGTCCACTGAAATACTATTACGATGTCTGGAAATCCTAATATTCACATTGCTGCAGCCGAGTGTTGGACTCAGAATGCGTATTAGAATGCCTATTAGACACTTCATTTCTTGGTTCTAAATCCTCCGTACCACAGTTGATTCCTTTGCTGGCCGGCCTCACTCAGACTGTCGACGATTATTATCCAATAACAACCCTTTCCATACCATCACGATGAACGTCGATCGCCCCGGGCGCCGTATCCGCCTCCCATGGGAGTCTCGATCCAAAGTCGCTGCCCGCGACCGCGATGACGATGCGACTTTGGTGTCCAGGCGCGTCCCACTCGCTAAGCACCTTCCTCCGGGGGTGAAGAATCACTTTGTCGCTATGATGAGTGAGTTCGTAGGAACGTTCATGTTTCTACTGTTTGCATTCGGAGGTACCAATGCTGTCAATACCGCGCCAACAGCAAGCGGTGATGCGTTGAACGCGGATCCAGCCAAGTTATTATACATTTCGTTGTGTTTCGGTATGAGTTTAGCTGTGAACGCTGTAAGTTGTCCTCGATGGCAGGCTAGATAATGGGGAAAGGGTTAACGAGAGCCAGTGGGTGTTTTTCAGAATAAGTGGCGGTCTCTTCAACCCAGCTGTTACGCTGGGCATGATGCTAGTTGGAGCTGTCACATATATCCGGGGTATGTTGATCGTCATTAGCCAGATACTAGGTGCGATCGCTGCGTCAGCAGTCGTTCTTGCACTCTTCCCAGGGCCGCTCAATGTTCGTACATCACTTGCTGGTGGCACAACTGTTGTTCAGGGGCTATTTATCGAAATGTTCTTGACGGCTATGCTGGTATTTGCCATCTTCATGCTGGCAGCTGAGAAACATAGGGCTACATTCATTGCCCCGGTTGGAATTGGCTTGGCTTTGTTCATTTGCGAGTTGATGTGAGTTCTCAAAGGACATTTTGCGCTGATGCCGAACTTCTTCTGACTTTTACTCTCAGGGGCGTCTACTACACCGGTGGTAGTGTAAACCCGGCTCGAACCTTTGGACCCTGCGTTGTTCTCGGATCGTTTTACAGCTATCACTGGATCTACTGGGTTGGGCCTATCCTTGGTTCCCTCCTCGCTACTGGGTTCTACTTGCTAGTCAAAGCGCTTGAGTACGAAACGGTCAACCCCGACCAAGATACCGATGGCGAAATGCGTTTAGCATTCGATCCAAACACAGGCGAGGAGCGAAAGGTTGTGCATGCTAATAACGGCACTCTCAGACCCGTCACTGCAAGCACCGACGGGCTACGTCTGGAAGTTCGATCGCAAGGTCATGATTATGCTACAAGACCGAGTACAAGCGATAACACATATATGGACAGTAACAACTTGGAAGCTGGTACACATGTGAGGCATGGTTGAGGAATTATTATTATCGCATAGTAGTGCATGCATTGTGTTCGGACTGCAGCATTTGATCAGTATAGTTGGTTAGAAAAGACGTAACAACCATCATGAGTTTATCTAAACAATTCTTCGGGACTCTTGTGCAATTATGGGAATACACCGACGCACAGCCCAAGCCTGGTGGTAGGGTGGCACACAAATATATCACAGTTGTTTCATTTCAAGGCAGTTGCGTATCTCGTTGACTCATGCTTTGCGCTGATGATGTTATTTCTCTTCAAAATCTTGGTCACAATGTATCATTCAAAGAGAATATTTATCATCTGAATTCAATATATTGGAAGAACTCGAGAAATTAGTTGGAAACGTAAGGGCGATGGCAAATTGGATGCAATAAAGCAAAGCAAATTTATAGCGCATAAGTGCATGTACTCAATATACAACGATGATCGATTATTTAGTAATTGTCATCTTCAACAGATCTTATGAATCGAGGATATCCTAGTCTGGAATCTACAATTTGCCACCATATGACTGCAGCACAGAAAAGTATTAAACAACTTGACAAGTCCCAACTATTCAGTAATGATAAACTAGACTCAATACAGTTCTCAATAGTTGAATGAGTGGTGTGCTCTGAAAGTTATCAACTTCAACATCACTCAATTTTCAGCCGCTCCACTGAAAAGGTTAAACGTTGCGTAATTGCTCTTGGTATCAATCTAACTTACCAATTCATAAAGCGCCAGTGTCTCCCCGTAAGTGTGAGGCAATGGTGCACATTCTCATAATAGTGACCACTACATAAATTCTCAGCCATCAATAGAACTAGTAAACGCTAAGAAAAAGACTGAAAAGTAACCCTTATGAACATCAATCTCCACTTAGTTAATGGACTTCAATGCCACTTGCAATTACTCAGTCTAGTTACTGCATTAGGTTGGCATACTGGTAACACAAGACATCCCCCTCAGTTTCTAAAACCTGCTTCAAAGTGACGTTTGGAGCCAGTGCACCGATATGAATCTCGAAGTCCAGTGTTACGTTCTGCCCGCCGTAGTCGAAAGGCACGATCGGGCCACCAACCTGATTGAACCGCACATGAGGGTCTTTCGACTGCCACAGTGAGAAGATACGGTCTAGATTTCCGTGATGTAGATAAAATAGAGGGTCTGATTCTGTTCATTAGCAGACATAAGTCAAGAGGGGTGAGTCAGGCCTAGTCTTGAGCATGGCTTTGACGTGTACGAGAGTGCGATAGGAAGTTACGATCAACATACCGCCAGGGCTATTGTACGCGTCACCTATGGTGCCCAAGGCCCCTCCGACTCCAAAGTGGCCGCTCCCATGAATATTGGGCTGGTCAAAACTTGGCACATTCTCCACGGCCCGGGCAAATGCAGTGTAATCTGTCGCAGCCAGAACTTCATCCACGAGGCTCTGTTGAGCAAAACTATTCATGATCGTAGGGATAAAATCGCGCGTGAGACAGTGCGAACTGGGCACATTGACCAGAAATTGGTCCTGCGTAAAGGGCCCATCTTTCACGCAGCCACCCCCAGTGCGTCCTGTCAGATTGAATGGGTTCGTAGTACTATTAGACTGGACATAGCCTCCATTGCCACCAAAACCTGTATCTGGATCGAAGATTGGGCTAGAAAAGACGGCTGTGCTGCTACTGTTGTCGGATGAGACATCGAGGGACCAATCCCAGTATCTAACATACATGTCAACAGAAGAGGAACAATAGGAATACAAAATAGTTTCAGGATGAAGTGACTTACGGCTGGCCACCTGCATACCCACACTCTTGTCGTAAAGATTTCTCGTAGGTTGACACAAAATAGCGGTGCCAGAGAATGAAATGACCCTGTCCAAAAAGTGTCATTAAGAGATTAATGGTACAAGAGGAAAAGACTCACGACCCAGTGGATGTTGGGAGTCTGATCGCTATGAATTGCTTGATGATCGTCAAAGCGATTGACTGCAGCAGAAAATCCTGAAATGGCCGGTTTTGTGGTAAGGCACTTCACTGCTTCAATATACGAGCGTTTCTCAACAGTGGTCAAAGTTCTCCTACAGGAAGTGTCAGTGTTGCGATTCGTCGAGATCGCTGATATTCGCGGGCCAAATCCATGTTTAACTCACCACTCTTTCCTCACCGCCAATTCGACGCATGGCGGCCACACTTTCCGAGCACCAGTCCCAGCAATAGCATTTCGGCTTTCTATTGACCACGCCAGTGTCGTAACATTGGAAAAGGTTGAAATGAGGACTACTAGAGTGGTCAAAACCCTCATTGCAAAGACCGGCAATGAACACTCAAGAGCTTGGGGCCTGAGGTTTACTACAAGAGAAGTAGGGTTCAATTGCCGGCAGCAATGTGATACGTCTCTATCACTAAACGAGGGCTGCATTGACCGGGTACTGCTATTGACAGGGGACAAGAGTGAGTGGACTGCAGATCTTGCCACCTCGCTTAATGATATCCAGCACGTTTTGAAATCAACAAAGTAATTTCTTTCAACATAATCGTTTGAACTAACTTAGCGATGAATATGTGCTGAACTTCTCTTTTCTCCACGCTAGCCGTATAGTGTATGATTTGACGGCTTTGCGACTTCTACACCCACCACCTGCGGTTCACGTCCCACGTTAGCTAATCTTGGCTTGTAAACAGTAGCAGATTAACACGCTTATGCTACCCAACGCAATGGTTTTTGAAGATTCTCTAAAGCATAGCTACCACCATGGTTTCCAGGAGGAGCGATCGATGGTTCGACCAATGCAGTGTCAGTGGTTCTTAAAACTTTGCCGTTCCTATCCACCGCTTCTGCCAAAGCAGTCTTCACGTGCCTGCTTGGCACACGCAGCGAAGTTTCGAAGCTCCTACGCGGAACTTGGCCCAAAAACTTCTTCACGCCAACCTTATCAGATACCGCATAGAAGCGCCAGGCAACAGTTTCCGTATCACCGTTCCAACTGACATAGATGGTGGTGTTGTCGCCATCTTCCAGTACCACTATGGCTGGATCTTCATTAGGGATACCGGTCCAATTGTACCTAAAAGCCCGATAGTTCTGAACTCCCTGCCCAAGATTTCCAGAATCCATATACGCGTGGAAAATGGCTGTGCCGTTTGGAAGATACTCTGTAACGGCCCCTTCGGAGCCCCAACCAACTAGGACGTTGCCATTCGGAAGTACCTGTGTTGAACCTTGAGACTTGGAGAGCAATCCGTCGGGTGGATAGAAACCTTGTACCAGTTCCGCTTCCCATGATGAGGTGTTCAGCTTCAAGATCTTACCACTGCTAGTAGGTGCAGTATGCACCTCGCCCCCTTCGTCGTGCTCCGATCCGTGGGCACTGTTGTCATACAAGCTGATAATCTCAATATCACCGTCCTGTTCTAGCCAGCGAGCATGATGCTGAAAGCAGAATTTAGCATTCTTAGGCACCTTGAAAGAGCTGTGTTTTCCATCAAGCTTCCAAATGATGCTTCCATCAGTGCCATTGATCTTATGAATGGTGCAGGCATCACGCGCAGAGATCAGATAGTTGCCCTCAGGGTCCTTGTCGACACTGTTAATATGAAAATAATCCCAGGCATCTGAACTGTTATAGCCGGAGCCAGCTTGACCTGGATTGATTGGCAGGACCGACTCTGTAGATATCATCAGTGGTGTCCAGTTGAAAGGCTGGTTGACGTACCATCCGGTGAAACATGATCCAAGCTAGCCCATTCAAAAAGTACATCGCCAGTCGTGATATCAAGCTCTGCGTAGATTTCAGCACAATTTGATGCATAAATAAGGCTTATATATCGACGCACCTTGGATTATGGCGTTGACGATCCATTGCTGCTCTGGGCGTGCTCCAAATGCCGTGAGATCTCTTGGAACTGGCTGGTAGATCTGGATCAACCCCGTCTTTTCATTGACAATATGGAATTCATGCTTGTCTGCTATTTTATGTTTACCAGCTCTGAGTTCTTTCATGGTCTCATAATGCTGATCTAGAAAAGTTATATGACCGTGGCCTGGGATACACTAGTCAGTATGCGTTATCGGACGAACACACTGCTGACACATTGATACGGTACCTGTATAACCACTAATGTTGGGAACGAAATTAGTACGTACCATGACCATATCCTGGATTGTGGTCGCCCTCAAAGCTGAAGATGATGTCTTTTTCATCCCAGCGGCCGGCCTGGAAATTAGTTGCCCAAATACTATAGATACCATACCCAGACCATATCAGATCGCCGTTGTCCCGAAATATGTATGGTGATGCTTGCCTTGGACCATGTTGTTCGGTGGGAGTGTCTGAATGCCCAGCGAATGGAGCGAGGAAGAGATAGCCTGTTTCCACATCTTTCGTGGCTGGGGTGGTGATGTTCAGGCGTGGAGGGGCAAGGTCAGGACGAGACCTGAATTGCCAATCCGCAACGACAACTCCAAGTACCTGGCTCAAAGCTGCCAGATATTTGAAGTGCCAACCTGTTTTCATGGTGTTCTGTAACATACAGGACGGTCTAATTCTGCGGCAGCGATCGTTCCTATGTCGTTTGGCCAGAGTGGACATACCCTAGACTAATTGTTGCGAAAGAAACACATACAATCGACATCGGACGGACAGTCGTTGTTGCGGCTACATAGAAGCATAAGACATTCCCTTATTGTAACAATTTGCCTTTCGGTTATTCGGTGTGTTATGACGACACGGTGCTCTAGCTGCAGCCGGTTCCAACTTATGAAATTGCAATTGATTGCGTGATTGCTCTATATCCCCCCCGAGTCTCCAATTGGCGAATGGTCATGCAGAGTGTGCAAGTTCATGAGAAGTCCACACGCATGATCCTTGCCCATAGGGAAGTCTTGCTAACTCTCGGCAATACGTGGACAACCATGTCGGCTACTGTATGGAGTCTTTGGTTAGGATTCACTTGCTATAATGGTTGGTCTAAGCTCATCAACATGTTGTGCACGTCAACGACGACCACTGTCACAAATAACACTGCTTGCTGTCTTCAATTGGGAGCGATGACTGGACCCCGTAAGTGCTACTCTCGGAAGGAAAGACTGCTCGGGCTTCGAGTTGACTTATAAACAGACAGCGGAGGAGAGCATGGAGAAAGCTGCGTGGCAGCTCAAAGGTCAAACCTAGCGGGTGTAACTTCGAATAGTAAGTAAGCAAGCATATCAGGCGTAAGCAATCAGAAAAAGAAAAAGAGAAAATACTTGCGTGATTGAAGGCCCACAGACCATGCCCACCGAGAGTCTGCTCTGTCGCATAGATGCGTCGTCGGTGATAATATGTCGTCCGGCCCACGGAGGGAAAACACAGTAAGCTGGCGGCGACCCCTCGGCATATGGGCGTGTGCCTGGTGGGGTCAATTGAGCTCATTGCCCCGCCCCCACTATGGGCAGAGCTGTTCGCTCATGCACTCAATTGGAAGTCGAGTCATCCATCTATTTAGTAGGTTAACCTACTCCGTATGCAAGCCCTGTTGTTGGGTATTCCCCGTCATCGGAGCTGGGGGCCAAAATTCCACCTTTTTGTGCATCAACGCCGCTCACGATATTTCCAACTTACTTCTTGTCATAATTGCAAGAGGAGAAGCTGGTCAACTATCGCGATATGGCCGCCCTCCCTGATCCTACCGCCGACCTTGGCTGGTCCGGCTACGCTGGTGCCATCCACGAGATTTTCCGCCGACAAGCTGAAGCCAATCCGGATCGCCTGTGCGTCATTGAGACCAAGTCGTCTGCCACGCCCGAGAGACGATTCACGTATCGCCAGATCTACGAGGCCTCAAACACACTTGCACACTATCTTCACGATGCCGGAATTACCAACGGAGACGTCGTCATGATCTGGGCGCACCGTTCCGTAGACTTGGTGGTCAGCTTAATGGGCATTCTGGTGCGCACTTACGCAATTTCTTCCGCATGATGCCATACTGACTGCAGGTGTATTGTAGGCCGCCGGTGCTACCATGACTGTGTTGGACCCTGCGTACCCCCCAGCACGGCAGCAAATCTACCTCGAGGTGTCCCAGCCCCGTGCTTTGCTTCGAATCGGCCGTGCGACGGACGAAAACGGCCCACTGGCGCCTTTGGTGCAACAATATATCGATAGCGAGCTGCAGTTGAAGGCCGACGTCCCTGAGTTGCGCCTTCATGATGACGGCTACCTCTCTGGCGGCCAGATCGACGGTAAAGATGTCTTCGAAAAGGCCAGGCAGTCTGGTGCAGGTGCGCCACCAGATGTCGTCGTCGGCCCGGACTCAAATCCCACCTTGTCTTTCACCTCCGGAAGCGAAGGACGACCCAAGGGTGTTTTAGGTCGCCACGATAGTTTGGCACGCTATTTCCCCTGGATGGCCGAGCGCTTCAACTTGACCTCGGACAGCAAATTCACTATGCTTTCCGGTATCGCTCATGATCCTATCCAGCGAGATATCTTCACGCCGCTCTTCCTCGGTGCCCAACTACTGGTTCCTGCCAAGGAGGACATTCAGCATGAGAAGCTTGCGGAGTGGTTCCGTGACCATCAACCAACAGTGAGTCATTTGACCCCGGCCATGGGCCAAATCCTTGTCGGAGGGGCCACGGCAGAATTCCCAAGCCTGCAGAGCGTCTTCTTTGTAGGCGATGTTCTCACAACCAGAGATTGCCGGACACTTAGAAAGCTAGCCGAGAATGCCAACATCATCAACATGTTCGGCTCTACGGAGACACAAAGAGCCGTCAGTTACTACGAGGTCCCAAGCAGGGCCAGAGACTCTGGCTTCATGGATAAGCTCAAGGACACCGTTCCAGCCGGAACAGGAATGGAGGGTGTCCAACTCTTGGTTGTACACCGGGAAGACCGTACCAAGCTTTGTGGGGTTGGCGAAACAGGCGAAATATACGTTCGTGCCGCTGGTCTCGCCGAAGGCTACCTAGGCGACCCCCAGAAGAACCAAGAGAAGTTTGTGACGAATTGGTTTGTCGATGAGAAGAAATGGGCCGAACTGGACCAGCAACTCAACAAGAATGAGCCATGGAGAAAATACTACCAAGGTCCTCGTGACAGGATGTACCGGACAGGAGATCTTGGAAAGTACCTCGAGTCTGGCGATGTTGAGTGTACTGGACGTGCTGATGATCAGGTCAAGATTCGTGGTTTCAGAATCGAGCTCAACGAGATCGATAGCAACCTGAGCCAAAGTCCTCTGATCCGGGATTGCAAAACCCTTGTTCGAAGAGATCGTAATGAGGAACAAACGTTGGTGAGCTATATCGTGCCTGAAACGGCAGAATGGCACCGATTTCTCTCCACGAGAGAGATCGAGGACGTCGAAGATGAGGGATTGGAAATGGGTACCGTGAAAGTCTACTTGAAGAAGTACCGAGTCTTGCAGACGGAGGTGAGAGATCACTTGAAAACTCGTCTACCGGCCTATGCAGTACCCACGATTTATATCGTTCTCAACAAACTTCCCCTGAACCCCAACGGCAAGGTTGACAAGCCCAATCTTCCCTTCCCTGATGTAGCTGAGCGTGTAGAGGATGCCTCAGAGGAAGACTTGAAGAGCTGGGAGGCTCTTTCCGAGACGGCCAAAACGGTAGCCCAGCAGTGGGCGGATATCGTCCGTGGTCTAAACCCGAAGACAATTCGACCCGAGCACAACTTCTTCGATCTCGGCGGACACAGTCTTCTAGCACAGCAATTGCTTCTCAATCTAAGAAAGAATCTGGGCACCAACGTTTCTATCAACACACTTTATGAATTTCCCAGCCTAGGTGCTTTCAGCGATGCAATAGAGAAGCAACAACAGAAGTCCAATGGCATCGTGACCAAGGACACTGAGGAAGGGGATCCGGAATACGCAAAGTCGCTGGATGAACTAACTGGTCGGCTGGCTCAGAAATATCAGACGGCCAACTTGGATGCCATTTCTGCTTCAGGGCAACTCACTGTTTTCCTGACCGGGGCGACTGGATTTCTGGGAGCTTACCTGGTCAAAGATATCCTTGAACGTACGCGCCGTAGCATTAATCTCATTGCTCACGTACGTGGTGTAAAGGATCCTGCTGGAGCCCTCGACCGACTCAGGCGCTCGATAAGTGCCTATGGCCTTTGGAAAGATGAGTGGTTGTCCAGGTTGAGTTGTGTAGTGGGAGACTTGTCGCAGCCCAGACTCGGTCTCGACGACGCAAGCTGGAAGAAGGTGGCAAATGAGGCAGACGTTGTCATCCACAACGGCGCTTCGGTGCACTGGGTTAAAAGATATCACGATATGATGACCTCGAATGTTCTGTCCACTCTTGATGCGATGGCGCTTTGCAACGAAGGAAAGCCGAAGACGTTTACTTTTGTCAGTTCTACAAGCGTACTCGACACAGATCATTACATCAACCTGTCCCACCAGCAGACAAGTACCGGTCAAGGTGCAATCTATGAAGATGACGACATGCAGGGCAGTCGGAGAGGCCTTGGTACAGGTTACGGTCAAACAAAGTGGGTATCGGAGCAGCTCGTTCGTGAGGCAGGAAGACGTGGTCTATCAGGATCCTGTATCCGAGCAGGCTACATCCTGGGCGACATGTTCACCGGTGTCTGCAACACTGACGATTTCCTGATCCGTATCCTCAAGGGCTGTGTTCAACTGTCGGCACGTCCTCGCATCATCAACACTGTCAACGCTTGCCCAGTTAACCATGTCTCTCGAGTCGTCGTCGCTGCTGCTCTTAACCCGATTCCGGACGGTGTTCACGTTATTCACCTGACTGCTCACCCTCGACTCCGCATGAGCGAGTATTTGTCCATCCTGGAGTACTATGGCTTCAAAACTCCTGAAGTTAGTTACGATGACTGGAAAAACGAGCTGGAGAAGTTCGTCTCCGCTGGAGCTCTTGAAAAGGATCAAGAACAGCATGCACTAATGCCACTGTTCCATTTCTGCATGAACGACCTTCCGGCAAACACTCGCGCTCCCGAGATGGACGATCGCAACTGTGTCGCAGTACTCAAGGCAGATGCCAACAATTGGACAGGAGTCGATGAGAGTTTCGGTTACGGCATCACTAGGGAAGACGTTGGCAAGTACCTAGGCTACCTTGCCAAGATTAACTTTATCCCCTTGCCAACGGAAAAGGGAAGGTCACTACCCGAGATCACTGTCGACGCTCAAGCTATCGGTGGCCGTGGTGGTGCTGCATAGATCATATATATACACCAGTCTTTTTCGGAGTTTTAAGGGTAAAATGCAAAAAGCGATCTGGGGTATTTCCAAAACTTAAAAGCCGCTGATAGACCGACAAGAACAATACACGAATATGTGCGCATGCTATCAGGAAAAGTTACTTCAAAATGTCTTGTGATCAATTTTCTATCAGCACGATTTATTGTGATAAACTACCTCAGACAGGATTATATCGTCCTTGACTACAGCATGCGTTGCAATACTCATGACGCATGCCAGCCAGATCAAAATGATAGAACCAATGGGAGAGCTAGCCTAAACACTAGTGGCACATGCATAGTCTTACAGCAGTAGAGAACTCCACCACCGATCACGCAATCAACACCAAGGAAATATTTACCAGGGATAACCATATCGGTACCAGGTCTCGACGTCATGGCTGGCAACTTCGTTGTAAACGATTTACCTCCGGCGATTTAAGCATAACTATTTCCTGCCCGCTCAAAGTAACGATGTCGTCGGAACCGAATCCGTCAGCTGCAGAGGTAGCAGCCGCTACAGTTCGTCGTCACGGGGAGACAGACGACTCTGAACGCGGTGCAGTCACCACAGCGGACGAGAACCAGCCTCTCCTCGGTCTCTCGGCACCCAGCGAGGAGGAGGGCACCTGGAAAGCCCCGCGGCATTTCCTCTTGATCGAGCTCGCCATCTTCTCCAACGTGTTCCTCTACGGCTTCGACAGCACGATCACGGCGTCCACCTATGCCGTGATCGCGTCCGAGTTCGACGCCGTCAACACGGCGTCGTGGCTCACCACGAGCTATCTGGTCACGAGCACGGCCTTCCAGCCGCTCTATGGCCGCATCTCGGATATCTTTGGCAGGAGGGTGTGCTTTTTTATCTCCACCGTCACGTTCGCGCTCGGCTGTCTGGGCTGTGCCGTCGCAGACGGCTTTATCTTCCTCAATCTGATGAGGGCCCTCACGGGATTCGGAGGCGGGGGGCTGATGACTATGGGTATGTTTGAGAACTTTCAGATGCCGGCGGGCGGGCTGAAGTTGTAGCACGGGCTGATATCCTAGGCAGCAACAATCGTCAACTCCGATATGATACCCTTCAGGAAGCGAGGCATGTACCAGGCGCTTCAGAACGGGTCGTTCGGTTTCGGCGCAATAGCCGGAGCGTCGTTCGGCGGCTCGATCGCGGACTCGATCGGGTGGAGATGGTGTTTTCTGCTGCAGGTCCCCGTTTCCGTCGTTGCGCTGGTGCTCGGGTATCTCGTAGTCAAGAACCCGCACACGAGTCTGCGCGGGTCGACTTTCAAAGAGATGTGGCGGGTCGTCGACGTCTCGGGATCGTTGCTACTGGTCACAGCTATCTCCATTCAGTTGGTCGGGCTGAGTCTCGGCGGCAATGAACTGCCCTGGAGCAGCCCGTGGGTTATCTCCTCCCTGGTGGGCAGTGTTATTCTGCTGGCCTTGTTCTTGCTCGTAGAAGCAAAGACAAAAGCCATTCCGATCATCCCATTGAAGATGCTGAAGAGCAAACTTCCCAGCTTGACGGAGGCTACAAACGTCTGTGTTGGTCTTTCCGCATATGCTGTAAGTCGTCACCCACGATTAAAACGTTAATACGTATGCTCATGTCTAATTCTCGATCAAGTATCTCTTCATGTTACCCTTATTTTTCCAAGTCGTCTTGTTAGACTCTGCCACGACAGCGGGAGGGCGGCTCGCCATTCCCTCGTTGGCAACCCCTATAGGAGGCGTGATCGCGGGAGTCGTCATGTCACGATACGGAAAGCTTATAGCGCTTGTGCGCACCGGCGCCATTCTGATGGCGGTCGGGAACGCCTTGGTGACAAGCCTGCAGTTCGAGGATTCGCTCTGGAAGTACTACGTGTACATCTTTCCAGCCAACCTGGGGCAAGGAATCGTATATCCAGGCATTCTTTTCACGTCTCTAGCCACGTTTGAACATTCCGGTGGGTCACTGACGGCTATTCGTAAATACATGTTCCTTGACTGATATCGTGTAGATCATGCGGTCTGCGCATCGACGGTCTACCTCATCAGATCTCTAGGTACGGTGTGGGGAGTGTCGATCACGTCTGCCATACTGCAGACCACGTTGAGCGTTCAACTTCCCGAGGCATTGAGCGATGTTCCGGACAAGTGGCAGGTACGACGCACTGGATTTTCCCTTTGGTGTTGTGATGCTAACAGCTCTACTCCTTTGTGCAGATCATTGACAACATACGTCACTCTGTGGATGCGCTCAGACAGCTGCCGCCTGATGTTCAGTTGAAGGCGCGGCTCGTCTATTACAACGGGCTACGATACTCGTTTGCGGCATCGACAGGTGTCGCTGTTATTGCAGTTATCACTTCGCTGTTCATCCAAGGCAAAGGTTTGCGGAAAACCACTAGCTAAATGTAGAGCGTCGAGGGTGTTGCAGTCCCCTGAGTTTAGCGAACACACACTTCGTCAGTGACAAGTGAAGTTTAAGAACGTCGAAGCCCAGATACAGCTCCGTTTAATGCCATTATTTGGACTTCGAAAAGCATGTTTGACACAAGTGATTTATCCTTGAGGGATCGTATCTCTTGTCGTTTCGTAATTTGACTATTCGCTGTCATCGCTATCCTCACACGCTTCTCGCAGCGAGTCATCTTGTGCCAGAACATTTATGTCTTCCTCTTTAGCCAGTATTTCCTTGGCTTCTGGGGCCATATCATATGCCTTCCGTTTCGAAGCCAGCACGTCTGCTTCTTCGATAAGGCCTCGTTCTCGAAATAGCTTCTCGACGGCGTTGGCGAACATCTTCCACACATCGTCGGGCCTGTCGTCGATCACAGTGGCCGCTCGGGCGTATTCCATAAACTTTTCCGTGTCGCCCTGAAGTATCCAATATTTCGCCAAGTAAAAGTGCGAGCTCCTGTACGTCCAATGCTCATTGTGTCTGTCGTACCAGGAATCCGAGCTGCATCTGATAGTCCTTTGGTACCGTTTCGAGCTGAACTGCGCGGCGCGGACTGCGTTTGTCAGAAAAATGTCGTCGTACATTCCGAGTTTGGCACGATGCGTCAGCGCGACGCACATAGGCAGTAGCGCGTCTATGGAGTCCTCGCCAAACTCTTCAGCTGCGTCGTTGGACATGTCCATAGTATCGCCCATGACACGTTGCTGCACTATTCATAATCAGCGGGACATAACGCATGTATCTCAGCCCGAAATGGAAAGAGGGGCAAAAATGACAGAACGAAGGGGGGGAGGGGGGAGATAAAGAGGGAGAGTGGAAGGGAGAAAAGCGACTCACTGGACCGGTCCTGCACTCTATGCGCATAGAGGGAAAGCTTGGCAATAGCGCCTGCGCAGAGCCCCCGGAGTTGCACGTAGACATCGTACAACAGATGTGTCATGGTGGATGCCCAAGCAAGCACGGCAGACATCCCTCCCGAATGGGCAGCATCAAACAGGCTTCGAGCTATACTGGATATCGGGTGATGTCTTCTCCGTATCAGACTCTAGCTACAGTTTCAGTATGGCAACTTCCAGATGTACTCATGCATAGATACTCGAACCAGCTCGTATTAATGCCATCACTCAGGAGCGTCAGGAGCGTTTCCCACTTACTAGTTGATACAAATATCTGTACACCAGTCAGCGCAAGCACGACAGGAAAACGTCCTACAAGCTCGGCGTTTGCAGATGCCGAAGCAATTAGTAAGTAGAAAAAAAAAGAAAAAAGAGGTCGCTGACCTGCTGTATGCTTTGATGGTAGCGTCTGCCATTGGTTGGGGCATATCATATATCTTAAGTGGAGCCCACAGGAACAATATCCATGAAGTATGTAGATGGGCGTCGGCTATCATTTTCTCGACTTCCAAAAAAGCGAGCCTGAGAAAGCGGCCCCCCTCAACCACGTTCTGGTTGGACATATATGCCGCCGCCATCATCATGTTGTCTTCGAGACTGAACGCTGGAAGCGTGACATCTATGTCCTGGAACTTGGTGGCAGATTGCCACCGCGGGTCGCTTCCCGCCCATGCCAGTACGTAGTCGCGGTAGCCGCAGACAGCAGCGTTTATATGCGATGCAGACTGTGACTCGTGTAGCAGCAGGCTTGTACCACGGGCTGGGGGAAGGGCTGGTGCGTCAGGCGTCTGCAACACCAACTGCTGTGCATGGAGCCTGCCCATCCGTGTGGATTGTACGGCACGTGCTTGAGTACTCTTCTTCCATCCCCACTTGACGAATCTGGTCTGGTACATACGCTTACTGGCGATGGAAAAGGTGCTGTCAGCAAAGCTTTCGCTACAACACTATTTGATGGGCCCCTTTTGAGGCTGCGTCGGGGGTTCGCACCTAGCTTTGAAGCCATAGGTCTGGCGCATGATATGGTCAACAACCCTGAAAGGCAAGTTCCTTCGAAGATATAAATCTTCTATAATCGACTTAGACCAATCCCAGTCCGAATCTGTGGGGTAGTGGAGCGCAACATTAGGTGGCACAGGTGGTTGAGGCCATTTGCTTTGTGTGTTCAGCCCCTTGGCGTGGCTTACATACTGGGCCGAAGCAGACCGTGTCGACAATACGATGGTGCTCTCTGTGCCACCGACCCATTGCTTCTTATTCATTGCCTCCATATCCTTGTGATATGTTCTCTGAACTGTAGTCTGTCGAACTCGTTTTGAAAACACTGCAGGCCTAGCGGGTCGGTGAGAAGGCTGCGAAGCCAGATTGGGAAGTAGTCGCACCTCGCATGAGATGACCCCGTTCGGCTGACCGGGGGCCGCTTACTCAAAAGCTGCCAAGATTGTTTCACGTGGCCCACATGCGTCGAGGGACTCCTTGAGGTCGATTTATTTGCATGTTACTGATACTATGAACCAGAAAAGTAGATTTCGCCAAAGCCACTCACAGTGGCAATGGAAATGGTCCTCCGTATCGGGAAAACGAATAGGCTTCCAACCTTGCAGGACTGCCTATTTCGGCAGCCCGAACATATCACATCGGTTGGCTGACAACCCGGTTTCTAGAGCGATCTGCCCTGCATTAGAGCCGACGATCCCATTGAATATGCACATTCCGCAGCTTGGAGTCTAGAGTGGATTGTGTATACACAATTTCATATCCCCGCTATCCATTGCCATTCCAACATGTACAGTTCCTTAAAAAAAAACCCCATAAGAGCCCATTACTGTACAGCAATCCAGTTCGAACGCCTGTATACACGCCAAAAAAAAAAAAAAAAAAAAAAAAACCTCCCCATCCAATCGACTCGATTGCAGTTCATGCCTTCTGTCCAAGGCGCTTATCTGCATGATTGTCCTCCGCACGCTTCATTGCATCGCGTCCACTGCAGTATAGCCAGTGATGCCGATCGTCGACATACAGGCCTAAGCATCAAGATTCTGTGGGGTGCGTTTGCCCGCAGTGAGCATCGTGAGGACTCCGCATTTCTACTTCGGGTCAAGAGTCCAAGAGGTGTCGTTGCCACCTCCAGCAGGGGGACCTCGAATTTCTAGTTCGGCCGCTATGACTGTCAGTACATATCGCTAATAATTTCAGGCGATCTTACCTTCGGGCGCTGTCGGGTGGGCTTGGGCCGCAGCGGCGTGAAGGGTAAATACCGCCAGGAAGAATCGCAGCAGCTTCATGGTGGAGGTTTCAATACGACACGAGGTATAGAGGTATAGGAGGAGTGGCTGGTCGACTTGCCAGCCGATACAATTGAAGCTTCGATTTGGGGCTTTTATAGATAGTTGTAGCCAAGTCGGATGAGGCAGGCCTTGTGACCAGAGGTTAGCTCGTATTGACGCTCTCGCCAAGGAGGCCTTACAAACCCACCAAGAATGTTCTCTCAGGTTTCTAGACAGGGCTTATTCAGCGGGTGTCTATTAATGGAAGAGAAACCCACAGGCTTATTCCACAATTTCTTGGGGCGAGACATGGTGTATCTCACGTCACGACCATCCTCTATGAGATTGAGCCCGACGGGAGCATCTGCAAATCGAAATATGGCCGGTTTTGGCGGCGCCTCGAAGCGTAGCTGTTGGATACCGCCGCGCCAACCTCAAAATTGGCGACCAGGGCCAGACCCAAGGACATGGTATCGGAGCTTGCGATACGGAACGCTTCAAATGCCACAAAATTACAGGTGCTTCCCACCCATGTCAGTAATTACACCTTTCAGCATCAGCTCCGAGCCTCGACTCATCCATTTGTGGCGTTTTTGCGGTCGTGACAGGATGTGACTCGGATTCTGCTCTCGCTTATTTTAGCAATCTGCTAAGGCTTTTTGAGTCAAGGGTGTCATGCAAGGTGCTGCACTTACCGGAAATGGACTAATCAAGTTTACTACAATTCGCTTAGATTATCATGAACTCCTTCGACGTCTTGCTCATGAACGTTCAAGGATCATCTCTTCAATCATAGTTTCTCACTGCGGGATTCATATCATTTATTGTTGGGAGTCTGCTCTAGATCGTCGCGAGAAGCATAGAACGCCGATCATTGCGTTTCGCGCAACCAAATACTACCGTAGTTTTGGCTTTGGTATTCCGGTAGCGTGGTTCAGACAATGTCCTGACGCTGCCAGTATCCTTGACACCAGACAATTCTATATCACATATTCTTGCGTCTGGGAAGTGTCTGTTTCATGATCTGGGGTCAGAGCTCCGGGGGAGCGCCTGCATATTATATATCCTGGGACAACTTGAGACGACCTTGTGCGTCTGGGTGGGTTGGGTATCATTCTAAATCTATGCTCTAGTGCTCTGAACGGATATCTAGGGAGAATCTCCAAAGCAGCACTGCATACTAAAAAGATCTTGCTGAGCCTAGCTTCCGTTGCGCCTTCGCTCTATCGACTCGCTCTCTCCTTCTCTTGCGCACGCTCCAGATTTGCCGGCGCGTATGGAAAGACGTTATGTAGTTCCAGATAGAGTCCCTCATGAGAAAAACAAGTATTCCAACTGTTACTGGAATAGCAATTTCCCAACTAACACGTCGTGAGTTACTGCATCAATTGGAAACGTAGCATAGGTCCACTTACAACAGAATTACGCTGCCCTGAATGGCATCAAACTCGACAAAGTTCTGACCGAAATAACCGGACACGAAAGTCAGTGGTAAGAAAATGATCGTAATGACTGTCAGCTGCTTCATGCTTTCGTTCTGGTACGCCGAGATAGTGTTGAAGATGAGATCGATCATCCCATCAGCGGATCTCCTGATGTTAGTCAAGTTCTCTCCGATGAGTACACAGTGATCGTACACGTCTCCAAGATATGTGTGGGTCATAGGGGTGATGATAACTCCTCCGTTCGGATCTTGCAATTTCCTCTCTGCACTCTGTTGAGATAACAAGGTCTTGTGGTCGCGCATTGCAGTGATGACAGATGCAATCGGGTTGATCAACCCAGCCATCTTGGTGATTTCCGACTGTATGATGTACAGACTACGTGTCTGCTTTATGCTGGGATGCAGCAGAACATCAAGTTCCAGGTCCGCGACAACGTCGGCATAACAAGAGGCCACGGGTATGGCCATATCGATGATGGCATCAATGATGGCTTGACCTACCATCGATGCGTCGCATGACTGTCGCAGTATCGTCTCGGGGCTAGCGAGTCTCGTGAGTATTGGCTTTTCCACGTCGTCGGCCGACTGCTCGAAGAAAGCAATGATGGTGTTGTCTGACGTTATGAACATGGCGACTTGCTCCGCCGCAACTGCCAGGCCTCTGGGAGCGAGCGCACTATGCTTCTCCATGAAGGCATTTCGGGCTTCATTGGAGGAAGCTCGATACCGCTGCAACGTACGGAGAGTGCTGGGATTGAAAACGTCGGACAGACCGGTCGCCTGATGATCTAGAACATCATTGATGGGTGGCATGCTGTCTCCCCTCTCCAGCCCGCCGACCCCAGAAGCAGCAGCAAAGTCTTTCGCCTTGCTGGGAGATGACCACCATCTTTTTACTTTTTTCTTGAGTCCCTTTTTGGAACTTCGACTCTTGTAGCTGCGCACATCGAACATGTCGTCGTCGTCGTCCTCCTCATCACTGCTATCTGGGTCGATCATGCGCACCAATTTCTGGCAGGTAAAGATCAGAAATGCATGGTGTTGATACCTGATGCCGTGTTAGCCGAACTAGTCATGAGGCACCCACTGGAGACTCGAATGAGAAGGAGGACATACCAATCGACCTTGGTTCGATTCCTTGTGTTCATAATGTCCTCGACAGCCAGTCTATGCAAGTTTTTGTAGTTTCCAAGCGCCTGTATGACATCCCAGCTCAAGCCGTTGACGTTGATCCAGCGGCACTTGACCCAGTCAGGCTGTGGTTTGTCCAAGAAGTCGACCAGCTGGTTGTTGTCCAGCTCGTGGATTGCAATGTCGTCCTGGCTAAAGTCTACGATGGTGACCTGGCATTCCGCATGCAGTCCCATGACATGACCACCCGTCGTCTTCGAGGTATCAACACCAGGCTCGGCACCCGGGTGCCATCCCGGCTCGGCGAACTCGTCGAGGTCGTATTCCTTGATGGTCTTGAAAGTGTTGGAGCGATTACGTCTTCTGACGCTCATACGCGACAGTTCTGTATCGGATCGCGTCGGGCCTCTCATGATGGGACTGGGCGGCATAGCATTGCGAGGCGACAATCGCGAGCTCGCGGTTTGAGGTGGAATCTGCGTGTCGATTCGCACACGGTGCTGGTCTCGCTCTCGCGAAGCCCTGGGGATAGTCGCAGCGCCGGGCGCGGTCACGCCGTTCTCGAGAGTGGGCGAGGACACGGCAAAATCTGTAGCGTGGGGGAAGTCCCCCGGCGCTGTGCTGTCTGAAGTTCGAGGCATTCCGAGTCTGTCGCCATTCAACGCTGGCTTCTCTCGCTGTACGTGGGCTTTGGGAGACAGGCAGAGGCTGCCAAGACGTCCGCGATAACTCTAAAGAAAGCTTATTCCAGCATTCATGCTCGCCGATGACGAACGATGACCCACACTTTCGATTGGTCGTTGGTTTGTTGGCAGTACGGTAGCTTGGCAGTGCAGCTGTGCTGATATTCGAACAATTGATCAAATCACGCCGTGGCAGAGGACACGATTCGCTTCGTGCGTTCCCAAATGGTATACGAGGACGACTTCGCTGACAAGAGATGCGCTACAGATCTCCAGCATCAGGGGCAAAGGAAGAGCGTGCTCATCAAAAGGTGGGGCCAGTTTTGTCAAGTTTCGGGGTACGGAGTGCTGTGTACATAATCAAGTGCAGGGCAGTTGTGCTTGTGGAGAGCGCCGGACTTAAGATGTGTACTAAGGTTACAACTATATGGTACCTTGCAGCTGTTTGCCATGGGGGCTAGCGAGCAGCTTTGGTTAAGGTAGAATTTCAATCCGACGCCTGCACAACCTTATGAAGCCAGTCCCGGGCTTCTCAAGCCGATCAGCATAGTTCGTACTCATTCGTGCCTTAACGCCTTTAGACTGCTCGAAAATCAGCTTTTGTTCGCCGTTCACTATCCGTATGGGGTATGGTATCTTTTTCCCAGCCAGCACTTTACATCTCTTAATCATATGTCAGTCCAGACTCCACTACTGCCCATCATCACCTTCCTCAGCCTCGAATCCTTCCTTGATCTCCTCTTCCACGTCGTCGGCATCTTCCTCGCCGGCGCCGACGCCCTCGGCGTATCCGCTCTCTTCTTCCTCTTTGACCGGTTCCAACACTTCCACTACCTCTGCTTCCGGGAGACCGCGCTCCTGCCTCAGCTGCTTGAGTTTTGCCGTTGTCATCTCGAAGACGTATTGACCCAAGTGTTCCACGCCTTCCATAGCGGCCTCCCCAGGGACAGACTCGCCTTCCTCGCTGGCTTGCAGACGCTCCGAGGGCCACAGCTCTCCAGTGGCAAGGGTGAGCTTGTCAGGCCTTTGGAGGAGCAGCTCGAATGCCTGTCTCAGCTCGTAACACGACTCGAAAACCTCACGGCGGCCAAGGATATAGAGGCCTAGCCGCGCACGTGACAAGGCCACAGTGAGGCGCCGAATGTCGCGAAGGTATCCCACGCGAGACGTACGAGTCAAGGATAGAATGATGTCTGAGTAGCAGGTTAGCAACTGAGCGCCGGAGTTCGTCTAGGGAGCAAGGGGCAGCAACTTACAATCATTCTGTTCGCCTTGGTACTTGTCGACCGTTGTGACGATCTTGGGCAAACCGAAAATAGGGTTCTTGGCACATCTATGCCCGAGCACATCCTTAACAAGCGCACGCTGTCCCGCATATGTTGTCAGGATGCTTATCTTCTCGGCTGGATATCCGAGGAGACGCATGTATTGGAAAATAGCCACCGCGTATTCAGCTTCTCCGAGATTTTGAACGAAATGGGGAGTAGGCTCCATTTCGCCACGACCTTTGTAATCGGGGACGTCGATAAACTGGTAATCATACTTGAAACCTGCATTTGCCATCTGGAATTCCTTGAGACTCTCAACGTGTGGTAGATTTCCGAGGCTAGGATACCGCCATTGGTAAAGCGCTGCAATCGAGGGACGAGCGCGGCCTTGTTGGTCGAGCGTGATTGCCGGAATGCCAATACGAATGAGACGGGAGAAGAGAGACTGCTCGAGATTGGCAAAGTGGCGGAAGGCAAAATTCTGTATAACAGGTGAGTTCTGGTAGTGATCTCCACAAAGGACGACTCTCTGCAATGGGGTCGACCCATCCTTCGGCTTCTGCATCGCTAGCGGAATGAAGTTCTCTATCTCTGTGATCTGGGCAGCCTCCTCCATAACCACGTTGTCGTAGTGGAAACCAAGATTCGCTATCTCGCCCCTTCGCATTGCAGCGTGAGTCGAAGTCATAGCAATGATCCGAGCCTCATTGGTGAGAAGGTAATTGGCCTTGTCCCTTTCCCTCTTGAGAATCTCGAAGGGCTGTACATCCTTAAGTTCGGAAAAGATCTTGGAAATATGGTACCAGCAACCATTGGCAATGTCTAACACGGCGTCTCGGTCTGCATCAGGAGGGAATAAAGGCTGCGGCGCGTTATAGAAGAATTGGTGGAAGGGGAAGGCCTGGACAATATCCGAAGGTGACGTGTCGTCAGATGTCGCTTCTGTGAACTTGGCCCATGCAGGCTGAATGTACACGGAGTCGAAGTAACCCGCTGTTTCGGCAGAATTGCCATGAGCACCAGGTGCACCGATGCTTGCAGCGAGACGGTTAACCTCTTGAAGGTACTGGTCGCGGTTCTCCATGAACTGTTCAATACGACCTTGTTTGCTGAAGTTGCCCTCCAAGTCCAGTTCTTCCTCGCCGTGTCCAAGGCGCAGCAGATGCCGCTCGTCAATATCTAATGCAGCTATCTTCGCGAAAAGTTGGTTCAGTGCTTGGTTAGAATGCGCGATGAGAAGCGTTCGTTGCTCTGGAAAGTTGTGGTATATGTTGCTAATAATCTGTGTGGCGACATCTGTTTTGCCAGTCCCGGGAGGGCCGACAATGACAGTAAGTCCTGGTTGAGTACCAGAAATGATGGCCTCAACTTGGGAAGCTGTAAATCGTACACTGTTCCATCTCGGCGCGTCAACCGGGTAAGGGCCCGTATTTGGTGGCTTATACGTGGAGACGTGGTACGTCTCTATCTCATCAAGAAGGACTGGCTCAGTGTCTCTTCTTCTTTTCTTCGATGGCTGGGCCTTTTGCTCTTCGGCAGCTTTGTCGACTGACTCTAGCACATAAGGCGGCGGGAAGCTGCCGGTGACATTGAAGCCAGGCTCGACTGCTTTTCCAGGCATGCTCTCAACGAGATGCTGCCAGTTGAGGAACGTGTCCCTGTAATCAATCTTCTTTGCCCTGTTCGGCAAGTTCTTGTAGGTTGCGGCAGCTGGATCACCGTAGCCCAGGAATACTTCATGTAGCCATGGGGCAAGGGGTACTTCAGACCGCACTAGACTACGGATAGACTCCAAGACCGGCTTGAAGTTGTTCTCGCGTCCGCCCCTCCTAACGATTAGGTTGATCTTCTCATAGACATCCGGCTTGCCCGCAGACGCGTCGTCCATGTCGCACTGGTACGCATTCGCATCCAACTTTACTTGTATTCTTCGGGTAGGGGATCGATTTCCGCCATGTGCGTGAGTACTCGGATCTTTGATCGAACGACCTTTGTCGTCCATGATTTGGGCTACTTCAGCGGACCTGACAACGATTAGACCGAGTTTTTCGGCTTCTGATAGAGGTATGGTCTCCCCGTTCGTTGCGGTTTGTGGCATAGAGGCGTCCACGGATACCAGAAAGATAACCTCATCTGGCCTCAAAGAATCCCATTCACGGCGGACGTGATCACTAAGCCGGCGCACATCTATCGAAATCTCGGCACGAACCATGGAAGGCTTCTTTTCGCCTACCAATGGTGGAATGACTTCGAGGATTGATGGTTTCGATGTGGGCAGCGCCATTTTTGAGAACCCGCTGAATTTTGTTTCGCCAGACCTTCCTATTTCAGGCCGCAGACGCCTCAGTGCGGACTCAATATCGTTCCTGATGCCGTAGAAGGCTTCAGCTCGGTACAGCAGCAAGGCTCGGAAGAGGAAATCGCCAACAGAGAGATACTGTAAGTTGAGCTTCGGCAACGCAAGGGGTTTGGAGCCGTCGTAATCGTCCGTACTTAGCAGAAGTGGATCTAATAGTTCTTGCTCGGTTGGTAGGATATTGGGGAGAGTGTCCTGGAAGGTCTTGACTCTCTCGAAAGTAGTGCAGAGGGCTTCTGTTAGGAAGGCCCGATCAGTTACCACCTTTGAGGATGGAGGGTATTCGGTCCTCAGTTCCAAGAGCGATGCCAGGTTACGGGTCTCATCGTCGTCCAGAGGCTGAAGAAGGGCCTTGAGTTCATCAATTTTATCGATGGAAGCGTAGTTGGACAATGCTAGCACAGCCAGCTTGTCCTTGAAGTGGCGGAAAGCAACATGCTGTAGTTTCTTTAGCGAGTCGCAGTGGCGTTCGTATGCTTCTGTCCGGCTGTGCTGTATGCCCGTTTGGTCATCGATACTAAAGCGAGTGTAGTGCCGCAACAAGAACCACTGCCTGCGCAAGGGGGCATTCTCCTCGGCGCTAAACAACGGCGATAGTTTGATTGCCACTAAGAGATGCAAGTCCTGCAACAAGGTATTGACGTATCTACGAGTCGGCAGAGAGCTCTGTAAGTCTGTCAGGAATTCCATGAACCGGGAAACGTAGAGCACTTCTTCATCTTTGAAGCGGTCACCGTGGAGCAAGTTCAGAAAGTGTAGGGTCAAAGTGAACAGCCATTGCCTCTCAAAGCGGAGGCGCGCCTTGGTCTCATCATCTGCCGACTCGTACCTCCGTGCGGCAGCCTTCCAAGCCTTCTTCAGATGGGCAGTGTCTCCGAGCTTTGCGTCTCGTTTCGTCTCGGTTGACAGGTTGTGCCAGATGGATATGGAGACGAGCGGCGCACACTCTTTCCTGACAATGGCGCAGTCGAGGCTTTCGAACGCATAGATGATGAAACACAAGAGATGCGTCCTTATGGCAAGCGACAGTGTGTTGTCGAGAGTCATGGTCAGGATGCGCCTGAAGAGTACCGAGAAGTCGGCGGGGCGGTCCTCGAATATGGACCAGGTCTCGAGACGTTCGCGCGCCTTGGCATTGGTGACGAGAGCAATCAAGAGGACATGGAAGTTGGAAGCTTCTTCGGAATATCCGGGCCAGAGGTAGCTTTCTAGAATCTGGAGCCCTTCGAGAACCAACAAGGACTTGTATTGAAAGCCGTCCTTCTCTAGGGCATCCCAAATGTCCCGCTTCAGGACATCGTTCTTGACCTTGACCTTGGCCTTGGCCTTGGTCTTGGTCTTGGCCGCGCGCTTGGTGGGCTTCAGCCAATGCTTGTTGGCCAGCTGCGCGAACTCATTCTCGCCTTCTATGTCGGCAGCGGTAGGTCTGGCTGAGTCCTGCTTCTTGGGTTGTGACTTGGCATCACCACTGCCCTTGAGTCGCTTGGCGGTGGGCATTGTTGGGTTTAACAGTGATGAGAGACACTGATGGGCAACATCGGTTCGCGGCGAGGTGGGGGAGTAGGATAGAAAGACCAGACTCGGCGTGTATGCTGGGGATGTTGAACTCAATGCTTCTCTTCTCGGTAGCTCCCCCAGTTGCCTGGTGCACTTGGAAAGCTCCAGCCCCGACCGCTGGAAGTACCGTATTGATTTTTTGGGCGATCAAGTCAGAGCTGCGGGTAGATCTGTGGCGCAAACCGATGGCGCAGTCCGCTAAGAGGCAAGTTTATCTGGGTTTATCTGATTTGATCGGATTTGGCTTGATTTTGAGCCTGGAGCTGGAACCAATCTTGCCAATGTCGCGTGTCCCAAGCGACGTTTGTGGACTTTTCCAGCGCGTCCAAGCCTATTTTCAGAGCTTTTATTCTAGCACTAGTCTGCTCCGTACGGATCTGCACTGTCCCCAACTCCGTCAGTGGCAGGGGTACGCACGTTAACCTAAGATTAGATACTTGCTGCTCTAAGCGGTGTGTGGTGGCAGAATACCGTAGAGGAACTGAAGCAAAGCATTAGTTACATGCAATGCATACAGTGCACGGATCTGTAATATAAGTGGGATTAGGTTGAACATCCCCGTCAGAGCTTCGCGCCGCGCAAAGTACGTTCGTACATACTGGCATACCGGCGATCACGTTCACTGGACCGAAACGGCCTACAGCAGAGACCACACTGAGTCTGAACAAGGACAAAGACATTGGCGCAACCCGGCGACAACCAACGTCGTTTCTTCAGTACCAGTCACGTTATCGCTCTGAGCATGACCCTACATCCTGGCAGCAATCCTAATGCTCGGTGAATGTGTCGCGACGCCGAAGTTCGCTTCCTTTTGGTGCAACCTGACACGAGAGAGAGAGAGAGAGAGAGAGAGCGAAAGAGAGACAGAGTTCTGCAGTAGCTCCGAGCAGCCATGTCTATCCTGGACAACCAACTCTCTGAGGTCCCCCAGCTGGCCGCCTTCGATGCCGCGCTGGAGGACGCCCTGCAGACTGCCAGAGCCAGCAAGCCCTCATCGTCAATTGAGCCTCCGCTGACCAAGAACGACTGCTCCAAACTTCTATCCCAGCTACCTACCATATTCTCTGCCGACCCCGACAAGGATGTCGACGCCGAAAGACAACGTCAATATCAAATCATAGAGTCCGTTCTCCGCCGCCGTTTCGATCAACTCATCTCTACCACCTCTATCGAGAGCTCCGACTTCGTACAAGTATGGAATATCCTCGATATCACCATCCTCCTGGCTGAAAGCAAACAAAGCGAGGCCGTCCTTCCTCTGACACTCATCGAAGTGCTCTTGGATAGCCAGACGTTGCAAGCATGTCGTGTCGTTTTCGACTACCTCGAAGCGCGCCGCGAGCGCCTGATTAAGGACTTTTCTAGTGCCAAAAGCCTCATCATTCTGCGAACATGCAATGAGTTGCTGCGCCGTCTTTCGAGAGCTGAGGATATTTCTTTCAGCGGTCGTGTCTTTATCTTCATGTTTCAGAGTTTCCCCATGGGTGATAGGGGTACCGTCAACCTCCGAGGTGCATATCATACTGAGAATGTTACCACCTGGGAAGAAAACTACTCCAAGTCCGAGGAGCAGGCATCAGACAGCATGGACGTCGACGCCAAGGAGGAAACGTCCACGAAGCCACCGCCAGTCGCCAGCGGGAAAGCCGTAAGCTTCGACGCTAGAGACAAGTCGACATCTCAGAAGCCTCTCGAGCCCGATGCTCTGTATTCAGTGTTCTGGTCTTTACAGGGCTATTTCTGCCAGCCTTTGAAGCTGTTTGACGGCCAAAACATGGCAACGTTCAAATCCGGCCTAGAAGCGACACTCGTCGCATTCGAATCGGTAGCCCAAGGGCAACGGAACTCCCAGTCCTCGGATGACACTAAGGATGCCTCTAAGAAGCGCAAGAGATTCGAGGTCGACTCCTCCAATGGCGGCACTTTCAACCCGAAATACCTAACTAGTAGAGATCTTTTTGAGTTGGAGATGAGCGATTTGTTCTTCAGACGTCACATTCTCATACAGGCAGTCATCGTTCTGGACTTTTTAAGCTCCTTGTCAGCCATAGCAAGAAAGAAATATGCCAACATTCGGCAACCTAATAAGTCGGTAATGTACAGCGACAAGGTCATATCCGAAGAGGACGAGAAATGGGCGGAAACAATGAGGAAGAGGATGTACGATTATATCTTCGCTGGCCCGGACGGAGCATACGTTCATCGAATACTTATGGCCGTAACTCAACGAGACAAGGGCTGGACACGATGGAAGATGGAAACATGCCAACCTATGGAGAAACCAGCCGTCACACCTGCCGAGTTCAACGATGCACGCGAATCGGTCAAGCGGATGGCCACGAGCAAAAGGCTGAGACCGCATCCTATGGGCTCGCTCAACCTTGACTTCTTGAAAGCCGAGGATGAAGAGACAGCCATGGACAAGTTTAAAGATCCGGCCAGGTGGAAACTGCCTGATCTTCTGACTTTTAAGAACAAGATCGCAGAGGATGATTTGGAGCTCGATTTTGCCAAATCCGAGAAAGAGAAAGCGCAGATAATAGAAGCCAAGGCCAGCAAGACCTGGCGTGCCTTGAGAATAGCAGGTCGCACAAGATTAGCCGCCCTCGACAGGATTGATGATTGGCAGGATATCAGTGCTGTCTTCGAAGAGCCGAAGGCATCTTCCACAGAAGAGGTTAAAGAGGAAGAAGGCGAGGTCGGTAGAGTTCCTGAAGATATGCAGCCTATCATCATCTCAGATCCCGAGGGTGCCAACAAATCCACCCTTGTCATCATGCTGCAAGAAAGGCAACCTCACGTCTTTCAAAGGGTAGTCCGGCATACGACTCGGCAAACAACAGGAAGCGAAATCGATGGTCAGGACTATCACTTCGTTGACGCGGCGGCTTTTAACAGAATGTCGGACAATGATCAATTCGTGGAGGTGACTAATCAAGATGGGTATGATATTGCTACCAGTACCAAAGCAATAGATACGATCAAGGAGTCCGGAAAAGTCCCGCTCCTGGAAATGGATCGTACAGTACGTTAAACACGCCCTCGCACTTTTTAACATGCATGCTGACAACACATTCAGTCCATTCAGAGCTGTAAGGACTGGGGCTTCTCCGCACGCACCATCTTTGTCTCACCCTCCAGCATTGAGCATCTGGAAGCAAGGCTCAAAGACTCTGGCAAGTACGCCGAAGGTGACATTGCCAGCCTCCTGAACTCTGCGGGTGCAGATCTCGAACATTCCAAGACTGATCCATCATTTTACGATACGATTATCACCTACATCGACCTTGAGAGCACGTATAAATTCCTTGAGGACTTCATTTACGGCGGTGCTGAGATGGGTGCGAATGGCGTCAACGGTGACGACGCAACAAAGGATGACGATGTCTCCATGACTGAGGAGCAACCGAACGGCACTGCATCGCCATCTACCGAAGCAGTAGCAGTGGAGTCTGCGCAAGCCGAAGAAGCAACGAACTAAGATTACACGTCGTTCTCGGCATCTGAACTACTTCAACATTGAACAGCCAACAATTAGTCGAAGTAGCACTGCCAGCTGGAAGTCGATGAGAGTCCCAACCTTGCGAGCATAGCCTGGAAATGCCATCCCGCAAGTAGAAATTTGTAGATAGACGAAAACTGCCGGAGGGCGAATTCGAGGTTAGGGAGACAACGCAGCCATTCCCCCATAGATGCCTCAGACATGAGCTCGAAATTATCCATGACAGCGAAGATGAAGAGGGAAGCCTGGCGAGGCAATGACAAACTCGCATGTTCACTGAGCATTCTGCAATATGTAGGAGGATCGTTCTGGACGGGAGAGCACGATTTACTAAGGAGCAGTTCCACCTGCATCGTTGAGATACCCAATACTAAAGTACCACCCTAAACCGATCTGCCCATATGGCAACTGAAAGCATGTGTGGACATCCCTATCGTTGCTCATCAACCCGCCAACTGCGCATTAACGAACTTGTACATGCATTTCGATAACAGCCAGTGATTTCAGTTTCAAAATGCTCAATATCAGCAAGTTGCCCTTTCTGCTGAAATCGCTGAACACCACCCATATGTATGCACCATTCACATTGGGAGGCGGGGTGCGAAAAATCTGGGAATGCCCCATTCATCTATAAACATGTGAAAATAGTGGCGTGTCTTATTCCCCAATTTTTTATTTTTTTCCACAAAAAAATTTAAGAAAAGAATTTGGAGATTCACGTTACTGAGGTCATCTTGCATACATTGTATGCTCGGCCTTTGAAGATCTTCCAATCGATAAGAAGAGCGGCTCTGCGGCCGGCCAAAACAAAACAAAACAAAAACGTGGGGTATACAGGTAAGGAGCTAGTTGTTGAAAGGCATATGGGAGGGGAGATTCGCGATAGTACAACCTTGCGAGAGCAGTGTGCAAACCTCACGAGTTCGATCGGAGATGAAAAGATTAGCAGCGTATGGGAGCTTTACGTTTCACAGAGAGTGAGGTGAGATAAGAGTCACGGTGAATTTTTGGGTCTTTTGTATACTCATATGATGAATTTCGGGGATTGCGTCTCCGTGGGTATATGGAGCAGTTTCTCCAATGCGAGTAGTCTAGCCTAGCACCTTCTGAGCTGGCAAACAAACCATACGATATTCTAGTTTTGGTAAAGGCATGCGCTTAAAACAAGCTTGTGAGAACCCCCCCCCCTTTTTTTTTTTTTCAATATTATAATATCTCCCAAAAATTGACAGCCCCTTTGTGGGCAAAATTATGTACTTGCATGGGCTGTTGAGGCATTGTAAAAAGTGTATTTCGATTCTCTTGCAGCCCTGTCGTCGCCGCTGTTGCTAGCTTCCGAGTTCCTCTACGGATATAAGTCCAAGCTCCGTTGAGAGGACCAAACTGCTATTGGCTGTTCAGCAGCTGCAGTGCAGCATACGTCACGTAATGCTGACTTCAGTATGACTCAAACGACGAACTACACATCGCTTTGGTTTAGGGCGAAGAAGATAAATCAGAGCAGGTGGCGAAGGGAGCTTCGCAAGTAAGAGGGGGGTTGGACTTTGGGTTTGCCGTCCGTCCTGGTCTTTCCGAGAAACAAACGCCAAGGAGGAGGGAAATTGTTGGTAGTACGATGGTCAATTGGTGCGAAAGCGTTTGTGCTGGTTTCAGGGCTAATGCAAAGCGACTCGTTTGCCTGCCTAGAATGATGATGGAGAAGAAAAAATGGTTCTTCTTCACTCAAAGCCTTGAGAACCAGTCAGCGTGAGATGCACCATCTTTTTTGTTCTTTGGCAGCTAGGCCAGTGGCACTGGGAGACTGGATTCTTAGAGTTATTGCTACTACATACATATAATCCTTACTCAGGCTGCTGCTGATCAAAAAAAGGTTTCAACGAAACAAATCAGCATTTTTCAATTTGTAGCAATACTAAACTTGGGGCCAAACATCATCTTTGGGAATACAAACCTCTTGAAATTTGGTATTTTGGTATTCATCTGAAAGATCCTTGTGGTAGATCCCTGTAAGACACAAGACCGGGACTATGAAGTGAGCTAACTGAAATGGTCGCAACTACCTATCTTCCGGTTTAGTGCACTGACCTTTGGTCCTCCTACAGTATAGTGGCCAAGCTGGAGTAGATGCACATCACAACAGGAGCAACCTAATCGGGCACGACGGCTCTTAGTTGACAGGAGTGGCATCCTCAACAGACAGACAGCAGTATATCCGGACCAGGTCAGGTCGGAGTCCATATGGATATGGTGGATCAGTGATGAGTTCGGACGAGAGAGAATCCAGGTTTTTCCGTCCAAGCTAATTCAAGGGTCCAAAGACTCGAGACAAGGGGCTCGACGCGCTTGTAAGACCAGGAGCGTGTTTCGAAACGCGATGCAAACTTCCTACCAAAGCTGCACGAAATTTCGCTTGCCCTGTCGAAGCAGGTGCGGGACCACGCTCATCGCTGTAGACTTAAGTCTCCTTGTTGAGGATAAGATTGGAGTCTCATTGTGCACCGCCGAGCAAGGCTTAAAGGATATGTCGGAACTCAGGGCGCTGCCTGATCAACATGTTGAAGCTAGGCCCCAAGTAAATCACATGATGCAACAACTCCTGAAGAGAGGCAAACTTTCGTCTACTAGTATCAGCATGCCCGTAAGGCACTAAGATAAGCATATCTCAATGGTGAAAAATGTTTTAGACGGCTGATATTTTTTGTTGGGTTTTCGAGGAACAAGGGAGGAAATGACGATTTGGAATAAGCAACTCTTTGGTCAAGACGGCCACGTAAGGAGGATCGGGCGTGTTTAAACACGGAAGAACAAAAGTAGTCTCAATGGCTGGCAGGAATGGGCTCGATTTAGAAATTCTGTATGTGCCAAGAATCAAGATCTTTGTGCAACACACTCTGCAAATGATTGTCGCAGTAGGTCTTCGGACTTAAGATCTGGGCACGATGGAAGTCTTCTTAAAATGGACGCGCAGCAGCGATCGACAAAGCGTCATCAGCGCAAGCTTGCCTCTGGTTGGGGGCCCAGTCAACGGGGAGCTCCAATGCATGCTTGCCTTGCTACCGTATGCCCATGTGCCGAACGATGCTATGAGACTTAGGCTGTGCGTGGGATGTCCAAACTGCAGCCGACAATGCAGGATTACAAGGCAACAAAAGATGGCGCCCGCACGGGGATCGCAGCTGCTGTAACTACTGTCTGACTGTTTTTGTTATTACACCCAACCTTCATAGCGTCAAATGAGTCATGGTGCCTTTGTTTGGGCACTCGGACAAAGAGTGCACGAGGATGCATCAAAGGGGGTGATTATTGTACATGTAGTCGCACAAAGGACAGTTACGAGGAAACCAAGCGTGTTAGGACCTAGGTTAGGCAAGTCCAAATTGAAGCAGCACCTAGGCCGTGACGATCTAGAGTGAGCGGTACTCACGGTATATCGCTCAAGATTGAACAAAATATCTAACTATCGCATGCTCTAAGTTGCTGTCGCTGTCGCTGCTGTCACGGTCAGCTGTCGCTACACATCCAAGTACAGGGCAGTTAGCCTTGTAATCGCTTATTAGCCCCAGCGGGCAAAGGTGCTAGCACACTAACGTTAGTGGGTCCCCCAGCACAAGCGGGAGAGAGAAAGACAGAGACGGGGTGGGCATGGACCCAGTTGGAGCAAGACTGCCACTGCCCACTGCCCACTGCCCGGGCCCACGCCCACGCCCACGCCCACGCCCACGCCCACGCCCAAGCCCAAGCCCTTTTTCATTTGGAGCTTGCGCTCCCAAATTTTTTTTTTGAAAAGTTCTCCTCCTTCACCACCCAAGATCACATTACGTGACTGACCAGAAGAACCCTTCTAGGTCATTTCTCTTTTTTTTTCTACCCGTTGTATTTCATCGAGGTAGAAGATACTCTAGTCTTTCTCTGTGCTCGCCCCCAGAGAAGATAGACACCTCCCCACTCCTGTACTTCTAATACTCTCCTCTCCCACGAGACGAGAAGAAGTCCAAGTCCGGCTGAGCGACACGAGAGCTGATTGTCAACGTCTGGATCCATCATCAACGAAGGGTTCAAACGACAACCTCATCCCACATCCGCCTTCACGACCACGACCACGCGACCGACTTTGAGAAGAGCGCTTGCCTCTTTTTTTCATCGTCTGTGATAAGAACAATCTGCGCTAGCATTTTGGTTCTTCTCCATTCCTTTTGATACCCACAATCGGTTCGTTGCTTTTCTTTGCATTCGCAGCACCCACACCACACGAGCATCACTGGCATGTCTACCACTTGATTCTCGTGGATTCGCCCTTTTTGGTTTGTTCGTTTCTTTGGCCGAACCCGTGTCAAAAAAAGCATTCAAGCTCAAGGGCACCCTCCTCCCCCAAACTCTCGATTCCAAGGACCAAACCAAATTCTAATCTCTAACTTGACGTGAAGATTTATTTATTTTCCTCCGACAACCACGAGTTTCGGCAGCCGTTCACTTCGTCAGCCGTCCATTAGCATTCGGATTTGACATTCGATTGGTCTTTCGCAACTGCGCGACTGTCAACTTGGTTTCTGGTCTATAATTATTTCGACGCACATTCTCTTGCGCTTTGAGCATTGCAGCCTTTTTTCTTAAGTCTGCACGCACCCACGCATCAGAGAACGTTTGCGCCCATAATTCCTCGACCCCAAAGTCCCATTGTCGCGATATCACGCTCACGCAGATCTCACGACTCACATATGACTTCCACGCCAACGACTGCTAACGCGAACAACGTCTCAAACGGACCCTCATACGCCTCGGCCGCTTCTGCACCAAAGAAGCAATCTGCCCCCGTGGTCACAGGAGGTCCTTCCGCCTCTTCCCTTGCATCCGGTACCTCGCAACATGCGAAGTCGAACTCGGTCTCTCCAGTAAACGATAAACCTATTATGCCCGCTGTCCCCACTGTTGCTCCAGCTGTTGTAGTTGGAACAAACGGAGACAGCCACTCCAGAAAGCCCTCCGTCACCATGAGTACACCCAACAACTACGCGGCCAACGGCGCCGCTGGCGGTCCCAAGATCCAATTTGGTTTCCAGGCTTCGCCAGCAGTATCCCACAGCACCCCTCAAGCCGGCAGTGCCCCCATCGCTATTCCTGGCGCAAACAGCCAGCAGCAGCGAGTTCCCTCCCCTCAGAACTCGCCATCTCCTATCCCCCAGCCTTCGGCCAGTGGTGGTCGCCCCCCTTCTGGTGCTCAGTCTGGTCAGCAACTGACATTCGGAAGCTTCGGTGGTAACGGCGACGTAAGTCCTAATGATGCTTGTCCGCGGGAACCACGTCGCATACTAATCGCTTCTTCACAGAGTCACATGCGCCGCACCTCAGCAGCCTCGCAGAACCCCTCTCACATACGCAACGAGTCCTCGCAGTCTGCCAACGATCCCAACAACCAGGGCGGACACCAGGGAGGACCTCCCAACCGTGGTGGATACCCGCAAGCAGGACGTGGTCGCGGCGGTTACAACCCCAACTACAACAACCACAACCAGATGGGTTACCCGCCGAACGGAACACCCCCCTTCCGTCCCGGTCATCCTGCACAGGGCCGCGGCGGCATGGCTCCCAACTTCCAGCCCCGCAACTCCTACGGACCCGGTACACCCCCTATGGGAAGAGCCAGCCCAGCACTGGCTAATGCGATGCCCGTTCCCGGCGCAGCTCCCTACTACTACCAGCCGCCGACAATGGGCGGCCCAATGCCAAACGTAACGTCACCCCCTTCCGGCTACTTTGACTATACCAAGCACAAGCAAAACAAGCGTAAAAGTCAGCGCAGCAGTGGCAGCAGTCGTGATGTGGAGAAGTCTTCAAACAACCGACACCGCTCTCAATCTAACAGTTTTGCGAGAGATGGCGGCATTTTTTGGCGCCAAAACAAGCGCTCGGACTACCGCCATTTCCAGGATTTGTTACCGCCAGACCCTCGTCAGAATGGCCAGTTGCCAGCAGGACGAGGAGAGCTTCCCGAGAAGAATCTGCCTTCTGTTCCCCCTCTGCTTTCATTACCACACCCCTCGTCCCAACCTATTCAAAACCTCGCAGATCTTGATATGTCCCCCGCCAGCGGCAACTTTGAACGAGTGCTAACAGAACTCCGACCACAGCAGCCCTACTACCCCCCTGGTGCTCAGTATGACCCTAGATTCGGTCCGAACCCATACATGTACCCTCCCGGCGGACAACCTCACTCTCCTGCTCCCCATTTCCAGACGCCCTATAGTGGCCCTCCCCAGCCCTTCGTTCCTCAGCCAATGTCACGAAACCCGTCACAAGCTTCCGAGCCCAGACCTACTTCAAGCACTAGCCAGGCTCAGGGTTCGCAAGGTCCCTCGCAGCAGGTGCCTTCACAGATCAGCAAGCAGCCTGTCGTCGCCGCGTCGCCGCAGTTCGCACGACCCGTAAAGAAGAGTGCAGCCATCACAATCCGCAATGCTAATGGTGAAGTCGTTGACATCCCCAGTCTCAAGGCACCCGCTTCTCCGGCTCCTAGCACGCAGTCGAAGACCCCGCCTGTTGTTGCCTCAACTCCGCCTCCGCCTCCCAAGTCCGCCACACCCAAGGCTGCCGCTCCTGCTCACACTCGAACTGACAGCACGGCTACCAAGACCCAGGCCGAGGTGCAGAACGAATTCAAGGCGAAGATCGCAAAGCAAATGGCAGAGGAGAAGGCCAAGGGAGACCAGAGCAAGGCCGTAGAGGGCAAGGCAGCAGCTGACAAGGCTGCCGCAGATAAGGCTGCGGCGGACAAGGCTACAGCGGACAAGGCTGCCGAGGACAAGGCCGCTGCTGAAAAGGCTGCCGACGAAAAGGCCGCTGCTGAGAAGAAGGCTGCCGACGAGAAGGCCGCTGCTGAGAAGAAGGTTGCCGACGAAAAGGCTGCTGCTGAGAAGAAGGCTGCCGACGAAAAGGCTGCCGAGGAAGCACGCGCCGCTGAGGCTAAGGCGAAGGAAGAGGAGAGACTCAAGGCAGAGCAGAAAGCAGACGAGGAGAAGAAGGCCGCTGAGGAAGCCAAAGCCAAGGAGGCAGCCGAAGCCAAGCCCGACGCGCCTGCTCCTGCTGACGAGGAAGATGAAATCGAGAAGATGATCCGAGAAATGGAAGAGGCCGATGCCAAGCGTGAAGCTGAGCAGGCGGAGATTAGTCGTCAAAAGAAGATTGCCGCAGATGCCAAGAAGGCCGCTGAAGAGGAAGCAAAGAAGGCCGCCGGCTCTGACGACAAGTTGAAGGAAGCTGAAAGAGAGGCTGAACGTCTTGAAGAGGAGAAGGAGCGCAAGCGTCGTGAAGCCGAGGGCAAGCCTTCTCAGTCCGCCAGTGACGCCTTGTCTAGCAAGCTCAGTAACATGACCATCTCGGAGAAAGACGGCGCTGAGTCAACTTCTAAGCCTGCAAATCTTACCATCAACGACAAGCCTGTCGCTGGTGCAAAGGTAAGCCCTGGTGAGAAGCGAGGTACCAAGCCGGCTCCACTTAACCTGAACACGAATGTTGGTGTAGAGCCACCTCAACCCTCTGCGGCACTTCAATCCCTGAAGACCGCCAGACTTCTCAAAACACAACAACTCCTGGCCATGGAGTACCCTGAGGGCGTTAGCTCGCCTAACCCCGCTCTGAATCCTACAGCCTCCAAGAAGGGTACCTCGTTCAAGTACGACCCAAGCTTCTTGCTCCAGTTCCAGGGCGTCTTTACCGAGAAGCCGTCACTTGAATTCAGCCAGCAGGTTAAGACCTTGATAGGTGAAGGGGACGGAGGCCGTTCTGCATCGGCAAGAACTCCTGCAGGATCCGGCCGGCAGAACTCTAGAACGGGTACCGGCGCTTTCTCCATGGGCAACTTTGGTGCGCCTACCAAGACATTACCTCCTGGCACAACATCAGCTGAGCGATTTGCCATGGCCCAGGGACAGATGGCACGCCCACCCATTGGCTCTATGAACAGTTTCCGAGGACCTGGCGGTGCATTCCCCAGTGGCAACATGATGTCGCGAACTCCATCCAGCTCCATGGCCCCTAACTCACCTAGGACTGCTAGCTCGCGACGCGGTGCTAGCAAACGTAACAATTTCCAGGATTCCAAGAACGAAGAGAAGGCCGCTAAGACCATGCCTTTGACTGCTGGTATGAAGTTTGACGCTCTACAGACATCTCAGACTGGTTGGAAGCCTATGAGTTTGACTCAGAAGCCCAGTGCACCGGCACCTAACGCTCTCATGGATCCCCCTACCGTGCAGCGTAAGGTCAAGGCTGCTCTGAACAAGATGACTCCAGACAACTTCGACAAGATCTCTCAGCAGATTCTCGACATTGCCGCTCAATCCAAGGAAGAAACTGATGGCCGAACCTTGCGCCAAGTCATTCAGCTTACTTTCGAGAAGGCTACAGACGAAGCTCATTGGGCGTCTATGTATGCTAAGTTTGCCAAGCGCATGCTGGAGACAATGAGCCCCGAGGTTCGCGATGAGAACATCAAGGACAAGAACGGTCAAGTTGTTAGCGGTGGTGCACTGTTCCGAAAGTACCTGCTCAACCGCTGCCAAGAAGAGTTCGAGCGCGGCTGGAAGACCCAGCTGCCTGAGACCCAGGAGGGTGATTCAAAGGAAGCTGCTTTGATGTCGGAAGAGTATTACAAGGAAGCTGCCGCCAAGAGACGTGGTCTCGGTCTCGTTCAGTTCATTGGTGAGCTTTACAAGCTCTCTATGCTTACTGAACGCATCATGCATGAGTGTGTCCGAAAGCTCGTCGATTACCAAGGAGTTCCCGATGAGGCTGAAGTGGAGTCTTTGTCCAAGCTCTTGCGAACCATTGGTGGCAACTTGGACGCAACTGACAAGGGCCATGTTATGATGGATGCCTACTTCCAGAGAATCCAGAGCATGGTTGACTTCCCCGACATTCCTAGCCGTTTGAAGTTTATGCTTATGGATATTATCGATCTGAGGAGGGCCCGCTGGGAGTCCAAGGAGCAGAACAAGGGACCTAAGACCCTTGACGAAGTTCGTATCGAGGCTGAGGCCGCAGCTGCCCAGAAGGCTGCCGAAAACGCAAAAGGAAACCAGCGTGGTGGTGGTCGCCTTACAATGGGTAGAGGAGATGCTCGTCAATTCTCCTCTGGCTATGCTCAACAAGCACCAAACACTGTCGGTATGGATGACCTCCGACGTCTGAAGGGTTCCGCCACGCGTTCTGCTAGCCAGAACATCTCTCTGGGCCCAACATCCATGTTCTCTTCTCGTAGCAACAGTGGTCGACGACTTGGCCCTGGCAGCTCCCTCACACGTGGAAATGAAGACTCAGCCGCCTCTTCTCGCACCGGCACTCCTCCAACTCAAAGCAGCACCAATGCTTTCAGGTAAGCCTCTATGGAAGCGGCAAATTAGACTGACAATGCTAACATAGTTATAGTCTCCTAGCCAACATGGAGGATAACCACCCCACTTCTCCGCCATCTACCGCTGCTTCTCCTGCGCTTGCCAAGGTTACACCAGAAGCAGCTGCTGCGGATAAGGAGTGAACAAGTGTTTTCTCTTTTCGACTAGACTTGCGTGTATTTGCTATCGGCAAATCTGTGCATAGATGGGGGGATTGCTGCATTTACAGGATTGACAAAATGTGCCTCAAAAAGTTCATACAGGATTCATTCGGTCATATGATACCTCTTTTCTGATAGACTTCTTTCTCACGACATGTCACGAGCGGTCACAGGCCGTAGCGACATCTTTTTCGACACCATGTTTTCTTTTGCACATTTTCCATTTGCTCGATGCATCAGGGAAGGAAGGTACCAGGTGTTATCTCACTCTGAGCTCGCCAGGGTAACAGGCGCTATTTGATTTCTTGTCAAGGGGCCACTGGACCGAGATAGGAACTCAGAAGCACCCGGGTGGAAAACTGCGAACGGATATGCACGATTGTTGATCATCGTGCACAAGGCATGATGATATGATAATGGGGATTCTGTGTATTTGGAATTGCATTGACTCTTCGGCGGAGGCTTTCGCCTTTGCTTGATCAGTGACCATCTGATCTTGCTCGTGTCACTTGCTTAGTCGGCGATAGTGTCGAGAGGCAGACGAAATAGTGTCCCGCTGTACATCACCTTAATCAGGGACAGCGAGCAATTGATATTTCTGAAAACCCTTGTTTCTAAATTGTGGCCGTGAACAATGTTGCTATTGTGAATATTGGTTCAAGGCTTTTTTTCATATTGGTGCTAGTGATGTCAAAAGCAGGCAGCACAAATACTATCTGAAGTTTCCGGCCGTTGGTTGCTAGATGTGTTCGCCTGTTAGCCCAGTGTACACCTGCACGTGTCATGTCTTGCGGTTGTTTTTGTAGAGAAATTGGTGATGGTTTGTAACTGTTTGCTATGTTCTTTGGTCACTACACCCAGAATATACCAGTCTATAAGTATTCCCATTAAAACTTTCATCCTCACCTTTTCTCCTCGCCTATTCTATATTCTACATCCAGCTCAGATATATGTGTGGACACTGCGTGCACAGACAACCTGCGTGTTTGAAACCCGGAACAAGGGAGGAATAGGAAAAGGACAAATCAATTCCGATATTGTGTGATTCCTTGTGATCTTACTGTTGCTTGCTTGACGATGCGGTTGCCAATACCAGGCTGAACAAAGGCAGTCATATGGTCGCTATGAGCCGGACAGATCTAGCTCGCAATGTAGTGAGATACAACTAGATGCATTTGTGCTACCACTTGGTTGCCGCAGTCAATTAATTATAAGAGACTAGATGTTGAAATCACGCCTCTTTTATCTTTGCAGTGTCCATTTAATAATTATAAGCAGTCTGTCAGAGGTTGGCAGACCGTGTTCCACGATATTTCCCTCCAAAACAAACAGTAATAAATACGTTGAGCGGTCAAAAAAGAAACATGATGGCAGCTGTATGCTCTTCGATGAAATAAGACAAAATAAAAGAATTACTTAAAAGAACGTCATCAGATACCAATATTATCATCTCACCAACGACACCACTCCACCCCTCAGCATTCATCCCGGAACCAGGGCATAGCAAAAGTGATATGCCTAAACAGCGATATGCTGCGTAGCCTCTTGACATCCATTGGATCATACCGATGATGCGGCTTGACGCGCTCCACAGCTACGCCGCCGTCGTGCCCACCCCCCACAACGCGAAGAGCTGGCATTCACACACTGAGAGGTGATCCAGAAGGTGAGCTGTCAAGGCGCTCAACTAGAAGCGGTGTTCCACGTAGTTCAGTGCTTAATAACTTACAAAGATAATTAAAATGTTCTCCGAATAGTGAAGCTTATAGAGCTACCTGAACAAACATGTTACGGAACGGAGGCTGCTCGTGGTTGCCATCCGTGCAACACGCTTGGCATCCTCAGAGTCCACCCGATCACAAGGGTAAATACTGAAATTATTGTTCATCAGCTTGCATCACTTCAGTGAATCATGGCGTTATGAACGTGGTATAGAGAACAGGACTGGAAAATGATTCGCAGGCTACGAACCATCCTATATTTATTCCTTCCGTACAACTCCTTCAATATTTTCTGACATGCTCGCATTCGGAGGCCGCTACTCCTCAATATATGTCCTGGCATCGTCTACATGCTCCTTTTGTAGAAGTCTCCCCGAGTGAGCAAAATCTCTTCATCTTCGAGCAACGCCCACATGCGGTCATGTCCCCAGAGTGCTCACACCTCATCTGAGACAGTATACAGGCGATGTAGACACCGTGTTCCCTAGTTGTCCGAGGAAATATACTAAATTTACCAAAAGTATCGTTTCCATTCCCATTTGGCGAGCTAACTAGTCTGTACATCTCAGAATGAGGCTCTCGATTCACAATAATGTGAGTGCCATGACTCTTGGGGAGTTTCTACTCCGGGTCGTCTATCTCGTTTGATGAACCACCCAGGTGGGTTTTCTCAACGTAAGTTTGTTTGACCCTACGCAAGTACGCAGCAATACCGGTACGACCGGAGTCGGTCGGTTTCTGACCATCTTCCTGTTCCCTTCCTCTTTTCGATGCCACGGGCAACATAGACTGAGATTTCTTTCTGGCAACGCTCTTGCGCATTTTTATCGTTTCGTCGTAAGCGTTTTTTCAATGTACGCTCCTCCTCCTCCTCCTCCCACATGGGCCCCCTACGCCCTCTAGCTATTTCGTAATACGTATCTCCTCTAAAGCAACGCGTCAGATCAAACCCCGATTGTTCTACAAGAAGCTCTATAACCTTGATGTTCTCCTGACCAATTGCAGCCAAAATTGGCGTGGTACGTTCAGAAGGAAGAGAGGGAACAGGAGCTGGTTCAGGGTTTACACCACTAAGGCAAAGTAAAAGCTCCATGATAAATTCATGGCCTCCACGGGCTGCTGCTATCAATGCCTCAGAATCATCGTATTGTTGTAGGAATTTTAGGGTCCTTGTTACAGTCTCATGGCCGCCCCGCGCTGCTGCTTGGCGAATGAATTTCACATCCGGACTAACATATAAAAGGGGACGGGTCGTTTTAATAGCTCCTCGATTTGATGGCGTGTCAGTAAAATACAGATTTATTGACTGGTGTGGGAGAATATCATGGTGCGATAGTTTCACAATATTCAAAATGTTCAAGTACTCAAGTTCCAACCGACATTAACAAAAAGTAAGTCGTAATGGATTTTAGACATGGTGACATCAGACTCATACAAAATATTCTTCCGTTGATCGTCGAAACATGTCGTTAAGACAGATCCCCGCGTCTAATAAAAAAAAAGCCAAGAAGTGGAATAATGGTTGCATCGGCGAAGCGTATTGTTGCGGTACGCACGCGGAACTATTGGTCTAACAAGTATTATCATGTGATTTTCGAATATAGGATGCATGTTTGCTATATGGATCCGGAGCGATTAGCCGAAAATGACCTACCATCATCGCTGCATCGGCTAGCCGTGTTGTTGCGGCACGCACCCGGAACTAACCTAGTGGTCAGGCAAGCATGATAATACGACATCATGGTAGCTTCGGCTAGCCGTATTGTTGGAAAGATTAGAGGGGCATACAGCAAAACCCGCATGCTGACCAATCAGTGACATCCGGGCTCGCAATATTGGGCTGTGTCCCGGAAGCCTGAAAGCCCCTGGCAGGTAGTTGCAGATCAGTTATCCATCAACCGATCACAAAGTAAAGTCACTTAGGGGACAAACAATAGGGATACTGCAGCCACTAAGGACAATATACGCATTTTCTTGGTGTTCTACAAGCCAATACCAGCCTGACCGGGTAGCTCGTTGTTTGTTCCATGCCCAATGTTTGGATCCGCGCTACTGCTACCAACTCAAGTCAGAGATTGCGACAACAACTGCTCGTCAGCTTGTGCCGTCCGTAAGCATCTAACACCCATAAAGGAGGCATAGACGCCAGAGCTGGTCATCAGCCTGTGGCACCAAGGTGCTGCTGCTTGCGCCTCATAAAAGCGACATAGATGCCAGAGATGGAAGCCACAGATAACCTTGGTTTTTGGACTCTATAGTTGGCGCCAAGTTGACCAAGACGGCAACAGGATGAACCCTTCGATGACCGGAAAGCCTGTTCGCGGTGGTGCCAAATGTTCAACTGGTCAAGCTCCGATTGCCAAAAAGAAAAAGCTCAAAGCAAGCTGCGATTTCTGTGCAATCTCCAAGGTTAAGTGCGATCGTGGCCAACCTCAATGCCGGAGATGTGTCCGAAGCGAGCTCACATGCCCCTATAGCGAGAGTCGGAGGGTCGGTAAGGCGCGCCTTATGTATTCCATGAACAGCACTTCATCAAATGACTCGAGCCCTGCTATGGATGACAACTTCAACCCCCGGAGCGATGGAGAAAACTGCACTACCGGAGCCTCTGCAGCAGCAGCGCCTACGACCCCATATCTAGAGTCCACAAATTGGCCGGACCCTATGGCTCTGGACTTCTTGTATGAGCGTAGCACCAACTCCGTGTCCGGTACACTGAGACCGGCTATCTACAGTCGCTCCACCATGTCTGCGTTCGAAGTTAGCCTTAATCAGCTTGTGGTCCCGTCAAGCACAAATATGTTGAGCCATGGGCCCATATAGGAGTACTTCCGCAGTCTCAACTCCACGCTAGACGCCAGTAATACAAATGCGGAGCATCCAAACGAGATGGACACACAATCTGCGCTTTCCTGTCCGAGGTCCACATTCCTAGACCACCAAGTGAGCCGTTCGAGAATAACGGAAGTCAGTGCGTTCGCCGCGCACTCATAACGCTCCACCTTTTGTACTGTCCTGAGTTAAATTGTGGCCAGCAGGACTATAGCGCGTCGGAGGCTACCAGAACATATCAGAAACTCAATTCTGTCCTGAATGTCAACCGGAGGGCCATAGAAACTGTGATACTGATCATGCCATGCCCCTGCGCTCGCAGCTCCGTCCTGTATCATCTACTTGTTCTGATCATGCATGAGGTTGCGACTTCATACCGGAAATTGTCGACGCAGGCCTTACGCGCATACACGGTGGGAATTTCTGCCACAAACATGGGGCCAAATTTGGAACTATCCGATATTACTGTCTTCGATGTTCTGTTCTCAGTTGGTGTTATTTTGGTGACCCAGACGGCACGCAAGGGTGTCACAAGATCCAACGGCTCGGATTGGAAGCACTTGTACTCAGCGAAGAAGATTCGGTTTAGGTTTTCATAGAATGGCTTCGGTAGTTGTTACCACGCGCACTTTAGAGAGATATAAACAAAGAAATCACATTAGATGTGCGATACTACCATCATGTCACCCTAACGGTGACACCGCGGGGACCATTGCCAATGTTTAAATTTTGCACCAGACTCACACATGCTACTATAGGCCCAAATCAAATGCAACTGAAAAATCATGAGACGTTACCCCATCCTCAGAAAATGAGACCATAATGCGAGGAGCCCATCTCGTATTGTTTCTCTTACTTTCGGGCATGCATAGTTTCGTAAGGCGTTGAAGATGTAAAAAAGACCTGCTTGACAGAGGACCATTGCGCAATGGTAGCTCGGCCCGCATGTGGTATTCACTTGGCTATTTTTGCCGCCACTGGGTCAAGGTTCAATGTAATGATCTACCTCCTTGCATAGCTTGTCTTAGGTCCAGGGCCAGGCGGCAATGCCACTGCTTTGGGGATAACGTACCGGAGCTCGCATAACTTATGCGAGCTCTGGCCGCCGCCGCATAACGACTAAATTCGCGACAGATCCTTGACGGACACAGACGAATACTTGGTCGGAAAGGTTATTAAAAAGTTAAAAAATTAATAATAATAATAATAATAAAAAGAGCAACGCAGGGAATTCGGATAAGCGACCTGGGGTGTCAAAGTCCCATTGATTTCTAGGTCGTTCGTAACTCCGACCAAATCTAGACGATCCAAGTCGAAGCCCTTCTACGCCCCCCTGTAATCCGCAAGGAAATACCATTGTCCTCCTTCAACGCCGCTTATGGTCTTTTTATTTTTTATTTCTTTTTCAATTCTTTTACTTTCTATAAAAGAGTCTATGCTGGCTGTCTATGCAGCTTTCCGTCACTTGAAAACTTCTTCAGTCACGAAGCAATACGAAAAGAACGTCGTCATGTCTAGACCACAGACCAGCTACGCCTCCTCCACTACCCAATCGCCGAATCCAAGTTCGGTCTCTGGTGCCAGAAACCCACAAAATGCAGACGTGGGTGTGCCCAGGTCCTCGTTTGAACTAGTGCAGATCAGCGATGTTGAGGCTGCAGAGAACAGCACTGGAGCTGAGCCACTCAAATCCAGCGCAGCGTCTGAATGGGACCCTGCCGCCTTTCCTGATGGAGGGGTTGAGGCTTGGCTCGTCGTCATGGGAGCCTTTTCCGCTCTTTTCTGTACCTTTGGCCTGCTGAACTGCATAGGCGTTTTTCTCCAATACTATATTGATGGCCCCCTCTCCGGCTACGGCGAAAGCGCCGTGAGCTGGATCACGTCAGCACAGATCTTCTTCATGACCGGCACAGCGTTCATCGTAAGTACGTCTTAGGTGATGTCACCCTCATAGTAGACGTTGACTGTTTCAAGTGGGGACGACTCTATGACAATTATGGCCCACGCTGGCTCCTGATAATCGGCACTATTGTGTATGTCTTCGGGCTGATGATGGTATCACTGTCCAGCAAGTACTACCAATTCTTTCTTGCCCAAGCTGTCGTTGCCGGCTGCGGCTCAGGGATCGTCTTTAACGCCTCATTGTCCCCTATCGTAACGTGGTTCTACAAGAAGCGTGCTACTGCTTTTGGTATTGTGGCATCCGGTTCATCCGTCGGTGGTGTAGTTCTGCCAATCATGTTGGATCGCTTGACTCAAACAATTGGCTTTCCTTGGGCGATTCGTGTTGTCGCTTTCATGTTTCTCGGACTTTGTGGCATCACTTGTCTGACTGTAAAGTCTCGCTTGCCACCACGGCCGAAACCATTCCATATCCGGGATTACTTGAAGCCTTTCCGAGAACCCGCGATGTGTCTGAACATGGTCGCTGGGTTCTTCTTTTATTGGGGCATGTTTTTACCCTTCAACTACCTCACTTTGCAAGCAACGGCGGCAGGTATGTCACCATCGCTTGTTCCCTATCTGCTATCGATTTTGAATGCTGTCAGGTAAGTCATTTTTCTAGCCCCACAGGTTCCCAGCAGCTGTCTTAACCTGTATTAGTATTGTCGGCCGGATCATCCCCGGATTCACAGCCGACAAGCTAGGTCGTTTCAATAGCATGATCACCATCACGGCCTTGTCGGGAATCGTAACGCTAGCTCTGTGGATACCCGGCAAGAGCACAGGAGCCATAATCGCTTACGGTGTCTTATTTGGACTTACCTCTGGTGGATTTGTTTCACTCGTCCCGGCATGCATTGCCCAGCTTTCCGAGGTGTATGTTGGCTACATAAGTGTTGTTAGACGCTGCTAACATATCTTAGGCATGAGATTGGAACCAGATCCGGAACCACGTTTTTAGTATCTGGAGTCGGTGCATTGACAGGCTCTCCGATCGCTGGAGCGCTAGTCAGCGATATGAACGGCGATTATCGTGGACTCCAGATCTTCTGTGGGTGTACCTTACTGGTGGCAACCCTCTTTTACATCGCGGCGCGGTACGCACAGGCAGGCTTCCGATACGCGAAGATATGAGGCTTGGCTATCAAACATACATGTTTTTAATTCGTGTCTCTAGAAATTACATGTTTAGCTATTCCTTCACCTTATTGCGTACTGCTAATGAAGGTGTTGAATACAAATCGGGTGGCCTCGTCCATCGCGTGGTCGCCGAGGGCGGGCTCGTATCGGAAATGGATCTGTAATGGGTCTAGACCGAATGCTATACTCTGACGTCTATTATTGTGGCAATATGGATGACTATAGATGACCGCAGTGTACAGGGAGCACTCCGTACACTAAGGCGATGAGCTCGCGGATCACCGAACTTGGGAAGTGGTGATCACGTGACTTAGCCAGTGGGTATCTGCCTACTTTCTGTACACCGAGATTCTCTTTTGTAGACTCAGACTTCTATACTACTTGACAGTACCTATACTATCATTTCACGCTTAGAGCGTTACACTTGTGATCCCACGCTCATGCGAGCACCGTATTCACTATCCTATGCTCGAGTATATTTAGGCTCTTCCTTTCAGTGCATTACACCAGACCTTTACTACAACAGTCTTCTATACCAACTGTAGAAACTGTCATAATTATCTCTATGAACGACAAGACTTCTCTGAGGAGAGAAGGATCCTCTAAGCTATCGTATGAATATATGCTCTTAAAGACTTGTCCTTCCTTCTTCTATTCAACCTCTAGTAGCGTCTAACCTTAGTAGGTTCTGTGAGTCCTACGATGGGGCCGTGGCCCCTAAGTCTTATCGCTAGGGGTTTATCCCATAACAGGACAATAAGATAACCTCATGGTTCGAAGAACAAGAGACGATGGCATTGGAAGTTATTACCGAGGAAAAAGCCAGAAAAATAGCAACAGAATGGATGGATCAGTTGCCTCAAGGGCGGGAGCTTGAAGGTGTTGAACGGTGGAGCGGGCTATACTAGCTTTAGAAGTCACGTGACGCTACATAAAAGTTTCTAAAGTACCTCTTTAGAGTGCCAAGAATCAGCCACAGAAGATACGCATGAATACATCACTCAACTACCTATGTACGTCCCACTACCTATGTACGTCCCACTACCTATGTACGTCCCACTACCTATGTACGTCCCACTACCTATGTACGTCCCACTACCTATGTACGTCCCACTACCTATGTACGTTCCACTACCTAGCCGTCTGACAGAAGGTACTCGTGGCCTTTCACCCTGATTCGTGCTAAAGGCCTTTCCTGATCGGGAAGTCGGAAGATCACGTGGATCGAATCAAAACAAATCAGTTCAATTGTGAATCAATCAATACATACTGCGATTGATCAATAATATTGATAAATTGCGATATCAGACATTAATCAATCTAAAAATCGCTTTTATTGGTTGAATTGAATTGATTGGAGCCCTATTGCCTTGTCACCCTTCGAATCGATTTAACGCTCGATCGATTCGGTGCTGTGGAAAATACGAATAGATAGACGGAAAATATGGTTAGTTATTTATTCAGCTAAATCTCGCATTCCGGGTCTCTTTCACTTTTAGCGAGATTTATTGGAGCATTTACGCGCCTTTAGGTATTATCCAAAAGTTTTTTTCAGACTATAAAACCTGAAACCATGATTCCAATTATCTCGGAGTTTAGTCAAACATAATGTCAGACGCTGGTGTTGCAAGGGAGTGCTAGGGTGCTAGTATTGACGCGCTGAGCCCTACTCTCTATCATATATGGAAGATTCCAGCCCTTATATACCCTATTGCAATCCGATACTAGATAAACTCTAACACATAATGACTAAACCATAGATCCAACTAAGCTTCTATAGTAGACAGTCTATTATTTTCTATTTGCCATTCTCAGCCTTCGTCGGATTTGCTATCCTAGCTCAAAGACGTCATGTTCGAAACTTATGGGCTTTGGATACTTGAACGATATTTTGCTATAGAGTGAACTATTTAAAGCTATTGAGAACCTTTCTTTGTTTTTATAGCGTACATATACCCTGTATATAACTTATTGAGGTAACTTCAATAAAGCCAGTTTAATTGAAGTATTATGATTGATCCAAACCTATCTAGCTGCTGTTTGTTCTCAATATCTTTACCCTGACAGTTCATGTTGTCCACCGAATACGGGATTCTTACTTACATATTAATTCAGACATTCAGACGGTGCCCGAAGCGCTGGACCTTGACAAGCTCCATGAAAAAAATTTAGAGTTATGGGTATGAAACTAAGCAGCTGTTCTTTCTACCACAATACTTAGGTGGTTTCTTACGTATGTCCCAACCCTACTATTTTTGTATCAGAGCACTCCAAGGAACCATTCTTCCGTTCTCGTAATCTTTGCTTGAAACTGTTCATTGCCTCGCTGTAGAACTACCCCCTGGTTTGACAGCGGAATACCTTCGAATATTTGTGCGTCTGAAAGCCCCATGAAACCCCGAAAAAGCCAATCTGCATCCGTCAGAGTTGGCAACTCCTGTGGTTGGACCGCCGCTGGACCTTCGTGGCGTAGTTGCGCTCGACAGGTCATACTGGCCCGTTTTTGGATTTCTGTCGTGCGTGGTATTCGCGATTGCGGTAATTGGCCCACAAGGCTGTTGCCAGAAAAAGTGCCGCACCCCTCTACACAAGACTGACTACTGTCACTGTAGGGGTGCGGCACCTTTTTTGTCAACCCGTTGGCCCATGCCAAATTCAAAGCTTCGCTAGTTGGCTTTCCATGTGGCGATTGCTTGAAAGCCCTACATAGTTCATTCACCAAGCCAAATGATTCCATGGCCTGGTTAGCCCCCATAGCTGTATTTGGTACCATCTAGGAGCAGGTGATCAATAAAAGCACTAAGTAGTCTGGAGGGAAGAGATGGAGTTCTGACATACCTTGTGTGCAGCATCACCGACAATTACGGTACGTTTTGTGTGCCATACTTTGGCGACGCCCTCTTCTAGAACAAATTCCATAGTGATTTCCCTCTTGTCATAAACATCTTGAAAGGTTACGTCAGTAGAAATTTTCAAGTGTCCTACCGGTTTGCACGAATCGTGGATATCTGCATTTGTATATCGTGGAACCTCAGACAAATGCACCGTTCGCCCCAGATGCTCGAAGACGAACCAAAAGAGAATACCATCTCTCCCGGTAAAGCCCAGGATGGCAGTTTCTTTACGGTACACCGAGAAACACTCCCCTGCTTCGATCCCTGGAGTAGGGGGGAATACCCCGTAGACGCAAGCGAAGCGGGCACCCATGTCTATAATACAATGTATTAGCCTTTGCTCATTCACATTCTGTCTACTGTCCACATATACTGGTCTGCGGTCATCTCGCTCGGGCTCTGATGAGTCACCCGGGTGAAGGTTCTGATGAGCCCGTCGCCGCGCAGGCGGTCAGACATAATTTGGAGTAGCTTGCTGCGTTCAAGAAACAGAGCCTCGTAATCGGTTCTGACACTATCAGTTAGTTATCGTCCCATTCTCCCGATGGTAGATTCAAGTAGTCATAAGGTCGGTATGAGTTAGCTTGAAAAATACGGCGGAAGCCTCTGGCAAAAGAACTTGCGACAAATTACGCACTTAGAGGGATAATGACCTAGAGCATTGACAGTAGTGATGACTTCTCCATCTTGATTCATATGTTTCCAAGTTTCTATTAGAATGGTGTTCTTTTCAATCTGCTGAAGCAGGCCAAGCTGATCTAGTACATGCAGTCCACTCGGCAATAAACCGACGTTCGCACCTAGATTCAAGCGCCAAACTATAGCATGCCTCAAAAAGAGCATATTTAATGCCTAATCGCACGAATACTAGTGCGATCGGTCTTCCAGTATGGGCTCGATTTAGAGTCATGACGGAAAGCCCACACAAATCAGTTTATATCAAATTATGCCCATGCCTGTCTGGCTCCTGATGGTGAAAAGCGCGCATCTGTCTACCTGGTGCCGGCTTGAAGTGGAGGTAGTCGGAGCTCGGGGTCGCATAAGCTTATGCGGTCTTATGCGGTCGAATTTCAGCGCACTTGTCGGTATCTGACACTATCAACTGCTCATCAGCCATCATCCGAGGCATCAACACCATAGCGGTCCTTATTCACCATTTACGTTAAATAAATTCACACGAAATCGATGCTCAGCAACAGTGGCGACAGAGGAGAGGTGGGGAATGTTCCGGGGAATATTCCGCGACTACGCAGTTGCACGTACTGTCGTGGCCGAAAGGCAAAGTGCGACCGACAGCAGCCATGCTCCAGTTGCTTGCGAGCTGGCCAGCCCTCTGAATGCACTTTTCCGGCTGGTAAGGGCCGCAGTGCAAAGCGACTTGGTCGTGCTAACGGCAAGGAACTGATTGAGTCCTTGTCACGACTCGAGGGCCTTATGCGACGCTTGGAGAATCAGGGCATTGTGACGCCTAGTCTTGATCGCGACACGTCTTCACCAACCGAACAGGGTATACCGCTGCGTCAGGATACAGTACCATTCGTTGCTGAATTAAACCATACGAGTGAAACCAGTGACTTGACTACGCTTGATCAGCATCTTGGGAGGCTGGTCATTGACGAAACGAGAAGCTATTATATCAGCAACATTCTATGGGCAAACCTAAGTAGCGAGGTATTTCATCCACACCAGATTGGAACTGGGGCTTGAACTAATTCCACCAGATCGAAGAGCTGCATAATATGCTGGCTGAACCTGAGCCCCAAGGCGAGAGTTACAAAACCGGAGGTTCCACTGGCATACTAGGCCCAAACGCCGCAATCTTTGGCTTTCGAGCCTTGACATATTCACTGGAGTCCTTCCATTTGCCCCTGTCTCAGTCCGTCGCACTTCTTCGTATATTTACCGACAACGTATTGCCGTTGGTCCATATTTTCCACATGCCGACTACGAATCATATCTACTGGGACGCCATTGCATCGTTGGATACCGTGGACAGAAACACCGAGGCCTTGGTGTTCTCTATCTATTACTCCGCGTTTATCAGCATTGATCAGGAAGTTTGCGTCGCGCTCTTCAATACTACTCGCAAAGCGTTGTTAGCTAAATACCGGTTTGCAGTTGAGCAGGCTATAGCTCGTGCCAACCTACTAAATACTCAGAGTATCATTCTCCTCCAAGCGGTTGTGTTGTATCTCTCAGTTCTCCGCCACGAAGACGACAGCCGGACGGCCTGGTCCCTGACTTCTCTGGTTTTCCATATAGCACAATCTATGGGTTTACATCGCGATGGGATGGCCTTCGGATTGAGGCCACTGGAAATAGAGCTACGTAGGCGACTGTGGTACCAGATCTGCCTCCTTGATAACCAGTCCTCTGAGTACCACGGCTACGAGACCATCGTGCACGAGTTTGTATTCGATACACGATTACCTTTACACATAAACGATCTCGATTTGACACCGGAAATGACAAAAGCTCCTCCAGAAAGGGATGAGGCGTGCGAGATGACATTTAGCCTCATCCGTTGCGAGGCCGACCGTATCACCAGAAAGATCCATCACATGCCGCCGTCAGCTCGCTTTCCAGGGCGGCCAGTCGACACGATCAGCCTAGAGGATAAACGAGCTCTCGTAGAAGAGCTGCGGAGTAGCTTGCAGCTCTACTTGCGGCACTGTGATGCAAATGTCCCATTCCAAACACTGAGCTCCACCGTTGCCCGGCTGATCATAGCACGATCGTGGCTCGTTATACATTTTCCCTTGGGCCGTAGCAGCCCAGCTGCTGTTGATACCGATCTACGTGATCAACTCTTCTCAACCAGTATTGAGGTCCTCGAGCTGTCCTACCTTCTCCTCACAGACAGGAATCTCGCACGATGGACCTGGCATTCCAAGTCGCACGTTCAGTGGCACGCTATTGCGCTCGTTCTGTCTGAGATTTCGTCACGGCCTCCAAGCCCTCTCTGCGATCGTGCGTGGCAATGCGTATGTACGGTTTATGATGAATTTAACCTAAAGGATGGCGAGAACGTAGGCACTTTATCACGACCTATCAAACGCTTGATGGCGAAGGCACGATATGTCCGCGAGGTACAGAACCTGAACCCAAGGAAAGCCGAGGGACTCAACATCAGTTCCCCTGGTGACATTATCTTCATGCAGCCAGCCATAGATTCTAACCTTCCAAGTTCGCTAAATTTTAGCTCAATGGTAGTCACTACAGGTACAGATGAATCAGGAATGATGGACACTGTCAACATTAAAACCCCGTCAGGCATGGGCTTCTTGGGTCCATTTCCAGAGCTCTTCTTGCCTGGTTGGGAGGCGGATTTGTTTGATATACCGCAGGAGAACAATCTAGGTATTCCATCGCCCAGCGCATCCAATTGGATGTAGGCTTAAATGTTCTTCTAAGATATTACTCGCTTTGTTAGTAGGGTAATTTACTTATCTTATTCACACATGCTTTCCAGGACGGTACTACGTGAACCATTTATCAGTCCTCCAGGTCGATTCAATGGGAAACTAGAAATACAACGTCCACCATCAAGTCCCTGGAGTAGAGGAGAAGGTAGGAAAATGATCAATCCACGAATGAACTTTTAATATTGTAATACAGTCGATCTTGTGTGGACATCCGGGTTGGTGTTTACAGGAGGGATGACCGTTAAGAGTGAAGTTTGATAACAGCCTATTACGGCGGGTTATGTAATCAGACCAAGGCAATATGTAGAATGGCTGTTGCGACCCAGGCCATCTGGGGTCAATTGGATAGTTTAATCTTCTCCTCCTCGGCATACTTCCCATGTGCGTGATGTGCGTCGCGTTGTCCGCCATGCTCGAGATCATGTCTGGATGCTCTCTTCCAATATCTCTCTACTTGTCATGCCGCGTTGACATTCATAGGTCAACAAAAACGCGCAGGTATTCTATTTGGACCAAGGAAACCATAATTTTTGTGTGAATCTAAAGAAATTTTGCCGGGGACCTTTTCTTGCATCAATCACCGGACCTATATATAAGCCTCTTGTCTTTGATTATGGTCAAGATCGTCACACTGGCCACCTCTTAGCTCCATTTTGACTGGTTTTGATGTTATGCTGCTCATAACTTCTTTTTAAATATTCTCAAAGCCGTCTACCTCATCAATTACACTTTGTCGGGTCTTCATAATCTTGGCCGAATCCGGCGAGCTCAGGAATAATGCGAAATACCAGTGTACCAGGCTCGCCGAACTCGAATTTCCCGACATAATCCCCCATGTCCTGAGTATCTGCTCGCCTCGCCCAATCGTTCGCAGCCTGGGTGGCTAAGAACTTGTACCCATTGGATTCAGGCAACCCATCTCCCCTATTGCTCACTGCCCAGGTGATTTTAAAACCAGAACCGCTCGTTCGCTTTACCAAATCTGAGTCGTCGGTATCTCTGGGCGGTAGAATCTTGATCGAACCGGCCCCGTCTTCGCGTAGTGTCAGATGGTGATCAGCTACCTCGTCATCATTGCCGGAGTCTGTCAGACCTCTTATGACTAGACTGTAGCTTGCTGGCTCAGCCAGGTCTCGCGCGTCCAAAGTAGCCACTTCCGAAATGGATCCGAAAGTCATGTTGCGTGCGGCAATATGGCTCTCAAGCTGAGATCTGAGCCAAGCACCGTAGCCTGCGTCTTGACCGGGTCGACTTCGACGTCTTGAAGTATTCACGGCCTGAGCGCCTTTGTCTTTGGGATTCTGCACCATCATCCCGTAAAAGACAGCAAATGAAAGAGTGCCCCCGACGGTGCCGGCAACATTGACGCATTTTTGTCCATCCATGAGTCGACAGACATTATAGGCTATGGTGGTACCAGAGGCGATACCGAGGACTCTTGCAGAGTATTCCGGATATTGGGAGATGAACCCTACAAGTTGATCGACCATTTTATTGCAGTCAATGTTCAATGACACATCCTGGCGCTCATGGACGGCAAGGTCGGCCTTGGCTCTGAGCGCTATTGCACTAGTTTGGGGCATCGCCAACTCATTGCGACTGTTTATACCGATGGAGTAAGCGCTTCCTATCTCTAGGAGGGCTAGTACTGGGATTACGGTATGTGTTCTCATGGCAAAAACTTGATTTTGAAGGATCTTTCGTGGTAGCTTGATGGGGTTTCAATGGACAAGATGAAGAGGCTAAGAGTTACAATTGATGTGGTTAAGGCACACTGGTGATGCATGGATTCATCCGATATCTAGGTATAGCAAGAAAGCTCATATCGTATTTATAACATTTAGCTTATATTAAGGTTAGGATGACAGTAGACCATGGAAATAGTGAATTGTCCTCATTCTATTTTTGTGTTCTTGGAACTACGTGAGCGTGGATCGTGGACTCAATTGCGCCTCTGGCAGTGCACATGTTGCAGGATGCTATGCGTATTGGAGATCTTCATATAATACTATGAATAACCGAGTGAGGCTCCAACATTCAGAAAGGAAAACATATGATCACTACATAATGCTACTTAAAATAGCCAACATAACCCACTCATGATATGAATTGCACCAGGATGATAACATTACCATCTATCATGATGTCATCATTAGGATTGTCTACATGATATGATAAATCAGCTATTTTAGCTGGCGTAGGCGCAGCGTTTCGTGTCCAGCATATGGCTCCACAGGATCAGCAAATATCATGTTATCCATTGCCGCTGTACTTAAAATTGCGGTACAAATGAGCGCGTAGAGGAACACATGACAGATTCAACACGTGTCCTGTAGACGCTGATTACCTTAACTTTGACTACTGCAATGAAAGACTTTGATCGTTTCTCTCCATTCTCCACACCATTGTTAGAGCCTGAGCTGCAAGGTATCAATAACGATCCGATTCCCTTCTATCTACCATTCTCTAGCACAGCACATCCTTCCCTTTTGGCCCTGTTCTACGATCCGCCCCATTTCTCAGTCAGTACGCAATGAAGAGCCCTCAGCAGTTGGGACTTTTTATGTTGGCCATGGTCACGCAAGCTTTCGCTTACGATTCACCCGAGGAAGCTATCGGTCTTACGGCAGTCCTTATCATCTCGAGTTCGATTGCGGCATATTCCCTTTGTCAGTTGATTGGATCAGAAACCCATGATATATGGCGATGCGCTCCTGCCGCACTCGAGGCTGGAGCTATCACTGCCGTAGCGATCCCGCATTGCAATTGGGGAGATGATGTGTGGGCATACACCAGAAGAGTCATCGGATAGGATGACCGTTCGATATTTGAATCTTTTACATACAAATGCATAGGTCTGACCAACAAATTCTAGTTGCTCGGAACAATATCATGGTACTAAATTGGTCTTTCAACACTTGGCAGCCATACCAATGAGTGACATGTATCTGAAATATCACTGTATAACGAAATGATCAAACGCCTTTTTATCACCCCTCACCATTTCCTCCAAAGCTTCACTCGCAACAGGCCCGTCACTAAGTTGGTCATAGCTAAACGACCCGCATCGAACATATGCGTCCTTCGTCGTGGTCTGTCGTAACAAGAGGCCTTTGGCTTCTAGCGTAGACGATGGCTTGTCAATAACAACGAAAATTGGCCATACCACGTAGAAATTCCTACGTCCGGTATCTGTCGCTTTTTGAAACTCTTCGATGCGGTCCCACATTACATATGCTTTGCCAATTGAATCAACAACCGTAGGGCAGTATTGGTGATTGTTTTGAGATGTATAAGGGAACTCAGGAATCGCCCTGAATAACCTGCCGTGCACCAGGAGCTTGCTGGGTAGGCATTCGGGCGTCTCGGGCTCTGCGAACGTGACTGTGGCTAGCGGAGGTGCAATATCCTCCCAAATATTTGTTGTCTGCAGGCCAGGTGTAGAGGTCAGAAAATTGAACTCTACAGCGCCGGGAACGCTGAGCCAAGACCAACTGGGAAGACACTCGAAGGCTGCTTTTGGAGTGCACATTAAAGATCTGGATGATGTCTGTTTCGAATTCCATGCTAGTTGATAGGTAATCATGCGAGACCAAACACCATGTGCGCAGGATACTAAGTGGAATTCTGGTGCAGAGGGAGCTTCGAGCTCTTTTGTCTTCGTTGCTATCACGTCGGTGATTTCAGTTCGCGCTACGATATTGTTTGCAACTGCCGCCGAAAGTTCTGCCACAACAGCGGTCCAGAAAGCCGCCAGGCGCGTGTCAAACTTGTCAGCAGCCACGGCAAAGTCCAAAGATTTTGGATCAAGACCATGTGGTCGAGTCAGACAGAGCGGTGACACGAGGCCATCACTGGGGCCGGTGGGGAGCCAAGAACTATGCACAGTTCCCTCGAGACATTGGAACCAGAGCTGTTGCTCGCAACAGAAAATCGTAGCTGGCGCCAGGAGAAAGTCCTGATGAAAAGAGGCGCTGGTCCACAGATTAGAGCTTCTTACCAAATCGGAAAAGGACTCCTGGGAATAAACCATCAAGCAGTCCTTGGGGGACCAGCCAGGGTTAACAATAGGGACTTGACACTGTTTTGAGGCCGGAAAGAGGGGCCGGCTCGTCTGAGGGGTGGAGTCCAGCATGGCTATATTGAACACAGCCGAAGCATAGACGTCACCGCGGTGTCTATGGCTGTCTGCCGAACTAGAACAAAGCGACGAGACCCAGACATGGGATAAACCTGCAGCCAATGCGATGTGGATAGCATCTTGCAAGCCTCGAGTCAGAACCTCGACGCTGTGGGAGAAAGAGTTTTCCTCGATCTTTGAACCTGGAACAGTTTCTTCCACTTCCGGATGCTGACTTATAGTCGCATATGGAATATGGAGCTGATTTGTTGTTATATCCAAAATCTGGAACATCGTCATGTTGTTCTCCTCTCTGACGTGTAGGAGAAGTTTCGGTCGGTGCTTTATCTTCTGGCTAACAACACGGCGACGATGGCATAACGCATGACGCTCGGCGTCGCCGCAGCAATTTGAGATCCACCCATGGACCAAACTGTCTTGTAAATAATTTGGAACGTTAGTCGTTGGGGTTCTGTTGACTAGAACTATAGTTAGCATCAAAATTTATTATACCAGTTGTATTTTCAGACAAACATTCGGCAGTATTCAAGTAGATTGCGGTGCGCCGATTCTTCGCCAGAACGATGATGAGGATCTGGTATCCGGTAGGGACTTTGTATATACGAGAGATGGTGGCTGGCTCGCTATCACTGCCGACTTCCTTTGGAAAATCTGCCTTGACAATCGAGCAAATGAAGCAGCCAGAGGCCACAGAACTTTGGAAGCTTTGCACAGTCTGGTGGTGTGATCCCGGCGGTGCAACAAGAGCGAGGTCACCAACAGTTAGTGCCAAGGGCTTGTCCTTCCCCCCAAATATGCCACGACAAGCTTGGCACAGGGTCGACGCGGCGTTAGATATTGCTGAATGCTGGAGATTTGCCATTATTGTTAAGAGTTTTAGAGCGGACGTTGCAAGAAGTTGAAATAGTAGTGTGTAGTAGGAGTAATGCTGTGAGACAAATCTATGTCCTCGATATAAAGCGCCAGGAGAAGAACTCCACTTTATAGCCGTTCTGTCCCTTCAACAAATTAGCCACTTCTAAGAAGTTTAGTAGGGTGGGTGGCTATCCATCGGGGCCATTGCAACGCTAAGCTCGTTGACAGTGGCGCTAAGGATCAACGCCAGTGGAAGCCCGCTAATTTCTCACCAAGGTAGCACCGCTAACGTCGCTTAGGCCGCTAAAACGTGCCGCTAGGATATAGTATCTGGAACACTGAACTATATCTGCCCAGGGATATGAGATAGTTCGGTATCATTCTATAAGGTCGCATGTCGTTTATGGTAACATTGGCTCAAAAGCGTTTCGGTTGGGGACGATGGAAGTAATACAGGTAAAGAACGTTTTTTTATCTACTAAAAAAGGGACCACTAACACTCTTCTTCCATTCTAAACAGCCTGCACAAGGTTCATTCTACCATACTCGTTCTGCACACTGCTCATGACCAGTTACGTACACACAGCCTGCGTCGCCAGGTCCGACCAGGAACAGCCATTTCCTGTTGCAGTACACTTTATACACGTTAGCCCACTTCCCCTAGTTTAGATGAAGATGTGCATATCATGCATACCGGGTGGCTCGGAACACCTTCGGCGCACTGCCTCTTAACATTTGTGTTTGTCACGGTACCATCAGCATTCGTCTGTGTTACAACGACGCGGCAGTAAGAGCCCGGACGGTCGCTATTAAAATAGCATTTCTAGAGCAAGTCAACATCATTGCCTTCGTCATGTTGCTAAATGTCTTACTCCGCCCCAGACTGTACGCTTGTTAAGCTCGTCTGTTTCACCAAACGATCGCTCGATGGAGGCGTTCTCGGGGGTGGTGCCGGGGACGGGTACGATAGCCGCGCAATAGGCGCCTGTAACAACGCCGGAAGCAATGCAAATTACGTGCAAAAACTTCATTGTGTATGTAAATGCGGTAAGGTTTTAGTACAAATATGAATTGAAGATTCGGTGAGATTATTCGAAAGGTTGTGAAGATTAAAAGCTCTGGTATTGTGAAAAAATCGACCAGAGAAGCAAAGCATCTTTTTTATATCACGGCCGCTCCAAGGCTTCTATACTGAATTGCCCAAGTCATTGGTACCTTGGTACCGTTTGGAACACAAAGACAGATCTGCATCAGCGTATGTATTCATGTCAGTAGATGGCTGCGGCTCAGCACCCTAACACCCCACCACCAATCTCAGCTGTATGGCAGATTTCATAATATCATATGACGCAGCATCATCACGGAACATCTTCCAAGGGACATTTATACCAAAAATAACTCTTCCGTGTAGATCATTGAAAATTAACTCTATGACCTCACCGACCTGACTAGAATATCGATGGGTTTGCTGCTCCCAATTGCCATAATCATGATTATGGATCCTCATCATATCATATAAATCTCCTGATGGAGCGCTAAAGAATATCACAGCCACGAGGATAAAGGATTTCTTCCAAATATGCAAACTCGGCTTGGCATTATCGAGTAACCTGGAAGTTCTTGGGCCTCACCACGCCCCAAACACCAGGCTCCGCAACGTCTTCCTGATCATAATCCACAGAGAAATCAGTCATTGAGCTTCAATATCGGTATTACTGGAACCTTGAACCTAGCAGCATGGCAGTGCAAGGCTGTTGATCTTCTGTTTACTTTGGTCAAAACTTCCGTCATACTTTCTGACTCAACTGATTTATCATTATGCGGCGAGGAGGGAGTAGGATCTTGAATGGCAGATCGCGGTCCTACGGCTTAACATAGAATTTGAGATGGTCGCTAAGTTCAAATGTACTAACACAGTTACGATAACGTTGAGATAGATTGGGGCTGGGAATTGTTCTTAGGGATAGCTCGATTGGATATAAAAACAGCTTTCCCTCTCTCCTTCACCTGGATTCTAATCATCTCAAACCATCATTTCCCTATAAATTCGTATTCACATCGATCTCATTATCATCTATATACAAATACTTAGCATACTATATCTGATCAACTCAAAGCTTGACCAGCCCGATATAACATATTCATAACCAACAATATGCGTTCCTCAATCCTCGTCACTCTCGCGGCTCTAGCCTCAGGTGTCTTTTCCGCCGCCGTGATGAAACGCGCAGACGTCGACCATTCCAAAGACGGTGTGTACACCGCAGGTGGCAAGGTCAGCAGCTTGGGCAAGCGCGCGGAGGTCGACCATTCCAAAGATGGCGTCTACACCGCAAGCGGCAAGGTGGCCAATGTGGACAAGCGCGGTCTTCATGAAGTTCATTCTCAGCTCGCTGCGCGTGGTAACAATTTCGGCTGTGACGACCACGTTGCTGTCACCCCTGACGACGGCGCAGCAGCGCGAGATGCGCTTCTACTGTGTAAGTATATCTCTATTTTCACGTCGGCACGGAGACTAGACGAGCTGACCAACACCAACTACGTATAGACTGTAGTGCCCAAGACTCAAACTGCAATCAGACCATATGGGCCAAGTCTGGTGAAGCCGTGGTTTTCTTCTGCAGGTGGAGGGATGCCGCGAAATGGAACCCGAACTCCTTGACGTGGGCTCTCGGTCAAATCCAGAGCCAGTGCGGCAACAATCAGGGTGGCAACGCCAATGACATGGACGGAGAGGAGTCGAAAAGGACCTGGTCGTACGGCTTGACTGACTGGACACGAAATGATTGGTGCAACTATCAGGCCGGTTTCCAGGAATAGATTGAAAGGAGATACGGATACAGATCTCACTTATAAAATGAGTTTGGTTTTGCGAGGGGACGGACTTCGATAAGTTATACATAGAGATGTGATGTGATATTAGTCAAGGCGTGCCACCACAATGGCTAGAGTAACCAATCAAAACATTAAGATATAAAAAGCTTTTGTTTATTTTATTTGTTTGGTCCAAAACCAGGAATTAAGTCGGCTTTGATATACTTTATCATTTGAGCAGTCTTGATTAGTCCTCGATTCCTCCGAAACGTGACAGGATATCTCCTAAATCTCTCTGGATAAAGCGCCGACAGGTGATGCGAAAAGTCGGAGGCCAAGAGAGTAAGTTTTGGGGCAATGCAGCAATCTGACTGAAGAGATGTTGGCAATCTACTCGACTGGTTCTATTACCGCACTACGCTCTCGATACGGTGTGTATCATTGGCGTCACAAGTCCGTGGGCCTGGAGGCCATAGATACGACTAGTCCCTACCTTGGAGGCGTTCACTATACGCCTCCAGTAATAGATAGGCCGGTATGTCGGCCGTCCCTTCTTCTCCAACCATACTTCATGTCCCTTTTCGTTCATTATACTCAATTACCTAATAGCAGAAGACTCAAGTAGCCATCTCTTTACAATAGCTAGAAAGTCGTACTTGACTGAGAGCCTCGCTCGCTACTTGGCAGCGCTCTGTCGATTGTAAAACGACTGTAACTCAATCTTCAGAGAGAGACACGAGGAGAAACTTTCCAAAGCTCCACCTGAGTTCTATTTCTGTCAAAAGTAGAGATCATTGCGAGATCGCTTTTTCCTCTATCAAGACTGTGGTTTCTCTCCTGTGAGCAATCAAGCACAACGCACGCTGAAGCTGAATTATGTCAAGTTTCAAAGTCACTTGAATATCAAGGTATATACATGACAATGATAATTATCGTGCAGTCCTTCGCAGTCGGTCACATCATCCTGTCGAATAACACTTCGGAAAGCACAGATTTTCGCTGTTGTCTTTGACATCTTTACATACACCGAATTTTAAGCGGCTGCCCAGGCCGCAGTAACCGCAGCAAGCTGCTTATGTTTGTGGACATTAAACGGAGCATTTGAGGCGCGATAGAGCATTGAGCGGGTAACTATTGATACCAAAAGCTCTATTAAGAAGACGGTAATAAAGCTAGCTGGAGGAAACACTCTAGTTTGAGAATACCCAAGAACAGTATTGTCTTGAAATACAAAAGATCTTTATCAAGCCAATACGATAGTTCCCCGTTATAACGTGGTCTCCCGACGTGATTGTCAGTTGTGAATAGACGTAGAAAAATTGCATTTTTCACAAAGTAATATTCAACTTTCGCCTTGCTTTGTACAGTTCAAATATATGTTATAACACAAAATGCAACGAATATATTGCTCGCCTATCAAATACCAAGCGCCATGATTGCAATGCGGAAACCCAGACAAGCTCATAATCCATCACTCAATGCCTAATTAACGAAGAACAAAAGCCCTAACTTATATCGTTCCCATATCTTGACTCCGAACTCCTTGCCTTTGAACCTTGAATAGTCCAAGTTGTTTTATCATGAAGCAATAAAACCCAACTTGCCAAACAAAGTATCCATGGCTACCCATCTGCGCCCACACTTATCCAGATACTTTTCAACAACAGCCTGGACAGTTCCAAAACGCGCCATATTGTGCAACGCCAGAGCCATGGCCTCTTCCTTCTCGGCAGCGGTCAACTTCTCGTCACCAATATCCGATTCGCCACTGCTGACCTTGGTCTTGGTCTTCTCTACGTCCCATAAGCTGGCGAAGTAGCAGAGCTGGTTGTACACATCGCGCTCGCCAAACTCGTACCTCATCTTGCCAAGACAGCCTTTGCCTAGGCCGTTGGGACCTAAACAGCGATCACCCTTGACGGACATCTGTCGTGTTCGGTTGCCACATTGTGGGTCATCACATACCAACCAGCCTTCGTAGTACTTGGCAGTCTGCTTACGAATCGCTGTCTCAACCTGAGCAACGATGCTGAGATTAGAAATGGATGCAGAGCAGGTCTTGCATGTGACGCCAGTCGGAGTGATGGACTTCAATGACCCAAGGAGACCCTCAAACACGTTTGAAGTCTTACACTTCCTGCAGCGGAGCTGCAATCTCGTGCAGTCGCTGAATCGGATAGAGTCGGGAATCTGGGACTCAAGGGGGTGGATTTCGAGGTCTTGAGATCCACTACCGTTATGCGATGAGTTGTTGCTAGCATAACGACGGATATCCAGACCGAGCTGCTCAGCGAGCTGTGCAGTTGATGTACCGGTGATGTTGGCACAAAGACGTTCGACGGGAGGGAAAATCTGCTTGCCAATGTACCACTCTACATCAACCTTCAAACCCATGTCTGCCTTCATCACGTCCTGTGGTATATACGCACGCTTGGCGACGGAATCCGAAGAGCCGCTATCACCAGTGATGACGTAGGATATAACATCTCCCTTTCTTACATTCTTGCCACGTGCGATGTCCCGGAGGGCAACCTGTACTTGTGGCATTGAGTCGGCATTGGGATATTCCTTTGGACCTTTTCCGAGTTGTGTGAAGATGATGTACTTTTGGACGGGAACGGCACCCTCGCGCATCTTTGCTGAGATCTCACGAAGATACTCATGAATGCGCTGTATCGATACTTCGGTGTCGTCTCCTGAAAGAATATCGTTAAGAATGCGTGATGAAATCTCCTTGGAGAGGGCACAATATTCTCTGCGCTTCATATCCAGACCCTTGACTTCCATCTTCTCCTCCCACCTACCACCCGGAACCTCAACGAGGTTAATGGCAGCGTACTTCTTCTTGGCCTGTAATAAAATCCGCCGGAAGACATTGTCAATATCAATCTCCAGAAGGCGGTATCGTTCATTGACAGCCTTCTTGAACTCTCGTCCAACCTTGAGCGCATCTGCAACAGAGTCCACATTCGCGTTGATCATAACTGAATCAGTATCGCCGTAAATGACCTGGAGAGAATTGGACTCGGCCAAATCCTTGGTGCTTCGCAGAATCTCACGACCCTTGAAGGTGGTGAGAACAGCAAGAGGCCGGGCGTAAAAGCGTGACTTGGTATAACCCAGACAACCATACATGGAGTTGGCTGTGAGCTTGAGCGCAAGCTGCTTGATATCCCATGTTGCTAATTGCTCTGGGGTGGCATTCTTGTCCTTCATGTTGGACTTGACCGCTTTTCGGCGACTGACGAGTGTAGCGATGAGTTTGGGAAGAATACCCTGTTCTTGCACTGTGGGAACTTCGGGAACAGCATCTTCTTCCTCAGACTGTAAATCATGTTAGCGGATGTTGTATGATAGTTCAGGATATGAACGTACCAGACCCACTCGGTCAACCGTCGTAAAACAAATGTTATACTCTTGAATAATAGAAGGGTACAAAGAGTTGAAGTCCATGACAAGTACGAACTTGTCATACAGTCCTTTCTCTGGCTCGAAGACCAAACCTCCCTTGTATTTGTCCTTCTTCTTGGTGTCTGCTGCCTCTTCGGCGTTCTCATCTTCGGGCTTCGGCCTGCCCTTGAAGACTTGCTTGTCAGGGCAAATATACTTGTTGCGGTGGAATTCATGAAGCAAAATGTACTCATTTCGCTCAGCACGAGTACCAGTCAGCGTTCGTGCCCAGGAATTACCAGCGAGGTTGGTCAGGACCTTGGTCAGAGGTAGCATCTGAGTACTCAAGGCAAGCGCAGCGATATAGTGCGTATCCGCCTCGATGTGAGTGATATAATCCATAAAACCATTTGCCGTAGTGGCCCATGTTTTTAGAGCCACATCATTATCGACGTCTCTACGCTTCTCGCCACCAAGATAGAGGCTAACCATCTCGGTCAAACTCCAAGATTGACACTTGAGCATGACGGATTTTCCAGCATCGTTTGCCAAATCACAAAGCAGGCGACCAGCCATGACTTGACGTTCCGCAAAGACGTTACCCCCAACTTTGCCCATAGACGCCGGCCAAGTGCTCTTTCGGAGACGGCCTAAACGAGACCACTGAGGGGTCTTCTTCTCATGAAGACGGTTCAGAAGGATGCTGTAATCGACACCTTCGAGCTGATGTCCCATTATGACATCAGGATCAGCGACATCAACTTGGGCCAGGAAGAAAGACAGGATCTCTGACTCTTGCTTCATAAGCTTGATGAGGCCCTTATTCTTTCGTCCTTGTACCAGTTTCTCAAAGCCCATGGGAAAAGCTGCACCATTTGGTCGGACCAAGGTGAACGTCCTGCATGGGAGCTTCTCCGCTGGCGTGGTTTCGCTTAGAGAGACATTCTCGTAAACGCGAGCGCTGATGGAGAGGATCTCCTGCTTATTCAACTTGGCGTTGAATGTCGTACGCATGGCAACACTCATCAAGGTCAGAGGAGGAGCATCGAGATTGTCGGACTCGGCCATGGAAGAGACCATGTTGGGGTGATCGACAAGAACCTCAAGCTTGGCATGAGAGGCGTTCTTGAGAGCTCCGAAATCAGCGTCCTTAATCTTGAGCCAACCGGGGCCCTTGATGTTCTTCCATAAGACGAACTGCTCGAAGAGAGCGGTGTTGCTACCAAAGACATGAGAGAATGTTTCGCCGACAGTCTCTGGGGTGATCTGAGGACTGTTGTAAGGGTAGAGGAGTTTGAGATATTGCCCCTCACGGGGAATGTTGGGCAATTCGAAGGCGTATTTCCGCGTGCAAGCCTTGATCTTGTGCATCTTGACCTTCATCCTGTTCATGATTTCGTCCACCTCGGTGTAGACGTCCATCATACCAACTGTTTCATCAGTATCGACACCGTTCCTCTGACGGCATTCGCGAGGCAAGAAGTATAGCTTCCGTAAGACATTGTCGACTTTGACGAAGCAACTGACATGTGAGTTTGTCTTCTTGTTGAGGACCTTGCCAAACAAGCACAAGCTGCCATTGACTTCGGAGTAGTCAGTCCAGAAAAAATTTAGGCTGCCGTCCTCTTCGATGGCGTCTTTGTAGTCGATCTTTCCAATTCCTCGAGACTCAGTTTGTGAGCTACTGACGACATTCAGTTTGTTGTTGAGATCGTTCCAGGACGACGAATCAACCGTAGTGTCGGCCGGCTTGACTGGGGATGAGCTGGCAGGAGAAGGATAAGGATCCGGCTTGACAAGCTTCCTAATAGGCCGAGCTGCAGACAGATTGACACTGGCAGTGTTGATAGTAGCAGCATGGGCGACCTCCATCATGTCTTCGTCTTCGTCGTCGGCAGGCTCGATCTTAACTTGAGCAATCTTCCGTTCGGCAGCTTTTACGGTTGGCGATGAGGGTGCGGGCTCGGCGTCGCTCATGGGGACTTCTGCTGCTGTATGTGGTGGTGGCAGGTCGTCGTCCATTGACGCGACAAAGCCCTCGTCTTCATAAATATCAGGCGAAGGGGATCGAGCGCCAGCAACTCTGGCCTTCTTTGCTGCCGGTTGTCTGGCAGGGGATAGAGCACGGGCTTTCCTCCTTTCTGGAGTGATCTTCTTTGGGGCCCGAGACACCGGGGCGGGGATGTTGGCGTCGACTTGGCCGAGCAGGTCAGCCAAGAATTGGTCATCTGCTTCTGTTTTGACAGCCTATTCCGCGTCAGCAAGGTTATGGCGAGGTATGGATTCAGGGCTTCTCACCTTGGGTTTAGATTGAGGTGCAGTGCGACCCTTGGTGAAGTACTCGCTGATATCTCGGTCGTTGGCGTCTCTCTTGGCCTTGTCTTCCTCGCGCTTCCGCTTGTCTGCTGAACATTAGCACGCCGTCTCTTAGCCTGAGGATCTCTCGAGTTATGTCATCCATACCAGCTTTGCCATTGGGACCTCTAATCACCCTGTCGTCTTCGCTGTCGCTGTCATAGTGCTGGACGCGGTCCCAGTCCTCGCGTCCGTCGTCGGCATATCCTTCGCCATTGTCATCGACGACGAAATCGTCTTGGTTGAGACGGTCTCTGACAATCTTCTTGTATTGATTCTCGTCGACCTCCTCGTAGAGGTCTGCTTCTTGTTCGACCTCGTATGAGTCGAAGATCTTCCTGCCCGAGGCTTTGGCTGCCTTAAGCTCGGCGAGCTTCGCCCTCCTGGCAGCAACCTTGGACATGCTGTCTGTGTTTGTGGTGGCAGAAAGAATTCAAGGAATGTTTTACAAAGTGTCAGACATGATCCAATTAGACGAGAAAGGGGTGGGTGGTTGTAGCAAGACTGATTGAATTGAATTGGTACGAGCAAGTCACAACAACAATTACTTCGGGAGAGGGCAGGGCACCCGCCTACGCGAACCTCTTTAACGTTAGAGTGGGAAAAGACGCGGCGCGACTTCGCGTTTTCGACGTGACGCGCTAAGAGATACCCCTGTGATGACACGAAATTTAGTGTGAGGTTTGAGTGGCTGACCTGCTGGGTGGGCCAAAGTCATTTGTTGGAAATCGGTGGGGTGTCTGCACCATAGCTATAGCCGTTGAAAGTTCAACATGAGCGCCTCCAGCTTGCGCCGTTCTTGTCTTCCAGTACATGGCAGCCGCCCTATTACGTATCACTGAAGTATTTCTGGATATCTATTACATTGGATCAAGTAAAACACACAAGTTGAACACTGCATGCATTATTTTCTAGCAGTATCTGAGCTGGAAGTTGTCCGATACTGGCCTTCCTTCCAACCATCCAACAAAACAAGTAGCATGTTGCTTTGAAGACCGATAAATAGTAGTAAGCCAGAGACGTCCTTGGCGTGTACGTCAGCTATTGACGCTGTCGAAGCTGTCGGAGCTGTCGACGAGACCTGATGTATAGCAGTCCCAGCCTAGGTCCGACTGAGTCCACGCAAACGAGCTGAGATCAATCGCGATGAGCGAGGTGCAAGCGACTGAGAAATTGGCAGCGTCGATGATACGGATCCGTACTTCGTCGTCCTCTGTTGTTGGATCATAGGAAGCAACGGCGTCATGGCGGTGGGACACACCTAGTGTGCCACGAGCGATCTCTATATAAAACCCCACTCTATACACCCTTCATCGGCAGCCTGAAGTCAGATCGTCCAGGGTCGTGGGTGCAATTCTCATTACAACGTACTCTGCCTTGGCGACACTGTATCAACAGAAGAAAAATAATGCATAGCGTAGGTCGCGATCAAAGTCACAAGCAAACTGGCGACAAGTTGGGCGTCCTGCGTCCGCCCACATTGTTCTGATAATTACAGATCCGAATCTGGGAGCTTGGTAGGAATGATCTGATGCGCCGAGGCAGCTGAGTGTAGGTCAGCCAGTCTGGTTTCGGTTCAGACCAGACCAGGCGCATTGCATCCTTAAGACAGACAGGGAGACGCTGTGAACTCAGAACAGCATTATAGGGCGAGGTTCCTCTCGCAACGTCCGTTTTGGTTCCTGATGTGCATTTAACACGATTGGGGTCAAAAGGTAGGTATGTTGATCGAGTGTGGTGTTGCGGCTGAGGAACAGAACTATCCTTTGTTCTCCTGACGGTTACCTAAAGTGGTTGCTCCAGGTGGATATCTGAGGCATCCCATTAGTTCCTATTTCTCAGGTTTCAAGTACTCACAACCACTTATTTTCTTTCGTGAAGTCTTTCATAGGTTCACATAATATATCAGCTTATGCCACAACTATCCTACCAACAATTAAACCGCAGTCGGCTCTGGCTACCATGCTAGAGGAGCTGAACCTCGAAAAGGAAGTCCAGCAAGAGAGTTAAGGTCATAACAGAGGAGGAAGTCGCACCTTTGGTCGACGGGAACATTAACGACTTCGCCGATCCTACAGGCGATCATATCATCCCAGGTCATCTCCTTGACGAGGTAGATGAAAATGTCAAAGATCGTGAAGACCACTCCCCATCTTTTTCTTCTACGATAACTAGTGATGTCCAAAGTGATACCTCCTGGCACAGAAATCCTCTCAATCGCATCGCATGGAAATATTCAGTGGTCGAGCATCGCAAAGATTCAGAATGAGCTGAGTAGTGAACCTATCTCCTACTTCATAGAGATCACCGCTCGTCGAGCGGGACAAGTTACCTACAGCTGCGAGTTTAAGTCTCTCTTGTTCATTCACAAGGCACTGCTGCAGTATTCTCCAGAGCCCATTGGCTGAGGTAAATACCGGTCAGATCCTGGTGCCTGGTTCCTCCTCATCAGCGTTATCGACATACATCACGAAGGTGAAGAGCCGAAGTTTCTGCTCAAGGCACTCGCCGAACTGCATCAAAAGGCGTTAGCACCAAACGATAGACACGGTTTACATGTGACCATAAGCAGTGGAGGCTTTCCGATCACATTTGATCCTTGTTCTATGTACAGCCATAATAAATGCGAGTTATCTAGGGTCATAAAATCATTGCCCACTTACTAATTGCTTTTGTTAGTTGATCTTGGAGTTTGGTCAATGGGCCGTGGGGTCATTATTCGACCTTATATAAGCAACTACACTAGCATTAATGGAAAGTCTTAACCTGAAGAAAATTTCGATGTTGAGGAATATATCATATCGTCGGTACGTGACCTTGGCAGTATACTTGGATTTCCAAAAGCTAATCTAAAAGTAAGCGCTTTTGAAGCAAGAGTGTCGGCCACCATTGCTGGCAGTCCGGTGTTCAGAGACATGTAAGCGATCTCAATCCGAAATATTTCAGTGGATAATCCTCTCTAATCCTAAGCAGTGTGCTTGAATGCCTGACAGCCCTGGACGAAATGATTCCTGACACATGAGGAGTGGGCAACAGCTCGAGGTGGGGAGGTCTGTTTCCAAAGGTAGATCGTGGTTTGAAATGGCCAACATCTTTCTTGATTTATATCTACGTCTGTAGATGACCTTGGTATCGTAAACAGTAGGACATAAAATATGGCGATACGTGTGACTTATTTTTTATTTTACTTATTTTTATCCTCATAATACATAAGCAGAGCCTACGAAGTGGATTCGATATAGTTAATAGTCTCCTTGGTCCCCGGCTTACTCTATTTGCATCATCGCTCCTAGGACTAGCTTCTTCTTGGCTCTTCACATTTACTCCCCACTGCGGGCCAAGCAGCATCCATTTTCATACTCCAACTTTCCTCAACCTCTTCTCCTCTGCCCCACCTTACTACCGACAGTGCCGTCTCAGGGAGGCATAACGCGATCATCAGCATGCTTACCGTTGCAAGCACCATCAAAGCTGCAAACACCCACGCAGCGCTACCCGTACACCATGTAATGAGACCGCCCAATACGGGACCAATGTCGTTGAAGACAAGACCTAAACTACCCAGCGTAAAGATAGCATATGCGGCAAGGCTAACAAGGCGCCTGCGGTGAGCTTCCGCGGTAGTAGCGGGGGAAAAAAGAAGGGGAAAAGGCCGGCATGATTGCATGGATTACTACTTACAAATGGTTTGAGCAGAAGAGACGTATTGTGTCTGAAGGAGCGGGAACAGCGGCAAGTATATGCAAGCTATGGGTGGCGAAGCAAGACTAGCCACGCCTAGGACGGCTGCGAGAATGCGTTTCTGACGTTTGTCATATACAGAGTACGGTTCCATGACGCCTTGCGTAGAAACGGCGTTGACTTCTTCATGTGCTGAGTCCTGAGTCCGGAACTCCGATTTAGACTCATTTGAACCGTGGATTTCAACGGTTAAGTTCCCGGCAGCCATGGTTGCTGAACTAATCTTAGGGGACTGTACCCCACAGCTAGAAAAGGATGGTCTTAATACCTTTAACCTAGAATATGGCCCAGCCTGAATAACTGTGTTACATACCGCTCGAACTGCTCATGGTCCCTGTGGATCAAATATGGGGCATCATACTGTTCCTGTACGATGTAGAAATGTCTCGCAGTGCACTAGCGGGGTGTGATTTGATGCCCACTTATCTGTTCCCCTAATCACAGATACGGTTGTCCGGCTTTTTGGACCCTGAATCGACTAACCTAGGCAGCCTCCGCAGGCCGAGGCCAACAAGCCACCAGTCAGGCTGGAATAATTATTCTTGAAGATGGGGAGATTCTGCATGTTAGTGTCGACGGTTTTTCCGTGTCTCCCTTCCTTGCATTGAATGTGCATGGTTTTCCCGAACAGGTTTTCTTCTCTCTGGGTAGCCTGGTTTCAATGCTAGGTGTCCAGATCACATGCGTGGTGATGGACGGAGCCGAATCGTTGGAACAAAGGGGGTTCGAGACTAGGCCGGATTTGACCGCGAGAATGGCCCAACAGATTAAGATAGACCTTGCATTTGTGCAGCTAGATGAGATCTACTGACCATTCATGAGCAATCATTTTTCGGACCGGCGTCCGCAATTGAGATATGCACGTGCCACGCCGCTTCTGGGCCCTGAGCTGGGCAAGGATGTGCTAGATTCACGCCTGCAATGGAACACATCGCAAGATCAGATATCCGCTTAGTGATTTTTATGCACAGAATGACCGCAAATGACGTGTACCACAACGCTGTCGAATGCGAAGGAAGCCGAAACAGTAAATTGCTTGGCTTCCCAACTAGTTTTTTCGTCGTTCCCTGGCTGCCAATTCCGAGCTAACGGCTTCCAAGAAGTTATGGACACGATGGATAGCGTATCAATATCAATTTTCCGTAATAGGAGGCGGAGGCGACAAAGCCCAAATTCAAAGCCCCCAAGTCCCTACAACAAACCTTCCCTGATTGATTGTCCTTCTGCCCAAGTAGACGACCAAAGTACTACCATAGGGCATTCCAACGTGCGCTGACTCGGGTTACGAGTCTTTGGCATTGCCATAACCACATCAGCCATTCGCGGCTCCCACCATCGTCTGCAACCATCAACATGTCGTCGACCACGACAACCACCACCACGATGGCGCCTAAGACAGCCCCAGCCACCAAGACGCCAGGGCACATTTCCGACCAGCCTTGGACCTTGGCCAACTGGTATCAACATATCGACTGGCTCAAGACAACACTTCTTGTCATTATTCCTCTGGTAACTTGTTACTTTGCTTACTACACGCCGTTGCAACGTCCTACCCTCATTTTTTCCGTTCTCTTGCACCTGTGGGCCGGTATTGGCATCACAGCAGGATACCATAGACTGTGGTCCCACCGTTCGTACACTGCGACGCTGCCCCTTCAACTCTTCCTCGGCTTAGGTGGCGCGAGCGCCCTCGAGGGCTCAATTCGATACTGGAGTTGGGGCCACCGAGCGCATCACAGGTTCACCGACACCGATCAGGACCCGTACACCGTACACAAAGGCCGTGAGTTACTTCCAGCGCGTGATTGACCCCACGGAGAGCGACGAGCATAGCCCTCGGCGGCCCAGGAGAATAACCCGCTCCTGGACGTCGGTGTTGGCACAGTCGATCACCGTCGCCATTCCTCCACGAATTCATTACTGACATGGCCATGTTTTTAGTGTGGCACGCACACATGGGATGGCTATTGGTTCGCCAAGATTACAAGAAGCACGGCCGAACCGACATCTCCGACTTGAGCAACGACCCCTTTGTTGTCTGGCAGCATAAACATTACCCGGCAATATCTATAACATGTGGCTGGATTCTGCCGATGGTGGTCGCAGGACTCGGCTGGGGTGACTGGCGAGGCGGACTGATCTACGCTGGAGTCCTCCGTGTCGTCACCGTCCAACAGAGTTCCTTCACCATCAACAGTTTGGGTCATTACTTGGGTGATCAGCCCTTCGACGATAGGCGCTCTCCGAGGGACCACTGGATCTCTTCCCTCTTCAGTCTCGGCGAGGGATACCACAACTTTCACCACGAGGTGTGTACAAGTCAAGTCCCGATTGGTCATGCCCCTCGGATCATTAGAACCGTGCAGCTTTTGCTAACCAAACTTTAGTTTCCCACCGACTACCGCAATACCACTCGCTGGTTAACATATGATCCCAACAAGTGGTGCATCGCTACGTGGAAATGGATGGGCCTTGCGAGCGATCTGAGGACGTTCTCCCAGAACGAAATCGACAAGGGCAAGCTTCAGCAGGAGCAGAAGAAACTGGACGGAAAGCTGGCAGTCCTGAAATGGGGCAGACCGCTGAAAGACCTTCCAGTGATGGAATGGGACGAGTTCCTAGTGAGCTCGCAGGACCGGGCGCTCATTGTGGTTGCCGGCCTCGTTCACGACTTGACCAGTTTCGTTGACGAGCACCCCGGTGGCAAGAGTCTCATCTCGTCGGGTATCGGCAAGGATGCAACGGCATTGTTCAACGGTGGCGTGTACAACCATTCGAATGCGGCACGTAACTTGTTGGCGAAATACCGAGTCGGCATCATCCGCGGCGGCGGCGAAGTTGAAATCTGGAGGCTGAGAACGGAGAAGCGTCTTGAGCAGATACGGACGAGGGACTATGATTACTCCATCGTCGGTAAGAAACTTGCCATGGAATAGGGATATTGTACAAAATGGGTGGGAATGGTGTAAACTTTGCCGGGGTAAACGGCCGGACTGCAGTCCAGTATTGTTATTATCATGCAGATGGTCGAACACGAAGATCCGAAGAGATCAGGTGCACATATAGAGATGCAAGCCTTGATTAATAATAAGTATTCACAGTAATATTCAACGTACGGTTGGGTCGGGTGCCATTTGTAACACAATTGCCATGCCACGAACCAATCGGTTGCAGCGGAGCTTCTGAGGACCCTCCCTCCTTGGTACCGTCCGTTAGCTGAAAGCAACTGGATTGAAATATTCCGCCCGGGCTCATTGTCGCGCCACACACGCACACACAAATACAGAGCTAACGTTAGTAAGTTACCAGGTTAGCTAGTCTAGCATTGAGACCTGGCTATTTAGGTATGCAAGTGCAAAGCCTGACTTGAACCTATCACTATCACTGTCACTATCACTATCACTATCACTATCAATCAGTAGCGCAACAACGAGCTCTAAAAATTTCCCCGTCCGTCCCTTATCGCTTTGGTGAAGGTTCGAGGTGACTCCCAGTCCTCCTGTATCGAATTTCCCTTACGGCAACATGTTTGCCTGCAGAGCCTGTACAAGGCGCGCTCTTGCTGTCCTTCTGGAAAGCTCCTTACCTGCAGAACTCAGTCAAGCAACGTCGTCAAGATGTCCACCCATACCAAACCACTCCGCCCGAAGAACCTATGCGACCGGTGCTGTTGCTGCGAAAGAGGACGCGTTCAGCAGTGTCCAGCAAAGTGAACATGTGCCCGGGTCTAGGAAGCAGAAGACCGTGGTTCCCAAAGCTACTGAAAGGGCCGTCAAGAAGCAGATGGAGTTCCTCAACGATCCATTTCATTTTGGCAAGGAGGTCGAGAAAGCTCTGGCGAAGGATCGATTCGAAGAGGCTGCCCTTCTCACCAGGAATGCGAGCAAGAATCATAGGCTCACCGTCGCCTGGAATCACTTGATCGACTATCAGATGCGAAATCTCAAGTTACATGCCGCCATCAAACTATACAATGAGATGAAGAAGCGCGCCCAGTTCCCAAATGCTCAGACATACACCATCATCTTCAGGGGCTGTGCCATATCTCCTCACCCGAAACTCGCTGTTGCCGAAGCCATCAAATTGTACAACAACATGCTGGCCGGCGATCGAATCAGCCCAAACATCGTCCACCTGAACGCGGTCTTGCAGGTTTGCGCAAAGGCCAAGGACATCGAGACCATGTTCACTGTGATCAAGACTGCAGACGCCAAACTCAGAACGCCCAACAACCTCACATATACTACCGTCCTCAATGCCCTTCGCGCCGTCGTCGATGTCCCTCTGGACCGTAGCACACCCACCCAAGAATTGAGCCCGGAGAAACAGCAGGCAATACAACGGGCCAAAGCAATATGGGAGGAGATTATACAGAAGTGGCGAGATGCCAGTATCTTCATCGACGAAGAACTAGTCTGTGCCATGGGCAGGATTCTTCTCATGGGCGGATTCCACGACAACGATGCCATCTTTTCCCTGGTCGAGCAAACCATGGGTATCACCAAGGAACCTGAGAGACTGAGCAGTCTGGCTTGGAAGGGGTTGAAAGAGGAGAGAGCATCCCAAGCGGAAGCCCAGGACGAGAAAGCAGCACAAGTCCCCACCACTTCTTCGGTCCCAGTCGCAACAAAGGATGACTCAAAACCATCCGCAACACAAGTACGACCAGGGAAAAACTCCCTCTCCATGGTCATGACGGCGATTGAGAATACCGGCAAAGCTAACCTTGCGCGCCGTTACTGGATCGTCTTCACCAAGAATTTCGGTGTGGAACCCGATGCCCACAATTGGTATGCTCTCTTCCGCGCCCTCCGTCGTGGCAAAAGCAGTACCAAAACCGCCGAATATCTTGCAGAAATGCCCAAGGTCATGATGTCCGCCAAGCTCTTCCGCATTGCCATGCTCACCTGTGTGCGCGATAATCTCAACAAGTCATCCTTCAACAACGCCACCCAAATCCTCGAGACCATGCTTACCACCATGCGCATACCGGATTTGTACGTCCTGCGCACCTACCTGCGGGTAGCTTACGCCAACAAGCGCCTATTCGAAGAGATGGCCGTACAGAACAAGGACGCCAACGCATCCAAGCTTGCTTGGGGTCGTCAGATGTGTGTGGCTCTCGAGAACTTGTGGGAGCCTTATCATATTGTTGTTAAACAACTCTCGCACGGAGGTCTCGCTGACGTCCCCGAGAAGAATTTCGTCGAGGAGAAAGAGAGGAGCGTCTGGGTACAGGAGGCCAACCAGAGAGCGGAGTTGGCGGCGCTGGCGCGAAAGATGATTGCTGCGCATGATAGGCTGATCTTCGAAAACATGCTACCACCTGCGGTCGCCAAACGCTTAGCACCTCGGAGGAACGCGCTGAACAGGTTTGTGGTCAAGTATTTTGAGGACAGAGAGAGATTCGAGCCGGGGTGGAACAGAAAGGTCGAGGAAATCCAAGCCAATAAAGAGGATGATGAAGACTTCGACTTTGGTGGTAAGGGGGGTTGGTAGACGGCCGCTCCAAGAATTGTATAATACGCCATCTGAGTTTACCATTCGGCGCGATGTAGGCTACGTGTACAAACCGATGTATAATGACGGACGATACTCCTGTACAAATAAAGCAGATCAAAATACCTCTCAAGCATTATAGACTAGTGGACTACAACGTAGCAATCCTCCGTGAAAGTCTAGCCCACAGGACCAGACCTTGGTCGCAGCCTTGCAGTAGCAAAGGTTCGATATTGTCCTGCTGAACATGTAGCACGTCGTCACATCCGGTGGCCTCGCTTTAAGCACTTCATTTATCGTCTCATCACATAAAAGCTTATACTAATGTGTCATCTTACTAGCCTCAAATTTTTCAACTCCGCCACATCACGCATGCAAAATCACACGGTTCTGGAGGAACCTCGATCTGATGCTCATTTGATGACATGTCGACTAGTCCGCTTTCACATCTAAGGCGTATGTCGACTGAACCTACGACAAGCTTTGCCAAGAAGCTTCGACCAAGTGAGATCAATTGGTTCCAATAGCCGGGGTTCCACGAGGACTTCTGCAAGATGGTATGTTCCCTTTGGTCGCATCGGCCGTGGTAGCAAACATACTATATATCACCATGCCCCCCAAACGAACGAAAACCACCCCGGCTGCACGAACAGCGGAAGATTTGGGGTCACTCAGCTGGAGCCGTTGAGTCTAATTTGCTGGGAAAAGAGTATCATGTCTGACTCACAACGGCACTCCCACCTGCATGATCCCTCGAAAGACATCTGGAAGGAAAAGAAAGAAACGGAGAAGAAGAAGAAAGCGCCCAGTCGTACGCGGGCGGTGTCAGTCCGTAATTGGCCGAGATGATATATGATGCCACGAGGTCCCAAGCAAACATGCTGGTTTTGGGCCCGCTTGATAGCACATTGTTTGACTTGGCTGACGACTGCTCAGATAGGACTACACGAGGGAGACCTGAGATATAGAAAGAAGGCTATTTCGCCCGTTTCCCAAACCATCTCATTCACGCAGTTTTAGGTCAACTATTTCATGTCCACTTGTATTTGGAAATTCAGCAGAGTACCAGCCAAATAAGTCCGCAGTTCCTCGACTTGGCCTGAGCCCTCAGTGATTCGGCATCAGTCAGACACACCCCATCATGCTGCTCCCCTTGCTCCTCCTCTCACTACCGGTCGCGATCCTCGGCGTGGAGACGGCCTACGCCACCACCGAGATCGCCATCCTGACCGTTATCGAGACCGTGGCCGTCCCTGCCCCCTCTGCCAGTGCCGAGGGTCCTCCTCCTGCTCCTCCTTCTTCTGGCACCACCACAGAGGAGCCTCCCCCTCCCCCGCCATCGCCGGCCCCGACGACCCTGTCGACATCCTTCACCACGCGCTGCGACAACGCGCTCTGCAGCGAGGGCTCGAGGTGGTGTTTCTACTGGGCCGGCGTAACGTCGTGGGACGTGTCGCTGGGCCCGATCCCCGGCGAGACGCACACGATACTGGGACCTGTGAGCAATCTTTCTCTCCCGACGACATAATCTGTGATGCCTTCTTCTTCTATCACACCTATATGGGGATGATTGGCTTATTAGAGACAATCTGGCTCGTTGTAACTTTTTCTTTTCTCCCATCATCCATTCCCCCCTTCGCGTCCCCTCCCCGAAACAGAGAAAAGAAAGAAAGAAAAAGCTTAATCAAAAACTTGGCCACAAGAAAGGTTTGCTGACGGCAGCATGCTGCAGTGCACCAACGTTACGAGGACGTATCCCGAGAGCCTAGTCACGCGGCAGAGCACGCGGTCGGACGGCTCGGTGGTGACGGAAACGTCCACTATTCCCGCCACAACCGCAGTCGTGCAACAGTGGTCGAAGTACGGCTGAAGGGGTGCATGGATCTGGGCAAAGAATCAAGGAGGGATAATGACAGTGGAAGTGAAGTGAAGGAACTGGCAATGAGGGTTCATGGAATGCGTGGTTCGAACACGGTATCATTTCACGCGCGTGGGGGGGCCGATTCGGCGGTCTTTCCGCACTTTTTCTTGTTGTGTGATGATATTTCATGTGTATAGAACTTCGGGGTCTGCCTCGGCTGGTTTTCAGATACTATTCTAGGTGTTAGACCCGAAACTGACTACCTCCTGCTGGGAACTACGTGACTTGTCTCTTTCCTGGAAAGCTATATACTCGGAGACGTGCCACAGGTGTAAAATGTCCATGATTCGGCCCGACAAAAGAGAACTCCCGCAAAAGAAAGTACCAGCATGACAATTTAAGCAGCCGGGCCGCTGACGGTTTTCGTCAGAGCGCCGCTCTCGATATAGACGCCCGAAAAGTAGAAGTCCTCATTAGCATCGCTGTAGCCCGACCTGGGCAGCTCTAGGACGCCTAGGTGCCAATCTGCGCCGTTCGAGGACGTGGACGCGGACTGGGGCGCGACGAGCTGCGTGAGCGGCTCGCTGCCCTCCGAGTGCCAAAAGCCGACCGTGTTGGCGGAGAAGTCCTGCATATCATCAGCACGAAGGCAGCGCTTAACAAAGAAAGCGAGGTGAGAAAGGGGGGGGAGGAAGGATGGGTGGAGGCCGCGCGACTCACGATTTCGAAAGCGACGTTGTGCCAGACGCCGGCCTTCCACTCCGTCTTCCACTTGCTGTTCTGACTGATCATGAACTGGAGGTAAGGGTCGCTTGTGGCGCTCTCGCCGCTGATCCAGCCGTACTTGAGCTCGGTGAAGTGGCTCTCGAAGAAGGCGATCTGGTGCTCGCGGTAGACGCTCGGGGCGCTGGCGTCGCTGCGGCTGATGGAGAAGTGGTACCAGACCTTGCCCTTGTTTATGGCGGCGGTGGTCTGGGGGATCAGCTCGGTGCGGCGCATGTTCTGGCCGTTCCAGTAGGCCGTCGAGTCGAGGGTGATCTTGGCGCCCTGCTTGGACGCCGTGTCGTTGGGGTTCTTGTACGACGGCGACAGGTTCACGTACTTGTCCACCGTGCCGGACCCGTGGATGTAGTACTGGTACGGCCCGACCTGGTTGCTCCACGACCATTTGTTTAGGTCGGCACTGCTGGTGAAGTCGTTGAAGCGGCCATCCCAGATGACTGCCGCGTGTGCGAGGGACGCGAGGAAAACGGTGGATTTCATCTCCAAGACAAGAAGGGTGTTATACCGGGCACGGTGATAGAGGACAGTTAAAGACCTGTAGAACCCAGTGTGAATAGTCCGGCGTGTAGAGCCATGAAGGTCGGCTTGGTGTACCTGTGCTTATATTTTATATAGACATTGGCATTTCGGTTTGCTTAGATGCATTGATGATCCCACGTCTGGACCGATCCAACTACTCGACCTGGTCCTATGAGAGTTCATTGTGACGCTGAAGCCCGGAGTGACGGCACATATCAATCTAAAGAAAGGCTAGGCGGACCGCAGTGCGTGATGATAATCCATGGTATTGTTGCATAGCTCGAATGACGAAATGCGGATGCGAGGCTCCGTTCCTGCGGAAGGATGGCAGTTATATTGGCCTTCCGACGTTGCAATTTCTAAATTAGGCTGTTATAGCACACGGAGCTTATAGGGCTCCAATCTAGATCAAATCACGTCGACCACCTGACAAGAAAGCGACTGGATCATTGTTTACAAAAAGATTTAGTCGAGTCGGACGCATGAGCCGGTCGTGCCCCGGTCTATAATCACACCACCTTCAAACCATACTGGTTGTATGTATTCATTTTCGTTTACACCATCTATGAAATTTGTTGTAAACCTTTTCCCTAATGAATTCCATATATGCATTCTTGTGTCGAAGTAAACCTCCTTTGTATCAAAGATACCGCCGGTCTAACCTCACCATTAAAACAACTCTCTGCACTATATCACCCATGCTCGTGATGGAATAAGTAATCCTTGCCAAGCTCTGCCACAGTGGATGCGATGCAGACCTAAACGACGTTTAATACTCCAAACCGGCACCGTAACTCTTGCTTCTAACGAGTCCAGCACGCTTCAACGCACCTTGTGCTGTGCTTTTCCTTCTCAACATACCAGGACGAAGTCTAGCGGCCTGGCCCTCCTCAGCTGCTACTGTCTCGGTGGCGGGTACCTCGTCCTTGATCCTAGCAATGAAGATACAAGAAAGCAACACAAACACGCCGCCCAACGCGAACACGATACCAATACTATGATCGCCAGGTGTACCCCTGGGCTTTTGGAAAATACGGAAGATGATGCTTGAGCCAACAGTTGCAAGAATCTGGGGCGACGCGATTGCCATGTTGTGAATGCCAAGAATAACACCGGCAGCATCCGTTTCCTCTTCGTCGTGTAGGCTATGTTCTTGGCCAAGGAGGTGTTCAGTGGTGTCGTCGCTATCGGCTAGTTGTGGTCGTGGAAGTTGAGATCCCCGTCTGGTACGGATCATCGCATCTCGGCGACTGATTTCTGCGCTGATGATTGCCCAAGGAGCCCAAAGGGTTAAAGCCCAGGTGATGCCGACAAGACCAATGAGGGCGGTAGCAGCTTCTACGGTCCGCACGAAGACAGCGCAAAACATGGCAATGGCAAATATGACATTTGACAGCATCCATGCGCGTCGTAGTGTGAAGCCCGGAATAATCAGATATTCCAACCAGCTCTTCTTGTCATCGTCTGACGGAAGACTGCCAGGTGCCTCGCCAGGCGCCGTGTGGGTAACCGGGCCATCATATGTCGGGGCGACAAAGAATGGGAGAAAAACGTTGGTTGCCAGACTCGTCACGGCAAATATGAGCAACGCGAATGTCCCTACCCGGGTTCCCTCTTCGTACAGCTGGTCTAGTTCCTCCGGTGAGAGATGTGGGTTCTTCTCTAGATGAGGCTCAATGTAAATCTCGCTGATGAATGATGAGGTGTAAAACAGCATGGGGAAGAAACCAATCCATGCGCAGAACTGAACAGTGCAAACCTTGGAAACCTGCGGTGGAAGACGTTTGATAGAAGTGAGGATGGTGCGGAAGAAGGCGAAAGCGCCTGGCTGGCCCTTTGGAGGCGGCCCGTCCAGGTTGGGATCTCTTTCATGTACGGTAAGCACACTGAGTAGAACCAATCCGCACAGAGCAATACTAGCAATGGCGCAAAGAACCTTGAACTGGGTATCACCTAGCCACCAAGCATATCTGGGAAGATCGACGTAGCCAGCCAAGTAGCCAACAATGTTTCCGACACCAACAATTCTGCTGGCCATCGCATTTGCTTGTTCTGTCGCAATTGTGAGCAAGCATGAAGTGCATGGTCCTACGAATCACTTACCTTGCTGATGGACCGGGGCACAGTCGACGATGAAGGCTCGGATCGCAGCTTGCACTATACAATGTCAGTCAATGCAATCTTTGACAGATAACTCGTACGCACCTGTGTTGATAGCAAAGTCCAAGATGTAAACCCACAGAACGGCCACGACAAGTATGGTTACCTTGACGGCACGGCTCTCAGGATCAGCGCCCAAGAGTTCGAGTAGCCCCCCAACCATTTCCTTGGTCCAGGCCAGACACATGAGTGAAATAGAGGTAGCAATGGCACCACCGACCATGAAGGGCTTGCGTCTTCCCCAAGACACCCGGCAATTGTCGCTCAGCATACCGACGTATGGTTGGACGAGAGTACCGCTCAGCGGTCCTGCAATCCACACGAGGGCCATGAGAGACTTGCTCATTCCGAGGGACAGCAGATATGGGGAACCATTGGAAAGCTCGACAGACCAGGCGATCTGAAGCCCACCGATGCTGACTGTCAACAACAGGATCCACCAGAGACTCTTGTGCGCCTGAGCATCGTCTTCGGTCGGCCCCTGTGCCGACGCATCTTCATGCTCTCTTGTGGCAGATCCGAGCAAAGGTGTTTGCTCCCCGATCATAGACTTGGACTGCTTGAGGATGCCGCGCCGTTTTCCATTTTCATGGGCGGGAGCATGCTCCCCCGTGGAGTTCGTCGACGCCATGCGCTGAGGTTACGACGGTTTGTGCGGCGAGGATGTGATGCCTGAGCGTGGGAATTGGAACGATGGGTCGCTTCGTAGAGAGGGGTCTCGACGAGCTTTAAGTGCTGACCTTTCCGGGTTAGGTTCTGCAAGAAGCTTGTTGTTGGGATAAGGTGTTCTTAGATAGCCAGAAGCGAGGAGCAGGAGCTTGCCAAGGCTCCTTAGCTGCAGAATGGGAGTTGTTGGTGACCTTAAACTTTAACCTAACGGGCGCCCACGCGATCCGGGTTCGGGTCGGTCTTTAGAGAGGAAGGCTGCGACTTGAGACGAATTCTAAACCACCACAAGGCAGAGACGATTGACAGGGCAAAAGGGACGAGAACGTTGGCACGGGCTCCTAATATGGATTTTGTGGTTAGCAAGAATGCAGTGCGGCCAAGTCAGGCGGTCAAGTCGAGGGCTGCCACGAGACTCCCTTTAGACTGGGGCAAGCGACGGGGTAGGCTCAAGTATCTTGTCTTGATCGTGGGGTCGAGTTGTCACTTTCCCCAGATTTGGGGCTCTAGCTGAGGGAGGGAGGGAACTCCAAGGAGAAATGCTTACAAAAAGGGCGGCTGAGGTAAGAAAATAGCGGTGTGTTTCCGTGCAACAAGAAAATAAGAATAGAATCAAAATAAAACCACAGTAAACAATTGTCTTGTTTTGCAAATCTTGGAAGCTTGTCGAAGAGTTTTGTTCCTTGGTCCAGGAATCGCGAACATGCCCCAGGACGGGGACCATTACATCAGTATGATCGGCCATACAGGCACGTAGCCAATCCGTTGCGGAGGAGCGGGGCTCGATTGATGCTCACAGAAAGTCTAGGCTCTGGAGTCTTGGAGTCTGAGCTTTTGGGGCCACCCGTCACGGCGGGGCCTCTCTTTCAAGTGAGTTCAGTACGAGTGGGCGTTATGTAACTACGGATTGCACGCACTCTGCCCACTGTTCGAATTGGCCCACGTAAAGCCCCGGAGGCATGGCCATCACCAAGTATTGCAAAGGGCATGTATGTGCCCTGTGAATGGGTCAAGTAACCACGGAGAGTTGTCCTGTGCGAAATAAAACGAGAAGTACCTGCATAGATGAGGCGGATGCAGGAAGAACCCCTGAACCACCGAGACGATATTCCTCACAGAATCTTGGTCTAGTCTACCCTTAGACTGATAACCGGTACCGCAAATGCTGTGGCAGCTTTGTCCATTGCAGCCAAGTATTGTCTACCCGACATCAGGTTTGTGTACAAAGTTTGTTGGAAAGGATAAAAATTGCTTCGCTGGCAGCAGACCAAGCTTTCGAGAGCAGAAGAGCACAAATGGGCAGTCAAGTCTAGGCTAGCCATGGATGGTCTTCCCACCATGTGTAACTGTTCTCGGACAAATTAGACATGTTGGAGTTTAAAAAATTGGTGCCGTTATCAGTGCCTCTCAGCCTCTGTGTTGAAACGAAACGGTGTTCTTTCTTACAGTACCTACCCAGTAGTTACCAAGTATCAAGTACTAGCCTCGGGTTAGCTGGACACAGCGTAACTGGGATACGTCAGCGCCTTTTGCTAGGTGGCTGCAGTGCGTTGAATGCTAACAGCCATGGCCCAACTAACTAAGCCTGGACTACTGTACCGTACCCGGCAGAGGTGTCCAACCAGAGCTGCACACTTGAGACAAGGCAGCTGTCAAAAGATGAAAGCTGGCGACTTTGAATAGCAGCCTCTGAGAACAGGCCTTCTCGTGGACAAACTGTCAACGAGCCCACCACGTCGCACGCAACAGTCACTCCTTCATTATTGCAATCCAACGCATCGACGAGTAGTTGCGACGGCATCTGGACGCCCTCGACCAATTCATCCTGGCCCTCGCCTCCCCCAAGCCTGTCCGCAAAACGACCAGCAGCAGCAGACAGAGCCCCTCTATTTCCAACGTCCCTCTCATCCTCGCGACGGACGAATAATGCCCGGTCTTGAAGGCGCATCGCATTGAAGCATCACCCTTCAACTTGCACGCCTGCCGAGATGCTACCCAACATGGCCAGCTCCGCGCTGGAGCACCTCGCCAGTGAGTTTGCGCAACGTCCTGCTGATTCCACAACGTAATGTCATGGCTGACCTCGGTATCAGGGAGAGCCAGCGACGAAGATTCCGACCCAGAAGGAGGCGACAATGCCGAGCAGGAGGTCGTGGCATCGTGGGCGTTGTTCATATTGCTGATCCTTCTGATAATATCCTTCTTCACGAGCTACATGCTCCAACAGAAGAAGGTACAGGCTGTGCACGAGACGGTCATCTCCATCTTTGCCGGTGAGTGATGAAACAGGGCGCATCCACAGACTCTATCCGACGAAAGAGAAAGAGAGAGAGAGAGAGAGAGAGTGAGAGAGGGAGGGAGAGATTGCGCCCGCACCAAAACCCCGGTCGGTTCCCATATGTGCAGGCAGTCAGCTAATATTACATCTCCAAACAATAGGTATGACGGTTGGTCTACTACTTAGAGTGACCACTGGCTCTTCCTTGCAGCAGCTCGTGAGCTTCGACTTCCAAATCTTCTTCAACCTTCTCCTGCCGCCCATCATCCTGAACGCGGGCTACGAATTACACCAAGCAAACTTCTTCCGAAACATTGGCGTCATCTTGACTTTCGCTTTCGCCGGAACATTCCTATCTGCCGTTGTCATCGGGACACTACTCTGGCTTTATACTCGCGTACCCCTCGAAGGCCTCGACCTGAGCTTTGTAGATGCTATATCCGTCGGTGCCACGCTATCTGCCACAGACCCTGTTACCATCTTGGCCATCTTCAATACCTACAAAGTCGACCCCAAGCTATACACCATTATTTTTGGCGAATCTATACTGAACGATGCCATTGCTATCGTCATTTTCGAGACTGCCCAGAAGTACAAGAGCGGCACCGCAGCATCCTACGGCCTCTTCAGCTTCCTCGAGGGTATAGGCATCTTCTTGCTCTCCTTCTTCGGCAGCTTACTTATTGGTGTCTTGGTTGGCGTTGCGACCGCACTCATCCTGAAGTTCACCTACTTGAGGAGATATCCCCAGATCGAGAGTTGTCTCGTCGTTCTGGTTTCTTATGCAACATACTTTTTCGCCCAGGCGCTGCCTAAAATGTCGGGTACGTGAGAAAACCTCGGAACAGGTGGTTCATCGCAGACGACGCCATTCCGGGTGTGGACCGAGCTAATCCTTCGCAGGTATTGTGGCTTTGCTGTTTTGTGGAATTACACTCAAACATTACGCCTACTTCAACATGTCCAGGCGGACACAGCTGAGCACCAAGTACCTCTTTCAGGTTTTGGCCCAGTTGTCTGAGAATTTTATATTCATCTACTTGGGAATCTCCTTGTTCACCGACAAGGACCTTCGCTTCCAACCTCTCCTGATTATCGTTACCGTGCTAGCCGTCTGTGCCGCCAGATATGTTGCGGTCTTCCCCCTTTCCAGCGCCATCAACTGGTTCATTCGATACCGCGCCAGGCGCCAGGGGAGGGACGTCGCTGATGAACTGCCGCGCAACTACCAAGCAATGTTGTTCTGGGCGGGTCTTCGTGGAGCTGTCGGTGTGGCCCTGGCTGCGCTACTGACTGGCGACAACTCGTACGCTCTCAAAGCAACCATTCTCGTTGTCGTCGTGCTTACCGTGATTATCTTTGGTGGTACCACGGCTCGTATGCTTGAGATTCTTGGAATTCGGACAGGCGTTGTAGAGGAAGTTGACAGCGATGACGAATTTGACATCGAAGCCGCACCTAGCGGGTCCTTCTACAAGCGATCGGGCACCGGAATTGGGTATACGCCACGGGCTAGGAACGGCTCTGTGGGAATGTCTAATCTAGGCAACAAGCGCAGAAACAGTAATCCAAAGCGCGGAAGCTACGTATCCGGATCCCATTCTCCATCTGTCATCGGGGTACGGCCCTCGAGTTTGAGTCGGAAAGGCTCGAGAAACGAAGACGAGAGAGGCGATCTGCTGGGAAGGACCGGCAGTATGACGGACGACTCAGATTTAGGCTCCGACATAGATACTTCCGACCTTCCTCCTCCAGCCCGGCGCCCTCCACCGAGGAAGAATAGCAGCCCTGGTATGCTCACGCCTGGAGGCACGTCAGAAGAAGAGAGTGGCGTGTTCAATTATCCTACTTCGGGGCATAGAGACACGCAGCCAGTGTCTGCATCGGCAGCTATTCGGCAACTATTCACTTCGCAAGATCCGCAAGCTCTGTTCAGACAACTTGACGAGGACTTTATTAAACCTAAGTTGCTGTTGGATGGACCTGGGGGTTCAAACGGCAGGGATAACGGAGAGGGGTCAAGCTAGATACGATCATTTAGCGGTACCATCAATTTAATATATCTTGAGCGAACCATGTTTTTTTTGTCCGACAAACTTGGTAACACTGGATTATGTGTGCGCTTTTTTCCACTGGCTTTGGCATGCAACCCCCCCCCCCCCCCCTTTTTTTTTTTCTTCAAGGGCAGTGTCGGAAGGATTATTGAGTCTATTCTGAATTTCCGGTTCATGATATGAGCCCGACGGCCGACATGGGAATTTGTGCGACTGTCCTGGTCCTCTCGTCGCCTTCGTCGCTGTTCCTCCATGCCATTTCCATCTTGTCGGACTACCACTAGGCATTCTGAAACGCCATTACCAGCCAGCAGCACTGCTTATCATTGCATCATTACTCCCAGTAAAGCATCCTGCTAACCCACGAGCCCGGCTTCCAACTTGCCCTGTCCTGTTATGCCGCTGAGCTGGAGCTGGGGGTTATTCGAGACTACAGTCTCTCGCAGAGATGGCCTCGAGCGCTTTCGGGATAAAAATAAAGAAGAGTCTTATCTACCTGCTCGTACCTTCACGGAACACTTTTCAACAAGAAATCGAAGCATTTCATCCTAGACACTTTATCCACGTCAAGATGCACTACATCAATGGGTGATCTGAACGTGCAGAGGTTAAGCTTAATGGCATGATGTAAGATGAGCCGCTAACTCTTATAGTACCAGTGGTGGTTGGAGTGCAAGCAACTGAGCAAACCCTGGTGTCCAGTGTAATCTCTCGATAGAAGTGATACCCCAATTTTGCCTTAGTATGTGTACATTGGATTGTTCAACTGGGTTTTATATCAACGGATTGCCGTTCGGCGCCCCTTCTCTAGATCTATCAGCAGTTGTTTTTGCCTTGTTCCATGCCTCTATCGACCCCCTTGTCTCTCATCTTCAGCACCTAAATCACGTTCCACCATCTCTATCGCGCTTAGACTAGGAAATCTTTTACTGAAATCTCGGATGTAATCTTCCTTCTCTTGAGGTGTCATATCAAGACTTGGTCTACCCGGCATTCCAACACCTACGAGCTGCTCCGTGCCCGTGTTGGTCATTAGAGCCGGCCCTGGAGGCCGTTGCTGCTTGGATGGTGATCTCCTGCCTCCTGTCGGAATACTATTCAGATGGACGGGCTTCGGAGGCGCATTTGGCTTGAGGGGAAGAGATGGCCGATTGCTCAGCGTATCTGAGGATGGCAGAGCGGCTGGCATCGAACTAGTATGCCTCGTACGTGCGATGGCGTCCACAGAGCTGATGACAGGTTTGGTGGGTGGTGGACCACGGGCAATGCCGACTGGTTTCCGGGGGAGCTCAGGTAAGGCCTTTTCAACTCGGGTGGATGCCACGGCCGCGTCCGAGAACCGGCCGTATCCCTCTGCGGTTTTGGGGGCATTGGATGGTTTCTGGCTCTCTTGAAGCAGGTTTTGGACTCTGTTTTGGATGCTGACAGCCCGAGACTTGCCACCGATGCTTCTGGGTGGAGGGGCTGCTAAACCACCTGATTCACGTGCAGCCATTCGTTGGCGATATTCGGCTGCGGCGGCTTCTACACGCCTTTCTTCTTCTGCTAGTGCTCGTGCCTCCACTTCTCGACGCTGTTCAGGCGTCATTTCTTCCTGATCACCAAGCAACCTTCCGTCATCGCTCTTGCTGTCGGTTGCCTCGGAGCCCGCAATAGGAGTCAGGTCGCGCCGGTCGAGATCTTTGAGCGGCGACGGTGTGCGTGCCGGCTGTGAATTGCTTCCACCCTCAAAGCGCTTGAAGGCATCACCAAATCTGCTGGACAACGAGCTAAGGCTTCCCCGCTTACTGTGCTTCGTGCTTTTGTCTTTCTTCTTATTGTCTATTTCTTCCATAGACCGAAGAAAATCGACATTCGACTCAATGTTTGTGTCGTCTTGTGGCTCGAGGGCCGGGGAAGGCGCTCTGTCCGGAAATTTGTTTGTGCCTGTCAAACCCGGGGAGCGTAGCGGCCGCGGTGCTGCCTCCCGTTCTCGTAGGAAATCCAGGTTCGACTCCAAGTGGGTACTGACTGGTCGAGGACGTCCCGATTGGGATGCGGATTTCGCCAGAGGCTCAAGAAAGTCGGCACTGGGACGACCGCCTTCAAGCGAGGGCCTTGCCGAAGAAGATTGACGGATGTGAGTCGTCTGCGATAGGAATGAAGCAACGCGCTGGGCAGTGCCAGGTCTTGCTTGCTGGGGCGTATTAGCTCGCGGCAATGGCTCTGGCGCAGTCATATCCGGTTGCCGTGGTAGGCTCGATGACCGGTGATGATCAGATGGAGGGAATCGGTATATAGGGGGATATTCCCTTTTTGGCGGCTCCTGGGGTGGAGGTGTGCTCGTCATCGTGCCAGCAGACACATAAGCAGGCCGACTTGGTGTTGCCTGAGCGGGCTGTTGTACAGGCGACGAAGCAATGGCTTGCAACTCGGGATTACTAGAAATAATGGCCGAAGCTCGGCTCTTCTGTGCGCCTTCTGGTTTGGGCGGAGCCGATGAAGGTTTGTTGATCGAGCCCGGAGGCGGCGTTGTTTTGTGTAGATCGGCAGTGTTAGCAATCGGTTTGACCCTGCTCAAATCGCTTGACTGCCTCGCCGGTGCTTGCGAGGGTGGGGGGGTGCCATGCGGTACAACGAAGGCATCATCTGCCAACCTTTCCGCAACCGTCTGACTGAGATCACCCCCTGGCGGCGAGATAGGGCTGTCAAACTCGAATTTGGTGCCCTGCTCGTGCAAGATGGAAAACTGATCAAGGCTTGGAAATTTGTGAGATATTTCATCCGGTACAGACACTTTGGGGGTGGGCCTGGAGTCGAGTGCTGCGAAAGGGTCGCCATTAGTGACTCTTCCAGGCGACGGGCTCGGCTTGGGAGCTTGCGCTGGAGGTTGGGCAGCTACAGCTGGCAACCTCCCACGCCTCATGGGCACAACTTCCGGGATCTTCTGCTTTTGCTCTTGTGGTGGTGAAAAGACTGCGCCAACCACCGGTGAGCTCTTGGCGCTGTGCGCCGCAGACGGCGGCGGCGCCTGTTTGCTAGGTTCTGACCTGGTTTTGTCCGAGTAGATCTGATACAAGAGTCAGATGGATTGAGAAGATTCACTAGAGACGACGACTCACATCGTGTATCGGGACCTCGAGTCCTTGCATTCTACACCCCTCGCGAAGTACCTGGTAAATGTTCGGCCTCTGTTGCTGGTTTTCCCGTAACATTGACGCTTGCATACGTTAACACTTGTCGTGTGATGTGCCGTAGAGCCGGGTCAACAAACTTACCAATCAACTGTTTCAACCTATCAGAAAAGACAGGGTAGCTTGGGAACTTGTAGCTGGCATTCAAGATAGCAAGCTGCCCCTGGTCCTCGAAGGGGGTCGTATAGTAACAGAGTTTGTAAAGCAACACGCCCAGTGCCCAAATATCTGACTTCTCATCTATGGGCTGTTTCCTGTAGACATCGACCATTTCCGGGCTGCGGTACTGCATCGTCGTATGCTTCTGTACGTCCTCGTCCATCAGGCGGCACTCGACAATGCTTTGCGGCGCGGGCTTGGGGGGCGCGGCCGATCCAAAATCGCAGAGCTTGAATTTCCTCCTGGAGCCAATCATGGTGATCAGGACGTTCTCGACCTTCAGGTCCCTGTGTAGCAATGGCGGCTTGAGGTAGTGCATGCATGCAACGCCCTCGGCGATGTCGGTGAATATGTTCAGGATCTCGGGCTCGGTCAAACGGTGCTGTAGCCGGGTGTTCATAAAGTCGATCAGGCCGCCTCCGTCGCAGAACTCCATGAGCAGGAAGACCTCGAAGCCGCCGCCGCCGCCTCGAATCTCGGATGCGTGCGAGTCGATGTATGTTACGATAGGTCGGTGGCCCTTGAGTCGCTTCATGGTCTCAACTTCGGTTCGCATGCCGCGCAGAGTGTCCCGATCTGGTACGGCGACTCTCTTCAGCACGGCCAGGTCAGTGCCGTCGACAGGCTTGGGCAGTTTGACCAGGTAGACATGCGCGAAGCCGCCCTCGGAGAGGTACTTCTGAATCACGACGCGATGCTCGCCAACCTGGATCTTGGTGCCAGGGGAGAAGGTGCCGGCCGGCGCAGTGGGTGCATGCATAGGCATTGCGTTGGCGTAGACGGCCTGCTGACCGCCACGAGGGGCAGCGATTGGCACGGTACTGCCATATTGTGCCATGGTATCGTCAATCGACCGACCGGTGGGTTCTGTTCGTTGTTCGTTCGAGGTTGAGGCGGCGATAGCTCAGCTCAGCTCAAGCGGCAAGCAGCAGGCCTGGCCGTTAGAAGTGGGACAACCTGGCCTCGGAAGTTGGCAGCGCGGCAAGGTAAGGCAAGGCAAAGGCAGGGCAAGGGGTGGCTATGTATCTCCTAAGTTGACGGGCGGCCGGAGGCATCTGGAGCGGAGTACACTGGAGAGGCCAAGATTCAGGAGTTACAGCATAACTAAATAACGGATCGAGTAAGAGCGTGCACAAGGGACAGGCCTAACCTAGACTTGATTGAGGAATCCAAGGGGACATTCATCACTCCCGGCGCGTTGGCTTGTTGGGCAGTTGCAAGCAGTTACCGTAGGGCCCCTTCAACAATGCCTACAGTACTCAATGAGTTGGACTTATTGTCGTCGCTAAATGCTTATTTACTGCTTCCCCCACAGCGCTGAAGCTGCATCCTAAGGGAGCGCAGGATGGACCTCTGACCAATTGGACCGAGAACTGTGGGCCGCCATAGATAGCATGACTGCAACTGGGACTGCGGGACTGGAGCTGGCTGTTGAGGCTTAGACCAGGCTACCATCAGCCTGTACGGCCACTACGGTACGGAGATTGGTGCTTTCAGCTGTTGTGTCTGTTCCGACGGCTCCAACGTCGGGCTCCCTGTGAAAAGAGTTGAGCAATGCTACTTCAACTCGTGATCGAATTGAGTAATGAGTGTTGCCAATTGAGGGCTCACCCGAAATATGGGCAAAATGCACCTCCCTTGCGTGCAAGAACAAGCTTCGCGGCGAGTATGCCATACCGACCGGCTGTTTATTCAAGTTCTGTGAAAGAATCCTGCATAGCGGGAAGCGAGTATACTTCGCTAATCGTCATCAACCCCGGATATCTTGGCCTATCCCAGTGAAGCACTACTACAAATCGCATGTGTTTTCCAGCCATGATAACCAGGCGTTTCCCCTCTTGGCACAACAGCCAGCTGTTTAACATCAGTGGTGCGAGTGTGGAAGACTCTATAGTGACTGAAGAAATCCTTCTCGTGGCCACCCCGCCCACCACCTTCAGGCCTTGCACTGACAATGTGGTCATTCCACAGCAAAAGCCATTCTGAAAAGTACGCAGCGACTTCAACTGTCTAGATTACGTCTTCGAATCAAGCACTTGGCATCTCCACATATTTAATGTCTTAATTTTTTATCGCCGCTCGACTTGGCCAGCTTGGCCTACCGACTCCGCCGCTGCGCACGATGGGGTTGCTGAGCTTGTGTGAATGAGTGCCGTCCGTACCGATACAGTCTCCATGTAATGCACCTCTCCACAAATGGCACCGCTTATGCTTAGCCTAATGTGCTTGATTTGACGTCGCGTGTCAAGTCGCACAGCTTCATCTAGTCAAGCACTTGCGCGGGAATTCCTTTTGGAAGGTTTGGCTGATACGTTGCTAGATAGAAGGATTGAGATCTTCAGTATGGGACTAGACCATATGGGCTGGAGCTGGATCATGCAAGGTACCACATATATGGCTTGGGCAACCGCCAACACAAGCAAGCCATGAACTCGAATTTGTAATGAATCAATGGTGGCTGCAGTGGATAATAATCAAACTGAGTATAACAGGTTGGTCAATAAAAAGCTTCCTTGCAAGAGTTGTTATTCCTTGGAAATGTGAATGGGTATTGGTATCTCAAACAGAAGCGGAGTATTACTCCGAATTTCTGTGGTATCTTCTCACAGCAACAGCTTTACTGCGCTCCGTCAAAGCCTAATCACTACATACTACTATATACGGCCTCCTGTATGGCGGCCAGGGATAAGACATCTAACACTTCTGACTCCCCTAGAACAAAGCACGAACCATACGCATAGGCAAGTTCTTCCATGTCTTCACAGGCATGGGCTCATCATCAATATTCAGCATACGAGCACCAGACTTGAGATCCATCTCGTGAACACGGATGAACATTCTCCAGTCGCGGCTGTATAACTTCCAGACAATGTAGAAGAAAAGAATGACGGGAGCAGCGAGGAAATTCTGGAAGAAAATCTCGGCATCGGGAGTCGCGTTGGGGGATGGCTATGCAAAAAATTAATACCAGTAACCATGATATGCCGTATAGGGGACAACTTACGTATAGAGAGGTATAGAATGTGGCAATGATGGCAAGGATGTTGAGAAGCAGACCGAGTGCGCTTCCGATGACACCAAGAGGTGCCTTGTAGGGCAGTTGCTGCAGATTGAAACCCTGAGCCTTCCATCCTTGGCGGAAACGAATGTGGGCAAGACAGATAGAGGCCCACACAAAGAAGTACGACAGACCAGACAAAGATAGCAACCAAGAGAAGATCTTGCCCTGGTTTCCAGCAACACCGATGTAGGCCAGGAAACCAAAAGCGAGCTGAATGGCAACGCACCAGATGGGACGGCCTTGCTTGTCAACGTACGCAAGCACCTGAGGCATCATACCACGCTCAGCCATAGCTTGTAGGGTACGAGTGGAACCGTATGTGCAGGAGTTGGCAACACTGATAACAGAGATGGTGATGACAGCGTTGAAGATAGAAGGGAGGACTTTGACGCCGGCATCCTCAATAGCCAAGACGAAAGGCGAGAAACGGGAGTTAGCACTCGAGGCCTCAGCCAGACGCTCATCATCGTAGGGCAAAACAAGACCTAGGACCAAGAGGTTGATGACGTAGAAGAAAAGGATACGCCAGAAGACCTGCTTGGTAGCCTGGGGAATGGCCTTGCGAGGGTTGGCAGACTCGGCAGCAGCAAGACCGCTCAGCTCTGTGCCGGCGAAGGCGAAGGCGGCAACGGAGAAGACACCAGCGAAGCCGTTGAAGCCGTTGTTGAAAGCACCCGGGGAGTACCAGTACTTTCCACCAATATAACCTTGGCTGCCGACACCGCCGCAGTTGTAGACAATACCGAAGATGATAAATCCAATACAAGCGCAAATCTTGATGAGCGACAAGACGAATTCGACTTCACCATATCCACGAACACCGAAGATCTGGATGATGAACAAGACGACAAGGAACACAGTAATCCAAACAGCGACGTTGATATCATCTCTCCAGAAACGAATCGTCAGGGACGCAGCAGTCAGCTCAAAGGGAAGGACAGTAAGCCACGAAATGGCATAGTCGAGACCGACGGCGAAACCCCAGGAGGGATCAACGAAGCGGACGATGTAGGTGTAGAAGGCACCGTTGACGGGGTACAGGACAGCCATTTCAGCCAGAGCGTGCATGGTGAACAGAAGCATTATGCCGACAATAAGGTAACAGATAACCTAACAAGGAAATGTTAGCCAGTTATCTAATGTAGTTTCAATCACTTGCGGTTGGTCCACATACCAGCGAGGCAGGACCGCCATTTGCGAGAGCACCACCAGAACCAATGAACAAACCGGCGCCAATAGCACCACCTAAACCACAGTATTAGAAGACGAGTGTTCGCCAGGTTGCTTGTGTTGCTGATCTCGTACCGATGGCAATCATCTGCATGTGCCTGCTCTTCAAGTCCTTCTTGAGGCCATCACCTCGTTTCGTAACACCAACTTCCTCATCGACGTTCTCATTGGCGTACAGATGAGGGTCGACGCCCTTGTGGCCCTTCTCGTGGTTCTCAAACGACATCTTGGATCCTTCTCACTTCAAAGTGACCGCACGGATGAATGAGATGCGATCGACGTAGCAGGCGGCTCGAGGTAATACAGAATAGAGAGGAGAAGTCGGGAAGGGCGGGTTGGGCGAGAAGGGAAGTGTCTCAAGGATATATACGACTACCACCGCAAACCATTCGCGGAAGCGGACGGGGGTTGATGAGTTAAGCTAGAGTCACCTTCTAAATGCCTATCCTACAAAGCAGGAAGCACTGGAGCTACCGAGCAAGCTGCGTCGTACAACCTGCGTCCAATTATCGCCCAGGGTCTTTCGTACCGGTACAAATGGAGGGCGCCAGAGAGCCTAGGGTGGAGGTACTTTCAGACTTGGTGTGAAGACAATATTACGTGCCAGTCTCATCCACCAGATAACCAACCCCGGACTCTCCATCGCGCCATACTAGGCTATCATTGGGGGAGGGGCGAGGCAAGGTCTGGACAACATTACTTATCATCATGACCCGCACAGCTTATTATTCGTAGTCGGCCATATGCAGCAGCACAAGAGTAGAACAATCCCGTGCCTAATACAGTCAATCTTTCTTACACCTTTAGCACGACTGTTTATTGTGGTCAAGAGAGTTGATTGGGCCGTCTGTTTGAGAGCAGGCAGTTCCAACTGCGATGCGATGTGTGGATGTGGGCGTGGACGTGCCTTGGGTTTCAGTGGTTCATCGGCGGGCAGCTGGGGACACTGAATCGTACCAAGACAATGGGTTGTCCAGGCTCCCAGCTCTGGAAGTCATGGAGTTCAAGGCAATGTAATTGGGTGGACGTCCCCGGGTTCTCTGCAGGAAAACATCCATCCCATAGCCCCGGCCCCTGCTGCCGTTAGTAGCTACGGTCATACTTTGCTCCACATTATGCTTAGCTTCTTTACTAGCTCACTGATAAGCCGCCAGACCAATGAGGAAGGTGTGCGGGTAGTGGCGGACAGGGTCCTTAAACTTGCGAGAGCAAGGCTTCCTTGTAGGCTTGATAGGCTTGCTGAACTCTGTCTCGTGCACCACTCATCCTTGACATTTCTTATTACAATGTCTTGGTCGTTCTATCAATATTGTCGTAAGAGATCCCGGGCGTCGCGTCGCTGCCGGTTTGCACAAATGAGAAATCTCACGAGGTGGGCAGACGCAGTCTCAGTCTTGAGCTCATGCTCATGCTTAAGCGACAGTAAGCCTGAATGTGAGCGACAAGCGCCATGGAGACTACTGCATCGTTTGACCATGCCCAAGTGTGAATCGCGCGAGCCCTTCTACACTTGCTCTCCGTTCTAGACGCATATACTAAGCATAGCTTGGTCCTCCTATCTGTTTCCTAACTGGAATTATCGACCGGCCATACGTGATCGAGCCGCGCCTACATGTCGCGCAGCGTTGGTCAGGAAAGCCAAGTATTCCAACCTATAGTTCCAAGCCTCCAATCCTTCTCGTTTAAGCTCTTGGTTCACTCATTACAATGCGCGACTATCTGGGTTTTACCTACCAAGAAAGGAATCTGTTCATTTAGATTTATAGTGGACCTTCCAGCAGTGGTGAACGCCTCGTTGCGAATTGGCTTCCCGGGTCCGACGAAGTCATCCTATTCCTCGCCAATAGCACGGGTGGGTTTGGAAGTACCTCGCCGAGGCACCGTAGGACCGGTGATTTGGGATCATTTGATAGGTCTTCCGGCAAGTAGATACATAGCACACATCAGCCTGTACTGCGACAAAATCCTGCCCAACACATTGCCACAACTCAATGCACCACCATCCCCCCGAGCGGGGCTGCCATATGCATCTCACCCAGTCGTGGACTATTATAGACCAGTTGGGTGCTGCTATGCATCCAGCTCAGGATGCCTTCGGTCAAGCTTCTCGTGCTTCTAGCGTTTCTAGAACAGCTCCTTAACCATGGGACATGCTGCGTTGAGCCTGATCATTGGGCCTCGGAAAACATGGAATATGCAGGCAAGTACTACGGGAGAGTGGTCTGACTTTAGTGCAACCCAAGAGCCTTAGCTGTGTCCCAAAGCAGCCGCTGGAGTAGTTTTAAGAGAACCGGATGTTTGGGTCTTCTGATGTGAAGGTTTATTATGAATCCGAGACGGCAATTTCGTTCACTTACTACCTTAAATGGTGTCCATTGAGAGCCAAGTGATCTTGTAAATACCAATCGTTACCACAGGTATTGAGCAACGATTTATGACGAAGAAGAAATGCTGCTGGCCATGCCAGCTGTCTCGGCGCGGAGTGTTCACGTTCACCCAAGCTTCGAAGATCACCTGCTAATGAGCTTATTTGTTCTCGGCGTTCGAAACTAATCTTGATCTTTTCTAGCACAAGACTACAGTATGTATAGCAACGACAACATATTTCGACTTTCACCTAAGACTGCAGCTATGTTCATCAAGCTGGCTTTAAGAGCTTGCCCGAACTTTTAGTCAAATGCAATGGTTTGCCACAATCGCCGTCGCACAATCATACTATCTTGCTACTAACTAGACGGTGATAGCAGATCTTACCACAAGCTAGCCTCACTAGTCAGTCGTGGCTGTCGAGTAAGACCGAGATGCCAATGACAGTTATCATAATTATTGTCACATCAGTGACCTTATCATCTGGATCTTCCCATTAGACGTCCTCATTGATTGAACCGTATATATCGTCACAACTGTGTTTGGGCTCGGTGTGGCCGATGTGGAGGGCTACTTGCATTATCTGTCTCCCTACTGGGAGACTGGTGGATCAAGATATACTTATTTCCAGCGCTTGATAACAATCGACCGACACCCGGGTTTCATGCGGGGGCCAATTGCTGTTAGAGCCACTTTGTGGATGCCGAAAGAACCAAGGCCTCGTCAGCTCATCCTGGATATAATCCTATTGACATCGTGAAATGCAAGTGCTGATGGATCCTCCCATTCAGCGTCGCCATTACCGCAAGTCTACGCATGGTAACTCTACAGAGTACTGAAAGAGCTGTCCGCACCCACGCACGTTGGACTGGGCTGAAAGGGCGGCCGAGGCGGCTTGCGCCTATGCAGCAAACATATGTACTCCAAATCAAATCTTGCATACACGCAGTTGGACGCCTAAGGCGTTGATCACTGCGACGACAGGCTCCCTTGGTGAATATTGGCAGCGGTTTTAATTCCAATTTAAACTTAGGCCCAGAGCCTTGTACAGTTGATAGCCGTCGAACAATCCTCGTCGCAATCACAGGGATGCGCCTAATCCTCCAGAGTTGCCTCAGCGCCGACTACAGAGTTCAGCCTCTGCGCTTCAACGGCCTAGAGTCGAGCCGGTAACCTCCCTAACAACTCGAGCGCAGGAGCCATCACAATGGTGCTTTCCATGGCTGCATACGGCCGCTGCAGCGAGGGAATCCGCGATGGCCAGATCGGGATAAACGCCCGGCTTGAGTAGCAACAGGTAGTTGATGAGCAGTCTCGAGATTGCTTAAGTTAAGTGGCAGCTACGGTATGTACGCTTGTGCTGGGTCGTTTTACAGTGGCGCCAAGTTCTTGGGAAGAGGAGCTTGTATGTGTACAAGCAATGGGGGTGTCAGAACGCGGTTGCAGCCAATGGACGCGCTCCCCTACCTAGCTTCTCTTTGTAACTCTCTCAACTCAAACGTAAGGGAGGATAGGTCAAATACATAGGACTTCACGGCCTTAGCTCTTGCGAAAGACTTTTGGACATCGACGCAGGGCCCGTCAACTTGCTATTCTGCCTGTCTGTAAGACACGCGACACCGATGGGGGCTCTTTAGCCAGAAACGGACCACACAAATGCCGTGGTGAGAGGGTCAGCCCGTCGGTCGATGGGGAATGCGCATGCATCGTGTGGAATTGTTCTAGAAGGCAGCGCATTCGCTAGTTTCTGACCCCCCGCGAACATCCCCAAATCGCACAGTCAACCTAGTCTCCCAGCACATTCTCACGTGTCCCTCGAGCCATGTACGCGATTAATCCCAACTTGGTTCAAAAATACCAATATGGCCTTTCCAGAAGCCCCCCAGCTGAAATAAGCCGCACATCGTGGCCCAACTCGTGACTCGTAAGCAGATCGGGATACTAGCTATCATCCGCATATGCCTGCCCACTTTGTAATGGTCAGCGCGCCCCCCATGTCAGGATCATCCGGCGGACTGCCCATCGTAGACCCTCAACCCCTTGGGCCTCCCTGACTCTACTGTTAAGTGTCGGAGATTCAGTGCGTGACTAGCTCGCGGGGAATGGTCGCGCTTTGTGCTAGTAACGACTACTGCTGGACCTATCCCAACTCTAAATAGATAGGACTGTTGTTTTTACACCATGTCATTATGTTCCATGGCATTCACTAGTGCTTAGGCAAGGAATAGAGATCACGACATATACCATACTGCGCTCCTAGGTCATACTGCAAGAAGAAGGTCTGGATCTTTGGGCGAAAGGCTGTATATCACGCGTCAGGCGTCTATAGCTAAGCCTAATAACGATACTACGAAATCTTGTTATGATATCTGCAATTCCATAAACTTCATACCCCGCACGGCGTCAGGAGGCGGCTGCGGCACCTCTTCTCGCCCAGTCTCGAACAACACCAACCAAACCGCGTCGGCGTTCACAACCTCAAAAGCCTTCCTTGCTGTCTCGTTGCTGACGAGGCCCTCACTGCCGAAGAGCGCAAGAATTTGTTCGAACACATCGTCACCAACGCGGACGAACGAAACGATACCGACTAGCAGATCTTGTACAGCTTCCCATATCTGCCGCGCTTGCGTAAATTCTCCCAGACCTGCCCCACTAGGTTGAGAGGCGATGCTGAGATTCATACTTTGCAATGGTTCCTTTGCCTGAAGACCATCTGCTGATCGGATCGGTATAACAAGCTCGGAAGTCGGTGGTCCAACTACTTGCACGGAACTCCGGGTTTCAATGGTCTTTCGACTGGAGATTCGGGAGCTTTGCGTCGCATTATTCTTTGCCTTTTTAATCCACTTTGCTAGACCATCTGACCACTCTGTTTCGATCCTTGAGCTTAGAAAGTCGCCCGCGCTGTTACACAAGGCAGTGAGCGCTTTGCATGCCGATATCACAACGAATGACTCGGGATCGTAGAGGCGCTCTACCAAAACAGGCCATATGGTATTGACAACTGGGAGAAAAGCCTCCTCATCTGGCGATAGTGCTGGACAAACAATACCAAGGAGATCCAGTAGCGACTTTCGCAGCGTAGGGGTTGGAGAAGTAAGATAATGCTGCGTGAAACCCGTGATTCGTGTGAGGAGTGAATATGTCGGAGTCTTGGGCGGCGGCTTCTTTTCGACCTCTTGACCTGATCCCTCCTCAAGACCATCGTGTTCGCCTGCTGTTTCACCTTGGTCCTCCCTGCGCTTCCAAGGCTTCTTGGGGTGACTGATTCGCTCAACGTCATTTTCTTCCTCCCGCCGCCGCCTTTTTCTTTCCGCGCGTTTGTCAAGATCTGCCATGATTTCCTCGACCTTGGTGATCTGCAGCGGTAGTTTTATGTGATCCGATATGGGTCTATCAGGATCTTCTAGAAGCAGCTGGTCCGACTTAGCGCCTTGCCTTACTATCTCAGCAAGAACAGCAAAGAGGTTCTCGACAAAAAGAGTGTATCCGTGATAGTTATCCAGCGCACCAAAGATCGATGCTACGACGTCGTCCAAGAACGGTATTATTCTCGGGCCAGTCAGCTTAATCATCATGCGTAGAACTTGGGTAGAAGCCGGAGAGATATCAAAGGTGTTCAGACGTAGGGAAACCGAGTTCAGCATGTAGTCGACATTCTCGATAACCAGATCCGCCACATTGTTGTAGTCGCAGGACGACGCTATGCTGTTGAGCGCCATGATAGCATGCTCCCGCACCTGAGGGACGCTTGAGCCTAAATATGTTGCTATGGGGTACAGCACATCGATAAGCTCTGGACGAAAATTGATTTTCATCCTTGATGCAGCAAAAGCTGTTACTTCCAAAGCCAATGACGGCAACCGCCAGTCAGGCTCCTCTGACTCTTCTGTGGCATTGAGGACTGTGATGGAGAATGTATACAGCTCTTGGAGTACTTGTTCATGACTTTCACCAACTTCCGCTGCAGGGCCAAAGTCTATGAACTGATCAAGATCTGAGGATGAACTCAGACCGGCTTTCACAAGTTCAAATGCTAGCCAGTACGATGCAACTTGTGTGTTGCCAGTAGACTCACGTAAATATTCGAGCATATCTGCCGCCAATACTGCATGCTGCGAGAACGTGCCACTTTTCGAAATAAGTGTCAACATTTCGGTGCGCGTGGATCTTTGGTTTGTCTGGTCCATCAGGAAAGGGCGGAATTGTATGGGTTCTTTAGGCTGGTTGCTATTGTTGTTGCCAAGAACGAGCTCTGTGGGGGGTAATTCTGCTAGATTGGACGTTCGACTGCTCGAGGCCAGTAAGGCTGATACACTGTCCCTCAAGGAAGCAGCCATAGTGTTATTCAGAGTTGTTGAATCAATGCGTAATGAGCTTATAAGACTTTGACCCTTCAGAAGATTTCGAATCGCCTGCTGTTGGAGTTCTTCATCACTGGACTGCATTATGCGCGGCAGACTTGTGACCCAATTATATACGGTCGTCTTGACCGTGTCTGTGAGCTCCGGGTAGATGCCCGTCAAGTCCGACAAGCTTGTGTTCAAGCCTGCGTTCAGCAGCGAATGATTCTCGTCTTCCATGGACAGTATTATAGCGGTTTCTACCAGAATTTGAGCACATATCGATAGAGACTGATGGCACTCGTCCAGTAAGGCAACACACAATCTTTCAAGACCCAGTTGAACATCCTCAGCTTTGTGCACTCGTAACTTGAGTATACTCGCAAGTGCAAGCTTGATTTGTTCCGCTGTAGCCTTCAGCCAGGAAACTGTGAAGACTCGACCCTTAGTCTTTGCATCGCCAATATTTTCGGGCTCCGCCGTTTTCTTAAGCAGCTTTGTGATTTTAATGTCGCCTAAAACGCCCACGAGAATAGACCTCAACACAACGATACCCTTGACAAGCACTTTTTTGGGTACTTTCCATGCAGGCGGTGGTGTCAATAGTCTGCTCAGAGAAGAGATGATTCCCGGCAAGAATGTCGCTAGCACTACAGGGTCCTTGACTCCTGTAATGACAGCGTCCAATACCTGTAGAGACTCAAGCTGTATTTCTGCAGTTCCGCCCTTGGTGATAGTATCCATGATAGTCGTGACTGTATGGCCCAAAGCGGGTAGGTTTTTATCATCAACGAGGCTCTTTGATCCCGATGTTGAAGCGCCGGTAGCTGTAACCAGCGATGCGAGAGCTTTTAGAGCTTCGAGCGTTGTCTCCTCGGGAATAGCCTCAGGCTTCTGTTGGCCTGGCACCCCACCGATCACGTACGTGAGGAAAATGAGTAGTTGTTGTGACAGATCACCGGATATCTTATTTTTCCAGCCATATTGGATGAGCCTCTCGAGACACCTGATTGTAAGCTCTGTCAACCTCAACGGAAACTGCTGCTGATTCCTCAGGATATTAGACAACGGAAAGAAAACATAATCTGCCAGCTTCTCATCCAGAACTGACGCATCCTTCGTTATCTGCGTTTCAAGGACATCTGAAAGGTCCCTGATGATTGCGATCAGCTGCTTAGCGACCGCGCGCTTATCTGGTGCCTTGACAGCAAGGTCATTGATGGCAACGCAGCGTGGTTTGAGCTGTTCGAAAATTTAGTGGGCCGGAATGAAGAAACCTGCAAGGTCCACCGCACCTCTTTGAAGAATTCAGTCCTTGCCGTCGATGGAGTGGCTGCCATTTCGGTGCAGTTGCATGGTGTCGTAGATGCTGTCAAACTTGCTCAGTCCGTCGGCGAACGTTTTGGGAAGGAGGGCAAGGTTGTTGGGGCGGAATATTATACGTACGGTACCTGCGTTTTTGGCCGCCTTAGTCATAAACTGCCTGACAATTTTAGGGCACATCCACTAACGTTCTCCGCTGAAAAGACACTCCCCTCGGCCTGGTCAAACCCAATGCTGAAGTAACTAATTACACACCAACTGAGCGGACTTGGTCTGATTCACATGCCGAAGGATCGAACAACTGGGAACTATCGTGGCTATAAGTCTTCTTCTTGAATCACTTACCAGCCCCATCTGCATGCTTCCGAGAAAATATTAGATTTACTCTCAAGGCGCTGAAAATCCACAAATCAGCATACTAGATCAACATGTCGGCTTCCACGTCATTCACCACTACAGTTCACCCCTTCGACTCACCAACATCGCATGCATGTGCCTATGAGCTGGGCCTCTCCTCAGCCAAGAATGCATTTGTTTTCATGTCAGTTTTTCATCTTCTCATACCTGCAATATCTACCTCAAACGAAATCTATACTACATTTGGCGGGGCAGAGACTGTTTGTCATCGAAAGTAGCCGGTAGTCAGATGCATTTCAGTAGTACTCAGACAGAATCTATGACTGATAGTATAGTTGAAGTGGTGGGTTAGGAGATGGTCCTCACACTGTGCCATACCCTCGCGCCATTGCCAAAGCTCTAGAGCAGCACTCAGAATTGAACTTTTCTGTCTTCGAATTTAGACTTACGAGTTCTTTCAATGGCTTCGGCTTCGCCAGACTGGCCGATGATGTCGCTGATATTTCCGCCTTGGTCAAGTATTTGCGCGGCATTGGTAAAGACAAAGTGGTGCTAATGGGCCATTCGACCGGTACTCAGGTACGTAAAAGCCAGGTTACTATACAGTCAGCCGGCACACGATCAGTAGCACTTACAGGCTCTAGGACATCATGGAATATACATCTCCCGCATATAAAAATACTCCTACTGTTGATGCCTTCATTCTGCAGGCACCAGTCGCTGATCGTGGAGCCCTTGAACTTGATCTGGGACTCGAAGCTCTCGACAAAAGCGTTAGTATAGCAAAGGGGCTCAGTGAAAAAGGTAGAGGGCACGAGCGCATGCCTAAGGAGCTTATCCCTGACTGGTTTTCCCCTATATCCGCCCAGCGCTGGTACGCACTCGCAGCACCTGAGTAGGCATCTCTTGATTCTCATCTTATGGTCGATTCATTGGTATTTCTAACGGCAATACAGTGGTGAGGACAATTACTTCGCTCCAGACCTTTCCAGAGAAGTTGCGAGTTCCTACTGGTCCAGAATCGACAAGCCTCTGCTGATTCTGCAGTCAGGTGCAGACGAGTTCATGCCGCCTTCGATAGACGTGAACGGGCTTATCAAGGAGTGGAAATCGATGTGCCGTCCAGGTATCGTCAGTGATCTCTCGGGGCTCATCCCCGATGCTAATCACAGAGTCGAACAACCTGAGTCGGAAAAGTGGCTTGTGAAGACTGTGCTAGACTTTCTACAGAGCATTAAATAGCGCATCACTCCGTAAGCTAACACAATATTATCCGCTACTATTCGATATTCAGGTGCTATACGATTCCCTGGTGGCTGCTGTGATCAAAGGAGATATCTTGGGGGAAGTGTCGCCGATTTTGGTTGGGATCAACGAGGATGTTCGTTGGGCTTTGTGGGCTCAGTAATCCAGACAATATTGTGACGCGTGCATCATATATTCCGGTCCGTTTTCTATTTGTCGTAGTCGCGGTTCACTTCATCTTAATCGACGAATCCATGGAGCGAATCCGTTTTAATATGCCCTCAGCATGCTACATTTCTCCGAAGCGTTGAAACTTGCGTAAAATCCACGGCGCTGCCCTCTACATTCATCCCCTTCCATAAGCCAAAGGATACACTCAAAGAATACTAGGTTAGCCGTTAGCACTATACGAGACCCGGTTCAGAGGCATTAATCAATCAAGCTTGCGCTTTAGCAGCTCAGGAAGTCATATAAGCTTGAATAGCCATCCAAACAAAATGTAATGAAAGATAGTATTCTATATCATATCAATGGCTTCCTATTCAAGCCACTATCCGAACTACTAACTTTTGAGGTTAAGCCGAAGATACCAGTAGGAGACCAGTAGGACTCAACTATAACCAACGTAAAATTTTGTATACGTCACTTGTCCACGTTGGAGTTGGGAGAAGAGTCATACTCAGCTAATTGGCATTAGTCATTAGTGATCGATTGTGAAAGGCCGATCGGCTAGAGGAATTTGGAGGAAACATGCGGGCTTATGCCGATGAAGTTACTGTAAATCAAACCAATAGTAACAGTACATGGATGCTGTGGGATAATGTGAAATCCTATTCGATTTTCGAGACTGCTTCAGATAGCACGTTGTTCGTTGCGTTATATCGCCTCTATTGTCGTTTCGTAAGTGCAGGATTATCTAACCTTAGGTTAATGGTGTCCGCAAGCCGGCGGTGCCTGCGCCTATCTCGAGACGTAGTGTGGGCAAGCTCCAACTGCCCATCTCCCCACAGAGAACCCCACACCCCGATAAGCGGCTATTTGTCCATAGGAGGGTCACCCAGCCATATCTTTCTGCCGTATGATCGAAGACATAAAAAGCAGTGTGTAACCCTGATAGTGGCAGAAATCAAATTCTGCTTTCAAGGTGATGATCAGAGGTGAGATATCTCCGATTGAGCCAGATTCTGTCTTGCTAACCATATCATCAGCCGTTAAATTGTTGTCATCATGGCACTCTTAAACCCTTATTTGCTTGGGGCTGGGCTTCTTCTGGCCATTCTATCTTACGTATGGTCGAGTTTGACGACTCCTTTACGAGATGTTCCTGGTCCTATCTCTTCATTATTCACATCTTGGATTCTGAAATGGCATGAATTCCACGCCAACCGGACCAGATATGTTCACCAGCTCCATGAGTCATACGGCCCAGTGGTTCGAATAGCACCGAATGAAGTCTCATTTGTGTCGACGGAGGGAGTGAAAGAGATCTACCAGTCTGGAGGCAGTGGATATGATAAGACCGAATTTTATAACTTGTTCCAAGTATATGGTAGAAGGTAATGCTTGTTCCCCAGACTGCTCTCTCCCAGGCCGGTTATATATATGACCTCACGCTCACGATGACTAGAACTATGTTCAGCACACTGAACAAGAGCGACGTAGGTACTATGCATGCCAAATAAATCTATCTGCTGACTAGCGTCTAGCACGCGAAGAGAAAAAGGGTGCTCGCCGATCGATACGCAAACACAAATATCATGCGGTCGGTCTCCATGGACGGAATAAAGGAGAGGTCGGGACGATTTATCGACCACTGCACCGCATCTGTTGGCGGTAGTCTGGATATTTTTGTAAGCGGTTAAGAGACGTGCATTTAAGCCTTGACTAACATTTCTCCAGATTTGCAAGTAACTTGACCAAAGCTGGCATATCAGCACATTGACTCGTCACAGCTCTGCACAATTATGCATTTGACTGTATCAGCCATCATCTATTCCATCCTTACGGTTCAGATGCGCTTCGAAAACAGCAAGACGAAGAGATCATGAAAGAAGTAGCTTTCGATGACAGCCTGCAAAGTGAGTATCGGTTGCCTCATCTGTCAGTCATGTACTGACCTTCAAAGATCGCCTAATCAAGTACTACAATCCTGCATTATACAGCTTGATAGGAGGGATACTAGGGGTCTTCGCAAAGCCTAGAGAAACGCCCGGGGCTGATCATCTTGTTCTCAGCGCCAGCTCAAAAACTGATCCGGAACCTTTTACCTTGGTCAGTCGCATGCAGGAAAAGGCCCATGGAATGGACCACCTTGACATGGCAGCAGAGTGTCTGGATCATATGGCTGCCGGCATTGATACGACAGGCGGTAAGACCACAATTACAAGGCCGGTATTGGTGCTCGTACCATCAGACTAACATTTTGCTTTCAGACGCATTATGTTTTCTTATGTGGGAGATCTCGCAGCCGAGATCAATTGACGTTCAAAAACGTTTACAGCAAGAGATAAAGATGAGTCAGAACTTAACATCTGATAAGCTTACGTACTTGGATGCAGTCGTCCTTGAAGGCCTGAGATGCACCCCTGCAATTCCCATGTCGTTGCCTCGTTATGTCCCGAAAGGGGGACGTACTATTGATGGATATTTCGTCCCGGAGAGAACGATTGTCAGCAGCCAGGCGTACTCGGCGCATCGCATTGACCAGAAGGTTTTTCCAGAACCGGACCTTTTCAATCCTAATAGGTGGCTGGAGCAATCTGGAGATGCCGAACGAAAACGGTTGTTTTTTGCGTTCGCTAGCGGAGGCCGTGGTTGTGTTGGAAAGCAGTAAGTGCCTGGTCCCTTAGACACAAGAATAACGCTGAAATTGCCATCCAGTTTGGCACTTGCCGAGATGAAGACATTACTGGTTGACGTCTATTCTCGATTCACGACACTCCCCGACCCATCCATGACTCAAGACATGATGGAAATGTCAGATCAGCTCATTTCGTCCCAACCATTGGGTAAGAAATGCTTGATACGATTTCTGCCGTTGGAAAAGAACGGGAAGGAATAATACATCCCAAATTCGAGACTATGTTTCGAGACTATTGTATTGCACTACGCGTGCTACATAATCATTAGATATAAATACAAATGACAATTTGGAGCATAGTCTAGGCACAAGTTTCGTACACATCTACTGCGAATGAATGTATTATAATCCGGAATACGTGCTTACGGGCCGCCTAGGTAAGATCATTTCTCGCGTGTCCATAGCGATTGCCTACCGATTTCACACTTTGCTTTACATTATCATATGTCACGATCAGAACCGGTAGTCATGGTCACAAGAGCTTAGCTATTCTGATTATATTCCTGGACTTACATCTTGCCATATCTTTCAGTTCTACTCCAACCGTACGATCTTCGCAACAGATCGTAACGTTCATTATCAGAAGTGACAAGGATACGTGAGTACTGGGACGTATGAGCATGGAATCATCCGGAACATTTTCTCCCACATGTCCGTATAGCATTGTCAACCAACCATACGTTCCCAGAGGTTCTTTGAGAAATTTAGCCGTCTACACATAAATTCCAGAGAAGTACGAGAATGCTCTCCAAAATATGAGCCGGAGTCATGTACGATTTGAGCTGGACATAAAAGTTCTGAGTTATTGTGTCATGCAGCGGCTGAATCACGACTATCGAGCCATTGTGTAGTGAAGTAACCCATCAACGGATCATAGACAACGTCTCGTGTGTTTTGGCCAGATGCACCTGCTGATTTTTTGAAGCAACACAGTTGCCTGCACAAGAGCAGAGTGCATCATACCTATAGAGATGTAATATGATATGTGACGAGAGCTCCTACAAATACTTCAGAAAATATATTTGACATCATGTAGCATGCTAATGGAGCCCTAAAAGCTTCTATTAACAAGAATATCATGATATGAATACATGGGGTCAAAAGCAACAGGAAGGCATATGAGCGTAGCGATGTTGGGAAATTAAAGCAAGTATAAGTTTGACTTGCGAGTGTGGGATTAGTGCAGCCAGTGTGACTAGGGTATTTCAGCTAGAATAAATATCCCTCATTCACAGCAGTCCAATCAGCGCTTCATAATATACTAAGTGTGGCATCGAACCAAAAGATTGACTTACTAAACAATATACTTTGCATGTGAGAATGCACAAATAAAGAAGTGAAAAGGACGACACAGCTTGCAGCGGCAGGGCACAATTTCCTCGTCCAGGCCAAACTGAATCATAGCGATTTCTGTTCTAGAACATGTCCACACACAGCGTGTACATAGAGTGGTTAGGCTGTTCGCCAATGTCACATCAAGTGTGCCATCTACTACATTCTGTGAAACATGCGGCCCAGACCAAGAACAATGAAAGCCTGTTTGAGCCTGGATTCATGGAACAAAGAGAGGCTGTGTTCAATAGTAAGAGAACACTCGCGACTTATCATGCGCACTGGGCACTAGAAGCCCTGACAACCTAGGAAACACTTCATGTAACATCCCATCTGGTCCTTCAAACAATTCCTGGCGACCGGGTTTTTGGGAATCCATCGCAAGATCATCTCGGTTAGCACAAGGCACAGTCATCTGATAGTCCCGGGGGACATGAATGTTGTGCAACACAGACTAAAACCGGGGCTGGATCTCCGGCCTACCGGGGGCCAGCTTCCGCTGCAGGAGGCAACCTCCCTGTCCGCCATAGCAAAGAAAAGGAAATTTTGATGGGGGCGGGGGTTCGTACTATACATAGTAGATACCACGAAGGTTCAAGCCTACACTAGATTCTTGCTGTATCGTATGAGCCAGGGGAATGGGAACGACGGGAACTAGCGGAAGCAAAAAACCGTTGTGTGGTTGATTACATAGTACCGGTAGGCGGCGTAGACTTCCGCGCCCGAAGTATTTTGGGAACTGCAAACGCAGTACCGCTTTTCAACAACTTTCTTTTCCTTTCAGGGTCCAATGAACTACATCACAACCAACTGTGTGAAGCGGACCGCAGAGGCGTCATGCTAATTACGTACTCCTCGCCGTATGCACAAACAGATAGTCTACGGCCGCGTTTGGTCTGAAGATGGAAGGAGGGCCAAGCTCCTCTTCGTTGAGAGAGAAGTGATCAGTCATTTCTAAGCCATGTTAGATTGATTTTGTTTTCTCCCATTGGTGAAGGGGAAGGGCTAAACGAAGATCGCCACTGCCGACGAGTTTTGGATCCCCATTCCAGTGGAGCAGTGCAGGTCTGTGGGCGCTCCGTGTGCTGGCCAGTCCAATATTGACGGGAAACGCGTGAGACTTGCAGAAGTCGGCTGCAGAAAGAATACTCCAGGAGCAGAAGATACGCCGTGAGTGCATTGCGGAATCTACGACAAGAGAAAGACAAGGAGAGAATACGGAGTCCATCGCACATCTGCGATGCGGCCCCACAAAATCGTCGCCATTCACCCCTCATTTCAACTCGCATAATATCTGATGCAAGATTTTGTGAGTTATGACAGATCTCAACGGGAATGTCGCCTGTGTGAAGCCATGACCACCAGTCGTGTTGCGTATCTTTCTGCCCATAACTTGGATAATGGCGAAGAGTCTTTCCCTTCTAGGTCATGTGGCTGCGAATGACAACACTACACAAGGTAATCAGATCATCGAGCAAATTCCACGCATGCGGAGAGCCACACAAATGAGAAGAAATCCCAGATAATGAAACATGCGGGGGAGGAATCGTTTGTTCGATGACGGAGTACTGTGGAGGTGGGAGCTCCCGTCCCAAGATTCAAGCTAACAGGGTTGCATTCTGCTGCAGAGGGCCAACAGCGGAAACCGGCCATATAGAGTTGCAAGGCATCTCGAACCGAATTAGGCACTTCCCGTTGCCTGAGTAATTTGAAACGAAATAGTTGGTGGTAAGCGTTGTTTAGATTGCCACTGCATGTCGAACACTATTTGACGTTCTGGCAGTATGACACTAAGAACATGATTCAATGCTCCTGTAGAGTGCTGATGCCGTACAACTTTTCCGATCGTCAGAAGCGGCTGACCACCAGCTCACCCAAGTAGAATGCTAGTCAAGATGATAATTACGATACAGTGCTTTTCACAGTGTTGGGTGTAGTCAGAAGTACCCATCTACATCGAAGCCCACGAAACACACTCAATTGATAAGCCCTGCTATTGGACGTCATAATCTTTGACAAACTAGGTCGCATCCGAAACTAGCAGTTTATAAAGCTACTTTGTGTTGAATGGGGCGTGCTCCTTAAGGGGATGAGTGTTTGGCAACCCGGAATACCTCTCCCGTTTGGCATCTTCTGCAACGCCGGGTATGTGATCCAATGTTCATTATTAGTGCAGTTGGGACTTGAAAAGGAAAAACATGATCGTGACAGCATAATATGGGAATAAGTTGGAAATCAAACGGCCGCCAATCTGCATCGCCAACAGATTTACCCCGCCGAACACCAAAAATAGAGGAAATGAGCGAACTGGACTGAAGTCTTGAAATCAGGAGACCACCAATGACGTTTAGACATAAAAACATATACCGCCAACCATGTATGCAATCAAAGTCGAGCCGCCCCGCAAATGGTATCACTTCCTGTAGTAGTGTATCCACCATCATGATTGATCTTTTCGCTGTTGGCGCGAAGAAAATGCACACAAATGCCGACCCGGGGTGTTTCCAGAAATGTGACACAAGGACGCGAATACGTATGAATCAAATGCAGACTTGGTCGCATGAAGCCGCTCTTCTTGCTGACGTGAAACAAAATTTCAGACTGCCTGCCCACCCATGATCCCGTCTCTTTTTCGTGTCGCTGTATGTGTGTTCTATAAGGTCGCCAACAACACCAAGAAGAATGATTTCCGGAGGGTGTGAAAAAAAAAAAAAAAGGGGGGGGGGGGGGGGGGGGGGGGGGGGTCGTTCCCAGATAACTGGACTACATGCCAAGATTATGCTGATTTTGGGTATAATAGAACGCGACTGACGTAATGGAGTTTCGATGAACTAGAGCAAAAGAACCGTGCTGTTGACCTAGTTCGCAACCGACTCAAGTGTCATGAGCACTGTCTTCACATCATCGGCTTGTGAGGTCCTTCTTGCTTAACGCTGGAACCCGATAGCCCTCTCCCGCCCTGATGACCATAATCAGGATATCCTGGTGCAGAGGGGAGAGGATCTAAAGTTCTGAACATAGTCGCATGACTCATGTCATGGCTTCTTGATATGCCATCATATATGAGGCTGTATTGCTGCGATTGCGGCATAGGCGCATTCGGAGGGCCCACATGAACCGGCGCATTCGATTGATACCCGGGACCAGGCATTGAATAGCCGGTCGCACTGCTCGGAGCTGTTGTATGTGCCCAAGTACCATAGCCGCTCGGTGTTGCTGGCGTTGCGAATCCAGAGTGAGTGTCAGCCACCGACGGTCTCCGACCAGGATCGTGCGGTCCCATGTACTGCATATCCGAAAGTCCCATACTGTTAGATGCGTGTAGCGGTGCTGCAGCGGACAACTCGTTGTACCTAGCGACGCCCTCGTCGAACTCGGAGCCTGGAAGAGGCTGAGTGTAGTGCGGCCCCCTCAAGACAACGTCGTTCATATAAGCACCATGCATAGAGCCATCTGCAGCATCGATCGACCCATGCGTGTTGGGGTAAGCCGGAACGCTCTGAGCGAGCCCCCTATGGGGTGTGAGACTTCGAGAAATTGGCAGGCGGTCTTGGCCTTCGTCGATCCTCGATGGGCTGCTCTCCTCGGTGTCATCATCGTAACTTTCGGCAAGCCTGTCATCAGATGTTACATGGACTTTCATAGATCCGTCTGTAAGCTTGATTAGAAATGATCTAGAGGAATCGGGGGTTTTGTATCGACTGACCAACCATTCCGGCCCGGAATCTTTCTTCCTGCTTTGCTACCTTGAAAATTTCCTCAAGATATGGCTTCTTCTGGAGATTGCCAGTCTGGTTACTGTCAGCAAACCACGCAGAAAGCGCTTCCCAAGTAACCTCTTCCAGCTTGGCGATATTCAGCTGGAGTTTCTTGATGTCGGAGTGCTGGCCATTGTTTGGCTCAATAATCATTCTCAGAATATGACACAATAAATGTAACCGTTCTGTCCGGTGATGTTTAGTATGAAAGTAGCCCGATGACTGTAAAGGGTGAGTGGTACCTTTTTTATACAGATGGTCTGGCTCTTTGTGCCGGACTTTGTGCTCTGTACCCTCTCCCCATGGCTGCGGCCACCAATCTGGTGCTTTCTCATCCTTTCCAGTGTAAGGATGAGTCGACTGCTTCTTAGGCTCTACAGTTTTTATCCAAGCTTTGGCGATGAGCTTGCAAGCGGCTTGTTGGCAATTCTTGAATCGTTGTTCGTAAAACAGCCACAACTGTTTGCTATCACTAACGGCGATCGGTTTCGTCGTCTTCTTCGTAGTGGGCCGAATCTGCATATCTTCCCCACCAAGGTTTCGTCGCTTCCGTGCAGGTCTACCAGAAGTGTAGTCTTCCTGAGAGTCTAGATCAAAAGCAGACTTCCGGTAGGGAATTGAGGATTCTTCGAACGAAGGTGTCGAAACTATGCCATTCACGTTGACATATTAGCAAATAACCTCCGGAGCGTTGGCCACGATATGAACTCTTACCACAGGTATCTGTTGGGGTAAAAATGTTATTGAAATTCACAGCATTGTAGAATTCTTTGACCCGTTCGGGAGGTATCGAATTGGGCGTACAGAACGTCCTTTCAGAGCCGTCGTCCAGGATCGCAGCCATGAAGAATACCTTGACTGGAATACGAGCTTGTTCTCGAAGAATTTGGTGTAAAGGCTATGGCAGCTTTTGTCAGAATTGATCTTGCCAGGTCTGGTCAGCAAGCTTACCAAAGGTGCGCCTTTCCTTGCAGGCACCTGCTGCTCATTGTAAAGATTTTCAGCAGGCTGAAGACCACGACTTTCCCATGTAGGGCCCAAGGCAGGGTAGTATTCCCTACCAAACCTGTCTTGTTGACCCATCCCGCGTGATACCTGTCGACTCAACAGGTTAAAACTATTTAGTAATGTCGACGACTGGCGCCACCCAGGCCTTATCGGTCTGAAAGTCTTTTATACAGAAGCACGCAAGAAAGTTGCTGTGGGCGACGGCAAATCTGGGCTTGAGCCTCAGAGACAAACTCAACAAACGCCACCCCAGAAGAGTTCCAGCCGGCTCTACCTTGATCGCCTATACGAATAGTTAGACCAACTGAGTTTATGTTAAGGCCCGTCGTATAAGTGGTGTTTTGTTGTGTTGAGAAAAACAACTCGGCGTACTACTGTATCACAGCAGGTGAGCGACGCCTGCAGAAGACAGAGTAACAATTCGTAGTGAACTAAGTAGTGCCGCTTGGTTCATGCCGTGAAAGCTCCAGAATGGGGCGTAAGACTTCGATGTGCGTGCAAGGGTGGATATATAAGAGCTGAGTGGCAATTCGAGAAGTACACTCCGTCGTGTTGACTCGTGTTGACAAGCTTGGAGAAAGCTGTGGGAGGTAGCCGTAACAGAATACTAAGTAGAAAACTTGAACGAGTATGCAGGACGCCCGTCGAGGGCGGAAAGGGGTTGGACGAAACGACCTTTCTTTGTTGACTGGCGAACACGGGAGGTTGCTTCAACGGGATATTGATGTGGGCGGATGAGTACCAAACGGCGTTATGGGTCCCAGCACTATAGAACGCCTGCGGCTACCAAGAAGGGAACACCAGATGGAGTGGGCGTTCGCGATAACAAAGAAACCAACTTTGAGGTTGTCAGAGGCTACCGCCGTGTATGTAGCTCTGTGGACCAAAAGAGGCTGTGGGGCCACAAACGATATTCACTCCCAGTCGCGATAATGCATGAGATGGGACCTCAGTCTGCCTGCTCGCTATCTTGCGCCCGTGAGACATTAAGCAACGAATACTCTCCGTTCGTAACCAGCAGCTGTCTCGGGACGTGGTTGCTGAGAAGTGGGAGATAGGCGGACTCTAGACTCAGTTGAGCTCAGCGTCTTGATCAACGAGATTTAAGCGGCAACTCTAGGCATGACATACAAGGAAGTGATGGCGTTGGTAGGACGGGTGGTTACAGGGCGGCGTGACTGAATTACCAGTCAACGGAGCGTTGCAATATGACACGGAGCAAGCTCACTGGCATTGCCGTGCAGGAGGTCCCTTAAGTCTCGAGAATTGAAATCGAGGAACAGGTGACTTGCGAGTCCTGTGCCACACCCTTATGCGACCAAGCTCGTCTGAGAAACAGAACTGCAGACCGGCAAGAACAATGGAAGAACGAGTCTATTCAGATGGGAACAGCGAGACCGACAGCTCCTTCCGCAGGACGAGGCGTGGCGACAGGTCAAAGACCTGAAACTCCTCGAGCTGGCATTAATATGTTCAGGGCACGAGAGAGAAAAAGAAATCAGTGCCAGGCAATCGTAGGCAGATGCTGTGGAGAAATACTGTGTGTGATGTATGTATTCACCGTCGGTAGATGAAGTACTTCGATCAGCTCTCTAAGAAAGCAAGGATCGTAATAGCAGTAAGTATCCTTGCCCCTCCTTTCTGGGTACGTTTGGTGCGTTTGGAGAGCACAGTCGCACGCAGTGAGAGGACAGCAGATGACTGGGTCCTCACTAGCTTTACCGTTCGGCTGGGGGCTGATTGATGTCGTAGCAAAAAGCAGTAGATTCTCAGGGTGGGCAAGGGTGGTGGCTGTTGCCCTGGGCGCAGCAAAGGGTGCGAGACTCTTGACTGGTACAGGTCTGGCTCCGGAAAGGCTGGCGGCATGGATGCATGGGTGTTTCCTCCAATACAACCTTTAGCAGTTATGTTTGGTAGGTAGGGACTGTGCAATCGGCCTCCAGCATTATCTTCAGGATTTGCTTTATTATCGCTTTTTCTTCTCCCCTACCCTTGAGGCTCTCAAATCATGGGCCAATTTTTTTGTTGGTGTCGCAGGAAATACAAACACCAGTGCTGGAAGCTCAACTCTGCAGATTTCACAAATGGACTTCCATTATCTAGAGCTGCTCGAGTGTCCAGACGTGATGAGTTTCGTGTATAGCTGATTCGCAAGGAAGTCTGCTAATCCCGACAGTGGAAGAAAGAACGCCATGACATTGGACAAGAAAGGAAACAAAAAAAAAGCAATGAGAGAAAAAAGCCACACAGATCGGTGGACTATGTACACGTTGTGTGGAAAGCAGGCCCATGTCGGGACAGGGGCCTCAGTGACAAGCATGTGGAAGAAATAAATAGAGTCGAAAGAGTTTGTGGGCCCCGGGTAGCCGGCGGGGGTCATCCCTAGCAGGACCAGGAGCAGTACTCCGTAGCGGAGATGCACCATGCCACTCCTCTTCAGGTGCTGTCAATCAAATTTTGTATGCATTTCTCAGTGTCCAAAAGCGTCGCTGCCAAAGAATTGAATGACGAGTCGAGCAAGGTTGGATGATCTGGTCCACAACGCTACTACATCTAACAGAGTTTATTATATGAAACAGTATAGTCGCAAGTTCTTCCCGCTTTGATTTACCCCACTGTCTTTCCATCGTATGCTTATACTCTGGCTCAAATCCGTTTGCGTAAACGATTCCCGGAGAAAGTTAAATCGTCTTGATACAGCATTTACTTGGGTTTTTATTGCTTTTCTCTAGAAACAGCTTAGCAAATACTTCAATAATGGGTTTCTGGTGGCAGCAAGCGCCAGCCCCGCTCTGCTGTTACCAGCCAGTCACGATTGTGTCTAACAAAGGCGACCCATGCCCAGAAATCATAACTGCTGCGGCTGCAACCGCCATCAAAAATCGCTCAGGCGGTTGATTGTCGATGATACAAACTCACCAATTGCCTGACCTAAGCAGGCATAACGCGAACGTGCAATGCTTCCTCCGAATTGAAGCCTCTCTTACTCGTTCATCAAGCACAGATGTCTTGATTTCCATGATTGTGTTCTAGCTCACTTACGCAGTATTCTGGGGCCAATACAACCAGGGATGTCCGAGACCTTCTCTAGGTCAACGAAGCTGGAGCGGGGTTGGTTCATCACAGCTTGAGCCGAAATGTTCGGATTGTTCTCCTACCTCATTGCAATATGCAACATCTCCCGATAAGAACTGGATTAGACTGCCTTGGAGATTTCTTATTACATGCGCATTCGGCATAGAAAAGGCATCCGAAACTCGGCATTTGTATCGTATGTGCATCGGCCCTGATTGGCCGTATTTGACACGCCCTATCAGCAGATTGACTTTTATCACCATCAGCGTGCCAAATTGACTTACACGGGATGCTCATCAATATTTTTTTTGGCCTCTGGATGAACCATATTACATGTGCCCGGAGTATACTGTGCATAAGCTTTAAATTTTAAAAAAAAATTTGTTACTGTAGGCGGATTGGTTGTGTAAAGCGACATGGTTTGGGCTTATACCGAACTGACACCAACCGCCTTCTTTGTTATCCCGTATTAACGCCAAGCTGCCCCGGAATCATTGATCTCAACATAGTGGAGAGTGTTCTCTCAGATCGAATTCATTACTATCGAAGTAAGTAAAAATAAAAATAAAAATTTATGATACATCACGTCGATGCAGACGACGAGATTGGAGTGGGATGATTGTGCGGTGCTCTGTGTGCCTGACTGCATTACCGAGCCCAAAGGATGGGTGAAGACATTTCCATGCAGCAGGGTTATCAAATCCGGGTTCAAAGCTTTGTTTGATCATCTGATGGTTCTGGGACATTTGGGGTTGGCATCTTCGGTGGGGGTCAACTTTGTGGGAGGGAGATGATTCTTCTGTACTATACTCGGCCAAGCAGATACCGAAGCAATTGCATGGCAGCTTCAAAATGGAGGTGAGCAGCCGGCCCGCCTTCTGTCAAGTTCTGATTTAGTCGAAGCCAGTGAGCCGGTGACATGACTGACTATTGCCCGGGTAGAAGCGATCCGTCTTCTTCGATAGTTGAGACCATCCTGGGTGGACGCGGAATTGGAAGAGCTTCTCCGGTTTGTCCTCAGACTTAACCGCTACAATTTTCCAGTGCATGATTGAGAGAAACAACTGCAGCATTCTGCCAAGAGAAATTTTGCAAGCAAACACAGAATTTGCCGTCTGCTCGGTTAAGCAGTACAAAAAGCTTTCACAGTACTGTCGCTAATGTTTCACAAAAGATTGCGGGCGACGGTAGGAACGGCAGAGCAAGGGGTAGTATGACAAAGTCGGGTTACATCCCCCCCACGTCAGTCTCCGCCTTCAACCGCCAACCGTTGTCACAGAGAGTCTGGTACAGACTAATGATGTTTGCGCTGTTATGGGACCCTGGAGCTTGTTCGGTGGCGGCTAACATACACACACACGACGTTTGAAGAAAGGTTGAATTATCTGTTTTTAGCCCTTGGAACTGCTCGAATAGAAAACGCAGCTGTAGACACATACGATTGTTTATTGCAACAGCACGTTGATGCGGCATCCCCACTTTAAGGAGCACATTTGAAATACACGTTACGGAATACAGACTATAGAACTTTCATGTGTGACAAAGTTAGGAAAAGTTGAAAAGCATCTCTACTAGGGCTTTGGGGCAAGTTATGTGGCCTCATATTATACCTTGTTCGCTGATATCTTTCTGGAATTGCTTTCGAGATACGAGACCTACCAGCAACCTCGGGCTTCCAGTGGTCGCTGCACTCCGGATTCAATACTCCTAACAATTACAAGCGATATCCGAGGAGAATAAAGCTAACCTAGGCTTCCGGGCTGGCCCACACATTCCCGTGTCCAGGACATTGAACTCTTCTAAACCCGCTAGGGACGGGACCTAATTTAGTAACCGCCATCAGTATCCTTGACAAATTTAAAGTCATTTCCATTGAGTTTCCATATACCGTGGAAGTGACTGACTGACCTTTTATTATTTTTTGGCATGATGCTTTACGACAATAGCCAATTGCCTCGGCACCATTCGACGATAGGGCGCAAGGGGTAGCTAGACCATGACGTCCCGGCGTGGTGGTCAGACTGCAGGGTTCATTGATAGGCTAGACCTGCAAGCTTTGCTACTCACCCTCTACATATGCATAGCAGCAATCCTGTAAGGAGGCGTTCGTTCCTTTATTATTGAATCTTGATCATTCAGAAACGCTTCCAGAATGTCGGTTCACGAGCTGTGTCTGGCATGCCTTGCTTTGCCAGGGCTACACTTGGCCTCGGCTCAGATGCCAGCTCCTGTGTGACGAGTTCTACCAAAATGGAGCAGTCTTGGCTACAAAAAGTTTAAAAACAAGTGTTCTGTCTGTTAAAATATGAGAGTGCAAAAGACCGACGGTACTTCTCGACTGGCGTGAGGTGCAAGCTGAGACCATAACTCATCGTCAATGACCCAGCAACTTGGGTCAGGCACTCGCCCGACCCTGGCCTACCCGTCATGTAAATTCATCCTGCGGCACAGCGAGCTGACAAGTTTGACAGGCGACCCACGCCGCACAGCGTCACATCGCCAATCAACTACGGATGACAGAACGCCAGAACTTTTGAAACATCGCTTTCAACCACCAGAGCCACTTTTAGAAGACTGGCTCAACTGGTGCAGGTTTGTGTCAGGCGAAGGACAGTGACCCGCAACGGATCCATGCCAATCTTGTCTTTGCATTGCACGTTCAAGAGAAAGGGTCACCAACTCCATGCGAGCGAAGACGTAATCGAGACTGGCCCAGCTTGACGGACTTCTGTGCTGTTCAGATTCCAAAGAGCAATGTCGCCACGCTTGAAACCACAACAATAGAGCGAATCTTTAGTGGTGGCCTCGACCTTGTGCCATAGCTATCAAAATTATCCCAGGTAAACGGTCAGTTCGACACGGTGATGACTTGCCTCCACTGCGGTCAGCATCACAGTTACACGACAATGCGGGCCGAAGAAAACCTCATGCAGGCATCCATCCTACTGGAGGTATTGGCAGCGAATCATTGAACGGGACATACTTTTTCGCTTTCTATTAGCGCCGTTGCTTTTTTTTATTCCTATTTATTCCTTCTATCCCCCCGCACCCCTCCTCCTTTGCTGCACACCACTGAGGTAATCACCAGATGCCAATGTGTGGGGATTCCGGGACCAAGGAGAACACAGTCCAAACCGGCTTTGTGGTCAGTTACGAGCAGAGCCCCTTGAAGGTCAACCGTTCTATAGAACTTAGTGGCGAACACCATTCCTGATATTCAACTCGCTCATCGCTGCGCACATGTGGACAAGAAGACGCAGATCCCATGCTCAGCTGAAGCCACATTCAGTCTCATCGTCACATCGACAACAAAACTAGACCCGATATCATCATTTATAAATGTTGAGAACCAATACTATCCACGCCTGAAGACCCGAAAAGCAAATCTGGCGTCCGTACGTTAGTATCTTACGCCATGCGACGAACCATTGAATCAAGCTCAAAATATTCGCATTATTCCCATGTTAAATTCCCAGCTCGAGTTATATCAACCCCAATCTTTAGACGGCCACCCCTCTTTCAGACTTGAGGTCACACAACGCGATCAAGTGCTGTGCCAAGAATTCATGGCGCTGACAACCTAGACCGTTTCTGAACTTATATGCATATAATGTAGTGTCCTGCCATTGAATTTCTAAGAACCTCCGGAGGAATGACGCATATCCATGGAATATCATGTGCGAATACACACAAATGCCGGGGTCGCACGCGATCGTGCAAAGTTGCCTGACTATGTCTCTTTCAAAAACAAACAAACTGCTTTGATCACGAGGAATTTTCTTCATAGAAATCTGCCAGAACCGGTTGAGCTGACTATTGCCATGAATGCTGGGACCGCGCTTTAAGGCCGGTGTAATCCCGCCTGCACGCCCGTCTAGATGAAGATAGCCATGCTGATTCGTCCCCACAATATGCAATAACAACACCATGGCGTTGGTCCTCCAGACCTAGACAACCTAATATAACCCTTTCTCACATGGGTTCGGGGTATTGATTTTCTCGCTCTTCCGGCAGGCAAGGCGCCACTGGCTTTTGGGTGCATATTAGTTCGGCCTATAGGATGACATGCCATACATCTCCCTCAATCGCCGTTCCAGAACGGAGAGACGGCCTGGGGGTGCGCATGAGGTATGCAGCTCATCGTCACACCTCGCACCAGCAACTGCCACACCATTGACAAATGCGGAACCTCTCTGTCCGCACATGCTGTGGTCCGAACCATGCCTGAGGAGCAAGCACGAAAAACCGATCGCCCCACAAACGACGTGATATGTTCATAGGCATGCCTGCTGCTCACCGCGAGTCGGCATCGCTGGCAAAGAAGGAGCAAACTGTGCAATGCCTTGCCCAAACCGCCACGCAGTAGTGTAGCATGACTTCTCCAAAGAAAGAAGAACCCATACGATATCATTTCCATAGTCATCATCATCATCATCAGTAGTCGACCCGTGAAATGGTACCACCCCCTGCTTGACCGACTGCTACTCAGCTGCTGCACTAGACTTTTCGATGCGCTAGTTGCAGAGCACAAACTCGACATCATCAGTGACACGAAAATTTAGGGGTATGCATCGCACAGCATCACTGCTAAAAGAGCAAGCGGGGGTTCGTAACAATTCATAGGCCTGCCTCCGATGATACAGCATTATGAATAATTTTCCATGCATTGGCACCCTGAAGTAATCCATTGTTCTCAAACCTGCTAGAACGTGACACCGTGAACAGCAGCGTAAGGAGTGACTATTGTGGGATTCTCCACGGCACGTTATGAGATAGATAGCAAACCAGGCAGGGAGGAGGGCCCTTGAGTCTGTCCCATCCCATCAGATCACGAGCAGGCGTGACTAATCTATCTTCAACAATACCTAATCCTGGAGATAGTACTACCTTGAAAGCATCACCTCGGCACTTCGACTCATGCAAACGATGACAAAGAAGAAGAAGAAACAAATCTATGCCATAGATCTCTGCATCACGAGCTTGGCGGATATGCCCGATAGTGTCTCTTGCAAGAGAGTTCCTCGGCCACTCAAAACCACAAGAGGACCCCTCCCCATCGAGCATCGTATCGTGGGAGATTCTTCAATACGACCCTGCACGAGTGTTCCCCGGCCCGAAATCTCGGACCCTCCCCTCCTCCAGCAGCAGCAGAAGCACCGAGCGTTCTCTCCGAGAAGGAGAAAAAGAAAAAGAACTAAGAAATAAATAAAAATAGAAACAAATCCGGTGACACTCCAACTAGAGAATGTCTCACCTGCCCCTTTAATTTTTCCCACTCCTCTCCCGCTTTTTCAGCAGATCCTGCACTTCAATCCCGCTTGGGCCGCAGGGATCCTCAGCAATTGTCTTGTCATACAAGGAGGCAAATATTATATGTTGGTGCAACAAGTACTAACATTAGCCTGCCCGTCATGCCGGGAACCCCATGAGGCAGTTGGCGAATTCATGTGTTGTCGAGTGATTATGCTGATCAAGGCCACACATAATTACATGGCATTTGAGATGCAGGTGGAGACACCGAGTGAGATGGCATGCTTCACGTAATATAGAACTTTGAAAATAATGGGCTGATCATACCTGCCAACCGTGTACGGACTATTTTGCTTTACTTGATTTGTTAACTATGCAGTACGTACCGTGGGCTGACCCAGGTGGACTTGGTTACACGTTGTACCACATGCATTCGTGAGAAACAAGACTGGAACGAACCAAATCTGCTGTCTAGATTGGGCTATGTAATGATCCAAACGCCGAGAGCGATGCTTTTTGCTGCCTCAAACAATCCGCAGGCGACATATGTACAATGAACAACCTACACATGCGATTTATACAGACTTGCAACGTACAACCCTACGACTTACGAAAGCTTACTCCGTATCGAGGCCGGCCTGCTTCACCAAACCATAAAATACGCCTTTCTTTTTGATGAGATCCTTAGGCGTATCAAACTCGACCACCTCGCCCTTGTCAAGCACGACAACACGATCCGAGTCCAGGATGGTGTTGAGACGGTGAGCGACAGTGATGATTGTCCTATGAGCAAATAGGGGGCTTCGAAGAGTGCTCTGAAGTGCCGCATCTGTCTCGACATCTACCGCCGCCGTCGCCTCGTCCAATACCAGGATGTTGGACGGTGTAAGCATGGCGCGTGCCAAGGAGACGAGTTGTCGTTGTCCTTGCGATAGGTTTGAACCTGTGGGTTTCAAGGTCAGTCAACTTCTGGCACAAGTTTCATTGGCGCATGCGTGATAAATCATTGGCTTCGGCGATATGCGCGATGATGGGATGGTGTGGCCGAGATACGATGGCCATGACATGCGGGCGATGAGTTTTGCCGTTTCGTGTTATGAGGATGCATTCCTTGACGATCATGCAGGTGTTTGCTGAATATTGGGTGGATAGGTGGCACCGCGATTGCTTCCAGTAGAGGCTGAGATGGCACCACCAGCATACACTTGCAGCATGTAACCCGCGAGTGTGTATGCAGATTCCCGAAAATACGATGGAGATGGTGATGTGACAGAAAGCCGACAGAAAGCGCGACAGGTGAAAACTTCCGAGACTTACCTCCTTCGTTTAATTTAGCCTCAAGTCCTCCTTCCATGCTGGCCACATGTTCCTTTAGTCGTGCATGATCTGCTCAGAGAGAGTGCATTAGTTACCAGAGCTAGTGAATTGGCAAAACATGAATGGTCTTCTTAAGCGGCTAAGCGAGAGCATGTGCTCTTCCCGTCCTGCGGTGTCATAGCAGAGCTGTCAGCTTTGTGTAACACACTTACCAAGCACACTCCATAGTTCCGTATCGTCATGTACATGACCAGGGTCCAGATTATCCCGAACGGTGCCCTCGAAAAGAGCCGCGTCTTGTGGAATGATAGCCAGCCGCCTTCGTAGGTCAAGCAGTCCTATCGTCGAGGTGTTCAGATCATCGATGCTGATATTACCTGTGTCCGGCTCGATGAGCCGGAAGAGTGCAAGCGTTAGTGACGACTTGCCGGCACCTGTACGCCCAACCACACCAATCTTCTCATGTGACTTGATGTCAAGATTGATGTTCTTCAGCACTAGATCCAGTCCGGCACGGTAGCGAGTGCTGTAGTTTTGGAAATGGACAGCTCCGTTAGCCGGCCACGCAACTGGCGGCCTGTGTCGATGGATAATTTCGGGCGCCTCACTTGGGAGGCGGGCATATTCGAGGACTCGTTCAACAGACACAATATTTGTCTCCACCTCAACTGTCTGACGTACAATCCAGTTGAGAGAGGTGGTGATCTGAAGGGCATACGACATGGCCAGACCAACCAGGCCAGAGGTCAGACCGCTATGGTTAGTCACAGAGATGATTGAGAATCCTGCGGCCGAGAGGATGATGATGGCTCCGATGAACTCTAGCCGGATGGCCAACCATCTGTTGGCGCTGATAGACGGATAGTAAGCCCGCAGGTTTGAGTCGACGCGCCATTCGTTTTCAAGTTCAAACCTGCCTTGCTGTCGGTATGCCCGGATAGTGCTAATGCCACCGAGTGACTCTTGGAAATGAGCATAAATGGGGCTCCGACTGACACTGTCCAATCGCTTGAGCTCGCGTGATGACCTCAGGTAGTATCGCTGGATCCAGTAGTACATAGCGCTCAAGGGAATGATTAAGGCGACGAAAGCCGGCGTGCTCACCGAAACAACAGCCAGCGTGAATCCAGAACGAGCCAGGTTGACAAATAGCATATTGAAAGTACGGGCGAGAACCTCATCCAAACGATAAACATCGCTTGAGAAACGATTCATGATTCGACCGGCCGGGGTTGTGTCGAAGAACGACATGGGCGACCTGAAGATTGCTGTTGCCATTCTTTCATGAAGCTTTCTGGATGCCTCAATAGAACAGAAGATCCATAGTATCAGGGTCTGCACGACAGTCAAAGCGGCTGAACCAACACCAAAAGCGAAGTAGATTCCAAGATACTTTCCAACCTGAGGGTTACCACCAACCTTGTCGTTCATTTCTGCCCAGTTCTTAAGCCACACACTACCGCCAATCTGGGCAGTCTGGGAGGCAATTAAGGTCCCCAGGTAGATAGCGACGGCAATGATATTGCTCGTCTTGGCATATTCAAGATAGACATCCCATTTGACCTTGCCTTGTTCTAAATGCTCTTTGGTTTGTCGGGTCTTGCTGCTTGGACCCTCCTCGTCGGAAAGCTTTCCACGTGGGCCCTTGAAACTGGCAGTACTTGCCCGTCTCAAAGTTGACATGCTACCGGTTCGCCTTTGCACATTTGACGAACCGCCGGGTTTGATGGGGGCCAGCTCGGGTACATTCTCTTGCGCCTCTTCAAGCTCTTCCTTATCAGCAGCTGTAGCGTCCTCAAGGTAGGTTGACGAGGATTCGCTCGAAGTTTCTTCAGGGCTGTTCACTTCAGTTGCTGGACTTGAATCTTGACCAGTAGACTTGACTAGATCCGAAATTCCTCCCTTCATGGCCATGAGCTGAGCGAACGTGCCCTTTTCGTGAATTTCACCATCTTTCAATTGGTAGATGTAGTCGGCAGACGCAAGAACGGAGATCGCATTTGTTGCCAAGATTCGGCACTTCGAGTTTAGCAGGCCCTGAGATCCTAAGACATTGTCGATTAGATGCCGTCCGACGTGAGCATCAACAGCTGATAGCACGTCGTCGAGCAGATAGATATCAGCACGAGCATAGACGGCTCGAGCAAGACCAACACGTGCTTTCTGGCCACCACTGAGAGAGATGCCCCTTTCACCCACGACAGTCTCGTCCCCGTCCGGCAACTGAACAAAGTCGTCCAGCAGAGCGCAAGCCTTGACAGTTTTTTCGTAGAAGTTGGAATCGTACCGGTGGCCAAAGATGATATTTTCCTTCACCGTAGCGTTCATGATCCATGGCTGTTGGGCCACATAAGCGACGTTCCCTTTTACTTTAACGTTGCCCTTCTCTTTGTACAAGTCACCAAGGACACTTTGCAAAAGTGATGATTTGCCTGCACCGACTCTTCCGACTGCGCATGTCAATTCTCCCTTGTGAGCAACGAAGTGAATGTCCCGAAGGGCACTCTTCGAGCCATGGCGATCCCACGAGAATTGGCCATCCTGAATGATAACACTCTCATCTCCACGCTCTTCGGCGGCAGCACTGATCTCAACAGCATCGTTTTGCACTTCTTCAGCAGCAAGGTATTCTGTCAAACGACCAACAGCCACAGTTGCTTCGATGATGGACGTGATGACCATGGGCAGCACGGCCAGAGGGAATGTCAGCAAGTTGAAAAGCGCCAGGGCTGGAAAGACGATCTCTGTCGTCAATGGCTGGTCTTGGGTGAGTACGAACACTGCGAATGTCGAGCACGACACCAAAAATGGTGTGGTAGACCAAGTGAAGTTGGCGAGTGCTTGACCGGCTCCGATCTTTCGAAGATTCTGAAGCTCCAGGTCATTTCTCACGTGGTTCAGCTTGTTCATGAATGCGGTGCTCCATGCATATAGCTTGATGCTCTTCATGTTGTTGATGATCTCGGAGATGAGACGACTCCGAGCATCTTTGTTCTTCATCTGCTGCTTTTGCAGGCGTTTCATAAACCTGGCAATGAAGCCGTTGATAGGAATCATGATAATCATAACGGCGATACCAGCAAGCATAGACCAACCGACTAATTGATACAAGGACACCATACAAATAATGATTTGGAAGGGCGCAGACCACACCTGCTGCGCAAACTGGGTTAGGTCCTGCAGACGTTGAGCATCTACAGCCATGTAGTTGACAATGTCACCAGTGGTCTTCGAGGCTCGCCCTTCATTGGACAGCTTGAGAGACTTCTTGTAGATCGCAGAGGAGAGGCCGGCCTTGATGCGCATACCGGTGACGAATGCAAGCTGGAAATATTGGTGCTATAACATGTTAGCTATCTTGACAGCCCCATGGCATATCCCGTGGGCACTTACAACCATGCTTGTTTGCAAGCAGGCGACGAGGAACATGGCCAGTGCGATGGAAGCACCCTTGACGACAGGCTGCGGCTCTTTGCCTTTGTCATACGAAGCAACAAAAGCGATCAAATAACGCAACAGTTGAGGCTGAGCAAAAGCCGACAGATCATTGGCTGCCTTGAAGACAGTAGCAAGCATATACGGACCACCATAGGACTTGAACATGACCAACCACAACGAGGGATGCTTCTTATGCTCAACTTCGTGCTTCCACGCCTTGTCAAACTGCTCGCCGGTCGTAGACGCCTTGTCATTGGGGCCCAGTCCCCACAAGTCTTCCTCTGTAAGATAGTGCTTGTATCCGTACTTCATCATAGGGGTCATCCATGAAAATGTCAGTCTCGAGAAGACGGTCGCATACTCGGCGGGGCATTCTGCTCCCTCGTCATCGACCAATGCCTCGTATGCACTCGCTCGCTTCGGCCACAGCCACTCAAATAGAAATTCAACTGCCGAGAGGCCAAAGCCAACGGTGTAGGTTACAAAGTATGGCAAGTTCGTAAGGTAGACTTGCTGAGAGACAAGAGATCGTAGTTTGACGGCGTAGACCAGCAGCAGAAACAGCCAGTAGAACAGAACCACGCCATTGGCATACCTCGAGCGGGCGTGTTCGGCCCACTGAATCGCGAATACCACCCATAGTGATATCAAGGTCAAGAAGGTGGTCAGGACTCGGAAGTCACCGTACCATATATTGGGGAAGTTGATGATCTGGATCACAAGCTGGGCAACGATGTCGGCGATAACAGCAACGAGGAGTGCCTAGCGAGAACCAATTGTCAGCATGAAGTCGTCTCCTGGGGCCGATGCACAGGTCCCGAGGATGCGGAAGCTCACCTGCTTTGTCCAGAAATGCCAGTCCTTCGGCAGTTGCGCAGCCTTGGATTTCCTCAAGACATACCAGAGAGCCAAGGGTCCGCACACGATACCAAACCCAGCGACCAGAGCAACCCAAACATCAATGAAGCATGGCGTGAAGTCGTATCGGAAGGGGCTCAGTGGGCCCCAGCCCTCCTCATTGCCGCATAATGGCTGCTTGAAGCTGTCTGTCGCGCTCAAATAGCCGTGGCCGAGCTGGTGGAATTTGGGCCGGAAGCCGGTGAAGGAGCCGGTGGATGCGAGGACCTGCTGCGGCACGCCGTTGCTGAATTGCATGACCGAATCCGCTGCACTGCTCAGAGACTGAAGGTGTAATGTTAGTTCATAATAGGTTACTGCTGATCTCAGGAACAGGATTGCGCAATCGGGTGGTTTTGTCACGAGATCAAGCAGTTTGCGACTGGAATAAAAAGAGAAGAGGTCAGTGTCGCTAACCAATCGCCTGGGGGAATTTTAGGCATGACGCTTTCGTCGGCAACTTTCCATCGTTATCGCCGAGGCGCTGGCTCTTTCTTGCAGGGGGGGTGGGCGCGTTTTGTAAGCAGAGAGCCACTAACCTAGCGCGCCACTGGTCAATTTACTGTCTTGCCATCCCGCCATTGCCAAGATTTACAGGGCTAGCCGCTAGCCGTACTCAAGAACTTACTTTATTTCGTGCCTGTCGCAATGACACTGGGCGTCTTCCACCCTGGACTCCGTGTGTATGTACATAATCACACAAATGCATATTCTGTGGTGTCTTTTTTGTCACGTAACTATGTTCATGTTATGACATCTATATAATCGCGGGAGCATCAGTGCCGTCCTTCGGCGTCACCAAAGAAGTGGCCACCGTCGCGTCGACATGTATAGCAAGGACACATTCATCACAACCGTGGAGACACATAGTATCAATGAAGGCTAGGATGGGGAAAGAACCGCCGAATACCGTGCGTCTCGCTGGATGACAACATTCGGCGAGGGTATACATATAGACGTAGACGCGCTGGCATGCATGGCAAGTCTACACCATCACTTCGTCACGAAGTTAGCTATGACTGCTGTGCACGCTTTCAATTTGACTCGACTGGGGTGCGGTACACAGAACCAGCTGTGCTGCTCCCAACAAGGAACATGATGTCCCCTACAACAATTTCCGCAATAGCGATGACTTCCATGTACAGGGATTGGAATTCTGTATTGTTCAGCTCCGATGGCAGGGTAGGATATGCCGTCCGAGACGTTTGCCATCATGCCTGAAATGTTGCGACTAACGTACATAGGTACACTCATATCACCCAAAGCCTCTGTCGTAGCAAATGGTTTGCCCAGTGTCTCTTCTATGCTAGTGAGATCTCCACAACTCAGAGGGAAATCTCTAATTGTACGCAAAGGTTGGGCTTTGTGACAGTGAGTTTGCTCCGGTCAGATTCAGACCCAAGGAAATCAGTGGGACCGGATACATACTTTCGTGTCTTGTACGTCAATTTTTGCAATGCGTGGCGCGTAGCTCAGAAGTGCATTCATATACTTGCGTCTCTTCCATCTCTTGGTCCGTCCCAAAGTCTCCTTGGTATGAGGACCCGAACAACATGTTTTTGTTGATGTTATGACACCGGCAGATATGAACGAATAGACAGCATGCCGTCCCCTTGCCACCAGAGTCAATAACCATTCATCTCGCATAACGACTGTGCTCGGCGGCTAAAGCCGAAGCTCCTCCCAAGATCATGGATTGGCGTCTGTGGAACATCACGGGGACGGGACAGCTGGCTCCTTTATCATGGACTTGCCAGTAAGCCCCTGCTCAGGACTGGTGTAATACTGGTAAGATTCAGGTTTCACCGGAAAGGCGTGGAATACGAGGAAAGACGCAGTGAAGCACAGTGACAAGCTACACTCTTCAACCTACACTATTTGCGTTCAGTCAACTCACCAAGACGCCATGTTCGCCTGTGGCTGTTGATTCACCGATATTTCACTCTAACCATTGTCGACCCAAACTAGAGGTAGATGGATATCATAAACAAAGTCTTAATTCCTACCAATAAGCTCGCATCCGTTCCCGCCCTCTAATATGATACAGGAGAGTGACTATAATAAAAATGAGACGCCGGATTTGACTGCTTAGTTGTTGAAGTAGAAGTTCTCGTCAGTCGTTCTTCCACGGATGAACTGAGGCTCAGATCCAGGGACATAGATGTCCTCGTACAGGATCTTGGGTGTCGTGTCGGGAACAGCCATGGCCTCAGCAATGGCAACCTCATCGTTGACGTGCTTGCGGGCCTCCTTGTCGAGGGTCTTGAGCTCATCCTCAGTAGTGACCTTCCACTCCAGCATCTTCTGCTTCAGGCCAGCAATAGGGTCGTTGGTCGAACGCATGCGTTGAATCTCCTCACGGGTTCTGTAGGTGGTACCAGGGTCGGACATGGAGTGACCACCATATCTGTAGGTGACGTATTCGAGGACGAGAGGACCGTTGTCGTTGGCAGTGTACTCCTTTCCGTACTTGACAGCAGCCTTGACGGCGAGGACATCCATGCCGTTGACCTTGAGGCCGGGGATGTATTGACCACGCTTGTAGTAGTCGGTCAGGGCAGACGAACGGTTGGCAGCGGTACCCATACCGTACTTGTTGTCTGCAGAAACAGGTTAGCATGCGGGCAGTCTGCTAGAATACGGAGTCTCGCAGTGGCTTACTCTCGCAGCCGAAAAGAGCGGGCAGGTTCCAGAGCTTGGCCATGTTGAAGGCCTCGAAGACCTGACCCTGGTTGCTGGCACCATCACCGTAGAGGATGACGGCAGCGTTCTTGCGGCCACTGTACTTGTGTGCAAAAGCCAGACCAGCGCCGACGGGGACCTGGGCACCGACGATACCGTTTCCACCGTAGAAACCCTTGCTGAACATGTGCATGGAACCACCCTTTCCGTAGGCGATACCCTCTCGGCGACCCAACAGCTCACCAATGATAGATCGGACGGTGGCACCTCGCATCAATGCGTAACCGTGGCATCGGTAAGCAGTGATAACATCGTCCTCCTTGGTCAGAGCGTGCTCGATACCAGTTGCGACAGCCTCTTGACCGGTGGACAAGTGACAGAAACCGCGAATCTTCTTCTCCTTGTACAGTCTGTCGGCGGCCATCTCCATTTGTCTGCGAACCCCGTCAGCAACCAGCTCAGCCACCAATGCTGACCGAATAAGACTCATACCTGGTGACAACCATGTCGGTGTACATCTGCTTCAGCTCCTTCTTGGTAACCTCCAGGGAGTATGGCGGGGGGTCCAGCTCGTATGTCTCGAAGCTCTCGTCACTCAGGTTGACCGTGAAGGGCTTTTCATCGTCCTATAGCACGAAGGAATTCTAGTCAGCATTCTCGTCAAATCCATCGAGCCGACTCAAGACTCCATCTCTGGCTGAGCACCGGTGGGTGTTCCGTGTGCTGATGGAGTCCAATTGAGTGGTTGGCAGTAAAAAGCGCATTTCCCGTACCTCCGGAACACCTTGCTCAATAGAAGCAGAGGCCGCATCAGTGGTGACGGTCCTGAAAGCGCCAACAGCAGGAGCGCGGGCGGCGCGAGCTGCACGCAGCGAAGGGGCAGCTGCCCTTTGTACCCTCAAAGCGCGAGAGAACATGTTGTGATGGCTGAAGGGGAAAGGGAGGAAAAGAAAGGAATGGTGTTGAAACGAGAGCTTCGTTTAGTTCAGGGATATGGAGAACCTCCGTCAAACAACAAATTATTTGGCGTTGGGGATTTTCGCTGAGATACGGAGGTACTTTGCGTCTTCGCTCCGAGATTTCCCTCACCGCGTCTAGAACCCTTCGGGCTTAGTGCTATCGGAGCTTTGGTGGACCTCGAGGCTTGTTGAGTCCAACGCTAAATTTTGTGAGGCCGTCCGGTTTCTTGGGAACTCCGTGGATTTCTCAATGCAGCTGCACCTGTCTCAATTGCCATGTAGTTGAAGACAGCTTATCTTATGGATCTGGCATTGAGGTATATAATGCATCACTCCCAAGGCATCCCTCTAGTTGCCTCTGCCACTGCCTCGAGGCGTCGCAAAAGACCTTCAGAAAGAAATCTTAGAACAACCCCATTTCACCAAGCCCGAACCCAGGTTCGCGAATTCGGGCCTTATTTAGTGCTATCAACAATGAGCTGCTTCTGTCTGTCTAGTATCAAGAGCTTCAGTATGGAATCCGTACCGTCGTACAGTATATCCTTCTTACATGTCGCCGTTGTCTTGACGTCAACGCAACATTGTCGAAAAGACAGCCAACCTTCTCGAGCTATACATAGAGATTCGGGATGCTACAATTAATACTAACCTAGTCTAGTCCAGACGTCCCACACTGCTTCGACAATGGCTAAAGGGCTGCATTAACACTACGACAGCCACAAATGTCTACCGTGAGCATATTGTTGAGTTTTGTTCGTTATTACTGCGATGAAGGGAGTGCCATACTTGTAGTTCAGCGACTGGTCCCTTCTCGTACATCTGAGCTTCTACGAATCTTCTGACTCAGTCCACAATACCCATGGTGTTTTTTGCTTCCGCTCGGAAGCTATGTAATGATAAAACCGCACTTGGAGCGATCAAAATATGCGTGTTTAAGCGCATCGATAATCATTCCAAGAAGACTATATTGCTTTACCGCCTTCAATCACCCAAGAGTCTCACTACCAATAAGTTGCCTTGAGCTTGTTCAACGCTCGGAGGAATTTGCCTTTCATGAATATTCATGCAACTCACGGCCGCAGGCCCAGCCTCTCGAAAATGACCTGTCGTAGTCAAAAAGAAGTTTCCTTGTTCAGAGGATTATCGTGCACCCAGCCAGAGTGTATGTCACTGCTAAGGTGAGCAACTAGGCCATGATAAATGTGCGTCTCAGTGGCAGAAAACAGTATGCACTTATGTGCAATATTCCTCTCTCGGTAACGCCGTGACTGGGCGCAAGATCTCATGTGGCGTATACAGGGGATGGGCAGCATAAGGATAACAGTTCATCTTGTAAGCTGTTTTTCAAGGTTGATATTTTTATTTGAAGACATCAGAACGAAACACTCTAGTAAGCAAGGAACTGTTCATGATGTCGTTGCTTGACCTCGACGCAAGCTTATATGTATTCCTCCCACATATTTTTCTCCGCTTGGGAGCCTGAAAGTGTATTTCGGGGTTGAAGATTGAGCACCATAGGTCACCACCACTTTATGGATATTCATTCCCATTCCGAAAACCAGTCATGATACCATTCTTTGAACACAAAAAATCACTCCGAACGCTTAACCGAAACAAACCACATCGCTTATTCTTTTGGAGCATGCTTGTATGGGTTACACACTCGGTGGTAAACTGCCAAAGCCAAAGCACCGTTCGTGCAAAAACGCCATGTTCGAGGCAATGGACGCCTTCAAATATCTCTTCCGCATACACCCCGCATAATACAAGGTCTCTCGTGTTCTTCCCGAGGCCCTATTTTCGCTGCTTTTTACGTCGACCTGCGGTAGATGCACCGGTGTCGCCATTGTCATCGTCAGAATCGTCATCATCACTGTCATTTCTACCTCGACCTCCTCGTTCGTTCCCTTTCTTGATTGAGATGAGACAACCCTGTTCTTTCAATTTCTTGGTCAACGGTGTGCTGGCCTGCATACCTGGAAAATCCTTGGCGCTATAGACCGTGAACACCTCACTTATGGCCGACGCGCGTATGCGGTGGCGGGCACCAATGAAGTTGATCAGAGGATCAGCCATAACCAGGATGAACTTGAGTTTGAACGTGCCCGACGTGCGTACCGACAAGTCAGGAAAGCAGAAGAAGCAACCCTCTACGCCGGTCTCGTCACGGCCAGTGAAGGGAGATGCAACCGCAGTGCCCATCAACCGACGCTGCTGTCGGTACTCCTCCGGCATGAAGCTGATATCCTGCTTACCGGTATCGTCCCAGATGGTGCAATGCATGACCATGAAAGGGATGCGAAGCGCTTCACGAACATCGCCGGGCGTGGCCAAGGGATCGTCAACCTTAACTTCCACGATGGGTGGTGGATCGATGACACGACGATCCCGTTCACCAAAGCCACATGAGCGTGCGGCCATTGGTTGTTGACGAATCGTGAGAGCATAACTGAAACGGATTGCCGATGTCCCGGGTGACTGGATGGAGTTCGTTCGCACTTGGGTTTGGCTCCTAGACGGACTAATCTGTGCTTCAGCCTGGTTTTTGGGCGGAGGATCTTGATCATTGGTCAGAAGATCTGAGATCCGTACCCGTTCAGGAGGCCGAGTATCCGACCTGGTCGACCAAGTTCGACTGGGAGAAGGTAAAGAACGTTGGATCTGCTCGGGGCGAGCCTCTGTGCCAGTATGTAGCAGCAGAGACCTGGGAGATGCAACTCCAGAAAACCGCCGTACAGGCTCGTGCGGCCGTTCATGTGGTGATCGTGCCGTAGGTCCAAAATGTGCACCCGAGTATGAAGTGCCTGTAGCTAGATGGTTCCTTCCCAGGGTTGATATCTCCTCTAGGCGATCAGTAGGCCTGACATTTGTTGTCGGATCCCGAATTGATCTTTCCCCCGCATAATAGGTTCCGGAGCCAGTTATGACATGTTGTCCACGGGCAGTTGGTGAATCAGGCAACACCCTATTTTGTGAGTTAGCAACTGGATAGGGATCACGATATGTCGATACACTTCGTCTTGCCTCATATGCTGTCGATGAAGGCAGATCCGCAGTTACTGAAGTCGGTGCACTGGAAATGGGTGGAAGCCGTGTACCAGGTCCTGGTAGCTCTTGAGGGTAACATCTTGGATAACTAGGCTCAGAAGCCCATGTGCTGAGTGGTCTGCTCATGGCATCCACCATCATAGGGTCAGAAATGAACAGCGAAATGTTGAGCAGCAGAGATGGGTTGAGATCCTCTGTAGAAATATGGTTTGCCTCAGGAATATGCCTATAAAGACGCATTTGTTGGCCTTGTCTGGCTCGGGGATCGGCTGTACCAATAAAACAACTCGGAGACTAGCCTGCAGCAGCAGATTCCGACTGCTTGGTTGAGTAGTGATGATAACACCCCAAAGCTCTAGGGAAAAGCAAGTTGAGGCTGAGACAGAATCGTCTCAAAAGGACACTATCATTCGTGGCCGGGTTCCGTCGCTCGCTCGCTCGCTCGCTTTCTCCTAATCCAATGCCTATATGAGACCGGTGAACGAGGTTTTTTATATTGACCCAATCGCGGCTGAAAAGTCCAAGAATACGCAAATTGGTGCAAGACTCGGGTGAAGACTCGTCGGATGTCTACATGTTTGGTGGGATTTCAGAGGAAGTGATAGAGGCTGACTAGGTTGTCCCTTGCAACAAACTGCCCGCCACACGTCTATTGGCTTATCCGACTATAGCGTCCTGTAGAGTTGTTTTCATGAGACAGAAAGCAATGCGATGACGGGTTTTTGAATTCGTGAAGAGAAAAGACGCCGTCGTATCTAAAGCAATTAGAAGTGCCCTTGACAAGTTGAAACGCGACTTCCGCTATAATATTCGGCGGCGGGCCCGCGGGGCATACATTAAGGTACTTCGAGCACTTGGAGAATGAGATTCCTCAGCTGCTGTCAATCTCGAGCTGGGGGTCAGCGTCCCGGCCGAAACCCGTGCGGATCAGGTCAGAACCAGCAGGCGCCCCTGGCTCGATTTATCAGTGACAGGGCCACTCAACCGGTACTATGCAAGTAGCGGTCCATGATATGACGAAGAGGTAAGGATCGCGATTGGTGCGAGTACACTAGGAGCACAACAGTAGACTTGAGTTGAGAACTGGTGATGTGTAACGGTGGACTGAGACAAACTGGCTTCGCGCCTCGTGTGTGCAGCGAATCCAACGGGAAGGGGATCGAATGTTCCAAGAAACCGGTCAATGGGATTGTCGGGTCATCGGTTAATGAAGTTTGTGATGGGGCGTGAACCTTCAGGGTGTCACTGTCATGGAGTGAAACTCTCAGACGATAACTCAGCTACCATGTCTTGCCTTCATAAAAGGCAGCTGCATCTGCATTGAAGGGGGGTGTTTTTTGGGGGGTGTTTATTTTCTTCTTTCTTTGTTAAACTTTCGAGCCAGTCGTGTTCCAAGTCGTGTTTGGTTCGCGGGTTATACTCAATGTGGATGGTTCAACGGAAGAAACCAAGTAGGTGGGATTTGATGGACAATGGGAGGGTGTCCTCATTCCCGCTTCCTGGAAGCGGGACAGCAAGCAATAGTTCGCATGGTCTATTGTGGAGAAGACGCACCCAAGACTTGCCGAGAAGCCAGGATTTTATCCAGTGTACATCCCATATCTTACCCAGTGATTCATGTGGAATATAGCCATGCCGTCTTTTTATGCAGGGTTCACTTATATACAACTTGAGTAACTTAGTTGCAATGTCCGAGTTACTAAAAAATCTTGCGGCACTGATGTTACGTGACCTCATGGTTTTGAGTCTGTACCTTATTCGACTATCAGGTGCCTGAGCTGGCATCAAGTACAGAAACGCATGCCACGTAGCGTCGAGGACAGGTTAAGACTCTGCTCATTCGGAGCGAGGATGCGTTCCTGGATTGCCTTTTGTATCAAGAAAACCACTTGCGTCGATGTACCACAAACTATGGGGTACAATGTATGTAGGACAACGAAACATTGAGTTTCTGCCTCCCTTAAACCCTGCATCATCTGCAACATCAGTCGTACAGACTGTAGGCATTCCAGACATACAATTGGAGAGGCTAAAATGATTGAGTCGACTGGCGACCTAATTCGCAGAGACGATCTGTACGTATGTTCGCAAACCCGAGGTTGGGACTTGCTTTTAGGAGGAACTTACTTAAGGTAACTAGTGAAGATCTCGGTAAGACCCTAGGCAGGATCTTCGTAAGACGCCAGTAACCCTTGTTCCTGCCATCAACCTTACCGGATCCCATTTTTTATGCATAGATGAGGCTCACGTTCAGTAACCGTAAAATATCGGCTGCGATGGCCACCACAATCTCGGTTGTAGAAACTCTACCACAGTAAGCTCAGAGCGTATGTGTCGTTTATACGTGGCGAAAGTCGGGAGAGCCTATAGGATAGTGGAGGGTCTGAGCCGCGCCGCTAATCAGTCTAAGTCTGGCAATTACAAAAAAGACCAAAAAGACAAAATAAATAAATATCACACTAACCTAGCAATGTCAGAACTGTTCTTATGTCACGGTCGACAGCCATCAAATCCATTATCATCATAGCCTTGGCCTTGAAAGCTGAACATCCAACTGCAATGCCTCAGCTGCGCTAGGATTCGAGGTTTTGATTGATCAGGGCGGAAGCCTGCATTGTTTAGCACTCATTTTTGCTTGCCTTGTGGTCGCCTGAAGTCTTGAAACTGTGTGCGCAAGACATATGTATGTCGCCTCGATTAGCTGGTGCGAGCTGAAATAATTAATTACACGACGACCGAAAAGACATGGCACTCCTTGCAACATTTGACGGACCGCGCTTCCAGACACCAAGGCTTAACGTTGCTAGCTGACGTCTTTCATCAGTCCATGTTGCCTGTATGCACATGTTTTGTGAGTTGTCTTTCTCGTTTAAAATGTCTTACCCTAGGCGAATGGGACTGCTGCCGGTCCGTACCAGGGTCGTTCATGCAGGGAGCTCTTTTCTTGCAAGCCGCCTGAACTATGCGTGCGGCCATCGAGATGCGGATAGGCCTGGGCCAAGTGTGAGCAGGGGAGATCTGCACGATAGCGACCCTGAATCCGGGTTTTCACTTTACGCCATCCTCCATTCCAGGTCTACCTGTCTTCTTCCTTTAGCGAAGGCATCGTTGCAGCCACCCCCATTCTAGGTTGCGGTCAAAGAGCTTACATATGCAACGAATGGTGCACAAACTGTGAGCCTAAGGCTATCTACCTAGTAGCCTGGAGCAGCAAAGCCGGATTCCTTAGTCAAGCGTACGTATTGTGTGCCCGAAATTTCCGGTTCTTTACATAAGATACCATGACTTCCCAAGGCAAATTTTGGCGAACTTCTGCATTGACGGAGCTAGCAAACGGTCAGTGGGCACGTTGCGCACATGGCAAAGCTCACTATTGGCGCCTAAGACACGGCACAGATATAACTAAGTTCTAAGGTTAGTTAGTGCCATCAAAGCACGTTGGCCGACGGACCATATTGCCCAAACTATGGAACTGAATTGGTTTGTCAAGATCTGAATACGGCAACCTAAATGCCCTATTTGAGGTTCAGGTTGATTGTACTTACCTAGAACAACATTCTCTGGCATAATCTCGTTGGATGTACTCTCGTAAATGGGTAATAAATGCGTCGATCGACTCGTAACTATTGAGAAGTGCATCTAGTCTAAATCAATGTCTTCAGGCGTAGTCTATTTCTATTTAGCCACTAACGGTGGGTTTTCCACTAGCTACTTTCAAATTGGTTCGTTAACGTGGTCTTTCTTACCTATCAAGTCTATTATATGCTCTCACTGCACAGGGTTGTCTTCCATTGCCTACAATATTGGCAAAGATAGCCAAGACTGGATGGAGACTGCTCGGGCATTGTGGACAGGATATTCAGAAAACCTTTCAGCGGGCTCCAGAAGAGTTGCAGTGGTTCTGGGTGCGCATTGCGTGGTCTGTCCAATAACCCAAAGGAACCGCGGCTGGGATAGCTTGGACTGGCACGTGAACCCCTGCTGGGGATCCTCCTGCAACCCTTACCACCTGAACTTTGACAAGCCTCTTCGCTTTGTGATACGCCATACCATAAACCATGACAGCCCCACTTGCCGTCTCATCAATAATACTCCGGCATTATATACAGCAAATAACCCGGATTTTGGAAGAACCTTAACCAAAGGGATTAGAGCCGTACCGAGTTTCAGCCATGGGCGGAAATCAAAGTGCTGGAATGTTGGAAACGTAACCATGGTAGTCCATTCATGTCACCTGTCGGCAAATGTCACAATCTGCCCCAGATATGGATGGTACGGTGGCTTGCTTGTCCGTGTATGTAGATGTTGCATTATACAATTGTAATCATTTGTCAGACTCCTTCAAGACGTTAATCTTTAAAGGAATTGGTAAGTAACTACAACCGTGATAAAGAGTATTGCGCAAACCTATAGGTAGCATATACTTGAGGCTACACAAAAAGGGCATCTGCGTTCCCGTCAAACATGTGATATTGGCTGATCGGTCATTTTAACTCGGCATATCATACGACAACTCAAATAATGAGTGTAGTAGTTCAGTCAGGCGTCTGAATGAGTGGAGCGCTTGACGCGGTGATTTTTCAGCCATGCAGACACCGTGGATGATCTCGATGGCACGCTCAGGCGTGCCCCTGGTCCCCTGTTCAGTGACCACGCACCCTGGCAAGCCCTTTGAAACGATCCTCGCTTCTGGACCTTTGGCGGTAGGCGGTTCGCAAAGTTCACAGACACTATATTTCTCATCACTTACTTGTCAGCCCAGGCTTCAAGAAACTTTAATTGCGCTCCGCCAAGGGTTCTGCTTGAAGACTAGGATTTTTGAGGTAGCTCGGGAATAAACTGAGTCTCTACTACCTGATATTGCATTGCATATATTGGCACTTTGCGTCGCGGCGTGCCTTTTGAATCGGAATAGGACTACTTCATCTAATGCATCGTTCAAGCATCAGGACTGCTTGCTTGGTGGCAAAAGGTATCGACTGACGAAATTACATTTGTTGACACTACGGTGTTTGCACTAATTCTCACTTACAACGTCTCATGCTATCTACGAGACTGGCCGGATCTACATCAGTGATCTGCTTGGGGTGTACTAGCATCGGAATGCGCAACATGTCAAGAGCTTAGCCGAACCAGAGAAAAACATGTAGCAGTAAGTCATGGCTACAATCTCGGGCCGTGCTTGGCCTTGTGCGGTGAAATTAGCCTTGGAAGCTCTTGATTTTACATATGGTTTTGACCATTTCTAATATGCCGGTCGTTATTTCTACGGCAGTTCCACCGGACATTGCAAAGTTGTTTCGTCACTGGGCTAAAGCGGGTAAAATGAGTTGTTTTCGATCATATATGTGTAACTCGAACAGATACACCGCCTTATGTTGCATATTACGAACCATAGTACCAAGTAACACTAGTCAACGGTTTCCATATCAGACTACTGCGGTCAGCAAGTAGCGAAACTGTTGAGTAGTAGCCGCTTAATATCCTGAACAACATGAATCTCCGGTTCCCGGGAACTGGTAGCGCTATCGAATAGAGTCACATCCATTTGATAGCATGCACCTATTGCTTCCCTTGAAACCGTTGCAGCGAATACACCTCACGAAAGAGCTTGGCATGCCTATCAAGGACTCATCCACTGGAGGTAACAATATGGACGAGCGCATCTGGTCACTTCTGTCTGCGCACCGTGCAAGCAACTCAATGCGAGTAAGTAATTCCAGTGCCACTTTCTACTTTATCTGGTAACATCTATGGTCATGGGGTATTGCCCAAGCGCATTCGTATCAATAGACTTAGCTGCGTAGACTTGAAAATATTCAAGGCTTAAGTTTGCTGATCTCAAGTTGTAGGCCAACCTGCTTTGCCTGTCCTGTATTTTGGCGTCACTCAGCAGCATCCGGAGTTGACTCATTTTGAATTAGTCAACATTCGGCATGCTGCAAGGATGACAGCTGGATATAAGAGACAGCTGTAAATTGTCATATCACTTCTTCGCGTCGGCATATGTACATCCTTACCGAGCACTCTTTGGTGTGTTGTTAAAATTGAGGCTATTGGGAATGTTTAGTCAGATTAAAGCTGCAGTCAATACTACTTATGTACCACGCAGTTGCTGTGATTTTACGTGAGAGTTTGGTCAAACCAAGGGACATTCAAGTACGATCCACCAAGATCACGTCGACTCTAGTTTCAGGAAGATAATATGGTAATAGCCCGCAAATATCAGTCCGCTCATCTCATACTTCAAGTTTTCCGCACTAGTGCCAACACCCCTACAGCTAAATTTGGGCTTGCAACGGCCTACATACTACAATGCGATACTTGACCAGGTGTACAACAAAGTGTTATGATACTCGGAAGTCTCATCGCCTACGCCGGTATGCTTCACGACTATAGCCGTGTGACACTCCATTTTAGCCACCACATTCGGGACAATGCCGGCACTGACAGAAGCCACACGAAGTGCCGATGGTAATGGCATAACTGTACTTGAGCGATACCCAGCTCATCTTGTCAGGGCTGGCCGAGCTCCTATTTCAGGTGCATTACATTCCCAACTGGTAAACAAGATTGACCGTACTTAACATACGAGTCTAACTCCCTCACCCTAGAGCCAATACATAAGTATCATTGGCACGAAATATTTTCCAACTCACAGCTGAAACGAGTAAGATGAATCATGGTTAGCATTATCGCTCACCAAAGCCTATTCACTACTCCATAGAATAGTGGTATCACGATCAATGATGAGGCTCATCGGCTTCCTTTCCAGTCAACATAGTATGTTGACTGTTAGAATCTATAAACATATATATCAGATAGAAACGCACATACATTCTCAGAGTGCAGTTTCTCCACATACAAGCGTGGACTATGCGGTGTATTTAACTTGCTGCAATGTCCCCTGCGTGTCCTTTGGTGCTCAGGTGACTACGGGGGAAGACTCCAGCTCGCTATTTCATTCATCAAACGCTGTCTCATTCCCGGGACTTAACCTATTTCCAGGTTATTTTTGCGACGTTGTCTGAGCAATAGGTCTTGTTCATTCTCTACTCGAGCATGCTGAGGATAGGTTGTGCCTGGTTCTTGTCCTTGAACGAAAGGCCGAGCTCCATTTTGGTTTTATGCAAACAAGTAAATTCACGTCGCAAACATTCCTTCGTATTTAAAGGTAGGCTTATAGTAAGATGGGCTGGGCTGACAACTGATAGGTAATTCTTATTTTGTATGTATCTGCGCTTAGAAAAGAGTGAAAATACCCAGCGTATGCCCCATCTAGCAAAGGATTTGCTACACCTCATTTGAAGAGATTTCCCAGAGCCCATTCCTATGTAACCACTTGTGTGTATCAGAATCCTGCATATGAATAAGTGATCCCCCATCAGGCCCTCATGTTGGTCCAGCTTCCCAACCAGCGCCAGCTCTGCGCGACGCGTCCCACACCCTCAAGAACCTCTTGTACCTTCCCCTCCGGGTCCTCGAACTTGTGCCCTTCGAACTCGACGAAGAAGACATACTGGAAGGGCTCGCTCAGGCTCGGCCTGCTGTTGATACTCGTGAGGTTCAGCCCGCCCTTCCTGAAGCACTCCAGCACATCAGCCAGGGCGCCGGGAGCCGCATGCGGCACTGTGAAGGAGACCAGCGACTTTGTCCTCGGTTGTTGACTCTTCTTCTTGTCCTCCTCCACCAAACCCCTTCTTCCCGGGACCCGGCCTTCCAGTTCGGGAATGTCACTGCCCTGCTTCCCCGTGCCCTTCCTCAGCACGAAAAAGCGGGTGGTGTTGTCCTCCCGGTCCTCGATGTTCCTGGCCAGGAAATCGAGGCCTTGCAGCTCGCCCGCTAGCGCACTGCTGACCGCCGCGCTCGTCCCGCTGGAGTCGGCCTTGGCGAGTGCGGCGGCTTTGCTCGTCGAGCTGACATCGATGGTCTCGATGCCCTTGAGATACGTGTGCATGAAGCGGGTGACCTGGCCCCAGGCCTGCGGGTGGCTGTAGACCCGCTTGACATGACCAAGGGAGGCGAGAGGCATCGCGGGCTGTTTCTGCCCGGTCACCGATCCATCGGACTGGGGCGGTGGCGTTGTGGGCTCCGCCGAGGCAGGAGGGAGATATCCCAGCAGGCAGTGGTGCACGTCCAGATATGCCTCTGCACAGACGCTCAGATCTCGGTACCGGGCCTCGCGGTCCGCGAAGTGGTCCAGGGTGAAGACCACGGAGCCGTTGGTTGAGTTTTCAAAGGGCACCACGCCGTATGACGCGGGGCCGGATTGAGTTGTGTCGAAGACATCTGTATAAAAAAAATTTAATTTTATTCATCATGTTGCAATCTTGAAATGCGGAATGCAGGGGTCAGGAGCGTGATACCTTTGATGGTCTGTACAGGTTGGAGCTCGAATTGCTCCGGCGGAAAAGTCTGTAGCGCTGCCTGGTGTGTATAAGAGGTCTCAGGTCCCAAAAAACAGACCACCGGTTTCTTTTCTGTCGACATCTCCATCTGGATTGGTTCTGCTGGTGACTCGGCCACCGTAGTTCTAGACGGAGCGCTCATTTTGAGAGGCCCGACTACCGGAAGAGCCAATTCCGTTGGCTCTGCTCAACTAACCTTAGGGTATTGTCTTATGCTTATTCAATGTCTCCCACATAGAACTCGTGTAGCATATGTATGGCCCTAGAAACTCTAAATTCCAGGCCCTGATGCAAGATGAAGTCGGCATTAGATAGTCATGGAATTCTCGCACTGAATCTGCTTTTACTCTGTAGTGTGAAATGCGGGACCGCGCCCTGCCAGCAGCAACTTTGACGCCTGCAACGATCCACCAGACATTGTCAAGCTTACTGTACGCATGGTTACACGCCATTTGGCACATGGTGTACGAACGCTGTTATAACTTTCAGGGGGCTAGCAGGTTTGTAATTTTATCAGAACACTGTAGTCGCAGTATATGCAGTCACAGTATATGCACTTGAGACTAGCCAACGGAATCAAAACAGACGGCGGTATTACAACGAACGACTTTTTGCATTCTTCAATCTAGGAATGTCACCAGAAGCATAATTGAGTGAACTATCTGCCTTCACAAAACCCAGGCCATGACTAAACAGACACCGCCGTGACCAGATCCATGCTGCAGGAGGGTATAATGTCAGACGAACACAGATAGGTGCGGTCTCTATCCTTGATTCATCTCTTCGCAGCTAGAATCCAGTAGTGAAAGTAAAACCCAAGTTCTTATGTTCCGAGTATTTTCGGAAAGTATCTTCTCGATCTGGGACGGTGTCAGTTAGTTCGGGCGTTGTAAACTGTTCAAGCTCATTAGACTCACCTCCTTTCCAAGCTATGGATTAAACTCAAGTTGCCGTCATCATATCGCGAAGCCGGCTCGGCCGGGCCACCTGCTTAGCCGTATGAAGGGAAGTAGCTGGTCCCAATGTCTGTAGGCGCCGCTCCTTGTAAGACAACGGATCGGACTTGATCAACGGCACAGTGGTGGGGTTAGGCTGCGGTGGACACTCGGGCTCCTCGGCGACAAGTGATTGCTTTGATGAAGTGGCTTGAGTCTGTCCCTCGGTAGAGTCGAGGGCATCATCGGGTCAATCGTCGTAGTAGTCATCATCATCCTCATCCACCTCGGCCAGTTGTTCGAAGTTAACCTTGTATCGAAGAATACCGCCGATACCACCAAAACCCTTTACGAATTGGTTACCCTCAGTGGAACGATCGGAGACGAACTCAAGGTTGGTTCCAAAGTCCTTGTAGTGCTCAGCGATCCATTCGATGAAAGAATCTTGGGCCACAACCTCCATCTCCTGGTTGGTCTCCTTGTCCATGAATCTGGAGCGATCCTGCTCCTGCTGCTTGGTGGTGTGGAGCTGAATTTCGGCACCGTTGCTGTCCTTCAGGACCCAGCGAGTGATCTCCAAGTTCTCGAAGACAATCAAGGTTTCGACGGCACCAAGCTCCAAAGCCTTGAGGGTATCGTCGATACCGTAGCAAACCTTGCCGGTATCCTGGCTGATTTCCTCGAAGTATTTCCCGATGAGCTTCTTCTCCTGGATGAACTTGACGTTGCCAAGCGTCTCAGAAGACAACTCGATGGCTTGGTTGAAGCCGTTCTCACCACCGTAGGAGACATCTACAACCTTGATGACCTTGGTGGCCAGACGGTTGTCGAACAGATCGGAGGAGTTCAGATCGGTCTTGAAGTCGGCAGAACCGGCGAGGATGATACCGGCGACATTGGCCTTGTCGTTGGTGATGAAGTTCTGCACGGCCAACTCGGCGACCTTTCGAACATAGTTGTGTCTCTTCTCCTCACGAAGACGGGCGAAACGCAGGGCGGATTGACCACCACGACCATGCTTCTTGGGAAGGTCGACGGAGAACTTGTGCACAATATCTCTTGTGTTACCGCTGAGGGTACCGAAAAGGGCTCCGTTACCATCCATGATAATGAAACCGAACTTCTGGTCGGACTCTAGCAGCTCAGCCAAGGCCTCGGTATGGAATTTGTTGTCGCAAAGATATAGAGAGGTGTTGATAGGCTTGAAGGGCTCGAAGTCGATGTTGACCTTTCGCTCCTTTCCTTCCGAGGTCAAGATTTCACCACAGTAGACGACAAGTCCGTTAGGAGGGACCTTGTTGTAAAGCTTGAGTCTCTGCTGGGTCGAGGTAATGGCCGAGAGGACGGATTGTCTGTTGACTCGAGATTTGATGTTGGAGGCGGTACCCTGGAGACGAGGTCAGACTGGGCAATGCGACATGCAGCACTGGAGATACATACGTATTCTTCAGCCAACATCTTGGCTGCTCTCGACACTTGATCCTTGGGAGCTTTGGTGCACGTTAGACAGACAGGCCTCAAGTCGTTCGCACGAATGACGGGGCAGGCGGCGAGACTCACGAATAATGAGGGAAATCATGGAGGTGCCATTACCACGCGCGGCCTCAAGGCGCTTGATGAGCTTCTTCACCTTCCATATCTCAATCTGTTCGAGGGCAATGTCAGTGTCTGTGCAAGCCGAAACTTGGGCGGGTAAAAGAAAAGATAGAAATAAAGAGTAGACGTCGCGTGGTAGGGTAACGATGGATTCAGTTGGAGATAAGGCGGGGTGAAATCTGTGTGCGCCAGAGGGGGAAGGGAAGGGGGGGAAGGAAAAATGCTCACGTTCTTCTCGGCCTCGCTTGCCTGAGCGTCACTCATGTTGGGCGCTTTGCAAACAGTACTGAGGTATATAAAACGAAGTTGCCAATTGCAAATGAATCAAAATAGAACGTCAAGCGTCCGTATGCGAAGAAGGAAATGGTCGGTCAGAAGTGGGAATTTCAGCAAGAAACAAAATAGTTAAGTTGAGTTAGTGCCCGGTGGAGGTCAGGACTCAGAAAGCAGAAAGCAAAAAGCAGAAAGCCAGATGGTGCCAAGCAGATTCTCGGGCGGTCGTTGGCTGACGTTAGGCTAGACCAACTCAAGCGGGTTGCCAACAGCGTCACTCTCTCCCTTCTCTCTGTCCTTGCTTTGACCTTGAGATGTGGGCAAGTTTCTTTTTCTCGGGTTTCCCGACTGCCCCGCGTCTCACAGCCTACAGTAACCTATAACCTACATAAGCGGATATCGACCGAGTCAGAGCTGACCCCAGGCATCCAACAGAGTCAGGTGGCAGGGCGGAACTTGCAAAATCCCGCCAGAGCCCCCCCCTAGGCCCGCCCAGGGTTTTCACTCATACGCTAAGCAGATCTGCAGCACAATATCCATCAACAGAGTGCCATCACCCTAATCGTGATTACTTCGACTCTCGAATAACACATAACTCTCCGACAGTGACTTCAGAGAAGTGCACAAGAACTCTTGAATTGTATAGATCGTTGAAAGAGTTAGAGAATTTTGCATCACTTCCTAATCTACTTTGATCACCGAAATAGAGTGCTGTCAACTGCATATAGTAGAGACCAGCGGCTATATGCACATTTAAAAGCTTATGCAGAAGTCGATGGTACGATAGGTCTGTGCTTCAAGAAAGGCTTGGCCTCCACCCAACCTCCTCACAACAACACATCGAGTCACGTCTGCCTCGTCTTTGTCAACATCAGCGACCCCAGTACTAACGACGCTGCTGTGTTAGGCATGCATCGCCTTCGGTGACCACTGCGCAACTGATTGAGAGGCATACGTTTTGACTCGCTCAAAATGTATTGGTGGTGCACTGTCAATGATGGTTCTCTTTGACGCTTGAAAGGACATGTGCATAGTTTTTGCAATTTAAATGGTGAGAAATCTGCTTGTTAACATGTAGGTAAAGCAAGTGGTGGATGCGGTTGCCAATTTGGCAAGGTAGGGCCATGGTCTGGCGTGTTTTGCGTGCGCAAGACACGGTTGCGAAGCCGATGCTGAATACGATCAACAATGTTCGCCTAGCGATGCTGCATGGTATCATGAAGGCCACGCACACTACACGGAGCTTGACCCGAGGACGCATAATGCAAGAAAGCCATCCCAACGTGCAAGCACGCTTTTTGTGCTTCAAAAGCAACATGGCCGTTGCACTGGACAGCCGGCAGTCCTCCTTGCCGTCTGTGGTTTGTGAACTTCGTCCAGGACGCTGAGTGGACCGACCACGCATGGAAGCCTGATGGCAGTCGTGGTCGTCCCGTGGCGAAGAGAGCTTGATGGATCAAGGACGACCTTTGCACAGCCTTGCGTGTGGCCCTGCGACCTTTTTACGAGGTCGGAATAGCACCTGTCTTCTCAGTCAGCTTCTTTGACAGAAAGCTTGGATAATTGTCCTACAACTCCGTTCAGCGGACACATTTGGTGAATACTTGTGTTGGCGACGACCTCGTTTCGGAGCCTGCCGACCTGAGCTCTATACTCAAATTTTGGCGACGCGAGTGCCTGCGGTGGAGCTACAACCCATTGGGGCGGTGGATGAGATTGAGCTGCAATTGCTCTGACACCGTGTCTTGATGATCAGTCCCTTGATCTCACTCGTCGCCGACAGATCTCAACCGTATGCTTACACTGCAGGCTAGCATGGGATGTTGGCCTTGCTGCCAGCAATGTGGTTGGTTCGGGCTACCAGGTGGGGGCTGGTTCATGGGCTATGAAGTCCAGCTTCCCGCTTTCAAGGTTCTCAACGTGACTTCGATAATCCACGACCACCTGCAAATAGGCATGTGAGCAGTGGGCAACACATTGCAGCTGCTGAAGACATGGGTTCATGTTCGGATTTGTGAATGTAGAGGGCCAATGTTCCCAGCGTTAGTTATGGTCATGGCATATCAGGTGAGCTTACTTAGCTTGGAGAACCAGAACCGGAACCCTTACTCCAAAAGAGGTCAGAACGGATTGCTTCAACTATGATCATGACCACTCCATCCAGACGAGTCTACCGGGCGAATGGAATTCTTAGGTCCGGAAGCATGTCCTCAGTCGTTCGGCTTTGACAAGTCGCAGGAACGAAACAAAACGAAACGTCAGAGTGCATTTGCGGTAGCTGCCTAATAGATCATCTTTGCCTACATACCTTACCTAACCTGACCTAACCTATCAAATGCACCTCATACTTGATATGCCACCGAGGCCAGGGGGTGCTTGTGCGTTTTAGTGCGGCCCAATTTGTGTGGGCGACCTCGACATTTCATCTGCCGCTTGCACTCTACCTTAGACTAACCTCCACCCTCAGCATTCCATCAAACTCGCCGACCTCAAACCACAATCAACCACTGCACAACATGGCAGACGACGAGTCCAGTGACCTCACGTCTCTCTCTTCGTTGTCTCCAGCTCCCTCTGACGACGAGAATGACGTCGAGCTCAAGGAAGACAAGGGTACCGGCATCCTGAAGTTCTTCCACAAGCTTCCCAACGGTAGCAAGCCTGCAAAGCCCACCAGAGAACCCTCACCGCCGCCACGCAAGAGATCGCCTTCGCCACCTCACGATTATGTTCTCGCCGACAATCCGGCCATTGCGGTATGTGAAAATGTCAAAAGTCGCGTCGAAAACGCGAGATATCGCGTGGGGTCGCGCGCTAAGCTAATCTATTCCGCGCCCAGTTCATCGTAATGTTCCGAAGCCGATTCAGCGATGCCTTCCCAAAGTCGCTTCCCAACTTTGGACCGCAAGAATTGGAAAGCGATGTCACCGGATCTGTTCCCGGCGACCGCGTCGAGCTGTTTCTGTGCGCAGTCCTCGGCTTACTGTTGAATCGCAAGCAAGATGTCAAGTATGACGCAATACCTGCTCCAAACCCAGTAAATGGGGCATGGCTAACTTTTACAGACCGGGACATTACGGTAGAGCTCTAGAAGATGCTATTTCGACTCACAAGAGCCAATGGCCCAAGGATTGGCAGAAAAAGAACCCTCTATCAGGCGGCGCATCGTTTATATCAATGAACCCCACGGAACGAGTACGTACCAAAACAACCTGCCAAACCCATATCCTCACATGTCGTGCTGCCCCTCAAATAATGATCCCCATAATGGCATGGTCCGATGCGACTGACGATTTGTGCTTAGCTCACTTTATTGCGAACCCTCGTGCTCTGGAGCTTGTCGTCCTCAGATTCGGTCAAACAGATTATCAACACGTCCTACAAGGGCAATCGCCGTGAAGACGACCTAAACCAACCACTCTCTGTCCAACCCTGGGGCTCCGATAGCGACAAGCGCCGTTACTTCCTCATCGAGGGCCTAGATGACACCAACTTTCGAGTCTATCGCGAAAGCAACCCAGCAGGATTTAACAGAACATGGCGGAGTGTTGCAGGAAGCATTGAAGAGCTCAATGCACTCGTAGAAAGACTACAGACGAAGGATGGCGGTCAGAAAGGGAAGAAGCTTGCACAGCAGATGCTGGCTGCTGTTCCTAGATTCGAGGCCTCGGAAGAGAAGCGCAGGAGACGAGAATACCGCCAACAACAGAAGGAGCGCTTCAAGCGTCCTGAACCTGGCTTCTCCATGTATGAAGGGAGAACCAGAGGCAAGCGTATGAAGTACACATATTCCGACGACGAGGATTTCCTGACGGACGGTTCCGGTGTTCGCCGCTCGACACGCAATACAGGTACGACTACTCCAGCCGAGCCTGCTGGGCCCGTCACCACAGCTAGCGGCCGTCAGATCAAGGCACCTTCACGTATGACAGTTGATGCTTCAAACAACATCGTGACTACGGACCCCGACCACGATCAAATGTCCGTCAGAGGAGCTTCGGCACGAGCATCATCTAAGGAATCCTCCCTCGGGCCAAGCGGTCGCCCACGGAGGTCCGCTGCGGCCAACCATGGCACCAATGGCTGGCCATCCTCACGTAATGATGAGTACAATTCTGACGAGGACGAGGACGACAGCGAGCCAGATTTGGGCGAGGATGAAGATGATCATGTGCCTGATGTCGAGTCCGAGGATGAAGAGGACGAATTCGATGAGGACGTAGAAATGGCCGACGATGACAACGAGCTGGATGACAGTGCTGAGAGTATGGTCGTGAAGCTAAGGGTCCCTGCCGAGAAAGAAGGAGTGAAAATCGACTTTGACAAGTTTCGTTACAACGGATCTGTAGCGAAGGCTGCGGTCGATGAGCCAACAGAGACGAAAAGCGAGGACCAGGATGGAGATGCTGCAACGGTCGCATCTAGGGAAAGGGGCACTCCTGAGCCACAAGTGCGGGAGTCAGCTTCTGTTGCTATACCCGCAGGGCAGCTGCCTTTATCACCAGCAACCCATACCTTGCAATCCAAATCTCTGGCTTACAGGGAAAGCCCAGAGAAATTACAGGCGCCACCGCCGCCGCCCATTACGCGGCCGCCCGTCGAGTAGAACTCGGTTGTATGAGGATTGAGATTACAGGACGGCGCTTCTACGGATCGAAACCTCTGCTGTGATTGCGTTCATGGTTTTGCGTTCATGGTTTTACCGCTTGAGCTTGGTTTTAGGCGTTGGTTTCGAGGGTGTTACACCCTCAAAAAAGCGACATTTTGAGGCATTGAGGGAACGGTAGGCCTTCATGTTGTTTACGGGTGATGAGTAGAAGATTTGATACCAGGAGGTGGTGACCTGTATGCATCAAGTTGTGCCCCTCGCACGAAGTCTTGGTTTGTATGTTATTGCCAGAAAGCTTGTACGTCACTTCAAGGCGGCTCTATAGTACATATAGGCAGTGGGCTGTATCTTTAGTGCAAAATGCCTTGTGCCAGGCGTCCCTCCGTTGGGATGCAAATGAAGTGTAATGCTTCCTTCCCACTTCGAGGGCTATAACCGACATGTATGGCTGGATGTTCTCGAGTGCCCGCGCATTTATTCGCCTATCCCGAACTGTGTCATCATGACCGCCGCGACGTTTGATTCAAGCCCTCTTGATCTTGGTGGGTATTGGCCAGTTGTTCACACCATACCACCATCGCCGTATCCTAGCACCAACTGAGCTGCCATTGTATTGTGCATTCTTATTCCAAAACTGCCAGCCACAGATGGCGAGATTGTACAGTATGCCCTGCGCGAAAGGCATCATGATCTGCAGGTACGAAGCGTTAGCAATCACCGCTCTTGGACCTCATGCGTGCGTGCCCCCTGACCATGGCCTAGTCATGGCAGACTGATGACGGGAAACAACGAGGATGAGATGCCACCGACCTGATCCCTGATGGTAATCCAAGCGACGCCTCCCCAGCTCTCGGCCTTCTCGATGCTGTGCAGATAGCTCTGCTCGAACCTCAGGTCCGGCATGGGAGGGAAGTCGTGGCGCCTCCTGTGCGGCCGCAGCACGCTTATTGGTATCTCGCTCTCGTTGTCTTCGTCGTATTCCGAGGCAAACTCCTCCCCCTCCACGACGACCTCCGCCTCGCGTTCGTCATGCTGCTCGGGGTCCGGGTACGAGACCCGCACGGGTTCCTTGACGGAGGCCGACGTCGACGGGTTGATGTCGTGGTGTGGGGACGGCGCGCGGTTGATGTGCGCTGTCTGCACCGTCTCGGCTATTTGCGTGGGTATCGACATGTTTGACGCTGCGTATGTGTTCCTCTACAGATCGGAGAGTTTTGTGTTTTGGTGCAGAGATTGCGGAAGATGCCACAACGTTATCATGGGTTCAATGGCCGAGGATCGGGTGCTGGAGCTCTTCCCTGCCTTGCCTTGCCCGGGGGAAGCTTGGATGATTGCGGGATGCGCGAAGCCAACGAGGAATGCTTGGAAAGTGGGCAGCTGACTGGCACCTGCACCTCAACCATCTCCTGGAAAGTTACTCGGCAAGGCGAATTAAATTATCTTGGTCAGTCGCTCCCTATCTTCCCAAGACACACCCGGCGACTGGCTTTCAGTTCTACACCTGCTTTTGTACATATCTTGGCCTCTGCATTCTTGCTGCTACAGGGTGTCGACACCCACCGTGATCTTTATTATGCATAGCAGTGTAAGCAGGCATTTCGTAGCTCGATACCACCAACTTATGTGCCCAAACTGGCGCGCATGTTCAATGGAACCGAGACCAACAAGCCACTGATGGGTTGGGTCAACTGACACACTCTCCGATGAGTAGGGGCTGTTGGTAGGGCTGCGGCTTGTGGTCTTAAACGAGATACGGACGTTCAAGTAGTTGCCAAGATCCGGGCTGGGCACTTCGGTGACCACAATGAGCTAAATAGTCTGCTCATATATGGGTAGTGTAGCCTGGCCTCCATGCACTGCGGATTTGAATTACAAGCTCAGAAAGCCATATATAAACCAATTTATTTCCTCAACATTAATCGTCTCTCCGGCCAATGCAACCACGTCCATACCTCACACTTCGTGTTTAACTTTGGGTTTCGACAAAAAAACATCTCATCCTTCAAAATCCCTGGTCAAACCGGCTGTAAGTTGCTCTCTGGCGAGAGATGTCATCTCCAAACTCGTCCGCGATTTCTCGCACAGGCGGTGCTGGCCAGTCGCCTATTATCGCGAATGCCACAGACGCGACTGCGAGGAAATATGCAGCGTTGTCTCTGAGTAAATCAGATCGCATCAGGTTCTTGGGCTTTCCGGAAGAAGTATACCAAGAAGCAGAATTTGTGCTCACGTCCTCCTGGCCGCCGGGCATCAAAGCTGCATCGCAGTACGCCGGGTCGCACGAGTATCAGATGAAGGGGCGGCCCTGGGGCCTGATGGGCACGAACGAGGCAGTCGGCTCACGGGTGCTGCTACGGAACATCCTGGCATATCTCTACGATCGTTCGTGGCGCCTGACGACGTCGATCAGTCTGAGCGAGAAGATAGGGTCCAAGGATACCTTGCTCTTCAAGAATGCTGCGTCGGGCAACCCAGAGGTGGAGTGGCTGGTAATCCAGTTCCACTCTTCGAACAAGATCTTCGTGCACTGTCCGTGGTCTCCTGCAGCCTCTGTGGCACATTCTCGTTCGGACGCCAACACGAGCCTGATGAAATCTGTCGAGAATTGCCTGACCAAGCTTGAGTATCTCGAAAAGGGAGAGTGGAGCCAGAATCACGATGCATACCAATTCTCGTTGAAGGGCCGGCCGTGGCGGTGTCATGGTCAGGACTCGATGAAGGTCAGAAAACTGCTTCTGGAATTGGCTGAGAGCCTGGACGAGTCGGGCTGGGAAAATTACGGCACGATCAAGCAAAGGAGCGAAAGTGACGATTGGAGAGTTTGTGATTCATGGTATCTTGTGCGCAAGGTGTCGATCCTGGTATAGAGGAGGAGTATGAATACGAAGCTGTCAGTTTATTTGTCATGACACGTCGCGTCGTGCATCCCTGATATTCCGTACCCAGATAGCCAGCAACACGCGAATAGTGAAGTGACATGTTTTGACATTATGATTACATGGGTGTTATACAAACAAGAGACGTTTATGGGGCTCGAGGAATTTCTCCTAATATATAAGACAGGTATATGCTGATATGAGTAGATCGTTGTATGTGGTATCCCCGTCTTCCACATTGAGAGCAAAGGGTACATAAACTAGAGTCATGATACAACGATGAAGTCAGACCTTCGGATAGCCTCTTTTACACTTTCAATGACGTGTGTAGCTTCGAAATACTCAGTAGAGCAAGGAGTTCGTCGAGAACAATCTGAACAGCGGAGGCCAGCCTCGCTCCAAGGGCAAATTTCAGGGCTCAGACTACTATACCCCCGAGTCTGTCCCTGGCTCCATTTCGAACCAAGGCTACGAGGCTCCAGGATCGGTTACGGAGGCCAGCCGCGAGGGTGGGAACTACTAAACTTTTTAATGGATGGCTGATTTGATTTGATTGCTTTCATTCATGTTAACGGGCTAGCCATTTCGGCTGGTAATATATAGTACAAGTATTGTGACATATTCTCTCTTTTCCATAAGCAAATTTTTTTTACTTTCATTAATGAATTATTCCATCTCGTTTGATGTTGTCACAGAAAGACCGTTTTATGTTCACCATAGTTTTATCCTGTGGAGCGCGGTGGTTACTGGGCGAAACAGGAATATAGCTCATATTACGAAACAACTGGAGTGGAAGTGTAAACCAAAGATCGAATAACTTGATGGCTAGGTCTGACAAGTACGTACATACTGACTTTTTATCACATAGACATCTAGTACATTGAATTACAAGAAACAGTTATCCTCGGGTCATGATAGCAACATTCTTATCGTCTCCCACGGCAACAAAAACAGCAAGAAAAGCAGCATAGCCGACTGTGGCCACAAACAAGCTGACCTCGTCCGATGTGCTGACCCAAGCTAATGTGATACCGAAGAGCAGTATAGCTACACAGCTTGTGATCAAGTCCTTCGTCAAGGAGCGATCAATACTCATGGTAACCTAAGCGCGTCAGGCGTTAAAGAAACTTGCCAGATTGGCAGATTTAAACCCTCAGGGGCCTTACCATGGGGGCAATGACAAAGACGCCACCAACAATGGAGGTGATCAGGCGTCGCGGGAACTCCCTGACTCGTCGCTTCTGCTCCATCCTTCGCTGGTGCTCCCATTCCTTCTCAGTAACACTGCTCTGCTGAGTATCGTTGGTGACCCTCTTCTCAGGCTGATCCATCTGTACCCTGAGCGGCGGCCCTTGAATGTTCCTCTCGGGACTCACGTCACTCGAGGTTTCGGGCGTTTTCAGGAAGGGGGAAATGAAGAATGGGCGGCTCGGACCGGCAACTGTGGTCGGGAACGTTCGACTGGTTCTTCGCACATCCCCAGATTGATCTTCGGTGGAAATGATGGTAGTGTGTCTGCGGGCGGGTTCTAGTACCGGGCCCGGCAGGAATTGTATTGTCCCAGTTGTGACTGTATTCGGGCGAACAAGCTCACGACCCTGTTGACCCGAATGATTTGAGGCTATAGAATGCGCTGGAGTAACCCCTTGGGGAGTACGTGTAAAGTCTCTCGCTTCAGTAAACTGAGGCTGAGTTTCTGCATCTTGGTCCATATTGTACTTGGTTGCCAATCAACAAAAATCGAATGCTACGCCTGTCTGTAAAAGATCGAGAATGTAGTAGAAAGAGACTTGTCGCCATAGTGTCGTAGACTTTTTGTCTTCTCCTCGAGCAAGCTTGCGCCTTCCATGAGCGGCTCTTGGGACACACCTGCCAATCTGCACGATTGGTTTAGATGGCGCCTACTTCTTCTATAAGAGCACTGCATCATGGTTCTATGTGTAAGCATGAAGCTATCAAGATCTGAAACGGTGGTGGTTCATTCTTCGGAGCAACGCACGTTGAGAAGCTTACGTGAACGTAAATTTACCCTGTATCCCGGATTGAGTAGTTGGTGGTTTGAATAAAACCTATGGCAAGAAAATTAAGAGCTATTGAATAGAGCTGACATTTTACAACACAGTACAGCACCTGTTTATAACATATGTGCGTTATACCTAACCACCGTTACGGCCAGGGGTGAACCTGTTTGCTCCAGCTTCACCTGCGGGCACGTCGAGAACAGCATGGTTATGTAATTAGTAGTTATGTTCATCCAAATTGACAGTCGATACAGAACTTCAACAGGTTGATGCCTTGAACACACTGGTTCCTGCCGTTCTCTGTGTAAGATCCCAAGATACCAAGATTGCATGGACATGGGCATGGGCAACTTGATACGACAACCATCTGAAGTCACGCGGATGCTTCCACAGTCTTGTTCGCTGTGCTATAGTGATACATACATATATACCACTATTAATGGATATGGATAGCGTGCCTTAGCGGGGTAGCTCGGTCGGGTCGGATCCCCCCCGCGATGTGTACTGTACTGTAGCACCCGCCAGACCCCCCCGTGTTGTACCCGCGTTAAGAGCGCATCGGACTTAAGCGTGACGGGCCCCGGCGCGATATGGGAGCTTGCATCATTGAAAGATAAAGCTCCCGAGTGAACGTCACGACACTCTTCAGCCAACTGATGGCGTGCGAGGTGTGAATCGAAAATCTCAAACGTCCACATCACTTATTAGTTCGTCATCCAAACCCGGCAACATCGTCTCAGTAGAGAGAGAGCATATCCACACACCTTCGCGTGGCTCTTTCGTCAGGCCCATGCCGTCTTCAACGCCAGGATCGCCACGGATTGGATCGGCCAGTGCACTTGGGACCCATTCGAAGCACAGCAAATCGACACCTGCTGCCTCGCAACGTAAGCGACGACCTTCTGAGAGCCGGCCGATCGGACACGACCTGAAGCGAAATAAACCGAGCCCTAGTCCAAGTCAACCCACAGTCCAGAAAATGAGTAAAGTACAGGGCAAGCAACCACAGAATGCTCCCCTCATCGACCTGACGAAGCCAAGGGGAAGCACTGCTTTCCAGCCCGGCAAAGGCGCCAAGAAGCTGGTGATCAAGAATCTAAGGACTGTGTCGAGGACGAACAGTCTCGAACAGTTCTACCAGAAGATATGGGAGGACTTGGAATCTGCGCTACAGTCCATATTCGCAAGACAACAACCAAGACAGCCCTTTGATACACTATACAAAAACATCGAGAGCCTATGTCAATACCTCCGCAAGACTCGAGAGGAAAAGAAACTCAGCGACTTTCTGTGGAAACGATGCGAAGACTACCTGAACGAAGACATGGCCAAGTCCATCAAGGCCGGGGCTGGGGCAAGTAGCATTGACTTGCTGAGGAGCGCACACAAACACTGGGTCATTTGGCAACATCAGCTGGTAGGTATTCCATGCAATCAAAAATTTCATTCAAGTGAAAAGTACTGATGACCGCGCAGGCCACCATTCGATCCATATTCAGCTTCTTGGACAGGACTTTCTTACTAAACTCCAAAGAACTCCCCATGATCAACGATATGGGTATCACTCTATACAGGAGGATGGTTTTCCTGACCTCAAAGATGGGTTCGTCGGTTTTGGCTGGTATTACCGATCTGATCGACCATGATCGGCGAGGAAACTCTGCCTTTGACGCCTCCTTGTTACGCGAGTCCATCTCTATGGTCCACATTCTGAATATTTACGGCAAATCGTTCGAGCCACGCTTATTGGAGACATCACGAGAGTATTATGAAGAATTTGCAGAGATCCAGAGCGCCTCGTCGTTAAAGTCTTACATCCACGCCTGCAAGCGGCTGCTTGCGTCTGAGGATTATAGGTGCAACGCCTTCAACTTTGACAGTTTGTCAAAGAGACAACTCATGGACAGCGCACATGCAATCCTCATCGAAGGTTATTCCGAGAAGCTCTTGGACAGCGGTGGTGTCAGCAGGTTGTTGGATGATAACGCAGTCGAGTCTATGCAAGCGCTTTACCAGCTTTTACGGCTGTCAGCTATGCAAAAGAATCTCAGAGGGCCATGGGAAGAGTACATTAGAAAAGCCGGTGCGGTCATTGTCAATGACACGGGAAGAGGTGATGAAATGATTGTGCGGTTATTGGAATTCAGGAGAGCCCTCGATATCATGGTTCGCGATGCTTTTAACCAGGATGAGGAGTTCACTTATGGACTCAGAGAGGCATTCGGCAACTTTATCAACGACAAGAAGATCCTGTCTGCATGGAAGACCGGAACATCCAAGGTCGGCGAGATGATTGCAAAATATATCGATATGCTTCTGCGAGGTGGGCTGAAAACTATTCCGCAGTCACTCTTGTCAGACAACAAAGACCGTAGAGCAGCAGAGCAAAGTGGCCAAGCAAGCACCGGCGATGAGGATGCGGAGCTCGACCGCCAGCTTGATCAAGCTCTAGAGCTTTTCAGATTCATTGAAGGCAAGGATGTCTTCGAGGCCTTCTACAAGCAGGACTTGGCACGCAGATTGTTGATGAATCGTAGTGCTAGCGCCGACGCTGAGCGCAGCATGCTAACAAAGCTGAAGAGCGAGTGTGGTTCAAGTTTCACCCACAACCTTGAGCAGATGTTCAAGGACAAAGAGCTTGCTCGTGACGAGTTGAGCGCCTACAAGTCGTACCGCGAAAACACGGGCAGGGACAAAGCTCCTCTGGATCTCAACGTGGATATTCTGTCTGCTGCTGCTTGGCCGACTTATCCTGATGTGCGTCTCAATCTGCCAGGCGATGTTGCTACGCAGATCGAACAGTTCGAGAAGTTCTACACAAGCAAACACACAGGACGTCGTTTGACGTGGAAGCACGCCCTTGCTCACTGTACGGTCAAAGCTAGATTCAATAAGGGTCCCAAAGAACTGCTCGTCAGTGCTTTCCAAGCAGTGGTTCTGGAGTTGTTCAACCAGGTCGAGGGTAGAGATGACGAGTTTCTGACATATCCCCAAATTGCCGAAGCCTCTGGTTTGACCGGCAAGGACCTGGATCGTACTCTCCAGTCGCTAGCGTGCGGTAAGACCAGAGTGTTGTCAAAAACTCCCAAGGGCAAGGATGTGAAGGAGACGGACACCTTCAGCGTCAACAAAGCCTTCACGGATCCCAAGTACCGTGTCAAGATCAACCAGATCCAGCTCAAGGAGACGAAGGAGGAGAATGAAGCAACACACCAGAAGGTTGCGGTTGACAGGCAGTTCGAAACCCAAGCCGCTATTGTTCGCATTATGAAGAGTAGGAAGACCATGACACATGCCAACCTGGTGGCCGAGGTTATCAATCAGACCAAGAGTCGTGGTGCAGTAGATACGGGCGAGATCAAGAAGAACATTGAAAAGTATATCTCACAAATTCTACTCTTTTCAAATCAGCACGCTAATATTCTCTAGGCTCATCGAGAAGGACTACCTTGAGCGGGATGGAAACTCATACGAATACTTGGCGTGATCCGGTGTCCATGGAACTTTGAAAACCAAGTCACTGTGGTATTACTTAGTATCTATACGAATGACGACCTCTGGATTGGGCATCACTGGACAATTAGAACCTGCAGAGTATGCGTGTGTATACCGTCAAACATTGTGACGCACTCTAACTGGTCAGACGTGTTTAAGGTCAAGTCAATTTAAACCTTGACGACAGTATTGAACTGATTGATGCGGCGGATAACTACTTTTTGACAAGCCCTTAAATTCTACTGGTTCTTGATGTTGCCTATCAGTACGGCTGACTTCACGTTCACGTGGCATAGTAGTTGCGGGCTTCGACTGGCTGACATGGGCAATATACGTTGCCCTCCCTCAGCATGCACGTGTACTTGTTTATACTCATTTCGCTCGTTGGCTTTGTCCTAAGTCGAAATCATAACAGCATGACTGCACTATCGGTCCGCACATAATGATTTGCGGAGCAAACAGACGGGATAAAGGGATAAGCGAGAAGGCATTTGATTTGGTCTGGTAACGATTTACGGTTGAACGTTGGTTCCGTTGGCTTGAGAGCTCTTTGTTTTGCTTGAGAAACGTGGTTCAGTTATGTTGGTGTAAAATCCTTGAGGTTCGGGTTTCTTTGTTCTCGAGCCTGATAATCCGACGCAGCATTAACCACGAGACCGCTCAGCAGTCTGAATAAAGATGTGACATGAACATATTGGGCCAGGGTTGGTTGTACACGCGCCTACTGATGTCCGAAATTTTGTAGACAATGAGAATAGATATCATTGCTATATGTGTGAGCAATCAGATGATCACATCGTGTCTAACTGATTTGTTGTCTACGTAGGAGACAGACTCTCCAGGCAACTCAGTTCATGGCTCCCCTCCCAGGTCACTTCTGCCTTCACTACAAGGAACAAAATCGAAACCATCAGTGGTATAGTATGAATTTACATCAATATCGAAACATCTGCTGTTAGTGAAGGACGCCTGTTCATTGACGAGAGCCTCCTACAACAAAACTTCAGGAGCAATGTCAGACCATAGACGAAATATTAACCCTGATGATTATGAATGGGCTTAGTGATTTTTTATTATTAGTTCATCCTCTCCCCGTAGATCCTAATGACGAATGCTTGGACGCTGAAGAACGCTATAATGACCCAACTTGTTTCTTCATACAGCCATATGGTCAAAGTCACAAGGCTTCTCGAAAACATCCTTCAAGTCCGTTGAAAAATACGAGAAGCAATGGCCCAATATCCTCAATGGAAGATGACAGCGCTGCACATAGGCACTCATCGCATCCTAACAATGTGGGCTCGATGAGCTCCTTATCAAAAGTATGACTAATTATATCTCGCCGTAAAATGTCAAAAGCTTGGCTTGTACGTTTTATAGGATACAGCTCGTGTTGAAGAAGAAGAGGAAGAAGAAGAGGAAGAAGAAGAGGAAGAAGAAGAGGAAGAAGAAGAGGAAGAAGAAGAATGCACATAGTGAATTTGCCAGACAGTACAGACAGTGGAAAAACATTTATTACCATGAGTGACATAAGTATGGACCATCATTGTAGTACCCAAGTTAGCAGAGGCAATAAGTGATAATCTATTTTTATTTTTACTTTGATTTTTACCTCTAGTGCCTTGGCCGGTAGATATCTGGAAGCCAAAATGGTGGGATGCTGTTTACCCACGAGAACAAATTTTACAATAGGAAAGTCAGTTACTATTTTTAATATTTTTTATTAGTTGTTATAGTGTGTCAAATCCATCATTTTGCATTAGCTTCCAGCTGAAATCTTGTTGCGTATGTACTTGATGACTGATGTTTACATATACTGGATGCCTCAGGTTCCCACCTGTTGCCTTAGGTACACACCTAAGGCAACCACTTTACGTAGCCTTCAGTGGAACAGAGGATAACCCTGTTCCTCACTGTTACATAACACTCTATATCAATAAACTACGATTGATCACCATACGTGACGTGGATATCAGCATAAGTCTGTAGATCTGAAATGGCATGCCGGTTAAATGTATGATAAACTGCCTGCCTGCCAACGATAACATGTGATCCTCTAGTGTCGCCTGTGGAACAAATAACGTTGTGAGGGAGGAGATGCAATTGATTGATGCCAATTACGCGTGCAATTCTTCATGTAAGGTTTTCGACTCACGAGAACCTGCAGCGACCAGGGCACATGTTCGGACATCCTTCTATAAACCTCTTGGAATCCTTTTTAAACTGTCTACGGTCCATTATCAAGTGAACAAAAGAGTCGGCTTGACGCCTGCCAGCTTAGGACAAAAATCCCACTTTGGCAAAATGAAGCCAACACTCCACCTCTTCCATGACAAGCATAAGGCAGTGGTTCGTAAACATAGCCGGTATACGATTTCGGTGCCCCACGCACACGGATATCAGTACATCATATAATGAACCGTCTTTGGAGGAAGAAGTTAGATCGAAAGGATGATATTACAAAACTTCCATATACACAAGATATTTTCCTATCTGATTGCCCCTTGGGTACATCATGGAGGAACTACTAATGGAGAACTCTTAGTAAATTCCCGTATCCCATATCCTCAACTCACCCGCCTTTCTGTCATCATCAGTAAACAGTCCATTCCATTCGCTCCAATGCAGCCTCAAGGTGACGCCTTTCTCTGCGCCTGGGCCTGAGGGGCTAAAGTATTCCTTCAACGCAGGTTCAATGCCTTCGAACCCAATGATAAACCTTGGCAATTCTTCGCTTTTGCCCAGAGGTGGCCACAACTCTTTAGATAGAAATCCAAGTTTATCAGCCTCGAAGCGATGGTCTTCTGGGACGTAGGCCTCGCGCTCTGGGGACCCGGGAGCTGTATGTAGCGGCGGCTCACACGTTAATGCACGTGCTCGAAGGGCGGGATAGACCAAGTGAGAGCGCCATGGTGTTGTGTGACAAGGTGTCAGAAACAGAGCGAAGAGCTCAAGAGGCTCTGCGGTCTCATTCGTGTAGACGAAAGGCTGCGGAATGGTCAGATTTTGAGGGTGAATCCTCTGAAAGTCACCGCGCAATTGGTCCATGACCAAAATGGGCGCAGCAGCATGGAAGTACGACAAATATGCGCCAATAACCATATTAATCAGAAGTCCAACAACGAGAAGTGGCTTGCGCCTGACACCAATGGCACCGCGCGCTGTGGGGATGCCTCCTTCCTGCGGCACGACGAAAAAGGATGTAATGTGAGGTGCCGCAAGAATGTGGAGAATAGGAAGTAGAGGATAGATGAAGCGGACCTCTTTATGGACGATGAATGATAGCGTCGAGATAGTAACGAGGACAGCAAAACTCAATGCCTTGAAAGCATTTTTACTAGTGATGGAAGGGATGGTAGTCTCAGGAGTAGACCACAAACCCAGCACTGCAAAAGGCGCAACGGTTGTGCACGATAAGGTGATACCCTGCGAAAGGTAGTAATGCCAATCGTTGCGCCCATAGAATATAGCTAGGGATTGGGCAATATTAAAGTGAAGCCAGTTCAAAGGTGGAAATGTCCACTCGCCAAAGTATTGCCTGTCAGCAAATAGGGATATACCCAGAGTAAACGACCTAATTTTTTTTTCTTAAGTTAGACACCAGCCTATTGATCAGAGTCTGAGGACGTACCCGCAAAGAAGCGTTTCTCGGACCAGGATAAAAATTGTTCTCCTCGTCAACGGCGACTGCCCATCCAGGCTCAGTCGGCTCACAGTGAGGGTGCCGATTGCGGCCCAAACCAAGCCATTCGTAGGACGTAATAGGACTGCTAAGACAGCGAGTATAACTGATAAACGCAGACTACGTAGGCATCTATTAGGGATGCATCCACATTGTTTCTTTGGAAACTATTTACCTGTTGACAGACCCCGGTTTTTGAAACACTTGGATAAAAGAGCTGTCCTTCTTTTGACTTTGTTGGCTTTGAATCCCCAAGACCTCCCAGGGGAAGTAGAAGAGGGCTGCAATGGTCAAGGTAGTCTCAAGTGAGTTTGAAAAAGTCCTGGTCGAACAATACCACACCCATGGGTTCGCGATGCTCATCAGAAGCTGGAAGAAAAAGATTAAAAAAAAAATTCACATCGCCTTGGCGCGACCCAGTAGATGCACTCACCACAGACCATGAAGTTGCAGTGTTTCGCCCAAATAGCCTCTCAGCAAGTCGCCATGCGTACCAATCGCTCAAAGCAGCCAAGCCAGCCTGAATGACTTTCGGGGCTGCAAGGAGAGCATATACCCTATGATGAGCAGGCAGAGAAACTGTCGACAGGTAATTTGCGACAATCGCATAACCCAAGGCGAACACGCCGGGGTGAAGGGACGAACGTAGTCTATGTTGCCATTCCTTGTTGAACGTCAGACTGGAGTATTATGATCATCAAGGGTGACTTACCCAGGTCATCCAGGCTCCACTGTCTGTCCCAAAGACTAGTTGCCAGGCTGGTTCAAGAGCCTGGTAATACTCATCTGGCTGGAAGAAAGTCCGTACACACAGAGCGTTGACCAGCCGAAAGGTGAATAGAACAGCAAGCGCCTCCTTGACTTGTGCGGCTATAGCGTCTTGCTGTATTGGGCAGCTAGGCGTGTCTTCAGGTTGGTCTTCTTTTGAGTCCGACACTGCGTCATTCACAGACTGTGTTGTCGCCATTTCATAGTCTCTGCTCGGCAACCTCTTGGGTAAACGTCAAAGACTATTGAGTGGTTGATGTAGCCAATACTTATTCTTTTGAAGACACGTGCTTATCGGCTGTAACCTAGGTAGAGCTTTGAATCCAAGGCCAGCACGTACCAAGTGCACAGCGACGGTCTCCTGAGGCTGAAATGCACAGTTGAGGCTAGAGCGTTTGACTGATAGGACGCTCGGCGTTCGCCAGACCGCGCTAACAATGCCCCTCAAATAACTAACCTTAGTGTAGTAGTGACAAGAGACATGAACCCCCACCCCACATCCGGTCAGTGACGAAAGCGGTTTTGTTTTGCTCCACGGTTCTTGCTGATAAGACAAGACAAGACAAGACCAGGCACCTTAATAATTGATCCAACATCAATTCACGCTTCCAACCCGCTCTGGACCAGAACCCTGTCTCGTATTACGCAATGTTCTGAAGCATGGAAATATCGCAATTCTGATTGGCTCGACTCCAAGTCGTCACTTCCGTTCTTCGGACATGGACGCCGTGCCCGTGGTTTCACGGTCGGTCTTCTTGGGTGCCGATGAGGTGTTCATGAAAGCCGCAACTGATGATGATGATCGTTCTTACCATGCCTTTCTGGCCAGGATCAAGAGCCATTGGGTCCGGGGTCGTAATGACCTTGTTTGCCGCTTCCCTTTGCTTGTCTTGCCTTTGCGCCGCTTTGCTTCGGCTTCGCAGTCTCATGTGACTATTTGCAACGTAAGACGTTTGGTTAGTTGCCATCATCCGGCAGCAAGTATCGCTTCTACTTGCACTTAGAGGCTTAGTGGCCGACGTCCCTTCCACCTTTTGCACTTGGCTGAGATGCCCGACCAATACTTAAAACATCACCCCGCCTGCTTCACACTTTTTCTGGACTTACACATTACACAAATCTTTGTTCGAACAAGAACAGTATTCGTCGCCTGCAACTCTTTTTTGACCCATATACTATCGCGAATGGCATATTGCTCTCGAGAGCATCACATATTCTCATTTTTTGACACGGGAACACCAATTGTCTCGAACAACCCTACCTAAACATACTACCGCACGTACTCGTTAAACATGGCTCCTCACGCAGATGGTGGTACTGCTCACTCGGATGGGTCAGCTACCTCTTCCAGGTACCATGCCTCTTCGACAAAGGGTGCCATTGAGGCCGAACACAAGTTCGCTGCTCACAATTACCACCCTTTACCTGTCGTCTTCTCACGTGCCTCAGGTGTAGACGTATGGGACCCTGAGGGCAAGCATTATATCGACTTCCTCTCCGCTTATAGTGCTGTCAACCAAGGCCACTGTCACCCTGAGCTCGTGAAGGCTCTTACCGAGCAGGCCAGCCGATTGACGCTGAGCTCAAGGGCGTTCCACAACGATGTCTTTCCCAAGTGGGCTGAGAAGGTCCAGCAGGTGTTCGGCTACGACATGGTTCTGCCCATGAACACGGGAGCAGAGGCTGTGGAGACTGCTATCAAGATTGCCAGAAAATGGGCATACAAGGTCAAAGGAGTCCCTCAAGACAAGGCTTGGGTCTTTGGCGTTGATGACAACTTCCACGGCCGAACTGTTAGTATTGCGCAAGGCACATTGATCATCAGCTAACATAGCCTAGATGACTGCTGTGACTCTGTCTACCGATCCCGAGTCCAAGGAGAACTACGGTCCCTACGTCCCGAAAATTGGTGCTGTCAACCCCTCAACCGGCAAGCCGATTCGTTACAACAGTGTGGAAGATATCGAAGAGTTGTTTGAAGCACATGGTACAGAGACAGCCGCGATCATTATCGAGCCAATCCAGGGAGAGGCAGGTGTAGTCGTTCCTGATGCTCACTATCTCGCCAAGGTCCAAGACGTTTGCCGGAAGCATAACGTTCTCTTGATTTGCGATGAAATCCAGACTGGCATTGGACGAACGGGCAGAATGCTGTGTTCCGAGTGGGCTGGCATCAAGCCTGACATGGTCACCCTTGGCAAGGCCATCTCGGGTGGATTGTATCCTGTGAGCGCCGTCCTCAGCAGCAAAGAGATCATGCTTGTCGTCGAGCCTGGTACCCATGGCTCAACTTATGGTGGCAACCCACTGGGATGCGCAGTATCCATCCGTGCCCTTGAGATCATGGAAGAAGAACAGCTGACTCAAAAAGCTGAGAAGTTGGGCAACCTTTTCAGAGAGAGCTTAGCGGCTTTCAACTCACCCATTGTCCAGCTCATTCGAGGCAAGGGACTGCTCAATGCTGTCGTTATTGATGAGTCACAGACAAACGGCCACTCAGCCTGGGATCTTTGTCTTCTGTTAAAAGAGAAGGGCCTCCTGGTAAGTACCGAGCAGAGCTGGAGCCAGATATAACGAATGCTGAATGTGCAATAGGCCAAACCAACTCATGGTAACATCATTCGGTTCGCTCCGCCATTGGTCATCACCGAGATTCAACTACGTAAGGCCGTCAACATCATCGGTGAGGCTCTCAAGGAACTTCCCACGATGAAGCAACACGAGGATATTCATGTGGAGCTTGAGAACTGATCTCTAGTCTTCGTCCGCCATTCTTAAGTCATTTTGGAGTAATAGGTAACACCTGTACTCTCATGCATGCAATTAATGCTGAATGGCGTTGGTACCCTTTGCTATTGCACTACTCCTCTCTTGCAAATAGGGCGTACAACGACGTAAGTGGCAGCCACCAAAAAGAGCGCCAAGCACAGAACTCGAGCCAAGCGTTGCCTGGTGTTTTTATTTTATTTTTATTAGCAAGTCGGCTCAGTTGCATAAAGACGAGCTGGTCATTAACAGCGAACCTATTTCCCTTCCCAATAACGGGATGGTGTAGACCTGTAACCACTACAAGGGCGGGTCTCATTCCCGATGGGACTTGGTCGACCCTGAGAGAGGGGTTGTCTTGGGGTGGAGCGGCAGTGTAATGTTACTCGAATTCGAAAGAACAGGGTATGAGTCTCCGATGTGGTAACTTGAATATAGCAATTGACCTATCTTATCGCAATTGAACATGTTGTGTAGCCGATGGTGGAAGCCTGATAGAAGCCTGGTGGATGGACTGGCTCGACCCTGAAATATGGATTTCCTACTCAAAGCGGCATGCCTCACCCTTGCTTCATGCCAACATCCTGGAGGACGGGATGCACTTCCGTTGCATATCGCAACTCGCCCGGTGACTGTTCGGCTGCAAGTTCAGAAACAGACGTGGTTGCGCGAAGCGTTCCATGCAGAATGCAGCCTTAGTGTGTGCAGTTCATCCCATGGCTTGTGTATCGTACACGATGCCCGGCTTCCCAGTTTTGTCTCCAATGGAAAGTTTCATAATTTCAACTAACCTGCACTTCACGTGATAGCGCGTTATACCCAACAAATGTCGACAGCCGAGACAGCCCAGCAAGGATAATAAGAGAGACATGCATGGCGCCAGGGAGACTATCTAGCCTCGGTGTGCCTAATACAGGCTTGTCCCTTTTATACCACAGTAGACTTGCAGAAGCTTGAGGCCGGTGGAGGGTCAATGCAGAAGTGATCGTCCAGCAATGAACAAAAAGATTTGCAAGGTCCGAGTCGGGAAGACTGTACATTAGGATACCTTGAGGGCATTGCGATCACTGCTAACATTGGCACTTTCAAAATCAAATAGCCACGCACATGCGACGAACTCGGAGGACTCTAGAATATTCATGGCGTTCTATATCCACTCATTGGAACACGGCGATCGCGGGGAAGTTCAGGACACTCCATAAATACACGCCGATAAGCAGTCTCAAAACTAAGGGACCTACTCAAGTGGGCTACACCGAATACCATTATGATATGTAGGTGGTCAACCAAGCCCAGAGGCCCATCCACCAGGCTCCATTTCTCAATCAACTTTCCCTCTGCCAAGCGCTAGATCTGCACCCACTGCCTCGTGGCTACCTGACTATCGTTATCGGGAGCTATCTTGCGATCGTTGGTTTTAAGATGTGTCTCGCAGCCAGATGAGGTTCCTCTTTATTGGGGAGACACAAGGATGAAGGTGCTATCTGCTGCTTCTAGAACACGACGTTGGAAGCATTTCTTCTGTTTTCGCGTTTATTAAGGTTCAAGCCGTCCATGTCAGTTGGAAATACACATGAGAGTAGCCATTATGCTGGATCTGGGCTAGTCTTATGGTGCAACGGTGTCGGACGGGATGATTGTCATCTGACAGGGTCCTAGCACTTGACGGTGCCATCTTGGTACTCTGTACATACATACATACATACATACCGTACCGTAGAGCCGATAAATGGGGTTCTATTCAACAAGTGCCTCCCTGTCACACCGTTCGGATAGCTTTGACACGACAATGTCATTACAACTGCATATCCTAACAGAACATGCGTCTGAGAAGTTTATGGCTGCAGACTGTGCTCCAGACACATGTAGGGTCGTGAAGCAGTCCACGATTAATGCGCGCTTCTTGCTGCATGGGAACCTGGCCCAGTGACACATGTGCATGTTTTCCCCAAGTGGAGAACTGCACATAGTCGCTGTAAGGTTCCCAGCGGCTACTGGCACTAAAGTTGCAGTTGAACCCGCTTCTGACCATGCACAAAGCCCAGCTTCATGCACCAAAGCTGTACTATGCAAATAGTACAGTACTGTGAGCACTCTTGCCCACCAGATGTGGTGAGGCAATGCAGGGTTCAGAGCAGTGCCATGCTGTTAGTGGATGTTATCGGGGGCCCAAGACGATTGATCTGCCATGGAGCTCTTATCGCCGCCGCACACTTGATCTTGGGGGGTGGACGGGGGGGGGGGACGTGTCACAGCGTCACAAGTTTAGTGACCTCTAGAACAAGCATGTCGTTCCTGTTGAATCACCACCACACATTGACATCTCGATTCGATGTTTGATTGATGGGCTGACTGCTGGACTTGGATGCATTGAATGCATTGGACAATACGGAACCGAACAGGCTGCTCTGGGGGGCTTTGTTTGGTTCCGTTCAAGTCGTAAACTCAACTCGACCGCCGGTCCTGTCCGACATAACTTAACTACAGCGTCAAAGTGCTCGACACCACGAGTCCTACATTGTACCTGGCATTGTTCTCGCACTAAATATCCACTTTCAGCGCCCATCCCATCACTTGCCGCCCCCATCACGTCTTTTGCGCTGGTTCTCTTGTCATCTGATTCCTGTCACTTACACGCACTTCTCGTCGGTTACCTTTTTTCACTTGTTGCATCCGTTAAACTCACCCATCGCCAACTCTTCTCCCCGCCCATTTTATTACCCCCCTAATTATCTATCACAATTATTCTACATTTTAACCTCTTCTTGCTCGGCGACGCATCATCACATCGTTGACCGTGCTATTACTCAACTAACGGGGGTTCTCGCCGCGCTATTGCCGAGTCATTCAGTTGATATCGGACAGCCAACCAGGGCAAGCTACACTGCACCTCAAGGCCCGCTTTGCAGCTCCCAGCTGTGACTACCTAGGACGCCTATCCAAACGGCGTATCATCACATCCGTGACTATCGCGCTCCCCCAGACACGCTTATCGCATGCGACCCTTCTATTCATCACTTCTCTTCGTCGTACTCTATTCTGCTTCCTTTGAAAGGACCCAGGCATCCTCTGTCATAGCAGGCTGCCCATTTATTGTTTTCCTGCAAACGAGACCGCTCTGAACCCTGGTGACACACAGCACCGTCCCCGCCTTTTCATCAAGGGACCCTCGAATCCGCCCGTAGTCATTCCCAACTCGAGCCTATCGGATACCTGCCGCCAAGGTACCACGCTGTAAGTACACCGTACTCTCATGACCATGTGTTGCGAACATCAAAGCCTTCTCCTATCGAAGCTCTCCCTTCCCTCTTAACTCAAACATCCTCTCTGCTTTGACCAGTGTTTGGGTTACTAAATAGAGCTGCAGTGGCAGAAGACCCAACTCGCCGTGGCCTCACCCAAACCTATCGATCTAGCTTATCGAAGCTCGAAACTGACCCGGAGACAATTCATATAGGCTCGACCAAGACAGCATCCGCTCTCGCTGTACGCTCCGGTGGAACAGTCTGGAACCAGAATCAGGACCAGACACTCTTAATCTCATCCGTCTCGACTGCGATACGAAAACCGGCCTGGATGCTTACATGATACCGCGAGACGCTTCACCGTCCCCGATCCCCTTATAAGCCCTCCCGGGCTCCCGACCAAGCTTCCTGCCCCAAGTCAACCATCCACAGGAAGTATGGCGGACCGACACCCATCAGGATCGTCTTCGCGACGAACGCGAACAGGCGACAGCTCGATCGGCCAGTTCATCATCGGCTCCGAGATAGGCAAAGGCAGTTTTGCCCAGGTTTACATGGGCAAGCATCAGGTACGATTCCCTTCAACCGTACAGCTATCCCCCTCTCTACTGCACGTTCACATGTAACCGCTATCGTTCTGGGCCGATATATCACCACCAGCTATTGTACCCATTTCTCACCGATCCTTCACGGCATAACTATACCTTTGACTCGTCTCCCCCTTGCGACCGGTGCGATCATTGTAACTAACCCTCGTCTCGATAGACCTCGGGCGCTGCTGTAGCTATCAAGTCTGTCGAACTCGGCCGTCTAAATAAGAAGCTCAAGGACAACCTGTATAGCGAAATCAACATCTTGAAGAAGCTTCGCCACCCCCATATTGTCGCCCTTCATGACTGTCTCGAGTCGTCGACGCATATCAACCTCATCATGGAATACTGTGAACTCGGCGACTTGTCCTTGTTCATCAAGAAGAGGGAGAAGCTTGTTACCCATCCCGCAACTTGTGACATGGCCCGCAAGTATCCCAGTGTTCCGAACGCTGGTTTGAACGAGGTTGTTACCCGCCATTTCTTGAAACAGCTTGCTTCCGCGTTACAGTTCTTGCGTCAAGGCAATTTTGTACATCGTGATGTCAAGCCTCAAAACCTTCTCCTACTTCCCTCGGCGCACTATAGGGAAACCAATGGCGAAACGAGACCTATACTTAGTGCCAGTCGTGACTCGTTGATACCGGCGGCCGGTCTAGAGTCTTTACCGATGTTGAAACTGGCAGACTTCGGCTTCGCTCGAGTCTTGCCCTCTACATCTTTAGCAGAGACGCTCTGTGGATCGCCACTCTATATGGCGCCAGAAATTCTACGTTATGAGCGCTATGATGCGAAGGCCGACCTGTGGTCTGTTGGAACCGTTCTTTACGAGATGGTCTCTGGTAGACCACCGTTCCGTGCAAGCAACCACGTTGAGCTTTTGAGAAAGATTGAGAATGCTGAAGATCAAATCAGATTTTCGCGGGACTGCCAGGTCAGCCCCGAAATGAAGAGTTTGATCCGTGGCTTGTTAAAACGAAACTCGGTAGAAAGATTGAGCTTTGAGAATTTCTTCAACCATCCTGCCGTCACTGTTGAGATTCCTGGCACAGTTGAGGACGACGTTCCAAAGATCCAAAGGTCGCCTTCAAAAAAGGAGACCCGTACACTGACCAAAACCGATGAGCTGAGAACAGCACCGCGTCGCATGTCCTTCCGTCGCCAATATATGACCGATCAAGAGGCTGGGCGGGAGGAGGTTGGGCCGTCCCCACCGCGTGAAAGACCACTGAGATCCTCACCTCTGGCAAGTCCTGCCGAGTTTCCTGATGATCGGCCGGTGCAGCCAGCATCCCGCGTTGCCCGCTCTCCACGTGAGGAAATTGCCCCAGCTCTTGGTCTTCGACGACCACAACCTGTTCCTTCAACATCCGCACCTGTGCAGCCCACACTCCTCAGCGAGAGGCGTCGGCGTGGTTTGTCCAACGCTTCAATTAACAAATACACCCGAGAGGAGCCTTCATCTTCAGCACCCAGAGACTATGCCATTAAAGGCAAGGGAAAGAACGCCGAAGGAGGAGAGGATGTTGCGCAAGACATTGCCTTCATGAGGGACTATGTCGTTGTGGAGAAGAGACATGTAGAAGTCAACGCATTTGCCGATCAACTGGCTGCACAAGGTACACAGGCTCAGACAATGTCTCCCAAGGCTGCCCAAATTGTTCGCAGGGCGACTCAGCAAGGCATTCCCACATCTACCACAGGAGCTATACCTGCCGAGCGGTCTAAGGCACTTCAGATTGCGCAGGGTAACAGACCGGATCATTACAGAGGCGGTTCTTACGACAAGGCCTTATCTGGGAGTCCAAAGTCGACAACCTCAGTCATTTCAAAAGCCATTCAGGATGCGAGTCTGAGATTGCTAGGCTTCAGATACCCGGCACATCTACTTGGTAAGGGAGCGTCGCCTCCACAACTCTACAACCCCTTTCCTGCATACCCTGCACCCAACGCACCTGCTGGCCTTCTAACAGACGGCCGGCAAAGCGGGATGATTGACGAGGATGCAAGAGTTGCGCAGTGCATCGAGGATAACGCTACACGTAGTGACGTGGTTTGGGGCTTCGCAGAAGTCAAATACAAGCAACTCATTCCTCTGACACCGTCACAAGATCACGGTCTTGGGGGAACACCTGTTGATCAACTCGCTCCCGAGGACGAGGATGGCCTGACCGTGGAGGCCGTTGTAGTGCTGTCTGAAGAAGCTCTAGTGCTTTATGTAAAGGCATTATCACTTCTGGCAAAGTCTATGGATATTGCAAGTGTTTGGTGGGGACGAAAAGCTAGAGCTGATTCTATCCCCACACGCGACACTTTGGCAACGCAAAACGTTGTCAATAGGATCAATTCGGCCGTCCAATGGGTGCGAAAGCGCTTTAACGAAACTTTGGAGAAGGCTGAGATTGTAAGGTTGAAGCTGATTGAGGCGCAGAAGCAACTTCCTGAGGACCACCCGAGTCACCCGAGCAATAACCAGCACGAGACAGCCGCCACAAGCACTTCAGGTGCTGATGGTATCATACTCACAGCTGGCTTGAGTGCAGAGAAACTTATGTATGAGCGGGCACTGGAGATGAGTAGAGCCGCTGCAATCAACGAGATCGCCAATGAGGATCTGGCTGGATGCGAGCTTTCATATGTCACTGCAATCCGAATGCTCGAAGCGGTATTGGACAACGATGAAGATCTGTCTTCGAAGAGGAGGATTTCCAGCAGTGCCAAAGAGGATCGTGACACGATTCGTGAAGAAGTATCTGAAATCAATCAGGACGACCAGCAGGCTGTGCACAAGAGTAAGACTTTTTCTGCATTCCTCCGTCTACACATGCACTGACAACCTGTAGTGATCCAAATGGTAACCAGTCGTCTCACAAGTCTTCGTAAGAAGATGCAGATGATTGCCAACGCCTCGAAGGCACAACAGAGCCTTGCGAGGAAGCGCAGCGGCGACGTGACACCTCGTAGTACGCCTAAACACTCATTATCATGAGACACAATTGTCTCTCTCACGAATCACGAAGATACGCATAAGAATGCATTACTAAAATTGCGAAGCCCCACGGCTATCAGGTGCGCAGATTGGCTTGCTTCCGCTCAACGAGGAACCGAAGCACACTGACCTTCGAACATCATCTTGACAAGGAAGTTCCACACTAGGCGTTCAATCGGATTTGAATTTCACTGGTTGATATTTTCATACACTGTTAATTATTTGGTCTATTTTTGTACAGATCATAGCGATCGAATCAGACTCTCTGAGAAACGAAGATGGCCTTTGTTCCACCGAATCAGGGACAAACCGTCCCGCACCACCCAACGATGTATTGGACATTGGAGTTTGCGGCACTTAGACGCCAACACGAGAAGGGGTACACGGCACCAGCAGTACCGTCGGCACACGTTTCTTCGTTGAAGGCTCACGAATGTCATTACGACGACAGAATATCCTTTTGGCGGCACACTCTTGCTCAGTGTTGATGAGAGCTTGGTCTTGAATTTAGGTGCGCTAGGCGAATCTGGTCTTGTGTCTTTAGAACCGAATACAGCGAATCGCAATTTTCCTCTTGCGGTGTTCAGGATGGTATGGTATGGTTTGGTCTGGTTACTTTTGAGCTGGTCGCGGTCATCATCCCCCCTTTCCTGACTTGTCTTTCGCGGCTGCTAGTCGCGATCTCGTACTTCTTTCTGTTGCATAAATCTTTTCGTTGGTTGGCCCTAGTTTCGCAATATCGTGCGACTTCTTGTGAAGGGTCTGAACTTGGGGGCTGTGGTGGTGAAGAGGACTAGATGAAGAATAACGCAGTCTGTGAGCGATTCGATAGGAAGAAATGAGTAACCATTAATGAATTCAGCAAAGTCCAATCTATGAGAAGCAATGGACTGGACAAAACAAGGCACAAATATGCTGTTTCATGTCTCTTGCGCCCAAGATTCATACTTTCGTGTCGTTTGCACCGAGTTGAAAGTCTTGTTCTACACACCTTGTAACAGGTTATACCAATTTTCTATAAAAAGCTGCTTCAGACAGTTGGGTTTTCTTAGGCAGCGAGACGTTTTAGGTACGCAAGGCTCGACACTATAGAGCAGATTAGGTAGGCTATACAGAATTCTTCCCCAGACCGTGCTATAAATGTGAATTTCTCCTCTTCTTGAAGCTCAGTCATGATCTGCGAACTCCAAGGTAGAAAGCGAGTGAATGACGAACTTGTCCGTAGCTATGCTCCAGCTATCAAGTTCCCCACGCGCCACAGTATAATAAAGGCAACGTCCAGATCGGCTTTGGGGGGTGACATTGCGCAGACCAACAGGTGTGAAGCGATACTCTACGATTCCTACTGCCGGTATCCCACTACGGGCAAACCACCCAACTAGGCGTGGGCGTACGTAGAAGGGGCATTTCGCGGAACTATTTCTATCATGGCCATGTATGGGCGACAATACAACCGTGTGGCTGTGGCTATCTTTGCACGTGTTGAGTTTTCGATGTGATCATGTTCTCATAGCTGAACGTGCTGGCGATGACATTGAGCCGGAGGGCGAAGCCTGAATGCGATCCGCCCGCGAGGGTATACTCAATTGATCGATTGATTGATTGATTCGTCTCAGCGATGGTTTGCCGTTGTTAGTTTCATACTCATGACCTCCAGACCCAACGTTTCAGGTGGGCTGCAGAGCCAACGGAATGGGGTTTGTGGGTGCGCAAGGTCGCATTTATGACGGTATATCTGCTGGCCTATCGTCATGGTGGCGGTCCAAGGGACCTGCAAGCGGCGGAATGAACCTCTAGCACCAATAGTTAATCTTCGTGTCCACCAATCGTGGGAACGCGCAGGGTTTGCAATGATGCTCCTGCTGAGACTCTTACCAGAGCATAGGGTTACATCAGCGAAATGCTGGCTGAACATTTCTCGAGAAGCTACGCTGATAGCGTCTCCCGGTGACCGTTGGGTCACTTACCGAGTGAACCGGAAAGTGCCCCCATCGCATTGCGAGCCTGCTTCTTGACGAAACCTAAATTCCCATGGGACTTACCATGCAGACAAGCTGGAAGGCCCTGAAAGTTGAGGCTGGCTGGCTGGGGCTGGATAAAGAGCACACAGCGGGCCGACGTCATTTGGCGCCTGCGACCCCCGCCACAGCACACGGTGTTCATGGGCTTGCTGCAATGCAAGAACAGGTCTTACCAAGAAAAAAAAATAAAGCCCTTGTGGACATTGACAAGCGAAAGAAGGGATGACGCAGTTCCCCATAGAACTCACTTGAAGACATCCACTGCAGCCTGGCCAGGCACGCAAAACGGGGTTGCACGTTGCGGGATACCTGCGGAATAGATTATGATATTGATCTGGAGGTTGCGTAACGCGCTAGATTGATCAGTAGAATGAGTCGCGATGTGGGTCGAGAACGAGGCCACTTGGAATTGCTGGTCCATCAAGCGGCAGTCGGAATAAAAAGATTCGAGGAGTTGCAACTTAAGGGGGTTCGCGTAGCGACCAAAGTGCTGACTTTGCCGGTTTCGTCTATCGAGAACCGTGGCAGGGAAGTCGGAAACGTTTGAGAAAGTTGCCGAGCAGCGTAATGATCGTTGTCGAAACCTTGCAGCATATCTGGTGACGGAATTCTAGGCCTCGAAGCAGCTGTGCCGTTCCAGGACTTTGTACCTGATCTAGTAGGGGATCGACACTGCGCAGAGATTAGAAGAAGTCCAGAATTCGTAACCCCGGTCGAGATCTCGAAGACGGAAGAGGCGGCGGTCTATCACAGGGACGCATAATCCCATGTTATTTCATAATATGATCAATAGATTAATATTGAAAAAGTCGAGTTAGTGGTCCGGCCATGCTTGTTGACAGCCCACCTTGATATATGGGCACCATTTGAAAGTTGAAAGTTTTGAATACGGCAAATCGAGTTTAGACGACTGGAAGGTGACCCAGTAAGACAATGCATCGGTGAAAGGTCCGAGGGGTCTCAAAGAGCTTTCAAGTGAGACAAAATTATTCGGAAAGTCGCATCGAGCCAAGATGGATGAGGTGGGCTGAGTAGAGGCTGTTCTTGTGCGCATGATGCTGCACACACGTCTTATAGTATCGGCGTATTGGAACTGGATTTTGGGCCGTCGATGGGACTCGGCACTTTGTCTTATTGGGGTTGACCCAGCAGAGCCGAGGCGTTAATTTGGAATATTTGTTTATTTGTTTGTTTGCCTGTTTGTTTGCCTGTATGTACATACTGCAGTATGAAGATATGCATGGCATTGGAGATAGTTGAAATGAAGGTTTACTGTTAAATGCACATAGACGAAATAGTACGGATGTGAACAAGATTGAGAGTTTACCTTAGCCTTGTAACAGCCGGGATCGAGCTTGGGGCAGTTGACGGTCTCGAACGCTAGGGTGGGCTATTTTAGAGCTTTCAATCCCTGCTGGAATCCGGCGCGAAGCCACATGATGAAAGGAATCTCCCGGCAGCCGCTGTGTTGGTTTACAAAGTCTGGAGAGGTAAGACCTGCATCTCCTGGGCTGGAGACACCTGCACCTGCTTACCGTACTTTACTGTCAGTTACTACATCAAGTATAGCATAGTGCTTGCGCGCGCAGCATTTGATTGATCGCAGTACTGTACGTACATTGTAGGTCAGCAACAATTCTGACGGGGGCGTAGGCAAGTCGACATCTGGTGATCCACCAGCAGTCGACTGGACAGTGGCCAGTGGCCAGAAATCAAAATCTGGGGGCTTCAGCTTCAATTGGATGTCATTGGAGCCTCGCAGCTCTCCGTTTGGGCAGACCCCGTTCTTGCGGACCAGACTTGCTAAGTGAAGGGAGTCCCAAGGGTGCTTATGTTGTCAGACTGATACCACTCTCGGTTAAGCTCCTACACACTGTACCTGTACCTACTTACGTCCATGTGCGTACAGCAGCAGCCGTCAGGACTTTGACCTTTGGATGTGATTCTTGTTGCTTTGATTTTTTGGGTTGATTTTGGTCTGCTTTGGCTTTGGCTTTGGCTTTGGCTTTGGTTTTGGCTTTGGTTTTGGCTTTAGCTTTGGCTTTGGCTTTGGCTTTGGCAGCTTTCCACCTCGAACTCACATCATCATCCCATGCAGTCGTTCTACATTACATACCTACATACATACATACACTCACACATACATACGCAAATTACTGCGCCGACCTCGAGGCACCCACCGTTAATCGTAATCAACCAGTCGTTCTGATCAGTCCTTGAGTCTGAGGTCTGAGTCTGAGGTCTGAGGTCTGAGTCGGGGGTTGTCAATCGACCGTTTTCGTCATCTCTTGTCTTATTCGTCCAAAAATAGCAGACAGACGAACGGTCAGATCTCCCCTCCATCCATCTGGAATCAGTCATTCAATCAGTCACATTTCCCTGTCTGTCCTGATACACTGCAGATCGCACAGGCCACGGATTAGAAGAGGCAGAAGAAAATACAGTTGCCTGTCACTCGCTACAAGCGCTGGAAACCAGGAGCAGCACAAGCACAAGTACAAGCACCAAGCACCAAGCACCAAGCACAAGCACCAAGCAAGCACAAAGTATACGCATCCAGCCTTTCTTACACTACACTACTCTACACCACACTGCACCATTCTATCCTTGTACACAGCTGTGCTTTAGGTGGTAAAAGTACCCTAGGGTTCATTGCAACAGCGGCAATCCTTCCCAATCCCAGTCCCTAACTGTAGTCCTGGCCGCACACGCACAGAGCAACAACATCCACGCCGCCCACTTGTCGCATCTCATCATCACAAAGTACCGTCTCGTGCCTCGTCACTGCCCCAGTGCTGTGGTAGTAGTCCTGGTAGTAGTCTCGGGCGCCCTCTTTTGACTCTCGAACTTCCGATCGGATGCAGCCTTCAATACATCACACAACATAGCACGAACCAAACATTGCGAACTCGAACTGGCTCCTCAATAAAAGACCCACGATACTCTTCTTGGTCGCGGTCGCCCGCGCGTCATTGTTCCCACCCATGGCGTCCGCAGCCTCAGCCACGCCCTCGAGGCCAATGCCGACGAGCCCTCCACAGCAACATGCACAACCTTCGCCTTCGATACCTCAATCGCCTCCTAGCAAGAGAGATCTGAAATCATGGTGGAAGCGCTTTCAGGTCCAATCGAAGCATCAAGAAATACAGGGTAAGAACTGCCTTGTCAACTCTCCTTGACATTTGTTTCAAAGCACCAGCACAAGTACACGTGCAAACACCCTTTCCGGTGCAAATTCATTGCAAAGAGCTTGGCTTGGGCAGACCTTCACATTGGGCGCAATGGTGTGTAAGCGCCTGCAACCCTTTGGGAATCATTACTGCCCATTCAGTCGCACCCAAGCCTGAAGTATCTACTGATTCACGGGCACTTGGGGTCGAGTACGGCATTACACAGTCCAGCCTTCATCTGTGGGATCCTGTCTTATACTGAGACTGTTGTGTTCGCATCACCTTCGTGGGAGCGCCTGCTCTAGCATGCCTCTGTGGTCAGATGGCTAATCAACTCAATGCAGAAACGCGCCCTACAGGCATCTTCGGTGTTCCCTTGCGACAAAGCATCACCTATGCCAATGTGGCTATCTCCCTTGTCGACGACGATGGCAAGAGCTATATTTACGGCTACGTTCCCATAGTGGTTGCTAAATGCGGAGTCTTTTTGAAGGAAAAAGGTGCGTCATCTTTCATCCCATCTGTTGCGAGCATTGCGTAGCATGAGCGTAATCCTGGCTACGCCGCGCACCTCACTAACACGGCTTTCAGCTACTGGAGTGGAAGGCATATTTCGTTTGAGCGGCTCCGAGAAGCGTATTAAGGAGTTGAAACTCGCGTTTGACTCTCCTGACAGATATGGCAAAGGTCTTGTTTGGGACGGTTATACGGTCCATGATGCGGCTAATGTTCTCCGGCGCTACCTGAACGACCTCCCTGAGCCCGTGGTTCCGTTGGATCTGTATGAGAAGTTCCGCGATCCTCTGAGAGGGCACACCAAACAGGCCGTGGGCGACACAGAAGGCACACAACTGGTGGACAATTTCAATGAGGCTGAAGCCATTGACAAGTACCAGCAGTTGATCAGGATCCTACCGCCCTTGAACCGACAGTTGCTTCTTTACATTCTGGATCTACTCGCTGTCTTTGCTGCCAAGGCTGACGAGAACCGTATGACAGCACAAAACCTGGCTGCTATCTTCCAACCGGGAATGCTCTCGCATCCGCACCATGCCATGGCTCCGGAGGAATACAGGCTGAACCAGTGCGTTATCATATTTTTGATCGAAAACCAGGACCACTTCTTGATTGGCATGCAAGGAACAGGCACAGATGAGCAAACCAAACAGGCGATTCAGAAGGGCACGCCAGTAATCGTTACCCCAACCACTCCCAACAAGAGCCGTAGCTCTGGCGTCGTTAGGACTGCTTCAAATGCTAGTGCTGGCGCTGAGAGTGTTAGTAGAGACGGCCAGATACGCCGGAATCGGTCAACGTCGTCGAGGCATTCGCGGCATTCCAATGGTGCCTCGACTCCTGGCAGTCCGGCTTTAGCCACCACCCCTATCACTTCAAGTGCGGGCGGTCTGGCTAGAAGTAACACTGTTCCATCGAAAAGGTCGCCTCATATTCCTTCAGGTCGATTTCAACGACAAGACTCGCCATCCGTCGCAGTAGCACCAGCTTCACCGTCCCCTATGGATACTAATGTTGGCCGTCCTGCAACGGTCAGAGAGGAGCCTGTGAAGTCATCTAACCAGACACTGGAATCATCTAGTGCGACGCACACGACAGCTCCCGTGGCCCCTTTGGCGAATCAAAAGAGTCAGGAGAGACTCCTGGATTCAACACCGGAAACTACTACTCCTGTGAAAGGAGAGAGGACACTCCATACCCTTTTTAATTTGTCGCCGTCCGAGGCTGAAAAGCGGCAACCAAATAAACTTCGGAAGAAACGGATACCAGGCAGTGCTAACCCTAGTGCGCAAAGCTCTACCGCGTCCCTCTCTCATTCCGGAGCTGTCTCTCCTTCTGTTGACGCTTACAATCCTTGGGAAAAGCGGTTAGAACCTACGGTCTTGGAGCACGTCTCGACAGACACACCATCAGAAGCCACTCCGACCGCGTCAACAGTCCCATCTTCAAGCACGGTGCAAGCCTCACAGCCCGAGCCGACCAACACCCTTAAGCCGAAGCCCTCCCCGCCTACGTCCTTGCATTCCTCTTTTAATGAGGGCTCTGATTTGGATCAGGCCGACGAGAATATCCCGGCTCCTACTGGGGAGCAGCCTATCACTGAACAGCAGGATAAGGAGAGAAAGCGGCGGTGGAGGCTATCTCGGAGAAGAGACGACATTCCTGGGTCGCACCTACCACAAAATCTTGGCCTCAACAGTCATGCGGAGGCAAGCACTTCGACAATTGGCAGTGGAAGTAGGCCTAGGAAGAGCTGGACCGGGGAATCATCCGATGTAGCCGCTACCCTAGCCGAAAGCGACCATACCAGAGAGAGGGACGACTCAAGAGGTCCATTGGGTTGGATCAAGACAAAATATCGTGAAGCAAAAGAAACCGCAGATCAAAAACGGACCAAGTCACCTCCTGAGGACTATGGTCATCATGGTTTCCTACCACGACGAGGGAAGAGTATCGAAATCAAGAGAGGTTACGATGAAAGACAAGGTCAGAACCCGGACGACCCACACAACGTGCCCCTACCAATGTCTCCACCACCGGTACCCAGAACTCATGAAGAGAGTTCCAAGGCTACTTGAGTGGGAATGAATGTAACGCAGATGTGGATCACGATATGGAATATGTTGTCCATACGAATGAGGATGGAAGCGGAATTTTGGATGAACTTTCTTGATAATTCGATGTGGAGTATGTGGAAATAAGCCTATTTTTGAAAACGGTGTTAAGCTGAAGATGGATTGTCTCATGATTCCATAAGGGAAGGATTCTATCTCAGTTTTCGGAGGATTCTTGCTAGTGTCCGTGTTGAGGATGACGGGAGTTATACGGTGGTGTGCTTGCTCCACCATGGATATACCCCATTGCCCCGATGAATACAATATATATTGTAATGCTGGAAATCCGGCTTATCTACTTCAACAATTGGTTTAGTCTCTCGGGCGTGAACGGCACAGACAAAACTCTCAAATCAACATACAGACTAGGGTATTATGAACTTTTCTCCCAAAAAGTAACTACAGCGGATACCCAAGTGGCCATACCGTATAGCATAAAAGGTGACAAGTTGAATGTGTCATGGTCGCATTCGATGCTGTTCTTAACAGGACCTCCACCACCATATGCGAAATGTGAAGATTCACGAAACCAGTACTGGTTGTCAATGTGCCTTGACCAGCACGACATCTAATGACTCAAATTTAGTAGAGCAAAATAAATATGTTTGAATTAGCGAGTGGAAATTCGGCGTACAGTTTAGTGTACGATAGGCAGTCCTCGTCGCTATAAGTGGACGTTGGAGCCTGCAGGCTTTGTGATGCAACCAGAGATTTTTGTGCTTAGTTCTCACGATTCTGAAATCGATGTCCTGGTCACTAAAAGTTTGTGCTGGGCGTCGATTTTGGGGTCCAGCTGCGAGGTAAAACTTGTAACAGCGCACTCTCCACGTTTGAGGCAGGAGGGTTGGGAATGCAAAATCGAAATGTCACTGTCGGCAACGGCCGATACCTTTGTTGGTTCAATTCGTCTTCCTAACGTTCCTATCAAAGTCCATCCACGAGCTAATACATATATCGGAAGTCTGGGTTCAGGTCACCAAGCTCCGATTTCTCGTAGTCTGACAGGCCGACAGTCCTAACAGACTTGGCTTTCTTCTTGTTCTCCAGCTTGAGAGTGATGAAGTACACGATCGAGGTAAGTCCACTGAGTGCGGTGAAGGCAATGGCAATGGAGTATCCCTTCCTGTAGTACGGCGCGTCGGCATCCAAGAAGGCATACGTTGCAATGATACCTCCGATGTTACCAAAGCCGACCTGCCACGCCGTGCCGATGGATCGCCGATGGTGCCCGCCAAGGTTCATGTTGAACCAACATACGATGATGGGCATGGCGCCGTAGGTGCCCATCACCACGAGAAACAAGGCAGCGTACTCGAGGTTTACGTTGTTGTGTACAGAAATCAGTATCCCGAACCCGGTGATGGAGAGGAAGAGCGGGATTATGGCGAAGAGAGCTCGATGCCGGAACCAGTCCGAGAAGGCCGCGATGATCAACGAAAAGCAGAACGATGCGGCCCAGGGCGGCACGGATCGCAGCTGAGTGTTGATCGCGTCGTAGCCGTACGTCTTGATGATCTGCGGGGCGAAGAAGGCGTAGCCATACGCCGGGACGATCAGACCGAAATACATAAAACCTCCGAGCCAGACGCGGTAGTCCTTCATGACGGATGCGACGTCCCGGAAGCTGACTTTGCGCTCGGCGGCATTGCGGCCCTGGTCTGCTTGCAGGCGGGCTTTTACGTAGTCGCGCTCATCCTCCTTGAGCCAGTGAGCTTGTTCGGGGAATGAAGGGAAGAAGAAGAAGAAAATGAAGGCGACGACGACGGTCAGGCATCCTTCCAGGATGAAAATCCAGCGCCATCCATGATAGCCACGGATCCCATCCATCTTGCCAATCGCCGAGGCCAGAAGACCACCAAAGGCACCGGCCAAACTTGTCGACGAGAAGAACAGACTGTAACGCTTCTGGGCTTCTTCTCGCCTGTACCACATCCCAAGGAGATAGAAACAGCCCGGGAACATGCCGGTCTCGAACAGACCCAGGAAGAATCGTGTCGCCAACAGTCCAGAATAGCTTTGTACCAAACCCTGGCAAACCGAGACTATTCCAAAACCCATCATACAACCTGGTAGCGTGAATTTGGGGTTAGTAGGATCAGTATAGCAGGACGGAGGAGAACTTATCATATCTTAGGTGAAAGTCGTTTCAACAAAATATTGCTAGGAATTTCGAAGAACACATAAGGTATGAAGAACATCGTTAATGCTGTTGATTGATTAGCCAGGGCTGGCCTCGCAATTTGATTGCCGTGTAATACTAACCAGTGTTGTACTGTGTACCGGTAAGATCCAAGTCCGTCGCCAAAGAGAAGGACCTTGCGTTGGCGATGTTGACTCTGTCCAGAAACGCTAACAGGTACATGATGATGACGAAGGGCATCAGTCGCCAATCGATGCGAGACACAATCCTCCGCTCAGTGGTGTGCGGTGGACACGGCACATGAAGCTCATCGTACTGAATATGATCCGCTCCAGTCTCGATGTTTTCGTCGGAAAGATCAGCTGGCAGGAGTGTCAGCCTTGGTTTCTAGATGTCCGTATCCCAGAAGCGTTCACGAAGATATGCTATCAATTGCAACTGGCGCCCGTCGATATCCATATGAAATAGACAATATCGAAATCAATATACTGACATTTTTTCCCGGATCCAAACATGATGACGGTTGCTACCTCGGCGGCCTGCTGCACCATATAATGAAAATAGCACAAGCGAAGCGGCTGGGAGAACGGGTCATACACCGGGTGTAGGGCATCATTGACTTATTAAATAAAGCCAGCCACTTGGAGAATAGACGCACGTCCGGTTCGGCCACTGTAAGGGATGGTTTCCAGGGTGTGGGCCTCGGCATTATGGAGACGAAACTAATTAATGCTCGCTGACGGCTGGGCAGACTACTTGAACAACTAAACGTTAAGCTTTTAGTGGAACGGCACATAATTGCAGTCTGGTCTCACGTCAGGCTTTGGTCTTGTTACACCTCTTAACGCGTGCTATCACTTTCTCACTTTTGCAGTACAATCATACATTTGCAACGTGTCGCCTGCCTTCGGCATCTGTACTTTTCTGGGAGTTGCTTTCTTGCTTGGTAATCTTTCTTCTTCTTTGAGACCCTGGGGGATGACTGGTAGCAAGCCTGCCGATCTCGCGAATGATTTGCCCCAATAGTCATGGGCCTGTCACTCCGCTAGTCTAACAAAAGTCAACTTGCTACCCCATATCTACCATGGATATGGTGAATAAGCGACAGGTGTAGGCAGTATCGACGCATCCCGCTTGCGCCAGCCGGAGTAATACAGTACCCAGCATTCGACAAAGGTCCCCGTTTCGGTCCCCTCGAGCGCCTATATCGCTCCAAGTTGTGTGTCCATAATATTCCGAACCGGCGAGTTTTGCACGGATTGATCACTTGACTTATGGTACACTTATTGTGACAAGAGGCATAGGAAGCATCGCGTTGCTGCTGCATTGCCCATAACCACCCAATGTCCCAAATCTGACAAGTTCTAGTCCGCGCCTACTGATCCAAAGCGCCACGGCGGCTGGTACCTGCAAAGTCTTCGAGCCACATTTCTCATGGAGGCCAACATGATCCGACATGCGCCTCTGGCTCCGCCTTCGTCGTCGGCCGTAATCGAATTTTATTGAACGCCAATGTTGCCCCAATTCCGTACATACTGTAGGCAGGGCTTTTCAGCTAGAAGTCTCCATTCATCGGCGGCCGGCCAGTTCCTGTTCCCCGCCATCCCCAAATAAACCAGCAGAATGCGGGGAGAACGGGAATGGCGCTTCTAACCCCACAGCTCATGCCACTTGCCATTTCTAGCAGCCCGGCTATCAGTTTTGCTTTTACACTTGCGTAGGCCTTCCCATCGGCTACTTTTCAGATGAACAAACTTTTCGTCAGGTCTTGGCTTGTGACGCGTGTAGTGTATAGCTATGATTCGTAATCCGGCGGCTAAATCGAGGAATTCAAGTAGAGCAACTCCTGCAAGCCTCGTGTTTTATAAGTATCATGTTAGACCAATGGCAGTGGTCAGTTTACCTAGATTTTTGTTGTCATTGCGATATACAGCATCAGGAAAAGCCTGACCGTGATGGCAGCTTCAAAGAGAAGATGCAGATAAGATGATATCCGCTCACACTCTTCGATAATGGCAGTACTCTGATAGTGTTGCTGGCCATCTCTGGTTGGACCTCTACGATGCCTAGAAATATAAAATATAGCTAACTGTACTATATATCCTAATATGGACAGCAACGGTACCGAAAGCCGAGTTATACACGTGGTTTTTAGTTCGCATATTCAACGTGCGCTGGAAGCTCAAAGCCATCAGTAATGAGTAGTAGCCTTGCAACGTTACAACAATATGGCTCGTTGTAGAAGCCGGCCGAGCATCATCGCTACGTTTAAGTGGGCACGGCGCGATATCGCGTGCGTGGATACGGAATACACCAAAGCTCCCATTGTCTGTCCCACAAGGCTAGGTGCCGGGAGCCGAGTAATCTGAAAGTTCGAGAAGTCCTCAGCGAAGTATTCAAGCGTCGTGATGAGGAGTCTAAGAAACGGCAAGCAACATAAGTTGTCAGGTCAGCCAGCCGACTACACACCCCGGCGGGTGTTACTTGTGTTTCTAGACTAACCTAGTCAAGGTTGCGAAATGCCAAATTGTCCTGTGTTACCATCGCTTGGCTCGTCGCAATACGCTGCAAGCAAATGATACCCCGACTTCCGGTACCGAACCCCGAGTCAAAGTGTCTCCTCTCCACTTGTCTGAATCCTGCAGAATATTGTAGCTTCCCTTGCCATGATCTGATCATCGTGTTCATGGAAATAACAACCATGCCGATGTTGACTGCACACCTGAAGCCTCGTTATTTAGTACTTGCTGAGTAGTTCGCATGCTTACGACACATTTCGACTACTTGTATTGATCTATGCCGCGTCTCGAGTCGCGCGATTTGCTTGGCAACCTGGCGTAACCCACGACGTCATATGAAGCCCTGAGGCGTATGAATTGGTGAAGTGTTATGGGAGGCAATATGCTATGCAGCGTTCATGTCTATGTTTTGATCGACTGCCTAACCTAGTAATCTATAGCAGGCATTCCACTACCGGTTGAGGGTTTTTTCCGTTGATTTATTTCTTACTTACATACATGGTTCGTGTTTCATTAATCTCCGTTATCCTGAATATAAGCCCACCCAGTTCATACCCCACAAAACGGGGCTTGGACTACTCGCTCCATCGACCTTTTGTGTTCATTCCAACAAATTTCTTCTTGTCCCTTAGGGAATTGTCTAGATAAATGCATTGTACAGCACAGTTGTGACAGCCACAATAAATCAGTCGATTGCTTACAAGGCATCTTTCGGTCATAGCCGTATGCATGTGAACCTGCTAACCGTCAGCGGTTTAATTATCACCACCAAACGTTGTCGAATACCCTTGCCACAATCCTATCACTACCACGCTAGCAGATCTTGTGTAGTCCAGCTTTGCCAGGTTTATCTAAATACTATGAAGAAATATAGCCGCATGATTGGACGTGCCCCCACAAGTATCTAGCACGTCATTTACGACAACATCTCTCACCAGATTTTGGTGTGTCACTGGCGACTTAGTTAGAGCTTTCGCGAGTCTCTGACTGGTGTAAGAGCAAACTTGGCGTCTCCGTTTATCTCTAAAATCTGTTAGAATGGACTCACCATAATGAGTCTGCCGTCTCGCCGCGCAAGTGTGAATTGCGTGCTAGGAGGCTGAACAAAAAAAACCGCGAGCCTGGTCTTTAGAGTTCCCTGCAGGGTACGGCTAGACTGAACTATTTCTGTGGGATCACTCCGTACGTACCACAGAGACCACATTTGCCAGGTTCGCGGATGCACTCACCTGGTACGTCGTACGTCGATCTCGCCGCTAGCTCGAGATCCTTTTAAACTCGCTGCTCTCCCTGAGCGAGACAATTGCCTAGAGCCTGCTTTCCAACAATTTGTCTATCTGGCTTATCGATCTGTCTCGTTGAATTACTACGGACGTTGAATCTAATCGTCTCCCAACCATCTCCAAGTATCAAGTATTTTCTGTGGGCTTCTTGGTTGCTTGCGTGTGGTGCATCAGATCTGCTCGTTCACGATTATCATCGCTCTTTCTAAGATGGCTTTCGACAATGTCTCAGATCCCCCAAAGGGCATCGCTGATGAGCGAGGTACTGCCTATGGTGCCGAGCCTGGAATCCCGCGAGGTAGAGCGGCGTGGTTTGGTGGAAAGGATGTCAAAATCGGACCGCGCATTGCGCCCGTGATTGCCCCTGTCGGCACCATCAGTGCCTCAGGCTCGACTAGTGATCTCAGCAGCGCCGACGAGATTCTATTAAAGCAAAAGGAGGACGAGGCAGGCTCGGCGATTCAATATCGTACTTGTAGTTGGCAAAAGGTTTGTCTCCAATTAAACAAGCAATTCCAAGAGGCTGCCCAGACGGCAGCCAAGGTCGTGGCATAACGCTAAACTCCGGATTTACAGACAGCCGCCCTCTTGTTCTCCGAATACATTTGCTTGGTATGCAGAATCCCACATTCAGGCCTATTTGCGTCGCTCCATGTTTCCAATACCTGCCTGATGGATCATGACAACGCGTCGCAACCTTTGTGACGTAATCACTAATGCTGCTCAGGCTATCATGAGTTTTCCATGGTCGTATAGCGTTCTTGGCCTTGTACCTGGGTAAGAACTGGTCCTGTTGACTGACACCTCTGGCGACGCATCATACTGACTATTGATAGACTTATCCTCACTGTTGTTCAAGCATTAATCGTGCTGTACACGTACGTATCTTGGAATCCATCGTTTTGATAGTACTAACGGTGTGGGTTCAGCTCAATCATATTATGGGAGTTTTGCTTGAGACATCCCGAGGTCCGTGACGTATGCGATATTGGCCAAATGCTCTTCTGGAACAAGAAATGGGCATGGTGGGCGACTGCCGTCATGTTCATCTTGAACAACACTTTCATCCAGGTAGTCACTCCTATTGATATTCTTAGATTCTCAAAACTGACAACAAAATCCACAAGGGTCTACACGTTCTTGTTGGTGCCAAGTATATTAACACCATGATTGGCTCTGGCGATCCTGGTGTATCTTGCCAGACCGTGTCTTTCGGAATCATTGTGGCCCTCATCTCTTGGATCTGTTCTCTCCCGCGAACGTTCGATATGCTCTCGAAGCTGGGAACTGCATCGGCCTTTTTTACCTTCGTCTCGGTCCTGCTCGCGACCATTTTTGCCGCTATCCAGGTCCATCCGGCTAAGTGGACCGCAGAACTTGGCGACCCTGTGGTTACCGCGATCCCTCTTGCAGGAACTACTTTCGTCAACGGATTGAACGCATTCCTGAACATCAGCTATACCTTCATCGGCCAGATCACTCTCCCAAGTTTCATCGCCGAAATGAAGGAGCCCAAGGATTTCCCCAAGGCTTTGTGGGCTTGCACCATCCTCGAGATCTTGGTGTTTAGTGTTGTGGGAGCCGTTGTATATGCTTACGTCGGTAACCAATACATTACTGCACCGGCATTTGGATCCCTTGATGAATTATATAAAAAGGTTTGTATATCCCTGTGGCAAATACGAGAGTCTTTGTTGGTTACATCGAAAATTCTAACGTGGTATAGGTCTCTTTCTCTTTCATGATTCCGACACTTATCTTCCTTGGTGTCCTTTACGCTTCCGTTTCGGCACGTTTCATCTTCTTCCGCCTATTCCAGAACTCGCGCCACAAGAACGACCACACGCTTGTGGGATGGGCCAGCTGGGCTGGTATTCTACTAGCTACATGGATCATGGCCTTCATTATTGCCAACGTTATCCCGTTCTTCTCCTCGCTTTTGTCCCTCATGTCTTCGTTGTTTGACTCATTCTTCGGTTTCATCTTTTGGGGAGTTGCCTATTTCCGCATGCGAAAGGCGGACGGGTCTGTCGCACTGGTGAAGGATCGATCCATCCGTGGATGGTTCGAAGGTATACTAAACATCGTGAGTAACTCTTAAATCACTAGAATCATCTTAAGTTGAAACCAGCCACTTACAACGACAGATTATCATTGCCACTGGTGTATTTTTCCTCACAGCAGGAACATATGCATCAGTTGAAGGAATTATTCAAGAGTTCGAGGCCGGAACTGTCGGAAGTGTGTTCCAGTGCACGAGTAATGGTCTCTAAATTACTATATTATGTACAAGGATGGATAAGTATATGGAAAGATCACGTGCAGGGTGGTGAGGCGTCAAAACGGAAATACCCAAAGGAAACATGGGAGGAAAGAAGTGATATTCCATAATTGCACGGGCGCTCAGATGGTTTAAAATATTTGCCACATTACTATGGAGCATAGCAATGGAAGGGGAGGCTCATAGAGTGAGCTCTTCATTATTGACCGCCTAGCGATGCATCCAGTAGATGCTGCTCCTAGACTGCGTGGAGATGAAGCATCTCTGCGCCTGACTTACCACATTGCTTCACGTCCTGGATACAACGATATACTCAGGCTAATAACGTCTAGACTCATAAGATACTAGGTACCAACAGTAATCAACCCTCAAGCCCGAGTCAACAGCCACCCACAAGTTGGCACCGAAGACGAAGCAGGCTATTGTTTTTCAAGATAAGCCCAAAGTGTATCACATGCACGGGTTGCCCCAAAAAGAAATTCCCCAACAAGAATATGGATATTGCTATATGAGTGTTTCTGAGTTTATGTTGAGAAGTATGTAATCACAGTCCAGTTGATTCCAGGACCAGACGTATGAGTTCAGCCAAGGGTGACTTGGTCCACCGAGGTTCGTCAGACTCAATATATACTGCGTTTTCCCACTGAACCCTGGCCCACAACTACCGTCGTTCCAGCTTGGGGAATTTCAGCTCTCCACTGACCATGCCGCGCGCCAAGCATAGTCTCTCGTCACGGCATTTGGAGACAACTGGTTGAGGTCAAGCAGACTAGTTTTCTTGCAACAGCTTGCTATTGAGTTTTGGTACGTTGCGAAATAGTTGACAGTATCGTGGGAGAACTTTGCCGAATGAGGTGACATACGTCTGGAAAGTGCACACCTATCTCGGCAGCCCTATCCATTTCGTATTGCACGACTTCCTAGAAGGGGCATAGTGAATATGGCTGTACACGTCTTTTAGCTAATAATATCATGCTGGACACGATGTAAAAGAGAAGTTGGAACATCTCCTCCCGCGTATAGGTCGACCTCACCCAGCCCAGACAGAGTCGCTCCCTTATGTGCTGCGACAGCGGCACACACTGGTGGTTTGTGGGTGTTTGAAAAGTGACTTTACGCTTCTAACCACTATAAAATGATGCTACGGACGCTCTGGGAGCAAGTCCTCAAAAACCAAGAGACTAATGGATATTGTATAACTTCGGCGATATACATTCAGCGATTTAACGGTCAAGTATAGTTTCGCCTGCCACGTTTGACATACAGTGCTGGCTGGCCTTCGAATTATGTTTCGTTCATTCATAAAAGCGTAGGAAGAAGAGTATCGGAACATCCAATTCTCCCGTCGTTGTGATCTTTCGTCGGCAGCCCTGATGTTACTAACCCATAGCTTTCCTGTGGATTCTACGGAGAACCGGCGGGACCTGGAAAAGTACATGTAAACATCTGCCGGAATGGTTGAAAGAATCAACTGAGTAGTCTTCGCATATGCGCCGACTGAATATCGGCTCAGGTCCGGGAGCCTGTAGCCGTCGGAGTATACCCCGCAGAATGCTGCAGATGATCGGTGAGCCCCGCCCGAGGCCTTCAACTCCCCTTGACTCCCCATTCGTTCAGTAATTACCCCACTGAACTTCAATGCCACGTGGGATTGATGCAGCTCCTATACTGTGTAACTGTAGACTTTCCTTGTGTCTCACGTCAAAGCTCTAATACACTTCGCATGCGTCATTCTTACTGGTCTGCAGTCCTCAAATACCGAATTTCCGGGTCTACCGACGGAAGATGGCAGAAAAAGTCCCATAATCCCCACAACTCTTAAGCTCGAGGCAGTTTTAGATCCGGGAACTCGACGAAACGCCCCTCCCGAAGACATTTTGAGGCTGACCGGTTCCGAAAACGGAGGGGCGAATCGGTCGAGTGCCGAAGCATAAAATGAAGGCTCGGCGTTCCTATCTTGGCGCGATCATGTATTCGTATGCTAGTATCGAAACGTCCTTCCAAGTTTCTGTTCTCACCTTTCCTTATTCCTCCACCGATCTAGAGCAAAATGGTAGCCGCACAAGCTAAGGGGGCTGCAAGGCTTCGGGAGTTCCTCGCCAATCCAGACCAGATTGTGATTGCTCCGGGTGTTCATGATGGTCTCACTGCACGAATGGCACTGAGTGTCGGGTTTGACGCCCTTTACATGGTCAGTCTATAGATTCTGGACCACAAGTCCAGCGAAGCTAACATGCGAGTAGACCGGTGCCGGTACTGCAGTTTCGCGGCTCGGCCAACCGGACCTCGGCCTCACAACAGTCGACGACATGGCCACCAACGCCGGCATGATCGCCGGGCTGGACCGTGACGTGCCGGTCATCGCAGACGCAGACACGGGCTTTGGCGGACCCCTCATGGTGGCCCGCACGACGGAGAAGTACATCCTGCAGGGAGTTGCCGGATTCCATATCGAGGACCAGGTCACTACAAAGCGCTGCGGTCATCTGCTCGGGAAGGAGCTGGTTGACGTCGACACATACGCGGCAAGAATCAAGGCTGCTGCACATGTTCGTGAGCGGATGGGTCAGGATATCGTCATCATCGCACGGACGGACGCATTGCAATCGTACGGCTACGATGATGCCATCACGAGACTCAAGGCTGCTGTGGCTGCAGGTGCCGATGTTGCGTTCCTGGAGGGCATGACTAGCAAGGAGCAGATGTCGCAGGTCATCAAGGAGCTAGCACCTACGCCGTGCTTCTTGAATATGGTCGGTGGTGGCGTCACGCCGCTCATCAACGCGAGGGAGGCGAAGGAGCTTGGCTTCAAGATTGTTATCTGGCCCATGGTTGGTATGACTTCAGTGTATCTGGCGACAAGGGACATGTGCAAGGAATTGAAGGAGACTGGTGAGATCAAGGACCGACACGCGCCAGATGGAAAGATTGACGGAGGCGTACGGGATGTGTTTGAAATCTGCGGTCTGACGAAATGCAGCGAGTTTGATAAGATAGTGGGTGGTACGAGTTTTGCAAAGGGTGTATAAGCGATATTTGTTACAATTGAGATACCATAATAAAGTAAAACATTTGAAGGAAGCAAAGGTATTGGCACCTTTATGCATCCATACTTGGACCAAATCCCCTGTTTGCAGATCATGGTGAATGAAGGCCAAGCCTCAAGTCCGGCACTACATCGTCATGTTGGCTGACATCAGCACTTATGACTGGCAAGACTAAATGCCTCAATGCTCTTGCTGAACTTCCATCCTCCAGCTTGTTCAGTAGTGAGCGGATTTCGTCCAACTGAGGCAGCAAACCACCCGCCTCCCTACTATGCAAACTCTTGAGATCTCTAATTGAAAAGACTTGCTCTCTTTCCGGGAGGGGACGTTGCCTCTCAAACAGAAGAGTTTCTGCCGTTATTGCTGGCTCTTTCCAAACGCCACCGATTCGCTCGTTGCTGTACGCGACCAAGTTGTCCCGCCGCAGCACAACAACTTGGTCAACGACGAGGGCTGCGTCGACAAATTGTGCCGCTTCAACAAGTCCGTTGAGCGATTCATCGTGCACCCTCCTCGGCGTCAAACGAACCGGCAAACCTCGAGATCCTGCTTCCGGCAGGCGCTCGTAGAAGCGTGTCAGAATGCCGAGACGGCTCAGCGCCGCAGGGACGGCCATGATGGCCACTTCCACACGATATCTACCATGGTGAAACGCTTGTGCCAGGTCTGCGAAATCCTGTGGGTGTCTACAGGCAGACTCGACCAGAACGTCGATACGCCTTTCAATTGCATAAGCAGCTGCCATGGAAAGCCACCTGCGTGCGTCCGTGCCCGTCGCGGGGGACGCCAACGCAGGTCTTTCTGCAAGTAGGCGAGAGTATCCAGGGTGGTAGGTCTTGTATGTGTCGGCTATGAAGTGGGCTGGCTCGCCGCGTCGGGCTCGGATGACTTCCTTGATCGCGGGTGCCGTGAGAGTCTTCCCGGCGCCAGTCTGTCCAACCACAAAGACGGCGAGCGGTGTTTCTCGGCATATATGACTCGACCTCTGCTCCTCGAACCGTTTCAATTCTTCGGGGACAATCTGCTGCTCGAAGATCTTTGTAGAGTCGGTGTCATTGAGCGTGAAGATGCTGAGATCATTCCCAGCCATTGCAGTTGTCTCCAGAATCACACTCAGGTGATCACGCGCAGATACCAAAGAGTTTCGCACCCAAGTTTATTAGAAATAGCTACGTCGTATGAAGATTTGTAGTTGCAATGTCCACGGCGCTGATTGAGCGAATTTTGTGCTGCTATGATCGGACATGGTATCTGTATCGGAAGGTGAGATGAGGGGTGAAAATGACTAATTGAGATTGACTGATGTATTTGGATGTAACTTCAAACTGAACTGCCAATCGAGCCTTGTGATGAAATTCGCAACTTTGTTTCAAACTGGAGTATTAATCCTGGGCGTCAATTTCGCGAATAGACGGCATCAAACCTGCTGTAGCGTGTATGCTTGACATCATTATCTGGAAGTAAAGTGACAGTCAAACGGCTCTCCATGCACGCTCACACTTTTATCACGGAACAAAGAGTTTATATGACCCGCTAGTGTCTTGCAAAGAATGCTCATCGTTGAGAAACAAAGGGCATTGTGGTATGCTAGAACAAAGCTAATATTGATGTATATAAGGATTTCTTTTTCTCGCCTAGGAATATCGAAATGGCCATGTACACGCAGGAAAATATTTCACTCGAGAGGCACTCCACGACAACGAAAACTCGCAGAGCTCCACATCATTATGCCGAAATCACCCTCCCACAGCGTCTATCGGGCTATTTCAGCCTTCAAGGCGGCCCAGTGCGACCTCCTCGTCGGCTATATCCAGTATCCATGCAGGCACGAGTTCAACACCCTGCTGGACTACTCTCAGGGGCGCAAGGGCGAGCGGAACCATGACGAGCACCAGTGCCCAAAATGTGCCGAGAAAGGTACGTGCCTCATTTGTCTGCAGGCCTGGGATGCTGAGCAGACGGATAGCTGTCCGAGTTGTGATACGTTATTCGTGCGTGATTCGCTCTACGCACGTGTTGTAAAACTCCATGCGAACGGGTTGTCAATCAAGGATGATAAGCCTATACGCTTCAGGATGCAGATAAATGAACAGTTGCGACTTAGGTCGTCGCGCCTGCAGAGTACTCGCAGTCATGATTCGTAGGATGAAAACAGTTGTTCGCAGTAACCCATCACCGATGGTTGCTTGGTATTCATTATGAGCTTTTGAACCTTTCAATGCTGTCCATCGGCTCGGCTCTGTGAATTAAATACTGATATACAGCTTTGCCGGAAAGTACACTCTTTTCTTTGTACAGGAATACTCCACCCAGTTGCCCGTCTTATTATGCTCGTGTTTCATGTGAGTGATTTAGCTCGAATGTGTGCTCCGAAGCCCATGACAGCATCTCCTCCTGCAGGGGAAGTCTCTACCGTCCTCTTTGGTGTTCTCATTGGCGTAGGTCGACTCCGGGTCGGTGGACCTTGTGGTCGTGGTCCTACAACTTCTCCTCCCTTGGAGGCGGGGCATGAGAGCCAGAAACCTCCATAGGATTGTGCTTGTTCTGGCGGTGGCGCATGAATTCGCCCTTCTCTTCCAGAATATTGCCAAGAGACGTCGTACCCTGAGACCTCTATGGAAAATTGATTAGCATGTGGGTTTTAAGACTTCGTAGTTGATTGACTTCGTACAATACCTCCAACATCACTGATGACAGGCTTAGCCTTCTTGGAAATCTCCTCCTAGGGTAGTATCTGCGCCTAGTGGCGAGGTATAGTCGACTAAACGTTGTCGAGTATGAATATTCGGGAAAGCATGGTAACACGTGTTGTGGTGGTTGATGCTGGTGATGTTGGTGTTGTTGGCGAGTAAGGTTTAAAAGGACATGTTTGTTCCAATTAAGAGTTGCCCATCTTTGCATAAGCCAGTCTGTCTTTTCTGTGACGGACCGAGAATGTCTCATGCCATCGAACGGGTGCCTGTAATCAGGCATTTGATACACATTCAACCAGTTTTCACCTTAATCCAAGCCTTTCTACCTTTTAGACAGCCACTTATGTAGCAAAAAGTAATCAGACAATTTAAACATCACTTGAGATTTCCTTTTCAGATGGGACTATTCTGCAAATATTGACTAAGTGTTTTATCATGATGGCAGCATACCATGCGTCTCCCACTTCTTTCTAACTGCAAATCATCGTATCATGTATTGTTACTACTGAAGCTCCTCAACAGCCTCGTTTCCTGGATCGTTGTATTATTGAAGGATATAACACTCGTAACCAGGCACACTTTAGATCTGTTATCTCCCCGATGTGTGCTCATATCTTTTGACAACCAAATATGGGCATCTTCATCCGTGTTAGGTTCGCACCTCGAGTATTCTCGCCTTAAGTATTTGATACCACGAACAGGCGTGTAGTATACACAAGCCAAACTTGTTAATACCTACTATGTGGTGAAGTCGCAGTGAGGCTGAAGTAAGGGGTTGTATGGTGAAAAGATGGTCAAACGAACGCTCACTGCATAGTGAGAGTAAGTAGTTTCGTCAAGAGTAATCCACAAGCAGAAAATCGCCGTGCTCAGCTTTGATGCAGATTTTCTTGGTCGCTCGAACCTTTACCAAAAGTAGCTTTCCGTCGCTTGCCGTTTTTCGAGCTTGCCCCGACAGCACCTTTGGACAAGGGAAAGTATAACGAGACTTTCAGTGGGTCATCCTCTTCAAGATCTTCGAAAGATCGTTTCAAAAGGGGAGCGGAGCTGGAAAGAGCAGGATGAAATGATTGTAGCCATGCGGGTCGCCGCGGTTTCGAAAGATACGCCTCGTCAAGGACATTAGGCAGCATTTCAATAGGTGGTGTTGTGGTATGTGCAGGTTTCCAAAAGAAGTTACGTATCTCCCTCCAGCTCTCTTCGCGTCGCTTGTCTACGCAAATCCATTTGTGTTTTCGTGCTTGTGAAGCCGTCATTCGTGAGTTTGGGTCGACGGCGAGACACCGTCGTATGAAGTCTTGTCCTTTTGTGCTGATAGGTGTTTTCAAAGTGGGTGAGCCAAACAACTCCTGCAGTTTGCGATCGAGTTCTTTTTGAGACATGTCGCCGAGCTGGGTTTCTCTCGCTGCCGGTATCATTACAGTCAGCGTGGTCATGCCAATTGCGAAAATATCGACAGATTTCCCATGGGCCACGTTGCTGTTATGGTTGGCGCGCAGCTCACTAACGAGATTCTAGTAAGCAGGCAGAAGCTCGATGAAATGTAGAATGAGACTTACGGGGCTTGATACATGTCTGTTCCGACAACAGACGTCATGCGGCCCCATGTGGTTGCTTTGGAATGACCTAGATCACCAATAATTACTCGTGTTTTAATGCCGGGTCCACTGGCGAGCAAAATATTCTCCGGCTTGATATCTCTGTGGGCGAGGTCGCGTTTGTCGTGTAAGTAATAGACGCACTTGACGATCTGGTGTGCGACGAATTTGGCCTCCTTCTCGCTTAAAGGCTCAGAAGCCAGCTTGGAGAAGAGGTCACCTCCAGTGGCTAGTTCCGTGAATAAGTAGATGGTATGTACGGATCGAAACGCGTATTCAAAGCTGAGGAGACCAGGCTAAAACGGTGAGTACTATGGATGTAAAAATCTTGGGCTCATGGTATACCTGTCTGGTTTTGGCAAGAACATCAACCTCGCGAAGATGGTTCTGTTCTTCCCGAGCGCCAGCTGGGTCGAGATCCATAATCTTGCATGCAAGTTGTTTTCCACAATTCACATCAACTGCCAAGTGGATCGTTCCCTGGTTCCCATGACCAAGGATTTGATCAGTGATGATGTAGCGATTGCGGAATAGCTGCAAAATCGTGAATATCCCACTTCATTGTCAGAGGCAGAGACAAACCTTGGCTTCCTCATATTGAATATCCTTAAGTGGTGAACTCTTAGGATTAAACAATGATATCTCAAACTCCCAGTAAGGCTCGATTTTGATGATGTCGCCATCGCTTAGCAGGTGCCCTGGGCTCGGTTGGCGAGACTTTGAGCTTATGGACCGACCGTTGACGAAAATGCCATTCAAAGACTGGAGATCGCGTACGTAGACCATCGGCGATTGGTTGCTCCCTTCTTCAAAGACGACATTGTAGAGCTGAAAGTGCTTCCAGGATATCATAGGATGGTCCAGGCAGATGAGACTACCATATTCCAGCAGAGGCCTTAGAAAAATGCGAAGGACTGAACTCACTCAATGTTTTTTTCAGAGCTGCGGCCAACAGTGAACGATGTACTAGGAAATATGTCGAATACGTGCCCGAACGGAATGTTTACTCGTGTGTAACTATTGCCAGCCTTGCTCCAGTGATAGAAGTCTTCTCCTGAGTAGCATTCAAACCATCAGAAATAAACGCTGCATGAAAGCGACGATGTAAGATAATGGATACCACTTACCTGGCCGACCACAACCTGGTACTGAATTTCCAACTGTTCGGAATTGGATTTGTCCGAGAGGCTTTTCGGTAGATCCTTCGGCCATGCTTGTGGCGGTGTTCAGCATGGGTGAATTGTGAAGATATTCTTGGTATGGCAAATTGCACCAAGGAGCTCGATGTGGAATGATTGTAATAAAATAGATACCTCGAAATGTTGGCGAGTAATACTTGCGTGGCTTATGGGACACATCATCTACAGATATCTGTAACGATTTACCGCTCGGCCAAAATCAGCACACGACAGAAATGATCAATTGATTGTACAGCGACAGCGTCTCGAACATATGTAACAAGAGTTTCTTGAGGGCAGCTGTTGCCACGATGCCATAATGGCTGCCAGAAGGTTCAAAAATTACGAAACGGAAGTTACGACTGTCCTATGCAACCTAAGACCTGATGTCTTCTCTGCTTGTGCCAAACCCGGCATCAGAGGCCAGACTTAGCAGTACACTCGGATTAGAAGACAATATATAGGTTGGCAAAACTGTAGCAAGATCATAGTAGGCCATTGTTGAGGATACACGCTTTCTCCGAGCGAGTATAATCTCTACAGTAAATATACTATTTGCTACAGAGTATACGAACTTCCAGATGCGCGCAGTAGAGTGGTCTATTGTATCTGGCAGTCATGCATGGACATGGTCATGGACGAGACCGTCGGCCAAGTCAAGCCGAGTCCGCCGGAACCGACCATAATAGGAAGCTACCTCAGCTTAATCAATGGCCTACGTAGACTATGCAATGCACATGGAGTATACTAAACGCCAACGCACGGACCACATTTGTATGTTGTCACCGCCTAGTAGGGCAAATGCCCTGCGACCGAAATTCTGCCGCTGCGGGCAGCTCAATGGGTTTCATCATCAAAGTTCCAAGCTCAGAGCTCCCCCTCCTCACAACAATCTTCTTCACCATCAACCTCATCAAGAACATTTGGTAAGCTGCACCCGCACCGCCCGCACAAGCTATTCACCAAGTCGGCGAACGGCTTGTACGAGGCAATTGTCGCTTGCCACGAAGATGTGTAGCTTCCTCTTGGCCCAAAACACCTGACGGCCCATTTCGCAGTCGAGTGCTTTGGTCAATTGGAGCTCCATCCGGGCATTCCACCGTGGCAACAACTGCTAACATGTCTTCGCTCCGTAGGTCAAGATGAGAGCCAAGTGGAGAAAGAAGCGTGTTAGACGTCTCAAGCGTAAGAGAAGAAAGATGAGAGCTCGCAGGTAAGTTACTGCTCATTGGGGCGCTCCCAACAAGGTTGCTCGGAACGCGATTTCTGACTCTATTTCCCGTTCAGCAAGTAAACGCCTCGCCGTCACTCGATCTCGGTCGCCTTTGAGTGAGCACTTCGCAGTTTTCTCACAGCATCCGTCATGAAACGTCTCAGACCAACACCAGGAGATGTCGCCTATAGCTATCTTTCGACAAGGCATCTACGTCACACGACAAGGATGTCGGAATTGGGGGACCACGTTGAAGGGCACAGGCCCCTGGAATTGGCATGATTGGATTGGGCTCTATTGAAGGACAGACTGGACAAACTTTCATCGAGTGAAAGGAATGGAGGTGCCTACTTCTGCGCCGCCAATTTTTCGCAAGTAGCAATACTGCAAAGAAAGCATTGCAGATCGGAACCATAGGATGGGATTTGTTGCTGAGCAGTCAATTGACAATACCTGCTTCTGTGATGGTGTGTCTTGTCTCGTAATTTTGCACATTGCATGATGTGAACTCGTGATTGATCAGGGTCATCAGTCTGTGTGACTATGTGGTGCTGTGACTATGACGAAATTGTTGTGCCCCGCGATGAGCTGGGTGGCCCACCAGAGCTCGGTACATATTCGCACAGCATCCAGTCATCCACGCCACGGCTGAGAAGGCCACACGAGCAGATTGTGACGGCAATGGTTGCATGAATTGTGTGTGGGCCTATGAGAGTTGTTCCCAAGTCTTTTTCTCGCCATTCGGCATCACTTGTCGTGCAGATCTCCCAGGGTCTTTCTTTTGTTTGTTTGAGTTGATCCAAGTGAAGCTCTCCAGAGCTCTATTTTAGTGGGACTCTGCGCTCACCGCCCAGCACCCGCTAGCCTAGAAACCCTGCAGGCTGGCAGTAAAAAAAAGTTCAAGCGACAGCGACCTTGTCGATTGGTGACAGTTTCATGTGACAACGACTTGCAACTGACCATTTCTCTCGGACCTCACCTCACCAGCAACAACGGAAAAGAAAAAAATGGGAGCCGGCAGCGAGAAGAAGAGAAAGAGAGCCGAGGATGGCTCCTCAAAGGCGAGGAAGAAGGTCACCGTCCAAGCACCATTACAGCCTCAGTCCATAAAGGTCGCCTCGGTCACATCAGTGAGGACATGCCCACCGGTCATCGGTACGGAACTTCCTAGCCCACACTCTACGCCACACGTGTGCTCATATCTATAGCAACGGCCCCCGGTCTCGTTCTCCCCGAATCTGTACAGTTCCAAGCCTACTCAAAGCCCGAGGCTGCCGCGCCCAAGAAGTCCAAGAAGACAGCCCCCCCTCCAGCAAGTCTGGTGCTTCATTCCTCTTCGCATAGGACACTGGATTACACGGCCAAGGAGGATGGCCCGAGTGGTTGCGAAACACATCTCAAACACTACATCGGCGTCTTCGACCCCAAGACTGGCCAATTATCAGTCATGGAAGCCAAGAAGATGGCAGTGAGAGGTCTTGTCCGTGCCCAACAGGCGCCGGAGGACGACATTGCTGATAGAGCAGCGCCCAAGGTTCGTCTCGCTCTTGTGCTTTTTCCCTGCCTGGCTCGGAACTAACCAACATAGTCCATGATGGAGCTACGGAACGACCTGGGCGAAGCATTCGGAACGAAGAAGGCACGAAAGGCCATTGCTGCCATAACGGAAAACGCCATCGCGCCAGAAAAGGCCATCATGGATGTTGGCGGCAACCCGCGAAAGCTCGACTCCACAGCAAAGGCCATGCTGGAGTCCATCCACGAGTCCACCAAGGGAATGGCGACCAGGGAGGAGCTGCAAGCTGCTGTCGATCAGGCCAAGCCCGTACCGCCCGGAAACTTCAACGCGACCGAGATCCAAGACGTCTACAAGCCCGAGCAGATGATCGGCCGCGACACGCTGGAGTTGGTTGCCATCAAGGATTGGCAAGACTCGGCCAGGACGCAGGAGTCTATGCAGTTGCCCTACCAGTTCATTTCACAGAATATGTACGCCATCGCCGAGGGCCCGCAGCCGGTTCAGCGGCTCAGAGTACTGCGCTATCTCAGCTACCTGATCACCTTCGTCAAGAGCGCCAAGGAGAAGGGCAGGGGCGTCCTGAAAGTACCGCAGAAGCAAAAGTTGGAGGAGGCCATGCAGGCACCCTCGCCGGTCATCGAGAACATAAGGAGAAAGTTCTCGCTGAACGGCGAGATCAGAAAGTTCCACAAGGACCTGCTCATGACATACTGCTGCGCGCTCGCAGCAATCCTGATGAACTACGAGTTCGAGACGAGCGCCCTGAGACACGATCTGGGCCTAGACGAGAGGCAATTTGCACAGTACTGGAAGGAGATTGGCGGCAAGGTGGCAAATCCCGTTGGCAAAATCAAGGGCACGAGGATGCAGGTCGCAAAGCTCGCCCTGCCGCTCGAGTTTCCTCAAGTCAGAATGCCCCTGCGCCGAAGGTAACATGCCGGTCCGTAGGGAGGAGCATTTTGGGGGTTTGGGGGGGGGGGGGGGGGGGGGGGGGGGGGGAGTAGAGGAGTCACGTAAACTATTAGCATCACGCACGAGGAACTGCCCGAGTGTTCCTTGCAGCATCTGGCCGGATTGATATAGATCAAAGAGCATTGCTTTGTGCTCCCGCAAAAGCGTCGGGGACGAATGAAAGAACATTACAAGTACTCGTACCGTGTTAGTATTTTGTGCTGGTGTACTCGAGCCTCCTCGTCCTACACGGGGCGTCTCGTAGAGATAGCCGGCTCTTCACGTCCCCATGCCATCGTCCACGACATGACAGCATTCACCCCATAGTATTACACCCTCGTTTGCACCCGGGTCCTCGGTCCGGTCCAGGCGTAGGCTAGGAATACTGACTGGCGTTTCTGGTGTACCAAACAAAAATACGTTTGTTACGTGTGGCCGAGGTCCACTCCAACGGGCACATCTTTTCGATCTCTTCACGGAGAGCCAGATCACAGCGGTGAGCGGGCAAGACCTCACCATCAAGGGCAGAGGCACTATGGCCGGCAAAGTCATCGTCAAGCCGGGATCGGGGTACTTGGCATGCTTTATTTGTAGCGGGTCGGTACAACGCCGGGCACGTCCGGGGGGTGGCTCCGTCATATTACCTACGGATGAGGGCCATATCTCGGGCCTTGTTTGCAGTGTGTAGCTAGCTGTTCAGAAACTTCTAAACGATACCGGGCTGTAATTGGGAGAAAGGAAGGGCTCGGCTCCAAGCAAATGCATTGCGCATTGGTCAAGAGGAGCTGCGGCGAAACGTGTGATTATAAATTAAATTTCTTTTTACTCGGTTTCATTGCATGCATCAGTGCTTTATTTTGACCCCTCATCATTCGTATTTCTACAGCCCCAATACCCTACTTTCAAATGCCCGGCAGTCCAACGACTGTTCTCAACGCAGGAACCCAACGGGGGAGGTAATAGACGGGATATACACCGATCAAGGCAGTGAGAAACCCAGTAAGCTAGAGACTTTTGTCAGTATTCATGCACAAGAAATTCGTGGCCAAGGAGTACCTTACCTTCTCAAACCAAGTATGGAAGTAAATAGCCGTCATCAAGAGCATCCAGAGGGACAGTCCAATAATGACGAGCGCGAACTTGGTAGCAACTGCCAAGCTCTTCTCTTCCTTCGTAGGGCGCTCGCTCCCCTCGACCTCAACGCCGGCGCCCTTTACAGCACCATCGTTCATAACGACGCATCTCTCCTCCCTGTGGCCCCGGTAAGCACCAGACCTGACAATGACCCAGCCTACCTCCTGCAGCAAAAAAAAGCTGCCCAGGACGAGGAGGAAGACATGTCCGCTGATATCATGACCGCCGCTCCACCTGCCGCCAGACGCCTTGCACGCGACAGCTGTGAACACGTCGTTCTTGTCCGGGTTGCCCTCAAAGACAGCCGTCTCCGCCATCTCGCACTTGCCGCCCGTGAAGCGGAAACCCCTGTCAATGAGCGCAGGGCCGAAGCACCACTGCGTGACAAGCACCCACCAGGCGGTGATTGCGGCCCATCGGATGGTAGCCTTGATCTTCCGGGAAGTCGACCCCAGGGCGGGGTGGCTGAGGAGGAAGACAACAAAGGCGATAGTGATCCAAGCCCAGCCGCGCTTGACAAAGAGTATGTTGAACAGATTGTTCTTGCGAGCGAAGTAGGAAGGGGCGCTTGTTTGCACGTGAGATTGGCCCGTGAAGTCGTAGGGCGATGCGCGTATCTCGGGCGATATGACGCTGAAGATGGTGCCAAAAATCAGGAGAACCGGGTACAGGAGCAGGAGGAAGGATTCGAGAGGCGTAGGAAGGTGAGGTGGTGTTCGTGCCGTCGCGGCCGAGGTCGAGGAGGAGAAGGAGGATGAGGAGGAGGAGGAGGGGGCGCGAGGAGAGTCAGGACCATTGCTTGCGGCCGCCATCGTGTCGATGGGCCGCGACCTCAACGATCTTGTATTATTTGCCATGGGAAGTTGGGAGTATCATGCGACAGACAGCTGCCGTTGCCTTTGCTAGGTATGCAGACGTGGAATGGGGAAGAAAAAGAAAGTAGCCTGAGCTAGCCCTCGCTGACCAAAAGGCCACTTTATCTACAGAGACGAAATAGCTGCGTCAGTGTTAGAGAAAGCAAATCGACGAAGCTCGCCAAGCTTCTGGTTGAATTTCGTTCAATCGCTTGATGACGTTGGAGGCAGTCACTAGGCAGGCTAGGTTCACTAATTGCAGCCGCCCCCCCGAACGAACCCCTGCCGGCCCCTGCCCTCCCCCCACCACATGTCACATGGGAGTTTTGCGCATTGCCGACAATTGCTCAAACTCTGTTGCTGTGATAGCAGCTCACGAGCTGGGTTCCAAGATAGCTTCCTTTGTCAATTAAGAGTGCGTATCCAAGGAAGAACATATTACTTTTAAACGTTCTCATGTCGATTTTTTCATGTATGGAAAACACAGGAAAGTACAGGAAAACACGGGCGACTTCACCATCTCAAACACGGTTCGTAGTTAAGGATTTAGCTTCGTATTAATACTAGCTATTCACCGTGACTCTGTCTGGTGCATCCGTATCGTTGTCATGCCTAGAGCAGACCGGGTATATTTATGCAAGTCAACTACCTTCCCTCCATGGTCTTTTTGTGTGTACAACCGAAAACGCCTCCGCCAGACCACAGCCTTGGTCATAAATGCGAGATCCTCCCTGTTCCTATCTCGTCTCGTCAAATCAAAGAAGAAAAAAGAAAAGAAAAAGTGTTTGTCCAAATGCCCTCAGGGCCTGTGTAGAAGTGAAGTACAAGAAAGTCAATGTGCCGGAAAATGGCTCTAGAGACTGGATATGTTCAGAAGTGAAGAGAACAGGTTGGGCTGGTCGCTATCATGACAAACTGCACGCTGAAATTTGCGTCGTTGTCACCGTGGCTGTCTTCGTGCTGGTCAAAGGGACCGCCGCCGGACTGCCTTGTTCAGCTGGTGTTTGTGCTGCCGTAGCCTATGAGGCAGTGCAAAGACCCTGTTGGGTTACTGTTGCAGTCACCGTCACCGTCACTTGGTTCGGCTGCTCGCTGTTGGTTCCAGAGCCTGCACCAGCTTCGCCCGTGGGGATGGGGATGCTGGATGTAATGGGAATAGTGGTGGCACTGTCGTTCTCCGACGGAGAGCTGCTTGAGCCGCTACCAGATCCAGTACCCGAGCCACTACCCGAATCGGTACCTGAGCCGCTACCTTGGGAGGGAGCTGTGGTGGCAGTGGCAACAGGCACAGCAGAGGTGGAAGTAGCACCAGCTTCAGCACCTGAGCTCTGAGAACCAGAGCCGGAACCTGATCCATAGCCCCCTCCGGCCCCGGATCCAGACCCAGATGCCTGAGTTGCGGTTGCTGTCGCTGAAGAAGCAGCGTTGGCGGAAGTGGCTGTGCTATCAGCAGTGCTTGAAGCCTTTTCCGTCGTGCTAGCGGCCGTTCTGCTGGATGTGGCGGAACCTGAAGCCGAGGATGACGAAGCGCTGCCGCCTGAGCTGCTGCCGCCATCGGTGGGGCCTGAGTCGCTCTCGAACATGGCAATAGCTGCGCAGAAGTTATTTCGGTTGTCCTTGTCAACTGCCATGACCTTGCCATCAAGCGTGAGCATGTTGACGGAGGCCTTGGTGCTGATACCGAACATGTGGACGCTTGAGTCTTCAATACTGATCATGTTTTGTTGGCAGCTCTCAGTTTCGAGACAATCCTGAGCGTAGTTATCAAAAAACCTGTTCGAATTAACGTTAGCATATATTCTTCAAGCGGAAGGAACAAGGTGTTTGGGTGTACTTACGAGTAAAGGCCGCCTCCAAAGACGTAGACATCAGAGGAGTTCATGACACGGAGACCCCAAGTTCGAGCACAGGAAGAAGAGCTGTCACCGGCACAGCTTGTCTTGAAATCAGGGTCAAAGAATCCTTCATTGACAGTGAAGGGAGTAGTGGCATCCGGGTTGCCTTGCATGTATGCTGTCTCAGTCTGAATAACGGACATCCAAACATTGCGGGCGTTTGTGATTTGGTAGTTGTAAAGCTGACTGTGCTCAGATGCAGTACCCCAGAACCAAACCGGGTTTTGAGATTCGATCAGCACGCCGCGGCCGTTGTAGATGTCAATCTGGTTGTGATCCGTGATGTCAAGCTCGTGGTCAGCAACCCAGAACCAACAGTTCTCGACGTAGACGGAAGCAGTCTGCGTGGCATGGAACAGCATGAAAGCACCAACGCACTCGGTATTTGCTTCGTGTGTAGCATTAGGGTTCTTGCTGCACTTGTCAGACTGGAGTTCAGTGCCAGATGTACCACCAATGCGGAAGTGGACATCCCAGAGACCAGCAGTTCCAGCAGAAGATCCAGCAAGATTCCATTGCATCATAATAGCTCCAGGTGCGGATCCCTTTGTCTCGATGACCAAGTCGGAGAACTCTACATCACCGACATCACCAGCTTCACCGACCTGGAAAACAGGCTTGGGGTTAGCTTCATCGTTGAACTTGGTACCATCAGCCATCAAGAGGGGCCACATCTCTCCAACGACCTTGATCTTCTTGTCGGCAGGAACCTTGATCGTGTCGGAGATGAGGTATGCGCCGTGGTCAAAGAAGATGACCTGGCCCTCAGTGGCTTTGTCAAAGAGTGCTTGGACGGCGGCAGTGTCATCAGTAGACCCATCGCCCTTGCAACCAGACGACTTGGCGCTGACAAAGCTACTCTTGTCGAGACTCTCATATTGGGGCTTGGTTCGGGTGAAGACTTTGCCGTTGCTCATCAAACCCTCAGGCTTGGTGATGCCATTTTGCGTTGCTTGAATAGCTTTGCCGGAGCTGCCGTCATAGGAACGACCTTGAGCGAAGCTAGCGATCTTTTGGTTGCCAGCTAACACAGTGCTGTTATCAACTGCATACTGAATGGCAATAGGGACGCTACTGCTCATGTCGACGTTGTCGAGAATGAGGGTGCCATTTGTCATGGTGTTGTCAATCTGGTAGGTGGTGCTAATGCCGACCTCGGTATTCGAAATGATGCTATCGAGGAGCAGGAACGAGCCAGCCTGAATGAAACCAGCTGCAATACCAGAAGTCATGTCAATACCAGTCTTGGCATCATTGATCGTGATGTCTTGCATGGTCCAGAGCCAGCACCAGTTTAGGTAGATCGCCGTGTTGCAGCCGTTGAAGGTCATGTTGCGAGTAGTGAACTGCTGATTGCCAATGAACATACCCTGGCCACCACCATTGAAGACAAGATCCGCCATGAACCCACCCGATCCATTGTCCATGAAAATACCTTGTTGTTTGTTGGCACTGGTTTTGTCCGGGTTCATGTTGAAGACGATGTTTTGTAGACTGGTAGCCTGAGCGACCTGCCAATGAATGCATGCGCCTGTGCTGGGTGCGAGATCGGTGATGTCGATGACGAAGTTGCGGACTTGACGAAAGAAGTTGTTCTGGTTGACATACCAGTTGGCGCCATTCTCGTAGGGGTCGGAATCGATGACAGCCATGCCCACAAAGTCCGACGTGGCCTTGATGGTTGGCGGCGTGACAGCATCACCAACAAACTGAGTATAGTAGGTCTGAACGAGAGGCTTGCTGACTTTGTAGGTACCGGGAGGGAAATAAACTAGGGCAGGTTTGGCAGTCTGAGAGTCACAACCTTTCATACACCGGGTGCCATCTTGAACGGCTGCATTGATGGCATCTGTATCGTCGGCGGATCCATCGCCTTTGGCGCCGTAGTCTAAAACGTTGCGAAAGACCTTGTAACTACTGTCCTCAGCAAAGACGGCACTCTCCTGGCCTGACATATTCGGCAGCCAGTAGGAACTGGATGCTCGAGCCTCTATTTCATGAACACTGCTTGTCGGAACAGCTGCTCCAGGAGCAACAAACCGCATAGCCAGAAGTGTGGCCGTAAAGAGCTTGGAAAGCCCCATCTTGACGGTAAAGCCTGCTATCGTAGATGGGCTCTCAAGGGTTCTTAGCGGAAAAGAGTGGCTGTGTTTGATCGAACTACAGATATGGTAAGTACGTGTGTCCACCAGGGAAAAATCGTTCACATAAAATGAGTGTTTGTTCAGGAGTCTGAAGTTGGTAGAATATCGAAATCCAAAAGTAAAGGTAAATTCTTTTACTTTTTTTTTTTTTTTTTGGCTGGGAAAGGATGGATGTGTAGATCTGTGCCTGGTCTAATTATAGAGAATTTTGGGACAATGAATGTACGCCTTGACTCGAATGATTTGAATCACCCGCTGCGTAGAAAGAATGGCGAACAATGGGGTGCAGATGCACGAGGCGGCCGGGCCATCAGATGTCGACAGTGAATCAATGCCGCGTGGTTGTTGTGACAGGTATCAGGTGTCCCAGAAGGAAGAATAAGGCGACAATGGCATTCATTGGGGGCGAAACAACGGCACTGACAGACAAAATCAAACTTACTATAGAAGAAGCTTGGTGTGTGATATGAAATCAGGCACACACAGTATTGTCAATGAAAGGAGCTTCCTCAAATCAAAGGTCGGCTAAAGTTGGTTTCTTTCTTCCAGAGAAAAAACAAAAAGGGTAGGGGAAGAAGAAAAAAGAATGTACTTTGGTGAATGAATGGCCTCAATGGAAGAGGAGATCCAGAGGTTATGAACCAAAATGAATGCGTCCAGACGTGTAGAGAAAGAAAAATAGGAATGACCAGGTCAAGTGATGTTGTGGCGATGAGGTAGAAGGTAGACGAGGAGCGGGCCGCAGTAGTAGGAAATAGGCGGATGGGGTGTGCAGTTTTTAATAGCAATAGCAATAGCCAAGCAACCCACGTTGTTTCCTATTTGGATTTGATCTACCTATCATTCGGGATCTTTCCCCGTTAGTATTTAATACCGAATTATTTTATCCAGAGCTACAACTAGCCTTCCTCAAAAATTGTCCGATCGCATGCCAGCCATTGGTAGTGACAAGGCACAACCGGCGCTACTACTACGCTGCACAAAGTACTATGTAGACCCCTTGCTAGGCTAATATTCTGGACCACTTCCTAAAATGGTGTTTCTGTTCGCTATGCAACCTCCTGTAATACTTTAATTGAGGAAACATCCCATGTATGTGGGGAACAACCACGAGCTGCCATGCCCTGCCATTTCAATGCCATGCGCTTGGTGACGCGTACTTGTACAAGCCTCCCGATTTGCTGCGGTTGCAATCTCTGAGACAATCTTCTAGTGCTCCGTACTTGTACCCATTCCTGCTCTGCAATGGAGTCCAAGAAGATCTAGAGATCAATGCCAACCTTGCCCTGATCCATCGGCAGTGGACTACCAATGGAGCGTCCATCAATTGGGTAGCAGAGCCCAAGAGCCAAACGCCAGAAGAAGAGGTGAACACAAAAGCAAGATTATCCATGCCCGGACCCTTAAAGCATCAACTAAGGGACTACAACATCAGATGAAAGGCAATCTGGGCCCATTGACTGGCTGACTGATGTTGGGCAAAGGCAACTTGAGGGCCACCTCTTCGGTTGTAAGGTTGATTCATATCAAATGCAGTTGCCGAGCGTTGCACAGCGCTATGCTTATGAGAAATCTGAGGAGGTGCAATGCCCGCTGGGCTGATGCGTGTTCTGTTTCTGCATCTCACCACTGCCCATTGCAGAACCGGACAGAGACGACAAATATGTCCCTAAACTATCTTCATAAGTCCCCGGAGTTTCGATGGGTCTCACAAACAAGAAGCCGGAGCGGTCCCTCTTTAGATTGGGAAGGACAGAGCGCTTAGACTAGCTCACACTCTGTGCAATGTAAACACTTGCCACAATCAACAACTCAGTTTTCGTGATGCTCGCCTGAAGCAGTCGTTCGCAGTCAATGCCGGTGAGAGAAAGGCGAGAAAGGCCGCTATCGATCGAATGGAGAAACACTAGCCTGAGCATTGGCGCGTTGCCTGATGGCGAAGATGAGATTTGACAGGTCGGCAACAGAGCAGACTAAAGCCCCCCCTGTGCCCCTTGTGCCTGGTGTTTCAGATGTGGGGGATCTGCCCAGCTCCAAAGCCATCTGCAGGTTTGCCGATGTTCCTGCACCTGCTGGGGCTGGGCCGATTGGCTGAGAATAGCCAAAAACTCTGAGCGGAATGGTACCTAAAGAAAGCTGCGCCCAGCCCCAGCTTGCTATGTACTATGTATTCCTGTTTCAACTCGGAGCATTCCAACACCTGCAATTTTGCTTGAAAGATGGCTTGTTGGACAGGAACGTCTCTCCGCCGTCGTCCTTACCTCAGGAATGGCCCAACGGAGTGTGGCGCATATGTCTCTGGCTTGTAAACCCGTGACATTTGAAGAAAACCGTCCCAATCATCACGCTTGCGTTGTCGCTTAGTGTGATCCTTACCATATTTCTCACTTACAGTGGCATCGCTACCATATGGAATCGATATTTTCATTGCAAACCTGACAAACATGTGACGTGACCCCAGCTTTTTACGGATATTCATGAGCCAGTCACGGACGGAAGCGAATCATATTCAGCGGATGTTACTATGTACGCGACAGACACGGGATGAATTGCTTGTGTATTTGATTACTTGATTAAACTAACTCGATAACGTAGTGCTAAAAGTCTCCCAGAACTCTTTTGCGATTTTCTGCCGCTTGCTTCGATGCTCTGATCAAAGGAGCAATACCTTCCCAGCCATGAGGCACACCTGGGTATAAATGAAACTCAACACTGTTGTTGGCCGCTGTCAATTTCCTCACAAATTCGACACATTCCGAAGCAAACAGGTCAAATCCGCCAATATCAACGTAGGTTGGCGGGAGCCCTTCCAGGTTCTCAGCCCTACCGGGTGACATGTAGATAGAAACATCGTCTCGTTCGTCTCTTTCCCGACCACCAAGGTACGCCTTCCAGCCCAATTTGTTGAGCGAATCCGACGGACCCACGTACTTGGTAAGAACGTTCTCGGGGTCTAGAGATGTTCTGTCGTCAAGCATGGGATATATGATGACTAGCCGAGCAAGTGGAGGGCTCAGTCCCTTGTCGCGAGCGAAAAGTGACGCCCCTACCGCCACGCCGCCACCCGCACTGGCACCGAATAGTGCAATTCTGGCTGGGTCAATGTTGAACTCATCTGCACGGTTCTGAAGCCATTTGACGACGGCATAGGTGTCCTCAACGCCCGCTGGTGCCGGATCTTCAGGTCCTAAACGGTAGTCGACTCCAAAAATCTGGATGTTGTAATTATGGGCATAGTTCAGGACCAGTGGCTTAAATAGCTCAACGCTGCCCATGACCATCCATCCGCCATGGAGATAGATCACAGCCCGTTGAGGCTTTGTGACATCTTTCAGAGCTGAGGGCACAAAGCGAGTCACCGGGATTTTGAAGCCGTCAAGAGATTCCACTTCATAGCTTGTCTCAGCAACACCAGCTGGCCGAGGCACCTGTTTGAACAGCTCGCCTAGAGTCTTTTCGGTTGCAGTTCGCGCGGCAACCGGATCGTCAAATGTTGGCACCGGGTATCCAGCCATGGGCTCGAACACTTGCCAGAATTCTGGGTCGTATCTGAGGTTCTCCATCTTGAACAAAGTAATGCAGTCGAATTCCTCTTGGTTTGGTATGGTTGAAAACTGACGCTTTGGAGCGAACTAGTAATGATTTTGAGTTATGTAGGCGTTGGCAGAATAATTTGATAATATCCAAGAAACACTTGAGCCTTTATATACGTCTGCGCGTATCACGTTCCGTTGCATTTGTAACATTAAGTATTTCGGAGAGGTCGACAATCCACAACTATCGACATCCTATGGTTTAGTCAGAGTCATCCCGGCATAATACCATACCATATCTCCGGCGTGTATTCCGGACACAAACGAGTGTAGGAAGCAAGGTCTCGCGAGTCCTTCTGGGGTATCAACGAGCCGAGCAAGCCTTGTATTGATGACTTAACATATCGTCCTCATTTTCATGTGGTATTTCTCAGCCTCGCAATCAGATTAGGTACAGTTGCTAGACCAGGCTTGCAACGAGGAGCTAGAACATTTAGTAAGCTCATCAATTGCGACCGGGTGCAAGCTGACAAACACCATGCTATGACGGGGATAAGTTTAGCGCGAGACGGCGAGGAGTATTCAACACGCCATTTTCAATTGATCAATTTCAAAGCGCAACCCTATCATCGTTTCTCCAGGTAATACCGCATGCACATCAAAACTTATCATCATATACTTTAGCGCGCTTTAGACCTTGGAATAATCTTCAAGAGATTCTCAATGGCTTAGTATTGGGCTCACTTCTTAACAAGCTGAGCACGAACCCGCCATCTTGGGAGCTAGCATGATGCAGCAATAGAGATTTCGTAGTTGGCTACTGTAGAACCCTGCGACGTAATGCTCTGACGATCGAGAGCAGCAATCCTCCTTCGAACGAAGGTTCTGAGAAACTGCAAAGTATCATCACGGCACAGAGCGCATGGACCTCGTGCTGCTTCCTGCAGTTGAGGATCACAAACCACCGTTCAGGCATTACAATCCCGATCCTCTGGGCTACGCCATCCTGTGATTAGCCATCGAACGCATCCTGCGAGCTTCTGAGAAACCTTTTGCTAGACTAGGTGGGCAAGCCAGGCAGCCAGGAACCAGGCCTTGCACGTCTTATGCGGGTAGGCGGCTGCCATATGTGGCCTAACCGCGGCCATCCCAGCATTCATCCGAAGTTCTACAAAGAGCTCGACCTCTCTTCACAAGATGAGGACAATGCAGGAAGTTTAGCGAATTGTCTGGTGCGGCCTCGAACCACGTTGCATGAATGAAAATGGTGTGTGCATGCCGCTCAGTGTTTCGAAACAAATCCAGGGGCGTCCCTTGTACCTGTTCGTCTCATCCACCGAAAGAAACACGGGGGTGGGCCAGATGATTGGTTGCCCGCATCGGCCGTGCTCTCGGCGTCGGGCGGGTATATTCTGTCGATCTCTGGCGAGATTTGATGGGCGCCGCCTGCTATTATAGCAGTAGCTCTCTGCTAGGTTAGCAATCTTGAAACATTCGTCCTAGGCTTTGGTGTACTGGAGCGTTAAGGATATTGATCACTAAGTGGTTGTGGCGATAGCAACATTACCCTTAGATATAAATAGGTATTGGCGGCACTTGTTGGAATGATTTAACTTCACAACCGAAAGCTATACCTTCAAGCTGATTTTGGCCACATGTGTGCTGATCGACAATGCAAGCTGATAGTTCTTGAGGTGATGCCGTCACAGAGCCAATCTTACTCTTGTATTATTATTTTGAGCGAAACATTGACCCATTTGCATATGTTTGCAGAGCTACCACATTGTCGAGTAAGTTTGTGTGCATTGCGTCGGTCGAGCAACTCGCTATGGAGCGAACAAGCATTTCTGTCACCCATCATGATGAAAGACATGGTTTTTGTTGTTGACGGTTTTACTCTTTTTGGAGGCATTATTGTTACATTAGGCGTCACTAAGCATTCCACCTATTGCAATCCGTAGCTAGCACTTTCCCTCTCTGCTCTTCATCAGCGGCTGAATCTTCTCGCCGAAATTATCTAAGCCAACCAGGAAATCATCAAAAGTCAACATGATACCCTTGGTGCCTGGTACCGACGCAGCCTCGTCCAGTAACCTTGCCACTGTCTCGTATGACCCGACCAGGGTTCCCATGTTGAGATTGACTGCACCTTCTGGCAAGGCGATGTTTTTGGCGGTAGAATTGGCATCCGCTTTGGTATCCTTGGAACTTTCCTTGCTCATCCACGATAGAGCGTCATGGTCAACACCGTCGTTGTACAACTTCCACTTCGCCTGAGCCTTTTCGTCCGTCTCATCGGCGATGACCATGAAGAGGACATAAGAGCCAACGTCGCGCCCGGTCTTCTCGGAGGCCTCGACGAGACGACTGGTGGCGTCCTTGTATGCTGTAGGTGTGTTGATGCCAGTGCCCATGGCGAAATTGAAGTCTGCGTAGTTTGACGCAAACTCAACGCCTCGAGCAGACTGGCCAGCAGCGACAATCTTGATGTCGTGTGCGGGCTTGGGCGACATTTTGCAGTCTTCCATCTTGAAGTGTTTTCCCTTGAAGTTGGATACCCCGTCTTCCCACAAATCCTTCAGCACCTGCACATACTCAGTCGCATAGTCATATCGGTATCCGAAGTAAGCATCGCCTGGCCATAGGTCCATTTGTGCGTATTCAGCGCTCTGCCAACCAGTGACAATGTTGATACCGAAGCGCCCGGGGGCTACCGAGTCAATCGTGGAGGCCATACGAGCAACCAGCGCCGGTGGTAGGGTCAAGATGGCCGTTGAAGCAAAGAGCTTGATCTTGGAGGTGACGGCGGCAAGTGCCGACATCAGAGTGAACGACTCCAGGTTATGGTCCCAGAACTCGGACTTACCCCCAAACCCTCGAAGCTTGATCATGGAGAGGGCGAAGTCAAAATTGTACTTCTCTGCTTTAGAAACTATCTGCTTGTTCAGCTCGAAGCTGGGCATATATTGAGGGGACGTGGTCGAGATAAGCCAGCCATTGTTGCCGATGGGGATAAATACACCAATATCGATAGGTGCCATATTTGCTGACTTGGAGAGTATTGGCGGTCAAATACAGGTGAATGGGCTGAACGCTAAGATGAGACAAATACTCGTGGAACAAGCACCTCTGTTGGTGTATTTTATATGTATAGTCTCTATACAATCTCCTAGATCGGTGCATGATCGAGGGGAAAGTTTCATGGTTATCTTCGGTAGCCTCCTGGAAACATCTGACCATCAATTGGTCGACCTCCGCAGCCATTATTAGATAAGGTGCCATATCAGCCGTGCGACATTCATGATATGCCAACGTCCAACGTGATCGAGAGCTATCGGTTGGGTTTCGGAATCGCACATCCGATGAAAAGCTTCTGGCAGCTGCCAATAATCGTCTCGGAGCAGTACCGACGCCTGGAGACGCTAAAGAACACAGAAGGGGTCATTGGTACCGAAACCCTGGGAATAACCTCAAACTTCACGAGAGTTGGCAATGCTGACCTGCATGTTCATAATAAACAAGTACTCCGTTAATTAGTATTTGTCGTAATAGTAAGCATAATGGCTCTGACAACAGCAGAAACTCACTCGTAGTTTGCGCATTCCCGATTTTGACTCCGCAAGCGTAGCATTTGTAGTGGCATGCATTGCTTCGGTGCATACCGCTAAGTTGATCCCAGATTGGAAGTACTGTGAGACTGTAGCATCGACAGGTCAATGAGGAGTAATGCTATCTGCTTGAATATATGTATACATATATTTCAGCCTGCGGACGAAGGGAAGACCTGGGAATGCGTTCGATGATTTTCGAGGCTCAAGTTCGTCTCTAACTTCGCAGTTACATCGAGTCACAGGGATTCTAAAGCAGCAGAGTATAGTGCTAGACCAGGCTGTGGCCACATGCAGCACTTTGTTATACCGCGACATCACCGTCATGAAGCTATCAGGATGCACAAGACATAATGTCATCTTCCCGTTAGGACTCCTTTAATTCTTAACTTTGATGTCCTTCCCTCAAGTCTAGGATCTCTTCGAATTCTAGGTCGATATCATCTTCAGGAACTGATATCCTAGACACGGCTCGTGCCATGAACAAACGCAACGCACAGCGTCTTGATAGCAATGACACAAGTCATCTTGATCAAAACCCCAGTACCGAAGACGATATCATCTGGTCCCAGACGCCCGGTGTTAGGGGTCTGAAGAACGCGGAAGGCCAGCCGCGCCACCTTATCGGCTCCCAATGCTCGTGGGGTCCCATCCGTATAACCGGAGAGTTTTAGCGGACAATGCCTTGTGCGCCAGTTGTGATATTAAAAGATCCAAGTATCGGAAAGTTGGGGTGTCAGATGCGCCGCAGTGTCTATGGCACAATATCCAGGGTCCGATATAGACTTGACTAGGCTTAACCATCCTTGGACCAGAGGCTCAACTTTTACATTCCAGCACATAAGCTTGAGTCATTTAGGACAGTGGGTACATCTTGCGCGCGACAAAGATGGATGAGTTGGACAACATGGCATCGGTTCGCGCGGGCGTATTAAACTGTTTGGAGAGTAACTCCTAGACTGGGCGGAAGAACCTGCCTGTGTGCTGTAACTAGAGACGCAAGGAGGACGGAATGGCGGCCTGGGAGCACAACGCTAAGAAGGTACAGGAAAAAAGGAGTGACCATGAGCGTGGCATTAAAGCGGCGCATAGGAAGTTGTATGACAAGGCGAGCTACCAAATCCCGACCACAGTGAAGACAAGGATTGGAGATTATTCGTTCAAGAGTGTCAATTAATACAAACTCAAACTGCGTGACCTAATATAGCGCCTGCGATATTTGTTTGACCAAGAATTTAGTCTGGTCAAGTTAATCCATCGTCAGATCGGCCAAGTGCTCCTGGCTCTATCTTGGACAGTGCAACTTCTTGTTGCAGTATGATACTGTAGCCAGAGATCCAGCTGTCCTTGGACTGCTCGCAACGAGCCGCTGATGTAGCCTTTGCCCAAGGAGTCCATCGCAATGTTTCTATCAGTCCTCTTAGGGACTGGCGTGAGTTACGTAGCTGAAGTATTGAATGCCCAACATGTGTCTAAAGTGTGCACTCTTGAGCCAGATCACATGGTTTTTTGGATGACTTTCGCTTTAACTCAGAGACTCAACTTTTTCGCCTCTGAGTAACTAGCTCGGGTTCTGCAGCCTCTTCTCATTGTTTCTCCAAGTTTATACTGAACTGCTGTTCTGTACACTTGTATGACGTATTCCGCTAAGCATTGGGGGTCTTTTGCGCTTATTTTGAAGGGCACATACTGATGAGGAACTGAGCTCGATGTGATTTGGATCACATGTGTTTTCGATTCGTGAAGGCTCTTGAGCGAGTAGCTCTTCATAAGCATCTTCGCACCCGTACGTCATCCAAGTGGCAAAGAAGACAGACGAGGTTGTGGTCGAGTCCCCAGGGGGTTGAATCAGCAATGGAAAATATCTTCCTTATGCAGAGAGGTTCGGTTGTCGTAATCTCTTGCAGACCTTGGCCCGTTCAGTCCTCGTCCGATGACTCACCGCCCTCCCTAGATCGTTTTTTGCTCTTCCTCTGGGAGATGGGCTTAGAGTTCTCCTCCTTCCTCTTAAAAACATAACTCCTTGCAGGTCTCTCCTCGCCTTTCCAACCCCCGCCAATTTCACCCTCTTTATTCCTCACCACACCCAATGTCCTTGCATGGTGGTAACCGGGATATGCATTGGCTTGGAATTTAAAGCTTTGCTCGACCTGAAGCCCCGAGTGTCGACCAAGATCTCTAATGTTCCACAGGGTATATGGCTCGCCCTCGAAAAGGGTCACAATAATAGTGCCTCCAGGCGCAAGAGACAGTATCGCGCGCTGGAAGAAGGATACCAACATCTCTTGGTTATATCGCACTTGGCGGTTAACATCGGTGCTCTTGCCGCCCACATGAGGAAAGTTGAAGACAATCCTGTCCATGATGGCTACGCCATCTCTGCCCTTCTTGTCCGTGTAAGGTCCCATTTTCGCGGCATCAACACCGAACAGGACCCTACTATCCTCGGCTTCGATCTTGGTTATATTCTCGCCGGCGTGCGGGTACTTCTCTTGAAGCTCTTCGATACTCTTTTCCAGGACGGTAGCAGTGACATCGGCACAGTAGTGGTGTTCAACCAGAGAGGCCGCAAAGCTAAGGTCGCCATCGCCCACCAAGAGGATCTTGTCTTCGGGCGCAAAGGGGATTGTCGGCTCGGTGTGCTGCTGTTTTTTATGCACTTTTGAAGTATTTGTCGAAACTCCCTTAGAGACTGCCGCGCTGGGTCCTTTTTTGGCAGGTGCGTTCTTGTGTTGCTGTTTCCCACTTGTACTTTTGGGCATGTGCGAGGGGCCTTTCTGCGACAACTTCCGACGCTTGGCCATTGTTGCTATATGTCGGCGGTGTGTGTAGTCTAACGGTATATCTATAGAAATGGGGCCATCTAGCAAAGTAGCATAGATCTCTGCGCGATGCTATTACCAGTAACGTTGGGGGCGAGTGTTGCTGGCAGTGCTGGCAGCGATGTGACTGTCGGTCGATCAGAATAATTTTTGGCGGTTCGCAGGCGGCTGCGCGCCTGGCTGCAGCTTATGCTGTCCCACTTCACCAACCTTAGCGCTATGCCTGTCCAGTACCAGGGTTTTGCAAGTGACGGACAAATCTGCGGATGGACTATTCCGGAACCAGAGCAACCAATAGGATGTAATAGAGATCTTCCACTAACGCGATACTGGAAGTGGAAATTTCCTTAGCTGGTAGCGCGAGGTATTGGATACATACCCGCTTGCACCTTAGCTCCCCGACGGAACCTTTTGAGGCACTGTAGGTCTAGGATAATGTCTATCACGACCGGAGACTGCGATAGTGAACTGATATTCTCATTGACTCAACCTCGCTCTCGAATTCACAAGTGAGGTAGGGCGACTCTAGCAGCTACGCGCAGGAGTAAAATTAGCGAGGATGCCATTGCCAAGATTGATCCTAGATCGAGGCCTTCAACACTCAGTTCCAGGAAATCCTCAAGAGCCGCGGTTGTGCGATTTCACGATTCATCCGAGTGTGAAGACAAAGAATCCTACGGGGACTACTAAATTCGATTTTTAAGAGACCTTGATTACTAACCACACTTGTGCCTCAGCGTTGATGTTTTCATCACAATAATACAAAGCTATGGAAGTAGGGGATAGCCGCTGTTCAGATAAGTAATAATCAGCTTGTAGATCGATGATTGTTTGTTCCTTGTTGATTAAATTATGATACTTTCTTCTCGATTACCGGCATGTTTGGTGCGACAGGCGAAGTACTGGACTGTCCTCTATGTCGATCATATAAGCCATCCACTACGCAAAAGAATATCCTACATGCTAACTTACTCTCTGCTCTTATTTGTACAAGTTGCGAGCTAGAAACTTGTCGTCCTTAAGCTAAGATCCATACAGGTGGTATTTAGTAGCATTTCATTTGGCTCATTCTTCGTCTAGGCATGCTACAGGCAATTCCGATACACGATCAATGCTCAGCAGCTACCTAATCCAGATGTCTGGTCGTGTTTCGTGAAACGAGAGGGTGTCTGGGGGCGCAGATTATAGGGATAGTAGCAACATACGTCTGATGGCCATAGTTACACACTTTTAACATTTGCCGATATGCATAGCAATCGTCGCCAGTCGGGACTGGTCACATCTATTTGAACGCCTGCTGATGGTGTCCTGACCAATAACAGTGGGGAAAGGGCTGATGTATAACTTGGCTTACCATCTAGTCGTGACGCTCTCCCGCGCTCGTGGCCCATTCAAAAACACTGCAGCCCCCATATCCCTCTACAGGATGAAACAAGGCATCTGCGCCGTGAAGGTTGTTTTTGACGGCATTCTCAGTCAGCCATGGGAACCGCAAAACCTGCCTTACTAACGAAGAAAGGTTATGTACTTCGTCCGAGAGTTGATAATACGCCGGGTTGCAGGTCGAGTCTCCTCTTCTAAAGAAAATTAATATGAAAAGTAAAAAGTAAAGCAGCCTCAGACATTGCAAGAGCCGTGGAGTAATATAGTGTACAGAACTGGTTGTATGAACCAATTGTTGATATTTGGATTTTGTGCCTACAGATAACTGAATTTTTCAACAAAACTAAGTGAATGCCGATAGCTTAATCAAGAATCTCAGCCAAACAGAGGATTCCGTCGTCGAGGAAACAGTGGCCTCCATCTACCGTTACGTGGTAACATCATATCGCAACTTGTGAGGCGGGTGAATCATTGACTATTGATGGTGGCGGCCGAGCGATTTCCTTTGGCCACACTAAAGGCTCTGCTGGAAACCCGAGTTAATTCGCTTTAGTAATGCCGTATTCAGTGTTTAAATGTAGGCATAGTCTATTAGCTTTTCTTCTGCCCACGTTCAGAACGTCCGCACACGCGGTCATCTCGGTACACAGATCACCCCCTCGATTGAGGTGAGTTTTTTTATTTCTGTTCAAGTCAACACATAATTCACGTGCCCCACAAAGTGACCTGAGCTCCTAAAAGAGAACATTTCTCTGATCATTGTTATCATACAAAGTGAATGAATGCTCTCACCTCGAGACTTACTGGTTACGCCGCAATCTTGGCAGCAACCGGATTGAAGATTCTGGTGTGGAGAAAACCTAACATCTAACAATCAATCTGGTGAGCACTCAGAATGGTCGGAAAGCAAGCCTTCAAGGTCGTCATGTGCGAGTCCGCCTGCCTAAAGATGCTGATATCACATCGTCTTCAAGGTTTTTTTGTAAATTCTTTTGAATTTTTTTTAATAAAAATTTAATTTAATCTTAATAAATAATACGTGTGGTTGGAACTATGATAGATCTGCGTTCTTGTCGTATCGATCCCAGGACACTACGTCTTGATTGACGGCCTCTGAGCTATGGTCTACGGTCGCAAGCGGTCAAGCATTCCTGGGGCCTTAAAGTAATTTCAAAAGGGTACACGTAAGACATTTCAGTGCATTCTCGTCTTGTCTTACGCTAAGATTGGATTAAAGACTATTTATCAAAATTGAAGAGGCGGTGATAATGTTGATACGCAGTTCAAGAAGCTGCGCTGCTCGTAGTGTTAGCTTGAGTTGGGTGTGAAGTCCACAAAGCGAATTGGAAGTTACCCCTTGTCTTTATCATCAAAGTCGCCAGTGCTCAGGTATACTGAGCATTTGTTATAAGAATCGTTATTCTTCGAAGCTCTGACGGTTCTGTAAGGTTCTAGAGTTGTGATGAGGACCGACCTGCCTCGTCTGATGCATGTTTTGTTATCTAAGCCCTTTGGGTTGTATGTGAGTTATAATGCCTCGGTCTCAATGGCATTTCTTTCGGTTGAATTAGTTGTTGACAACACAACTATTACTTTCAGGTTGGTGACTATAAAGTTATATCCGACTTCACATGCACAGCTTTGGTCTGTCAGTCGGGTTTCGTATTCTCGCAAGAATGCATGTGCCAACAGCTGAAACCTCCTTGGAAGAAGACGTAGCGTCACGAGCCTAAACGGAGCTGACGCCTTGGCACAGCCATCACATAAGCAGTTCACTGGGGCCGGTAATAAATGCAGGTAAGAAGTAAATCATGATTATCGAATCAAGGAGTGCCTCATGCCGAACTTCAGTCACGGTATCTAGGTCAGCAATATGCAGTAGCTCAAAGTTGAAGTCGTGATAAGTTATTGCACATTGTATTAGATGGAGGTGCATGCCGGCCCCCGAGATTACTGCAGAGTAGGTGTCGTGACCCAAAGGTGTAGAGTACAGGGATAGAAACCTCACATACTACGCGGTTCTTGAAGAAATTTCAGTTTGCCGACGGTGTCGTAACTGAACGGTAGTATTGTCTGCTTTCAACATAACCAGCTTGATATCTTAGCCATGATCGAAAAGTTGATTATGCACATAGCCACCCAGTTCTCGGAGATGCGGCGTCCTTCTATGCGCTCTTGTTGCCACACTAATTTAGGTGACTCGGTTGACAGGAAATGTTCTCATAGTGACTATATCTTCCTCAATACCTAGTTGACACTACTGTGACAAGTATCTTAAACTTGAAACGATGCTGAGCTAGTTATAGGTATGTAATGTCACCATCAAACAATTGAAGCAGCATTCAATGCACTTGTGACGATTGTTAATGCCGAAAACGTTTATGCCAAATTTTCGAGGTATCAGTACTTCGATGGCTCGTGCTCCGCCCGATCTAGCCGTCCGACCAATCAAACGCATACCTTCTCCTGGACTTGCGAAAAAGCGTGACTACTGATTTGGGGAAGGTGAGGCGCTGGCTGTAATTGTTGTCTGGCTCAGAAAAACTCACGGCGAAGGCATATTCAAGCCTGTTGTTCTTCAATCAGCGCGTGGTTTACCATAATCGAAACATATTGGTCGATTGTTCAAGGTTCCTGTTGATTGCTGCTATTGGTCGCATGTCTTATGCCCTCCGAAGAGGTCGCTTATTTCAGATCAAAGTTCGCCGTGCTGGCTCTTACTTCACCCTTTCACACTCAACACACAACACACAGACATCACTCTACTGCCTTTCCACAAGCCAACTGCTCTTCTTGAGGACATCAAACATCAATTTCCCATCGAAGTCACTTTTCCACATCATACTCACTACTCCCACTACTTTTTAGCATTCTTGCTGTTGCAGTCACACGAGCCACTAACACCTTACAATTGCATGAGCCATCATCATGGATGAACACGCTCAAGCAGCCGGCTCACCGGCGCCCAGCCCTGCAAGACCTGGCAGGGGGGGTTACCGCAGAGGCGGTTTTTCTGGTAGAGGAGGTGCCAGAAAAACCATCAATCGCAAACCCGTCGTGACTAAACGTGGCGGCAATCGTGGCAGAGGCCGCGGCCGTAACAAGACTTACGACCATCCCCGTGTTCAGTCTGCCTATGAGCGCTCGAAGGAGCTGCGAGATTTGTACTCAGATGTTTCATCAGCCATGAAGCCGGCTCTTGAAAGACTTGCTGAACACACACTTAATCAAATGATTGAGGATCCAGAGTTCCACAAAAAGGTGCCTGAATACGCAGCTATCCAGAACGAACTTGACACCAGGCTTGAAACCACTCTCCGGCGTTTAGATGCCGAAGAAATCTTGAGGTTACATATAGTTGCGGAGAAGCATCAGTTGGAAGACGAAATCAGTCACGAGAAATTCACGGTATGTAATGCTTCACATTCTATTCACGCCAAGTTCTTTCTCCATATCTACACATTACTAACATTGATTTTAGAATGGTTATGATTACAAAACTGATGAATTTCTTGACGGAATCCTCAACAGAATGAGCATCTTAGCAGAGCTTCGACGTGACGATTACGGCACTAATGTAAGTCATCATTGCACTTCCAATTTGTTCTAACTCTTGTACTAAACGATACAGATTCCTGCTTCCTACACATTCGTACGCGAGGACGATGCAGTGGCCAAGGATCAGGGACCATATGTGTTCCACCATCCCGCCAAAGGTCATGAAGTGCCGTACCCTCATCTCCTCCCCGACATCAAAACTTCGGCACTCAGAACAACCCTTGCACGAAAGCCCCAGGCCAGAGCCGGGCCTAAACGTAAGGCTGAGGACGTGCTTGACGGCCAACCAGAGTTGAAGAAATTCCTTGGCTCCTCCCTTGGTCGCGACGCTGGTCACGACGCATCAACCCCTCGCCCGCGCCATATTGGTGGTCTACTTAGTGCAGAGACCGATCCGGATGGTGAGCCCGAATCAAATGCGCCATCACCTACGCCCCTCGAGGAGGGCATGTCGCCCGAGTCTTCGCAGCAAGAAACTGTTGCGAAGAAAGAAAAAGACTTGCCTGATTTCCCAACAGGCACGGCAGAACCCGACCAATGCGGCGTTCGGACGGTGTACAAGAGAGGTCCAAAGGCCAACAACCGTATTATCATCCCATGTGTATTCGAGTTTGATGAGGACGATATTGGCTTCCGGGACTCCACCAACGATTCGACCCGCAAAGCCACCAAGAATAGCCGCGGAAGATTCCTTAATCAACCGAACTCACGTGCTTGGCACCTTGACCAGACAATTGTCAACTACAACGTACTTGACAACAAAGATGGCGATCTTGATCCAAAACTGGTGAAGAAGCACAAAGTCCACCCCAAGTACGGATTCTTTCTTCCGGATTCCATAAACGAGTCAGAACCTCCGAATGAGAACGTTGACACGACTCGTCCGATTGTTATTGTCACACCAGATGGCAGCACTCTTCACGCCTCACGCTCAGTCCGTCCTAAGCTCATGGACAATGCTCTAAGAGCAGATCGAGGCAAGGCCAAGATTGGGGTCATGGTAGAGAAGCTCAGAGAGAGCTTAGGACTTGACATTGAAGACATCACAACCCCAGAGATTCGTAAGAAGCAGCAAGAGGAAGAAGAAAGAAATGCTCTTCCCAGCGAGCCCGAGGACGAAGAAGAGATCCTACTGGTGGTGCCTCGCGAGGAGCCTGTTGTCATCGCCAACGATATCAGGACCCAGCTTAAGCGGCAGCGCGGTACTGCGCAGCTTCTTAGAGCGGCTACACAATTGGAGGAGGAGGAAGTGATCCGAGAGGCATCCATGCCAAATCCACGGGCCACTAGACCTTATGATGCAGTTCGGGACATTTTTGGATTCTCCGGCCCTCCTGTTTCGCACACAGTGCACCATCATCACCCTGTGGACACGTTCGGGCTTAGTTTTCTTGCAGACGTTTCTGAGAACCCGGACGCCTTCAGAGTTCCTCTGGGTAACGTGATGGCTGATCCATCCATGATTGATCCAGCACTTCGTCAAGGCCCTCCCTCACATGGATTCCTTCAAACTGCTCTCAACCCTCCCCCGTACGCGTCCATCGCACCTGCACCCTTGCAAAGTGTGGATGGACGGGAACCAATTCCGGCGCGAAATCCTTTCACCAGTCAAAGCACCGGTAGGGCAAGCCCGGCTCTCCCACCCCTTCGTCCGAGCGGGCGTGATAAGGGCCCTGGGGCTCGCGCTTCGTTCGCAGAAGGCCAACTGCCATATGCCCCTTCTCCAGCAACACTAGCAGCGGCACCGATCCGTCCTCAGCCGCTTGCTCCAACTCAAGACTATGAGCATTCCCACATGCTACATGGCAACGGAGGTGGCTTCTATCCTGGTACCACGCATCGTCCGTTCCACCACGGATACCCGACGCATGAGCAGCCGCCTATTGTACCACTGGCTCCACGCCATGGAGCACCGGTACCCGCGCCGCTCATCATCCCAAGCCAACAATCGCATCCTTCTCAGCATCTACCTTACTCTACTATATCACCCACAACGCTTTCGGGCCAGGCACCACTTGCGCCAATGCCACCTCACATGGGACCATCTCCGCCTGCTCAGTCCCAAGCAGCCATAGGGCCTCCGTTGATGGCACACTCTCCAACCTCATCGACTCCTCGCTCGCGAGGATCTGTCTCATCAAACAACGGCCAGCAAAATGCTGGTAAGTACCGTAAGATTGCCGCTGCGCCGATTCCTTACAATAGACAGTGGGCATCAAATGGTGGCACAGAGCTGCGACTGTCGAACTACGACCCCAAGGGCGCCATTAAAGACTATATGGCAAACGAACCTCCCCCGCGAACCGGCCCGACGACCATTCGAGGATGGTCTGTCAACAACGGGCAGAGGAGTCGTAATCGAGCCGGATCGCGAAAGGACGATTCTGTTGAAGACACCGAATCTCCCAAATAAGTTTGTCTCACGCTTCAAATGACCCACCGCCAAAAGTTGACCACCCCAAGTTCACTTCTCCGGTCAATACTAGACCCTCTATTCGAGAAAGCCTCGAAACAACACATATGAGGGAGCGCAGTGAGGACACCAGCGCTCTCATAATATTTTTGGAATTTCTTTTCTGTACATCATTAAGGACAACATGCATGGCGACGGCGTTCACCATTGGTTCTCAGGACTGTGTATCATATTTCACCGCATCGCAAGCCAGGAGGCAAATAAGGCCCAAGGTAAAAGAATTTTCGAGCCCTATTGGTTTTGTGTTATTTCGCGGCGAGCCGGTGAAACAACAGATTTCTTTCATAATCCTGTGGACGAAGGTTTTGGCTTTGATCTCGCCGGTATTAGATCAGCGTCTGCACAGACAGGCAGCGAATCATTGAATAATAATTTGCTCTATACACATCTTACTTGCACCCGCCATGTGACGTTGCTACACTTACGCTATTGGTGATCGTGGTAGTCAGTCAGCGGCGTGACTCTGCACAGGAACCGCACAACCTGCCTATCCTCTAAGATCCGGTGGGGAACCCGCTGTTCTTAGTACACATGCAAGCACTCTTCATGCCGGAGAGCAACGTGACTTTCTAGCTCGGCTCTGCCGACTGCAGCATGTCAATAAACGTCCAGCATATCGGGATCGGGAAACGTCCTAGAGGTGTTGTAGGTTGTCTAAAAGACCAACGATTTGGGCACGGTCGAGCCGCGTGTTTGGTTGATGCCGGCTCCTAGTCCTCTGCGGATTCATTTCGTATGTGTATTAGAAGAGAAGGCTGCTACGATTATGTGCTGCAAGAGAACGTAATCCACGGGCAACACAGGACAAGGAAGGTGGACGGGCTACTGGCGCCAGTTCATACAACTTTGGTGGCTTCTTGGGGAAAATGAGGATCGAGGGCAGTGCGTTTCGTCAAGCAGTATTAGACACGATGGAGTGCAGAACCTGCTTCTACCTCATGGATTTAATTGCTTATTGCAAAAAATGCATCTCTTCCAATGTTGATAATCAATGCTTACATCATATCACGGGTGTTGTGCAGTATTGGAAAGCCCCCAGTGGGATCATGCCAGTAGTGGATGAGGAAATTTTCTTGGGCCTTGAAGGGCACCAAACTCATAAGTGATTAATGTACACGACCGCCTGTCAACAGTAGACATGTATGCGACTTAAAAGGATCAGACCAAGCCGAACATCGCAGCACGAAAAGTAGTGCGAGGGTATCTTCCAATGTCGGCCTCGAATCCGGTATCTAATTTTGTTCATCACCTCTGCCTCGAAGCCTTCCCAGATCAGATGGGTCACAGCTTTCAATAGACCATGACTCTCCAACCGAAGAACTTTCTGAACGTCAATGGTCATGTCCTGTTTTTCTTCCACTCGCCATGCTCTTCATGACCGTCTCCGTGACGATGCGGTCAATTTCCGCAATGAACTGCGGGTGTTCCTAGATTGCAGGATCGGGAAATTGCGGTTGCATTGTGCTGAAGTCAACAGGCGGAAGAGGCTGGTTCATGCCGACGATCCCCATGTCTAGTTGAGCTCGACCAAGACGCAGACCACCAGTAGCCTCGGGATGGAGAGCATACATGTCAGCCTGCATTTTGTTGCCGTCAAAGATGACCATGTTCTGAATAGGCGGTTGGCTGGCACCGAGAACGTTGATGACGTCTTGAGCTAGCTGGCCACCAAGGATTGCCGTCACAGGCGCTATCTCACTGCCGATGCTTTGAAGAAAGCTTCGCAAGACCTCTGACTTGAGGGTCTCTGTCGGTAGGCTTAGCAGCTGATGGTTAGTAGTGGCGTTCTTGGTGAAAGTCTCAAGATCGGCTCGGTTGGGGCCTGGGTTGCGATTTTGGTCGGCCTGAAATCTCCACAAGGCACGGAAGCACGATAAAGCAGGTGTGACCGCCTTCAGGCGTCTCTTTGAGTTCCGGTACTCGAGTGGAAGAAGACTAGTTTCAGAAGCAAGATCCCAGGTGGAGTACAGCTCCCGTTTTGTGACAATCTCAATCTTCTTCTCGCCTTCCTGTTTCGTCTTGACGTCAACGACGCTGCGAGTCCTGGTCTCCTCTCCAATCTTGGTATCCACGTTACTCTTGTTGCGTTGGAGCACGTAGTCATGCTCGATCAAGTCACAGAATATGTAACCGTAGAAGCCATGTGAGGCTGCGGCGTAGAATTGGCGGTTATAGAGGCGAGTTGCTGTGTTAATGAAGGCCAAAGTCGTGGGGTTAAGGTCCGTGGCAATGACGATGTCAAATGCTGCAAAGTACGAAGCACCCTTTGCCATGATGCTGTCGGGATCCGCATATACGCTGACACGGGGATTGAGTTTTCTGAGGTTCTCACTGGCAGCGTGGGCGCGATTTTGACCAAGGTGCTCTTGTGACAGAGAGAACCCGGCGCCTAGATCGGCTTCACTGACCACCTCATCGTCTACAATGGTGAGAGAACCAACTCCTGCTAGAACGAGGTTCTTGGCAATTTCACTCGCGAGTGCCTTCATGGTGATGATGAGAATGTTGGCGCTGCGAATCTTCTGCTGTGCTTGCATACCCCACAGGCGAATTTGACGGTCATAGAGCGCGATTTCGTCTGGAGTTCTTGTAAGTATAGTGTAATTTCAAGGGGACCCGAAAGACACTTACCTGCCGTGATGCCATTGGTATTGCTGTTCATGGGCTGAGGTGCAATGCCAGCCATCATTGGTTGGCCAGCCATCATCATCAGACTAGGATCAGGAAAGGCCATGCCGTTGGCGCCTGCCACGAAACTCATGTCTTGCGTGGGCATGATGAAACCATTTGTATCAAGGTGTCCCATGCCGAAGCTAAGACTAGACCCATTCGGATCTATTTGTTGCTGGCCGTGAAAGGGCAAAACATTGCCTTGGGGAAGTTGCTGTGCAATTGTGGGCGTGCTGTTGTCCTGCAGAGATTGTGGCCCAGGCGCAGGGGCATTGTTACTGCTGTTGTTTGCAGCGTTGTGCTGGTCGGGCAAAGCAGCTGCGCCGTTGTTCTCACTTGCTTGTTGCTGCTCCATCTTTGAGACTGCTTGTTGAACACCAAGGAGTGAAGACAGAAAAGAGAGGATATGCAGGACCGGCGAGTTTGAAGTTGATATGAGTGAACGTTAGAGCAAGAACCAGCGAGAATGATTGGTTTTGTTGCGCTTTGCCGCCCCAAGGTGCTTTCTCTCTCTCTCCGATGACGACCTGGCAGCCGTTTAGTATCGATTATCCAGATGAGCAGGCTAAGACATCATTGTGTTTCGATGCTGTGTCCAAATAGATCTTTAGTCTCGCCCGGCAGATCAAGTTATGACCTTGGGGGTGATCAAGGCTTAGAAGTCGAGTTTGCGGACCCTCGAAGCGACTGGTCTGGCCGCGCTCTTTGCTCAGTCTTGCGCACCGCGTTTGTGTTGTCATTTACGTCGAGCTTCACTCTAATTTAGTTCTTAGTTCCTGGAACAAGACACAAGGCCCAAGACCCAGGACCATCCACCATCCACTGTGGGCGAGTTTTACTGGCCGACTTTTAGTGGTCGGCAAGGGGTCTCAATCTTAGCGTGGGCTGCGGGCCGGGGAACACACATATGACGTGCAAGTTTAAGAGGTACTTCTGACCCGCATCCGTTGTGCATCTGGCAGCTACTACGGATCCCGTACTCATGCCAGAGACGCATGTACCCACTAGCAATTGCCTCCCTACAGCGAACCCCGCGGTAGAGTTTACAGTACAGTACAGTGGTGCCCTGCGTCAACTAGCGGTACCGCTGTTCGGTTCGGGTCCCAGCTGGAGGTCCCCTCCTTCCAGGCCATCCCCCCAGGCTGATCTCCATCGCTTCTACAACCATCAATCAACGAAATGCCCATCGTTCCCTGTCTTGTCTTGTCCTGTGCCGTGTATTCTGACGACCACCACCTGCCGAAGGCTTCTCGAGACGATTACGCTGAACCCCAAGTACTGTAGAGCAGCCCGCAATATATACCTTCGTAACCGGTAATCGCCAGCATCACGAGCCCGCAGAGAGCATCACCAGACGGGGTGAGGGGGGCTCTTGCACTTTGTTTCAATACCGTGTCCTCTTTGTTTCCATGGCCAATGGTGGGTTTCTCTATGCTTGTGCCTTCAAAGCCGCACAGATACACGAGGTATACTCGGTAGTTGTTGACCGCTGACTTGCTCACCAAACAGTCTGGTAATCCTGCTGATCATCCGGGTTCTGATTCAAGATATCGATCCGCAGATGAGATTGTTCGCTCCATCCTCGATGATCCCACCGCCACTTCTTCCGAGATAAGTCCTTCTGGCGAACTCTATAGGGCTATCGAGAGGTTTCATGCCAACGCCCACCGCCGCACTGGTCTTGTGAACAGCGCTCGGCGGGACTTGGTTAGAAGCCATCTGAACCGCTGGGCTTCTGCATCTGCGTCTGCTTCCGTTCCTGCTTCTGTCTCTACCTCTGCTTCTGCCTCTGCTTCTGCCTCTGCTTCTGCCTCTGCCTCTGCATCCGCTTCCGTGCCTGCCTCCACCCCTGGCGCCCCTACACGCGCTGCCTCACGGAACAGCATGTCTTCAGATCCCAACTACGGCTCGGATTCCCATCGACGCCATCCTCCCAGAGACGGCCAGCCAAATACTTCCGGCGGTCCGGCACTTCCTTCCCTACGATCTCTTACGAGCAATGGTCGACGTTTCGCACCTCTTGCTCCCTCGGGCACATCACATACTGGAGGACGCCATGGTCGGTGGCGTGCTGAGAGGAATTCCGAACGTTATCGCCCTGGTATGTCTAGCATGACGGATCGAAATACCAATCAAGGATCAGAGAACGCCACGCATACGCTGCTATCAGAAAGTGCACAATCGCTTGCTGACCTGGGTGACGCAAATAGCCGTCTTCGGGCTCTACTCGATTTTACCCCTCCGCCCGCACAAGCTTACTCGGAATTATCGTTTCCTTCGCCGCCTCTCCTGACCCAGGAGTCTGCCGATGACAATCGCCGTGCCAAGAGGCGCAAACTAGATCCGGATCGCTTGGCAAGTAGCTTCAAGGGCTTTCGCTACGGCAAATATGGGCAAGTTGAGCCCGGTCAGCTGACCATGGAGATTGCGAGCTGCGATGGTGGCATATATTCGGATGATGGACAAAGCTATGCTGCTGAAAATATCCTCAAGAACGACGCATCAGTTTATTGTACCAAGGGGCCACGGTGCAACATTGTTCTCCGACATCAGGGCTCGACCGCGTTCACCCTGAAAGAACTGGTCATCAAGGCTCCCAGGCAGAACTATACTTCACCGGTGCGGGAAGGAATGGTCTTCATATCGATGAACTCGGACAGTCTTCTGGCACGCACGGCACAGTATAGAATACCATATGCGGCCGCGCGAGAACACCGACCCCTGGGTCCTGTCGTGACTATCAGACATAATGACGACGGTACAACCATGACGACTGCGCAGATTAGAGCACGACGCCGCTACCAGATGGGCATGGAGGACGATGACTACAGGAGTGCCCAGTTACCGTCGGACTTCACGGCATCACCGCCTCCTTTTCACGTGACCACGATATGTAGCGATGATGAGGATGATGCAACAATGAGATCATATTGGCGACCGCCAAACAGGATAGGAACTCTGCCGTTCGAGAGTGACGAAAGCAGCGGCGACGAGCTGGCTCTCTACCACGAGTATACTCCCCGGCGCCGGCGAGTGCGATCATCGTCTCTACCGGCAGCTGAAGACGCAACAGCTTCTGGGGATCGCACACATGGGTCGACTCTAGCTGGAGAAGGTGAGCTGATGGCAGCGCATGCACGGTTATTTATCGAGCCAGACAAGTGCAAGTGTACCATCAGATTTGACCCGCCTGTCTCTGGCAGATTCATTCTGCTCAAGATGTGGAGTCCTCATCCTGACTCTACATCCAACATTGATATACAGGCGGTGATTGCAAACGGATTTGCAGGGCCGAGATACTTCCCTGCCATGGAATTGCGATGAGCTACTGGCTCGTTTGCATCGGGTATGTATGGCGTAGGAGGAGCACCTGGCAGGTCAGGCTTGCATATGGATGGTATATGGGTTTTATGGAATTGGCTTTCTCAAGAGTGAAAGAACGGCGTGTGGACAATGGATAGAGAGATATGAGATACCCCAAAGTGATAATGAGCATGCATTGATTTTTTGATTGCATACTATTTTAGTTTCTTTTTTCTTCTTTTTCTTCTACCAGCTATCAAGGCCGGTAATATCGTGACTAATATTCATGTTATTTGGGATGAACGAGGATCTGAGACGTGCTGAGAACGAATGCCAATTTCCAGTCCTATGTTACTTAGCAGGCTGTGTTGTGGGACTAGCGCAGCCGCGCAAAGAATGAATCATAGTGATGCGGGATGTGTACGTTCGAGGTTCATTCCTGGGCTGGGCTCTGTAATCAATGCCCATTGGGGGCGCATTGGACATTACAATAGTATCTACGCCTGCAGCGCGGTACCATGCACATTAGAGTCATATTTTGCTGTGGCGATGTTGTCAGTTGAGTCATCACCCCGGATGGCTTTGAAATTCCATGTGCTACGGAGGTATGTATATGTACATACGTAACCTAGCTTAGTTAAGAGGTCAAGAGCCGGTCAGTGACTTCTCGAAGGCGGGTAAAAAGTTCAGCGACAGCCCCACTAACATCACACACGACTTCTACTTTATCTGCGTCCCAATTCCTTCCTGCTTTGCCATCGTGACCACTGCATTCGCAAAACAACACGCGCAACCTGCTTGATACCCCCTCCAAAAAGAGTCTGACGTTACGCTCACTCGCCATCTCGCTCAACTCGCAACCGGTCGTTACCCAGCAGGACTACTGAATCATGGCTGTACGAGCTCAATTCGAGAACTCCAATGAGTATGCCCCACCATAAGAGACCCTGCAGCTATTCAGTCGCAGAGCATAGCAGTCGAGCTGACATGACCACCACAGGATCGGTGTCTTCTCGACACTCACAAACTCTTATGCCTTGACTGCCGTCGGCGCCAGCGAGAACTTCTACAGGTACGCCTCCTTCCGCCGCGCCGCCGCCGCCCTTCATGGCGACTGCGGGGCAGCAGTCCCGCCGCATTGCCTACAAGAACAGGAACATCATGAACATGATACTGACCGGGTCCCTGCCTATACAGTGTTTTCGAAGCAGAGTTACAAGATGTCATCCCCATCTGCAGAACAACGATCGCAGGCACACGTATTATCGGAAGACTCACAGCTGGGTAAGCACTCACACTGCCTGGTATTTCTGAAGCCGCCGCTAACCTCAAGGCCCAGAAACCGCAAAGGTCTCCTAGTGCCCACTTCTACGACAGACCAGGAACTGCAACACCTACGGAATTCCCTCCCGGACGAGATTCGGATACAGCGCATTGAGGAACGTCTATCAGCCCTTGGAAACGTCATTGTCACAAACGACCACATCGCCCTGATACATCCAGACTTGGAGCGCGAGACGGAAGAGATCATTGCCGATGTGCTAGGAGTCGAGGTTTTCAGACAGACCATTGCCGACAACGTGCTGGTCGGTTCCTACATGTCACTCAGCAACCAGGGTGGTCTCGTACATCCCAAGACCAGCATCCAGGATCAGGACGAGTTGAGCAGCTTGCTGCAGGTGCCTTTGGTCGCTGGCAGTGTGAACCGTGGTAGCAATGTTGTTGGTGCCGGCATGGTTGTCAACGACTGGATGTCAGTCACCGGATTGGACACCACAGCCACCGAGCTGAGCGTCATCGAGAGTGTCTTCAGACTGGGCGAGGGCAATGCTCCTGGTAACATTTCTGGCAGCATGAAGGACACCATGGTCGAGAGTTTCTACTAAATCTTGAGGAGACTCATGGCGAATGTTTATCTGCACATGCTTGCGAGGAGTGCCCCTGGGCCAACGCCACCTCTCGGGAGAATGTAGCTTCCCGGTAGTCGGCGGCTGGATATTGCAAGATGGTAAAGAGATGGTCAATTACCATGTCACCAATATGACACGTCTTGTGGGCGATAGCCGTAGGCTGTCAATATAATTTTGAATTACCTCGCACTCGTTTTGTTTGAATGCGTCTTGCTTGTCTGTACGACCTGCACACTATCACTAAACCCCTCATCGCATCTTCTGTTGGAATGTTCCGGCCGATCCTCGACTTATTCTACATTGCACTATGACCGACTATCACTACCCACAATCTCCATAGTTAGGACGATGATTCGGCTTCACTTCACTTTGGAACCTCAATAATACCCAGATAGATTCCATCAGACACTTATAACTACAACTCCAAGTGCGTTTGCCTCGATTATCTCGTCGCAAACGGATCCAATGTTTACCGTACGATCAGACTGATGCCAACATATTGCAGACTAGGGAAGGACAATTCGGGTGTTATCCAACGAGTCTTCTCAAACGAAAACAAAGATTTCTCACGTTCGGGAATTGTTTTCTGGCTCCGATCATGCACGGCCCGGCAATCATTCGTGACCAGCCAAAAGCCACCGACGTACCTGCAGACTGCGAAAAGGTCAGGACAGTCTATCTTCGAGATCCATCCCAGACATGCTGCATCGTCTCTCTCACGCAGACTTCTCCCATGCTATTCTCAAATAATGCAGCTCACTTAATACGAGACTTCTGAAGACGCACACATTGAAGCTTGTCGAATACTGTTAGGCATCATCATACCGCATAAGGATATGATGTCGTACACATGGGATTTTGAGGGAAAGCCACGGTACATATATGAAGGGTGCTAAGTTAGCCAACGACGAGACCGGACGATGGAAAACATTGAAATATTGCAATATGGCACACAAAAACCGCATCGTTCTCTGTTGGGTTAGACCCCTATTGATCGATGACCTGGCCTCGGCCGATACTTTCACCAAATGAGGGCATATTCAGTAGTGGCGTCTGCATGGGTGGAAATCGAGCGTGGATTGGGTTGTCGACAGTCTGCGTAAAGCAAATTCATTACCACTACCATCACAATCAGCAACAGTACATTTGTATGAGGCTCCATGACAGATTTGATATGTGTGAGCCGCATCCCGTTGGCTGTTGGTTTGCGGATGAAGTTGGCTAAAATTGATACAGAAAAGAATTGGGAGAGGGAGATGGTGAGGGAGAGGTCCGAAGCAGAAATCGGTATAAGGTTAGGAGCGTGAAACTTCGTTCCCTTTGTCAGTCGACTCGAAATATCCTCGTGCTGTGCCATCTGTCTGTACGTACAAGAGCAAAAAGTTATTTCCAGCATCGCCAAATCAAGGTGAGTACTGCCCCAAAATGGCACACGGACTCGTCTCGTATATCAACACCCAGCACGAGGCTCAGGGTTGCGTCTAGCTGTGATCATCCTCATGGCAAGTCATGATGCCCGAGAGAGGAACGAGGCAAACATATCAAGTGAGCGGCGTTTATGGTGGTAACCATGTTCGGCGTGTGATATCAGCGTATACGTATTCACAGGTATTAGTTAGATATATTCTGGATTAATTATAAGATGTTCACACGCTAGCAATTAGGAAATTGGTGTATTGTGTTGTGTGTATATTCGATACGTACCTTTGGTGTCCGATACTATATGATCTCTTGCTAGCCTCGGGATCCCACATGGTATATGTATTTTCAAGGTTTCGCGCGGGGTGTATTTTGTTGCCGCAAGTTTACCTTGTCGCTGCTGCTAAGGTATAGGAATTTCTTACCCGATTTGGGTTCTTCTTAAGGTGCAGCGCGGTTGTTGATCTCTCGGCATGAATGGTGGACCACGATGTCTTATCTGGGTTTGTACTCAACTATACACGTGTAATCTCTTGGTTCGTAAATCTGATTTAGCTCTCAGAGCATGCGCAATGGTCGTATACCCGATCTCTTTGTTCGCCCTTTTCCCACCTGCTTGCCAGCCTCATAAACTAGTATTATATCATTGCCATTGTGCATGTCTCTACCCGGCACTGTTTGCTATATGTGATTTTTTGATCGACGATAATCTCGGCAAGGCCTAGTGAGAATAGTAGTTAATTCTCTTCAGTCGAAGGCCTGGCAAATCTTCGGGTATGGAAGGCTTCTCTCCGAAGGCTGCCCAGCCATGTATGCAGCCACTATTACAATTAAGGTTCCATTGGCGGGCTCCGGTATGCTGAATGGCAACATGATTTCACAGCTCGCTCAGCCATGTCCCAAGGGCGTTGACATACGCATATGGGGAGACGATTCACGACGATTTTGTCCCATTGTGGTTTGTAGGAGACCCTCTTCAATGCAAGCGTTGTGTTAGACGGCCCACGTGTGTCCACCAGAAAGGCTGCACATTTCAGAGTCTAGGCGGGTCTTCCATCGCTGCAGGCTGCAGCCAATACTGGAATGCGCAGGGCCTTTGCGTTCGTCGCACAACAGCGCGGCCTCGCGCCAGCCCAGCCCATGAACAAGATCCACACACCACTTACAGTATGGATCGATGGTGCTAGTGATCCCTGGAGGCGTCACCCAGCCATTTGCGTTGTTTTGTTTTTCTTGTTAGAGGGCACCGAGGGATGCATCATAGTTCAGCCCAGTGAAAACAAGGAAATTGTCAAGTCTGGCAGATATTTCAGGGTCTCCCGAGAGTATAATTCCTTTGTTACAGTCATATACTCCCTGGTCGTCCTACACACACATTCGAGACAATAATCCGTACACAACCAGAAATTCGGAAAAGAGACCCCGATGTACTGTGTAGCATCCCGGCTGCACCTTTATCTTAAATCCTCCACCACAACCACGCGATAGGTGACCCCGCCCCGAGACATTACAGCAAGGGACGCGGCTTTTCAACCAACACAGTTAACGGAACAAAACACATCTTGAGTCAGTCCACAGTTGCTGTCTTTGCCTCCTTGCCTCGGGGCCCGCGTGGTGTATGCCCTAGGATTAAGTTCGAGACATTGCTGGAAGCCAGGCCGTTGCGGCACCGCGGGCCTCAGGAGTATTTGGCCTTGCGACTGGGCTAGGTGTCCAAAGTGTCAGGAAAACAGATTGGGAGAACCGCCGTCTTCATCTTCTTCCCCATAGCAAAACCTAGGACTGACGGGGACTATTGCATATTTTCACAACTCAGACCAGGGTGCCCCGAGACATCAAACCAGCTACGGAGTAGACTGCCACCCTTGAAATTGGCGAGGCCCAGGGGGATCCCCACGGATCATCACATCGGCGGCATATTCCTCAATTTCCAGAGGAAGCTCCTTCCACCTCTCATTCCATCCGCAAAACCCGAAACGGGGTAATATTTGCCATGCTAAGTGCTGCTCCCACAAATACCGGCCCCGGCCCCTCAGCCTACAATGTAGACATGGACGTTGACACATCGTATCATGCCGTGCACGGTGAATTCAACAGAAACGACGCTGGGCCGGAAGAAACAACAACCACACTCACATTCGATCCATCCGAGGAAGGAACTTCTTCGTGCCGGCGAGCCTCTCCGTTGCGCAATACAACATTCACCGACGGTGGTCTTGCTACCTCACATCCACAACACAGGAGGCAGCAATCAACACCTACGCTGTCGCCCTTGCCCCTACGAGTTACCACGCGCACAGGGTCTCCGGTTCGTGGCCACCTGAGGCGTCAGTCGGACATGCCGCTTACCGGTGACGGGCGGCCGACTCGCAAGGAGACCTCTCCGAGCAGGCTGGGAGGATGGTGGAGCGGGAACTCAACACCGCCCGTTGAGGATGCACCATCGCCAGACACAACACCAAAGTCGAGGCGAGACATACCTTCTAACACGTCAACACCTAGAAGCACTACCTCGACACAGCAGGCTGGCCTTGGCTTCTTCGCATCCTCCGTTTCAGCACTGAAGACGCGCCTCACGACCAATGCGCCCACGGCGAACTCCTGCACGGATGAAGAGCTGGCCAGCCTCAATATCGAGGTCGCGTTGCAGCCTCCAGAGCAGTTCGGCGCACATGACACGTTCTCCCCGGCCGCCTACAAGAACTTGCAGGCAAACGCCATCGGCTTGTGCACGAAAATGCAGAACGCCTACCGCGAACGCACTATCTCTCTTCAAGAACTACAGGCCGAGCGAGCCGCTGAGAAGGAGGAAGCCGAAGAGACGCATCTACGTGTTGAGAACCTTAAGATGCAGCTCGAGCACATGGCACGGAAAGCCGACGAGCAACAACAATCCATGCGGCGACTGATGGCAGAGCTCGAGCACGAGAGGAAGATTCGACAGGAAGAGCGGCTCGCGCGAGACAAGATCCTCGGGGATGGCTCCATGGTCGGCGAAGACCTGGGCGTCGACGAGGATGAGCGCAGGAAGTGGCGCAAGTCCGGCGGCACAGAGAGGTCGGAGGCAAGCGGATTCGACACGGACTCCATGGATAGCGTGGAGAGCGAGAGTGTGTTCTCACGGAGTCGCAGCCCGACCATCATGACGAGTGCCACGGAGAGTCACTTCGACTTGCCATCCAGCTCGTCCTCGATTTACCAGGGGAAAACGTCGACGCTCAGCGTGCCGCAGAAGCCCAAGATGGTCAGGGAGATGAGCACGCTGCAGAAGTTGATGAAGAACATATCTGGCGAGACTCTGAAAGATGGTGGCTCTGATGGCTGCAGGAATTGCAGAGGTCAGGACTCCAGTGCCGCGTGGGATACCGTTGGACTGCTGCGGGACGAGAACAGAGCCCTCAAGCAGCGGGTGGCGGAGCTCGAGATCGCAATCGAGGGAGTCCTCGACCTGGTCAACGGTGTCGGGGTCTAGTAACCAAAACGAGAGGGGGTCAGCGACTGATTAGAGTCCATGAGCGTCATTCAAGATTTCTATACATCAGGTTGGACCCGTTATACGTGTATATGCGCAATGTTGTTAGAGATACAGCTACAGTTACCAAGATATCCGAATTGTATTTTTTGTAAACTTGAACCTTTTCCGTTCACCGAGTGTGATTGCTGTACAAGAGCAAGGAAGGTTCAAAATAAACCACATCGGGGGAGGGAGTGTTTCCTTTGGTTTGCTTGCTCACTTGTCACACAGAGCACAATAAAATGCATGCAAATGAGGTGCCCTACTTCCAGGCCGAGTCTTATACCATCTCTCTCGCCCCGCTTAGTGCCACCGATTCACACTTTGTTGAATTGGTATATTCCGGAACCGTCCTTGTGGCCCTTAAACCTTACCAGATCAGGCTCTCTTGTAAAGCCCCCCTCGGCGTTCTAGCCCCAGCGTTCCCGTGCTACCTGGCAAGACATAGACAGGCGGCCTTTTGGAAAAAGCCTGGTATCGCACGGCCAGTCCATAACGAATTGACGCGATCAAGTGTTTGCGTTGCTCTTTTTTTCTGGGTCATGAGGCGTTTCGAACGATATGCACTCGAGGGCTCGTCCTTTGCGTAGATCTAGAACATGATCCCAGACGTCTGTGGGTGGATGTTGTGTTTTCGTTCCGAGTTCAGCTTTTACTTGTAAACCCACTCTACTTGGGAGCACTCGTGTCACAATGCAGGCAACCTGGCTGGGGTCATTGTTATCGTTGTGCAAGGTGAACGTGAACTCCTCTTCCTGTCCGCTGACCTCATTGAACACCGCACAGGGGACATGGCATTCGGGGGGTTCAGCTGTTACCGCAAAGCATTACGCGACGGGACGAGAAGGAACGCTAGAGGCTGATACCTGCTCGCCTTTCGAGCCATGAAACATGGCCCTTACTGTCTCAAAACCACGGCTCTTGATCATGCCCACACGGCATAGAGACTCGTTGCGGACCTCTAGATGATGTTTAGGCCATTGCACTTCGTTCGGCGTGTGCCTTCTCCATAATCTAGCCCGTATAGTTCATCTCACTGGCGAAGAAAGGCGCAAGAAGCTGAAATCCCTCGAATGGCTATGGCATCGTGGTTGTTAGTGGGCCTTCCTGCCTGCAGTTCATCTCGTCGTGTGCGAAACGGTCGACCATGACAGCCTTGAGGAGCACCGCTTTTCGAGCACAAAGATGAAGTCTTTCTAGAGTTCGCGATGCTGTCTTGTCTTGTTTTCTTGTGCCTTTCTGGCGACGCCCATTGGCTTCTTGCGGAATGCGGTATATGTACAATTCTCATTGACCCTGTCCTCCCTCGTCCTCCCCACGCTCTAGTGTCCGGCAGTAGTGGCAGGCTCGTCGCCGTGGTGGTGGTCATCCTTCAAAAAGAGGTACTCATATCCGCAGTAGGCGGCGAAGGCCACAGTGGCAATTCCCAGGCCGGGGAAGCCACGCTTGAATCGGTTCCACCTCGAGAACTGCCCAGTGTAGCGCCATGCCTCGCTGATGGTGTGTTAGTTCCCTGATCCTGATGTACTGCCATCGGGCGCCCGGGGGACTCACGCTCTCTCCCATGGGTCGTATCTCGGCTGGCCAGATGAGGCGACGAACTTTCTGACGTCGAAGCCGGTGATGTTGGGCCTCTCGCCGTGGCTCGCTCGTAGTAACCTGGGGTTTTGTTAACACGACCGCGCGGATACCGCCATCACTGTGGCTGTCAAGACTGTCGCATACCTTGTAGGAAACATTGTGTGTATAGTTTCCGCCTGCACACAACTGTTGGTGTCCTGCAGAGAGAGGGAGAGTGTGGTATGATCTCGATTGACCGGGAGCCAGACGTCCCGCGGCATGCAATTGGAGCTCGAATGTGGTATGTGGTATTGAGATATGCATCAATTGAATCTGGAACTGGAACTAGTGTTTCTCCGTAGGCTCGGCTTCGAGATTGGGGAGGGGTTGCAGTTGAGCTGCTGACGAGAACAAGTACAGTACCGAAGGTTACAGTACAGAGAGGCTTAAAAAATGGCTAAGCTGCACTGAGCTAGCCAGCCAGCTAGCTATCCTCCTGGGGGTTTCCAGCAGACCACGACTCACGTCTCACGACTCACCACTCACCACTGACGACTCGCGCACTCGCACTCACTCGAGCTGTATGTAAATTGACGGGGTGGCCCGTGCTTAACCTACCCTACTGTTGTAGGACCATGGATTCAGGCTTTGGGCTCTGGGGCTCTGCTCTGGGGCTCTGGCTCATGCTGAGATCTGACCTGTTGCGCTTGGGCCAGTGACCAAACCACCTGGCCATGTTCCATCGCAGAAACACATCTCTATTGCATATGCCAGTAGCATCTTCACATGAGCAGGTTTGAGAAAACTAAGACAAAGTCATATATCTACTCTGAAAACATAAAAATTCATTGCATGCATTTCACACCCCCCCTAGACACTCACTGCCAATTGACGCGCAAACGTGCTGCTCAAAACAGGACACTCACTTGCCTCCAGACCGACGTTGACATCGACATCGGCATCAGCACCGGCCCCTCCATCACTCAGCTTTCTTTACGCCCAACCCACCCGTCAAAGTCACGGCCAAGTCAACCAGCGAGCGTGCGGTATCGATAGCGGTGACGGTGCAAGTACTCCATAAGGGATCAGAAAAATATTGAACACACTTTCATGCACTCGGCGCAACTTGAATTACCATACGACGCAAACCATCGATAGCCATCTCCATCCTCGAGGTCGCTTCGGCGCTTCCCCCATGACTACCGATCCCAACCTACTTTTTAGTCTCGTACATGCAAGCAGGATCAAGGAGGAATACCTGAGATATCATGCCTCCACAATCGAACAGGTTCCAGCAGGGACCCCCCTCTATTTCGCCATATCAACACCAGTTCGGTAACCACCCTTCACAACCTCATGCCGGAACCCACCAGCCCCCAGGCTATCTGGCTAACTCCCAGATGAGCCCCTTCGGCGCTACCAACGGCCTGGGTGGCCTCGGTGCCGGCATGAACACGGGCGCGGGCTTCGGCGTCGCGAATCTAGCTGGAGCCGGTGACCAGACAGGTCTGGGCAGCCACGCTGCACGCATGGGCTTCGCCCACGGCGCGCAGCTGCAGCAGCAGCAGCAACATCCCCATCCGCAGTCTCACGGCCTCGGAGGTGACCACCCCACACGGACTGGCGGCGCGGCTAAGAATCGCATACGCGACGTGTGGCGGCATAACCTCAACGAGGAAATGGCTGTTCTGAGAGAACTGGTCGACGATTACCCATACGTGTCCATGGTAAGTTGGCATAAGACTCGTTTGGAGAGTAACTACGACTCGCCCTACTCCAATCGAGACACAGCTCCGCTAACGAGTGGCATCACTTGACAGGATACTGAGTTCCCTGGTATTGTCGGGCGACCCATGGGCAACTTCATCGACAAGAGCGACTACCACTACCAGACCTTGCGCGTCAACGTTGACATGCTCAAGATCATCCAGGTCGGCATAGCCCTCTTCAACGAGAACGGTCAGACTCCACCAGCGAAACCAGAACAGATCGACTCCAAAGACCTCAGCCCCTTTCTACGGAAATATCTGGCAACTCACGGCACAATACCCTATGCCTGGCAGTTCAACTTTCATTTCGACGTCAAGGAGGACATGGCCAATGAAAGCTCGATACAGTCCCTACAACAAGCCGGCATCGATTTCGACAAACTTCGGCTGGACGGTATAGACCCAAACGCCTTCGCCGCCCTCATGACCACATCCGGTCTTGTCAGTGACGAGGATGTCAAGTGGCTGTCCTTCCATGGCGGTTACGACTTCGGCTACTTTACCAAATGCCTGATGAACCAGGTCCTACCTAACGATGGCGCCAAATTCGAGAAAATCATGAAGATCTGGTTTCCGTCAACGTATGATGTAAAGCATCTTCTCAAATGGGCAATCAAGGCACAAACCTTTGGTTCCTTCCAGCCCAACGAGCCTGCGGCAGCTGAGATTCTCACAAAGTTCGAGCAAAAGTCAGGACTAGAAGCTTTGGCTGAGTCGTTCAAGATTAAGAGACTTGGCGCTGCTCACCAGGCCGGATCGGACAGTTTGTTGACCGGCAAGATCTTCTTTCAACTTAGAGACAAGATCTTTGGTGGTTCAATACCCGACGAACACATCGGTAAAACATGGGGTCTCTCTGTCGGAGGAACCATGACGATCCCCTTCACCGGTGGCGCTGGTACCGGTGCGGCCAACGACAAGGAGAACACGCCTACTAGCGGGCCGAATGGGAAGGTGAACGGGCCGAGCACACCCAGCACGTCGACTATCAATCTCGTCACTACCCCGGCTGCAGCACAATCCCACAATACCAACGGGAACGGCATCTCGGTGGCACCTATGACACCGGGGGGAGGCGGAGGAGTCTTGGGCCAGTTCTTCTCGGGAGCAAGGTAGGGCCGAGACTCCTGCAAGGTCCCATCTAGCCGTAAGACCACTATGATATCATGTCCACCTCCAGCACCTCGACTTCTACCCCAACCAGCACCGTTCAACCCGCTCGCAGTCGCGTGGGTTTCGAAATGCTCGAAGGCAATGGTTGCTGCACAATTCACACATACGCCCTGCCCCTTTTCACACTGGCCCATAGGCGCTGGGCCTGGGCGATGGTATCATAAACCTGGGAAACAATCTTTCTTTGTATGCCTTTGTGGTACACGTCTAATGTGATACACGTTTGAACGCTTACGTCTGACTGGAAATAACGGTCCACTAGACAACAAAATTCCTCTACATATGTCTGGATCCTGATTTGGATGAAAGATGGGAAGCGTCAAAACATTTCATTTATTACAGCGATGTCTTCAGGAATGAATGGTTCGGTTGGGTTGTAAACTTCCGTATGTAGTATTAGGAATCATTCATGCCCCATCTGGTCAGAGGGGCTGGCGGCGAATATACGGCTGATATTCTTTCTGCTTCACTAGGCATGTCTCCCCAGAACTCTCAATCCGTTGTCCTGGCTTGAATGCGATAGCGTCGAGCATGGCTTGGAATTCTACTCACTGGTGACGCTGGTCATATCTGTCATACGATCCATCGTCCTTGTCCGCACACCCGTCACAGTCTGGACCCCGACGTGGCCCTTATGCTGCCCCAATGACAACTCCAACCCAACTTCTTAACAAATGTTCATGAACTTTTCGTATACCGCTGTCTAGTTATTACAATGCATGTGGTGCTGCAAAGATGAGAAAGAAAGAAAAAGGCCTGTATTTCTAATCGAAGCTGGTCAAAACTTCACAAAAGATTCGGTACGCAAGTAGCAGCTAATTATTAAACCGTTGATACAGACTAAGTTCGCAGCGTGCTTGTGTCTTGTTGCATATAGTCAGGCTCCAATTGAATCCAGCGCTGTCTGTTCGAAGAGGCACATCATCCCTGGTCTAGCGAATGGTGTATATATATATAGTAAACAAAACACACGATGACCAGAAACCCAACGAGAGAAGGAGACGAAAAGACGCTTCGCAATCGCGGGTGTAGGAACGTTTTGCCATCTACGGATGGATGATGATGATGAGATTTGATCAACCGTTAAAGAAGAATGGATATTGGAGAAGAACAGGAGAAAGAAAAAGAAAAAGAAAATAGAAAATAGAAAAACGCCCCGCCTCCCCCTCCCCCCCAAAAAGGTGTTGGCCCCAGTTGAACCGGGCACCTTTGGGAATTGAAACCCAACCAGGAGCCGCCCATGGGTACAAGAGCACCCCAAACTACCACTGCGCCACAATGAATGGGACTCCAGGCCCCAGGGCAATTCAGTGTTCCCACGCCGGGGACTGGTTGAAAGTAGTTCAACAAACAGGCGTTATATTTACGGTCACCATCAAATGTGCTGGCGGGTTTAGGCCACCGGTAATTGTGAATACAGTAGATAGATGCACAGCACAAATATGAACGAGCCTACATGGTGGGCGATGTTTGAACTAGCTACATTCACATCATCAGAAACGCATTGCTGAATAGATTTTCTCGTCTATCTGTGTATGTCAGGTGTATGCCGCCAACGCCATCCATGCCAGTCCCTTTGGTCATCATATATCGTATCATGCTTGAAAAGAAAGAAAAAACCAAATTGAAACGCAACCATAAGAACTCCATACCGAGTAAGTCCTCAGCGTCAAGCAATACAATCTTTCCAACCCACCCTCCACGTGGCACTACGTGATGTATACCCTCCTCATTCTGTCCTCCCCGAACACCTCCCCCGTCCTCAAATCTTTGACTTGTCCTTCCAGCAGCCCGGTCTTCTTGGCGTAGTCCTCTAATCTTTCCTTTGCGTAGGCACGTCCATTGGGTAGGAGCATCATGTCGTGCTCCACGTGGCTCTTGTCATGATGGGCATACGGCACGTTCCTCGCCAACTCATTCAGCTCCTTGGAGCAGATCGGGCAGACGTTCTGCAGGCTCGCCACGGTGGTGTTCTCTGCTGTCTGCTGCGAGTCTTGGCTGTGGCATGCGGGCGTCTTGAGGGCGGACAGGCCCGAGTTGAGCGCCATGTGTAAACTGGGAATGGACGGCAAGGATAGAAGCTTGTTGTGTGTCGCTATGAAGAGATCGGCGAGCACATTCCAGCGCTGGGGCGAGTACAGAGCGGCGTAGGCTGGATACGCAGATGCCCGCGAGGGTGGAACAGCGAGTAGACCGCAGGCTTGGCGTACCTCGTGGGCGTGAGTCTGACGGTAAGGATGTAGCCATTTTTGGGCGTGTTTTATGGCTTCGTTAAGCTTCGATGGGGTATATGGTCGCACGAGCTCGATGTATTGTTGATACCGCAGCATGAACTCAAGGTTGGACTGGTAAGCGTTAGTGCGGACTCCTCGATCAAACGTGGCAGAGAGAAAGGAAACGGTGCAGGGAGACTCACGTCCATCTTCCTCAGCTCCTTCTTCGTGTCACCCGCCGTACACCATGCCAGAGCCTCGGTGACGCTCCCGTTCCGTAAGCTCTGGCTGATCCGGGCCATCTGCTCAAACGTCTCGACGTCAACCAACTCCTCGACCCCCCGATCCTTGGCCAGTAGCCTTGCGCTTTCTCCATACCCTTGCCTCAGCAGATAGTCTACGAGCATTCGATCCAGCCGCGTCCTGCTCCAGCCCTCATACTTGACATCATCGAAACTGTGCATGCCGTAGATCTCCGCCAGGTGCTTCACCCTCGCGGCTTCGTGCCTGTACAGGCGTTGTTCCTCCTCCTCGAAGCCGGCCAGCTTCCGCTTCAGGCCGCGCATGCGCGCCAGCATGCTGTCGATGGACTTGAGGACATCTTCGGTGGGCGGAGAGGTGTTCATGGCTGTCTGTGCCGTCTCCTTGAGCGTGTTCTTGATGTAGTTGCTGTCGTGCTCGACTGCATAGTGAGCGGAGCGGAAGTTTTTGCGGAGGAGTTCGAAGGGAAGGCGGAGAAGTGGTTGGTCCTGTGACGGAGCAATAGAGGTTAGCGACGAGACGAGGCAGATGTAGGTATAGCTACCGTGAAAGGGACAGGCATGAAGCGGGTGTGTAGCTCAGATGACGAAGAAAGCTCGCTTTATGGAGCACTCACGAGTAGTAGGTGGTTCTCGTGGTCGAGTTTCAAGTTCACAGGATCCGCCATGCTGAGCTTCGATCGTCGTTAATGGACGTTGTCGGCCGAACGTTGTTCAACTATAACCTAGTAGACTCCGGGGTTCGTTGAGCTGTGCATCCCATAGTTATGCATTGACGTCGTTAGAGTTGCGGTCCGGCACTTCGGACTAGTTAAGTTAAGCGGATCCGTGGGGTAAAGTGGAGCCGCTCATATTGATGCCTCCATGCGTCTGGCGTACACACATATGCACCATACCCCCTTGCTATAACATACATAGATTACCCAATAAAAATAATAAAAAATACATACCATTGAGATGCTCTCATTTCATATAAATGCACCTACATATTTCAGCCAGTCTTGTTGATTTGTACATCGCCCACAAAATCCTCCCGATCAAGGTATGCATTTTGTGAGACAGCATTCAGAGGTTTGGTTCGTGCGCAGATTGCGGGGATTCCAAGGCTCCAAGCATGGCGCCGAACAAGCCAGATCCAACCATGTCCCCTTGTGGTTGAGATAGAACGCAAACATCGGGTATTGCCAGTGGCCGCGCCATTCTTCCATTGCCTCGCAGCTGCTAACTTGCCGATTGCCCCCCTTCTTAATGATGGTCTTTACCTCACCACTCTCATATTTGATATTTCTGAACTAATCAATTAATAACCACCGTTTCTTTGCTCATAACATGGTTGTGTATTATGCTATCTATATCAAAGACACTTTCTGCTCGTTGGTCATTTTTATGGGATTTCCTTTCCTTTCTCCTTTAGACTAGCTCAACGCCATGTATCGCTGGAGGTCTTGTAACTTACATTTCAGTCGGCCCCGTCTCATCACCGGCTGCCAGGACTAGCTCTCGCATTGTATCCTGTCTCACAGATACCAATGCAAAAGTAGAGTTAATATATAGGAAGGCTTGTCGCTTAACCCCAACTATCGTCTTATTGCCATCGAACTGCGAGCTTTGAATGATGGTTATGAAGGGGTCGCTAGGCAGACCAAGCAATCACAATCATACACCCGACATTCTGTCATTGTACCAAGAAAAAGAAAAAAAAGTCTCGTTGCGCATCAGCCACTCCTCGTAGCTCGTCGCTGGTATGGCGGTGCGTTGGATTTGCTCGTGGGATACTATGAACTGGATTTGGTGCGTGCCAGGCCTGATTCATGAATGATCCTTGTGTACTGCCAAGTGGTACATAGACCTCTTGAGATATATAAGTAGATATAGGCGCATGATATGAATTCTCATGGAGTTCAGGCAGCGATGGTTGCAACATCTCGTTGCTGCAAATACCAAATTCAGAGAACCCCGATACTCCATACTCTTCGTCATCCAGAGGTAGTCCGAAGTTTGCCTCGTTCAAGCAAGTCGAGTCTTGGAAACTGCGATAACCTCCTTCGAGATAAGCTGATACTACTTGCGAGATTGACGTCAGGTAGCCATGTTGTCCGGCAAACCTCGGGACTGGAGTGGGCTGGCCTTTCATTGTTGTTGAATCGTTCACCGACGAACTAGTAGCTCGGTCATCTTGGTATATATTTCTCGAGTAGTGTTGTCCTGCGTAACTGTTTGAGCTGTACCCATGGAGTCTCGTCGCATGGTTTATGCTCGAACTGTTGGCAGTAGAGTGGCCGGCTGAAATATTATACGGCAGAAAACTTGCTTCGTTCAGGCACGCTAAGGAATTTGTTTGAACTGATTTGACTATGGTATGAAAGTAAGGACTTTCAGGGACGAGGCTGGCAGCCACATCATGGTGGTGATAGGTCCCGAAGGGTGGTTCCGAGGCCGCTGGAACCGGCGGTGGTATTGCCATAAATGAGTTTGAAAAGGAATGGCGAAGGTCTGAGGCTGATTCTGCGACGATGGTAGGTACCTTCGCTTCGAGCTGCAGCATATTTTTCAATCTCCCGTCTCCATATTCCCATCTCTTACCAATATGAACATGTATCATATCTATAGACTCCTGTCTCTTCAACACATCTTTCGCTTCGTCCTCGTCGCCGCCCATTTTGAGCTTCCGATCTTCGCCGATGAATCCTTGCTTTTTGGTCATCATCCAAAATTTCTGCTTTCGAGACAATTGAACAATGCTTTTGTAACACTCTAGTAGTCTTGTCTCGCTGAATCGTTTGCATAGGAGAGATGTTGTGATGGTGGCTAGATCGGGCCGGTAACTAACGGTCACTGTCTTGAAAGCCCACCATATTCTGGCCCTTGCCGGATGGTATTCGGCAACCGGGCCTGTACTGGGAATTGCGATCCAACTCTCATCGGAGGCTCTGCTTCGAAAGGCGGCGGAGCTGAGCCAATTGTGTCGGATGCGTTTTGTGCATCTGATATGCGGTGGCCCGGTGCGGACCATCTACCACTTTCGGAATCATAGGGGCTCATGTTGACCTCCCAATATGGAAATTAGAAAGAATCGATACCAGTCTCAAGTTCTAACGTCACTTGGCTCTATTGCGAAGCGGCAGGACCTGTGAGAACTGCTGGGTTTCCTATGCCGACTATAAATCGCCAGCAATTGGAAAGACCATTGTTGATGTTGATATGTACAGGTATTTCGGAGCAACCACGACGAACTGTTGTAACTGTCCTGACAGGAACATGGCCAAGATGATAAAATATAGTCAGACTTGTTATGACCACATGCACTTTCGTTAGTGGCCAGAGGAATGCAGACTCATCGAATGGCCAGCGATCATAACCAGCAGAGCGCCAGCGGGGAAATAACTGCGTAGTGTATAAATAGAACACTCGAAATTTTGACGGTTGCTACTAAAGCACATAGACACGGTATGACTCATGATTAGGCACCTCGGGCCTATATCCACATGAAAAGGGTTCGGAGTAGCCTCTGATGGGTGAATCGACATCGAGAGTCCCATCAAGCCGTCCTGAAGAAATGGATCGGCAGATTCGCTTGGACAGGTGTCACTAAACGCACAAAAGGATTGAGAATACCTAGACAACCTGTAGGAAATGTGTTTACAGCTCAACTGTGAGGGGATACGTAAGCACTAAATACAGTCGGTATTTTCAAAGAGAGAGGGAGGTGCGGGTAGGTGGGAAGAAAGAAAAAGAAATGAAAAGCTAGGATAGAAGGATGTCACAATGCGCAAAGTGAAGAACGCTTGTGATGAAGGTGTGGGAGAATGATGGGACTTGGAAAGTTCTTTTAGAAAAGAAAAACTTCAGTGTGCAAGCGCTATGGACCATAAAGCGTGCAAGGCTCAGCGCTCAGGGTCGGCCCAAAAGGGTAAACCCATTCACATTCACACCCTATCCACAGTCATGAATTCAATTGAAACACAAGCCTAGAGGTAGAATCCTTAGAATCCAGTGAGGTTGAATTACTATAATCATGATGCTAGGAGACCATCACGAAATGATGCTCAAAGTGCTCACCCCCATTTAACAAACCATGTCCACTCGAGGTCTGGTCTAGAAGACTTAGAGGCTATATACATGTTCTTAGGAGTCATGATAGGCTTGAAATTCTAGAACCTAAATGCTTTCTGGAGTTGGCAACTTTCTCTGGCAGCACCGAACCCTTTTCCCGCTTATGACACATTGGGATTATAATCGATTAGATTCTTATACTTTTCTCAGAAGACGATCGAAATTCTTGCGCAACCCTGGGAGACTAAGCTCCGCCGTTTTGTCTTGGAAATAATTAACATGATAGGTATCTATGTCCTGGAGGGTGACCCTCACCGGCCCATAGTTCCTTTTATCCGGCCACTCATATTTATAACCCATACACAGGTGACACCTAGAGCAAGTATCGATTTATTTTTAACCACAAAGGTCTCATCCGCTGGAGAATCAACCACGAGTTCACAAGTGAACATACAATGATCGCCTCAACTCGAGATAAAATTCACTTCACTACGCTCGAAAGGCATCAAAAGGAGTACATAATAATTACAAGCTTGATCGTTGATACCGGCATTTGTTTTTGTTATTATATACAGTGAGACAACATAAACACAGCGGCCATTTTCCGAATACTACTGCATATTGTAGAACATGGAGATCTGAAAAAGAAGTAAAAAGAATTAAAAATGAAATAAATCGAGGAAATCTTCTTCATCTCGGGTAGAAACTGCTTTGACGTGTGAAGACTTATGTCAACAACTTTCTATACGTGATGGGTTTAAGTCTATGTAAGCACTGCTGCAAAGCTATACGAGACTTGGTATAGTCGACCCCTGTTATAGACGCGGCCCCTACGTAGTCAGCAGGTGGGTATAATGTGTGTGCACCACTCTAGGATATGGCTTATTTTTGACTCTACATGGTAATTGTAGTGCATAAATCGTCTAGAAAACTCTCACTTATATATACAGTCGTCATCGGCAGTCTAACGAGTGTACGGTACAGCAGCATCTGTAGCATATGCATGACAGCTACCTGGTTGCCATAACGCGCATTTTTTTGTTGCACATGGTTGTCGGTAAATACAATAAGGTGTATCGAGTACGTGGCCCAAACTCCGTATCGCTGAACCGCAAAACCATTGATCCATCTCCGCAGAGCCGCCAGCGGGTGGAGCTGAAATGTGTGGGTGATAATTCTGTTGGTGCGGCCAGGCAGTCAGACCAGTGGCGCACAAGTAGACCCCCAAGACCTCCCAAGACCCCTTCCCGCACTTGAAACTCATCACACCACCCGTCCAGACCCACCCATCAGCCATCAGCCATCCACCACTTCTTTGGTCTGTGCTCTTCCCAGAGTCATCTGTCAATCACCCCGTGACCTCGCAGTTTCCCGTCCTAAGGCCATCTCCCAATTGCCCATATCATTAAGACCGAACCTATCAGTCCTCCGGGAAACGGCAATAATAATTAGGAAAACTGCATCTTACGGAAGTACAAACTTCTGCACAACAAGCCCCCGTTTTAATCAGCTCAAAAGAATCCCGTTTCGCGCGTCGCAAGTGGATTACCTTATCACGATCTCCTGGCTCCTGACCTTTCACGTGAACTCAAGTCACGTTCTTGGGATCGCGGGGACCGACGCGCGCTCCTGGGCGCAAGCCTTCATTTCATGTAAGTCTACTTCTCCTTTATCAACTGCATCCTATGGTGTATCGCCGCGTTGGAAATTTGGCCCCTCCGCATACCAGATCACTATGCGGCACACTCCTGGCTTTCTACCGCAGGTTTTTACGATACCTCGTTGCCAACGTAGCTCTCGCGTCTTCATGCTCCCGGCCGCAAGTGTGGCTCCAACCAAGATCGACGCGCCTGTATAAGTCGATATCTGCAGGTCATGATTACCGGCCGCAGATCCTCAAGACATTGCGCACTCAATTCTATCATTGCTTCTTCGGCTAGGCCAAGTCTCTTTGCAGCATCATTTGGGCTGGTTTTCTAGGCCGCTTGTTTCCATAGAGCTCCCCGCACCCAGTAATGACACGGCGCGCCCTCAGTCGTCCTATGCCTGTGCGTTGTGCAAGAGATGCTGCACAACGCCACGCGGGCACCTTGGAAACTGCACCTTTTCTTTGTGAACAAATCCAAATATTCCTGTTTGCTCATGATGCGCGCCTATATCCACGGCATACAGTACGCTGACTGCAATAGAGTTCGCATTTGCGACCCAGTCCTAGGAGACTTTATTTGGTATTGGGCCTGCTGTAGGTGCCGCCATCTGACAAGCTTCTCGCATGCTCAGCGATGATGGAGTCTGCCGCATATCAGAACGAGGCTGCCGCCCTCGAGCAATTGAATACCGCTGATCGAGCTTATTTAACTGCAATGGCTGAGGCTGTCACACAAGAGCAAAACGACTACACAACGCAAGCATCCACCAGTCCTACAGGTAGACGCAAGCGGGGAGCCCCTGATTCATCACCAGTTGAGTCAAGGCGGACAAAGCGTAATACCTCAACGGTAGCCATGTCGAGTCACCCTGATGCCGATGCCGCGGCTTCCTATGTCGAGAGTGCTGTTGAAGCGGCTCAGGCCGCAGCTGCTGCCAGCGTTAATGCTGCAGACTTCACTGCATTGCAGCAAGCAACAGCAGACCATCACGAGTCCGCTGATCCGGCTAATGCCTCGAGTACCGCGGCTGCAGCATTAGGTTCTATGTATCCCACAATCCACATACCCCCCACGACTGAGGAGCAGTTCGCTGCACAGTCCACCGTTGAGAACGAGCATCAACCATTTGGGACGAACGACATGGTATCAACAGACGGGCTGCATGACCCGGCAAATCAAGGACCTCTTCACGCACCGCATGCTCCCGGCCAAAATGGTATCAGACCCAATTCCGCAGTGTTTCAATCACCACAACCACAGGGTCCCAGACCAGCTGTTGGATCTGAAGAGTGGCACAAGTTACGTAAAGATAACCATAAAGAAGGTAAATCATCGAGTTCATTGGTTTGATGTACACAGAGCTGACTTGTCGCAAAGTTGAACGTCGGCGAAGAGAGACGATCAACGAGGGCATTAACGAGCTAGCCAAGATCGTGCCGGGATGCGAGAAGAATAAGGGCTCTATTCTACAAAGGGCCGTCTCTTATATCAGCCAGCTGAAGGAAAATGAGGCTCAGAATATTGAGAAGTGGACGCTAGAGAAGCTTCTGACAGAGCAGGCCATCTCAGAACTAAGCTCTTCGAATGACAAGCTCAAGCAAGAGTGCGAAAGGGCGTATCGAGAGATGGCTGCCTGGAAGTCCCTTGCCAGCAGTCATGGGCTTCAAGTTACTCAGTCGAAGGATGAGCCGGGTACTTCATCGTGATAACGTTCTGATTGCCTGATGCTTACCTTCCTCCTTGTTCGGCCTTACTCTTTTTTGTCTCGCAGTTCTACACGTGCTATTTTATTCTCTTTGGGGCATGGAACCGGTTGCAGACCAGACTACATATACGGTAGAAACTTTGGATTGGGAACACAGAGCTTCCCCGATGATTTTGGCGTTATGGCACTAGGAGTCTAGTAGGGAATTTTGGTGAGGGAGACTGGCCCGTAGATGGTCTGAAGATATACCCAGTGCGATGCGGAGCTTGAATCGTTGAATGAGATTTGCACAAAACATCAGCATAATTATCCACCGAACCATATTCCCGTGCTGTGTTTCTTCTAGGAGGTGTTGCCACTTTCATAAATTCATTGGGACCTGAAGTGGGAAATTCTGGAGCCTCGGTTTTACAAAACACGCACATATTTTATTACACAGACGCAGTTTCCGTGGAGAGCGGGATAAACGGCGAATGGTGAAAAACATTCAGGGGTTTGAAAAATTGCACTATGATCTTGGTAGCCCTGCCCAATGGGACGGTTAAGGTATGCATCCGAGGTGCGCAAGCGTGGAAGCAAGTAATCAGGCGAATCCTGTACAAGGTTGGGATCCCGTGGCAGTGCCAGTTGTTGGTACACAAGTTGCACGGGTGGCATGGTTTGGCTGGTTTCATTGTTCAGTTATGGTGCGAACCTGGAACGGATCTGTAGTACAAAGAACAACGGTTCTCAAAGAGTAATTTGTCGTAGAATCACGACTTTCGCCTCGCATACCCCACAAACTGTAGAGTTTTGCAAACTCCGTAGCTCCGCACCTAGCGAGCGCCCAGTGACAGAGAGCGGCCGGCCCCTCTCGCCCTGCTGCCACCTGAACTTGCGAGCACGTATGGAGTGAGGGAGTGAGTATTCAATGCTCAGAGGCCAGGGAAGACTGGAAGACTGCCCCTCGATTTGGAAACATGCAGATGCGTTGACATGGTGGCCTGACCTGAAGAGCGGCTGCGCTTTCGCTTTGCTTCGCTTGGCTTCGCGGTTTTGAATTGCACTGTAATGTAATGCGGGTACTACGTTAGTGACCCCCAAAATATGTGTGCCTCATTCACTTGAAAACCTAAGCATGATTTCCGTCCGTTCCTTTTAGTGTTAAGCCTCCTCCTCTTCCTCTCTTACAACAACACTCTCCCAACTTCTTTCTCTGCCTTTTTCGACAGCGAAATCTGCGACAACCATCAGATTGGTTACTCACCTTCAATAACTGTCCCCGGACCATCTGAATCACCTCTGTTCGCAGAGAGAAACAGTCTTAAACTCTTGCGGCTTCTTTGCCTGCTGACACACCAAACCGCCATCTCAAGCAACTGCCCTACCGTCTGGCACAGCGCCTACTACCTCGACCATATCTGTCGACTGTTTCGTCTGTAACCAGGACAGTCGCACTTCATACTAGAGGCTCTTCGTTGCGTGTCATCAGCGATCTAGCTTTCTCCCCCCCCTACTCCAGCCTGTGCTTCACCAACACCCCACGTAAACGGGTATTATTCATATTGCTGTTTATGTATCAGCACGACAAGAACGCTGTGTTTAGACACCAACCCCCTCTTACGCTGCACTCTTTTCGCATACCGCGGAAACAACGTAGCCCCAACATCAGCTCAGTCGGTTGAACTAGATTCCTCACAACGAGTTAATGCCTGCCTACGCCCACGACAACCTACTTCCGGTTTCCCTTATGTTTGCTAAGCATCAGAATCTCTACTGACAGCCTGGCTCGTCCGTCATCTTCTCGACACACCCAGTCGCCATATCGACACTCATCAGTTCGCAAATGACCTATTAGTTACAACGAACCCTCGTCACCCCATATTAACGAACCTGCATCGTCAAAGCCATATAGTCGGCCAGCTCTGCCCAGCCAAGCCGGACCAACCACACTCGTATATCCATCACCAGACTTAAACTATCTACAATACCGCCACCATGGTTGAACTACTTGCCATCAACCCCAAGAGGGCTGACGACAAGTTCTACCGCTACAAGATGCCCAGACTCCAAGTCAAGGTCGAAGGAAAGGGCAACGGTATCAAGACCGTCATTGTCAACCTGAGCACCGTCGCTCAGTCCCTTGCCCGCCCCGGAGGCCACGTAATCAAGTGGTTCGGACTTGATCTCGGCGCTCAGACCAACATGGATCCTCCGGATGACCGCTGGATCGTCAATGGCGCTCACGATGGTGAAACTCTGCAGAAGTCGCTCTTCGTCTTCATCGAGAAGTACGTCCTCTGTGATGACTGCGGCAACCCCGAGACCGACCTCAGCATCAAGGACGAAATTGTTCGAAAGGACTGCAAAGCCTGCGGTGCCCGCAGCAAGCCCTTGGTTCACTCCAACTTGATCAACTTCATCTTGAAGACCCAGTCCAAGAAGGGCAAGAAGTCCAAGACTACCAAGGCTGAGCGACAGGCCGCCCGCAGAGCCAAGCAACTGGGTCTGAACAACGGTGATGACAAGAATGGCAACGGGAGCGGTGATGACAACTCCGAGAATGGCTCCAACGAGAATGGCGACGAAGAGAATGATGACGAAGCTGACGACGACGAGTTCATCAAGGCTGCCGCCCAGGTCAATCACGCGCCCAAGGAGGTCAAGGATGACGATTGGTCTGTCGATATGTCTGAGCAGGCCGTCAAGGCTCGCCAGAACGCCCTTCCCGACGAGTTCCGTGACAGGCTCGTTCTCGAAGGTGCTGATGATGACGACGATGAAAGCAGTGGTCCCACTGTCTACGATGAACTTGGCAACTGGATTCTCGAACAGGCAAAGGCAAATGGCGTTGACAATGTTGACGATATCGAAATTTACAAGAAGGCCAAGGAGCTTGGCATCGAGACCAAGCACAAGACTGTCCTGATCCTGGCCCAGACGCTCTTCGACCAGAACATCGTCGCCCAGATCCCCAAGCGTGCTGGTATCTTGAAGCAGGTAAGCTTATCATGTTCTTCGTTTCTATTGACACACCTAACATGATTGTCAGTTCCTTAAGGATCCGGAGAACCCCGGCAAAATCTCCGACCGCCATGAAAAGGCCTTCCTGGGCGGCATCGAGTGTCTACTCGCCAAGGAGGGCAAGGAGAACCCCAAGCTACTCAGCAGCGACGTTGTCTCGAACAAGATCCTCTACCAGCTCTACGATAAGGAGTTGATCTCCGAGGAGTTCATCCGCAAGTGGGGCAGCAAGGCCAGCAAGAAGTACTGTGACCTCAAGACCTCTCGAGCCATTCGCAAGGCTTCCGAACCTTTCATTATGTGGCTAGATGAGGCTGACGAGGAGTCCTCTGATGACGAGTAAATGCGCTGCTCTCACGTGTCTGGTTGTACTTGACCTTCAAGCTCCCAACTTGACACCTTGATTCGTTATGCTTCTGCTTTTGCTTTTGCAATCTGTCGCTCCTTCACAAACCAAAAATCAACTCTCGGGGGTGCAGGGGTCTGGCTCACAAAAACTGCTTCTTTGGATCAATAGCGAGGAGGCTGGAAAAGTATCGCACAAGGGCCAGCTACCTCGGGGTACGTCTGCGCTCTGATAAACATATGTCGGAATATTGCAGTTCTTACAGTTCACTTAAATCAAACTGGTACCTTCCCCTCAAATTATGATTCTTACTGCAAACGTGACGACGTTCTTTTGAGAAAAATGTTGCTCGCAACAATAATCCCATGAACGCATTGCCATTGAACACGGGTCTTCCTCGCTGCTGCTTTGGCAGCTATGTACGTGTAAATCCGGCCATTTATTTGAACTTTTAAAAGACTTCACTACGTAGTTTCACAATACTACGTCGTGTATTATATAAGATTTATTACCGCAACTTTCCACGTTGGAATAAGATGATTAATAATTAAAACATTATTTTATATTTGTTTACTTATATAAACATAATATAATAAAGCTTGATTTCTTAATAAGAAGGATAAGGTCTCTATCGAAGATTATCTTACGCGTGAGAAACCCGTCGTAACCGGCCTCGAACCAGACGTCAGGTCGGCCTCTATGTCGTTGGAGTACGTAGGGCAGCCCATCCAGCGCTCTGTGCTCCCTTCGTTGTCTCCTTACACGATTCTGATGGACTACGTTGATCCAGTTATTCTAGAGAGGTCTCCGGAAGGCTGACAGGCACCGCAGAACCCATCTGAAGGCTCGTTCGTGTCCCTGCAGCCGCCGTGCCGGGAACCTCCATACCTACGGCCCCTTCTGTTTGTAGCTGTCTGTGGCTTTTTTACACTTGTACTCCTTCGCGGCCAAAAGCTTTTTGAAAGTGTGAGTCAAATCAGGTGACTGCATGTATGCTGGCCGATCAAAACTCCTCAGGCTGAGATGCCGCCATTCGAAGCGTCGTTAACCGGTCGTTCGACTCCGATGTACCAAAATATCTCTGCCCGACGCGTGCTGCGACAGGGCTGAGGGGCATGGCCATGAGAGCGGCAAGATCGCTTTTGTTGCTGGCAGCCAGGATAGAGAGTTTTCGCATGCCCCATGTGCGCCACCGAAGCCTTCTGTATTGGCTCCCGAAAGATAGGCCCTCCAGCGGAAGAGGATGGGTTTCTTGTGAAGCACGGTCTCGAGTAAGGTTAGGAATTCCCACCCATGGGCCTGTAGAAATAATCTACCCATAGGCTATCCATTGGGTTTCCAAATCCAGATAATTAAAATGTTGTTATCGGGATAGTTACAAACGTACGAGCCATATTGCCGTGCGCATATCACTCTATAATCCGTACATTATATTTTATACCCGCCAAGTACCCATGGGTAAGATGAGTAGCGATGGGCAATTTGACGTGGGTGGGAGCTCCTGGCATTGCGATAATAGTTGATGAAGAAACTCGATAATCTGGGCTACCTTCCAAGTGAGTGTGCTGTGTCTGGATGTAGGTAGCAATAACAGGTCATCACGCCGCTCAAGGGTTTAGGAGCTGCTATGAGTGACGGAATCCATCGATTAGTGCATGGCGAAAAAACCGTTTTGCCATTCTGTCGTGTACGGCTCAGAGGCTATACTGATAGACTCTCAACCCGCTCGAGGACTGGAAAGTCTTACACATGCTCCACTGTTGGCCAGCCAAAACGGGGCCAAAAGACTATAATTGTGTGTCACCATCGCTGTTTTCGTCACCCAAACGTGAAATGTAATTGAGTATCTCTGTATTTCATCACAAACAAGTTAGAAGGAAATCTTACAACGTAGAGCAGTCTGGCCTACCCCACCTCAGCAGAGGTCGCGCGATCATCGCACGCTTTAAAGCAACGCTGTTCACCTGATCACCCTATTGGCTGTCCGCCGGAGCTGTCTGCATATTTTCTGTCTATTAACACTCAAGTGCCCGGAACACAAAACAGCAGTGAAGAAATACCAAGGACATGATGATGGCCTGTTCAGAAGCCGGCTCCTGCAACAATTGTCCATCAGCTACCGAAACAGGGATAACGTGACCAACACCAAGTCTTATAAGTTGACCGTAGAAAACGCGCCAGTGTGGGAAGAAGACGCCAGCTTCTACCACTCCACCGGATCAACCCGGTTCAGATCAGCCTGTCCCTCCTTGCTATCCCAGAAACCTAACGAAATCATTTTAGCCTTTTTTCTTCTTCTTCCTTTTTTTTCAATTTTTTTTTCACTGCCAAAGAGTTGCGACTGTTTACTTACCGCCGGTCTCGTTCGCAGCATCATTATTCCCCCAATTATTATTGTTGGCCGTTTCTCCCCAGTCGCCATTCCCAGCCACGTTACCAGCTGAAGATGGTAGGGCTTGTGTCGGAGAGTTTTGGGGACCTTGATTTGATGCTTGGGTTGAGCCAAAGACATTTCCGCCAGAGGATCGAGGCCAGGCGCCCGGCATAGACTCGTTGGAACTGTTGGACTGAGTGCCCTTGTTGCCGTTGCCGTTTCCGTTGTTTGTAGGGCCTACGTTGCCACCAGAGGAAGGCGGCTTGTTGGACGGAGAGCCCTTCGCCTGTGAACCGCCAGATTTTCCGTTGTTGCTTTGATCATCGTTTCTTCCCCAACTCGTGCCATTATTCTGGTTGGCTTTGGCACTGTTGTCTCCCACGCCGCCAGTTGTATTATTGTTCGAGGTCTCGTTGTCGTTGGCATTCCACGTATTCTCGCCGCCCCATCCTCCAGTACCAGTACCGTTGTTCTGATTATCATTTGTTCCCCATTCGTCGTAACCAGCCGTCCTATTTTGCATGTTGTTGCCCTGATTACCTCCATAAGCACTATTATTGTTCTGGGCATTGCCTCCCATACTCCACTCATTACCGTTCGACTGAGCATTGCCATTGTCCTTGCCGCCATTCGCACCACTTGTACCACAACCGTCATCGTTCTTCTGACTACCTGCATTACTACCACGCTGGCTCTTGGCCTTTTCCAAGGCCTCATGTAACTTCTTGCTGTGCATCGGACTCCACCCGCCGATTCCTGCATCGTTGGCCGTTCCATTGGAGCCTTGGGGGCCCTGAGCACCCTGGGTATCCTTCTGTTTCGATCCGCCGTTTTTCGCTGGAGAGGGACGTGGCGCGAAAGGCCCGACGTTGTTCGAATTTTTATTTGCCGCCGCCCGGAGGGATGGGGACGTATTGTAGATAGCACGTTGGTCCCCGGGCTTGGGAGTAACCGGACCAGGAACCTGCGTGGTGAAGTTTCCTTGAAACCAAGGGTTTCCAGGACCGGGTCCTTGAGCGACTGGTGGGACCCAACCCGGCGGCGGTGGAGGAACTGGGCCTTGAGATGGAGGAAACCCGTACATCCATGGGTTCTGTGAGGGATGCGGAACACCGAGGGGCATATTGTTCGACCAACGTTTAGGATACAGAGCCCCGCAAGGGTTTCCATAAGCACCGCCATGGTAGACGCGCATAACACCATGCTCAGCATCGTAAAATGCGTTAGGGCGCGGGTCGTCAGCACATTCAACGGAGTGCTCGATCTGAAGGACTTGAGCATTGATTGGCATGAGCAATTCTGGTCGGCGAGGTAGGGGTTGTGAGAAAGATTTCGTTTTCTTGTCCTTCTTTTTGGGCGGAGCGGATTCGACGAGCTCTACTTTCTGATTAGAGCCACCGACTTGTTGTTCGCCTTTCTTGCTCTTCTTCCCATAATTGCCGTTTTGATCTTTTTGGCTGTCCTTGGATTTCTTCTTGGCACGTTCATCCTGTTTTTTAGTCTCGTTCTTGTTCTTGGCCCTTGGAATCTCCTCTTCGGTCTCGACTGCTTCGGACTCTTCCTCAAAAGTCTCTACTTGTGGCTTCTTGCCCCCCTTGCCTTTCTGCTTGTCGTTCTTGGACTTGGTGGTACGTTTGCTTTGGTCTTCGGAAGCGCTCGATTCTACTGCGGTTTCGGACTCGGCGTTGGATTTCTCTTCAGGCTTGGACTCAGGCTCAGACTCCTTCTTTTTGTTTTTGGTCTTCTTGCCTTTGCCGTCATCGCCCCCCTTCTCGTCAGACGTGGATTTCTCATTGGCCTGCTTCTCCTTGGAATTTTTCACCTTTGCTGCTTGCTCCTTCGCCTTCTTCTCCTTATGTTTAGCGTGGATCTCAGCATCCGACTCTGGCTCGGATCCAGAATCCTTGTTTGCCTGTTTCCTCTTGCTTAGTGTCTTTCTTGCAGATATGCATTTGCCACAAGGGCAGTCCGAGACGATGTCATCCTCCGTATCATTGCCGCTCTCAGCTGTGCTTTCGCCTTTACTGACCTCGGTATCGGTTGTGCCTGCGTCCTTTTTCGCCTGTTTCATGTTGTTCAGTATGTTTTTCTGTGTTTCGCACTTGTTACAAGGGCAGTCCGAGTCAAACATCGTGTCTGCAGCTTGATCTGATTCACTCATGCTCTCGCTGACACTAACCTCTGTTGCATCTTCAGCCGAGTCCTCTGCAAAGTGAACTCGTTTTTTGTTGGCCACACGCGCAAGCTTTGCTAGTCGATCCGCTCTTGGAATTGAAAGAGACACAGTGTCGGTGTCATTCTCATCGTCGGTCTCCCAGCAGAGATTGGCGACTGTTCTGTGACGCGAGGACTTCTTGCGGCGGGTAAGGTTCGCGCCCACAACCCATTCGCAAAATGAATTGGCATGTTTGGCACGCATTGTGGCATCTGACTGTGAGACGGTAATAAAACGATGTTTGATCGAGTTCTGTGAAAGTACCAATGTATGGGGAGGAATGAATAGAAGTATTCGAACGGCCGTCGTGTGAATGTGTCGCCGACTGAGAAATCAAAAGTACAGTTGGTAATTCGAATATGATGATGTGTCAATGTATCCAGATGCTTCTGTGGTCAACTTCTAGGATCCCAAGGGAGAGTGTGCAGGAGTTTGAGGATTGATGGAGATGATTTGGCGGGACATTTCCGAGGACGTGATGGATAGGAAGCTCCCCGGCAACCGCAAGTCAGAAAGTGCAACCAAGGACTGTAACGTTGGCATGAGCTTTGCAGGCATACACCTCAAGAACCAAGGTCCCAGGCGATATACTACCCGATAACGATGCCCGTGGCCGATTATTTCAAGTTTGACATTTGTCCTGCAGTGACCACCCAGACTTCATTTCGCGCCAATTGCTTAGCATCATAGCTGCCTTGCCGGAAAGAAATTTTGGGCACAATATACTCAATATTACAGCTTGGCCTTCTCTTTCAATTCCTGCTCCCCCCATGCTTTGTTGATCCGCATGTTTTGCCAGAATGTCCAACCACCCGAAATGACAGCCAGAGGCGGGTAGAAAAGGAGCAGCCAACTCCACCAGCCGGGACTGCTCTTCTGTATTTCCTCGATTGCATGATCGATGTTGTTCTTCAACTCAGCCTTGCCTCCGTCATTCCAAACCACAACCCCCTTTCCCTTTCCTCTGGCTTCGCATCTCTTTGCCTTGAGGCGCACATCCCCTTGACTCATCACCCGGTTCTCCGCATCTTCTCTGCTGAGATGGGAATCTCGCTCCATAAGTCTCCTCATCTGTACCTCTGGATCTCTGACTGCCACCACCATCACCACTCCACACATCCTGTCCAAAGCGCTCTCAAAGAGAAGTGGAACGTCTAAAATTACTGCCCAGTGACCTGTGATGTAGCACCAGAATAGGGATTTGTACATCTCCTTTCGCACAGCAGGATGCACGATACCATTGAGAACGCCACGGTCCTTCTTCCTCTCCTCGCTGTTACCAAACACCCGTTTGCCAAGTGCCGGCCGGTTTAACGGCCTTCCCTTGCCATTGACTCCCCTCTCGGGGACTGTATCTGATGGCTCAACAAGCAGGTCCGGCGTGGTAGGCCCAAAGTATTTCACAATCGCGTTGTAGCCAGCCGTGCCAGGCTCAACCACTTTGCGCGCGAGTAAGTCCGCATCGATGATGGGAAGATTGTAGGGTGAGGATGAGAGAATAGATGACACGGTCGATTTCCCGGTCGCAATAGACCCCGTCAGACCAATGAGGAGCATGGTGTCTTTTTCTTTAATTAGGCGGATCGCGTATCGTCGAGTCCGGTATCGAGCAGGTTCGATGACTCTAAACTATTCTACGAGCACGCAACAACCGCGACGAGTGACGTCGGCGTTCCTGACGAGCTCCCAGCCGGCACACGGGATTAGCCGCATGTCTTGGTGCGATAACGTCGATAAGACACGGTACCCTGACACTGGGATTAAAGGTACGCGCCGAGATTTCTTGGCGATGTGTTATAACGACTTATAATTGTGAACGTATAGCAAAAACAAATGTAATCAAATCTTTTCACATACGGGTTGTATTTCTTTTCAACTAATCCGTTCACTCCGTGTAAATCCCGAAATTCGCATGCACCAACAAGTTTGTGCATCCCACACGATTCTTGCCGTGGCGGCAGGCTAATTACCTTGCAACTTAGGCATCTTATAAAACATGTTCAAAACACTGTAAGTGAGAGAGATTTCTAGTATCAATATGATCCGACTTTGCGAGTCTTCAAGCCTACGCAGTGGCCCGTGTGTATTCGCAACTTTGCTATTCCCGAAATGTATTTTGGCTTAATATGGTCGCTCTTTCTTGCAGCAGCAGTCCAGACAAGAAACTTCTCATTATTTGCTACAGAGACACACAGAAAATGCTTACGTCTCAGGTGCTCCACGACTTAGACTTGCCAGTTTCGAGAAGCATATACGGCGAGTTGAGAAATACACCGCCAGCACGTTCGAGCGCTGCCTCACATAGGAGATGACAACCGTGCTTCGTGCGCAGCCGCTGATTCATTTACGTGAGATAACTACATTCACCATGAGTATCAGTATTATTGCAAACGGGGCAACAATATCGTCGTGGCTAACTGCTTATCGGCGCTACCACGAAAATTGATCAGGCTGCGAGCAAATCCGACCCAAGTGTGTCACTACATATGTTCTGCTACGTCGAGTTCGCGTGCCGTGGGCATCTACGGGATATGATATTTGGATTTGATGCGTTTTGAACTTAGAGTGACACTAATTGAGCACGCGCCGATGTCCTTGATCAAGGAAAGGGTTACGTATTGTGCCCATGACATGGATGATGTAGAAAGTTTCCATCGAGGCAACTACCCATATTCCTAGTCCGCTATGATACCACGTCTGCCGTTCCTTAACCGTCATATTGGTTTGTTTGTTGTGCTTGTTATTACGAGTTTGTTTTTGCTAACTATTTCATCATAGGTATATTCAACCTTATTAATCACGACACCATAAATATCAGCATCCCCTGTTTAGCAACACATAATGTAAGTATTAACCGAGTCCAGTAACGGAATCCAGCCACGGCCTTGTATGAAATTCATTCGTCTAGAAAAGGAAGCATTGAAGACCGTTGTGTCATATCAGTACGGTATGCCTGTTCCACTTTGTGGAGCATCAATTGGGTGGTCATACCGGCGGCTATAAGCGCACACTTTGAGAAGATCTCAGAGTATCTGCGTGTATCGCATTGTTTTCTCAAAGTTTCTCAGATTACGGAGTCTGAAGGTCCAACTCCAACCAACCATAGCAGTCGTCCAACAATGATAGCAATGGCGACTTATTCTTATGGGGTTCTCGGGCTGATGTCTCAAATTGATACCATTTGATTCAATGAAGCCATCTTCGTGTACTAGTTCCGAAGGTAGCTATAAGAACGGAATCAACTATAAGATGCATATGTTATAGAGTTATTACATGGTGAAATTGGCGCTAACCAGCCCACCAACCTTACCTTTAACCTAGTTAGTTAGTAGGCCTTTGACGAGACCTGCAAATTTGGTGGAACCCCCTCCAGCCCTGCTGGGCCTGCGATCCCTGAGAAAATTATTGCGGGGGAGGGGTTAATAAATTCTCGAGCTGCGACAGCGGGACAAATCTTTTTCTCCAGAGCAGTCGTCAAGGACTGCTCTCGCTTTTGATAAGAGATCACTCGATCTCTCACACTGCCAAGACACTTTATTCGTGATCGGATAGGAGCAACCGCTAGAATGCCTATCAAGTTCCCACTTCGAGTCCTGCTCATTGGCAATGGCGGCCGAGAAAACGCAATCGCGTGGAAGCTCAGCCAGTCACCCCATGTTGAGGCCATCATCGCGGTCCCCGGAAACGGAGGCACTGCAACTACGCCCAAGACTACCAATGTCGAGACGGTCAACTCTGAAGACTTCTCTGCCCTTCTCGAACTCGCCAAGAAGAAGAATCTTAACTTCGTTGTGCCCGGCCCCGAAGCGCCTCTCGTGGCAGGTGCCGTCGATTTCTTCGAAGAACATGGCATTCCGGCCTTTGGCCCCAGCAAGGACGCCGCCCTCATGGAGGGCAGCAAGACCTTTTCCAAGGACTTCATGAAGAAGTGGAACATCCCCACCGCCGCCTTCGAGAACTTCTCCGACTACGAACAAGCACGTAAATACCTCGACAGCGTGAACCATGACGTGGTCATCAAGGCTAGCGGACTGGCGGGAGGAAAGGGTGTTCTGATCCCTACAACCAAGGAGGAGGCGCACCAAGGTCTCAAGGAGGTCATGCTCAACAAGGAGTTTGGTTCAGCCGGAGACGAGGTCGTCATCGAGGAGTTCCTGCATGGTGACGAACTGAGTGTTCTAACCTTCTGTGACGGCTCTCGCATCAAATCGTTCCCCCCTGCCCAAGACCACAAGCGAATTGGCGATGGCGATCAGGGTTTGAACACTGGCGGCATGGGCTGTTACGCGCCTACCAACATTGCCACTCCCGAGCTCATCAAGGAGATGGACAACATCATCCAAAACACCGTTGACGGCATGCGCCGTGACGAGATTCCTTTCAAGGGTATCCTGTTCACTGGCTTCATGATCACGTCGAGCGGACCCAAGGTTCTGGAATACAATGTGCGATTCGGCGACCCCGAAGTGCAAACAGTCTTGCCCTTGTTGTCCGAGGACACTGATCTAGCCAAGATCATGGTGGCATGTGTCAAGGGCAATCTCGACGCTACTAACCTGATCATGAACATCGAGCCCAAGTTCAGCACCACAGTTGTTGTTGCTGCCGGGGGTTACCCGGAAGCTTACGCCAAGGGAGATGAGATGACTGTGCAGCAACCACCCAATGGCATTAACATCTTCCACGCCGGCACAAAGTTAAAGGACGGCAAGCTTGTCACTGCAGGTGGTCGTGTCATCGCGGCGACCGCGACAGGCGACAGTCTGAGAGCGGCCGTCGACAAGGCATACGAGGGCGTCAAGCTCATCCAGTTCGACAAGATGTACCACCGCAAGGATATTGCGCATCGCGCCTTCCGGCCAACCTCGGACACCAAGAAGGCCCTCACCTACGCTCAAGCAGGTGTCAGCATCGAGGCTGGAAACCAGTTTGTCGAACGTATCAAGAAGGCTGTCCGCTCAACGGCAATCCCTGGTGCCGACGCAGAGATCGGCGGATTTGGTGGCGAGGTCGACTTGACAAACGCTGGCTATGCGGCGGACAGACTCACCCTCGTTGGTGCCATCGACGGTGTGGGCACCAAGCTCATGATTGCCCAGGCAACGAAGAAGCATGACACCGTTGGCATTGATCTAGTGGCTATGAACGTCAACGATCTGGTCGTACAGGGCGCGAGACCCTTGATGTTCTTGGATTACCTCGGATGCAGCAAGCTAGACCCCGAGGCGCTGGCACCTTTTGTGGAGGGTGTAGCTGAGGGTTGCAGACAGTCCGGGTGTGCCTTGGTGGGCGGCGAGACCGCAGAAATGCCCGGCATGTACCAAGGTGACGACTATGATGCCGCCGGCTGCGCCGTGGGAATCTTGCAGAACGACCACCGTCTGCCTAGACTGGATGACATGGCAGAAGGTGACGTCCTGATTGGTCTTGCCTCGAACGGCGTCCACTCCAACGGCTTCTCGTTGGTACGCCGAATCCTGCAGGAGGACAAGGTCAGCTACTCGGATGCCGCGCCGTGGGACAACAGCGGAGTGAATGTGGGCGAGTCGTTGTTGACGCCGACTCGAGTCTACGTGAAGCCCCTGCTGAAGGTCGTGTCCAGGCTCAAGGGGCTCGCCCACATCACCGGAGGCGGCCTGTCGGAGAACGTGCCGCGCATGCTCCCCAAGCAGCTGGCGGCCGAGATCGACGTCTCGAGCTGGGACCTGCCCGCCGTCTTCAAGTGGCTGAAGAAGGCAGGCAACGTCGAGGCGGCCGAGATGGCTAGGGCCTTCAACACCGGTGTCGGCATGGTGGCGGTCCTGGACTCGTCCGAGGTCGACGAGGTCACTCGCATCCTCAAGGAGGAAGGAGAGACCGTTTACAAGATCGGCAAGCTGGTCTCGCGTTCGGGTGAGGGGTGCGTTCTCAAGGGTTTGGAATCATGGAACTAAAGGAAAGGCGGTCAAATGGAGTTTTAGAGAAATGGTCAACTCGGGTATCTAGATATTAAAAAAAAGAATGGGTAGAGTGAAATTGACATGCAAGAAAATGACAAACTCAGGCTGTACTATCTTATCCCTCTGCCGTGTTACTTGTGAGGTAAACCATATGATACGAAGCACGGTGATACTACCTACAATGTTACCGAGACCATCTGTGCAATAGCTACGATAGTGCGTTTTGCACGGGCATATACTAACACTAGCTATAACAGGAAGGCTCTGTATCACTGGACACTCGTTATGCTGAGACAACTTGACGTGCAAAGCTGGTCACTTGCGAAGACTCATAGTGGACGTTTCTGGCTTGAGATGGATTGTTGATTTCTTGCTTTGTATCTATGTTTCCTTGAAAGCGCCCATGTCTTTTAATGCGCCAGCTAATCTCCTATAATCACGGAGAAGTTCGAGGACCTCGCCAAGTTTCAAGTCTGCTGGGTTTTGCAGCTCAATGAACCTCTTGTTAGGAGGCTTAATCTGCTGGATCTTGACGTCTTTTGGCGGCAGTGCTGCAGCGATGTCTGGGAAGGCCTGTAATTAAAAGTTAGAGATCTGACTATGATGATATCCAAGAGGGGAAGGCTGAGCCACGATGATGGAAAGCTACGGCTGCTTTTGCATATCATCCACAAGCATAGCACGATGGACAAATGGGGAAAGGGAGGGGGGATACATACAGTACCCAGGTCGCCTCCGTCCGCAGGCTTGGCAACACTATCTCTCGGAGTTGATGTTGGAGCAGGCGTTGTTACCGAGCGGCCAAACGGACGTAGCATGCCAGAAAATTTGTTGATCGGGTTCAGCGAGTTTCCTAGATTCCTCGCTTGCTCAACAAGATTGGGGTTCGATGCTGATGATGAACCCCCAGGAGTGATTGCAGGAGTGACGAGCTTCTCCTTATTCTCCTCCGTAGCAAAGACGACCTTCTTCGAACTACTTGCGCTACGAGCACTTCGAGTGCTGTCTGTGCTGCGATCTCTGGAGGTAGCTGAGGCCTTCCTTCCTCCGACTAGACTGAGCATTCTGTCTTCCTTGCCAGCGGCTAGAATGTCACTCTCACGCGCGCCTGAACCATCCACAGATACGTCGTCGTCGGGGGGCGGCGTTCCGATGAGCTTCCTAGCGTCTTCGAGAGTTTTTGGTACCACTAGCTCGCCGTGAGAGGAGTCATCCAAAAGCCTTCCGCGCCAGAAGTTGAAACTATCCCCAAGACTGTTGGTTATATTCTTGATACCCTGATCTGCCGAATCGAAGAAAGAGTCCCTGGCATTACCAATGGCTTGCGCTGGCGTCTGTATCAGGTCACTAAGCCGACGACGCTGGGCAAGTGTTTTGGCGAATGTGGGCGACGGGGGTGCTCTGAGGCCTGACTCTTCAACGGGAGTAATAATCGCCGGCGTCGAAGCGGTCGCTGAGAGGCCAGCTGTGTATGCTGGAGGAAAAGTCTCTGCCTTTGACGTACCCGGACTGCCGTCAAGTTTGGATGGTCCCGAAAGCGCCTCACTAGCCCGCAGACTTGCCAGGTCGACTGTCTCGAGGAAATTTATAGCTGCTTCCAGGTTGGTAAGGCAGTAAGATGCCTCACCCTCAACCTTTTCTTCCCAGCGGAATCTTTCGATGAACTTCAGATCGCTAATGACACTGAGTTTCTCCGGCGGCATGGTGATTAGAGTATAGATAAGCATAGGCATGATTTCATCAGCCGATGAAGAAGGGTGGAAGATCGATAGCGTATCAACGATGCTCTTGTGTGCGGCCTTGAGGTAGTTCAGTTTGCCCAATGGATATCTTTTCTCGCTCATGGTGGTCAAATCTTTCCGCGCCTGTTCCAGAAACTGGCAGATTTCCTCCTGTTTCTTCGCTACTGCTGCGATATTGCCCTCGGGAAGCTCGCCAATCTTGACACCGAGGTCTGTAGGTCCGATGCCAACCATAGCTAGGGCAGCTGTCTTGGACCGGAGCTTGTCATCCTGTGCCTCATCCTGTGTGGTTCTGTGACGATATATCCGATCGTAGATACCTTCACACAAACGCCTCTCAACAGCCTCTTCGAGGAGAACCCTTTTATGCTCTAAAGCCTTCCTAGCCTTCTTTCTTTCTGCTAATTCTTCGGATGTGACCATTTGCTGCTCGGATTCTATTGCGGCTGTGTTCTTAGTCTTCTCTTTGTTGCCTAACGAAGCAGCTTTCGCTCTAAGGATGCTCGCTGCCGACGGCCTGGCCGTTACAGAGGGTCGTTGCGTTCGGTTCTGAAGCGTAGAGAGACTGGCTATATGTGTCTGAATGTGGTGGGCTGCAGTACTGTAAAAGTCTTGAAAGCGCCGTGATATGTTGTCAATGTTGGGTGGAGCGTTATGGACTTTAGCCGACAGCCCGTCGATGAAGTTGTCTATCTTGCTAACGAGTTCTATGGGTATGTCGTCTAGATCGACGGATGCTCGTGGGGGCTCGATTGGGTCGTCCGACTCAGCAGCATCAAAGGCATCTTGTTCTGACTTGGTAGCCTGCCTATTGCTGCCATTCTGAAAGGTATTTGCCCTTTGGGATCGGGTCAGAGGTTCTGGGTCTTTTGGAGACTCTTGACGGGTGAAGGATCTGGAGGTGCGAAGTCCCGGTTTCGCCTCGGAAGGTTTGAATGCCATGATGGTCTAGGTGACATGCAAGAACAGCAAGCACGGTATGGCAGATGATGAATACAGCAGGCAATGGCACAGTACGTGATGATGTGCAAGTGCAAAACGAAAGTAAAGATATCAAATCTGGTGACGCGACTATATCATGCGGTTTTCTGAAACGATAGAATAAGGTGTCGGCCCTCTTGGCGAGCTATTTGTTCTGTGCTAAGACTGTCTCCGGTTGTGATTTTTCGATAATGTCATGACAGGTCTCCCGGATGAGCCGCACATTGAAATATTGTCCAGGTCAAGCTTCTAGACGTGGAGCTATGGGGTGAAGCAACTGTGTGACAGACGATGGGAATTGAGACGTAACGGCTGTTATCGGCGACGCGATAAAAGAGGTCCACGTTCAGGGATACGACATACTGTACCTAGGCTGCGTCGAGGTGGAGAATAAAAGCTGCTTCAGGCCTGGAACCTGGGCTTGGACTTTGGGTCGATGAAGAGTTGAATTCAAGCCCGTCTTAGACTTGACTAAAAATACAATCAACTAAAAAGTAGTAGGCGTGGACGTGGAAGCCATCTCGATCGAGATCAGGTGAATAGGGCTTGGATGGCGTATGGATATATCAGCAGGCAAACACTTTTGAGAGGCTGGAGACGCTTGTCCTGTGAATTCCAATCCCATGCCACGGGACCTCTACAGAGGAAAGATGTAAGAAAGATGGCAGCTGCCCCAACGGGGTGTGGCGCTGTCTTATCCCCCGCGTTCACTGGGCCGACACCACCGGAAGCTGCAGGCGGCTCTGAGTCGTGCATGTAATGTAATGCTACTGTACGGAAAGTCGAAACCGGACGCGAGCATTTACACCAACAGCATGGCCGCATCTTTCGCATGGCATAGTATGACACGGCATGACAATGGGAGAGAGAGAGAAAAACCCTAATGAGATGGTTGCAGGCCTTTAAGATAGAATTTTCCTTTTTGCTCGTACCTTATCATCTCAAACTGTAGCCATTAAGACGTTTGGGATTATGGGCATGGGCACTTGTTTGAAGTGTCCCATTCCCAGATATGGTGCAGACGAACGCCTGCAGGGGTGACTAGGTTAGCACATGCCGCTTGTTGGCCGCATCGGAGCATTTGTCCACTGAGCGATGTTGTCATAGGCGCCTCAGCAGGTGGCACGCGATAACATTGTGGATACGGGGTCACTACAGTGTAGGCTACTGCATCTATCCTATCCATGGTATCGTAGATGGTCGCTACCTAGAGATCTACACCTACACATACACATACACTACGACTAATCAACGACGACGACGCCGGTGTACTGACTCTTCCTCTGGGTCTTCACCGATTTTTCATCCTCTCGCCTGAATGCCTTCACCATAACCCGCGACAAATGAAAGATGGCGCGCAAGAGAACCTCCCGCTTAGACTGCACCTCTGCTGGCAGAGTAACCGCCCAACTGCTCTTATCCTTCCTCGCTGTATCCACGACAACCCACGCGACACCCGACCAGCGAGCGCAAGTCGCCTTCGGTGATTCTCCTGTCTTATCGCCTTTCATACCAGAACCCGACCTAGAACCCCCGCCGCCGGCGGAGCACACCTTCACATTACGCCACATCCTGCATCACGGAACCTACAGGCATCCGGGCCTTCACCGACGACGGGATGTGCCGGAAGCCCAGGCAGCCCAGGTATGGCTTGCCTCCGAGGACGGCCACCAGGCAGAGAGGGTGCCTCCTCTGAAGGCCAGGAGCTCATCTCGAAAGATCGAGCGGTTAGTCGATAGAAGACCCGCCGTGGTAGATCCCATGGTTGCTGAAGCAAGAGAACGGGGTTACGTGCTGGCTGGCCTTCCCTCCGCATGGACCATTGATCATGTTCCTGCGCCCAATGTCACAGATAAGGAGACCGTCTTGAGCATGGCTCTGATTGCCTCAGACGCTTATGTTGCCATTCCAGGCATGCCCGATTGGGAAGAGGTGGGCGAGCCATTCAATAGAAGCGCCGACTTCGGCTGGGAGACAGATGGCTTGCGAGGCCACGTCTTTGCCGACGAGAACAACTCCACCATCGTCATCGGCCTGAAAGGAACGTCGCCCGCTGTATTTGATGGAGAAGGCACCACCACCAACGATAAAGTAAACGACAACCTCTTCTTCAGCTGCTGCTGCGCCCAGCAAGGACAATGGTCCTGGCATCAAGTATGCGACTGCGCCACTAGCACATACAGCTGCAACAACACGTGCGTGGTCAAGGCACTCCGCGCTGAAAACCGCTACTATCAGGCTGCTCGAGAACTATATTCCAATGTTACCGAGATCTACCCAGATTCCAACATCTGGATCGTTGGCCACTCCCTCGGTGGAGCTGTCAGCTCCTTGCTCGGTCTGACCTACGGTTTGCCTGTTGTCACGTTCGAAGCCGTCCCAGAGGCGTTGGCCGCTGGACGCCTTGGCCTTCCCGTCCCTCCGCATGCCGATCCACAGTATCCTCAGACGCGTGAATATACTGGAACTTACCACTTCGGGCATACTGCTGATCCTATCTATATCGGCACCTGCAACGGAGCCACAGCCACCTGCTCATTTGCTGGTTACGCCTTGGAATCAGCGTGCCATACAGGGTACGAGTGTACATATGATACGGTCGGAGATAAGGGCTGGCGTGTCGGAATAGGAACGCACAAGATCCGAGCAGTCATTAACGATGTTATTCGGAAGTATGATACGGTACCCGAGTGTAAGTATACTCCGGAATGCAGAGATTGTGGAAACTGGAAAATGTACGAAAGCAATGGGACGGAATCAACAACTTCTTCAAGCTCTAGCACCACAACCAAAGCTTCCAAGACACGTACCAGGACTGCAACCTGTGAAACGCCCGGCTGGTGGGGATGTCTTGACGAAACTACCACTACGACGGGAACTACGACTTCGACAACATCCTCTACTACAACTACGTCGACATCCACGTGCAAGACGCCCGGATGGTAGGTTCCCAATCACTAGTTCTTTCTTACTTCGTTCTGCATGTACTGATTCCCAAATAGGTTTGGATGTCGTGACAAAGACGATGCTACAACAACGAGCACCACATCAAGTTGCAGCATTCCAACCGCTACGACCACTTGCGAAACGCCTGGTTGGTTTGGATGCAAGGATAAAACGGCAGCAACTAGCACAACCTCACGTGAACCACTCATTACCTCACCGCCCCCAATACCTGCGGAATTACGGTAGCACATGATAGCATATCTCATTTGAATTTCAGATAGTTACAAAACATATCACACGCACCGACACTCCATACTACTGACATGCCATGGTATAATCATAGTGTGAACTACCCATGCCCCATTGTCACCTCGATTTCTGGTATAGTAAGACGACTTTTGAAGCAGCTGGCCTGGCCCGGAAGGCAAAATAACATATCTCGTACAACCCGCTTGCTGGCAGTCAATGTATCAGTCACTAGTTCCAGTGTTAGTGAGTATGTTCGAGGTAGTATAAAGTTAAGCGCGTCAGTGCTAGAATAGGCGCCTCAGTTACCAAAGATTTCAGAACAAGTCAACCAGCTACCAAAGTAATGCAATGTGAAATTCACAAGCCTCTTTTCAGCACACGAGACCCGATGATCCATGTTGGTCCAGTAGTAAAACACTCATCCCTGTTACCGCATACGAATCGCCAAACCGACGTACCGCCGTAACGTCGTAACACCATATACCGTACACGAAAACAAAATACAGAGGTTAATTTAGGGAGGATTCAATAATAGGAAATCAAATTGATTCTAAGTGGTAAAGATGCCCACAACGATATGGGGGGAAAGTCCCACAATCAAACGCCAACTTTTGCAGTATAGTATTCATCTCCTTTGTCCTATCTGCCGATCTAGATCTAGTCCTTGGCGGATCTTATTCGTTGTTTGTAGTAGAGGTTTTGGTCTTGTATGATGCCTTTCTACATTTTGACGTTATAGTTCGTTCCAGGTTCAATGCCACCGCCATGCTGTCCCGCTCCCCAGATCGAAGTAACGAGACAATCACGATAACACCTCGCCGCAACCCTGAACTTCCCATTTGTCGGTCTTTCTCATAGCATTTTATACAGGAAGTTGAACAACAAAATGCCGACTCATTCGCAGCCATAAGAATTCATCATAATTACATCTATAGTGATATACCCGATCACAGGAGGAAGGCCTGGTCAGTTCTGTCTAGATGCCATGGCATAGGCGCAGGACCATGGCCCCTTGGTCATTCCTCCCTAGCCATGTCATAGGGCTAAGAATTGTGATCTTTGCTATCTTGGAACGCTTATCTTTCCTTGTTGCTGCTATCGCACTTCGTCCCAAAGCCACGACGACAACCGGCCATAGGGTTATAATCACCCTACGATGACGACACTGATACGGGTAGAACAAGACTTTGCCCTGCGTCATAGCTAGAAGACACTCTTCCTTTACAGAGAATCGGGTACTGGACAGGACACTCGAGGAAAACTCGAGATTCACGACGCCAACAGTCCAGTCATTTAGAAAGGAAAGGTTCAACCCCAAGCCAGGTACCATCGGTAATTGTGGCTTCGAGGTAACTCAACGACGGTCATTTGGAGCAGTGGGCGAAATTCAGTGGTGGGAAACAAGTGTTGATATCTTGGAAGACCTAAATGTCTCTGAACGGTTCGTCATTGGTATGATGGGTGTCAATAAGTGAGGTGTAGATGTACGGGTTACGACGACCCGTTCAAAATCCTCACTAGTGTCTTCTGGATTGGATTGCCCTTCAGAATACGAAGCGACGTAGAATGGGCCTGTGCAGTAAATGGCATTGCCCCAGGTAGAGTATGGTCGGGCAAATTAGGACTTAAATTTTACTTCAGTGAACCACCAAGAGGCATAAGTGTGTAAAGAACGAGACCAATGAGTAAAATCTACTGTGATGTATTATTTATTGCAAGGTGCGGGTGTGTGGGGAATCTTTATACCATCTGCTCAACTACCTGCCCAGCAAAACAACCAAAGAGCCAGTCCTTTTTTCCCCCCCACAGCCTAGCCCCTATTTAATCCTCAAAAGAACACCCAGTCCATGCTATACCCTGCTTGGAATGCAAACGCTCAAATCAAAATACAACACACTGCGGTCTGCCGAAACCATAGCTCGGCTTGTTGTGCCACGTCCGTTTGCTTACTCCTTCACTGAGATACTAGATCCCTAATGCACTCCGTTTGTTTGCTTCACGGGGCTTGCTCTTCCATTGGAGCCGCCGTTCGTCAAGTCCCCTAAATTGCCACCCTGCTGACTGATAAGCGTCTCCATGAAGGCAATGTAGTCAAACTGTGGAACGCCTCTGTCCTCGGCCATATCGGGTCCTTTGTGTTCGGGCACGATCTCCATGAGCTTGTCGATCACTTCGTCGGGTACCAGCGAGTGCCGGAGATCCATCTCTGTGACGTATGGCTTGCCGTCCGCCACTTCACGGAAAGACTGGAAGACTTGCTCAGCGGTGTTCTGGTCCTCGGTTACGTCAACCATGAAACGAATGAATTGTTCGAACGAGACACGATCACGGCCGTGTGAGGTCTCAAGGAAATAGTCGTGCATCTCGTCTTCCGAGAACACAAGACCCAGTGACGCAAGCGCGGCGCTGAACTCAAGCTCGGAAAGCGAGTTTGTGTCATCACGGTCAAAGTGCCTGAAAACAGACTCAAACTCCTCAAGTTGGATAGGCGTGAGGTTCGTCATGTTACGAGCGACCATCTGGTTCTCCAAGAAGGCAAGCTTCTTTGACACGCTGGACTTGACTAAACCAAGTTCGTATTGCAGCTCGTCATACGTGTAGGTGGTAAAGTCATTCTCCTCGATATTGGCTTCCTGGCACTTTGCGTCGACGGCTTCGATCTTCGCTAAATATGCATCTAGTGGCGGCAGATTGTCTGAAAGCTTGCGGACATGCAGAAGCTGGTCCTCCACATCGCCTTCTAGACCGGAAATTGCGACTTGCATTGTGTTGAGGGCCAATGCAAAGTCATTTGCTTTATCAGCAAACGATTTCCGAAGGGCGTTTTTGATACTACAAAGGAAGTTAGTTTGATCTTCCTGAGATGAGTTGGTGGCATAACGTACTCTCTAATGGTCTCGTTGATGAGTTGGCCACGCATCATTTCGGCTTTGGTGAGATGAGCCCATTCCTTGTCCATGACTTCCAGCCTCAACTCTGGCGGTGGCTCATAGATTCTCAGCCGATATGTCGCCATCTTGGTCTTGATATTGCCTAGAAGCGTTGCGAGGTCAGTCTTCTCGGCAACCCATGCTCGCTTCTGGCCTCTCTTGTATGAAGCAAACGCGGTAGCCTGTTTCTTGGCGTCGACATATGTTCCTTCGAAGGTGGCCTTCTGCCAAGTGTCTATTTGTTCCCTCAGTTGTCTGAGAAGCTCTCTCATGCGCCTTTCATAGGCACTTTGCATCTCCCAGGCGCCTTGCATATTGTTGATGAACTTTTCCACGCGGCGACCTGCATTTTCGACCTTTTCCATTTGGGAAAAGGCGTGAAACCAGTATGCAATGTATGTCATCATACTTCTTTCGTCAGGCTTTGCAACATCGCAGACATCTTCTACATCCAGCAGGGTCGGAATACCAATCTCCTTATGAGCGATATCAAAAGCCAGCTGCATGTTGCCTCTGTGGTCACTTTTGTCCAGAGCATCGTAGTCGATGAGATCTGGGCGATGGATGTCTAGTAATGCGCAGAAGGCCAGACCGTCGTTCCAACTAGAACTAAAGTCGCGCACTTCGACCTCGTCGTAGCATGCTGTTTTGCGCTGACACCACAATAGTAGACCCTCTTTTGCTGTCATACCCTCCTGGTTGATGTCGCTAATTGTGAATCGTAGAATAAGTGTCCATATTAATCCGAGGATGATCTTTCGATTGCCGTCCACGATATCCTCGGCGCCGATGTTGGTCATCTGGATGCCTCTGGATCTGACGAAATCGAGACCCAGGTTTGCATTTTCGAACCGCTGTACTCGTAGCTTTGGCTTGGCGGCATATCGGCCCAATGGTTCCTGGGAGAGACATTCGAGGAGATGGATGAGAATGACCTTTTGTAGGATGCAGTGAGCAAATAGTGTTTAGAACAGAGCTGTCAGATGCAAAACTTACGCCACTGCTCAGGTCGGCAACCAAGTCCTTTACTTCTAGGTTCCTCACTTCGATCTTGGTGTTTAGCCTGCGAGACCAATCGGATCAGTTTTTGGTATGGTGGGATGGAGCTTGTGAAACGACGACGACGTCGACGACAACAACAACAACAACAATAACAGCAACAACAACCGGACAGTATGACATACCATGTGTCCAGTTGTATTGCATCGCGTTGCAGATCGGGTCGGGGAAATAGCTTACCATTTGGTGAAAGTCTTCTGCTGGACGGTGATCCATTTCTGGTGCTCCATCTTGGTGAGACTCTCCCGGTCAGGGGTCTCTGAACTCTCTGTGGGGGAAGGTTGAGAACTCAGAGAATGGCGCTGGAATTTCTTTGTCTTGGATTCTTTGTCGGGATCCCTTTTTGCAACGCCGACACTGGTAAGAGTGCTGGATCGTTGAACACGAGCAGCATGTGTTTCTGGCTGCGACCGGTTGGCAAGGGAGCTGCGCGTGCGTCGGGATCGGGGTGGAGTATATGGCGTCGTCGAAGACGAAGACGAAGGCGAAGAGGAAGGGGTCTTCTTGGTCGGTGTCGAGGACGGGGGTTGAAATTGAGAAGGAGATTGGGAGCCGGACAAAGAGCTGTGTTGAATCTCCGGCGTTCGTGGTGGACTTGTTGCCGCCGTGCCTTGTGTATTTTGTGTATTTTGTGTACTATGATGTGTGCTAGCCTGTTCTGTTGTCTCTACTGATGATGCTCGAGATGACTGATCGTCTGGTTCACTGCTTGTCTCGAAAGCGCTGGTGCTACTATTTGCAGCAGCGGACGTGCCAGTGCGACTTTCAGCGTCCCTTTGGGGGTCCCTTTCCTCAACTTGGACGCTTTCGTCTTCGTCGTCGGGCTCGGGCTGCCAGGTAGGGAATGCTTCTGTCAGTGTGTATTCCACACTAACGTTGACATTGATTGGATCTGGTGGCCGAGCAACGGGCCCAGCCAGAGCCTCGCCTGCGTGTGGTTGGCTGCTACTGCTGGTGGCACTCTCGCTAGGCCCTGTCGCCTCTTCGGTGCCCCTATCTTCCCCGCCATTGGCGCCAGCTTTACCTGCGCGGCCCCTGAAGAAGGCAAGCATCTTCGCCGGTGATCCGCTAATCGATAACGCCGGGCCTGCTACTGTACTGCACGAAGCCGCACTTGTGCTGAGCGATTGTATTGTCTGTTGGCTATTTCCAGGGGTTCGGCTTTCTGACAGGTCGCAATCGCGTGTTAGCGCCCCGCCGGCAGATGAGGATCAATTTCAATCCTCGAGTCTGATCATCAGGGTCTGGTTGTCTTCGTCACCTCATTTGCAAAAGTCAGTAATCAAATCTCCGTATTATTGGAAAAAGAGGCCGCCGTGAGAAGTGCCCAAGCCTCAACTGTGCGGCCAGCTTTCCCTCAAATACATTCTGCGAGCCTGCACTACGCTTCAGAACTCCTTGTGCATATCGGTTCTTTCAGATGGCTGTTCCGCCTGTCTACATTTAGATGGGTCTGGGTATATCTGCCACAAGCCAGTATCTGAAACACTACAAATCCGAACCTTGGCTGGCCCGGCTCGACGTCTCACTGGGTCTCGGATGCCCATCGGGCGAGGGACCCGCCCATTAAAGAACCTCTTGTCCCGTCACACCCGCATCTTATTAGCCAGATCATCCCATGGGTCCCCTTCTTAAGGCTGTGCACCACGACGCAAGTCATGCGTCGACGTCTATGTATCCTGTCTTGGTCTATTCTTACCCGAGTCTACCTCGTCAATCGCAAGGATGGGCTTTCTCTACCATCCTTTGCCCTGTGTTGATATTGCTTGTTGCCTTGAACGCTTTCGGTAGTGACCTTCCAAGTTTGGAAAGCTGGGACAGTTTCAACCAACTTGGAACATCGCACACACTGAACGCGAACATGAGAGCATGCTATTCGTCCGCGACTAAGGTGTTCAGACTCTAGAAGCTGGAGAAGGATCCCACAGGTTCTAATGCATGATGAACCCAATACGCCATGTTCAGGCGAAGTCGATCCATCACTATTCTGCATAAACTGCTAAAGTAGTCCTGACGAGCCAGCGCGTCAGCGCTTTCCGACGATGGGGAGCTTTCTTCCGGCTTCTAGCCAGCCTAAGCTTGTTCCAATAGGCTCTCTGGTCTGATGTCGCCATGTTCCCTTGCTCATAGCTCACAACGAGTCTGTTGGTCTCGAAAAACAATGCAGCACTGAAAACCAAACCGGACGTGATGTCGCCAGCGTGTCCCTGTCCTATTTCTGGAGACGAGGCTACGTTTCTCCAGCTAGTCGGTCCAATTGTTTCGAAATTCATGGATCACATCACTTGATGGATGCCAACATAAACAAGTACACATTCGAAGTGGGGCATGGCAATCGTTCTGGCAGTTGCAGAAGCCGCTGCCAACTAATGATTTCGTTGTTGGGGTTCGTCATGCCAGGCTGTAAATGGAGAGGAAGATGACTGTGACTCTGCGCAGTCCAAGATGACCAACGACAATGTGGCAAAGATTCAAGAGCCATGTGAATACTGGACTTCTGAAGTTTTACTCGAGGAGGATTACTGAGGATTGGCCATAGAATCACTGGGGATTGGCTAGATTGACACCACTATAAACAGCATGTGAGTGATAGCTAAACATTTCAAGGTGTTTGCGGTTCTTGGCAGTGCCAATACTGGAAGGTCGATCGACTAGCCCCCACCTTTGAATGGTCAGCAGCAGAACGCCATTGGCCGTTAAGTGGCGGTCCGTATACACCCGACCTCTTGGGCTCCTCCATTTTCAGTCTCGGGTTTTGATCCCCGTCCACAACGTACTTAAACTAGCTCCGTAGGTCGGAGGTCTGCCGGCAACTTTTTTGTCGAAAAGTTTAAGCTTCAATCTTGCCGTGTCGCATTGAGGCAGAGACTCGATTGCCCACTGCATATCCCCATCATGGCCTGCAGATCGAGAATAACGCCCGTGCTGCGGCGCGCAAGGACAGCCAGCTTCATACGACCGGTGAACAGTTCCCCAGGAGCATCCCGCAGTGCTTTGCGATGCATCTCGACGTCGAGCCCACGCCACTTCACAGCTTCCAGCTCGATTAGTGCCAAGTTCACCACCGACACGTACCCCGAGATCAAGCGCGATGAGCGATTTGCTCAGATCACCCCTGAGCATGTGAAGTTCTTCAAGGACCTCCTGGGCAAGGACTGTGCCGTCATCGACGGCGTCACTGCCGAGGTCTCGACCGACGAGATGGAACCCTACAACGGCGACTGGATGCGCAAGTACCGAGGACACTGCAAGCTCGTTCTGAAGCCCGGCTCGACGGAGGAGGTTTCCAAAATCCTCAAATTCTGCAATGACAACATGCTGGCGGTCGTGCCCCAGGGCGGAAACACTGGCCTTGTTGGAGGTAGTGTGCCAGTCTTTGACGAGATCGTCATTAGCACGAGCCGAATGAACGAGATTCGCAGCTTCGACGATGTGAGCGGTATTCTGGTCGCTGACGCCGGTGTCGTTCTTGAGATCGCAGACCACTTCTTGGCTGAGAAGGGCTACATCTTCCCCTTGGACTTGGGTGCTAAGGGAAGTTGCCACATTGGCGGCAATGTCGCAACAAATGCCGGTGGTCTGAGGCTCTTGAGGTACGGCAGCTTACACGGTAGCGTGCTGGGTATTGAGGCTGTTCTTCCCGACGGAACCATCGTGGACGATCTGAGCAAGCTCCGCAAGAATAACACTGGCTACGACCTGAAGCAGCTTTTTATTGGTGGCGAAGGCACAATCGGTATGATCACGGCGATCTCGATACAATGCCCGCAAAGATCCAGCGCAGTCAACGTGGCTTTCTTGGCCGTGGACTCGTATGAGAAGGCACAACAAGCTTTCAAAGAGGCGAGACAGCAGCTAGGTGAGATTCTGTCTGCTTTCGAGCTCATGGATTTGCGAAGCCAGAAGCTGGTTCAAAAACAGCGCGGCAGCAAGAGCCCCTTGGAGGGCGAGTCGCCCTTCTACATCCTGATCGAGACAAGTGGTTCCAACTCGGAGCACGATAGCGAGAAGCTGGGCAACTTCCTCGAGGATGTCATGGGTAAGGAGGTCGTCTCGGATGGTGTCCTCGCAGAGAACGAGACTCAGATCCGCTCTTTGTGGAGCCAGAGAGAGGGTGTACCCGAGGCTGTTGGCCACTGGGGTGGCGTCTACAAATACGACGTCTCGATACCGCTAAGTGAAATGTACGACATTGTCGACGATGTCAGGGCCAAGGTCGAGGATGCCGGTCTCATCGGTGATACGGATGACTTCCCTGTCATCGATGTTGTTGGATACGGCCACATGGGTGACTCGAATCTGCACTTGAATGTTGCTGTGAGGCGGTATGACAAGCGCGTCGAGAAGATACTTGAGCCTTTCGTGTACGAGTGGATCGCCGAGAGGAATGGCAGCATATCTGCCGAGCATGGTTTGGGACTTGCAAAGAAGAATTACATCGGTTACAGCCGAAACGAGACGTTGGTTAAGCTGTTCAAGCAGATCAAGAACCTGTATGATCCGGTAGGTCCGCCCATCTACTTATCAGCAGATATCGGAAACAGTGCTGACCTGGAAACAGAAGGGAATCATGAACCCGTACAAATACGTATAGAGCCTGCACAAGTATATACCGGAAACATCAAAGGGCGATGTACAATTTTATACACAATATATCCTTTGGACATTTTACCAGAAGAGATGAGTCAAGCGTAAACTCTTGAAATGGTTCCATGACCACGTGAATGTGATCCAGCTCTGTCAGATGCCGATCTGGAGTTGAATTGAGCCAGGCGGCAGAAGAGCAGCATTGAACATTCTGTTGCGATGAGGCAAGGACTGCTTCAGCACCATCTTCACCGCGCTACTATTCGATAGAAGGCACAATTGATTTGGGATGGTCAATAGTCGCTATATTTGCTGTTTGTAGGCTTTATGAGAGACAGCAACGGGTTCAGGCCCGGTGATTCGGACGGTGTCCCACCGACCACATCCCATCTACATTTCCAATCAGTTTCAGGCCCTACGAGAAGGGACACCCTCGAATAATGATATTCAGTGTTCACTTGTCTACTGGTGTACTCCGAGACGACCTATGATCTCTGCGTGTATGTCTTGTGATATAGCATGTGCCCTGCGCATATTTGCCCCGTAGCTGGGACTTCTGGTTTACTTAGGCCACAACTGCAAGTAAAAAAAACATATATATAAAAATATAAAAAGCTTTTGAAAAAAAAATTAATTTATTAAAAAAATAAATAAATAAAAACTCCCTCTCTTGAGGCGGTGTTCGTAAAGATGCCCGCCCTTCTTCTACTGAAGAGGTCGTTCTTGTGATTCGAATATGGTTGCATTGCTTGGGCTGTTAAAACATCTCATGGCATTCCACATTATTAAACACCAAAGCAGAATAAATATCCTTCAGATACAACGCATCTTATGATCCTTTCAACGTTTTTGGGGGTTCTTCCTGTCAAGTCACATCTAGGAGCACCTGCCCTGAAAGTGCGGGAAGTCGAATGAATCCCCCATACGCACATGAATCCCGTGCGCGATAAGATAAGCCTCGCGGCTCAGCTAGCTTCGAAATTTGCTGGGTAGTCATTGGGACAGTGGCATCGCAATCGAAAGCATCATCGGTAGTCAATACAGACAAGAAATACTCCATTTCTCAACGAACTAAAGTACGCTGTAAAACCAGCAAGCAAGCCTGCAGCTCGAATTAATACAGAAAGACCATTGCTCCGAACGAGTCAAGCGACACCCAACAATATGGACGGCGACCTCTCCAACTTCGAGCTCGACAGGCTCAACGACAAGGATAAGGAGCAGCTGCGCACATTCCTTGCCAACGAGAACCAGAAGGCGCGCGTGCAGTCGAGTGAGTTTTTTCTTTTCTTTTTCTTCTTCTAGCCTGCTATCAATGGCTTAATACGGCCATGTGGACCCTTTCCTGGCGCTGTCATGCAATTTGGCGACAACGAAACAAGTCGAAACGAGAAGAAAGAGAAGAAAAAGAGACTGGGCTAACAGGAGATGTTACAAAAACAGCTGTACACTCCCTCACGGATCTTTGTTGGAACAAGTGCGTCACCGGCGCCATCAAGTCGGGCCAGATGGACAAGAACGAGCAGAGCTGCATGGCCAACTGCGCCGACCGGTTCTTGGATGTCAGCAGCCTTACGATGAAGCACCTCCAGAACATGCGACAGGGTTGAAGGAGCAGGTAGAGAAATTAGGGGAAACTACAAGCAAACCCAGATGCGTTGTGAAGAACTCGAAGATCACCCCCCAAGTGACTGCTATTGTTGGAACACTTGTAGCAGTTTGGCAGCCATGGTTGTCAGCTCGACCGAGTATGTACTATATTGTACTTTGCTGTATGACACAAAAGAACATCAATCAAAATTCGTTCACAACATGTATGGAGACTGGCACGTGGTCACGTAGATAATATTGACGGAGAACGACGAATGATCGTGGGAGGGCGGCAAGTAAATTTCATTTTCCATTGTCCTCATAAGCCTGTCCCAAGGCGAACGCCATTTCGATGCAAAGAATTCCTCAGGCTTGAACCGCCCTCATACGCTGACATTCCCGGATATCATTTCTGCGACCCTGCTACCAAAACCATGTTTAGACAAGAGCCAACTTGGTGGCAGCAATGTCGAGAGCATCGACATCGGCGGTCAAGCGGCAGTAGGCCTTCTTGGCACCGTCGGGGCGGATCAGGGTGTTGATCTTGAGGGTGTCAATGTCATAGAGCTTCTTGAGAGCGCCCTCTGAAACAACCGTGTTAGTGCTTGACCTTTCCAAATAGCATGCTTTCCGAGACTTACTGATTTGAGCCTTGTTGGCCTTGATGTCGACAATGAAGACGAGGGTGTTGTTCTCCTCAATCTTCTTCATGGCGGACTCGGTGTTCAAGGGGTTGATGATGATCTTGTGCTCATCAAGGCGGTTCTCGTGGTTGATAGCCTTGCGGTGGTCTATGACAGCATCAGTTGTGCACGACGGCAATGTCTTGAGGAGGAGGACTTACACTTGGGAGCACGGGACAGAACCAGAGTCTTGGGGCGGTGGAACTATTGCAACAATCTTCTTTAGCAACGCAAAGGCAGTGATTCAGAGGTGGTTGTTACTTACGGTGGTGCTGAGTCTGACCTTGCGGTTCTTGTGGGAGTGGGTTCCCTTCAACACAGCCTTTGCGGCGGCAGAGGCCTTGCCGGACTCTGTGTGTAAACGCATCAGCAATCGCTCTTGTAGAAGAACTCGCAATATCTGCTGCAGCTGTATGCATCGTCGAGTCCACCAAGAATGGTCGAAGAGGGCGATTGAGCAGTCCCCATCAGAAGTATTGAGGACTCGCAAAATGCGCTCCGCCAAGAACGGTCGAGGTGGATGATTCAGCAGGCGCCCTCACATGCAGTGCATGGAGGACTCGCAAAAGTCTGCTACAGCTGAATGTGTCGCCGAGTCTGCTCATTTTGAGCAGTCGACTCGCAGTTCGTTCATTTGTCGTGGGACATATTGGAATGTTCGATCTCACGTACTCTTCTGAGGGGCCATTTTGTTGGTATTGGCAGGTGATGGTCGCTGCGGAATGGGCGGTTAGTAGTCGTGATGGCTTCTTCGTCAAGGTGAAAAAGTTCGAGAGATTCGAACTTTGGAAGTTTTGGTGGGCGTAGGGTTTTCGCAAATATGGCCCGTGCATTCCAGAATCTGGGCGGGGGAATAAATTGTCCGTGCAGCTGGTCATAGTGTATGATACAGTGTTATGATATCTCACACTGTCAGCCACGAAAAATCACCAAACGCGGTGGAAAATACAGTCAGGCATTGGCGGTCAAGTTGAAGAAAACTGATCTCCCAAGAATCTGGCCTCGTGGAGTACATCAGCTCTATATTGTTCTTATATCAACAATGACGCATACTTGAAAATCTACAAAAGCCATGGCTCTCAAGAAAAAACGCGGTGGCAAGAGCTTGGCTCATGGGCGCCCACCAACACTGCAAAAACCCAAATCAATATCACGCCAAGCGACAAAATCATTGATCAATGCCCACCATGTCCTAGAGAAGCGCAAAGCTCAGGCAGTCGCGAAGGGCGACAACGCCGCGCAAGCTGCAATCGACAAGGAAATTGCAGCACTGGGCGGGATCGAGAAGTATCAGCAAGCAAGTCTTCAGGGCCAGCGCAATGATCGGGGAGGTGATAGTTCCAGGGTCTTGATGGATTGGTTGAAACCAGTTCAGTCCCTTCTGAAAGCAGGAACGGATCTCCCGCTTCGCATGCTTGAGGTTGGGGCTTTGAGCGCCACCAATGAGTGCTCGAAAAGTCGCTTATTTGCCATGGAGAGGATCGACTTGAACAGTCAGGGCGATGGTATATTACAGCAAGACTTTATGGCAAGGCCACTTCCGAAGGACGACTCCGAGAGATTCGACATCATCAGCCTATCACTGGTTGTGAACTTTGTTCCAGATGTCCAAGGACGAGGTAGCATGCTCTTAAGAACACTGGACTTTCTCAGGCCGCCAGGCACTGCTGTGGATGGCCCTGACAGATTCTTCCCTAGCCTATTCCTTGTGCTTCCCGCACCATGTGTGACGAACTCACGTTATATGGACGAGGCTAGACTTGAGGCTATCATGAATTCCTTGGGTTACACGAAGACAGAATCTAAGCTGACACAGAAGCTGGTTTACTATCTCTGGACTAGGACCTCGCCCGTCGTATCGACTGCCAAGTTTGTCAAAGACCAACTCCGAACAGGCGGTTCCAGAAACAACTTTGCTATCGTACTCCAGGGCTCGGCTGGCTGAGACGACCGCAACATCGGGTTCTGTTTTCTCATTTGTGCCTCATAAATCATCATCGTGCATGAGGATCGACTTCAATACATGCCAACTCAATTGCATGCAAGTGTTGCACCTTCCCAGTGTAGGTTTCTCCAGTGAGCCAGCAGCATAAGGATTACAGTGCGCTTGAATATTGACCACTGGGAATCCACTTCGGGATCACGTCTGAACATCTTGTCCATCGCAATTTTTCCAAAGTGAAACATGCGACAACCATGACGAGCACGACAACCCTTCCGTTTGCACGCCTTTTCCCGGAATCTTCGTGATCGACGGCCAAGTGGACGGACCCCGCAACCCCAACCGCTTGAATCTTTGGCACTACCAACAATGTTCCACAGTTTTGGTCAGACGACACACGCTGTGCGGGGAAATCATCGCACTGTTCGTCCTTGCGAACTGATGGCTCATATCTGAGGTAATTCAGCTTCGTGTAGATCCTCTGTGAAAGGGTAGCAGATGGCTGGCGGCCAATTGATGTCGATTGTGATATCTCAACTCCACCTGCTCAACCGATGCACGAAGTGGCGATCATCGTCAGCATGCCACTTATACTACAGATTGTGAGGTGGCTATCGCGGCTCCCAACTGCCGGATATATCTCCCAGCACTAAAAGCACTGGACGAGTCATTGTTCGATATAGCCAACCCCATGGCCCCATATCAATGAAGCTATCGATATCAGACGTTGAAGTATCTTCATTGGCCGCCTAATGAAACGGAAGGTGCATACCACCAAACACTGGACCCCAATCGTCTCTAGTTGCGAGCGTGTTGGAGTACAGTATTGTTACCATTTTAAGCCGGTTGCTTCGCTCTTTCTCGAATTAATTACAAGTTTTCAAGTCGACCTCAGCTGTACAACCTATTTTAGTACCAATAGTACAAATAAGGTGTCTCTGCCATGCAGACGGCTTGGCTCTTCGAGCATGTCGACATCTTTTGAAGGTAACGATCGTGTACTTTGTGCTACGAGTAAATCACATGTGCTACATGAAGTTCCCAATACCGTTATCATGGAGATGTAGTTTGGAGATCGTCATATAGTGGAGCAACTGTAGTAATATTCTCTTGATCATCATCAATAGTTACAACGTGATGATAGTCTTGCGCAGTAATCCGATCCGAATATGGGTCGCAAATACCAAGAAGCCTAACTTGAAACAACTCGATAAGTATACTTGACAAATACTCGAAGAAGTTAGCCCCTTTCGGTGACCATGTCGTCTACTGTTATCTTTGCACAGTAAACAAAACGACCAGGCTGAAATAGAATCGCCAGAATCCTATCGGGATCACGTCAACACGTACAGGCGCGGCGCTCGGCAACCCAACTTCTACCTGCCAAACGTTTAGACGCCAGCTATCTCCTTAGCCAACGCGTCCGGCGAGGTACTATGAGAGCCACCGTTGTATTTGTGACGTTGCCTCGGTGAAACAAGCGGCGCCGGCGACTTGCCCGTTTATTCCCCTGAAATACCATAAACTCAAAGTCAATCAGTGTAGCCTTGTTACACGACCATCACACCACCGTATGATGAAACCGTGGTTCATCATGAGCCCCCGTCGTATCGGGGGACGCTCGATCAATCGTCAAACAAACTTACCTTGCTGCTATGCCCCCGTTTGACATCTAACCCCCAGAAAAAAAAGAAAAGAAAAGAAAAAGGAAAGATTACCCCAGCTTTCCCATCAGCCGAGACCCCCTTGTCAGCCCAGTACAACCTACCTTATCGTACCCCAGATTTTAGGTTTTCACCACCGACCCGCCTCCATCAAATCAGCCCACTTACTTCTGAAGCGTGCCTTACAATCCACATCAGGGGCTTATATCTTGCTTTTTAATCGGGGGGCTCCCCTTGCTTATCGGCCCCCTCGGACGATAAGCAGGCGAGTCAGGGTTCCTATATTTCCCGCTTATACTTTTTTTCGCGTCTGTATTCCGTCAAGGCAGCCAAGGCTCGCCTGCGCATGGCCAGCCCCGGGAGCGAGAGAGCGAGACACGGTGCGGGTTCGTATTATGTCTCGCTTGTCAGGGGCTGGGCGGGCTTTAGAGGAACTCTATTCTTCGAGTGCCAGGCGCAAGATTTCAACGGCCTGAGAGCTTAAAACAAGAGTCATTGACGAATAGAGGAGCACATCAGCACGATTGCGTCCTTGGGCTTGTTTCATGGATAATGCGGGCCAAGTAGTTCAATGTGTGATAAGCTGACATACTACTGGCGACAAGAAGTGGCTGTACACAGAAGCAAGTCTGGTCATGAGTGGCAAAAACGAAACGGGATGGCATGAAGGAGCCATCATTGAATGCCGCTTATTCAGCTCCGCCAAAATCGTGTGTATTGCTTGCGAGTTCTAGTTATCAGATGCACACTACTTCGTAATATTCATTCGCTTTATTTTATCTAGCTTAGCAGCCCCTATCTTTTGTCTTAGATATTGTACACAGTGGCTGACACAACAGCCTGCATCCGAGAACGATCACGTGATGTCAATACCTTACAGATGCAAGGCTCATTCCACAACTCTTGGCGATCCCTTGGGAGCAGGTGGCTCCTGAGGCGTGGGGGGCGCTTCACCGACGGCCTGAGCAAGTAGGTGATCCATACGCGATGGTTCCTCCTCCGTTTCATCGGTGCCGTTGGATGGCTTTTCGGTCTTGGTAACGCCCTTTGCACCGACCTCTCCATTTCCCAAAGTTTTGAGCCGCTTCGAGTCAGGGGCATTGTCTCCGGATGCTTCAGCCGGTTGCAAGTGAGCTGTTTCGGTAGCCTCTATGGCAGCCTCATCAGCTGTTCTTTTGCCCAGCGCGTGTAGTCTCCTGATGGCGAAGTCGTCTTCGATAGACTCGAAAGTTTCCACAACGTCGTGCTTGTCGTAGACCTCAGAGGCTAGTTCCGCATTGCCGGGCCGTTGCACGACGACTGAGCGCATGCCAGCCTCGATAGCAGCCTCCACCTCCTTCACATTGTCGCTTAGGAAAAGGAACTGGTTAGGTGTATACTCGGGATGCTTGCTTGCAATCTTTTCGTAACTGGACGGTTCCGTCTTAAGCCCGGCATTGACTGTATCAAACCAGTCTGATATCAGAAATGTCAGATCTGAAGAGTTTTCGGCATTGGTGTGCTTAAAAAGCAGCTTCTGAGCCGGCACAGACCCCGAGGAATATATCATGAGCTTGATCTTCTTCCCGTGCCATTTGTATAACATGCCAGGCACATCAGCAAAGAGAGGCGCCCTGATCTCTCCTGACCTGTAGCCTTCTTCCCAGAGATACCCCTGAAGATTCTTCAAATAAGAGATCTTGACATCGCGACTCACGAGATCAACCACATGAGCTTGAAAAGCGTCTTGATTATCTTTGTATTCAACAGGGAAAAAGTTGCGATACTCCTTGAATTTCGGGTGATCCCATTGTGTCTTGACAATCTCTGGGAGGACCCTCAATGCGTAAGGAAACTAAGCGGAATATTAGTCAGTTGACCAATCATGTTGTGTTCTAGGAGCATGAGCATTGGTTTTGCCACTCCTGGCCTAGATCGTCCATGCAAGATAGCGGTGCGATTCAAGACAGCTTAGTAGGGGTACTATTGAACCAACTCTGGGACTGGAAATCTGGACGATAGACTCGGAACATATCCGATGGGAGGAAATCATCCCGAGAAGTGCAATCTCTGCCATGCATCGTCGATCGTCATGGCCCTTCTGACTGCTCACCGACATGAACAACTTCGATAATAATGCCAATTAAAGGAAGGAAGTATTCCAACAAGACAAAGACTTACCAGAACATCCCGGACGAAACTAATCTCACAGACAGTTCCTTCTAGAATACATAGTATTAGCAAGCTTGCACAGACCAACGCAATACTATCGTGTGCGGCGGATCATTGTGGATAATCGGAAGGTAAGAAAGCTCAAGCATGGGGAAGCTCTTGGGTACTAACCAATATCGAGAAGCACAACCTGGACATCGGATGAGGCAGCCATGTTTCTGGAAATAGCCCCGGTGGGTTCCCGATTTCCAGATTGGTGTGCAAACTTGGATATTTGGAAGTGCGATTCGGGAACCAATCTTAGACTACCCGTCAGTGCGGAGCGGTGAACGCTGATGGTCGCGTTCAGAGACGCGTAAAGGGAATTGTTTGAGTGGAAAATTTTCTACAATGTCAATTCAGACAAAAACCATGCCGAATCAGACACGATTGGAATGTCAAGTGTGGGCTAAAGTGTGGTTGACAAGGTGTTATTGAGATGGCGGTCAAGGCTGTGAAAGTCTAGAAACGGCAAGAGGAAGCTCTTTTCGGGTGCAAGTCCACGATGGTGACCCGCACCAGCTCGATGCTTGGCCTATAAAGTGGTTCCGGGGCCGGGCTCTGCGGGCTTTCTAGCCCTTGGGGGCCGGGCTGCAGCGGTCCAGGGCTATAAGCTATGGGTGGAGTTCATGTCATGCGCCTAACCCCAAGACCCGCCTGCGCCAACCTTGGACGACGCAAGCTTGCCCGACGAAGACGCAGAGATTATAGCATCTCTCTTCTAGTCCACAAGCTTTTGTAGCACGAATCCTCCATCCTACATGCATGCATGTTGCAGAGTTTTTTTTTTCCTGGGAAAAAAACAAACAAACAGAAAACGGTACAATTACGGTGTACGGGAAGGGAAGTCATTTTTAGCGGTTGCAGGAGTGGCAATACGCTGACAACACATTACTGCAGTATCGATAAGTTACCGGCTGCCGATAATATATCAACTACTGCAGGTGTTGCGCAAGCTTCACCTGGGCCCTCTTCATCCCAACCTTCCTAAGGTTAGAGCCTTAGAGGGTGGGCGGATTCATGTAAGCAGACAGTGCTGGGAATACGTTCTTGTAGTCATACAGTAAGCAAGAAAGCATCAACCCAATGTTTGAAGAAGAAGAAACGAGTAAATCGAATGACAGCAAGGTAGACCAACAGGAATGCATTGAATCGAACGCCAGAGAGCGCATAGCTGGCTCTAATACTATATAGTCCGTGCATAGTACAGAGAATGTCAGTGTACCCGAGTCAGCAGAGCTTCGTTGAGATGAACTTTCACGGCCCAATCCTGATTTGATAGTATCATACCCGTAAACAAACGAAACAAGTATCGCAAAGCCAGGTTACTAGAATCGCATCACACATCCCGTGTTGTTACGTTCTGTCCTGTAGCAAAGATGGCGTTCAAATTACCGCTTTGCAGTTTCCAGTTTTTTGTAAAGCATTCACGTGAAAGCGGTGGGAATCTGGGCTGGCAATTGGGTATTAGAGCTGGCCAAACTCCACGAATCTTTCAGGGTGTTTAGATCGGAACGGGAATATCACGATGCTCATACGAGAAGCTGCTGTAATGGAGCTAGAAATTTGCATCGGTCATTTGTTTGTACACGCATTACCTTCGTGGTCGCAAATCCGGCATCCAACATTCCTCGAGACATCCATCACTGCACGGCAACACCAATGATGAGGCTCGCTACCAAGGAACAGCCAATCTGAAGGCTAGCCGCAGGAACCTCCACAACAGCAGTCGTCCAAGCATACGCCCGCATAGTGCCCATTGCTGCACCTCGGTAGCACTGCAGTTGAGGCGCATGGAGGGCTGGTACTCCAAGCCAAACAGCTGTGTCGAAACGTCTTTCCTTGATTCTACTAACCCAATGAGGAACACACATCAGGTCGTGAGGAGCCCAAGTGGTGTACTTGGTCTTGCGTTGACATAAACGAGGCGTAGAAAATAGCGACAACATTTATTTATTTATTTATTTAGTTAGTTCGCAAGTGCTTGGCGGTCGTATAGCACATCGTGACGAGCAAATTCTGGGATGCCATGATCGTCTTCACCGCCAAAATTCATAATAATCCTGCTAATGAATTATTGCGCATTTAACAGGCTAAGTTAATAATATGTGTAGTGATTATGCCTTGATTCAAGCGAGTAGAACGGATCGGATGGTGGGGCCATGCTTTCGAATTCAATGCTTCTTCTGTTTCAAGCATTGTGAAGCGAATGCAGATGGTCACCAACTGCCCATATGGTCGATACCGTAGTAGATCAATCCAGGCGGTTGCTGTTTGCAGAAACATCTGATAGTATTGGAAGGGTCCAAGAAAATCTGGGGAATGCTGTGCTTTTGAAACCGCTGGACGTGCAACAGCCAAGAGCAACGGGGCCCAGTCAAAGATCGCAAGATTAGCCGCGCCATGTGAGCACGAAATAATTTCAACTGAGACATGACATGTCAAGAACGTTTGCGTCAAAGTATTGCGACATACTAAGCTTCATGGGATGATACTCAAACGATACCGTTCTGAGGGTCACACGACAGTAGTTCGGCATTGAGAGGGTTCAGTTCTCCAACTGTATTTACTGACAATCGTTCTCGGACAAGGACGGGGGAATGCGCACACTACGCTCGAGGATGCCGAAAGAGGCGACATTACCCACCCGATCAGGGATGCAATTGCAAAACACCAAGCAATTGACGTAAGCCACTGTTGAACGAAGAAATGATGCCAGCTTGCATCAACGGAAGACACAGTCACGATATTGCCTCCCAGCACTAATTGACTGTCTAAAGCCGACACCGGCATTCATGGTGTTCACTTGACCGATAGCTAGCGAGCACTTGCGCCATAGCTAATCCAATTGAGCTCAGCCGCTGGCTTCTTTATTTGGAACCTGTTGTTTGGGGCCAGTTAAGTTCGCTGACCAGTCAGCCAGTCAATGCCATTAGGGTGTGTACTGTGTTTGTCGGACCGCGGCTATCTCTCCAAGCCCGGAGCCTGGAGCTCATCTCCAATAGGGGCTTGGCTCATGAAGCTCAGAGTTCCGCAGTTGAATTGACGATTCGAGAACGAGTGTTTTCGGATTACAGATTTTCATTGTACCTATCTACACAGCAGGCTTTGGAAATGGTGTCCTTTGCTGCACGAACTAAGATTACACAATAGCGGTCAAAACGATTGCAAGAGTACAGCTTGAAAGACAACATGCAGGTATCAGGAGCTTGCATAACGCCTCTACCCAATGGGTGAACCCAGAGCTCTGGGATGAAACCCAGACTCGCCAGAACATGCTCGAACGTTCACGATTGCGCTGGACAGTACGAATAACTGGACCCCAACGGGCTTGCGTACCCTGCCAGAGTCAACTGACGAAGCGCGTGCCGGGCACTGCGGTACGTGTCTTTGTGCCTAGGGGCGACTACAGGCGCTAGGCATGCATTCAGATCAGATACTTGTCGAGGATAGAGCGTTGCTCGTCATTCTATCTGCTTACTGGCCCAGATACCTCTGTGAGCAGTATCCGATAACAAGTCCGGCCATACAAGACCGCGGAAGCAGCATGGAAGACACCTGGCACGCATGTACAGTGGTGTGGTGGGGGCTATGGCCGCGTGCTGAAGGCCTATTCAGACTATTGTATACCGTGCAGCGTTAGCCTTGATTCACGCTCCCAAGCACAAGTTGCTGGCGACTTGAGAGCGAAGGCCGTGAGCACTGACTGCCTGTTTCCGTTGGTCAGCTCAGCTCACGACTCGCACTGTCCCCCTACCGTGGGAGAATTGGTCTCATTGCGTATTGTTAGAGTGAATGGCTACATTAACGGGGTACCCGGTGGACCAGGTCATCAAACATCAAATAGCGATGCTTCGGTGTTCATCATTTAGATGCTGCAGGTTTCTGACAGATGGGCGACGGGGCAATTTGCTGTTGTAGCAGGAACTATAGATACCAAAGATAAGTTAAGTTACCTCGATCGGTTGTCGATGCAAAAATCGAATCGGAACTCGTAGACCTGTTTTTGTTTTCTCCAGGAGCGGCTGGGGTGCTTGCTGCACTGAGGCGCCATCTTCCTACAGCATGGATGGATGGAGTCTCCTATGCAGGTACTCAGAAGCCACTCTTGTAAATACGTGGCCCCAACAGATCCGGCAAGTATCTGCCTAACGGGCTTCATCATTTCCTTGGACGGCCATTCGTCATTTCTCATTCCGTGTTTACCGTTGCCCGTGCACTGTCTTGGAAATCAAGAAGGGCGCTTGTTGAGACCCCGGTCATATTCTATGTCACCCATTCATCTCAGTCTTGGTCGGCAAGGTCTGGCTGGGTCCATTATCGTGCCACACTAACCAAGTTGACCAAGGTCCCCTCCCCCCCCCCCCCCCCCCACAGTTCAAGTCCAGCTCACTTCATTGACACTCCCGTCCATCGTCTTCTATTCTCATCCTCTACCGCTTCTTTCTGACCGACCTATCCAACCTAGACCTTTATCTTTATCCCGTTCGCTCCATTCCCTTTTCTCGTGTGATCCAAATCGAAGTACATATTCCAGTTAGACGACAACGAACTGTCTCGCGAGAAAAGGATTCCTTGCCTTCTTACACCGTACCTAATAATTACTCGACCCAATCCTTCCTTTCCCTTCCCAACCCAACTCGGCCGTTCGGATTTCACCGCTTTTCGCTGCCTTCCAAGACTGCAACTGCTCAATTGTATTGCACCGCAACCCGCGATAGCACCCAAGCCAGACAAAGACGGAGACCCTCTTTGTTGTCGCCAGCTAAAAAGAAGACGTTGGGCCCTGATTCGCATCCACTTCCAACTTGGTCAACGACACTGTTCCTGGAACTCGGTGATCGATTCTCGACTCTTCGGTAGACCGTCTTCACACGTCACACCCGCGCTTGACTCCATTGATTGCCGGATCCGCAACTAAGCCAGGACCACCCACCTTGTTGTGCCGTCTGTTGACAACAAGACCTCCGGACAAGGCCCGACCTGGAAAGAGTCATAACCTTTCCAAATCTCGTGATCATTAATACCGAGTCGGCTACTTGTACTTCACGTCTCATTGACCCGAAGTTCATCATAGCACTCACACTCACCCTCAACCCACTCCAACGATCACACAGTGGCTGGCCGGTCTTGCCGACAAACCACCTGCTGCATCATCAACAACACTCCTGCGTGTCATCAGCAACAACACACGCAACCACGCCGACCTCCCCAACCCGCTCGGATGCACCTCTAACTTGTAGACTTGCATCCTTGTGCTGGTTATCGTGGCCTTCCTGCTTTCAAGCCTCGTTGCCTGGTCGAAATAACATCTACTTCTACCTGCATCCGTCTTGCTCGCAACACCACGCAATCATAAGCCAAGGTCCGCATTCTACCCCGGACATCCACAACAAAACAAACCACACTCAAAACACTCTTTGAATTTCCATTACAACACTACTCATGTCCTCATAACGAGATTTTCCTTTCATCCTTTCAACGGACACCCGTCCAATCTTTGACGAACATCTTACCACTTTTTCTTACCTGTTTCTCTCTATCTGCAAACCAAACGAATACCCCTGGATGAGCCTCTGACTGTGAACGATTTGGATTTATATTGTGCATTTCTTTTACTACGCATCCGCAACCCTGTACATTCTCGGATTAACTTCCAACATCTCTTCTTCGACTCTATATCATCAAACATCGCCTTTTCTCGACCTCGTATACACGGGCTTGAAAGAAAAAAAAGTTATCTGGTTGCAAAACGGATCATAGACAAGGATCGGAAAAGCGATACAGGCTGTATCGTTGTACCAACACCTTTGGTTACCACCAACCTTTCTTCTCGAATCTCAAATACCGTCTCTCCCCGAGACAACGTCATGGAATGCTTGCGAAACAGCTTTCAGAATGGCGTCGTTATCGGTGGGAGGTATCAAACAATTTCCCCACTCAACCATGGGTCTTTCGGCATGGTCTTCATGGCCGAGGATCTCCAGACCAACCAAATCGTCGCCATCAAGTGCATGACTAAGAAGACTGCTGCTACCGAAGGTGTCGAGTTTACTGTTGACGATCAGTCTGAAGAGCTCTTCTGCCACAGACGTCTCGGAGAGCATCCCGGCATTGTCAACTCTCTCGATAACTTCGAGACCGATGCCCATGTCTACATTGTGCTCGAGTTCTGCTCTCAGGGCGACTTGTACGAAGCAATCCGCACTGGTTACGGACCCTTGGAGACCGAACATGTGCGAAGTTTTATGATCGAACTCGTTGACGCCGTTTCCTACATGCACTCGAAGGGCATCTACCACCGAGACATCAAGCCTGAGAATATCTTCCTAACCGAGACTGGATCCATGAAGCTCGGCGATTTCGGTTTGGCAACTACCGACAAGTGGTCCTACGAGATGACTGTGGGAAGTGATCGTTACATGGCTCCCGAGCAATATGACTCAGCTGGCGCGGGCTATTCGCCGGCTCAGGCTGATATCTGGGCCATTGGCATCTGCCTGCTGAACATCCTGTTTTCGCGAAACCCCTTCACTGCACCGACGGAGGCTGACCCCTTGTTCCTTGACTTCTCCCGGGACAAGCAATCTCTTTTCGATGTCTTCCCGACGATGTCCCAGGATACCTACGAGGTCATTGTTCATTGCATGAACATGGATCCTGCCAAGCGATCCCTCGTTGGGGCCAAGAACGCACTTCGCCGCGTCGTCAGCTTCACCACCGACGATGAGGATGATGACGAGTTCTGCTGTGCTGAAGGACAACCGATGGCTACCGCCAACCGCGAGCCTCTGCGAACTCCTTCTATCCAGAGCCCCCAGATCGAACAAGGTGCCTTCCCTTGGGCCAAGGCTCTGCATACAGGTCCCGTTCGACAGCTTAGTGTCATTCATGATACCGAAAGCTACACCGAGGACTTGTTCCCCAAGTCCGAAGACACTGCCGACTGGATGTCCTCAGCTCACACACCTTCCATCGCTTCAGTCATGACCTCAAACTTTGGAGCTTCGTTGAACTCTTTCAAGTTGAGCAAGCCTCTCGAGATCCCATCAAGGAAGCCTATGAAGATGTCGCCAATGGCTGGGTCTCTGCCCATCACTATGGCCCCCAAGCCCAAGGCCAACCTTGGTGCCATGTCCATGGTCTTTGGTCGCTCAACAGAACACGTCAGCAAGAGCTGGTCTGACATGTGGGAGGAGGACGAGGAAGAAGACGAAGCTGAGCATGCTCGACAGCTTCAGGCCCTGAAGGAACTCAACTCCAGGACGTGGAGCCAAGACAGCAAGGTGAATGCTACACCCACTCCGCACAATCAGGAATCTGTGCCCCAGGCGCCAGCGCTTGATGAGAAGTCTGTGGCTTCGCCCATGCACGATACGTTCAATGATGTCGATGGAGACTTGGTCGCCGATGGCTTCTTCTTCCATGAATCTGAGACTCTCAACGAACCCAAGCCATCATCTCAGCACCTCGCACCCGTCACACCGTCCAAGGTCGACAAGTGGGCCGTGCTCGGAGAACGGCGCCGAGCTTACACTGGGTCATCTGAGTCGAAGTCGCCGAACTTCGCCAAATCACCACAACATGGACACGGACATAAGAATCAACATGGTTTAGGGAATGGCGTTTGGGAACACGCCAATGTTAGCTATCAGAAATCTCCAAATAAAGACCGCACCACATCACGCGGCGACTGCCCATGGAACAAGGGCAGAGACTGGACTCCGCGCAAAGAACAGCGTCAGGATTTCAGCATTTTTGGATGGGTTGGCAACTGGCGCCAAGCGACTCAAGCTCATTAGGAGCGAGTCGCCTGCCAGTTGCCTCTTGTGGTTAAGCACATCTTTCTTCACCAAATCGGGGTTGCCACCTTTCATTTCAGCCATATTTACATTTTGTGTCGGGACATTACGGGAGCGTTAGAGAATATTCTTCGGGGAGGGAAACCAAGACTGTATTCAACACAGATCTTGGTAGTAGGAATTAGGACTTTTTGATTTGTTGTTGTTTTTTTTGGCAAATGGCACCCCTGTGGCAATTGGTGGTTGGATCTAGCTTCAACTCGCTTTCTGTGTATTAGATAGTTCATCCTGCCGGATCACTCCCAGAATACCAGAAGTTACCCACTCACACCATCGTTTTACACCTAGACCACCTTTTGTTGTCTTGAATGTCTGAATTGCCACTAGGTATTACAAAGTGCGCCAAGTAGCGAGTAAAAGTTCATATGCTAGCTTACTATGCCTGATAGTAACCTGAGTATCGCCAAGTACTAATGAATAACCGTACGTCACTCCTGAGTCACAAAGTATGCATTTTTTTTAATTGCTCTGTTTCCACTACATACTGGTATATTTGAAACTACAATATTACCGCATAAATGTGTTAGTAAGGTGAGACCTCTGACATACTACCAGTAGTCAAAATATTTAGGTTAGTAAATTGCAAGCAACATCGTCGAAGTAAGAAATCAGTGTGTCTTAGTAAACAAATGTCACACCCGGCAATGGTGCTTACAGACGTGTCATTATCATCTGGCTGCTCTTTACACACTAATACATACCTCTTTATAACAGTACCTGCTCGATCCCCCCCGGCAGATGCTAGCTCACGTGAATCCAAAGAAGGTCGTCGATCGATGCTGCTTACTCCTGACACGTCTCAGGCAATACTCTCCATACATACGAATAGGGATGGTGTAATTTTCTAGAGCGGTTGTTTTCCGGCATTGCCTGTCTCAGTTGTAGTTATAGTTATATGGCTAGTCCTATGACAAAAAGCATTAACAAAAAGAAAAGGGGGGGGGGGTGGGGGGTTAGACGAGTTTCTTCGTTTCATCAAGTGGAGTAAGTGCGTATATCGCAAAGTCCAGGGTCCAAGCTGTAGATGCCCATTTACATGGCCGAGATGGAAAACCGAGTGAGGAAGGACAGTCTTAGTAATGTTCATATTTTATCAAAGCTCTCTTAAGCTTCCAAGATTGAGCGGTTCTCCCAAGACAAAATCAAGCTTGTTTCTCTAGACCAGCTGCGAAGCCAAGCGATGATCAATCTGGGCGCTGGTTACTGATCCGACATGAAGAATGTCAAGTGGCGCATACAAACCTTCACGGATACTACTAAATTTATTTTACAATCAAATTCCACCGATATAGCATAGAATAACTTCGAAATTCATTGTGTTAATCAGTGATTTATAGAGAATTCAGTAAGGTTAGTGTAATATCGGACAAAATGGTATTGTTAATGGAATTTTCATCTATCCAAATTGATGGGTTTGAGTCCTTGGCGTGAGGTATATTCTATCCTAGCATCGTATTAAAATCAAAAAGAAATCATCAATCTTGCTATTTGCCAAATTTCCGAAAATGAAGTATCGCGATGAACCGCCAATACATAAATGCCCGTGAGTTTGTAAATGCTGTAAATGCTTCGAATGTTCGTTCAACCATGTCATTACGATCCCATAACCAAAGTACTGATGGCATTGTCGACGCTCAAGACCAGGTTCAGGCTAATATTTCTTCTCTGCACCGATCAGACTCTTGGGCAAGAAAGCCCAGACCGTTCCAACCACTGAAAGGAGGAACGATATGGTCATAACAGTCCACACGAGAATGCGCTCCCTTGGAACAATCTCATGACCGAAAAGCTTGAGGTAGAAGGCCAGTGGTAGTCTAGTAATTGTTAGCCACGTATGAGGGAGAAGGCTGGAACGACTTACGTAATACAAATGGTAAAACACAGAGCGCTGCCCATGAAAGCCATGATTGAGTCAAATGCAGGGAATAGAATCGCAATGATGAGGAACGCCAGCAGAGTCAAAATCCGGATAGCAATCTTCATGAAGCCTCTGAACACGCTGGACCGCCCGACGAGAGTGTCTGAATCCGAAACCACTTGCTGGCGCAGGCCAGCAAGGACCTCCATTGTGCTGATAATCGGCTGTGCGTTCAGCGGGATCTTGGTCAACGGGATGATGGCGATGAATATGACAAGAAGAACGTTGAGGATAGCAGGATACCCCGTTGTTCGAAGTAGGTTGTTCGTTACCGAATCTCGGACTCCGTCACCAAACATCACGTATCCAACAATGGCAACGGTGGCATCGATGAAGTACTGGTCAACGGTCAGCGTGTCCAAATTTCGTACGTGGTATACACTTACAGTAAAGCTGAAAGTGATAGTTACGGCCTCGCCGTATCGGTGCGGGTGTCTCATATCTCGGTAGATCTGGGAGATGTTAACTCAAAACGCAGCGTGCAAATGAATGAAAACCTACATTCGGGAAAACACTATGGCCACCCCATGGGGACATAAGCAAGCCGAACGATAATGGTAGAGTTAGCCAGTTCTCCGGGAAAAGGTATGTGACAGCTGGCTCAATGAGAGATCCCGGGGTGTGAGGCTTCACAAGACCGTCGACAATAACGAGCAAGGCAACTGGCTGAGTGTTAGAATAGCTCGTTCAACGCCATGATATTGCAACTCACTGCTCATAACGGAAAGGATACCAATAAAGCTGGTAAAGCTCAGAATCTTGAGCGGGGCAAATTGAAGGGGTATCAATAATAAAGTACAGACAACCTTCCACTGGTTCAAATTCAAAGTTCCAGGAAATAGTAAAATCAGCGAATCAGAAAACAGCACGATAAGTGCCACACAGGCTGCCAGTAACTCCAAAGTGAATAGAATACTCGTAATTACTCGAGCGCGGTGCCCAAAGGAGATGAAAGCAACATCAGAGAAAGTGATCACGGTCGGGTCTAGGTCCATACACTTGGCAAGTAACCTAGCGGTCCAACTTGTGACAGCAGCACCGAGGAACAGCGTGACCATACCACAGAGCCACCCGGCGTATTTGATACCGATTGGCAGACTGAGAAGACCAACACCGATCAGAACACTACGCGTAGTTAGCACTGCCTGATTGTTATTTTCTCTCTAGATCAATTGAGACTTACTTGGTCGAGTTGACCACAGTCTGCGGTAGGGTTGACTGCCCAGCCACAGCCAGAACAATCTTTCCATCTTCTTGCTCTACCTCCTTTACGATAATCGGCGGACGCGCACCATCAGGCAGATCAATTCCAGACTCTTGTTGCTGCCGCCAGAGCTCCGCAGCTTGCGCCATGGATGGACGACTGACTTCAGATGATATGGTACCATATGTCCTCTGCGAGGAGTAGCTGCCAACCAATGGCATCCCGGACAAATGGGGCGGGACTTCAAAGATGGAATTGCTTCTCAAGGAGCCGGATGGGGAGATCACCCTGTGGAGGCCATTGCCAAAGAGCTTCCGTCCGTCATCGTGTGAAATCTGGCGATGGGGTCCGCCTGCTAGCCCTGAGTCGCCTCCTTCGTCTACCACTGCATTTTCGGGTACCTCGAGCTGCCCCCCTAGTAGAGATGTGCGAGCTCCAGTTTCGACATCGCTGCGGCCGTAGGTAATCGGCTCGATCGTATGAACAGGCTCCTGATCGGGGGCGTAGGCAAAGACAGGTTGTTGTGGTATGATTTCGGGGAAAGCAGTGGCACGTTGCCAGCTTTGTGAGAAATGTCGGATACTGTTCACTCCACCGATTCCGGCAATGGCAGACAGCCTGTTCTGGACGGAGGATCTGGCAGATATCAGTAAATGGCGATAGATCGCCGGGAGACGCAGGCTTTTCACATACCTGCGACGAAGGCGGGAGGTCCAGTCTTGACCCGTTCCGCTCCCACGGCCTTCACTATGACCCATAAGACTTGATCGCTCTTCAAAGTGTACACTTCCCCGCGGTGTTGAGGACAAGCTATCGTTTCGCCCAGGCGAATCAGCCCGCTCGTACTGTTCCCAGGTGGTCGCCTGTTGAGGCATCTTGGAGGCTGTTGGATTGGGATGTACCAGAAACTGTCGCAAGGATAACAACAGCCCGGGTGGCTCAGAATATTGTCCAACTCTGCAAACCTGCCCTTAGGTTTCAGAAGGCAAGAAAGGGGCACGATATATGGTGAACCAAAAGGAATCTTGACCCTACTACGACAAATAACTCAAACAAATATCATCAATATCACCTCCCAACACAGATCCAAGGAATTTGATCTGTTCGTGAGGTGGAGCCCCGGTCATGGTATCGAAGAGAATCTCTAACTTGCGCTGGGGCTGAAAGTCTAGACGATACATCGGGAGACTGCAGAACTAGACACAGGATCGTGTATCCTGCTCCTGTCCTTGTCCGCCGCTTATCTCGAGCCCCACCATCTGCCGGCTCTTATTGGGCAATGCTCTTAGCTGCTGCGTTGGTGGGGTTGCGTCGTCCAGATTAAAGGCACTATCAAGGACTTTAGTGTCTGGCCGCGGATCATGAGATTTCAAAACCCTTGGAGAGCCCATGCAATGACTATCCCGAGCACACAATGTCCATGTCTTACACAGCAATGACCTGATCTCAGCCCACGCTCTACAGCGCTCAATCCGACCATCACGACCCCGTGTGGTGGGCGGCTTGTGCAGAGAAACACGTAGAATCGTCCGGCCTACATCGCCGGTGATGTCATTTGTCGGAACTGGACGTTTAGCCGTTATCCTTGCATCTGCAGCTAAGTTCATACAGGCAGGGACTCCACGGCCCCAAGCCATGACTAAATGTCGCATGAGCATCACGTCTCTTATCATTGGTTCATTACGCGGTCATATGACATGAAGTTCCATGCTCGACTCGGACGTTCTGTTGTTTTTGTTTGTGTATATACTGTGATCGTCATTTCGATCGGTAAGAGAATTCAATGCTTCCGACATATTCATCCGCTACAGTATGTTCGATAATTCATAGTACCAAATAAGTTCCAGGCCCACTAACAACTAGACTAGGCCTAAGATTACGTGCAGCGATTTTTATTTGCCCCCGGCATATTAAATCTGTGGACCTATCGGTATCAACTTTTCCAGCCTCGAACCGACTTTCTTGGAATCTGGTCAAGAAACCTATCTACATCGCAAACTCCCATGTTTGGTGTGTATCGATGTAATTGTATCTCTGCGATATTCACTGAGCTTTCCGCAAACAATCTAAAGCGGATCTCGGTGCACTTCACGCTGAATAGTAGACACCGCACGGCGTGGAAATTTGACGATCCCCTCAGAAATTTGCCCTAATTCTTCTACAGAACTATCAAAGAGATGAAAACTCTGCTCTGAGCTGAGGGATCACGGCTTGATTTACTGCACGCCTTGTTTCAGAAGATTACGGGCAGTCGTATCTATGGCCTAAGGCCCAATACCCGCGCCTCGAGAGCTCTCTCTTAAACAGGACGAATCAGTTCGACAATGGCATCAAATTCACGTTCTTGAAGAATACGTTGGTCGGATCGTATTTTGCCTTAAGCTCTCTCAGCCTCGGCGTCTTTCCTCCGAACAATCTGCCCGTCTTCAATAATGCTCTATCCGTAGGCACGGCCGGATCTGTGTATACATCAGTACAAGATTCGGTCGAATTGTCTGGTTTCGAAAAGCTTACCCAGATAGTTGTAGTATGTATCAGCTTCGCCAGTCTCTGCGGCTTGTTTCAAGTACTTGGCTTTGAAAATACTGGTGGCTTTTGTGGCAATGTCTTTGGCTTCCTGGTCTTTTTCCGCCGTGTCCCAGGACACGATCGTGGCGACATTGTACTTGCCCTGACGCGCTGAAAAGCTTGTCTTGTCCTCTTTGCCGTATTCGTTTATTTTGCCTTGTGGAATGACCTCAAAAGCCAATGCACTTGTCCTCAATTCTTCATTGCCAGGCTTGTTGAGCCCCTTGTAGAACTCCTCGGCCGCATCCTTTACCGTCTGGATGTCAAGGGGACAGGTGAAGTTAGCACCACCAAACATATATCTACGGCCAGGTGTCGCCATGGCATCTGCGATCATGTTGGCTTTGGGGTACGGAATCGCTCCAATCGTATCCATCAGTCTTGGTTGTAAGTCTCGCAGCGGCTTGAAGAATGCCTCGCCATCTTCCTTGGTGCCATTGAAGAAGACAGATGCTCCACATAGCCTCGCACCGGTATGCGGATCACATATCATCATGGGCATGAACATCTGATCACCATCTGTCTTCCCATGAAACTCGTTCACAAAGTCTACCAGCTGTGGGAGAAAATCGAAAGGCCAGGCCATGATGCCTGCCCAAACTTCGCCCTGTGGAAATGCACGAGAAGTAAAAGTCGTCACAACGCCGAAACTGGAACCGGCGCCCTTGAGGGCCCAGAAGAGATCAGGATTCTCCGTCTCGGAAGCTGTCACGATTTCACCGTTGGCGAGCACCACCTCGCAGCTCAGAAGAACATCGACGGCCATGCCATGACGCCCCGTAAGCAATCCGTAGCCTCCACCAAGGATCAGTCCGCCCACACCTGTATGGCTGACGGTACCACCAACAGTCGCGAGTCCGTGTTCCCAAAGGGCACTATCGACATCCGCCCATGTACAGGCACCTCCAAAACTGACAGTCTGGGCCAAAGGGTTAACAGAGACGTTGCGCATATGAGCCAGATTCAAAACCATAGCTTCCGGACTGGAGGCCGCGGATTCACCAGAGGGGTTGTGCCCACCCCCGCATACGTGCAGAGGAATGGAGTGCTTGGCAGCGAAGCGGATGGTCACCGAGGCTTCAACCGCCGTCTTGGGTCGAGCTACCGCGGCCTTTCACGAATTAAATACGACTCTACTGCTGTCATGGGTTTGTGGTTGAGCTTACCGCTGGTTTGATAGACGTTGCGCTCCATCGCTTCAGGCTGTCATCGTAGCCAGCATCACCAGGCAGGAGCACATCGCCTTCTTTGATTGAGACGCGAAGTTCTTCGAAGTTTGGCGCCATTTTCAAGGTAAATCCCGCCCAGTTGTGTTCGGATTTGCCTTGTCATGAGTGAGTGGGTGAGTGAGGGGCTCCTGCTATTATAGATAGTAGAAGCTGATCTGACAAGGCATGTGGAGTCTCCGGGAGCAGCACCAATCAGGCGGCTCGAAGGTGCAGCTTGCAGATGCAACCCCCTTGGAAGGTCCAGCAACATTGTACGTTAAAGCAGGTACTGCGCTTGCTCAGAAAGAGTGGCTGAAAATAGCCTGAAAGAATAGCTCTACACTATTTGCAAGCATGCCATTTCAAGTCAAGCTTAACATTTTATCGTATGTAGCGGACGTGGTTCGACTAAGCCTATACATAAACGGGCTTGGAATGATAGGTCCCAGATGCATGCATCAGAGCCAACGAACTTGTAACTTATCCTGAATGGATACAAGCTTCGATTCCGGGTAGGTATCAATACGACAAAGCTTTAGTGCGTCAGACACGAGCTCATCATCAAGCTCTTTGAGCCGAATACCTACATTGGAAGCTAGCATAGAGGTGTCAGTCGAAGGCTAGAGGATTATACTGTCAGCGCTAAGCAATACCATGGCGTGTGGAAGAGAGTGACATTCAAAAACAGTGGGCCCACCGTCAATAGAACGAACGTAATCTCATGGTATATTCGTTGCCACAAAGAGGGGAGTCAATATCAATACCCTCATTGTTGGATCATAACGCTTAGTCGAGTAATGTGTATAGGATGAATCGAAATGACCAGCCGCATATCCTCCAAATGTTGCATGAGGATGTGCGTGGAGTACAGCAGGCATGGACCAATGCCTGGCATGCAATTGGCGCTGGAAATTCGGCACGTACTACTTCACGAATAAGCTAGGACTTGATCGCCAGCGAAGAGCCAGGAATGTCCAGGAGACTGCCTCAAAACGCCGACGTCCATGGTCGGTGACATTGTTCTTGCAGATAATCAAGACAAGGTCTTGATATGTACCAAGTGTCAGCTTTTAGCGGGACAATTCGAAGAGGCCCAATCGGAAGAACCTTTGTTCAGTAATCAGGCGAACCATTCAAATATAATATGGTGGCCTCCCTTGTTGCAGTGTGTAACCACTAAGTCAGGAACGTTTCCAATTTACTTCTGTCCTTAACTTCCTCAACATGATTCATCTCAAACTCAAAGCGGCGGCGGTACATGCTGCACCAGTTTACATGAACAAGGCGGCCACCCTAGACAAAGTACTCTCTATTATTACCCAAGCAGCGGAAGATGGTACCAATCTTGTTGCCTTCCCTGAAGTCTTCGTCCCAGGCTTCCCCTATTTCATGAATTGTTATACGTCAAACGCTGCCACAGTCGCGAAGTATGCCTCGCAAAGCGTTGTTATTCACGAAGACCTACACGATGTACAAGCGTCCTGCGCCAAGCACAAGATCACGGTCGTGCTTGGGGTCTCCGAGCGCATGAAAGATGGCCACACGCTATTCAATTCTATAGTGACCATAGACACGGATGGTACGATTCTCGGAGTTCATCGCAAGTTGCAGCCCACCTGGACGGAACGAATGGTCTGGGCCCAGGGCTCCGGATATACACTGAAGACGTACGAGACCAAGGCAGGTTACCGGATTGGCGGGCTGGCATGCTGGGAACACACTATGAATAATGCCCGACAAGCGCTTATCGACCAGGGTGAACACATCCACGTCGGCTGTTGGCCCGCTCTGGACACTATGGGTGGCTTCGTGGGGATCGCGACTGTGCAGATCGAGGCGCTCATGAAAAGTCATGCTCTTAGTGCGCAGACTTTCGTGATATGTCCTAGCAGCTTTGTTGATGACAGCTGTCTGAAATGGCTCGAGGAAAACATTGGCCCGCAAGACCAGGTGGGCGCCGGTGGTGGATGGACGGCTATCATACATCCTTTCTGCCAGATCATCGCTGGTCCGCAAACAGGAAGCGAGGAAAAACTGGTAACTGCTGAAATTGATTTGCAGCAGCTGGATATAGTCAAAGCATACGTTGACAGTGCTGGTCATTTCAGACGCCCTGAAGTTTTCAAATTACAAGTGGACACTTCCTCAAGGTGGAAAGACGAGGAGGGGATCGTTGGGCCAATTCCATATTCTCCATAGTAATTTCAAAACTGGGCCGTAGAGCGATCATTTAAACACGTCACTTCGCAATATATTTGTCAGACATAAGTAGGGATACAACATTCCAGATAATAAACTCCTCTATATTGTTTGATGGGTTACCTAAAACGAAAAAAGGAAGAAAAAAGGGAAGAAAAAAAGGTAACAAGAATTTAGAGATGGGAAACGGTAGTACCCATATGTCATCTATTAATTTCTTCTAATATTCCCAAAGCTCGGACGAACTTGGATTCACAGGACCAGATTATTGTAGAAACTGCTCTATATGAGTCATCAACATAATATATGTCTTCAAGAGACTTGAGGCTCATCTTACATTGTTTAGCACGTAGCCTGATTTCAGTGAGAGTGGGCGGAGCACAGACGCATTAGACGAACCATGATCTTACTGTAAGGTTTCTCAAATTGGAAGCAGCGGTAGCAAATCTAATACAAGGCCGAGTTTTGAGGTGGCGATTATAGAGATACGCAACATATTGTACTACTACTACTATGCTGGCATTTTGTGCATGAATTTAGAAATTAACGATGGCGAATAATCCGGTCCTCTCCAATAACTTGCGTACTCAGGTTGCTACCTATCCTTATTAGACTACTCCGATGCCACGTTGAGTCCTAGCTCCAATAATCCCTATTGCTACAAACATCGTCCATTTGGCAATATGCTGGACTATTGGTTCAAATGAATGTGAAGCGATTTGTTTTGTAGCTCAGAGAAGCGCCACGTCAGTAATCTGGGGGATAAGCCTCATCCGTCTAAGCCCAATAAGTGTTGGGTATTCGGTCTGACTCTTATCATTTTATCCAGAGATTCGATATATTGCCCTGCGGAGGGACCAACAGACCAATTCTCAAGATTCTCTACAATCGCCTGCCATTCATGGTTAGTATAGTCTATGAACTCGTATCGCGCCGATCTAGGGGCCGTAATAGTGTCCTACCTTCGCATCTTCTGTCAGATACATCTCCCCACTCACCGGGTCAATCTCGAATGCAACATCTGTGGGAAAATACCAGTCACACTCAATCTCCTGGCCCATGTGCGCGAGCCATCTCCAGTCTCTTTGTAATGTGTGTGGGTTATGGGCGATTGTGTCTCTTAGTGTGGGCCATAGGACGAAATCCAGCATCTCTACGTGTTCAGTCCACAACTGAAGTTGCGTGGGACGCAACCATTCGGGAATCGCCTCGTAGGTGGCAGGTGAAGGATCGATCATCCATCTGGCCAGGGTCCACACGAGATGCATGGATGCGAAAGAGACAAAATCGCGGTTCTTGTGCTGGATACTAAAGACAAAACCTGCTGCCCATTTTGAGAGGAGACTCGTGCGATTGTACTGATCTCGGTCGAAAATTGCTGCGACATTGCACCTCTTTCCTATTACTTGGTTCAAAACTTGATCCGCAGGCTGGCCAGCCTGAATACCAGCCCGAATCAAGGATGTTGCATGCCGTATAGTAGAAGCTACCGATTCTTTGACTGATGAGGTGCCTGGTAGCGTAGTCAGGGGCTGGATTGCCCAAAGCGGCTTGTAGAGATTGGCATGTTGCTGCTGTTGAATGTCTGGAGGGTAGTGGTTTGCGTAGATGCCACTCGAAAAGGGGAGATTGCCGAAGTTACTCGACTGCTGCTTAACGAGCTCGTTTTCATGACCGTAGGCATAGTGTGTGCCATCGAGGTTGTCGCCTGTGCTTCTCGATACCAAAGCGTAGTTCAGATCTGCTTGATCGTGGTTCGAATTTGCCTGTCCTCTCCATTCGTCCCGGTTGAACAGCAGCGGAGCAAAAGAATGGACACTTGTTGTAACGCTTTCCGTTGATGATGCCCTATATTGGTGTTAAAGATGGTCCATAAAACCATGCTAACCTGATCAATAGCTGACGGTTTTAGTTGGGGGACGCACTCTGAAATGGTATTGCTGGACGGGGAGTCGTATGAAGTCGTTCTGCTGCTGAGTCCGGTGGCTGGCGCGTCTTGTCTAATCAAAGCAAGCATGGCCCGCGCTTCTTCGGGAGTGCCGTGCTGCAGAACGTGAATCATTTGGTTGGTGTTCGCGAGGGCATCAGTAAGCCGGCTTATCTCGTAGTCAGCGCTCTGCTGCTTTGTCATACCTTCGTAGAGCGCGTCGTAGACGCACTCGAGACTCCTTGAGGTGCATCGCGAGCATCGCGGCCGCTTGCCGTCACACTGAAGAGAAGCAGCATATCAGATTCGGGGGTCCCGGGAAATCAGGGCCGCTCTTCGAGGCATACCTTGGTCTTCTTGGATTGACAGATTTTGCAAGCATTCTTTACCAGGTTTCGTTGGGGCACGATGCCCCTTGGTGCATCAGGATCGCTGGGACGGCCGCCGTCAAGCGTCGGCGCAGGAGCCAGTGGTCTCAAAGGTTTCCAGCCAGATGATGTGTTTGACATGGTGGGTACGGTTCGACCATGCACACTTACAACGAAGCAGGAGCCAGCCAACAACTCACAACAGACATCCTCGGACCTCTTCCGGCCGACTATAATATCTCCGTACTTAGCGAAAACCTGGGCGGTGCTGCTTATACGCGGCGCTCGGTACTACTGGGGAAAGTTCCAAGCCCTTCCACGGCCAACAGCACTTGAGCGCTTCTCAAGTCAACACCAGCCTTCAATCAGAGCAACCACAGGCCAAAATACATGTAGGAAAGCTCGCTAGTCGTGGTAGGTAGTCTCCCTCTTTCCTTTATCTTCGTCTAAAGATGATATAGATATAGTATCCATTGAATTAGTCGAGTTAGTCGCCGCCGATCGAATTTGTTTGCGCACGGTACTTTTGCGGGTCGGTACATTTCCGTTTGGCTTTGATTGGTCAATTCTAGCAAACTGCTTTGGAGCATATCGTCCTTTGGCCTATGTTGTGGACTTTATTGCATGGATCTGGAGGGGTAGGAATTTGCGATATGATCTTGAGAATGCTTTACTTCCCCGTCTCAAGTATGACAACTCCACTAGGACCATAAGAGGTAGACACTTTACTTGCAATTGCCAATACTCCAATGTTTCCCTTAGATTTAGATCTCTGAAAAAGAACACACGAAACAGTTGAAGAGGGTTAAATAGACGTGGGCCCTTTTGGCTAATGAACATGATCACTCAAGTGCTTAGATTCATGACTCTCAGATCGTTTCGGCGAATGGACACTTCTTTCTACCTTTTTATAATTATGCATTGTGCTTTTGGGTCGCTGTTAGTTAGGTACGGGTCTTCACCATATCCAGGCAAACTCTTACCTTGCCCATAGACGGCGCTAATCATGCGTGATCCAGGTAGGTCGCTCGTCACACTGATTGGCAGACATACCGGGCAACATCTGTGCTTCGCGTATGATATGATGTTTTGTATGGATCAAGCTTTCATAAGATTTTGATGTATATGATGCCGTTTTTTTTTATTCAAGAAAGAAAGAAAAAAAGCCGATGGACATATATCGTACTCACAAAGTCAGTTAAAAAATGCATTCCGCTTGTTTTGTCCAGTCGGCAAATGGCAGTGCACATTGCATTGAATACCGAAGTGGAGGACAAGATACTCTCGGCGTGCATCAGTCAAAAGATATTAAGATATAACTGATTACCGCGTGTAGTGCTATATTAAGATGTGACTTGAAGTTTGTAAGAACGAATACTAAAGTGTATCCTCCAATGACCGCGCTACGAACCCGGAGGCATAAGACTTGTTGCATGCTCGACCGGGCGATAACATAGTAACTTGAACACAGTTCCAATCTACAGTGCCACGTTTTATGATAATAGAAATCATGAGTATAACACTACACTCCTTAGCAGGATTATCATTACCCGTCTCCGACTAGGAACCAGTTTGATCTCACAAACTGATCTCGCACCTGTCGTCTTCGCAACCATGTGTATGTATGATACAAGCCAACTTCAAACCCAGGACCTTACCGTCTGACACCGTCGTTTTGATATCCATGCTCCTAGAGACCTGACCTCCATTAACTAGAACCTTGATAACACGCTATCGTGCCTCCTTTACTCCCCCAAACCATTGATATGAAATTCGCAAAAGTCACCTGATATTGGACAATCGACTGGTCTAGACATATTACTATATCATAGCCCACAGTATGACATTAGCTTCAGGCTAAATCGCATACCGACTTACGTAATCTCGGAGGTTGTTCCGTACTATATTGATGGAAGTCCATTAGACTAGAAATCACTTGTAGTATCCGTGAATCATTGTATACGCCACTTGCTTCCCCGTATGGCCGCCGCATGCCTTTGACAGGGTCGAGACGATCGCCGAGTTCTCCCACTTGGGTCGTCTTCCGTACGCTCGTCAAACACACATATATACACACACCCCCGGATACGGCCCTCGCCCCCGCAAACTGATCATTCAATCTATACACCATCACCCGACCATGTACGGTCCCCCCACTTCCCAAGTCGACGAAGTCACGCGACGGACTGTGCCAAGTTGGACTCTTGCTCCCGCAGCGGAACTCCCAGTCTTGCTATTGCAGCCATAACGCGAAGCCACGGTACCCACCCAGCCAGTCCAAAGCCGTGCCTGATGTCCATGTCATGACGAGCAAACGTTCGGGTCTGTATTTGCTTTTGGAAGTCCACGTCAATCATACTGTTCTGCAACACGTGATGGCGGACAAAAAGGAGTGACGGTTTCACCTCGATTCGGTTCGATCAAACAACATTCAGTCCGATGTGGCAAAATCAGCAATACACAGCCCGCAATAAGGGTCATTCTTTGATTAGTATGGGTCTTAAGCCGCAAAGTAAATATTCGTCATCAAACTACTCCCAGGCTAGGGGTGAGATACCATTTACGGAAAAACATGTCCAGCCTCTTCACCATCGAATTCAGCCTGTGCATAATCGATTTGTTTCTCATTTAAAATGTAACAATCATGAGGCCCATCTATCCGCATATGAGAGAAGGCGAGAACAAGATAATATACTCGTTCTCCCCTCAGCTCAGAAAATCGTCGCACTAGCAGAAGCCCATGAGTTCGTTTACATTACATCATAACCGCACTCCTCCCAAGCCGCTAGGCCATTATTACCGTTGTGAAACTCGTGACTAAACAACCCGACAAAAGACTGCAAACCACCGGACCAGCCGAAGACATAAAATGTTCTCATCATCCTCCACCTGAGCGTTCGTGGCTATCGAGATTGACTCGGTGGTAGATCACTGAACTTGAATGCACCAAATTGATGGGCATTCGCTAAACAAACGGGCCTACCACACGCCCTTTAGCTCGTAGATATACAACGCCGTGATTGACGTGAAATTATCAGCCTAAACCGCCGACAAAGCACAAACGTGCTGCAATCGCTAAGTGGGATAACAAAAGAAGGACCCAAGTCGTCCGAGCTTATGAGAATAGTACAAGGGAAAACCCGCCCAAGTCAAGACGCGATACGATGATGCTAAAATGCTCGTCGACGTAGGACCTGGAACATCAAAAATCGAAGGATCGATATATGAAAAGAAAGTAAGAAAGTGGTATCAAGTCGAGGACCCCGTAACGCCATCGCCGGATAAAAGACAGTTGCCGCAAGGTGTTGGCATGTATGCCGAGGTTTGATTGTTTGTCCATGAGTCCTGGCCAGTAAGTTGTTACCAGCCCTTCTTCCTTGCGAATCGTTTGTTCAAGAGTGCCAATACTTTCGGCACGTTGAATTGGACATATTCGAGATCCAGATCGTCTTGGCCATCTTTTTGCATTTCAAGCAGATCGTCAAGCTTCAGATCTAGTTCAAGCAGACCACGGTTCCGGCCTATACAATGTTAGAATGTCATCAATGAGTGGCCATGAGACGAGCATACCCTTATAGTGTAGAGAAATAACAAATGTGCCTGGTAAAGGACTGGTGAAATTGAAGTAGATGTTGGCTCTCCTATTGTCCGGAACATTACTCTTTTGTATGACACCTTCTTTTTCCAATTGCTGGTGGGTGAACTTGTACGGGCCAAGCACTTGTTGCTTTTGCTGTTTGCGACGAGTACCTTCAGATTGGCCCCTAACGTTGTGCAGGTAGCTCTTGTAGGTCTCGAGCTGACCAACGAGGTACGAGTTGTGATCGCGGATAGTCTTGTAGACTTCCTCCAACTTGGATGTCTCCAGGATGACACCATCTTTTAATGAGCCGAGGTGCTGCAACTCCTGTTCCACTTCATCTCGGAGGAGACTGAAGCCATCCGATTTGTCAATGACCCTCATCTCCTGCAGCTGACTGAGCAACTCCATAGCTCTGATACCCTTTCGTACCATGACAGCATCGTTCTTCGAGGTTGCCGAAGCATCGGCAATTCGTTCCAGGCGTAAGGGCCTCCGAGCGACGGAACTGCCAGCTGGGATAGAACGCATGACCTGAACAAAAATTGATTTGGCTTCCATGAAGAAGATTTCCTCTTGCGTGATATCAAGAGCAGCAGTCAGATTGTCAATGGCGGTCTCCCATCGACTGAATAGAGGCAGGTTGATAGCCCTGTTCTCTTTTCGAGGTACTTGAGGCGGCGCGACCTGGAGCTCTGACATGATGAGAGCCAAGTGGGAGTTCTCGTCCTTACAAAGTTCCCTGCTGTGCTTTTCGATCAGACCATGCATAGCGTAGATCTCGTTCAAGGTGATAGATAGTTCCAAATCCTTCTTGGACAGGGCGACGTAGCTGTCCATCTCCAAGCTTTCATAAAAGTCCTGGACTTCGCAAAGTTCAAGCATAAACTTGTTCACACGGTCCTTGTTCTGCTGAATGAAGGGTTGCAATTTCGCCATGTACGGTTCCTTGGCGTACGATGGCTTGTTTGCAAGGTTCTGCAGCATTTTGGCAATGAGTGTCAAGGTCCTGCGTGGTCGCTCAGCTGGGACCCCATCGATAAGCATATACGATTTGGGTGTGACGATGGCAGGGTTGATAAACCGAAGGAAGAAGAACCCTCCAATCAATGTGCAAATGATCTGGTCGTTGGCATCCGGATACTTTCTCTTGGTCAGACTTCGAATCTGTTTGCAAATCCAGCGGATACCATATGGGGCTTCATCCAGCCCATCTATGATGGTCGTTAAAAAGCCATTGGCTATTTCAGTGAGCATTGTTAGTCTTGGCTCAATAATGGCCTGAACCTGGGCATTCTCGGCAGCCTGCTCCGCTGTTATCCCTCTAGGCAACGATGCAGGCAAGCTGCCAGTATCTTCCTCAATTTGTTCGCACATACGCTCGTAGACTTTCAGGGGGTTTATTTCAAGATCAAGGTCCTTCAGTTCGATAAGACTATTGATTCTATCCGCGAGCACCGACCGAAGAAAGCTCTGTCCAGGGCCTCGTCGGGTGTATGTGGTCATCATCCGCGAAACTGGTGTGTTGGCTCGTAGAAGCGACGAGTACTCGGGCGTTGTGTCAAATTGGTAGGTCAGGACGGATTGAAACATGGTTAGCAAAAGGTGCTCTTCGCGGCTTTCATACTGGTTTCCGTAGATGGTGAACATGACAGTCTGCAGCAGGGAGTCAATTTCGGCCATGGACACCAAACGACACAAGTGCGCAATGTGTCTGGGCTCCGACTGAAGCAAGAACATCAGATTCCCATATTTTTGAGTCTTGTCGTCGTTTGGGAAGGCACCTTCCTGCAGATCAGTGGCATCCTCGAGGTGGCTGGCGACTTCGTTCTGTTCTTCCAAAGCCATGCGGTTCTGAATGAGCAAGGCGATTCGTGAATCGAGATACCGAACGTCCTTCTCCAGAACAAAGTTCTTTTTCGATTGCGAAGAGATCTTGGACTTCAAGTCTCTCAGTGTCTTCTGAGCTATAGTTATCCATAGAGATCAGTATAATTCCCATCTTCCGATGTATGAAGGTGTGTGCCCACCTTTTGCCAGTTCATCTTCTATTTCAAGCTCCGTCTCGTTCGCTGACATGGACATATAGAGGGCGGACATGGAGTAGCGTTTGGATTGGCGGGCTGACCGCGTGCCATCGTACGAGGACATTGTGTTTTGGCGAGAGATGGGCTGGAATGATGATGAAGAAGCCGTTGAGGCCCGCGATGGTGTTTGCAACATGACAGACATGTTGTCTGGGTTCTGGAGCCCGTCTCGGCAGATGGTTGGGTGGTGGCGGAACAATCGATTCGTCCGTGATAGACCGGATATAGGAATCAGTTTGTAGATTGTTGCAGAACAACTTCCGTTGCCGAGTGGTCCAGGCAGTCGCGCGCAATGGGGAAAGTAAATACAGATTGCTACTGGTAAGGAGAGGCGGGTAACGGCCACCGACAAATCGCTGATGCAGACTGTCAGGGCCGATTTCTGACCAAGGTACTGCTCTACAATACCTGCGATCACAGCCAAGAAGCGCCAAAAAGATAACGTGAGAAGCCGTCGGATCCTGAGCACAGTCGGCCGGTTCTACGCCTCGTAAGCTGTCGGGTCGGATGCGCCGTAGCTCATTCAACAAGGGCGTTCTTGAAAAGAGACCGAGTACTTGGATTCAGTTTGTTGAAGTCCTCCTTCCACCTCGCAAGTGGAACCAACCAGATCAGGGGCCAGTTGCTCTGAAGCAATTCGCACTAGTGGTTGGCGCTCGCGGTCAATCGGCGTAACGATAGGGGCGCAGAGCCAACGCAGAAAAAGACAACCAACTCAGTGTTGTCGAACGCGAACGTGTCTGGGTAATATTAACAGCGCTCATGTATTTCGGGCATGCGAGCAATGTCGAAAATTACTCTTTGACAACATAGGGCGGTTAGATCCAGACCACGGTCGCTCAGGTGTCACGCCTGGGAGGCCACACGAGACAAGACGGTTGCAGGGTGAAATGTTGCACGAAACAGGCGAGCGAGATAGTATTTCGAGACTCAGGAGACGCCCGCCGACGTGTCGAAGGCTCGCAGGTGGCGATTGATTGAACGATGGAATTGATCAGTACGGCGCAGGTATGGTACTGTACTGTACAGAGTATTTCTGTAGGACGAAAGAGGGGTGATGTGATAGGGTCAAAGGGCAACGAGGGATGCGTCTGCAAGTTGGGGGTCCTAGATAGCGAGGTGGGACGGGACGGATGGATAAACGGATAGATTAATTGCTGGAACGCTTATTGAAGATGCGAGCAAGTCTTCTGTTCTGGGAAGTGTGGGTTGAGCGAGCGGCGCCAAGGCACGTCGGGTATTAGAGAGTCCTGAGGGTGGATAGCACGGATGCAACTACCAAGACCCCGTCTGGAAAAGGCTTGTGCAAGTCAACGTCGATGGAGATAAAGGAGAGAGGGAGGTGAGGAGCAGAGCAGAGCGGTCTGCAAATGGCTTGAAGGTGGAAGGGTGATGCACGACAAGGTGCAACAAGTGAGATGACGGGCGCAGGCAGAGTGGAGATGAGAGATGGACCGCAAATGCTACTCCAGGCATTCGCATGGAAAGAAGGATACTCCGTCCAACTTGTCAAGAGCCTCGTAGCTCGGGGTGCCAGGCTCCTGTCGCGTTGTATCGTGTCGTGTCGTGTGTCGGAACCGTGCTTGAACTTGTAGTGAAGAAGTCACTTGTCGCAGTGTTTAGCGTGTGTGGGTGACTCCTGGGACCAGCTAGTTTGCTAGTTCTCAGCAGTAGCTTTTCATGAGCCCATAGCGGGTTTCTCTGGTCTCAACTTTAAGTGGGTGTGGTGTCATGAAGAAATGCGATCGTCCAGGAACGTCGATCAAGAGGGGGCCAGCTTATCCTAGCCTGGCATGGTCCTGCACACTCCTATCGCAGCCTTTCCCTTTCCAACAAGGTGGCGGGGATGGGGGAGAAGAAGAAGAAAGAAAAAAAAACGGTCAATTTTGCGTCGATCTTGCCGAGCAGCAAGTAGACAGACGACACGATATAGCTCGTTTTGAAGGTAATAATAGGCCATAGGACGAGTAACCAGAACGGCACTCGATGGCATCTGGCGGGAATCTTCCAAGATTGGATGTTTCTACTTGCTGTGCGCGATCTGAAACGTCAATATTTTCGACAGACACGCCGGAAGGCGACTTCTAAAGTTGGATTGGATGAATGCGCACGCTCATGCTCATGTTCGTGCTCATGCTCATGCGCATCCCTATTCACATGCGAAAGGAAGAAACACACAGCCACGCCGCGGATGCAAAAGGCTGCCATTGCGCCTGGACATTCAAATTTGCCAACGTTTCGAAACACGAACAACACCAACAGCCACAACGGGACAATCTTGAAGACCCCAATAAAGGCCCCAGGGAAACGAGGGGTGCGGTAGGAAGAATATCTTGATCCCATGCGCATCTGCATGTATCCTTTTGGGATGTATCTCAGATGTCAAGAGGATGGCGGCTACGAACCTAACGGCAAATAGAGCAATGGCCCTTGGGCGCTAGTGTTGTTTGAGATGTCCTGCAGGGGTTTGATGCAAAAGAAGTGCACATGATCCAGAAAAGGAGGAGGTGAGTTTTTTTTGGGGGGTTTTGGTTTGGTTTGGTTTGGTTATGTTCTTGTCGGCTGTACCTGGCTTGCGGCTGTCTTTGAACAAACACACGAGTAGCCTTGAACGATCATGACTGGATTTGTTTACATGGCTAGTTCCTTTTGAAACAGTCTGTGGCTTACAAGTAGTAACTATGCTTGACCTTGAGCAGGTTTTCGATAACAATGCAAGACTGGTGAACATGTTCAGTCTGCTATATTTCCACTCTGTTTCTGAGTTGACCAATCTCGTCAAGAACGGACAGTTGCTTAGTGGAGATAGCATCAGGGGTAATGAAGTCACTCCGCGCTAAAGCATGGACACTAGTACAAGTGCATACATAGATAGAGGGGCATATGCAAGCAACTGTAGGCAAAGGCAAGCCCCGCCTTCAACATGGCGCTTCCCCAATATTGAATCAAGTTGCCAGGACAATCGACTATTTCACCTATCGAGTCGGAACTAATACCAAGCTGTTTCCTTTGTATGAGACGATAGCATCATCACCATCTGAATTACTTCATTGTCCACGCTTCCCCGCTAAGCAATCATAGCAAGGGTCTGTCGGATGTTATATGCAAAAGTTGCCTTGCGGGCGTATCTGGGCGGTCAGGGTAATCACCTTGACCAATCGGCAGGCAAGGACCGTTACCATGCGGCCCGGCCGAGCTTACACAATTTGTGATTTGACGCTGGACACAGATTAATCGTATCACTATCAACGTTTAAATGACCTGACACTTTAGAAACGCCGTGAGGTCAAGATCTCTCTATGGTGCTGCAACAATAGTGTGTTGTTGTATGCTATTAGTAGACACCGACGCCCACAACTTGAATAGATCACCGAATGCAGCTTATCTTCAGGTTCAGCCATTCAGCTTTCAATGACAGGATCGGGACACAGTGTCTTGCTGGATTAAAACCTACTGTCGCAATACCCTTTTATCTAAAGAGCGGTCTCCAAGTATGAAGTCTGAGATGCTCCTCGTTTCAGAGAAATTTCTCATGCTTTCGCGGCACGTCTTTGGGTTCACAAAATGCCAGAAACGACATCTGATTTTGCGTTTTTCTCGGCGCCATGTGTCTGTAGACCACAACTATGTCATATCTACATCACTCTGATGTGGAATATATATTTGGAATCCGACTTGTAAACCTCGTCCAAGCTAACGAAACAAAATTTCCCGCGAGTCCTACGGAATCAAACATTCATGAATTTAACCAGGACAGCCCAACTCCATGTTGTATTAGTGGGCGTTATCAGAATTTAAATGTAGCCATTGGGCATTTTTGTAAGAGCCACTTGCTCGTCATTCGTTGATTCCTACCGATTTATTTCACGAATCATCCAACGCAATTGTCGCACCACAAGGCGAACGAGAAACTTAGTCCAGCGTTTGCATTGCGAGCCATCTGAGAACAATTATGGGCGAGGCAATAATCCTGATCTGATCAGTACTTGCTGAAGCTCTTGCGACCAAGTACGATGTTATGTATGCTCATGGCCGTGATGAACCATACAATACTCCTTACATACGGTGTGTGGTTATAGCAGAAGACTGATGCTGTTGATATCTGTCGTGCCGCTTGCTACGTGCTACACTAAGGCTAGTATCATGTACTACCATCGAGTAGCGTCATCTCCATTAGTTCCGCTTCTATGTATGGAAAACACGCACATGGTCGCAAACCGCGTCGTCGCTCGCGCGGCGTTTCAAGCTGCCCCTCTTCGAACCTCGTAAAGATGCGAACACTGTGGGGAAGACTTGACATTGACCCCTTTACAGTTCAATTTCGGTAACATTTAGCTCTTTCACATTCTTCACGCCACTTTCTTCCAGCTCTGCTAACCACAAAGCGGCTTCACATTCAACAACAGTGCATGAGTCGCCAGAGACTGAAGTTTGATTACATGAGTATTCCTAGGGACACTGTCTGACTCGTATGACGATAAGAGAGCTTCATAGCTTCTCCCAAAATTTGCTGGAATCTCTGCCGCATTTCTGTCTAGCTGCGAGGTCCAATGTTCAGGGTCTATCTGGAAGTTCCACAAGACTATCTACCTTGTTGCAGATCCAAGTTACGGAAAGTTTAAAACAAGCATTGGCTCGTGCTAGTAGAACATGCGTCAGCCGTGTTACAAAACGGCCTCAATTGCAAACCTATATATGCATGGGTCAACTGTGATCTTGCAAATGAAGAATCCCCACGTGAGTGCTGTGCCTTGATCGTTTAGGAGACAGAGCGAAATTAGACGCTACGGTGGAGCGGCAACGTAACTGTAAATGCTTACGTACATTAGCCTTACCATCGGTTCAATTTATGAAATAGTGCAGCTTCACATCGTCAATTGGGACTACATATTCAAGTAGCGCAAACAAAAGTTCGCGGAGGGTCCAATTAATCCCTGGTGGTCCTCCACTGATACAGGGAGTATGGGTTATCCTCGAAATTGGCCAGTTCGCTACATGATTCAAAGAGGAAGCGAACAGGATTTAGTATATAGAACAAGATCAGTCACGACAATCGGACTATAAATGTATATTAAAGTTCGTATAGATGGCTCGGGTACTGAAATGGCAAGCACCCCATATCTCTGCATGGACAACAATCTCCAAAAATCGAGCTCTCCATATAAAAAAGCTCCGCAGTCCTGATGTTTTTTTTTTTTTTGTAATTTTTTTTTGGAGAATGCCTATTTGAATAACACCTCGGCTTCGATGGTGAGAAGTTCGATCTCCAACAGAGTGGAGCAGCTGGTCCGATACCCTCGAGCGGGCCAGCGAACGTCTTGCGAAGACTTCTTGGCTGGCGCCGGGAAGCGAGCGACCGGTAGTGGTTGACGCAAAGCCCGGCTGGTACTTGAGGGCCTTTAACTGGCACGGCTTGATCGAGTTTGAAGAAGATGAACTCGGGCAATTTACGGATTGTACAACAGGTCTCAGAAGTTACCTTGGTGGAATAATTTGGAGGAGAAGGGGCGTCTGCATCTGAAGTTCCAAGAGATCCAAGCCCTGTGTCAGTCTCATCCAAATTGGCATATTTAAAAGTATGATTATCTGCGCGGCTTCGTGAACTTTGTGCCAATAGCTTGAGAGGCTATTGTCTCCAATATGGGAAAGACATATTGGTTGTGTACATCTCTTCATTTCCAAATCATCTACAACTACTGGCTCAGGTAAATTTTATACGTGGAGCAAATGTAATCAGTAACTATAAGCTTTTTGGGTCATCTGTTAAGACACAACAGACCACAAGACAAAATTATTCGGGAATATACAACAAGTCCAAGGCTAGTCTAAGTTTATCAGGCACAACTCCTATCCATCAAGAGAAGGGATATCCATACCCTTTCCATGATCTTCATCTTCCCTGTCGTTCATCAACCCCCAATCACTGTCATCGTCGGACTCTTCCGTTGCATGATCTTCAGAATGATCACTCGGCTCGGGGTCATGCGTTGCTTCCCCGGAGAGGGCAACATCGTCATTACACGCAGTGACTATTACAGGGCTTGAGTGGTCCTGCTCAATGTGGCGCTGAAGGTACAAGATTCTAATGGCTGTATGTTGAATTTCTTGACCCTTGCGTCGAAAAGTAAGCCATTCTAACAAAAAGCCTCGTGGGTCTTTGCGGGCCAGCTGAGCAGCGGTCTCGGCTTCTTCGAGCTCTGGGACGTCTTCAAAGTTGCCTGGTGTAGGGTATATCTTCAAGACCAAGACAGAGACGGCCTGCGAGGATTACAAGCTCTACGGAGAGCCATCGAGGGAAACTATAGCCATGAGGTAGCGTAGGTATGTTGTAAAACTGAAGTTGGACTAGCTTAGTCATACCTTTTGTAGTGGCGGCCGCGTACGTGGTCAAGTATACCTTGTCGTTTGTCCGTGAGTTGAGCTTCCCAATGACTTGCCATTGACAAGTAAGTGTCCCTCAATAAAAATATAGTGAATAACTTGCCGATAGATATGTCCGCCAACCCGGTTAGTTGCAACCGAAACAATCCAACTTGAATCATCCTGTTTATTGTCAGGGGAACTTGATGCGGTATTCCAGTCAGTGTATTTTCTTTCGTGAGCTGTACCAAGGCTGGACCAGATCGTGTTGATTTCGTTCTCTAGGCTATGTGCGTTCGTATAGATCGATCTTCGAATCACCGGACCGAGCGTTCAGGCAATTTGTGCATCGCATACTAGAGTGTTGCCCAAGGCCACCGGCAGTTTTGCAGGGTCTATTACCAGGTTCTGTTGGAAAGCAAAAGAAGCTTTGGTTCAAGATAATTTATCTCTTTCGTGGAAGTATACTTGATGACCGGTGTAAAAGTTCTTCTGCAATCAATGCTGCCCAAAGTTCATATTTCGCCTTAGATGCGGCAGCTTCTGACTCTCTGCAGTCTTGCAACTCAGCACGAATAGTCCGGATCCATTCCAGAGTGATGCTTCGAATTCTTAGCATCAGCTGCTTGGCGGAGATTCGATTATCACCAGCTGCTAATTCAAACAGTTGAATGCATAGTGTGAGTAACAGATCCATATATGGTGCTTCGTGGTATCGCAATTCGACACTTCCAAGTTCCTATCAATGAAAGATACCAGTTGATTACAGAACGAAGAGTCTTGAAACACGAAGTGAAAGTAGCCCAAGACACCGTGTTGTTGACTGGCAGGGCCGGCCTGCTTTGCGAGATGGCCAATCATAAGTACGGTCTCTTCCTTCTTGAAGTCGAGGTTTGTCGATTTTAGCTCACGAAGGATAAGCGGCCATCGCAAATTCCGGCTAGCAAGAAGTTGCTGCAAGGTCATGTATTCTTGTGCCAGAACAGATCGAGGACAAGACAATTGGTTTGCCATGACTTCGTGTGAGCTGGGGCCCGATGAACTGGTGTCTGGATGTGATTCCTTGGGAAATACCGCAATGCTAAGACTATGAGGTACCGAAATACCATATAAGTGTTCCAATGTTAAAGGTCCATCAAATTGAGCAAGCCATCGTTGCCCGTGCTTATCACAGTATGCCAAGTTGAGGCCGTTTGGAAGAACGATGCGTGATAGCTCCAGCTTGACATTTTGCCATTTGTAATGTGTATCGATGAATGCCTTCACATCGGATCCTAGAGTAATACACCCAGGAATCCAGTTGATGTAGTCCATACGTGCGACATTCCCATAGTCCTCTACGAGCTTTTGTGGAGACTCCAGATCGTCGGGTTTATTAGGATACGCAAGAGTGCTACAAATATTCCATGTCGTGTCTCGATATACTCGCAAGAACTGAGGCATCCCAAGCTCAAAAAGCATTGCATCTCGTTGGTAAGTGTCTCGAGGAAGATAGTCCTCGTGAATTGCGATCGTTATATTGAATTTTGCACCCCAGTACGAGCACTTTTGGCAGACAGGCTTGATCTTTATCCTGAAGCTGTTGTAGATGCATTCACACGTTCGCTCTCCAATCAGCTCGGTGAGACTGTCATATGCGTCGCATTATTCTATCCATTCGGCTTCTTTCTGGGTTCGTATGGTATCAGAGCTCTCTTTGAGGTTGATCATCGACTGTTTTAAGTCTCGGCTTTCTTCGAAAAACCGCGAAGGAAAACCTTCCGGTCTCACTGTGCTGATGATTGATTTGTTTGTTCCCATGCACCGGGAAACTCGGCGGTCGAGATATTTCTGTACTATATGGAGGCGCTCCAGCTCGGCACATGTAGAGAATTGCAAAATATTCAAAAGCTCAGGCGTGAAGACTGGATGGAAGCTATACAAAAGGGGACAACCTTCGATCGCTTTCGTATCTAAGCGTGTCCACAGCTCAAAGACGATCAGAAGGTATCCACTCATCTGTCTAGGATTAGAATTGTATGTTTCGCCTACTTCACCGATTAGTTCTTCGCAGTTCTTAGATAGCTGGAAACAACTATCTTCGACAAAGTTATCAGGTGCAGAAATCAGTTCCATTTGCTTCTCGACGCTAGCTTCATACTTAGCATGCTCGACGTATCGTTCAACATACTGCATCGATTTTTCATTGTGTCGTCAAGTCGTGGTAATGTGACTGACGGGCTGCCTTGCTGTTGTTGGAGAGGCGATATAAGTAAGCGGTTGAGGAAAGCGCCACTATTGGGCAACTCAAGGGTCAGGTCTCCCAGACTTGCACGTGAAGGCAGCTTCTCTATGCGTCTAATAGTGCCCTGTCTATACTTTTCGCAAGCTCTTGAGATTTCGATGCCAGACTTGTCCAAGACATCCTTGAAGAAACCGGTGGATGCCGACAGAAGCCACCGAAGCGTGTTCGATGTTGATTACAAACTATGTGCATCTTTCTCGAGTTTCGCAAGGCGTACAGCCAATTTGTCACGTATTTTGAAGCTGATTTCTGGACTTAGATTGGGCTTGCTTTAGCGAAGGAACTGCGCAATAATTGTGGCCATGAGAGTTTTGTAGCAAGCGCGGCCATTGTCGTTGCCAAATCGAGGTTGGAGTTGCCGGTGCGTTGCGACACGCAACAATAACCACATTGGAAGTCTGCGCCATGGCAGCTCCGCGTTGTTGATGTTGACTTCATCGCGCACCCGCTTGCGTAGTTTCATGGTGTTATGATGGCTGCCTATAGCTTCATGCATCGGCATGAGCATCTGGGTGATCAAAGCAGGATCTGTTGTTTCCCAGGACTCAATTACAGGCACGCTTGCTTTTGTTGTATGCGCTGCACAACTCTGGAGTTTTTCCGAGCTTGCTTGCTCAAGCAACCTTACAAGACTAGATTGGTAAGATTCATCTCGGAAAACGTCGGTAGGAATCTCAACACAACGCTCAGGAAATTCCCAAACAAGGGCATTTTCAGCTGCCAGCACCGCATCTGGTGTAGGAGAAAGTTCGAAAGACTCAAAAACAACCTTGTTGTCCCAATTTCTGTCACAAGAACGAATAGTAGTTGGGCATAAAATATATTTTGGACACGTTTGGACGGAACCACTTGCCCACTATCACGCCTGATGAGCAATGCCGCATTTTGCTGAACGATGTTCAACATCAACATTTCTCCAGGTTGGAGAGCTTGCAGTGCTTTCCGAAGACGCGACTTTTGAAGGTATTTTTAAGGTATTTTTAATTGAGTTCCCCACAAATCTTGGTTCATGAATTACATTCCAGGCTTCGACCAAACTAGGAGCTATGGCAGGTACACCAATGGGCGTGAAAGCTGTTGTCTCCTTCAAAGCGTCACATGCTCGAATCATGCGGGCAATCAGGTCGCTTTGTACCCAAACTTGTATTTGTCTAGGATCTTGAGATCCTGGCACCCTGCGTGGGAGGCGCAAGTGGTTGAAAACAGCTTCCATCAAGGAAGCCATTGGTACAGTACTCCGAACGATGATGGTGATGAGATATGAAAATAGAGATAAAATGATGTCTATGTCGTTAGCCCCGCTTTGGACTATTTTGTGGTCAAACGAATTTTGAACCAGGAAATTTTGGAAACGAGAGGAAGAATGGTGAATGAAGCTGGGCTTCTGTCTAGAACGTGGTTTAAGACGTTGAAGGCCCCAGTCGACGTTTGCACCCGTAGCTATTCGAGTGATATGGAATATCTGTGTTTGTAAGCTATTATCCCACCATGGTGCACTGAATTCTCGACAGTTGGACTAATCGAAACTTATCACTCATGTTTTTAGGCACAATCTAGACGGCCGAGAGTGCCAAGTGGTCACTATTTACTACACTGATAATGTATGTACTTTACATTTTCCACCCTCCGTACGTTTTGCCTCTTGTACCTCACACCCCCAGATGCCAGGATTGTATGGTAGTGTCTTGGCCATCTGATTGTGAACCTAATTCAATTTTCTGACAGTATTATCAGGCGAGAAAGTCAGTAGCCTAGAGCTTTTATATCATGTTTTTAAAATTATTAATTGGCTAAAAGATCGTAATTGTTGACAAGACAAAATAGCACGTAACATACCCAACAAATTACAGTCATTTCAACCTGGCATCCTCATACCTCAGAGCACAGCTTAGCTAAAACATGTTGGCCTTTCCAGCAGCTCAGCCGGTGATTCTATAAGGTCCGTCATTAGGAGCGAAGGTGTCTTCTGGCTAGAACCACAGAATATGCCAAAGTTAGTTAACCATAATAACTGAACAGACGAACCATGCACCGCGTGTTCCCAAGCGCTGGTCAGCGACAATGATTTCTACTATGTGTTACGCGGAGGCTAGCACACCTACACAGAAGGCGCTCCTGCTATAGCAAAGAGTATATACGGCCTAATTTTCCTTCCACATCATCTCTCAACATTTCAATCACGCGTTTAGAGTCAGAATGATTCGATTTTCAGAGACAAAAGAGATGCGACAGACTTGTTGTGACCTTGAGAGCTGAGTAGCACGCCATATTAATGCATATTTCTTGGATGTTGACTTGCTAACAGCTGTTGACTCCAACCAGCAATGAAGTCTGAATCTAGCAATGGCTATTTACGAAGCAGTCCAGATCCTTGAGCGATGTAACTCACAGCATGTGGTATAGCCGGAATACTGTCCTGGGTCTAGCGCTCTTGAATAAACGGGTTTGTACTATATGTTTTTTTGGGTTGCAATAAGAACCCCCGAAATTCCTCACGCCACACGACAGTCGTTAGCTTTTCACGGGTTGATACAGACCCCTTTTAAGGTCACCTCCTCATAGAGATAAGCAGAACGTTAAAGCAAAGTAAACGAAGGCTCTCAAGTTCAATCCCAACAGCAAACGGCTAGGAACAGAAACGAACGAATAAGGTTGCATATTTGCCTGTCACGGGAGTGTGAGTTGTCCGTCCCCGCAGCCGGCAGCTGCCGTTGGCCGTTGGCCGTTGCCCGGGTCTCAGCATTTTCAGCATACTTGATCAACGTGTACGAGCAATCATCGTTAGCCCTCGAACTGCCGTGCCAAAAGGAGGACTCATTTATGCAAGAAATTGATAGATTTCTGTATACGCCGGCGCGCTTTGAACACGGACGTCTACGAAGTCCGAATTTCCAATGTCTTTTGGGAAGGGACAGGGTTCTTGATCCTGCCAACCTTAGTACAAGCCCATTATAAAGTTTCGTCATATAAAAGCCTAAGGCCCAGCCGGTACCACTCGAAGCATTTTTTTGCGGCGTCTGTTCTTCACGCAAAGCTTGCACTTTGCAGTCAGTGCCACCATGTCCAGAACCGCAATCACAAATGTCCTAGTCTTTGATGGCGAGACTGTCAGCGGTCCCAGAACGATTGTTATCGACGGCGCCCATATCAGTGATGGCACCGGAAGTGAAGGTGCGGATATCATAGTCGATGGCAGCGGCTGCACTCTACTTCCAGGGTTGATTGATTGCCACGTACACATTGACAATGTGAAGCAGCTGGCCGTGTGTGCAAACTATGGTGTTACCACCGTATGTGACATGGCATGTTGGCCGATGGAAAAATACCATAGGCTCCATTCAGCTGACTGGCCTACTACCTGGCTTGGTGCCGGTCTCCCAGCATTTGCAGAAAAGTCAACACATGGAAAGTTATTGAAATTCGTGGGTGTGAGTATGGACAAGGCCATACATGACGGGGAGGGCGCTGCAAGATTTGTTCAGGAGAGGGTATCCGAAGATGTTGACTACATCAAGATTATTGCAGATACCCCAGGAATCAAACAAGAGCATATGGACCGGATTCAGGAGGAGGCGACCAGATATGGCAAGATGACGGTGGCGCATGTGGCGCAATATGAGGCATTTGCCAGGGGGCTGTCTGCAGATTTCAACATTCTGACACATACGCCGATGGACAAAGCATTGGATGCAGATCTTGTAGACAAGATGATTACCCAGAACACTGTCGCTGTGCCGACGCTGACCATGATGGAAACCTTCTCGAAAAGCTGGGTTATGTGGCTTATCCAAGGCAACATGAACTTCCAGAACGCACTGGACAGCGTGGCCGCTATGCATCGAGCTGGAGTGCCAATTCTTGCCGGAACTGATACCAACAGCAATCCAGGAATGAGCGTTCAGCCTGGAGCATCGCTTCATCATGAACTTGCACTTCTAGTTCGAGCTGGGCTAAGTCCTCTTGAGGCTCTTAGATCCGCGACAAGCTTAGCGGCACAGCACTTCCATCTCGAAGATCGAGGGAGGATATCGCCGGGCTTGAAGGCAGACCTTGTTCTAGTTGAAGGCAACCCAGCGGAAGAAATCACTGCGATTTGTGATATCAAGAAAGTTTGGAGTACCGGGAAAGTGGTCGAACCGGTTGGGGACAGCGGTAACTGCGTGATAATGTGAAATTGCATCAACATGTACTGTTTCTCAAGAAACACAGCTTTGGTCATCTACAGCAAGGGTAGTAAGGTCTATGAAATGTTCTGTTTGTATCATGACAGTTATTTCTTGGTTAAGGGCTTTGTATTATGTTGTGGCCCTCGTGGAACCTACACTTTGTCTATTATTTCGTAGACTAGAATCAAGTATACTCCTTTCAAAGTATTATCATACTAGTCTATAGTTTAGTCATGAAACCAAGTGTTGCATGAAGTACAGGTATCAGACATGCTTAACTACCAGGGGAGTTCGGATGTAAACCAAATTGTCCGACCTCAGGATGACATCGGCCGATATGTGTTATATAGGGTCTAAATACAGATGATGTTATGTAAAATCTTCATAACTGACGGGTTTAAGCGAGAAACGTCCGATTCCGGGTATGTGTCAATGGTTACCCCGAGACCCGTAGCTGCTTGGGGTTGCCCCTCAGTCGTGGTCCATTAAGTTATAAGTTATAAGTTCGGTTGAGTTATTTTGGAGTTTAAACACTTTGGTAGCCGCTTCTCAATGTTGGCGAATACCGATTGCTACCCTATCTCACCCTTTCAACTCGACCATGCTCCTTATCTGCGTGTATCATGATGGCATCCGGACTACCTGCTGCATTCAAAAAGTCCGTTGCAAACTCAAGATGGGAGTACCGTAGACTGGGAAACAGCGGACTAAAGGTCTCCGTTCCTATCTTTGGTTGTATGAACTTTGGATACCCAACCTCTTTATTATACTCTATTCCCGAAGAACAGGTGAGCTGAGCTGCAGTATTGTTCAACTTCATGCGGATAGGAATCTAATATATCCACAATCGCTTCCACTACCGAAGGCTACTTATGAACGCGGCCTGAACACCTAGGATACAGCCAACCGCTACCCCAAAGGAGCGAGCGAGGTCATCGTAGGGAAGGCACTCAAGAAGTACGGCATCCCTAGTGAGAAGGTCATCATTATGACCAAGTGCTTTTGGTGTGTAGGCGAGCAGTATGAGATTCGACACATCTTTAATCACGAAGAGTTCGAGGCGTCCAAGGATTACGTGAATCAATTCCATCTTTCACGTACCGCCATCTTCAACCAGGTCAACGCGTCTTTCAAAAGACTGAATACCGACTGCATTGATGTGCTTCATATCCACCGCTTCGACTACGATACTCCGCTTGAAGAGACTATGAAAGCCCTGCACGACTTGGCGGAATCTGGTAAGGTTCGTTACATTGGAGCCTCATCTATGTGGGCTGTCAACTTTGCAATTCACTGCCGAGAAGAACGTTCGTAAGTCATTTTACTGGAATTTCTGAAAACTACATGTTGTCTCAAACCGAGCTATGAAGCCTTGGAACTTGCCTATATTATTCTATGTGATTGATTAGGAGAGCATAATGAAACGACGCTCAAAGTGCGCTGACAAGCTACCAGGGATTAAGTTCATTTCGATGCAAAACAAGTACAACCTCCTTTACCGCGAAGAGGAGCGCGAGGTAAACCGATTCTGCAACGACACCGGCGTTTGGCCAGATCCCGTAGGCACCGCTATCCAATGGTGATCTGACCCGACCGCCCCGCAACTTTAGCACTACCGACCCTTAGTCCCACGGAACAGTCGAGTCGGATACGATCATCATAAAGCGCGTGCAGACAGTCGCCAAGAAGCACAACTGGAATATGACCCATGTTGCTCTCGCCTGGATGGATTAGCGAGTCTCTAGTCCTATCGTCGCGTTTTCCAACCAACAACACACGTAGTAAATTGCTAATTTCTTATGGTTTAATGCTGTGTTGTCATGGCGAAAAACATCGGCTTTCTTTACGAAGAGTTTCTGTTCCTTGCCCATTGTTCACAAGGGAGCCAAACAGGGTTATCTTCATTCCATTATGATATGATGTGCTTGACGCTGATAGACGAAAGCCAATCCGAATACACATCATCGGCTTAAAAAAAAAAAAAAAAAGGCAAGGTCGGAACTCTTATAGCAATTCCGATTTAGGAAATGCTTCTTCTTTTTTTTTTTCTTTTCAGCTCGCAGAAATTCTTCACCAACAATTAATGGAATATAATTCTCCATCTCATCGTGCAGCTTGCCAGTTTTAATCTGAGCTACCATCTTCTTCCAAGTTCCTCGGATCTGCGTATTGACGTTTTGAATCTCCTCAATGTCTCTTTTACAGCCATATGCATACCGGAGATGGACTAGGATAACGAGTTGTGCGAGGAGATTTGAGTAAGGACTGAAGAACATGGATAAAGCCTCGGACATAAGGCTGATTCCCTCATCACGCCTGCCGAGACGGCTAAGGATTCTTCCTCGAAGATAAATATAAATCGGATTTCTTGAAAAGCCGCTAACCAAGTCCACGCGGTAAGAGTCAAGTTGCGCTATTGCCTCAAGATACCGACCTTCATCCGATAGCATTGCGGCCTGTATGATGCTGCCCTTCATTGGATACTCTGTGTTCACGGCAAGAGAGCGGTGTTTATTCTTTCGAAATGCCCTTAGTGCACAGGCTGCCTCTCGTATTGGCTCGCCGTCATAGCTTGCGAGCTGTAGTGTAGTGTTTATCGGCAAAGTCGTGAAATAATGGCTCTCTGGGTTAATTCGCTCTCTGAAAACGTCCAAATGTGCCTCCAAAATCTTGTTACCAACCTCATATCGTTGGCTGGGATCCATGGAAAGAAGTATGGACCAAACACGTGTGAAGGGATGCGCCGGCCCCAGTTGGATGAGACTTAAACCAGCTACATACTCCAGCAGGAAAGCGGCAAGCTCCGGGACGCCGTTGACATGAAAACTTAGTATAGAGACGTATGTAGCCGTTAACAAACTTGGACTTCCATCAGCAAGAAGCGACTTGTATCGGTCAAAGGACCTTCCAAGAAGCTCGAATCCATCTGACGAGCCGCGCTGAAGATCGCAAAACTTCTGTACAAGACCCAACTCTAAACACCAGCAAAAAGCACCATCTTTGATCCACAGATAGAAGCCTTCCGGTAAGGACCAGTCTCCACTTTCAAAGTGACCATGTGTGTAGCTGAGAGACGCATGTATACACTTCTCGGTATCCAAGTCCAGGTCCGGCGATTTTGGGCGATATAGGGATGGCGACAAAGCGTTCAGCACTGCACGGGATGAAGTTGCCCTCTCCTGTTCTACGAGGTTTAAATATTGCCGGAATCTCTTTGACCCGAGCTCTCGGCCACGTACGACAGGCACCTTCACGACAGCACCCCGGTACGCATCAAGATGCATTTGTTTGGCCGTATCGCCGGTCAAGTTCTTTTTTAGTCCCCATGCTTTGAACCGCTCCTTGTACTGTCTCGCCCTTTCAACGTGTCAGCAACTTTTCGACAGTTCTCACTCCGAAGCGTCTCACGTGGCGCGGAACCCATGTTCTCTTTCCATAATGTCCATTGTTTTCTTCAAAGTTTTGTTTTCTTGCCAGTACAGTTTTATGATGGTCTCCTGGTGCAACTTCCAGTCCTCGGGGCCTGCATACTGGCATCGACTTCTTATAGCTAGCGACATTGTACAATGGAGCGAATGGTTCGGCTTGAACTGATTTTTCTCACCAAATCGATGCTCCAGACACAACAGTATGGGTGATAGCCACTCATTGCATGGGGCCAAGCGCACAAAGCAATGTTCCCAGGTCCACGCAACGTCGATTGTAAGGCTTTCAGAAAATGGCTAGAATGGTTTCTTCCTCAGTTTCTGCTTCTGTTCCTGTCTTACGTGTGCGTCCATGCGATAAACGGACACTAAAACACTGCCTGTTGTAGGATTGGTCCATTAAATTACCGCCCCGGGGGTGGAGTGTTTTCAGGACGGTCCCATTGGGGAAACACTCATCTTACTAAGCGAATATTGCCATATCATAGCAGTTGCAGGCAACACTCACTCTCCCTAAGACCGTCCTGGAAGCACGCCCCGGGCAGGGAGGAGACGGCAGTTAGCTCTGTTGCAGCAGATCCGGATCCCGTACAAGGGTCTAGCCTTCTGCTTTCCGTAAGCTCGGGCAGCTGCTTTCAGCCGCGAGACACAACACAGAGCTGCTATCCTGTCGAGTTCAAGTGGGTTTTGAGTCAACTGTTGAAGGCATTGTCATGGCAGCAGCTGTTTGCTTTATTCTCATCAATCTGGATGCCCAGGCGCACTTTGACAAGATCCCTCATGGTAGGATTGGTTGTTGGGCCTGTTGATAGGGGGCACAGCGCGGGCGCCGACAACCCAAAAGTTCGTTAGCCCATTCTCTCAGAGAAGGATACCAGTTGCTCCCACAGTAGGCAGGCTAGGTCGGAAGCGGGCCGGGGCAGCGACGATCTTTGTTGCTAAATCCATCAACATGAAGAACATTCCAATGCGATGATTTGTGTTGTGTTGTCTTGCATTTTTGCTCAGCGGCCAAGGACGTGATGCACGTGGCATGGAATCAGAAAAACAACTTCTACTATTTGTTAGCCCAGCTGCTCAGTAAGACTCATGAAGAAGTAAAAGATTACAAGACAACACCAGGCAGGTGGCAGGAATGCTCCCCGGACTTTGCCACTACTGTGCCGCAAGGCAGGATTTAGGCGGTGTTGGAGCTGTCAACCTAGCGCACGGCGCAGTCCACAGGTAAAGAGTAGAGAGGTAGGGCTTAGCATGGCAACATGGTACAGACGGCGCCCATAGATAGTACCTTATTTTGGTCATGGTTGCTCCTACCGCCCAATCAGCACCCGAAAGTAGTTCAAGGTCAGATGCCCGCTCTGGATCCTTTCCGCTAGTTATGCATCATACCATGATTCAAACGGTCTAAAACAGGACGTCACAGCATACGATGATCGCAGGGGCTGTACACTTGGCACTTCTGCCATTCTTGTGGTCGGAAGTCAAAAAGTCCAATCCTCCTCAAATGTTCCTGGTGAACAATTAATTAATCTTTCTCCTCTGCTCGAACTTCTGATACCCAAGTCGTCATCATACCAACACCACTGCTAGCAGTATTCAACAACAAGGATAGTAGTGATCTCCACCGTCGTCGTCAACAGTATAACATAAACCATGGGCACAGAACCGCAACAACCTGACCAATACCAAAATGGGCCTACACCACCCCAACCCAGTTATCAACAAAATGGTGCTCACAAGGGATATCAGCAGCAGGGGGGAACCCAGTCATAGTGCAACCGACACCATTACATCTGCTCGGAGAGGCGCCGGCCATCATCGACTGTCCATACTGCAGCCAACGGGGGCCGACGAGGATCGACGAGCGCGACTCGAGCATGACCGTGCTCGTCGGTATCGGCATTGGAATCTTCTGCATCTGCGCCGCCTGCCTGCCATGTATCCTGCATTGGTTCCAGGACGTGGACCACTTCTGCTCGCACTGCAACCAGCGGGTAGCCCATATCCCTCAAGGTGGCATCGCACAGGTCATCCAGCCTCAGCATGTGCCCCAGGGGTACAACATGGGCCAACAGCCGCAGTATGGTGCTCAACCGCAGCAACAACACCACCAGCAACAACAACAACAGCAGCAGCAGCAGCAGCAACAACAGCAACAGCAACAACAGCAACAGCAACAACAGCAACAGCAACAACAGCAACAGCAACAACAGCAACAGCAACAACAGCAACAGCAACAACAGCAACAGCAACAACAGCAACAGCAACAGCAACAGCAGCAAAACTATTACGAGCCACAGCAACATACACCTCAACAAGAAGGAGTTCATGCACCACCTCCAGAGTACAAGTAGCGAACCAGCTGCAGATTTGCCAAAGAGGAATATTTTACGCAAGGATTGCGGGACCCGAGGAACGACCACAACGACGACTGTCTTGGCATCACTGATTCTGGGTTGTATTCGTGTAGTTCTCTGGGTTAAATCTTTATATTGTTTTCAAGTTTGATCGGTGGGTCACCGAGGCGCTATAGGCTGCGTATACCTGATGGAATAGAAGACATGACGAGAATACAATAATACGTTATGATCCTGCTACCTCTTGTTCGGAGACGTCTGCATCTTGTGTGACCGATGCGGGTTTCGAGATAAAGGCCCGCCATGTCAGTTTCTGAGACCTACCCGCTACCGCGACCCAGAGGCCAATGTATTTCGCAGGCAAGAGTCCACTCACAGCACGCCGGCTGATCATGCCCAACGCCGCGTGACGTTGGTGCTCACTTGCGGTATGCCATAAGGTCCTCCTGCTCCTCGCCGACAGCAGAAGGACGTGAACAAGTTCCATTCCAGATCTCTTCTCGCTCGGTTTTCTCCTAGCAACCCGTCACCTCCCGCACAAGCTCACTACCGCCAAGTCTTTGCTCTTCGCAACTCTCCCAGAGACTCCTAGTGCTAGCGGGTATCATGTGCTTGGGAGCGAATACAACGAAAGAAGTAATGCTGTGGCTGCTCCAAAGAACCCCTGACGCAGGCGCAAGGGGCAAAAGACGATGGATAACGAGGCAGCAAAATTAAGCTGGGAAACGGACGATGTCGCATGGCAAAGAAGAGTTTGCCATCTTGCCATTTGTGCCATGTACTTATTATTCTATCTCCAAAGTCAGGTGACGGACCGTGTATTGGGGAGTTAGGGTTGTGTTAAGACCTGGGACGATCGAATGAGCCGCCGACGGGCACAAGGCAGATAGACAATATTCATCGCCCGCTAGAAGCCTAGGAAATTCTTAGGCGACAGTCGGCCTCCGAGAGTGTGGTCGAACAACTACACAGTCGCTCTTCCAGCCACGGAATAGGTATCAAATCAAAGCAGTCCGAAAGCACAACCAATAGCCCTAAAGAAGTCGGTTTCCATCACTCAGGTCTATTTGTCCGAAGTACATGCTTTAGTTATCTGACTATGACCATAGCTTTCAGGCCATTGCTAGTATAGTGATCGGATCATGGCTTTCGTCCCTCGATGTCGTTTGTTCCTACAGACGAAAAAAGATCCCCAACCCCGGGTATAAAGCCCTCGTTGAGCCAAAACCACATCGATGATCCTTTGAAACTCCCTGAGCATACTCGAATGGTGCCATCGCGATCGGGTAATTTGTCATAGCTTGACTCCACGACTTGTCACCTCACCACGTCCTCCAATATTTAACAGCACCCGACAGTCAGGGCAATACCACTTCGTCGTGCGAGCCGGGATCTCTGTGAGACCAACACACTCGAGGTGGAACCATTCTTGTTTGCAGTTCTGTGTAGGGTGTTTGGTCAGTATGGAGTTGCGTGAGTATCTTTTGTTATTGCTAGAACAGACAGAAGCAGAGGTGGAACGACCCGAACGACTTGAACGGGTCGTTGTACGTGAGGAAGCAAAATCAGAGTTGTCATCGTATTGTTTGCTCACATCAACATTGTCGCATTGGATCATAGTGCCAAAACTGACCCCGTTACAGACGCAGTATCTGGCTTCGTCTGGATCGATGACGTTGCCCTCGTCATCTACTTCGACCTCAACCTCCTGTTCAGCTTGAGGCCCCTTCTTGGTTTTCTGCTTCTTTCGAGGAGCTGCTGTCCGTTTGCCGACCGCACTCGTGCCACCCGAGGTCTTGTTGACAACGCCTGGTGCAGGACGCTTGACACGTTTACTGGGCTGGCGAATTTCAGGGGCTGGTGTATTTCGAGCGGTACTAGTGCGTCGAGGTCTATCAACCGCAAGAGTGGGTGCCGCTGGTTCGACACTGTTTGCTTTGCCACGAGATGCTGGTCGACGCAGGTTCATGGTCATAGTGGGTTGTTCCGGGCCAGGTGTGGTGACAGGAGTGTTCTGCCTAGATGTGTTGGGCTGTTTCGTATTAGTTGCAACAGGTTGCAAGTTCTTCTGCGCATCTTTCCTGGTTTCTCTCTTGCCAAAACTGTTAGTGGGCGGGAGGATAGGAGTAGTGGATGTCTTAGGAGTTGGCACTGATTTTGTCTCTGCAGGAGGTTTAGTGGGAACTGTGGTGGTAGTTGTGATTGCTGGCGGTGGAAGGGGAACAGGACTTGTGCCCGCTGAAGGCGTAGGAGCTGGCTTCTCGGCCACAACCGGTGTCTCTGAGCGAGGCGGCGCTGGCAAAGGCACGGGCGTGGCAGAAGTGACCTGGACAGCAGCATTTTGACCAATCTGCGGCGGCGGCACTGGCGTGACGGCCGCAGGTGGAACCGATGTTGGTCGTGGTGTGAATTGCGGTGGAGGAATAGGAGTTTCCGTCTTGGTCCGCTTGATTTGTGGGTTAGTTGGGTGTGCTGGTGCTGGTGCGGGTGTCCCATTTTCTGTACTCTCGGTCTTCTCTTCAGGCGCATTGCCCTCAGACGTAGATTCGCGTTTCCTCTTTTTGGCCTTCGGCTTGCTAGCGACTTTGGATTGTGAGGTTGGTTGAAGTGCAGGCTGGGCGGTTACCCCTGCTGCTACTGCTGTTTCTGCCACACTCCCAGAGACAGAAGGACTTCCCTCTTGGGTGCTCCAAAAGCTCATAGCCTGTGCTTTCATCCTTCTAGCGGATTCTTCTGCCTCCTCGACTGCCTGCTTTGCCATCTGCTCGCGCTTGAGTTTCTTTGCTTCGTTGAGCTTCATGCCTCGGTTACTAAGCTTCACTTCCTCGTCGCCAAGAGCTTCGAGCGAGAGAGCACCGATAGGTTGATGCTGGATACCAGACACAGCATCTGTAACTGGTGCCGGAGGGGCATACTCGAAAGGCCTCCCCGCATCCTCGGCCTCCTGCTTGGCAGCTTTCAGGGCGTCGTGACCGCGACCCAGTTGCTTCAGCTCCCGAGCAACCATGGTCTCGCTAGGGTTCCACACCGCGTTCTTCTTCATTCGCTTTCTAAGCTTTGCAAGCTCCCAGGGCGTGAGCTGGAGCCATGGTCGATCGGGGCCGCCCAAGGGGGCATCGGGTGGTGGCGGTCTAAGTTTCGCGAGCGCGGAACTGGTAGACGGAATGGGCAGTCCATCGTTGAGTTGTTGTCGCGCTGCACGGGGCTGCTTGGGAATCTTCTGCTTGGGGAACTTGGAACCCTTGACGAGCTTGATTCGAGGCGCAGGAGTATTTATGGGCGAAGGGGAAGCCTCTTCTTCGGAGCTCGACTCACTGGACGAGCTATATGGGTTGATGTCAATTTCGTATGGGGCGAGCACCTCCCCAGGAACTGTGATTCTAGGCGGCCCGCGGATTTTGTTGCCATCCTTGTCCAGACGTGGTGCGGGCTTGGCAGTCCTGCTCATCTGTGGAGAGCGTGTCTGGACCGGACTCTTCTGCTCCTCTGTCGGGTAGTTGTCCCGCATGTGTTGAAGCTTGGCTAAGATCGTCTTGGCCCTATTCACATGCCTGTTCACATATTCTGCCATGCGTCGGGCCTCGGCATGGCTCGATATACGTGCGTTGACAGCCTGACTGAGATTGTCCGATATATCAGCCCTCAGCTGGACGGGAACAGGTCGTTGGTCGGCTGGTAGGGTAGGGAGCTTGCCCCATGTCGAGGTAAGCTCATGGACGAGTGCTGAAGCGTCGATATAGGTCTGGTCGAGTTTGCCGATGAGGGTCAAGCTGCGGTTTACGTCTGCAGGAAGGTACTCGGTGAAGTCGAGATAGTCTGTGACTGTTGTCTGCGCATCAGGATCGGCACGCTCGTTGAGAGACTCGAGAGCATTGTTCTGCGGCATGGCTGGAGCTATGGCGGTTTTGTTCGTGGGGGAGATGGGAGTCTCCTCGACAAGCTCAGCAGCGGTGGCGCCGCTAACAGTGCCGTTTGCTTCTGTGTCTGCCATTGTTACGCTGTATGCGGATCGCAATGTTCTGGGCCTTGCAATATCATGGTCGTGCGCAGAATGGGGCGATCAAGTGCACGCGACAAGCACTCAATGCAACTACGTGCGGAGGGCAAGAGCGATGATGGAATATTCGATGTTGGTGGGATTCAACAAACTGCTCATTGCGCCGACGCGATGATGCGAAGTCGCGTTGCAGCATGCCAAGATTCAAGTGGGCCGTGCTTGTGCTTGTCCTCGTCCTTGCCCTCTCTGCATCTAATCTGGTCTAGCTTCGGTAATTAATAGCTGGATAGCTGGATAATTGCATCAACTGCAAGCGTTGCGTAAGATGAAGGCCCTTTTGACTCTTCGATGTCGAATCATTTGCCTGCTGCTGTTTTATGATTATCACTTTTATATGGTTTGTGACTTCTAGTCTGATGCATGCCAGATAGTTGACTGGTCTCTGAGATGCCCGTCCAAATAACAATGCAGTTCGCCTGCTTGAAGTACCACCACCAGCACATGAGGTGTGCACAATTTAGTTTTCCTATACTCCATGGACAGAAAGGAAATGTGGTTTTGTCTCTTGAAACTGTCCTCAAACTCCTGGTTCCTAAATTGCCTATAGCCGACTTCCAACCTTTGCTGACCAAATCCCATTCCTCCCTGTTGTAATGCGCCGTTCTTGCTCGATGCATTCTAAAATGCACGACTCGCCAAAAGGTCCTACCAGTGGTGCACGTGCTGATCTACATGCACGAAGTTGTATCGTGTCCTCACCTACCTAGACACTGCCCACAGCCCCCAAAGCGACTCCGGTTACAGCAGAAGCAAGGACCCAAGGGGTGGCCCATGCAAATGCGCCGATGGGCTCAGCGCCTTGAACAGTGAGGGCGGTCTGAATAGTTGTGCTAGCACCCGTCACCAACATCAAAATAGCGGTACGCTTAACCACAGTCTTGGTTCTGTTGCTCCAGCCCCAGAAATTCCAGGATAATGTCTCCTTCAAAGACGCATTAACGGGGTCGAAGTCAACTGCCTTCGTCTCTGCCTCGGCTTCGGCAGGGGTGAAAATAAAGTTGGTGGCAGCGAAGCCAAGCGTCAGCGTAACAGGGAGGAGATTGATGTAAGTCGACTCGTGTGCCGCCTGGATCGATGGCAGGCTGTCGTAGTAGACAATCAAGGCCGTGGGGAGGTAACTTGCGTAAGCGGCGAAGAGAGTCACGGTATAGATGGCACCGGAAAGGAGTGTAGTCAACAGAGCAATCGGCTTGTCAGTCAGCAAGTCGGCATTGGGCGCGTTGGCGGGATCGCGATGCGCCTTGGACAATGAGCGGAGCAGCCTGAATGGAAGATAGGTCGCGAAAGTCTCGATGGCAAGAGTCAGGATGAGTGCCGAGGCTGGCACTCTGTAGAAGGCGTTCAAGAGGTAAAGCTGCAGGCTGATCAGTCGTGACATTCGGGCAAAGCAATGCGCACCCCGATGTCTTGATCGGTTTCTTTCACGTACCGGAGGACCATGTGACAGCAAGTTGAGCGCCGCCAGGTCATAGCCATCGTAGTCGCCAAACCAGCCCAGCGCAAGTTCGAAGCTGTTTTTGCATCCATGGTCAGCACAACTCACAGCGAATCGTGGCATTATGTCTCTCCCATGATCTAAGCCAGATCATCCCGGGGGGGGGGGGGCTCACATTCTCCAAGCCATCAAAGTTCCATATTCGCTCCAATGCTCCAGACTGCGCGCATGCACAGCTATAGCAGCCTTCGTGTAGGGATAGGTGATTGAGTACCCAACGGACGAAACGGCCAGACTCAAGATGACGACAAGAGGAAATTGGATGGCCTTGGGGATCTTGGACTTCTGCGTGACATTCCTCTTTGCCTCCTCAAATGCTGCGACGACCGGCTCCGCACCCTCTCTAACAATCAGCGCGTCCGTGGAGGGAGACGGCGGCAAGTTGGGCTCCTCGGAGCGCGCAGACGTAGAAGCCGTCCCAACAGCCTCGGACTGGATCTTGTCTTGTCGTCGGGTGCGCATTTTACGCTGATGTACGGGAACGCGGGAAATAAGGTAGGATACGGTTCGTCGAAAGATGCGCTTGCTGTCTGAAGTTTGGAATGATGTTTGATGGCAACGTAAAAAGAAAAATGAGTTTGCGCTCAGTGATGTTATGCGATCATAGTGGGATTGCAGTGGGTTTCGGGGAGCGGCTAGCGCGTGGAGAGAGCTGGGCATGAGCTCCAATGACGCTAAATACAGAGCACTATGGGCTAGTAAACAGATGGAGCTCGGTGACGTCTTGACGCGCCCCCCCCCCAAGCACCATGTCTGTGCCTATGTATGCGTGTAGGTATGTAAGCAACCCGAAAACCCCAAAATGATGATTGATGTTTGTGCATCCTGAAGCGCTCGCTATATTCACTACAGAGCATACATGCGAACAACTGTTCAGCCATTATTGTCTTGACCTTTAATCTGACCGGTATGGAGTTCATACCCTTCTCGTAGTGCCCACCCCTCCCTGCCAGCCTGCCTCGCGAGACAGTCCGACTGTTAGCCAGCTTTGCCTATCCCTGTGCTAACGCTGATTCTGTCTACTGGATGTATGAGTCTCATCGAGAAGGGTCCCCACAGGCAGCCACGGGATCGTCCCGATTCTTTCTATACAGAGTAGGTTATCCAGACCAATTGACGTTACCTATCATCCAACTAGTCGGTTTCAATTTGATCTTTGTGACGTGCATCCCATCCAAATCGATCGATTCGAGGGGTTGGTTCGACATGGCTTGCTTGTTGTTGAAAAGGGTCCCCAGATCCCCCTCGTGCTCTTGTGACTCGCGATCACCGCTTCTCGTTTGTCTTTCGCCGTCTGTTCTGCAAACTCCCATCAGTTCTCCTATCTGACCAGCACTGGCCATCACAGCATCTGTCATAACCAACGCAATCGATATCGCTGAAGGAGGCCCTTCCAGTCTTCCTCACGCCAGCTCCCGATTCTACATTGTGGCCACTTCAAGCTCTCCCGCTTCAATGAACTTGCTTGGCATTCGTGCCTCATTCAGCCATCACGAACCCAAATTAACGGGCCGCTTGAGTCATGCGCATCGAAGGGTCACAATACGGAGGTGAGACCACCAGGTAGGTCGATAAGTTGGTTCATTGATCTCATTTGATTCATACATGGGCGAAGGAGTGTCTTGTCCTATGGTTACATCTCCTGCTTGGGCGCCTCATAATCCCTCTGGATCAGCTTCAATGTGCTTAATTAGGGTGTTCGCTCGACGCTCTTTTCCGATCCTCACTTTAACCTCGTGGCCTATTCTTTAGTCATCTCATATCATGGTGACCATAAGTTGTCCACTCTTCGGTGCTGAGGTTTCGATAGCGGAGCCGAACCACCACGTTTACAAAATTGGTATAGGTTCGCGGTTACAAAAGAAACAACAGATGCCATAGTAGAAGGTTCATAACATGCGTCCCGGGTCGTCGCTACAAGCAGCAGCATCATTGAATGCACTCATTCTGGTGCGTTCACTCCTCCATACGGCCAAACACACCGTCATCGTCATCTTCACTGCGGACCCGGGATCGCCTGTCATCTTCGTCCTCGTCCATCTCGCTGTCTTCCATCTTCACGTCTTCTGCGTGACGGTATTGTCCGCGTGTGAAGCTCTCGGGCATCTGCCGTGCCGAGTAGCTGTTAAGAAAGCTGGTGCTGGGGAAGGCCGCCTGGTCAAGGTATTGGGCGGGCAATGGGGGAACCGGTGGAGCATCGTCGGGAAGCCTCGTGTCCCGGGAACCGCCACTGCTGCCGAAGCTGCAACTAAGCAGTTCAACGGCGGCTGCAAGGTCCTTGTCCTCTTGGCCAGAGCTGCCCAATCCAGAAGACGTGGGACGGACATCAATACTACCATGGCGGTTGTGGCCGAACCCAGAAGCGTTGGAAATGCTGCCAGACAGGAAGCCGTTTGAAGCAGCAGACTGATATGATCGCGCATAGGCACTACCATTGCTCGATCTCTTGGCATTGCGGAATACGAAACCACCGTGGTAAGTTTCGGCCTGTGGTGGCGGGGTTGTGTCGGCCGAGCTTCGCCCATCGTGTTGGTCCGAATATCCCGAGGCAGCCGGCGATGCTGCTGATTCGGGTTCGCTGCCGAAGTCTCGGGCGGAGTCCGGAGGGGTGGATTCATCCTTGATGATGTTCATCTGGACGAGCACCGAAGCAGCCTCGAGAAGCTGCACTTGTTGGTGCTTGGAGATGAGCAGCTTGGATGTGTACGACCACTCGGGAGTGTGCTCCCACCTAACCAGCAAAACGTCAACACAATGTCTCCTGCGAGCAAATCCGGGGTAGGTTATGGGAGTCTGAGGTGGGGTCCAGGCATGTACGGTCTAGACCTCTACGATTACGCAATCGACTATCCAGCGGCTGGAATGAGATGGTTTAGGGAGAAAGGGGTAGGCAAGAAAATGGGCACAAACAAATGCTTTGTCAAACAGCTGCTGTGCTTGTATGTTTTTCCGCACTTGTCGCAGTGAAGCTCGACGCGGCTGCTCTTCTTGCCGTCCTTGGTAAGAGGCTGTCCGTCGCTAGCACGTCGAACGCGAGCCTGCTCGAACCCGTTCTCGCCTTCCTCAGCAGACATCTCGTTGGAATCATCATCAATTGCGCTGTCCTGGCCTTCCGGTTTTCCGGACATCATGAACTTGTGTGTAGGCAGGCTAGCGGGTGGAGAAGGCAGGCTTCCAGCGATAGCGGACCTGACAGTAGCCGACTTGGAGACAGTACCACGGCGACCGTTGATCGTCATGGGAAGGGGGGTCATCTTGTCGCCAGCCTCAGCCAGAGCAGCAGCGACGGCCGCGACATTGGTACCATTGTTTGTTATACTCTTACGGCGATTGATGCGGTGGGAAGCGTTGAGGGAACCGGATAAAGCCGAGTGGGCGTGGGAGTGGGAGCTGTTGCGCGAGTGAGACGACGGTCGGGTAGCAGATAGGGGGTTCGTAGAGCCGGGTATCGATTGACGATGCTGGGACAATGGCCTCGTCGTCGTCACGGACATCTCCTGTACAAGGAGACAAGTAGTCAGCAGGCTGCTCTCTTCTTGGACACAAGCCAGACAGGCATATGATGAGTGAATAACTAGCTGTTCAAGGTACCTTTGTAGAGGCCATTCCTGCACAAGTGTATATGATAAGAGGTGTCGTTGGTCAAGGCCAGAAAGCGGGATTGCCAGTACACAAGTTGATGTAGTGAAAGAAAACAAAAAGCACTGAGCTCTGGAGGTGCAAAGCAACTGTAAGCCGTTGCGGATAGGGTTCAAGCACGAGAGTCAAGGTAGTGGTGGGCTCATGCGTGGTGTGGTGTGGTGTGGGATGGGAATTGGTTGGTTCGGGTTGAGGTGTAAGTGGCAAGCGACGCAGAAGCCAGAGGTTACGTGAGTTGTTGATGGGAGGTGAGGTAGGTAGTAGAGAGGGAAGATCACTTGTCAGATGGTAAATAAAATAAATTATTTTTTTGAGCAACTGTCTGGAACTTGCTTGGGGAATTAGGAACAAAGGCAATTTTGGCCAAGTTGTCCGGCTGCGCCTTCAGGTTCCAGCGCGCGGGCGGGCGTTGCGTTGGGTGGGTGTGTGTCTCTTTCCTAGGTTAGAGCCAGAGCCCCGACCACTGGGCAGTGGGCAATGGGCACTGGACACTGGACAAGCGCACGCAAGCATGGCGACAAGCGATGAAGGAGGAAGAGGAGGAGGTGGTGGTGGAGAGAGGGGGCACCAGCGGGCCTGAGGGGGGTGTGAATACAGAACAATGGAGGGGGGTCACTCGTTGATTGTAGGCAGTGCGAGGAGCGGATGCTGGACACAACCCGACTGACCTTCAGTCATGATTACATCCCAGCAACTACTTCCGTCCCAGTACTTACAACATTGCTCGACTCTACTCTACTCTATTCCGTACCATTGCATGCGCTCATCCACGCGCTTGTCGGTTCTAGACTCTAATGCTTGTCTTCTCCTACCAGCTTCTTCCATTCATCAGTTAAACAAGACAACTCAGGCAACACTGTGTGAAATGCATCCATGGCTATGGAAGTATGGTCCATTTCGATTATGTATTACAACACATCTCAAGTATGGACATGTACCGTAGCCCGTACTTTCGGACCGGCGCCAGGCACAGGAACCCACCCAGCTACTGTAGATGATAGGGATAAATATTCAAAGGCGTGTCATTTACTTCTGAACCCGTGGAAACTCAGAGAACCACTTTGAGTTTGGACGTCCTGTGATCACTGATCACTGATCGGTCGGTCACCAGCCGCCGTTTCTGGATAGTTTGGCGCGCTTGATACCTTATCTAGTACTCTAGGTGGTTAGGGCTTTGGTAACCCCTTTGGTTGTTATGTATCATTTGTGGACCGCTTCCCCCAGATTCTGAAAGATGCAGTAGACGCCGATTAGGTCTGCTCCTAATTACTGTTACCCTAATCAAGTCACTGTTGTTTTCGCTATCAACGGCATTGGAAACATCCCGGCGGAACATTTGCAACAACATGTTTGAGACGGCGATGGTTTTGACCTGCCTAGGATGGGATGAAGAACCAGGAATACCAAGCATGTACAGCTTGTTGGCTTGAGCTTGCTCAACTGATTGAGCAGGGAAGGTGATCCCGGCCACATCGGCTCGAAGTTGCATCGACATCGACTACCCCAGGTCTTCATTATTATGTATTTTTATCTTTTTGTTCGCGATATGCAACTTCTGCACAAAAGACGACGGTCTGCCCACGGTCGTTCAGCTGATAAAGCGAGCCCATAAATTCTGTACATACATAGTATTATTAACTACATCAGGGTTGGGTACGAGAGGCGGCATAATCAATGATCCCAAGACAATTCGCTCAGAATTTCTGATCCTGTCTTGAATTAATCATTGCAACTGCCTCAGGTTGGCAAGAACCTTGTAGTCATCTTCTATTTGCTGAGATATGATATTATGGAAGCGCTCAGAATTCCTGCCACTCATGTCCGCATTCAGAGCTGGAGTCTTGTTGGACTGTTGGACGGGCCGCTGACCACGTACGGTTGGCTTGAGCGACATGTGGCATACAATAAGCCAGGTTGGGCGCATTGGATAGGACAGTGCAAATCCAGACTCTCAACACCGTCCCGGTGTTGGCTTCCTGGACACTGATTCGCTGAAATGGAAATATTGGGCAATCCCATGGGAGTCAACTGATAAGACAGTGGCCGTGTATGGAGAAGCGACCCACTCATGAATAGTTCAAAGTGCACTTCGAGGTCTGGTTTCTCGTCGGCGTTCTCATTTGCCGGTCAATGTTCTCGCTCAAATGGCCACTTTCTCTACAGTATGCGAACCTTTGTCATGCTTTTTTATTGTTGTTTCTGATGATGGTATCTATCTTAGCTTGATGGATTTGGCCTAGGTCTCACCGTTAGCCGCCCTCTGACCTTGGTAATCATGGTGACAATTTAGATCAGTCTTGCGCAACACCGTATCTGCCACCTGATGTTATCCAAGTATCTATCAAGCGCATCTCCTTAGCGACATGCCTCCGAAACATAGACTCGACTAAGAGTTCCCGTTATTGTCCATGGAGCACTTGTGAAATATGACTGCGCTCCGGCTTGCGTCTATCCAAAGCCGGCTTCTCAACTGAAACACATTTCCCAGCTCCCTACTCACAATCCATGAGCTTTCAGTTCTCAATGAGATTATTCGTGCAACTCAATTGGACTGTTGTTTTCTTCAAGCTGCCATGCATCTTGGAGGTTCGCGACAATGAAAAAGGTCCCGGATTGGTGACCTAAGGAGGGGTACCGGAGCGGAGCATCATGCTTCTGATGCGACCTGACCAAAGAAGTTCGTGCGACGACAGCTCTCCACTGCCCAGCTATGTCGATGTCGTTGATCATTGCGGTATGGGGATTTTAATGGTTCGAGAATACCTTGCTCGATTCCCTATTTGTGAATCTGTCTTCGGCACTCCAATATCATTATGGCAATCATCATAACTCGTCATAGAGGGTTGTTCTCTCCGAACCACATTCAACAGATACAGATACCATGCGCAATCGTCAAGCTAGACATGAAATATGTCAAGGTAACCTTCTCTCCGGTGTCAGCAGACCATCTAGCCAGTCCAGATGCAGGTACTCTTGCATTATGCGTAGCCTCTATACCGCATACGGGAGAATAGAACATAAACCCAGCAGACATGTCAAACTAATGCACGAAGGCTACGACCACGCCCATCCGAACATTATCCAGAGTCCTTGTTAATTGGACAACTCGAGAGGGGGTTCATATTCTAGCTCGGTCTCTATGCTTGGTTCCCTCCGTCTGAATGCAAGACATCGGTAACAACCACAGTGGCTTGTCAGGAGACGCGGCATATCAAGCCACCTCACTACCGATAAACGAATTCATTTCTTGCCAAAATATGGAAATATTCACGAATGCACCGCAGGCTTTGATCCGGATGGTTCCCATGGGAGAACCGACTTTCGTTTAACCTCAGTAATGAGGATATTCCACAACAATCTCTGCTGACAAAAAAATTCTGAAATATCCCAATGTTTAGACAGAAATAAAAGAAAGAACGATTCCGATCGACGAAGCCAAATGACTATTTCTCAGCCGCAACGAGGATCTATTGTTGCTGTCTGGCGTCAAATCTCGCGATTGAATGAGCCTGTCGATTCTCTAAGCGTTCTAGGGCACCCTGAAGTCGATTCGCCGACTTGAGACGGGCTTTTATTAACGGGCACTACCAGGCTCGCGAACGATTGATCTGGACCAAATGATCGTCGCTCGATGCGGCACAAAAAAAAGTTGCACACCATCAACCCCCGTCTTGCCTGTTCGTCAAGTCACGCGGTCTTCCCGTGGCTTACCGGTGCCCTGGATTCCTTGATAGAAAACTACTACTGCACCTGATCGGGAAACGGCACCTTAGAACGGCGCCGTCCGATCTGAGGCCGGGTGCTCGTTCGACACTATATGTTTGGACAGAGCGCGCCATCAATTGTGTAGCCTAGATACATGTGCAGTTAGCTTGGGATATCAAGCCTCATAGATCTCATGTTCAAGTTTCCAACGTAGAAAGCCCGTCGGCGCCTCAGCAATTTCCCCGATGGCTCGGTTCCAAAAACACACGTTGTCCTCGTCTCCAGGCAGTCGTTTTATAGACTGTTAGCAGCCAATCAAAAGCATCCGACTGGGAGCAACGTTTTGGTTTGGCTCTTTTATTTAATTGTATGGAAATCCCGACAGGAAATATCCAATTCTCCCTGAAACCCCGAATAGCCGAATCACTCAAATCATTTGGTGCCCTTTCTTATTTGTTAGATCATGATAAGAAGAATATCCTCAGCCGACAAGAGCTGGTTTGAGAGGAGGGTTCTTTGACGTCACTAGCGCTCAGATGACCATCTTGGAACGACGACGAGTTATGCGAGGGATAACCAAGCCATGGTCAGCCATGGACTGCGCCTCCAAGCTGTGGCAAGCAGCGAGTGTGTGCCTTCATTGAGGAGGCGTCGTAATGCTTACTATTGCCCACGCAATGAGCTTGTTGCAGGCAGAAGGATTCGAGAGCAACTGCTTGGCGATCAGCTTAGAATTTCTACTCAGCTTTCATCAGCATTGCAATACCGAGCGTGCCGGATTTTCCATTCTGGCAGCAAGGCAAGATACATAGGCACAGCGAATTTTACTCCACCTTGAGCTGAAACAAACTCTCCAGTGATAAGTCTACCTTGACACAGATTTAGCATGAAAATTTCCCCGGACTATGCAATGGTTCCTGATCTCCAATGATCAACACCGCCCTACCCGCGGGCTGCAAGAAATTCCCCGGCCCAGTGCAAGTATAAAGCTGGCGGGTGTTGAGTACGCAGCTTTGATTTTCGTCGAATATATCGAATCATATGTACAGTCCTGGCTGCAGCTTGTAACAGCCATGCGACCCTGGTCGAGACGATTACTAGTAATGAAAGGTGATACTGAACAATTGATACGATCAAAGTACGGAGGCTCAAGATCCTGCCTGTTTCAGCAATGCAAGCAAATGAGGAACAATGGGGAATTATGAAATTATGAAATTAGTGCTATTTGTAGTTTTACCGACCGATCAAACAAGGATCTTTGACAGTCGTATGATGTCAATTCGCTGCAGGTACAAAGCAAAAGGTATGTTGAGTTCGAGTCATTTTACAGTACATGTATTTTTGACTTGGCATTAGCCATGAATTATTGCAGCTGTCAAATGGTTGTCGAAGTTCACTTTCTTCCTCTTTGTGAGGTACCACAATTAGCATTTGTTGGGATTTCTTAAGTCGTACAAAGAATGCACACATGTGACATTCCTGATATGCTGACGTGATTGGGCAATCTTACATGTCTCACCCGATGGGATTTTTCTTCTTTCTCCCTGAGCTGACGAGATTCTTCGCAATCTAGAGCTATGATGTTACTTGAAAGTAGTGTTGTGTATTTCAGCATCGAGCGGCATCGTTGATGCTAACGACACACCGTTGCCAATTGGAAACAAATAATTATTGTGAAGCGGTGACAGGGCCTCAACTGAAGCCGAGTGGCCCCCAAACTTCACGAGCTCACTCCGCAGTGGAGATGTCGCAACCCGAGAGCCCCCTCAATGACGTAGTAGGCCTTCTGCTATGGTTGTGAAGTGAGTCCATGGCTGGCGCCGAGATGCACGTCTCGGGTCTGGAAGAGAAGAAAGCACGTTGCCCCCATGGCCAACCACAGCCTGAGGCTTGCATCCGAACAACTCTTTTGTTCAAGAGGATATGGATCGCATCCTGCATATGTTTACTGTGAATTTCTTATCATTGGCACATGGTGACAAGCACAATAAAGTATATACTTTTGTTTTCTTTGCTTTTCTTTTCCTTTGGAGGTGTCCAACAAGTTGATTCCCGTCTTTTGCCCAAAACCCCTCACCATTGAGGAACTAGACAACGACCGGGGTGGAGAATTTGCCCCGCGATGCTCTTGGCATTGGTCGCCTTTTGCCTTGAAGTGGCAGCGTGGTTTCATAGATAGAAACACCCAGTTGCTTATTATCTTATTCCACATTAAAGTTTTTATACTGTATAAATTGGATTTTTCGGAAAGTGGATAGAAACGTCAGAAGGAACCTGGGGTTAACCGAATAAAGGTCGTTCAATCATCATCGTGAACTCATAACCCCAGAATACGGGCATCGTCTCCCACGCAGATACCCCACCTCGATACTTCGTACCTGCTTTCCCTCCCTCCCTCCGTGGAGTCAAGGTACACAGAAAACCATGGCCGACGCATATCGCAAGGTCGGCCGCGGCGGCGCCGGCAACTTCTACTCCCAGAAGGACGTCGAGGACGCCACCAAAAATGCGGAGGAGTCGTCGTCCAAGGACGTCGAGGCCCAGAAGCCCGCGCTCGCAGACGAGGCGCCCTCCGACCCAGCTGATCCTCCCGCGCCTGCCTCGTTCATCAGCACCGAAGCGGCAGCAGCGCCGGTGCGTACTGGACGCGGCGGCGCCGGTAACTACGTCGACCCTCTGACGGCATCTTCAGGCTTCATCATCTCAGGTGCCAAGCCGCACCCAGCGACGGTGCACACGACGGGTAACCCCTCTGCCAGCCGGGCGCTAAACCCGGAGACGTCCTCGTCGACGGGCACGCAGGGAGGACCACCGCCGCCGGCGAGAGCAGGCCTCTCGGGTCGGGGCGGCGCGGGCAACTGGTCGAGCGGGGAGGACCACAGGGTGATCGACGAGGAGCAGGAGAGAAAGCGGAAGGAGGCGCTGGACAAAGGCATTTTTGACGACGTGAAGGCGTCGCTCAGGGAGCCCGGGAGGGCGCACACGAGGGTGCACCCGCACGGGAGGGGAGGGGGCCCGAGGGGTCTGGAGGAATCGTGACTCTTCCACGATCAGGTCTGGCTGTCTATCGCGTGCTCCGAGATGCTGCAGAGTGCCGATCTTCGTGCGCGTGGTGCGGCGGTCGGGTCTGGCGATTTGCAGCACGAGAACCGCAACGACAAACGAGGGGGCGGCGGGGGTAGTGGGATGTAGATGAAATGTGAAATATAGTGTGCGACGCGTCGGTCGCAAAGGCTCGAGGTATGCCAAGAGGATGGTAGTGTAACATAGGCATACACGTGCGTATGCGTTGCGGTTATTACAGCACAGTATTAAGAATAACACCATATATAATAAAGTAAACATTTCTAGCGGCCCAATCCCCAGCGAATTTGTATCCGAACGCTCAATATGGCCGGATAGGGGCAGTTGGGATGGCATCTAGCTGACTGTCTGTATCCCGCCTACATACAGAGCTGCTCGTAGACCGCTTTTCATTATTGGATATAAAATCCCATTAGTGAAATGTCGTTCCCAAGGCCACGGGTCGCTTCGTGCCTGCCAGAGTAGCGCATTGGTATCATATTTGCGACGCTCAAAGGATATCACATTTTGCACAAGCAAGATGTCACACTCTTAAAATTCAAGACAGCCCACAAACATGCCTTCTCTTAAGGCAGTGTATCATAGATGAATGCACTTTTCCAGATATCTACGTGATCCCAAACGCCAGAAGATGCCGAAAACCAAAAGCAGGTCCATGGAACGCCGTACTCATCAACCTCGAGTATTTCGTGATTAAGCAACCCTTGATGTCCGCGATCCGTTGTAATATGTCGTCGCGACTTCCTACTCGGAATCCATCTCCATGTCGCCCTCGGGTGCGAACTCGACACCACCGTCCACTCTGACCTTCTGGCGGATCTTCTCCTTGCCGAACAACTTGTTGGTGGCCGACGGCAGGACCTGCTGCTCCTCGAGTCTGTTGATCTCCTCCTGGGACAGACCTTGTTCCAGTGCCAATCTCCTCTTCTCGCTTCCACGGAGTCTGGGTAGCAAGTGGCTGTGGGTCTGGACGAGCTTGCGGGCGTCGGCCAATTCTCTGGCACGCTTGCCTGCCATACGTCTGCGGTAGAATACTCTCTCGCGCTTGCTTCTGATTTCCTGGATGCGCTCCATGGCCTTGAGAGTCCTGTAGTAAATTTTGTCAGCGGTCGGTGTTCCCTGGACACGTTGGATCCCGTAGGATGGACGTACTTCTGAACCAAATCCCGGTTGTATCGAACTGGCACGTTGCGGCGCTGTGCGAATTGGAGGGTCGAGTCGACGGTCATCTCTTTGCCAGCAGCACGGCGGAATGCCTTGGTCCAGGCAAGCTTGCGCGGGTTACGCTTCATCTTGAAGTTCTTGTGGCACTTGGACCGGCAGAAACGAAACTGCTTGGCATCATCTGCGGCAGGTTAGCGAGGCGGAAGAAGAGCTGCAGCAGGCGAGATGCTTACTTCGAATGAAGGTGATTCCCTTGCTGGGATAGGCGGGTCGGCTACAAAAGTAGCAAGTCTCGATTCTGACCATGGTGAAAAGTGTTGCGACGTGACGCTACGTTCTAACACAGTTCTCTTGGAGTGGGTGGTCGAAAGGAGTGTTGTCGAGCAAGAAACGGGACAGAGAACGCTGTCGTGAACTGCTTGATTTACTTTACTTTTGCTACTCTGACCGTTTATCGATTGTCGAAATCCAAAAATTTCGGGGGACCCTCCAAGCGGGCGGCGTTTGGAGAGAGTGGGGCCGACATCGAAGTGGGCTGCGCTGTGGACAATGCCTATTGGCTCCGCGGAAAATCTCAGATACCGACACTTGCCTTGGGGAGGGCCCGTGCACCAAGAAATTCATCGCCGCAGTTAGGAGCGGCAATGCTCTATACAATCCAATCCACTACAAATACACACCCGATGCTTTCCCACGCTGGCTAACACCGTGTAAATACCCCGTAACACAAGCAAACTCACGCAATATGGCATCAACACTAGCTATCGGCGCTGGAGTCGCAGTGGCCGCTTTCCTGGTATGTCTACTGCCCTGCAACCTTTGAAATCGCTTCTCCGCGAACTAACAGCGCATCAACTACAGGGCCGAGCTGGACTGGTCGCATTCAGGCGATCTAGAGGCGGCGTCGGCGCCATGGGCAAGGCCTTCTACAAGGGCGGCTTCGAGCCCAAGATGAACAAGCGAGAGGCTTCTTTGATCTTGTCTCTAAAGTGAGGACACACCATCGCGTGAAGGGCACGGCGGGAGAGACGGCGCATGCTAACAGTCTCCAAAGTGAACGAGCCATTACCAAGGACAAGATCCGCAAGCAGCACCGAACGCTGATGCTCCTCAATCACCCGGATCGAGGCGGCAGCCCCTATTTGGCCACCAAAGTCAACGAAGCGAAGGAGTTCCTGGAGAAAAATCAATAACGACTGCCACCGAGGCATATAGACGACGGCGATCAAGAGGCGGACTGTAAATACCTGTACAACACATTGGGGACACGTACAAAGCGACGGCGTTTATGGAAGATTGGTCATATTGCATGGTAATGGCTGTTTTGGTTCATGACCACGAATGTATTCATTCCTACGACATACGGAATACAATACTGCCCTTCCTGAGGGTGAGATCTCTTCTCGACATCTCCTAAAACAAAAGCACACCACGCAATCATTCCGTGACACCTGCCAAGTGATCAGCACGAGGTCAGTTCTAGGATAAACTACGCGCTGATAGAACAAATCTTGCGGCCGGCTCGATCCTCAGGACATGTCATGAATACATGGGACATCCCGTAGATCGTAGCACCGAAGCCATAAGCGTTGGATGGGAACAAGGTTGGAAAAGCTGACTCACAATTAACAAGAGCCAGGTTACAGCCATGAAGACAAGTAGTGAACTGAGTTGCCAACCCCTAGAAGTGTATGAGCGTAGTAGTCACCATCACCACTAGCTCTGGGATCCGGTAGGGGCTCGAGTAACTGGTTCTGGTTGTCCAGGTTGGACCATTTGAATAGATGGCCCTGCCGACTTGACAGGAGCGCCACCATCGTCAAGCTCCCCATCACTCCAGTCATCGAACTTGGCATCGAAGACCCAGCCGGCCTTCTCCGACTCGGTCATCGGACCGCCGACCTTCTTTCCAACAGCCATGCCGATCATGGCCCGGAGAGTGTACATGGCGTCATTGCCCGCGTTGTGGAAGTTGTAGCCAGGCATCCCGAGCTCTCGACAGACGAACTCCAGTGAACGACCATCAGGCGAGAATTGGATTCTCTGAAACATCTCCTTCGTATCGATCTCGTCAAGTAGCTTCTCGAGATTCCACATGTTGTAGCCTAAATTCTGAAGATACCGGAGATCGGCGATTGCTTCGTGGCCAACCATAACGATGTTGCTCTTGTACTTGCTGTTAGAATCGCCGATGAGCTCGCCAAGGCGGCGACAAACATCCTTTTGGGCGATAAACTCGCTGTAGCCGAAGCCAAATTCATCGGGGCAACCTTGAATGTATTTGCTGTTGACAATGGTCCTGTATTCCTCGATGCGAAGGTGGTGGGCTTCGATGTACGGGAACCAACTCTTGCCTCTCTCTCCTGGTGGAACATCCTCGATATCCTCAGTATCTAGAATTGCCAGACCGATCTCCGTGATGGTGGAGGTATTCAGTTCATTGGCTTCCACATCAACGCAGACGAACTTCACGGATGAATCCATGGTGAATGGCGCCTTGCAGGAAACATTCCAACCAGCATTAGTAGCATCTATAACACCGTCAGCAATGTGATCGTGCCATAGAAGTCGCTTCAGCCTTACCAGAATATGGCACAAGGCTCAGTCGTTGCCGCAGCCCAATGTAGCGTTGGACACGCTTAATTGCCTGTCCAAAGCCCTTCTGTCGGTTGATGACCTTCAGACGCTGCTTTTCTGGATCCTTTTTGCTCTTGGAGGACTTGACAGAGTCGTAGATCTTGTCCATTTTCTCCTTGAATTGGTGTAGACGGCCCGCGTTGAGTGTACTCAAGTCATCAAGTATAGCTCCCAGTGTCTCTTTGGCATTTCGGTAAACATTCTCGTCTTTGACTTTGCCCATGAAGCGCGGACGAGGAGACTCCCCAAAGTAGATCTCAAATATATCCCCATTCCTGCTCTTAGCCGGAATCCTGAGTGAAAAACCTAGCTCGGTATTAATTTCTTGTAAAAGTTGTGAGAATTGAGCAGTTGGGACCAATATCAACGGATCGCGACGTTCGTAGGGATCATGGATGTAAAACATGTCCCATGAACGATTTGTGAAAATATTGTCCTTGAACCATAAGCTTGCCTGCAATTCTGTCAGTGATGAGGTCTAGTAGTTAATGAGATGAAGTCTTACTTGCTCACCCCGGGCCCTGCCAACAAAGCGATATGGATATGACTGAACCAGCTTGAACGGGCACAGAGCTAATTCCATCGGCACCTTCATCCCCTGCATGAGATTGCATGGTCGAAATGCGCCATCCGAGGAGCTTGGCCATAGCAGCTCATCCTGTTGACGTAGCTGAGCTTGAGTGGTTAGAGGGGCCGATTGTGACTGCTGCCGAGGTTTGGACACATCCCAGTTCACATCAGCCATGGTGATGATATCATCATCATCGTCGTCGTCTCTGTCCGGTTGATTACACGGGAACAAGCTTATGGATGCCTGCTCACCCTCAGAGACAGTAATATGTTTTATGCGTGGCTCTAAGTCCTTAACTTCAGCTGTCATTGTTTTGGAGGATGCGGAGATGTTATTGGTTGCTGACGGTGATGAACCAATGCGTGAGAAAAGGGAATCTGGTGCTGCTATGATTGGCAAAAGAAGAAGAAAAGAGTCATTAGTAGTGAAAAATGGTTAGTAAGTTCTTCTACTAATCAATTGAGGACAAACGACACAGTGCAGAAAGCAATGGCAGGTACGAGCTTAGGGTCACTGCATCAATCGACTTTTTTTTATATATTTTTTATATTTAAGTAGATAGCTGTTCAGCCTGTTGCAGGTCATCCAAATGGAGAGACTATTCAATCCTTAAGTCCAATGACTTATTTGCTTAAGCCTCAATCACGAAAGCTGCAGACTTTGTGTTGCTCGACAGGGCTGATCTTTCAGCAATGCGGTTATTTGCGTGATAATTATCACCTGAAAAAGCTTGTTACGAACATATATGGGTTTCCGGTTTCGTGACACGGGATGATATGCACTTATGCCTTGCAAAATAGTGTAGTGATACATGTTTTCTCATAGATAGATTACTCAAAGGCACATCCCTTCAGATGAGAGATTGATATATTGTATACACCTAGATCTTTAGACCTCATTGATTTTGAGTTTGAAGTAAGGTCTGATGTTAGGCTACAACGGTACCAGTTACGGCAACTTCAGAAGGCCTTAACTGGGGTGTTTCTGATCCCAGAACTGTTGGGTATATTAGCCATAGTCCAGTTGACAGTGAAAAATCCCGAAAACATACCTTGGCAGCATCCTCAGATGTGACCTTTGACACATCCGATATCACGTCATCGATCAATCCAAGTTTAGAAAACCTCATCTTGCGAAAGAATTCACGTCCCCCTCCTGATTCCTTACCGAGCGCCCCTGACAGGAGTTGACTCTTGAAGCCTTTGAGGAAGTCGTTATACAGCTTCGGCTCTTCGAAGTTGATCATATACTCGCGGAACACTCCCAAGTTCTCAATCGCACGGTCATCATTGACGCCCCCCATGTTATTGGTGAGGAGCTGACGTATCACATCACCCATTTGCTTTGCGGCGTCAGCGAAAACTGATTCCTCCTCAGATGCGTCCATCATTTGCTTGAAAGACGGGATGGCATTATCCGGATCGACCTTGGTTCGCTTGTTGGCAGGTTCCCTCAGGAGAGCATCAACATCCAAGCCCGAAATGGGCTTGACGCCCTTCTGCTCTTGTCGGCGCCTCTTGCCAGTAGCCTTTGGTGGAACTAAACAAAAATTAGTATAAGCCATTCCAGGCTCGACATCTTCGACATACCTTTCTTGATCTCAGCGACAGCGATTAAGTCCTCAAGCCTCGACTTTGCCGTTTCCACTAGCTCTTGATCTGGCATAGCGTACTTGAGTAGAATAGGCGGAATAGGCGGTACCGGCTTATCGTGATGAATTGCACGATGTCTAACAACTTGGTTGATTCGATGTAGCGCTGGACTGTAAGCATCATCCACTGTCGCATACTCCAAAGTCCTCTCGCCCTCATCGTCCAGGGCGTATGTTGAGATATCCATGGCATCCACATACTCACTCATCGACTCAACGAGATCCTCAGACGGCAAGAAACGGTGCTTGGTCAGAACTTTATTGTTCACAGTGACCACTTTCTCGAGTGATGGGAATGGGTATTGCCTAACATCTTCGGCGAAAGGTAACGGAATATCGTAGAGACATTCAAAATCCACATCAGCATTCGGCGCGAGGAGGAGTAGAATGGGGTCTTTCCCATCCTTGGCTACGAAACGCGCCAGCGCGTATGACTCGAGCTCGAGCAGAGAATGGATCAGGGAAGATAGCTTGAGAGCATCGGCTGGGCTATTCTTCTGTGCCACTATAAGACAGCTTTCGCCGGAGTTGAGAAATGGCTCGAATTTGTCTTGTTGAATAAAGCCGACGATTGAGAAACTCTTTTTGCTCTCCAACTTGGTGATGTTGAACTCTGCTTCGCTAATGTGCACAGCGGTTCGGCCATACTCGTACCCTTTCGCCAACGACTCAAATTCGACGTCTCGCTTACCGCCTGGTCCTTTAGGATCGTTGACCCTGTAAGCCCGAGCGTTCTTGACGGCCGCAAAATCACTTCCACCGCCATACTCTAAACCCTCCATTTCATCGTTTTCGAGGGTTTGTGTCGACTGACTTCCATGATGTGCTTTGAATACGACATTGCTAGCTGAGGGTGGGGGGGCCCTCTTGGTCTTGAAGTACCGCTCGATATGAATGCTCAAGGCTCTTGGGTCAACTTCGGGATCACCAAGAGTCAGAGGGCCATCATATGATTTATATGGTCTTGTTTGCTTGAGCCTCGGCGCATCGAGCTCGTCAACAGCTTCAACAATAGTACCAAATGTTCCAAGATCTTCACCGACGGCATCGACCAAACTCTTCAGCAATGCTTCATTTGCTGCCTTCTGCTCGGTCTTATCTTCTTCTTTGAAGCCGTACTCCGCGTCATCGAAGTCAATGCCCCTAGCCGAATGTTAGTCTTCAAGATAATGGCAAGACAAGGAACTTAACTTTACAGGATTGTCAACTGAATCTGGTTTTCTCGGAGTCGTGCCGCTATAGACTCTATATCATCCGGATCAAGGTCAAGAGGAGCCTCCCCTGAAGTGACCATAAAGATCTTGCGATTGAACTTGAGCCTCTGAGGCGCAACTGTATCAATCATGTCAATAGCGGGAACAAGCGCGGATATGCAATCACCAGTGTTTGTGTTGCTCGGCTTGACCTTTGGTTGCAGCTCTCTCAGACGGCCTAAATTCATCGGCTGCAGCTCCTGGAGTATGGATATGTTTTCATATCCCTCTTCAACATTTCCATCATCATCCACCATGGGGTTGTTTGTCTCATCTGTCCTTACACCTATGACGCCCACGTGCCATGTTTTCCTCCCGGCGGCGACCGTGGTAGATATCTTATCCCACACCCATCGCATAGACCAGTCAAGATCTGATTCCGTCCTTCCGTTGTGACAATCTGCCGTTGACGACCCAAGGTCAACGATATAGATTGCGGTCTCCTTGTCCGACATGTTGGCGTTGATTTTGCGAATGAACGAGTGAAGTTTTATGGGTGAGCAGTAATCATGTTGGGAGAATTCGTGAGTTTAGAACAGAGGACTGGTCTGAGAACTCAATTCACCCAAAAATTCATCCTTTACATCAATGCCCAGCTTCTCCAGTGCAAGGAAGCCAGAAACTAGCTCTAGGCAGGCGCGGCGTAGATCCTCTCCAGCGCGTTGGGCCAGGGACGCTTCAGGTGGGTCTCAGGACGCGAACAATGAACGAAGTCACGCTTGAGTAGGCAGCTGCGTCTATGTACTATGTACTGCATGGCCCAAGCTCCTTGTATGACGCTGGGGTAAGGGTCCGTCTCCGTCTCTATCTCCGTCTCCATCTGCAACGAGCAAAGGGCGCTGAGCCGCTTCTGAAAGTGAAACCGTCATTGACTGAAGTGGAGTGGGCCGAGGTTTGTATTCAAGAAGCTCGATCATGCCATGCATGTTACGAATGTTCTTGAAAAGGTGGTAAGCATTTCTCCGTCTTTGGAACATCGTAAAGACTAGGTGTAATCAACAAATCGACTGCACTCAAGATGGCAGCAACTCTCATCTTCTCACCTGGTCCTTACCATATCATATCGTATGTCTAGACTACTTCAATATCTTCACTCGCACTTATAGGTCATCTTGCTATTTAGTCAATACTAACAACACAATCAGCTATGGAACTCTCCTGGGAACCCAGGTTTTTCACGTAAGCGCTTTCTTTTCTCGTCTTCACTTGTGCCTGTGAGCTCACATATCCCTTTGCTCTCATGTAGTCCTTCATCAACGCGACAGCTGCCTTCAGGACCCTCGAGCGACCCGCATTTGCCATACTCCAGCGTGCCCTATTCCCGTGGTACTTCGGCATACAGACTATTATGCCTGTCGCCCTGGCACTCACATATCCAGGGAGCCGTATCGCAGCGAGCGGTATCCAAGGCGCGCTCCTGAACGAAGCAAACCGATGGGACGTTGCAGTGCCACTAGCGACCATGTTCGTTACAGGTCTGATCAACTGGGCATATTGCCTGCCAGTCACGAATGCCATTACAGATAAGAGACGCACACAAGAGAAGAAAGACGGCAAGCAAAGCTGGGATGCGACGCCACAGTCGCAGGAGATGCAATCCCTCAACAAGCAGTTTGGGAAGATCCATGGTATTTCGTCTCTTCTCAACCTCGTTACGCTGCTTGCGACGATTACCTACGGATTCAACTTGTCGGCAAGAATACAATGACCAAAGCACAACGATAAAAGGGCATGGCCACGCTTCGCTATGGACTGGTCGTGTACGCGCGAGCATTGCTTGGTGATTATGATCTGAAAGCTTCGAGTGTTATTTAGCTCTCTAAAATACAGCACAGTACAATATAAATTGGCGAAGATGCTGTTGCATTCGCTCAAACAAAACCCTGAACTCTGCAGGAGAAAGAATCGGCACTTTTGCCAGTTTTGGATCCGTTGAAACACCATGAAAATTGAACCGAATTATCCGTTACGCCTTATTATCGCCTCCCTGTGGGTATAGTGCAAGACCTGAAATGCAGGCCCTTTCAAGAAATATCAACGTGTACTGGAAACATGGTGCTGATAGGGTCGCACAGTTTTCGTGTCTGGAAAACAATCAGTCGGAAAAGGGTCGTTAGGCCTTTCCGGCGAGTGCAAGGAGTTCGGCCTTGGCTGCGGCCAACTTCTTAGCCTTGGTCTCGGCATCATCGATGGCAACAACCCGTTCCTTTGCTTGCTTGAGAGAGTGGTGCAAAGAGAACTTGCGAGGCTCAAGGGAGAGCTGCTTGGCGACATCAATCTCCTCGGTTGGTTTGGAAAAGTCACGGGACATTGGGTCGAGTGGGTTGAGACCAGTGTGCGATCGTCCGAGGGTTACGGGGCGCAACTCGTCGGAGCCTGTCGAGGTAGAAGATACAGATGATCGTCGGGAAACGGCAACCCCGCCAGCCTCAGGAAAGTAGCTCTCGCCGGCTTCTATGGGCTTCCTAAGTCCGATGATGTGGGAGTCTGTAGCCGGAGACTCTGAGACGGTGAGAGGGGTGAAGAACCCGGTGATGTAGGAAATTGCCTGTGCGAGAGTCGACATTGTTGTGTATGATATCGGTACCGGCCGGGATATTTATTGCTTAGATTGGTCGTGGCAGAATTATTTGGTTGTAGAACAGCTGTCTGTTTTCAATAATTGTCACAATGATGCAAGATATGTTGTAAAAAGAAAACTTTTTGAACTGCAACCTTAGTTACAAGTATATGTTATCTTGCTCTGGACTTGGGTAGAGGCACTAGATGTGAGATGAACACAGAAGAGTGGAGATTGGAGAGATCAAGAGAGAAAGAGAGAGAAAGAGAGAGAGAGAGAGAAGACGAGTCACGATGGGGAGGGTTTGGAAGAGCGTTGGCGGGAAAAGAATTGGGTTTTATTGCAAATAGGTCACGCCCAGGTCCCACTCACGATGCCCTCAGCGGACCATGGGAGAGTCGGACACTAGGTAGGTGCTGGAATTGTTGGAAGACCCCCACTCCACTCTCTGAGTCGCAGCTACCCGCACGTTGACACCCTTGATCAGCGCGCCTGGATTCCATGCAACGCAATTTTGCACTTGAGTAACAGGGCATGTACTTGGATTAGTCGTTCACCGCATACAAGTAAGTTGCTGAGGTGAGTGAGTGTAGATGAAGGATCCTGGAGACCAAGCGGTATGAATCATGACTTCTGATAAGTCCAAGTCGACAAGCTGCAGATAGGGTCCTATCCGGCCCCGCTCACCCACAGATTCGACATGCACCTGCACATCGTGAGCTTTGGCGGGGCCCAATGGATTGTCCCAGGCAGAGCTCAGTGCACAGGGACTTGATCCCGGTGCCGGTCGCCAAATGCGGGATAAGAACGTCCAGCTGCAGCGAGTTTCGATGCAAATGCCCGTCCCGGTATCTACGGGCATATCCAGAACTGTGCCCCCGCGTTACCAAGAACTCAGATGTACACCTTCAAAATTTGTCCACGAAATTTTTCGGATTCTATCAACTACGCATGAGTCGTCCGGACCAAGTTTCTCGGAAAACTCAGACGAATATAGGAGTCATGAACATCAAATCCACAAACCGAGTAAGCAGACCATGCCTAGATGCATGCAGTCAATCAACTTTGAACGCGCCAGAAGCGAAGCTGCCACGCTAGAACGAATTAGACCGTCTAGGATTACGCATCTCCGGTCTTAAGGCCGATGGTGGCTTTTGAGATATGCAGTTTAGGTTTCAGACAGCAGTCGATCAAATTGAGCCTCTTGACCGCCAATTGTTACTCGGCAAGTGTATTTGCGGCCTTGGATATCTTAGTGGTTTGGAAGAACCACTTCAGAAGATCGCGACAGTCTTGGAATTGTCGCGGCACCGTCCCGTTTTTCAGTCGCACCATCCAATTTGCTCGGCAGCATGAACCACCTCAAGCAAGCCTCCTGGCTAACATTTTTGGCGGACTCGAGCAGCGGATGACACCTCACCACTGCCGCCTGCGGATTGAAAGCTGCGGGGAATCTCCCATTTTCGAGGTCACGAAGGATTTAACAGTCTTATTTGCATGAACATCTGACAAATGACGTCCACTGGCAGGCAGGTCAGCTGCACAACTCGCTCTGTCATGGAAATCCTCCCCCCAAACGGCCTGGGGCGAAATATAATCACCACCGCTTCATCCATCATTCCACGTCCTGTCTTGTAACACCCGTGGGCCCCGTACAACATGGCGGATGCACCGCTGCACCTCCTGCGTCATGATGCAGTGAGGAGAAGCCTCGTGCCACAGTGTTCACCCTCTCCCTCAACCGATCTGTGAACAACACGAGTGCCTCATCACCCTTTGCCACCAGTGGTTTACTACTTCTGCTTTCCAGCTTGCTCCTTCCGTTCTTGTCTCGTGGCTAGCTCGCTTGTGCGAATAACCTTTGGCTGAGGCGCCTTATACGGTGTAAGACTGGGAACCGTCATGCCAACTTGCCCTTGGTAGTGTTTGTACTCGGGGTATTTTCCTGCAGTGATGAGCTCTGTGAGCCAAGTCGAACCCTGGAATAACATGATCAAGAATAGTGAGCCCAATCCAGTCCAGCTATACAAGACCTGGGTCGCATAGCAGCTCCACTGGTAGAGCACAAACCAGATTGTTTGTTCCGCAGTGAAATTAGGATGTCTGCAATATGCCCAGAGTCCAGAGGTAATAAAACCCCGGTCCAGTTCCTCATGTTCGTGCTTTGAGCCGCGTGGGACTTTAGCAGTCTTCTGATATTCATGCTTAGTGTTTTGATAATCTGGGTTTTACTCTTGTTAGATTATAACACTCATTTTTCTTCTCCTCAATTGTCGTGGACTTACCCCATTGCTGCTGATCGCTGAACCACTCGCTTGCTACCAGCCCCAACTCGATGGCTGTGAAGACCAAGTCTGCCACAGAAATATCTTTTTCATTCTGGGAGGCAAGCATGATTGCATAGGTAGGCGACGCAAGGAGGAAAAGCAGAACGCTCTGCATGAAAGAAATAAAAGTGAGGTTCAAAACGAAGAATGGAACTGGTCCAATATATTTCTTCACGAGTGCCCTAAAGACGGTTAGCATGCCGACAGATCGATCCAGCTCATATACGGCTTACCACCTATAGTCCTCCGAACCAACCTGGTACCCTCCTTTACGCCAATAGTTGAATGTCAACCTAGCCTGAATCTCGATTAGTCATGCCAAAGAGCAGGTTCATAATGGGAATTCTTACACTCCAAATAGTACTCCAGAACAGAATAAGATTGAGTCTTTGAGTGTTGAGATGGTTCAAATCCGCCCAGACCTTGAAATGCGCATTGTAAATAGTTGGCAGCAGACTCCACATGCGGTCAACTTGAGACCAGTTACGATTGACCTCAGCCACAACCAGGAAGACAGCTCCAAGAAACAAAGAGAAAGCAAATCCTGATACCAGCGGATTCGTCTGCTTGTAAAGTTCCAAGAGGCTGTGAGGGTTAGTAATATTGTCAAGCAATCGTCGCGGAAGCTCGTATAACTGTGGCAGGAACGGCTCAACAGTCTTTGACCATTCTGCGCAGGCTTCAAGCGATATGAAATGCGGGATTGCCATGGTTGAAATGCACTGGCGATTGGTTTCCTCAGCTATTGCACGGGTTCTATATGAAAGACGAACCGAAACGCTCCAGGATTGAGTTGATATACGGTCAGTCAAATGAAACAAGAGATCCAAAAAGTGCGTCATGACTTCAAAGCAGCAGTCTTTGACGCTAGACTAGGCGACACGCCTCTTAGCGCGCTGGATCATTCATGGAATGTGGGGCTGTACTTTGTTGACTTTGAGTGCAGGATCGACCATTGACGATGGCTTTTGGTTTATCAACCACGAAGGAAGGTTACACACGAACGGTCAACGCGGCCATCAACCGTGGTAATATCGAAAATTACGCGGCTAATTCTTGATTGCTCTCGAGGAAGCTGTCTATGAGGCTTTGATCCTCGATTCGACCCTAGCAACCCATTGTTGGAACAGAAGTCTGCTCTAACTTGGAACTCAGCCATGCACGCATGCTAGTTGTGGTGTCAGATGAACGCTTTCCATATTTCCAGTCCATATCTTCTCATTTCTCTCAAGCCATCATCTACAATTGTCAGGACTGCAATTTCTACAGTTCGTCATCAGTCAAAGATGCGGGTTCTTTGCGTTGCTGAGAAGCCTTCAATCGCCAAGGCTGTTGCTGGGCATTTATCTGGCGGGAGTCAGCAAGTAGTCAGTCGTCTTCAGCATGCATTCAATAGGAATTTTCGTGCTAACCAGATATATCAGCGGAATACCCGTGACAAGTATATCAAGAATTACACCTTTGACTATGACTTTGGCCAAGGTTGGGGCAATTGTTCTGTGACTATGACTGCGGTCCTGGGTCATCTCACAACTACTCAATTCACTGCTGAGTACAAAGATTGGAAATTTCCTCCGCCTGATAGTTTGTTCAATGCTCCAGTTGTAACAACCATCGTTGAGGTATGAAGGGAAAAACCATCAACTGATATAGGCACAATTCCTGACGATTCCAGGACAAAACCAACGTTGCCAACAATATTGAGCAGCAAGCTAAGTATTGTCAAGGTCTTTGTATCTGGACCGATTGCGATCGTGAAGGTGAACACATTGGCCACGAGATATGCGAAGCAGCCAAGAAAGGAAACAGTCGCATTCAGATCAAGAGAGCTAAGTTTAGCAATATTGAGAGAGCGTGAGTCTGATTTGAGCCGTCACTTCAGATGCGATTTATTGACTTCTGGTAGGCATATTCTGAACGCTGCTAGAAATTTGGTTTTATTAGACGAAAAGCAGGTTAATGCTGTATCAGCCCGCATCGAATTAGACCTGCGTATTGGTTATGCATTTACTCGATATCTAACAAACAATCTCAGACCACTGGGAGGTCCTCTGGCAAACCCGAAGTTAGTCTTGAGTTATGGTAAGTTGAATTCCATTCCTCCAAAAAACCAAACAAAAACACTCCCATTTCTCAACCACATTTGCAGGATCATGCCAGTTTCCAACATTGGGCTTTGTTGTAGATCGGTATTTCCGCGTTCAGAACTTCAAACCAGAACCGTTCTGGAGTATCAAGGTTATGCATAAAAGAGAAGGAATCGATGTAAACTTCATATGGACCAGAGGCAGGCTGTTCGATCGCGGTTCCGCAATTGTTCTTTACGAACGATGTCTTTCTGCAAAGATGGCTGAAGTCATCAAGGTTCAGGAGAAACCAACCAAAAGATGGAAACCACTGCCCTTCACCACGGTTGAACTACAGAAGTTAGCGACTCGATTTTTACACATGTCAGGTCAAGAGGCAATGACAGCAGCCGAGAGCTTGTATAACAAAGGCTTCATCAGTTATCCCAGAACTGAAACTGATCGTTTCGACTCTGGGATGAATCTCCGAGCTTTGGTGCAGAAACAGATAATTGACCAACGGTGGGGTCACTTCGCCCAGAATTTGGTTGACGGCGGATTCAACCAACCTCGGCAGGGACGCAACGACGATAAAGCCCATCCTCCTATTCATCCAATTGCACATGTTTCCGCTGCTGCTTTGAACAATGAGAACGAAAAGAAGATCTACGAACTTGTTGCTCGTCGTTTTCTAGCTTGTTGTTCGGATGACGCAAAAGGTATGGCTACGGATATCGACATTCTTTACGGCGAAGAAGCTTTTCATGCCCATGGCGTTGTCGTCTTGGAACGTAACTACCTCGATGTTTACGTCTACGACAAGTGGACGGCTACTGTGCAATTACCTAGGTTTACTGTTGGCGAACGCTTTGAACCTTTTGAGGCGCTCATGGCAGGAGGCAGAACTACTGCCCCTAGTTATTTGACAGAAGCGGATTTGATAGCCCTGATGGATGCCAATGGTATAGGCACAGATGCGACCATGGCGGAGCACATTCAGAGGATACAAGATAGACAGTATGTTAGTGTTGTTTCAAGAACACGCCGCCAAGCAGATGATGGAGATGAGGAAGAAGACCATCCACCGCCAGCCCCGGCGGGTAGAGGTGGACGCGGCAGCGGTGGACATGGTCGAGGACGCGGTGGCCAAGCAGGCACAAACACGAGAAGGGGCGCATCCAGTCAGATGGAATTCATTCCAACTCAGCTGGGCGTGGCTCTAATAGAGGGGTTCGATCGGATGAACTTCGACACGAGTCTCGGTAAACCATTCCTTCGAAAAGAGATGGAGTTGAAAATGAAAGCCATTTGCGAGGGTCGAAAAACACGACAGGCCGTGCTCAATGAGAGCATCAGCCAGTATCGACAAGTTTACAACCAGTCACAGGAGAAGTTAAATGTCCTCAAAGCTGTGAGTCGCCCCTTGGGCAGCGAGCGATTCGAGCCCGATGAATGTTATTCGATACTAACCCTCCAATCCCTCAACAGGCGTGTAGACAATATCTATTCCATAATGGTGCTGGCTGATGCGGTCTCACTGCTTGAGGCAATCGGTTTCATTCTGCATATCCTACTTGGGCGAATGAGCCGCTTCCTGTTTTTGTTTCGGTCGCTACTGAATCATGTTTCAGAGCCGAATCCAGCAGCGGCAAGCTTTTGCAGCAGAAAGCGCTGGCGACTTAGTGATCGACGAATATTCGCAGATTGAGACTTCCAACTTGTAGTCTTTCACAAAAGCAATATCGCGCTGCATACTCTTGCAACCCTAATTGGTTGATATTCATTACATCACATGAAGAAACATACGGAATAGACCGGGGACGGCTGCACCTTTTCTGGAAGCGCGAGATATCATCTCTGCTTTGATATCTCGAGACATTCTGAAGGGCGTTTCGGCAAAGGCTTATTACATAAACCTTCTGCACCACGAAGCTGTCGACCTCAACCTCACCAATGGCTTGGGCAAACAGGTGTTTCGTTGGGATTTTGTCCTGCCCACAACAGTTCAAAACGTGGGGGAGTTTATGGAAGGAGAATCTTCGCTGTTCGTAAGTTTCCAGCGGGGTAATGCAGTTGGATATCGAGCCGGAGTCCGAATGGTTTTCGGGAAGCGTCTGCGCCATGCAAACCCCTCAGTATCTTGCCCACTGAGAATCGCTTTTAGTCGCACACCGTCCGATTACAATCCGGATACGACCAAAACGCTGGAATTATTCGTGGCGACTACGAGCAGATTTCACGATGTTGCGGGGGTGCGGAGTTGCAACACCAGCTATGTCAACAATCAGATGATGGACCCGATCGGGCAAAAGTATCAGCTGGGCGACCATAGTGAAAGTTTAGCAAATCAGCCAATGAGAACATAGTCCTTGCGAAACGTGAAGCGACCACTTGGATATCTGGGGCTGCAGCCAGAAGCACGTTCTTGATTTTAAGGTGGTTGTTGACGGTTTCAGTGACGAGGTGCGAGTCATTTTCGGGTAAATTTACTCCATTTTCCCTGCAGACGACTTGGTCCACGAAATGTAGGTACGCGAAACTATATCGCAACAGTCCCATCATCAACCTTGGCGACCATGCAACACCAGGTCAGCATAATCGTTAGTGTAAAGACAAAATTTGCGGATTCAGGGTCCAAAGCCCTCCCTATTGTATGTATCTTTTCACCTAGCTCCGATCTTGACTGATGGTGTTGTGGAGTTGACGATGGTGGAATTTGCGACCGCTGATGGCTGATGGCTAGGACTAACACGCGTCCTGAATCCTGATCTATAAGTTACCGGGCTGAGTGCAGCGCATGTTGCTGAGGATACGAAGGCCGGCACAGTCAGCGTAGAGAGCAATGCCTCATCCGGCATGCCCGAAACATTTCGTTCTTCCTAAACACACATATCAGGATCCTCGAACTTATTACATAGATCAGCGAAAGAGTCAGCTATCGCAGGTTCCCCTATTCGCAAAAAGACCAGCGCGACAAGCTACGAGTTTTGGGTGTGAACTTTAATTACCTATCTCCAGATATTCGTGTCATTCCGGGTCGCTCTGATCACTTTCGGATCAATGAACTAGTGGTATGTAAAGTGGTCCAATACGGGCACACCCGCTCGAGGAATAGTGGAGATAAGGCCCCCATTATCTGCTTTGTACAAGTACGGATCCGTAGGGCCATGGCACCTGCGAACGGGGCAGATTACTTGCAGTGCTTCTTCTCCGTGCTGTGCTGCATGGTAATGATGGAATCAACGAGACCAAAGAAAGCGGCAGGTGCTGCTGCGTTGCCGGAGCCCAGCACCAATCCACACGTCCAAACTGTAGGATTCTGTCCTGCCGTGTTCGGGTTTCAACAAGACTCTCAGACGGCTTTGCCGGCAAGGAAAGCCCTACGTCATTTAGCATTGCTGGCAGCTTTCTAAAACAAAGAGTCGAATCCACAGTAGCTTTCCAGAGAGCCCAAGTGGAATCCGAGTAGACTTAATAACGCAGACCGTCAAACATGTCAGATTGCTAGGGCACACAAAAGAAAATGCACCAGGGCTGTCTGCTTTCTATTGTTTGGGTCTTGTAAGAAGCGGTAGGTAGCTCTCAGCAACGCAGCCAAGAACAAAAGAAAAGGAGTGAGGGAGAGGTGAGTATGTACCAGCAATGTCCTCACCCTCACCCCTGGTCTTCATCCCTTTCAGCACTGATAAGACCACGCTGCGACCAGCACTGTCCGTACTACCGAGGATCCGGCACTCAGGAAGAACGTGCCGCGAAACAGAGAAACGGGTACTTACCAGGTACTGGTTCTAAATAGTTAGAAGGAAACTAAGGCCAAGCGACATTTCCTGTAGTACGGTATGGTCGGAGTAGCAAGAAAGCCAAACGCCTAGGAGCCATCGTCCTGGGCCAATTCATGGAGCACGAGTTGCAGGGAGGGGGCCGCATAGCCGCTAATACTACACCTCCACACAGAGGACTCAAGTGACCTGCTCTCCAGCTCCGTACTGCGCACAATACCTGTTGAAGACCCCTGTAAGACCCAGACCCAACCAAGTCAACATACCTTGGAACTCTGCTGTGGTCGCTGTGCTGCCCGTCCAACAACCCAGCGCCCAGCGTGCTATCACTGACACACGCAGACACACACACACACACACATGCCCCCCCGTCAGAGCCATATGGTATGTAAGTGCGCCGTGTCGCTCCTTTCCTCGTTTGGGGGGGTCTCTTTTTTCCTCAAGCAATATCAACAAAGAGAACAACGACACGCATTTTTGCACCCAAAGTCATCTTCTTGTCACAGTCAGGTAATCGCGACAGCACTGCTATTCTGCCCTTCTTTTATTTGTGGTTTTGCCCGTTGTCATCTTCGAGCAAACACCCCATCGCCATTTCAACTTGCCTACTTCGGAGCTGTGCTTGTAAGTCGCCCTCTGACTCAACCCTCGCCTCCCAGTGACTCGACCCAAATACACGCGTCACACACGCTCGGTCCTGTTCAAACATACTTACTCTGCGTCGCTTCAGTATACCCACACGTCCTGAGGTAACCAACTCTCAAAATGGCTTCATTGGCAACCGCTGCTGCTGTTCGCGATATCCCAAAGACCTCCTTCGGCCGAGACAACTTAACTGCTGTAGCGGCTGCTCGGAGCGTCCCTGTGACACGAAACCATCCCCTCCCGACTCCTCCCAACTCCATATCTCCCGCACTGCCTCCTCATGGGCTCAAGGCGGCCCTGCAGAAGGCCTCCAGGCTTGACCCCATCGACTCAGATCTGGACCTGCACGATGGTACCGATTCGGACCACTCCGTAGGATCTCCGACTTTTGAGTCCGCAGGTGCCATCTCCCCAGCCCTGTTGTCCAAGTATCACCTCCCGGAGATCTTGCTCAACCACGGACCCATGCCTATCCGTCACATCATGGGTTACCTGACAACATCAGTCCCTGGCTTCGCCGGCATAGCGCCTCCGAAGGCCCGAAGACTTGTGGTCGCAGCACTGGAGGGACGTGGACAAGGACATGGAGTTGAAGGCGGAGGGGTGACCGGTGACGTGGTGTTTGAAAAGGTTGGCTGGGGAAGATGGGATGCGAAGCGACGTGGCCAGCCGGGTCGGGATACTGCATCTCGAAGGTCACCGACCGCTGCTCCCTACCCAACCAGCATCCCCATCATCAGTGGCCCACGTGGCATCGATCGATCTCGGTTGAATGCTCGTGCCACTAGCTACGGCAATTCGGCTGCCTTCTCTCATGACGATCGCGACGTCAGCATGCTGGAGAACGAGGCAGATAAGATGTCTCTCGACTCCCTAGATGGACCGGCTTCAGCTTCTTGCTCTGAGGCCCCTGACGACGACGATATGATCATGAATGACGACCCAGAAGATGCTACCGACGACGAGGACTGGGCTGCCGTCGGAGCCGCTGCCTTGCGAGCAGCTTCCTATTCTAGCCCCGCAGAGGCCCGCCATGGCTTTTCCCATGTATATAAATCTACCAATGGCTTTCGCTCCTTTGGTGCCGGTATGCTCCGTGAGCCTCGACTGGATAACATCGACATGGCCGCGTTAGCCGCCTCACCCAACACCCAGGAGCGGGAGGCTATTCAGGCACTTTTGCAACTTGGTTCTGTATAATAATCTTGCATTGGCGGCGTTTTGAGGGAAACCACCGGACAGGAGACGAGTTGATCTGGTTTCGGTCGGTTGGCTGGCTGCACTTGTTTGTGCCATGCATGATCGAGGCGGCGTTCCTCTAGATCATATCCTGGTATTTCATGGACACGCGGCGTATCTGGCATAGCATGATCTGGAGGATTTTGGTTTGGTTTTGGTTTTCAGGCAACAACTCCCCATGACGCCTTTTACAACATGATTTCGGCGTGCTCGAGACCCCGGAGGCTCGTTTAACATATACCCTCCTTCGAAGCGGGCCTCATTTGGGGTCGACATCTTTTTATTCACACGACCTGACGACTTCTTTGTGGGAGAATCCGAAACGGATACATCCACGACTCAACCAAGAGGACATGACCTTGAGACCATGGACGCGTCTATGCGTGCTCGGTCCCGAAGTCTCTTGTGACACATCTTCTCAACTCAACATTATACCCCTTTTAGCATACATCTTTTTCTTCCTGTTTTCCGCTGGCAGAAAATATACCCACTTCAACAATTCTGTGGGGTGCTCACTATCTCATCTGGCAGACGCTAAAAGCTGTCGGGAGCTGAGACTAGCTACGATATTTTGAGGAATGCTATACTACGCACTCACGTACACAATTTAATTATCGGTGGAAGTCTTGAGCAATTGGCTCGCACTTCAAAGTTCGACCTTCGCATTACGCAGTTGGACATGCAGAAACAAACCTTACGGTGGCCATCTGCTTTGGCATGTGGAAAATGGATGATTGGTGACGGGAGCGAAAGTCACGCAATCACACCAAGCAAATATTTGATGAGAGCTATCTCGACCTGGAGGAAGAGCTTTAGAATCGTCATATTGTGAGGATTGGCATGATTAGTCATAGTTCTTGTAGCGTTGTTGAGGGCTTTGTCCCTGTCCGTCGCAGAATGAAACTATCAATCGTCTTTCTCCACTGCCACGGTCTCTTACATACAGTATGTACCTGCTGCCTGTGTTACTGATCGACCAGTCATCTCGAACATGGCTTTAGATTGTGGGGTTGGTCAGGTTTCAAGAGCCTCCACCTTAGGGTTATGCTAAGTTATATTAATAGACCTGGTGCTGTGCTCCTGGCATATCGTCAATCGAAGTCCCATTGTTCATGGGGTGGAATCTCATATGAACCGAAGCAAAACCGTATGGCAGCTAAAGGCCTGGACCTGGTATTCCCAAGAATGCCATTCGCGGAATTGCCTGATCAGCGATGTCGGGACAGATGGGTCCTGTCCAGGGCAAAGATACATGTTTGCAAATTCCATTCTCGTCCATACCCAGCAATATTAGGGGAAGCATCCGTGCAAGACAATCTCAATCATATCTCGTGTTCTGTGCAGTGAATATGTCGTTTGTGCTATTGTAATCTCCGAACATTTACCACTCAGTGCGTATAGCGAATCAAGCCTATGACGCCACGTGAGGCCCAAAGGTGATATCCTTGGACAGTCAGGGAGTACCTCATCAAACGAGTACTTCTCCCCCCATTGAATGCCGGCGTCATGGCACAGCGTTTCTCTCATCCTCGGGTTCTTCAACGAAGACTGGCCTACATTGCTGGACATGTCCTTAAAGGGTGCCGCAATTTCATTCTAGGGGAGATCGTAACTAACCGCCCAAAGACGATGGCTCACAAAGCCTCGACACCACAGCTCATGGATAGGAGTCCCGGGACCAGACACGGGATGACAAAATTGTCCGGTACTATAATAACGGATCCCAGAGAGAGGACCTTCTTGCCAAGCTAAAGCCTTAATCCAAGGACATATACATATCTTGTCTGGGATGTCCGATCCCGGCGAGCATCGTCGTACGGATCATATGGAAGGCTAATGGTCTTGGGGGTCTCGGAGGAAACGTTCGGGCCACGGTATGTGGCTCTCATCGACGTGCCGGCAGTTCGGAGTCGACGTATCACTCACTGCCTCGCATATTGAACCGGGAGTTGTTAGATGCCTACACAAACAAATGTGAAGTACTTAAGAGGCGTCTCTGTCTTTCGTCGAGCGGACTGGCCGATGTTATCCTCCCATTGCTAGAGCTATCTACTGTATTACCTGATCCTTTGGAGGAACAGTTCCCAGTCATAATATGTTACAGGAAGTTGTAAAGGCCAAAGGGCTTTGAAAGTGGAAACGGATGATATTTCTTACAACTGCACCGATCGCTGTTATAGCACTTGCACGTCTCATGGTTCAAAAGCCTTGCTACCGTACGTTTTCAAATGCTTCTCAGATAGGGCCCCTGAACGCCACAAGCCCATTCTAGCCGGTCGACGCCCATCAACGGATGAAGGGAATCATGGTAGGTACACGCTTTTTGTACTCAATAAAATCCTCACCAAAGAACCGAGCCATGTGCGCCTCTTCGGTCGGTATTCTCGTAGAAAAGAATCGCCAAAGCACGGCTAGATATGCAACGAAACAGATGGGGTTACCAAGTACTATTTGAGTGCCAATCCCCCACCAGAAGAAGCCAAAGTAAGACGGGTGCCGCATGACTCCATATATGCCTGAAGTCATGAGCTCATGGCCCGTCTTCTTTCTATCCTGGACAATATGGTTGAAGTTGGTACCAAGCTGCATCATAGCAGTAGCCCGAACAAATTGTCCAATAAAGACGAGCAAGAATCCGAGAAGTAGGAGAATGTGTCCGGTATACAAGGGGGCCCATGAACGATTTGGCCACAGTAGTTTCGTGAAGAAGCACTCAATCGTCGCAGACGAATGCGCAATGAAGTACATAGGCCAGTTTGCGGTCAGAAGAAAGGACTCGATCTTGGCCTCTTGCGTATTGTACTTTGCGGTTGTCCAAAACTCGAGAAAATGGAATGTCGAGAGCGCGGCGAAGAAGAAAGGCACTCGCCATAATGGAGAGGATGAGAATAGTATGACCGCCGCGATCGCCACCGCAGACAGCGCAAGCGAAATACCCAGACAGAAGGACCGAAGCGCAATGCCTTCTAGCGACTTGGCTTTGCCGGGAAAGTATAGCTTATCAGGCGAGGGGCGTGCGCTCATAGGACTGGCGATAGGAAGCAAATCGTCAGCATCCTTCTCTGTAGGCTCACGACGAATGGTAGGCAACTGGAGTGATATGCGCCTGTCTTTTCTCTTGTTGTTGGCCCACAAGGGTCGCTTGACATCTTCGTTCTTCTGGCCGGGCAAGGCACCACTGGTCCAAGCTTCATCTTCCTGAACCTTCTCGCTCGGGGCAAAGGATGACTTCCATGTTGGTGTTGAGGGTATCTCGTCATTCACTAAATAGTGAAAGCCAGCAGGTGGCTGATCATCCTTTAGGGAGACTTTGGGAGAAGCTTGTGGCAGCGGCGACGGCGGCGAAGCTGTTGGTGGATCTTCTGATGACTCAGACATCGCGAAGCTATTGTTACTGCAGATTTTCCTGAGGAAAAAAAACGAGTAACGGACGCAAAGGAGTCACGATGCAGATGAAGCGCGAACCGCCGACGAATATCTGTAGAAGAAGAAAACGACCGACTTACCTATCTGGAAAACTCGCCATTGTGACGGTGTGAAGTTGGTTTGTTCCGTGGGGATCAGACCATGCGTGCGACTTGAGACAAAGGACCGCTTGTGTTTTCTTGTCCTTTTCATGTGTTGTTGCCACAACCGAGAAGCTGCCTTTTGTTGGGTGTTGTCAAGAAGCTGTCGGATCCTCGAAGCAGCCTTGTCTTCTGGCGGGGGGTTCCGGCAGGAAATAGAGCCTGATTGCTGGAGGAACACGCTAAAATTAGCAGTTGCTCAGGTACCTCGGATCATTGGCGGCCGGAAACGGCATTGCGACAATGAAAGGATCTTTTGAGTATGACGCCATATCCAATAACACTGCTCCGCAGAAGAGAACCCGAAAATTATACTGAGCTTCATCGTTAGCATTACGAAATATTCACTTAAAGGTTTGCATTGATATTCATAAAAAGCTGCTTTGAGGCAGGGAATATCAGGGCCGGAGATAGTGTATGGCTACAGGTTGGAGGATCCATTTCGAGAATACGCGGGGGATATATAGTGGGGGGAGGGTGATGTGAGGGATGATGCACCTCAGCCATCCAAATCCAACGTGATATACACTCTAACTGTCAATATTCACACGTATAATCCGTGACAGACCATAGATGTGTACAATGGACCCTCTTCGTAGCATAGACCTCGAAGAGAACAAGCGTCTCATGCGAACCGGGGAATTGTACTATGCTTTCACACCAGATCTTATCGCGGACCGGAAACGATGCCGCTTGGCGTGCGAGACTTTCAACAGTGCTGGTGATGTCTCACGGCGCAAATTGGTTGAACTCTTCAAACTGTAAGCTACTGGACTCTGAGTCCACCCGTCCCAAGGCTGATGTCACCCACGCCAGGATCCAAGACGACAAGTCCTCACTACCTCCGCCTGCAGCCACTTCCGAGGAGGACGAGGACCTTTTTGGAGAACAAGTCTGGTGCGATGCTCCAATAAAAATGGATTACGGCCGTAATGTCAAGTAGGTGATTCCTGATGCTGAGGTTAGCATGAGCTCACATGTCAGATTTGGGGACAATGTATACGTCAATAGTAACAGCACCTGGATTGATACATGCCTGATAACTGTCGGTTCTCGGACTCTCATTGGCCCCAACTGTTCTTTCTACTCGGGCACGCATCCAATCGATCCCACAATTCGAAACGGGACCAAGGGACCCGAGAGCGGGAAGCCCATCACTATTGGAGAGGACTGTTGGTTTGGAGGCAATGCCACCGTGCTTCCTGGTGTGACCATTGGCAAAGGTTCCGTCATTGGAGCTGGGAGTGTAGTAACCAAGGACGTTCCTGAATACAGCGTGGTAGCAGGCAACCCAGCGAGAAAGATAAGGAGTATCGTGCCGTCGCCGACACAAGCTCCAGTCGGTGTTGTGGGTACGGAGACGGTGACGCCTCAATAGCAGATGGATGCTTCATTCATAGACCACCTTGAATGGTGAATGATGAAACAATCAAGACCAGGACGTTGATCCATCCCCAAATAAAAGGAATCCATGTTGACATAAGGAATCGGCCATTGAAATAGACGGCGCCCACCAGAACACCGACGATGCTGCCGGAAATGACTGCCTCAAGTGCAGCCGCGAAGGCATATATGATTGGGACGGTCCATAGATACTTCCAGGTCGACCGGTGTTTCCCTACTTGAACACCAAGAGCTATGCCCGCAGCACCCATATGGAAGATGGCATATAGAATGAGTGTCCACAGTGTAGTGAATCGCCAAGAATCCCACAGGTAGTAAATAGCATGATCACAGCTCTGAGCCGGCCAGTAAAGGGATGGAAAAGATGGACGACCAGGCTCACATCCTGCGGCGGTGGTTGAACTGCGACGTATCAGCTTCCTGGAGACACGGGTTGCTCGTCCTTGGATGACCTACACCTGTTGTCCCATTGCAAGCGCGTAGCGACGTTGTATGTCTGCACGTGTCGAGTGTCGAGTATCGAGTGAGTGTGGAGCTTTTAGGTAAGGTGCTGCAGGGTGGAAACGATTGTAGGGGTTGGAGATGTGCATGTGGTAAGTAACGCTAGCAGCAGCACTGGCGTGCAGGCTGGGGGTTCTCTGCTGATTGACGTCGTGCCTCGGCAATTGTGGGCAGCCAACACCGACAGCGCTTCATCTCCAATCCAAGCTCTAACATCGCGACTTTCGGCAATGCAAAGGAACTCCCACGATGTGACGCGGCTTTGGTAAAACCTTCCACCATGTCAGTCGACAGGCTCTTGACAGCAGCCTTGCGCGCATATCAGGAGCCGCCGAACGCTACAGAGACCAACAAGATATTTGCGACGACTACGACCCTGCTCTCCAACTTGAATAACCCGCTGAATATCTCGCTTCTGACTTCACATGTCCTGACTGCGCGCTCGATATGGGAAGCACCGGACGGGTTGAGAACTTGTCTTCGCATAATAAGTATATACAACACGGGAGCAAAGCACATCATCCAGAATGAGCAGGACAATGCAAAATTAGCCTGGGGTCAGCAGCCAGTGGGAAGCGGGTTGCGACCCGAAGCATGGGCGCGTGCTGTTGCAAAGGGTGCGGATGAGCGATCAAGTAGGTGGAAACATCTCCTGGTCCTCACTGGCATGCTGCTTGGAATGGAAAGCGACGAAAGGCGGACACTTTCATCTGGCCTGCGGTCGACCCTGGAGCAAGCCGTGGTGGCAGCAGCCAACTTTGCACTGGAAGACCCTCCACAGACGCAAGCATATGGGGCGAACGCCGTCATACTGGCATTGACATATGCCTTCCCGATATTGTCAGACTGGAATAAGCGGTCGCTCAACTGCAATCTAGTATTGCCGGCTGCAATAAACGCGATGATCCACGTAGAGGGCTTTCAGGAGGGAGAGTTTCTACGCACTATCTCAGCTGGCAGTGTTGCAGGTCATGAAGCATTCTACAGAGCGTCGCCAGACTCTTTCGCTCATGTGCTTCAAGTCTCAACACAACCTTTGGTTCAGAATATGGGCCCTCTATCACGAGTAGTGGCTTTCGCTGTGGAACACGCTTCCATGTCGACAGTAGTGCTACATGCTCAAGATCAGCTATTGGCTTTCTCAACCAACCTGCTTGAAAAATGGAGACTCTGCCCTTTCTCTGCCATTGACATATCCGCCGAGCCTGTGGTTCTTTCGCCTGAAATACGGGAAGGACCCTGGAATGTGTTGTGGCAACTTCTTAAAAAGCTCATGTATGCTGTCGTCGGGTCTGTACAACCTATAATCGGGCGTTGTCTGCTCGATGCGCATCTGAGGAATGATACGGTAGCACCGAAAGTTGCATCGAAGATACTGCATACGCTACGCAACCTTTACTTTATTTCTTCACGCGAAGGATCCGATGCCTTCCAGGTATACACCTTCACGTACCTCACCTCCATCGATATTATCTCTAGGTACCCCCAAGCTTGCGCTGGATTCCTGCAAGACACACAACCGATAGTCCCACAAGCGAATGCGCCGCCACTAACAACTCTGGACCAATCTCTCACGCTATTCTATCTGAACTTGGCAGAGCATTTACCGCTCTCTCTCCCTACACCTGCCGCCGAGAATTTGATTCTCAATTCCGCAACATCCCACTTGTCTCTAGCCAACTCGCCTAGAGGAAATGCGTTGCCGCAAACATCTCTAACTTTGCCCCTTTTCGAGGCGTCGCATTCCGCAATCCTCTCAGTCATGTCGTGCCCACAGCACGCAGACCTGACCGTCTCCATATTACCATTCTATGTTGACAATCTTCTCACTGCATTTCCTACCCATATATCTTCACGACAATTCCGACTCGCTTTCAAAACGGTCATGCAAATCGTCTCCCCTCCGTTCCCGATATCCGCAACGCATCCAGAGCTTTCGGAGATTCTTCTGGAAACATTACATTATCGCTCTGCATCAGCGGGCGTGCTTCCTCTCCCAGCCGAACCTGCTCCAACCTCGCCGTCACCTTTAGCATCACAACAGGCGCCGGTGGATCATGTTCAGCAACCACCTATCTGCGAACAGACGACGCTAGTCCTCGCTCTTATCGATGCACTGCCATTCTTGCCATTACATATTGTTGACGAGTGGCTGTCACGGACTGCCGGCGCCATGAACGCTGTGGCAGATGCCAGTATGCGCGAGGTGGCGAGGAAGAGGTTCTGGGATGTATTAGTCAGTGGTGAGATGGACGTGGAAAGAGCGGCAATCGGTGTTGCATGGTGGGGCACTGGAGGCGGTCGTGAAATGGTTCTTTTGAATGCTGTAAGAATGCAGAAAGAAAGGGGGAAGAGTACATGATGAGCGGTGCATTGGCTAGTAAAGAGGTTTCGAAGTTATAACACATCTTAATTTGCAGCAGAGGGGAATGCGTATTTACCATGCAGACCTCCACGGCCATCGAGCACAACACTCAGCAGATATTGTGACACAGAAAGAGGCCAATGATACGCAGTGATAAATCCTTTACTCTTATATTCGTCACTGGTGATACAGGATTTGTGACTTAACATTATGTTTGGGGAAACACCAAATTGTGGTGTGCTCGCACGATCCTATGGAACGGGGGCTGCGGGATACTGACTGTGCCTTGAATTGCTAATCTGGGGCTGTAATGTTCATCCCACAGGGCCTGCTGTTGGCTCGACTACCAGCTGGCTCCCACGAAACTAAATGAACCAAAAAGCGGTTGCGCAAAATCTCATATTTCCCTCCCATGGTTTTTATCTACGAGCCATGGCAGGTGATGCTGTTTTCCAGAATTCCTGGTGTTGGACCACCAGAGACTTCGGGTAGTGGCCAGCAACGCGGTCGTTGGGAAATTGCGGATTAAGGATCGCAATCACATTGTCAGACGCGATCCTTCTCGAGACGATTGGCGCATGCATCCCCTGTCACTAAACAACGTTATTTTCTACTCTCTTGGCATCTTTGAAATATCCAGGCTTATTATTGGTCAAATCAGCAGGTTCGAGGCTGAAGGATCAACTGTGCCGCACTTGCGCATATTCAGCTACGATGGTCAATATTCACCGCGGCTCTGGCCACACTCAAATGGTCTCATTGCAGAATTTCCGAAATGAAACTACTAGGGCCTATGAGCAAGCGTCAGGCTTCAGTCCATAGCCCAGCGATCTTGGCAGATAGGGTTGGAATCGGATCCTTCGTGGAGGCCATGCTTGCTAGTAAATGCCAGGCCTGACCTTGAACTCTGTTTCATTCCTCTCTTGCAACTGTGAATCCTTCCCTTCCGCCATTGCAAGATGATTTTTCCCGAGGCCGTGCTTTTCTTCATTGATCGACCAACTTATTTCTTGTAATGCGCCAAATTTGGTGAAGTGGCCATACCGTATCTGTCTGCGAATACTCGGATGATCATGGCCATGGGCCTGATATCGATCACTATGGGTACTCAGCGTCAGGGTATCCCGGGCTTATTGTGCTTGTACGCGGCTCTAATAACGGCTGTTCAGGGCGCCGTCAAGGGACAATGGTCAAACAGAACTTTGGGTCCAGATGGGCCTTGGAACGCTTTGGAGGTAACGATGGGATACGACCAACCAGTAACCATTTACGGCGGAAAGTTCTGGGAGTCATTCTTGCTCGGCAGTAGCTATTGTACTGCAACCACCACCGGGAACGATCGATGTTATGCAGCGGAGAAGGGTGCCATATACTACGAACAACGAGGGACTGGTAGCAACATGGGCATCTCGTTTGCACCGCCCGACTTTTGGTCCGACAACGTGCAAGTCAAGGGCGGTGGAACATCCCGATGGGCAGACGACCTATACATTGGAGCAGACACTTCACTATGGGGGCTCGGGCCCATCCCGAATATATCTATTGCCCTCATAAACGACGAACAGCTCGTATATCCAAATGGCAATTCTTATCCCCTGTTTGCCGGATGTCTAGCATTCGGATCGGCACCCAACGCAGTCAATCAAACATTCCAAGTAAGGGCAGGTACACTCGCAGGTGCTAAAAACAGCAGTCTCCTCTCTGGGTACCTGTCTAGTCACGGGAAGATCGAATCCAACTCCTTTGGAATGCATATAGGTACCGGAGCGTCCCCTTCTGTCTCTGGATCGTTGTGGTTTGGTGGCTACGATCAGAACAGGGTTCTGAACGATGTATTGGCTGTACCTATCGAGCCCGAGTACATGAGTTACTCGATAGAGCTATCAGATATCTCTATCGCGACGCTCGCCGGCGACTCGCCTTTCTCGTTCACTTCAAAATCTGGGCTATTGGCATCGGGAAATACTACTATTGGAAGCTCACTTAAAATGGGAGTTGAGCCATGCAATCCATACCTTAATCTTCCGAAAAGCAGTTGCGACGCAATCGCTGCCAATCTACCAGTCACATATAATACGGGGCTTGGGCTGTATTTTTGGAATACCGACTCAGTAGACTACAAGCGAATCGTGTCGTCAGCTGCAGCTCTGACCTTATCGTTTCGTGACCCCGACAACAACGCGCGAAATGTTAACATTTCGGTCCCCTTTCGACATCTAAATCTGACACTCGAAGAGCCTTTAGTGGATACTCCTACACCTTACTTTCCATGCAATGGCGCTTCGCCAGGCTATTCGCTTGGACGTGCGTTTCTCCAGGACGCATTTTTTGGTACAAACTTCGAAGATGCTGTCATGTTTCTTGCACAGGCGCCTGGACCCAACGTCAAGGCTGAGAACGTTGTGACGATTGACGGAAATGGTACCGTCACAGCGAGTCATAACGATCTCATTAAGAGCTGGGAGGGCTTCTGGTCTTTGACTGGGGAGACTACCGCCAACTTGACGACGACTTCCACCGGAGGCACAACAAACGAGACCAGTAGCTCGGACACGTCAGACACGAGTACAACTACAACCTCCAAAACGCCTTTGATGGCAGGCGTGGTGGGTGGCGTTGGCGGCGCCATCGTGCTCGCAGCCGTGGCCCTTGTCTTCTTCTGGCGACGCAAGAAGCGAAGCCAGGCCACAGAACTATCTGCACAAAACGATCAGACACCGGCGGGCTACTACGAGCCAAAGTACCCAGAACCGTCGCCCTCAGAGCTGACTGGGCAACCGACGCCGCCCGAGTTAGGTGGGTATTCGAGGGCGGAGCTACCTGCTGGCACGCCGCAGTACGAACACCAGTATTCAATGCCCAGCCAATTTGGTTCTTCACATGAAATGCCGGCAGATAACCCTGCCCCGGAAAGGGCGCAAGGATACTACAGCGATGGTTCACACGGCGATCTGCAGGGCATGGATAGTAGCATAGGACCGACACACTATAACACTAACACGAATACGACATATGTGTCGATGGTGGCAACGCATGATGCAGACCTCGGTGCTCACGGGCACGGGCACGGTCATGCTTACGGGTATTACGATGGTAATGGTCACGGATATTAGAATCTTCACCACATCTGTATAGTACCATTTCTCTTGTTGTTTCACCTTTTTACTTAGCGAAGGCGCAGGGAAGCCATGACTTGGTTGTATTGAGTAAGCCGAGAACGAACATGTTAAAACCAGTCTCAATTTGACCCCCAACCTTGAACAATCTGCAACGGTCTGTAATCGATTATATGACGACTGGCTCCAGTAGGCTCGGTAACGAGTGAAGGAAACGTGCTTGAACCCAAATTGACCGGTAATAGTGTATGCTTCTTCACCAATTAATTTATGTCTAATTCTCGCACGCCAAGTATGAGGCAGTATTCGAATACGCACCTTTTCTTCTTCTTTTCTCGCCTGCAATACTTTTAACAAGTCTTGCCCGAGGCATTCCTGTTCAACCCAAGCGCTAAATCAGCTTGAGGTAGCATAGAAAGGCTACTGGTCATTGGTCGACGTTAAGTCATCGAACTTGCTCATATAATACTGACAATAAAAATCAGAGTTTCGAAACACGTGCAAAAACTACTCAAACATGCGAATATCTGGAAAAAAACAAGACAGCCCAAGTTTATCAGACTGCTCAGGACGTCCCTCCACCACAAATTCTTCGGCTTGAATATCATCCAAGACTGGGCACTTGTTCGGAATACACTAATGTAGGTACAATATGTATGTAGCAACATCGGACCATATGCATGAAAACAAGCATAAGTGACGATGACCTGTCCTGAGGAGGCCAAATGGGCAGGACCCGTTTGGCAATTTAGGGGTAGTCAATCAGTGTGTTTGCTCTTAGATAATGGAGGCTGAATCATGGGTTTGATGATGGCTCGGGCTAAACTGATGCATACTAGCGCCGTGGCCCGCTTCTGGGACGCATGAAATTGACGCCACAATAGCGCCGGACGCGCCAGTTGTTGTCCTCCAGTGCTGGGCTTGTTATTTTGGCTGAAACAATGCAATTCTCCGGGAGCATCTCTATCTCAAGATCCAGCCAAATGATCCAGACGTCAGGCTTGGCACGTGAATCAGCCTTTTGAGACTCGTTCCGGGCCGTCGAGGAGGTCGATTTGTATCATGCAAAACGCGTGCTAGGCTAAGCACTCTGAACGAACGTCGCTTGTTGATGGTCACTGACCTACTGTTTCTTATCTGCAACAGCCATGTCCTGACCTCCTCCTGTTCGCTATACCAACCCAAAAGCTTCTGCACCTTGTACCGGCACCTTATACCTGCACCTACACCTTTCTTTCCAAGTCACTCATTTCTCGAGCCACATATAGCTCCTCCCGGGTTCGCTCACGGCATTTATTGTGCCAATATCACCCACCACTCGTTCCCACGACTCTCTGGGCATTCTGCATCCTCTCTTTGCGCTGGCGTTTAGACTTCAGGGGGTTTTTCTATTGACATCTCCGGATGCCCCCGTCCATACTCTCCTTTGTTTGTTCAGCTTGACAGCATCAGTTGGTGAAGACTGTTCATCACCAACCTTGAAGCTTTTAACCCGCACGCGGCCGAAAACCGGCAATTATCACATCGCCCGTATTGTCGATCAGTCTTTAGGTTCCATCATCCCCAGGACATTTGCCGCCAGGAACAACTCGATTCAAGGCGGGCCATCACCCCCCAACCCCGCTAGATTCGGACCACTTGACTGCATCATTCATGCAAGGCAGTTCACACCGCAACGTTCTCATTACTCGGGGAGTTAACCCGTCATCTTTAGCGCTGCAGTTCCCAACATACACCACCTGGGAATACTCGAGCTCCGTTCGCGACCACCACATACCCTTCTAATATCTAATGCGCAAACCCATCGCTCGCCTCTGTCAGCCATACATCCAAATACCCCCCATCGAAAGACGTCCAAGATGGCAGCAACCCTTAGTTCGACCGCAGGGGACGTCCCCTCGCAAGCAACAAAACTTCCCAAACGAGGCGCCAAGTTGACGATTCCGGCCGCGGCCGCTTCCCTATCCGCGAACATCACGAGTCGCCTACGAAATCAGCTGCCTGTATCGAGTCCCAGTCCTGTCAACCAGAATGGCAGCTTCGAGTTCGACCGGGTCATAAAGGCTGGCTATGTACAGAAGCGTACACAAAAAACCAAGGTAGGTAACTCGTCATGTGTAGGCCGGACGTAGATGCTGAAACAAGCCTGCTCTAGACATGGAAATCAGTCTACCTGGTGCTGCGGCCAAACAACCTATCTCTCTACAAGTCCGATAATGAGAGCAAACTGCGCCACAAAGTATACCTGTCCGATTTATCCGCGGCCACACTTCTCAAAGACCCCAAGCAGAAGCGCCATAATCTGTTCGGTCTCTTTTCTCCCGCCAAGAACTACCACTTTCAAGCACCGAGTGCCAAGGATGCGCAGGAGTGGATTGAGCTCATCCGCCAAGATGCGCGGATAGAGGAGGAGGAGGAGGAGATGTTCTTAGCAAGCCCGATTGTGCGGCGCCAGTCGTACAACGCTGTTGGCCTGCTGGGAAACAATAACACGTCGGGCGTTCTGAAAGAAACGTCCATGGATCATGACAGGTGTCTCTCGTCCTCACCGGAACCGACAGACCCGCTGCCACCCAAACCCCTATCCTCGTCAGGCAGGACGCTTTCGCAATTAGAGTCATCATCAGGCGGAATCTCGAGCAACGACTTCGTATCTCACTCGGATTTCTCGGACTGTGAGGCTCCCCGGGTGGGTGCATCCATGGAAAATCTAGCAGTGCGATCGCTCTCCAATTCGGCAGCCCAGCTCCGGCCGATGCTTGGGGGTAGGAATCAAAGCCAACTAAGCGGTCTCAACATTGAAAACGACCCTGATAGAGTGGTGTGGCAGGGATGGTTACAACTGCTGAAACATAAGCGTGGTGTTAGGCAATGGAAGAATTGTTGGGCCGTGCTTCGGCCAAGGAACATGATCCTTTACAAGGACGAGTCAGAGTATACGGCCGCTTTCATCATGCCACTTTCAACCGTCGTCAATGTCGTCGACATTGATCCTCTCAGTAAAGCCAAGCTGCACTGCATGCAAATTATCACCGACGAGAAGAGCTATCGCTTCTGCGTTCATGACGAAGAGGGACTAGTGCAATGCCTGGGCGCCTTCAAGAGCTTGCTCTCGAAAAGGAGGGAGCTAGAAGCGTGGCAAAATGCAGCAGGTACCCCCAGCGGTGCAGCATCGTGAGCACAAGATTAGGTGTAGATGCTGGATCGATTTTTGCGCCATGATACCCCGGAGTTTAGTGGGAGCACCCCCGTGGATTTTGACCATGCGGGCATTGGAAAGGTTTGATTTGGAGTAGGTGAGGTGTAATAGACACAACCTCGTGCTCATGCACCGGGGCCGCTTGCGGTCCCTAAACAGATGTATGTACATAGTGTATAGATAATGCTACTAGGTTGTGCATCTGGCTGGACCTGCATCTTCAGCCACACACGGAACGGTGCATCGCCACAACGTAATGTTAACTTGCAACGCCAAGCAGCTACCCGTAGAAAACTCAGTACCAATGATATTGACCACAAAAGCCAGCTGTATACTGTAGTAGTAGTATGGGATACGGTGGGCAGAGATTATCATTGGAGCACCGTGGTCCTTCGCTATGCTATCAGATCCCGAGGTGTGTTCCTTACATAAGTCTGCTATTGGCAAGGATACCTGGGAGGGTTACGGCCTATGAGAGCTCTCTACCGCAGATTCCTGTGTAGATTGCAGGTTTGATAGGGGGCCAGTGTGGCGTTTTTACCCCACAGCAGCGGCAGTTCACACGCTATCATCACTGCCAAGTCAATATGCCAAGTTCCCAATGATTGTCCCAATCTGGAGCGAGACGAAATGACAGCTCCGGTTCACCCACACCATCTCAACTTCATCCGACCAGGCCTCGTGCATTATGAACCTATCATACGCTTTAGTCACGCGTTTGGCACCCCAGGTCTTCTCCAACAGTGCTGTGACATCGCTTTCTGGGCCTTGATTTTTCCACATTGGCCACTGACTCTATGCCCTGCACAAAAGGAAGTTGTTGAAAGGCTCGAAAACAAGGATTCTCTGCCACGTTGATATCTTCTCAGCTAAGAACGAATGGGTGTATCCCGATCATGGCTGCTCTTTGGCAATCCTTCATGGGTGCCGCCCCTGCATCGATAACCCCGAGAGGCCTTGACAGCATGTGTCAAACGGTGGTATTCGTTGAAGGTCAGGTATACCACCTCGCATTTTATGACATAAAATTTAGGTAGTGATTCCCAACTATGAAATAATGTCCCATTCACGTTCGTTCTCTTCAAGACTTCTCGTCATCCGATCTCTTCGGGCTTGCTAGCCAAATGACACTTGTTGCCACGCGGGCCTATAATTTGATATATAGCTACCACGATTATGTCCAGCCTGCAGATACGATAAAAAAAACTCATTCTCTGGCCCAACTCCTGAATCTAAAGGCGGTGGTTCATTGCGCAAGATCTCTTGAGTGTGTCTGCATAAGTGCGCAACGGAGGGCGCAACTTTGAGAACATAACATATTTATATTCATCTGCCCACGACCCAACTCATACAATCACTTTTATAATTTCACCAGTTCACATTTCTTTCGTTTCTCGTCATCCTTCACTAAGGTTCAACAAACGCGTTCGATAGCTAGAGTAATAATGAAGCTCTCTGCACTTTCAGTAATAGCGAGCCTTGCACTCAGTGCGCTGTCGCAACAAATATCATTGCCACTCAAGACCGACAGCAGATGGATTCTCGACAATGCTGGCAACAGGGTCAAGTTACGCTGTATCAACTGGCCTGGCCACATGGAAACGAACATACCTGAAGGCTTGGACAAGCAGTCAATTGACTACATTGCCGACTTCATCCAACAACAAGGATTTAACTGCGTTCGCCTTACATACTCCATCGACCATGCACTGAACCCTGAAGTAAGCGTCCAAGACTCATTCATCGCTGCTGCCCTGGCTGCCAACATTCCGGTTGAAACCTTCGATGCGACGTACGCACGTGTGGTCGAGAAGAACCCCTTTGTGGCAAACGCAACCACGCAAGATGTTTTTGGCGCAGTCATCAAGTCTCTCTGGGATAGAAATGTTATGACTATCCTGGATAACCATGTCAGCAAGGCGGGTTGGTGTTGTAGGTGTTCCTCGTTTCTTTACATATCAAGTGATCTATTGCTAACAGAGCGCAGGCGACCTTGATGACGGTAACGGCTGGTGGGACAAGGCGCAGGGCTATGTTGAATCCAACAGCAGATATTTCAACACCGGAAACTGGCTCAACGGTCTTTCTGCGATGGCAACATGGGCAACCTCGCAGCCAGGTGTCGTGGCGATGTCCCTTCGGAACGAGCCCAGACCTTTTCCAGTCCTACAAGATTTCTTGGACGGCCACTCGGGATGGCTTAACTTCATGCAGCAGGGTGGAGAGCGTGTCCACGAAGCGAACCCGGATGTCCTGGTCCTTGTTGGAGGAACCCAGTCCACCCAGGATCTGACCGTTACGAAGACCAGAAACCTTGACTACAGTGCCTGGGCTGGAAAGCACGTCTGGGAGATGCACGCTTACGAGTTTAGCGTGACGTACTCTGCAGCGGGAGATAACTGTGATATTCGTCAGGATCTGTACGGAGCTTTTGTTGGCTTCGTCCTCGAGCAAGGCCAGGAATTTACCGCGCCACTAATCATGTCAGAATGGGGTATGGCTCTGTCGGGTGGTCCAAACGATGGGCTCACCGACGACGGTAAGAATTACTACGATTGCGTGAAGGAGTATATGTTGGGCAACGACATGGACTGGGCTTTGTGGGGCATTCAGGGTAGTTACTACGTCAGAGAAGGGACCGCCGACGCCGAGGAGACTTGGGGTCTTATGGATAAGGAATGGAGTGGTTTGAGGAATGAGCAAATTTACACATCGATGGCAGATTTGTTTACAGTCACGCAAGGTCCTTAGAAAGGAGCTGGTGGTGTGAGGTTATGATGGCTAATAGATGATAATGGCATAATTTTTATTATGTGGACGGGAGAGACGCTTAGAAGTACTTTGAACGGTCTTGGATAGCCTTCTGGTTTTGTGAATACGTATTTGCTAATTTACACCAAAGATTCTGAGATCAGAGTGCCTACAGGTGTATGTTCTATACAGAAGGCATTAGACGACACTATACTGTTACACACCGGTCGAATAGCTTTATGCATGCGGGCATAGAAACTCTCCGGTGGGATCTGGTCACTTAGAAACTGCCTCCTTCAGTCCGTTCAATAGCCGCACTGACGTGGCCAAGCTAAGCTGGCATGAGTATAGTGTTCGGCAGTGTCGTCAAATCTACAGTTACCCAGTAAATCGCTGCCAAACCATCCCTTCATATATTTCTATTGCCCGGAATTGGTCGTTTTGTTTGTTAATCGATCTAGCAAGGGCTTCTATGAGCCTCCCCTTGGAAAGTTTATCCCGAGATATCTGCAAGGGCAAATTGTGGCGGAGCCGGCCAGGTAAAAATGGGGGTTATAGTGGCATCCATAATTTAAGGTTATGTGTGGAATGGCTTCTCCATTCAATTCTTTCCGTACAGTTTGGGCGACAAATAGATCTATTCAGCGCTATCGTACGAAAGGAAGAAGGGATTCTTCCCATCGTACGCGATCTACAGATAGGGGTTTGGCCTATACGGCTGCAAGCTGCCGACAGCCACGGTGTGGCTGTAGTGGCTTGCCGTCAGTACGCCGGTAACTAGCTAGACTATATGGTCGTGCGAGACCGCGGATAACCATATTCCAACATTATGCGTAATATTTGAGAGTTATAGTGCTGCGCCCAGTGACACTAAAGCTTAAGTCATCTAAGGCCGATTTTACTCTTCGAGCAGACATCAGTTTTCAAACAATGCCATGCATGTGAGACAAGTCGAGATCCCTAGCCTTTTATACTGTCGCGCTGCCAGCGATAATTTGCCACGTTCTGAGATTATCGAACAATCTGGCCGATCTTGGACCTGGGAAGTGTATAGGATGCTGATTAAAGGCAAGCGAAGCTTTATTAAGTAAGCAGGGGATTTGCTGGGTCTCCTGACTACAGACTAATAAATCGTTTTGTGATGCCGAATTCTACTACCAGATACTACCTATGCCTGAACTGTGGCTGGTAAGAAGGATCAATAATCTAGCATTCCCTTCACTTGTCTAACACCCTCCAGGACGTCTTTCAAAAATTCAAAGCGAACGGTTTTAATGCCGTTAGTTATATACTGTCTTCATCCACGACAAATAAGTATAATTGAATGACCTCAGAACTCAGTATCTACTTCCTCCGGGGCTACCATTCCTCATCTAGGGATGCGTATGACTTCGAGGAGGGAGCACATAACTTGAGGAGGCTTTTCGATGCGGCCAAAGAGGCAGGATTGTGGGTCATCAAATCCTCAGAACCGTATATTATTGTATTCCCTCCGACAGTCTAGAGATAAAAACAGCAAACAGTCTAATAAAGAAGAGAACAGGCCCAGATGAACGCCAGTGGTTTCGATTTGTAGGACATCGGGCGGTAGTATGGGTAAGCTGCCAACCTCCAACGACGCGAAACCCCAATCATGGCCCCCTTTTATGGTCCAAGTCGGAAAGATTAGCGCAACACATTAGATCACGAATGATGGCGTAAGTATCACAAAATACACCACGAGAAAAAAATCAGAGTCTCATTTGTATTCTTTATTCAGTCGCAAGGCTGATAATAGTTGCTCCTCGCTTCGTTGGCGGATCTTAACCTCAGAGTTTTCAGGCTTGCGCAAGAAACAGTAGGATAGAAGTCACGACTCTGCTGACACTTGCAGATCAATGGAAGGCTCGGCTTTGAAATTGCGCCAATGGCCCGCAAGTGTGAAGCATGGTGTGACCCTCAAGAGTACCACAAGGTCGTGCGTGAGGAGTATGGTAAATGATTTGGTAAAGGTGAACAGGAGCATTGCCGTCATTACGAGGAAACGGTAGTAAGTATGTGAGCGTAATGGTGCCAGGAATGGGCGGTAGAAGCTTATGGATCCCTCCGTCCAACCCGGTTGAATCTTTGACAAGCCTGTTGAAACATATAAATTGTTGGAAGCAACCACGAGGGGACAAGACACAATGCACTAGACATGTTAAGGTAAACTACTCAGTTTATGCGTTTGGGCATACTTACAGCCAGAAATGGATTTCATTCGAATTGCGCTCAATGATGCAAGGCACGACAATTGGGGCGGTGGAGAGAATGCACCAAAGAATGCTGAAAGGATGAGCTCGTAGTATCGTAATTTAGCTTTCAGTGCTAGCGTGAACACGAAAGAAAGACGCAAGAGTCCACTGGAGCATGATCGAAGTTCCATAATGTAAAAAGGCTGTTGTCTTTTCTGCGGTGAATTCGAGCTCAACAACGTCGTTTGGTAGTAATGCCTGTGGTGTTGAATCAGTTTGCCCCAGCCCATGCTCCATCATTGCTTTGACTGTAGGGACTAGTGAGCGAGAACAAGACATGTTAGTATCAAATGATTGACACGACGAAGTCTTCTAACTGTAGCACGCGACGTTTTGAAACCGTGCCGGTGTACGCCGGGACAATGGAGCATATGCTCTCTTGACAATATATCATGGTAGCGTTCTGTGTCGCCAGTAAATGTATGCTACGTTGCCATTGCGCTCCCAAGGGACTGAGTCGATGTGTTGACTTCCATGGTGACACCGGTGTGACAAATACATGGTGAATAAACATAATTGAAACGATGCGTTTGACGGGGACTAATGACCGAGAGTCAGTATACCCACATTATACTGTCGTTGCGGCTCCTTTTCACTCAGAGTCACGGGCACTTGTAAAAAGCGACTGGCATGTGAGTAGGGGCCTGGGACGTATCATTTGAACAACGTTTCCAGGAAAAGGCACGTTATTGAAATGTATGCCAGTTGGGAGATAGCTTTTCTAAGCTCAATCAATAGATAGGGGTTAAAGAGTTAGCAGCCAACAGTGAAGGGTCTTAAACCCCATCCATATACTTGTGGCTCCAGTTTCCAGTATCAGTGGCGTTTAAGACTAGAATAGACTAATTGAGCCCAGTGCATAGAGCCATACAAGATATGGAACCTGAATAGGAGAATGCGCTAAAGAGATTAATTAATAAGAAATTAACTCTATAGAGTGTATTATGTTTTTAAGTTCAAGATCAGAATTTGGGGCAAAGTGAGTTTACGACCAAATTAGACTTCAGAGGAGACTCGTGAGATTTGAGGAATGAGGACGGCTCGACGCAAAATATTTCCGATGGTAGTGGCGTGTCTGGTTTCAGACAGACAGGTCAGGGATTGTGAAAGTGGGAGAAAACCAGTGGACGAAGAATTAGACCGCTTGGTCAACTATGTGACTATTGTACGTCTTCATTTCATTTGCTGCTAGGGTGGGTTCGATCGTCTTGTCGCTGGCGGTCTAGTTTTATATAGCGACGGACACAAGCTGGCCAACGAATGGATTGAGATGAAGTGGCAACCTCGAAACCGTAGTCGTCTATATTATTATTGACAAGTAGACCGTGGACAGTGATCATACAGTCGAGTGTGCTGGGACCCTTAATTGTACAGTATTATTAGAGATGTTAAATGAGATGAGGCCTGATATAAGGCGCAAACGCGGTAAGCCAGCTATGTGGTAGCTGAAAACAAAAATAAAACAATGTGCAAACTACAGCGAAAAAAACGGACATTAATAGGTTAACATAGGGCTATAATCGATCCGTAGTCAATCGAATTTTTCGCTTGATCTTGTATGAAGACGGGCTAGCACCAGCGGCCCTGTAAGTAGAGGGGTGTGACGAGATGATCCATTATAGAACAATCGTAGCAATTGCCACCGCTGCAATGAACCATGTACCGATTGAAACGCATACTCAACTACATGTGAAAGCACCGAGAACTTGGCCGATCGTTGTGGCCGCTAGATATTGAGGATCTAAGGTAGAAGACTGGCCGCTTGACAAATAGGGAGCTAGCACGCGGCATTTGAGATAGAAAGATCTTGGTAGTAACTCCTGACAGACCTGAGCTTTGATTTTGAGAAATATGATTCGCTCGAGACTCGAGGGTTTTTAATAATAGATAAGAAAGATATTGTTCGATGCTTTGTCGTCGAGTGCTTATTCAAGCCCAAAATATGCATCATTGAATTGCCCCATATCTGTATCGGCATCTTCATAGAATAGATCGTTGAAAGTGCTGTCATTATTTTCACCGTCGACTTCCAGATTCAGATCCAGGTCCATAGCATCGATATTGCCATTCCCAATATTGCTGAGGTCATACATGGGATCAATATTGGTGGCTGGGGCGGTATTGTCGGTAGTCTTTGATTCTGCTCCTACAGTTGCATCAGCTGGCGCTGGGTCGGTTGAAGGACCGCCACCGTCAAGATTATCCAAGTTTAGTAGATCGTCTTCTCCATCCTGTGTCGTGAAGGCAGACAAGTCGAAGTCCTGCATGGGAGCCGGAGGAGCGTTTTGCGACTGCCCGTCGGACGGTGGTGCCAGGGTGAATTCCATGTTAGTAAAATTGAGTTCGCCACCTGTCATATCTGCCGTTGCTGCACCACCTGCAGGAGATAAAGATAGCATATCATTGAGGGAGCTATCTTGTGCTGTTTGGGTTATAGGCAGCTGCTGTGGAGGAGAGGCTACCTTTTGGGCCGTAGAGCCAACTGCGGCTGGCTGAGGAGGAGCCGGCGAAGATTTGATGGCAGTAGCTGGCTTTGGTGACTGTTTGACAGGAGTAATTGCATGCGGTTCTTGTGAAGGCTTAATGTTGCCATTAGGAGGCTGTGGTGAAGCAGAGGGCGCATTTGTGTGAGATGATAGGTCAACGACGTCCATACCCATGTCCGGAAATGGCGCTCGTTTGCTCTCTTCTTTAATAGCCTTGAAGTTCACATTGGTATTGACCGTATGTGATGCTGCCGAAGGCGTTTCCATCATCATAGCAGCCGGTTGTCGAGGTTCCGGAACCATGGGGGCAGGCGGAGCAACAGGAGACGGAACAGACACAGGAGCCCGAGCTACTTGCAGCTTTCCCAAATCCCGTAACAGAACTGCCTTCGCTCGTGTCTAACATTTGAAATCAGTCAGATACCTCGGAAACACCTGGCATGGTTCAACATACAATTTCGCTCTCAAGGTCATCTAAAGCGTAGTGGTACGTCTTCATTGTCTCGGGCAATTTTGTGCGCAGCGCTGCGCCCGCGCTGACTCCACTGCGAGCCCCATCCTTATGAGATGCCTTGATAGCTTTGCCTGTTTGTACAAGCTAAGAAGGTCAGTGAATATGAATGCAATGTGATGGTGAGTACACGCACGACTTCGTTGAACATGGCCTGGAGGACATCCAGCGGATCTTTTGCTACAGTTGCGGCCATGTTTAGTGACTCGATAACGAGGGTTTAACTCGATATTTATGGGTAGATGACATGTAGGCACGGTCGAGATAGATTGAGGATATACAAAAAGAGATCCAGTACGTTATGGGGGCAAACTCTTTTCAAAGGAGGATGTTTGAAGCTGGAAACAAAATCTAGCAGGAGCTGTCTGATTGGGGTGCGGTTGAATAAGGTTAGATTGTCTGCACGGGAGTCGCTCTAGCACGGTTGCTAAAAATGCACAATGCCACGCTACAAACAATGGGGTTTGCCCCACGTCTACTCCCTGATTCAGATCATCGTGGAGACCAGGCTAACCTTAGCAGCCTGTCATCTGAAGATTGCTACGGTAAGCAGTGGCACAAATCTTGCCTATGGGCACATCTTCTGGCTAGGTTAGTTGACTTGGCTCCATGCTGAACTACATAGATTGTAAAAAGAGAGTGAGACGGCCTCAGCGAAATTGACGAAATCATAGGGGTCTAGGCCCAACGGGCAAGTGCACGATTTCAGACAAGCGCCTTCATGCAGGAGCTATCATTCAAAATGAAGGGGCTGCTTTATGTGACTCGGCAAACCCCTCTCCGTCCCCCGTGAGTGTTGATTAGAAAATACCCCATTCGTTCAAGATAGTCTTTGGGTACAGAGGCACGGATAGTTTGAAGTGGTGGAAGCTGTTAAGATAGCACCTGAATATACTCGCGAACTGCGGCTGATCAGAGGTGCAATGATTATCTCCATAGGACACAACCCTTGAAGGAGGTAAACTTGTTATTCACACACTGCAAAACCGCAATGCATATGATCGGCTTGGTAATAATGGTTTCCCCCCTCCCCTGCTTGCAGTTGACCCCTAAAGTGTATAATTAGTTCGGCGGGAATGAACCGAACCAGATCTTTGGAATTTGGTTGCTCCGGCCACCCCACACAGGGAAGAAAAGAGCCGCCCCAACTCTGTTCATTCTCTTGAATCTTGAATGCACACTCTTTGTACCTCGTAAAAGGGTTCATATCCAGGGAAAAGCCCACTTGCGTGCAGAAATTGTAGTTTGTGGCTGCGCTGCAACTTGCGGCTAACCGCCCAGGGCAATACGGCAAGGGAAAGTCCGCCAATATTTCGGAAGCGAGTCGATTTAGTCAGCTCTGCGAAGAGACATACATATTTGGGATACTTGCTTGTCAGTTGACAATGTTGCTGAGATGGTCTTACGAGGACCTCTTGGAATCTGGACGCTCAGAATTGTTGACTTGGCATAATAAATGCTGCATCCATTACGACGAACCTGAGCCAACGATGGATATGCATTGCTTGAAGTAACCCCCCGGTGTTGGCTTAAGCAAATGTTCTCCACACGCCTGCTTCCTGTCGCTTGAGGGACAGGGCAGCCAGGGCTACAGTACTGTACATATATGGAGGACCAAAAGCTTTGGCTATCCTGGAGGGTGGAATGAGGGACCAGTCACCAATCTGACAACCAAACGGTCGGCGGAAGTCCCTGTCCCTGCCGCCGTCAAATCCCCAAACCCAAACCCAATCTCAATCCAATCCGCCATCTTGCGTGACGAAGGGTTCCGTTTGCTTTCTCTTCCCTCTCCCATCTTCATTCGTACCGGCAAAGAAAACCAGGTTTCCGGTGACTGTGCGTTGAAAATCGGGGGACTTCTCCAAGGCAGTTTCCTTTTTTCTTCCCTCTCATTGTCCTTGTGTTGTCTCCTCGTCAGTCGTCTTCCAAGTCAAGTCAACATCCTGATCGTCGTCGTTTCTCTCTGCTTCGCTGTTTCCCTTATCAGCCGCCGTTTGATCGGTAATTTCTCGAGACTGGGACATCCTGTCCAGCTCCTCTCCTCTAGTCGTCTGCTCTCCTAGAAAGTCAACCCAAGTCAGTTCAGAGAATCGCATCGTCTCGGCGTCGGAGTAAACTTGGATCATTTTCGAATCCTAGCGCTTGCAAGGCTTCCTTTCTGTTGAGCTCGCGTCGTCTCTCATCTGCGTATTGCGCGTCTCCTCTCTTGTTCAGAACACGATCGCCTTACTTGTGGTCTACGAAATTACGCTTTCTCTCCTCTACGTGACGCAGAAGCAGTTCTGTGTTGGGTTAGTTGTCAAGAACAACATATTATTGTGTCATTGCTCCTGGACATTTTTGGTTCTTTCTCCTTGAGCCCCGCCAAAACCAGAACCAGAACCAAAACCGTGTTCGTGGTTCAGCACTGGTCGCAGAAGCTGCGATTTGTGTACTTTTCTTTGGGAATCGTCTGATCCAGGCATCGACCGCTTTCCCCGTGCAATAATTGATTGCGGCACCGCGTTTGCGACTCAAATTCTATTGGCCCACCGCTTTTCATCATCCACCAACCTTGCTTTGCGCCGTGCTTTTATTTCTGAGCAACAACTTCCAACACCAAATCCCACCTCCGTACTACTTTCCTTACTTACAACCCGCATCACCGACAAAATGGCAGAGAACGGACCCCCGACCGGCGCTCAGCTGCCCCCACCGCCGCAGCCGAATGCCGGCGCCCCTGGCTTCGAGAACAGCCAGAATGGCCAATCGAACCCTGCGCATATGCCTCCGCCGCCTCTGCACATCCCGCAGAACACGAACCCTATCCCGACCGCCATCACCTCTCCCTTGTCCGGCGACCAGAGTGGCTTGATGTCGCCGAGCAGTGGTGGTCCTTTCCCGCGCCGCATGGCCCCCGAACCTAATAAGCGGGCGCTTTATGTTGGTGGGCTTGACCCCCGGGTGACAGAGGATGTTTTGCGTCAGATCTTCGAGACTACCGGTCACGTACAGAACGTCAAGATCATTCCTGACAAGAACGTAAGTGGACACATCGCTTCCCGGCTGTTTCCCACGTGGACACCCGGAAGCATAGGCCTCGCCCCCCTATCATATCTGGCCGGAAATTTGACAAATTGCTGACTCGAAAACAAGCAAAAGGGATACAACTATGGTTTCATTGAGTACGATGATCCTGGTTCCGCTGAACGGGCTTTGCAGACCTTGAATGGCCGGCGCGTTCACCAATCAGTGAGTCTTTCTTCCTGGCTTGTCTGCCGGTTATGGTTCACACGAGCTTACTATCGATCCAGGAAATCCGTGTGAACTGGGCCTATCAGTCCAACACAACGAGTAAGGAGGATACATCTGGCCATTTTCATATCTTTGTTGGAGATTTGTCAAACGAGGTCAATGACGAAGTGCTCCTCCAAGCCTTTTCTGCCTTTGGTACCATCTCTGAGGCACGCGTCATGTGGGACATGAAGACTGGACGTTCGCGGGGCTACGGATTCGTTGCCTTCCGTGACCGAGCCGATGCTGAGAAGGCTTTGAGTTCCATGGATGGAGAGTGGCTCGGGTCTCGTGCCATCCGTTGCAACTGGGCAAACCAGAAGGGGCAGCCTTCGATTGCCCAGCAGCAGGCGATGGTCGCCATGGGCATGACCCCTACAACTCCTTATGGACACCACCACTTCCCCACGCACGGCATTCAGAGCTACGATATGATTGTCGGCCAGACGCCTGCATGGCAAACCACTTGCTACGTCGGAAATCTGACACCTTACACGACCCAGAACGATCTCGTCCCCCTATTCTCGAACTTCGGCTACGTGCAAGAGTCAAGGATGCAAGCGGACCGAGGTTTTGCCTTCATCAAGATGGATTCTCACGAAAATGCTGCCATGGCCATCTGCCAGCTCAACGGCTATCAGGTCAATGGCCGGCCCTTGAAGTGCAGTGTGAGTTGAAAGCTTCCAAAATGCATTGGGATATATATGCTAACAGCACTTAGTGGGGCAAGGACAAGACTCCGACCTCAGCGACTCCTGGTGGCTTTGATCCATCTCAGCAGGCTTATAGCCCTCAGAGCGCTCACGCACCTTCGGGCTATCCCGGCACCCCTTCCACCTACTTCCCCCAGTATGGTGGTGAGTAAACTCCTTCCTTTCACACGCCAGAAGCTAAACAGTCGCAGGTCAATACGGTACCCCTGTTGCACAGCAACAACCTTATGCTGGCGCACCCGCCCAGTCTCCTGCAGCCTACAACCCTCAGCAGATGGGCTATGCTGGTCCGCCCAGTGCCGGAGGCTACGGCCGTGGTCAACAAGCACCAAACCAGCAGTGGACCTCGCCTCCTCCTGGCCAAAACTTCAACAACGGATACCCTGGTTACCAAGGTTAGGAAGTTGGTGATGTTTGAGTTTACTCTTCGTTCGCTTCTTGGTGCATTCCACTTTGAGAAATAAGGATTTGGATGTAGGAAAAGGCCAGAGATATGATGTTCAATGTGCCAACGACATCCTCGACAATTTCTGACGACTCGCAAAATGCATTGTGCAAAGGCTAAATGTGATGGAATCGGGTAAAGACTGTGGAAATCTCTTTTTCTAGCTTCGTATTTCATCTTTGATTTCGTATCTCTCTATCTCCTTCTCGGCAGCGTTGCTTTTGACCTGAACCCTGAGAAAGAAAAAGTTGGGCCTGTCTATCGTTCTTCCTATCTGATACCTCTCAGCATGTGTGGGACACAGCTGACACGATGTTACGTCAAAATCTTTCCTCTCTGATCTGCATTATCAGTTTATCTATTGTCGAGCCATAGCGAGGTTCTGTGAATTAGCATGAAGGATATCTAAACGGGGGCGACATGGAATTTCGTGGGTTTGTATATGTGATGCAGACCACCGGTGAATCGCCTTTCTAGAGAGAGAAAGGACGGCACATATAAATGAAGAAAACATAAGAAAACACCGGTTATGCAACAAATCGATGGTGATCCGGAGACACGAAATTCTCACAAGCTGAAAGCTATCCATCCAATTGATACCTCCTGGTGGAATTTCTACACGGCACTATTGCCGCTCCCAGCATTGGGCCTTAAACCGCAAAATCATACGGATCCATAGTCGAGACAAGACAAACAGGGGTAAGAGAGGGGTTGGCTTAAGCGACCCTTACTACCCCATGAATAGTTTCCACTGGCCGTTGGCGTCATTGGGCTTCGAGATCTGGCATCTCACAAAATCCTGATTGGGCGAAGATTGCATAGGATGCTCATGCCCAACGAGCTTGTTTTCAATGCGTTGATTGATAGACTTTGACCGATTGTATGTTGGGTTGGCATATGGTAGCGAATACCTCATATGTGAGAACTGTGATGTTGTACACAGGCACTGCAGTATAACTTGGAATGAGCGGTGCGATGAGAGCTTGGTTATTTGGATTATCAAGTGCCTGAGCAATCTGAGTCTGCGTACATGCCTGCTGGAAGAACGAGCAATCATACCTTCAGAGTTTGCTTGATTCAGATTCTGCTAACAATAAGCATGATCTTCGGCATGTTTATGCGGTTGTTCTTGGGTCTATCGAATTCAAAACTTTATCGAATCGGGCAAAGAGGAAAAGGTTCGGATGCTTGCATACCCATCCAGTAGACATCAATGACAGCTTTTGCTGAAGTGTCGAACTATGATCCCCTTCTCTAGACGAGTCTCGCTGCTCCCATACTAGCACTTCCAAACTTGGAAGGCACACGAGCAATTATTGGACCTCAGCCAGCTGCTAACGATACATAGATATATATATATATATATTTGCTTATTGGATACTCAGAATTATGTAATATGAGAACCTCATTGACCTCATCATAATTTATTATCTATTTATTTTCAAGCCAGGAAATTTCCAAATTGTCAAGAGCGATCAAAGTTGGGCCGCGTGAAGGTTAAAAGGCAATTTTAGGGGAAAGATGGCTGCCAATTGGCTGCTGGTCTGGGTTAAGTTAGCCCAATCCTCATGTTCCTCTTTCTTACACCTGTACCATGTTTTGCAAGATGCAGGATGCAGGCGCCGTCATTTGTGCTTATGAAGTAAATTTTGTGATTGTCCAAAGACGCGATATCTTCCTGGAATTGTACTAGCAAAACGTGACTGCATGCTTCATATATCTAATTAAAGAAGCGCGTTGCAACCAGGGGATTCTACTTGGACCTATTCATCATTGGAACGCCCCCCACAGTCACTGGGTCGACGGCTCCAAATTCCCCTCCATCTGCCGCCATTGATCGTCTCTCGCTCTCTCGCTCCTGCTCCCTGCTAACTCCTCCCACGACTTGGACCATTGAGAGGTCAGCCAGCAGCCAAGTACAGAGCAGACAGAGTAGCCCGACCTGGGTGCAAGAACCCCGACCTGAACCTGAACCTGAACCTGAACCTGAACCTGAACTCGAACCTGACCCTGAACCCGGGCCAAAAACTAACTTGGGCCTGTCCTGACCTGACGTAGGTTGGTGCAAGGTATTATCACACACATCAACTCCCTCAATCACACCTTTTCGAAACGGGGACAGCTTTACCTTTTGGTATGGTATCGTAATTACATTTTCTGATCATGAATTCCTAATTCAATACTATACTTGCCCCATACCATTTTCTTTTTGGGCTCCCCATTTGCGGTCTTGTCCATCTCGAGTCCCGTCTCTCCGCACCACATACGGCCACGGCACGGCACATTTAGTCAGTCGCCAAAAACTGAAGCTGGACTTGGACCCAACTTGAACCTAGCCGGCCAAGCGAGCTCTTGTACTCTTCTCGCACCTGGCCTAACGCGCGTCTGACGGACAGACACAGAAGCGCCAACAGCAATTCTCCTTGATTCAATCATTCATTGATTGATTGATTCATTCATTCATTCCCCGGCAAACCAATCTCCTACGAAAACGATATCTGCCCTCCTCAAGCTCTCGGCAAACAGCAAACTTCCGTCATTACCATTACCCACCCCCTCACATCACGTATATCCCCTCGTCCACAATCCATCGGCCTTTAGCGACCATGGATCAATGGCAGGGCTACTCAGATGCCACCGGCGGTCCGCAACGAAGATACAACGGCAATGGCCAGCAGGAGTATAACGTCAGTCGCCAGAACAGCCAGCTCCAGCATTCTCCTGGTGCCTTGCGATATGATCAGTATGGCAATGTGACGCATTCTAGCGCGACCTCGCCCTTGTCCACCCCGCAACTGCGCGATAACAATGGTGATATCCCCATGGCTGATGCTCATGATGCTTACGGCTCCATGAAGTACCCAATGCGACCGCATCACCAGTCGCACCATTCTGGCGGTCGTCCTCCCGCCATGAACCTGCCATCAGAACCATCTGCCGCCGCACAACGATACTCACCCATGGAGGTGCTGCCACCAACCTCTCCATACAATTCCAAGTCTGCGACTGGTCAATTCTCGCCCCATCGACAGTCACCAACGCGCGCCAACAGCAATCACGACTATTCATCGAGCCCTTATTACGGCAATAGCAGGCAAGGATCACAGCTCCCTACCATTAATCCCTACGGCAACAATGGCCAGGACAGCCAGCCGAACTCGGCTGTATCGCCATTCGATGGCGCGACTAACGATCCCAAGTCGCCGCAAAGACGAACATACCCGGCAGAGAAAAAGCCCGTACCTGAGTTCAAGAAGATAAGGGCTCCTAACGATTTGAGACCCAAGGTCAATGCCCAGCCCGCGTTCCGCAGAGCTGACCCTGAGGGAGGATTCATCAGTGTAGGTTCGCTATTAGACGGCCAGGAATGTCCTATCACTGACGTTTCGGAAATCCTAGCCTCTCAAAGCGCTCACAACGCAACTCCCCTCCACTTACCGAATCTGCAATCCTAGCTTCAAATATGAATCATCTCGAAACCCACGCCGAGTGCTCACAAAGCCGAGCAAAGGAACCAAGAACGACGGGTATGATAACGAGGATAGCGACTATATCCTATATGTGAACGATATTCTAGGATCCGAGGAAGCAGGCCACAAGTATGAATATTTTCCCTTCTCGCCTTCAAGCAATGACACTAATTTTCCTCCACAGAAACCGTTACCTCATTCTTGACGTACTAGGCCAAGGTACCTTCGGTCAGGTTGTCAAGTGCCAAAATCTCAAGACTCAGGAAGTTGTGGCTGTCAAGGTTATCAAAAACCGCACGGCATATTTCAACCAAAGTATGATGGAGGTGTCGGTCCTCGATCTGTTGAATACGAAACTTGACAAGAACGACGACCATCATTTACTTCGACTGAAGGACACCTTCATTCACAGGCAACATCTGTGCCTGGTGTTTGAACTCCTCAGCGTCAATTTGTACGAGCTGATCAAGCAGAATCAGTTCCGAGGTCTCAGCACTACCTTGGTTCGAGTATTTGCGCAGCAGCTCTTGAACGGCTTGGCCCTACTAAACAAAGCCCGTCTCATTCACTGCGATCTCAAGCCTGAGAACATTCTACTGAAGAATCTCGAGAGTCCGATCATCAAGATTATTGATTTTGGTTCGGCATGTGATGAGCGCCAGACTGTTTACACCTATATCCAATCCAGATTCTACAGATCGCCCGAGGTGCTTTTGGGTCTCCCCTACTCGTCAGCAATCGACATGTGGTCGCTCGGCTGTATTGTGGTTGAGCTTTTTCTTGGATTGCCCTTATTCCCAGGATCGTCAGAATACAACCAGGTTTCAAGAATTGTCGAAATGCTTGGAACCCCACCAAACTGGATGATTGAGGTCGGTAAACAAGCAGGTGATTTCTTCGAGAAACGACAAGACGAGTTCGGGCGTAAGACATACCATTTGAAGAGTATGGAACAGTACTCGCGAGAGCGCAATACGAAAGAGCAGCCCAGCAAAAAGTACTTCCAGGCGAACACGTTGCCAGAGATCATCAAGTCATATCCCATGCCGCGTAAGAACATGAAACAGAGTGAAATCGACAGAGGTATGTGCTCACGTCGTCTACTGGTCGGAATCTTCAAACTAACACTTCCCCTAGAAATGAACAATCGCATTGCGTTCATCGATTTCGTTAGGGGCTTGTTGACTATCAGCCCTCTGGAGAGATGGTCTCCACAGCAAGCGAAACTGCACCCTTTCATCACGCAGCAGAAGTTCACTGGGCCGTTTGTACCCCCAATGAACCTCAAGGCGAGCTCTCTTAATCGGACACCCGCCCCCGGAACTCAACAACAGCAGCAAGCTGCCGAACTTAGCAAGCAAAGGGCACAAGCAGCACAAGCTCAGGCGCAAGCTGCGGCACAGGGTGCCTATGGCATGCAACAACCAGGGTATCCCCAGTCGCCACATGGACAACCGCCGATGTATCCTACCAACAACAACAATACCAACAACATATACTCACCGGGTGGTTCACACGTCGCCGCGGGGTACGGCACACCTCAGCAAGCCCCATACGGGCAAATGCCTATGGGTCAAGTGCCGGCCCAAATGCCGCCAGCTAATTATGCCGGTGTTCAGCCACAGCCAAACCTTTACCAGCAAGCCACGGTTCGCGCTGGCCGGCAGCGGGCTTCGACTATGGATCAGCAGCAGAACGGTATTCCAGCGACGATACAACGAGTGGCTAGTCACCTCGACCCGAACCAGCCTATTCGCCTGCAACCAAGTCCAGCTTACTACCCACCGCCAGCTGACGGTCTCGGTTTACCTGATCCTAACTCTGGCAGGATTACCGGCAGGAGAGATAGCAGATCTCAGCGGGGCGGTGCTAGAGGAAACCTTATTCGTAACCTAGAGGAGAGGACATTGGAGGAAGGGTTCATGGGAAGTGGCCAAAGCCCATGGCACTGAAGAGCTGAATCACCAGATGACCGACGGAAATTTCGAGACCTAAGCACTTCTTCATTGTCACATTCTGATAAGTAATCAAGCTCACAACGGCCGGGTATGAGGTGAAGTGAGTGATCGAGAACATGCCTAGGAAAGCATGCGCTCTTGTTTGCTGCAAACCGTCGTCTTTGTGTCCTGCGCGTGGATTATCTTTACTTGTCGCCAAGCACCAAGGAATGTTACAGAGCTCTTCTGTGAAACGAGCAACATGAACTACTACTACATGCCCTATCGACAAACGTGGCCGAGAAGTCGGTCAGCTTTTCGTCGTGAGCTTTTAGCATTGAAGCTTGGTCTGTACCAACACAGCTTGATGCAAATTTCCACGACACCTGAGTAGGGAGAGGTGGAGGAGAAGTTGGGGTCAAATCTGGCGGCCCTTGATGTTGCCTTTTTGGCTAGTAGTGCCTTGATACACGGCCGGAACAATGATGTTCAACTCAACATCCGAGAGCACATTGAAACGCGGCAAATTGAGGACGGCGCGAACGGTTGCTCTTGGCATATTTTCAACACTTGATTTTCTATACAGTAGGTGATCCTGGTAATGCTTGGCTTCCTGTCAGGCAATTGCTCGATGGGGGAGAAGCTTGCCGGTCATGGTTTAACACGGGCTGTTCGGATGTGGTGGGAAAGGGTAAGATGACTTGGCCGAGATTCATGAGCATGAGCATTGCATCACGTGGTAAGATAAAAAGCTTCGATACCTAGATGCAGACATGGAAGGCGGTATATGCCGTTTTCACTGCCTTCATGGACTGGAACAGATTGCGCTGCTGAGGAGGCTATTATGGACAGTTTTCATCCTCTCAACGAGTGCTGCAATGGACGTTGGAGAAGCCCTATCAGATAGGAATATACCCGTGCAAGCTCCATCTGTCCCCTACTGCAGGTCCTGGAAGAGAACGTATTCAGAACGGTTATGCAATTTAGGAGTTTTCGAGCTTGGTATGAGTTGCGCATTTAATGTTTGTAGACCAGTAAGAGTTCGGGCACGCGAGGGACTTCACGAGATAGGTGCATTAAGACTTCTTTGATCGCAATTCGACAAGGGAGAATTCTGATGTCGCCTACCAGCCGCACAACCCATTATCATCAAATTCCATCGTACTGCCGTATGAACGGATTGAGCTTTGTAATATCATGAGGGCAGTTCGTTCCCATTTTCCCGGATCGTCAAAGTGCCGTTGCATATTGACATTCACTTGCGTGTAATCCTCCGGGGTTTGTGTCGATCCCATGCGCTTTACTCTACCACTGCATTACACCATAGACACCGAAACAAGATGCTGTTGTTTCTCAAGCAGTTCTATGGAGGCTGGTTGCTCAAAGACTTGAGGTAAGTTTCCTCAAGAATAGGCAAGTCTATAAGTTCTAAGAAAGCAAGACTCGGGAATGCGAAGGAAAATTCATGGAAGGAAAACAAAAACATTTCAGGTCATCATGGAGATAACGTGCTCGTAGATTCATCAATACACTATTAGTCAGTATATGGCGGTTCAGACGCATGCTCAGCGGGACCCGTTCGCCCTCAATCCAGTGATAACCACTGGCACAAAACGCCCCAACTCCCATCTTATGCATCAACTTGGGAACAAGAAAAGCCAAACACTCTAGGTCTTCGGCAAGAAGACCTACTCTACCGCCCACCTCGACCGCGGTTGTTCTGGAAACCTCTGCCTCTGCGGTTGCCATTGCCGCCTCTGTTCATCAGCGAATCGCTGTAGAGGCCGCCGCCGTTGCTGACGTTGCTGTTATATCCTTGATCTGAATCCACAAGCTCATCAAATCCATTTGTACCATCCACTACGACATTGCCAGCGGATCTTGTTTCATTGGCTCGAACACGGGGTGCAGGTGCTGCTGGGACATGGCTGCCATCAGCTGGCTTGTGGTAGACGTAAAGTAGGCGTCCATCGGCCTAAATAAGCTGGTCAGCATATTGTTTCGCCATTATCACCCGAATGAGATAGACTGGGAGACAGGATGGGATAGGAAGAGATCATCCAAGCCTGTCACTTAGCAGTGCAGCTGATCCCACCTTGCTCCATAGGTGTCCCCATCTTTGCTTCCCGTTTATGACATACCGTTTGATTGTTGAAGGTTTCAATCACCCGATCGGCCCCCTCTTTGCTCTCAAAGACAACTTCGGCGATGACGATTGGCTGAGACTTGAGCAAGCGACAGCTCTGAACGATACCACCGATGGGGGTCATGGCGCTTTCGATGTCTGCTGCTGTGGTGCCGGGTGCAAAGTTCTGGGCCCTGATGGCGAACGGTCCGGCGAGTCCACGGATCGTGATACCCCGTGGCTGTGTCGGTGGTGCCTGTGTGATGTTCATCTGTGCGCCTGAGGTCCGCGACACGGCACTGGCTAGCCTGACTGCACGACCACCTGCGCGAGGGCCAGTAGGAATGGCCCTCGCGGCGGCTGGTCTTGCACCAGGGGCATGTATCCTCGCTGCTAGCGAACCAGCCCTGGGCGCTGCCTGTTGGTTGTTCTGCGCGCGCAGGTTCGGGGTCGAGCGGGTGCCGTGTAGATCGTGGGCCCATCCGGCATTGATGTCGCCTGGGGGGATGCGTGGCGCAGATGAGGTGGACTGCCGCTTCTTCACTCCGACCCTGCTTGCCAAGGAACCGCCGGCGGCGGCCCTGCCTGGTGTGCTGGAGCGGCGGTTGTCCTTGGTGCCGAAGATCTTGGCTGCGAGGGCTTCGTTCTTCTTCCGCTCGCGTCCCTCATTGATGATCTTGTTAAAGTCGGAGGCGATTTTCCCCATGATGTCTGCTGCTCAGATGCCTGACTGAGGCAAATATCGCGGGTTCAGAGGAGTGTTGGAGTGGAAGAATGAGACGACAAGATAGACGATGGTTGCGACACGAGGCTGTGTTGAGCTGTACGGAATATTACAGTACATAGGTTACTAGGTATGCATATCCCTTATTTGATTACGCTTTCTCCGATATGGATGGGGGCGCGAAAAGGTACATGTCATGTACAGATACAGCCACGGATACGGCTTGATTGGGATTACTAGCGCGTCTTCTAGGGGTTCGTTCGCCCAAGCTCCTGCTACGGAGTCGGAGTACTGTACAATGTAACTTCAACGTCAATTCGATGTGAGCAGCATGCACGGCCACAGTCCGACAGTCCACGTCGGGACTAGCCTCGGATGGGCGCGTTGCACCAGCCACAACTGAGGAGAGTGGAACTTCAGATTTGTGTGCCTCAGGCCGCTAGGGTCGCTCAGGAGGAACCCCACTTTCCAAACCAGCCCAAACCAATCACTAACTGGGAAGCCATTTCCCACAAACTCGACTGCACTTGCTGGAAAATCCGCAATTTTCCGGTGGGTTGACTTTTGAGGTTTGAAATCTTTCCATTCCCATCTATCACGACTAACCTCAACAGCACAACAAGTCACGCCCAAATAGACCGTCAAAATGGGTCGCGTGGTATGTAACATCGTCCATCACAGCGATTGCTTTCGACAACTGCTAATGCCATCGATAGATTCGTAACCAGAGAAAGGGTCAAGGAGGTATCTTCTGTAAGTCATCACCATGAAAAACATCCACTCGGTCGGAAAGATTAGACAACGCTCTCTATCCCGGAACCGAATTCCACCAGCCACTACGCAGGCAGTTGGGACAGCAAGAGATGAGGCACGGGCGAAAGAAGCAACGAAAGAAGCGGATGCAACACCTACAGAGCAATATCTCGGGTCACGACAAGACGAAGAAAACCTGGTTTGCAGAGCAGATAACTAATTTGCTCTCTTCTCACAGCCTCCAACAGCCACTTGCGCAAGGCCCCTGCCAAGTTCCGATCCCTCGATTTCGCCGAGCGTCATGGTTACGTCCGCGGTATCGTGAAGGACATCGTCCACGACGCCGGTCGCGGTGCTCCCCTCGCCAAGGTCGCTTTCCGATCCCCCTACAAGTTCAAGCAGATCACCGAGACCTTCATCGCCAACGAGGGCATGTACACGGGCCAGTTCATCTACGCCGGAAAGAACTCTGCTCTGACCGTCGGCAACATCCTCCCTCTCAGCTCCATGCCCGAGGGTACCGTTGTCTCCAACGTCGAGGAGAAGGTTGGTGACCGTGGTGCGCTCGCCCGTACCTCCGGCAACTACATCACCATCATCGGCCACAACCTCGATGATGGCAAGACCCGCATCAAGCTCCCCTCCGGTGCCAAGAAGGTCGTCTCCAGCTCCGCTCGTGGTATGGTCGGTATTGTCGCTGGTGGTGGCAGAACCGACAAGCCCCTCCTTAAGGCCTCGCGTGCCAAGCACAAGTTCGCTGTCAAGCGTAACAGCTGGCCCAAGACTCGTGGTGTTGCCATGAACCCCGTGGACCATCCTCACGGTGGTGTATGTTTTCTCCCGTATCCTCTTTTTTTTCTTCTCGTTCTTGACGACAATCTTTGCTGACATATGTGCCTCGTAGGGTAACCATCAACATATTGGTAAGGCATCTACCATCTCGAGATACGCTGCACAGGGTCAAAAGGCTGGTCTTATTGCCGCCAGAAGAACTGGTCTTCTGCGTGGTACCCAGAAGACAAAGGACTAAGGGAAATGAAAATCTCCAAAGCATGCACATTTGGTGGTTCTATATCACAATGGGTTCGGAGTTTGCTTCGTTACTTCTTTGCATCTGTAGGTACAGGTTTGAGCTAGGCATGAGAAAAGGGCTCAATGGGATGTACCCGGTCAAGACAAATTTATTCTGATGACACATGCAACTCATCTGCTTCGCGATGTGATGTCGAGGGAACTCATGGACATGAGCGGCTACATTTGATGTACACGACACTTGTCATGGCGAATTACTGGCCAACCCTGACTACGAAGTTTACGATAATTTCGACGAGCGTTGGTATTGAATTTACGAAGTGCGGGCGACAGCTACTCACTCTCATGATAATTGCGCGAGGCCTTCCATGATGCGATGCGGTGATGATATATCTTCTCCAAGATTACGACCTGTACTTGTTTGCGGCCCAGTGGCAGACGCGAAGGGCTGCTCTCCCTCTCCCATACCAACCTGTGGCACGCTAATCCAAAGCCTCAACTCACGTCATGAGAAGCCGGCTGACACAATATAATCATCACTGACCATGGATGGTGCAATGTCTCTCCGTGCAAATGTTGACACTCGTAAACTCTTGTTTTTACCATTTGCGATGCTGTACTTGACACCACGTGATAATCACCAGATGTCGCATACTACCAGTAGGTGCGTATGATCTGATTTGACTTTTGACGTAATGCCGTCTGGCACGAGCCATATATGGCACCTCGAGGTTGCAGCAAGCCTCTAAGTTCCAGTGCCAACCGTTATCACAACAGACGACAACGCAGTATCAAATGCAAACGAAAAAGGATAGGCGAACATGGCAAACTTCCAGGCCGCAGCTTCACTGAGAGGTCTCGGTAGGACGGTCACGTCGTCTGTCCCTAGCATCAAGTGCCGGCCATTTGTCACCCAAGCCAGCCCCACAATGACCTTGAGGACGAGGACGACGAGCTGGACGACGAGCTGGACGACCCCGAAAGCGAACCCCACCATCCTCCTCTCTCACAAATTCTCACCCCGCCATCCCATCTTACATCCATCAACAACACCGTCCCCATATCATACCGTCAGATCACATATCACAATGGCCGGCCACAAGGAATTCGCTCTTCTCTGCTTGGAGAACCCTCTGCTTGGTAAGTAGGCGCACCGTCTCCATTGATGTACAGTAATGCGCTCGGAAATCCTTGATTGATGGAGGGGTAGAACCCGGCGTTGTCAAGCGGCAGAAAGATCCCGTCTCCTGGGGCCCCTCTTGAGACCGACCTGCTCTACAACAATGCTTTCAGCGCACCGTACTAATCTGCCCCTTGTAGATATCCAAGCAGTCGGTGACAAGGCTCTCCTGGACAAGTACGGTCTCAAGGACAACGATGCCATCCTGGCCGAGGAGAAGCACGCCGCCCTCTACGAGGACCTCCTGAACAACTACGACGCCAAGCTGATCGCCGGTGGTGCCGCCCAGAACACCGCTCGTGGTGCTCAGTACATCCTCCCCGAGAACAGCGTTGTCTACTTGGGTGGTGTTGGCGACGACAAGTACGCCGCTACTCTTCGTGATGCCGTCAAGCAGGTCGGTCTCAGAGTCGAGTACCGAATCGACCCCAAGGTCCCCACTGGACGATGCGGTGTTGTCATCACTGGCCACAACCGAAGTTTGTGCACAGATCTCGGTGCTGCCAACCACTACGATCTCGAGCACTTGAAGAGGGACGACATCTGGAAGCTCGTCGAGGGTGCTGAGTTCTACTATGTCGGTGGTTACCACTTCACCGGTATGTTTTCTTCTCCCCCCCCCCCCCAGTCCTCCGCACCTTTCCTGTACTTACACCATCATCAGTCTGCCCTGCTGCCATTCAGGCCCTTGGTAAGGAGGCCGCCGCCAACAACAAGGTCTTCGTTGTCAACGTCTCCGCGCCCTTCATCGCTCAGTTCTTCAAGGACCCTCTCGACGAGTCCTCCAAGTACTGGGACTACGTCATCTGCAACGAGAGCGAGGCGGCCGCATACGCCCAATCGCACAACCTGTCCGTCTCCGAGACCGACCTTCCTGCTATCGCCAAGCACCTCGCCAACCTGCCTAAGGAGAACAGCAAGCGTCCCCGTATTGCCGTCATCACCCACGGTACCGAGCCCACCATTGTCGCCCAGCAGGGTAGCGATGAGGTCAAGAGCTACCCCGTCCACGCCATTGGTGCTGATCAGATTAACGACACCAACGGCGCCGGTGATGCTTTCGCTGGCGGTTTTGTTGCCGGTCTAGTCCAGGGCAAGAGCCTGGATGAGGCAGTCGACTTGGGTCAATGGTTGGCTCGTCTAAGCATTCAGGAGTTGGGTCCCTCCTACCCTTTCCCCAAGCAGTCCTACACCAAGGCATAGAGTTATTTGTGTATACTCCATGAAGCCGCCTCGGAATTGGCGGCCGGCTGGCTCTCGATGAGCCCGTCGAGATTCGATGCAACCATGATGATTTATGACGTCGCCGCACGTCAATATCAACAGAGAGTTGCATTAGACAGACTTGCGTAGCTTCGAGATGATATCGAAAGCTCTTCAACATAGCGACAATGGTTGGTTTTTTCCACAACAAGTGCAACGGCGTTTTGAGATGGCAAAAGGGCTTCAACACCAGGGCATTACATCACACACTTGGACTATCCGAGTGGCTTCCAGCAATCATGGCATTAGATCATGCGAAATCATTATATATTCTGTATTGTCACAGTTCACCATTGACGTGACTCCTGCCTGCCATCATCAGAAATTCTGTAAGGTAAAGTGTGAGTACACGTGTATCAAATCGGTCTCTATTTGATGCAAGTAAGGCATCCAAGGATATGTCCAAACTTGAGCCATCTACACTGATAGAGACGTGTCAGGTGCTAAACCTTCCACCTCGCTTCACTATCGTTTATCAAGCACCACCTTTTAGGTGTAGTGTATTGCAACAGCTCAAGACCATCTCTAAGCTGGTGGGCTTTCTCATTTCCATCACCTTTTAATATTGTTACGCGTTCGAAGCACAGCCAGATGCCTCACATATACTGTATTTTTATGTATACGTCGCATATATTATACATATATTCAGGCCTAGACTAGGGCGGAACTCTTCCCGTCCTTTCAAACTCCCCTAGACTAACATGAATTCTCACCAATTAAAAAAAACCCCCCATTTGTGGAAATACTTACCATCGCGTGTGCGATTTATGGTTACTTATGTTCCACAAATGCGCTAGTGTCTAGGTACCTACGAAGAGAAAATCCCTACTCTCCCGAACCTTGCCACCAAGAACGGGGTAGGGACGTATCTTAATGCGGTTCTGCTTTGTTTACCTAGTAACAAACTCCATACTCAGGGGAAGAAGTACTCGGTCAGATCTCACAGCATTTGCAGCTACTACTTGTACATCATCTCCGTTCTTACGATATGCTATTGGCCAGTGGCGAAAAGGCCTGGGACCACTGCATAGTATTGCATTCGGTTCGGCCAAGGATAATCGAACATGATCCTTGCGGAAATTATGATCGCTCGTGTTAGTGTCGTTCTGAGTATGTGCAAGAGACACAGCCTTGCCAGCCATATTCACATAGCTTCGCGACTCCACCGGTATGATCGCAAGTGATGTTATTCTTCTGAAATTACGACTCATGGTATGTTACCGCTATATTCAATGATATATCTCCATTGACGTCGTTCAACCGGTCGTTTCAAATCAGGCCACTAGTATTTCAATGGTTGCAAAATGGCTCTCGAACCAGGTTAGATTGCATCTATTGTCATATCGATTGTTGCCTTGGTTGTATCGGCTACAGTTCTCATCTCCAGTATCCTACAGCTCGTTCATTCTTACTTGAATTCGACCAAAGGGTACTCAAATGTGGACGAACAGGTGGTGCCAGGTTGGCATGAATACAAGGAACGACCATTTCAACAGGACTGATTCCGGTTCTCTGTGAAATACTATACACCAGTATTTATTGTCTGTGCAGTTAGATAATGATAAATATACTATGTCAGGCGAGGAACAGGATGTTATTGCAGACGACAGCGGCCGAAGAAAGGCCAACCTCATACCACCCATTCCGTTCCCCAGAACCCACAAAGACGACCGTAAGAGAACTTCGACGACCAATTACGGGCTCAGCCGCGAAACTCCGGGCAGAATTCAGATGGCAAACCTCAGAACTGAGCAAGAGGACGATGACGAAAACGGTACGTATGGCGCTCTTATGGGAGTCGTTCATACAGTCAACAATAAGCAAGCATCTTAGGTGTTCTTGATGTTCGCTTTGTAGGCAATGGGATTTGTAGTCGTGACTGGCAGACGCAACAGTAAAAGAACGCACCTGTTACAAAGTATACCATCTCCCCCTGCATTTCCAACTCATTCACTAGCGGCGGTTTTCTACCGACATAAAAGAAACTAGGACAATATGCCGTCCTGCATCATGAAACTGTACGGGACAACTACCATGTGCCATATTCTCGAGATAGCCGTCATGCTGGGCTTACATTGAAGACAGTTTAGTCGTGCAGATGGCCATTTCTTTGCAGAAGGAAACGGCTATGCCTTGGAGTCTACCAGCTTCTCCGAACTAGGAATAGTCTTCATATTTTAAACCTACAGCAGCAGCAAGTTTGGCGCAAACCACATTATTCCCATCGATGAATTGAAGGACTTCGCGTTGGGTTTCGTCCCGACAATGTTCCTCCAGAACGACGTCAAGAGCCAGAGGCGCTTGGAATTTCCTCAAGATGAATCTAGAGATCTGCAGTTTCTGCGACTGGGCAGCAAGAATGAACTGCCCAAAACTCTGGTATCCGTGAGCTGTAACACGCAGATCTGAAACTGGATCCGTAACGACGATGCAGGCCACGGTTACCTTTATCCTTGTAAATAAACAAAAAGCACAAACAAGTCGCCAACCATGACACCGGCCTGGCTGATAATTGTGTCTGAGCGATAAGAGGGCAGGGCAGACAAGCTTATGAATGTTTACTTCGGTCGAGTTCTCCCCAAGATTCAAGAATCCCAAACCAACTTGGAAATGCCCAGCCCTCCTCTCGCGGAATAAAACCAGGATATGGTGCACGCTGGTGTTCCGCAGCTTTTGCTGGCTGTCGCTTCACGATTTTCATAAAATTGACAGGCAGGTGCACAAGAAGAGCGAGTTGATGGGTAACAGGCTCCTTGAAGTCCTAGGTAGCTTCACCGGGTTGTATCCCTTCTGGATATTTGCTGCTGTTACTCGTCCGCCAGTTACGGCTGAATGCTTCATCTAGTTATTTACAGAAGTCAAATGAAATAATGGCAATTGACATACTTCTTTAACCTGTCCAGAAGGCATTGCGGGACAACCCTGGGTTATCTTTACAAGTGGCTATCGATGAAAAGGTAACTCGCAACGTCAAAGTCCTGTAGGTATGTTACGATAGATGTTATCGTTTGATGGTTTGGTTTACGTAAGGATATATCGGATCAGAAGCTTCCGTACTGATAATTTTGGTGTTCACATATATTACTACCGTAGTAAATGATATAACACCGAGTAAGTGGAATGACCATTGGTTGGAACACACAAGGTAGCACTAGTAAAATCTAGTCTCTTCGTCTAATCAGATTGAGAGACTACCGGCTACATTAAGGTTGATCGTTGAATGGACCTCGTAAGGTATGTACATTCCTCGTTTCATACTAAGCCAATCACGATCTATATTTTTCCGATCCAAATAATCGCCTGTAATTTCCCACTCTGAAATCATCGTGTGAGATGGATCGGTGACTCAGGACTAAACCTCAACACTCACTGCCTAGACACTCGTCACTTCACTATTAAAAGCCTTAACCCCTTTCGTCTCGAGTCACAGATCCATCTCACATGATGATAGGGCCATATTCAGTTATTCTATATGTACGTTTTGTTTTTCCACTTTCATCTTCTTCTGGCTTTTACCATAGCCAAGATAGCAATTGATTTCTTGATAAAAAGAATTCGGCTTGCTCCTTACAACTTGCCATGAAGTCAATTGAAGTTTTTCTTCTCTTCTCTTGGTGATAATCAATAACCTTCGATGCAGTGGTGCCACCCGCAGTGGACGGTCCTTGTATACCGAGTAACGACGTCAATGGCATTGGCACGCACAAGAGTGAAATGCACGACCAGATCAGTGCATCCGAGTACACGATCAATAGCATTTAACGTACCGAGTCACTCAGACGAGCACCAAGGCCCAGGGTTGCGTTGATCATAGTGGCGTGGGTGCTCTGGAGATGATATGGTATTGTGTGATGTGGAAGAAGTCGGAGAGTTCATCAGACGTCACGGATCAATGATGTGCTAGCATCTTAGACATCAATTCGTCATCTACTTTGTGCGGCGGTCAAGTTCATAGGTTGTAAATCGTGCCTGATATCGCATATTGGGATACCAATGTTTATATTTCCGGTCTCAACGATCCTCGATGAACTATCTCAGCTAACGTTGACTTGGTGAGCATCTCACGGAGTTTGGCATAGACTCCTGTGGTACGGACTACTTTTTCAGGGGTTAGACTCAGATATCTTTCCCAATCGGCAATCACTGAGATAGCCAGACTCATAAGGAATGTCGCTATGTGAGCCAAATGATTGGCTGATGTAAAATATATTATCCGTTATTGGAGATGCTAGTGATGTTGAGATATTTTAGAAGAGAACTCGAACAATCCGGCTTCATGATAACTTGATATGAGAGTAATGTACGGTTCATTTCAACCAATATGAAGATTATGAGACCTAACGATTACACTTGAAGCGAAACTCTTCTAACTACGATATATATGTCGGTGTTAGTTCTACTACTATCGATTGATACCAATAATTTTACGCGGAATGAGATTCACCTAAAGACTTGCAGTTTGGTTTATGAAGAGGACACGAATTGTGTTTTAGGGGGGAATCAGTCATAAGTCAGTTGGGATTTCTCAGAGGTTGACTTGTCTTGCTTCGTATGAACTTGTTGATTCGAGTTGAAATGGTCGGATATTAGGTCGTATACTATTGACATACAAAGAGCACCATATGCGTTCTCATGTGTGCTTTAGTCGATGGAGATGAACCATTAACATTGTTTCATATCTAACTCTTCAACTCAGAGATATCAAATCTTGCAAAAAAAAAAAAACAACAACAACCATGAACTATAATACGGCTAGAGGGCTACACATGATTATTACAAGAATTTCGGCTCTTGTTTTACTCGTTATTACACTTCTAGTTCTGTACCCATTGGCTTTAAGGTCTGATTTTGTATGCAAAATTGCCATCCTGTGCTGACACTGAAATAAACGATCCGGCATTGTGGAGCATCATTTGGTCTACCATTGTACGTTGTTCGAAACAGAAGCACGCACATGCTTCGCCCTTGTTCTTATACTCCGTGGGCTTTTATGCAAAATAGCCCAATGTAATACGCTCTATGTATCTACAGTATCTCAACGCTGAAACTTGGTAGATACCCTTTAGCTTAGGGATTGTATTGGGGGGGGGGATTTTGAAGTCCCACGCTGGAATGTTTCATTGCGTTTTCAGGTGCGGTGTTATCATCGTCTAAGCGAGCTGAGTGCATGGTCTCTTGCTACGAGTCTTATCATCGTACAGCTTCTTCAATGCCTACATGCTCCTAATGAGCCTATATGATACCATGCCCTTTGAGTTCTATCACTGGTCGTACTAAAACTTTAGATCTAAGATAGGTTGAGCCAGGCCAATGAGGACTGGAGTGTGTTATTTTGGAAGGTTGATTGGATGTTTGGCTAGCAGCTATCTTCCAGTTACACAAGAACCTCTATTGATATACACACCCCATAGCTGATGCATTGGTCGCGTCACACTGCATAGAGGGGAACTTCAGTTTTGCGCAACCATGCGAGGTGGGAGCACCTACGACAGTCTTATAGCACGATATCAGATGAGCGAAGCCTCCTCGGAATTGGGTCGTTTTCTCAGTATTGCTGGTATACGGACGCTTGTTTGAACATCACTGGGGGTGTCTCTGTATGATGCGGATAATAATAGTTGTGGCCAAGCTCTCAAAGCGTTATATCATAAAGAAATCAATTTTTTTGTTTGTGCAATCTAAAACAAATTAATGACAACTTCGGAGAGCATTACTTCCAACGATATTGGCGACAGCAGCAGTTCAAGTCCTGCCAATTCACGAATGATGTTATTGATTCTTGATCACTATCTAAAAGGAAGTCACCAGGGAATGATTCTATCATGGGCTAGATAAAACCCTATATTCCATTCGGTTGGAAGTATGAGCTATTAGTCCGTCAGGTCACTTGGAGCAGAATTCATGGTATCATCTGGCTCGGAAAGGTCGATATGCTATTGTATGTTGTCTTGCAATCAAAATTATTCCTGTATCTTCTTTCCATCTCACCAATCTATCTTATCGGGTACACAACAGCTTCCGTGGTTGTTTGTCTCACTTGATTACAAACCCCTAGATAAAGTACAATCAAGGAGAATGGTTGTCACAACGGTAAGACTGCAGCTATCCATTACATTATTTGTCGGGTAAAGCCGGGTGTATTCAGGTCCTAGTAAGCATGATCGCAAAGAAAGAAGCGGCTGCATGTTCGTTTCGAAAGGTCTAACAGTCGAGTCAAGTTGCAAGCTGACAAGTCGCTAATTGGTATGCTCGATCATGCACCTTCACAGGCTTGGCACAGCATCTTCGACTAGTCATGGTGGTCGGTCGTGCCAATAAGCTTTCCGACGACTATGATAGCATTCGTGGACATGTTACAGGTCACAAAAGCAAGCAAGCAAGTGGTGGTGCGGCAGAGTTGCAGATTGCATGAGCGGTCAAGTCGCCAAACGCAAGTTGCAATTCCGTCGCAATAAACACCATGACCATTGATCTCCGAGAGTGAAGAGCACGAGGCGGTTCATTGGATCAGACTGAATCCCAGACATTGTGCGGTCAAGGGTCTCTAGGCCCGTGTTATCTTTAGCAACAAATGTTTCCCAGGAGCACATAATGTTTGCTTTAGAGTACGGATTCGTGACGTCAGCCCACAAGGTACTGAATTGATCCTGGAGCCGCAACATGCCAGAGCTGTTATTGGCCCCGTTGGCCCCCGAATTGCATTGATTACCATTAAAATCCGGGAGGAATGTTGATATCATGATGTACAGCCTGGAAGCCTTGTTGACAAGTTGCTGATATCATGAGTTGCATGACGCTGTGGGCGCAAGCCTGGCTGCGCCGCGAGATCTTCAACTCTTGAGGTCATGAGTAAGTAGAGCATACAAGGAGCAGCCAATTGTAAACCGCCTGTCATGAGCTAAATTCAGTGACAAATTGACTGTGGTTGAGTGCGGATCACGGCAGTATAGTTCTACGATCTCTGCGATCCGGTCAGCCGGGAACCTTCTGTGGTTTAGGAATATTGAAGTTAGCTGGGAGGCTCAGTCGCACAAGTCGTCTTGGCCATATCCGTACGTGCCGCGGACAATGTTGGAACGTGTCGCACAACCCCTCCTTTTTGCAAGGGCTACCTGCAAGCATCAGCGGATTGGCGAAACAGAAGACGTATTTTTAGTCAAGCACATGCGAATGGCCGCGACTGCAGGCGAGTATGCGCAGTATATAGCCAACCGGAAGATGAACAATTGAGAGAGCTGCAGTGTAGAGCTTATTGCATGCAAGCATGAAGCTATGCCCACGGATAGCTCTTCCAAGCTTGAGGTAGAGCAGCTAAGCTTTCCACCACATGTGGTACATGACGCGAGTCGAGCCTTGAGCCCCGAGCCTGAGGGTCGACACTGGAGAATCTGTCCCAAGCATTGTAACGTTGGCAGGATGACAGGATGATAGAGATATGCCCAGATGCATTGCCAAGTCATCGTTTCAGGGCTTCTGTACCTGTAGGTGTGGCATCTAACATTCAAACCCTTATGGAACAAAGCGGTGAAGTATCCTCAAAGGCAAGCTAGCCGTGGTAGTCGCCATGTGTAAGCGGGTAGATGCGTTCGGAACGGCTGCGGAAATGCTTCTGGCCAGACAATGGTCCTGGCACGTCTGACTATACCTCATCTATACCTCATGTATGCGTGCTTGATTTGGGCAATTTTACTGTTTGGAAATGCCTCATAGAGAAGGGAAAATGTAGAGCTCACGCCATGGTCTAGCTAGAACGAAGAAACAAGTAGATCCTTGATCAATATCGCGACAGGGCACCGGAAGTTTTTCGTGGACCGAGCAGATGGGATCGAGGAACCCGTGTACTCCGAGCCGTAGCTGTCTTCAAAACGGATACTTAGTGGAGCTGAAGTTTGTGTGAAATTGGATAGATATCCATTAACAAAAGCTTCGTTATTTAGTGTTCATTCGCTCTGTCGTATAATTCAGATGAGCATTGACTAGGCTTGTGCCTCATTCAGTGGTTCGTCGGATACACGTTCCTATTAGCAACGATTAAGCCGTGCATAGATGTACCTGGTTAGCCGCACGTGCACATATTGATTCATACTATGTATGCGTAAGGGATTCGCTCGCAACATGACGAATCTATGTAGAATCACAACTGTCAAGCCTAAACAGATAGTTGTCAGGGCAGCTTGAGCGCAGAAAGTCATTGAAAGGGATCATGCGACACTAAGATGCAAAAGTGGCATCACGTTTCGTGACGCTTTCTTTGTGGCCTGAGTCAGATGACCGATGGAAGATCGTCATAAGGCTGGCTTGATCCACGATCACTACAGAGCCGCAAAGAATTTTGATAATGCTTCAAAGTAAATCACATCACACGACAACGCAACCCCCCGGAAAAGTTGGGCATTATCACATCTTTCGAGTAATGGCCGACCGCCACCGGCGCCAATTTTGCTTAATCAGCCCGTAAGAAAAATGGCTGAAATCAGACTTTTCTTCTTATTTGTGACAGCGGGTGATGGCCACCGCCGGCAGAAAATGCGTATTAGTAATAAGGAGAGAGGGCATCACCACGCCAGCCCCAACTTTTACCACATGAACCCCGCCGCCCGGTTGATGACTTGTTGGAAAGCTAAGGATTTAGTCATGGTGACTATCTGCAGGATGCATACATCAGCCATGTACAGACAGTGAACGCTAGTCGCTACATATGTCTCGTCCGTACATGTATGGGACTTATAGCTGCGTAAGAGAAACATCGTGGCCTTTTCCAGTCCTACATCAGCTTTCGGCGCCGGTGAATACGCACGCGAGCATTCGAAGCCGTCTCTCCCACGCCAAGACCTCAAACATGGGTCCGACTGCTTGATCCCCTCATTGAGCTGCATACTGTTAGCAGAAACAAAGTGAAAAGGGTAACTATTGTGACCAACCAGAACGTAGCAAAGTACCATTTCTCTTTAATACTAAAGGACTTGACATTCCACCCCAAGAGGGAGGCCTCTCACTCCTCTGCCTGAACCGTACTGCCCGTGGCTTCTTCTCACTTTCCCACCACAGGATAGCTGCTTGCTGGGTATTGATTCCCACTTTTCAGTAGTCCCTAGTCGCATAGTCCTCTCTTGTCGCTCCAATTCTTTCCATAAAAAGCATCATTGTACCGGGAGTATTATTTAATTGTGTGTCCGACCTGCACTGCTCCACAATCGCCATCTATTGTGCTGCTGTACTCGGAACTTGGTCTGGCGAGCAGGCATCTGATCCGTCTCCTCAGAAGTGGACGTATCTGTCGTCAGTACTCAGAAGTAGGAAGTGCAGCCGCGATTATCTATCACTCCGGAAAACATTTAATCATGACTGCCCACATATCTGCGCATCGGAATCAAACTGAATTCCCGTTGCTCGTCCTCTAACACTTGCTGGAACCAGTCGTAGGTTCCCCCGAAAGTTACCACCAGTTGTGGTAGCTGTCTTGATCTTTCTTGTAGCCTCTCTGATCCGGAGGAGTGTTGTTGGATCGAGGTCTACGGACTACCACATTTTCCATCTCGAGTTTTCTGCCGCCACCACTGGCGTCGGCTAACTACCGCACAAGTCGAATTTCTAGAACATCGTCACATTCCACGGTTGCTTACCATAGCACACATCAGCTACACCACTTGAATTAGTGGCTTCCGGCGCGCTAAGAGAAAAAAAAATAAAGGAAGCATTCGGCCTGTCTCCCCACTGAGGGGGCTTCCCTACCTGGTTCCCAAAACCGAGCACCCCCATATCTTTAAGTTACTTCCAGACACCGCAGCAGGCCAGCAGGCACAGGCAAGCAAGGCAAAGCAGGCTTTGAGAATAGGGCGGCTTTGAGCCTTTTTAGCAGTATTACCTGTTACCCACCACCTACTACCCACTAAGTCACCCATTACCCACTATCGGTACCAGCAACCAGCAACCAGCACCCGCACCCAGCAGCACCAGCACCAGCACCAGACCACGCCCCCCCCCCGGTGGTGCATTCTCTTTATTCGACACCCTACCGCCTACCTACAAATTCACCTCAACCCGCTTTTTGCCCTCTCCTCCTTTTACATTTTCTCAGCAGAGGGAAATCCGCAAGTCGAACCCAGCAATCTATTTTGCTATCTCTTTCGTGTCGCCAACACCGGGCTTAGCCCACCCAGGCGATTTCGCCGCCACCACTGTCATCATCCCACAGCACAAGCAAGCCATCACCAGCAGCGTCCACTGAGGAACGCCTACAGTGCCTGTCGCTTGTCGCATTCCCACCTACACACGCCCCCCAGTCGCTTCTACCCCACGGCTACACTTTAAGCACCCCGGCACCCTAGAACTAGAAGTACAACTGGGACAGGCAAGGAAAAACAATCTTGGCCTCTTGGGAAACCCACCCAAAGGAGAGCAGAGGAAAGGAAAGGAAAGGACAGGAAAGCAAAGGCAACCAAACCACAGCAGAGCCTGCCAAATGCCCGCCACCTCCAGTTCTTCGATAATGACGAGCGCCTCGGAAAAGACCACGCCTCCAGCCTCACAGCCCTCCTCAATTAGATCTGTTGAGCTGTCCACGCGGTCCCCCAAAATCAACCCGGAGAATGGCCAGCCCGTCGCCAACGGAACCCTCAATGCCGAGGGACAGCCGAAGACGTCGGTCAAGGACAGACTGACAAGAATGTTCTCGACCAAAGACGTCACCAAGCTTCCCACTGCTTCCGCCGAAATCTCCCCCAGTCCGTCAAACAGCGCTGCTGCTGCTACCACGGCTGCAGCAAGAGCACCGCCAGTCCGCAAACCCTCGACAACAGACAAACCTCGCGAGGGCCCAGCTAGCACCACCTCCAAGACCACCCAGCTGTCTCAGAGGTACATTGTCAACTCAAATGTACAAGGTGGCCATGAACATCACTTGAAGGGTGCCAAGCGGCAGGAGAAGCTCTCGGACATGTGGAAGTCATTGCTTGGAAAGAAGAACGCCGACGTACCAGAAGCAGACTTGTCACTCGTCTCCAACTGGGTCGACACCCTGAAGCAAGAGAAGGACTCATTGGCCAACGACAAGAAAGGCGGCCCCAATGCCACCAGTACGCTTATTGACAAATACGGAAAGTGCCAGGAGGTCGTCGGCCGTGGCGCCTTTGGTATTGTAAGGATATCGCACAAGAAGGTCGAGAATGGTGGCGAAAAGCTGTTTGCAGTCAAGGAATTCCGCCGCAGACCTGAAGAGACAGAAAAGAAATACAGCAAGCGACTGACTGCCGAGTTCTGCATTTCTTCCTCCCTACGCCACCCAAATGTCATCCACACTCTGGACTTGCTGAAGGACTCCAAGGGTGACTACTGCGAAGTCATGGAGTTCTGTTCCGGTGGAGATTTGTACACTCTTGTTCTTGCCGCGGGTAAGCTTGAGGTTCAGGAGGCGGACTGCTACTTCAAGCAGATGATGCGCGGCGTCGAGTACATGCATGAAATGGGTGTCGCTCACAGGGATATGAAGCCCGAGAATTTACTGTTGACTTCCCATGGCGCCCTCAAAATCACCGATTTCGGCAATGGCGAATGCTTTCGTATGGCTTGGGAGAATGATGCTCATATGGTGTCGGGTCTTTGTGGCTCAGCGCCGTATATCGCTCCCGAAGAGTACATAGATCGAGAGTTCGACGCCCGCGCAGTCGATGTCTGGGCTTGCGGCGTCATCTATATGGCAATGCGCACGGGTAGACACTTGTGGCGCGTCGCTAAAAAGGATGACGACGAGTTCTACGAGCGGTACCTCGAGGGCCGTCGCGACGAGGAGGGGTACGGACCCATAGAGTCGTTGCACCGTGTAAGTTGTCCTCCAGCCCAGACTCGCCCCGTACGACTTGCTGACTTGATTTTTGTGTTAGGCGCGGTGTCGTAATGTCATCTATTCCATTCTTGACCCCAATCCTTCGAGACGTATCACCGCTTCACAAGTCTTGAAGTCAGAATGGGGTCGTGAGATCAAGCTTTGCAAGGCTGGCGAAGAAGGTCTTTGATGTGGTCTTCAGCACACAGAGGCATCCATTCCCCACAGAGCTTTTTTATTCTGATGATGGCGTGCACGCCAATGTTCCGTCACCTCTTGTGTCTCCATCCAGAAGATGGGTTCATAGACACCAATCAACCCCAGTTTCACATTTGCAGCATTACGAGCGACTACCTCACAACGCAGGGCGCTTCTTGCTTGAATGATTGGAAGGGTCGTTTATGCCTTTAGCAAAGGAGTTATGGTGTTCTCTTTTTTCGTTCATGATTTCTCGTCTTCTTATTTTTCTACCCTTTTCTCACGACATATTTCTTACGAACATGATGAGGTTTCGGCATCGAAAACAAAAACCCCGGAGATCCACCGCGCAGCGCATCCACAGGATAGAATTCAAGTAGATGCGCCATGCGCACTGCGAGTGAGCGTCACAGCTGACGGCTCTTGGTTTGTATAAAACATGGATCATACTCGCACACCCTGGGAAATACTCACGGAAAGGCGCTGGGCGATACACTCGTTCCGGATGTCTGAAGCATGCAAGGCAGCAACAGGAGTGTTGCTTCACTGTTAGAGGGTTTTAGAAAGTTATGGTAGAAGTGAAGTTGATGGTGGGAGCAGGGAAACAGCCGCATTGCATTTACGAGGAGGAATACCTTCAGTGTTTCTGTGGCTTCGAGTTAAGCCATCCTTTGAGATTAGAGACTGGAATCTGGCTAGTCTCGGCTGTCTCATCATAGACTTCATTTCCCTCTAATGACTTCTAGACCAGTACGAGCAGAATGCCTTGAATGGGGATGGTAGTGAACATTTAGCTAGCTATCTCAATTAAGGAAGTAAAATAATCAAGTGCCCAAGTAAAGTAAATTTTGTTCCAGCAAATCTATAACCATCATCCTCACCTCAGCTGTCAACATCCCTACGCATCGCTCCACTCATAACCACTGGGCATGGAATCTCGTCATGTGGCATCGTTCGTATGAGGACAAGCCCCTGCTGTATTACGCAAGAGAGCATGGACAAACAGGAACGACTCTAAGCGGCTAACCACATCCATTTCGTCCCAAGCAAATTTGACAAGGCGTGCAAGACTTTACTACGCTGACCATCATCGACGAGAATCACGGCGCAAGACGGGCTACGGTGCTTGGCCATTTTTCTTGGACCTGCGATGGAGATGCAATGCTAGGAGCAACTTGTTTTCGCCGAAGAACAAAGATCAATTGCTTGACTACGGACTGCTGTTGCTGCCGTCATCCCTTTCAGCCCCGACCAGCATCCGAGCTCGTACCCTCATGGCGCAAGCCCCGGGGGGGGGGGGGGGGGGGGGGCAGGCTCTTCTTCTTCTTCGCTCACCCGCTCTCCGAGGAATCGCGGCCGCTTCGCTGGGCATTCCCCATTTGGCTAATGCCGAGGACCCGTCGAGGCTCGCAGAGGACTATATATATGTACATATATACACATAAACATTGTGTGGGGCAGGATCGATATCAATGGGGCCAGCAATAGATCCATGGAGAATAGTCGTTCCCTGTGACCGCAAAAAGTATACGAGGAAAATAAAATTTGTCTCGCTGAGTATTACTGAGTGATCGTCGGTCGGGTTTGCGGCTTGGCAGATCCATAGTAGGGACGATTTGCAGGGGCGGGAGATATAGGGTAGATCCGACCACACACATCCTTCCGCGCGGCAGGAGAAGATGAGAATGTAGACAAGGAGGTGGTTGATTGGGTGTGCAATCCGACTCTAGTCTCTAGATCCAAGCAGTATTCGTTTAATCTCGAGTTCGACCGCATAGTTGGTTATACTGCCGTGGTGTGGTTTGCACTGTGATGTTCAGCGCCTACATATCAACAGTCAACAAGAAAGAAGACCCTGAACAAGATCATGAGGGAAAAATCAGTATCAAAAAATATTCGTATTATGTATACACCTTCAAAGACTTTCAGTCTTCACCCCTAATCAAGAGTTTGAAGATTCCTAAATACAACACCATTCACCTTTCCGCGGCATGCTACTGAAGCATGCCTGCTTTCAAAGCCTAATCCCGGGGTGACTGTAGACCATCTTGGGCCTCCCGGCTTTATTCGCTTTCCATAAATCCCACCCAACCGTCATGAATAAACCCCCATGACCAATAAGAATAGCCACTTCTCATGCGAGTGACCTCCTGAAATGATACCCCTCCAAGAAAACCCTTCCGAAACTCGTTAATATGCCTGGATGCTCAGAGAAGAAGAAACAGGGCATGATGTTCCAAGAAGCTGCAACATTTTGGATGCCCGGGAGCCTATTTGGCTTCTGCGATCCCAAACTCGCCCTTATTTGGCGGTTATCATTGTAAGATACAACTATATCCTCAGGCGAAACTCATGCCCTCACGAGTTTACCTCGGTAGTTGACGTGGGAAGATATCCGTCTTCCCTACGCGATCAGATAAAATGCGGTACGTTTTATGCTCCGCTAGAATAAAGAGATATATATGCGTGTGTTCAAGTGAACCTCCTCAAAGCGAAACAAGCACGTGTTTGAAACGCCATGCCATATCGTGGTATAAGTCGTAGACTCTGTAAAGGAAAGAAAGGTGCCTACATGCCCTTGGATCAGAGCTCTCACGAGTGGAATAGATCCCAGGCACGCTCGCAGATTCGCAAGAACTCTTCCCTCTTGGCCCTCTGGGTCTCAGGGCTATCACGGCCGCTGCCAAAGGGTCCAGTCCGCCGAGTAGCAGAGGGGCCGTGGCCGAGAGGAGGACTGCCGCCTTCCTCATAATCTGCGCGTCTCCGCTTGCTAGCACTGCGGCTGTGGTCCAGCATCGGCATTCCAACTCTTGGGGAAGGCGGTGTGGGAGGTTGGTGACCAGTATAATGAACAATCTTGGGCAGCAGATCGGGTCGACCACCAGCAAGCTCTTGCTGAGCCTCCTCGGCAGATTTGTACTCCCTGGGTCTGCTAGACAAAGGACCCTGGGCGTACTGAGGAGGATGACCAGGAGAAACAGGGGGCCCATGGCTGGAAGCGGGATGCAGGCTACGGGAGTTTGCTTCGGAGTGTGCAATGCCAGCGCCAAACACATCTGCGATGGGGGGCAAACGATTTGCTGTCTGTTGTGCAGGAACATGGTGGATGTGTGATGTGCTCGATAAATTCGAAGGTTGGTTGGTGATGTGCCTGGTTAGCGGGTGGGGGTTGTGTCTGCCGGTGAAAGTTTGACCAAGAGGAGCGGACTGGATGACACGTTCGTTGGCAAACTGCTCGTGAGATGGTGCTACGATGCTTAGACCGGGAGGGGCCTTGTTACGCCTCGATGAGATACCAGGAGTCTTGGCTGCAAACTGGTTGGAGGCATCCCTGTCCTTGCCGGTGTCTGGCCCATCTCCCTTGGCTGACTGCTGTTGCAGACGTGCCTCGATGATTTGACGTTGCTGCTCTCGCACGCTCATACTGCGCTGCAACTGCTCCTTCATGGTTGGATCTTGTGTAACGAAGCCGGGAGACAAGCAGGCGAGGCCGACCTCCATAATGCCGAGTCCACCATCCCTCTCGCCGGGTAGCCGCGCCGTCTGTGCTCCCGAACCTGCTAGACCGCCCTTGGAGAGATCCAACTTTCGAGGTCTGTGGCGGGGAGCATGGATCACGGGCGACCCGGGTTCTTTTTTGACGACGATCTTGGGTGCGGCGGGGCCAGGGACATTTCGACTATTGCATCACCCGGTATTAGTGTCTGCAGGAAGGGGAAAGGGCCAATCATGACACATGGAGATAGACTTACAGGCTGGGCGGCGACGACTTGGCCGACTGGCCTGCTCTAGGGCTACCGCTGCCGGTGCGTTGCGTTAAAGGGGCACGAGATACCGCAGGCGACGAAGCTGGTGCCGGAGCCAAGGCCACAGACGCTGGGGGTGCGCTTGAGATAGTGGCGGGCGCGAGTGGCCTATCGTGGTGTGGCGGAGAAGGAGCCATTGCGACTGCTGCGCTCATTGTGAGAAGTGATTGTTAGGAAACTGATAAGAGCTTGTGGTGTTGATCGTGATGTGCAGCTGGCGTTTTGCCGGCTGAATTAGAGATTGTCCCGGAGACAGGGATCGATTAGAGCGCTGCACACGGGACTAACGCAGCGTGCGTATATGCAGACTGGCGAATACACGATTTCTCCTTTGGTTGAAAAGGACCGGTGCGATGTTTGGTTGGGAGAATGAATTATCGAACTCACTTGCCAGCAAGAACGGACGAGATTAGCGTGCGAGAGTCGAGGCGTTCCTGGCGGGTAAGGCAGATGATTCCCGTTTCTGCAATAGATTGCCCTTCTTCAGGTAGCAAATGCGGCAGTCTCAATGACCGTATTGGTTCTGTGATCGTAAAATCAAGTGTATACAAAACGCAAACTCTGGATATCGCAATGCCGAGCAGATCAGAGGTGATTCTGCTTTGGGTAGTCAACAGGGGCTTCCTAATGCGCAGTTCCCAGGGATCTGGCTGGAGCCGCCAACGAGGAACTCGAGTTTCACGTAGTCCTTTTTTGTTCGAAACCCGCTGAAATCGCCGGGTCGTTGCCGCCTTCACTGCTGGTGCTGGTGCTGGTGCTGGTGTTGGGCTGGAGATAACCCAATAACGTCGGGGAGCCAATCAGGTCTTTCTGCAGCGAATATCTTGTCCCTCTTCGTTTGTACCACGGTTAAATTGGAATTCTCTATGTCTCCTGAGATGCGAACGTTGCACAGACGAGCGAGTCGCGCTGAGACGGGAGTGTCTCTGGTTTTGGTCGCTACTGCATATAATAGGCAAATGCCGAAGGTGGCTGACTTTAAGCGGACCCCGAACGAGAGTCGACGGCTTTGCGCTGGGTAGGGTAAGCAGACTCGAGATAGCTGTACCGGCTGGATGAGGGGACTTTGCGAATCACACAAAGACACACAGGCGCTCCCGAGTTTTGAATCCCGTACTGCAACCCTCCACGGAAAGGAAAACGTATAGAAAGAGTAACGAAAGACTCGTGCACACGAGATGCGAGGTTAGGTGAGAGAAGAGAGTGGGAAGGAGAGGAGGAAGAGAGAAGTTTCAAGCCACTGCGGAGGGGTCTGGGCGGGCAGCAAAGTAGAAAAGGAAAAAGTCCAATCCAGTCCCAGTCCCAATCCCAATCCAGAGAGCGCACCTGGTGCGGTACGGTGCTGCGTGCAAAGTCCTGAACCAGTACCAAGACCAAGACCCAAGTCCAAGACCCAAGTCCAAGACCCAAGACTAGACCACAGCGGCGAGTGAAGTGCACACCCAATGCGGCGGATGGAAGTACAGGGCCAATGTACCACTGTTGGCTCCACTTGCAAGGCCAAGCAGCAGCAACCCAGGCCCTTGTCAATGGTGGCCCCCTTGATCGATTTATGATTTATGAAAGGGGAGGCGGAATGGGGAGTGACACAGCTCTGTGTGTGAGAAGTGTGGATTCGACTGCCTGGGAGTCTTCACCCAAACCCCTGTCATCCAGCAGGCTCGGCGGAAACCGTCACTCTATTGCTACACATGAATGTACTACTTACACATTGGGAGGAGGGGCGGGCACCATCACGGCCCTCTCTTCCTCTAGGATGACGCTGGGCTGGTCGAAGGAAGCACCAGCAAAGCAACCAGCAAAGCACCGGCAAAGCCACCAGCCTTCAAATTGCAGGCCATTGACAGTCAGGACGGCGAACAAGTCCCAGGCCTTTCGTATCAGAATTCCTTTAGCGTGGGAAACCGGCGATTTTTTATGACTAGCGCAGAAAACCGGCGAGCATCCCGAGGTTGCTAGGTAGTGTATGATACAAAACACATTTCCACCCGTGCCCTTTTCACCAAGCATTCTTTCTCCTAACTTTGCTCCTAGCGAGAGATGAGACGACATAAAGTTGTCTGCATTTGGATCTCTATGCAGTTGATCATCTGGTCTCGTATTGACGATAGCATGTGACGCGACACACGACAGGCAGGCCCCCATCGCAGCCTGTTAATCCTATGTCCTGGATCCAGGATCTTGAAGAAATTCAAACTGAAATCTCCTTGTCAGGGACTCGCTAGCTAGTATTAATTGATTGATTGTCAAGCCTGCCGATCGAGTCCCCCTCCCTCACCCCCCAGCTTGGTAATCGACGGTGGATCGCCCAGATGCCCTAGGGCACTAAGAGCCAGCGAACTGGAGTAGGGGTTCGTCGCCTGCCTCCGTAATCCGTAGGCTTGTTTTACATTGATGCTAAAAAGCCCGCCCAGAGTCCACTGGAAACCTCGGGTGGCCTCTGGTTACCATCAAAACCCAAGCTGTTTGTGGTGCAGCTGGCAGCTGTGAACCCAACCTTTGCGCTTTGGAGCCAGACACCAGCGCATGATTGGACACCGCTGAAGCAGACCAGGACGGGTCCAACTTCCTACGCTGTCAGATGCGACATGCTCGACAGGCTGAGAAACCTTTGCAATACCTCGCTCAGTCCGCGCCAGCTCACTTCTCCAAACGCACTATTGATTTTTCCGAATAGCACGACAGCCTACCATACTTATCAGACACGGGCAGTCAGTGATGCAGGTATACTGCAACTTCATAAAGTTCCATGTCACGAGGGTGCCAATCATCCAAGTATGAATGCCCGTTATTGTGTACTTCAAACCAGTCGCATGTCATTTAGAGTTTTCAGGTGAGGGTACTTAGTGCGCCAGGGGCGTAACGGGGACTAATGGCCCGCCCCTGTAAGTCGACGAGCAGGGAGATCGCGGGACGGTCTAAGAGCCCTCCGTTAGCTGTGTTTGGCATCTGGAGAAGGCGTACGCAATCCAACGGCAGTTCAAATTGTTTTACAAACGGCGAATATGCTGCTGTCGTCCGTCTGACCTCGTGTTGATTTATGATCTCCATCGGATTGCGTGAGCATACTCATCATCACGTTGAGATGAAAGTCCCCCTCCTGATCTTATATACTTTCTTTAGCTCACTCGGTTGAGGTCTTGGTGTGTTTCTCCTGCTTTAGCGTTGTTCGAGCTTTTGGAGCCAAAGTTCCCCGCCATATGAGGCTGTTGCTAAAAGCATCAAGCCAGGGGACCTGGACCTGCCAGAGTAGTATTCGCCGTGCCTGAGTTTGAGATATGTTAGGAACAGCAATAAATAATCCGCGTTATCGTTGCCCATGTCCGGACGGTCGGAAACAATGTCTACCAAAACATCCAGAACATCCAAAACAACATAGCCACCGAACATTATGCGCTCGCTTGAGGTCACAGAATACCGTCACTAGCGAGCGCGGAAAGGTCCGCCATAACTTGGCAGAGTAACTCGGTCATTATGGTTCAATACAAAGTTGTGTCAGCCGCCAGAAGCGTTAGACCGTCGCCATGTACGGCGTATGTATGTATGCACGGTTTTCGTCAACGTGCAGATTGTAACTTTCAGATAGTGCGCGCTACTTCCTGGCAGAGCTCCTCATTACCGTTCGGGCACAGGCTTAAGCAGGGTATTTGTCCCTGAAGATCTCCGGTTATCTTCACCTGGAAGATGCAGTGGCAGGTGGGTGTCGCAAGCATTGGCGCACTGCTAACCAACCTGCGATCCCTGTCAAGAAACAGACCTCAAATACGAAAGTGTGAAAATTGCAGCACAGTATGGGAAACACACGAGCCGCCATGGTGAAATCGGGCGCAGTTTCTTCATATTGCGTTGATTTTTAATGTTACAGAGGTTATAGAACAAAATATTTAGTTCGACGATGGCTGAAGCACTGAGAGTGTTAAGTTCATTTCGCCGCTGCACTGGCGCCCGCCGATTGTCGCCTCCCCTTTCTCGTCTGAAGATCCGAGACTTGAAAAGTTCCTGGAGGCCATGCGTACCGGCATGTGAGTTCGCAACTGGTACCTCGAGCCCACCGGGTAATTTGTCGCTCAGATCTTTTGAGCAACCATACCATAGTGCCCAGTATAACTGTCAGGGAGGTGGTATTCGCACAGACCAACATATAGATAGATTAAACCACGATGTGCATAGATTGCGGTATACCATTAGTATCCTAACCGGTACACGGTAGATCAAGTGAACATGTACACCCGGCCCCAGGGTCTGGATCTTCACCATTGCTGATGAGCTCACCATAGTGTTCTTGCCGAGCAGTGCCCAGTGAGCCGGCCTGCCGAAAGCTGGTCCACCCCAAAGATGCTGCAGCCCACAACACATTCTGCATTTGGCTGACATGGCCAGTGTTTGAGAGCGTCGCATTGCCAATCAGATGTGCAGCCGACGAGGATGCAGGAAGTATTGAAACAAGCGTGCCTCAATACGGGCCAATGAAAATGATTCCCCAACAACGATGAGCCAGTTGGATTTTAGTCAACATTCGTCCAATCTTGGATTTTCCTGTTGATCGAGGCGTTTACGCCAGAACGCCAAAGGTCTATGGTGTAGACTATTGTTGCTACCCTGCTGCCTCAATGTCGTTCTGTCTCAGTCGGCGGGGTCTCTTAGAACGATGTCGTCACTGTCTTCTCCTGCAATGAAAATCATTGAATTCCGAAAGGAGCAGTACTTTCGCGTATCCTCATCACTATGGAGCTGTAGACGGTAAAGTTGTGCCGTGCGGGAGAGTTTTGTATGAGAGCACTGACCAAATCGTCCACGCATTACTGTATCGATCCTAGGGTGATTTTGCGGGTTGGTCAATTCAACTCGCGACGAACAATTGAAACTTCCCATTGCATGCCGTCCTCGTGTTGGTACACCTTATTATTACTATAGTAGGGCAGAGCAACAGCTCCTGCACCTAGCCGCGCGGCAGTGAAACTAACAGCGCCGTACTGAGGAGCCGCCGCCCCCATCTGCGGCAGCAGATGATACCCTGCATTGCTAGACTCATGCTGTATCGCCAATTGAAAGCTGTATAATGCCGTTCTTGTGCGTCATTCTGGTACCAACACGATTTCAGGTGAAGCTCCAAATGCACGATGGTACTATGACTGGCGTGATAGCTGGAAATCGTAATGGTATATGACATTGGTTCACAGCCTGACGCCCTGTCATTTTCAAAAGCCTTGGGGCCGGCGTGCTTGATTGTGATATTGGATCTGGTGGTCGGGACTGCAGGATTGGCCTTCCCAGGTGCAGTCCCAGATGGTCGACATACTATTGTGTTCGGCCGACCTAATTGTGATTCATGTAGGATGAGGATATGTTGAGGCCGCGATTTGATACCCGAGCAAGCGTCGACGAGAATGCGGTACATGCTGGTCACAGCCATGTTAAGCTGAAAGTGCCAAAACTTCCCTCAGGAGTCCTAAGTACCCTAGGGCACCTCAAATGATCTGAAATGCTTTCATACGGACTGCAGTATTGCTCCTGCAATATCACGAAGAGGTGCATGTCACAATATGGTGACAAGGAGAGACTCGCCCAGACCGGTCTGGCCCAGCTGGCGAGTATGCATCGGGCAGCTGCCAACATTTTTTTCCCTTGAGCTACGGATTATCGCATGCAAGCTTTCGAGCCCCGCCAAAACTTTTGAGCGAGCGGCGGACATCGAAGAAAGACAAATCCGATTGCGCCCAAGTCTGATCCCTCGACGACATTTCACCAACTACCCAGGCGCTTCTGAATACTGTTCAACATGCCCAGCCGCACGAAGAAGGCAGAGGCCTCCGAGGATACCAACATGGAGGATATTCCCACGTCGGCGCAGCCAGACCAAGAGCAGGCTCAGGAAACCGGTGACGATATGGAGGAAGATACTTTGGAGGAGGACGGAAAGGCAGAAGAAGAGGAAGATGTTGTACAGAGAGTCAGAATTGTAAGATGACAATAATTATCGCCTCATGACTAGGAATGCTAATTTTCCGATGCCCAGCTACCCGGATCGTCTGCGACAGCAGCTTCGTTCGAGTTTCTGGAAGAGGGTCATACTCTAGGCAACGCGCTGCGATATATGGTCATGAAGAAGTATGTCGCGTATCTACGAAGTTTTTGGAGCGACCTACTAACCACTACTAGTCCTGATGTTGAGTTTTGCGCCTATTCTATTCCTCATCCTTCAGAATTCAAGATGAACATTCGCATTCAGACATATGGTAATATCGCCATGCGCCACGGCCACCCAGAGATTCGTGCTAATTTCGTCTAGATACGACAACAGCCACTGCGGCGCTGGCCAAGGGCTTGAAGGACATGGAAGATCTGTGTGACATAGTGGAGGAGAAGTTCTGGGCGGCACGAAACGACTTCGTTGCAAAGCAATAGGATATAGATGAGCCTGCTGGCATACTGAGGGAGCGCAGGTGGTGACGAGACATCAAAATGGCATACTAGGGCGTTTGGTGCACTATAGACGGCATGTCAAAAAGGACTTCTGATTTCTGCTTTCGGATTGCTATATACACAAGGAATGATACCCCCATTTCCTTTCTAGTTGCGACCCTGTGACATGTATCAGTATCAACGAGGGCGGCTACAAGTAAATCGATCAAACTTACCTCAAGGAAGCCTGACATGAAGGTCTTGGGCAGCCTCTCGTGACCACGGAAGTTCTCTTCGGGGAAGTATGACAAAACGTGCGTCTGCTGTTTCCAGAAGTTCATCGTCTCCTAAAGTTGGAGGCTGTTAGCCGCCATGCTATAACATGTTCTGAACGACATAGGATATCTCTAGAGCCAGATATTGGTCTTAAAGAGCAAAATCCCACTGATTTGCGCTGCCAGAGGAGGGGGAAGTCTTCGACTGACTTGGTATTCGGCGTTGTTCTGCATAAGGAGGACATCGACGACGGGCAGCTTGTTCACGTATCGGTGTCGCTCAAACTCTTGTCGCATCCGCGTCCTGATGACGGAGACTGGGAAGGGGACGGAGTACATGGTCTGGATCTCGGGCGCCTATGTCGGGACTCAATCAGTACCAGCCTCCTCCAAGTAACATCGCATCGCCCGGCCAGATGGCCTCAAGCGGTTCGAGCCTCAATTGGCTTCATGGGAACATACAGCTCGGATCCATTCTCTGTATGACGCTAGAACTCGTCGCTTCGCATCGTTCCAGTTGGCCGCTGGGTTCCAATTAGTCAAGTCTGTCCGGCTTCGATCGATGCAAGCATACACTGAGCCGTCTTCCGGGCAAATTGAGTCGGTGTCACCGCCATGGCGAGTGTGTCTGTCGGGCAGTTGTGGTGCTTGATGCGGCTTCGATGGGTTGCTTGAGCTTCGGGACTCGACCTTGGAAGTGGGAAGTAGCTACACAGCCACAATGAGCCGTGGCGGGTGGGGCGTGCGCCACAGCTGGCTTTAGTTCGTCAGCCGCTTTATTGGCCAGAGGATTGGTGCAGGGGTGGCGTCATGCCCATTTATTTTCTCCAGTCTGGCGCGGGAAGGCTTCAGCGCGGTACCTTCCATCTCATTACTATCTCAGCCTTGCCCCACTACCACTTCTCTCAGTCAACATTTCCAACATCAAGCACTGGCGAAGCACACGCCCACTATCGCAAAACACCAATAGTCACCGCAAGACCGTCTCGGGAGCAAAGACAGTATGCCGCCAGTTCGCTCTCATGGTTCGAGGCAGAGAAAGCCCCCGGCGGGGTTCGAAGATATTCGGGACAACCTCGAGGTCTTCAACATCAAGATGAAGGACGCGCAGAACACACCGACAGCCAATATCCCCAAGCACCAAGCGCAGTGGCCCGTCTTCCAAATCCATCACCAGCGGAGCCGATATGTGTACGAGCTCTACTACGAGAAGGAGGCTATCAGCAAGGAGCTCTACGACTGGCTGCTCAAGAATGGGCATGCGGACGCCAAGCTCATCGCAAAGTGGAAGAAGCAGGGATACGAAAAGGTACGACACGCTCTGCGTTTACAAAGGTCATGTGGTCTATACTAACACATAGTTGTAATAGTTGTGCTGTCTTAGGTGTGTACAGACGAAAGAGACCAACTTCAACTCTACCTGCATATGTCGCGTGCCGAAAGCGCAACTGAAAGACGACACACAAGACGTACAGTGTGTTAGCTGTGGTTGCAGAGGCTGTGGTTCGAGTGATTAGAGGGATTCATTTCGGCACAAATTCAGGGTGGTTTGCATGATACAGGCGTATGGCGTTTTGGACTGAGCGAATCTGATGGCTGTTACTCAGCTCACAGCCATTGTACATTTTTAGGAATCGTAATACCAGAATCTGTTTGAGACATTGGCGTGTGTCAGATCGTTTTCGGTACCTGAAGACAAGATGCAAGCTCTGTGATAATCTCATGCTCCGTGTCTTGCCTTGCCGTCACGGGAACGCACCATGTGATGCCATACTCGATACTACCACCGTGGTCCTTACTCTGAATAACCCATCCCTACGGCTCTGTGAGGCCACCAGACTAGTAAGGGTGTATACTCAGGAGCGCTTTCCCATGCTGCCTCGCGAGTGACTTATTCGGCAAACCATCTTTGAAAAACAACCTGCACAGAGGTTCTGCGTGAAAGGCCTTGTCTACGTAGAAGTTTACACCTGCTGGTATGACTGAAAGTCATCAGCCTTGGGACCCAGGTGTATTAGCATACTTCTTGCTTCACGAGTTCGTGCGGTGTGACGATGCGTATGGTATGCCGTGAGAAAATAGTTCCACCACGACAAGCATGATGACTGACACCCTCGTAAAGGAAGGCAATTTTTTACATTGACTATGGAGGCATGGAGGAGCGAGTGGAAAGCGAGAGTGCTTCTCGGTGCGCTTGATTCGACTCTACTTGGCAACGAATCGTCTGGCAACTCAGGAGTTTCGCAAGTCACCCCGCGAACGCACGAACGTGACGATGACAGTTCCACCATGTCATGGCTCTCTTCGCTCATGCTTGTTATCACTGCTTAACGAGTTAGTGGAACTATAGAGATTATTGCATACGACATGGCGAGATTGATTTGAGACGAAGAAAACACCACCCAAATCGATAGGCTAACTGGACTGTCTTAACTGTGAAATCAGTAAATGCTATAGCCAGCTTCCGAAGACCTCAGTGATATGTAAATGAATACGGGTGGCTGTGCTTGGTCTCAGCCTCAAAAAAGCAACCTCACAGATAGAGGTGGTGTACTACGATGCTCACGTTGTAAACTCGGTGCTTCTAACAACAGCCTTGCAACTCATGGTGAAGCAAGTTGGGCATATCAACATGGTAGGACTAGTCTTGTTGGTGTATTGACTTCATCTTGGTGTCTCATAAGTCATTCGGCCATCTGCCAGTATATGACTGTCGTAGTCACTTAGAATGTATCCGAGTAGAATTTCATCTTCTGGAAAAGCCCGTCCTGCTCTTCCCCCTTCCAAACCGAACACTTGTCGGCACAAACTGCAAAGTGGACATAGCACTAGTCAGATCGGCCATGTCCGTGTCGGCGTCTTTTCCGTCTACTTTTGTTCCCACTTGTGTTGCTTCCGAGTCTTTTTCAGATGTTGATTGCTCGGCTTCGATGACTGTCTCTGTTCCTTCTGGCTGTCGTAGGCTTTGTCGTCTGGAAGCGGTCTTCTGCACACCAGCTTGACTTGCGGACGATCTTCTGCGGTGATGGCCACCCTCTAGCAGTAGCGAATCTCTCCCGTCAATGCCCTCTTTGGTCACTGCGAAGAAGTAATTCTTGGGATACATATGCTTGTCAATAAGATGCATGCGCCGCTTCTGTGGGGTTCCACACTTGCGATCGCAGCCTTCAACAAAGCAGGAATACTCGGAAAAAGTCAGGAAACCGTAGTCACATTGGTGATGTAAGTGGACTAAACTCACAGTGTGTTCACCCTTCTCCCTCAAGACAGCAGCGAAGGCATCGTGGCATTCCTCAATATGCAGATCCAGGAAGCGGTCAGAAGGAAAGTTCTTTCTGCATTCAGCACATCGGTTCGTGTGCGTTTTTGAGTAATGTGCTTCGTATTCGATATAAGATTTGAACACCAATGGCTCCTTGTGCCCTGGCAGAGAACATCTCATGGCCACTGATGAATGTGAGTCATCTATCGCAGACCCATCAAGCTCTGCAAATTTCGAGACGCGAATATGCGCTGTTTCCGAGGACGTACTGGCGGTGTCATCCGTATAGGCCGCCGGTGATTCTACAGCTGTCGCCTCTTCTTCAGGCTCGCGTGAGCGCTTCATCTTGTGAGCTTCAAGAGTTGAGAGGTGGGACAGTTACATTTGAGAGTGCCGCGACAACCTTGGCCGTTTCTTGAACTCGGTTTATTCCCCGTGGTCGTGGCTGCTTGCTAGACTGCAATAGCAAACATAGCCAGACGAAGGCTCTACTATCGTAGATGTATGACTATAGGCAAAGCACAGCTGGGCAGAAAGCTAGGATCAGACGATTTGGAGGAAAACGAGTACTTCTTTGACAGGCGCCGTCGTTAATCAACATGTCAAATAATCAAACTCACAGGCGCGGCTTTGCGACCCACGGGTATGTATATCACTGTGATATTATATCCAAATTCCCAGCCAGGACTTGTCTAGGTTAAGGTCTACTGTAAAGCGGTCAATGATTCTTTGGAAGGCCCCCTCCCCCCAATGATCTGAGCATGGACAGGGAATCTTTTGGTGCAGGTGGGGTTGTTTCCGCCGATGATGAAGACCCCTAGAGTTCAGCACAGACGACGGGACACTGTTCGGCTGGCTGGACAAAAGGCAGAGCGCACTTGAGAGGGAGTTCATTGGCGGGGGCTCTTTGCAGTACTGTACTTGTACTGTAGTCTAAGTTAAGTCTGCCGTAGCTGCAGCCCTTTTTGGCCTTTTTGGCCTTTCTCCAAATTCTGGAATGGGATCGCTCTTTATTGTCGAGAGTTCCCCTTGCTGCGTTCAGTCGCACCACTTCTCTTTGCCATAGAAGCATCGTCGGCCTTGTTATTCACACGCATAACGACGTCGCATCCAGCAATCGCCTTGTATCCGAGACTTCGTGAGACCAGTACAGCTCAAGGCCTCTCTCTCCCACCATTGCCAATGTGCTCTCCAATTCGCGCCGGACAAGCTATCGCTGCAACAACCTGCGCTCAGGTTTGCCCCATTCCACCACGACGCCAGAACCAGAACCAGAGCCAGAACCAGAGCCAGAGCCAGAACCAAATCTTCTCCTCGCGCTATGGCATTCGAGCTGATCCGCACAAGAACGACGACTTTATGTGAGCGCAAGCCCAGACTATGAGCTTTCCGGGCAAGCCTCCAGCTGCAACATCCTTCTTGCAGCCCAAACGACCCAACCTCGTGTAGCCAAACACTTGTTCATGGCTTGCGCAGAGCCGCCATTTGCCCAACATGGAGAAGTCGAGCCTGAACGAAGCCGCAAAGCTCAGCCTCGGGTAAGTTGGCATAAACAACACATGAAAGAAAAAGTAAAAAAGAAAGAAAAAGTTGGAAAAAAATAAAAAAAAATAAAAAAAAAGAAGAAAAATCCACATGCGACTGGAATCATAGCACGGTCCGCTTGGCAGCTATGCAGAGGGTCACTTTACGAATGTTTGGATAGGAGAGGAACGGTGATGCTAATTTTCCTGTAGCAAGGTACGCCAGATTCGTAATACTATTCAGGAGAAAGCCGGCGACCTCAAGCGCATTCTCGTTGATCCCCAAAGAAACAAAAACGTCAACTTGATCACACGCCTCGAGGATATCGAAAATCTTCTGAAAGAGTAAGTTCCAATCTCGGAAGAGCCAGTTGTCTCGCCCATTCATTAACGTTTGGCTAGGCTGCGCTTAGCTTGTATGGAAGTCATCTTCTATGCCTTCAATTTCGCCCGAGAGAAGAAGATCGAAGGCACACTTTGGGAAGCACACGTTATAGTGAACGCCGAATACCGGCGCGTTGTCGACCATGTCAACACCCAGAACCAGGTGGTACTGAAACGAAAAGTCGATAAGCTCTATCGTGATTTTCTCAAGACATCGCAGTCCTTTTACACGGGGTATATACAGCGTCTTGCTAGCCAGTTCCATATTCCCGAGCTGCTGCAAGTTGCCCATGGTCTCAACGTCGACGTGTTGGTCACTCCCCAGCAGAACCGTGAGCTTTCGGCCAGCTTACGGATGGAACTTATTGATTCATGCTACCAAACCCTCGTCCGTATGGGCGACCTTGCCAGATACCGATGTCAAAACACGGAAAAACCTCCCAAGTCGAGCCTTGACATCGCTCTAGCCCACTACGGGCTCGCTCGTATGCTTGACCCAGATGATGGTGCATCATATCATCAAACCGCGGTTTTGTATAAGCCTTCGGCAAACAACTTGGAGATTGTCTACTACTTCCTGCGATCCATATCGGTAGCGAAACCTCATAGGCTGGGAGCTCGTAACCTTGAAACAGCTCGCAAGAGCATCTTGAACAATCAGACTGGGCCGAGGGGCAATCCAAAGCATTCTGTCGGGAAGCTTCCTTCTGAAGCTCTCACGACATGGTTTTTGAAGCTACATGCATACTACCTTCAAGGTTGTGCTTTTACAGCACGTGATGAACTTGAAAAGGAGGTTCTGCATCGCATGGAAGTATGCTTCAAAAGTGAGGGTACTGAAAACCTAGCTCTTAGAATGACGCTCCTCAGTATGGCAGCATGTGATTTTGCCTTCGACAATATCAAAGGTGAGCCAGATATGAATCATTGTCAGGCGACAAAAATGCACTAAACTCTGTTTGCAGATACCAAAGATTGGACTGTAGAGCGGTCGCAGTCGTGTCAGTACTTGTTATTGTTTCAGGTACGCGTCGCTGCGAGTCTGCTTCGCACTTTCAAGTCGATTGTTCAGAATGATGCTACCACCAATGTCACCCTAAATCCGAGTAATGGCAGCGTCACAACTCTAGACGAAGCCGGCTTTTCTGCATCATTTACGCGACTGATTCCGTTGATTCGCATTTATCTCGCGTGGATATACGTTTCAAGGGAAGATCTCAACCGATATCAGGAGTGGCTGGAGCCTTTCATTCGAGATCTATATGTGCTTCTTGCTAATGTACTAACTCTGCTGCTTCCTTACGCCAATGGCAACAGCGGAATCATCGACTCGAAGTACCTTTTGTCCGAGGACACGGAAGCACTTGGTCTCAAGGTTTTCTCGGATCGAAAGCTACCACTTTTCTTGGATGTGCAGATTCTTCCTGGGTACAATCCACCCAAGTGTCGCAAGACCCGCAAAGACCGGAAGGAGATTATTGGAATCGATTACGGTTCCAAGGCTGAAACTGTCTGGCGCATCCGAGATATCCTCTGCTGTGGTGTCTATCTCGCCGGCAGCGCTAAGTCCCCGCTGACGATCACGACCACAGCGGACAATATCGATGTCTGGGTGTACCTTAAGGACGAACCACTCAAATCCATCGACGAGGTCAATGTGACGCGAATGCTCGCTCAAGTCAAAATGACTGCGCATAAAGTCGGCGCAACGGCCGATGGTCAATTGGACCTCACCTCTCCAGACTCCAGGTCGCCCATAGGACCGTCATTACCTGAGCAAACAAACTTAATATCAGCTCCAGGTCATCATGGCAAACAGGACTCTTACGCAGAGCCGCAAGAAAATGTGTATATAGGGCCATCAGCCGCTAGTGTGGCTCCGCAACTTTACTTGGACGACGAGATGAGCGCCGACCCCAACATGGCTGGAATGGTCGACAAGCTCCTTGATGAGGACGAGGATGATGTTCCAGTCCAATCAAACAAAACGCATGGCGAGACATCGTATGGCATGAATTCCTCAGCAGCCAAAGAAGTTTTTGGCAATCTGATTCCAAGCCCTGTCGCAAACGCGCCTGGCTTGACCATTGACCCCGACACGTCTAGGAGTAAAGCAATCCCCAATCTTCCATGGAACTATTTCTGGCAGGAAGCTGGCGCCAACAACTTGGCGGAGGGTGGCAAGGATGTACCGCGAAGCCTATCGGATCAGCTGGGAGGCGGCCCTATCGAGCATGGGTTGAATTACGCCAGCTACACCGGAGCGCAGAAGCCAATAGAAGGGCATTTCTCGATGTACGGCAATCAATATGGATCTAGCGTGGCTCAGATACCATCTGCTGCCGTCGCTGCTCCGACCTCTCCGGTGCGCGCAGACCCGAATAGTGTGACTTACTCCACAGATCAACAAACTGCGGCACTTGATAAGCTCAAGGCACAACTGTTCGCTCAGTATGGAGGTGGCGCAGGCAGTAGTTCGCAGTCTCCTGCATACGCATACGGGAAATCTGCGAACCAAAGCCAGAATGGTGCTTTGCTCTCAGGTCAAAGCCACGGACATCGATCAAGAACATCATTTCCATCACCACTGGTCAACCTTCACAGCTTACCCGCAAGTCCCGGACAGACCAAAGATGCGCTGTCACCAAGTCTTCTAGATGTTCAGCTTGGTCGATCCCAGCCCGGTGTCACTGCTCAGTCACCCATTGGGAGGGCTATCGACATGAAAAATGAAGCGCAGCGCCAGTCTAGCAGTCCCTCTAGTAGCGGCTATGGTTTCGCCCGTCCTGGTAGTCAAGGCTTAGCAAATACGGGGCTGGCCAGATCCCCTGGGATTGGCAGCACAACTTTCGCTCAGCAGCTCACAGCTCTTCCCGCCACTGGTTCATCACCGGCCTTCTCTAACGCAAGTAGCCTGTGGGCCGGTACGCCAGCTGCACGAGTTGCGCCCGAAGCTCCTCGCGGTACCGTTGCTTGTAATGGCAACTTCTTCAACGCTACCACTCCTTTTGGTCGTAGTGGATTTGTGAACAATAGGGATGACCCCACCCATTTCCGCAACAGGCTTCAAGAGCTGGGCGCGGGTGCTGGAGAATCGATCGCGGCATACGATAGGGCGATTCTCGAATCTGCACTGGGCGATGATAAAGCTCGACGTCGCCAGAATTGAGGATAGATCTGAGGGTAAACGTAGCCACTCGGCGGACAACGAACACCGTAGTGCTGCGTATGCTGCGGTGTTTGTATTTCTGAGCGATTGTGAAAGAGTCTTGCTTTGGCTGAATAGTACTGCAATCGAATAGCCTAGGTGCCGTAAGTCTTGTTCTGCTCTTTGGCTCATGATAGTCCTAACTTTGGCAGATACAGATCTCTAAGAACACGACTTGTCCTTCGAACAAGAACCTCAAACTGGCACAGGGAATTTAGTCATTAATTAATGTGGAATGTTGTACGGTTCCATGTTTCGGAAATATCTCTCATCTGCCGAGACGCATGGGTTTGGTTTCATTACCCGAATGCCGCATTTTGAGGGAAAGCATATTGCACGTCATATCCGGAGAGGAGACGAATAATTTGGTGGCCTTTGTCGACTTCTTGCACCAGGTGGTCATGATTGATCCGTTACTGCAGCATTTTGTAGTATCTGCTCTGCCTGAGTCGGTTTATTCGCACGTCTGGCCTGTTCGGGGCCCTTATTCAAAGCTCTTCATACAGCGCTCGCCAACGACCGTTTCGAAGCTGGCGGACAATGTTTCTGATTTATGCCTGTTGGTAAAGTAGTGCTTCCTTCCACAGCCAAGTTGTATCGTTGCAATTGAACTTGCCAGGGGGTGACCTCTGTTTAATGGGCTGTAGCAATAGTTTGAAAGAGGTCTACCAGCTTGAGCTCAACAAATCCAGATAAAAACAGTTTTCGTCGTTCCCCGTGTTCGATCCTTGCGTAGACGCTCTTGGGAGAAACAGTGCACTAGCTTTCCGACCATATGCTTGCCTTGTGCCAGAAAGGGGTATCAATTAGGGCCTGTGACCTGTTCTATAACGAATACTCAAAATGCGCGAGACGTTCATCTCAATCGAGGAGTCCGCGACCTAAACTCCGTAACTCCAAACCATTTGTCCATCCAGAAATACATGTGCTACAGTGGTACGTCCGAAGCCAAGCCCAGGATCTGGGCGCTCAGAGACAGCCGGCATCGTGGTTAGTAAATGCCTATTCGTTTGGCCCAGCCGGCATCCTTTTGATTGACACTGATCTGGTATGGGAAGGGGTTCGACTCGCTCGTGGTGATGGGCGGGATATGGTCTTTGTTCTGGTTGACAGATGTGATGATTTTCATGACGGTGGTAAGCAGTGTCTGTTCCATGGCTTTTCTGACCTTTGCCCTTTCTGGTTGGGGGATGCAATTAGTATCTCTGGGACGTGGGCCACGACTTGGGATGTTCTCTCTGGTGGATCGACTGACCGCTCTCTGTCCTTGGCTCCGCAACCGTGACCTTGACGGTCCAAGCCTCCCAGCAGATCTCCTCATCGCCGCCTCCATACGCGGCGCGCATGTACCAGGTCTTCCTGCGCTTCTTCTCAAAGAACTGTATGGATATGTTGCCCCTGCCGCCGGCGGCGGCCGAGTGCGGGGCGTGCGTCCTCTCGGCGCTGAGCTCGCGCTCCAGCTCGGCGGTGCGCTTCTCGATCATGGTATCGAGCTCCTGGTCTTGGACAAAGGGCAGGGTGATGTCGAGGACTTCGCGCGAGTGCGGGGTGATGGAGGGGAAGAAGCGGTGGAAAAAGATGGTGTGCAGTATGGCTGTTCAGGCATTTTGCCTTGTCAGCACACATGATTCTTGGCAGTGCAAGCAACGCGCGAACAACAAGCGGCGATGCGTTGCCTCTCTCGCCCGTCGTGGTTGTTGCGCGGGCAGTTCTTTCGATGGGATGCACGAAGGGGATGCGGCGGGGCGACCCCCGGGAGCTGCATCGCAGACGAGGTAAATCAAGGGAATGGGCAACGGGACGTACCTCTGACAACGTCGTGGACGGACGCCGGGTCGGCGAAGACGTCCAGTATGAACTCGTGTGGGTTCTGTTGCTCCATGACGCCGAAGTTATTCTGTGAAACCATTTGTCTTTTCCGTTGGTGAGCCTTGCGACCTTTGTTTCGCGGGAGGGCTGTTTGTGTAAGGAGAGCAACCCGTTGATCCCCCCGTTGCACCTGAGCAGTTTTTGGAGGGGCAGCAGCGAAGCGGGCTTTTGCATTTGCACTTGCTGGTGCTGGTGTCTACCCTGCTTAAACCCCTGCGGGAGAAAGCCTCCAGCAGTCATCAGAGAAACCGGACCAAGGATTGGCGTTGCGTCAACGTCAATGTGGACGTGACCAGCCCCACCTGGGACGGGGGGGCTTCTTCGTGGGGTTGTTCTTTGATAAGATAAGAGCTGTGGCGTGACATACACTGCGTAACACCCGACACCCGATAACTTGCTCCGTAGTATGTAGTTACAGCAGACCAAGCCACAGTTTGCAGTTGGGATGGAGAGTGCGAGTAAGTTGACCAACCGCGTGCCGCGAATCAGAAGGTACCGAGGTACGCGATAGGCCGGCCCCCCGTTGCGTTCTATGGACTCCTCGGACGTTCAGTTGGGTGTTAACTTGAGCCGCTGCAAGTACCCAATCGGTTTGGTATGAAGCTATCTGAAAAGGGCTGGGGGCCAAATACTATTGTGTACTTACTGAAGCTCCACGGCTATATCCCAGACGCGCGCAACCTTCCTCCAACCCAATAACCACAACTCGCTACATTTGTTTTTCTAAAACTGCACGTGTGCAAGGGGTGAAAGGCGATCTATTCGTCTAACAGAACCGCCTGCAAATATGTTGTCCGCCACCCGGAGATGGTTCCAGCGCAATCGGATCCCCATCGCCATAGGAGTCGGCGTCATAGGCGCCGGCTATATGGCGACGCAGTATGTCTTGGCCAAGATCAACGATGCGCGCGAGCGCATGAGTAGCGATCGAATCGCAAAGGAGAAGTACGTTCTTTCTGCTACTCCCTGAGTGTTTCCCTCACCGTCCTCGGCTTACATGCAAATCATCAGTCTCCGCCGCCGCTTCGAACAGAACCAAGAGGACTGCACCTTTACCGTGCTGGCATTGTTACCAACAGCCACCACGAACCTGCTCGAGACCATGAACACGGAAAAGATCACCTTGGAGATACAACAAATGAAGGGCGTGAAGAACGCAAGGAGTGTAGACTCTTCGGCGACGCCGCCGAGTATTGCAGACACCACGTTGACCGAAGAGGAGGGCAGGAGTACGGTGAGCCTCCAGAGCGAGAGCGGTGTCCATGCGAGCCAGGCCGCACTGCCATCACCGTCCGCCGTAGGCGATGGCCCACAAGATGGCGGACAACCCACACCCAGTGCGCAGAGGTCCAGAAGAACTAAGAGGCAGCTGTGGGACGACCTGACTATTAGCTGTAAGCCAGACATCCAGATACACCCCCCCCCCCCCCCCCCCCCCCCCCCCCACTCCCCCCCCCCCCCCCCCCCCCCCCCCCCCCCCCCCCCCCCCCCCCCCCCTACGGCATTTATGACAACCTGCTAAGCCATGTTTAGCAATAACGCGCGCCTTTACTCTTATATACACGCTTGCTCTTCTCACGCTGCTCACGCGAATCCAACTCAACCTCCTCGGTCGTCGTAGCTACCTCTCCAGCGTCATCTCGCTCGCGACTGGGACAGGACAGTCGACAATCAGCCTGGAGAACAACGATGACGACAACGCAGAGCAATCGTACGGAAACGATTTTGACACCAACAGGAAATACCTGACCTTCAGCTGGTGGTTACTAAACAGGGGCTGGGTCGATATCATGAACCGGGTAGAGGAGGCAGTTCGAGATGTCTTTGGACACCTTAGCCCCCAGACCTCCTGAGTTTTGACACATTCTCACAGCTGTCTCTTGAGGTGCGCAGGAAGGTCGAGGGCCCGACTGAGGGCTCAAAGTGGCTTTCCTTGTTACTTCCGCCGCATGACCAAGAAACCTTTGTTTTGAGAGAGTCTGGAGTGCTGGGCGACAGTGCTGCCGCAGAGACGGCAACGGGGGCGTCAACAACGCCTGCGCCCACCCCGAACCCCTTGCGTCGCATGCTCGACGAGACTTCCGACCTGATCGAGTCACCCGCCTTCAGCCATGTGTTGACACGGCTTCTCGATGCTGGCTTCTCCGTCTTGCTGAACGGAAAGCTTCTGCAGGGTGCGTTCGAACAACAGCCGACTAGCGCCAGCATCCCGGAGCTGGAGGAGGAGCAAATGTCCAAGGTCGTCCTGCTACCGAAGATCTTGTCCGTACTCACCAGGCAGGCGCACGTGATTGGCAATGGGATGCCCAACGAATACCTGCAGGAGATGGAGGGCGTGAGAGATCTGGAGGCTTTTGCCGCCGTGGTGTACTCGAGTAACTGGGAGAACGAAATTCACCCTGACGAGGGCTTTGCAAACCTTGTCAAGCCAGAATCCAACGTCCCGGTTGGAAGTATCCCCCTGACCCAGGTTTCCGAGAGCGTGGTAATGGTTGACCGCGACGTGCCAACGCAGTCCACCTTCGAGAGTGTTTGGGACAAGGCGTCTCAACAATCATAAAACGCATCTAACGAATTAGGCTTGTTTTTTTGCGGGCAATACCATTAATGACGAGCATTGGGGTTTCATCTCTCAAGGGATGGTCGCAGTCACTTGGTGGGGAAACGGCATATAGGGAAAAGGCGTATCTTTGGTTTTGGTCCAAGTTTTTGTTTTGCTTTGCACCATGGTTTGTCCGAATAATACTGCCCGTGGCCGTAGAAGACAGCGTGTTAACACTAGCATCTCAATGAAGCATATTATCAGCATGACATCTGATCGTGTTTCCTTTCGCTCTCATCTATGCCGTGAGCCTTTCTGGGCAGCCATATCTTCTCATGCTGGAGACCCTTGCTCAGACATCCCGAGTCACGTATACGCGCGGTCTTGAGCCACATTCATTTGTGCATCTCATGGTATGTTTAGTCACCACGGTACGCTCGGTATTCCATGAGAAAGCATTTGGTTCGTCTGTGGATTGCTATTTCTTGGTTACTTTCTTCTTCTTCACATCAAGCCCCTGACAAACTTGTCGAGCCCCATCTCAAACATCTCGTTCCTGACCCCCTCGCCGCCCTTGTGCTCCACGGGCGACAGCGGGTTCTTGACCACGTACTCGACCCAGAGGTTGATGTAGATCTGGTGCAGCACGTTGCGCATCCCGGGCGCGCCGGGCTCCGTCAGCATGGCGAAGCGCAGGTTCGAGGGCGTCTCGTAGTAGTGCAGCTTGTACTGGCCCGTCCGGTACGAGATGAAGGCGTCGTCGTCCCCGCCCAGCTTGCGCGCCATGTTCCGCAGGCTGAAGACGGTGCCGAAGATCAGCTTGGCGTCGTCGTTGGCTCGCCTCTGCGTCTGCGTCAGCTTTTGCGACTTTTGCTGCGCAGTCGGGGCCGGAGCCGTGCCCGCCGCCGACGACGACGACGGCGGCGGCGGGACTAGGTCCGAGGAGGATCCAGACGGCGCGAGCCAGAGCTTGGTGTATATGCACTCGGCTGCGGACACAGGTGGTCAGTACAAGGTGCAGATCAAGATGGAGACCCGGCGCCTGCGACAAAAGGGGTGGCGGGGAGGAGTCCCTCCCCAAGAGGAAACGAACGTACTGTGTCTGTCGAAGATGTAGAATGAGTAGACCTGGACCGGCATGGTTCAAGGTTGGTTATTGAGGGGGGGTGCTGGCTATCACATGCCGGCACCGCTCTTCTGAATATGTAGCTTGCTTCCTCGCCGAACCTCAGCAGTCCAATGAACGCGCCGGGAGAGATGTGCGCTGGTCTTCAGGGCGCTGTCCTCGTTTGCATCTGTCTCTGGTAAATATCGCAGGGCGTGGTCGTCCAAATCCCCTCGAGGTCGCTGGGGGGGTGTGGTAGACGGATTGCGGGTTGTCTGATGGACGTTGTGCACCGTTCCACCCCAGGGAATTGGATTGGATGGCAATCCGAGACGCGCTTCCTCCATATCCATTATTACATCTGCGCATCTTGAGCCGCGTTCCCGCTAATGGGAGCGCTGGGATTTTTAAGGGGTCTGCTAATCAAGTCCGCCCGCTGTCAAGGTACCCTACAAGGTACTCTTCCAGGTACCCCTTCAAGTAACTTGCATAGTACGGATCCCGTACCGGTGGGTTGGCGGGGTTGAGAGCGGGCATGCCTCAGTGGGTTCCAAGGTTAGTATTGTAGGGCATACTTTGGCACGTAGGTACAGTAATTAGTAAAGCAACCAAGCCTTTCCTAGCCTTGTGGTTCGCTCAACTGTCCACTGGCAGTTCATCTCGAAAGTCTACAAAGCCCGGGGTCGACAAGCTGCAGCAGGGGTAAGTACGCAGTTGGTCCAGCCTCTGCGGCGTCATTCGCTCGAATGCGGAATTAGCTATTTCGTTGGGCTGAAGAAGCTGCCAGACCTAGAGAAAGTGCCCACCAAGCACGTCGAACGGCAGTCCGGCATGGGATAATGGGCCTTGGGCTGTTGGCCGTTGGCCTTTGGGGAGGATGGGGGCCGTACATTAATATTAACGTAGCTCGTGTGGATTTCTACTCCGGTACATACAGTAGTACATTTTTCTCAAAATCTGAAGCTATTGCCTGATCTGCGCTTGCCCTTTTTTCTTCTTCGTTTCTCCCTCTCCCTCTCTCTCTCTGTCTCTCTCTCTCTCTGTGAACAGGCCAGTGCCTCGAGGCTGAGACTAACTCCTTCTAGTCCTCTCAACTGCGGCTTCTTTTTTATACATAAAGTTCCCATGGTTGTCTCTTTCCAGCGAACCCAACACCACATTTATTCCAATCGGTGCCCTACAGATCGGCACAGCGCATCTCGCGTGCTAGTACTAGCACCTTAGTTGCTGCGAGACTGTACATGCATTACTCATACATAACGCAAACATGACGGAACGTTTAACAGCGACCGCTCCTCCAGCGCTCCTGCTGGGAGAAGAGGCCCTCCTTGGAGCCCCTAAAGGTCATGTTAGTGCGAGCAGCGTCCTATCGCCGCGCATAGCAATCCACGAGGACGCTGCGGCGGGAGAGCGCCGCCCCTCCGTCGTCTCACACATGTAAGACAGCGCCTCTACCTCTTTCATAACCCCGCCACACACAAGAGAAGCAAGTTGGAGTAGCGGAGCCAGAGAGTCACAAAGATACGAAGAAATACTGTAGGAGTTATGGACAATGCGAATAAGGTCCAGGATCAGGGCAAGTCTTTTGCTAAGGAAGTCAGATCAGCGCCCGCCGTCCAGCAATACCATAGTCCTATGCGACAGCACAAGAGAACTCCGAGTCAACATCGCGAGATCAAGGTGGGTAGCTCACCCCTCCAAGCTATATAAATCCCCCACCCGTCGCGGGGACGCGCCGCCAAGAGACTAGAACACTGACATGCCCGGCAGGAAACTCTCAATGCCAGGTCCGAGTATACCAATGATGATACTGAAGGCACCAAACTCAGGATAAACCAATATGTTATCAAGGAAGAGATTGGCAGGGGCTCTTATGGAGCCGTGCACCTAGCGACCGACCAGTATGGCAACGAATATGTGAGAGAGACTAACACCAGAAATTCCTACGGATACACACTGACAATGTCATTCAGGCCATAAAGGAGTTCTCCAAGTCCAGACTGCGGAGGCGCGCACAGTCGAATATGCTGAAACGACCTGGAGGGTTGAGACCTGGTCGAGGGATGCGCTCGCCGTTTTCTCCTCACAGCACGGAGATGAGTAACCAAGATGCCGCTGAGGCAAAAGATTCATTGTTTCTCATTCGCGAAGAGATTGCCATTATGAAGAAACTCAACCATCCCAACCTGGTATCGTTGATCGAGGTGTTGGACGATCCTGAAGAAGACTCTCTATGGATAGTGCTCGAGATGTGTAAGAAGGGTGTGATTATGAAAATCGGGCTAGATGACGACGCAGAACCGTACACCAAAGAGCAATGTCGGTACTGGTTCCGTGATCTCATTCTCGGTATAGAGTACCGTGAGTTCATGTCTCGTCGATTGTGCTATCAACTTCTCACTGACCATTGTGCAAGTACATGCTCAAGGAATCATTCATCGCGATATCAAGCCGGACAATTTGCTGTTGACAGAAGACGACTGCCTCAAGATTGTCGATTTCGGTGTGTCCGAAATGTTCGAGAAGTCAGCCGATATGAGGACAGCCAAATCAGCAGGCTCTCCAGCCTTCTTACCTCCTGAATTGTGCATGGCTAAGCATGGCGATATCTCGGGGAAGGCTGCAGATATCTGGTCAATGGGTGTCTCGCTCTATTGTCTCAAATACGGCAAACTTCCTTTCCATCAACACAATGTCCTAGAGATGTACGAGTCGATACGCACCCAAGAGCTTACATTGCCACCCGACGAGGATGCCGACTTCGTCGATCTTTTGAAGCGCATGTTGACCAAAGATCCGGAACAGCGGATATGCATGAGCGGCGTCAGAGTGAGTGCCTTGTTGTGTTGACCCGTCGACACGGCTAACTCAAACAGAACCATCCATGGGTCACCAGAGACGGAGAAGATCCTCTGCTTTCCGAATCGGAGAACATTACCGAACTTGTAGAGCCGCCTAACGAACTCGAACTCAACCATGCTTTGACACGGAAAATGTCTAACATGATGACAGTTGTGAGTACTTGAGCATGGGACGTAACAAGTGTCGGAGCTAATTTGTGGTCTAGATGATGGCTATCAACAAGTTTAAGGGTCTCATAAACAAGAGTCGGCCAAGCACCCCCGGACTGAAAACGCCCGGCACGCCGAAGACATTACAAGTACCAGTCGATATTCCCGAAACATCTCAAGAGACTACACCAACTGCAGAGAAGCCTCAGCCAGAGAACAACAGGCCAAGGCAAAAGTCCGTTGCCGAGGAGGCCGCAGATCTGGTGGAGGCGAGGAAGGCTTTCCATGCTTCAAAGGAACCATTTCCGGGCGAGAAGGGCCCTGCTCAAGACGCTACTGGTTCGGCTACAGCTTTCTTGGGCATTGGTTTGGGAGGGAGTGACGACTTCGCCACGGCAGAGACACCTGCGGAGTTTGTATCCGACTCCCCCACAGGTATCGATTTCGATATATATGACCGTGCTTTTGAAGCAGAGATGGAGCGCATTCGCTCAGAAAAGCAGCATGGCGGACATCGCCGCAAAACATATATGACCAGATTTGTGAATAGGAAGGATAAGTACTTTGGCGATGACTGCATGATTATGGAGGCAGGTAGCGGCATCCCTGCCCTCGCGTCGTCAGGAGTCGACAAGGTCAGCTCAGCGGCTGTCAAGACCTTAAGCCATGTAGGCTTGACACATCGTCCGGGTAGCAGCTCGGTCGAGGACAAGGACGAGGGGACATGGAAGAAAGAACACGCCAGAGACGCAGTCGAAGCAAGGAAGATTCATGGCCATGACCCTATTCAAGGCATCAAGGAGAAAGGACACAAATTTGCAGAGCTGGTTATGGGGACCATGTCAGTTGCCAAGTCGAAGGTCTCTGGGGAGGCTAAGGAGTCAGGGCAGTAGCTGGAACTCAACCATGCTCAAAGCAGGCAATAATTTATCAGGAGCAGTGGCGGTCTAGGTGAGAAGACTTGGTTTGATGATGATACCGAGGAGAGGCAATCGTGATGGGCTGCAAACGAAGAATTTGAGGCAAGATACCACAAGGGACCAGCTCGACGGCGTCCCGGTTTTGAAGTTTATGATTTGATTAGACCATTCGATATACGATCACCGGAGGGGGCTAACGCAAAGGAACACGAGAGAATTAGAATGATGGAGATGTTCATGCGACCACTTATTTGTATAACATCAAGCCTTGAAACTACTGTCCGATTCCACATATTTTATACCTGTACACATCTCCGCCAGTATGGCCGTCACCAAAAAGTGGGTGCGTAATTTTAGTATAAGATTTAGATTGTCAAAGGCTGCTTTGCTTGCTTGCGTCTCTGGCTAGTAAACCTGTACGGTTGCGAGAGCACCAGAGTTATTCTTAAGTCGCATCTTCTACGTTTATGTAACAGTCCTGTTCCCTTTCCTACAAGAAGACTTGCATGTACCAGCACATCAAAAGTTCAGAACCCCGTGGCCTAAATGACAGCCCAAAGCGTGAACATCAAGATTCACAGGGGGCAAATGTGCACCAGTCTAGGCAGAAATAGAACAGGCTTTGTGAGGTGTAGAGGGATCATCGATCGTCTCCCGGCTCCTGGGAAGCAGTTCGTGAGTGGGGGGTTTTTTTTAGCACGATATCGATAAACGCTGGACTTAGGGATGCTCTTGGTGTCGGAGAGGAAGAAGAATAGGGGCAAACGACGGGTTGCTTTGGAGCTGAAGGAGCATGAAGCGGCGCGCCGCAGCCTTCGGGTCGCTCCCGTTGAACTGTGGCGGAGGGAATGGAAGAAGCACGTCTGTACTGATTGGTGTACTTACCATAATTCGTTCAACATCCTTCCGTGATGTCGGTCCGCTTTTTAAATGCTAATTATATCAAGATGAAAAATAATACCCCGAGATTCCATGCCTATGTCTAAAGGCAACGGACAACCTCGATGCAACTCGATGCGCAAAGTAGCGTACCAATATATCGATCGAGCAATAACTGCAAACATCAAAAATGCACAGACACGTAGGGGACCGATCAGCCATATTCCATCCATGCACCTGGTTAATCCTAGCCGCTGCAACGTCCTCCCATGACTACCCTGCCATCCACGACTCTGCACCGACACGGTTTCGTTCAAGGACAAGGAACATTTGTCCACAAGCCCGAATCGAAAAATCATGTTACCGATGCAAGGCAGAGGCAAAACGCGGGAGGCTTTCCTCCTCACAACTTCGCCTTCGACTTGAGCCAGGCCAGCCCTCCCGACCCCAACGCAACGCCAGCACCTCCGGCCTGCACCACCCCGTTGACCATGGCAGCACCCGCACCCGCCGCCCCGGCACTCTGCAGCGTGGCGAAGGCGCTGCCTGCGATGACGTTTCCGATGCCGCCCTGTACACCGGCCGCGAGGGAGCCTGGAGCGGCAGTAACTAATCGTCAGCAGCTGTGACTGGTCTCCGCCCCGCACGAGCAAGAGAGAAGGAGAGAGAGAGAGAGAGAAAAGACGTAGACTCGACGACTCACCAGCAGCGACGCCCTGCGCCCCGAACCCAGCAGCGCCCAGCGCCGGCGTCGCAATGATGGCCGGGGCGACGACAGCGACGACCCCGACGCCGGCCAGCCCGTACGCAGCGGCGGCGCCGGGGTTGCGAGCCGCCCACCTAGCAGCCTGGCCCGCGTGTTCCGCGGTGGCTCGTCCGGCCTGCGCGAGGTGCTCGGGCAGCTCGGCCTGTTCGGCGGCGGTCTTGGTAATCTGGAAGCCGGCGGCGGCGGCGTTGCGCGCGGACTTCAGGAGGGCGCCGGTGTCGACCGCGCGGACATGGCCTGCGATGATCGCGGCTGCGCAGAGGATGGTATCGAACTTCATGGTACTTTTAGATCTTCGCCGAAGGCAATGTGAATTTGTTGTTGCAGCTGGAGGAGGAGAGAGGATGCGGTGCGTTGGTTGCCGGGTGGCTCTCGGAGAAGTAAGTAAGCTGTCAGCCGGATTTATATTGATCACCTCGAGACTTCAAGCGGAGTTACTTAGAAGAAGCAAGAACAGACAGTCTCGAGCGAGGCTGTGAAGTGTAACAACCGGGGACCGGCCTCTCAAACGGGCCAACGAGAGTACGTCGGGCTGACTTACACGACAGGCTGGGCGGTAAAGCGGCACCCACAATGAACAAACCAATGAGAAATGGCGGGCCTCCCTGCGTTGAGCATATTGCTACGGGGAGAGTATCACCAGAAACACACAGCAGCAAACTAGACCAGATATCAGGCCAAACTCAGTTGTGTCATTTGCTACCTAATCTGTCAAGCAGAAAACATAAAGTCCAACCAACTCCAAAAAAGAAATCCATTTCCTTTGTCATGCTGCGCGGAGCCTTTCCTACACAATGATCGAAAAACGCTTTATCCAGGCAGAAACACCAATGTCATATCAATGTTGACTTGCCAACTTGACTCCCTGCCTACAAAGGCGAACATATGCTATTAAACGCCTTTCTCCATCTGTCTGACACAATGAAGATTGATCTCCAAGATTAGAGAACAGGAAATATCAAGGTAACGTTCGCTCGAAATCAGCCCCGGAAAGAACGCCGGCATATTTCATTATGCAGACATTATATGTACTCAGACACGTATCGTCATTATCGCTCCAAAACAATAGGCAAGAAGGCCGTGAGGCATGAGGCTGGGTAGGTCTATAGGGGGGGCGCCCGTGTTTCCCCGATATGCGCGACGTTTTAGTCGACGCTAAGGACAGGAAGAGAGTATGCAATGGTCGTTCAGTCATAACTCGTCAAATGTTGGGGTGTGCAACAGCACAAATATCTCGGAGGCCGAGGATCAGAAAGTAGTGGTGTAGCTCCGTCCCATAGGAGGCTTTGAGCTCCGAGATGCATTACTAGCCAGATTGATGTTGCCGATCTTCGCAAAACCTCCAAGGAGATCTAGGCCCGAGTTCTCGTCGTTCTCTTCTTCAACGACATTGACATAAAAGTCGTTGAAAGTGTTGTTCCAATTCTCATCTTTGATAAGCGATGCTGTTTTTGCGGCACTGGGAGATTGAAGGTATTTGCTCGGTGACGACATGACGTCGAGAAATTTGCTGGGCGTCTCGTAGGGAATAGGGAAGCTCTCTGGGACCTTGAGCAGAGGCGCGGATGTAAGAGTCCTGTTCTGGGCGGATGCAGTCATCTCGCCTAGAGCACTGGTTGACTGAGATCGATCCATGCGCATTCTCTTAGCTGAGCGCTTGATGGGTGAGCCGTTGTCTGCCAAGTTGAAGAACGAAGTGTCCAGTTGACCATCTTGAAAGATGTCAAAGTCGGTGCCATCAGTGGGAAAGTCGTTGAAGAACATGGTACTGTCGAGGTTGAAGTTTGGACTGTAGGGCATAACTTCACCAAGGTTGCTAGCCCTGCGAAGAGGAGAGTCCAACATGCGCTTCATCTCGTCCCGATGCAAGCGCAGATTAGTGTTTGGCGAGACAGATGGAGGCGGCCTCATCATGGGAGCTCGCTTCTTCAGTGCTGGTGTTAGAGGAGGCGGCATCTTATTCGTGCTATTGAGCTGGCGAAGAGGAGAGGAGGAAGGGACCAGGCTGTATGAGCGCGCCTTGGTAGGGCTGTCGTACGACGATGCTCTGAGTCGAGCAATCTCTTCCTCAGCTCGGCCACGCTTCATGCGTGGGCGGTCAGCCTCAGAGCTGAGGCGTTGCTGGTTGGGGCGCATGGCAGAAGACTCCAGTGATGAGATATAACCACTGTCGTCCATGGAAGCGAACTTGCGCTTGTGGGTGCGTGCACCGGAAGAAGCAGGAGCTCGCGAGGCTGGCGGTGGTGTGTTGCTACGATCCACACGTCGTGGCATCGGAGGAGAGGAGTGCATCTCGGCAGGGAAGGGCGAGTACGCACGATCTGCAATTTGATCCGGGTCTGTCTTGACTTCTTCCTCTTCGGGAGTGATATTATCGGAAAGGGGTATGGTGGCATCAGACGAGACTTCAGGGGCAGCTGGCATGGATGGGTTGGTAGGTAACAATGGCTGGGAATACACCATCGGCTGCGCAGGGAGGATGGGAGTTGGGAATGAGGGAAGGCCGTCTTGGAAGAAATGCTGCTCCATTGGCATCGGCTCCATGCGACTCGACATGTTAATAATGGAGACGTTTTCGACTCCATTTTGGGCCTTGCGGGTGGGCTTGTCCTTGATGAATTGAATCTCCATGCCTGGCTCAATAGCCCAGTAGTGACCTTTGCCGGTGTCGCCCTTGGGCCGCTCCTGCTTGATGAAAGCCTTGTTGAGACTCAGATTGTGTCGTATACTGTTCTGCCAACCAGACGCCTCACTCGCATTATAGAACGAGTATGTATCTGAGATCCATTTATAGATTTGCGACAAGGTTAATCGACGTTGTGGAGACCTTAAGATTGACATGGCGATCAACACCGCATAACTGTGTGAAGGCTTCTGACCATCATCCAGTATAGGCGGAAAGGAATCGTGAGGAGGCAGCACACATTCCCTCTCCTCTGGAGTTGCGTCCAGCAGTCCCAATTTCGAAGGTCTCGATTCCTTGATGGGCGCAGCCTCTAGCAGAGTCCGTTTTGCTTGTGGCTTGGGATAATAGTTTTCTATGTTCAGACTGAATGAGGCAGGTGGTGCAGGTTGCAGTGCCGGATGGGCGTTCTCCTTCCCATAACCCATACCATCCTCCATTACAGGTTTCTGATATACCGTCTTGAATCTTGACATGATAGGTTGCTTCTTCTGCATCGAGTCCGTTGTCTGGTTGCTGCCCATTGGCGGCTGCAGGTTGACGGCGTTCTTCATCTTGTTGACATGATCCTTTAACGGCGTCAAGGGTGATGTGGTTGCTCTGCCGTCGGCGTTAAAGGGCGAGGTCTGTTTCCTGAATCCACCATGCGGGCGCTGGAAGACGCCATTTACATTTCCATTGGAGCTCTGTAATGCCTTGCGCGGCGATATTTGCCTGCTCGCCGAGGGCATCGGTGCCCGACTGACACACATTGCGGATTGTTCCAGGTAGTCGTTGGGGTCACGGAAGATCTGGAGCGGCTCCGCGCCGGGCGCAAGACGCGTCGGTTTGGCCATGTCGGCCGATGTGGGTTGCGCGATGGTGAATGACTCTGGGCTGACTGGGGGAGAGTCGCGCGCTTGTGGTGCGAAGCTGTCTATTTCGTGGTGTTGGTAAGGCTTGGTGATGGATGTCAGCTCTTGACTTGTGCCACCGAGGGCTGATAGGTGGTGGAAGAGGCCCTGGTAATGTACTCTTTGTGCGGTGAATAGGCGGTGGGGAGACTTTGTCCGCGCGCTCTAGGTTGCATGACGGTAGGAGATTTCGCGGGCGTGCAAGCTATCTAGTCTAGTACTCACTCACCTTGGTCAGGTTCCAATTTTAATGAGCAGTGGAGCCCTCAAACAAGGGTGAATGTGGCGCCTATGGACCTTGATGAGCCTCGTTTACAAGTCTCGAGTGTGTCAATGGCTAAAATGGCGATGTTTCGATGCCGTGTCTTGGTTCGCTCGCCCTCGCGATTTCAGGGAGCTCGGAGCTCGATATTTTGCGACTCGGGGGTGCCAGAGTAAGCAGTGCAGAGAGGAATAACGATGAAATGCAAGGTGACAGGAAAGGTTACGAGAAGCTCATGGGATGGATGAGACGAAAGAGGGGAATTCGGGTGAGATGTAACAGGAAGCGTGGGGAAAGGACGTTCCTTGGCTGGCTGAGCACAAGCTAGAACTTGAGCTCGAAGCGGATGGACGATGGGGTGGGTACTGTCTGCACGATAGATAGACTGTCTGAACTGGAACTAGGATGGGGGAGAGACAGTGGAAAAGGCGTGCGGCGGGCGTGAAAGTCTGGTGCCTTTGCTGGGCGGCACACGCACAAGCTCCCACCAATCTCACAATCTGACTTCAGCAGCTGGACCTTGAGCTTGTCCAGTCCTTGGCTTGGTGTCCCGGAGGCTGCTGCAGTCTGCAGCTAGCCAGCGCAGCACCGATCCACCCAAAGCGGAAGTGCGGATCCCTGAGTCTGCATGCACGTCTGTCGACTCTTGCGACAGAGGATTGGGCGAGACTGACACGATATTGGCCAAAGGCCACGACAGGCTGGCGAAGGAGTGGTCTGACCCTGGCGTGAGCGGAGAACTGATGCGAAGTGCACAGCGCTGGTTGGCTTTCAGAAAATATGTTTGGTGTGAGGTGTGTCGACAATGGCCTGGCTGCTGCACGGGTTCTGGCTATTCTGGCTATGCGTGCACAATTGCGGTCGAGCTCTGGCCCCAAGCGACGGATCCGTGGATGCCCAAAAGACGTTGGCTGATTTGCAGAGAGTATAATCCAATCCAAGCATGTGCTGTGGCGAGAGAGCCGACGACCGCAAGACAAGATAAGACATGCATGCAGGGCTGTCTGATGTTGCGACTAGACTAGCGGGCGCCAACAGCAGAAATTTCATAAAGGTTGGATGCGCTTGTGCAATGATGTGCTGAGGGTGCTGCATTGATGAATATGTGGTGTTTAAGATTGATGAGCACCACTGAAGCGATTGGATGAGAGCAGCGTGCCTTGAGGCAGGCCAGGTAAAACGGCAGCCACTCGCGTTGGGCGCGACGCTTTGTTGACATGGCGGAGCGCGTCGAGCCAACCAACCTCTTCCGAATTGACTTCCGACTCTTGGCAAGCTATGCCTTGTGTGCCTTCTTGACCCTCCCCAGCTGTCAACTATCCAACATCAGCTCTGCACATGTACCTGACTATTCCAAAAGCTTTTGGCGCAAGAAAGAAAAAACGAATACGCCAGGCCCTGATTCTCACACCACTCAAAGTCAAATGCCTGATTGAAACCACCGAGCCGCCGCAACACTAATCATGACGAGATCAAAGACTGGGACAAGTGCTATGGGGGGAGTGCTTGGCCACACAAGGCTGCAGACCTACGGATACCCGTGCAGTAATCAAAGTCAATTCCGCTCCGAGACACGCCATGCCAATACATGACAGATCACCCATTTCTCATTTACTGCACTGCACTACATTGCATTGTACTCTCAAAAAAATTTCAACAAAAAAAATTGAGGGTATCCCAAGGCGCACAACGTTTCCGGCCTCATCACCACGCTCTGGCTCTACTGCCAGGTCGGGGTTAGCCTGCTAGTATCTGATAGCAAGTATTATATCTCTCTTTAGCGCCCGACTATCTATCGCGCACGCCGCATACCGATAGAGTGACATCATACCTGATCGTTGGATCTTTGATGCCTTGCCTGTCTAATTTTAAGAAGCCCACACCTTAAGGTTTTCCATTCCCGCAGTCTCAGACTCTGATCTGTGCTTTTGAGACGGGAAGCCCAATTACCAAATCACCGGCTTTTTGGGAAAACTTTTCGCATCTTTGCCAAACACTAAAACGATCGCAAGGTAAGCCCAGCGACTGCCGGTACCGTTGGGTGCAAGCAAGAAAAGACACGACTACTCATTTTGGCTATCTTTCTTGCTCAATGCGCTAGGACTGCCAACTCATCGTGACTATTTGCTCTACCAGACTTGTCCCCGGTCGTTGTAACCAATTGGGCTAGCACCGCGATTGCCCGACACGGCATTGGCAGATGGGCCGTTATTCATGATCTGCTTTCCCCATTTCCATCGCGACCTTCGATGGATTTTCTCCTATGGCTTCCTCTTCAGTCCTGCTGGGATCTGCTAGTTCGGCTTTGGTCCACTTGCCGAAGCTTGCCCTGGCCGAAATCTGCCCATATGGATTACATACAAGTAGTAAGCACGTACATTTTGCATCATGTACCCCACGAGCGTTGGTTCGGCCCACTGCTCGTCCGTTCCCTCCAAAGAAGACAAGCGTCAGGTTCTAGTTCACCGCGTTCCTTGATCTAAATGCATCCTTTTAACACCAAAACGGGAAAGTCGTCCGTATACTCGAGTTTGCGTGCACCCTGCACGTCTTGCGACATTGATGGGTGATCAACCGGCAGATTGTCATCTGAGAGCTGCCTGCAGCCATCAAACATGAACACCCGGTCTGTGATCTGCCTTGCCCTCTCCGCAGCCCATAGTTTCGTTGACAACAAACATTCTTGCGAAACACGGTGGATAGTATCGTTCACGTGCGAACATGAGCCATACTGTACCCTGTTCCTGAAGTCAACTTTGTCGAATGAGACTTGGACTCGAAAATACACAATGCGTCATGAAATCAGAGTTGCCACTATCCCCTAAGCAAAGTTTAGATTCGTACCTGGTTTCTTGCCAAGCATATACACGTGTGCAGAAGTATAATGTCCCGGCCCTGCGAAATATACCTTTGCAATCTCGGAAGTGACAAAATCCATCCTGCGGGCTCCGAGTGGTTGGCTACCTGCAGTGTTCGAAGGTTACACTCCAGCCCCTATTGCATGCATGCTTGCCTAGTCCATTTCTCAAGCCACCGTAATAGACAGGCTCGCTGCTGCCTCACGATGCGTACGCCGGATGGAAACACTAATCCGACAACATCCAGCTCTTCCATGCTTCAGCCATCATATAACAAATGTTAGTACAAGCGAATGAAGTAAAGACATGAATCATCATAGCGCAGCTATTCTATCCCATCATTCTCAAAATAAAAGGGATTGGCAAAATTAGAACTAATGAGGTGTCGTCGCTGGAAGGAGATATGCTCGAATGTCGATAAGCGTCGGCTCTGCAAGATTTTTGTTTTTCCGGCTTGGAGTTGAAGATACTGCAGCGGCGAGGCATATAGCGAAGTGCTTGTTTCATTTAATCGTTGCAACGTGACTGACGAAACGGACTTCTGAGATAATCTGTAGGCACGTGCGAGTTCCTGCATCTTTGATGCCCTGCTATAGTATATACTTTCGCTTCAGTCTATATCCCTGGACAATTATTCAATGCTTTTATACGTAATCTGTAGAGATCTCGTCATGCCAATATGCATGATAGCATGCGCTTGTGCCTACTGGACGCTTGACTACCTCTAACGTTCGGGGCGTTTCTCAGCTGCTAAATTGTGAACACCATGTAGTTGGATACGAAGCGGCAGCTGACCTATGTACGTCTTATGTCTAATGATCTTGCTATCGTGTTAAACATATTTTGGGGTTTTAGGGACAATGTTACAAATATCAAACCACATTACGACTTGACAACGTGCTCGACAATACAGATGAGCGCAAAGTTATACAGGATACAGCATCTCACATTTGATATCTTGACCTGAGAGAAGTGGGAGAACGATGAAAAGCCTTTATATAGAACATACCGAAAAGCCTCCTTTAAAATCTAGATGGCCATATGTTTAAGATATGTCTCGAGATCTTCCATCTTGATTCCTCTCTGATGATTCAGAGTTTCCTCTCGTTTCCACGAGACACCATTTCCCGCCGCAAACACGTTCTGATACTTCAACATCCCATCACCGGGCTCTTCCTCGAGTCTCCTCCTCAGAAACGGCCTGTCCCACACCTCCTTCTTCCACTCCCCGCCGAATCTTTTCTCAACCAGCTCCGCCGCCATGCCATACGTGACCGTGTCACCCGCGACGAACACGACCTGTCTCCCAACACCCCTGGGGTCGTACACAATATCCGCCACCACGCGGCCGATGTCCCCAGGCGTCGTGACACTCACGGCCGTGTCCCAGCTCCCCAGCGCCCTCAGGACCCGGTTCCCGAGGTCGACAGGCCCGAACCCGGGCACAAACAGGAACGACATGAACAGCCCCGTGCTGACGACGACCCAGTCCACCGCGCTTTGGGACCGGAGCAGCGAGCGGACCTCGAGCTGCTCGTCGAACAAGTCCTGCGCGCTGCCTGCGCCGACGACGTCGTAGTCGATACCGTACTGCCAGGGGAAATATCGGGCCACCCCGGCTTCGAGCACGGCGCGGGTCAGTTTAGTCTGCGTGCCTGAGGGTAGGTACATTCCTGCGCAGGAGATAATGGTGTGGTATTTCTTGAATATGACTGCGAGTTCGGAGACGGAACTGGATCCTATGTCACCGGCCTCGAATGAGACTCCCAGGGAGGAGAGATAGGACGTCTCCTTCTGCTTGGTAGGGTCGGTGGAAGTCAATGTGGTGGGGCGGAGGAGGACGGTAACATTGTTACTGTGGGACTGACAATTCGGATGGGAGGTCAGCGCCTTGATCACTGCTGTACCTAACTCGCCGGCCCCGAGAACCAGGATAGGTTGTGTCGGCATTGTCGTTTATTTTGTTCTAATTTAAGTAAGTATTGTTCAGTAACGTGACGCATGCAGGAGCGGTTTGAGCCAGTGCGTCCCCAATATTCAGAGAGAGCGGAAGCCACATATATAGGCCCTCTCTCAATACTTGATTAGAAATCCGTGGGGTGCGGCGTTAGGAGTTTCCTGCGGGCCAAGATTTCGGGCATGGCGATCCTCTTTGACGCCGGCCGGTGGGTTTCGACACCAGGTGTTCGGGGCGGGGCCAGCAGCGTAGCGCGGCACGTATTTCCGGCAGCTCTCGGACATCTCTCAATAACCAATAACCAGTCCATTGGCCAACAAATAGGGTTAAACTGCGACCACGTATGAGCAACAAGTTGGATGAGAATTGTCAAACTAGTCTAACGTGAGCAGCTAACCCCTATAGCAGCCTAATTCTGCGTCAAAGATGCTCGGTGGCTTGCACGAAACTGTGATATGATTGGTTATATGAAACAATCATGAGTTTGGGCTTGCTCTACTAATAATACTGAGCTACTTCACGAATTAATGCGTTCTATTCGCCTTGCCAACAACGTGCCCGCAAGCATTCGTCCTCTGATTCACTCCAAGGTCTGGCCGCTATTCCACCTTGGATTACAGTATGGGATCATCATTAACGAACGCTTTTGGTACCCTCAGTTGTCCATGAATCGTCCTGGTCCTTGTTACACATAAAAAAATTGATGTTTTAAGACATACGTGTCATTTCTGTTCCTTCAGCTTGTCGGCGGAGATTATGGTCATAGTTCACGGATTCATTCGGTAAGTTTTTGGTATGAAACCGCCAAACTAAGTATCCAGTCCGAACCACTTCCCGAGTAATTTTTGGTATGCAGAACATGTGCCAGGCCGCGAAGTGGAATTGCTTGGTATATTTATACAGGATTATAAGGTAGCATACACGGCTTTACACACTATTTCCAGAAGCTCTTTAAACGAAATATCTTAATCGACCCAACCAACCGGGCTCCTTAGTATAGCAGATCTGCTGCTGTGAGACCTTCATGTTGATACTATTGAAGCCAATATTATGTGCCTTATAAAGCATTCGTGTCATAAACATCAGTCTAGGATGGCATCTGTACCCTAACAATATGCTGTCGAACGCATCGATGTAAGTTCCCAAAGATTCATATTATGCTGGAAAATTTTAGATCGCCCGAGTCTGTAAAAGTAGTTGCATCAGAAAACGTTAATGGTAACCCTTTCCATCTATATGGCGTTAGCATTAGCCGTTTGCTATATCACTGCGCTGGCAGCAACCCTTTGCCAGGCTTGGAACGTCAACGTTATACGTCTTGAAGATACATCGAATCTCTTGCATAGTACCTCTGCGCAGGGTCGATTATGGTTCTTCCTCTCATTTTGTAATTGAAAAGCAGGAGTGAGTTTTCATGGCGATAATTTATCAATTGTATGAACTAAGAGTCCTGTTACGATCCTTTTTTATTTAATGTTACGTAAAACCTTTGTGAGGAGCTGAGCGGTCATCTATTTGTGGATGAAATTGCATAGTGATTGTGTATCTGAAATGTGCATTGATGGTCTGTCAATGCTGAAAGAAGGAGGTATACGAGATTACGAAGGGGGTTTGGTAGTTGATAAACAATTGAAAGAGGTCGATAATTTACGTGCAGTATGTATCACCATTATAGTAATAATGGGGTATTACAGGGAAGGCTAAAGATAGTTGCACAAAATTTAGTATAGACTAGAACTTGTTTAGACCTATGAGCTGCGATAGAACCATTCTTTTTTCTTGCCGTATACTCCCTCGAAACGCCTTTAAAGCTAGGCAACAAATAAGTTGCTCGACAAAGAGCTTTGACGGATCTGTTCAACAGTTGGAGCCATGCTGCTTAGTATAGAATATGTATTCAACCGCTGAGTCCCTGCATATTCTCTATGTTTTGGCATTGCCCATTGAGGTACAAGACACAAAATGTTCCCAAACCGCACGCAGTTGTGAGCGAGTACCAGGGGGGGAGTTCCATAGAAGAACAGAAGAATGATTAAGTGTTTCTAAAAAAGACCGGGAATCTACAAAGTTGACTTAACAAGGCGAGGGCCTGTAATTCTCTTCGTATACTGAGCAGCACTAGTTAATAGTGTATCCTCCATCAACAACTAAAGCGTGGCCCTGAACAAAGGACGCCTCTGGAGAGCAAAGGAACAAGACAGCGTGAGCAACCTCATCAGCTGTGCCCATCCGGCGCATCGGAGCGATATCTATCGCAGGCCTCAACGTCTTCTTCATTTCTTCGGAGCTTGTGGTCATAGGTGTCTCAATCACACCAGGACAGACGCAGTTGACGCGAATTCCATCTTGCGAATAATCTATTGCATCGGCCCGCGTCAAGTTGATGATGGCAGCCTTGGATGCACAGTAAGCTGCGGCGCCAGGTCTTGCTACTATACCAAGCTGACTTGCAATGTTGACGATGGCTCCTTGGAAGTTTGGGTGCTCGGGCAGCGCTTTCTGCTTCAACATATGCGACAGCACGGCCCTGGAAGACAACCATGTTCCCCTGTAGTTGACGTTGGTAATGGCATCAAACGTAGAGACAGGGGTCTCGGTGGACCGAAGAGACTCCTTCAAAATGCCAGCACAGTTGACCGCATAGTCGAGACGGGAGTGCTCCTTTGCGACTTGGTCAACAAAAGAGCTTACGAAAGCCTCATCTGCTACGTCGCCCACGCGGGCGGTGACTTGCGCTCTGGGATTGATTTCCAAGATTGCTTCCTTAGTGCTCTGTAGTGTTGTCTTGTTCATGTCCGTAATACCAATTCGAGAGCATCCAGACCTAGCAAAACCCCTTGCGACCGCTGCGCCGATTCTTTAAGCTTTGTATTAGTTGAGCATATTCGTGATTTTGGGGATCTGCGTGCCTGACCCTGTCCCACCAGCTCCGGTAATGAGGGCCACGCCGGGAAGCCTAAAAACTGTTGACGCCATCAGGTGGTAGTCCGGCTGGCTGATACAGTCTCTCTAGCAATGTCTTAAGACAACAAGATTGTCTGTTTCCAATCAATGGGCAATGGGTCGATTTCCGAACGTGTTATTGAAGGAAAAAGCATAAGTCATGGGACAGAATGTTGCCGCTCGTCATGGTGATCTCACTTGTTGGCTTCGATGCAGGGCTATCTGTAATTATGGGCTACAAGAGCTCCGACGTCCTGCGCCGATAACGAAGACGCTAACGTCGTCCGTTGGCCGTTGGAGCGCACGGTTTCCAGCAAGGTCTAATACACGCATCAGTCAGTCTCGTCGCTGTTGCTAATGTGCGAGGACAGTTCAGCTACATTGAAAAGAAAGAAAAAACTGTAGTCGGTGACTAGAATCACACGTTTGGTCTTCCCACATTGAACTGGATGCATTCGTTTCAGGCAATTGAAGCGTCGTGGGCCGCTGTAGACCGGTCGTTCCCTAATCATTACCAGCCTCCGCCGGGGTCAGAGGTCAGAGGTCACAGGTCACGTTGACTGACCAAAAAGCGGCGGTAGATTCCGCCACAACAAGAGTCTAGAGTCTGGGCCTAAAGCACTCCCAGCAGGTCTTCCCAAATCCCCGCAATTTCATTCTCTACCCCATCTTTTGCCACCACTGAAGCTCAAGACCCGAGCGTACGCGATGAACACTCCAACGCGCCCATAGTAAACCCATCTAATCCTTCAAAAATGGAGACGACAATGACTGTGTCGCAGCGCCCACCCGCAGGCGTTCAAAAGCGCCGCAAGCCTTCTGGAGAACAATCTCACGTCTGTCCATTTTGCAATCGCGCCTTCAAGCGATCGGAACACAAGGAGCGACACGTCAGAACGCGTGAGTACCGCCCAGTTCTCCAATATCTCCAACCTCGGAAGACCCTCTATACCCCTGCCAGTCACCCTGTGTATTGCCGGACACACAACATCAATATCAATCTCATACGGCAACACCAGTTCCCGAGTCAATTCACAAGTCAGGTTGCAGCCTCGTAGACTGCACTGCGATGGCCCCGGCAATGCATTACTGAACCACCACGCTTCCCTGTTCCGCTGACTCGGGTCGGCGAGGTGAGGCTGGAGTCATCTATAACCAATCCAACTACTCCACCTCAGCGGATTTGCTTTTTCTTCTACAAAACACCGTTATTGGCTAGAAGCGCACGCCTCGTCCCTCTAATCGGTCTCACAGTAGTTGTCAAGCTCTTTCTTGGCAAGTGTCTGAGAAACGGTAGACCCTCAGTGGAATTTGCCGGGTGCCCGCATGAATTGCCATTGCCATTGCCCTTGCCCAATTCTTTGCTGAATGCGGTCTAACAGAACACAGACACCAAGGAGAAGCCATTCGTATGCCACTGCGGTTCGGCTTTTACCAGACGGGACCTGCTCACTCGGCATCAACGAATTGCCACTCACGAGAAGCTTCAGGATGCACATGACACCAAATCGGAACAGAGCGGAGTGCCGCCACCGCCTGCCTCAATTGCAGGCACGGATCTGACCTCTCCTATCTCACCAACCGAGATCAGCATCAATGCTTGGGATCAGCATGGTCATCTAAATTCCGGATACATAGAAGGGAATGCTCCTGATGAGCATCACATGTTGAGTCATCAGTACCAGCAACCCATTCTACACCAAGATTACTATCACGGCCAAGGTCAGTCTCTTATTCAATGCGCACTCACTCATCCTTAGATCCTCCTTCACTGCTCCCTCGTTCTTGCATGTGCGATTCTCGCTCTTCCGTCAAACGATCATGATCTTGTCTTTCCATAATCACTAATGCAGATGCGTTAGGTCAAGCACTTCCCATGGACTATCCTGACTTCGACGGATTTGCGCAATATGACCCTAGTGGCTTACCTGTAGGATGGGATGCAAATGCATACTTCCAACCGCCTGACACTGGCGAAAACTATGTAGACCCGCAACTGCAGGAAACCATTAGCATATCCATATAGGACGGGATATATCGTCAGATTTGAGTGATTTGGGTCTGCTCAAAAGCAGGGAAAGATCATTGTGGTCATTATGCGCGGTTGCACGAGGCTGTCGAGGTGATGTTTCCTCATTGATGGCGAATTTCTTTGGGAAGTGCTCGGAAAAGGATTCACTAAGCACAAATTGTATGGAAGCGGCCTAGTTACGTGTATAGCGATGATAATGCTTCCTGAACTGGTTGTCTGCCCAGTTTGTAAGCACCGATACCATCATGTCCATAGAGACACTAAATTCATTGCTTTCTATTTTTGTTGGCATTGCTAGGAGCTCATACTGCTGGCGTCTCATGACTTTTGTTAGCTTACGAAGTTCACATGGCCATTACATAGTCGCGCCGTACCACGCTCGTCGTGCAGATCGTTACCTGGGTATGCAAGCGTAACATGTGTAGTTTTGATACACCGAACCCGTAAAACCAAAGGCTCTAAAATAAAACATGATGGAAGGGTATGAACTATATACAATGAAAAGACGGAAAGATAATCAAAGAATGAAAAGACAGGTTTCCGGGTGTGCTCCTACAGCGAACTATGCACGAACACACCCCATCATAATCAACATCATCAAGGGCGCCCCCATCGCACTGCACAACTGACTAACGGCGGTGATGTCTCCTCCCGAGCCCATGCATATGCCCGTGGCCGTTGAACCATCTCCTGTACGGCACCGTCATGTACGAAGACGCGATGTTCGCGCCATTAGCCTCTGCAGTCACGGGGGTGGCGGCGGTGCCCACGCCGAGGCTTCCGGTGCCGCCGACGAACCCCATGCCTGCTGTTCCGTACATGCTGCTGCCCGTCCCGTAGTAGCCTGGCGGGTAGGGCGGCTGCGCGGTGACGGTGACGGGGTCCGCTGCCACGGTCACGGTCACGGTCACGTAGCTGGTGACGGGCTCGCAGAGCGGCACGCCCGACGGCTTGATCGAGGTCACCGTCTGCGTGTTGGTGATCGTGCTAGTCAGGCGGGTCACCGCGGCGGTTGCTGCGGGCGTATTCGGCGATACGGCATTAGGAGGACTGCTAAAGGGGGAGAGTAGAAGAACAAATTAGTTTCGTGTTCGCAGGCCAAAGACCGAGCGGACCAGTCTAGAGACCTGGGTGAAGGGAGGTACTAACCTTGACGAGGAGCTGGCTTCAACAACAGTGGCCGATGAGGAACTTTTGATCGTCTGCGTCAGCGCTGGCTGCGTACCTGATGCCGCATTGTATTTGTAGCTGGAACTGGTAGGCTGCACCTCCGCCGCTGGAGGGGCGACATTTGCAGGCAAAACAGGAGGAGTCGAGGTAAGAGCTTCGTACTCGATAATGGTCGTGAAGTAGTTGCCGAGCGTCAAGGTTGTACAAGGCTTGGTCGGGCTCGCCTCAGGACTGCTCGATCCTGCGGCAGTGGCTGCTCCAGTGGATTGTGGCACTGGCGAAGTAGGCGCTGGAGCGTCCTCGTATGTGATGGTGGTGGTGATCAGATTTGTAGATGAACCGACAGTGTTGCTCAAGGTAACAGCCGCAGTCGAGTACGTGATGGGACAAATTGTGGTAGATACAGCAATAATCTCAGTAGTCACGGCAGGTGTACCGGAGCTTGCCGGACAATTCTTGACTTCAGGGGCACAAGAAGTGATTGTGTAGACGTTCGTAGAGTAGACGGTAGACATTCTAGAAACAGGAAGCTCCGTTGGGGTACCATTAGACTCCGCAGCCACGCCTGAAGAGACAGGCACCACAATTGAAGACGATGACACTGGACTGGGGCTCAAGGGGGCACTAGACTGAGCTGCGAAAGGAGTACTCGACGAGGATATGCTGCTGGCAATTGCGCTTGTAGAACCTGTCGTGGACCTCGAGCTGTTCAAGGACACATAGGTGGATATAACTACCTCTGCCGATGCGGTCGCCTTTGGCAAGCTGGCTGGCAAGGATGTTGTGTCAACAGCATTTATTGTGCTAGCTGTGTTCTCGGTAACTGGGCAGATTGTTGTTGAGACGGCAATAATTTCAGTTGTAACCTCTCCTCTTCCCGGGCAATCCTTGACGTCTGGAGCACATGAAGTGACCGTGTAGATATTGGTGGAGTATACGGTACTTGTTGTTAGCCCAATAGGCGCGGTTATGGTCAAAGACGGCATCGTTGAGTTGGCCAGAGTCAGCGAGTAGAGTCCCGAGGAGTTTGTGAAATTGGTTATGTCTTGAGGGGTGTTAGATGAGGTGATGGAAACAGTAGTAGCTACCGGCATGGTGGCACTCGTTAATGAGTCGGGCGGACCCTGGGAGGTGCTGACAACTGACGATGGAAAGGTCTGGGCAGCGTTCACAGGACTGACTTGAGGTGTGTAGGTAACACCATCGAGTACGGTCTTGGTGATCGGACATATAGTCGTATATAGAGAAACAAGTTCTGTCGTCACACTGCCTTTCTTAGCAGGGCAATCTGTGACTGCAGGAGCACACGATGTGATAGTGTAAACGTTCGTCGAGTATACAGTTGATAATGTAGAAGTTGTAACCTCACTGCTGACGCTGTAGGTAGTCGGCATTGCTTGAATCGAAGAAGCCAAGATAGTACTTGTTGTCTTCGAAACGAGACTGGAATTTGCTAAAGACGACAGACTTGGTAACGCAGAGGACACCGTAGAGTCCAGGGAAGAGATAACACTGTTCAACTTTGAGCTATCGTATGAAGCGGCTGATGAGAGGACCGATGATGCACTAGAAACACCACTCGATATACTGCTCGATGCATTTGGAGACAGAGATGGCGCCAGAGAGACTGTTGGGGACGAAGCCTTTGGTTGGGTCTCTGTGACAGGGCAAACAGTTGTTCCAATCGAGACTACTTCGGTAGTGACAGCGCCCAGCTTCGCTGGACAGTCCTTGACCGTAGGGGCGCAAGATGTAATGGTGTACATTGTCGTTGAGTAAATAGTGGATGTTGTCATTTGAGTTGTACTTGCGCTGATATTGGGAGGACTTGTCGTCTCGCTGCTCACGTTCGACAAGTTCGGAAAAATGCTGGAAATGCCTGACGAGAGGCTAGAAGAACTACTTGACACGACTGTACTACTGTCAAGTAAGGAACTTGAGGCACTGACTGATATGCCAGACGACAACGAGGTCGATGAATTACTAGGCATGGTAACCGCGGCATTGGAGCTTGTTGAGTTTGGTGACGACGATGATGAGAGTGTGCTTTGACTAATTGAAGCAGACTCTGCGAGTGATGTGGCAATGAAAGACGAGGTAGTACCAAGAAAGTACGAGCTGAAACTGCTGAGAATACCCCCAGATGAAGTCGTTGAACTGGCGACACTCGACTGTGACAACGACGCAGTAAATGAATATGTCAGACTCGAGCTTACTAAGGTTGTTGAAGGTGAGGCACTTGTGATGCTTGCTAATATGTCACTGGAGGTGACATCGGAGGGATTTGGTATAGAAGAAGACAACAGTGATGTGGAAGATATTGAGCCCGCACTATATGTCAACTGATTGCCTGTTGACCCCAAAGTTGATGCAGATAATATTGAAGTTTGAAAGGTGCTCGCAGAACTAGTCGGCACCCCTGAACCGTCTGTCGTGACGTCCTGTGCATTGGACACCTGGGATATAAGTCCTAGTGTGGCATATAGCCCGTATGGTTTTCGTGGAAGCATGATGTTAATGACCTGGCAAGGATCTGTAATGGTAACTGTTATTGAAATTTCTTGTTCTCGACGAGAGGGCCCCGGACCCATGTATGCAAGGTTGGATCTTTTCGAATTTGATATTTTTCCCACATAAAGAATCGTTGTTGTTCTTTGGTCAAACACAGCCTCACAACATGGTCAAAGAGCACTCAAAGCAGTTTGCTTGCCATTCTACCAATTCCGGGGAAAATAAATACAGATGTTGATTGTGAATTCACTCAAGCAAAGATATTGTTGAACAAGACTGTTCTTTGGTTCTTGACGGTATCGAAGACATAGAGAGGAGATGATTGACCCAGATGGGTACAATGCCATAGACCAAGGAGAGCGGTAGGCGGCAAATACACACAAGTTGCCCCTAACCTCGAGGGCCAGAGTCTTTGTCCACTCGGACGGGATAATGTGTGAACGAATAGTCCACTGCTAGATGGATATTGTTGTATGTTCGGTAAAGAAGGACTTGGCTCCTTTTCAAATGTGCCTCAGCGGATTTGGATTGTATCTGCAGTTCTCGGCATGATAGCAGCTCGAGCAAAAGAACATGTGTGGCCATTGATACGGAGTCGTTTTGTGGTGAGCGAACGGATTGAAGCAAGGTTGCGCTGAGAAGCAAAAAAGATATATGGAAAAGGAAGTATGAGAATATTACCTGACAGAAGTGTATGGAGGACGGGGTAAAAAAGGGAAAGTCTGAATCTCATACTTGAAGAGACTCGGGAGTGGTTGCCGACTGGGCGTATTATCGCTAAGCCTGTTCGTTCGGGAGAGAAGAGGCTGTGACTGGCTAACTTGAAAAGGCGAAAAGCACATGCCCTTCCATGGAGCCAGACAACGCTTAATCCTGGGTTACATAATGTGCTGCAGTACTTGCAGGCGAAGGGAGAGCCAAGGCAGGGGCAATCGGGTCCAACGCATGGCCACTGCACGCCCGCCAAGCACGGGGCATGGCAGATGGGGGCGGGCGTTTGCATCCCACTTTATCTAGCTACGGTAGGTTAGTGCCTGCCTGCTGCACCTGGCCGCAACACGCACCTGTCAAGCTGCGGAGGTTGACCTTGACCTGGACCTGGGACGTGGACCGAAGGCGCCCCAAGACCAAGGCTAAGACCAAAAAGACCCTTCCTCTCAAAGAATATTCCCGGCGCCTCGACGTCGACGTCAATCCTTATTAAGTCCTAGACTAGGCTCGGGCTGACAGTGACAGACATCCCACCTCGTCGACTTTTCTCACACCATTCTTTAGACGACAATCGCACCACGTGCTTTACATCGCGTTGTATTGTATTTCTGCTGCTTCTTGTAGCAAGCCTTCCTTTAGTCTCTGCCATTTAAATCTGCCATAACTCGCATCAACTTGCCCACCCCAGCGCACTCACCCACCATTCATTCGCCCGGCGAGAGGCACGGCATGCTCCTGTAAATAGACCCTGGGCATACTTCTGTATTCTTGATTTCTCTCAATCTCGACCCCCTACTGCAGGTTTCAAGGTCTGCGCATTTTCGGAAAGAAAATAAACAAAAAAACAAAATCAAAAAGCAACATGCCCCTACTCAAGGCCAAATCAGGGCCACAAGCTGTGAGGGTGCAAAGGGTGGTAGTCACCAAGAGCGCCCCAGCCAAGTCGTCGTCTCTGTCAGCGGCGCCACGCTCATCCAGCCTTGCGCCAAATGGCAGTCGCAACGGATCCAAGCACATGTCGGCACATCGGTTGTCGTCTCCAGATCCTAGGATTCTAGCCCGCACCAAGAGTGCCTCGCCATATCCTTCTTCTTCCGACGAAAAGGGGCGTGCCGAGCGCAAGCGCAAAGCACCTCCGCCGCGCAAAGATTCCACGCCCATGTGGGGCGACGACGACGACGACGACGGCGACGACGACGACCAGTGGAAGTCTGCTTTGACTGGCAAGAGACGCAAGGTCGTCACCGAATGGAAAGACCCAAACCGCCGCCTGCGACACAAGAAAGCGTTCGGCGACGATTTGAGGGAACCGAAAATCATACATGGCGCAGATCTCGCCTCTATAAAGACTGCTTGTTCACCTGCGTTCGCTGGGGCACCAGAAGACGAGGTTGCTGTGCAGGTGCAATATCCCTCCCGGACTCGGCCCGAAAGGTAGCTTCTCACATGGAAAAAATGAACAAATGCCTGGGCAGCACTGCTAACACATCTCTATAGGTATGAGCTGGTGTATCGTAAGGATAAGATCAATGCTGTACAAGACATCAAGAGCCTTATACAACATGTTGCCGAAACCTATCTTACGGAAGAGCAAGCGCAACGTTTTACGGACGATCAGATCGGGTTTTGCAGAATTATGGAGAGAGCTACGGCCGATAAGAAAACAAATGAGGTCGTCGATACTGCCTCCCGTCTGACTGACTTTGAAGCATTCAAAGCAGCACTCGGCGACTACAACAAGGAGATCTCGGCTCTCGTAAAGGACGGCTCCGTGGAGAAGAATCTAGACGCCACCCATGGCATTTCCGAGGAACTAGCCGACTTCATCCTGACCCAGGTTTACGAGCGCACTGTATCACCCAACGTCGAATCCCTGAACAAGTACCAGCCTGGAGGAGACAACGTGTATGGCGAGCTTAGAGCACCCTTCATTAGGGCTATCTTGGGCAAGCATTCTGAGATGACGTCCGACAAGGTCTTCATGGACCTGGGCTCCGGCGTGGGCAATGTCGTGCTGCAAGCTGCCCTCGAGATTGGCTGTGCAAGTTATGGCTGCGAGATGGTCGACAACTCGTGTAACTTTGCTGAGGCACAGGAGAAGGAATTCAGGTCTCGTTGCCTCCTCTGGGGTATCAGGCCGGGCCTGGTTACCCTTGAAAGAGGTGACTTCCGAACAAGCAAGAAGATTCTTGAGGTTCTCCCAAGAGCCGACTGCATACTGGTCAACAACAAAGCTTTTACGCCAACTTTGAATGATGCGCTGGTACGCATGTTTATGGACCTGAAACCTGGTTGCAAGGTCATCTCGCTCGTGTCGTTTGTCATGGGAAACGAGAAGAATGGAGTCAACGATATCGCAAACAGTATTTTCGAAGTTGAGGAGCACCAATACTATGAGGACTGGGTCTCGTGGTCCCACGCTGGAGGGCGGTACTTTGTGTCGACGCGGAGATCGTGAGCTGTTGTGCATTGATTAGCGCCAGAGTCGTGTTTGTTGGCAACATGAGCATAGTGGGCATGGTGGTATTCTGCGCTGAGTTGGCATAGCCTTGTGTGCATGGGCAGCATGGGAGCGTTGTGTATATTTTCAAGGGTTTTTTTTTTTTTTTTTTTTTCGGAGTAGAAGTGGACATTCAACACTTACTGTAGATTCATGATCAGACTCTGTAGGATAGATACCATGCGCCTTGGAAGCAGGGCAAGCAAGCAAGTTAGGCGATATATACCCACTCTTTTCTGCGAGGATAAGGCTGCAGTTGTTGTTTCTCGCCGTGCTTGGGTCTTTGAACATGATACTGTCTGATATTACCTTTTTCTTCCATTTGACTGTGGCTCGTTGGCGAGGTTCATGGCTTCAGCTTCCTTCTCCATCTTCTTCATCCAGCGGTCAACGAGTTCCTTGTTCTCGGCCTTCAACTTCTTGAGGTCATTTTCCCGAACGTCAAGCTGTATGTTGAGCGTCAAGTTGTCGTCCTGCACGTCCTTGAGCAGTCGGTTCTTTCCGACCAGCTCCTCGCTTCGGTCGCGCAGCTTGGCCGTCACCGTGTTCCGCTCGCCGGTGAGGTCGCGTATCCGCTTGTCGTCCACCTTGCCTTTGGCTCGCAGCTTCTGCAGCTCGGCGTCCGCGCTCTTGAACTTGGCTGCCAGCTGGCCCTTGGAGCGCAGGGCCTCTGCGAGCTCGAGGCGTAGCTGCGCCGTGATGCCCGGATCACCGGAGTCCGGTGTGGCTGATGGCGTCGCGCTCCTGCCAGAGGGAGACGGGTCGGGCCCGCGTTGAAGCAGCACCGCCTTCTCGGCCTCGAGCGAGGCTATGCGGTCCGCGAGCTGGGAGCCTGGTGGGTCGCTAACGTGTCAGGAACATGCGCGGGGAGACAGGAGAGGAAACAAGGGGCCAGGGCGTTGGGAGGACTGACAGGTCGCAACCAGGTCCTTGTTGACCGGGCTGCGGAGCTCGGCCTCGTGCAGGTTCGCGAGGTATTCGGACCGCCAGTCTACAGGCATGGCGCTGGTCGAGGTGGAGAGCAAAGCAGCGAAGCAGGTCGCGGGGCATCTGCGCTTGATTCGAGATGGGCTGTGGGAGATGTCGTCGCCGGCTCTCGGTTTCTGTCGCGTGGTGTGATGGGGTGGGCGTTGTGATGACTATAAACAACCACTTCCAGTGCAAGGAATTCATAACGTAAGTCGGTTTGCTTTCCTGGAAGCACTCCAGGCGGATGTTTGGCGGGGTAACAAAGCTCTGGGCGGCCCCCCCTAACTGAGGTCGCGCGGCCTGACATCGTTCATGCTTGTGGCTATGTACCAGACCGTATATTAGAGCAGTGACCCTACACGGCTAACCTAGACGAGAACTTTAATTATAGAACAGTCCGGATTGGAACTTGAGTGCAACTATGTTCCAGCCCTATGAGATCTGGAAAACGCTCGTCCCTAGACAACAAGGTCACGGATGGTAAAAGCTTAATTGTTTCTGAGTGGTGTCGTCTTGCACTGATATACTATGTAATATGGAGCAAGTTGATGTGTCACCGCTGGACTGATAAACGCTCAAGCTTTCCATATCAACAGCTTGCCTTCCTAGAAGGTAGTAATGTGGAGATTCATTTTGTCAAGAAACATTTCTTGCTACCTTTCATCTTGCTACTTGGTACTGTTTCCATCGGACGCCCCCTGTGAAAGGGAACTAAGCGAAGTTTAATAAAACAATGCTCTCTGTCTGAAATCCTGATAGGTCTTTGCGTCGTTATATGATGCCAAACCGTGCCGCGGTAGGAATAATATGACTAATACCAACAAATTACCCCTTACTCGGAATTCATCGTAAACTTTGCGTTGAACGTTACTAACGATTGAGACGCATCAACAAGTCCCCCATACAGGGTCCTACCATCCACTGGGAACAAATGCGATCTAATCAGTCACTAATTTAACAAGCAGTTAACGTACACGGCCTGTCCTAGGAACGATAGCGTCTCTAGTGCTGACACCAGAGCGTGTTTGCCCTTGTAGCGGTGCCACTTAATCCTACAGCATCGTCTAGTCTAGCGGCCGTTACACCGAGTTCTTAAGTATAAAACCGGGTAGTTGGATTTGATTTGACATCCCGTTTTACTCTCAAAAAAATTGTGATGTGCCAACCTGGATCTTGAGGCCTCTTCTCTCCGCCACAAAAGAAGAATGGCGGATGTTAAGTCTCTCGTATTGATCGCCTCTGCCCTGGTAGCTGCGGTCGCACTCCAATTCTTGTATAAGCTGTATCAGACTCGAAAGCGATACCATGACCTGGTGAGTTCACTTGGTGGTATATATTTCGAAGCCGAGACTCACGCGTGCGACAGCCAGGGCCACCGCATAGTTTTCTTTGGGGCCATCTCAAGGAGATGGGCGATATTGCAGGCCAGTTCCCACCCAATTGCCATCCACAGGTCTACTACACGGCGTTGGCCCAGAAGTATGACCTGAAGGGTCTCTTCTACCTCGACCTTTGGCCCATAGCAGATCCCCAGATCTTGTTGATCGAACCCGACCTCATGGACCAGGTGCAGGTGCAGAGAGTCTACGAGCAACATCCCATGGCTGAAGCATTGATGTCCAACATTGTCGGGCCTAATGTCATCGCAACGGCGAATGGGCCAATCTGGAAGAAGTTGCATACTGCCATGGCACCATCGTTCCTACTGTCGCATGTGAGAACCCTGACGGGTCTCATGACGGAGGAGACCCTGCTGTTCCGAGAACGACTCAAGAAACTGGCCACTAGCGGTGTCTTTAGTTTTGAACACGAGTGTAGCAAGTTGATCTTCGATATCATCGGTCAAATCGTGTTTAGCTTCCCAACACATGCGCAAACCCAGGGCAGCACGTATTTGGAAGGCCTCAAAGAGACCCAAAAACTAATTAATGAAAGCCTGTCCATGAACCCCTTGGTCAAACTGAACGTCTGGTGGAAGAAAGGCGCCGTCACAAAACGACTTGACGCCAGCGTCAGCCAAAAGATAAAGGAGAGGCTGGCTCGTATGAGAGACGAGAATATTGTGCCAAGCAAGAAAGACTTCTTGAGCATTCTTGACCTGATGCTCAGAGAGACACTCATGAAAGATGGTCAGCAGGATGCGAAGGCGGCTGAGTTGCCGCAGGAAGAATTAAAATTACTCGTTACACAGTGAGTCTGCACAAACAAACTCCGCCTCCACATCGCTAACATTTGGGTGCTAGGGTCAAGGGTCTCCTTCTTGGTGGCCAAGGAACGACTGTGGATACCCTTTGCGTAAGCTAGCCTACCCCCGGATTGGGTACTCGCCTAACATGTGCCAGTTTGTCTATATGCTCCTCTCAAAGAACCATGAAGTCCTGCGAAAGCTGCGCCATGAACACGACTCTGTTTTTGGCAGAAATACGGGCGAGGCGCTGGAAATCCTGGAGGACAATCCATCTAGGCTCAATGATCTCGAGTATACGTCTGCTGTAATCAAAGAAACACTCCGTCTGTTCCCCGTAGGGTTCGGAGTTCGAAAGGCGCCGCCGGGGTAAGCCTTCTTCCTTACATAGATGGACAAAACGTGAGTGCTAATGTCCATCATTTTTATAGTGCCACGGTCAATTATCAGGGTCAATTGTACCCCATTGATGATCTCGTCATAGCTCCGGTCTGGCACACAATGCATTACAATGCAGAGTATTTCCCGGAGCCAACCAAGTTCAAGCCAGAACGTTTCCTCAACGACGCCGTGCCGCGTCCGTGGTTCCGATCTTTCAGTCGCGGCGCAAGGGCTTGTCTTGGGCAGAACCTAGCGATGGACATCATGCGCGTCGTTTTACTGTTGACCGTGCGAGACTTCGACTTCGAATGTGCAGGACTGCAGCCAAGTCAGAAGCCAAAGCATGCATACACTGATCTGGATACGGTTTTCGGAGACGTCATTTTCTCAGAGCTGGCCATGGAAGCAAAGCCTAGGGGTGGTGTGATGATGACTGTCAAGGAGAGTGGTTACATGAAAGCCTAAGAAAAGTTCCTATGGATCAACAAATTACTATCATGTAAACGAATGCCTTCCTGAGTGTAGTATATCTCATCTTTGGACGCTGAGGGGCACATTGATTCTCAAGTTTATGCTACATACATGTACGGGCCCGTAGTCATGATTTGATGGCGTCTGAGTGAGGGGGAGCGGGGCTCGTAATAATAAACCAACTACAATCTTTCATAAGAGTTAAAAACACCTTTATGACCAGAGGTACTACATATGCGAAGTAAAGTTGGTGTACACTGCTGTACCAGAAGGATGCGGTGTAATGGTGCATGTGATATCGTAGTCTAGTTCAAACTCATCTTCGTCATCTAGATGAAATGATAAGGGCGAAACGGGGCCATCGATCTCAAATATATCTCCTTCACCATCGAGGCAGGATCGCTCAATATCCAGTAGTTCCCTTAACCGACTCTCGAGTGTCTTGTCTGGCAAGTTCCAATCGCAGATGCTATACCTTAGTTCTTCGATCTTACAGCTGATGCCGAGTCTGGCGGCATGGGCGTAGTCACGGACGTCCATTAGGGAGGCAGCCAGCTCCGGAAAATCGCCAGCACCGATGTGAGCCTGTATCTGCCGGCAGCCCGAGACGATCGTCTCATAGAAGCCATCAAGCTCGCCTTCGACATCCTCGTGGCAACTCAACCAGCGCAATAGTCGTCTCCGCCAGAGGGGCACCATATCAGCCAAACCCTTGCCAAAATTGTCCTCGCGGCGGGCATAGTGCTTGATCTTGGCGAGGACGACCTCGACGATATCTCTGCACACATAGACGTAGTCCACACAGAACCTGATGGTGCCCAGGTTCGCGAGACGTTCGTCCTCGGAGTGTCCGTACATGGCGACGAAGACGTCATGTTCGTGGGTCAGCTGTTGATAAGGACTAAGAGCAACGCCGAGCAGGGGAAAGTTACACTTACCGTGCTTCTCCGAGAGCAGAGCATGCTCGAGCAGTATGGTCGTAGCTTCGATCTCCTGCTGCGCCTCACGGTGCTTCTTTGCGCGGGCGTACAGCGCGTCTTCCAATCTGAAATCGATAGTCTGGTCCAGGCTGCAAGCAGAGGCCAGGAGGCCCTGCAGGCGGTCCAGCTTGAGCTTTATCTCGGGCGCGCAGTGGCGGGGAGAGTCCTTCAGGAAGGCATGATATCCGTAGGCGTGTTTCGATATCTCTCTGATCTGTGAGCGAACCGATAGCTTGTGATCGCGCAGCCAGGCCAGTTCGCAGACTACGCCCTGGTTCTTGGCAATCTTCCGGGCTATCATCTCATGCTTCTCCTGGATCGAAGCCTGGAGGTCGTCGATGGTTGAGTATCGCTCCCGGGTGATGCCACATGCTTGCTGGATCTCGTCGCCCATGAGTACACTCAAGTGTGCCTCTAGCTCTTTTAGACACTCGTCAATCGGAAGAGCTGATAGGCCTATCGCTGGATCTTCCCGACCGAAAAGGCCTACTGGAAGGAGCTGATAGCTCATGGTGTCGAGATTAAGGTCTTGGTAATGTGAATAGTCCTGACTTAAGAAATTGTCCGGATAGAGCAATGCTTGATTGTAGATTGGAAAGACAGTTGGAGGAGAACACATAGCGAGACTCTAAGGTGCATGTATGCATCTCAGCCCTATACGTAGCCTGGTTATGAACGAGTTGGGTTTCGATATTAAATATTTCCATTTGGCGTTCAATATTCTTTGTCTTCGATGCTCTGAACAATACGTTGTTACACTGCCCGGCTTGAAGACACAATGAGATTGATATGTACAAAGTCCAAGTTGCAACCCATCAAAGAGATACAACCGCGCGACGTTGTAAAGATGATCTGCTGTACCAAACAAACCCGGTGTACAGACTCCAATGACTCAGAGGTACCAAGCGCAAAGATTGCTACCGATCCTCGTTGCTTTAGTGTATTACGGTAGGATGACACGATCTGAAATTGACTTTCGTTGGTTAAAGAAACGCGACAAATGTCGGCTCGTGTCTTGATGGCAAGTGCTGGCAACAAACGGGCTTTCGAAGACAGCACCAGTCGTGTCTTGATGATCTATGGATGTGAGTATGTTCAGCCACCCTCATTTGTGTGGAAGAAATGTGACTCGGGTAAAATGGGGCCCCGAATAGGTTATGAGAAACAATAGTGATCATTGTTTACAACACAGCCACCAGCCGGGCTGCCTTAATGGTAAACTGGCAGGGTGCCTGATGGACCAGTTCCCCGGTCTGTATGGCCAGATGTTAGGGTATAGAATCTCATTCTCTGGGAACCCAGAGTTCGAGTACGGCAACGCCCTGAACGCACCCTCTGTGTTGACCTTTCCCCCCTCTTCCTTTCTCTTTTCTCCAAATATTTTAACAGTTTTCTATTCCGTTTAATAAAGTATCTTGTCCCAATGCCTTACATTAATGTAATGCATGCACCTGAACAAGTCTGGCTTACTTGGTCTTTAGAAGTAACATACCACCTCTTTATTAACATTTCCCTCGTCTTTCTTCTCAAGCGAGACAAAATCACATTCATGAGGGATTCGAATACACTTGGAACTTTTTGGATAAGAGAATCTGATCGAGTTTTGATGATAACTACAAGATAATAATTACTTAGTCATTGCGACGTTACCATAAGGAATCTAGGCTGCATTCAGCAAAATTGAACTAGCATAACGAAGCCAGGCTTATAATGTTCAAAATATTTTCCTGATAGAATACAGCGCATTGTTTATAAATCAAAGAGGTAATGTGATCATAAAACTCGTTGTCAGAGTGTGCAAAGACCGACTGATTATCTTCAGTACCATCTTCGTGACCGTATCCTTCCTAATCAAATCACTCGTTAATCAGATTCATCATCCGAATCAATGTGGCAGACGGCTAGGATTATTATGATCCATGGAGCGCTCCACACCCTCGAGAGTTTCTTCGAGGTCCCGAATGCAGCGCCATTCGGGGGGTCGGTCATCTGTTCGACAGTTATCTGCCGCCATACCAGTGAGGTACCGCTCGCGCGCCTCGACCAATACCTGCAGCAAGTTGAAGTACACATTTGCCAAAGGGATATTGTTCCTGCTGACGGTTAGTTCCTGTTCGTAGTCAGGGCCCAGATGAAAACATTTGTTAGCTTTATTGATCTCGTACTCTTCCATTTTGTTGTTGAGCTTCATGAATCTCTTTTCCAGCCCCTCAAGCGTGAGAACTTCCACTGTGGCTTGAGGTATTCCGTGTTGTTTGACGAGTCGAGCATGCCTCTGTGCTACCGCATTCACATGAGTGCGGATATCCAGGTCATTGAGGCACATACCTTTTTCTACAAAGTAGCGATACTCAATCAGCATGACTATCTCCTGTGCCTTCTGCAACACGGCTCTCTCCGAAACTTTCCTGGCCTGAAGCCTACTCTCAAGCATGGTCCCAAGAACCTCACACCTGGCCTGGTTCATGACCAGAGTGTAGTCGGCGTGTCGGATCATATTCTCGACATGAATCGCGATGTCGCAGCCCGGGCAGTATCCCGGGTGATCTCGTAAGGCAGTACAGGCTCGTATGGACTTCCGCACGTGCTCGTTGTCTGCCTCTGCAAACAGGATGTTCGCTCTGAGCCAGCAAACATCACTTACTCTCCCATGGGGCTGGAACAATTCGCCTTCCAGGACCTGGCTTTGTCGGTGCAAGGCAAACCCCCGCGCCGTAACCACTACCTGGTGTAACAAACCTACACGGTCGACCAGCTCTTGCCACCGCTCTCCTAGTTGCTGCTGGGTAGACATTGCTGGTATCGTGAGTAATACTTGCTGTGTGAATCTAACGCTAGGTATCGTCGCAGTTGTTGTTAGATGCAAGCAAACGGAAACACAGGCTGCAGGGGGTGTAATTACCTTATATAGACGCTCGGATAATCCAGAATCATTAATGGATCGCAAGGCATTTTCACCGGACAAAAGCATTGTTTGCGAACATTGAGGCATTGGTGATATTGCTATTCCCCTGTGAGCTCTGCAGGGCGCTTAGCGATTCACAATAATGTCAAGGTTCACAAGCGCAGTAACTCGATGCGACTCTTGGTGTGTGATGATTACGATTATGTTGATTATTGAGTCCCAGCCTATTGCACCTTTTCCGAGATCCACTCCCACCACTTGTCTACCTTGCCCTCGAGCACGCTGCCGCCCATGACATCAACCTCGACGTCAAACTCCCTCAGCTGACTGAAGGCAAATTTCTCAGAGCCATACTCGCCAAGCCAATCCTCGCTGTCTTCGTCGTCAAGCTCATCTGCGCTGACCCCGGAGGCCTTCAGACCCTTACTTCTGCTCTTTCGTATCCTGCCGAGTTCGGCCTCTAGGTTGCTTTTGACCAAGGACGCAGGGAGTGCCGTGAAGAGATCCGTCTTGTTGGCGGCAATGAGGACATGCACAGCCTGGGGGGCCTTGGATGTCTTTCCTACGCCCATGCGCTTCTGCAATGCTAGCAAGACGTCAAAGAGGTAGTTCGCTGCTGCAGGCAGGCTCTCGTCCAGGGCCGAGGCATCAAGCACGAATACGACGCCCTTCAGGGGATCCTTGTCGTTGATCTTGCTCATGGCGAAGTTGCGCAGCTTGCCGTGGCCGGGTGTATCGGACAGGAGGAACTTGGTGTGGGACCCCGGGGCATCTTCCTTTGCCGCATCGCGATAGGATTGCACTCCGTTATCGGTGGAGATGGTCAGCTCGACGGCGTGAGGAATTTGAGAGGTGTGGGTGGAAGGGGCATTGTCGCCGCGCTCGAACAGTGTGAGTAGCGAAGTCTTGCCAGCACCGGGCGGGCCGACGAGCAGAATAGAAGGCAGGCTTGTGTATGGCGAGGATCTGCTGATGTAGAGGTGGACGAGGAGGGGGGCAAGAAGAACGATCAAGGCGCCCACGACGAAGACGGGCGTCGAGGGAGTGAGGATGTACTCCAGGTAGTGCTTCAAGTCGTCCATGATGGGGGGGGGGCAGGGTTTGCGTAGCTGCCGATGAGTATTGCAGATTGACGTCGGGCAGCGAGGCGCTTTTTAACGGAGGGCGAGAGCTGTCCTCGTCTGGAGAGTCCCGCAATGGAAACAGAATGGAATGATGGTCTGTCACGAACGGCGCGATAGTGGCCTTATCGGGAGAGGCCAGCTGCCGTCATTTTCTCTTTTTTGGAGCGTTGGACGCCAAGCCTTCCAGTGAAGTGACCCTTTTCTTTTTAGTGACCCTGTCTCTTTCTTTTGCCTGCCAGCTGCTCATGTACTTAGTACAGTACAGTAAACGGCAGCGACTCCATCCCCCCCGGCTTCAGTTGTTCGGAGAATTTAGGCCAATTAAATTCTAGTCTAGTCTAACCTTAGTCAAGTCTAATGAGTTCGATGTGGCTTGGCGACTTTTGGCCTCGTCGTTGTCTTGAGGCGATGAAGGGGTCGAGGGCTGACGAAGAAGGCATTGATTGTTCAACCCCCAATCTCGAGTCTTGCGCAGCCTCAGCTTTTTGTTAGGATCCACATGAAACCATCGCACCGTGCCGTCACTGCCGTCTGCTGCCTTTTTTTATTTCTGCTTTTCATTTCATCGGCCTACATAAGTTATACTGTAGAATACTCATTTGTGAAAGCCCGCCCAAGTCGTCCTCGCCCGAGCTTGTCCTCCTACATTCTTCGAATAGGACTTGCCGACATCCGGGCGCACGTCTCTGCCTCCAACTCGATCCAAACACTGTTCCGAGGAGCAATCTACCATTTGTACCCCCGACAGTTCCCAAAGCCTCGAATAGCTGATGTCGTCGCCAAGTCCGAATGGCTCCTCCGGGGCACCCATACAGCTTTCGAACAAAGCTAGTGCTGTCGCGCCCAAGTTGAGCTCGGAAAACATGGAAATGGGCAACCTGCCGGGAGGCGAAACTCCCGCGGAAGAGGATATCATGCAGCTCGCAAGAGTAGGAAACATCCCCGCCATGGAGAAGCTGTTCGAGAAGGGTGAATATGATGCAACGTACACAGATGACGAGGGCATCACTCCACTACACGTATGCGCCAGCCCCGACACTTGCTCAACATGGAAGTGAATGCTTACAAGAAAGACAGTGGGCCGCGATCAACAACCAATATGCCATGGTCAAGTTCTTGATCGACAAGGGCGCCGACCTCAACAAGAAGGGAGGCGATTCCATCGCGACGCCTCTGCAATGGGCTGCGCAAAGGTCCAATTACTACACCGTCAATCTGCTATTACAGCACGGCGCCGACCCCTTGATCACCGATGCCCAAGGTTACAATACGCTACACATCTCGACTTTCAACGGAAACGTCTTGCTGATTACCCTGTTGCTGCACCAAGGCATTCCGGTAGACGTGGCCGATACCTATGGCCACACTGCTCTTATGTGGGCTGCATACAAGGGCTTTCCGCTGTGTGTAGACCTTTTCTTGCGGTGGGGAGCGAGCGTCCATGCTACCGACGAACAAGGATTTACCGCGCTCCACTGGGCTTTGGTCAAAGGTTCAGCGCCTTGTATCATGAAACTCATCGAGTACGGCTCTGACAGGTTCGCCAAGACAACTACGGGCAAGACACCAGCCATCACAGCCACGGATTTGAACACGACCGGCGCATGGCATAGGGCGCTGAAAGAATGCGGCTACGATGAAGACGGACACTCTGTGACACCATGGTGGCCCGGAGCCACCTACTTCCTTCAGGACAAGCGAATGTTCATGAACAGGGTTCTGTTCTTGTTGCCATTTCTACTGCTATGGATCGAGCTGTTGCTGCTGGCTTATCTGCCCATCTTCCTTTCTCTGCCATCTGCGCTACTGGTGGGCTTTTCCTTCCAGTGGGTGACAAATCAAATCGTTGAATACGGTCCGCCCGACATGAGGGTCTTGCACAAAACACCCTGGCTAGCAGGGATTTTTGCCGCTTCTTTGTTCTGGGTTGGCATTGGTTGGTTTTTAACGGTATTGCCGGCCACTTTCTCGGCACACCCTCTATGGAACTTCTTGTTCGCCGGCGTGAACAGCCTGTGTGGGTATTTCTACGCAACTAGCATGACCTTCGACCCTGGCTTTGTGCCAAAGATGAACGGCATTGCGGAACAGAAGGCCGTCATTGACGAGCTTTTGAGTTTGTGGAAGTTTGATGAGTCCAATTTTTGTGTCTCGTGCATGATTCGAACGCCGCTTCGAAGCAAGCACTGCAAGCGTTGCCAGAGATGTGTTGCAAAACATGATCAGTATGTGACACCCATCCCTAACGACCCTGGGTTTTGATTGCTAATATGTTTTAGTCACTGCCCGTGGATCAACAATTGTGTTGGTGTTAACAACCACCGCCACTTCTTCTACTACCTGATCTTCCTCACCTTGGGCATTCTCTCATTTGACTGGTTGCTCTACTACTACTTCTCCGCCATGCCGGCCAGTTCGGAAACGGAATGTGCGTTCTTGTCAGCCAACCTGTGCCAGGTCTTCAACTCAGATCCTTATGTAATCCTGCTGGGCATCTGGGCTACGCTTCAACTTACTTGGGTCGGTATGCTCCTCTTCGTCCAGTTCGTTCAAGTCGCTCGCGCCATGACAACATATGAGAATATGTACGGCATCAATGACGGCTCAGCCGCGAATCTGATGCACAACTTTACAAGTACTGGAGCGCCTCTTGACCCAACCCACCCTGACGCCCTTCAAGCGCCACCAAGTGCTGCCGACGATCCTTTGGGCAACCGGTCGTCACATCACGGACACAAGCATGCCCGCGGCTTTTTACAGAGCTGGAGCCGTATTCTGGGAGTTGATACATTCCTCGAGACAGCTACTGGTCGTAGTGCAGCCACGTCGAAGAAGGCAAGAAAGAAGAAGAACCCTTACTCTCGAGGCTATGTACAAAACTGCAAAGACTTCTGGTGTGACACGACGCCTGTATTTGGTAAACGCGAAGCTGGTGACGCCATGCTGGGCGGCCAAAGAGTGAACTGGACTGAGACATATGAGAGCCCTGCCGCTATGGACATGGGAGGCAGAAGAGGTAGAGGAGGTTATGAAACGGTTGCAGGTGACGAGGTGTAAGAACACATCGTCATCTTGTTTTAATCATGTGTACTGTCCCTGGAAATCGCATGCTGCTGCACGGCATTACGGAACCTGGAAGGCTTGCTTTGTATATAATGACGAGTGGCTCAAATGGCCATGAATGATCATAACGAAACAACTGTAATTTATCATTGAAGATCTACATCAGCCAGCAACTTAGATACAAGCCAACATCATTAACTATATCGATCCTTAGGTAGTGCTTCAAATCAACGCTACATGTACAAATTTTGGCCGATTCAATTGTGGACAATTCAAGACGAGTAGCTAGTATTCAGTAACTTGGATGTTCTGGCGTTTATAGACTGCCCCACTAAGCTTGGCTGGCCCGTGCGGCTACTGCCAAAAATTTAGACCTCAATCGCCCCTGATATCCTTGATCTCACATGAAGCCGTGTCCAGCTCATAAAGATCAAAAGAAATTTTTCGAAGTTTGTATTATTAGTTTCACCACACGTTCGTTTACACCAAAATAGTAATCGAAACAATCAAGTCACTCACAACAAATCAGTTTGGGGTTAGCTACGGGTAACAGACGGGGAGGGGACAACCATACAATCTCCACTCTCTTCATACTCACTCACACACATCCCCCCCCATCCATCATGGCGCCCCTAGCCCGCGTGCCCACAGTGCCCCTGCAGCGCGCCATCTGGTCGCGCACCCTCCACGCGACCTGCAAGATGACGCCGCTGAACCGGGCCCTGGCGCACGCCCTCCAGCGCGCAGGCTTCATCTCGTGGTTCACCGAGTCCGGCGCCCACCCGCCAGACGCCAGCATCCTCGAGCAGTTCTCCCCCGCGGAGCTCAGGGACATGCACATCGCCCACACGTCCAACCGGCACAAGCGCCAGCTCTGGATGGGCCTCAGCTACCACACCAACGAGTGGAAGCGCGACAACGGCTGGTGGGAGTCCAAGGACGTGCCCGTCATGAAGACCATTCTGAGCAAGAGCCAGAAGCTGAAGGCCGAGAGGTTCGTCATGAGTCCCGGCGAGGTGGAGAGGTTTGTCACGGGGGCGGCGCTAGGCGAGGACATGTGGCGGAAGGGGCTTGTCGAGGGCCAGGGCACGTTTCTGAGAATCGACGGGGGAGGAGAGGAAGATGAGGAATGGTCGAGGAAGAATCCGGTTGAGGTGCTGGAGAGTAGGGAGGCCGCCGAGAGGGGTGTTGGGGGAGCGGTCATCTGCCGTGTCTGGCCTCATAGGAAGAGAGCTTTTGATGAGAAGGATTCCCAAGACAAGACCATATGGTGGGAGCGGGTCACGGCCGGTCAGCAAACGAAGCCCGAGTGAAGTCCATCTGTTTGTTGAGGTCATGGTGGTCGGCCTCGCTTGACAACGGGGAAACGGTTGTATAAACACTGTGCCCGAGAACCAGGATGTACGATGAGAGAGACGAACACATTTACATGGCGTTAGGGGGATCCCAGGTCAGCTGGTTGATGATACCCATCTTTTATGTCCACGAAACGAATATTGCACTATAGAAATCTCGGTATTCAACGGCGTGGCGCCGGGCAGTTATACATCCCTTGTACATATATCATCATTAACATGGGGGCATCTTGCTCATTTGGGAAATACGCACCTCTAAAAATCACGTAACAAGTATTCGATGTTTTTCGAGGCGTTCCAGACACATATTGAATGAGATTGAGACATTTTATTTGCTCTACAATGGTGGAACAGCCTGTAATCTTCTCTCGGAGAGAGCTTGAGCCAAGTTTGAGTTTACAATGGTAAGCGACTTTGTGACGGTCTTTCTCCGATGTATCACCTCCCGTCCTTAATTATTTCCTTGTCTCCTCGTCTATGATCGCTGAATAGTCCTCGGTTTCAACTCATAACAAACTTGTTGAAGTTTGTTTATCAAGATCCAACTTGTCAATTGTCACGATTTCGACGCCAAGATTTTGCTATTCTGGTCGTAAAGCAAGTTTTCTTTGCCAAACATTGTGATTTGCTCCAACAAGCCATTTCAACAGTCATTACTCAGAATGTATCGCACCAATCACAGCAAGGAAACATGTCGAAGCTGTGGTCAAGATGACTGGCTTGTTGGCAACAGCCGCGAGACGATCAACCACTACTGCTCCGACCGCATGGCATGCCACACAAGGCTGTGCAAGCCAGATAACCGGAAAGAGGGATCCATCTACGAGCGAGGATCTCTCTGCAATACTTGTCTCAAAGCCGGCAATAATTATATGCTGGCTTGTGCGGGCACTTCTGGCCTCCCTCGTCTCGACGTCTGCGCCACAGCCAGACATCAAATGGAGTGGCTTCGTTATGATGCGGATGATTGCGCTGATTCATTGGGAATCTCCACATTAAGAACAACACAAAAAATGACTGGACCTCTGAGTGGTATTTGGAGCAGGTTCACAGCTGTATACGAATTAGCAAGGAAAAGGCTAGCCCAGGAAGCTCATGAGCTGAAGGACATGTCGGAGTCAGCAGACAATACGCCCGCACCCTCGTCAGTTTGATCCTCTGAGTTCGAACACGATGGACGAATTAATGGCTCGGCTCCTCCAAAGCGCTGTATTGTCAGAACAGGTAGGCTTGTTAAAGAAGGTCTAGGCTGGAGCAGGTCGACGCTTACACATCTAAATCCATATTTATCGGAGTGGAACCATCGGTGACGGTCATCAAATATGTGATGGACGAGTTGCCATGGTGAATGGCAGGTTGTTAAAGAGTCTTTAATATAGGACATCTTTAATATAGGACATTCGAACAAAAAAAGTCAAAACAGTTGCAAAAAGACCTTACGGTTCCGTCATTATCCTTTATTTGACTCAATTTCCATTATTCGACTATTCAGTGGCGCGCAATTCCATGAGGGTTATGGGCTTCGATGAAACACCAGTGCATACTTTCAGGTCGTAGAAACGTCATGTCGATTTTCTTTTCGCCAAAACCAATGCGCTAGGAAGTGTTGTTACTGATCAAACTTTCATGCGCTCCAGTCCAAATTTGTTCAAGTTGTCATCGCGATTTCGAAGGAGGAACGCCCGTCGAAATGTAGGCAACTGGCTCAGTAAGTTGTTCTTTAATGCCACAAGCTCATGGGTAATGTTCTCAAATACCGAGCTTCCCTTGAAACGCCGTCGAAATTGTTAAGCATAATTGACAAGTACCAGCCTGAGCAATCGCAGTTTCGCCTCCCATTGAGCAATGATGCGATAACACCCACGACAGCCTGTGAACTCTAGTTCGTATTCAAATGCGGCAATGTAATCTGTATAGATCCTGAGCCGATAGTCACGAACAGGTAAATCTGTGTGGGATCGTGCCTCTTCTTAGTCTGCAAACAATATGCTGAGATTGACCAAGTCATGGATGTTGGGATCCATAGCTATTTGGCCGAGTATTGCGAGCAATCTTAGCCTGCCGTTCAACGGAAGATTGGGTGCTTTGAAGTACCCCATGGTTCAACGATACCCCGAGAAACACTCGCGTGAAGAAAGTAATGTGGTTACTAGTCATCGAATCGCGCAAGACATTCCTGTAATTCGTATATACCGTTCTAGAATGCTTGTGTTACGAGCCTATGGAGTTCGTGCAGACGTTTTCATCTCACGGTTCCAGTAATAAGCAAGCCCTTGGACAGCATGAGTCAGATTCTCCTTCGGTGTAGCTGATTGTTACGAAGATGGTTGTACTGCATAGACCCGTGGCCACAGGTATTTCGTAAGCCGAACAATCTTCACGCTAAATGGGTGGTGTTTAAGGTTGTCTAAAACTGATTGAAACGTTACTGCGCCTATGGCTGCTGTGGCTATCAGAGGGAGAGGTACTTTTGCTAGTGTGATGCTCGTCAGCAAGGTGAGAAGCCAGCGAGAATGCTTTGCAAATGTAGACTATCTACTAAGCTTTATCGGCAAGGCGCCGACAAACTGACATCAGAAACTGACAACAGTGAAATAATAATAATCAGCACTGATAACGGTGCAGGCGCTAGCCTTTGCGGAGCCCCGGGAGTTAGCCCCATTAATTTTCCCCCACAACTGGCTTCCACCTCCACCGGCAGAGAGCCCAGCAGCCCAGCAGCCCAGCAAAAGTCGCTGTGTTCTAGGTTAGGTTACTGTATGGACCCCAAAAGAGAAGAAAAAATCCACCGCATTGTCCCGATCTCCTCTCTGTCCTACCAATACAAAAGCAAGACAGCGAGAATGGCGACCGTGAGAGTTTTCTTTTTTTTGTCGCTACATTGATACCATATCTATGATGCTTTTCTATGCCACTTGCGGTCTCTCCTCATCTCACCTCCGCGCTGTGACTTAATTGGTGCTTGCCGTCCCAATGGAATGGGAGGTAGAACAAGACAACGCCCCTAGATCTCTGCTCTCCTTGGCACATGTCCCCTGTCTGTATCTCCAGATGTCGAATCTGCGCCCTTGGGCCCTGTGAAGACCCAGAGGAAATCCCGCAATGACGCACACCGCATATGGGTTCTATACTCGCTCGGTACGCCCCTCCTGCAGTGGCTTGCTTCCGCTCGCCAAGAGATAAGCACGCTCCGTACAACGGGTCCGACCGAAATACCGATTGCCGGCCGGGGAAGATGACCCCTGCTTGTTGACTGTTATTGGTTCACTCCAACGTCCTTGGATAACATGGCGTCCAGTGACGATCTGCTCCCAGATAGCTGGGATAGACGGTCATCGGCCGAGATGTAGCCCAGCAGACGGGTATATGGTTCCTGTTCCGATGGCGCCGGTAGGACCTTCGTATTACCATTCTCTGCCACGTAATGGCGGTTAGGCGCACCAGCTCAGCCAAAAGTGATGTGTAGTTGAAGGAGTATATATGCGGAGGTCGCGCCGTCTAACATTGTAATGTCAACAAGCAGCTTCACTCCAGCCCCGAAGTCCTCACAATGCACTTGCTTCCCCTATCTCTTGCTTTGCTGACGAGCCAAGTGCTCGGAAGCCCAGTTTCCTCGCTTCCAGTCAAGCTTGAGACAAAGTCGAGGCTCGATTCTCATCTTGCCAATATCCATTTACGTTTCGACGAGTCTATAGATGGAGAGGTCACATATACCTATGGCACATGCTTGGCTAAAGAGCGCCGCGATGCCCACCATGTCGTAGGACGGAGCACCAGCTCACACCACAGACTCGTTTGGAAGATCCCCAGGGACGTTGCTACAGATGGTTGCATCTCAGCGTGGGACTCTACGGGATCTCTAGTTGGGCGAAGTGACGCTCAGAGCTTCCGACCCAACAAGCGTGCGATGCAGAAGCGTGGCGAAAACAGCATCGAGATGACTAACGCTACCGGCATTGACACGCTGGGTCCGTGGTTCGACGGTGTTGCCCTCCTTGAGAGCAAAACCTTAAGCGCGGTGGACGTGGCTGACGCCAAGTCGAAGGAGATCGGCATTGTCGGCGCGGGTATGGCTGGATTGATGACATATCTCGTTCTCAGTCAGTCTGGCATGGAGAACATCAAGATCATTGAGGCCTCTCAGCGTCTTGGTGGCCGTGTGCACACCGAGTATCTGAGCGGTGGGCCTTTCGACTACTCGTACCAGGAGATGGGACCTATGCGCTTCCCTAATACCATCACCGTTGCCAACGAGACGCTTAACATCACTGATCACCAGATGGTTTTCCAACTGGCTGAAGAGATGAACAAGCTGAACGGCCATGCAAGCAACTGGAGCGTCGACTTCATCCCCTGGTACCAATCCAACAACAACGGACTCTACTACCACAATGGCATCAAGCTCGACTCTGGTCTTCCTCCAACCGTAGGTCAAATAGCAGACAACTCGTCCCTAGCCATCACGCTCGCAGACGACGACTCCACTACATCTATGACCAACAGGCTCAATGACATTCTCAGCAATGACACATTCACTGCTCTCATGGCCACGAACATGCACAAGGCCCACAAAGAGTTCCTTACCAGCGGTCTAGATGGGCTGCCTGGAGATCACTGGTCAGAATTCGGCTTCTTGGTCAACTACCTAAAGGCCAACCTCAATGATACCGATATACTCTCCGAAGGCTACTTTGAGACTTCGTTTTGGGATACTCTGTATGAAGGTATGTACTTCGATGCTAGTACTTGGAAGACCATTGACGGCGGCTTGAGCCGTCTTCCCCTGTCCTTCCACCCACTGGTTGACAACATTACAACCATGGACCGCGCAATCGAGCGCGTCAAGTGGGACGCCGAGAACGAGAAGGTGACGCTTGAGTGGCGCGAGAGCAAGTCCGCCAACCTCACAACTGGCCCTAGTGCCGTCTGGGCGAACGAGACCTTTGATTACACCGTCCTGGCCCTTCCCTTCTCCGTGATCCAGAGCTGGCGTCTTCCCTCGCTTCCCGAGACTATCACCAATGCCATCAGCGAAATGCCGTTCACCGCTGCCTGTAAGGTCGCGCTAGAGTTTTCCTCCCGCTTCTGGGAGCACTACGAGAACCCCATCTATGGCGGATGCTCGACCAGCACCGATATCCCCGGCATCGGCAGCGTCTGCTACCCCTCCTACAACATCAACGGGACCGGCCCGGCAACGATGCTCGGATCGTACATCAGTGGCGACCAGTGGGGAAACCGCTGGGTTTCCGTCTCGGAGGAGGAGCACGTCCAGTATGTGCTTGACGCCATGATCGAGATCCACGGCGACGTTGCCGCCGAGCAGTTCACGGGTAACTACAACCGTCGCTGCTGGATGCTCGACCCCTACGAGAAGGGGAGCTGGGCCAGCCCCAAGGTCGGACAGCACGAGCTGTACATTCCGGAGTACTTCAAGACCTACAACAATATGATCTTCGTCGGCGAGCAGACTTCCTATACCCATGCCTGGATTTCGTCCGCACTCGAGTCGGGAGTGCGTGGTGCTATTCAGCTGCTGCTGGAATTGGGTCTCGTTGACGAGGCTAAGGCTGCTAACGATAAATGGATGGCGAGATGGATTGATGTGTAATCAACTTAGTATAACGCTGTGAATCATTCATCGGATTCGGCTACAACCAATAATAAACTAATAAAAAATCTTCCTGCACATGAATCATGACTAGAAACCTTTTCCAATAGTGTCCATATAGGGAATAAGCTTCGCAATATTCCAGAAATAAAAACTACTTGCGACAGATCCTAACTGCTCTGCTGTTCAAGCTTTTTAAGAAATTCTTCCTATTTGTTTCTTTTTTATCTTTTTTTATCTTTTTTATCTATTTTATCTCTTTTTCAAACTACGGTAGTGCTACACTACAATTTAAATAATACATCAAGCATCTCAGCTTGCAAAGTGTGCTTTTAAGTAGTTATAAGGTCTGACCTCAAAACCATCTGAACATTTCGCGGCACCACAAAACCAAACAAATAGCCCGCCACTCTTATGCACAGAAACACAGGAGATCCGCAAACGCTGGCTACTGCCAAATTTTCGTTAGCCTGTTCGTCTCTGAACACAATGTGTGCACTCAGCCAATGGCATTTTATAAGCTCTTCTTGTACCATTCCTGAGTCTAGATTCTTTCCATGCCAAGGACCGATGCTACCATCATACACATGCAGAATGAAAGTCTAACTTCAGATCGTCGCAACTAGGCGGCTGGAGACCGGAGTGACTACACATCCAACTGCGTGGCTGAATACGGTGTTAGCTTCTGTTGCGTAACGAACATTCACGTCTCAGGATTGTGAGTCAGGATACCCAGTTTGACAACTGCACTCTCCGAAGTAGAACCCTCACCATGCAGAGATGAGTTGGTTGAAGACGTCACCATAGTCATCTGCGAGTCCCCATCGTTATCGGAATGCTCCTCAGCCAAGACGTCAAAGACGTTGGCATGCGCAATTCCAGTGTTTCCAGCAGAGAAAGAATTACGACCGCTCGGCTTATGGACCACAGGAACGGTACTTCTCTCGTGAGGGCTAGGATGGTCAGTTAGGACAGCTGGGGCCGTCTTCGTAGAGGTGGCATCTGGCATAGAAGCAGGAGTATTATACTCGTTCAAAGCGAATACACTACTGACAGAGATCCTCTCGTGTGTATAACGTTGCCTTGTCGAACAATGTGAGGGGTTCATCTTGGTGGTAGAGTCATTAAAAATATCAGCGTTTTCATCGCTCGTAGCAGCTGTGATATGGACATCTACTTTTTCATTCGGTCGTATTTGTCGAGCCGGAGAAGCAGAAGCATTCTTCGTGACCGTAGCTCCGATGAGAGAGCCACCAGGCCGACCAATGCTTAAACTGTTGATTTTATTGGAATCGATGGGTCGGCGCCTCGGGATTTGAGCAGGTGATATGTCCTCTTCTGGAGGTGGAATCTGCCAATCCTGGCTGGCGTCGGTGACCATTGATGTTCTTGGGTCGCCCTTCCAGAAACTGCTGTTCACAGGTACAAAAGAGTCATAGAGATGTTTGGGCTTGGTGCTGTTTTTCAGTCGTGGGCCTACATTCATGAAAGGGCCATGTCTTTCGTGCGACGCAAGGCAGCCGTCAGTCTTCAAAATAGACATTGGTGATGTGGTATTGGGGCTTGGATTCCCAATCTCAACTTTGATGCTCTCTCTCAAGTCCCCGGTTATGAATGAACTGCGTCTTTGCTGTGGCACGAGGTAGCGGTCGGTTTTCATGGGTGATAATGGCGAAATACCCTCGGATTCTTGTATTATGGGCTTAGCCCCATTGGCCAATCTTGGGTCTCCATTCATAAATGAATTACGCCTCTGTTGAGGTGGGAGATAGCGTTGCAGTTTGGTGACGGGTACTCGCGATGCAGTCTTGGCTTCTGGGTGTTCAAGTGCAGCTCGCATAGTACCCTTGTTCCATGGGTTAGAGTGACCGGATTTTACATTCACGGCACCAGCTCCATCAAAGTATCTGCGACCTCGGGGGATCCTGAATGTGGTCGGTTTTCCTGTGTTGAAGGGCTTGGCTCGCATACCATGCGACTGGATGTTCCAGATGGGTCGTGCCTGCGGTCATAAATATCAGTAGAAGACTCCTGGGATGAATGACTTATGTTAAGGTTTTGAGAAACACGAGCAGTGTTGTATATCGAAGACCAAGATAAACCACTTACCAAGTCAATGAGTTGCTGGCCAAATTCCTCAATAATGTTCTTTGCTGTCTCAACTCGGATCGGATCGTTATTGTCAAAGGCAGGCTTAACCTCCACGCTTTCTTCCTCGGTGTTCAACGTGAACTCCTTCCATTCTCGCTTCCACTCGTTGATAGCCTTGACAGCTTCAGGGCTGTGGGGCTGGACATCTTTAGCTATCATGTAGAATGATGATCGGGCTGCATGGGTTTTGAGAGGCTTCCACACGTGTATTTTCGAGAACATGTTAAACAGCCGGAGCATGTTAACCGTCTCAATACCTTCAATTTTATGAAAGCGACAGACCAAGGTGCCACCCGTCTCAATTCTCTGGAAAGCCAGCACCAACTGGCTTGTCAGCAGGCGATGGCGCTCCTTTCGCTCTCGATAAGTCGCGCGCACATGAGTGCGCAGGACATTTCCATCGCAGAATACAAGGCCGAATTGCTCGCCCTCAAAAGGCCGTAAAGTCAGAAACTCGGAGAATTCGGGATGATCCGGCGGAATATTTGTGAGTCCCATCTCCGTAGCAAGCATGGTGACGTCAAGGAAATGCACTCTGATATCTGCGCGGTTCTCCCAATCCCTGATGCACAAAGGGTGACCACCGCTTGGAATAGGCAGAGAAATGCCGCCTACTCGAGACCGAAAGGCATTTTCTAGAATAGTACCAGAAAAGCCTCCTGGGGCCATGCATATATCAAGGAACTGAGGTTGATCTCCACTGAGCTCCAGTTCCACAGAGAGGTCGTACGCCTTGTCCATATCGTTTCCGATTTTGCACATTTGTTCGTAGAACACTTGCTGCGTATCCGGAGTTACGTTGTCGGCCTTCTCTCGTAGCATCATAAAGTGTACGTCTGCCTCCTTGTTTGCCCAGCCCTAATTGCAATGAATAAGTACACAACTTCCGTGGGTCATCAAAATTTGTTCAACTTACCTCATTTCTCAGGATTGTGAGCTCACGATAATCCGAAGAGTTCTGGAAGAGGTAGTCATGAAGGATTGGGTGGGTGGTGATGATGTTCAGAAGCTCTGCATCCAGCTTGGCGTTGGTAACAGTCAGCTTCTCCAAGTCGGCAGCTATACCATATTCGATGTTGGCGTTCAAGCCGTCAGAATAGCTTCTGCTTTCGGCAGCTGTACCATCGGCTGTCACGGGAACGGTAGGCTTCAAGGTCCCATCATGAAGATGGCTTGTGTCATCAGACTGAGATGGACGTGGACGGTTAGTGACGTCCTCCATGATCACTAACAAGAGATAACTGATGAGAACCAATTTAGTGTGAAAAAGACTCCTACAGGGCCATCTGAGATGGTGCAGATGGACTTGGAAAGTGTGGTATATGGAGAAAGTAGAGAAAAGCTGGGTCAACCGGGTTGTTGAGCAGCAGACAGCTTGTGCTTTGAAAGGATGACAATCAAAAAGAGCTATCCGAGCTCAATGGTCTAGAAACCGGATGATTACTCGAGTATCTTAAGGGAGTCTAGCCATCTGTGAATGGCGCCTTCCTTATGCCAAGCTCGAATCTGGTTATTCGACTGGAATCAGTAGTGCTTTGCCGCACGTGCTGGTAATCTGGAACTCGTGTTACGAAGAACAAAAAGTATTGGTGCAGTCAACAAGATGGGAAGATACAAATAAAAAAGAGTTGGCTGGCATAGTGAATCTTATTATGTTCCACTTGGTATTTATTCTCTGGTGTCCATGGACGTTGAGTCCCTCTTAGTCTTGCTATCCGTCCAATGCGAATCTAGATATCCGAGTTGATCAGATCAAGAGCGATCTAAACTCGGGTATGTCTCCCCTAAACCCCAAAACGCCCGAACGAAAATTCCCAGCAAACGGCTGTCTTGATGCACGACGTGACTAGAACTTTACTTGCTCTGCTTGACCATCCAGGTCAATAAATCGACCTTAGTCACAATAGCCAGAGGTTTGGTCAAAGCCTTGCCATCACCAGGCTCAGTAACGACGGCAGCACTGTTCCACTCGAAGAAATGGCTAAGCTCAGTGAGCGTAGTATCTTTGGTGATCTCGACGAACTTTCGGCGGCCCTTGCCCTTGCCCTTCCTGAGGTCCGTGACGACCTCATCAAGTCGGCCGAAATCGAACATAACATCGGAAACAGGACTCTGTCCAGTTGCACGACCACGGGAGATGTAGCTGAGCAGATTGCCGAGTGTGACAAGTCCAACAAGTTTGCCTCCGGGGCCAGCTAGTACAGGCAGTTGATCGAACCCCTTCTCGCGCATTGTCTCGATGGCATCAGAGCAGGTCTGAGTTGCAACAACAGATGTGACTGGCTTGAGTCTGAGTGAATTGACCGTGGCACCAGCATAAGGATCGTGTTCTTTCTTCGAGTCTCCATTGATCGCCTGCTTGGCAGCCTCGTCTGTCTCTAGCATAAGATCATTGGCCGCTAGCCAGTCATCATCGGCGAACTTGCTGAGGTAGCTTCGAATACTGTCCGGAAGGATGACAACAACGACGTCGCCCTTGCCGAGTCCAAGATCCTTGACTGCTTGCACCATACCAGCCATAGCACTTCCAGAACTGCCACCAACAAGCAGACCCTCTTCGGCGATCAGGCGCCGAGCAAGCTTGAAACTCTCGCGGTCGTCGGTCTTATACCACTTGTCGACGATGTCTCTATCCAACACGTCTGGGATGAAGTCGTAACCGATGCCTTCCACCTTGTACGGCTCATCCTTGTGCTCCTCGTTAAGCGACTCGGGCAATGCAAGAATGCTGCCCTGAGGATCTGCTGCGACAATCTTGACGTCCTTGCTGTGTTTCCTGATACCCTTGGCAAGACCGGTGATGGTACCACCAGTTCCGGCACCGGCCACGATACAGTTCAACTTGCCTCCGGTTTGATGCCAGATCTCCTCCGCTGTTCCGAACTCGTGGGCAAGAGGGTTGTCTCTGTTCGAGTATTGGTCCAAGATGTGTGCGTTAGGGATCTCCTTCACCAATCGTCGAGCGACTCCGATATGCGACTCGGGGGCATCCCAGGCTGCCTGCGTGGGTGTTCTGATGATAGTGGCACCAAGAGCGCGCAAGACACTGACTTTCTCCGCTGACATCTTCTCCGGGAGGGTGATGATAGTCTTGTAACCCTTGATCGCACCAACAAGAGCTAGACCAATACCAGTGTTGCCGCTGGTAGGCTCGATCAGGGTATCGCCAGGCTTTATTCTCCCAGACTTCTCGGCCTCCTCGATCATGCGCAGGGCGATACGGTCCTTGACCGAGCCGCCAGCGTTGAACAGCTCAACTTTGGCATAGACATCGCACTCGATGCCCAGAGACTGGGGGATCTTGTTCAGTCGAACCAGTGGTGTGTTGCCGATCAACTCGGTCGCGGATAGGGCTATCGCTGGAGGGGCCGGACGGTGGGAGAGGGGCGAAGCACCGTTGGTGTCGTTTGTACTGGCCATCGTCATGAATGATCTGTGTTGTACCGAAAGACTGTAGGGGTAATCGCTTCGCTGAATACAATTCACAATGATGGACGAACTCGATGCGAAAGTTGAACACTGACAGCAGAATTGTTCTAAAGGACCTCACGAGTCAGACGAGGAATGTCGCAAGATTTCTCTGGCCTGATGCGGCATGTGAGAAAGAATTGCCCCACCAAAGCCGACGTTAGGCGGTTCGGAGATCGCCTCTAGAGTCGTATAGTTGGCCATTTACATAACAACCTTGCACCGGATTGGCTAAACTTTTATAAGGCTTTGCTAATAAGACCCAAGGTTTTTCTCTTGGTAAAAAGCTTTTGACCCTCGTATTTATTTGTTATGTCAACCCACTTAAAAACATGCAACAACCAGATCAGGACGACGCCAATTTCTCTTTTCTTAATGCCCAAACTAGACCGCCAGTTACGTAAACAAGTAAACATGGTCACAAAACCTGCATGAGGTAATTTAGGTGCAAGGAACTAATGTTTACTGGCCGTGGCGCCCACTAGATTCAATATCCGATAGATATATACATTGAGGCTCAGGTGGATCATACTGTGATTCATAGTATAGCTAGTACAACCACCAACGCACCCATGAGATGGGCAGATATGACTATACGTGCACCCCTTTGCTACTACCGAAAGGCAGTGCTTCATAGTAGGATGAATTTTCCGGCTCTGTATTATCCACCTGACCCAGAGATAAGCTCACGCTTAGTTGCGTTAGGACCACATCGGCACTATATAGGTAGATATTGGTCAGTTGGGTTGTCAAGATGATGCATTCAACAATCCCAATTCAGTTGCGACCCTATCGTAAAATAATTTGAACTGATGTATGGTAAGCTGATACTCAAGACTCCATTGTCGACACTACACAAAGGACCTACGTCGTCACCATGGGACAATGACATTCCTCGCCGAATGCGGACAATAATGCTCAACGACTGGCAGACTCGTACACAATACAACCTGGGATGCTCCGCGCATGATTATGACATTGTGAACACCAGTTCTGTACTGCGGAAACCATTGATTTGATTGCACTAATTTGCCTGCCGATGGATCATCAAGAACCGATGGACGAGGCCGAAGCGCCCGATGCCCAGCAGCAAGATGAAGAACCAGAGGTAAACCCATTTCTGCGCGTTTGGCCACGCATCTGAGCAGCACTAAAATTGCAAGGACAGGAGCCGGAGAACCAACCAGAAGCCACCACGATGGCCGGCTGGACGCTCAATTCCAAGCCGGTCCCCTTCCCCTTCAACATGACGACGACGGCCCTGTGCGCAATCCTACAGTGTCTCCTCGTCCTCGGCAACCTCGAGTTCGAGCATCGGCTGTTATTCCGCTATCAGATATGGCGCTATCTCTTCCACGTCGTCCCGCGCGTCCTCCTGAGCATTGCTCTGGCCTTTCTCAGCACTCTGCTCTACGAGCGCATCCTGGCCTACGAGGAAGGGTATTTCCGTCTCCTCTGGAACGCGGCTATAGTCGAGCCGCAGCGCCTGATGATCAGACTCATCGCGAAAATGTGGGATGTCGACATCGAGATTCCTGCTCGTGAGGAAGCGAATCGATTGAGGGAATTGCATGAAATGTGGAGAATGCTCCAGCTGGGAAAAGATGGGCGAAGTTCCCCAACCGCCGCCTCAATCTATGAAACACTTGCGGAGGCTTGGGAAACGCTTGTGAATGTTGGTGTTGTGGTTGAGCTGGAGGTTGCAAGACGTTTATCTCGAGATGGGCTTTTATGGGTGCTGAAATGGTCGCAAATGTCAGGATGGCAGGAGGTAACCAGTTTTATCAACGAAGATAAGATCTGGGTTGAGACGGCCGCAGATCCGGAAGACCTCTGGGCCCCGTTGCATAGAATCGTCGGGCAGGTTTTTCTCCAACTTCTCGTGGCTACTGTCTTATTACAAGTGATGTTTTTCTACCGATTTCGCCTCCAGGAGGCCCAGGGGATCTACGAGGATGACGACATGTATGAAGAGCTGCGACCAAAGGCGACGTTCCTGCGGGCGACGGCTATGCACCTATTTACGTATACGGCATATCAGATCATCCAGTTCGCCATACCTGATCATGTACGAACGGCTGTTCCGGGACATGTGCTCAAGCTGGAGACTGTTCAATGGCTGAGGACGAGAACATTCAAAAACTTCTGTCTCGCACCAGGTTCGTTTTCAAGGCTCGATATGCGCGGAGGGGCTTGCCTTGAGGACCTGGGGTGGGTAGTGGCAACTCCTATCTTGACACTCGCTGTGCACCTTGCCGTTCGCTATGTAATGAGATGGTTTGTGCGAATTGGCTGGTGGATGGCCGACTCAATTTTCGAGTGGCAAACGCTGTACATTCACTTCGCCGTGGAACAAATAAAGCTGATTTTCCTTGAGCAGATGGACGCGGACCTTGGATTGGACGATCAAGTCAAGAGTCGAGCTTTAGTGAGTTTCTTCTTTCCAGGTTCGGGCCCTATGGCTATGATGGTCCCTGGCGGCTATGATGCTGAGAGAGTATGGGGCGCTGATGAGAATGAAAACAATGGTGGGAATGAGGGCGTTGATTAGGTCGCGGATAATTGAGTTTGGGATGATATTAAGAATTACGCTTTGCTACTCATAAGGATGACCTTAGGAACTGGTGAGCAGCTCAGTATTGTTGTCTCTGCTCTCTTCCAGGCAAAGTGATCTTAGACAACTTTTTTGGATCTATCTTCCAGTTCTTGCCCTTGTTGCGGTCATCATCACATGTGCTCTTGCCCACCCTACAGTAGTGGTCATTAGCGCTGTTTCTCCCATACTATGTACAATCTACTTCTATCACAACGCCCGCCTGGCCGTGTAGGATCCTCCACTCACATGGTTCCGTTAGCCATGGCTCCTTGGATCCATGCGCATCGGTTGTTCTTCAGGTCATCGGTCACTATGACTTGCCCGGTGTATGTGTATTCAAGAGTTTGCGCAGCTGAGCCGTACTGCGGCCACGTGACGGCCTGGCCGATATAATTAGGATCCCCCGTTAAAGTAAAGGTGACGATATGATCTTGAATAGCGTGTGCAATGGTTGGATCGACAGGAAGGCCGTTGTTAAGAGTAGTCGTGTCGCCATTGAAGAAGACGAAAGGAACATCCTGTGCGTGGTATCCAGGTGGGTACGCGAATATGTAGTCGTAAGTGGCGTTTTTGAACGCAGCAGAGAGGTAGCGAGCTGAACAGGCGAACTGAATCTCGGTGCCAATTCTCACTGCGCGAGCGAATTCAGTGGTCCATGGGTATGTCCCATCAAGAACATCGGGCCACACTACGTCAAGCATATAGTTATAGGTCTCATTATCGAGTCCAGGAAATTGGCCGATGACGTATTCGCGAAGTTGGGCAGAAGTTGTAACATTGGTCGAAGTAAAAGGAACTGATTCGTTTGAGGTATGACTGATCATCAACTGCAGTTATTGTTGGATTGTGTCTTCCAGTCTTGTACAGAAGTGTTTAACTTACCTTGACCGAATGGTCGAACTTGCCTTCTAGCAAGAGTACCTGAGGGTGGTTTGGAACATAAGTGCCATCGACCACAGGGCCGTAGTTAAATAAGCCAACCAAGGCTGTATAAACAACCCCTTGATTGATATACTTTAGCTGAGCCGAGCTCAAAGCCCGTAACTCATCAGTCGTGTCGATATTCTCGCCAGTGTAGTTTGTAGCCACTTCCATGGTCAGGTCATAGCCATATGAGCCATTAAGGTTGAACTGGTACGCTGGACTCATGATGACAGCCTGATCGAAAGGTGCAGCCTCGCCACCACCGTAGGCCGTGATGTGGTGCATGAGAGAGGATGCACCTGCACTCTCACCCAGAGCGGTCACGCGCTTTGGGGAGCCGCCGAACTTGCTTATATACTTCTCAATCCACTCAAAGGCAAGGCGTTGATCGTACAAGCCAAGGTTTGGCGTGACGTCAGAGCCATCTAGCCAGCCGAACATACCCAGCCGGTAATTGATCGATACGATGATGGCAGTATTGTTCGAGCGTGCGAGAAGACCAGCGACTTGTCCGGAACCGGTCTTTGAACCGTAAGCGAACTATTTCACTCAGAGTTAGTAATGCTTCTTCAATATATTCTGTCGAGCCTTAAAATTGACCAGGTTTGATACCCTAGGTCAAAGTCTTTCCATGCAACATGGTATATGCTGGCCTGGGTGGACTATAATTTGGAAGATACTTACACCTCCTCCATGAATCCAGACGAGAACTGGGGCAGCGGCAACCAAGCCAGCATTATAAATGTCGGTTGGGACATAAATATCGAGGACCAGACATGACTCAGTTTGTGCGCCGGAGTTGTACAAGAGATATGCCATAGTCGCGACATCGACACCGTTCGCGGCAGCTTGAAGTTCGATGATCCATTCTGGGTAAGCTTGCATGCACTCAATGTTGGACGTGCTGCCACTGTTCACAGTACTGTTCGTGCCTGCTGGCAGTATTGGCTCCCGGAAGCGCAGGTCCCCAATGGGTTGCTGGGCGTACGGAATATTGCTGAAAAGATAATAGTTTCCTGTACTCTGTTTGCAGTATGAGTATTATCGATAAGGTATGTAGACTCAGACGCAAAGAAGGCACGAATACTCACGTTGATGCTTGAAGAATGCTGCTCATATCCAAGGTCGACGACGGGGGTGTCATCCCTGACTTCCAGCCGTTCTGTCTGACTTCTTGGCAGGTCCCAAGGAGCCGCAACGGCCGAAGCGGCCAAGAAAGCCAAACATATCGACAAAGAGCACTTCATCTTGACGGCTTCTGCAGCACTCGAGGTGTCTCAGAGTGCAGGACTGCTTAGGACTTGCGTTCTACTGACCAAAGCGCATGGGAAGCTGACTGAATCGGCATGATTGAGGTCATCTCTGGACAAGATCACCTTTATAATCCATTGCGCACTTTTTGCCGCCATCTCTTTCTACCTAGTCTTCTGATGCCTGTCATTATGGCGAATGCCCTGCTACGCTCATGCACATCTTCTAGGATCCTCAGATGCTTGTTGAAAAACAGAGAGCCTTGACGCGCGCTGCATTGGTTCGCGATAGATTTTCGTCCCATACTATGCATCGACCTCCGAGGTGGGTGCCGAAATGGGCATGTTCGTCCGTGCGCTCAGACGGGAACAACCTGGAATGCAACCGTCCGTGTGGGGCTCCCGGCCTGGTAGCCGTTGGAGGTATAGCACTGATGGGAACGCAGCGGCGTGTAGGTCGGTTTATCTCAGAATACAGAGTGGTGCATGAGTTTCGCACGTGGCCCGTACATGATCGCAGGCATAATGGGTACTGTTATCGACAGGCTTGGGCTCTCAACACTCGGGACTTTCCCAGACCCTGGCACTACGCTGCAGGCGCCGCTGAATCCAGCAATAGTACTAATGGAGATTCTACATCAAGTGGTAGGCAGGTAGGAGAAGGGTTTTCCGATTGGTTGTCGTTCGCTTCTCTCTACGAACAAATGCAATGCACATAGCCCAGGGATAGTATGGATGGCCCAATGTGACAAAAACGATTTAGGCACCCAAGCCAGGACGTCGGGACGATATAGAGCCCGACTATACTGAATGATGTGGCTCCAAAAAATAACCTCCGCTTAAGATTACATTCGTTACAGTGGGATATAAGCCCGCTGCAAGCGCACTGACGCATAGGCCACGGTTCCACGCACACACACCATCTCAATCATATCCAAATACAGATCTCTGTCAATAGTCCCGGTGGGCAAGATCCAATAGTCACTTGCGAATTGGTCACAAGTCCGTTTTGCAGCTCATATAAGGCCGAATGCATACTGCCAACCGCTTTGCCAAGCCCCTGTATGGTATATCGGTAATCTTGTCTACGTTGTGCCTTGCATAAGGTAACCGCATATTGATTCGACATGCATATGTAATTTTAAAGTCGGGCTTTGACTAAAAGAATAATCTGCGCACTTTCGCGTGGCAGCGACATCATCATAGATTGGCTTATTCGCAACAATGGATCTTCTGGTGTTATCATACTTTCGAAATCATATTGACTGTTCTTGCACCGGATTAAGACCATGCACGAAAGACAAAGGTCGCATTCAGGAACAAATAGCGCAGGTTTTCCCCGTCTGCTCCGAGTTCAGCTTCGGCTGTTGCCGCTGACAGAAAACGGCGCACTAGCGAACTGACCCCCTGGTTGCTTCACGGTCATCCTTTCCGGCCTGTTTCCCACGACATAGAGAGTGCCAAGCGGAAATACAGTTTTGCTTTCTTGAGCTATCGCGTTAGACTAACTTTAGTCGGCCCTTCAGTCAGTCCATGGGCACTTGTTCAGCGTACCTTCCGAAAAAAGGCAACCCGGTTCCAAACGGGGTTATAATATGTAGCATACCTTATAGCTATTACTATCTTCATACACCCCAAATCTAGTCAATTTTCGATCGTTGTAGTGCACAAGAGATATTACCACTATGATCAGTTGAAATGTTTCTTCCTTTAACTACAATGTACCCTCAAGGAACTTCTTGATAGTTGGTCTTGGATCCTCCTCTTTCAAGCCGAGGAGGCCATTAGCCAACTCAGTATTTGCACTGTCGCCACCATCTTTGTACAAGTATACCTGAAGAAAATCTCTGAAAGCGCTGAAGTCCTTCTTCTCCAGCTTCTCATAGCCAATTTTGTCCAGATCGGACGACTTGATTTGTTCGGTCGTCCACTTCGTCCCTGATTCCTCTTCTACTATCTTCAAGAGTTGGTTCTGGGTGATGGTGAAAGAGGCGATAGACAAATATTGGTTTGCAGTCTTGTCTGCATTCTTAAGAATCGCCGCAACCGCCTTACCGATGAATGACAAGTTGGATGCGAAAAATGGAGTGTTTCCCGAGTCGATAATATTGGCACTCTTGCCGCTCTTGTCGAATCCGAGGCCGCTGAGTCGAAGACCCTACATCGATGCAATCAGTCTCCGTCTAACACGTGGTGTTTCCCAGACGTTTACATACCCAGTCAAAAAAGAGGCCATTGGCGACTCCAGTCCAGGTGAAAGATGGGTTCCCCTTGGATTTTTCGGCAAGATAATCAGCCACTTTGATTTTGCCAGCGATAATTGTCTTCAATCCCTCGTGCTGCACTGTCCTTGTGTTGATGCCGAACTCTGACGGAATGAAGCGCTTGACCCCCGCATTGAGGGCGGCATCTATGATAGGATACTGATTGCCTACAGCAGGGGAAGCAGCCGCAGATACTACGGCGTCTTGGCCCTGCAGGGCGTCCTCAAGCGACTTGACAGAGTCATAATCCACTTTCTTCACGGTCACACCAGATGGGAATGTGGATGATGATGAGTTTCTGGTCAGAACTGTGACGTTGAACCCGTCCGCAAGAAGTGCTTCAGTAATGGGTTTTCCGACATTGCCTGAGGCCTATTGGTCTTGTTAGTTACAACCTTTCTAGAGGATCTGTATAAGATCAGAGCCCCACTTACGCCAATGACGGCAACATTCTTGATGGAAGACATAGAGATACAAGTATCTACGATCCACGGTGGCGCGATGTAAGACTTTTTATTCTCACAAGTGTTATGAAGTGCGTGTATGAATGAGAAGGAGAGCAGAAGTGAAACTCCAAAACTGATAGGTCTCTTAGCCATCTCTCTGGCATGTTCGGAAGAGGCGGGGTCATTTCATATATTGCCGGAATGTGGAGCGGCACCCATATCGCGTCATAATAGTGCGTGATTGATCAGGCGTTCGTCCCGGCTGAATGTGATTTCGTTGGCTCTATCAAGATGCTATCTGGTGTTTGCCGATAGTTTGGTAAGCAAGGACAATGTTGCAACATTGGACCTTTCTCGCGTGCAATGAAGCAATCTCGACTCAAGTCTAGCAGGAGCTACTAGGCTAGTCTAGTCTAGTAGCTCCTGGGCCATGGAATTGTGCTTGCTATGCACACTTGCTATGAGCTTTCCTCGTAATATCAAGTCTGTTGCCATTAGTCAGGGCACATGCAAGACCGACCCCAAAGTCCTTCTGACGTTGCCGGGGGTGATCTGCCGACACGGTGGTCCCGGAGAGTCTCCGCTCGGACCGGCATTGCTGTACAGTAGTCAAACAATATGATGTCGTGCACATTTCTAACCTTAGTCACTTTGCAAGATTGCATAGTGATATCTACTGGGGATCAGTGACGGGATTTTCTCCCCCCGACTGCCCACCACCGTATCTGCAAAGTTTGTGCAGCTGGGAATCTTCTAGACTTCTGTGGGTGATCTGGCGTGCTTGCCGATGAGAGACAAGAAACGTTGAGCAGCGCTTTCGGCCACTTTTATACTGGACTTGAGATCCTTGGCCCATGAGGGCTTGCTGATCAGTGGGAGAGGAAGGGACAGTATATAACAGTAATGTCTATAGTCGCAATGCAAGGCCTCGAACGATTGAAAAGTCTGCGATGGTCTGAAGATGATTCTATCGTGGTTTGTCCAACTCCACTTTGTTTAGTTGGGGTTTATTGAGATCTGTGCCGCTACGGACCCGTGCTGTACGTTAACAATCTATGTAACTATCTGAACTGGTCACAGATAGTTACCATGACGGCGGGCTTAAAGTTTGCCACAACACCAATAATTGTGGTGAATACTCGCAGTCAACCAATGATTTCATAACACGAAATGTGAAGATTACATCAAAGCTCGGTACCATGCATTGAACAGCTCAGGCGGCTGTTTTTAGCATTGTACAGTAAGTACTCGAGCGCGCAGTTTATGCACGGTACCTCATTCCATGGGAACAGCTCCCCATTGGCAATTGGCAAGCGGAAGCTTTACCAGCTTTCGGCGCGTCGCATTACCGCGAAGCAGCTTTATTTTCGCAACCAAAACAAGCATACTCGACGTCGTGGTTCACAATACATATACATTCGTTTCGCATAACTGTACAATTTTGTTGTTCAAATCATTGTCTGGCGTTCTACAGCGTGACGTCAGTCACGCAGTTGGCTCAACGCCTTGTCTCTGTTCTTATTTCGAGTGAAGTACCAAAATGGCCGATGAATACCAAGAGTTTCCCATCGAGGAGACGCCGGTGCCGACACAAGCCACCGGGGATGTGGAGATGGACGACGAAGCCGGAGGGGCCATCGAGAACGCGAACGGCAGCGAGCTTCCCTTCGCTGGAGGTGCTGAGGCCGAGCCTGAGGCCGAGAAGCGTCCCGAGTTCATCGACTATCTGAAGAGTCCAGTCGTTACCCTGCTAGTCGGGAACAGTGGGATTGAAACGATTCTTACAGCACACCAAGCACTTCTTCTGCAAAGTCCCTACTTCGTGGAAGCTTGCGCCGCTTTCAGCAACGACGGAAGTGTAAGTGCCTGCCGTGTCCAATTAGTTCTACTGCTGGCAACTGGAGCTAACGAACATTTCAGCCCCGACAGATCAAACTGGAAAACGAAGAGATCGATGCAGTCGGCAGCTTCCTCGAATACCTCTACACTGGCGACTATTTCCCTAAGAAAATTCCCGGAACCCGACAGTTGGAGACTGACCCGTCGTTGCCCAGCGTGGACGAGTCGGGCAACCAGCTGTTGAAACATGCGCGAGTATACACATTGGCGGACAGGTTTGGCGTGAGCAAGCTCAAGGGTCTTGCTACGAGCAAGATCCACTGCGTCAACTCCACGGCCAAGGGCGAGATCCAATACGCCCGCTACGTCTATGCCTACACAAGCACTGAGGACGCATCAATCCGTGCGCCCGTTGCTAATTTCTGGGCTACGAGAAGTCACACCCTCCGTGCCGAGGCCGAGGAGGAGTTCCGTGGCCTATGCTTGGAGTATCCTCAATTTGGTTACGATGTCCTTAGTAAGTTCTATCAAATCACACCATTTTTCTTATTGCTAATCAGTCACAGCACGCGTGTTGGATGAGAAGCTCAAGCGCGAGACGCAAGGCAAGCTGCACCCTGCGTCCAGTAGTAACCGCAAGAGGCCGCGTCTTAGCAACATCTAATCATGACACGTTTACTGCGGTGAATGTCTAACATTCGGCTTGTTTCATACAAAAATGGTTCATGAAAAGACTGAAGAAATATTCAACGGTGGTGTTACATAAAGGACAGTCTAAAGAAACTGCGACTTGGTAGCTTGGGGCATATAGCTCAGCTTACGGTTTGCGCTAGGTATGCGTTGGCGCTGGTATGGTTTAACAAAATTGTACATTAGAGAACATGAAAGCCTTAGGTCACAATAGGGTAACATAGGTGGACGACTAATTGCAATTCAAAACGATAATTTTCAGGAAAAATGTTCATTACTTCCGACGTGATGCTAAGGCTCAGGGCTAGAATATACAAATGCGCCTTCCAACACATTTCCTAGCGACACCCTCCTCAACCACCAGTTGGACTCACCGATGGTCCGCAGGCAACTGGTACACTGGCTGCACATGTTGTGCCGGGGCCTCGTGGGGTCCTGGTGTATGAGGGCTATACGGGACCTCATGAACAGGGCTCGCCTGATTTGGCGAGTACACACCAGGAGCACCAGCATATCCAGTACTCTGTTGTTGTACGTAAGGGTCGTAAGGCTGATTCTGATTGTAGACAGGCGCAGGAGCAGGAGAAGGAGTACCCTGATGCGAGTATCCAGTATGTTCGGGGTAGACTGCCTCCGCCCACTTCGGCGGCTGTTGCTGTTGCTGTTGTGGGTAACCCCCCTGCTGCTGCTGTACTGGGTAGCCTCCTTGTTGCTGATTGAGAAGAGGCTGGGCTTGCTGTGCCGGTATATTTGCTTGCATCTCTACTCCCGGCTGTTGATGTTGTACGGTCGTGTTGTTAGCGCCAGGAGCGCCACCCCCGGCTTGCTTCTCGGCATCGGATGGGCTTGAGACCCAGGACAGGCGGAAATGGTGGCAGACATAGGCAAAGCTCGCGACGAATAGAAGCCTGTCGTGTCTGATTGTTAGTTTGTTTCCATACGTAATCACAGTCAAAGACTGAAGACCTATAGAGCGGATATTGACTTACATGATGAGAGCAGATACGCCTGCGACAGCGCTCATGACGGCGAGCGCCGTATCATTGGCGACGTACGCCCGCTTGTAGATAACACAGGAGCCCGAGTTGATAGTGCTGCCGTCGCTGAAACAGCTCGCCTGTACACTGTATTTGAACTCGCCACGCTGTGCCGCCACAGCGCCCATAGCCGACAGCCAGAAGATGATCATCAGACCATCGAGTGACAAGATTGCCCATGTGTTGTAGGCGCCGTGGCAGGAGCTGACCTTCTCAGATAGAATGGCATATACGAAGATGACCCAAGTGAAGAGAGTCTGCCATGGAATTTGTGTTAATCGAACATGTGAAGCAAAAAGGAGGGCCGATACGACTTACGCAAACGATCGCAAAGGCGAGACTAGGAAGGTAAAGGCTGTGGATAAACCATCCCGAGCCGCCGATCACGATGAGGGATAGAATGACTTGGAAAACTCGTACTATGAGCACCCAGGTAGGGGTCGGGATAATGGCTTTGCCATCGTTGGCCATGTTGCTTATGGCTGGTGGTTTAATAACCTGGGAATTGACAAATCCGTTCAAATGAGTTGAAGTCAAGGTCGCCGCTGTTGATTGCCTTCTTCGCTGGATGAAGATCGGGCTCGAGTCGCACTGACGCTTGTTTTTCTTCGCCCATTCGCAATTGTTACCAGAATTGTCCCAGCCGCAGATTACGAGGTTGGTGCCTCGTCTTTATAAACGAGCTCCGGTCAAGGACCGCGCATGCCGACCGCTTCTCTGCCTAGAAGCAGGACGCTTTCAGCCTCACTAACCGTGAACCCAATATTGCACACACTCTTCTCACCCGAGTTCCCTCCCGAATGACCACCTTGTTGCCAAGCAAATCAGGGCTCCACTGCCTATGCCGAAAGTCCTATGGAGTTCAATTTGTCGCTTGTCAACGCCAATACAGGTAACGCCAGGATCCACTCATGCCCCTGTAGCGTCTCAGCCGCACGCATAGTTGATCACAGAGCCGGGGAGGTAGCCATTCAAATGTCACAGAGTCACCCCAATAGCGGAGTTGAACTTACATCTGCAAGCCTTGTTCATCATGCTTAACTGCTTTAGAGTTTCTTGATGCTTGGCGGGGCGGAATTTGAACCGTTAGGATTTTTTTGGGATTAGCGCGGGCTGTTTTCTGAGAAATCAGGTTGGGCTGAAGTGGTGCTGAAAAGTATCGGAACGCCTCCCAAGAAGACTTGAAACCGTTATCTTCGGTAGTGCCTTTGTCGTGGCAGTGACTACTCGGTATCTGATCGTCCGAGCGGTGTCGTAATCGTCGTGTTCGTGGATGCAACAGGAAAGCATCAATCAATGGGCGCTCGCAGGAGGCTATCTATTCTGATATCTAGGTTAGTCTAGTACTAGTCTAGACAAAACTTGGGTGTTAACCCCGGCGTTAATGTCCTACGCACCAGTGCAGCTCGTCCTCGAACCTAACCTAATATAGACGCTTATGAGCCGGATCACTATAGCAGGTGCAATCCAATCCAACGGCCAAGGACGCTTGATTTGACTTGACCTGGAGTGGGGAAGGTTATATATAGTCGTAAGAACTTGAAGCTCGTCAAATTGCATATGATTATGGAGTAGAGATGGAAGAGATTGAGCTGAAGCTTACCCTGTCTGACATATTTCCTCATGCCACAAAGTGATGATCAACGGCCTCAACATGAATACTCTAAATTAAGTCTGTGTTCCATAGGGGAACTGTAGGCTGGCTTAAATTTGAAGTCATCGGCATATTGCAAGCCAGATTGATCCGTAAAAAGCGGCATACTGCGAACATAGTCATAATAACAGTGGGCGTCAACAAGCTGTGGCAGACAACTGAATTAATAGTGTTAATATATAAGCAAACAATGTGGAAAAGTCTCTCTTGAATTCACAGGAGCACATATGGATACGCGTAAGCAAGAGACTATGTCCTCAGTTGTAAACACTTTTATTGATTATTTTCTATCCTGCATACCATGAGCTGACAGTGCCGAGTGTAGCTTGAGCTGACTTCTTGAACATGTTATTCGCAGGAGTCTGACTAATCTGAGGAGGACTGCAAATGTCAAAATGATCGTCCATCCAAATTATGCTATGCTATACTGTGACGCCATCTATCTATCATGCATGTCCTTACTAGTCAAAAGCATGCAGAAATGTTACATAGCTTGCACTAAATGAACAGCTTCATAAAACAGGATACTCTGTCAATTGCAAATCATTAATTCTGTCATGGGTAGCATCGTGCCCTCGCTGGCCACGTACAGTGTTTAACCTCATTATCTTGCATAGGGCACGTATGATTTCACAAGTGGTAAACCAACCTCTGCCTCATTGATTCAATAGGTAGTGCTCAACTGTACCCAACCCCAAAAAGAAAAACCACCAATCCTAAAAACATACAATCAATGAACACTAAAAAAGGTATGGACCTAATTACTGATCTCTTAATTTGACATACTGCTTGCCAGCCAATCACACCATTCCATTTTGGGCGTTTGCTTCAAGAGTTCTGCCTGGTGCGGGATCAACAATCAGGGACGTACCTATTTTCGAGTGCTTTGATTGGTCTGATACAGTGATTCTATACAGTTACAAGGCAAATTTCTCAACTGTAATCATTTCGTTCTGAATTGGGAGTTAGCACAATCATTAAACCCATAATCAGTAACTCTCGGATTGAAACATTTAAACAGCACTTCCTCACCAGTTCTTCCAAGATTTTTCCACACAAACATTTCTCACATTCAGCAACCTCGACGACCCCAACGACACCGACGACACCGACGACATAGTGAGTTTCCCAGCATCCCCATCTCCATCAGCTCTCATTCCATCATTTCCTCCATCATCATCGTTGTTAGCTCTCTGAGCTTGATGCCATCGATCCGTGTTTCCATATCAGCCTTCCAGTCACGATTTACTAATAATTATCGTGTCCAGGCATCGAATACCGAACTTGCCTCCCTTGGGCAGGCCTCACACAGCCCCACAATCCCTACACATCCCCATTGCGGAAGGTTTCTCTAAGGACTATGTCCATTGGAACCCCCCCGTGGTGTCTGGTCGCCCAGCACATGGGGACTCATACCGTATCGCGGCCAATCTGGTCACCGGGCTCCCCGATGAGAGAGAGAGAGCGGTGTGCGCACAGGGTGAGCGAATGTCATCCGGGAGACGCCAAACGTATCCTAGGCCTCTGCGACCATCTGTCTGGCTTATCTCGTCGCCGGTATCAGTAGCTCTGGTCATGGTTGTGTCGACTGTCTCGCACCTCTTAGTGCTATGCTGCGTTATCGGTCCCTGGGCCTCCTTCCTCGACTGGAGTGTTACCGCTTGGAGCACAAAGCGCTGCGCAATATGGAGTGCCCCCCGTCTTGCCCTCCACCGCGGAGGTCGAAGGCGAGCGGCAATTGCTTCGCTGGCTAGAGTGTTGCTTGGTGCGGGGAAGCACCCGGGACAGCCGTCCTGCTGAGCGTTCAAGACGCGGTTGGTGAAGGTATTGACGCTGGGCCTTTTGATAGCTGAACCGCCTGGATGTGTAGGGAAGTGCTGGACGCCCTCCCTCCCTCGTCTGCTAATATGTCACAGGCGGGTGACGAAATCGGATCTCACTGCCTCCTCGTGGCGTCACCTGGTAACGCTCCAGATATCTGAGCGGCTAGAGTGGGAACGTGACATGATTGAATTTTTAGTATTCTATACAACTGTCTAACTGTTGACTCTTGTGATCTGCCTGTGACCTGATTGTGTCCTGCTTCTGATGTGACTGACGATGCTAACGGCTGGATCCACCTTTTGTCTAGACTAGCCCAGTCTAATTTAAGAACTTGATCACTTATAGCTTCTCAAAATGGCTCCCGCTGGCTCGTTCAAGTTAGTCAGTGGCTGAGCTAATAACTTTATCTAATCCTTACTTGGTAGTCTGCAATGAATGGTAATGATCGCCTAACGGACCCGTAGAGATCATTGATCCGTCACGTCCTTGGCCGCTCCATCTTTTTCATCGTGTCCCATCTCCTGTTGCAATCATGGTGGAGTACAGCTTGCTCGCCTCTGCATCCTCGGAGTGTTTGGCACACCTGCGACGACCAATCTCGGATCACGGACCTCGCTTCATTTTTCACTTTCCTGAAGGTTTTTGACCACCAAGGACATCTCCCGCTTTGGGAAAACAATGACCTCACGTTTCGCATCTCAAATGATGATAAACTCAGACGTCGACTTGTAACGGGGACCCATGGCTTTTATTGTCGAGCAGTGCAAGCCGGCAGTCCGAGAGACAGGGCCTTTGCAAGATGTGCCAATTCGTGAGCCTCAGAAGTCAGGGTCTGCGTTGCTCCACCACGAAGAAGACGAGTGGGAGGCTATGCGATCGCTTATACAGCAGATTTATATAAGAGAGGATCGAACGTTACGGGAACTCATGCTGGAGATGGACAGAGGGCACGGCTTCAAGGCTACGTAGGACGAGGCACTCAATGACAAGGGCCGACATTTCGAACTAATCGCGCTGCAGACTTCGAATGTACAAAACTCACTTTAGGAGATGGGAGTTTCGGAAGTACAAAGAGAGGACACTCGCCAAGCAACGCAGTGGTCCTGAGAAGTGCATCCCAGCATGGGGTTCAGCTGGGTCACTAACACCTTTGACACCGCATGTGGCAGATATCCCAGAGCACCGGAGGACCCTTTCCATATTTCATGTTGTGTCAACCTTTAATGAATCCAGACTCGAATGTTTCGCTTTCACGTCCGGAGTGCCCAGAAATTCGCTTGAGCCCACGCCCTTGGGAACGTTTTATCCCATCGAGAGCCAAGAAGCATACGGGTTGTTTCAATTTTCAGCAGCTCTGTACCGCCGCCACCATGGTCGTCTTGCCGGAAAAGCGGTCAGGAAAGCTTTCATCCACGCGGAGAAAGCTGTAAGCGCTTTAGATGTGCACTTTATGTGGAACTTCCTCGACATCATGTATGGTATGCTCTTACGCGGACAAGAGGAACTCCTCCGGATCTTCTTAGGTCACATTGCGGCGCTCGGATTCCGGGTACTCCCTGTCGATCACCCGGTCGCCAGAGTGTTCAGGGTGCTTGCGGAATCTACCGACGAAGAGAGAACGGCTGTCATCACCCAGGCTTGGCGTTGTACATACGACATCATGCAACGGCGGCTTGATCCATGGTGCTCGGTCGTGGATGAAATTGATAAGATGGGCTCTGAGGATGTGGGATACGGCGATACCGATCATGACATACCGACGAACTTTCTCGTCGTCAAGGGCGTCGCTTCTGACATCCAGGACAGAGAAGCTATAGGGCTCACCAACCTAGCCCCTAACATAACAACCAATGTCTCACCCGAGCGTGAATTCCGGCAGTTGAGGATCAAGTACAACACCATCATTGGTGTCATTGAATTGCTCGGTCCGGCACATTTGACAAAAGACGAGCTGCTGATGGAGCCGTTTTCACTCCATCAAAGACTTGAGCTCAAAGCCTGGGGTGATGCCCTTAAGGGAAGATGCAACCAGCACTTAGCCCATCAGCAGTATGATCAAGCCAGAGCATGCAATGACCAAATCCGCCAGGCGGCGATCAAGTATGCCGCCACTGGCGCCTATTCCAACGTCAGATATTTGCAGCACTTGTGTACGATGGAAGATAGATTCTGTCAAGCAGGCGATGTGGAATATGCGAAAGAGATCGGTGCAGATATGCTCAAAGTGACCGAAGACTTCTTGAAGGATATTCCCGATGATACCGGATGAACCCGACCAGATACTGACGTTCATTGTGAAATCTCAGCGACCACTGAGATGGTCAGGCGCCTAGATACAAAGCGGTATGTATATCACCGAACATGGCAGGTCTATTTGCCCCTGAAGCATAATCATCATTTCCAACTTAATTTCGGAATTCGCTCATCAGGGTAAATATCTTGATTCTCGAATCTTTACGACGCATCGCATCTTATCAATGCTCTCACAACCCTCGACCCATCGCAATGCACTAGACCAACATTACCATTTCGAATCCAACTCCCAGAACCCCGAATGTATTCACAAAGAAGAGATATCTTCGCTTGCACTCAACACAACCCCAATGACTACTCAACCCTGCTTTCCCATTTGAGTCGCCAGGTTCATGTGCATCATTGCATCTCTAGTCCAATCATCATCATCTACACCGGCGTTGCCAACATCGGGGCTGGTCATCTCGGGCTCACGTCCGTCAACACTGGGAAGGCGAATCTGTGGTGTGCCACTAACGGTTGACGTTGGCCTTGTCGAGTCGAAGTCTCCGTAGCTCGACAATTGGAAGCCATGGCCAGTAGCCGCCGCTGTATCGATTCGAGGCGGCTGTGCAGTTGCACGCTTCTCCCTCCTAGCAGAAATGTCACCACCTGCTGGTAGCTCGGCAAGCTTGTTCATCTGGCTGTCGAGTTCTTCTTGCTCAAGGATTTGGGGCGCGTGCTCCATGTTTCGTAGGGAGCTAGCACCAGGTATGCCGCTGCTCCTGTAGCTAGCGATACTTGCGCGGTGAGCATCAAGAGGGCCGTCACCACCCTCCATGTGCATGTCACGAATGTTGAACTGAGCCAAGGTGCGTAGCTTACGGGTGACCCAGCCCGCCAAAATTTTGCCGCGTTGCTTCTCGCCAAGACGGCTGCGGGGGAAATCGCCTTTACTGACGAATGCAACGACGTCAATGATAGTTTGGTGCTCATTTAGAATCGCGTTCACGATAACCGGTACAATTGAAGCAAGGTAAGACTTCCGTGATACCTCCACAATCACGGCAATCAAGCCACCAGCTTGGAATACAGCACTGTTCATGATCAGTATATGGGGTATACATCTGGGAAGAGATTTGGCTACTCACCAACCACCGGGAACGATGTTTCTATGGCAAGCTTCGACTGAGGCTTCGATATCCATTGGGAAGTGACTCAACCCATTAATCTCGAAAGTCTCGCCGATATTACCGAGGACAAAGAGAACCTGCATGTCAACCTGAGCACCCCCTGGGCCAATGGGTCTGCTGACGCTATGTAAGAAACCAAGATCGCCTGTACGGACGTAACTTATGTTGGGGTCTCCATCGACGGTTCGGCCATCGAAGCGTTCGGTATCAAATGCGTCCCTCGAACCGTAGAAGGACTTGACACATGCTTCCGAGTCTACCCAAATCTCACCATATTCTCCATCGTGGCAGAGTAGTCGGCTTTCGGGATTTACGATAGCGATCTGAGTCGATACTGGTACCATACCAGAATCTTGTATGAGCAGCGCCTTTGGATCTGTTTCAGGGTCTACTGGTATGATGAGTCCTCTCCTCAGAGCCCGTTGATCGAGCCATAATTCGATAGGCTCAATACACATGTATGATCTTGAAGCAACCATGGGATTTAGCACGTGAGAATAGACAGTGTTGATGGCCGTTCTATCAAGCCCCGTAGCCGCGAAATGGAGACGGACTCTTTGAAACACGTCAACCCGTGGCCTGCCTTCAGCTGTGATCATCATATTCTTCAACTCGTGCATCGTGAAGCCCTTGCCCGGCATGGAATTCATAGCATGATCCAACATCTGAGGCGTGGCGTACGTGTCTTTGATCTTGTACCTGCTAAGTGTCAAGAAGAGAGACATCGGGTTCTGGGCGAACTCCACGGGGGAGAGCAGGTAAGTCGGTGTTCCGATGTAGACACCCATCAAACACGAGTGGATGAATCCCAGACCAGTCGTACTTCGAACACATCCCAGTACTGGCCTGGAGCTTGTCATCTGGCAGGTTTCTTTTTGAACTTTGCACATGCCCAAGATGGTGTCGTGGCCAAGTTGCACCGCGATCCTGCGTTGGTCCGGCGTCCAGTATGTCCAAACGACAGCTGGATAACCGCGTTGAACCCACGCAGGATCCATAGTGAGGCCAAGGTCGCGAAGACCACTGTTTTGTTTTGGCGGTTTTGAGGTATTATAAACATTCGGTATGCCGATCTTAAGCACCTGTGCTGACTGCTTGACGTGCTGAGCCACCGACTTCATCTTCAAAAGATGATCCACTTCTGCGTTTACAAGCACGGTCTTGACTTGGAAATCAGCGATGAGGTGCAAGAACGCCGGCACATCCTCGTTAAGACGACGCTCGTCCATTGGTGCCGCAGGAATGACCACAGCGCCGAGATTGAGGCAAGCATGAACAGCAAAAACAAAGTCCTCTGAGTGTGTATACATGAGAATGACGTGATCTCGTGGGCGTATCCGAGCCTTGTTACGTAGATACATGGCCACGGCCGCCACTTTAGTGTCAAACTTTTTCCAAGTGACACCTTTGCCTTCTTTGCCTCTACCGTCAATGGTGCAATATGCAAGCTCCTCAGGTTGTCGGGCAACTCGCCACTGGATGAGATCGGTAATGGAGGAGAAATTGTTGAGGGGGGTTGAAGTTCGATCATCAATGACCACCTCTCGTCTATCGATGCCAGAATACTGCTTGTCCGCGGGCCCAAGTATCTCGACTCGAGAATCTGATGCAATGTCTGACCATATGCCGCCTAGTGGATCTACACCAATAGGCAAGTTTAACACAGCATGTTCGACTCCAAATTTGACATGGACACATGGCAAATTGCCCAGGTCAAACTCTCGCCGACAGAGCATGTTTCCGATTTCTTTCCTGCCATTCTTCACCACTCGTGGCAGTGTATTCGGAGCGGTGATCATCACGCAATACACCCGCAAGTGGTGCTCTTGCACCAGAACTTCCATACACCTCTCAGAAAGAGAATCTAACAACGCGGTGTCAAGCTGCCTAGGCGGGCCACCAGACGTTGTTGGTGCGGTAGAAGCAGCTGCTGACTCGAGGACCACAATCGGTAGATGCTCATCATTAACGAAGACATCAAAGGCCGAACAGTCATAGACTTGCTTGGCGAGATTTTTCAAAATGCTTACTACCAGATGTTGCACAAAAAAGTAGCGATGCTCGGCGATTTCGTGGCCGTGCTCCACCCACTCAACTTTTTGTCGGATGCGATCTTCGTATAAACCAAGTACAAAGACTTTACCCTCGATAAGGGTTCCTAGAAGTCCAGTCCGTAGGAATTCTGGCTCAACAGGGGTAGGCGTAGGGTTGCCCGGCTCAAACTTGTATGGCCGAGCATGGAAGATTTGCTCTGTGTGCTTTGGCAAAGCCCAGAACCCACCAGACAGTGAAGGAGAATCAACCCAAATCTCCCCTATAGCATGAGGTGAAGTGAGCAAGCCTGTTTCTGGATCCACCACAGCCAATGTAGCGTCAGGTATCGGATAGCCGAATGCACCAAGTCGGACAGTGCTAGGCTCGTTGGAGGCCTTCTTCCGAGCATCTTCCCCGATAGCTACGACAACAACTTCGTTGGTCTTGAGAGCTTCTCTGTCGAGTAGCACCTCACTCAGTTCGTTCTTAACCTCTTGTTCTTTTGCTGTAGTGGTGCCTCCGCCAAGCAAGCTACCAAACCCGTTGGAAGGGGCTGGCTTCTCCTCTTCTTTTTCGGGATCTTCTTTTTCTGCATCGTCTTCTGATTCTTCGCCCAAATCCAGCTTGAGGGGACATCCCATGCGCTCTTCCCCACCTAACCAATCGCGAACACTGATAACCATGCCTCCATGTTCTGGGAGGCATAGCATAGGTGCAACTACTTCTCGAGCTCGCGAGTTCCTGAGTGGTCGCAGCCAACGATCAGCCAATACCTCGTGAAATTCGCCGTCTACAGTGAGAGTGTCTATGAGACAAAGCTTGACTGTTTGGAAATTAGGTTCGGTGCCCTTCTTGAAATTGCGCGTCGTCATCGGGTCTTGTTGATAGTTGAAAGCAGCCGTCCTCAGACCTGGGTAGTCGGCTATCATGACCGTGGCTTTGTACTTTGTGATCAAATGGGCGTATAGTCCAGGAACGCTGACAGCCTTGCTTTCCGCCCAGACAGTCGTGTGGCCACTATAAACATTGAGTAACACACCGAGGATCATGCCGATGCCTTGTCGTGGGTCAAGGTATGAAAGTAGAATCTCGCTGCTTGCACCACCTCCTATTAGGCGACCGTTCTTGTCCCTAAGAGCTCGATTAAACGTGTCACCAGGACCATGGTTGGGCACTGCTGAAACCACGGCGCTCATACACGCCATTTGGTGCATAATAGTTCGATGACTTAGCACCACTCCTCGGAGATCGCCGGTTGGTGCTCGAGAAAACTCGATGTACGCGAGGTCCGGCACGGATAATGGCGGAACATCGTCCTTTTTCTTGGGATGGTAGCCACCGAACTCATTCGTTTTCCACCACTCGACCCCCTTGGGCCAAGTGAGCTTCTGGGTGGTGATATCACGTTGAAAGCTCTTCAGATTGTTGTCTGTAGTCAGCGCTAGATGTGCCTGGGTCGATGTCAATATCAGGTTCAACTTCTGGTAGTCTTGAAGATCATTGATCGGAACCGCAACGACACCAGCAATGAAACAACCTAATAGCGCAATGGCAAAATCGATGATCTCGGAGTCTCGATATATCAATGCAACACGATCTCCCCTATACAAGGAGCTTTTGTCTCTGATGACCTGAGCAACCTTTTCAGCACGTGACGCCAACTTATCCCATGTGATGGAGGCCGTCTCTTTGCCTTTTGCGTCTAGCACCCAATATGCAGGCATTTTCGCAATTGTCCTGCCACGATGTCGCAGAACTGCCGCTATATTGTCGAAGGTTGACATGGCCGTATTCTGGTCATGTGGATCTTGTATAGCGAACGGTACTTCTCTAGGCTCTAGTGGCATCTGGTATTGCAATATTTCGGGCGGCGGGAGGTCGCTAGCAGTGAGCATTGGCGGAGCCATGGCGGCGGTGGGAGAAAAGGCGTCACTAGACGAGTATCTCTGCATCCCACCATTATAATCACCGCCGGGTGGATGGTCATAAGCTTGCTGCCCAGCAAAGTCGGAGAAATACCCCTGCGAGTCCAACATAGTGCCCGTCCGACTGTCATAAGCAGCCGGTGGTTGTTGGCCGTAGGTGCCCTGGTGCTCCGGCTTGAAAGCATAGTCTCCGGAGACCATTGTTCCCGACCTTGTGGGAGTATCGGATCCCATGGTATAGCTCGGGGCTGGGTTCAAGAAGAGTGAGTCATGATGGCTCATGGTCGGCCGATGTTCAGCGAGAGCACCGCCTGGCATCAAAAGAGTGGCAGGATTGTCTTCAAAGCCGGATGACGCATGACTTGCAGAGGGCTGGGGTCGCCAATCCGCAGGAGAGGCATTATTCGGCGGGGAGTCGGCAGCAACGATATCGGGGTTACTGGCGCTCAGGGCGGCCAGAGCGGCGCCTCGATGGCCATCACTAGAGGCATATACTGGGCTGTCTGGCGAATGTATTCTTAGGCCGCCGGTCGCATCTGTCGTCGCGGCTGCGGGCTGGGGAAAGTATTGCGAGAGCAGCTGTGTCCTGCGCTTCTGATATCTGTTTGTTTGCGGGATGGTCAGGGACTATAACAACGAGTTCATCGTGTCGCGGGTGTGGGTGTGAAGTTGGCGGAACATCAAATAGAATGCACAGGACTTGCAAGACGAACATACCCTTTCGCAGTGATATCGCCTTCCTGCGTCACGAACAAACATCAGCTTGGAATCTTACAGGATCGCCGGGTGGAACAGATACTATTGCATTGCTCCAAAAAGCCCCGCCGGCAGCGAGATGTGGCTGAAAAGGAGCAGGCAGACATCGACAAGATCGGAAAGGCTTGGTGTCGATTTCTCGCAATCAATTGAAAAAAGAGAGGATTACTGACCTCTAACTCCTGCTGCAGTTCGTCCAGCTTCTCCTGGAGCTCAAGACTGAGGTGCGCCATGTCGTCGGTGAGGGTTTACTCTCTCGTCGGTGACACGCGCCGGTGTTGGCAGGACGTCGAGCCTCATAAGGTCGTCTTGGTGTGACGTAGGTGGTTCAATGTTCGAACGGATTTGCCGACGAGCAGGGCCTCAACTTGGACTGGGAGTGGGAGTGGGAGTGAGAGTGGAAACCTGGAACAGGCGCCTTTCTTGAGGAGCCCGCAAATCAGCTCAAACAGGCAACCGCAACGTCTTCTTGCGATCCAAACTCATATCACCAAATGGCAAACTCGGAAATGCAGTACACTAACGTGGCTCCTAGAAGCTATTCCGGGTGGAAATAAGACCTGACGATGGGACGGCAGTCAGTCCACGGGTCGGGGGGGTTCCTGGAGAGCGACACACACCCACATAACCCATAAAGCGACTAGCACTGACAAGCAGAGGCACAACAGGGTTTAGCCGCACTAAAAGTCCTTTAGCTTTACTGCAAGCATGTATCGAAGGTGCCCTCGCCCCGCCATGGGCGCCCTTTCGTTCGCGCGGACTGGTCAACTTTGCGTCCATTTCAACCGCAAATCCAAGGCCCAAGATGAAATATGACATTATCTTGCAGCATGCCATCTATCTCCTTCCGTCCATGATTGGCAGAATACGACGACTGCTCGTGTTCGTAAGCATTTAAAAGCCGCCTTGCTCGCAGAATCCAGGGGTATTGTGCATACGAGGCATCGCACCGCACCTTCCAATAAGTTACTGCATCAGGGTCCATCTACTAAACCACATTCATCAAGCCCATGGACCTGCAAGTGTTTGTGTGTACGGATTCGTACATTGGATGGGATATCCCGACTCTGTGACATTGATCGTCTATCAAGCGATGCGAGCACCGTGGGCGCATCAATACGGAGTACCACAAAATAAGCAAAATACCCTGTGAGATCGATGAATCCTTCGGGCCACGACGTGATTGGTCACGACGGTTGCGCAAACTCCGAGCCTCCGCCCACCTCAGACCGTGGTGGGGAGGCTCACTAACCAGTGACGCACGGACCAATGTACTCTACATAGTTTTCTCACGCGAAAAATTTCAGACTCGGCGCAAGGGCGCATCCTGCTTTACAACCAGTTGTATGTCCTGGGCTTTTGCTCTGGGGAATACACTCGATCATGAATCTGCGAGGACCTGAGACCTCCGGCCATTGATCACACGGCCGTCACTCACGGACGCATGAGCTTGGGAGGAATCTGCGCAATGCCACGAGGAGTTTCGCGGCGCCGCAATGAGTTGATTGAGTCGGGATATTGAAAACCTGCGATGTGCAACTTGATCCCCTCAGTAGGTGAGTCACGTTCGGTGACCAGGAATCCTCATGGTATGTACTCACGTGTTTTCCAAACCCCTCCCACCTTACATGATGAATCCAATGTAAATCACAGACCTGAGCAGAACAAATTTTGTTGAGAATATGCATTGAGCTCCTGAATTCTACTCCCCAACCCATGCCTGTCAATCATTCAAAAAAAAAAAATTGGAATTAGTAGCTAATGGTTTTCAGGAGCTCTCGTCCTGGAGGGGATTCTTTTTTCTTTTACAAAATAGACCTTACGGCGTTTCAGATGCTGAGGAATTATTGGGCCACTTGTTATCCTATGAATTTCGGCATGACAATGAGCGTAGGGTTCTTTTAGATAGTTGTTGCTATACATGACAATGACCTACTACAAGCCTTTTTCTCGCACCACAATGCTTCATACAATACCACTGTTGACGAAGAATTGCCTTGAGCGGCGCATTGTTTCAAAGGAAAGACGTGACAACATATTTAAGAGTATTAGTGCCGCTTCCAAATCTATGGTGTAGCTGCTTATAGACGCTTTGAAAACAGGCTTGGATTCTGTTAAATCAGATACAAGCACTGCACAGCGCCTTATGGCGGAATTTCAAACCGGCCTTCAACGTAGCCACGGCGCTCAGGGTGTCGCGATGGATGAACGCAAAACAGTCGATCTATTAAATATGGACAAATATGGGCACCTGGCATGGTCAACCACGCCTGACCTGTTGCTTTCCTCGGATCCTCCATCTCAACCACTCCTACCAAATCGTTCCTATACATCGGGATCTGAAGGCCCAATTCAGCAGAAGAACTGGGCCTTCCCGAGCATGCCATGTGTGCCCCCGTTCCCGTTCCCGTACCCACAGACGGCTCCCGTGAACGGTGCTCCTGCTGACGAGCCTTTGTTATATCCGAACGGACGAGGGCCGCCAAGCGGCAAGATGCCGGTTGTCACTAGGACGCCTAGGGGAAGAAAGGCAAAAGGGAAGGCAACGATACCAAAGGTCGTGGAAACAGAAGCATGGCAGCAGGCTGAAATGGTAAGTATTAAGGAGGAAGAACCAAAGAAGAGGCGAAACCCACGGAAGATTGACTACCAAAACTGGTATGGCTTTCCGCCAAAGCAACCTGCGCCTTGGGGGTGGAGAACGCCACGCGGTACGCACACGTTTGAGTACGATCACCTAGGTCAGTTGTATCAAAAGAAGTTTTCCAGGTCTGAACTAGAAGCTTACTTCTATGCCCAGCCTACGCGCAAGTGGACCACTGATGTATGGGTACCGAGGCAACTACTCCCTGGAGAGAAACAAGTGTTATGTCCTGGGGATCAGGGAATACCTGCCACGCGACGTCATGGCCTGACCCTGTGGATAGGTTGGACTCCCGCAGCCAGTAAGGACAGGTTTCCTGGAGAGAAGTCCAACCAATGTTGTCTTCGAGAGTGCTCGGCAAACAGTTGGGCGTTCCGAGCAGGGCAGCCCCGTGTTGCACTCGACGAGCGGATGAACATCGATGGGAGCAGCCGCGATCCTTTGCATGTCGCTGGCTATATCCACCTGTTTTGCTTGGAGAAGCATTTCGATATCCTGAAACTAATGCGTGACCTTGATGTCCGGTTGGATTTGAGGGAATTCGACCATGAAAACATAAACCCGTTTTCACTCAGAAATCGAAAAAGCTACAAAGCATGCATCGAAGGTATCCATCAATGGGTTGATACTGAATGGGACAGGCATAGCGATTGGGAACTATATCTCTCGCAACTCCGCAAAGACTGCCAAAAGGAGAAGACTTCACTTACCTGGGACCAGACCGCGAGACCGCGCCATTTTGACGACAGCCTGACGAAGACCATGGTAGAGACCGACAAGAACAACTATGCTTTAAGCGGGAACAACACCAGAGAGGAACGAGCAAAAGTGGCAGGACTTTGTGGGAGAGCGGAACCCTGTCAGGCTGGAGTCCATCTGGGCAACCTTGAGTACTTTTGGGAAGTATTTAACAGTCGCAAAAGAAAGGGGCCTCTATCCGAGAGACTTCCCAGCGAACAACAAACCGAGCCTACGAACGAGAATCAGTTCCCTCACGTCGTGTACAATCCTGACAACTTCACAAAGGGTTTCATGCCTAGACGAACTGGGAAATCAAATCTAGATCATCTCGGACGACTTCGAGACAGTCCCCAGTATCTGCCGCATCCGTGTCCAAACAACATATTGCTCACTTACGAATACAGATCTGAGATGATGTATCTTTTGCAACAGCGCCATGCACCAAAAGTCCATCAAATGGACTACAGAGCAGTGCATCTCATGGCGCAGGGTGAGGTGCTGCAGAACGCGGTATCAGAGCCTCAACTACAGTACACATATGTGCCAGACGCGCATAACATATTTACAGCCCCTAACGCGCTTGGTTTGATGGCTCCATATATGTCAACTGACAACCTTGGTGTCGGTTTTGCCGTCAACCCTCCGGCTGTGTCTGCTCCCATGCCATCACGCGCTCAAGTGCAGAAGCGCGGATTCGAAGACATTGACCAAGGTTTGGCACCAGATATGACTACGACCCAGCCAGCCGTTAAGCGAAAACGGATGACTGCAGAGCTGTCGTCCACAGCAGTTTTGTACCCACGTACAAAATCCAATGGACAACTGCAAGATGTATACAACATGACGAGGCCGATTCCCTTGCTGGCGGACTTGCCTCATGTATTCCAGTCGGGCTTCACCCAAAGAGGTGGTGTGAACTCAATGATGACGTCCCAAGAAAACACCGTGACCTCAAGAAAGCGCAGCATTGAGGACGTATATCTTGGAGATCCTACGTATGAAGAGACATACACCCTTGAGTCCCATGACGGCCAAAACCCTCCACACAAGAGAGCTCGCCTCGACCTATCGGAAACTGGTGGCAGCATGCAGGTCAAGAACGATAACACGATGGCGCAGGAAGCTTTGCCTAATTCTCCAGGGCAGCATCATGATGCCAAAAGTGATATCGTGGCCGAGGAAGATATATCGGTAAACATCCAGAACAATGACTTCAGTTTCGATGAGTTTCTCTCTTTTAATGCTCCATTGGATGGTCATTTCAACTTGGATGACTTGCTCAATAGCGGCCCTGAACTCTACAGCTTGAATGATATGGCTGCGGAGCAAGCATTGTTCGATGAGCAGGAGCAATTTTTTCAGCATGAGAATGAAAATCTCGACTCATAATGTATTTCCGTGGCATACGCGAAATTGTCCGTCCCAGGCTTCAGCCCATACACCCCCCGTTCGATATGGACAATAGAGCATGCACGTCAGTACTATGCCGACAACGATACTTGAAGAGCCTGCCATTTCAATAGTGGGGAAGCATCAAGGCAAGTTTAAGGTGAGAACTTGGACTCCCCTTCAGGGCGACAAGGAAACCGACCGCGAAAGTTCTATAGGTAGGTACTAGGTTAGCGCATAATCAACTGGCTATGCGAAGCAGTTTTCCTATGCCTTCTCGCGCTTGTTTATCTATTTACATATTCAATGATTAAATCCCGTGCGTATCGCTCAAAATGATAGCATCGACTCCGCAAGTGAAGTATTGGAGAATTTGAATCGCATTGCCGAGTCTGTAGGGTACGTAGTACATGCCAGTATGTAGGTTTCCTGCGATTATGCTGGGGTGACAGCATGTGCCAGGTACGGTTTGCGTGAGACATGCACCATGCAAGTATATCTGACAGGATCGGCGTACCGCGATACTATAACTGAGTCACACGATACAAACCACTGCACGGGAAGCCTGATTGCAAACTCATTTCTCTGGCCGAGACGAGCGGCGTGGCCGAGAGGACTGCGCTAAAAGCAAACGCTTGCAGCTTCGAAGACCCTGGTTATTCCCAGCGCTCTGCTTTTAGCGCTGTGCCACCACGGCAGCCACGAAAATTGGGGATTAGGCGTCTGCTCCACGAGAACCGACACTGAACTTTAAAAAGGTAATGGTTTCCTGTAGGCTTGGCTGATGCCGTAGCTATTGATTGCCATATTCATTGTGTCATCCTGGGCAAACGTTTTGTGTCGGTAATTGAGAGAGACATTTGGTAGCGTGCGCAAAGGGAGAGCTCTACAGTAGGGCGAAGACGTTCACAGGGTGATCGAGCCGGACGTACGCCCACGTCACGTGTATTCCAGCCAGGTTCCAACCACCGGGTTCAGGCTTCCTGTGCGACGGGCAAGCAATCCCAAAGGCGCGGCCGAGTGCATTGTCTCGCGACTCGAGGACGTGCTGCCAGTCTGCAAGACAAAGCCACATTGTCGATACAGAACCAGATTTCAGGCTTGGAAAACCTGTGCGCACCGTCAATATGAGCGGCGATGAAGCAGAAGATGGTCCAGCGCATGCTTTGCAGGTCATTGTCCTTGTGAGTTGCCATTCTATTCTCCAGCATTCAGCGCATCGCTTCTTGTCACAAATTGGCAATCTTCACCAGCCCTGGGATCAGCATTCCATACTCCTTGACACCTGGCGACTGGCAACTCATCGGATGATGCAGATGCGACGTACAAAAAGCCCCGGATTTCTGTGACTGGAAGATGAGTGCCAATTCGTCCGCTTCGGTCATGATTACATATGGAGCAGTGCAGCGCATTATGGATACTGGCGGGTCACGAAACTCCACGCTTGTGCTTGTGCCTGCACCCCGACTGCTCACATGCTGCTAAGATATTCGAAGGACAACATGGTGCCAATCGAAACGAGCATCTCAGAGGCACATAATCAATACTTGTTCGGTTCCTGATTATTGGAGTATCGTGCCTTGTGATTCGCTTTGTTTGGAACTCAAGGCGGGGTTGGCTTTTTTTGGCAGCAGATAAGTGGTCCGGCTCAATATCTGAGCTGTTACAGGAATCCACCCAAGCAAGGTTCTTGGACGTATCACATGATATTCTTGTGATGGCTTCGTTATTCGAGTTGACTCACCATTATTCAGAAATGCGACGAAGTCATTGCGCTCGGTAGTTGGACAACCTAATGCTCCGCGGACCGGCCGTCTACTCCCGTTGGATGTTCCCTCTTTTCAAAATGTTTTGAGATCTGCTTTGTTGTGCAGCCACAACTTCGTTTGGACTTAAACTCCGTTGCAGATACTAACGACTGCGTCTGTAGGGATCAGGGGGTGGACCACAAGAAAACAATGTCACTGCGCTTCTTGTACGAGCTACCCAAGCTGGATGGGCTCGAGGCTCTATAATCGCCGTGGATGCGGGCGTCCATCTGTCTGCCATTACTCGAATTCTTCAGGAAACCCTACCGCAAGGGTTAGGTACGGAAGTAGCACTGCCACACAAGTTAGAGACTGGCCCCTTTGCTGGATTGGAAGTCAATGCAAAATCGCCAGAGAGAAATGCGGTTCACATCACTAGACAGCTCATCGACACATATCTGATCACTCATCCTCATCTCGACCATATCAGTGGCTTCGTTATCAATACCGCTGGACTACCTGGAACAAGGCCGAAACGGTTGGCCGGTCTTCCATCCACCATCTCGGCTTTCAAGACACATATCTTCAATAACACGATATGGCCGAACCTATCGGATGAAAACAATGGTGCTGGACTGGTGACTTATATGCGACTTGTGGAAGGCGGAAGTCCTGCAATGGGTGAAGGAGCAGGCAAAGGTTACCTTGAAATCTCTGATGGCCTTGGCGTGAAAGTATTTGGTGTTAGTCACGGTCATTGCATAGAGAGACACAGTCACCGTGGCTCGCAGTCATCGTCTCGAATCGGGAGCGCAGATATGTCGATCATGTTTCCACGAAGCGCCCCTGGCAGTAATGCTGCTTCGGGTCCAAGTGGTCTTTTCAGAGCTACAAGCATGGCGCGATCCTCAGCGCAAAGTCAGGAGCAAGAACATATATGTGTGTATGATTCTAGTGCTTATTTCATACGCTGCCACAAAACCGGCAAAGAGGTTCTCATCTTTGGTGATGTCGAGCCTGATACTATATCCTTATCTCCTCGAAATCTTGTCATCTGGCAAGAAGCAGCTCCTAGGATAGCTCGGGGCGACTTGGCTGCCATTTTCATCGAGTGTAGCTACGACGACAGTCAGTCTGACGATCGATTGTTCGGCCATTTAGCTCCACGTTTCATCATAGAAGAGATGCGTGCATTGGCCAGCGAAGTCGAAAGTGCTCGCCAGCGTCCTGTTAAACTCGAGACGACTAAGAAACGAAAACGAGAGTTGGAGGAAGCCGTCCGCCGGATGAATCCAGCTAGATCAACACCGGATGAGTATCCCGTTTCGCCCAAGTCTACGAAACCGACGCGGTCTTACTCAGGTTCAGACGGTTTCCCATCGCCAATGACGACCCCGCATATTGCGACACCTACTGCTGAACTGAGTCTCCAGGACCTAGACCCGACAATTCAGATTTCTATTCCACAGAAACCCATCTCTGTTCGACCCCTTGAGGGTTTGAAAGTCGTCATTATTCACGTGAAGGATAACTTTAGTGACGAAGAAACAACAGGCGAGATCATCATCAGCGAGCTTCTGGATTATGAGAAAGAAGCTCAACTCGGGTGCGAATTCGTCATTTCACAGAAAGGCGACAGCTTTTTCTTTTAGGCGTCTTTGGGCTTTAAATAATGAACGCTACCGGTATTATATGAGGGCACGGTATGGAACGGAGGAGTTTATATGCGGATACAGCTGTCACTGATCCGAATGCCAGTGTTCATTTGACTTTGAGCCAAAGGCTAGGCTTATATGTATAACACGGCGCTTGGGCTAAACGTTGGTTATCAGGTGGTCATGTTATGGCACATGTAATGGTGGCCTTGCGATCTATCCGTTACAGAAATGGGCCATTCGGTTCCCACCAAGCTACGGAACATATTAGCAACATGTTGGGACTTTTCTCACAAGAAGATTAGGTGGAGATCTTGTTCAACCTGTGACTAGGGTAACTTTGCGGCATTTCTATATAGTAATAAGAGCAGTCAATTCAACGGTGATATAGTATAGTGGTTAGTACGGATCGTTGTGGCTTGCTCATCTGGGCATAACAACTTCCGATCAGACCCCGGTTCGATTCCGGGTATCGCCATTCTTTTGCATTTTTTTGTGAATTATAACGGGTTCTGTTGTTTTTGTGGCAAGCGCAACTATAAACAGCCCCACATAGGTTTGTAATGAAGCCAGCTCTGCGCAATGCAACGCAGCAACCAGACAGAGAGTTGACATACTTGGCATTATGATGAGTATGAGCAATAACTTGAAACCCGAAGAAAGCTATACCCGAAACTATATCCAAAAACTTATACTATAGAAATTCTTACCTGTCACTTTCGCTGACATTCATATCCGGCGAAAAGTTTGCGTAGAACAATACGTTTGAAGGTTTACCGTTACTCGACACATTTATGACTCTTCGCGGCAGAGATGAAATGGACTGCTTCGGAGCGGATCATGATCTTTACGTGCAATTCGACTCATCCGTTGGTATGACCCGACCATTTTACGCTGGTCCAAGATCTTGATAGCCCAACAGACCAACAGCAGATCGACCATATTTCTCATACCTAAGATATGTATAGAAAGAATCACGTCGTGCTCAAGATGATGTGCCTGAGTATTGACACCTAATTGATGGTCGCCTAGTGCTTAACAAGGACCAAGTAAGTACGCGCTACCTAGGATTGAAACCAGCTTCCCTGCCCATGCCACAAGAGTTAATCGATAATCTGCTTCAGGACATGGTCTCGGAGCGTCTCCGGGTCTTGCGTGGAGTCTACAGTGACAACATTGAATTTTGGGCGGTATGGATTCTCAATCCACCTCTTGAAGAGGGCTCGAGAGTCATCGCCTTTACGAGCACCGTTTGCTGCTGCAGCAGGAGGACAATCGACGCTAGTTCGCTGACTCGTCATCGGGTTTCGAGCGCGCAACCGTCGGTCCAATAAGTCGACGTCTTGAACCTTGCATTCCACATACCAGTACGTGTAGCCGTGTTTATCGGCAATTGCGGACCCGTTGTCGAGAACCTCCTGGAAATTGCAGGTGCTGTCGACGACAACGCAAAGACCCTGCTCTATTAAGTCTTGAGCTAGCATCCACTGCAGCTGGTATGCGTGCGTTGCCGCCTGGTCGAACGGAAGGCCAGATTCGAGAAAAGCGGACCTGAGGACGTCGTGGTCAATGACAACTCCGCCAATGGAGCGTCCGAGTAGTCTTGCCATCGTGCTCTTCCCAGAACCCGGCGCGCCTGACATTTGGATGAAGAGCTTGTGTGGTATTTGCTGCGGAGACATTTTGCAGGTGCCTTGTGAGTTGGATCCAGGTGGTGGATCTGGGGAGGGTGTTGAATGGGCAAGAAGGAGGGGGTTCGCAGCGTACAAAGTTTAATTGAACAATGGGATCTGAAAGAAAGCGGCGTGTTACTTCCCAAAATTTGCGTGTGCAGGTATACTTAGAGCTTAAACTACCAACATTTAGCCAATAGCCACCGCGGCAAGGCCAGGGTCAATGGTAGAAGAATTCCTGCTAGGCAAGGGGGGAATATGAACGAACGAAAACACGTGCTTGAATGAGTACGGCCCATGCGCTCCTGACATATTTGGAAGAGCAAATGCCTAGAAGTTGGAACTTAGCAATTGTGACTAATAGTTTGGATTGACTGCAAAGTGTTGCCAGTATAGGGAGAGAAAAATAAAATCTAAATGACAATAGGGCGTACTGACAATAACCTCTAGTTAACCTAGTCAGTGGGCCCGCTAGTAATACCAACCGCATATATTTAGACGATGTTATAGCCAATGAACGAAATCAGCACTCCGTATCTGCCTCAACAACACCGCCTATATTGTCACATCGTATCCATCTGTGGCCAGATTCTCTTCAATAATGTCTACTCTAGTCGGACATCCCGGTGAGCTTTCGCTTGCAACGCTCCTCGCAACACTCACAACCACGCTACATCCAGCCACCTACGTCTTCGCGGTGGTCCAAGACGAATCCAAACTACCGCCATTCTCAAAGGTGCAAATGTTGTTTCGCGAAGCCGAATCCGAAGGAGTCACCGTCATTCTGACCCGCGAGGACGCAGAGGCCTATAGCCTGGAATACTGCTTTCCTTGCAGAAAGATCACCATCAACGTCACGTCAAGCCTAGACGCGGTAGGGTTTATAGCTGTTGTGGCCACTCGACTTGCCGCGAACAACATGGGTGTGAACCCCGTTAGCGGGTTCTATCACGACCATCTTTTTGTGCCTGAAGGAAGGGAAGAATATGCCATAACTGTCATAGCCGAATTGGCCGAGGAGAAGAGAAAAGAAATTGAAACCTAGGTTGAGGTCGTGGGTAGCTGATCAGCACTGCGAGGCCCACGAATCTTATTCTGGCAACTTGACAACTAGGAAATGCCAGGCACAACCAAAACAACATCAAACAGCAAAGTGGTAAACACCACGAATGCAATTTGTGTCACAGTCCCAAGCATTAATGTCAGCTTGTTACGTTTCTACATGTTCTCCGTGAGGTTCTTCGCACTAAAGGCTTAACAGAGATGTCATTAGGCAATTGACGCCAATCGAATTAACCCAGACTAGGCAAGTTCTAGTATAGTCACCGACCCCTCCGGCAAATGGAAATGCAGTACGAACTCCCGAACATACGGTCAGCTTATGGATCCGTAGGTAAGTTTGGGGTTAGACCTGAGCAATGTACTGTTTGCCGTATGACTCAACGCCGCAGAAGTAAGCCGACATACGGATCCGTGTAGGGGCCGTAGTATAGAAGCTACGACCACTACGTAAAAGCCTTCACCAATTTCGTCTCAACCCAAATCATTTCTACACGTCGATAGCCATGGGTATATTCGTTGTTACGGGCGCACGAAGAGGAATTGGGCAGGAGTACGTGCGGCAGCTCTCAGATTCCGAGGAAAATACGGTCATCGCGTTAGTCCGTTCGCTCAGCGCTGATCTTACAGCACTGAGGGATGTTGAGTCTCATGCAAAGGGCCGTGTGCACATTCTTGGCTGCGACATCACGTCCGACGAATCCGTCCCGTCGCTGCGCGAAGAGGTCGCATCGATTCTGAAAGGAGATGCTGAGAAGATAGACGTCATCATCAACAATGCCGCAATAAGCAACGATCAAGGAGTGGCCAGCCGTGATCTTTCTGCATCGGTACTTCTCGACCACGTCAATTCTAACGTTTGCGGTCCCGCTAGGGTGGTCCAGAGCCTTCTGCCGTACCTCAAGGAGAACGGAATCATAGCCAATATTTCGTCGGGTTTGGGCAGTCTGGGATTGCTCTCAGAAGAAAAGATCCCACCTCACATACCCTCCTACAGCATCAGCAAGGCGGCGTTAAATATGCTCACAGTTCACCAAGCATACGAGCTCAGAGGAAAGGCCATCATAGTCTCCATCGATCCAGGACATGTCAAGACGGATATGGGCGGTGAAAAAGCCGTCCTGGAAATCCATGACAGTGCAGGACAAGTGCTCTCTACACTAGCAAATCTCAAGTCAGAGGATAGTGGGAAGTTTTTGGAGTACAATGGGTCCATAGTGCCTTGGTAAACCACCACACTGCAATGTTTCGAAGACGCTACTGCTACGGATGATGGTCTAGTCGACAAGAAATATGACGTAGGGTGTTCAATGAGAAGTCAATACCTTTGAAGTTTGTGCAAGGCCAGGCGGACATGTGAGGCATTCCCTGAGATTGCCGTTGGTAACGCCCTATAGTCCTTTATGGAAAACGTAGTGCGTTTCTGGTATGGCGTTTCTAATCTAAGGGAGCATAGTCCCTCTACTCCCCCACCCCCCGCGTATCTTTTCTAAGTAGAACGCTCGTCTATTCTTGTGTCTTTTTGAGCTTCTCATAACCTTCTCTCCCGCCGACGTCCTTCTCGAAGACTGGCCTGGGGATCTCCAGAGCCTCCGTCAGCCTACCGTATGTAATTCCGCCCAGCCTGCTAATCGGTTTCAGGACCTCGGGATCGACAATGCTCCTCTCCTCGTTGATCGCGTCCTCTCGGACCCAGAACCTCGTCCCCTCCAGCACAACCAGACACCCCGTCTTCTTGCCGGGGGTAGCCCTGCTCTCGAACTCCCGGACGCTCTCCAGCTTACACTCAACGCTGAAGACAGCCTCTCCCACCCGCGCGGCCTTGACATCCTTGCAGTCGTGCACGGGCGTCAGCCCGCTCACATCCCACTCGCTGGCACCATACGGCGCATCGACGCTGGTCGCGTTGGCCGCCTCGATGAAGCCCTCGCTGATGATGTTGACAGTGCACTCCCCGCTCTCGAGCAGGTTCTTCAGCGTGTCCTTGGGCTTGTCCTTGGTGGCGGCGAACCCGAGCACGAACAGGGGCGGGTCGTGGTTGATGACGTTGAAGTAGCTGAAGGGCGCGAGGTTGGTCGCCTGCCCGTCCGGGCTCGCGGTACTGACAAAGCCGATCGGCCGCGGCACGACGCCCGAGATCAGGAGCTTGTAGTTGAACGGCGCCGGGCGCCCCTCCTCGTACGGGTCGATGGACACGTGCTTGGCGCCGGTCGGGTGCAGGTCGTTGGCCCCGGTCCCGAACTTCCAGTCCGGGTTCGCCGTCTTGGTGTAGTGGAAGGACGCGTTCTTGTCCCAGTCTGGCCGCGAGCCCTCGACCTTCTTGAAGTCTGGGTGCGGGTTGCGCTTGATCTCGGCCTCGGCGGCCGTGGAGACAGACATCGCGTTCACTGTGAGCTTTGTCGTGATGCGGTGCGATATGAGGGGTGGCCGAGGGGTCGTGAGGGTGTTTAGTGGTGGGGCTCTAACGGTCGAGCTCTTGAGCAGTTGCGTCACTGTGGACTTGAAGACAAGCATCAGTTATTGCGAGTAATTAAAGATCACGCAATAATATATATACTAAGAAATTACGTGGAGAGATAAAGCTGTCTTTCTGTGGTTTAGTATAGCATTACTAATATACAAGTTGTGGTTCAGTGTTGTTGTATCGGTAATAATGCGCGCGTGAAGCAACGCTATAATTCCGCAATTCGGTATCTCGGCAAGTTAATGATGTACGTGGTATCAGGCCTTGAAAACAACAGTGGGGCAAGTACCGCACTATCTCCTATTACGGAAAAGTTGTACAAGCAACGCCCAAGATTTTGATATAGTCACGAATCCAGCTGTTTAACTGCCTGGATTTGCAAACAACGGCAAAGATGACGCGCCAGCTCCGTAAAGAGGAACAGTACCGCATGCATACACTCTGGATTGATACCCGGATGACCTACGAGTAGATTGTTAAAGCTACAGGCTATAGCGAGATGCAAATCCGAACAGCACTGGCTGAAGAGATACTTGACCTACTGTTACTTTTTTACCGCTGATGACTAAAGGTTAGTAATGGATTGCAAGTCCCTGTGCGCATCGCCACCCATGCAGGAACGGCGATTGGTTCTTGGCTCCTCGCTTACACTCTTCAACTAATCGGACATTCTACGGTATCAATCAGACGTTGTGACATCTGATAAGCCAAAGTCTCACTATGAGACCATCATCTCAATGCATATAGAGGTTATACTCGAAAGGTTTTTTTCTTGTTTATTGTGACTAAGCTGACTATTGGTCGCTGACGTCCTCGAATAGCTTTTGTATTGCTGGCAGGAAAGCCTGTGCATGCCTAAATTCTCCGAGCTTGACGCGCATGTAGTCGAATGCAACAAGGATAACTTCGTCCAGTTTGGCCTTTTCCTTAGCATCGACGACTCCTACTGCCTTGATATCGAGGCTATCGTCCAGAGCAGGGACCTTCTGATATCGTTGTGAGAAGTGTGTGAGCATTATTCTTCGTGCGCCCATTCTTCGTCCAACATCAATGGCTTCAGACATTGTTGAGTGCTTCTTTGCCAAAGCATCACCTTTCAATTCGTCGTCGAATGTGCTTTCATGGATCAGTAGGGTTGTGCCTTGACCAATCTTTACGAAATCGTCACTAGGCCGGCAATCGCCCGAGTAGGCAATCTTTAAGCCAGACGGCCAGGTAAACACGGTGGCGAGTGCACCGTGGCAATGCGCAACGTAAGTCGCGTCAATCTTCTCCAGACCGTAGGCTTTTTTGTATGCCGGGCTGAGAGGCGGAGATATGCATATCTTGCTTGTTTTTTGATACGCGCTGAATGATGTGAAAGTTAAGCGGTCATAGCCGTAATTCTCTATCTCGGCATACTCTCGGAGCCAATCAATCATGTGTACATGTGAAGCAACATGCAACGTAGCCGCTGGATTCGACTTGCTGGTCTCGTCGGCCCAGGCTTTGATGACTCCAGCTGTTCCAAGATGATGGTCGGCGTGCAGATGGCTAATCCAAATGACCTTGAGGTCACGCATTATCGAAGGCAGTTCGTCACCGAACACGCGTCTGAGTTGTCCCATCGTATTTTCTCCCGCGTCAAACAGGTAGTTGCCATACCCAGGAACTCTGACTAGGGTGGCAGAAACATTTCGGTATTTGGACGGAAGGGCAGAGCCAGTGCCAAGTGTGATGACTTCTGCATCACGGTTTGGTATATCAGATTCAACCTCTTCTATCTTGGCTAAGAAGTCGGCGTCCTTGCACTTTTCGCGCGCCTGCTGTGACAGTGGCTTGAGCTCTGGAATAGGGGCCTGACCATTCACTGCCAATGCTTCGACATCCGGAAATGCGACGATCTTGTCGTCTTGATGCAAGAATTGCGGGGAGAACTGGATCATCTTTCCAGTCCTACCAGTTTCGAGCGGACTTGGCAGTGATGCCACAGCCGACTTCGACAATGATTCAATGTTGCTGTGGTAAGGCATAGGAAACCTCTGGGGATCGATCTGATGTAATTTGAAGGTCTGGACAGCTGCGGATTCCAGGGCCAACATATTTGGAGAACAATCGCCTGAGCAAATGATATGCCTCATGGCGGTGGTTTTCTGCATAAAGGCCTGCAGGCGTACGTCGTGGACCACACCAGGACCTAGAATCCAGAACGCAGCATTGATACCCCTCATTATCTCTCCATTCGAGAACTCGGGCCTGTTGATCAACGGTTCGACATATGAAAGGTCGGGAACATCCAAAACTGCAAAACCTTCGCCTAGGACAGTTTCTCCAAGGACCATGTCGGGCGTTACGACTACGCCATCCTTGGCTGTAACAGTCTCGCCGGCAGTGAGCTTTCTGTAGTCGGACTTTTCGATAGCATACTTCTGTGCCTCCTTGACCTGGAACTTGCCTCTTCTGTCGTGGCTCTTCACAATATAGCACAAGGACTGTTTTGATGGCTCAGTCCCAGGGAGGGTCAGGTGCATAGCGGCGGGCCACGGTCGGCGCACTAACACAGGTATGTTTGGCACGTTCTCGCCTTCTCCCGGGAGCGGACCTTTGTATTGTTGGATGTGGCCCTTCTCATTCCGTACGAACAGTTTCGCTGGCAACTTGGCTTGATAAAGGGTTGTCTCCGTGAGGGCATCTAGATTCCAGTTCGAGTTGAACATTTGCGAGACAATCTCTGTTACTTTCTTCTGATCGTCCTCTTTGGATGTCTTTGGCGGTGCTGAGTTAGAACTCGGCTCATCCAGCGTCATCTCCTCGTGGCTTCGTTTCCTCGAGCTGACTGGTTTGTTGCTATTGGCTTCAACCGGCATGTACCAGACGTTGATATTGGTATCTTTCCAGTCTGGCTCATTTTGGCTGTTGCTGGCCACGCGCGGGTCGTGTCTGACTTCGTGCGGCTGAAGCGGGAGTCCCTTTCGAAAGACGAAGCGTCTCGACGTCGCAAGTAGCTGGGCCAGGTTTTTGCCACCATGTATGCGTAGGTTCGATATTGCCCCTTCATCGAGCGGTTTCGTGCCCTTCTTCTTTCTCTCCGCATTCACTGCCCTGACGGCGTCTTTTTGGGTAGAAATGACATCGGACAGAGTCAGTATCAGGCCAATCAGACCGCCAGCATTGTGCCAATTTACTAAGCCGCTCATGAATATATCCTCGGTCTTGTTGAGTGCAAGTTTGCGCTGCACTATAGCACGCTGCGTGCCCTCGGAAATGTTACCAAATACATAGCGTTGGTTGTCGAAATGAAGCATCAAACAGGTTCCTTGCGTATCGGCAGTAGGCGTCGTTACAAGCTGAACGTGACTCAACATCCTGGTGCCGAACACGCGTCCCGCGGTCTCTTCTGCAGTGAGATCAGGTTTCTTCTGTACACGAGAATCTTGGCTGAAGATGAAGAAGCGAGGTGTGCCGAGGGTCCTCCAAAGAATGCGCGAGCCGGATGGGACAGGCAGGATGCGCAGAGTCGTGCCCTTCTCCGCGTAGAACAATTTGGGGGGGACGACAGCACCCTCGAACGGAAGCTTGGTGTTGGACAGAACGGATCGAGGGGTGTAACGAGAGGTAGGAGCTGCCGGGCGAGAGCGAGGGCGAGGGCCCGGTCGAGGTCGAGGATGAGCGCGTAGTTTCTCGAGTTGTTCAGATTTAGCGATCGGAGCCCTGCTCACGTTTTTGATGTTCAGCCGCGGTTGCATGAGTTTATGCGACCACGAAATCAAAGCACAGCAATTACAAATGCTGCAGCAATTCTTTTGCAGGGCTGATGTTCTACATCGAGCATCCACAGGGATGACTCTTTCAAAATCTGGACCTGGCCCTCTGCGGAAATTATTTGTTATCGATAAGGTCGGGAGCTCCCTCTAACCTTAGGTTAGTCTATAGATCCGTACTACATGGCAACTTACAGTATGTAGCCTAAGGTTAGGTTAACCTTAGTTGACTACTCACTGCAGCGCAGTGGCACACACCATCACTGTCGCGCTGTGCCCACTTTGGGTGTACGATGAGGAGCAACTCTGGAATAATGTTGTTGTGTTGTTTTACAAATGGAGTGCCACTTTATCTGCGTCGGTGAGATTTCGAGAACGTGCTCAAGTCTGCCACCAATTGGGTTTGTTCGCTCTCCGGCTATGTAGGTACGGAGTAATAGAATTCACTTATCATTCAGCCGGTCGCCATTGTCACCCAGCACCGGCACGCGGGGCTGCCGACGGATGCATCTATGCAACGATATTCCCGAGGTTATTACAGTAGTATGCGTTTGATGGCACTGCATCCATAACATGCCCCGCGAAGCAAACCACGTCGCCCGCTTCCAGTGACAGTCGTCAACCTCGTTTTTAAAGTTCCAGTCCATCGAGAGGTTCGGTTGATTATATTTCCTAAGAGACGGACTTCTTGCGTACCTGCGGACTTTGTGCTGTGACGATGGCGTGCACTGTTGAATCAGAGAGACTCGGTGTCTTGCGGGGCCTAGAGGTGAAATCGAAGGACTCGGACTCGAGCATCTACTATTATGGAAGTGTCCCGTATGCCTTGGCCCCAGTTGAAGAATGGCGGTTTCGCCGGCCAAGGCCCTTGCCCCAAAGCTATCGATATCATGGGACTTACACAGGAAACACCCCGGTCTGTCCACAGCCAGAATGGCTCGGTTCCCGTCAAGAAAAGCTATGGGATGAGGACTGTCTCCGCTTAAACATATACATTCCTGCCGGAAAGCCGCCCTCGGAGGGCTGGCCAGTTTTCTTCTACATTCATGGCGGTTTCTTACAATGGGGCAACCCCAATATGGCACCCGAAGATATCGCACCGCTACTGACGGAGACAGCGTTTCGGTGCATCATTGTCCAGCCAGCCTACCGCCTCAATGCTTTTGGTTTCCTGGCGAGCCACGAGCTGCAAGCTGAAGCCGAAGGTCACGGCCATACCGCGGGCAACAATGGCTTCTGGGATCAGCGTGCGGCCCTCGAGTGGACTCATGCGAACATTGGAGACTTCGGAGGAAACCCTCGCAACATCACAGTTGGGGGCTACTCAGCTGGTGCGCATAGCACGTTCCAACAGCTTGCCCACGAGCTCTACTTTGTGCCAGCCGACAAGGCGATCATCCGGCGGGCGATCATGTGGAGTAACAGTCCAGGAATTCAGCCGAAAGACATGCAAGAACAGCAAAAGCAGTTTGATGAACTGCTCTCGGCGCTTGGGATCTCTCTTGGACTCTCTGCTTCGGAGAAGCTGAAGAAGCTAAGACAGACCCCTGCACGGGACATCATCGATGCTCAAGCCGAGATGAAGATTACAGATTTCCGTGCGACTACGGACAACTCCTTCATCTCGGCCGAAAGTATAGCCCACATCAATTCGGGGGACTTCGCCCGACGAATGAAGAGTCGAGGCATCAAACTAATGAATGGAGAATGCCAGGACGAGCACAATCTCTATCGCGCCTGGCGGACGGCCAAGGACTCTTACGACGGTCTCTACACCAGGCTATGCGCAGACTATCCAGAGAGAGCTGTCCAGAAGTTGCTACGGTATTATTGCGGCCCATCACAGAGCCTTCCCCCCGGGTACACGAGCTGGCAGGATCTCTTCGGGCACGCCTATGCCAACCTGCAAGTTCATTGCATCGAGCGTGGGTTTCACAATAAGCTCTCGACGCAGTTACAGCCCGGCAGGGACCTTTTGAGATACAGAATCGAGTGGCGCGCTGGATGCGCTGGCTATCCGCCCGAGTGGGGTGTCACCCACGCAACGGACATGGCTATCTGGTTCTGGTATCCTGATCTCACAGACGAGGAGAAGAAGATCCTAAAGCCCTGGAACGAGGCGTTCGCTCGGTTTGTCAAGGGCGAGCATGCCGACTGGGGAACAAAGAACATGCAGGAGATGAGACGATTGCGACCTGACGGACAAACTGATATTTTGAAGGTCGATGAGAAGTGGGAGGAAGGTTTGCATGTTTGGAAACTTGTCAACGGGAGCGACGACAAACCGCAGCTTTAAACTGCTGGGTTAAGGGAGACGATTTGAACCTCATTAGAGGTATATATACTGCTTATCAAATATGTACAATTCTAGAAACCGGGACGGGTGAGATGCGCATCTGACCTTGATGGAGATCGTCGACCCGCCATCCGAAACGTTACTCTCTATGAGACAGTGATGCTGGCGCTTCCCTTGGAGTAGTAACCCTCAGTCGCAACAATCTGGTAGTTGTGAGTGCCCAAGGTCATGCCCAGCTTGGCCCAAGCATTGAAGTGGTTGGCGGTTGTGACAGTGCCGCTGCTGCGCTTGCTCTGACGCACACTCCAGAACTGGGTGAAGGTAGCGGTGCCCTGGATAGATGGCGCGTTGGTTCTGGTAGCAGTGTAGATCTTGTAGGTAGCGCCGTCGCTGGTCACGGTGCCCTTGTAGGTGGCGCCAGTCGAAGGGTCGTACGTGCCGAACGACTCAACGATGTAGTACTCGATCAGAGGAGAGGTGGTCCAGCCGTATATCGAAAGATAGGAGTTGCCATTGGGGCTGTAGGAGCCAGAGAAAGAGATGGAGCTGCGACATGGTTAGGTTCTACATCTATAGACTACCAAGGATATGGCTTACCGAGCGCTGCCAGTGCTCCAACCCTTGCCGCCGACGAAGTTTCCGTCGCCGTTCCAGGACACAGCGTATTGTCCGCTGTTGCCGTTCTTGTAGGTCACGGTGCTTGCATTGTCGGTCCAGAACGAGTAATAGTAACCCCCGCTGGTTCCAGTCGAGCTGGAGGTACGGGCCACCAGCTCGCTAGGTGCGCGGACGGCGAGCTCAGTAGGCGCAGCCAGCACGCCGGAAAGCGTTGCGGTAGCGGCCAGAAGGAGCGATGTGAATGAAACCATTTTCAAGTTTGTGAAGTGAAACGAATGTAGTCAACGAGTGAAAGGTTATCTGTGCCTCATTTCCCCCATCTCCGACCACTTGGGGTTCCCCTTCTTATATACCAGTGAGCATGATGCCCAGGATACCCCCTTACTGTATGGCTCCATCTGCTATGACCAACCGTACCAGCAACGAACGGCATCATAAACGCTTTAGTTTGGCTACCGTTCGGCGATGCAACTCTGATCCAGACAATGACCGTTAGCGTAGTACGGGGAGTAATTAGATCCCATCAATCCGGGTACGGTTTCTATACCATGGGAGATTTTGCTCCACAAAGGACCATTCCTGGGTCTTCAAGCGCGCCGGAGACAGGGGCCCTATTTCCGAATCAGTGTTGGTTAGGGCCAAAACTCTGGGGCGCCACTGCTCCAAATTGATTGCCGTTGGCTCGTAATTGTTGTCCTGCGTGCCTGCATTGCCGAACCCTTGAGCCTCTAGATTGGACTAGCCTTAGTTAATTGTTGGTAAGGTTCCGTAAAACGTGGATTAATCACGATTATGTCGGCTGCGCATGTGATTTGAATGCTTATTTCATCAACCTTAATCTCTGTTACTCCATCTTATCTAGGTTAACTCTATATTACGAAATCAGTTTTCCGCTCTCATTAACGGCATCTACGCCCTGATCTTTGCCAGGGCATAGAACGTCGTACCGCCACACGGCCCGAATATGAAGGACCGCGCAAAGGATCCACAGAACAGCCAATATGACCGTCAAGCCCGCCGCCACGCCCTTGATGCCATCGCTGTCAAGGAGGTTGCCGATTTGTATCGTCGCAATCGTCAATCCAGCATTTGGGAAGACGAATGCCCACCACTGTAAACTGAATTCCATCTTCTTGATCCCTTGAATCAGAGATAGTGTCGTTAGTGCCGAAAACCAGATGGCGAACATCCATAGAAACAGCCCGGCGGGCAAAGCTAACGCAAGCCAAAGATCACCGATATCTAGTGAACTGATTCCAGCAAATCCCTCAGGCAGTCGGCTCTTAGCTTGCTGGCCCAAGGATATGAGACCCGCGCAAGTGTACGCCGCCGGGCCGACAGACACATACATACCGGGTCTGGTACTTGGGGGCGGCATCTCGCCCTGAATCAGCCGTGCATAGAACACGCTATACATGAGCAGCGACAACATCCATCCAAGCCCTTGCCCAGCTATTCCCGCAATGATAATCTGTGTAGCGCTCAGATCAGGCTGGGTCTTGGCAACCTGCGCAGCAAGAGGGCCAGATACTAGGAAAGGATATGCTGGCAGGATCCAAGCCGGCAACGCCTCGTTAATATCCAGCCTCTCAGTATGGAAAATAATGTCATACTGGAAGACCGCAACAAGTGTTGCGGAGGCAATGTACATCCAGAATAGTACTTGCACTGCTTTGATAAGCCAGACATTATCATTAGCCAGACCAGGGATTCCATACGCCGCTACGCCATAGAGGATCAGTGCAACGGAAACCCAGAATGATCCAAAGAAAAAGCTTTCAGACGGGTGATGGAGACTCTTTATGAATGCCTGAGGCTTGAGTAGGAATCGTGCCAAGATCATGCAGGTAAAGGTGACAAAGAGGACGATATCAAGGACGAAGACCACCTTTCCTATTGTCTCCAGCCCTCGAAAGGTAAATGGTTGTTGGCTGAGGAGACTTGCCATTGCTCCAGTAGACATCGTGCACGGGAACCAGCCCCATGTTATGCGAGTAATCCTGTTGCGGAATGGCACATGTTGCTTGTCTGAAGCACCCGGCTCAATTTGCTGCTGATGGTCCATCGAGCCATGCTTGCGATACCTCATTCTCAACAGTACAGTTTTGAGAGTGAACAGAATCGCTGGCCTACTTCTGCGGCTATTCTGGCGAGATACTTCTAAGTATTAACGCAGGTGAATGATTTGCGTCGTCGATTAGGATTTTTGCTTGGTGGCACGATGCCAGCCATCATTTTCAAAAGCGGCGAAAACCATGCCTACTCCTTCTTATAACAATATCCGCGCATGTCTTGTTTCTCGACCTGACTCTTCTTTGCACGTCATCGGTCCACAACATCCGTTGGCTTGGGCCCTTCTCCAGCCGCTAAACATTGTAGTTCGTGCCGTATATCCGCGTCTTTGCTAGAGCCATGACGAGCAAAGAGTAAACCATCTGTAAGATTCAGTGCTATTTGTCTGCAATAAGTAATCTTGGCGTGTGGCTGTGACTAACAACTAATTTTTTTCTTTTCCAAGTTACGCTGAGAATTTCTTCACTGTTTGTGTCAATCAAATAGGAGCGATCCCGTATTTTCCGGTGGCTAACATATCCTTGTTAAACTATACCGGCTCTCCATATTATTTTGATAATACCACCTTGGGTCCAAAACCTAGAATCCGTCAGTGAAGTGCAATGGATGAGGCGGCCTGCCATACTCTCAATCACGCCTGTATGCACTGCCATTCAGAACTCAATGTTTCGACTACAGAGTCAAATAGCTACATATAAGGTTTGACTTGTTTTGTCGCCAAGAAGCGTCCGTTCACTGTAGTGATCCTGAGGTTTTGTCGCATTTCTGACGCGCTTTGGTCTAGACTAGCCTTAATCACCTGTTTCCTTAGTGAGGGAAACTTCGTCAACCGCTTTCCGTATTCCTACGATCAATACACCTTTGACCAATCGGCCAGCGTCATGTGTCCCAAAGAAGTCAATTTGCTGTCATGCGAATTTGATCGCGGATCATCGTCGTTTCTTCTTGATCCCGTGGCCTCGTAACTATTTCAGGTCAGTTCCAACCGTGTCTGCTCGAATCATATCAATATCGGCAACACGCTTCAGGATTTTAGATACGGTACTTTCAAGCACCTGCACCGAATAGCTAAATTTCGTTGACTGTTCTCTATTTCCCATTTCTCTCATTGCATTTGGTCAAACTACCATCTTCTTTCTACGTGTCATTATTTCTTTGATATTGTATTTTGTTGTAAGAATTTTCAGTTTGTTTTAGCCCCATCATTATGTTGAAAAGCAGCCCACGTATATATGTGATGCGTTGAAGCGACCGGATAGGCCTAGGCCCAGTCGCTACTTGCACCAATCATTGCTTCGACAGCATAGGTGCGCGTACTGTAACCGCGACCCCCGCTTTAGCAGGCACTTCTCGAACTGTTTGCCAATATTAACTGTAAGCGCACGCTGTTGACACCATGAGTACAGAACTCATCGTGAAAGATGCGTCTTCTTAATGCAGAGTCAAGACAATTGTGCGAGTTCTTCGGCAGCGAGATCCCCGAATATGCCATTCTGTCACATACTTGGGGAAAAGACGAAGTCAGCTACAGAGACATCAGAAAAGTCCCAAATCATAGAGAGAAGGCCGGCTATGCAAAGATCAATGGTTGCTGCGTCCAGGCGATGCGAGATGATATTTCTTGGGTCTGGATAGATACTTGCTGTATCGACAAGAAAAGCAGCGCTGAGCTTTCGGAGACGATCAACTCCATGTATCGCTATTACGAGGAATCAAAGGTGTGCTATGTATACCTCGCCGATGTGGGCAAACGCCAGCAAGACGGGCTGGGATTCTGGACAGAGGTACGCCAGAGCCGTTGGTTCACTAGAGGTTGGACGCTCCAAGAGCTGCTAGCACCAAAGAGGCTTGCTATGTTCAACCAGCACTGGGTCTTGCTCGATCGTTGTACCTACGGACCGCTTTTCCACCTTGATACTGAATGGTCTGTGGCTATCACCGAGGCCACTGGAATATCCAGCGACTACTTCCGACCACCTCGTAATCCGGTCACAGAGGCAACGGTGGCGGAGCGGCTGTCATGGGCAGCACGACGAGAAACCACAAGGCGCGAAGACATGGCATACTGTTTACTTGGTTTATTCCAGTTGAATATGCCTCTACTTTACGGTGAAGGCGATCGTGCTTTCGTGAGGCTGCAGGAGGAAATTATCAGAACGACAAATGACCACACCATTCTTACCTGGGGACTAGGATATTCTCCCGGATCATTCATATCAGGACACAGACTTTACAAACCCGACTGGCAGTTGCAATCCCCCCTGGTGCCCTCTCCCGACCTCTTCGAGGACTGGGGTTCTAGCCCTGCTCTGAAAACATTCCTATCAGCAGATCTACCTGGAAAAATCCAAGTTTTAGGACGTGGATTCCCTTACACCATGACAAATTCAGGCATCCAAATGGAGTTGCCACTGATTTGGCTAGACAAGGCTAATGGCGTGGCGCTTGCCATTCTCAATTGCGGCACGCATTGGAATTCTGCCAACGGTTCATATGTATCTCTTCCTCTGGTCTTCTCCGTTGAAGCCCAAGGGGCTGTTGGCCTGGAGTCTTTTTCGATCGCATCAAGAGCCCATGGAATTCTTCCTTTCCTGGTGCCCCATGCGATAGACCAATTTGCCGAGAGGACGACTTTGTTTTTGACAGAAAGCATCGCTGCGTACTCATGGAATTACCAGCCTCGCCCGAAAGGGAGAAGCTCTGATATATTCCTCCACGTCGCCCCCCTAGTATCCCTCGGCTTCTATTTGACGGACTTCTGCCCGCCTCATCTTTTCACAGATGAGATCGAAGACATGATCTACAATTCGGTCCTTCTCATGAGAACCGATAGGTGCCCTGGCCTGTTAAGGTTCGAGCGACCAGATGGTGTTAGCATTCTGCTACTAGTATATACGCAAGTATACTCGTATTCCCTCAATGATCCGGATGCGCTTGAAGTTGTCGGCTCTTTCCGCGTAGGTGATTTTGATAACTCGTGGCAGATTATGCTTGAGCAGAACTCACGAAACTTTGATTTTCACCGACTTAGAAGATCCTCCCGGTTTTCATGGGGTACATCCTTCCAATACCATGTCCACGAACCAGGGAGACTCAAGAAAGGTTCGGCCACTCTTGAAACGAGATTCTTCCGTGAAGAGTCGCCCCTCACCAGCCAGTTTCGTGTCTCATTGAACCTCAAGGACGTAAATGACTAGGAAGACACTATCGAGCCTGGACGGTTGCTATCGGGTTTCCGTACGACTTGATGATTTATTCAGCATGAATACAATTCGGTATGTATATAGCATTGATGAATTCCATGGTCACTTTCCTGGTCAAACTTCTATATACTGTTCTTTCTGGGAAGATCTACCCTGACTCTTCACCATGCAGCACCCATATTCCGAACTTCTTCTCGCTTTCAGGACTGAGATCCCCTGGAGGGCCCATTCCCATCCAAAACTGGTCATCTCCCAAGGTAGCTTGCAACTCTTCGAGAGTACCCCATTCCTTAATCCCTTCTCGGCCATATACATGGTCCAAAAGGTCACCGCCGGAGAGCAGTGCCAAAACACTTGCGATATTGGTAGGGCTTCGAGGCAAGACTGGCTTTCGAGGTCCTAAGAACCAGCCGGCGAGAGACAAGACCAAAGCTGCTATCAGGAGTGCCTCTAGAATGCGCGTGCCTGTCTCGTCCTGCACAATACGTGAGCGGCCCCACGGATCGGTAATTGTGGCGTTGTACACGCCAGCCGCGTCGTTTGCAGTGGCAGAGGATAAGGCCGGGTACACGCTTTGTGACGCGTTTAGGCCGACACGATGCCGTACATCAAGATACTGCGCCGCGTACACACCATCCTGGAACTCGATGGCTGCTTTGACGACGTTGGATTGTGATGTGTCTCCTAGTACGGTTAAAGGTACTGCATAACGAGAGGTGACAAGCTGACTGAAGAAATCGTCCAAAGCCGTGTCGTTCGCCGGCGGAAGCGACGCCAGATTGCTGTAGTATACTTCAAAAAGACTGTGCCCCGGGTCGGTGCGGTTATAGTGGCCCGGAATCGTTTTCACGGTTGATTCAATGGGCTGAGGTGGCTTTGAAAGGTCTAGCTGAAGATCTGAACCCACATAAGTAACCTCAACGTCTACGCTTTCAGCTGTTCTGTTACAGCCCAAGGCCGAGATGGAAATATCCGGTGTTGCACTCGGACCGGGATAATGACCCCAAATGTACAGAAAATCGTCACTGCAGGGGCGAACGGTAAAGCCGTTATTCGTGACCCCTGGGCTATTCGCTGCGCCGAAGTAGGCACCTTCGGTCAGGTTCATCGCGAAAGTTGCCGTGTTGTTCGCGTAGGCTAATCCAGTATTGGTGGTATAATCCTCGGAGCATTGTTGTCCGGTTATGTTAACGGATATGCCATTGTATGTCGTGCGCGACAGGGTACTGAGTCTCAGATTACGAAATTCTCCAGCCGAAATAGAAGACGCCGGGTAAAAGGAGCAAGTAAGCCCAGGCCGGAACGCAGGCACTGTGGCCTTGATCACTAAAGATGAGGCATTGGTTGCTGCGCTGGGTGCTTTCTCGAAATAGTCCTCCAATGTGAACGAGGGCAGGATCAGGTTTTCGTAAATGGACGGGGAATAGGAGAGATTGCTGCCCAAGATCAGAGCTGTTGTGTACAAATTACTGGTGCTGATAAGCCCGTCGTCGCCATATGGTTCATTTGTGACGATCGTGCTCGTAGCTTTTAAAGGCCCTATATTAGACACTGCGAACACATCGGCATGGAATAGCGATGCTGAACCAATAGTGAGCTTAGACCCGATCAGCGCAGCTATCGTGCTACACAATGCAGCAAATTCCCTTGTCCGAAATTCCTGAAGTATTGCTGCTGGTAATAGGGGACGCAAGAGATCCAAGTTGAGTGTCTGAAAAGGAGCCCCACGAGCAAGGGAATGGTAGGGTACCAGGAGCCTGGTCTGGAAGTCGACAGAAGAGAGGTACATCCCCAGTAGGCTCAGCACTATAGCAGGAAATGTTGTCCATGCATAATGAAGGTATGTCTCATCCGGAACGGAGCCCAGACCTTCGTTGCTCCAAGAGAGGTGATAAGTACCTTCTAGTGCAGCAATGCCTGGTCACGGCAAGTTTGTTAGCCTTTCAACCTCTGGTTCTCATACATAAGTCCTTACGAAGGGAGGGGGGATACACCAACAAAGAAATTATACAGATATCCAAAATAGCTTCTAGAGTTCCAGGGGGGAATTGAAATTTTTGACATGAGAAGCCACTTACATCCCAACATAAAGATACAGATTATAGACCGATAATAGACTCGTAATGCGTTTGGGAAGACCATCTTTATAAATCCACGTGATTGAGGAGCATCGACCTGATGAACAGGCTTGCCGAGTAACCCGCTGCTCTGCTTTGCGGTTTCGCCCATTTTCCATCGTATTCCTCTTTCGAGTTCTTTCTTGCTCGCTCCACTCAAATGACCTGGAACGGAGCCATGGAAAGCTAACTTAGAGACGACCGCGTAGCTGATGATTGACCCTGGCTCTGTAGGGAATAAAAGATGACTTGGCATGAAGATCACAATGCCAACAACAACCAAGATGGACAATCCAAGGATTCCGGCCATTAAATGGCATGCCAACGGCTGCACCACCAAGCGGTTTGTGCTAGTGGTGGCTTTCCCACTCCCGGTAATATCGGAAGGGCTCTTCAATGACTGGTGAAGCAGAAAGGCCGCGTATTGTTGGTAGTACTTGGTTAGATAACGCTGCAGTAAAGGGCCGTTGAGAAGAGACGATTCTTCGTCGCAATCACTCCCGCAAGCTTTTGTGACAACATCGAAATAGCCGTCACCTATAACGGTCGCATTTCCGATGTTGATCGGCGGAACCCTGGCATAAGAGGTGTCAAAAGCTGGGAAAGTTTTCCGTTGGGCTTGGACAACACTCCACGGATGAACTTGCGAAAGCAAGGCTGAAGACGCATTACTTGATCGCGAAATATCTTGAACACCAGTAGAATTCTTGCTAATGGCTAGCATGACCATATTGAAGCGAGGTGTACAAATCAACGTCGTCGAGGTGAGGTTGAGAGTTTTCATACGCAGGTCTGTTCCGTTGTTCTCAGCCCAGGTAGTGTTTGTCACCTCGTATAACATGTATTCCAGCTTCGCAGACGCGAATACAAGGCGGTTACTGTCTGGATTTGTGGATCCACACTGCCCTGGAGCAAATCCGCGAATGGGCTCTAGCCACATCGCATATTTTGTTTGTGTAGTATTGTTCAACTCGTCGACATTTGATTCAGGAATCATCAGAGATGTGTCGAAGGATAGATTTGCACTACATCCATCATATTTCAGCTGCATTGACGAATAGTCTGCCATCCATTGACCATACTCCGACTCTTGAAAAAGCCGGCCGTAGTCGACGCCAACCAGAGCTGAATCTGAATCCTCACAATCCAGCTCTAAAGACACACCAGATACCTCTGCAGTGGTTTCAAGTGCTTCCGATGCAGTTGAGTTGAAAGACTGGTATGCGTAGACATCCGAACAACCTTCGGGATATTCTAGATTATCATTTAACAAGCCTTGCATACCATAAAAGGGAAGTCGGGATGGGTTTTCGAGCCTAGCAGGATCGTCCACGAACTGCGTATTGATGTTAATCGGCACTAGGGTATCTGGAATTCGCACTGCAGATAAAGTGAAAAGTGCTGTGGATATGACGGTCTCCACGACCAACAGCAGCGATATTGTTGAGGCAGCAGCAACTTTGAAGTCGCGCTTCTTCAGTGCTCGAAAAGGTACTGTGAGAGAGAACATGGCGATGTAATCTAGCAGCAAAGCGTCGCTAGTCTTGCCGGTCTTCTCCATTTTCAACCATGGCGCCGTCAACTGAGCTTCGTACTCAACTCGACTCCAAAATGCCGCAAATACAACAAGAACTGTAGTTGGGCCATACGTCCATAGATAGCGTAAATTTGACTGACTCTGAACCAGCCCCTGTCTCTTGACAGATAAGGAGTACATGACTTCAAGTGCTATTGTCATTATGACCATCACAGCCACAAAGGCGAGAAGGACCATCCTTCTCAAATAAAATGGTCGCCATGACGACTGCCATACCACGGGCTGCGGTGGTTCTCTGAGGTCTGTTACTGATACTTCAGGGACTTTCAAATGTCCATCAGATTGCTGCAACAGGTTTTGAGAAACAGGTCGATCCGCCGAGGACTCGTCTTCTTCCGACTGATGATGGTATGTGTCGTAAGGGTCGTGCCAGTCCCCAGTGGCAGGCAATGCGCTGTATCCGAGCACGGGCGGCGTATCGGACGCCTCTCTTAATGGCTCATAAGTCCTGTTTGAACGCGCGCGAGGCAAGACGTGCAGCGCAGTTCCAGAATCGGAGGGCATCTTGACCTGCTGTCGGTGCTGCAGTGCTGCTTATTGCTGCAGCACGAGCACCATCAGTCGCGTATACACAAAAGCCGTTGCGACCGGTCTCGACAAATATTTTGTTGCTCAAGCAAGCCAGATTGACGCATGATTCTGGTCTGGTCATTCACGGGCATTTTTACAGACCGACCGTCACCGGTAATTTTTGGGCCCATTGAGTAACCGCCCAGGATCATGTCCCGCATGGCGGACAAAATGAGGCTGAGCCGGAAGGATTGCAGAAATCAATTGCAGCGACACATGGTGATTCGCTAATCTGGCTTGGCACGTTCGTTTCCAGTATGTAGTGACACCGAAACAGGGCTATGATAGCGCACTAGCCCCGCCCAAAATAGATGGATGCTGGTCTACTGCAGAATCTAGGTGCTGGTTATTTGTATGTCGCACAGAATGCGGCAAACATCTCAGATTGAGAAGAAACCAAGCTGATGCCAACTATCGCGTCCTGAGTATGCCGCATGTTGTCCCGTGCTCTAAGAACCTTCATATTTCTGTTTTCAATCTGAATTTCAGGTATGCTTGGCCCGCTGGCAGTTGGCACCACCCTATAATCAAACAGGAATTGGGACTGTAATTGTGGGGTGTTCAGTTAGTCTAGCATTTTCAGTTGGTACCCGCATCACTTATACATAGTACTCTGGATTGATAATTTCTGGCCAACAGCTCCTTCAAGAGCCTGAAGCAGCTTTGCAGATACTCTTTCTCAGCTTTCCTTATCTGCAGACGCGCAAAGACTTGATGTGCCCCGACAGACTTCTGAATTAATGCTGGGTATCTCGAGGCTCTGGGTAATCGCAGACTAATCTAGGTTAGCTGCGAACAGGGAACGGCAATTACTGCTTAGACTAGAAGACAACCCAAACCGGGAGTATACTATGTATCTGACCACAGTCATCACTGGCACAGAGATTCAGGTGATCGAGACGTGAAAATCAAAGCATCAAAAAACACGCGATAAGAGGCCATATGTGCAACACTGGATGTTTCGGCCGAGGACGCGCACAGGCGCTATCGCGAACGTGTGTCGAAGTTTACAACATGGGACGAAACAATAAAAGCATCGTGGACTCCGGACAGGGTATCTCGAAGAGAATGCATTCTAAACATATTCTCATGCTTGATAGAGGACGACCGTGATCGCCATGGCACAAATAACCGAATCGCAGCCTTTTCTTTACTCCGACGATCCCACAGTAACCGAGTCCAAGGATACCTTGGGCCAGCCCTTCCGCCGCGCTGGTAGGCGACATATTATCCTCACTAGTTTTGGAGTTGCCGTTGGCACCTCACTTCTCTGGGTCATCGTGCTGCTGCTCTGTCGTACCAAACCCACGCCTACTGACTCGCCCAGCTCGAATCACACCGCCCCATCTCGGTACAACATAACCACCGGCGCACACCTCCTGAGCTGCGGGAAAACAGCCCGGGAAGCGCGGTCTCAGGGCTGCAGATACGACATCCTGCTCAACAACTGGGTGCCGGCACCTTGCTACGACCAGGAGTGGATCGACGAGTACACGGAGGACCTGTCATGGGGCGCGTATGCAGACATCAGTATGACGGTCAAGCTCAGCGTCGAGGAGATGTCCGAGCGCGACTTTTACTACACATCCATCCGGGATCACATCAACCACTGCGCCATCATGTGGAAAAAGCAATTTTGGGTCCTGTACGAGAAACGTAATGCGTTCGATACGGTCATCGCCAACCCAGGGCATACGGAGCACTGTGCGCAGTACTTGATGGACGTGGGGGACGCCAACTATACGGAGCCAACGAAGACGCATATGGGATTTGCCGGATGCTGGGTTCGTGAATAATTTGCCATGAGCAGCGGCACAAATCAGCGTAATAGGGGGAAAATACAGGACAAAGATGATAATGCAGTTTGGGATATTGGGGATGCTTGCTTTTAATGTGGTCATTCGACAAGCTTCGTGTTAGCTGGTATCTATCATAACGGTAATCGTTTTAAGAGTTAGCCCAATAATTACTTTAACAACAAACTACAAGGCAATGGCTTGTGAGTACGCTAAGATCAATCTTTACCCCCTCTCTCTTAAAACAGGTGTCAGCGTTTTGGCGGCGCAATGTCTAAATAGTATCGAATGAACGAAAACCAGCTGCCTCACCGGCAGGGCCGGACCCTTTTTATTGTCTATCCTGTGACCGCATAAAGAACGCAAGCTGTGTCATATCACTGGTACTCTTCTTTTGCCAATCTAAGTTGGAAGCCGAGTCCCCGGGCCCTATGTCGTCGGAGCTCTCTGTCTGGGGCGTCTCTGAGGCGTTTCTGATGTGCGACATAGCATCATCCTGTGGAACAGTATGAGGCGTAGGCGGGACGCTATTAATCGAGTTGAGTGCCTGGTATCTGGCGCGTTCATCTACTTCGCGATTTTGTGATGTGCGACCCTCGCCTTGTGGAAACTGTGGTGTATCTGCTCCGGCTCGTGGCGTGCCCCTTCGGTCCACCGGACAGATCTGCTCATCAACTCTGTTTGCTGTGTGCGCGGTCCTCTTACTGTTCTGCCGAACGACGGGGTTGGCTTTTGAAGATACCTCTTCCGTGTGGCCCTTTTGCGGCCAAATGTATTTCTTGTTTGTCTGTGTCAAGTGCGAAGCGACATCTGAGTCATTGTCATCGAACAAATATTTTCGACGCTGAACCTTCATATGTGGAGGACGCGGTGTAGAAGAATTGATAGCATTGGGGCGTGGAGCATTAGATGGTTTGAACGCTCCATAGGAATGTTCTTGAGCAGAGATAGTACCACGGAACGAAGGTGAGGCAAGGTCGTCGGGACTACTCGACCCATGGTCCGGAGTTAGACTTGGCACTGGAGGCGTGGCGGTCGTTGTTGCTGTGCGGTTTTCATCGTTGTAGTCAGCGTGGTACTCCACAGGAATTTGTGGCATAGGCGGTGCGGGATCAACCCCAACGCTGAAGGCATCTACTGTGGTATATACCGATAGGTCCGTCCAGACTGATTTAGCGTCATCATCATTGTCTTGTAAAGCAGGATCATGCCCCGTATCCTCGATTCTCGCTAGAGCTGTACTTGCTGGAGGGTTCGTCCAGTTGGTGCGATCCGGTTGGTACGATGGTGCTCTTCCAGCATTGCCCAGATGAAGTGGGCTAGGGACAGCTGATGAACTTGTCATGGGACGCTCTGCTTGAAATGCGGGATGAACACTCTCTGGGTCTAGTTGATCAATATTCGTGTTGGTCGTCCTCATTGCCTGTGACTGAAAGAAGCGTTGAACTTTAACAACGCTCTCCTTCTCAGCTTCATAGTCGCGCTCATCGAATTCGTGCTGGTAGGTTGCATCCTTCTCGTAGAGCTCATCATCATCCACGTGTTGCTGATCCGGCACGCGAGGTCGTTGGGATGACTCGCTTGTCAGTGAGCGAAGCGCTCGCCGACGAAATTCTTGAATAACTTCATCTGTATACTGTTCACCTGAGCCATTGATGACTGTGTCCGCCCGGTAGACGCTCTGGGTATCTAGGTTTCGGTAAAGACCAGCCATATTGCGTGATAACGCAGCTGCCTCAAGGTCGGCTTCAGGAAGAGGAATACCAAAGCCGTGAGCACGGCCAGAGGCCTCGACCAACTGCGCTGTACCCTTCTTGCTTGTACGGAGCTCATGGCGCGTGCCCCTTTTCTGTCGCTTCAACGTGTCATACTTGAGTGTCGTGATGGCCGGCCAGATCTGACGCAAATCGGTTGCGACTGCCTCGGCATTTCGACGGACCACAACTCCATCCTCGGGTCTGAGGTGCTTGATCCATGCATCAACAAGGTAGTAAATTGGAACAGTTCTCTTTCTCTTTCGGCTACCCCGTGCCTCAGCTTCTTTGTTGTATTTCTTGTAATCTTCCCTGCGCACTGTAAGCCAGCCATGGAGATCTGCAAGGATTCGTCCATTAGCGCCAATTGCAGAGAGGATACAAGCTTCGCAATTGTTGTGAACTCTGACGTAGCGATCGTCATGTGGTTGCGCGCCAAAAATGGCTGCGAAGGCTTCCTTACTGACCCAAAACGCATGAATCGAGTCGACTCGCGTCAAGAACGCTGCCACGGCAGGACTCTTTCCAGGCCAACCACGGAGAGTGCTCATGTAGTCACCACTCACCTCCCGTGTTAGCGAAAAGAAGATATAACGGATGAGAAAGGGGTTGAGCGGTTCATGACTGTGGCACAACACAGCGCTAGGCGGTAGAAGCTTGTCGCTGTCCTTCTTGTTCTTATCTATCCTAGCTACCAGGCCGAAGGCGAGACGACTGATGGTGCCTTTTGGTTTCAGGAGGGGCTTCGGTAAACCCTTTATCTTCTCCTCCTGACGACTGAACCATCGGCACGATGGTCTTGCAATACCGTAGTCGGGTCGGCGAGAGAGCAGTCGGGTCAATTCGCGGACATCATCTAAGGAGAGGTCTCGAAGATTCACGATGCCGTGTCCCATTCTTTTTTTTATTTTTTTTTACTCTTTTTCGTTTTCTGTACAAGTGCTGTTCCACTTAGTGTGTCAGTTATATACGTCTTTTCGAAAATTCGGTACTTCTTGTCTCGAAAGCCAGTCGCATCTACTCAGTCAATAAGGAGAGGTGGCTCGAATCTGAGATGTCTTGTCTGATCGGATCGCTCCTAAGGACTCTAGATTAGAGCAAACGCTCAGTCTTTATGGTTCCACGTCCCGGTAGTTTTTTCATTGACTTGCAAAAACAAGAAGATTCTTTTCAAAGAAACGCAAGCAATGGCTTTGCGTAGTCCAGCTTCTTTGTGACATCTTTTCAATAACACAATATACCAACCGACCGACCTCGACAAAGGCATTGTGTTCGACCTTCAATCCTTGAACCCTGCAAATCACTCAAAGGTGCTACAGAGGTGTCAACGCCTGAAGATCACTCGGACAGTGCATTGGCCCTAGGCCTCGAAGCCGAAGCCACCCTCGCACACTCACGAATGTGTAAGTGATTCTATATCGACGCCAAGTCTAGCACATGTATATTAAAACCGGCAGAGGAAGCAGAATACCGAGTTCGGCAGGACCGATGATCGGGGGTTGTTTGTGATTCCATTCGAACTTGGAAAAGGGTTTCCTGGACGGCCCTATATACTGGAAAACATTGCTATAGGACCGAGTATCAACAGATCCTGAGCGTGGAAGCCTCGTTTTCTATACATTGAGATAGAGCCACTTCAAGTGGCCGGCGGCAATCGTTTGCCCTGATCCAGAGTATCCCCACTACGTCCGTGTAACGCCTTTGTCCCTTTCCATTCGATGCCACAACTCCACCCAGATCATGGGAAGCTTTACGCATGTTTATTATAGCCTTGATTCGCATAAGCCATATATACAGGTACGCCTTGGTATCAATGCAAAAATGATTGTGATCGAACGAACTCATTGTATAATGTGAATCGGTCTGCGCCGGTACATCAAATTTCGTCCACACCAGGGCTCGCTCGCATTGTTTTAGTGGACTGTGAGGCAGTCTCTTCTGCTGGTCTTCCAACATCCGCCAAATGGGGGCGTTATTGAGTATTGATCGTTGCTTCATTATAAGTTGTCGTTGCCGAACAGCGCTGTCCAGGAACGAGGCTGAACATCCTACACGTGCAAGGGTGGGAGTCTGTTGTTGACATGTTCAGGTTCCGACCTTATCCGCTCAGCACGTATCTTGGCGGCTTCGGTACCATCATCCGGGATTGCAATTTCCCGGAACCATGGATGCTCGAGTGCCTGTCTTGCTGTGATGCGCTTGCTCGGATCATACACAAAGATCTTCTCAAGGAGATCCAAAAACAACTTTAGGAAATTGCTAGTTGCTGGGATGATATCCTACAAGAATGTTAGCGATCTAATTTTCTAATCCGAATACTGAGCGATAGCTTACCGATAGACGTTTCATGTTCTTAACAAAACGTCTTGAAGCACGGGTGGTATCACTGGTGGGGTAATCGAGCTTGAAGCGCTTGAAATATCTATAGCGAAATTAGTTTTTGGATCAGAACGAAGGCCAGAGGTGCAGGTGCGAGGCGCCTTACTTGGCAGCTTGGTTGCCACTGGAACCGCTCCTGGAGGACATCTTGGAGACCTGCTGAATCAAATGGGTGTCGATCCGGCAGTCACACACGTTTTCCATCATGGCGAGATGCTCAAGGTTATCATGGGTCTGGAAGAGAGCATCGCCCGTAAAGAATTCGACGAGGATACATCCTATACTCCAAATGTCGCAAGGGAACGACCAGCCAAGACCGAGTATGATTTCAGGGGCACGATAGTGGCGAGTGCTGACGACCGAGGAGTGATACTCATCTTCGAAAGTGGCTGATCCGAAATCAATGAGTCTGATCTCAGTATCCAAGAGGACCTTGCGCTGCGTAGCCTGTCTGTTAATTCCAGCCGACGAGGAAGGTATCCGGCGGTTGTAGGTAAAGGTCTGATACGCATTGTCACACAAGAGGATGTTCTCCGGCTTTAGATCTGTGTGGATGAGATTGAGATCATGAAGAACTATACTGAGGTTAATATAGGAAGACATGGAAAGATTTTGGGTGCATTACGTACAAGCTACGCTCGTAAAGAGCTGGCGAGCAAAGCTTTGGATTTGACTGTTGGGAAAGGGGACAAAGTTGTTCAGTTTTAAGAAATCGAAGACGCTTGATCCCAGCAGATCCATGACGATGCAGATGTGCCCACGGTAGTCGAAGCAATCACGTAGGTGGATGCATCGGTTGCGGTTCTCGCGGTCGTTGGCTTGGAGGGTCTGCAAGACGCGCAGTTCGATCCTCGACGCATCACGGTATTTTTGCACGGACCGAATGATCTTGATGGCGACGAGCTTGTTTCGCTTGCGATCCTTGGCTTGGACCACTTTGCCAAATGTACCCTGGCCGAGAAGCTTGACCATTTGATCTGGATAGTAAAGTCAGTCGTGAATCGGCCTACGAAAACCGCTGCCGCGGATGGGACATACATTGCGAAGTGAGCTCAGCATCGGGGACAACAATGTAGTGTCCATCGTCATCATCGACTTTTACGTTCTGGAGTCGCTAGGAATATCATGTCAGTGGAGGAGGTAGTTTTATCAGCATGTGCTTCACTCACGTCGCTGACAACTCGGACGGGTACATCGCCGCACTTCTTGATCGGCTTGGACGGCGGTCTGTAGCTTGTGTAGTTTTCATTGTAGATTTCGACTTCCCGACGTTTCGCCTCCTGCGCAATCTGCTGTCGAGTTCGCTTCCTCTTCTGCCCAGTCGCAGGGACTTCATAGTCGTAGTGGCCATTCGACGACAATGATCCTAGGGAAGTGGGTGCAGTAGTGACGGTGTGCGATTGCGATGTAGTTCGGTCCGTCGACGTCGAGGCACTAGTGGGCGTGGCGATGTGTGACCCATTGATGGAGGTGCCTCCGTGGCTCTGCACATAGACATCAGATTCTTTCCTCCGCTTCTTGGTAATGTGTCGGGAAGGCTCGGAGCCATTGGCTGTGCCGTTGGTGTAAGTCCTGCCGGCCGAGTGATTGGATGCAGGCTCCTTCGCATCCGACTCTGGCTCGGGAGTATCGTCAATCACGATGATCTCTTTCGGCAGGCCGTTCTTGTAAAAAGTATCCCAGTCGGGCTCCTTGGACCTTCTTCGTTTCCTCGCGGGGCCCGCATTGTGGTTACTCTGTGACGTGGACGCGGTGGAAGCGGGCATGTTGGTGTAGTGGTTTGCGTCAGACCGGGGCGTCGAGGCCGAGACTGTCCTGGTGTAATCCTGCGTCTGTCTGGAGGCTGAAGTCACGGACAGGGCAGGTGCTCCATTTGCCGTTGATGTCCTGTATGGTTGCGGCAATCCAGCATGGGCTGAAGTCGAGTAATGTGCTTGTGGCTGTGGTTGTGCAGCAGAGTTGTTGTAGGCTGAGGCAGGAGCGTGTCGATTTGACGCTGTCGAGGCCGGCGCAGGACCTGGAGCAGGCGCAGAGGTCGAGGCACTGGGGGTGGGGAGGATAGGGTTTGCTGGGGCGGCAGACGGTACGGATACAGGGACGGCGGGTGGTCGATAAGCGCTGCTGTGGCCGACACCGTTGCTTTGCAGGAACGGTGGATAATGAGAATGCTGGTGAGGATGCCGGTAATGGGGGGGGAGGGTAGCCGTGGCAGTAGTTGGCGTCGACATTGTCGTGGATTTGGTTTGGGTTCAGTTGAGCTTCAACCAACGACCAGATCGACCCGTACAGCAGTAGGGAGTGGTCGTGATCGTGATCGTGATCAAGGGGGGCCTCAGGTCAGGCCAGGAGGAAAGACCTCAATCGCCAAGCGAATCTCTGTGAATCCGGGGTGTCTTGTCGATATGGGATGGGTATGGATATGGGCCGCTGGGCCTTCCCACTTGAGCCTACGGGCGCTTTTTCTCGTCGCAGTTCTGCCGGCCAGCGACTAAGTAAGTACCTGTACGCTCCAAATGCTGGCTGGAGCACTACCTCGAGGGATGCCCAATGACTTCACTGGGCGGGCCTGTATGCTGTCACGTTCCAGGCGGGCTTTTTAGTGTTGTTACAGCGGGAAAGCACTGGAATTGCAGGTACTGCCCACTAAACGTGCCGACTGGGCGGGAGGAGGCAGTGCGCTAGGGTTAGTGATGGCGGGAATCCGAACCACTGCAGAGGCCAGAACAAGAGCAAAAGAGCAAGAGCAGGCTGGTTAACGGCAGTACGGCACAGTCGACAGATGTGATTTTCGACTGCGTGGTTGGTTATGGCTGCGTTTGATTTGCGCGTGCGTCCCGTCTCCGTGGGCAGGCGTTGTGCTTGCGTCTCTCGAGAGCTGGAATTCAGTTGGTGGTAGTGAGACCGCGAGAGGCGACTGGGGGAAAAGTCGTCAAGCGTTCTGCCGCGCCAGGTACTTTGGTCGTTCCGGTTGGGAGAGTAAATTACGCTGGGTCGGCAACTGGGAAGCCGTAGAGACTCGGTTCGACCTTGCCGTAGAGACGTAGAAGGACGACTGAGAGAATATCTCGAGGGACAAGCCTCAAGCCTTGGCCGTTGGGAGCGTTGGAAGAGGAAAGGAGGGATTCCTCCGAGTCGCAAATCGTCGAGTGCAGAAGTTGACGGCAGTGCCTGCTGTGCAGCACAGCTAGGGGTAGGGCATTCCGCTTCAACGCAAGTCGAAGCTGTATGATGATTCTCAGCTAGCAGGCGGAGAAAAACCAAGACAAGACGGGTGAGTGCAGTTCTTCTCACAGGGCAACGTGAGAAAGTCAAGTCGAGGGCTTCATGTTCCTCTCAAGTGGTCTGCTTCGTCATGTCCAAAGCGAGAGGACCGGATGGGCAACATCGAGTGGAGTCTAGGAGTCTAGGAGTCTACGTAGCGAAGGGTCTCCCGGCTGCATCTGTACATAGTGCGGCTGCGCGATTCTTACGGTACGTGCATGCCACTCTGAGTCTGAGCAATCACGGAGTATTTTCACCCAGAACAAGAGCAGAAGGCAGGGCAGAGCAGGACCCAGAACATGGATGGTTTAAGGTGCACGCACACGCCCCCTTCTCCGCCCAAAACCACTGTAATCCAAGGTACCCAAGCATTCTCGCTAGGATAACCTTTTTCTGTCATTGAATTATTAAAATAAGTGGCCATGGATGTTTTTTCCTCTCCTAAAAAAGTACTTCGCACAAGCACCGTCTCACAGTGCTGACTCTAATTTGCCTTCGGAGAGGGGCTTGAGGGGTTCGTTAGAGAAGCCCTTCTCAGACAATATACCCTCTAACAATCGCAACACAATCCTTTCACTGTCTCCTTCCTTCAGCACCGTGCAAACCTTCTGATGGAATGGCTCAATCTTCAATTAGGAATCCCCGCTAATCATCACCATCTCGAATAACAACCTTGATCTCATTGATGTTTGCCGTTTGGCGAGCGAGGTCCAACACTTTCAGCCCACAGCAGATTGGCGTCCTTGACACAGCAACCTGTTTCAACATTTCCACGGCAAGTTGGATTTTGATTGATCCGTTTCTTTTTGCAGTCAGGCCTGAAAATTCGCACTGCTTTCTTCTAGAAGCTAATAAACAGCCTGGCTACGTCTGCCGGACCCTGGCACGCATCAGCCATCTCACGTTCATATTTCTGCCATCTTACAGTTTGGGATCAGTGCCCCTCACACCATGAACTGTGCCTGACGTGCTGGTTGGCCAAGCAAAGGGACCCTACGCGGCACCAAGCAGCCAGAGAGCCATTCAGGACCCCGAGATTTTCAGCCAGAGCAACACCACTTTCGCTCGTCGGACTTGTTCAAGCCAAAAGCCCTTGGAGCGGTGATGCAGAGCCCTTGTCGAATCACGCTGTCGCTCTCAGTCGCCTATGCACGACTTGCAGTAGCTCGATACTGCTCACCACATGGCTTGGCGGCCCACGAAGCGGCGCATCTTCTGCCCACACTTTCATCATCATCATCACAAGCATCGTGAATTGTTCCATTGTGAACGTGTATCTGCTCTGGCCACAATGCTATGTCTCCCTTTACTGGATGCTATCTCGTCTGATCGACCGCGTCGACTCCAGTGTACTTCTGGCCACAAGTTTGCCGTGGTTCTCGGCAGAGGTCACATCATTGTTAATTGCTGCGAAGCTGCCCGTTATTCGCTCGTCGGCACAGGATCCAGGTACTTAGACAAGTTCCATAGGCTTAGCCAGTCTCTCACCTGCAAATTCGGTCGCCAGAGCGCAGCGGCTTACTATTATTTCCTGTGCTCCTAATTTCATTACGCATGACATGCGTAGATCGTCTACTGCCCTGGCAAAACCAGGCTCATTAATATCGCCAATAATAGTATCTGAAGTTCTGTTCATACAGTAGATGCACCAGAATCGTACAATTAACAGGATCAGGCTGGATCCTCCTGGCACCAATGACGTCCTTTTAGGATTCATTACTTACATACTCTGTGGCCTTTGCTTAGTCGCCATTCCCGTAACTTCCACTTTTTCAGGATCTCTGTGCCTCAAAATAATTATCTTTTGCACTGCGTTCTTAGTCAACCCAGATCCCTCGAATGTTGTTAGACGCTTGGTACATATTTCACCATGAAACTGACGCAATGTCTTTAAAGATTGCTCTCCTCTGAACTGTGCGACTGATATTTTGAATCCATAAATTTTTACAAGCCCCGCTCCACCGTACGGCTGACAGTGCAGCGGCCTTTCATGGTGGCGAGAGTCTCAGTTGATGGAGGTGTGGCCTCTAAGCCTGCTGGCAAAGCTGGATGACATTACTTGGGGCATCGTTACCTTCGATGGGCCACAATCACCGGGCCAGATGAAATCATACGTCTCAACCGGACCACTTGGCTCGAGTTGGCTTGCTGGGTTGTAGACCCCCATTTGGAAGTCCGTCCTTTATTACCGACAAGATGAACGCGGTTGTACGGAAACACACGTTGCTAGTCTGCGCGCTTTCGGCCTTTCCAAAACTTCCCCTTGTTGCCCAACTCACAGGTGATACCCCCATGAATGGAGCTCTCAACTTGTTGTAAATCATTGCCTCGCCCTTGGCAGCATACATAACCTATTCATTGTATTGGTACAATGAGCAAGGCTCAATGATGGATTGGCAATCAAACATTTGTAAATACTGATATAGACTCCATTAATAACTCAGTCAAAGCTGGACAACAATAACCTGCCTGAGTTAGCAGTCATGTACCTCGCCATCATTAATGCTGGTACATACTATTCCGCGACCGAAAGATGCCACGCCCTGGAGAGGATTATTCCCATTGTCAGCGTGCTAAACAGAGTCGAATGGAATTGGCACTGTTTCCCGTTATGGCAAATCGATACATGAACGCGGCATAAGCTATCCAGATAATCATCCAGGAGGCACCCACTGCAACCCCCTCCCCACCAAGACAAAGGCACACCTTCGTCATTTGTAGCACAGCAACGACGGACGTGCATCGACGGCACAAAATCTCCAAGCAGTGGGCATCCCAGCTGGCCTAACAACCTGATTGACATACACATGCTCAAGCCGAGTGCTCTCATTCAGTCTCGAGTCTGCCTGTCCGACGTGTGATCCAAAGCATGTTAACGGTCATCGGAGATAAGCCTGATGAGACAACTACAAACAGCCGTCAGACAAGCCATCGATCGCCATGTACGGATCCGTAGAGCGCCTTGAGTTGTCAACTCCACACTACTCGACACTTCATCAGCAAAGCTCTGTCACGCCCTGCTGGCCGAGCAGTCACTTGTTGGGTTTCGTATCAATGTATATATAGCTTTGCCAAGTTGTTAAATGATGACGGGGCTACGTGTAACCTGAGTATTTTAGGTTATAATCCCACGTGAAGGGATGTCCTATGCGAGAAGTGTCATGAAGCATGCCTGCTATGTATGCAGGCTCAATCTGTCATAACAACAGTCTCGTCCTGTAGCCATGCATGTGCGCAGTAGTGCATAAAGCCAACAGTTGGCGGCGGTCAATGTTTGGGCCGTTAGATTTCATTATCAAAAATACGATATCGGAAAACAACAAGATATCTAGGGATTGGCATATCCAGTGCATAGCAGTCCCGATCTGGACTATGGATTTGTTTCAAACCCCTCTGGAAGACACCTCCAACGCCTCACTCGAAGCACTCGAAGCAGTCGTAGGCCAAAGCTATTCGACCCCGAAAAAATGTCTTGCCTGTCAGAAAAACGCCGTCCAATGCAAGCTCGCAAGATGCAAGATTGAGTTACCCCGTCTCCCTCGTGGTAAACCTAGTGCTCATCCATGCTCCAAACTCAGATGCCGCGGTTAAACACGACCATGCCAGCCTCGCCGCCCCGCCCGTGAAATTGCTCTTCCAGGCTCTCGGCGCTGATGCGCTGCCTCTGAGGGAACGCGGCCAAAGCCAACGGAAGAGCAACATAGCTCATACCCAGAATCAAGGCCAAGTTGACCGGCGTGGTATACTTGGGGTTCTTCTTCAACCACTCCCTCTTCTGCAGCTGGACCAAGACCAATGGCGGGATGACCATGATAGGACTGCTGTTCAACACTCTGCTGAGGGCTGTTTCGGAGACTGCCAGCGTGGCAGCCTTTTTGCTCTTGCCGAGCGAGGGGACGTCGTTCTCGGCCTTGCCTTCAGCAGCCAGCTTGGCCTTGTCGGCCTCGGACAGCACGGGGAACACGTCGATACCAACGCGCATCTCCTCACCACGCATGAGGAACACGTTGAGGGCACCAGCGGTTGCAACGGCAGCGAAGGGCACAAGACGACCAAGAGTTGTCCGTGTCGCAGGAGAAATGCGCTTGAGACGGGGCACCAGCGCGTTGAGTCCCACAGCCACCGAGCACGACGCGCCGACGGCTAGGAAGTATGATTGCGCAATCTTTCCCCAAGACAGAGGTGAGGACTTGTTCGCATTCGCATTGTTGATCGCAACATTGAGGGACTGGTTGGCTATTTGCCAGCCGATCGTTCCAGCCGTCTACAAGACCAGACTGTTGTTAGCGCACTGGGTCCAACACGACAAGAGAAGGAAGGGGCTCGAAACGTACTCCAAGACCAGGTGTGAGCATACCCGCCGTAACCACCAAGTTCGACAGCACAAAGCATGACATGCGGAAGGGTAGGAGAACTGGCTCGCCCGTATCTAGAGTCAGAGCTTCGTGTTAGCCCTCCATTACCCCCTGGTTGAAATCGTGTATATGCGCCCTCGTACCGGGATGTATCGTAGAATCCACAACCTTCTTCGCCTTCCACAACTCCGAGTTCATGCTCTTGATCTCTCCATTCTTGTACTTGACAAGCAGACTCTTCGCTTCCTCAAGGCCCTGCTTTCCAGCAAAAAGGGTTCTAACGATTGCAAACGCATGCTGTCAGCTCACCAGCGCTTCCAATTTGCAATACCTACACGCCGCAAAAGGCGTCCAAGAAGAAGGCTTACCTCGGATCTGTAATACTCGCCGTCTGCTTCACGCGACCCAGATACGTGCTGAGATCGTACTGCGACTCGGGCAGCTCGCGATTGCCCGGTAGCGAAGCCGACATGTTACCCTGCTGCCGTCTGGAGTAGTAGCCCTTCAGCTGGTCGCGGAACGCTCAAGAAGAAAGAAAAGGAACGAAAGGCCGGCTGAAATCCAAGCCAGGTCACAGCTACCAGACGAGCAATTGATTACTGTTTAGGTGGTAGTCATCGAAGATAAATTGCGACGGCGGTGAGGCGCTGGTAGACTAAATATTTTAAGGGACCGACCGACCTCGCAAGCTAAGAACCCCGCTATCATATATGTATTACTACTCCAGCGGACATCGTGAACCGCGACAAGCCGTGTTAGGTATGATCAAGTGATACGACGTCTGAAGGAAGCAAGGTACTACCAATCTCATAGATCACAACTTGAAACAATCAGGCAAAGAAAACTATGCATCTCATCAAAACGGCTCGTTTAGTTCCGGCATATGCAAGAATGTATATAGTTTTGATATTCCGTTAGCGCCTACAGCGGTCTTCTAGGCATGTTCTTAGAGGGAGTGAGTTATGTATGATAGAGGAGGGGTATCGAGCTGAACAGACATGAGACCAAGCTGTTTACATCAAATATAATCCATTAACATCGAGAAGCTTCATTGTATCATAACAAAGACAAAAAACTACTTGACCGATGCGTTGTAGTGAAAGGGCATGAAATAAATCGATGCGATTGACTCGAGCAGCAGGGGATCGCAATCAACTAAACCCAACAAAAATTCGTTAGGATGTCCAAAGTCCATACAGACTCTCCTCCGCAAAGGGAGACAAAAAATAAATCGACCGACGCAGGGCTCGAACCTGCAATCTTCAGAGTTGGGGTGATTTCAGTGAACCGAAATCTGACGCGATACCATTTCGCCAGCCGGCCTGGTCTGATTCGTTGAGAATTTGTGGTTTTAAAATAATTATGACCAATACTTTGTCTTTCATTTAGCCCCATTCTTTTTCGTCAATTCTCCAGACTCCTCAAGCACCTTCACTACAATCACTGGACATACTGGTGATTGATACCAGTTTCCAGGTATGCTTGTTGGTTCAAGTGCACAGAGTAACATGACACTATGTAAGCAATTTTAGTCACTGTTCTCCTAGCCTTGGAGTGCTGTTTGTATTGACTACATCTTGCTTCTAGGTAACCAGGAAAAGCAACCAGGCACGAAAGTTTTTGCATTCTTGAGCTATCGCCAACAAAATCTTGCGCACAAGATGCCGGGTATCGAGAGAGGCCTCTGGACTGCAGTGGCTGCTGAATCAGGTCGTGCGAAAACTGATGGCATAACGTTAGAGAATCACTTCCGTTTGCCTGTAAAGTGAACGGTAGTAACTTAGATTAGGGTCTTTGCGCTTGTGTCAAGTTTCGTGACTGCCACATTGTTCTTCATGCGACTCGATGCTGATTTCGTGGTCGACTATTCCGAATCTGCCACTTGTAGATCTTTGCAAGACCCACGCCCAGCACCAGCTTGCCTGCCGTTTCCTTCTTCGACCACATTATCGATGAACCATCCTGCCAGCTCCGCACGCTTATTTTCCAGAAGCATCCTCGCTACGCTCAGGTAACTGTCCCCAGATACGCCCTAGATCTTGGTATCTAACGTGGTCATGTCCTGTTCATCCCTTACTGGTCTCGGATAGTAGGAATCATTATCCCAGAAACCCCTAACGGCTTTTTGATATCAGCCACGCCCAAGTCAATACTTCCGCACCGCTTAAAGTCCAGTAACCATACTTATAATCTATAAGCTTAACCATTCTTGTCTACACGATGTACACCGTACAACAACTCGATGTTGAATGCATCACATGTACCCAGACGAAAGAAACGTTAGCTCTTGTCCCGCAGAGATTCAGAGTCCACCCAGGAACTGCGTGTGGAAGCTGCATTCCACAATGGAAGGTTCTCCGGGAGAAAGGAGATAAAACAAAACGTGTACTAACACTGCCGTTAACACACAGCGAGCGCCACTCCCATCTTCTGCGCCAAAGGAACGGGATCTATTCCGAGATATACGATCTTGTCTAGCGTGAGCTCAAAATTATGCAACAAGAGATATCTCTCTTATTTGAAAGTTGGCCGCCGAACACCGAGGGATAATCGCAAAATTCACACGTCGTTGGACAGGAAGAGATCTTAGTCGTTGGGCAAGTGACAGATAACGGCCTAGTGTCTTACGCGAGGTTTGTTTGGCAAATGTATGAGCCTCTATGTAGTCCTTATTAATCCGTGATTGCGCGAGGCAGAAAGCGTAGGTAGACGTCACAGATTTGTTGATAATCGTTCTGATGGTGTTCTTGTTGATTCGTCTTTGTAGATAACATGCAGCGGTTTCTCCGCAGAATCAAGGTGCGGTTGGTCCTACTCAACTATCTCCGATTTCTCACTCCACTTGGCCGCCGTTGAACTTTGACACGAACTAGGTTCAACGTCTTGCAAGTGAAAGCGTATGTAGTCAACCGGTAGAGCGAGGGTGCCGAGAAGCCGTCACTCCATCTACAGAGATGTACAGGGGATTGTCACCATAGTTGCAAACCCGCATAATCTGGGATGGCTTCGGGTTCACATTAGCCGACTTGGGAACGGCAGGGTTGAACGAAAGGATTGATCGAGATCGAAAGCAAGACGTCCTATCTTTCCGATGAGGCAAGTCGCCGCATATCAGTCAGCAGCATTCACTCAGCAAATCGCTCAATAGAAGCTTGAAGTACCGAGATGAATGCGGAAATGGCCAAGTTTCTCTATCTTCTCTGTTCTCTCTGGTATCGTAGTATACTAAACACTACATGCTCGTTGCAAACCGTTGAGTGGCCTGTCTCTTGTGATCCATTTTGAGTGATTAGCTCCCCCAGACAAAACCTGCACAGACATAACCCTGTTTCGGCGCGACTAAATCGTTTGGATTCATTAGAATACACGTGATACTTCTTAAGCGCTTCAGGAACCTCTTTGCCTTACAAGGCGCTCAGCCAATGCCAAATGCCATATGGTGATCAATTCAATCCTGCAGACCAATAAGTCCATCACTGTCATTGCACCGATGCTCAAATAGAGCTCGGTCTACGAAGTCTAGATGGCGATCGTCCTTACCGAAATTGCTTGTGTAACTAACCATATGAAATAGAAAGTCAAGCGTCAGCCACTTCAATACAAACTTGTACTCGTTATCACGATGTGTGTTTCGGACATTGCCAAGGTTTTTGATGTAGATTTCCATCAATATGACTCGCCACTCGCGGGGATTTCGAAGCTCAGAGAAGTACGCAGGGTCATTCTTGGGGTTGATCCACTGGTACGAATTTTCTTTCTTTATATATCCGCGTGAAGTCATGACGAGCATTCGGTCAATGAGTGCAGTACCGACTCGATTACTGCGATGATGTTTGGCAACCATGACGTACATTCGAGCTGAGTGCTTGCCGTTGCTTCTGGTTGAGCCAAAGATGCCTCGGCTAGCGACATCCAAGAAGGCAAAGCCTATGACTCGGTGATCGACTTGCTCGACAGGAATATTGGGGTTGCGATACTCGCTCATCGCCACGATGAAAGGAATTTTCTCTTTGCGACAATGTTGAAGGTAAGCCTGGAATGCTTGCACGCTGATCGTATCATGATCAAGCGCACGGTGGCCTTCAGCGACTTCGCCATTGTAGATCACAGTAACTTCTTCCATATCACCGTCGATGGCCGGACGGAAATGAGCTGGGGTTCTGCATAGGAAGGGATTGCCCTTCTCAGCCTTTGCTTTAGCCATCTCACGAACCTGTCTCGCGTACTCTAGTTCCTTCTCGCGCTTTACCTCCACCTCCTGATCAATTTGTATCATCTTCATATAACGCTGAAGAGAGAATATAGCGGTCTGCTTCTCTCTCTTTGCGACAAGACGAGAGTCCTTTTCATCCGCTTCGTCTATTTCATGTCATCAGTAAATGCGAAGCTTGATGGGTGCCAGTAAAATCGGCCGGATAACTTACTTTTCAAAATTTCAGGCGCCTCGATAATGTCCATCAGTTGACCATTTATTGGATCAATACCATGGTCCTCGTAGAGGATCTTTAGCGAGGGATCAATCAACCCGCAGCGTATCTTAGAAACTCGTTTAAGCCAAAATTCGATGTAGCGGTGCAAGGCAGAGGTTGGCTTGCTATATGTTGATTTACTGCTTGTACCACTGTTTTCGCTGGCTTGAGTCTCGCTCTCCCAGTCCTTGTGCTTAGGTTGAGCTCTACGGGGAGAATCCCAGTCCTGGTCGTCCCAAGTTTCTTGGGGCTCGTCGCCGCGGATGTCCTTCTCATAGGTGCTTAAAACATCGACACTACCGAGGGCCAGGCTGACTCCAGCCAATGATACGTTTGTCTCCCGCGTTTCTTTATTACTGACATTAGTGTGCTTTGCCAAGAGAATTTCTCTTTTCTTATCTAACGTTACTTTCAGGACTTCTGCTGTAATTTCCTGGTCTTGTTCAATCTGGGGTGCGGCATATGTGCTTGCAGGGTGAATGCCAAGTGGTTTTGTAGCCTTCCACTTGCTATCAGACTTGGCTATATCGAGGCTTTCTGTATTATTTGAATGAACCGAAGAACTCCTGGTACCTTTCCCAAGAATTTTGCCATAGCTAGGAGCATATTTGGCGTAAAACTTTTGCAGATGGGGCGGAAGCTTGGCGACATCAGCTTCCTTTTTAGAAGGTTTGTGTTCGGCTAATTGCTGAGAATCTGTGGTATGAGTCGATTGGTCTACTGATTCAACGGAATCATCTTTTATGTTGATAGAGTCGAGTTTTGTGCTGCTAATGCCCGTTATGCTTTCGGGTTCACCCTTTTTACTGCTAAGCTGAAATTGGGATTGGTGTTTGAGATAAAACTTGCAGAGACAAGGCTGAAGTTTTGCAATCCCGTCTTCAACGTTGGATCCGTCCCTTGTATTGGTGGACTCATCCTTTGCGGCGGTGGACTTATCCACCGTGTGGACGGACTCATTTTCTGGGTGGTTAATCTCATCTGTTGCTTCGTTGGACTGAGTTTGAACGTGATGTTTTGCGTGAAAAGTTCTTAAGTGAGGCGGAAGCTTCGGAATATCGTTTTTGAGGTTGGTCTCCATCTTTATATTGACTGTTTCATCCTTGATCTTTACGAAGTCATCCTCTGTGTTGCTGGGCTTTTCATTCACTTCGTTGGCGTAATTTTGAGCATGAGGCTTAGTGTGGAAGCTTCTCAAGTGAGGTGAAAGCTTGGTATTTGTGTCTTTGACGCCCGAACTACAAAGACCGTGCCCGTCGTTGTGTGGAAATACTTCGGTATCGCTGAGCAGTTGGGCCGGGGGAAGGAAGGTATCATGAGCAAGATTCTTCATGACCTCGTCCTTCTTTTCCTTGGACTCTGTAGCAATAGTTGGCTTCAAGGAGGGTCCTTGTCGAATATGAGGAGGTATAGTGAGGCTACGGGAAGCTTGACTTTGTACAAAAGTATGTGCCTCTGGCTGCATAGAGGACAAACGTGAAAGTTGCTTAGGTTTAGCAACAGCGACCTTGCGGGACGAGACCGAAGCCCAACGACTTTCGTACAACTGGTTGCGTGATGGCTTGGGTGCAATACCCGTTTCCGTGAGTGTGCGAGCCACATAAGAGAAGTTGGCGGGGCTATGATTGGACATAGTGCGAGTGTTTTCCTTACTGCTATTATTTATGGGCATGGCAGTTCCTGTTCTCGCAGGCAGGCCCTGATCTTCATTGTGAACTTTGTTAGAATCGCCAACTTCGACCTTTTGGCGAAGTATAGGTTGAGGAGATTGAACCATGGTTGCTATCCAGGCTTCATCTCCTGTAATGAAGCGCTCGGCAGTGATGCGAGTATCGGCAGGAGGGTACTTTACTGCTAGATCATCTTTGCCATTAGGAGATGTTTGATCGTCCCGCGACTCCCGCTTGCCCACCCTAAGCTTTTCAGTGGAAGCCATGATCTGCTCGTACACGGATTAGCGGAGTGGCCACATCATTAATCGTTACAAATTGGTTTCAAAACATTGATAATACGCTGCAAGCATGGTAGTCATGCTGGCGTTAGCTCTGGCCTTTGCTGTGTTGAGATATGAGCTTTGAGCGCACAGGAAATATATGTCAAAATGATCACGAGCTCGTGGGGTACTCACAGAGGGACACAAGATCTCATATGGGATAGATGGTGTCAATCTTTTCAAATTCGGTTGCTCAACACCTTGTTCGGTGATGATTAACAAGGCAGATCTAAGAGGAGTGGTAGAAATTGAAAAGGTAACTGCTGATTTTGGATTTGCGTTAGTTTGACCATGTCCATGGGAAAGAAAATTTTGACTAAAAAAAAACTAGCTGCTTGGATTTGATCGATTCAATCCACTTTATATGTAACGAGCCATACCTACCTGAGGTTACCTATGAAGCTCCTTCCGATTTGATCGCTCAGGTGAGGTACCAATACGCTTGGTCAAGCTGCGAACGCCTTGTTATGTTCAAGATGATGGCTGTCCGAAGAAGGGAGACATGCGTTAGGGAGGCAGGACTTGAAGGCTGCCGGAGATTAAGGTGGTCAGTCAGGATGGAGTTGCAACTCAGAGAAGGGGTCTCATGGAATGTAAGATTGCGAAATAGTGAAGTTGTGGATTCGACGAAGCGCAATGCTGTAAAGCTCTGCCAGAGCAGCTTACCTGATTCGGATCGTAAGTATGTAAGCTTTCTATTACCTTGAACTGACTTGCATATGAGTACCGTGTGTAGCAAGGCGTTGGTCGTGATGTTTGAGATATGTGGGTTGAGGATCGTGTTCCAGGTGGCAGACTTTGGCAATGCTCACTTTGGGGTGAAGCTGTGGTGATTTGTGTGGCGACAATGTTATCGCCCGGTCGATTGATAAAGCCAATTGGTTTGTGTGTCTTGTTTTGAGGGGAAGGTACGATGGAGAGTTCTCGTCGACAGACAAAATTTGGAGTGATTGTTTATTCCACGGGGGCGAGTTGGAAACCCGTACACGATCAGCTTTCTACACTGGTCTAATATGTCACTATAGCCCTGAAAATACCACTAAGACGGGATTAGGTCATTCGGTGTGGGTAGACTTGCCCCTTGGTGATTGATGTTTGAGTGTGTTCCTGTACCATTGTCCCTAGCTATAACCGCTTCACTAGCTGGAACGAAGACCATCCATTTTGAATTACTAGGGGATATAAAATATGCGTATATCTCAAGGCTACTTGCAAATGATCGTGAATTCTTCTAGCGTCCTGGAACTTACATACCATTGCTGAAACGGTGATTCGTCTACTGGATATATTGCATATTCAACTAACTTCCCAAGTCATATTAGCCGGTAATTTGTGAGAATTTATAGAAGCTCTTCTAAGAGTTGATTAAGCTAGGTCTGCGCGAAAACCTTTTAGCGCATTGGCTATGCATTAACATCGATACTTCTTGGATTAACATCAGAATAAGTACCAGATATATTCCAAGTTGCCGCTTCTGGTTTTATGAATACCTGAGAATTGCCTTTCATTTAAGGCAATCTTCTCAATATTATAATTGCTTCTACTTGGTCAAAGCCCTTTCGTTTAGTGCTTCCATTTTTTGCTGGGTTGGCCTTCTGCGAACCCAGCACCCTTTGTTCCGGGCTATGAATGAAGCTACGCACCTTGGCCCCTCCCCCCTCCATGATATCGACCAGGCTCCCCAGTTGGCATAGCCCATCACCTGTTATGGAAGTTACCCCCTAAGAACTTTGGCATCACTTAATCATGGCATTTGAGATGCATTGGGTCGTATAAAAGATCTAAGCGGGTTTTGTGGGTTTCCGAGTAGATATATCCTTCATGGGGAAGCGGGCGTGTTTCGTTCCTATCGAAATTCTGGGCGGAGGAGCTGCAAAATATGTTTTACTTTTATGTGTTCGTGTGTGAGAATGTAGCGAAATCAAGGCAACTTGCAAAGCGAATGGCGAACGATCACCTGTTGAAGGGGTTGAGTATTGTGTGTTGGTGATCGTCTTGTTGTCCCAGACATCACGTGCAGGGAGGCAACTTGTTATTGAAGCTGCGAAGAAAGTTAACGCGCTGCAACTTGCAACACCTCAGAATTGATTTGCACCAGACTGCCACTGCGTCTAGACTAGCCTAAGTGGAGACAGTTTTCTTTCTGAACGAACCACTCTTGAAAGTTAGCAAAGCAAGGCAAGGTCGAAAACTATCGTCGTCATAAGCAGATCCTCGTGATCAATCCCGAAAAAGAAAAGGAAACAGCGACGATGTTATCAATTCTCAGGAAAGCGCGGCTGAAGGACAAGGAGATGAGAATCCTGATGCTGTGAGCTCTGGGCTGATTCCGGAGATGGGTAGACGCTAATCGAGCACAGAGGATTGGATAATGCGGGCAAAACTACTATTGTCAAAAAGATCATGAACGAGGATGTGAACACCGTTAGCCCGACTTTGGGATTCATCATCAAGACTATAGATTATGAAGGGTAAGTTGCCATGGATCACGAAACAACATGGCGGCCAAAGCTGACTTGATGCCAGGTACAAGCTGAATATCTGTAAGTCGCTAGCATTGCGGAAATGAGTGTTGGGTATTGAGTATCAACGCTGAACCTAAGAAGGGGACGTTGGTGGTCAGAAGACGCTGCGATCGTACTGGAGGAATTATTTCGAGAAGACAGATGCCCTTATATGGGTGGTGGATGCGACAGATCGATTACGCATTGAGGACTGCAGGGAAGAATTACACGGTCTCTTACAAGAAGAGGTAGGTCAGCTCGCAGCATCGAAGGGGGTGCCACCTATGCTAACTTTAAAAAGCGACTTTCTGGTGCGAGTCTCTTGGTGTTTGCGAACAAGACGGACGTTCAGGGATGCATGGATGAAGGCGAGATATTGCAAGGTCTTCAGCTGAAGAACATTCGGACTCACCGATGGCAGGTTCTGCGCTGTAGTGCTATGACCGGCGAAAACCTCAAGGAAGGCCTTGCTTGGGTTGTCGAAGATGCCAAAGCAAGGCTTTTCTTGTATTAAAGTCATCAGTCAGATAGGCGCGCATCTCTTCATTCGTGTTGCAGGTCCCGAAATGTTATTCCGTATGGATGAGTAACAAACATTTAGCATTTGCGTGGGGTTCGACAATCCGGACCTTCAGCCGGACCGTGCGTTTCGGCTGCCAGCCATGTAACATCGAAAAGTACCGATCAGAAGGATCTCTATCTGGAGAACTAGATATCAATTCAATGTAGCATGACGAAATATTGTTCTGTCAAGAGATGTGGTCATGGGCAAGTGAATTGTCTGGCAGGTCGATTGGACAAAGGGGCTGCATATCAATTCTCGCACTCGAGAAATAGGCAGTATGGTGTAACTAAGGCAGTATTCAGACACGGTTGAGCCGGAGTGGTAGGCGTTTGAAAAGAGAAAGTATTCGTCCCAAGTGTCGTTTCAAGATTGCAGGAAACTTTCATTTTGCAAATGCAGGGGATTCCCCTCCTCACATTGGCTCAATGCGTGTACTATGAATGCACGGCAGTGAAATGACTCCAGGGACCGTGCTTCAGTCACGTCTGGTCTGTGGATATTGGGTTGAGGCTGCGGTGGGGGAATACGGAACACGTAAGTGCTTCTCAATCGGCAGACGGTTCTTGTTAGCTAAGTGGAAGATTTGCAGGCTTCATATGAGGAGGTTACCGGAGTTTACTTTGTTACGATGTGGGCGCTGAGGTGAGGGATTTCCACCACTTGCTACTGAAAGTAGATATTTGTTTACTTTACCCTGGATACGATTAGTGGCGTAACCATTCATCATCGACTGACTGCGCTCCAAATGTCTCTGTTAAACCTGACGCTAAACTAGGACTTAGTCTTTGTCTGTGCCAAGGTCTTCGGATGGATAGAAACAGGGGTCATTCGCTTTGTAAGGCAGGTATGGGATGTTTGGGCCCCAAAAAGACGAATTCAAGGTCCAAGGATGCAGGTTGAGAACCTGAACTGGCAGCCGTTGCTCATGCCTGCCTATGTATGTATTTGCCTGAGCCGGGAGAAAGGGGGAGGGAGAGAAAGCAAGCAAGCAAGCAAGCAAGCAAAGCAGGAAAAGACGCGCTCGTGATGATCCACTTGGGGTGACAAAGGTGCTCCGCAAACTTGCAGCCCCGATCTGGCGCCGCTGTAAGCGATTTGATCCGCCTTTCAGGTGCTCGAGTAACTTACAGCATGCCGGGCTTATTGTGCTACCGTACGGATGTTTACTTCGTAGTAACGTTAGTGCATATGGGGCTCGCTGGACTTGACGGGTTGCCGTCCAATGTTGATTTTAGCAACAGCCCACTTCCAAAACAACAAAGTTCAAGTTAGACCTCCAACTTTACTAGCAAAGCTTAGGATCGACCCGAACGCCTTTGCGCCTTGACTCTGCAATTGCTTTACGCAGCAACAGCAAGCTTTTCACCAAGGATCAAATAAGTCTAGGGGTGGGAAGAAAAACAAAACAAAACAAAACAAACGAAGACGCCTATCAACAGCCCCTCGTGATCCCATGTGTCACAGATAGCTCCGCATCATAAAGCCATGTCGGAGGACGTCTCGCGGTTTCTGGAGCAGGTCAGAGAATTAGGGGATCGACGCGCCGAAGAAGACGAAGCGCGCTCACGAGAGTTAGAGGAGAAGATCTTGGCTGACAGAAAGGAAAGACAAGCCCGTCGTGCAGGTACGAGATCCCTTTTCACCTATTAAGTAATCATCTATACCATAATTATTGTCTCGGGGTCGTCCCTGGCGGATGCCCACTTGAGGTCCTCAGTAGCCCCTCATGCAAACATCACCAAGAGAACATAACCAACAGTCTGTACCGCAGCGACAGGGAGCTCGCCCATTGGAGCTTCCCAGCACCTGCAAACTACTGTTGATTACGTCCACTCTTCTCATCTATTTCCTACTACTGTGTTTCGAGGGGTGCCCTATTGCTGTCATTGTCGCTGTCGCTGACCTCACCCGCAATAGAACGCGCCAGATCAATTTCACCACAGAAATCATCACCCGCCAACACGCCGCCGCCCGCAAATCATCGCATGATCGCGTCGGCCTCTCCACGACTCAAGTTGGACGACTCGCCCGTCATTGACGCTGCTACAAGTCCCCAGACCCCAAGCAATCCTGCTCATGCCGATGCCATGGCGACTCATACTCTCTATTCCGAGTCAGCCTCCAAGGAGAACGAGTCGCCATATGACGCCGAGGACAAAGGAGTGGGTAACCCTGTTTCTCCGGCCCGAAGTGCAACGGTCCGAGGTTTGAACTGGCAAAGGAGACCCAACTCCCAAGCATCAAACGGCCCCAGGAGCCGCCCGTTGTCCATGTTCGCAGCCGAAAACGCGGCCCGTTCGTCGACCACTCCGTCCGAACCTACTTCAGCCACAGAGACCGTCTCTAGAGACCAAATTGCTCAATCCTTGCTGTCAAAAGATCCGTCGTGGTTTCGCCAAACCGCCGATCGGGGTGCTACTTCTGAGGCTTACAGAAAGAATCAAGTGGAAGATGCCGAACGGACAGATGTGTCTTCTGGTAGGGCTCAACTTCCTGGCATGGGTCGCCGACCTTCGCAGAATCCTAGCAGGGAGGTACCGAGCCCAGTGTCTGACTCGCCGAGCCTGCCCGAGTTACCTCGCGGGCTTGGGTCGCCTTTATTTTTGACCAACACGCAGAAGCTGGATGCTCCCAATAACGATGATTCGACGGAGGTTGATGGAATTGTGGAAAGGCAGCCTTTGATGTCTCCTCCGCTGGGCCTCGCATCGCCAAGTCGAGGCGACAGACCAGTTTCGCCGACCAAGGGCATCGGCGGTTTCGTGCAGAGTGCTATGATGAAGCGCAATGACAGTGTGAACAAGCGATGGAGTGTCCAGTCCCCAGGGGGCCTGCAGCGCGCAGACTCTGCTGTGTCTAATCGTAGCAGCTACATTGCTTCTCGTGGTATGACGGGTCAGTCTAGACCAACCAGCAGAGGGCGAGAGTATTCGACGGACAATATCTCGCGGCCAAGCTCAAGCCAAGGCAAATCAGAACCCCAAGCAGAGGAGTCAATCTCCAGGGAAACCAGCGATCTTAGCAAGCCTAGTCCCGTACCTTCACAAGAGGCTGAGCCGCCGAACGATGAAAAGACGACGCCGCCAACAAGTCCATCCAAGACAATGGACTCGAGGAGATGGAGTCCTACTAAAGCTAGCTGGCTTGAGTCTGCTCTTAATAAGCCTGAGTCTCCTAAGCCCAAGGCAGCTCCTCAGCCTACAAACCAGCCTGCGTGGTTGGCAGAAATAGCCAAAGCGAAGGCGCAAAAGGCCGCGAATCCTGGCGGGGAGCTTTCACGTGCTACTACCATTTCACACAAGCACCAAGTTAGTATCGGGGGCCTTGCACGTGCAAATGCTCCAGGTATTGGCGCTTCGCCCACTATAGCGACTCATCGAACCGGTGGCTATCGGAATAGTATCTCGGAGCCTTCCGCACCTGTCATAGCAACTCACCGGACTGGCCCTGGTCGAAATACGATTTCGACTCCGTCGCCGGTTGAAAAAATAGAAACCAACACCAGTCAATCTGTCGATCGCGCCGGAACAAGCGCCTCTGTGAACACGGGCAAGTCCAAGCCCGAGACACCGCCAAAGAAGGACTTCCGAGCCAATCTGAAGTCCAGACAGCCTCCAGCCGCGAGTGACCAGGGAAATACTGATTTCAGAAATGTCATTGGCAGCTTACGGCGAACTACAATAAAAAACTACGTCGCACCTGATGAACTGAAGCACAACATTCTCAGAGGCAAAGCAGGTCTAAATCTTACGGGTGGCCCAAAGAAGACAGAGCGCATAGATGAGTTCAAGGAAGCTATCTTGGCCAAGAAAAAAGAGTTCGGCACAGTCCAGTCTGAAGGCCGCGGTGTCACTCGCAGCTCTAGCACAGCCAGTGAGCAACCTGTCCCCGAAGGCTTGGTAAAACGATTCGAAATTGCCCGTCGCAAGACAGTCACACAAGATACAGCATCATTCAACACAGCAACTGGTTTTTATGGAAAACAAGAACCGACATCACGTATTGCTCCAGTGCAAGGTCGCCGACCCAGCATTGGCATTCAGCGAGAACCCGCAAGGGGAGTGGCGACCTCCAAGGTTGCTGACGGGCCTGTGCCGATGCCTACATCTCAAAAGGAGGCAAACGAGCCTGGTAGGCTTCAAGGAAAGGTTAGTGGAAGTGCGCTGGCAAACCGATTCAACCCTGCTTTGGCAGGCCTGCTCGCTCGGGGTCCACCAATAGCATCCGGGCCACCACCCAATGACACTGGTAGCACAACGGCTCAAAGGACGTCATCTGCTCCTGGTGATAGCAACACCGAACCTGGCAGCGGACCAAAGCTCACGCACATGACTAAGAGCCGAGCCAGAGGACCTAAGAGAAAAGCCCCCTCGTCGGCCACTACGCCAGCTCCAGTCCCCAGCACATCCGAGACACCAGCAGTATCAACAGCCGACAAGACTGAGGAGTTGCGAGCAATTGAACCGTCGTCGCCAGTTCTGGGAGACAAGCACGCCAACAATCCAGCCACTATCTCCAAACCGGAAGATGCCTCACCTAAGGAGCTGCAAAGGGAGGACTACAGTTGGCAGCCCAAGCCCAAGCCCAAACCCAGCGCACTGGTCGATAATCCTAAGCCTTTGGCTGAGCCAGCTCGTGATCAGACTACGAAACCACCACGTCCTGGGAGATCTCATGTGCGAACTAAGAGTCGGGTTTTCGAACAGGTTGCAGCATTTGCCGCTCATAGCAACCCATCCTCGCCTACAAAACAGCATGAGTCTGAGCAGACTGGTTCGCAACCTCCGTCGCCAAGGAAACTCGACCTAAGGCGCATGTCCAAGTTTGGGGGAGATTTTAGCACAGAGAAATCACCCGATCGTGAGACTGCTCAAAGTGTGAGGGCTCCTTCGGAAGAACTTGAGCCAAAGCCACTTTTTAGTAGACCAGAGACTCCGAGGACGCCGAAGCCGGAAGTCCGATCACCACCTCAGCTCTCAAGCCGACCACTTCCAGAGCCTGAACAATCAAGATCGCCGCCGTCTTCCATGACTTCCAATTCCAAACGCCCTAGCGTACCAAATGAAGGGTTCGCAACTTTTGGAGGCAGAGCTTTACCAACTATTCCCCCTCAATCCAGCTCAACCCCAGCTAAACCTCGGCCACTTTCAATGATGATCCAATCGACTCCGAGGCCACTCCCAACACCTGGATCGATGTCTCCCGCACCTTTAGCTTCTCCGATGAGGTCACCTACAAAGCAGGCCGCAGAGACAACTTCTGTTTTGAATGACTTCTTTGGGCCAAGCCGACCACGGCGAAACTACACGGTAGATGCTGCACAATTGCTGATGCAGAGGCCAAACGTAGCTGCGCCTACGATTCAGAGCCTAAGCGCGCAACTTTTCCAGTTCTCTGCGGACGGCAAAAAAGTACCTGTGGCAGCGCACCATGATAGAGTCTTGTTCGAGTGTGAGATGTACTTGTGTTCGCATACTTTTAACAATGAGGATGGGAAGAAAGTATCTGAGGTCTACTTTTGGGTTGGAGATGAGGTGCCATCGTCTATCGTAGAAGATGCATCCATCTTCGTGTCACGTGAAGCACGAGCTCTTGGTGGAACGCTCGTAGGCCTCAGTCAGAACAAGGAGACTCCTGAATTCATCGCAGCTTTAGGCGGAATCGTGATCACCCGTCGTGGATCCAGCAATAAGTACGACTCTTTGGCACCTCACATGCTGTGTGGTCGACGGTATCAGGGGCAAATTGTTTTCGACGAGGTTGACTACACCCCCGTTGGCCTATGTTCCGGATTTCCCTACCTCATCACTAGTTCCGGCAAGTGCTACCTATGGAAAGGCAAGGGTAGCGGCGCAGACGAGCTTAGTTGTGCACGTCTCATAGGCATGGACTATGCTCTGTCCGGTGAGCTCGAGGAGATCGATGATGGTCGCGAGCCCGCGCACTTTTGGAGCCTCTTTGGCGGTGGGTCAAGACTTGGTTCCGCCGATCACTGGCGTCTGAAGCCGAACTACGATATGTATACCAGCAGACTGTTCCGCTCAGATGCATCTTCAAAGCAGCAGGTATGTGGGACAACGAACCCTCAATTATGACTGTGTTACGTCCACCCCGGTGACACCGTGATTTCTATTCTCAGACATTTCTCCTATATACGTGCAACATGTGCTAACAAGCCGGCATCTACAGATCGTGGAACTTTCACCATTATCACAGAAAGATCTTAAGAAAACAGGCATATATGTACTAGATGCGTTCTTTGAGTTGTACATCATTGTCGGTGCCAATGCACAAGCACAGTATGCATCGTTCCACAATGCACTGGAGTTCGCGCAAGAATATGCAATTCTGGTTGCTGGCATGGAAGATCGGCCTTTCGTTCCCGTGTCGACGGTTATTCTAGAGGGTATTCCAAAAGACATGAAGAGTGTTTTCCGAAAGTGGCGTGATGCCGACAGCCCAACAATCATGAACCCCTCCGGAGGTGGCACTGGTCTGCGACGAGGGAGGAGTTTGAGGGTTGTTCCACTAAACACAGCTCTGCTGGCGTTGAGAGACTAGGAAGTATCTCATACTCGGGTTCGGAGTCGTGGTCGTTGGTGGTAAGTCCGCAACGACGAGGCAGAAATTGAGGAGAAGAGTACAATGTGGGTCATAATTACGAAGTGGTGTATGATGGTGTCTCTTGGGGATTGGCTGGATGGTTTTCGTTTGATGTTTGCGAAATACGAGTCCAATGAGCTATGGTCGCCGTATCCTGCGATACGGCGGCACATGGGTATGGCGTACGGTGGACAGCATGGACTAGAAAATGCGACCGTGCTTGACGCAGGTCGTTGTACATACAATGGCGTACTCACTAGGGATGGACATACATGTGACTAGTCATGAAAGGCATCTGGCGAGGGCGTTCAGGTTGAGATGGTCATTTGCAAATACATATATTGCTTCTTTCTATCATGTATACAAAGACTTACATGGAAATAATGCGGAACGTGGGGGCCCGGGGATTCCCCGGGCCAGTCAGCCCAGCATTGCTCGGTATACAAGCCAATGATTCCAGTCCGGCCTTTGCATTGGCGGCCGCATCTAAGAGGCCTGCTCGACATATATGGCGGGCAGGAGATCTTATGTGTGGCGCATTTGTGCGACAGGTGATCATACAAGTAAGCTGGGCATTTATTGATTTGCTGGGTCGAAAGACTGTGCGTCAGAATTCTGATTAATCAATGAGTTCCCTCTACAACGCCAAGCCCTGTGCTCAACGTATAGTCGTCTCTGAACATAGTGTCAGCTGATGTCACTCCCGAACTCTGGGATGTTATGGTCGATTGTTGCAACTTGAAAGATTTGTCGTTGTGCTCTCAAGTCATAAATGTCCTACGTTACTCGAAGTAATCACAGTCCTTGAGGTTCAGAAGCAACCGGGAACAAGCATGTTGTCTATCTCCGTGTCACTGTGTATAGGCACCAACTGGTGCCACGGGCCGTACTATGCATACTCTTCTGCAGTAACGGTCTTTGTGTCCGTTTCTCACTAAGATGAGGAGTTTTTACAAACTGTTAGGAGTCTGAGAGGACTGGAATACTCTACCCGGGAACGAAGGCGTGGTGACACCATGCGGGAGACTCCGTATTACAATGCTTACGGCTCCTGCGTGAATGGTGACATTCTGATCACTTCCCCTGCCCACATTCAGGTTGTACCCCACTCCCGTTCTAGACACAATTTAGTATGGTACCTCATATCTGTTCCGAGGCTCACGATATCTCTTATTGTGCTTACTGTATCTAAATTCTTGTCAGACCCGAGTCCAGAGGAGTGATCTGCGTCTGCCCCAAGTCTCATGTTCTCCATCAAGAGCTCGGCCGACTCACATCCGCTGACGCCGTCGCTGTATTCTTCCAGGACACTCTACAGGTAACTTACAGCATGCCCGCATTGCGCAAACTGGCCACGGGTGGCAGGAATACACATATCCCAACAGTCCAGACTCGCGCCTTCGGGACTGCCTTCTCCCGGAGTAATAGCGACATCCTTCACCACCGTGCTGGAGAATCTACCGCTATTTCTACGCTGTCATCTCCAGGCACTGGGGGCGAAGAGGACTAACTTCCATCGTAATTGTTCTGTGTCCCGTCGCGATGGAGACACAGGAGGTTATGTGGCCGGAGACGGACCCCTCGCTACTTAATGTAGTTGACGACCTCGCGCACGTCGCTGCCGCATCGAGTTCACGGCACTCACTGTTCGTGTAGAATATTACGGTTTAGGAGGATTTCGGCATTGTACATCTGAGATGAGTAAGGCCGGCCTCGATATTGATCACGTTCTAGCTATAAGACCCAGGTCTCGGGATTCCGCGGCAGGAAAGCCGAGTTGGCCTGCGTGATTATATAAAACAGCCGGACGAAATTCTGGGACGACTGGGCGGCTAGGATTGGGACGTCCTCTGCTAAAAGACGTTGGCTGTAGCTGAGAGAGCGAGGCCTCAACAAGAAGCTGGCTTCTGGACATTTTCTAGTGGTTACATCGGTGAGATACTAAGTTTGCTTCCGGATCGTTCGCAGTCCAAGATAGCCGTCGATCTTTCCAACTTACAGCACGGTTTGGGTGTCTTTCATTTGTCTTGAGAATCAGATTGTGGTTTCATGTTGCGACAGTCTTATTGCCGCATACCCGCCACGTCATGGCAATTTTGATGCAACTGAGACTTATGACTTCTGTGATTCCGCATTTATGGGCAGAGGCCTGGGCCGCCAGGATCACATGAATATCGCGCAAGGACTCGCTTCTGGAGAGGTCTGCAAAGAGGACGCGACAGGGACGCGTGAATAGGCGGGGTCCATACATACAGTTGCGGCCGTTGTCCATTAGAATACCTGCACAGCCACACAAGGAAACATTCAAAGCTGTGTATACAATTGCATTAGTCTAAACCTCGCTCCTATTTCTTTCGCCAAAAAGAAGAAGAAAAACACGTGACGGTCAACTTAATCGGCCGGCCTCATGGGCAATCTGCGGGCTTGGAAAAAAAACATGTCATATCGAACCACATGGCGGGCCAAGCCCGGGTTTCACCTGCGCATATTCATGAACACGTCGAGTCAAGGGGGGAAACGCTAGGCAGGCGATCATCTATTCCTCCCCAGACCACCCAGTCTCGAGCCAATTCCCTCATGTCTACGTTGCCCAGCTGAGGCCTGCATTGCTAAAGTGCACCCTCCCCTCCCACTAAACTACATAGTACGCAGGAGAGAAATAAGACTAAGTCAGAGAGGCCCAGTGAGTCACTTGCACCTTTTTTTATTTTATACTTTAGTAGTTTGTCTTTTGGTCTGCTTCGAATTACCACTTTCGGTATTGGGAGAGAACCTAAGGTTATGACGTCCCTAAGGCAGGGGTAAAGTTGCCAAGAAAACCCTTTTCTACTGCACGTAAATACATAATTTAGGTGCTAGCCGGATAGGATGCCCAAACGGTTCTACGCGCTACTGCACGTGTTAATGCAGACTACGGAGTATGCACCTTGTACGCCCCGAGATTTCCAATGCGAAAATAAAAATAAAACACAAAGATCGACGCCCTTGTTCGTCAGGCGATCTAATGCAAGCGCGTGGTTTTCCTAGGCTGTACTTTGGGCTATAGTGGCACCACAAGGTTGGCTGGAAGTAGTCGGGCTGAACTATGCAGAAGGTGTGAGGGTGTGCTGTGATCGTTCTCGTATTACGATGTGAGATCGACGCGCGGGGGTGGTAAGCTGCGCTGCGCTGTCGGCATTCGATAGGCAGGCTGGGAGGGGTCGCATCCCAACGATCCTAGAAGCCTGGTTCGATGTAACGCTGGGAAATCTTGTTTTCCAGCTGACAAGGCCACGATCATATGTTGATGTTGTAAACGTTGTGGCATGAGTCATGATTAATATAGCCTCTTGAGAGGCTTCTGAAGTGGATCTATGTACATGAATAATAATTATCTAAACTAGAAACTACTACTAGATGAGACCCAATATTCGGGGATCATGCCAAGTTTTCAGCGTCCTAAATGCTATGATTTTCCCAAGGAAACTCCTATGTCCTATATACGACCCCAACTCCGGTTCCGACCCATGGAGAATTCCATCCATGATCACCAAATCGCCGTCCCATCTCTTTGTTCCTAAAGGAGTGTCTATGCCAAGCCGTTCTGATGTCGTAGCGTGATCATAATGTCATTAAATATATGCGAAAGTTGTGCTTCCGCCATGAAAATTAAAAATTATATGTAATTCCGTGTTCCAGGTGATTACAAAACTGCCATCAGGGCAGCAACACCAGCAAGCATGGCACCAGCAGCCTGGGTGACATGGGCAGCGAGTGCGGTGGAAACGGTCACAGGGGCCGTGGCCGAGGTAGAGGTGGCGGGCAGAGTAGCACTGTGGTAGGAGCTGACAGTAGTGGGAGCCTTCGACTGGGTGATGACGGTTGAACCGCTCTGAGTAACCCAAACGGTAGGGTAGGCAGTGACAGTCTCGCCGGCAGTAGCCTCAGTAGTGTATGTTACCTCAACCTCAGTGGTCTTGGTGACAGGGACAGTCTCAACATTAGTGTATTCCTTTGTGGAGGTGACAGTCTCAGTACCGGTCTTGGTAACGTAGATGGTGCTGCCGGCGCTGACGGTTGTGTAGGTGGTCTCGGGGGAGATCTCGGTGGTGAAGACCTCAGTAGAGACGTGCTGAGTTACAACATAAGAAGTGTAAGCAGTGGCGGTTGTGGGGACAACAGTCTTGATGGTGGAGGTGGAAGTCCAGGTAAGGACAACTGTAGAACCACCGATAGTCTTGGTCTCAGTGACAGGGCACAGACTGGTCAAGGTAGTGTATTCAATGGCACCGGTAGTCTGGGTAACAGCAGGGCCACTCTTGGTCTCGTAAACTGTGGTTCCAATCTTGGTGACAACGACACTGGTGGTGGTGTAGGTCTTGGTATAAGTTGAGCCGGGAGCGGAGACAGTCTCAGTGACAGGGCAGACAGTGGTGTAAGTCACATCAACCTCGGTGGTGGTAGGGATTGTCACAGCTGGACCGGTTGCGGTGATGTAGTGGGTGGACTCGCCCTTGACGACGTAGGTTGAGGTAGCAGTGTGGACCTCATAAACAGTTGAGCCACCGACGGTCTTGGTCTCAGTCACATCGCAAATAGTGGTGTAAGTGACCGCAACTTCAGTTGTGGTGGGCACGGTCACTGCAGGACCGGTCTTGGTAATGTAGACAGTGGACTCTCCTTGGACAATATAAGTGCTGGTAGCGGTGTAGACATTGGTGACAGTTGAGCCACCAACGGTCTTCGTCTCGGTGACGGGGCAAACAGTAGTGTAGGTAACATCAACCTCAGTTGTTGTTCCAACAGTCTTGTCTGGGAGAGTGGTTGTGACCTCGCCTCCGCAGTAGCCCCCTGCACAGCTTGTCACAGTGATGGTGGAGGTAGTGAGTGTAGTCTCAGCATAGGTACTGCAGCCTTGTAAGTAATAGTTGAATACTAATTCACAAGTCTATACGTACGATCCTCCCTTGGTGACAGTGTTTGTCACAGGGCAAACGGTCGTTGTCTCGTAGGTGGTAGCGGTCACAGTCTTGTCACCATCCTTACCACCATATCCACCTGCCAGAGCAGAGCCGGCCAGAGCCAGGATGGCGTAAACCGACTTCATCTTGACTGAGGTTATTGTGCACGGGAAGTACGGGATAGAGCGGAAGAAGTGTAAAGCTGCGGGAACTTTTATCACAAGTGCGCGTAACGAAGGATGAGAGTAACTTTGAACGAAGGAGTTACTTCAAGGACGGCAGCGAAAGATCACCGATTAGCTGATATTTTATAGAAGTTGGGGTTGGTTTTCGAGGGAGCGTCTCAAAATCAGGATGGTTGGCAGCCTTTTATCTTTCGTCTCACGTTCATGCAAGTGAGCACGACAGCCGAACGGCGAAAGAGAAAACGCCATGACACCTCGTCATAGTCCAACCGCCTGTCAGTCTTTTGTGACGCTGCAGCAACCTGCATTAGTCTAGCTTCTGATGGAGGCCAGCAAAGGGACTGGAATATTGACTATTACAAGGACTAGCCGGTCTGATACGAGAGGATCCCAAGCATCTGATCGGCCGACATGTATGGGGTAAACAGGGGTGCCCGTGGCTGGTGAGAGGATGGATCAGGAAAAGTATGGTCGACCAGGTGGTCGCTTGGGAGACCTGCGAGATTTGCTCTGGCGTAGTTACTGCACTTCCCCGTGTGTAGTTGAGAGGTGCCATGTCAGTGGGACCGGAAAGGTAAGGATAAGGTTGATGTCTGAGAGAGCCAACCAGATGCCAGTGTCCGCTTATGCAAGCCAAGAAAGCGACCGACCTGCAGGGAGAGGCTGGTTGTCAGGCCAAAGTGCGCCAGGATCAACCCTTGTAGGGTGACCTTCTGCAGTCATTCGAAGGCTGGGGGGTTTCCCGGCTTACACTGAGTTGACTGAACTGGATGACGGCAAACCTGTATGTAAGGCCCGCCTGCCTTGGATTATGCTGACGGCGACCACTTCTTTTCACCGCTCAAAGAGGGAGATGCCATGAAGTATCGCGTATTACGATGGTGTAGTTTGATATAGCCGGGATATTTCAGCACTTTCAGAATTTCAAACGCTATTTGCACGATTGGAAGACGCAGTCAGCTTAGGTTCGTGTGTTCCTACGTCACCCAGTAACGTTGCCATCAATAGATATCCGTTGGTCACTCGTGTCATGTTGGCCGGACTGCTACTACCAACATTGTGCCGACCTTTGGTCATCGTAAATAAGACGAGCCAGTGTCTCGTATCATGTTACTATGATGAACTCGGATGTTGATTTGCGACTTGGAAGATCAAATAATTGACTTCACAAGAAGACCACGTCAAGAAAAGAATTAGGAAGGGAAAATCAAAAGATAGGACGCATGTAGCAAGGCTAAAGAAGTACGCAAGCTCGTGTCCGAGGCAGCTAAGCCTGACTAGTATGCGAGTTATGCCCGAGGTGCGGTTAGTTGCTCCAAGTTCCGCCTAGGGGACAGGAACGCGCCCAGTCAGGTGCGTTCTGTCGAGGAAACTTGTTTAGGGCGAGCTTAAATCACTACCCCACACCACCCAGTTGACGTCGTTTAGATTCCATGGCACTTGAGTACACCGGCTGGCGTGAGCCTCATCCACAAACCCATTCTTGTGGCCTAAGTAGTTTTTGGGTCGTGTTTCGTTTTGGGAAGTATCTTTCACTAGTGGACATGCCCCATGGTCTTTGAGTTTTGATGTCGGCCGATATACATCATGAACTAAGCGCATCAAAGAGGTTTCCGCGCGGAACGACGAGAGACTCGTGCCACCTGACTGCATATGCTGCACATTGGTTTTCTGAACCTCGACAAGACAATAATGCTAGGCTCCGCGATGTCGGTGGGCAACATTTTGGTTGGTCGATATTGATGCGTCGATGCTGTTGTGACTTAACCTAATTAATTTCTGCCGACGAGATTCTGCCAGCTCGCAGACGAGCCATGTCCTACGTATCACACGACAGTGGCTCATTCATTTCCAGGAGAACGATGCTTTTAGTTAAGCGTAAGGCAATCCACAACTACCGTCGTACCCAGTCAGTTGTGCATGGTCTCTTATCTCAGCATCCACTATTCAGTGGCCTCGTTTGCCTTCTGGGGATAACTAGTCGCTGCGCGCATTATCAATGATGGGTACTCCTCCACTATCGCGATCTTTAATAGCGATAATCAAGCAGGGGGTTTTGTTTGTTGCAGATGCCTTTCTCGATCTCCTTCCTCGTATCAGGGTGTCAAGCCACAATAAACAAACTCGGATACATACTGGGATGTTGGCAACAATCGGCAGACTCGGAATACCGGCCTAGCGGGCGCTCGGTCGTGTTATCCTAGCCTGCCGGGATCCTGGGATCCTGCACTTCGGTTCGATGCAACTCATGCGCATCAAAAGCAGGGAACGGCATCGAACGACGATAAATAGTTTTTCTATCACAATTCCAGAACCATGTCACGTTGGAGGAAATAACCTCGGCGTGGTTTTCGCGCGTGGTTTTCATGCGTGGTTTTTTGTCCTTGACTCAACTTTCGTTGTCTTGGCAGACTGCATTGAAGTAAACAAGGTACTTGCCAACTTTGACTATCACGAAATGGCCCATCATACAAGTTCATCATAATCAAGACCCCATTCGCAATGCAACGAGAGAAATAGAAGGCTTAAGGACGGCTTTCTCATTACGCCCTTGCTTGTTTGTGCTATATTGCACAACTTGTGAACGCCCACTGAGAAACTTCATCGAGGCACGCGCCAGGGAACGAATTAGAGTTTGCGTTACCCACCACGTACAAACTATCATCATGCCTCGTTTTACGAGCCTCTGATTTTGGCATTGTTGTCTCAATTGAGAAACACGGGACGGCTTCCCAGCCTCGTGGTTTATGCTTCAAGATCGCAATAAGACTACGCCCATCGGCATGTTTCCTTTTTCCCTGCCGTTACTGTGTTAACTTGAACTCACGAATCTTGAGATCGATATCTTTACTACACGTATCTGGGCTCCACTATATCATGGTACGAGCTCCTCAGTATCCATAGTTGCACACCATTGAACATTGTTTTCTTGAGTGAAAGCATCTTCAGTGAAATCCTTCACTCCCTTAGGGTATATCTTCGAAACGGCAGTCAAGGCCAATGCAAAGCTTACTCGCTAGGTCCAAGGACATGTACCAGTCAAGTTCCGGCAAACAACTGTCTTACCACTGTGAGTTCATAGACGATACAAATACAACTTCGATTTTCGTCTATGCATCTGGGCTCAGTCCTACTACACCGGAGCCTTTCACACTTCTCCAATGCGGTTTTGTGAACAGAGACAGTGCCTGAGGTCGGTTGCGGCGAGGCATTTCACAATCACTGCGCTTGTTCTATTTTTTCCATGAAAAGTAACTAGGTTGCCGGAGACAGCAGTTCCTGAAGCTAAGTCGACTTTTGTAGATCTTACGACTAGGTTGTCTCCAACATGCTGGGACAAGTCCGTTCTCCACCGTGTAGGGCACATTACTGACACAGTAACTGCTGAGAAACTGTACCCAGTTACGAGCTAGACTCATTGTTAAGTTCGGGCTCATTGTCGTTATGTATATTCAAAGTGAAATAAGCCTGAAGCCGAGGTTACGGATTCGCACATTTTGAAGCAGGCAAACTTAAAATCCGCACAGGTCTCGATTCCTAATCCCACTGTTCTATTAGGGGGGCTCAGGGTCATAATCTGTCGCTGGAACAAAAATACGAAGTACCATGAATTGAAAAGATTGTATCGCCGTCTTGATACGTTAGGGCATTTACATGGGTCGAAACCGCATTCTGTAATAGAATGTAAATATCCACCACCCTGTAGCATTTACTTCATACCTCTCCAGACTCCAAAATTCACTCGAAACCCGTGCTGTATGAGGACTAGTGACACTTTCGCAAGTTCAAATGAATGAAGCCTGTCTTTCTCCAGATAGTGCCTTTCTTGTAGACAGTTCTAAACCCCGTACGAGTTATTGTGGCTTGTGAATGTGTGCTCCCAGTGACATTACCTAATCGGCGTTACAAGATGAGCACTATGGTAGATTTCTATGGAGATCTAAAGAGGCATCTGACAGTGATTGTTTTTTTATCGCACTGTCGCTTTGACTTAGGTGTACCAGGTTGGCTCAGGCACCTCGTCCAGCAGCTGATAACGCCCAAGCTCCCGGTTCTTGTACGATACTGGATCATGCAGCGTATGCGTTCGGATATCCCTCCAGAAACGATCCAAACCGATATTTGTCGCCGTAGACTTTGCCCCGGTCACCTCGAATACACCTGACGTAACACGTAAACCTGTGTCCGTTGTCACCACCTTGACGCTAGCCACCCATTCAGCAAGCTCACCACGCTCTCGTGCCGTAAGCCCAGAGCGTTGTGTTCCGTATTTGCCATATACGGTATCGACTTCTGATCCAGCTTTGTCTGCCAGTGCTGTCGCGGCGCGGAGATGTGCCAAGAAGTTACCGTATGTGGAGAGGATGTAGAACTCATCTGTTCCCTGTTCCTTATTCTGCGAAAAATGTCAATATATTTGGCCCCATAGGTTGATTTAGTCACGGCTCAGGAAATTTGTGACTTACATCACCTCCAAATGGCCAGGCCCGCGTGTTGGAAACTGTATACTTGGAGCCATGCTCTAATGCACCAAGTGCAATTCCTAGGTAGAAGTTGCTGAAAACCAGCTGAATTCTACGCGCGTCGTTAACCATTCTATTAACAAAAAGGTGTTGGGAGACACAACTTACGTTGGCAAGAGTAAAGCGGCAAAGGGTATTCCGAGCACAGACTGGTCCGGTTTCTTCGTTGTAGCATCCCAGCCCAACGCATCTGACCATGGAACCTTGACATCTTCTATGGTGACGCCTCCGGACTCTGTCAACCTGAGACCGATATTGTCCCAGTTGTACTTGAATTTGATTCCCTCCTGCTCAGTAAGTACGAACGCAAAAATGTGGTCCTGTGTCCCCTCCAATACGCCCTCCAAAACCGTTAATTCCGATACAACACCTCCGGTGTTGAAGTGCTTGGAACCGTTGAAAACGATGTGGTCTCCATCAGACGTTATCTTGAGGTCTGAATCGCGCGGGTTGACAGCACCCCCGATGAAGTAGTTATTCTCGAGGATGAGTTTCTGAAACCGGTCTGCTTGTTCTTCCGTCCCTACCACGTTTGCCGTGGTTGACCATAGCAGGTGATAGCCTAGCAGCATGCCTATGGAGCTATTTACAACGACTTAGCGCCTTGAACATCACGGTGGAAGTGTTGACTTACCCATCTGCCTTGGCAACCTCACGTATCGCCTTGTAGCCGACGCTCCAGGGTTGACCGCCGCCACCATATTTCTTATGACCGAGGACTTTGAGCAATCCAGCGTGTTTCAGCAGCTGGACTTCGGCTCGAGGGGTTTTGTTCTCCCTTTCCCTGGCGGCTGCATCTTGATCCAATACTGCGGCTGCCTCCCGAGCCCTCTGGAGCCAGCCAGCTTCATCCTGGGGTAAAGACGACCATTTCGTAGCGTACTCGTTGTACACTTCTGGATCAGTGCTTGAGACTGATTGCTTTGCTTGGACCATGATTAGCGTTAGTGTTTATTGATTTTGCTGGTTTGAGAGCAGAATTTGGTTTGCTGTGTCAACGAAGGACGAATTGAGGAGTGATACAATGACTGCAAATTGATTTGCGCTGGACTTTAAGAAGCCGGAGTTCTGGGCATCCCCATCGACTGCTCATTTTGTGGAATCGATTGCGCGTTTCAGCTGGGAAATGTCGTTCTAGTGAGGCTTCGGCGATCTCTGGTGCACAGACAGAGCTAAATCGCGGTAGGCAATGCAGCGTGCGGGGATTGCAGGGCTCTACATGACTCTGGTATTTCGGATTCGTGCAAGATAGAGCTGCATATGCAAAAACATGTCCGCCAGGGTAATGCTGATTGGCTGAGAACTCTCGGCAGATGCAGTGGGTCGACTATAGAACGCACGTCAACAGAGCTAAGGATGGCACCATATCGTGCCTTACTAATAGTCAATTTAGTCAACCTCTATGATCAACAATTGCAAAATGCGTCAATGGCGAGACCCGTAGCGACGCTGATTACTTCCGACTTACTGTCGTTCTGGTACGTGGGTTCTAAAGCATTGTGAAGGGGCAAAAGTAGAGTTCAGCTTTAATGGTTGGCACCAGTTGCTGCCTGATTAAGAAGTCGTTATGATAATCGTTAAGGATATGACATTTACATATTTATTATCAAGGTCTGCATAAGTGTGCATCATTTTATTTAATCATGCTTTTTTACTTTGCCAAAATATCTTGACGTATCTCCTAACGGAAGATCTATGAGCGAATCCTTGAGCAATAATGCGAACGTCAAATACCTTGAAACCGTTAGCATAGTTTAATAAGGCCACAGAGCACTACTCACCATCCAACAAGGCCAGCTAAGAAGCAGAATACTCCTCCCGCCTTTTTCAGCCCGATAGCGGCTGTGTGGTTTCCGTCTGCCGCAGCGAAATAGCTCGCAGCTATGAGAAGAAAGGCGAGGTCAACGGTAAAGAATATCCAAATATAAACCAAGTTCGTCGGCAGGGAAGCTACCAGGAAAGTGAGCACGAAAACTGTCCACACTACTATTAAGTCAGCCAAAAGTCCGTACGGGAACAGCAGGAACAGCATACATATGACGAAGAAGCCCAATGCATTGTTGTATTGTTGAACATCATCTCCGTATGCAGCTGCAACTCCAAATGCAGGCGTTAAAATGGCCCCGTAACCTGCGTAGAAAAGACCTGTTCCAGGAATTTTAGCCGGAGCGTGACGAATTATTGTAAGAGGCACTGACCAAAAGCACTGAAGACCGTATATGAGAAGCCATTTCCGATAGCTAACTCCCATTGAGCGGTGACCACCAAACCAAAAGCAGCGGCAAAAAAGAAGTTGGCGATGAACACATTGTCAGTAGTCACCCCACGCCATTCCATCAAACTCAGTGATAGTGTGGTCAACGTTGTTGCAAACACGCCTATTGGAAGTGCAGTCTTTCTTGAGGCATTAGAGACGTCTCTGTTCATCGTAGTAGGTCCGATAAGATACTCACACCTGCTCCAAGACTTTTTGGCTGAGAAGGAATGGCCCGAGGCTTTGCGTTTGTCCCCAGCCCTTGCTTTTCCACGTCGCTGCTCTCAGATACTGCGGCCTTGGAGCCTATATCTTGAAGATCTGAGTGCTGGAAACCTGACATGACTGCAACGCTGCTGGTGAGACCTTGGGGGAACTAGGAGGAAGAGAAGGCGAATCCAGTGTGGACGTGTCTTGCCTCAGCAAGTTCGTGATGGCCGGCTGTGAGCAAGCATACAGGTTTATATGCACTGCGCACTGACCGCCCGTCTATCGATCTAGTACTATGTGATCATCGCTAAGTTTACTGGCAATTCCTTCCGAGCGTCTCGAGTTTATCGGGGCGGCCACCATGCATGATAGTTGATCTATGGGGTGCTAGTGGCCACAAGTGAGAGCATGCACGTTGAGCGATCGCACCATACAGCTCAGTCATGTCGTATTTTCTATCGCATATTCGAGCAATATAATTAGGGTCAATCGAGTTTGCCAAAGCGCACAACTGTTCAAGTGTTGCGCTACGTTGCGTTCGGGGCTGTCTAGCCTTGAGCGATTGGATCCCTGACTGGTGGGCTTATATCCAATTCACGCTCAAAAAGCTGGCACCGTAATGCCGGCACTTACATTTGTGACCTGTGGAAGGAAACCAATGCCGAGAGCGACTTCCAGATCTTAGCACAGATTGTATTTGATGATCCAAGAACGATGACATATGGGGACTGTATTGCACCATCGAGAACCCCGCGCAAGCGCCCTGGCGCCAGTGGTTGTGGAGACGAGTGCTGGATAGTATCAGGTATCAATACACGACCCCCTGAACTAGCTATATCATACAGAGACGTCTTTCCTCGAAGGTTTTGTTCAAAACGGTAGACCTGAGGTCACACTTTCAACATCGGTGCAGAGATACACACACTAGTCTACACGTGGTCTAAATCACAGTATACTTTACACGTGCACATCCAGAGAGCATCATTTCCGCAACAAGCATGGGAGTTTTGTCAACGCGTGGAAAAACCATCGTCAAACTTAATACCCAGCAGCCTCGATATAAATGAATAAGAGGTTTGGTCGAAAGAGCCCCAAAGTCTCGACGTTGCCGCAAGAGAGTTATCTCTTTTAGACTTTTGTAATCCCTTGCCCAACTGAATATCGATTATGTTGGATGATAAGGTGACCCACAACTATCCGAGATGTGCATAGGACCATACACTGTACTATTACATGGTCCCTACGTTCATATGTTACATTGTTATTTATCTGCTAATGTCCTGTAAGTTGGCACCTAAGCCTAGGGAATATCAAAAGGTTTCTTGTTAGCACTAGACCGTTCAAGAGCTTAGAAGGTGATGTTTAGAAGTGCGACAATCAGGTGAAATTCCTTTTAGTCTTGTAGGATTTTAGGTCCAAGTGGTGAGCACAGAAGTTTACAATGCCCGCAAATGTTCAATCAAGAATCCATATATATATTGAGTAACCTCGAAAGCCATAAGATATTAGTTCAATTGCGGCTGAAACGCCGGCAATATAATATTGGATAGAACTGAAGACTATATATAGTCAGGATTGTAACGTGAGATGTTTAAATTACACAATAGTGGGAATTTGCATCTCGCATGCACAGGCTTGCCAAGTACTTTCAACAAGCGCCGCTGCTCACCTGCCCATTGTTCCTCCAAGCCCCACATTTCCCTGCAGCAAAAGCAACTGCTAGTCTAATGTGTAAATTGTGACCTGCCTTCCATTCGAAATAGACTTCACATACATACCGAATCCACGCGATAAATCTAACGTAGTCCTCCTTCATCATTCTACGACTCATATCCTTGCAGTGTTACCCTTATTGAACCCTTAATTTCACCCTACTCTTTCTCTCGTACAATGGCGCCAGCAATGGGCAAGAAACGCATCATCGTATGCTGCGACGGGACCTAGAACAGCTCGTGTGACATTGGTTGGGATTTGTAAAGACGCGTGCGATTTCTTGCAGCATCCTTTCACCTTCTCCATCACAATATTTCCGCCGTCCCTGTTGGGTGTCAAATTAACATTGACATACCGTAGCGAGCCCACTGTGGTCCACTAGAATACCTACGAATCTCCCATTCCTTTGCCCTTCGATGCAGTGATGGCACGTTCCAAATTATCTACTATCATCACGGTGTCGGGAGTGGGAAGGGTATCAGAGACAAGCTGTTTGGTGGTGCTTTCGGCACCGGAGTTGCAGAGAATATCCAGGAAGCTTACGCCTCGGAATACCTAAAATCCCGTTTCTTACGGGCATTGGCATCAAGCGAAGTATTCACGAGTTCACGTGGTACAACACCAGACTGAATCCTGCTTTCAAGCATGCTTTCCATGCATTGTCGTTGGATGAAGTACGCGGGCCATTCAGCCCTACCGTTTGGGAGCGTCTGCCGGATGAGAAAAGTGACCTCCGCCAAGTTTGGTTTCCGGGAGACCACTCAAACGTTGGAGGCGGACACAAAGACCAAGGTATTGCTGATATTACGTTAGCATGTACGTGACTCCCTTAACTCATCATATCTGTGTACCTGCCATTTCTGTCTGTTCCTCGACTCATAGGGATGATGGACCAGCTGGCCTCCATTGGCGTTGAATTTATCCCTCATATTTTAGACGCATTGGTTCAGCGACGCATGGATTACTACAAGTCCCTCGGTCTCAACGCAAACAAGAAAGCCATAGGATGTGGTCTCTGTTATTGCAAATCTAGCAATATGCCTATGCTAAAGCCACCATTCTGGGCTGAGAAATCTATTCATCAGGCTAACGATCTGGTACGTCTATGGAGTCTCCATAAGATACAGTCTGAGAGCAGCTGCATACACAGATTCACATTAGCGAAAAGGCGGCGTACACCTAGGATGTGTAAGAAGGTTGATCCATCAACTGGTCGAGATACAGATATATACCTGGAGGACACCAACGAAAGAATCCACAGCAGCGTTCGCGTCCGTCTTGCATGCCAAGGCTTAGCCGTCAATGATGATTTGGTATGGAATTGCCCCCCATTAACTAAGTTATGGCGTCCTCGCCAAGTGGCCGCTGACTACTTAGATCCCATCTCCGAACAGGCAGCTTGGGGTCCTCCGACCAACCAGTCGGATAAAATAGGACAACCCAGTGGTGCTTCAGCTGCAGCTGATGACCGAACGCGCTGGGTCTGGGAATATGCCGGCCCAGATGTAGGGAAACCACCAACAACGGCAATTGTCGAGGAAAATTTGGGTCCGTTTGAGAAGCACCTTCAAAAGCTATCTTGCGGGAAGGGAGTCTTGGAAAAGGCCGCCAAGGAAGGCTTCAAGAATTTCAAGTTCTCAAGCTAAAGACAGTTGTATGTAGCTCCTAGATAAGTATAGCCCGATTCCGAATGCACTAAATATGGCTCTATAGCCCCATATATCCCTTTTGATCAACTAGTGGACACAAAAGCTTGATGAAATTGCCTCAAGTTCTACCAACAACGACATGTCCAGAATCAACGACATTGTCTTATATCACACCAGTAGAGCAGGGATATTTCGATATTATAGTTTATCTACAGACTCTAGCTGCTCGTTATTCATATTCCGTGTTATGATAGTGGTAGATTACAAGTCTAGATAAACAGGCACGCTACCCAGCTTTGCCTATTCATCAGGTAACTTTTTCTGACAATGTTGTTTTAAGCCAATACACCTGCAGTAAGCGGATCACCTGTTTATCGGTTCATCGGTTCACCGGACTAGCTCCAACCCGTGTAACAAGTAAGGTCGATGCGAACCGCCGAAAAGGGCATACCGGAGGGTCGACTTGAAGGTCACCGGGTGGCTTGCTTACCCCACACCTGAATAGCTCTTACCTGCTAATCATGCTGCTAGTGGTTGAAGAAGAAATCGAGATAACTGTCCAGCTTGCTTTTTCTGATAGGTTGTTCTGCTGTCATGAAATAGATGAAATAGTACCATACTGGGATTCGCGAAATGGCAGCTCATCAGAGAGACTCCGGCGTCTCAGTGAGCAGCTTTTTTGCCCGATGCAAGCTTCCATCCAATACCCGCGATGACTGCGACATTTTCGCGAAAACGCATTTCCCATCAGAGGAGAGCAGGCCCGTTCCCTTTCAAGGTTATTGTTCGTATACGATGATCGTTGGGCGGGACAGAATAGTACAGTTCCGACCAGCGGGCCATGGGCTCGATGTGGACATCATAGCGGCGGCACGTCGCATCTTTGGGGGCATAGTCCCGGAGACAAAGTTCTTGGGTGCGCTCGAGGACAGCGATTTGCGGGTCTACGCCATGACCAAACTCGAGGGTGTATCGTTGTCAGATCTTCGGTTGTCTAGCTCCCCTGGCAGGACCAGGTCGCTCAGGCGCCACGTTGTGCAAGACTTTGCTCGGATCCAGGCGACGAGCTGGCTGCATCGCAGATCAGAAAATCAGGTCTCGGCGAAGAGGCTTGTAGGGTCGTCGTTGCGATGGCGTATCGATGCCATAATGGCCAACATCCCAGAGAAATTCAAGAGGTTTGTATACATAGCTCATCAGAGTTTGCAGGATATCGAGAACCTACCATGGGTCATGAGTCATGGTGACTTCATTCCTGCAAATGTTCTGGTTTGCCCAAATACTGGGAGAGTCAAGGGTCTGCTCGACTGGGCTGAAGCCGAGTGGCTGCCTTTCGGCGTGGGTATGTATGGACTCGAGGAACTGCTAGGCGAGGAAGTCGACGGCCGCTTCAAATATCATACAGAAGCTCGAGAACTAAGAGTTCTGTTCTGGAAATGTCTATCATCACTCGTTCCAGAACTATCGAGAGACCTAAGATTTTCGGAGAATGTCAAGCGAGCTCAGCTTCTGGGTATATTGTTTTGGCACGCCATTGCTTTTGATGATGGGAAGTTGGACCGGGTCGTAGAAGAAGGGGTCGATGATGGTGAAATCCAGCGACTGGAAGCCTTCCTTTTGAGCTCATCTGGGCCACCATATATGAGGACGAGGCGAAATTTAGGGGAGAAGTGGCGGTTCTCCTATAACCATGTTCGCAAGTTCATGGTTGGCGAGAAGTAGGAGCTCAGAGGGCATGTTCTTTTGTAGTACTGTGAACTTGTATTGCTATGTTTCGGAGCTCGAAGGATGGTGAAACAAGATCCTTATGAAGTAATATAATTGACATGTGTAATCTGTACTTGATTACGTGGATACTTTGTACTCGGATTTGAAAAGCGGTAGTCTAAAGAGTGATCACCTTACTGGCCATTCAATACGCAAAGTCCCAAGCAGTCTCCTTTCATAGGGAATTTCTCCGTTTCCAAGCCTGGTCAGCATCGGGATGAATTCTCGGCTCCTCGATATGTGCCCTGGCCTCCCTCTTTCGCTTGTAGTCCGAACCAAACCGTCTATCTCTGTCTCCGACTGCCTTCGCGAAATCGAACTGACCCTCGCTGGTGAAACTCGTCATCAGTTTTGGCTCACCCAATGGCAGCTTGTCGCCACGATCTGTCTGCCACAGATGATACACCTTGCCGTACAGATGGACGACCTCCTTCATCTCCTCATTCTCCGCCGCCTCCCAGGCTGTGGCCAGACCCGGGGCCGTAGGACCGGGCATAATCAGCATTCCGGATTTGACTTCAAAGACATGCGAGTGCCAGTACTTGCGCTCGTCCTGGGGAAGTTCTTCGTACAGCTTTGGAGTAACCATGTACTCGATTCCGATAAGTTTGGCATCAGGACCTGGACCGTCATACAAGATACATTGTCGCATGTCTGAGGTCAGATGCGTGCAATAATGGTTCGCCTCTACAAACCGGCCAGGTTCGTCGGCATAGGTGTGGAAGGCGTTCAAGTGGGCGCAGATCTGCTTCACAGGTTGGAAGTCCTGAAATTGACGTCAACAATGATGAAATGGTAAAGTCGGAATTGCGGCATACTTGCATCAGGCCGGCTCCGGTTTCGAGTAGCTGGTCTTTTGCCGGCACTGGGCCGCCGGGAACGTCTCGGGGGTGACAAAAGGCCATGATGTTGGAGTTGTATAAATGAAGATGCTTTTGATTTACGACTAAGCCCTCAATACTTGTTTGAGCAGAATTTATATCGAGAGAGAATTAGGAGTTGTACATGAATATTTGTCAGTATGGTCTTCAGACACGGGCCCACAGGGTATACCGTCCTGCCGTTCCAGGACCTTATAATCTACACAGTAGACCCAAAGCGCTAGGGACGATTCTGTGACTCTGTACGATGCATCAATGAGTGATTTCTGATGTCATTACGACATAAGCCCCGCAGCAAATCTTCCCGCGGCTCACGGAGAGAAAGCTCCAATGATTGCACTCATGCCACAAGCCTCCGTCTTTGTCCTTTGGAGCTGTTCGGTACTTCAATACAACCCGGATAATGAATGGACACAAACGTCGTTGCATTGCTAGTGGCTGTTTGTGTATGAACTAACTCAAGTAGCCACCGTACGGTTGCTTCAGCTCCTTTAAGGCTTAGATGTTGGGTTTGAAATGGTCACTACTCGACATTCAAATGAGCTGAAGCGAGACGATGCACAATCAATAGAGTTGCAATTGTAATTGCTATCGCACGATGGTGAAGACTTCTTAACAAAACAGTCCGTTGTGGTTGCTTTCAACAGTCACGTGTCGACCCTCGGCGCAATGGTTTGCGATGCCACCTTGAGCGTTAGGGAACGAGCCGCCCCGATCTTACCCACCCCTAGCCCAGGGTGAAACCGGTCCACCTCTTGAAGCTCAACAGCCTGCTGATTACGACCGTCAACTGCGACCTGCTCCTCTGTAATCGTTCTGCTGCCTCACAACTGGCACTGCGATCAACGGCCCTCAGCCATATGATGCGCTGGCCTAATTGAAGACAACAAGCCCTGCATGATGGCTGCCTCCCGCCGAGGCCAACCGGAGCTGCATGTCCGGCTACCTCCCCGAAGCCCCGGCACGGGCGCCGGTTTGACGACAGGCACATCGCTTGCCGCGTCTCAGCTCGACCTGCCGCCCATCTCTGCATTGTTTCTTATCAAGTTCGACGTCAAGGCCGGCTACACGTTGACATGGAAGGCCGCGCAGCCGGGCATCGAGCTAGAGGGGACTGTCGAATACAAGTCGCTACCATCGGGGCTACACACCGTCAAAGACGACCTCATATACTTTGTGCACGACGGCTATGCCGGCCTCAGTGCGTTTGTCAATGCCCCCGTCGAAGATACCGAGGCAAGGAATGCGTGCATGCTAGCCGTCGGCGTCCTAGTACCCTTGAGCTACGGGAGACTCGGCCGTGCTTGGAGGCACGCGGAAGGATTAAAGGAGATTGCATCAAAGATGGTTCTCAGCGACAAGGACACAAGCATACTAGAGCAATATTGGAACAAGAACCGCGCAGGCGATGACTCGATCCAGCAAGAGCTCACCACGTCCAAGGATTCTCCGGAGCCTTCCACTGTCACCTTTCAGGAGCAACCCAAACCACCAAAGAAGCAGAGCACTACTCGGCACAGGTCCGCTTCAGACGGAACAGGACTGTTGGCTCCCGGGCACAAGCTTTCTACGTATCATCCAGCTTGGAGCTTGACCGCGCTGCTAGATACCTTCGGACCTCTCATCTTCCCTATCCATCGCGCTGCATTATTACGCAAACGCATCCTTATTTCATGTCACGCACCAGTGCAAGAAGTCTGTAATTTCGGTAAGTACTTGACCTGTTCAATGCCAGTTCAGCTTGGATTCTGACGCGTTCTCAGTGTACAATATTTCAATTCTTTCTAACATTCCAATACCGACCTACGAGGTTCTTCCCCAAGGCGGTCCATCACATCGCTTGCGGCCGCTGTTCACTATTGGAGTCCACGATATCCCTTTTCTAACGGAAGATGCCAAACACAGGCCCTCGGCGGCTGAAGCAACAGACCAAGAGCCAGGGATGGGCTCCGGCTGGATCGCCTGCACCACCGATAGCATTCTAGCCTTGAAGGACACTTTGTGGGATGTGCTTATCACTATGCCACCGCCACATGCTTATGCAGCTAAGACGCATGTTTGGCCGACAGTTGAACTGCCTGGAGGAGTACAGATTAAAGCGACACAGCGAGACATGCGCAGATACAAAGCTCTTCGCACTGGGTTGTTCAGGATACAGAATAGCAACAGTGCCACTGCGGAGAGCCCGGGGTCACAAAGGCCACCGAGCGTCCTTGTGGAATCTCAGAAGCAGGTCCAGGACGACCCACTGTTGGATGAGGCTGAGAAAATTGTCGAGCCCCTGTCATGGGCGGCACTTGCCTACAACGGCTTCATGTGGTGGGCGTCTGCTGGCGAACAAGCCCGATCTGAAGAATCTGAAGAGGCATTGCATGATGCCTCGCTACTTGCTGACATTTCGCATTCAAACATGTCGCTACATATGTCATCTTCCACTGGGTCGTTGAGGAGACGATCTTCAACAGGAGCGCCTACCAGCTCGCTTCCCGCCGATGAGGCAAGAAGCGAACTGGCCATCATCGCTTATTTCCATCGTCTTACTTCACAAGTATTGACCGCGTTGGCTGATATCGTAGAGAGCGCAGATGAAGACGAGTCAGAGAACAATGATGATGTCGACACATTGGTCCCAGGGGACCATGAAGACGAGTATGATGTCAGAGGCATACGGATCAATCCTGAAGAAATCAAGTCCATGGGTCTGGACAGATGGAGCCACAGTGATGCCGAATTTGTAAAGGCGGCTACTGATGTGTATTTTGGCAGGAGAGCGTACATCCAAGGCAAAGCTGTTGAGGTCTGCGGCGTCAGAGTTTGCTAGAGTTCCTACTATAGAGCATTCTACTAGTTCATTATCCGAGTGTGCCTCAATGAATCGGCATTACGAACAGGCTTTCAATTGTTACCGCAGTACACCCTCATCTTCTGAAGCAGATATCGCATTCCTCAACCTCATCTGCTGTCCCTGAGCCATGACTACTGATTGTCAAACCCGATATCATGTTGGTCGAAGCCCGAAAGCACTTGTGTTTCCGCAGCCTCGTTCTTAATGATGCATCGGCGCTCAATAAACCTGACGTCTTGCTGGCTGGAGCCTGAAAGCACTTGTGTCGCCGTTGCTTCATCGTCGCCCCTATTATCAAGCGAGCCAGCTGCTTGGCGGCTATGCTCTGGCTGAGCCAGCACACAAAATGGCCCGGATTTGCGAATGAGGCTACCGTCAGTCCCATCCTACAGCTCAGCGCCGCCTACAAATGCCACACCAAGAAGGAGCATGAATAATGCGTGCTTGGGTACTCGATTCAGTCCAACCCTCGTCAAAGATGTGTGGAGTGAATCACATGGCACACATGGAATAGTGCGAGTTTACTCAGCATCCACGTACGGAGTCGCTTTGAATGCCTACATAGTCCACGGATGGTATGTGCAAAACTCAATAAACCTTGCCATGTAAGTTACTCCGTGCATACCTCGGCAGGCTTGATCCACCGTTCCCCAGAAAGCCACTGATGTGTGGGGCCTCTGGGCTAAGAATAGGTAACCTAACCTAGGTACATACCTCGAACAACTTTATTGTTATAGGCTGTGGGCCTGGCGCGGGTAAGCTTAACCGGATTATTGTTTTACCTGGAGCCATTCAATTTTAGAAGGCCACGTCGTGATTCAGCATTCAGCAGTGCGGTTTGGAGAAGTTTCGGAGAATAGGCGCCACGCTACTACGAAGAATACGTAGCTTGATTAATTGCGGCGACGTAAGGTATTTCAGTAACGTGCTGCTACCCAGCAGAGGGAGTGGGCTTCAACAAGACAACTAATCCGCACAACACCACCAATTCGCCCATCATGTCGTCCGACTACAGCTACGACGAGCATGGCACGTTCTACCCTTTCTTTCTCTTCACAATCACTGCCGTCGTCACCCTGCCGCTCACTTACAGCCTCCTGCGACCGAGCACAGATGCCGCCGCACTCGCCCCCCGGATAAAGAGCGACTACAGGTCGGAGCACCACGAGGTCGTCGATGCGCAACGCGCTTCCCAGAGGCGCAAGCAGCGCAAGGTCAAGCGCGCCATTGCCGTCCTTTTCGGCTGGGCCTTCATGGGCCTCAACCTCTACCTTGTCCTGACGACTCAGGCCACTGTCGCCAAGATATGGAATCGTACGTACAGCCCAGACACACAAATCCACCAGCTGCATGCCTGTCTAACCCATGCCGATTAGCTTACGACATTCTCGGAATACCCGACGACTATAATGAGAAGCAGATCAAGTCTCACTACAAGAGATTGTCCCTCAAATTCCACCCTGACAAGATCAGACCGGACCCCGCCAAGAACGAGACCATCGAGTCCCTCAACGACTACTACGTCGACCTCACCAAGGCCTACCAGGCACTCACCGATGAGGAAGTCCGCAACAACTACATCCAGTATGGCCACCCTGACGGCAAGCAAGGTTTCAGCATTGGTATCGCCCTGCCCAAGTTCATTGTATCTGACGGGAATGGCAAATACATCATCCTCGTCTACGGACTCCTGCTGGGCGTTCTACTCCCATGGATGGTCGGCTCATGGTGGTACGGCACGCAGCGAATGTCCAAGGAGGGCGTCCTTATCGAAAGCGCCGGTCGCCTGTTCCGCGAATACGAGGACAGTGATGAGGAGGGCCGTCTGATCTCAGCTCTAAGCACCGGCAAGGAGTTTGAGGAGAGGCTGAAGGGCCACACCGCCGACTCTGGCTTGTCAAAGATTGAATCAAGGGTTCAGGCTGCCGGTGTTCTCTCTGCCAAGGATCAAGAGAAGCTCGAGAGTCTCGATGGTGTGAGAAGGAAGGTGCTTGCACTTCTTTGGGCATACATTGGACGTGTCGATCTTGACGACAAGCCTCTTGAGAACGCCAAGTATATGGTCGCCCCTATTGCTGTCGCTCTGGCACAATCTTACAACGCCATCGCTCTGGCCTACGGTAACACCAAGGCCATTCTTTCTTCCTACACCACCACCCAACGACTTATTCAGGCAATACCCCCGAAGGCCTCACCTTTACTGCAACTGCCTCACTTCACTCCCGAGGTCGTCTCTGCTGCTGAAGGTGGCTCGAAAACACACCTGACTGTCCAACAGTTCATGGATCAACCCGACGCACAACGACGTGGTCTTGTCGTGGGCAAGGGTCTGCTTTCGGCCGATCAGTACACGGAAGCCGTTCATGTCGCCACTCAACTTCCCCGCCTTGCTGTTGCTAAGGCTTTCTTCAAGGTCACCGGCGAGAAGTACATCATTCCCTCGTCCTTGGTTAGCTTGGTTGTCAAGGGCCGTATCATCCCTCCTGGCAGCACGAATGTACCTGCCATCAAGGAGGCGGATCTCGAGGACCCCGATCCCGCGGAGGGTGACTTGAAGGCCTTGAAAAAGGATGAGGAAGGCGACCGAGTTCTCCCACCCCTTACCTTCGCTCCTCGTTTTGCTCGTAACCACTCTCCCAGATGGCATATCTTCTTGACAGATAGCAAGCAAGGAAAGATGGCAGTTCCCCCTTTCACATTCACCACCTTCGACAAACCCATCTTCGACGCCGACGGCAAGCCCACTTTCAACATGCAAACTCTCAAGGCACAATTCGCGGCACCTCCTGGACCTGGTCACTACACCTTCGTCATGCACGTGATTTGTGACGCATATGTTGGATTCGACACCAAGCTCGAGGTCACTTTGGTGGTTGATGACGCAGCTAAGGCTACCGAGGCTGCTGAGGAGGACGACATCAGCGAACCAGAAGAAGGTACTTATCACTATCATCATGCCAACATTTGAACTTAAGCTAACACATCCATAGATTCGCTTGCAGGCCAGATGAATGTTCTCCGTGGAAATGGAGCACCTACCAAGCCCAGAAAAGCAGCGGACTCGTCAGAAGATGAGGAAAGTGGAACAGATGAGGAAGAGGATGATACCGACGAAACCAACACCGACACGGAAGATGAGTCGTGAGTTGATGGTTGTATATTAAATGGCTGCATGGGAACACGGCGTCAGTGGCGTTAGCGGTGGAGCACCTGCTTCGGTATTCCTCTTTGGTACCTGCATATGACAGGACAGTGAAAATAGACGTTTTGGTAATGAATGCATGGCCTAGCCTTGAATTGAGCATCGTATGCCATCGCATGATGCGACTTCAGTGATGAAGGGAACCAACTGCACTGTCGTTCTGTTATAGATGGTAGACGACGTAGGTATTCCAATAAACGCAGCGTCCGGCGGTCCACCTATTTTGACGATATGTGAAGTTCACATGCCAGGCCCGTCTACCAAAAACAGGTTATGCGCCAACTCGAAAGCGTGAAGAGGATTGTACAATAGTCCAGCTAACTAACCCTGTTTCCAGAATGTCTATATGGCGGGATAGAATTCTTTCAAACATTGGCGTGTTAGACAGAACAATTAGCAACAGCCTTTCTTTTCTCCCCCTTTCCAGCATTTCCTCTCAGATCATCCCAGAGAAATCGCGATCACGCAAATGAACAATACCTATTGGATTCGGCCCTTCCAAATTGAAGCGATCAAGTTCTACAGAGGCACACAATCTTATCACCTCTGTTACCATAGTGTCATTTTGAACAAGCTCCCACTGGTCATCACACCAAGAGAAACCTGACCAAATTATTCATCGTAAATCGAACCACTAAACGGCTCATGGAGCTTCGCTCAATACAAACTCCAGCAAGCAAAGGTGGCAGTATCATCGTAATATCCACTGATAATTGAGCATATCTGGTCTTCGTAGTGATAGCAGCAATTATCCAACGACAAATCTCGTCGGAAGCATTAAATCGTTTCTGTTAAAGAGGCTATCATGGTAATCGAGACCAATTTCATGTCACTCTAAAGCTATACTCACGGAACCGCGTTTGTTCATTATGTTGCCGGGAAGGGCAATGTCGTAAATATCTTCGACAAGGTCAACCACCCCATCAGCCTCGAAATGTAATAGGCAGCTGCTTGATAGAATATCAGTGTGCTCTGCGTATAGAGTAGATAATACCCATAGTGGAACTGGTCGTTGCTCTGGCCAACCCCATAAGCAGCAGGCTGGGTCGACGTGCTACCTGGGTACGGTACACTCAAGGCAGGGAGATACCTAGTTACATATTGTAAGATAATTCAACCGTTTCCAACCAGTCCCCGGCGTGGGAACACTGAATGCCCTGGGGCCTTGGCCCCATTCATCGTGGCGCAGTGGTAGTTTGGGGTGCTCGCACCCATGGGCGGCTCCTGGTTGGGTTTCAACTCCCAAAGGTGCCCAGTTCAGTTCAACTGAGTTGGGGACAACACCTTTTTGACTTTTCTTTTTCTTCAACTATTTTTTTAATATTGACCTCTAGTGCTATCTGTTTATTTCAGATGTTGCATTTTGCTCCTTCCAGTTTGAAGTCATGTGAGAAAAGAATTACTTCGAAAAATATTTTTACAGCATGCTTTATGATTCCATCGCTCTTTCCCAGAAACCACATCAAGGGAACCAGTAGCCAGCGAACAGTCACGATTGTTTATTGACACTATTTTGAATGCATGGAAATTCCCAAGCTTTCCGTTCTCGTTTTTCAAACAATTAATCACAACATCGAGTTCCACCTCCACCCACGGACATCGCATCCCGTCTGATACTCTACGGGCTCCTTCCGAAGCACTTAGTGTTGCCAATGAGCAATCTAGCCCTTTAAAACCACAACATTCATACAACCGCAACACAGCATCATCATGGGCTCACAACTACCACTTGAGTTCTTGTACCAAGTGTTCACCCACGTTGAGGGTGATCGCCACCAGAAACTTTGCTCAGCTCATTCGCACTTGCCAGTCAGTAAAGTTTACTGTTGAGCCGATACTTTACAAACTTGTGGGCATTTTCAATGGCAACAGCAGACGATTCTACTTTCTTCGAGAGGGTAGCCAGAGACGACAAGCTCGCTGTCAGTGTTCAGGAGCTCACAGTAGCTCATGTGGATTTGGAACAGCATATGTACAACGATGTACGCACAGATAACCTTCAAGGAATAATAGACGAGCCGCACCACGAAAGTTTTCACCCCGACCTGGGGTATTCCTATCTACTAGAGATCATGTCACTGCTTTTCTTTCTGCCAGAGCTCAAGGTACTTGATTTGAGATATTACTGACCCTCATGGATTTTTTTCTGTGACAGCTTTGTGAAGCTTGCATCTAGCACTCTTTACTCTTTCAGCAACTTGCGTCGCTCCTCCAATCGCAATCAGCGTGGCCCGTATTGTCGTTGATGTAGTGTAGTATACTGGTTCGAGCGGCTTCTAAACTTCTGAGCCTGTTACTTTCCGACATCGTGATTGATTATACTTGGAAACGGCTGGGCTTTGCTTTTTGATAGTTTGCACGTTCTCAACATTACTCGATACCATTGATCGGCCAGACTTGTGTTCGACTGCTTCTCTGAGAATTTCCCTGCCTTGGAAACGTCCACATATCAAGCACTGGGTTTGGAGGACTTTGACGCTGCTAAAGTTCTCACCGTTGTGGGGCAAGCGCGGACGATCAAACATGTTGAAATCATATACACGCGGCGAGACACGTAAAATGCATACGTACGGGGAACGCTGAAGGGCTGTGTTGTAACAATGGGCGAGGCTGCAACCAAGGGTGACGACTGGCCCCCAGTACTACAGCGGCCTGTTCTGGAAGAAATTGGGGAGGTAGTTGTTGGCGGATAGGCACAAAAGTTTGCCCACTTGCCATTTCTACAGCTATTGTAGATAGCGGAAGACAGACATGTATCATGCTGCTTTATTCAATAGCCGTTTATTGAAGGCTACCTTCAAAGTCATGAACCCAAAGTTAGTCTTTTACGATATGTCCATCATATTCCCCGATTACCCTGCTGCACTGTGATAGCATAATATAAACTGTTTCGCTGAATATTGTGATTTGTTTCCTAGTAAAAATGAAAAGGCACTTCTCAGTGTTCTATGCTATGACATGGGAACGAAGAATACTTAATTGACCAGCACACAACATCTCATTTCCAACACCAGTTGATCGACAACCATGCCATGGAAAACTGAAATATCCTTCAGATTCCCTACCCATGATTAGCGAAATTCGTGTTTCGCGGTTGCCACACATGGCAGTAGACGCCCGCCTCCCCTCCCGAGACGCCGTGACGGCATTATGACCTCAACTCGACGTTACCACTAATGCGGGCCGCGCTTCGACGTGCACCACGCAACCTCAGAAGAACAAAACGTGTCTTGCCCTATGGGAAAACGTGGGAGGGTCTGGTGCCACGCTCTGTTTGCTTTTGTGCCCCTTGCATGAGGCTTATTTCGACGACATCGCTTGCTACCCAACTCAATTAGACCTAGTCCAGAGGAAGTCTTCACACTCTACACTATACACAGGGGCATGCACGCGCGAACGAGGATTGCCCAGAAACGAGGATTTGGGAAGTATTCTTTGACACGAGTGGACATGATACTTCTCATTGTTGTCATTAATAAATGCTAATCATATATCGCTAAACGCACAAAGAAAACCCCGGTTGGAAACCACCTCCTTTCTATGAAGAAGCATTCTTCTCGGTCGACTCCTTGATGGCGGCCCCGAGCTTGGAGTCCACCCTAGAGAACATCTCATATGTGCGGTTACGCGTGTCGACGTGCGCAGCGGCCAAGTGGCCAGCCACGTTGTTGACGAAGTTCTCTTGCTGGCCTGGCTGCTTGCCGAGGACATTCCACAGGGCAGTAGCTTGTTCCTGGAGAGCGGTTTGTTAGCTTTTTCTTTTCTTTTCTCCTTCTGTTTTTTTTTTCATCCATAATGGTAAGCGTGGTTACCGGAGTTTCGAGGAACTTACGTAGTCTTCAGGCTTGATCTCGCCAAACAGGTCGGTCACGGCGGCACCGGCCCACTGCTCGTGGGGGTTGGTGGCCTGGACGGGCTTGTGCGTCAGGGGGCGGTAGCTGCTGGGGTAGTTGGGGTTGGCGCCGTAGTTGCCGTTGATTGCCATGGCACCGTCCCGCTGGTAAGGGTTGAAGGCCTTCAGAGGAGCGTTGACGGGGATCTGTTGGTAGTTGACGCCAAGTCGGTGTCTGTGGGTATCCGGGTACGAGAACAAACGCGACTGGAGGACAGGATCTGCAGATGGCTCGACGCCGGGTACCAAGTGGGAGGGAGAAAAGGCGACCTGCTCGATCTCGGCGAAGTAGTTCTCGACGTTCTTGTTAAGTGTGAACTTGCCGAATCGTCGGAGAGGAACCTCCTTCTGTGGCCAGACCTTGGTCAGGTCGAAGATGTTCCATTTGAATTTCTCGGCCTCCTCCGGAGTGAGAACCTGGACATAAACTGTCCATGATGGGTACTCGCCTCTCTGAATGGCCTCGAACAGATCTTGAGTGGCATAATCTGGATTCTCGGAAGCTAGCTTGCCTGCCTCGTCATTCGTGAGGGTCTTAATCCCTTGGTCTGTCTTGAGGTGGATCTGGACGTAGACGAAGGAGCCATCAGGCTTGATGAACTTGTGAGTGTGGCCAGAGTAACCGTTCATGTGGCGGTATCCATCGGGCGTGCCACGATCCGAGAACAGCTGCATTACCTGGTGAATGCACTCCTGGTGTGTGGAAAGGTAGTCCCAGAACATGGTTGCGTCTTTCAGATTCGTCTGAGGGTTACGCTTTTGAGTGTGGATAAACAGGGGGAAGTTTGTGGGGTCTCGCAGGAAAAAGACTGGTGTATTGTTGTACACCCAGTCCCAGTTGCCCTCCTCTGTGTAGAACTTCACTGAGAAACCTCTTGGGTCTCTAGCAGTATCTGGTGAACCCTTCTCGCCACCGACCGTGGAAAAGCGAGCGACACAACGAGTCTTCTTGCCGACGCCATTCAGCATGTCGACGGTTGTGATATCGCTGATATCATCAGTGACTTCGAACTCTCCATATGCGCCAGCGCCCTTGGCGTGGACGACGCGCTCCGGAATACGCTCACGGTCGAAGTGAGCGAGCAGATCGATCAAGTGGAAGTCCTGAAGCAGGAGAGGGCCTTGTGTGCCCACGCGCTGCCACTTGGAGGGGTTGTCAACGGGGGCGCCATTGGAAGTGGTGTAGACTGGCTGTTGGTCGTACTTGAAAGTCGACGCGGGCTTGTCATCGGCAACCATGGCGAATGATATGAAATGGGAATATGTGTGGGATATCACAATGCAAATATTACAAAGTGGTTGCTAACTGCTAAACAGTGCTTAAGAGAATGGAGAATGTTCAAGATATCTCTATTTAGGAAAGAGGAGGCTTGTTTTTTACGAATATGAAGCGTTAGAGCCTGGGCGGTATGGGTTTTATATACTTGACCCAACCATCCTGCGTTAGAGGCCATACAATGACAGATCTACCCAGTATTGCTTATTATTACTTGCGTCACACAGGCTGATTCCAGTGCCTACACCCGCAGTTTGTGAGTAACTGACATGCAGCGTCATGGTGGGGCAGTTACGAAGGCCAATCAGACTGCATGTAATTGAGTTATCTCATGGCGAATGCTCGGGGTCCACAGATTACACGGCAAGATTCCTCATCGTGGGACAGCATTCCGAATCTTTTAATGGATTCCCTGGTAACTCCCAAGAAGATTTTGAGTTGTCTCAGTTGTTACGACGGTTGAACTGTTTTGTTCTATAGGTTCGTGACTCAGGGTTCTGGCAAGACTGCTTCGAGAACATCCAGGTCTTACCTCTGGCTCGTTGCGGCTTCATAAAACTCTCAGTCACCCAAAGTGCCTGAAGCGCCCTGCATCCATCAAGACAACCTAGGAGCAAAATTACTAGTATGACATGCAATGTCGATCCGACTTTTTGTAATGCGGAAGCTTACAGCCTCCATCATGGGCGATGTTTCGACATCGATTTCGATGCCGAGACCCCCTGGCGTTGCTAAGTCGTGACGTCAATGCTCCACTAGCTTATAAGGTGGAACTTGAGAAGCCGGATCTGGTCCGTTGGTTGGACGGTGCGGCATCGTTGCCGCATTGCGAATCTAGGAGGCGAACATGTTCTACTAATTTTTGGATCTGTCAGCTTGTATGGAGTCGCAAGGCTACCTTATCCTTTCGTACATGGCAGATTCCTTCTCCAGAGATCGGCTCGTTGTTAATCCCAGATCTATGCCCGGTGCGGTACATAGCGGGCAGCTTCGTACAAAACAATGACATGTGCTGGAAAATTCCCAATGCAGGCTAACTGGCCTTCAATGCCACCAACAAGGGGCAATGCTTGTTATCGAAGCTCAACCGCCAGCTAGACATATGAGCCGCAAAGTGTAATAGAAAGAACTTCAACCATGGTGAGATAAACTGATATTATTTACTCCCATGCGATCCTCATTCTGGGTAGTCGCCAAACAGTCCTAACCTGAGCTGGTCCCTTTTAAGGGTACGTCAACATATATACTTATGGGTTTGTGTTTAAATTATTCTCCTGGTAAAACGGAATGTTATCCCATGTGCCAGGAAGAATTTCAAACATGAAAGTCCTCGTCCACTTGCCACGTTGAGTAGTCACCAGCTAGACTACTTCGTCGCTCTGAGACGATCAACGGAAGTATACGATGATTCTCAATTTGTTACCGTGTATCTCAGTAGTGCATGTTGGAAATCACAGAAGGGCTCGAATTACAATTGCTATAGCGATTGAACAGCCGGGCATCTAGTTGATGACCCGCACCTTGTAGCCCGACAAACGAAGTGGAGTTCATATGATCCGCCCTCCGTATAGTTCGTGTCATGGATTCATGCCGTCATTCCATGGCAAGTCCCCATGTGTATATATGCAAGGTCCTGGGGATGAGGACTCCCACAACCTGTATCCCGACCATACTCCTTTCATGATGCATAATAAGGTGATTTCGTTGCACCCCCAGTCCGAACACGCCGAGATGATGCTCGCTGAACCTCAAACGCCCATGCGTGCATTAATGAGGCGCTTCCATTAGTAAAGCCCGTGTTGCATCCCCCGCGACCATTCCTAGCTCAACAAGAGGCCAGCAGCCGGAGTGGTACAATGTTGTACAAAGGACCCGTTTCCGGTGTCTTCGATTTGTGTGACAGAGTTTATTCTTGGTTCACGGTTTGCTGTTATCGTGTAAGCCACGTGCCGAGCGCCGTACGAAAGGATGCGATCTGGCAGGACCAATGTTATACAGGCCGTAGCGGCATCACAACCACGGAAAGTCTTGCAAGATGCTTCCACATGTGGGGAGTCCAAAAAGAAAAGGGGAGCCAAAGAGGTAGAATAGCTTGAAAATATTGAACTTACCACCAACCAATCCATACCCTCGCTAACACCGCTGCCGTCAACTGCAGAACAAGCCATTATGCTCCAGTTGCGATCCCTCAGTTCGCCCAACCTAAGAGCCTCTGAGATCTCGCCAGCACCCTTGGCGCCAGGTTGGTCTTGCTTGTTGGCGAAGACGAGCAGTGCGGCATCCTTGAGTTCGTCCTCGTTCAACATGGCGCCAAGCTCATCGGCAGCGGTCTGCAACCGCTCGATATCTGTGCTGTCGACGACGAAGATTACGGCGGCAGTGTTCGCATAGTAACATCGCCAGTATGGGCGGATGCTCGTTTGACCACCCAAATCCCATACATTAAAGTTGAGGTTCTTGTATGTGACCGACTCGACGTTGAAACCAATGGTGGGGATTGTGGTTACTACTTCGCCAATCTGTGAGATGCGTTAGTGGTCGTTTGGTTGTACTTGGCAGACCGTGTTGTCTTGAAGCTGTGCTGGTCGGTGCGCAGACAGATGTGCGAAAGGGGAGCCGACGAGGGAGGCAAGATGTCGGTCTTCAGGTTCAGGTTCGGCATACCTTCAGTCTATACAGCAGGGTCGTCTTTCCGGCATTATCCTGTTCCGAGCAGGTTAGCTACGCGCACAATGAAAGAGCTGGCGGATGGAACAGAGTGACATACAAGACCGAGGATCAATATCCTAATCTCCTTCTTTGCCCAGAGTAGGCCAGATAGCCACGACACGCTCTGACCCATTGCGAAAATGTGCTTTTGTTATTATTACTTGTAAAGTGCTGTCTGTCCCAAGTTGTAGCGCCGGAGGGCTCTTAGATTTCGTTATGGCTGTGGTCCTAAAAGTAATCTCGTGACGAAGCCAAGCTATTTGGCAAGATGCTCAAGTAAGCTAGGTATCAGGGCGTGCGATGGAAGTGGCCGAGGTGGTGAGTTGGAGATGGCCTAGCGCTTTTGTTTCGAGTTGGAGTTCGAATTCAAGTGAAGTGGACACGCGACTCTCTCCTATGTACGTGTATATATGTATGTGTGTATGTGTATATGGATTACTGGGGAAAGAGTACGCTGTGGTCTCGGTATGGCCGTGGAATTTGCATGAATCTTGAAAAGACCCCTGGAGGCTCAAGATGAATAATGGACAATGAACAAGGGTCTTATTGTCTCCTTTTCACTGTACTGTGCTGCCGGTTGGCGTGTATCACCAAAGAGGCCAACCAACGCCAGACCAAACAGCATTGACTTGGTCTTGAAAGCCTTTTTGGGCGGCTTGGCTACTGTAATAAGAGGATCCAGGAGGTACTCTAGTACTACGTACCGTTGCCAGCAGGGATTCTTTTCTGAAGGAAACCCACAGGAAGCCTAAAGCAAAGCCCAGAGGAGAGGCCAAAGGAACGCGCGAGGGAAAGAAGCCAGCGCAGCTCCCACGGCTTATCGGCCATATCCTTATCGGGCTCATTCAGCTCTTTTGGCCTTGGGGATTGAGCTTGGTGAGTACTGGCAGCTGGCGGAAGACCGGCAATAGTCAAAACGTGTCGTGGTCGCCTGTCCCATTCAAGCAGCAAGAAGCACAGACCCAGACTGTCTTTTTTTCTTTCGGGTTAAGCCCGGCCCAATTCCCTTAGCGCCAGGTTTTCCACTTGCCCACACAGCAAAAATATCTCCAACCCGACATTTCCAGCTTGGAAGGCCCCTCCTACTACTCCCATCAAGAAGACATCACCAACCACACCTCGACATTTGCAGCAACAGCAGTCAAAATGCCGGTATGTCCATGATTTCCCCCCGAGCCGATGCGGCGTTGGCGACGAGCGACACGGGTTGCCACGATTCGAACCCCCGATTTGATCGCCATGGCAGAAGTCGAGTCGCGAGTCGATCATGACGAGGGGACTGAAGGAACTGAAGGAGCTCATGGCTAATGGTATTTCTACAACAGAGCCACAAGTCTTTCCGCACCAAGCAGAAGCTGGCCAAGGCCCAGAAGCAGAACCGCCCCATCCCTCAATGGATCCGTCTGCGTACCGACAACACCATTAGGTACGATGAACCCGAACTCCATGCTTGACAGGCAATCATTTCTTAGCCGTCACGGGAGATGCTGCGAACCGCCACCGAAACCACTATCCTCAGCGAACGCACCCACTAACATGTCACTTGACAGGTACAACGCCAAGCGAAGACATTGGCGCAAGACTCGTCTCGGTATCTAGATGCCGAGCGCCAATTTCCCCTTCCTGCCCGCCGTTCACTCTCAGCCCGGCATCTTGTTTTCCCTACGATACACCACCGGTTCTCGGCTTGTCACTATGGCGTTGTTATGGAAAGGGCAGTGAATGACGAATGATCATTCTGGTACGACTTGCTACGGTGATTCGGAAGCAACGAAACAAAACAAAAGGAATGAAGGCGTAGGAAGGGGCTTATTGCGTTGGTTCGTTCAGAGGGTTTCTTCACTGCATGGTACCGGTTATAGGGAATGAACACAATTGCGTAAAAGCAATATTTGATGCACAGTCGTAGTGCCAACGGATCGATTGCCATGTGATACTTGGGCCAAGGTCTGGGAAGTGTTTGCAGTGTGCCTCCGATCTCTCCAAAAGCATGGGTGAAAATCTTGTGTCTAACTTGACGCCGGACCGACTGACACTCCCATCATCTAAGCAGGAAATGATTGTTCGCCCAATCTGATAAGCTGCAGGCCATACGGTGCAACACTAATGCTATGACAGAACTATCCAACTATGCTTCTGCAGCATGACTCAGTTGCCATGCACCCCATGCAGCTTTTCAACAACTATCTATGTCCATGTCTCTCGGCGCTAACCCCAACCCTCTTTACCTCAGGGCCATTATCTGTCTGCCGCGTGACTTGTCTCGTGGGGCACTGCACCAAGGACATATTGTACTCCATCGGGGATCGTTTTGTTCCGTCCATTTTCGTCTGCGTTTTCCAGAGCAGTCGCCATGAACGATCTTAAGCTGGACGGGGCGGGCCGCGCCCCTATGTTCCTCGACGAAGGTGTTAATCTAAGAGGCAGTTCCCGGTACGGGAGCTGTGACGTTCCAGTATTCCCTGGCGCTCAAGCACTGTTGTGCTCGGAGGATCCAGTCCGGCCGGGGACGCGTCTAGAAAGGCAGCGGCATCGTTGCGAAGCATCAGGAAGTTGAATCCGTAGGCTTGTGGGAACCAGTTCGGTGAGAAACACAGGATGGGCACCCACCCCGTGATCCAGAAATTGATTCGTTCAGCGTGACGTGGCGTGCAGATCCCGAACGTGTCGAGACATCGAGGAAGAGCGTCGCGATGTTGAACCGGGGGGAGAGTCCTGTCGCCCAGCCGAGAGATGTCTGACCCGGCGGAGTGTATGGACGCCACCACGCGTCTCCATACAGTTTGTGATCTTGCTTCGTCTCGACAATGCTTGCCCCGCCGATAAAACAGTTTAATGATGACACTCAGGGCCGTACAGATGGCCATACGCCCTTTTGTGCGCTTCTGGATGTTTGGCCCGAACATGGCATTGCGATGGTGGCGTCCACAACAGAGACTAGCCGTAGAAACCCCTCAAAGCGAAGGAGCGTTGTATGGACCACGGGCATGAGGCAGATGTTCACCACGCCTTGGCAGACACCGATGACGACGAGATGATACTTGATGGTGAGATTCCACGAGATGTACTTGGCGAAAGTGGCAAAAAGGGGTATCGAATGGGGCTGCGCTCGACGGCAAAAACAGCAGCATGTTTCTGGCCTCGAGACGACGCTTGACATGCTGCGCCTTGAGAGGTGGGCCAGCATCCCCGATCAGAGGTGCACTCTCCGATACGACGACCTGTGGTTGGTCGATAGGCATAGTATTTCGTTGCAGCAGATGCGAGCAGCGAAGTTCCCGAGGGTGATAGAACATGTGTTTGGGCGATATCCCGGAAACCCGGACTGCCAGACTGCTGAGAAATTGTTGTCAGGTTTTTGAGACTCTTGAGTTGCACCGGGTGTGAGTTATGACCAAACAACGGCAGCTCATGAGTTACCGAAAATGGAGCGGCGATAGCGTCCCACCGACATCAAGCGAGAATTTCAAGCTGCTCGTATGGAAGATACCCATCTGACTGGCAGGCCAACATAGAAGATGTGGCAAGGCAAACGTCACCATGAGCCAACTATAAATCCCACATTCCACCAGCTCATTACGCACAATGTGGTGGTACCGGCTGCTTAGTCTCCTAGCCATAAAGCCTTCCTGCCGCTTGGTTTATTCCCGAAGACATATGCGAAGACTCCCAGTCTACATCCTATTGAATATCCTGGAAGGATAGGTGGCTCCTCTGGTGAACCCTCGGACTTGTAGATTCAGTCAAGGTCGCCCATGGGTCGTCACAATTTACAAGCAGACAAGCACTCAAGTTCCGAGTCAAATTCCGAATAAAACACCATTGGTTGTGTATTTACAGTGAACATGTGAGAGTGCGGTTGAGCAGTTCATGATGCGAACTAACTCTTTAATATAAAATCTGCCTGGTTTTCAACTTTTTAAGGGTTGCAACCTGAAATATACTGTTCTGCCTGGGACCTCAGGATCGAGTATAGGTTTTCAAAACTTTGGTCGTTCTATGACTGTGCAAATCAAGTGTACACCCTCATAACATCCAACCAACACTGGCCGGTGAACGACTGCGCAAAACAGGGCTCGCTGCATTGGTTATTTCTATTAAAATTTGCACTTTGACTGGCACAGCTCATGAAATTAAACCGTGATTTAGCCAACATCTGAAAGAGTGTCAAAACAACAAGTTATGTCGGCAACACACAAACAACATGGCGTGGCACAAGCGTGCGATGGCGCAAGCACAACACAAAACCAAACAATACAATGGGTGACAGAGTTCCATGCCGTTGATGTAACTACTGAAAGGCGTTCTGGCGGAAGCATGACAAAACGATACACTGCAAACAAAACCCTGAAAAGAACAGGCGACATGGAATTGGGTATCAGTATCATCTGTTAGAATGCCTGGGTAGTCCACGAGTTTATGTACTGCAACAACCGTTGGCAGACGCCAGAGTTGCCGGCCATGCAGTCTACGCTGTAGCCGAGGACAAGGCCGTCTTTGTTCAAGATGTATCTTCATCGTAGCACCTTCTTCTATCGTATGATGGTGCTTGCGGAAACTGTGAAACAGGAAATCATAAACGCCAAGGATATGCAGTCAAGGTATCCATCCCACCGAACCATTAGCCATTGTCGTTGTGGCCGGTTTTTATGTCCACGATACCAGTTAGCGATCCTCGGCCCACTCGTTCTCACGGCGAATCTGCTCCTCCTCCTCAGGTGTGAAATCGTTGGTGATGTTGAATGTCTTGCGAATCTCCTCAGGAGACTTGCCCTTGATCATGTTGGCAACAGTCTTGCAGCCGACGTCGAGAAGAGGCTTGATGTCGAGGTAGTTGCTGGCCTAAAGGCGAGTTAGTGAACGGAACGCTGCAAGGAAAGCAAGGCGCCTCCACATACGAGGATGATCTCAAATAGCATCTCTTGGTCGACCTGCATGAACTTCTGATCCCACTCATCGATCTCAGTGGTCTTCTTGCGGTTGTCGTTGTCATCCTCGTTGGTAGGAGCGGGGTCTTGACGGTGGTGCTCGCACCACTCGATGACCTTGCGGAGGACGGGCTCGGTGACCTGAGGGACAATGTTAGCAGGAGGCCCCAAACATGGAGCTCGGGGGCGGGGGAGCGGCTTGAGGAGAAGGCAAGATTTGGCGCTTACGTTGGGGATGGGGATGATCTGGGAGACGGCGGTCTCACCGAGATCCTCCAACATGTTCTTGATCAGGAGAGAGCGCTCGGCAACGGCCTTATCTAGATGGGCTGTCAGCATGTGGATGTACAAGGCAAGAACCGGGCGCAGGAAGAATAAGGCGAGATGCACAACTTACCAACCTCGATGACGGCATTATCGTTGGATTGGAGGCGGACCTTGACTTGAGGCTCGGTGGAGGCCATTGTGACGGGTAGTATGTGTGATTGACGGGGAAGTCGTGGAAGATGCGCAGGTAGGTGATATTCGCTGGTTTGCGCGGCGAGTGTTGTCGCAAAAGTGTGCTCAAGTGTTTGCAGATTGATGTTCTGAGATGGTTTGCTGGTCAGCTGGTCCCGCAAAGTGGTAAAGGCGACTTCAAAGTGAGGTTGTGGTGGGGGTTGCTTGGCTTTAGTAGGAATTGCGGTGCAGGGTGCAGGGCGGGTGCAAGCTGCTCCAACGAAGCGGAAATAGGTGCCGTGCAGGTGATGGAGAGAGGTGTGCGCCGTAATTCGACTCACAGTTGTGTGATGTACACGGAACAATTGGGATATGCTGGGCTTCTAGAAGTTGTCGATTGTTATTTGGTTATGGAAAAGAGATGGTTGTAAAAAGAATATGAACAAAAAGTGGTTGTTGTGATTCAGTTATGTGCTCGTCTTTATTTGTAATGTTTGCAATAATAGTCTTGTCTTAGGCAGTCACGTCAAGGTCAAGGTCCAGGTCCAGGTCCAAGAACTTTGAGAGTCGCAGTCGGACGTGGCTTTGTAGGAATTGATCAATTCACTAACGTTTGCGGCCAGTGACTCGTTGCCGTTCAGCCTTAGTCCCCGCTCTTGCTGCCTAAAAAAGACAAGCTCCAGTAGTTTAATCGACTCAGGTGCCTGCCAGAAAAGGCCCCGGAAAATCTATCACAATGGCAAGACCGGTACCATGAGTCGTGAGTGGCTACTTTCTGTCATGTAGACTACAACAAGTCACGGGTGAGTTGGATCTTGTGTTACTGCCTTTTTATTTTTATTTTTATTTTTTAAGTATGCGAGATCCTAGAGCGTCTTGCTGGGAATGTTATAATGTCTTGCCTTTACCCTTTCTACATTCACATTACCCAACACAACACAAAGACATATCCTAATGATAATGTTTCGTCGTCCCTGGTCACAAGAACAACAAGAAGTTTTTGACCCTTTGAATCAGTTACTTCCAGCTTCGCCAGCACCGAGGATTACAATCACAGCGGCGGAAATACTGGGACATGTATAACTTGTTTGAGGCCGGTATCTAGACTGCATTCAAAGACTTGCATGGATAGGTCCTTATTGTTCTCAGTTAGCATTGTTTATATCACAGTTAGCTCCACGTGTGCAAGCGAAACATGGAGGGACTGGTTGACAACGGCCAATCACCGATGCTAGTCATTGTAGAGAAGTGACAAAAAATATTGCCTTTCACTTAAGTTCTTATATTCATCGCCTCTCCTCTTAGGCAGTACGGTGTTGTGGTACCCCGATGTGAGCCAGAGGACTGACTTTTGCTCTCCCCGTCCCAAGAGCTAGTCTAGTAACAAACTTTTCCCCGCTGCCAACTTAGATGTTCATAGCCCCCGATTTTCATGCCCGTACCGCATCCCATATACTCATGCGCTTGACATTATAATTAAATGAGTTGACATTAGAAAGCCAGTCAAAGAATTGAGAAAGAAAAAGTCTGTGTAGCATACCAATGCTCGTAGGCCCAGCAAAAGCGGGTATTGAACAGATAAAGAAACAAAGTTGGGAGAAATGAAGGGTATCATGATGCACCAAGCCACTCTAAAACCCATGACCGTGTACCTTTTCCTTCCACCCCAGAACGTGTTCGCATTAACCCACACCCCAACGGTGATGGGGGTCTTTTTATTTTTATTTTGCAGCACTCTGCATCTTCCTCATCGCATCCCGATGCGCATCCATGAGATATGTGCTGCTCCTCATCTTCTCTTCAAACATGCGATCGTTGCGCTCCTTCTGTTGACGTTCCATCTCTTTCCTCTGAGCCTCCTGGCCCCGTTGGTTCATCAACATGGCCCGACTCTGCTCTACGCTTCTCTGGATTTCCGCTGTGCTCATATTAGCTGTTTGATGCAGCCCTCCACCGGACTGCGACGGCAGCAGATCGTGGCTTGACGCAGGCGTCAGATTATAGACTGGCGAGGATGGCACGCGCGTTTCTTTTGCCACGGAATCGCGGAAGCTCGCGAGTTGCGCTTCACGAGCTTGTTGCGACGGAAGCGTGGACCGTCGCTGGGGCTGGTGTGAGTTGAAGCTGGAGTTCTCTGCCATCGTCTGGGACATGCCATACGACGGACCGACATGACTGTTCGGCCTCGAATCAGCAGCTGATCCGGCGGACAGGATGCTGCTCTGGCGGATGAGCTTCTTCCGCTGGCTGAGTGGCATGTCATCTAGGTCCTGGCCTCCAAAAGAGCTGCGACTGGGGTAATTACGAAGAGATCCAGCGTCACTTGCCACTGTCTGAGGTGCGAAAGACTTGTTTTCTGGACCAGGCATACCCAGGATGGACGACTTATTTCGCAAAAGTAATTCCCGTTTTCCCAGTAGTGTCTGTGGGCTAGAATAGGAAACCACTCCTGGTACAGGAAGACGAACAGCAGATTGTGAGTGCTCAGAATTGACCGGCGATATACCACCAGATACTGGGTCGTCGTACAGGTTCTGAGTTTCGGCATAACGAACACCATGCTGCTCCTCTGCAATGGGCGGCACAAAAACATCCGAGTTACGTTGTCCTTGGCTTGTGGACCGTCTCTGGAACCCACGAGTCGCGTGAACCGAAGGCGGCGCGGCAGCCTTAACCAACCCGAATTTTGAATTGGCTTCTGTATTGGACCCAGCCAAAACTGTTAAGTTTTTTGCATTGGTCGTTGAGTTTCTCGAATTTGAGCGCGTTACTGGTCCAGAACCAGGGGGGGAGTGCGACGCTGACGACAGTGACCTCGTCACTGCGGGCGCTGGTGTAGCGTTCTGAGCAGTTTGTTGTAATTCCTCGATCTTGACAGGGGCCGCAATCTCGTCGTCCTTGATCGCTTCCTCTAGAGATGGTTGTGGGCTTGGGCGCAAATTCTCCGGCTCTGGTAGATCCGCAAAGCTGAGATGCTTGGCCCATTCATTCGTTCGATATGCTGATGCTACACGTGAGAGTCCTGTCGGCAAATGGTCCTTGGTTAGAACAGCTGGCACCGGAGCAGTAGATTGGGCCACTGAGGGAGACTGTGGCGGACCAGACTTCTCGCATGCTGCTTGTCCATCCTCTGAAATTCTGATGGTAGGAGACTTTGGCTGCTCGTTTGATCTTCCAATTGCGCCTGACGTTTTATCGTTAAGTTCGGCTGTAATTTCGATACCTAATCCATGTTGACCGGTCTTTGATCGATCTTCATCGCCGTTTGTGCTGACTTGATCGACAGTCGCTGCGACACTTCGAGTATCCTCTTGCGCTCTTGGTCTTGACACCAAATCCTCCTTGCTCTGCGTCCAATCATGCGACAAGCTCGTTGGCGAAAGTTGGCTGGCCTTTTTCTTAGAATGACCGGAGCCTGTAGAATTTCTGGATAAGCTTCGCAGAATGTGTGCAGATCCCACTGACAGTCGCTGTCCCAGAGATGCCCGCGATGCCCTATTATGCAGCGTGACGGAGCGATCATCGTCATCGTTGAAAGTTGCGATCGAGGAACGATCGTCGTCATCACCCTCAGCAGCGTCAGGGATTCGGAAAGGCAACGGCGTAAGCCCGGGCCCGACGGATGTTGAAAATCTCTGGGAGTTGCGCTGCGGAACAATCGATGCTGGGTTGGCTTCTCCATCAGCCCCGACCACCCATGTTTTACCATGGGCTGCCGGCGCAGGACTACCAAGATTTTGGTTATCGTCTTCAATGACCAATTCTCCTCGACTTTTGGCTTCGTTCGTCAGATTTATCTCATCCCACTCATCTGCCGGCGTCATTGGCGACTCGGGGAAATTGGGGCTAGGAGTAGGGAGCTCAGCTAGCTCAATAACATCGGTTGCATGGCTGTACCGGCCTTTCTTCTCATTCACATCGGCAACTCCAGAGTCCTTTGAGCTGAGCACACTTCCGTCGGCCTTGCCACCGTATGCGGCTTCCCATTGGCGTCTCTCGCGAGCAGTCTGATCCTCGATTTGCTGCCCAAGGTTCGCCTCTTCGAGGTCGCGCTCTCGTTGTGCTTCGGCTCGCGCGGTCGCTCGCTTAGTTTGGTGTTCTTGAAGGACCTTCCAGAGCTTCACCTGTGAAATTATGCCCACGATAGAAATGATGACGATAAGTGCTATCTCAACGCGGATGCCCTTCGTCAGCGGGTATGTGGTGGCACCAAGTGGGAACAGGTTGTCGTTGAGCGCCCAGATGTAGGCCCAAAACTCCTTATACCCGGCCTTGCTGAAACAGTCAATTCCCAAGACTGCAGCCGTGGCGCCAGAAAACGAGATGGACCCAATTAAGGCGTATGGTCTCGTATAATGGCTAAAGTATAACGCAAACCCAGCAAGCGTGAAGGCTATGATGAAAATGATCGTGCCGGTTGAGTTGTCTAGTAGTAGACCACCCTCGCGTAGAGTGAGGAGCCACATCGAGAGGCAAAATCCACCAAGCAAGCACCCCAAGCTTTCAGTAAGCTCCTTGAAAATCGTTGCACCACCACCAAGTATGACACCAGCGCACACGCAGGCGACCACATAAGCACCCTGTACCCCATCGGATACCGGGAGTATCATCACATACACGATCAATACTGCTGTACACAAGCCCGTCAAGAAAGCGGTTGAAAAGAACGTGTGAAGCCAGGTGTTCTTGATACCAATGAGAGCATGAATTGCGCCAGTGATAAGTAAGATTGCGCCAGCGACTCCCCATCCTGGAGTGATGCGCGGTTGAATAGGCAACTCGCCGGCCTCGATGGTAGCTTTACCACACGATCAGTACTCGAATCGTAATGGAACCAATTGACTTACAATTGCTGTAGATATTTGAGCTATTGCTGGCAACATTTCCATTGAGTGCTGAAGGAGCAGAGGTTGCCGCCGATGTAGTAGAAGTACTGGATGTCAACTTAATACTTGTCGAGGCGACAGAAGCACTATCAGCGAGTTCTGTAGTGGTCGCCTGGGAGCTTGTTGTTGATTCTTGTGAAATTGTGTCTTCTGTGCTTGTGGTCCTCGCTGCAGTAGTGAGCGTGCTTGTAGGTGAAGCATCCTCTCTTCGAATCGGCTCCAACAACCCAGCTCTTACGATATCTGAGCACAGAACGATGCAAAATGCCCCCGTCAGCCAAGCTCTCTTTGCAAACATCATGATTCCTGTTGACCCAGTGTATTTTCTCCGAGCTTGTCGCGGCACAGGTGTTTCCACTGAACCAGAAATTCCCCAGAGGTGCGGGTCTGGTAGAGCCCGAGGGAGGTGGCAGACTTCCCTATGCTGAACCAGAAAACATTATTCAATCACCTCGTAATCGTCGTTTGATTTCTAGCATTGAAGAGTCCAAAGTGCGTGCCGATATATCTACACAATGCTAAACCGTTGGCTGGAGAGAAGCCGAACCTTGTCGTGCCGAAAGTGTATACTAGCTTGCGTCGGAGTCCGGGGAAAGCTCGAAATATCACGGCATGTGATGTTAGATATATTTTTGTCGATGCCAATGACGGGTCTGCGATGAGGATGTGGTGGAGGAATAAAGAGAAGTCTATAGCCCCCTTCGTACGCAAGGTATGGCTGTGCGGGTAGAAAAGGAAGATCAAACGAACTATAGTAAAATTGACATATCATGCAAGGACTCTTGACGAGGATGCCGTTTATGCGCAACTACACGGCATGAACCAGAACATTGAGGCGCAGAAAAAACAGCGTGTTTGAAAAAGAAGAGTTCAGCCCACCTATAGATACTATCAAATTTATCTTCTTTCTAGCCTAATCACAGGTACGCAACAGTTGGCTCAGCAGCTTCTCGCTCGAGAGGTTGACCCCCCATACCGTACGATGGCCGGATGACGCAGAAAAGATCCGAATGGACGTAACTAACGCCCACGGGAGATTAGACAAACAGGATCTGAGAGAGCGGTTGTCGCTAGGCTAGAGGCCATAAAGGTAGATTCTCACACGTTGAGTATTCCCGACTTGCATGTGGTAGTCTGACAAGGGTTACGAAGTTTAGCTGCAAGTCTGAAGTCCAAGCAGGCACTTTCGGAAGCCAGGGAGTAACCCTGGACAGCTGACAACCAATTAGATCGGGTTGTAAGCCATAAAAGTGGTTCGTCACAGAGCCTCTTGAGCCAGGAATGAGCTGCCGATGCTGAGAGCTGAGATTTAGCATTTTGCTTTGGCTGGACATGCCTTTTATTTCGTCAAAGCTCCTTTTACTTCTGGGTGAAAGGGCCAGCTGTAGAGAGTTCCTTATAAGTAAACTGACTGCAATCGCGAATTCGAGGAAATTAAGGGTCGCAACTGCAACCGCTTTGGATATCGTGCCATGGCAGTGTCACGACAAGTGCATCTGCAAAAGCAAAGTGCGGAATGCATTCTCCTCCTGAATACCACGTCGCAGGCCTGGCTGGGTGTAACGCTAACGTTAGACCTTTAGCAACTGCCCACTGATCGGCTTTCGAAGGTTTCGCCCCAGACGCGTCTCACGGCACGCGACGAATCGGCTGTCGCCAATAGCTCCAGACTACTGTAGCTGCAAATCTCCACGCATTACATTTCGTCCCGAACGATCAGCTCGAGCACGTCCTCAGAACCACGGCCGCGAGATACGAGCATCTACAGTATGACAACCAATTGAGCCTTGTGCATCGTGCAAGAAGCTTCCAAGCATCAATTATATGTGTTGTCAATGTCTGAAAATCTTGTTTGCTGCCGGTAGGGCGTAGCCGCGTCTCGCCTGAAACGGTGCCAGTAATAATGATGTGACCGTGATAATGGTTTGCGCATACATGTATGTGATCGGATCTTCAATATGGAAAATACTGAAATTAGGGACCCACTCACTGTCACCGCACCAAAGCCTCAAGAGCCACCGTCTGCAAACTAATTAGATCACACAGATTATTATCAGGTATATTACGTAGTATGATGAAGATTCATCAAGGAGATCGCGAGATCACGACGTGTCGGACCAAGGAGTATTTTCGTGCCTTGTAAGATAAAATATACGCAATATCCCCCCCGCAACAGCACGACATCGGAGTTTTCGGGGACCTGCAGGGAGGGGTCCCGATATTTTGTCTCCCGCTCTCGTGGTTTCGGAACCATGCAGAGTATCAATTACCTTTGAATGCGAGCCTTAAGAAAAATGTGAGACTTTGGTTGCGCTTTGAGACCTTGCATCTCATGAATGTTAGTCGAGCGATGTAAAGAGTTTGCTTATTGATCCGGTGGCACAGAAGTACAGCACTGTTCTAGCCCTACCAGCGATCGACGCTTGGATATCCTGCTTGTTGGTCGGCAATGCAATTTCCAGCTGATCCGAGGGCGGTAACATATGTATGTTGAGAAGAGACTTGGCTTACCATTCTCGGGTTCCCATCCCTGTCTCAGCTATCCGGATTGAGCAATTGGGAGTTGGCAGGGCTAAATTCATCTCCCTACATGTACATAGCCGTACTGGCCGAAGATTTGAGTGTCCAGTCCAATCGTTGACTGAAACGCATTGTACTGCCGTCTTGGAGTTTCGTAATACATTTTGCAGACAAGTAAGGAAGAAGCAACGGGCGTTAGCGCGACAACATCAAGCCCACCTGAAGCTGCTGAACCTTATTTTCCATATGAAACTGATGAGCAGTGATTTTTTGACCACTTTCACACACCAATGCATGCGGCAGAAGCCCAGGCTCTTCAGAACGAAGAATAATTAATAAGCGTTAATCTAGTTGGTCATGAACTCCGTACACCTGCCATTTTCCTCGGCGTCGCGAGCATCGATATGCCATACTGCGTGACTACACTTGCGGGCAATCAGAGTCGTACTTTATTTACAGTCCTACACCATGGTAGTAGGTCCCAATACACCGCTCGTGCTTATACAACCATTTGAGACGGAGACTGAACCCATAAAAAAAAAACTTCATTAATGAGTATCATTGCGAACTCCCCACACATCACTTTCTCGATACCCTGGCCGGCTGGCGCTCAACATTGTACCGACCTGAGCCAGACGACCTGCGACCTTTCTTGTAAGTTTTTTCAGAGGTTGATCTGCTCGAACCTCCTAGAAGCGATGAGGCAGTTCGAAAAGGAATGGTGAAGATGGCCAGTGCTGTTCGATAAGGCAACAAGACAACGGCTGTCGATCGCTCGAATAGCCAAGTGATCATGTTCCCCGGATTATTGTTTTGCCTGGCAGCAATCGCTGCCAGTGCTATAGCATCATTGCTCCTCTGATCGAGATACTCCAGTCTTATGTCGATCTGGTCGGTCATATTGCTGAGCTTTTTCTCATATCTTCGCATCGCCCGCGTGACAGAGTCGACTTCGGGTTGTACTTTCTCGAGAAAATTGCGTGTTACTGATGACTCAATAGTCCTGACAGCAAATTGCTCATGCTCAGCACTAGCTACTGTGGTGGCTTCCACCGTAGCCTCGCCAGCGGATAGTCGTGTTTCAAGCTCTTCGATTCTGGCGTACAGATCTTGGAACTGCTGGTCTCTGTTGTCCTGTTGCTCATACGGATTGTTTGCCATTATGCGTTGCTTGCGCAGAGTGCTGTTATGTAGCAGTCCGATTAAGTGCGATATAGGCCTAATCTCCGCGGCAATGACAAATATGTGTAAATTGTAGTCACTGACTAGCCCCTCAGACCTTTGGCTTAGTTGACCACGAATTGTATGTAAAAGCAAGGCGCCCAGTAAAGGAAATAAGAAGCACCAAGCCAAGGCATATTTCTCATGTCTGCGAAGCCCTTTGGCTGCGGCATCCCGTTCTGTTTGCCATTTCTTGTAGCAACCGGATTTCGGCGCCTCCCTAGATGTGAAGTTGTGTGCTGCTCCCTTTTCCTCTCCCTCTAACATGTGCTCAGGTGCTGTCGTGGCAGATGCCGTTGTTGACAGATCCAAGTCGCTATCAGTTTCGAACACTGGTGTAGACATTGCCATATCCTTGGCTACGCGTACCTCTTGAGCAGCGTGATACCAATTCCATGGTTGTGTGACCGACCAACGTAGGAATACTGCAGCCAACCCAAGAAGAATGATATCCGTGGCGAATGCGTTACCACCCTCGAAGAACAGGCCCCCTAAAGCCGGTAGAAGAGCGAGCACTAGCGGCAGCGTAGCAGCCATGGTCTGCTCAGGGGGGTCTGACCTCATTTTGCCCAAGTTCCATAGTCCGTCTTCAGGGCTGTCGGCGTTGTGGCTGAGGTCAGAAAACGTCGAGCCCCTTCGCTGAACATCAGTGAAGGAACTACGAGCAGAACCCGCTGGGTTGAAAGACGATCGCCTGCGAAATTGTGCTGTTTCGTCCATAGTTCTAGCCCGTCTCATACCATAACCTAGATGCCCATTATTAGCAGAAGGCGAACGTCCCGTCGCGTGAGCTGTTGCCGGTGATGCAGAGCGGTCGTCGTCAGCCATATCAAATGCAAACGTTAAAACCAGAACACGTTGACTGGCCCCAGGTATTGCTCAGATCGAACACAGACTACCAGATTGACTTAAAGCCCAGAACTGATTGCATCTTCCATATCAAGAATCGCAGTGTCGACGAGTGAGGATGATGTAAAAGACAGCTGTGGAGATGCGTTGCAAGGGTCCTATTTTGGAAAATGGGGAATGCTCCGCAATGCTGAGAGCAATGCCAGCATGCCATTTGGGCTCGCTCAGCTTTTGCGGGGGATGCAACTTCCACTAAGGCATCACTATTGGTTAGCAACGTCATTTTGGCCAATTCGAACACAAAAGGCTTTGCAGGACCGGGATCGTTCATTACCGCACTTAAAGAAGCGACTCCGGCGATATATAACACTTGTCCTTGGTCTATGTTGATGCGAATGATCTTTTCATATCAATCCGCCAATACGGAATTCTTCCACGGCCAGTTGCTAGGTCGACATAGATTCAAGGTCGACATGGGTTGGGGAACTCGTACTCAAACTCGTCATAACGTTCAGCCCGATGCCAGCCACACACTAATAGGCCGTGGAGCGTTGCCCGGATTTAGAACAGGCCATCGTCGACAGAACCCAATACTTCGGATATCTTTGACAATTCTCGCAGAGCAAAGCCGTCGGATTCAAAGTATTGGGCGAGCCTCTACTGACACAGCTGAGTGGCGGTGGACTGATTTCATCGTGGGCCGAACCTGGCTAGCTATCTAAAAATGTTAAATAAAATAAAACATATTTTTAGTTTATGGGCTCCGTTTGTGTTGTATTCCCCTTGAAAATGTTGTGCGGCGGACGATCCTTGTGGAGCCGTCATCGTTGGCGGCGTCACCGAGCCTTCCGAAGAAAGGGCATGGAAGGACAATACCGAGCATGCAATGTGATACTTATTTAATATACCGTGTATAATAGTATTCATGCCGCTATGAGCACAGACCTTTACAGTCAGGCCATCCCGAGACTCTGTGGATTTCCCACGAGACGAAAGTGTTGCATGATCTTCAATCATTTCCAAGGTCAGTGGGCTATCATGATGTCTCGTCTAGATTGCATGCCAGGTCCGACAACCGACAGGCATGGGTCAAAGCGCCATTATACGCGGAACGAATGCAGAAGTTTCCTGTACGAGAGCTGACATGGTGAGTTCCCTCCAATGAAGAACGGATTTTGCATTTGAAGTGCAGTATGCAACGGGTTGTAAAATTGAGAATTCTTGTTGCGATCGTCAAAAGTCAATCTGCAAGTGGACACGATCTAGGTTAATTAGTCTGTGGTTCTCTTTGAAGTTTGAACCGCTCGCTTGGGTCACGGACTGTGGTACCTGACAGCAGCCCCTGGAACCCGGGCACCCGCGCTAGATTATCCCACATATGTATAGAGTTAGTAGATCGATGGTCGGCGAACAGAGACAGGGGCCCTAGAAAAGCTCTTACGACGGGCACCTCAGCTGAGCTGTGCGTTAGGACTCAAGCATAACCTAACCCGGCTGAATCATCTGAATTTTTCTCCTCCCAGCGAAGCAATTTATAATGGCAAGACAGCCTTGGTTCGTGTTCCTTTGGGACAGCAATCCAAGCCCGGCACTCGAGGCTGGGATGACGAAGGGAGATCCACATAGAGACTGCTCCTGGATCCTGCTCATCCGAAGGGCTGGGGCTGGGGCTGGGTTTTGGGTGTAGGGCACAAATATAATACCAACGGTCTCGCTCACGCGGTTGGGGGTGGTGAGAGCTTCGTAATTCTTGAACCTTGAGTCAACCAACACGTGCTTGGACCAACGTTGGACGATCTTGCGTTTGCCAGCATCCGTTCACTACAATATATTCCGACCGTTTAAGTCTTTTTGAAGGATTTATTCCTTTCTTTTTCTTCTTTCTACTATAACCTCGAAACACTTCTGAAGTCGCCATACCCGGGCTTGCCACTTGAACGGCAATATTCCCCGTGGGAAGAATATAGAAACGACGGTTGTGCCTTTTTTTTTTTTTTTTTCTATTCTAAGCAATCTCGAGATCTCACCAATGCACCGCAAAGCTAGCCGGGGCAGATAAGATAAGTGAGGAAAGGAAGCAAACGACTGGTGCAGGGCGGCTACGAATAGAAAAGCGAGGTTGGCTGGGTTCACAGCTTGAAGGTGAACTCAGAACACTATCTTCTATACACCAGCAAAACAATACGACTGCTCTGTGCGCAGGGTATCACGTATTCGATAGAGTTGGCGATCAGATGTTGTAACCTCGGGAGATACGACAAACTTGACTTGCTGATTGAGGGAGGCATTACGTGGGATGCAACGGTGAATGCAGCTAATCTCGCAATCTCACCATTTTACAGTACTTTAGCATTGCCATTATCGGTATGCTACTGCTGGGATTAGAGCAGTCACAGCGCCTAGACCCTCTGAAATCGCCGAAAGTGGCTAGTTTGAGGTCGGTCACTCCCCTGAACGCCAACCGCGCCGGTGCCGAACGCCAACCACTGGCTCTGGCCCTGGTTCGACCCTTCGTTATTACACCCCAACTACAGAAGGGTGCTGCCGTTGTAGGTGCAGGTGCATGTGTACTGGCGAAAGAGGAGGACGACTGCGACGCATCTCTCACACGCCGTGCCTCGCATCATCATCATCATCGTCGTTGTCGTCGTCAAGCCTTTCCCAGCACTCCCCCCTCATCAAGTGTTGAGAAGGACCGCGGCTGTTCGAAGCCATTTTGCGCGCCTCGTAAGGAATTCGAATTGACCAGTGCAAGGCACGAGCTCCACTCTAATCATAACAACAACCGCCCCGAAAGCCAAAGCCTCGAGCAAATTTATCAACGTTCTCTTTTCGACTTCAACCCCCGTTGCATTCGCAATTGCCGTCGCCGTCGCCGTCGCAGTCGTACTTGCACACCGGCCGCACCGGTGTCTTCCCAACGGCTTCACACAGATTCACTCGATCAACGGAACTGTCATCAGCCGCCCTAGATGCACTGCAAGAAGATCTTCGCATTCAATCGCTTTCGCTCCAGTCTGACTATCCCGGTCCTTTGACGCCAGGCCCCATCGACAGCAAGACTGGGGAGCCACCCACGGAAATTAACGAAACAGCACAAGCTCAAGACCCAACACCAACCCAGCAACAGCAACAGCATCGCCCAAAAACCGGCAGAAATCTATTAGCAAGGAAGGACAGTCAAGGTTTACTGCAATCACCCTTCCGCGCCCACGCGGCAGAGAATCGACAGCCACTTCGGCCCGCTGCTGCCCGCCTCTGGAATCCAACGAATTCCACTCCGCGCCCATCGCCCTCGAGTGAGAGACAGAGACAGAGACAATATTCCACGAGACGACGTCAATCTTCCAGTCCACCTCTCCCACCGCTCCCGCTCCAACATCCCGCATTCAATATCACCACCTTTTCCACCCAACTTCCTAGCTCGGTATCAGGTGACTTGCCCTTGCTAGAGCTACCGGAGCAGCTACAAGACCGTCTCTCGCCTCCCCCGCGGGCCAGTCTGCAGGTCGACACACGACCAGGTGGTGAACACCGGGTTAGTCTTCCAAGTTCTGTACGCTATTCATACGACGATAAGCGCATCTCGACAGTTCCATCACTTCAAAACACGACACCTGCGAATCCTCCGCGGTCGCACATCGCTGGTCGGTCTAGGACTAGCAGTTTCCAGCAAAGGGCGCGAGCTTTGAGCTTTGGCCTCGTACGTCCAGAGAGGACGAGTGCCTCGCCAAAAGCCATAGACAAAGGGAAAGCAATAGCTGTCATGGCCGTGTCGGAGAGCGGAGACCCCAGGAGGTCTGTTTCCAAAGACCTGGAGAGAGGGCCTGATGTACTCCCTCGACACAGCACCACCATGTCTATTCCCGAGGGTCTCTCTGCCATTTCTTCCAGCAATTCATCCATAATGGGCGATCCCGACCAGCAAGACCTGGGTGACGAGTGGGGACCACAACATCCATGCTACCCTCACCTCAACCCTCATGTACCAATCAACTCTGCCGAATACACTGGCACGCGTATAATCAGGGTACGGAGGGACTGGTTGGTTGAAGGAGACCTGGCGCCCACGTTTTCGAATCTGTACCCCGAAATCCTCGACCCAGCCGGTGTGTCCGAGCAGGAGTTCCGACGGATAATCGAAAAGCTCAATGGCGAATTGGTGCCCATCTTCAACCCATACAACTGGAGAAATATGGTCGACGGCGTTCTTGGCCTCCTCACTGGATGGATCTGGGATGATCTAGGTCTGACCAATACGAAGAGCCGACTGAAGAGCTTGGAATCCTGGATCGATAAGTGGAATATCGAAATGGAAAAGACTCTCGGAGCTGAGGACAGTATCATTGCGCCTAGGATTATCTCTCTGAGGAGGACTGGATATATGAACGTGAGAGGACTCCCTCGCCTATAGATCTAATAAGACAACTGACAATCGCCTAGCTCGATATCCAGATACCGGATCCTGAAATCGCCCCAGCAGCTAGTCAGCCCACGACAAGATCTGGCCCACCCGAAAGCCCCGCTGCTGCAGGTACAACCGAATACGCAGCCAACTCCCCTTGAATGCATAATCCGCGAGCATCATACTCCCGCTTCCTAATATTATACCCCCCCTAGCATATCTAATTACGCGCTTAGTGCGCTGTACGACTTACGAAGATACCCAAAGCCCCTCCAGGCCAATATCGATCATGGAGGACGTGTGTAGAATAGGCGAGGAGTCGTTTTTGTTATTTTCAAGCTTCATTACAGGCATGGCGAGGCGTCTTGGTTAATTGCTAATGGCTCGTTTCAACGATAATTCTTTTTTATGTTTTTCCCAATTTAATTACAGAGAATTTGGTGGCATGTTCGTTGGAATAATAGGCTTTGGAGTTCCGCCATGTAGTACCTATAAGAGACGGTGAAGTCTACTAGGCGCAAGTTCTCGAAATAAATTGGTCACATTAGTAGAATTCACCGACCGTGACTCAACTGCCGCTGTTCTGTGCCCATAGAAGACCATGTCTCTAGCCGTAGCCAAATACCTAACCTGTGTTGCTCCAGTCAGCCTTTGCTCCTGTACACAACACCTCAGTCAACAATGACGAGACTCCCATTTCTGACAGCATCCCCCTTCACAGTCATTCGCTGAGCAGTCCACTGGTGTAAACTCCCAAGATCCCTGCACGTATGAAGCGCATCAGTCTTGAGAATAATCTTGTCGCTCTCAAGCTCCCATTCCACAGACGTCAAGTCGGCATGGCACTGGAGTGCTTGCTGGAGGCTGTAGGTGATTCGTGCAGTGTCCTTACGACTGTTTGAATATCATAGGGAAGAATTGACGGTAGGCAGAGGAAGGATCGGCTTCTTAATGTGGAAGCCGTGATCGGGATCGGTGGTGGAGTTGGAAGTACAGCCGTAATATGATGGGTGGGAGTCGGTTCTGTTTCGAACGGGTAAGATGCACACGATCACAGACGGACATTGGAGATGGGTGTCAAAGATACGTACCAGACAGTGTGGTATATCTCAAGTCTGTTGCGAGGTGAAATTTGTATTATGCGAACCAGTTTCACAACCCCAGAATATAGTCGTGACTGGTTATCACAACTCATCACCAAGTATCTGGATGTGATAGTAACACTATTATGCAAATGAGCAGATTACATGAACACAACCGGACTTGATTTCGTCAAATTGGACTTCATCACCGATTGAAAGGTGATAAAAACTTCGCTCGTTAGCTTTCAACAAGTGTAAATTATCACCATGTAATGGAGAAGTTGGAGCCCTGTTATCTTTGTTCAGTAATACGTGCTAGTACTATAGCCGTGGTTGCATCCTACAGCTTGATTACCTAACGCGAGGGAAGAGCCCTACGAATCCCTACGAGGCCAACATCATCTCAGTCATTTCTACAAGCGCCAGGGGCGTAATGTGCCCGTCCTTTATCTATATAAAGACTTGCCTGGCTATCTGACCCTAGTCTCGTTACCATATCTCATTTATTACGAGGCATTTCTACGCTCACGTATCATGTAATTAGTCAATTTATGGATTATTATCATAACATTTCCATTGGCGGTTGCAACGTTCCTGTATATTAAAGCTCGTTTACAACATGAGTTGTGTTGTTTGAAATGCGTCCTGAAATAGATACATCCTACTTCGGCGCCCCTGAACCTGAAGATGCTTAAAACGACATTCCTATTTCACAATGAAGTTTACCTACTCCCTTCTCGTTGCCTCTGGCGCCATTGCTCTTCTAAGCTCTGTTCAACATCGTGATCTGACAATCGGTCCAGGGGGACTCACTGGTACACTGAACCGGCGGTGACGGTCTTTCAGATATCCTTACAGATGATCTTACAGGAAGCCTCCTTGACGGTATTGGGGGTGATTCGACCTCAGAATTCTGCTCCGGCGGCACTCCACAATGCTGTGCTGTCGATGCCCTAGGTAAGTGAGTTGTTAGTTTAGATTACACTGAAGGTTAATCGTGAGTTGCTTCTTCAGTATTTATTGCTCAGGTTAGCTGATCTGCGCCACCTGTGCTGACTTAGTCTACCGAAGCGAACTCACCCAACAGCTGCGTTCAAAGTGGCGGTCGCGCCGCTTAGTTTTGGACATTGTCTATCGTGGTAAGTTGTTGGCTTAATTCTGTGCTCTTGGCAAAATGTATTCTCAGGATTGTGTTATCTACAAAACATGTTTCCACATTCATATTATTGTTGTATTATAAATACTAATAGAATTATTTTGTAGACACAAGGCCTTGCGTGTACTGGTGTTTCGACTTCCGGAAATGGAGGTCATGGAGACGGAGAGGAAGAAAGCGATGAGCCTAGAGAGACTGGAGGCGACGAACGAGATTGTGAAGGCTTTGATAATGATGACGACCTCTTGTATAGGTAGACATTGCAAAATTTCGATGGCTGTTAGTAAAATAACCACCAGTCTTCAAGTCACTCTTGCTGTATCGCACAACAGAGCCCCGAAAGGTATCATTCCGCCAGTGCGGCTAATGGTCGCAATATGTTGGAACATTTGAGCACATCAATATTGGTAATGGACACGGTAAAGTCGTACATATACTTACAGCTCGTCATATATCTTGCTGAGTGAGGAATGGCATGTCATGAAGGCCAGAGAGTCGTAGTTGGGGAATTTTCCCTACGAAAGTATAGAGCATTGAGCATGTGTCCTCTTGTCTTCGTTGCGCGATGTGAACTAAAGTTACCGGGTTCGGAAAAGGCTCCAGCTCCGTGGAGGGGCAACACAAAACCAAAAGAATAATTAAAACATGAATAGATAAGGGGACTGTGTGGTTTGATTTATGGTACTGTTATTGACCCCATGCTGAATTGCACATCGCTATAAGTCATCATGTAAAGCCTCTTAGAGAGAGTCCACCGACCTCCCAATGCACTTCCACATGCCACATCACATAAAGACGATACGATGCTATGCTTCTTTCCATTCCTACCTAAGCCTTGCAGTAGCCGCTCTGTAGGCATCAAAGGCACAACTATAGCGATTTGCCTGGGCGGAGTTCTTACCATGACGAGTGATTAGGTACAAACTCACTGCTTTACCTTAATGCTACGTGCTACTGAGAAAGTTAAGAGGACGGAGGCTTGGCAATCGAACATGAAAGAACAAACAGACGTATATGTATGTGAGTGATATGCACGCACTTGAGGTCTACCCATGCTAATCTACCTAAATGATAAAAAGACGCCGAGCTGGCTTTTTCCCAATTTTTTTTTAGCTTTTTAATTTTGCGTCTGCAATTGGTAATTACATGATAAGTGAGCGACTACCACCTCATTTTAGACGAACCGAGTTCGTCAAGAAATCATATTGTCCTATGTCTACCTATGGTTGTTTCAAGGCATATCCATGTTCGATCTCACTGCCTCCAATACTTTGACGAATGGCGTGGCGGAATGAAAGGCCCTGCAGAAGTGACAATGGTCTGGCGATGCGGGTTTGGAAGTTCTGATGGCGGTAAAGTACTATCCTCAGATGTCTCCTTTACAACAGACTGAACATTCTTGCTTGCGTTCCACCAACTTCCGATTCTCAATCGAGTAAGAAATCTGCGATAAGCTTCGTTCGCCTCGTCGGTCATGCCGAAGAACAGCACAATTGGAATGGTTGTAAATATATTGATCCAGGGTTGATTCATGACTGAGAAGGCAACATCCCAAGAGTTGTAGAAGATGATGGCGCTCCAGGGATGGTCTGGATTATGGTGGATGGAGTAGTAGTTATAGGGATGTAGGTTTCGCATGGTCGTTGTCAGGTTCACCCCAAAGAATACCATCTGGAGTGGTACGTATGGAACAATGATTGATAAAGCCATCTGGTACAACCGTATTCTCGTGCGCTGTCGAACGCGTGAGCTGGACCGTGTGTTCGCGGTCAAGGCTACTTTCGTTGTCTTCGATATTTCGCGGAAACGCTTCCAGGTGAGGACTATTATCAATCAGTTTTTACTTGAATGAAAGAAAAAAAAAGAAAGAAAAAAGAGAAGGGGGCGAATGAGACATCAAAGCCAACTTACATGCATAAGGAATAGTAGCAACAGCGAAAGTTGCCGGTGGAATACCGAGGACTGCGACCTTGAACCAGCTCGTGTCGAACGCCCCGAGGCATCCAATCACAGGGGCTATGGCGTATCGGTTGGATGTGACAAACCACATAAGAGCTAGCTGGACTATTGGAACGGGGAATATGATGAGAGACTGGACAAGCATACGGCGTCTTCTCTCTGGAGGTGTGAGATTGTTGGCTCGCTTCAGGCGCAGACGCTGGGCGAGGTTCCGCATTATCGCAAAAATGCAAGCAGCGTACAGGGTATCTAGCGGAAACGTGATAAATGCCTGAAAGTCGCATAAACCGGTGCCGTCCCACCACTTGGCCATATCATCGTCCGGCCATATCGAGGCGTTGAGAACGGTGAAGACGTTCGCTATCACGACATCGATGATGAAGACCACGACAACAAATTCTCCGTTTCGAGCTAGGAGACGGAATGGTACCCAGCAGAGTATTGTACCTAGTATAGCGAAGAAGGTACGTAAAATTCGGTTGGCGGCAAGTCCAGGGTCAGACATTGTGATGTCTTTCGGATAACCTGGATATTGTAAGCTCAGTGAACTTGAGATATTGTTTGCCGTAGGATAGCGTGGGGTCAATGTGAATGAGGTGGAACGACCTGATATTTCATAAGTTTTATAACTTTGAAATGCTTGCCACACTCGTTTATCAAGAAAGAAGAAGAACGTGAGGTAAGGTTTGGATGAGGTAGGACAATCTAGACCTATTGAGCCTTGTGGTTTTTTTATACTTGCCTCTTCCGCTCGTGCAACATGACAGAACGGGTGTTCAAATTCTCATCAATACATTTAAGGACTTCGCTTGCATCTTCTCATATCTCACAGTTGCAGTGTTAATTCTGCTCAAAGTCCAGGAGAAGTGTTACTGTACAAACGACATCAAGTCGTGATTCCACGTCGTGTTGGCTTTCGAATCGATCTGAGGATGCTGTGGATGAGGAATGTGCAAGTCAGCAGGTTTTGGACTGAAGTGGCAAATCGTCCACCAGTAGTCCAGGTTATCTTTAATGTGGTTCCAGGGTGTATCGTCACGGTTTTGGTGATTCTACAATGGTCGCTGCAGTGATGCGAACTACCCGCCGTCGAGACCGGCAAATACTCAAGCTGTCAACTCACCGGCCAATCAATAGCTTAGGACACAATACAGGCGTATTATTAAGCTAATACAGGTTGCACTGTACTAATGACTGCGTGGTCCGTTGTCGTGGCATATACGTTGCCATTGCGGAAGCGGTCCGTCGAGGCGGCCATGTTGCACAGCAGTGGTCCGACCAGGAACGATTGTTCAGATCGGGTATTTGCACAGACCAAAGTTGCGGGTAGACGTCAGTGTACCACGAAGAGGAGTTTTGACCACGCTTGTTCTACACCCATATGTCATTTCAGAAGTTCTGGTGGTCCAAGTTTGCACCTAGTTAGCGGCACATTGTGCCTGGCAGATGACAATCAACTTATGATGCCCAATCCCACGGGAGCGTAATGAACATGCATAAAACTATTGTTTTGACCGTCAGGTGTAAGCAAGTCCAAAGAAGGTAGACGATAAAGCAGCCTCAAGAAATTATACTTGAATTGCAACAAGAAGAATGTACACCTGACTGGCGCCCAGGGTCATTGTGCAAGTATTTGCCGTTTCACTTGGCTGACGAAACCTTCGATGAGAGCAGACGGCGAACAGATTGCGTGTGAAAGTAGAGAATGCTGTTGTTCTCTCTATATGCGACTGACGCTAGTCAGACTCTCAGGCTGTATCGCGACATGATACTATCGCGTCGAACTGCTTGGCAAGAGGAAAGGGCCAGTATGCAATGCACAGATAGTTAAGTCTAACCTAGCTGGGCTGCTGGGCTGGAATTAGACGGGTGGGAGCTTGGGCCATGCATCCCGGCACTTTCGATTGCTAAATTGCTTTTTAATGCAGGACAGACAAAGCGCGACGCGTCCGCCGCCAATCCCACTAACCTGACAGCTTTCTAACGGCTCCATCGTGGGCGAAGCTCTTTTATTCTCCATCTCCACACTCCCTGTCGCCTCCATCCGTACAACAATACACCATCCCACCGGCCCCCATTGTATAAACCACCCTGCGCAACTGTCCTGAGCTCGAAATCGACAGCATGTCTGCATTCCTCGCCCGCCGTACCGCCCTGAGCGCACGCCGCGCCTTCTCTACCACCAGCCCCAGGGAGTTGGCCAAGATCACCATCGTTGGCAACCTGGCCGCCACACCTGAGCTCAAGGCTACTTCCACCGGCCGTGAGGTCATTGAGTATGCAGTCGCCTCCAACTCTGGCCCGCGCGACAACCGCACAACCAGCTGGTTCCGTGTTGCTGCTTTCGAGGCTGAGGGCCCTCGCCGGGACTACTTGACTAGCCTTCCCAAAGGGTACGTGCATTCCATTCCGATCAGAGACGCTGGAATAGGGCGCGTGGATGATATATTCACACACGGGGGATGCGGACCGGAAAAGATACAGGCATGGAGATTTGAGTGAACATGTGCTAATAGCGACGCAGATCAACCGTCTATGTTGAAGGCAACGCTGTCATGAGCACTGTCCCCGATCAGAACAACGAGGGCAAGTCGCGGTCATTCTTGAATATCTACCAGAGTAAGCAAGCCATAGATTTGCACCGTTACACGAGCCCATGAAACTGACCTGCACGAATTAGCAAACTTCGAGGTGCTCCGTCGCAGCCAAGACGCTGAGGGTACCGAATAATTTCACGCCGAATCGAAAACTATGTTTGCCATGTATGAAACCAACACCCGTTAGATGATGAGACACTCCTCTCTGGACCTTTTCATATGTGTATTGCGCCTGTCTATTTGGGGGGTTTCAGAATTATTGTATATTACGACTCTTGGGCGACTTGATACCCAAAACTACTTTTTTTTTTCTCTTCAGATCTTGGTTTATTGCTCCTTCAGCTCTAGTGATTGATGTCTCTTGGAATCTCCATTTTCCAACCCTTATTACCAAGGATCCCTCAACCCTGATGTTCTGTTACGAAGTGTTCATGCCTCGTTAGCATGCCCTGGACGTGCTCTTTTTACAGTTGCTGATTCATGATTTCCATTCACTGCAACTCCGGGATTTCTCCAGCATCACAGACATTTTCAACGTAGTCTTCCTCCTCCCACCATTGCTCTTCGTCGTCTCCTTCCCAATACTCATCATCGTCCCCACTCCAAAGCTCGGGATCTGACACTGCTTCCGGGAAGCCGTAAGGAGTGATGTCCTCGGGCTTTGGCACAGCCTTCGGATCCTCTAACGGCAACGGCGGCGGCCCAATCTTGAAGAGCTCATCTTCCGATCCAACTGTCAAAACATCCTCCCACAATGGCGTCTCCTGAGCCTCCAGCTCAGCTACAGTACTTTCAGAAGTTTTGGCGACCGCCTTGCGTTTGATCACCTTCGTCTCCGACTTGGCACTTGACAGCATCGCTTCGATACTCTCCTGCTCAGCCTTCTCTTGCGCCTTTCGTCGGCGGCCGGCTGCAAAAACCAGACCGGTGTCTAGTCGCCAGAGGGGGTCAATCATGGAATCCCAGACAACCCCGTTGCCTGCTTCTACGGCTCGCTTCGGTCTCTGTATGAGGGCTGCAGCCTTCTTGCGGACACTCGTGTCCTCCCACCTCAGCTCGCGGCTGTGGTTAATCGCAGTCCATCCCGAACAATGAGAACGGTTCGAAGGAGTGGCAGCTTTCCGACTCGGCTTCCTGATCAAGTGTTCATCTGACTCTGGTGTCGTGGCTGTAGTTGCCGAGGCATAAAATATGTTCCCATCCTCTGGCAATAATAAGATCTCATCGTCGCTATATACCACAGTTGCCTTCGCATTCCTTGTTCGGATGACTAGCGCAGGGGCGGCGTGCGTTGCATGTAATCTGGATTTGTCGACACATGTGACAGCGCTTTCGTCATCGTTTACTTTTTGCTTGGTGGCTTTCTTCATAAAGCCCCTCTCTGCAAGAAAGTCGTCCAGTGCAGCGTCGCTTTCCAACACCACTCTCCTGCTGATAAACACGTTAACATCGTTAGGTGAGGACGCCTGGTATGGTGACGATCCTGGATGGACTACATGTCTGCTGGTCTGTCTGGAGGTGAGCTCAGACAAGAACGATTGCTCTGCAGGCAGGCCTTCAGAACGCTGCTTTCCAATGTAGTCGCCCAACGCTGCCTGGCTCTCCGAGACGACTCGGTTGCTGATAAATCCCCGGGTAGAAACAGCTTGAAACGGTGAAGATCCCACATCAAAGAGGGGGTTGTCTACCTGTGAAGGGTTGTGCTTGATGTCTGTTCGTGCTGATTTGGCAAGACCTGTCAGCGGCGTCTCAGCGTTGCGCTTTGTGTTGGCGACTTGTTCCGGTTTATCGGGAAGGATCTTCATCTTCTTCTCCTGCCCTTTCAAGGCTTGCCCGGCTGAATAACCGGATGCATACCGTCCCACATTACTTGACATCTTGACGAACGGGTTCAGTGATATCTTTGTTCAGATGGAAAGAGCTCTTATTGGTCCCTGAAAAATCGAGATTGCCAAAAGTGCTGATGGTGGTACAAAATGATGCTCTAGTTGCTGAAATATTGCCTGGAAGGACAATAAGCTGTCTTAGATGTACAAATTATGAACGCCAGCGTGCTTTTCAGAGGTAAGAAGTGTTGTGAAGATGTGAACGAATATTGCAGTGAAATGACATAGGATCAAGCTGCAAAAGTGATGGTGGTAGTGCATGCAAGCAAGCAAGGGAATTTATATCAAATTTGAAGTACTGCAAGATGTCTAGAAGATGCTGAGCTTGTGGTCTGAATCAGTGAATGAGTAAGAAGAAGTGGGGTTTAATACCTAGTCAGAGAATTGTCCTGAGGGCGCAATCATTTCCAGTGATTAACAACACAATACCTGAGCTTGGATGGTCGAGGCTTAACCTCAGTCACAATTGTAGAGCCCTCAAGCTGTGAAGTTCCCCTCGCCTTGGTCTCGATCTGCTTGAATGTGGGACTTCTAGGCACTCATAGAGACTGTCTTGGTTCTGATAATTGTTAGGATCATGAAATTCGGGTGCGATGTGGCAGGATAAGTTGTACACCGGACTTCAAAGATTATAGATGGAACTACACCATCATGATTTGTTAAGGCTGGTAAATGAGTCGTTCCCACTGCTAGAAGACGAGAGCTGATCTGTCTTGTATCGTTGACTGAAATTAAGGTCGGTTGGAGAGCTATTTAGTTCATGCTAATACTGTAGGAACTGGGCCAAGACGCGCTAGATAGAGAACTTAACAACAAATATATTGTTCGCTGGCTCGAGGCCTTCTGAACCAGTTAAAAATGAATGAAGAGCCCGCTAATTAAAATCGGGAAACCATTCACTATGACCGACAACAAATCAAATGGCCAAGTGGTGGGCAGAAACACTTGCAGACACCCTAAACAACTATATTTATACTATGATGACATAGGTTGATGTCCCTACCATTGGAATTACATAGGAGTATGAACGGAAAGTTATGATATGTTTTTGGGGTAAAATGAATTATCAAAATCACTCCATGGAATGTTATTGTTTATGTGATCTTACAATACTCGAGTTGCACAACACCAGAGCTATAACTCTTAACGAAAAAGGCATCTCAGTAATGTACTGGTATATCGACTTCCTTGGAGACAACTGTTGTACCAAGGCCTATAGATGCTGATAATTTGATTTTCCGAGCTTAAGGGGGTTTATCATCCCTGAAGGGCTGTAAATGTTTTCTTATAGTTTCATTTGTATTATTGTGATACCGCTCGATTCTCCCACCTGATCCGCCTCTGGAAGCAAATTCTGCGTATCTAAGTAATTTGAAGATTTTGCTATACCAAAGATTCTATATTCACCAAGGTCATGAAATGATCGCATAACTGCCCGAATAGACAGAATATTGGCGAACATGGTGCTTAAGTTTGATAAGTCTCGGGGCATCGCCTTGACATTTAAACCCATACTGTATACCACGAGTACAGTATATCTTGGTGAGAGTTTGTTGTACTCCTTCACAGCCTCAAAAATTGTCTGTTGTATTTTCTTAACGCCCATGCATTTCTAAATACCAAACGAGGAGGCCTCACGCAGCCAGCCATGATGGCTTTCAGTGACTCGAAACTATGTGGAATTCATGAATTTAGAAAAAGAAGATATCTATTTTTGCAGACAAGTGAATTTCCATGTTCTGAGGGGTTTGACAATCGAAAAAGAGTGTATTAATAAAATGAGGAAGCGAATTCTCTGGAAGGTAATTGGATGAGCAAGTTAACGAGAACTTTAATAGGGCGTGAATCTGGAGGGGGAGGTGTTACCTTGAGAATTTCCCAAATTAATACATTCACTAATACTCAAGAACAAAATGAGGTGGGCTTTTATGTCCAGTGTAAGATCATTATTGGTACTAGAAATTTATTACTGAGTCTTACTGGGATTTCATGATTTGAGGTTCTGACCTCTATGGTCTAGGTCTCATCAGAACAACAGCCGTAAATACTCGAATATCTGCTTTAAAAGTATGTACGTAAGGCCGATATTTCACATTAAAAAGTAAAGATTTTATGACTAGTCGTAATTATTTGACGTGCGAATCTTAGAACTGTGAGACACAAGGCATACGAACGCATTGGTTTGGAATTGCTACTGAACTTATCATCCGGTTTAATCTAGCCTTGAGGAGTTACGGTCATGCTATCCGTTTGTAATGTGACTATCAGAACAATCGTCGTCACTGACACAGAGTACAATCTCCTAGTTGAACTTCCCATAACATGTCTGACACCACTGTTCTCTGTCATGTTGAGAACACCTACGTAAAAGCCACCTGCTAGGGTCGTCGTGCTTAGTTCAAAGTATGAAATAGCAGCTATGATTATCGTATTTTCGAGTTATATATCGATATGATAGATTAAGCCATCGGTTAAGTATATATAGTAGTGCATGTACTCAATCGTGTTGTTTGTGTTTGGCTGAGAAAGGAGTATGTCTGCGGAACTGTGGAGGCTTGTGGTGTAGATATTGGCGATACGAGAAATGAACTACATATAATTATCAGGACACTAATGGTGTCGTCTACCGATGTGTGACTAGCATGACCTACTATTGCTGTTACTATGCTGGTTAGCTAGGCAATACCAAGGAGAAGACCCGAGATATAAATGACAAAACTTTTGAAGAGAGATTTTGACAGTTGTGAAAAGGTTGGGCGTAGGAGGTGTAGGAGTGATTTCTATTGGAGAACGCGAGGAATCTAGCAGGAACTCAGGTAGAGGACTCCAACTTCTGGGCGGAAAGTTCATTTATCCCTGTTTGCATGTATGTTCAGGCCGATCAAACAAGTCTTAGTTGAGAGTCGGTTACAGCACAGCTTGATTTCAACGAGACATACAAGTCAAAACATTGGGCGATGTGTGGGGTTATAGCTGCATCAGTTGCCAGCTAGGGTCGGGAATCAAGCAGTGATCTTCCCTGTGACTTTCACTGTTATTATTAGCACAGCCCTCGTTGATCTTAAATGTCTCTGCTCACATCTGCAAGCGCATGATATACAACATGCCAATTCTTTGATTGTTTTGGTGACATTGAACATGTAAGTAGCTAAGCTGTTGTGCGTTTTTGTATGTGAATTAACGGACTTGAATGTGATGCACCAAAGCAGCGCAACATGACAGCAACCCCCTGACGCCGAAAGTGCTCCCTTTTGAAGTGTTGGCCTAAGAGCTGTAACCAGTCCGCCTTTCTACAACACCATATGCACCACCTCCCTTACCAAACATCTCTTGGACGTCCTCCACAATCTCCTTGGGCCTTTCCCAAGCCGCAAAGTGGCCGCCGCTTTTGTGCTCTTTCTCGAACACTGTCTCGCCCAAAGTACGTACCCATGTACTTGGAAGCACATGAATATCAACCGGGAAATGACTGAAGCCAAGCTTGACTCCGGGAGACCATGACTGCATCCTCTCACGATCCATCTTATTGGGCCGGTTGTCGACATTGTGCCGCGTTTCGTAATAGATCCGTACACTTGCCGCCGGACCAGCTGTGCTGAACCAATAGATGCTCACCCAAGTGCATACTTCCTCGTCTGTCCAAGGGTACGCGTCCGTCCAGTCGTGCAGCTTTTCATATATCCAGGCAAGACATGCTACAGGACTATCAGCTAGTGCATAGCCGATTGTCTGAGGTTTCGTCGATTGCGCGACGCTATAGCCAGAGCCTTCCTTCTCAAACCATTTAGATCGCGTTATACCATGTTCCTCACGCTCGTTATAAGATAAAAGAGCATGTTGAGCTGCTAGGATGGGATTTTTGGAAAAAGAAGGGGCACTGCCGGTGTTCATATTGAGATGAGTAGCTTTGCAGTGCTCGGGGTAGAGATGCGATAAGCTGCGGCTGATGTGGCAGCCCCAATCGCCTATCGAACGTGTCAGTGGAAAACTACATGGGCACTTTGGGAAGGGGCACATACCGCCTTGTGTGACATATTCATTGTAGCCGAGTTTGAGCATCAGCTTGTTCACCGTCTCTGCATATTGCTCCTGCGCAAAACCTCGCTTCTTCGGTCCCTCTGAAAAGCCAAAGTTGGGTAGAGAAGGTGCGACGATGTGGAAAGCCGGGGAGTTGATACCATCTCCGTCTCCTAGGGGCTTAATGATTTTAAGTACCTCCTCAAAATGTCCAGGCCAGCCATGGATGAAAAGCAATGGAATGGCATTCTTGACCTTGCTTTCCTGGTGGATAAAGTGTACGGCCAAAGGCTCAAACCCGTCGCATTTAATGTCAGTCACAAAGTGAGGATACTCATTCAACCTTTTCTCGGCGGCCTTCCAGTCAAAAGTACTTTTCCAATAGCTCGTCAGGCGTTTGACATCTTGAAGTGGGGCGCCCATATCCCAGCCGGCTTCGTCAAGCTCATCTGGGAATCTGGCAAGATCAAGACGCTGCTTGAGGTCGTCCACGCGGGACGAGGGAATGGAGATGGTGTAGGGTTTGATATCTGCCATATTGACCGCCAATTGAGATTGTGTATGTATGTGGCTCGGCAGCTACAGCGGTGATGAGGTAGACTTATGAAATTGCTACCCGCCCTGGATGCATTTGAGTTTCACAATGTAAACACTCTTGGAAACAAGAACGAGTTCTACCTTTGAAGGCGAGTATTTATCGGTTTGAATATGTGCCGTGATTTTTGCTTCCTCATTGATGTGATGATGAACTCTATTGCGCTGCAAAGCTTAAGCACGTCCACGACATGACGTTTAGGGCGTGATTGACATATAGCAGCTCCACTGGTGTCACCATTGCCAAGACGTCAATCCCCCCCCGAACTCAAAGCTGGGTGGACATCCAAAGCCTCTCAAATGAGATCGAATGAGACACGTCCTCATAACCGTTCTCTGCCATGCTTATTACCTTCTTTCGCCGAACCGCCCGAGTATGACATCATTGTTAACCTTGTAACATATTGAAACTCGTAATCATAGAAGAACCACATCAAAAGTATTCGTTACATTTCCGATCATAATGGTGTCTGACTGAGTCCGTCTCTGCCTGCACATCGCACAATCCTAAAGAATTGGCTGCTCATGGTTCAGAGGTTTGGTAAGGCAATGAAATGATCGGAGAGACGAATCGCTGAGGCGGCGGGACTTAATAACCCCACGCTACTGCTCTTGGCCTGTATGGTAGCTCCACAGGCTAAGTGTAATGTGGACCGACTATATTTAGATCTACTTCATGATAGCGCTGATCTGTTCCAAGTGTAAACATAAAGATTAGACTCGTGCAATATATGATCCATTCGCTTGATAATGAATTTAATCGCAGACAGTGGGCACTTGACCAGTAGAGTGGGACGGATCCCCACAGCGAATGTACCTACTTCGTGAAGTTCTTTGAAATCGGACCAAATCAACTAATGTTTACGAACATTATAAAACAACGAATACGAGCTAATGGTTACTAGATAATGAGAACGGCTCATCGAAACCGAGACAAATTGAATGAAGATAAAACATGAAGTCCAGCCAAACCCAGCCTTATTGTCATTCATTTTACTCTATATACTAATCACTCGACGTAGTTTACAAACTGTGGTAGCTCGCATTGACCAGTTGTTCGGCCTTGATCTTGCGGTCCATGTCAAGCCCTTGAAGTTCATCCTTGATGTCCTCCATCATAGAGTCCTCCTCGTCCTCCTCGTCGCTATTGTGATCATCTTCATCATCGCTACCACCATAGATACTGTCCGCAGCCCCCGCATCCGCCACGAAGTCTACGCGATCGAAGAATTCGGTCCTGCTATCCACCTTGGGTACCGTATCCCTCACCGACCATCTCGCCACTTTGATATTTGTGAAGTGGCTCCAGGCAACAACATACTCATCTGTGCCATCGACCTCATCAGTGGACCGTTTTATGCCCTCAGCGCCGTCCACGAGCTCGAGGTCTTCCTCCGCCCAGATCGACCCCTTGGGCGACTGGCCCCATTTCTTGAGACCATACGCGTACTTGCGCTGTATTACGAGAGTCTTTGTTAGTTGGCTTTTTCCATAACGGCAGGAATTATTCTTTGTAGTTCCGTCCTCGTCAAGACTACTAGCTCACTGCTTGAAAGGCCAGCAAAGCTGTCACAGAAAGATCATGGACCAACATACTCCCGAATAACAAGCAAATTTTAGAAGGTAAGTAGTGGCATACGTACGGCGTACTCATTGGCAACCTCGACAGTCAAAAAGGCGCCCAGAATCCGATAGCCTTCCTCTCCCTTCGTCTTTGACAGATCTCGAGGATGTAAGTTTTCGGCTACAATGTAGATGGAGGGCTGGGAAGCTAGATATTGTTCCAGCGTCTGGTGAGAAGAAGAAGGAGGGGTAGATGCCCTCTTGAAAGTGCTGCGAGTCATTTTGTGTTAAAGAGAGCAAGATAAAACACGAACTGTAGGAGTTATGATGAATGACTTGGCATCAGTGAGAACTATCATCTGTAGTCCATGGCTTTTTATACCCTCTTTTTTGTCGACCTACCTCATTGACTATCAGTCACCTCGGTTGCCAATAAAGTCACCGTCACGCATCAAACAACGCGTCTATCTCTCTTACTTGGTCGTATTGCCCATTCAGGACTATCGCTTGACATGTTGTAGTCCGGCATGGAAGCGTGAATCGTGGTATCGCGAACCACCAAAGTGGAATATTCAGTGCTGTGCCGCATTGGCATCACTATTCAAGTTTAGACCAACGCCAAGACAAATGTCACTCAGCAGAGCAGATAAAAGTCTCGTAAAATGTACCTAGCTACATTGGATAGTATGAGCATTAGCGGAGGCAGACGTGAACTCGCCTCTGCCTCTATCGTAGAATCCGTCACGAAAGGCTAAACGGGCAGTCAACTCTACAAGTACTGTTGCGGGAAAGGGAGGTCAATACAATTTATACGGTACTTGTTCAATCTCGATTATCTACTTAGATGGACTTAATGCAAGGTGCTCCGCTAAGTCCGTATCGTGCATTAAATCCGTTAATTTGGTTTTAAGTAGAGTAAGTGCAGCAATTCACATTGATTCACGCAAGCTTACAGCACTCACGCGCCGCCAGGAAGTACATATTGCTTGTGCTTTAGTGGAGTGCGCTTCTCTCTCAATGCGGACTAGCCGGATGGTATATCGTTTCTAGCACCTCAGTATCTCGCGCAAGGACCCAGTATCAACAGTTTACCTGAAAACTCGACAACACGAGACACGCTGTGGTGGTTCAAGGGAAGTAGTACGGATTAACCTGCCAATACGACCTTAGATCATACCTTCGAAATGTTACTATGAATTCTATATTGATCTGGCCTACAATAGATGTATCATGTAAACAAACAGAAGTTGTAGCTAATCTTCCTAATTAACCATACGCAGGCATTGGATTGCGCCAACTCTGGTGGGGTATTAGCACAACTGGCAACAGCCAATGAAGTGTTTCTGTAAGCTCAAAAGTTTAGGCAGCCCCCGACAGGTAAGTACTAAGTTACTCAGACATGTACCTCCTGTAGGAGAGAATTGAGTGTCTTCTCAACTTCGATCTCATTGACATAAGTATGCGCTGGCAGGTGGCCCCGTTGGCTCTGCCGTTTTGCCTATTATGGCAGGCATCAGCGTTTCCTCTGGCTCATTCTAACGCCGCGTCACTTCTGGACATATCAATTTCAGACTTGAGCGCGCTTCTGCAGAGCGGCGCTATCACTAGCTACGATCTTGTTGAGCTATACTTCCAGCGTATCGAGGATGTCAATGCAGAACTGAACGCAGTCATCGAAATCAGCCAAAATGCATTGGATGTGGCCAGACAGCGTGACGATGAGCGTGCTGCTGGCAACCTCAGGGGTCCACTACACGGGATCCCAATCCTAGTAAAGGACAACTACGCTACAACCGACGATCTGCAGACTGGTGCTGGAAGCGTATGTCTTGCCAAAGCACGACCATGGGAAGAGGCCACTGTTATCGTCAAATTACGGCAAGCTGGGGCTATCATCATCGGCAAGACGAACCAGGCCGAATTCTCCGGTGGCCGCGGCTCTAACAGCACGGCAGGTTGGAGTCCTCGGGGAGGGCAGACTTTTGGCGCATATGTTCAGAACCAGACGGCCTGCGGCAGCTCCAGTGGAAGTGGTGTATCTGCCTCGCTGGGCCTTGCAGCTGGTACTCTCGGTACCGAGACCGCTGGCAGCATCACTTGTCCCGCGTTCATGAATAACGTTGTTGGCATCAAGCCTACGGTCGGGCTGACATCCCGTTATGGCGTTGTCCCGTTGACGGCCAGACAAGACACAACAGGCCCGCTGACACAGAGCGTCGCCGATGCCGCTCTAATTCTAGAGGTCATTGCAGGCAAGGATCCGAGGGACAATTACACACTATCGCAGCCATGGAGTACGCCTCCTCGTTACACGCAAGTTCTGAACGCCTCGGCCCTAGAGGGGAAACGCATTGGAGTGATACGGACCGACGAGCCAATCTTGGACAAGTCCTTGTTCGTCAATTATGATGAAATACAGGTGGTGTTTGACGCCGCCTTGATATCGCTTGAAGTTGCCGGAGCACAGCTCGTCAATGTCAAGCCAGAAGGGTTCACTGGCTCACTACTCAATGCGACAAACCTCGTGCAAGGTAACATGACCTTATACGGCAGGCCTGATTACAAGGAGTCATTGACGAAGTACCTTGACAACACTATTCATGACGCACAGAGCCCTCAAAACCTAACTCAGTTGATCGAATGCATCAGGACAGATCCCTCAGAAGAAATCGATCGAGTCAACATAGACTCTCTTGAGAAGATTGCCGCGTGGAACAAGACTGCTGACGGACAGGAGGCTTGGGAAGCCTACAATGCAGCCAAGGAGTTGGCGAGAACTATACTATTGGGATCCGTGAAGAGAGAAGGCTTGGACGCCATTGTCACGCTGCTGGACGTTGCCCTGATATTTGCAGCCCCAACAGGTCTCCCCATAGTCACTGTTCCAATGGGTTCTCTCGGTCAGAATGCTACCGTAATCTGGGATGAGAGTGGTACGCTCATAGAGAGCGCGCCGGGAATGCCTCTGGGGCTTAGTTTTGTGGCAGACCGGTGGGAAGAAGAAGCGCTTATCGGTTATGCATATGCATTTGAGCAAGTCTCCAAGGCGCGGGGCGAGCTGAAACCTTGGATCAAGCCTGGACATGATCTAGAACTGATCCTTCGAAAACCCAGGTCTGCAGAACTAAGATGAAGTCAGCCAGGGAATTGACGAGAGCTTTGTGGCAAAAATGGGGTAAACGTACTGGTGTAATCCCTGTTCGAATGGTGTCCGGCCGTGTAGTTACTGGACGACATAACCTCGACTTCGTCCGTAATATATCCTTTGATCAACCCAGCACATCATACTCTGTGTGGTGCTTTTGCTCGTGGACGGACAGCCTGAACAATATGGTTGGTTATCTGTCACTAGACTATGCCATAATGCTAGATTTCCCATGAAATAATAACAAAGCGGCTGAACGCGCCACTGCTTAAAATATTTCGGATCGTAAAGCACTGTAGCTCATGGCCTGGAGTCGCTAGTCTCTTATTAGTAGGTATTGCTTGCTTTTTGATTGAAGAAGGCCTATGTACTGGCAATCACTGTTGTACGGTCAAAATTAACCTTCGTTGGCGATTAGTCATATTGGCGACAATATGGGCAGTTCCCCAAATAGTCAGCAAGAATAGAATAAACAACTAGTTTATCATGTTTTTCAATTGTTCTATTGATATAGCTAAGCTATACAACCAGAAACAAAATAAACATAAACTTCATACTAATTTTTAGCATGTCCAATACGCCTCACATAAATCCTTTTACCCCCTAATTTGCTTACCCAACCCATTTTCTAGCGTTCAAAAACATCTTGAACCACGGCCCGAACTGACCCCACGAGTCCTTCAGATCCTTAGGTGCATAACTGGACGAATCCGCCATAATTGTTCTCTCCGGATGCGGCATCATAGCTACGACACGTCCATCGCGACTCTTCACGCCAGCAATAGCCTGCGGGCTGCCATTGGGGTTGAAAGGATACTGTTCAGTGGCATGACCGTAGTTGTCGACGTATGTGATAGGGATGAGGCCACTGTCACTCAACGATTGTAATTGGTTCTGTGAAGCGAACTCAGCGCGACCTTCGCCGTGCGACACGACGATGGGGAAGGTAGATGTGGTCATGCCGTCAAAGAAGACGGATGGCTTTTCCTCGCGAATCTGGACCATGGAGAAGCGGGCTTCGAATTGCTGGCTGGCGTTCTCGACAAACGTGGGCCAGTGCTCGGCACCAGGAATGAGGGACTTGAGTCTGGTGAGCATCTGACAACCGTTGCAAACACCCAAGCTGAAAGTGTCTGGCCTTTTGAAGAAATTCTCAAAAGTGCGGCGGGCATTCTCGTGCATGAGGATGGATTTGGCCCAACCATTACCGGCACCCAACACGTCACCATACGAGAACCCACCGCAAGCAGCAAGACCTCGGAAGCCATCCAGGGAGAAGCCGTCCAGGATGTCGGTCATCATCACGTCAACGGCATCAAAACCAGCGGCACGGAACGCGAACGCCATTTCTGCGTAACCGTTGACACCTTGTTCTCGCAGAATAGCAACACGAGGCCTGGACCCAACCAAGGTCTTGAAAGATGCCACAAGTGGCAGACCTGTGTCGGCAGGGTCGAACGAGAGTTTATATGAGATACCAGGATCCTTGGCATCAGGAATTGTAGAATATTCAGACTCAGCACAAGCCGGGTTATCTCTGAGCTTCTGCATCTCATAGGAGGTGCTTGACCACCATTGCTGCATTTGTGACCGATCCAAGTCCGCTAGTAACGTGGACCTGTTTCTAATGACAAGTGATTGCTTGGTTGCTTGTTTGACGAAGCCGATCTTCTTAATCAGACCAGGGGGTGGTCCGCATGTGGCGAAGCACTTCATGAATCTGGTCTCATCTGTCTTCCGGACTTGGAAGACGGCACCGAGTTCTTCGTTGAAAAGTGCCTCCAGAGTGTGAGAGACTGACTCTGATTTCGCGATATTGCTGATATCAATCTCAGCACCGCACCGACCAGCGAACATCATTTCTGCGACAGTGGTCAACAAACCACCATCCGAAATATCGTGGTATGCAAGGACAATATTTTCCTCGTGCAGCTGGGATACGGCATCGAAATAATCTTTGATCAGCTCCACGTTTCGCACATCAGGAGCCTCGTCTCCAAGCTGATTGAGGGTCTGTGCAAGCGCCGAACCGCCCATTGCCTGGCGACCTTCCGCAAGATCTACGTATATCAGAATCGAGTCACCGACATCCTCAACGCGGTGAAGCTGGGGCGTCCAGGTACTGCGCACGTCCTCAACCAGTGAGAAAGCAGTGATGACAACCGTCACAGGTGCCGTGACACTATTTGCCTGACCGGTAGCCTTGTCCTTCCAAGACGCTTTCATGGATGTGGAGTCCTTGCCAACAGGTATCGACACACCAAGCTGAGGGCAAAGATCCATACCAATAGCTTTGACAGCTTCGTACAACGCCGGGCCTTCTCCCGGATGGTTGACGGCCGCCATCCAGTTGGCAGACAACTTGACGCGGCGGAGATCGCCACGAACGTTATGTTGATTCTTGATGTCAGCAGCACCCAAATTCATGAGCGACTCTACAACTGCCATACGGGCTGATGCAGCTGGTGAGATCAAAGCCAAAGTCGGTTTTTCTCCCATGGCCATAGCCTCTCCACGTCGTGTCTTTTCGTCAATGCCAAAGGATGTCATAGTCACTGCCACATCAGCAACAGGTACTTGCCAAGGACCTACGAGTTGGTCCCGTGCCGTCAAGCCACCGACAGACTAGGTTCATGGTCAGTATCTCGAATGCATATATAATCGATCCAGATAAAAAACTGGACTTACTCGGTCACCAATGGTAATGAGGAACATCTTTGAACCAACGGAGGGCAGCGTGAAGGCCAACTCAGTAGCCTTAGATATGGTTTCGCTCATGTCGGTCAGGTTGAATTTCTCTCTTAGGCTTGCTGCTGCGTCGAAAGGAGACAAGACCTTCTTCACAGTTTGTACATCTTTCTCCAGTCTCCTTCCAGGCGGGAAGAGGGCATCCATGGGCAGGTCAATGGGAACAGGGTGCTCTGAGGACTCTCGGTCTGTGAGAATCAACCTTGCACCACTTTTGTCGTCCTTCGAACTGACAGTCCCTACGTTGGAGAACCCGCATCTCTCTCGCTGGCAGATCTTGGTGAAGCGATTAATGCCCTCCTTGTTTACGAGCAGTACGTATCGTTCTTGTGCTTCGTTGCACCAGATCTCCAACGGGCTCATGTTGCTGCCGGAGACCTCAACTTGACGCAGCTCAAACTTGCCACCAAAGCCTGCATCCTTGACAAGTTCTGGTAGGGCATTGGAAAGACCACCAGCACCTACATCGTGGATCATGGCGATTGGGTTCTGGTCTCCGAGACTAACACAGGTGTTGATGACCATCTGTGCGCGCCGCTCCATCTCAGGGTTTCCACGCTGCACACTGTTGAAGTCTAGATCTGCATTGGCTTCCACCGAATCGTTGCTGGAAGCAGCACCACCGCCAAGACCGATCAGCATTGCTGGGCCACCTAGCACGATGACATGAGCACCATCATGAACATCGTCCTCGTTCTTAAGAGCGTTCTGCGGCCTTACAGTACCAACACCGCCAGCAATCATGATAGGCTTGTGGTACCCGCGGTATTCGCCATCCTTCTTGGACTCTTCAGGTGCGAGAAGAGTGCGGAAGGTACCGGTCAGAGCCGGTCGGCCGAACTCGTTGTTGAAACGCGCACTTCCAATAGGGGCTTCAAGCATGATATCGAGACTGCTGGCATAGTGAGCTGGCTTGTTGATATCCAATTCCCAGGATCGCTTGCTTCCTGGAATGAGCAGGTCCGATACCCAGAAACCAGCAAGACCGCCTTTGGTGGTAGAGCCTCTTCCCACTGCGGCTTCATCACGAATCTCACCACCGGATCCAGTTGCAGCACCGGGGAAAGGAGAGATGGCGGTAGGGTGATTGTGGGTTTCTACTTTGGCAAGCATGTGGATGACTTCCTTGGTCAGTCGCCAGGAGCCTGAGTTATAGTCAGGAGCCCAGTAGTTGGCTACCTCTCCCTGGACGACCGCAGCATTGTCGCTGTAAGCTGAAACTGTATAGTCAGGGGTCTTCTTGTGGGTGTTCTTGATCATCTCGAAAAGACTCTTGTCCTGGCGCTGGCCATCAATGGTCCAGTTGGCGTTGAAAACCTTGTGCCGACAATGCCTACGCATATAGACGTTAGAGACGGCTTGGAGCACATTTATTGATGAATGAATTCTTACTCGGAGTTCACTTGCGCAAACATGAACAGTTCAACATCATGGGGCGGGCGGCCGAGCTTCTGGAAGACACCGACCAAGTATTCCACCTCGGCCTGGTCAAGTCCTAGGCCCTTCTTCTGGTTGTACTCTTGCAGTACAGCGATGGGTTCCTGGGCACCGGCGAAGATGTCGACAACTGCCAGAGAAGACTGGGCGCCGGCGCTGAACATATCGACGGTACTCGGGGGCTCGAAAGTCAGGGACTCGGTCATGCGGTCGTAGATGATGTCGCGGAAGGACAAGGCCTGTTCGCCACTGAAGGGGCTCTCAAACTCGATGGTGACGCATCTTCCCCGTTCGATGCGGTTGAGGGTCTCTTTCAACCCACAGACGTGGGCAATTGCAGTAGCCTTGGAGCTCCATGGCGAGACGGTGTTGCGTGGGGTAATATAAATGTCCAAGGACTTGTCACCGTTGGCGGTAGATGATTCTTGAGTGTAGTCCAGATCCAAGAGCTGCTCGACCTGGTCGCGTCCGGGCTTGCCGGTCGTCTTGAAGTCGACGAAGTACAGCCAGTGGCCGCGGATGTCCTTGACCTTGACCTGGCTGAGCTCGTTGATGCGGGCGAGCAGCTTTTGCGCTTCGGCAGTCGTGAAGCACGACAAGCCAGCTAAGACCTCGTGCGACATGTCAGTGAATCAGAAGGAAAGGCTTCCTTCTAAGCAGTGGAATGTGTATCTCTGTCGAGTTGGGGGAGGTGACTCCTGGCAGTTATTGCGATGCAGGAACACGAGCAACGGAAGAAGGACCCCTCCAAAGGCCGTGGGGGAATTTTAATTCTGTTATCGAGCGCTTATCAGATGGCGGGGTGAACAGAAGATCTCGTTGCGGGCATCAAGACCAATAGCGTGGAGAGGATTCAATTTTGCCCACATGCGTGGTACGACGGGTCGAGTACCGGTTGGCTTCTATGTACATTTTAAAAGCTGCTGCGGTATGAGGAAACCGCATGCTGTAGGTTAGTCAGTTGGACATGCGCCGTTTATCGGAGTCGATCGTGAAAAAGTGTGACAAACTTGGGGGTCGGAGCGGTCGTTCAGTTTTAGTATGCCCAGAGCCCAAAAACCAAAAGCCGTAGGGCTGCAGCAGTACTATGTAACGCGGATATGCTATAATCCACAAGTTCTAGCACTATGTAAGTGATGTTTTGAGGTCCGACATTTGTTTACCTCGGGTAGAAGCCTTTGACTTTGGGTTGTAAGAAGATGAGACAGACTCAGATTATAACCCACTCCTCTGGCACAGCTCAGCACGAACGGATTCGATCTAACCTAGCATCTTGTTCTTTTGGGGGGTTCCGGACATCGCATTGACTAGACTAACCTAGTGGGCAAACTGGCAGCGGGAACGGGAGAAGCACAGCAGGGCAGGCAGAGCATAGAGCACAGACCAGATTTAGGGTCAAGAAAAGGTTGGCAGCGATTCGGCCCTCCATATTCCATAGCACAGAGTACTGTACAGCACACACGGCTGACGGATCCGCACGCACTACGGACCCGTACAACCCCCATAATTACTTTGTACTCCGCAGGCGCGTGTTCGCTTAAACAAAACCGTCTCCACGCCATGCCTAAAGCGGACCCCAAAGTAAACAAATCCCCCGCGTAACATCAGACCTGGCACACACCTGGGACAGACCCTGACATCACCCTCTAATATTCCACTCTGATATCATCGGATCCGGCCATCGACTGGTGTGATATTATCGCTGTCTTCGCTTGGCTGGCTCAAGTACAACCGTAAACCAGTCCATCTGCACTGCCTTTGAGCTCTAAAGCCCATCATGTCGACGCCGAAACGACGCTCTGCTCGTATTGCGAGTGCATCCAAGGTATGTAAACAAACCGAAAGCTCTCGCTGCCAACAGTAGTGAGACCTCACGACGAGACCTACAGCCGCCAGCCAGCAATACTTACTAACTGCCGCATTTCTTCCCCTCCAGACTCCAAATGTGTTCACTCGATTGGGTTCGGTCATTGAAGGGGACGAGGAACCCGCCCAGCAACCCTTCCGAAGCTTAGATACTATCATGTCTTCGCCCCCCAAACCCAGTACACCGGTCAGCGCAGCACCTGTCAAGCTCGCCATGTCTGAGATGCATCCCAGCAAAGTTCATCAAACCATGGCTCCCCCTTCGTCCGGCCTGAGGTTTGGCTTCGTCGATATCAATACCGATGAAAAGTCCCGACATCAACCATCTGGCATCACTCAAACCACCCCTTCCAAAACCCGGATGCCCTCATCAGACTTCACTTTCCGCGTTGCTGGCCCCATGGCTGGAGAGACCGAGACCAACCTTAGCCCTGAGGCACGCCACATGATGGACCAGATTCGCGAGCAGGCTGCCAAGCACAAGGCCGCCGTAATGGCAAGGCGGGAGAAGGAGAGAATTGAAGAGCATGCCAAGCTGGTCGAAGAGCGTGAACGCGAGCGCAAGATCGCCAAGGCCCAGAGCAAGGTCGGCCGCTTCGACGAGGCTCACATGCGAGAGTTCAAGAAGATGGACTCCATCACAGTCCCTGGCACCTTCACCACTCCCAAACCTTTCAACTTCAGTCCACTCAAGTCGGGTATGAAGCGGAGCCAGTCCAAGGCAAACCTCGACGAGCCCGAGCCATCGGGACGCAAACCGCGCACTGAGAAACCGCTTCCATCCCTTCCGCATGCCACCGAGGAGCAAGGCGAGCGTGACGAGCCGAACACACGCGCGAAGCGTGCCAGACAGCGCATCGAGGATGACGCATCCACCCTTCGACCAGTATCGCGTGATGGAGGCAAGATTCCGCGGCCTAAGAGCATCATCGGTGGCGTCGAATCTGCTCGATCCAAGACTACCACTGCCAATGAGTCGTCCCGCCCCAAGAGCATGTTCGGCCTCGATTCTATCCGACCTCAGAGCAGCGGTAATGACTCAGTCCGAAGCGGTATTCCCCGTGCGCAAACCACGGCAAACCTGATGACACCAACCAAAGCGACTGTGGCCAAGGCTAATATTCCCAAGACTCCCACTATCACTTTGGTCAAATCACCCAGCAAACCGGACTTAGCTCCTACGAACCAATCTCCGAGCAAATCTGGTCTTGGCGGCCTGGTCAAATCGCCAACTAGATCCAACCTTTCTTCTCTCCTGAAGTCCCCGACCAAGCCCAGCACCGGCGGTGTCCTCAAAAAGTCCATCACTTTCGCCAGCCTGGGTGCTTCTCAGACCAACCCGTCACTTGTCCAAACACCGGGCCGATTTGATAGAGTTAGGTCGATCCTCAAGGGACCGTTCACCGCATCGAAACCCAAAAGTCACTTGCCGCAGGTTGCCGTTGCCGCACCCAAAACCCCAGGCCGAACGGAGAAAGTGATTTCTGGAGTTCCGATGACTACTCCTCCCCACAAGCTTGCTAAGCGTGTTGAATTCACTCCTGACACCAAACAAGCTGCTTTGAGCCAGAATTCACCATCTCCCACCAAATCTGCCATACCCCGGTCGAGGACATTGCCGAAGCTGCCTGCACCCGAGATGCGGTCCATCGAGGCCGTGATGAGCGCCAAGACAAGTCGGGAGGAGATAGAATATCCCGATCTCTCTGCCTACGAGGAGGTGGCTGCCCAGGAAAAAGCCGAAGCGACCGGTGAAGTTAAGGAGCCTTCCGTGCTGCCCGAAGGTGTTCCCGGCACTTTCACGTTCCGTAGTGATCACACGATCAGATTCAACAGCACATCGCCGAGTGGTTTTGGTGGTGCAGCTGGACAGTCTAGTCTCCGCCATGTCCGACCCTCCATGCCTGGAACTTTCCCTAGTGGCATTGAACCGACTTCTCCCAACAAGGAGAACAAGGATCCTGCCGTCATGACGGGTATTCCGCACGGCATGTCTAACAAGAAGAGACATCGAGCTGTATGGGAGGACGAAGAGCTCCAGTCGGGTATTTCGCATGGCATCACTAACAAGAAGCGCCACCGAGCCGATGCCGATTCCGAAGATGACATGGAGAAGGACGAGGGTGCCGAAAGAGGTGCAAAGAAGGCTCGCAAGGAATCCACGCCTGCAAAGGGTCAAGCACTTGCTGCTCCCAAGCTTGCTGCGACGCCTTCTCCCATGAAGAAGAAGCAGAAGCCTAGAAATGGTGGCACGCCCAGTCCTCAGAAGAAAGGCATCAGTCTCAGTCGCCTGAACATGCTGGCTCGTCCCAAAGTCCGGAAGTAGTTCTATACTATGGAGGAAGTACATATTGTTTTTGCATCCCTGCGTGGCATGAATCGCTACTGGCTAGCAATCTGCATTGAAGCCGTCAGGATTTATAACGTTTTTGTGCCGTCTTGTATACACGGCGTGAGAGGGCTATTGTCAACACAACTGCTGCTTTGGCAGAAGGTATATGCACAGAATTTGTTGTGTCGTATCGTTTAAAAAGAGGCGTTTGGTGGCTATACACAGAGAGGTGTCGGAGTTCTACGGCGTTTGACGCTTGTGTATTTAAGTATCGACTGCAGATTTCTAATATGAACAAGATTTCAGTTCCGATTCAGTACAAATTGATATATGGTATCTGGACGTTCTAGTGAATTGGTGTATTCACTTGTATAACCTGCGAATCGCTTTTTCGACTCTCAATTCAACACATGAAAGCCAAACTCACTAACCTAACGCCATTGGCGACTTCCACGGATTTCCTCAACGCACGTCATGGCCCCGACCTTGACTTCTACAAGATAAACTGCTGAGCCTTCCAAGACTCATATTGCTTGATCACCTCTTTTCAGTACTTCACCTAATTGGACCTTTGTTTCAGAGTCTCTCATTTTGACATCTTATTCTTAATCGGAGCTGTCGTTGGTGAAGATCCGACCCAGAGCCTGCGTACGTTTTCTTTTAGACTATACTTTATTACATAACGTCTAAATTCCTATCTTCTTGTCTCCATATGGCAGCCCGACATGATCTATTCACTTGTACATTTTGTTACCACCTTGCTCACGGACCACCCCACGTCCTAGGTTGTAGCGCCCGCCTTGCCTGCAGACCCTGCCAGGATTCTGTGCTTAAACTCGCGACTTGCTGGGTATGTGGTGAAGTCATATGTCGAGGTGAGGAATGCGTCAGCCTCGGCTAGTGTTTTTGGCATCGCACCTGCTACGGTTGTTTATTCTGTGGCAGCAGACGGGTCATCCATGGCCCCTCGGTCAGAGATGTATTCTCCGACGAGGACGAGGACAATGCATCTCAGCGGACACTGAGAGAAGGTGATTTTATCGCCCCTGGAATGACTGGAAAGGCAAAAGAGATTGAAGAAATTCCCATGTGCGCGAATTGTGCTATTGGCACAGAAGATGACGACCAGGATACCGTAGTCCAAAAAGCTCTTCGACGGATCGACATAGCCGACGGGGGACTCAGCCGTAATCGATGGGAAAGAGGAAACGACAAAACCACCATCGCGGGCACAAGAAAGTTTCGCCGAGCATCAAGTAAAGTTACGAGACATAATGGAGAGGCCACGGCACTACCTGCACCGCTTGCACATGGTTCATCCCGATTGGCTACTGATGGTGCCATAGATCATAGCGAGGATGGTGGCTACTGCGCGGTACCTCTTGACTCGACCATTTATGTCGACGTCAACGATCCTACTGGTCTACCAGCTTTCAAACCCAGTCCTACGAAGCCTATCCCGCAACGTATGCAACCACCGTGGATGAAGACCCTCCCGAACCAGCACAAACCGTCAAGAGTAGTCAATTCACGCCCGCAGTCAATTCTAGACAACCACTTTAGTGATGTGTTCTCTGTGTTAGCTAGCCGTTCTTTACCATCAGAGCCAGAGACAGTATGTCCTACAGCTATAAATTCACCGTCTCGAGTACTTTCACCCCGAAAACAACAACGAGAATTGGAGCGTGATACGGAATACTTCCTATCGAAAGCAGGACACGATGACGTGGAGGACCTTAGATCGTCTCCTGTAATTGTTCCACGAGGACCGAACATATCTTTTGTGACATCCGAACCTCTTAAAAGACCCTCTTCTCGCGTTGTGGGCTCGAAATTGACCAGAAAGGATTCTCTCCCTATGGTTTCAGGTCAATATCGAAACCCGTCGCCATACCCTGTACCGCCGCGTAGCTCAAGTGCTACCCCAATGATTCCGTCAATATCAGCCTCACCTCCGCAGTCCATCGGCGAGGGAGATGAAAGTGCTTCTCTGTTTCAGACAAGTGTAGACAAAAAGTCTCCTTCACCGCTTTCAACTGCCATCGCACACATGAAGAGCAAGATCCACCGAATCCCTCCACCACAAAGTACCGAATACCTCGAGTTTTACAAACCAACACAATCAGCTTCTGCAAGCATCCACAGACCTACTGTCAGTATCGCAGTGGCGGGCCGCGCAAAGGGGCGACGGGTCGGAAACTGGGAGAAGCCACAACCGGTTGTCGAGATAACAAGGCGAGATATCGATCTCGACCAGCCACGGAAGCAGGCATAGCAGAGACAACACAGCAAATATCATCGCTAGACAAGCCTGGTAAACATGGTGTAGAGGGTACCCTACATGTCCGTGGAATGCTCAAGAAAAGTAGCGTTCAAGAGGACACATGGAAACACTTCGGCCGCGGCAGCAGCAACAGGAGGTGAAGACCACCAATATTTTATTGTACTGTAACTTTACACCTGCATTTTAGTTTACCACACATCTGAACGAGATGGTCATAAACTTGTTTCATTTCACTACCATCCTACCTCACTGTCTAGCGACCAAGCTTGGCATCTCCATTTCCTCTCCTCAAGCAAACTAACTCACACTACAAGCTTGGTAAGCTAACAACACAGGTCAAACTATTTATGCACACAAGCGCTACCCCCAAGAAGCGGCCGACATTTTTCTCACCTAGCTTTGTGCTCTGGAATAGACCATCTTTTCCACAAGCTGGGTTGGCTCACTCGCCCGAGCGAATGACTTTCAGAGAGCATCACTCAGGTCGACTTGGGTTCAATTCCCTCGACAGCTATCACTACCATTTTTGCCCATTTCTCATCAATATCCTCACCTTACCTACTAGAAGCTTGCAGATCCAAGTACACATACCAATTCAATCAGGACTTTTTGAAGACCTGTTATGTTACACTTTGTACTGCTCACTCCGTTCTGATTTATTCTTTTGAACAGGTTCTTGCAACCATCATACGTGGTAGTGATCTGAGGGATGTCTCCGCCATTCGGGTATCTTTGTGTGTAGAACTCCTCAACATTCTCACGGGCCCGTCCGAAGGTCAAAGTTTACTCTCCACCTCGTTCATGCAGTACAGATGCAGTACAGGCAGAAACAGGAAACGGTCGTCCTTGAACCAGATGCTATATAATGCTAAATTAAGGGGCCTCAATCAATACTCCACGAAGCCACAGGCCACGGTGGTGTAGTGGTTATCCGCGCAGACCTAGGATTAATATCCTTATCTCAAAATCATTATCTCTCTGGCTGAGCCGTCCTCCCTCAGCCAACCTTCTTTTTGCACTTTATCAGGTTGCGAGTTCGAGATGCGCGAGTTACCTCCAAAGTAGCTTCTTCTTGAATTCTTTTGCTGGCGTGTGAGAAAACGACAGCCCATTACTTGGTGGTGAGATTCTGGACTTGGCTGCAAATGTAGATGTGCAGGGTGGCTATTTTACATTTCAACATAATAGCACGGAATTCTGCATGTATCGAAGGAAATGCTTATGGTGTATGATTGATATCCAGGTGTTCACTTGAGGGCGCCATGTGACATGACATGCCCCTGCAAGCCGAGCATTTCTCTCCAATCAGCTCCCGGCAGAAACCATTGTGTCTGCTTGTGCGTTTGTATACATGGACCAATGTATGTTTTGCATGTCTTACGGTGGTGGTTTCACAAGCGCAAAGATCTATATGTGAGGACATTTCGTCGACGCCCCCCACGCCATGGAACAAGTCGCCAAGCCTGTGCAATGTGCTCCCCTGGCAATGCCCCACCAAAAGTCCGGGGAAAGCTCAACGAGCCTCATTGTTTAGCGCAACGCAACCCAACGACATGCCTTCCCACCACCATCCCAGTATTTCTGACTGTCCCAAGAACAAGCGGCTGGCGAACACAACTCGTATGAATTGTTGCTGAGACTTGGAGAATTGGACGCCCGCCCACTCAAAGTCCTCACTACGACTTCCTCTTGGCCGCAATCATGGCGCCAATGGAGGGCGCAAGCCACGACCAGCTGGAAGGTACGTGTCTCGCCTCATCCCCAGAAGCGCACCATCGTTCAGCAGGACTAACCTCCTCTCCCTCGTGCAGCCCAGCTCAAGGAATCCCTGCAGTCCATGTACAACATCCTGGTGCAGACGACGGCCTACGACAGCACGTCGTCCTCGTCGGCGTCCTCGCGGCCCTCGCGCGACGTCCTGGCCGCCGAGGTCCGCTCCCTCCAGCAGTCCCTCCAGCAGATCCACCGCACCGCCACCACCCCGAGCCCCGAGGCCTCCCTGCCCCACGTGCCCCCGGAGCTCATCCAGTACGTCGAGAACGGCCGCAACCCCGACATCTACACCCGCGAGTTCGTCGAGCTCGTCCGCCGGGGCAACCAGCTCATGAAGGGCAAGCAGGAGGCCTTCCGGAGCTTCAGGGACGTCCTCGCCGAGGAGATGGGCAAGGCTATGCCCGAGCTGAGGGAGGATGCGAGGAGGGTTGTGGAGGCGACGGACTTCCCGCAGCGGTCGTGACCTGGGTCGCTGGACAGAGAAGCAGGGGGTGCGTCAGGGACATGGCATGATTTGGGTCGTTGCTTAGAGGGGCAGGGCGTTTGGGATAGACATGCATTTCACACGGCATGGTATGGTATGGCGCTTTACTTGGCATGGCACGGAATGAATTACTGATACCCGTAGTTTTTTTTTGCAAGTTGATAGTGATCACGTTCAGTCACAAGTTCTTCAGACACCCAAGTCATCACACATCAGTTGCTGCTTACAGGGTGCCATGTGCTCTATTGGGCAGACTCACCTGACTACTTATCTAGCAAGTCGTCCGGCCCCTATCGATCAAGCATCCCAAGACAGAAGATACGCCAAGTGCAAGTGACACTCCATGAGAAAAAGATCCTCAGACCTCCTGGCAAACATCTTCGCCTCATAGCAGAAATCTTCGCTTAGCACAAAGATATTCTCCGCTCCGATCGCACACTGTCCTTCCCAATGCCTTCCAACGACAAAAACAATCCACTGTTGCTGACTTCACCTAGGCGCTGTTGTCGCCCTCAGATGCCATCGGACCGTCGTTCTCCTCGCGGCAAGTATCGTCCATATAGTAGTTCTCGTCCAAGACGCGACGGCCCTCGTTTGTGACCTCATGGCGAGGCTCGTCCATACGGTGGCCGTACAAGATACGATGGCCCTCGTTCATGACCGGGTTCATGGCCGGGTTGTAGCCGTAGCCGCCGGCGCGCTCCTGCAGGTAGGCCGGGGCGACCTTGGACATGATACCCCAAGGGGTGACGACCAGGTTGGGGTTCGGGACGAAGGGCTTGGCGCGGGGGTCTGTTACCAGTTGTTTTTGCGGTTAGAATGAGGAAATGGGGAGTGAATGCGATGAGTTTTGAGGTAGTTGCCAAATAAGGAAAAGAAAACATTTTGAGGAGGAAAAAGGACTTACTGAGCTTGAAAGCAGCGTTCTGGGGGGTGATGGTCTCGATGACAGTCTCAGCATCAGAAGCAGCGATCGGCTCCAGGTCGGCAGTGCCGCGCTCCAGCTCGGGCTCGGAGACGGTGTAGTTGGCTGAAGACATGGCGATACCATCAGAGGCGGTGTTGCCGTTGCCGTTGCCGTTGCCGTTGCCGTTGCCAGCAGCTGCAGCCTCGTCAGTAGCAGCGGCTTGAGGGGTGTTCTCTTTCATGCGCGAGCCACCGAAAGGATTGCGAGAGAACTCCTCCACGTAGCGATAGGCGCTCTGCATGTGGGCAAACTCAGCCTCCCACTCGGAGTCCTCTGTCATGGGAGTGGACTTGTCAGCAATGTTCTCATTACTCCAGATAGATAGCTAGCTATCAACGATGCTTACCATGGCCGGGTTGGTTGTGCTGGTCTGGGAGCTCGTGCTGGGACCGGCGCTCACGAGCAAGGCGCTCACGGTCACGACGGATGCGGGCGAGATGCTCATGGTCCTCAGCAGGGTAATTGCGTGCGTCTCCAGACATTTTGGTGGTTGAGTAATCGGCGATTTGGGTGGTATGTGATGATTAAGTGAGCAGCGACAGTATGGTGAATGGTGAAGGAGTGATCGGCGATTTTGTGGTGAAGAATAACAGATGAACAAGAGTGTATCACAAGCTGAGACAAAAGCGTATTGTCGGCGATTTTGTAGCTCAAGGTTGTGGTTGAGGGGGAAGGCCAGAGAGCCCTTATTGAAACTTCTGAATTTGTGGTTTCAGCAAGGCAGAAATCAGTAACGCAGAAAAGCGGATGCCTGAAGCTCGGCTAGAAGAATTGAAGGTTCCTTTGGAACTACAAGTCTCAAAGCTCAGATCAGATGAGAAAAGATCAGACTACAAGACTACTCTGTGAGGACAATCCATCTCAGGTGCATGACATTTAAGGGTATTCACAATTCATAAGCATACAATCATTCATTCCCTTCCTACTTTTCACGAATGGGATTCGAAAAGATTTTAGTAGAGCAACAATCACTGCTATGAATGTGTGTATACTAAACTTTTATATAAACACATCTATTTTCGGCCATACCCATACACCATAATGAGATAGTACACAACACATACAATAAGACATCAAGCATAAATTATGTTCTACCATACAACTTGCGCTAAGGAGACAGAGATCAATCAGAAACTACTCTTTATATTGGCTGATAATAGCCATTATATAGATTCTTTGTTTATAACAGCCAGTGACATACTATGGTAGTTCAAAGATAATTACAGTACAACTCTATAAATCTGCGTTACTCTAAACACTTACCTCGTCCTCTCCACTAACGAATAATGACCCATACGTCAATAGACCTTTCTGCCAAACTTGGAATTAACTTTCACCCACCATTCTTAATATATACTATCGTGACTAATTTTCCACCATTACACAACCCATCCACCATGTCTAATAGCAACCAAGAGAAATCATCCTTGACTAAGAATCTCTTACTCCAAAAATTACAATAGCTGCAATAATAGGCCCCGATGCACCCATTCACCCCGGGCTCACCCCTGAATATCCATCGCCCAAGCCTACGGATAACATTAACAACGACAAGAAGGATAATGTTCCAAGTTCGAAGGGATACGTTGCGAACTCGTCAACTATTCAACAAACTATCATGAAATTTTTCACCGCCGATGGCAAGCCATTGCCGTGGTACTTGTTACACACGCGCCCTTCCTTGATTGGGCTTTAATGCGCTAGATTCAATGGATCATGTTTTTAACAAGAGGTATGGCGCAGACTTCATATGAGAGCCGGTACATATGAATTCGGTGGATAATGTAAAGTTCTGGTGAGATACTCCCGTTGAAATAATGGTCACTTGATGAGTTCTATAATCGAGCACAAGAACGAGTTGAAGTGCAGGAGTACTGGTAGTAAGCATGTGAAGCTATACGTATGTAACACATTGAGTAATGTTAAAAGAAAAAAAGAAAAAGAAAGACGGAGGTTTAGAATTGGGTTGAACTGACAACCGGTATTTAACATAGCAGCAAGAAGAAAGCTCATCCATACCATACTAAAGGATATCACAAAAAGTATTTATTAGACGCCCCTCAAGTTACCACTGGATTTCTCTTTTGGCGCGGCGACGTTTCCGTTGCTATTTGTTGCGATCTGGTCCCGCCTCGCTCTGTGAACCAGGAATGGGCGTCCCCATCTAGGTCCCCAGCGCAGGGACAGGCATCGTGTCTGCAGGATACCTTCAGGTGACTGGGCAAGTTTTACGCAAGAGGTGCACCTCTTACCACTAACCCATAATTCCCTGAAAGGCTCTGAACCGGTTGGAAGAAGGTTTGCCTGTTGGGAATTAAAAGACTACTGCTCTGTGGGTGGCTAGTTCCTCCGTGAAATAGCCTTAGAAGCTTCGTTGAGAGCGGTGGCATAGCAACAGGCCGGGTCTGAGGGCGGGGGAAAGACAGAGTGTTTGTCTCAGGAGCTGTTGACGGCTCCCAAAGCCTCACCCAGGGCCCAGCTCTGCAATGGCTTACCCATCTCGGCAGGTATGAACAACACGAGCTGCCAGTAATCTGCTTTGGGTATTTTTTCACCTAGTCGTCTGACGAGCTTTGGACCTCATCGAATACTAGACTTGTCACATAAGTATATCTCAAGAGAAGTTAACATGAAGTGATCCTGACATAGCCACTATCAGATATGGACTAATGAAACTATGTACCTAGCCGGCACTTCTCTGATTCGACTTGTATCCAATCCCGCTCAAGTGGCAGACTCGCCGATGTAGCCATCAGGTCGAACAGGCTGCATTAGGCTCTTTCAATGACCACTACAGATCAGCGCAGGCGCTTCGACGGGCTCATCAAACTCATATTACCTCTGGATCTTGTTGGCTTCTTACGTCATTTCAAGCTGATCCAGTCAACTCTACAGGGTCGTTCGCCGCTTCCAGCTCTGAGTATATTTCCCTGGCATCTAGTTCGGTCTTTGCCACCCTTCCCGCACGAGTCTTGTCAGACAGTTCAGCTATTCCTAAGACGGAAACTTCGCTGTCAACGAACGGTTGTTTCGTCCTTCTCCGTTGTGATCTACGCACGGCGAAATAAATGTCGATCCCAAATAGTATCAATTCAAACGTCAAGCCAATGACAACTACTACTGTAAAAGGACCGACGATAAAACTGTCAGAGGATGTGTTTGAGATGGTCCTGCCAGCGGCCGCAGCAGCCGTGGTTACTGGTTTCTATGGGTTGATCGGAGGAACGCAATATGGGATACCGAGCTCAGTGAATACAAAAGGTTAGCAATCATATGAAGAAGCAGGCATCGCCGAATTGAGGTCGCCTAGTCCTATAGTTTTCTGCCCTGAGTAGACTCTTGTTTGTGGTTGCCATAGGCAGCTGAAAATGTTCGCAAATTATATGGGTAACATACAACTTCAGCTATACAATAATAATAATAATAATAATAATAATCTATTTGGATTGCGAACGGGTTTATTTGTGGTGGTAGCTATACGGTGAGTGTAGATTGTGTAATGAAAGTCCCATTCATCTGAAAAAGAAAGAACTACCACCAGCCGAACGGTAGGATCCCCTGCTGGTCATTGAGATAAGCTCTTAACTGATGCGCTTAAAATGTAGGCAGATTGTCTCCCTTGACACCAAGACTGTAATTATACTGACAAGATGGTCGCAAAAATTTGTTGGAGAGCAAATAAGTGTGCTCATGATGAGTGATTTGCGGATAGCAAGAGGTTTGCATGTTGTGCTTTTTGTTAAAATGCTACCTTAGGGTCAGTGGTCATCTCAAGCTATTCCACGATATTAACCTGGCATTTCCATTGAAATAAAATGCAAGCTTACAATTCATTACTCTGCCTACTATTTAACATTTAGAACGCCAGAACATACTACAACGGTTGCTTTTTAGAGATCAGTTACTGTTACTCTATGTCACCAGCTACTTGATAAAGGTAAATGCATTATATATTTCCAATTCTTGTACTGAATCGGAATCATACTGCTGGTTGCTCGTCACGTCTTCTTAGCCTGTTGCATTTGTTGCTCTAATCTCTTAGTCAAGTAATCTTAATATTGGCACTTCAGCCAAGCTAAGGTTACCTTTAACACTTGCTTCTGTATCACTATCCAACACGGCTTTCAAAAACAGTCTCATGAGGTAGTCCCTAGAAGTATAAGACTCAATGTATAGTACAATTGGCTATCTAAAGGCCGCCACTGTTGTTGCTCTGGTTCTTTCTCCCCGGCACCGCTTTTAAGGCGTTAAACAAAAATCAATCATCATCAAAACAAACAAAATGGCAGTAAATACTATACTCCATATTTCTGAGTCCGTGGATTGGCCCTCGCTGCTATTGGCTTTTTACTCATTCTCGACACTAATGTTGCTCCTACCACTGGTGCGATTTCGTGATTAGGGAGCCTACGGCACTTAACAACAGAATATTTTGTCGGAATGGACTCTTAGCCATGCCTATATGATCATAATAGCCACTAGTTATTTTAGGGTTATGTCATGTGCTGGGATTGTCGATTTGGCCCGAGCTTGCTAAATGGTTTCAGTCCTGTGCAGCTCAAAGTTACATAATTAAGTCAAGATAATCCCGATTCCTTAACATATGTTGTGCTCCGAGTGACCCCTGTGAAGTAACACCATAAGTTCGTCGAGTTCTCCGTTGAGTAAAAGATAAGCAAATTGCCCTCGTTTTAGAAGCACAAGCGACGAGCGATCTTGTCTGCGGCAGGCTGGTCGTGAGATGCCGCCCCCTTGGATTGAAGTTAGAAGGATCAGTTTGGGGTTGCAACAGGGCTGCAGTGCATCATAAATCTTGACAAGGTGACAGGCAAGTCATGATATGATCGATGATGCGATTAATGTGATCCTTGATGATATGATCAATGCCAGGGATTAAGCGAAGTGTAGTATGTCCACAAAAAACTGCCATAATGCCTCACCAAAAGTTGTGACTTCACTTGTGTGTAGAAGTATCCCCCTTGGGTGTTGTGGGTTTGCATTTGGAAAAATAGGTATCCAATATATACGTGTTTCTTCACTCTAGCCACATTACTCATTGCGTGCCAGACTTTAGTGAGACCTCATGCTGCGATTCATTCATACAACAGAAAAGCCATGTACTTCATGACCGATATATCCTTGGCAGAGTAAAGCCTCTCTCAAGATAGGCAAGTCCCGCTCCAGATATTCACTCAGCGTATTAGATATTATGTTTACCAGTTCTGTCTGCTTGTGTAGTCATTATTATGCCTTGAGTCATGTAGATGATTGATATATGCTGTGCCACTTTCCTCTCTAGGCAACTCAATAGTTGGCGCCATAATTAGCAAGCGCCTCAGCCGGGCTCCGGGTTGCCACAAGCTCTGCTACCAGATGATGGGTAAGGAGCTCTACATTGTTCATTGGTCCAATATATGTCCCCGCCAGCTCAGGCTTTCATTCGAAAGGAGGTTTGCCGTTCAGGGCAGTTTCCGCGGAGGCTCATTCCCGGCGTCAGAAGAATATATACAAAAGCCAATAACAACAAGAGAGATCCTCCACAGACACTACTAGTAATGATGTTAGAATACTGTTTTGGGCCGTAGGTTTAATCATCGGGGTTAGGTGGCACCAGTTGTCGCATACTGATGTTTCCCGGTCATTGTACTATCTCTTACTACCGTCAACTGCGACGACATAGAAGCTGTCGATGCCGCGGCCGCTAGTGGGAACGCACCATATACACAGTCTTCCACACATGTGCTCCCGTTACATCAGCCCTCTTCCACGAGAGGCTACTAAAGTCGTCCGACTTGAGATTGAATTGAAGTTGACCAGTAAGTGGCCTCGTTGGACGCGGAGCTGGCACAACTCCTAATAGACCGCGAACCGCCAAGCCATTTAGCTGAATGTATATTCGCCAGAGGCGACGCAAGACCACCCCAATGGGAGGCCGCACCATATCTGAGTGTATACGTTGTCCTTCATGGAGGTCGTTGCGCAGGCTTGTTCCTACCCCGTGATGCATTCAGAACCAACATAGGCCGCATCCAGTAGAGCCAAACCAGAACAATTATTTGCATTAGTTCCAAGGTTCAAACGGTTGCTGATAGTCGTACGAGGGCTTCATTGGGAAACGAACCATTATCATTGATTACATTGAATGCAGAAGGAAAGCAGCCGCTAGTGTGAATAGTGATTGTGAAAACGCTGATGACAAAAGCTGTGATACTCACATTGATAGTCCCCTCGGTATAACAGTTCAAATAACCACCTACAGAATACGGAAACCTCTTTGGAAATGGTGGCGGCTATGAGTTCATGCTGTGGGATAAACTCAAAGATTATGTATTGCCCGTGAACGCACTCATCTTCGACACATGTTTTCCTCACAGGTCATGTCTCTGTATATGTTCTTATCTTACAGTAAATACTCGGCATATCTTCCTTATCCACCATTGATACGTGTCCCGTCATCATTCATCGGGCCAAACAGCGAACAACTCACCACCACCTAAGTCAGCGCCTCGAGTTTTGCCAGAGGATAATTACGATCGAACTATTCTTTGGCAAAGGGCCCGATGTACATCGAGCCGGGGAGTTCAGGCTTCCCTGAAAACGATGGATCATTGTGGAGCGGTGTTCCTTGCTGTTGCTGCTGCTGCTTTGTTTTATGCCACCGTTTGAATGGTCGCAGGGTACAGAAAATGACCGGAGCCAATACAGCAACTCCTCAAGGCGCCCGAAGTCCCCCATATACTCTACAGGAAATTATTTAATGCCACGGAGGACCAGTCTCCCGGGGTTGGGGGAACACTATGTCTGAGTATAGGTAGATTCACTATGTTGTACAGTCGTTATAAATTTCATTTGCCAGCCAAAAGTAGATGCAATACCAATATAAGCTGGTTCTGGTATATGTTTTTGACATCGGTGAAGTGGTGAAGTCGTTTAGTCTTCACAGTTCTCTCTCTTGACTGAAAGAACGAGACAAATGGCAATGCAGATCAGTTGCATCCGAATACAAAGCCACTTGACCGTCAACTTTAATCAAATCTATCAAGATCTCATTAAGGTCGTGACAAAGTCGTGGCTTGTCATTTAACCTATGGGTCTGATTGGACCACGCACAATCGCAATACGATGAACCCGGGGTAGTTCTTGGCCGTAGACTTCACCCATGCAGAGCAAAACACTGTGCCACAGTAAAACATAATCACAATATTCAAGGATGGTTGAATGAATTGTGATTTTGCCAAGGCGCTGGTACATCTCATCAAGCTGACAGGATACAGTAGCGTGGGCCTGGCCCTGATAGTAATTTCCTTAATTCTCTGCGCTTTTTGTTCTACCATAGACATCGTCAATATCCCATTTCCGAGTATACAAATACGCCAAAAGATGCAACGCTATACACCTTTGTATTGTTCTCGTCGAAATCAATCATGTATCATCAATACACTTCTGCTAGCATCTAGCCCTTGAGAACCTTGACTAACTCCTCAACGATCTTGTCGCCGACTTCCTTGGTGCCGGTTGAGCCACCCAGGTCCTTGGTCCGTACACCACCATCGATGACCCTGCGTACAGCCTCCTCGATGGCGTTGGCCTCCTTGGGTAGTCTCAGGGAGTACCTGCACATCATGGCAACCGACAGAATTGTACCAATGGGATTAACAATGCCTTTGCCTGAGATATCAGGTGCAGAGCCGTGGATCGGTTCGTAAATTCCGTTGCATTTGCTCTTGCCATCGGGAACGCCGCTCAGACTGGCGCTGGGCAGGAGACCGATGGAACCGGGAATTACACTAGCCTCGTCGCTGATGATGTCACCAAACAAGTTGCTGGTGACGATGACACCATTCAGAACCCTTGGGCTCTTGACCATCAACATGGCGGCGCTGTCGATAAGCTGGTGCTCGACCTCGAGTTGAGGGAACTCGTTCTTCATGACTTCAGTAACGACCTTCCTCCACAGTCTCGATGTTGCCAGCACATTGGCCTTGTCCAAACTCCAGACCTTGGCAGGTGGGTCGCGAGCCAGTGCCATGTTGGCTGCCAAACGTGTGATTCTCTCAACCTCGGGGCGGCTGTAGGGCTCGGTGTCCATGGCATAGCCGTCGCCGTTATCTTCCTTTCTATCACCAAAGTAGATACCACCCGTCAGTTCGCGAACGACGGTAAAGTCGGTTCCGCGGCAGATTTCGGCCTTGAGGGGCGAGAATTCTACGAGGGCCTCGGAAGCAAACGAGCAGGGGCGCAAGTTACCAAAGGTGCCCATCTCCTTGCGAAGCTTGAGGAGACCCTGTTCTGGGCGCACGGCACCAGTACCCCATTCTGGACCGCCAATGGCACCAAGCAGGACGGCATCAGCGTTTTTTGCTGCGGTAAGAGCTTCATCTGTTAGAGGCACGCCGGAAGCATTGATGGAGCACTGTAGACGATTAGTGTTCGTTTGACAGGGCCGCGTTCTGGGTGCGAAGACATAAGAGTACGGCATCTAGAGGGCGGGTACCGCCGGGAGCTTTGGGTTAAAAGTACAGGGGGAGCTACTTACACCACCAAGAAGGTGATCTTGAAGATTGAATTTTACAGAGTCCGAGCTGTAGCTCTCGATAGCCTTGAGGACCTACGACAAACTATTAATTGAGCCCCGAAATTGTGTGGTTGTGAGTTGTGTATTTACCTTGATAGCCTCGGCCACAACCTACATGGCGACACGATATTAGTGAAAAGTTGAAAGAGCTAATGAGGTCATTGAAAGCTCACCTCAGGACCACAGTGGTCACCGCCAAACACCACAATGTTGTGAGAAACCATTTTGACAGAAATACAGCTTTGGACGTTAGGGAGTCTAAGGATATGGTAGTAGAGAGACACGGTAGTAAAATGGGAGCAAGGTAAATAGTCAACGATCACGTCCCCAAAATTGTTTGCAGTGTTGGTGCCCCGCGTTCGGTCAAGGTCAATTGTGCTTAACCCCACCAAGCGAGATCGGAGTCCTCTGTTGCGAAGCCTGGAGTAGCTGGCACTTGGCTATCGATAAGCACAACATATTGCATATAGCTGCCGAAGAAGGCGTTGAACCGGTTACGCATGGCTGTCGACGTCAAGCTTCCATGTCCGGACCCAAATGTAAGCCTCGGGTATCCGTCTTTTCGGAAGGTGGATGCAAATGCTTCGTCCTGGCCAGCCGACTACGCTGACCATTTGAAGGTCCCTCAGCCCTCCTATTCGATATAGCTGTGGGTTTCGATTAACCTAGTCTAGACCAACTCTGAACTGGGCTCTCGATTCTAAACTGTTACTGTTTCCAAGCAAACGAGACTTCCTCAACCATGAAAACCGAAACAATTCGCAAGGTCTTTATTCATCCAACGTTTCTCATTGTTATTGATCATTATCTGTTAGCGTATTAGGGTACCATGTTTGCTTCAACCCCAAGCTAAGACGTTGCTCCTGTTCAGACAGCCAGTACTGTATATCTATATGTAATGCGCCTTGTTCCATGCATAGAATCCATTTCCCGCAATTCTAGAAAAACCAGCGCCGTCAACGCGCGCTGACTTTGTCGTCACCTGAATGATTTCAACGATTTATGTGCCAGCGGCGATGCGTGGGATTTGCTAGAAGGCCCATTAGAGCTTTTTTCAGTGTGCCGCCGGAGGCCGTGAGCATTCGGTGTATCACCACAGAATGCACATATATATACGCTAGGAACATCATCTCTGCTGATATTCGCGCATTTGCCGTGGAGCCAGTTTTCGCACGATTCACTTTCCAAGAGCTTAGCATACATGATCAGATACACCTACAAGAAGAGAGCCGACCTACCATTGTATCATGAAGCCATCGCCATGACGTGGGCCTTCAATACGTCTGCAAACACAACGAATAGATCCTCCCCGGCTTGAGGGTGTGGGAATACTTGCCTCCGAAACTGAAGAAGGAGATATTGTAGAGGCAGAGCTTCGCGGTCTAGGTAAATGTCGACCAGAGCTGCTCAAAGCGCGCTTCTGGCGATCCTGAACTACTTTCCTCAATTCGCTAGTAGCATCGCCTCGGCTGCCTTGTGGTGCTTGCACCTCGGTTTCGGCCTCACTATCAGCATCACCACCGCTTAAAGGTGGTTCATTGTCGTAGATTCCCAAGCTGCTGCTAGTCTGCTCGCTGAAACTCCGTCGCAAAGACTGAAGAGAAATCGAAGAAGTAGGCTTGTTGGGGTCTGGAAGAGCGAATGAATGATTGCGACTGGGAATAACAATCTCGTCGTCATCTTCTGATGATTCGTCATCGGCAGACGAAGACCAGCCTCTACTAGCGGGTCTTGCCTCTTTTCTACCTCTGATAGGTCTCGGAGTAGGATCCTCATCGTCACTAAGAGTGACCGTTGTGGTCTCCGCGCGAGCTCGGCCATGAGAATCGATGGTGAACTTCACCGAAGTCTTCATTTTTGGCGTCACAGCTTCCGGAATAGAGCCTAGGCTGGGCAAGCGATGGTGGTTCTTCAGAGGCGATGTCCTCCCGTTACGAGAGCCTTGAGACACGGGTCTCTTGCTGCTTGTTTGTTGCACGACTGGCCGGGCAGCAGGCGCGAGGGCTGGCAGTGCTCGAGGAACTGCTCTTCGTCCTTTGTTATCACTAAAGCTTCGAGATAAGCCTGGTCTACCGATAGATTTGATCGGAGAACTTGCAGCGGTCCGATCCAGCCTCTTGCCGGCACTGGTCTCCTTGACGCTCGACCCGCGACGGATCTCCGATGGTCGACTTGGCTTGGGAGCAATCAGGACCGGACCCGGTTGCACCACCGATGGCGGCTGTGTTGCCTGGGTGAAAGTAACTGGCTCTGCTTTTGATGAGGGCGGTCGGCTGAACAACAGTCCAGGATCTACGCCTCCGCCTTGATTCATGATGCCAAACGTATTATCCAGAGGCGCCACATACGAAGTCCCAAACATTGACGTGTCCTGATGGTTTGACTCAAGCACTGGCGGTGCTGACGGCGTCGGTTTTGGTGCCAATGGCCGGTCTCGTCTCATGGACATATTGCTCTCCTGAGTTTGTATAGGCAATTGCGGCATGAGGCCTGTCTCCTGAAACATTTCATTTGTTCTTCCCCAGTCCAGAGAGCTCATTGGTCTATGGCCTTGTGCCTGGAACATGGCGGCACTGGCAGCGCTGAAATCATATTCCATCCCGTTCATACTAGTATCATTGTCCCAGAAATTGTGAGTGTCGAGGAAGACGGGAGCTGTTGCGGGCGCCGACAAGGGGTAGCCAAACATATCTGTTGGTGTAGTCACGAAGTTTGGCATACCAGCTTGCTGAGGCGTGCTGAGCACGAACCCGGGTGGGTAATCTTCATTCTGCATGGTGTTCATTTGTAGTTTTGGGGCAAGCTTCCGGCCCCCTTTGTGGGACGTAGGCGGCGGGGTTAATGTCTGCTGAGCCTCAGCTTCCTCCAAGCTCTGCCTGACCTTCTTAATAGAGCGGTCCTGCGAGCCAAACGAGGGCGTTCGTTCTTCCTGGCTAAAAGCAGCCGCTAGGGGCCCTGGTGACGATGGCAATCGCCTGGATGGATCGACAGGCGGCAAAGGAAGGTTTGGACTTGGCGAGAAGTGGTTGACATGAGTTGCGATTTGAGCAGCGATATCACCGGCAAAGAGTGACCTCTTATGCCCAGTAGAAGACTGGCAGGGAGAGGGGACAGAGATATCTGCAAAGGGACCCTGGGAAGCTGCAAGATTGCCCGGTGTGGTGTTGAATACGGAATACTCGTCTGCAAATCGAGGCGTACCAGCCGAGAAACCTGGGAAGGAACTGTTCCGAGGGGTTTCGAAGACGGGACTCGGGAAAACTAATGAAGTCGGTGTCTGTCCGGGAGTCGGAGGCCGAGTGTTTGGTATACCCAAGCTATCGATACGTTGTTAGTATCATGTGCCATTATCTAAGTATACTGGAGAGAGATTCTTGCCTGGTTGTAGGCTGATCTCCACTCATAGCAAAACTGGTAATATGCTTCGGGAACCGAATATGAACATGACAGATTCTTGTTCTCGTTCAAACTGAAGCAAATATTGATTTGATTGACTGGTAGCAAATGTATCGATCCGACGGGAGACTGTGGTTGGGCAAACGGAAGGCAAAAGCGGAAAGCAGATGGGATAGACTGTGGTTCCAGACAGGTATATTCAGGCCAGGGCGGGATTTAAGCGTCAAAGGGTGTCGTTTCTAGGTGAACCAAATCGACTTGGAACCAGCCTTTCTCTCTTCCAAATGGGCTACTCGGTACAAGCTCAAGTATCATTACACTGATCGGACATTTAAAATCGTAAATCGTCAAGGCTAAAGGAGCGGCAATTCGTGGGCGAGGAAACGCTGTAGTGGAAGCTTTGTCGTTAGCCCGTTGTTTCTTGTTCTAACTCCCAGAGAGTCGAGAGTTGGATATTTAGTTTTGAGAGGATGGACTAGATTAGAAGGTGGGGTGGGATGTTTAGAGTTTCTCGGGAGGCTGCAAACGCACCATTCAGATTCAGGGAGAATCTACCCAAGTTAGCGATTCGTAGATTCGTAGATTCGTAGATTCCCATCAGCCGGGCGGGCTCAGAAAAGGAGCTGTCCGAAGGTGCAAACGACAAACGTACGATGACGCCCGAACCAATGAGAGCGGTAAGAGACAGAGTGAATGAACATGCGAAGTTAGCCGCTACAGCACCGCACAAGTAGATGTTGTTGGACGATTGCGAATAAGTTAGTATCCTTACTGGATTTGAGCGGTAAATCCAGGAAGGTCTGTGCTGAAATCCAGCCGGCTTTGGTGATGCTAACGCTGGATCTTAGGTAGCCACGGCTAAATCCAGTGGTAACCTAGGACTTAGCTCAGGCCCTATTGGCGACCTGGCCTGACCTGCCGCGGCGAGGCAGTGCTCCGGAGGGGCAAACGTGAGGATGGCAGCCTCAGCGTCTCGATGCAAATCTGAGTGATGTAGACGCCGGTCAATGTAGGGGATGGCTGACGGACACGAACTTGACGCAAGGCAAAGAATCGAGCGAGGTTGAAGCTGACCCCGTCGGAGGTAATAATGGTTAAAACTTAACCCACGGCGGCTAGAAATCCATGCGCTGTGAAAAGACAGACGGCCGAATGGCACAGGCAGCTGGGCTCGAGAGCAGGGGTCCTTCCTGCAATGACGGTCCAATTCCCGATTATAGACATATGAGTCCCATTAGGCACGTGAGATCCGTAATTAGTGCCAACCAGTGGTGTAGGGTACGGTATTGGCCACTGATAATACCCCCCCAAAACAGACCTATGTTTCTTGGAGGGGTAAGAAGGAGGCAGATCTCTAACCTAGGCACCCTCTCTGCTCGAGGTCGGTCAAGCTGGAAGAACAGTCTAACTCCCTCCTCCGCAGTATCCAGCCGGGCCTTTTCATGACTGTCGTATCGAGCATTGAGTAGCCGCTTGGCATTATCATTACAGCTACTTGAGCACTAGTCCCAGCCTGGCTTACCCGGAAGATGCACCTAAGGTAGAGTTGCGGACCTGCGTCAAAGAAGTACGCCCAAGCGAATAGGCTAACTATGCTGACGGGATTCTCTGATGGAGCTCATCCTTGAATTCGACACAGCAATTGGACATGAGAGAATTGCTGACGCGAACCCAAATGCAGGAGTAAATTACACGGCTGAAACGAAGGCAGTTAATTGTCAAGTTCCTTTTTACTGTGACATAAAAGCAACAAACCATTTAATCGTAATCGCACTAAGTCAGGCTCGCTGATCTCCTGATCTCGGAGGTGGTAAGAGATTTGACGTGCGGAATAGTTAATAGTTCCCAGAATATTGCAAGGTACGGATCCGTAAAGCTTGCAGTGAAGTAAATGCATTAACCTAGACATACTATGTATGTCCTGAGCTACCCACTAACTAGATTAGATGACTCAAAATGCGCTACACCCCACCATTCCAGGGACAACCACAGTACTACAGTAGCCTAGGTACGTGGGACAACTGGACTTGTTGCGATCTGGATGAACCTTGTTCCTGATTAGCAGTAAGCTCGAGCATAACTACTGGTTAGTTTCTAATCGCAATTCGCGGCACTTCCGAAATCCTGATGGGTTCATGGCTTTCTTGAATGCGATGCACATAAGTACGTCCAGATCGAGATCATTGGTTGCTGCAGTGCCGAGACTGCGTCCAAGCCAGGGGCAATAACCTTACACTTTTCCGACTAATTGTGCTTCTTGGAATTCAAGACATTTGATTTCGTTTTGGGTTTGTTCACTCCGCGGCTTGTAGTATTTCCTCATGTGTCTGCACGACGCCATACCACATCGCCTGTATGAGTCCGGCATGCAAAGTACAAGACTGAGACGTGTAGCTCAAGTGACCACTTTGTGCAAAAGAAAAAGTCGGAGCTCGTCGAAGCAGCTTGGTGCCTAGCTAGGCGAGACGAGGTGAAGTCTAGGAAAGCACAGCCAGCTGCAACAGCTGCATTCGTCGTACGTTGCAGCCCGACTGGTAGTTAAGCAAATCTAAGACCGGCAGGCAACTTAAAACGTTTGGTGTCAAATTACTATGTGCATCATCTTGGCGTAGACAACGTGGTGGTGTAACTTTGGACTAGGGAAAATAATTCCTTTCAAGGGCTCGTATTTGCTATCTCAAGTCAAAACCTGGGGTCTTCAGACTCTGCGTAGTCTTTAGGTAATCAAATACTCCGCCGGCAGACTATTACTGTATTAGAATGATTTATTATCTCTTCACTTTTGCGCAACAGGGATTGCAAACCACTTTAGTGGCTGCCGTGTTTTCGAGAAACGTGGTTGCGATCTTAGGAATGTGGTCGCTCCCCACGGAACGTTCAAGGGTGTACCAGTCATTCATAGACGAGCTGCAGTATTGTAGGAACAGTGGCGGCCGCAGGGCGACATGGTACATTTGGCTTCAATCAGTATCATTCTCAGCATGGTTGCGACTTTTTGCATATTTGGTCATACAACAGCCAGTAGAACTATCTGTATCCGGTGTGCTTCACAACTGGGTAGTACTGTGCCGGGTCCGTGCGACGCAACACTGATTCAGTTCTTCAAACGGATGTAGAACGATATCTCAAATACAATCGTCGAATGCCAGAAGTCTATATCAGATCTCAGCAAGCGAGACGTAGCTGTTTGTTTGCTTGGTGCAACGAGTGGTTGGCAGCGCTCAGCTGGGACCCGAGCGATTGGGTATTCCTAGCATTATAGAAGATCATTGGCTGGTCAATCACTAACCTTACTCTAAAGGCTATAAAGCCTGGGGGCAACGCTTGCGGCTGGCTACTTCGTCCAGAGTTACAACTTGCAATCGCTAATCTGAGCCGCAAGAACGAGCTGACCACTCTGCTAGGCTTTTTACGGAAGTTCGACGTGAGTATGACGATGATCAATTCATTTATTTGATTCTAGGATCAATTCGCCTCTTTTGTGATTATGCGCGGTGTTTTCTCCAATTTCAGCTCTTTTATGTGTATGCAGATACCAGCCATATGGCGCTATCCTCGTCGCTGGCTTATCTCGCCACGAGCCGCCCCCAAGCGTTATTTCACACGGATTACATGGCCTAGATCTCGCTTGGAGAGCAGCCAACGTCAGCCACATCAGCAAAGGTCGAAATTCCTTTGATCACCGGTCTAAATGGATCGCATCCAACTAACCCCTGATACTGTGTCTCCATTACAAGGCCTCGAATCGAAAGGCCTAACCCTAGGTTAATGGACTCGATTCTGCGCCTGGGAGGAGTTAAAAAAGTGCCACCAGAACTTACGTCACTACATGGTAAGTTATCAGCGCATAAACGTGGAGATTGAATGCCACACAACGGGGACGGTATATATTAATCTCTCTTGACCTCAGGGATCCCCCGGAAAGATTGCTAGGGCTAATCGTCCATACACCTCGATTCTCTTTATATCCCGAAGTTTGTTATATAGGGGCCTACATGTAGCGATTTGTGATTAGGTCTAGATCGGCTGTCCACCCACATCTAGACTGAGCACCCAGGGGTTGAACAAAACAGCATATTTGAATGTTGGTCAAAATCTTCAACATGGCCACCTCACTGTCTGGTTATTGCTCGTATTACAATATACCTGGCGGGAAACTCAATACTCGTGGTTCGGTGTCTGGCTTTGATCAGCCTGTTGTTTAGGAATGAAGTACTCGATCCCTGCGTAACGTGACTTAACAGTGGAGCGTTTGCTGCCTCTAGCACAGCAATACCTCCAGTCGCACTGCTATGTGATTCAAGCTTAGACCTTAGAAGTTGGTAGATTTCATCATGGCAACGCCTAGTTCGATTTCCAAATTTATGAATTGGTAAAGCAACGTAGGTATTGTATAGCCGTGGTTCAGTCTTGCTGCCTTACCTATTGGTGCGCCTATTGCCCCCACCCCCCCCCCTTTTTTTTTTTTTGCTTGCTTTGGTACCTACTTGTACTGTTCAATTTTGTCATCTCATAACAGTTTTATGTTCCTTCTGAGGATTTACTAATACATGGCCTCGGCGCAACTAGTATCTACACTCTTTGGCTGGCACTCAATCAGAATTAGTTGAAATTCGATAGCTGAGGTTTGTGTGGGTTTGTGCTACATCGTGTTAAGTCATGTACTCAAATCATTAACCATTGTTTCTCTAATGATCCCACGTAGCCAAATAAAATAACAATCCCTTAACGAACTTTGATCTGGTATAAAGGGGTCTGTCTTTTTCGGCAGGCAATATTTTAAAATGCCATGGTCCGGCAAAGTATAAGTTGACAACGGCACTAATCTTTCTTATCCCGAAGTGAGTATTACGAGGCCTAATCATTGGAAGTAGTGGGAAGGAAAGCACGAACCTCCCCAGGTATTCGAAAATCCATCCCTAACTTGAACTTATAAACATAAAAATAAAACTCCATGTTTCATCTTCACATTTCAGATTACATTTTACCCCAAGACTATAAATACTCACATTCCCACTACTATTAGGGGACCCTCTGCACTAAGATCTTCCTACAGAATATGGATCGATCGGCTGCAAAAGAAATTTTACAAGAAGAAGAAAAGAAGAAAGGTCACATCATCAGTCAATATCATCAGTCAATATCATCAGTCAATATCATCAGTCAATATCATCAGTCAATATCATCAGTCAATATGTCCGATAGCCATAGTTTTTAAAAACAATGACCAAGATTATAGCCTATACAGATAATAGAACATAAACACACTTAACTAGCAAATATAGAACGAAGAAGAGGAAAGTCCTAAGCAAGTTGTCCTTCGTAGATAGTTCGCTCAATAAGTTATAACTATAAGACAGCTTCCTCCTAAGCACATATTCCAAGATTTGCGAGAATATTCCGAGACCTGACCCGGGTATATCAGAAACTCAATACTTGATTAGCAATCTTCAAGTTCGGTCGACAATCATCGACATTGAATTTCTGGTTGAAGATTGCCAGCTTAGCTTATCGAGGCCATCTTACCCAAAACCGCCATCACCTAGGAAAACTCTCCTCGTTAGGGAGGCTTTACGTTTAGATGAACTGAACTGAGATTCCAGTGCTCGACTGCCAGTCTCTAGAGTATCAAATCGTATGTCACACTCGCCACTTTATCCGACTATTATTATGTTAATTCGCTCCAGCCCACAATGTTATCAATCACCTACATGTTGTTTTTCGTCCGTTATGAGTCTATACGAGATCGCGGAAAAGAACTAGCTTCTGTCTTCAATAACACCTATCATCGGAGTGGTCTACGCAGTATCTTGCCGTTTACAACGTGAAATGCACCAATTGAATATTCTACGCTTCCTCTGACGTTATCAATGCACTTTGGCATCGCGTGGCCCCAGGTTCGTGCGAGCCGCATATCGGCAGGCTCGAAGGTTTGCGGGGTAAAACCTCTCACTTGACAAACTTTTGTCAAGCTTGTGGTTCATCTCGCCCGAGAAATGGCTGTAATTGTAACGTTCCTCAACGTACCCCGCAGGCGATCATGATGCAACTGGTAGCAGTGAGCAGAAATATGCGGAGAATTCGCGCAGCCATCCGTCGGTGTGATATAATAATGAGCAGATCTCTTGGCCAGCACAGTTGTAATTGTCCTAGAAGGCTGCTATAGTTGGAATTTCAAGACACTGAAGACGGGCAAGAGAGCATCAATGACAGTGTCTGCCATCATGAAAATCATATATATCCAAACTCTATTCACAGTGGTGGCATGTGAAGCAGTAGCGCAAACAGACTATTCGCAGTATGTGAACCCCTTCATGGGGGGTTCTGGTCCATTCGAAGGTCTAGCTTGTAAGTAAATGATAGCCCGATTGTGATTGAAACCTACTAATATGCTTTGTCAGTTGGAGGGGGCGATATATTTGTTGGCGGCGCCCTTCCATTCGGCGTCGCGAAAGTGGGAATAGATACCTACGAGCACAATGTGTCTTACTCGACTCTTAACGGCGGTTGGACCCCGAAAGGGTCAGTTACTGGTGTTTCCATGATGCATGAGAGCGGAACTGGCGGTTTTCCAAAGTACGGGATTATCAGCCAGATGCCACTTACCACAATCGACCATCCAATCAACATCCTAGATAATAGAACATACTGGCAGGACCGGACCGGAGAGGAGGTTGCTAAAGTTGGTTACTTCAAGACCGAGCTGGAAAGTGGTGTCACTATCGAGCTTTCCGGAGCTCGACATTCAGCCATCATACAATATACTTTCCCCGAAGACGAGAAACATATATTGGTCGATCTTTCGCACTACCTCCCCGACGAGAACGGCGGCTATAGCGTTCAAGTCTTCCTAGGAGGCGAGATAAACTTGAATGGAAGCCAATATACTGGGTTCGGAACATATGGTGGCGGATGGAACGAAGGAGCTCCTTACACGGTTTTCTTCTGTGGTGAGTTTGATACGCCACCAGATCAAGCCAGAACCTTTCGTGGGAGGAACACAGATCCGACACAAAGATATCACACCTTCAGCAACATGCCGGTAGGACAACCTATCTTCAGCTCGAATGACTCAAACGGGGAGACTTCAGGCCCTCTCAACGACCGTATCGGCGCTGTTTTCAGTTGGGGTTTAGATGTGCCATCCCAAATCAAATCTCGAGTAGGGATATCTTTCATTTCAGCCGAGAAGGCGTGCCGGTTCAAGGACGATGAAATTGAAACATGGAACCTGAATGACACTGTAACGGCTGCGGTGGAAGAGTGGAATAAAGACGTGTTCAGTCGGATACAAGTTCCAACGGATGATTCTGCCAACCGAACGAACTTGATCCTGCTCTATTCTTCTCTGTATTTTATGCATTTAATGCCTTCCGATCGAACAGGAGAAAACCCGCTTTGGGACTCTGATGAGCCGTCCTGGGACGACTTCTATACTTTGTGGGATACTTTCAGATGTACTGTGAGCTTGTACCACCTTATTCAACCAGAAGCATACGAATCACAGATTCGGTCGCTGATAGACATCTGGCGATACGAGGGTTACATGCCCGACGGCCGCTCAGGGAACTGGAATGGTCTGGTGCAGGGTGGCAGCAACGCAGATAACGTCCTCGCCGACGCCTACGTGAAAGGCCTGCGCGGGGCTATCAACTGGACTGATGGCTACCTGGCCATGAAGAAGAACGCCGAGGTCACTCCATTTAATACCTTTAGCTATGATGATCCAACTGCAAGTGTCAAAGAAGGCCGGGGAGCTCTGGACGACTGGAAGAATCTCGGTTATGTTTCATTGGACAACACGCGATGCATATCGCGAACTGTGGAGTATTCACTCAACGATTATGCTCTGAGTGTTGTTGCTGCAGGAGAAGCGCCTGAAGACGTACATGTATATTTGAATAGATCAGCAGGCTGGCAACGTACGTGGAACCCCGATGTGACGAGCCACGGCTTCAGCGGTTTTCTAACACCACGTTTCTCGGATGGAACCTGGAACGCGACCGAGTATAACCCGGCTCTGTGCGGTGGATGTGAATGGAGCGCTATCTCGTATGAAGCGACGCCCTGGGAGTACTCCTTCACGGTACCCCACGATGTCCAAAGCCTGATTAAATATATGGGAGGAGCAACTGAGTTTGAAACGAGACTGGACTATATTGTGAGTGGAATATCTCGAGCACATCAATAGTGAAGTTTGTTCGGACTGACAAGCAATACAGTTCCAACCCAACACAAGTGAACAAGACCTTTCCGCCAACGGGGCTGGAATAACAACTATCATGAACATTGGGTGAGTGTTATATTACAAAGTGTTACCGAGCTATACTGATCATCCGTAGGAACGAGCCCGACTTCGCTACCCCATATTTGTACAACTATCTCAATAAGCAGTACAGGTCAGTAAATCAATCGAGAGCGCTCGCAAACCAATACTTCCACAACGCTCCGTACGGTGTTCCAGGGAACAGCGACGCCGGTTCTCTTAACTCTTGGCTGGTCTGGCAGATGCTTGGCCTATATCCGATAGTCACCCAACCTGTCTACCTCCTAGAGTCGCCGTGGTTTGACGACGTCAATATCACAGTCAACAGCAACAAGACCTTGCGCATCACGAGTGACGGCAGCAGCCACACGCTGGGCCAGAGTAGTTTCTACGTACAATCCGTAAAGGTCAATGGACAGGACTGGACGAAGAATTGGGTTGAGCATGCTGATCTCATGGTGGATGGTGGTACAATCCAGTTCAGCGTGGGCGACGAGCCAATTGAGTGGGAGACTGGAGATGTGCCGCCTAGTCCAGGACACTATGAGATATAAAAAGCCATCCGTCCAATGCGCAGATTGCGATCTTTCGTCGCAAAGCTGCGGCCTACTTTGAGGTTGGTTGGTCGGTCAACTGCGAGATCGTGACCGGTAGGCCAGATAGTTCACATTAATGCTTGTTGAATAGTCTATTTCGAGACCTGAAAGAAGCGGATCGAGAAGTCCTCAGCTGCATGCGAATCCTACGCACCAGATCCTCCCGTGCAACCCCACTCAAAGACCTTTTGTTGCCAACAAAACGCTATTCATGCGGCATTAGTTGTCAATGAGCCTTATCAGCTTTATGGCTCGGCGTGAATAGCGCTCTAGGGACTCTGCGCTTGACACTACCGCGAGAGCGGATTTTCTTTTCCCCAAAAAGCTACACAAGCGGTCTCGTAGAAGTACTGTACTGCCTATAATTAATAAATATGGTTTCTTTTTTCTTGAAGACTCACTTGGCAGACCTGGAGGATTCTCAGTAGATACTATGTAGCTTCTGTTCAGGCATCCATCGATTCTCTCGCCGAACCACCATGAAGAGCCTCACGTCAGTAGGCCTCCAACCCGACTCTATCCTTGCATCCTCGCCCTGTCAAACTATTCTTAGCTTGATCAAAAACCCCCCTTTTGCTGGGTCTCCGATCAGTAAATGCCGAAGGTCCCGTTGCCGACTGGGCTGGGCCACCTCCACATCAGCAAAGCCACGATTTATGCGAAAAACATCTGTACCTGGACCCGGTCGATGTGCTCCAGGGGTTGACCTTCGATCGCCAATAATACTTAATAGTTGCCGCTTGGAAGAAAGGGCTATTAAAAAAAGAGTTTACCGAAGAAGCCATGTGCAACCCACCAGTGTGGTTCAAAAATATGTTCGTCTTAGCATTGGGATGAAACTCGATGCAAGCTCAGCTAGAGTGTGCTTAGGGCAACCCAAACCATCTGCGCATATGCACGTGCTGTTATGTGCAGCGCGGCTTGAACCATTCGTTGATCCATGTACTTATTACCCTCGCTCTGGAGGTCTGTAATCAGGCGGGAGACTTTGGCATACCCCTGAGGCGCAGCATCTTTCTCCCGTGGAGGATGCAGATCTAACTCTAACAGGGGCACAAACTTTGTTTTCTCGAACGCTGGTTGGACACATGCTCTGATGAATGTGACATGTCAAGGGACCTGGAAGTAAAACGAAGACGGGAGAAACGGCGAGACTATTCTCTCGACTGGCTGGGGAAGGTTATCGTCGTTCACTTTGAGGGTGGGCTTGTTGAGTCCGATCGCTTCAGTAGATTTCTGCCTCTGATGGACTTAAAGTGTGCATGTAGTCATTCTGGTTGCTATAATGCAGAATCCACTTACGCAAAATCAGTTTTTGATAAATGCTTGAAACTTGAAATCATTCATCGTCATCTAGCTAGATCAACCACGCTACGCTACAGACATCGTGTTATTCCCCAGCACGGTTGACAGCAAATCCAGTGCTTTCCATGTCTTCCCAGACCCTCAACAGGATCTTTGCCCGGAGTTCGCAAAATTCAACCCCGTTTATTGTTTCCAGCTCTTCCTCCTCCAATATTCACCCCCAAATGCGCCAAGGGGTATCAGACAAATGGCTATCTACGATCAGGAACAATGTTCCAAATAACAACAAAAAAGGAAATATACATAAAATGAAACTTCGAGATAATCGGCTTTTGATATGAGGAAGACTGTGGCTGAGGGTTTAGTGAGACGAAGGTTTTCTCGCTTTGATTTCGTCACTATAACCACCGTACTCCAGTATCCAGTCTATAGTTCGTACCCAGTTGTCGTGTGTAGCGTATCCAAAAGAGATGCTTTCGTAACACAAACTGATGTCTTGAAGAATGTGGCAAGTAATATTGCCGGGGTATCATGACATAATAGACCCAAAAGAAATATCGTTTAGATCATGTTGAGACTGTCAAATTGAGGCTCAACAAGATTCATTGGTGACAGCTGTTGTTGATGTTGAGGCTGCGGGGTCGCCATTGTTGAATGGACGGACATGGGTGTTGGCGTAGCGGCCATTGATATAGTTGCAGCAGAGTTCATCTCGGGCGTCATGGGCTGTTGCACCTCGATTTTGGGCTTGGCCATATGCGAAGCAGCAAGAGCTCGAGAGTGACTGCTCTCACGACGTCGTTTAGGGGCATCCTTAATCTTGGGATGTGTGTGGCACTGTATCTCATTAGTTTCTGTCTTGTTGTCTGATCAATTTGAAGAAAAAACTTACCTTATACGCATGTCTGAACCAAGTCGTGCCTTTTTTCTTACTACTGACCAGGGCAATCCAATCGTTGCAGCTGCCACACAGGCCTTCCCAAACATCGGGATTTCCATCCATTCGGCGCGTTTCCTGGGGTTCCTGGAACGGATTACCGGTGGCCGCGCTAATGCCATGTGTGAAACTCTTGTCGTACCAGAACGCAGAGTTCTTCAAAACCAACCACCGACCAGGTTTACAGATGCCACACCATCCTTCTCGCTTGTTTCCATGGCCTCGAACCCATCTTGGCGTGTACAGATCTCCTTCAAATCGTAATTCTTGTTCATGAGGGATGAGATCAGGATCATCGGGGTTCATGTCCTCCGGTGGAGGAGGGATCTGTTCTTCATGAAGGGATGCGAACAGATCTGGTGGGTCGGAGAGATCGGTATAATGACCATGCAAAGCGTGCGGGTCTGCATTGCTTTGAAGCATTCTGAACAATCCGTGGGACATCAGAGGCGGTGGATGGTCAAAATGGTGATGCATTTCCGGGAATCCATTGGAGGGCACCTGGGAAGGTACTTGAGGAGGCAGAATCATGCTGTTTCGGAAAGCAGACGGGTGTGAAACCATGAAAGGGTGTTGCTGAACATGCTGAACATGCTGAACGTGCTGGAAAGCCTGGAGATTGCCAAAATTGAGAGGGAGCGGGTTGTTCGAGATAGTTGGCGATGAATGTCTCGATGTCATGCGTTGCCCAAAGGAGTCATGCGTGTGGTGATACACAAAAGGTGACTGTCGCCGAGTTGGCGTGGTTCCATAAGAACCCGTAGACCATCTCTTATTCCTTGCATTGCTGTCGACGCTGTAAGGAGCTGATCGCATTACTGGACGAGGTGAAGGAGATGCCCCACGACCCCGGCTCTGCGTGCGTACTAGCTCGGAGCGGCTTTGAGGGGTCATACGAGGTGATGCTACAGGAGACAGTTGAGTTGACGACATCAGCGAGTTTCTGTTCGAGGTTGGCGGATAATCTGAAAATGATGGAGCTTCTGAGAGAGCGGACGAGAATTCTTCGTATGAGGGCATGTCTGAGAGATTACCAGAAGTCGACATGGTGAAGGATGAACCAGACATTCTTCGGGGGTTCAAGCCAGTCTCAAAGTTGGGGCCGCCTTCATTCTCAGTTTGGCCTCCTTGGTATCTAAGGTCAAGAATTGGAATGGCTTCATCAGTTGTAAGGGCCTGACCAATGTTCATGTCTGTTTCAAATCCATGAGCCATCAAGTTGTCCTCACACGCTTTCATACCCCAGGGATCTGCCCGACTGGTCAGTTTTAAGCGCCATACATGGCCATTTAACTCACTGCTGCTCATGGTGGTGACTGGATAGAAATCCTGATGCATTGATACCGGCCGGGACATTGAGTCACTTGGGGTGTTTTGCATTGCCATAGCAGTTGCTTCCCATGACGGTATCGTGCCGTATTCCTCCCCGACACAATAGGAAAAGCCTTCATGTATGGTGGCTGGTCGAGGTCGCATACCCTGAGATGTTGGCGTTGTCCACATGCCTGTCGGTGCGCTCATTCCCTCCGTCTTGACCGGTATCTCATGACCATTCATGGTGATCATAGGGTTTGGCCGCGATGGCGACACTTCTCTCCTAAAGTGATTGTTAGGGTTGAAGGTGAAGGCAGGTGTTTGAATCTGCTGCTGCCTGTGGAAATGTGAGCCGTGACGAGGTGATACAGCATTCGACTTAAGCATACAGTTGTGTTTGGTTTGGGTCCATGGCTACGGACTATGGTATAACAAGAGAGTGAAGGTGCCTTAATCTAGATTGAGCCGAATACTAGAAAGCGGAATACGAGTTAGCATAGACCTAGACAAAGTAGTGAGGACTACTTTCTAACTAGTCGGGGGCACCGTCATGTCCCCACATGGGCCACGAATCCATGCTAAATCTGGGATCAACCCATCGTGAGGCGTGACTTACTTGATGATAACAACATGGAATATAACCGTTCCAAGGTAATATGTGTGTTTCCTGTGAAATCCGGCTACCGGTGCAATGGTAAGGAACGCGTAGAATCAGTTCTTTATAGCGAGAACGACTGCGGGGCGCCCTCAAATCGACGGTTAAAAGGAGTGTGTTCCTGGTGCATTAAAGGTGTATACTCTGGTTGGGAAAGCTTGCGTGTGAGGTGAGAGATAGAAATGAGTGTGGTGAGTGTTGCCCGGAGGAGAACAACTCTTTACGGTAGGTCTTGCAAGCACAGGTGGACTGGCGCGTCCAGGTGGGAAGAGAACCAGCTCAGAGTATTATAGACCAGCGGGGGGATAATAAGTTGCGTTAAGCAAGGAAAAAGGAGCGACGAATAATCGAACAGCGGGCGATGGCGTAAGGGGGGTGGGCAGGGCGGAAGAAGAGCAAGAATCAGGACAGAGGGGGCGGTGCCGTACCCTGAGAGGTATAAAAGAAGTATCAAGTGGAAATCGGCATCATCCATGGACGGACACTCAACACAGCACGGTCGACTTGGGTCAGGTTCGGAACGTCGGTAGGAGCTAAGCCGGATTTCCTGACACAAGCCTGGCCATGTCTGTGAACTCAGGAAAAGTGATGGGTGTGCGAGAGGGTTCTTGGCGTGCTGAAAACAGACATTCACGATGACAGGGACCAGGAGTCCCACAAGGATTTGCAGTGCAGGGCTCAACAGAAAGTTACAGCTACCCGTTGATGATGTGGTTTTTGGTAGTACGGGGCTGTGAATGGATACTGAAAAAACGGGGTACCTTGACGTGTGGAAATCATATACACTTGCCAGGGGTTGCCCCAGCTAGAACGCCAGGACAAGGGTGCTGTACCTGAATTGGGAAAACCACTGCGGGGGTATGGTAAGAGAGCAGCCCCGATTTGACATTGGCATGTGGATAGAGGCTCTTGGAGTCAAGAAGTAGAGCGTTCTGCGCATGCAAATGCACGGCATTTGCAACAGAATGATGAATAATGTCTATCGGGAATAGATCGTGACTAACTGGTTAGCTCGAAATGCGCCGAAAGTTCAGAGGAACAGCTACAGCGGAGATGTTGCTTTGTCTCACACCGACCACAACATATTCATTGGCAGAAATGAAATAATTCCAGGCCCAGAACCCAGCCGGCTGGCAACCAAGAGAAAGACGGAAGGATGACACACCAGGATAGGTTTAGGTCTTGGAAATCCACAGATCTTACGGTCTGCTATTCAGACGAAGTTTTCTAGCCCAGAGACCAAACAAGTGTTTCTGGTATCGTATGACACAACTGCGATGCAACATCGGCCGGATACGTCGATCTGGAGAATGTCAGATTTTATGAAGCGTAGCATCTAGGCGTTCGTCTCCGGTGTCGATCGAGAAAATCTATCCGAGAAGCGAGGTTTCCAAGGGACGCCCTGGTTGCGAGAGGCTTTCCTAAATTTTACGCCAGAAGAAGGACGATGCAATCATGAGAGGGGATGATGAATACACTCATTCGCTCGTCGACTATTGCCATTACCAACTCGAATTCTGCCGGGAGTTTGTCAAACTGCCAGAGGTTTCTCTGAAGTAAGCCGAAAGAGGCAGGAGTCCACGCTCCACAACGATAAGTTCAAACGTTACCAGGACTCGGCCTACTGTGACCGCAAGGTCGTTGCTAAGCTGGGTATCTCTGTCGAGCCACGGAGGATGATCAAGGATCGCTGTGTTTGGTTACAAACGTCTCGAACATTGAACTGTAACTCTATTTGGGCTCCACATGCTCAGATCTAATGCAGCAAGCTCTGCGAAGATCAACCAGGTCATCGGCCGTTTTGAGGGACAGGCCCACATAGGCGTGTCCCATATAGCGGGGCTCACGAAGCTCCAAGACCTTGGTAAAGGCGGTTGCCAATCAGCTCACCAGAACCGATAGTACAATTCGTTTCTCAAGAATTAAGAAACGCGCATCTGGTCACTCAATAGCTTACGCCTGCCCTTTACTGGAGACGAGAAAGTTGGAGGGAATTGCGAGCTTAGCCGGAAAGGTTGGAGGCTGAGTGCAGACGGTTGTTCCAGGTGGCTCCAAATGGAAACAGGCCCTGCAGAAGGGATTGCAGGGGTTTTAGCAGGGCATCGTCAAAGTGAGTAAGTAGTTAGACCACCCAGTAGCAGTTAGAGTTTGCGAAGGCCGTCAGCGGAACAGACGCGCGCAGCGTACATAATGCACAAGAGGGCAAGCGACGATGTAGTGAGCAGAAGCAAAGCCTGCATCGACTTGGCTACCGCTAGATAGAAGCGGGACACTGGTGTTATCATAAGAACGGCCTTGGAGGGTATATGCGATTGTGCAATGGCAATAGCTGGCAGTGGCTTGCATATTGTTCTGTCGTATGGGAAGACGAAGGGTGATAATGTTCGGCCTTTCGTCGTTGACGGGCGCGTTTGAGGTTTACTTTTGGAGGTGGGCGGCGCTGCGACTGATTGGCCTGAGGGACTCCATTTTGGCCCCGCGCTGCAGGGGCTCACGTATCAGATCAACCTTCTGAAACATGATTAATCCCTCCACCTTTCCTCCTTCAGCCCTCCTAAGTCCAGGCTTCCAGACGTCCGGCGATTTGATGGAGATGACCGAGGCTTAGCGACTGCCTAGTATGAGAAATCAAGTGCTTTTGTTGCTAACAAGTGTACAAGTTGTTGATATGGAATCAACCACAAACCCACGGATTACGATAACAGTATGGATCTAGCCGCCTGTCCGTTACCGAGGACAATAGTGCTCAAGCTAAGCCCAAGTTCGACATCACTCCGTTAGCGAGAATGATACAGCGCTCTTGGGTCGATGATGAGATGAACAGAAAGCTTTTGGAGAGAGTTCCAAGTAACGAGAAAAGATATTGACGTTACCCACAGCCGTTAATTCTAGTGTTCTAGACCTTCCGCATCCTGTATTGGTAGCTCAGAGACGTCAGCCAGAGCTCGGCTGGCAATCATTCCAAACATTGTCGTGAACCGTTGGTTCTTGTCTTTTGGTACGTATCCATAAGTAAAACTCATGGCCATCCTGGGTTCAAGCTTCTCCTTCTCAAAACCATACAGTACTATTGAGAAATACTCGTACTTTAGCAACTAGATCTTGTGGATGTGTTTCAACTGCAGAAGCGATGGAACGTTTTCCCTCTCAGCCCATCTTTTGATGCAGGACAGGTGGCTGACGACATGACTTAATTATCCTGGATTACCTCGTCAATATTTGCAAGTTCGCGAAGTCTTTTACTTCCACCATGACTCAACTGTAAGCGAACCTTGAGAATCCACATGGACAGGGAGCGACCGATTTATTACGCTTGACAACTGTCAGTCTTGCCACTTCTTGGCTCTGAACGCATAGCAGAGATGTTATAATCCGGGATCGTGACCTTCGGCCATTCGGTTCCGTCGGGCTGGCAAGGCTGGCCGGCCAAAATAAGACATTCGTTGTATTGATAATGGATAATGAGCGCCCACTAGTCTAGTCCAGAATTCCGCGTCTATACTAGCGTAGCCTTCCGCCCACTAAGTTATAGAGCTCGACTAGCATGTAAGAAAATGTACCAACATTCCGCGAATACCGTTTCACGCCTGCGATTGAACTTTTGTCATTGATGACCAACTTCACCTCTGAAATTGGACTTCCAGAACGATATTATACTCGGCTGTTCTAGCTATGTGGTGTGTGCCTTGCAGCCTTCTCACATTCAGCAGCAGCTTAGAGTAGGTATAAGTCTTCTATTAAGGTGTATGGCTGACGCTCTGACTTCCTGTTTGAGCCATTGCAAAGACTCGCGTTGCGCGAAGCGGAGCAAACTCTGCAACGAGCCGGTCGATCACCTGTGCAAGAAAGAAATTCACCTTCGTATACCAATATGACGCCCGGGAGCTCCGTACTCAACTAACGGCGCTGAACACAAAACCGTGCCGTACTAGCTGGGGACTAATTCTAGGACCTAAGTCGCCAAGCGTGTAATTCGACCACTCGGCACTTCGCTGCCAAAGTGATCTGACACGACGCTCAGGATTTACAAACAAGATTTCAAGGTTGTGTTCATCATCTCCCTGTTACTCTTTGCTTCTAGCGAGCTTCGACGGGTTGTTCTGTGGGCACAGCCAGCCGATCCTACCGGGGTGAAACGGGGATGGGCCGCCCACAACGCATGACAACGCACGCCCTATTGGGAAATTATTCAATGCTTCACCAGTTTACCCGCTGTATCGCGGCGCCTTACTTCGGCTCTTATGAAGATCTTGGAGCCAATGATGACGCGATGCCGTCCCCCAGACAGAAGACGATCCGTCGAGTGTCCAGGCCTTTTTCTCAGCCACTGAAATCGTGGAAGTTGGCTCTTGCGACGCACGGCCAAAGAGCCAAGTTGAGGTAGTCGCGATTTTACACAGCAAGGAATGACCGCGTTACGACCCGGGAAAAAAACCCCGATCACTCATATTCCATGTAGACTGATCTTTTGTGGGTAGAATAATGCAAACCGTGGTTTGTTTTATCTGATAGCAAGTTTGTTTGATGTTTACGCAACGCAACTTACGGAAACCGAGGCCACAATAGGCTGAACCTGCTTCTAAACAGACTTCCCACGTTGGCCCTCCCATTTTCACGGGCACGTTAGCTGTAAACCCCGTAAATAGCAACAAGAAGTTATCCGGAGATTCGTCCTATCGCATCTCTTTTCAGCAATTGCAAGCGGGAGTGCAGGGGCTATCCGCGTCTTGAGTTGCTTGCCGGCGCAGCCCAATTATAGTGCAAACATCAATGGAATGGAGCACCAAAGCTGACCATAGTAGGCACTGAGTCCTCTCAAGTCCACAGAATCACCCCCTGTATCAGTACCCTATTCCTTGTTAATCCTTTTCCATACCTCTGTCTCCGCTGCGGCCAGCTTCTCGCCTGTTGCCTGGGCCCACTTCTTTGCAGAATTCCAGACTCCGTCATCCTCCGCCTCGGACTGCTGGTGATAGGTGGTGTCGTTTTGTTCCATAGCAGTCCTCTGGTACCTGTTAAGTTCAGATGCATTTCCGTCCTGGTGATAACCGGGTGGGTGTTGCAGATTTTGGCCAAGTTCGCCGCCTTGGCTGCCGTATGTTGGCCCAGAAGCTACCGCCGAGGACGTGCCGGATTGCTGGGCTGGATACGCCATGGTTGGAGGTGGGATTGACATTTGCAGGGGATATGATACTGTGGCAGATGGAGGGGTAGACGTCGTTGCTGATGAGGGGACGTACTTCTCCCCATCCTTTGGAGGAGGCGGAACATGGATCTTGGTAGGTTGAGGAAATGCTCCAGGTTGTGGTGCAGGTGGACGATCATCACTGTTGACACCTTGCGTAGGAATTGGAGGTATATAAGCACCACGTGATTGAGCTGTAGTCGTGGCTGTTGGCAACGAAGGTACAGCACCGGGCTTAGCCTGAGGATAAAACTGTGCACTCGTCGGTGCAGCCGTAGTCGTAGTTGTAGCCGTGACTTTCTCTGAATCCTTCGCTGGCACTGATGTTGTTTGTGGAACTACACCTGACGCTTTTGTAGCGATCGGGCTATCTGTGTATGTTGGAATGGGTGGCATCTTGGCGGCGTGCGTTACTGCAGCAAGTTCACAGCACACTAAAAAAGAAAACCCCGAATGGACAATTGAGACAAGATGCGAGGAGGGTCACTAGTGGTGTAAACAGCTATTTTCTCGAATGTGAGGTTCACGTTCCCTCAAATTTGATTGAAATGTTGGCTTATGGAAGTCGTGGCCACAAGGTGAATCAAGCACGGGCACGACGTCATCGGCTTGTCAGGTGACCTTGAAGTGTGTATGCAAAGTCATGACGACGTAATAAAGACAATCAATTTACTTTTTACTTTTTCTTTTCTAGAAGCCAACGAATTAGCTCTCTACTCTAGTATAATTACAGATGTATGCAGATTCATGCTTGTTGAATTCTGCTTTGTGGAGGGATTGCTGGTGCGTGGGTTTGGGCAGTTGCGTATCTCCAAGATTCTCTAAGAACGAATATTGTCGATATTTCCTCGAATTCAAAACATATCGAGCATTTCTATGTATTCAATGCGACCGGTGTTAGAAAAAGTACAAGATTTTAATTCTAGTACAGTTGGGCTCATATCACACGTATCTTCCCATGTATTGAACGGTGCGTAGATGCCGTCTTCCTTTTACCCAAGATTAGTACCTAATAAGGCTGTAAACTTTTCAGTCACAATTGAAAACATGTGGGAAAATCTTAGACTAGCACTCCGGCTATGCTTGCTGTAATATATGGTCTTTGCCGGTTCTACATTATGTCTGTCAAATGTTGTCCTGTACTCTTCGTATCCTACAAATTCTGGTCTTGGTTGAACGCCTGTGAAGTAGCGTAGTATATTGTCGCTTATCCCTGGTTGGTTTAGTCCGAGTCTGATGAGAAGTCACCCTCGTGAGCCTCATCGGGATCTTTAAATACACCAATATCAATCCTTCCTCCAAGGACATTGACAAAGTGGCTGACAAGCCAAGCCTCCTCGTCTTCATTGAATTTCCAGTTCCCTATCTGATTGTTGATCTCAACGACAATCCCCTTTTGCCGCTCCGGATCAAGGTTTTGAGCAAATGTCTGAAGGCCTTCGAACGTGAACACCGACAATGCATTAACGAGCAAGTTCTGAAGGTGCCGTATCGTGCCAAGTGATTCAAGAATCTGGTCATCGATCCAATCACCACCGAAGCTCAGATTTGTCAATGCTGGGAGAGCCATAATTATTTTGCGGAGTTCAATCGCACGAACCGATGCCCTCTTTAAATCGAGTGATTTGAGATTGTTCAGCTTGCAGATTGACTCTGCCAATGGCGGCGTCTCATGTATGATCAACGCATCCGGCATTCCGTCCAGACCACCGATAGCAAGGTCCTCGAGCTCGTCCTGCTGAGCAAGCGCTTTCCAGGCGGCAACATCCACCTCCTCACCATGTGAACTGAAGCCTTGCAGATCCAGCGCACGCAGCCGGATACCAGGCGAGTTAAGAACATCCTTGACAACGAGGAGGCCATCTCTGATATTGGTGAGCGTCAAATTACGGAGTTTTGTGCAATTCTGAATCCAAGAAGCTATTTCCTTTAGGACCGTTTCGTTGCCAGCTAAGTCACAGGGATTATGCCGCTGGCTTTCGAGACTGAGACTCTCTAAAGCCACACAAGCAGGAAGAACGTTCAAAGAGCTCATCACGGCGCCTGGTAAGCTACCTAGCGTGAGGACTTTAAGTGACACCGCATGAGCATTCAGGGCAATCAATGTTTGTTCACCAATGTCGTTGAAGCTGATGATCTCAAAGCATTGCAAGGTATTCGGTCGCAGAATCTGGAAGAACCGCGCTACGTTCTCGTCAATCTCGTCGCCTCGACACGTCAAGCACCGAAATTCAGAGAATTTGGGGCACCACTGGGCTATTGCACTCGCAGCTTCCGCTGTCAGTGATGATCCATCCTGTAGATGAAGGGACTGTAGCGATGGGAGGCGGGTAAGCCAAACCGGCAGAATCTCTCGTGGTATCATGGTGACCTCCAGGTGTACAAGAGTCACAGATGTTTCAGTCTGGTCCGCCGCCTGCTTGACCTAAGCATTAAATAGCAATTAGCATTTACGGCAGGACGAGGCGAGAGGGTTCTTTTGTAATCATCCAAGTAGGGCGTCTGTAGCAACTTTGCTAATTGCAGCCAGAGAAGCTTGACGTATACACTTACGCATTGCGTGATTGCCTCTCCAGCCTCGATCATAGATTGCTGAAAGTCAAACAGGGGCATAGCCTGGCTCCTGGTCGGTCTTTTCAGCGTTTGATTCCCACGAAGAACTACAAATTGTTTGATCTCATCTTGAGGTTCTAGAAGAGTAACATCCTTATTATTCCAGATGTCTTCAAGCAGCGATCCGTAGTTCCCAAGAGACAAAGACCGGATATAGGTGCAGTACGGGTAAATCGTCTGCCCAATACTCGACAAAAGTATTGAGCGCCATAATCTTGCCAGTTTTTTCAGGCTGAATGTTTCAGGTTGGTTAATGGGCGACAGTTCCTGGACACTGCAGAAGAAGTTAGTTTTTGGTAGCTTTATTATGCCTGCATACCTAGCAGCAAGTACCAGGATAGTCGCCGTGGTCGAAGATGAGCAACAAATCACGCGGTTTGACGAAAGTGGCAGCCTGAGCCGTCTGGAATCGCAGATGGACTGCAGCAGTCGGAACTGCTCTATTGAATAAAAGCCATTGTAGATGCGCTCTTTAAGAAAAAGCATCAAAGCATCTGGACGCGATCTCTGGCTCACCAAGTGTCATCGACGGAACCAGCAAGAGAAAATGACCTACCCGTAAAGTTGCTCTATGGCAAGGCTTGCTACTCTTCGACTGACTAGAGAGCACTGGAATAGCGTGGCAAAGTCACATCGGAACGCCAGCTCTTGACAAAGCAGAAGGACGATATCTTGCGGCAATGATGAACGAGGCATACTGAAACTACCGAAAAGGATGTGTTGTTAGGGTGTCTAAGTCTAAGTAATGTTGGCATAGGTACAGAAAAGCATAATTAGAATACCAAGATAGATGCCTTGTGGATTGATGTCATGGAGCCGCACTAGTGGAACACGCACTGTATGAAATGCACAAAACTCACGATAAGTGCACAGTGTTTCTAGTGTTCTTACATGGCTGCGACCCCGCGACGCGCTTTCCAACGCGACTCTCTAGTAGCACATGTTAGGTGGGCATCACATCACACAGGCACAGTCAGCTCAGGTTGACCCTCGGTAAATGAAAAACTTGCATAAAATCATTGCAGTCTGTAGTTTGTGTGTATACTTGCATGGTCCTGCTCGTTCCTTGGCGTCACCAAGCATCAAAGAATTTCATTGGGTGTTTGATTGGAACAGCTATGTTTACGCAGTAGAATTCGCCTCAAGACTCTTTACCCTCTCAGCATGCCGCTTCTAAAGTTCACGTTGAGCGAGGAAGGTGTTGGCGCTTTACGTGAGGCCCTAGCATGTCTCAACAAGTTTGGCGAAGAAGTTTCACTTGAAGCCACAAAGGACAAGGTGTGAAAGAATCGTTTGGATGTCTAGGTTTATCAGAAGGTCTAATTGCTGATTTCTGTGTTCACAGCTTGACTTTACTGCAATGAACTCATCCAAGTCAGCATACGCTAAATTCTCCTTCGCAACCAACCGATTTTTCTCTCGTTATCAATATGAAGGTGCTCCGCCGAACAGAAACAAATTCTACTGTAAATTGTACAATCGGGTGAGTAGTTTTTTTTGCAGATGCGCATACCATTCTAATGCAAAAGTTGTCAGGCTCTTCTGTCCCTCTTCCGTGCCCGCAGCGGAGATCCCACACATGAGCATGAGAAGGACACCACGATTGAGCGTTGTGATGTTGCTATTGAAGACGAGGCGGGGAGGAACAGCAGATTTATTGTCAAGATTATCTGCAGAAACGGCAGGTTTGACTCTTGTTTATGACCTATGAAAGCCTTTTCCTAACAAAAGCCCTAGGTATGACCACCAAGTATCGTCTGCCATTCGAGGTCAGCGCTCCTGTCCACGCAAAATTCAATATGGAGGAAGCACCGAATGAATGGAAAATGGCATCTCGTACATTGCGACAACTTATGGACCACTTTGGACCTGGTATCGAATACCTCGATATTCATGCCGACGATGATCAAACTGTCAATTTCACCTGCTATACTGAGAAGGTTGCACACGGTGATGGTATGTTTTTAATTACTTGATCGTAACGTGTACTAACTATGCCAAGAGGTCCTCAAGAAACCATTGCATACATCGATCGCTGTTGAACGAGATGAGTTTGAAAAGTTTGAGGTGGCAGAAGACAGCATACATGTTGTGGTGAGTGTGAAGGATTTCCGAGCTATTACACAGCATGCAGCTCCGCTCAACAGTGAGATCACAGCAAGCTACTCTTTGCCATCACGGCCAATGCAGATCAGTTACGAAGGGGATGGTCTCAAATGCAAGTTCCTGCTCATGACAGTTGGAGACCGCGGGGTTCCTGGCCAGAAGGGCAAGAAGTCCAGAGCCAATGTCAAAGGGCCTAAGCTGCCACAGCTTGAAGCTTCAGCTAGTCGCGCAACTTCACATGCGCCTAGTCCCGCACCACAACCGGCATCCTCGCGGCAAGAGAGACCCATGCCCTCATTACGTCCGTCCAATTCAAGAGTATCTGAACGCCCTCCTCCTCCAGCTTTCGACGACGAGGACTCGTTGTTTGTACCTCAGGACAATGATAACCAGTGGGAGCCGGTAAACCTCAACGAGGATGAGGATGAAGAAGAGGAAAGCGCTCGATTGGAATGGAGCGCAAGTGCGCAACCGGTCAGTAGTTGTCATCACGGGCGTCATGTCCGGCAAGATTCTAATTGTAAACAGAACGCGTCCGTCTCTGCCATCAATATCCGATCAGCCATGACTCAGCAGTCTGTCGGCGAGAGCGGCTTGATGTCTAAAGGATCCAATGGTATACCCACACCCTCAGGTTTTGAACCAACACAGCGCCTCTCAGACGTTCGAAAGTACGGCCTGTTTGGCGAATAGGATGCCTGGAAGTAGGCTCATCTGTTTTCTTCGCCAGTGTTCATGGGCCACGTATTGTATTTACATAATTTGCTTTTGGGGTTTCAGGAACCGAACATCGCTGTGTCACAAAACACAATTGGCGCTATAAATGTATACCCTCCGCTTGCACGTAGATCCAGCTTGTAGCGCAACCTGCTCCTATGGTTGTGATTCGAGACCCCTCCGGAAGGTTACTTGATGAAGCAATAACATTCCAACGTCCTTTCACGTCACCAGACTTTCCTTCGGTTTGTGGCCCGCAGTTGCCATGCTCGCCCCATCCCCAAGTAATGGCTTCCTCATTTTCAGTTATTGCAAGCACGTGTTCGCTTCCTGCCTGGATGTGCTTGAGTTTGGGAATCTCCGGTGGCGGCAGTTGACCATGGTCGTTTCGTCCCCAAGCACTCAATGTGCCGTCGCTTTTCAAGACATATATACTGCCCCAACTGCCGCTGATCAATGTCCAGTCTGGGAGAGCTGAAAGCGCGTTGGACTTCAACCCCCACTTGTCAGCACCAAGAACAACCATTTTGCCTTGCTCCGGGTTTCCGATGAGGGCAGTGGAATACTGCCCACATACCACGTCGACTACTTGAAAATCGACACCACTGACATGGCCAATCTGATGCGGAGCAAGGTGAACTACAGGCACTGGTGACGTGCCATCATTGAGTGCAACTAGCTGTCCCAGTTGTCCTTTTCTCCCATTACCCCAACCGCAAACCTCACCATTGCTGAGTACAGCGACGACATGCGCTAGTCCTGCAGCGAGCCGGACAACTTCTGTTTCTGGAGGTGGGAAGTTGGGGACAAGCTTTGGTTCCACGATGCCCTTTGCTTCAAATCCCAACTGCCCATGCTCTCCAATACCGCAGCTGTAGACCTTTGTAGCTCTCCCGTTGTCATCTTTAACAACAAAGGTTGAGCTCTCCCACGTGCAAGCCACGAGCGCAATCGGGCCCAATGCTTCTGTCTCAGAAAGGACGAGCTCCTCAAACTGTGCGTTATCTGCTGTGCTGATGGTGGTGATTCCGCATGCGCCTTTTGATGAGTCGCCGCTCCAGTATGCTTCACCAGACTCGGTGAGTATTATGGTATGATTTCCACCTGCAGCAACCTTGACAATGGCGTCTGACGGAGGCTCGCAATGGAAAATTACCGGCTTGGGGACCGAGACATCCTCTTTGTGACCAATGCCAAGTTGTCCGGAGCCGTTGGAACCTAGAGCAAAGAGACCGGCCATGTTACGTTCTCAAATAGGTGAACCAATCTACGATCTATCACGTAGTGGTAGTTGATTACTCATGTCCGTTGGACTTAGGCTACGCAATGCGAGGGAATATGCATCAAAGTGGAGTGGTTTTGGTTGAAAGCACCAAGACAAACAACTGTTTTCGATTCAACACTACAAACTCTCAGTATTGGAATCACCAAGAGTGTTTCTATAGAGGCAGGTATCGTCAGACAGACTGAATGGTAATGGACTTCACCGGAAATGCAAACTCGATACACGAATTGTTCACGTCGCCGACCATAAACAGTAGTCAATGGATTAGTAGGTGCTGCACCTCTGCGCCGGGCCGGAATGATGCCGGTGCCCCACCTGCGTTTGTCTTCCCAAAATTCTCGAAGGTTAAAAAGAATGCAGAGCTCTTCTCCAACTTCCCGTCTCACTCATCCTTTAATCAATTCTCACCTCACGCCAGCTTTAGCTTGCGCGCGCATTCTCTTCCGGAATAGAATGAGGTGGTTTATGATTCCAACTGGTTGATTGACGGACAGAGCATTATTGTCAGCAATCCACCATGGCGGCAACCTCGAGCAGAATCCCTCCTGGAATGGAGAACTTTGTGGTAGGCATTATTGGTATGGGAGCCATGGGGAAGATGTATGCTCAGAGGCTCAGCGATGCTGGATGGAGGTATGATTTACCCATCAACGTAGCGATTCCGCTGCCAAGCTCTTGAGCCTCTGAGATCTTTATCAGGTAAGACCTTTTTCTCCGCCTACTATTCCCCTTCCTTGCAAATGATGACTTGAGTGCATTTGGCTCGAGCATTGCTTGTGGCAGGCTGGATCGGCCATTCTGGTCCCCGGCTGGCTGCTTGCTTTCCATGATGTTACTTCTCAGCTACCTTAATTTTTTCTTGTCTGAATGCAATACGGAAACACTTTATTTTCTGCCACTTATGTTGCAATAAGAAGCTAATAGTATTCCAATAGGCTGACTCGGTCCCGAATAGAATCCACGGCTGCGACAGGGATGAAAACTACGAAAGCTTGAAGGAAGAGTTCGCTAGTAGGGTATATATCTGTAGTTATTTCGCATCTCAGGAACATGTACTGAGAGTTTGTCCAGAGCAATGTTCAAATTTTCCGGAATGGCCACTTTGTGTCTCGATCGAGCGACTGGATCATGTACAGTGTAGAAGCTGCCAACATAGATAAGATTGCGGCGTTGTACGCACCTTCAACCAAAATGGGTGCCATCGTTGGTGGCCAGACATCGTGCAAGAAGCCTGAGATCGATGCACTGGAGAAATATCTACCTGATGATTGTGACATTGTCTCTTGCCATTCACTCCACGGACCAGGAACCGACACCAGGGATCAGCCGTTGGTGAGTTCAGTCTTGCATTTCTGCTGTACAAACCCAACACGAATTGTTTTACTCGACGCAGAAGCACAACTGTGCTTAATGACACATCATACCAAACTGATGTGCTTCTCTTTTTGCTGTCTTTTCATGCTCGAGTCAACCTCTAGTGGCGACATTTTCTCGTTTCTGCTTGTACCGTTCACTGCTAATTTCGCAGGTTCTGATCAAACATCGCGCCTCTGATGAATCGTTCCAGAAAGTCGAAGCGGTCCTGAGCTGCCTACAAAGTCGTCATGTCTACCTTACAGCTCAAGAACACGACCATATCACCGCAGACACCCAAGCAGTGACCCATGCGGCTTTCCTGTCAATGGGCAAAGCTTGGAACAGTATGAAGCAATACCCCTGGGAGACAGCGCGCTACATTGGCGGCATCGAGAACGTCAAAATCAACATTATGCTGCGTATCTACAGCCAGAAATGGCATGTGTACGCAGGCCTCGCTATCTTGAATCCAGAAGCACGAAAGCAGATCGAGCAGTATGCCAAGAGCACTACCGAATTATACAAGCTTATGCTCGAGAATAAAGGTGACGAGCTCAAGGCCCGTGTCTATGCTGCCAAGGACCGAGTGTTTGGTACCAGCGCTGGTGGGAGATTCGAGAAAGACGGCCCGCTTCTTGACGATGAGGTTTTAGACGAGTTCAGTCTCGGAAAAAAGCCCGAATTGCTTTTACCGAACAATCATCTCTCGCTTCTAGCCATGGTAGACTGTTGGTCTGCATTGGGTATCGTGCCCTATGACCACATGATTTGCTCAACACCCATTTTCAGGATGTGGCTAGGTGTCACCGAGAACCTGTTTCGCAATCAGGAGCGGCTGGACGAGGCCATCCGTGTGGCTATTGACGATACATCTTTCCGTAGCGATGATCTGGAGTTCACATTTGCAGCGAGAGGTTGGGCTGAGTGCGTCTCCTTGGGTCACTTTGAGACGTGGAAGGAAAGGTTCATGATTACGCAGCGCTTCTTCGAACCCAGATTCGCTGGTGCCATTGAGGTGGGCAATGATATGTTGAAGGTACTTGCGAGAAGACGTAGAGGTAGCCGATAGAGCATCGCGCATCACTTCAAGGATCATGCTCATGTATTAGCTTCTCCAAGCATCTGTTGTCTCATTTCACAGACTCGGCCACATGACCACGTTAGAGCTAGGGTCCATGACAGAGCAGGCTGAATATATTGACGTAGCATTGATGTAGCCCTTTGTCTTAATTTATAAATATTTATCAACCAGTCCAAAACCTGTTATAGCAGCTAGCGGTAATGATAACAAAACAACCGTATTAAAAGCGTTTGAAGGGGACTTTGGATATCTAACCTTATTTAAGATGGTATAAACATCAATTTACTATGAGAAAATCAGTACTATGACTTCGTGCGAACCAGCTTGACGCCGAAAACGGTCGGCCGCTGGTTCATCGGGATTACGTTGTGCGCATGGGCGATATAATAGAACCCTGGTTGCCGGCCATTGTTATTTCTTAAGACGTTCGCTCCTTGCTTCCACCTAAGTCCTGCATCGACATTTTTTGGACCACCAACAATACCCAAGGGCGTTGCTAGATCGCACCCTTCGCGCTTGGCACTCGTGGCCTCAACCGCTCGCTGCTTCCCACCGCGATCAGGGCCTCTAGCAGCTAGTGGTTTTTCTTTTTTTTACCTTCAGATATTGGCACATTGGTTCCACACGCGCGGTTTTTCGAAAAGTGCTGTGAGGATCTCGAGTCTTTCGCTTTTGCCCCTTGCGACGATATACGAGAGGTCTTTAATAGCATAATACTACAGAGGTGTATGATGGAAAAGGGGGATGAGAAGCTTCCTCGCCGCCCCTAGCCTTTAATGCCTTCGAGGGGCAATATCAGAGTTTCGACGAACTCCTCAGCCGGTCACGCCCGGAACATAATATAAACTGTCCGCCTCTATCATTGAAATACAACACGCTTCACAAGCGGGCAATACCGTTGCAGCAGGAGAATATGAAGAATCATTGGAATCCATACTATTCTGATTTCTGCTTTTTGGCGGCCTACAAAGTCCTATTCGTAAAGGGTCGGTCTGAGAGACTACCTTGATGGTACGACGACAAACTCAAAAATTCCTTTCTGCGTTTCATTCTCTCCTTACACCCTAGTAATGCAACTAACGCAAAGTTTTGAGGTGTTCTCCAGCTCGCGCTGTAAAACTATGTCACGTCTCACGCATCGGGTGTGTTCCAAAGGGGCCATCAGCCTCAGCGGCTTGGAACAGACCTAGCTGGTATGGCCTTCGACAGGCTATGCGGCGGTTCTGGCGACAAGTCAATGGTCTGCTCGGTTCTCAGTGCCTCACCGAGTCGCTATGCCGTAGGCGAGTAGTGATATTTGGTAATAGTGGACCACATGATGCTGGAAACACTTTGATAACTGTACTTCTTTCAGGATCATTCATACTCCACTTGACACTATATGCATCCCCAAGTCTGAATCTCACGTTTCCATCAACTAATCAGGTTCCCGCTGGCCAGATAGTTTGTGCTTTATATAGCATTGTTTGACTCCAAGTCGTAGTTAACGCAAACTTTCATTCTCTGGGTATCTCCATGTATCAGGCCTTTTTAATAGTAGCACATTGGCAGAATAAGAAGAGCATTAGACTCTATTTATTGGGCGGTGAAGCGGAAGCACCCGGGGAGAAAATCAAAATACAGCGTTGGCGGCCTGTAACGGTTGGAGCTCTTATATTATCACTGTGCCACTTGACTATCAATAACAATTTACCATATCACATTTGACCCTCACTTGCCCTTGTTTGCTAGCGGCCAGGAAATCCAAATGCAAATATAATCTACTCCTGGCTTTGCTTGGCTAACCTTTGCTTTTTTCGCCATGCCTCGGCATAACGCACTCCGAAACCATGCTGGAAAACTGCTCTGACCTCCTCAAGCGTCATGTTCGCAGCCTCAGGGAAGCAGAAGACGACATAGATCCAGCCTAGAAATGAAGTACAAGCATAAAAGCCGAAAGTGCCGGCTGGAGTGATGCCCTTCATCATGGACAAGAAGGTGGACGATACAATGATATTGGGGCCCCAATTAAAGTTGTTGATACCCGTCGTTCCCAACGCACGCACCTCCATCGGCAGAAATTCGTTGGCTTGCCAGGGCACCCAGCCTAGTCCTGCCGCATAGAAAGCGACGAATAGATCAAAGAAGCCAGAACGATGTATGCCGGTGTGCTGACATGGTCATCTGTGACCTCAAGTGTCTAAAGGTCGATTGGTATCCAGTGAAACGCGATCACAGCTGCAGCAAGACAAACCGGCATCCCCCACATGGTCCAGATCAGAATGCGACGCCGTCCGATTTTGTTAATAAATATGATGGAGACTACGGTGAAGAGCCAATTGATCGCGGCAATAATGGTTCCAACCGCGACTGGGTTTTTGAAACCAACAATGGCAAACAGCGTGCTTGAGCAATACATCATGGTGTTAAAGCCGCACATCTATTTACAATATTAGCTTGGACCTTTGGAACAACCCTCCTCTTGCCTAGGGAGAGATGATAGCTACGAGAAACGAAATGACTGGTGAAAGCTCACCTGTTGGAAGAACATGAGACCACAAGCTGCAATCATGGCTCGGCGGTTTGCTGGAAGGGTGAAGATGTTCTTGGCTGCAGCCCGCAGCCTGATTTCTTGAGTCAGGGCCTTGGCTTGCATCACGCTGTGTTCTAGAGAAAGCAGCTTGTTCTCAATGTGTTGTTCTGTCGCATGAGGATAGATCTGGCGAAGGACTTTCTCACATTCTGCCCGGTGGCCGTGATACATGAGCTGGCAAACCAGACAGATAATAACACAAGACTTTTATGCTTCCAGAACTTCTGAGTTTGCGAACTTTACCTATTCCTTCTGAAGCATTACAACTACGTATTGGTTGTGAGTATCAAGCTCATTGAACTACGGCGGACCAAAGGAGCCACTTTTCAACAACCTCATTTTGCAAATAGATGACGGTTTTACGGCATGACGATTTCCAAGACTAAGATTTTGGGATCAGAAAATGGCAGAGTCTATGCTGAATTAAGCACTAAACCAGTCTCAACACATGATAATGACCCAGATCGTTCTGTCCAAAACGGTGCGCACTGGAAATAACACTTCACCCATTCTTAAAACGGATTTCTATAGCACGCATGGCTCCTGTTTCCCGTACGAAAATGTATGAAAGCAGAATTCCCTTTTATATCTAGACTTATAACACAGCATATATGAGTCAAAGCTGATTTACAAGCTTGTTAATAGGCCTTATAAGAAGAAATAAAGTGTATAATAACTCCCTTTAATTATATTTCATGTTGATTAATAGTTATTAGTGCCAGAATATACTAAGCTACCACTTGACTGTATACATTTCAGTACGGAGAGCGCGGCCAATGACGTGTGTCTAAATGTTAATATAAGCGCCTCAACCTACATCCACCACCTCCTATCATAATTATTCTCTCCATATATCGCTTATAATTTCGCGAGCTTGATGCGAGTATGTAATACTTACAAGAAAGAAGAAAAATAAGACGATGCACTTTCCGGTCGAGCAAGAGAGAGAGTCCGAGCTTCTTAATACTACGATCTAGCGCTGAGTGGGCCAAGACTTAGCACTGAGTATAGCTCGTGCCACTTTCTAAATCAGTGCCTACTTTTAGGAGCGCATAAAATCTATTCCAAATAATTATATATGAATCAAACAATATAGAAAAAACTACGATATACAGCTAGGAATTAAAGAACTAATTTACCGGAACTAGGGCTCAGCTCAGCTTATATGCTTGTACCCGAAGTCAGCTTCACTACTTCCAGGTCAACGTGACAACGTGTTTCCCCAGCCACTCCAGCCATGCTTCATCCCTTCAACATGGGTGACGGCACTCCTGCCGAAATTTTGCAGCCGATCTTTAGCAGTTTGGTGGGCGAGACCAGAACTTTCGCTCAACTCAGGCTCGTCCCCCACTCATAGCGTACCCTCCCTCCCCTTCTTTACTCAAGGATGCCAACCTTAGCAGGCCAACATCGATTACTGCCAGCCGTTCTCTGGCTACGATTACTACTCAAAAATGAGCCAGGACAAGCTTGATGAATTGCAAGAATTCGAGAAAGGAGTTAAGGCCTGATGGACATCACTACTCTATAGGATCGTAATACTAATCAAGTGTTTGTAGGGTGATCCTCAATAGAGTATTGTTCAGTGGCGTCGTTCCTCAGCTATTCTGAGGGATCCCTGAAGGCTATCTATCAATGGTGGACCGTGCACCTTAGGCATCTACACAACTGGTGGCACTAGGCAACCATCCACCCCCCCGGTAGCCTGAAAGAACTAAAAGTGAACTTTCTGAATCACTATGAATCACGATTTCGTGATGAACTTTGGTGTTTTGAGTGATCGCCGATCACAAATAGTCAGCTTCAGTTGGCGGATAAATTTTGCGTGTTGTTCTTCTTGCATTTGGCTAGTTGCAGTGGCTTCTTCTTCTCCAACAGCGTTGCCTTCGTTTGGATTTTAGATAGAAGATCGGTCCATCGTAGTTTGTTCGCTGTGAAGTCGTAGAAGAGTGTGGAATACCATCCTTCATCAACATCCTTCAGTGGTATCAAGACTGTCAGGGTTGCCACTCTTTCATGAATTGGAAAGCCGAGCTCTTCCAACCGAATCTTCATCCTCGAGGCTTGATTGAGGTATTCTTGCAGTGTTGAATCAGGCTTCTGGTGATTCCATTTGGTCATCAGATCTGCCACTAGATCCTCAGAAGTACAAGGGATACACTTGCAGATGTGGTCGTAGATGACTTTGGGGTCCTTCTCATTCTTCTTATCCCATCCGTGGTTGACCAGGATATCATGTACTGGTCTGGTCCAAGCCGTACCAGTCAAGGCGTGTGGTGATCTGAAATTTCCAATCCTCTAGATTTTCTTCACCTTTCAAAGACTCAATGGGTCTGGTGACAAAAGGATCTCTGTCCATCATGTCGGTAGAGATGGAGTGAAGGAATAGATGGATGTGCAGGAAGAGAATAAGGAAGAAGGAAGCTTAGAGGGCTTCTTGATTCAAGGACTTTTGGTTTTATTGCCCCTGTTCCAATTTATCCGTAGATCGTGAGAGGTTTTGAGGACTTATGCCTAGCCGACAACGTGTTTTCTTTAAGTGGACTGGTGTTATTTTGGTGGTAGGTGCTAGGAATTTTACCTGTTTGCACGAACCCCGCACCCACAAAGCTGTTTTCGAGTATTGATATAATCTTTCCTTGAGTGATTACGAAAAATTTCACGTAGAATTTTGGTATTTATTGGTTTTGTTCTACAGTGTTTGGTGGGCTGTACTGTGTGTTCTGACAGCTTTGATGTGTGATCAACTAATGACGCGCTCTCGCGACTGATCAACGCGTTTGTTGGTGATTCGTCGATCTTTTCTTCACAAAATATCTTCAAATGGATTTATTGTGGTGTTTTGTGGTGCTAAAAGGAGAATTGCTTTGACTCTTACCGTTTTTCTGACTGTGGCTATATTTTTCTTTATGAAGAATACTGTGGAAGCATATGATCATGATTCCTATGTGGGGCTCATAACCTGATGAACATCACTACTCTGTAGGATCATGATACTGATCAAATGTGTGCATGTTGATCCTCAGTAGAGTGTGTTCAGTGGCGTCGTTCCTCAGCTATTCTGGGGGATCCCTGAAGGCTATCTATAAAGGGTGGACTGTGCACCTCAGGCATCTACCTAACTGGTGGCACTAGGCAACCATCGAGGCCCTCGTTTATATGATGGAGCTTTTGCTTCCTAATTATTTTGACCCTAACCTAGCTTACACGCACGTCACCCACGTACCCAAAGGGACCTTGCAAGTGATAGGTGACAAGAGACTGGCAGGCAAGGCACTGGTACACGGAGTAAGGCCACCGCAGGTGACTTTGACTATTGAGCACATGACCATCACTTGGTGATACAAGTTTATGGGCCCAGTACATACTAGATCAAAAAGCTGTTAGATCCTTGCGGCCCTTACCCCACCCGCCATGATCTATACCCCTTAATGTCTCTGAGACCCTACACCATTATATGGCGGGCATACGACAAAAATAAAGCTTTACCGACTAATCAAATCTTGTTCGGCTGATCTCTTCCCGGTGTCCATACATCGCTCCCACATTCGTTGTCATTATTAAAATAGGAGGATCGTACACGGTAAAGCAGGACATGTGTGCCAAGTACTCTAACCAAGCCCCGACGGCTACGACATCGATACGATCGTGTATAAGCACGGCGCGGCCTGCAAGACATTGAAAACTGCTGGCTATTCGAGTTCCACCCGGCAGGTTATGATCTGGTGTACTGCTACCCCGATAACGCAGAGAAAGGCTACATCACGGGAGGCGAGCACGTGACTGTCATCAAAGATATGGCACAGGACGCCATCAATGCCTCTATGACTGGTCCGGCGACGGACAGCAGTATACCTTGAATCCAGCGGTGAAGTCCGACACCAGCACCTTCATCCGGGATATATGCAAGGAGGAAGGCATAGCCAGCTATTGTTATTTCTACCGCAACGACCCCACGCGGACGAGTGGTGGCGACATAGGGGATATTTTGCTGCGCATCGCCGCCGCCCTTTAAATACCAACAATGCCCTCATCAGGTCTATGAGATCCAAGGCGAGAGGTATGTCACGTTCCCGTATTCTTCTATTCGCGGACTGCTGATAATAAGCTGCTCCTTACAGGTGCAAGTAAATGCTGGCCAAGCTGATTTGCAACGGGTCTGTCAGCCAGTGCATCGGCAGCGACACGAACAAGCTGAATCTTAGCACTTTGCCGGGTCAGGTCAGAAGGGATGTGTGACGTGGAACACGCGGGCAGTAAAGACCACTAACGAACGTTCCTACGAATGGTAGAGATGGACGCAAACCAAGTGACTTGGTCAGAACAGTTGTGGAATGCCATAGAGGCAGAACTCGGAATTGTCCAGAAGCCGTGCGATGACAACATGAAGAGTTGATATGGAAGGAAGAACGTCGATGGTCCAGCGTGTTCGGGGGGCTTTAGAAGGTGCCCCGGACGTGGCATCAACTTTCCACGCCACGCTCTGCTTCCCCTGTTATTTCTGCACGCGTCACACGGACGTGATCTATCAGGTAGACTAGCGCAAGAGACGAGCGAGGCAAATGGAGGGCCTCGACTCGGTTCTCTTTGAGTAGAAGGGCAACAACAAACGACAACCTTGGCTCTTGGGTCAAGGAACCGCGAAGCGGTGACTGGTTTGAGCACATGATAAGCGGTTGGTGATTGAGTTATTACACCCCATACTTGAGTGTTGCGCAACAATTTCAAAAGAGAACTGCCCAGAAGGCTCATATATGGCGAGATGCTAGGAAGCTGCAGTGAATTAAATTAGTTGTTGCATTTTCAAATCCCGCCGAGCAGCACGGCGTGACGTGTGGGTATCTCGATATTGGCCAGGTTAATCTTAGCCACTCTCGAACTTCTTACTATATTTGCTCTAGGAGCACACACTGTACCTGATTACCGTGGCACATTTGGTAGAGGCCTAGGTCCAACGATTTGCCTCCGCCCAGCACCAATGCCCGCGGATCCTTTGTTCTGGCTGTCACCGCCAGTATACCCACTCCATTGACCGACATCCCACCGCCCACCGACACCTCCTCCGATGCCATCAACGCCTTCACCGGACCGAACCGCCTTGGCAGTCTCCCTCTGAGAGTCCTCCCACTCCTGCTGGCGTTGTCGTTCCATCTCCATCTCGCGCTCCAGCAGCGATTTGCCTGCGAAGCCACCAGCTTTCGTCTTGGCTTGTGATTGCACTCTGCGACGGTCTTCGGCGTCACGCTCAGCCGTTGCACCGAGTTCTCGGGAATACGTTGACTGGGCTGGTGGAGAGACCGGCGCCGGGTTTGCTGCGAGGAAACGGTCTGTTCTACTTGCGCTCGAGGGGTTGGGTAGTGGTCGGGCGAATGGCGATTTCGAACCGGTAGGGGATCTTGCAGCCGCGGGACTGCTGCTGAAGCCACCCTGAAGTGGGCTCTTTGCCTTCTCTGGTACCGGGAGCGGCCTACTTTCACCTGTGCGCTGAGTTCTTAGAGGTAGGGTCGGGGGCGGAGCTTCGCTAATGCGGCCCTCGCCGGTGCGTTGAGTTCTCAGCGGCACAGGAGGTGGCAGGGTGTCGCCGGTCCGCTGTGGCTTCAGCGGGCTTGTCGCCTTTGGGTCCGGCAAGGGGCGAGACGGGAGTGCAGGTGCTGGCACCCCCGAGGCCTGGTCTTCTTGGTGGCGATCCCACTGCGTGCGCAGAACCTCGCGCTCATCGCGTGACCATGAGTCTTGTCTGCTTGGTATATCCTGGCTGCTAGGCGGCCGGTTGGGAAGTCTTGGTCTGCTCCGTGATCGATTCCGGCTCTTGGCTCCACCCCGACGTCGTTCTCGGTCTTCTTGATATTCTGCCTCGCGCTGACGCGCAAGTTCCAACTGTTCTTCCAGTTCTCTGATGCGATCGCCGTCAGACTTTGGAGCTCCAGCGCTTCGCTCGGCCTGATACTGACTCAGAAATTGTCCTTGAAGCTGTGAGTTACCCTTGTTTTGCGCCTTCTTTCGTTCCTCTATTAGTCGAGCCTCTGCTTCCTCTTCTTCTTGGCGACGCTTTTCTTCGGTCAATCTCCACTGGCGCTCCTCCTCGTCCCACCGGCGTTTTTCCTCTTCGGCTTTACGCTTCTCGTCGTCTCGCTGCCTCCGCGTCTCTTCTTCCCAGCGTCTTTCTTGGTCCAGTCGGGCTCGCTCTTCCTCTGCGTCTTGATCAGCTTTGCGCCGCTGCTCCTCCTCTCGCATCTGTACACGCTGTTTTTCAGCTTCGGCTTCTTGCTCCTTCCGGCGTCGCTCCTTCTCTGCCATATTGGGTACGTGCGGACCAGCACTAGTGATCTGACGACGGCCGCCGAATGCTATGCCCAGATTGCCCTGCGATGCACCGCCCATGTATCCATACTGAGCAATGTTCCAGGCTGGGCTGGTAACGCCTTCGTGGTCCCTCTTGCTCCAGCTACTGACGCCAGGGGAGGCTACACGATCGCTTGTCGGGCTCTTGGTAGGGCTCCATCGCCCGGAACCCGAGTCGCCAGTTTTTGTTGATGTCAAGCCGGGTCGACTGCCGTACGTAGATGAAGTATGCGAAGTGTTGGATAATGCTCGGCTTCTGTTGGGGGAGCCCGTGCTTTGCGGCGACAAAACCCCTTTTGTCGGTTTGGCCCCTATCGGTGACGGGAACTTTGATGGATTGACCCTTTGGGCAGCCCGAGAGAATGCACCCAGGCATTGGAGTACTTGCGCCGGATCCTTCTGCTCGAACAGGTCGACGGTAAGGAACATGTCATGATCAGGCAGGTTTAGCGGTGGGGATTTGCAGGCTCGTAAGAAGTGCGATATGTTCTCCATTTGCACAAAGGGCATGGCGGATTTCTTGAATTTGACACCCGGGGGGCCTATGGCTAAGTTTACGAGTCTGTACTGTAGGTGAGCACTCGATATCAAGTTGAGAGTGTGGGTTGGACCATTGTGCTTACTTGCACAGCGCCTGGCCATCTTTGAGCCCTTCTAGCAGGTCGCCGCCAGGGAGACGTTCGCCTATTGTTCCCTCGATCCATGATCGGACTTCGTTGGCGGCGGCGGGGGTATATCTGTCGAGGCGCAACTTGCGCAAGTCTTTATCCAAGGATGAGACAGACGCCATGTTGCATTGGTATATGGTTGATGAAATATTTCGATATCGTATATTCACGCGAGGTTTTTATCGTGAACATCAGAGACAGCAAGTTGACCATGAGGTGATGGTGAGCTGTCTGGAGAGAAAGAGAGAGAGAGAGAGAGTAAGTGAGAAATGCGCCGTGTGAAGGCCGTCGCAATCGGATTCGGCGCAGTCGGGTTTGTAGGGTGAATGGCGAATGACGAATGAGGTCAGAGGTCAGAGGTCAGAGGTTAGAGGTTAGAGGTGGAGGCGGCAGTGCTTATTTCATTCGGATCGCAAACCTCGAAAATGGTGGTATAAGAAAGTTGAGTTTAATTGCCCTTCAAGCCCGAGGAAGATCCATGCGCAGAGAGCTCAAAGTCATGCGCATAAACATTAGCTAACTTGGGTTGTGTTGTGTTTCCGTTTCAATCAGCAATGCGCCTGTCAGGAACCCGGCGACGACAATCTGCTGGAGAAAGGAACATGAACATGAACATGAACTGACAGGCCGGGGGGCAGCACAAACAAGGATTGCCCACTTTCACCCAAAGTGGTGCCTACCCCACTGACTTGAATGCCCAACTACTACATAGACGGGCGCCAAGGAGCTGGAAGTTGGCAGACATATTTCATCGTGTCCCAAATAGTGCGAAAGAGCCTCCTTACACTACGTCATGGGGTTCTATAACACAAAGCAGGAGATCATCATCCCGCGTATTTGACGACTTGAACCTTGGACATGAGAACCAAATACGGTTGACTTGAAGAGGACAAACCATGACACGTTGGCATACGTCGGATTGCCCTAACCTACTCTGTATAGCATCACGAATCCCGGCGTTGCATTTCGGACACCGCGCAACTAATGGGAAAACCCCCTGTGCAGGAACCTGTCCCCCTTCTCCCGAGCCCCCCAAAACCCCTAAACCCCCTGTGGCTGTGGCCTGCCCAGAGTTCCGTGGCGAGACGATTGCAATGACGGAATCACGACTTATCGATTACAGCTTCATGTGGCGGTGCCGAAATTAATTACAGCGACGAGCCTCATGATCGCAACTCGTCCAGGAGCAATGTGACACACCCAGAACTACCCAGCCAAAATGTCCATGATGCCCGAGATAGGTACCATTCAGCGCGCCTGGTACCGCTGGAAGATGCTGCGGTTGCCGTGGCGGAAGCGCTTCCTCGTCGGTACGTGTGTGAAGACGTATTCCCACAACAGCGCCCTGCCCAGGTAGATCTATCTGTCATGCGGAGCGCTTCCGGCTTCCCAGATGTCTCTGCCCCCCCCCCCCCCCTCCTCCTACTCCTCCTCCTCCGCCCCCTTCCCGGTACATAAGCTCACATTCACCCCCTCTTCCCGCCAAACAGGCCTCGACCTCCGCGGCAACACGTACTGGACGTTCCGGGACCAGCGGCCCGACAAGCACACGCCGGCCTCGGCCCTGCGCTGGCGGCGCATCGTGCAGTACCCGCGCTCGACGCACCTCTCGGACGTGGCGGTCCCGCCGCAGTGGCACCAGTGGCTGCGGCACCAGCGCGAGCACCCGCCGTCCCTCGCCGAGCAGTCCGCCGACGTGGCCCGGCAGGACCGCATCAGGGTGCTGGCGGCCGAGGCGGACGCACGCTGGGAGGCCAAGCCCAGCCTGGCGGACATGCCCGGACGGGGCGAGAAGAGCCAGCCCGCACCGGCGCTCGATACGGATCGGACGCAGCCGCACATCCAAGCTGCTGGGGAGAGGGCGCAGCCCGAGGGACACAGCGACGGAGGGCAGAGCAAGACAGAGGTCAAGGACGACCCCTGGAAGAAGGCCGCAGGTCGTGGGCCCAGCGAGAACTGGCAGCCGGCGGCCTGGACACCTACACCGAGTTCGCGGAGCACAAGGACCAGTGCCGTCAAGTCAAATGCAGGACGATAAAGCCGCAGTTTCATGGCCAGGAGCTCCTTTCCAGGTGTATCATTTAAGTGTATCGATATTCTAGCTTTTTTACAGAAGCTCGAGGGCAATATGCCACGGAGGCATTCCCAAATAGTGTATATCAGACAAAACATGTCTGTGATGGAAACCGCATCCGAACGCCAATATTGAAGATTGAAGCTTCGTTTCCGTGGGTATCATTTGCTACATCTATTGAATTGGGCATCCCAGAACCAACGTCAGCATCGTGACGCTTGCTAGACTGACGGCCCTCCTCATTCTCTGAGATCTCTCCAGTAGAGCTCCTGTGTCGCTTCCTCGCCGGGGACACTTGCTCGCCGTATCACGTCACCTTCACATAGATACAGTCTTTCAACTCCGATTGTCCATCCTATGAACTTCGTGCTGTCATGTACGATACCTCAGTGGTGTCTGCCGCATGCATTAGCTTCGAATCATGTAGACAATGGGGAACAGTTCAGAGCATACCCTCATCCATCTCATCACTTTCATGTTGGCGACATTGTGGACAGAGCCAGCGGCCTTTCGGCTCACTCTTGAGACCAATACACTTCCAGTGAAACCACCCGTACGAACAGTTCGGGTTGTCGCAAGCAACCATATCACCATGCTCGATCTGCCGACACAGGCAATATGTTTTGTCCGCCTTTTCCGGCTCATCCGTTTCCGCGTCCTCTCCACTGGCCTCTTCTGAGATGAGCTCTACCAGCTGCCGAAGCCTGCTCGAGCTTTCTTGCAGAACCGTTCGAGCTTCTGTGTCCGGGTCCTCTTGAGCATAGCCATTGCGCTTTCCCCTCGTACCGGCAACCTTTTTCTTGATTTTTGCTTCGCGCGCTTTGATGCCTTTCGCGACTGCATCGTAGAAACCATCGCTAAATTGGGCTGTGCCTTCCATCCAAACCAGCTTGACAAGCTCCTCAAGAAGCACGCTAACCTTGGCGTTGTCCTCGGTCGCGATCGTATTTGCGGCGTAGGGAAGGAAGCAACGCTCAAGGATAGCAGGGCTGGTGCCATTAGCATCGTAGATCTCACGGTCTACTTTAGAGGGATTGACCGCTGAGGAAGGCATAAAATGGATCAGCACGTCCTGGAGGACGGAGATCTGGCTGTCCAGCCGCAGGGATGAAGTCGTTGAGTCGATAAAAGCTGTGAAGAGGGATAGTGGTAGAGATCGAATTTGCGTCTCGTAAGATTCGTACAAGTCTGGTAGATCGATGGGCGGAGCCGGCAGGAAGTGGCATAAGTAAGACAGGGCGGCGAATAGTCGTTGACGCAAGGCTATAGACTCGACATACGATGCTTCCAGAGCCGGGGACTCGTTCCTGTTGGAATAAGTCTTTCGCTTTTGAGGTGTCGGGGGCTCGGAATTCTGAGATGAATAGACCGAGTCGTCGTCGAGCAGCTCGCCAAAGTCCCCCTTCTCAATGTTGATCTTTCGCTTCCGCTTCTTGAAAGCCTTGTTTCTCGATCTTCCCTTGTGTTCCTTATCCCATATCTCCTGAAATAGTGAAGACGCCGAACCTTGACCATCGGCAAATATGACCTTGATGACCCACTTCAAGCCTCCAGTTCTACCGTTCCGCTGGTTGAGATAGCCGGCTAGAATGGAAGTACTGAGCGATGAATATTTGCATTCGCCTTCTTCGCCGCCTGCCCGGAAATGCCCCTGTTCATCCATCTCTTTGCGCTCGTCGAGATCCTTCTCAATGACTTCGAGCATGAAGTCAAGCCACTGGCGCCAGTACTCCCAGCGATTAGGATACAAGACGCTGCAGTTGAGGGCCCAACCAACGACGTTGAAGAAGTCATGCCCGCGCCTCCAGACCCCATGTTTTCCGTATCTGCCATACAGCTGTGCCTCCCCTCCGACGTCAGCCACAAAGTCGTCGCTGTCCCCGCTGGGGGATCGTCGCGTTGCTTGCCCAAATCGAAAGGCTTCGTGGAGTCGGGCGTTGACAGGACCGACAGTGTTGAGAATGTTGCGCAAGTAGTCGAGCGCTGCAGACGATACGTCACTCCAATGGTCCTCGCGGGGCCGTGTCGTCAGGTCTGGGTGTACAGTCAATGTGCTCAGAAAAGCCAGCACGTTCGGAGCCGGGCAATAGACGTGGTCGCTGCTCTCCTGCCTTCGAGGCGTCCATCGCGTACCTGGTGGGAGCAACGCGCTACTCGAAGATTGTAGTCTACCCAGCACCCTCAGAGCGAGTATGTGTAAGTTCTCCTCAAGGTAGATTTGACAGTGCTGTTTCAACTCTGGCGGCAGCTGCCTCGCGCTGTAATACTCTCTCCTGGGCGCATCGTTGTCGGGCGCATCGATGTCTGTCACTGTGATATCCAGAGGGTTTGGGGGCGACGCTTCGGCCGTGATGAAGGAATCCGGCGACGAGAGAGGCGACGATGTCGCTGGGTCAAGCAGTGGCGGCGGCATCCTTCACATGCTTGCATCACATGCTTGCCTCACGACGGTTTCGCTTAACGCGCTCTGAAGTTGAATGAAGACGCGCCTAGTCCTTTGGGCGATGAGATCGGCGACGCGGGGTTTAGCGTTAGCTGCTGTATTAGTTGGTGGGGACCCTTGATGAGCCAGCTAGCGGGTTTCGTGAGCGGTGCAGCGTCAAATTTATAGGTTAGGCCTTCGACGCATACTAGGCTTTGAACATGGCGCATCGGTCACAATGAGATACACATATTGCCCAAGGTCTCAGCATGATTATCCATACCGAAGTCTTTTCCAAAAGTCTTCGGTCGCCAAGACTCGGATTTTTGGTACGTACCGCAGCAACATGTCGTCAGCTTGCATCAACGAAATTTCAGCTGCTGCTAAGCATGATCGCTAGTGCTCCATAGCGATTGACTTGTAGTTCACTTCCAGGTTAGCGGCTTTAATGCTTCAAGGCCCCGTGAGCAATTTGGCTTGCCGCTGGTTGCGGATTATTCACAGCTGCTTATACAAGCTAGTTAGAGCGATCGAAGACTTTTGGTAGGAACCTCCGTATAATGGGATATAGAGTCCTCAGTTAGAATGTGTTGATACGGCAGAACTATTCCGTTGTTGTACCTAGAAACAGGCTTGCCAATTACACGGTTCTCCCAGGTCAAATACTGCAGGTGCACTATCGCCGATGGACACTTGTTCCAATTCTGTGTGCCATGAGCAATGCAAAGGATTATTCGGGAGATGTCCCCTTCGAAATATTTTGACAAGTTAACAAAAAGAAATATGTCCATTCATGATCAAATTTATTCCGCTGTAGTCTCTCGACATGTTTTTTATACAACACTTGTGCTTTTTTAAACGACTGTATCTCACGAGTGAAGAGTTTAAATTGTGCTTTGGGAAATGGTATAGTACAGCACGATCATGGTCCGCAGCTGCATTACGCACTCCGGTGCTTCTCTAGTATCATCGTGGCATCGTAGAGCCGACCGACAACCAGGCTTCCTTGTCGCAACGCACTGGTTCAGCAAGGGAGTTCGGCACCTTTACCGCCGTTATGGATTCTAGACTCTCAAGATATTCCCGGTTGCAGATTTGATGTTGTATCTAAAGTGGATGATTGTATTGCGCTGTCGACGCGAGTTATAAAGACTCCACTATGTAGCGCTTCGCATAATGGTTCACGTGTACGCGATCTGGACATGGCCACCGTTGTCGCTAACCGAAGGTTTCAACTGTGCGATTCCTTACAGTGGAGGGAATCGAGCCAGCACTCTGATCGTCCTTTCAAGTTTTCACAAAGCCGGAACGATTCAACGTGGTATTCCAGGAGATGGTAACTCGACCTTTTTTTCAGGTCCAAAGATCACAGGCATGGGTATGGTGTAGGTGTTGCAGTGAGATGATTAGGTACAGTCAGGGCACCCTGGACCGGAGCTTGGTGGGTCGCAGCAGGACGTCTCAAGTGCAGATGTGCTTCTAAACAGGGAAGAAGCCTTGCAACTTAAGCTTTCGTTCCAAGCCACAATGGAAAGGCCAACTCTAATTTCCTAGTGCCGACCCCACAAGCTCACAGACTCCCGAAATCAGATGGGATCCCCAGAAAGCAGAAAGCGAGGCCAACATTTCGTCTTCGTGTCTCATTTTGCGGATGAAAGCATGGCAGTCAGTCAGTCAGCTCCCAGCTGTTATGCTGCGTATGTATAGCCTGCCAATAGCATGCGTCTCGCCGCAGTCGGGGGCCCTCTCGTGGCAGGACTGCGTTGGGATGTCAAACGCCAGAAAACGGGCTGAGAAGCCTCCCAACGGGTTGACAAAAAAAAAAGTGCCGCACCCCTACAGTGACAGGCGTGAGTGGTATACATAGGGGAGCGGCACTTTTTCTGGCAACAGCCTTACCTCCGGCAGTCATGATGCCAGCAGTCGCAAAATGCCGGGCTCCTAATGGCACAGCACCGCCAGCAAGGGTTTCAGACTGCTGCAGCCATGCATGCAGTCAGCAAATTGCAGTGTGGCATCAGACGTGCGCTCGCCTTGCGCACGTTATCTATCAGTCATCCGCATCCTCCCCTGGGTGCGTGGGAATTTGTCTATTTGAAAATGTCCATTTCCCAATAGTTTAGTTCACGTTGAGATGGAAAGTGACTTTTCCAGATTATAGGGGTCAAATGTAGAGCTAAGCAATGTCGTCTGAGCAGCCGCACCGTCAGCAGCAGCAGCAATATCCATACAATCCATATGAACAAAAACAACAAGAGGCACCAGGATATGTCAATCGGAATGATCATAGCACGCCACAGCCAATAGCGGCGGAATATGCTGCATGGAGCAACGCAAAACTGGAACAGCCCTTGCCACAGTGGTATAAACCACCATCAGGTCAAGCGTACGATGGGATCGAGCGCGCGCACAACTGGGTCACAGATCAGTTGCCACTAACCGCATCGCCGCCGCCGACTGCGAAGACGCCGTTCAGCGAGTACGGCTCAACGGTCGGCGGGGCTACTGTGGGTTCATATCCATTCTACTCCGCTTCACCGGCGCAACCAGAGTCAACACCCCGAAAGCCGAATGACAGGATTTGTGGCGTGAAAACGAATGTTTTCTTCATCGTTTTGGCCTTGGGCGCATTCGTGCTTGTGGCAGGCATTGCAACTGGCTTAGCGGTTGGGTTGGCGTTGGGCAAGAAATCAGCCAACACCGCTGCTGCGCCGGCGGAGACAAGGCAAGTTGGATATTTTATGTTGTGGTTATTTTCAATTAGCCCTACAGTGTAGTGGTCGGTCTAACATGCCTGCAGCAGTGCCTCGTCATCTCTTACATCCACAACTACAACCCAGACCACTTCAACATCAGCAACTAGTACAAGGGTATCTCCAACCCCTGCGTTCACAGGAACAATTACTTTGGGACCGGTCAGCTGTCCACGCGACAATTCGTCTGTATATATATCTCAAATTACATCGAAGCCTTTCAACATCGAGTGCGGCCATGATTATAACAGTCAGGGTGGAGCCAAAGACCTTTCTCACCAAGCGACAACAACGTTCGCCGATTGCATCAACCTTTGTGGGTCCAAATCTTCCTGTGTTGGGGTAGGCTGGGGTATCTATCAGAGTATACCTACTTGCTGGCTCAAGAGTGCTCTAGGAGCGCCGAATAATAGTACGAGTTGGTATTTTGCTAGGCTACAAAGTCTGGATCAGAACAACAGTACCGTCGATACAAGACAATGGAACGACGAAGACAGTAGTCCTTCATTCGATCAATAGTCATGCACAATAGAGGAATGGGTGGTTCGATTTCGGTTACGGTTTCACGTTCGATTTGTTAGGTGATTTGGGGAGAAGTGTAGGAAATGGCTTTGAAATTACTTAGAGACTGTGGTTTAGCATGGAGTTTGGTGATCTGGGTTCTGAATAGTAATAAAAAAAACACGGCGCGCCATCAGGCTTCACTATCACTTCGTGCTTCGTTAGGAGTGAAATGGGAACAGGCTTGCATAAAGGCGGGCTAGGATGTGCTTAGATAGCGCTACGAAGGCGGTACAGTTGTCACATACGGCCATTTACGGCGAGTCATGATCAATGTTTTCTTCTTGTTAATTTGTAGCTGGCGGGTATAAATCTATTGCGTTATGGTCCACTCCGACGGCCACGTGTCTACAGCTTATCTTCTCTAACCCAAAAACAGCACATAACCATGAACCATCAAGCATTCCAGATCATTGCTTTCATAGTACAGCCTAATAGCTGATACTTCAACGGACCAAGATGCTTAATCACATCTGAATGACTACCACACTCCGGACTCCTGAAAGAACGTACGCTTCATGCCGTCAAAATGCAAACTGATGTTTAGTGAAGGCTTGACACAACGGAAGAACCCGGCACACTTTTAGAGTTTTGAGAGCTGATTGAGCTTTCCAGAATGTGAGCCTGTTCCAGAGCTCTCTTCTTAGCGAATTCATCGAGTAGCTTTTGTGCTGTCTCAAGAGGAAGTTCGGCAACCCCAGCCCGGCATTCCTACATTTGTGACGTTAGCAACGTGACCTTTTCGCATCATGAAAATGAGGAACTCACCACAGGAAATGCATTGGAATCAGCATACTTCAGTTCCTCCATTAGACGATTCAATCGGAGAATCTGCTTCCAATGGAGAATTGAGTCGCCAATGAGGAAAGTAGGAAATCTAGCCATAGAGATCTCTTCCAGAATCCAGCGCCGTTGGAAGTATGGTCGATACATGATCTCCTGTGCTCCTATCCAATGCGGCGTTGTGAAGCATGACGCGCCTTCTGGGGTAGGAGCCCACAGGTGGTCAATTTTGGCAAACCACGCGTGGGTTGGGGCGTAGTCTTCTGGGTGCGCCTCCCTATCACCAGGGTCACCCCAATGCTTTGGCATACTGGCCTCGACTTCGTTTAGGCAGCTTAAGCCTGCGTCACTGTGCTCCAGCTTCACCCCGAGCCACCCAACTACTATTTGCGCGCCGCCGTAGATTTGTCGCATGTCGTTGACCTGTTTTAACTTCTCTCTCTCATCGCGCTGGTTGACACATAATACATCTATCCACAAGCGAAGAGGAGTGCGTTGTTCGGCATCGGGGTCTGGCAGAATAGAGTTGATATGCTTCATCAAATGCCGTAACCAAGCGGGCGTCTTTCGCTGCTTGGCGATGCGCTCATTGCTGCGTTGAATATTAGGGAAGAACACGGCACGCACATGCCGAAGCGCTTGGGCAAGGTGGCGCGTGATTGTGACGGGACGACCGCTGACGATGATGGTCTCCGACTCTGTTGGTTCGCCGTACAGTGAGGATAGTGCGATGTACTCCGGCTCGTCTCCGAGGCGGGCTGTGACCATGCGGCACTCGACACGGTCCTCAACGGACGTTGCGGGACGGAGCTCCAGAAGCCGGAACTCCTGCTTCGAAGTATCAAGCCTCCTGTAGCTTATATTGACCTGTGACTTTGTTGCCATTTTGAAGATGACTTATGCGAAGCGGTGGAGAAGCATGGAAATCATGCAGCTGCGAAAATGAAATATTAAAATGAGAAGATGGTCGACTGTTCCGCATGTCATGGGGGTCGCGTCTTTGATGTGGATGTCCAAGATTCTTCTTTAACTTTGCTTCGCTTTCTCTATCGTTTCTGCACCCTGGAAAAGACCCCTACTAGTGCCACGACCCTCGCAGCGAGTCCCGCTGCAGAAAGTTAATCAACTGGCCATTCCCATGATGTTCGGTTGTCGATCTCGTGCAGATGGCAAATGTGAATCTTGTGCTCATGCCTTTCCTGGGAACCGTCAACGTCTTTCTCTTGACGCTCACTGTTCACACAACCGATTCATCTGCGGGACCAAAAAGAAGCCCTGAATAAATCACCGTCACATACCGTGTATCTCGTCGCTTTACATGGGGTACCTCCTGACAGGCATTGAACATGGAGACTGAGACCCACGATAATTTTCCAGAACAAAGGGGGGCGCGTGGGTCGTCCAGGTAGACTGGCAAGGGTCCTAGGAAGTAGTCCCAACGTCCCTCCCAACGGTCAAATCATTTCTCACACAGTTCCTTACGTGCCCCATAATTCGAGAACCAGTGCCCAACGTGTGCGTGATGATGGAATTTTTCTTGGAAACTCGCGGTGAACGTGATTTCTAAATGTGTATGAAGTTAGAGCAGGATTTTCCTGAGGCACTTGAGCTGCATGCTGCAAAATTCTGCAGCACTAAGTGGTTTCCTACCGCATTCGACCCGGCAATTTGGGGTACCACATTGCCCCATAGCGAGGGCCGGCCCGTGAAGCGGTGAAGTGCTGGTGCTCAGTTCATGCAGCACAATAAGGTAAGCATAAGGTCAGGCGTGGGTAGGACAACTGCCCTCAAGCGACCACGGTACGGATCCGTACATAGTGCATGCGTGCAAAGCCCAAAAAAGTGCTTTACCTAGTCATGTTTCCAAATGGTACTTTAAGCGGTTGCTTGCATAGTTGGACACTTTAACCCCCGGCTCCGCTCTGACATCGTTCGCACATTCAATGTACACAATCCCAAGGTCTGATTCGCTTCCTACTGTCAAGACCGTTGAAAACAACCCCACACCTTCAACCCGGGTATCGTGACACCACGTAACCATTTCATGCACGTCTTACACTCACCCCATACACCACGTGCGTGCTGCGAGATTCGTGGGGCTCATAAACTCATACGATAGTGACGGCAACTCGAAAGGTAAAGATAGTATAGCTCTGTCAATAGCAATGCAATCTGGCATCGCTCCTTATAATCCATAATGCCAATTAGCGAAGTTCAATGGCGCACCGCTCTCGGTGAATCTAGCTAGATAAGACAACCCCCGTGGTGCACTAGTGCTTGCGTACGAAAAGACGCAAGCCAAGTGAAGGAAGCATACGGCACTTCTATGCAGGCGCGGTAGTTGACGGACAATTTCATGGAAACCCGAACACATCCATTCTACTTGCATGTATCCAATACATACACCATGACGATACGAATCCCCTCCACTCATCTATCTTGATCTCACTACTAGAAAGTGGTGATGCCAAAGGTATATATAGTAAGTAGTATTAGTCATGATTCAAACTCGAATCTTAGCGTGTGCAAACCCACAATCAGTTCGGAGACAAAGGTGTAAACCATTTTATACATGTCATCAGTCGCAAGAGAGAAACAAATGAAATTGTACATGGCTTCTTCCGTTTTGACATTTTATTATGTCTTAAGCAGGTCACGACCTCGGGGATCTCTGAACTTGAGGCTTGAGGCTTGAGGCTTGATGCTTGATGCTTGACATTTGAGACAACGGCCCGGATATTCCTTGGATGTTCAATCCGTACAATTCGTGATACAACTGGAGATGACCAATCCAGAGTATAGTAGGAACGCCAGCCATTCTGTCCAACCTCATTGACCTGAGCACACCTCGAGGACTGTATTGAATGCGGAATACACCCTAGCGTCGGGTAGCACCGGTGCAGTTAAGTGGGCCATGGGGAACTATCTTATCAACTTGGAAGGAGGATCCCGATAACATAGATATAAGCTCGGAATATGACGTCCAGTTGATAAGAGCACTTGCTTCCTCGGTATCATTCGCAATGGTGTATCGATATGACCAGCTTACTTATTGGAAGGACAGCTGATCAACTCGGAAAAGCCCGCGGGACTGTCGAGCGGAATGGCTCGGCTCAAATCATGGGTCTTGTTTTAGGACTCACGATAATCATATCAGATAGTAAAGATAACTTCACCACGGAGAGACCACTCATATCACCACTATATCTATTATTACTTTCAGTTTGACAACTTTATAAAGCCAGTTTCGGCATTATTCTGACAGGATAGCGCAATGGCATCACAAGTCATCCGCATGAATGAGTTACCTTGGGGGGCGTCAGGTCAAGGCCAAATGCCAGCCTTAGTCCACCCAGATGAGCTCCGCACGGCGTTTGCATTAGCAATGTCGCAGATGTACAGAAAAGAGGTCCCTTTATATGGTGATCTTATTCGAATTGTACAAGGCGTAAATCAGAGAGTTCTCGAAAATGGCTCTGCTGGCCCGACGACAACAGACAGTCTGGAGCGGTTGACACTTGAGAGACATGGTGCGATCCGCCTGGGGAAGCCAACCGAGCTCCGAACCGTCGGACGCATATTCAAGGTATTGGGCATGCAAGCCGTGGGCTACTACGATCTCTCGATTGCTGGACTACCCATGCACGCCACATGCTTTCGACCTACGGATGTATCATCTCTCGCGGCTAATCCTTTCCGGGTCTTCACAACCCTACTCCGCCCAGAGCTGCTGCGATCTGACAGAGCTCGTGATCTTGCACTACGACTTCTGAAAAAGCGGCAAATATTTAGCGACGAACTACTGACTATGCTGGACTTAGCCGAGCAACAAGATCATAGACTGAGCGCCGGACAGGCAGCGGTCTTTATTCGAGAAGCTTTGACAACATTTAGCTGGGCGCCCATGGCCGAAGCAACTCATGCAGAGTACCAAGTACTCAAGTCAGAACACCCTATCCTTGCCGATATAGCTTGCTTCAGAACTGCTCATATCAACCACCTGACTCCCAGAACTCTGGATATCGGTTCCGCCCAGAGAGCGATGTGTGAAGAGGGCATGTCTGCAAAAGACCGGATCGAAGGACCGCCCGTAAGAAAGTGTCCTATTCTGTTGAGGCAAACGAGCTTTCTTGCTCTGGAGGAACCAATCATGTTCAAGTGCGGAACTCAGACGAGCGGAACTCTGATAAATGGTTCCCACAAGGCTCGCTTTGGAGAGATCGAGGAGAGAGGCGCAGCTGTAACTCCAAAAGGTAGAAAACTTTACGACAAGCTACTTGAAGGGGCAATGTCACAAGCACAAGGCGAAAGTCCTGCCTCAATAGACCAACTCATGATCCAGTCGTTCGAAGCTTTTCCGGACTCCTGGTCGCAACTCCGTCATGAGGGTCTTATTTATTGTAAATACCAGTACGGAGGCAAACTGCTTCCATCTTTCACGGTCGAAGAGCTTGAGTACACTGATCTGGTAGAGCGATTGGTGAGTGAGGGGGTTCTCGAGTGCGTCCCGATCACGTACGAAGACTTCCTCCCTTTCTCAGCTGCAGGCATTTTCCAATCCAACCTTCATGGCGCAACCCCGAGTGCAGACCAAGATAGTCCGGCGGCAACACCAGATATTGAGGGCTTGGAGAAGGCTTTGGGCTCCTCGATCATTGACGCTGACCAACTTTATGCTGAAATACAAAGCATGAGTTTAGAGTCAAGCTTAATCCAACTGAGGTCGGTCATATTTACTCAGTAGTGGAATGTCTAGGATATGATGCAGTAGTAGGGATAGTGTCGTTCAATTGACTTGATCCGATTAAGAAAAACCTGACTATCTAAGATATATAGGGAGGACTATTGTTGATATATGACAGACTTATAATGAGTTGCACATTGTTGTCCATAGAGAGTTATGATATGATTCGCCACATGACCTTTTCTTCTAGAAAGCACCCTGACCCCCCCCCCCCCCCCCCCCCTCCTCTTCCCCAAGAACGAAACACTAGCCGCCCTTTCTATGCTACTACAAAAAGCTGTGGTAATAAACATGTTATATTTCCTGCGTATTGAGTATGACTACAGCTTAGTGCCGGGACAAAGGATATTTGTGTAAGGGCACTTGGAATTTGATCTGACGTACTATCATTATAATTTGCGGAGACAATACGGACTTGCGTCCTTTATCGTGTTTCATCGAATAGTCTTTGGCTTGGCGAAATGGCTGTAAATACTTGCCCGATCGTATACATGAAGACAGACGACGCTTCTCGATCCGTTGCTTATGCCTCCCTTTATGGCCTGATCACAGCTGTAGACTACTACCGATGAGTGGCTAATAAGTTCACCGGTAATCCGGGGGCATCAATCTGATAACGAGTGAGATTCGTGAAGAATTGATAAGAACCATCATAATTATTGCTGGCTTGATTTATCGGTAAGGAGTGGATTCCGATTATTGGACACTTGAACCATGTTGTCTACCATCAACTGGCTTGCACCGAAATAATTCTTTGGGTCGCAAAGGGATGCCAATTTTTCCTCGCCAATCTTTTCAATGATGTGGCTCCTGGATTTGAGGACATCCAAGAGTGGCGATTTTCCCTCAATAGATTCCTTACACGCCTCATAGACCACATCATGGGCCGATTGCCTTCCGATGAATGGGGCCAATCCCATCATCACAGCTTCTCCGACGATCAAACCCCGTGTCGAACAAAGATTGTCCATCATCGATTGTGTATTGACCACAAGCCCACCCAAAGCGAAGTTTGTCTGGTGCAGCGCCCCGGCAGCCAGGACAAACGCTTCCGGCAAAGCAACCCATTCAAGATGCCACGGTCCACTGGCCCGCTCGAAATCGACGACCATGGCATCCAATCCCAGGCCAGCATTGGCACGGAGGAGCTTTGACGCCGCAAGAATGACCTCGCTAGAGATGGGGTTTCGCTTCTGCGGCATTGTTGATGACGCGCCTCGGTGTGGTACAAAAGGCTCTGACACCTCGCCCAGTTCATTCGAGGACATGACGATGATGTCGAGGGCAATCTTCCCGAGCGAACCCCCAACTAGTGCGAGAAAGTTGAGGATTTCGGCAATATTGTCGCGCACTACATGCCAGGTGATAGGCGGATCAATCAGTCCGAGTTCCTCGGCCAGGGCAGCTCGCACTCTGATGCCTGAGTCGTCATTGCCGAGAGAGGCAAGTGTGCCGGCTGCACCGCCAAACTGAACAAAAAGACACCGAAGTTCGATGTCATGGAGACGTTCGGCGTGTCGCAATATTGAGGAAAGATAGACTGCACACTTGTAACCAAAAGTACAAGGGAGTGCATGTTGAAGATGTGTGCGGCCGGCCATTGGTGTATCACGATATTTTACAGAGAGCTTTTCGAGAGTAGTGATCAGATCTTGCAATTCTCGCTTTATGATGCTCAACCCGGCTTTAATCTGTAGAATAGACGCATTGTCCATGATATCTTGTGTCGTGGCGCCCCAGTGTACGTACTTGGCTACATCTGAGGGTAGGTGTGTAATCAGCTGCTCTACCAATGGCAACACGGGATAGCCCACGATGTCTGTGTCATGGGCAAGTCTCTCAAAACTAGCTAAGAGTAAGCCCATGTGCTTCAAAGCAATTCCTCATGTTAGATACCTACTCTAAAGTAATATTACTGAACGCTTCAGTGATTGCTGCGGCGGCTTTAGACGGAATTATGCCACATTTCGACTGGGCGCGAGATAATGCTGCCTCAACTTCGATCATACGATTGATGTAGGCATCGTCCGAGAATGTATCACGAATTTCAGCTGTTCCAAAGAGGTTACGAAAGATTCGCGAATCATAAGCCGATACAGACATCGCGGTGTGGGGCTGTCACTAACGCTTCAGTGTCCAACAAGGAAAAGTCGTTGAGACAAGTTGTTAGGGGCAAATGGTTGACTATATATATGAGTGCCTTGATATGTAATCTTGAGATTTTGCAATAATATCTGCAGTGCTTGGAGGTTCTGGCATGGCATAAATGCTCCCTCGTCGGTCGTAACGTCATAACCGGCCGGAATAAGCTCTTATCCCGGCCCACCGGCAAGTAGCACCTAAATAATTTCTCTCGAAGTCGATTCATTTGGCTCGGGTTGCAACCTAATCCCGAACACAGGTATGAAAATCAAAAGAACCTTGAACGTCCGATTCCAATTGGCTCATTACAGACCTTGAGTCCTACTCAGTACCGTTCCGATAGGGATGCAGCAGTCGAGTCCGGAGCCATCTCCGGCAACTTCTCCAGGCAAGGTTGGTCCTGGCCAAGTGTGGTGGGTCAAGACCATTTTCAGAATAACTATATACATACATACTTAGTCTAATAACCCTCCTAGCGATCGCTGCAGGCAGTACGTATATCGTTGGTGCGATATCATTGTTTCGATGGCTGACCTATAGCAGAAAAAAAGTGCGCTGTGACGGGGCACTACCATCCGTGAGTCAGAGCTGTTGTATTACATCTCTTTTTATTTTCTGTCGGCTGACCGCGAAAAACTGCCATCAGTGTGCAAAATGCAAGAATGCCGGTGTTGCCTGTGTGGTATCAGCAAAACTTCGCAGGCGCACCAAGATCCGCGGCTTCCATGACTCGGCCGATCAGAAATTGGCCAGATTAGCTGTCGAAAATGAGGAGTTGAAGAGACAGCTGAAAGTTGAGCGAGATGCAAATGCAATTCTTCGAGGCCAGCTTTCCGCGACACTTCCTGCAACAAATAGTCACTCGACTCTCTCACCCGCAACATGCAATATTGGGAAACTTCATACTGGGGAGGAGCCAAGCCCGTTTCCAGAAGTACCAGGCAATGAGCTCGTCATTAAACACATGGGCCGGCTTATACCAGATTGCGATGGTGTAGAGCAATTCGCAGGCTCGACTACGGGCGTCCACTTCATCTTGTCGGTGCAAGAAGCCCTGAAGGGACAAGGGCTGCTTACGGCATGGTTTCCAGAGAACTGCTTTCGTATGCATATTGTTGCTCCTCGGCAGATCCGCATTAGCTCTCATCAGCCTTCGCAAAACAGCCACCTTGACGTACAACGAAGACTGCGTTTAGTTGGTAGTATAACGCCCTCTTCAATAGGGGCCCGTATTCGTGGGTTTGTCTCTGCTTGGTCATTCTTGTGTCCAGCTATCGCGGCAACGGAGCTATCGCAGAACATTGTGTCACTTTGTGGCCGCATCAGTCGAGGCGCCGTATTGGATGATCTTAGCATGGAGGAACAGGCCATGCTCTTCCAGCTAATCATGATAACACTGTTGCCTGTACCGGGCCTAGATCATGGCCAGAAGCTTGACTCTCTTGGGCTGGACGACAATAACAGACAGAAGGACTTGTTATCGCTTGCTGGATTGCTTTTGCCAACCATAACGTCCAACATGAGACTTTGTAATGTACAATGTCTGGTGCTCTTATCTTTCTTCCAATACTTGACGGGCCAGCACAATTTAAACATACCATTGCGGGGCATTTTGCTTCAGCAAGCGCAGGCTCTCGGTCTACACAGACACCACAGACGCTTCAAGTTTTCTGCCGGGGAAGTTGAGCTACGAAAGAGATTATGGTGGTGCGTTTACATATTGGATAAGTATGCATCTCCATTTGAAAACGGATGTTGAAGGTACTGATCGGTCTAGATTTACGGCTATTATCCATGGACTGCCACAAACTATCAAAGACGCTGACGTGGATGTGGACCTCCCGTCAGACGGAGAGCTCGAGGCTACTTCAGACTCCGGGCTAACACTCCCTTTGCCCGGGGAAAATACCCCTATTCGTGATTTTATTACTTTATGCCGCCTCAGCCAAATACTCTCATCGATGCTTTCGCAACTCTACACCACAACAAATCGCCGGGGTGGGCGTGATAAGATCAAAGGACTTGATGGACATCTGCTTCTTTGGGAAGTAAGACTTCGGAACAATGACGATGCGGACGATATTGAACACTCGTTAAAGCAATCTGCCGATTGCGAATCATCTCCAAAGATGTGGCTGTCGCTGATGAAGAACGTGGCTAGGCTTTTAATATACCGCCCCGGGTTGACATTTGATACGACAACGCCCCAATTCCGCGAATGCTTAGATGTTTGCACTAGAGTCAGTTTCAATATTGTCAGCCTCTTGACGCAAGCCCAAGCGCGCGAATTGCGCGTAATAATGCCCTCTGTATATGGGCTAGTATTCCAGTGTGCCTTGGTACACGTATACTACCACCTCCCCGATCATAGCCAATCTCCAGCCAGGTTCAGCAAAGAAGAGAGCGCAGATCATGTGCAGCGCAGTATCGATTTCCTTCGTGATGCTGTCTTTACACATGCGTCAAGCAGGGACGATGCATTCATACTGACTATCACAGATTCTGTCGCATTACTACAAGCAATATCGCCGAAAGTATTGGGCTGCTGCGTTAGCCCCACAGCTGCGTGGCACGATTCCGCATACGGCCCGGTACTCGAGACCATGAATCAATTAGAGTCATTGAGCTGGGTATTCGATGACCAGGCTAGCCCATTTCTGTATACATTCGAGTAACAGAATCATACAACAGGACTGGTTTATGTCCAACGATGATACACGTGCAGTACAGGCAACGCATGGGGCAAACGACTCTAGCCAGACCGTCCAGGCTCGACATCGTACTCGACATCGGTCCTGATGATATATTTGGCGCCCAGTCTTACCCCAGTACCTTCGTGTAGAAGAGCACCCTTGCTCTCGCCGTGCGGAAACAATGCGATTGATCCCATCATTGGCCGTACAGGGTGTGCATTCATAACACCGTCTACAAGGCTGGGTGTAAAGAATGTAGTTTCTCCGCCCTCGAAATCATCGTTTAAATAGACGAGAAAGGTGAAAAGACTCGATTGCTTCGCTTCAGCCGGCGAGGCATCCCATAAATACTTGCCAGTAGTTGGATCGATGCCAGAAGGCGGCCACGCACCGTCAAAGTGAACACGGTACTCAGCTCCTGGAACATAACGGTAAACTCGGAACCGACGGTTGATGCCACGGGCTTTCCTCCCCCCAACTTCTGCTGGCACAAAGTGGCGAACTCTTTGCCACAAAGAATCGTGGAACGCCTGGTCCACAATCCAATAAACGTTGTGGGCAAGAATACTGGCTTCGGCACCATCATCCCTGATGGGGGCATCAGGAAGAAACCCAACAGTCTCCATGGCGCCAACGATGGCCTTGCATTCGCTGTGCGACAGAACGTCCTTCATCAGTGAGAGATTTGGCACAGACGGGTGCTTGTGGTGTGTCGTTTTCGGCGGATCAGCCGACAACGGCACTGCATTGTCCTCGCTGAGATATAAGACGGCGTCGTGGAGGTTCGGTGGCCTACGCTCCGAAGCCTTGGTGACTTCGAGTACCTTGAACTTGTCCTTTACTCCAGGCGGAGCAAATCGAGTGATGGATTGATCTGATGCAACCGGCACGGGCAAGGCTGTCTCGTCTCGGAGATTCCACTTGGCATGGAGTATGAATGGATCTGATGATCTTGTGAAGGACACAGAGGGGTTGAGATCGACGGTGCCGGTAACCCTGGAAATTGCGTCGAGCAAGCTCAAACGCTCGAGCTGGCTCTTGGATCTTTCGATATTGTCGGTGTTGGTGCCCATGGAGAATCCGCTCGTGACATCCAGATCACGGACCCAGCGGCATAGTGCACCCAGCTTCGGCGACTGGGCACGGAGGCGCATTTCAGCCAGTAAAACTAGTGCGTCGGTGTACTTTTCATCGACAAGAGCTGCGGAAATGCGCGAGGTGAGGTTCGTATCGGCGGTGGTGTTGACGCCGGTTGTACAGGCCTGCCTGAAGTCGTAGACAGCAGTGCGCAGATCTCTGCATGCTTTTGACTTGATGACCACTGGATGCGCTGCCAACGTCTGCAACGTCTCGACGGCTAGGTCCACCTCTTCTTCCGAGACTAGAGCTTGGAGCGTGAGGGCCGTGATTTCTTGTCGGCCGGCTCCATCGGACGACTCTGGCGAAGGAGGGCCATTGAGTCGTTTCTTGTTGCTCGAGTCGGCTTGGACGTCGTTCTGGTGCTTTCGCTTCGCTGCCTTCTTGGTTCTGGACATATTGCGCTGGGTAATACGCTGTGTTGTGAGCTGCTGATCGGCTGGAAGAGGTTGAAAGAAAGGCAAAAACTCTGGTGTGGTGGGATGTTCTGGGCTGATTCTAAACGTCAGGTCACTAAGTCTAGGGGACCCAACTTAAAATCGGCGGGTGGCGTGCCCCACTCTTATTATTAGCTCTTTCCCCAGATCTGCAAACAGCTCTAGTCTAGGTTAGCTATTGGCAGGTTGACATCACAGCATGCACATGTCTGATGTGCTTTCTCTTCACCACCATTACACGTCAAGTTTAATTTCACCTTCCATAAAACCTACTTACACCCCTGACACCATTGAATTCTTATCAAGGGTTTGAAGAATGACGACTCGTCGAAGACCCAAACTCTAGATTTTATGTGGGTATATTGATACTTTCTTCAGTATTGGTGTTGTACGATGCTTCGACCCTTGCGTATAAGTCATGTACGTATACTATGAGTCACCACGATCCTGGACTTGGAGCCTTCAAATTTAACCCAGCAGCTGTCGTGCGACATGCTCCGTGCGGTTTGCATCAGCTAGCACGCCGGCTCTCCTCTTCCCATCCCGTAGCCTGAACAGAACTTCAGGATGAATGGGTTGAGTCACTGTCCCATCCTTGAAACCTGTGTCGATACTCACATCGAGCCCGCCGTGAGGAGGGGAAATATCATAGGCCCAGACAATCTTGGCCGCAGCAAGCAGCACTGACGTAAATGCAAACTGCTCTCCAGGACATTGACGACGCCCAGAGCCAAAGGCGTACAAAACTCTGCGTCCGCTGTTCTCTAGATCCTCGGCCTTGAACTTGGGACGCAAGCCGAATGAGTTGTCAATAAAACGCTCCGGCATGAAGTCATTTGGTCGCTCATACTCCTCTTCGTTTCTGTGAATCGTCCACGCGTTCGCAATGAACATGGTATTCTTTGGGAAGAAATACTCCCCGACGCGTTCGTCTCTAGTAAGCACGTGAGGAAGCCCCTGCGGCGTGGTTGGTCGCCACCGGAGAACCTGATAGCAGTCAGTCTCAGCCGCAGTTCAAGTTCGGTTCGAGAGTTCCTCTCCTCAACTCACCTCAGAAACACACGCCTTCAGGTATTTGAGTTCTCCAAGCCTCTCGCTTTTCAGTGGTCCATCGCCTGCCATCCTGTCCATCTCCTGTTGTGCTTTGACCAGAGTTTCTGGAAAGGCGGCGAAGGCCACCATGAGATTTTTGAAAGTCGCCAAAGTAGTGTCTACAGCTGCTCCAACTGCAGCCTGTCCCACGAAAGCCAACTCAGTATCGGTAAACTTTTCCTTGCCTCCACTAGCTGCCTGCTCTTTCATGATTTTTGGCAGCAGACTATCGAAACCAATCGAGTCAGGGTCCTTGACGATCTGATCATAAGTCTTCTTCGCACCAATAAGGTAGTTATTAGCGTCGTCAACCATGCACTTTCTGACGTATCGCGCATGCCCTTTCCATTTGGCTAAGAACTCCGGCACATATTTCAAAATGGGGAATATGTCGACCGGAGGTGCGGCACCAGGCAGGATCAAATCCAGTAGCTCGTCTTGAGCATGGCAGACCTTTTCGCCGTAATCTGCTGGAAGATCATCCAAGCGCTCGCCAGTAGTAGCCACCAACGGCACGGCCAGGGCCCAATGGCGTGCACGTTGCTCGTAGTCCTTGTCGCCGTCAAGAAATTTCCTGCATAGACTGGAAGCCTCGGCCTCGAGAAGAGGCAGAAGTCTCTTGATGCCTGTGGTACTCAGAATGAATTGGAACGATTTGCGCCAGCGTCGATAGTAATCATCATATTGCAGGATAGCAATGCTCTTTTCTTCAGGTCCAGGAAGAACATGCTTAGTGAGAATATGATTGATGGGTCGATTTGAACATATTGCCCCCCGTTTGTCGAAGAGCTCATTAACCAACTTAGGAGTGTTAAGGAGTACTAAGTTGCCGGTACCGGTTTTGATACCGACAATGTCGCCGTATTGCTTCGCCCATTCATGAAACTTGAGATATGGCTTTTGAATGGGCATTTGGTGCAAATTGCCGAGACCTGGGATGATAGGTGGCCCGGGAGGGAAATCCTTGGGCCTGAGTGTACCTGAAATCCATCTCGCCAGCAGAAAGCTCAAGATGACTGCCATTCCAGCGACACCGGCTGCGAGCCAATGCGCGCGGGGCAAAGATGAATTAAACGTTGCAGACATGTCGAAACGTACAGGACTATGCACCCAGTCGAATGGTAGCGAGATGTAAGAATATGAACGAAAGGTATAAAAAGCAGAACCTACTACGATAGCAAGCAATATGACGATCCAATTTGTTTGGCCTGGTCCAGACTCACACACACAACTCACTGCAACGACTTGCAGCATGATGACCTGAGTCGTTCCCTATTGGAACACGAAAACTGAGCTACAGCCGATGCGGATTTGCCGCAACAGTCCAATGCAAACCTGGGATAATAATATATCAGCACTCCACATGGACGCGGAAGGATGCCATCTACAGTAGGCGATCCAGTTTTATGCCTGGGTTGCAGTAATGGTCCCCGAGCTCCAAGCAAATCGGCGGTCATGTATACTAGGGTTCTTACTCATCAAGGAGGTTGAAGTCCGACAGTACCAGCCAATGAGCCGGACAAGAACCCGCTCCACACAAGCCTTTACAATACTCAAGGATACAATTACAACTTACTATTGAGGGGCGATTTCAGATTTTGGTTTGTTTTGCGACTGTCGTTCTCGTGTCTCTTCGTTGAAGTCAAGTGGCCTCGACCTAGTTGTCAAAAGACGCGATGATATGTATTCATAATTGCCAAATGTAAGTCTTGGCGCTTAAAGAGCACATCCAACAAACCTTCCAGAGCCTGAAAGTGCGCATATTCGGTTAACCTAGTTTCCTGCTAGATATGCTGCACAGGTAAGCGATACCGAACCGATATTCCATGGGTCTTGCGAGTCGCTCTGACCAATCGCAGACTCCCAAGAGCAGCTGTCCGGGGTAGCGGCTGCCGGGTTGTATCTGCGAGACCAGTACATAGTCTTAACGATCGCATTCGAATGGCCGCCACAACCTATTTGGTACAAGCATCTATTGCTACATTCCTTCGAACTACAGTCATCAGCGATTGTACATGTGATACACACCAATAACTTTTAGACAAAAGCTTGTCAAATGTGAAGACTAAAATTCATTTTCGCAGAAGCATGAAAATCATGGAAGTAGAACCCATGGAAGAACCATACATTGATGCCAGTGGACGAGCATTCCACAACGCACAAGAACGAGATGATAGAAGTTGGCAACTTCCTCTCCAGGAAAGCTGGAGAATTTTCCAATCTTTCTACTATCTCTAATGATTGATCGGCGTTATTGCCCGGACAAGGCTCCACAGCCCCACGCTGCCTGTTCCGCGCCTGGTAGTGAAGTGCTGGCCCCAGTCCTAATCGGTGCCACGTAGAAGCCTTCGTCTAGGTCACATAGCATATATAGGTTTTTGATCTGAAGGAAGGCATAGGAAAGATCGGTGAAGTCCGAGAGAGTATCCTCGTTGAGCAGCCGCTTGCCCCCATTGGCTTTTGTTTATGCGAAGATGAAGACTTGGCGTTGGTCTTCAATTCGCACATACTCTATCATTTCCTCAGAATGACCATAAGACAAGAAATTAACTCAGACACTGAGTGAAAACACAACTACCAGCAATATTGGCCACTCATGGAGCCATCACTGTAAGACCTAGCGCCTAAAGGCTACTATGTTAACTTCGAGAATCCGACCAGGGACTGGCGGTTGATACATGAAACATGCTGGATATGTGACATCGGGACACTTCTGGCGCCTTTTGTTTCTCCTCCAATACCTCTACGTGAAGTTGAACATCAATCGAAGGGTTGATGGTGAGACAAGTAAGTTGACGACGAAAGCCTATTTCCTATCATTCGACAAGGGTTTTTGGGTTGTAGATTGCTGGCTTCTGGGTTTTCAAGCCTGTTTGATAATATCACAAGCCTTGAGTATCATCATAGAAGCTCTGCTTATTTGTGACTACGCAAGACTTCTCAATCATTCGAGTTTGGACCGGGCGAAGTTCATTGTGTCTAGCGATTGTGTCAGCTGGGTTGACTGGTACTCACGCATGGGAGATGCCGTTGGAAATAAACAAAAAAATTTACGTTAATAGATCTTTATATTTCTTTTCCCTTTATTTTTAGCTCAATCTCTCATAAACCAGTGAATTCTTCAGATATTCTATGCAACACCAACACTATACACGCCAACCACCGGCTTCGCCAAGCTCTCTCTATTCCTCTTCCTTCCCCAACAGAGCATCGCCAGATCAATGGTGGGTATGGTGTACTCGCATCTTGATTTGCGTCCTCACAGGATATTCTACTGCCATCACTTGCGCTATGCATTTCGCCTGCAGCTCCATCCAGCGGATTTAGAATGTTACAAATACTGACGGTGACGACATCGACCGTCCTCAGCTACACATAGCCATAGCTACGCCATAGATTCTGACTGATACTAGGCTCATGATTGTACCTATACCCATAATTTATAGTTTACAGATGCCAGTCAGGCAGAAGATAGGTCTAAGAGCTATGTTTGTGGTCGGATCATCGTAACCAATACTGTTTCCGTATAAGGCTGAGCTAAGTTCTGCTTCTAGCCTACAGGTGCCTTTAGTAAACTGGTAAACTTAATCATGCTGCTGGTTACACTACTGCTGGCCCTTTCAGATTTTGACTAGCCATAGGCACTCTCCGAACCAGTGTTGTGTGTGTATATTCGAACGAGAACTTATATGTCTTTCCCTGTAGAAACGCTTTGTTTTGAAGCTAACATGAACGGTCCATTCAGATATGTGGAAGGAAGCCTCTTGACCATCTGCGCCTCCTTCCCCACGGTGAAGCAATCCTTTAGCCTGGTAGCGCCTAGCATGCCAACAAGAGTTGAGGTACGCGGAGGAGGAGGAGGCAAATGAGCGGTAAGGATAAACAACATGGCCAGAATAGACAACGATGAAGATGGAAGTGGACGTTCCATCGCTAATTGGACAGGAGACAGGCTATGGTAGAAATCCTATCTGGTAAGTGGAGAAAGTGAAGCCGAACGAGCAATTCTGCAGACGAGAGCCCACAGTATCGCGAGACAATCCAAGACGGATTTCTGAACAAAACAAAATTCAGATGATCCTTTTGCATGCTTCGATCGGTATTTATCCTGACAGGAAAATCGGAATAGTGTCAAAGACATGACCTCGTTACACCCATGCATTTCATTTTATTTCAAGACTAACTTCGTCTCGTATGCCTCAGCCTTTTACTTGAATGATCGTATTTTCATTTTGACGAGTTGCATGGGCGGCTTTTGTGACAACGGTCATCGAGTTGGGGGACAAAGAAACAGCTGCTCTGTCTTGCAAATGATTCTTAGTGCAACGCCTGTGTCACGATGATTCAAGCATCAAACCAGCCATATCTCTTTATTTCATTCAGCCTATCGGTATCCCCTGCCGCCCGAGGTATTGTCACCTCATATCGTGTCAAATTTGCGCGTTCTGGTTTAAGTACGAAGAAGTGCCTCAAACACTTCATCATTTCTACTATGAGAGGCAATTCCATTCGGACCTCTTCGTGTAGGGAGATTTTCAGATATGCATCCATGCTACAAGTCCCCAACGTCTCAGCTGCCTGGATTCAACTCAAACGATTAGGTTCCGGGACTATTCCTCATAGAAATAGGCACCCGCCACCTCATTATGGGCTTAAACAAAGACCAATACCGCATCGCACAGTACAGCCAATGGAATGGTCGTCCCGACGTGCAGGGCGTGACCATCCTGAGCTTCGTACGGGAGGTTCTGAACTCCCCCAAGCTCGGCACGGCGCTGTACAAAAACAACAACAACCTGCTCTGTAGGCCGATAGACGCGCGCGCAGCTCCACGAGTAGTACCGCTCTTGAAAGGGCGTTCAACGACCGCTCTAGCCCCCCCCCCCCCCCCCCCAGACTGTCGAGGAGACAAAGTTATGGTGTGAGGCTGGCTGTCCGAGTGCCGACTTAAAGCCCTATCCCTTGACCTCGCGCAAAACGGGGGCCACGGTCTTGGACCTCGTTGCCGATGCGACCGAGCTGGGACATGTCATCAAGCAGATTGGATATCTGAGCGACTCCATATTCTACGAGTGCGCCGACGTCCTGGATCTAGATTGAAATGTGTTCAAGGTTTATATATCACGCGAGGGTTCGCCTAGACTCCAGGATGTAGAGTCATTACCAGTATTTCATCCCCGTTTCGCCATGAACTAAAATCTGACAGCCATTTTAATCGTCCGCCGTGATGAGGTCACCAGCTACCGTAGATCAAGGCACCAATGTGCTTTAATGCAAGCCCCGCAACTCGGCATTTGATACTCGCATTGAGTCGAGGAGATGGATGGTGAGATCTAGTCCCCGTTTAGGATATTTTCCTAATATTATACTTATACTCACTTTTCCTTTGATACGTCCTTGTCGAACGTGAGTCAAAAGCTAAACAGAAAGTCCTATTTCCTACACAACCAATGATCACTTCTTCTTCTACTACTCGTGAAACCTCAAGATCAGTGTACTACAACCGTGATGCTCAGATTCGGGTTGGATCATATCGGCATGATATGTCTTTTAGCCTCACAGTGCTTGGCGCAGCAGCTTTGGCCGGCGGCTGAGGCGCGGACCAACACGTTCAACTCGACCTACGGGCCATTGAACTCGACACAGGCGACGAGCTTGATACGGACAGCGAACATTTCCGAAGCTCAGGCCGATGCTGTACTGGTTGCTGTAGAATTCGAAAGGTCCAATTGGGCAGGGAGTGCTGTCCAGTTGGATCCCTTCTATCAAGAAATCCCCAAGAATTCTTCGACTGCGACGCCCGGCTCACCACTAAAAATTGAGCAACACACCAACAACAGTCTTTATACTCTGCCAGCTGGTGTCTCACTCTCGCGGATGCTGTTTACAACCAAGACCCTCAATGGAACTACAGTGCCTGCATCCTCCTATGTCCTTTGGCCGTGGCTTCCCAAACGCTTCAGCAATGTTACTGGACTGCCAGTTGTCGGATGGGGCCACGGAACATCCGGCTGGTCTGGTGAATGCGGGCCAAGTCATACACGAAATCTCTGGTATCAATATAGTGCCCCATATGTTCTCGCTCTACAAGGTTATATCGTGGTTGCGCCCGATTATGCTGGGCTTGGCCTCGACCACGATGTGGAGGGCAATTTTATTGCTCATCAGTATACAGCCAACCCAGCACACGGGAATGACCTGATTTATGCAGTCCAAGCCGCCCAGGAAGCATGGCCAATACTGAGCAAAGAATTCGTGCTGATGGGCCATTCACAAGGGGGCAGCGCTGTTTGGGGAGCAGCCGAGCAATTGGCGAGGGAGCCTATCGAAGGATACTTGGGCGGTATCGCAGGCTCACCACTACCTTCACTGGGGGGACTGATCGAATTAGTTGTAGAATCTCCACTGCTCTGGGTAGGCGCAGCAAAAGTCGCCACGGGATTGCAGTCTATCTTTCCAACGTTTCAGTTGAGTGATTGGCTGTCTGACGAGGGTATACGTTTGACCGAGATATTACAAGAGTTACAAGGCTGCCAATCGGTTGCTTTAGAGCTCCTCGCTACTCCCAACCTTCAAGCGGATGGTTGGAACAAAACCTGGTATCTGCCAGCATTTATCAACCTCACAGAGAGCGGCGGGAAGGAGTTCGCAGGTCCCATGCTTATCCTGCACGGCTCCGCTGACAAAGTAGTACCGGAGATGCTGGCCGCTACCGCAGTAAATCAAACATGTGAGGCTCTTCCAGATAGCCAGTTGCACTACACGGTTCTTGACGGGGTGTCTCACGTTGCGGTACTTTATGCAGGGCAGCAGATTTGGCTCGATTGGATCGCCGACAGATTTAATGGCGTGCCCGTTGCCCATGAGTGCGTGCGGCAGACTCTGAGTCCAGGCGTGGGAGGGCAGACGTACCAAGCAGAGTTTGACTACACGCTCCAGTATCCCTTCTATCCATATGAGACTGCATGAACTGTGTTCGATCAACAATGAAGGCGTAAATTTCCGATGCTTGAGCTTACGGCTGTGTTTGTTTCTATGTCGCTGTGCTCGCTGAGATGATCATAACTAGTCTAACCGCAATTTAGTGAGTATAGTCGGTTGCCGATATTCTGGACAGAGGATTGAGGTCTGTCATAGGTGCTACAGAACAGTGGGCGTAATAGCCAATTTAATCCAGGGGCTTCGTTGCGCTGGGGGCCTAATTTCAAGTCGTAAACTCCTGGGGTCTTCGCTATTTCAGTGGACATCAGAGCGCGCGACGCGTCTGCAGGTCGGTATTCTGCGCCCCACTATGGAGAAAGTCGCGTCTCCTAGAGAATGTTACCAATGTTCCAAGCTTGTTAATTGAACTGAATTGGTAAGAGCGCTTGCACGACGTTCGGAGATGCGCCTACCTTAATACAAATACTTGGGGCAGGCTAAGGTCATCATGTCGTGTCGCCACTACAGTTCTGGTACCATACCTCCAGACCCGATCTGCTTCTCAAGTACGATTACTGACCATTAAACCTTGAGCAGCTGATCCCAACAACAACAACACTCAGCCGCTTGGAGATTCATTACAACATACAGAGGATGTCACACAGCTTAGGCAACATCCTATCCGTCCCAGTATATCAGATGAAGCGCCAATACCTTCATTTCATCTCGGAGGTGCTACAGCCTGCGTGAACAACTATCATGGACTGCCTGTGACATACCCAGAGCTACCGCAACAATCATGGTCCAGCATCGACCAGACACCATCGCAAATCGCTACGTATTCCTCGCCTGCTCAACATAAATCACCGTACACTAAAAGAAAACGTGAGAGCTTTGAACATGTCAACGTACCCATGACAAGGAAAAATTCGGCTACTTCAGATGTACTGAAGAGCGTGATACCAGAGTCTGCTCACCCGGACAACAAGAGAAGTCGTAACAGCTCAACAGAGTTTGCAAACCACATAGCATCGGCATCGGAAATAACCAATCCAGCAACTCCTTGCGTTCCTCGTGTACGAGCTTGCCTCAAATGCAATCGCTTGAGTTCTTCTTGGTCCTGCCGCCAGTGCCATAAGGTGCCGTACTGTTCGGAAGAGTGCCAAGTGAGTGATTGGCCGCGGCATTACGCGTACTGCTCGAACGGTATACCAGACCATGGGCTACCTCAAGCAGCAGAAGGCCATGACCTGCAACGTGCAGCTTACCCCGATCCACAGCTAGCACGAGGTTTCAACCTTCAGCATATACCAGGTGCTTATCCTGAGTCGTCCCAGGAGGTGCTGTCCGGTCTACCATCCAAGGAAATAACAAAACCTACGCTACCTTCCTCCTCGGAGTCACTTCAGATGTCTACACTCCCAGCCTCGTCACCTGGTCAACAACCAGAGACCCCGGCCGTCCCCACCCCAGAAGAGCCGCCGTTGTGTTCAGAACAGGCTGAATTGGTCGAACTTATCTGCAGTGGACGTAATGTCTTCTACACGGGCAGCGCTGGGTGCGGTAAAAGCACTGTCCTCAAAGCCTTTACAAAGAGATTGCGTGACATGGGCAAAAAGGTCCAAATTGTAGCACCTACAGGTTGTGCGGCCTTACAGGTCAACGGAAAGACTCTCTGGTCATATGCTGGATGGGCTCCCGCACATATGAAGGAACCGCTCTCTGAATTGAAGAGCGCGGCCCACGGAAAACTTACGTGGAGGCGACTGACACAAGAAACAGATGTCATTGTCTTTGATGAAATCAGCATGGTCGAGAACCATCTTTTTGAACGTCTCAATGAAGTTATGAAAGAGGCTTGGTATGATCCCCGTCGAGAAGAACAACCTGCATTCGGAGGCGTGCAGGTTGTTGTCACTGGAGACTTTCTACAACTCCCTCCTGTTAAGCCCTTTCAATATTGCATTCAATGTGGCAAGGAATTAATAAAAGGGGTCAAGTTTGGACGGGACACTCATACTTGCCAACAACATGGCGTCTTTCGTGATGAGGATAAATGGGCATTCAGCAGTAAAGCTTGGCACGAATGCAACTTCGCGCATGTAAATCTCAAGCAAATCCATCGACAGAATGATCGAGAGTTCATTCGTATGCTACAAAAATGCCGCATTGGAGACCCGTTGTCATCGCAGGAGATCGACACGCTTATGGATCATAAATGCCAGGTCCACCATGCCACCAGGTTGTATCCCAAAAAGGAGCAGGTTGCAAATTATAATCAGTCTCAGTTTAAGAAATTGATAGGAGCCACCCATTGGTACTGGTGTCGGGATGTGTTCATCTGGAGACGAGACCTACACCCAACGCTAGGTAACAAGGGACTCCGCTCTTCCCGTGGTCCATCTGGACCAGATAACCTCAGGCCATTGAGTGGGCTTCAGGAACATCGCTTTAACGATCTTGTTGAGCTGAAAAAGGGTATGCTGGTCGTTTTGCTCGTCAATTTAGACCTAGATGCGGGTTTGTGCAACGGTAGCCAAGGTCTTATTTGTGGATTTCAGGAAGTAGATCCCGCCAAGCTACCCAAAGCAAAAACCAGCAACAAGCATGAGCCTGAAAACAGGATCATGGGTGATCTCGCTTTGATGAAGGAGCGAGAGATCAAGGCGTTCATCGAGTCAAAGGGGGCCAGATATAAATACTGGCCTGTCGTAAGATTTCATAATGGAATGACACGCGTCGTTTATGCTAATTGCTCTATTTCGGAGCTTGGGGATAAGAAACCGTACAGTCTCTTGGCTCGGACACAGATACCTCTCGCACCTGCATGGGCATTGACAATTCACAAAAGTCAGGGTATGACTTTGGATCGCGTCATCGTCAACGTCAGTAATGCTTTCGAAGAGGGCCAAATATATGTTGCTCTCTCACGAGCTACCGGCTTGAGCACTCTGAAAATTGAGGGGGAGAGAGATAACTTTACGAAAATGCTTGCTGGGAACCGGGAGGTACAGAGGTTTCTTCGAGAGAAATTTGGAGCTTTGAATGCTGTGTAATAAATCATGATACCCATGTCAGGACAGGCATTTGGCGCGGCTAGCTTTTGAATACAGTAGTGTGATCATAGCCAGCGCATTATTGACTGCTCGGCTTTGTCATTTCCGTCCTCGGCTCCGTAATACAATCCTGTATTTTATCCATGCGAAAAAGGGCTGGCGGATTGGTGCTTCGCAGTTGGAACAATTGGTTACATCAGTCAGCAAAACTTAAATCCCCGCAAGGGTGACCAAAACTGTACATTCCGCTTGTTGTGGCTTATTGTGGATCGGAAGTACCAAGTATTTGCTTGAGCATTTCTGGGCATGGGAGCTTAGCCGAATATATATGGATCACATAACTATTACAGAAGCATTTGAGTTCCTTTCAAATCACTGGACTAGCTTACTTGCAGTGGGCTTTGGCGAGTTACGCGGTAAGATTCAATCTCGCCAAGTCTACAGATCTCCACAATCATGCATGTTGCTTACTTTCGCTACTAGGTTCCTTAATCATCACCCACCATAACCTTATACTGACTTTCGGCACTAGCGATGGAGATGTACCGGAGCCTTCATCCAATCATAGTTCGAATATACTGCCGCAGTTCAGGCTTTCAGGTGCATACACAGTAGAATTCGTATGACCATTCCGCATAGGCGGATCATACAGAAAAGTCCCTCATTCCACTACCCAGCAAGTTTAAGCTATGACTTCTTATCTACGCTGACTTATACTTGTAAATCATCACCAATCCTGACATACTATCTTGGTCATGTAATTTCCGGTGGCGGGCTGCAGTAGCACCGAAGCGCAATATGCGGAAAAACTCTTCGGCTTTATGGTGGTGAAAGTCACGATGTTCTCGGTGGAGCACCTGTTTGTGCGTCGGCCGTCAGTGTCAGGGACAAGTATAAGTAGTGTCCATCATCCCTCGTTACATGAACATAATTCTCAATAAGACACAAAGGAATCAAATAATTCGCACTAATCCACAGTCACCGATATCCTTCTTAGTCCCCAAAGACAGACGACAGTATGAAGTTCTCTCTCCCTCAGATCTTGCTCACCGCAAGCACTGCTAGTGCTGCGTTTACATACGAAAGACTTAACAAGAATGACTCGGTCAGTCCGTTCACTGAATCACATTTGAAATATCTCAAGCTGACATCGAAATCAGCTTCTCTTGATTCTTGACCTCCAGGAAGGTCTATATCAGGTTGCGCGAGATTTTGACCACACGCTTTTCAAATCGAACATGTATGCCCATGCCGAGCTTGGGCGCCTCTTCGACCTGCCTGTGATCATGACAACATCAGCAGAGACTGGTCCCAACGGCCCTTTGCCTGGCGAGTTTTTGGAGTGGTACCCCGATGCGCCTCTCATCAAGCGCAATGGCGAAGTCAATGCTTGGGATAACACCGACTTCCGCCAGGCCATTCAGGCCGCGAACAAGTCGCAGATCATCTTGGCTGGAATCACTACTGACGTTTGTGAGTTTCACCTACCCTTTGGCACCCCACGCCAACCAAATATTCCCACCTGCGTATCGAGATTTATAGCAAGCTGACTTCGTTCGGTCCCCCAGGCACGGCATTCCTGGCACTCTCCCTCATCGACGCCGGCTACAGCGTCTGGGCCAACGTGGAGGCGTCTGGGACTTCCACGGAGCTCATCCGCGACACGTCTAATGACCGCATGCGCGAGGCCGGCGTGAACGTCATCTCGTACTTCCACATCATCTGCGAGCTGATGCGCGACTGGCGCAACACCCCCGGTGCTACCGAGGTCATCCCTGTCCTCGACAAATACTACCCTGTTTACGGCGCTCTCGCGAGGGCGCATCGCGCCGCTGTCAACAACGGCACAGTCCAACCCGGGGAGATCAGTTTGCCCTAGATTGAAGATTCCCTATCCATCGATGCAGAGCGGCATGGCATCATAAGGTGGTGACGACGGTTGCTTGCAACATATCGCGGGTGAAAGGGTTCGGTGGTATTCACTTCTTGGGTGACGCTTCCCTCGGCTGTGACACACTGAGGGGTTGGCGTATTTTAGATGGCCTGGTCGATGTACACTTTTTGGCTATACGGTGTTCCATGACAGCATAAATCGGACTCTCTTTCTCTCTAAATAGACTAATTTATCAAACGCTGAAAGTATGCTCCTGGATGTTGATGGTGTCTACAACCCATGTCTTGCCTCCATCGGTCGTCGAGAGCCCGGAGGTAGTGGCTTCGTTAAGCGCCAGGGTGTTGCCGAACGACGAGTCGGCGGAGTCAAGTACGACGGTTGTGTCGAGGTACTCTGTGAATGAAGCCATTAGATCAATATGCCGTACGACCCTTTTTAGCTTTGATAGTACTTACGGTGAGAATAGGCGGTGGTCTTGCACGCGTCGTCCTGACATTCGACCGCTGTACCGAAGCCGGCGGCCTCTCCAGAAGCTTCGCAACGGCCAGTGTTAGCACATAAGATGTACCAGGACTCACATGATGAGCTTACTAGTAGATAAAGTTGACACCACACTGCCGTTGATGGTAACGGTCTGGTCATACTTCTGGGTGGAATCGTTGTATTTGTCTACACACATCAATCAGCAGGGAGTTTTTACCGCCAAGTTGTAGTCGATACTAACAGTGAAGAACAAGAGAGGTGCCAGCGTTGACGGGCAACTCAGTACCGGACTCCTGCTCGGCTACTCATCGTTAGTGGGTGTTTATAAACTGTGATGATCCATTAACTCACTCTCTAGGGTGCTCGCAAACACACACCACTGCCCGGTGCTACCTCCACACTCACTATCGTTGCTATATTAGCTCATACTCATTGCAACACCTTTGCATGACCTCTTGCGGATATCAACTCACGTAGCTGGGCTCTTCGTTGCGACAGCGATAGCCTGAATCAGATCACCATCGCTCGTTCCCATGCCTGGCCACAGAGCCAGTCGGTCGGCGAATGGGCTTGGCACCTTAGGCAGTACCAGAGTCGTGTTGGCTTCCCGAATCCATGAGCTCGTAGGTCCGAGAGAGAAGTAAGGTCCGAAACCGTATGTCGTTGCACTGACACTGGCGGCCTCGAGGAGGGCGATAACACTGAGGGTCGTGACAGATTTCATGTTGACTATTTTGTTTCGAGAAAAAGTTTTTGGATGAATAATATACACACTCGGAGTAACGTAACAACTAGAATGAACGACAGTTTGAACAAGACAACCCTACGGAAAGCTTGTAGCATTGGCGCCAACACCCAGGCTATATACGGGTGGTGCGTGAGGTATCCCTTACAGGTTGCCATTGCGACTAAACATTTCTGTGGGACTGGATATGTTTGACAGATACAGTGTATTTCCACCTTTCGAAGACTTCCGCCTATCAAAGAGAAGAATCCAAGTCGTTCGACCTTACGTACTTCGTAAGTGCCCGCCGAGGGCGTCTCGTTTCTAAGAAATGACTTCATGGGTGTTGAAACTCCATTGAGATTAGTGCGGGCCGGCAGTGGATATCCAGTAGGATGGCACCACCGTTTCGAATTAGCAGTCAAAAGTCAAAAGACCGGACATATGTAGTACGAGATCAAACAGCATTGACAGACGGTCGATGAGAATGTCAATTGATCCTTGGTCTATCAGTGGTGGACTTATATTCACTTTTATGGCAAGATATCGAATCGCAATTTAAGGGGCATCGTGACTCCATTATAGCTTCCGGCGCATCCTGCTAACTGCCGTGTGGGGAACCTGGGAGCCAAGCTCAGATGGCTAACTCCGTGGCCCTTTGGCTTGAGGTTAGTCTAGGTTAGTCTAGTCTAGACTAGAACACGATTTTCTAATCCAGAAGATGCAGTCAACTGCATCGCTCTGCACATGGTTGATCTCTGTTGGCACATAACATCGCTACTACCTAAGACCATTGCCTTGTTGCTCCGACATTGCAGTCGATGCGGAAATAAGCAAACACGGCGTCGGATCAACCATCACCTTCAACGTTGCAGCATGTTTAGAGAGAACCTTTGTGGAGGCGACGTCGGATAATTTGCCGTTGGACTTGAGATGTTCCAATCTGTCGCGGGGCCAGAACGGTACAGCGGCTGAGGTCGGGTTTACCACGAGATTCAACACTTTGATCTCCCACTAATCAGAATTGTCGATACGGTCAATACAATCATTTACGTTGTCGCAGATAAACTTGAATTCTCCTGACGCATGGCTTTCATCATGAGATGTAGGCTTAGGTGCATACATATCTGCTGTTAGTCGATGGATAGGTACGTCGGCAAAGCACTGAAGCTGACGTTCTGATGACTGTGTTCAGTACGTATAAAAAGATTTACTAACACATCCCGCTCGTTACAAATAGATGTAGCAGTACGGCCCAGCGACAGTACTGACATGATTTTTGATCCCATAAGTTGGACCACCACGCGGCGTGACAAATGCGATGTCAATGATGTCTTCAACTGTAGCATTCGCGCTCGGAGGGCTGTCTTGCATGGTCTGTGTTCCTGCAATTTGAAATGCACGCTCCAGAGGCTGCTCATTTTGCCAGATCCACCAGGTACGATCGATCATGCTGTGATGCAACCAGAACATCGGATCATTTGGCGACGTATAAATGTCACCACCCGGGTCGCCGCCATATGTGAAATGCCCAACAGAGTGAAGACCAGTGCCGGCCTGCAGCCGGTCCTGGAATGGACCAATCGTATTATATGAAGAGTTGGTAAGCAAATCCAATAGGTGTGCGTCTGTGGCCCATTTCACTGTGAATTCGGGAAGGATGTCGCGCCTCATACATCGCGGTTGATAACCCAAGAAAGGTCCTGCTACGACGTTCGGATAATCGAACCAGGTATCTACGGAAGAGATGTTGGCTTCAACACCTACATAAGGACCAGTCTCAACGCAGCCACCGCCACGGCCTTCGACGACGGGTGAAATGCATGGTGCATAGAGTGAGCCAGGTCTTGTACAGTTGTGAGGCGCCCATATGCCATTCCCGCCTTGTGAGTATTGGCTGCCGTCTAGATAAGGCGAATCAATGGGGTCCTGTTCACGAATTAGCCATGACTGCCACGCGGAGGGATTTCTAGTCTTACCACTGCTGACTTTCCCCAGTTCCAGTAGGGTATAGTACCCTGGTAGCCGCACTCATCTTGGAGGGCTTTCTCGAATGCCCATGTAAAGTACCGATGCCATGAAAAGAAGTTGCCCGTGTTGTGGATTGTCTTTGTCTGATTAATGTGTATGGCGACCTTGTCAATTACTGTTAGTGATCTGCATCTGGTCATCTGTCACTTAAACCTTGGCTTCGTGCTTGGTCAAAAGAAAATGGAAAACATTTACAGGCAGTATAGGAATATGGACAATCAAAGTGCTACAAAGAGAGACTTCGACCTACAAAATCGTCATAACGCGACTTGGCACCAGGAGCAACATCAGTGGGTATCTTGGACGGCGCGCCCATAAGACATTTGACTACTGTGTGATCAGAGATGCTTCTGCAAGATAAAAATCGTGGTCGGGGTACAAACTAGCATTTGTGTATGTAAGCTTCTCCTCGTCCAAAAGCGTGGAACTAGGTTGATGTCAGAGTTTGCACTAGACTAAAGCAAGCACCGTGAGAATGGACACATACTACTCTCTTCTGATAGCAAGATTGGAGATGCTGCATGACTGGTGCACACCTTTCTTAGCTAGTTGTTTCTTGAGTGTGCCATCTGCAACAACAGACGTGAGCTTGATGAGGCTCAGTCCTGCAAGACGATCCGTCTGGGTTGTTGACTTGAAACCTGCATCGTTAGTAGTGGCACAGCGCAACGATTCGAGGACAAAGAGTGTTCCTACCTCAGGGACATAGGCGGCTGCTGCTTTGATGGCTATCAGCACCAAGAGCGAGGTGCATAAGCAGAGGTGCATCTTGACTGTTCCGATGTATTAAACCCCTTTTCTAAAGCCAAGAAGCCGGTATTCCTACTTGTATTCTAGAAGTGGATTTTATCGGTCCCTTCAGGCAACGTGAAGCAGGAGATGAACGCCACTGCACGTGGAAAAGCCCGCAATGATGATGGTGAACAACCTGGTTTAATCACAGGAGTAGCATTCAATGGGGAGGAGCAAGCGTGGGCGACTCGGGTTGAGCCTTCCAACCCGGAAACAATGTGAGCAATTATTGGAGACATCCTTGCTGTGGTAGCATTCGCCTACCACACCAAATAAGTGACTATACTTAAGATGGTCCGCACACGAAAAGAGCAATGCACAATTCTGCATGATATGAGTAGTATAGAGGGCCAGGCTCTCGCCTATGCAGATGAAGGGCACGGTTAGGGTTCATGGGACAGGGATTGAACCCTGGGATAACGAGGGCTTATCTGGACAATCTGGTTTGGACCAATTGTGAGGCATTACCAAGCCATCGGGCCTGTCAGACTCGTATGTTTCGTCACCCCAACGGCAAATATTTGATCAATCGTGCCGCAGTGTCCTTGAAGCCAAGTCTTACAAATTTCGTAATGCATATAAACGAGGATTTTCGGCATGGTGATATCCGAGACTGGAGGTTTGGGGATCAAGAAATGACAGATCTCATGCTAAATTCAGTACCCAAAAATGGGCTTGGCACACCTGGCGACAACTTTATATTTCCTGGTTTTAAAAAGACGTGTATTGAAAATAATGCCCATTTCGTTTGAAAACGGATTTATTTTATTTAAAGAAGGCGGTAATTTTTCATTGCGTATAAGCTAAAATATGGTTAAGGGATGACTGGTGTATTTAAGCGTACATTATACTCCTTCATCTAAATATATCCATTGATACGAGGAATGCAGCCCAGCACTAATGTGCCCTCTCGGTAGTATAAACGTACACGGTGGACTCCTTCCGCTCCGCTCCTTAATATTTGCTAATTCATTATGCAATAACTAGCAATATTGAGGACAAAGAACTTGGGGTAGGTATTTCAGGCACATATATGATCCTAGAAATCGCCACATTGAATGAACTGTCCATCCAATCTCCCATTCTGCCCGCCCAATGGTCACGGTAGTTTTTCACAGATCTCGGAATTGTGGAATTCTCTCATGAATAAATTACAGACCAAGCTACGACGCCATGCCGTTTGACAGTGTCCTATTAGAGCTCAAACAGGCCATCTGGGCCATTAGCATAGCAAGGATGGGATGAGCTGGCGACTCCCCTCCTGGCCAACACAGTCTTCTCTATAGCTAAAGGTTATCGCAGTTAGAACCGACAGAAGGCTTCCAGTGTAAATCTGAGTCAGCATAACACAGAAGCTATTGGTGATATCGTAGCAAGCGCCATTGGAAACAGCCAGATGGAACCCATCACAGTTGCTTACCTGCGCACATGACTATTCGTCAGCACGAAGAAGGCATTGAATGGTGGGTTTTTGAAGTGCGGGATTCCAGAGATACACGGTATGCCTCTGCTGTCAGCTCTCAGGAGTAATCGATAGCATTGTGATCATGGTCGGCGGCGTCATATGGATCTGGCAGTCCTCGCGAGTGCCAATTTCATAGCTAGGTACCCAACCAAGATTGAGATAGATAACTTCTCGGGTGGGCAATGGCAGTGGAAGTGAATCAACTGCAGTGCGAGGGATGAAGTGAAGTCTGGATGCATATATCAGCTACAATGGTAGAGGGATTGATAATGTGATCTTACTCAGTAGTAGTCGTCGAAGTCTCAGCTTGTCGGGATGGCGGTGTACTCACGAGGCCCCGGGAGTAAAATCGTAAATTTAGAAGCCATTATATTCTAATTCATGGATCGTGTTACAATTAATATCTACAAAACTTGAGCTAACAGTTTTGACCTATATAGCATCATATTACGTAGCGAGAGAGCTGCACGCATCTGTGTCAACAAGTTTATTTGTAGTACATCTCGAGTTGCCAGGTAGAAAGAGTGCTGTAGATAATGTGGGGATATGTTGTCAATACCTGGTGATCATATTCTTCATCATAAGTTGCGTGCTGCTTATACATTTACTCTCGATAGTTGTTTGGCAAGTGCCTTCTGACTGGACTGTATAGGTCTCTTCGGCATAACTTGGCTCCAAAGGACTGACAGTGGTTGTTAAACTATGTAAGATATCAGTTACGCCGAGTTGCTGTGATTTCCAAGAGAAACCTACCTAGGTATGTACAGACTCTCCGATAGGGGATAGTGTGGCCAATCGCTGAGCATGCAGACGATCTATGGGCATGGGCTGACACACGACCGTCCAATGTGCCGCTGATCTTAGGCATCTCCGGATTCATGACAGGCTTACCGTTGATCGTGGTAAGCTTGCGTTCAGGAGTGCGACAGTTCATTGTAAAACTTTTAGCTGGGATCACAGTGTCTCTACCGTCGCGACCGTACTTCATATGCCCCGACTACCAATTCACCAATGCCTCAACGCTGACCTATCCCAACTACATACAGCTACACACTATTGAATTCATGGTATAGTACAGCAGGTAGAACCAGAATAGCGGCGGTCGCCACTGGTACGGCCTTCAATACCGAAACGAGTACGAACGATTAAAGCACTGGCAGAATGCGCAAGTTATTGTGCTGGTTACTGGCGTTAGTATTGTCAAGATTACAGTCGGTTTTGGCGTTGCTGTGATTTATTCTTCTTGGCAAATTATAAAGGAGGATTGTCACTTCCATGATAGGCAAGCGTCGCGTAAAGACGCCGTGGTGATGGCTAATGGTTGATGTCGCCAACTAGCGTTTGTCGTAGTACGTACATGGCAAGCGAAGCACTGTTAGTGTTTCAGTGCCAGCCGATGCACCATTCTTGGCGACCTATATAATAAAGGAGGGCGAATACCTTCCCACAGAATCATTCAAATCTGTTTTCTTATCTCAATGGAGGTAGGCCAACGAGAACCAAAATGCCTCGTAGAAGGTCTGTCTTTAAGCGTTTCAACTATAAACACGTTGTCCGACTTGGTCTTTGTCGCTCTGCTAATTCCAACCATCATGAAACTGCAAGTCAATAGAAAGACTAAGTTCTCACTTGTTGGTGTGCTCTGCATTGGGGTTTTGCAAGCTGTGTAGAAAATCAGGCGTGTATATAAAGGTCTGACAAGTATAGCGCTTGTAGTGTCGCAATAGCACGTGTGATAACGGTAAAGAAACAACTGCAAATCAAGGTGTCGTCTAGGTAAGTGCCTGAAAAACTTCAAGCGGTATATATATCTAACCGTAGTCTACAGGACACTCATATTCTTCATTTGGACCTTGTGAGAAACATTACTCGGTATCTGCGCTACACGAGCACAATCCTAATAGAATACTGCACAGAGCCAATTTGAATGCCGATATTATCTCTGCATCTCTTCCATTATTACTGCCACCGTTGTCGAGCTGGCTGGAGGGAACAGCATGGCGTTCAAGGACAGGAAAAGCCCCCGGCTCTCAATACGAAACCAACAGTAACAATAAACGAAGCACAAAACATGTCTAACAAATGCGGAAGGAGTTTCAACTAAACCAACTAAAGCAGTGGTCTGGTTTCGTCTTGGTAGCTGGACCAGTCGTTGCTGTTAAAGACCCCGTTTGTGGTGATGCGAGCTGTGAAGAGGTTATTTTGCCGACACAATGCATAACTCGGCAGACTGATATTGTGGTAGACTTAAAACTGCAGACGGATTTTCGAGGACACGCCTATTGATACGTGTGTATCATTCGCAAACCCATATGATACAAATCTCTTGACAAATCACTCCACAGGCATGCAAAAGGGGTAGAACGACTCTAGAAGCTGCTTACTAACACTCACGAAAGTAACAATCGTTTTGCTTATTCAATTAAATCTTGCTCTTGCGCCAAGATAACTTGACTTGTTTAGCAAGACCGACTCCTTGAATGATCTAGTCACAGTGAAAATATTAAAAGTCGAATGAAATCTTGATTTCGAGCCATGAGATGTGAATTGATTCATCTTCTTGGGTTTCCACATTGCGGTGAAGATAATTCTGCAAATTTCGAAATTCTTCTTTTTGGTCCCGATTAAATTGTCGCAAGAAGCCAAAAGCAATAAGTGCCGATGTCTCGTCAAACTCTCGATTGTGGAAGGCGTTTCAGTAAGATTTGCTCCAATCTGAAAGATTACTTTATCGGCTTCTTTCTAGTCATCTACACATAAGATACTCCAATCAAATATGGTTGTTTTGCCCAGACATATGACAATGATTCATACTAGGGACCTTCGATGGTTAGCTGCGTGAAGAGTCTGTACTTCAGCCCAGTATCGTTGCCAACCTCCGGTTAAAGCTCCAGCGTTTCGGGGTGTTGTCCTTCAGTAACGTGTCATAGACATACTTCCTAGCATAGCCACCATTACCCATATTGAATACACAGCACAGCACCGTCTTAGATTTGTTTTACTTTAGAAAGGTATCGCACAATCGTTGTGAATGTAGCCCTCGGTATAAGAGATATCGTAAGTCGTCGCAGTTTCCCATCCGCCTATGAGGCTGGTCGGGCGCACCATAAGCTCTTACGGAATTTCCCTAAAGATTGTCTTGAAAGGGTTAAGCCTGATCCATTGCAGCCGTGCTTAAAGTCGGCAAGAGTCACTCAGCTGGATAGAGCTGCATGAGAATCAAGATTTGTGTTTCTTGGAAGTTCAAGGGAGGGGTTAAGGTAGAATTGTAAAAGCAATACCAAAAAGCTTTGCCCAGCATTCCTCAGGCATTCCTCTCGCAAATGCATCGCAATTCTGGGATTGCAAAGGGCTACTCTGAGGGTTCCTCTTTTGCTGTTCAATACGGCAGTTGCCAAACAGCTTCTGGTCATCGATAGCGTGACCTTCCTTGTGGCAATCATTGGCGATCTTCGGTAGGGGTCGCGGACTATCAACGGGTGGCCAGGCGTGATAGGTGCAAGTGATGTCACGCATTAGCGGCCCTGCCAAGAAATGCCAAAGTGCTTGCGCGGCGTGCATACTATTTTAGTGGGCCTAGAATTTGCCAAGTCTGTTGCATATGTATGCCTTTTCTGTGCACCAACAACAGGTCATTCTTGCACGACCACACAAACACGTGCCTGTGTCTTGGTCTTACAACTGTCTGTTCCATTCTGCTAGACTAGGTAAAGAAGTTTGCTTTCTATGGTGTGGAGAGTCAGAAAGGGCGTGGGGGCAGGTACCGGGTCGATTACATGGGTGTTTTTCCGTGATGTTGAGCTCCAAGCCAGTTGTATCTCCTCTTCGAAAGGACTTGCCCCACTGCCCGTTTCTAAGCCTGATACAAAAGTATCGTTTCAAACACAAGTGCCGTACTCCATCCCCTAAAGCTTCCGAGCCGTGATCTACAGTAAGGTTTGACATGATGTCACGCTCAACTGACCGTGCCTGCAATTCCCGCCGAAATGGCTATGGTAAATGATTGGTGCGCTCCATAACAGTTTCCATTGTGTTTGTAGTAGTATATATGACCCGGTATTTCCTTGCAGGGAACCCGACTTTGGCTCTCTCAGTTCCAACCAAGAGATAACCTAGAACTGCTCATACCTTCATCATGACCATCCAACGTTACGGAGTCTGGCGAGGCACTGCTACTAAGTGGGAGCCAACTCAACAGGACAACGATCATGGGCACATTACCTTCACAGACGGAACGACAGATGACTTGGACTGTGCAGTTGATGTGAAGTCAAAAGACTCGGACTCCCGCATCGTGTTCTGGAACGTGGTTTCCTTCGACGAATCTCACCCATTAGCCGCCAAGCTGGTAAACATTTCGGAGGGCTACCAGTCTATCACCAGTCACACTCCCAGTGGCCTCGGACTGGACTACCTCAAGGGAGGACTTGTCAACGTACAGAAAGGCCGAATTTTGGACTACAACGAGAGTGGGCCGAATAACGACATACTTGACTTTCTAAATCCGATATTGAACGCGGCTGTCAGTCAGAAAGCTGATATGTATCTGTACGGCAGCCAGTACGAAGAGGGTGATGGCATCCAGTATGTACAGCCTCAAGTTTCTACGCATTTCCTTGAGACCTCCAAGACTAATAACATCAAAGTGACATCCACATGAATCAAGGAGACGTAGGCAAATTCGCTAAGGAGAATGGCGTCTATCAAGATGGCGGCATGGTTTTTAACTTCAAGTCTGGTAGTGGCGACCTGACCGGCTGGCAAGGAGTATTTCTCGCCTTTGCCACACAGTCTACTCAGACCAATTCCAAAGGAGGTCCAACGGGGCCAACTTTCGCACAGACGCTTGGCGATACAATATGAGATGTAGGCAGAGATCATGCTAAGAGAATTTGTAATGAAAGACAACTAGTCCGCTGTATATCATTTGATCATTTATTGGCATGTATGAGTAAAGGCTGGGCACCTTGCCTTTCATGGATGCTTTACTTGCAAACCATAATCCGATCAAGCATGAAACGCCTCACAATGAGCAACTACATGAGCGCCATCGTTGAGAAGTATCGCGATTGGAGGGCTGGCTACAGGGAGCTGGAGTCACACGTTAGGCACGATAGCTGATCCAGTGTGGTACGGAAGGAGCAATTCAAAGCACGGTTGCTGATTACACAAAGTGACAATTTATTCGGGCTTCCACCTTGCCAAACTATTTTAGACATACTAATTTCCCCGTTATGAATGAGTAACGAAAGCCTACAAATATTTCCCACTGAATGAATGCATCTCCCCTTATGAAGAGGTATCAAAGAATAATACCAAACAAAAGTGTTCAACTACGATTTAGCATAAGCATACATAACTTCAAAAATTTGGAGTAGTTGTGGATGCAAATGGGTGGTACAGGAAGGAAAGAGTCGTTAGTAGAAACTTGGCAAGAGTGCCTAGACACATCATACCTACTTTGACTGTCGACAATACCTTATTATTGATGATACCAATGTGGCTCAGAAGCACTAATTCAGAAACATTCAGAGCTGATCAAAGGAAGGTGGGATGAGCAGTCCCCCCACCGCTTCCCAAGCTGAGCAACATCACCTGATCAAAGGAGTTTCACTCAAGCTCACACTACACCATCACTCACGGCCAGTATCCCAAGGCAGATACTTACATTTACCACAGAACTTCCGGACTTTGGAGTGATCTTGCAACATTACTACCTCCTCAACAAACACAGGTATCAGGCAATATGAATCGACACGACATCCAGAACAGCAACAACGACTCGCAAGACGAGACAGCAGCACATGAAAGTGATCGCGTCTTGCGTCTCCCAGAAAGCGATAGTTGTGCAAGCAGTGATCTTTTGCAAGGTACTGGGGCTTCCCGCAACACCGGCAAGTCCCAGGACATCATGAGCGAATTCGTATTGAAGCTCAAGCTTGTTCACCCGCTATCTTACATTGACCAGTCTGTCAGCCGCAAATATGTTCGACGCATGTTCATCTTCGACTTCCCAGTTGTCAACGAAACGACGATCAATGAGGCCACCTCAGCCATTCGCAACGGTGTTGCCGTTGCCTTGAAGCATTTCCCGTTCCTGACCGGCATGCTTGGGCCCGCGAACCATGATGAGAAGGACAATGTGCTGCTTCGCTACGGCCATATTGATGAACTACGACAGATTCGCGATGAGACATTCAAGACCCGAGTGCACAAGGGGAGTGAGCTTATCGATCTTGGTGGCTACGATCACCTCAGTCGTGTTGGCATGCCAACCAGCTGTCTGAACATGCAAGACTATTGCGCGACTGACCCGGAGTGGACGATGCCAAGATGGATTCCCGTCTTCGCTATGCAAGCGAATTTCCTGGAAGATGGAGCTTTAATCCTGTGCTTGGAGTTCCAACACTCCGTAGCAGATGGCTTTTCTATTGGAATGTTCCTGAGTATACTTAGTCTTGGTATCCGTGGCGCTTTGACCATAGATAGTAGGTCCATTCGTTCACCTGCTCCATTTTTTGCCCTTCATCTCGGAGCTTATAAAGCTATAACCCAATCATTAACCTTGAGCTCAACAGGTGTCCCAAAATATGATGACTGCGATATCGATTCCACCTTCGAAAACCATATACTGGAGCTGCAAGAAATTTCCAAGACAGACACATTCCCAGAAGTAACGTTCAGATGCCTTAAACGTGAATTTGCAGAACTGACTTGCTCCAGTGGGATTTCAGGAACTTCAAGTTGCCTCCACGCAAACAAGTCGACAGCCATATCGTGACAATGTCAGCTAAAACTGTGGCCGAGATGAAACGCCGAATCACTATTCACATCCATGACCATTTTCCAGATGAAGACCGTTGGGTATCCAGCATAGACTGTATCTGCGCCATGCTTTGGGTGTACATCAGTCGCGCTCGGCTGCTGGAGGGCGATAGCACGACCATCTTCACCACAGCAGTCAACGCGCGTGGTAAGTTTATCGACGAGGTTGTAAAATCGTACTTTGGTAACATGTTCACCACTGTCTCCTTAAGGACTAAGGCGAGACACATAGTTCCGAAGCCAAGCTATGACAAGTTGTCACCAAGAAAACGCATCCTACCACCTGTGGAATTGGGCGAGATTGCAGAAGTCGCTGCTAATATTCGCGAGGAACTCGAGTTAATCGACCAAGACTACGTACTGCAGCGCATGGCACGCCTGGCCACTCTTACGAAGCCCACCGAGGCAGCAGTTGCTGCCCAGCGAGCGTGCCGCCCAGCAGAAACGGGTGTGAGGTTTGGATCTCTTGTCAAGTTTGGCGCTGACGTCCCGTTTGGTATACCTGGCACTACCGGAGATGGCACAGCTAGATTTTGTCGTAAACCGTGGATGCGCGACGAGGGCATGATCAACCTCCTGCCCCGCAAAGGCGGCACTAAAGGAGACGCTGATTGGGAAATCCTTCTCTGTCTACCGGACAAGACCATTTCTGCTTTACTGAAGGAAGACGAGTTGGGACAGTTCGTGGAAAAACATGTCCACGACAATGACCCGAGCAAGCATGGCAAGCGCAGGACAACGCGTCCGGGAGGGCGCTCTATCAATCTGATAGGCACCGAGAAAGTTCTATTCTGACGGGAGGCCGTGCCAGCTAGTTGCCTGGGAAATGCATGTTTCTAGGATGCATATATAGTATGGTTAGATGAATATTACACTGTTGATCCCGGGAATGGGAGAACAAAAGCCACGTCTTGGTTCAGATTTTGCTATAGTCGTTGGTATTGGTCAAGCGAACGGCGAAATGGCCATGGTACAACACCCACCAAGACATAGGCGAATACGCAAACTAATGAGATCTTCCGACTTCCGCAAATTGTAATGTCTTGCACCTGGCTCGCAGGGTAATACCGGCAGACCAAACACCGGCGGAATTGACGACTTGGGCAAGGGTCTTGTCTTTCTGGGTGGGATCAAACCCGATGACCAATCAGACAGTTTCCAATTACGCCCACAAGTTCGGCCGACTGCGCTTGGCTTGCTGGATGAGCCTAGGGATTTGACTCGGCGGCCTAGGCGGTGGCATGGCAGCGTTCCTGTCGCATTTTCGCGTTCTAGAGGTGGGGACATTCCCAATCCCGTCACAGGCTATGCACTGAACGTACAATGTACACGGTACAGCTGCGGGTCACCGAGATTCCGAGGGCCCATTTCTGAAGAACTGAGGTGATCATGACACCACGAATAGAGTGCGAAATGGCCTTCGTTTTGACCGCCCTACCTCTAGGGGTTTAGTTGCGTCCTGATGACACAGAAACTTCTGGTCTCCGATCGGTGTGCCTGAGTTTAGTTCATTGTTGACTTGGGTGGTTGATGGACCTCTGTGGATTTTTGTTTTTTCCTTTTTTTCCTTTTTCTCTCTTTCTTTCTTACTTCTACCGCAGTAACATCCATCGATCTACCTGCAGCAGCGCTACATACTTATACTTCCGGGCCCTCAAACCCTACCCTTCCATTGGATCGACCCTGGGGCTTACCTCATGCGTGGTAGTTTCGGTCAAAACGCCTACCTACTGTAGCTTCGCCTAGTCCGTACCGAAAGTACAAGTACTTCAACCGTGCCTTTCCCCACGTTTTTTTGTTTCGCCCTCGGAACAAAAGGATCTCGGTTCTCACCATTCGAGGACAATTCTCATCTCCTCATCAACAAACCAATTCGAACCCCCTATCCTGAATTGAGCAACGGAACCAACACCATGGACGCTGTTCTGCGCCAGTCCAAGGCCATGTGCCCCTTCCTCAAGAAGGCATCGCCCTCTACTCTGCGTGCTCTGTCTACTTCAACTCGCCCCCAGGCCTCGCCCTGCGGTGGTACCATCTCCAAGCTGCAGATGCTCGGCCAGCGCTGTCCCATCATGGGCAAGGCACTCGCTGTGCAGTCTGCTCGCTCGGGTATGGCCGGCGCCGCTGTCGCTGGTGTGCGCGCCTTCTCCGGTCAACACAAGACCGGAAGGGCCAAGATCCACACCAGCCGCTCCCACGAGGCCAGGGCTATGGAGGGCGTGCTGAAACCCCGAGATGGTAAGTACTGGGATGTTCTGCATTTATACCGGCGTCATCTCTAACAGCCCATGTAGCACACGCTCCGTCTACCAGTGCGTTGAAGCAGGCCGCAGCCCATGCGAATCCTTTCAAACCCGCAGCCCCGGCGAACAAGTTTGACTACGATGGCTTCTACGAGGGCGAACTCGAGAAAAAGCACAAGGACAAGTCCTACCGATACTTCAACAACATCAATCGTATGGCCAAGAACTTCCCTGAGGCCCACCTGGCCAGCAAGGAGGAGCGGGTGACAGTTTGGTGCGCCAACGACTACTTGGGTATGGGGACGAATAAGCATGTCATCAGCACGATGCAGCAGACTCTGGACGAGTACGGCTGTGGCGCCGGTGGTACGAGAAACATTTCGGGCCACAATAAGCATGCCGTCGAGCTGGAGGCAGCACTCTCGAAACTGCATGCTAAGGAGGCCGCTCTTGTCTTTACCTCTTGTTATGTGGCCAACGATGCCACGTTAGCAACCCTCGGCAGCAAGATGCCAGACTGCGTCATCTTGTCTGACAGTCTCAACCACGCCTCTATGATTCAGGGAATTCGCCACTCTGGAACGAAGAAGGTTGTTTTTAAGCATAATGATCTGGCCGATCTGGAGGAGAAGCTGGCCGCTCTGCCTCTGCATGTCCCTAAGATCATTGCTTTCGAATCCGTCTACAGTATGTGCGGCTCGATTGGCCCGATTGAGGGTATCTGCGACCTAGCAGAGAAGTATGGCGCCGTCACATTCCTGGATGAAGTCCATGCTGTCGGCATGTATGGCCCCAGCGGCGCTGGTGTAGCGGAGCACCTTGATTTTGAAGCGCACCAACAGGGTCGTCCCGAAGGAACCATCATGGACCGCATTGATATTATTACTGGAACATTGGGCAAGGCTTACGGCTGTGTTGGTGGCTACATTGCTGGAAAGGCTAGCCTGATTGATATGATACGCTCTCTTGCTCCTGGTTTCATCTTTACCACCTCGCTTCCGCCAGCTATCATGGCCGGTGCAACGGCCTCCATTGAGTACCAGATGGAGCACAAGGGAGACCGCTTTCTCCAACAAATGCACACGCGTGCCGTGAAGGAGGAGCTCGAATCTCGCGATATCCCAGTGATGCCCAACCCCTCGCACATCATTCCAGTTCTGGTTGGAAGTGCCGAGCTTGCCAGGCAGGCGTCAGACATGTTACTGCAGGACCACCAGATTTACGTGCAGGCCATAAACTACCCTACCGTGCCCAGGGGCGAGGAGCGCTTGAGAATTACGCCAACTCCTGGACACACGAAGCCTTACCGCGATCACCTGGTCAACGCCCTCGAAAACGTCTGGTCCAAGCTGGGTCTTAAACGGACCTCAGAATGGGCCGCTCAAGGCGGCTTCGTTGGCGTAGGTGTCAAGGATGGCCATGTTGAGCCTCCCATGTGGACTGATGAGCAGTTGGGCATCGACAAGCAAGTTGTCCAGGAGATCAAGGCCAACAAGCCTGCTGACAAGAACTTCACCGAGCTGATTCTCGAGCGCGAGAACCTTGGTCGAACCGCGAGCGCGACTGCTTAGGCACTTTCCTCATTCTGTCATGGGATAGGGAATGTTGTAAAATGGGTACGCTCAACGGACCAAACTCACACTCATTGGAGCGATGAGGAGGAATCAACTCAAAAGATCTAGGCTGAATGTCCAACAATCTTCATGGAAGAGAATTGGATATTTGGATGCTCAAAAGGTTCACTTCTATATATCAGCCTGTGCTGTCAAACATAGGCTGAACTCATATTGACAATGCTCGGAGCGACAACGCTACCAATGCAATTATTAGCGAAATACAAGTTCCGTGCAGTCTTGCGCATGCAAGCTGTGCGTTTTCGTCTTGCCCGCTGAAATATCGGCTTCCACTTCCTCAAGTATTTGTCATGTGACTGAACTAAGTGACACGTGGTTTCTTCGGAATCACGAGGCTGGAAAGCTGTTCATATTTTTGCCTCCGGGATGAGATTCTTTTCTTTTAGTCATTTGATTGCAACTTGACACGCGCCCGAGAGACTTTCGAACATAGCATTCTTTTTTTTTTTTTTTTTTTTTTTTTTTTTTCCCTGGAAACTATGCTATTCACGAATGTTGACGTAGCGGGCAAACCTGACGTGAATCTTGGAACTGTAGTATCTCAAAATGATAATTTGTATGCAATTGGATGATGTATCAACCCTAGATAAACACCTGTATAATGCCCGACAGGTCCTTGGAAATCACTTCTTCTTCTCCTTCCACTACTGCAACATGGCATCCAGGTTCTCACCGAGGATACCCTCGATGCCCACGATCCATCGTTGGGTCTCCCTCTCCACTTCCTCGTCGTCGTCCTCTTGCAGCTCACTGATATAGGGCAGGAGCTCCGGGAGCATGGCCAACCAGTCCTCGCCGAGGCGCTCCGTGAGCTTCTGTTCGGCCTTGACGGTGGCGAGACGCACGCCGGCGGACTCGGAGCGCAGATGCCTGAGCAGGGCCGCGTTGAGCTCCTTGTGGTGGTCCTGGGAGTCCGCCGCAGCGGCAAGCTCAACGAGCGCCGGTACTAGATCGTGTGACAGATCTACGCCGGAAGATCCGTGGAGGATCTGCTCGGTGAGGGCAGGCGCCACCGCGGAGAAGTGCGACGGCGCTTGCCAGAAGTCGTCTTGGTCGTGTTCGAAACACTTGGTCAAAGTGTTGAGAATCTTCTTCCACAGGTCCCTCTGCTCGCCGCCCTGCTTGGGATCTAGTCTCCTCAGAGTGGCCACCGCAATATCGACCACGTAGTTGCCATAACCTGTGACGATGGACTTCAGGCTGTCGAAGAAGGTGAAAAGGAAAGAAAAGACGCCCTGCAGGCGAAGGTTGCGACCGACGACATCAGATTGAGACAAGTCCGGCGCAGTGGCCCAATCCATGAGCGACGTGAAGATAGGTCTAAAGGCAGCGTCGTTAAGCTTGTAAACCATACGCAGGGCCACGGCGTTGACAGTGTCTTCCATGCGAGAGAGGTTGCGAGCGCTGTTGCTGCTCTGCTCACCTTTGCTGTGATCGACACGACGAAGATCAAAGGCAGAGAGGAAGATGTTGGACAGAGAGCTGACATTCTTCGCAATGTCGGATTTGCTGTGTTTGTCAATGGTAAGGCCAAGGATATCAAGGTACTCAATGGTAGCCTATATATGTGTGTTAGCAGTGTGTCGATTGAACGAAACATGAACAACTTACGTTAAAGCCATGGTCTGCAGCATCTGTCCATGTGTGTTCCAAAGCTGTGAACAAAGCCTTTGCATCCACGGTCTTAGCAAGGAACTGCAGGCATTGTACTCTGGCGTCGACGGCTTCGGCATCGAGGTCAGCGCTTGCTGATGCGCTTGAGATGGTGAGGAATTGCTGTAGAAGTGAACCAGACAACATGTATGGTAGGTGTTGCGCCAAGGCATGCATAAATGTATAGCAAGCATTATGCAATGACGAGTTTCGGCTCGCATCTGCGATATTGTCCTTGAGGTAGGCTAAACACTTTGGCGTAGCTGCTGGGAGCACTGGTACCATACCGTCTTGTAGAACATCGACCAAAGAAGCCAGACAAAGCAGAGCAAGACATCGGAGACGAACATCGTCCTGGCCCAGGCATTGATCCCCCGCGATAGTCATAGCAGCTGCGGACACTGCCTCGGGATCCTTCTTGCCATATTTCTGAGCAATCAGGTCAACACACTCAACAGCGACATACTTGTAGGTCATGTCTTCTGAAGTTCTAATTATGGCTGTCAACTGGGGCAGGAAGGCGAGTAAAGCAGTTCTGGAATGAGCATCTGCCTGGCCTTCCCGTTCGATGCGGACTTGAAGTGCTCTCAAGACCTTACGCCTTATAACGATATCAGGTCGATCTAAAAGATTCTCGACAGATTTGACAAATTCGCCAATTGGTAGCAGGTTAAGTAGTCTAGGCAGGGTATCGCCACATCTGTCGTGCAGGGTCTTGTACGGCTTCAAGCTTTCCGCAAGCGACAGGAGATCCTCGAGAAGGGTAGAGTAGAGCTCGCGTATCTTAGCAGCATCCATGTCGTCCGTCTCGGTCAGCTTTCCAATCTGAGTGACCAGTTTTCTGTTCGATAGAAGACGTGGGGGCAAGTCGAGTTGAGCAAGCGCAATCTTCTGAGGATCCCGCTCTCGGTCTTCACTAGTCCCGAGCAGCGCTGCGGAAAGGCTGGGCCTGGGCTGGAATAGATCTCCGATGAGGTTCAGCATCTTGACGACTGTTGACAATTCAACTTCGACAGCGAATTGATTGAAGATCTGGTTTGCGAAGGACAAAACGTCGGCAGTCGAGCCATACTTGTCTACCAACATCGCCAGCAAAGCAAACAAGAACTCCTCGGACCCAAGTACTTCAAGAAGTGAGACGAAGAGCCCAAGTCTCCGGTGTGATGGGATGTGCTCGAAGGCGGTTACAAAACTGAGGAGAAGTTCTGAAGCACCTGCAACCGGGCTCTTCTTGCCCTTGCGGAGCGACTGAATGAGTGGCGGCACGACTTCTTTGACTGTCTGGTTGATGACATGCGCAGAGTAGTCGTCGCTCTGTCTAAGGACCGAGTTGCCCATGAAGGTGAAGATTGGCATGACGCTATGCAAAATAAGATCCGGCGCAACACTGGCGAGACTTGCAACGAGGAGTAGGGCAGTATTCTGAACCGCCGGGCTCGACGACTTCTGAATGCAGTTTACGAGAAGGTCACCATGACCGCCAGAGCCGTCGATCTTGAGGGTTTTGTCGTCCTTGTACGCAGGTACCATAGCCAAGAGACTGCGGAGAACAAGATTCTGGAGATAACCGAGCTCGGAGCCGAGCAGAGTGCGGAAATGCTGAAGTTCTGAAAGCGTGTTGAAGAGATCGTTTAGAAGCTGTGGGTGCTTGGCAGGGTCGGAACCTTCAACAAGTTGAAGCACGAAAGTGACCTGTTTCAGAGCCTGGGTCAAGCCGTGATCGGGTCGTGTAATGATTGCGCGGGTTCCAGATGAACTAGTTCGTCGCTTTTTGCTAGGTGGCGACTCGGTGGTCATCTTGGCAGTGTTCTGCAGCGAGCCCAGGAAAGAGTGGAGGATCTCAGTCGTCAGTTCAACATTTCTGAGCAGCTCTGCGGCCTCCGCGCCAACGGCTGAGCGCTCCCCTGAGACTTCTTCTTGTGCCATGACCAGGAGCTTATCTGCAACCGCATTTCTCAGATCCGTTCTCATTGATGGCCACATCTTCTCAATGCGAACGAATATCGCATGGAGCAAATTTTCCCTTTCTGAGAGTCCCGGTTGGAGAGAAGATTGGATGAGGAAGTCGAGACCGCTGTTGTCGTTCGGAACAACCGTTTCAACGGCTGCATTATCCATAGCTGTTCCATCCACATTTTGGTCGGCACATAGGTTCCTGGCCGTTTCTGCAGACAGAGACGCCCACCACTGTAGCAGCGGCAACAATAGTTCTGTGCGTGAGGTTCCCGAAACTCCCTTCACCTGGTTCAGCGGCTGAAGAAGTCTCAATTTGACGGCCAAAAGAGGAGTTTGGACAATATGCCCGGCCAGGAAGCTGAGTACAGCCAGCCTAATCGCATGCGATACGTGGCTCTTCTTGTCCTTTGCGCTTCCGTCTAGTGCTGACTTTGAGCTGCTGCCTAAGGATGTCTGAATAACGGCATTTACATGATCCGCGTTGAGTACACATTCCTCCAATGCCGGCATCAAAATATCATGTAATACCTTCCGCACTGTGTGAGTTTCCAAAACTGCTCCAGGTTCGGACTTGCCGTAAAGCCCCCGTGTGCCCCAATGCGCAGAGGGTTCTGGAGCATTCGAGGAGAGGCCATCTAGCACCGTGAGAAGATCTGCCGCAGATCTTCGGACCCTCTTAGCTGGGTCGCTCAGGCCTGCGATGCAGTATGGGACCATTGACTGGAAGTCAACGCTTTCACAGTCTCCAGATTTGAGGCGGTCTTTCGCCAGATCCAAAGCATTTGATCTGGCCAGGGTGGGATAGGGGCCACACCAAATGCGGATGAGAAAGGTAAAAAAGAACGGATTGCTAGTAGCCTCGCCTCGTTGGACAGCAGAGGCTCGCTGGAATGTGGCCAAATTACCACGGTCCGGCACGGCAGAGAGATAGAGTGAGCAGAGATCAGTGAAGACATCAGGAGGCGACGAGAGGAGGCAGGAGGACGTCGTTGGTGCCGCACTCTGGTTAACGCGATCAAATATGGTGTCGAAATCTTCTGCAGCCAGCTGAACGTCTCCCTCTACGTCTTCCTCCATGACACCTTCCTGGTTCTGGGTGATGGCCTTGGGTCGGATCTTGGTATCTAATCTCATTTCGAGTTCCTCGATATCGATTTCAGTATCAGCAATGGCCTTCGCGAATACTTGAGCCGGCCCTCCCGTGGTTTGCGACAGACGCACGATGGTACCGGCCAGAGCTTGTCTTGCGAGGCCTGACTCGTCAGCGGCAGGGTCCATTCTGTGTGCTGCAAGCATGAGAGACTTGAAAACTACAGAGAGTTGCTGATCATTCAAGATCTGTTTCGGCACAATTGCTTCGATGAACTGTAGCCCAATAGTGTCTCCCTTCTTGGTCAATCGGTCTATCAAGGCAAGGCAGAAACCATTGGCCAACTTCTCAATGCTGTGCTCCTTGCTGATGTCATCGAGCATTTCGGGCAGTCCTGTGATGTTCAAGAGAGCCTTTGTAACCTTTCTGGACATCTGCTTTGGCGACCTGTACTGAGCCAGGATGGACAGGCATACAAGAGCAGGTCGAAGCGTGTCTGTCGTCCAGCCAGCAACTAATTGTTCCATCAAGGCGGTAATAGTTGCATCGTCGAGGTTTCCCTTTGCAACGAAGGCAACAATGACCATGTACGCAGCGATCTGCAGGTTGGGGACCTTCTTCAAGACCAGGGCCTCGCCGAGTATAGGTCCGACCTGGTGCAGCAACGCGGAGTCGTTGCTTTTCTGAATGCTTCGCCGACCAGAGCGCATCTTATCCAGCATTCCGTTCACGGCCTCGAGCATGATGCCAGCCCAGAAGGATATCAGTGCGGGATAGTGCTGCTGGTGTCTGCAGGTTTCCAAGGTATAGGCGGAGATGGTTGAGAGAAACTCGGAATGATGGGTGGCCTGGTAGACGAGGACAGATCTCGGAGGGGCCGTGAGGGAGCGGATGTATGGGCTCAGGAATCGATATTCGTTGGGTATGGTGGTGGGAAGGATAGACATTAATGTTACAAAGACGGGGAGGCTGTGGTATGGCAGGAAGGTGGACAGAAGAGCAGCAGTGTTGTACTCATGTATCCTGAACCTCCTGATGAGCCATTCTACAGAACGGATTGATGGCATCAATCTCAAGCGACCACCGACTAGACGAAGGAAGGATTCTATTATCTTGTTGAGCTCGGCATTCTCAGCAGACGTCATCTGGCTGCGGTCCTCATCCTGACTCTGCTGGCTGAAAATGGTGTTGTTGAATGCGCCGAACCGCGCGTCTAGCTGTAGAAGCTCGTCATAGCCCTCGCGACATATGTTATACAGGGTCTGGTAGTTCTGGGAGGCGGCGACTCGAGGCTCGAAGATCAATGACTTGGAGTGGGCGGCTTTCTGTGCCCTGACATCGAGAGTCGTCTTTGAGCTGGCGGCGATCTGCGCCAGCTGCGCGGCCAACGAGGTCGACATGTTTGTGGTGTTGACTCTCAGCGACCGAATCTCGTCATCGAGGCGCTGCCGAGACTAGGAGCAGTTCTGTGTATGTCCAAGTCTGGGTTCCTGAAAATAAATGAGACCGTGTGGTGGTCGCTCTCCAACAGGCGCTTTTATCATAACATAAAATAAAGCACCAACTGCCCGAACGAACTGCTCTACCAGAAAAAAATAAAATTTGGTCGGGGTTGGGATAAGACCGACACGAAATTGTCGATAAGAGGGCGGGCCACTCAAAGCTTCTGGATAAGGTGCCCTTACAGCGCCCTTCCCCACGTTTGCCCCTCCAAAGTCCCTACAGTACATTGTAAGTCGCTACCTTGTCTGGACTAGACTAACCTGGACTAAAGGTTAGACTAGGTTACATACATAGGTAAGGTTAGGCATGTGTAGGCTCCCCTAAAATACTTGTACAGTTTCCGCCGGCTGCTTGCCAGCTTGCTACCAGAAAAACTACGTAACCAAACTGCACTTGTAGCACCACATTTGTACTTTCCTTGAAGGGCAAATGCTCACCATCTTGCCAATGTGGAATTGACGTCTACTACCACATAGAATTAGACCATCACTATAGCTATGATTTCACATCTCTCCAGGAACAAACTCGGATACATGGCCTCGCCCTGTTACACAAAATGTCCAAGGGTCCAAAGGTCCAAGGTCTGCACTCCGTATGACTGTATGGCTACAATGTATTTCTTGGAAACTCTAGTGCCCCGCGTGTCTCTGCATTGAGCATATTTTGACTGGTGATGTCTTTCCTCGCATATCATTTCCTTTCCTCTGGACTAGACAGCGTGAGAAAAAGTGTGTGCTTCGCTTGCATTTCCGCTGTAGTGGAAGCAGGGCGAGGTTCCAGGTAGAAGTGCCCCCCCCCCCCATAAGCGCTAAGCTAACCCTTTCGGCACCAGTGACATTTCGCTACAGCGACTGGCTGACTGGCTGAGTGGCGGGTGTGAGGTGCTGCTCCCTTGAAAGGCACCTGCACCTCGTTTGAACGTCAACGTCAACGGCAACGTCAACCGTCGTGTTTGTCACGATTCCATTCCATTTCATCATTCGTTCTTGATCTCTTCTCTTCACAACACCACACAACACAACCCACCAACACTTGTTCTTGACCCAACACCCCATCGGCCGTACATTCGACCTCAAGACTCTCCGACTATAGAACTTCCAGTCTTCTGAGACTCTTTTCGCTCCCCCCCAAACCCATTCAGCGTATCGTGCACCCTCAACTTCGATCTCGCTCCTCGACGACCCTGAATCTTCCGCCACCCTCCAATCCAACTTGTGATCCCTGTACACTATATACCGTCGCTTGCGTCCTAATAACTTTGTCCGCGCTCGACCCTACGTAACTGGCCTTCTACTTTGATTGCTCTTGCGTGTCTGCAAAGTGATATCAATCCAGTCATTGAGCCCGCCGGCTTAATCATCCCTTGACCTAATTCTGTATCGAGACAAAACTCCGTATACCGCCGTCCCACGACCGCTGTTGCCGCTTACTCGGTACATCCTGGAGCCAAGGACCTTTGCGTCTAGAAATTTATATTTGCAAACCCCAAACACTTAGCTGAAGATCAAAGACACGGGACATCGGTTGTGTCACCTTCGCAAGACCGCCTGGTCTTCTGCGATGAGGCGGGGAGGGTGGACCTCAGCACAATAACTCGAAATAGTTGAGGTGCTCATAATATCAACCCGGCGGAGTACAACAGCCTTGTCGGAGAGCCTATCAGTACGGAATTCTATCCCGTCAATAGTCACATTCGTTTTGAGCGCGCTCAGCCGTCCAGCTCACGCCATCCAGTTCTCTGACAGCCACCCAAAGGCTCAGGCTTCATCATATGCCCTTCGCCACCCTGCAACTTTCCCCATACTGAGCACAGTTACTTCTCTCGTCCGTCTGATACGATCTTCTGTGCAACTTTCTCCCAACCAGGGCGGGCATGGATTCTCGGTTCCCCGTCTTTCGTGAAGAATTGTACAATGTCCAGATGGACGTGAAACAGCTTGCGCATGTCCAGAGCAGTCATGCCGAGAGACTCGCCCGACTCGAGAAGCACCAAGCAAACGAGTCGGCCATGAAGTCTGCTTGGAACTCACCCTTCCCTAGCGCTATCGGAGGCACTCCGCAGCACGGTATGTACAACCTATACGACATAATTCTTGCGCTCTAACGCTTAGCTCTAGGCCCTATTCAAATGCCTACAGACGACCTCTTTGATGATTTCGACGAGGAACAGGGTCAAAACTTGCTGGGAAGTCTGCATCTCGATGCCGAGGAAGAACCTGTCAGACGTGGTGCCGCCTCGAGAGCGAACAGTGTTCGCTTCGACGAGAGCGCTCTTCAGGGTTCCAGCTGGGCTCAGAATGGACGACAATCAGGTGAATTCGTTCCTATAAGGCCAGGCAGTGGCATGGGAAACATGATGGAACGAACGCTTTCTCACAAGTCCGATGGTCGACACAGCTCTGCCGGTTATTCTGTACATTCGGTCCACTCCCACCATTCCATAGCGTCGGGTCGTGGCAGTAGTATTGGGTTGGATACCAATTACGCAACAACCGGTTCTGAGGACGATTCACCTATTGACACTCCAGCACCACCTCCAGGCTTCTTCATCCTTGGCTCCGTGCCATCCATCGTTCGTTGCTGGTTGACTACCAACTTTGCTCACGAGACGCTCCTATATGCTGATATATGCACTGGGTCTCAGCAGTCCGTGCTTGAATACTCCCTGATCAAGGAATTGGATCTGGCAGATGAGGTGCACAAGGATCTCGACGGTGTACACCGCATTCGTCTCCCTGTCTACCTAACCGAAGCGACTGTCACACATCCAAGCTCAAGAAATGTTATTCCTGCGCCGCAAATGCCAAATCTAGTTGCCAGCTTCGAAGTCATCGGACTTGAACAGCTAGAGAGTGCCGAGCTGAAAAAGAGCATAAGAATATTCATTGGAAGTGAAACGCTGAGGGAGCACTCAGCTGATATCCTGTTTTCTCAGAACCGCATGACCCTATACGGCAGCGAACGGGAGAAGTTGTCTGTGCCATTTGTCCGTCCGGAGGATCAGAGCACCTTTAAGCATATTCGCACAGTGGCCGTGTTGCCTGAGAAGCCGAGACTGAATGCCACCGCACGACCGTTTGTTCTGGGTGACTCGAAGGCACCGTCAGGCACAGATGTTCCAGTCAATGGAGTCGGCGAGGACGACGCTCACGGCACGCCTATCCTGGGTTTGCAATCTCCGCCGTCTGAGACTCCAAGCAGACCAATCGCTGAACGAGTTCCGAGCAATTTCTCTGATGTGGTAGATGATGGAGAGAAGCAGAGCAGAGAGGAGATTGGAGGTGTCGGGGCAGCCAGCCAGGATCACTCTGTCTCAGGTGACAACCAAAGTGAGACGCCCAGCGATTTTCAGCGTCAGGAATCGAGTGCAAGCGGTATTTGGTCGTCGTGGAGGCAAGGCGCTTCTGCAAACAGCTCTGACCCGAAAGAGAATGCGTCGCTCAGTGGATATCAGCCAGCCGGCCGAGCACGAAATATGAAAGTTCTGAAACCCAGCAAAGCGAGCGCTTCAACCTCTGCTCGAACGGGGGCTGCTTACGAGCCGCCACCGCCGAGACCAAGTGGTGAGAATCGTCGCAAGAGCCAACCCCTGGAGAACATTCCTCCCGGCGTGCTCAGATGGGGCAAGTCAGATCGTGCACCTGCCATTGGGTCCGAAAGAACATCGACCGCTTCGTCAGAAGCCAAGCCAGTAACTATATTGTCTCGTGAGACACGCAGCGTATCGTCCGCATCCCGAACCTCTGCGAACCCATTGGGTGGTGCGTCGGCATTTTCGTTCCTCACGCCCATGAATAAGCCCAAGTCGTCGACCACTGCTGAGTGACACGTGTAATTGCATTTTGAACGAAATCGTCTTATTGCAATGACCTTTTGGAAGGCTTCATTAGGACTTTCCGTGCAATTACGATACCCAGCTTTGTGACTAGCAACCAGAAAATGAATCAAATGAGAAAAAATATGTTAAAAATTACTCACTACGTCTTTCGTAGCGATTATGTGCCTTGTCTTCGTCGCTCATAGTGCATAGTCAAATGACGTAAACCCAAGCTTAGCAGCACACCATATTAAGCTAATTCCATCGCTCTAGCGCGGTTATTCACATCTCAAAACCTCTCAGTCCCCTCACCTTGTCAAAACGTTGTTGTATACAGGCTCTTAGTATCCCCAAACCCCTAGAACTTCTAACCTTTTTGGGCGACTAATAAATCCTTGTACGTCGGAACTGAACGGGAGGAAGTGCCAACCCAGAACGATGGATAAATCAAAAACAGATTACTCCCTCTATCTGGTCACAGACCAGACGCCCGCCATCCTCGGCGGCAAGGACATCGTAGCGGTTGTCGAGTCGGCACTGAAGGGCGGCGTTACAATCGTACAGTACCGCGAAAAGCATGCCGATACCGGCGGTATGGTCGCCACGGCGAGGAGGCTGCATGCAGTGACCAAAAAGTACGGCGTGCCTCTGCTCATCAACGATCGTGTGGATGTCGCGCTCGCGGTCGGATGCGAGGGTGTGCATGTTGGGCAGGACGACCTTGGTAAGTGTGGTCATGGAGGCTGAAGACAGGCCTGTTTCTTTGTCCCCTGGGAATGTCTATCGGTCAACGAGTGAAGCGGGGTGGGAGAGTAGAGACACAAGTGCTGATGTGCATTGGCGGATACAGATCTCGCGACTGTCAGACGGCTGCTGGGTGATGACAAGATCATTGGTGTCACGGCAAGCAATATCGAAGAAGTACATCATGCGGCCACCGGTGGTGCGGATTATCTGGGCATAGGGACTGTGTTCGCGACTCAGACGTGAGTGCCCGATACTTCTCAGACGCCAACGTAGGCGTGGCTAACATGTGCACAGAAAGGAGAACACCAAGTCCATCATCGGTACCACCGGTCTCCAGCAACTACTGGGCTATCTGCGCACATCGAATTCCAAGGTGAAAACTGTATGCATCGGTGGCATAAACGCCTCGAACGCATCGCGGGTCATGTGGCAATCTGCCAGCCTCAACAGGTCGCTGGACGGCATCGCCGTCGTCTCTGCCATCGTAGCCGCACCTTCCCCAGAGTCGGCATCGAAAGAACTCCTGCAGCTTGTCAAGACGCCACCTCCCTTCGCAAAGTACTCCCCGTCTCAGGCACATGTGTCGAGGTCGGTCGAGGAGATCCTAAAGCTGGTCCCGGATATCATTCGAAAAGTCGACGAGACCAAGCCGCTCAGCCACAATATGACGAACCTGGTGGTCCAGAACTTCGCGGCGAACGTCGCGCTCAGTGTAGGCGCCAGTCCGATCATGGCCAACTACGGAGAGGAGGCCAAGGATCTAGCGGCGCTAGGTGGTTCGCTAGTCGTCAACATGGGAACAGTCACACCAGAGGGCCTTGAGAACTATCAAAAGGCCTTGAAAGCGTACAACAATGCTGGTGGGCCGGTAGTGTTTGACCCTGTCGGGTAAGTTCGGCTCATCAAGCCCCAATGACCAGACTGGAACTGCGTGTACAATGCTGACCGAGAACCACAGTGCCGGTGCGACGGCGGTACGCAGGGCTGCGACCAAAACCATCCTGAACGGTGGTTACGTCGACGTGTTGAAGGGCAACCAGTCTGAAGTCTTGACGTGCACGCCTTCGGGCTCCTCGCTGCAGCAGCGCGGTGTCGACTCGGCGTCTGATTCGTCCGTTTCCGAAGACAAGCTCGGAGCCACGGTCAAGGAGCTCGCCCAGCTCCGCCGCAACACGGTCGTCATGACGGCCAAGACCGATCTGGTCAGCGCCGGCGGCAGCGTGTATGCGGTCGACAACGGCCACGAGTATCTCGGCATGGTGACGGGGACAGGGTGCTGTCTGGGGACGACAATCAGCGCCATGGTAGCCGCGTATCCAGAAGACAAGTTGGCGGCGACGGTGGCGGGGCTGTTGTTGTATGAGATCGCCGCAGAAATTGCCGCGGAGAGGCAGGACGTAAAGGGACCTGGCACGTTTGTGCCAGCGTTTTTGGATGAGCTGTATAACTTGAGGAAACAGATCGTAAAGGGTGATGACGGTTGGAGAAAGAGGGCGAAGGTACGTGTTGTCTCATAGATTTTGCCGTGACGCAAAAAAGAATAGAAAGTAAAGGTGTGTGAGAAGTAGATTCTATCAGTAGGGGTGATTGAATCTTGCTCAAAGTGACAACCACCAAATTCAATAGAGAAATGAGTATATGATAAGATTGATTGCTATGGTCTGCTTGCATATGTTACCTGTGCAAGACTTGGCTACACGAAAGGTGAAGTGACAGGAAAAAATGACTGAGATCATGGTTTCAAACATCCGATTAAAAAGAAAAGAATTGACAACCGATATTCTATGCAACTCGAGGGTAAAAACGCCTTTAATACTGGTAACCAGTCCTGGTATATCTTGATTGTGCCATTGATTTTGAAGTGAGGAGCGGGGTCGAGGTTCTTGGTGCACAACACTGCTTAGAAGGTACAAAAACAATGTCGTGAGTAGAACTTGCGGGTGTGGTTTCGTAGATGCCCTGTTGGATTTATTGCAAGTCCCATGTGAAAGTTTCCAGTAGGTCCCATGTAAAATGGTCTTCAGCCATGCCAAGGAAGCGAGTTTCAACAAGATCAAACAAAGCCCTCCCATGATTAAATGTAGGGAGGGCTTGCGCGTCTGTTTTGGTAAGGGGGCTTGAGGTTAGCTACTTAGAGGGAAATAACACAGGAGTTCCTCCCATCGCATTTAAATATCGACTTCTATCTATAAAGCTAGGTGCAAAATACCGTTCTAGGAAAATGCAAATAGCAGGGACATTCATAATGATTCAGAAAAAACAAAGACGGAGAAAAGAAGACCCAAAAAGCATGAAGACTGAGACGCACTCGGCGCTTTAATACTTAGTTTGACTAACTGTCTAGTAATCGTGAACTCACTCGTATTATCATTATTATAACCTGGTGGAGGTAGTAGGAATATACATCGGAAGATAATGGAAAGAGACGATTTACGAATCAATAGGCTCTCGCATCATGGTTTTTTACGTGGAAGGGCAGATCGGTCATACAGGGATCGGTAAATCGAAGCAACTCTGGATCAGATCACCACCAAATACATTGTTTGACAATTGTTGCTGTTACACGCAGGACCAGGAATCCTCGTCGGTGTAGTTTCCAGGCCCAACATACTTATTCCTTCTAGGATAACGACAGTGTTTGCGGAAATACTCAGGCGTAAAACCATCAGCAGATACCTTGGCGCCTCTGACGTACTCGGGCTCAGCGCCTTTCTCGACCCAATCCACTAAGGCCAGGAGCAGGTTGTCCTCAGGGGTGCTCGATAGGTACGTTGCGTAACCTTGGCCAATGTACTACAGCATTTAGAGTCAATTATTGTTCTTCTAGGTTGGTCTGAGGCGTGTTTGGTAGTAATGTGAAACAGTCACCAAGAGATCAACAGTTGCTAATAGGCATTATAGCCCCGTAGATACGCAAAGGAAAGCGGGAAGTCGTGGGAAATGATTTCGAAAATTACTTACAGATGCACCATCACCATTGCCGCAGTGGCCCATGCCGCTGATGGAGAAGAAACGATAAAATTGGTCAAGCTCGGAGGGCGAAAGATTCATAGTCTCGACCACAGATCGGTAGTACAACTTGGTATCATCGGAGGTGATAATACCATCAGATGTGCCGTGGTACGATAGAAGCTTCCCTCCGGCGTCCCTGAAGGCAGATATGTCTGCGTTGAAGGTTTGCACGTTGAAAGGGTTTTGGTCCAACGCTACCTTCGCATCTGCGACGGTCCAGGAATCTGGATCCCAGGTCGAATCGTTGTACACCACGTATTTGTACCAGTCGCTAGAGTACAACAATGGTGTGCCACTGAAATATACGTACTGTGCCTGGGATTCTCCGCTCGGGTTCAATCGGGGGTAGTATAACTTGCCATCCGGACCATAGAAGTTTGTGTATATGGAATTAACCGCTCGGGCTTGCTCTCCAGTGAGGCAAGTGGACGAGGTACTGGATGTGGTAGAGTTGCAGACAAGCGCGTCTGCTATAGGTTGGCACAAGTCAGTATCTTCGATGATTCCATCGACAGCGCCATCGATCGCATCGCATTGACGAATGATCTCCTCGTGGACCGCAGCCCACTGGTCCGTGGACAAAAAGGTCGTCGAATTCTTCTTGCCAGCCAAGGAGTACAGATAAAGGCCCCATGTACCGAGATTGACGAAATTCATGGCGGGTGCACCAGCCAAAACTCCATCAAATATATCTGGGTGGTCCTGTACAAGTTTGTAGCCTTGTCTTCCGCCTGTAGAGCAACCGATGTAGTAGGACTTGTTGTGTCCTTGGTCGTAGAAGGTATCGACGACCTGCTTACCGAGCTCAGCGCCGGTAACGACAGATCGGTATACGAAATCTTCCAGAACGTCTTCATTGTTGAGGAAGTACTGGCCAGTATCTCCGTCGTGTCCATTATTTGCACCGACAGTCGCGAAACCGAACTGAGTACCAAAGGCCAAATCATCATAGTGGACACAGCCCCCTAGACCACCATTGCCTGTGCTTAGGAAGCGACCATTATAGTCGCGTGGAAGCCAGGCTTCCAGGCGCAAGCCGCTGCGATTTGATGTAGCAACCGTCATGTACACACGACACAAATCGGTTGCGACCTGTTGTGCCGTTTTAGCGCACACTGCTGGCACACCATTGAGCGAAATACTATTGTTGGCGGCGATATACTCCGTGAAATTGACATAAACATTGTCGATATTGATAATGTTTGGCAATTGGCTGCAAGCGTCGACAAAGCTGTCATTCAATTGGGCTGCAGCTCCAATTGCCAAGAATGGCAGCCAACGTAACGCGGTATGCATCTTATAGTGTTGAAGAGGTCGACATGAGCATGGCATAGTCGTACGGTCCCGAGCTTGATCCCCACGGGGTAGTATATTACTTTTCTAGTTGAGAGCCCCTAACGTAAGCTTTAGCCAGGCCCAACTACCTCGGTCAATTGTAGCCTCAATTGTGTAATCGGTTCAGATCAACGGCACTTTCAAGCCCGAAAAGCTACCCTAAAAAACCTTTACCCCAGGTTTTCTATCATGACCAATGCAACATCTTAATTTCGGCAATGGTTACCCGCAATGCGATGGTGGTACTATGCCCCGATGCGGAAGTTCGCATTTCCTGATGTGGTAGCCACTGGTAAAGTGACGATCAAATTTGAATGCCTTCATCATGGAGAACGTTCCATTACATATGCTTTGACGTTGCAGGTGACTCGACTCTTCTGCCAGATGCTAGCAGGACTCTCGACGCTTTCCAAACCTTGTTGGTTTTAATGATTTCATTTCTAGAGACAGTCAAGGTAATTCCTTCTTGTCATAAACATCAGTTTTAAGTAATACTCAAGAGCAATAATTCTGCAGTCCTCGCATTGAGTGAATATAAAAAAAAAAACACAGGCGAATGTGAAGCAGTGATTGAGTATCGCGAGACGCCAAATGGCTCGGGATAGAAGGCTATACTAGTCTAGACTAACCTAGTCTAGCCTCAATGGACAAACGCAGTTAAAGTCCGCTGGCAAAGTCACCACGAAGGATACGTTTGGGCATTTCGGCTCTTCAGACTGTCAGGCAAACTCAATTGGTAATGGATGTCTCAGGTCTCCACCTGATGCCTCAGATACATGTCAGATACCTAGGGCAACCTCAGTAGAACAGAGGTTAGCTCTGTGACGTGTCTATCAATTGGCTCAAGGCGAAGCAAGGTGTGTAGCCCGGACGATATACCAGCTTAGGCCTAGCGACCTATATTACCTCCGCTCTGCTATAACCAGCGAAACTAAACAGATTCTGAGTTCACTTCTTCTAGTATCTTAGAGGCTGTATGAATGTTACACTGCGCAAGTTATATTCCTTTGGCTCTAGTGATGCCATGCTATACTTTCAGCGACTCGACATGTAAATTTGTTGGAGGGCCGAATGTAGCAGAATATCTGCCGATACAATATACCTAGCAGACCTAGCTTCCAGCACGCATTGATATGAGGTCGCCGCCAAGGAAACTTCTTACACCACCAATGAGAAGCTTGGGACTACTGCAACTTTCGTAAATATCCCGGTCAGAAATTTCGAATCACCCTAATAAATACTGATGCTTCAGCAAGGAACATACGAGCTACCTCAATCAGTGTCGCCGAATCCTAACGCTTCAGGATGTTTGGACTATTAATTCTTACGTTCGTCGCGCTCTCTATAGCAGTTTCGAACCAGAGCTATGATTTTGTGAGTTGCTACATCTACGACAGTCCATTTTCTAGACGATACGCTGCTAAATGATAGTGTAGATCGTAGTCGGCGGTGGTACTGCAGGTTTAGCGGTTGCTGTTCGTCTCAGCCAGAAGCTGCCGGACCTTTCAGTACTTGTGATCGAAGCTGGCCCAGACGGTCGGGATATCCCTGGTATCTACGTGCCTGGCCGTAAAGGATCATTGCTAGGTACTATCTACGACTGGAACTTCACCACCGTTCCCCAGCCCGGAGCGAACAATCGCATCCTTTCACAGAACCGTGGAAGAGTCCTTGGAGGCAGCTCCGCTCTCAATTTGATTTCATGGGACAGGGGCGCCAAGGCGGACTACGATGACTGGGAATCGTTCGGTAATCCAGGGTGGAACTGGGACTCTATGCACTCCGCCATGCGTAAATCAGAGACGTTCCAGCTGACTCCGAATAATGGCTCCGCTGGGATCAAAGGCGTTGGTGACCACGGAGAGATTCGCTCTCTCATTAGTCGTTTCTCAACGCCTCAGAACGAAGAGTTCTTCCCCGCAATGCACAACTTGGGCTACGGGCAAACTTACGGATATATGGACGGAGAAGTGCTGGGCTATATGCGGCACACAAGCAATGTGCTCTTGAGCAATTATACTCGGTCATACAGCCCGGCTTATCTAGCAGTTGCAGGAAGCAATCTCCATTTGATGTTAAACACGACAGTCTCCAAAGTCACGCTGGACAATGAAAGACGAGCGACCGGTGTGATGATGGAGGATGGCACAACCATTACGGCGACGAAGGAAGTCATATTGTCAGCGGGCTCTATTCAATCGCCTCAATTGCTTGAGCTGTCAGGTGTTGGTAATGCAACTGTTCTCAGCTCCGCGGGTATCACGCCTGTCGTGGAACTGCCAGGCGTCGGAGAAAACCTTCAGGATCACGTTCGAATTGTGAACGTCTATCAACTCGACTCGAACTATACATCTGCGGACATCCTGCGCTTCAACGCCACATTCGCCGCCGAGCAGCTGGATCGCTGGGAAAGGAACATTACTGGCTTTTACGACAATACCGGGTCAGCCTATGCATATTTGACATGGCAGCAAGCACTTGGAAATGATTCCACCTTCAAAGAACTCGCTAGACAGGCAGCAAGCCCACATATTGTCGATCAGAGGAAGCTTGAGAATGTGCTTGATGTGAATAAGGGTGTTCCGCAGGTTGAGGTTCTGTTTTCAGATGGCTATCTCGGCTTGAAAGGCTATCCTGTTGCGAACTCGTCACTTTATGGTCAGACATTCTTCGCCATGATCGCGAGCATTCAACACCCATTTTCGAGGGGCAGCGTGCATTTGAACACATCCCATCCGTCAGGTAAGCCAATATTGAATCCGAATTATTTGTCCAACGAGTACGACCTGCAAGCTGTCAAGGAAGCAGCCAAGTTTCTGCGCAAAGTTGCTACAACACCACCACTCAGTTATACTTGGGTAGATGAGTACGAACCTGGCTTTGAGATCAGTACAGATGCCCAATGGACCGAGTACGCAAAAAGCCATGCCCTGAGCATATGGCATCCAGTGGGCACGTGTGCTATGCTTCCCAAGGAGGAAGGCGGAGTGGTGGACTCACACCTAAGGGTCTATGGCGTCCCAAACCTGCGTATTGTTGATGCAAGCATTATGCCTGCGCTGGTCTCCGGTCATATACAAAGCGCCGTCTACGGTATTGCTGAGAGGGCGGCAGATCTTATCTCTGGAGCATGGTCATAAGCAAGATCAAGTGGCGCATACAAAAGTTCACGGATGATACACCTGATTTCCAAACGGCGTCTACTAATGTAATAGAACCTCGGTACGCATTACAGTCAGTAAGTACTTGAAATGGAAAGCCAGTAACACGTATGCGATAAGATGGAGTTAATACAATTAGACCAGTTGATGGCCAAGTCCATGCGGCTTTCCTGAATTCTTGTATCGACAAATCGCACGCTTTCGTTTTGCAAGATGAGCTTAATAGCGTAGTTTAATTTGCCTAATCATGACCTGAATGGTAAAGAGACACTTCCATCAGTAGTAACGTCAACGTTTTGTCCCACGATCTGCTGGTAATTGCTTCCCAACGTCTTGCGTTTCATAACGGGTCTTTTATGATGGTATTTTTACGATAGCCCTTCCGGTGATCCCGTCCACCTTCAACTTTTCTATGATCTGCGGGATCTGAGAAAACTCGAAAACTTCAATTTTGGGTTCAACTCCCCGTAGATTGCCGTCATTGAAGACCTCCTCCATCTGCCTCTCAGTGCCCACCGAGGAGCCTTTTATAACTAAACCTAAAAAAACACCATGTCAGCTTGGCTGTCCTGGTCCACGTCTTAGACGTATTCGGGCCTTACCTCGTGCTACGCAAGCGGTAGCGGATATAGGAAACTGGACGTCTAGAGGCGGTAACCCCACGCAGACGATGACCCCCATGTTTCGCACAAGTCTTGGAGCCACCTCAAACGCCTCTCTGGTTCCTGGCACCACCAGAACCCCGTGCGCCCCCTCACCACCAGTCAGCTCCTTAACCCTTGTTTCTACATCTTCCTCAAGATAGTCGATGAAATGTTCCGCTCCACAAGAGAGACCGAGCGTGCGTTTTTCCCTTCCAGCGTCCACGGCTATCACTCGCAGATTGTACAGTCTAGACGCCATCTGCACACCGAGATGTCCAAGGCCACCACCAGCGCCCAAGACGACCAGCCAGTCGCGGTCCCCGACTTCCGGGTGGACTTTGGAGAGCGCGCCAGCCATGGTGATACCTGCGCAGAGCAGCGGGGCAGCGATCTCGTCTGCAATCTCGTCGGGTATCCCGGTGAGGTAACGGGCATCGGCGATGACGTACTGCTGCAGGGTCCCGGGCTTCGTGCGGCCGGTGTTTTCCTGCTTCGGGCAAGCATGTGCGTCGCCCCTCCGGCACAGAAAACAATCACCGCAGGCGCTGTAGAGCCACTTGACACCCACTCTGGCACCCAGAAGCGACGCGTCGGCGTTCTCACCAGTCTGTACGACCGTGCCCACGCCTTCGTGGCCCACGACGTCTTGATAGGCGCCGTACCCGAGGACGGCGCGGATCTCCGAGCCGCTGCGGAGAGCCGAGTGCCTCCTGTCAGCATGGCGGACTTGTCTTCTGCGCGAGGGGATAAGGGGCCTTACCAGATTCCACTATACGATAACTTCACCAAAACTTCGTTGGCACCTGGCTTACCAACTAGCACATCGTTTCGTATGATCATGCGGCCACTCGGCCCCGGATTTATGATCACGGCGGCGGTCTGAACTTCTGGTATTATGTATAACATTTTGCAGGTGTTCTCACAACTGAGATCTTTGTAATTCGAATATAAGTATACGATGTGATGTTCTCCTTAGGAATCCGTCGACTCAACTTAGAGCAAACCCCTCTAGTACTAAGTTCCTAGGTTAGGTGTCTGGAGAATGTGGAGATCTGGGCCAACACCGAAATTGCGGAGTCACGGCAAGTCCAGCGGCAAGTCGGCCGTTAACGTTGTGCTTAAGTAATCTCGAATAAGAATCTTCCCACGTTAGATTTAAATCGGCCTGATCTAGTCTATGTGGTCGCGCAGCCAAAACAGGAAACCAAATCCTTCCTAAGTCGGACCAGGCCATACACAACCTAAACGTATTGGTATAATCGTTGACTATTAGTGATCAGAAGAGGACCGGCGCTATCCCTAACCCTACCCATGTCCGTCCTTCCCGTTCTCTTCATGTCGTTACCATGCGATCGTTACTTCTTCGTCCTATCATTCCATTACCACCATTATCCTTCCTTATTTCCTACTGGGTATCGTATACCTTATTCAGGTTTATAGTATCTTGGTGCATCAAAGACATGATATCTGTGACCCCTGACGCCCTCCCCTCTGAAGAGATCTGGGAATCTCCAGCCTTCTGGCACTGCGTTCTCGATCACTCTTCGGTCGCGGAGCGCTGGGTTTGCCTCCATAGACGCGACAAGCGCCTTCTCGCCATCGCTCTTCGGTATCACGAACTTGGCTACCTGCAATTCGGTGTCTGTGATCGTGCTGCGGCTGACTCTTGCGTATGAGACACGGTTAAGATGCTTGTAGAGAATATACTCGCACCACCGGTCCCAGTCAGACGGGTCGACGTCGTGCATTCCTGATATTTCAGAAACGTACGTGTTGTAATTGCCCTCCAGAGGGTTCGTGACCAGGTAGCTAAGCAGGATACTTGGACGTGGCGACGAACCCATGAGCTTGGAGAGGTACTCGCTCTGCAACCTTCTGTCCTCGGGATCCTCTTCCTGTCCGGAGTGGAAGACAAACACGTCCACCAACTCGCCATAACAGTCAAGCGTGGCATGGATGACCGGGGCCAACTCTCCAACAGGCGACGGGAGAAGATGATGTGTCGAGTTGACGATGGGAAATTTCGACAAAAGTGCCGCACCCCAAGTGTGTTTGTTGGGCCCTGGGCCATAGTCAACGTACATGCCAAGGTCCTCGGCGAGAAATTGTGTGGTGTCACGATTGCCCATGATGATACGCTGGAGGTCTGATTCGAGAAGGCCAATGACATCAATTTCAAGCTCCTTAATCAGATCACGCATCCGGTATTCAGATGACCACATATCATTATCAAGGGAGAAGTGAATTGTCCAGATACCGGCTGTGAGAACTCGCGAGTCTTCATGATAAGGTTTGTATTCGGCATAAACAGGGAAGCGATGATAAGCTGATACAAGGAATAATATGTTAGTCAATGCAAGAGCCCATGTGTGATACTTTCGGTGCTGCGACTGCGCACGCGCTGGCGTCTTGCTCTGTTGGCGTCGTGCGTTGGTAGAGGTCAGGTTCCAGACACCAGCACCGAGGAGGACCATCATGGTGATCATGATCCAGTCCGTGTGTTCGCGGACGTAAGGGCCGCCTGGAACAAAAGCGTAGGCAACAACCCAAACGTGGAAGAGAACTACAAAATTGTAGATGAGGAAGCCAAGTCCGAAAGTGGTGGCTGGGCTTTTCTTAGAAGCTTGCGTCAGAATCGGGGGCGCTATGGCCATCAAATAGAAGGCTGTTGTGAGCGCGCCGGTATAGCCGACCCAGTTATGCCTTGTCGTGAGGACCGCAGCTCCTACACTACCAATGCCAAAAGCGGACCACGTGCTGACAAGTTCAGGTCGAGCAACACCAGTAAGGAGACCGGTAGTCATGGCAGCGACAGTGAGCCAACCATGCTCTGCAGATTGAGGGCCCCTGACTGGATAACCTTCCCAGACCCAGAGGATCATGGTACTTGTGTCTGAAAGCAAGGAATGTAGGCCGAAGAATAGGCCACCAACGCCAAACGCAGAAAGCAAAGCGGATCCACCGACAGACTGGTCTTCTTTGGCAATTCCAGTGTTCAGAGGCGATCTGCGAGTGAATGTCCAAGCTGCCATGATAGCCAAGACAAGTCCGATCTCATTCTTTCCTCCATTTTCGGCATGCATGATTGGCCAGATTGGATTGTTTGTCCACCATGCGTACTTGGCCGTTGCAGATAAAACCAAACCTACAGTCCAAGCAAGGATCTTGGACTCAAGACGGGCCTCGTGGACGTTATCGGAATATAGAGTGGCAGCCCATGACAAACAAGACATCCACACACCAAATCCCACGGTGAAAAGTCGATAGACGGGGTCTGTGATGAGCCAAGCAAGAAGCCCAGACAAGGATAACAGGTGACAGATTCGTAGGTTATTGACGACCAACGATCGTAGCGGCTTGATGCCTAAAAGTATTGGAGAGACTGTTGACATGACAAGTACCTCGTACCCTGAGATTCCCATGTGCCAAAGTGGAAAATACCAGATCACAACGCCCAGACTGGTAAGCATGGACCAGAAGACGAAGCCATGGTAGACCTCAGCACCAGTGTCGAACACCTCTCTCCACGAAAGCTTTGCATTAAAGACACCGCCTGTCGCTCTGGACTTCTGCTTCTGCAGGGCTCTGCTCGTTGTCGGGACACGGGACTTCTCTCTGAAAGACGAATCAGCATACGACGACCTCGACTATATGAAATCAAAACAAATGGTTATTGCTGCACCACACTCGCTCGGACTGTCTACGGAGATATTGCTGGAGAACATGCTTTTAAGGTTGTACTGTGATAGGTCATAGTTTCGAGGCAGACATATTGCCATGATCTGCACAGCAGGATAACAACACTGAATTCCTTCCAGGCATAACTAGCCCATTGCTGATGAAACATAGGCCCGCAAGCGTGCGGAGAAAACGGGGCTATCCGAATTCTCCGAAGGTCGGTCGTTCGTACTATGAACGGAGAAGCCCATCGCATATTTGACAATGGATTCGTAAACAAAACGAGTCATGGAGCAACTTCTTGTGTCGTACAAGTGCGAATGCATTTCCCTCCTTCTCATTGCGGCGCTGTAGCTGAGAAACCACGACCATTACGACAAGAGTGATTTGAGTGGTCAGTAGCTACTTGCACATGGTGTCCAGCCGAGCGAGTGCGCAGTATATGTTGGCTCAGTGAGCCCAACGCGGAAGTTCTTGAACGTACCCCTGGCTAAATCCACCAACGTCTCTCACCACGATTTCAAAGGTGGAGAAGTCCAGAGCAGTAACAGCGTCGAATGCGACATCGAGGAGTATGAGCGACCATTCGAAGAAAGCGTAAATTGTGTAGGCTATCCCGGGTCAGTGGTCGACGCACTTTCAGTTGATCTGAACCAGAGTTACCTACCACCAGCCACACGGTGCACCTTGTGTTGTATGAAGAAATAGATCAGAGGAACGAGAGTGCCAAAGAAGGCAGCGGCAAGAACCTTTCTGTACTTGATCGCCTTTGCGTTCGGGGGACTCAGTGCGATGCAGCCGGTAGTCCAGGGTATCGTGAGAACGAGGTAGGAGATCATAAAAATGTCGTGCCAGTCGTGGTCATCGGTCGAGGTAACATAAGTCCAGCCGCCACACGTGAATGTGCGGAGCAGTCCCATGGCAGCTACGAACTTGGGCAATGCCGCGCCGGACTTTGCAGTGAGGAGATACCATAATCCGACCAAAGCGAATCGAGCACCTGTCACGGGGAGCGCATGAGCATCCTACATATCATGGTTGTTTTGGTTTGCTTCTCTTGGCTACCAACTACAGCATCTGACTGAACCGTGGGGCTACTCACCAGATGTTATCGCAATAAACAGCTGGAAGAAGGATCGCTCGGGGTATCGATCGCCAATGGTTGCGGAAACCGAGGGGAACCACTCTTGTGGGTAGCCATAGAACTCATTCTTGACGATCTTGTGATAATGCAGCGAACAACCAACGATAAGCGCGCTAAGAAAGGCAGCTATAACGGTAGGACAAGTCAGCGACGGGGTCTCGTGAGGGAGTCAATTGGCACCATGTTCTTCGCATTCTTCGCATTCTCGCATTCTCGGTTGACTCGTTTGACAGAGAAGCTCGCTGGCCTGTGTGTCGTGCATAGAAAAGTGCACGGTTCTGGTGGTGGTAGGTACTGACTGTATGCTACGATGGTATGGGTGTGGGAAATCCATCTCGCGTTGAATGATATCAGAGCCCCGCTGGGCTTGTCTTTGTAAGTTGACGGTGCCATCGTTCAGGGAATCTGTCGCCAAACTATGATGGCCAAAGGGAGACAGACACATGTGGACGAAAGGACGCGAAGCAAGGCACGACACGATTACGAAAGAGTGATTATTGGAGTGCGAAGAAGCAATAAAAGTTTGTTTGTTTGCGTTTGCCTTTGCCTTGCTTGGCCCATCCAATCCGACGGGTTTTAGCTTCGCAGCTTCGGCTTCTTCGGTGTCGCGTGCATCCCGTCATGCCATCCACTGCCATTTATTTACCCATTGCATTTCCGCATTTCCCTCCATAGAGTTAGTGGCCTCTTGGGCAAAGCAAAATAAGCTTGGACCCCCCTGTCAAAAGCCTGTCGTGATCGGTGGGGATATGATTGGTGGTTGCCGCCTTGCCGATAGATGCTACTGCGTAACAAACAAACCCTCCAGCACGTATGCATGTACTCCGTATGTGAGAGAGGTGCGGTCCGCTGCGAGCGCTGACGAGCGAGCTGCTTTGGGCTCACCTCACAGCTCACCTTGGGGCCGTTGGCGGTGACCACTCACCGAAGATAACGAATAGATAACCAGGTTTATGCAGATAAACCCCACCACAGACCCCATGGCTCCACTAAAATTTCCGTCGCTTCTTTGTCTGCCTCTTTTCATGAAACCTCTTTTTAGACAACTCTGGGTAACATTTCGACAAATCAATAATAGTTAAAACGGTTGCCGGCTGCGCAAGCCCACGACTCGCTCAACATGGCAGCCATTTCCGACAAAGCGCAATTCTTTCTCGAACAATCCGTCCCCCAACTCCGCCAGTTCGAATCGCTTCAAATCTTTACCAAACCAGAGATCACCTCTCTGGTCAAGAAGCGCTCCGACTTCGAGCATCTCGTGCTCTCTCCTGGATCCAAACCGGTCGACTATGTCAATTACATCAAGTGGGAACGCTCACTCGAATCACTCCGTGCTAAACGCTGCAAGCGTCTACAGATCCGCAAGTCGAGCTCACATGCCGGCGAGGGTAGAATATTCGGCATCTACGACAGAGCAGTCCAGAGACATCCCGGCGATCTGACCTTGTGGAAGGAGTACCTAAAGTTCGCAGAGGAGGTAAAGGCCTCAAAAAGATGGAGAAAAGTCATGACCCGCGCACTGAGGATGCATCCCAACAAACCCCAGCTCTGGGTCATTGCAGGACGAAGGGCGGCTGCCAATGGTGATATGCCGAGCTCGCGCGGCTTTTTCATGAGAGGAGCCAGGTTCTGCATCAGGGACGCAACAGTTTGGATCGAGTATGCCCGTTGTGAAATGGAATGGTTGGGACGCATGGAATCCCGAAAGGGCAAGAAGGGAGGGGTCCAGAAGGCCGTTGCAGAGCAGGCCGACTATGGCAACGATGCCATCATGTTCGGCGACGAGGATAGTGATGAAGATGCCGACGAAAACGGCCGACTGGTGCTTCCTGATCCAGATGCCAAGGGAACCAAAAAGGTCTTCGACGACAACGCGGTGCAGAACCTTGCCAGCAATCCCGCGCTCGACGGTGCTATTCCAATCGCCATCTACGATATCTCAAGGAAACAACCTTTCTTCACAGCTTCTGTGGCAGAACACTTCTTTGACATGTTCGCAGAGTGTTCGAATGTATCGGTACAATCCAAGGTCATTCAGCATGTCCTTAACACCATGACGGAGGCATATCCCAACTCCGCTTCTACCTGCAACTGCCAGATTCGCCGGCCGCTCGTTGGTGTCGACGTCAGGTCTGCATCATATCCCAAGGCTTTGCGCGAGGCTCTGGCGATACTTAAGACCGCCCTGGAAACCACCACAGACAAGTTGCAGTTGGCTCAGAAGACAGCTGCCTGGATCGAATCAGTCCTGGCTGAGGAAGATCTCGATGCCGGTATCCGTGCTGTATTAGAATATACGATCCGGACTCTTCCCAAGCCTTGATAGTCCATATCTACAGTCAATTATCAACGCCAACTTTCACACTGGTACATACATGGACTACGCCGTCTTGCTGGCTCCGCCCCTTTCCTCCGCAACACTTATGAGATATGACCACTCGTCTTCACTTACCCGGCTGACGCTCAGCCGGCTCTGTTTCAACAGTTGCATGTTTTCAAGAGGAGATCCCATCTTGCCCATTTCCCGTAGCTCTCTCAAGCCAATGAGTCGCTTGTACTTGCTACGGAATTCAACGTGTACTATGCTCCACTTGGGGTCTGATGGCTTCGATGAAGCATCATAGTAGGGCGCCTTCGGGTCATGTGCCGATACTGAATGTGTTAGTATTTATGGGCACATCGAGGACAAGAGGCAGAGGCCCTACAGTCAGGAGTATGCTCCCGCACTATCTCCATTGTTCCCACGATACCGGGCTCCTTGCAGTTGGATTGATAAAAGAAGGCGAGATCGCCCTTCTTCATGGCTCGAAGGTTGTTGCGTGCCACATAATTCCGTATGCCTGTTCATAGATCAGACCAGATACCTATAGACACAAAATAGTACCAAGAATTCATCTCACCATCCCAGGGCTCTGGTTCTTCCTTTGCGGCTAGATCATCAATAGAGAACTTGACATTGACGCCATTTTCAAAGCGGGACTCGGGCTCCGCCTTGAGCAGCCAGTATGACTTTTGTGAGGTGCTTTCAATGGTATCCTTGATATCGGATGTTGTTGTGGATGTAGATGCTTTGGCCTCTGTGGCTGCTTTTCCCCTTGCTTTCGAATTTGGTTTCTCCTCCTTCTCGATTGTCAGTCGTTCAGTTTGACCAACGAGGCTCGACGAAGAAGCTGGTGATGCACTCTAGCCGTAGTAAACAAGCACGTCGTAACACAATATAAGTTGTGACAACCGAACACCTGGTGGCGAGTAGAAAGGAGAGTGGCATACCTTGGCATTGCCGCCCTCTTTAGCTCTCGAGGCGATCTTCCTTGACTTCACAGGTGGCTTCTGGTCGCTCCCAACTTCTTCATCCTCCGCGGCGCGCTTCGCCCTGGTCGCGGTCTGCTGTGGGGCAGACACCGCCGCGGCCGCGCCAGACTTGCGACGCGTCGAGCGCCGGAGCTCCTGCTCGGGGATCTCTGGTCCTGGTTTCCTCTTCACCATTGCGAGGAGGTTCCCTTCAAGCCAAGAGAAATATCGAGATCGTCTAAACAAAACCTGATGTTTTGCGAAATCGCGGCGAAATTTGGAAGAGTTGGCATAGGCCACGGTCCTCGAGCTAAGCTTCAGCCTGCGCCACTGTCTGCTCACTGGGTTATTTGTGTTAGCGGGGTTCCTCTCCGTTACGCTTATTTGTACAGGCATAGGAGGCAAGACAGTTTGTGACATCAACACCAAAATCCATCTGTGGTGCGCTAGAGCCATTGTTTGTAGCTGGGGTTCATAACGTTTCCAGAATTTCTTCATGTCATAGTTATTCTCACTTAGCTCGGCGCTACACTACCATTATTCGGTTTGTCGTCAGTGGTTTCGTGCCACTCGGATAGTAAACGCCTAGACTAACTGTTTAGCATGTTCTGTGCCATGATAATAAATGTGTAAGCATGATGCCAAGTCTGGTAGTCTGGGCTCATTCCGTGTATTGTTTAATGGTGTATTTCATTTAAGGTAGCATGCAACATTGGTAGCGACTCTAGAGTGATGTCATAGAAGTTACTCATGGAATGGCACACCACGAAACAATATCATAGAGCCCAAGAGAAACAAGGGAGATTATACTTGACAGTGACTCTTTGTAGCCAATGATAGCAATGAACATAATTAGACATTCTCTCTGCCGATTACTATATCCTCTGTAATACTGCTCTCAATATTCGAATACCTCATTTTCTACCTGAGAAATGTCAATTAATAACAAGGGACTACTCAAGAAAAGGCTAAGATGCGAGTCAATACAGTGTACCCAAAGTTGTCAAAGATTTCGTATTGCTAGCCACTTGGTAGCAAAAAGGTCGACGTATGCCTCCTTTGATATCTTTGAAAAGCTCTTGCATTTGTTCGTCAGGCTTAAGTCAATTGTCACCACCGCTTTCTATGCTTACTAGCTCACGTTGCTAATGCATTCGTGCAAATATCAAATATGATCGTGTTCAGCTCAAATAGACTTTGAGAAGAAGGTAAGGAGGTTGTCGTTGCTCAGTATCGATGTAAGGTTCTGTTCTGTAGGTCATCCCTTCGACCTTCACCTTATTAACCGTCGTTATCTTTGCTATTAACACTTGAGCTACAGACCACTATATGAATCACTATACCATAAGAAGAGCTGGCAATGCTTATCAAAAACTCAACTTCCATGCCAGACGCATACCAGATACTGCCGGGTTTAACAACCTTTCGAACATTAAGAATATCAAAGAAACGCCCAGAACGGGATGAACGTTAAGGCAGCAGATATTCGTGGTTGCTTGGAAAAGGAATAGAAGCACCAGTCACGACAAATCTTACCATGGGCAAAATGGCCACTAGGTGGTTGTGGGTTCTATTTGAACGAAAACAAATCAATGTAAGGGTACGTTAGAACGTAGGCTGCGCCCCAGGAACGGCAAAGGACACAAGCGCGACAGACAAGTCTGCGTAGATATTTAGGATCTCAAAGCCCACCTAGGTGCCGACCACGCCCGGTACCAAAGTGATTGATAGCCATCGGCAGCAAGTACGGGTGGAATTTCGAGTATTAAGGGCACAAGATAGTAGATCCATTTGCCAAGGCGTGTATTTCAAGTTTGCGCGAGGATATAGTAGTGCTCGTACAGCTGAGCTGTCTTTGCAGTTAAAGGCAACTGCATAACCTGCACCGTTCTCCGTGTCTATTACTCCAATTAGATGTGCAGGATCAAGCATTTGCGCGGTCATATAGATGGTCCGCGGTCTCAGCGGAGCATCTGCTTGCGATTGGCATGTCATCTCGAGAATGGCCACTCTTCCAAAGTTGTAACGGGTTGCAGGTAATAACCATTTCGTTCAGGCATATAATTCCCTAAGTGCTTTCGTCCCATGGAGCCCGAGGCGCCCAGTTGACTTCTCACGTATTCAACCTGGCTGCTGCTACTTCAAAAGAAACCAGTGAGGTTGGGACTGGTAGCCTGCATCCCGGCGACGCAATGCAGGTGAAAATCGAGTGTTGTGAGCCACTCGTTATGCAATGGTGGGAAATGTGCAACGTTTGGCCAGGGTTCAAGATTTCACTGCAAAACCGAGCCCACCAAGGGTGTAACAGGCTTCAATGGTATATGTGTTGGTTATGATAGGACGAGCACCTCGATAAGGCGCGTGGGCCTGATCGTGTAGCTCTTCTACGAGATTGTTCTACTGTCTTGGTCTTGAACCGTTTCCTGTGGGATATCTCATATGCGAAGGTAACTTGCCAGGGCGCAGTTGCGGGCGCAAATCATTTGGACCGTGGATATATCCTGGTCAGTGTCAAGTGACAGCGTAGTTGATGTGCTACACGAACGGGACGCTCTGACGAATGGAGTCGTGCCAGCTTGGTCCGAACCATAGTCTATGGAGGTGGAGTTACGGAAGTGTATGTCAGGTGCAGGAGGCTTGCTCGAAGCGCACCCATGTAGGATAGCAGCAAAAACGATGTGAGGCATACAACCAAGCAAAAAGAATAAAAGCGACCCGAATACTTCAGTTTCGAAGGCATCCGCTTGACTCCTTCAAAGGGAGATAAAAGACTCGTGTCAGATTGAGAGCGTCAAGTGAGTCAAGCGTCCGATATTGACCTTAATGATGTGCAAGGGGACCATGTGTCTGGGTGGAGCTCAAGTAGAGCTTGGACACCCTTCCGTCTTCTAAACCCCACGGCTGCATGGAACAAGGCTTGAGGGATCAAACGGTGTGACCTCGAACGCCATGGAGCATTTTCGTGAGTTTCGAAATGCAATGGTCTTGATACCAGCGACCAGCACGGCATTCCCGATTTTCTCGAACGATTCACCGATGGACTTGGGCGACTGCGCGGTGAGATATAGGTACTAATGAAGCGAGAAACAATCAAACCGCGTAATGGATCTGACTGAAAATGGGCTGTGGGGATAACGTTGCTTTGGATACAAGTTAATAAAGCCTGCAGCTTGCCATGTGTACATAGTATCACGGGACCGAGAACATCCAATCTCGTGTTGAAAGGTGATCTGGCACGCCCAATTTTGAAGTCTTTACTGTCGAAGTAGGTAGAATTGATCGGGCAATTGAGCATTGCGCGGCCATGAACCACGTGAATATCCACAAGACCGATGCCATTTTGTGCCCGTGATATAGTGTTCAAGAGCACAGGCGGCCATTCTTCGTAGAAACCAGCAAATACTGTCATTAAAAGCCCATCTATTCCACAACGCGTTGGGAGGTTCCTGTGGAACTTATCTTGGTGGGCGGCTACACTTTCAGGCCACTGCGTCTACTTTTGCTTCATGGGCGAAAAAGGCAGTCTCTTACGCTACGATATGGGGAGATGTACGCCCTACAATCTGCAGCATTCGCACGCCTATGCGAGCACCAAGCTACGAAATATTGCCTCATGTGTTTAATGAAAACTACTACGTATAAGCGTAGCGAGCGAAACAATTTTGCCAGCGCATTTCATCGGACTAACGTTGTGTATGTAAAAATTTCAATCTTGACGAGCACTTTTGTGTTGCTTGGTTTGATGTCCGGCCGGATCCACTACTGTAAGCCTGAAGCATAAAGGCACCTGGAAATGGCGGCAGGAGATGGGACAATTCAAGACCCAGCGACGTCAGCCACCTCACATTGGCTCACAAGTGGACGTGGCGACTGGTAGACCTCGCTTCGCTTTCAGAAAGCAATCGGGAAATATGGCCATGGCAAGGTCTGGGAAGTTGGAACACAAGATGAATGGAGACACGAGGGAGTACGAACAGGGATTGAGTGACGATGAAAATGCGGCGCTATGCCGGAGCCTATCAGTGGGAAGTTGAAACTGTTCGACTATTTTGAACCAAATCAAAATGAAATTCCAGAGATCCTTGGTGCTGCAGATGATGGCGTCAATTCCAATCCACTGCGCGAGAAAACAGATCGGGGATTTCTGGTGGTCAGAAAAGCAGATAGAAGTAAGATGGATCAAGCCCTTTTGTCATCCATCAAAATTCGGAAGGCAGCGACAGGGATCTGGATAAGTTAACCTTAGACGTTTGCAGCTTGACACACGATGTCTGTCATCACACCAGGAAGGTGAATCAATATGTAGCAATGTAGGCGGCTTGCTTGTGACGCTCGCCTGATGATCCGAATGAGTTCGCACATATGAGAACCTGAAGCACACACTTAGGCAATTGGGACTCCCCTAATCCAGAGAAACATAGAATGCGAATTCCATTTCGAAGCGAAGCAAAACTCTCGTAATTCAGCTCCGTACGTCCCCCAGATGCATGTTTGGGAGGGAAAGGAGGGTCCCCTGGGTTGCGGAGAATTCTTGCTAGCTAGTGCCTATCGTTCATCAAATTCATCAGTGCAACTGGGCCGTCTTTCGCTGGCTGGGCTTGCCGGATACCTCGATCGAGGTACCTCTTCCAGTCAATGTTAAAGCTTCCACCCCTTCCCCGTTCCTTGTGACCGTCTCATTCCTCTCCGACTTTTCTCACTCTCTTCCCCTCGGCATTTTTCTTGTTCTTCATCGAGTCCATTATTCGAGCGTAGTCTTTTGCTCTGCTGTTGCGTTGCACTCCTGGCTGCATTTCCCACTTACAGCCAACGGACCCCAATGGTATTAGCGCAAACGTGCAAAGGATTTATTACGGGATTTGAACGTTGACATGAGCAAGTCCAGCAACGCACATGAGCGGAATAAGCATATATTTGGCCATCTGTCATATACTCAAAAGGCGCCTTGAACTCTCCTACTCGCTTTTCGCCAGTCCGATTTTTCAGGAAGCAGTTTGAAGCACGATCAACTGGCCACCAATTTCGTGTGCAAAACGGTGGCTATGACCACTAAGAGCGAATAGGCCAGACGGAAGACAACCGCCTTGCGGCAGAACATCACCAGCTTCACACCTTGCAAATGTCGGTTTACTCACTGCCAACTCATTATCACAGTTCTTCTGTGCTAATTCAATCTGGTTTCATCTCTATCATTTGATCGTGAAGATCAGAAAGATGCCTGGCACTGATTTGCGAGAAGCCAAGGCCGGCTGGCCTGGTTAGGCTGGACGCGGCGGAAACACCGCCAGCAAACGTTCCTGCTAGGCAGGGAAGGATTCGGGCATTAGCACCAATTCACCCACACCAAAAGCAACACTCCAATTGGTTATGTCTCAGAACGATCGATATGGGACTGCCCACTTTTTAGATATGCGTGCTGACGATGCTCAGCAGAATTTACAGCGACGGAGCACATCATCGCTGTTTCGCCAGTCAATCAAATTGCAGTGCTCTTTGGAATAAGCTGACTGCGACTAGAGAAAGTCGCGGCTTCTTAACAGAGTTGTCGCTGTGGGAAGACTACTTTGTGAGTCGGTTTGAGCAGACGTGAATTGCACAACCCTCTTTCTCCAGCACCTGCGTTTCTTAAGCCTATCCGGTCTGGAGGGTTTCGCAATTATTGGCTATATTGCGGGATTGATTGTTTTTATTGAGAGAACGCCGCCAATGGTCGGTCTAGCCACAACAGCCACTAGATCTGCGTCGACGACTCTCTTGAGAAGCACCATCCAAGTCTGATTACCTCGGCTGTGTCTGGTCTGCAAAACAACAACTCTCGAACGCCTTGAGATCGCACGGGTCCATTGAGCTGTTCAAGACATGCAGTGCAAGGATAGTGTCCTGTTCAGCACAGGCTGGTCTCGTGTCCAGCCTCAGGGATCAACTGAAAATACCCAGACAATTGCCTGGTCAAGATCTAGGTGGTAGTCTCGACTCTTTTATGACCAATTTGCAGCTCAGATCCCACAACTCATACTTCAGAGCGACATAGTTGGGACAGCAATCTGATCATGAAAATGCTCGTCGAGAAGAACCATGCTTCAGATCTAGAAGTTTGAAAATTCCGTGAGTTTTGTACTGATCACATTGTTCCTTACACAGCAAGTTCTGAGCAAATCATCATATACGTTCTGTTATCGATTCTCTTTCAGAAACATCCAATGCAGCTGAAGCAGACTTGCAAGTGGAAGCCTGTTGGTTGGAGGCCCGTGCACATTGCATTTTTTAGCGCAACCTTGCTTCGGGATGCAAGCGTAAGTCTCTCACACCAACAACATTCGCTTTCCTGGCAGCAAATCCGTCCTTCGAGACTTGCATGCTTAACAAATTCATGACTCTCCGTTATCAATTTCGCTTCTTTGCTGCACCTATTGTGTGCTAGTTCTTTTCTGGACTAGTGTCTCTTTCATCAAGCATTGAAATCACATTTGCGCAGAGTGTATCAAGATCACCCAAGCAAAACTCTCAGCGCGCGCCCGTACGTTAGGTAAGACCTGCTATTCTCATCAAGTTGCGCTCCATTTTCTTGCCACCCCATCCCCTGGCCTGTTCGATATATTCAAATATATCAAGCAGAGGCTTATCTCGTGACACTAACATTGGTTACTTGTGCTCGAGACCAATGCGCTGCGTTGTAAACGTTGGTGGTCATTGACCTCAGCTTAACAATTGCTGCGGAGTGACAGCTCACTCTCCCTCCCCCCGGCGCGGGCGCTGCAAAGCAAATTCTCCGCTCAGATCCAGAGTAGAGAGCAGCGAGCAGACGACACAGTACAATCAGCAAGGAGCACGCGCCCTCTCCTGCTCTCTTGCTCTCTGCCCGCCCACCTGAGCTCCAAAAGTGCCTTTGCTTTCCCCCCCAGCGCCTGCTGCGTTTGGCTGACCCAGCCCCAACACCGACCCGACACACTGCTACTCCTTCTTTCGCATCGGTCAGTCACCCCATCGACCCGCGACAGACGCGACGCTTGCATCGCGACGTGTCACTGCCCATCAAATATTATATCATTTTTAATCTCAATGGATGTGTCGCTATTCGATCTGATTGCTGACGTAGCATAACTTGCAGTCTCATGGGTGTTACTTCCTGCTCACCCACACTGAACTGCATCAGCCATGAGTTCTTGGATGAATGAGGCAGCTACTGTCCAGAACCATAATGGCAACAACCCATTCCCTCACATGAACGATCCCAACAGTCTCGGTGGAAATCCGACAATGATGGATCCTGCCGCATTTATGGCCAATCCAGGCCAGTTCAATCCTGCCGCTGCCCAGTTCGCCAATCCACAACAAATGGCAGCCGCGATGCAAAATGGCCAGATGCGCAATGCGTCGCCCGGCTTTCAAAACCCTGTATATCAGACCAACTCGGTCGTTCCTTCGAAAAGGCCGCGCCCGCGAGATGACAGTATGGGCGCGTCACCAAGACAAAATCCCGGCATGCTTCCGACGTCGCGCGCTGACACGCCTCAGCAATCGCAGTTTCCAGGCGGGTTTCAACAAAATGCCATGGGACAACCTTCTGCTCAATCTCAACAATACCCTCATTTACAACCTAATGGGTCGGCAAACGCGTCGCCGTCACCCGTAATGGCCGGGAACCAATTGCGACCTGGTAGTGTGCCTCAACGCGTCAACACGGCGTCTCCACATCCTTTTTCACCGGCTTCGCAACAATTTGGACCTCAAGCATCACCGGTACCATCAGAACATGGCGGTACGCCTCAGCCAAATCCCTACATGCAACCCCAAAATTTTCCGCAAGGGTTCAACCCCAACTATACGCCGTCGCCGTCGCCCGCACGACCCCCTTCGACCCAAAACCCCATGGCACCTCAAATGATGGCGCAACAGATGGCGCAGATGCCGCAGCAGATGCAACAGCAGATGCAGCAGATGCATCCTAATCAGATGGCCCAGATGCAGCAGATGCAGCAGTTACACCAGCAGATGCAACAAGCTGGGCGTAGTATGGATCCTGCGCAACAACAGAAGATGATGTATCAGATGCAGCTTCAGCGTCAGCTTCAGCAGGGTAACATGTCTGGAAATATGGCAGGTAATATGGCCATGGCGGCGCAAATGCAGGCGGCACAAGCTGCGCAAGCTGTGCAAGCTCAGAACATGGCCGCAGGTCGCGGCATGATGCCCACCAAGCCTGGAATGCCCATGCCTAACGGGCAGATGCCTCCCAACAACATGAATCCGCAGCAACCTCAGATACCCAGGGGCACCAATCCAGACAGCTTCATGAAGAACCTCACGACATTTATGACGGTCCAGAATCTCCCTTTAGACCCTAATCCTATCATCGAAGGTCGGCCGCTGCATCTTATGCAGCTTTTTATGATGGTTAGCAAATTTGGATTCTACAGAAATGTCATGCAGCGTAACATGTGGTCGCAAGTGTCACAAGCGGTTGGCTTTAATCCTGTACAATACCCTTCTGCGCCAATGCATATCAAAACTATCTACGAGCGAAATCTGTTGAAGTTCGAGGAGGCATGGAAAAAACAGAAAGGACAAGGTCAAGGTCAAGGCCAAACTCAGCAGCAGATGGTGAATCCTGCTATGGCTGGCCAGCCCGGTCAAGCAACTCCGCAAAGGATGGGTCCTCAAGGGCAGATGCAGCAGCAAGGCCAACAGCCCATGCAGCCTGGTCAACCGCTCCAGATGCAACAAGCCCAAACACCGGTCAAGCAGATGGCCCCGGGCATGCCACAAGTCAATGGTTTCTCGACACCCCAGCCAATATCACAGCAACCACCAAACATGGCGCAGGGGCACATGAGGAACAGCCTCTCAAGAAGCGTTGAAGGGACACCTGTTACAGGCGAATTTGCCATACCCTCTCCTTCTGCTAAGCCTGGAAGTATTTCCATGCAAATCCCACCTGGACAAATACCAGACGGTCTCCCAGCCAACTCCACGGCAGCTTTCCAAGCGCCACCAGTGGTATCGGATCCGGACGAATACAGTGTCTGCTCGCGCGAAATGAATCAAGACCTCTATGGTGGTTATGACATGAAGTCCATCAAGGAACTTGGTGCTCAACTGGAACAATGGCGTCCCGATGTTCCACCAGCCTTGGAACTGGGACTGATAGATATCACCGCTCTTACCAGGAGTCTCCAGAGTGGAATACATGCTGAGGTGCGTTTAGCATTGGATACTCTTGGTACTGTCACACACGAATCTGGACGAAACATGACCTTGATGATTGATCTCAGAGGCTGCGATGATTTGGTAGAGTCTTTGATCGATTGCGCTGAAGAACAGGTCGATATACTCGCGGAAGGCACAAAGCCCGTTTCCGATGAGGTCGACCTGGCAAGCTACGAAGACATTATGCGGCAGTGTCGACAAGAACAGCGCTTCCTAAGAAAAGTGAATGTCTTTGGCGATGCCGATTACGAACTCGACCACGCAGCCGACAGGCTGATAGCCATAACGACAATACTGAGGAATTTATCTTTCCACGACGGCAATTTTGAACTCCTTGCCGACGAGGTTGTGATTAAATTCCTCTGCAGTACAATCAGATCACTCGGAACGCTTGAGACTCTTCTCAGGTCTCCTAAGAACACTCTGGACTTCATGAAGGATGTTGTCATTCTCTTGTCCAACATCGCTGGGTCCATAGAGCTGCCAGGCAAAGAGCAGGCCTTCTGCCTCTTACAGTTCCTTCTTGCTTTTGCTCCTTCACCAGCACCGATGACAAGTTTTGGCAAGATCTTATTTCAATCTTACGAACCGTCTGTCCACGTGTACTTGCCTCATGCAGTCGATTCGCTAGCAAAATTGCTTGCTAGGGACGAACCGAATAGGACACATTACAAAGCCATATTTGCTGTCGATGCAGCTTCTTCGCCTCCTTGTGAGCTTCTGACTAGGACATTTGGTTTGGCCATTTGTCCTGTCCCAGACCAGAACAAAGAAAGTCGACCCGCCAACCTGCCTTCTTTTATAGAGTCGCGGAAACCTCTATTGATGCAAGGACTCCTTGCTGCAGACATCATAGCCTCCCTCGCGCCTGGATACGAAAGCGGCGTTACTCGCAGCTGGCTCTTGTCAAGCGAAGGCTTCGCTCAGAACCTATACAAGCTGATACGCTCTCTCTGCCAGCAAGCTGAGCCCAACCCACCTCCTGGGCGCGGAAACACAAGAGCACAGCCCAAGGAGGATGCAGATGTACTGCACATTATCAGCTGGGGAGTGTCACTGTTACGGAGGTTGTGTGAGCGGGCTCGCGATCCGAATGATCCTGCCAGCATCCCCCCCAGTGCCTTGCCATCAAAGGACAGTCTTTTCAACACTTTCCAGACATTGAAAGCCGCCAAATGGGCTTCTCTTTTGGTTCAATTGAGCTCCTACGCTGGGCTGGAAAATTAGCGGGTTGGTGGCATTTGTAAAGGCGTTCGGGCGTTGGAACTAGCGATTTCTAGAATCAAGGTAGATATGTGGATATCAATGTACCAAAGCAACTTGCTGTAGATTATGGGGTTACGGATGTACGACATGGCGCAGGCGTAGGCTAGCAGATTCTGTAGCCAATCCAGAGATTTTAACTTCAAAGCCAACCAAATTAAGAGTTCTCAATGTGTACGTGCGTGGTTCAATGGTAGACGCGGCGATGATTTGCGGATTGTAACAGATTGCATGAACTATTCATGTGTGTGTTGCATTGTTTGAATCAACTGATTCTACGAAAAATCATACTTATACAACTGTTTCTGTTGCCTCGCAAACTGGTCGCATGTGTCGTCTAGTTGTCAGGCATCAGTCAACGCAATGCACTGTTCAGAATTGAGCTATGAAACAAATACAACATAATTCACTGTTCATAGTAAATCAAACAACGCACTTTTCTGCCCTTCCAGATGAACACGGCGCTCTCGAATTTGCTTCAAAACCTCAGGGTTGAAAAGTTTCCGGCTGGATCCTGAGACAACTCCGGCCTGTCAAAACAAGGTGTTGGGATGAGCCTTGTTGCGATTGGCATGCTAGCATGCTGGCATGAATACTAGGAACACCATTTCGTTAGGCCGCAAATTGTGTCTACTCAAAAGAAGAGCTTATTTTAACAATTGCCGGAACTGCTGTTTGTAACAAGTAATGATATTCTGAAAATGATTTCATACTGTTTCCAAATGCGATGCTATGATCCACAGTGTGATCGCGGCAGTCGATGGTAGCAAGGAGGTTTGTGCACAACGCACCCTCGCACGCGACACATTGAGCATTTGGAGATGTGAGCATTTGGAGATGATTGCTCGGCCATATGGCACGGTCGCCCTCGATATCAGATTAGGTTAGGGAAATATGCCTTGCAAAAGCACATCTGAGCCTCAAGAAGAAATGTTTTGAAACGCGCGACCAGAAGTTAGCAGGTTAGTAGGTATGGAACGGCACACGGCCTAACAAACACATGACCTTCTCCCTTGCTGTGACGCAACAACATGATTACGTGGTTACGATCTTCAGGGGTTCCTACTTTGTCACCTCTCTCGCTGTGCTGTTCCAAAAGTCTGGGGTTTGAGAATCCGTAGATTCGCCCGGCGATCCAACCACAACGGAAGCCCCGTTTTCCTAATGCGGGTGGCGCTGAAACGTCCAATGTGCCGGAACTAACCCCACCAACACAACACACTGCTCAGACGGCAGACGGCAGCAACGGGGGGCCCTCGCTATTTTCAGCCGAACATGGGGGGGTATTTGCACTTGTCTCATGTCGGATGATCAGAGACGGGATGGCGCCCTGGTACACGGGAGGCACCAGGCATGACCAACCGTCTTTACCATCAAGCCCCTCGGGCATTGGCGTCTCTTTTCTTTTGTTTTTCTCACACCATTACGGAATCATTTCGTTTCTCTTAACATTTGGAGATACACACAGTACAACACAGCAGATGAAAGTGATTTGAAATAACTCTTTCATACCTTTCTTATCTTTCTTCTCTTCGTGGGACCTGGTGTTCTGAGCCCTGGAAAAGCCATTCGTGAGATATAATCATCTTTCACTATGGCCGGCCTTTTGAACGGGGTGTTGCCCGACGTAAGTCTGGGTTTGGGGTTGGGAGGAGGAGATGACAATGGCGCAGGCGCCACCGCCTCTCCGGCAGTGGACACAACGTCGGCATCTAGTACATCAACTGCCACGAAAAATGGCAAGCCGACTAGGACATCGGCGGCGCTACCAGATATCACAGCGGACCCGGGGTTGGCTTTGAACCCGGCCAAGGGTGTTGACGACCCTGGTGATTTTAATTTGAGTACCACCACGACTCAGGGAGCTGGGAATAACGGTAATGGAGGAGGGAAGGATAATGATGACGGCAAGACGGCTGCACCAGATTCAACAACTACGACAAAACCAGGCTCAACAACTACGACTAAACCAGGGGCCACCGAAGCTACAACACCTGCCAAAACCACGGCTACTGCGGCTTTAGAAACGACAAGTACCAAGGCTAACGCGGCTCCCCAAAGTCCGACCACCGCGTCAACGGCTCCTCCGACTACCCAGGCTACAACTATCCAGGTCACGACTTCAGCATCATCTGGGTTGCCCTCTACCTTGGTTACCAGCGTTCGGCCTGGACTTGAAAGTGGCACCTCCTCAGACCTAGATGTTACTAGTATTCTTCCCACCAGCCTGGTCGCGGATCCCACAAGTCTCTTTCTTGCAACCTCCACTCCTCCGCTACCACCTCTAGCCGAGAGCTCAACACAGTCCGAGCCCACATCCTCATTCATATCCTCATCCTTTGCGTCTAGCAGTGCCGTCGGTACCTCTATACCTGCGTCTAATGGCCTCACCCAGGCTTCCACGACGGAGACCGCAACCGGCATGACGATGGCAGCGACAATCGGGATCAGTGTAGCCGGCGGTGTAGGTGCTCTGGCATTGATCGTAACGTCCATTCTGGTCTGCAGACGATACTGGCGCAAGCGGCGCGAGGCAAATGACGAGGCGCTGCAGAACCTGGACGCCATGTACGAGAAGGGCAAGCCGGTGGACTGGGTTGAACTTGATACCGGCAGGTGGAACAAGGGGCTCGAGGTATTTCACGATGCGACCAGGCCCGCGGAGTTGGCGGGAGAGTCGTCGCTGTCCAGGGCTGGGAGCGTGAGGTCGCAGCGACCACGTGCTACGTAGTAGCAGCGGCACGATGAGGATTTCGAAGGAGGACCGGGAGGCGAGGGGCGATGTTTGGAAGACTTGCTCATTGCCTCCTGTCACGTACTCACAAGGAATCCACAGTCAAGATAAGATTATCTGAAACCGTGAGGATGGATAGTGTAGGACCGGAAACAGGATTGAGAAGTGATGTGTGTATTCTTTTGGAAATATTGCATCAACGGATGGATATCACTCGCTTGGATTAATAAAAAAAACAGTGAGCGAAAGTTGGTATCCTAGGTGACAGCGTGGACGAAGCTGAAAACTGTTTAGCCATTATTTCTTCTACAATGGTATCTTAATTTCTACGCTCATTCCGAAAACGCCGGATTTTTGTGCTTACTACCCAATGCTTGAACCTTACCGCTGTGTATGCTGCCTGAGCCTGTAAATCCACCTTCCCGTTTCTAATGCAATAATAACCGTGCCCGGTTTCTAGACAAGCTTTACCTTAGAGGGCAGAACCATTGCTGGTCCGTCCCCATTCACCAAAGCCTCTATCTTGGGCATCAACTCGGGTATCCTGAATGGTTTCGAGATAGCATCGTCCATGCCCGCCTCGCGAGCCTGTGCTACCTGTTCGCTCCGTGCGTTTGCGCTAACCGCCATAATGGGGATATGTTTAATAATGACACCGCTTTCCTGAAGGTTTCGTATCTCGCGTGTACACTGCAGCATTCAAAGTCAGCAGTTCTCCCTTCAGAAAGGGTCTGGGAGCATTGTGGAGCAGCCACAAAGAGACAGTCGTCCCTGATAAGCAAGATTGAGTTTTTAGATATGCTAGAATGCTTAGAAAATAATCCCGAAAGTTTCTTACTGCTAGGCCATCCATTATGGGCATCTCAATGTCCATCAAGATGAGCGAGAGAATTATGGGTTTGTTGGGTAAATTCGGTACCTCTTCCGACGACGTTGGCGGTGATGGACAAGCTGCTTGTGAGGCAAAAGAGGAATGTGAAGCCCAGTATTCGGTTTTGCGGAGGAAATCTAAAGCCTCTTTGCCATGATTGGCGACGTATACTTGACAGCCTGCTTTGCGCAGTTGCTGAGATAATACTTTTTGCTTTTTTTTCTTTGGTTAGTTTGCAGAAAACATAAGTTGTTTGTCAACACCGATGTAGGAAACGTAAACACTCACATTGACGAGGTTGTCTTCCACAATGAGCACGGAGTATTGTGGTGCCTTCTCTACGTTACGTGACGCACTGACTTTTGAGTCACTACTCCAAGTCCTGTTGAGCAGAAATGGATGTTCTGTATGGGTTTCAAATTTCGTTGCCGGCGTAGGAGGAGAGGCCATACGCGTTGCGACAAAGAAAGCAAATGTTGAGCCAGTATCTGGGTCTGATTTGGCACCGATTGCGCCGCCTTGTAGTTCGGTCAATTTCTTCGAAATGAAGAGACCTAAGCCGCTCCCTCCGTAACGTATATGTGTCCGTGGTGTGGCTTGAGAAAACCTTGTAAACAGATTGCTCTGTTCCGCCATGGTCATTCCGCACCCTGTGTCACGACACTTGATCCAGATAAACACCTCGCGGCCGCTACCCCATTCTGAGCTGTCTAAAAGGCCGGTTGCATCGGTGCTGATCTTTGCATACGGAAAGCCATTGGATCGATCAGAAGGGCGGACCCAGCATGCACCTAAGCTGACTTCAATGCTGCGAGTCGGTCTGTCTCGCGTGAACTTGATAGCATTGGTCAGGAGGTTCATTAGAATTTGCAAAACTCGACTTGGGTCCATCATCACAAAGTAAGCCCCAGTCTCCCGTAACGATGGGTCCTCAACGAAGCTAAGACTGATGCTGTCCTTATTACATTCGAGCTCAAACATGTGAACAGCCTCTGCAACAATGGCCGCAGGCTCGGATTTAATGGGCGCGATGGCTAGAAGATTAGAGTCCATCTTTGATAATGTCAGCACGTCGTCAATGACCCGTTTTTGATGTATAGAGCATGAAATGATCGTGTTCAGCGAGTCTAAGCAAGCTTTAAGCTCATTATGAATTTGCGATTTAAGAGCGTCCTGATTAAGTCGTTTGTCAATGAGCGATAAAACCATGTTCAAAGATTCAATGGTCGAATCAGCACATTGTATAACGGCCGAAAGTGGATTGCGCATCTCATCTAGAAACCTCAAAGTCAATGACTGCTCTCTTCATGATATTGGTGAATAAGTACTGCAAGGTGTGTGCCACAGGAATAGTGTAGATGGATGGTGTCGGCCCCGATCGCCAATGTCATATGAAAGGAATTCTCCACAGACGCGAAATGATTAAGGGTCATGCAGTAATTGAAGAAAAAGATATTGAAGAGGTAGGGTAAGGAACCCGAGATTGCTTACGTGAGGTCATGTCAATGAAATTTTCGTGCTTGTGCTTCGCATCAAGAGCTTCCTCCATTCGTGACTTCTGGATTTCCTCCGCCCATTTGAAACGTGAAATGTCAGTCAAGGTGCCGAATATAGAAACAACATTCCCTTCATCGTCAAGTTCTGGGATTGCTTGACTCTCACACCATGCTTGACGTAGCGTGCCATCCCCAAGATCCCACGTGTGCTTTAGTCGGAAATGCGCCTGCGTATGTTCTTTGTCGTGAAGGAGCTGTTTCCACTGGTCGTGCAAAATAGCTTGATCATCCGGAAAGACAATTGAATCCCAATTAATGTTTCTAAATGCGTCCTCAGAAGGGTGCTCTGTCAGCTCGAAGAATCGATTGTTGCAATAAGTCATTCTTCCTTTTCCGTTGCAAATATAAATGGCAATTGGTGCTAGAAGAGCGAACCGTGCGAACTTGCGTTCACTTTCACGAGCTCGCTCCAGGGCTCCTGCACGTTGTAATGCTTCCTGCTGAACTTGCTTCTGAGCAGTGATGTCGATCGTATTACCAGCGATGCTAATAAGTTTGCCGTCTTTATCCATTATCGGTACGCAGGCAGAAAGTATCCATTGGTAATCGCCAGGGCCCTCTCCTCCCGCAGGATCTTCCCAGTTTTTGCCTTTCCATCTCATCTCGAAAGTTACCGGGGTCCCCTGGGCAAGATTGTTCCACTTTGACAAAACCAGAGGACCGTCTGGAGGATAGACGAGATCCATAAACGAAAAGTCTGTATGAGACTCGCTCGGTTTAGGGTGTAGACTCAATCTATACCACGATTCGTTCGCTCGCACTAAAGAGCCCTGAGGACTGTACTCGAAAGTGCCAACATCGCTCATTTCCATCATCTTGTGCAAACTTGCGACCCTTGCATCGGCTAACTTGGCCTCCTCGAGGCCTTTTAGAGCGCTTAACGCGTTCAAATGGCTGTAAGCTGCCTTCGGGTCTGTGAGCTCTGTCGCGCCTGGCGACTGAATGCATTTCCAAAGACCTTGAATTTTGAATGCCGTCCATTTTCTCCCGGCAAAGTTATACTCCTCCCGCCAGTGGTTTACAGCCTGAGACCATGCTCGGAATTGCCTAGAAACATCGGCCTCTCGCAAAGTATCATGCTCAAGTCCTGCTTTGCGAAAAGCTTCATTGCAAAACGATAGCGAAAACGGTATTGGGCCAATTTCGTTGATGGGCACGATAAAAGATGGCCTGGGGTCCGCGTCCAAGAAACAACCCAGAGCTGGCAGTCTGCTGTCATCACCAAAGGTACCATAACTCTCCGCTCTAGGAGGAGTTTTGGGTGGTGGCATTGCCCAGATGGTTCGCAGCAATTGCTGTGGTGCAGACTCAGAAATCAATGACGTAGATGGCTATTGATGGGGCATCCTTATCCCAACTGCCGTGGTGACAACATAAGGGGGCAATACGCATGAAATTTTGCGCAAAAAAGAATGTGTTTAGGACTGAGCAATTGCGCGTCAGTGTCACAATGTTCTAGAAATGGCCGCAGCATTGTTACTACAGCAAATTTCAGCCTGACCAAGGCATCTGGTCCTCGTGCGGGATTGGCGTCAGGTTAAGAGTCTGGACCTGCCATCCCTGACTCGGTTGGGGCAAATTACTGGAGACATTAGTGTGATCGGAGGCTTTTTCAGACCCAGTTGGTGGAGATCTCAGCTATGGAGTTTAGCGGCTTATAGCAAGATGTTGTAGTGAGAGACGGCATTTTCGTTTATTGTTTATATGACATCACGGCTCCTGAGTGGGTGTCATTTTTGTTATTAACATGGGAAATCCAATCGCAAACGCCACTTCAGGGGTGATCCAATGCTTGATCGAACTCTATTTCGATATTCCCGGTGAAATGGGACGGTCTTACCCCAGATTCATTGCAAGAAGAAGCATCCGGCCCTTTGTACATGATGTTAGGAATATTAGTCAGCAAGCACGAACAACAATTACGACGTACACCATGTAACATCCACATGCCCATGCTCCGTAATCATTGGCAGCCATTCAATTTGGGGGAGATTTATCGTGAATGGCTTTTATATAAATAATCATTTGTGTTTCAAACTGTTGGGTCGCAAGGAGCTCGTGGTCTCCGTTGAGCACGCCTTTTTACGCAATGATTTAGGAGGAAATGCAGGGCAGGCTGAGAGAAGTCTTCTTTGCTATCGCCATCCTCGCACTGAGCATGACTGGAGCGACCTGCTTTGCGGTTGCCCGTCCGCATCACTTCTCTTCGTGACAATCAATGAGTGGATTTTGTCTAATATCTGGTACGTGAACGTCTGCGGTAACAATCTGCAACATCACTATCCGGCACATCTCGTTCTGAAGTTCTCAAGAAAGTACATGTTTCATAAGGGTTGTAAATGTCAGGACTCGCATACCCGTGCGACCTCGCTTAGCTTTTTCCCTTGCAGGGGAGGAGCCCTCACAATTCATTCCAGTTAGTTCTGTGCGCTGAGTCCTTCATTGAAGTAATTGTGCGTTTCAAGATGAATTGACAGAGTCTTCCATCATGTCCCGTTTGGAGCACAGCATAAGGTTTCTAAGATCCTGTCTTTGATTCTTGCAAGGAGAATTCAATCTATCGCATTATCCAGCTGAGTAGTGAGTTTTGACTGCGTTGCACATAGTGGACTGTCATTAATGGACTATATTGTTCCTAATTGCTTGGAAACACCTTTGCAATATGTGACCAAGCAAGTGCATGCAACTCATTACTCGGTCTCCTACCTTGTTATCCCTCCCGGTAGTACGATTGTCTTAAAATAAGGCTGAAGATGGAAGATCAGCAAGAATCGGCGGGTGGGTTTTATTGCCTCCATCAGTCTTCCCAACGATTTGTACAATAGTGACTGTTGATTTGTTGACCAAATCTTGTCACAACACCCATTTTGCTATCCTTTCCCTGGCCTGGTCTCGCATGTAGTGCTTTGGGTATGGGTCGACAAATCACTGTCCTTTCAAAAGTCTTTCGACAATTTTCGTTATCTCATCCCATCCATGCGCCGCGCACGCGGCCTACCCTTGCTGGTTTTGAAGGTGTCACTCCTCCAGCCCAGCACACTAGTATGTTTGACCGCAATGCCGAAAGCACAAACCAAGGTGTCTCTGTCTCCCAGTAGGCATTGTTCATGGTTGACCAGAAACTCTCAGGTGCCCTTCCCGCAACCCTGCTGCGTATGCTTCAAAGACCTTGCGAATCTCATCCCGCACACGGCGAAACTCTGCTAACACCTGCTCATCACTGCCTTGGAAACGCGCGGGATCATCGAAGCCCCAGTGATAGCGGTTCACTTGGCCTGGGAAGAAAGGGCAGACCTGGTCGACGCTGCCGCAGACGGTGATAACGGTCGCAATTGGGCTATCAAGAAATGTGTCCATGTGCTTTGATCTGTGTGCACCAATATCAATATTGATCTCCTTAAGCACTTCAATTGCTTTGGGATGGACAAAGCTAGCGGGATTCGAGCCTGCGCTATGCACGTTGATTACGTCGCCAGCGATGGCATTGAGAACCCCCTCGGCTATATGACTACGGCAGGAGTTGCCTGTGCAGAGAACAAGGACGTTGGATTTCATATCGACCATAATAGACGACTAAATATGATGTCATTCAAAATATGAAGCCCGAAAATGCCATTGACAAATAAACCGGTATTTGAATTCGATCTGCTTTTGTGCCGGAATTTAAGAGAAAGATGATGTTTAAGTGTTATAGGACTTTTGAAAAATTACAAAGGAGACCATATACAGTTAAACATGTGATCCACGCGCTAGCATTTGGCATCTAACACATTCGAACCACTTACACCTGGACCCATACATAGGGGATTTTCTGATTACAACTTAGATCAAGAGGCGCTGTGACGCGAAAAGTTCAATGCTAACTCATGGCGACTAGGGCCAGCATCACTCTTATTAAGATATGTCGTTGTGGATCTAATTAATTCTATGGGCCGAGACTCAGCTTCTGCAGGAGTGACAGAACGCCCTTACATGATTGATTTGATATCTATATAAATATGTCAGACCCAGAATTTCGGGCAGGTTTCGGCAAACGGCAATCGGCATACACTTGGGACCCCCCGGCGGTGGTAATCTGACGAAAAAGAATTTCCCAAATCCATGGGAACTTAATGTTCGTGTTCCTGGGGTGTTTGTCAGTTCCTAGATATGATTGGCTTCTAATCTTCATCTACATAATCGTTGTTTTGGTCCGGGCCCATCCGTTTCATCCCCCACAAACCCCAAGCCAAATTTGCCAGGATGATTAGCATGCATGAGTAGTGCACACATGCCATGTTATGTTCTGCTATTTCAGGGTCTTGTCACATCTCCAATATGATTAGCTGTCTTTTCTTGCCCCTTGCGTTTTCATGGCCATGGTAGCTCTCTTCGGACGCAATACTCTCGCAGCTATGGTACGCTTCTCTGAATTTGTTTGAATATTTACAAAGGCTTGGATTCCCGTATGGCAATAGCCATTATCCATTAGGTCGTCTGCGAACCATAAATATTCGCCGTGTCTCGAGTGAATCTTTCGATTTCGAAGTCTTTCGACCGCAGAACAGAAACCATCACTACGTACCATAACAATCATAATAACCCACAACACTAACGAAGAGCAAAGCTCTGACAAGCACGGCACCTATTAAGCATATCTGCTGAGCCAAAGGTCGAAAATGGACCGTCCATGGCTCCTTGGAGCATACCCTCCGACCCTACACAAAACCGTTCTATGGGGTCGATTGACCTGGAGAATCAGACTGCTGGTAACCAACAGCCTCAGCGCGACGTGTCAGCTTTCAAAGCTTTGAGCTTCCTTGACCGTTACCTGGCCGTCTGTATTTTACTTGCCACGATCATTGGTATCCTCTTGGGTAACTTCGTCCCCGATACTGGTCCAGCCTTACAGAAAGGCAAATTCATCGGCGTGTCAATACCAATTGGTGAGTAGTCGACTGCGCTCTGGCAGTATCTTCTCTGCTGACCATGATACGAAGCCGTCGGTTTACTTGTGCTGATGTATCCCATTTTGTGCAAAGTGCGCTACGAATCGCTTCACGAGGTGCTCTCTCATCGCGCAATATGGAAGCAGATATGTTTTAGTATATTCGTGGATTGGGTCATTGCTCCGTTTCTCATGGTAAGTGCACAGTGTCCCTTGATGGTTGCCATTCAGCTTTTATTTGCTCTAGACATAAATATCTGATAAATTAATAGCTTGCTCTCGCTTGGGCTTTGCTTCCCGATAAGAGTGATCTACGTGTCGGGCTTATTCTAGTGGGACTTGGTAGATGTATCGCCATGGTCCGTCTTTCTTCTCATTCTTCCAGTCTTTGTTTTACGGGTGCTAACTCGTTACTGACTCCAGGTTCTAATTTGGAACGGCCTTGCCGGCGGCGACAGCGAATATTGCGCGATCCTCGTTGCCATAAACTCTCTTCTTCAGATGGTCCTGTTTGCGCCACTCGCCATTTTTTTTCATACGAATTATCAGCGGCGAGAATGGGACAGTAGACGTTTCATACCAAGTTGTTGCCACCAGCGTTGCTGTCTTCTTAGGCATTCCACTCGCGGCTGCAATTGTGACGCGCTTTGCGCTGCGGGCTACAGCGGGCCCCGCCTGGTACGAACGTGTCTTTCTACGATTTGCATCACCTTGGGCCCTGGTTGGCTTGCTCTATACCGTTCTTGTGTTATTCGCATCCCAGGGTCGCCAAGTGGTACAACAAATCGTTTCAGTTGTCCGTGTTGCCGCACCACTCGTGGTGTACTTTATTGTAATTTTCTGTATCACCCTTTACGTAGCACGATCACTAGGCTTTAGCTACTCCCGTTCTACTACGCAAAGCTTCACTACCGCAAGCAACAATTTCGAACTTGCGATAGCTGTGGCTGTCGCTACGTTCGCACCCCAGAGCAACCAAGCCCTTGCGGCTACCGTTGGTCCGCTGATCGAGGTGCCTGTCCTGCTTGGTTTAGTGTACGTTGTTCGCTGGATGGCAAATCGATGGGCCTGGAAATAGTTGGTTTACTTTGTATATGTCCTGCGAAGACCGAGTGCAGAAGTCATTCGGGTGCAGAATGGAATGAATACGTCGACAGAGAGTCCTACGTGATAAGAGGTGTCATGTAAATACGCGTCACACAAAGTCAACCTTTATATTCACCATATTTGATTAGGACTTCTTCAGCCTTGATCATGGCTAAATTACAACCTATTGTTTCTCCAATTGTGTAGACGATAAACGACTGACTGCTGAACTCCAGGATGCTAAGCTATCTGATTCATTGAATGGAAGAGTTTAGCTGTTTATGAAACAGTCACTGGGCTTTGTACAACCAAGAACAACGGAAGCCTGCATAATGTCGGATTCGCCTGTCAGCGCTGATATGATCGCAGCTGCTGTCTCGCACGAAGTATCGAGAGTCTCCGTTGAGCCGTCCCCTGCGGCGGACGATTCTGGTGGGCAGAAACAGTCTGACACTGGAGGCAGCATCTCCATGACGATATCGTGTTCAATGTCATTACATAGGTGCGATATGCTTGCACGATCCTGCTGCGGTACTTCAACATGCATACGGATTTCGTTCTCCGCTTGAGCGCTGCTGTCGCTTATGCTAGCATGTACAGATTCTGATACAGACTGCGCATTTGCAGTGAAATCTGTCGCAAGCAATAGTTGCCTCGGTGATGCTCTACAGTGGGTGGGTCGATGAAATGACATTGCAGACAAATGACGGGGCTCGCCTGTCTTAGCTATCAGCAACTAGAAATGTGAGAATATCACTCCAATGACTCACTTTGAGGTTGCGCAGATTCAGCAGGCCGAAGTTTGTGAGTACTTATTGCATCGCGACCTTTGTGATACCTCGTACGCTTAACCGCTTGGCTCATAGGCTCCAATGAGAGATAATCCTCTATTTCCTTACGAGAGACGTTGTGAGTGGCGAGCAAAGCACGCAGAAGCTGGTTCTCTGCAACAACAGCTCTGGCCGCCTCCTGCATTTCCATAGTCGCCCTAACACCCCGCTGCTCGAACTCATCTAAGCGCTTCCGAAGATCTTCAACAAGTTCTCGCTGACGAGCCCGTGATCGCCGCTGACTTTCCCGATTCTGGGATTGTGAGGCAGGAGTCTTGTTCTGTTGGTATGATGAGCGGAGACAGATCCTAAGCCTTGAGTTAATGGAAAGGACTTTTGGCTGTACCTTTCTAGGCATCGTGTAGAATAGTCAGCCCACGCAATTTGCAATTTATGTATTTGTCACCGAGACCACCTGTTCCTTGTTCGATGCTCGCACTATACGTAGGTCTTCGAGACAGCAATGAATGCCAACGGCCAGCCACTAAGTTTGCTGACAGTGGTAAATGAGTCGTGTTAAGAAAGTAGGGACGGAACGAATCTGTAACAATTTAGCCTTTAAGAGTGCAGCAACAATAGGGTTTCGCGCAGCTGTTCATTGCTAAGCTAGGGCGATGCCGACCTACTAACTTACTAACCTACCGTAACCTTAAAAGGTACGTTTCATTCACAATGAAATCCGGGGCAAAAGATCCGTTCAGCAGCGGTACATTGGTAGAGTAGACCCGCCCGTGGTATTGGCCGAAATATCCTGTCGCAATTTCCAGCTACTCTCATCGTTTTCCAAATAAACATAACTACGCGCAGAACTGTGTCTTAAGAAGAATATTAAGTCTAGGAGATCCGTAAGCAGAATGCAGTACATTGAAGTGGAATGGGAGAACAGATACGCAATCTATGCGCATCATGCTTTCTCTACGTTGATTTTTCGAAATATAATGTACGCTGTTCACGCTAGCATTTGTAATGGTGGCTACGCCATTTAGGAAGGATGATCCATTTCAGAGCACGATATTTCCCGAATTCCAGCCGCTTTCAGCTGACTCGATGTGTACCAGTATACAGTGTCATCGGCTCATCTTAAATCTCTTACATAGACCTTCACTTACGACTGACATTCCCGTGGTATCTAGTATTTTGGTCTTCAACAAATTCCAGACGTAGTAGCTTAACTCTTCCAAACTTTCTTAACTATTATTAGCGGCCCAATGATATTAATTCTATATAGCGCTGGTCTTTCAGGACTCTCAGATTTACATGAGTGGAGCTCAGCTAAATCAGATGGTCCCAAGTTCCGATTGCCAAGACCCGAGCCGCCCCAGATTGGCGGCTTTTCGCCGTGATCTCCACAACTCAAATAACAATATACTTGACAATACATATGAAATTCCCGTAAATATCTGGGGATATAGATAGCTTCGAGCACCATGTCCAGGTCGCCTTAGCTCAAGTGCTATCACCTCAGCAACTATGAAGTAATGTTAGTCTGACATCTCGTGCCAAGGAGAGCGGACCAGCTTACCAGCACTAGGCAATACTACGGAGAGCCAAGTTAGAGAGAGAAAGGCCGGAAGCTCCTTGAGGCCCACGATGTCTGCTGCTAAAGGGGCGGCGACCTATATGAGAAACCATTAGTATTTTCTACCACCAGAATACTAATATACATACCGCCCAAAAGACACCAAGAATCGCGCCGCTGATCAGAGAAAATGCAACAAGAATAGCATACTCGGTCGCAGGAATCCACATTGCAAACACTAGAATCCCGCATGTAAATGTTAGAATTCCAGCAACTTCCAATCGGCCATACCGGTCACTGATGTACCCTATAACGGGACGGCCTAGAGCTGCTCCGAGATTCAGTATTGCCGCAACTGTAGCCGAGTCTCGATCTGACCGCCCAATAGCTACGGCATAATCCGATAGCGAAAACATCAAGGTGATATAGCCAAACATCAATATAATACTCCACCCTAAAAAAAGCTGAACATGATAATTTCCCAGCAGGTGGAAATTGAACATGCGCTGGTCAGGCTCAATCTCCTTGTTCCGTGAACGAATAAGAAGGGTGGCGGCTAAGTTAACAAAAAACACCACAACTGCTGTGATTCTGAAAGACCATACAAGTCCAAGACTGTCGAGCATGGCCTGCGTAGAGAAGCAGACGATAAGACCGCCGATACCAGATCCAGCAGCACATATTCCACTAGCTAGACTCCGCCTTTTTGTGAACCACTGAGGGACAACAGATGTAGCAGGAATATATATGAGCCCAATGCCGAGGCCAACGCATACGCCCAGTGATAAATATAGATGCCAAACTCTAGTAGAGAACGACGCGGCTATAAAGCCGGCTGGAAGAGAGATAACACCTAAAAGCATCGGGGCTTGTACGTCATACAGACGCATCAGTAAGGTGGCTAATGGTGCCACCAGTAAAGCAAATGCAAAGTTGAACCCTCCAATGAAAGCGTAGTCGATTGGTTTGGCCTCGGTGAAGAGATCATGAGACAAGAAGTATGCCAGATAAACACTATAGCTCTGAAGCGGCGCGTATTAGCATATAGGTTTGTACTGGGATATGGATATTTGTACCGCTGCTACACCCCAGGTAAATCCATTGATAAGGAATTGCGCAAGCACGCAAACCCAGCCATAGCCGCCATCCGGGGGTAGCTGTGAGGTTGCCACAATAAATTCTGCTTGCTGCGAATGCTCGCCGGAAGGCAAAGTAGTAACATTCTCTAGCGGCGCCCGGGACATTCTATTGCGTCGGTGTAATTGTCGTGAATAATTTCAATAATGATGCAGGGGCCAGGTCTTCAAGATGTACGCAGGACGTTTTGGTTGCTAAATAGAGATTAAGTTATGGACATGAATATATTGAAATTATACGTAAGAAAGAAAATACAACTGCATGTATTTAGGCCGTCAGAAGACCCCTTGTAAAGTGCTCCGCTTCATGTGGAGTCTGACAATTACGCTAGTCTAGGCACTGAAGTATAAAACTACTTGAGTGGCTAGCAAGGGTTCGCCCCCAGGTTTATTGAAGGAGCCTCTTCACTGCTAAGTGCTGAAGTATCTCACAACGTCAGTCCTCTTTTTCTAGCTAAAAATGCACAATTCTTAACGGCTTACTTAACATTTTAGGACTTTATTTTTTTTATTTTTAATAAATATTTATGTTATTACTAATATGTAAATAATCAGTTTTAATTTACATAAAAATAGACTTCCGAAAATAATTGGCTGCCCGTGTCTATAAAGGCTTACGGATATATGTCACATATTACAAGTTTGATGAGTTCTAATGGCGTAGAGCCGCTCCGCAACAACCGTCCAATAGATGTGGTCAAACATCAGCCTTGCTACGTCCAAAAATGAAGTTGAAAAGGTCAGAACAGGGTATTTACATGGCCCGCAATATAAGCAGGGACTTAAGATAGAGGAAAGCCCCGGAAAACCGAGAATGCGAAGGTGATAGAGGGGTTCAGGTGCCCACCTGATACTGGACCGGCTATCAGTACGCCGATCGTTGCCGCCAAACCCGTAATAACGCTGATAGCGTAACATGTCCCAGCTTCAAGTTGAGATGAGGTAAACTGGGCCACGGCGTCTTGGAACAGCAAAACCATCCTGCCATCCTGCTTGCCTGCCATCTTACATGTCGTTCACTGATGAGGGACTGGGGGACCGGATGGTGGAGAAAACTGTCCGTGCCACTAGTGATTTCGCCAATGAAAAGAAGGGCATCTGTCGAGACCCAAGCGGGGCGGCTACTGCATCTTCAAGGGAATTGGTATGCGTGATGTTGCAGAAAGAGGGTCAAGTTACCTGTGTTTTGGTGCTCTTCTACATGTTTTGCAGCATTGCACATGAACAGGGTTTTAGCGATATGCAGCTGTGGTGTAAACGGGAACTGTGAGCAAGACCTCTGGCAGTGTTGCCTATTTGATGGTCCAATACCATGCCTTTGTGTTAACACATCAACGTACAAATCATTTGTTTACTGCTTACTTGCTGCGTGGCAAGAAGCGCACAAGCACAAATAGTTTCCAAAGTTCTCCAGCGCTCCTGTGTCTCAGACGCTTGACAATTCATTCGCAAGCCTATCTCCTGCAATTTATTTCCGCATAGTCTTTCGCCTACCAGTATTCATATTCTCCAGCCACGCAAATGCTCCCAATCTACCGTAGAAGCAATAGACAGTAGACCCTTTGACGTGCGGCAACGCACTCCTTTGAAATTAGTCACCTTGCCATGTACGCTATCTTCCGTCTCTTAAACTCTATCTTGGCTGGATCCCGGCATGGGAACCCAACACTATCTGCTTACTTGTGTGTGCACCCGGGGCAGGAGCCTAAGCAGTATATCCTCATCCGGCCCCATGACGGCCGCTGACGGTGTGTCTTTGTCAATTTTTGGCATCTTTGCGCCGCTCCGTCTCGGCACCAGCTCCATGTCGAACTTCCGTAATGTTACAGCCACAAATAAGTTGATGTCGCGCTGTGCTAACAATCCCCCGCGGCAAAAGGTAAGGCCGCCGCCGCCGAATGGCGAGTAGCCCTTGGTCCGATGCACCATCTTGTTCTCCAAGAATCTCTCTAGGCCAAAGTTTGGGGCACCGCGACCGAATATTTCATGGTTGAGGTGAAGCTGCCGAAATGGAGCTACGAGCTGATCTCCCATGTGAATGAGCTCGCCTCCTACAGGTCATAGTGACAAGTCCTCGCGTATCACCGACGTTGCATTATGAAGTCTCATGGTACACTCGTCGGGTGGTACTGTTGTAACCATACGTCTGTTAGATCGCAGACTGAAGACAGGGTAATACGAGATTGCCTGGTCAAGCAGTTTACAGAGTATCGTATATAGAGGACTTGTCGAATCGAAGGATTATGGTGACGGTAAGCGTAATTACGGCGTATGTAATACCCAGGATTACATCGTAGGTCAATATAATACATTGTTAATTGATCATAGTAATTATGGCAAAACGTATTGATGATCAACTAAAAGCTGATCCATGCCTCGTAGTGGGGACGAAAAGCTGTCTATACTACTCAAGTCCTTAGCCCGCAGTTCCATTTCAGGTTAGTTTCTGACAGTTAAGCCTGACATATAGCAATCTCAAGCATAGAGCAGATACCCATCACCCTTGTCAAGATTGCAATGCGGACCTTGCAAAAACAGCTCCCAAGTAGCTCCTGGTACTTTAATGGTGCCTTCCAGGCGGTAACAGCCTATGGCGTTCTCACGCCAAGTAACTTCTCAGATGAGTCCCTTCATTGAAAGAGTAGATCTTTGGAGCCAGATCTACGTTGCACAGGATATCCTTATCTGACTGCGATAGTGTCACGGTTAGCGCGATGATGAATAGATAGGCTACATATCTAACCCTAGAGTACTCGCGGACACCACCGCTTCTAAAAGCGGCTTAGATTTGATTACACATATTACATATATAACCGATTAACGCGCGTGTTATCACGCGAAATCCTTCAACTACCTTTTAAGCAATATTACACTTCAAACCCATGCCTAGCGCTTACGCAAGATCACTCGTGACGGCTAAGACGTGGTATAATATCTATGTGCGTTGGTCAGTACCACACTTAACTGTTCTTAGTCGATCTAACCTAAGGTTAGTAGGTTAGGTTATTTGGCCACAGTAGGATCCTATTGGAATAGCCAGCCTTAAGGATGCCCTGCGCAAAGCCTTAGTAGCAGAATCAATCAATCCAACCAACGCAAGTACATGCGCCAAGGAACTGCGACACTCAAGTTCCGGTATGGTCCTTGATTTGGGTTACAACCAAGTTTGTGTAACACGTGGCAGACCTAACTCTCCTCTTCTTTTGATAAGGTTGGGCTCATTCAGCCTTGCCTTAGCACATCTTGTCCAGATCAGACGAGTGACGAGGCACATTATTATTGGATTGAACAAGCTTTATCTGACCCCGCATTTCTAGGACTTTGAGTGCAGTCTCTATGCCGTCGTGTAGAGGGGCGGTGCTTTCCAAACTGATAGAATAGAGCGACTGAAGACTCTTTCCTGCTATCTGCTACCTCGTGCTATGAACTATCATATGTTTGAAGCAATCGAACCATGTCTCGACCATGTATCTTCTCAATGTAACCTCGAAAACGCTGGAAGAGTTCTCGGATGATCAAACTCCACCTTATGCCATCCTCTCCCACCGCTGGGGAAAGCCAGAAGACGAGATCTCCTTTCTAGAAGTGAACAGTCAAAACATAGATGAAAGCAAACCCGCCTGGGCAAAACTGGAGGGTTGTTGTGAACAAGCCAAACGCGTCAAAATCAATTATGTCTGGATTGATACTTGCTGTATCAACAAGCAAGATGGGCATCACCTGGACTCAATCAATTCCATGTTTGAATGGTACCAAAAGGCAAAAGTCTGTTATGCATACCTGTTTGACGTTGCCCCGGATGAAAATTTTACCAAGGCCGAATGGTTTGAAAGGGGTTGGACTTTACAGGAGCTTCTCGCTCCCAAGAAGAAGGTGGAGTTCTACAATAACAAATGGATATGTATCGGGACGAGGGAGAGCCTCGCCGTTGCACTGGAAGAAAAGACTGGCATTTCAAGAAAAGTTCTAAGAGGTGAGAAGGACATGCTCACTGAGAGTGTGGCACAGAGAATGTCTTGGGCTGCCCGGAGAAAGACCAAAATTGCAACAGACATGGCATATTGCCTGTTGGGGATCTTTGGGATCTCTTTCAAGACTCTATACCATGAAGACGATGAGGGAGCTGATGCTGCTTTCAGAAAGCTTCAGATCGAAATATTTAATCGTACAGGAGATGATTCTATCCTAGCGTGGACCCATGTGCCAGCCAACCTCGGGCACCGCAATCCAAAACCACAGGGCGGTCTAGCCGGCAGTCCGCTGGACTACGTCGATTCTCGCAAGATTGTCTCCGGTCCAAGTACAAAGCCTACCAAGTTCAAGATCGAATTTAACAATGACAGCCTCCAACTCACTCGCGACCTCTACACGGATCCTTCTGGCATGACATTCATCATTCTTCGCTGCTACTCACGAAGCAACAGGCGCGCTAGAATAGGGATTCCGGTCGAACGCAGGCCAGGCTACCTCGGGAAAACTTATGACCGTTTACAGTGTGAGAATTTTGAGTTTTTGGTCACATCCCCAAAGGATTGTGTGCAAACCTCAATCCGATTACTCTTGTCTGGCCATAAACACTACGCCACCAAATACTACCAATCGAATCCATTCCGGCTATTAGAGCCGAGGTACTACTACGAAGCACCACCAGCGTTAGAATATGACAGCGAAACGCCGCCAGCGTCACCCGAGCCTCGCCGATATTACCAGATGTGGACTGAGCCCTATCAAGGGTTTATACCAGATAAGACCGCTGAAACACCTGCAGTGGGCTATCTGCGAAAGACTTGTAAGCGAATGGCCTGATTGAAACCAAAAATCGATGATACTGACTATGACAGATGAGGAAGAGTGCAACTGGGAAAAGCAGAACGGCCTCAAAGCACCACAACAGCATGACGATGGGTCTGTGCTTCCTATACCAGGCAGCTTGATGGATTTTGATGACTTGTACATCGGAAGTATGATGTCCCCGGCTCCCGGCACTGTTTTGCATGATTCACATCTGCATCACAGACCTGCAAACAGAGAGGACACATATCAGAACACCTTCACTTTCCCGCCCCACAATTTCACCGCACAGGATGACTACATGAATAACCATCAACTGGTGGGCCCCAGCGCAGATTTTCAGTATGAGACTGCCTTGGCCACGCCTGATCAGTATTCCCTGAACAATCTCACAGACACTTCCTACGCAGGTGGTGAAGGTGACCCTAGCCTTAGAGGTTTTCTCAAAGGCCCGGCTATTGGAACTGATGAATATGACGATTGTTCTGGAATACCAGAAGATATTGAGGCTTCTCGCACGCCAAGCGAAAGTACCCGCAAGTCGGCGTTGCATGGTAAGAAGGCTAAGCCAAGCAGACATATTCACCAGTCGAGGTACAATAGTCACAAGCGTAACGGATCGAAAGAACGGCCCTCCAGATCCACTGAGAGAGATGATGACAACTACTTTGGGATGGCAGAAGATACCAAGTATCCAGATTCACGGAACACAAAACTATACCTCTCAGAAGTCAATGACTACCATATAATGACACAACCTTTTACATACATAGATAATTACGAGGAAAACCCCGCTCCTGGATATCAGATTGACTCTTCTGGCGTTGGATCTCTTGGACCAGGAGATGACTATCCTGAGCTATCAGGAGGCAATGAGGCTCAACGGAGAAATCACAAAAGTGGACTCATGTCGAAAGGGAGTCATCACAGGGTCAAAGAAGCTAAGAAATCTCAGAGCAGCTCCGTCAGATCGGGGAGATACCACGAAGACAATTACTCTGAGAGAACAGACTACATTGGAATTTCAAATATACGAAAAGGAAGGCATCGAAGGTAGAGATAGAATGAAGATATGGCGGAAGGATGTAATAGATATATCATTGGCCCCATGCTTGCCAAATCTGACGTCGACGCACACCTTGTATCTGTGGCTTAGAAAATTGATACCGAATGGTTATTTCAAGGATCAGTATCTTAGGCGTCAATATGGGTAGCCTGTATGTGCCTATATTAAGGTGAATGAGCTCAATTCCCTTAAATCCATTACCATACATATCGTTAACTTGTATGAAGAATGAGGATGAGGACCGTAGTGATCGGAATCAAGGCTAGCATGGGTGGAAACACCGGCTTGGAACGCAGAAGTAATCGCACTTCGAACAAAATATACACCACAACCGGCAGCTGCTAGATTATGAGCTCGAACGATGTCTTGGTCCGCGAACGCCATTGGTATTGCATGTTGCGAATTAGCTACCATTCAGTGCATCTAGAATCTACTGTTCCAGCAGCGCAGTTATACATAGTCTATTTTTACGCAATTCTAACTTTACAATACTGACCACCTTTTCTTGCTCATCATACTACTCAGTAAGGAACTGGGTATTACATGGTGAGCATTAGAGCCAACTATGATAAAGCTTGGTGCTTTTTTTTCTTTCTTTTGGTAATGGGTAACGGATATACACTTGCGTTCATGCAGTCTTTGCCAATATATCACATAGTACATTCTTTAAGTGGCTTACGTCGAAATCATTACCAATACACGACATCAACTATGCCTTCTTCTTTTGCATGATTTTCATGCTGTCTAAAACAACAATTCACTGCCGTATGGGATAAACAAACTTGTTATAATGTTTTATGTGCACCTCACAGATCTGCAATCAGTACCGCCAAATTTCATCTGTCAGATATACAAAAGGCATTTCTATGGATCAGCATCCGCCATATCCTGCTTGTACCTCTGAACACACCTGGCTTTGCTCTCTTTAAAATCCACAATCGGCTTCGGGTATCCCAACTTTTCGAATTCGTCCTCGCTCAGCCGGTGGTAAGGATCAAATACTGCTTTCCCCTTCACGTCCTTCAGCTCCGGGACCCAGCGTCTGATGTAATCCCCGTGAGGGTCGCACTTCTCCGCCTGCGCAACGGGGTTGAAGACGGTGTAACTCGGCTCCCAGCCCTGCGTGTTGTTGCACAGATCCCAATCGACCAGGTTCTCCACAAACCACCTCTCGCCCTTCCTGTAGTCGATCAGGAGATTCCTGCTGAGATAGCTGCTCACGTTCATGCGGAGCCGGTTGTGCATGTACGCCTCGTGTCCGAGCTGGCGCATACCGGCGTCCACGAACGGGACGCCCGTCTTGCCGTCGTACCAGGCTTTGAGGCCGTCGTCGTCCTCCTCCCAGTTCACAAAGTCGAACTTGAGGTTCTGCGGAAGGTTCATGCTGTTGTGCGGCGTCACGACCATCATCTGTCTGTAGAACTCTCTGAACACGATCTCCCGGACCCACGACGAGATGCCGGCGTCGGACCCGGATTGCGAAAAATCTGTCGACCCGCCGTTGGCTTTTTTGGCGGCAGACAGAGCCTCCCGGACCGAGATGACGCCTGCTGAGAAGTAGGCCGAGAGCCGCGATGAGTTGTCGGCCGCAGGGTTGGAGCGATTCTCGGCGTACGTCTGGACCTTTTTCTCCAGGAAATCGTTGAGACGCTTGATACCTGCCGTATGGCCCGCCGGCCAGAGCTCACGGATGCGGTCTCTGTCTTCTATCGACTCGAATCTCTTCGCGCCCGGCATCTCGGGCAGATCTTGACAGAACAGCTCGTTCAGGTCCGATCTGACGGACTTATCATTCGCTTGCGGTGCGGGCAATGTGTCCAGCAGCTCTGGGTTCGATGATACCTCGCCCAACCAGGCCTTGTGGTAGGGCGTGTAGACCTTCAACGGGCCGCCTGAACGAGTCCTGATCGTAGCGGGCTCCACGACGGTCTGGTCGTGATGAAGCACAAACTTTACCTCTCCATCACCATCACCATCCTTCTCCAACCGGTCGAAGAAGTCCAGATCCCGTCTCAGCTCGTCGACCTCATACTCGATGTTAGCGTACACATGGCTGACATTCTGCTGCTTCACCAGTTCCAGGACCGATGCACCCTTCTGGGCTCTCTTCTCCGCCGTGAGTACGACGAGCGGGATGTTGAGCTCTGCGAGCTGTTCCTGCAGCAGCCTCAAACTCTCGAGCATGAAGTCGCATCGCGCGGGGCTCGTGCCGTGCCACTCGAGGTCCTCGGGGCTGAAGAGGAAGCAGGAGAGCAGCGGAGCCTTTGCCTCCTTCGCCTTGGCGGAGGCGGCGTGCAGGGCGCGGTTGTCCTCGGCTCTGAGGTCCTTGCTGCGGAACCAGTGCAGGACGGTCTTGGCTACCGCGCCGTCGGGCCTCGCGCTGGAGATGCGGCCCTGGAGGTGGCCATAAGGGCTGTCGGGCCCGTCGATCTCCTTGGCGCGCTTGGTGGACGGGTGCTTTAGGACGTTCTCTTGGGATTGTGTCCGGGCATGCTTCTTGCTGTTGCCATTGGCACCGTTTGGAGCGTCGCCCGCCATTTTCTTTTTGTTAATATGATGCTTTGGAGTTGTTATAGAAAAGTGGCGGAGTATAGCGTAAATTGGCGCTTGACTGGACCTTGGCGCTCCTGGAGAAATGCGCCGCAAAGTCACAGCAGGAACTCGAAGAGACATGCGTGTCTTTCCAATCTTGAAAATATTGGACATTTACTTCCTTATGTAGATAACCGTATTCGTGTATCGAGCGACTAAGCTGCAACTCGGCCCCATCAATTTGACTTACTTTTGTTAGTTCAATTCATATCCATGACGTAGTATATCGACCTATTGGTGATCGTTGTGGCGCCAGCGCCGGATTTGGATAGACACATGCATCGAGCCCGATCGTGATTGGTCCTGAATCGGGTCTCCCCAAATTGAGGTTCTGGACTGCGAAAAACACATGTATATCGGCGATAGCAAAATTTAGGTGTCATTAATGGTCACTGTGCAATACCTTTGGAAAACCAAAATGAGATTTGAACATCTGGTATATATTTATCAACCTCTATTAGATTTATTTGATTATATTTCTTGGTCCATTTTAAACAAAAGCAGAATTCGCTTCAGCCCTGATCTGCAAGGTCCATAACGCCTTCTGGCAAACGCCTTTCTTTTATGCTTCATAATTCATCAATCCATTATGCTTACGCCAGAACTCCTTAGTCATCATAGAGATCTTCATCCATACTCTCTGGAGCAATATCCTCGATAGCATCGTCGTCGTCGATGAGCATGTCCTCATCGTCACCAATCTCGCTATCAGTGTGGTTGGACAAGACCTGGATCTTGTTGCCAATGAGAACAACTCTAGCCTTCTCTCCATCCTGGATAGCACCGCGCAGAATAAGCACTGCCATCTTGTTGAGAATTTCCTTCTCGATGAGTCTTTGTAAAGGTCTGGCACCGTAAGCAGGCGAGTAACCTGCGTTGCCCAAGTAGTCCTTGGCTTCGTCTGAAACCTCGATGAATACATTGCGATTGTTGTCCAACAACCGCTTTTGGATCTCGCTGATGCGTACGTCCACAATCTTACGAATCTCCTTGCGTGTCAGACGGTTGAAGATGACCGTGGAGCTGATACGGTTTAGGAACTCGGGAAGGAAATAGTTGCGCAAAGCATTGTTGACGAGTTCTCGTGTGGTTGCGTCAATTCTGCCATCACGGCCAGTAGGGCGTGCCAAGAATTCGGCACCCAGGTTGGAGGTCATGACGACGATGCAGTTTCTTGCGTCAACGACACGACCTTGACCGTCGGTGATACGACCATCGTCCATGAGCTGAAGAAGAACTGTCAAGACTTCCTTAGCAGCCTTCTCCACCTCATCGAACAAGAGAATGGAGAAAGGCTTGCGCCGCAAGGCCTCTGTGAGCTGACCACCAGCGTCATGTCCAACATAACCAGGGGGTGCACCAATCATTCGGCTTAGTGCGTGGCGCTCCTGGTATTCTGACATGTCGAAGCGAATCATGGCCTTGGGATCGTCGAATAAGAACTCAGCAAGAGCCTTAGTGAGCAGAGTCTTACCGGTACCCGAAGGACCACAGAAGAGAAAACTGGGAGGCTGGTTTGGATTGCTCAGGCCGGATCGTTGCAGACGAATAGCATTCGATACAGCGGTGACAGCCTCCTTCTGACCGACGACAACTTTGCCGAGGTATTGTTCCATCTTGATAAGCTTCTCCTTCTCGGTGGTCTTGAGACGAGTGATAGGGATGCCTGTCCAGCGAGAGACGATTTCGTTGATTTGGTCAGGGCCGACAACGTCGGTGACCATGGAGCCACCGATATCGTTCGGGTTGAGAGCAGCATCTGCTGCCACCTTTTCCCTCTCTAGTTGCTTGATGGCTTGTTCCTGTTCAGGAATGGCGTAGTACTGGAGATCGGCAGCACGAGCGTGGTCTCCCATTCTTGCCGCATCTTCAGCCTTGACCTTGAGCTGGTCAAGCTTAACCTTGGCCTCTTGGATATCCTTACCACGTCGTCTCTCACTCTCGTATTTCTCTCGGAGAGGTCGCAGTTCTTCCTCAACGTTCTCAGCATCCTGCTTGGCCTGCTGGAGACGAGTCTTTGAGGCATCATCCTTTTCACGGCTCAAAGCGTGGATTTCAATCTTGAGTTGGCGCAGTTTACGCTCAAGCGAATCAATAATTTCGGGTTGAGACTCCCTGGCAACTCTAACTGCTGCAGCAGCCTCGTCAATCAGGTCGACGGCTGAATCGGGAAGTCGTCTGGACGTGAGATAGCGGGCTGCAAGACTGGCGGAAGCCACAATGGCGCTGTCGGCAATGGTTACACCATGGTGGACCTCGTACTTTTCCTTGAGACCTCGGAGAATGGAGATGGTCTCCGGGATGGTTGGCTCCTTGACGAGAACCTGTTGGAATCGTCGCTCAAAAGCAGCATCTTTCTCGATGTACTTTCGATATTCGGCAAGGGTGGTTGCACCAATGCAATGCAATTGACCGCGGGCCAACATAGGCTTGAGAAGGTTGGCTGCGTCCATGCCACCCTCTCCGGAGGAACCAGCGCCCATCAGCAAGTGAATTTCGTCGACGAATAGGACAATCATCTCTTTTGACTCTGAGATCTCCTTCAAGACTCCCTTCATTCTCTCTTCGAATTCACCACGGTACTTGCTGCCGGCCACCAGAGCACCGACATCAAGCGACAAGAGTTTGCAGGCGGCCAGGTTATCGGGAACATCAGCGTTGACGATTCGCTGCGCCAATCCTTCGACGACGGTTGTCTTGCCGACACCAGGCTCACCAATCAGCACGGGGTTGTTCTTGGTTCTTCTGGACAGAATCCGGACAACCCGTCTGATTTCTTCTTCTCTGCCGATGACAGGGTCGATCTTGCCTTCTCTTGCCATGGCCGTCATATCAATGGTGAACTTGGCCAAATTCTCGTGTTCCTCCTCTGTATCGGCTGTTCTCGAGTCCACTCGCTTCGTTCCGCGAATTGTGTTGACTGCGTCCTGGACCAGCTTCGGCTTGGGAACATTAGCCTCTTTGAGACACTCGGCCACACCAGGATCCTCGGAGAGTGCGCTGATCAAATGATCCACTGCGACGTAGGTGTCTTTTTGTGTCTTTTGCAGATCCTGGGCTTTCCTGAGCACAGTACTGAAGGTGGGTGACATGGCGACATTCTCGGGCGGGGGGTCTTGACTGGGCAGTCGGACCAACCGCTTCTTGAGTGCTCTGTCGAATAATTGAGGGTCACCGTGTGCTCTCTCCACGACCTGCCTGAACAGACTGTTGTTGATGCCGGGAGGTGCGTTCTGTTGGTCCTTGGACTGGTCCGGCGGAGGATCCAGCAACGAGACTGCGAGATGGACGGGCATGAGCTGGGAGTGGGCATACTGCTCAGCCAGCGCCATGGCGTCCTCCAGGGCCTTCTTGCCCCGGTCTGTGAATTCCATGCGGGAAGTCATGTTGACTTTTGGTGTGTTTTGTTGTGATCAGAATAGATAGAGGGTTTGCTTTTTCGATCGACAATAAATAGTAAGAATTAAATTAAGAGTGAAGCTTGCTTCGCTCGAGATTTGTAGTGTTTGGCTTCAATGCCACTAGTGAATGGTTGGCTGATTAGACTGAGTAATTGTGTATCACAGTTGATGTTGGGTAGAAACCTGTGTGGAAGAGAAACGACAGGATTTATCCTTCGTCCCGAGCTGACTGCAGTGGGGTTGGAGAAGTCGAAGGAAAATACTAGACCTTGGTTATGGTACGCTGTAGTATGATCATGCTCTCACATGTTCCTTGTCGTGACTTCACGCAGATGCCCGATGATGCAAGAGCCTGGTGGAAGCTAGCAGAAACGTCACCAACGCACTAGAAGCTTCCGGTAGATGCAAGCGCACTTCTGCCGGTGGGGTTATGCGCTGATACCATATGGATGGAGCCGACACATGGCGTCTCCAGTGAGCTTCACTGCGAGAATAGCTTGCTTAGAACGATGCAATATGCGATTCGGACATAGTTCTCCGCTATCGACATCAGCCGCGGGGTATGCGCTAATATGAGTAATCGTCCGAAACCTTACCTCTGCTCAGAGCTCTCATGGCGTGAACTATGTACAGTACGTGTCAAAATTTATGTAACCCTGTCATGTATCGCCAAGCCGCCAAACCAATTCTGGTATCAATCTACATGGTCTCAAACGCTGATACCACCCACCACCTTCACCCAAACAACACTCTTTTCTGAAGCTCCTATATCCACGGTTGAGATGCCGCCGCGCGGTCCTGGGCTTCCAGAGGTTATGAAAGCCCGAATTTCAGAACTCCGTTCTTTGGGCTGGTCGCCGAATCGAATCCACAAAAAGCACCCCGATATCAAGTTATCGACGATCAAAAGCTATATTACACGAGAAGCAGCTATAGCTCGGCGAGCCACCGACCATACCCCCTCGAAACGCGGACCGAAGCGAAAATTAACTGAAGAAGACCGCGACCGTATATACGATATTATATACCATGAAGACCCTCATATTAAGCACCGTGATCTCCTTCAGGAGGTCGACGATAAGGTCAAATTAACGTCGCTTCGTAACCTTTTACGAGAAATGGGTAAACGCAAGTAGCTCCAAAAGCGGCGACCTATGTTAACCACTAATCACGCCCGACAGCGTCTTCAATGGGCTCGGCGACATAGAAGATGGACGGCGATTTGATAGCGTCGAATACGCTAGAGTGACGAGTGTTCAGTTAAACGAGGAACTGGAATTCAGCCCGTATGGACTTTTACGCGATCGTGCGATCAAGCCCGCCTTAGCGACGAAAAAGAGGTCCGGTGTGGGAAGGGGGTAAAAAAGATGCTATGGGCTTGCTTTTCTTATCACGACCGGACCATTCTTGTTCCCCTTAACGGCGACGAGGAGTCTAAACGGCAAGGGATTATAACACGTATTATTTGAGCTCTATACGAAAGCATTCCTCCCGGAGTTCGTAACCCGCGATGGTATCTTTATGCATGATAACGCGAGAGTCCATACGGCTAGAATAGGAAGCAGAAGGATGGTATACGGATAGGTAGTAAATCAATGATATTGTAATACGTGTAGGCCAGTGTCCCGGTTGTGTCTACCAGAATTGGTTTGGCGGCTTGGCGATACATGACAGGGTTACATAAATTTTGACTGTACTGTAGTTATCAGCACTGATAGCGATAAGTAATCCCTGTCCCTTGGACCTAGACCTCCAGACGCGCGCGTGGCCCGTGCAACTCCAAACTTTTTGGCCCGAAGCTCGCACTGCGGACTGAGCAGCCTCGTCTCCTGAAAGAGCAGCAAGGGGGAAAGCACTATTTCAGACCGCACCATCCACCATGAACGTCAGCAGTTCCTTCCGACCATTGGGCTCATTAACGGCCCAACTGGGTCGTCTGTCTGTTGGGCTTTCGAGGACAAGCATCAGGCCAGCATCGACGGTGGATCAGCCGCTGGCGGTCAGAGAGGTCAGGGAGACGAAGAAGTCGAAGAAGAAGCAGTCGAAGCCGAGGATAGAACCGAAGTTTGAGCCCGGCCATGGCGAGAAGATCTGGATCTTTGGCAACTTTGTCAACGGCATGACTGTGTACTCGCACAGCCCCGTATTGAAGGTTCGTCGCATCATGCCTACACGTGCACCAGACACAACTCCTATATGAGGACCAGCGGGCTAATCCAGCATCCATGATACAGGCAAACAAAGCTCTCCGCCAAATCCCTTTCGTAAGCAAGAAGCTCAAGCCCTCCAAGATACGCAAGGACTACTGGCTGCCAATGGCCATGATCCAATTCCCCGAGGGCATGGGACACATCGGCCGATCCGTCTTCCACATCATGCGCGAGTTCAGGATGCAGCACGACCTGGCCTGGGGCGACAACATGCTGCAAGACGACGAGACGAACCGCATGCTCACAAAGCATGAGCGCGGCGAGAAGATTTACGAGCATCAGAAGGCCAACGCGGTCGCAGATATGGCCGCCGTGCTTGGCGGCCTCGGAAAGGGCAACAAGATGTGGCTGCCCGTGTTGCAGGGCGCAGAAGACCTTGTTGACACCAGCGGCGAGACCAGGACGGACGAGCAAACAGGAAGCACGGAAGGTCTGTTGAAGACGCAAATTTTCTGGAAGAATGAGCTGGACAAGAACTACGCCAAGGCGTGGCCGGTAAATGTTTCGCACAGTTCATTCGCCGAGTCAATGAGCGTACCAATTGGGCAGGCTCAGGAAGGATTGGCACCGGAGGAGTTGGTGGCGGCAGAGGAGCCAAAGAAGACTTCATGGTTCAGCAGATCATAAAAAGGAGGACTTCCTATTGATATAACTCCAGCCCAATTGTACCTATACCGTTTTATCTCCACAACCCGGAGATATTCTGTACTTTATTGTACGCCAAAAAATGTATCATACGCTATAGAATGCAACCAACAACACATTAAACGCCCAAGTTCTCAACCTTGATCGCAAACTGCTTCAAGTACTCGTAGTGCGGAACGTTCTCGTTCACGCATGCACGAATCTCCTTCGCTCCTTCCTCACCATATTTCTCACGCCACTGTTCGTCTTCGGTTTCTTCCGAGACCGATTTCTGTAATTTTTGTAAGTTTCTGGAAAATTACAGCTGGGTGGCAGGTAACTTACGTGAGCATGTGTCCTCGGTGAGAGGTTCTTGCTCTTGATGGCATCATTGTGCCAGCCATTCCACTTGGCAAAAGCCTCCTCAACGTGCTGTTGGTTCTCTGGGTCGTCCCAGTTCAGCATGTCGGGTGTGAAAGGCACTCCAGTCTCCTTGCAGAAGGCCTCGATGATCTCCTTGGGATGATCAAGGAGGTCGTCAGCATCGATGACTGTGATGGTGACCTCGTCTGGCTTATGACCATTGCTGTGGCCGTTGGCGTGTCCGTTGGTGCCATTCGCTTGGCTCTTTGCAGGGTCCTCAGCGGCTTCAGCCATGTGAGGTCCAACAAGACCTTGTGCCCTGAGGTAGTCGAACATGGTACGAAGCTCGACATAGCCTGCCTCGTTGGCATTGAACTTGCCCCAGCCCGTAACCTCGTCTAGTGGTGGGATTGTGCAACGGAAGAACGACGGAATTCCGCGTCTGGGGTGACGGATGAGGAAAGTGAAGTGGTACTTCTTCAGAACATCGAGAGGAAGCACCGTGGGGTTACCAGGCTCGGTCGTGCCAACACCCTTCTTAATGCCGTTAGAGACCTCACCATTGGCCTGGCCGTTCGCCTGATTACTGCAGACAGAGGGAGCCAATGTTGTGGGCTTTCCGTCTGGTGACATCAGGTAATATGCCATATCTTTGATGAAAACTCGCTTGCCCTAATGTGGCGTTAGCATGCTTATCCCACATACTACTGCAAGGGGGATATCCAATCCCTGTGTGACACATTCTGAGATTTACTGAAAACGCCAACCCTATTGGATTGACGTTGTCAATAGGGATAATAGTACGAGAGCCACTAGTGTTCCGGTACTCTGAAACTTATGTGGCTTGGTAGCTGCTTAGGGGGTAATAGTTGAGAGTCTTACGTCACTGCCGTCCTCGTCAAGTCTGTTCAGGACATCTTGGTAGGTGGTCTTTGAGAAACCACTCGAGAGTCTCTTGTCCTCGGCCTCATATCTGTCGTGAAGTCTCTCAGGGCCATAGTAGTAGGCATCACCAAAAGGTTCATGGGCACAAGTCATATCCCGACGAGTCATGAACACCTGCCCCCAATTAGTAAATATGTGCTCAGTATGCCATGATTGGGCGGCCTGCTTACTCGCTCAAACGCCGTAGAGCACGCTCTCGGGTGAGTTGCCACGAAAATGGGTTTCGAAGACATCATGTCGTGTAGTTGGGAAGAAGGAAGTGGTTAATATTAATGATGTTAAGGATCAATACGTCAAAGTTTGTTGACAATTATTGTTCTTAGTTAACGTCAAAGTGACTTTGCTGATCTGTATAGTCTCAGGGGAAAATGCAAAAGAGATAATCAAGAAAGTTCAAAAGCTGAATCCAAAACGTTTAAAAGGAAAGCGGCCATCGTGACTGTCTGCAACAACCAGGCATGCAAGAAAGTCACTTTTCAATAGGGAATGAGTTTTCGCCATGTACCGGTTACATAGCGCTTGACTACCAAGCTATTCGCCCCACGTCCGTCGAACTAACACTAAAATAAATGTACCTGGCGTCCATTCCAGACTACATGTGTACGCAACACGATAGGCAAGAATCTTCCACTAGCCGAAAATCGGATAACTGACCAACTAGATTGCATCGATTATTACCACATGTCATAATAACGTTTGAGGAGCAGGTATTCGATACTTGTTCTGTTCTAGCCGCTGTGGGGACTGAATATATGGCCGACATCCTACAGTGCTAGCCGGGAGTGAGCTAAGATTGATAGATACAGGATGCAATTCATGCACCTAGGGAAAGGCTGAAAAGTCTGGAGCGTGGGATGTGCAAGACTTTTAGTATGTATCGATGTAAAAAAGTGGTTTAGATGGTTGGCGGCTCCGTCCGGAAAGAGCAACGGCAACTGGGGCCGAACCACTGCTGGCTCAAGCAGATGGCGTGATTAGTATTGGCGGGCATTATCAACCTGGTAGCCTTGTCAGTAGGATCAATTGTTATCTTGCTTCGCGACAGGATTAGAATATTCGCTGTTTCCATCCAGCCGCCTGCACACGAACAGGCAAGACAACCCCACGCGGATAAGAACACCCGCAAGTGATAATTGGTTCCCCCTCGGCTGTCCGCTTTTCGTAGGCCTCTTGTCGTTTAGTTGTGGCGCACTTTGCCGAGGAAATACTCTCGATCGTTTGACTTCTCCAATCGGTCCCAAGTCCTGCCCAAATTATGACGTTGACATGGTTTAGCGTTTAGCGGCACCGACAGGCGGTAATCTCGCCCGACCCGACTTCCGGGTGCCGGTGCAGCGCTTTGACTTTTTGGGAATCGTGCCGCTGCGCATGTAAATCACGACTACCGCGCAACCGCCGAAGCCGTCCAACTGTTTCCCGCCTTGTTGGTAGCGAGAAGACTCTGCACCGGCACCCTACACAATTTGCGGCATTGCCCTCGTCCTAATAAAGTATGCCAATCAGGTGTCTTTTCGAAACACGTGGGCCGGCGTGCTTATGTGTTTGTAGCGGTTCCTCAGGCGGTCCCCATGTCGATTCCGGTCATGCCAACCCAATACACATTTCCAAGACATCCCCAGTCGAACGCATAGAGCAGCGATGGTGATGCTGATAACAAAAATAACCATGAGCTTAGATGCTCCGGCGTCCAAGGCAGGGCGTCTAGCCACCCCCGTATCGTTTTGTCGTACTTAAACAAGTCCACCATTCGTATCTTGCTCGCGTAATAAAGGTTGTGAGCACTTGCTTCGTAGTCCTCTTAGCCAGGGTGCAAGTGAGACGCTTGCAAATAATCCTAAAGCGCAAACATCGCGCAAGAATCCACGTGAATATTGCCCTTGCCGTGAACAGAGAATAGAATACCATGTGCTGCCATGGGCTCAAGGTCAGACTGATTTAACCACCAAAAAGAATCCGGCGGGTCGAATCGTCGATGGTACGAGGTCAGACTACACAACACTTTCGTTGTAGTAGCTTGACGGCTGTATGAAACGCCAAATGTTGGTCCTGGACCACGCCTAGCGAGATTGCCCAAGGCTGGGACAAGTCCAAAGGATGAGATGCACTGGAAACTTGGAATGGAGAGTAAGCATATTCAAACAAAGAGAATAGTTAACTACACTTGTAGTATGTTTGAGTGTGAAAAATCCCAAGGGGACGAAGTTGGAGTCGGTGAGTCGGGATGCGAGAGTGATTTGCAAGATGAGAGAGGAGAACTCGAAGAAGGAAGTAAGACAATATTTGAATCAAGTAAGAGATAACCCAGGGACGCTTGGGCTCAAGTACTTTCCTGGCCCACGTAATTGTTAGTCGCGGCCACTTGCCTAGACCCCAGAGATAAAGAAAGAGGATCCAGCACCGGTGCAGGTCGCCTGACTCGATAGGAAGGCACCACCCCAATCGGTGATTATCAACAGTAGCCTGGCAAATCAGCAGACTTGCCGTTACATCTCTGCAGGTATGTAATTCCGAAATTCAATGATTCTTGGCTTTTAGGCTATCTTGGTAGTCCGCTTGGACCAAGTGACCTCCGTTCCGGTGAACGTCTCTAACACTTATACGTACGTGGGGCAGCACTTCCTATCAACAACGACGAATGTGTCTGATCGACAGCACAATTGTGCAGACTTGGCTTGCAGTAAATGGCATAATATTGCCGTGTGCCGGAACCATTGAAACTACACGAGGTAATCCAGTGGACGCAGGAGCCAACATGAAAACAAACTTAATAATAAACGATGGAATAACATGGAATAATATGACATACCGTTTCATAATACTAGAATTTTCTATAGAAGAAAGATGCTAATGAATAATCTATAATGCCATAATTGTATAAGTAATAATTTTTAAGCTTGTTTCCATCTTCCGCGTACGGGCTTATGGTCAGGCTACACAAAGCAACATACTCTATATACTATCCACTTTGTGGCAACTGCGTCCCATATTTCATGGCACATGGCTCAGTTTGTATGCTGAGTGCGAGACTATACAGCTTCTCGCTATCCGAAGCCGCTCTTATTAGCTGCCTGAGTCACTCCTTCTAAGTAAGGGCTCTTCAAGGGATTCCCTCCGAAATGTTCTCATTCTCTGTAGATTCAATAGAGAAGAGTAGCACACAGTATTATCCATGCGCCATGGCTTACAATATGCATAGGTCATATGAGTCCTCGATAATTGTACGATAAATGTATTTGTCTAAGGGGGAAAAAAAAAAAGTATCGTAGAATCAAGATATATCACCTGACTATGCTAAACCTACGAAACAGCTGGGAGCAGTAACGTATGGTCACCGCAAGATGTACAAGTTTAGTATTGCGGAGAACCAAAACGAAATGGGCCTATACAAGGTGGAGGTGGTAATCTGAAGGCCAATTTTGATGCCTTGATATAGGACATCAAATTTGCCCGAAGAAGGTTTGGTTTCGGACAAACTTGATGACATCTGGCATCCCCAAGTCCTGCCTAGGACAGTCGATCTAGCTAAGGCCAACACTACCTCTCCCACTTGGAAAGGCCGACGAGCTCATACGCCAGTACACAAAATGAAATACCATCCATGTTCAACACTTTGGCGTCAATGTCTCGCCGCTGCCAAGAACCAGCTTGCACTCTATCAAAGGTAAGAATGATATAATACCCAGTGCAGTCTTTAGTTACGGCAATTACACAGATTGAGGACCGACCAAGAGTCGACAAAGACTCATTAATTGCGTGAATAAATGTGAACAAAAGTGCAAAGAGGGAGGAGAAACACATATCATACAATAAATGACTCCTATTCACACCCCAGACATTTCATGAGAGCGAGAAGCAAGGAAATCAAGAGTGGAAGCACAGGTGACTGAAAACAAATTACTACACGAATATAGTCAGAAGGCCAGCACATTACAGCCACCGAAAGACAACCATTGGCCGTACATTATCGTTTCTTATCACTTTACAGAGTATGTTGACAACCTACAAGCTAGATGATACTCAGTCCAGCCGCCCCCAACTCCAGATATTGAGCCCAACCTTGACACCCTTCTTGACCGGCAGCCCAGCATGCCAAGTCTCCTCATAGCCCCTGCCGGAACCATCCGGTCTAAAGTTCTCCCAGAAAACCGCATTGCCCGAAATCGGTTTGAAAGTAAGACCCGTCTCATCCTCGCCGTCAGTCGCCTCTGGCTCGCCATCCTCTCCTCCTTTTGCTTCGGCACACTCGACCCAACGACACCAAGTCTCCTTCGGCCCTCTCATGCGCAGTAACGGGAACTCCGTGCCCCCGCCCTCGACCCCGTCGGCGGCGACCCAGACCATCATGCTGCTCACGCGGCCCCAACCCCTGGCGCCGCTGCCCCAGTCGAAATGGTGCGCATAGTGGCCGCCCTCCACGTACCTCTGTGTCCTGAGCCTCTCGATCCAGAGATCGTCCCTGAAGCCCTGAAAGCCGAGGGCGCGCTGCTCGATGCACCGGACGGTGTCATCCCGTGGCAGCAGAGCGACGGAGGAGTCCCGGATGCTGGTGTTCTGGTAGGTATTCGAGCCGTCCGACGTGATGGTAGCCGGGGCGAAGAGAGGCTCACTGGGGGGGCGATGCGTCAGATATTCATGTCGACAGCCGATCCGAGAAGGCCGTGATGCCAATGGTGCCGGCCCCGAGCCGAGTCCAAAGTCCCATTCACATGGTGACTGTTGTACACAGTCGTTTTTTATGGTCCACGACTATGTGATATGAAATGATATAAGACTCAGCACATACCTGATCTCGAGCAAATGCTTTCTCTCGCCCTCCGTCACGAAGTTTTCAATATACACTACCAGCGGTGCTTTCGACAGGAGATGTATTGAATACGCATCCCGTCCACACGTTGGTGGCATATCATTCACGCCATCGACAGCTAGCAGACTCTCATTGATAGCGGGACGCGGCGTCCTCGGGATCCTGCCTATAGCATCTGGCGCCAAGAATTGAACGATTGGGTTATAGAAGAAAAGCAGTATGGCAAGGCCGCCGACTATGTATGAAAACATTGTCTCTGTGTGCATTTATTGAACAGTAGCAATGAGAGTCATGGTCACGACTTGGTATGTAAGCCCGGTAGATGGTACGCGGTTGTCGTATGATGATTAGTACATAATTAGTACATTCGAGCTTTGGGCTTCTGATAAACTAGTTAGCGGATATTGCAGGGATTAGGCCCCTATTTAAAGCTCTTGAGACTATTACATAAATCGTTGTCCCTAACATCGCCACTCTATGGTTCACGGGCAAATTGGACGAGAAGTCGCGGGTGCTCTTTGTAACTGATACCAAAACGCTTATTGTAGACATCAAACACATGTGCGAGGACGGAGTGTCCCAGTGAACGAGGTTGTACCTGAACTTCCTATACTAGCACTAGTGTAATACTCTGTCTCAGATGTGAGTATAGATTGGCTGGTGCGAGCTGCAGGTCACATTTATTGCAACTTCTTTTCGGGAACGACCTTGGGCTGCTGGCCATGACCGGATCGCCCAAAGACAGCCAAGATCTTCCATACGACCCAAGCAAATCCTATTATAACGGCAGCACCTGTCAGTGTGCTGATTGTCATCGATTTCTCCGTGTCTAAGACTGGGACAGATGCATCCAGCATGAGGTTACCACTTAGAGGAGCAGGGCTCAGATGCCAAAAAAGAGTCCTTGGACCAAATAGTCCATCATAACCCAAATTGACGCGGTCAAACGGGTTGTTCGGGAATTTGGTGCCTTCCTCTGCTGCACAAGCCCAGAAGACACTCGGATAGGGAACCTTGAAGGCTTCTACTCCTCCGGCGCGTGGTACCTGATAGCGCAGGTGAAGCGGAATTTCGACGGTAAAGTCATCACCTGCAGCGGGTGGCTGCAGCTCAAGCAGTACAGAAGATCCCCACAGCTTCATAACATAACTAGGTGCCTCCAAATCAACAGGCTGGCTAATGTATCGAAGCGCTGTAAGATTCTTTGACGCAAGAAACAGGGGGTCCTCGAGCTGATATCTGTCCGCGAAAATAGTATTCGGCAATGTAAAGTATGCATGCAGTGAGCAGAAAGTGTCATCTATCGGAGGTTTACCTGAATCAATACGCAATTGCAAGGTCGGATGCAAGCCAAGAGGTGAATTGAAATCGGAGGTGAAGCTTGCGTCGGAAGGTTTGTGGCGAGATGGGAACGAGAACATGACGGGCGAGGGCTTGGTGTCTTCTCCCAGAACGGTGAGTAGTCCAGCAACACCAAATTCATGGTCTTCTAGGTGTTCGGGTGTATTCGGCGTGAGAAGACCCACCTCGACTCTATGATCTTTGTGTGCAGTAATATCCAGCGGTTGTTTGTTTAACGGCCATAGCACAGTGGCCTTGAGTACATGCGATATGGTGTCGTAAGACACATCTAGCGACTTGGCACTGCGAACGTCATGTATGCGTGTCTTGCAATCGTGGTCAGATTCGGGGCATAGATATTTGGAAGCATATTGTGGGAAGTCGCCCAGGCTCTCCAGGGGAAAGTACGCTTGGTACGCCGTGGAATGGGAGAAGCGGTCGTTGGGTAATTTAGAGAAACGGTCCTGGTCACGTTATGAGTCAAAGCGGGCCAGCACACTCGCGGTTCGGACCACTAACCAGTGACTCTGAGCAGTCCTCGAACGGCAGGAAGTTATGGAGGAATGCGCAAATGGGATCGGTCAGGCTTGCTCCATCCCGGGGTGTATAGAAGACGTGAAGTCCAGGAGGCAGGCTAGAGTTCCAGGGATCCAAGGGCACAGGTTCCGAGGCAGCCGAGCTGCTCCATCTCAAATGAAGCTCGGGGGTATTCTGCAGCAGCTGTTGGAGCTCGGAAGGAAGTTCGTCGAGTGCGAAAGTGAAACGATCCTCCCGAACAGCCTTGATGGCTGGGCCGGTGATGGAACGGCCCTTGACTTTCAAGTCTGTAGGTTCGATTGCATCCTCGTTTTGATGGAAGAATGTTGTCCGTTGTCGCATGATGGGTGGTTCAGAGTGTGCAGGATTCAAGGATATATCTGCGCCTGGACCGAGCTGTCGAGACCATGAAGTGATAAACGGAAAGCTGACTGTTGTTGTCGTTGTCGTTGCTGTTGCATTGTCCACGAGATGCGATGACAGGTGGGAACGATTCCGTGGGCCCAGGCCATCCCCTGTCAGAGGTCCAAGCTTCTGACCTAAGGTTAGACTGGAACCCACCAGCGACCAGCGGGCAGCCAAACAGCCGAACAGCCAAACAGCGGGGACATCTGCCGGAAAATGTGCAGCAGGCTGCAGTTGCGTTTTTGTTTTCTTCGGGTAGTTCCTGACCGAACTCGAGTGTCTATCTTCCAGACATAAGGAAACGAGAATGTATTCAAGCCCGTGTTACCGTTTTGCAAGTATCGACTGACAGCTAATTTAAAAGATAAATTAGGATAGAATCGAGCTGGAAACACAAGACAAAGAACAAAAGCGAAGTTCACGGCGTCGGAAACGCACTGACCAGATCCAAGTAAACGTCCAACATGTACTAGCACACGACGAACTAACCTACTAACCTAGCTAACCTGGCTAGTAACTACTGCATAACTCATGTCCTGTAGCGCAGAAATATTATACTGACGGTTGAGACTTGAGCTAAAGTTCATGTCAAGCGGCGCGTTAAAGATTTCTACTGAACCCAACTCCACATGCACACGTCCGTCCCCGTCACTCTCGCAAAGATTCACAACTTTGCGCTTTTACGCCAACTGCTGCAAACCGTATCCTGCACCACTGGCACCCACAACCATCCCCGGGCAATGAGATAAATCCAACCATCCAGGCCGAGAGATCTCAAGTCTCGAAGCTATCTTCGATTCTCGGCATCTCCAGCCAACAGTCCTCTTCCACGCTGCGCCCCCAAGGCTTCAACCAACACCATGGCCGCCCTCACTCCTGCTCAAATTGAGCTGGCCAGGTGCGGCAGTTTCCAAGCCCCCATTGAAGTGACACCCCATCCTTACTGACAATTCTCAGCTCCCTCGCCCAAGACGAGTTGCCCTCCAAGTTGAAATGCGCCAACTGCAACAAGCTCGCTGTCAATGCCTTCCGACTGCCGTGCTGCGAAACAGCCATATGCGAGAACTGTACGTATCGCCAGCCCCCAGCTACCTGACCTTACCGCCCAATACCGTTATTCTGACCTCGCCCCTGCTTAGGCCAGTCGTCATTGGCATCCTCGTGCCCAGTGTGCGAACATTCCCCCATCTCCGGCCATGATTGCACTGTATACAAATCACTTCGGACCACCATCAGGGTCTTCCTGAAGACCGAAGAAAAGAAGCGAGAGGCAGCACAAGCTAAAGCAAATAACTCTGCGCCCCCGACCCCCGTGGAGCCAACATACACTCCCACGCCTGTCGCTCCAGTCGCACAGCCTCCCGCAGCGCTACCCCTGGCTGATACTGCCAAACCTGACGAGGAAGATGCTCCCACTGCCGGTTCGGCCGACCCTACTATACCCGCTGCGGAATCGCAAGCCGACGTTGGCCCTTCAGGGCAGCATGCGCAAGACGCACCCCAGCAGGTAAGCGCTGACTTGGCAAATCAACTTCGGCGCATATGATGCTGATAACAAACTAGGGTGGTGCTGCTCTCGATCAGCCAGACAACCAAGACAGCGCCGTTGATGACCCGACTTCTGCGCTTCAAGCCCACGACGAGAACGAGCAGCAGGATGAAAATGCCAACGAGCATGGTCAGGGCCAGGAGGCTGACAAGCAAGACGAAGAGGAGGGCTACGACCAGGAATCGGACATGAATGGCAATTTCAACAACATGAGCTTCGATGGGAGCAGCATGAATCCTATGCAGATGCAAATGCAAATGATGATGCAGAATGGAATGAACCCTGCTGCCTTTGGCGGGTTTCCCATGATGGGTTTGTCTCACTCGTTACCCTCGGAAACACCAAATCCCTTGACTAACACGCTGCAGGTATGGGTATGGGAATGGACCCGATGGCGATGCAGAATATGATGATGAGCGGAGGCTTTGGAGCGCAAGGCATGAGCGGCATGAGCGGCATGAGCGGCATGAACATGAATATGGGCATGAATAACTTCGATGGTGGCAACAATGACTGGAGCGATCAGCAATCCTGGCAAGATAATTTCAATCCAAATGCTACTGGCATGGCCAACGGTGACTTTGGCAGCTTTAACTCGGGCTTCCAAGGAGGCTACAATGCAGGTAACTACGGCCAGTTCAACGGACGTGGCAATTACCAGTATCGAGGCAGAGGTCGCGGTCGCGGCTGGAGGGGCGGCTTCGATCGTGGTGGGTATGGTCGCGGTGGCTACAACCAAGGATATCAGAGAGGTTACGGTCAACAGATGTGGTCTCAAGAGATTGCCCAACACCCTCTTAACCAGGACATGTCACAAAACGGGGCAGATGGTTCAGAGGAAGCACAGAAGTCAACCAATACAGACGAGTTTGGTAGGATGATTCGTGCCGATGGGGAGGATGATACCAAGGATGGAGGCGATAACCAAGCCGGAGGTGATGGTTTTCAAGAAAGCACAGGACAAGTACCTACAGACAATGCCTCTGGAGAAGCTCAAGTTGATTCTGCCATGGCCAATGGTGATGTCTCCTCCGCAGATCCGTATTCGCGATCACACGGCTTTTCGTATGGTATGGGCGCACCTGCAGCCTCTAATGCACCGCTGAATGCACCTACCGGACCCAAAGCGATGCGGCAGGGCTTGCCTAACACCAGTACTCTCCACCTGCGTGCGCGTGGTTTCATTCAAGACCCCCATCCCGCTGTAACTAACAGTCCCATTGTGGACAGTCCGATGCAGGAAGAGAAGCCAGCATCACCGAGTAGTTCCCGTCACTCTCACCCTTCCCGTGAAGACGTGGAGCGCCAGCCTGACAATGACAGAGACGATTACAACGTCGACAAAGAAGAGAGACGGAGCCGCGGCGATGATAGAGAACATGATCAACCCGGGTCATACTCTAAAGATCGTAGCCGTAGCAGAAGTCGCAGTAGAGATCGTAAAGAATCTCGACGACACAGGCGGCACCGTGACGAATCTGTGACAGATGAAGGTCGCGACGATGACAGCCACCGCCTCAAGCATAGATCTAGACGATCCACGCGAGATGATGCTGACTACAAAAGTCGTCCAAAGAGTGATAAACACGACGACAGATCCCGATCTGCTTCGCCCGAACATGACCGTGAGCACAAACGCTCAAGTCATAGAAGCCATAGAGATCGTGACAAGGAGAGAGAGCGGGAGCGGGAGCGGGACAGCGATCGTGACCATCGCAAGAAATCTAGCCACCGCTCTCGTCATGATGACCGCGAACGCGAGCGCGACAGAGAAAGAGACAGGGACCGAGATCGTGACCGTGATCGAAAGGAGCGCAGAAAGGAACGTGATCGGGACCGAGACCATCGACACAGGAGCAGCCGCAAGACGTCACAAGAACCACCGACCTTGACTGAACCGGCCACAAAGGAGTTCAACCCGCCCACTGGTCCTCGTGGTAGCACCAGTAGCGCTGCCCCTAAAGGCTCGAGCTCCCGAGCCGAGTTCTCCATTAAAGGAGCCAGCTCCAAGTCAAAATCTTCTTCATCTCACAGGCGCGAAAGCGAGGCGTGGTCCTCTACTCGTCGTGGATCTCATGCTTCGACCAGCAATGCGCCTCGGGCAGCGCCTACCGGCCCGGCCAAAGATCCCCATACGTTGGAGCGCGAGGCCAGGGACCGCGAGAGACTGCTCAAGGAGACACAGCGCATGCAGCTAGCTGGCTTGACCGGCGCCAAGCGAGGGCGAGACACTGGGGATGATCGCGGCGGACGACGCAAGAACCGTCGTGGCGAGACCAGCCACAGTGAAAGCGAAGAGCAACGAATGAGGCGGCTCGAAGCCGAAAGAGAGGGTGATCGATGGGATTAGTCATAACGCCGCCTCCCTCTTCTCAAATTCTAGCACGGGCACTGCTTCATTGCGAGGTGTCTCGTCTATCAAAGTTTGGGTGTATACTATCGGTTGCTTGATATCGCTTTGCGAGGTGCTTCCTCGAGATTCTTCAGGCGGTTGTCGCAATGAGAGTGCTGCAGGAGTGCCTCGCATGCATAAAAAGAAGGTCCTGCCAATGAAACAAAAGGTTACATGTATCTATATATCAGCCACGCAGGATGGCCAGCCAATTGGCAGCATGGGGCAGAGGAGAAAGGTAGAAAAGCATTGTATCACGCCGATCCGAAGCAGCTTTGTTACGAAGTGCGGCAGTTTGTCAAGCGCGTAGATATAATTTAGGCTCCGGAGCATTGTTACATAGACATATTCTCTAAAAGACTATTCGAGAACAACGCGTTTACCGTGGTACTGCTGCATATTATTGATTTCGTAGTGTTTTTGAAGCTCTTGTTTCTGAACCCAAGACTTGACAAATCAGCCTCCAACATCTGCACACTAAGTGTGAAATGCTCTTTCCATGTATCCAGGTAGGGACGGTGTTTCATTATATTGTGCCGATAATTGAACGGTTATGCCGTATGCGCATCTTTGACTTGCTTACAGTGGCCAATTTGACGCCCGCGTTCGATCAACAGCAGATAAGTAGTTTGCGGGACATACATACCTTGTCAACATGACATGTGTTGATGCCGATTCTGACTTTTGGTGTAACCCATATAATCCAACAGCTAAGGACTCGTCATATCTTTGTTGTTTCTATAAAGAGTCTGCTGGATTTTTGCAGATCTACTAGATTAGTATGATACGCATCATGGGTCTTGGTCGAGCTGAGCACGACCTTCTCACCATGGCTTCCATCTTTCGGCTCGTGGTTCATTCATTAAACCTATACAATTCGACCCGAGTGGCTATAGCAGAAGTCGCTTGTGGTTCACCTCTCACCCTTTGCCATCCCTTACACTGCATATGTGCAGGACGCCCGAGCAAGCAGATGCCTAATGCAATTACCCCATCATAAAATGTCAATCAACCTTATCGAAAGATCGCTTCCAAAGCCCACGCCGGGATTATCCAGTCTCCAAGTTGATGCCAGCCATCGGGCTCATCAATTTGGACCTAAGTTAGTTTAGACTAGTATGGACTCTATTAAGGCGATGCACCCAAAAAGACCAACCTCCCAACGGCTCGGCCACAATTGGTCTGGGAACAGTATCTAATTGGGTCAAATATCATACATCTGCTTGATTTGAAGTAAATGATGTCTTGATTTCTTATTACTTCGAAGATCTCAACCTATTGCAAATATTACATGCCATTCATTGCCTAGATTACCTTGAATATCAAAGCTGTACTGGCTTTCTTCTCGTGGTTTTGGAGAGCCCATCACTAAGTCAACTGTAGCACCGAAGTTAATGACATGTCAATTACCGATACTAACAATGTATAGTTCTGCGGCTTTCGGTGTCCTTGCCGTCATCTTGCTCGGCCTGTGCATTTGCGCCAACGACAAGCCGCCAGTGCTGTAGCTCAGAAGTGACAATAAACAATAAATCATTACATACATTTGTGACTGAACCTTTACTCAGACGCATTGCGATCTCGGTCATTTCGACAGTTGTTCTCACTCTGTACTGCCGTTGGCAATTACAAGTATCGGACCAAGCACTGCCTCGTTACATTCCGGTCTTCAATATACTAGGTGTCTCCGCTGCAGCCATTTACCTTGCATTCTTCAATACGCCGCTAGGTGTGTTCGATGAGATTATGCTAGCCTTGAGACATATCACAGCACCGTTTATTGCACTCAGCCCGGCAACCATCCTCGATATGGAAGAGGCACACGAGACTCATGGTTCTGTTGGAGTCTGCTTTTTGCCAGTATTTTCCATTAGAAAGACTAGTGATCAGGCAACAGCCAGCTTTCGGTTTAGGGTATCTCAAGGGATTGTTACATGGATTATTACATTTTCAAAGAAAAGTTATGGGGTATAAATGTTGAGGGAAATTTTGCTCAGGATGGGGCGCAATGGTTACTATAGAGAATATGTTTCCTAAGTTGAATTATTTGAGATGCGTACATCCGCATACATTATCCTAGTTCTCTGTGATTAGCGCGTAGTGATTTTGAACATAACATAGTGCAAATACTCTTCAACCTGGCTAAATTTACACGAGAGGCTTTAGAGACACTCTAGAGAAGTAAAGACAAACTCCTTCAGAGGACATCTAGCAAATTTCGAACGTGATTTCCGAGGGAAGTTCGAAGATGCGCAGTGACCTGTCCCAAAAGAAGAGTCCCCAAGGTTTGAGCAAGCTCTTCCAGAAAGCTTTGAAGATTACTTCATGATTTGCCATCAGAGTACAGTAAATAATATCTTGGCTTGTGTCGCAGATACATCCATCTCCCGAGGAAACACACCTATGGATATTGTAGTACGGACCAGCACATCGTTCTATACCACCACGTACTTCTAGCCGCGTGACGTAGCTCTAGGTCGGTGATCACGTGCACACATTCGAGTGACAGGAACGGGACACATGACGAGTACTTATATCATCGCATCCTCGTGCGGTAGGCATGGTGGCGGGGCGAATCGGTTTGAAATAGTGAGAGAGGCGACGGAATGAGGAATTTGCTGGAACAGAAGGTGACCATGCCGTATCACTCCCTCACACCATATGATGTCCAACGACTTTTAGAGCCACGAGGTTGAGAGAATGGTTGCTGTAGACCGTAAGTCGGCCGAAGCCAGTCGTGATTCCAGCTTGTTTATTCATATTGAATGAAGAAAAAACAGCGTGCGCATTGAACACGATAGTCGAGACTTGATGAATTAAAACTTATGGGACTCATTCACACTTCAGAACATGGCATGGCACCGTAGGAGACGTTGAATAGGAGCTGTCATAAACGGGGAATAGACTAGAAGTAAAAAAGGGTCTTGTAGTCGATATTGGAGTAATTGAAGGTTGGACAGAAACTGATAGCCGTTGGTATTGTCGTCAATGGCTTTGTTTTGCTTTCCAATCCTTATAACTATAGAAGGTTTAAATGTGATTTAACCTCTCTAATTTGCTCAGAAAAATACCTCCTATTACGAGACTATTATACATTCAACTGTTATCCCTAGTATTAGGAACTTCCGTCTACGAAAATGGTATTTGCTACACAACCGGATACGGATGTCGACATTTTGAGGTTGATCGCATCAAACTTCAATCATCGAAAACTACCTGGGTTTAGCACTGAACATACTGAATGTACGAAGACAGAGTCAAGTATATTGTGCAAGTTATTGATATATGAAAAACCTCGAAGCCACACGAACTTGAGCGTTCGTTAGTCCAGTGGTGCTAAACCATCTCATTCCATATTATATTATTAGCTTCTTATTTAAGTCATGTACTTAAAGTTTAGTGGGCTTCAAGGGTATTTCATATTATATCAGTGCAAGACCATAAAGAATCAATTATACCCTCCGGGAAGTTTTGTATGCGCCGCTTGGCCATGAGGATTTGCACTGGATTAAAAACTGTATGTGGTACCCGTGTTTGCAAACATTCCGTTTCGGCAGGTACACGCGGGACTTGATCGTCGGGTCTCGGCAGGATGTTGATGAATGAAGCTCATACAACAACGGCACTGTGACCCACTAAGATCTCGGTATAATTGCGTATACTACCTTGAATACCCTTGGATAAATCTTATTGATAAAGCAGGTGACGAATCATGGATTGCGTGTCAGGAACTATAATGTATGCCAGACAGATATAGTCTTCTCCGCAGATGTCGTATGCAGATCCATTCTCCGCACAACCCGGTTTTAGTGTTGATCGCCAGGTGCTAGATTCCGATACGAGGTCCTCATCCTTGGCGGGGACATCTGTGAGACCCAGTCATACTCCAAGATTTTCCAAAGCTAAACCGCCGATTGCTCCGTGGAGATCTTTTGTCCTTGCATGAACAGGATCACTTTGGCTTGTCTAGAACGGCCCCGCGGTCGATCTGAATCTGTGAAGGGCAGCAAGCTCAGAGAGCAATTGGAGATTCGTCTTGTTTATCAGAAGCTCGCTTAGTCAATTGCGGGCAGACAGCTTGAAGCTCTCAAGCCCACACCCATTGTCTTGCGCTTACGCCATCCCGCTCTAGGACCACGCCTGGTTTCTTTCCCAATTGACCTACTCGACCTGTTCAGCCGCCAGCAGGTTCAACGTTCAGCGGTTCGCAAGCCAGAGGTTCTAGGCCTGTGTCTAAAGCTTGACAGGCCCAACTTTCCGGGAACTCGCGACCGACATCGAATCATTGCTCTGATCTATTGCCCCTCTGAGGTGGTCGGTGAAGATTAACGACAGGGATCTCAGCAATTTTGTCGAATTTCTAGAAGGCGATCAGAAGCCACACGAGTCTGTCGAAAAAAACAAGCCTCAGACAGGCATTATTCTCACACAGACGTCACCTTCATTTCATCGTGGAAGCTTCTGAGGTCACGCCCACGCAGCACAGCCAGCGTAAAACAGCGTAAAAGAGAAAGGCACAGCTCGGCACTCACTCCTCCCCGCTCCGATCACGCTTGTTGTTGGCTATCACGGTGAACTCAACATTTCATCACGACTGCCAATTCGCAGCCAAAAGCCACTCACCCAACCGCCACACACCCGCCGCAGAAGGATGCATGGGCTTCTTTGTTTATTTGTGACCGCTTTCGATCTGATAGGATAAGAAAGACGACGTAGGTTGTTGTCAGGCCTTGATTGTCGCAGACAATGGCAATGAACGACGCGACGAACCTCGTCTCCGAGCTGCTGGATAAGCTCTCGGAGCTTGAGCAAAAAGTGGAACACCACCGTCAAGACATGGCACACGAATTCCAGAAGTACTCGCGAGACCTATTACAAAATGTCTCTGGCGATGTGTCGGCTCAAGTCGAGCAGGCTATAAAGGATTCAATGCACAAATATCCCGCCCTCAAGCCTGGCCTGGACCAGAACAACCCTATCAGCAATGAGTCACCGTCCAGGCAGAGCCAGGGGCCGCGCCTCAGCCAGATCAACACGGGCAATGACAGGGACCGCAGAACAGAAGGCTACCATGCTCAATCCAAGGGAGGCAAGGCTTCACCGCCGCCGCTGCTGCCTCACACCTCGGGCACACCCCCGGATGCCAAAATTGAGATCGAGGATGGCGCACGCAGCCCTCACGAGCGTGAGAAAGAGTTCCAGGGTTTGTTTACACCGAGTTACTTGCCTTTGCTTGAAAGCCGAGATAGAAACTTGTCGCCTGTCAATCGCAATCCGCCGCCTGCACCCGCACCTGTACCTGTGCTCAGTTTATCCACCGCATTGCCTTCGTCTTCAGACCGAACTAAAGAGCTAACGAAGAACTCCGCCAAAGCTGAGCAGCCACCGCCACCTGCCGTACCGGTGTCTATATCTGTCTTGCGACCTCATCCGATCAGACGACCTACCGACGAAGACACCATCTCATCTACCACATCCGATGACAGCAACAGCACTCGCAAGCCATATCGCCGAAGCGCACTGCGCCGTTCCTCGAGTTCATCTATAAAAACAGAAAGCCCCCGCCGTGTGCGCTTCGAGGTTGAAGGCGGAGAGGTTCTTCCTACTGCATCACCGCCATTGTCTCCTCGCGTTGCTGAGCACCACACTTTGTCTCCCCTTGCGAACACTACCAATCTCCTGAACTCTTTGGTTGAGAAGGAACCGGTAGAGACGGCAGAGGTAGACGAAGAGGGTACCCTCCTGGGAAGTTCCCCGCCGACGATGCCTAGAAAGGTCAGTTCAACCGACCGACTCAAAGCCATGGCTCGAAGCTCCAGCGAAGACACTTCAAACTGGGCTATGGTCGGTAATCTGCAGGACATGGACGAAGACGAGGAAGTTTTGGTCATGGGAACTCGGAAAAAGTCCAACGCTGCTCCCGTCCCGACTGCTGATGGTCGCGCACAGGACACGGCCCAGCACACGCTACCTGAGACTTCTGGTGTTACTGTGGAATACGTTGAGGATACGAAATCTGAGGATCAAGAACAAGAGTCCTTTGATGAAGAGGACGAGGATTTGCTCGAGATGCCTGCTTTGACGTCCTTCAAAACTAGGAAAAGGTTCTCACCACCACACTCAGATACCGCCTCCGATGGCCGCTCAAAAGCTTCCCAAAGTGTTTTAACTTCCAACAACACAACCGAGAGAGCGCCTCAAAAGACACGCGATTCACCTAGCAGCGGCCCCCGCGTAGCCGCCCCCGATGATGACGAGCTTTTCGAATGGGAAGCCGATGAGGGCGATGATGATAACATAGTTCAAAAGAAGGGCGAGGAGAAAAACGTACAGCCTCAGAAATACATTGAGGAGGTGGATGACGACGAAGTGGAGGAAGAGTCTATCACGCCTGATGCCCAAGGAAATGCAGGCTCCAAACTCTCGACCTCCCCAGGAATTGCAATTACTCGACCCACACCTGCCCCAGCAACTGGACCTACTCGACATACCAAGGAAGCCGTGGGGTCCTATAATGGGCGGCCTTTCACGATATCCAGCGTTAAGGACCAGTCGATACTTGAGAAAGCTGCGAAGATGGGTGATGTCTATTCTTTCGTTGGCAGTGTCGATGGTCGAAGTGGTGTGGACGAGTCGATGAGCTACCGGCCCGACGTGACGACATTCACTGGAACGCCGAAGAGTTTTAGTCAACGATTTATGATGGAGGAGTTTGAGGAGTCGCAACGAAAATCACCGACCAATGGTGCGAGAGGCTGAGTGAGCGCAGTGCGAAGGTCGCGGAATGCGCACGTTGAATGTATAGACCTCCTGATGCCTCGAAGCAAAGGCGTAATCGTGTCTTCTATATTTCTTTGTGCACGAAACTGTCACGATCAAATATGCTGATGGATGTTGCATTGGTTTGGCGTTTGGTCAGAGCATTGGGGGGCTCTGATTTGGTACATTGGTGGTGCATTGTTGAAGGGCACAAAACGGGGCGATCAGGCATATATCATCTCACGACTCTCTTCTCAATGGGACGTTTGGACCTCTACAGGATTTTCTTTTCTTCAGACGAGTATAGCATTAGGGATCATGCGTCCACGGGGATGATCGATAATGTCAAAACTACATGTCTAAGAAGGGCCACGTATTTGCAAACGAGTCTTGATAACAGTAAATGCCTACACTGGGTGTAACGTGCAATTAGCAGGTATACTATCGAAGAACCTGTGACCAAGACTTGTGTGTATTATTGGGTTTACAATGCGGAGGTTGAAGCGATGATGGTTAAACCTTAGCATCCTCGGTGTGACACAAAGAAAACTGACGGATACTTCGCGCGATTTTTGTCACGAGGTCACGAAATGTTGCCTACGACATGAACATTTCATATGTGAAGACATCGTAAGGGCTGTGCTGGGCAAGCGTGCTATTATCTTTACGGCTATTAGCCATTCATTTATTAGGGCAGGTCAATTGGCGACAAGTGCTAGCGAATCACGCGCATGGCCACTTTTGGCAACTCCATAACGATTTAATAATCATCACCCCTAAATGCTCATAATAAATCAATACCATGAATGCTATAGACAGTCTTCGTAAGAACCGAGTATCACTATTTTCAGAACATTCCCTTGATATGAGCGGGGTGAACTGTCAATGGTGTTGCTGCTACGCAACACTCGATCGCAACGCCAGGATTTATCGAAGTAGAAGAGGTGCTAAGGCGTCATCTCATACGGGATGGGATGCGCGCTTCAATGAGATCTTGGGGTAATCGATCGAGCAGCACTCACTACTCCAACGTAGGCAAGGTAGGTGACCCCAACTGTTCTCCGTCCCCTAGGTTAGCAGTCACCTTATCGCCGAACATGGGTCGCCGCAGGTAACCTTACCCAGAGCAACTATAACCAGGAACTTGCCAGATTTGTATCCATGTCCGGGCTCCGCTTCAGCGCCGATTGTCGGTTGCACAGCTCCGCGTTTTGCTAAACGTTGAGTCGCAGGTTTGCACGAGTCCCCGGTAAGCTTAACTCTAAATTGTTCTGCACTTACTTTTTGTTCTACTCCAGTGTCTTTTAACCGAAAGGATGGGCTTAGCGGGACATATTAAGCTATACGTGCAGAATATATGGTCTATAATTAGTTACTAGACCCTATACTCATCCTCGGTTCTGTCCCAACCTTCCTTACGGAGCATCCGGCCGGGCTTACCAGCTTCATGCTCCGCTTCCAGACTCAAATCCGCTCCATTACTGGTTGTGATATAGAGCAACGATATTGGTGACATACCTTCCGTGGTAAGCTAACCGAATGATTTTGCACAGCCTAGAAACATGATATCTGCAGAAAGAATGATGGCTGGTCCTGTTTTGGTAGAGTTCATCATGCAGATCCGGGTCATACCGACGATTTCGGGTCACATTGCTTAGGGGATCTCTAATGCCTAGATCCAATAAACAGCCTGTTTCACTCGACATCAGATGTCTGACAACTATGGCAACCCTGTCACGCACTTCACATCCGTGTAAAACTGCAACCGCTATATCCAGTCAAGAAGCATCAACTGCCACACGCCGAGAATGCAACTCTTCAAGTTAGCGTCAGGCACAGAACTATAACTACCGTTTTATACATATCTCTATATTTATGATAGGTATGGATTAACCAAAGTCGCAAATTAGTAGTAGGAAGTGGTCTACTTAAAGGAAACTGATTCCCATGCTTTGGCTCTATTTTAGACAGCCACCGCAGCCCAAAGATCCAGATATTGGAGCATAGTCATTCATTAAATCATCACTCGTTCAAACCACACAGCTACACCTCGAATCTGCAAGATGCATTTCTCTGCAGTTCTGCTCGCGGCTTTGCCCGTCACTGTTCTGGCTATACCAGCTGCTGTTGCTGACTTGCCCGTGCTGTCGTTCCCTGGGTGAGTCCGATATTTTTGAGTCTGATCCCTGGAATAAACTTATGCCATATTCCCCATGGTCGATACGAGTTATGTGGCTCTTGTATCGAAGTTGGGAGACCTTGTCACATATCAATTTCCTTTTCGGGTCGGCCAGCAGCCTAGTATCATCTCCGTCTGGAACTCTACAAGCAACTTCCACTGACTGTCGTTTTTCAGTGGCGGTGGTGGTGGCGGTGGTAAGAACCCTGGTCCTGGCGGTCCGGGCAACGGGGGCGGTAATGGTGGTGGTCACAACGACCCTCACCCTACCACTACTACTACCACTACTAGCTCCAAGGGCGGCCATATCCCTACGCCTCCTTTACCTCCGGCTCCTACCAGCACCAAGACGTCCTCCACTTCCACCAGCTTTTCTACTTCTACTTCCACCAGCTTTTCTACTTCTACTTCCACCAGCTTCTCTACCTCTACCACTTCTACCTCCTCCACTAAGACATCTACTACTAGCACTGAGACCTCTTCGTCCTCGGCTCCAACCAGTTCAGCTCCGACTGGAGTTACGATTGAAGGTATTGCCTACGCCGGAAGCGGCTGCAACGCAGGCAGCGTGGCCGGCGCGATCTCGTCCGACGCGCAAACCATCACGCTGCTCTACGACAGCTTCGTCGCGCAGGCGGGACCGGGCATCACGCCGTCCGAGGCGCGCAAGAACTGTCAGCTCAACCTGCAGCTGAGTCTGCCCCAGGGCTGGCAGTTCAGCGTCTTCAAGGCCGACTACCGCGGCTACGCGTACCTCCAGGACGGCGACAAGGGCGTCATCAAAGCCACGTACTACTTCTCCGGTGACTCGACCCAGGTGTCCAGCCAGCTGGATCTCAAGGGCGCGTACGACGACAACTACCTCAAGACGGACGAGTTTGGCATCGAGAGTACGGTCTGGTCGCCCTGCGGCGAGGAGGGTCTCTTGAGTAAGTGCTTCTTATTGAGGTGGGCGGCTCGGGGAGATACTGATTTGGGGTCCCAGACGTCAACAGCGAAGTTCGCGTCACTCCTCTTAACACCACTAACATTGCTCTGCTTACTGTAAGTGTCTGCACTCTTTCTCTTCTCTCGGTGAGTGGTCACTAACGAGAATTGTTCAGGTCGATTCTACCGACTTGAACTTCGAGACTGTCCATTACCTCCAGTGGCAGACTTGCTAAATACTTTTCAACAAATTTTGAAGTTATTTTTGGGGATATTTTACAATCAGTGGAAGCATTATGCTGGGGTTTCATTTATGCGGCAATCAGTTTCCGTGGTATCCATGCATTGTTTTCAGTTTCGGCAGCCACCGGTTCCTGACGTAAGAATTCAACCAACTCCTCAAATATGGTGGGCTAAGATCGAAATCGAAACAATACAATGATTCAATTCTCAATTGGAGGGATTCGTCCCCATCTCCACCCAACTACCTTCGTCCTTTCTTTTGATACTGTAAACGTGACAGTACTCATTCCCAGCGTCAAAATTCTGGAATGATCCCAAAGGGGAGAGGCGATGCTTCTCCAGTAACTAGGAGGTCGGAAATTCAACAAGCTGATATTGTCAAAAACCAACTGTGGCTCTGTTAAGGACCACCAGGGTGTAGAAACAAACGAGACAAGTAAGCAGCCCCTATACGCCTTCGACGAAGAATGGACGTTTGTCCTCGCAACCTTTATGAGATTTGCATAGAATCGGATGGATTAATACAGATGATCTATCAGATGCTTTCAGTATTCCTTCATGGATTCGACTGGTTGAAATAGATCAATGGGCAGCCCTTAGTGGACGATACGTATAATCTCAACGAATTCATGCAATTCACTATATGAAATCTTAACTGCTTCACAATAATCATGTTTAACCCCCTACACTCAGCGTCTACAATTGAGGTAATTGATCGAAATTACGACCCAAGCAACGAACTGTGCAAGGAAAAAGAATGACCATTTTTTACATTCCTCTATCGAATATAATTTGCGTTCACCACTACCGTCCCTCGCCTACTCCTAACAAATATCGGCGAACATGTTTCTTACATGCAATAATCGCTCTTGCCGGACCCGCCATCGACACAGTTGCCGCAGTAGACCTGCCAGCGGATCCACCCATCGCTGCCGCAGCTGAACAAGGAGTGGTCCTCGTACGCCTTTTGGGTGGGAAGGTTGACCCGCTTCAGCTCGTTGTCGATCTCTGTCATGTATTTTCCTGTTCGAAATGGTTAGGCGCAGCTGGCGCGAGGAGGAGGAGGAGGAGGAGGAGGAGGAGGAGGAGGAGGAGGGTTAGACTTGCCGACCTCGAGGAGATTGTATCCGCAGTAGTTCAGACCCTGGGTACAGGCCCTGGCCTCGATCATGGGGTAGAAAGAAGCGGCCAGTGCCAGGAGGATGGTGACGGGCTTGGTCATTTTGAAGACGGCGATGAAAGTTTGATTTGAAAGGGTCAAGTTTCGTGAAGATGAAGTGTATTCGATTAGAGGGAAGCGCTCTATGTTGATTCCGTGTTCCTACTCTCACTTCAAGGTCGGGGAAGACATCGCACTTATAGTTATTTGCTTGTTGGCTATTCCTGTCTTTGCCATGTATATGCCGTGTGCCTCACATCTACAAAGTTCAAGTGTACTGCATCTTTCGGTCTCAACTGGTCAGCCGTCCGCAGTTTCGTGCGCAAAACCAGTGTCGCCGATTATGCTTCCATAATGAGACCCCGGCCGCCCTTGGCGTAGTATAGTTTTGTGTCTGACTGGCATACATTTCGTACATGGCCGTATACTGATGGGGATAATAAAATTGGAGTTGCAGGCTATCAAATGAAAGACTGCACAAGAACGACATCCCCGCTCTTGGCTGTGTTACCGTAAAGCCCGATGGGACTCCCCAGCGCTTACTCCAGAGAGAGTACTGTGGACAAATTCCAAAGTTCTGGCCCCGGAGTGTCTACATTCGGACTTTCCGATTCTATATAACGTCGAATTTCTTGATGTGGTTGCTGCAAGCTCTTGACCGCCTCCCCGAGCTGACGGTGAGGCGGGTAGAGCTGAACAGGGAGCGCTGACGCATGAGCTGACAACCGAACCATCCCCGAAACTGTCATTTGTCTCTTTAACAGCGGGCGAGTGCTCATACGAAGACTGTCTAGAGTGCCATGCGCGCGCGGAAAAGAGTCCAGCCGGCGACACCGGCGACCATGCGATCGCTGCGGTCATGGGCGTCTGTATGCTGTTGTCCACTTTAGCGTGTCGTGAAACCTATCTGTGAAGTCCGCGTCAACTGCCACGCACGTCCTGTCCTGGAACTGGCCACGGCATCTCGATAAGCAGCATCGCCGACACATGGTACCTACCATATGCACCAGCCCAGTCCATGCCGCACAAAAGTTCGCTCGAGAGTTTGTTGTCAGCCTGCGCTTCAGCTAACCCCCACCGTGCCGCATCTCAAGCATTATAATCTTAGTCATCGGGGACGACAGTTGACGAAATGACCTCTGTTGACGCAAGGAAGAGCAAGCATAAAAGCAAGCAAACGCGCCGTGGTACTGCTTGATGGAAAGCTGAGCCGCTAATCGCACTGGCTTAGGGTATTCTTTAGCTAAGACGGCCTCAAGTGGTGCTTCATGGAACCTCGGTAGTATGGTTGGGATCACCAGCTAATGATTAGATCACTTGTAATACATCAAATTATGTTATATAAGTTGGAGTATCGTACTTGTTTCTTTCGTGGTTTCGAATGAATTGGGCAAGTGACGCCTATGAAAGTTCATGGAGAGTACAAATGACTGTTATCGGATTTCGACTAATGTACCGTGGAATAACCTCGCTAGCTGCTGAAATCGACGGGTAATTTAGACGGACAATTAATAGCAGATCATGGGAGAAGATGGGATAATATGGTTAAATCAGTTGATGCCTTTATTTGTGCGACTTTCGACAATTTCCAAATAGACAGCTTGAACGGAGCTAATTTCTCGTATGATTACCGGAGGACTCTTATGTCGCGGAAGCAGATTCACTAGACTGAAGAAAGAGACTGTGTTGTGCCAGACCAAGTTAGGTATTTTCTCGGCGTACCTCTCTACCTGGAAACACATTCGGCGCCGAAGACGCCAGCTTCAGCGGCGCCTAAGCCTCCAAAAGCAGCCAATCCCCACGCGAGTGCTGCACTCTCCCAATCCAGCTCTTTGGGCGGTAGAATATCACCCTCAACCACCTGACTTGCCTCCGCAGCTGTAGGCTCATACGCCTCGTCGGGCTCTGCAACCTTCTTCGGCCTTCCACGTCTTCTGGCAGTGCCCAGTACAGTATTGTCACCTGCCACGTCCGAGCCAACACTGCTTATACTGGTTCCGCGAGATTTTGGGGGCCCGCGGCGCCGCAGTTTCATGCCGTTCTCTGTAGCCTGCTCGTTCGAATCAAACTCTTCCTTGACAGCCGAAGGAGTAGACCCATGGTCAGCAGCCACATGGCCCGGCTTCTTATAGAACGGGACCGTAGACAAAATGATGCCCTCGACGTCTGTTGCTCTGACAGCGGTCCAGATTCCGAGACTGAGAGCACACAACAGCACGTCCCAGCCCACTGCTGCAACCACCGGATGATCTCTCGTCGAGCCGAGAACCTTGCCAATAGCAGTGGTGCTCTGCTCCCAAGTTGATCTCTCTGCAATGTCCCATGGTAAGAAACGCGAATGGCGATGATAATGTGAATCGGGCAGATTGTAACGCAAACCGAAGAATGTCGCCTTGGCATGCAAAGCGAAGCTGGCGAGAGATATGAGACGGAATAGTGACGTGAAAGAGCTGTAGGCATCATGGGGATGCGGATGAACTGTGCCCCAAGAAGTAGGTACCACTTTCGAAACAATCAGTGGGAGAAAAGTTGACAGGCGGGTAACAAGTGCAACAGTCACAAAGGATGGCGTTTCAACTGCGTAGGGCAGGATAAACAGGGAGGCAAAGTTGACCAAGACTGCCCCGAGGAGTAAAGCTGGATGTGGACACCAGTTTGTCGGCTTCGGAGGTGATACGGCATGTCTAATGCGAGCCCACCTCGAAGCTGGCATCGGAACTACAGGCAGCTCGAGATGGTCATTTCCAGCTGCGATAGGGGCTGGCGTGAGAAGCAGGGCCAAGTAGAAAAGATTCTGAGCAAAGGACAGGCTGACTAGATGAGCCAAGGCAAGGAATGCGGTAAGCAGAGGAATGTGTCTGCGACGACCCTCGATGGCAAGCAATATGCTCCACGAGATAGAGCCAAGGTCAACCTGCTGTCCCCACCAGAATCGGCGTGCCTTCTCAGCTACGATCTCGAATGCATCATAGTAGATGGGCGTGTCATCCAACCATCGCGCTAGATACACCTGGCTTGCATTGTGTGTACCAGGAAGGAAACCCTTATCGCCGACAAGACTGGATGTATGAATTAGTGACGAAACAACAGGTTTTGGGTTTTGCACAGAAAGACCTACCGATGAGGAAGTTCGACGTCTCTTTCGTGGGCCCAGGCTTTGTACGAGAGAACGGCATAAGATAGAGACGAGTAGGTCGTAGAGACCAACGCCACGGCAGCAAGGCCGGCAAAGACGGGAGCCAACTTCTTACGCCATTCTTGGCGGCGACGAGTGTCCTGAGCTGGGGAGAGTGACTTGTACGACGTGTATAAGCTTGCGCCTACGGCATAAGTGAGGTAGACGACGAGACCCAGGTGAGTAGTAGATAAAGCTAAAGGGATATAACTAGTGAGACAGTTAGTGTTCAGCACTGCATCGGGCGGATCTAGTCGGGAACTTACCTAGGCGGGTGCTCAATAGGCACGGGCGCCATCTTGCCTGCAGTTTATCTGACGCGATCAATCTGTGATCAAAAGTGAAGATGGTGTTATTTTGATGTGAACTCACGCTTCAGACTGCTCCCGGAAGTTGGTAATCGCGTAACTGGCCGTGTTATTAGTGGACGACCGCGAGGGATGCAGGATGACGTCCTGTTTGCTGGTGGTCCCTTTCAGGGCAAGCGCCAACGTTACTGAATGCACCATGTAGTGCCGACTAACCTTGAGGTTAGTGTAGATTAGATGGCCCAGCAGCCGCTAACGCACTGCTAAAACCAACGCCACTAATTCAAGCCCCCTGTTCATCCCCAGCCCACCATGGCGGCTCCCCAATCATGACAGGTCGCATGCGCCGTCTTCAGATCAACCACTTGTCGCGGACATCCACGGTGCCACCAACTCGACAGCAGACCTCTCTCGCTGGATTCTTACAGCGCGGCCTCCCTGTGGTAGTGAGCAAATACAACAAAAGCCAAACATGTACCACCTAGCCAAGGGCCTGTACCGGCTCGCGACGAGCAAAGAGGAATACTCGGTAATTCTCCTCGGTCTCGACAACGCCGGCAAGACCACCTTCCACGAACAGACTAAGTCGCTCTTCATGCCCGAACATCCGGATCCGAAGCTGAAGACCGTGCCCACCGTCGGCCAGAACGTCAGCACTCTAACATTGCCCGACATGTACCTCAAGATCTGGGACGTGGGTGGCCAGATGTCCCTCAGAAAACTGTGGCAGAGCTACTATTCCAGTTGCCATGCCATCGTCTTCATCATCGACAGCACGGACATCGGAGATGGTCTGCTGCCGCTAGGGTCCGCGTCCGACGGGGGCGCCGACGGCGACGCGGCAGTGGGGAAAGAGACTCTGGGGAGACTGGACGAATGCCGCTTGGTGCTCGAGGACGTGTTGCAGCACACGGAGGCGGAGGGCGTCCCGGTACTGGTCCTGGCGAACAAGCAGGATCGCGAAGACTGTGTGGAGGTTGTGCGGATCAAGGAGGGCCTGGTCAAGAAGGTGTTCGAGAACGAGAAGGCCGGATCAATCAGAGACTCGAGAGTCTTGCCCGTCAGTGCGCTGACAGGAACTGGTGTGAGGGAGGCAGTCGACTGGGTCAGGAGCAGGGTGAAATGGAACAAGGAGTCGCGGCCGCCGGTCATGCGGTAGTCACCGCTCGATACGGACGACCAAAGGGACCTGGGGAGATTTTATGGATACGAGTGGGTGCATTTTTGGGTGGCATATGCGTGGCGTTCGGGGTCAAGATTGCGGACTACGGGGTACAGCTTCATCAAAGACAGTGGGAGCTGCATGGGATGGCTCCGCAGGTTATTCTAGATGGTGGGTATCATAATATTTGCAATTGGCGTTGGCAGACATGCTCTGCTACCTCTCATTCTCTGCTGACAGTTCTGCCAAAAGTCCGCCTTTGTCCCTCCGTTTCGAGTCTTCAGCCAGCCTCTGGTCCAGGAAAGTCGACAAGGTCTTGACCTGTTGCATGGCAGTGCTGGCGCATTGTACCAACGAGACAGCCTCGACAGGGGCGCCTCCAAGCTTGGAGACTTGGCATATCTCTCCGTGCTTGTTGAGGCTGATGGTGCAGCTGCTCACTCGCAACTGCTCCTCCAGCAGTGTGGCATCCAGCAGCACCATGTCGGCATCCTCGCCGAAGAAGCTGAATGTGACACACAACGGGGTGTGTAGCCACGACAGGGCCACGGGCTCCCTCTCGGCAGGTGTAAATACCGTCAAGGTCTCTCCCTCCATGCTCGTGTCAGGTTTTCTGAAGTGGCGTAATGCTGCGACGACTGCGAGGCAGGATGCATCGATCAGGTTTCCGTCATGCGATAGGACGTGCAGATCTACTCTTATCGACCACACTTTTTGACCTGCCACAAGACAGAGCGACTCGGTATCCAGGGCATTCGATCGCCGCACTGTCTTCTCCAGTAGTCTCGAGAGCAGGACTTCAGTCTCTGTAGGTCTGTTCACTTCGAAGGCCGGGGACGCCATGGGACTGAGCTCGGTAGTGATTGTGAAGATGCCATCGAATGGGCGGTCGGTGTAAGGCACTGTGACTTCGGCAGACACCTTGGCGAGTACCCTGGAAAGCTGTGTCAGCAGGATTGTATATATATGGTTTGCGACTCAATTTGCACCCACCTCGTCTTGCCCAGGGTGACGTCTGCGACTCCATATTGGTCTCCGAAAGTGAGCTCCAGCTTTCTGAATTGCTCAAACTCGCGGCCGTCCAATCGATGGCCCTCTTGCAGAGCCTGGACGAGAAAGGCTTTCTCGTTGAGGGAAGGTTCGGCCTCGCGCGGCATGGTCAATGGCAGTGAAGAGAAGTGGTAGATCACCAAAATTCAGAAAGTACGGATAATGTATGGAGACGGCTCGCTCTACAATACATGCGTCTATGGGCGGTTTGGAAAGGTGGGATGCTGCTTGTCTGGTGGGGGGCTCTCCAGCTGTTTACTGTAGCTGCAGGCGGCTGCTAATGCTAGAAAATCAAGATCTTGGGGGGTTTCTGCCAGGCGGTCAGGTCCCCCGGCAGACCTGAAGTCGGTACTTTCATGCCTGGACCACCGATCTTCTAGTGTTTAGTCGCACTCTAACCTGACTAACCTTGGACTAACGTGTAGTCCAGCTTCGCCAAAGCTACTTTGAATTGAACCGCTCGCATCGTCGCATCAGACCACCGATAGTTTCACACGCAACACCGACCAGCTGCAGCCTTCTCAACCTCGACTGACCTTGCTGGACAACACACACAAGGAGGGATCATCATGACTACAGCACACAGGCCCACCTTCGATCCCGCTCGTGGCAAGGAAGCCCTGCGCGGTCCTGCCTACCACCAGCGCCTTCTCCCGGCGCACACTCAACTCAAGTTCAGACAGCCCGGCCAGGGAGGCGACGCAGATGCAGATGAGCCCCGCGATCTACGCGCAGAACTCCTCGCCGCCGAGGCTGCCCACTTCGCCAAGAAGAACGGCACCCCTCTCCCACCATCTGGTGACCATGAGCCCATCTCCGGCGGTGCAGCCTCCAAGCGACCTCTGGAGTTGACCTCGGGCCAAGAAGCAGCAGAAGGAGAAGACCTGGAAGCCAAACGGAGAAGAGTGCTAGAAGAGAGTAGAGACATAGACGCGGATTCAGAAGAGGACGACGAAGATGAGGACAGTGATGATTCCAGCGACGACGACAGCGATGATGAGGCGGCAGAGCTCCAGAGAGAGCTGGCCAAGATCAAGGCCGAACGCGCTGCCAAGAGACAAAAAGAAGAGGAAGAGCACGCAGCAAAAGAACAGGAGGAAAGAGAAAAGGACATTGCCCTGGGCAATCCACTGCTGAACAAGCAAAACTTCAACATGAAGAGAAGGTGGGACGACGATGTCGTCTTCAAGAACCAAGCACGAGGCACCGAGGAGAAGGGCAAGAAGAAGGAGTTCGTCAACGATCTTCTGCGCTCCGACTTCCATAAGCGATTCATGGGCAAATACGTTAGGTAGACGCGCTACGCCTCCGACATGGTTCGAAAAATCAGTACTGTATTGCATGGTTCGAGAGACGTCCACGACGAGTTCAGGTCATACTTTCCGGCTTTTGTGGTCACGGATCTCAATCAAGCACGTGTGCCAATCGAGAGCATCGATCTAAATGCTTGGCTGCACCTTGAGTATTTCGCTAGGGTAGATGCTGGGTCCAACCATTGCGCCACTTCGCAATACCCTAAGCTTATTCATCTTCTCCACGACGAGGTATTCGATCCCAGACCGTTCCTTGGGCGTTATTCATTTGATTCAATAGGGCTGTTACTTCTGGCAGGTGTACAGGCTTTAGTTTCGGTATTAGAAGGACATCTAGACATCAGCATCGTATCTCCTCTCGGGTAAAATACTCCTTCTTGGGCCGAATCCCGTGAGAATACGACCGCTAGGCTACCAGAAGAGATGCATCAACAAGGGTGTAGGCGTGGCCCAGAGTAAGGTTAGTTTTGGGTAGATAGCCTATGAACACGTAGAACCATCACAACATCGCCGAAGATCACGCGTCACCTACTCTGAATGACTCAAGAGTTCAAGCATGCCTGCAATGGGTATAGCAAACGGGGCATATAAAAGTCTCCAGAATAATACAAATATGTCCTGATGGACTTCCAATAATTCATTACGGAATAAACTTCGAGATCACCGATGTTAATAAGCGCTTTAACCGCAAAACCAGTCACAAAATATGGGAAAAGGTATGGTAACAAAGTCAAACCACTTCATGTTCAATTTATGCGATGTTATTAAACTTTCATAATGATAGCTTGCCTATCGTGGTGAGTCTCCTGGCCATACTTATTTGAAGCAAGTGCGGACGGCTTATTCATGAACAAACCAGGAACACCATAATGTGTCGATGTAGACATGATTATTGTTCTTTCTTCTGCGTCTTTCTGACTGCAAGACTCGACTGTATATCCCCATTCCTCAATTGATAACCATCCAGCCCAGCTCTCACAGCATCTAGACTCTTCAGTTTTCTCGTGATAGTCCTTAGACTATCAGCCAGCAAGACTACCATACGTCAGTGATAGATTCCGTCTTAGGTTACCCGAATGTAGATTTGCAGTTGGCGACTTACGAGCGGGCACCACGACCCAGGGAGCGTTGAACCCGACGTAGTATACCCAAAAGTAGAGGAACTCTGGTCGGCTGTGCGCTCGACCGGTGAAATACGTCTCGACCAGACTGGTCGAATAATACAACGCGACGCCATAGAGGTGCGCCATACACATGATTATCTGCAGCGGATGACGCAGGTATGGCTCTTTGACAATGCTCAAAGCACACAAGTAGGAGAGCGGGCCCCATAGAAACTGTCGATATGTTTAGTCGCAGGCCAAAAATGAGGAGGAAGTGGTCGTGTCTGGAACAGCAAGAGGAATTGCTAGCGGTTAGGGAAGGGCCAAACCAACCACTGTAATGCTCTCGACGCTCAGCATGAATGGGTCTGAGGTCAGATACCGCGAGTCGGAAAGCGCATACTCTTTCCACAACTGAGCAAAGAGGTTCTGTGATGAGGCAACGGTAGCGTGGTTGAAGACAAAGTATCCTGGCAGTGGTATCAGTTTATTAGATGTTTCCAGAACTCTCCACCGCATAAGTCTTCGCAACCAAACATACCTTCGAAGAAACAGTGCAGCGAACCACCTATAGCCGTCCCTATATCAGCCAGAATCTCGCCATAAGCCCTCTAGTAGATGACTTACACAGAACGAACCAGCCAAAGACTGCTAACTGAGTTCTCGACAAATCAGGGTTGAAGCGTAGTGCCAGTCTGTTTGTCGCTAACAGCACTGAACCGAGCATACCGGCCAGAGCGGCCAATAAGACAGGCACAGGTGTGGTGTTGACGACATAGTGAGGGATCTCAACGCCCAAGGGGTAATAGGGGTGTTTTACCTCCGAGGGCTCTGTGAGCTTGCCGTACATTATTGCACCTAAACGCTGGCGCGACGCGTCAAATGCTCTCCAAGTCACGATTATATCTAGTCATGAAAGTTTAACACGGCTTAATTGTCTGTCGCGATCAGTGATACTGAGTGACTCGAAACTGAGTTAGAGTGCCAATGATTGGTTTACGGGCAGGGTTCGGTAGCTTACAAGGGCTGTCACCCGGCAGGGAGAGGTCTTGTTCCAATCCGTGCACGGGCCAGTTAGTTTCTATCTGAACCTGATGCTATTCTTTCTCAGTTTCATCCCATCACCACCGTCACATTTAGTCATCTTCCACAATCGTTTCTCACATAAAAGATCAGGATGCTTACTTAAAGTCTCATGATACGCCTCCTTTAGCAGGATATAGCGCTAAGCTTTAGTTGGCTTTGACGGGTTTGCGCTTCATCTTCAATGGCCGCTTCTCCCAAACCACAGTAGATCTTTTGATCCAGCCAGTTTCCTTGGTCGCAGCACTCTATTTCGGAGTGCCAAAGAAGATTTGTAATGACCAGCTTCATCCCCTCGTAGGCAAGATTGCGGCCAGTATAGTTGCGCGGTCCGTGGGAGAAAGGCTGCAAGGCCTCTCTCTTGTCATTGTCATGTACAGGATCTTCGCGCATCCAGCGCTTCGGGATGATCTTGTCGGCGTTGTGGGAGTTTCTCTCCCTCCGTGCGGCGGCGTAGATGGAAATGCCGACTGCAACGTCGACTTTGATTGATCCAACCCATGAACAGCTCTCACGCAGGCGCGATATAAGGCTGTTTGTATATTGTTGGGCTCTATCGCTGCTTCGAGGTTTAAAGGAATAAAATAGAGTATGTTGGTAAACAAGAATATTTTAAGATATTTAACGATAATGTAATATGTCACATATTTTGACTAATCTGTTTTGTTATACTTCATATTCCCGCGTTTGCTGCAGATGTGGTCTCTTGCAAGAAGATAAACCAATGAAATACTCTGCTGATCCGCCGCCTGTAGCCTGCTTTTCAAGGAAGGGTATTTTGCGATTTGTCATATTCTCCGTCAATCGTCCTCGTTTTCGAGGTTAAAGACAGCAAACAGGTTTCCATCTGTGAAGCAGTCCGTAGCAACAGCCTCAACCTCGGAGCCATCTAAAACCCACGAGGTGGACGGATATAGTCTGTAGACATTTTACCCAAAGATATCTTCAGTAGGCACAGGCACTTCAGACATCCCATCCAGACAATTTGATACCAAAAAGCATGGGATACTCCAGCAAAGCGCGTATTTAAAAAGGAAGAGAAAAGAAAGACCTCGTTGTAATGCTTGTCGAGTTACTGGGGAAATTCTACATGTACTTGGCAGATGGGAAGGTCTGCCTCAAAGGAATAATACACAGCATTGTACCAAACGTCCAAGTATACAATCTCTCACCCTGGGTTAAAACATGTGTCTTAGTCCTCTTCATCTAAAAATTGTCATACAACCTCATAATTTAATCGAAACAAGTTCTATGTATTCTTGTATTCCTCCCGGGCAACTTGCCACGCTTCGCGGCACGATAGCGCCGCCGTGAGCGAAGATAACTTGCGTGAATCCCATCCGTCTTTCAACCAACGCAGCCACTTTACACGTATAGGTAAGCTGTGTTGTCAAACTAGGATGCGGAGGTCGATCGGGAGATCCCCAAAGAACGGAAAGGTGGACTTGTCATCATATTGTGATTTTGTGCCTGCATCGGCACGCATGCCTGCTCGCGGGCAACATATTAGTGAAGTACGACAGCGGAACATGTTGATGACAGCAAGCAATGTTACTGCCAGATGTTCATGCAGAGGACGATGGGACTGTGAGGATTGTTCAGAATCTGAAAATGGGACCCGTAAACCTCTGTATATTAATTTGCTCACTTCTGCAATACCAACCTTACAAGAGGTGCTTTTGGATCGATGACTTCTTCTTCTGGTCGAAACAAATCTTTTTTTTAAACCCCCTGGTATTGCCAGGGATGGCACCAACTGTCGAGATTTCACTTGAGCATAATGAGTGTTTGAGCATGAACACCTGTTTTGACGACTTGTAGTTATCTATTGGTCTCGGAGATACCGCCTCTTGGATTGTGAAACAATAGCAAGTGTAGCCGGCGCCACTTATTGCTTTTCCATAGAGCAAAGCTCTTTCATGTTTGACACTTGCAATCATATGAGAATGCAACGGTCTTCTGCGGTAAAGTTCAGACTCCGAGAAATTTGACTAGTTAATGGGAATATCATCAACAAAGACTTAACCGCGCCGTGGCGATGACTTGGATATTTCCTTCTTCACGATTGAGTTGAAGTGGCTAACAGGCATATATAGCTCCACTGATAGCCATGTTATGAGCAAGTTTTTGTGGGAGATTCCGCCAGCGCGAATACCCACTGACAACCAACCATTGCTATTGTCGCAACGATCCAACAATCGGCTGAATACAAGTACGGTTTGCGGGTGCCAACGTTCCGATGGCTAACTAGTAAGTCTTTTGAAGCACTGGATGAAGGAGTTGTCGAAAGATGGGACTGTAGATTAACCCATAGGGATTAACGTTGATCCGTGCTGTTTTAGAACCTTTAGCAAGCATTATCAAATTGTAGATCGGTTTCGCATCACAACAAATATTAATAATTGGCGTTGCTGGTTCTCATTAGCTATATCGGAGCTCTATTGGGCACTGAACCACGGCTGCAGAAGTAACTGTGTACCTTGCTGTCCATTTTCAAAAGTATAAAGCGGGCAGACTCAATCCATCCATTCACACCAAGCTTTTCACCATGGCGAAGACACCACCAGCAGGCGGCTTTGCACTGCCAGTGGCATATCGGCTCTTTTTCCTCGTTATTGAGCCCATCTCAGCACTTGTAGGGGCTTTCTATGCGCACTTTCGCCAGCTGGACTACCTTGCTCTTACGCACGCCTCGACAGTACCGACTACAACGCCGATAGGGACTTCAATTATCATGTCGCAACTGGCGAACCTCTATCTCCTGTTCGCCCTCAATGAAGCATTGGTTCTTAGATCAACAGGCGATCTTAAAGTTTGGAAGACAGTTCTCTTCGTCCTGCTGGTAGCTGATTTTGGCCACCTGTATTCTGTCTCGGCAGTGGGGTCTCGGGTCTACTGGGATATCACATCATGGAACGCGATTGACTGGGGCAATGTGCCGTTCGTCTATTTGGGTGCTTCAATGCGTATAGCATTTCTATCTGGCATTGGACTGGGAGGTGGTCAAGCCGCCACTGAAAAGACGAAGGCGAGGTAGACAACAGCCGCTTGGCAAGCACTCGAGCTGCTAATCGGTCGATGTGCTGGAACCGCAACTCCTTGTTTGCCAACAAGATCAGCGAAGCCAAGAAAAAGCATACGAGTTCACGTGCCGAACCGACGGAGGCATGTCAAGGCAAGCCCCGGCGTTGGACGGCTTCACACGCATATAGGACTTGTATGTCGATGCCTGAAGTTTCAAATATATCGTGGCTCGTACTTGAGTTATGCCAGTCGAGAAACCTTTTGGTTGACAACAGAAGACTTCAGCCATGGTGCCGCCCTCGCTGGATTGCATCAGGCAAGCTTTGCGTGACAAGCCCACTGCACGATCTGGGGTAAACCCCGCTCGACACAGTGGGGTTCCACTATTCTTCGAGATTTCAAGTCATTGTAACTTTCTACAATGGCGACAAAAGTTGCCACAAAAGCCTCTGTGTTTCTTTCTTAGCGCAATGAAACACATGTATATCGAAAAAAACGGGGCGACATCCAAATCAATACACCCAAGTTAACACCCTAAATGGACATTGGTGGTCGTTAAATCGTACTCACGGGTGGGTCCTTGATCTAGCGAACGTCTGCTCCAACATACCATGTTCTGAATGGTGGAAATATCGGCGCCCTTATATTGTACCGGATTAACCTATCCAGCACAACTAGCTAATCTCAGCACCAACCCGCGTTTCCAAAGGGGCTATCTTTATGATGGTGGGGTTCACAACGCGACAAGGAGTGCAATGACAGGGGAGCGCTTTCTAAAAGCCGCTTTTGTCAAGGAATTGGATCGTCTTATTGGGCATCGCGGGTAAAGGCAGCTCTCAACACATGCCCCTCATACCCCCTCCATGGGCAATACGGGCAAAGTAAATAGGTGGAGGGCGGGGTGGGATCTCGCGTTCATGATGTACCGAATGCGCCTGGCGATGTGAGAGGTGTAATTTTCCTGCGACATTTTCTTTCCACGTTGCTTGGGAGTTTTCTCTGCCAATTCCTTAACTTTTCAACACCAGAATAAATCCAATATACCCAGTTTTCATTCTATCACCATGCCTCAATACGATCAGTACGAAGGTTTCCAGGTCAAGTCGCCCGACACCTGGACCGAGTTCCACAAGCAGAAGTTCTACACCAAACCCTTTGGTGACTATGATGTAGAGATCAAGATCGAGGCTTGCGGTGTCTGCAGTAGTGACGTTCATACCATCAGTGGTGGCTGGGGTGACCAGAAATTCCCCCTTGCTGTCGGTCACGGTGAATATATCAACTTTCGATCATATATATCCCAAGCGCTGACATACGGAACCAGAGATTGTTGGTAGGGCCCTTCGCGTTGGTCCCAAGGTCACCCTCATCAAGGAGGGTCAGCGAGTCGGCGTTGGTGCTCAGTCTTGGTCCTGCCTTGAGTGCCGTCAATGCAAGAACGACAACGAGACCTACTGCCCCAAGCAGCGTGACACATACGGAGCTGAATGGCCTGAAACGGGTATCGTCACCCAGGGAGGTTACTCTTCCCATGTTAGAACACACGAGCACTGGTAAGCCTTGCCAAATTCAGGTGCCGGCAAGAAAAACAGGACACTAACAGTATACAGGGTCTTCCCGATCCCTGATGAGCTTCCCAGCGAGCTTGCAGCCCCTATGCTTTGCGCAGGTATCACAGTGTACAGCCCTCTGGTACGAAATGGTGCTGGCCCAGGCAAGAAGGTCGCCATTGTTGGTCTCGGTGGTCTGGGACACTTCGGTGTTCTGTTTGCCAAGGCTCTAGGTGCTGAGACTTGGGTCATCTCCCGTACGCACAGCAAGGAGGAGGATGCCAAGAAGATGGGAGCTGATGGCTTCCTTGCTACTGCCGATAAGGGCTGGAACGAGCCTCATAAGAGTAAGAGATTTGTCTATACATCATTTGTTAAGTCAACTCGCTAATGCGCACATCGCAGTGACTTTCGACTTGATCATTTCGACAGCCAACGCTTTCGGTAGTGACTTCGACCTCAGCGGCTATCTTTCCATTCTGGATGTTCACGGCAAGTGGATTTCCGTTGGTCTTCCTGAGGATGAGACCTTACAGATCAAGCCCCAGGATCTGATCAGCAACGGTGTTCTGGTTGGTTCCTCGCATCTCGGTAGCCGAAAGGAGATGCTGGATATGCTGAAGCTTGCCGCCGACAAGGGCATCAAGTCGTGGGTCGAGACAGTGCCCATCAGCGCTGAGAACCTGTCCAAGACGATGCAAAGATTGCAAAATAACGATGTGCGCTACCGTTTCACCATGGTTGACTACGACAAGGAGTTCCCGTAAATAAAAGATAGCACGCCAAGTGATATCTTAAGGTTTGACAAGGCATAATAACAATAAAATATGAATTACACCTGCTTGTGCCCTGATGAACCAACTGTACACTCTCCACAATCGTACTCTCTCCGTGTCGTGGTCATTAGATACGTAATGTACAAAGTTCTCATCTCGATGTCTTCTTTTATGACGCCACAATCCCTCAGTGCGATGTACATCATGCACACTCTCCGGATTTTTGGCATCATTGATTTTGTCGTTTTTCCTTGACTAATCGAATCAGTCGACGTATCTACCCTGCAGTTGTCCTGAGGCCGGCCACATTCTTGTGCTCCAAATGTGTCTTGTCTTGTCAGTAATTACCGTCCCCTTATGGGCTCATCTAGGAGAACACAACCAGAATTGTCTGCCAGAGGCTGGTCCTTTCTCAGAGTTGCCTCCATGTTCCCTAAATTTTCTAACAATTTTCTTTCTTGCTGAATTTTCTATGCCTAGGACTGGTATATGCACGGGAAAAAGACCGCGAAGTAGCACAAATCGATAACAGGTCGTACTCAAGGCGAGTATATACCTGATTCCCAATATGCCTCTTTGGTCATTCATTTGGATACTTGGACGAGTCCTACCAGCAGGGAAATCCCTCCACCCCCAAAGGCCATCTGGAAAGCTTCGAAATGCGCCAAGTCACTGCATCTTGAAAATCATATCATCGCCAACCCTGTAATGGCTAGCTTAAAACTGAAATTGAAATCATAACGCCCGCGTCTGCTTGAGTTTGGACATCCCAAATGTCGAAATGAACATTACTGACAAGTACTCATATTAATTACCGCTTACAGTATCCGTGAATGAACCTAAGCACTAACCAGTTTCGGCCTCTGTCTGCGAGGGTTCTGTCTAATCACCCCGGCGCCTGTAGGGAACACGACCCCATAATTCGCTCCGAAGCGTGATCTAATCTTATCAGATCCGAGCTCTCCGTTGTTGACTCCGGGCTCGGCTTCAACTTCGGTGCGAAGCACTCCGACATGACATAGGGCCAGATGGCGGCAGGTAGTGTGCTTTACAACCTATAAATTAGGATTGTCGGTATGCAGTAGATTATGTGCAGAGCTTACACACTCATTCCTGAAGCTTGTGTATCTATCCTTAAGGTCAAATTGAGAATATGACCTCTGTAGATTCGGAAAAGTCACCTGTGGCTTTAGAGACTGACACAAACTTAGAGCCAAATGACTTCACCAATGCATCGCCAGAGACCGTGACCAGCGATGTAAGTGTAGACATTATTTTAAACGAGCTAGAGTGAAAGGCGCTCGAAACTAATATAACCTGTGTAGCGAGGGCTCAAGAATGACCCACAAGATCCATACAACTGGCCGACGCGCCGCAAGGTTGGTATCGCCGTGATTCTGTCTTTTGGTCAGCTCGTAGGAATCATGACTGCCAGTATAATGGCTGCAGCACTGGACCAGATCTCGGCCGATCTCCACATGTCAGACTCTCTTATGCAGATGGCCTTCTCGGTGTATGCCCTTGGTCTAGGATTTGGTCCTTTCATCATTGCGCCCATGTCCGAGGTATATGGACGCAAACCTGTCTGGATTGTCTGTAACTCTTGGTATATCTTATGGAACTCGGTCTGTCCTCTAGGCAACTCAACGTTGATGATAGTTGCAAGACTACTGGCTGGCTTTGGAGCGGCGAGCGGAGTCACCGTAAGTCACAGGTGTTGAATTCGAGCTTGATAACTTTTGTATACTTACCACACTATGCAGTTGACTGGACCGGTCCTTGCGGACATGTTCCATGCCAAAGATCGTGGCAAATCTCTGGCCGTCGCGGGCTTCATCCCATACTTCGGGCCAGCCCTTGGCCCAATCCTCGGTGGTCTAGTGGCCCAGCATCTGTATTGGGGTTGGTTCTTCTGGATCATGTCCATATTTGACGCAGGCGTGATAATCCTTGGCCTATTCGTCCTTAGGGAAACCTGTGCGCCGGTTTTGCGACGTCAGAAGCAGAAACGTGCCGCGCAAGAAGGCCAACATACGACCTTATCAACAAGGCCATTCAGCAAAGCCTATTTCAACAAAATACTTGGTCCCATTCAGGTTGCTTTGATGCGACCTATCCGCCTGTTGTTGTTCCGTCCCTTGACTTTCTACATCTCCTTCAATTTCGGCATCGATTTCGCCATGTACTTTCTGGTGCTCTCAACTTTTGCCACGATCTATATTGACCAATACAACGAGTCAGAAAGCTCGAGCAGCTTGCATTACATAGCCATCGCGCTAGGTAGTGTCCTTGCAACCCAAGCCGGGGGGCCGTTGATGGACCTTCTCTACCGTTATCAGAAAGCCCGGTCACCTGGTGGCAATGAGGAGAAACCAGAATATAGGGTGCCATTGATGGCGATGGGCGCCGGAATTTTCCCGGTCGGACTCTTATGGCAAGGATGGGCAGCGCAGACACGAGCGCATTGGGCTGTAGTGGACGCTGGGGCAATGGTATTGACATTCGCCAGCTTCATATATTCCCAGTCGTTCTACGCGTACTTGTTGGACGAATTCACTCATACGGCATCGGCAAACGCAGCTGTGAGGATGTTTTCGTACTTCCTTGCGTTTGTCTTTCCCCTTTTTGCTACGCAGCTTTATGACCGCCTTGGTTATGGCTGGGGAAACACTTTGCTCGCCTTGGTATTTGTGGTTTTGGGCTTTCCGTCAGTTGCAGGACTGTGGTTTTTCGGACCAAAGATCAGGGGGTTGGGGAAAACAGAGGAAGCTGCGGTAGACATTGACTAGATATTAATCATATGAGGTAGGCGAGCGAGACTGTCAGTTTTCTTCGAAATAATTGCTCGCTATCAAGTCAACATGGAAGAAACAATCACTAAAGTAGTGGTGGCCCAGGAGCTATAATAAAATGAATAGTGCACGATATTGACAATCAATAAATTCCTGTACAGAAAGAAATTACAATGTAGTGTCATAATAGCGCCTTGTAATGAGCGCCATAACAGAGCGCCCGACCGACAGTGTCAAAGCCCGACATGTAAGACAATGAGTGCATTCAAGTTGCCTTTTAGCCCTAGGTCTTATGAGCAGCGTAACGTCTCTCCAAATACCAAGCCGGACTCTGAATATGTTAGCGAGTTCTCCTTGTTTTACGTATTATCTTGGTCCGAGAGTTGCATATCTCATCCGTATGATCCCACTGAGGATGGGCTGAATCGTACACAGCATTTCTGTGTACCTCGGTCGTTTACACCAAGCTTTTTGAGGCTTTACAGGTCGGCTAACCGGTATGCTGCAGCATTAGCCAACGAAGGCGGTGTGACGTTTGATATCATGTGAATCAACTTCTGGCGACCGGTAGAACCGCCCGTATAGCGCTGCGTGGACCTTTATTCGACAGTATGTTCATATAGCCTCAAAGGATCACCACAAAGATCTCTTTGGGAAAATGAACACGTCGCTGGGGGCAATTGTAAAGAGAATTTGACACATTATAAGTACTTCGAACCAACTCTACGTATAACAACAAGGCGAGTAGGTTAAGTTCCGTCGTACAGGATAATTTCAAAATAGTGATGCTGAGACAATTGTAGAGTGTAAGGACCAGGTGAAGTTGAGTGACTACGGCTCGATATCTATGAGACACTGTGCATCTGATCACAAGCACTCTTTGTTTCGTAATGATAGGTTTCGTCGAACATGATCACAACTTAATAGCAAGACCTTACCTACAATGAAAAGAAAGTCATCGCGGCCGATCGCTTGTTCTTTTGCAGCACTTGAAAGGGCTTCCTTTGGATCAACTTTGGCGCCATGTGGGCAGAGCGCCAGTAATGGAGTCTTAATCCAAACCGGTTTGGTGGCATTCGAGCAGGAAGCACTGGCTCAAGCATCTTTCGAGTCGCGCCAGAAGTATCAAGTCCGTCAAGAACTCGAGTCTTCAGATGAGTAGAGTTGCTTGCAGAAGCTTACCTACAGAGCCTGCAATCGGCCGGAAGATATCTATAATGAGATCGCGTCCATGTTGCATGGCAAGATACCCTCTCAAAAGCCAGAGCTGACCATCGTCCTTGGTCTTGTTGAACAAAGCGGACTTCTCGGTAACCGAGATGACCCCAGGGCGGAAACCTGGGAGAGTCACCCATTCACAGAACCGTGGTGCGCAGCTGGCTGATCGTGATCAAGGGTGAGAAAGGCACGCACACCAATGCCGATTGGCTGGGATACAACCCATACACGAATCCAACGCATCAGTGCAACCGCCGTAAATATGAAGGATGATCGGCACGACGAAAGAGTTGAAAATCAATAGTCGTCGGTTTTTCCGACGATGCTGATGCGGATAACCCGATCGTGCAGAGTTGAGCTCTTGGCAGAGTTTGGGTGAGGGGCTGAAGGTAAAACGAATGTCCACGTGTTGTCGTCGTCGTTGTCACGGTGTTGTTTCCAAACAAAGTTAACTTTATCCGGCGGTAATATGAACCAAGGTCTGGAGAGCATATGTGCTGAGTGCAACACAAATAAATGGCGGCTCTTGAGGTGGCTCTGATGTAATCTGCACCATAATGGCGGAATTCCGTTTCACGATGAGAACACCGATGTTTGAGCTCAGTGACTGTCGCCCTCGTCACGGTTGGTGAGCATGTATTGCAATATTCTACGAAGGATGTCCGGAAAATGATGTTGAGTGTCTGCATAATGTTCCTACTTTCCTCCATTATCGTCGAGCAGGTCAAATGAGAAATGAGCTTATGACTCAACCTAGAGGCTGACTATTACGTCGAAACTTTTCTACATCAGAGCTGAGCTAACTCAGCATGAGGCTGAGCGCATGACATCCCAAAGCTACCCCATAATACATCGAGTGCAGGGATTTAGATGAGATGTTCTAAATTTGATCCCCTGACTGCTGAGTCGTGGGCCGGTCTTAGCTTGTGTCGCATTCTCGACGGGCCCTGAAGCGGTCGGAGCTAGCAGTCCTCATGGCGCAACCGATAACGCGATTCCGCCATCGCAAAGCTTGGCAGCCAGGCATTACACACTCCGTACATACATGCTATGCCGTTCTGCGATTCACTGCAAGCAGCTCAACACTACACAAGTACACATGTACTCTGTAAAACAGTCAACTAATGAATCAACCATGACTGCCTAGCCATAAATTACAGAAGTAACCCATTGAAACATTATGGAACGTATGAGATGATTAGCATTGCATGTCAAGTGTGATGATAGCGATGTTGGCGACGAAGTATTCTGTTCTTGGAATCCTTTTGAGGTCCATGTACAGATCTGCGGCTTATGCCCGCTCGTTGTACCTATGTAGTCATGCGTAGCGTCGTCTGGTTGCAACAAAGGATCTGAGCGACCTTTTGCCATGGCTCACATCAGGAACAATAACATCGCTAATAAAAGACGAGAAGGGGTCACAATGTGAGTACACCTAACGGTTGGTGAGTATGCATCATAAACACAAGGATTGCCCGCCCGTAATAAGCTGTTTGGACTTTGCGGTCGGGCAACAGGCGCCTAAGTTGGTGCTCAGTGTGGTCCTGAGTGTTCGGGCTGCGTAACAGTCGCATCTGCGTAAAATCTGGGGAGGGAGGGTCCATCCAATCCACTGTATCTGTAGGTTCCCGTTGACGAGGAAATCCAGATCGGGATTCGAAGTTGCATCTCTCCACCAACCGAGTGTTGGCTCTGTGCACAATTCTCCGTCAACACTTGGGTACTTGACGCTTCAGCTGAAGGAATGCTTGTGGGCGTTATAAAAACCCCAAGCGTCATTTAATGTCGAGACCGTCAGTGAAACCGAGCACAGGGTATAGATTGGTCTGTTGGCCATGCTCATTACTGTAGGTGGCTCAGATGCCCCCAGTCAGCCCGGCTGCATTCAAGAAATCTAGATTCTGACATTCTGACCCAACCAAGACCTTTTTGATTTCTTCTTTTCCGGCTTCGTCATGCTGTTGTGATATAACTGGCTTATCATACATATATCAACCATGTATTTGACGGGCGTCGATCCTTCTGCCAACCTCTCACAGCAGTGACACACCATATTCGGTTGGGCTCTCTATCCTCACTTCTATAAGCGCTGATGTCTTCTGTCTTCTGTCTTCTGTCTTCTGCCTTCTGCTACCCACCGCTCTTTCCTGTCATACGGGCGATTCGTCCAGATCCGGTTTACCGAGTTCCCACGCCGGGCTTGACAAAGCGCAGAATCACCTCAGATAGCGTTGCATTCCGTAAGTCCCTAGCATTCCCTAGCGCATCGTGTATCCATCCCTTCGAGTCTCGACATATCCTAGCCTCCTCAACGCAAGTCTACAGCATGTACAAAAGCTGTTGGACTCTCGTTTCCCCACGTCTCACCCCATCTTATTCCAGGACCCCTACGCGATGCTGTAAAGTACGTCTTGTTGGTCTAGGGGGCCGTTTAGTTCGGCAGACGCGCATACTTACTGGTGCATATGTATGCACGCATTCCCGCCACTGGCGCAGCCGCAAACTGATGATAGTCTGGAAAAGCGAAGAAAAAAAGTGACACACGACTCGCTACGGGCAGTACCCTCCAAGACCCGACCTGCGTAAAAGCACGTTGGTCTCTCCCTAGACCTGTCAGATTGAACTCTGACTTTAACTGGACTCCTGGGAAATAAAGGAACCAAGGGATATTACATGATTCAGTCTAATTCCGCTTCGGACCTCCCGCTAACTAGTCGATACGCAAAAGTTGTTCCCAGCATTCCGCTAATAGGCACTCGACGACCACCCGCTTCACTTGTTTACTTATTTCTGGGGACCCCGGCCCAGGGATCGTCGACCTTCATTTCCCAGACACCTATCGATTATTAGTTCTAACATCTTACCCTGCCATCTTGCTGAACTGTGTTTTCCTCCTTCAGCTGTACATTACATACCAAGTTGCTGCACGACAAACCACAGGCGCATTTGTGCCAAGATACCAACCCTTGAACGAGCATGGTGAACACTGCTAGGCTGCCAGTCCCTGAGTGGACGCCGGCGCAAAGAATAATACAAGATTACGAGCCTTCCACGTCAGGCGCAAGCGCTTATTCCAACGACACAGGCGCAGAAATCGAAAAGGACTTCTCAGAACCCATCCGGCCAGCAACCGCCAACCCATTCCAACGCACACGCAGTCTCAGCTCGACTGTACATTGGAGGAGGGGGCCTAAATCACTTATGTTGAACGCAGGGGATCTTCCTGCCCAGATGAAGGCACATGACAACGCGATCGAGGAGGAGCTTTCTCCGGGAGCGCAGAACGAGGGCTGTGGCAGTGGCGCCTCGCTCAAGGGCAGGTTTAGGCGTGCCTCCTTGAGTCTTATGAAGGGCATTGTGCGTCGAGACCGCCGAAGTTCCGAACCCGAGACTGTCCTCGAAGATCAGCAGCAGCCGCAACATCATCATCATCATCATCATCAGCAAAGGCCATCTACAGCTCATTCGGCATGGCATAAGTTACGACAAGCTACCAACTTTAGACAGTCGAGATTGTACGGTGGGCGGAGCAATGGCCTCGATACCATCTACTCGCCCCTTGAATCGACATTTTCCGAAGTACCACTCCCTGGCAACGGGCTCGAACCACCGTTCATCCCTTCTCACACCGGTGCCGCTGCAAAAGCGTCCGCTGCATATCAAAATGAATATCTGGCCATGGTGCAAAGGGAAGAATGGACAGTAGAGCACACGCACAATGATCGCGAAAGCGGAATTGGCATCTCCATCATGGATGCTTCGGAAGTAGAGCTAGCACCGCGCATGAACACGGTCGACTTTATTTCTAGGTTGCCCTCGGAGCTTGCTGTCCAGGTTCTCTCGCACCTTGATGCCACATACCTAACTGCGGCCGCACGAGTCTCAAAACAGTGGTATAGCCTCGTTCAAGATCAACAGATCTGGCGCCAGAGCTTCCTCAGAGAGAAGACCACCGGATATGCGATCACGGATTCAGTCCAACCTGGCACAGGTCATGGCATCCCTGCTCTTCGTTCTGGAAATGATTGGCAGAAGATATACAAGGCAAGACAACAGCTCGACCAACGTTGGAGGGAAGGCACAGCTGCACGGCCCGTCTATTTGAATGGCCACCTTGACAGTATATACTGTCTCCAGTTTGATGAGTATGTTCTTGTATTCATAACGGGTTTCGTGGCCAATCATAAACTAATTCATCTTCCTAGGTCCAAGATCATCACTGGATCCAGAGACAAGACCATTCGTATCTGGGATATGCATACCTTCCAGTGTCGACTCGTCATCGGGCCGCCCGATGTCGTCCACGATACATCGGTGCTGTTCGATACCAATGGTCGCCCTGTCCACTATGCTTCGGTACCGGAGAAGGAACGCGACAACGAGTCAGTCCCTGCTACTGTTTCTTTCCCTACTCACCACAAGGCTTCTATCCTGTGCCTCCAATATGACGATGACATCCTCGTGACCGGTTCCTCAGATGGTACATGTATTGTGTACAACATCAAGTCAGGATATCGCCCAGTCCGTCGCCTGGAACATCACACTGCCGCCGTCCTGGATTTGGCATTTGACGACAAGCACATCGTTACATGCTCCAAGGACATTAGCATCTGTGTTTGGGATAGGGCTACAGGCGCCCTGCTCAAGCAGCTCAAGGGCCACACGGGGCCTGTCAATGCTGTCCAGCTGCGCGGCAACAGCATCGTTTCTTGTTCCGGTGATTTTAAGGTGAAGCTGTGGAACATCGACAGTGGCAAGGTTGTTCGTGAGTTCGAGGGTCACACCAAGGGTCTTGCGTGCAGCCAGTTCTCCGACGACGGCCGGTACATTGCATCTGCTGGTAGTGACAAAGTGATTCGTGTGTGGGACGCCAGAACTGGTGAATGCATCCGAGAGATGCAGGCACACGAGAGCCTGGTTCGCAGCCTACACATCGACAGCGTCAGTGGTCGCCTCATCAGCGGCAGCTACGACACCGACATCAAGGTTTTCGATATGGCAACAGGCGACCAGCTGCTCGACTTTCCCCGCTGGCATGCCAGCTGGGTGCTCAGCGCGAAGAGCGATTATCGCCGCATTGTCAGCACCGGACAAGATCCCAAGATCCTCATCATGGACTTTGGTGCCAATGTCGACGACATAGGTATGCTCGAGAGCGCTCCTACAGCTGATGTTGCTCGAGATGCTGGTTTCATCTAGGAGATGGCTAAGCGCCGACACATCGTAATTTATAATTGCCGCGTTTTACAGGCAGTAAGAGATATTGACCCTTACGGGTCCTCTCTACAGGCTTTGGCGTGACGCGGTTTATCTTTCCAAGCGAGATTTGAGCATTATAGATCGCGAGTCTCTTTCATGTCAGTCTGTTTTTTGTTTCATGCTTGAGGGTCCGGCATGGTACAGCATAGCATAGCCTGGCATACGGTTCTCCATTGGGTAGAGGGCACGCCCTTGACCAAATATGATCATTCTGGGCAGATATTTTTCAGGCGTTTCTTTGGTCTTCTGAATCAAACAAGTCATTTATTTGCGATGGTGTTTCTTTTTCCGTTAGAATCTCAAGCATTGCGAAGCGATTTTGGGTCTGAGAATTGACAATACAAAGCTGCGTCATTGTTGCCGCTCCGCTGGAGCAGATGGTAGAGATGAACTTACTACGGCGGATAGAGAAGAAACAAAGAAATTTGCTGCTGAAACATGCTCGTATGCTATCTGCACCGTGCATGCTGCTATTGAGTTCCGGCTATACAGTCAAAGTGAGATGAGAGTCTGTTTTGTCTTGATACCTGTTCGTGTCATTGTTTTATCCACGCGGTAGATCTGTATGGCCGACCTTGTCGTTTCTCAAGCTGGTACGCTTGCGTGAGGCATGTGCCATATGCTGCTGTTTTCTACTTGATGCCCATTTACGATATACGTCCAGCCCTTCCGGACTTCTCCTGCCTAATGTCTTCCTCCGGAGAGAGGTCTGCAACTCAACAAGATATTCCTTGCACATAGACTCCGCGGCCTCACTGCGGCCAAGACGCCTATCGAAATATTCGACGGAGCCGCACAGCCATAAGTGCCGGTTCAAGTTCCACGCCTGTCCCCCTGCGGTTACGACCAAGGCCCCCCGAGAAGGCACCTCGGCTTCCTTGTGCAGTCACGGCGCTGCCTCTATACTGGACCAGGATTCGTGCCAGGCTATAAAATTCTTTTCGTTGCTATCGCCTTGCCTCGGACCTGTCGTCGCACTGCCGATGATCCATGTCGCGATTCATGGCATATGACACCTGTCGGTATGGTCACAACTTACCTGCCCGCCCAGCCCAGCCACTTTACACCCTAGCGCGAGTAACATCGTGTGTGGCAGCTGTATGTTGTTCGCCCGACTTCTGATACGGTTGTGCTGCTCGTCGGACTTGTCGCCGCACCGCCACTTCTCGGAGCCGCCCGTGGAAAGGGGTACGATTGCATGGCGCCCATGTTCCGGGGGATAAACGACTCTCAGGGTCTCTGGTGACACTCTTCAGCGGTGCCGCCATGGCTGTTACACCGGCTCCCCTCGGCATTGCCACGAGCACCTCTTCCAATGATCCGTTTGCCGTATCTATAGTGGACTGTAGGCGCATCGAACCGAGCTCAGTACCGTGTGTAAGGGATAGCTGACCCCTGATGCCCTGGGCCGAGTTGGTGTTGAACCTGCTTGGACTCTTTTGCGTTTATGTTCTTCCTCCAGCCTGTCGAAATTTGTCCCTTTCGACCATGTTCTGACCAGCACATCACACATCGCGCCTTCGAAGAAAAGCCAACAAATTTCAGGCAGAGTGGTTTACTGATCCCGTTGGGCGAAATCCAACTTGCACATCCTGCGCCTGGAAACCGAAGCCCAAGTCGCAAGGTGAAATAAGCCAAGGACATTATCAACCCATACGAACCGCGAAAACCATGTTGCGCCTGCATGGTTTCCATGACCCTCCCGAGAGGCTTGCCGAGTTCGTAGTACAGGCATCGGATCGTGTCTCTGTGGAGTTCATAACCCTCCGCCCTCGCTCATGAAGACTGCGACGAGAATGCCTCTGCCATGGCCCGCACAAGATAAGCCCCTCGGTGTGTGTGTTCGTATGATCGAAACCCAATGGTAAACCCGGTAGTCCGGACAGGGATATCAGACAGTCTAAGGGGGGTTGTTCAATGCGAAAGATGGCAACCGAGCCATGATCGTTGGCCTTTGGTGCCTGCTTTAACTGACGCCCTCGACAGCGTACGAACTCGGATGACAGATGTCCTGCTCGTTGATAGGCATAGCGCTCGCGCCATTGAGCAGCGGTTGCCTGTCGGTTGCCACCAGGACGGACTTCCAAGGCGGTATGGTTATCCCGGAACGAGCAAGAAGCGATTCGCTGCCAGAGGGTGACCAGTGACTCGACTCTTTCGCGGCCACTATTGCTATTGAATATGTTTTAAGTAGGTACAACCAAGAGCATCTTCCAAAGTTGCGAAACATGTTCAAAAAGACAAATGAAAGGGAGTGGCTGGTCATTTGAAAACAATGATATCAATGTAATTCAAAGCCCTCCACTTTGCTACATCTAAATGCTCCTACATACTGTGGACCTGCAGGGAACTGTCTGGGTATATCACAAGAGAGGAAGAAAGTACACTTCCCGCCACAGGCATGAATTATATGACTATCCTATTCCACTGCATCGATTATATCTCTCAAGTATTGATAGGCCTTTGCTCTCCTCCCTTAGCCTTGAGTACCTCAACCCGCTGCAAACGAAGTACAGACGCAGATGGGCACGAAGAGCAATACTGATAAGGCGCCCTATAGCCTTCATTCAACGCCTAATGCCGCCCACCATGCAATGAAACAATTATAAAAAAAAACATTTCCTTTTCCGGTCCACAATGCAAAGGATGGTGAATATTATGAAGTCAGCCTAAAGACTCGATTTCATTGGAATCATACCGCGCTGATGTACAATGGACTTGGGAAGTAATGATATAGTACCTGGTGAACGCAATGAAGGGTGTGTGCAGATGAGTACAGACCAAAAAGGGAGCACATCCCGAAACATGTAATGCAGCTAGTATACAAATGCCAGGAACTGGAGCATAGGCCAGCTTCCGAGGGAACCCCCTGGCAAATCGCGGAAATGAAAGCAATCTTATGATCGAGGTGCGCTGCCTTGGGGTGAAACATTGTAGCACAGCTCAGATAAGATCCGTGACGCGCCATGCCAGTACTCCCATGTCTCAACAAAAAGCTTAGTCTAATGGCTCATAACCGTGGTCTGTTTCTGACCTCCTAGTTGCTCTCTTTCGAACTCCAGTCTATTGAGCTCGTTCTCACGTTCAAGTTCTGCCTCCTGCTGGCGCAACGTATCTGTATCAGCATCGACTGGTGGATCGACTAGAGCATCACCGGCAGGGGGTGGGGGCGGAGGCGGCGGAGGTGGCGCATCTTCTTCCTTGACACGTTTTGGCGAAGGACCGGACGGTGTCATATCAACGTCATCATCTCGCTTTCGCTTTTGCTCGGGCGGTGTTGAATCAATACCCTCATCGTCGGACATGATAATATCATCCTCAACTTTCATGTCGTCGTCGAGCTTGGTCGTACCCGTGGGCGTACCAGAGAAGCTATTGGCGCCGCTTTGGCCCTTTTCGGACTTCTTCTTCTCTGCCGCGTTGTATTTGATGACAGCCTTGTCGAAGAACTCCTTGACATATTTCTTGATCTTGTGTTCCTGCTTCTTCGATACCGAGGTGGGATCTTCGACACGATTGTTCTTGTAGTCGGAAGAAACCAGTTTTTTGTTGATCTCTTTGCCGAACTTCTTAAGGTCATCTTTCGGGAGCTTGTGCCGGAACTTGTCCATTACGTATCTGACGTGAGGGAAGAGCGTGTTCTCGTAGATCCTCATCTGCTTCTCGAGTGGGTACGATCGCCACTTCTCTTTCTTGGGCTCCTGGACCGGCGTGTTGATCTGTTGTGGCGTATGAGTCGCGGACTTGGGCTTGGACAGAGAATCGATAATGTCCTGCAGTGACCTTTGTTCCTGTGCGGCCCTGGAAGGAGCATTCTGAAAGGCTTCTGGGGCCGGAGTGGTGGGCTTTTGCCATTGCACTGTACCACCCTTGGTGTAAAAGTAGTATTTGCCCTGGTTATCATGGGCTATGAACCAGCCAAGAGGTAGTGTGCTCGGATCAGGAGCACGACGAACCCGCTGCTGGTGGACCAGGTTGAGGTTGCGTTGAGGAACGCTACTACGAGGACCTTTCGGAACGTTATCTGGTAAAGCAATTTGAGCAACTTTGTGTTGTGGTTCTTGGCGAACACCACGCCGTTCTTCGAAGGAGTTGGTAGGCAGAGCAGTGCCTTGTGCGTTGCGGGCCTTCCGGGGTATACGGTAGCCAGTTTCCAGTTTGCTCCAGACCTCGAGCAGTCGCTTGGATTCTGATGCGATATCTTCGTGGTCGGATTGGCCAAGAGGCTCTATGACCGTCTCAATCTTTGAGTCAGCGATCTTGTTGCGGGTCAAGCGAGGGAATTTCTTCAAAACATCGAGAACCTGGAGGACGACGTTGTGATCATCTTTGAAAGAGTTTAGCGTGGTTTTGAGGATTTCATATCCGTGCATTCGCACAACGTAGGGGAGCAGGCGCTCATCGCAACCTTCGATCCGCTCCAAGAGCTTGACCGCGATCCATTTCTCCTTGCACTGCATGAGCGAAGCCATAACCTTTTGGACACCCTTCTCGTCAAGGCCGCGAGCTTGTACGCTGTTAACGTAGTCCTCATCGTCCTCTTCCAGTCGCTTCTTGCGGGGTTTCTTGACCACGGCCACCGCCGTGTCCCAGCCATCAGCATCGTCAATCCCAAGAGCTTCGATCGTTGCATCGGAAAGCTTGGTAGCACGCTCGGTTTGGGTCTTGCCACCAATGAAGCCAATGCAGTTGGGTTCGGCGCAGTAGCAGGGCTGGGGGTCAGCACCATAGCGGTCGACGTTGTAGTTGAAGACCAGTTCTTCGCCAGCCTGGACCTTGCGACTGGTAAAAATGCCCATGCGCAGCTTGCTGCCAACAACCCACTTGTCCACATAGCAGTTGGGATTGCAGGAGTGGTTGCAAAAACGGCCGAGGTTACCCTTCTTTGTCGCATCGACAAACTCGTGCTTTGTCAGTGACATGAAATAGAAATGCTTGATGCCCTCATGGTCATACTGGATCATTCGGCGTCGGAAAGTCGGCTCGTTGATGACCTCGCCAATATACTCAAAGATGAAGTCGTTAGCTTGTAAATCTCTGTTTGCACGCAGCCCGAAGCCTTTCTTGTCGGTTTTGATGACGGAGACATCGGCATATCTCTTCTGCTGGAATCGCTGGTTCTGACAGCCGTCGCCACAGTTGCATTCTCGGTCGACGCACTCCATCTTCGTGACACGGTTGATGCAGTCGGACTCTTCGTCGCACGCGTGGTTCACGCCGTCACGCCATTCCTCGGCACAATCGCAGTCCAAGGCATCGTGCTCGGACGCACCCAGCGATTTAGACCCGTACAGACAGTCGGGGATGAGCTGAAAATGACCACAAGCCTCCTCGGTCACGTCGGGCACGTCGTCAAAAAGGGCGGGCGGTCGGGGTGCGATCTTGGGGGCTGCTTTCCGCGAGGACTTTTGTGCTTGGATGCCGTTCACGTCTGGGGTCGATGCGCTATCGCTGCGAGGCTTCTGATCCGGGGACATGCTATGCGACCTTGACCTCGAACCGCTCGAGTTCGCCGCGCTGTCATCCTCTTTCTTGATGTCGCCCTCGCTTTTGATGGATGCGACGGCGCCGGACTCGACGGTCAAACCCTCCAGGGCATCGTGCACCCGCACATGCTCCTCGTCGTCCATGGTGCGGTGCGGTCTAGGCCGTCAACGACGGGGTGGACAAGAGAAGTTCTCGGGTGGCCAATTGATTCGGTGGGAGAAGGGGCGATGATAAGGGATGGGGCTTCGTACGAAGAAAGGATGCTGCTGCGACACGACGATTCGGATTCGGATCCGGATCGAGAAAGGAGGGCGACTTCACGACCACTGCCACTTTTTGTTCTGCGCACAACGCTATGTTATGAAAATCAGTCCAGCTTGAATAGCGCCCCTGCCCTCTGGGTTACGGCTGTGGTTATCCCCCCCCAACGTGCCCGCTAAAACAATGTTGCTTTCCCAGCCCAGCCGTATTGGCCCAGTATTCCTTGAGCGAGCCTCGAACAATCCCTTGCCGAGCAGTCTATTGCATTCTGGTGGCCGAGTTGTGTGTCCTGGCAGGTTCGGGAGAGAATATCCGTTCCGGGGGAGAAGAAGAGGCTGAGGAGAGCGCAGCGAGGAAATGTGGCCAGGACCCGAGATACTGTCTGCTACCGCGTTGCTCGTTTTGGCATGGCAGCGCGTTCGCGTCAACCGATCCTGAAGGTGTGCTTTGGCTTGGCTCTCTTCAATTCTTGCACATGTTACCCGATCGAGAGTCCAGATGCGCGTTTCCCAGACGGTATGTGCCCAGCAGTGGATTGTGGTATTTGAGGGTGGAAGGCGCTACGAATCTGATCTGGCACAAGAAATCATCGCCAGTCAACTTACTTACTCAGGTTAGTGGAGGATAGCGATAGCCAAGCCAAGCCAAAAATGCGATTCACGCGGTCCGTCGGTCGGTCGGGGGATAATGGCGGAGAATGCCCGATGGCAAAATTCCCCCCACTATTTCATCTCGTCCAATTGTGCCACTCCAATTCAGCACTCGCTAACCTTAGTTTACTATATGGTACCTACGTTTTTGTCAATTCGCAAAAGGGCTACCCTAGACTCATCATACGGTTTACATATGTGCATCCATCGGTAGACTAGACTCGCCTGTAAATGCACGGTAGCCATTACCATCAAGCGCTCACCTTGGTTGTTCCTGAGTGCGACGGGTTACAAGTGGCCATATATCTTGAGCAAAGCCGCAACTTATTCCTGACTGCCCAAAGAGGCGACGACGCATTGGACAAAATTATGCCGAACACACACAAGTTCCAATCTAAACAGCATGCGCGCCAGCCAGTCAACCAGCAATGATTTTCTCGTCTATGACTATGTGGCCTAGATGGAGCTTGGTAATGGAGTATTGCGAATGGCCTGTAATGCGCTTCCACATGTAGATGTATGTATCAAATAGCAATAGTTAGCGTGTAACAGCACCCCCCGAAGGAAACTCGACCGGAATGCCTTCCTCGTGACCCGTACGTATGTGTAAAACTTGCCTCGACGGGTGAAATTCGCTTTCTCGAGCAATTGGCTGATCCATACCATACCATCAGCGTTGTGCTGTGATGAAATGATGTCGTCTTGAACTGGGGTATTGATTGAAGACTGGGCTATACTCTGTGTAGTGCCAGCGCATCCCGCATCTCGCAGATCCAGCATCGCCATCCCCGGATTCAACTTCAAACTATTCGATATTGGGCTCGGAGCCGCCTACATGTCCAGTTCATATCGACGGGTTGTACGTTCAAGTGGGTCCTATAGGAAGCTGCCACCTCATGCCAGCGCATTGTGCATGTAGCAGAGCCCAAGACCTGCTGGATTGATGAAAAGGCGGTATGGGCCATGGCCCATATAAGAGTTGGATGTGGTGCGCATTAGGATTTCGCCTGACAGAAAACTGTAATGCAATGCTTGTCTCAAATCATCAGTCAATCTTTGTCCTACACTGTATACTCAAGCAACACCAAGTATACTCGTCATGTATACTCGGGAGATCGACCTGCATTCGCGGCTCGAGCCTGCTTATTTAATGGACTGTGACGAACACCTGATCCGTGCTCACTGTCAACGTGTGAAGGCAGCACAAGGCACTTCAGCGGCGTGATTGGCGAACCCACAGCGACCCTCAACCAGTCAACCAGCCTGGAGCATGTCACTACCGAGCTTGGAAGATTCAAGTAGCTGCAAGGCCAGCGAAGCAGCGAAAAACAACCAATGGCAACGACGGCCGGGTTCGCAAGGACGATACTCCTTACAGCAGAATCGAGGAACCGTCTCTCTACAGATTCCTCCTCGTATCTTCTCACCGTCTGTTCTTATGTTGGGCACTGAAGGCGGGGCGCAATAATGATGACAGGCCGATCGCCCCAGCGTATTATTCGGGGGGCTCTGAGGGGTGTATTTGCTCTCACGCACATTGGGCAAGATGGCGCACCATTATCGATCCAGCAGCTTATGGTTTGGTCTGTCCAAAGAAAAGCAAGATTCCCACCGTCATTAAAGTCAGGCGATCAACCCAATTTGTTTCGAGTGGTCAGCCGTCTCGGGTTCTCGAGGATATTATTATTATTTGAAAATATTGACGACTCAGATGAATCGTGCATCTGCAGAAGCGCACCAGCTGCATATCGCCAATCCACTCAGAATTCAAGCCGAATCTTTGATGGCTGCAACAAGCTCGCGTAGTTCCCTCGAGGTGTGCATTGGCAACAAGTGCAACATCTGACTTTAACGTCGCCCCCCGGGCCATTGGCAGCGGAACAACAAGGTTCTGCACGCCTCGATTTCACTGCACAGTTCCCGTTTTGGGATCTGTGTTTTATTTGCTTGCAGCCAAACGCACGAGCTAAGGCCGCCTGCGCTGCAATTTACCCTCGCCCTACTGCACTCAAATCAGGGACAACCTCGTACAGCGGACCTGGAACTCCATAAGTGAGAAACTCTGGAAATTGGATGCCCTGTGACCAGAGACATTCTGGCACGCTTTCGCCTCGAACCCGTTCCGAGTTCACTTGTAGTGAGTGCTGGACACAAATATAAAATTACACTACAAGGTACATTTCAATGTATACGTGTTGACAGTACTGACACCTGGGCTGTGCTGGTCTTCATGTGCGTATGATCGCCAGGTTTGCACAGACACTGGAAAGTCTTCGGGGCAAAGACTGGCTTCGAGAAATCGGCTATCCGAGACTCGAAATCACCTTAACAAATAACCCGCAGTCAGGGGTCCCTCCCGCCGCCCAGTCTCGGAGAGAGAGAGAGAGAGAGAGAGAGAGGGAGGGAGAGAGACGACCAAAAAAAGAGAGCTCCAAGCTCCACCGCATTGCCATACCCATACCCATACCCATACCCATACCATACTTACCCCATACCCTTGCAGAGGCAACCTTGGTACCGTGGATCGCAGGCAGCGCGCCGTCGCGACAGCCCAGCATCGCATATTCCTGTCTCTGTACAACTCGAGATCTTGAGACATACTACACTCGTTTGACACCTAAACTGGGCAATCGGCAAAGACGCGCGCTTGTCATACTATTTTGCGCGCGTCTTCTATGTTCTCCGCGCAAAGTTCCGTTGCTCCCTCCCTCCCTTCCCGGGTCTTTCGCCTCTCAATCCTATGACACACACTGCCTTCGACTGCCTGGCCTGCGCAGCATTCCCTTCCTCTGTATTACAGCCGCCTCAAAGAGGCTTGGATCTTTGCATGAGGCAGCCTGTACCTGCCTCTTACTCTTGTCGGTCAAACCTGATGTCGGCATTGCTGTAAAGCGACACTTCAAAGATCTTGTATTTCCGTTCTTACTCCAGATGCCTTGGTTGCGACGCCGGTGTTATTCCCCCTGTCTCTCCCACCCCTCACTTTCTGCTGTCCCTGGCAGCGCCCCTAGCCATGGAGACGACATGGCAAGACCCCGAGCTCGTAAGTGAAATTCGCAGATTCTTGCACGAACCGTTTATACTCATAACTCTGGTTCGCAGCGCTTCTTGCTGGGCGAGATGATCAAGGCAAGTCCCATAGACGTATCGGTTCTGGCAGAGTTCATTAGGGCGAATAATATCGAGCAAAACTGGATGAACATGCAGCTTCCTATCGGTATGTACTTCGTGTACTATATAATCGGTGACCCGTACGGAGATCTAATGGTATTTAATAAACGTAGGCCGTACTATGCAACAGTGCATGGGCGCAGCAGAAAGAGTATTATCTGTTCATCACCCCCAGCCCCCGAACTATTTCGGCTTGAAACGCAAAAGTATTGAAGGAAGCGAGCAGTCATTAAAGAGACAAGCTATCATGACGCCAACCGAACCAAGTCAACCGCCACGTAATATCCAACCGCGGCCCAGTGCGAACGGCTTCCCACCAGCCTCTTCGACAAATAGTAGCCCGAGTGTGCCGACGGGGACGGGAACCGGGACAGCGACGGGGACGGGAAAGAAGCGTGGACGCCCTTCCAAGGCTGATAAAGAAGCTCAAGCCCGAGCGGCAAACCTTTACAGGACCATGGAATATGCTCCAATTACACCTGCCCCGGCGTTGGCACCACTTGCACCAATGAGTATTACGCCTCAACGCGACTATGCCTCGTCTCCTGGTTACGAGATTAGTGGAGGTACAATGGAAATGAAGGTGCAGCGTGGGAAAATCCGCGGCAATGAGAACTCACCGATCGGGAGTGTCTATCCTCTGGCTTCTCCTGCCTCCGTATCTGATATACCACGTGGCGCACCTGAACCTGCCGAGCAGTACCAGCAGCAATCGCCACGGGACTATGCAGCGCGTCAACCCGCAGACCCTGGCTCCGCCTCCAACCATTCGCACTTCAAGCGTTCCTCGGCATCACCCGCATTAAATCAGGCGCAATCTCTTCCAGAATCTAATACACTGCCGCCAATACAAGCATCACCCCGCCATGCGCCCGAACAGTACAAACCAGAGCCTCCACGCGTTATTGATCCTATTTTTCCCGATCGAGACAGATCCAAGAGTGTGTTTGATCCTATCCCGAGAGCAACACCTCCAGCACAGCCCCTTGTGAATCGAAGTTAGGCCTGTAGCGGTTGTACTCGATTATCGACTCTCAACGGGCCCTGAGCTCAGGCTTATGTCCACAGGAAATATTCCGGAAGGTTCACAACATCTCTTCCTCAGACCCATTGTGTGCCAGCTGGGAAAAGAAAAAGATTGAAAGAAAAAAATTTATACATAAAGATTTGGACCAACTCTCGGACACATCCATCTCATTCCCAGCTGGTACAAAATCTGGTAAACGGGGGTTTCTTTTGGGCTTTTTTGAAGAAAAAAATTTAAACACGACTTGTTGCGTGCCATGGAATGGCATCATTTGTCGTCGTTTCGTCATAATAGAGAAGCGACAGTACCTATCAACAACTTTCATTCTTGGGGCGTCTGGTACGGGCAGCTGGCGGGCATCAATACCCATCATCAGCATTTACAGGACCATGGTTCTTCAGCACATTTTCATGATACCACGCTATACTGCTATTAGAGTTATTTGATGTTTTGACTATACAGGAAGGCTATCCGGCGTTTTTTTTCCTTTTACTTTTTCCAAATTCTTTTTCCCACAGGGTTTCGCTAGGTTTTCGAGGTCACGATATACCTACGTCTGTACGATTGATATGTAAATTTACGAAAGAAGTTTTAAAATATGGTGTAATGTTGATATCTGAATCTGCTTCACGGGAATGGAAGTTTATAAACATAACACGTGCTTACGAGGTGCTGCATAATGGGTAGCTTAAAGTCTTTTCCTGTTGCACAACAGACATGCATTTCACGACGACAGGGGCCTCTACTGGACGCACATGCGTCGCGACAACCAATGAGATCTGGTACGAATGATTGTGCCATCTGCAGGGAGGCAAGGCTGAGCCAGACTTTGCATTCGTCGTTGCTTCGCACCAAACAACCAAACATGAGATCGGTCCTCTTGCAATTGATTGGGGAGATAAGTCCAAGCACATGTTTTGTAGGTTCTCACAGCGGCGACTTGGATTTTGCAGAGGCTATTAATCGTAAGGACTGTTATGAAAGTCCAATCAAGCACGCCTTCGCCGCTCTTCCTCGCCGCCCGCAAAATCCAAGAGTCATAACTTATTTCGTGTGATTCTTGTGAAATCACCAAGATCAGCAAGATCATCCAGGTCCATTAGGCCTCACGCATAGCCGCTTGTAATATCTGCCTCCTGTCCTCATCGCGCGTCGAGCCTTGATAACTTGGGTACTGCCAGTTTCTCTGTTGTTGCTGGCCGGGACCATGTGGTTGCGCATGCACCGCGGCAGAAAGCTGCCTCGTAAGCTGCTCGAACATGGCGGCCCGTGTCTCCACGTCCCGCTCGATATGTGCAGCCATCTCCTCGCGCTCCTCGATCCACATCTGTTTGTATGTCGACTGGTGCGTGTTCAGCTCGGCGAGCTGGTACCACAGCGAGTTTAGCGTGTGTAGAAGCAGGAGGCTGGTGATTATCATGCAGAACAGAAATGTCCAGAAGAGGTACCGGGAAGTATTTTCGCGGATCCCGGAAAGCTGTGATGAATACCCGTGTCAGTATCTGAGTTCAAAATCAGGGGGCGGGTACGGAAAAGCCCTCGTACGCTCCTGTGCATCTCGTTTGCCCATGTCGCCGCTGCATGGATGAGCTTGTCTGCTTCAAAGATGGGCGATTCGGTGACTTCGGGTTTGTCCGGCTTGTCCGGCCAAATATACTTGAGTCCGCTCATTGTGTTGGTATGCTGTCTTTTAAAGCAAGTCAACCTGGAATTTTCCCAAGTAGTCAGACAGTTTTTACTCTCTATCCTAATTGTTGTCGATACGGGGTGGCTGATGCCATAAGTCGCATGATTCGAGAAGGCAAAGAATGTTTGTATTAGTTCCTTCTCCGAAATGCAACTTTGAGGTGAGACAGAGACTTTGTGATACCACCCATGTCCCTTCTTCACTTCCCGCTTTCGGATATCACAAAGCGCATGTTCCGCATGTAGAATCATCAAAGCGTGGTGTTCCACCTGATTTTCTTTTTACTCACTGATTTGAGATGTGTGATTTGTCCATATACGTCTAAAATTAACCCGCATGCAAAGGATGGTTTACCGTATGGGACAATGTCCTGATTAGTTAAAACACAACTAACATCCAATGATGTACCCATTCATTACTTGAAGCTACAGTTGGTAATGTTAATGGCTTCCGCATTTGTAGACTAAATTTCATGTTAGAACAGCCAATTTTATATGTTTGGGCTGACACAGTGCCCCTCACGGGATAGTTCGTTTTGGTACTTTCGAGTCAGTCCTACAATGGTGCAGTATAGTGCAAACAGATTGACGAGTTATATACAATATTAAGTCATAATTTATTAACCTACGGCATTACATGCCCGTTTACCACTAAAATCATGTCGCCTCCTCTATACAAGAGGATCGTTTACAAGGGAATATGGCACAAATAGTACCATGACCACTTCATCAGTTCTTATCGAATGTTCTGGAACGTTCCATTAACTAGGACTTGAATATATATATATAAAAGCTACCCTTGTGCCCTCCTTTGCAAAGAGATGAGCAAAAAAGAATGATTTGAAGTGACCTCAGTTTTCATGCACAATCCGCAGGATCAAGACACAGCCGGAAGAGCAACCGATGGCAACCGTGTTGCCAAAGACTGCGGAGTGTATGGAACGATACTCGGTGGGTAGCCACAGAATATTTTGTCCATTAAAAGTGACCCAGCACTTGTCTTTGCTAATTCCATAGCTAATGCAAACATTATCACCGAAGGAAGTACCATGGGATGTCTCGGAACTAATGTCATTTGTAAGATTTATAACAAACGACCCGCGATTCGTTAGGAGTTGTGTGCCTGTTAAGTTAAAACGCAAATCGTGAACAAGCCCAATTTCTAGCGTCGCTTGCTTCTCGCCCGTCTCGGCCGACCAGAGGATTACGGTCTTGTCGTCTGATGCCGACGCTATACACTGGCCGTCTGGCGAGAAGGCTACCGAACGGACCAGGCCTGTATGCCCCTCGAGCGTCGCTAGCTTCTCGCCTGTCTCGGCCGACCAGAGGATTACGGTCTTGTCGTCTGATGCCGACGCTATACGCTGGCCGTCTGGCGAGAAGGCTACCGAACGGACCAGGCCTGTATGCCCTTCGAGCGTCGCTTGCTTCTCGCCTGTCTCGGCCGACCAGAGGATTACGGTCATGTCGTACGATGCCGACGCTATACGCTGGCCGTCTGGCGAGAAGGCTACCGAACAGACCGGACCCGTATGCCCTTCGAGTGTCGCTTGCTTCTCGCCTGTCTCGGCCGACCAGAGGATTACGGTGTTATCGTACGATGCCGACACTATACGCTGGCCGTCTGGCGAGAAGGCTACTAAACAGACTGAGCGCGTATGCCCCTCGAGCGTCGCTTGCTTCTTGCCCGTCTCGGCCGACCAGAGGATTACGGTCTTGTCGTCTGATGCCGACACTATACGCTGGCCGTCTGGCGAGAAGGCTACCGAACAGACCGGACCCGTATGCCCTTCGAGTGTCGCCTGCTTCTCGCCTGTCTCGGCCGACCAGAGGATTACGGTGTTATCGTACGATGCCGACACTATACGCTGGCCGTCTGGCGAGAAGGCTACCGAACGGACCGGACCCGTATGCCCCTCGAGCGTCGCCTGCTTCTCGCCTGTCTCGGCCGACCAGAGGATTACGGTGTTATCGTCTGATGCCGACGCTATACGCTGGCCGTCTGGCGAGAAGGCTACCGAACGGACCGTACCCGTATGCCCCTCGAGCGTCGCCTGCTTCTCGCCTGTCTCGGCCGACCAGAGGATTACGGTGTTATCGTCTGATGCCGACACTATACGCTGGCCGTCTGGCGAGAAGGCTACCGAACAGACCCGACCCATATGCCCCTCGAGCGTCGCTTGCTTCTCGCCCGTCTCGGCCAACCAGAGGATTACGGTCATGTCGTCTGATGCCGACGCTATACGCTGGCCGTCTGGCGAAAAGGCTACCGAACGGACCCAACTGGTATGCCCCTCGAGCGTCGCTTGCTTCTCGCCTGTCTCGGCCGACCAGAGGATTACGGTGTTATCGTCTGATGCCGACGCTATTTGCTGGCCGTCTGGCGAGAAGGCTACCGAACGGACCCGACCCGTATGCCCCTCGAGCGTCGCTTGCTTCTCGCCTGTCTCGGCCAACCAGAGGATTACGGTCATGTCGTACGATGCCGACGCTATTTGCTGGCCGTCTGGCGAGAAGGCTACCGAACAGACCCAACTTGTATGCCCCTCGAGTGTCGCCTGCCGCTCGCTCCAATAGAATAGCATTCTAGGTTCTAAAGCCAAATAGTTTGATATATTATGCTTGAAACAGTTACGAATAATGCTTTGATTCGGAGAGAATATTAATGCTGATAAGTATACTTGAAGGGGAGCTGCCTGTATATTCGGACTCATGGCTTGGATAAACCGTACTGAGTCATTTAAGAAATTCGTAAGCTCTTCGCACTTTTCTGACTACGCTATATTAACTTTTTTGTTTTATAAAAATAGACATTATGTAATCTTACTGGGATAATTAATCGCAAAGACTTGATCATTATTAGACTCTCTGAGAGTCTGCCCATCCAGCTTAGCGTTTCTAACCATTGTAAAAATTGCGACGACAGGAAGTTCCAGATCCCGGGCGTGTCCAGAGTGGCGGGTAGTGATTCGTGAAGATGATACACCCAAAAGCGACATGCATATTGTAGTTCAAGTGATATATGCGTGTTGATTTCGACTATAGGAATAGAAGAGGCCAGCGTTCCGGGAGCCACGACTTTGCATATATCGGTTCTTAGTGATCTGCTCAGCACACGAAGGCAATGATGGGCAAGTTGTCGATGAATATCTTGTTCATTTATCCAAAAGGGGTCTTCTTTCCTTGCCGGGTCGATTAAAAAGTCACGAAAGGATAAGTGTAACAGTCGAATAGGCTGTTTTGGCAATGTCGGAATATGTAGAACTGAATGAAGAAAATCCAGAATATCTAGGATATCACTAGTCGAAATGTTGAGCAATTCTGCTAGTGAATTCAAGCAGAGGGGACTCGCTAGAATTACTATCGGTCCAACAATCATCTGGAATTGATGTAAGACCTCTTTCTGTTCTTCTAGTGGTAGATTTATCGTTAACTGTTCTAGCACCGGTTCGTACGTAGCGGTAAGCCTGGATCCTTGGGTCGACCGGAAGCCTAGAACACGTTGTAGCTTCTTTTGAGGACTGCCACCTTTACGATCAGCCACGAATCGACAGACAGTAGCGGCGAAGATGAAGAGAGGAACTGCCATCTCCACAAGCACGCGAAGATTCGCTTCACTTGGCCAGCTTGTCGACAGATGTCGTTCTTCAGAAGTGCTTTGGTTGAAATCAAGCCGTACTCGCTGGAGGTTACACTTAAAGTACACGGCCAAGTCGTGTTCAATCATTGGCTCTGCCACCTCGTGGAGAATGAAGTCTTCATATGTGCCGCTAATAGCTTTAAAGCCTAGGCGGATAGGCAGCTCCGGACGGCTCGTAAGGAAGAATTTGAGCTGGAGTTTCTTGGTCATTCTGGCTCTTGACAACAAATTGATGAGGACTCTGATATCTTCTTCCCGCTCACACTCATCAAGTGCGTCAATGACAATCAGACATATACGAGGCTGATTGATGCTAAGCGAGATTTGGGAGATCGGGTTGATGATTAGCTTTTGAAATTGTTCTCGCATTGCTTTTGAACCAATAGCAGGTTCCGCTTCCATAGCAGCCTGTACATGTCCAGCTATATCTGGCAATTGTTGTATAAGTTGACTAACAATCGTCATAAAGAACTTGGACATCCTACTACGATCGCCCTCGCCTCTTTTGAAGAAAAATGTAGCTCCAAGTCTGTTATCTACCGAGAACTTGTAAGCGAGCGTGCGCGATATGGTCGATTTTCCGGTCCCGGCCATTCCGTTCAGCCAGTAAACGGTCTTGGAAAGAGGCTGATACGCCCATTTGGTAATCTCATGTAGGACTTCGGTTCGAGTATCTGGAAGACATTGCGAGTTGTGCTCGTCAGCATGGGAGTCGAATGTAGCACCCTCAGCTATGAGGAGCTTCGCCAACACTTCGGACTGTACCGAACGTCGTCTTGAAATTTTTGTTCGGAGGCGCTCGAACGCTTTTTCCTCCCCTTCGCCATACAACAACCGCATCTCTACTCCTAGCATACCCAGCAAGGAGTAAGCTTTGTCTTCTGCGTATTTGGTTTTTCGATGAGTCGACCATGATATTTGTTCCTCGGCATCGAACTCGGAAAGTGGGTATCCCTGGAGTGCACGAGTCGGTATCCGTGTGATTTCGTGAATCATCTGCTCTAAGGATGCCTTGTCGCCAAGCCGCTCGCCGATGAACGAGAAGAATTCCACTGACCGCGGCGCGATAAGCTCTTGCAGTGTCCATCCTCGGGTGAACCACTTGCTGTTCCGAAGATCAAGATCCCATGTCGCGCGCTGTGATTCGGCCATATACATATGGCCATCTTGTGGAACATCTGCCAAATATACGTAACATTTCTGGGCAGTCGAATACCAGAGAAACATATAGTTGATGGCCGTCAAGAGCTCTTGGAAGCTATCCTTATCGATGCAGCAAGTGTCAACCCAGAAATGATCCAGACCATCGCGCTTAGCCTGCCTTCCGCAGAACAATATCTTCTGGTAGCCAGTCTTTTCTTGTCCCTTCCTTGTAATGATATCCTGAAAATCGACCTCATCATCGTCTTCTCCCCAAGTATGTGATAGTATGGCAAATGGAGGACAATCTTGTGGCAGAAAGGGTCCGGCGAGGGTCAATTCATCGCTAGGTCCAAGCTGCAGGAGGCGCATTGTCAAGCTTAGAACCACAGAGGCGGTAGTCACCGTAGCAATATTAGGAATTAGTACAAATTGTAGTAGTATGGCGCTCAAGAGGCTCTCAGTGGACGAGGCCTGATCAGACCCAGCTTTACGGATATCAAGTAGCGAAAAGAAAGAAGAAAAAAAAGAAGAAAAGAAAAAAGCCCGGTGAGGCTGAGGTCATCGTAGACATGCGGACGTCGCCAATCGCATGTGCAGCAGGGATTGAACGTTGCATCAAGATGCGGGGGTCTCCAAGTCTGCTGAGTCCCAATTCCCATTGGATGGACAGTTGCGATGTCGTCTCAAACGGCATCTTTGGAGGTGGATTGCATCTGGCTGATAGATACAGTAAAAGTCGAGGCGGCTGAAACGAAACAAATCCGCGGTGACTGTTTCTGTGAGAGAACGGCGATGAGGAGTGGGGCCTCTAACCTTGTGCCGTATCCTCTTTGTAGTCCTATGAAGCATTTCTTGATCCTTCCACCTTTACGGCAACCAATAACGATGGCGCCGAACCTCGCAAAGTCTCAGAACGTATTCGCCCAGTGTATGATCAAAAGCAAAGTATGCACCGACAAAGAAATTGCCGACACAATTTAGTGCTCCTCGTAATCCATCCGAATGGTACGAGCGAACCTCCGATGCTTTGGATTAACCGATAATACTATGTTCGAGAACTTCATACGTGAATTGTTACCTTTGTGCGGTGAATGGCCCGAGCCTAAGTCTGATCTAATCATGGATAATGCACAGTTCCATCAGCCAGACATGATACCGCAGCTTTGTGGAGGAGCCGGCGTCAAAGTACTGTCTCTACCGCCTTACTCACCCGAGTTGAACCGATCAAGGAATTCTTTGCTGAAATAAAGGCTCTATTAAACGCAACTAGTGCTCGTACGCCGGCCACGCACGCGGAGGATTTGCGACGTTTCTGGAAGAGTATGTGCGTGTAGAAGTAGTTGGGTCGAGAAAGTCAAGTGCAAAAGGTCATTTTCGCCACGCCGGGCTGTCTATTAAAGAACCATGACATACGAGAAATTCAAGAAACGCGGAATACAATCTAATGCAGCACCTAATCAGCATGCTCTTTGGCCCATTTCGAGATGTTGCGGATACATCGCTTGGCCACTCCAACCTTGACACCACCATTCACCAAGAATAGAAAGTTCTGCTCTTCGTGCAGTTGCTCAAGATCGTATCATTCCTCTAATGTTGAAGTCCCGCACCGTCTGAATTGTGCTTTCAGAACTTCATCCTCCACCTGACAAGGGAGCACGTGGAACACAGTAGGGTGGTCTAAGTTTAAAATATAAATATTGAAATGGTCGCCAGTCAGCAAATATACTACAGTATACATTCACGACATCCTACGATTAAACAAATAAGCATTGACGAAATCAGCGTGACTGGACGGTCAACTGTGATCGCTGTGCTTAATGACACATTAACTGAATTCTGACACTGTAAGATGGATGTAAGTAGACGTACACGATTCAGCTAGCAATGATGACACTGTGTCAGCGTCAAAAGTGCATGTCCTAACAAAGATTCTCGATTCACAAAGAGGAAAGGGTTTTGGTTATTTGCTGTACATCCATTGGTTTTAACTTTCATTGTAGCCAAATCTTAGTGGACATACAATTTCTCTACCTCGAAAACTAGACAATCGAATCCAGCCTCTGCCCCGCACTCAAGAACTGCTGTACGAAAGTGCTTTTCTCACCAAACCCGCTATGCTTCTTAATGTCGTATCTATAAGTCTCCTTGCGTACTTCCTCCAAAGTTTCCATGAATAGAAACCCAAATGCCAGAACCATAATGACTAGGAATAGAACTGGAACATCTATGTTCTGGGAGAGCTTCGAGCACTGCAGATTTGTTACCTATTTAGTCGTGACAGAGGGAAACAAGAAAAACACACCTGTTCGTTCACAGCTCCAATGTGTTCATAAGAAGCGACGGTGCCGAGGGCCATAACTTGAACGCCCGTGTTTGCGTACGGCTAAAGCGAATTGATTTTATTATGCCTGATGGCGAATACCACCTAAGACAGCTTGGTACATTTCACGGTTGGAATATTTTGCGCTGCAGCCATGATCTTGCTTCGTTTTAGAACTTCTTTAGACAAAGGGCCTATTTTATGGTATAATCCGGTCATAGTGTCTCGCTTGGAATGTAGCAGAACCTGCTTCCGGGTATGGCTAGATTTGCACCTCGAATTTATGCTCGCCGTATGAGCCCGAATTGTATGTTACAACAAGGGGCAAAGCTTGCTGAATATCCGCGCAAAGCCTGGTCAATACATCATGGTCTCAAAACGCGATTCCAAGGTTTCAAACTTCACAAGAACAAGTTATGCCTCGTGTCTCTGAGTGCATACACTCTTTCACATATGGGTCTTTGCTAAGAAGTCTCAATTGCGTGAAGTAGAAGGATTATGATCCTAATATCTCATGATGACACCTACGCATTTACTGTTTTTAGCAGATTGTCCCGGTGATGTCGCATAATTGCAGATGTTCAGGTTTCACGCACTGAATCTGCAGTGAGATGAGCCTTTTTACGTGCTTCGCCGGGCTTAGACGTGTAGTAAAGTTACAATAGTCACCACTAATCGCCTCATTCATGGTTTGTATATACCAAGGTTGCCTTGTGCGTGCTATCTAATTATCACCAATGAAAAACATCTGGGTTGCAATTTTTCTTGTTCTTTTTTGCCCCTTGTAACCAGATTACTTATATGACCGTTTGCTGGAATCTTCTCTTTGAGTGAAAGCTGAATAGTACGCCCTGAAAGTGACCGATACATTCCATTTCAATACGAAATTAACCAAATACCTCTAAACCCTTCCAGTCGCCTTTCGACCATGTCTTCTTTGTATGCCTCTTCCCATCCCACTGACCTCCGCGTCCTCTTGGCTCCAACTCCGTGGTCGCCGTCCTCGTCTCCCAATCGGCATCGTCCTCGTCCTCGTCCTCGTCCTCGTCCCTGGCCGTATACGTCGACCCCGCGTACCCATAGCGTGTATTAGCATCGCCATCAGCCTCATCGTCCTCAACCCTGACGGTCATGGCATCCTCATCCACGGTATCGTACCCTTGATCCCTATCCCCGTCGACCACGCCCGGTCCTCTTCCCCCTTCTTCCTTACTTCTACCACGCCCCTGCATCGCCGTCGTGATCCTCGCGCCGCCCCCCAAGACCTCCCTGACGCACCTCGACACCTCTAGCACCACATCCTCCACCTTGTCGACGCCCTCGCCAAGCCTCTCGACGCGCTCTTCGTTGATCTGGAGGGCCTGGACCAGAAGGTCGCCGTCCCGGCCCAGCTTCCGGACTAGGGCGTTCAGCAGCCCCAGCTCCTTGCGGTGCCGCCGCTCCTGAACGATGACGTAGACCAGGAGGGCGATGATGGTGGAGAAGAGCACGAAGGGCGGGTGCGTGAGGACATAAGACAGGGGGTGCGTCTGCATGTAGGCCAGGCTGAGGACGGGAGGGGGCGGCTGCTGCGGCTTTGGGAGGTCCGCCCCGGGGGGCGCCGAGAAGGGTGGAGGTTTGGCATCCCACATGGTAAGGTCGTGGACGCGGTCGAGGAGGTGGAGCCGAGAGGAGACGTGCTGGAAGGGCGTCGCAGGTGGCGGCTGCGTGAGCGCCGGCGTCGATGACGTCGAGATTTGGGAACGCGCGATGTGGTCGTCGCGGAGATGGATGGTGATGCGGCCCAGGATGCGGCGGTAGGGGTCGAGGCTGTGTGTAGCGAATTTCATTGACTAATCCTCTTTTCTTCAGTGGTGGAGTAGATATATTATTCAGACGCTGTCCTGGTCGTTACAATGTCATTGTGGGCGGCCGCTGATGGTTACTGTTATCATGAGTATTTCCTATTGCGTCAATTGAAGCGCACACATCATTGCGAGCGGCCTTGGGATGCAGGAAAAAAGCAAGCCTGAGACAGTCTTTCCTTGTTGCACTCCCGCAAACGGCGTCGCCTCTCGCAATTCCCATGAGACTGGAATGCTATATGCCGAGAATAGTCAAGCCATTCACTTGAAGGGGCCGACTTTTGCACAAAAGTAGGCAATTAGTTGAAGTCGCCTCTGCAGATTTACTGACTCTCGGTATATGCTTGCGGCATGTTACCGCATAATATGTGTGTGATTTTATATACAGATGCGTTTGCTCTGATTCTGAGCGCTTATTACCCACTACTATACAAAGATGCAATAATGAACTCAACTCCTCCCACAATGCAATCGCTGTGCATTAATGAAGTAGGCTTTCCACTTGAAAGGAGCATGGAGACTGTTCGTCGGCTCAAGGGTTTGATGAAAACGCGGGCTTCTCAAGCTCTAAGGCTCCCTTTGCGTACCCGTGTACTCCTCCTTGCACTCTCAGTCTCATTATCAGATTCCTCGCTCACTTTATAATCATTATCGAGTTCCTGCTTGATCGATGGTCGCTTCTTCAAAGTCGTGGGATTAGGTTTTGCTGCTGTCTTCTTCAAATCGTCTTTCTTGTCGAGGGGAAGACCAGCAAAAGACTTGCGGCCTCTGACCCGTGCTTCATCTCGAGAATCTAAAAATCGATGAATCTCACGATGATCCATGATTCGCTCCTCCTTATCGTGCTTGCCCTCCCTTTGTGTCTTTGGCCATTGGTAGCCGTACAGTTTAGAATGTCGCTCACATCGCGGACAATAAGCGCGGGTGAAGTAAGCATCTTGCTGTACAAAGTAGTCCTCGCAGACTCTACAGCCAATCCACGCAGAGTTAGGCTCTGCTAACAACAGAGGAGTAAGTGTATAGTCGCCAGGTTCCCGAGCTTCTCTCTCATCCATTTCATCATCTGAGGTGGGTTCTGGTGATCCGCATAGTTCTGTCTTCGCTGACTTGTGCTTGGAAGGGGCAGGGATCTTGACAGCTGCTCTTGCCGCTGCTCGGTCAGCAAGTTTCTTAGCCTTGGTGCTACCTTTCGGCCGTCCGCGACCTCTTTTAATAAGTCCTTCGGTAGAGCCCTCGGTTGACCCTGGCGTCGAAGAAATTTGCTCAGCCGGCTTAGATGCCGGTGTGAGGGGCGGAGGGATCACCATCAATTTCAGATCTTCAGGATGAATGATATTGACCTCAGCGCTTGCATTCGGAATGTTGGCGGCCGGAATGCCCGTGGCAGATACGCTCTCATCGCTGTGTATGAGGTTTGCAATAGTAGGTTGTCTTGAAGCACCAAATGCGCCGGCTCCAAATATCGACAACATGGAGCCTGAGCCCTCGATCTTGAGTTCCGTCTTCTTTGGTGTTGGGTTTGGTGATTGAAGAGAGAACTCTGCTTCTTTCGTATCCTCTTCAGGTGTCGTCACATCAGTCAATTCGCCAGAACCAGAATCAGACGCTGACATGATTGAATCGGTGAGAGATACTGATCCCTCACTATTCCTTCGTACAATCTGATCGGGTGCTGGAACGGGGGTGTCATTAACCTGATCTGACTTCTGCCTCTTAGCTGGCGTGGCGGGGGGTGATGAAAGCATCTCCATCTCGCGCTTTCTCTTTTGTCGCAGCAAAGCCTCAGGGGCAGGCGAGCCAGTCATGGAAGTTCGGCTTGATCCCGTTCTGAGCATGTTGGTTCTGGAGCGCGCCACTCTCGGTCGAATGTCTGGCGTTCTGGATTGGCTCCGGGACGACCGAGCACTACTATCGTCTCTCCTCCGTCGACGCAGTCGATAGCCTTCGTCCGCAGGCTCCTCGATGCTCTTTTGTACCAAGCCGGCTTGGAGCCCTTCGCCTTCGGGTTGAGCCCAACCATTGGACAAGCTGTTCTCACATGAATGACACAAGCACTCGCGATTGTCCTCTCCGAAATAGTTCTCTCCGTATGTAACGGTGATTTCGTCGCCGATCTCGATGTTCTTGGTTGCAAATATCTCAATAGTCGATTGACTGGTGATCACAAGTCGAGCATTGGCATCGCAATCGTGATTGGCAAAGCGCGCGGGTCCCATGAACAGGCTGGCGCATTTGTTCCTTGAGCTGACGACGATGCTGAAGTCTTTCTTGCGCTTGGTCATCTCCTCCTCCTCCTTGGCGGTGATCAAGACCTGAATGCCTGAAAGATACTTGATCGGGTCTCCCCTCTTGATGAAGCGGCGCGCAGTCACAGCGGCTTCGTAGGTCACAATCGTATATCGGTTCGTTGTGCTGACTTCGAAAGGGCAATCGGGCAAGTATATCTGTGCATAGCGACGCAGATGCTTGCGGAAATCGTCCTTCTCCTTGTCTGTCTTGAGCGCATCATGAAACTTGCGCAGACCAGTGATGGCAAGCAGTTTCGAGGCAGCAAGATCCAAATTTGGCTCGACTATCAGGTGCTGCTGAATGACCTTGGTAATTTCTTCTTCCCGGAGTCCTCTCGAAGGGTGATACGTGGTACGGTTCTTAGGGATGGTGGAATGAAAGAACGTCTAGAACAGAAGTCAGGCATTATTGCGCCTGGAGCAATTGTGGCCCAAAAATGAACCTACCTGATCTACTAAGCAATCGGTCAAAATATCGTCATATTTTGAAATTTGATCCAAGGTCAAGGGCTGCTTCTTCGCAGCTGCAGCAGTTGCGGGAGGCATTATCGCAATGGGCAGTCGCAATGGGCGGCACAATGTCCTTGAGCAGAGGACAGTCACAACTGCCTGGTGTGAGGTTCGTGGCGCAACTTTGGCTCGAAACTCGAAGTGCGATGGCTTTGTCGTGGAGGCGTTGAGTATAGGTCTGGTGTACAGATTTATCGCAAAGAGCAGTGGTGAGAGGATTTATTGGGTTGTGAGCTCATCAGTTTCGAGGCAGTAGTGAAAGGGCATGTATTGCAAAGCGAGATTCATCTGACAATGCCGAGTCGATATGTTGCAATATGAATGAGTGACCGAGGTGCAGGGTGGTGAAGTTGGCGAGTAATGTACGAAGCACAACGACGCAATGTCCTGGACCGTAAAGTAATGAGACAGATGGACAATCAAGAACAATCACCAGTTTCATGAACTCAGAATATGAATCGAGGGACACTAGCCCAGCTCCAAGACCAACAAACAGGAGTATTGGGTTGTTGGATTGTTCCTTGCGATAATCTGCAAAACCACCAAAAAGAAGGAGGGATGATCGAAGGGAAGATCATCTCAGCCCTCCTATCCTTTGAGCGAAATGTATGTGAGGACCCATCGCCCATGCCGCCAATGTAAACTAACAATATGTCCAGAGCCTCGAGCATGTCGTAATTATGGGGGAAAAGAGGATGGCTGGCCAACGCGCATTGTTCGTTGGATGGTCCGAGAATATATCCCTGCTTTCATGTAATTGAGAGATCCCACTACGTTAGTTCGTACTACCCTCCGAATTACAGTACAGTAAAGGTCATGATGAGTGATACTATGTACGGACACATTACCAAGTCTGTCTGTCTTGCATGTCCAGATCTGTCTCGCTCCGTACGCATGCATCTGACCCCTTCCCCTCCTTGCTCCGCCCCCTGGCAAAACCAAGATTAAAAAATTGGCCCCTCCCCGCGGAGCTTCGACAAGGTTTCTCAGGCCAGTTCCAGCGACCCGGCCCCAAGGTGGGTGATCCCGAGTCTCTGCAGCCAATCACTAGTCCGCTTCGTGAGCGACGCCAAATTTTTGACGACAGCCTCGCCGTAGAGCTCCTTGTCTGTTGCACAGCTCACGGCTTGAATCATCCTGCACTACAAGGCTGAAGCGGCCAAACCACCCATCATGATCCAACTAAAGGTATGCTACGCTGTGTAAAACGGCTGAGTATTGTTGAGGCTGACGTCCGTTTCTAGACCATGCTTAGCTGCATCGACAACTCCGGCGCCGCCATCGTCGAGTGCGCCTTGGTCGTCGGCCAGAAGAGACACGCCACCATCGGTACGCACGACTCCGACCCTCGGGCACCGCGCGTCCAACTAATTGACATGATCACGTAGGTGACCGCATAGTAGCCATCGTACAGAAGCAACGTGGTGCTTCCGATGCCGGTATGGGCGCTGCCAGCGCCGCCAACAAGGTGAAGCGAGGCGACATTCGACACGCTATCATCGTGCGGACGAGAAAGCAGGTTCAGCGACCCGACGGCTCCGTCGTAAAGTTCGACGACAACGCCTGTGTGCTGATCAACAAGGCCGGCGACCCAATTGGAACCAGAGTCAACGGTGTTGTTGGTGCTGAGTTAAGGAGGCGGAAGTGGAGCAAGATTCTAAGCATGGCACCTATGCATGCTTAGATGGAGTTGCCGGCCCCGAGGGACAATATCTTCGCACATCAGATGCACGACAAGGAGATCGCGAGCGGCGGGATTATGTACTATACCGTGTATAAGAGGTACCAAGCATATGGCAGGCGTTGAGGATGACTCACCAGAGAAAGCATCGCAGGCATCAGCATCTCAACCATCAAACCCATGAGTCTGGTCATCATTTGTAGCATTTTTATTGCAGAAAGCTATCTCCCACACTGAGCACTTCGAGACATGAAATACTGGCCAAGAAATATATTGTGTCTTTTGTAGCATTGTCGTCCTCCAAGTACGCAACTCCTGACGCCCTGTCCATGCGAGAAAGGGAACCGTGATATCAAAAAACTCCTCATTCCACCCTGCCTCCATTGTCTGATGTCGCCTACTGGAAAATGTTACCACAATCGCAGCAGACGTAGAACAGTTTCTATCATCATATATTAGTTTCTTCGTTATGCTTTTCAGCCGGTAGCAAGAACTCACCATTCCGGTCTCAGCACTGCGCTGTTGGGACTGAAAGAAGACGGCTTCCTCGTGTTTACAAACCGGGCAAGTCTTGTTCGATCGGGGAAGCTACAATTTCACACATGTCAGCGTATTTCCATAGAGAAAAATTCATGCAAGCCGTAGATTCTTCAAGCTGGTAGTCCTGGTGAAATGCGAATGTTCCTGAATGATTCATGCCGACAAGAATTTGTGAGAAACCATTGTGCCGATGAGAGCCCTGGCCTGCATTGCCCAACTGGGCAGTGAAATTCCTTGAATTGACAGCTTCGCAGATATTGTTGACTTGGCCGCCACCCTTTGTGGGACGAGGGAACTTCTGAGCCATAATGGTTGAATACGCTGATATTCAGTTGCCAGACCAATTTGACAGTAATTTTTCAACAGCGCAAACCCATGAGCCCCAATACGATCTGGAGACACAAAGTCCAACAAGGAGCCTCGATGTTCAGAAGCAGAGAGATTTCTGCAGCAAGGTTTTGCGTGAACAATGCGTGAGTTGCCGCAAAGAGCGTACCGAGGTAAGTCTTTGCATGCCAGCAGATAGGCTAACCCAGGCATTGTTCCCCAAGAACGCAGGGCTGGAAAGACGGCAGTTGATCGGTCGCCAAGTGCTTTAATAGCCTCGTTTGGTCCATCCAATTTGTACTAGCAAGTACTATATGAGATCAAATGCTGCACTAAATAATACAGGTATTCGTTGCCAGCTTCTTATAGACAGTCAATGAAATCTCACTAGATCGATCAACGTCGGTGATACCAGTAGAAGTGTTGAAAATGATCCAAGGACATGGAGCAGAAATACGACGTTGGTGGCAAATATTGTCTTGATAAATGACCAAGGATTGAGCGCAACCAGACGTTGTTGGCTTTGAGTTCCATTCGATTAGGCGCGCAATGATGGATCAAATACTCAAGCTCGTCCTTGATGGTCCATGACACTGCCAGTGGTATACCCACTTCCTATTGGATCCAGATGCGGAATTAGAAGCGGCACCGCATGCTTTGATATTTGAATATGGCAGCCAGAGAGAACAGTGTAGACCGAAAGGAAATGACACCGAGCTGTATGACCTCAACAGCTGGTGTCGGGTATCAAGATTGCTGCAGATCGTATGCCTTTTGGTGATATTAGAATTCATCCCCTAAACCCATATCAAAAGGCTCTTCTCCCAGGGCTTCAGGAGGATCTGCATCTTCGTCTTGGGCGTAAGACTCCCCAAAATACGCCGGAAGCGAAGCAGTAAGCGGATTGATAGGCAAGTCTTGCGTCAGACTCTCAACCATGTCGCGGTCGATAGAAGCTTGATGAATAGGGTCCAGGCAGTTGTAGATGCTAGTCGCGATCACACCACGAATAGCTCCATGGAAATCGCGGTCCGCGTGATGGTAGTAAGGGAGAGTTCCGAGGTTGAACCAGCTGTTGTCATGGTCGTCTATATTTACGTCCTCCGTGGCAGTTGGAAGTGAATCTGGAGAGCCTTGTGTGTCTGGTAGCTCGTCCACAATAGGATACTCACCAGCGTACTCACCAGAACGAAGACCAGCAGTAGGACCATCATGGGGAGCAGGGGTACCAGACATAGAGATATCAGGAGAAGAACTAGCAGGAGAAGAAGAACTAACCGTAGGGTCGGATCCGACATCCTGGGTTACACCAGCAGTCTCTCCCACAGCGTTGTTCATGATATTACGGAAAACGCATGTCGACGTAGCCTCCTCAGTATACTGACAGGTTCGGCAGGTGAATTGAAGCTTGTGTGAGTCTGGGTCTTCCTTGGGGTATAACATGTTTGAGCATTCGGAGCAGAAACGGAAGGTGATCTGCTCGAAGTTCTTGCGAGTGCCATCGCTGGTGGTCTCTTGGGGGCTTGACATTTTGATGTTTGAGGCTTTAGAAAGCGAAAGAAGGATTTCTTGATGGGGTGAAGGTGAGAGAAAGCGCGGATGGGCAACTGATTCCAGGGTGGGTCTGCAAGTTCTAGGGAGCTTCGCTTCGTCTGGTGCAGAAAATCAACGCGTGCTGGTAATACGGAAATTGATCCGCAACTTGACAAAGTCGGGTGACAGAGAGGAAATGTTTCCCAATAGATTTCGACAACTCCCTTCCGTCGATGACAAACCTTGTGCTGTGTGGAATGTGGAATTCAGCGGCGAAAAGTGCAGTTGTAGTAGCCTTGCGTCGGTGCCACCGAATCGAAAGAACGCTACAGAGTAGTGGCTTTTATGTATGGCATCGCTGCATCAGAGCTCGGATATTTCGGGGAAACTACTAGCGCGTACTGCTTTATCAAGCTTGACAGGAACAATGCTTTCATTCAGCTCGCACCTTAAAATCAATTGATTTCAGGTCTTGTTTGCTTGCTTTAGGCAACATGCAGACAATGAGGAGTTATGCACAACACATGATCCGGCTGGGTTGATAGCTTCTCAAAAGTGGACTGTTCTAACCTAGGGGGTTGGCTGAAGGACTGGCGAGCAACATAGATTATGCGGCTGCATATGATTGCACTAGGCTAGCCAGAGATATTAATGGAAATTTCCACAGTTCCCCAGCTGTTTCCTTTTCTTCCTTACTTGTTTCTTTCTCTTCTTCGATATCATCAGACAAAGTATACGCATATGATCTTCAGAAAGGTGGTCTAAGCCCCATCAGATTTAGTAGATTTGGAGCAGAAATGATACCAGCGGGTAGATTCTGTACAGGACATTGATTTGTTATCTTATAAACATGTGGTTCTATTTAATTATAGTTTGGCTCCCAATGTCTCTCTCAAGTATACGGCCGAGACCTGTGAGTGTGCCGCTACCAAGATGTGTTTCGTTCAGTGTTGTGTCTTTGTTACAAGACCCGTTCCCTGCAGCCCATGACTGTCATTGGATTCATTCTATAGCAGGAATCCAAATGGATATACGAATCCGTGTAGGCACCTACATTATGAGTAATTGCGCCATTCCTATGTAAACATTATTCTACAAGCGAGGTCATTACTAGACCAGCGTGCAAAACCATATCTCATCTTGATGCTCACTCCATTTTAAAAGCCGTAGCTCCGATCCCTTTCATGGGCCTTCTCTTCTGTAGGTAGTCGGGAGGGGAGAACAACCAACGAACCCGCCCTGCCGCCATCCTAGGCTCCAGCTGCCCCGCGTTTCAAGGAGTGCGATACTGCTAATGCCACTGCTAATGCCACCGCTACTGCTGCTGCTAATGCTACTCGGCGCTGCTGCTGCTACTGCATGCCCCCCGCATAGACAGGGACGATGTCATCAAATTAACCCTCGTGATCGTCTCTCGGAGCAACAGTGTGGATTTTCTGCTTCGAGCCATCCACTTCAAAAGCTTGGAAAGCCTGCCGCTGACGTGCATTTGCTTGTTCCGGCAAGGCTCTTGGTGGACGGACTTGATTAGTATTTGAGCTCCAAGCCTAGGTCTTAGAGAAGCTGAAAGACTTTGTTTAACCTGAACATTCACTTCCAAATCCTACAGTACACATCAAAGCAACATCTGGCCAACGACCCTCACAACTAACAAAACTCGTTACATTGACCACCATAGAACACCTATTGTGAAGTCCATTGTCAACACTCCTCGCCCCCAATAGCTTTGTGAGACACAAACCCAACAAGATGGTAAGCGGCACTCCTTCACCTTCCATTTTTTAAGCCAATGGGGATCCAGAGGCCCAACCTAATTGCGCCCGGATCCTTTGCTTTCACACCCACAGATATAACTGACACTGTCATCGTAGGCTGACACTGGACTACCTTCGGGCTGGGAAGTGCGCCATAGCAACTCCAAGAACCTACCCTATTACTTCAATGCCGCCGAGAAGATCTCACGCTGGGAGCCGCCCTCTGGCACCGACACCGAGAAGCTGAAGCAGTACATGGCTTTGAACCACAGTTCGACATCCGCCGGAGCTGCCGTCGCTAAGCCCGCCGATAAGATCCGTGCCGCTCATCTGCTGGTCAAACACCGAGAGTCGCGACGCCCTGCATCTTGGCGAGAGAGTGAGATCACCCGCTCCAAAGAGGAGGCAAGGGACATCATCAAGAACCACGAGGCCCGTATCAAGCGCGGCGAGGTCAGCCTGGGCGAACTAGCACTTACTGAGAGCGACTGCAGTAGTGCGCGCAAGAGAGGGGATCTAGGCTACTTCGGCAAGGGCGACATGCAGAAGGAGTTCGAGGACGCTGCTTTTGCCCTGCAGCCAGGCCAGATGAGCAGTGTGGTTGAGACACAGAGTGGCCTTCATTTGATCGAGCGGTGAGTTCTTATATTGCCCTCCCAACCTGTTGCGCGAAGTGTCTTCCTGCTTCTGGAAATCTGCCCGCTGCCATTCGCCTCACGGTCCAGGCCCTCAAGGCGCCTACGTTGAGTGGTATGCATAGATTGTGCCATTCGCAGCTCAGTGTGGCATCGGGCCCATACTGTTGGTCACGGAAAGACGAGGCGGTGCCGTTCAGGCAACGACTCTCAGCACCTGTTTTTTCGTTTTTGCCTTTCCCGATATACTCCATCGAAGCACCGGACCAGGCTACTGCAGATTCCATCTAAATCTTCTAGAGGGGTCGAGTTCTGATGGCTGATTTGTATCTCTAGGTTGGAATAAGTACCTCTTACAGTAGCTCAACACACAGTACCGCGCATCACCCAGACCATGCTTCTTACCCATGACAGCTTCTGGTGGGCACTAGACTCGGACAGTAGAGGTGCACCTTGAGCATTGACGTACGAAATTGGACTTGGTATGACGGTGCACCGCTCGCATAACTTCTTTCAATCCCAATGAAGATACCCAGACCAGTGGAGGCCGGCAGATGGGAAAATATATCCATGTCTCAAAAAGTATTTCTCAGGGTCCTGATCCGAAACTGGCCTTGCTGAATTCCATGTTTCACTGTCTCAATTTCGGCAAACCTCGATATCTTAACTTGACCTCTGGTCTCGGGCGCTCGGCTCTATTGTTACGCCCAACCATGGCTGTTGTTCGCCCACTTCCATGTCCCATATGTCTTCATTGAGTCCAGCCTAAAAGGAGTTCAGAAAAGGGTTGACTTCAATGACCACACAGTTCCTAGATTTATAACGGCCTTGCTATCGTGGAAACGGCTAGCTGACTGGGGATGATATTTAACTTTTGGAATGACTGAAACTCGTCCCAATATCTTTCATGCTGGCTAGAAACCGCTCTACCGTAGTACCGGTCGGGAGTACAAGCGGGACGGGCATGGAGCCATCTAGATTCCCACTATTTTCCTGATATACGTAAACTTATCGAAGCTAATAGTTTCGTTGTGTCTAGTGAGACTCTTGCTAGATATATATGTTTCACCCTCATGCATGTGCGGTCCCAGGACCCTGTGACACTAATTCGAGTATCCTATAGTTCTGCTGTGTCAACCACATGACTACTAGCTAAGTGATCAATGACCAGCGTCATGCCATGTATTCCCATGTAGCCTACTCAATCATGTGTGATGGCGTCCGTCTCTCCAGAACACCCACTTCGAAAGGTGTGTGAACCAAGGGGAATGCAATGGCCAATACCAGCTACGAACCGACTATTCACGCAACTGCGAATATTGGAAATGGTGTCACTAGTGAGAGATTTGTGTATTTACAACAACAGAGCTGTACCTTCCATCAGCTTCCAACGCCAGCCCCCCTAGAAGTCGAGTTTGACCGAGTGCGACCGAGAATCTGGTAGAAGGTAACCAGCCAGCTTGAATTCGTATGTTCGACGTAAGATTACAGCCTGAAAAGCTGTAGGGTAATATGAGATTGTGGCCATTGAGTTGGCTGAGCCAACTTGGGGAGAAAGTCCTCTGTTTGAGTCAGACAGATGTAAATTTGGTCATCGCTAATCACGTTTCGCTGTTCGGGGACGTTACTGAATATAGACTTGTTCAAATATAGTGTCCACTATGATAGACTTTCTTGCCATGTGGTGATCTAACATTCAACCCACAGATCCGCCATCGTGGTTGAGAGCCAAAACGGCAGTGTAGTTGTTACGCGTCCAAAGTCTTTCAAGAGACAAAATTTATTGTATTATCATGGACTTTATTGTGTATTATTGACTGTGGAAGAGTTATCTTTGTGCAATAGCCCCTTTTCTCGTGGAATGATCAAGTATGAACGCATGACCAAATCTCCTTTTCTTTTCCCCTCTCTTCGTTATCGTGCCTTTCTTAATGTTCATAAAACCTAACTCCCCGCTCGTGGTATCATCCTCTAGAACCTTACTGCAATAGACTGTGAATCGAGAAAAGCAAAACGCTAAGATAGTAAAAGTATCTCTAACATAAATGTTCTTGAGTCTGGATCCCCAAATATCAGCGTGCAGCCAGCATCTTCAACGCGTCTGCAATAGCAGGCACAGCTGTTACGGCCACTGTAAATGCACCGAACAGGGTCATGCTGAGAGCCGAGTAAGCAGTGCTTCGAGAATCCCTCTCAATGAGGTGCGATGTGCCCATGGCGGCTGCGTTGATGCCCACCGTAACACCTGCAGCGATGACCTTATACTCGTTTCTATCTACATACTCCATTTCCTTCTCGTTCTTGCTCAACGAGCAGGATACGTTGGCCGCCGGTCGTCGATCGTTGATGCGGAGCCAAGAGAAGAGAAGGTCGCCCGTCATCTGGAAGAGCATACCACTAAAAGTTACCAGAGAAGCCATGAGCGTAGTGCTACCCTCGAGGCCCTGGACAGCAGGTACTCCAAGAGCGATGGTAACATTACGGGCGCAGAAGGCCAGAGCGTCAGCCGGTCGGAGACCCATGGCGCGAGCCAAGATGACATTGATAAAAACGTTCAAGGTTGCAAAAACGAGGCAAGTGGATAGTACAGTGGCGAAGCTGTCCCAGAGCTCACGACGATGTTCGAACATCTTGAAACCGAGGGAGACGATGCCGGCATCGAGGATGGCGTGGGCAAGATCACCAGCGCCGACATTTTGGGTAAATCCGCCGCCCCTGATCAGACAGACGACAATAGCGGCCCATGAGTTGTGTCGCTTGAAGTCGTCCAGAATAGCACCAATGTCACGGTAAGTCGTTACAGTCTTGACCCAGAAGTAAACAGTGCAGAGTGCCGAAGTTGCCAGAACAGGGTTGAATATGACCGACAGGAACCTTCTAGTCTTAGGTCGTACCCCGAGAGACTTGTATGACTTGATGTAACGCTGGAAGTGAACGGCCGTAATCCAGATGAAGGTGAAACAAAAAGCTTCAAACGGCATGTCGTAGCTCATGGCACAGTAAATAGGGAGGCCGATGGTGATAAGGATGACAAGAGTGACCCAGAGAGGGAATGTTCGCACTACAAATTCGACGGTAAAAGATGAAGCATGTGATGATTGAATGGATGTCAACGATCCGTTACTGACAATTATGTCAGCAAGCTTGTTGATTTTTGATTCCCGCTGTGAGGGGCGCGATGGGTTGTTGGACTGTTGAGTCCTGTTCTCATTATCTTTGGGTCGCTTATTGAGACGTCTGAATCGTTCTTCAACTCTGAAACTACTGGCGGCAAAAATGTAACAACCGATGTAGTTTAGGAGTGTTGTGACCACTGTAAGGCCATCAGAATATTGTCACGATATGGGCAGGACGTGAGAGTTAGTCTCACCAAAGGCTCCTGCTATGCGTGGAATATCTGTGGCATTTTTTATGTGCTCTTTGCTCAGCATAACAAAGCTTGCCACAAATCCAAATGACATGTGGCGACCCAAGAAATCGGTCTGCGATGGCACAGGGCATATTAGCTCCAAATAAAAGTTCTCCTTTATTTTTATTTTTATCATGACGGTACTCACTGGGCCTTTCATGTGGGCCGTATAAAATAGATTGACACTTTCAGACATAAAATTAATGGAAAGCATGACGATTGTGAGTATGGTCATAACCAAGATGGATGCAGGGAGATTAATTCCTCGGGCATCGAACACGATTTGAATTGGTACAACCGCGAGCTGAACCAACGGTACCATAAGGATTCCAAACGTGGCATTCCAATATCTTTTTGCCGTCTCTGGAGCCTTGATGGCACGGCAAAACCGGGAGACCCAAATAACGGTCATGGTGGAAGTGAATAGTAACACAAGATGGGATAGAGACACTCGCATGCAGCGGACAGCGAAACAGGCAAGGGGAAGATTTGATGAAATTATGAATGGATGTCTTGAAGTATATTTGTTATTGAGACAAGATGTTTGGAAATTCATGAAAGTTATAAGAAGGAGCGGTGGCCTTCGTTTGCAGTCGAGTCAAGACCCGCCAGGAGAAACTGCATATCAAGATTCACACCTTGACAACCGGCATTTTGGCCCGCCAATTCTGTTATGACTGAAGACACAGGAAACTCTCTTGCAACACGAGGGTAACTGAGGAAGACTCGAATTTTTGAAGATCAGACTATCATATCGCCTATTTTGGAACGATACTATGACAGCATCTATCGTGTTGCACCAAACTGGGTAGACGTGCACAAACGGGGTACCCAGGTTGCGCGCTACCGATGCGTGAGACATGAACGATAATGTACAAAGATGCACAAACAGATACTTTGCATCAAACACAACATGATGTCAATCTGTTTACATATGTAAATGTGCTTGCTAATGTATGGGTTCGGCAGCTTCTGGCACTGTCAAATTTGACGTGAGGCGTAGTAGCATAACAGAAGCGGGACCACGCATATCTGGAAGATGGCGCATGGGTCCGCCTGGAAGCCCACAGAAAAGGTGTAGGATATCGGACGGCTTCTGATGTAACCCGGGGGAATCATTCCATATATGCCGCGGTGTAAGATGACTCTATACACATAGGCAAGCCTGAGATCTAAGCCTCGGCTCGTAGCGTAGACTATGGTAATAATGACGCTGGTGGACAACTCGATTACCCTGGTATACACTACCAGAGCCACGCCAATGACGAAAGCTCGACTATCATGAGTGGTAATTTTGTGATTGGAACTGAGATTTAGCTTGAACAGGAGCTTTAATCTTTTCTTTCTTTCTTCTCTTTTGTAGTTGGATCGAACGAAAAGACCCGACCGCTCACGGTCATGTGGTACAGATCCGATAACAATTGAGCCATTTACAGTCCTGACTTGCAAACAAAGAGTAACAGCACAGCACTGTTAACTACCAACATATTACTTGCATACACGGTGGGAGAGGCTCGGGGATTTTCACCAACATCTTGGTCATGGTAGTCCTCCAATCGTGTAAATGCCTTTATATGAAATTGAATGCATACTATAATCTTGCTGCTGCTTTCATTGTGTGGGTAACACTGCAGCCAGTTGGTTGAGAATTTATGTATAACTAGCTACCTAGCTGCATGGTCCAAAACCTGAGGTGAAAATCATTACAAGAGCAACATGCAAACATGCCTACAACATTGTACTGCTCAGAGCAATTCTGGCTGCTCCTTCCTTCGGGTCGGAGACTAGACCGATAGCTCTCAAAGAATTCTGGTTCGTTACCTAAGTTCAATGGGAGCTTGCGGTTTTGTTGGTCAGAATACATGAAGAGCAAGAAGATCCTGCGACTGAAAGGCTGTTGCTGGAGTGAACCGATTGGCTCGCGTAGTCCAATGTCCTTTAGCCACTGGCTTGTTCCAACTTGCTTGCATCTACAGAGTTGGCAATTCTGATTGCCACTGCAGCAACTGACACAAAAAGTCTACATGCCGTTTAGGCAAAGTACAGCCTGAATTAAAACCGCGTTCATGTTAGTTCCACATTGCAGCCAATTATACCAGGTCTGGAGAGCACGAATAAATTCTGCATTGTCAAGTCTTGGTAACAAAAGTTATTGCTTCTATTGCTAAGATCACGATATATGTTGTGCACAGATGGCACGCGTGCAGATGCAAGTTGTAGTGCTTCTACAAGGCATTCGAAAAGGTGGACTGTATGGCAGCAAGCAACTTACTTTTATCTATCACCCACAATAGCCTTCTTCAAGTCGGATACTATTTTATGTTACTTAGACACTCTAATATAAATGCTCGCGTCTATTAATCTGATTGAGTTAGCTGAGTTTTTGTTTTTAAATTGTTACCCCTCTCTTTTTGTCCTGGCAGTCCAGTCTGTCAAACTAAGTGCACAGCAATGAGTAAAGAATATAATGATAATCATGCCCCCAAAAGCTTCTCCTCGAAAGGTCTACGCACTACAATAAGAACCAATAATTTCGGTACATCGGCTGTGACGAAGGCCTTATAATCGATAATATATGAACGCTGCACATACTTATAAGTCCGCGCTCACGATATGAATATGTAAAGACTTTGTAGGCCATGGTAGACGACCATCCTGTTGTTGACTGCTTGTCCCTAGTATGGATATCCGTATAGATACTTGTATCAAGACAAATTGTTAGTGAAAATCACCATGCGGCCATTTTATAGCATAACCAGAGACTTTACAATCATATTAAACCACACTCATGATTTGAAAAAGAAGATCAGTAAGGGCACAGCACTCGCATGTCGCCAATGCATGCTGAAAGCCGGGCATGCAATTCTACGATTAAGGGATTAAGAGGCCGCGGGGCATGGTCCAAGGTCAGGTTAGTTGATCTTAGCGCCTGAAGGTGCCCCACGAGTTGGTCAAGCAAAGAACGCGCTTTGGGCTGGCGCGTGTCCAGGTTCCTTTTCATGTCCCCATTACTTTTCGCTGAGCGTTTGTGGATGTACTTTTATGGTACACACCACAACTCGAACCTTGAAGTTGACCACGTATACTGTTGCATACAGTGCAAGGCTTCATGTACGGTTTGAACGCGTCCCAGGAAAATACACACCGCTGAAGCCACAGTAAGACGATCCAAGGCCAGCTGTCGTATCTCTTATTTGTCTTACAGTTAAGAGCTTCACCGACACATATCCCCATATTTCAAGCTTTCTTATCTCACCCTTCAGTTCTGAGATCTGTTACTCCTGATCAGAAACAGTAATCTGAGAATTCTGCAGGTCTGGATCTCGTCACAAAAGTCTACTACCAGCAGCCAAGCAAGATGATTTTTAATACCGAGGAAGAGCCCAGCGCAGTCTCCGTATCGCCGGTGCTGACTGAGCTTGGCGGTTCTCACAGTCTTACTCCCGAGGAAATCCAATTGTACGTATTTCGAAGCACTATAAGTTAGTTTATAACTACTTACAGGTTAGCAGTATTGTTGCTGCGAAGGCATCTGGTCGGCTTGGTGAGCTTATGGCTCTAGCCAAAGACTCTGACAGCGGCAGTTCCCTGGAAGAGGTTAAAAACTCTGCTAATGACCAACGCGAATTGATTGACTCTGTTTCGAAACAGGCAACCACGTTGCAATCGCAAATTGAGCGCTACAAGTCTCTCATCGAATCTGGTGCTACATTGCAGAGCCAACAAGCCGAGGCCAAGCATGCCAAACTGGCCCGGACACGCGCTGCCAATGCTCGCCTTGAGGAAATGGTAGCTATACCAGTAGCCTGGTCGGCAAGTGTTTTACTGACAGAATTTACAGGTGTCTTCTGACGACCTCGAGCTTAAGCGACTGATATCCCAGAACGTCAAGCATATCGAGGAGTTAGAGACAGTCCCTAATTATCTCAAAGGCGGGCTGAGGCATGGGAACAAGGTTTGTACGGGTGCGAAATATAGCCCGAGTAACACTATCAATGATCCGTTTTATGGCAATCTTTTGGAGAAGCTGCAAGCTCTTGGTTGGGAGATAAAGATCAGGGATGAGAACAAGCAGCTTGTGAAGACAGCTCGTTACTATTCCAGCATGTGAGTTATTCATACGTGTTTTCTGTTTTCCTTTATAACTGAGACAAGAGAAGGCAAGTAATGATGTCTATTACTTCTCTTAAGCACAACCTCAACCTAGTGCTCATGGAGGCTGCCTGCAAGTATGCCAGCGCTTTTCCGGCTGGTAGTGGATACGCTCGCGCACTTGACACTGAGCTCGGAGCTGTTATGGAAGAAATCAATTCTCTATGGGACGAGGTGGTTCCAGTTGCCCATATGGCTGTTGAAAAGACAATGTTGGAACCTATCCTTCATATTGTCAACGTCATGGAGAAATCAAAGGCATATCAAAATGCCATCATTGGATCCTATGTAAGTGGCTATTGCTTGTGACTTTGATGCCTAAACTAATGCTCGTTAGATTGGTAGCTGCTTGTCTTTCATCAACGAACGACTCGAGCTCCTAACAAAGCGTATCGAGATTGCCGTCTTTCACCACCTTGCTCTTTTCATTACTCACGAGCACAACCGAGCCTTCCGTTATATCAAGGAAGCAAACATAGAGCACATGCACACATTGAGTCATCGTCACATGCAGAATGACGATGAACCGGGTCCGGAGATACAAACGACCACGCTGATGCACAATCGAAAGGCACTGGACATTTTTGGCGGCTTTCCAAGCAAAGTCTTCGATCCTCTGACAACTACAGAAGAGAAAGTCACGATACTTAATGAGTTTATAGCCGAACGTGCAGTCAAGGAAAACTCAAGGCTTAAGAATCTGCACAGCCTCTACGAGTCCTCAATGAAAGCTGGTCTACACGAAGGTGCCAGCGTCAATACTCGAGTACTCCAGTGTATTGTTGCCGATAGTTTGAAAGGAATTGGCCGTCGAGGCGCCGCTCTCAATGATGGCCAGACTGAAGAGTCGCTCGAGGCTCTTCAAGAGGAGAACAGAAAAATTAGGGATGTACAAAGGAGCCTGCCGCTTCCAGAGGTCATCATGAACAAAGCTCTCTTGCCTGCCTGGCGCATTCACCTCGAAGCCATCGACTTGCATGACGCAGGTGTGCTGAATGATGGCCGCTGCGAGCATGGCGCTAATGCCGCTGACCGTAAGGACTGTGATGTCTACAAATTCTCTTTGAAGCAGGCTGAAATTATTCAGCGTTGGAGCGGTTTACTTGACAGTAAAGAGGAGTGAGCTTGGACGCATTGGGACAGTAGGAGATTTTGTGAGATGGTTGCTTCAATCTTTGATTGTACGACCTTTAAATACGCACCTGGCATATTTCTATCGAGATCCTGTGAGGAGTCACCTTTTCAGGATCGATTCCATGAGTTCGAGAGCACGTCTTCCTGGATGCAATGTTTAAGGTCTGTATGAACGTGATTTTCTCACGAGTATTAAGGAATGTCTCAATGCTTGAATACAGGTTGTGCAGTGTTCATACTGCTTTTGACTTTTGTTGTGTAGCAAGGTGTCCTACTTAGAGGCAATGGAAGGGTTGAATGTTCTGGCCATCAACTTTTGATGCGACACTTAACCTTGAACGCCTCGTATCATCATTTTAATAGGCCGATACACTTCTTCGCGAATACCTAGTCTTTGCATTAGTCTCACGAGTCCATAATCGAGCAAATCGGCCTTCCCCTGACCCCTCGACCTGTGTGTGGCAAGCCTCGTGAAACGGTCGCCGTCTGCAGCGCCATCAAGTGCAGCCTCAACCATTTTACCAAAGATCTGGACCCAGCTGACTACCACATCTGTATCGATGGTACCTTCCAAGAATCGACATTCTACAGTTCTCGGATTTGTCCTAGCCCGCTCATCTTCGCCTCCGAAGGCACTGAAGTTGAACCCAAGCCGCCGATATGGTCTGCCTTCGCCCGACATTAGCCTGCCAAGCTGAGTATGAGAGCGCGTTGCAGCAATGAGGCGCGATGCTTCCATGTCACTGTTGGTAATCGTGCTAGGATCCTTTAATACCCACTTAAAAGCCTCAGGCAATCCAACGAGGTCTTGTAGTAGAGGCATATGAACTACTTTTTCCGACTTTAATTCAGCAGCGAGCCTGCTGTACTCCCTGGTCGAATTGCTCCATGTATAGACGTGTGCGTGATTGGGGCTCCTTGGATCTTTGACCTTCCTCAAAACCGGTTCCGCCGCCCAACACAGTATTGCGAGTTTCTTTAGCGTTGGGAGGGTAAACGGCCGACCGTCCATCCGGCCAGCGTGAACGTGGACCTCGCAGGTGTAGTTGGAGACGATGTAGTACCTGCTTTTTATGGCGTCCATAACAGATCTCAAGACGGCGATGGTGGTGGGATCCCTCCAAGACAACCTGGGCGAATTCACCTCCACAGGTACCCAAATCCAATCGGCCCGGTGTGGATGGTCCTTTGCTGGCTCGGCAGACATGGACCTCTTCACCACCCAATAACTGAGCCAGCAGTCACGTTCCTGCTGGTTCATGGCATCCAGGTCATAGCTCGTGATGGCTTGTTGTTTAAGGACGTTTCTAATCGCTGCTGCCACATTGGAAAATGTTTGCTGCCAGAGCTTTAGTTTGTCGTAGGCGTCATCAAGCTGCGTTGCTCTCTCGATGTAGTCAACAACTTCCAGCTGCGGCCCATCATGAATTCGAGCGGGTTTTCCTTTGCAAGGGAGGAAGGGTATCAGGAATTTCAATTCGGCGGCTATAGACAGATCTTCTGCCTTATCTTGTAAGCTGGCAATTGATGTGGTGGTCCTCTGAATTGCCATTTTACGATTAGTTTAGAATGTGGAGAATGGTGTTCTACTTGGGCGGCAGTTCCTTCCCCCTTTTCTTAAATGAAAATCAGAGTCCGAATCACTTCACGTTGGTTGTTTCTTGGTAAATTTGCGTACGGGCTGAACGGCGGGAGTCATGGATATTCCGGCTACGTGGATAACATGTGAGAACGGTCGAGACACGGCAATGGAAACCATTCACAGAATCCTGGTCCGAGTCACCCACTGCCGAAAATCTGCTATACAGCCACTCCTACTCACACTTGCGCGTTTTGAAATGGTTGCGCTTGGGCACAAATGCCCGTGCGTGATTATTGTACATTTCAGGGGACATGTTACAGTGTCGACCGCCAAACTGTTGACACCTTGGAGTTGCATTAAGTTATGATGGAGCGACGTTCTTGAAAATGGCCCACGGCTTTTCTTCTGTTACTGGCAAAGTGTAGCTGTGTGCCCGACCTAAATTGGGCAACTAATTGCCAAATGCTACACCCCACAAAACAACATACTATACCGATTGCAATGTACTTCTGAGGTATTTCAGTGCAAGGTTTTATTGGCCAGCTTGTAAATGACCACGCAGGAGTGCATTCAAAATGAGGCCGGAGGTATACAATTCATTTGAAATGATCTTAACCGCGCCAGAGTTGGTTCCAATCTGTGGAGTCTCCTTCACAGATGTAGAGTGCAAGTGAATCTATATAACGCAAGATTTGTACTATGATGAATCAATGGTAAGTACGTTCCTATGAGAGTAAAATCTGTGAACAACTACACAGACCCCACACCGCCGCCTTCCTTCCCATAGTATACAAAGAGATGGGCAGTAGAGGAAGGGGTTGGCAGGCAATGATATTGGTAAACGGCGCCATTGGCGCGTCTTTCCCGAAGAGTGCATAATTTATGCAGAAGTACTACTAATTGTGTTTAAGAACAATATACGTGGGCTTTCTGACAACAGTTGAGACGGAAAGTAGCGGGTTCCAATGAAACTAGAAATGGTCAGATGCAGGAAGCCTGCATGTCTGCATGTCTGCATATGAAGAGAAACCGTGCATACATTTGATGCGTCAGTCTAGTGCCGACAGTCTAGACCACGCACCACCTCATAGTTCTAGCCTTTGCAAAACGAATGTAACAGAGTTAAAATTGCGCATGGTCGCTCACTTGGCAGAAGCGCGCGGAGAGATTACTGGAATTAGTAAATTGAGAACTTAGCTCGTAGCTCGTGAGAGGTATAACGAGAATTGATCGCCGATCTAATGCATTGATACGAACAGAAGCGCCCTGCTAACAGTCTTCTTAGCTGTCTTGCAGTCACATGTTTGAACTCTATTAACAGTTGATAGTGCCGGTGTATCCAGATCTCTGGATAATGGACTCAAATGAGAAGGACTGAATCTCCTTCTCTTTCGTTAGTAAACCCACCATTCTGAGAAGGCCCGCTACAAGAAGTCTGAGAAGATGGTGAAGCCCATACGGAGACCTAGGTCCCCTTTTTAAGAAGACCCTGGTATATAGCTGCCGAAATAGTGGCGAGTCGGCCGTTACGTGGTTATCCACATACGAAAGGTTTTCTTTCTACTATGAAAGTGGTGTACCGTTCTAACATAGCGTGATCTGCACCATAAATTAGAAAGCACATCTAACGACCATACAAGTTGTTCTACCACGTGGGGCACTGGTCGATATTGAAAGCTGTTTTTAGAACATGCCGCGTTCTTGGGTGGATAATATTGGAGGAGAATAAGTCATTATACTAATCTGTCGATTCCTTCTAAGCGTCGACTTATTATTAGGTCCTAGTAGGGCTGTTAGGTTACATACCTCTGGAAGGTCCTTCCAGTGAGCACAGTCTAGATTATTCCATCCTCTAGATCTAGCACGTCTCTAATTTATCTTGTGTTCGAATCGAACGTTTCGAGCGACTATCTTGCTCGCCACAAAATTAGCAATGTGGATTAAGCAGCACTTGGTACGAATACGCATTATTAGACGGGCTTCGTTCTGGTCTGGCATTATAAGCACTGCTCCGATCTCTTAAGGCCACAGTGCCATTGGCCTCCGAGGTGTCCATAGCATGCTTCTAGCTGCGGTTCACTTTAGAGAGTAGGCTGTTTTGTCGTATATGTAATCATCTTGAAGCAGATGAACATAGCCATTCACTGTAGGAGTGGCAGTTGGTCAACATCAAACATCATCACGGATACAGATCTTGAGGTCTCACCACATTTAGTAAGTCAAATCAAACGTCAACATGCTGCTCTCCCCCGAGAGAAGCTTAGCCTTCCAGGGAATGGCTGCTTTCTCAGTCGTCGAGTTCTTGTTAGAAGCTTGGCAAGTAGCAAGTCAAGCCAGAACCGTTGTCGCGACCCGCTCACAATGTGGGGTTGCCTCATGCGCCAACTCACCAGCTTCAAGTTTAGCACTGAATTTGTTTTCAGCGGGCAGTTACTTTCACGTTGTTGGATTCTAATGGTCATACAACAGTCAAATCGAGACTACATCAACCCGAGTTCTAATGCTGCAGAGGTAAATTCAATATTGTTGAGCCTCGAGATTCATCTGACGGGTAGCACCAAATGAAGCCACAAGATACGGAGTACATAGTCGTTGAGATTTGAGGCGCTCCATCATGACGCAAGCTTGGCAGCGCTCCCAGCTATGATGTAACAGGCTCCACCCCCTCATCGCATACCCCTGCACATCTCGATGATCAAATCATTGCCCTGTTGCGGCCCCGACTTCCACATCATCCGCCTACTAACATGATTCATGAACCAATCACCGGCCAGGCCGTTGAGTTTCGTATCTTGATTTTGGAGTGAGGTGGCAGGGCCTCGATCTGACGTTGCCAAGGTTGTCGCCGTTGACGTTCACCCCACTATATACTGAAGGGTTAATTCCTTGTTTTCAAGAACAAGTTTCTTACGAATCCAGCAAGCTTCAATATTCCTAAATAGAAAAAGAGTCCTGGTTTGACTCTTTGCGCTGTATCTACCTATCTGTTTTACTAAATTGCTAAGAGAATATTTCGTGACTTACATACAACCGAACGAGCAGCCTATTCAGTGTCGCATCTAAACGACTGACTCGAGTACCACCACACAAATGTCTGCCAGTCCAGCACCAAGCAAAAGCCGCGGAGGCCGCAGCCGTGGCCGTCAGAACAAAGTAGCAGAGATGGAGAGCGAGCGCTCCGATTCGCAATTCAGCCAGGCACAAGACGAAAGTGCCGAAGAGGATACACCTCGTCAGCCCTCCCGCCGCCGCCGCCGAAACCGAGGTGGCCAGGTTCAGCAGAGCAACCAGAACCAGGACTACCAGCTTCAGCAACAGCAGCAGCAACAGATGATGCAGCAACAAATGCAACAGCAGCAAATGGCGGCGCAGCAGCAACAAGGAGGTGGAGGCGGTGGTGGTAGCGACACACTTAAGTTGCGTCTTGATCTGAACTTGGAAATTGAAGTCACGCTGAAGGCCCGAATTCACGGTGATCTTGAGCTCGCCTTGCTGTAAGTCCTTTCGCTCCTATTTGACGACTATATTAGTGACTGACATCTAGTCAATAGGGATACTGCCTAAACAATCCATATTCTAATCAATTCCTTTGTAACTAACCAACAATACAACGGCATGCAATAGCGATGGCCTGTATCGACCTGAGTGCATAAGGCACTCGAAACAACAAGACAGGACCTAGGATTGGGTGCTTTAAGAATCATTTGTTGTACTAGTATTTAACGCGAGCATGATTTAATGAATATGTATCAATATGACGACAATATTTTGACAAGAAAGAACGAGACTAAAGTGTGAATTAGTACTAGAAAAGTATACATCGTACATACACACCCTGCCAAGTAGTGAGCGTAAATTTTCATGGCATCAGTACTAAATGAGTAATTTCTATTATACGATTGAAGTTCTTTCGTGATAACTCTGAATGAACATTGTGGATATTTAATTCTTATTTCAATAGCAGTAGGCAGTAGAGAATACAGAAGGCCTTACTTCGAAAGCCAACCACAAAGCTTTCGGGTCACACAATAAGACTCAACTATACTTGAAACAAATCATTCATAAAGATAGTTAATAGATGCCTCATGACCCATCTTGGGCAACCTATCTAGGTAGCCTTCCCCAGGAATAGAGGATAGCTTTGTTCCTCGTCCGTTTCACAAACATCATCAATCGACTTGCTAATGATCCCATCCGTGTCATGTGTCCATCAATAACATATAAGAACCAAGACCAGCCATTTTGGGTATGGTTGTAAGAACTTATTATGGTGTTATAAGAGTGATAGACTTTACTGGTAAAAATACAATATATATAGGCTCTTATTCACCCATGATGTAGCATTATCAAGTTTAATCATAACACTATATATACCATTCGAGGACGTGTTCCTCTATCGGTAGGTCCAAGTAAACACAAAGATTTCAAATTTTCTTGATCAACTTAGCGTATGTAGTTTTTCTTCTTTTCTTCTTTTGAACATTTACAACTAATCTCTTGTACTTTTATTTATAATCTGTCGAAGGCCATGTATGACGTGTATGTCTGGAAAATCCCTCCGAGGAATAAAGCGCTATGCCTATATTGGTTTCAAACCAAGACCTGGCGAGTCTCACTGCTAATGGGGTTCATTCAGAGAAACGTAAGCGCTCATGTGGCTAATCACAACTTCTTTAAAATTCAAAGAACAGTTGCGACCGCAGCCCAGTTCCGTTTCATGCTAACTTGGCAAATACATGCCGTCGGAATGGCTGTTACTCTCTTCCAATCCTCCTCGTTCGCATTTTGAATCCAAACGTGCTTTATGGCATTCAAGTACAACTTGTTACCCATCATTATTCTTGACAGTCCTACATGAGCTTCTTCGCGATACGCTTAGTTGGAGCCTCTTTGTTTCCCTTCATCACATCAGTGCTCTGGCTTTGTATAACAGCTGGGACCTTTGCTTACTAATGGCAGTTCCAGTAATTCTTCAAGGTGGTGTTTAAGAGAAGTCTTGTCATAACCACAACCACCTGTCAAACTTGCAATTTGTGTTGACAGGTTCATAAAGTAGTCACTAGGAGCAGGCTTCTAGAATAAGCTGATAAAATGGACTACAATGCCATGACTCTTGCGTCGAATGCAGAAGTCTCCGAATCGTTGGCGCAGAGATAAGTTCACACCATGTGGATAGTCGACTACGTAGTTGCCGATCAAGATGATGATCTCCATCTCAGTTTGGTCTTGGACAAGGCTGTGCAGCTCTTCTACCGACGCACGAATAACTTGCATATATGTTGACCGCCATGTCCTGATGTTATTGGTGAGTCCTCGAATGTGGTGATGCGGTGGATCAAATGAGTGGTTCGTCAGCAATTTGAGTGACCTACTCTCGGCTCTATTATCCTTCATAAGTTTACTAATGATCGAAAGTGCTGTCTCCATGGTCGAGTTGGTGCTCTATAGTACAGACTTAACATCTAAACTTTCACTGAACTGGTTGTGCTTGAGCTCCTTGATGACAATGTGAGGGTATACTACTGCTCTGAGTAGCCACCTTCATTTACTTCGAAGTGGCTAAATTCCGGCGTCTCTTCGTCGTTACACAAGGTCTCGGTATGAGAACGCAACGATATCTGTTCCCAAGATTCTGTCATATCAGTGGGGTTCACCTGGTGAGAGTGAGAAGGCGTCACATTGTTGTGATACAACATGGTACCTGGGAAGGACAGATGCTGTGTTATGGGACGAGGCATAGGGCTGCTAGACTTATATAAATGGACTGTGGCTAATAGTCATTCCTTTGAGCCGAATCAAGTGCCCTGCCAGGTTCCAAAAGGAACAAACCCGCACTGGTGCCATTGTTTGTACGCAGAATTTACAGCTTATGACTTCAATCATCCCTTACACCATCAACATGCTTACGGCTAAGCAAAATTTCATGGCTTGCCAGTCCAAAGTGTCAAGAAATTTCTATGACCCAGTAATACAGCCCAGATCAAGTACCTGTCGCTTCCTAATGGTCGGCTTCCTTGTTGACACCTAAGGAATTATATCATAAAGCGCACTAGGACATGGAAATAAACCAATAGGCTATCCCAGGGTTGATTTTTCGGATACCCTTGATGCCTGTATTACTTCCAACATTTAGCATTGCTTTGGCATACACAAATGATCTTAAACTTGATTCATCACTAATTGTAGAATAACATTTGAGAATACTTGCTCTCAGCGAGGTACTCCTTTGTGGGAGATCTTCGTTTTTTATCCTTGAGCATTTCGCTTTAGCGATCGAGAGAAGAAGGGTGTGTCGTTAGCTTCAAAGGGATTCCTGCCGTTCTATCCAGGTCTTTACCATTGCTTATGGGCTGGCGCTTTTTTATATTTTACAGCTTGCCTTCAATATCTACGATATTTCCTGTGGCACTTTTGTGATCGTCATCAATATCCTGAAATGTCAGATCTGTGGTCGGGTTATTTTGTTATGAAGTGACTCAACTCTACCTCTGTGGATTTATTATTATTGAACCGCACATCTACAATAAATGAACATGTGATTTCAGGCTCTGTTTCGAAGCGATTATTTCGAAAGAACCCTCGGAAAGTCTCTGGAGTGAAACTCGTCTTAATATCCAACTTGATCCTTCTCGAGACTTATCTCGCTATGAAGGCTGTTGGACTGACTTGTAAGTACGCCTGCATAACTAATCATTCGAGAAACTCATTACTGGCTAGGCTAGATGCTCAATTCGTTTCTAGAGTAAGTCATCTGGTTCAGCTTCGGCTCAGCCTAGATCGAGGTATTCCAGCCACAGCCCAGCTTAGGGTAGTGAGATCAGACACCTCAAACAGACTCAATTACTATCCGCTTAGGTAAGAGATTGATAAAGAAGACAATTTCAGCGCTTAAATAATCAGCAGGTGATCAAGTATTGTCTTGGATCGTTTGTAACTACAGAGTGAATAGTGGCACAAAGCCATCGGCCTACCCGAGCTGGGAGTAGAGTAACACCATATACTTTTATGATGCACGTCGATTATAAACGAGCGGGTTTAAATTTTGATCCATCATGAAATACTGTACTAGTGGGCATATTGACAAATTGCTATGTTTGTATAGGGAATTTTAGCTTGTATGATTTGGGATGTTAGGTACTAACCGTAAATAAATTGCCATAAATCCTGAACGTTAATATCTTTACTTCAGTCTGCTACATCGTAACTTAAGAGTAGTATAGCGGAAACGGGACCTCTAGCACATAATAGGCGAGAATCAATACTAGCATAGACATTTTTACTGGAGTGCTGCAGAAAGGCGGGATGTAACTCGGGTGGTTTTCGGCAACATAACTAGGTGTGTTGTTCTTGGTGCATTTCGAGGAGATAAGAGAATGTCTCCGGAATAAATATAAATCACAATGACTGACTCTTCGACCATCATGTTCTTTCATACTTAAGCCACTTGTATAGTGAATTTGAGAGTTATTAAGAAAAAAAAATGCAGGTACAAACAGGCGCTCAGTTCAAACCAAATCTATACGTCCTCAGCTGGGGTCTCTACCCTCGGCGCATTACCATTTACCTCAAAGAGAAGAGAATTATTGATCGAGTCAGCATCAAGGAAGTTCCCGTGACCTCAACAGGCCTGGGTAGTATTCCCGGCAAACCTCAAGGCTCCGTACCTATCCTCGAGTATGCGCCCGGCCAGTATATCCGGCAGTCTTCAGCAATTCTCGAGTACCTAGAAGACCTATATCCAGAGGCGCCCTTCATGCGCGGGACAACACCCGAAAGCCGTGCGAGAACACGCGAGCTCCTCGACCTGAGCAACGAGGCGTGCTCGTTCCTGTCCTTCTATTTACACAACGGCAGTGCATTGTTTTCAGGGTTCGAAAAGCAGAGCCCGGAGGCGGCCGGGCAGGCGATGGAGAGACTAGAACTCTTGTTTTCACAGATAGAAGACATGTCTGACCCCGAAGGTCCTTTCTTAGCAGAGAGCGGAGACCAGCCTGGACTGGCAGATATTGTGGTCTTGGCCACAGTTCAATTTGCAAAAGGCGTATACGGCATTGATATAGTCAAGAAGCACATGCGTTTGACGCAGATGGTGTCCGCATTTGAGAGAAGGGATAGCGCGATATGGGATGATGCACCGGCGGAGCTGACAAGCGTAGCGAGGAAGTTCAATGTCAAGGACGTGGAAGTATGACAGAGGTGCTGAATAAACAGCCAGCGATGGGTTCTATGTAGCAGGCTGTATGGGAGACGAGAGCCAAACACACCAAAATTCTTGCACCTACGAGGAACATAGACCCACTTGTTACAGCCTTCAAGAAAGCAAACTATTATCAACGCAGTAATGTCACGCTCGGGGTCTTTTTATTACCACATCTTCATTCGGGGATCTTTTTGCGTTATTTGATCATGGCTTAACAAGGTTGGCTTAACATCACCTTGTGACTTATACGATTCTCAAACAGTAATTGCCATGACGGATCGCGGCTACAGCGTCTTGTCTCATTAGGTCATGACAAAGACACTGTCCTCAGAATTGAAGACATTAAACAAGCCCATGAGGCCTATAAAAACCAGCAAGACTTTACCTGTGAATTCATGTTACTACATGTTATAACTAATAGATGGCTGGGGGGGGGGGTGTTTTTTTTAAAAATTTCTTTTTGGAAAACACCAAGCTTTAACAAGAGCATACAGAATACTAGTACATATTATTTTCAAGTGAAGGTAATGGGGACTTTCAAGAAGCAGTCCCACGACTTCTGTATCCTCAGCAGATATCGCGCACAGTTTAAGGACACCGAGCTTGCAAGCCCATGTGGAAGAGAGCTATTTTGCTTTCTGATGCGATTTGAATGAGACCAATTTTGTCCTGCAAGCGTTGATGATCTTCAGATTCAAATGGCGGCCATTCCATATCAAAAACAAGAAGTGTCTCATGGAGAAACTCCTGCGCTATCTCTTCCGATTCAGTCTTTGTCCTGCTATACAGGTTTTCGGTGGTTGGCCTTGCAGACCTTCCCATAGCGAGTGGTGCCACCATTGCGTTGCGGTGCTACTTTGGCCGGTTGTAGCTCCCCATCAGCGTTCAGGTCGCGTCGCTGGAGAGTCAATGGCCACTGTGGACCCTTCAGATCATGCGACGAAGAACTATGAAATGTGGCCATCCTCAGCACGAGCCATTGATACGGAGAGCCATGCTTCTGTAAGAAATTCTTGTCTCCAGGGACTACCCATAAAGCTTTGAGGGCATCTCTGGGGTTACGCAAAGAAGAATCCATGAGAAATTCGGCAATTACATAAGAACCCGCTATTCGGTTGACACTCCGGGAAAGCGGGGTCTGATATCAAATCTTAAGTACAACTGTACTCAGTAACAACCTACGAATCCTGGGATCCAATTGACCAAGGTGATTACCCATATTTTAGATTCATTGGGGAATTGGGAATACTGGGGATTGAAGTCACAGCTAATAACAGCGTCTATTCTCACCTATTCTCAAGCTTCTGCGTGATGATTATAGTCACATTTGATGTTCTGCGCGTCTCCCAACCGACGTCTTGCACAGGGCCCATTCTCTTAGTAGAATTTCAACTCATGGTTTATGTACACCACTTTTAGAGCGACCTGCTCATCAAGACTTTATGCCTCATAGTTCAGCTAAAAGATTCTGTCACAAGCTTGTCTATTAGCAAGACGGCATGTATTTGTATGTATCGTGCTCCTTAGTGGTGTCATTGAGTTTAACGCTTGCTTTAATTAACATGAACGGTTTGAAGACCACTGTAGGGAGTCAGGGATCTGATGCTTTGGAATAAATTCATGTCAAGGCTTCAGGCTCGCCCGACCAAGCGAGACACCGAATCAAATGACATCGAGCGCAGTTATTTGAATCTGCAAGGCGTGCACACATTCGACTTTTACACAACCATAATATGAGCAGGAAGGCGATTCTGTCTACGGCAAGAATCAAGATGCAGCCAACATCGCTTCCGGGAAAGAAGCAGTAGCTGCCACCGGGGATCGAATGTAGGAGTGAGTGGTGGACATCAAGCTAGCCCAGCCTGTTGGAAGGCGACGGAAACGAGTCTAAGTCAAACTCAAATCGTGAGCCCCTAATGGTGGCATCATGATCATATCCTCACCACCATGCCATTGTGCACAAAGCAATCCGCACCCAATGCCTTGGTGATTGAGGCTGTGAGGTCGCATACTCAGCCGCATCCATCAAACCCAGCAATTTGTGACAAGAACAACCCATATCACGTCGATCTAGGATGAAAAGGCCGCTGACACAATGAGAGGATTCACTGGTGCCCGCGATTGGTGGCAGCGCGACGAACATGCTTCGCCACACAACCCCCGGATCCTCCACTGCGATCCTTCGAGTTCTCATTGAAGTATCATATCCTAGACTAGCATGAGAAGCCAATTCGCACGCAGTTTTCATTACTACGCACGCAAGATTACAGCAATACATTTAGTCAGTCACGGACGGTCCATGATCAATCATCTAATGGACGGCTATTCAGTGGCACCAGCTAACTCACATGAGAGTTATTGACAAAGCATAGTTCTGGATGGTAGTCCGTACAAGGCCTGACATAGATACGGCCTTTGGACGGCCCTTGAACTTTTGGACGGAGCGGGATGCATCGAGTCGTATGTTCCTGTCCGTGCCATGAATTAAGGGCAATGCGCCGCATCGTTACAGCTATTTTGAGTCATGATACAGGGAATCTGGGTTTCAACGGTCGGAACCTCTTCCTTCGGAGAAGCTGATCCTTCTTGAAATTAATGCTACAACCCGTTTATCAAACCCCAGCCAGCCTATTATGTATACAGGCAACGGTTGTTGCCTTAAATAAACTGTGCCGCACAAGCAAAATGTGCCGTGATGAGAACACGTAAATAATTATGTGTTACACTTACCGGAATTGTCGACGATTTTAACAATAAATAACCAGAGTTTCGCTCGCCTTGTCGGACCACAAACGAGGGAGTATAGTCTCTCACCCATCTATTGATACAGCGCACCGACTCGACGATTCATTGATCCCTCTTGTTTCCGAATTGTAATCTTACGAACAAGAAGAGTTACAATGCTTACAGCAGGCACAATTGTTGTGCGGTCTTTCGCAGTTAGTTTGTACATGCACATGTTTAGACGCCAATTAGTGACCATCAGTCTTCACAGCTTGTCTTCGGAATTGCGGTTCTCGGACTCTCAGTAACCCTCGCCAAACATCAGGTAATCGGTAGCCCCCCGACAGAGACCTCGTTCAGCAGCTTCGTAGGGGCTTTCGGCATTATTGTCTCCGTGCTTGGGCTTGCCTCTCTATGGATTGACAGGATTCCGGTCTTTGTCGTGATGAGTGCTGATGCTCTCTTATCAATATTCTACCTTGCTGGTGGCATTGTAAGCATCATATACATCCCGCAGCACTTTTCTGTCAGACTTTTTCCAGCATTGATGTAGTTTCCAAGTTGCTTCGTCTGTGCTGCCACTAACTTTTTTCAGGCCCTGGCGATCGCACTCAAAGGAGTTGGCAGTTGTACCGATAATAGCAGCGTGTCCATCGCTCAACGCTTCACGAATAGTATCCTTAATGGCGGCTGCACCGATCACGGTTGTTACGTTGGAGGAGGTGACGGTGATTATTCTCAACTTACTTCTAGATGTCAGCGTGCTCAGGCAGATTATGTAATTGAGTTCATTGGTTTTGTTGTTGCGCTGATTGGCCTTGCTCTTGCTTGGCTTGTTCACAAACAAGGAGGTGGTTCTTCACGTTCATACGTTTGATGACTTCAAGAAGAGGCTAGTGCCAGTTTGGAAATAAATTCTGCTGTCAAGCGCGCCATGCTTCTTATTCTCCTGACGCTTGTAGCCTTGTACGGCAAACTGTGAATAAATAATGCCACATCATAACAGATGTGTAAATGGTACTTCCCAGACTGAAATTAGAGCTTCTTCATGATCTTGCCATCCATTTTCAACCGAGCAAGAAGTACGAATGCAGTGGACATAACAGCCGTGGCCCCAGCATAGAAGATGGCTGGCCTATAAGGTACGATAGATTTCGCTCTATCCGCACCAGTGGCATCGATGAGAAATCCAGCAATGGGACTGCCCATGAAGTACCCGAGTGCCAGCCCAGTCAATGCCATGCTCATGCCAACCGCTGCGTGACCAGGTCCGACTAATCTACCAACGGCGGTGGGCATGGCGACAAAGAAGGCGCCATTTGCTATACCATTCAAGGCAGCGAATATCATCAGTAGCTCCAGCGTGCTCGATAATGTCCATATCGCGAGCATAGTAACGGCGTTCAGTGCCATGGTCAAGAGGAATGTGTTGGTAGAGCCGAACTTGTCGCAAACAATACCGGATGCAAAACGGCCCAGAGCTATGCAGGCATTGAAGCATGCCAGCACTGCAGCAGCTGTTGGGCTGGATAAGCCGATAGAGTTGGCTGCCAACGGAAGAAAGAAGGATGGGACAAAAAGAGCAAATGCTCCGGATGCACCCGCCGCGCAGAGAAAGGCAAATGGCGGGTTTTTTAGCAGCGACCATTGAATTCCTGGTGTGGGATGCGCGGGAATTCGCTCTTTTATCAGCAGGGCAGCTGGCACACCTGTTGCCAGCGACAAGAACCCCAGAATGCGAAACGCCCACGCAATACCGAATTTAGCGATTACCACTTGGAATAGCAGAGCCAGCACGATTCCACCGATGCCTCCACCAACCTTCACGATGCCGTTTGCAGTCCCAAGTCGGGTGTTGAACCACTGTGCCGGCAAGCTGTTGCAATTGGTATACATCAAACTGGCGCCAACCCCGTACGAAACACCAGTTCCAATGAACAGCCCTGCAACATTGTCTACCGTGAATCCACTGAGGACATTGCCAAGACCGAAGATAATAACGCCAATTAGGGTGCTCCAGCGGGCACCGACCAATTGCGTAAAACGAACGCTGAAAAGACCCAGAGCCACCGTGAGGCTGAGGCCAAGCGATGCGACCAAAGAAAGCGTGGTTGATGAGACGTCTCTCAGCGTGGTCTGAAGCAGAGCGGATTGTAAGATACCCCAAGTGCCAGCCCATCCGTTCATCCAAAAAGTTATCACGAAGCAGGCGAAGACAACGACCCAACCGTAGCCACCGTCCGGTATAAGTGCCTCAACTGCGTCGTCGGGAGGTATAACATTGTCATTTGGCACTTCTGCCACTCTACTCGAAGAGCTTGGTCTAATGTCGGGCCGGATAGGTTCCGAAGGATATGTTGGCAGCGAAACCTCCTCGGTTTGTGTTGTTGCCATCGTTACACTCTCCACGACGTATTTGAAACTCGTGTAGCTTCAGCTTTCAGTGCAATCGGATTGGAGTGGATATTGAAAGATACCCAAAACTGCTGGCTATCTTGCTATTATTAATTATTGTTAGCGCATCTGCAAACTCGATATGTCGGATTCCATATAATCAATCAAAAATTGCATCATTATTATGTCCAATCGTGATTCGCTCTATTAATCCGTTATGCTACTCCGTAAGCAAGACATGCAGATGCCAACGGAAGGGCGCACCCTTGGAAGGTTGATTAATCCTTCCGGCCAATGAGGTGCTTATGCATTACATCTATCGAGCGCCAGTAGAGTCAATCGCCATACATAAGAATCTAGTTATCATTGTTCAATATTCAAGCCTATAATATTGCTGTAAGACTTTTAATTCATTCATTTCAGAAGGTAACCCCTTGGTAAATAGGTACGTACGCTGGGTTTGCTGTAACTTAAGGGTTTCAAAGTTCAATTTGCTCGGCCCGCCTTATGGCCTTGGTCAAATTCCTCGTGGCATCTCACAGCGAGCCTCACTAGGCCATATATTCGTGTAAACAAAAATAGTATTTTAACATTATGCTTAGATTTCGATTCGTATAAACGTGTTAGAAAAGTCGAAGAACCTGATATACTCTTATAGTCAAGACTTAAGTAGAAATACGTAAACATGGGTAAAAGCTAAACGCGGACAACAGTTTTACCTCGGGTACTAGTTTAGCTGCGAATTTGATAAATTAACAAGAAACAAATCCTAGCTAGGGGAGAAAGACCACCGCAGATGAACCAAACACCTTGAATTCTCAAATTGGGTTATTACCAAGTTTGCTCTGCTCTGTATGACGCCAATTCTTCTAGCCTATGGCTTGTAAACTGAAGGCAGGTATGTCAGTTGCAAACCTGCGATTACAGCTTTCTCATACATCCCACGACGATACAACCATTCATTGCATACCACTATAAAGTAAGCCAGCAAATGTTACATACCAACTGGGCGAAGTACACGATGCTTCCAAGCCAGCTGTGCTGATCACCCATGAGACTAGTATCAGTAATCAGATTATAGGCAGATCCGTAGGATACTGTAGCTTTGTCGATGCATGGAGAGGTAGACGAAGAGCATGATGAGTAATATGACCAGATCGAGTCGCCTGAGTATACGCTTGTCTCCATTCCGGGACACAACAAAAGTTCTCCTCGCATTCTTAACCAGGAATCCCCAGCGGCGGCGTCGCGACGATGGTAAGCGTCCGGTGCATGTTCCACCATCTTAAAGACACGACTGTATTCTTTTTTTCCCTTTCCCCCCCCCCCCCCCCCCCCCCCCCCCCCCCCCCCCCCCCCCCCCCCGGTCAGTACTATAATAAGTAGTCGAGCCTCTTGGCCTATTAGTGTGAACTAATCGAACAGCTGATTATGGGCAGAGAACAGGGATTCTGATATTACAAGGTTTCATAGCCAAGTATGTTACACACGATAGTTGCTTATACTTCATGCTTATCTAGGTCCTATGAGAAATGGGAAATCTATGATCATGGCTGAAGTTCTTGGCATTTGATTCGGCAGTAGGTAGACCACTTGCTTCAGCCCATGCATAATACTGAAAGCCAAGCGTGCAAGATTGGATTGCCCAGCATAATTGAATTATATGGCGACTTGAACCAAGCCCAACCCGTCCTACCTAACAGTTGAATTTGCGCGGTTGACATACACAGGCTAAGCCAACAACGTATGGAAGATAACAGATGCCCCCTTTCGTACAGGCTGACCTCTGAATGGCGCAGCAGGGTTGGAAGAATGCCCGGACCAGTAAAGATAAGTTCCTGAATCAAACCATAAAGTAAGACCTTAGCCGTCCTGTGGCAAGACTTCACACACAACCACTTGGTGTGTTAAGAGTATTGTTGCTCAGCTTTGGAAAATGAAGAATGCTTTCCATCGGTCTTGTCGGTTATCGTCTTATGCTATTTTGCAAGTCGGAAGGATCACATTGCGGAGATTTTCGTATAAGTACATGGATACCATCCAACTAACACTTGTTTGCTATGATCACCGACAAGCTGTCCAGACTGTCAAATATATGCAGTATATACCTGGCAACGGGACTGTCAATTGGTGACGAGCCAATCTTGAAACCAGTCGTGTATTCGACCGCTGCTTAATATGAGAACTGTCCTCTATGACTTAACTCATGCCAAGGGCTGGTTCGGAGGAGTTGCCTGTATGTCGATAGATTCCCCCGCTTCCGGTGAAGCAACCAGCCCATAATGCTTGGCACAATCGATGTACGAGGCCACAGGTGCCGCGTCTCGGGGGCTCAGCGTCAAACGTGTGATTGATCTACCCTACCAACCAAAAGCAGAAAAGGTCGGCAGTATATAACGCTTAAACCCCCATGCAGAATAGTGTTACTGTTTGGTACTCTGCGCAAGAATATCTCACTTCTGACGAAAGCCAGTCGTCTGTATTCGCAGAGACGGGAATCTGGTCTGGGGGAATACCCCACCTCTCAAAGCCCACTCCTCAATATCGGGATGGGGTATTTCCCCAGATCTTGTAGTCTATACTGCCGACTATCGCTCTAGCTTCAACCTAGCTTGCCAAAGAGACGCAATTTGGTGGAGAAGGCTAAATTAGAGTTTCTTGAATACGTTCTGCTTCTCTGATGCTCACAGGTCAATCATGAAACTCATCCCGCGGGATACCTCCGTTCCTGCTCCGATGGTTCTCCACCCCTCTGCGGACCTCTGCACCAGTCAGTCAAATGAGGACCTCCGATGCTTTCACGATGCAGTCTTGTTGGTTCAAAAGTGACAAATGGAATAACACTGGCCAAGACCAAATGTCTATATCTATCCAGGACCTGTGGTCCATGTTCATGCTTCCAACATAAATAGTACATCGAGTTCTTCGTCCCGGATAGCACTCGATAGTCCTTACCATTGTTTTAATTGTTGGCTCTGGGGACTCGCAGAAGCCTTTCTTTACTGTACACCACACCCGTACCACTTAGCGCAGTGAAGTCATTACAACTCATTCGAAACCATGTTTGCCCAGCACGAACACGTTCCACAACAGTATTCGCTGGTCAGGAGTCCAGACAGCCCTAAAGAAGAGGAAGCTTTATCTATTGTACTTGAATCCGCGTCAACAGAGGACAACAGCACGCGTTCGCCTCGATGGAGTCTCGAAGCCATCCGTCCGGGTGTCTTCCGCACAACTTTTACCACTGCGGATCATCCGTTACCTCCATTTCCTTCTGCTACATGCCCTCATGTAGATTTGGCAGATACGAGTCTTAATGTAACACATGGTCAAGATGGCAGCACCGGCGTCATTCGCTCTGGTAAAGCAAAAGCGGTTGTCGACTGGACTGGGGCTCCTGTCGTTTCCATCTCCCTGGATGGCATGGACAGCCCGATCCATGAAGACTTAGCTTTTCGCTCTTACGCCATCGACGGAAGCGGAATTGCGCACTATACAAAATGGAAGAAAGACACACTCCATGTCGGCCTCGGAGAAAAAGCAGCGCCAATGGACCTGAGTGGCCGTGGCTTTCTTATCACAGCGTCAGACACATTCGGTTATGATTCATACAAAACAGATCCGCTCTACAAGCACATTCCATGGCTAATGAATGTTACTCCTGAAGGCTGTATTGGGATCTTCTCCACCTCGCATTCACGGGGAAGTTGGTCGATTGGATCGGAGATCGATGGTTTATGGGGCCATTATAAGGTCTACCGTCAAGCTCATGGCGGGCTTGAGGAGTACGTCATTGTTGGGGAAACTGTTGCAGAAGTCGTTCGGTCATACGCGGAATTAGTGGGGTTTCCACTCCTCGTTCCGAGATACATGATGGGCTATATTGGTGGTGGCATGAAATACAGCATGGAAGACTCTCCACGAGCACATGATTCCATCCTCAATTTTATCCTTAACTGCGAAAAGAACGGTATGCCTTGTTCCGCATTTCAAATGAGCTCAGGCTATACTGTTGCTGAATCTGAGCCGAAGACAAGAAATGTCATGACATGGAACCGCCACCGATTTCCGGATCCTCGAGCTTTTACTCGGGAGTCCCACAAACATGGAGTCAGGCTCCTAGCTAATGTCAAGCCGTATATTCTGGCTAATCATCCTGCTTACCCGGAGCTGGCGGACGCTGGCGCCTTCTTTACAGACCCAATGACCAAGAAGTCTGGGGTCGCAAGACTATGGAGTGCTGGTGGTGGCGAGAGTGGTGAAGGGAGTCATATCGATTTCACCTCGAAAGCTGGCTATGATTGGTGGTACAATGGAGTCGTCGATCTCAAGCGGGTTGGTATCGATGCCATGTGGAATGATAACAATGAGTATAACATTGTCCGTGACGATTGGGAATGCGCACTCGAAACTGTGGGTATTCCCAGTACCGAGACCCGTAAAGATATTGGACTTTGGGGGCGTGCTGTGAGCACAGAGCTGATGGGCAAGAGCTCACACGATGCGACATTAGAGGCTGAACCCAATGAACGTCCTCTAGTACTGACCCGAAGCGCCACAGCAGGTACCATGAGGTACTGTGCTAGTTCTTGGAGTGGCGACAATGTTACAAGTTGGCAAGGCATGAAAGGCGCAAATGCATTGGCGCTTAATGCCGGCTTCTCCTTGCTACAGGTATGCTGAAAATTTGGGAGCATTATTTTCCAAGAGTCGCTGACGTAAATTAGTGCTACGGCCACGACATCGGTGGCTTCGAAGGTCCACAGCCAACTCCTGAGCACCTTGTTCGTTGGATACAATTGGGTATTCATTCTCCTCGCTTCGCTATCAACTGTTACAAGACAAACCCTGACGATAATCTTGTCGGCGAAGTCATTGAGCCTTGGCAATATCCGTCTGTGTCTCCAATCATTCGAACTGCTATTAAACGCCGGTACGAACTTGTGCCTTACACTTATTCACTGATGCTCAAGTCTCACCGCGACGCTCTTCCACCTCAGCGATGGACAGGTTGGGGTTACGAATCTGATCCCACTGTTTGGTCGAAGGAAATCACACAAAGCGATACGCAGTACTGGTTTGGCGATGCACTCATGGTTGCTGGTGTATATGAACCCGGGGTCTCCTCTGCGCGGGTTTACCTACCAGGACATGAAACTGATCCAGGCTTCTTGAACACTTCGGCTCCCTACGAGTACTTAGCTGCTGGGAGGTGGCATAATATTTCGGCTACTTGGCACACATCTATACCTGTGATCGCCCGTATTGGATCGGCCATCCCAATTGGAAAACCAGCACCAACCACCTGTGTTGCAGAGGACGACGTTGAATTCCCAAATATCGCCAAGGATAACTGGAGGGGAGTTGAAATATTCCCTCCACCAACGAATCGTCATCCGGAGTCTGGAGAAAGTTCTGTCAAAGAGGAGGCCTCGTCCAGAGGCATCAAGTGGTTTACCAACGAATGGCTCGAAGACGATGGAATTAGCCCTGAGGGAAAAGCTGATCTATTTTCTGTGAACATTAGTTACGGCGTGCATGCAGATCAGGTCCAAGTGAGCGTGACCTACGACAGGCCCGGCAGATTCGAGCCGCTCTGGCTGAAAGCGGGCCTCAATATCGCTCTACCCATCGGCGACGAACGAGCTCTTAAACTGAGCGGCAATGCTCAAGGGCAGCTGCATAACGAAGGGCGCGATGAGAAAGGTCGCTATATCTGGAGATACACTGTTATAGATTGTGTTTAGGTGATCCTCAAAAAGCTACTATAGACAAGCCGTTTATGAAGCTGCGTTCTTATTAAATAAATATCTACGCATAATGACTCGTGTGTTATGGTCGAGGCCTCCGTTCTTTATTGCACTAATCTGCCTTATATTGTCCGCTTACTACACTAATCAAGACTCTGCTTCTGAGATGAACTTTGTTCCTCGATCTTAGTGCCGAAGATCGCAGTACCGCTATATCTCACTAAGGTTAAGCTAAACAGTGCGCCAATTCTTGTATCAACGACCTGCCGCTATGTTTAACAGTAATGTTGACGGCTTTATAATTACTTTATCTTGTCTTACCGTTTTTACTCGTACTAGTATTCCCTTTCCCACTTTTTTTCCTCCGGCTTATACTTAAGCTAATAAGAAAAGTACTGTGTAATAACCATACAATAATTTATATAATTTATTTACATCGAACAGTTAAATATAAGATACTATTTACTGTAGCACAATCCGCCGCTGGCTTTCCAGCGATACTGACGAGTTTGCGGGAGTCCGCAGCCAAGCGCCATCTCATCCCTCAATATATAGATTGCTGTTTCACAAGCTTCTCCTTCTCATATTTGTACACATAATTACACCTTCTTCTTTCACTTTTTAATATCGTGTCTATCGGGTATCAGCGAACTCCTCATACGCTCACATCCATGCCCTTTGCCGTGGCATATAGGGCTGATGATTGCCGACCTTAGATGTTGCTTTGTCCTGTCTCGCGAAAATTAACCCTGCATCTCGTAGGGGTCGACATGAGTGGGTGCCTCCGACTGCAGAGCGCGCTCGTTCGGCTGCTGCATTTTCGTACCATGCGACGCGGCTTCCAAGCCACCATAATAATATTGTCCATTATGTATAACTCCGTTGTGATCATAGGAGTCCTGAACCATGGGCTTCTGTTGTTGTTGTTGTTGTCTCACATTGCGCCTACGTCCTATGATGCAGAAGGCGAGCAGGCCGATAATGGACAAGGCGCCGACGCCGACGCCGACCCCGATGCCAATTGATGCACCGGTGCTGAGGCCACTTGCAGAAGAAGAAGTCGAAGTCGAAGCTGAGCCGGTGCTAGGCGCTGTGCTGATTGCTGAGCTGGGTACGGACACTACAGCGTCAGATGTTGTGGCAGCAGCAGACGTTATGGTTGCGGATGAAGTAAGGGGTGTTGTCTGCAGATGCTCCCGTGTTAGCCAACAGGCGTGCTTGATTCTTCATCCCTTTCTCCACGTTAGAACTCACCGATAGCAACGCAATACCCCAAGCATTCACACCAGTGTCGCCACCGACCGTGTGAGTTTCGGCCTGTCCGGTGCCTACTATCAAATCGGTTCTTGACCCGGTTATTTTGGCGCCGGTGGTGAAAGTCGCCAAACATCCATACGGCGCGGCTCCAACATTCGTTGCAGGCGCGCAATTGAAATTCCAACCCGAAACAGAGGGACAGCACATGATGTGATCAGCCGACCGGCCATCATACGATGTTGCACTCGAGCATGCTTTGAAATAGCTTTTGGGACAATCGCCATCGGTCAAGTAGGGTACACTCAACGTGTAAGACGGCGGGACACATCCACCCGTCGGACTACTCTCTTGGCCAATATTCGTGACGGACGGCATTCCAAACATATCACTGAAGACGACGTTTTTCCCGTAGACAACATACCAAAAACCCGTGCTCGCTACGCACGAGCTAGCGGGCATCCAACTTGTCGTTAATGACGGGAAGGACGTGATTGTAATCGACACGGCGCGAGAGTTAGTAATTTCGCCGTGACTATCGATCGAAATGAAAAAAAAAAATTCTGGCCTCAACAAAATATGTCTCTTCCTCTGGGGGAGACACCGACAACAGCATACTTGTATATCCGAAGGATCTTGAGACCTGTCTCGGGCTGGCTGGTTCGGGAGGGCTAGCTCGGGAGGGCTTGCTCGGGCTGGCTGGCTCAAGCTGGCTGGCTCGGGCGGGCTGGCTCCTGGTTATTTCAGGTACCAACAGGACCATTGCATGATTTGACTTCCATTCACAGCTGTTTCCGAGGTGTTATTGCGGCACGGCCTTGGGTCCCATGCCCCGGCCTTGCATTAGCTTCTAACAATTTGTTATTGTCACATCATCCGATAATGTGGAAATGGTGGACGGATAGTAAAGAAATTATATGTATTTGAAGCGGCTTGCCCGCCGGAATATTTTCTCCTTTTTAAAATTTTTCTTTCTTCTCAAGGCTCACAACCCCGACATGCGCCAAGGCTCTATGTTCTTTAAGCTGTCAAGTTTCCTAGCCGAAATCGCATAAGGGAAGGCGCCTATTCATGATCTGATCCACCGCGCACCCGAGATCCAGGTATGGGATCTAATTGGTGCAGACCCTTGTCGCTTGAGTGTCACCATCCTGCCGGCGCTAATTGTGCACAGTACTTCGTAGGTTGGCCCCCGTCACTCGTCCAAGATTATCTTTGTCATTTCTGTTGCTACCTGTTTCTCATTGTCTGTCATAGTTTTGTTTTCCATATGTTCTTGATCTGAGAACATGATCTAGTTAGTATACGGTGACACGCAGCCGTACTGCGACATGCTATTCCGAATGATTCGCAAAAACTGCAACCTCTTGCCAGGCGGCATCGCAATCGTTCTCTTCATTTTTCTTCTTCTCTCCCTAAGATCTACATCTGTACCCTTCTTACCGCATAGTACTCCTCAGCTTGACGTTCCTCACTCGGCATCACCGGCAATAGCCACTGAATCACCATCTACACAGATACCTACAACATACACGCTACCTTTTACTTTCTCGAGAGGCCATTTAATTCCTCCCAAGATCTGGCAAATTCTACTTCCCCATCCCGGCAAGCCTGCTGATACCCCTTTTGACGCCCAGAACCTTGTTGACACGCCGACTTGGCTTGCGCGAAACCCGGGTTATGGCTACATTCTTGTCGGCCAGCGGGAGGCCGACGACTTCATCAACATGCATTTCTCTGGCGATGCAAAAATTCTTGGGGCATGGCGAGCCACAAAAAACCCAGGCGTGAAGTCGGATCTCCTCCGCTACCTCATGCTTTTCATCGAGGGCGGCGTTTACACCGATATAGATACCGAGGCTCTGAAACCTATCGACTTGTGGGTGCCAGAAAACTTCCGTGATCAGGCCAGGGTCGTGATTGGTATCGAATGGGACCAGCTGGATGGTGGATCGTGGGCAGAGATACCACATAGACTTCAATTCTGCCAGTGGACCATAGCTGCAGCTCCAGGCCACCCTCTATTTATGAAGATGGCTTATCACACCATTGATGCTTTAGAGGAGCTGGCTGCCAAACACAACACATCATTGGATCGTCTCGACCTCACAAGCGTTGAAGTAATGATGTCGTCCGGCCCGTCGTCCTGGACTGACATCGTTTTTGGACAGTTGAAGGAGATAGACCCGACTGTGACGGATGTGACAGACTTCTCCGGTATGAAACCAACTGGGCCAAGGCTGTACGGTGACATCCTGATCCTCACCATTGACGGCTTCGGTATGGGGCAACCGCATTCGGCTAGTACCAACGACGGTACGATTCCGGACGCGGCGCTCTTAAAACACAAGTTCCGAGGCTCCTGGAGAGGTGGTGGCTAGATCTCAAGCTGGCAGCGTAGCTATTTGCAAAGGAGGTTGTTCAGAATTAAGCCGTACGATACTGCTGCACGCACTCATGCGACGCCATGGTCTATGGTTGAGTGGTGTAGAAGACATGCGGTTCACGTCTGAGCACGAGCCATGGGTACCTATATTTATAGTACTCGGCTACGCCCAGCTAGGTGCGCTAGACTTTGTAGGTGTGAAATTGAGAATATATATTATAGAACAGCGTTAATCACAGAAGACATCAAAGGGGCTAGAATATATGAAAAGACTAAAATCATTACTTATGCATATGCAGATGTAATTATACTGTTGTTATGTTCGTGTCCGAATCTCCATCCTGATGCAGATTTTGCTGCTACCTTAAAAGGTCCATAAATTGTGTCTTTAATGGCCTAACCCGCATCTAGATGTGTGATACTTAGATCTGCGGGATGCTGAACGTATTTCAGCATGGAAACGAAGCACTCCAGGTAGTATACAATAAGCCCCACCTAAAATGTACTTAGCGTCATCTGGAGTATTTTAGGGCACGGGTAGTTCTATAATAAGTCGAGGATGTTACGGATATTTTGGAGATTTTCTAAGCTAGCAATGTAGTATGAAATAAACCGCCAAAACTTTATCGCCTGGCATTCAGCTGGCGCCAGGCACTAGTGGTTTAGTGGTAAAATCCATCGTTGCCATCGATGGGCCCCGCGTTCGATTCGCGGCTAGTGCAAAACTTCTTTTTGATTCTGAACTAATTTTGAATGAAACCATGAGCATTTCCAAGTTCACTCCACTTCCATGTGTATTCATTCATTCATACATTTTATTATCCAAATTCCAGTCCCAGGAGACATCAGTGCAATCTTCAGTCAGATCCATGCTATACCCAGGATCTCCAGCTCTGGTGGTGAATCTGCTGCAGGGCCACTCGTCCTCAACTCCAAGGAATATAACTGTTCGAGTTTCAGGGTTTCGAAGTCTTCTCTCAGGCTAGTCATGGCAGTTACGTTGTCTAGCCACCTTTTGGGCCTCGCTTTAAGTTTACATTCTATGTAACCATTGTCCAAGGTTAGTAAGGATCTTAGTCGCGGTTCCATTATTAGGTCTTCATTGGCCAAAAACGACCGCCTATCGTTGACGATGGCGTTTCTTTCATCTTCGAACGTACCGCCGGTGGTAATTGATAAGCGACACCATATCCCATATACTCCCAAACTGCTCAAAAGGCGAATGAATACGGATCCTCGTCGAATGTGGATCAAGATGATTTTTATTCTGTCCAGCTTAAATAGTTGTGACTTTCCAATCGAGCCAAAGAGTATAAGTCCTGTAAAGCCTTGGTACGCTGACTGAGTCCAGTTTGGAGTGGGATCAAGGTTTCGAGGAATGACTCGAATATAGACGGTCCGAAATTGTAAAGTTACTGATCTAGGGGCAATGAAATGGATGCCGGACCTGCCAAGTGGACGATAAAACTGCCCTTTGGTACTGCTCGAGTGGATTCCATCCTCTTCGTACAGCACAAGGCACACCATTTCTCCCCTTGGTCTGCGGAAGCAATACAGAAAAGCTAGATTCGCCCCACGAATCAGGTAATCAGATGGCGAGGTTTCAATCACGAAGGGGAGGGTCACTCGTAACCCTCTTGCGGTCTTCCGCGGCGGCTCAAAGTCCACTGGCCGCGACTTGAACTGGACATGTGTAGGGCATCCCGGCCAAGTCAGATCCTTTTCGCGAGGTTGGAATGGATTCCAATCAATTTGCCTTAGCTGGCTGAAATCGAAGCCAGTGAACTTCAAATTAATGGTATCGTTCCGAAAATCCCAAGGAGACTCCGCGAGGACACTTGTCGGGTCCCGTTCCATATCTCCATGGGCCTTCGGCCGATTTCTCCAAGCCAAAATAGTGTAGTCCTCTGTAAGATTGAGTATCTCTTCTTGCAGCCTCTGAAACGCCTTCTCGCTTTCACCGTACAGCAATGGCATGTGAACCTCGAAAATACCCAGAAGGCAGTACGCTGTATCCTCTTCTCTGGTGGTGACACGGCGCGCCGCCCAAGACATGCGAAGTGCCACAGTGTAAAGACTTGGGACTAGACTTTTTCTTAGGGCATTGGCATCAATACCAGTGATGGTAGAAATAGTCTCTCGCATGTCATGCTTGGTTCCGATCTCGGTCCATTCCCAATCATAGAATTCGACCACATTAGGTGCTAGTAACTCCTGTAACGTCCAGCCTCTTGTAAACCAACGAGAACTTCCAATGTCATTGCCGCTTTCTATATCTTCGAGATATGCATAACAGACCTCAGACTCCTTATACCAGCGGTACATAGAATTGATCGCCTCTGATAACTCGGCGCTGCTCGACTTGTCTATGCAGCATGTGTCGACCCAAACCCAATCATACCCGTTGGTACTGGCAATGTGGCAGAAGCGGGCGATCTTATCAAACCCCTTCTTTTCGCGATGGCGTTCCTCTCCCGATTGTAGCTCCTGAAACGAGAACTCGTCTTCTTGGTCGCCCCATGTGTGCGACAAAATAGCATACTCTGGCCGGGTCGAATGGAACTCTCTCAGCGTCAAGTTATGAGTGTTGAGTAAACGCATTTCACAGAATGGCAGTAGATTCCAGTGACAATTTGCTCACTAAGCAACGGTTCGGCCATGTTCGTTTGCATAAAATGAGAAACTGAGGGGTTTTCGAACCTCAGTCAGGCACATGCACCTAGGGCGGGTATGTCAAATCCAATTAGCGCGATGGGCGCTAAACGGGAGTATATACTGATTCGGGTTTAGCTGACCATAAATATCGCCAGAATCTCTAAGTCTATCATTTCATCCAAGTGCATGCCAAAGAAGGAAATGAGAAAAGGAAAGGCTTTATTTAGTACGCGGACAAAACCGACACGTCCGCGAATCTGTTACTATTACTGTATATCTATAGATTGCCATCGTTGAAAAGAGTAACTACTGCATCTCCGTTATTATTCTAGTTTAGCGTGCAGATATTAGTGCACGAAGCGCTGCCGCCAGAGGACGTGTTATAAGCGAGCTCAATCTGCTTGAGATTCAGGTAGGCCGTGCCGCCGACAGCCATGGTCTTCTCCCACTCCTCATTGCCCCATGACCACATATTGAAGATAAGGTTGCTGGGCACTTGAGATTCCAAGTGCGCCAATCGGCCGTTCTCGGCTCCGTCGACATAATACGTTGTCTGAGCCTGTGTCCAGTCCATGCGGTAATCTTGCCAATTAGTCCACTGCACACTAAATGGCAGTGTAGCCTCTATAGTGTACCGCCCTTCCTCTTGATGCGTTTCCTGCTCGGGATGTGTCGTGTAATGAACGGTAGTTGTAGGGTTGTAGGTGAGTATCTCGATATCTGATTCGTGTTGAGTGCCATCGTCGCCTTGCTTGTAAACAAAAAATCCAGCACAAGCTCCTGCATCTCCCTGTACCTTGGCCCGTATGCGCATCGAAGCAGCAGTGAAAGTTTGGTCGTTGGTGTCAAATTCCGCAGCAGACTGGAAGTCCTGGCTGCGGTGGGTGCGAAGTGTCAGGTAGGTGCTTGCTTCTGCGTCTTTCTGTAGGTAGACATTATTCTGGGAGTTGATCATCCTGATAGGCTTATCAGGGAAATCCCAAGTTTGAAGTTTAAAGAAACTCGTCCAGTCTGTCGACTCGAAGTATTCGCTCGTGACCGGGGCCACGCGGTTCGCTTCATAATCGTCTAACACGTTCGGCTCAGCATACACATATTGAGCAAGGGAGCTGAAGTCAAAAATATTATAGTCAGTGAAGAGCAGACCATCCTCCTTTGTCTGCCAACAATCGCATGCTTGTCTTGACAATGGCGAGGACGAAGCGAGTTCCACGAGAAGTGCTAGAAACGGTAGTCGAAACATAATTAGAAGTTATTATTTAGTCTTGTTTGTGGTTTAGATGTAGGAAATTCCTGGTGTTACAAAATAGTTAATAAAATGTGAATGGAAAACTTGAGTAAGGAGGCCCAGGAATATACATTATATATTGCAAATTATATGGTAAGCACTGACTTATGCTGGCGACAGGCTTGGATTTCGTGTATCTTTGCTCTTTTGGCGACCACGCGGTCCGCATACGAATCTAGTGCTTATAGAAGAACGAGGACTGCTCTGATGGATATTCACCGTAGATCTCACGTGGAAGTGACCTAAACGAAACGAATGGTTAGTGGCGGATAAGGCCCGTATAATTGAGGCTCTGGCGTACATCATATTATCTAAGAGATCCTGTCATGCAGGATTGATAATATTATCTAAGAAATCTCGTGACTCAGGACTGATTATTATTTGTCAAATTGCAGAAAAGGCTAAAACCACGCTTATGAGGTCGTGCGTCTTTCATCTATTGGCGTATGCGCCTTGGGCTCCTGGATTTGCCCTTTACTCGAGAAGGGTCGATACGTTTCCATATCAACACGCTCACATAAACATGACCAGCATTCGAGACGCATACGTGCAGAGAAATGTCGCCTAGATGATCAAGGAAAACGGTAGTATTTGTGTACCCTTTTTTACCACAGCTAAGATAACAAGGGAGAAAGTCTCCCAGTCAAGGGCTACTAAGATGAAAATTCCGACCTTTCCGAGGAAATGTTTCATGCATGGTGCCACCTGCCCGCCCGCAAATTCAAAATCAGACAATTATACTTAACATTACCACCGTAAGTAAGAAAAATCCTTCTCTAGTGCGGTTCTTTGTGTTCAAAGGAAAGACAACCAAATTCCAACAACCCCAATGTAAAGGTACCGCCACATCAACCTGGATGTGCCCCTGGTTGTCACAGCTGCTGAACCACCTGCGTTGGTTCCACTTCCCGAGGGCGAACTGACTCCCGATGCAGAGGCTGAATTCCCACTTGGCTCAGAAGAAGTCGGCTCGGCCGGCGTAAACTCAAACTGACACTCCTCGTTCAGTGCCAACTCATCACCCACCGAGTTTGTCACTGCCATCGCCGGGCACGAAAATCCTTCCTCACTCGCCTCGACTGTTTTTGTCACAGTCGTGGTTCTTCGTGTCGTTGTCGGTATGGTCGATGTCGTAGTTGAGGTAACAGTGGTGTATGGGGTACAAGCAGTCTGTCGAGGTATCAAGTACGCATCGATATTAACCCTCCGTACCGGAGTAACAGCGCTTGCGGTGCTGGTAGCTACATTCCCAGCGTCGCTGCTGCTCTCTGTTGGTTCGGGATCCGTGTATTCGAGCGCACAGTCATCGCCTAGCTCGAGAACAGCGCCTGCACTGTTCGTGACAGTGACAGGTATGCATGAGAACTCTGGTGCTTCTTCTGGCTCAACGACCTTCGTGGTCGTAGTGGTTATGGTCGATGTAACGACGGGCCGAGTCGTTCTGGTGACTGTATCAGTGGCCGCCGGACATGCGGAGCAGAATCCATCCACAGCGCAATACGCGATGGATCGACAACACTGCTCCTTGCAACAACTATCCTGCTTCAGACAAGCCCCTCCTTCACAGCAGTGTTGCGTGTTAGGATCGTAGCATTTGCTATTACCACAAGGTAACGTCCCAGACGGACAACATCCACCACTGACACAATCATAGCCTTGAGGGCAAGACCTTCCACTGGAGCAGCAAACATCTCCTGCCGCGGCATTATAACAATTATTCGACCCGCATTGAATTTGCGAGCCCTGGCAGCAGCCGCTCGGCTGGCAATTGTAACCTGATGCACAGCAACCGCCGTTGGAACATGCATCTACGGCATTGGGTCAGCGGCCATCATTTGACCCTACACCGAATTCCTAAGTCAGATACGGACAACTTACGGTATCCGGGATTGCATTGCTGTCTCGCCATCAGCGCCAACGCACCCGGCTCGGTCAGCAGGACTGATGTCAAGTTGCTTCCATCGTTCTGGCTTAAGAGTCCAGGAAGGCTGACCAGCGAACTTGAGAGATCATACAGTACATCAGTCGTGAGTACTGTATTCATATGGATATAAAAAACAAGGACAATGGTAGGCCAGTGCATTGCTGCAATAGTAGTCGAACGATATAGTGAAAGACTTTGGAATAAAATGTAGTACCACGTAACATACGCGCTTCCATAAATCCCGCCTTACAACTCCTTAAGTAAGGCTGAACCTAGCGGGTTGTGTTTGTGGAAATACGCCAAGCACAGCTGAAGATTGCCCAGCCACATAGAACAACAGCTCATTGGTTATCCGCAGACTGCGGGCAGCGTACCCGTTGAATTTGACGAAGCGATTCGCGGACAGATGCACATGTCGAACTTTGTTGTTAGCTGTCCTCGGGGGTCGGGCGTAGTAGTCAATATTAACGTCGACGATGCTAAAAGTCCCATACATTAGACCAGGATGCAAATCGAAATCTGACATGAATAAGTCGTTTTTCGCTTTGAATTCGCAATATTATAGTGTAAGATTACGGGAAGCCTATGCTTCCTTTACTTGGCTCTCCGAATCGAAATTTCCTCTACCGTCCGCCTTCCCGTAGTCGTGTCGCAACTCGTTAATATACTCGTCCTCGTCTTTTCCTTCATAAACGATATCCTTGCGAATGAAAGCCCGGATATGGTGGGCGAGGATGAATAGATAAAGAGCAACTATCAAAATGGTCATGATAGTGCCAACCCACTCAACTCCGGGACTTTCGAATTGTTTGCCAATTGTCAACGTGGCGATGGTGAATCCAACGTTGGGAAACACAAAAGCCCACCAATTGAGACGAAACGTCATCTGCTTCCAGACGGCAAGGCATCCAATTGTAGCGATTGCCCAGAACCAGAAACTTAGGGACCAGATAAACACTGCCGTCATTGTGGCCATGGTTTGAAGGATCTGGTAAGTGATCTCCGGATCGCCAAAATAAGAGTAAGTTGTTGGAAAACCGCTAGCCATACCGATGATAGCCAAGCTTGTGAACGCTGGTGGGCCGACTGCGATAAATAGACCGGGTCTGGTGTTTGGCGACGGGAAGCCGTACTGGATCATTCGGTGGATGTAGCATGCGTACATAAGGATCGAAACGATCATTCCCAGACCCTGAGCCGTCAGACCTGCCACGATCATTGGGACAGCGTGTGTTGGTGGCTGCGTAGATGCTCCAATCGATGCAATTGTTCCAGAGAGCATGAACGGAAATATAGGTAGATCCCAGGCTGGTGACATGTCTTGGATTTTCAGACTGGGCAAAGTGAATAGGAGCGAGTATTGGCCCGCCGCGATCAAAAAAGTGACGGCAAAGTATATCCAGAACAGGATACGGTAAACGACGACGAGCCATGGCCCGCAAGAGGGTATACCGTACCGACCCATGCCTCCAATGATAGATGCCAGACTCAGAAAGGACGTGCCCAAAAACAGCCCCTCAGTAGGGTGCGTAATGGACGCCTTGAAAACACCAGGAAATCTTATGAATCGGTAGATAATTGCTGCAGTGACAGTGCTGAAGACGACGAGATCAAACAGATACACCACTTTCCCGATGGTCTGCAGGCCGTGAAAGTTGAAAGCCTGCGTCTGCTCGGCTAGTAGGAGGCTGAGACCTCCAGTAGACATGGGGAAGGTATAGTTTGCCCAAGTCCAATGCTCAAGACGATTCGAGAGCTTTCCGGGGTCGCCGGCTTCTTTTTGACGCAAATCATTGCGCTTTTGTTCTTGCTTGCCAGCCATCCTCAACCCGTCAGTGTGCCCGCTCATGGCGTTCAATTGTCAGGCTGTGTCAGACGGTGTGTTTGAACGTAAGAAAGGTACTCGCTTCGACCCTGGAAGTGCTGCAGAATGCTGATAGCCAGGCTGCAAAAAGAATATGCGAGATGCGACTGCCAGTTTTACCCTATAAGCCACCTTATTTTGGCTTTACTGGACCAAATGACGTTGCTCAGCATAAAACATACTAGTAAAAGAATTTATTCAACTATTTGTCTTCTAGATCACATCTAGCTGCATGGTAGGGCTGAAGCTCCGAGGCATGACGTGAAGATCGCAAAAGTCTATCATGCTGCTAGATTTAGTGATTTAATATTCCACATATATTCCCGTTCCTGGTACAAAGTGAAAAAACGTCCCACATGGTGTGCTTGTTGTCCGGATTGTGCGTATGTCTAAATCGGTCCGAAGCGCATTCGTGGTGGTTCGCTCGGACCAGAAGGGGGGCGCTTGGGTACCACGAAGCCAAGCGAAAATGGGACACTCGTCCCGCTTCTCCATGACCAAAGCAGCTCGACTTCACAGCGTTATACATAGTAGCTCCTCGTAAACACCATTTCCAAAAAATTCGAAGAAATGCACTTGATTTACTGTATCAGAATCCAAATGCCTTCCCATGAAAATGTATACATTCTTTTATAATATCTTGAACGCCGTCTAATGATTCGACTCGAGATTTCTAACCCTAATCTGTCGTAACATCTACGTACAGAGGTCCGTGCCATTTTCGGCTTTGGACGGTTTGCCTAATAGTGGCCCTCGGATACTCCGGTCCACTATGACATCGTGAATTGGGTCTGGACAGTGAAGCACGAGTTGGAAAGGTATATAACTCTTGTCTTGGGCCTGTCGGATTCGTTGATGCAGGTTATGTATATTGAGTTGTCCTTGCCTGCGGTGCAGTGTCTTGGCGCGCAAGATTGCTGGTCAGAGCATGACGTCACCAAAGCTTTTGATTCAACAAGTATTTCCAAGGACAGTATCATGACATCCATGAAAACAAGAAGGAACCCCGGCTGCCACTTTGAGGTCATTCTTTTGTATCGATATAAATATTTAGATCGCTGAGTTACTTTGTGACACTTGTGACTCTGCATCGTGTAGATACTATGGATATCAGCTCTACCTTATAATTTCAGCATTATATTTATACCTCAACTTATCGCACTAGTGGCCATGCAACACAAGCGCTCTTCCATGCTCCTGTTACTGTTGACGGCATTGTGCCCGACAGGCCATGCCACCGAATCATCAAAGCGTGGCCTGGCATATACAGGCGACTCCAACGAGGCCGATCTGAATCTTCTCGTGTCAGCTCAGTCGCCGATCTCCTGGTATTACACGTGGTCACTCAACCAAGCGTCCGGAACAAACAACACCGTAGCCTTCGTGCCATTGATACACAACACGGACGATGCATCCAACTCGAATCTGAACTCGCTGCTGAGCGCCCTACCCAGTTCTTCGACCCACGTGCTGAGTTTCAATGAGCCAGATGGCACTACCGACTCCGGCGGAAGCTCCATCGAGCCCGAAGATGCAGCGCAATCATACCTGGACCACATCGCACCGCTTCGGACCTCGGGTTCCCGGTCGTGGAACATCAGCTGGCCCTCCGTGACCGGCTCGACCCAGGGACTGGACTGGCTGCAGCGCTTCAACGAGTCGTGCTACGATCTGGACCCCGACGGCTGCCCCATGGACTTCGTCGCCGTGCACTGGTACGGCGACTTCTCTGGTCTCGCGTCGTGGCTGGGGACGTTGCAGAACTTCTACGTGGCGAACGCGACAGACCCCGACGCGGCCAAGGACTTGAAGTTCTGGATCACCGAGATGGCGCTGCCGCAGCAGGACGAAGACGCGACCGTGTCCATGATGAATCAAAGCCTGAGTTATCTCGACGGCCTGGACTACATCGAGTCTTACGCGTGGTTCGGCGCGTTCCGATCAGACGACTCGAACGAGTGGACTGGGAGCTCAGTCGCGCTGTTTGATGACGACGGCGGTCTGACGGAGGTCGGTTCACTATATCTGGGCGGAGAGGAGAATGGGTTTGCGAAGGGCACAAAGGGAGAGGGCGACTCGGCCGCGTCTGGCATGCTTGTTTCCACCTCGACATTGATGGTAACCGGTCTGGTGATGATGACGATGCTATGGTGATGAAGGACAGCGCGACGCGACGACAAACCATTACTGATCTTTGCTGGTCAAGGACACGCAAATCTTTATCATCTTTTCTTGGAATTATTTGAAATTTGCATCAGCATATAGAGCTTGCCTGGATACCCCGATCTCATTAGCGACAGACTGAATATCATTGTTCCTGTGTAATGTTCATCACGTAACGTGCAACAAGCACGACTGCTTCTTTGACGCGTTAACACCATGAACCCGCGACAGACACGTCGCGGTTTGCGAACATCACGGCGTTGCCATAGCGAACTTGGTCGAAACTCCATAAGTCGAGTCTGGACGAAAAAGCTGTGGCCTAAATAAATATGGTCTAGCATAGGCAGATGTTCAATAACCCCGTTGCATAGTCAATCTGATAGGTTCACCTCGCACAGAGCCGGCAACGAAGGCGGGGGCACTAGTGCGCGATAGGAAATAAGTAAACATGGTGGGATGAAGGCTCCACCACTATGCAAACATGCTAGTCTAGATTGTTTACTTTGAGTATACGCGATTGGAACGCCCCCTACCCCGTTTTTGATGGCTGTATTAATACCGTAATGGCCATAACCCCCCAGCCTACATTCAAACTGATCCGCAATTTACCCAGATCAGACATGTGGGACGACCTCGAAACACCAATCGCCTTGCGGCGCACCCCACGGCGCAGCACCGGCAATGCAGGTGTCACAGCCCCCTCAGTGGCCGCCTCGAAGACGCCGACCACGTCGAGGACTGGCAAGAGAGTCAGGTTCTCCGATCCTGGCCCCGAGCTCAGCTACAAGTCCCCATCCTCGACAGGGCTTACGCCAATGGTCCGTCGATCCACCATTGGAGTGACACCATCACGGAAAAGACGAAGACACTCTACACCATCAGATCTGCAAGACGTGCACGACGCAGATGAGCTTGCAGGAACGTCCGAAACACCAAACGTGGTCCGCGTTCTCTCCCTGCGGCAGATCCTCGACGATCGCCTGAAGCGGCGGATAAGGCGAAATGGGCTGAGCGAGGAGATGAACACGATCGAGATTGAGAAACGTCACGAAGCCCAAAGACAGGCCAGTGAGCTCCAACACCTGCGCGAGGAGCTCGCAGAGAAGGATGAGGAGATCGAGAGGCTAAAGGACGCGACAATACTCCAAGACACGGCGCGCATAATGGAGCTTGAGCAAGAGGTCGGGCATCTGAGAGCCGAGCTCAACAGGCAGTCTGACCGTGCGGACCAGACACATCATGACTGGACCATGGCAGCTAGAGATCCGTTCTCCGACAGCGTCGATGACGATGGTTTTGGTGATGCAACAATGGCAGACTTGGTCTGCAGTACACCCTCGAGGGCGAGGGCATCATTCCCGACGCCCCCTTGTACGAGTCCTACAATGCCCACTACACCTATGTCTATAAGACGGTTCGCCTCTTCACCAGTTTCCCACACAGGAGTCCAGGCACAGCTTCCAGATCCTGAGAAAGAACTTTTGGAGGCCGAGCTGGGCTCATTGCGTCTTGAATTGGGAAAGCTCAATGAAGCGCTGGAAATCCATGAGGCATTGAGGGCGCGCATGGCAGACAGGCTATCGTCAGTAGAGAGCTCCGAGGTCGCAGGAAATGACGATGTAGAGGCACACCTGGGCCGGGTTCTACAAAGCCTGTCTGACAAGACAGCCGCCCTGGCTCAGCTCAACTCCTCAATCAGCTCTCTTGGGTTCCGTGGCAATGATGCCGGCGATATCGTGTCATCAGTTTCTAGGGCTCTACGCTCCGCGCGTCTGGAACTCGAGTATATCACACCAGGAGAGATCGCTCTTCCACTATCATCCCATGGCGCCCAAGTCCTGGATCTCGTACTCACTCGTCTCCGAGATCTTGCGCGCCAGGTGAAAGAAGATGAGGCTTCAATCGACGAGTACCACTCGCTCGAGCTATCGCTAAGACAACAGCTAGGAGCACGTGTTGAGGCTATGGATGGGCTACAGCGCGAACTAAAGAGGAGCACATGTCGTCTTGGGGAGAAGGATGAGCGCATTACCGAGTTAGAAATTGGCACTGATCGCTTGAAGGGGGCAATCGAGAAGTACCGCCGCGATGTCTCTGAGCTGGAAACCCTCGTGCAGACAATGGAGGAGCAAGGACAGGATGCAGAAGCGAGACTGCAGGCCAATGTCGAGACTGGAAAGCAGCAATCAGCAAAAAGGGATACCGATATTGCGGCTTTGGAAGAGAAAGTCACATCTGTACTTTCGCAGACTGCCGAAGTCAGGATCCAGCTCGCAGACGTGCAGGCTAAAAGGGTGGCCAACATCACAGCTCTCAACAAGTCGCACGGAACAGCACTAGCAATTCGTGATGCTCGGGTGACAGAGTTGCGAGGCGAGATCGACAGCATTAACGAGTCCCTGCGCAATGCGCACGAGACCATCCGGCAGCTAAAAGTTGAGAACCTCGGACTGAAACGTGATATCGAAGGAGAAAAGAAGAGAGCCAAACAAGCTGTTGATTCCATGAAGACTGAGCTCGAAAGAGTTCTGGAAATGAGCGAAGGAATTTTGGCCACGCCCAAGAAAGTCACCGACACCGGTCGTCGCTGCACTCGCAGCTCAGATTTGCTGAAGACGCCTGGCCAAGCTGCATTGCCGCCGGCAGGTCCGTCCGGATTCTTGGTTGATAGTGGGAAGGGGAAAAGAAAGCGGAGGCATGACAGCGGGTTGGGCTTCTTAGACGAGGAAGAATATGAAGTTTGAACCTTCATAAATACAACCATTTTTGTAAATCTCTTTTGTTCCAGTTGTACGCATATTGTATCGCGGAGGAGTTGATTGGGACTACATGAACACATCTAAAATATTTAAGCGAAGAAGCTGGGGTGTTTGAGTAGTACGCGAATCAACCGCCATGATCTCGTCTGCTTGTTAACTCCGTTTATCTCGAGCATAAGCAGCTGAGTCATATAGGTGTTGGACAGTTTTTTGAAAAGCACGTGCAAAACTAGAGACAACGGTGTACGAGTCGAATTACTCAGGGTTTGCTGCAAATGTCTTTGTGTAGACAATTTGTAAATATGGAAGAAAGTGACAGATGAATAGACTGTGGAGCAAGTCAACTTTTCTGGGAATATGCCAGGACCGCACTAATTCGCAGTCAAGGGTGCTCCCTTGCGTCCACACTCTGACAGGATTACACACCCGCAACGTATCGGCTATCCACTGAATCCTGCTAGCCGAGCGGAGACAGGCGGCCGAAACCGAGTAGGATATACAATAATCGAACATTCGATCAAGCAGTCAAACGATCAGCACTCATCAAACCTTTTTCCGTGGTCGTTCCAAAGTATGCCTTTACGTGTTACCAGAGCAGAGAAGGCGGATATTCCCCAGCTGGTCGATCTCTACTTCAGTACCTTCAATAGTGCTTTGGTATTGAAGATCAAGCCTGATGTGCCGCCCGTCCGTGGATGGTTTGAGAAAAACCTGAGAAGCGACATGGAGTTGCCACATACCCATGTGTATAAGGTGGAGGATAGCGAAGCCGGGCCGACGCATTCAACGGGTGAAACTATAGCATTTGCCAAATGGACTTCACCCCACACGGAGGATACGCACGGGGGTCCCGCCGAGTGGCCGTCAGAAGGAGACGCCGCTCTATTTGAGGAGGTCGTTGGCAAAGCGGCGGAGAAAAAGAAGACGTTGTTGGGCCAGGAGGAACATTGGTGTAAGTCGCTAGGTTCAACACAAATTAGTGTCCTGCAATAGGCCTGATAAAGTATGTTGCCAGATCTAGGTGTCCTCGCGACGTTGCCAAAGCACCAACGTCGGGGTGCTGGATCGCTACTTATGGCTGAGTTCTGCAAGCAGGCTGATCAGTCTGGGCTCCGAAGTTATGTCGAGGCGTCGCCTCTCGGCAAATCGACATACGAACGATTCGCATTTGAGACACAAGATACTTTCGAGGTTACCATCGACGGTCAGCCCTACGTCGACAACTGTATGGTTCGTGAACCACAGAGGTCATCGTGAGCGTCGGTGTCGCCGAAGGGGGCAAGCGTCATATTGCCCAAGTAACAAATATCGCCCAGGATATGTTCTGGTCCATAAGGTTTGGCGCTTCCAACATTAGTGTTTGTACTTACCTATCTAAGCTGACTTAAGGAGGAGAGCAAGAAGGATAGCAGTTTTCTAAAGCAGTAGTACACAGTGCATCCAGGGGCCAGTCTGAAGCACGATTCCGAGATATCTTTATATTGTTCGAAATGGAATATGCTGCCTGTATTTTTCGAGCCCTTAGTCGCAATGGCGGATAGGTAATAGATTTCACATGCAAAGTACCGGTCGCTTGCATAGCCCAAAGACTTATGAAAGTAAATAATTTCATGGCCGGGGAATACACACAGATAATATCCGGCATTACTTTAGACAGATTACTGTATGTTTCAGATCAGTCCCGTAGTATGCTGTATAATCCTTCTCGAGCTCTATTGAACAAATGTGAAAGACTACGTGTGACATCTCATGCGATATCGATTCGCTGATTGCAGCTTAGGCTGCAGTCATGAGACCTATGTGCTAGGTTGACCATTGGGCATCGCATATCAATAACCCTAGATATTATGATCGTTTAGTCTGGCCACTATCAACACAAAGCTACGTTGTATGCTTGCGATGCAACATTTTCCTGTGGCAAGACATAACTCCTCATCAGCGAAGGCCCACGATCAAATTGTTTAACATCTTCTGACTAGAGATCCAGAAATGTAACAAAAACTCGAGCAAAACATGTAACGGCTCTCGGGAGGTATCATAATGTCCACATATTTCCGCCTGCATAATTTATCAAGCTACAGAAGAAATGGTAGTCACCGCCAAGGGTTGAGAAATGCAATCGTCAGAGCTCTTCTTTAACTTCAACCAGCCCAAAAGGGTTGATCAGAACACCAATGTGCCAGGGGTGAATCTCGCGGTTATCATCCCAAAGGTTGAAAACGCAGCAAAGACTCACCTGTGGCTGGTGCGATTGAGTTTCATCATCCGATTGTGTCTCGACATTGTCGACCAAAAGTTATGAGTCATGAAAAGGAGTTATGGGCTTACTTTGTAGTGTTATGCACAGGAGCATGGCATATCGGAAAATGTCTACTGTATTCGGTAGATTCTGGACCTTCTATTTCTTTGCTTTACGAGAAGATGACGAGACAAGCTTCTTCTTGAGGTGTTTGGGCATCTTCTCTTTCCGTTTCTCCCGCTTCTCCTCTTTGATTGCCACCTTGTGTGCCTTTTTGTCATCCTTATCGACAAATCGCTTTCCACGCGGTGTACCCTTTTCGAATCTACTTTCATCGTCGTCGCTTGCGTCGCTGTCCAATGCGGCACCATCGCCCTCCTCATCTTCGGAACTTGCTGTTTCACCTTCTGCGCTTTTTGCAGCTTCACCACCGGGCACAACAGCTTGGTCCGCGAGAAGGTTTCGGTAAATGAGTTGATCTCCTTCACCAGCTCCGATCTTCTGAGCATCCTTTTCTATGTCATAGACCTGTTCTAGCGTTTGCGGGATGTACTGGTTTCTAAACACCTCGTTATCCACTTCTTGCTCAGCCTGGGCAGCTTCAGTATCATCAACGGCTTCGCGTGTAGAAAACAACCGCTCAAGTGCTTCTGACATTGCGGGCTCTTCAACTGTGCCCTCGGAAGCGGTAACAAAATTGAAGATGGCGCGGTCGCTCAGTGTGTCCACGCCTTGCTTGCGGAAGAAATCTCCAGTGTTCTTGATGTCCATACGTAGGAACTCCAAAGATCGCGGGTGGTCGTGTTCAACACTTTGTGATACATCAATGATGTAGAGCTTCTGGTCGTGGTAGAGAATGTTGTACTCGCTGAGATCGGCGTGCACCAGCTTGCATACTTGGTACATGCGACGCATAATTCCCATGAGCTGCAGGTATAAGGACCTCCACTGTTGGTCGGCATCGTCGCCGGCGATGCGGGTGTCGTGCAGTCGTGGGAAGGCATAACCTCTGCGGTCACCCAAGAGGCTCATGACTAATACATGGAGCTTCAGATGGATGGGCTCGGGACATGGAATACCAGACGCATGTATCCTTCGCAGATTTCTAAATTCCTTCTCTGCCCATAATTGAACCATCTTGCGGTTATTTCCCTTGGCGGCGCCAGATTTGAATCGGTGCTCTCCGGTGATGTATCGCTCCCTGTCCTTGAAGCTGAGAATGGCCGTCTTGTAGATCTTGACAGCACGTTGTGTACGCACGCCCTGGTCTTCTAACACGGCACCATATACGTTTGCCTCCTTTCCAGTACTGATGGCGCCATTGATCTCGCCTACGACTCCCTTCTGGATAAGTCGCAGGAGGATCATTCGGGTTCCTTGATCCAAGACCTGGTCGCTCGTGGCTCTGTCGGCCTTGTCCTTGTCCCTGTCTTGGCTCTCCTTGACATCGTCAAGTCTGATTTTGGCGGCATGTTTGGAGAGGTTCTTGATCTGGTCGTCGATGCTGGCGAAGGTGTTGGCGGTAGGCTTCTGCTGGTTTGATCTTGGTAAGGCGCTCCCACCGTTGAGCTGTCTCTGGCGGTTGTAGTTCTTGGTCAAATCTCCATCGGCGTCGTCGCCGAGGTCGTCATCGGAATTGAAGATCTCGTCGTAGTCTTCCTCATCGTCATCTTGGACGAATTCTTGGGTGGCAGGGTTCTTCAGACCGTGCGGGACCTCCTGGTGCACTGACGGATCGTAGCCATCGTTTGCCTTGTACACGTGGGGTGGCTCGTGAGCCGCTGCGGCGGAACTGTTCTCTGCACCGGCCATGGCCTCGTTCTCTTTCTCTTTGTCGTTCTCGTTCTCGTTCTCGGGCGTGGGTATGGCCGTAATTTGCACCTGAACCAAAGACTTGAAGGAGGAGAACTCTGGAAGCTTTCTCAAGGAATGAAGCATCACCGGCCCTCTGCGCTTTTTGCAGATTCTACGTCGTCATTGAGTCACCTGCAGCAGGCAGATCCCAAAAATTTGCCGCCACTCTGGGCGGTAAAACACCTTTCCGTCAAAAGTTCTGTGAGCGACTACCCCTCCAACCCACTTCGCCTTATCTTATCGCTCAATCGCCCTGCACAGACCCCGTCTATTGCGATAGGCAATATTCCGAGGATGCATTTCATACTGTAGTACCGGCCAACTGCTGAGCTGCACACTGCAAACCAACTAGCCCTAAGTTGCAGCAGCAGGGGACAACAGAAGCGCCGAAATCCTCGGATTTTCGCTGGTTGACCTAGGCCACCACTCATCCGTTATCATTCTAACGCTTTGCCTGCGTGTGAAATGCTTTAATTCTAGCTGATACGCCGTTGTTTTCTGTGTGTTTGTAAACATGTTTAAGGATCGAAATGTTCGATACGGCCTTCTTGGCTTTCTCGACTACTGCAATTGCCCATTAATTGCATGGCTAGGCTAAGGATAAAATTGCATAGTACTTACATAAACAGGGCAGTTCACTATAATTAATTGTTATCCGAGTTTTACAGAACATCAGATGACCCAAGCAAAAAAACGAGGTGGGTGTCTGATTTTCTGCTTGACGCCGTTCTCATTATGGGGCACGAAAGATCGTGGGGTAGACTTGCCGTAAAGAGCCTCAGGGTCCCTTGCAGGCCGGGGGTGGTTAGCGAGAAACAGCCCCACCTGGAGGAGCCGAGGCACTTTGGCGGTTCAATGAACCTTAACCTGCCTACATGGCTTAGTGATATCTTTAGACTTTCAACATTAACTTATACATTGAGATTCTACTTGCGATCCTGAAGCGTTGCATTCACACACGGTTCTATATCAGTCAAGTTCCCACCTAGCAATCAGATTTCCAGTATGCCGTCAGCCTGCTTCAGTGTCGAATACACGGGCCGAGTGGCCATTGTAACCATCACAAACGAGAAGAAGCTCAATGCATTGAGCGGGCCACAATACTTCGAACTCTCTCAGATCCTGAGAGAGATAGCAACTCATGATGAAGTCTACATTACGCTTCTGACCGGCAAGGGGCGATTCTTCTCAGCGTAAGTCTGAAGATCATAACATAAGCTAAGCCCTGGCCACTAACGTCAAAGACCAGTGGTGCCGACGTATCTTTCGGCAAGAGCGTCCCGGCGGACTCAGATCCGTATTTGGAGTGGCTGCGCTCGTTCGTGGCCAACAATTTGAACGCGACGCAGGCGTTCTATACGCACCCCAAGATCCTTGTGGTGGGACTCAACGGGCCCGTCATCGGCCTTTCGGCCGCCCTGGTCTCGTTTGCAGATTTCATCTACTGCACACCTCACTCGTTCTTGCTGACACCTTTCTCGTCGCTGGGTCTCGTAGCAGAGGGTGGTGCCTCGAGGGCTCTGGTGCAGAGGCTTGGCATCAGCAAGGCCAACGAAGCGCTCATCATGAGTAAGCGCATCAGCAGTGAGGAACTGCTGCAAACGGGCTTTGTCAACAAGATCTTTGACTGTGGTAATGAAGACGCGAAGTTTAGGGAATTGGTCTTGAAGGAGATCGATGATAGACTGGGCGAACATCTGATCGGCGACAGCTTGACCGGCATCAAAGAATTGATTCGCAAGCCCGAAAAAGATATTTTGGATGTCCAAAATGTAAATGAAGTCTTTGCAGGCTTACAAAGGTTCATGAGCGGTGTCCCGCAAGCCGAGTTTGCCAAGATTGCAAGTGGACAGAAGCGACACAAATTGTGAGATTTACCAAGATGGCGATCATTGGGTAGTTAATCTTTCATTTTCAAAGGCACCGAGTCCTTCCCTGTCTTGGGTATCACGCAAGAAGCCCAAACAAGAGACTTGTTCTTCTCCAATATTCCTGTGAGGTTTTCACCATCTTATGCCTGGCTTCATCAGGGAGTCCTGTCTTGTGGAAGGCTACATCTGCCAATTTCACAAGGTCCTCATTCGGGCTGCTATCCGTGCCCAAGCTAGTTTGTAACAGCAAAATATCATAGAGCCACTGTATCAGGAGATCGTGTCTGACATCTGGCTCCTCGTCCTTTGGCTTTACACTCTCGGTATCCTCAGTAGTTTCGTTCGCCGATTCGTCTTCCCCAGTTGAACTGAGTTTCTCGCTATCTACCTGGGCCTCTATTGGTTCATCAAGCTTGGCACGCCAGACATCACTGAGTTGGGAACTGGCTACTTTCTTGATGACGGATAGTGCTGCAGGACTCCACAAATCGAGACCTACATCGCCCATCGAGGCAACCAAGTTCCGTAACAACTTGAAGGAGCCCGGCGATGGCTGGACAGGTAAGGCTGGCTCACCTTCCCAAAGCACTCGGCCAATAACTCGTTTCCGCGTTAAAGCAGTGTTTACGAAGTCTTCGACGGGCGATTTCACAACATGGATGGCCAGCCTTTCTTGCAGCGAGGAGATGCTCCCCAAACCAAATGACTTGGCATTGTCCAGTTTTGGTAATTGGCTTCGAACACTACGTATAATCCGCAGAAAATACATAGCAATTTGGCCGCTGTTGGCATCATCTTGATGCGCTTGCCAGAGTTTACCCAGTTGCCCATCCAAGTTTTGATATGCCTGTTCCAGATTCTTGTTAAGCTGGTCGTCGATTTTCTGTGGATCCTCCTTGCTGAGGAGCTCTTGTCGCAGTTCGATGGTCTCATCGTCCTCAATCTCATCCACGTCATTGTCCCAGCGCTGACGGCGAAGTTGCTGGACAATCTGTCCGACATCATCAATGAGATTGTACCACGACTCGTAGCTAGAGACAGCCCGCGCTACGGCGTCGTTCCTACCATGGAGACGAGAAACGACTTCGTGTTTGATATGGCTTGCGCCAAGGGAAATGTCCATATCGAGCATCTCCTCGTCCCATAGACTTTGGCGAGTGTCGATGGCTCCATTTTGCCATGTTTCCAGTGTCGATGTGACTTCCGAGCCGATGAGACGAAGCTTGGAGACCTTGGTATCTAAAACATGCAAGAGTCGTGCGTTGATGGCATCGCGTAGACCATCCAACATGTCAGAAGGGTCGAAGCCCCTAGCCTTTCCTCCATCTCTGATCCAGTGTTGCAATACGTTTGTTCGCAAATCAATAATGCTCTTGAACTCAGACATATGTTCCAAAGTCCTACTGAGCCCTGCGAGTAATATTTCGCCCCCTTTGTTCGCCCAGCTCGTAAGCATTGACTTGGCTTGCTTTCCATCCAAGTCGTCGTGCCGTATAAAAGGAGTAAAATACTGAATGTCATCTCCACACCATCTTTCAAAGACGTCCAAACGAAGGCCTTCGAGTGCTTTCAACGAATCATCAGCCAGTAGTGGACTTTTCTTGAGGTTTGCAAGAGCATCGGCGAGCTTCGAGGGCACCAGTGCTTGAACATCTAACAGAGTCCTTGTGTACAAATCCAGTCCACATAGGACATTGTCAGTGTTCCTCCCTCTTTCTTGCTCTTCCTCAACATCGAACTCCAGAACCATCGCCTCAGCTCTCACGTTCAAGAAGTGACGCAGAACATCCTTGGCACCTGAGCTCTCTGTAAGACTGTACGCGCACAGAGCTTTCAGAATATCATCTTGCTGTATATCGTCGCTGACCTTGTCAAGTATCTTCGCGACACCCCGCAGCAGCTTGTTCTTGAGGCTTCGTTGAGTCCGCTTCGCGGTCTCGATTGATTTCTGTATGTCGCCCTTCAATCTGTTCGCATCGCCGAAGCTTGCAACCAGCAGCCTGATCAAGACCAGAACCTTGGCAGCAAGGACTAATCGATCGCCCTTGCCCTGCTTGCCGCCCTTGAGAAGTCGTCCGACAGCCAGTGCACAAGCTTCCAGCAACCTGACCCTTGCCGTCTGGCTCAGCTCCGTCTCGGTGTCTTCTGCTCCCTGAAATCTGCCCAGACCCGCGACTTTGCTCTCCACCACCGTCCGTCCGCACATGCTTCCCATTCGTCCCAATACGTTTTGCGCATTGCTCATGTCCTTGCGCATCTGTACGATCGTGTCGGCGGTACCCAGCAGCTCACGGTAGCTGTTACCGACCTGCGTGCGCAGGCGCGCAGCTTTCTCGTCGATTTGGACATGGAGGGACTTGTGTATGGCGCGAATCTGAGGTAACGTGTGCGTTTCGAACACCTGTGCCGACGATGTCAGGTTGGAAGTGTCGGGCGCGGCCATCGCGGTGCTGTTCTCGGGGTCCGCGCAGAATATGTCAAATGAAGGAGCTTCCGAAGCAATTTATATATCGCCGATGCATTGAACACGGTATGGATTGGCACCAAATCAAACTGGGCAGCAAGCTGTCTCGGGGCGTTCATGGTAGCAATTGAAGCTCATTATTGACTGGCGAGCACGAGTAGCACTCCACAGCTGGTGACCAACTGTCAAAAGCAGGCGCATTCAGAGGTAAACATGGCCATAGCAATGTTTCCTATATATGCCACACAACAAATCATGAAATATGCATACGACAATTGAGTCTATCCTTAGAAAATAATATCGATGCGATGTATACACGTGAGCTGTCATGTGCGGGCCATGAGGTACCACTTTGTGAACTATCAAAGCACTGGAGACCAAGCAAACGAGGTCCATATTCCTCAAAGGCCTCAAACTCAACATCATTGTCAAGCTTAACCGAGATCCACTCCCTCGAGAATGAATGCATGTCTTCTTCCGGTAGCTCGCTTCCATGCCGGCAATAACGGTTGATCCTATGCCACGTTCTATCGGCATCGCTATATCTAATATCCCAGCTCTGCATCCCATTCTTCTCAGTCCTGTCGATGACATTCCCACAGATACATGCCCACTCCAGTTCTAGATCGTTCCTGATTGCCAGAAGAAGTGCTGGTAAGGATGTGGTGTTCATTGTAAAATTGCAGAGACAAAGTTCCTTCAGCGTCCTCTTGTGTCTCTTTAGAATATTTATGAAGTCTTGTTGACCGCCTATGATCGATCTCAATGTCAGGCTATGTACTATATCATTTTGGAGTCAGTAGATTACTTCTTTATGATGTGTGGCGGGGGGTGGGGGTCTTTGGGGATGTTTTAAAACAGTTATGAAGAACTAAATGTCTTTGTAGGTAGTATACGCTCCACGCATAGGCGATAAAGGGGAGAAAGTAATCACGAAAATTTCTTACGACGCTCCCATACATGGTCAGTCGGAATAATATCTTCAATAGATGCGTAAAATTATATTCCATGATGGTGTCCGAAATCAATGTTCAAGACTTCAAGACATGGCAGACTCCCCAGGACGTCGCGTAAAGGTCCTGACTGAATTTCTCGCCGGCAAGCTTGGGTATTAAAATGGGCACCCGGAAAATGATTGAAGGCATCTCGGGCTTCCTTGATAGGGTCGAAAACTAGTTACAATTGCTTCAATCGACTACAAGATGGCGGCCACTTTTCAGCTAAGGTCTTGCTGTTTGCGATGAAAAACAACCCAATAGCCCCGGCGCGGAATGTTTCCAGTTCAGCAGCTGCATTTTGAAGAGCAAACAGCACCACTTCAAGCTGGCGGCAGCCATTGTTTTCCGTTTCTCCACAAAGCGCTGGCATAAGTTGATCGAATGGAGTCTTTCGGCGTGACAGATACACCTTCTCAAGAAAGCATCCGTCCCTTGTAATCATGACAGATTGGAGACGGCGCAGATTTGCAAAGACCGTACTCAGGCGCCTGAAGTCGACTTCATTCCTGATTACTGTCCGCTGAGTTTCCAGGGCAACTGCGTTTCTATGATACTCCTTCACCAAGTCGACTGAAGGTGCTACTCGTCGTCTTCTAGCAGAGCTCACGACGGAGCCGGCATGCCATCCCTGGGACTCTTCGAGGGGAAGGTCCTCTTTGGTAGGTTTGCAACTATATACTAGCGAGCGGACGTAGTTGGGATATCGTTCTGAAATATGTTGAAGCTGATTTAGATCATCAACATGCAAGAGAAACTTAATTTCGCGGAACATGAACTTTGCTCCAACGTCGCTGAAAGTTTTGGAGGCAAGACGAAACTTGCCAACATACTTAGGCTTGATGAATGAACAAATGAGTTGCAAAATCTCCAAGGGTAGAGTGGTCATCTTTGGAACACTCCGGCTTTTGCGCAGCAGGATTTCCGAGGTGAAGTGCTTGTCCAGCTTTCGGTTATATAGTAGATTAAGAAGTCAAGAAATATGTTTGCAAGCTGGAGCCATGTGTTTGCCAGCAGGTGGGGTAGGTGCTCACTATCACAACGTGTAACATGTCATCTTAAATATCAGGTCAAGTTTGGTATGCAGTATCACATTCACTGGGCTCCAAGCAAGAAATGAATCCAATTATTTCTAGACAAAATGACACTTTCGCTTCATTCGAACCAGGTACGCTGCAAAAGAATACGACCGAAGGGGGCCGGACCACAATATGGTTGTACTCGATTCCAAGACGGCGGCCCTGAAAAATTTGGTCTGCAATGAATGAATACCAATGTGAGGCTAATTTGGCTGTTGAGACTGAGCATGACATATTTCCACATGCTTGTCTTACTGACGATACCGTTATCTGTCATCTCTTGACCTCAAACACGGTCGCAGATATGGAAGTGGTATCGAGACCCCGTTCTCAACTACAGCTGCTTCAAGACGATGGAAGGGCTCGATAAAGCAGCACTAGCAAGTCGACCAGACGCATCGTACTAGATATAATAATGCTCCCGCAAGGTTACCCAACTTTCCGCAAACAAAGGCGTCTAAATACTGCTAGCCGCTTGCTACGGAGAGATCGGATGAGTAGTGTGTTTACACCATCCTTGTGATACTTGGCTAGGATATGAGTTGTGTCACCAGCGGAATACATTACAACCCGCAGTTTGCCAAATACTGATCAATGCAGTCGGAGATACTATCATCAATCAACAAGCGAGACATGCTCGCTTCGTCGTGAACAAATAACTTTTGCCGCATCTCAGAGCTAAAGTAACACATTTGTATCTTCGAGTTCGCTCGAGCCTCGTATTGAGTTCCGGGCGGAGGGATTATGCCTGACTTGTTACCTAAGGCAGCCATTCAACTTTGAATTCTGTAAAATCGACCTTCAACGCATCCTTGGCATTCTTTTCAGGCCGAGCGACAAGCGGGCTCACATCCAGCACCCAAGCTTCGCCATCATTTTCATCCTCGTCCGCGAAGATCCAGCAAATCTCCCTCAGAGGTCGTTTCTCCTTCACCTGGCCTTGGTCGTCTAGGACAAGGTGATACACCCAGGCACTCTTGCCGTGCTCATCTGACTCCCTCACAACCTCCAGTGTCAACCCCTTCTGGGCGTCCGCACCGGTCAGGGGCAAAATGCTCCAATCTGCCCACCTGTCACATGCGACCGTGCTCAGATGTGGCGCTTCATTATAGAACTCTAGGCCCGTCTTGATCCACTTGGCCGGGTCTGGGGAAGTGGAGTGTTTGAGAACTAGAAGGAGGCCGGCTTGGTCGTAACGTTCGGTCCACGGTCCCCAGAACGTCACTCGTGCGGCTTGGAACTTCTTCAATAAACCCGAGGAAATGCGAGATATAGGCGCTTAGACTTGTTAGCTTTCTCGTGCTGGTCTCTTTTCGACTAACTAGTTCATTGCGCGATTGAGATGCCCATACCGTTCCAAACATCGGTAGTCGGTGGCTTCTTCCAAATGTCCGTTCCTGGTTCTGCTTCAAGGACAAATGAATCTTCTGTGGTATCCATGTTAGGCCAAACAGCTTATGACTACTTCTTTGGATGAGTGTTGAAAAGCTAGCGACAACAGGAGACAAGTGTTTATATGGCGATGGGAGGGTGGCCAATAGCGGGGCAATAGTGGGCTGAGCTGGTTACGTACTAATTCGTTTACCCCTCCTATGTACGGCTGACCGGTCCGGACGCAAGATCTCTCGCCGTCTCATGTCTCAAGCACAACTTATATGACCCGAACAACCGCATAAACAAGTGATTGTAGGATTGGACGGCATAGGACGACCACACTAAAACGTAAGTTATACACTGCAATGAGAGTATCCACATTATTTATTTGCCTGCCTACCCATGAGTTTCAGGGTAGTGATCAAACATACGTGACAAGAAAAACATGAAGATGGCAACTACTATTGCCTTTCCACCTGGTCGATACTCTCAAGGAAGTTCACTGTATCGCCATGCGGTGCTTGTCGGACAGGAATCTTATCTCGAATTCGCTAGAATGAGACTGCCGTTCATTACAGAAAGAGATTCTCGAAAATGTGCATGAGCATGTCATCAGCCATGATATAATACTATAATCATCGGCTTTGGCAGTGTGTTCATCAGTACAAATGGTTTGTTGGTGTCCGATTGACAAGAAAGAGGCAAGAAAATAAATCTGCCAGTTCTTAAATATCATAGATGATTATTCGTGCTCTACATTCAACGGGATGGTTAGGTTCTAAGAGATGAAAATGTGAAATCGGAAATCGTCATAACCCGTTATGGAAGAGGTGGGGAACCTTGAAGGGTCGAACAGCGGCGTCGGAACTATTAATATAGCATACTGTAATATCTGCAAGCTTGAGAGTATGCATCATCATCCGGTATGGCATGGAAGCAAAGAAACTCAGTATCGTATCTTCCGAACCTCAGATGAAAAACGCTGTACTTGGCCAGTTCAAGCAAATCAAAAAGATGTCAAACCTCACGCTCCAGTCGAAAGTCAAGCTCGCCAGCGGCCACGAGATGCCGCTGCTAGGTTTTGGTGTAAGTGCAACAATCAACTGAACCGCCTGTACTTGAGGCAAAAGTTTCTGAACCAGTATTAGGTCTATCAAACGTAAGCTTCGTGGCTGATCTCTCCGCAGACCTCGGCGAGCACATCCAGAAAGTCAACTGACAACACATCATCACGCAGCCCAGCTGAAGACGCCGAGCGCTGCGTGAAAGACGCACTTGCGGCGGGCTACAGACATGTCGACTCCGCCGCCGCATATCGCAACGAAGCGCCTTGTGGAAGTGCCATCAGGTCGCTGTCCTCCGAAATCCCGCGCTCAGAGGTGTTCTTCACCTCGAAGGTGCGAACCAAGGGTAAATTCATCCCCTCCTTTTCTTATCTTCGGAGAGATAGACCACCCTCATCCCATCTCATCTGGAACCGCACAATAACGCGAAAGTCCTCTAACTAGGCATGTCCTACGAATCGGCCAGGGCAACGGTCGCCAACACGCTCCGGGAGACCGGACTGGACTACATCGACCTGATGCTCCTGCACGCGCCGTACGGCGGGTCTGCCGTGCGGAAGGGCGCCTGGAGGGCCCTCGTGGAGGCCGCGGAGGAGGGCAAGGTGCGCAGCATCGGCGTCAGCAACTACGGCGCGCACCACCTGCGGGAGCTGCAGCAGCACATGGCCGAGCTCGAGTCCCAGCGCGGCGGCGGCGGGGTCGTGAGCGTCGGCCAGTGGGAGATACACCCGTGGCTTCCGCGGCAGGACATCGTGGGCTGGGCGCGGGAAAACGGAGTCGCCGTGCAGGCGTACTGCCCTTTGGTCAGGGGCGAGAGGTGGGACGAGCAGGTCCTGAGGGATCTGGCGGCGAAACATGGCAAGACGGCTGCGCAGGTCTTGATTAGGTGGAGTCTGCAGAAAGGATATAGCCCACTGCCGAAGAGTGTGACAACCTCACGAATCCAAGAGAATTCAGACGTCTTCGATTTCGAGCTGGACGAGGAGGACATGCAAAAGCTGGATTTCGACAGTTATGCACCATGCACTTGGGATCCTACCACGAGTTCGTTGGACAACGGCACGACGAAGAAAGGGTAAGCTGAAAGAGCTCAATGATGATCAATTACCATAATGCACATGCTTTGTGGAAAAACTCTACATTATCAAGGCAGCGCCTGACGGAGGCTTATCCAATCTCGATCTGTAAATGATTCTAAATAACCAACGATGTCTGAAGAAACACGCTAAACGCCTTTTTTTTCTTTATGCAAAATCTGTTTTCCCATTCCTATTGCAGGCCCGCCTATAATCATGAGAATCCTTTTTGGGGCCACAAAGGCAATGTAGCATGCAGAACAAAAAATGTCTAAGCATGGCCAGATCCCAAGCGCTCAAGCACCGGACGCTGGTCCCAACGTTCTTCATCGATGTTGTCTTCTTCGTATTCGAACCCTTCTTCTTCGTCGTCCAGTAGTGTGGCTTCGTTCTCGCCGTAGATGAAGAACTGAGCGAAGATTCCCAAGTCTAGAAGGAGGGTACCGAAACTACCAGCCAGCCAGGATAGATTGACTAATATATATCTTCCATATATCCTACCAATGTCACCGTCATGGCAGCGGTTTGGCTTAGCGCATGTTGGTTCGTATGCGAGAATAGACAAAACATATGTCAAATTTCCCAGACACGCAAACAGGAAAAACAGCATGGAAACACCCTCAACAGATTTGCGTCGGTAGTTTAGTAGCATCTGGGGAAGGCGTGATCCAAGATACAGGACTGCGCACAACCAACCAAACACTTGGCCTAATACATCGAATTGAGGGAGGTTGTCGTCGGCAGGTTGAGATGGGTGGCTACCACCATAACGGCGGCTCATGTACCATCCAGTTACCCCGGCAATGCAGACCATCAAGATAGACACAGCATTTCTGAAGACTACCTGGAGACTCGTGGACGGCGGCGGGGGTGTAAAGGGCTGCTCGGAGAGCATGGGCACGGCGGGAGATAAGTGACTCCAACTCTGGTTGCTGTCTCTTCTCTCTCTGTGCTGCGCAAGAGGGCCAGCGCCATTGAGCAAGCCCGTTCTCTCGGTGGGCTCGCCAGTGCCCAAGACTCTAGGGCTCTTTTTTGGAGTGGGCACAATCTCATCCTTCCATGTGAAGCCCTTGTAATAGAAGCATTGAGCTAGCAAGACTATATCGGCAATAGTGTAGTAAATGGCGAGAATGAGCATCGTCGGCAGGACGCCCTGGAAGACGGCCCCTAGAATGTTGAATACATCGCCTGCGAGCCAGGCGATAATGAATTGAAGAGAAAGTCCATCGGCCGAGGAGCGTCGAAAGTTTTCGAGGATCTGCGGACTAAAGACTACTACCCAGGCGGCGATGGATATGGATCTTGAAAGAAGAAGGATATCAGCGGAATGGACCAATTGACAGTGTGTAATGGCCAGACTCTGGAATCTGCCGCGGAAGGGGTCTAACTCACCCACATATGCCCGAGATGGCTTCAACGTCCAAGTTCAACGGCGCTGTTGGTGGTGCCATAGTAACGAGGCAAGGCGTTCACCAGGAGCGCGAGGGTAGTAGAAAGACAATAGGTTCTACTCAGGCTAATTGGAATTACGTGTGCTGTCCAATAGGCACAGGAAGTAGTGGAGACGATGTTTCTCAGGAGGAGAGTTCTGAGAGTCACTGTAGTTTAGTTGAAGATGTGATAAGTCACACAAAGTTATGGAACGACCAGTCCCGAGGTTGTGAAAAGCTTTTTTTTTTTTTTTTTTCCAACTGAGAAAAATGGCTTGGCTTGGTATGCTGACGCGATTGCGAGTGACCGATGACCGGCGCAAAAGACAGGCCGCGGAAAGGGTGTCATTTGCGCTGAAAAATGATGGATTTCATGACGTTGGTTCTAAAAAAAAAACTAAATAAAAAAAGTCTGCCCCACCACGCTATATGCAGGTTCAGAGAGCCATTTTGCGGGGTAAGTTTGGTTGGCTGTTCGAGCTTGAATGAATTGTCCACTGCTCCGTACCCTGGCAGGGTACATACTGTATGGATTGCTTGAGTCCTTGCTAACAAGTCCTGCCCCATATCTTGTCCGATTCCAGCTGCCACATGGCATTTAAGGGTGCTTCGGTGATAAGCTGTGGCACGGAACGAAGCCTCGAACCACCTGTGGTTACTTGATAAGTCAATCAAAAAGCTCCCGCGTTTGACTCCGAGTTCGAGTGCGAACCTCCGGACCTGGCATTGCATTGTCCTTCTTGGGATATTCCAGTCACGGCACGGGCGAAAAGGCCAAGTCTCATCAAGCTCACGTTACCACCAGCTTATGCACTCACCGACCACTCCGTAGAGCAGCTCGAATTATGGTAGACGCATAGCATCACTTAGCTAGCACCATGTCGGCCGATCTTTTTGCAGCCTTCGACGATCCTCCGCCGAGGCAATCTAGTCCAGGTCAGCCCAAGCCCGAGGGCCAGCCTGTAGCCTCCTCGGCCGACCCATTCGACTTTTTCCATTCTGGCTCCCAAGCTACGAAGAAGCAACAGACTCAACCATGGCCTGCACTGCAATCCACCAGCAATGACTCCTGGGGAGGCTTTGGAGGCGGCCAGACAAGCAGTGCGACGTCAGGGGCTACATTCGCCTCGACAGCCTCTAGCCCCCCACGCGCCCGTGTTCAGCAAACGCAGCCATGGCCTCCCTTGCAGTCAAGTAGCAATGGCACCTGGACCGGCTTTGGCGGTGGTCAAATGAGTAGTGCAAATGCCCATGATTCATTCGACGACGAAGACGATGGTTGGGGCGACTTCGAGACCGCTGACCCTGAACCATCACCAAAGCCGACTTCCCAGCCATCAACCAATTCACTGCCCGCCGCCTCATTTGCCAAACCTCCACCGCAACATCCCGCTATACAGAGGACGAGAATAATCAGGGCGCCGACCATAGAGTTGATGACGAATAGTCTCATCGATATGCCTGGAGCCAATGCTCTGCCTGACGAAGTGCGATCACCCCCATGGATGCGACAATCCTTCGATCAACAGCAGAAGTCCATATCGCAACAGCCTCCTAAAGTTAAAAAGCACAAGCCCGACGCAGATGTTTTGTTTGACGCCGATGAGTTCGATGGTAAGAACATCGAGGATGGTGATGATGACTTTGGCGACTTTGAGACCACCACATCGCCAGTGCAAGCGGCGCCAACGGACCTCGTATCTGACGACTTCTTCACTCCACCACCATCCTCCAGGTTGCCCATGACCGCCAGAAGGATGAACACCAATGACATGTTCTCTGCTCTAAGTTTGGATACGCCCATGTCGCCATATCCCCAAGCCCCTAGGTCCCCTTCTTTCCAGGACCGAAATCCTTTCCCTGGTCTCGCATTGAATACCCCTATAGAACCGAAGACTTCTACACCAGACAATAATCGCAAGACCTCACCTGTGACAGCTTGGCCGACCATGGGTCAGAACTCTGCCGGGAGCAACAAGATGGACGACCCTTGGAGCGCCTTTGAAAATCTCCCAGATGAACCAAAGGGCATTAAACAGGATAATGCAGTCGATGATGATTGGGGTGACTGGGATTCTTTCGACGCAAAAAAACCAAGCTCCGCCGCAAGAAATGCTGAAACAAAAACAGCGAAAGATGATGTTTCGGACTGGGCGTGGGATGCTGTAGACGTACCAACCAATAGCGTTCCTCAGACAAATGAGGATAAATCACCTCCCATCAATATTCCGCCCCCTTCAGTACTATTGTCCATCTTCCCACAACTACTAGGGCAGGCTAGCGATGCCCTATTCAAGCCTGTCAGTGGACAAGCTTTCTCGATCAAGAATCGGATACTATCAGATCCCAAGACGATCGACTTCTTGCGGGGTTATCTCTTACTTGCGACCGTTGCTGCTCGCATCGTTGCCGGGCGAAAACACCGGTGGCATCGTGACAAATTTCTTTCCCAGAGCATGTCAATTTCCGCCGCGGGAAGCAAAGGTATGAAGCTTGCTGGCGTGGATAAGACACAAGCAGCCCGGGAAGATCGAGAATCAGGCGACATCCTAGATATTTGGAAAGAGCATGTGGGTCGTTTACGCTCTTCGGTGGCCACAGCGAACACATCCATCAAAGATGCTTCACAACACTTGAAAATCCCCGAGTTGCGAGAAAACATGCCAGCTCAGACAGCCAAAGGTGCGCTGAGTGCACCGAAAGCCTGTTTCATATGTGGTCTCAAACGAGACGAGCGCATTGCACGGGTTGACTTTGATGTTGAAGACAGTTTTGGAGAATGGTGGACAGAACATTGGGGCCATACAGCCTGCAAAAGATTCTGGCTCGAGCACGAAGGCGCTTTGCGTCAGCGATAGGTTTGACCACTCACACAGTTATGTGACTGGGCGTACCAACTGTTATTCTCGCTCGGGAGAGCAACGTCAACATGATGCATTGCACATCATCATTCTCAGCAACCCAATCCGGGAAATATGCATGATTTATGTCTGACCCTTGCGGTCGGGTAAGCAATCGGGGGAACCAACATTCTGCCTCGGATTCACCTCCCATGCCTGTGGTCCCGAAGACGGGTAGCCCGCTTTATCGGCCTTCAGCCGGGGCTCTCAAGTCATTTCTAGGTGAATTGCTTAGTTTGTTCCCGGTCGCCAGTGATCCATACATCAAGATAGACCACAAGAGGCCATCTGCCTACCTGTCTCGTGCCTTGGACGGTGGTGACATTTGCTAGGTATCCATGCAGTCTTTTAGCCATTGCTCAACATCAAGGTAGCAATCCGAAGGAAAATTAGAGCCATCATCTAAACAATAACTGAATGATATGGAAGAATAGGAAGAGGCTCGGCTATAATACTTAATATACTCAATACCATTGCTTGCACGATACGCACAACCCATCAGAATTTGAGTGTGGAGATCATTTTCATAGGAATCTTGAGTACGCAGTGTGAGGAAAGTGGTAAGTACGCAGTGTGAGGAAAGAGGTACAGACCCCAAGTTTGTAGATTATCTTCAGAAAATGTACTGTACAGCCCATGTGTAATTACGTCTCCATGTTGCAATACTTGCTAGCCTCGAGAATAAGCGATGGCCGGTTACAAAAGTGCTTCAAGCAGCAGAATAATTGAGGCATGCTGAAAATGGGAAGGCAACGGATTTGGTATGGTATGCAGGAGCTCTAATAACTTAGCAAGGGTTCCACACGAGCTCTATGCATTGTCAACTGTGCCTGGCTTGGTTGCGTACTCTGACCGTCTATCGCGGTGGTTACCAGCTTTATCATGTTTGGACCTCCGGGAGGTACTTGCTGGAAATGAACGAACGAGGTCAAATGTCTTCTCCCCAATGCTTTCTGCGGAACCTGAATCCTAGCTGCTGCTGGGTGCATGCCGCTTACCTCCATAGTCTGTAAATCCTACCTTGTGGCTACCTATATCTCTGTAGCTCGGAATTTACGATAGAGTAGCCATGTGTGACAAGCGACCTTGAGCAAAGAAAGCGGACCCCAGCTTATTGCTTTCCTCTTGAACTCGTAAAAGCGCTACTTCTATATGCCTAATCTAGCACATTAAAGGTTGAGCCGCAGCAGGGACAATGGATGATAGGAAGCCCCATTGGTACTCGCAACTGATCCCCGTCGTCCGCACTACGTTTTAAGACACCATTGTGGGCGGGAATGAAATCCTAGGTATCGGAGGCGCCTCGGCAGGGCTAATATTTACATGATTTGAACGATTTGGCAGACGGCCTCAATAACAGTGGTACTTTGAATTGCAGAGTGTGTGTCTGAATGTGGCCTGTTTCTATTTCCAGATTCTGCATGTTTGACGTTACAGGGCCATGTTACAGGTGGATGACGGTTACAAAATAATGGCTTGCGGTAACCCGCATGAATAGAATCGAACGGAATGAACGAATGAATACCTACATAAGCTGGAATTTGAACCGGGATCTGACTGTCCTTAATAGCTAAAATTAACGTGTCTTGTTAACGACCCTGGTCAACATTCTATCACTTGGAAATCAGAAGAGGTATGCATGCATGTACGACTCCGAAAGTACGGACAGGACATCATTGGAACACAACCAGATTCTCGGCCAGATGTCACTTTCCATTCAGCTGTGTCATTTCTTACTCTGAGTGGCTAACAGGCGTGTGATGCAACTGGCGCATTCTAAATCACATCCACCCACACAAACGTCGAAAAACGACAGTTCCAACCGTCCCTCCACTTTCCAACATAAGGTAGCTCAAGTTTCCCAAGCTCCAAAAAATCAAAAAAATCAAAAAAAGGCCAGCCTACTCTAAGCTACCAGAACCAGAACCAAAACCAAACAGTCCAATCCCCCAAATCTAAATCTTGGGCTCAAGCTCTCACACTCTTCCCACTTCAACCTCGCCCCGCCAACACCCACCCGCCCCGCGATCTACATACAACATCGTTGATGTTGATGAATTGACAACATCGACAACCCAATCTAGCAACCCTCCCTCCTCCTCTTTCCCTCTCTGATCCTCCATAATCCCTCCCCGCACCACCCAGTCATCATGTCCGCCACCCAAGACCTTGCGCCCAACGGCGATGGTGAGCTTGATCAAGCTGTCGCAAACCTTAAGCTCGACGATAACGAGGATCTTGGCCCCGACGGTCAGCCTGCCCCCAAGACGGAAGAGGAATATGCTGTCGCCAACCTGACCCTCCGAGCCATTGTTTCTTCCAAAGAAGCTGGAGTCATTATTGGCAAGGGCGGCAAGAATGTTGCAGACCTGCGCGACGAGACCGGCGTCAAGGCCGGTGTCAGCAAAGTGGTGCAGGGCGTGCACGACCGTGTCCTCACTATTACCGGAGGATGCGAGGCTATCTCGAGAGCCTACGCAATTGTCACCAGGGCTCTGCTCGAAGGCGCTCCTGCCATGGGCATGGGCGGAGTCATCTCGACCAGTGGCACACACCGTAGGTACACCCCGCGTCCTGCCCTTGCCGGGTCATGCTCGCCGATGCTGTCGCTAACCTACCTCATCTAGCTATCAAGCTCCTCATTTCACACAACCAAATGGGCACAATCATCGGCAGACAAGGCCTCAAGATCAAGCACATCCAAGATTCGTCAGGTGTTCGCATGGTGGCACAAAAGGAGATGCTGCCGCAATCGACTGAGCGCATCGTCGAGGTCCAGGGCACACCCGATGGCATCCAGCGCGCCGTCTGGGAGATCTCCAAATGCCTGGTGGATGATTGGCAGCGTGGTACCGGCACGGTGCTGTACAATCCTGTTGTCCGCACTCAACCTGGCAGTGCGGGGTCTCTCGGTGGTGCTGCTGGCGCTGGCGTTGGCTCTGCAGGCGGGGTAGGAGGAGGATACCAGGGCTACTCCAGTGGCAGGGGAGACTATGGTGGTTCTCGTGTAACACGCACCGGCAACGGTGCCGACTTCAGCAACGGTGCGCCTCAGCGATCCTATCGGCGCTCTGACTCCGACGCGGGTACCCGCGACCGCTCAGGGCCCCCTACGCATGATGAAAACGGCGAGGAGATTCAGACCCAGAACATCAGCATCCCAGCCGACATGGTGGGCTGCATCATCGGCCGCGCTGGCAGCAAGATCACAGAGATTCGCAAGACATCCGGTGCCCGCATCTCAATTGCCAAGGTAAGTTTCAAACAGATGACATATCAATGTCTATTGTCAAGGCTGATCAAAGAAACCACAGGCACCTCACGATGAGACGGGCGAGCGCATGTTCACCATTATGGGCTCCGCCAAAGCTAACGAGACGGCCTTGTTCCTGCTCTATGAGAACCTGGAGGCGGAGAAGATGCGCCGCAGCCAGGCTCCACCAACAGACTAAAACTTGTATCATTCAGCCTGTATCGCCTTGATGGCGCTGCCACGGTAGATTTTGGTACATCTGTCGGGAATATTTCCTTAATGATTGTTCGGATTTGGCACGAGACTCCAGATCTGACCTGCCGCAAGGCCAATGACCTCGGAACGAGGTCTCAACGATACGACATGACGACGATGAATTTTTTTTTTTTTGCCTCTTCTCTCAACAAGAAGTCCTACGCACGGGGCTTGTTGCGCCTTCACTTTACCATGACGCTTTTCCTAATCACCAGTATTCCACATTGATAAATCAACTCACGGCTCAAAGATACCTCAGCCCTGGCTGCAGTCACCAACACGGAGAAAGTAGACTGGCTGAGGACTTGGCCCGTTTGACGACCAGTACTCGCTCCCAACTAGTATTTTTTTTTCCGAACGAGAACGACCCAATCTTGTCACCATGCGCGGTACGCGCACATCATCAGATCTCTGCCCCCCCATATTTCCTTGCTCGCCACTTATCATCTCAAGCCTCGTGTGGTATTCGTTCTGGCGTTGCCTTCCGCCTGGCGGCTTCCAATCTCACGGCGGATGGCTGGCCATGGTTCGTCTCTTTCCATGGAGGCAGCATATCTTCCCCCAGCAACTACGGGCTTCTATTATGCTCATACTTTCCTCTCTCTCTCTATCTCTCTACTGGCCCTCGTGGCCATGCGTATCGATTTCTATGAGATGCATCACGGCTTTAAGGATGACCTCGAGTTCGAGATGGGCGGAAGGTCGGCTTTGGTCTATATAGGCAACTCTGAGCTCTACATGGTATGCAATGTCAGTATTGAGGGGGAAATGTAATTTTGAGTTAGATAAGAAATCAGAGAATGAACAGTGCATAAGAAATCATCATTGACGGCTGTAGTGCAGTGAATGGGAGGGGTGGTACAACAAATGAATTGCGAAGACGACCTCATGGGCTGACCCAAGCTCGAGCCCAAGCAAACCTACTTCGTTGTGGTTCACCTATCAGTATGACAACCGTATGGATCCCCCACTTGGATCGCAAATGAACAAGGGACAATCAGTACATAAGTACCAAGCAGAGCCAAGTATACTATGCGATACTATGCTATTTCATGTTATGCTATGCTAGACCGCCCCTGTCACGGCCCTCTGCAGTGGTAACCTTTTTTGAGGCATCCAGCAGAATTCTGCCACTGACAATGGCATTGCCGCCCGCTTGTATGGTAATAGCCGTTAGTTAAGTAACTGTACTGAGACTAGTTCCAAGGCCATGTGCAGCGGTCAATCGCCAATCGCCAATCTGTCATCAACGGCGCCAGCTTGAAGCTTATTTATTTTTAGGGGTCCTCCTCCTGTTCCTGGCAATCTGTTCAATTTTATTCAATCTTTGTTCAATCCACCGCCGTCATTTAACCTTCTACAGTGCTGTAATTTTGTTTTTCCTGCGCTCTCTTTCTCTTCCTTCCTTTAGCTCAACCCTTCTATATTCGCCTACTTCATCTCTGACATTGGAACTTCTATCCCCCTTGGTCAGGGTTACTTGCGCAGTGCGAAAGAAACCCTGCAGCTCGTATTATTGTGGTGGTAGTAGTAGTAGTAGTAGTGGCAGTATTATAGTAGCGGCGGCGCAATTGCTGAAGCCAAGCCGTCGGCATGGCGAGAACGAAACAACCCAACCCGGTCGAGCGCACGCCGTCCTCGGAATATGTCACGAAGCGAAACGGCACGCCGGCCAAGAGAACCGTCAGTTTCAATATAGCCGATCAAGCCAAGTCCAATGGCAGCGCGCCGGTCAGCAAAAGTCCGGTCGCGCCGGTAGAGACTGAGAAGCAGGAAGCCGGCGTGCTACAGCTTGTCATTGCTGTTGCCGGCATATATGGCTCGTTCTTGACGTGGGCCTTCCTGCAAGAACGATTGACGACGACCCCGTACGGTCCCCAAGGCAAGACCGAGGTCTTCAAATATCCCGTCTTCCTGAACACGATCCAGTCCCTCTTCGCCGCGGCCACGGGCGCCATCTATCTATACTTCAGCACACCGCGCAACTCTCCCATCCCGCCCGTGTTTCCTTCCCAGCGCATCCTCGCGCCCCTCATCCTCGTCGCCTTGACCCAGTCGCTCGCCTCGCCCTTTGGCTACGCCAGTCTCGCCCACATCGACTACATCACCTTCCTGCTCGCCAAGTCCTGCAAGCTGCTCCCCGTCATGTTTCTGCACATCACCTTGTTCCGCAAGCGCTACCCGCTGTACAAGTACCTCGTCGTCGCAGCCGTCACCGCCGGCGTCGCCGTCTTCACCCTGCATTCCGGCAAGAAGTCCAAGAAGCACGCGACGCCCGAACACGAGCGCAACGTGCCCTGGGGCATGCTGCTCCTGTCCATCAACCTGTTGTTCGACGGCCTCACCAACAGCGTCCAGGACTGGATCTTCACCTCCTTCAGGGGGTACACCGGCCCCCAGATGATGTGCGCCAACAACATCATGAGCACGGCCGTCACGGCTTCTTATCTGGTCCTTAGCCCATACCTGGTGCATACAGGCGTCGGCGAGTGGCTAGGCATGGACGTCACGGGCAGCTCTGGCGAGTTGAGCGAGGCATTGGGCTTCATGGCTAGACACCCGTCTGTCTGGACCGACGTGTTGGGCTTTGCCGCCTGCGGTGCCGTGGGACAGGTCTTCATTTGTGAGTCTTCCATTCCCATCCAACCCTCCCTTCCCTTCGACTCCTGGACGAAAGCCTTTGTTTTTCTCTCTTCCTTCTTTTGCTGACTTGAACTTTGTACCAGTCTACACTCTCTCCACCTTCTCCTCGGTTCTCCTCGTCACCGTCACCGTTACGCGCAAGATGTTCACCATGATCCTCTCCGTCGTTGCCTTCGGCCACAAGTTGAGCCAAATGCAGGTCCTGGGCGTCGGGCTGGTGTTCGGCGGCATCGGCGTCGAGGCCGGGATCGCGCGGCAGGAGAAGATCACCAAGGAACAGGCCAAGAAGAAGGCCGCCCTCGAGACCAAGAGTAGATAGACGAAAGCCAACATCCCGTGAGGCCAAAGATTTGTTCAGGCTTGCAGTTAATACTAGGGGGTTTTTTTTTCTTGTGTATATGTATATATGTGGAAAGACACCAGAACAAATGATATCCCCTCAGAATTTCGGAAAGCAGCTGAACACAAGTTGAAATATGCAAACTTTCATGGCGAGCGAATGTGATACTAAATCGGGGGGGCAGGTTGGCTCTTGTTTTCTCGTTTATACGGAATCAATCATCTTGTCCTTTTCTTTCGTCGATTCCACTGTTACTTTCAGGGTGGTAGAGCAATGCGCGCACTCTCGCGTCCGATGAGCCCATCCGTTGCTTGTCGGCATAGTAATCAGTAGAGGGAGAATTAGCAGCCGTTTGTGAGGCCCTGGAAATGCTAGATAACTCAACCTAGACCAGGATAAGAGTGTTTGGCCGTGTGGGAGGGAAAAGGAAAAGGAAAAGAACCATGAATTGTCATTACTACCAAGCTACGTTTGCGATTATGCTGGGATACGAATTTGTCAATTCACACCACAAGGCACCATTCAAAGTTTAGGTGATTTCTTGCTTTCCCCCCTATTCTCAATTATGTACATCAACCGCACACGCCATCTCGCCCCTTCCCTCTCCTGAGTGCGACTACGCAACACGAAGAAATGAAGGGGCGTTTCATTTCATTCCAGCGTTACCCGATGTGTGAACGCCGGAGTGAAGAAGCCTCCTTGCCGTTCCTAGATCAACCGGAGGTAATAGATTTGTCTCTTGTACTCCATCCGCCCTGAGCTCCTTTTCTTTTCTAGGATTACACATTTAGCCCCGTACTAGGGCTTTCGAGACGCAATTCCCCTCCGCCCTTCCTCACCCTAATGAATATCCCTCGTTTCTGCAAAGGTATCGTGCATTTGTGCTGTGTAGCAGACCAGCGGAGAAAAGAAAAGAATCCAGAGCCAGTCCGTCCCGGGTATTTCGGTGCCATGCTGTCATGTGCTGTGCTACACCGATAATCCAAATCCATGGGAATATTATTAACGATTGTATTTTCGTTCATGTCGACAAAGGAAAACAAAAAATTTGATGTTTGATTTTCCCCAAATAATTGAATAGTGGGGATGTGGTATCGTGGTCAAAACGCAATGCCAATGGAGCCGCCGGAACGATGAGCCAAGTCATGCTTGACGATGTGTTGGGTCGAGCAATTTCCAATGCTAACCATTGTCGCTAACCGAAACCAACGCGCGATCAACGCCAGTATATGCCGCGTAATCAAGTGCTTCTCTAAGAAGCATATATTTGGTCGCAGTAAATAGAAGTAGATACAAGGTCACGCTTTACGAGCGTAACTTCGTAAAATGTCATAAAATGTCGTGTTTCATGAGCCAAGCTCCTGGGATATGCTCATTCCAGTAGCTCATCAATTGATCGCACAATGGGAGCCTCTCCTTTCATGGGTGGGCTTCTCGGATCTGCGACTTGAGTAGGTCTTACAAATGATTGAAAAGGGTCTCGTGGGAAGCCCATTTGCCTAGGTGAGAAAAGTCCCTCGCTCGGAGCTGGTGGAGTTGGTGGAACCTCGACAAACTTCAGACCAGCCATCTCGCCGAATGAATCGTGCAAGGGATTATTGGTCATGGTTTCCGCTCTTGGAGACATCAATGCATCGTCCTCAGGAAATGCCCGCGTGACATGAACAGGAGCTTGTGCGGGCTCTTCTACATGGTCATGGTTGAAAGATGCACCCATTTGACCGAAGGAGGAATCCATGCTACCAAACCCCAAGCTCGAGAAACCCAAACTCGACGGTCCTTTACCAAATCGATGTGCGCCGAAACCAGGTGATGGCGGAGGCTTGAACTCTTGCCGGGGGATATCCAGTTCTTGTCGTGCAGGAGGGAACCCCAATGACAGATTAGACTTGAATTCTTGGCGTGGGGGAGGGAATCCTGGGGAAGGAGGAGGCTTGAATTCTTGACGTGCCGGAGGAAACCCGGGCGACGGAGGTGGCTGAAATCCTAACGACGGCACATTCTTCCAACTCAATTTGGGGGGTTGAGCGAATCCAAGTGAAGTCTTTGGAGGTCTCAAGCCAGAAGGCGGCTGCTGGAAAAAAGATGACGATGGAGGTGGGAAAGTGCTTTCCGACACCGGCTCGAAGAATTTGGGTGCGTTCAACGGCTTCTCAAGATTAAGAGTGCCGAGATTGTCAGCACTCTTCATGACATCTTTCTCTGACCACGAGAAAGTTGATGGTGCAGATGAAGGTCCAGGAGAGATAGCTTCTAGATTGGGTGTCGACTTGCCGCGTACGTACTTAGGACTGCGCTCTGGGCTCTTAGCTTCCGTCTGCCTCGGGCTATCCTCAGGTAATGGAGCCGATAGTGGTTCCTTCGGTGTCATGTCTATAGCATTTGCGGACAAAGTGAGGCGGTGCTTGGTTGGGCTCTTGCCACCTCGAAGCCCTGCGGCAGATCGAGGCATCCTCCTCTTAGCAATCTCTTTTTGAAAGTCCTGAAGACAGTACATGAGTTTCATGTTCGGACTTATCCAGCGACTCTTCTCCTGTGCCGCATGATAAGCATCATTGACGCTAATTCCAGGGTTTTGATAAAGCCCGTAGGCAATAATTAGACTAGCGGATCGGCTTGCGCCTTGCTGGCAATGTATCAGTACCCTTTTGCCCTCCTTTGTCCGCTTCTCAATGGTTTCACAAAGCTCCATAAGATCCGAGGCGATATCGGTGTTGTGGTCCCATGGCATATGAATATACTCTGGTTCATGGAAAGGGTTGGTTGCTTTCGGTGTTGTGGGCGTGTCCTGGCGGTCGTCCATGGGATATTCGAAAGCAGTAGAAAAGCTGTCAGATGTGACAGCCGTATCAGGAATTGGTGAGTCGGGTGACATTTGACCACTAGACATGAAGTTGAAGGGATTCAGGACCTCCCGGGCTACATTGATCACCACGTCGAACTTTGACGCCTCCTCTGCTGACGGCTCGAGGTACAGATAGACATTATCGTCGTAAATGGCAATCGGGCCATCAGGGTATCCGGGTGACTTTTGGTCCTCGTTTGCTTCGCTCTCGTCCCGGAATGGCTCAAAGTCCATTGCCGCGCAGCTAGCTTGCTGGGATCGGATTGGAGAGGAATCCTCCTCCATTATTATAGAGGCGCGGTTGTTGCCTGATGAGCTGTTTAGTCTTGTAGGCCGCAGTATCTCAGATAGACCAGATTGTCCCCTCTCCGAGAGAGTTGGAAAGGTCATGCCACCAGCAGGTCCGAAACCAGCCGATTTCATGCCAGAAAGCATCTGTGGCGAAGACGTCGAGTGCTTCAAAGCCCGTCTTTGCGCGAATCCAATTGGCGGCATAGCTGGTGACGGGGGGATCTCAATCGTTGACGATCGAATGTTAAGTCCATGGCCATCTGTCTTCAAGCTCAGCTGGCTTGGCTTCCGCTTCATCGCCGGGATTTGTGGCTTGATGAATGATGGGGAAGAAGGCTCCGAGACCAGACTAGTGGAAAGTGAGGTCGCAAATGGTGGCTGTATGGAGAGACCCTTCATGTTGCGTCTCCTGGGTGAAGGAGAGGTCATAGGCCTCTGGAAGTGGTTGTTGATGGCATTTGGCTCGCTGACTGTGAGGGTATTCATTGTTGATGAAAGTCCGCCAAAAGAAGTCCCTGGGAAGTTGTTCAATGGTATCAGATTGATTGGGGAATCTGGGGAGGAGGATGGCGACGGATCCGAAAGTGAGGATGTGTCTGTTGTCAAAGTGGTCGTTGGGGACGAATCAGCAGAGTTCTGTGTTGACGTGCTGTCGTTGTGACGATGTAGCGGATCCATTTGCATCGTGTGCAGATGGTGATGTAGTTGCTGTGGTTGTGGGTTTGCACCAGGAAAATGCGAATGCGGCGCACACGTTGGTTCCATGTCTAGGTACTTCGAGTCGACCACGGTGACCACGTCTGATCCGTCAACTAATGTTGTGTCCCCTTCAGAATCTATGATTGACATGAACGAGGGGATTTGGTCCTCATACAGTCGTCGCGCTGCTGCTGACGGCATATTCGATTGTTCTGTTTTTTTTTTCCCCGGGGCTCTTTCACCGTCACTACGACTGCCAGTTTTCGGTTCGTGTAGCACGTTTTCCCTCTGACCTCGCAGCTGCTCTGATAAATAAGGAAAGTAGACCACGACCTTTGGTTGGGTATGGGTTGGTTGGATGGTGGCAGTCAAAGCCTGGCAGGTGGACAGCACTGCTGAATCCTATCGTCGTCTCTCCTCGCTCTCTTGCGTCTCGGTGGTGCCAGAACCAGGCCGACGGTGTGGAATATGGGAACGGTCGGTCTTCCTATGCTCCAAAAGACCAATACGCAGAGTGATGCCCTGCCGTTTTTGCTGTCGTGGCAGCGGCGTATTACACCTAAGCAATGGTCTATTTTAGGTATGCCCGTAGGATCGGCACAGCTGGTCTACCAAGACGTCGATTGGTGGCGGAGGCAGTTGAAAGAGACTGACTGAATGAATGAAATTGGGAATGGAACGCAGTTACGGGGCAAAATGAGAAAGTTTGGCGGGTAGGAGTGTCTCGTTTCCAAACGTCAACTATCGGACGGCAGCCATTGGGTGTAAGCACGGTCTACACTTGACTGCGGATTCCCATAATAGATACAACTGGGGGGGGAGAATTGAATGTTTGCGGCAGGTCAAGTAGAGGGCAGTGCGGCGGTTGGCGATACAAGACACCCGGCAAGAATGTGATGTGTTGAGATGTTTGAGGGGAGGGAGAAGGAAGCGGTTGGGTCCCAAGTAACAAAAGACGAAGGAGCCTGGAGAAAGATGGTCGAGGTTTCTAAGTTCAGGTTAGTTTGGGGGAGTGTACAATAGACAAGGGAAGGGGTGCGAGGTCTCTCTGCTCTACTCCGAATGGATGGCTAGGTACCTAATGGTGTGTAGTGGATTGTGGGCCTGGGAATAAAATACAATAGCAGCGACACGATAGGCAAGACAGAGTGAACTGAACAAGCGGGCGGCAGCAATGGACGCCAGTCGCTGTGGTTTGGGTTTGAATCAATCAATCAAGCAAGCAATGAATCAATCGTCCGCCCAATGTCCATCAATGGCATCTCGCTAGGTAGCCTCTGCGACAATAGCCGGTACAGCTGGGGTACAGCCACTGCGGATAATGGCTGTGTCAGAGACCTACCGGTACCCACCTGAGCCTTGGAGCCCCCAGCAGTGCTACCTTGGCCCCCCAGGGTACGGTACCTCTGCGGATTGGGAAACGGCGAGCATCAAGATCGGAGACCCTACATACTTGGTAAGTATTCGCAGTGCTGATCTGCTCTAACTACATGCCTTTTCTCCTGCGGTGGGCATACGCACACGCCTCCAAGAAGCCCTCATATTGACATTCTCTCTATTCAGCTACAGCTGTCTCCTCTCCGGAAAGTCTCGACCGTCTTCCCCTCCAACTAACTCTCCGTTGGGGGGAGGGCTCAAGTCGCATTGCGTAAAGCGGGCACTTAAAGTTGTATGGGTGGATGGACGGTTGCGCACTCGTTCTCGCAGAAAATCGCCTTGCCCTCCAAGCGTTCCAGTGCACACCAGCGGCCTGTGAGTGGCTACACCCCCTGTGGGTTGGTGTTTGCGAAACGAAGCGAACGGGGATTCTTGGTCGCTTTCTAAGAATAGACCGCCGCCAGCGCGAGCTCGGCGAATCAGAAAAGCCTGTCTCAACCCGGTCATTGCAGCTGATAATTTCGATTCACCAATCATGGCACGCGTCTAGTGTAGATTAGTGCAGGAGGTCCTAGCTGGTCCAAGCCATGGCTCTGCAGAACGAAGCGGGTTGGCGGGCTTGCGGTCATGGAGATTCGCCGCGTCGGCTTCTGGATCTGCTTCGGATCGCTGGTAATTTAGTAATATAATAAATGGGAAGAAAAAAAAAAGGGTCCTAAAACGGCGACCACACGAGTAAATATCAAAAAAGGCGATTCTTTATTAGAAAACCACAAGACCGCATGCAACTTTTCACCCTTGAATTGGTCAACGATTTGCAAAGCAGTCATATTTTCTCTTGTGCTTTACTCGGATCTCTCGACACCCATTTGACGTAGCCGAAACGCACTCATGAGGCTGAGTAGGCCAGTTCCAGAATCGTAAAATTGCGATTTTCCTATACAGCGTTGGAGGCACTTAAAAGTACTAGTCGCGTCAGTCGATGGGTCCAACTCATATAATCATGCACGATTAATATTGTCCCGTGCCCGAGATTGAAAGTGCTCCATCTGTGTAACCGAAATACTAATTGCACGCTATTCGTAGACGTGGTTTCCCAGCCTTACAGGAATGAGGAAATAAAACTTGTCCTCTAGCCTAGCCATGCAGGAGTTGTGGAATTGTCTAGGAATGCTCAAATACTCGCAATATGCAAAATAGTCCTAAAGCGTTCCTTCAGTGTTGGTAGTATTCTTGTAGTCCTAGCAACTATGGGCTCTGATACATAGTGTCACACCGTTATGAACAAAAAAAATAATCACTACACATTAGCCTTGCTTATCGCGTTGCGCAGAGACCCGTCAGTCTGGTCAGATCAAAGACAGTTTAGGGTTGTCACTGTCCTGCTGCTGGTCTGTGTGATGCTAAGACTTAAATTGCTCCAGTCTCGTATTGCCCATGCGTGGCAGTAACTGTGGTAAGGTGTCTGTGTGATTCAAGCTCAAACAACCGCAAGCAACTTGGAAGGCTACAAGTGTTGTTTACACGGACATTTCCAAACAATGTAAAACAGGTGCTAAGCTTCTATGATGCCATCGTCGGATGTCTTTTTATCTTTTTTTTTTTTTTTAACAACGGACGAGTGGTACTGTCCCGCGGTAGACTAAGTTGGTGAAGACAGGAGCGACATGCTTGTCGAGATCCAAACTTCGTTTCAATAACCACCAAACCTTGATCCTTTCTGGTCTCGGTAGCACCCATAAATTGAACAAAGGATTCCACACTTTGTAGCCCAAAAATAACTGATGCGTAATCTCGCAAGAAATATTCTCGCGCCTCAAACGAACACGCAACGAACTGACGTTGGTTTGATGACGGGAGCACCGACACAAGGTTACTGTGGCTCGGCCAGACAACAAGCGGAGCATAACTCAACCTCCATCAACAACGAACCCCGGATCTCCAGACTCGATACAGACATGGATGAAGCTCTCCACCACCTCACGTGCCTCGGTGCTTGGGTTCTGCACCGGTTGCCATATCGTTGACGTTGCATTGTTACGTCCGAAGAGCCAGGTTTTGCGTTGACTACTTGTCTCAGTTAAAATGAAAGGAGCCGCATCTCTAACCCCCCTGGTTCGATCAACGTCGAACATTACACAAGGCTGTCAACACTTGTTGGAGGTGGTGACTTGAAACGAAACATACAAGACTGATGCCATGTTGTCATGTCACAAGGCTTCATCATCGACGGTAAATGCGGCCTCACAATCAGGTGTTCGAAGCGCGATCCATATCGTCAAGGGAGGCAGGTAGGAATACACGGAATCTGATTCCTTGCTAGAAAGCCAACTCCATGCGTCTCGTATTTTTCAAGAGGAAAAGATCAACCTTCATCTCCGAATCCTATCATATCAAACTTTAAAGGTTATACTCCGGGCCAGGTCATCTACACAGGATGGTCACGGCTTTTCTTTACTCAAGTAGGAATTTCAGCATCGTTCATCTAATAAGGTCACCAGACTAGCGGTGGAATTTTACGTGGTACAGCGGCGGCAATGCGCACTTCCAACCTATGGAGGGATGAAAACAGCACAAAGACGCATTCTCCACTTAAGTACCTCCTGCTGTTTTAGTCTGCATCTTTGCAACTTGGCGCCAAAATCTGAAACAGCCGGATCCCCATAATTTGCCCGCTCTCTGGTTGGACCCCCTCGTTCTTGGAGACACGAAATTCACCGCTACGACGCTGAACCGACCAACCCGAGCCTGCTCCCAGTGCCTGCTCATCCCAAGTGCAAATAAACTCGCTTCGTCCAACCGAGCCCATACTGAAGTCCTAGTCAGCAAGTGGAACAAGTTGGCCCGCGGCTTGCAGGCTCAACGGACGACGGCCCAAGACGCAGAGATGCACTTGGCCAAACTACCCCAACTAGTTACCGGACCCCAACGATCAGATCAGTTGGTGTTCGCTGTTCAGCATCACTTACCTACCCCTGTGGGGAAGCATGAATCACGATTCTAGGCCTGTCTGAATTGTACATCTTACGAGAATGAATGACCCTGAAAGCAGTTCCAAATACTATAGTCCGTGGTTGGACTAAGGGGAGGAACTCAGTGACAATGTACACACCTAAGCTGTGTCATTTGGATAATTTGATATAACGCTCTTGTCTCTGAGACTCTGGTCCACGACTTGTCACTTCATTCTCAGCCACAGCTGCACATAACACGCACCATATCCGATGACTCACGATCCGGAGCCGTAGGTCGAGACTTGCGTAATCACTGCCATACGCTCTCTCACAGTTGCTTGGAATAAGCAGTTCTGAGCGCATGCTATACTACAATGCCTCGGATGATTGTTCAAGGCGTATCGACGCAACTAAGCACTCCAACTTTCCAGGAATGTATTGATTTTGTTTGCAATTGTGAGCATTGCAAATACTCACAATCTCAGACCCGCACTTGGAGCTGCTTTGCCTCACTTGTAGCTCCATCCCCTCATGACCCTTGTGGCCAAGCAATGCCAATCCAGTATGTTTATAATTCTCGAGATAGGAAAGCCAATGACTAGTTACGATGTGACCTTCTGTGTAGATTATTACTATGTGGTGTTAGCCTTTCGCTTTGCCATCCTTGGATGCAGAAGACTGTTTTTTCAAATTAATTATTGCCTAGCAAGAGCCAAAGATCACTGATAGATATGTGACGAATTGACCTCATATTCACAAGAGAGTAGTTCAATGTCTGATCATAATCGAACCAATCACGCCTTTTCACCCCGGTGTCTTATATTCAGGGTATGACATTGAGCACGTCGTGGCTAGACCACAGCTCAACAGTAAAGCCAGTCATACATCATATCGTCTCAATTAGAATGCAAATAAAGACAAGATGGACATGCAAGCCTCGGTATCATTAACAGAAAAACTTGACATGGTAAGCCTCCGGGAAAAGCAAATGTAACGTTCCAAACCTCTCTGTTTAAGCATACTGTTCTTTGTACTGGAAGCAGCACTACCAAAGAGAACCAACTTCAATAACAACTTGACAATCTATTAACAAGCATGGTTCTCTCCAGTCCAAAAGTACATAATTCTTCAGCTATATCGCGATTTGATTGTTCATAAACTGTTACCAGCGTATCGCAATTTTGTGCGACAATCACTACTGGGATATGCGTGCTTATATGATTACTAGCCTAGGCCATGGAATAGTCGGTCAAACTGTGGCCCGGTGTTTATCACCTGGGGTCAAACAGCGTGGTACAGCTTCGAATTTTATGAGGACTGTCTCCCTTCTTGCCCATTCCTATCTCTCCGGGTTTCTGGTATTGACTATCCCTTACGACTACTACGACAATGAAGTCCCTCAACTCGAATATGATAATCCTTACTCATAACGCCGCTGTAGTTCAGCTTAGGCTAACATGAAAGAAATATACACAAAAATGTAAATTTCTATCACTATTTTGGCATTTAAAATGCTGTAAACCTTCTAATCAAAGGATAACAGTGCCCATCAATTCTGAGAGAGATCGAAAAGGGAGATTTATGATATATCAGGAAGGAGCGTCTCTAAAGACATTAGCTAGAGAAGAAATTCTAGACCACCCAAATCTGAGAAGAAGTAACAACGTTATATATTGATATGTGTTCAATAAGTTCTTTGCTAGTGTAGCAGTCCTTTTCTTGCTTAGCTATAATCGGTATAATGTTTAAAACATTATGATACTAATATTAGAAGACGCTAACGCTTCCTCGCGATATTTGTTTCTTAGTGGCCGGCTTGTTCACATCTATAGAATTCTCTCTAGGCAACTCTCACGATTAAAGGAAATTGGTGATTCATTGTGGAAAATCAACAATAATAAATCTAAGTATAGTGGGCTTCATATTGGCAAAGTTGTTCGGCCCCGACGCTTTCTCCTTAAGAACAAAGCATAAGACATGAGAATGCGCAAAAGCAAAATATTTCAGAATTGAATGAGTGACTGTGGTATCTCCCTTGTCAGCTAGCTTACTAAAATTAACATGTGAGATCTTGCCCATGACTCCTCATTGATTGTGTCTCGCCGATGATTACGTCTCCCCGATGATTGTGCCTCGCCGATGATTACGTCTCCCCGGTGATTGTGCCTCTATGTTGATTGTGCCTTATTAAATCATAGACTTTTCCAGTGCCTTTAAAGGCCAGAACAGAGACCTTCTGGCGCCTTATTCAAGGCGTGGGTTGGTCTGACGAATATCGATAAGGCTGGACATCGTCACTGTTGATTTGTCCCTATGGTATCTCTCCATCTTGGCGAGAAGGACGAACACGTCCTCATTTGATTTGGGCACGGCAAGCATTGGTAATGGAATCTGTGGCCAGCACTATGCTTGGAGTAAACTTGTTTTGTGATAACGTAAAGTAGATGATATAGCCACTACTTCATGTCACACCACGGCATTGTAAGCCATATATTAACTGAGATCGTCAATGGCTCTAGTGGCGCTTCTGAGATTTTCTTAGGATTGAATCATAATAAACCAAAATGATAACATAAGCTCTCGGTGTAATATTTTGGACAGTCTTGAGATAATGCAGTGACATGTCTTATCTCAATATACTCGGCGATCATATACATCTTATCTTGATGAGTCGACGACTATACATATTTACCTTAATACAATCGGCGATTATACACATCTGTTTTAGAATTGTCATCCATTACATGTCTTGGCTTAACAAGTCGATGAGTACACACATTTGTTTTGGTGTATTCAGCGTCTGTACATGCTTGTTTTAGTATAGTTGGCGATTATACATATCTGTCTTGATATAATCGGCGATCTTACATGCTCTGTCTTGATATAATCGGCGACTACACATGCTCTGCTCTGGAGAGGACCTTCCCATGAAAAATTACTTTCAATCAAGACAACAACACATTCCCTCCAAAATAAATTCACGAGAGGGAAGCCGCAAAAAAGAGTGCCTTCCTTCATCAAAAGCGTCCACCAAGGTCGCAAGGGTTTCTTTCATCAGAAATAAACCCCCGTTATTTGTTCGCTTCCTCCAGGCAACCAACCTTTTTACCCCTCTGACAAATTCAAAAACATTCATCCTCACTCGCGCTACAAACCAGTCAATTTCGCACGCAAGCATCCAGAGGACTACGCAATGGCCTCGAGCAACTCCGCTGGCAACGCTGGCGAAGACCAGGACAAGAAGGACAGCAAGATCTGGCCCCACGTGGTCAATACCGACTTCGTCCTAGCTGTTCTGCACCAAAAAGATCCCTTGATGAGAGCTGCCGATTGGGCATCTATCACTGAGGTATTCAATAAGCAGTACCCCAGCAAGACCACACAAAGCCTCAAGTATGCCTCAATATCTACTCTACATCCTATTCACGTGTTCTGACATCGTTTATTCAGGCTACATTGGGCCAAGCTCCGTAGCACTTGGCTAGAAGAGTTCATGGATGGTGCCACACCACCGCCCCGTGGTCGCCCGAAGCGCAGTGCTCCTGCCACCGCTGGCAACGAGGATGAGAATAACGAGGGCGAGGGCGAGGGTCAAGCCGAAGGTTTCGATGCACCCAACTCGAAGAACATCAAGAAGATGAAGACTCAACCCAAGGTCATCAGTGATCATGAAGCTGAGGGTCATGAGAACGTTCATGAGAACGTTCACGAGAACACTAAGGACACCTCCTCTGAGACCTTCTACGAGACCTCCTCTGAGAACGATGTTAGCCATGTTACCGATGATGTGAAGCCAAAGGATATCTAAGGCTGCAGTACTCAAATTGTTTGCCGATGGATTCTTACACATTCCGGAGTGCCTGAGGGTTATGTTTTTCACACCAGATCACCCTCCAAGCCATGATTTGTATCTCTGGTTCATTGATATCTGGCATCTGCTTTCGGATTCAACACACTAGTTCATAGTGGGTGGAAAGTAGGCAGCCTGTAATTAAATGCATGAACCAAAACGACGCACCAACGTATCCCTTGCTTATGACCACCTGAAGCCATGTGTGATTAAGCACTGTGTGATCTATCTGATGAAAGACGTCCAAAACCATGAGCCCTATTTTACAGTAAAGCCTATCCCATTTGCTAACGTCTAGCGATGAGACCTTAGCTGACATCCAAGAGCGCGCCAATCTGGGCGATCCTGAGGTTACCAAGGATCAGTTTGGTAGTGGATCGCGATATAATATGGGCTAATCTTTCCATACCGGTAGTAGTGGAAGTCTATAATAGCGTGTGTTGTTTATTGTGGCCACATCTTGCCAATAAGATTCCGACCCCGGAGACGGGACGCTGACTGTGTTAATGTAGGGCTTATTCAAGCATAACAACGGCCCTTAAAAGCTGGCCAAGTGACATATATATTTGCAGATTGGCCTCAATATGCATAATGTGTGATGCGGCGCGTTTAGACTTCAGAGGTTGATGGAGCATCGAGCAAGCTTTGATCCATATTAAAACTATAACTTGGTGCATTGGCTAGGCATTTGAGCACTTGCGCAGCGGCTTGTACCATTCCTGCAAGTCAGAAGCAGTGCAGTGGTGGATCAAGCTGAGAGAGGTGGACCACGGATCTCGCTCCGTGATCGATATATCGTGCTCCGGTGATATCGGCGCGAGAAATTGCATCTGCAGACCCCTATGCAACTTCCTGCAGGGCCAACTTCGGGTTTGAGGGTCGTGCAACACTGAACTGACAGCTGTTGTGCCGTCTGTATTTTGCAAAGAGGGAGTACGCATGCGGCTTACATCAGTGTCACGAAGCTAAACCTTGCGAGAACAAGATTCCGCGGTCACTGGTTGCGCCGTGATTGCAACAACGGGTTCGTCATAAATCAGGTATTATGGTTTGGAGTCGCAGAGAACAGAGCCTCATCTTTTGTTGCTTGCTTGCAACAACCTCCGAATCCCAACCATCCTCCTGAAGACCCTGGTCGGGCTAAGGCACGGGTAGTTTAACGAAGACCCAACCAACCTCCTGGTCAATTCCAATTCGGGATCCTGATAGGCTCTATGTTTATGCGACAAAGCGTCTTGCAGGAGATTTCTCACATCACAATTTGTGGAGCCATGCAAGGAGAGTACATTTATATGAACGCACATATTGCTAAAGTTTTTCAGTACTGAAAATTTGAGTTATCAGTTCTACCCGAGTGTCGTGCCGCTCTACGTACTACTCGAAAGCGTCGTCTAGACTAAGTAAAGCTTACAGTAGGCCATATGATGGCTGGTTTAGCGAAATTTGTTAAGCACATTATGAACCGGGAATGAATGCTGCGCGTGATCCACGTCGGCTTTTTCGTAGCGTCACTTATGGGCTCAAGACAGGTAAATATAGACCCACACACAGTTGTCCATGTGGCATCTAGGAAATGGACTCAAGTCTGACGATGTGGAAACGCTGGGCGACCTCCAACGAAACCAAGCGCATTCGCCGGAAAGACATCGTCACTGCAGCCGGAGGAGGTGGTGGTGATGATGATGATGATGATGATGATGATGATGATGATGATGATGCAGCGTCCCATTTGAACCCCCACCCCAGCCATGTTGTTTGAAGCTTGAGAAATCCTCCTACGTTCTTTCCCTTGAACTTAACTTAGAAGCTCTGCGCGATCCTGCTCCAGGGATAGTGGAAAGGAAGCCGTTGACCCTTTCGACGAACGTTTAGCCAACACGGTCATAGTGGATTTGAGGACCCCTCAAAGACCGGCCTCTCTATTTGGCTTCTACGCGGTCACGGTCTTGCGGTGGCCCTACCAGAGTAACCAGTGACTGGCTCTCTTTACCCATGCATGCAGACGCGGGCCCCAATTCGACTTTCACGTATGTACAAGGACTCGGAGCTCAATGCGATCAACTCGACGCTTCTTCTTTTGATTGTTTTCTTTGCTTATTCTCCCCCCAATGCCCAAGGTCTGTCACTTTTGGTATTGTTTCAGAGTAGAAGCTTTTTTGACCATCCGTACCGTACCCTGATCTCGCGGAAACGGGGGCAGAGTGCGCATCCACTCATTTTGGACTTGGATAGCAGTGCAACCCTGTGCAAGCCTCAACCCGATCAACCGCAGCGCACTTTGACGGAAAATACCCGACTTCGACATACGTGGGATAGGGGTTGCAGCTTGGCTCTTGAATGTTGTTCCAAATTCATCGCATGGCCAATCTACCTACCACCGACCAAGATTTTCAGAAGAGAAATCTCACCACAGGTCACTTATGAGAGAGTCATTGGACAGCGACGGTCGAAGCGATAGCTCAGAAATTCGTCCGAGGTTTCGAAGGCCCTGAGTGGGACGAACTGGGGGCCATTTATGCTGTTTGACCTGGAAACACAGGCAAGAACCTTGACCATGGCAGCAGAAACACGGAACAATGCTGCTCATGCTCAGACAGGCCTCAACGCAAGCACTGACACAGACGAATCCGGGCAGCAGAAATTCCATTTCGATTTCTCGCCGTCCTTGACCACAAACAACAATTGGCATAGCCATCGTCAAAACCACAGCTCATCCAAACTACCCGCTTTTCGCTTTGCAGACTTGCGCAAAGAGAGTTTGGCGCTCCCGTCATTGCTGAACCAGGGCACCGGAATTCCACCTTCGCCTGTCTCACCTTTTGACACGGATGCTGACGCCAGTCCCAATCCCAATCCCAATCCCAGTCCGAGTCAGGATCGAGGTCAAGACCAAGACCAAGACCAAGACGCGGCACGACCACGCGCAGCATTGCATTTGCATGCCTTGAGAGAAACCAGTCAAGATAGCAACACCACGCGAGATAATAACAACAGCCCCCCCCGCCAGCAATTCCAGCTTCGGCAACAGAACAGTTACCACGGTCCCGTCTCCCCCGAACTAACACCCACAATTGCGACTACCGCGCACCAGCACATCGCGTCTCCAGACAGAAAATCTGTTCCAGCTTTGTCTCGGGCCGCGACATTCCAGACCCCATCCAAACCAGCACCCGCATCCGCATCCGCGACACGTCCCGTCGATTTGACCAAGCGATCCGTATCGCTGGGTGCGACGACAGCCCTTGCGCTCAACTCCCAAGCCGCCGACAGTCCCAGTCAGTCTGCGTCGGGCTCTGCATCGACGACAGTGCCCACTCGACCTCAACAACGCCGGGCGCCTTCCTATAGCGAGACATCGTCCGCATTGCGATCAAGGCGACGGTCTTCTGCAGGCAGTCAAAACGGCGCTCCAGGCGACCAAGTCAGGAGCGCGAGCGCGTCAGGACAACGGGAACTATTGTTGCCCAAAGCCCTGCAGAGAACAGATTCGGATGGGAAAAGAAGTTCCATAACACGACGACCACCTGTATCTTACCGGCCCTCGTTGACTTCTAGGCCTTCTTCAGGGGGAACGGCTAAAATCCCACCAATTCGCAAGTTCCGATCTTCTGGCGACCGACAGAGTCTAGGACTGGATATAAGCCTACGGTCCCCCAGTATCTACGACGACAGTCAGGAAGATCCTGGCCACCGCGACTCAACTCTAAAGGCGCTGGAAGGCAGGCGCGAAAGCGATAGCTACGAAGCAACACCACCCGACTCTGCTACCGAACCAATGGATGCAGACGACAGCGGCGACGTATTTTTGAAGATGGCGCGTGAAGAACCAGAGCCTCAAAGCGCAGCTGTGAGTACGCCCAGCGCCTCATATCCCCATGTCCGAAGCCTTTTTTTTCCTCGTGCACGACCCAATAGCGGTTCCCACACACTCTTGGAGTTGCCCTCAAACCTTCCCCCATATCCATGTCCATTTCGTCCTGACCGGACCCTTCAACGGTCAGGGTCTTAGTCTGCCGCGCCAGCAATGGGATCGGCGCCTCCCCTCAGATGGCTGCGCTCAGGCGGTTTAGCCTCACTAGTTTATTCCAACTCTTGCCAGGCACTTGCCACCATTGCCGTACCATCTCGTAGTTAATACTGTCGATATAATAGTTATATTTGCAGCACCATTACTAACGTGAAAGCAGGCACGAGTCATAAAATCTACACATAGACGACCACTGTCTTCTGTGATACCGACTTACCAACCCATGTCTCCACCTGATTTATCTCGTCGTCTGTCTGAGCAAGACAGTCCGAGGTCAAAGACTGTTACCGACGGGCAGTCAGCCGGGGGAATAGCAAGGGCTTTGACGTATCGAAGTCCTCTAAGCGGAAACACCTCCGAGGTGAAGGGTGCCGGCACCAAACCATCAACGCTTACTCCACGCACTCTCACCTTTCAGGATGCGTCTACAGATTCAACTTCTGCATATGGTCGTAGGAGGCAGTCTATTACAGATAACGCCACTGCAATGCCTTCGCGCATGTCCTCTATCAGGACTTCTGGTATAAGCTCTGGTCGCACCTTTAATTCTTCGCCCCTGGTGCCCAAATCTGTGGACTTTCAAAAACAAGACACACCACAGGGTGATCACCATACGGAATCGTCGAACTCAACAGCAGCACCGTCTACGGTTTGGGATGAGCTTGATGACCTCAAGTCGCGGATTCACCGACTTGAACTGACTGGAAAGCTTCCGGCCACGTCAGGGGCTGCCATTTCCCGGGCAACGGATGAACGGCCGCCAACTGCCAATACCAACGCCACAACAATGTCTGGGTCTCCTAAGCGCAGCTCTGGGAGTGCAGTTGCTCAAGCAGATAACGTTAGCACTGTCTCTTCGTCGTACGGGTACAAGGAAACCCAGCCTCTGCTCCAAGCCGCCATGACAAAATCGAAGCCCTTCTTGGCACCAGATGTTTATAGCGCCTTGGAAAGCGCAGCTTCTGAGGTTATGCTGCTTTCGACTATGCTTGGTAAAGCTGGCGAGCCAGGCCCCGTGTCGAGCGCTGTTAGCAATGTTGGCACTCCTGCTGTAACCGATAGGCAACTAAGGAGGAAAACGGAAGGCATTTGTCGCAGTCTCACGGAACTTTGCCTTGCACTCAGTGAGAACGCTGCCCAAGTCAAGCAGCTGGAAGTTACTGTACCGATTCCAGAGAAAGAATCTATCGCCAGTCCGACGATTATGAGATTTTCCAATGCCGGAGCGCAACGTCGCCCGAGTGCTCTACTGGATCGCAGTCCGGCATCCGCTGCTCCTAGCCCCAGAGCAATGTCACGACTTGAGGAGAGGCGTAGCAGCATGCTCTTGAATAGTGCTCTTCCCAGCCCAAGCGCTCGGTATTCTTCTCAAATTCCTAGCTCACCTTCCGATATTCCCAGTCGCCGAACGTCATTGTTGATACCTCGTGCCCGTAGAGCCGGGACCGAAGAACCGGAGAGTATGGCTGGGCGCCAATCCTCATTGCTGTTTCGAAATCGCCGTGCTGGAACTGAAGAGCCTGAGGAAATTTCAGGCCGCCGGACCTCGATATTAAGGACACGTCGCGGCACCTATGATACCGAGGAGGAAGAGCCTACGGCTCGATTCAGAGCTCCTTCAAGGGCAATTACTGAATTCACTGCCGGTCGCCCTCCAGCGACGCGCGATTTCAACCCACAGATCCCGATTCCTTCTATCGAAACGACTTCTCTGGGTAACTCTGCACTCCCAAGACGGCGATTAGGCTCGTCCACTGTCACTACTCGTCTTATCCAACCATCTACAAATAGTAGTCTTGCCACTCGGCGATACTTGGAGAGGACTACACCGGATCGCGAGGCCAATAATATCGCTGAAAAGCTGGCGGAAGAACGTGGCCAGAGATCTTTCTCTTTCGCCCATAGCAACATACATTCGCGTACCAGCAGCATTTCTCGGAGAAGAGAAAGCATGCTGAACAACTCGGTAACCGCGCAACCCGGCGGATATCGATAACGATTTACACGACAATTACGCGCACTCATAAATGTGTAATAAAATAGATCTTCCTTTGTTGAGACACCTGAAACGACATTGACGTTCATGCATCATTCAGGAGTTATTGCAGGGAAACCTTGCCTTGGATTGCCCTTTTCATTATTGTCCTTAATACCCACATCTTGCAAGACATTTCATATGTTCCTTTGTTGGAGGGGTCAGCGTCAGCATTCGTCATTACTTTGTATCATAATTGAAACATGTAAATATGTGTAGGGGAAGGCAGGAAAAGGCACCATATACTTGGTCAGCCTAGGTCGCTTTATACCAAACGAGGTTCCCATTTTCGGGCGAGGTCAGTCAAGGAATTGGTTGACTTTGTGTGTATAAGATTCCGGATCGGTAAGAACGCCCCTGTAACCAGGATCTGGTTTCAGAGTTTCTCATCACGTCAGGTCAGCATTCGATGGAATCAATATACTGTATAGATAAAAAGTTCTGGATGGCTAGCAGCAGGTGTAATGAATACCATACTTTTCGAGTGTACATATGGATGAAATGGGCAGTGAGCATAGACTGGGCTGCATAAGAAACACCAAATGAATCATGATGATTCGATTGAGTCAAACTACAATAATACCCGCGTAGTCCCCTCTGCATATAAATTTGTGACTCGGGCTTGCTGGAAAGCACGGATTGGTTGCACGCTAAGGTTAGTCAGATAATACTTTTTAGGAGCTTTTTTTAGCCCTCTAAATTGTGCCACTACAAACGCTGCCCAAGCTTCACGTCACCTTCAGTTTTATATTCACTTGGCTAACACCACAACAAAATAGACATCACACTGTGGATCGCCGATGCAGATCCTGTGAAAACCATCTCAGACTGGCTGCACATATTCCATCCCGAGTATCTGCACGCTTGCCATACTCGTGTTTGTTCAACAGCACGATTTTTGCGACAGCTGTGACGCCTCAGTCTTTCTTCACCCCACATCCTTTTCTACTTCTTCTGAGACGAACGTCCCAACAACAAAGTCTCACAAGCAAACACAACAAGCTCACGCACTCCGCACTCCACCGTCAAGAATTCACAATGGCTGCAAACGACGAGTTTGCAGATACTCAAGACCAGATGGAAACCCTCACCCTCAAGGGCAAGCCTGATGGCCGTGGCCGTGGAGCTGGCGCTCCTAGACAGCCCAAAGCTGCTGGTGGCGGCGGTGCAAACGACTCAAAGCACCGTGAATTCCTTATAAGCAAGGCTCTCAGTTTGCTTTTGCGACACAAGGCTGCTGAGGCTGGTATCGAGCTGGACAGTGAGGGCTTTACTCGCTTGGACAAGGCAGTAAGTAAACTTTTTCCGTTCGTTTTGTCCTACGACATTATTTCACCAGACGGCTATGTATCATATTTAAGCCATATTGGATTTTACCTTCCTTGTTTAATTTTTGTACAAAAGAATTATGAGTATTTTGAATTTCAACACAAAGAAACATGGTTTCAGACAACTGAGAACCGCTTATTTTTGGTGGTCACAGGAGACTCGGCGATAAATCCCAAGAGGCTTCTCGTGTTCTTGGAGATAGGTATTTTCAGTGCCGCGCTTTTTATTTTCTTATTTCTTCGTTGTAAACCTTTTTTTATGATGATTGAAGAATCGGCGATGTTTCTTGAACGCCTTTTGTCAGCGATTTGAGACTTGTACTGACCATCTCAACAGCTCCAGTGGCAGAGACTGAAGAGTCTCAAACCCACCTTCGCCGAGATCAAGGCTGTCGTCTCAGACAATGCCAAGCAACGCTTTCACATGAAGCCTACTCCAGGATCTGACGACCCGGACTCCACCAACCCGGCTGAATGGCTCATTCGCGCCAATCAAGGACATAGTATCAAACTCGATAGTGAAGGTCTGCATACACCCATTACGCTTGAGGCTGGTAACATTCCGGACGTCGTCGTCCATGGCACCTACTTCGCATTTTGGCCCAAGATTGTCGAGAGTGGTGGCTTGAAGAAGATGACCCGCACCCATGTCCACTTCGGTACAGGACTGCCCGAGGATGGCAAAGAGGGCTCGCAGGTTCATGATGAGGCCGATGAAGTCGCTGTGGAGGCTACCAAGGAGGCTGAAAGACCGAAAGTCATCAGCGGCATGCGAAGCGATGCCGAAGTCCTTGTCTTTGTCGATGTCGCAAAGAGTCTCGAGGACGGCGAAATGAAATGGTGGCTGAGTTCCAATGGTGTTGTCTTAACAGAGGGCAATTCGGAAGGCGTGGTCCCCTTGAAGTATGTCAAGGAGGCACGAGGCCGCAGGCAAGGTGTGGGTGAGCTCTGGAAGAATGGTGAGAAGGTTGCCGATCTTCTGCCTTCTGTTGTGGCTAGAATCCCGATGGGTAAGAATCGACATGGCCGTGGTAGCAAGGGTGGCCGCAGAAGTGGCGTGAAAAGCGCTGCTTAGAAAGCTCGTTGATATGATACCATCTTCTCGGCCATCTTCGGCAGATTGTACAGACCATGAAGTTTGTATCACAGTCTCAACATAGAGTAGACTGAACTCCAGACCATGAAGTTTGCATTGCAGTCTTAACACAGGATCGACTGAATAATGATAAGTATCGAAAATCCACGGCCTTTGTAGATCATTTGTCACACATAAATGTTTGCATCATGTCACACAAGCATTGTAGAATTCCAGCACGGACCGTGGCCTCCCTCCATCCTTACACTTCTGTTGCATGATTTTTGGTACTCATTCTTGTACGATAAGAGTGAGGGGGGTGTCCCGTGATTGGCCGCTAGGTCACCATCCTGTTGTTTGTTGCTGCGCCTTCTCTTGAGTCACACATTGACTCAAACCAACACTATCAAGCAAACTCGTAATATCTAACAATCTCAACTGTCTCTAACAAGAAATAAAGCATCTTAGCTAAGTGGAATAGCGCCAGGCTCATATGGCAATCACATTCAAATGTGATTCGCCAGTGCGACCTGGAGGTCACAAGATCGAAACTTGTAGATGCTAAAAAGGATTTCTTTTTTTGAAATTTCTCGGCTTGTTCTTTTTTTATTCTTCTCCCTTTTGTACTGTTACAAGTACTAGGAGATAAAAGACATACGTGAAAATGAAGGATGTAAATAATTTTAATGGCATGGTGTTCCGTCAATATTGTGGCTTGGCGTCGTAGGGTAGTCGCCAAAGAGGGTACAAGGGTATATTTCTGGTGAGTGATACACTAGAGGCCTTACCTCTAAATGCACCCGTCTACTAGTTACGGTCATGTTTGACCTCTAGTAACTGAGCTTTATATCACCTTCAGGCATAGACCTGGAGGTGGCCCTTCGATTTATTCGCCGAGCGGTCTTGCTGATCATCTGCTAATCAATTGCTACCTTGCTTCCATGACTACCTTGGCTTGTGATGATAAACAATCTTTGAAACCGCCTACTCGCTATGAGCAATATTCATTTCTTTTCGTCCTTGCTCTTCTTGACTCATCTTGTACCAAGATAATCTAAGCGATTTCACCCAGAGACGTGCCTTGTGATATCGCATAACGCAAAGAAAGGCTCCAGTACTGGATTAGACAACAGAAGTGAACGAAATCCCCATGAACCGAAGTCCTGAATAGTAGAGAAACTATTTTAATCTAAATAAATAGTCGAAAGTTCTACCCAAGGAGACCAGCCGGTTGGCTACCACAAATATTCTTAATAGCTCAATGATTGATTTTGTCCTAATCAGCCCGGATACAATCACACCGGCCTCATCTTTCAACCAAGGTGAAATAGTGACATAGCTATTCCATGACTTTGTTCGTATATTGTCATCTACTTATCAATTTATATTACTGGGATTATCTTACTGAATTCAGGTAGTGCCTTCACGTCTCTTGAAAAACTCTCTATCGCTTTAAAGCTCAATATCATGCTCCATCGTAATATGCTGTATTACCATAAAGTGGCCCTAGGATGTACAGAACAGATATATAGTAATAAACAAGAAATCTTTACCAGAACCGATAACATGCAATGGCTCAATTTCTAAGATTTCTTTGTCATCATCTCCGACTGCTGTTTTTATTCATACCACCATTTCTTCAAGCTTTGATTGATCACTTCAAATTACGTCTATGTACAAGATGATTGGAATGCGACTCATTGAACTGATCACATCAGCTTTGTAGAAATAGTTCACTGGAGCTCTACTCACGAGGCAAGGATAAGACATCCGAGTTTTTCCCTAGGGTCCTGATGTTCGACATCTTGCCATTGCAGATCAGCCCAAACTCCTGTTTGCCGATCTCGCTGCCACGGATTACTGATGATCAGTTGATTCATCGCCGTCTGACGACTATTTGTCGGCAACGGACGATGGCTCCAAGCATGGTGGGCTTCAGATGCCCAAGCCAGTATTATTGCTGGATTGGCAGCTCTCTGGTCCGGCAAGCTACATGTCCATAGCTGTAAGCGGTAGTACAGGGGTTTTCTACCCCTTCAAGCTCGGATTTGTGTTGTGCTGTGAAATAGGACGTATGTCCGCAAGCATGTGAAAGCGGCCGCGGCCAGCATAGGTAGGAACACGTGTAGCTGTTCAGAATCTGTGTATATCGTATTTCATAGAAATGCTACTGAATTTGTTGGTGAAGCTTCATGTGTTTTTGCCATGTGAATTAGGCTCGATGTTTTCGGTGAAAATTGTGATTCGACTTTAACATGGCATATTAGTGACGGCCCTGGTTCCTCGGTACACGCGACTCTAATCGAAAATGACCATAATAACAAAGTGTGTGTCAGTGCATACACTCCATACATTGAAACATCAGCACCAAACAACCTAAGTTTTGACCGACAGTTGACTTTGATTTATTATCAAGCTATTTAGAGGCAACTCCTATGAAGCCTTCCGCATATTAGACAAGATTTACCCAACGTTGAAGTAGAAATCTGACTCAAAAGCCATGATACGCAGTCATCCGTATGGCCAGGATCATGCAGAAGTAATTAGCTTGGCTTTTTGCTGCCACGTCACAAGTCATATCTATATCCATCGTCAGTGATAGTGCAAATCCGGATTTGCCCTGAAATTGCAACGACACCGACACTCCGGTACCGGGCACTCAGCATGTCTCGCAAACCACTGCCTTGCGTGATCCAAATGCAAGACGTGCTCACACTTCAAGCAGAATGTTGGAAATCTCGTCGCGGCTCTCTTTTCGGGGTCTGCTCCAGGATTTTCGCTTCTTGGGATACCAACAACCTCTAAGCAGACGACACACCTCGGCAGATGCCGTCCACAGTTGGGACAGCTCACCCCAGCATTAACATTCGGTGCCATAAGAGGATTTCTGTGAGCACCGGCGGCGGATGGGCCCATGGTTCCCATCTTGGAAAGCTCGTATTCGGCGTCACAGAAGACGCAGCGTAGTGCAATCTGACGTGAGGGCGGCTTGACCGTTGGAATCCCGTCGCGTTTGCTTCGCTTGGTGCTCTCGACTTCAAACTTGGTGCGTTGATAGTATGCCTTGTGCCGCTGCAAGTACGCTCGGTATGCGTTCCGCCAAACAAGACAGCGATAATCGTCAATATAACGTGGAGCACAAATGGACATGACGAGGGTTGCCGTTTGTACATCGAAGAATTTCTCGACATAAGTAGCGAAGATGTCGATCATCTTGTCGGTAATACCAGTGAGCACTAGGCCCTCAACGTCGCCTGTGGAAATGCATTTTGTGACCACTCCATCAAGCCACTTGGTAAGTTTCTCGTCATCCATGTAGCGCAAAGCTACGTATGTCCGTTGTCTGAGCGGGAGTGATTCTTGGTTGGCGATGGTCTCCCAGTCATTAGTAGCGATCAGAGAAGAGATTGCCCGGAGGTAGGGATCTGTCTTAGAGGCAACCGCATCGTCGAAGTCCAACTGCCCTCTGGCAAGACCAGGATCGTTCCCAATTAGTTGCAGTGCAAGTGATACGAATAATAGCTCCGGGTGTTCGCCACTGGCCTTCTTCAAAGTCTCAACTGCTTGGTCAGTTTCACCAGCGAAGAGGTGATGAGCAGTGGCCATGGTATGCCACGAAGGGGCACGTTCCGATACTGGAGTCGCTTCGTAATCTGCCCAGGTCATCTGAGGAGATCTTCCCCAACCACATATTCTGATGCATATTTGTCTATGTGCCGGCCATGCTGAATCGACAGCGTCGTATTCCGGTAAGCCCAATCTATGATTTATGGACTTCAGGGCTGATTCCCACTTTGATCGTGAAGGAACTGATGCTCCTTGGGGAAGTCTCGTGCCACTTTCCTTGCCTGTAATTGTAATTAGATTAGCTTGGGATTTGTGCGATCCTCCATTGACGAACCTAGATCATTTGCCCATATTGTACTGACACCCATGTAGCTCAGGTCTAAGCCATCAGCCGTCATACCGCCCTCGACATTATCATTCTCGGCACCTGTTGTTTTTAGTAAACGATAATATTTCGACTTTAAGTCTATAGTCGAAAGCTTACCATGTATCCAGTCCCATACATCTCTGAGCCACGGATCGTCCGAGAGGACATCTCTGTTGACCGTGGGGTCAAAAAGGTATCTATTTTTAGCACGGAGGAGTAGAATGTGATCCAGTACAGCCTGACCTTCCTTAGACAGGCCACGAGCATCTATGTTTTGAGACAGAAGCCGCTCATGTAGCTGGCGATTGGAAGGCGGCTCTGATCGCCGTGCCGCTAGCTCCTCCATGCTTTGCGTCAAATCCTCAAGGCGACCCTGCGACTGGCCAGGTTTTGTTCCAACGATCGCTCTTTTCGAGGCTTGTCTCGACAACTCACGCAAGGCTTGCAGCTTCTGAGCAGTTGAGATTCCTTTCGAGAACGAGTCAGGCAGCTCACCACTGATGGCCATGGTGTCTTCTGTGTGGTCTTGCGAAAACGTATGGCGGGGCTGGAGAGCCCTCATTATTAGCCTCTCAACGTCGGCTTTATGATCGCCAAAAAGAGGAATGTCAGAGATGACCTGTTGGATAATTGCTGCACCGAGCATGACAGGAGTCTGGGATTTCTCGAAGTCCATAAGACTATGATAGCTGGTGCCCTCTGCATACCATTAGCTTTTAGGTGCAACTTTCTTGCATGGAAAGACAAACCGTTCAAACCACGATAGGGTGCCTGCCATGGAACCATCTTGTAAACATGATCTGTAGTGTAATGTGGTACTTCAAGAATGTCGAAATCTCCACTATGGCGGAGAACCAGTACCCTTGGCGTGAGCGCAGGAGAATCCAGGTTGACCCAATCGAAGGAAACGATCTTATCGTTCCTTTTGTCTTTATTGGAGTAATCAGGATGAAGTTCATGAGACCTTCGTACTTGCAAGAGCTCTGGACTGCCCTCATGCTCCACCTCTTGGCTAGTGAACTCTTTCTGAGTGTCGACCACTCTGAGTTGTCCTGTACGCGATAGAACTGCCAATAGTCCGCGGCGGTCCCTGCAGAATCTTACAGATCGTATCAAAGAGTTTCTCTCATCGTTGTCTTCTGGATCCAGATCGACAGCTCTGTTAATTTTTAAAGCAGCACCCCAAGGGAGGTTGTCTTTATCCACGGCATCGAGATATACCTGTGACGACGACGAACGGGAGGTGGCGCGACGGTCCCATACCACCACGCCAGCGTGATCTAGTGCCGTAGAAGCAAAATAGTTCTGATCGGCATAGTCGATGGCAATATTGTTATTCAGCTTCGTCTGGTAGTTGATGACTGATCCATGCTGGTCTGTATTTGTAGTTAGTGTGTTGATGCGACAGATTGGCAATCAGGTATAGTTACCTCGAAGATCGTAGACTCTTATCCCCTGATTTTTAATTCCTACTGCAAAAGTCTGAGGACTGTCTTCGAAGAACTTGACGCTTGAAACAGTCACACTAGGTTCAAGGCGCTGAAAAGGCTCAAGAGAAGCTGAGGTGTCAAGTGGGAAGCCTACCACGTCTGGATCCAGTGTAGAGACGCGGTTGATGTCCCATATGTGCAGACATTGATCGTTTCTCACACGGTCCAAGCCAACGGCTAACAAGTTTTCCGTACTGAAGGCGACCGCATGACAAGGACGGGCCATTCTGACCTTCAGTTCCATAACAGAGTTGGCGTTGTCATCAATGCGCAAAAGCTGGACGTGACCTAGAGCTGTTCCCATGGCCACAAGGCCAGGTATGGAAGGAGCCCAATCATACGTGGTGAGGAAGAAAGGGTACTCCTCGTGTCTGTACAAACGTCTAAAGTCGAATCGATCACGATTCGCATGACCAGTTGCATTATATGCCTGTACAAAGCGCTGCTGTAGATTGACATGAATAAAGGTATCCTGCGACGGATTGGGGGACCATTTGATCAGCCCGGGTTCAGGGCGCTCCATCATGGCTCACAGCGCACACTCGACAGCGTGGCTGTCGTTGTGTTATTATGTGAAGCGCTGTTGGTCGGCTCATAGGTGGATGAACGCTTGGCGTACAAGCTCCGACGCGATGAGTGGTGAGTAGTGAGCACGACTCCGATGCGCGCAAGCAAGATACTCACTCCGTGGAGTATATGTCGCTTATAGTGACCGGCCTTTTGTATAGCCCACATCAAGAAGCAAATGCTTCATTGATCGGGACATGCCGAGCAGTTCGATGATGATTAATTTATTGTGACTTGTCCCAGACTTCTGTTGCATCGTCTCTGCTGAGCTGCACAGACAGCTGTCGGCATCTTGTTCGGCACCTGTCGGCGAGCACCGTGGCTGGCAGCCTTATCAAGCTTATCGCCGCCCCGCAGACCTGCAGACCCCATCTTTTTTTCTTTGAAGATTGGAAGTCTGGGTCCTGCCGGTCGGGAATGCCTTCAGTTTCTCAATTCTCGCCCCTAGGATATTCCACACTCAGGCTCAGACTCAGTGCGACGCCTACCCGAAATCACACGGACAAAATGAGCAAACCCAAGAGGTCCTTCTCAGACTTCAAGGCTGAGTCCTCTGAGGACGGTCAGCTTGGGTCGCAAGAAAAGGCATTCCGCGAACACACAACCAAGCGACAGAAGAATAAGCAGGGCAGCAAGGCTGCACCACCTCCAAAGAATCTCAACGAAACAAAGAAGCGTGCGAGGAATATTGAGCGCCGTCTACGCATTGCCGAAAACTTGCCAGCAGACATTCGTGTTAACCTTGAGCGAGAGCTAGTCCATCTGAAGCTGAAGATTGACGATGGACAGGAGGAAAAGAAGACCAAGAAGATGATCTCGAAATACCACATGATTCGATTTTATGGTACGCACATGCTTGTCGCTACGAAATCAGCTCAAATTGATCCTCTCGCTAATCTTGTGCCACTAAAGAAAAACAAAAAGCCGACCGACTAGCCAAGCAAATTGAGAAACAGATCCAGAGCACGGAAGATCCAGAGGAGATCAAGCAGCTGAAGCAAGATCTCCACACTGCACAGATCGACAGTCTGTACGCCAAGTTCTTCCCGCTGCGGGAAAAGTACATCAGCCTCTACTCAGCAGCCGTGAGCAACCCAGATGCGAAAGAAGACGAGGAAACAGCATCGGGCAATGCAGCTGCAAAGTCGCTGAAGGCTGAAAAGCCCAAACTTTGGGGCGTCATAGAAAAGGCGGCAAAGAAGGGTGTGCCAGCATTAAACGAGCTCAGAAACCGCAAACTATCCAACGATTCCAGAAGCAAGGCACCCAAGGAGCGTCCTTCAAAGCATTCTTTTGCGGCAAAAGCACAAGTCATGGCAGCCAAGAACCCACTTGTCAAAGGTCCCAGAACCACGAAAGCTGGTGATGGGAGAATGGAACTCAAGAACCCTGGACAAAAGCCGAAGCGCAAGGTTGAGGATTCGAGCGATGATGGCGATGATAGTGATGGCGGTTTCTTTGAGGCAGCATAAAGAGTGGACATGGACACGGCGTTTTGGTAGCATTGTTTGATACCCAAAGACGAGATAGATCGATGCCGATCGGAGTACATAGATCAATGATCCTAAGCACATCTCAAGTCAATCCGAATTAGAGGTTGCCTAATCACAAGTGCAGCAATAATGATCTGTTCAAATGGGAGCTTTGGTGTTTTTGTTTGGTGGCCTACGAGTGCTGACATTTATACCTGCTTTCTTTGCTACCCTGTAAGTCCAAAGTGCCGAAGTGAACATGGAGCCCGGGCCAGATGCGTTACCCACGGAAAGCCTGCTGATCAGCCCATGTACTTCTTTTCGCTGTTGATTGCGCAAATGCCACTTTGCTATAGTCTGTTGTAATTGGTCATGGTAACAGTGGCTGCAGCCTTCCAAACCAACATTGGTACTGTGTTCGGGCGATTTCACTGCCCCGCCTCCTCACAGTTCTATACTCTTCATCCGTCTCGACCCAGCCTGAATTCAAAAATATAGGCTCATGCGACGTTGCGAGTTGTGATCCAAGAAGGTAGAAAGATGGCAGTCTCATCATCCACGTATCAAGATATAATAGACTGGGCGCTATCCCAGCAAAACCATGAGGCTACCCACGGCCAGCCAGCCCCTCTCAACCAGAGCCAACGGAAGATGGTGCTTGATCTGCACCAAATCATCAAGCCAGTACCACAGTTACTTACGGCACCCGATATTGGCGATACAGACTGGGTGAGTCTGTTGTACCGTAAGTTGCAAAATATCGAACAACCTATCTACACACAAATCTTTTTTTCATACTAAAATATTGTCCCCAGGCTACAGACAATCGAAGCCGGGCACAAGCGATATCACCTTCACGGAGCAGCAAGCCGTGGAGTCCACGGTGCGACAGCCCTGCTGGAACGTCTTCGTCGCGCTCGAGGAGCACCCGGACGAGCCATTTCCCCTCACATCATGGGGAAGCGCGGCGCTGCCCTCCTTCGTCCGCAAGAAGGACGCCCGGCAGTATGCGGCCAAGTGCGCCGCCGAGTGGCTCATGGCGGAGAGGCTCATGCCCGACAACGGCCGCGACGTGACCTTCCCCAGGCAGCAAAAGGTGGCCCCCGTCGTTTCGGCGGCTCCACCGGCACCTAAGAGGCAGAAGCTCGCGGCTGCCGGTGCTGCTGCAACTCCTCCCGCATCCACAGCCCTGAGATCGGCGGCAGCTGCGAGCTCGTCGTCACCTGCGAAGCAAGAGCCGAAAGCCCCTGCCGAGCCAGATATGGACATGGATGAGGATAAGGCAGTCAGCCAGGTTGTCCAGCTCTGCAAGGAGCTCGGTATGCAGCTGCCGGTGTACAAGATCAATCGCGAAAACGGGGACTTCTGGGGCGGCCATGCTGAGTTCGACCGCACCGCCTCTGGCGCTGACTTGCCGCTCAGCGTGGGAGAGGTCACCGGGGTTTACGGGAGCAAGAAATCCGGTAGAGAGGCCGTCGCTGGACAGCTCCTCAAGGCCTTGAGAAAGATCAAGGCGGATCGAAAGGCCATATATGACGAGCTGATAAATGATCTGGGCTTGCCGGGCAGTGCCGCTTGACGGGTGGGGCCTATGTGGTGTGTTGCCTCCAGCAGACTAGGTAGGCAACATCAAAGTATTGGGCTAAGGATGAGACAATCGAAGTGCATACAAGTCCCTCCAAGCAGGCATTGCGAGAGACTGGGAGACAAGCTCGACAACAAGGGCTGTATACTAAGTTTGACCACTGCATGGCCGGCCCAAACGGCTAAGGTGCTATTCACAGAGGCGGTTATCGACACTCTGCAGGAGCGCAAGGGGAGGCAGACTCTGAAAACCACAAAGATGCAGCTGACTAGATTACCGGTAGCGAATTTCAAGTTTGTCGATCTGTTCTGATACATACTCTCACGTCCGAGTTGAATACGGTAATTCAAGTAAAGGACCATCCGTTTGCCCATGATTCACCCAGATGAAAATGCCTATATCGAACCACATACTGCAGCCTCTCTTGACGCCAAAGCACCCGTAAAAAGCAAATCCCTACCCAAACGTCCGAAAATAATATGCCGTAATGTTCACTTCACCACAAAGATCTTACAACCACCGTCTGACTCACATGATGGCACAAGAGGAAGCAACCGTTCTTGCACGGCGTCTTCCGGTGCCGGCACCACCTTCTTCCTCATCTGCATGGATGTTCTGAGCATCCCTAGCCCGACGCCTTCTGCGGCGGTAACCAGCCCCTGAAGCTCCTGCCTCCTCCATGGCTTGCATATAGTCTGCCCACTTGCGTTCCAGTCTACCAGCGGCAGCATAGTCGCCACGAAGGACTCGCTGGGTGTGCTGGTCAACTGTCTGCTGCCAGCCGTAGAAGCACTTCAACCCGATGATCTCAGTAGGATATGTTGGTGTGTTCCCGGACGGTTGTCTGATTTCCGCATTCCACGAGAGGACCTCACGAACTCCTGTCCATGTCACCATCTGACAATCATACACAACCAAGCGAAGACCAATGTGTGGACGCGAATCTCGCCTTGGTGTACGAGTGGCGCGCGATCGAACCATGGCAGCCGCCTCAGCCAATACAAGGTCACCAATCCGTGTGTTGTCCATGTCAATGCTTTTCAAGCTGACACAACTTTTGACGACAGGAAGCATGCCAGTGTCGCTTAGGTTTTCGCAATAGCTGACCGACAAGTGCTCAAGCCTGGGAGCACATGGTGCTTTGGCCAGGTGTTGTGACATGAGATCATTGGTGAGATCTGCAAGATCCTCCAGCTCGAGGTGCGTAAGCCGGGGCGTACTTGACAGAATCGGCTCGAGGGCCGAGTCCGTCAAAGCCGTGCAACCACTGAGCTGCAGTCCCTCGAGGTCAGGAACCATGTGACCAAGTGCCTCCACACCTTTGTTCGTAAGGTTTCGGCAACGGCTGATGTTGAGGTGTCGAAGCTTCCTTGGTGGCATGGTCGGTCTATTGGTAAGTATGTCGATTTGAGGATCAACTCCCCGGATCATGGTCTTCAACGCCTCATCGGTTATATCTGCACATCCGTTCAGAACTAGACGCTCGAGGTTGTTGGTCTCAAAGATTGCCTGGGCCACGTCAAGACTATCGAAACCCTTGATTTCTCCAGCTCGAATGTCCTTTAGCTTTGGGCAAGCAAGGACCACTATTCTAATGCCTTTGGCATCCATATGCTTGCACCAAGAGACATTGAAAGTCTCCAGTTGCGGGCAGTGCTGGGAGATGATTTTGCAAGTGCTATTTGTTACAGCAGGCAAACCAGTAAGATTGAGGTTTACCAGCTTGTCATTGGCTTTGATCAGGCTGTGCAACGTTGACTTCTGAAAGTTTCGGCAACCCTCTAAAGTTGCATTCATGAGGTTTTTGCAGGCCTTGGCGACTACCTCCGCTCGCTTGTAGTGCTCAACTTGCATGCAACCTCGTAGGTTGAGATCTTTAACGAACGGACCTGCAGCAAGAATAATCTTGGCAAGTGACTCGGCAGGGATATTCTGATAGAAGTTGGACGCATCCAGTCTCGTCCATAATTGTCCGTCGAAACAATAATTGTACCACTCCTTATTAACACGAGAACTGCAGACTAGCTCTTTCGGGTCGAGATATGAAAATATGTGGACGCGAATTTCGTCAGGCATATTCAACCAGAAGTCGTAAGGCGGCCTGCGGGCGGCGGTACCGGAACGGGATCGTGTCGTAACGTCGGCCGGCAGCCCGATTGAGCCGGGAGTCAAGCATGGCGTCGACCCATTGCCGATCTTTCGAATACCGAGACGACTTTCGATGCCGTTGAACTCAGGGAACTCGACAATCGGCGTGCCCGAACTTGAAGGATGCGTAGAGGAAAAGTAGTCACCAGAGGATGGGGCTCCCGGGGTATATGGTGCTCCAGGGGTGTATTGCCCAAATGGCGAGTTCGCTGAAAGGCTTACGCAGGACAAGCTGCCTCTTGTTCCGTAAGGACTGGCAGAAGAACGCGATCGGCCTAGTTTAGCTAAAGCCGGAGACGAAGAAACTCGTTGAATTCCTCTGAGGAGTTTCTGACGGCGCTTCTCCTTTGGCGTTCTGGTTCCTTCGATAGGTGTAGCAGTGCCAAATGATTCCTCAATTGGGCTTGGCGGGGTAGTCATCGTCGCCTCTACCGAGACATCCGCCATGATTGCGAAATGCTCAATCCCAGTCAACTCTGTTCTAACCAAATACTTTGGTGGAGCTGCAGTAATTGGTGTGATTGCCGTCAAGTGTGAATGGATAGCGATGAGAGCTCTTCCGGATTTTGCTTAGGTGTTATAGCTTCAGTTGATGCAGTGTAGAATGCACAGTTGCGTGAATACACTCTATAAGTGCGGGGACCGCCTAAGCTGGAGGAGGTTGTGGCCGTCCAGCTTGACGACAAGATCTCCTAGTGAACTGTTTATCCTGCCTGCCTGCTAATCACATTGAAGTAGGTGATTTGAGTTCATTCGACTTCGGGTTTGAAAGGGAACCGGTTTTATCGTTGTACAAGCGAGAGTGAACCTCCAAATAGTGAGGGAGTAAGTAGGTTCTACGTGATGACACTGAAGTGAGAGAGTCGTAGAGCTTGAGAAGCAAAGTAGAAACAGGGTCGAGTTGTAACTGGCCAGCTAAAAAGACCAACCAAAGATTTCCAACCTGGAGCAGATCTGTTTCCTGTTTCGTTTCTAGACTTTGGTCAGCGTTGACTCGCACCCACGGGAAGAGAGATCGGACATGGCGAGTATGGGGACGCTGTCTACTAGCTGAGTGGTCCAGGATTTAGGTTCTCGTACCTAGTGCTCTTATTAGAAGCTGAGTGTTCGCATCCGCACCACTGATACAACGATTATGGTTCAGTGCAGGGCATTTGGTGAAATCTTCAAGATTCGACACGCAGCAAAGAATTTGCACGAAGGAAAGCTCGTAATATCTGTACAGCCTCTCATACGAACTTGGCTCAAAGGCTCACAGCTGACCACTGGGTCTTGCGACTTTCTTATCATGAAAAAGCACGATTTTATCAGCACGAGCACGCCTGTCCCACCCACCCTCCGTTGCAGTGGCCGCTGGACCCGCTGAATGGCGAGACCCTGAATTCCTTGGCGGTAGCTCCTCCACACCACCATCCTTGTCTCCGTTGGCTTGTTGGATCGCCAGTGTGTGCCTCACTGACTTTACCGAATGCGGTGCAGATGCGACATTCTAGGCTTGTGCCCATTGGAGTGTTGGCGGAGTTTCTACTTTTTTTTTTTTTTTTTTTTTTTTCAGAGCTGAATCTACATGATCCGTGGGAGATGAGCGCTCGTGGCACGACATTACAAGTCAACAACGCTGCTCTCGCTATTGCGAATCGGCGCAGAAAAGATGTTGGTTCCAGTGTAACTGAAGTGGGATGATATGCCATTGGAATGGGAAAGCTCCTCAACCGAAGCGGCGCTACGAGCCTGGATAACCACAAGCATTCCTCCCAAAAAGCCGTTACTAACTTATGTACAAACCCAGAAATGGCGCAGACTAACTAATGTCTGCACGAACCGGCCAGCTGATAAGAACCAATCTTTTATTGAGGAGAGTGGCTCGAGAAAACCGGACACATCATTTCGCAATACTCTTTCGTCCTTACACAATAGAACATCACAATAATAACTGTTAAGGAAATCTAAAGTGTGGTTTTGTTCAGCTATTGATCGCCATTACAATGCCCTAATTGTATTAAATTCTGAAATTGTTATGTGTGGTTTTGTGTAAACCAAAACTAAAGCCTTTAGGGGAACATAAAGTGACCTCACCTATGTACGGTTTATTTCGCCCTGCGCGGGGGGGGGGGGGAGAGGGTCCAGGTCGCTGCCACACAAAACCGGACAAGGTTACAGCGAAGGATTGATGCAATTGTACTGCTTACCGCAGGAACCCCAGTACTAAGACCCAGTCTCGCCAGTGAGCTCCAGACAGCCCCAAGCTGGATTCGTTCTACTGAATGTTCTAGCCTGGCCAAGCGATTTGTTCCGCGAAGAGCAGCTGAGAGGCATGAGATGCTTGCCCCGAGGCATAATAGTTCGATGTACCCTAAATGGCCCGCTTGATATTGGCGAGTGGTTTTCTGCGAGATCAAATGCAGGCAAGCACGAAATAGCTGGTCCCTTCGTACATACTGCGCTACTGTACGAGTAGCCTGGGGGCCAACCACACCATCTTCCAGTCTGGCCAACCACTACGTGCGATGGGCCGGAACATGGTCCTGTTGATTCCGAAAGATCACACGAGATCACTATTTCACAATGCCATTCTAGAAGGTCAATTTAGAAAATTTATCTGGCTGTGCTCTAGGAATCTTTCCGAGTCTAAACAAAAGATATTCTCTCTCCCTGTGAGTGACTGAACATCGAAATGACCCCGCAAAATGCGACGGTACGTTGAGCCGATCCATGGGCGGATACTCGGCAGGAAGGCGAGGCTTTTACTGCTATGTATAAGCCCCCTTACCATCCCCCCGCTTTCCTCGAAGCAACAAAGTCTTCTCCACAAAGATACCCCAACTTGCCCGCCCCCATGGATAAGTGAATTTGGGATTGGAGTTGAAGAATAGCGGAGGAGCGAACTTGAATCCTACTCGCGTTTGTCTTTGGAATGCATGGTTGGTTGCATGGGCTTGTTGACGGTGGTATGAGCCAGAATCACATGTGGTAACACTGCGTGAGGTCAAATCAGCAGGATAATTCGAAGATAAGGCCTTGTAGCTTATCAGATCAGCCCAAACCGTCTGACCAAACACAATGCTTTCCCTTGCATTAGCAGAGCGCCTGACCTTTATGGCAAAACGTGCACCTGGCACACAACATTCCCGCCGTTGCATCACGGGAAGCTCAACACACTCACAAGACATCCTTGATAACACATCAATTTCTCCCCACATGCTCGACGGTGTATCTAGTATACGACCGACAACACCTAAGTTTGTCCGTCCTGACTCGTCAAGTGACAATTACGACTCATAAAAGCCACCGATATGCCAAGCCTTCGCATGGAAATATGTGCGCAGCGACATGACTCGTAGATAGCTAACGGTTAAGAGTCCAGGAGACTAACGAACCAGCAGAACAAATCTTTGTGCATACTGTGTATTAGTCAAAAGCTTCAGAGACCAGTAACGAATGCCAACGGTAATGGTGAGCTAGTCAAGGTGAAGTATTATACTCCTGGGAGTTCGCAGTTTCGGACACAGCAGTGTCTGCGTTGCTATACATCACAAACCCCAAGCTATCAATCACAGATAACAAATCAGGCGATATCCGAAAGTGTTGTATCAATCAGGATGCCGAATATTTCTTACGCAATCTTGCGAAGCCCGGAGAGTACCTTGCTTGGCCCATCTAGGGAGAATATATGGTGGAAGTGGAACTCTGTTTGACCGAATCATAAAATGATACTCGAGTCGAGGATTGTGTATAATTTTTGATCTTACCACTTATTATAGAGTGTCAAAGTTTCGAACCCAAGGTAACACGGTCTCTCATTATGATACAGTCCAAGAACTTTATTTATACCTAGAAAATATGCCCAATCACTTGTTTTAATATAATGTAAGACATATTACTCATAAAGTGGAGACTATCAGTCTGCGGTGATAAAGTCGATAGGATGTCGAGCAATCATACTCGTTATTCGACCAACATCTGCTTCGGAGACGTGTTATATGAGGAAAACAGGGTAAGCAGCTCTAAGTCAAAGCTAGGCGAACTATAAATATTGAACCCACGATCTGGTCTTGATGATTTTACAATGATTGTTCTTAATTACCGTCGTGCATCGAAACTGGAAATAATTGTTGGGGGAGAAAAGGAGGATAGAAAGTAGTGCACATTGCGGTTGGGTACTGGAGATGATTTCGGAAAGTCGATATTTCTCAAGACTAAACAGCACACAAGATCACACTATCTTCCTGAGCATAGTAGCAAGGGTTATGCGAATTGGGCTTCAACAGAGAGAATAGGATAACATTAGCCGCTTCCAGATTGCTTGGAAACAACAATTCATTAGGTCAGGGAGTATAGACTGACACAGAGCTTGACAACTGAGCGAGATGACTCGAAGTCCAGGTCCACGTTCACACTGTTCTCGAACATGGCTCCAGTACTACTGAAAAGAGATCCTTAAGATCAATTTCCAGATTGAGCAGTTTAAGGCAACTCCAAGTAGTTTGATTGGACGGACTTGGATGCGCTCCGGCATACCTGTCATTTCATCTGATCTCCCGATGGCATGTGCGAATATAGCTATGATACCATAAATCTTATCAGTCGGTTGCTGCAATGGATGAGAAAAAATATATACCTACTGTAGTACACAAGCGGAGTCATTTGCACCCCCACTGCCTAACATACCAAGTAGATACATTCCGACTTCCCCGGGGTATGCTGTGTGACCGTTTAAACCATTGCAAGCTCAGTAGGCGACCCCGCAACCCATTGTGAGACGCTTCAATCAGAATGCTCAGGAGAACATATATGTGGGACGACGTAGCTGTAATACAACCTTAGCCACAAGGGTTTGATGAATGGTTTTCCGATGGTGTATCAGTTTGTGGCATATTACTCCAAAAACAGCTACGAACTCAGCACGAATAGCACTTGGCGTACATGTGGAGAAAGGAGAAGAAATCGAGCTTCCAAGCCATTGCCTCGTGCCGTTTGGTGGGGGGAACCGTCGAACATCCGACAGTGACATCATACCACTGCGTCCAATTCATCGGAGCGACAAAACTCTCTCAATGTCCATGACGCGAGACTTTGCCATGTGGCCATGAATTATAGTGGGAGTCAATAATTTGACGGGCTTCTAGCGACCGTGCTCTCGTACTACATAATTGTTTATCTAATAAGTTCCGCATCTCTCGACCTTGTTGATCAGTTACGGCCCAACCGTGAAGCTTCTAAGAAGACCCTGAACCTAGCAACCCCACCACGAAGTTTGTACGAGCAAAACCTATCAATCCACTGGATGAGGATTTTACACCAGCAGCAGAGCTCCGGAAAGACGAATCATCCTCGAGGCAACCATAGTGTTTGGTTACTGTAACACACCAGAAGCTGTCCAGGTGCGAAGTCGAGATAGACAAAGATACTCAACCAGGTTTCTGAATGCTTCTACGGATACTCATGTTCGGCGCAGAGAAACCACTGTAACTCTAGCGCGATCAGTTGAATTCCAACGCTGCGCCCCACCTACTTAACGTTCAGAATACAGCACACGCACAGCACTCATCCATGATCCTGGTCTACACCAAGAAGAACTCTGCAAGACTCTTGGCAGTGTTTGAATGAAAGCCGTTGACACACATTCGATCTCATATCTGCTCCTCAACGATTTCGATTTGCCAAGTCCGAGAGCTTGTCTTTATTTTATCGTATTTATAAGTCAACAATAGGACATCGCAGGCCTACTCGTTGCAAGAAGGAGTGCAAGGAGATTACATGTTCCACAACGATTCCCCAGCTTTTTCGCCTCGGGTTTTGACTAAGTAGTAGTCATTCGGCGATGAATACCTGACCTGATCGGGCGACAAATCTCAGCAGGCAGGAAGGTCACTCAATCCTTCTCTTTGGATAGGAAATTTACGATTATTGGTTGCAGCTTGACAACCCTCACTCGTCTATCGAGTCGCTAAATAAGAACCAGGCGACGACGTCCCGTGTGCCCCGGAAGCCTATAAGAAAACGTTCCCCGTCACCTCGCTCACTTGCTCCCTGGGTCACCTTAAACCAGCCGAGTCTTGACCCCGCGCGACGTGTGACCCTGACACTGACACTGACGACCCCCGAAGCCCGCCCAAAAGGCACAGACAGTTTTGGAGTCGAGTCGCGAACCTGGTGCAGAGCAGAGACCTCTGTGTCGGCCGCGTCGATACCGTCGTTTAACCAGCAAGCCTCCCCTCCGTGGAATATCCTCTAACCTCAACCTGTGCGACACCGTGATTTAGGTTATCACCATCAATTATGAAACATATTCATGGTGGAGATCATCAGGAACACGGTAAGTCGAAGAGCAGTCACAACCACCTCCAATCAAGCAAGCGTTGGCGGAAGTACCGCCAATAGACTCTTACCAGCAGCGCACCGTGCCTATCGTTACCGCAGGGGAAGCAGAAACTGACAGAACTCTACCGCAAAAGGCGCCGACAGCGAAAACACACAGCACGATGGAGAACCTCAACGAGGACGCGGTCGGAGTAAGCTCTCACCGACGCTCCAGATCCCCAAGAACCGCAGTACCGGAAATCTCGCCGTGGTGTCCGAGGCGGCAACACCCGAGCATTCAAGGTCGAGAGTCAGGTTCTCGTTCGATGCTGGATCAGGTGTGGACTTTGACTCAATCACGAGGTATGCAACCACCTATTTCATCCTTATCCTCTTTAGGTACAAAGCCATGGTTGCCTCTTGTGTGCCGTCTTCTCCCCTCACATATCACAAAGCTGCATGTCACATGCTGTGCTTCTCAGCCTCCAGGTCAGAGGTCGGCAAGCTGACTGCTCCTCTCACCTATACCTGCTACACAACATGCTCCCGCAGGCTTACTGGGCGGTGAACCCGCCTGGTGATTATGTAAAATATTGCGAAAGTTGTATATACATATCAGCATTAACAATATGGACATAGATCTTCCTTCATAACTGACCACGACCATGGGCTTGGCTTGTCCGGCCTACGACGTATTCGCCAAAATAACCCCATGCGCGTTCCGACCCTTCCGTCATCTGCCACATCGTCCCGCAGTCCTTCAACCAGTATCGCGCGGTCGGCTTCTCTGGTGACCATGATTTCGCCTGGTAATCATATGTCCATGTCAGCTGGTCCCAGCTCTCCGAGTTTCACCGAAGATTTGACACGGTTTCCATCCGAATCGCTCCATTCGTTCTCGTTTGCCCACCAGTCTGAGGACTTTATACAGAACCGTCAGAGTGTTTTGAAACGATCGATAGAGTTTATGAAAGACCGCATGGGCTGGGCTGTATCGCACAATGCTGCGATAGCGAGTGCCCAAGCAAGAGTTACTGGCGATGTGGAAACACAGACCATGCTGGACTTGTTGGCAAGAGCGCAACTTGTTGGTGCAGGAAATCTGCCACATTTAGATACAGATGTAAAGTTTGTACACGGCCCACTTACCGGGCCTGCTGATGTCTCCGGGCAGAATGTGAATGTCTTTGAGAAAGACTTCTTCCCAAGGACGAGCAGCCCAGAACCTTTTTCAACACCCTTGACGCCAATGATCTCTCCAACAGATACCCAAACTGTCCCCATGGAGAGTCTATCCGCTGTCACTACTAGGGAAAGTAACGTATCGCCGAAAGCACATCCTCTCGAGGTTGTCAACGACCAATCAGAATCAGAGAATTCGTCCAGGACACCAACCAACGAGAGCGGAACAACAGCGCAAACCTCACCACCGGTCTCAAGAAAACCCACTTTGAAGAGGGCATACACGGATGTGGCACCCATGTCAATGCAGCAAAAGCTTCTGGATACCTTGTCACAGCCTTTTGTAGCTGGGCAGCAGTCCAATTACCCGGACTCATTGGTCTCGCCAGCGTTGCCAGCTCAACGCGGCCCATCGTCCTTTAGCATCCCCGGCGCAACAGGTGCAACAGTTCATTCGCACGGATCTCGCTGGACACCAGCTGCGCAAGCTATTTTCACTACGGAATCAAAGCCTCCATACACAATTTTAGCGGCCAATGATTTGGCGTGTCTTGTATTTGGTGTTACCAAGGCAGAAGTACGGAAGATGGGCCTTCTGGAGGTGGTTCAAGAAGAGCGGCGAACATGGCTTGAGAACAAGCTTCAAGGCATTGATATTGACGACATTGGACATTCACCAGCTAAGCAGGAAGCTACTACGTCTGCATCCGCATCCAGTGGTTCTGCTCTACTGGGAGGCAGGGGCGGCATAACGGCCCATCTTCTAAGCAAACCAAATTCCAGATCACAGCCACCCAAGACACCCGCAAGGCCAGCACTACGAGCGCAGACTGTTCATAGTGGAGATGTGACGCCCTCTAAGCCTCGAGCAGACGCAAATCACACGAGTACTAAATCAAGGGGAGTTCTTCTTTGTGGGGACGTAGTGCCCATACAGAAGCGTAACGGTGCTACTGGTGCCGCAAGCTTGTGGGTCAAGGAGAAGCGTGTAGGCCTCATTTGGGTTCTCGAAGAGATCCATGAAGATGTGGCATTCCTCACGCTTGATGAAGAGGGCAAGGTCACAAACGTCTCGGGCGAAACCCATCCGATTTGGGGCACGTCCACAATCGAACCAGGCATCGATGTTGGGAAGCTCATCACCCGCATCCCTCGACAAGGCATTGATCCCCGAGAAGGGGCCATAGACTACGCGCAGATCGCAAAGCGCAGGTACTTTACCTGCCGCACCACTAGCAACGTCAATATTCCTGCTACTGTGTCTCAAACTAGAGGCCAAATGGAATTAAGAGTGTCCAGTTTTCCGCATATAGCTGGCATTGTGGTCGTTGACACGGCGTCGTTGAAGATCAAAAGCTCAAATTCGGTGTTCTGCGGGGCATTGTTTGGGCAGGAGAAAGCAGATGGCCTACATATCAATACCCTCATTCCCAACTTTGACAAGATTATTGACACTTTAACCGAGCAAGAACATGTGGACCTTCATGATGGTATAGTGGTACCTGAGCACAATTTCAGAAAAGCTGCAGCATTCTATGCGGTCCGTGCAGGCAAACCTGATGCTGCAACAAATTTTCTCAACCCCGATGGCCTCCCAGCTAAGCACCGGGACGGCACTGAACTCAGGATTGATGTCCAAATGCGCGTGGTCAAAAGCGAAAAAAGGTCCAAACATGATTCAGGAGGAAGCGACGATGAGCTAACATCCTCTGAAGAGGCGATCAGTAGCTGGGAGCCTGAACTTGTTTTTGCACTGTGGATCACGTATTCGAGGCATTTGCACGCACCCAGAGTAAATTCGTTGGTGATTAGGGACCCAGCTGTGTCTGGCGTTGAAACACCACTACATCAACCCTCTCCAGGCCAGACACCTGCACATACACCGCGGGAAGTTGGCTCTGACTCTGAAGAGCCCAGGAGAATGTCTACAGCTTCGGCTCTAACAAAACAGTTGAAAAACATGGCTCTCAGCGCCACTGCTAGGATCACGGGGGCGGTGAAATCTGAGGAGAAAGAGAAACCGGTTCAATCTGTGCCCAAGGTTGTTGAGCCAGCACCGAAACGGAAGACCATTGACGACTTTGTTATATTGGAGGATATGGGACAAGGCGCTTATGGTCAGGTTAAGCTCGCTCGATACAAGCAAAATGGTGGCAAGAAAGTCGTTTTGAAGTATGTGACGAAGAAGCGCATCCTTGTCGACACTTGGACTCGAGATCGGAAGCTTGGCACCATTCCTCTTGAGATCCACGTATTGAATTACTTGCAAAGGCCTGACCTATTGCATCCAAATATCGTTGTTATGGAAGATTTCTTCGAGGACGAGACAAATTACTACATTGAAATGGCGCCGCATGGATTGCCTGGCATGGATCTCTTCGACTACATTGAACTCCGAGCTAATATGGAGGAGGACGAATGTCGAAGTATCTTCGTGCAAGTAGCGACTGCCGTGCACCATCTTCACACAAAGGCAAAGGTGGTTCATCGGGACATCAAAGACGAGAACATTATCTTGGACGGCGAGGGCAACATCAAGCTCATCGATTTCGGTAGCGCAGCATACATCAAAAGCGGGCCATTTGATGTCTTTGTTGGCACTATTGGTACGTACTCGATATGGGATTCATGGTGGTTTGGAATTCAACATGCTAATAACGGTACAGATTATGCAGCTCCCGAGGTCCTCGCTGGTAGGCCGTATGGTGGTAAAGAACAAGACGTTTGGGCCCTGGGCATTCTACTATACACGATCATCTACAAAGAAAATCCGTTCTACAGTATTGACGAGATTATGGATCGTGATTTGCGGGTACCATACACTATTAGTGATGAGAGTATCGACCTCATTCGATGTATGCTCGACCGCGACGTATCACAGAGGTACGATATCGAACAGGTTATAAATCATCCATGGTGCCAGATGGAAGCAGAAGAAGACAACATATAGAAGAATATGTAGTCGGGACGATACACAACAAGACGGGAGGGAAACATGGTAAGGCAAACAATGAGCAGGAATTGGGAAGACGTTTTGGTGTTATGATACCCTTGGAGAGCTTTTTCGCAATTTGGCCAAGAACATTAGCGGCGATAGAACATTGAAGACTCCGGAATTCGCATCTTATCTTATAGGTGGATTTGAAAGGTTGGACGCGCTTGATCCGTCAAACTTGATTCGTCGCATATTTAGCATGTGGCTGGGCTTGAGCAAATGATTCGGCACAGCATATACAGGAGGCAAAAATGGGTGGACTAGCTTAGAAAATATAGTATTTAACGGCTACACAATATGATGGCTTCATCGAAACTGCCTGATGTCAATGTATTCACAGCATTTTGTCTCGATCGACTTCATTAGTGTGATGACTTGAACAAAGTGAATAGACAGAACAATGGGTTTATTATATCACAATAACAAATCGATTTGTCAGTGCTAGAGTGACGCTGAAATGTATCAAAACAAGGCCGGCACAATCCGAGATTTTTTGTTTAATGTCAAAACGAGGAACAACCGCATTGTCTCACGGTGCGTTTCGTTCTTTCTTTCATGATGCTGTATTCCGAAACATAAAAGCTATATCTGCTGCATCCTATCGATATTTTCTATAATCGTCAGAACCACCCAGCGTTCTTCTTTCACGACTGTTGCTAGATTGCAGTACTTTTCTTCTTTGATCTGAAGGTTTCGAACTTGCACTTTTCGTGTTCGACGATCATGGCGCCAATCAAGACTTTGATTCAGCGCATAGTGGTGGCCAGTCGGAATAGCCAAATTGTCGACGCTAGCCCCAGCGAATACCCAACCAAGGGGACTACCATAGCTGTTTCTATTCCCTTCGTGCTTATAGGCCTATTAGGAATTTGGTACCTCGTCGGAAGGTGTAGGCCCAGGTCCAGGCAAGTAGACAACGAGAAGGGCAAACGCAAACGCAAACGCTCCTCAAGCTCGAAAAGCTACCAAGATTCAATTCGCAGCTCCCGGAGCGATCACCCCAGCCATTGTTTCTATGTCCCGAGTAGCAGTAACCCTCAGAGCAACAGCGACAGTTCTGCCAGAGGCCCCAGGCTCGAGTGGCCTATGCCTGTCATACCTGCTGGTACTCATCCCATGAGGGCCACCGCACGGAGCGCGAGCGGTAAGTCTTCCTCCGAGTCCAGAAAACCCAGATCAACCCACAGAAACCCGGATAGTAGTAGCACCTCACACAAAGCCCGATCCAGACGTTTCTCAAACCCTTCCGTCAGGCCCACGGAAACCATTAAACGCGACATGAACAACAGGCATCGGGCCCGCACACTGTCTGCCTCGGCAGCTGGCCGCCCTGACTCGCTGGCTTGGCCAATTCCATCTGTGCCCGAGGCACGCCCCTTCCCGAAGCCAAAGGTTTCTGCAAAGATCAGGCCGGCTCCTGACCACATGCGGCGACCCACGGCGTTCGATAAGGATCTTCGCCGCATGGAAAACTTCCACCTCACGCAGTCGGAACGAGGCGATAGGGTCCGAGACGACGAGAGCGACGTACAGACCGAGGTAAGTGCTCTGAGCGGTGCCTCGTCGACGATCAACGACAAATTGAGAGAGTTGGGCTCGGATTGCACGGCTGATGAACCATGGAGGAGACCGAGGCTGCCCACCCCTGACGTTGGCGAAGATTTGGATATTGCCTTGGGCAGTGGGAATTTTCGCATAAAGAAAATTTGATGTGAGGGACAGAGAGCAAGTAAAACAAGGTGAATAAAGGAGGCTACGGTCGAGCCTCGTTGAAAGCAATTCATTTGATTCGTCTCGTTCTCCCAATTACTTTACATACATCTGTGCTATTATGAGTCTGATGACCATACAACAGTTATCATGTTACAAACGCTCCAAATACGAAGCTTTCCACGCGTTTGTACCTTTGGGGTGATAGCGAGCTTTATCATGATGGTGTGTAATTTGTAGAATTTTTTTTAATTTGTGTTGAATCCTATATAAGACCAGTTACGGCAAAGTCTGGCAGGCGTAACACAAACAAGTGTGTTTATTTCTGATCATCTCCATATTCATGGTAGGCGAGATCGAAAACGGACCCAACGAATTGGATTTGGCCGGTGCAATTGCGCTTTTAGTATGCGTGCACATTGTGATACTTTAAGTGCTGCCCTTTGAAATAGCGCAAAGACGATGCTGGCCTTAGGTAAGTTGTAGCTCGTGTCTCACTTGTCCCTGATTGGCTGACATGAACCGAGGTCAGGTTGGAGCATGGACCCACGTAAAGAAGTAGCCAAACTCTAAAAGAGCCTCGCGACGAAGACCCATGAGTTCGGAAGGCTAGCCTATTTGATACAGAGAAAGAAACCAACCAAAGAGAATGTCAGGACGGCTTGCCTTTTGCTGCTTGAACTAGCAGCCACCATCTTCATGTTCGTTGGTCGACGACGAACGACCACACAAGCCTAGCAATTACATTCTAGACTTCTGCAAAGCCAACTGCAACCATACCAGCCGTGCGTATTAAATGCCGCTCTCCTTGGCATCTTAAGTCTAAATATCGCTTCGCCAGCACCTTCACACAGCAGGCATCCTCAAGGGGAAAATGTCGTTAGAAGTCATTCATGTCGTCCGCCACGGGGTAAGCATTTGGACTAGTTTATGCTGTTCTGCTCCGGAGCAGAGTACTTGGGGATCTTGGCCGATCTTGATGGACCGCCCTTGGTATTTTCGCTGCAATACACGCCGAAACCAGTTGCCACTACCCCAACGGATCAACGGCTCGATCACAATTGGCTGAATCTCTACTGACAAGTTGTGTCAGTACCGCTCATCCTTTACTGTGGATCCGGCCACAGGTACATACTCTGCGAGCATCCGCTCTCCTACGGGTATACCTACAGATCCTCCCTTGACTTCTTACGGTGTCGAGCAAGCCAATGAGCTCGCAGATCATCTGTTGAAGTTTGACCCGCCTATCGATCTGGTGTACTCAAGCCCGTACTACCGATGTCTACAGACAATAAACCCCTTTGTAGCGAAACGCAACCACACTACTTCTAGTGCTGGAGATAGTCCCAATGTATCAAGCTCTAAACAACACGAGATTCGTGTTGAGGGGGGGATTAGTGAATGGTTTGGGTCCGCTCCATGGCCTCACCCTCTCCCTGCACCACTGAACAAGCTAAGGGAGTTCTTCCCGAATATTGATAAAGACTATGTTTCTCAGGTTACACCTCCCATCAATGGGGAGACTTTGTCACAGCTGCATGATCGGATCGCCTCCGCCATGGATAAAATCATTGTACAATGTGATCAAGAAGGAACAAAATCAATCATAGTATGCTCACACGCGGCAGCGATAATCGCCTTGGGAAGGGTCTTAACTGGTAGAATGCCCAAGAGTGTGGACGAAGAAGACTTTGCTGCATTTACTTGTGGGCTGAGCACCTACAGACGACGGAAAGGTAATCTCCCTCCCCTTTCTCCTGCAACATGAAAATAAGCGGCTGACTCCAACGCAGAGACTGCCGATCATCATTCATCGACTGCCACAACATGCACTTCGCCACCAGAGTGGAAAAACGGAAATGGAGTTCGTGGTGGATGGACTTGCGAGGCAGACTCGGATTGCTCGTTTCTCCGAGGCGGACCAGAGAGAGGCTGGTGAGTGATGGCCAACTCATCATATGAGAAAATGCATTCCTCACCGATGTGTACCTAGAATATATGCTGATGATTGATAACACCACAGGCGCTTTTCCGGGGAGGAAACATTTGACGCAGTCGGAACGCAAAGTTTGGCAGGTTCTGGGGCAGGTCTTGGTGTAGACGTTGAAGTACAAGGACCAGAGGGAAGAAAATCAAGAGACAGGCCAACTACTGATGGTTCCAAGCTTTGATACCACGAACAGAAGAACCCTGACGAGAATCGAATAGCATGACACTCACCGCATGAACCAGCTCTGTGTAACTCTTGGCTTCAAGCGTTTCTTATTCCCTACTACCGGAAGCCCTCTTTTGCACGGCCGACGTCTAATTGATCGGTTTCGAGATATGTGCCATGGTAGACACCAATCGGGGTGTAGGAGTTGATGCCGGCAGAAGCATGAAACCATGTGTATTAAATACATGATTTAGATGATCTGCATACATCACTAGCTCACGAACATGCCGGGCTTATGCAAGTCTTTCGCAGAGCATGACATCCTTGAAGATGGGCACGGGCTGAATGTTTCAGCCAATAGCTAGTCCCTTAAACCTTCTCCCTTGCCATTAGATTGGAAGAAAGCAAATCCTTCACATTGCTCATTTTGTGGACGAACGTGATGTTTGTGACCATTCGATTACTGAAAAGACTGGTACAACCTTAAAGGAAGCCGCAGCTGTATTCAGTACAGGAGTCAAAATATCACAACACAGTGCAAAGTGACTAAATGAGTATGAGATTGGGATGTACATTAGTACTCGTCTACACATGTCGCTAGACTTTCTGGTCTCTCATCGATCGGGGTATCGAACTAGTTACTTAAACCCATGTTCTTCTTCCGACGGCGCCGAAATTCCACTTTTACCCGTTTTCTGGTAATCGTGGTTTAGAGTTTGAACGGTCATTAGTATAGAACTTGACAAGATCTTTTAACTTTACCGAACCGTGGATCTCTCGTGGCTGCGCGCAGGGCCCCTGATAGTGATCACTGCGTTGGGAAGGGGGGGAGGGGAGGGGAGAGAGGGACCCTTGTTTTTCCATTCATAAAATGTACTCCTGCGTCATTAACCGGGTTGACAGGTTTCTTGTCCTACTGTGGTACTATCCTCTGACGAACAAGCCTGTGTCACGTATGGTGGCTTGAATCTCGGCATCGAATAAGCAATTTCTCATATATGTCCCGTGAAACAGTCTCGGCACGAAGTTGGGGTATCACAAGAGTCTCATTCCACCCCGGCAGGCTATTGCCAGAAAAAGGTGCCGAAGCCCTACACACACACCACTCACTCCTGTCACTATAGGGGTGCGGCACTTTTTTTTTTCGTCAACACGTTGCCCGGTTTGTCAGTAGCGGCATATGTAGAGAGGATCAGGCCGTGTTCAGTCACGGGCTCGGCCTAGGGCTCTAGAGTATATTGCTTTTCAACCTACACGATCGACGTTACACCAGGCAAGCATGCGGCTGCAACTGTGCTTGCCAGGTAGCTACTTCAAGGAAAGATGATGCGATTTTCATCCCACTCCCTGATGCTAAAGGTATGCTTTTCTTTGCTACCGGTGAATAAGGGCGTTGAGCTAACGATACAACGTGGATGCCGGCAATGTGGTGCTCTGTATGTGGGTGCGATAAACAATATTCTAGTATCGTACATCCGATGTACCATAACGGCTTCACTATAACCACACCGTCACTTTGTATATCACGATCGTCACGAAGCCATCCTTAACCTGGTAGCTTTATCATTTGGGCCAACTGGAAATTGTTTTAGATGCCACCGCTGATTATTGGTAAGCAGCTTGGAATTTATTGGTGACATCATCTGGTGGAAAGAAGCATCGTCTCAGCTGCGAGCTGAAGTTTTTGTTGACGGAGTATTCACAAGCACTGCGGCGGACTGCTGTCATTTCTGCGTTTTGAGAAGCTACTGCCGTCTCTATTCTCACCTGCTAATTCAAGATTTCTCAAAAAGCAGGCATCTCCAGACCTCACGTGAGGGTGGGTCATCATGGTGAGCGCTTGGTCACGCTTGTTGACAGTTCAATCCTTACCCCAGACAACGTCAGCAATCGAGAAGTAGCAGTGGCATCCATTCGTGCTGGCCACTAACCTGGAAAATCTTGCGTTCAAAGTTGCTTTTTCTCACTTTTCTTATCTCCGGTCAGAACCAAATCTTTAGTGGGGAGGTAGACTCTGAGTTTGCCCATCTGGAAATCTGCAACAGTGTTTAAAAAGAGCCAGGTTCTTGGTCTTACCTGCATTAGCGATGTGCCGCCATCGCATTGATTCTGGACTTGGTCCACCCAGCCAATACTTACTATGTAGTAACGCTGACGGGCCCCGGGAAGCGCAGAAATGCCTGTCGCCAGCTGGCAGCCAAATTCTGCAAGGAACTTTGGGAACACGCCAGACGGAATTAATAAACAAGGCTCCCTTGGCTCCACCTTGGCCCCCCTCCCCCACTCAAGGTCCGAGCATCCACCCGCGTCTGGCCGGCCCGAGAAACTAGAGGTCCAGACTCACTCACCCCCCACGAATTTTTCACCCAATTGCCTCGCCCGCTCATTTTCACCGCGCTTAATTCGCCGTACAAACCCATTCATATTGCCGCGCGCAATCCCGCCTTCCTGCTGCTGTGTTGGCAGTTTAGCGTCGCTTCCTTTGCGCTGCTAGTATACGAATGCCGCATCGTGAATGGAGACTTTGACGGTGCCTCTTGGTCATGGTTGGGGTTGGGGTTGGGTTTAGCGAAATAGCGAGCCTTGACCAAAAATCTTGCCGCTTCCGACTGTGTCAAGAGGATTCCCCGTTACGGACCAACAGCAGATCCTCCATTTATTCGTCCTAGGATTGCATTGCCTGTGGACTTTTTGATTAAAATGCATTACCACCCTGCCACTGGCCCCTCCCCGTCCGGATTGTGCTAAGCACCCTCTTTTGCATCGCGCCATCTCATTGGCTTCTGCGACCCGAGTGTCTGGTACAGCAAAGCAAAGACTTTCTGCAATCACACAGCAAATGCAAGAATGCCTGTCACAGTGCCAAATGAAATCACTAGTGCCACTCATGGTCTGACCCTCGAGGGGATTCTTCCGAGCAGTGCCCGTTCCTAAGAAACACCAATCCTCCTCATTGCTAGGTTGCAAGTCATATATAGGCTCGGTGCTTAAAGACAGTCTTCATGTTCTAGTTCGGCTCTATGTTGGTTGAATGAAATGCACGCCGAGTCTTATTAAATTTGTGTCTGCAAGAATGGCCACAAAGTCGGAGCCTGGCTCTTCGGCAAGGTCTAAATAGTGCATTCGGTACGTCAGTCCTCATCGGAAGGCCTAGGATCATCCCTAAACTAGGCTTGAACCCCCTTGCAGCGATGTTGTGGATTGGTTGGGCCCTGCCACACGTATACACCAGGATTGTCTTCTTGTGCTGTGCCGTTGGCGGCTGAACGTTAGAACACATTCCTCCCCTCTTCTTGTACGCCTGGGATCGCACCACTAAACTCGGCCACAGTTGTTAGCGCAATGGTCGAACGCCTCTGGGGTCATTGCACCTATATTTTGTGTTATTTCTTATTTTTTACAAGACTCGTGCAGAATACTACCCTTACTAGTACACTTGTTGTACAGTGACTTATGCAGCCAAGGGACGGGTAACCAAGTCTTTATGCTTGCTTGCATTGCTGTACACTCACTACTCATACACTGGGGTCTGTCTGCTCAAATGCCTTGCGCATGACGAGCGAAAAGACGACCACCAAATCATAGTCCTCCAGTGGATGTGAACCTCTCTGTCGGGTCGCCGTTGGCAATATATTAAAGACCGACTTCATCAGATTCCAGCACTCCACTTTGTCCTACTCTTTTACTCACAACTGAGATTCCTTCACCAAACCCACCATCTGTTCTTTCATCCCAACACTGGTGCTCCCTATCATTCAGGTCCCTTTCTTATTACCACTATCTGCCGGAGTCCCTAAAATCGTTATTATCTTCAATAACCCGCGATATGGTATTGAACTACGATAATCAGTCTGCGACAATGGGAGCTGCCTCTATTTCTCAGGTCCTAACAGAAACTTTAGGATTGCCGTTACATCCACTGGAATTTCAACACTCACAGCGTACCCGACAACCTATTCCACATCTAGAATGGAAGCATAACCTCTTATCATCGTCTGGTTCGGAATCGTCAGTACGCTCACCCACAGCATCGTGTTGCTCTCACGACTCCTTTGCGGAGTCAGAAGTCACTATGTCGACAGCACCATCATCGCCACCGCGATCGCCAAAGAAGCAGGAGCTTATGGATGCCCCTCTACACTCAATACCATCTGGACAACCATCATCAAGACCCGGGACGGACCTAAGGGCTCAGTCTGGATTTTCTCAACCTGCGCTACCCCCATTGGAACGGCGGGCCTCTGCGGAAGAAACCCTTCCAAGACTCAGTAGCATTCTCAATGTTCCTAGGACGTCACCGCCTCAAACTTATGGGCTCGCAAATCGCTTGGAAACACTCAAGTTGAGTCCCTCTCCCGATCCGTCGGGTACCAATGACTACGTCCTTACCCGCCATCCCTGTGGACCTTTTGTACACGATCCTATTACCGGCTATTTAAATCGGGAGCGACAGGAGCGAGAGCGACGTGAGATGAATGAGCACATACGAGCGCGGAGTGACAAAAACATGGTACCCAAAAGTCGACACGTTCTTCCGTTCGCTCCAAGGAGAGATACGAGACAAGACTATTCCTTGCAGTCAACAGTATCACCACCACGGCCGCTTCCACAGGGCCCAATGGGGAGCAACTACGACAATCGAACTGTGTTTCCGGCTTTTCCACCAGAACTTCTCCAGAAAGTTCAGGGTGGGCGCATCCAGAAGACTCGAAAGTCCAAGGACAAGACGCCTCATTGCAACAAGAGGTACACGGTGGAGCAGAAACGTTTTATTCGCTATCTCAAGTGCGACTGCAATGTGTCCTGGCCAATAGTAAGACGCCAAATGGCGGAAATGTTTCCTGAAACCGATATTGAGCAACGGGAAACCCAAGGGGTTCAAGGAGTTTATTACCGAGAGAACAAGCAGTTACCAGCGCTTAACATGGACACAAACATCATAAGATACCTACCTAACGGGCATATGGCCTCTATAGAAAAAGGGTGTAGGGAACAAAAGGAGAAAACAATGTTCGGCATTGTCAATCTATGGCCAGAAGACGCGCTGGCATATTCCTGGGTATCCGAGGAACACAAGCAGCAAGCTAGGAGAACCAGTGAGTACAAACGTACAACGAAACCCTTTTTAAGCTGATACCACTGACCCGTTTGGTAGTCGAACAAAGACGCAAAGAGCGTGAAGACGCTCGTCACCAAGCTATCGAAAACGGACTTTGGTCGGAGACCGTGCCAGAGAATAGTTGCGCCTGTTGTTGCGACAATAAACGAGAAAGGTGACACTGGTCACATTTGAGACGTGATTCACTCAAATACCTACTCGATGCTGGGAGTATGCATCAAATGTAAAACATGAGGCTTGACCTTCTGTCAATTCAACACAAGCAATCGCATTTTCAACCTTCGTGGCTTGGCGTCGGCTTGCTTATCAACTTCATAAGGACGATGACCGCCAACAGGGCACTTGTCCTTTTTCTTCTTCTACCACTCAACAAAGTGAATGGATCGGACGTCTTGAGTAATGTATATACTTCTTTCACCCAAAACTGTTTGTCTATTTGATGATTATTGTGACCTGCGCCTCGGGCCATGGGTAATTATGAGGCATTCTTTGTACGAATGGAATCAGCCTTGGTGGTGACGAAAAAGAAATCTTTTTGAGGTTTAAAATACGGCTGGAGATTGCTTCTTTGTGAAGTTCTAAATCTGCCATTGAGCCAGCGTACAAGCAGGCCTTCTAGGTGGATATGGGGAAATAACTAGTACTAGACTAAAGCAAAACTTTGACACCCGATGGATATCTATGGTTGCCGTTACACGTGCAGAATTGAGATGTTAGCCACCAAATAAATACAAACTATTTCTGAGGGTCTTCGTGAGGCTGTCCCCTATTCTCCGTTTCTTCGTTGTATTTTGCCTGTATTTTCCAGAAACCGCAGAATGCGAAAGGTCTGGAGGGACGGGTGCCTCAGGATGGCAGTAGTGGCACAAAACGTGCCGAGCACTTGTCCGGGGATCCATTTTGTGACATAAAAGCACAGCAGTCCAACAGGTCTCCAACCTGTTTTGAACGCAGAAAGTAGGCCCCCAACCCCCTCTCTAAACCCTGTCTGCTGCACCCTCGGCCCGGCCATATGAGAGCGGCAAACGGTAAGCGCTGGACGGCAGCGCCAAACAAATCGGTTATAAATTGGGTTTTACAAGGGGCGGTGAACTTGCCTATTCCTGCTAATTGATCGGGCTGTTATGCACAGCTACTGAAGTTCCTTTTAACTCAAAGAACCAACGAAAATCAACGTGGGATGTGTGTAGCAAACACTTGCGGCCTGTTGGACTCCCCGTCCCCCTCGTCGTTCTTCATACTCCACGATCCAGACCTTTTCAAGTGGAAACAGTACTGAGTAAGCGTACCAGTAAATACAGGGCTGTTATTATCGAGTCTCTCGCTACTATCTGACATCTTCCCTTGCAATTTGGACTTTGGACTCTCTCTACTCCCCATAACTCTCCACTGGTCCCACACCACTCTCCGTTCACATGGGCATCACGAGCAGATAGTCCAGCCTCGTGTTTGCTCTTGACACATGTTGAAAGGCAAAAAAGTCCCCGAGACTGAATCCCAAACTAGTGAGAAATTCTCGCTGGCAATTTTCGGCCATCTGTTCCTTGTGATCGACCTTTGCAAAAGAAACTGGTAATCAAAATATCAATTTGGATGTGCCTCAAAACCAGCAACTATTCACGGCAATTTGAGACAAGCACCAATCGGCCGCATAAGTAACAGGTGCCATGTCTCACTAGTGATTGTTCGGACCCATAAAGTTGCTGCGACTTGTTCAAATATTGCAGGCATCCGAGACATCCATACTCCCGCCCAATCGAGGAAAACTTCGGTTGCGTTGGAGCAAAAACAATGTCTAATATGCCTCATGAACACGCTAATCAATGCAATGAATGCTCGACCGATTACGTGTATGAGGCGAGGCGCAATCTTGTACCAACTTGTCTGAATCTCAGATGTGTACATACACCAGCCAGAGAACTCGAGGGTGTGCCTGGATCCTTCGTCTATGGAACGAACATGATCTGGGCATTCTAAAGGCCCGCCAGACCCTGAACTAGAAAACGCCGGTTCAGTGAAGTCTCCTTCCTTATTGGTACGCAACATAGGCATACGGTTCGATCCATCATCCCCACCTTGAGCCCTAGGACATATGATCCCCAATCATTAAGCACTCTCCAGCTTTCTGTGAATTGCCTTATTTACCGAGACTCAGTCTACTGGCTCTCATGAACGTTGTCATCCACCACACTCTGAAGTGGTTCGCGGAACCACTCTACCCTGCCTTAGCCCCCCTGACTGGACTAAACATCACACATGCCTGGTCATCGTGCACTCGCCGCGCCGGCCATGTGACTTTTTGTTTGCTCACCTATTCCCCCAACGGATCTTCAGTGACTTCGATACCCCTGAGAGTGACAGCATCAACCCTTGCAACGACAATTAAGGCTAAGCAGACCGCGCTTATACCTGACAACGCATTTGAAAAGCCTCCAAGACAGCACGCGGTTTTTATTAATACGATTAAACGCTGCCGACCTCCTCTCCTCCTAGCTCTGAGGACTAAGGGCTGTACGGCCCGCAATGGGCGCACTGGGCTATGTGAGGGGGTGCGAATACATCCACTATTAGTCTAGCATCCTATGGGGAGAGGCGGACATGACCTCCTAGGGGTTCATGGTGGGATACACCAGAGTCGGAATTCGGAGTCGCTTCATCTTATCTCATTGAAGGGACTGTTTGGCGTAAAAGGTGCACATCATGTACCGGGATGGTCTTGGATTGCATCCGGCAGACAATCTTCACCATTGACACGCGTCGGTGAAAATGATCTGGTAGTCTCTGCGATGGATCAGTTCTCGATGGAAGGGAAGATGAGTCAGTCGGTTGCCAAGAATTCATAAACAATGGTCCTCCCCAGCATTGTCAACATTGTCATCATTGTCCGTAACGTTGGAGAACCACCCAAGTATCGAGTACCTCAGACAGGCCTAGAACTATTCTGTCAACATGATATCTGAGTTCACAAGGCGTCCTAGTAAATACGGTTCCTCGTCGTCGAACCCCATGGTGAGCTTACAATGGCCGGGCGTCCCCATCGTCGCGGATCCTTGCCCTGCCTATGTGTACTTTGCGAGCCCCCTTTTTCCCCCGGCTTTCATAGGATACGAACAAGCGCTGCCGCCACTGCTGCTGCGACATGTCAAATGCGTCTTCAGCATGGGCCGCCTGGCCCGGGTAGAAAGCCAAACAGGCATGGCGACTGCTCTCCCCCCTCCTCGGCGCGACCGCTGAGTTCTAGGCAAAAGTAGGGCCAATTGGGGGGGATACATTGCTACTGCTGCTCCCTGTCGCTGCATGCATCTTTAAGTTGTTGCGGCTCAGCACATGAACTTCAAATCACGTTTCTGCACTAGTCATCAACTGAGCAGGTGCAACTAGCCGAAAGAAAATGAAAAAGATTTCAAGAAACTTTTTTTGGACGACCGTATGCGACTTTGAACTCTAAAATGCTGCCCCCTCCCTATCCGTTCTGTCGGGAATTCATTTTGCTTCGTACACCCAAACGGCGGACGGGGCTCGACTCCGGTTCGCCGCATGAACGAAACATGATATTTGCACTCTCATCAAAAGGTTCGCGGGCTAAACCTCGCCTGGATCCTGCCTGTTAAGTTGTTGCGGACCAACCCCTCCAAAATGAGCAGATAAGGTACAGGCCATGTATGGTCCCTACGCAGGCATCTGATCCTTGACATATTATCATAAGTCTTGCCACTTGATGTTTAATTACACTCCCTGCGCAGGCTGGATCATGTGCCATATGCGACGATGTACGAGGAAAGCTCCCGTTCTGGTGTGAATGGGAATTCCAGGGAATAACCTGCTGGTTGGTAGCTGGCAATCTCCCAAATGGGAGAAGGCATACTATTAAAAACTGAACAAATATCATAGACACATCAGACTGAACGGGGATTGTTAAAGCGTCACAGCACATGGATTATGCTTCAAACGAGTTGTCCTAACATGCTAACGCAACGGTGGTGACTTGGCAGGACGGAGTTCTGCTGCATGGGTACATACCACGAATGTACCAAAGAAAAAGGCGTTGATTTACGCCTCAGCTCCTAAGCCTCATGGATGGGCTCGCAAGGCTGTTTCAAAGATGTTTCCTCATTTGACCGTCCCGACCGACGATTGACTTGAAGCCGTCCTTGGTGTTCGAGCCATCATCTGGGTTGTCGTCCTGGTAGTCATTCACATCATATTCCTCCATGTCTGAAGCATTCCCATTCCTGTAGGCATATGCGTTATGTCCAAACTCGTCATCAGATGCCACTTCGTCATCTGGGTAGTCGGCGGCGTAGTAATTCTCAGCTGTGTTGTAATTAGCACTTGCGTGGGGCAAGAGAGGTTAATGGATAGTCTACCATTTTCGTCATCTTCATCTTCCGCAAAGTCATCGTCACTGTCGTCGTTCACTCCGTAGAAGTACTCCATGTCCGGCTCTTCGTCGAAAACCAACACACCCACATCTGCCGGTTTGACACTTTTTGTGTTCATGGTGCTCGCAGGAACACGAACATATGTTTCAATGACATAGCCCTCATCGTCCGTGTCGCTAGCGCCGGCGTCGGGCTCCAACATGTCTTTGACGGATACGGCCCTTGTCTCTTTAGGATGGCGCTCAGCATATCTTTGAGGCGGGGCCTTTGGCTTGAATCGAGAGGGCGAGGATGGCACAGCGGCCAAGTGTGTGCGGGGTGCTGCAGCTCTCTCCTTCCGCTTCCTCTCCTCTTCTTCCTGGCGTTGAAGATTAAGGCCTATCTGCTCCATGGCGAAGGCGTTCATATCGGCGGTCAGCTGATCCAGGTTCACGTTCCATCTGTTCGTCATGCTACTGGGCAGCTCCTTCTTTGAAGTGTCCTGCTTCTGGGTTTGTCGAACCAGTCCAGGCTTCTTGTGCTGCTTGGGTCCAACCGTGTCGACCTCCATCTCCTCAGACTGCTCGGCCGGCACCGGCAACGGAGGAGCATGGGGCTCTTGTTCGGGAGTATGCGCGCCAAGTCCATGGGCAATGCTCTGGAACTTGGTGGATGGGATCCTCTTGTGTTTGCGCTCGACAAACAAGGCAGGGGCTGAACGTTTCTTTGAGATGCCACGGAGGCTGCGATGCGCTGGGTAGTTGGAGGCGGCCAACATGATCTCGGCTCTGGACATGTGAAAGCGTCGCGGCTCATCTGCGGATGCCCCGACGGGACTTTCGGCTGAGGAGGTTGGGGCCACGGGTGGTTCTTGGCTGTTTCCGCGCTGGCCAACATGGCTGTTTTTGTTGTCCTTTGTGCTCTGGAATGTGCTGTCATCACGCTTGGACTCGGAGGTATGGATGATGGGTCTCCGTTGTATGGGAGTCGGAATGTCGGCGAATGTGGCTTCCTGTTTCTGGCGCTGATAGACAAAGGCGTCGGTGACATGCCGCTTGTGCTCCTGGACTCCTGTATCAAAGCAGTCAGTGATGTTGTCTTGCTGCTTGTTGGCGGGGATGCGACTGACGGAGATATGAGACAGGCTCGATCTCTGTGGCCTTTCGCTTGACGCGGATCAGCTCAGGGGGCAACGACATATTGCTGGTAGAACTGCTGATATGTGCAAGTGCAAGCGGCGATTTGGCGAATATTATCAAAGCGAAGGGAAGGGCGTCGCAAAGTCGCAAGATGAGATGGTGTAGCCTGTTCGTTTGTTTACTCTGTGTAACTTCAAATACGGTAATCATCGAAAATCTGCCCGCCACCCGACCCGTCACTTGTCAAAGCGCCGATAAGAGCTCTCGCGACACCGATAAGCCCTCTGAAAGCCCCTCCCCTCCCCTCTCCCCTCCCCCCTCCGCCTTGCTAGCTAACCTTCGTATGTACGCCTTGTTATTAGCGTTACCCTGCGTTGCGTCGGGAGCCACACCACGGATCCGTATTTGGCGCAGGCGACGAGCTCGACTGGTCTTACCCCGTAACCTATCTGTCCCTACTGTACGGATCCGTATTCACGATCGGCTCACGTAGTTGCTCCATATATAGTGCGTCATGGCTTCTCGTTATCCTTCAATTTCGATTCGCGAGGCCCATGGCAGTGACTTGATCGCAACCTCCAGACTTGCATTGAAAGTCACCATGGCATTTGCATGTGACAGCCAGCTGCTAATAAAGTATCGCAGTTGAGAGATGGGTGTGCGACTCAGCCAGACGCCCATGGGAGCTCCCGTCACACAGCCCACCCCATGAATTGTGGATGGCCATGTTTGGATGGGCGGCAGGGAACTTCAAGGTTGCACCGGACGCTATTTTGCCTTTTACATTCAACCCGTCTCACAAACCGAGAATAGTGCTGGCTATTTGCACTGATTGATGTTGACTACAAGAACATGCTCAACGTGTTCCATCTCGTACTCATTTCTTCAATAGAGCATGATGGAACGAACAACCGTGCTCCCCAGTTTAGATCCCTCCCCCCTCGTATCCACATGTCGATCCGGATCAGTCCCCCAAGGCCAGCCGCCTAAAACCCCGGAAAGAAATCCGGAGCTTCTTTTCCACTATCCTGGATCAGCACAGTTGAACGATTGCCTTTGCCGGGATCCCTAGCGCTGCATCCTTCTGGCCACGGCCTTGATAGCGTGGTGTGAATCAAGATTTCGTCACAAGGCTTACTGACTTGTTGCCATTCCTCATGTGGTCATACCACCATTGGATGATCTCGGCCTTCTGTTCCGGCCACGCAGATGGAGTCGCCCGGCAGACTCGGGCAATACCGCATCGTCCGCATGGTGCTCCTCGGGCGCAAGTGCTAAAGGTTAAATGCGACTGTGAGAGGGGAGAACAAGTGAACAAAGGTAGGGGCGGAAGCTACGCATCCAAAGTCGCCAATTACACGGTTGATTATAGCTCAGCTGGCTGCCGTTTTATGACGAACCTCCTCCAACTCAATTCTGCAGTGGCGTAGGGCCTAGTTGAGACATGCGTAACACCTGCGTCAATCCTCAGTCTTTAGTAGCTCGTGCCGATACCAGCCCATTATCTCGGCAGATTAAGCCTCTCACATCATCAATAGTTCCCTTATAAACCCGATCCCCCCTCCTAGACCTTGTCTTTGCATTCGCAAGAAATTCTCGTTGAAACAACGATTGTTAGCTAGGATATCCGTGCCTGTAAACGAGCACAGATATCTTAACTGTCTCCACTACCAACGTATTCACGGCGACACCGGCCTCTTGTCAAGACTATAACTGCAAACACGTCCCGCAAGGTCGATATCGCCAGATTGTGATCTCTTGCAACAGATGCCTGAGACACGGGTCCTAACACTTGACAATCTGCATTGGGTGGTCACTTCGCTGTACAGTACGCCCTGGGCCATCGACTAATCGACACTTCCAATGATTGTGTAGTAATCCTAACCTACATTTACATTTCGTCACTTTCCTTTCACACATCCACCATATCGACCACTACGCGTCAGAGGTACTACTCAATCAACGGTAAAACCCTTTCAATCAACACTTTGTGTCTGGTCCTCCTCCTAAGTATAGTTCGTCATATTACCCGAACCGCACAGCATGGGGAAGCGCCAAGTCAACCTCACCTATCGCAAAGCTGGGACTCAGCCTCCGGTTTTCGTTGCTGGCACATTTTCAGATCCGGCATGGCAACCATATGAGATGGCCTGCTCCAAGAACGGCAGTGGGGAGTACGCATTTGAACACATAGTTTCAGCTGATCCGGGTACTGAAATTCAGTACAAGTTTCGGCTTGGTACTGGAGACTGGTGGGCTTGTGATGACACCACAGCCACAGGTACAGTCCTTCTGCTTCATGTTGCAGACAACCAGCTGACACCCCCGAAATAGCGACTGACAGCCAGGGCAATACGAACAATACCTTACGCATTGGTCGTCTCAGTATCGATGACGGCGACTTCGAAGATGAAGACGCTTTGCCCGAGGATGAAGGTCCTCCTGTGTTCTCTCATGAGTGCTTTGGTAGCCCCGATGTTCCGCCCGACGCCTCGAATGGTTCTGATGACGAGTCTCCTAATGTGAACAAGCCGTCTCGTCCTTCCCGGGCATCTCGTCCCTCTATCACGGCCAAGCCCATATTCGAGGATTCAGATGCAGATGAGGAAATCGATTACGACGATCCACGGCTTGAGCATTTCCCGTATGAGAACCGTCGATCTATTATCGCACAACTACAACGCATTGAGACAAACACAGGACGGGATCGCTCTTTACCGGCGGGAATCGCGCCTATATCCCCGCTTGTCTCGCCCACTGGGTTGACATTTTCTCCTGCAACACTTGAGCCTGAATTGGTAGATAGACGCTCCAGCGCGCCCAGATCTTCACGCGGGTCGCTCCATTCTGAACGCTCTCATACATCACTGGCATCCATCGGCGAAATTATTGAGGAAGAAGAGAGTGAAGGCTCCAAAGGTAGCAAGCATCAACAGACTGTCAAGAATGCACCGCCAGGCACCTACGATACTGCCGACTTTACAGATATCAGTGAATCGCAGGGATCTACCGCTCTAGCAGCCCATAGCGAGAAGCTTGATACACCAATCGTGAGACTTGAAGCCCCTTCAAGTGACGAGGATGAGGGAATCTCACTAAGCACTGGAAACAGCATCAAAAAGTCTCGTCCCGCCTACCTACGCAAACCGGAACCCAAAAGTCCAATTGACCGACCTATATCCTCCGCATCAACAAATTCGATAAACGACATTAGCAAGCAAAACAATTGGTTACATTCATTCTTCAAAGTAGTATTTGTGGACTGGATTGGACATTTCTTCTCAAACATTTTGTTTGGCAATAAGCGAAAGGCGTAAGCCCAGTCCCTTTACTTTGTCATCACTTCTTGGCTGTTCAGCATTCCATTTGATCATCTCAACAAAACAGTGGTTGACCCCCGTTCACAGCTTTCTCACTCTCGGCACCACAGTCTTGTGTGTTGGCGTATATTGGAGGACAGCGACAGGTGCTCGTATAGAGGAAGTGATTTCTCCCCTTTTCGAACGAAATCAGATATGATATGGTACGAAACATTCACTTAAGTGTCAGTAGTTTAGTGTTGCCACTAGTTGTCCAACAGAACGGCAGAATGAGAAATAGATTATAACGAAGCCAAACTTAAAACAAATAAGTCGTGTTCCACCAAACTGCAACGGTTTTGCTTGGGCCTAGCAAACTTTTGCCTTCACCAATGACTGCGACGAACATCACAACCTTACTTGTTGTCCCATATTCGTGTTGTACTGACGCTGCCGAAGAAATTGACAAAAGGCTGGTGTGGTCCGTTTGTTCACAATTCAAAGTGTTGGCTAGTATCATAGTCATAAATCCCAAGCAGGTTATTAACAAAGGCAGTATTCCTGACTCACAGAAGTCCCTTGCCAATAAATGATCAGTCTTACGATGACTCCATCTTGTTCTCCTGATGCGTATTGCGCTGTTCATATTTCCACTCAAACGATAGGAGTCATCAACCCAAGCATATAAAGACACCTACTGTTCTTTGAGTCGCCAAACAATGCCTTACTGGCTTATGTGACGTCTTAAACACTCATTTTATCCAGTGCAGCTATCCCAGGCACAATGGTTTTCAATATAACGGCAAGTTTCAGTTGTCTAGATTGTGCAATTGTTTAGCTCCAGTCGCTAGCGTAAACGTTGATGATATAGTATTAGACAGCCACAGCAAACCCCAGTGCCTCTGTGGATAACTGCTATATACGTGAAAGGCCTATTCAGCACTCACCAAATATGATGCAGACAGTTTGTTATATGATATTTGACTTTTCTGGGACGGAGTTGGAGCTATATAATGGTTTTCAGAAGATTGACGCCAGCCAACTAGTCCACTGTGTCTCTAGTCTAGAGACAATTTTATGTATCAGGCATGTCTCTGGTCATACACTTGAGAAAAGTGTCGTATTGCTGGTCAAAGTCATCAATTCTATGATTCATATGTCCTGACAGACGAAAGTTTGATCACCGAAATAGCATACGAACTGCGCTGCAAGTTAAACAGCGTGAGAGACTACTGAACGGCTTTCTTTGAACGTGTTGTTTGGAGTGGAGATTCTGTCAAAAGTAACCACAACATCCAGCACTGGACATCGATTACGCGCATCCAGGATTAACAACGCCTATCACAGCAGCTTGATGGACGTTCTCCTCTGTTGCTGCTACTGCTTCTGGTGAGTAATCTCCCCTAGCAGACCTGAATTGAAGATCTGATCAAGCCGAAATCCACTACAGATACTCCAACCCATTTGCAGTCTCACACCGCGCATGCTGCCCCTTCATCTGCTGACCGTTTGGCCACCCCCGTCCCTGGGGATCCGGCTATACCGTTCCATGATATCATCCCCTACGGTCTGGGGTTCGACCAACTGGTACAACATTACCGTCAATATCACGACATCACGAGGCTTAACTTGATAGATCACATGTTACATGGAGTTGTCGCAGTCATGGAGGCAGAAGAGGACGAGACCGATACTGATCTTGTCGGATTTGTCAACGAGTTGATGGGAGAGATAATTGAGGATCGCAGACAGATTTATGCACTAGGAGGACAACGAGTATGATTGATTCATAGCACAATTTCATGAGACTTGAGAAGATAATGGCTCAACATTTCTGATATATTTCCTCACAAAACTCTGTGTATAGCAGTCACACGGTGATTCTTAGCTGCTGTAGTGTAGTCTATTACTCCTCACGAGCTACCTATCATAGTGCACCCAGTGCAAGTGATGGACACCAGCAGACAGCTATCCCTATGTTTGTTTGCCTTGTAAGCGCTGATGTTCACGACTCATCCTTTATCAGCAGTGAACCGTTTCCTGAAGCTACACTCTAAACCTCATGTTGCCACTCAGGCAAACGCAAGACACCAACAAGCACCTAGCAACAATGGCCGATAGTAGATGCTCAAAAAATGTAAATGAACCATACAACTAGCAGGACAAAGACAAGGCCTCCTCCAATCCTTAAGCTGTGATGAAATCCAACAATCGTGCATTGACGACCTGTTCGTCGTTGAGGTCTTCCTGAGCGTTTCGGAGCATTGAAAGTCGTTCAATCAGGTATTTGAGTTCCTCCAGACGACCCCCAGCGGTAAGGGATCTATAATAGATTGCCCAATCCTCGATCGGCGTCTCGTCGGTTGAAACTGAGAGGTATTAGCCATGACATATGGAATTCTGGAATGAGCATGGCCGATTTATCAGAGCTGTGAGTGTCGAAACCATCCTCATCATTGTCGTCGCCAGACTGTGCACTTTGTGATGCATCAGGGTTTGTCGTGGGAACGGCAGCAGGCTGGACCTGACTGGTAGAGACGGGAGCGGTGGCCGAAGCCACAAACAGGGCAGCGGCGGGAGCGGGAGCAGGAATAGGGAGAACGTTGCCGGAAATATTTGGCGCCGGCAAACCAGCAACAAGAGCTAGGGCAAGCGGAGCTGCAGCACCAGCTGGAACTATTCCAGGGTTCTGGGCACGAACCAGAGTCAATCGACGAGCCGTACGGCTCCAGTGAGACCTGTGGTACATGGTCAGCCATGGATATCCGTGCTCCGTCATGTAGAACATACGACATAGAGTTGTATGTGTAGGTATGGCCACGATTCTGCATGTATGTGAAGACTGCTGAAAAGTTATGCACAGTTCCAAAGGGCGCTTGGGATGCCGTAGTGGAAAGTTGGCCGTGCATGATCACAGCTGTGAGCAGATCATTGGTGGCAACATCAGTCCAGGACGGCATTGTGATATTATAAAAACGGATTAATCGAGCAGTCGGATTTTTGAGCAATGTGCCGGGAAGAGGTATGTCAAAAACAGATGTCGTTGCCGTAGAATTGTGTTTGGGGTTGGTGGGGTGTTTTGATACGACCCTAGATGTTTTTAATTTTTGTCGATTCGTGCCAAAGGTGTAGACTCCTTTTGGTGGGAGGCATCCTGTCTAATTTTACGTTCAGCTCAGCTTAGATACTCAAGGAGAGATAATAACAAATGAATTACCCTGCAATATGTTGCCGGACAATTTGAACCCCATTCTTAATATATACCACAAGATGTTGAGCAAACGAATACTTTGTTTGGAAGCAGTCTTCAAGACGTTCCGCTATGTATCGCTGTTCCTACGTCTTTAGACTCTCGAACGCCTGTTCATCTAGAAATTATCTTTCCTGGCGTTCTTCCAATGGTAGCACGACGTTATGGAAGTAGAAGAAGCCGCCATTATTTCCGTCGTTAAAATCATCTCGAACATCGAAGAGCTCGTTTACTAAGTGAACAATCAAGAATATTTATAGTGTCCATATGTACATCATGTGACAGAAGCCATTATGGTTCATAAAGTAAGAAGGTATTCGATGTCCCGAGAAACAAGAAATTTAATGTGCTTCTAAAGGGGTAAACATGTGGTTCATATCAACGGATTGAGGCAGTAGAGCTTCGTAGAACCAATCACCCGGTCGACTTCAGAGGTATACCTCTTGCTTATGGATATCTAATATGAAGATTGCGGTGGTCCAATCAAACCATAAAACCATACAACCATTCGTTCTTGTGAAATGATCAAAACACGACAACCGATTTGGTCTTCTCTTCTCACATATCTTCCTCTGAGTCTTCGTCCATCTCTTCTTGAACAGAGCGCAAGGCATCACAGCAGTCGTTGAGTTTCGTCATCTCGTTTGCGCGACCGTCCTTGTCAAGGGAGCGGTAGTAAGCCTTTACCTGATTCAAGTCCTCGATGTCAACCGCCTTCCTACCACCTGGCAACCAGATTAGTCAGGCGAGCCATGTAGTCTGGGGTAGTGCTTACCAGAAGAGTCCTACTCCCCCAATTCAGTGTCAGTGCCTGTCTCGTTCATTGTCGAATCTTCGTCGTCGTTGTCCGTGTCAAATTCTTCGCCGCTAGAATCTTCGGTGCCAGTAGCTACGGATGCAGTGACTACAGCAGAGATTTGCGCTTGAGCCGGATTCGGAGCTTGAGCGGGAGCTTGAGCGGGAGCTTGTGCGGGGGCCTGAGTTGCCCCAGCGGCAGCAACTGGTTGGATAGGAAGGCCGGCAAGGGAAGCAACAGTGGCAGCAAGGCTCATGCCAGGAGCAAAGCGGTTCTGCATGGTTGCAAAAGCTGGTAGAAGGCGGGTTGTGTGAAAGCGACTCCAACGAGATCTATACTAAGATGTTAGCTGGTGTTACACTCTAGACTGTCCTTATGCCTGACCGGAGAGAGTTCTTTGAGAAGTTGTGACCCTGGTTACGCATTGCTAGCTCAACGACAGGCCAGTTGCTGACCCTTCCCAGGGGCAAGCGAGGACTGCTAAAAGCCAACTCGCCGTGGTTAACTATGTTCACCAGAAGATCATTTTCTGCTGCTGCTGTCCATTTCGACATTGTGAATATTTTGGAAACGAGTTATGGTGTTGTTGTTGTTGTATGGTGTCAATGATCCTTCTTTCACGAAGAAAATAATTCTGTGATCGTTGATGGGAAAAGAGTGTCGTGAAGAAATGGCTAAAGCTTTTGTGGAAGTTTCATGAGTGTATGGTGGGGGAGTTTCCATAGCTTGAAGGTTGGTGAGGTAAATAGAAACGCGTGTCAACGCGTTTGTGACAGCGGCGGAGCTTCAAGTGTCGCTTCAATCCATATCTTCTGCCTCTCCTGCGCTTGTATCGACCACAACTTCTGATATGCCATAATAGGCTGACCAGAATCACGGAGAGGATTCGGTCAATAGTAAAGTCATGCTATATACCTCAAGTAACTGAAGAAAGTAAAACAACGTACATCATTCTGTCTTAGTAAAAAGATTGAACTATTACTTGAGAGCCACAGGATCTAATTCCATGTTGCTGTTGTTTTCTTGGCGTATCTGTATTCTGTTTCTTGCATCCCTTGATCCCGTGACTCCACCGTGGCTGGATCCCTGGTCATCCTGCCAGACAATACGGCCATCTCAGTCCAAAGAGCAGTAGCGCTCTTCGAAGGCATTGAAAGTCCTCCAAAGTGTCTGTCTCGTCCTTATCCTTGAGGGCGACAACAATCCCATCTGTGAGATATCTAGTGAATATCTTTGAAGATCTTACTCAGGTTTGATATGGATGAAAAAGGTTCAAACGCCTGTTGAACGGATTGAAGAGACGGTATAAAGTTCATGTTGCACGAATCGCGCATATTAAAACTAAAATAAAAGATATAAAAGGTGATATGTGCACGAAAACGTAGTAAATCAATCATAGGATAATATAGCAAAAGATATAAATGAATAGTAATCTAAGCTCTCCCACTGATTACTCTCTCTATGGCAGGCTAATGCTCCATCTCCCAATCTCTATTCGGTTGCAAAACTTGACTGTGGTGATGTGATCATTTCTCCTCTCCTCTCAGATTGCCTAAAGAGCTCCAGGAATGTTCATGAGCCAGAAAGCTCAGCGGCACGGCCGCCATAACCTAAATGAGGTGATGCTCCTTTGGAATATGGAAAACTTTTGACCCTCATAGGCTTTCGTGTCTCTGTTCTGATTCCATATGCCTGTCTAAGTCTTCATTATCATTATCCTCAGTAACCGTCATTTAAACGACCAAAATGGGGGTCGTTAGTGCAAAGCTAGTAGCCGGTGTGCAGAATCACCTGCGACATCTGCTATAACAATGTTAACATTACTTCCGGGCGGCACACCATTTGGTGTTTGGGCATGAGCCAGAAGAAGGTGATGTTGGCCAATTTGCATAAAAAGCTTACCATATTGGCATACACTCACTGGAGACTATCCCGGTTATAAACATGAACGCGATTGGCCATCACAGCGTGTACAGCGGCCAATTTTCCACATGTCCTAAACAAGATCGGGCAACGTTAAGAGTCAATTGGCCACAGAAATGTGTATTGCCAAAGTACTAATACAGTGTGGTGAAGTTGTTTATGAAAACAGAAATGGAGGGGCGCTTATAGACGTCTTTGAACTTGTTACCGGTGGACGCGCTAACCATACGCGTTATGAACAATATGAATCGTGATCGAAACTAAGTCACAAATTAGTCTCGTAACGAATCTTTTACACTGGTGGCCCACATGCTTATAGCTAATATAATAGGCAAATTTGTGAATAAAGTAGTTATATAATAATAATAATCTTAGAACCACCAGCGATGGTCGTAAACTTAGTCTTTATACCGCAGGGTCTCACGATTCACTGTAAACGTGTGTTTGTTGTTTACATTACATGGACCAGGTGTATATTAACTGTTTGTATATCGGTTGGTTCTCCTCTTCGGTTTGTAAAGCTGTCTTGTTCTGACACTCGGACTGTCTAGTTATTGTAGATATCTTTTTAGTGTAGTTGTTTTCTTAAGGTATGGTTTGCCATAATTTTGCTATCTACAAGCGTTGTAAAATTCTCAAAATCCAACATGATGGAAGAAAATTCATGATAGATCAATTCGTCGTTACAGCGTTTATGCAATATACTCTATCGGGAAGAATCTGAGCTATTAGAAGGAGCGGTTTAACACTTTCGCTCTCTGTTATGAAAAATATACTTCGGTTTCATGCAGGAAAAAAAAATAATCCTCAAGTATGTTTAAGGCCGTTTGTTTCAAGATTCGAATCCAATGCCCTAGTATCTAATAATAAGGCAATCCTCCAGCAGCACACGCGTTATCGGTTACTGAGTGTTTGTACGCGTACCTTAGCTCTAACTGTTGATCAACAAAGGCACCAGAGTATTGCCTAGCATGATAAAGAATATAACAAACTTTCATGTGTTTGCCCAATACCATGCTACCAATCCTCTCCCCCCTTTGAATGGTCAAAGTTCTCCTAACGAATCACTTTCAACTGCCCATTATTAACTATAATGTCTTTGTTGCTTGCCACTAACCAGTCCTCATCTCAGTTGGCTTGAGTTAAGCAAGAACTTCCAGAGCCGTGTCGATCACAAAACTCGAACTATTGATCGAGACGCTTGTTCAAATATGGGCAGCTCAAGCCCTTACCAGGCTGACACATATCAATGTCGATTTTGACCTGGAGGACGGAAACGAGTGCAACCAGCCGCCCAAATGGCACAAACAGAGTCGTCGCTCGGTAAAACACTACTGACGAGTATCGAGCCAAGTTTAGAAAGCTCTCCCTGCCGTCCTCTCAACATACAGCGTGAATAACTCACCACTATATACGAGATTGTCCTACTAACGCATACAAGCTGCCGTATAGAAAGCTGTTTGGGTCCTAGAAAGACTGGCCCGAAGTCAAACAGCGACAACTCCACATAGAACTTCACATTATACATATGTGATTACAGCCTCAGTGCTCCCGAACTAATCTCCAGAGCTACGAGAGGTGCAAACTTCGAAACGTGTCCTTGGTCAACTAGACGTTGATTAGTCTGAAGACTTATTGCGATTCAAACGTATTAATGTAGCACTGAGGAGAGCAGGTAGACATATCTCCGTATCGTACAATCTATCTCGAATATAGCCGCAACTTCCAGCCCATCGTCTACAGTGTTTATGTTACATGTTGTACGCTTTGAATTCCCAGTCATTAGATCAACGCCTGTCCCATGTACATGCTCTCTCTGACCTCGGCGACGATGTCTCTCCTGTCATCTTTGCCAACTAATACAACGCCTCTGCCTCTTCTGCCCATACGACCGGCACGCCCTAGTCGATGGATAAAATCAATTGTAGTATGTGGTACATCATATAGAATTACATGTCGAACTGCTAGAGTGTCGATACCTCTTGAAGCTAAGTCGGTGGCGACAATGACCTTGGTGTTTGGCAGTGATCTCCTGGCTGTAGTAGGTTTCGGAGCAGCCTCGATATTGGTTTTGAGGGGTTCAGTCGTCGTGAAAGTGCCCAGCATCTCGGACTGGCGGTGCTCTGAGGTGTCTCGATGAAGTGCCACTGCATCAATACCCTTGGACACGAGATAATCTGCGACTTCTTGTGTCTTCTCTCTTTCATTGACGAAGACCATAATTCGCTTGACATCAACTTCTCCTGGTGTGAATCCCTCATGGCGCACAGCATCCTTGCCGATTGACCAGATGGCATCGGCGCAGGCGAGATTCTTGTTGTTGCGGTAGGGGTCTTTGGATACGTCCACCACACCCAGCTGCACACGTCGGGGAATGGCGTGAAGGTTGGGGGTCGTAATGCGGACCATGTCTGGGAATTGAGCTGCCATGTAGTTGTCCAATCTCTTGGGGATTGTGGCGGAGCACAGAATCAGCTGCTTGACGGAAGGCAGAGCTCGATCCAGGATTTCAGTGGTAACAGGGGAGAAGCTTCGGTCGAATAAGGAGTCGGCCTCGTCGACCACAAGATGGGTAACCCGTGACAAGATGTTTGGATCCGAGTCTGCCATGGATGAAAGAAGATGGGGCGTGGCCACAATGACATCAATACCACCTGGGTTGTACATGCCCCTCTCGATCACTGTCGCAGACTTGTTCGCCGACAGCATAGCCGTCTTGAACTTGACGGCATGCGACAGCGACTTTGCCACAGCACCGATTTGATCAACCAGCTCCGCGGAAGGCACGAGCACAACAACCCTCGGTCTTGCAGCAGTTGGGTGAGGTTCGAATTCGCGAGGTCCGGTATAGCCTGGCTCCTGGATTGCTTCCTTGTGCTTAGTGAAATATTCGCGATATTTGGCAATTTCCGGATCCGTTGTTTCGGCCTCTTTCAGGGCATTGATGCAAGGTGCGAGGTATGCTAGGGTTTTGCCAGAGCCTGTCTCGGCCGCAAGCAGAAACTCTTCTCTGCTGGATTTGCTCCGCGGCTTGCGACCCTTGCCCATGTCCTGCCCGAGCAGCGCAGGTATCGCAAGTCTCTGCACTGGCGTAGGTTTGATATCAGTCATCCCCTTCAACACATCGTCGGTAATGGCGGTCTTGACCGAGGGTAGTAGGTCGAACCGATCGAACGACTCGATATCGCTTATCGTTTCCTTCATTCGCGACCTGTGCCCGTAGCCAATGGGTGCCAACGAACTCTGCATCTTCATGGCCTTGGTTCTCCGGTCGTTCTTCTTGCCTCTGTCTTGACCTCCTCTCGAGTCTGCCGATGCGCTGGAGGGTCCGTCTCTGCCACGAAATTCCTTCACGTTCATGCCGCCAAAGGGACCGGGTCTTTGTTTTGGTCTATCACTGTCTCGACCTCGATCGTTGCGGTGAGCGGGAGGTCGTGCGACATCATCCGAAAGCACCATGCGCGACGGACTCGAGGACCGGCCGGCTCTTGGATTCCTAGAGAATGCATAGGAGCGTTGTGCAGCCCATGGCTGACGCAAAGCCTGAGCGCTCTGTTGTCTTGTCGAGAAGAGACATAACGGACATATGCGGGCTGATATGAGTGACCGCATGGTGTAAGTTGTGGCAGCTGCGATAGTGCAAATGCGACAAGCTTCGGAAATTTTCCCATAAAGGGTTCAAGCTAGGATGACGTTCAAATGCATTTTTGTGCAAGTAGCCGTTGGTGATTATGCAAGCCTGCATTTGCATAAGTATAAGCATAATCCCTGAGGTTAGGCTACTATACTAACCTAACCTAGGTTAGTAGTCTAACCTCAGTTCCGGTCGGGGCTCGGGTTGTGTACGGATCCGATCCGTCCCCAGTAATTTACTGCGTGGATCCGTATTTGCGGAATAGATGTGGGGTTGCCTATTCGAGCTGTGCGCATACTCTCACATGTTACAGTAGGTACGTACGGAGTAAAGAGGAGGTTGAGGTCTGCATACTGCAGTCTGCGGCTGGTCGCGAGCCGTCCTTGCATCTGGAGGCACCGCGAATCCCCAACTCAGCGTTGCGCAAACTCTTGGCCGTACGTCACTAATTGCATCTAGCAACAACTCATAGGATGACATAGGCGACAGGCGAGAGATGTGGCGCCGCAGTGCACTCAAACATCAAATCTGTTTGTCCTCCACCATGATATCGGTGGACTTTGACCGGTGTAGCTTTTCGAGATGAAATTACGCCACCATGCGGGACAACGCGATTCTGCCTGACTTCCCTCTCGAACCACTTTTTTCTACCGTTGTCGGAACATAATGTCCATTTCGGGGATGAAGGCTTCATCAACGGCACTGAGGGGTTCCTTGCAGTTCTTTTCGGCTGCCTGTAGTTCATTGTATGGATCTTGGAACGCAACAAACGGGACACAAAGTAGGACGGTGACCACTCCAATGCTATGGGGTATCCCCCAAATTACACCCTGTTCGGAGCCGTATGCTGTGTCGCCTCGATCAGTACCGAGCTCCCATTTACGGTCGGCACTACTTCTGCGTTACATGACGAGGGCTGTGATTGGGCAATGTGATGGCACTACACGCCGTCAGTTCCTGCGACATATCAGTAACAGTCCGAGAAGCGTTCATGTTTGGAGAGCTTATTTCAACGCTTTTAGACGGCGATGACACATACAGAAAGTGGTCGTTGATCCTTCGCTTGGGAGCCCCTCTCTACACGACTCAATGTCACTACCGCCTTGCCATTCGTTTCGGGGAGAAGGTTAGCAATACCTGTCGTGGTCATCCCCGGAATGTTGCAGTAGATCAGATCATGCGATGATTTATCGAGTTTTTGTTAGGTGGCACGAGAGTTTGATGCAGGCCTGTCTCTCGGCCTATAATACAACTTGAGACCAAGCCTACCACTAAGAGTTGTTCGTTATGACGCACACATACCTCTCTAGGGACACCGCATGAGGGTTTGGTTTCGTGTAATTCGGAGAATGAGGTTGGCTCAGAGCTCGTCTATGGAAGCATAAATACAAGAGCTGCGATACCTGAGTTGTATATTGAACAGACCTCGATAGTAGCACCTCTTTTTCAAACACAATAACAGGCAAACTTTCTCACTTCCCAATGGCAACTTTCCAAACACCAGATCTCTTTCCAGGAGAACTAGTTTCTAAGCTGAAGCCAGAACGGCCAGCAGTCAAGATACGAGAGTCGGCCGATATATCAGATGAATCGTCGGAGACCTGTATCGGCACGCGGCCTGAACATGGGACAGCCTATACCTCCTTTCGAAACCCTGGCGACATCTCTCATCAAGTCATCAGTTCATACTTCATTGGTCCTCAAGCTGAAAATTTATCCTTTTTCGAAGAAAATATTCACACTATCCTGGAAGAGCTTCGCTTAGCTCGCAATAGATACTTCCCTGAAGATGGCGTGAGTGGTCGAGTGAAACCACACATATCTACTAAGACTCACTGTATATGACTTATAGAAATTCATCACCAAGGACATCCAAAAGAGTGTTGCCTTCAAGAATTCGATGAAGAAACTGAGCAACGCGGTCCAGAAGGCGGCTAACATTCTCGGTCGTACTTCAATTCCCTTTTGGTCTCCGCGATATGAAGCTCATATGTTAGTAGCCGTCCTCCTTGTGACAATATTCTCAGCTAAATATGCAACAGGTGCACCGATATGAGCATGGCATCGTTGCTAGGATACTTCATGACTATGATTTACAATCCTAACAATGTCGCCCTCGAAGCCAGCCCTCTTTCTACTATAGCCGAGATCGAAGTTGGTGAGCAACTGTGTGAGCTCTTTGGCTACAACATTGATGAGGACAACCAAGACGCGCCACTTGGATGGGGTCACGTCACTTGTGGCGGAACAGTGGCTAATCTTGAGTCTATTTGGTATGCCTGAAAAACAAAAAAAACAAATTTAAAAAGAGATTGAGTGCATTCAGTACTAATCAGACATATAGGGTCGGTATGTAGTGACAAACCTTGGTCATATAGTTGTTGATGCTGACAAAATTTGAGCTCGCAACCTGAAGTACTATCCTCTTTCCCTGCGGGAGGCGATGGAAGAGGATGGACCACTCAACTTCCTCAAGAACAGATTCTATATGGAGACCTGCTCAGGGGAGCAAAAGCTGTTCTTCGAACTTGAGGATTGGGAGCTATTGAACTTGAAAGCGACAGATATCTTAGACATCCCAGATCGACTGTATCAGGAGCACGGTAAAGCATCCTCCACTACAGCAGCTGAACGCTTGATACTCATGCTAACTTCTCTAAGGAATCTCCAATACTTATCTTTCCGAGGTAATGAAGAAGTATACCATACAGTCTACCGGCAAAGATGTTCTCGAGCAGAAGTACACGAGAGATAAGCCAGCACAGTATATGCTGGCGACTACAAGGCACTACAGCTGGCCAAAAGGTGCAGGTAAGTATATATATTCCGTCTCTTGAGTACCACGCTGATAAATGACATTTCGAAGCTGTTGCTGGGATTGGCTCTGACAATGTGATTGGTATCCCGGTGGACAATGGCGCTCGAGTGGATCTGGGGGAACTAGAGAAAAAGCTCGAGCAGAATCTCAAGAAAAAACAACCCGTTCTGGCTGTAGTTGCCATTATTGGCTCAACTGAAGGTACGTCGCCTCCTGCTTGAATTATGTAGGCTCCCGACTCACATATCTGTTCTCACAGAGGGCGCCGTTGACCCTCTGAGCTCAATCCTGGCTCTGCGGAAACAATTTCAGGCCAAGGGTCTTTCGTTCCTCGTCCATGCTGACGCCGCATGGGGAGGCTATTTTTGCAGCATGCTCCCCAGGGATTATCGTCCGGGAGATGCCGTCCATCTTCCAACCGAAGTTGGAGACACTGATGGCTTCGTCCCCGATGCAAGTCTTAGGGCAGAGACTCTCGAGGACCTGTATGCTATGAGGTTTGCTGATTCCATCACTGTCGACCCTCACAAAGCAGGATACATACCATATCCTGCAGGCGGTTTATGCTACCGAGACGGGAGGATGAGATACTTGGTTACATGGACTAGCCCGTACATATATCGTGGTTCTGTGACAAGTATCGGTATCTATGGTGTTGAGGGAAGGTAAGCAACCCAGCCAATAAGCAATAAACGCACTCCACTCATCGTCTGGATAGCAAGCCTGGTGCCGCAGCGGTGTCCGCTTGGCTATCGAACAAGACTATTGGTCTCAACCAGGAAGTGAGCAGCTCCTCGTCCCCCCAATCAGATTGTTCATCTGTCGGTTCCACACTTCACCTCTACAGCACAACGAGTTAATATCACGATGATAGGGTTACGGAGCGTTATTGTCAGAAGTCACTTGGACCTGCACGCGGGTGAGTTGTTCCTACCCACAAACAGTCGAAAATAAGACCACTAATGCACTGTAACTTTAGCTTTCTGCGGAATGGGCTGGTATGACCGACTCAACAAGCCCTTTCATCTGCGTGCCCTTCAACGAACTTCCGTCTGAACTTGCTAAATGCTCCACTCCTGAAAGAGTCGAGGCTGAAAAGGCTCGTATTCGCAGAGACATCATCAACAAGACCAACGCAAAGATTACCGAGGAGGACCTTGAACGACCTCAGGACCAGAAGGCTATGAAATTGATGCGTGAACTTGGCTCCGACCTCAACATCAATGCCTTTGCCGTCAACTTTCGCTATTCCGACGGTCGACTGAACGAGGATGTCGAAGAAGCCAACTATCTTATGAAGCGAGTCATCGAAGCGCTCTCTGTTGACAGCCCCAACGATGACCCTACCAAGATCCCGCTGTATTTGACTTCAACAGAGTTCTCTGATGAGCTTTATGGTAATTGCAAGAAACACTTTGCCGAACGACTCGGTCTAGAAGACAGCACCCAAGACCTCATGGTCCTGCGGAATGTCGTTATGTCACCCTTCCCGACCGACGGCAATTTCATCCACCGCTTGGCAAAGATCTTTTACGACACCGTCGAAAAAGAGACCAAGGTAGATTGACCATGTTTCGACCTAGACATCATATGACATCAGTATCTGACTGACCTGTGAACATTCTAGATTGTACGAGAACGGAACGAACTCAGCGAGGACCTTCACAGCTTCCTGATCCAGGGTACTGATCAGATCTATCTCATTCACCTGCCCATGTTCTATGTCGCAAACCACCGCCAGCAGTTGATTGTATCTGTCGACTTTGACGAGAAATCAAAGACAAAGTACAAAACCATGAAGAATGCCAATCCAACTGAACCCATGATTCTTTTTACTCAGCGCAGTACTTATCTACCAGATATCGTCAGCAATAATGGAACCTTCACTGCGAAGATCACAACTAAAGCGTCGTGAGTCATCCCTCAGCTCTATGATTCCTGTTAGTGAGCTTTCAATGACAAGTGATTTGTAGTGGCACGATCCTCAAGAACATCAGTGTGACTGTGACCTCGACAGTCGTCAGTCGGCCTCTGAACTCCAAGTGGCGTCTTCCGTCTTACCCGCAGAGCTTTATGCCCTTTTACCTCTACGGAACCCGTGAGTTACCAAATGTCTCTCAGCCAACCCTGGCAAGATCTGCGCTTACAGAATGCCTCTCAACCGCAGCGTCCGAGGCCAACATCGACCACGTCATCGTGCGCGCCCCCAACACCCAGCTGTCGGCCGGCCGCTGCACACTCAACCTCGAGGGCGACTCCACCGCCGACATGTGGACGAGGCCGCTGGTGCTGCTCCTGGACGACGTCTACGAGGAGTCCATGCAGCCCTTCCCCCCGAACAGCGAGATCGTCAGCAAGAACGGCGCCGTCATCGCGCACCCGCACGCCGAGACGCCCCCCAGGCATTCCATGAACGGCAGCGCCAAGGGCGCCCTCCCCACGGGTGCCGCCATCGTCACCTCTGAGACGCGTAGCGGTAAGCTGCGTAGCTCGGGCTTCTTCTTCCGTCCCGGTGCCAAGTTCAACGTCCATGTGTATGAGGACGGGAGCCGAGATGATGAAAGTGCAGCCTTCGCGAGCTTCAGGCTTGGTAAGGAGGTTGGCAAGGGCACCATCGAGCTGGGTCCGAGCGTGTATGTCGACAGTGAGGCGATGAACTTTGATCGGTTCAAGAAGGTTGAGAAGGTTACGGAGTGGAGGCGTGAGTTTGACCAGATTGGTAAGGAGCTGGACTAGGCATGGTATACACGCCGGGCGGGCAAGAATTCGTGAAAATGGAATCAAAATTGTGAGCCAAAAATGGAAAATGTCAACTTATTATGATGGGATTTGGAGCCGTCGACGCAAATTGCTTGTGATGATCGTGGACGGTGCAGCCGATAGCCGAAGAGCCACCTATATCAAAATATGACCCTTCATGCATTCAGCTGTTGTTCCTGCTGTGACATGTATGAGTATCAAGCTGCCGGCTCGGAATGCGGCATCTCGCTGTGTCCGGACACCTAAAGATACTTGGAGCTGTGAAGACGAAACTCATCTGTCCTTCAGGGGAATGTCTTGCCATCCATATCCCTTCACTTGCTCGTCTACATGAGAGAATTTCGAGATCTCCGAGGACTGCTTCCATTCTATGGAAGGCTTGTCGAGAAATCTAAAGCACAAAGGCCCTAAGTTGTAAGCTGCAGCCTGGTATGACTCATGGGCATATATAAATTCGTGATTATGGTATCAAGGTCAGCCATACGGGCGAGAGTTCTAAAGATGGGGGGAGTTGTACTATAACGAAGACCGTGTGTTCCTTTAGGCCAACAGGCATGGCTGACTTTGCCTAGAGAGCCTCTTACAGACGATAACATCGGCGACCGTAAAAGACTTGATCACTGCTGATGTGGGAAGTATATAGTCGTATGATGGACATGAAGTGGGCGCTTGAGAGAAAGTGCCCATCTCGTCTGCATCCCTGATCTCCACACATTGCGAATATGCTTGTCTTTACATACTACTGTAGTCTAGACTAACCTTAGACTAGTCTAGTGGGATATGATCTATCAAGGCTGCTTGTCGGTGGCACAAGCTTACACAAATGTAAGATCGTCAGAAGGCATGGATTATCTATGAAATACGCCAGAATACACGTGCCGTGACAAAATGAGCCAACGATTGACGACCTGCCACACGGGGAGTCATGACGACAAATGTTGAGCGAGCTGAAGGAAGTGGGGTCACGCTGGGGGGATTAACCTTAGTCTAGACCAGACTCACCTTGAGTATATGTAGCTTAGCTTGCAACCCCCCAAACACGCGTAACGCGTCGAGAGGCGACCATGTTTTTTTGTACAATCCCTCCCACACCATTTAGCATCACGGCCCGCCAACCCTCACACGGTACACCGCCTCAGCACCTTATTTCGGTTCGAGCACTGCTGGAGCCTGTGCGCCATACCGTGCATTCGTCTATAACAAACAGCACTACGCAAACCCCGCGACAGGCAAGGAGGAGCGCACTGGAGCTCAACAACGATGCCGCGTCCCACGAGAACCAGAGGCGCGTCGAGGCGCCCTGCGGCACCTGTCGCCAAAGAACCGTCACCGGCGCCGCCGCAGGACGCGGGTTTCAACGACATCTATGACACCAGTGACCGGGAGGAAGCGAGGCGACGGTCGCGCAGAGTATCTGAGCGCAGCACATCGAGGACGGCACCAGCACCGAACCCGCGTCAGGCAGCCGCAATAGAGGCGGCACGCGTGCGGCGCGACGCAGCTCTGAGCCGGCTGGAAAACATCACGTCCCCCTCTGCCACCGCGAACACAAATACCGCCGGGGAGGACACGGAGAGCTCGATTGAGGTAGAACTAGGCCGACGCGCCGTGGCTGCGACGCCTGCGCATGGCGCCAGGCTGCACGATCTCTCGGGCCTGGAGCTGGACGATAGCATGTTCGATGACCTGAACACCACGATAGACACCGCTGGGCCCGCGAGCGCGCAGAGATCCCTCGACACGTCGACGTTGTCGGCTAGCCATTTCAAGCGTCGCCCGCGTGCGGGCAGCTTCCTGAGCAGGGACGATGGCCCGGTGCGTCCTAGCAGTCGCGCCGGACCGAACACGCCTGGTATCAGCTCGACGTTCAACATTGGAGTATTCAAGAGGAGGGCGCGGGAACCGAGTATCTTGGGCACAGCACAGAAACCCCGTGCGGAGAGGCCAGTGCCGCGGAGTGAGAACGGCGACAGGTCCGAGGATGATGAGGCTGAAGAAGAGGGCGAAGAACAAGAACAAGGAGAAGCTACGGGCGGTAACCAGTTCTCACCCGAGGCCGAGTCGACACCTTTAAGGCGTTCTAAGAGGCAATCTGGTGCTGTCGAGCCTGCGGAGGGGGAAGGGGTCGTGGAGGTTCCCTCGAGTTTGAACAAGCGGAAGCGCAAGTCGACCGAGGCACATGAGCAAAGACGTCGTTCTTCTCCGCATGACGGTAGTGACGAAGTCATCCCTGCTACCGCAGAAGACCCCGAGGATGAGGTCGACGAATCAGCCCTTTCATCGCCCCCTTCGTTGCCCCCGGTGAGGAGGCAGAGCACACCCCTGATGGAGAACGTCGCTCCGCCGGAAAGCAGTGGGTCCGAAGACGAAGCGGAAGTCTGGCCGCCACTCCAGTCTCTGGCCAAAGGACGCTCGCGACGACCGCCCTCAGCATTGCGCAAAACCCCCGTCCGTGAGATCGCGCACGATGACAGCGTTTCTGACATGTCATCCCCGCCTTCCTTGACCTACTCACCAAACTATGCCGACCCCTCCCCGCCGCCTCAAAAACAGACGAGAGCAGCAGCAAAGCCCGTCACCACAGCAGATCTAACGGGCCTGCTTCCCAGGCGGCGCCTGAGGAATGACAAGAACGACCCCTTCGGCGGCAACGACTCGGATGACGAGGTAGTCAATACCGGTCTTGCCAACGACGAGGACGAGCTGTCCTACCTCGACGTCAGGACGCGGCGACGGCCGGCAAGACCTCTGTCAGGTGCGGGGAAGACCAATCAGCCCGCCAAGTCTACCCAGCGCAGCAAAGGCAAGGCGGCTGCTTCAGCAAAGCCGGCAAGGACGTATGGGCGATCTGCGGACAAGGAGAACCAGGAGGGGGAGGACGAGCAGGACGAGCAAGACGGACAAGACGATGATGCTGAACGGCAGGATAACGCCTCGGAAAATAGCCAGGAGCTGGTGGCGCGTGTGGGCGAGGAGCTCAAGAATGCGGCAAGGAAGTTTGCTGAGGTCGACAGGTGGGAACTTGAGTTTGAGGAGAACACGCAGAGCAGCTCTCCGCGGGATGCAAGGTAGCCCGGATCTCTACATGCGCAGCATATAGCAGAAATAGGCATTGGTTTTCAAGAAAAAAAAGCTTCGTGTCGTGTTCTGATGGAAGTCCTCCTGTCCAGCTTGCTACGTTGTACCATTGGCTTCAGCATCGGTTCGAGCAGGCAGGAAAAGGAGGGCAAAGGAATCAGCATTGAGGCGTTACATGGTATGGATGGAGATTTGTGATTCAGTTGATACCTTGGTCATTATCAAATCCAGACCCGCTGCTACCTGTTTATAACAGCATTTCCAATCCATTCTGAAGTCATGACTGCGAGATGATATCGCTCCACAGAACCAGTACGTCCTTATTCATGTCCCCAACCCAACGCCGGAATTGCCACGTATTGGTGTCGCTTGTCTCTCTCAAAATCGAGAACGAAAATTCGAACGATTGAAAACAACCTGCACCAACGAAGAGCGTTGGCAGACAGGTGATCCGCGTCTGGCTGGAATACGCTCAACCCGCAAACACTTATTATGCGTTGTGTTTGATACCATACTAGTAATCAGAGCAGCCAAAAGATTATGCCACTCCACATGTTTACAAGACCTCACAGTCGTAACAATGTTGAGCAGAGTTGCGCATGTTCGCGAGTCGGCCGTTGAGGGTGTTTGCCGTGTCGTAGCGACCTCGAATATCGCGGCTGGATTTCGAGTAGCTGACGGTCTTCGGCTGGCTGTGCAGTGTCCCTTTACAATGGCCAATGATTATGAAGACTCCTCTCACGGTGCCAGCGAAATGCTTTCCAGAGTCCCTTCCACCACCCGGTTCTTTAGTAATTCTGCGATCTGGTTGGCGTCCCTAAGAGCAGCGGGTACCTCATCTGGCCTCAAGCCAGTCATGAGCAGTTTCTAAGCACGAGAGTTAGAATCATAGGAACACAACGTAGCCACGTTGCCGTTGAAGAGGAAATAAACAGAGGAAAAAGAAGAAGAAGAAGAAGAAGAAGAAGAAGAAACGCATTGCTCACCTGTCGGACGTCGTCGAACCCTGTTTCTTTTGCCGTATACTCCCTGATCACCTCGTCGGTAGCAAAGTCGACGTAGATTCTCGTATCCCTAACTCTCACCACCACATTGTCCAGCCGCATGAACAATCTGGCGAGCAGCAACATGCGCTGCTCATGCACGCGCACCTTCACGCTGAACACACTGATGCCGTTGTCGTCCATCTCGCTCTCGTACAGTATGACGTCGTCGAAGAAGAGGATCGGATCCCTCCTCTTCAGCAGCTCGATGGGGATCTGGTGGTCCGTGGGGGCAAACCGTGGTGCCGCGCCGCCGTTGTGGCCGGTGGAGGACACGGTGCCGCGGTACTCGGTGCTGTAGCTCCAGTCGAAGGGCTTCACGACCTCCTTGATGCCGGCGCTGGTCCTCTCGCGGCTGGCGGACCAGTCGCGGGCGTATGAGACCTGCAGCATCTTCTCGCCCGTCTTGTCCACAGCATCGAGGGCGTCGCGCGCGCAAAAGGACACGGACCAACCCGAGGGCTCGTGGGAGACGGAGACCAGGTTGTCGCCGAAGATCATCTCGGGGACCGGGATGCCCAGGGACTCGGACATGGAGTCGATGGGGCCGGCCTTCGAGATGGGCAGCTTGCGCGTGCTGATGGCGAAGCGGCCCTGTCGGTGCGTGGCCGTGGCCTGGGCGACGGAGGCTGCCGAGGGGTACGGCTCGATTGGGGAGGTTATGTGGCCTGGAGGCCCCATGGTGAGGGTTGTGGGTATGGACATGGTGATGCAGAGCTCGAAAGCCGGTGTTCAGATGTTGACTTGCAAACAAGGGCCCTACATACGTTGCATACCATACAGATGTGACAGCTGTGGTGGGGGAGGGGCATTTTTGGTTCACTGCAAGCGGAATATTGCAGCGGACCGTCTGCCTTCAGTGAGCTGGACCCCGCTTTTGACAGAGCTGTGGTGGGCCGGGCCCATGTCTACAGTAACTAACCTTAGTTGGTCCAGGTTGCCTACGCGTGTAGGAGTCGAATCGCTCTTCCGCATTCGAGTAACGTCTCGTGAATGAGCTGGGGCCGACAAGTCAAACAGTCATAAACAACCTTCATTCCTCGGTGTTTTGCAAAACTCGTTTTCTCCGACTCCTCTGGTATTAGTCTGGCATGTTCGGACCTAACATCATGGCGAACACGTGCAACACGTAGGAAAATAATTCATGACCCTTGCTGATCCTGGGACGTTCCTCAGGCGAGGACACCGTGATAGGACCTTCTGCTGATATATTCTGAGGTACTTGACCAACCCCAACCTCAAGGCTTCTTATCTGTCCCATCCCAAGCATCTCATATCTTAGTGGATTAGAATTGGCAGGTACAGCCTGGGCTACGTTGTAATAATCCTTCCTTCAGCAGTGTGGTAAGGATAATATATGAGTGTCGACCACTCGCAAAACTGCTCAGGCATATGCCATGTGCCAAGGAAAGGCCGCCGAAGCATAATGAACACGAGAGGTCACGGCGCTTCGCACGTTCGGTCAGGGGGGTCGACAATCGAAAATAATGCGATTCGTCAAGGAACTAACACTTTCTGATGTCATATCCTCAAATTCCTTATCCATTTTTGTGTTTCTCCTACCATAATCCGCATTCCCTTATCTCAGTACAGTTCATTTCATTGGGTAATCATAAAAATCCTCATCCAAAGTATCCATACACGCCAACGCCTAGAATGAGAAATAAATCAAGCCATACATGCTCAGAGAACGTTGCAAGCCTCAGAGAAAAGCCTAAGCCTCCAAAGGAAGTGAAGGATAAGCAGGCTGCCTGGGGGGCGAGTCAATCTCCATAGAATCGGAGGAAACAGGAGAATCAGTAACGTAGTCCTCGCGCTTAAGGCGCTCAATAACGTATTCGCGGAGATATTCAATAACGCGCACGTTCTCTAACCAGGCCTCGTATGCCGAGTCGTCACCGTCGGCAGACGACTCGGCTGAGGGTGAGCTAACGACCGACTCGCTTGCCTTGGGGGTGGTTTCGCGATCCTCGGCGATTGAACGGCGGGCGGGGTTGGCCCGCTGCAACATGCCACCAGAGTATCGACGGCGCGGGTCGGGATCAAAGGTAGGTCCCAAAGTGGACGTGGCGGATTGTCCCGGGTAGCCAGAAGTCACGGCCGGCAGCGTAGGGTATAATGCCGATGTAGAGCTGTGGCGGGAAGTGGGCGAAAGGCCGGACGACGAGGCGCTAGGGGAGTGCCCAGAGGTGTATGACATGCTGCTGCTGGGAGGTGTTACAGCGGGTGTGCCGTTCGAGTGAGTTGACGAGCCAGCAGTCAGGGGTGATGCCATGTTCTGAGGTTGCGAGTAAGCTGGCAGAGAGGGGTGGTGAGAAGTGCTGGTTGTTTGAGGCGGCGAGTGACTGTTTCGGAAAGCCAAAGGCACGTAGTGAGAACCAGGTTGGTGGATACCAGCGGCGGCAGCTGTGTTAGAGTTCTCGTAGACGGTGCTCTGCATCTGCTCCAGGATCTGGTCGATCTGGATAAGATCGCTCTTGGTGCGAATGCTGGGCATAGGAGGCAGAGTATAGTGTTGGGCATATGGGTCGCTAGCACCGCCCCCGACAGCAACAGCTTGAGGTGCGGGCATGTACTCTGACGCTAAAGCAGAGAGATTGCCATGTAGCGGCATCAATCTCTGACCAACCTGCGCATAGGACGCAGGGTCAAGGTGACGGCGCTTGGCATCGCCAAAGAACTCATTGAGCATATCATATGTGCGCTTACGGCTGTCAAACTCGGCAGCAGCAGCCTGGTATCCAATATGATCACCGCGGCTACCTAAGGGCTGGTAGTACATAGGTCCACCATAGGAAGAAGGCTGGTGCTGATAGTAGCTACTAGGATGGCTGCCAGGATGCGGCTGGCCAAAGGCGGCCGAGTTAGTACGGATCTGGCCATTGTGATCATAGTAGCTAGAAGGAGCTGGAGGCGGATTAGCCTCGATTATAGGAAACCAAAGGGGATCGAGGTTGGGCATACCTTTGGATTGAGGCCTATAACCGCCTCCCATGCCTGCGTGCTGATCAGGTGATCTGACCAGAACGGAGTCATCGGCATGCGTCTAACAAATATATTAGTACATAATTCATACCGTACATGTCCTACAAGAGGAACAGGAAAGACGGATGATTCATAATACACATACCTTGACATGCTTCTTCAGATCCTGCGGTCGCTTAAACGATTTGCCGCAAAAGTCACATTTGTGTGGCTTCAGAGGCACGTGCACACGAATGTGCGACGTGATGTGATCGCGCTTGACAGTTGTGGTTCTGCAAGAGTTCCATTGGCAAGTCAAGTTCAAGTTGTTAGTGCTTTTACGGCCGACATGGCGTTCGCAGATATGCTCCTATAGAAGAGTCAGCGGGTGTTACTTAACATAGATGTCCACAAACGTTCCAAAACTACACATAATGACTTGACTTACATAAAGGAGTTCTGCCTGGGTAAACCTTTCATTGCAGGTTCCCCACCGGCAAACAAGAGACTCCTCGGCTGATGAGGATGAGGAGGCAGTCGTGGCCGATGTGGTGACAGGCGTTGCTGTGCTGGTGGTCTGGGTTGAAGTGCTCGTGGCGGTTGTCGCGGTGGTGCTCGTAGATGGGGCTGGAGTCCCACTCGACGCCGAGCTATCGCCACCAGACGCAGCTGTTGGCGGGTTGTTATCAGATGCGTTCGTTGACATCGTGTCCCAATTTGTGTCCGAAAATCGATAAAATATGTGAGATTACCCTTTGCAGTCGTAGTGTATAAGATGGCATATAAGGAATAAACTCCTTAAACAAGCTTCAATATGTTGTGGTTGATCAAAGGTCTCTGCAGGGAGAAGGGAAACTGCGTGAGATGGGAAATCATTCTGCTTATTATGGTTCATCAAGCTCGAGTCGTCGCTTCTTGCCAAGCCATACGGCCCAAAATGCGTTTGACATGACTTCCGATTATTGGTTCTTTACGCTTGCCAAGGCCTTGGCAAGTCTTGGCAGGTGAGCTCCTCATCACGGTACCTCCAATGTCACCTATTCTCTGCTCTGATATGTCGTACCACGCTAGCATGATTTTGCTTGGCGAGGTGGAGAATCTCGGAAGTCTGGGCAGATTTTGCTTGGCCACCCCCAGACGCTCTCCTCCCTCCTACCACGAGCCACTTGGCGTTCTCTGTCGCTCTCTCTGTCGCTCAGACGCTCTTCAATTTCCTACAAAGTACAATTCGTGCTAACGAGGAACTTTTTGTCTGTGATTGTTCAAGGGTGTGTAAGGCTTGATCTCTTGAGAAGCGGCATTCAACCAGTGAGCACTACTTGCGACCTTGTGTCGAATGGTGAGAAGGTGAAGTCCATTTCCTACTTTTGCCGTGGACCGAACCATTAGCTGTTACAACCTCTTGGCTTATGGGCTCCGCCACGGCCAAGCTCATTCCGCTTCATATAATTTTGCTTGGCCCTGTTGACTTGGCATATCTTGTTCAAGAAGGTCCTGTTTTCGCTTGGCGTTCTTTCTGCCAAGTTCTCCCGCGCGCTGCCAGTGAACGGGGAACAAGAAGCGCGATCAATGGTCGCCCCGTCGTGTTTCTGCAGCAACTTTGCTTGAATGCTCGAATGCTAATCCACAGCGCAGACACTTCGCCCGTGATTTATGGATATGTCGCAAACAACACCACACAGATATTCAGGCGACAAGCGGCTCTGATTCTTTGGTCTGAGTTCACTTGTTTGAAGACAAGGGAACCACTGTTTGGCTCTTTTTCCAGCCGGGAAATGCGCGAGGGGATCCCATGGTCAGTCCGTATCGACATGTTGTTTAGAGTTCGACGAACAGCGGGCAGTGTTAGCAACACGCGCACACCGCATCAAACCACCAAGACTGTGAAAGGTATGACGTCTTTGGATTTCACATCATCACACCTACTCAGCAGTGTCTGCTTCATTCAGGACCGATCATTGGGATTCACCCACACTTAGCAGCATGGCCTACTCGAATGACTCTTCAAGATGGGTCGTGACTCGCTGTACTCATTCACTCAATGCAAGCCGTTATACTTCCCCTATAGGACTATTAATCAGTTCACACTCCATATCTTAATAGAAACCCATAAGGTTTCAGAGTTTTGGAACTAAGTGCCACAATCGCATTCGCGCCAGAGTAGAGACGGGGACGGCTCTGGGGCGATGGATACATCGCCCCCCGTAAAACAGATTGTCTAGATTGTCTTACAACTGACCAAACATTTGAGGACCTCTCACCCCTATCCAAGAGTTCCGAGTCCCGCCAAGTAGTCGCCAAGCAGCGGCCAAGCTGTCTCACCAAATAGACCTGAGCTTCGCCGGAGCCAAGCCAGTCTAAGTATTACGAATACGCCTGAGTGTGCCCAGCTCTTGCCCAGAATTCCCTCATTTGCCGCAAGTCTCGTCTCGTGTCCAGACGGATCCCAATCTTTCCAAGAAATGCCGCTGTGCGACTCCGAGCGGAGGTGTCATGGCCAAGATCGCTTGTTAGGCCAAGAATCAAAGCTGGATAATGAGATCAATTACGAATGGCAAAGCCTACTATTAGGAATATCCGATGCTCCTTGGCAAACCTCCTGATAGAGAGTTTTAACGCCCACCTTACAGTATCCATACTTACCTTATTGCCAATTCAGTGTGGATAGGTACATGCAATTCTCGAATTTACCTGCTTGTAGTAAAAAGAAGAAAAATAAGGGAAGGGAAGGGAAGGTGAAGGGGCTTTCCTACTGATTCTTCCTCTTTCATGAACTGGCGATTGATGATATCGTGAATGAGCCCATTTTGGGGCCATTACACTTAGTTCAAGGTTGCCTTTGCGATAATCATGAAGTAGCTTCCGTGCAAGTCCATTTGGGTAATGAGACAAACGTTTTCACTTCCTTTGTAGAGGGCAGCTGGGTTTTGAAAGACACTTTTCTTGAATCGTCCAAATCCCGATCCTAGAACCAACCGCTGGAGGGATGCTTGACGCCCTTCTCGCGCATTAGGCGCCGATGACTAGAAATAAGCGCTGCTCTGGATCAGTAAGTAGTGGAAATGCTTTCATACACACGTTAGCATTGCCAGAGAGACGACATGTACGATTTGCGAAGATTGTACCAGCTTCTCAATACCAAGTGAAAAGTTTTGTTTGTATTTTTGTGTCTTTCTTTGCTATATCCCCTACTAGTGTTGTTAAAGTCCTTGCGTATATGACGACTTCGTTGCTATTCAAAAATCGACCTCATTAACCCAGAGAGAAAAGCATTCAGTTGTTCGCATGCGCAAAAATGGCGGCTTGACACAGATCAGTCTCAAGAAACCGTGGCTTTACGTATCATGGTACTCCTGGCTTGACCCGCTGATGTTATGACAGTGAAACACCACGTCGGCGTTGAGAATCCACCGGAACAGCACCTAAAATGTCTCAACACTTTTGACTGTTTAGCTCACGAAGCCACTCAGCGAGTATTGTTGCTTGTCTGTGTTGCCACATTTCTTGTGACCATTGTGGCCGACTCAAGAAGTGTACCGACCGTGCTCATACCCGAGAAATGGCAACCGTAACACGTGTATAGTTACGGAAGAACCGAATTCTCTTGATATGAGCTACAAAATCCCCAGAAACATTTTCGACGTTAACCGTGTTGTTATCCATGAGTGTCAGCTTCAGTAAATGCACATGCAGCTATTTCTTCACGACACCTAGCACACATACACCAGCCGCCTAAACTCCCGCGTGCCCATTCCCGACGGTCTTGAACGGATAGGCTGACGTCGCAGTAGTGGTTGAGGATTTCCTCGCCTTTCCGGATGCCTCCGGGCCTATTTCCGACAACTCGTGTCTCCCTAGCCTTGAGGACCATGCGCCCTCCCCAATCCCAAGTGACATTTGGGTCGCAATCATGGTTTGCAAGGCACCAGAACGGATGTACAGCAGCCACGTCGGGCCTTCCATCTCGTGGGTTTTTTCGGGCGGAAGCAGTTCCACGGAATTTGCTATAGAGCGTATTTAGCACCCATAAGTCATATTCTGACAAACTGGCGTATATGTTCAAGTCCATCTTCTCGAGAATATGAAAAGGGGTTTCGATGTTGTACTTGAAGGAAAACGGCAGCGTCCACTCAGGGGGAGGTCCGGCGTTTGGTGATAAGTCGATCTCGTTTGACTTTGATGCAACGAAGTCACCCCAAATGTACTTGATCTGATTGACATCCAAGGGATGTACCTCCTGATGCGCAGCCATGGCAAGTACACGAGCAAGGAGCAGGAGGTGCAATGCCTCATCCGATTCTCTAGCGTCCGTATCTTTGGCTATGGAGTCAACATCCTTCTCGCACACCGCAGGGTGATACAGTTCCTGAGCCTTGTCGTGACAGAATTGGCCGCAGAACACGGTGTCATAGCATTCGTCACAGTTCACTGCCGTCGACTCACTGCCTAGAGGCGGAAGATCTTCACTGCATGCATCGCAGACAGATTCCTTCAGACGATTATTGGCTGTAACGAGCGAGTATTCTTGAAGCACAATCTCGCCACCGTTGATGTCTTCTTTAGCGAACACACCTAGTTGTTTGCAGGTAGGTATAACCTCATAATTATCCATATCGCTGTCAGCGTCGAGTAATACAGGCAGGGTTGCCACCTGAACTTCACATTTCGGTGCCATCGTGGATAACTCCTTGTTGAGAAAGCCGAGTGACTCGTCCGAGAAGCGGTCTGGTTCATGGGTATTCCAGGGATAGACCTCTCTTCGTACCATGCCCCATTCTGGCAGACGGCTAGAATCGAATGTATCCCAGCGCAGTCTGCGCTGAGCAACTGTTTTGATGTAGCTAAGCACATTGAGAAGCTCCTGGTTCGCTGGCGCTACGGACAATCCACGCTCGCAGAAAGTGTGCGCGCTCTTCAAGCAGCCAACGAGAAGTAACCCCAGACTCAATATCTGATATGCCCGCACTGAGCCTACCAGAGCCAAGGTCTCTGCATCGCGAGCATCTTCGTTCCCGGCCATTTCGCCAAGAAGTCCATGATCGAGTACTGATGGAAGTGGTGCGTCGTGATATTTCTGAAGGGCTTCGAGCGCTTCTTCATGATACTCGAAGCTTTGGTCGCGAACTTCGTCTGTAAGGATCAAGGCTCGGTATGCATCACCCGCAGCAAGGTCCGGGTAGCCCAGATCAGAGTAGATGAGTGCTCGGCGCAGATAGGTGACCAAATCATAAGGGTTTTCTAGGAGCTCGTTCGTCAGCACCTGACGTGCTGTCAATAGCCCCTCTACGCGGGAATCGCCGTCAGTAGATGAATCGTCCATGGTGTGGCGCGGAATCCTGGATCTGATCGAGATGGTGTTTGTAACACAGGGTGTGTGGAGTGTAGGGTCGGTTATTGGACAGCCATCCCCCGACTGGAAATGCGCCAAATGTGAGACCCAATGAATTCCGTCCGGCGCCGGTCGAGAAAGAATGAAAAAAAAAAAAAAAAAAAAAAAAAGGAGGGTTGACGAGGCCCGTAGGACACAGACTGTGTCGGCAGGAATGGTCGAGATCAATCCTTCAGTGAGAATGTCAACGAGCAGATGAAATGCTTGAAATGACGTAGCATATCAAGGAAAAAGGACCCGACTTGTGCCTGTCTTCAAGGTCGCAGTGCGGAGGGTCGCGATGCGGAGGGGCGCGATGCGCAGGGTACCGGCTAGACGAGTCTGGCTTTCAGCTTTTAAATAGAAGTTGGGTGGGACTAAGAATTCGAGCTGGAGGAGGCCCGCTGGAAGTGCGGTAAATGTAAACGGCTTTCTTGAGGTGGGCAACCGGCTTCACCAAGGCGTCGCTCGGGAAGGGAGGGCGGTAACGCGACCCGGAAAACGTCGACAGCGTCCGAGTGAGGGTGGCCAGACGAGGGGAGTTTGGGAACTATGGGAAATTGGGAGGCCAAAGATGGTATTTTGAGAAAAGGACCAAGGTAGATCGATGGGCTGGCAAAAGGCGGGTCATCCTTGGAAAGTTATTTGCGTGCGCATCTGCAGCGTGGCAGGGCCTTCCGACGACCCCTCCATAAGACCCTTATTTTCAGGGTCTAAACTATGTAATGAGGAGGGACGTGTCCGGTGGCCAACCAGCGAATAGTATCTGCAAATTCTTGAGATGCCCTCATCTCCTTGGAGCTCGTTGCAACTCATTCCATCATCTTGATTCATGCCATTGGCGGCAACAGCCTCGTTATTATTCCTTGTCATTGGGATTGCGCGAATTCCACGAGACTATCAATCAATGTTTTCATTTTTCCGTCCAAGGACAATGACTTACAGTCTTCGCGGTTCGTGTCAGAAACTTGGTAAGCCCAGGGACCGGAGATGGGCAACATACTGGGATGGTATTCCGAACAAAAAAAAACCGCTCTTATTCCAGCACCACCCTAGCATTCCCATGACTCCCTCGCCCCCCTTTTTTTCGGGGACATTAATAAATAGGATCTTTAAAAGGTTTGCTGACACTGCTTGGTTGGCATGTGCCGCATATGCAAAACAAAAACGAATATCCTTGCTCGTGCTGCTAGACTCGTCATGTTGAACTGGACCTTTCTTGGCTCATTTTTAAATGGTGTGCAAATATTTTAGTGTAGGAAAGCTACGGCAATGTGGTGTGCGGCTCCATTTCATATTTATGACGTCGATACTGCATGCGTTGTGAGAAATTTCAACAGGTTGGTTACGGAATACCCGTCTCCCGAAAAATACCAAAATGTGTGGGGTACCGGTTTCAAGAAACAAAGGCACCTAATGAACGGCAAATCAAGTATGCAATTCACGTGACGAAGAAAACGAATAAAAATGATGGAAATAAGGCGTTACTGAAAACGAAGAAAACATACGATATCTAGGATCCATAATCGTCACCGACCAGAGAGTTGGCTCATCTATTGGTTAAGCAGCAGAGACAAGACAAGGCATGACGTATTGGGCTGGCTCGCTGCAGTAGTTTTGCCAAACCGGCTGCATCCATTTGGCACTATTCCGCTCTTTGAACATCTAGAGCAAGCAACTCATGAAGATGGTGCTTCCTTGTAGACGAGTCTATGGGGATTTAAATCATGGACACAAACTTCGGTGCCGAACTCTTGGTGGAAATGACAAGTTTGTTATAAGGTGGCGCAATAAGGCGTACGGTAAGCTACCATAAATCTGCAGCTAACAATGGTAGGAAAGGGATTGTACCCAGAAAGCACTTACTCATGTATTTAGCAGACTCAAGGCATATGCTGGATGGACATTGTAATACGCATTAGCTAGATTTCATGCCAAGTAGTGCGGGGGCGGGTGGAGAGAGGCTGTTGCAAGGCTCATCACTATCGTCCTCGCAACACCATCAACCAAATCGTGAGCATATACAGGTATATGGTAGTGTATCAAGTGACCTTTCCCCATTTTGACGTACCAAATCTACACCAAGACTTCTTCATCTACCATGAGAGAGAGAACAATTCCGTCGATTAGCCTGTTGTAGAACTTCGCCATGGCTAGATGTATATATAACAGTACGGACCCACGACAGAGCTCACATGGTTCTTGATGGCCGATGGTGGCGTCTCTGCAGGAGCTGCGTACATCAGGCCAAGAATGTCCCCGACTGTCGCATTACGACTCAGAGGATCGTCTAGTAACGTCAACGTTGCATCAATCTGAAAGGCCCTATCGACTGGTTTTTGGTTTTGACAAGTCCACCACGAGCGATCAGTGCCACCGTGATGCAGCCAGAATAAGGGGTCATTAGGTATGTTATACACCTAGTGGTTTAACTTCAGTATTATGATTAACACAGCTCCCAAGCGTCAGGAGCTATAATGCAAATAGTTACATCGCCACCAGGGTCAGCAGCCCAAGTAAAGTGACCTGCTCCATGCTGGCCAGGATCACATTGGTCGAAGGGCTTGCCTTGTAGACGGTCTTGTCATGAACCGATGCCCGTCTGATTGTTGGAGTTTGTCAAACGGTCCAGATGTTTTGCGTCAGTTGAGAATGTGGCCGTGATGTTGGGAGATATGTCACGTCGGATGCATCTTGGACCATAGCTTAGCTTCGTCCCGGCATATGGACCTGTTTCAACACAACCACCTCCGCGCCCCTCGACAACGGGAATACAACATGCACACCCAGGGACTGGGCTTGTACAATTATGAGAATCCCAGACACCATTCCCTCCTTGGGAGTACTTGTCACCGTTCAGGTGAGGCGAGTTGAGCGGACCTTTCGCGGTCTTCCCCCAATTCCAGTACGGCAATGTGCCCTTGGCTTGTCAGCACAGTATATGCATATACAAGGCCGGGAGAATCAACATGCTTGGTATCCACACTCATATTGCAAATCTCGTTCAAAGCTGTAGATAAAATAGCGATGCCCATGATAGAAAGGAGCCAGTAAAATGAATTATTTCCGTTTGGCTGACGTGGATAGCGACGAAATCGTCGTACCGAGATTTGGCACCAGGGGCGAGGCCGTCTGGGATTTACGAAGGCGCATCCATGAGGCATATTACTGGAATATGTGAGTCACTTCAAATAAAGAACCAAATTTGGTGAGGATCATCTACCAGCTTTTGTGTACGCGAGCTTCTCTGCGTCTGTCAAGTGGGAGTATTCTCGTCTAATCGAGAGGTTTGAGAGGCTACATGCCTGGGTTACATTCTGGGCAGCGAAAGTCTTTTTCAAGCTTCCATCTACGACATCAGCTGTCAGCCTAATCAGCCTTTTGGCAGTTTCTAGGTCGGTGCCAAATATCGACTCGGGAACCCAAACAGCGAAGCTGCCGGCCACTGCAGACACTGCTGTGATCCAAGACGGCTTCATCATGTAGAGATATCAGACTTCAAAATCACCAAAGCAAGAAGTATTGGCAGCGATGCAGGGTGTGACTGAAACAGTTCACTGGCGGCTACGGAAGAGGGAGGTTGTGGTCATCCCACGTGGGAATATGCGTCAGATATACAAAGGGTGATCACAATGAAAATAGTCGACTATTTATGGTAGCATCGACATCCTGGGCAAATATTGATTGTACGTTACCAAAGTAAGAAAGACGACTCTATGGCTAAATGATTGATAACATCCTTGTTGTGAGTAGATGAAGGGCAAGGTTCAAAGGTCGAAACAGATGTTGTTCTTTCCGCTAAGTGTCATGACCACATACATACTCGTTACAACGTCTACAACATGATATGCAGGGCTCTGGTGATGGATAAACAGGTGAACAATCGGATTAGTGCTGGTCTCTACTAATATTTCGGAAATAATGTTAAAAGGTGCGTATTGGTTGTGCGACTTGTTTGTTATAATAACGACACCAGTGTTCAGGCAACTGGGTGGAATATGTTCTTTGATAGACTCGATTCCTGGGATTATGGTTGCTTAGTATGTCTGATTTCAAATTCAGAAAGAGATGATTTGAGTGTCTCTTACATGCCAGAATCAAAATTTTGAGCTGGTAAAGTCCGTGGGTTAATACTCCTCTTGCTGTCATCACCCACATCCCGCATCCGCGGGCTCCACCAGTGACCCCAGTCCAAAGTGGTCTCATCAAAACCATCCTATTAAAGTCCTCGTTCACTATTCAATACTTTCGTATTATGAAAAGAACCTGGTTGATAAGCTCGCTACCATCTGCAGTCTGCTCTTCCACGAATGATCTGTCTCACGAAATCGTTCTCGTGGGAGGATTTCAATGCGACTAGATGGGACTTCTTCTTTTCTAAGCTTGATCTCGGCCATCAGAAGGAACAGAGTTCAATGCCTGCGAAAAGCGCAAACACCTGGTGGAATTAAAAGTTTGGACAAATTTGTCCAAAGACTTTAAAGTTGTGTACCAGCAGCATGAGTTGTCTTTCGGCTGACGCATAACCTTGTACAGTCCACCAAAACAATGGGATGCCTCGCAAAGTCCTGCTGACAAAGACATGCACCAGAAAGCGTTTACGCTCGCTGATTCCCACGTTGAACTGATCTAGGTTTAAGTAAGGAGTCGACAGCTCTCAGGGTGTGGGATTGTTTCCGGAAAGGAACGCCCCTAGGAGCCGGGAGTCCACTCTGGACTTTCCCATCTGAAGATGAATCCAAAAATCCTGCAAGAATATTAATGACACATCCACAGGTTATCCATGGTTGGCCCAAAGTAAATCAAGGTCTCCGCCGGCCCGAACAGTCAGGTATGAACTCGTCCGCCGGTTGGCTCGGAAATAGCATGCCTCGCCTCGACCATTCTGCGCAGCCTATATTATGACATGGGCCGCGCGTTACAAACTCGCCGCTTCAACATGCCCTTGCATGGTATATTGAACTAGCCTTGGCATGCTGCGCTCAAGATTGCCGGCAAAGTGGCACAAGAGCGATGGCACGCATTTTCTTTGTGTAGTTTCAGGCGGATCTCCGCATATCTCTTGCTTAGACTCTCTTCGCTTAAAGGTCTGCGTTGAATTTATTGTGGAATTAACTTGTGGTCTAAGCCGTCAGCCGCGATTGTTATGTGTAAGAAAGACATGAACAACGGCAAACCAGTGTGGCTAGAAATGTGGACGTCGAGAGTGAGAAATTTGCTAGGTTCTCCGTTGTGCCTCAATGAAACACCGGTGATATCGGACCATACTCTGCGCGGTGCCCAGGCATGGTTGCTTTGCCTCCTAGACGGCGGCCTGCTGCAAAAGATTTTGTTAGCTGCCAAGAACTTGGTTGATCGAGAGAGGATGCATGGTCATTGTGTAAGCACATCAGTCACATACGAGGATAGATAGTGAGCGCCGAAGAATATTTTATGTGGGATCTTGGCAGGAGAAATAAAATCGAGGTCGCAAGAAAAGCTTGAACTGCTCACTATTGATTGTCATTATCCGTAATGACGTCCGCGGGTGATATCGCCTCTAGAGGTCAAACAAAGGCCTTCTAATGAGCGAATGGTCTTTGGAGTTGTGGGTTTTCTGACATCTCTGTCTCTGATCGCCGTAGCGTTGCGACTCTACGTTCGTCATGTGATTCTAAAGACTGAAGGATTAGATGACTGGTTTATTATTATTGCAATGGCAGGTCCAAACTCGTCGGTCCGATCTACCATTTACATCAGAGTTGGGAGTAAATTGACCAATATGAACCACCAGCTTGCAGGTATTGATGGCCTAGTGGGTTTCGTTGGAGGCTCTCGAAATGGATTGGGTCACCATATCGACGATATTGGTATTCCAGAGGAAATGGAGAAGAAGACTAAATGGACATACATCCTGATGATTCATTTCATTACTGGTATCAGTGGTCAAACTCTCTATTTCTTGTTTTCTTCTTCCACTTGTTGAGGGCAAGTGGTATAAGCTCTTCCTAATAGCCATAATGGGTGAGTACTTTGAAACATCAATCATTGTAACTAGGCCGCGTCCGAAACATTTGTCTAGATAATGACTTCGAACAGTCTTTATCGTATTGATAAATATTGCATGCGACGGTCCGATGATAGTTGAATGCATCTCAGTCTCCGCCATTTGGAAATTTGAACGACCCCCATCCGCCAAATGTATCTCACAAGATGCATCCAACAAAATTGGAATTCTCAACGGTAGTAAGTCAATAGTCATATTGCGTTCTTACACAACACCTTACTCAAAAGGTGTCAATGTTTTCACAGATTTTGTTCTGGTCATTCTCCCCATTCATACTGTTATGAAGTTGCAAATGAACATGAAGAAAAAGATTGCCTTAGTCTGCATCCTCAGTTTAGGTCTGTTGTAAGTAGAACCCAATTACTACGTGATGCACATACTGATTCTTACAAACGCCTGTATCATTGCCACTGTCCAGGTAGCCGTAGGCGTCAAGTTCTTCACAGCCGAAAATCAAGATTATACATGGTAGGAATATGTTCTTCGTGAAATCTAAAACTTCTTACTACTGGCTTCTGTTAAATACAGGGACTGTGTCGCATTCATACTTAACGCGTAGGCTTGCCCATTTATCCCGCAATATACCTGTACTGATCGTGCTGCAGTGTTGAGCTCCATATTGGCATCATTTGCGCATGTCTACCTTCATTTCGGCCCTTGTTTTCCAAGATGTCAGGTAGCACAACAGATTATGCCTCCGACGATCGCCATACATCTCGCTACGGCCGACGGATCGACACTATGCATTCGACTCGAAACGGATACCAAAGACAAGACGATACTCCCATAGATAATTTGAGACCGTGGTACAAGCGTGAAGCATACAAAATTCCAATTATCACTTCAACAGGCTATGACACAGGGGACACAAGCAGCGAAGATGGAATACTAACATCCAAAGGGCATATCTTCGTGAGGAAGAAAATCTCGATATCAGAGGGAAATTTCCTCGGGGGTTGGAGGCAAAATGTATATGGCAGAAGAGATATAGAGAGGCGGTAACGAACACGACGAACGAACTATGCAGCCAATACATGGTAAACGTTATACATGCCTCGTATCGTACAAAAACAAATGTGACTCCCAAACGCCAAGTCATGATTCAGATCTCGTCGGCTCCAAGCTTTATTGCCCGGGCTTCTTGCTCTCGGCTCCCTCCTTTTGCATGCCCTCGCATCCGGTCAAATTGCCGGCGACCTGCTCAACCGTGCCATAGCCTTGTGCTGAGGCATCACGGTTCTCGCCAGCTGCTTTCATGATACCAGCAGCATGGGCTTTGGTCTGCTCTCCAGAGCTCTGCCAAGGGGCTGAGCCTGTCACGCTACCGATCGTTGACTTGATGGAAAGTTAACATTGAGCATCTGAATGGGAGAGCTTAGACTCGTGTACCTCAACCACGCCCTTTACGTACTCGGCGTGTCCAGCAACAAGGCCAGGCTGTTGGTTCTGGTTGTTCTGAGACGACATGGTGAATGTGGAGTTGTTCGGAGGATTACAGCTGTAAATTGCTTTGCAGGAAAATGGCCTAATAGACAAAATTGGATACCTCTAAGGAAACGTTTATATGCCTGTCTTTGTCGCCCCAATGCAATTGCATAAAATCATGACGTAGAGTATGATGACGTCATGAATATGTCCTGTAACCATATACTGCAACGGGGTGTCGTCTGACATTAGGTTCAGAGCGCCCTCATAAGTGACCGTGCAAACTAGGGAAAGCTCGGTAGCGACCCGCATGTTCGATATCTCGGCTCATTTAGTATACCTCGATACATACTTTTGAAACCGTTCGATCAACCAATCCTTGTTAAAGTGCTGGGGAGCGAGAAAGAGTATTCCCTCGATCCCATGTTAGTTAGTCCCTTAGGTATGTCCGAACTTAGCCCGCGGTCAATGATGTAAGTACGGGGCTTTGCCAGTGTAACTCTAAGAGGAGGAAGAGGATCTAGAGAAATCTTAGTAGCCTCGGTAGTTCACATGAAGCAAGTATATTGTTTCCATCTCCCTCGCTCATTGATGTTAACAACTCGTATATCGAACAAACTCTACAAGCATTTTGTAAACAACATTTAACAATGGCTTCCCAAATCGGTCTAAACTACCCGGTGCTAGCACCTCTATTACGTATGTGATGTGATTTTCTAGTTCCGCTCAACCCTGTACTAATCGTTTATTTCTGTAGCGGTCACTGGCAGTTTTGCCGTTCCGTTCGCCGGCTACTTCTCCCTCCTCAGCCTGCGCGTCGTTCAGAGCCGACTCCAAGACAAGCACTACATTGGCGACAACTCGTCCGCAACCGGTGACTTGGACAACGAGCTCTACGTAAACTCGCGCGCCCACACCAACTTCGTCGAGAACGTGCCATTGGCCTTCGTACTTGCTGCCGTCGCCGAGTTGAATGGCGGAAACCGCAAGATTCTGACAGGTGCACTCAGCGTGCTGTTGACCTTGCGCATCTTACACACTGAGCTCGGCATCTTGAAGCCTCAGGCCATGGGTCGGGGAAGACCAATCGGTTACTTCGGCACCATCGGCACTATTCTGGGTCTTGCCGGGTATGCAGCATTCCTGGTGAAGGACTCATGGCTTCAACTTTTCTGAGAGAGGAAGTATGCAGGTGAAGATATCGAGATTTGTAAATACCACCTTGTGAGCTAATTACTGGCCACAAATACTCAAACCAAATTGTAATCAGCAATTGGAGCGATCATTGCAAGATGCAGCCAAGATCTCAAAGGTCATCTTGAGCCAGCAGAGTCAAGTTGTGAATACGGGGTCAGTGCAAATGGTTCTGCACTGGAGCGTCGTCAGATGAAGAGTAGAAACTAGGACTAGGTTAACTTAGTTTATGAAGTTACTTGTAAGTAAGTGTGTTGCGGTACTGACCAGGTACAGTACGCATGTGTCAACTACAGAAGGCCTTAACCTAGTTTCAATTAGTGCATGGATGAGTCCGCACAGCGTATCATGCCGCGAAGCTGCCGCTGGCGTTAGCGGCCGCCCTTGTAGCTTCTACCTGCCAACCCGCTAAATTTTGGTTTGCGCGCGCGGCTCTCGACGCAGTGTTGAGCTTCGTCCGAGTGTCCCACCGCCAAACCCACATTGTGCCGTTAACCATGTCTACGGAGCCTTTAATAGACGAAGAGTACGCTTCCGAAGACGACTCGGATTTTGCGCCCGATGAAACAGCAGCCGGAGCCGATGGAATAGGGGCTTCAGACTCAGAGGATGAGGGCGAACCCTCGGCCGTGGCAACTGCCAAGCGGAAACGCGCCAACGAACCCGCCGGGGACGAAGGATATGAGAACTCCGGAGACGAGGCGATAATATCGAAAGGCAAGAGGCGACAAAAGAAAAAACACAAGGGCAAGGATGGAGATGGTGTCGGTGAAGATGACGAGGGTGGCGAGGGAGGTCTCGTCAAGACGAGGAGTATGCGCGCGAACGAGAAGGCAGAGCGCAAAGCCGCTGCTGTGGCCGGGCCTGTCACTGTCGACGTGGACGATCTGTGGACAAAGATGATGGCTGGTCCAATCGTACCTTCGAAGGCGACCGCAGAGACGAAAACCGCGCCCCAGACAACCGAGGTGGGAGATGCCGGACGGGAGACTGAGGACGTACTGTCAGATCAGGTCCCCGAGAAAGAAGCCCCAGGCATGATCAAAATCAAGCGTACGTACAACTTCGCTGGCAAGGTGCACACCGAGGAAAAGTTGGTGTCGCGCGACTCAGCAGAGGCCAAAGTGTACCTTGCCTCGCTCGGAGACAAAGCAGAAGATGCCCTTGAGACTGAGGAAGAACCTGCAAAGCGACAACCACGTAAAGCGTTTCGCTCAATATTCGAGCCAGTTTCAGAAGGATTGACTCAGCGTACGGACCTGAATTTGGGCGTAACCGTCCGTCTGCAGATGCGCGAGCAAGCCAAGGCAAAGAAGTTGAACGTCGTGGAGAAGAGTCGCATGGACTGGGCCGGCTTTGTTGACAAGGAGGGCATCCAAGATGAGCTTAAGCTGGCCGGAAAGTCGAAACAGTCTTTCGCTTCGAGGCAGGATTTCTTGGCCAGGGTGGAAGCCAAGCGAGACGACGATGCGCGAAGGGCCAGAATGGCTGGTCGCGCATAGATAAGGATGGATCATTCAACGAAGCTTACTCTTGTACTATATGCATCGCATCTTGGTACGCGGTTGATCGGCGTTTGTCGTTCTGGTTCTAAGGCGTTCAGGTCGCACATTCAGAAGGCCTATCCGGATATAGAGGTTGATAATTATCATGTCAAAAGAGGCTGCGTGAGGTTTCAGAGCTACAGAGCAATTTTAGCTTTAAATATCATTAAAACAGGCCTCAAGGTTCTTGGATTTGGTTCGAACTACATATTGAGCAGGGCCATTTCTAGCTATGCATTTCACATCAGGTTATTACAACGTTCTCCCAACTCACTCATTCACGCCAGCCGATCAGACAGTGGCGCCTGCAGGCTCGCCTTCCACTGTCAGCGCTGTGGCTTCTTCGGTCTTAGCCGACTGTAAAGAGATGGTGACTTCCGGGTCACGGGTGTAGATTCGTAGCCCAATAACGGCGACGGCATTCCATGGGTTTGTGGGCGCATCATCGTCGTCATCCGGCTCCTTCTCGGACTCGGAACCAGAATCTTCATCATCGTCCTCATCCTTGGCATCACCATCCTTTGTCTCTCCTAATTTGGAAACCTCTTCCGTAGTTTCTGAATCATTCAACTTGCCCTCAGCAAGTGCTGAGGCAGATGGGTCACTTGGAAGTGCTTGAACCGAACTGCCTTGCTCAGATGACGTCGGCCCATCATTTTTGGTCACAACAGGTGTCGATAATGCAGCAGACGGTCCGGCTGCGAGTGTAGGGTCCTGCTTAGACTCGGTAGCGGATTTTGGCTCGTCAACAGGCTTTTCGGTTGTGGTTGTGTTCTCAATGGTTGACTTTGAACCTTGCTTCAAATCCGTTGGCTTGGCATCGGTCTTACCATTTTGATCCTTCTTCGATTCGGTCGACTTCTTCTCAGCATTGGCGATTTCTTTCATGGCATCCGCAGCTTTCTCCATGGCATCAGCTGCTTTAGAAATAGCTTTTGACTTTTTGCGCTTCTCTTTAAGCTTCCGCTTCTTCTCATCTTTCTTCTTCTTCTCTTCGGCCTTCTTGGCTTCAAGAAGCTCATCTTCGTCGGGAACACCACCTTTTGCATGGGCAAGGTCGTATGCCATCTTTTTTGGGTTAATGCCTATCTATCGAAGCAAAACACAAGATCAGAAGTACTTACACCAACTTGTCGAAGTTTCTGGGGGTTCTTCTCAGCGTGTTCCCTCACAACATCCTCTACCGGCTTGGAACCATCTTTGCGAGTAGCAGTAATTTTTGGAAGTACTTCGTATTTGCCGGGTTCGAGGTGAATCTCGCAAGATACAGAACGACCTTTCCACAATTTGACAGGCCGGACGCGGCAAATATGCTCAGTAGCCGATGCCCCTATTTCGCGGAGAAGGAAGTGCAACTCAAAGAGGTATTCACCTTCGAAGCCTCTGAAATAGCGATCGTCGAGCTTAAAAAAAAATCAATCTGCTGATTACCTGTCAAAGAATCTTGCGGCTTACCTGCGTCAAAACTATAACCACGAGTCCAGCCTCGTTGACTTCTACCTGGAATTTAGTCTGAAGATAGCCAGTGACCCAGGAGATGTTGGCGCTTGTCCACTGCTGGACGATCGTCCATTTCTCATCGAAAAGACGTGTACGGTGAATGTACATGAAATTATCGAGCATGTCTTTGAATGACATCCAAAAGACACCGTCGTCTCCGAATGTGTGGCCAACTTTCTTCAACCAGTATGGCGTCCATTCTTTCGAGCCATCAGACCAAGGGCCGTTCCATTCACCAATACCGTTCCAGCCGCGCTCACCCCAAGGGTTTCTGATTTAGCGTGTTAGACAAGAAAAATAAAATTCAACAAGCACAGAACCAAATAAGACGTCGAAATTTACCTAATCTGCACGAGGCGCACCTTGTTGCCTTCCTCGTCCACTTCCTCCCTTGCTTGGAGTATGCTGTAGGCGTGCCCCAGAGCCAAGCCACTGCGCGTCCAGTCCCAACCTTGGCCCATAGCAGCAAGTGCGAAAACGTATTCGCCGTCACTGTTGGCGAGTTCTTTCCATAGCTTGTCCTTACTCAGCACTCGATTGGACTCAACCGTGGACGTGACACCACCCGTCATGTCCTCAACAGCCTCACCAGGCCATCCGCCATAAATTGCTTCGTAGTCACCATGAATTTTAGCGTATGCCTTCTCAAGAAGAGGCAGCCATGTCTCATTTTCGTCCTCACAATGAGCAAAGTATAATGCTTCAGAACCTGTCTGCTTCTCTTTGCGATGTCGCCGCGCCCGTTTGCCGGTTGCGTCGTAGACGTCTCCGTAATAGTCGAAGTCTGTTTCTTTCAGGTAAAGGTTGTCATCAACAACAGTAGATATCCATTCGCCGTCTCGCTGGAATACGAAGCCGTACACTCCACACTCCTCGTCGCGAGCGACACACACTCTTTCCATAATATCCTTTCGGTGCGCGATCGTAGCCACTGCTGCCAGCCACCAACAGTCTCCATGACTGCCCTGCTTGATATCAGAGCTGGAGTAACCGTTGACAGTGAACTGCGGAGATTCAAAGATCCAGTCCACGCGATGTACAGCACCTGTGTTTGCCCAGCCACCTCCGCCCACGCCAAAGGACAAGCCTTGGCCTCCATCACTACCAATGATGCGGCCCAGGGCATTGGCATCCATGGGGATCCTTCCACTGCCCCCTAGAACTTGGCTCTGAGCCAGAGTCTCAAGACTGTTCTTCACTTCCCACGCACTGACAGGTGGTTGAGATTCTGGGGAAGACTCAATGCCGCCACCTTCGGTGACGAGACCATTCAAACAATTATTTTCGTCATCGTGCTCAATATCGAAGTCCGGATCTGTAAACTTTTCATTGGTGCGATGACATTCTCGCACAATGCGCTTGACCTTCTCACGGCACTCCTTGGCCGCTGCCTCATAGCTTTCAGCGGCATTGCGGGACGATCTGGCGCCGGCGGGGTAGTTTGGAGGCAGGATAGCCTGGTAGAGGCTTCTTGGGAAGATAGAAGTAACTTTCCCAGGTTTCTTGGTATGAAACTTGTCCCAGAATTCAGAGAGAACTTCCTGAGGCGTCTTCTTGCCTCTTTTGGGTGTAGTGAGGGGGAGGGTGGGGATTGTAGGCTGGGGCGGGTCTCCCAAGACACTCATTTCGGGCGGCAATTACAGTAGAGGTATAGAATTCCAACGTATTAAGTGGTAGCTTTTTTAGAAACTTTATAGACTTCTTACTACACCACTACTTGCAACAATTTTGGAAAGACAAACATGAATTCAAGATACCGTTGGATTCATAAGTTTCAGTCCTACTTATGGAATTCATTGTGAGAGCCTCGTCTTGTTAGAGCAGCCATCTTTCTTAATTATTTCATGGAACTTTTGGCCCCCGTCATACTCTCAAGGGCCCTGTCGTACCAGTGTCCAATGACAGTGACGAACCATCCAATTACCCGCTGGTCATTAGCGGCTTTTGGTATAGTAACGGCCTCAGCCGCTCGAGTATGAGATTGCTGTCAAAAGATCATTGGTGTAGAGAGTTGAAGGATCACAAGCTTGTCAGCCGAAACCATGCCTACTAAACAGTTGTGCTTACGTTCTACCGAAACGACATTGGCTTCACCAAACATAGGTCGTAGGCATGCAGTCATCGTCACATCGCTTGCCGTGAAGCTGAATTCTCTATAGTTGTTAACTGGATATTGGTCTGTAAAATTTGCGTAAAGCTTTAATCGTAAGTTAAGTGGGTATGACTAGTTTGAAGGTTCTTATCTTTGATTAAAAAAGAAGTTTGGCTAGCAGCGCTAGCACAATACAATTTGTTGTCAGCATAGTTTACTTCCTTTTTGCTTCTGTCAGAGTCTGACGGTGGCTGCAACGGAGTCTATACTGATGGCAACTGCCCTGAGCGAGAGATAGGCTCTATTCAGATTACAAAGAATCATATTCCCTCTTGCATTCTGGGTGCAGAACTTTAATAATAGAGATATTATCACAAAATCCCGGCGGTGAATCACAATAGCATCATTAGTAGTTAGTTCGCTATGTCACTTGCATAGTATCTCTCGTGGAACTTCAAACATTAACTGCTTGTACATTGTTCGTGGTGCATACCGCTCAATGGTGGTGCCTAGTCACAGAAACCCTGGCCAGTGCATCAGAGTGATTTGAATCATCAGGAGGCCCTACAATCACTCCTAGAAGGATGTATAAAACTACAAAACAATATTTCATGACTGGTTCTTGTTACGTCAGATAACTGAAACAGAAAAAACAAGACTACACGGCTAAACACACTCTAGTTCGATCTGTAGTCATGTCACACGCACAACACCCACATATTAAGCCCAGTAGAGAAGATGACCAGCATAGACCGAAAGAAAAAAGGCGAGGAACGTCTGTGCTTGCCAAGGTTCTGCTGTGCCTCAAAGGTCAACCCATTCGGTAATACCGCCAAGATAATCGGGACGAAGATTTTCAAGTTAACAGACCCACAGGACAACAATAGTAAGTATAATACAGTGACAGCGGGTTCTCATATCAGATAAACACCCAACATAAAAGATTCGGTGAGTCAACCGGCCTCTTTTGCATGGAGTGCCAGCTAAACAAAAATGAAGATTCTAATCATGTTATGCCCCTATATGCATTGGAGAAAAGCCCTGTTGTTTTGAGAATAAACATTAGTATTGTTAGTTATTCAAATTGTGCTTGATATTCGATAGTGAATTTATATATATATATATATTTATTAATGAGACACTTTTCGCTGAGAAGTATGCTACATTACCTGCTCCCTAGCACTTGACCTGTAGCAACATCATTGTTCGGATTGCCTCCGAGCACTCCGCCTGTAGGAGCACCATCATCCGACAGCTCGGTTCCAGCCTCCTTTCTAATTCTAGCCATTTCCTCAGGTGGAGGAGCTATCCATTTGGCCGACGCACGAGGGTTAATATGCTCGACATACATAGTGTCGATTTCTTCTAGAGTCCGTCCCTGTCCCTCGATGACGAAGAAATAAACCAAGGCTCCGCCTACAAGGTTGCAGGCCGCAAAGACGTAACCATATCGGAAATCGATGGCTGAAGTAATGAAGGGGGTAAAGAAGGCGATAAGGAAGTTCCAAAGCCAGTTGCTGGCAGTAGCCAACGCCATAGCCTTGGCACGGTATCGCGATGGGTAAATCTCAGCGATCAGCGTCCAGACCATTGGGCCCCAGGTCGTCGCATAACCTAAGATAAATAGGCAGGCGAACACGATTAGAACAATGCCGGCAGTGGGAGTGTTGCTTGGTGTCTCAAGATCGAGAAGAAAATGTCCAACGGATGCGAAAATCAAGAAACAAATAAACATCCAAATACTGCCAGTAATCAAAGACTTTCGACGACCATAATGCTCAACGATGTATAGACCGATAAACGTGACACCAAAGTTGATCGCGTTTAAGATCATTTGTGTTACAAAAGAGCTAATTTGTACAGAGTTAAAGATGGTCTGCAATGTGTTAGTGTTGTATTATAACTCAGCAGAGGATTGGAAATGAACCTACCGTTCCATAGTAGAAGAAGTAATTAGCACCAGTAAGTTGCTGGAACATCTGGAGCAACATGCCAAGAGCGATACGGTAAGCCATGCGTGGTGCCTTGAATGTTGCGATCAACTGCTTGATGGGTCCTCCCTCAACGATAGTCTCCTCGCGCAATTTGCTCGCAATTTCGTCCATCTGGACATGAATTGCATAGTGGTTTCCTGGGGCGCCGTAGACCCTCATGAGAGTCTTCTTCGCCTCTTCAATCCTGCCCCGTCTGAAATCGAATCGAGGAGTTTCGCTGAACGCTAACATTCCAACACCAAGAATAATAGTCCAAAGCCACCCCAAGCCAATGACTATACGCCACGAGGCCGAACTATTTGTCTGATGTGTATAGGTACCGTAGTTGAAGCAAGCAGCTAGAAAAATACCCATTGTAATGAAAAGTTGGTAAGCGCAGACGAGAGCACCACGAATCCAGGGAGGAGCGGTCTCAGCTTGGTACATCGGCACCAAAAGACTGAGTGCACCAACACCAAAACCAGCGACTAATCTGCCCACCATGATTTGCTCCCAAGCATTCACGGCAGCAACTTGGATCACAAAGCCAATAGACACCACGAAACACCAGATGATGATGGACCAGCGCCGTCCAATCCTGTCAGATATGGGAGCTGCTACAAGTGCACCTAACAATGTACCTATTGATAGCAGACCAACGATGAGACCCGATCTGACGTTGCTGAAGCCGTAGGATCCATCAGCTTGGAGTTCTCCAAAACGCCGCAGGAAATCAGGCATTTCTAGGAACCCGGAAATTTGACCAGTGTCATACCTACTCTCAGGTTAGTGAATATGAAGAGAGAGTAGTATCATGGTTATGACTTGCCCAAAGATAAGGCCTCCCATCGAAACCAGGGCTCCCATAGCTAGGGAGCGCCCAGTGAATCGTGGCAGAGGTGAGTAGTCAAGCCCTGCCAACGGTCCGTCTACATGTTGAGCCTGTTTCTTATGACTTGGGTCTTCTTGGCGAAAAGTAACCTGGTTGCTCATGCCCAAAGGCATGTTGGGCTAACTTTTCTTTCTTATTTCGGAATGATCCAAGTGTCAAAGCGTAAACAAAGTCTATGGTTTAAGGTTTGAGACTATTTTGAATAGCAAGCGCATATAAAGTTCCTGTATGCTAGGAAGAATGCTCCCAGAAGAGATCACGAAGCGCGGTTTGAAGCAGTTCATAAGAGGCGTTCAAAAGAGGAGGATATGGTCATGTTTTTGAGTTCCCAGCAGAGTCGTATATCAATGGCTTGTCGTCATCATCGATAACACATAATGCAGGATACAGATCCATTGGCTTCGGATGACGGTCAAGCTAAAAACCACCTTGGCATCCGAGGTGCACCATTACGCCTGGCAAGCACCTTGGAAAGCCCTGAGTCTAATTCATCTTTCAATCCCAAAGCGTCCCTGACAGCGGTCCGATTCCTGTTTCAAATGCACGATTACTGCTGACTGCGGAGACGACAATCATATGGTGCATCCCGGCACTGCCGAAACGTGCTATACCCCGGAACCCGGTATGGGGTTAACGGGGAGAAATCCTCTCTTAGACGTCATTGCTCGAGCCTTAGCCCTACGTCATACCCCGGACTCCACTCCCGCAAACTCCAGCTGGAGCTCTCTCCGTGAGGAGAAATAGTCCACTCAAAAGACAAACATTCGAGACTTATCTGGAGGTATTCGGTCCTTTCCACTTCTGCTCATCGATCGACCAGAACGCGGGGGATTGCACAACTTGGGAAAAGTATTACACAATTCCCACGCCCATCGGGGTTGGTATTCACGTCCGGATGAACCGCGCGGGTAAGGGTTTGAAAATTCGTAAATAGCGATAGCGGATGATGTGCTGCGATCGACACTATTCCAGCTCTAGCAAATAGTTTCGAATAACGACAAGAGCACTTTGTAAGAATCATCTGACTTAGCCAGGCTTTTGAGGTGCGCGTTATGGTATTTTCCTGTGCAATAGAATACCTATCTAGAACTCCGTTTTGAACTGTCTTTTTTGTTTCAACTGCGCACAGTGGGTATGGATAACGTAGAGTGTATAGAGTGTAAGCAACCGGATGATTAGAGACGTACATTGAACATGGGCGTTGTGATAGTAGCAACTGTTATAAAGTCGGGAGGCACGGCGAGTTAGACGAAAATATAAATGTTAACGCGGACGCATACTGAACTGCCACCAAGTCAACAAGGTTGCATGCCAGCTCCATGATAGAGCAACAAGACCACTCTGGACGCTTATCGGACGACGTATCTATTTGAGAAGTATTGTGCGCTGTTGTGTGAAAAGAAAAGGCTAGGCTATACATATCTTATCAGACAACAAGATATGCAACCAGACTATCCAGTCGCTTTATCAGGCTCTTCCATGTTAGGATAAGTCTTTGCACTTGTTGCAGCGTAATTCTTTTCAAACCTGTTTAGCCACGTTTTCAACCAGTCCCTTTCTCTCTCGTTCACAAACTCGAACGCAATCCTAATACTATACCCACACCTGTAAGCGCCCATCAGACCCTGACCCACGTTCTCTATAGATCTCAAGATGTTGATTGCGAATTCTCTTTGCGGATAATCCCCGGGATACCGGCACTGGATCAGTGTCTCTTGTAGGATCACCATGGATGCCCAGTATCCCATGTGCACCGCACCCATCCACGGATTTTCAAACTGAAAGACAGTGGGGAAGATGGATATCTGATCCTTTGTTTGGACTTGTTTGGGCGCTGGCTCGAGTTCCAGTAATCCCGGATGCCATTCTAAGAAACTGGCGTGGACTTGATTTGCGACATCTGCGAGCAGAAGGGCCTTCTGGATGTCGACTGGGAGTCCGCGGTTGTTCGCTTCACGCAAAACATATGCATGACGCACGATACCCGGCAACTTTGCCAGAAGCTGGAAATACCGATCAATGACGTCGAGGCTATCAGGACTCATTATTGTACCAGACACGGTCCTAGTCGGCACACCTGGCTTGTGCCTCATAACGGATTGCCACGGCTCTGCAGCTAGAAAGCAGTCCTCGCCGGAGAAGAGAGAATTCATGATCTTAGTAGTAACGTCAGATTACATGATTGTCAGGCAGCTGGGCAACAAGAGGGGCTTACGATAACCGGGCGAAAAGATAAAAGCATATCACGCTCCCAATCACCAGTGTGCGCTTTGGGGCCCCTCAGCTGTATGAGTTTACCCAACCCTTTTGCATGCTTCATCCAACTATCAGGCGTCGTGGTCCCGGCAAAAAGCTGTCACAAGCATTATTACGTTACCCGAAACTAGTAGGGACTAGAGTCGCTGAAGTAAAGGCCTACCTCGTAGTAGCATAGTATCAGAGACGCTCCAAGTGTCCCGGAAGACTTCCATTCGCGTGGGTGATTCAGAGACTGCTGGAGGTACCCTAAGGCTGTACCATAAAGAGTACGCGATTGCGCCAGAACATGCTCGTCACGATGTATCTTACCTAGTAAGTGGCTAGTGAATGCAGCAACAGACATCTCCAAGACTGGAGAGTCATGCAAACAACTTGCTGCGTCGCCGATCCATGTCCCAGAAGCTAAGGCCTCGTCGTGAGGAGAAATTTCCTGCAAACTCTGTAGAAGCGTACCCGTATACTGTGTCCTAACAGGAAGCGGCGCGAAGGGAATCGTCTGGGTCCGCATCACCGCCGACTGGATTTTTTCAAGCACCGTAACCGGCTGCGGGTCCGGAAAGACTCCTGGGTGCTGACCACTGGCATCTCCATCGCCAACGAGGAGCTTATCCCCTGCTGACGCGGCGCCGGAAGCCGGATGAGGCCGTTTTACGTATGCAGTAGAGGAACTTGATAGCCGGCGCTGCTGCTGCTGTGGCTGCGGCTGTCGCCGCCCGCGTGGTCTTATTGCGTGTTTCACGGCCACAAACTTGAGGCCTCGGTCGTAACCGGGACACACAGCACCATACTTGATGCAGTTCCCACAGGCCGGACGTACCTCATCACACTTTGTCCTCCTGGACAGACATGTCTGACACCCCTTGCTTCTGGGTACACCGACCATGCCCACCGAATATTGGCTCGGCGGTGAGAAGTCCTGGTTAAATTGGGGGACTCACTGAGGCAATGTAAGGCAATTGAATGCCAAGGCTACATCGGTAATTCTAAACGCGGTCGCCGGGCTAGAGGTATTGCTTTACGTGCCTGCGGGGTCGTGAAGAGGATCGATATCGGAACGGAGTGGGCTTTTGCACGCGGCTTGGCTTTGATATTACGGTGGATCATGTGGTGCAACAGGATATTGTGGTCAGTCAAAGGTAGAGTTTACTTTTTCTTGCCGCCACATCGGCGATAGCCCTTTGAGCTCGGCTGTGCCAAGCATTTCTTTTCAGCTGAAATGCAAGCAGATCGAGCAATGCAGATGGAAAAACCCCAGTCAGTGGACCCTTACCGGTCTGATGACTCTTGGACGAAGACAGCGTGCCATTTGTATGTGTTACGAAGGACTTCTAAATGAATCAACACGTAACTGCAATCGTGAAAGGCGCAACACGTCGATATGCACATGGTTCGGGTGCCAACGTCTAAGCGGTGGAACCCGCGTGCGACTCCACTAGGTTACCATACTCCGAGTGGATAGAAGACTTCCTGTAAACTACTCAAGGCGGCGAGCGGATTACGGCGTTTTAGTTCTGACTTCGGCGTTCCAATCCAAGGCGTTGATTTAACTTCACCTTATTGAAGGGGGGAGGGAGCAGAAACTGTAATGTGAAACAATCCGCCTGCATAGTGGCCTTGGCTAACAGGAAGTCAGTTGGTAAACTCACTTTCCAAGCTCAGTATACTCTCCTCGCATTAAGACACATCTTGTACTGTCCGAGCTCGGCTGAAAATGGCTAAAAGAAATTCAGCTCCCTAATGGGTGTCGTATTGAAAGAGAGTATACTGCCGAATGATTAGATAAGCCCAGTCTATTGATCGTTCAGCAAAGCGGGAAAACTAGAACACACAGCTATGAACAATGGCGACCGCGAGACGGGCCCTACGCAGCCGCGGTAGATCTCCCGATCGTACCTGGTGCCTGATAGCATGACTCGTTTTGCCGCGTATGTCTTTGAAATGACATAAGTGCTGCGTTTGAAGTACCTAGCCGAGGCATACGACTTACTGAGACTAACGAGCCTATCTAGCTTTTGTCGTGCTTACAGGTCTTCAATAATCTGTAGCTTCGTGGTGTCAAGTCTTGTCCTACAGGGACGAGTGCGTCTGATTATGTCACAAAGGGACTTGGTCCTTGCTGGAAAAGAGCCGGCCGCTCGTGCAGGAATGGTCTCACCGGGCGCAAGCAGAGATGCACTGTGGGTGTACAGCATACACCAAACATTTTTCGGTGTCGGGCGGCAGACTCGAGCTGTTCTCTAATGGCTTCGAGGCGGTGAAGTTGTTTGGTTTCATTGGGACAAAGCACAAGGACCGATTGTTCCCAGAAGCTCCGCATGGTAACGTGTTTAGCTCAGTAAGAACAAACCCTCTTTCGCTCGTTCGCATTGACATCAGGATTCTTCGGCTATAGCATTGAAGATGAACGCGCGCCGAATCACAGAGCTCGTGGCCAATTTACTTCGCCTTTAGTTCGTGGGTTCCTGACGTGGGCTACCTCAACCCCGCTGCGTTTCTCGATGCTGCTATATTCACCCAAATTACTTGATTCTACATATCTAATCATGTCTCGGAAGGCAGTATCTTGCTCTGGCGGTTTATATTAGAAAGTGAATGGTTTCTCAAACGATACCAAAAAAAAAAAAAAAAAAAACCCCCCTCTACGGCCTAGAACAGACAATGTGAAGATTCTGAATGGCAATATCCTTGATCGCGAAAAGCAGAAAACTCTTTATTCAGCATATCATACATAATATTCCGCAAATATGGTCGAGCTTTAGCTGCCCTTTGAAGAAAGTCAATAATAGTCACGCTACACTAAGTTCTTTGTGCGATAGTAGCATCAAAAGTTAAATCCTGCTTCGTGACGTGACGTGACGGCGGGTATGGATAGGTGCTTTCCCAGATGTTGGAGTAGCAGGGATACAAAATTGTATCGTAGGCATGGCTTTTAACTTTGGGCAAAAGCTGACAACCCAACCCAACCATCGAACGCTCATGAAGTAAACACAAAGGTCAAACCCAAATGATCTCCAAGATTATCGGGAGATATCATCACACCAAGATTCGTTCCATTATGTCCATTAAGTGAATGTCTGGAAATGAACAGGGTGATTATCAGCTTTGATGCAATATGTTGAGGTTTGCATAAATTAGCACTATACTTCAGAAGATGAATCTTCAAGTTGTCAGGGGTAGCCCTGGCGGAGCGGGGATATATATTGATGGGTAATCATCTCAATTTCAGCCATTGGCCACTTTGACATACCATAGTTACCCCAAACACAATTGCTCCAATAACAGTCGCTCACAAATTTGATGTCATCCCAGATAGCATATTCAGACATGACGAGGCAGCGTTCACTATAGATAGAGATGCCTGTAAGCCAACAACAAATGAGAAAGCGAAGCCACGGGAGGTGACTTCACATGCACGATGCAACTCTGCAGAAGGAGAGGAAAAAGGAACGCGTGTGGTTAACAAGCTCATGCAGGTAGAGTTCAAAGTTCAGAAACGCGACTTACCTGCCACGTTTACTATACAGGCAGGATGGTAAATTCCGAGAGACACGAAGTTGTCACCAAACGTGGCTCTTGTCCCCCAAATCAAATTGCATATCAGCTTTCCGAACAAGGGAATCAGTCAACATAGTCGAGTCGATCGACTATGTAGTTGCTCCCTTGCCGAGCAAGTGAGCTCTTAAGACGAGGTCAGTTGCCGGCGTCGAAAGTACCGTTCGACTCCAGGGTCGGTCCAGGTTTCCGGTAACCCCTGTTCCAAGCCAGGGTATTACAACGATCGTCAAGCGACTCAAAATCCTAGGTTAAATGATTACCTTCGAAATACTGTCAGTTGTGTGAGAACATCAATGGTTAGCGAAGGATAAACCTCAACCAATAGACAGCGTACGGTGCTAGCTATAGAAAGCGGAGCAGTAAATCATCTGTGTCATCCTATTGGTGGCAGCCCGATTCTGATAGCTTGGTACTGCAATCATTCCATCTCCACGAACGTCGTCAACGACATGAACCAGCCGTTGTCGATCACTTACCGTCGTCGACGATAGAGGCATCAGATCTGCTCGCAATATAGAAAACTGGGGAGACCCTTGCGGGGTATCCGTTAACCGGAGTCAGAGAGGCGCACAACGGGATATGACATAAACAAGCAAAATGTGCATCACGATTCGACATGCAAGTCGCAGAATATTGAGATTGAGTTTGATAATGACAGCTCAGATAGCCTCACGGCTCACGATTTGGCTTGTGTTGCGCTTACACGCCCAAGCTTGGTAAAAGAGCGGTAGAGTTGCATTCGCAAAACGGGGTGCATCAACGTTACCGTACGTTAGTCAAATTTTAGTCGTTCATAATCGGCGTACGGACATGTACCTGGTTTACTAAAGACCACTCAGTAGTATACCAAGCAATTGTTGTTAGATCAGTGCCTGCGTTCACGAATAAATTCCTCGAATCGCGTTCGAAGTTCTTTCTAGAATAGCTTCGCAACGACGCATATTAGTGGCCAGGCATGCGTTACATCAGATTAGCACCTGCACATAACCTGCAGAAGCTCCGAAAGGCACCGGCGCACAGGACGAATCGAAGCGTTCGCGACTTCGTATGGCTCTTGACTATCCTGAATTGCTGCAGTAACAGGGCGAATAATGACGGGGGTCCTGGATTGTGCAGCACTGTAGCCCCTTTCAATACAAAGCTCCGAGCTTAACGTTTTTATCGCAGAGAGCAGTGTTGAATTGCTTTTCGATACTCCGTGCACAGGGTGCTAGGCACATACCTGGTGTATTTTGTCTTTCATCACTCACCAGCCTAAGCGATCGCTTAATCGACATTTCAGCGAGCCGCGTTATGGCCCGTTGTTATTAGTTGTTTGAATCGGTCGTCCACGTCAAAAATGACGAAAAATTCGGCAATCCGTCGGGCTTTTGGAAGCTTCCGAAGCCGTTTAAAAGTAATGGAGCTTGAGCTGTCGGCCAGCAAAGTCTGAAATTGGTGCCAATTGAAGTGTTTGATGGCCCAAGCAAACGTCATGGAGCTCTCTGCGCGCAGAGCTGTGCAAACCTGGGGAGGTCCATCGCTACATACATACTGTAGCAACACGAAGGTGCTGACAAGGATACATAATTGGACTTTGTTCTCAGCAATATAGGTGCCTTGCTGTCAGGTTAACATAAACCGGGGGCCGAGAAAGGTCAGGATGACGAGCTATTGTATTCCGTTACTGGGTTTGATATATGAACCAATATTTCCTTTTAAATGTTATTTTTTCCCCCTTACAAACAAATTGAAGCTCTAGGGAGTGGTACCGTAGCAGCGAAATGAAATGCATCGCAATTGATCATGCCGCCGCGTAAACCCCCTTGCTCAGTGCTTGTCTAGCGCGAGAGTGATCAATGCCTGTCGACCGCCACCGTTTCGATGTGTCCAATAGCGGACCAGCTTGAACCATACGAGTTTGTTGACATTCCACGAGTGTGTGGAAGGCCAAATGGGGGGCACATGACTGAACGAGGCATAGTACGCGGAGTGCTGCCGCGAGGACCTTGAACAAGCTTGAGACACGACGATGAGAATGAGAAGCTTGGGTTTTTAGCAAGCACCAGACTGCAAAAGACAAAGTCGCGGTACCTGAGCCAAACTGCATTGCATACATGGTGCCAGACGCGATGTTCCCTGCAGCTGGTGATGGCTCTGGCCAATCTGGCGGTGCCGTTGTTGTTGCCGCTTGACTGCTATCTCCAGTGATCTGATGAAGCCTAAGCAGCTACGAGTTAGCGCGTTCAGGAGCCTCTAGGCAACTGGCAAGGGCCCCAGCAGGCGCAGTGGGACGCTAGGCGTGCTAGGAGATAGCGGCTCTCTTTTGGTGCCCCCAGAACGGCTGTGGATCGTGTCCTACTGTGTGTGCTAATCCCTCCCAAGACTGAGTGTGGATGCTCCATTTCGATTTCCACGGGTCCTGGGTCCTCCTCTCGTGCTCCCATTGGGGTTTTTTGGAGGAAGCCAGGCCTCATGCCATGATCCGCAATCTGTATGGAGTAAGGGTGAGTTAGGTAGATTCAAGTCAAGTCAAGTCAATTCTCTCGCGTGCACCACTCGATTATCGACGAGACCTTTGACCTCTGCCTTCTCATCCTCTTCCAGAAAATCACTTTTGACTTTACTTTATTAGATTGACACTTTTGGAAATTCTTCTCCTACCAGTTGCCGTCATCGTCACTATCGTTTTCTCAGCCCTTTCCCTTTTCCCTTTCCTGTCTTCGATTGCCCTTGTTTCTTAAGTTAGTACCAGTACATACCCTCGCGGCTCCCCCTTCCTTTAATTCTCCAGGCTGTTGGACGTTTCGAAGGGCCCGCTCCCTTTTTTTATTATTATTATTATTTCCACAGCAGCTCCTTAGGGGACCCCTTCCGTTGAGCAGTAGCAGTAGCAGTAGCAGAGGCAGAAGCAGAGGCAGAGCAGAGCACAGCACAGCAGACCAGCAGCTCTCTATCTATCTACTCCCTACTCCACGCCTTTCCCCCCTTTCCATTTGTTGCTTGAGTCCCGTTGGGTGTTCTTGTCTCAGACCTTTTTTTTCTCTCCCTCCCTCTCTCTCTACAACACCATTCCGAGACGGCAATACATCAATCAGAAAAGCCAAAAACACCATAATCTTGTTTTTCTTTCCATCCAAAAAAAGAAAACGAGAAAAGCTCGGACGGCAGTTGTTCGCTCAACTTTGCCTCCCATGTCACTCTAGGCAAAACTCCACCATCGTTCAGTGTGTCCCTTCGTGACACCTGAATTATCCCGACCCCGAACCTCGAATCTTTTCCCTCGTCCGCCCAGTACAGTCCATTCCTTGGTCGTCGTGAGAAACACTCGACGCTCCATCCGAAAGACAGGTCATCTACGGTAGCAGTAGAGGCTTCCGTGCCAAAAGTCCGCCATTCGTTTTTCACCCCTTCCGGTCGCAGGCGTCCTTCGATTCGCAACCATCATAACAACACGATATCACCGGGTCGCTTCCCAGTAATTTCCTCTCGTCTCGCATCTCGACTCGTTCTTGGTTGAGCTTCCATCAGGCAATTAATCGAATCTGATAACAACCAAGAGATATCAGAGAGCCGTCCCAAGAAACAAGAAGAAGAAGAAAAGATAAGAAAAAGGTGTGCACTTGGTTTTCGTTGTAACATCCACGCATGATTTGGTCACACCTGAGCCTTGCATCTACATCAGTGTAGCAAACCTTGTCTTGGTGTTGCGCTGTTCTGTCTAATAATTGCTGTCATGTCTCGAGAAAACTAACACGTCTTGTTCCCAGTATCAGCCCAGACTTTCCCTCTTAGCCAATACGCGACGATCATTTTGACATATTTGGAGTCAAGTAACGCAGTTTCGGGTTTACTGAGGACGAGTTTCACATCCTTTTGGAGTGCCGGTTCTGGTACATTTCTCTGAACAAGCCCGCGGTGCACGACCATGGCTGCTGTGGTTCAATCGTTTCCTCAACAAAACGGAACAGTGACTATGCTCCAGACGAGACCAAGCTCATCATCAGGGGGAGCCATGCCGGGCCATTCGCACCCACATTCCCAATCAGGGGCCAGCCAGCAGTATGCCTCAAATTCGCAGAATCAACGGAATAACGGCTCGTACGGCTTAGGAGGCCAGACAAGCTATCGGGGCATCTCTGCTACGGGCCCAGTCCAGCCCTATGCGTTCACGTCTACTCCTGCACTTGGTAATCCTGGCCAATGGCAGCCATATGGAGCGTTGAGAACGACTTCCACTCCTAGTCTACCTACGACACAGACATTGGGCACAGGTTCCAACACAATTGCCCGACCACAATATCAGACGCATGCTTCCATGACCAATGTGCCGACTACTGCCAAGGTCGCTGTGCAAGGCATGACGCGCGACGATTCCGCGCTGCCGTCGGGCACAAGACAGCAGGGCATGTCGGCGGGCCAGCCGACGTTTGCTCAGGTTGCCAGCGGAAAAGCTGCGCCTGAAAGATACCGGCGGGCGGCGCCCCGGGTAACAGTCGCCGATTCCTCGTCCAGTTCTCAAAGTTCGACCTCGGGTGCAGGATCAGCGATGCCCTCTGGCTCCGGCATGGCGACGGTCGTTCACCTATACAACCCTCGCGCCATTGGACAAAAGATGTCACTTCCGAGGAACTCGGCAACACTACCCTCGAGGCCGCATAGTCTTTACGGCTATATGCCTGGGATGGCGGCAGACGATATGGTGATTCAGAGACAACCAACTGAGGAGGAATTGAGGAGGTTTCGCCGGCGTAGCATGCACTCAATCGATTCTTCTGAATTTACTAACCCTTTGACGCCACAAGAGTTCAAACAACAAACCGAGGCAGCTTTGCGTGGCCAAAAGTTCAACATACCCGACAAGAATACTAGAACAACTCGAGTTGTGCCTGTTCCTGCGTCATCTCTGTCACCAAATAATACGGCCGCCGCCCAGGCCCGAAATGGCAGCTCTGAAAGTCTAGTGTCAAGCAGGAGCAGCAATTCTCGACCGTCTTCGGTAAGTGCAACCGCCCAACAACTGCATTGTCCAATCAGCTCTTGGCCCTCTTTTCTCATTACTGTACTGATTGCGTTCTAGTCTGCCAATCGAAACTCGAATGCAACGGCCTCCACAACTAGCCCCGCCTCTGCGGCGAACACAGAGGAAAAGCCCAGCAGTGCTCCCAAGTTGGTCACCATTCCGCCTAGGGGCTCGTCCTCTGATGCTGCGAAGCGGGTCGTCAACCCATCGCCGTTGTCTAAGCCGGCGACCATGGCATCGGAGGAAGCAGTAAAGCCCGCCTCGGGTAGTGCCGCCATGCCGCCGCCGAGCAAGGCTCCCGGCTCATCACATGGCTCTGCCGTACCAGCGGCAACCAGCCCTGCTGCTCAGCACCTTGCCGCTCTGAACGAAAAGGGTGCCAAATCCAAGAGCAAATCCTCGCGACTTCGCCGGGCTTTCTCTTTTGGCAGCGCGGCTGATTTCAAGAAGGCTGCAGATGCGGCGGAAGGAAACAAGTCAGGCCACAATGTTTCAGGAAGGCTGCAGAAAGAACCCGATGTTGATGACTTGTTCGAACAAGAGCACGCTCGGATAGCTCAGAAGCAGGAGGCTAGTGGTCTTGGAAGCCAAATCTACTCGGGTACCAAGATCTTTGCTGGATCGACCGATAACTTGTCCATTTCTTCCACGGCGTCCTCGGCGTCTATTATGCTCCGAAAAATGGGCAAGGGCATGAAGAAGGGCGGTCGATCTCTAGTGGGCTTATTCCGGCCCAAGTCTCTCCACGGAACATCAATCGGAGAAGTCGTAGCCCCTGAAGCCAGTCAGGCAGCGGTCTCGATGATCACAGTCGAGGCAGAAAGGGAGAGAGTTAATGTCAACTCAAACGCCGATCTTACTCAGCAGCAAGGAGCATCTGGGTTCCCTCGTTTGGAAAGAAATTCCATGGATGCGATGGATGTTGTGCACACTGACAGCCTGAAGTCTGACGACTCGAATGCTCGCAAGAGCATCGTTGGAGGGGAAAGGGAACGAGCCGAAGTCCTCGGCGCCATCAGAAAAGGCATTCTCAAGAGTAAGTCTTTTTGTTTCTAGTCCCCACTATTTCGCGGCAACCCATCTGACTCGCATTCGTAGCTCGCAGCAACTCGCCCAGCCCATCTCCACAGACTGGTAAAGGTCCTGTTTTCGAACTCCCAATGATTCCCAACGTTTCCGACTCGCCATATTCTAGTGCGCCCAGCACCCCTGGCGAAGATGTATCCGGCCACAAAACCAACGGATCTGTCACGATAGGGAACGAGGACTACTTCATGTCGGCGCTGAAGCTTCGCCAGGATACCAAGAGCGCTCCAGGGACGCCTTCGGCCGGCCTGGCCAAGCGTAACGCTACCTTCAGCCCGCGTATCATATTCCATGATACATGGCCCCCCCAAGAATACGACAGAAGAGGAGAGATTGCCACTTGCAATCGTCTGACACCAATGTTGGCTCAGCAAATCAAGGAGGAATTGAATAGCTTTAAAATGGTAGGTGCCACCGAATATCCTCGGAAGCGTGGTGCACTCACTGACATGTATCTTGCAGGAGATGGAGGTACACGAAACGTCGAAGATTTATACGCACTTTTTCTGATGACAAGCATTTCAAGCGCAAATCTTACTCAGCCTACTCATTTCCGACTACAGCATTGTTATCTGTCAATTTTGTGTTTCGGCTATTCTTTTCTATGGCGTTGGACCAGGTCAGCATAGTAAGGTGTCAAGGGCGTTTTCATTCGTTTTTACGCACAAACCCATCTCAATAAATGGATGCTGGTCGATCTCAGCGTGCCATTCACTTTTACACCAATCCCTCGACACCTTCGAAAGACGTCGAATGACCGTCTTGCTGGGTCAACACGCAATGATGGGCGGACTAGGCTTCTCATTTCGGCTTCGTCGTCCGGACGGATGGTGTCATTATCTAATTGCAACCTTTGCCTTGAGCACATGCGTCCGACGCCTCTCAAGAAGGAGGGGCTTTTGCAGAGCGTATGGCGGCTCATGAGGGGTTTAAGTTCATGCGGTGTTGCTGGAAGCGAAGCATGCACACGCAGGCGAGCGGGACTACTAAGGTAGCCTCGCAGCCAGAAAACAGCCATTCAGGAGCTTAGAACCACGAATATCTAAACAGCAGACAAATAGAGCGAATACGTCGTTTTATGTGTTCTAGGGTTCGCATTCTATCAGTCACACCAAGACGATTAGACAGTGCAAAGCGTGGTGTATTTGTACAAGGGACAAGATGTGGTCTTTCATTTGGGCTCTTTCTGGCAGGCCGGGTAATTCTTTCCAAGACGTACGCATTCTGGGATGAAATAGCAGGGATAATACATAGCATTGAAAGAGAGGAAACTTGCACTCCGCAATCAAGCACATAAGTATCGCTGAAATTGCAATGGCTAGACTCTAGGATTGTCTACATTGTGATGCACCGGCCGCGAAACATGCTCGTGTAAATTTAACAAGCGCGCCTCCACATGGGCCTGGGACACGTCAACTACGGAGGTTCGGGAGACGGGTAGCTAAACTTCACGGTAACCAGAAAAGAGGTGAATAACCTCTGGGCCGGCGTAAGAATTTAAAAAAAAAAAAAAAGCCTGCCCTCGAAAGCTGCTTACCGAGGGTCAACGGCGCCAAGATAGGCGTGTCCATTAAGAGTACAGCGTGCAGTGCGGGTCGTCATCAGATCTCTCGAACGCTGATGCCACTTGTACCAGTACATGCCTCGCCAGATACGAGGTGTAGTCGGACGTCACCCACTGGAGAGGGGAGACGGGGAACAGTGAACACTCTTGTCATGCAACCTTGTCGGGTTACGCAATCCATCCACATGTGGGGAGGGGGGGACGTTCCTCTTGGAACAGAAGCTGTCGCTTTCGGAAAGGGAGCTGCTGATATCCTCATCACTGTTCATCCTTCTACACACTCTACGGAAGTATGTGAAATGCATCCCAGTAGCGAAAGGGCCGGCTTGCGAACTGGTGGCAATATAACAAAGCACCCAGTACAAGTAGAATGAAATGGGGGGCCCGGCCGAGCGGCAGAAAAAGGGGACCCGACCTCAAATTTCCAATGGGCCCGCCAGATTGAAAGCTTGGAAGCCATTTGACGATGTGGAATACTTAGTAAGTTAACCTACTCGGTAGAGGGGTACGCTACATACGGATCGGCGAGTAGAGCTCTTTGCTGCCGCGGTAGCCAATCAACAAATACGATCGTGATGCGACCGGCTTTTGCCACAGTCAGCCTTCTATTTGGATTATGCAAGGCTACGAATCCGCACACCTGCCCCCCCCTTTTTCTTTTCTTTTCTTTTTCCTTGGAGTCTGTCTCCGCTCTCTTATCGGGGACCCTTGCCAAAACTTTTGAAATTATTTGGAGATTTGATTTGCGACACCGAAGAGGACGGACTTGAGCGCGGGTTGACCATCGGTAAAGACGCAACGCAACGAGGACAAAGTCCCAACGACAAACACGCTGGAGGTCGCGCGAAGAGGGTTTTTCGGACGTGGGAAGTCTCCGCCCTGGAGATTTCTGGTTCGGAGAGGCTACGCCGGCATGGCTTCCCCCCATTCCACCACTGCGACAGCGCCAGTTGCTGCTGAGGCTGTGGCGGCCACGGCTGCCACCACGACAGTCAAACCAAAGCTTCATGGACGGGCATTTTACGAGAGCATAGGGAGCCCCAAGTTTGTGGTTGCTCCCATGGTCGACCAATCTGAATTTGTAAGATGAAAAAGAAAGAAGAAGAAAAATGGAAATGGAAAACTCCATTGCACCCCGAATCTTAAGGACCTTGAGTGCATTTGCATGCTTCATGGCCGCCTTTTACACGTGCGAAATGACGTTATGCTGATGGAACCCTCTCACGACAACAGGCTTGGCGCATGCTTACCCGCTCCTTCATGACACCAGCAGAGAACTCAAAGCTGCTGGCTTACACTCCCATGTTCCATGCCCGACTCTTCGAGGAAGTCGACAAGTACAGGCAGACGCACTTTCAAGCAATCCGACCCCTGCCACCAGCCAAGAAAGGCGAGTCCGACCCCGAGCCCGAGTCCAAGCCGTCTGCCGACACGACGCCATGGCTGGATGGAAACCCTTCAATCGATCGACCTCTTTTCGTGCAGTTCTGCGCCAACGAACCCGATCATCTGTTAGCTGCGGCCCAACATGCTGCCCCTTACTGCGACGCCGTAGATCTGAACCTCGGCTGTCCCCAAGGCATTGCGAGGAAGGGCCACTACGGTGCTTTCCTGCAGGAAGATCAAGATCTCATCTACAGGCTGGTCAACACTTTGCACCTGAACCTATCGATACCAGTCACGGCCAAGATCAGGATTCTCGAGAACAAAGAGCAGACACTTGCATATGCTAAGAATGTCCTGTCGGCTGGCGCCAGCATCATCACAGTACACGGTCGGAGGAGAGAGCAGAAAGGCCACCTGACTGGCGTCGCTGACTGGAGCTATATTCGCTATCTGAGGGAGAACCTCCCGGCTGAGACGGTCATCTTCGCGAATGGCAATATTCTCCAGCCCGGTGATGTTGAGAAGTGCCTGGAGGCCACGGGAGCCGACGCCGTCATGAGCGCCGAGGGCAACCTGAGTGATCCCTCCATCTTTGCCGCATTGCCAGATCCTGGAACAGAAACTCGGGAATACTGGCGCGGCAAAGACGATAAAGGCGGTTACCGGGTCGATGCCGTCTTCAGGCGGTACATGGATATCACATATCAATATGTCTTGCAGACAGCTCCGCCGGCAAGGAGGCCCCTGTTCGTGGTTGGCGACGACGAGAGCTGGCTGCAACCGGCCAGGGCTGAAGAAGAGCAAGAGGAGGAAGGTCCCCAAAAGAAGAAGAGGAAGATCAAGGCGGACGGCCCTAAACAAAAGCCCAAGCAGTGCTGTGATCCGAACCTGCTGGCCATGCGACCTCACTTGTTCCACCTACTAAGGCATTTTGTCGCGAAAAACGTGGACATCCGCGATGCCCTCGCCAAAGCACGGCCTGGCGACGTACCAGCTTTCGAGCACGTGCTTCAGCTTGTTGAAAAAAGAGTTGCCGAAGGCCTCATTGAGTACGAGAAGACGGGCGGGAAGAGCCTCGAGGAGCACAAGCTCGAGATCAAGTCAGCGCCCGTTGAGGCACAGACTAACGGGAATGCCGATGGAGCGGAGCTGGGGTACGACCCCGAGAGCTCCGTGGCCACGGTGAAGGCATGCAAGAGGGCGTGGTGGGTTGCTCAGCCGATCGTGAGGCCGCTCCCGGCTGAGGCCATGGCCAAGGGTGCCCTGAGTCTGAGCAAGAAGGACAAGAAGAAGATGGAGCAGGAACAGGCCGAATTGGAAAAGACCAAGAGCCAAGGTGGCGGCATCGCGCAAGAGCTACCCATACCAGACGGCACAAACGGGATCAAGGAGCCCGTGATGGATGAGAACCAGAAGGGACTCGTCGATGATGCCTTGGTTTGTGGATGAGCTAGGCACGAATGTAAACGACGAAACTCACATTAGTAAAAAACAGTAAAAATTCATTCTTAGCCTTGATGCGAATTACAAGTGTGTCGATAGCTTTGGGTACTTGGAAATCATATAAACCCCATGAACGATTAGTCAACTACAACCCGGAGCTATGAATGAAATTTCAACGAAGCACACCGGGCTCACTAATCCACTCAGCGGAGCCAGCCCGTGTGGAATTCATCCATTCGGAGGCGCAGAACATTAAGTTTATGGTATCATTGTTCTTTTTGACTAAGTCTCGAACCGCCAAAGTTCTGGGAGTCGCCTCACAGTCAGATGCTTGCCAAGTTCCGCCTGGAAAGCCAAGTGGCATGGACTTTCACGCCAGACACATGCGTTCGATATTTTTCTGGCGATAGAGGTAGAGATAGCACCAAGGGTATAAGAGAAGCCGCCTGGCAGCTCTAGTTTCGGATTACCAAAAGCATGGCGCACTGAACCCGAGTCGTGCCAGGGGCAGACCTGACTTCAGTTTACTACCTCGAGCCTCCAGTTATCTCTACAATACTGCCGTTCATGTACCGGCTCTCGTCGCTAAACAGGAACGCGACGACGTCGGCCACCTCCTCCGGCTGCCCAAGCCGCCTCAGCGGGATTTCAGCTACGAGCTTCTCGTTCGCATCGCCTCCCGCCACGTTCCCCGCCATGGTCGGCGTGTCGATGGGGCCCGGCGCCACCGCGTTCACTCGTATCCCCCGCGGTCCCAGCTCAAGCGCCATGGCCTTGGTGAAGCCGACGACGCCAAACTTGGTCGCACAGTACTGTAAAAAGCGATGTCTACATGAGCAGCTGGTCGGCCGCGAATCGGGGGGGACTAGGGTAGACCTACAATCGAGAAACCGTTCGTGGCCCTCAGGCCGGCCTGACTCGAGACATTGACAATCGCGGCACCTGACTTGAGATGGGGCACTGCTGCTCTGGTGACATTGTAGGGCCCCCGGAGATTTGTGTTGATCAGTGTGTCAAAGTACTCGTCCGTGGTATCTGTGATCGCGAGAGCCGTGGGGTTGACTCCGGCACAGTTGAACACGAAGTCGATCTTGCCGAGCTCCGATAGGGTGTGCTGAACGGCGGCCTCGACCCGCGTGCTCGAGCCGACATCACATCGGAACACGGCATGCTTCCCTGCCGTGCTTGTCGACGGGAGGTCTTTCAACACTCCTGACAGCGCGCCTTCGTTGATGTCGCAGAGGGAGAGCGAACCGCCCTCGCCAGCGAGCTTGATTGCCGTCGCGCGGCTGTGAGAGGCGTCAGTATAGAAGCTAGTGGCGCGGACAGGCACCCTGTAGGTTGACTCGTAGCATTGCTTCTTACCCGATGCCGCTTGCCGCACCTGTGATGAGGAAGACTTTGCCTGTGAACCTGCCTGACATGATGAGTCGTGGTACTGGATTTGTACCGAAACTAGATTTGAGGACACCTCGACTATGTAAATATGGTTTGCCTTTTGGAGGGCGTGGGTATAAGCAGTTAACCTCCGACGACTTGCAGCAGTGGGGAAGCTGTTCCGACGCGAGACGGTGCTCTTATCTTCGGAGAACCCGTCGTGCGTAGTGACAGCCGTTGGGTGTCCGTGACTAGAACGGGATTTCCACGAGGTATGGTAGTTGTGCCGACAATAGCCTATTGGGGTATCATGATTGCACCTCGACAGCTAACGACTGCATCATAGTGCAGCAGACTCTAGAGGTCTTCAGAGACATGCTTTGGAAACGGGACCTGTCGGCAGCGGAATGTAGAGTACGACCATGGGCCAATTTTGCCATCTCATATGATGTCTTATGATAAAATCTCACCTGCAAAACAATTTTTTTTATGAAGATGTGACGATAGCTCTCATATAAAATTGTAGATTGAAGTATACATAATATGATGGACTATCATCAGTGATTGGGCCCATGCTACAACGACGGCCCCACAATCAGCTTACATCCTGGTAGCAGGGGTTGCACGTCTCCTAGGTTAGCTACCTGAAGAACTTTGTCTAATATGAAAGTGGGAAAAAAAGCAAATTTTCCTACTGTGAACATCTTCCGACAGGACTGTCCTCGGCGCGCCAATCTTGCATGCATTAACTTGGGAGCGTTCCATTAAGACTAGGGGAACAGTCGTCTTGAAGTCCAGCTAGACTAGTACAGAAACAAACTGCTGCACGCTATACGTAGCTGCGATCCGCAATCATGGTCAGCAACCGTAGTCACTAGAGGGACCACTTAGACCATCTGCTAAATCTATACCAGGCACCATATGGCAAGTATGCCCTTATTCCACTCTTCCTGGCTCTCAGTGCCTTTGGCGGCTACGCAACACTCGGCGCCCTGGGTAAAAACGGCCTCGGCGCCGTCCTGAGAGACGTGCTGACGGGCTCACGGTCCGCCCTCGTCGGGGCCCCGGAACCATTCAAGCGGTCGTATACCGGCATCAGCAGAGTCGATCGCCAGCTCAGCACCCTCGTCGCCTTCTTCTCGGCGGCCATCGACGGCGACGTGCCGCCGGAGAACCTCCTGGTCTTCGTCTGGGGCATGTCGCAGTTCGCCGCCGGCTGGACCCTCATGCTACTCGAGAGCCTGCGGGCGGGGAACAGCGGGCGCGTCGTCAGCTACGCCCCCATCCTGGGCTTCTTCATGCAGAACCTCACCTGGACCGTCTCCCTGCCCATCTGGCTCGTGCTGCATCTGCTCACCTCGCCTGTCGCGAAGCTCCAGAGCGCCGACGGCGCGACGGCCAAGAAGGCGCTCGAGCCCCGCAACCCGTGGGACGCGGCTCTCATCCCCATATCGGTAGTGCTCGCCTTCGTCGTGCCGACCGTGATGATGAAGGTCCCCGGGCTGAGCGCGTCGGCGCACTACACCTGGCACGCGATCTGGCAGGTCTTCCCGCTGTGGAACGCGCTCCTCCTGCCCCTCCTGCGCCTGGGTCAGAACCGCACGCCTGGGCCGGGCAACAAGACGCCCGGTCCGTCGTCCGTCTACAAGTTCGCGCTGCTCCTCGCGGCCGTCGGCCACTTGCCTATCGCGGTGCTGTCCGTCCTGCCCGGCCCTCTCCGCTCCCTGCTCGCAGCCCACGCGCCCGCCCTCCTCCGGCCGTTCGTCGAGCGCGGCACCCTCGCCAACATCTTCGTCCCGCCCTCCTGGCCCCTGAGCGCGCACCAGTTCAGTGTCGACCCCACGGCCTACACGAGCCTCGAGAGGTCGCACCTGGCGACGCAGTTCCTGCAGTACGACATCTACGTCGGCGCGGTGCCGTTCCTGCTCTGGGCGCTGTACCTGCACCGGACGGCGGCGAAGAGCGCCGGCCTCGTCGACGCACTGGCCGGGGCCGGGTTCTGGTTTGCAGTGGGCGGACCGCATGCTGCTGTGGCCGCGCTGCTCTGGAACCGGGACAATGATGTGCTGGAGAGTGGGGACGGGGCGACGAAGGAGGAGAAGAAGAAGAACTAGAGGAATACGGCTCGCCAGCGTGGTCCCTTGTTTATTTCGATTACGCCCTACCGCGGTCAGTGACCAATTGAGCGGCCAAGCCAAGTATACCTCATAAATTATCGTCCTAATACGTTCTACGATATTCTGGGCACTCGGACTGTAGTTATTTATGATGGGTTTCAAGTCTTTGCGATATGCTTATATCGCAATAGGACGTCATGTCATGCATGCTCCTCGCCACGACCTCATTGTCTAATTAAAAAAGGGGGGTTTTTTTTTTTTACAAAATCTTTTTGGAACTTTTCTTCCTATTCTTTCTATTCGCTTTCATGGCATTAGTATCACAGGTATCTCAAATTTATCATTCGCATGTCCGGAGTTGTAGCTGTGTGCTTCTTGTCCATTTGAAGATTCTAGTTTGTTTTATCTTAATTTGTTTCATCGAGGTACAAGTTTTGGTGGCCTATCTCCTCTGAATACGATCGTTGTGGTATGTGTTTACGCCCCTGAACGCCTAAATGATGCTGGAATCTAGATTCCGAAGTGCACAGTGTCGATCACCCTCATTGCCAATTGACCCGAATGGCATATATGAATAGCATATATGAATGTCAGGGCCAAGGAAATGCAGACGAAACAAAGGGTTTTTCGGGCTTGTGCGTTATAATACAAATCCTCAAAGATAGCCTCCATGTACTCAAACTTAAGACGATCAGCACGCCTACTGGCTGAGCTGAAATACATTCTGCATCGTCTCTATATCGTCAATAGCGTTATTGAAGACGCGAGTAATTGTATTGAGCACCTTCATGCGATTGTGCTCGCCCTTGGTCCGCCAGATTTCGGCCATCATCTCACGTGTAAGTTGTTCAAGCTGCTCGATAGTGCAGCCGGACGTGCGTTGCGTCAACTCATCCAGGAAAAGCCCGCCTGAAGTTTCGTCCATCTCGACCTGTTGCTGGGAACCGACAGAATGGCCAGAATGACCAGAGTGCCTTTGTGATTGAGACTGCTCTTCAGGAGATGGGTCATTAAGAAGATTGGCAACGCTAGCAGCATTTGATGACCTGGTTGCACCTGACGACGTGTTATGGGAACTCGTGGAATATCGGGGTGCTTGAATGACGCCTCGTGCAAGACCGTGTGCTTGAGAGTGAGGCCACTGCTGCTCATCACTCGATGTCGTCTGACTCTGGTTCGTCTGACTCTGGTAGGGCTGGGTGTCCGGGAGGGCCTCTTGGCTCAGCTGTTCGTGATGCGCACCATTCGCAACCTGCGTGCTCCAGTTTGATGATCTAGTGGAAGGGTCTGACGTCTTGGTTGTTGATGCATCGTTCGCAAGAGCTGTCGGGGAAACGCCAGCAGGCAAGGATTGTACAGCAGATATTTGGGATATCTGAGTTGTCCCACCGGGCGTCGCTCTTGTCGAAAGATTCAATGGTTGAGGCGCCATGCGAGGCCATTGTGAAGCAGGAGGTTGCATGGGGGTGCCATAGTTGCCAGGTTGCGTATCGACATCAGCCATCTGCACATCATCGCCTAGCGGCCTTGATGGGAAAGACGTGCCGTTGGACTGATTGTGAGACTCCGAGCTTACGCCAAGACCATTTGACAAGGGGCTCATCACCTGGAAACGTGCCTCCGTCGTGTGCAGTTTTGGGGGTTGGCCGTTGTCTCCTGCATTAACAACACCGGCATCCGAAGTGGCCAAGTCGATGACGGATTGCATGGCTTTCTTCTTGCGCGCTCTCTCAGCCTTTGCGGCTCGCCGGCGCTTCTCGTTCTCGTAAAGCTCCTCCCAGGGCACATTAGGTAATCGAATCTTCTCGATGTCACTTACGTCGACCTCCACATTGGTCAACAGCTCGCTGGCCTTCAGGATCCTGACTCTGTCTCCGCTAGCTTTAGCATCTTTCTCCAAAGCCACAATATCGCGCAAAAATTCGGAGGGTTTGGTGTAGTAACCATTGGCTAATCTTTCCTCAATAGTTTGCACGTCAATATTGTAAAAGAACCTTCCAGTCTCAGTCTGGCGAAGTCCTTGTATGCCTTCTTTGTCCTTGGCAATCTCGTAAGGTCTAGGTACAGCGCCTTCAATGTCCGGGCGGACATAGTTCGGGTCCTGCTCATCGAATAGATATTGGTAGTGTGAGTGAGGAATTGGTGCTTGCCGGAAGATCTTGTACTTCCTGTTGATCTGCTCCATGATGGGCTGAATATGGACCTTCAGCAGGTTGAGAAGTTGACGGTATCTTAGCCACTCTGCCTTTTCTTCCTCTCTCGAGGGAATCTTGGGAGGTGGAGGGGGGGCGATCTGAAGCTGCTCCAGAACTCTCTTTTTACGGTTCGCGGGATCAGGAAATTGGCTTGGAAATCTGCTGATATTGGAAATGATGGCGGAGAAGAACTCGCGACGGTTATCCTACGGGGCCGTTAGCGACTATTTACTGAGGGGGAAACTGCCACTACTCACCTTAGTCGGCTGAGCAATTTCAATGCTGTTCTTCTTAGAAAATCCAAATAGATCTCTCTTGAGATCAGACGAAAGGTGATGCGACTCGACCTCAGCTGTACCGAGAACCAAAATAGGGTCTGTCGGAGGAATTGACCGCAGCATGCTGAGAAATGCTGTAAGGGCTGGACCCTCAAGCGTGGTGTACCATGTATCAACGTTCGGAATGAATATTACACTGGGTTTATGGCGCCGGACTTCATTGAAGAGGCCGACCATGACTTGTTCAGCAGACTAGATAAACATGAGTATTCTGTCGTAGTCTGATTGAAGATTTATGACTTACCCGCGGATCACCAAGGATTGTGGGAAGGTCAAAGTTCTGGACATGAACACCTTCTAGATAATGCAAGACTGCTGCAGCCAGATAGGTGTGACCCATGCCCGGCAAGCCGCAAACCAGAAGTCGCGGTCTGAAGACACGCGACCTCTCGAATTCTTCATTCAATGCTTCTCGGGCGAACCCAAAATCTTCGTCAGCATAAGGCTCAAACATGGCCTCTTCGAGCGCCGTGACCTTTTTCTTTCGGGGGAGGATATCATCCAATATAGCCTGTACGTGTTCTAGTTGGGTTTGCAATAGGGGCACGATTGGCTTGGGAAGTGATGCCGCCCCGGAGGTCGTTGCTCGCTCTGAAGACGGTATAATCTTCTTCTTTGAAAGGACAAAATCGGTCATGGCAATGTTAATCTTTTCTGGATTAACAATCAATTTGTCCTTTGAGGAATAGATCTGAGGATAAGTTCGCTGGATCGCATTCATGGCAGCTTCCGTGCATAATGCTCTCAGATCTGCACCTCCATAACCTTTTGCATCACGAGCGAGGGACCGCTTGAAGTCGTCAGAGATACCCCAATCTTGAGTGTGGATATCAATGATGGCTTTCCTGGCGTCAATGTCAGGCAGCGGGAAATAGAACTCGCGGTCAAAACGACCAGGGCGCCGCAGAGCAGGGTCGATGTTGTCTGGGCGATTGGTGGCGCCGATAACAATGACTTGACCGCGGCCATCCATACCATCCATAAGAGCAAGTAGTGTTGACACGATGGAGGCGTGAATCTGTTCTTGCTTACTAGACCGAACAGGTGCGAGTCCATCAATTTCGTCGAAGAAGATGATGCTAGGCTGTGTCTTTCTGGCTTCTTCGAACAACAGCCGAAGCTGCTTTTCGGCCTCACCAACCCATTTGCTGAGGGCGTCTGCACCCTTGCGCATATAAAAGGTGATCTTCTTTCCTCCAATGCCCACCGAATTTGCCAGAGCTCGTGCAAGGAGGGTCTTACCGGTACCGGGTGGACCGTGAAACAGGACACCTCGGGGAGGAGTGACATGGAACTTCATGAAGAGCTCAGGGTACAGGAGAGGAAGCTGGACCATCTCCTTGAGCTGGTCGATGTGACCTTCGAGACCACCGACTTTGCTGAAGTCGACATTGAGGTCGACTCCGAGGGGGTCTGCATCGGCATATGCCTTTTGGTTTTTAACCTTGCCAACGTTGGGAGCAGCCGTGAGAGCGTTGCTGGGGCCGTCCAGGTTTAGTGCTTGCCCGGGTCCGCTCAAGAATCCTGGAGGCCCCGCCGAAGTGGGTGTCTTGCCAACATCTCCAGGAATTCCTGACCGTCCGCCCATCTCATCGTCGCTGCTATCCGAGTCCACGCCCCCCGTGGCAGTGGCACCCGTACCCCACGGGCCACTGAAGAGAGCACCCGGCCCGGCGAGATTAACTCCACCGAATGGACCAGCGATCGTGTGCAAAGTGCGATCCCATCCCGCACCACCACCACCACGTCGACCACGGCGTGCTGGACTTGGTGCCGGCGCAGGTGCCTCATCTTCCTCGGCCGCGAATTGGTTCAATGCCGGTATACTATAGTTCACATTATTGCGCTTCCGCTTGCCTCTTACACTCTCGGCTCGTACAGAAGGCGAACGTCGGCGGCGGCGGCGAGCACGTCGCTCCTGGGAGCTGCCCCGGAGATCCTCGAGCTCTTCAGCCATCTCATCTCGATCAAGCTCCACCTCTTCGTCGCCAGAGTCGTTGCCATGACGAGATGTTCTTGCGGATCGGCCCTGGCCTCTGGTACCCTTGCGACCACGGGATGGGGTAGAATCGTGCTCATCGCCGGCCACATCGTTGGCTTTTTCTGAAGCGGAATCGTTTTCGTCCCCAGAGTCGTTCCCAGGTTCAAAATCGCTACCAGGCTCCTCGAGGGGTTTTCTCGAACGCGATTTTCGGGCTAAGCGCCGACTACGAGTAGCGACAGGTTCCTCATCGGCGGGCTCCTCTTCAGCATCACCAGAAACAACCTGACGGTTACCCCTAGTTCGACGCGTGACAGGTACGTCGTCATCATCATCGTCGTCGTCGTCGCCGTCGTCGCCGGCCTCATCTGGTTCTACCGTCTGGATAGGCTGGTCCTCCTCTTTCACGTCTCTCTCAACGTCGGACTCACGCTGTGCTGCAGATGCTTCAGCATCCTCATCCATAAAGTCATCTTCAGCTCCAGTAGCCGCAGTCTTACTGGGACTACTTTCTTGTGTCAACTCTTCGACAATTGGCGGTATAGGTGATCTCATGACGCCCTTTCCTCCTCGCGTGGACCGGCTGTTTCGTGCGGCAGTTTCAGGGCTCAGACTCTTGGAGCCCCGAGCGCGCGCAGGCAAGACGTGTTTTCCAGAATTTGAAAGCTCGACGAGTTCTTCATCGGCATCTGTAGTTTGTGCGCGGGTGGCTCTTCGGGTCGTCGTGGTCGTAGCAGTTGTTGAGTTGGCGCGAGTTTTCCGCATGGAACCTGGCCGTACCTTTAATAGCACTATCTTAGTGGGTTTCGGCGTTAGCTTTTTTGGCGTCTCCCCAACGAGCTCTTCTTTCACATCGGATGCATCGCTATCCTCGGAGCTTTCTGCGTAGTTCTGCTGTTTTACCGCAGCTTTCCTCATGCGCCGCCCGGTATTCTCATTGACGGGCAGCACTTCATCGTCTTCGTCTTCGTCATCGTCATCATGGTCAGGCTCCCCGAAAGAGTCCTCCTCGGCGCTCTCGGATAGGCCGTCTTCGTCTTCGATATCTGAGCCGCCATACCTGTTCTTTCTGGCGCGGCGAGGTCCCCTGTTGGACTTGGAAGGGCGCGACTTCTTGCGCGAACGGGTTGGGCGGTCTACGTCGGGCTGAAAGTTCTCGTCCTCGGAATCAGACTTGTTAGGATCGAAGTCCAGGAGATCTCTCTTGCGTTTGTTGGGCGGCATGATGGGCGACTCGGTCGGGGCAAACAGTGAACAACAGGCCTAGAATGGATTGAGTTAGTTGACCAGACATTCCAAAAGCGACAGACTTGGACAAGTAAAAGCAAAGTGCGGTAGGTGTATGTCGACCGGAATGCAAGGCGGGCAGCGGAGAACAAAAGTCTAGATGAAATTCGCTGCGTCCGTAAACATGGCCAGCTCGGTGGGTTTACAGATGTGTAGACAGCAAGGCTGGTAGGTGTAGGTCTCAAGTTGAGAACAGCAGTGATAACTCACCTTAAGGAACGACTGATGTTGGGTTTGAGACGGCGGAGTCGTCGAGTAAACAAAAGAAGGTGTGAGGTTTTGCCAACGAAGGTATGAGTATTAAATATGTGGGTTGGTACCATGAAAGATCGGCTTGGTGATGTTACTGCAGACACCCGATGACCGTGAAGCGTGAACGGCGAGGGTGGTAGGGATGGTCAAGCCGAGTCGGGGGGGGGTTTTGTCATGCGGACATAACAGGTCAGAGGGAAGGTGTTCTAGGACAGGAGGAGTAGGAAAGAGCTGGGGTGGTATCAGAATATGTCGACGTGGTTTCGCGCTGCGGCAGAATGGTGTATACAGGACGGTGATGAGTGCCTGGTCGGGGGGCGAGTGTGTTCAGCAGCAGACGTACCGTAAACGTTAATGTTAATCGCGTATCGTGAATTAATGCGGGCCCTCGCAAAGTCCCAGGTTATGATGATAAGTAAAAAGCCATGAGTTTGACCTAGTGATCGATGATTGACCCAAGGTCGGCGATGAAAAGACTGGAGGTCAGGGTCAAGGTCAAGGTCAAGGCCCGAGGTCAACAATAGGCAGATGTAGATCAGGATGTCACAGAGGAAGTCTGCGCGTCTTTCACTCGACGAGTGCCGTGCAGCGCCTTGACTTTGCCTGCCATCCCTCTTAAGTGCTAGTGCTAGTGCTGGGCCCAGTCCCAGTCCCGGTCCTGGTCTTGGTCTTAGCCTTAGCTCAGCAAGCAAAAAGGAAGAAAAGGCAGGCACGCGCCCTGTATGGCCCACAGAACTGAGCTCTGCGGCCAATCAAATTGCCTGGAGCGCACATGGCCCCGGCGTCTCTTAGGCGTTTTCCGCGTTCTAACGTCTGCATTCAACCACTGCTCCATGCCCGACATTGCCAATTTTCTGCGATCGACTCCGAATCCCAAAAGCTTCCATTGCTCAACGGCAAATGTCAACCTTTGCGATATTCTGAGTATCCAGTTAATTTGCTGCAGGATCCCTCATTTTGCTTGGATTTTCAGAGTCGCCCGGTTTTCTGCTATGCAATTGACTCTTTTGTGAATTATTCATGCCCCGAACTTCTTCTCTGCCACCTCAACCACAAATCTCATATACCCTCTTCCCATTCTCCAGATTTCACCTCGAGCTCCCCCGGGTTCCATCGTCATCGTCGGCGCTATGCCGTGCGGCTCAAAAAGCTAAGATCAGCCCTACGGATCCGGGGATGGGTGCCAAGTCATGGGGGGTCTATCACTGGACTTCTTCCGCCGGCCGTCGCACTTGGCTGCAGCTGCTGTGAGCTGACCACCAATTTCCGGCTTGTAGCCAAATCCAAGCGTGCCGTCTTCCCGCACTGCACCAGTCTTCTTCCGCCATATCTCTCCACCCACGCATCAACATGCATCGCTTGCTTACCTACGCTTACTTAGTTTTCCCTTGTGGGGACCTCGAGAAGGCACCCGAGTCCTTGGTTCGCGAACCACATCACATGTTGGCCGTTTATGAGTGATTTGCTATCCCATGTTGATCGCTGCTCAAGACTGTGCGACTGAGCACCTACCGTGAAATCTGCAGAGCCAACCACAGTTCCGTGGTGTTACATCATTGAAATTGGGTCTCACCACTTATTCAGTCCACCGCTATTTCACACGTTACGATTGCTGTTGGCTGCAAAAGTTGCAGCCCTCTCTGCTGACTGACCGCAATATTATAGTTTGCATGGCTCTGCAGCATGTCGGACTGCAACGCACTTCAGCCCCCAACTCATTTACTGTGTACCTCTGGGACAGACATGTGCCTACGCAGGAATGCCGCTAGAAACCAAGGTTTTAGACCATCACAGGAATTTAAGTCAATAAATAGCACAACACATCCGTACAATACTCTTTGATGATAAGTTGGACTGCGCTTATTTCTAAGTTACACAGTAATGCGGCCCCGCCGACTGTAGGGCTGCCTACGTGGAACCTCTCCAAATACTGGATCAACGGCAGACGGGCATGTTTAGTCTTTCTGAGTGTAACGTTGGTAGGCTGGCCAAGTCGGACATCAAGTGTCTCCTCTAATGCGTCCTCTATGCGTCCTCTATGCGTCCTCTATGCGTCCTCTATGCACCAACACACTTTCATCTTTGGTTCTATTGGTCAGAAAAATATGCTATCATGCAGTTTTCCCACTTATCCTATGGTTGCCTTGCCACGAGACCCTACCGTCGTACGAATGCTAAACAGCGGCCCAATGTCTTGGGATTCATGGAAATTCCTATATGGTCCCTTGTCAGCCGCCGAGTATTGCTCCTCCCGTTCAACATTATATATCAGACTCGGGCTGTCAGTCTTCCTGGCCCACTGAGCGTCTCCCAGTTTCACCGCACCATTAGCCGATTTGACATCGCTGCACCTGGAGTACCTTTCTTGACACCCTGGAGGTCATATAATCGACATATCTTTGACAGATAAATAAACCAAAATCTTTACAAAACTTTGTCAAGCTTGTAGCAATACCAAGTACTATCGTGCTTGAATCCTCCAACTTATTCCATTCGGACATTGAGGTAGCCGTCTGCTGCGCGAGACGAAAGAGAGCAAATCCCAGTTCATTTCAAAAGATCCCTATTATATCATGGGTTCAGGTCGACCTGCAAAGAAAGCTGGGGAGGCACCAGCCCCACTTTGTACGCGCACCACAAGTGGACGACACGATTCCTTCGGATCAGACACGGTACGGATTGCGCGTGTATTTCAGAAAAAGATACATGTTCGTTCAAACTAACTCGTTGGTTTAGTCCTACACATACGAATTGACAAGCGAGCCCCACAAGAAGCGCTCTTCAAGCTCGTACCACGACAGAGTCACTCCGAGCCGCAAGTCTTCGTCCAGCTCGAGCAAGTCGAGTAAGTCGAGCAAGCCAGGCTCGCCGACTGTCAATCAGCACACGCATTGTGGCCGCCACTCAAACCAATGGCTACTCGGCGGGTTCTCTGTGACGGAAACCATCAAGTCGGCGTTGAAGAAAGAATGATCTACATCGAAGCATTCTCCGCAGTACATTTAGAGGGCGGGTATAGGATAGTTCTTTTACTGCCTCAAGTCGGTATTCATCCTTGGAAATTCTGGCAAGCACAGTCATATACCTAGTAAGAATGTAATTGGGAGGTAGCGAATGACGATGCATCACGTTTAAATATGTAATACAAACAAAAATACCCACGTTGAATCCCATGATGAGAATATCATCCAGCCGACAGATTAGACTCGTTATCATATTTGAGTAAAATACGCAGGTGATACTGTGCCGGTAAGCACAAGTTAAGCGGCGGCCCGACCAATACTATCTATTACTTGCAACAGTCTCAGCTTATGTAAAGTCTACATAGTAGTTCTGAAGGGTATCAATTACATAGGTAGTGCTCAGGTAGTCGCTGCCAATTTCCATCAAATGAGAACGGCCTGGCGCATCGATCGTCAAACCTCACATATGTGCACAGAGCCTACCAAAGTTCATGTAAAACGAACGGCTTAATTCTAAAGAAGTTTCGTTGCTTGTTAACCGAATATACTTTCCACTATATACATGCTGTAGGTCCTTGATCTTCGTCCCGAGTTGAAGGCCGAACCAGAGTTCAGCCCCATCCTGGAACTGTCGAAGCTCAATTGACCGCTAGAAATGTTATACGGGCCGGTGCATGACGTGACAATTAACTAAGCCTCATCCAATAGTGCTTTGCGAACGCGAGTCCCCTACAAATTGTCCTGCCAAATCAACCCAAGCCCGTTGGCCCCCGACATCTCTGCAGAGAATGGGTTCACTAGCAGCCAATGCAGAGTGGTTGCATTATCGTGCCATGACTCGCAATGGTTGACGACGTTTCTAGCGTTTCTATATTGGCAGAAAGAGTTTTTGCGGTCGTCTGTCTTGGCTGTACTTCTGCACTCTAGTTGTCTGGGCGCTGGTATTATTCCGGTCGTTGACTGGCATGAGACCGGCGAAACCGACGCGCTGAGCTCCGGTCGTTTCATGCTTAGTGGCCAAATTTGTCCACGTAGCACGTCGTATGCGCGGCAGACCAGTCCGGTGGTTGCAGTGTCCCAATATCTCACGACAAAGTCGAGCACCATGTAGCCTGTGTCGATCAAACTACCATTTCCGCTACTATGGTATACCAAACGATGTAATATCATAGAGTATGATCACGAAACAATGAGCTCGTCAAACTTGCTGTATACAGTATGGAAGTTGGTAAAGTTGAATTATCTAAACTCACCAAATCAATATCACTACCTGAACGTCGGCGGTCTCTTGCACTGAAATTGGGACACTACGCTCAAGCTGCAGTGCATTCTGAATTTCTTACTATTCCCGTTTGCCGCTCTTCCGCCTCAGGGATATTTCCGCGCCCTCGCAACTCGGCGTTACGACACCACTGTTTAAGCTTCAACTACTCTGGCCCCCCGGGCGCCGGTCCCTTTTGTACCCAAGTAATCTCGAAATTCCTTAGGAACAATGGAATTTTTTTTTTCTCAAATCGCCGTCAGCCAAGTACGGCTTTTCCGGCCAGTTGCTATCCCGTCGCTATTTCCAGACACCGAGTTTCGTCCTGCTTGAAATCTCGTCAGTTGCCTCAAGAAAAACAGATATAATTGAGAACTACGATTCTGTCTACTCCCTCACCGCCACCCTGACCCTGTGACCAAACTGGATACTATATCACAAACCTTAAATGTTATAGCATCATGTCCGGTCTTACTATAGATATGATGAGGTCTCTGCTATGCGCCATCCCCGTCGAAGTAAGCTCTTGCAGCCCTGAACCATGGGGAAGATTTTGTTTGTTAATGTGTACCCAGGTTCGACTTATGATCTTTGAGTTTGCAGTGACATTGGACAAACCAGTCACTCCACGGCAGATCACACAGCACTCAAACAAGTTCACCTGGGGGGACCGCAAGCAGGTACCCGTCCACAACCATCCCGGCAACAATGACTACGTCTGGGAGTGCCAGGAGGACGATCGGCCCGCCATCGTATCTTTGAGCTTGACGTGCAAGCAGTTCTACGACGAGCTGAGACGTTACCCGGTCTTCTACCGGGTGAACCAATTCCAGTTCGAGCTGGAAGACCTGGTGGCGTACCTGGCCGCCATCACCCCGGAGCGCTGCAACATGATCCAGAACATCGTTCTAACCGGACTTGGCAGTTCCAGCTTACCAAAGTCCAAGCGCTCCTCCGCGCTGCAGAAGCATGCTCTTGTGTTACTCTCCCAGTGCAGAAGTCTGCGAAATGTGCACCCGAGGAAAGCCGCCAAGTTCTCTGCGGAACATTTCAGTTCGAGGGAGCTCCAGCAGGCAGTTGGGTCCGCCAGGCTTGACATCAATGGTGCGGATCGTGCCTGCGGCTATAATCCAGTGAATACGTCGACTCATGGCAGATTTGAGGTGATGAAGCAAAGCAAGATGGATGCTACCATGGACTATAAACTAGGGGCACTCAGAAAAGAGTTGCTGCCCAGGTATGATTCTGCCGGGCGACTTCTGTGGAGAGTTCAAGAGATCCAAAACGTCAGACGTGGGTCACGGGGTCCCAAATGCCAGGTGAAATGGTGGACGACCACAGGGGGCCAGAACGCCGTGGAGTGGGAAGATGCGTCATCTTTGATGACACAGGAAGGGCTGGAGCTCTTCAGGAAATACTACGACGACAAGGGGCAGCAGTTTCGCGACGTGTTGAGGAACAAGTTCGACCTCGACGCCGAGCTGGCACGCCTGCTCGCCATGCCGGCACCAGACGAGATCAAGGCACTGGGTACGGAGCTGTTTGACAAAAAGGCCCTCCAGGGCAGGTGGAGGAGGCTCCAGAGGGACTACCTGCGGACCGAGTATATGCTGAAAGTCCATCATTCCTTGGCGACCGAGCGCGAGCAGAAGGACAGCCAGAAGAAGCGGTCCGCGCAGAGCACCGAGGTTGAGATGCGAGCCGCTAAGCGCACCAAAGTACGGAGTATGGAATGGCTGATGCAAGCACTTCCAGAAACAATGGAAGATTTGATCAGGTGATAAAGAGCGCGGAACTGGGAGATCCAGAGTGGGAAGACCACTAGAAGGGCGATGGGCAGCCTATTTTAGGCACTGCTCGGTCGTGCTTGGCAATTAGCAAGATACCAATTTGTATTCAGGAGCGGCACAGCAAGCGGTTGACCTTCTTCCTTTTTTTCTTTCTTTTTTCTTGGGAGGGTGGGAGGGTGGTACGGCTTTCATATTAAAAGCTACGATCATGATATTCTCACGTTTACAGAAGAAGTATCGGTTACTTAGAATCTACGACGGCAACGTCTGGCAGGAAATGACATAACATTGTCAAACTCTCCTACTACAAATAATTAATTCTTCGAGTAACCAGAACATTGGCCAAAGGCGAGTTCTCACAATGAAATACTTTCTCTATTCCCATTTCCACCTTTTTCTTCTTTGTTTTTTTCTTCCCCCGCTGCACGACACTGAACAACTTTTATCGGGACTCTGCAAGCCACACAGAACACAACGAACGTTTATTGAATATATGGTACACATTAATCAAGCCACTAATCAGTTAGGAAGAGAATCATCATCTGATTGGAGGAGCCCAAGTTGGCTCATCATCATGCCAATGCTATATGCAGGGGGGAAATACAATGCAAACTGCAGCGGTTCTAGAAAATCCGCCATGGTATCACTAGTATGATAAGCAACGTTGGTCTTTTTAAAATGCAGCAATATCCATCCCAAAAACGCCGTACACCTCCCGTGAAATCTACCATAAATTGGGACTCGTGGCCAGGGCTAAAACCACGAAAACAAGTGCGCCAATGATTGTCAGTCATAAGACAGTACAATCAGATATAGACCTGAAAGGAGTTCTGTCAATGATGGGATTCTCCAAAGTTTGAGTCGAAGTATAGTCATGTCAGGTCGAGAAAAGTCGAGTTTAGAATAGGGAATGTGTCGAGAGGAGCACCATGAGGAAAATGCTCACCATCTGCTTGATTCCCATTCGACAATCCACCGGCAGCATATTTTCATGCGTTGTCGAACGCTCTTCGTCCCAAGAAGCCTGTACTTCTCTTCCTCGCTGACAGGGAGGACGCTAGCAAACCACCAAGGAAATATCGCTGGGTCGTTTGGGCAGTCGCCGAATATAGCCAGTACCCTGGCCTGTAGCCAGGATACACTTTGCGCGCGCATCCTCGTAACAAATGAGACAGCAATGTCGAACAGTTCGCGGGTGGATTTGGAATCCAATTCTTGAACAGTGAGTATACGCGTTTCTCCAGATTGCAAAATAGTGTCGGGGGGCTCTGAAGCTGCTCCTGTAACAAGTTGAGTGAAGTTTTGGACGCCCTGGCCCGTTAAGGTTTCCGAAGCTTCCATGGCTTCTTCGTCGGCCAGGGTAATGTCGTCGATTTTTTCAACTCGTCCCACTGGATAGCCATCCACAAACCCATGGCTAGTAACTCTAAAGCGTGAAATGCCAACCGATTCCAGCAAACTGCGGCCATCGGGGAAGAATTCGATGTTGACGATTCGAAGTAACGTGCCGACTTCACGAAAATTTGCACCATTAGGTTGCGGATGTTGCGTGCCAGCCACCATGCCAAACATGCGATCACCTTCTATAGCTCGGCGAATCATGCGGCGATAGCGCGGCTCAAAAACGTGGAGGAAGGTTGGCATGGCCGGGAACGCAAGGGAAACTATGAAGAGCGGAATGTCGAAATCCCCTGCTAGTTCGTCCTGGAGCTCGGCACGCACATTCTGTGCTCGAACCGCAACAGTGTCCGCCCAGAATCCATTGATCATGTTTACCAAGCGCTGATTCGATGGCGTGTCGCTTTGGAGAACATTTGGCTGCATCATAAGGGTTCTTCGACAAATGGGGCAATGTTCTGAGCCGCCGAGGGTTCGGTGCAAACAATTCCGACAAAATGTATGACCGCATGTCGTGGTAAGAGGATCGAGGAGTAACGCATAGCATATTTGACAGTCCATCTCTGTGCGCACTGCCTCTTTCAACTTTGTAAAAGCGACTTCGTCCCTTGCTGTAACTTCCTCCTCTGTGGCACCTACAGCCGTGTAAGTCACCTCGCAAGTATATTTAAGCTGTCCAGTTTCGGCCATTGTGTACGTCGACACAATGCGACCGCCTTTAAAAACTTGCGAAACAGGGTCCTTCTCTTCCATGCTGGGCAAGCCAGCAACCTGCCACTGATCCTGCACCGACATGTAAGTGGAAACACCAGATGCTTGTGTTACCTCACGATCCCGCTCCATAGCCTGCTGGATAATGTCCAGAACCTTGTTCATGGTGACATCAACACTGCAATCCCCAATGGCATGTTCCTTTTGGCAATCCTCAAAGGGACACTCAAAGCCATAGAGCCGATTCGCTGTCGCTGGCCAGGAAATGTTCGTTCGAATGTGAGTTGGAGGAATGCAGCTCTGGCAGCAGCTTCGCCCACATGGTATAGTCGTAGGATTATGCAGGATGCGAGAACACACCCAGCATTGGACGAGTCTTATAATCTGTCGAACATCTTCCGTGGCATCCAAGAGCAGTTCTGAAGCAGCAACGACATCTTCAGTCCCGGCCGGGTTACGGCCCGGATCCGATTCACTCTTTTCGGATTGCGACGAGTGAGACCTGCGGCTTTCGGAGGGCGTGGGCGGCGCTGGTACTGTCGGGCTGGTGCTTGCCTGAACTGAGGACATGAAAGTGGTTTGGAACCTGAAGCTTGTGCTGCGTGGTGCTCCAATCGTAATGCGTGTATCTGCGCCACGATGGATAATTTCCGAGCTGCACAAGAGGTATATGAAGCTGGGGATGGTTGCGGGTGTAGATAGCCTCAATAGTGCGCGGCTTCAGGATATAGGATACAAGACCCACTGCGCTGTTGGTTGAGTCACAGTTAATAAGATTCGTTGATGGGATGAGGTTGTAGATAGCATTAGGTCCCTGATATTTTAGTGGCCAAGTTGGGGCCAGAGGCAAGAGGAGGGATGTGATGCTAAGACTCATGTATGCTGGCAGCGATCAATAGTGGACGGCGACGCAACTGGTGATGATGCCGGTATCCACAGAGCGCGACTAAAACAATTTAATTGGAAGAGAAGGGATTCGGGACGCCTAATAGCGCTTCGAATGGGAGCTTCTAGAGCACTGGATATGAACTCGCAGCCGTGCAGAACGGAGCTTAGCGGAGTCTCACGCGTCGAAGATGTAGGAGGTCATCATACATCTAGGTGCAGATCAAAGGGTGCCGTCCCGACAGAAAGGTGTGGAGGAGTCCTGGGGCTCACGTCTCACTGGCAGGTAAAGAGGCGTACCGAGTGGTGCGTCAGTACTGGTACTTGCAAAACCATTTGTAGTTAACTCTAACGGCGGCCATTGGTCAAACGGACAAGGAAGCGTCGTCGATCTCGATGGCAATGTCCAATACTATGATACGTACCAGATGGCGACCTTGGACGTTGCATTTTTTTCCCCCACTAAGCGGTTGAAAAACATGCTTCCTGAGTCGGTTAGAAGACGCACAATGTGGAGCGTTGGCTGCAGGACCCTTGAGTAGGCCGAGTGTTCCTAAATAAAACGCAAAATAAAAAGGCTGTGTTGTGATTGAACTAGAGGGCGTTTCGAAGTTTCCAACGGCCAGGAGAGTTACGATGGGCAGATTGAATTTCGTGTTCCTGCGACTTGTGCATTAACAACGGTTGTCAGCCGCTGTCGACCTTGTCAATGACTTAAGGTTTGGATGCAAGACATATTCGAGAATTGCTGGAGAGAGGCATTGATGCTCACATCAGCCGGGGAAGAGGGGGGAAGGAAAAAAGGAGAAAATTACCAGCTGGAGCTCCAGTCTGTGACGTAGCTTTGCCTCGTGGGGTTAATACTTAAGGCACTCGGGGCATCAGTGGGGAACAGCGGTTTGTCAGAGGCCAGATCTTGGAACACTAGAACGACCCACGGGCATTGAAATAGATTCTATTTCCTAGATCCAAGATGCAGTTGAGAAGCGGTAGGCTACCCTGCTATCAACTAAGCTCATTCGCATGAACATCTTCCGATTAGACGGCGCTGACCGCTACAGAGTTGGGTAGTACATTTTCATGGTGTCTGCATATCACGGCTCCTTAGTCAATGGAGTTTAGACTAAAATACCCATGTCTACTGCGTCACGACTCATAAGACTGGAATCTATGGTACGGTATACTATACATTTGGCAGCTCAAGCGCTTATATGTTTCGTCTGGAGAACACAGTCAAGCACATGTGGAGAGGTCTCATGATTGAACTGGAGGTGATAACATCCGTCCAATAGACGAAATGGCGCAAAACTTCGCCGCGAGCCTCGGATATCATCAATCTAGTTGATAGTAACGACTATGGTGCGAGTGAAGCTACTTAACTGTGTGCTAGTGTCAAGGTATCGGTACTTAGAGTAACTCGGCTCCCATTAGATCGCTCATCCTCTGTTTAGCGACTCAATGCAACAATTCTGATCACGGTCCTATCTTCTGATTGACGGGCATCGGCGAAGTATGGCGAATCGAGTCTCATCGATACGACGACACTTCGAAGGCCTTGGTTGCTTTGTTCTTTGTCATCGTCGCTACTGTATCTCACTTTCTGTGTTAGAGCTTCTCCATAAGTCTCGTTAGTCCAGAGATCTGAAAGTCAAATTGCCTTTTGTGGCACGTGTCTTCCTTGTACCTACATTCTGGACGCCCCAGGCGATTATAGTAGATTATCTCTACGAAATTGGCATCGCACATGTCTCGTTCCCATGTCAATTCCATGTCTAGCAACATGTTGTAAATCTTGGTTCCGTGTCCCTGTGCTTCCGAAACCTACCTACTCAGCTGTCGCTCCAAGCCGCGCTAAAACCCTAACCCAGAAAGCCACTGCCCCTTCAGCCTCACCTATGACGCTTGTATGGGCATCTAGGATCTATCAGCCTGGCAAGATCGCAACTATCCTCTACGCCGATTTCCGTGTGTGGTGCATTTGTCAAATAGCTCTGGCAAGGGGGCAAACTGTGTGGCCAATACTGAAGCATCATTCCTTGGAGTTTTGATATGGCCAATGCTTGGGACAAGTTGGCTATGGCGGCGTCACGAACGCTCAAGCCTAGGCCGTTTCCCTATCCGCATGAGAATATCCATATGTCCAATTCACGCAGCTACGGGATTGTTTCCGTGCATTGCCTCTACTCGGACGATAATCATGGGCTAAAGTCCGAAGCGGTTGAGGACGTGGTTCGCCCATCCCGACCGGCCGAAGGACTCAGCCACGGCGTTAACATCCATAGCTGCGTGCCATCTTGCATAGGGCGATTCTTGTAGCGTTTTGCCTTTTTCGGTTACCACTAGTGAAACGCTAGAGCGCCCAATCATAAACTTGAGGCTGGCCCTTGAGTTTCGGCGTTAAAATATTCTAGAAGAGGGTTGGGACCAAACGTCTCGGCCTGGACAAGCTTCCAGAGTCAAAAGTCGGTGTTATACGAAAGTGATGATGCGTCCATTACTGGTGGCACCAACAATTTAGCGAAGGCACGATACCCGTAGTTATTGCCAGATCTAGCTGATACATGTACCAACAAAACATTGATTGCAGACCCACGCGGTCCGCTGGGTCGACATGACTTGTTACACTAACGTCGACAGCGGCTGTCAGATCTTTGCCCAACTCCAATCAATTTTCAGAAAGCCTTTCCGACTTGACATGCACGATATGTAGGACTACGCTCCCGCCGGAACCTGTCTGTCGTGGCTGTGGCTAGATTAGCTTCAATTGTGTCAAAGTATATGCGAGTTGTGACGATGTGATCACTTTAAATATTATTCAAGGGTTACTAGACGCAATGAAGAAAGAAACTTAACTCTACCAGCAATACCCTATCACTGCAAAGACCTTGAAATACAAGTGAAAACTATTCACAGCGTTATATAAGAGAGCTGCAGAGATGACTGAGATTATGCTGCTTTGTTCCATAATACGCATCAGCTCCAGTCATACTTAAAGTTAAGTTATGAGTTGGAAATATCTGTGGCTGCACGGATCTAAATTGTCAGCATTCTTCGAAATCCCTGGCATTGCGTTACCAATAGTCTGCCTTAAATGTCCATGGCTGACGCTCTGTAGAACACTCATGTAATGTTACCATCTATACAGTACATCTTCGGCGGCCATGATACGAAAAAAATCATATTGCTTACTCCGCACCCTTGCTTCATGCCAGTTGTCCAAAGTCTATGTCGAGTTCCCAGAGCTTTGATGTTTACTAAACTCTTTCAACGCATACTTTTTGAAAGTCTCCATCATCATTGTCGTCGAAATAGCTTCGGACATGAATCACCGTTCACCTGCGCCAGCAATCAGAACAAGCAGGATTTGGTCGAGTCAACGAAGAGTCCTGCCAGTCTACATTGCACACATCCCTACGAAAAGTTCCAAATGTGGAGTATTGGTGATGGTAACATGGCAACCTTCTAGAATAACCTGCCACACTAAGCTAGCATGAATGACTATGAAAGTCATAATATAAGACGAAGAGCATGAAAACACACTCATAGACTCCACAGTCTCTCGAATACCAGAGCATGTTTTGAGTACAATCGCAATCGCGCTTACGTAGTAGAGTTGCTTTAAAAATTACAGTTCCTAAATGAATTATTCTTGCGCTTACCTGATTCGTCACAACAGACTCAAAGAGGACTACTAATACTGTAGAACACTCGCCAACACATCCTCCCAGTCCCAACGATGATCGGAGCGTATTATACAGAGCACCACGCTGGCAGTTTCGCCCTTCTCTTCTTGATTTCATATTGTAAAGTATCCATAAGTACAGTGAAGTTCAGGTTCAGCGTCCGTTAGTGGTGTGTTGAATAATTTTATTGTGGTACTGTGCGTCTGCTAACACAGTGAATGTTAAGTCGTCTAGCAGTACTAGTTAGTGCTTGGCAGTCATCCTAGGATCCCTTAATTCTGTTGCTGACATATGTCCCAGCCATGCCCGTACCGATAACAAAAGCTGACGGTGTATTCCTTCATTAGACCCGGTCATGGTTACTATACATAATCCTTTCTTATTACTGTACAGTATACTCGATTATAAGCCGGAGATCTGTTCTCCATGTTTGGTCTGAGGCATCTGTTAATATTAGCTACTTGTGAGCCACCGGATAGGACAGCGTCCCGTATTTTAACCACCATTCCATCTGGGTCTAGACCTTGCATACTATCGCGAGCACCAGCGGGAGGAACTTGGTTTTAAATAACGGACACATAAAAGTAGTTGAAAAACTTGCTATTATATTGTTCGAAAGACTCCTGCGACTAAGAAAGAGTTGTTACCGCTTATAACATGTCTTCATAGCAAGTATTGGGCGATATAGACGCTATCCGCTTTTATCGTCCTATATAACTATATTACCCGCTGCCTATATCCTGAGCTAGTCGAATCATCCACAAACAACCTGATGCACAACCCATCGCAATGGTCGTTCCTGCTACTCTTAACTTTGTGGGACGGTATTCTAGAGGTAGCCAAACAAGGTTGGTATTGTCTTTTGTAATCCATTTGCCATCCGTGCTAATACCATATCCGTAATGGCTGTACTCGTTCGGTAGAGCACTTTGAGTCGTTGTTAAAAAGCTGGGAGAAGATGTTCCCAGATCTAGTCCACCTCTATCAGTTACGAGCCAGGAGTTGTTTTCTAGGTCGAACAAGAGGTTATGCATGGTATTAGCAATAAGGAGTGTCTTAAGACAGTCGCCTGAAGTGGCATCCCATATTTTGACTGTGTTGTCGTCTGAGCCAGATGCCACTCGCTGGCCGTCACTCGAGACGGCGACCGAGGTCACGCTACTCCCATGGCCTTCGAGTGTCTTTAGACAGTCGCCTGAAGTGGCATCCCATATTTTGACCGTGTTGTCGTCTGAGCCAGATGCCACTCGCTGGCCGTCACTCGAGAAGGCGACTGAGGTCACCCAATTGCCATGGCCTTCGAGTGTCTTTAGACAGTCGCCTGAAGTGGCATCCCATATTTTGACCGTGTTGTCCCATGAGCCTGATACCACTCGCTGGCCGTCACTCGAGAATGCGACTGAGGCCACGCTACTGCCATGGCCTTCGAGTGTCTTTAGACAGTCGCCTGAAGTGGCATCCCATATTTTGACCGTGTTGTCCCATGAGCCAGATGCCACTCGCTGGCCGTCACTCGAGACGGCGACTGAGGCCACGCTACTCCCATGGCCTTCGAGTGTCTTTAGACAGTCGCCTGAAGTAGCATCCCATATTTTAACTGTGTTGTCGGTTGAGCCAGATGCCACTCGCTGGCCGTCACTCGAGACGGCGACTGAGGTCACGCTACTCCCATGGCCTTCGAGTGTCTTTAGACAGTCGCCTGAAGTGGCATCCCATATTTTAACCGTGGTATCCCATAAGCCAGATGCCACTCGCTGGCCGTCACTCGAGAAGGCGACTAAGTTCACCCAACCGCCATAGCCTTCGAGTGTCTTTAGACAGTCGCCTGAAGTGGCATCCCATATTTTGACTGTGTTGTCGGATGAGCCAGATGCCACTTGCTGGCCGTCACTCGAGAAGGCGACTGAGTTCACGCTACCGCCATGGCCTTCGAGTGTCTTTAGACAGTCGCCTGAAGTAGCATCCCATATTTTAACTGTGTTGTCGGTTGAGCCAGATGCCACTCGCTGGCCGTCACTCGAGAAGGCGACTGAGGTCACCCAACCGCCATGGCCTTCGAGTGTCTTTAGACAGTCGCCTGAAGTGGCATCCCATATTTTGACTGTGTTGTCGGATGAGCCAGATGCCACTTGCTGGCCGTCACTCGAGAAGGCGACTGAGTTCACGCTACCGCCATGGCCTTCGAGTGTCTTTAGACAGTCGCCTGAAGTAGCATCCCATATTTTAACTGTGTTGTCGGTTGAGCCAGATGCCACTCGCTGGCCGTCACTCGAGAAGGCGACTGAGGTCACCCAACCGCCATGGCCTTCGAGTGTCTTTAGACAGTCGCCTGAAGTGGCATCCCATATTTTGACTGTGTTGTCGGATGAGCCAGATGCCACTTGCTGGCCGTCACTCGAGAAGGCGACTGAGTTCACGCTACCGCCATGGCCTTCGAGTGTCTTTAGACAGTCGCCTGAAGTAGCATCCCATATTTTAACTGTGTTGTCGGTTGAGCCAGATGCCACTCGTTGGCCGTCACTCGAGAAGGCGACTAAGTTCACCCAACCGCCATGGCCTTCGAGTGTCTGTAAGCAAGCATTCCAGTCTGCCTCAACCTTCGGTTTCAATTCTACCCAAGCGGGATACTCCTGACCAAACGACTGTTTTATCAAGCTATTAGTAGGACTAAAAATAAGAGCTGACGTATAAGCTTGTAGCGGAGCAATCTCGATGCCACCTTTCTGCGACAGAATGAAACGGCGAGCATCTTTCATAAAATCAGCAAGCCCTGAGGGTGCATCAGGCAAATCCTATAAGAGTCAGCCTAAATATGACATAAGAATGGCGCTACTAACTTTGATTATATCTATGAGCTGTGTGACCGCAATGACACCATCTGAGAGTCTTGCGAGGAGTGAAAGAGCCTCCAGCCAGTGAAGAAAGTGGGTTTTCAGAAAGTCGTAGACATCGTTCACTGATCGCTTGCTGCAATGCAAGTGATGTACCCAGTATAAGCAGGCATATTCGAGGTCGGCAGGAATGCAATTGTCTATAGTCTGCTTCTCGATGTCGTCTCTAGACGTGCCAGGCGTTGCAATGTCGCAGATATTCCGTTTGAGTCCCGACTTCATACGTTGGATACATTTTGCTGCCAGTGTGGCGTGTGTCTCTTTAAAATCTATTCGATACTTGCTAGTGCTAATTTTGGCTTGACTGAGAAGGAAGTCGCTGAACGACTTGTGTAGTAGTCGGATAGGTGTGTTGGACTCGGCAGGTATGTCCAGAACTGCGTGCAACTGTGGGAGCCACCATTTGATGTCGTCCACATCCATGTCAAGAAGAGAGGCGATAGATGCAGCTGGAAGTGGGTTGGCGAGTAGGATAAGACCGCCTAAGAATTGTAGCTGTTGGTCAGAATCCGCATCGTCGTCACCAAGGAATACCTGGTTAAGGACGGGTTCGTAGATCTGGTTTAGCTGAGACACGTTGCTATCGCACTGCTTAAGCCATCTCGTCAACTGTTTCCTCGGGTCCTTCGGGCGCTGTTCATCGTAGACAAAGCGACAGAGTGTTGCGGCATAGATGAAGAGGGGTTCGGGATCCGTAGCCAATCGCACTAAGCGATCCAACTCTTCAGGGGAAGGCCAAGGGTTTCGTTGGACTGAGGTTCTTATTTTGATATCCGCGAATTTTGTCTCTAAAAAGGTTTGGATATCGGCCTGGGTTTCTTCGGAGAAGTTTTGGTAGAGATCTAGGTTGCGAACCAACTTCTCTCGCCGGAGAGGCTTAAAGGCGTGATCAATCCCGGGAGTTAACCTGCTTGTAAGCAATACGCGCAAGCGTACCGTACTAAGAGTTTGTAATTGGTAAAGCAGACTGAGAATTTCTGAGAGTTGGTTCTGAGTGCACTCGCACTCGTCTAAGGCGTCGATAATAATCACCTTGAGTCGGTCCGATGCGTTACTGGGAGGTAAACACGTTAGAGGTTTAAGGAGGAGCTGGTCGAACTGGAACTTGAGAGCTTTAGTCTCTAATGCGCCTTTGTCAAGGCTGTCAAGATGTTGACGAAGAAGGCCTTTAAAGGAGGGGATCGTGTCGACTAGCTGCATGGCAATAGTGGGAAATAATCGGGCGGTGTTGTTCCGACCCTGTTCTCCTCTCTTGAAGAAGTAGCCAGCAGCTAGCTGCTTCTTCTCGGCGAAGGAGTTGGCGACAGTCCGCGCGATAGTAGACTTGCCAGTCCCCGCCGGGCCAAGGAGCCAGAGGAGAGGTCCCCCAACCTCCTCACCCGCCCATTGGACAATCGCTTCCTGAATGCTGGCTCGAGTACCGTCCTCGCATCTCGGGCTGTCTTGGACATCGGCGCTATCATAACGCGCTTCGTTGACAGTGGGGAGGTCTATAGGGTGATGATCCTCGAGTATCTCGCTATTTAATTGTTAGTTTAGGCCTATAAGTCAAACGAGACGTACTTCGTGCGCTTGTTGACCTGCAACTGCTCTTCCGTAATAGAAAGCAAAGATTTCAGCGAGGATTGCATAAAACTGTAGTGTTGTCCCGCCGCCGTATGAATCTCTTCTAGGGCTTGCCGTGAAGCCGTAGTATTTACCGTCTTTGACTCATCCCACACTATTTTTTCTAGTTCTTTAACTTTTTTGAGCGCTCCCTGCCAGTCGTCGTAGCGAATCATGTCCCGACTCACTTGAGCAATCGATGTCCTGTAAAGTCGTAAGACCGTCTTAAACTGGAACTCGAGGATGTGTTTGTAGAGGTCGACAATATGAATCTCAAATTCCCCTTTCAAGCGGGGGGCGCACAACTTCTTTGGCCATAGAAGGCTTTCAAGCTCGACATAGTAACGGATACGAGAATTGACGTGATCCAAGCCGTCGCGGTTCTCTTTCTCTACTGTGCTGGGATTGGCCAAGAGCGGCAGAAAGACACAGACACCGGCCCACGCAAGTGATGCCTCAGGAGAGACCTTGACAGCCTCGCCAACAAGGCTCTTGAAATCCTGGATGACTTTGGTAGCTTGTGCCATCTGATCTTTCAGGTCAAATTCGCGGCCGAAGATAGTATACTTGATCCTTCCTTCGTCAGCTTGCTTAAGACCCTGGTCGAGAATCTCGATGAGCTGGTTTCGGCGTTCGTCTGGCTCCGCGTTGATCTGGTTCTCGGCATAATTTAAGTCTTCTTTTTGTTGAGGCATGTTTTGTGACATGATGATGCTAGTGCCTCCTAAGAGTGTTAGCTGATAGAAACGGGGCATAGCGGCGATCAACACGTACCACGCTCCGGCAGTTGCCTTGAAAGCAACTTCTCGTATCGATTCACCAGCTGTTCATCCTCGCTTTGAAGAGCCTCGTATGCACGATTCCATAATGACAACCCGGCCGTCGATTGTGGCAGGGTTGTTTGGGAGGGTAGCGGGGTAGCATGCGCTGCTGGAATCGAAGTTTGGTCAGGCGATGCCGAAGATAGCGATTTCGTAGCTGCGGGCGGTTTTGAATCGTTGATCGAGCATTGCTGATTAGCAGTAGATGGCAGGCTTGGGACGGCATTGGCCACAGATGAGCTGGCATTGGCGAGTGACACAGGTACCTGTGAGGATTGGTCGACACCCGGGTGGTGCCTGTCGGTGTCGCTGCTCCCATGGCGGAAGAACTTCTTCAAGCGTTTAAAGTAACCCATAGAGTCCACGAACTCATCTAAGTAGACAATGGTGAGCGAAACTCAGCGCGGACCAGGACGGCGCAAAGGATGAGGGGTTGATGAGGCTGTGGCGGCATGCAGGTCATGCAAGTCGGCGGCAAATCAGTGTTGGTTGGTTCAGTCGCGCGGCACAAGCTGGCCAGCGTCCATACGTGCCAGTTTTCATGGCTGCGACCTAACACGTTCATTCTCTGCCAAAATAGGGATGCCCGTCCTCAAAGATCGGATACTGTACTGACGTCGAGTAGAGAGAGTTGAAAATCCACCTTATAGGCGCGATTGAGTGTTGGCAGCGGCACCGGCGGCTCCTACAACTTGATAACGAAGGCAAGACGGACGCGAACGGGACGGCCCGGAAAACAACTAGCAAGGGTCTAGTTCCGTAAGACTTGCTACTTTACATATGTACACAACACACTTGACGTTGTCCGTATAACCGGAAGTAGACGGACGCTAGTCACGGAACGGATATGGGCGGATTTGGCTACTAGCGGATTCTAGAAGCTTTCGACAATTGAGTTCCTGTGAGCTGATGACTTGTTTCCGCAGGCACTTCCGCGGTGCTTGCAGCTGGTTACAACTTTATACCATGGCGCCCCGATTGTCAAAGCTCGCGCACGATCGAATTCTCTACAAGATTCAAGAATGATTTTCAAACAAGGAAATTGCAGCAGATATCCCTCGGACGCCTCGCGCTGTAAGCCGAATTCGATTGACCCAAGCACGATATGGGACCGCGACCGTACCCGGAAAGCGTAGCGGGCCCGGCTCTAAGATGACCCCAGTGATATGGGACGCGATCTGTAGTAGACTGGCCAAAGAGCCAGATATGGTACAACGTGAAATGGCAGCATTTATACGTGATAAATTTGAAGAGCAAGTCTCTGTGACGGGTATAAACCGAGCCTTGCGAAAACGCAATATGACGTAAAAAACGCTCCGCCATGTAGCCCAGCAGCAGAGACCTAAGCTGCAGCATTTCTACCAATATGGACTACAACAGCAGGGAATTCGATCATATCATATGATCTTTATTAACGAGTCTAGCATCAACCAACCAGACGTGTTTCGACGAAAAGGATGGGCCAAGAAAGGCGTCAAGCCTGTACAGAGGGCAAGATTCCAGCGAAAGAACAGAGTCCAGATTCCTGCAGCGTACACACAGAGGGGTGTCAAGCTCTTCCGCGTATTTCTTGGATCGACAGACAGGGTTGCATTTGAAGATTTCATTGATCAACTCCTGCATCATTGTGGCAAATGGCCCGAACGAGAGAGCGTGCTCATCATGGATAATGCTACATTTCACTACTCGGATAGAGTCAAACAAATGACCGACAGGGCTAACGTGAAGCTTGTGTTTACATCACCGTATACCCCAGTTGTTAATCCGATCGAGGAGTATTTTGGTGAAATTAAGACGACTGCCAAGTCACAATATAAGGAACGTGGGGACCTTCTACGGCGAGATTTCGAAGGGTATGTCAAGTCATGCGTCATAGCTGTAGGTAGCCGAGAGACAAGCGCAGAAGGTCACTTTCGTAACGTTGGATACTATGTTAAAGGGCCTGTTCAAGGATCACAATAAATTGATATAAAAAGAAAAGTTGGGCACTATTTAGTCCTTAGAGATGGTACCAAGCCATTCTTCTATCCGGCTCACGAACTGAATAGCAATGCCGGATAATACTCCCTTGGTGCGTAATATTGCAACAGCCTCCTCTTGCGCACTGCGAAGCCAATCGAGATCGTACCCATGATCTACCATCACCTTGCAGGCTAGCCGGTAGGACTACACCCAAAGTTGATTACTAATACCTGCGCAAAGCCAGTCCTTATACGCTACTGGAGCCTCATCTCTCGGCATTGGAAAGTCAAGCTTGGCGTGGGTTTGTTGAGCGGTGTTTGCCCCAGCGTGGCTATGTTGTCTACAACAGACACTTACGGCGATAGGCTACGCATTAGAAGCTCTTCGTTTACGCTTTTTCCGCGACTCATTTTCGTCGCTCCGTCTACGAATAAGTTCGCGAAGGTCATCAGGCATATCTTCATGCCGTTCGAGCGGACTGCCTTCTTTAGCATAATCGATAATCTTATCCATAATATCGGAATCAAGTTTATAATGTCTGTTGTTGCCCGGGTCACGCTAGTAAGAAAACCCCCGATTCGTGTAAACCATACTCGCGTACTCGAGGAGTCTGTAGACTTCTTTCCACACAAGACGTATGCCTGATACTTCCTTTTAAGCGATCAGGTTATCTCTGGCCATAAGTTATCTCTACGTGGCTCCACGTCTACGTTTTACTTTGTTTATAGTAGTAACCTGACTTTCCTTAAAAATGAAAGAGACTCTAATTGTGAGTTTATCCTCCGAATTGCTCCAAACTAAAAGCTTGTCTTGAAATTTTCCCCAATCGATTTGTAAACCATCAGAACGTGTCTAAAAATCATGTTGGCCCCGTTCAGATACCGATACAATGATTCTCGTCTCCTCGGGTTGCTATTGGGGTTCGGATACCTTATTCGTTACGATTGCTGTAATCTCAGATTCTAAATCATCTTTCCAGTAACGGCTGGGCGAAACACTGATATGTTTAACTATGTCTTCTGTTAGCTTGGTAAGTTTGCCTTTTCGCAATTGCAGTTTCCACATAAATTGTAATTCGAAGTGAGAGAGTCAGCTACCACGTCGCTTAACTGAGAAGCTGCCTCTTTGTTCTTGCGTAACCTATAGCTCCTAAATGTCGAAAGACTGGGAGTATCAAAATCAAGCCCGAAGTTGCCATAATCGATTTCGGGCGCCCTAAGCTCGAGATCCAAATTCCGTATATTGTGTAGATGTAACAAGGAAAACAGTGATGGGAGAACCTGAAAAGAATACCCGCAAAACACTGCGGAGCTGCAATGCATTACAAGCCACGGTGTCGTTCAATAGGTGGGGTATTACGTGACTTACTAATCTCGAAGGCGAACACCAATTCAAAGCCAGGACTTCACACGTTGCGCTCAAATGCGCACAAAGAATCTTTCAGAAACAGTAGAAAGTTCTTCTCTTAGGGTAGGAGCCTGACGAGTTACTATGGGCGTGCCTACTCTTATATGGTGAGTCAACCAGTCGTTCTCAGGAAGGTCGCCTGATTACTAGTTAGTAATCCTGATGACCAATTAGTAACTCTGAGAACCGAGGTTTTTGAAGGTACAGAGTATGACTGCAAGGTATACTGTTTGTTAGCCAGAGCCAGCAATAATTGGACCCCACTATAGAATGTTTAAAGTTGGGTATTTGGGACGCTGAACCTGGATAGTACTATATCCTAAAGAAAAGCGTGGAGAATATCAGCAACCACATCCTGTAACAACAGAATATATCTTCTTTGATGATCTAGTACATGATCGTCACCACTCGTTTATTGCCCCCATTGCATGTCAAAACTGACGACTAGACTAGGATCCCCTGCAGAGGCTCTATTACCCTACTTAAATCCTAGCTTGATTGTCTTCAGATACCACCCTGGTATGAATGTTGAAGACGAAAGTTAACTTATGCTCATGGTATATATCTTTGAAAAATCGTCGGTAAAATCGCGGACTGGTTCACAGAGGGCAGGGCTGGTTTCAAATAAACTAGATCGTGGCAATACCGCTTCCCCATGTTGGCACTCAGGCGCCGCAGTCATCTGACCTCTCGTAAGCCGCAAGGTAATTCTTTCTGGAAACAAAGTGGCGATACTGGTGACAGTACTGGAACAAGTGGTCAGCGGGTTGAATTTGTTGTATCACGCTCAAAGCCCATCACCGCCACGTCTGTGACGTAATACAAGACCGTTGCGATAGATGCGTAGCCTTGGCAAACGACTTTGTTACATGGAGTTTTCGAGTTTCGTTATCTAAGTTTTTGTGATTAGGTCTTTGCTTTCGTTGCATAGTCCAGTTAGGGTTGACTGGCTCTAAGGGGAAGTGGTAAATACTTAAGAGCTAACAATTCCTTAACCTAATGGAAATCTTGACGCTCAACGATAGCACGTATGATGGTTACAACCTTGAAGCAGGCATATCTAACTACGGCAGCTCGTAGTGGAAGCATCATACAGTCGCACTCAGACAAAGAGTCCCCCGACATGTTTCCTGTCCACGCTACCTGCGCATGATAGGGGATTCGGTATCTGCATGCTAATAAACGATGTGACCCGCTAGATGGCTCCGGACATGAAGAAGGGATGCCTGCATTAATCGGTGTGCATATTGAAGTAGTGAGTGTTAGCTGTACTATCACAGCGGGAAGGCCAAGTGGATCATGTCGGCCTCTGTCGGAGTTGTTCTCGGCCTGATCAATATAAGGCCTGAGAGGTAGGCCTTGTAGATAGTTTCCTTTCTCATGCTGTTACACTTTTGGTACAGTTAGTCGTTGGTTTTGCAGCGATGTGTTCGAAGACAAGGAGAACGGCTCGTTGTCTCTAATTAATGATATTTTGGTTGTCGAACTCATCCTTTTTACTCTTTACTTATTGATCAGTCCACGAAAGAGCCTGCGAGCTCATCGTGAGGCCTATAACCAAGGGACAAGACAGTTGCCCTAGTTCAATATATCACTGCAAAGCGCTTCTCAGGCGACAACAGATAGTATACTCCACAGCTGAGTAGACGTAGCATAGCCGCAATATCCTGTCTTGATTCCGCTTTACCACGATAGCGATGAAGACTATTTGCAATCATAACCAACAACTCTTCGCTATTGGTGCCCTTTATGGAAGCTACAAGGAAGATTGGTTCGTGAATGGCGGCAGACGAATAGCTAAGTAATGACGATCACGCCGAGCCGATCTTGAGACTCGAGTACAGGCCGTGTTGAATGCGTATTTCAAGTCGGCGATACAGCCTTTTAAGCGGAAGCATACAAGACGGAAAAGCACGCCAAGTGCCATACGCGAAGAGCGAGTCGGATAGTTACGCGAATTATGTTTATCCTTGCTGTTTCATAAGTGAATATAGCGTTCTGTAACGCTATTCTGATCGGCGCCATGCCGTTGATTCCTTCCCTGTAGAGCATTAGCAAAGAGTGTCTTATGGGATCGCTAAGACTCGGTAGGATGAAGGATTTGTCCTGGCGTCTTTCTGAACATTGTGAAACAAACAATGGTAACGCGATGGACCGGCCGATTCTATACACTCTCATCACATACTGATTCGGAGTAGTCCCTCTGTGTAATTGCTTGATAAAAAATCAAACTTGACGAGACATAGCTGAGATGACATTTTATTAGAAGTCGCCAACATCACGCACTTGACAAGGTAGCCACATACTTGGGTATCGTGGCCCCAAAATAATACCAATATATGCTCTGAACCAGGACCATTACAGGGGATATCATACAGAAGACCCTTCCCTTATGCCTAGTTAATGGCCACCCGTCCTTCCATGTCCAAGAAGCCGAAGGCTTTTGCTTTCCTTTTGATTCTATCCGAAATCCTATTGTACCATAAACCTTTTTATACCACAATTGGCGTGGCACTGCTAAACAGCTCAATAAAACACACTGGGTATCCTCTCTTTTTCATTAGCCAGTCTTCTGTTGCGCCCATCGACCCTTGTTGCTCCCGGACTGGTTGAATGCCAGCCTTCGGCCAATATTTCCAAAACATACACAGCAACAGAACAGAATACTCAACATCCAAATGCTCTTTTCAACAGTTTGTTGACTGGCCAGTCCGCCAAGCATCAAGACAGGATCTGCCGTGCTTGCAGAGGAGTTTGAGCCGAAAACTCCGGCAGCCGGATGGCACGCTGGCGTAGGGACCATGTCGGGTCTGAGGCTCATCACTATGGCCGAGCCCACGACGCTGATAGTCGAGGATAGAAGAAACCCCGGTTTTGATCGGTCAATTAGATACCATAGAAATGGGTTTACAAGAGCAAGTGCTAAGGAGACCTGAAGTGTCGATGCCCAAGGAGTCTTGCGCTGTTGTATCTGTTAGCTTATCGATCCTGAAAGTGACGGGACCCAAGCGGAAGACTTACGATGGCAAAGACAATGCCGACAAAGGCGCCAATGCCCCTGAAAGCCAATCCCCAGTCGGTGGCTTGACTTGGCTCTTCTTCCGAGCCGATGGCATGGTCCGATGCGGACTCCTCCTCTTCCTCGTGGCCAAATACGCCTTCCCATACCCCGTCAAACCACGGGAGCAACGCACCAAGGACCACCCCGGAGACCCCCCAAAATGCCATAAATGAGATGTCGTACTTGCTTGATTGCCTGACATCCTCGATCTGCAGCCTGGTCAGGTTGTGTCTGTCCTGGAAGCTCGCTACCACAACGCCGTACAAAAGACCCAGACCAAACAGTAGCAGAGCTCTAAGGCCCATGTAGAGGACTGTGGCCGTCCTTGATAGTGGCGGCGGCCGAACTGGTTGATGCAGAGAAGAACGGCGCCGCATCGGCCTGCCCCTTTCTTTTTGGATCTTGTAGTATGGCTCGTCGGTGCTCAGCTTCTTGGCCGGCGTCTCGGCTCCTGTGCCCCAGGGTGTGTCTGGCTCATCCTGCTCGAATCTATCCTTTCCATATGTCGTGGGTGAGTAGATGCCGTAGAGCGCCGAGCTCGTGAGATTCAAGTATGATTGCGCGCGGCTAATTTCTCCCGAATCCGAAAGTCTGTCGTGGTTTCTCGGCGTGTGCAGCCTTGGATCGAGAAGACGCCGGTTGAGGGTATCGAGGTTCAACGATTCACTCCAGCTCGCGCTTGAGCTCTGATCTGGGCTATGGGCCGCTACCTGCGGTTGAGGATCGTCTTGCTCTTCCGGAGGCGTCGGGCCCGTGAAGTTGAGCTTAAAGGGGCGACGGGGAATCGGTCGTAGCAACGTGGGACCGTCTTGGTTTTGCGACATGATTTCGGATGGGGAGATCGGCTTTCCTGTCTGTGTATGATGCCGGGCTTTTTCTACCTCGTTAATCCGCTGCTCTGGGGGGCAAGCGGCTGTGGTTAGGTACGAAATGTATGTATCCGTTCCGTCGAGTGTCGATAGTGCCTCGCTCTTATAAGTAGACAGGTTCTGGGAGGACGGAGGTGGGCTCTTGAGTTCTGGGCAAAGGCACACAATTATAAATTGTCTGTCGTGTCGCCCGGCGAGATGTTGTCCGATCCGATACCAGACTTTCTGAATCACATGTTACGCGTAAGGTCTTTCTTTATTCGTCGGCACCAAGTCCGATGGCTCGAGTTACTGCAATGCTCGAACTTTACTTGCGCGCCACGGGGTTTCAATCTTAGCGCTCAGGCAGCCTGTTGATCCCATTCATGTAAACTTGGAGTCTCGCGGTAGCAGCGTAGGAGAGAGCTCAGGTGAGATGGAGAGAGGACCGATCGGTCTTCACTGGAAACAACACGACGAGGGCAATTGGCTGTATGAGACACGTCAGTCACATCAACCAGCAGTCACTTCTGCTCTCAACGCCTGCTCTTATAAGATTCGGACTCGGCTGGCAAAACGGGTTGAGACACTCGACCACTTGTTTCTATGGAGCCAAGCCCTACCGCATGCATTTTCACCCCAAGTACGACGGGAGGGGGTTAGCTTTCGGCGGGACCCCGTCTGGACCGTTTTAAGTTTTTAGTTGGTCACTGAGCTCTGAGCTGACAATGGCCAGCTCTTCCAGTGGTCTAACTATGGATCCATAGCAGCCTCAAACCCCTGTGCCAAGTACTTGTTCCCCTCTCGAGGAGGAGTTTCCCAGGGGATCACATGCTAGACCCCCCGGCGCATGACTCTGCCTGCTCGTTGATGTGCAGCGCTACCCCACACTCTCCAGCGCCCCATGTGACTGCCGTTCATGTTTATTGGCTTACCTACGTAGTGAGCGCCCGTCTGTTCTGTTTCGAGACCCAGCTCGTGCATTGCAGAACTGCACATTACGTGCAGGTCTGCCACTCTTACCTCGTCTACGACACGATACGAGATGTTGTATCTGTGCCGAGTGAAGTCGCCAGAACCCGAAAGCTTCCCTAAGATTTGAGGCGGGTGCGAGACACCCAGGCATCAAAACCAAGCAAAACAATCCCGAAAGCTCCACGGCGCCATGAATTGCCAATTGGAACGGGTTCGAGCAGCATCTCTGTAGCCGGCTTGTAAGCGATGTCGGCATGGTCGGCACGGGTGCGTGGAGCCCAGACAGGCAACACCGTCGGGACGGAGCTTTTTTATACCAAGCGAGTGTAACATACAACGGCAGGACCTAACGTCGTAAGACTTCTGCGAGTGACAGGCTCACAAGTTCATTGAGGCTAGAACGTGCGACCATTGGACTTCCGCTGATGTAGAATGATTCAAAGGGTTTCCAGGCCTTTGAAGCTGGTTCAAGTGCAAAGTTAGGTGTGATATGGGAATAGGTGGTTATATCCACCCTAGTAGAAGGTCAACTTATGGGACCATGTGAACCTTTGTATGCTCCGTTGTATTTGTGTCGATTCATATTCTCCGGCTTGCAGACAATCTGTTACAATTTATAGTCTAAACCAGACTGTGGCCCCTCTTGTGGAAGCATACCAGAGTTTTCACAATAACCGGCACTCTAAAACAAAACAAAAAACTCCGTTATCACGATCGTTATATAAAATGCGATGGTCAGCATGCCCCTTTCTCTGCAACTTAGGACGAGAGAACGCCTCGCGGAACCTCAGGCGTAGTGAGACAGTCTATCAGTACTGACCAAGATCCCGATGTACTTGCATGCAGCACCAACTATAAATGGAATTATGATTAAGCAAATCAGGCCGGCACAACCTGTACCATTAAAACGTGATGCAGCATCGCCGTACGGAGGTGCAGCCAGAGTACGAACAAAACGCCTGACCTGCCTGGGGGAAAAGGTGCAGCGAAATTTCCTCTCGCACAAAAGACAGAACAATGGCTCAACGAGACAGCGAGCCCGACACAACGGTGGCCCGTACCAGCCGTCGATCGCGCCATCAGCTCGGACTGCCGCATCTCGGACCCCGTGGCCCGGACCTGGTAGATTTGAGACCGTCCCGCACTGTTGCTGGCCCATCAATAAGACTACAGCATAACGATCTCGGCATGACCACCTATATTTCAGTAGTTACACACTACGTCACTATGGTCGCGGTGCTGAAAGTGGTGAGCATGCTAATAACATAACGCGAGCAACGTGTGTCCGTGTCGGGTTCGCATATACTCAGCTGGACCACCCCCGGGACAAGTATCAAACAGTCTAGATGGTACCAAAGCGCTTACTACGGATGTCTTGTGAAAAACAAACAGAGACAGACGAATGAAAGAGCTTGAAAGTCGCAACAGAGATAGCGTTGGGCCGGAGAAAATTCTACAAGACTCTCCCAAGACATTAAGTGAGGGGCACATGGAGGTTTGATGATGCCACAGATGATGTGTTGCAAGGCGTTGATCATTTACAACTGGAAGAAAGGGCGAAGCACACATATGCTGGATCATTGTTTGATGCATTTAATCATTCGCTTTGTTCTTCATACTATTCATCGTCCTCTTCCTCATCTTCCGAGTCGACATCCTCAAACTCATCCTCGCTCTCTTCCGCTCCTTCTGGTCTGGGTATCATAACAAATGCCTCTAGGCAAGTGATTCTGTTCTCGGTGCCGTAAGTGCCTAACAACTTGCCAACTTGCTTCTTTTCCTTCTCCCCGATCTGCTTGGCCTTGTTGAGCTCGGTAATACCGGTCTTGAAAACCCGGATCTTGCCATCACTGCTTCCACAAACAAAAAAGAGCTCGTCGCCGTCTTCGGATGCTCTCAGGACGGAAAAGTCTTTGATCCGTCCTTGGACCCCTGCTGCTTTGCCGCCTAATTGTGCAATGTGCTTGGCGACTGATAGTGTCGGTGCCTTCTTGTCACCGGATGCTGCTGTCCTCTCGCTCAAGTCTTCCGGCTTTGTGGAAAAGAACATGATCCTGCCATCCTCAGTCGCTACGGCTAGTATTGAACCATCCTCCTCTTTCTGGCCCAATTTGGTGTAGATGAACTCATGAACCTTGGTCCGTTGGTCAGGCATGACACTACACTTCGGCGTGCCGTCCATGCCAAAGATGACAATGTCCCTATCGAAACCCACTGCGAATTCCTCGGCAGCCTGCGGCTCCCAGACGATCTTCCTGCCCTCGCCGGAAGAATGCCGCCCTTCCCCGATCGCGGCAAGCGTATCTCTTCCAAAGTTGAGCACACCGGCCTTCTTCGCCGTCATAAGATTCCACAGTCTCATACTCCTCTCGCCCTTGCTCACGCTGATCATAAGCTTCATGCTGGGATGCACTGCGAAATCATTGACACCGGACGGCGCACCGCCCATAGCTGCCGTGTCACCGCTCGGCCGGCCCAAGGGTTTCGGGATAGGAACCTTGATGGATGACATGAGCGTCATGTCCCTTGTTCTCGTAACGGCGATGGTCGAGTCCTCGCTGGCGGAGATGAGCTTTCCCTTGGTTGGGAAGGACAGCTTGGTGACGGTCGAGCTGTGGTGGAGCAGGGCGCCAACCTCACGGTTCTTTGCGTTTTCGAGAATCTTGCGAGGAGCGATCTTGGACAGCAAGTCCTGCTCCTCCTGGCTCTTCTTGCTAGGCGGATGGGCGGAGATATTGAAGACGTTGATGCGCTCATCGGTGCTGCCTGTGGCCAGCATGACCTTCTGGCTCTTGCCGGGCTCGGGAGCCGAGGGAGGGGAGAGGGCTATACATCGAATAGCAGAGGTGTGGGCGTTGAACAAGAACGTGTCGGCGAATTCTGTCCTGTCGTCGTCGGGTGTGATGGTTGCTGTGATGCCGTGGAGGACGCGGTCGTAGGAGCCGGCTACGATCTGGATTGTGAAGGGCTCCGTTTTCTTGGCTTTCTTGGTGGCTGCCTGCACTTCTTTGGCAGCACCATTGGTGGGCTCGGCTCTCTTTCTTTTGCTGCCCATTGTGACTGATGGCCTGGTATGATTGTGAGTTGTATTTTCTAGGAGCACCGAGATTGTCACGCAGCGGCTTGTTAGTAACTCATTAATGGAAGTAACAAAAAAAGTTCAAGAGTGGGGCTCTCCGGCCAACGATAAGACTGATAAGATCTTATCGGAACTCGTGTTTTCTCTATACATGGCACAGTACTCCAATGCCTGTCTATATATGGATCTGTCCAGTAGACTAGTCTAGGTCAGAGGCAGATAACTTCAAGTGATACTGCACGGCACCTACATGGACTGTGCTGCATATGATGAGATCAAGTCCGCCTTCCAAGACGGGAAGAGTGAACAATCCACGGACCATCAAGTCTCCAGGTGTCAAGGTATTACTATATTTCATATTCATATCATTCTGGGGTCTTATTTTACTTACCCCAGTGAGTTTACGCTCGCTCGCTAGTTGTGGCGTGACCTCTAGGTTGACCTCTAAGTTGTACCTCGTAACTAGGGTGCTCCTGCCCGCTCCTGCCTGCTCCGGCCTGCTCTTAAAGAGGCGGCCTGGATAGTGACACCAAATCAAACGCACGCTGTTTCACCGGCCAAGTCCATAAAATCCACCATACTATTCCTTACAGCGAAATCTGTCATATCCATCTTGGACGCAGCTGTAACCGCTTACTGCACTCAACAGGGATATGCTCCAGTCGCGTTAACCAGATTGTACCACTTGACACCACACCATCGTTGCGTAGTACTTCGTGTCTCATCATTTGGGCATCGTCGGCACAGGCGGCGTTGCACTGCCAACACTCGAGTTGCGTTGATGCTGCTGTTGCTGTTGCTGCTGTGCCTGCTGCTGTGCGTTAGCTGCCGCGGCTGCTTGCGCTTGAGCCTGCTGTTGGGCTTGAGCCTGCTGTTGCGCTCGTAGCAACTGGGCATATTGATGAGGACCATTAGCTATTGCTTGTCCTTGACCCCCTGCCGCAGCGTTCATGGCTGACTGTGCTAGGTTGTTGTGTCGATTTTGAAGTAACTGCGTCGCCATTTGCCGCACTACATCTTGTGGTGTGTTGGGATGCGTTTGGCGGATCTGGCTCTCAATATGCTGAAGTTGAGATACGAACGTCTGGTGGATTTGTGGGGCCATGGTTGTGTTAGGTCTCGGAGATCCTGATTGCCCAGCTGGCATATTAAGGCCTGGGGCAGGTGGTGTCGACATTCCAGAGTTCGCCGCGCCATTGAACTGTGCCAAAAGAGCCTGTGCTTGAGCGTTGTTCATGTAGTTCTTCTGATTGATACCGTTGGCTACTGCTGCTCTCATGGCGGCAGGTGGGGAGTTCTGAAGGGCAGGGCTACCCTGTTGTGGCGTATGTGTCTGCTGTGAAGCCTGCCGCATTTGCACGGCTTGACGCTGCTGCTCAGAAATTCGCTGGGCTTGCAGTACGAGGTTGAGATCTGGCTGAGTAGGAATGGTCATTCTTGCCTGGCCGTTGACGACAGGCATTTGTACCTGGCCGTTGCTGTTCATTTGCATGGGAGGAACAAGTCCGCCGGCCATTGGGCCTTGCGATACATTGCCTGTTGGAGTTCCTTGCATAGGCAACCGCGGTCGTGCTTGACCATTCACTGCCATCTGCTGAGTTTGATTGATACGGTTTACACCAGCAAGCGGATGAGTAGCACCAAGCTGCTGATTATTCTGAGGCGCCTGAGCAGTCTGTCCATTGACCATCTGCGCAGCTTGACCTTGTTGCTGTGCCCTGGCTTGCAAAGCTGCTTGTAGTTGAGGATTTGCAGCACTTGTCGTAGCAGTATTTGCCCGTACTCGGCGCTGCGCCTCCAAGCGCTGTTGTTGGTGTAGCGCCATTCGCTCGGCCAATTTCTCTGCCATTGCCTGATCTCGTTCCCACCGCATAATTGAGTATTCTCGTGGCGTCTTGATGGGACCGGCCCGAGGCTGCGGCTGTTCTTGCTGTTTCCGCATCTGGGCAAGGTTTGCTGCGTGCTGTTGTTTTTGGACTGCGGTTTCTCGTTTCTTGGCAAGTTTGCGCATTGCATCAATCATGGTAAGATGCTTCTGGTTGCGTCGACGTTCGACTTTCACCGGCAACGACAGGCGTTTACGGATAAGAGGTGTGACTGGACCATTTGCTCCTGCCTGCTGCTGTGGTTGTTGCTGCTGTTGCTGTTGCTGCTGCTGCTGTTGTTGCTGCTGCTGCTGCTGTTGCGCTTGTTGAGTAAGAGCGTTCGCATTGTGCTGACGGATGATTTGCTGTGCTTGATCGATGCGGTTTTGCCATAGTTTAAAGTACTGTGTCTTTTGCATATCATGAGGTAGACCTTCCAGCATGACCCAGCGTTCGAAGCACTCCCATGGCGTTCGTCTCTCCGCACCAGATGCGAAGACAGACTTGGTTGAGAGGATGCTCGCGATAAGGGACCAGTTGTATGAATGCTCACGAACGAGAGATTTGAGTTCGTCATCCTCGTTGACTGTCCACTGGGAACAGCTCCTCGATTCATAGAACGTCTGGAAAGGCATTGCATGCTCACTAGGTGGGCGAAACTGATGACCTGCATGCAACCTGTCTCGCATAGCCTTGTTCTCGGTTTGGAACAAAGCTACATCGGGATTCTGCGGTTCCAGGTGGGTTCTTGGCCTCGGCTGATCAAATAACAGCTCTTCTTCACTATCCTCATGCGCATATTGGTAGCGACTTCGTTTTCGAGGAGGCTCTTTCGCAATCAGTTCTATGCGACCATCAACATACTTGCTGAGTGGCAGAGCCTCGCGTCTCCAGTGTGCGTCAGGGTCGTGCTTAGGTGTAACAATGTCCTGGTCAGGAATTTTCAGAGGAGATCCGTACAAGGGCAATTCTTCCAGAAGGCGGTTGGTGTGTGGAGAAGGATTCAGACCGAAGACAACGTCATCCTCGTCAAGCGTGAATATGGCGGAGGGAGAGATTGTGTCTAGGAAATTGTCATGTGGTTCGTCATCGTGCTCCATGGGGGAATCAGTGTCTGCCGATGAAATCAAGTCTGGTGTTTCATGATTCTCAGGTCCGTTGAAGCCATCGCCATTGACCATCGTAACATCATGGCTGAACAGTAGTTCGCCACCATTCCACTGTGGCTTCGGCGGGTATTGCGGCGCAGCAGCGTTCACCTGCATATCAGTCCGTTCCTCAGGGTATGCAATCCATTCGGCGCAAGCTTGCGCTAGATTTCGTGCCACCGCCGTCTTCCATTTTCTTTCCTGACGGAAGTCAGTCCGCATCCATTTCATCTCTTGTAATAGCACATCCCACTGAGAAGTCTGTCTAATTGGCTCAGGGCATCGTTTAGGTTGACGTAACGACCACTGGTCCCGTTGCTGCATGTGGTAAATTCGCTTCAAGACACGACACGCTTGGTGCTCATTCATGTGAAGATATGCGTCTGGTGTGGATACGGTTTTGTGAGCATGGTGAAGAATTTGTTCCAGAGGTTTCATCCATTTATCGGCGTTGGAGAATCCTGCGATGAATAGTGGTGTGAAGTAGTCGGTTGTGGGAACTTGGCCTACGGATTTCGACCGAGCATGCACCACTGATCTATCCGACTCAGGGACTCTCTGAGGCTGCTTGCCAAAAACCACGCCGGCCAACCTGCTCTTCTCCTTTATTCTGGACTTTTCAGCAAAGCTCTGACCCCGCGCCCTAGGAGACTGTGAGGTTGGAGTTATCGGAACAAGCGATCGAAGATCCGACTTCTGCTGTGGCACTGATAATGCCTGCAAAGATGTCCCAGATAATATCTCCGAAACAGGCTTTTGCCTAATGCTGTCAGACGACGACGGAGTGGCATGCGGCTGCTGAGATAAGTCTGATCCTGACGCCTTACGCTTTCCTTCCGCTGAAGTATTCTTCTGCCCCGCTGTTGCAACCGTATCTTCAGTGCGCTGTGACGGATCTTTAACGACCGATTTGATGGGGCATGAAGACTTGACGACAGGTTCAGAGACAGCATGACCGGAGCCCTTCATAGTGACTATTGCGCCCTCAAGTGGTTTGACCACAGCTTCATCCGTACTCGCAGTAGCCTTATCCACCGACGGCGGCAAAGTCACACCGTCACTCTGGGTACTGTCGACAGTTGCGGCACTTGCAGAGTCACGAAGGAGTTGGGCCTCAACCTCTTTCGATGTGCTTCCTGAGAATCCATGTTGTACTATCGATGCCGGGGCTTGCGGTTGGCTGTCCTCGGGTTTTGTGGTCGCAGGCCTCTCGTCCAAACGCAACCCATCACGCTCAGGACTAGTGTTCGTCGATGTTTCCAAGACCGCAGGTGTAGTCGCCGTATGTACCGTGGAACTCGGGGAAGAAAGAGAATCAGCTGGGCGAGATGTCTCGTTCGTGAAGTTGGGAGAAAGGGCGGCCTGAGGCTTCGGTTCTGGTGCTGATGATCCATTCACTTCTAGTTGCGGTAATTCCGACACTCCGTCTTGCTTGAGCTTGTTCTTCTGTTGGAACGGGCCTGGTACTCTGCTATCCTGCTGCACCGGCTCAAGTGCAACGTTGGGGACCGTAGATTGGCGCGCAGCCCCTGCAACGGAACCAGGCCCCTTTGCTGGGGTGCCATTGATGGGCACAGCTTTCCCTATATGCGCCGACTTCACATCGTGTCCATTGATCGAGTTTCGGCCCTGCAGCGGCTGTTGACCAATTTGTCGCGATTCCGCTGACGCGTTGTTGTCGTCGTTGTTGCCAAGAGGTACTGAATGAGAAACTTGCGGCGCCTGTGATACTTGCGCAGGAAATGCAGGAGCTGTCACTCTGGGAGATACTGTAGAGGATGGTCCTATTTGAGATCGCGGCGCAGAGGGCAGATGCTGAGGCGTTGCAGTGGGCGAAAGGCGCGGCACGACGGCAGGACTGGCTTTGGGAACATCGAGTGCATTTTTGCTACTCGGTTGAGGCGTAGGCGTCGTCGTAGGCGTCGTCGTCAAGGCATTTCCCTTGGTTGTGGAGAGTGTCTGGGTCGAGTGTTTAAAGGCATCAGATGGAAACTTGGGTCGGGGCGGGATGTTTAGTTCAGCGAGTTTGCGTCCCCTAGAGTTAGAGTCGCATCGTCAGTTACCAGCAACGCAACGCAATTGCGCAACACAGCGACAACAGGACAGAATTGAGAGAACAAGGTGGACATGAACTTGCAGCACATACCTTAGGATATCATTTGCGTCAAGAAACTTTGCTTCGCCCTCGTTGGCCGGTGGTGCGTCGAGATGCCCCAGTGGGAAGTTTGGGAGCCCATCTAGAATGGTTGCGACGGCGTACAACTCCTTCAATTTCCTCTTACGCGACTGTCGAATTGACCTGCGCATCGTTAACACGCCAGTCCGTATGTCGTTTTTATCGGAAAGACGAGCTCTATAAGATGATATGCAACTTACCCGCATGCATCCCGTTTTTGTTGAATGACTGGCGCGCGGTCGGCGGGCACGACCGAAGTCATAGCATCGGCGACAGCAACATCCGCTTTTTCGGAGAGCGGATGATGCAAACAATCTTAATGGACTCTTGTTTGATGGAAAAAGCGATTTTTTCCAGATGAAATGGCCAGCGTGGGGGTGCTGAATTGATGGAATGGTCGTCGAGTTGAGTTTTTCGCCGACCTGAAGTCGTGATGTGATGCTGCTACTGCTAATACCAAGCGCAGAGCACAGGCGTTGATAGGGAATTGTGATTTCTTGAGCTATGTACGGGAGGTATGAACACTGGAACTAGAACTAGAAGATTGAACTTGACATTTGCTTCACTGTAGCCTGCAAATTTGTTAGCTAGCCTGCCCCCCCTACTGAGCATATAAGTAATGCCGTATGTAATCCAGAAGAAGAGCAGGGGCTTTGCAGGGAGGAGTCCGGAACGTACCCCACCCGCACTGATGCCCCTCATCAAACCTGGAGAACCTCGCGCCCTTAATGGCCAACTGCAGCGTCTTATCTGGCGACAATCATGTCGCTAATGTTCAGTTGGGCTAGCAGAGAAATAGAATTACATGCAACCTGAAGTTAATAAGTGGCCCTGCTCTGCGGTAAATCGTGATGCCATCGTACATGTGTAGGTTAGTAGAGGCGGAATTGGGAATAGTGCCTTTTTTTTTTTTTTTTTTTTTTTTTTTGCTTTGGCACCCATGAGTCGAATTCTTGACCTATGCCTTTTTTCTATGCCGAAGCAAAACACCATGATGCAGGCAAATCGGCATGGAAATCAACGTCCTCAGTTCCTGAGAGGCGTGGTTCAGGGCTAATGATTACCATCCATGCTGGCGGATGGCACCGGCATGACTCGGGCTTGAGCAGACAGGCCAGTCCTTATGGAGTGCTTGCGATACTGTAAGACCTTGAGACAGCATACCGCATACCCTGTTTGCTCACACAAACAAGAATCAGTGCTGCTTAGCATCTTTCAGCACTTTGGATTGCCTCCGCATACCTGCACAGCCTCTTGAAGAAAATACAACTCTTGCAAGGGATGGTGGCTTTGCTTGTAGTATCCGGGTTTCTACTTGCGTCTCAAGCCGAGAAGCGAAATAACTGCTCTTGCCGTATTAAGCCTGTTGCTAACCCGAAAGTTTGTGGAACGTATATTTTATGTATCACAACGATGATGAGTCGATACATCGCATTCCTTGAGAGGTTCGAAAACAATGTGATAAGTAGTCGTGCAAGACACAATCGCTGCTTTGATTATGTATAGATATATGAGATTCTTCCAATCAACTTGATGGTGGACCAATCAGCTCGAATTGCTACCTAATGTAGACTGGGACAAGGCATGGAATAACCCCCGTGGACGACGAAATAAACCGGTTTGACCGGACAGAGGTCACTTAATCTCACCAAGAAAGCTCTGGTTTAGGCTGACACAAACCTTTACAGCGCAATCTTTAAAAGTCAACAAAATTTCGAGTATTATCATGTCGATTAGTGACCAAACAAAACTATATCTTCAAATCCCCTAAAAGTCAATATTATGTTCTGTTGTTATAATAGATACAAAAGAGTACTACGAAATAAGAGTTGTCCGGTTTATTTCGCCCTCCTCGGGGGGATGGATACCGATCCGATGGCCTGTGGAACTAATGCGAGGTTATGTGGTTACAGCCACAGCGGAAAGCTGAGCATGATTTGGTGTGCCCTGTGTGCAACCTTTTGCATTGGTCTGTTCAACAGCCACACGGATGACCGAATTACCTCAGCCACTGCATCCTCCATCCCTTGAAATCAACATTTTGAACGCTGGGGACGTCAGGACGTCACTTTCTTGGTAACATTCAACTATCCACCATGCCAGATTCCACGACGACACCACAAGCGCCACGGATCGCTATCAAGTTCGGTGCTGCCGTCGCAAACACGACAAAGGCTGCATATGGCGCAAAGAAGCCGCAACCACCCTCCTCGCTCGGGAAACGACCTCGATCTCACGCCCTCAATCCTGACTCTGACTCAGAAGACGAAGATGAGCACCTTGGAAAACATGAAGCAGTGACTACCTTAGGGGGCAGCATTGCTGAGAGAGGAGATCGGCCTCGAGATACGAAACTTGCCCGCACTGATCAGAAGACCTTGGTCATTGCTTGCCAAACGGGTGGCGGGTGGAAGGCAGCAGCGAAGGCGCAAAGAGGAGGGCAGCCTTCGCCACATGAAAGAGGAAATAATCCAAAAGGTCTGGACAGAGATACAGAACCTGCAGACCACGAAAAGGACATCAAATGGGGTCTGAACGTAACCCAGAAACCCGTAGCAGAGGATCGAGCCGAAGTTGAAGGAGAGCAAGCAATGCCCGAGTCCAGGACGAGCAGCAAAGACCAAAATGACATTCGACCCTCAAGTCCCAGAAATGCAGATCAAGACGCCATGGATGCCCTTCTCGGGAACGACACGAGAAAGAAGAAAATTGTCATCTCAGACGCCGATACTGAGCAAGATCAGTTCAAGGCTGCCGTCCAGGCTGCTGGCGATGTCTCAACCATCGAGGAGTATGATCAAATCCCTGATGGCGAATTTGGAATGGCTATGCTTCGCGGGATGGGTTACGACGAATCAAAGAAGAGTGCACAACCGACGGAGGTCCGCCGAAGGCCTGCATTACTGGGTCTAGGAGCCAAGGAAGACGAAGAGATCAAAAAGGCCGACATTGCCAAGAAGTATGGTCACCGCAACCGCCCACCTCGCTTACAGGATTACAGAAGAGAAGAAGACGCAAAGCGGAAGCAGAGGGAAGAGAGATATTCGAGCAGCTACAAGCATGAGCGCGAGCGCGAGAGGTCGGGCTACAGCTCCAGCAGAAGACACGATGATCGAGATCACAACCGTGACAGTGACCGTACCCGCGATCGCGATGGAGGCAGTCGTAGGCACCGCGACAGGCACTCGAGATATTGATGTGCCCTTCTCGCCGACTGAAAACTAGCCTGGTAGATGCTTTGGCTTATCGACAGGCATGCCAACTCGGTCATAGCATGCAGCGTTCGCACACACAGATGCGCAAAGGCAGTCAATCAATGAGAGCAATAATACAACGTCATGGAATTCTGAGGTAATGACTTATTCGTCCAACACAATTGAGATAAGATTGCTTATACTAATGCGTAAAATGAAGAGTGAGATTTGATCAGGGAATGCGCCATCACTGCCCGGCGTCTGCTGCATGCAGACTTTGGCGTTCATTTGCCTTCTCAATGTGGTGCTGTGAAGGTGTGGCAACATTGCTTGGACCCTTCTTTACCTCCACATCATCGACCCCAAATTGGTCCGCTTGTGTCTTTGCAAAATCACGAGCCTTGATTTTTTGCGCGAACAAGACATCAAGCTCTCCTTGGTTTCTTCCCTTTGGCTCAGGCAATCTGAAGAATGCCCATACCAAACACAGGAAGCACAAGCCGGACCAAAACAGAGCGGCCCTCGGTCCCCAGTTCCAGGCGCTTGCATTCAGCATTTGCGGATTCATTGCCACGCTGAAGATTCCTATGAGGCGTCAGTCTAAGAAATTGGGCGAGCGAAATGTTCTTACCACAGAGGTTGTAGCAGATTCTAGCAAGCGCGATCGTAGGCGCCCTCAATTTCGACGAGGGGATCTCTGTGACGATGCTATAACAGCAGGGACCAAGTGAGAGATCGTACACGACAATATAGACAACCAACTAGATGGGTTTGTTAGCTAATCTTAACCTATGGTGAATCGCCTCCGGACTTACCAGAACAGCCACCGCCCAATTAGCCACATTGTTGTTTTCGCCACATGCAGCATATACGACGCCGATAAGGAGCAACAAGACAAACAAAGCAGCAAGTCCGGAAACATAGATGGTACGACGCCCGATGCTCTTCATCAGGAACCAAGCAGATACCGTGCCCAATGCTCCCATGGCTAGTGCCACTACCTGGATGGTGAAGGAGTTCTCCTCGGATATTCCGGCCGTTTGAAAGAATAATGGTGCAAAGGCAATGAGGTTTGAGCCACAAAGAGACTGGCTGACCCATGTCATGCAGTTGATCTCAGTCCGCCGGCGGTCGACACCTTCGAAGCATTGTCGGTAAGTACACAACGATTCTCTAAGCTTGCCTAGTTGAGTTTTTGGAGCACTATCTTCGAGCTCCACGTGCATCTTTTTGTCTGCCAAAATGGTATGCTTGATCAACTCGAATTTGTTATGGTTTTCTTGGTCTTTGTAGTTCGAGATCCGTTGCAGGGACTTGCGCGCTCCACCATAATCGCCTCGTCGAGCCAGCCACCAGGGGGATTCTGGAGCCATCCACACACAAGTCAAGATAGGTATTGGCCAAATCCATTGCAGCATGAACGGAACTCGATATGCCCATTGGCTATCGCCTAATCCGAGGAAGCCACGAAGCACGCCTGTAGCAATGAGCTGGCCAATGACCCAGCACAAGTTTGCATATGTTGTGAAGTAGGGTCGCAGCACGAGTGGTGCAATTTCTGAAGCATACGCCGCTGGCATCGTTTCGAAGACACCCCAAGGGATTCCCTGGAGAATCTCACCGACCATCAGCGTCGCAATGTTGGGTGCAAAAACCGGGACGAAGATGAAGGCAATCATGAGAGTCAATGCCACAAGCATGGTTTTTCTGTACCCCACCCTTTGTACAAACATTCCAGCTATCGATAGACCAATGATCTGCCCAATCTGGGCTCCAGCCGACAGTGCTGTCTGCCATTCTGCTGGGATTTCGTACTTGCCATTTTCCACTTCGACACCATACCGTCTCTGCACATATTCAGTGATCAAAACCATCAGTCAGTAGGCGGCTCTCCACGTACCTGGAAGGCCGAGAAAGCATAGAAGCCTGACAAAAGTGCTAAGTCAAAGCCTTCCATGATAATGGCAGTAGTGAATATTAACGACCAGCAGAGTGCTTTCCAGCAATGATTAATCGCCTCCTTGATCGTCATGTTCCTCTCGAAGTCTGCCGCCGCTCTGGCACCAACAGTCATGCCTGGTAGACTGTCGTCCTCACTAGTCTTCATTTTGTCGAGGTCATCAACTGTGAGTTTGGCGGACGGGTTTATCCGCACAGGATGGATTTCCATCGAGTTATCACCAGGATTTGCTTTTGCCATTGCCGAGCTGGGTACTGCCATGGGTTCGTAGAAGAGCTCGCTATAAGTGACAAGTTAGCCTTGCATTGCAATATTCGGGTTTTCACAAGTTCTCAAATGTAGAGCTCCTCCGCACCTCCCATCGGGAATGTTCCCGAGTCATCATTAAACATGGCAGCGGAGATATACTTCGATTCGCACTTACTGGTATGGTCTGAGGTGGGCAGCACTGAGATGCAAGATCCATAATGCGGAAGAGAAGGAGACCAGAAACGACGAGGAAACCAGCGATACTTGAGGAGAGGAACTAATATCGCAGACATGGCACTAGTTCATCACTTTGGAGGGCACGCTGCGTGGGTACCTTCTTCCATTTTCTCTCGACTTCATAGCGACAACTTGGCTAAACCCATACCTGCATACATCAAGAGCGTATTAAGGGCTATACGAAGGATGTAAGGCTACCCGGAAATCTGAATACGCCTAGTAATTTGACAGAACCTTATCTCCTTAGACCTTACTACCGGACTTTCACCCTTAAAATCATTATTATTTGTTCCATGTAATCCCATATGTATTACTCGATCGAGCTTGTGAGTCTCCATATCACTTTTCTATTTCTCGTTGTCAATATAAAACACTACAATGATCACCAAGTGTCCATGCTCGATGAGATATATTTGGGACGTCGGCGATGGACCGATTTGATACTAGCCTCAATAAACTTCAACAATGACCTGGATCACCGAAAGAACGAATGCGCTATTCCAGCATCTGTGACCCTTCGACAACTTCTACAGAACCCAACCACGGTTCTCATTGGCTCCCGGGCGTAGAGGGCCGTCTCTTCTAAACACGAACCGTAGATGGCAAGCTCATCTCGCCACTCGGCTCTTTCAACATAGTGACGAGGTCACTTGCTGCCATTGAGTTTGTAAAGAAACCCGCCGCTGTCACGAAGGCAGCTTCGAGTAACGGTGTTTGCCTGAGAGACTTGACAAGACAAATCTGATAGAAAATGACATTAAACTTTTTCCTCGCCCTGTAGAACGAATATTTGGGCCAGACGAAGGAGGAGTCGAGCCCTGTCTTTAAGGACACGTACAACAGAGACTTGATGGCCAATTTCAGTGTCCTGTTAGCGACTCGCCATGGGTGATTTTCCCGTGGCCTCCCAGTCCTGCACGTATGTCTCCCCTCTTGGCATAGCCGCAGTGTCTTGAGATTCAGGCTCCAACGTGTGGTTACAGCTGGTTTCCAAATAAGTACAACAACTATGCGGTCTGTGGTCCTACAAGCTGACCCAGACTATGTTGGAAACAACTATTTCCCAAACTCTGAAAGCCGCCACGGCATGTGGGCGGGTCATGTGACATCATGGACAGGAACTGCTTCCTCGGTTTCGTCGGAGGTACCAGCTATGGGCCAGGAAGACCCAGTCAACCAGCCATATCCTGAACCACGAATGGTATAATCCGGGGAGGACAGCTGGATTGGCCTTTGCAGTGTTGGTCTATCTGATGAAGCAGTGCAGGGTCTTATAGCCTGTGCCGTGCATGTGTGTATATATTTATGCTGTCTGCGATCCCGGAAGTAATCCCGAATGTGAAGTATAGCAGTACTACGTCGTTGGCTCATATTAATGTTGTATCTATACTGTCGTCCAGTGACTTTTGTTTAGGATGTCGTGATGGTATGTGTATATTCATCCTTCCCCTCACTTTAGTACGGAGAATAATTTGCTTAGCTCATACGTAGCGTGGTCGTCCGTGAACCACTTGGTACAAGAGTGTGGTGTGGTTTGCAAAGACAAAACCAGCCGGGGTAGGTCCAGGTCCAGGTCCACTATACAGGATGCTTTTTCCAGCGCAATGAGAAAAGCATTGTCAAGCACCTGAGTGGCCGTAATAACGTCACGGAACCCTCGGGGGCCGTTCAAAGTGCTTTCACACTTGGCATCTGTATGATATGAAAGCGGTGGGATTCAGGAGGTGGCATGATATGGTCTATGGTGTTCTTATCGAGAAGTTGGCAGGCTGGACTGCTGCATTTGACTAAATGGTGGGGCTCAACGGCAACTGCCAGCACGCACTGCTTCGTGTCTCGCTGATCATGTTCAGATCCTATTGGCTGGGGGGAAGAAGAACCAGCCACTCAGGCGTCTCGATTCGAAATTCCAAGCATTGATCAGTGAAAACAAACTGCAGGGGACTACTCCGTACATTGCTCCGTAACAAGGCGGTCAAGTCAAAAGTTGAAAGTTGAAAGGGGTCCAAGACAGCGCTAGCTCCCCTACTGCTTCTCTGCTGGCCCTCATCGTCGCACTACTTGTACTTTTTCCTCCCCAAGTCTGCCAGATTGCAAAAACGAGCCATTGTCACCGTTGGCTTCTCTTTTGCAACGAGGGAAAGAGACCCCAAGATGTCGAAGCCCGTGAGCACAAACGGGAGCGAGTCCGAGTTCGAGTTTGTCGAGACTCCGAAAGCTCCCACTCCCACCTTCAACCACGGTGCAGATTGTGGTGTGAGGACTACTTCGGTATGTCGAGGCCCACCCCCCGCCCACGAGTGATTGCGTTTTGCTACGCTGTCGGCATTGGCCACAGCTTCAGCTGCAGCTACAGCTACAGCTAAAGCTATAACGCCGTTGAGAGGGCAATGTAAACTGACGGATCATGTAGTACCCAGCTATCAAGAATGCCCCTCTCCCCGCCGACTCTGCGAGCAGTGATAGCTTCTCGGTCATTGGCCTGGTTGCCGCCATCGCCGGCGTACCTCTGTGGCTATCATGGAAGGTCGGGGGCGGTCTGAAGACGGGCATTTTCTTCGCCCTCTTCACCAGCATCCCCATTCTGGCCGCCTACTGGATCACCGTCTCCGCCCTGGCCCCTCGCAAGAACGAGAAAGCCAAGTACCCCGGTCGTCCCGTCGAGCACTACCTCACCTTCAAGAAGCAGTCGGACCGTGCCAAGTACCATGGCAAGAACAAGATCCCTCTGGAGACCTTCGCCGAGATGTACTTTGACAACGAGGTCGACTTCAATGGCGACTGCCTCGACATCATGGAGTACCGACACGATTGGGCCAGCTTCCGCTTCACGTGGAGCCTCTGCAAATACTTCATCTTCGGCATGATTCCCGAGGTCATCATGCACTCTCGCTCTCAAGGTTCGTTTGCTCTGCCTCTCCCGCGGAAATTGCCAAGCACACCTTACTAACCCTACTCCCTGGCAGACGAAGAACAGGTTCGTGACCACTACGACCGTGGCGACGACTTCTACGGCTGGTTCTTGGGCCCTCGCATGATCTACACCTCTGGCATCATCAGCGACATCAACAAGGAAGAGACACTCGAGGAGCTCCAGGACAACAAGATGGGCATTGTTTGCGAGAAGATCGACCTCAAGGAGGGCGAACGTCTCCTCGATATCGGTTGCGGCTGGGGTACACTTGCCCGATTCGCCAGCGTCAACTTTGGTGCCCACGCCACTGGTATCACCCTTGGACGCAACCAGACCGCTTGGGGCAACAATGCTCTCCGCAACGTTGGCATTCCTGAGGAGCAGAGCAAGATTCTCTGCATGGACTACCGTGATATTCCTGTTCCCGATGGTGGTTACAACAAGATTACTTGCTTGGAGATGGCTGAGCACGTCGGTGTCCGCAAGTTCAAGAGCTTCTTGCAGCAGGTTTATGAGATGCTCGACGACGATGGTGTCTTCTTCCTCCAGATCGCCGGTCTCCGCAAGCCCTGGCAGTACGAGGACCTGATCTGGGGTCTATTCATGAACAAGTACGTCTTCCCTGGTGCTGATGCCTCTACACCGCTTGGATTCTTCGTCGACTCGCTCGAGGCCGCAGGTTGGGAGATCAAGGGCATCGACACCATTGGTGTTCACTACTCGTCCACCCTCTGGAAGTGGTACAGGAACTGGCTCGCCAACAAGGACAAGGTCGTTGGCAAGTACGGTAACCGCTGGTTCCGCGTAAGTTGAAGCACCCCCAGACATGAGATTGATAATCCACATGGACGCAGACACTGACAAAGGTTTTAGGTGTGGGAGTACTTCCTTGCATACTCTACAATTGCCTCTCGCCAGGGTTCCGCGACTTGCTACCAGATTGTTCTGGTCAAGAACATCAACTCGACTCACCGTGTTGAGGGTATCAACTCTCAATTCGGGTTGAAGGGAGCCCTCGAGGCGGCCAAGGCCAAGCTCAATTTCTCGGCTTGGGCCAAGCAGAATGCTGACCAGTTCCCCCAATTCCCTACTTCCAGCACTGCTTAGGTCAGAGTTTGTTAGTTAAGGGATTGGGCTCCTGCATATAGGAGCCAAAGGAAGAAGGAATGGATTCATAGGGACAGAACTAGTGTTGTGGGCAGGGCTTTCACTACTTCTGGCTTTATATGTTATGTGACGGAATGGGACTGGGGCATGGACTTGTCCGACTAGACGACGGGTTTACGACATGGCTTCCCATTTGTAAGGAGTTGGCGACTGCATAGGTTTGTGCACTTTGATGAAAGTACAGTGCTGGCATTCACATGTGGCTCGAAGATAGATGTTAATGAGTTGTAGACAAAAGTACAGTTTCAAACTCTACCAATGATGTTGAATGTCTCAAGTGATTCATTGCTGTGCCTGTTGGTGTAAAAATTGCGCAATATATCATACAATCTATGGTGATGCATGTGATGCTGCGAGGACAGCAGTGGCTTACCATCTCGACCGATGGCAAGCACCAGTCCAGACAAATACATGATTTTCTAGGGACTGTACTGAAACGTGAGCTATGCGTGTTAACTACACAGTAGGCATCAATTTGCATCCCATCCAACAGATGGCCCGTGCGTTCTTGTAGGTCCAAGGTTAGGTTAGTCTGTCTCAATCTCAACATGCAGCCACTCTCAAGTTCCCACCGGCTCCCGGCCCCAGCTAACTTACAGGTCAAGACAGCTGCAGTTCAACTTACAGCTATCGCTACAGCTACAGCTGCTGCGTACAGGCTACAGCTAATCTAACAGGCACAGTACTGTATGGGCTTACTGGCTCTCGTATGTAGTTTCTCAGTTTCGCAGTTCCACACATTGAAACTGGACCAAGACCAAGACCGAGCTCAAGCCAACCAGGACGCTTCGACTCTTCCGACGCTTCGTCGTCATCTGCACCTACCTACCTGTTGCTCCTGCGCGTCGACCTTGACCTTGACCTTGACCTCTACGCCGAACTTGATGCACACCTCGCACAAGACGTATTGCTACACTTCCACCCCATTGTCGGAGGAGGAGCGTCGTCGCTCCGTGCGCATTTCTTCTCTTGCCCTTTGCAAACAACCCCGGAGTGCAATTGCGTCCTCGTCGAGCGACGCAACGACATCATGTACTCCAATTCCAACTCCTTTTTGGGCGGCAATAACAGCCTCCGCCCAGGTCCCCAGCAATATGGCGGCTCCTTTGGCATGGGCCAGCCGCCTCAGCAGCAGCAACAGCAACAACTCCCGGGACAGCAGGCGAGTGCGTTTGCGCCGCAGCCTACGGGCTTCGGCCAAGCGCCCCTGAGCCAGCAGTATACCGGCTTCCCTGGTCAGCAACCTGGCATGATGCAGCCGCAGATGACCGGTATGCCGCAACAGCAACAAGGTCTCCAGCAGCAAATGACGGGCATGCCGCAGCAGCAGCAAGGCCTACAGCAGCAGTTCACCGGCTTTCCGGGCCAACCTCAACCCCAGCAGAGCTTCCAGACCGGCGCACCACCGATGCCTCAGATTCCGCAGCAGTACCAGCAGCAGTTCAACCAACAGCAGCAGCAGCAGCAGCAGCCGCAGAACAACTTCTCCTCGCCGAGCACCCAGGCGGGCCCAACTATTCCGCCGCCTCCTGCGAACCCTGTGACAGCCCAACCGACTGGCTTCTCTGCCATGGCCGCTTCATTCAAGACTGGCGGGGCTCAAAGTCAGCCAACAGGTCGAAGAGCCGAGAAGAAGGCTGTCAACAAGATCCCCAACATCCGGCTGTCGTTCATCACCGCACAAGATCAAGCCAAGTTCGAGACCCTTTTCAAATCCGCTGTCGGCGAAGGCCAAATGACCATGTCTGGAGAAAAAGCAAGAGATTTGTTGATGCGCTCTAGACTGGATGGCGACGCATTATCACATATTTGGACGCTGGCAGACACGACACGAGCGGGCGAGCTTTACTTCCCTGAGTTCGCATTGGCCATGTATCTGTGCAACCTGAAGCTCGTTGGAAAGCAGTTGCCATCATCTTTGCCCGACAATATCAAGAATGAGGTTTCAAGTGTGGTGGACATCATCAACTTCAGCATTGCTGACGAGGCCGCTAATTCCGGCTCTGCAACGACCAATGCGCCAGACTTTCGCACCAGTACTGCAACGCCTCCGACCATCCAACAGCCGCAACCTCAGCAGTCAAATTCGTCCTTACTGCAGACCCAAATCACAGGTTTTCCCGGTCAGCAGCTTGGTAGTCAGCCAACCGGTTTCCCCGGTCAGTTCCAAGGCCTACAGGCACAGCAGACTGGGTTTCCCGCCATGAACAACCCACAAGCTACTGGTTACAGTGGACCCCGACCGCCAATGCCTCCTATGCCTACTGGTTTCGCTGGGGGTCTCGGTGCCCCGGCTGCTCCCCTGAATGCCCAACCGACAGGCATGCCAGGCCAATGGGGTCTGGTGAATGCACCCGCCAGTGGGTTACCCAACATCGACGCCCTACAAGCTCGTTTGATGCCGCAGCAGGGCCGCGAGCAGGGCAACTATACCACTGCAGGCCTGTCAGGCAATGCCGTCATCCCTTGGGCCATTACCAAGGATGAAAAAAAGCGATATGACGAGCTATTCCGGGCTTGGGATGGTCTGCACAAAGGTTATATCGGAGGTGAGACGGCTATCGAGATCATGGGTCAAAGCGGTCTTGAAAAGCCAGATCTTGAACGTATCTGGACTCTCGCAGATAACGGTAACAAAGGTCGTCTTGATCTGGATGAATTCGCCGTTGCCATGCACTTGATTTACAGAAAGCTAAATGGCTACCCCGTCCCCAACCAGTTACCCCCTGAGCTCATCCCACCATCCACGAGAAACTTGAAAGGAGCACTAGACACGATGAAGGGCATGCTGAACCAGGAGGCCGATTTCAGAAAAAATTCCGGAGCTTCGTTGCTTCCTCAAAAGACTGGGGTCAGCTATATGAAGAGTCACTCACTTCGAGGAACCCCTGGTGGGGCTGCAGGTCGCAAGGATGCTACGGTGTTTAAGAACAATGACGAATCTATTGGTTACAAGTCTGCGGCTCGGCGCCGCGTTGGAAATAACTCACCACGACCGGAGTCTCCATCATCTGTTGCTTCCAGCGATGATCTTACCCTGGATCAGTTGCGAAAGAAGATCCGAGAGAAGCAGGTTCTCCTGGACGCTATGGACTTCAAAGATGAATCGGCTCTCGAGGAGGACGACATGCTCGACAGAAGAGACCGTCGCGAGGCCGATGAGCTCTACCGTAGGATTAGACGTATTCAAGATGACATCAACAGCCATCCTGACGCAGCTCTGGCAAGTGGTGACTCTGAGGCTGAGCGTCGTTCGATGAAACGGCAGCTCCAAAATCTGACGGACAAAATTCCTCAGGTGGCATCCGAGGTTCGCAGAGTTGAGAAGGCTATTGCTGATGCCAAGTTGGAACTCTTCCGCTTGAGAGACGCAAAGGCTCATCCCGGCAGTGCTTCAAACATCGTCGGAACTGGTCCCGGCGGTGCGATCACAGAGTCTGACCGGTTGAAGGCTAAGGCGAAAGCCATGATGCAACAGCGGACTGCGGCCCTTACCGGCAAGAAAATCGATGCCAGCAACGACGACTCAGATGCCCCGAAGCGCCTGGAAGAAGAAAACATCAAGATCAGGACTGAGAAAGAGAACAATGAGCGCTTGGTCCGGGATGTTGAAGACAGCGTTAGGGAGTTTGCTCGTGGTGTTGAAGATGGCCTCAAAGAAGGTGGGCAGACTTCGGCCAATGAGCATGAAAAGCGTCGTTGGGAGGACGCGCTCGGTGTCGAAGACGAAATTCGCGATTTCATCTTTGACTTGCAGAGGGAGAGCAGAGCCGCGCGAATCCGCAGTCAGGATCGCAGCGGTGGCCGCCAGCCAACTGCCGAACCTGTCAGGGCCGAGGCGCCACCTCGTGTTGACAATCCTAGCTCGATTGCCCGTACTGCCTCTCCAGCTGCGCCTGCTGCTGCGGGCAAATCTTACTCCTCCTACAAGACACCCGAGGAGAGGGCTGCGTTTATCAGACAACAGGCTGAGCAGCGCATGGCTGAGCGTCTGGCTGCACTTGGAATCAAGGCTCCGACTAAGCCTGGTGAGACCGCCGCGCAACGAGCTGAGCGTGAGAGAGCGGAACGGGCTGCTAAGATTAAGCAAGCAGAGGAGGAAGATGCACGACGTGAAACCGAACGCCAAGCAAAGCTTGCCGAGGAACAAGGCGTACCCCCTCCTGCTCCCAAGGCAGATCATAAGAAGCCACCACCCCCTCCTTCGAGGAAAGGAAAGGCAGACGATGCTGCTGCTAGGCAGACTGCAGACGAAGAAGCCACGAAAAAAGCGGAGCAGGAGCGGCTCGAGAAGGAACAAGCAGAAGAGAGGCGAGCCGCTGAGAAGCTTGAGTAAGTTGTTGCTGTATCCATATGCAATCATGACCTTCTAACAAGTGACCAGGTCGCAAGCACAAGATCAAGAAGATGAGCTTGCTAAGGAGCGCGAAGCAGCCTCAGCTCGTTTGAAGGCTCTCGAAGAGCAAGTAAGACAAGGCAAGCTTAAGAAGGAAGAAGAGAAGAAACGAAAGAAGGCTGCTCTGGCAGACGCTAAAGACAAGGAAGCGAAACTTGCTGCTCGTCGGGCGGAAATTGAAGCTGCCCGCCAACGTGAGCTTGAGCTTCAGCGACAACTTGAAGCCATGGATGAAGACGATTCTTCATCCGACGATGAGGGGCCTCAGCAAGTCACCCCGCAGGCTTCAACTCCTACTCATGGTGGCAGCCAAGTAGGGAGTCAAGAAATGGAGCGTAAGATTACGCCGCCTCCAGCTCCTGCAGCCCCTGCCCCTCCTACCATCGTCGCCAGCCCGCCGACTGAGGGCGAGAGTAAGAACCCCTTCTACCGCATGATGTCGTCAGACAATACATCATCAGCATCAGGGCCCCAATCTTTGGATGCAGCACCATCTGCTCCACCACCGCCACCCCCTCAACCCGAGGTCTCTACCAACCCCTTCCACCGCATGACCCAGGAGAAGGCTGCTGCTCCTGCTGCCGCCCCTGTGGTTCCCCAGCCTACTGGCAACTTTTCACGCAAACGACCCGATACTGACGATGAATGGGGTTCTGGTAACGAGGACGAGGATGAGGATTCCGAGGATGAAGGTCCTTCCCGAGGTGGTGCTGCCCAATTGGCTTCGCTACTCTTCGGCTCTATGGGACCTCCCCGGCCTTTGTCGGCAGCTGGTAATAGGTCCAACACCGGCTCCCCTGCCGTGGCATCGCCAGCTGTTGCGTCACCACCACCGCCGCCACCCATGAGCCCACCGGCTTCGTCTGATGGTGGTGCATCACTCGTCGATCGTACCAAAGCCGCAGCTGAGGCTATCAAGGACACCGTTGGGAACGCTATGGCTGCTGTTATTGGCGGTCCCGACGAGGCACCATCCGCACCGCCACCACCACCACCCATGCCATCAACCGGTGCACCCGCTGCACCACCGCCGCCTCCGCCAATCCCTGGCATGGGTCCTCCACCCCCACCCCCACCGCCAGCTGGTGGTGACATGCCGGCACCGCCTTCTGGTGGCGGAAGGCCATCTGGTTTGCTTGGCGAGATCCAAGCCGGTAGGGCTCTCAAGAAGACGCAGACCAAGGACAAGAGCATTTCGGCCGTTGCTGGTCGTGTTCTAGATTAGTTGAGTCTACGCGAGACATGCTTCTTTTGCGATTGGGATTAGTGAGATATTGTGGTCGGGGTGAGATATCATTATAGTTTTATCTGGAGATGATTAATGAGGTGGTGAGATTGTATGAAACTTGTGTATGTAGGCCAGTGTAGTGTGGGCGATAGCCTTGCTTGACTTCTAGAAGATAGAGACGCATTGCTTAACCAGTCTCTGTTGGTGTATACAATTATTTCTGCTTCTTACATCCAAATTTCTTGTCCCTTCATTCGTGTGACTAGGCCATATCTCGTTCCACACTGCAACTATCACAGGAGGACGAGCTTAGAGGCGCACTTTGTCGACACCACATTACATATACAGGAATGTGATGTTTTCTGCGCCTTACAACAGACAGACATTTGGGCAAATCATTATTCGGTTGCTTTTGTGTAAGTGAGATGCCGATTTCGACATTTTCACCATGTATCCGACCCCCAGCTTGAACAGGCGAATTGTTAGCTCATAGACATGTTCCTCGTCACTTATTGTTTCAGCACGTTGTAGAAAATATGCTTCTTTGTTCCACACAAAGTCATTGACTTCCAAAGTTTGTGAATCAGAATTACCGTGCATATAAGAGGAAAGAGAGAATCGGCTCAGAATGGCCACAAAAACACATAGTCAACTGGCATTATCAAGTCACCCTAATAATCATCAGCAAAAAAAGAAAAGTCTCAGGTGACATCTCCTAACGGCATAATGACGCAAGACAAATGGAGTTTCGGTGTCGAGCAGGAACGGGTGGCTGTCGTTCAGGTAGAAGGAAGTACACCCTTGGACACGTCCGTGTCTAAAGGCCATTCAAGAACACCTCTGGTAACACCAGCTGCAGACAGGACTCTGACTCTATCGTATGAGAGAACGGCATACCTGGAGAGGCACATACCAGCTCTGCTCGACAAGCTGACGGACGAAATCAATGAAGCCGTTCCGGTCCCTGCGGGGAGCGTGGTCACAAGGCCGCCCTTGTCAGCGCTCGAACAAAGTCTGCACTGGAAGCCCAAGGACGACCCGTTGACCAGGTACACACGATGGATGACCACACTCGAATACCTGCTGTTCCCCACTGACATGCTCGAAAAGTACGAAGGATATCTCCTCGAGGGCATAGAATTCGTCTCGCCACCCCTGTACGCAAGCGAGGCGGCGTTCCATCATGTCCGCGAGGTTTCCGACTACCTCGACCGAAGGTACTGGTTCCTCGCGGCCGAGCTCACAGGCCTACACATCCACGTCGGCCGCGGCGGGCGCTGGCTGTCGCTCCACGAGCTGCGCCGCGTCGCGGGGCTGTGCTACGCCGCCGACGAGCTGCTGGCCGGGCTGCACCCCGCGGACAGGCGGGAGAACGCAAGCTGCCGGAGCAACCGGCTGTACTCGTACGTGTCGCGCGGCGTGCGCGCCGAGATGATCGAGACGGTCAACAGGTGGCACGACGACAGCCAGGCCGTCGAGACGCCGCCCCGGAGCACGACGGGGCCCAGCGCGCCATCTCCGCTCTTCGTCCGAAAGATCCCCCGCGGCGAACTCGGCGGCTACGCTCGCCCCCCAAAGTTCCCAATGCAGATAGGGGGCCTCGTCCCGGACCTCATCGACGCGTTCCCGGAGCTGAGCGGCCAGGCCCAGGAGCCGGCGCAGGCGATCGACATCGTCGAGGTCCCCGCCGCCGTCCGCGAGCTGCTGCGCTGCACCGACCCCCGCACCGTAGGCGAGCTCCCGCCCCGCGTACAACTTTGCCCACTACCGCAACGGGGGGTACCAGGAGCGCGGCAGCAAGCGCACGATCGAATTCCGGCAGCCGGCGGCCACGCTGGACGGCAGCGTCGCGGCCACCTGGGCGCAGGTCTCGGTGAGGATGTGCGAGTGGGCTTGCGAGGTAAGCCTGGAGACGTACTGGCACGTGGTCACGAAGTGTGCTCTGGGCGGGAGTGAGTATGACGCTTTTGATCTCCTGGCCGACCTGGGGCTGGAGAGCGAGGCGGCGATTTTGCAGGAGGTGGCGTTGGGGTTTGGGGACGAGGAACCCGTGTTGTGTTATTAAAGTGGTGAGTGGGTTGGTCGAGTGTTGGGGGATGATGACGTTGACGTGCACAGGTGAGATACAGATACAGATAACGAGCTAACGGTGGGCTTTGTTGGGCGGATGAGGGGAGACGTAATACGCCGAGGACTAATACGGGTGCCGTGAGAAGGATGAAATAGAAGAATAAAACAAGAATATGGATAAAAAGACCGAGCCGACTTAAGGATGACACAAAAGAACCCCGTTCCGGAGGTTAAAAAAAAAAAGATGGTTAACTTAGACATTTAACTTGTTGTCTTAGATCTGGAAAGATTAACACTATGCTACTGTAATATTTTCTTTGCCCATATCTTCCAAGTGCTGAAAGACAACTGACCTAACCTAAATGACTAGGAACCCTGGTCCATCCCCGTCTCCGATGAGAGGAGCAGTCAGATGGTAGTCATGATGAGAGTGCACCTCGACCTTGAAATCCTTGTCGATGTCGACGCCCCTTGACCTCAGTATCTCGATCAAGGGACCGGTCAGAGGCGTGAGAGCCTCCACGGGGAGCGAGACCTGGCAGTTGGCACACCGCTTGACGTCCCAGCGGCTGAGGATGGCCTCCCTGCCGATCTCGATCTTCTGGCCGGAGGGCAGCTTGGCGTACGTGCGCACGACGAACGATCCGGGGTACTGAGCACGGTTGATGCCGGTGGCCTGGATCAACCTCTCGGGCCGCTCGATCGCCGGGTCGGGAGCCATCGCCTCCGGGGCGGAAAGCACGGGATCCAACGACCCGCGCCCGTACGTGTAGCCCAGGTCGTTCTCGATGTCGGTGACATCGTCAGATGTGTAATATGTGCCATCGTCCTTCGAGAAGGGAGCCAGTGGTGTCTGCGGCGTCAGATCGGTGTTGGGCGGAATGTTAGGGGTCGGCGAGGTCATCGGGTCGGAGCTGTTGGTGCCGGGGTAGCCCGATATCACATCCAAGCTGCCCTTTGCCGTCTTGCCCCATTTCTTCTGCCATGTCCAGAAGGCATAGTCGATATAGCAGTGGTGCATGAAGAAGATGGGGTCCAGACCGTCGGTGTTGTTTTCCGCAATGTCGCCGTTGGCGCCGAGGATCGGATCGGCGTCGTAGACGCCTTTCTGGTAGAACCCGCCGAGTGCGAGATGGATGGAGTTGTGTGGTTGCTCGAGAGAGACCACAAAGTACTTGTCTTTGCTGCCGCTGTCTATGACCCATTGTGTTGCAGACTGCTTGTTCGAGAAGACCGTGTAGTTGGGGGCGTTAAGACACTGTTTGAAAAGGGAAAACACGGAGAATATGTCGGGCTTTGGCGTCGGGTTTTTGGGATCATCGTCGGGAATCACAACCTCTCCGCTGAGCCAGTTCTTGACGTTGGTGTTGAGTATAACTGTGTTCGATGCTGGATCCTTGAACTTCGAGTTATGGAGCTCAGTCTGCACCCGGTCTATCTCCGTTCCGACCAGCCCCGATAGTGGGAAGCGGACAGTCTCATAGCCAATGTGCTTGGTGTAGCGATTGTCCTGGCCTGTGGCATCGTTCAATTGCTGAGGCAAGGTATAAGAATACAGAGGATTGTTGATGACCTCCCCATCAAGAACGAAGGTGGGAGAAGTCAAGACTGCGGGGATGGGAGTATCCGTGTTGTAGTCCAAGCACTCGTCCCAGAACGGCAGCGTCACATCCTCGCAACCTGCTATGGCTCGCATGGCATTTTCCAGACGGAGCATGTAAGCTCGGTGCCAGGTCGGGAAGAGAACGTTGTAGTGGTTGCAATACCCGCCCCAGTACGTGTCTGGAGCCGGCCCGGGCCAGTCTGGGTCGTGGAAAGGCTCTCCATGATACCCTCCAATCAAGAAAAAGGAGTTTTTGTCACCCCAAGGAAGAGATTGTATGCCTTTGAAAGCACGTATAACCTTTTCCAAAGGTGCTAGGTTGCCGCCATTGTACTGAGCCTGCAGCTCTTGCAACGAGTAACGTACACGTGCCATCAGAGCAATTATTTATGACGATGGGATATTGAATAGAGCGACTGGAATGAAGCTGTAAAGTGAGTTGGAAGAATGAGGCAGGCCTCGAACTGGATGTGTGGCAGCCTTTATAGAAGTGGCGTGCCAGTAAGCATTCCACACTTCCTGGTATATGAATGGAAAATGCACGATTCTGGGCCCAAAGTTTACAGTCGAGTCTAATGTCGAGTTCTGACATTTGTCAAGTCTCGATAACCGGGACCAGATAATTTAAACATCTGTGGCGACATTCCTGGGGAGCCAAAAGAGCTGTCTGGTTTGATTGCAGCTCGATGACTGGTCATTGGCATTGTACGCACGAGGGCCTATCCAGTCCCGTCTAGAATGTGTTCATTCAGCTGCGTCGTTCTCTGGAATGTGACATCACAGTCTAGGATACCCGTACTACGTAGGGACGTATACTTTATATTGTACGATGTAGGCTCTCACGTTATGAAATAGAGGCGGAGCTGTTCCGCCAGATTGGGGTAGCAGAATTGCTTGGGTTCAGCTGAACAGCGCACAGCAGTTCTGCGGTAGATCATACACATGGCGTAGAATTTCTGCAGGATGGGCACACGTTCGTTCGTGCGCCAATGGCTTATTCCGTTCTGCAAGCCATTTGGATGAGTAAGCCTGAAGCTTGCGGTATGTCTCGGACGATGCATCAGTTACCAAAGCCAACATTCTAGGAAAGCGTAGCTGGATTCACGTAGAATTAGGTTCGAGTAAGAATCTCAGCTGTCTCCCGAAAGTTCCAGTCTGCCTGTTCTTCAATAAGTCCAGCTAGTTGAATTCATTAGCCTTTGAGGAAGCCATGAAGGTGAATGAGAGCGTTCCAATGCAAACCCCATAGTACGAAACAGCGACCTTCCCGCTATTGAGCTCGTTAAACCTACAGCTCGAACTCAATCTCAAACTCGCTCGTAGCAGCATACTGGGACTTGACAAACGAAACCGTACAAAAACAGAGACGGCTGATGTGTACTGCGGCTTCATATTAACAAGACCGGCGAAAACATTGCAATGACAAGTCGTGATTGAGCCACAGTAAACCTACCGACCCCAAGGTGTACATAGCACAGAACATTACCTCGTACTCTTTTGTACAGTTTCGAAAGCCAGAAAGGGCAGCATGTAGGGAGACCATCGACGAGTAAGCGCTTCGGGCTTGATCAAGAGCAAAAATGATTCAATTGGTATCTTTGCAAACACTGATCCGGATGACCGTTCATCCGATGGTATTTCCTCCTCCATACATAACGTAATCGCTAAAAACTTCTCATTCCTGCCTCTGACACTGCTCAGTCAAACGAGCCTTCAATGCCTATGCTTGACCTTATTCTTTTCTTTTGGCGGGCCCTTCACCGAGACTCCCCTAGCACTCGCCCATACGCTATCCATGACCTTGGCAGGTATTTTCCTTCCGCGAAGTCTCTGATCAATAAGCCACATGCCGACGACGAACTCGGTCTTGTCCAGAGAACCTCTTCCGGTCCGATCTACCAGGTCCCAAACCTCCATCAGCTCGTCCATAGGCAGTCTGCTTCGTGACCATATGTCCCTTACAACGACATTGACAACAACATCACCATCGCTTGTCCCCGGACTGGGAGTAGTCCGGGGTGGCGTTTCGCCCATGCCTGAAGCATCCATCTCGGCAGTTAGGAGATATCCTCGATTGCTCGCCCAAAGGCCCTCATAGCGTTTTCTCTCCCTGGGTGTGATCTCCTCGCGCCAGCGCCGACGCGAGCCCTCGTGGTGGGTATGCTTCTTTTTGCTCTGAAGCGGTTTGGTCTTGTGGCGTGCCTTCCACTTACTTTCCTCGTCATCCGAGCTCGAGGGCGGTTTTCTCAGCGTTTGGCGCATGTGTGGTGTACGCTTCCTAGGTGGTGGAAGAGAAGGAGGCCTTGGGGATGACGAGACGCTGTTGGATGGTGGAGCGCGAGAAGACGCAAGGATACCGGCCATAGTCGCAGCAGTCAATGATTTCAGCTCCAAGTTGGAGGCGCGGTGCGCCGCACGACGCGGTGGTGGCGGTACAGGGTTTCTTCGCATTGGGTTCTGCTCAGGAGGCATGCTTTGCGCTGAAGTTGGCCGTGTCCTACGGGGTAGCTTAGGAGGTGACGCTGGGGTTGGTTTAGGAGGTGAGCGGCCTCTTTCAGGGGAGTGATGTACAGTCTGTACTGAGGATGCAGATACGAAAGTGTCAACAGAAGATGCAGTCGACGGCCTGCGTGATTGCTCCCGAGGTGCTGCTTTCGATTCAGCCGGGGATGCTATGAACGGCTTCTGCGGCTCATGCATGGATTGAGGCCTTGATCTTGGTTTCGGCTTGAGTGCTGGGGGCGGCGGCTTTTCGCGTGGCCTTTCAGTACTCTTCTCCGGCAACGCCTGGGGCCGTACCATCTTATGCGATGCTGCCCTCCGAGGCTGCGGCGAAAGGATGACTGTGGATGATGTGCTAATGGGTCGAGGCGGCGTGATAGCACGAGATTTAAGTACTTTCTTCCCTGTAATCTTCATAGGCTCTACTGTTGAGCTTGTCTCTACCCGTGGCCCCGTGGCCGTTGGCGGTGCGGGCGGCCTCTTCTTTGACTCCGGATTCACGGCACGGCTCTGCTGCGATGCATCCTTCTTGAGATCCAAGGCAGATGCTGAGGGTGATGCCGTTTGCTCGCAAAATACCGCGTTCGTCAATCTCGAGGGAGATGATTCTGGTTTCCTGGGACTTGTAGCTCTAGGCGGGGTGAAAGGTCGCAATAGCTTGGGCGCCTTTTTGACAGGATCTTTAGTGTTGCTGCTGCGATTGGCGTCGGGACTCTTCTCGAACATGGAGATCAGAGCATTCGTCGGCGGAATGGGCCTCGTGTCTGTTGCCAAATCCAGGCTCGTCACCGAGCTTGCGGCGCTGTTCTTCCGTCTCGGTTTCGTGGCCTTCTGCTGGCCGTATAGGTGCACATGTGGCAGCTGACTCGGACTCGGACTTGCAGAACGACTGGCCGCAAGAGTCGCAGCTATGAACGAGGTTGTCCGAGGGTCGTTTGCCATATTCATATTAGGCCGGCCGAGCGGTTTAAGCAAAGCGTTGTTGTCTTGCGGACTCCCAGGCTGGAGCTGGACGAGCCGTTGGCTGACAGAGCCATGATCAATTGGCGTGCCATGAGCATGGCTGTGGCTTCCATCATACACGCTGTTGCCGGTCGCCTGACGGCTTATCCGGGTAGCTGCGAGCAATGCGCCATTGTTCTTGGAAGCATTCGCAAGTGCATTGGGACTTGCACTTGGCGATGGGCCAGTCCTCTGGAAGGCAAGGGAGGCGCCCCTCAGGGCCGTCTGGTACGCGGAGCCATCGCTGAGATTGTGATTATGGGCGGGCGAAGAGTTCGGAAGGCGTCGACCGGGGTTATTAGGGGTCCCTGGCCGCTGCATGGAGATGCGGGTTTGGCGTCGATCGCCGGAAGATAGCCTGCTGTAGGGTAGGTATCGAAATCATCTAACCTGAGCTCTTGTAACAAGGACTTGAATGATGTTGGCAAAAGGAGGCGAGCCCAAAGTCAGCCAACGTCAACTTGTGAGAAAGTCGGCAGCTGACGAATATCCTTGGTTGGATCCCTCGTACGGATCCGTACGGAGCAACTTAACCTGGTAGGCAGTAGGCAGGGTAGCATTCACAGCAAGGCTGAGACACACCAAATCTCTGGGCGGTTGAGCCGGAAGCGCGAACACGGTACGTTTAACTAACTTAACTGACTAGGTTATGTAGCTTATAGCAGCTGACAGCACGGATTATGTACTTGTAATGCCAAGCCACGCAGTTTAGCGCGACTGTTTTTGATCCACTGCCACGGAGAGGACCCCCAAGCACAAGCGCCGCCTTTGCCGGATACATATTCATGAGCTTTGTACGGCTTCATCATTTGCACGGACCCTGTATGGTTGCATCACTAGAACGGCTTCGGCGTACAAGATTATCAATTGACGTCTTTTCGTCATACGTAAATAAGCATCTAGAAAAACAGTTGTCATGTGCCACAACGCCGAGCCAGACGCCGCAATGCAGACTCCTTCAGTCTTATGGTATCGTCGTCCATTCCTCCGCTGACCACCCAGTATTATATTTTGAGAATTTCCATACATACAATTGTCGTGTACAAAGAAAACATGCCAGAGCTGAGTGTGAGCCCTGGCGAGTGCTTTCGACTTTCATAGACCCAGTCCAATCAGCCGAAGCGGATAGCTCTCTCATTGCCTTGCCGCGGACAAGATGCTATGCAGTAAATGGGTACAAGAAGAGAGCAACCCAGGTGTATACTCAGGAAAAAGCAGAAGAAGAGAAAAAGATTTAAGGAATAAAAACAATTAAGAAACTGGCTCGCGTAGACGCCGACCCTGAGGACGCCGCGCTGGGAATACACCCAAATTCTTTTTGCCACGAATTAAACACGTGGGAATGCGTCAAACATGACATCCTGAAATTCATGATTCATCCAGAAAATATCTTGTTCGGAAAGAGCGTTTAGAAAGCATCCTCATCAGTCCACTCACTTCCGGAAATCATTCGGTTTCCTTCCATGTCCACCGTGCCGGCACCCATTGCCGGTGGGATTGCTCTCATGCGCTTGGTCTGGCTAGACTGCAGGCGCGAGTATGGATCTTCAGGAGTGAAGCGCTTGTTTCGTGCGGCGCGCACTTTGGCATAATATGCATCCGAGACATCTTCCTCAGGTTCTGAGACATCGTCGTACGTCTCCCAGTTCTCAGAGCCAGAAACAGCCGTTGATGTGTTAGATATTTGTCTTGGTGGGGGCGCTTGTGGATAGCCAGGACGTCCTACTTGGCGTACCGATGCGCGCGAGTCGTAGGACTCGTTGCTGTATTGACGACTGTGTGTCTGGTCTGAATATTGATCATCATATACGTCTTCTGGCTCTATAGGCCGGACGAATGCGCTGGATCCTAAGCCAGTACCCTTATAAGGATTGACCGGTGTTTCCAACTGTGGTGCCGGCGCAAGCTCTCTCATCTTGGGAGGGGGGGCTCGCATCAAGGCAGGTGCACCACGCATTGTGCCACCTCCAGCGGCGCGAGACTCTGGCCTGGCCCTTTCAGGAGAGTTATTACCATGCTTGAGATTCGAAAGGGGTGCGCGTTGCGGCAGTCTCGAAGGACTTGCGCTTCCATTTGTCACTTGGACCGGTATCTGACCCCTCTTGAGCGTACCCGTACCATTGATGGTGGGAGCTGGAGTCTTGGGCCTCGAGAGGGTTCCGGTTCGGCTGACAACACTGTTTGCCCTGCTCAAGGTACTGTCTGTCCTGCTCAATGTACTGTCTGTCCTGCTCACGGTGCTGTCTGTCCTGCTCAGCGTAGAAGGTTTCTTGGTCGTAGACGGGGGAGGACCAGCAGGTGTTTTGGATCTCGGAGGTGCGGATCTAGTCTCGCTCTCCTCTAAAATGTCGAGGTATCTGTCGCCGTGAACCAAAAATGGTCGGCCATATTCATCCTCCCATCTCTCAAGGGCCTTGCGAAGCTCCGCTGCCACCTTGGGCAATTCTTTTGTTATCCGCTTACGCATCTTCTCTTCTCTGAGAAGCTTACCGGGATCGCGCTTCTCACCCTTTTGGCCACGCATCATAAGACGCGAAGCATCCTGACTTGAGGCTTGCAGGTCATCGCGCTCCTGTATGAGGGAACGGTGTTTTTCGACCAGCGCCAATGTTGGTGCACGTTGCTCCCTTAGTGCTTCCAATCGAGCAATCTCGCGGTCGTGCGCCTCGAGCAAGGCATCACTGTAGACGTCTGAGAAGGCGGGGGTGAAGTCGAGCATCTCGTCTTCAGAGAAATAGAGCGCGTCCCAGAGGCCTTGCAGCTTGTCGCGAGCATCCTCTACAAACAGGTGGAGATTTTGTCGCTTCAAGTCGTTCAGCCGGGCCAATTCGTCCTCGAACTCGTTAATCTGCCGCACACCACAGCCCCGGTTGCTGTTCAAGAAGGACTTGGATTCTGATTCATCAACGCCGAGCTTCACCCAGAGTGCCTCCACGGCGGTCTTCAGGTCCCTGAGCCGCTTCTCTCGATTCTTCTTCTCGTCGACCAACCTGTCTCTCTTGCCCCTGAGCCTGGCGAGATCCTCCTCGTGCAAGCCAAGCTGTTCGGGCGAGTCGCGGTAGTACTTGACGATGGCGGCGTCAGTCTGAGCTTGGGGAGTTCCGAGCTCAGCCCAGAGGGAAATGATGTGCTCGGAGAAGGCCTTGACGGTGGCGATTCGTCGGGTGTACTCCTCATATACCCTTGTAAATTCGTCATCCAGTCTGTCTACATATGATGGCGAGAGATCGAAAGTGGGAGGAAGCGACTGGTTGGGTCCCGTCGGAGGAAGAGCGATCTTGACGAAGGTGGGCTCGAGATGTGATGAATACGACTCGAGCGCTAGGACAAGTTCTGTGGCAGCATGAAGTTAGCACGGGGTCGGCATTGCGAAGATTAGGCCGGGGAGGATCTAGACGCACTCTTGACTTGCTCGAAGCGTTCGCGGTGCAGCCTGCTGATTTGAATATGCTTCTCCTTCAGGGTAGTCAGGCATCGTGTAAGAGGAAAAGTGATCTTGAGGGTGTCGTTGTCGGACCGATGGTTGCGCTGTGACTTGGTGTCGTCCAGTGACTGTTCCATCTGACGAATGGCGGTGATGATGCGGTTTGCCTCGTCGAGCAGGTCCTTCTTCTCTTCGGCGACATGCTTGACTTGGTTGTTTAAGGTCTCGGACAGAGCTGAGAACAGCTGACGGCACGATAGGGGTTAGTACGCAATGCACATATAAGCAGAATGACTTGCAGTAGACTGCATATCATATCCACGCGGGGGTTGGGCAGCAGGACATATCACATACCTCTGCCTCCCGGGTTTCGCGATCATGGTTGGGCACACCAATCTCGTCAAAGAGCCCATGCAGCTGGCCAATAATGGTGTTGACCTGCTTGGAAAGGTAACTGGCGTCCATTTCGAGTGCCGTTTGCGCGTGCAGGTGCAAATGCAGGTGCAGCTGGCGATGCGCACTAGGATGGTCAATATAAGTGATCGCCTGTTGCGCTGCGGGGCGGCCGGTAGATAAAGTGGATGTCTATGTCGACGTAGATGTAGATGGGCGTCCAAGGAGTGCCAAACTTCTACTTCAAATGCTTTGGGGTTCGTTCTCGTGCAGTCATCAGATCATTGCGTGGGGAAAGTGTCGGTTGATGGGAGTGGCAGTTGTTCAATGGCGCGGTGCAAGTCGTGGTGTTTGCCGTGTCTACGGGCGATCAGGGGGAGGGAAGCAAATGCCAGGGCTAACGTTCGGAGATGTCAGGAGGATATTGATGATGGGCTTTGTTGATGCATCTCCAAGCTGAAGCGAGCGGCCCTAAAACAAATCAACTTTCCCAATGCAGACGGGGTGATTGCGACCAAAATGTGAAAAGAATGTGAGGCTATTCCGGTGGAAACAGATGGGTTGTGCAAGACTCGGTCGATGGAGGGGAAGACGAGCGAGCTTATGGTAGATCAACAATCTGATCCTATGCTGCATTCTGAGCATTTCGGCGTATTATTTTTCTTCGCCTCAGCCCTTCCGCCTCTCCAGGACGAGCGTGGATTGTCGCACAACCCAAGGAGAGACATCACCATGGCAACGCGGTCGATTAGTGGGGTTTCCGGCTTATTTTAGAGCAAGCATCAGCTTGCATCAGCAGGGACTACTGTGGTGACTTGCATCGTTTCACTGCTACAGTAGCTTGTGCCCCTGCTTGGGTCCAGTTACCCCGCTGTTCCCACCAAGATAATCTGGGCAGATAGCGCCATCCGTCCCAACTTCTCGTCGCAAACCCGCCCAATCACGTACTCCCTTGCTTCCCAAACTGGTCTCATTTTGTTTCCCGCTGGAGAACTTGTCCTGCCAACTCCATAATTATACGGAGAACTGGATGCCTTGGACAGGATCCAGTCGTGATGCTTTACGGCGGGGACTTGGAGATCCAGCTCCGATCTGAAAGTAGGTTTGCCATGGCATTTCAGAAGAGGCGCATGGAAAAGCAACTAGGTTACCTGTGTTTACCAGCTCTAAACCTACCGGGAGGTGAGGAGTACTATGTATTTCGTACAAGGGTCTGCCACCAGGCCATCAAAACAACAGATCTGGTTGTTTTGATCATGGGATGTCATCCTTGCGTAAAAACCACCTGGTGTACATAGTACAGAATGATGAGCACTACCGGTGTGTACTCCGTACCGCTGCCATCAACTCGTTTTCACCACCGTTTCCTCTCCCCCAAGTCGGGAATGCCTCGTTATGGCAGAATATACAAAACCTGTGGCGCACTTGGCAGTCTTTCTGGATTATCGGCAAGCGGCGTGCGCCCGAATCGAACGCTGACGGTACCATACACTGCACTGAAATTGATAGAGATAAGACAGCCGTGATAACAAGGCATCTTATAGCAAGGTAAGTGGTAAAGGAGGAATACGCACAGAAAAATTCAGCTGCGATCGGCTGCCCAGGCCCGGCTGGTCATGCAGTTCAAACCTTAAAAGCGGCACGAGAAGAACGCACCAGCACCTGTCCTCTCCACGGGGGTTCGTTCGCATGGCGGCGCCTTCTCGAGATCACGCTTCGGTTGTCTTTTATACGATTCCTATGCCCCTGTTGTGATAATGCCCTCGACCATGCCTACGGTGCGCATCTGTGGCGAAGGAACTTTGCTCTTGTTTCGACTTGTGGTCGCTAAGAGAAATACCCTGAGCAAATCCATCTAGATGGACAGAAGGATGGGCAGCATCCTGCTGATACCGGTGAGGTCAGCGACCATAAGAAGAGCTTACTCGAACGCAGCCGGATTGATGTTTTGAATGAGTTACCTGAGTCGGTCCATCGGCAACATCACCGTGGGTGCGTGCACCGAGTGCATTAAGATCATGCTTAAAAGCTGTCTTGAAGGTAGCAATACTCTTGATTCGCCATTCATTGCCGGGCCAGCATGACTGAAAATACGGGAATGACATGGAAGATGACGAATCTATATCCCGTACAAAGACACATTGGTGATCGTCTAGCCCATTTTTGCATGAGAAACAAGTTCTTAATGCTCACACACTGTTGAATTCCCGCCGCCAGTAATTACACACGTTTCAAGGATTCCGCGTATTTGATGGGGCGCAACGTCCTTTCGGCGCCATCAGTTCTAATCTGAGCGGCTTACTCTACAAGTCGTGTGATTTCCAAGCGTCTCGTCGATAAGGCTCGGCTCGGCAAGGCCCTATTTGATCATTTTCGGGTCACAGTCCTAGCCGTCAAATCGAACCTTATTCTGAGACTGATGGCATACCTTCTCGGAAAGGAGGCTTCTGACCTGCCTCGCTGTTTAAGAGACAAAGATACGCTGATACTCAGGACTATCATGCCAACGTTTGTTTCGTCACATTCCTTTACCACTCATTGCACACTAAGATGCATGCGCTTTTGACCACCACCGGCGCATGCGCTGTGCTCGCATCGTTTGTTTCTGGCCTGGCAATCGGGAGAAGTGATCAGACACCGAACACTCTGCCGAAAGGATGGTCATACCATGGCTGCTTAGTTCATATCGAGGAGGGACAGCGTAGTAAGGTGGCTCTCGTCAATGATGATGAAATGACCCAAGAAATCTGCGCCAGGTTCTGCGCAGCCAAAGATTATCAGGCTGCTGGTGTTTCCAACGGGACTGATTGTCATTGCTGGAGCAGTCCTAACTTGGGGTTCATCAAGATGGCTGATGAGGTTTGCACATTACCTTGCAACGGTGATCCAAGCCAGATGTGTGGAGGCAAGGAAGCATTTACTGTTATCAGCACTTTGGTATCGTCGCAGACTGAGCTTCGTTCCGAATCACTCAGGAAGAGAAGTAAATGTGGTGGAAACCCGCCAGTATCGCTGGAATCTACGGCCTTGTCAGGAGCGGAACCAGGCCCATCAGTCAGCACTTCTGCCGATATCCCTGGCTCATCTCATTCCACTGAAGCGTCCCATGAGCAGATTCCGACAAGACCTAGTGCCATCTCTCCTATATTCGTCACTGTCCAACCATGGACACCAACGGAGTCATCTGATGCGTCCCCGTCAGAGAACACTGCCCCGTTTGTTGACAACACGCCTCCTATCCCAAAAGACGCTCATAACACTAAAGCGTCGACTTCACCATCCAGAGTTGATTCTCCTCCCCATGAAAAACCATCAAGCGCATTCCCAGCACCCGAGGCTGGTGCACCCTTTTCAGCGGCTCATACCAGGACGTCGAGTTCAAGTTCGACATTACGAGCTGTGATCCCCGTTGCAGCCCAGACATCAAGCACAAATCTGGCGGCTCAGTTTGCAGATCCTGTGCCAACGGAAGCAACCACATCGTTCGAGCCTTTCGAGATTGTGGATCCTATTCCAACGGATTTTGCTAGCACAGAGAGCGCAACCGGACTTCGCGAACCTCCTATTGCAGCGGGCGCATTTGGCGCAGCGGCACCAGAATCGTCATCTAAAACACTGGCTCCTTTGTTGGGGGATCCATTTAGCACGTCAGATATGGCAGCGTCGCCATTCGAGACTGACACACCCTTTCTAACGCAGAATTCTGCTGATCCAGACGCTTTCCCAGTGATTGAAACAACCGCTTCAAGTTCTTCGGCAACGGTTCTGCCCATAGCAGCGACAGCTGAGGCCGCAGCTCCCACGTTGACCGACCTACCTTCTACAGTTGCCTCATCCCCGACGGCAGCCGCTACCGGCCCCTGCGCCTCAATGGGCGGGACGTTCATCCTGCAGAACGCCGCGGCCGAAGGCCATTTCGCCCAACTACAGCCGGCGGTCGGGTCGGGGTTCACGGTGCCCTTCAACGCGACGCAGGCAGAAGCCCAGGAATTCCAGATCCAGCCGGACTGCTCCTTCACGACGGCCGACGGCAGCCTCAGGGCCATGATCGGCGGCACCCCCGCTCTGCAGCTGTACGACCAGTACTTCTTCCCCAGCACCGCGGCGGCCAACGCCGCGCTGCCCGGCGCCTGGGAGACGGACTACTGCACCATGAATGACGACGATACGCTCCACTGCTCGGCAATGATGCAGTCTACTTTGCAGATACCCTCTGCGACGGAGTTTCAGTGGCAGATCGGAGTCCAGAACGAGGGAGTCGCGTTGACTATCAACCTGATAGCGGTTAATCCTATCGCAATTTAGTGACAGCCGGACTGGTGAAATACCATGAATGCATCTCTCTAGGGGCACCATTTTGGATGTGCAATTCTTGTCATGTATGAGTAACTTCGATAAAAATTCGGCGAAGATGGAAAGGACAATCCGCCTAGTCATGATTTGATATCCGAAGAGCCGGTAGGCTTGGAGCGTGGTGGTGGTACATAGGCTCTTCAAACCGTCATACTAATTTCAATTATTTCTTTTGTGAAGATAGAAGACGATCGTATGCTGAATGTGACTCCACAACTGGTGCAAACAGAGTGTCTTAGTGAATTCGATCTATCAGCTCATTTATGCATCGAGACATTACAATATTATTATTGTACGAGCTACGCACGCTGATGAGCTAAGTAGTACAAGTAGGCATTCCAGATTGGAAGATTTCCGACGTCTGCACGAACTGGGGCAAGTAATCCCGAGTGCTATAGGTGGAGTTGATATAGTAGTCAACATCGCTGTCGCTGTAGTCCGGGCCCAATATTTCCAAGACGTCGCTTTGGATGCTAGAGAATCACGGGTCAGCACTTGGGTCGTCCATATAATCATTTTCAGGTTGCAACAAGAAACTCACTAGTCAAGGAAGATCAAGTCGGCGTTGCCCGTGCATCCCTCGGCACCAAAACCACCTTCGCCCTGGAAGAAATCGGGTACATCGAAGTGAGGGATCGAACTGTGCGCGGTATCATCACCATCTTCGCCAAAATCGTCGGTTGTGGTGTAGCCAGGGACCAAATCCACAACCTGGCGGCGCGTGATGGCGTTGTGGAAATGAGCATGGTCAAACAAGTCTCTGGATGTCAGGGGAGCCGTGATCGGGTCGACGCAGATATCGCGCTCGACAGGCATGTACCCGAAGCTGCGCTTCTCACTGGCGCCGGCGTGGTTGAGGCCGCCGAGCACGGTGCTGGCCAGGCTGCATGGCACCTCGGGCACATACATGAAAATATCGGTGAACGGCGACACAATGAAGAAGTCATCGTACGTAAACGGGCCCTTGTACAGGTCGAAACGGATGCTGCCCGTGTTGGCGATGATGTAGCGAGGGATGTCTTGGCGAGTCTCGTTCACGACCGCACCGGCGAGGGCCTCTGAGAGAAGACTGTAGATACTATCCGTGCTGTTAAACTCGGCACAGGTCATACAGTAGCTTTGTGGCGTGCAGCCAGAAACCTCATCCAGGTTGAGCGAGTTGCGGTAGGCGGTAATTGCCGAAGTGGTATTCAAGCCGAGTGCTGTATCAAAGGAATCCGACGCATGGAAATCAAATGTGGCACGGTTCCAGTCAAGGTATCTGCGCGAGTACGTGTATGGCGAGGTAGAGTTGGTCGTTGCCTTTCTCGAAGGGTTGGAGACGCCTGAGGGATTCTTGGCGCCCTGCCATCCACTGCTACACTTGGAGAAGCCGCTCATGCTGACCCAGCCGAGTGTCTCACAGTACCGCCCAGACTCGATGGATGTGCTGCTCTCATCGAGGACCGCGAAATCGCGAATATGGCTGTGGCCACCAAAGAACTGAATAGGCGTCTTGGCGTGGACGTTACGGATGGCATCGTGCACAACACCGAAGGTGCTGCCGGTGTCATTGCCAACTCGTGCAGGGTTGTGACCGAGGACCAGGAAGAGGTCCACGGGCTCAGTGAAGTTGACCGCATCCAAAAACCACTGTTCGGCAACAAGTTCCTTTGCTTTTATGACCTTGGAAATATTCACATTGGTAGTGAAATCGAAGAGGACACCAAACGCCATTATGCGCACACCATTCGGGGTGGTAAAGTATTTGTACTGTTGACCAATGTATTCCCACTCATTGGTCGCATTGTTGAGAATTTGGACGTTGGAGGTAAGGTACTTGTCACCCCAAAACTTTGAAAGCTCATTGAAAGTCTGATATGCGACTTCGGCAAGGTATAGCTCATGGTTACCTATTATAGCTTCTATTAGCCATCAGAGGACGATTAGGCGCTCAGTTCGCTTACCGATCGTCAAGAGGTCGTAATCAATTTTCTCGAAGATAGTGTTTGATATCTCTCCGTCGGGAGTGGTGGCGTCGCTTAGACCAGCACCGTCATGAAGATCGCCTTGAAGTTGTCAGTTGTGTCAAGGCTCCCGCGTTTTTGGGGACGTACCAGTGTCCACGAGTAGCAGGTCCACACCCAATTCACTCGCCTTCTGCTTCATATAGGTTGAGAAAGACACAAAGTCCTGCACACAGAGTTAGTAAAAGTCCGAAGTTCGGCGAAGTGGACTTCGCATACTCCCCAGTCGGCTCCATAGTTGCCTTCTTTGAGATGGCCTTCTAGCCAACCGTGCGTATCGGTCTATGGGGAAGTGTTAGATCATGACCTCACTATCACACCCCGAACTCGCCTGCAATTAACCTACGGTGTGTAAGAAGTTCAATTGACCCCATTCGAGCTCGCGCGTCGGTCCATACGAGGCATTGGCGACACCAGGCTGCATACGCTTGACATGTCGAACATGTTCAACATGGTTTGTTGGCCCGTAGCAGCTACCACACGCGAGAACACTCGGAATGATGCCGGCCGCGACGACTAGGCTGTTGGTGGTCTTCATCTTGGTACGATGCAATCAGCAAATCAAGCATTAGTAGCGTTACAACCAAGGACACCCAAGATAAAGCCAAGAAGGACCCGGAAGCTTGGGATGCGGGTGAGGCTTGGTATTTGAATAGAAACTGATGAGCGCATACTTACAACCCACTAGCTTTAGTATTTATGGTTACACTGCATCGCCTATCTCCTATCCCGAGACCATGGTTGGGCGCCCTCCGCCGCATGTGTTTGACAAGGGAAAGTTCCTGGACTCCATAACCTGCACATATTGGACGCAAATCTCATGCGGCGTCACTGACAAGTGCCCAGAGTGGAGGAGGACTTCCGCGAACCGTCGGTCGTTAATCATCACAGCCAAGATGCTTGCCAATCAAAGGTGCCTGGCTTCGCTCGTGGTTGTGCATAATCGCCATCTACAGAGGGACAGCAATTTCCGGTGACCGCCTGGGGGTTTCTGCAAACCCCATGCTTTGAGGATATGCTACAGGGCTCCAAGTGCTGTTTATCAGTGAAATGAGCACGTGCGCTTCTATAGAGCCCGCGGGACCTGCCTATCTTAGCAGGGCCTTGAACTAGCGTGCATAAGGTCGTTGTACTATGCAGAGATCCCTGCCGAACTGCCGGCTATCTGCCAGGTACCGTAATGGACACAGCTTGCCACTCGACATGCATGCTGCTATCACGAAAATGAGAATCGATAACATATTGTGTAGACAAAGGTGCAAGTATCGAACGTTCGGCTTCTGAGGCTGTGGGATGCGTTCATTGGCTTTCTAACGAGCGAATGTTATTTACTTGGCAAGATTTGTCTATATAAGGTGCCGACCAAATTGGCACATTTGTGAAGTATCGATGTAGTGTTGAACTTGCGACCCTCATCCATCGACTTGGTCGCAAAACTTATCCTCTTGTACATCTCTTTCCAAACCTTTTTGTCAACTATAATGACTTGCTTGTCTGTGGCTACGCCACGACGGCATACTATGGAGCTGGTGTGAGTCGCGCACAAACGTTCATGGAGGTTACGATTAACTTCCTGGCACGATATGGAAAAGCCTGGGAACGACTTTATCTGTTACGTGCTTTTAGCTAAAAGCCAGTGTTATAATATGACATAAGGCGCGCTTGCTGTCAAAGTGGTAAATATTCAAATTAATACAAGTTTCATGGAGTTTAGTGCCGATAGCTTGCTTGCTCTAACCTTGGTGAGTAAATAAAAATATACGTCTCTACCAATATTCTTAAAAGAAAGAATGTAACGATGCAACCAGAAGGTCTCACTCGTTGTCCACAACAGCTAAATGTAAACTTACCGCGGTTTGAGGTTCTGGTATCTGCACAGCACGAGCTAGCAAAGAAGTATTGTTGCTACATAAGGATTGCATGTTTCGCAACTCTGATTCCACCGTTATAGTCGTCGTGTAACGTCTGAATATTCATGATCCCGTGAACATGTGCATCGCCTACCATGTCACAGCAACCATTGTGGATTTACTACGTATCCGTTTCCATGAAGCATGCGGCACTCGGGCGAGCTCCAATGTCAGTTGGATCAAATAAATCAGACCTCATTATAACCTCGACATTGGCATTTTGACACATGAACCTGCCAGAGCCGGAAGATTGAAGCACGAAAGGAACATGACTTCCGTTCAATACACGAACCTAACCACCTCGCCTCATGCTCCTGGGCCGACTCCAAAATAGCCGTCGTTAGTAATGAAGAAGCTCCTCTCCCCCGATGCTCACTCCATCCAATACTGAAACATGCTCTTATTCTCCTATTATGGATTTACCTCGCTGAACTGCTTGCAAGAACCGCCAGTGATGGTGATGTGCCAGTTGTGACACATACCCACAAAACGGCATGATCAGAAATGGTTCCTTCGTCACTAGTGGCGCGTATGAACCTAGTCGTGCCTTTGTCATGTCTAGAAGTTTGATCGACTTGAGATTGTCATAAGGGGTGCGCCATGAGGTATCTCTAGTCAAGCTCCCATCTACATAGGTGCTTGAAAGGACTCGTAAGGGCTTGCCCCCAAGCAGAAATTCTTGATGTGGGCTTGCCAGGAGAGTTAGTTGGCAGGATATCTGCGACTTGCATTAACCTTTTGACAAAGTAACCTTTCGTCGCGAAGAAAGACGTACCGTGAAACCCGACGACTTCATATCGCCCACTAGCGTTGTCTAAGTTAGTTCAACGTTCTCTAGCTTGTGCATACTCATTGGTCTCAGGGGCAAGCTTTCAGTCGATGACCGACGGTGGCAGCGCACCTTGTGTGCTGTCGCTCGAAAGGTCCCATCAAGAACGGATAAACTTTCCGTACCAGCAAGCAAAGTCTTGATTGTTTCAATGAACACCTCCATAGACTTGACTCTACAGTTCGGCGCGATTGCAAATCTTCTCCCTCTTCCCCGGACTGGGACCAAACCCAAAAGTCGAACGACTTGATATCTGGGGTCGGTAGTATCTATGCGCTCCGAGAATTCGGGTTTCGGTAACTTAGCGCGTTTCGCGACCAACGCTTTCTTGACCGTGTTTGATATGTTAGTGCAACCGAACCCTACAAACTACATCGTGCCTATGTTTGGCGGACAAAGCTCATGACAAAGTTTACATAGAAACTGTGTCACGAAGTGTACCATGGCGAGTTATAGCAGGCAAGTGCGGAATGCATTTTCTCGTTATTCGGTAGTCTATCCGCGCTAACTTAGACGAGAGACTAATCTAGTCTAGCCGAAGCGGGCTGATAAGCGGCCACGACGGTCACTTTCACTTCCCGTTACACGTGATCCGAGGTTGTGTATTATCTGACAATGAACGCCACAGTTGCCTGTCAATTCTGAATGATCTGGCCTTCTCTCGAGTTCGAAGCTTGTGAGCAAAGTCTACGTGATTTAATATTGTAGTGCGGTATGGCTCCAGAACAGCGCTTTTTGGGGTATCCGAAAGCCCGTGAAGGGCCCAAGACCCCTTATGCAGGAACGGAAGAAAAGGTTCCTGTCCTGAGAGGCTGGCTGCTTGTCGCTTTCGCAAATGTGTAAGGAAAAGTCCGATATATCAATAATAACGATGATCCGAAACTAATGGCCATATCAGCATTACTCGTTCCTCGTTACTCGCTAGATCGACTTGGAACAACGCGAATTTCGGTGCTGCCAAGGACATTCCGGGGCTCGATGAGTACGACTGGCGACTACAGGTCAGTAGAGCACTTTACGCTCTATTTGGTGCTCTTTGGCATTATGATTAATGGAATTGCAGCCAATCGTAACGCCTCTAGGTTCCGGGGGTCTTAGTAAACCAGAGATCACGTCAGAGCTGTTGTTAAGGCAGCCGGAAGACCGAAATGGCCGATTCTATTCTGCAGCAGACTATCACGAGCTTTACAAGTCGGGAAGGTTGACACCAGTTCAGGTAGTAGAGGCGCTTCTCCCTCTGATTGCTCGTGGCCAGACTCCACCCGCCAAGTATGAGCTATCATGGGCTGTCACGCACGAGGAGATTGCGCTGAAAGCCGCAAAAGCTTCGACTGAGCGATATGCCAGAGGGGAGCCACTTAGTGTTCTAGACGGCGTCCCATTCGGCGTCAAAGATGATCTCGATGTGGAAGGCTACATCTCTCACAAAGGCCTTGCGCCCACAGACAACCATCCATATTTTAAGCCTGCGAAAGATACCATCTGGCCAGTTAAGCAGCTTGAAGCTGCTGGAGCCGTCATGATCAGTACTCTTGCTATGCACGAGCTCGGTTCTGATGTCAATGGCTGCAATCCCCGATGGGGCACACCGGTCAACTGGAACAACACATCCTATTACCCAGGTGCCTCATCCTCAGGAGCAGGATCTGCCCTATCTGCTGGCCTTGTGCCGATAGCGGTCGGGACGGATGCAGGAGGCAGTATCCGTATCCCATCTGCCTTCTGCGGACAGTACGGTCTCAAACCCACACTTCACCGCGTATACACAATGAAGTCGTCGATCTGCGTTATTGGGCCCATGGCCTCCAATGTATCGGATCTTACCATTGCCTACAGGCTAATGTCGGCATCCAACCCAGATGACCTTACCCAGTCTGCATTTGCCCCGTCTATTCCACCCACCCCGACAGCCAAGAAATACATCGGTGTGCACAATGAATGGTTTGACAAAGCTGCCCCTGCTGTGCTGGACGCCACCAAGAAGGCCATCTCCTACCTTACCCACAAACTTGGATATGAACTCGTCGATATCAGCATCCCCTACCTGCAAGAAAGCCAGGCAGCCCATAGTTCTTGGGCGCTGGTCGAGGCGGTGGACCACCAACGGACGCGCTGCCCGAAGTGGCACAACTCGGATCCATTGTCCATGGTCAATCATCCGAACAAGTGTGTGCAGACAATGGGTGCTCTCACATCTGGCGTCGATATGGTCAAGTCCGGACAGCTCCGCCAGCTCCTCATGGAGCACCTCGCCTTCTTGTTCCAAAAGTACCCTGGACTGTTGATCCTCACGCCCACGGTGCCTGACGCGGGCTGGAAGATCCATCCCGGCGACCAGGCGTACGGCTTCGTGGACGGCCCCATGACCTTCAGGACCATGATGTACATTTGGCTTGCCAACTCGACAGGTTGTCCAGCCATCTCCGCGCCGGTCGGGTATGCCCAACCTGAGCACGGTGAGGGCAGATTGCCGGTCGGTCTGATGGCTACCGGAGAATGGGGCGCCGAGGAGCAGCTGCTGTCCTTCGCCAGAGATGCCGAGACTTACTTGAACGAGGTCTACGAGGGTGGCCGGAGCAGACCCAAGGACTGGGCGGACGTTATTGGGTTGGCTAGCGACTTCAAATGATCGCTGCCCTCCCTCATCTGCAGTAGTACGCCACACAACTACCATGTATCATAATTATCTCTAATCGTAACTGTTATCTTGACTATTCATGAAACTAGACGTCACGGGTGAGATGTCCGCTCGCATCTGAGTACCAATCAACATGAGGGATCCCCAGTGCCAGCATACAAAAGCTGCGACTCATCACAGCCCCTCACATGTCCCAGTATTGCAACCACAGATCCCTAGTTTCCAGCCATTATCCACCCCTCTTTCAAGCATCAACGCAGCTCGCCCCGCTCGTGGAGTCCTGACACTTCCGCTGCGATCTGTAATCACAATCGCCGCCCTTGACGAGTTTGTTGTCGTGGCACCTGCCGTAGACGAGGCCGTTCCTAGGGGAGGTTGTTGCCGTTAGCAGGTCTTCGCTAATTACTCTGTACCGGCCGAACCAAGCACAGGGGGCACCCTCGGACGCCCTACCAGCACCAGTCCAAATCCTGCGTCATGCCAACACAATACGTGGCGCGCACGTCGGCGACCAAGGCCGCGAGGCCGAGGATAAGCGGAAGTGGGAGCGGCCGCATGGTTTCAGGATGCGCTGCCTGTGTTTGTGAGGCACTTTGATCTTCTTTGGTGGGCGGTGTAGTTTCCAACGACTGAACTGATGCGGTCCACGCAGCAAGCAGCATCTACTTTCTGGCGTACGGTTGCAGGGCGGGAGGTGGAATCGCTGGGTTTGGAAAAGTCGTTCAAGATGGCGGTGCCTTGTCAGCATCGCGATGACTTGCCACCGCTCCGCCGCTGGCACCCCCTCCATTGGCTTCGTCGGGCCGCTCGTGTCACGTCACGGGAAGCTTCATGCAGGTTGGGGGAATCGAATGTAACGCTCAGTATGCATAGTGGTCATGGCGCTTCGGGTATCCGAACTTGACGCAATATAATTATATTCTACTTGGTCATTGATGAGCAGAACCCACGGGCACAAATCATTGTGGTCAATTTCCGTGGAAATTGCTATTGTGAGGACCAGGTGAGATAAATACATTCTTTGTACAAATTTTGGCCACGTCATGAACCAGGTCTATTCAAAACGAAGTGCTTTTTCCATTGCGCCTAGAAATACAAAGGCTACCTGGGCAGGTATGGATCTAGGACAATAAACGGATACGCATCTGGCTGGAAGATGGATGTTGTCTGTTTCATTCTTCATCGTCATCATCAGCGGCAATATCAGCCATGCTGGTGTCTGCACCTTTTGCAGGCGCATCGTCATTATCAGACTTGTCCGCTGCTGGTGCCGCATCACCGTCGTCTTCATCCTCGTCCTCATCGCTGTCGACAACTCTGCCTCTCCGGGCCCGACGCCGTGTCGTGCCAGCGGCCTCATCATCGTCGTCATCACCGCCAGCACCGTTATCAAGTTCCATACGGTCTTCCTCGTCACTATCAGCTCGCCTGTTGTCCGCTTCAGATCGGTCCGAAACAGCACTGATAGCCCGCTCAGCCCGGTCGAGCTCGTCGCCGCTCTCATCGCTATCGACGATGATCTCCGCCGACTTATACTTGCTGCTTGGCTTGGTTTCCTTCTTGGTGAGGCGTCTCTTCTTCTTTGGTTGGTCATCGCCATCTGTGCCGGACTCGTCGTCTTCGGCCTTCTTCTTGCGAGACCGGCTCTTCCTTGGCTGGCCCTCGCCACGCTCACCACGAGGGGCTTTGGCTTTCTTTTTACGCTTGATCTTCTCTCCAGTCTCACTGTCCGTTGTCATCTCTGCTTCCTGACGAGACTTTTCGTCGTCGATGCGCTGCTTGATCAACTCCAAGTCACGAGCTGCAATCTCTTCACGTTCCTTTCGAAGTTTCTCTTGGCGCGCGCGTTCTGCAGCCAGGGCCTTCTCACGTTCCGCTTCACGGCGCTTCAACTCGACTTGTCGTTGCTCCATCGCGGCAGCTAGCTTTTCTTTGTTTTTCTCCTCATACTCCTTCTGTTTCTCGATTTCTCGCGAAAGCTGATTTCGTTGAGTTTTGGCAAGACTTGCTCGCTGCTCTAGATCAGACTTGGGATAAGGAGGCTGTGGATGTGCCGCGATCTCCTCCAGGGCCTTGATGGCAGATTCGATTTCCTGGAATGCATCTTCAAGCTGTAATAACGTGCGTTGTGCTTCTAGAACCTTTGAAATGGCTTGCACCTGCTGGATCTGCACAAAGGCAACATTGAACTTGAAGTGAATCTGGTCGGGAGCAATATTGAAAGTCTAGCACGATAATGAGTAATTTCATCAGATACGAAGCCCAGTGAACATACCTTTTTGGCATAGTCAAGTGCCGTCTGGTACGCGTCAATATCCTTCTCCTGGCGCGCTTTATTCAGCCAGGTGCGACCAAGACAGGCGAGGATACTCGTATCATTAGTCTTGCCTTCCTTTGATAATGCGGTTTCATAGCTCTCGACGGCCTTGGAATACTGGCGAAGCTCGGCATAGATGTGTCCAAGATTGACAAAGACATGAGAGTCTTTCACGGTGTCCCTAATCTTGAGAAATATTGGTAGGGCCGTTTTCATGTCTTTCTTGTCCTCGACCAAAGCGATAGCAATGCCTTGTGCAGCGTACGCGTTCTTCGGGTCGAGTTGCAGGGCCTTCTCAAAGAACTCCACAGCTCGGCTATACATGCTAGACCGCTTTTGTTTATCCGACTCTGAGTCCCGACGCATCTCACGAGCGGCCAACATGTACAAGTTGCCCATACCAACTAGTGCGTAGCGATCGTGCTTGTCGTACTGCTGTAATGTGTGCTTGTAGTGGCGCAACTCGGGGTCCTCGTTGATGTTGGCAGGCCGCTTTCGTGATTGGACTTTGCCCAGATACCAACCATAGAGAGCTCTAACCTCTAGGTCGGACGGGTTGTCCTGGTAGAGTTTGGCAACTGCGTCTGGGCCTTCCTTGTTAGGATTCCGGCGTAGCTTGATGTAGGCCAATCGAGCCTGAGCATCAGTGTAATCATTGTGGCGTGATACCAGACGGTCATAGACCTCGATCGCCTTGTCAGTTTGCCCTTGCGCTTCGTAGCTCCGGCCCAAGTTGAAGCTGATAGTCGTTACCAACGCGTCAGTGTCCATATCATCGCCCTTCTCGCTGATGCGCATACAGGCGCCAAGCGCAGCTTCAAACATCTCGCTCGCCGGGTCATGCCTTTCAGCTTGTGCAAAGAAGCATCCGATGTTGTTCAAGAGCTGAGGTGGAAGGTTCTTGCGTAGAGCATTCTTGTACGCTGCCGGGTCTTGGATGTCGGTAGGGCGCTCCGAGTCCGGTATCTGATCAACTTCTAGTTGTTCCACCTGTTGTAAGCACTCTAGTGCCTTGGCAGGTTGGTCGCTCTCGTAAAGGCGAGCGAGGTTCAGTAGGACCGAGGAGTCTGGTGACTGGTTCCGCTTCGGATCTTTCCAAGCACCACGGACATTCTCCAGGTACTGAATTGCCTTGTTCATTTCCGTGGTTTTATCCTCCTTGACGGCCGCGAATTGGTTTGCAAAGACTTCCTCGGCATACAATGTTCCCATAAGTACCATGGCTTCGTAGTTCTTGGACTGCTGAATCATCTTCTCCAGTCGTAATTTGGCCTCCCCGAGATCATTGTTCAGAACCGAGAGTTGGGCAACACCGAACTTGGCTGGTAGATAACCCCGCTCGAGCCCACCCCGGGCCTCGTCGGCACGGCGATAGTAGTCGGTTGCTTTCTCGATGTTGTTCTCCATGTGTTCCTTGCGGGCCAACAGATACCAGCTGTCGCTGGCAATGTTGTTGACGTCAGTGTACTGGAGGGCCTTGTTTGACAGGGACTCGACATTCGACAGTTGTTTCCTAGAAAGGAAATATCCAGCAAACGTAGCGCAAGTCAGCGGCTGGTTCTTGTCCATCTTGAAAGACTTTTGAGTGAATTCGGTCATGGCCTTCTTATACAGCTTGATGAACTCTGGGCTGTTTGTGGGTACCCTTGCGCTTGCGTCGAGGTAGTAAAGACCCAGCAGGATATTGGCAACCTTTGAGTTCGGATTGATCTCCAGACTGCGCTCCCAGGCCTGCTTGGCATCGTCCTTGAAGCCCAATTGCCAGAAACAGCAGCCGATGCCAATGCGAGGATCGGGGTCAACCATGTCGGGCATTTTCCTCAAGACATCCTGGTACAGAGCGCAGGCCTCGGCATATTTGGCCAGAGAAAACAAGGCTCTGGCCTTGCCCATCAGGGCGAGCACATTCTTGCCGTGCGAGACTCGGATGGCATCCTCGAAGCACTTGAGCGCATTGCGCAGAAGGTCTGCCTTTTCCGGGTCGATGGCGTTGGGGCCGGCGGTCTTGGATGGTGAAACCAGCGAGGCTCTGAGAAGGTAGATTACGCCCCTCGCGAGGAACAAGGGAGGGAAGGCAGGGTTGATGCGCAGGGCCTCGTTGAGCGATTGTGTAGCCTGGTTTAGGTAGTACTCTTTCGTCTTGGCTTCAGAGCCCATGGACGCCTCGGGGGCAACACGTGGGGCCTCCCTGCTCTTCCAGAGATACATCCAGCAGAGGGCGCTGACCAAGCTCAGCTTCTCCTTGGGGTTGTTGCTTTGCAAGGCGTTGCCTCCTCTTACGAGCATCTCGATGGCATTGTCGACGTTGTTGTGCTTCGCGTAGGCAATGGCAACCGTCATCCAGTAGGTTCGTGCGGCGCTCTCGTTCTCGAGCATTTCGCAGAGCTCAGTAGGATCCTCGTTAAGGGCTTCGAGACTGATTTCGATGGCTTCGTCTTCTTGTCCGCCCTGGAACGGGACGTCGACGTTGGCTGGGATGTCCGAGAAACGCTTGCTGAGAGGCACACCATTGAGGTGGCCATTTCGTACGGTGGCCATGATGAGATGGGCGCCCCGTGGTCGAGGGACGAATGCCGGACAGGTACGGGATGGGAGGATTGTTCGCTATCGTAGTCGTGAGGCGCGTTGTGGTTTGGCGTGGGAAGGAACGTGGGTGGTTCTTTATCTAGAAATGACCGGTCATCTCCAACGTGGCTGCTGCAAACGAGCTCAATGGCAGTGATCAGAGCTGGCGGGACTTGTGCTGCAATGTGTCGCGATGCGGCGATGCGGCGATGGGCAGACTTGTTTAACGCGCGCAAGGCTTTGGGTTAGAATTCCAGTCTAGCTCAGAAATACGATGAGGCTGATGAGCTCTCTCGGTCTCGGAATGCTGGCCAGAAATTAGCAACCCCTGCAAGCCAGTCGAGCTCCAAACCTGTACGAATGCAGACCGTGCAGACCTCCAGAAGGACCCCGGCGGCCGTCTGCATCCCCGCTAGCCGGATATACTTTAGCGTCTCTTCTGCCATGTTCGGTGTTTACTTTTACTGTTCTTGTAGACTAACCTTGGCTACACAGCTAGAGGCAGAGCTTCGTTAACGTCAAGACGTGTGGACAACTGCATGCATCATTCGTTTTCTGATCTGTAGGCTCCAGAACCCAGGATCTGACATGTCGCTGGTGTATGGAATCCGTCTTCATCCGTACTATTCGAGGGTAGTCAGTCCAAGCTCGTTCTATGCTGCTATGGGAAGATTCCCCCAGTGGATGATCAACTCCCCTCCGGTTAGTGAATAATCCGTACGCGTCGTAATACATGTCCCACCACGTAATCTAGTTCAGTAGCCACGGTTTCGGTTTCGCCCTCACAACCCGGAATGTGATGGGGTTCACAACGCTCTCTCTGTTTCCTCGAAGCAGACTCGAGTTCTCACCGGGCCGGACGATGCGGGATTGCCTATTTCTGTATGCCTTCGCCTGTACTGCTGGTGACTACATTACATCAACCAATGGTTGGTCGGGATCCGTTCTTAAAAGCTTGTTCCGACTCTCTGCACTCGACTTACGACGACTGCCGCGAGTATGTGTCTATGATAGCGCAATGCAGCATGGTCAGATCCTAGTAAACTATGGGTCCATCGTGGCGCCTCTCGGGCTGAGACTTGTCTTAGAAGACCACCACTAAGGGAGACTCATTCTACTATCTTACTCTAGAGCAAATGCTAACGGCATCCCTTCATTTGCCAATTTCTTAAATGTCTCTCTGTTTCGCAACTCTTCCCCATTGTTTGAGGGAGATAGGTACTCACGTCTTCTCATTGACCTGAGGCCTCGCCAGCGCAGTTGTTCGAATCCGCTTCTCTTCATGACATTTTCGGGAGGCCTATCTTCTATATGATCACACGAGGCGCATACCAGTCCACGGGACTGGCGCTGCTGCTACTGGCCGCAATATGGCTGTACACTACGATCGACTTTGGTTTTGGAAGGGTGCGTTGAAGACCTACACCTTTACGAGTAGCCATCTAATGGGCCACTAGACGGGTGATGCGTTGGAGAGTGATGCCAGGATCGGCAGCGATACACAAGCTCCAGTAGTAGTCACTCAAGTTGTTGACGTTGTACCTGTGACCACTCCAGAGCCCAGCAAGGTGGACAAGCATCATCAAGGAGCAAAGCCCACACAGCCCAGCGGGTCAGGGAGCCTGAACAAGCCAGCCGGTTCCCAGCATCCAGAAGCCTCCATACAGGCTGATCGTCCACTAATAACATATGCCTATTCCGAATCCGCCAGCGCCCGCGACAACTTGAAGTACTTCATCTCTCAGGGCCTCCATGGTGCCGCCGATTTTATCTTCATTCTCAATGGCGAGACAGATGCTGCGACGCTCATCCCAGAGAAGAGTAACATCCAGATCATATCGCGGCCGAATCAATGTTTCGATTTAGGAGCCCATGGCGAAGTGCTACGCAAGGACAGCTTATGGAAGAAGTACAAACGCTTCATAGCACTCAATGCGAGTATTCGGGGGCCGTTTATACCATATTGGGCGAGGAGTTGTTGGAGCGATGTGTTCCTGGGGCGCGTGACCGATGAAGTCAAGGTGAGTGCCATTCCACAAAAGACGTGGGAGCAGTCTTCCTCCGAAAAACTGATGCCAAGATTCCGGATGTACAGCTCGTCGGAATGACCGCAAATTGCCTTCCTCAGTATCATGTCCAGTCCATGATCTGGGCCACAGATGCCGTGGGTTTGGAGCTCCTCCTCTACCCGCCTCCTGGATCCTCGACGCCCGACAAGTACGGCGGTGCTACCGACATGGTCGCGATGGAGGGCTGCTACAAGGACATGCACAAAGCAATCCACGGAGAGATTGGGGCAACGGGTCTGATCCAGAAAGCCGGTTATAAGGTCGATGCCATGATGGCGGCATTCCACAAGAGCAAGAACTATCAGGAAGATTGTGAGAAGGAACCCAGGGAAGATATCCTGTGGAATGGCCAGTATTTTGGGGGTAACGTACATCCGTACGAAACAGTTTTCATGAAGGCGAATCGCGATATAGATCCTACGATGGTGGGGCTGCTGACGGAGTGGCATTTGAATGGGACTTTTGAAGGAAGTTGGGATGTCTGTCGGTGATGTTTTATAGAAAGTGGTAAAGATAGGGATCAAGGGCAGCTCAATGGCAATCACTTTGACTCGATTTGTTACGGTGGCCAGAATGCATGGAATTTACTGATGTAATGTATTCGTGCTATACTAATTTAGCTGGAGGCACAAGGTCAGGGTATCTCAACAGAAAGCAATATCATAGTGGCTCCCCTTTGCCAAAATCCTCAAAGTCCAATACCATAGGCATACACTTGTTCATACAAGGACATGTCAGACTCGAGTTACAAAAATAATAAGCAAACCAGAAATGACTAATCTACTGAGGGCAAGCTTCGACGTGGGCTGCAAATGTGCTGTTCCCGAAGCGGATATGGAGGCGGTTATGGAGGCGGTAACCGACGTGCTTGCATTCAGAGATAGGGAAGCGTTTGCTGTTGCCGTGGCGGTAGCCAGAGAGATGATTTCGTCCGATGTTCCCGTGACAGGCAACGTCGGTACACCTGTAGCAATCATCAACGTCGTAACTGTCGATAGCGACCAGGTAGATGGTATGACCACACTTGTCCCTGAGACCACCAAAGATGCTTGCTTGGCGGATGTGGTTGGAATAATGGAGGTCTGGCTGCTTATTGTTGGCGTCCGGCTTGTGCTATTTGAGTTGAGCCAAGGTGCCAAAACACACTGGGTCATCAGATTATTGTCGATGTACTGGCCATTCTGCTTCGAAGGAGTAAGACTGAGAACATAAGAGGTAGAAAAACTGCCTGCAGCCCAAGCCACAAACCCGACAAATACGTCTGAGTTCTGGTTGATGAATGTGTTCTGGGAGCAAAAGTTCGTGAAACAGGAGGCGTCACTTGAGGCACCACTTTCGCTTATGAGGCCTTGCCTCCCATTCTGCCTCAAGAACTGTGCAAGTTCGGCGAAGGCGCCTACATTATCCGTCACACATTCCTCGTGCGTTCCTGAATTATCCTCATCCAAGTATTTGTGAATGTCGAGTATCAACCCATCTGTGCTTCCGTCTGGGTTTGTAATTGCCAGCAGAGAATCGGCCGAGCCGCTGGAAATGAGAGTAGCTGCACTGTCGAAATTGGTGCCTGGGAGAAGGATCATCTGCGTTGTTGCCCCAGCGTTTCTGATGGCGGTCACAACTTTTTGACAGGTCTGTGTCCATATGTTGATGTCAAGATCATGTGGCTCGTTCATGAGTTCGAAGACAACCTTTTCGCTCGAGACATATTTTGTCGCGAGTTGAGTCCAAAGCTTGACAAACTGGTCGTCCGATGGCCCGCCTTGGCCAATAATACCGCCATTCCAGCGTGCGAAGTTGTGTATATCGATCATGCAGTATGCACCAGTGTCCAAGCATGTCTGGATAAGCTGATCATACTTGGCTATGTTGTCGTCGTTCAAGCTTCCGTCTAACTGATTGTTGACCAAAAATTGCCACGATGTAGCTGCAGTGAATATTAGCGTATAATGTGTAATGGAATAGAGATAGCACCTACGAATCCTCATTAGATTCAGACCGTCACTAACAAAGTGTTTCATCTGATCGGAAGCATCGTTGGCAAACTGTACCGATGACGTTGGGCAAGTCCCATCGATCTGACACCCGAAATCTCCTCCAGCAATTGCGACGCCCAGGTATTGGACTTTTGCCAGCGCAGATGGTACCAGACCAAGGAGAAAGGATTTGGACAAATACATAATTCCAAAAAGGCTCTAGCAGGAGAATCGAAGAGAAGTGAGTGTGATAAGATACAAAACGAAACGAATGAACATGCTCTATTCAGAACATGGCGCCAGCCTTCTATGAACTGCACATGACACCAGGAGAAGTGCCAATTGCGGAGTGACCAAACAAACATGCAAGAACGCCTCACGATAATTGCAATGCCGAGGATTGGCTTTCGCGCCCAGAGTGCAACAAAAAAAAAAAGTCTCCGAGGAAGATACGCGTCGTAATCAGCCCACCAACATGTGCTGTTGTAGCACATCCAGATGAGCAATGACCACACCTCATTGGTGTTGAACACTGAGGATCAAACACCTGCAGTCTCAAGATAGCTCAGTGGATCCGGGTTGTTGGACCAAGTGGGATCAGCATAAGATGGGCTAGCCGGGTTGGGAACCAAGGTGTCTATTCATGACTACAATCTTGGAGACTCAACCGATTCGCATAGGCTTGGCTTGCAGCTGTCAAGGCAGAGATCAATATGAATGAGTCTAGGCATTGTAATTTGGGTAGGTGGAGATGTGAGAAATATATTCGACTTTGATCGACTCGTCGTCAGCTTGGAGAGTTATCCCACCACAGTATGTGCTACAGTGGGTAATACGGAGAAGCACTTGCTCTAGAAATCGTGGAGAGATGAACCGTGAGCACTCATTTATATTTCGGGTGAAGAGGCTTTGTTCCCTATCAAGTCAAATTTGGAAAATTTCCGTATGTAATGACAGACTACTTGCTCAAGAGTGAGATGTAATGGTCGCTTTACCCAGTGCGCACCGGCTCACATGGCCATTTAACGCCATGGTGGTCTGTATGAAAACCCCACTAATTGTGGCAGATTGAGGCGCATTCCCCAAATGCGTGACTTGGGTTATCTGGTTGCCCGCCAGATGCATCAATCGTTGCACTTCAACCTCAGGATGAGCTCGAAACTGCTAGGCACTCGGCAGTGATACCATACGCCAGCATGATGTTCCGTTTACACGTAGGCCGTCAGGCTCTTCCCCACCTTACGGTCCGATCGCCTCACATTGTCAGGCGTAGGCTCGGAGTACATCATTTCAGCACTCGCTATGAATCACAACAGCTACCACCCGTCCGGGTTCTCGGACCAGCCCTGTGGTGTATCACTGCTGTAGGTACCATCTACCTTGGGCTCGCAGCCTTGGAGGTCCGACGCGACGTTAAGAATTTCACCAAATATGCTTGGAAAAGTTCTCCAGCAACATATGACGACCTTGCCGCTGCCACTCCTAGAAAAAGAGTGGAACCCATACCTTCATATGGGTCGTTGCATGGCACGCCGATGGAAATATGGACTAGAACCCCCGAAACTGAGAGGTTTCTTTTTGGCAATATTGCCATAAACTCGGCCATTTTTATTGCTTCTTCACTTCCAAGGTCGGATCTACGATTCGACTATCTGAGTCACATGCCTATCGCGAATCGCAACTTCACCATGTTCACATCAATGTTCGGCCATGCCTCAGGCATGCATCTCCTCTTCAACATGTACTGTTTATACGTAAGTCTTTGATAAACCTTGACCATGGCTTTCCTTCGTATTGAGTGAGCAATATCCGAGTGTTCTCGGGCCATTGGTCAGGCCACGATGGGTTTGAGCATCGTGAACCTGCATTTGTCTCAGACGAAAAGCTGCGTACATCAGTTTGAGAGCCAGTCTAATCTTTGAATAGAATTTTGGCCCTGCTGTTGCTCGAGCGCCCGCTTTCCAAAACAGCGGCTATCATCTTGGGGCATTCTATCTTTCTTCTGGGGTGCTTTCGAGTTTGGTCACACAGATTGAGGCCAAGATACCGTCACGACGTTTTTATTCTGGTTTGGGAGCTAGCGGAGCAATCATGGCATTGATCGGCATTTTCGGCATGTCTTACCCTAGTGCGCAGATTGGGATAATTCTCCTGCCTGGTTCCATAGATGCGCAATCAGCTCTTGGATGGATCGCAGCTTTCGAGACCTACGGAATGATCTTTGGTATTCCTTTTCTCCGATGGGGACATTCGGTGCATCTGGCTGGGCTAGCGATTGGTGCGGCATATGCTCACTTCGATGGAAAGGGTCAAATATGGGATGGGTCAAGGAGACTGGCCTTCAACCAAATGCGACGGCTTAACGTGGTATAAAAACGTGGCGTGGTTTCGCCTCGGGCGCAAAATCATAACTAACTCTGTGTAAGATAAAGAGCAATGGTGGATCTCAAAGTCTAGGGGCAGTCTAGTCGTTTGATGATAGATGCCTTGATCGGTTTTGACTTTGATCGAGATCTGTAAGAGAAGCAACCTGTGTTGTAAGTAAGCGAAGCAGAGAATGTGCGTTCAATTCACATCTTCGCCAGCATGTCCCATATGGCACGTCTTTCAAGTCGACTCAAAACAGCATTCCATATAATATATACATTAAGTTTGCCACTTCTCTCATCAGAACGTAGCTCCTCATCCGCAGTAGAATAGCACTTGGCAATGGTTAGCTGGACTTCATATGGCTATGTACGCAGAATGTTGCGGCGAAAATGAGTATTCTTCTGCATCACGTGCTTGGAACACTGGAAACACTCAAGCGGCTGTTCGGTTGACTTGGACAGTGTGAGAACGAGGAGATTGTTCTTCGAGCGAGCCTGGGCAGCCAATGCAGTGCAACTGACGCACATATGTTTCGTTAATCATGTCTCGAAATCGAATGGAGCGAGCAGGCACTCACTAACGTTTTTACCGGCCATTGCTGAGCTAGAAATTCGAATCTTTTTCTAATCAGTTAAAGCCAAACAGCGACATATATTCGTACATCACACGCACGGAACTGCCAGTTACGGTATAATGCCTATAGATGGGGTAGAATGGTATTAAGGTTACTGTGACGAACTTCTCGATCAACTTCACGCAAAATCAGCTGAGGTCGCACTTAACATGCCGAGATTTAAGAGTCATGTTATTGAGCATACATTCTGACGATTGCTGTTTTGTTTCTTTGGTGGAGGTAAGCACTAGTTCTGGTATCGTATTTCCAATGGGCGTGCTTAAATATAATTGTCAATCCAGAAGTGGCTATTGTACACTCCATGTCGCGATGTAGAGAAAGGTTTGGGTTCTGTTGTAACATTACAAACCACAGTTTATAGGGTCATCAAGGATAGCACACGATGACATTGTTAGTTTAATTACCAGATATAAGATCCGGCAACTAATAGTGTATATTTGACATGCGAAATCGAATCAAAGATTTTAGTTGCCCTTTGAGAAGTGTTCTACGTTTCGGAATAAATCACAGAAATTGGTCCCATCTACTCTTCCACATGAGCAGCCCAATTCATCCGTTTCTGAGTCCTTAGCATCCAGCTCCAATGCGCCCAAGGGTCTGTCACGAGCGCCATCATCTCAACCACATCTGGATTGCTAGGCCCGCCCGACGCCAGACCGTGATGTATAGCAAGCCTGGCATATTTGGTCGCCAGCCATGGCTCGCCATCACCGTTGTACTCGATGGCCGCATATGTGTATGCCTCGTACAGCATCGTCCACAATCTCTCTTGGCGATAGAGTGAGATCAACAGCTCGGCCATCGCCGTAGTTGCTTGTGAGTGGGGTCCCCAGTCTTGCAACTGTTTACGGACTACCTGGATTTGGCGGATCCGGGCATCAGAAGCGGCGGTCAAGTACTTATTTTGTGTGCACGAGCTGCAAGAGCATGGGAAGTGCCACGAATGGTTCAGACGGGCGAGACGACCTTGTTGTGTTTGTACGGTACTGGAATGTTCATCAACATGGTTTGTGAACAAGAACGATGAACGGGTACTCACTCGATGTAAGAGATGGTTATCTCTTCGCCAGCAGTGATGGGACGCACAGCGTGGATGTGCTGTGCAAAAGTTTCAGGGTCGAAGTAATAGTCGGCATTCGGTCGACAATCATGATTCATACGTGAGACTGCCTAGCGTCAGTAGTCGTGTAGTCAAGAATTAATGCTTAGAAGCCTTACTCTCGGGAAAGACAGTGTAGAAATTATTTTCTTCAGAGTCTTCCTCATAGGTTATAAATCCGCTTGATGGAATATCGAAAGAATTTGTTAGGATAACCTTGGAGACCTGAGCCTCATAATCACCGGCGTGGTCGTGGGTAGAGAGATTCAAGAATGTCCTCCGATGCTTGTCAGGCAAATATCTTACAGCCGCCACTTCCATATCAATAAGTTGCTGCGCCGTCGTATCGTAGAACACATTGTAGTCGATCATGACTGAAGCCGTCGTGCTCATGATATGGTCGCCCAATTCGATGTTTTGTGTTGCTATCAAGCCCAAACCCTTGCCCGGTACTTCTGCAACTCTCCATATCGAACTCCCGTCCGCGTTCAATCGGTCAATCTGCCCTGAGATATACGGATCTGTGAAGGCTGGTGACTTGACGATCTCAATTGCACGCCCAGGGCTAGTCATAATGCTGATACCCCTTCCCGCAAAAGCGGGATCCGAGTAGACGCAGTACTCGTTGGTCCCATTCACGGCACACGGACTCGAGTGAGTCCACAGCAATGATGCTTGAGACTTATCTGACTCATTATAGTTGCGATCGGGAAGAGATGTATTGGCATTCAGGCACCACTTGCTTGCACTGGCTTCAAGCAAGTCATCGGAGTTGGCAACACTGTAGTTCAGGTTATGCGCAAACGAAGCTCGCGGGAGTGCTATCGCAGAGATTAATGATAATATTCCATGAGTCTTCATCTTGGCGACTTTCGAGCATGCAATCTTAAAGAATCATACACATTGCTGTCAAGCCAAAGTGGTCTTTAGGATAAATATGATTATCCCGAAGGAGCTCGGAAGCTTATGCGCCCTCAAATTTCGTCCCAGTTTGACCTTATTGCCAGCAATTTTTGGGGACCAAGGGGCAGTAGAGAGGGTTCAAACATTCAGTCTAGTCAATATAAGAGCACGTCGAGACAGAAAGGGGTTGTTTTGACCGCTTGGGAGGCTGCGCATCATGTGAGCAGTCGGGGGCCAGATTGCCAGAGGACTGATGATCCAACGCGGACGGCCAGCACCAGAGAAGCATGCACCAGAAGCGTTGTAGCCGCCGGCTAAAGAGGAATGTCCAACATCGTGAATGTAGTTCACTAACCTTAGGATGAACTCTCAACTATTGACATCGCTCAGTACTGGAAAGTGCCACGGCTACTCGATGAACTTTCTCTGATTGTGAGTTCGTGTTGAATCCCGGTATGATGCATGTCTAATAGTAATACACAGTCGTGTCTAGAATAATATTAAGGCTTACGCACTTTAATTAGTGGGGGCGGCAGTTGGTTGGGTCGTGCTGTCGGAGATTATGCAGGGGCATAGAGTGATACAATAGCCTAAATAGGCACTTTGGATGATCACGCCAGCCGGGCCTCGCCAGTTCTGACTTTTTTGCTTGAAGAACGGGTCTTTTGCCACATATCTAAGTGAAGATGCGCTGCTCGATTAGTATGGCGAAGAAGAGAGTTCATACTGCCAAGTGGCAGATGCAAAAATGTTCACATTTGCCGACAGGAGTCTGAGCTGTAATATGGATAGAAACGGGATACATGGAATTGCCCAAGGATTAGGATAGGAGAAAATGGTATCATAATAAAGCTTTCTTGGTGTGATATTTGGATAGTATAATATTCTTGCCATCCTTTCGAGGTAATACCTATTAGTCATTGCGTAAACTCTGATACTTTTACTTGACTGCGTTCACTCCGTGCTGACAGGAGCTGGTATGATTGTAAAAGAGGAGATAAAATTTATATAGGATGAGCTAATCATCATCCATCTGATATCTCTGTTTGAAGGGTTATGCGAGCAGCGTATGGCTTTTCTTCCGATTCCTTCGTGTAATCCAGTACCTATTCCAGTCCCACAAACTCTAAGGGTATATGTCCGCTGCACCTGGCCAACCTTTCAAACCATCTATCATTTTAAACGAAACGCCGTGCTCCATGCAAATGCTGAACCCCAATATACCTTCGACGTGAGTATCCTGTAGCCATATCCCGTCCACATCCGATCTATACCTGTCCAATAGAAGTAATAAAAAGAAAATTCGTAAATGTTCAATATCGAGAAATTGAAATTGAAGTAGTACACATTGACAGGCTCAAATCGCATTGGCAATCCAACCAAGCTCGCTGACCAAGTCGTCTAATCCGGCATCGATACCCTTAAGTGTTAAGAGTGAAGTGTTGCCGAAAGGGTCCCCAACTTCGTTGCGAACAATCAGTTCTGGTGAGCCGAACGAGTTGGTTATCCGGGAAGGTATTTGCTTTCGGTTGCTCAATTCCAAAGGGGCTGGTAAGCTGTAATTGTTGAAGGGCTGTTGACTATACTGGACATCTGGAGCCTCGTCGAGGACCGTTGACGCCCTGTCGTCATCTTCTGTCAGTTCGTCGAAGAACGAGAAGTTGGTATTGTTACTGGGGAAGTCAAGAGACTGTGGAGACGTTATTGGCGAGGTGACAGTAGAAGATGCGGTCGAATAAGGATATTGTATCCTGGATGTAGGGTTCATGAAACTGGTAATCGAGCCTCGCTTGATATTGTCCAAAGCTTCATCTTCATTGTAGAACGTTTGTAGAATACTAGATGATTCTGGGACGATTGTGGTGGTAGACCTGCTCTTGTGATCCGTGGCCGATGACGATGACCAGCTTCGTTGGAAAGGCGGCGGCGACAGCGTCGTGAATGGTAAGTTATCGGAAATGGCAGATGTAGCAAAGTTCTCGTCGTCTTCGTTCTCTTCCACAATATCATCCGGAATAGTAAGTTGTTGTGTTTGAGCCGGAAAAGGTTGTGTAACTGGGACATCCTCCGAAAGGAGCTTACGGAGCCGCTCAGGCGATAGATCGCGAGAGCGGTAGCCTTCCGATGGAGTCATACTTCGTGTTCCATCAAGCCTAGGCTCATCCTTCACCGACGAAACGGCATCTTCTGAAGCAAAGCTATCGGGTGTCTGTACTCGATCACTGGACCGGCTGGAGGGTCGTAGGCCAAAAAGGCGTCGTGCCTTACCCGTCCAGCCTGGTGTGGGTGCGGGTGACAAAGAGCGGCTTGAAGCCTTATGGTTGAGACGGATTCCAGCTGAAGTGCCAAGTCTTGGACCGAGTGTGTGAGGTGCCGGTGGAGCTGGTCTTGGAGTGGTGAACTTGGCTCCAGGGTCCATGGTCCTGAAGTCAGCAGGACGAATCGAGTTCATTGATGCACTCCTCAATCTCTTGAGTGCGCATTCGATAGGGACGTCCAAGGTATTGACAGTTTGGCCTGGTAGGTAAGGGCAAACATTGGTGGAGGGCATGGATGGATCATGTATCTCATGAGAACCATCGACCTCGTAGTAATAATAGTATGTCTCGCCCATTGTAAGGCCCCCACTACGCTTCTGTTTTCCTCCTGTGGTAATTATGTCTTGGAACGTATGGCAACCGCGCCACTGGCCAAGGTCGCGTCGTATGTCGCGTTCCATCTTGTAACACTTTGAAAAGTTATCCCAAGAACCTAAAAGCTGGACTGAGTTAACTGATGGATCCGTCCGACTAGAGAGGTATTGGGTCAGTCTTATGTGCAACAGGGTTGATCAAGGAAGGAAGAATGTAATGACAGTTTCAAGACACGTTGAAAGCAGAAAAACACTTCGTTCCGGTAATCACCGGAGAGTTGATACGAAGTGATTTTCATGTCATAGCTGACTGAAGAGATAAAAAGCCAGGGATCGACAGGGCACTTGCTCCCAGTGCGTTGGATGACAGGGAATGGCTCTCCTGTCAACAAGCCTCTGCATTGCGACTACCGACAATACGTACAGCCACCCTTGGTTTGATTGCATGTCGCACAAGAAAAAGCAAGTACTGTAATGACACAATGCAAGAAGCAAAAAACCCCATGTCCACTTAATCTCAAATTATCCCGTCCTTGTGTAGGAAAAGAGTTCGAGGATGGCTATTGTGTATGTTCCCGATGTACGTGCGACGTACAGCTAAAGCAGGGTTTGTTGGCATCGCTGGGGGCAGCGTGGCAGGGCTGACAGGGGGTGGATTTCTCCGAGCATGGATGAGGTGAGAGCTGACTTTCGAATAGCTCCTCAGAAGGCTTTGCTTATGCTTACAGATTTCGCTTTGATTGGCAGCAGAGCCGAATAAACTCGAGCTGCTCTTAAATGATGTCCCTGAAGCGTTCAATGCCCAGGGCTCGATGGGAAATTGGAAACGAATGTTCGCATGAAAAGAAAGAATATAGGAGTGTGTTAAGGAACCAGGGATGGTGTGTGGGCCAATCGGCAAAGCAAAAACGAATGAGAAGCACCAGGCTCGAAAAGGCACGATAGTACAAATGATTGTAAGACTCACAACAGAAAAGTAATGAGAGTCGTGGTCGGGTCCATCATGGAACCGGGGGCTTCCTTTGAAGCCATGACGGGATGTTTGGTAATATATGTTGCGGACAGACAGAGAGCAGACACATGGATAGCCGCGCTGTTGGTTCCCAACTTTTTCTTAGATATTCTGTCGAAACCCGCTTCTCTGGCTTGCAGACATGTTTCAAGAAGCGCAAAGATCAGTGATAATCCCTTGCAAACAGGTTCACCGTAATTGAAGGTATGACGGACTGGCCAATGCTGTTCGTGCCTCTGAAGCCGGAAGCGCCGAGATGACCAACTCGGATGAGCGCAGCTGCGGCCGAGTTGGCGGCGCTTAGAGAGCGAAACACACTGCCGGGATCCCAGGACCTTGAGTCTCTTTAGCTCCCTTCAAACCTCAGGGGTTAAATTGAACCAGCAAAGTGGGACGGCGCGCGACGTGTCTTCGAGGTGTGAATGCGGCCGACGGATGTTTCGCTTAAGAAAAGAAAGAAAAATTTGGATGATGCCGTGTGAGAGGAAATTCGTTTGTCTGACTTTTGAGGATCGGCTAAGAAAATCAGCTCAGCTCAGCTTACACCAGCTGCATGGAGGCTGGGACTTGATATATTTAAGTTCGGTTGCAGTTCGCAAGGACCGCCACGCTAACATCCAATAGCTTGGGGAAGAATCAACGGCCAAAAGCCACTCCAGTCCCTAATATTGGAATGGGGCTCTGTTGGGAGGCAAGGATTGGTTGCTTGGCGGGCAACTCATGTGCCGAAAGTTCAAGACTGCGTTCGAGGTAAATTGCAGAGTTGCGTTTTCTGATACGCGTGGATCTGTGTCAGAATGCGGCTCGATCTGGGGAAGTCTTGTGGTTGGTAATTGGTGAATAGACATAAAAGTGGAAGCTGTTTTCAAAGACGGGGATTCCTGTGAACACCTCGGAAATGGACGTCAACGGCGATTTGAACTCAAATATGCTGTAACTTTTGATCCATCACAGAATGACGACAGATGGGATCTAGCGTATTGTGAGGGGCCCGTTCGTGCAGCACAACGAGCTGAACTCGATCGGGAAACGGGACGAAAATGAGAAACACTGGAGGTGATTATAAGACTCGACAGCCTATCCCAGGCGTTTGCAGCGACGACTGCCACCGAATTGGCCTTGATTCCAGAAACACAACGGGCGATCATTACGATATTCAACCGCGCATACGTCCAGGTCGCTCAAATCGCGTAGCAGACAACCAATTAGCCAACCTAACACCGAAATGAGGCCATCTTTCCGGCATTGCCATCCTCCAAGCTGTTTTGCAACACCAATTCAGTAACAGCCACAGCTACACATGCTTGTTTTAGGGAATTGCAGCACGCAAACCGTGTGACGAAAACGGACACAAACCATGCATTGTGGCCACACTCCATGCGGTTGGCGCTATCACTGAATGACATTGTCCAATAGGAACCGCGGTCGCGACCTGATGCTTCCCCTTCTGGTTCCGTCGTGGGGCTGAAAGTTCTCATGGCACGTCAGGTCTTGAGACACAATAGGCTGGCAGCTCGGATACTCTGCCTAGTCAATGTCGCATAAATACCGAAAGCCTTAAAGTGGCAGATAGGCGCATCAAGAGGATAAATCGAATATCATGGTTTCAAACTGATTCAAACCCCAGTTTTGCAAAATTTTGTCAACCATCTTGGACCAGGTTACCAGGCCAATAGACTGGACCCTGAATGCCAAGTCTCCTCAGGACCACATGGTTTGACTTGAATGGGCGGTTATCGCTATCCAATAAGATCAAAACTGCAATTCCGAATCACATCATGTTTCTGCATCAAGACTAACTTTAGACTAGTCTGTTCAAGTCAAGACTAGACCTTCGATATGATTGATCGATTGATGGTAAGAGAGAGGTCCTATTTAGTTATACCTACCAGGCATCTCGCAGATTCCGGCAGTGAACAAGTAGTAACGCAGGCCAAATTAGAATTCATCTCCACTTAGAAGGTTGTAATCTCATTCGGAGTAATTCTTTCTTTTTGATCATGATTTCACATAGATCTCAATCTAAGCTACACTTGGCAAACGCTGCAAACCAGATCATCGTTGCCAGCCTCTGGACAGAGTTTGTTGCTCGAATAGGGTAGAATATAGTACACTCAGCTCTGCAGATTTTGCAATATCGTGCTAGCCCGATTATTGTTACACTGCCCTACAGTATGTGGTCCCCGGCGAACGCTGCTTAGTCTTGTATCGCAAGTATCGTGTTCAGCGTTAGTTCCTCAGAATCAAGTTTGAAACGTCCGCGAAGAGGCTAGCAGTTCTGATAGTTAGGCCTTTTGAAGTAGCGCGTCCGGTAAATCGTAATTGCAAGCTCACATCAGGACTTGTGCAAAAACTCCACAACAGCGAGATCTATCGAAAAATCGACGATGTGCAGCGGAAGCCCTCTGCATAAGAACGTTTGCATGCATGGCAGATGATTTGCTATGGGCCTTCCTACAGCTGTCGGGTCTGCTGAACTTATGTCTCCAGCCCCGATCGAAGCCTCGGGCTGCTCAAAACCTGGTAACATCTGATCTGCATCACAGAAATCGATGCAAAGTAATCGTGAAAACAGGATTGTTTATGTTGTGATCGGGGGTCCACGGTTAACAATCGGTAAGACAAACACGGGACATTCGCAATTGCCCCCGTAGTTTCAAGGAGGGTCAAACATCACTATTCTGAATGATACCGAAGTAGGTTTCGGGGCTTCCTGCGGTCGTGAACCACCGTCGGTTCATCACCACAGAAACGCTACGTCGAGAAGCCTTTCAATCTGAATATTTGGAACTCACATATGCACGAACTTAAGGCCGGCATTAACATGTCGCACAAGAGAGCCTGGAAAGAAAAACACATCATGCGTGTTCGGGCCATTCATTAGGACCAAGTGGCTCGAGCGTTCTTGAAAGTAAGACTGGGATTTGAGGCTCCCGTTAATTGCCTGCCATTTTGGCGGAAGTATATTTTGTTGTTACCCAGTATTCCGCTGTTTTACTTCACGTGGTCACCCTCTCATTTCCACCTCACCACGGTCTGAAGAATCACCTGACTTCTGTGATGACTCAAAGCACCAGCCACGTTGACTATTTGTCCGGGATGTGATAATCATAGAAATCTATGGTTGCTTTCTCGGGCCGGTGCTACTAGCTTAGCCAGTAGACCCAATGCGGTCAAGATCGTCTTTGGACTCTTTCGTGAGAGCTGGGAGCATCATCCGCGTTAGAACTGCAAACCCTCTCTTTCGAGTTGTGCTTTCACTGCTGAGCAGTTCACGGCTTTCCCGGCGTTTGGATCCAGCAGTCTGATCACACAAATCCCGTACGAGCTCAATGAACCGAGCGGCTCCTATTGCTGTGAGAACATGCCACCAGCCATGCAACTCGAGCAACCATGCCCAGGGAAGGCCGAGACGCTGCCTTGCCGCTCTGAGTTGGTGGCACCTCTCAAGGTCGATATTCCAGACAGCGAATGCAACCACAAGATACGCGGCCCCATTCCAAAAGCGAAAGGCTAGTCTGGTTTTGTCTTGTTCTGGCCTTGGCTCGAAGTAAATGAGGTAAAAAATCCTGAGTCCTATCAAAGCCGCCATAGTGCCAAACATCCACATATGTAGGAGGAAATTCCCGGATTTTATGTACATAGTTGATATGATGAATGTAGGCAGCCAAATGCTAACAGCAGCAAGTCGGGCGATAACTGGAGGTTCACTGGAACAGCAGAGTTTCTGCAGTAGGGCTCCGGCGAGCAAGAGCATGGACAGATCATCTGCTAGCTGAGGACCTTGGTGAAGAGTGGCGTGATATGCTGTTGATGTTACGCCCACAAGCATCAGGGTCACCGAGAGCGAATCGAAACCCCCGGAGTATACCATTCCATTGCGGACGCGTACGCGGCATTTCAACGCAAAGTAAACTTAAGAATTGATTAATACATTGTTGTCGCCGGAATTTGGATGGGCAATCCCTGTGTGGTTGCGCAAAAGCTATTATAAAGTTAGACTTACCGTAGGTTAAGTTTGTTATACTATTCACAAACTCCGCAACGAATCTCGTAACGGCGTAATCCTCCTCACAAAAACTATCGAAGATATTTGTTATTACTTCCACGATGATTGTACGTATCGTTTTACTCACTTTTCAACGCTTGTTGGATTGCCCCATACTCCGGTATGGGCGAATGCGTCACCGGCGAAATGACGATCATGGTATCCCATGACAAAAGAATGGCAGAAAACAAGTTCTCCAAGTCGAATAAGTTATGATAATTACTTGTGCTCCTAGCCTTGGATATTATTGTACACTTTCGCCAGCTTCGTAAGATCTAACTTTCATATACTATTCGCGGAGTTTTGTGACAGGATACCGCATATCCGCGGGTCCCGGATTTCGTTGTGCTGCCTTGATCAGCCACGTATTCTGCCGACAATCAAAGGAGGGATGCCTGAATTCAGACAGATATCACTAAATTCGCAACTCGCATCAGTCTATGGTTCGGATTTCGGCTTTCGCTGGATTTGAGATCGCCACTACCTCGTGTTCTTTCTAGGCCAACCGCGGTCGAGCACTATGTAGATATACACATCGCTGCTCTCATTCAATTCGCCAGGTTGACGCGCCCATGACTCCTCATTTGTGAGTATACTCGAGAATATTTCTTTCTTTTTTGTTCAGTTCTAGTTTTTATTATTTCTTCCAGATCTCTCGATGGTCGACATGCAGGTAACGAGATGATTACGAGATTTAGTTGACACGACTATTTTGTATATTTCAGCTCTCCTACTCCCATGTAATACAGCGTAAGCCTGTCTACTTATTATGGTCCTTGAGTGGCACTCAGCGCAGGATCGACATGTGGGTTCAGTATAAGCTCTTGTACATAACCAATGATCTTATCATCCGCTTCGACCTCATCGTCCTCGCCCGGCTTGTTGGTATTATACCACTGTGGAGTCCTGCTCATACCCTCCTCAACAGCGCGCGCTAGTTCATGAATAGAAGGCTTAGCTGTCAATTCACCAGTCATGCACCAAATTGCAAGGCTGTTAAGGTCTGGATCGAGGGCGCTGCCATCGTCCGATCTCCCACCGGCCCCGATGAGCATGTATATTTGCTAGTAGAGTAGTAGAATGTCAGTTCGCGGATGAATTCCAGAGGTTCTAAATAGTTTCCTTGTCATACCTCCCCTATTTCCCTGATGATTTCTTTAACAACTGCCGACCAAGCTGCCGGGCTAACCCAATAATTAGCCGTCTATGCTCAGTAAAGAAAGTCCGGCTCACTTACTTAGGTGTTTGCTGTCTGTCTATTAAACCTAGGTCTATCATTGTCAGGATTGGTGAGAGAGAATGTTCATATTCGGGATTATTAGGGACGAACTTTCCAAATACCACTGAAGACTCTTCGTCAGTATCACGTTGTAAGTAAGCTGAAGGGATAACGTCACGAATGCCAGTGGGGCACTTTCAACTTACTGTTTCCCGTGTTGAAATCTGGGTTAAAGTTGATATGTGGGGGAACGTGCGACTGCAACTGCTCCAACCTCACTTGAGTGGAATCGTGCGCGTCGCTCCAGGCAATTGCTATACACATTCTCACGACTGGCGGCTATTGTCAGCCTCTATTTTATGTTTTGGCCAAATATATCTGAAGACTTACAGCAACCGAATATTTCCCAAAGTAAGCGGTTAGGTAACGGCTTCTTTGCTCTGGTGGCTCTTGTCATGAAGTCGCCCAAGGTCCCGTTCTCCAGCCATCCCATATACATCCATCTGTGAGATGGGAGTTTATCCGCACCGTCGACGTATTTGGCGAGCGGATCCTGACCCTGGGCAAAAGCTCCCAGCTGGACAACGTGAGCAGCTCCACGATAAAACTATGTCGTTCGCTACGTTAGCGTACATCTTCCCTATCATAACAGCGGTTGGGCCTCAAAAAGTACGCCGAGGAGATTCAACATATGGTTAGTAATTACGTACTCTCAGTGCTTCCTCCTCTGGTATAGTCACAACGCCACTCCATTGCACTATCTCCTGGTTTGGGATCTTAACAATGATGCGTTCGGGGCCCAAGGCCCGCAGACTTGCTTTCTGATTCTGAAGATATCGGCCTGCTGTCCTGAGCCAATATAGCCTTCGAAAATATATTTACCATCGTGGTCAAAGTGTTTCTTGAGCTGCTGTGCCAAAATTTGCTCTGGTTTCATAGGCATGTCCGGTTCTGCCAGATCTGCTGAACTTCCTGGCATTGTGACATCCAAATGCGTTTCTTTGGAAGAGAAACAACCAATCTCACGGCCATGTCACGAATAAGTTGAGCAACATGATTAAGAACTGTGATACAAATTATTGTGAATAGCGACTTCGACCGTTTCCCCCTTCTGGAGATTTTGAGCACAATGCACATTTACTTTTGTCTCGCAGCTTTGTGCGGCGGCTGGGAAGACTTCTTTGACTTGTATTAGTCGTCAATCGGGGAAAACAAGGAATCTGGCTATTCGCGAGGCGCCCAGACAAAGGAAAACAACATCCGAGAACCAAATACTGTAAAGGGACTACTACGGACTCCAAGTCGCTAAGACTATTGTATGTTAACATATGACCGTCAAGAAGCAGATATGTGAATTCTTTTTAATTCGGAAGACCAATGCTTCAGGTTGTTCATCTGAAGCCTTTGGGCAACTGTCTTAGTTGTTACTCTATCTATGATTCCATATACGCGAAAACCCAATGTTTCTGATGGGGGTATCTTTTGAAAGCAAAACCAAACGCCGCTTAATGTACCCAATTCGTATGCGTACCCATATCCACCCGTATTTCTGCTTGCTAAGATTCCGCGTCCGAAAGCTCTTATCTCGTGCGCTTTCTCATCCATAGTTGGTCATTGTGGCTGATTTCGACTGGCGACCCTGTCCGAGCAGCACCCACAATCCCCGGAGAGGGGTTAGTTGAGGATTCTTCTTCTTCGACTGTGTAAACGTGTATAGCAGGCTCTGAAGCCACAGCGAATCCTCGACCGCTAAAGCTTCGTTTATGCGTAGAAAGCATAGGAGAACTTGGATTTTCATTTAACATACTCGACGTGCTCGACATGGAAATCATCGAATCTCTTGCTCTTGTAGTGTCACGGCCGGAAGGTTTGCGAGAGAGCCACGATGGTAATTGTGCGTCGTCCCAGGAACTCAAAAATTCGGTGTCCAGCTCGAGTGCCTGATTGAGATAGTCGTCTCTGTTCCTCTGGAGTATATCCTCAGCTTTTTTGACTTCCGAGTCCCAGTGACCTCGAAGCCATTCCAACATGCTATTGAGGCGTGCACTATCCGACTTGCCAAGTGAACCCTTCAAGGACTTTTTAAGGCTCTTTGAGAAAGCCTGCTTCTCCTTTGCCAAAACGTGGTCACGATCGGAAGATGATATAGGAAAAGAAATAATCTGACGATTCAGCTCCAGTGCATGAATAACCTTCGAGAACTGGTGGTGGTCAAAATTGTTGTTTTGCATATCAAGCATCGCCAAGCCCTGATTTTGTGCGATGACACGGCATAGTTCAGTGATGTCCTCGGCTGCACCCATATCATGATTTCGTATTCGCAGCTGACGAAGCGTTTTGTTACTCTTCAGACCCCCTAGGGCGCCTGAGAGTCCCCAACCCAAGTGTGCGTCTTCCAACTTACCGCTGTAACCCGAGAAATCAAGATACCTGAGAGTCCTGTTTTTCTCCAGAAAAGCAGAGAAAAGCGACGAAGTCTTGGGGCTTGCGCGTCCTGGCGGACCCGTGCCGACAAGGCTCAAAAGTTCGATGGTGTTGTTATCAGCCAAGGCTGTAAGGAGCTTGTCAAAATTTGACTCGTGCTTGAACTCAATCATGTCCAGATGAAGTCTCTTAGGCGCCTCGTTCCCGTGAATGAGGTCGACCCAGTCAGTTGATCCAGTCTCTAACGGATTACTGTTGAGATAGAGATGTATATCCCTGCCCGATCCTATTCTGCAGAAGATGGCAGTTGCCACCTCTCCGGATATGCCGCAACTATTCAGCTTGAGATGTCGGAGACAGCTAGATTCGTCTACCTCCAAGTATCTGACGAAGCTGCTGACAGTGTCAAAATTGATCTGGATCACGTTAGTCATGAGGTAGTAGAGGCTTGCAGTAGATTACCTACCTTCCAGCCGGAAAGGTCGACTTCTTCCAAAGACCACGGATCTTCGTACGGCGATGTGGTCCATGGACGGAAGAGGGGACCATCAATAATACCTTTTAAGCATGACGATAGATCTAGTCGCCGTAAGTTACTCGTATCCCAAAGAGTTTGTGACACTCGGCTGGCCTCAAGACATCCGAAGTTGCTTGACAGTTCCAGATGCTCAAGGCTTTGACGCTGTTCATGTATTCCTTCCCAAAGCGTAATCATGGACATTTCGTCGAGTTGGCACCGCGACAAGCCGAGACCCCGGAGGTAGTTTGGCTGGGATTGAAGTGTTTGATCTTCGGAATTAAAAATTGTAATGAAGTATGGGGACGTACGGAGACTTACGAATTTCAGAGACATCGACATGACCGATGTAGTTACCATTGAGAATGATAGACTTACATCGACTTTGCAGAGATCTGATAAGAAGTACGACTGGGGGAACTACTTCACAGCCTTGATGGACAGTAGGTGACGATCCGGGCGTCGGTACGACTGGTGCCTTAGGCAATACTGCTGTAAAATCGGCGTGTCTAATGGACTCAGATCCAAGAAGCATTGCTATCACCTCCTGGAACAAAACTGACGATTTCTCAACGACTTCAAACTCGTCACGCGTAAGGCTTCGTTTTCCTGATCAACTATTAATAATTACGTTGGTTGAAACACAAGCGAAGTTAATTTACCTGTTCGTGAGAGCCACACAGTAGGTTCCATGCGGCAGGAGTTGTCAAAAACATTCGACAATGCTGAAAAGTCGACCCCTCGGAAAGACAGAGACTTGAAGAAATCATTGAAGCGAAGCGCTCGGAATACAGCCAGTAGTTGATAGGCTGTATACTTGGGCGTATCGGTGGACGGCAGCAATTGAAATTCTGGGGCATACTTCACGTTCCGCCAATTAACTTTCCATTGGACCGATACAGAGTGATAACCTTCTAGAAAAGCTTCAAGCGTTCTCTTGAAACCCCCATAATCCTCGCCTGATGGGAGAGGCATTTGATGTGAGTCACCTTCAACGAGAAAAATCTCTCGTCTAGTCGAAAGAGGCCACGCAGGCTTTAAATAGGTGTCTGATTTGAACAACCGGGAGACGATGTTTCGATGGTGTCTGCTCGATAGTTCGAGCTTTCTCGGAGTGTCCAGAGGTAGGCTAGAGTAATCAGCCACTGGACTAGCATATCAATGGGAAATACTCACCGGAAAACCAGGTCGAACCTCTCATCATGTGTGTGTGCATTGACTTTGGAAATAGTAACCAAACCATACTGGACAATACTCGGATTTACTTTCTGGCCGGTAGGAGACCTCGTAAAGTGTGCCAGAAAACAAATGTTTTTGCTAAAGGCCATGTAGAATGATGAGTTTTCTCTCCAACCTTTCTTAATTTCACCGTTGTTTGATCGTAGTCGACCAAAGGGTCGTCTTGGTACAACAGGGAAGATATCAAGATGAGCACTCTGGTGAGGATACTTGGCTTCAAGAATACATGCCAAGTCCAGCTCCAGCTCTGACGGTATGCTATCATCAGCTGCCAAAGCTTTCGTCTTCTGCCTTACAGCATATTGGATCTGCTTCAGCCAGTCGTCGCGATCTCCAGGATGGGAAAAGTTAAGTTCGATATTCGCAAAGAATCCGGCGGCACATGACTCCTTCCACCAAACCTCTAGACCGAAACATGGTTTGGTTCCCTCGTCCTTAAATATCGACACAATTCTCTCGAGCGGGATATGAGCCTCCGCTTTAGCACCAATCTCCTGGAAAGATGCGATGGTCTCGACTGGTGACAGAGCTTCAACAGCACTTGTTGGCACGGCGACTTGAGGAAACTGCTCAATCGCTGCCAGTCGGTTCCTGAACTTGAAGAGTCCTGCGGGGGTCAGGACCAGATACTCCTTCTTGTTCTTCAGTACTGAAGATTCCTCTTTGAGAGGCCCTGACTTGAGTACAGTGGCCGCCTTGTCAGAAAGACTGGTACCTCGACTGCCGCCACCCGACGGCGTTGTTGGTCGTGTCGAGCTAGAGGCAACCTCTGTATAATCTGACGACGCCTTGGATAACTGGCGTGCAAGATCTTGCTTGGCAAAATCAGGGGGCCTGATCTTGCTAAGAGTTGATCTGCGCCGAGTGGAGTAGGATGAGGTAACGTCGGTTTCTGAGGCGCTGGAAACCTGGGACATCTGGGAGCTGGTGCTAAGGGTTCTGAACATTTTCATTGACTTGATTGACGAGAAGGAAGACCGCCTCTGCCCCTGGGAGGGGCCCTTCCCATCAAAAATCTGCTGAGCCACATTTCTGGATTCCATCTGAAGTCATTAACTGCCACAAAGACATTAAGACTGAGAATAAAGCCCCGAGCAGATATGTTCTTCGGATGTAGTAGACTGAGTCGACTTCATGAACATACCATCACTGTCCAACGAAAGGCACGGGTGTTGACTTTGAGACTCGGACTGTCCACGAACTTCGAGGTCGTACAACTGCTTGCTGTTCAATTGTAGGGAATGCTCAACTACACATATGCGCCGGAATCCTATATATTGCGCCTCCGAACTTCAATTGCACATGGGCGCATGACTCAGCAAAAATACCAGAGTGATCTTCCCAGACAATGCAAGAGGAACTGCTCCGAACGAATGTACGCGTGACGTTGAGACAAGCTTGCCCGAAAACTCCGCAGAAATGCTGAGGTGCTTCTGGCTGAAGTTTAGGCCGGTATCTCGTCACTGACCGGCAACTACAGGAACCGGTTTTCAGGTGACAAGTCGTCCAATGAAGATCGTCGTGGGGCAGTCGTTGGTGGACAAGGGCGGGATTGCGAATCACCAATGGAAACTGTAGGACGTGGACTGCGCAGTTAAAGTTTATGTAGCCACTTCGCCATGCAGTACTATGTTGAGAATGAGACAACTATTCAGTTCAGTTGCTCGATATTGCGAATTTGACGGATATCGAACCATCGGACCCAAATTTGAGAATTGCATCTGACGAAGGCGCTGACAAGGACGTCATAGTTTAACCATTGCGCGTTAGTCTTTGGTGCTAAACGCCAACCCGACAAACCAGTGCAAATTGTCAATTAAAGGATTAGGGGAAACACAGCCGCTTATCTTCATCTTTCACAATAACACATAACCATGTTCCTTCTAACCTACATACTATGTACGTTTGCGGGTTTGCACAAGTTCATGAAGATAAAGGCTGCAAGACCTGCCAGGGCACATACGATCAGTATTACCGTAAATGTAGACCACTGTACTGATCGTATCTCCAATATATCACATCCTGGTCTTAAAAGCAACCATTACTCGTATTCGAGATCTGCCATATCATTTCTCCAGATCTAGTGGATCTACAGTAAAGCTTCTTATACTACGGATGTAACAGCCCTTACTGAAAGCTTACACTAGGATTCCAACTATGTGGAGAGCAAAGCGCGGAGTTCAATCAACCTCTTGCTGAGTTAGGCGTACGGGATTGAACAAGGCGTATCAAGCTTCAAAAACCAAATATGTTCGTATAGGCGCATCATTTAGAACAGACCCCAGCCTCGTAAAGAACTACATTGTGCGGCTCATACTGCGCACCTCACGACCTGCAAGACTTCTGCATAGATCGACTTCAACTGCGACCAACCGCCTGCATGTTTCGAAATCTTACATTCACATCGATACGCATGTAGTGGCGTCAAGAGTTCTTGCGCATGCATACCCCGGAACTCGTCTGTCGCTGTTGAGCACTTAGCAGGGGATAGTTTCTCGTGAAAGAATATGTGGTGTCCCACGGGATTGTCATCGTGTATGCACGTGTAGATTGCATTATTCGCATTGTCCTACAGCAATAGAACAGCAATCCTTGCCAATCTATGGTTCACTGAAATTCAGTCGTTACTTGCAGGCAATGGGACGAGGGATTGACGAGGTGCATCCTTTGATGCCGTGACAACTTCCTGTAGGCATAGACGGCTGGTAGAAACCTGTTTTCACCATAGGTCAACCGCAGAGGAAGCATGCCAACGAGGCGGCGAGGGTGAGGGTGCAGATGCGGGTGGATGGCTGTTCTAGGGAGCCACCCCTCCGCGCAGGGCGAAATAAACCGGACACATCATTTCGCAATACTCTTTCGTGCCTTAACTTATACAACAGAACAACACCATAATGACTTTTTAGGAAATTAAAAGTGTGGTTTTGTTTAGCTATTAATCGCCATCATAATGCTCTAAATTTGTTAAATCTCGAAATTGCTACATGTGGTTTTTGTGTAAGCCGAAACTAAAGGCCTTAGGGGAACATGAAGTGACCTATGTCCGGTTTGTTTCGCCCTGCGCGGGGCCACTGATGTTCGTAAACCGAGATTGCCACTGTGTGCAGCGACGCGCCGTCTATACAATCCCGAGACGTGTGTCGTCAGCAGCGATGCTGACAACACGCGCAATGATGCTTGACACTGGCCTGTTATCGAGTCGTGGTAGTCTTCGTGTCGCTCAATTGCAAATGCCTGTCTATGGCTTGGCGCTCATTGGTAAACTTTGGACTTAAGAGATCCAATGGTCGAAACACAGTAGGTTTCAAATTGGCGATCATTGGCGGAACCCTTGTCTTTCCCCTTGGCGATATGCTGCAAGGTAGCCCCCTCGCGACCGCTGAGATTGCTCTGGCCCACTTCGATCGATGGACCGCCTGTTCCGAGCACAAGGTGCTATTGGCCTCTCCTCGTACTGTCAGCACCTCGAGTTGGGCGAAGTCCAATCAATCATGTTTTGCAAGACCCTGCTTGCCTCGCTGCCTAACATCGCTACCATGATCATTGCGCGAGCCGTATTTGTTTCCTTCATCCCGTTCGTGGTGCCAATGAGAGTAATTGTTTCCTTAAAAAAAGTAGCCCCAGATTCCCACTGACAACGCCGCACGAGGAGCTGATGGAGCTGCTCCCCCTGAACAGTTCATGGAATAATGGAAGGACCATGCTCGGGGCCAAGCAGTCCGCAAATGGCAGATGAATTGTGTAATAAGAGGCCCTGTTAACACCCTACTGTAAGGCAGGAAATGAGTTGAGGGAGTGATGATATGCAGAGGCATTGGCGATGTCAGACTTGCACCGACCAGATGCTAAGTGATAACTGCGAGGCTACCTATCCCGTGAGTAGTGTGAGCTAGCGCACACTGTGCATACAACACACACGATAGGAAGATGGATACTGTGTATTACACATTTCAGTCTAAATGGAGCCAGTACAGTATACTACCACTTGGGAGTCTTTGTCAGATCGCGCCGTTCCCGTCTCACATGCGATTATGCCAGTACATACTCCTTTTCCCTTTTCGTCCACCAAGCTGGCTGATGATGGGTCAGTATGACACACATGACAAGCGATCATCAGAGGATCATCCTTTGGACGTTCATTCGGTAACCAACAATCAGGATCCTTGAAGCGAATTAATGAACATGCTGGGATTGCTAGACGGGACGCAGGATACAGTGTGTATTGCAGAGTTGTATGCACTGTACGATGCAAGTACTATCAGCAGAGCAATGGCTCGATGGGAAGGGATGGGAAGCAAGAAAACGCGCTACGAGCCACCGGCCCACTTTACCGAGTTTCACACCAGCTGCCGCCGAGATATCCTTGCCAGGGATGTATAGGCCAATCACTGCTCCTGGCTGCTGAAGCGAGGCGTATGGACGACTGATTACCATGCCAGTACGGAGTACCGAGAGCAGCAAGAGGCGACTTGGAAGGCCGACCCTTGGGAATATACCCTGGCCAATGTGAGATTGATCCTGACGATCTGAAAATACCTTATTTCTCAGCGCACTGTCTGACCACCTGTCCCCCTGCTTCGTCAGTTAGGGGAGGTATGAGTTTGCGTTCACAGCGTAATAATAAACAAAAGCAGACGAAATTTGAGGTCGCCATGTCAAGCACACTGTTTCTGCGATACGCTATCTTACTGTAGGTTTATGCTGTGAGCTGCCCCAACCCTCCACTGAAACAAGAGACCTCATCCACCAACCAGAACCGGCAACTCATATCCCCTCTTTTTCTCACCCGACGACCCTGCTTGTCACTCGGAAAGGCTCATATTACACTTTGTAACTCGCATTTCCTGCCATCCAAACTACACTACGTTAAAGCTACTGCATTCGAGCCTGTTGCAATCTATCTCCTGCCAGAACAGGTCCCTTGGCCTTTATCGCGAAACCAGAACAAAGAAGAAGCAAACATTCTTCTGACAGACGCTGCTGGATGATAGGGCTATGAGGCTCTTTACTCTCAGCTACACACAAACCAAAAAGTACGTAGCACTTGTCCTGCAGCTAGCTAGCTAATGCCAATGCTAATACTAATGCTAGAGCGGGTGCCGAGTGCGCTGAACGAGCTTCGGTTCGGGTGGTTTCGAATCAACAGTGGATTTAACCGTGGCCCGATCTTGCTGAATTGGGGCGGACATCCACTTCTCTGGGAGCCTCTAAAAGCCTAAAAGTCGACGCGGCCAACGCTATTTGAAACCGCCAACGACCTGGAGCCCACTCAAGACTGCGCGCTTCAGGGAAAGGCCGCCGACTATTTGCCATTGCACAACCACAATAGTCACAAAGACATTGCACAAAACGACGCTATTCCCACCTGCGAGAGCCACCACCTGCACTGTCACCGTTTAACCGCGCCATACAGAGACGCAATCTTTCACAAACCTCGGGGGCGCTTTGTCCAACAGAACTCCCAGAGGCGCCCCTCCATTGCCTGCCTCCGTCTGGAACTCCCGAGCCCGATTCCGAGTCCAGCCCAGTTTACTGCTCGAATTGCAGGCCCTGCTGAACGTTACTGACGAGGAACGCAACTCAAACGAAGCTCGAAAGGGGCCAAGGGCAATTCTGAGACGAGACATCAAGAAGCCAGCCTTCATTTGACCGGCAAGCACCAAGTAGAGTACGGAGTAGACCAGCCAGCTTTACTGTCCGTCTCCGACTCCTCTTCTCTGCTATACCTTTTCGTCTCATGCGGACCTGGTACAAAGAACTCTCCCGAGTGTCGACGTTCCTTTCACAATACTACATTTGGAAACAATGGCCATGCTAGCCTCCAAATCGTCCTTCCCAGCGTCATTGGGGTCATCTGGCTCTACCCTTGTGGGCAACCCACCCTCCTCCAACATGCCGCCCACGAGAAGAACACCCGCTATGCACTCGTCCGCCCAGGGCTTCCCCAGCCCTACAGAATCGGATTTCTCGGATGTCGATGGGCCCGATGCGCCCAAGAACTGGACTGAAGATCAAGTTTGCGACTACCTGAGGAGTGTCAAGTGCGGCGAATACGAGAAGCTATTCAGAAAAAATAATATTAATGGAGAAAACCTGCTCGAGATGGACAAGGAAGTCCTCAAGGAAATGGGTATTGACAAGGTCGGCGATCGAGTGCGACTATTCTTAGGCATTAAGAAGCTCAGAACAAAAGCATACGCCAACGTCAAGAAGCGGACTAGGGTGAGTGCTTGTCTTGTTTTGTTAACCCTTTGCTTTGCAGGAATTCGAAGCTGGGAACTCCCCCTTGGTATCACGATCTAATGCTGGTGCTTAGGACTCATTTGGTGGGCTGGCAGAGACTCAATACACCCCTTCCACAGGATCCCCACGCATGCCCAATTCTGCTGGTAGTAGAGCAATGCCAACACCATCCTCCAACAAGAGATACTCCCGACAGGTTGATCTTTCGGGCTTCAATAGCGGCTTGAACGCTCCGATTGATAACAACAAGAGCACATCTAGACCCAGCTCGCCACTACCAAGTGCAGATATTCGCGCAGTTAGAAACCAGCGATATCCCAACCAACAAACCTACATGAGCAATGCTGCCCCTAACTCCGGAGGGAGACTCCCTAGGTCGCCTCCGGATCAGCCTCAATCTGGACGTCTGGTAAATACTCATACCAGAAATCAATCTAGTACGGATGGCTCGCTGATGGGTGGACTCCCACAGGGTCAAGACGTTATCCGTGTCATCTCTACGGGCGGTGTCACCAAGGTCGTCAAGATCTCCGGATGCACGACCTGCGAAGAGGTTATGAGGGTTACGCTACGCAAGTTTGCACTTCGAGAAGACCACGATAGGAACTATTGTTTTTGGGTGCTAGCCGGTGTCGAGCCCGACCCTAAGCAATGTCGGCGCCTGGGTGACACCGAGTTATGGCGCATCATCACAGATAGGAAGCGACCGGAAAGGGGTCGCCTGATTCTTAGGAGAGTGCCTTCAGGGGAGCCGGGAGATTCCGAATTACAGAGGGCTGCAGCCATCGCTATGGAAGAGGCTCAGCAGAACCATGCCCGGGCTTTAGAAAGCGTGCAAGACAAGAGAAGCCAACTCAAGGTACAGAAGCTCTTGGGAGAGAGCTGGGACGATGTGCAACACTCGCCCCTATCACCAATGTCATACCAGGATCGAGAGACGAATTTCCAGAGCACCGCCAGGGCACTGGAGCGGCCAGCTCCCGCCGATGCGAAAGCTGCACAACGAAAGAAACTATTGCGACAATTTGGTGGCCTTCGACCTCCCAGCGAGCTTATCACTTCTGATTTGACATCTTACTTCCCTGATCACCCCAAGGATGAGATTGACAGAACTGCAAGATTGTCTATGCGTCGCTCGACACGTCTCAGCAGGGTGAACAGTCGGTTGAGTGTTGCCAGCAATCTCAGCTTCGCATCCAGTATAGCAGATGCGCCGCCGATTCCTACTATCGCCGACAACTGGCTTACTGCGGGCGGCCAAGCGGCCAAGGTGCGGCCAAGAGAGCCGAGCCGTCTACAGCACCAATACCGGGACTCGGTGGCTTCTTCAATGCTCGGCACATTGACTGAAGAGGGATCACCTATTGAGCCCAATCGCAAGTCCTACGTCTCGTTCGCAGATAGTGGGTCTGACAGTGCTACTGGTATTAGTATTACGGATCCTGATGGCCAGAGCCACATTATGCGACACAGCTACTTCAGTGAAACGAGCACTCAAGGTTCTGGCTCATTGAAGGAGATTTCAGAGGCCCTGCAGCAGGACGGCGAGGATGAAGACGAAGAGCTCCAAAGCTTCCTCGCGGGCGAATCCTGGGACGATAACAAGTGGATGAAAGGTGCACTGATTGGTCAAGGCTCGTTCGGCTCTGTTTACTTGGCTCTTCATGCTATCACTGGCGAACTACTTGCCGTCAAGCAGGTTGAGACGCCTTCGCCTGGCGCCAACAGCCAAAATGACTCGCGTAAGAAGAGTATGATCGATGCTCTGAAGAGGGAAATCAGTCTTCTACGAGATCTCCGACACCCAAACATCGTGCAGTACCTTGGCTGCAGCTCATCTCAAGAATATTTGAACATTTTCCTCGAATATGTTCCGGGTGGCTCAGTCCAGACTATGCTCAACTCTTATGGCGCCCTACCTGAACCTCTGGTACGAAGCTTTGTGCGACAGATCTTGCAAGGTCTGTCATACCTTCATGGTCAAGACATCATCCATCGTGACATCAAGGGTGCAAACATCCTGGTTGACAACAAGGGAACTATCAAAATCTCCGATTTCGGTATCAGCAAAAAACTTGAGGCAACCAACATACTCGGTGGCGCCGCCGCCAACAAGAACCGACCCTCGTTACAGGGGTCCGTTTTCTGGATGGCCCCTGAGGTTGTCAAGCAGACATCTTATACCCGCAAGGCCGATATCTGGTCACTGGGCTGCCTCGTGGTCGAGATGATGACGGGTAACCACCCATTCCCCGACTGCTCCCAGCTTCAAGCCATTTTCAAGATTGGCGGTGGTAGAGCGACTCCTACGATTCCAGACAGCGCTAGCCCTGAGGCCATGGACTTCCTCAACCAAACGTTCGAGATCGACCACAACAAGCGACCGAGTGCGGACGAGTTGATCCTCAGCACCTTCTTGAGCCCTGTCACCTAGTGCGCGAGGGGTGTCGGGGAGAACGGTCAACTGTATTTTAGTGTGAGCTTTGGATGACCTCGGCACGAATCATACCATGCTGCACGTCTCATATAAGCAAAAATCACAGTGTTACAGCATGGTGTAATGTTGGCCAGGCATAATATGCATGTGGAGGGGGAGCGAATATGCCATCATCGTCATCATCCTCTTTCAACCAAATACTTTCTCCTGTCGCCAATTTTTCTTTTTCTTCCTGGCCTATGATTCGTTGCACTGCTGCTTGCAACAGAGGCACACTTGTAATATAGAAAGAGTGGTATGTTGATGAGATGGAACGAACTTGATGATTTAGATAGAGAAGACATGCGGCAAAGAGAATACGGAGATACCATATACGAGGAGCTGGCGGGCTCGGCTTCTTAGGCAGGTAGTACGATACGAACAAAGTGAAGTCGTTGATATCATGAATATCTGGAATCTAAAAAGCGAAGATGTTAAGAGCCATGCCATGATCTCCCCTATTGACAAGCCGATGTTACCCATGCGCGTTTTCATGGTCATGACAACCCCCCTTCGTCTTGCTCATCTCTTTGTCGTAATGACCTGCTTCAACTACGGCACTATTCCCCACGTCTGGTTTGCTCTTCTTTTCGCTAAATTTGAGTTTTGTTTCGATACATCTCCATGTGGGTATCATTTGTTACAACACATTGCTTCCCACTGCAAATCGGCTACGGCACTTTTTCTATAAGGGACCAACGGTAACAGTGCCCTTGACGCTCAACCCGCCCTGGTTGTTCTCGACCCAGACGTCCCATCTCCCCTCGTCTTCGCCCTTGCTGGCCTGTGGTCTCACACAAATCGACAGTGGCTCGTTCACGTACAACGGAGCGAGGTTACGATAGTCGATGCTACGTATTCTCTCATGCGCGTTCAGCTGCGAGCGCACCACGCTCAGCATCAGGGTGAGAGACAAGGGCCCGTGGACCAGCAGGTCTCGGTGTCCTTCTATTTCACGACAGTATTGCGGGTTGAGGTGGATCTGGTGCGCGTTGTACGTCAGGGCGCTGTAGTTGAACAGCAGCGTGGGATTCGGCGTGAAGGTGTGCTTGAAGGTTGGTTTCATGGGTGCTGGAGTGAAGAGAAAAATCGGGCACTTGTTAGTTCTCATCAATCCCGATAGTCACCATCACAGACAGAAAAAGGGAGGGGGTTGCAAAGCACAGCAGACCTACATCGCACGTTCCTGGCTCCCCTCTCCAACTCGGCCCGCACCTCTTCGGGACTCTTGTGCTTCATGAACACCAGCGTCCGGCTTTCCGTTATCGCCTCGGCGCCCTCGGCAAAGGTGTCACCGTTTCCGTAGCGCCGCTGCACGTCCACGAAGATCTTCTCCTCGCCCTCCCTGCCCTTCACCTTCACATCCGTGATCTTCTCCAGGCAGGCCGCCTTCTGTCCCCGGGTATACAGGGGCTCATGCCAGGTGATCTGGCCGCCGGCCCACATGCGCCGCTCGAACGGGGCGCCGGGCAGGCAGTACGGATCCGTGCCATCCGCGACGAGGAGGGAGGGTTGCAGCTGCAACGGAAAATGGATCAGGTGGTACGCCTCGGCCAGCGGCGCGGCGGGCGGGTCGGCGCTGCTGTTCTTCTGGATCGGGCTCGCCGGGAGGGCAGATGCGGGGAGGTGGTCAGCGAGCGAGGCGTTGAGGAGTAGCGAGGGCATCGGGGAGAGGTAGTCAGGCGTCAGGACTTCGGGGCGGGCGAGGAGAGAGGCGCGAAGGGCTTTCAGGTCAACGGGGGAGGAGATTGACGGAGGATTGAGGGTCGCGCAGTAGGCGGCATGATTGATTGGGCTCGACGAGGAGGAAGAGTAGGCGCGGGATGATTCCGAGAGGTGGGAGGAGAGCTGGGTCAGCCGGCGTAGAGGAGAGGTGCGGGGAGAAGTCATCTTGTCATGATAGTGCGAGCTTGGAAATAATGTGCAGTCGAGGGTGTACTGGGCTGCGGCGCAAGACTCCGCGCAGGACTACGACAGTAGCAAGAAAGTCAATCGACGAGGCTCAAGCTCAATTCTGAAGCATGCGAAAGGTCTAACTTTCCTCTCGCAACGGAAGATGCGATCTGCAACCTGCGGATACTTGCGGGCCTCAGTGCGATTTCGCAGCTGGCTTGCATAATCGATAGAGCCATGCGATGCAATGCGATGCGATGCCATGTTATATACAGTTATCAATCTACGGAACACTGTGTCACTTGACACTGTACGCTTTCACTTCGCGTCACGTCACAACCCGAATCCAATTAACGCGGGCAGGCGCGTCGCTAACGTTAGTCGCTAACTTGGGTCAGATACATGTTGGTCGTGCCTTCTGCCTACGATCTGGATCATTAGTGTACGATACGGATATTTCTAGGCAACATTCGCATATTGGTTTTTTTTTTCCATTGTTTTTTATAGCTGCTCATAAAAGTCGTGTTGGTTCAACCTTTGTCTGTTCTCACTGTCTACAGATCAATTGACATTGTGGCTTCTCGTCGTCTTCTTTTGCGCATTGCGACGAGTACGTCTCATAGACTGCTCAGCACCACCACCGTCGCTATGGCGCCTAAGCAGGCTACCTTGGGGTATGTCAAGTCTTCACAGACCACCTTGGGGTCGGTTGCCTGAGGAAGTCTGTGTAATTGTGAAGGACTGTGTATGTTAACTCCTAGCAGCAAGTTCTTCGGAAACCCAAACAGCTCCAAGCCTGCGAAACAACAGTCTAAGTTATCTTTCAACACAAAGTCTGCCAACAAGCCCGCCGAGGATGTCCAAGACCAGGATGTCCCTCCTAGCAGCAATGCGAAGTCGCCAGAGCCCAAGACAAAAGTCAAGTCCGACCCGGACGCCAAAGACAATGCCGAGACCGTCGAGTCAAAGAAGCGAGATCGGTCTGGTCTGTCCCCGAAGGACAAGGCGAAGCAATCTCCAACTCAAATCAAGTCTGAAGAGCCTGAAGAGGATGAGGAGGAAGCACCAGTGTCAAAGCGGCCGCGGAGAAACCGAAAGACAATTGAAGAGGACGAGGAAGACGAAGTGATGGCTGAAGCTGCGCCGGTAAAGCCTCCCAAGTCGCCCAAGGCCAAGAAGGCGGCACCAAAAAAGGCAGCACCTGCTCCTCCAAAGAAGAAGCCGGTGCCCGAGCCCAAGGAGGAGGACGAGCCGGCAGTGAAGGAAGAGGCCAGCGCTTCTGAAACTGCATCCGAAGCCGAGGATATCGACGACGAGGAAGAAAAGCCTGAAGTGGCCGCAAAAACCAGGGAGAAGTTGCAGACAAAGCTCAAGTCGAAAGCCAAGGACCCCTTTCCAGACTGGAAGGAAGGTTCACCAGTGCCATACGCCGCCCTTTGCACCACGTTTTCGCTCATTGAGCTTACAACCAAACGCCTGGAAATCACAGAGCATTGTGCCTTATTCCTGCGCCAAGTACTTCGTCTTACGCCGGATGACTTTCTACCAGTCGTCAACTTGATGGTCAACAAGCTGGCTCCCGACTATGCCGGGATTGAGCTGGGCATTGGCGAATCGCTCATCATGAAGGCTATCGGCGAATCCACCGGACGCAGTTTGCAGGTTATCAAGGCTGATCAGAAGGATATCGGTGATCTGGGACTGGTCGCTGTCAAGTCTCGCTCAACTCAGCCTACCATGTTCAAGCCTAAGCCACTGACTGTCCGAGGTGTCCACAAGGGTCTCATGGACATTGCTACGGTTAGTGGTAATGGTGCTCAAGGACGAAAGGTTGATGGCATTAAGAAGCTCTTATCATCTGCAGATGCCCACTCGGCCGGAAAGGTTGACATCCACAAAGATAAAGGTGGTCCCAGCGAAGCCAAGTTCATCGTCAGATTCTTAGAGGGTAAACTGCGGCTAGGTCTAGCAGAGAGAACCGTGCTGGTCTCTGTTGCACAAGCCATGATCATCCATGAATTTGGAAAGAAGGACAAGGTGCCCGGTACTTCAGACATGGAGAAGGCCGAACAGGCGTTGAAAACAGTTTACAGGTAATTGCCTTCCATAACACTATACCTATAAGACCACACTGACGGCATAATAGTGAGCTACCTAGCTGGGACGTAATAGTCCCTACTATGTTAGAGCATGGTATCATGAAGCTACGAGAGAACTGTAAGCTTCGACCAGGCGTGCCTCTGAAGCCTATGCTTGCCAAGCCAACAAAGGCTATCACAGAAGTCTTGGATCGGTTTGAGAATCAAACCTTCACTTGCGAGTACAAGTATGATGGTGAAAGAGCTCAGATCCACTATGTAGCCAAAGACCACAAAGACGAGTATACCGATGGTGTACCTGGAGCCACAAAAGAAGCAGCCAAGGGCATTGCATCCATCTTCTCAAGAAACTCGGAAGACTTGTCCAAGAAGTATCCTGATATCCTTGCCAAGCTTCACACGTGGGTCAAAGATGGTACGAAGAGTTTCGTGCTGGATTGTGAAACGGTCGCGTGGGACGTCACAGAGAAGAAGGTTTTGCCATTTCAACAGCTCATGACAAGGAAGAAGAAGGACGTTAAGATCGAAGACGTCAAGATCAAAGTCTGCGTCTTCGCTTTCGATCTTCTCTTCCTCAATGGCGAAGCTGTGGTTGAGAAGTCACTTCGAGAACGTCGTGAGCTGCTCCACGAGTCTTTCCAACCAGTGGAAGGCGAATTTGCTTTTGCCACAAGCATGGATGGTCAAGAACTCGAAGAGATTCAACACTTCCTGGACGACAGTGTGAAGGCGTCCTGTGAAGGTCTCATGGTCAAGATGCTGGACGGTACTGAAAGTGGATACGAGCCCAGTAAGCGAAGTCGTAATTGGCTGAAGGTACGAATTTTTTGTTGTTCGTTTAATGATTTTATAATGCTAATCAGGGGTCCAGATCAAGAAGGATTACCTCTCAGGTGTTGGAGACTCGTTGGACCTGGTCGTACTGGGCGCATACTACGGCAAGGGCAAGCGTACATCCGTGTACGGTGCCTTTTTGCTCGCTTGCTATAATCCAGGAACTGAATCCTATGAAACTGTGTGCAACATCGGTACTGGTTTCTCGGAACAGGTTCTTGAGGATTTACACAAGTCGCTGTCGGAGATTGTCATCGACCGCGCTAAGCCATTTTACTCACACTCCGCTGGTAATCAACATCAGCCTGATGTTTGGTTCGAGCCGCGATATGTCTGGGAAGTCAAAACTGCTGACTTGACCCTGAGTCCGAGGTACAAGGCAGGCTGCAAGGAGGGTGTTGACCCTAGTGGTGAGAAGGGTATTAGTTTGCGTTTCCCAAGATTCATCAAGATCAGAGATGACAAGAAGCCTGATGAGGCTACAAGCAGCAGGCAAGTGGCCGAAATGTACAGGAAGCAAGAGGCTGTTACGAAAAACAAGGGGCCTAGCGTGGACGATGACTTCGAGTATTAAACGGAGATATAATGACATGCATGGTGTGACGAAATGCATGCAGTTGGGACACGATATAGTAACATATCAGGGAAGATCGCACATCTGTTACACAAATGCATTATGGTATCTGGGCTCCTCTCGTTCATCACGCTAAATACAGGTCTACTTTTTCGACCTTGGCCAGTTTAGCAGCACCTGAGATATCTCCCAAACATGGTCTGAACCAATATAGCTGTCAAAATTTACATAATTCAACACAGAGCTGCTTAGCAATTCTCCCATGTCTGACACAGCTAAGAAAGCACTTGGCCACCAGTGAGTATATCTTCTGGTTCAGTATCGCTTTAGCGTTCTCAACTCCTGGCACTGAATAAAAGCATGACTTTCGTAATGGCGCAGCCTCGCGGACTACGAACACTTAACCACGATACATGCAGCCTAGATTGCTCAGGTCTGGAACGTATGCCAATTACAATGACTGTTGGCACTGGGCAAGGGAGATATATGCCTTGGTTTAGGTCATTGTCCATCTTGAGTCTCTCGGCCGCATGGCCGCTTCTAACGGAAACTTGGGAGGTTAAGCAGGGCCACCATATGGGAATAATGGGTGGCAAGCACGTGAAAGACTAGTTGACGTTCCAATTTGTTTCGATGAAGCTGATTTATTGACAAGTTGCAATGGACTTGTTGAAAAGCTGCAATATTTAGTCAAGAGACGACTTTCAGCGGACCAGCCCCTGCAGGCCGGGCTTGTGAAGTAACTAATTTGGCCTCAGGCATCATTGCACGCCCAAGGTTACACTTGTTTAAATTTTAGAGCAACCACGGGCTTCAAGATGACCTCTCACTCCTGCTTTGTCAATTATGCAGTGCGCTGCATATTTATCGACAACTTTCTGTCCACACTGACTTTTGTTCATCCCTCGTCATCCACTCAATCCTTCTAGGGAAGAGAAGTATCTCAATTCTCTTGTTTAATCGAATGCTATCACTTCACGGATGTCTCACTGCCCATCAGATGTTTCACATAGTCGGCCTAAGAACTCAACGGAAGTCAGAAAGATTGACGCCAAGCTACAATTGACGAATCCTGCATGTTGCGCCGTCAGATTTCTATATAGCTCTTTTCCACTATAGGGAGATGGGATAGGCAAGGTGTATGCAATCATTGTTAGGATTATTCCGGTTGCAAGTGGGATAATCTGTTGTTACCCTCCTAGCTTACCATGTCCCTCTGGACTCACCACTGCTCGAGTCGCAACACATCTAAAGGGCTCAATTATAAGCTCAGGTCTTGGTTACTCATGGCCTGAACTAGGTCTTATATCGATCCTCATTCACTGTCTTGACAAAACGCTAGTTGATACCGACTCCCCAATGCCGGCACCGTGGAGCTCAAGTAGCCAGCACGCCAGCAAAGGAGGAATCAATTACATTCTTACGTTGTGCTGGGTCTAGCTGCGAGGATTATAAACAGACATTTGATATGGCTACACGAAATCCACAATTCACAATGGCTATGAAGCACGTGGCAAACTGACAACTTTTCAATTGCCCATGGCCATGCATAAGGTTTGGTGGCTTGGAGCTGCAGTTTAGACTTGTAAGGCACCGATCTAATATTGGCGAGTGTACGACGAATAATTGGCTAAAAGATTTCTCCAGTTTAATGGCCCAATCTGGGCCTTTTGGGAGATATACTGTAAGCATCATACTGAAAAGCTTGGCATTCCAGCGGCCCTCGGACGTGCAGCATATAGGAGCACCTATTGAGTTTAGTGTCGGACTCGCAGGAAAGCTTACACCATGCCATTCCATCTTAGCCGACATCTTAATGCGCGCCTTCAAGGGAATTTAAGGTTTTTTTTATTTTTTTTAAGTGACAGTATGTAAGTAGAAGGTGATCCTATGATGGCTAAAATATATAGAGCAAATCGATTCTGGTATTTACTTTGACTGATATATGAGATCCAGGCATGCCTTGAGGACTGAGATGTGCTCAACTAAGAATCTCTAATCTCTAGTTGAGGCTAGTTAGATACAAGATGTATTACCAATATACCTCCGTGTCGCCGGCGTTCTGACTTTCGCTGCAAGCAATGGTTCGAAAAAATGGGGGGAAGCTGCCAATCTACCCTTAATACTGCCCAGGTGTTCACCGGGTCACTGGCTGAGGACTCCAGTATTGATCTACGGTCAGTAACGTTAGTTGCAGATCCGAGGCACTAACACCAAAGCATCAACGGATTGAGCCTTAGCCTAAGGTTAGTCTAGTCCATTAAGCTGTCAGATAAGCCTTTTTTTCCAAAGATTGAACGCAAGATTCATAAATGAATTGACCAGACCTCAATTGAAGTGTTTCACACGTATGTGCGCATGGTTAGCGGCACGTCATCATAGCAGAGCCATGTTGCGAGAAAAGAATAAGCTACCGCCCACATCGCTGCAAGATCTGCTGTTCGGCGTGGCTGTCCACTGACACCTAAGTGATTACTCTTGGTCAGATTAGAATCACTATAACCCGACATTTCACATGACAGGACCGAAATGAGTTGTTGATAGTTAGAGTTTATCCAGCACGCGCTTGCCCATTTTGGGGTCATATGTCGGCTGTCGCGTATACGGGAATGTTATCACAACCTCTGGACTAGTAATGATCACCAAGTAGCGGCAGGACATACACGCGGCAGATACGAAGGGGCACACACTGCAAATCAAGCAGCTTATCACACATGTTATTTTCTTCATTGGCAGCTTTGAACATGATCAAAATCGAATTTGTGTGGCTGACCGGAGATCCGTTTCTGTATGTACGTATAGTCCGGAGAGTGGGCTTTCTAGTCCTTAGCTACACCAAATCTTGAATAGCTCATTTTAAGATCGTCTCTCAGTGTATATATGATGAATAGATAGTTAGCCAACAAATTAGCCTCGCAAGTAATGGGTCTTCGTGTAGCTATATGTCGATGTGGTCTAAACGATGGATACGCCTTTCGCCGACGCTGTTTACCAGCGGATTCGCAAGCTAGCCCATAATTATGGCATGATTCGCACTTGTATTGATACGATGGCGATGTATTTTCTTAGCATGGATAGAAAATTCGGTGTATAAGGACCCTGCTCACTTGTCCAATTCGTTTGAGAGACCTGGTAATTGAAACATTGCGTTCTTAGTCACTAACTTGATTCCATACCACCTGACTAATCTTCAATTCATTATTGGTTTTGGTAGTATTAATGATGCTAGGCTCTATCTTATTCTCAAGCTTTATTCTTGCCCCGTGTGCTTTTTCAGCTCCTAAAAAGAAGAAGTGCAAGACTCGTAGTTCCAGCTGCAGCTTTGACTCTGCTGAGTCGCCAAACTGCTGGGGCCAGTACTCCATAGATACGAACTACTATAATGTATTCCCGAAGACGGGTATGACACGCGAATACTTCTTCGATGTTCAAGAAGGAACCGCTGCATTCGACGGATTCGAACGGGACGTTATGACCATCAACGCACATTTTCCAGGGCCAACTATCGAGGCTGATTGGGGTGACGAAATCGTCGTCCATGTTACGAACTCGGTCTCAAATAACGGCACCAGCATTCACTTTCATGGAGTGCGGCAGTACCTGACCAACGATCAAGACGGCGTAGCTTCTGTTACCCAGTGCCCTTTAGCTTTCGGGGAGACGATGACCTATGAATGGCAAGCCAACCAATACGGTCATAGTTGGTATCATTCCCACTATGCCCTCCAAGCTTGGAAGTAAGCAGACTTCGGGATCTCTTTTTACCCTTTCATTATATCCTTCAAGCGTATGCTGTCCATTGAGACATTGATCTTTTTGTGACTGTTTCACGGTACTCCCGAAGACCCCCACCCAGACCCATCACGAAGAAACAGTTACTAACCGCTAATATTCCAGCGGTGTTATGGGCGGCATTGTAATACGTGGACCTGTTACGGCACCCTATGACGAAGATAAAGGGATTTTGATTTTGAGTGACTGGTTTCATGACACAACGGACAGTCTCTGGCAGTACACCGCTAAGCGTGGCAAACCTCCAGTAGCTCAAAACGGCCTTATAAATGGTATCAACGTATACGGCGACTCGGGCAAGAGGTTTGAAACCGACTTCATCAGTGGAGAGCGACACCGCTTCCGAATCGTCAACGCAGCCATGGATACATTTTACGATTTCTCGATCGACAATCACAGTCTAACTGTGGTCGCCAACGACTTCGTACCGATCGAACCATTCACTACAGATGTGCTTAGGATAGGCATGGGTCAACGCTATGATGTGATCGTTGAGGCGAATCAGCCAGAAGATAGCTACTGGATGCGGGCAGTTCCCAACACCGCCTGCAGCGCTGAGAACGAGAGTCAGGACAACATCAGAGGGATTGTCCGCTATGACATATCTTCAACTGCATATCCGACTTCAACTGCGTACGTCGTACCTGTAGGGTGCTTGGACGAGCCTATGAACAGCCTTGTGCCGAAACTCTCGCTCGATGTGGAGGCGCCTGCACTCACAAACCAGTGGGATCTTGGATTTAGCACTTCAACACAGTCGAAACTCTTCACTTGGACCCTCAATGACCATGCATTTTTGGAAATTGGAGTGTAGTTAGTGAGCTTTCATCCCAGACCGCAAATTGTGTTAGCGCATTTATTGATGACATTCTAGCGCTTGAACAAATCCTAAATGGCACATCTGTGTTTGAAACCTCCGAAAGTGTTGTTCAAATCGACCAAAAAGACTCGTTCGTATATTTTGTGATCCAGAACGCTCTTGGACTACCTTTGGTGAGTCATGCAAAGCCGTTGCTATCATCACGACACTAAATATGACAAAGGCACATCCTATCCATTTGCATGGACACGATTTCTGGATACTTGCACAGGGCGAGAACGCCAATTACACGTCGGATGTTTCCCTCGAGCTCAAGAACCCACCAAGGCGTGATGTAGCTATGCTGGCTCCTGATGGCTACCTTGTCATTGCGTTCGTCACAGACAATCCTGGAGTCTGGCTGATGCATTGCCACGTAGGACTCCTTATTTTCCTTCACGTATTCATAACTTATTATTGACACAATACAGATCGGCTGGCACGCGTCGCAAGGGTTTGCCCTTCAAATAGTGGAGAGACAGTCCGAGATTCCAGATATCGTAAATTCGAGTGCCATCAGGGATACGTGTGCCACGTGGATATCCTATCAAGGAGGCGACACATAAGTGTTACAATAAGATTCTGGTATACAATATCGTATTTAGCAATGCCGTTGTCCATCAATACTTGATACATATATTTTCTTTACCTTGTAACAGCACCTACTGCACAATGTGCAATCTCAACTAACATAGTCTCACATCATTGCGAGTGGACATTGGCCCTAACGTTGTAATGAAGTCCTTTGGGGCTATGAAACTCTTCTCGATTCCTGCCCAAAATCCTAATAAATACGATAGGGATTTCATCAAGTAGTTGATATTATCTGGCATGAACTGTAACAGTCATTTACTGAACACATAAGATACTATAAAGCCTTGTTTGAGGAAGAGAGATATGCCTCCCATAGTCGAAGCAGTCCTCAAAACTCACAGAGTGATGAATATGAAGTGAAAAGGAACGCAAAGTGAATGAAGGAAAAATACGAGTTATCTGTAAAGTATTGATTGAAGTTCTTGGCTCAAGACTTCGTGACCAAAATGAAGTCCATCATCATTGTTTTCGGAATAGCTCGTTCCTAAGAATTTATGTTCACTTAAGATCACCTCATTTCCACGAGCAGGTACCCTTGCAGTGTGTGCCACTTTGAACCATCTCCCTACAGCCAATATCTTCATCTCAGTTCACGGTCTTCCAAAGATTTTACCTCCAACCTGACCAAATTTTCAACCTTTACCATTGCCCATTTTAGTTTCCACAATTTTCACCGCATAATTAGTTAAATCTATCCAGAGTATACTGGTTCCGGTATACAGCATCATTGTGCACCCAAAGCAAGGTCCGGTAGGTGGAAGGTGGCAATTAGAACTTCCTCCGTGTTTAGTGACCAATAACAACAAGATATTCGACTATCTCCGTGCCTCGGCTCTTGGATATTCATCATATGTAGAAAAGGATCGGCTGCATGAAGAATAACTTTTGTTCTAGAAGTTGTTGTTTGCCTCGTGATCTAGCTGACAAGGATTGCCTGATGATTGCTCTTATTGTTCTTGAATCTCAAACGATGCCGCCAGAATTTAAACAAAGCAAGCTTCGGAAAGAGCGCTCAAAACTGACTTTTGTCTTTCGAAAAATTTACGATGGTGATGAGTACGGCACCCATGAGGTCAATAACTTGAAAGACTCATCGTAGAAAAAGCTTGAGAAACTTTTATTCTTCGTAAGTAAATCTGAATGAGACTATTAGGCCGCTAACACAGAGCAGAAAGCGGCGACTTGGGCCAGGTCCAAGCTGAATTACTCGATACGTGAGAAGTTGAGATTGAGAAGCCAGGTAGGACAAGAGGACTCATAAACCCGTTACTCCAAAGAAGCAAGGTGCAGACAACTACTTATCTATCACCTCAACTCCTAGTTCTATAGATTTCCTATGGGCAGGAAAATGAGGCGCTAACTTTCAGTAGAGACCCAAAATTAAGAGAAGGATCAGTTCTAGGACTTCAAGGAGAAATGTTTTTGGAAGTCGCTGACGATGTCAACTGCTGCGATCTTTCTGTAGGTCATGACATGGGATTGAGTGGCTAGTTTGCTTGAAATGCAACAAAGGCGGCTTAGAACCTCAGCAAATACAACAACACCATCACTGCCTAACAGAGAACTTTGAAGACGATCCGATTCTAGTCAATTTCCGGAAGATTGCCTGTGTAGAAAGAGGTGGAAGCTGAATATATTGAGGAAGTAGACCAGTCTTCAAAGGCAGTTCTCTCGAGATTTAGATGCTCCCTGACTCCGACTTAGATGGCTCATCGTTGTTGACAGATTACAACTTGCTTTAGAATTCATATGAGAAGTCCACTTCAGATTATGACATCGTAGCAGACATTAGTCTCGCCCAGCCTGTCCATAGACCATGCCATCACCGCATTTGGTACCTCTAGTACGTAGGATTCAATTACCAAACCTTGCGTGTTAGTGTATTGTCTGATATTGGCCCAATACTTTTTTTTATATTACTCAAGCGATGTTGATCCATTCTATGGCAGCCCCTCATTAAGAGCAACCCGCTACTTACTGAAACACGGAGTCTTCAATCGAATACGTATCGGTACACGAAAGAAAGATCAGGTATCTCCAATTATAGCTCTTCATGGCCACATTCGTCGCGTATTTACAATTGCCTGGATCCCCGAACAAGGCAGTGAAATAGCACCGACCTCCTGGCACAAGTAGTGAGGATACCTCCAGATATATTCTGTAGATATTTTCACTTAGGAGCAGCAAGGAGCTAATTGATTGACAATTTAATAAATCACGGATGGAGTTTTACATCCACTAAAGCACAATCGATAATAGCCTCATGAAGGTGTGATGTTACAAGATTAGAGTTTCTTCTGAAAGTTCGTTGATTGAACAGCAATCAAATTGCTAAAAAGGGGCACCTTCTAAGCAAGAACTTGACTGAATTATAATGAGACTATTGGTTAGAGACTCTCAAAAGCAGCAGGCATAAACTCTATCACGATACACACCATCGAATGGCTTAGAAAACTAGGAATACGTCACATAGCTTCCGCTTGTACGAGGATAATCGCAGAAGACCAATGATGTTGTTTGTTAAACTTAATGCGATAGTCCGTTCCTGCCTCCTTCACGTTATGGTTAACTCGGGTGAATCAGTCTGTCAATATGAAAAGCCCCTTGTGAACTTTCGATTGTGACCTTCGACTTTACGTTTCTCACGTTCCTGCCTCTTGAGGGTACCAGTTTGGAATCGTTGACTATATAAGTCTCTGGAATCCTCTTGATCGTTTCTTCGCTCCTTCTACATCGTTCCCTTTCGCCTTTTCCTTTCACCTTTTCTTTTTCTAGTTCAGAGGTCCGCAGCTGCCCAATACAGCACCCTCACATCATCGTAAGACACCAAGACAAACTCTACTCATACATCATCCTATAACATCACCCAAGCTCTATTCCTACACCAGTCGCATACGCCACCACAAGATCTATTCTACCATACTGCTACGATACACAACAGCCTATGATGCCTTCCAAGGGAGGCAATGTTAGAGGAAGCAAAGTCGCCAGAAATGGCACAGATCAGTTTGGTCGTAAGATGGTGGCCGAGTGTGAGGTGATCTTTGAGGACCAAACCCTGTTGATGCCGCGCGACCACGATGAGGTACGTATCATGTTGGAGACACTCCAAGAAGACGGTCATCTCTGCTTCAAGATGCGTTGGTACGTAGCTAGACACATTCGTGCTACACACTCGCCGCAGCGTCAACCATCGATGCAGATATTTGCGACTAGGCTTCGGCAGCACCACCAGTGGCAGAAAAAAGTTCGCTACGGCCACATTGTCTATGACAAGCTCATTGCATTAAACAACTGGCCGATTAACCGCCTCGATTTCGAGGCTCAACGAGTTCAAAGCAAGTTCCATCGCGGTCAGGATGGTTGGCAATACAAACGGGTCACACAAATCCTCGAACAAGCGTACCGACAGTACAACTGGCATAGCATTATTGACGAGGGCATAGTAGACCGCGTATTGCTAGAGGCAGGTGCGGATCTGAACGCTTGGGAGAACGCAACAATTCTCAATAGCAACCAGAAATTTGAATTGTTTTCAGGCCTCTTGGTTTTTCCCGATAAGGGAAGCCAGACCCCGAAAGAAAGTGCATCAGAAGCTGCTAGAAAGTTTCTGCTCAGTCGGGCTCCTCCGAAAGTGTTGGAAAGCCGTCCACGCTCAGGAGCTCCCTCCGCCATCCGCCAGGATCGAAATCACGTCCATGGGCTCCCCTGTCTCCCGTATGTAATGCCGGCTGCTCAAAATGAGGAGGAGTCACTATTATTCACGCCTACCCGAAAGCAGCAGGAGAAGTCGCAATTCCTCATGTCTGCCGCAAATCAAGAGGAGTCGCTCTTCGTCACTCCTGAGAGACCTCAGGTGATGCAAGCTGGTAACAATTCGGGAGCAACCCCTTATCCTGATCCGTCAACGCAGGTGGTGAAATCTATCGAAAGTCCACAACAGCCTTATGCTCACATGGTTGATGAGCAGAAAGACTACTTCTTTCCACAAGATCAGCGTATGACAGGCAATCTCGAAGTGGGAAGAATTGAGGGCGACGCAGGAGACCAAGAGTACATGCAAGCTCTGCAGCACAGAGCCGGCGATTTGAACCATAGCATCGCCGAGTACCAGCATGGTTTTATACAGCAACAAAGTGGGATCGTCGAGCTAGAGCACAAGGCCTCTCAGCAGCAACACAGAATCATCCAGTTGGAGCATGAGATCTTGCAGCAGCAACACAAACTCATCAAGTATGAGAATGACAACGCCGAGCACCAGCGACGGATCGACAACTATGAGCATGAAATCGCTCAGAATCAACGAAGAATCTACGACTACGAGCACGGCGTCGTCCAGTACCAACGCAGAATCGACGAGTTCGAGCACGAGGCCTCTCAACAGCAACGCAGAAACGCCGACGTCGAGCATGAGCATCATCGCAGAACCAGTGACTTCGAGCATGAAGCCACGAGATATCAGCACCGGATCGAAGAATTTGAGCATGAAATTTCCACACTCAAGAGCGAAATTACCGACTACCTGAAGACAACCTCTGACCTCAACAAAGAAAATGGCGAACTCCGTGAATATAACCAGAAGCTCCGCGGGTATATTCGAGACGAGACCGACATGAAATATCCCGAATACACCACGAACAAGCGTGCTAAGAGAGCTAGAAAGTAAGCTCTGGAAATAATTTGCACACGGACACTGGGTTATCAACAGTGCGAGACTTGGGACATAATGGATCCAGGGTTGCTTTGTGGGTTGAATTACGCAATGGAATGGATGGGAACAAGCCAATAGCCCTGGTGTATTCATTTAAGTCCACAGAGGTAGACTAGAATTGGCAAATTGAAACTGACGTGAAGTCATCATAGCATAGCAGAACAGAGCATATCATAGCACAATTCTCGTTGCTGTTAATCCCAAGCTCTTGATCGTAGCTCGTTTATAACTTCTGTGTGTAACATTCGCTTGATTCTTTTTCTTCTTTGTGCTATCCAAGATTGAAACATTGTTTGATGATCTCTTTGGATTCCCCCAGGAACTAATAACAAGCGCAATTTGTTGCTTAAACTAATCACGTTCCATTAACTTCACATTGGGTTGCATAGATTGCATGAGACCAGACTTAATGGTTATGATTTTCTGTTGTGTACATAATTATCGTCTCATGTGTTGCCTTCATGTACTTTGGCGATTTGCCGATAGTGAGCATGATTCTCATAAGTCTCATAAACAATAAAACTGGGCTTTATTTTAATCATCCCTCTTCTAATCTGCGGAAATAAGTCAGCTGCACTTTTTTTATGCCTTTTTCTTTTCTCCAGACTCTCAATAGAAGCGGCATTTTCGGGCATCATCCTATTGCCATCCTTGGCGGAGCTCGCAGCTAGAGTACAATAAGCGTTCCTGAACACCGACCTCATCCGCTTCGGCAGGCTCTCCTGATCTTCATCGTCATCTTGTGGTATGCATATTTAAATGATAAATGTCCACATAGGCTGGATAAAAAGCTGCAAAACGATCTACACAATGGTCCAGAATAGTAATTTATCATCTTAGTCTCCTTATGAATAGCAAAGTGGAGATGACAGGTAGATAGATAGAAAGGTAACAAGGGGGAAAAACACAAAAAGGTTAAGTAGTTACCCGAATCGATCCTAGGACCCGGAACCTTTAAGGAATTGAAACCAACCAGGTGTTGAGGCTGTAGCCATCTACCACTAAACCACCAAGTCATTGCTTAGGCGACTCAGCCTCCCCCGGGGAGGTGGTTGACAATTGTTTGCTTTTCGGCCATTGTAAGACCACATTCATTTCCAACTACAGTCAACAAAGTGCCGTAATTCACCCAGAGTCTTACCACGTAGCTTGCTTGGGCTCCCTCATCGCCTGATCAGGAGTAAGCATCGAACACACAGTCCGAATCGATCCATATATACTTTTTACCGAGTTAGTGAGACACTCTGATAGCGCCTTGAAATATCTGTGGGAGCTGTTCCATCTCCGAACCATTGATCCTATCTTGGAAATTGTGCCCTGTTGTACAGTACTTGCAACAACGCAATACAGCTTGTTTCTTGGTTATTATTTTGGGGACAGTAGAGGCGAATGCGAGCACGCTGCCCACTTTCTCGAGCTCCAATGTCAGTGACTGTTCCCAGTAATATGTTGCGGAATTCAAAGTGACAGTGTAGTTGTGTGTGTCTTTCGTCACAACTATGAAGCCATTCGCGAATCTACGAGGCTTGGAGAGTTTTGTTAGACTCTATGGTGCTAGGCCGCTAATCAGATAAAATGGGTATATTCGCTCTGACAACATCTCATTCTGTTATGACAGGTCACATACTGATCATACGAACTGTCCGGTTCAAATGCAAGCCTGGTAAGGCGACAGTAACTGCCGGCGATTCAGGTTGTGGCAAATCCCCAGTCTTTTGACTCATGTTTCGATTTTGTAATAGCCAAGGGGACAGCATCGAAATTGATGGACATGATGCTAAGGGTATAACGTTCAAGAGTATTTGGCACAATCTTGAGCGTCATGTCACAGGCCGTCCTCTTGTTCAGCGGAATGATTATGTGCAGTCTGAAGTACAGTGAACCTTGGCCTCCGAAAGAATCACATCATGGCTATAAGGCTACGAGACCAAGTTAAGATAAGAGGCAGGAACTAATGAATAACTATTTCTCGCACTCTCTTCAATAATGAAAGTCAAGGTTCTTTGTTGGACGAAGCTACTCTGGCAGTGGACAGCGAAACAGCTCGATAATGATCTGCCGGTGAAGCAGCCCAGAAGACGTGCGTCTTTAGCAATGGGACGTGTTAAGCTAATGGAGACATGCATGTAATCAAATCGGCTAAATATCAGTATGTTTTATTTTGACATATCAGACAAGCTATGTTGACCAATGGGCGTGGTGATGCTTGATTTGTAATGGCGAGCGCACATCAATACTCAAAAAGCTTCTGGTATTTATTGCGTACAATTAGCCACCTTCTAGGGAAATGAGACACAAAAATCGACGAGGTGACCTAAAATACCGAGAAGGATTCATTGAACAAGTCATCACACATTATGAAATATCAGTTACTGCACTCCCCATCCGACTCTCATGGTGACGTATTTTCCCACTGTTAATGAATCGTTGTAGCCGATCCCTACTACGGTGAGTCGATTTCAATAACCAGCTCATAAATTCAAACTTATAGGTTTGCATGTTCTGACTAGCATCCGGAGTTATTCTTCAACAATACGAAAGTAGAAACGAGCAAGCCGATAATTGAATTTCTAACCAAATACTCCAATCAATATAAATATAACCTGCTACTATCGAGCTACACCATGCAATTTGACAAGGGGATTTCATCTTCCCGCAACAGCAAACGGAGCATCCGGTGACAACGTCGACGTCATGATGAGGAGCGGATCGATAGTTCCGAAGGTCTTCGACGACGCTACCGCCGTAGCGATACCAGTGCCCTGCAAGATGTTCTCAAAGGAGAAAATCCTAGCTTCCAACTGTACGACCCAGCGCGCAGCACTGCTCTCGAGGCTTGTCTGTTTCCCGTCGAGTGATGATGGAGACCGGGTGGACATAAATCCGGTCCTCTGCAGGCGTCGCAAGTCGTCCCGTATCTTCTCCGCCCCGTCTCTTACCAGGCCCAGCAGGGCGTGGACTTCTTTGATGTGATCTGAGATCTCTCTGATCGGGCTCGGAGACGCTCCAGTCGATGACGAGCTGCGGTCCACACCATGTATGAAGCTCTCCACCACCTCGAACCTCCTCGCCGCAGTATCGCTGCTCTGGATGACGCGCCCGACTTGGGCCAAGGAGCTCTCCACGAGCGTGTCGTGGATGTTGACGGCTTTCCACAGCTGACGCCGCTCGCTTTGGAGAACGCTCCATCTCGAATTACCGAGGGTCATTGCCTTCAGGGACGCCTTGGTGACCTTGTCGGCAATTACGAAACGCTCCGCGCTTTCTCTGACCTGCTTGAAGAAGGAACCCAGATCCAAAAGGGCATTGCTGAAGTCGGCGCTGTGACCGAAGAGTTCGTTCTGTCCGCCATTCCTCTCGTCGAGCAGCATCTCCATATCGGCTCTTTTTGCTGTCTCGGTCAGTTTGTCAAAAACGCTTGTACGCTTGTTGACATATTTGAATATCTTTTCGTACTTGGTTTGGGTATCTAGGACTTTATTGAAGGTGGAGTCGCCTATCCGAGGTATGCCACACAGATCGATGGGCAGGTAGACTGTCATGATGGGGATGGTGGAGATTGAGCATGCGTGGTATAGAAGTCCTGAGATTCCGGTAGCCACGGTGCTATCTAGAACCCAGAGCGCCAAGTACGATACGATCCCGACAATAAAAGGTATTCGTGTGCGAGCGAGGAATTGTCTAGCGCCGGAAAGCTTCTGAGTATGATCTGTGGAGGAGGTTTCCACTGTGGTGTCAGGAGATTCTACATGTATGGATGTGAGACTCGACCGCCTGGAGACCTCGCTCTGGTTGTTCAGATATTCGGCATCAGCCGGGGACTCGGGGGTACTGAAAATACTTCCTGCCCGGATGCGATCAATACTGATGTTGCAGCTCGGCCTCCTGTCTTGAGCCCTGATGTTTGAGCCGCTCCGATCAAAATTGCCGGCAAGTGTCCGTTGTCTCAATGGCGACACTGGTGATAATTCCGATGACGAAGAATCGATCGAAAGCCTCGTGATATGCCATGGTGACGTTGGCGTTTGCGGCTGGCTTCCTGTTGCCATGGCTCTATGTACCTGAGTGATCGTGGACAAGTCAATACCAGATCGTTGCCAATTGAGTGGCAGGAAGTATTAGTGATAGGAGAGCACAGAAACTTTTCGACTTTCGTTTTGCACCCCAGCATGAAATCATCCTTTGTTCTCTGGCGAGATCAGCCGCTCTGAAAGCGGAGACCGATTCCGATCAGCGACAAGACAAAGACATAGTTTCTCATAGCTTTCATGTGGTAGAGTTTCGTTTCAGGATTCACAGGTAACATGTAGAAATCGCGGCATCGCAGGGGGGTAAGGAGGAATAACTTATCGCCTTTATTACTCCTAGATGGATGCTTGAACGGATACCGGGTTTACCCTCGGCATTCAAGTAGTTCATGATACCTTAACCAAACTCCTAAACTCCTATCAATGATGGCTTCTCATGCCAGACCATAACCTTGGCGGAACCGCTCATCTCAAGACTCGTCCATACGTGCGTCATCTCTTGAAGCCGTTGCACCAGCTTCGCCGCCGAGCATTGACACGACCCTCTCCAACCCTTCAACTTCGCCTTTGCCCAAGTTCGGACCTTCGGCCTGCCACTCTCCATCTCTCACTTCGCCGTCTTTACCCAGCTCGAGTCCCTGCACATTCTCGAGGTACCGTCTTGTAGCACCTTCAACATATTCCAATCGTTCGCGACGCCAGCTCTTGTGGACATTATCGGACCCTTCCTCAGTACTCTCGGCGGGCTGTAGGTGTGGCGTCATAGTCCGCAATGATGTAGACAACGCCCGAAGCGCTTGTAGTTGCGAGAGTGTGAAAGCTGTAGTGGTGGTAAGTGGCGTGTCTGCACCGGCATCCTTGAGCTGGGTAACTCCGTCGCGTAGGAAGGCCATGGGTCCCGCGTTGCCGTCGTCTTGCATCGAGGTGTCCTCGTCCTTGACCTTGTCGTCTCTGGCGCCCACAAGGCCCCTCAGATCTGCCAGCAGCTTCGCGTTTCGTTCGTGCTCGGCGTGCAGGAGTGCGTTAAGGCGCATGCTCTCGCGCAGTCTTTGCCTGAGCTGGCCTATTGAGCTCAAAGTAGGCTTGTCCGAAGCTGTCGCGCTTGTGCCTTGCTCGGCGGTCTCGTCTGTGATGTGTGACGACGAGAAGTCCAAGCCATCGTAGTGGCTCAGTCGTATCCAATTGCGGACATCGGCTGGCTGCACGGTCAGGATGTTGCGCAAAATGTAGATCTCAAACTTGTCGAAGTCGCGGTCGATGCTCGCACATAACAACGTCTCAAGCTGATGGGTGCCGGCCTCTACCTCGTTCTTGGCCAATTCGGCCGGATCAGGCGCATGGTCGTCGGGCTTTGCGTTTTTCGGTAGCTTGAAGCCCAGGAGCGCGGGCGGCGCGTTCAGCAGGCCTTGCTCGACCGAATTGAGGGCGCGCTCGGCAAGGATGTTTATAGAGTTGATAATGTCATCAATGAGACTCTATGAGGACATGTCAGCTGGGGTGGATATTCGCTTGCAGAAACGAGACCATCTAAATGACGACGTACGACTGGGGGGTAGCCAAAATGCTCAGTCAAGAGCTGGGCATCCGAGTTTGTGGAGGCTGTCATGACTGCGGCATCTTCATTAATTGCTTGTCGCGGGTCTGGGAGCGGGAGTCGCGTCGCAAAGCCGCAAGTCAATATTTGGGGGATGGGTAGTAGGGGGAGAAGGAGGGGGGGTCCAAGTTTTGGAGGGGTCCTCGGCCGGGCCTGTCAGGGATCTCAATCGATAGGGCACAAGTATAGTTACCGGGAGACAGGTCAACGGCTCGAGACTACATAGAGTCAGCGTATACTTTAAGTGGAGAATCGATTAGAACGACATGACTACATTAACTACATGTGCCAACTGATCAATCGATCAACTGATTGCGAGTATAGCTCTGAGCGCCTTGGAAGAACGAACGAACGAATGAGTGGGCTGAACAAAGCAGACCTGGCATCACCCTGTGCTCACCAGTTCGAGCTGCCAAAATGAGTGTCATTGAGCCCCAACATTCAGATCCAGGCTGGCTGAAGTCGTGATTCTACGTCACCCCCACTTGGGTAGCATTTCGGCAAACACTAGGTTGAGTAACTATGGAGAACTTGTAGCGGAAGATTAGAGCGGCCCGCTCTGATTGATAACCCTCTTTATACTGTACCTAAGTCAGCTAACCACATCCATCACACCCTCTACAGAACTTCTTTTCTCTTTCGCTCCCCATATCTATCAATCATAGAATATGGACAAGTGGAATGACTTGAAAAAGAAGGGCTGGCACCCTGAGAAGGGTGGCACCGTGACTGGCCTGGGCCTGAGGAACAAGGCGGTGCGTTGAGAGATGACCATCTTCTCTTCCTTCCCCCCTACACTGGCAGCCATGAGGACCTCGCACTGACCCATTGACAAACAGAAAGGCATGGCCGGTCGCGGCGACTCATCGGCGGACTTAAAAGGTAGCGACCACGTCGCCGCCCCTCTATCATCCCTCCGCGACCCAGCCAGCTTCGCACCGCCGCCGAAGCGCGATCCCACACAGCCTCTGCCCGCCTCTACCGGTCCATATGCGCCCGCGCCACCAACCTCCGCCAGGCCGACCCCTCAACCTCCCGCGCGGTCCGCCAGCACCGCATCACAGCAACAGCTGGAAGGCGTGGCGGAACCGGCGCCCAGATCCTCAAAGGGGTGGCAGCTCGACACCACGGGCCTCTCCACCTCCCACCTGCCACCACCGCCCGGACGGACGGGAACGCCGACATCGACTGCGCCGCCTCCGGCATACTCGCCTACCGCATCTCGAGCTCCGGCCGCAAGAGGACCACCGCCGTCATTACCACCCCGGCTGCCGCCCAGGTCTGGTACCAGCTCGCCCGTGCGGACGGGATCTTCTGCGCCACCTCCCCGAGCCCCGGCGCAGACACACCTGGACACGCAATCACGTGCAGAAAACGGATATCTGAACCAGGGCGCCATGAACAGGTTGGGCGCCGCCGGTATATCCGTGTCCAGTCTGGGGATAGGGGGTGGTGGTAATACGAGCCCGCCGGCGGCAGCGGCCGCTCCCGCTCCGGCGCAAGGAACGACATGGCAACAGAAGCAGGCTGCCCTGAGAACGGCCTCGCAGTTCCACAAAGACCCCTCGTCGATTTCCTTTGCGGACGCCAAGACCGCGGCGGGCACGGCGAATAACTTCCGGCAGAGGCACGGGGAGCAGGTTGCGGGTGGGCTGCGAACGGCGAACAGCCTGGGCCAGAGGTTTGGTATCACAGAACAAGCAAAGGCAGGCGACAGCCCTGTGACGAGTCCCGGCGCTGGCACGGCTGGTGCCCAGCAACAGCCCGCAAGAGCAGTTTCGGTAGCCAGTCTGGCATCAGCAATAGGCAAGAAGAAGCCCCCTGCACCGCCACCTCCTAGAAAGAAGCCTGAGCTCGGTGGGAATGCTGGAGCACCGCCGCCAGTACCATTGAGTACGAGACCGACGTTTTAGATTCCGTGCTTGACGCAAATCTCATGTCCATGATATCTGGTCGACTTGGGGTCGCCTTGTTACGCGTTTGACGAATTGCATTTACAACAACTCTCAAATAGCACCGGCCTGGCGTTGTGCATGGGCACTAGGATTTTGTATGTTGAGCTCGACGAGTTCGCTCCTCTACGGTGGTGATTGACATCTCACCATCGGTAACGCTACCCCTGGCGAATGGCACGTGCATGCCGTTGACAATCGGAGCGACACTGACAAGTCAAATAGCACCGCCATCACACAATCATTTTTGCAAATTGGTAAAATATTGTAACTTCATAACTTGATTCATTTTTCATGCCCATAACGGTCGCGGTTTTGGCGACATCGTAGATCTATGTGACGAAATTTTGTGATACGCAGAAAATCCCAGAAAACACCCTTCCACATGCTTAAACCTTCTCACCCTTGAGAGCGTGCTTCCAGAAGGTGAAGTAGGGGGTGACACCATCCTCACGGTAGTTGAGGAGAGCGACGTGTTGGTCATCGTTGTCACTGGGACCAGCCTCGCCAATGTAGAACTCGTAGTCGCCAATGTTCTTCAGAACCTTCATCATGAAAGCCTGACCCTTGGTCTTGAAAGCATCCTTCTCCGCATCAGAGGCACCGGACTCGTCCATGTGGGCCTTGACTCGCTTGATGAAGGCTGATCAAAAATATTAGTATTTATACAGTTCGGCGGTTGGAAGGGTGTCTCCCAGTCGGGAGCGGACGTACGCTTGATGTGAGCCTTGTAGCCGGCCTTGTCCATGGGCATCTCCTGGAGCTGGAAGGAGTGGATAATGTTGTTGACCTTCTTGGTGCCGTCCTCGGTGCCCTCGTCGGCCTCCTCAGCGGAAGCGTTGGCACCAGTGTCTATTACAGAGAAAACGGCGTCAATACGGTGTGGCCTAGGATTGATACGGGCAACGGAGGGTCCAACGTACCGAAGCTCTCGCCACCGACAGTGATCATGGCGCAGTCGGCCTCGTAGAGGATGCCATCGACCTCCTTCAGGTCGTACGAGTCCGAGATGAGCTCAGAGCCAGTGGTGATGTCCTGCGATTGCGGGGTTCAGTAAAGTTGTTGATCCAGATTGCGGGGTGGGTTTTGAGCGTGGGAAGCCAGCGCAAGATATAGATTGGTACTCACCTTGAAGATAATCATTTTGATGGTGAAGCGATGCGACGCACGAGTGTATGGCAAAAAGAGAAGTGAAGATGAAAGGAAGGGAGAGTGAAGTTTGCGTGGAGAAGGATGGCTATCGCAGAAGAAAAAGACCACTTCACGAAGGGTATCGAAGGAGGGGCAGAAAGAAAATCGAGACTGCCTCAAATTTGACAGGCTGCAGGAGAGAAAAACAAGTGGACCGGCTTGGGGGAGCCAATCAACTAATGGCGGGGCACGCGGTTAAGCCCATCGTGGTCTAGCTGCCATCATAATCGCCTTTTCTGGCCATACAGTAGTTACTGGATGCTGGATACTGGATGTTGGATGCTGGATCTTCATAATAAATGCGCAGAATGCACCTTGACATATTTGGCTTTAGGCGTCTCCTCCCAGTGCTGTTTTCACCTACCCAGACATGCTCAGTTATGCATCTGCCACGTTTCTCAAGCCCATCATAGCTACTGGCTTGATTAGTTGGGCCCAGCCTTGGTCTGCAATGGCATGCGTAGTAGATATTCTTCATAAAATAGTAGCGAGACTAGATAAATACTAAAGTACTGCGGAGCGTAAAAAACTCCGGGTATCACGAACACGACATGCGATGAAATGCACGTGTTGGTCTAGTACTAGTACCGTACCGTGTACTACATAGTATGTATGAATTTATTACTAGCGCCCGGCGGCTCTCCAGTTTCAATCTGTGACTTTGGGTCAATTTGCCACTCGACTCTACTTGTAAGCGGCTAGGTTGGGCTACAAGCGACATATGTACGTACATAATTACATACAGCTAGCTAGCTGCAGTTCCCAATTCCATCATTCAATTGGCAAGCAGATGTGTTACTGTCTCAGCCTGTTAACTGTCGCTGCAGGCTACATATAGTGGGATAGGTCAGGATGCCAATCTCGTGACCCGTGAGCGAGAGGAGCCCGAATTGCTCATGTCATGGCATTGTTTGGCCAAAATGGCACACTGACTCTAGGGTCCAACTTGCAACTGTCATCCGATGATCGATCCAAAGAGTCCCACAAATGTTTAAAAACAGGCGACGCCGGAAAGGATGGCAAAGTTCTCAAGGCGGCCACGGACAAGCGAAATGAGTTTAAAAGGAGAATCGGAGCTATCGGCATTCTAGCTCGCGCTCGCCCTCCAAGCATGCGTTTGCACTTGTCGTCAGACAGCGGGTAGGAAAGAATGATGAGCAAGCATTTGATTCTTGAATCGAGTCGAATCCTAATCCAATTAATGTGAACCTTCCCGTTCGCAACCTCATTTCATTAGATCTAATGCTTATGCGCATTCTAACCTCATCAATTCTTTTAATTCTCACTCACACTGGCACACCGACCCAAATCTAGAAGCCCTCTCATTCACTCATTCATTCATTCATTGCTCCAGACCTAGACTACATACAACGCAACCCAACCCAACTAGGTGGTTGCTTACATATCCGACCTGACTAAACTCGACTCTACCCCCAATTGTCACCAAGCCTCTAATCAAAGGAAACCTCTTTTTCGCCACCCGCGCTACCCGCAATCAACAGCTATTTTGACGCGAAACACGCCCCGACACTACACAACCGCCTCAATGGCTTCGAACGTCACGATGCCAGAGGCCCTCCCACCTCTACCCTCTTACGAGCTGACTCCCATGCGAAGCCTCATACCAGGACTTGACGACTTCTACTTGTCACTCATTGCGCCCGTCATTGCCTACTGGGCCGTCTCCATCATCTTCCACGTTATCGACACCTACGACATCTGGCCGCAGTATCGACTACACACTCCCCAAGAAATCGCTGCTCGAAACCGCGCAACAAGATACGAGGTGTTTCGCGATGTCATTGTTCAGCAGATCATTCAGACAATCGCCGGCGCTGCTCTCGGCTGGATGGACCCGCCCCAGATGACTGGTATGGAGAACCACGATGTTGCAGTCTGGGCAACCCGCATTCGGCTTGCGCAAAGAGCTCTGCCCGCCATGCTCGGACTTATTGGCCTCAATGCTGCTGGCTTGGCCAAGACCATGTCCGTTTCGCACCCCCTACTTGCTGGAGCGCTCTCTGGCGGTCACTACCCTTTTCTGACCACCGGACTCGCCGGACCTGACGGGACTGCTGTGCCCACCTTTGCAGCCTGGGAGTTGGCGGTCGCAAAGACAATCTACTGGCTTGTTTTACCCGCTATCCAGTTCTTCCTGGCCGTGTGCTTCGTCGATACTTGGCAATACTTTCTACACCGTGCCATGCACATGAACAAGTGGTTGTACAGTATGTCACTGTCATCTGTGAACATAAAACGTTACCTGCTAACATGACATCTAGCCAAATTCCACTCGCGACACCACCGACTCTACGTCCCTTATGCTTATGGAGCCCTCTACAACCACCCCTTCGAGGGATTCCTCCTAGATACTGCTGGCACTGGTCTTGCCTACCTTGCCACTGGCATGACTGCACGACAAGGCATCCTCTTTTTTACTGCAGCCACCATCAAGACCGTGGACGACCACTGCGGTTACGCACTACCTTGGGATCCTTTACAGCATCTTTCTGGTAACAATGCCACATACCATGACATTCATCACCAGAGCTGGGGTATCAAGACAAACTTTTCTCAGCCCTTTTTCACCATCTGGGATAAGGTACTTGGCACCATGTGGGTGGGCGATACGTCATTAAGATACGAACGGTCAAGAAAGAATGCTGCTGATGCGGTCGCCGCTGAAGCTCAGAAGGCGAAAGCTATGTAAAGCGTAATCTGATTACAACGCACTCGTTACGTGCAACTTCTTTGTGTGTATGATTCTAGGGATATTTTGGTTTCGGCGATAGGATAAGCGGTGGCAAACTGCTATGAACGTTGGGAAGCATTGGCTGGGCGTTTGTTTTGACTGGATCAGAGTCGGAGAGTGCACATTTTGGCGCGCCTCAAGATTTCATACGGCCTCGAGTTTCTAGACCTGCACCAAGCGCCGAAAGCTGCCTGACAGCCATGAAGAAACTTAAAAAGGCCGCTGTATAACAACAGTGCTGGACAGCTAGCAGAAGAGAACCCCGAAACCCGTCACTCGCTAATTTACAGACTACTTCCTCTCAAAGGTCGAGATTCTGCTGTTTATAGCTAATGATAATACTGCCATAGTGGCAAAACTTATATCAAGTATTGAGATACCTTGTGTTACACCGTCTGCAGTAAATAGCTCACCATCAATATGCTCATCAACCAACCGATGGAAAATATATTATTGGCTCTGTTGACACTGTCCCGACTATTGAACGGCGAGGTGTCATGGACTCCTCAAGGCCACAGTATACTTGTCTGGTACAAGATGAATTTAAATCGTCCAATGTAGAGAATCAAGCATCACCCCCGATAGGTGAAACATTTCATTGCCAAGGAAGGACATGTAGCAGCTTGAATACAAGCGCACTACGCCAATCTGTCAAGGTCAGGACATACATTTACGTATAAAAATGAATTCAACCTCAAGCAAACTTCAATTTTGTCTCAATGCCGAACCAGCTAAGCAGGATGGCCTGGTGGGAGTTTCTGGCGATCCAAACAACCATTAATGAGCTTTCAATAACTCAACTAATCGCTTCGTGGCCTTCCTACGAGCGACTCCTACTCAACTCGCTCTGCGCCGTGGCCGTTGGACCGCCCTTCACCCTCTGTCCGCCCGTGATCTTCTTCTCACCTTCCGTGATGTCATGCAGGTTCTGCGGGTTGATGGGTTCATTCGCGTGCTTCTGAGCCTGCGCAGTCGGCCCGCCCTTCACCGGCTCCTCACTGCCTGTCAGCCGTTTCTCCGCGTCCGTGATGGCGGAGATGGTGTTGGAGTCCAGCACCCCTGAAGGCTGCTCTGCTCCTGTCGCTGCCTTTGGAAGGAAAGAAAAAAAACCATCCCGTTAGCGAAATTATGCATGCTCGATGGTCACGGGATTGCTTTCTTACAAGATCTGCCACCCTCTGTACGTAAGCCGCGGGACCTCCCTCGATGGGTCCGTTGAGGCCGGTAAGCGCCTGCTCGCCCTGCATGATCGCCGAGATGACAGCCGGTGTCAGAGGCTGACCGGCGTGTTTCTGGGCCTGAGCGGTCGGGCCATCGGGCACTGGACCGTCCGCGCCGGTGATGAGCCTTTCCCTCTCCGTGATGGCCGACATGGTATTTGGGTTCAGGTTGGCCGCGGCAAGTCGGAGCGGAGACGTGTGGAAGCAGGCTGTTGTCATGGGCGTGCGAGCAATATTGCTGGAAATGTATGCTGTCTGCGCGAGGCGCATAGAGCTGGAGAATAGTCTGCGAGACATACTTGCTGTCTGACCTGCAGTTTTGTTGTACAAGCGTGATTTACTACACAATTAATTTGAAGGCTTCGCATAAGGGATATAGTGTTATCACATATGGTGTCCCATATGATCTCAGCAAAGTTGAAAACCTATATACATCGACATTCCAGATTTACAATCCATGATGTCGAACATATATATGTGTGCATCATAGCAACGACATTGTCGATCAAGTGAGATCATGCGGCCCGTACCTGCATTAGTGTATGAGCACACCACGGCTCCACCAGACTCGTCTCACCTGGCCTGACACGCCAATACGCAAGACGTGATGCACATTTTCAACATCCCAGAATTACACCAGCCGCTAATTCAGAGAGAAAAACATAGGCGCCGAGCGCCTGCTGCGTCTAGAAAACTGCCATGTGCTTACTGACTGCGCAACATGGCCATCAAGGATATTCGGGTATTGGCTTGGAATGATCTTCTCGGCGAATAAATCCCCAAAAGGTCATCATAATCGTCATACACCCAATCGTCGTCTGCTTGCAGTTCTTCGGGCTCCCGAACCTCGCTGGTGTGCTGCCAGGCCCAGATGAGCTCAACGCTCGCCCTTTTGAGGACGCCTTGCCATTCTTGTATCTGCGAGGCATGACCCAGAGCATTGTCTGGAGATGCACCCGGCGATGGAAGGGCTCTAAATGTCACCCGGCGGATGTTTGGGAGTGTACCTGCGCGACGATCTTCCGCGAGATTCGTAAAGAGGGCTGACAATATTTGGTCACGGTTTCCTGCCGTGACCTCCATCGTGGCTAGGATGAAGGACTTCTCGATAAGCTCGAGAGTTTCGACTGATGGGGGGATGAGACGCCCCAGGCTGAGTTCCTGCAACTCCTCTGAAATGAGGCTGGACTCTGAGTTATCTGGGTTGTAAAACAACGTCGGAAGATCAATTGTAAGGTGTCGTAATTTATTGTATGCAGCCAGACAAGTGACTGGTCCGCATATCCCCTCCGTGCATTCAATTGTGAGCCTCTCTATTTTGTCAGCTCCAGCCAGGAGCGCTTCGTTGACCTTCATAGATGGTTTTAGGCGACCGAGATCTTGAAAGGTATATGATTTCATCCAGTCGTGTGGACAAAAAGTCCACGTGAAGCTTTTCAAATTCGGACTGTATCTCAACAGTCGGTCAATCCAGAATGGGGCACTCCTCGAATCGTAGAGCCGCAGGTCTTGAACTGTGTTCAAGCGCAGAGAGGCATTCGCTGCCTCGTCGTGCTCCCTTTCGAAAATTGTCCAGCCGCTGTCGTTGCGGTCGTCGTTGTGGTGGCTAACATGGCGACCAAATAACCAGACCCACCGACCACAGTCGTGTATAAACTCCAAATGGGCGACGGAAGTGTGGAGAAATACATCCAGGAAGTCTAGGCGGGTTCCCAGTATCATGTGTTCATGTCCTCGACTTATAGCATCGAAACTCGTATGGTTCCTTCGGATGGCCGCCCAATCAATAATAGTGGGATCGCACTGCAACCGAACAGTCGCAGATAGTGAGTTCAGCGCTATTAGAAGTTCTCCCATACCCTCGTCTTGAGGTGTATAATCGTTATCGGGAACTTGGAGCAAGACGTCTTGAATTCCAGGTGCGTACCGAAGGATATATGCCAACAATCGGAACAGCATGCCTAGTCTTTCCGGGTCTTTGTCCGAGTCAATTTCATCTAGGATATGATCAAGGAATTTTTGTTTTGGTCTCTGAGCCTTCGATGGGTAACTTCTTGTTGTTAGGTTATCCTTATAACGGGCAAATAACTCCTTGATGCCCGTATGGTGATGTCCCAGCGTGTTCAGACAAGCAAAATAGCGAATTGCTCTACCAGCTTTGGGCGTAGGTAAGTAGAAGTCTACCAAGAGTGTGAAGAACAGCGAGACAACTTCTCTATCATTCCGCACGATGACACTCTGATAGAGAAGAGGGTAAGCGACCTCGTTGCACCGTTTGGACGCTAGACATAGAGCTGCTAGAGTTGACCTATACAAGAAGTACTCGTGACCTGGATCCCCAGAACCGATGGGCAATGGACCCGGCACGAATGCACTGGGTGTGATGAGCGAAAAACATTCCGCAAGGATCTCTGTTGGGAGTAAGACAATAGACAAGCCCATTGTGTCGTGGCATGAACGGAGAAGAAGATTGAATGCGGCCAGAGTTGCAGGCGGCTACTATCTCCTTAGTCTAAAAGATTCATTTGACTTTTGGATGACCTGTGGTTGAGATCACTATTTGACCTCCCAATCCCCGCTCACGTGCCATGCACCACCAATTGCAGAATGCAACCATCATACTCCACGACCGTCAAAACTCTAAATGATGAGGCTTTGTTCAGCACAATACCGGGAATAGTCTCACAATGCTACTCGTGTAAGGTTTAGTATTACTATACATATAGTCAAATGTCAGTACCGCGTAGGATGCCTTTTGTTTTGGGGTTTTATATTGTGCATTTGAAAGATTCTTTTAGGTGTATCTAAGCACATTAGATAAGTAAATATCTTAGGGTTCTGCCAGGTTATAGAGTTTGAAAGCATAAACCAGCATCCAGATTGTCTTTGCGGCACAAAGTTGCTCCTGCAATGATCATAGGTCTATTTCCTTTAACTAGTGGGGTCTATCAGAGGTAGTACGGTTCATTTCACCTACTTTACACTTGATATGAAACTAAACGAGCTTTCTTCCTGCGCAATACAACGAGTATCATCAGCCATATACGTTCAAAATAAGTCGTCGATCTTTAGTGCATTCAAACATTTATACGCACAAGACAGTCTCCGATTCCCTAATGAGTACTGCATAAGAAAGTATACAATATATTTCATGGTTGTAAATAATGATTCCGTCCTTAGCACGTCCTTAGCAATATGAGAGTATAGCTTGAATTAAGATATATTCGCTTAAATTTCTACCTAGCCACGGTTTACCTGTCATTCATCGCATAATAAATCCTGAGAAGATATAGTTGACAGTTTTCGTGGAATAGTCACTATGCCATCCCCGTCGGCTAATACTAACACAACAAAGTCTTTATCTACTTTTTCACTTCCATATTCGGTTATATAGATGTGAATGCGCGGTAAAACTGCGGGCCTGTGTCGTCATCAAGATGGCCATATGCTTGATTCTTTCCATCGTCACTGCGATGGTCCTAGAAGCCTTTGTGCCATCCTTAATTGAAACCAAGCAAATTTTTTTCTTGAAAAGCAAACTACGTTGCTCGTATTGTAGACTCGTATATGAACGGGCCAGGCTAATTACTGCAGTATTGTCAACCAGCACAAGCCATCAATTCTGCTCTAAACATACTCAACTCACTTCCACGTTCTGCGCATGGTGCATGTATCGTGCCCCAGACTAATGCGGAGCGGTTAAACAGAGACAATCTCAATGCATTTCGAGATGTTGCCTACCATATGCCGCAAGATAATATGCGATAAGTGTTCCTGGCCCTTGTTCTTATCCTATGAGACTTTGGTGCATGCACATGCTCAGGCATCAAGACGATAAAAGCAGCAATGCGGTAATAGTCCATAACTTTAATAACTTCTTTCTGAGCCATAGAATGATTCTTGAGACAGACAATTCTGGAGCTTTGCGCTTATACGGTACTTGGTAGAATGTGGCTCAGTCAAACTCCATGCGTTAGATCAGCTTTGGTCCTCGGCTCTCATCAGAACGGAGATAAGCAAGCCACGAACACACATGCCCAAGCTTTTGACTTGCTTAATGGTGGCTCGAAAACGATCTGCTGCTTAGGCTGTGTGGCTTGTTCCTTACCTGGCTAACGGGTTCATTATTTTTCGTTTTGTACACTCAGTGCAGCAGCTGTGGAGCTCCTGCTGTTTCAAGCACTGCAAATAACAGGGCCTTAGACTCCTGAAATATGTTTCGTAATAAATGACTTCTGGACTGCGAGGAGAAGCTATAAAAATAACGTTTGAAGACTATCTAAGAGCAGGTCGAAGGTGTCAAACTAAGGCTGGGAACCAATGCAGCGGTTTGAATAGCCACCTTAGAAGTAGGGAACAGTGTTCACAAAAGACAGTATAAGTATATTATTGCTAAAAGAAAAAGAAAAAAGAAAAAAGGCTGTACTATTGTACAAGTAAACTCACTCAATCATCTAGACCGTCGCATATCGTACAGCCTGTTTCATAACCCATGTTTAGCTAGTCAGATCATCCAATGCGGTCCCTCAAACTTATTTTAAAACACAGGATCTCGCGGGATACCTTTCATGGTATTAAAAAGCAATAGATCTGTTGCCATGTAGCACACCCGGAATGCTGCGTTGAACATTGTCAAAGCGTGTGCAGCCACACGACTCACTTTCGAGGTGATTGACGATCCCGGCCAGCGTCGTGAATTCCTTTCCGCAGCTCCGATTTGGGCAGTGGTACAATGCCTTCTGATCTGCCGAGCACCCATCGTCAGCTCATGGTTTGAATCTATGGGAGAAATTAGGGTGTTGTGCTTACGAGCAGGAGAATTTAAATGCTGGTTTAGACTTGCCAAACTCCCAAAGAGGTGGTGGCAGAGATAGCACTCCCAGCGTTGGCGGTTCCAGTTGTATGAACGGTCATTGGCTTCATACTGCGTTGAGCCGTGCCAGCCGATCAAGTTCTTAGTGATGAGGCCGCCGGGATCCCGGCTGCGCACGGCTTTATAAAGTGTGTCGCGAGTTAGGCCTGCAGCTTTTGGGCACGAACCGGTCTCTATATGATGGGTAAGGCCAGTAGCAGTCGTGTAGCTACCAGCACAAAAAGGGCACCGGATCTGTTGCCCACGGTGGGTGCGGGAGTTCAGATGCTATGCTTAAGGTCATTTTACTTGGGCAGCGACAACTCAATGAGCTAGGCGTACCATTTTCAGATTGTTACGATTTGCGAAAGTCTTCTCGCATTCACTACAATAGTTGTGATCATCGTGTTCGTGTTCGACTCGCTGCTCGTCTGTCGGCCACGTCTCATTGCATAGTGAGCACTCCCATTCAAAATGGTTCAAGGCGTCCATGTGCTGAAATCTTGCCGTCTCAGAACGGAAGTGAGAAGGGCAACTATCACACTCGAATGTCGGAGCATGGTGACCTGTAGAGCGAAGATGGTTTTCGCGAGCTTGCCAGCCTGCCTCGAAGGTTTTGTGGCAAGAACCACACTCATAGTCAGAGTACATGTTCCTAGCAGGCGTGCTAATGAATTCTCTTAGCCAACCGTTGCCTGACAAGATAAACAAAAAGATGCACGTTGAATCCAAGGGCGGGAGCCGGGGCAGCGGCTTTAATACACGCTAGGTCAGTTAGCTCTCAGCTACTGCTGGCTTAGTCTAGACTAGACTGAGGATGGTCTAGTGGAGGTGCGGCATCACCCTTGTCTCACAATCTGCCGTGGGGACAGGCAACACCACCTAACGTTACTAACCTTAGTAGATAGGCAGTCAAGTGTGACGATTGTACTATCGGGTTGCACAACCACAAATAATATATCACGCTGGGTTTATGCTAACAGGGTATGCTGGCCACAAAGGAGAGGACTATATGCATAGAGATAGACCTTCAGGAATGTACTGAGCAAAGATAATTCACAAGTGTAGTCGTCAAAGCTTGAGCTTCACCTACGAGTAAGATAGATGCTTAGATTGATCATTGAAGTAAGGACCGTCTATGTAGAGTAGTAAATCCAATCCTTATTATATCCATTCATCCCTCCTCTGATACTGTTGTATCACTTTGGTCGTTATGTCCAACATGTCCGTGGATCACTTCTTGGATCACGCCAAGGCTGGGTGATCCGTGTTATGTAGGATCCGCTGCTTCCTCAGCTGTCTCCCAAGTCCTCGTGAGGTTTTCCTCGACCAGGTACTGTACAAAAATGAGGTGATCCGGTATAACTAAGCCCCACTTGCCAAGCATGGCTTGGCAGAAGTTCCGCGGGGGCAAAAAAGGGCGCTAGTCCCTAAATTCAGCGCAGATAGATTCCCCAGATACCTGAAATGAATATCTTGAGTTCTGCCTGACAGCCACGTGGGATACGAGTTCGAGAGATTCTGGAAATCAGAGCTAGATGAAGAGCCTGCCAATTCTCGGGATTGGATTGATGTGAATGATGCAGAACCAGATCATCAACGGCGCCAGGACCATATTCTCTGCTTCCAAACAGAGACATTTCGTCTTGTTGGAAGCACAGATGCGGCGATTTGTCCTAGCGACCACGTCTGCAGACTGCTAGGATTCGAATTACCATGTATCTTGGGCCGACGGGGAAAGTCGTGGCACTTTACTGGGCTTTGCTGACCGATTCAGTCACATCAACTTGCTTGAAACCATGAGAGGCAGCCTGATAGAAGGGCTCCAAACCGGGAAATTCACGCTGGAAGACTTTCGCATAGAGTGACAATCAACATAGGATTCTCATTTTTGAAGCCGAGTCTTGACTGCATTGATGTTCGCCTTTTAGTAGCATCTATTATTCTGCGCTACCCTCTCGCAAAACCCATCAATCTAGTATAAGACACTGTGAATAAAAACGACGAACAAGATTTATACATCAAGCGGACGATAAGAACCATTTAGAATGCCGCGACTACCTCAAACTGATCTTCCGTCTCTATCTCTGCCGCACTTGTTCTAACAACCGAAGCGTAACTCAATGTATCGACTAGATATGGTATCTGGATTCATCCACGCGCCATGAATTCACTTTATTACATCTAGGATGTCTATAAAGTGATAAGCTTACCCTCCTGTTCAGTAGGCTCGTTTACCTTCAGATGATCCTTCCAACAACGGTCATCAGGCCTCTAGTTCGCGATCTGGGGCTTGACATGACCCTCGAGGAGGCGCTGGTAAGCGGGTACACGCGGTTGGAGTTCTTTGATGCCAAGTTCGTAATGGCCGTCAATGTGCAGCTGAATGTCCTCCGGGCGCCCAAAAAAGGATTTGCATGCGATTATTAGCTGTCCACCATGACTTCTGTGTCAGATGCTGACATGATTTGTGACGTGCGATCTGACTTCCCCAACATTTGTCACATAGTCTTGTCGGTTCAGCTCCTGACTTTCGAAAGTCAAGTCTTTCTCTTTGCATATGAATTTGGGTAAACAGGGAGTTTGAGACGTACTTCAAGACAGAAACTTGCTTACATCGGGATTTTGTAAGATGTAGCCGTTGCGTGATCTTGTTTGTTTCTTTCCCAAGTTATCAGTTGGATTATCTCGGGATCGGCGTTGCAGTTCTGTTGGTGAGTTTATCACGACTTGCTTTTCATGCGGAGGTTGTCTGAGATCTAAAATTTATCTTGTGGTCACTCACACTAAAAATAGAGGGCATCATGGTCTATGTATATATGTGCGATTTTCCAAGCCATGTTGCCCGTTCCATATAATGGGACTCCACGGTAAGGGCTATATATAGTATAATTTAGTAGTTTATAGAGGATGTGGATCTGCTGGAATAAACCTCGATATAACGATGGATATCGTCTAAGATCAGACTTACTGGATTGATCTCTGGCTGGAGCGGATCCTGCGCTAGTGTTGGCTGCCTGCTGCGGCACAGTAATTGCGATGGACTGTGCCATGCCACAACAAAACCAGGAGGCTTGTGTTCTTCGTCTTCTCAGACAGAGATGAAAACTTCGTCAATTACACCATCAAATCACTCAAAATTTAGACATCTCTGGGCTCATAGCACGATAGCATTTGTAGGTGCAAAATCCAATTAAATCTGGCCACCGTGAACCATCTCCTGAGCAACTTATAGTACGCCTACGCCACCAGTAGCCTTTTGTACAGCAATTTCGTTTAAGAACCATCAGCCTCGACCTAACCGACTCAATTAGACCAACCTGGCGGTCATGTCAGATGGCATATCTGCATTCTTCGCGAGTTTGTTGCCGGATTTTCGTGCCAAACCTCAGGTCGCGCCGTCCCGACTGCAAAGTGAGACTCGAACGTTAGGCTCTAGCACCAGTCGGGCGCCACGAAATGCTGCTGCATCAAAACAGTCAGCAATGCCAGAATCAACTGTAAAGCCAGGCGCAGCGCCGCTGCAAGGCGTTACTCGCAACGATCCATCAAGTTGCAGTAGCGAGGACATCCGCAGGCAGAGGGAGAAATTTCTAAGTGAAAAGTTTGGCAGTGGAAAAAGTAAGAGTGTAAAGACAGTGAAGAGTAGCGTGGGGAAAGGTCAAGATGTCACTTCGCCAGAGGTATTAGCATGGGATTAGCTTGACATGTTCGGTCATTTCTGTGTATAGCTCCGAAACGGAGGAAGAGATCACGCAATTTTGAATAGTTTATTTCTATAACACTACGGTAGAATCCATGAAGATTATTAGCTGCACAAGCATTGAATAAGGTTCCGTTTAATGTAGTGCTCGTCCTTCATTGAGTCGAGTTATGGCGGAACGTGTTCAGAGTCGATCAGACCAAGCTGCCAAAGCAGTTATACGGACAAAGCTCAGTAGATCAACCATTGCACGACACGGCCCAAAGGTATAAAAATATTATCTGTAATTTCAGTAATGGCTGTGATTCTTGAACCATTTTGTATGCAGCTAAACACTACCCGAGACGCTCAATTCGGAAACCACTAAGACATAGGAAAATTTATTCATCTTTCGGTTCAGTACCGGATAAACAGTCTTCGTGGGGTTCACATACACTAACGGTAAATAGTTCATTTCGTGAAAAGTAATCGAGACTGGACACATATCTGTAAATGTGCAATGCCTCAGGATACTCCTATGGATCACCAGTACCTTGATGAATCGCAACTCTGCGAACTCGAACAAGTTTTTTCTGAAACACAACAAGAGAGCAACAATATACATAAGTTAATGGATGCTCAGGTACACACCTAAGGGCAACCACTTTAAGTAGCCTTTAGTGGAACAGAGGATAGCTCTGTTCCTCACCGTTACATCACAATCCATATCAATAGACTACTATTGATCACCATACGTGACGTGTCTATCATAAGTGGCATCCAAAACCGAGTTCGGCGACGGCCACCACTGTAGCATAGTGATACGGGGGTGTAAATACTATATCGGAGCATTTTACGTCGAGTGCTAAATTACGAAATAGATTAAGTGGATATGTACGAACGCCAAGTCCTGTACAACAAAAGAGATATGAGAACGCGAAATGATCACACCGAGATTATTACTAGTGCGAAGCACAATACGTGATAACGTACAATCATTGGGATTTAACCGAAATTTAAACTGACCATTTTAATTAGTCTAGTCCAAGTAATAAATACATACCGGTTGAGATGTGATAGAAGACATGTTCTTAGGAGGTTTGGTAGCTTCTGAGGGCGGCGGACTATAATCAGCTAACAGTGCTTAACTATCATTTGTATCCAAGGACCCAAGCCTCCAGAGCTCTAAGACAATGCCTCTGCCATATTTTACAGTGCATAGTATAATCTTTATCCACCAGAATTTATTGCCTCTCTAGTAATTATCTAGTAGTTATTGATGTATTCAAAGACGCAGAATTCATAATTAGAGCTTAGTAGAAGAACGAAGGTACCGAGTTGTATATATATTCGTAGGAGGCATTGAAAGAACTTGAGCTAACATCGACAGGCGTTTCAATGGTTTGCGATAATCTCACAATCAGAGGTTAAGCACTCACTAGTGGCGGCTATGCCTGTGTACTTAGTAATCTACCCAGAGCTGCCCCAAGGCAAGCTTACGAACTTCGCAATTAAAAATTAGTAACTTATGTACTTGATTCCATATGATTGATGCCCCTCCATTCTCACGGGGTAACTACAGCATTCGCCGTAAAACACAGTCTGATTAACTCCATACATACATAGAGGTTGAAGCATCTGTCTCTCAACATCAAGTCTGACCCTCATACAGAAGGAGGCAGATCAATTATTCGCATTCAAAGTTCAATGCATTAAGGTTAGAAATATGTCTTTTTTTCGTGTCATGTGATTGCTTACCTCGATCTCTCTCTGGAGTGGGGTCCACACCGGGTCTAGTACACATGGACATGCTACGGCTAGTTAGACGCACATATGCAAGAGTGGGACTTGTAGCCAACGATGATCTGTATAATTAGGTAACCACCTTCCCTTCGGAAGGACCGAACTCACTAGATTGGTCACCTGCATTGTCACCGCAAAGTTTCGTGGTCGAAATTGCTTTTCTGCTCGCAGTGACCCATGGCGGTTCTCGACAGACACGTCACACAAGCATCAAGATAGACCCTCAAAAGTGGGGGATATGCAACCCCATTCCCGTCTCGATAAGCCCGGGGCTGTCGACTATATTGGTAGCACAGCAGGTAATCAGCACAGTCTGATTGGCAGTGATATGGATGTCGGGAAACGCTTCTAGTCCGCTCTAGTCTGATATGAACCACGTTGTGCTTCCACATAACAGCTACCTCGTTGCCGAGTTTGTCCATTCTTTGACCAAAATCGTTGCGTAACAACTGATCATGGAGCTATCACATTACTTGGCAGTATCGGCGGTCCTATTGCCCCTGTGGGCAATCTCATACTGGATTGTCCCATATTTCACGACATATCGACACTTGCAACATCTCCCTGGGCCGGTCATCGGGAAGTTTAGCAACTTGTGGCTGGCGCTGGGTGCTCGTAGAGGTGCGTACGCCTGCCATTTGACGTATCCAACAGGTGACCTAACAGGACCACAGGGCAGAAATTCGCATGGGTTGATGCTGCTCACCGCAAGTGTAAGTCCGATCCCATGTTATGTCTTCGAAAAACCTAGACCAGTCATTAAGAGCCGTCCAAGCTGGCGCATGTATGCATGTATTTGAGCCACCAATCTTAGCAGAGTGAATAATTGTACATGATCACGACTAACCTCTACTCGACCTATAGACGGCAAAGTTGTCAGAGTAGGCTTCAATCATGTCTCCATTGCAACACCAGAAGGTCTACAAACTGTTTATGCTCATGGCAACGGCTTCCTCAAGGAGTAAGTATCGAATTTCTGGAGTAGAACGCTGAATTGTAAGCTAATCGGTTATTACAGTCATTTTTATGATGCCTTCGTTTCCGGCGTCCCGGGTGTATTTAACGTGAGACATAGGGGTGAGCACACTAGGAAACGCAAAATCATTGCTCATGCCTTTTCCCCCGGCGCAGTCCACGACTTCGAACCGCACATGTCTGCCAACCTAGAGCGATGGGTGACACAACTAGACCGTATGGCCTCACATGCTCATGCAGACGGCTTTGCGAAAGTTAACATGATGCCGTGGTGCACATTCTTGGCTTTCGACATAATCGGAGATCTTGCTTTTGGTGCTCCATTTGGAATGGTTCAGCGCGGTCGTGACGAGTGTGAAAGTACTCGTCCTGGCCACGCCCCGACTTATGTTCCAGGAGCCGAGACGCTCAATCGCCGGGGTGAAGTCAGTTCCACATTAGGTCTCTTGCCGACCATCCGCCCCTTCGCTAAATATCTGCCAGACCCATTCTTTAGCAATGGGTTACAGTCTGTGGCAGATCTACATGGTATCGCGGTGGCTGCCGTTAACAAGCGCCTCGACCAAATCAAGGGTCACAGTGGATCTGAGCGACACGATATTTTGGAGATGTTGGTGCGAAGCACTGACTCGGATGGCAATCCTATGCCACGCGATGAGCTGATCTCCGAAGCGTTAACACAGCTTATTGCCGGAAGTGATACAGTATCAAATACAGCTTGTGCCGTGATTTACTGGATTCTCGACGGTGAACGTCGCGCGCCGGGGACCATTGTGTCTCGATTACAGGCAGAGTTGGACGCTGCGATACCCTCCGGTTCAAAAATTGCTGCTCATGAACAGGTAAAGAATCTTACGTTCCTCAGACAGTGCATCGATGAGGGAATGAGACTCCATTCCACCTCTGCCATTGGCCTTCCACGGATAGTCACGGCTCCTAGTGGCGTTCACTATGGCAAGGAGCACTTCCCGGAGGGCACGGTTCTCTCTGTACCGAGCTTCACCATCCACCACGACAGAGATATCTGGGGTGCCGATGTGGAAGATTTCAACCCGGATCGCTGGCTGAACCTGACTCCACGCCAGAAAGTTGGCTTCAATCCGTTTTCTTACGGACCACGAGCTTGTGTTGGCCAAAATGTTGCACACATGGAACTGGCGCTAATCGTTGGGACTGCATTTCATCGTTATGACTTCAAGCTTTTCCAAAAGAAACTTGAATCTCACGAGGGATTCTCCAAGAAACCTATGGAGTGCTGGGTAGGTATTACGGTACGCTGAAAGCTGGCTACATATTTGCGAGCTGGCGAGGTTCGGCGTTATGCTGACGTTGGTTTTGCACCAAAATAATCCCTTGACAATGAAATCATGTGGCCAGTCATGTTACTTAATAGGGCAATGGTGTCAAGGGTGCTGAAAAGTGTCGACGGTGGGGAGGTTTGTTATTGCAGTTGGCATTGATCCGTACGATTATTGAAACGATTCGTACCTAGGTATTAATAATACTTTGGCCTAGACCCTATATAATAAGGTTACAGTTTTTTTTTCAAGTCAAATCAATCGAGAGGGTGGAGCACTTATTATGACAATTAAAGCAACTCCTAAAATGTTTTCATGTTTCCTTTCATGTGGTCACCGCTCTTTCTCTGCAAAAGTCAATGGTGGTGCTGAACAATGCAATCCCCCAATAGTAAAGTAATGGAAAGGTTACGAAAATTGGTAGTAGTTTGCGTAGAGTTCCTTGACTATCTTGTTTTCTCATAAACAGATTTGACTTCTAACATCGGAAGAGACGTCTACAATGCTTTCTGGTACGTGTCGGAATGCAAACGGAAAGCATATTGCATTGTTGTACTTTTAGTAAGCATCTTTGGGCTTGTTATTCTACATGTGGTACTGCTTTACTGAACATTCAGTCATCTGTATAAAGGAAGTGCGACAGACATTTTCAGAACGTTCTCATGGACTACTAAATTCTACAAAAGCAAAAGACTAATTCCAAAACATGGCCTAGACCGCACTCCAAAGCTTTGCCTTTTTAAATAGAGGCATGACCGTGAGTTTCGTAAGGTAATCCAAAACAGAAGAAACCAACCACAATCCAAAGTGCCGCGCTAACATAAATCGGAATAACCGTGTATCCTCCACCGTAGATCGAGATAAGACTGGCAATGAGGCCACCGAAACGTAGGAGAGAAGCCGCAATGCCAGTTCCCGTGCCACGCACCGGACCAGGAAAAGACTCTGGAGTAAAGGCAAACATGATAGCGTATTCAAAGTTTCCAAGTATTCCCGTGGCGCACTGAAACCCGATGTCTGAGGCCTCACTACGAACAGCGGTATAAGCGAACAGAAAAACACCAGTAAGTACTGCGCTGAGCGCCATCATCCAACGACGACCAAATCGTGTCTCTACAGCAAAGCCTGCAGCAACCGGGCCGATGACACCAACTGCGGATACGATGCAGTAAATCTTGTAGGTATAACTGAGGGAGGAGTCTGTAGTGTAACTCGAGTTCGCCTGTAAATATGATGTGATGAATGCGAAGTATAGTGGATAGGCGATACCGATTGTCAGCCATATTAAAAATGTAACAGAAGTATGTTGAGCCATTTTTCGCCCGGCAAAGAGTTGGCGCACATTGGAAGATTTATAGTCCTGGAAGCTCTGTTTCAATATCTGCATGTACGAAAGGCCCGTCGCGGGCTTTGAGGCGGTTGCGGACTCGGAGTCGTGGATTGTAGTTGATATCTGGCCGCTGGTCTGCATGTCGATGGCCTGTAGCATTTCGATCGTCAGAGTTTCTTGTTTGCCATTGTACCTCGCAATGTAGTTAACAGCTTCTACAGCCTCGGCGTCTCGTCCTTTTGAGATCAAGTATCGGGGAGATTCGGGAATTTTAAAAACGAGAATTCGAATGAGACCAAAAGCCAAGGCGATCGCACCAAGTGTGATCATAAGGTAACGCCTGTGATGTTTGTTGTTAGTACCTCATAGGTGGGTGACGCATAGTATTCAACTCACCAACCCATGTTAGCCTTCATAGTGCAGTTTGTGTCGTCCGCACAAGCGAAATTGGCAAGAAATATCCAGCTGAGAAGGGCCACAATGACTTGTCCAAAGTTCTGTTGGAAACGGTCAGTTCTGGATGTTCTTCAAAGGGTAGATCTAAATGTGCTAAGCAAAATGTACTAACCCACCAGGCTGATAGTGATACTACTAGCCATTGATGTGTTTGAGGAACAAATTCCAGAAAGACGATGCTGTCAACTGGAACGTTTCCACCAGCCGCGGTTCCGATGACAGCCCACTATGATCAGAGTCAGTGACGATAGCTTTGGTATCAGTGGTACGATGTTGGTCAATGGATATAGTTGATGCGGGATAATCGTTCGAGAGGTTGCTTACAAGCGCTGAAAATGTGACAAAGTTTTGAGAGCCCGCAACTGCACATGCAAAAATACCTCCGCTAAAATGCAGCATAAAAATTAGCCGATCAATCATTGCAAGAGTATCACGTATAGTACCGTGGTACAATGAAACTTATACCTGTCACTTACATGAGTATAGTTGCATTGAAAGCAAATTTTCGGCCAACAATATCGGCGGAGATAGACCAGAAAGATGCTCCTAGTATGAGGCCGACGTAATAGGCGACAGAGCTAAAACTAGGACTGACGGTGCTCGTAAACTCATTCGCGGCAGTCGGTCGAACAGCGGTTAGACCCTGAATGATTGAAAGGTCAGCATCGTCTGTTCCAATAAATTTAAAGGTCATTTGAACTCGCGTGCACAGAGACAAGTGAATCTGAACAAGGCAACTCAAGTGTTTTGATGCCACATACCTGTGACCAGAAATTATCCACGACCCAGCCAAAGCCATTGACAACAAATAGTGTCCACTGGAATCTGCATATAAGTCTCGTTAGAACACTCTATTCTTGCCAAAGAGACAAAATACTGATGCGTATCTTTCGCCTAAAGGGAAGCCCATGCGTGCGCAATATACAACTTACTTGCCCATTCCGATGCCGAGCAAGTGTTCGGACACAAGCTCAGACTTCAGTCTGTATGATTCGTCGACAGCACTCCCGTACATATCCCGAATAGCAGCATCGTCGTTAACGCCCACAGCTCCATTGTGAACAGAAGGCGAGGTAGGAACTCCGGACAAGCCGGTCTCAGCTTCCTTTTGAGACACGACTTTCTCGTTGTTGATGGGCATGGTGAGGATCAAATGCTATGAGCAAATCGATTTGGTACACAATGGGATTGAGCACTGATCAACAGTCTCTATAGATACACTAGAATTGAGTACAATGTAAGTCAATATAAGGTTTGATGATGTCCCTTTTAGCACATCAATAATTATATCCTATAGTTAATAGGAAGGCGCGCTGCAGTTATAAGTAAGTCACCCCAGCTGCATGATATTGGCCATATAATATGGGGTGCTATAGCTAGTAAAGCACTAGACATGGCCACTAATTTTAGCTATCACGCCTATCATTCTGGAGAAGAACAGTGGGCTTTTCGTTATCTCCACCTTCATTCGACCTTTGTCGGCCCTCTTGGCTGAGAAATCAATCTCACTGCGAATGCCGAGAAGGATGCTGATATGCTAGCCGGGACTGTTATCTACCCCACAAAATAGCGTCCCAAGATGTCGGACAGCGCTGATACTGCAATCCCCCACTTTCGCTTCCAAGCTCAACAACTCCCGGAATGAACGCAGTTGACATTTATGAGTACCATGTGTAATACTACCGAGCCATACGTCTTCAACGCTGCTTTTATAGCGTATCAAGGCCGGATAAGGCTGCGTACTTGTTCAAATGAGTCTTATGGGAAATTAATATGGATGCATTATCTGCGCGTAAAAGTGGGATGACAAGGCACAACGGCATATGCCAAATAGATAATTGGTTCCCGGGTCCCAATTACATAGGTCGAGCTTAACAATCATGTGTTTGTAATATCAACTATTTCTCATCGTGTACCATACGGCAAGATCATCTCCTAGGCTGGCCGTGACTTTAACAGTGGTTGAACATTCTGGAACAATATAAAGCTACAGTGTTGGGAGAAGAAGCTTCATTCCACAGATTTGAGAATAAGATCTGGAGAAACGGTTCGGGTGACTATAGTATAAGGTTACACACACAAGATGCTGTGGAGTACAGAAGATACTCAAGCACTTTCTTGGCGCTTCAAAGTCCTACCATCATTACGATGATTTTGCTTCGAGCAGGTATTACACCGTTACGTGTACTTACTATACAACCCAATATTATTCCACTTCATTACGCAGAAAACTATTGGTAAAATCAGGACCAAATTTCAAGGCAATGACCGATCACCCTTAACTATTGCCTTACAATCTATGGTCTTTAAGCCCCCAATAAGTCCATATGAGTTAAATTTGAAGAGTCCTTCTCCTAATTATTTACACTGACTCGGGGAAATAATCCTCATGAGCGTGGAGAACAAAGTTTACTCTGTAGCATTGCTTGTACTACAATCTTTTTTGTTGGCCCCAGTGTAGAGTGCGTAGTCAGAAACACGCCAATTGTGCATTCAGGCCACTACCTTGCATATGTGCAGACATTCATAAGCAATACCCATAGGCTCAATCGGAAATATTGCTTTTGACTCAATCAAACGATCATTAATATTTAGACCTGTACTGCTGGTGGCAGGATTTCACTATCAATAGCCTTTTCTAAACCTTGCTTATATTTTTGCGCTCTGCCATAAGACTCTGCATATGCAGCTGACACAGCCTCTTGAACCGTAATAGGCTTGAATTTCTTGGAATTGGTCGCTGACACGCACGTGGGAATAGTGTCGACCACATAGTCTGGGTTACCAGAAAGGAATACAGGAATAGAATATCTTTCCTTTCCAGACTTGTTGATAACACGGTGAACATTGCTCTTATACTTTTCATTCGTCCATCGCTGCATCAAGTCTGTTCGAAATACAATGTTAAGTAAGTCCACAATGAATTTGAACGGCACAATGTGTTTGCACTTACTGCCAAGGTTTACGACGAGAGCTCCTTTCGTCGGCTCAACGTCAATCCAGGTTTGGTTTCTCTGATCCCAAACTTGGAGGCCGTCGACTTCATCCTGGAGCAACATGGTGATTGCACCAAAGTCCGTGTGAGCACCAATGCCTCGAGTCAGTTTCTCGTCGGCATCTTTAGGCTGGCTTGGATAGTGCAGAAGTCTCATGGTGGCGACCGCACCATCTGCGAACTGATCAAAATAACTCTCGTCAAGATCGAGTGACAACGCTAGCACTTTGAGAAGGTCTGAAGCTAGATTCAGGCAAGAGTTGTAATAGTTCATCGTACCCGACTTGAATGTCTCAAGACCATCTCCAAGCCCCTCAGGCCACTGATTCGGTCCGCTGTTCAGTTTTTTTTCAACAAAGTAAGGGTGAGATGTAGAAAGATCTGCACCGATATAAAATCCTTCCTTGAGTTCTGGCTGAGTGCCTTCCTCAAGAATCTGCGATCGCAGCATCTCATATCCTCGGTTCCAAGTGTTGTTGTTCTTGCTGACTTTGTCCTTTTCGTGCTGAGGAAGAGTGAAAAAGTTCTTCGCGGCATCCAATGCGCCTTGCTGCTGCGGGAGTGGCACAGAATGGTTGACGATTTGGAAGAAACCATTGTAGAGGCAGCTCCTGCGGACCTGATCAACAACGGCCCGCTTTCGGGATGGGTCATCCGAATAAAATCCTGTCGACTAAATTAGACAGCTTGCCCTAACATCAGAAATAAAATCGTGTGAGACTCTTACCGCTGAAGTCAATGATAGGAATCTCAAGTTCCGCCATTTTAATGTGGGATTGATGATACTGGTTCTGGGCCTTGCAAGACTTTGTGAGAGATTTGAGAATCGAAACTAGATGATATTTGACGAGGATTCCTCCAGCAGACAGAAAACTGATGACAGCTTCGTATCGCTATATCCTCCTGCCACCCAGGTATAATCTGCATAGCTGTGACAAGCACAGCATAATAGCCATACATCCGAGAATGGGGTATCAGCCGCCGCTGGACGCCCTTTGGACTGAAATGAACTCAACTCCGCGCATTAGCGCTGATAAGGATGGGGCGCCAGCGTCTGGAGGAGTGGGGAGACCTTGAAATACCGCTAAAACAATCGCCGGGATCCAATCGCTGGCTGTATGTTGCAAAGTTCGGCACCATGTAAACAGTGGCGGAATGGTCCGATCTGGGGCGCCAAATTCCCAATGTAATGGCGTGTTGCACAGGCTCACAATCCACTTTGATAAGACATAATTGTTACCAATTAGTCAATGAATAAGATAGCCTATATGGCTAAGCGCATATGGCCAGTAGTATCAAGCAGTATAGTAATCTGTGGGCAAGAGCTTTCAGTTTGCTGAGAACATCATTACTCTCTACCATAATCTTACTTTCTAGACCTGGAAGTAAACAAAATGTGGTTTTTTGGAAACCCGTCTGAGCCTGAGAGCTCGAAAGTTCCACCATCCGGTGCCTTGCCGGCATCATGGTACCGCTCGCCAAGTATGTACGAACTTGAAAGACGAGCCATTTTCTCACGAAAATGGATCCTCCTGACACACTCAATCAGAATCAACCAGCAAGGCGATTACCAGTTGTTTACATATGCCGGGTTCTCCTTTTTCCTCATTCGAGATCGTGATGGCAAGATCAATGGTTTTCACAACGTCTGCCGCCATCGAGCCTATCCAATCGTGAGGGCCGAATCTGGTAATGCCAAGATATTAAGCTGTAAATATCATGGGTGGTCGTATGGGCTGAAAGGAAACCTTGCGAAGGCACCAAGATTCGACACTGTGAAGGACTTTGACAAGTCACAACATGGTCTTCTGCCAGTACATGTCCATGTTGACAAGGTCGGCTTCATATGGGCGAACCTGCAAGCAGGCGAACCCGACGTGAAGTGGGAAGACGAGTTCAAGGGCATTGACGAGAAACCGATTCTTAAAGAGTTTGATTTCGAAAATGAGTTCAAATTCGATCACCAATGGGATATGGATGTCAAGGCCAACTGGAAAGGTCTGATTGACAACTATAACGAATGCTACCATTGCCCGACATCGCACCCTCTGATTGCCGGTGTGTCTGACCTCACGAAATATCGTGTCGAGCCGGATCGCGGTGCTTTGGAGCACACCATAATCAACAAGAACATGGAGGACAACAGTTTTAGGAGGTCGATCACCTTCTTCTCTCCTTGCACCTCCGTAACGGTCACGTAAGTGCATCATATCTCTACATCAATCGGCATATTTCAAACGCTGACCAAAAAATAAATAAAGGGAGCACTTCTTCTATATTCAACGAATGATTCCCGTTTCCGCAACGACGAGTAGAATTGAAAACGAAGTTTATAGGCACAATAATGCAACCGACGAGAAGTTCAAAGACCTTTGTGCCTTCTATGCCCAGGTACTTGACGAGGACAAGGATCTCTGTGAAGGGGCCCAAGAGAACCTCAGTGCCGGTGTATACGTGACGGGCGAAATGCATCCAGACAAGGAGAAGGTATGAACCACGTCACATCTTCACCCTGGCTTACCAACTTACGATCAATAGGGCCCACTTCACTTCCAGAATTCAGTACGTGAGGAGGTCATGGAGCATCGTAGGCGTGAAGAAGCTGCTGGTCACGAAATCTGGCCGGCAGCCCAGAAGGTAGCAGGTGAAATGAGAACGGGGAAGTTATCGGAGGAAGAACAGTTCTGCTCTCAGTTGGAGGCCGAGTCTTGTCAGATGAATGCACAACTAGCATGGTAAGAAAGAATCCCGTCAAGTACTGGAAAGCACGATCAAACTCGCTAGTTCCAAACGTGATGCTTTAATGAACTATGATATTTCGATGAGTTTTTTTTGTCTATTACCATGCTCGTCGTATCGAATCAAGTACGATCCTAGCTTGAAGCTTGCGATGACACTCGATGTTTTGTCCACTCCACGACTTGAAGATGCTCTCTTTTGATACTAGGATGGCCCCTGCACCTTCCTGGCTGATCTTGAGCACGTTTAATACACAGCATGCTTCGAGCACTCTTTGATCAAAGGCTGTTGCGCTTAAAAAGTAGATTTATGAATTTACTACAGGTTACTATGCTCAGGTTGGTACCTGAAGAAACCCGCCGAAGTAGCTATCTAGAGTACGCGCAGCCTGCATGCCAGACCTCTCATCCAATGCACCGTATCTATCTACAGCAGCCACGTAGCCATCAGGCCTGACAACAATGACGACTGCCTCTCCTGGCTCCAAATTACCGATCCATTTTTCCGTACATGACTTTCCTTTGCTGTCAAGCGATGGGACATCATCGAGGTACACTGTCCAGGGACTCTTTGCCAATATCGGCGGTAGATCCGATATTTCGAACAGAGACTTATGGGTTGTCGCTATGAAACAGTCAGTGGCTGAGAATTACTTATGGATTCAGAGAAGGACTTACTAATCAACGAGTAAGTGAAGAATTCACTCAATGCAGTATATCTTTCCGGCCTGGTATATACCTCCTCAGGTGAAGACTTCCGGGGAGTCTTACTGTATGATTGTGTCGCCGCGGCAGATAGTCTAGACACAAGAGACGTGGGGTCGAGTATCGAGTCGCTGAGCGAGTTGAGGAAAGATTTCGCTTGGGTTGACTTGACATCCCCCAAGATTGTATAGATCCTAAACTGCCCCAATACGGGGATATCCAATTGGAGATCAACTGGATTGGCGTCATAGTAGCGTGTTGCTTTTGCCGGGGGCAAATTGCAGCCTGGTCGAGCTTCTCCACGAATATATACAGCTTGCTTGTTTATCACATTCGTAGCATATTCCGCTCCAACGCCTGAGATGAACCGAATGTTCTTCTGGAAGTTTTCAGCAATAGCAGCCGCGTCGCCTCCTGCGATCTGGTTGGCGTGCTCATAGTCGAAATCAATCAGGTCTTGGCCAATCTTTTGTCGCTCCTGCTCGTAAGTCTGCAACAATACTGGCTTTGCAAACCCTCGCACAGCCAGGTTCAGCTTCCAGCCCAGATTCCACGTGTCATGAACACTTGTATTCATGCCCTGGGCAGCTTTTGGAGAATGTGAATGGCTAGCGTCACCGCCGATGAAGATGCGCATAGTAGGGTCGGAGAACTTTTCGGCAACTTTCTGGGCGACTTGATATTTTCCAAACCACTCCACAGACTTCCACTCAACGTGGTATGGGCTGAAAATGTCTTTGGCGCGCTGCATAACATAGTCTTGACCGAGATCCTTTGCTGAAGCCGACTCTTTCATTTCGATGTAGAATCGGGTCATATTTCTCTCTCGAGGAATGATCAGGATAGAACCATGCTCTTCAGAGAATATCACGGTCTTGCTCCAGATGTCAGGAAAGTCTGTGTTGAGTTCACCATCAAGGACACCCCAGACACTACTGCCTGAATTCCTGGGGGATTCAAAGATCATCTTCCGTACTGAAGAATGCGCACCATCACAACCCACCACAAACTCAGCCTCGATGATCTTCTCCTCCTGTGTGATGTTGAATTTGGAATGCACTTGAACTGGATAAGTGCTTTGATCGCGGACATGACATTTGGTGAAGTGATGTGACCTCCTCACCTCTACTCCACGCTTATGTAGGTCGTCGAGGAAAGCTTTCTCAATCATACCCTGATGACCAATTAAGATATATGGCTCTAGCAGATCGACGATTGAGTCGGGATAATGGACCTCACGACCCATTCTTTCCAACTGCTGCGAGGAAGAGCCTCGCCACATGCATATATCATATATCTTGATGCCTAAGCGAAGAAGCTCGTCGCATATGCCAAGCATGCGGAAAGTTTCAATCGTCTTGGGCTGGATGCCATCGGCACGACCGACAGCTGTCTGATCAAGTCTTTCATCTAAGATGATAGGATTGAGGCCGAATCTTGTAAGTGTAGTCGCCAGCATAAGTCCAGACGGGCCAGCACCAACAATACAGACATCGCACTGCTCGGTCGTACCATTTCCACTCTGTGGTAAGTCTCCATTAACGGCTGCGATTTCTATAGAGTTGGTAGATGGTGTGTCGTTCATCTCCACGTCAGGCTCTGCAAGGTAAGGTGCCATCTTGGTAGTAGTGTTGATTGAACGATGTCATCAACAAATCGAGAAGAGTTGTCGATGCATTCAGGATTTTTGAATTAGCGACAGCTTGGTTTTCATGAACTTTGGTAGTCAGACCTATCTGGTGACATACCGACTATACAGAGTGCAGTAGTCTGCTCCAATGAGTAAAATGGCGCCATGATTCGCAGCCCATTCAGGAGCCGATTGATTGCAACCTGTAGTACCATGCACAATTGAGTGTGATCGCAGCAACCTCCCCCACCATCTTGAATTGATCCCCCACTCTTCATAGAGTGTGTTGGCGTTGCGCCAGGGAGGTGGAGTCCAGGCACTTTGAGCCACTTCAGGGCGGTTTCGGCGATTCATCATTACTGTCTAAAGCACTAAACTTCGGAACGCTCCGCGGGCCATAACACCGATAGCGCTATGTAGGCTTTGGGGGTTGTTTCGCTAACGTCGATGGCCACTACGAAACGGGCGCTTGGTTAGAGAGGTCAAAGTGTTTACAACACGAAGAAAAAGTGTGGCATAGTGCGTGATAGTGACATCGACAGTCTCTAAAGCTTTCCAATTTGCTAAATCTGGATCATCATGGCTGTCAAGGCTTCTGTTTGGCAAGATATTGTCTCTAAGAAACGTGACATTCAATTTACAGCTATCAACTCCTTCAGATCAGGAACGGTGTGTCTCAATCTCTCTCGAATAATGTGAGGCTGTTGTTAACGTATATGTGTTCAAGAGTCAGGTGAATCAATCTGTGTGTGAAAACCCTAATATAGATGACCTACTGGAATTGTATCATTCTGGTGATGTCAATATTGAGCAAGTCATACGATCCTATATTGCGAGGTATGGATAGCGCTTTTGTTGTTGGGGAGCGCGTTCAATGCTAACTCCAGTATAGTGCTATCAGTGCACACAAGAAGGTAATTTAAGAAATCAACATTGTCATCCATCATATTCATACTAATTGTGTTTGCAGACAAATTGGTCAGCCTCTCCTTCGTGGTTAACAACCACCACTAATGGCAATACAGTTTGACCGAGGTTCTTTTCGAGCATGCTATTGAGAGTGCAAAAGCTTTAGATGCAAACGGTGAGCCTAGTCCGCTGAGGGGCGTTCCGATGACCCTCAAAGACCAGTTCAATGTCCAGGGTTTCGACAGCACAATTGGCTACGTCGGGCGGGCCTTACGTCCAGCTAGGAACGATGCTATACTTGTAGAAATGCTACGGGGACTCGGAGCCGTCATACTGGCAAAAACAAATTTACCACAATCAATCATGGTATGTCTACCCAGGTAGAGCACAGGTCGAGCGAGGATATTAAGACTGACTGATCTTGATTCAGTGGTGTGAGACGGAAAACCCCCTTTGGGGTCTGACGACAAATCCTTCAGCGCCCGGCTACACGCCTGGTGGTTCAACTGGAGGCGAATCGGCTCTTTTGGCTTTGAAAGGAACTATGGTTGGCTGGGGTACTGATATTGGTGGCAGTATAAGAATTCCGTCACATATGATGGGGCTGTACGGACTGAAACCCAGTGTAAGTACCTTCATCATTGATGGCAAAATAGTAGCTGATGAATTGCTTGCTCCAGAGCTCTCGTCTCCCTTATACTGGGGTGCCCGTTTCCACTGAAGGCCAAGAACATGTCCCATCATCGGTTGGACCCATGGCAAGGAGTTTGTCATCAATCACACATGTCATGAAGAGCCTCATTGATGCTCAGCCGTGGAAATACGACGCTCGATGTGCCCCAATACCGTGGCGACATGACATCTATGACTCAAGTGTGTCACGGCCACTCACCATAGGTGTTTTGTTCGACGATGGTGTCGTGCGCCCACATCCCCCAATTACGCGCGTACTTAAGTCCGCGGTCGAAGCATTAAGAAAAGCAGGCCACGATATCATGGAATGGGACGCATCATTACATCCTGAGTGTATCGAAGTTATGGATACATTCTACTCAGCTGACGGTGGCGAGGATGTTCGCACTGATGTGGAAGCTGGTGGCGAACCGTACATACCTCATGTCGAAAGACTGGTAAACAGAGGAAAGGCGATAAGTGTGTATGAGTACTGGCAGCTCAACAAAAAGAAGTGGGCTCTTCAGCAGGCTTACCTCGAGAAATGGAAGCGCATGACAAGCCCGGCCACTGGACGAAATGCGGACGTTATCATCATGCCACCAATGCCACATGCAAGCGTGCCACATGGCGGCTGTAGATGGGTGGGCTATACAAAGGTATTCAACGTTCTCGACTATTCGGCATTGGTTATTCCTGGTGGCGACATAAAGCAGGAAGATACAGAGACTTCATGGGAGTTTGAACCGCGAAATGAGATGGATGAGTGGAATATGCAACTGTGGCGGAAACACAGGGAAGAGATGGTCAAACTACGACTTCCTGTAGGCGTGCAGATCATTGCTCGGAAACTTGAGGAAGAGAAGGTTCTGGCAGTAGGAAAAGTCCTTGACGATCTCCTCCGTTGCACCTCTCCGTAGTTGCATTTTCGAAGAGCTTGCTTCTATTGATTAATTTACAACCACAAGTGTCGAACACCTGAAAACGCATACTTACTGGCTTCTGAATGCTTTTGCTTCTGGTAGTAAACAACTCGAAAATTCTGTGTCGCTAGTTGCCGTATGAATATTCTGCAGAACTACTCAAATATACACAAGTCTGTACAGTGACTACACATGTGGGCTGCTGGTAGCAGTCTTATATCAGCTGCCAGTCACACTTTGCACTTAATAGTCTGCTAGGACGGTTTCAAGTGAACTAACAACCAATTGTACTAGCAGGCATTGCAAACATGATGTATTGATAACTCAGCAGAGACCTTGTTTTTATTGCAAACTTCGACGTTGAGAACAACGTGAAGCACAAAGCACGAAGGTTGTTTTGAAATGTGGGGAATATATTAACTAGGTTAGACTAGTCTGGCGGTTGTCAATTATGCACCTAACACCCTCATCTCCAACACAGTTCTACCACTTCGTCACTCCACCGTCGACTAGAATATCTGTTCCTGTACAATAACTACTGGCATCGCTCGCCAAGAAAACACAAGCACCTTTGATATCATCTGGTTCGGCCACGCGACCCTAGTAAAGAAGATTAAGTTAATTTCTTCTCGTCTTTAAAAACTTTCGGACTACTCACGTTCATAATCTCGTCTTTCCAGCTTTCCAATAAATGGGGGAATGGCGCCGTCATCTCAGTTCTCACATAGCCAGGACTGATGGAGTTGACACGAATGCCGTATTTGTTCAATTCAGCAGCGATCGGCGCTACCATGGCGCGTACTGATCCCTTGGTTCCACAATATGCGGATGAGCGCTGTGATCGGATGGCCATATGACTGGCTATACTAGCAACGAGGATGATACTGCCATGTTTGGTGCCATTTTCGATCATGGCCTTTGCTCCATTCTGAGCCGTAAAGAACACGCCTTTGCTGTTAACTGCGAAAAGCTTCTCGTATTCTTCGTTGGTAGTATCCAAAAACTCGACGTTCTTGTTGACTCCGGCGCAGGCAACAACGATGTCGAGCTTGCCGCCAAAATCCGACTTGACATCTGCGAAAGCTTTTGCGAGGCTTTCGGGCGACGTGACATCCACTTTGTAAGCTCTTGTGGTTACGCCATACTCTGAAGCGAGTTTGTCGTAGCCAGAAACAGGTTCTATCACGTCGAAAACTGCTATGTCTGCCCCTGCTTCAGCCAGCCCGGTAGCGAAGGCGAGCCCGCAGCCTATAGTTGATAGTTTTAGTGGCTGTATGCACTAAGAAGCAGAAATGCACTAACCTCTGCCACCTCCAGTAATAATGGCAACACGGCCCTTCAATGAGAACTGCACCGGCCACGTCGTCAGCTAAATAGGGCGGGATTTTGTGCTTTGGACATACTTTACTCATCATGTACGATATATGCTTGGTGAGGGACAGGTTCTTGAGATGTATTATAGCTATCGTGTACCAGAAGATCTGGCTGTAGTGTTTTCAATCTTGCAACGATTTTGAAAGATGTCCTACCACAGTCCGTCATCACACTTTACATGTTGTTTTACATGTTGCTATTTCATCCCTATCCTTCACTGTGGAGCCGTACATGGCCCGCAACTGCGTCGGCACGATTCGATACTCGTCAAAGTTGGGGAACAAAGACTAGAATGGCCGGCATTGGCCGAATTGCCTATCTTCAGAGGTCTCACTAGTGCTGCATCCCACTTGCGCAAAGGTGGAGAGTGCTACACATGCAGCATGCCACGACCGGTGTATGCCCGACGATCGGAATGTCGTCCTATTCCTCGGGTTGAGATAAGGTTATGTAAACAGGCGAGCAAAGTCGAAGGCGTACGGCGTCTCAGGGGCAAGTCATATTCGAGTGCATCGCCTGGAATTTGAATGCAATAATATAGGATCATTGCTCACTTACAGAGCTACAATCCAATCTCTGCAATTACTGCTGGCCCTGGATCATCACGAATTAACATCATTGTGTCAACCAAGAACTCACGCTTCAACATGGGCAAGAAGAAGGTCCTCGTGTGCTATGGCGTTGACATCGATGCTGTGGCTGGTTGGCTAGGTTCATATGGAGGTGAAGACAGCACGAGCGACATCAGTCGAGGTCTATGGGCTGGTATGCGAACTCCAGTCCTTTTCATAACGCCCATCTGCGCGTCCAATTGTTGTTGCACAACGGCATTTGAAATCATGTTCAGCAGTACCCTATCAGAGCAGTACTGACCTTTGACTGTCGCATAGGCACTATTGGAACGCGCCGCCTCTTGAAGCTCTTTGAGAAGTATAACATTAAAGCGTCCTGGTTCATCCCAGGGCATTCTTTAGAGACCTTCCCTGAAGAATGCGCTATGGTGCGAGATGCGGGACACGAGATCGGACTGCATGGTTACTCGCACGAAAATCCTAAGGATATGACAATCGAACAGCAGAGCGATGTGCTGGACAAAACGTTCAGAATGCTGACTGAATTTTGCGGAAAGCCACCACGGGGCAGTGTAAGTTCTGGAAATTTGCACTTCTATCGTGCTGCTAATCAGGATTGTTATGAGAGACGCTAATATGAACAGGTGGCGCCATGGTGGGAGACTAGCGCAGAAGGAACCGAGCTCATGCTGAAATACGGCATTGAGTATGACCATTCAATGTCCCACGAAGACTGTCAACCGTATTGGTTAAGAACCGGCGACACCTGGACTAAGATTGATTACTCACAGAAGGCCGAAACATGGATGAAACCTTTGGTGAAAGGCAAAGAGACAGGCCTTGTTGAAATTCCGGGAAGTTGGTATATCGACGATCTACCCCCAATGATGTTCATCAAAGGATCCGCCAATTCGCATGGCTGGGTGAACCCTAGGTCAGTAGCGTCATGCTCGCCTCAATCTTATCTGTGCTAAACTGTTAAACATGATTTCAGAGACGTTGAGGATATATGGCGCGACCATTTTGATTATTTTTATCGAGAATATGATGAGTTTATCTTCCCGATGACAATACACCCAGATGTTTCCGGAAGGCCACATGTTTTGCTCATGCATGAGAGGTACGTGAATATTTTTCCAAACTCTTGACAGCTAGCTCACTGATGCGTCCAATTAGGATAATCGAGCACATAAACAAGCATGAAGGCGTCGAGTGGGTAACTATGGCCGAGGTGAGTTTCCATAGTTACACTTTATCAAACATAGTGCTTATTACTTGTAGATGTGTGACCGGTTCAAAGCGCAAAATCAACCGCCTCCTGGTGCCATGATGCCCGCCAGTGTGAGTAATCCCAACAAGCTATAATTCGCAAGAAACTCTCACTTGATTCTTTTCACACTGCACTCTTCAAAAAGCCCTTCCATTCTCGATTAAATCGCAATGCTAACAATCACGTAGAAAGAAGAAGTAATGAAAATGCTCGAGGAGACCAAGAAATGACACTAATTGATATCCGTCGGGATGGGGTTTGGCTCTCCTATAAATTAATTAATTAAATCAAATTGAAGTAAATGTCCATCAACCTGAGACATTCAACATAAAACAAAGTCATTCATATAAGTTCGGGCTTAAGCATATATTCTCCATAAGTTTACAGTCCTCGGACCAAGCTGTTTTCAAGTATTGTTGACAGCGTAAAATGATTGGTATATCATGATAGTGATATTGGCTGCTGTATCTGAAATAATGGGTACAGTTCATAGCCCATCCATGCCGCCAATACCGCTATACTTACCACCACAGCAGTATTTGAGCGCCTGCTAAACTCACCGTGATGATCCATACAGCTCCAACTTAGTCACGATTCGGCGCTGGATACACGTTCATCATATATGTAACAATATGCTCATGGTAATTGTACAGTAAGACACTGCAATAATACATGCAATGCTGGGCTTTCCTCCTTATCAACTTCGTGGTCCTCATGCTGAGAAGTTGATGCTATGAATAAGGCAATTGGAAGGGTGAACCGTTAGGATGAAATTGCGCCAAGCGAAAAGCATAAACATTGTATCATTCATTTCGATCTTCGTAATGCCCAATAAGCCGCATAGGCACCAACGCTCTCAAAACCTGAACTCCTGAGTGTACTATCCCCCACCGCACCTTGCCGAGAGCTTCGGCTAGAACCCAGACCAGGCCAAGTGGGCTTCGACACGTTTGATTTGTGCCGATATTCCATGCTTTCACTGCAGTCATGCTCAAAAGTAGTTCGTCCATTTCTTTCCTAGCATCCCAGACCATTTCGCTTGTGTCATCTTCATTGCCACCCCGTCTACTAGGCCGAGCATGGTGGAAAGCCCATAGAGTAAGAGCAGCCAAATAAAGGCACCAAGGTACGTGGAATATGCCCATCGAGTCAAAATCATCCAAATTGGTTGAAGCATCGCGAAGCATGCATGCAGCATGATAAGCTGCTTTCGCCGCAGCACCTGGTACCACCTCATCGTGCGATGGGATCGGTGAGCCACCTCTGGAAGTACTTCCCGGGGCCTCTGCATAAGTCACCCATCGCTTGATAACTTTTTCGGAACGAATGTAGTCGCCTCTACGGATGGGTCTACCGAGAATATGTCTAGAGCCAGCATATATCTGTACATCTAAGAAGGAACTGGTTAGTAGAATATGAGCTGCGTGATAAACAGCGTTGTAGGCGGTAGAGAATGTGGCAAACTCTCGACGGGCTGCATTCCAATCAACGGGCTCGTCGCTTGGTGCCTGACTGTGCTGTCTCTGCTTGATCACAAATTCGGAGCAGTATGCATCAAAGTCAAGCTTCCAAAGGTCATAGGCGTCTCCGAGCCTATTGCGCCAGTTCACTCCACCTACGAAGCTGACTACTCCAAGGGCGGTCTGATCGCGGCGCTCCAAGTCCCATGCAATTGACATGAGACCGTGCAAGACAAGAATTCTCGACAGCGAATTTAGCTTTGTTGGGCGCTGACTGCCAGGGTTGAAGAGGTAAGATTTTAGTGCTGTGAGGTAGGGAATCTCTGGGTGCGGTTCTGCGATTTGAGCATTCTGCCACGTTGACTCGTCCTTGGCCTCCCAAAGTGCCTGATTACAGGGCATTGACAAACGCAGCTCGAAGGCCGACATGCATAAGCTCTGACAGAACAAAACGGCATGCTGTGTGTCCCACATGAAGCAAAGCAGGGCGAGCCGCTTTTTCTCTTCTGATTCAGCCCATCGACGCCAGTGGGTTTCAAGGTCTTTTTCCTCTTTTGGCGGCTCCCGAAATTGGGCAGTCTGAATCGTCTGACAATCAGATCGACGAATGAGATTGATGAGCAAGCCATGAAAGAGGTGGCTCATATCGTGCTGCTTTTGCCCTGCCCTGGATTTACCAAAACACTCGACAAGTAAAATAGTCTGCAAAACCCAAAGTTCAGGCTTAGTGCTGAAGCCAGCATGTGCAAAGATCTGTGGTCGAACGACATCGTGTATGCACACAGCTAATTGGTGAGCATCTCTGTTGGAATATGTAGCACCAAGTAAGATGACCGACAAAAGTAGGAGCGGTTCAGTCTGACTGGTATCAAATGTACCACAGTGTATAAGAGCTATTAGCGAAGATTCGTTAGCTTTGCCTTTTTTCTTTCTTGATTGAGATTTTATAGTCCTTGGTTGGGTAATAAAACATGCATGTTCCCATTTTCGTGAACAGGGAATGGTCTCGTTTACTTACGATAGGTCGTATTAAATTTGGTGAAGAAGAGATCCAGATATTCTTGGAGTGCAGATAGGTTGAGGAGTGGGTGATCCCAGGCGCTGAAAGGACCACCAAATGGAACTATCGGTTGTGCGACATCAATGATTTCCACGATGCGGTCCCTTGCATCGTCCTGGATCACGGGAAGATTTGTTGGTGGTTTGAGAGTGGACAGGGGTCTTTCTAAGTCGGTGCCTCTACTGGATGAGAAGGACACTTCTGTGGGTGACGTTTGCTTGGTATGCGATCCAGTGCTTGCTCCATTGTTAGGATGTCCTTCGGAGGGCGTGAGATTTTTGTTCTTTTCGGAGCAATGCATCGATCCTGAGATACTGTTGTTCGGCGTGAGGACTCGTGGATATTCGCTTCTACGTTTGTTCCCAGGCATTGTATGCTCGGGCGGGTTCCGATCTTGACTCGATTGGGTAGGGTCTAGATCCATATATATGCCTTGCTGGGCAACATGAGATGGAAGTCCAGAGTCAATTTCCATTGCACACTGATTTGCCAGTGTCTCGAAGACGTTATTATTGTTTTGTTCAAAAAGCCAGTTATAATTTGCTGCCGTTGTGTAGGGCATGTTAAAAGAGCTGGCGGTGTCAGGTTGGAATATCTCCTCATAGGGAAGTAAAAAGCCCTGAGATGGCGCCGCTATATGCGGTAGGAGCCCCGGATCTATCCAAAAGTTCTCTTGAATATTTGACTGGGCATCTTCGATTGGAACAGACCAGGAACTTCCGTCCAAGAGCAAATTGGAATCATCGTGTTGTTCTTGGTGCTGGAAATCTTGATATTGACCCACTTCTGAGTTCGATGTAGATGCGGGCGGTGAAATGGGGCCTTCTGTATAACTGTCTTGAGCAAATGACGTCGTACCACTTCGGTTTTGATGAGCAGCCTGCTCCGTTGGAGGCTGTTCTGATTCCGTCGCCGGCTTCTTCGGTACAACGCTACCGTCTGGAGCTCTCCAAGACCGTTTCCGAGTATTTAGGACTCCAGCACCTTCACCTCCGGCTTCAGCGTCTTTTTGACGATGCCTATTTAGATGTCGCTCTAACAAATCAGGGCGCTTAAAGTGAGCACTGCAGCGAGGGCAAGTCGCATCACCAATACCGTGGTTATACCTATCTTAATATTAACATTTCTACTTCAGTTTGTGACCTGAGAAAAAATCATGTAAAATACTCAGATCGCCAACACCTTCGAGCTTTGAGCCATTGCGAATTGGTGTAAGCTATGACAAGTGGCTAGGACAAAAGGGCGCATGAGGGTATACTCACTCGTGACGTCGCTGATGTTCTAACCGTGTAAAACGCTTACCGCAGCCGGAGTGACTGCACACGAAACTCTTCGTTGGTCTGTCGCTGGCGTCGATGCCATTAGCGGTTCTTCGTTGTCTTCTCTCCATCATTTCGAATCTGGTCAGTGCACAGGGTAACATGAGATTCAAGCACAACTTCGCTGGTGGCCCTCCACTGTTGCCCAAGGAAAAGCAGAGATTAACACAAAGATGGGATAGGGACCTCCATGTACAAAGCCGGAGGACTAGCCACACCGGTAGCCGGCACTTCTTCCCATGTCCGCATGCTGGGCGACGCTGATAAGGAGCCCCATCGCTCGAGCACCAAGAGTGGGGGAGGGGTTGCTAACAGGTTAGCGTGCATTAGACTGGAACTCTTATCAACTGGGACATGCTCAAACGATTACCCATGCAATCGATTGAGATGGATGGCAGGAGATAGGACGCCGTCTGACCTATTGCTGGTGGTCATACTGGGTGTGTAGTAATCGTCACCACACTACTATACTTTGTTGCTGTAGAATGAGGGTACCTGAGTGAAACCCCACTGTCGGTTGGAGTGCCCCTCTTGCTGTCCCGGTTGACGGCCATGGGACGCTAGCCGTACGCATAAGGGTTCTCTTATACTGGGTCTAGTCATGATCACCGCAGCGATACCTTTGGAGAGGCATCTAGTATGAGTCGAGTTTACACAAGAAGAAGAATATCTCAACCGTTACGGCAGGCCATTCACCATTACCCTGAAAGTCATTGTTCTGCGAATACACAATGGCTGACTGGGAGTACACTGTCCGGGAGAAGATCGAACGAGATCCTAGCACAAGATTAGATGTAAGCCAATAACTATAAGGGGAATTCGAGACATGCATTCTGACAAAAACAATGAAAGGTCATCGTCGTTGGAGCTGGCCTTGGCGGCCTCGGTGCTGCCATCTCAGTACTATTAGCCGGTCATAATGTGACAGTGCTTGAAGCAGCCTCGGAGATTGGTGAAGTTGGTGCTGGCATCCAAGTGCTCCCAAACTCAGCACGCGTATTATTTGGTTGGGGTCTGAAAGACAGCCTGGAACAATATGCTACTATGCCAAGGTATGCCATTGCCTGCAGTATGATCGTCAAACGTGAACCTAATAAAGTGATAGAAAATGCAACTTTATTGGTTGGAAGGGCAATAAGCTCTCGGAAATGGACTATTATGCTTATGCACAAGCGACTGGGGCTCCTTTCTGGGACTTTCATCGTGCAAACTTACATAAGTGCCTGTTAGACCGGGCTGTTGAGCTTGGAGCGACCTGCATCACAAAAGCAGCAGTACAAGACCTTGTAATTGCGGATGACCATATGAGTGCGACAGTGATCTTGAAAGATAGCCGTCGTATGATCGCTGATCTCGTGGTGGGTGCTGATGGAATCAATTCCACACTGCGTGAGATATTCCTTGGTCGCGAAGACCCACCTGTCCTGACTGGTGATCTGGCCTACCGACTACTCTTGGACGGCGACGAAATGCGCAAGGATCCGGAACTCCGGCCGTTCATCGAAGAACCGCAAGTCAACTATTACCTTGGGCCAGACGCACATGCTGTCAACTACGTTCTCAAAGGTGGAAAACAGTTCAACATGGTTCTACTAGTACCTGACGATATACCGCCTGGCCCCAACACAATTGCCGGAAACGTGGAAGAGATGCAAGCTTATTTCAAAGACTGGGATCCCAAGATTAGCAAACTAACGGCAATGTGCAAAGAAGTGCAGAAATGGCGCCTTTGCATTCGTCCTGGGCTTGAGCCAACGTGGTCGGATCCATCAGGTGCTTTTACTCTGCTAGGTGATGCTGTACATGCAACTCTACCTTACCTTGCTAGTGGCGCCGGTATGGCATTGGAAGATGGTGGTGTGCTTGGTTTGTGTCTCGCGCGGATCAATGATAAGAGCCCCGCTTCCAAAAGAGCCGCCCTTGATGTGTATGAGGCATGTCGCAGGGAGCGGACTGAGAAGGTTGTTCAAAGAGGCTCGTATAACCAGTGGATGTACCATCTTCATGATGGACCGGAGCAGCAGGATAGAGATGAGAAACTCAGATCATTTGAGCAGAAGGATCAAGAATGGATGAGTCAAGCTGGTTTCGTTTTGCCAGTCTCCCAAGAAACAGGCGAGGACCCATTCCCCTGGCGTTACAACGGTGTTGGGAGATGGCTATTGACATACGATATCGACAAGGATGTTGACGAAGGTTGGAAAAGATTTCTATCCCAGGAAGAAGATCCGTTCACTGAGCGGGCAAACTTGTAGCAGAATTAATTCAATATAGACTCAATTAAGGGTATTCAATACACTTCCGATTTTGTTTCTACGTATAAGTATAGTTCAAGGACATCACAGGATAATAACAGGTTAGATTCTATCGCAGTATGATCTGAACAGCGTTTGGTACTGAACCATATAGAATTGTTATGTTCTGCAAGTGTTATACAACGAATTTTAGTCTTGATTTTTAGTGTAAAGCAAATGGGTGGTCTGGCATAGATAATCGCAGGCAGCGAAAGACCAAGGGACTTTTCTTTTTCCTTTTCTTTCTTTGTACAATAGACCATATTCACTTTAAATGACACTTATGTATAATTTAATCTAAATAGCCTACGACGAATAGTCCTTTCAATTGCTAAAGCGAAAACATGAAATCTCTGGGGATAGTTGAATGTTTTTTAACATGATTTCTATTCAAGGACTTAAAACGCCTAATATATGCTTATGGTATTTGGAACCTAGGGACGATGCACTAAGCCGTGATGTTACCGACAGTCTTCTCATCAAAGACGGGATAATCCGTATAGCCCTTTTCTGGCGGGCTGGCGCCGTAGAATGTGCTTCGGTCATACTCGTTCAGGGGCCACCCGTTCCTAAGCCTTTCAATCAGGTCGGGGTTAGAGATAAACCAACGTCCCATGACAATCGAGTCCGCAAGATCATCCTCTAGCTTGGGAACTGAGTTATCCCGTGTGAAAGCCCCAGCTGCCAGAAACTTGATGCCTGCGGACTGAAGAATCTTCCGGAAGGGAGTCAAAGAATTCTTCTTCTTGGCTGGTCCACTCTCAGAAGATGTGTATTTCGACAACTCAGCAAGCTTCTGGTCCTCATCTAGTACTTCATCGAATCTTGGCTCCACCCTTGAGAAATGGTTAGTTAATTGCATCGCATAGGCCTATTATGTCGGGGAGCTTACATGTGCACATAACTAGGTCGCTGTGCTTCCGACAGGCCTGCGATTTGCTCACTTAGGTATGCCCAGTGAGCATTGGGGTCGCTATCCTTAGTATCTTGGAAGTAATTGTACGGGGAGAGACGGATACCCGTCTTGCCAGCTCCGATTGCGTCGGTTACAGCCTTGATGACTTCTAATGTGAATCTACATCTATTCTCAACTGAGCCTCCGTAAGCGTCGGTCCTCGTATTGATGTTGTCGTGGAGGAATTGTTCAAGAAGGTATCCGTTGGCGCCTGGATTGTTAGTACTATGAAACTGTATCTTCTACAAGATTTAACTTACTATGAATTTCTACTCCATCGAATCCAGCTTCCACCGCCCGCTTTGCGGCGGCAGCAAACTCGGCAGTAGTCGCTTGAATCTCTTCTACTGTCATAGGTCGAGGCGGATTCTCGGCGCAGTCAGTGCCGTCGAGGTATTTGCCTTGCATGGGCTGCGATGTAGAGCTCAGGGAAACTTTGCTGTTAAGCATGCCGGGCCCTGATGCTCGACCAGTGTGCCAAATTTGACAGAAGATGTACCCCCCCTTTGCATGGACGGCATCAGTCACTTTCCTCCATGCAGCGATCTGAGACGCCGTGAAGATACCAGGGGTGCCGGGGTATGCTGAAGCATCTAAGCAGATGTCGGTGGCTTCAGTGATCTGAAGTCCACCCTTGGTGGCCCGCTGGCTGTAGTACTCCACAGCACGGGATGCAGGAACATGAACGCCATGACTCTCCTTTTCAGCTCTCATGCGGGTTAAGGGAGCCTGTGACTAATTAACTTCAAATACTCAGATGCTGTTCGTTCCGCATACCTGAACAACTCGATGTGCCAAAGTATAAGCACCAAGATTAAGAGGTGTGAAAAGTATGGTGTCCCTAAGGGGGGTGAACGCCGGAGGAGGGGTGAGAGCTTTGGGCATTTTGATTGCTGGGTTGGGGTGGTATTTTGTTTTTTGGTAAGGTGCGTATGTTGAGAATATAGTGGTTCTGACTATGATAATCTGCTGGTTTCAGACGACGTTATAGACTTCATTTGTAAATCCATTCAGGGTGTCGCTTAAAGCACCACCACACTCATCTCCAACTGATAGGCGTATGGCTGAGTGGATATCTCACATTCGTGGGGGATAACTAGGACGCAGAGCACATAAGTGGATGCACAGCATAGGTGGGGGTTGTTGCGGTCCTGATACTAACCTAACCTAGGTACCATTATAGTATAGCGTTTACCTATCAAGTTTAGGCGTAGCGACGATACTGCGTAATACTGCACCGATGGCGCACATTCCACAGCACAGTCTTATTGCGCGAGCGTGTCGATCCATACTATATTCGGATCTAGACTTAAATTCTGACGAAAACGTTCTCATTACAAACGAAAAGAAAAATCCAAGCCGGTTCTACGGTGTTATCGCATGCAACTCTTGCCAATTCTGTATTGGTTCGTGGCGCGGCTGACTCATATTCAACACTGATACAAGATTGCAACAACACTTAGTTTAGTCTATAATTGTCCTGAAAATACAACTCTATTCTATAAACGCCTTGATCCCAAAAGTCATCAAATCTTAGTACAACCACTGGCAATACCCGGTTTTCAAGGTTCACTGCCTGCTTTGTCCCCATGAGTTTCGTCAAACGTTACACCGGGAGCGAGTTGAAGCACCACGTAATGGCTCCCGTCCGGGTGCATTATAATGCTTTCTTCCGTGCTGATTCCTTGAAAATACACTGGCAGAAGTTAAGCTCAAACCGATGTCTTGTTCATGTGCATCATAGCATCCGTGTGGTGATGATAAGGGCTTTGGTCGACCGACTCGAGTGCCACCGTTGTGCGCTCAATCTTTCGTGCAGCGCGAAAGTTGTTATATGAGACGATCGTGGCGTATGCCGAGAGCAGGCACATGTTGATGGCCAGAGCGACAATGACCCATGTCAGTGCACATGTTGGCGCTACACAGGATTGCGTGGCGGCTTGTATGGTGAGATATACGACCGCAGCCCAGAAAACGATCTCGGTGGCGTTGATGATGGCATAGGCCTTCAGAGAAGCCCATTTGCGAAACATGTTCGTATGTTGCGACAATACTTGGTAGGAAAGAAATGCCACTGATTTGGCTGCCTGCTCGGGAAACACAATCAGACTCGTTTCACAATGACTGGAGAATTTCTATACTGACCATTCCTAAAGACATCGAATCTGCTCTTGACCGTATCTTCCACCCATTTAAAGCGATGCGGGTTACCGAGATAGCTAAAACGGAGACTAGAAGCAACGCTTCAGCAATATGGATGAATGTCGTCGATCTGGGTCCAAAAATAGGGGCCATATTTTATGTGGTGAGGCTGGGTACTGCTGAAGAAGTATTTAATATTGAGGACTGTTTGAAGTGGAGGTGAATTGATGAGCTGTTTGTATGATTTGATGTACTGCTTTCTTAAAGGTGAGGGTATCTGTATTTTATATCCAGGCGAGCCAACACTCATGTTTTCGAATTGACTATTTATCAAAACACATTATTTGCATAGCCCCGAAAGAATCTGGCAGAGTTCTCTCACTGCACCTAGAGTTGACGACATCCGCAATTGAGGCTATCGCAACTCGCCAATGGATCGCAAGCCTTCCGAATTTGCAATGCACAAGTTCCTAAATGCAGCACAGAGTTCACCCTAAGCCACGGCCAAGAACAATAGAACACGCTGGATCCGGACTCGTCCATGTCGAAACCCCAAGTAATCCCTTCTTTAATTGACATTAGCTCACGACAGATCTGCCGGCCAAACAAGGCGCAGCGAGACCGAGACCGAGGACGGAAGCGAAGTGCGGCTAGTCTTAGCGCTGTCAATGCAGTAAACTCTAACCTAGGCAGCATAATAAAATGCCAAGCACAAGAATCTCTTCCCTGGCTTTGAAATGACTCGATCTCATTTTCCCTCCTGGAATTGTGGTGGTAAATCGTTGTTGCTTATTAATTGTCACTTTATTTCTCATGAAACAAAGCGTAGACAGTCTTGCTGACTATGTCGCGGCTCCTTTGTAAGAGCAACAAACACCAGAATTCGACAAACTTTTGCGCGGGACTTGCTTCATTTAAACTACATATTGGCCATGATGCTGAGACCAAGGACTGCCAGACCATTCTTTGAGGACTTTCCGGAAGTGGTGTACACGCGGTCTCCTAGTCCAAGTTGTATCATACAACTTAGCGGTCCCTCACCCTGGTGTCCTCTCGCACCGAAATTGAAAGTTTCGGTACCAAATGTCTGTCACCGTATCTCTTCTCCATCATCTCAACTTCCAGTTTCTAACCTTCATGCTTAATATGGCAACAAGCCGCCATCGACGTCGAACAAAACGTTCCTTCGAAATCGACATCTCGATTTCCTAAGACAACGTCTGCTAGTGCGTTAGCAGTACCCGCAGCACGCCGAGCACCATTCTCCTATCTGCACCTTCGACCTCTATCGCCCGCGAGATGAGTGACGCAAAAACCTGGGTTGAAGGCGTAGACCCTGCAATTACACTCCCTGTTCGAATGCCTTTGGCACGCTGCCAATAGGAGTCATTGCAGACTTGCTAGCCCGGTATTGCTCTCCCGGCACTGAGGGATATTTGTTGGTCTGGTCGAGCTTGCTGGTCATGGAGCCCTGTTCCGATGGCACATTGATGATGACAGATGCGGTTGACTTTTTCATCAGTGGCTCGAGTAGTTCCGTAAGATACTACGGACCAAAGAGATTAGTCTCAAGTCTCGCGCGTAACAGTTCAAGCCGGTCCATTGGCTGGATGATCAAAATAGCCGCATTGTTGATCAACATGACTAACTAGCCGCACGATTTCTCAACTTCATTCTTCGCGGCGAGAATGGACTCTCGGTTTGTGACATCCAACTGTAGAACCGAGACGGCGCTCTTCAATACTTTACAGTGAATAGACATGATATCTTGTAGCGCCTCGTTGCCTTTCTCTAGAGATTGAGTGCAGAGCAGAATATGATAATTTCTCGACGACTGGGAAAGGGCAGTGACTTTTCCGAGACAAATTCCACTGTCAGCACCTACAATGATCCGTTTCTGCTCTCAACTCCAAGAAGCAATCTACCCATGAGAAGTACTAGCTTCTTTTCAGAGTTCATTATGTAGGGTGTGCTGATGCTTGCACAATTCGTCGAAGTAAATGGCAAATGCACAGTCCAATTACTTTGTGCATGAACTTCTACCAAGAAGTTAGAGCCAAAACACAGCTTATAGAATTTGATCTTAGCATATGTATATCCTCTTAGCAGTATCTATGGCTTACAGAAGTAAGCAATTAACTAAATTGGCTAGCGCGATCATAAAGCGACTACCCGATTGGGAACATGGGATCAATCACGATGCTGGATCGCTTGAGTCCGGTCCGCTCATTGTGACTGAGTCCATCATCAGTGCAGAGTGGTGACTGAACGTACCCAACGAGTGGGCCAAGTTAGACAAAAATGGCTTTTCGTCTACTTGCAGGCTCGGACATTGAATGTGGTAGACTGTGTGAGGTAAAAATGCATTGTTGGTGGACAGTTCGTTATGAAGAAGTAGAAGCAGTGAAATTTGATTTATGTAAACCCTTAAATCCTAGTGTCATTGGGTTGACTTTGCCTGGAGTTCCAATTTGGAGCAGGACTACGAACTTTGTGAACGACAGCCAATTCTCGAAATAATCCAGTGTGAATTGTAAATGGTTAAAATGATAATTTTCCTCAATGACAATATACTAAGACTGACTCATCAACTGCCCAATGTTGACCGTGGTTAGTTTAACTGTGCCATACATCCTGAACAACGAGGTGAGCACTATAAGCTAGGCATTTAACGCGTCAAAAGGCCTCCTGATCACAGTCATGGCGCCCACGGCCTCTTACGGTATCTGCTTCGATATAAATTTCAAACCTCACTGGACACTGATACTATATGATTCGAAATCGCGACTGATATATTGCCTCACCTTCACTATCGTGTTGGACTTGTACAACCGAAGCGGCCTCGATCATCTTGTTCTCGACACCGCAGTAGCAGTTCAGGAAGCGGTCCTCTAGTCTACTGCGATAGTGTTGGCATTATATTTGTTATGAGAGGTCTACCCGAATTTGATCAAATTTACCAGTAATCATTTCTGACAATAGGTCGTCATGTACAATTTACCATTTTAGTTGTTAACAAAAGGAAGAAAGAAAGGAAGACATACGTGCAGTAAGGTTTCAGCCAACGAGATGTCCGACAAAAGTTCCGCATTGCCACATTTTTTAAGAATGTTACAGCCTTTCTCAGTGAAGTAGCTTGTGCCTCAGACTGGAGGTTGTTGAAACAAAGCCCGAATGTATTCATGACCATGCCGTCAATCATCACTATTTATTGCATCTAGGTTATGGAGGTGTTTCGCTGATGCCACTCTGCGGCTTCTTCTAAAAGTTTCATCGTTTCCGAATCTTGTCATTACGTTTCACGAGCGGAGAAGCGTGTGGCACAGCCTTATAAAGTTGTATAAGCACCTTTACTAATTCCTCAACTCGATGTATAGTTTTATGCATTTGGAGTTCCCAATATGAAAGCTGGCTTTAGCAGTGACTCATTGTCCGTTGATCTTGATCCCTTGTGTTGTCGCTAAATCCACACCATCTCTTTACTACCTTAATTATGTTGTAAAATCAGTTAGTAGATCTCGTGAGAAGGCCTGATCTGGCGATATTTTTTGGAGGCTACGTTATGGTGTGGTGCTGCCTTGCAATGTCTATTAATAGGTAGCTTCAGCTTTACCGGGCGCCCTCCGCTCCCAACCCTCGCAGGACAAAGCTGAGAATGCGTAGCCATCAAGTTCTCTGGTTTCCAATCCATGTTCTAGGCTCTTATGAAAAGACTGACCCTTCTCAAGTACTCTGTCCTCTGGTACAAGGCAACTCTTTACTCTCAAGATCGGCTGGTGAAAGAACGATAAGCATTCAGATCATTAGTATCTACAAAGACATAAGGAAAATAACAAATAAAGGCAAAATTCAGCATGGCCAACAGGCAATTGACCCTAAGTCTATCAAGACATCAGTGAGACGCATACGGGAGATGGAGATGGACGGAACCATCGTATCCTTAGTGTTTGTCACAGCATCAACCAAACAATAATCGCACGTGTAAACTGGTCGGGAAAAAATCTCGATGCTATCAAAACATCTCCTCGCTCGTAGCTCTCAAAAAGGGGGGAGGGGTCCTGTGAGAACTAGACGTTGCGCCTTGCTGTGGCCCAATTCTGATGGCATGGTTGCATGTTTGAGTAATATTCGGGTGAACGACCCGCCACTTGCGGTAATAGACTTATGGAGAGTAGGTTCGAGTTGGTGTGGTTGGATATCAGCCCTATGAAGTATCTTGTTGATAGTTCAACAACTTTAACGCAAGAATGACCAGAGACATCCTGGGAATCCTGGTAGTTTATGCAGCTTATGGGTTACAAAAATCTAGACCAGCGGAACAGTTCGCAGCGCAGAAGCTAATACTTGTTCCGGATGTCAACTGACAATTATATACGTTGCCTACTTACTCACAGGCAGGGAGGCGGCGTCAGGAGACGGCGGTTGTAGGGCTTGGGCTGATACAGCTGAACGTTGTGGCGTTGGGCTTGACGTGAGTCGCGATTAAGCTCAAGGGGACTCGAATGCGCCTGAGACGCGATGGTCAAAGCACAAAAATAGAACATCAGCGCCCATCATCTGTGCAAAAAACCAAACAAATAAATTGGAATGTTTGCTTAGCTCGATTCTTGAATTTTTATGGAAGCAGCTCCGTGCATGCTTCAGGGGAGAACTAAATAGCGGCAGCTATCGGATTATGTCGCTTAGTGGGGTTCGTTGACCATTTAAGCGAAGCGGATTGGACCAACAGGCGCCGCCATCTACGCTCTAGACTAGTCAGCGGATTTCTACCACAGTACGGTCAGACTAGTCACATGTTTGCCAGCACCTTAATTCTCTTTAAGCTCATGCAATAATGTAGATCATATCGACGTTGTGCTCGGGGAACTTTCACCAGACTCAAGCGCAAGCCAAGCACACCAGCCCTGTTGACTATAGCAAACCCGATGCAGTTTGAATGCATTGCGCAAAGAAAAATCGACTATTGATACATTGAATGTGCATGCGCACTTAAATCTTCGTATTCTAATATGAGGGATGATGGCTTTCAATACTCGGGTGTACCATGTGGCGTTGTCCAATATTATTCTTGAACAAATGGCTATTGTAGACTTGCATGGACGAATCAGCATGACACATTAGTCCAACTTGCTGCTGAAATCAGTAATACTTGACGACCTGTCGGGAATCTAGTATTGCTTTATTCAGTCAATCAGAAGCCACGTGAGTGAGCCGCACAAACCGCACCGACAACTGGGAGTTACATTAGTTGTCGGGTGGCTCCTGGCGGGTAATATTCTGTTCGCAAAAGCAAAACCTACTAAGCACTGAGCCTTTGTGGGCCATTCGTTTCAGGGGACTGGTTTTCTAGATCAGGAATTACGGTAAGGTAGCGGACAGTGCTTAACGAGCCACAAGCCACTAGCACTTCCAGAGTTACTTATGGTAGGAAAGCTAGCAATTTAGTCAAACAGCTCCTTCGCCGAACTCCAACGCAGTCATCTCAAGCACACGCAAGGACATCAGTTGGCATGCGCTTTGTTGGCAAACTAGTCGAGGACCTGCATATATCCTCGTAAAGAGGCTCAAAGGGCCACTAGCCAGGATCACTGACGGGAAATAGTGGTGCTTCACGGACATTCACGCCTGAAGCCAATGCATCAAGAAAAATGGCCCAGATTTCACATTTCCTGGGCGTTCCGCCTTGACTATCGATCAAGGTAATACGGGCTGAAAGCGCAAGCTGACCTGTGATCGGGTCTATGATCCATGATGATCTGTGATGTGTATATGTAGGCGATGCTATCCTCGTTTCTTTCTTGACCATACTTGTTTCACATCATCATTCTCTCATCCGTCTCCAGAACAGCATTTGCTGCATCTATCATTTCCGAAATACCCTGCCATTCGTTCATAACTCAACAAGTCTTTCGTTCAATCTACACACCATGCGCCTGTCTTCTTTTTTCACCGCTTCGGCGATGCTCAACGCGGCCTTGGCTTATCCTGGTATGGGCAAGCAGTTAGCAGAAATTAAAGCCAGACAAAGCGATGCTGATGAGTCGGACTCCACCGAGCTCATTGGTGACCTCCTTACACTACAAGATGCCGATCTTAGCACTGTCGGCAAGAATGTCAAAGAACTCCTCCTTGGCGGAGGGAACCCTGAGAGCTCCGAGACCTATCGTGGTGTGCCAGCCTTGAAGAGTGCTGCTTGTGCTAAGGATACGTGCTGTGTCTGGAAATACATTGCAGACGATATGGCCCAGCTATTTAGAGGCTCTTCTGGTCGTTGTACAAAATGGGCTCGCGCCGCTGTCCGTCTGGGCTTCCACGATGCTGGCGGCTGGTCAAAGCAAACTGCTGCTCAAGGGCTACCAGGAGGTGCTGATGGCTCTATATGTCTCAACGATGAGTTGACACTGCCGGAGAACCAGGGACTGCAAGACATCGGAGCTAAAATGAAGGAATGGTACGCAAAGTGGCACGACCAGCAGGGCTTCAGCACCGTCACCATGTCAGATCTCATCCAGATGAGTGCTAATGTGGCAACTGTGGTTTGTCCGTTAGGACCTCGGGTCCGCTCCTTTGTTGGCCGCAAGGACAGCTCGGTCCAGAATCCTCGACTGCTTCCAAGCCCCTTCCAGGAAGCGGATGCCCTTATTCAGCTCTTTGAGGATAAGACTATAAGCCCGCATGGGCTAGTAGCTCTGCTAGGCGCACACACAACGAGCCAGCAGTTTTTCGTCAACACCAGCCGGGCAGGGGACCCCCAAGATAGCACCCCCGGTGTTTGGGATGTTTTATTCTATGGCCAGACTCTGGGAACGGCCCCCACTCCCCAGCGTGTTTTCATGTTCCCCAGTGATGTGTCCTTGTCACAACATCCCTCAACAAAGCCTGAGTTTCAAGCATTTGCAGGATCTGGCGGACAGCAACACTGGAACGAAGACTACGCCCGCGAGTATATTCGTCTCAGCTTACTGGGTGTCAACAACATCAACAACCTGACTGAGTGCACCAAGGTCCTTCCCTCAGCGATCACGCGCTATTCTGCACCTGACCAAAGAAACATGGACAAGTGGCTCAACAGCTTGGGCTCCCAGTCCCCGCTTGCCAAGAAGCTTTCCGATGCAATCAACAACGGAGAAAGCATTCTTTCCAACCTGATTCTCACAATCCTTGGCTTCATCTTTTAAACTTTTTACTATATTTAATATGGCGGTAATAATGGGTCCACATTACTCCGTGGTTATGGTAGCAGGCGCTATAGGCCTGGACATCTCGGGTTAGATCTACCTATGATAATGATACAATTAGTTTCCATCTTACACGCATTTCGATTTCGGTGATTCAATCTGAGTGCTTAGTAAAGACCCGGTACGATGCGGTAAGGCACATCTCTCTTGAACTGTGCCCACTGTTCACCGTACTTGTTGGTACAGTAGTCGTCCAAGACACCCGCAGCTCGAGTACTCAAGTCCCAACCCTGCCAGATGCCCATAGCAAGGCCGCCGATCCAGCCTGCTGCAGCCATGCAGTAACCTCCGCGCCACAAGGCGTACCCGAAATAGTTGATGTGCCTCGCCCAACTCCAAAGACCAACCTTACACACCTTGCCCTCGTTCTTCGGGTTTTGTTTGAATTTTAATCGCTGGTACTCCGCCACCGTCTCAATTGTTATACCTGCCGCATATGCCACAGATCCCAGAACGGTAGATAGAGGTAGTTCCGCACCAAGGACCGTAACTCTTGGGCCCCAAGATGTCCAGGAAGAAGTAGACGCGCAAACGAAGAGCAGCGTGTTGGCTGTGTTGACGAGGGTGTTGTAGATGCTGACAGCCGCCGCAGCACCAGGCGGAAACTCTTCCTGGCTCAAATAGGTCTGCCAGAAAATCTGCTTCAGTGTCGATCCAGTGGCCATGGCGAGAAGGATGAGACGAGGCACAGGCAGGCCAATGGGCGCCAGCCATGCCACGCCTGTCGTGGTGAGAGCGGCCGCCGTCTGCTGTGCACCAGATACTATGACAGGCAATCTCAGCGCGCTGATTGCGTGTTCGGCCGTTCCATCATGCAGCAGATGATATTGCCACGGTATGTCCAAGAGTCGTAGACCGATGAAAGTCGCAGTGCCCAAGGGTGAGGGCTGCTTCCTCCCCCGATGTATCAGGTCGAATTGCTTTTTGCCTTTCGGCTTGTCCTGCGATCCGGACATTTTGTTAAGCGCGGCTTCAATAGCAGTACAACCTTGAAATAGGTTATGCGAATGAACAACCTGAGATGGTTTCCATATGTTTGTTTTGCCGATGGTGCTGTTGATACAAATAGTCATGATGTAACCCCGTGTTCCTTGCTGACCACTAGGTTAGTCTAGTGCTAGCGTCTCGGGGCCCCGTGCTTCGGTCCCGAGCATAGCACGGCTGGAGACCAGCTTATAAATTGTCCCATTGAACGACAGCTTCTTCGCGTCGCGAGTCATCTTTGCACACATCATGATATGCCGAGATTTGTCAGTCATCTCACTCAGGATATCATTTGGATAATGCAGGGTTATGTATGTGAAACTGTGGCAATATGGATGACCATAGATGGCCACAGTGTACGGGAGCACTCCGTACACTAAGGCGACGAGCTCTCGGATCACCTAACTCAGGAAGTGGTGATCGCCTGACTTAACCAGTGGGTATATGCCCACTTTCTGTACACCGATATTCGCTTTTGTAGACTCGGACTTCTATATACTACTTGACAGTACCTATACTATTCTTTTACGCTTAGCGCGTTACACTTGCGATCCTACACTCACGCGAGCACTGTATTTACTATCCTATGCTCGAGTAGATTCAGGCTCTTCCTTTTAGTGCATCATATTAAACCTTCACTACAACAGTGTTCTATATCAACTGTAGAAACTGTCATAGAAACAAACGCTGACGCGATTTTCTAATGGGCAGAGTACGCGTGCAGCTCTAATTAGTTCTAACATCTGGTTCTTCCGGGATTACAAACTCGGGGTGCAAAATCAGCGGCTAGGGACATTCATATTAACGCAAATCGTAATGACAGCACCTGCTGCTCGCTTATGCGGCCTGCGCTGAACCTTATTCATGTAGCCCCAAAGAAGGACAATTCTCAAGATTGAACCAACATGGCTCATATGTCTGTTGAAGCTGGTTTGCATCTACTGGAGCTTTCTGCCTCTGGAGCAAAATTGTAAGATTTTGGTCTCATGACCACCGACAGACAAAGGAAGGCCGATCGCAAGCTCGCGTGAATATTCTTGTCACCAACCAACATCGCAATTTGAACAAAGAGACCATCGCCTAATGCGAGGATGGTCATTAGTTTATGCTACTGTTATTCAATTTATGACGTTAGGCAGTGGACAATCTCAGGTCATGTGTCCACTCTCGCTGAAAAGTAGTCACAATTGTGTCTCTACGAATGTGTTATAAAGGCTACAGGATGAACCATTACTGATTTCTTCTTACTTTGATCATAACTGTTTGTTTTATGTGTGTGATCAAAAAGTCTATTCAACGATGGTCAAGGAACGTACTCATGAAGAAGAGTATGATCCAACATGTCCGGACAACTCTCTGTCGATGACAATCAGGGGCCAAATCAACAGGGGCCATGCCCTTGATACTTGGCTCGGAACCAAAAAACCACTGGGACCAACGCGAGATGGGGATCGAACACGTCATGCACTACTCAATATGGTTCGCGAAATATATCAAAAAGTAGGTTTCCGATGCGCAGCCACACCAGAACAGTCGCCCGATACAGACTACGTTCAAGTCGATTGCAGCATCTGGATTGGTATGAGGAACTCTCGAATGGAGCCAAAATGGCATTACGCGAGGCGCCTCGCTGATAACGGGTGGTATAATTTCGAAAAGTTTCCGATCCCGGATTATCCTCTTCCCACACTACCGCCCACTGGGGACCCTCTGCTTTCGGTTCCTCCAAAGCGTTTCCTCGTCGATGTCGGAGACCTAGATTCTGTTGACAGTGACCTTTTGAGGGCCTTAGCGATGCGCATCATGGGGACTCCGGACAATGAAAGATACAAATTGAGAGGGAGGCGGCTTAAAAGGCAAGCTAAGAAGACTCTCAGGAGTAAGAAAGATGCAGAATCACATGAAAAATTGGGGTCTATCGATAGCAAAACTCGTCTGGATACTGCTCGCCGAGAGAACGTCCCCTCCCTGCAAGAAGCCATGAAACTTTTGGAAGGACCTGTTTAGTGGTTCGGTTCGAAATGCATAAGGTCACAATCGAATAGCCCAAGTCGTTGGATAATGCTCAATTGATTCGAACTTATGACTCAACCCCATTGCACTGCCTGATATTGTGCGATTGTCTCTTGCTTGGTTTATAATTTTACTGAAATATGTGGGTCTGATGTACATCTATAACAACTGTTGAAGTCTATGATACAGAAGGCTGTGTTCTAACGTTCGCAGTCGGGTGGCAGCATTGTGCACCTTGTCCCCGTCTAAATAATTCTTCAAGGGTAAGCCTTCGAAACCCACTCCGGAACGACTCTCTTCAAGAACTTCATAAACTTGAAGAACCCAACAGCATGCTCTACATTACCCACCTTGTCAACAACCCTTTCCGGGAATGCAATGCCAGCGCCAAATAAGCCCCGCAGCTCTTTGCCAGTACTCGTGTCCTTGAAGCCGCCGGTATTGTGGTCGAACTCAAGTATTTCCTGCATGCTGGGCAGGGGATCCCGCGTGAAACCAACGGCCTGAACTACGTAATCGCATTCTGGCAGCTCACGCTTCATGGCTTCTTTCTCCTTCTCCACCCCACCAGAGCAATCTACTCTGCGAATAACCTTTCCAGCATCACTCTTGTTCAGGTTCTCGCCGTCGAGCTGCTCCTTAGCAAATCGCGCGGCCTCACCTTTCAGTCCAGTGTTATCGTATAAAATCCACCCGTCATTGTATATAGCGTATTTAAGGCTCGGTGACCGTGAAAACCAACGTATCTTCAGATGTGGGTGGGTCTGTTGTGTCAATTTAAAGAGGTTCATGATGACTAGAATGGCAGAGTGTGAAGCGCCCACGACGCCGACGGTGACCGCCTTGTCTTTGGAGATGGTTGTTTCCAGATCAGATGGCTTAAGGGCTAGATCGAGGTCCAAGAGACGTGGTCTTGTGGAAGATGCGCCAGGAAGTTGCACCGCAGTCGGTGAGGATCCTGTGCAGTAAACAACCAGTGGTGCCTTGCGGGTTTGCAGGGTTCCGGTCTTAGTCTCTTGAATTTTCAGTGACCATTCTGTACTCTGTAATTGAGATCATCAGTGAACGCAATCATGCGGGTGTGAAGGGCCTGGCTTACCCCTGGCTCGAAGCTCGCCTCTGCGACCTTGCCCTCGTGTCGCTCTACTCTTGGATGCTTCACCAAACCATCAGAAAGCAGTTTGAGCATATCTCCAGCGTAGCCCAATGAACAAGTGCTATCTTGTGGCAAATCTTCTAAAGCCGTTACAGCATTCGGCTTGGGCGTATTCTCCAATACCTCCAGAAAGGGTTTGGTCGCCTGCGCATATGCTAGGAAAAGGCCGACTTTGGTATTGCTAGGAACCTCGCGGTACTTGCGGTTGATGCGGCCACCTTTGAACTCAGTGTCGACCCAAGCGATCTTTCCGTGGCCTATCCTCTCTAACAGGCTTCCCAGCACGGCTATACCAGCAGCACCGCCACCAACTACGATTGCGGCAACATCCTGTTGTTTCGGGGCAGCAGTCGAATATGGAGCAGGCGTGCTATAACGTGAAATATCGTTGAAACCCATTGTACCAGTCAGTTTCAAGAGAGCTATACTGCCAACTCTTGATACTCGTTGTGGCGAGAAATGTCGACATCTTATTGTCTTTGTACTTAGGGGCCTCCAGGCATGAGCGCCCGATATCACATGTAACGGCGTAGCCATCATGTGCTGGGTTGCTAATCCGAAATAAGACAGTCAAGAAGAAGTATCAATGATACTGGAACACCTAAAAGGTGCCCTGTATATGCGATTTCCGGAAAAGGCACTTCGCTGCGCTGCCGCGTGGTGTTACTGGTGGGTACGAGCTACGACTCGAAAATTGCGTGATCGGGCGACGTCACGTGATTCTAGGTACAGTTTTCTGCCAGTTTCGGTCTCCCCAACGCATTGGTGATCACTTCACCACGCGCCACTGTGAGAGCAGTCCACCCATCTCGTGTAAGGTTGTAAAGACATTCGCAGCGATTCCATTGACACTCCCCAAGTGCACGTTGCAATCGTGGCTGCGAATATTTACGAATAGAGCGATGCCCACGGAATACAAAAGCCGGACGTTTACCGTTGCGCTTTTCGTGCTGGGCACAAATCGCAGCGTGCTTGCGGTTTGAACTGACAAAGCGATCGGAACCCAGAATGATGCTCCCAGATCATCTTCGGATTTGCCGATCCATCAAACGAAACACCTTGCATTTACCGCTGCCTCAACTAGAGCAATTCGGTCTACTAGTACACAAGGACGCAAGTAAAAACTTGCCATGCAACCATGGTTTCCGTATTCAAAGACTAGAAGCACCTTATAGCGTTGCTCGTCATTCTCGACGATGATGGGAGGTTTCACTATACCTATCGTAGGATAATGCTTGGCCCTTCGGCAGTCTTGACTCGGACTAAACAGCATAGCGTTTGCATTATACTTGTTGCTCCATGCAACTATCTTGACCCTACCGGAAAATGATTGACTTACGAATGAAGTTGTCTATGAAGTTAGTATATGCATGTCATCATTGCTTAGCCAAATTTATTGATGCTAGGTCGTTCAATCGCGTCTCACAACTGTATGCATGTCAACGATGGCGTTTGCTCTCCAATACGTTCAGTTTTGGAGTCATCCGCAACTGGACCGACTTTCATATTCTGACCTGAAGCTTCGTCTATATGGTTAGGGGTTTCTTGCCAGCAATGCCATGGACTTGACTGTTGGCGCTCAATGCCCCTGAAAGCCCCCACAAGTGCCATCTTGCCGGGCCCCGAGATGACCGCGGAAGTAGCCGAGATTACTTGAAACCATGTAAACGTGTCTTTCAACTTTTGCTGTTTCTCAAGGTAACAGACGCAGAAGTCATGGTCGCGTGATCGAAACTCAAACCGTACTGGCACCAAGTCGTCAGCGCAGTACCGGATCGTTGGATCCAGCTGCATCACAATCAAACTTGACGCCATGCCGTCCATGATCCAGACGGCGATCCACAACACCTTTATCAAAGCAGCCGCCAACCTAACAGCTCAGCTAGCCGTGCAGTGGACAACTACTGCAGAACGCCAGCCCCTGGACCTTCAGCGCATCCTCGAGTTCGCCGTGTTTGGATTCGTCGGCGCTCACATCGGCTATGCTTGGCATCTCTTCCTGGAACGGCAGTTCCCTACACATACCATACCCAAGGTCGGACAGCCACCTGTGATTGCGCCCGGGGAGAAGGACAAGGATGTGGCCATAACGATACCGGCGCCGGCGCCTGCGGCGGGTCAAGCCGGAGGCGCAACGGCCAAACTCAGCTGGAGAAATGTCGTCGCCAAACTCATCGCAGACCAGACTGTTGGTTTGTGTGTTATGATCTCCACGTTCCTGATCATCACCAACATCGCCCGCGTGCCGCATTTTGTGGATGTTTTCGGGGTAATTGAGGAGAAGCTCTGGAGGCTGGTGAGGGCGGGCTGGAATCTCTGGCCCATTGTCGCAATGTGCAACTTCCTCTGGGTACCGGTGAGGTGGCGCGTCATTGTCTCTTCTTGCGTCGGTTTTCTCTGGAACATCTTCTTGAGCGTGGTCTCGATGTCCGGGCCTGTCGAAACTACGAAACCAGGATAGTGCGACCTGTCCAGTCAGGGATTCTAAGCATCGCGCGGCGTTTCGGAACAGCAACTGGGCATTGCGGTTTTTTCTTGCGATCATGTTATTCATTCATGTGTTTGGGGATCAATCAAATGTTATTTTATTCTGCATCGAGCGGGTGCATGTGTTCGTACAAGACTCACATGTTGCTCCTATTTACTTATGCCATGCTAATGCGGAACAACGGGCTTCGACTATCCAGGCGAATCGACAACCGCTTATCATTCCGCCTCTTTATAGGTCGAGCGTATCATCCGTATTATCTAATGTATCAGATAAATCATCGTCCACTTGGCTTGGCATCCCGTCCCTGTAGTCATGTGGATCGAGCGTGTCGTCCGTATTATCTAATGTATCAGATAAATCATCGTCCGCTTCTCTTGAGATTCTACCCCTGTAGTCATATAGCTCGAGATATGGATCGAGCGTGTCGTCTGTGTTGGCCAATGTAGCAGACGAAACATCGTCCACTTGTCTAGACAATCCGCCCCCGGAGCTAAGTTCGAGCGAACTGTCGTCCATGTTGCTTGATGTATCAGGCGACATGTCTGTCGGGTCTGCGGAATGGCCAGCCGTGCCTCTCAACTCATCTGCCGGCTCGGCTACACCGGGAGGGGATCCCATGGCAGCCTCTTCTGGGACGACCGCTGCAAGTGCCAACTTGTTGTTGTTCACACAACAGCGAACGCTTTCCATTGCGTGGCTCTCATACCTGAGCTTGAAGCCCCTCATCGGCAGCCTCTGTCCGAGTCTCATGACTCGGGCGATGGCCTGAGCCTCGACCTTCGGATTCGGCGCTTCGGTCAGCAGGATGACATTGTTAGCCCTCTGAAGATTGAGACCAAATCCGCCAACGTTGTAAGACGTAATGAGCACTTTTGGGGGACTATCCCACCCCGGACATTTTCTGGACATCCATTCTGAGTAGTATGATCGGTGATGAAGGCTCGGACCAAATCTTCTTGGCCCGGTCGGCACATGAGCGTGCAGGAGCATGAAGTCGACTTCCTGGAGCTTGGGGTATAGCAACATGAATGTCAAGAATGAGTCTAACGGGTTATCTGTGAAGATAACTGCGTGCTGCACGTTCATATGATCGCCGTCTTCAACCTGCAGCGGACGTAGGGCTCTGCCTTGCAGGAGATTTCGTTCAATCCAATTTTTTGTCCATTGGAGTTTGGTGGACGTTCGATACAGTTCGCTGCGGCGGCTCCACCATGGCGTGTTCGCGAGGATGGTCTCAATTTCTTTGTATATATTTCCGCTTATGTGTCCGTTACAGAGAATATTTGAAATCTTCGACATGTAATCTTTCACACCTTCATACTCGTACCACTTTTCGCTAAACAATCTTAATTCTGACAGTTCGGCGACAGCTGGACATACTGTGGATCGCTGTGCTGTAAGAAAGGTTGCATCTTGACCATTGTAATATCGCATGTTGCTTATGTGGTCATAATCGTCCAGGAACGCGCTTTGGACTGCGGCGTGTGTTGGCTTGGGAATCTCACCTCTCGCATACACTGTCATTTGTTCATCGTACAAGCGTTGGAGAAATAGCCGGCACCTAGAATTGAGAAGGTCGATCGCATCTTTTGCAAGCCCAGCTGGTATTTGTAAAAGCTCATCGCTCACTTCTATTTCTGATACATTGACAATTTTGCGCCCTTGGAACATATCTGACTGTTTCCTGGCTATCATGGTCTGAGACAGCAATTGACTGAACATAATACGCAGGTTGGTTTTCAGCTCGGCTTGTTCTCTCTTATTGTTCGTTCTGTGTAAGTTTTTTGCTAGCCATTGGTAATCCCCAACATATGGTTTGAGATTCTTGATCTCATTGATCCCTGCGAGGTCAAGGGACCACTTGTGGTCGCGTGCTGTGTCCAGGGCGTGGTTTAAGAACGGCCACCAGTACGCAGGCCCAGAATCTTTTAATTCTCCGGAGACAGGTACGGCCAGGACAGGCTTTTTGCCATACATCCTCAAAGTTCGGAGAAATCGAATTGCCTCAGTTTCGGCACCCGAAATTGCACCGGAATACCGATGGGATTCATCGAGAAACATGAACGAGGCACCCAATCCGATAACCGTTATCGCCGTAGTAGGCCTTTGCCAGTTGCCAGGAATAGTATTGCCTGCTGTAATAATGTAATCATACTGGAATTTATGGAGTAATTTTGAGCAGTCGTGAGGAGAAACGAGGATGACATATTTGGTGGTACCGGGCTTACCTGAAGTTTTATAGTCCCACAACGGCCTGGAAGGGGTTCCTCTGTTCAGGGGTTCAACAAATGCGTGTGTCAATTCCACTATATATTTGCATTGACGATCGGGAAAATCAGGATGTTCAACCAAAAGCTTGACAATAGCCTCGTGCGGGTAATTTCCAGACGCTGTTTGGACCACGAATTTGTCCCACTGCTCGACCCACTGGCCCATTGATCCAGGTAGGACAGTAATGATACTGGGTAGATCTGGCAATACCCGGGCAATCATGCTCGCATCGCCCAGGGGGTTGCAAGGACATACGAAGTTAAACGGTGATGTGTCCTGCAGTGGGCATTGCAGCCCAGGCTCGGATTTGACATCCGCTGGAAGATGTCCGAGCCTTTGCTCCCTCGCGAACTTTATTTGATGGAACAGAACAATGACAAGGAACACCTCCAAGGTCTTTCCGAGCCCCATTGCGTCGCTAAGCATAATCGTAGCAATACTTGTGTTCATTTGCGTGAGGATAGCATATGCAGCCTCTAGCTGGTGTCCTTTTACTGGTGCGTTGATACCCGCGACGTGGAGCTCAGTAGTATCCTCTGGACATTGAAAGAATCGACATGTGCGCGTCCATATCTCCGAACGGTCGCCGAGACTTGGATTGATTTCGTTCATCAGGCTTTGTGGGTCTGGTTCGTCCAACACGGTTGGCGATGTTCTGAATACATCGTTGATGTTTATGAAGATATCATCAGGGTTGGCTGAAGGGGCTTGAACGTGTGTTCTCTTGCGTATCTTAGATGTGGAGGATGTGATGCTAGAGTTGCTCACGTCGTGCCTACCTAGCTCTAGCCGTTTCGAAGGGTAGTTAGCGTTCGGGTTGTGGAATTCGATATAACCCAACCCGGTTTTTACATGAATCGGAAGTCGCAACGTGCCAGCCATAACTCGTGTGAGAAACACACGCCAGCTAGGTTCACCAAGCTTGACGTGGGAATGGTCGAGTAGTCTGATATCATCTCCCTTTCTGAACGATCCCTCGGCTGTTTGCCCGTCTCGGAGACCAATCACTACTGTCTCAAACCACTTTCTCAAGGCTTCGACGTCATATTGATGTGGCAAACGCTTTCCTTTACCATCGAAGAATTCAGCTTCAACGAAATTTGAGAGGGTGTCATCTTGCGGTATGTCATCAGTACCTCTGCCGACAACTAGAGTAAGATCTAGATCAGGCTTTCCAGACCATTCAACAACATCAGTGAAGCGCTGGAGTTGTGCAGAAATTCGGGCGATTGCCTGCTCTGCTCCGATACCCTGCGCACCACTCACAACCACAGCCCCGTCTGGTTGAGTCTGAGTACCACTTGAAGGCATTGAGCTGGAAATGTTCGTGAATCTGAAAATTTTGTATAAAGTCTCGATTATCAGTCTTTTATTCTTTTCTAGCAATATGGATACCGAACACTCGACACTCATTTTGTGAGCCGCAGTATTTATACATGTGATCATATTGGTAAAGCTTTGTCAAGTTATCATATAAGCCATTGTTATCATAATATGTTCGTTATAATAGCTTTTTGTCTATACTCTACACGAGAACAAATCGCTACATTGTCGCTAGAATCTGTTCCACAAGGTTTCTGTTTACGAATTGTATGTTTCTAACCACTGACAATTTGCAACGAGGACTCAGTGTCGCCTCGCCAGTTTGAACATAACAAATCTACCTAGTGGCGTCTAAACTCTCAGCCCACCCACCCCCCGAACTTACAACATATTGAATTGTCGCTGTCAATAATTCCATAAGGAGCTATAAATTATTTTTCAATTATCAAAGAGCTCGTTAGTTGATTGCGGTTCCTTGTGTCATGCCAAGTCTCCCTTAGCATAGTAGTGGCCAAGAACTTTGGGGGCCTTTGCCAAACAAAAGCCTTCGGGCGTCATACAGATTCATAGTCAGTCTTCACGAGAAGCGACAGAAAAGGAGAACGTTTAGGGGTGAAATGCTTTGCTGCTGGCATATATGCAGCATCTGCAAAAGCAAAACATGGACAAGGCTGATTTTAATTAATAAGGTATTCACAACAACTAAATTATCCCAGCTCGGCTCAGAATTTCGTTTACATTACAACACCAAAATTTAAAATAATCTAGATTACTTATACGCCCGATTGTGTTTCGATTAATCATTACAATAATGAGGAATCCCCTTTTAAAATACCGGCTTTTATAGCTTTCCGAGTGCTCTCTACTTCTATACAACGTACTATGCCACAGACGACCTAGCCGATTTGCCGGACATGGACTCCCGGCACTAAACCCCACGTTACTTGAACGCGCTATGGGGGGTCGGGGGGTCGCTTTCTGTATCAGCGCCTGAGCTGCACATACTATCCACCTTGGAATAGCGGGGCACACAGGTCGCGCACGGTGCGAAGGGGCGGGATTTGGCCATGGGGTGAACTAACGTCACCGCCTCACTTTAGGACGCAATGTCGTGACAGTTTCACCTTGAGGCGGCCTCGAAACGGCGCATCGAAACAGTCACGGAGGCAGCAGCAGAAAAAGCATGCTGATCGACAATTCCGTTGTTCGTTGTCCGTAACTCAACCAGCCACTAGCCATTTCCCCCTCCACAACGGGACGGAGGTCTGGATTTGTTGACCCTGGGTTGCTTGTCGAGTATCACGGTTGAGTTTGTAGGTGCGACTCCTCGCTCGAAACATCTTCACAGTTTACTGCTTCATGCTTCAAAGATTGTTCCGTATTACCTTATCTGTGGATATCCACTAGGAGTCAGTTCTAGCATTTATGTGTTAGTTTGCGCCTACCGGCTGGTTGAATACCTCAGGCTTCAATAACGTGATCTCGAAGTTCTGATCGAACGCTTTCATTCAAAGCTCTCTATCAAGACTAGTGATGGAGACGGGAATCTTATGACCTATGTAGCCAGCAACACCTCTAAATCAGCGCAAAGGCGTAATAAGTCCAGCAGCCTTGGAGTCATGGCGTATTGCAAGAACTCGAAGGAGAAATCCAACGCCAGTCAAGACCGTGCCCTGCCGAGCTGGAAAAGCATAAATGATATAACTCCACCCTATGTGCCTTATAACTCCATTCCGTATGAACCCGCATCCGTTCAACCGAGTACACCAGATCATCAAAGACTGTCATTTTGGCTGTTCACCCCAGCAGTTTGTGGGGGCCAAGTATAGTAATATAAGCCATTCTGGCTTCAGGAGCGTGTCATACAAAGCAAGACAGCGGTCGAGTCGGGACACTTTGTATAGCACGATATAGTCGTGTTCTCGCTAGAGTGGTGCCGCAACAACGAGACTCGAGCGTGACCAAGCCATGACCTATTGCGGTAGCATATTCTTGATTTCGTCATCTGAGAGTCGGATTTCGTGCACAGGCTCTCGTCGATTCTCTAGCGGGACGTAGTCGCAATCAACGTAAGAGGGTAGGAAAATCTCTGGATTCCAAACAAAGCCCTGGCTGGAGGACAGATAGGAAATCTACGGATAGCGCTGTTAGTGCCCTGTGTTTGAACCAGGGTTATGGGATGCAGGTGGGGGTGATGGCTTACCAGTCGGGGCGGGCCATCCGGGTCACCAATGTTGATGACGGTGCACTCATCTTTGCAGAAGGAAGTGCCTGGACAGAAAATTAGTGAGTAACGTGTCGGGCAGATTAAGCTGGATGATGGGACATACTGAGCAGGCTTGGTCGTCGATGATGCAAGTAAGAGCGATGAGCTGACTGTCCCGGCGAGGCAGTGCTCATTCCTGGGTTCTGTGGGGAAGTTGAGTATGATGATGACGAGGAGGAGCTTGAAGCAGCTTTAGAGCTCTCCCCGTAATTGGACTTGGAGCCCCGAGCCGACGGGATAGCAATTGTAGAAGACATGATGGCGGCGGCCAAGCTAAGGCTGTAGACGCAGTGCCCAAGAATCACCAAAGAGTTGAAGAGGTACAGTGAGGCGCCGGCAAGGTGGATGTAGTTGGCGAGGTGCCGATAAGACGAACAGGCGAGTTTCAGTTAGGAATGGAAGATGAGAAGAGGGTAACTAGAAAACCTAAGTGCAGCCACCGACTCCGCGATACTAATGCGTGCGAGTTTGCCTACATTCAATTGACAAGGCGGCAGGAAAGATGAAAGTGAGTAAAACTGATGAAGGAGTCACTTGAGCGGTTGTAGCTGTTGTAGCTGGGAAAGAGTCGAGAGTCGGGAGTCGGGACTGGATGATCTGCACGGCAGCCTGAGAGGGTCCGTCTGGGGGTCCAGGGTACGTACTGTGATGTAGTGCATGTGCCAATCCCAGATTCGGGTTCGGGTTCAGGTTCAGGTTCAGATTCAGGTTTAGGTGTGCATACTGTAAGTTTGAACTTGCTTGGTTGGATGGATGGATGGTATGGATGGTTGGTCTTTAGTTGGGACCTTTTTGGGGTCGAAGCTTCGCTTGTTGGCTGGCTTGTCAGTACGGATCCGTACATTCCTGGTCTTTGGCTTTCAGCAGCTGTCTGGTGACACGAGCGGCTCTTGGTGGGCTACATGTGAGTTCAGGTGAGCAAGCTTTCTCGACTGGCCAGAATGCAGGGCGAAAGCAGATGCAGCTCAAGCTGCAATCATGCAATAGTGGCTGGAAATGGCACAGTGCATGCAGCTAATTGAAACTATGAGGAGACGCCCGTTTCGACGTGCATATCGTGTCCTCGGTGTTGGAACTCTTGGCTGCCTGGATGACTCCAGTCGGGCGATGTCGGAATTGCATTCCAACTGGTCAGCGTTCTGTTCAACTGACGCGGGGGGTTTCTCTAGTCTAGCTTCAATGCTCGCCCTGGCTTGTTGGCGCAGGTGATCCAATAGAATAACATTACACTTGCTTGCTTGGCCTGGATGTATACATGGCTTATTACCCCCTTGATCGGTTGCATCTGTTGCCATGGAATGAATATCTCAGCGCAAATATCGCAGGTTCGCATGCTTATCACCTGGGAATCGCAACGAGAGAGAGAGAGAGAGAGAGAGAAAGAGAGAGATTCAAGGCATTCGATATGCCGCAATTCAGACCATAACCCCACACTTTCTCGGTACTTGCTTCTAATGCTACAGCTAACGTGGATGGCGGTCGTGATCGAACGTGCGTATTAGTCAATATGCAGACGACAAAGCCTCCCGAACTAATCTAATCGGGATAAGAAGTTACGCAGAGAGGAGAGACACTGGTCTAGACAGATTCATATGTGATGCGTTGCTTTCATGTGCTGGACGAGATGGCATTTCACGTGTCCTGGACCACTAGCAATGTCGACAGCTGGCGGTACTCGATTGTGGCCAGCTCCCCATGCGCCAAGACCAAAGGCCAAAGACGGGTCCGAGCTCAAGGCTGAAAGGCTGTCGTAGCTCTCTAACTCAACTCGACTCAACTCAACTCAATCTACGGACCCCGTAGCTAGTTAGTGGGTTGCTGACTTCATCCATTGCATTGTAATCCCATAACCCCAAGAAAACACCACCCACCACCCCTTCCATCTTCATTGCAGACGGCCACATCAAGAGGCGAAACTTTTCGGCGACAGACAACTCCCAGCAGTGCACGGATCTGGCTTCACCAGTCACAACAACAACATAATTCAACATGGGTGACGTCGCAGTTGAGAACCCAGCCAACACGGTGGCGCCTCACAACAAGCCCATCCCCTCCACCATTCCCAATGTCGAGAACATCGAGGGTCTTTCATCACAAGAAGGCGACGAGTATGCCACCTTGAAGAAGCTACAACGGCATCTTGAGTACATCCAGCTCCAGGAGGAGTACATCAAGGACGAGCAGAGAAGCTTGAAGCGCGAGCTTGTCCGGGCACAGGAAGAGATCAAGCGCATCCAGAGTGTGCCTTTGGTCATTGGCCAGTTTATGGAGGCTATCGATCAGAAGTAAGCCCCGGCCCCTTGCCCGTTTCATCTCCGATGCCCATCATTGACCGTCCTACAGCACCGGCATCGTACAGTCCAGTACCGGCTCCAACTACGTCGTGCGCATCCTCTCCACTCTCGACCGCGAGAAGCTCAAGCCCTCCTCGTCTGTTGCCCTTCATCGCCATTCCAATGCCCTCGTCGACATCCTGCCCCCTGAGGCCGATTCCTCCATCGCCATGCTTGGCGCCGATGAGAAGCCCGATGTCACATACGCAGACGTGGGAGGTCTGGATATGCAAAAACAAGAGATCAGGGAGGCCGTAGAGCTGCCCCTCACCCACTTCGACCTCTACAGACAGATTGGTATTGACCCCCCACGCGGCGTGCTGCTTTATGGTCCCCCCGGAACCGGTAAGACCATGTTGGTCAAGGCTGTTGCCAACTCGACGACTGCCAACTTCATCCGCGTCGTTGGTTCCGAATTCGTGCAGAAGTATCTTGGTGAGGGCCCACGTATGGTGCGGGATGTCTTCCGAATGGCCCGCGAGAACTCACCCGCCATCATCTTCATCGACGAGATCGACGCCATCGCCACCAAGCGATTCGACGCCCAGACTGGCGCCGACAGAGAAGTCCAACGTATTCTGCTAGAGCTTCTGAACCAGATGGATGGTTTCGACCAGACCGCCAACGTCAAGGTCATCATGGCCACCAACCGTGCCGACACCCTCGACCCTGCTTTGCTACGACCTGGTCGTCTCGACCGGAAGATCGAGTTTCCCAATCTGAGGGACCGCAGGGAGCGACGTCTTATCTTCTCAACCATTGCCTCAAAGATGAGCTTGGCACCCGAGGTGGACTTGGACAGCTTGATCACGAGAAACGACCCTCTCAGCGGTGCCGTCATCTCTGCTATCATGCAAGAGGCCGGTCTCCGTGCCGTGAGAAAGAACCGGTACAACATCATCCAATCTGATCTGGAAGACGCCTACTCAAGCCAGGTCAAGGGTACGGCCGACGATAATAAGTTCGATTTCTACAAATAAGCCTTGTACCCGCTCTTTGGTAAATTGGTGTTTTTGGAAACCGGCCGAACCAGGAGTTTCTGCGCCTGAAACAGGTGTCATGGGAGATTGGGAGGCCAGCATGGAACCAAGCCAGCACTCTACATCGACGGTTCCGCGTACTCCGCAGCAGGTGTACACTTGTACCATAGGTAGCAATGAATATGGCGTTTGCATTTGCATCCTCATCTATATGTGTATGCCACCGTTTGGCTTCCTTATCTGTCTCTTGAAAATGCTATTCACTCACTGTGCTAATTCAGTAGCTTGGCGATAGTCAGTCGATATCTTCTGAGGCTTGAAACATTGAATTTTACACAAAGCTTGCTGCCAGACCAAGGCGTTAAGCCAGAAACGTACTTTCCTATACTCATGAAGGCCGTACTTTCCTAGTGATCAGCACATGATGATTTGTAGGCTATCCCAAGCCGCCCAAGCTGTGCCTGCTAGCATCAAAAGTTTACGACGTCACCCACAAGGGGCACATCACAACATGACCTGTCCGCCGATTTCGACACGCCCGGCACGTCCGCCCGATGCATAAGGTTAACTGCCTCCTTTTCGAACCCGCCCTCCTGCCAGACTCGAGTCTTCCGCGACGCAGAGGCTTCTCAAACGTGTCGGAAGGCGAATATGGCGTGCTGTGGTGATATGCCATGCACTTCTTTTGGTTCAACCAAGCCCAGCTGCAGCCACCACAACCAAGCAGTGGGTTGGGTTTGTGCACCGGGCGGTACGGTACTAGGGGGGGTCGGTCAAGCACGCCATCTCGGAACGGATCGCACACACATACACACCGACGCATCCATGGCCGTATCACGCAAAGCAGTTGTGTTATGTCTTCATGCCAGTCAATTCATGGTTCAAGAAACTTCATAGTCTCTAACAAGCTCATTTCCCCCTCTCAAGCCCTATGCTTTTCGGTGCATTTCGCAAAAAGAAAAAAGGGGGTCTTTGTCTATCCCGCATTTCCCATGTTCCGTTCCCGTGTATTCCCACCCAAGTCTTTCTCTCCTGGGTCCCCGGGGCTGTTTCTCCTATATACATTTTCCACTGTAAGTGGACAGGAAAGAAGCCATAATGAAAGCTCGTGGGGGTTTCCTCATTATCATTACCGACCAGCAGTTGTCATCTCTTTTCGTCGCGCCGCTGCTGCCGCCAGCTCAAGACAGCCACCTATACATGGTCCAGACGACGTCTTTCCGGCGCGCTTCTCTCTATATCACCGTCTATGTCCCGATTTTAGAAGCAGGCATCGAAAACGCGGCTGTTCCGTGTGTACGATGCCAAGTGCTCGTGGAAGAGTGTTGTACAATGCTGGAAATAGCACCTTGCAGTGCTGCCCCAGCGGGGGTTATAGTATCATGTGTAAGTGGAGGCCGGATTTTCAGCTCTCCTGGTTAGGTGCAAAGACCCTCAAGACTCTCAAGACCCTAGAAGGCCATTCTCGTGCACGCCAGGGTATCTTCTACCTGCTCTCCTCCTCCGTCCACCATCCTAATCAAGCTCATTATTCACCCATCATCTTAGGCAAGCTCAAGAACCAAGGACGACGCCAAGCTCGAGAAGTAGTCGCACGAATCTCGAGTGCAGTTCAATAAAGAAGTCAGGTAGCCCAACAAGCTCAGCCAGACCGCGCGACTTGGGTGCGAAGCCGCCAGGTCCCATAGACCCGCCCATGCCCATGCGATTAGTCAAACCAGTACGCCCACCGCCGGTCAGAAAGCTGCTACCGCTATCTCGACTTCGTTCCCGGTCTTGGTCCGGAAAGCTGCCGCCGCCGAGACCAAAACCAACGCCGCTGTCTCGGGGGCCTCGCTCGTAACCACCACCGTACGAACTCAGATTGCTCGTGATACCGCCTTGCAACTCTAATCTCTCCCGCTCTCTCTCGGCTTCTGCATCCGCGAGATCCTGTACCCAAGCCGCCAAATCTCGGAAGGCTGCTGAGATAAATCCAAACACCTTCATAGCAACTCTCTCACGATGCGTCGTCAGAGCCAAGAAAGCATAGACACGTTTCCGTCCGCGCGCATGCATGTCTGGTATGCGGAAAATATACGCCGTTGTGAAGCCATTAATCGAATCGCCAAAGAATATTGGCCCACCAGACGCGGCAGACTGGGGCGTAGGGGTAGCATTGATATAAGCTGGGTTCACAGAGAGAGGCGGGGAGGTATACGAGGGGCCCAATGGAGGTGGCACGCCTGATATGGGGCTGTTCATTGCGGAATTGGCACCATGATCCGCCCGTCGTGGCAAGGTCTCGAAGGATAGTGTGCGCAAGCAAGAATTCCGGACTAGTGAGTAGGTGTTTGCGACGTGCGACTCGTGGGTGCTGGTATAGTCGAGATAGTGCGTATGGGTATTTGCACTCGGCTTGGAGGAGATACTAGAGTGCGAGGTGGCGGTGGTCGGCCTTCTGCTCGAAGAGCCACGAGCAACACTGGTGGGCGCTACATCCTCGTCATCCGAAGTACATGATGATTGCGGATTCGAGTTAGGAGGACTGGCGTCCCTGCTGCCGCCTCCATACACTCGTGCGTATGGCGCTCTGGTCCTGAGTGTCGGCCCCTGAAGGTCAGACTTGTCGCCGGCACTTGTAAGATTTTCATTGCCCTTCTTGCTATCCTGGCGCTTAGGTAAGGTGAGGGCGCAGTTCTGGCAAGGATTTGCATTCTTAGTTACATAGTCATCGTAGGTTTTGCGGAAGCTCTTTTTGCTTTGATCCTTGAAGCCTTCTGGCGCATCACGGGGGCTTTGTGGTGGGGTTTCCATCGCCGGTGCTGCTGCTGGTTTTTCCAGCTGAGGCTTGGATGCCCTGTTTGTTGCCGCTCGTTGCACTTCTTGTGGTGACCCTGTCGTCCGCGAACTATCGAGTGTCATTTTGCGCATTGCATCTGCTACTGCAGGAGGTACGCCGCTTGAGGTCGCTGTATGCGCCCGACCTGCGTCTATCGTCTCATCGTAACATCGTGAACAAGGTACCGGGAGCCCCTCGGTGACCATCAGAGGAGTGGGCCCATGCAAGTCGCAGTAATGCGCCAGGCACAACTGGATATGCGAAGTTAGCAACGAAGGCCTCAGAGTCGGCTTCTGAGTGATGACCATGGCGACTTTTTCAAATTGAAAGCTTTTTAGAGAAGTGTAGTTTGTTGGGACATGGCTACAGTCGAGCCCACAAGGATAATAACTGTGAGCGGCGCACGTCTAGAGCGCGTAGCATAACGGTAGATACAAGGTTATCGAGAAATCTCGATTTGAATGGGGGTCAATCGTGGTGATGAGATTTCTAATACAGGGAATGTGATGACCGGGGAGGTATTGCACTTAAGAATTTACAAGCGAACACTCGTAAGTTCTGTGTCAAGGAATGGAAGGGGATGTGATATTGGGACAAGAACGACCAGGGGGACGTCACTGGCGCAAGGGATGGAAGTCAGGTAAGCTTGAAGTAACATTGAGGCGACACATGGTAATCTGATAAACCGTAATCACTAGTTGCCAAACAATGTGCCGTTGGGTAGAATGGCGTTGGACGGGCTGTTCGCGCCTCGCTCCGTACCGCGAAGAGGATGCACCAGGTGTAAGAAGCTTGTTCTTTGCCGAATAGCATGCCGAGTTCAGAAATGACAGGAGATGCGCTGGCTTCAGCGCAGGCGTGGGGGAACACAAACAACCTGACAAAGACGAGGCGGTGAGAGGCGTGGGATAAGTTGAGGGATGGTCAAGAAGCAGTTCGAGACAAATCCGAAATGCTTAAATGAAACCGCCGTTACTTACAATGGAAGCCATGACGTCTGCACAGCGTGCAACCCCCGGAACCTCAAGCCCAGGCCCAGTACCTATTTTTGTGTATCTGTGATTACGACTATGGGGGGGAGTGCAAGAGATTATTGTACTGCGCTTGCGCAACAAGGAAGCGCGTGTCGTTTGTTGCGTCGGGTATGCAACTGGAAGCAAGCCACGATTATGGGCACACAAAAGTCGATCAGACCACGGGATAGTAATGCCCTCCTGCGGTTGGCCGAGTCGCAGACCTTTATGCTGGGAAAGCCCGAAAATGATGCCCCTCCTTCGCGTGTGTACTTGAGTATGGCTTCGGAACCTCGGACGTCGTTGAACTTGACAAGCGAAAAACAGAAGGAGTAACAGAAAAGCGCCCAGTGTCGTGTGAAGTAACCAAGCGAATTCTGTTGAGGTGATGCGTTACTTTTCAGATGCTTGGGTGTTGTTGCTTTCCGCCCTAGCTGTAATTAAAAGAAACGGCTTGCCCGCAGCTTGTCAAAACCTGTGTTCCTATTGCTCGCCGTTGACTAGGAAATCCTTGCCAAAAAAAAAAAATACTTCCAAGCAGAAGTGGTCCCGAGTAGCAGGAGTGAATAGTGGTTCGGTCAAGGTTCCGGAACTGCCCCGCGGTAATCTAGGTCAAGGACTAGACGATCAATTGCTCCAGCTTAATTGCATGCAGTTGGGCAATAATGAGCTATCGACTGAAAGAGCCGGGGCCAAGCGCAAAGAACCAAACAACTTCTTCTAGAAGGCCCACTTGTCGTGTGTCGACAGATTCATCGCGATGGGTCCGGGGGGTTCTTTCGGGAAGCTGGTGGTACGTAATAGTAGGAAAAAGCCAGGCGAAATAGCTCAACTTCCCGGCGTTATTAATGTCAGCAGCTTTTTTGTGTATGAGAGATATGCCGAGGATACAAGTCTCTCCTTCTAATAGCCACTACAATAGGCTAGTGTGGTGAGTATCTGATATAGAAGAGGGCTAGATCGCAGGTGACGCTTTATGCTTGTCTGCCAATATCGAAGAGATGCCTTTAAACTTTCACAGCATCGCCAAAAATTTGTGCATCGAAGCTTGATGCTGCATTTGTCGCTCAATAAAGTTTCGACTGAACACGAGCGAAAGCAAGCGCAAGCAAGCGCAAGCTAGAGCCCTGTGTGGAGGGTGTGAAATCGGGAGCCGGCTTTGATGTTTGGGACTAATGTCTAACCGGTTCTCCACATGCATGTGGAAGAAGGGGAAAAAAATTTAGAAGAGCTTGGTAAGGCCAATGCGCGTAAAAGCTTATGAGGTCAGTGAATAATAAGTTTACGAGCCAGGTAGTTTGGAATGGGCTGTATCTCATGGCGATATATTAGTTTTCTCGACAGACGCACCATGGCCGAATTTGAGTATGACATGTGCCGTCTCTCTTCTAGAAGCACCAAAGTTGCGTACCCTTACTAGTAACCGACGTCGCAGGATCCGGGGGGGGTCATCCGTGTCAGGGAGAAATGGTAACAAGAGAGCCGGGACTCTTACAACCCTGGCAATTTCGGCGGCTACTTGGGATCTACGAACCGACACACACTTGGCTAACTAGAGCAGTCGTGCCAATGATAAATTGTGTCTGAGATGAACTCTTTGGTTGGGTCTACGCGGTACTATTTACCGCAAGCCAATGGCGATAGGGCCTTGGCAATGGTCAACTCTACGTAGACAAGTCTTCGGAGTTCTAAGATTACATCATGGGCAAGTGATAAGATCTAACTACGCCGTCAAACTTGTAGCGATTTGTCCAACTTACCACAAGCGATGAGCACAATTCGAGATTAACAAATTGATGGTGTAGCAACAGGTCAAAACCCACTCCGGATCTGCACTGCTTTCGGGTCCATCTCCATGATTGATACAGATTTGCAGGACTGCATATATTCCTTGTCGACCACGACCCTCTCCACATCCTCCATGGAATTCTATTTTTCCACGGCCAGCATTCCTCGTTACAACAAAAATCTCCGAGGCGTAAGCTTCACTGAAGTCATATGATAGCATAATAAGCATGGGGCATGCAATCTCATTGTCAGCAAATCCCCCCCCCCCCCCCCCCCCCTTCTTAACCGCAGGCCGCGGCGAGGTCCCGGCATTAGTTCTCACCACTGCAGTCTCGCCCTAGGTTGATATTTCCAGCTTTCAACCATAAGCCATGCAGCATGGTCACAGTATCCCATACACCGGTTAACAAATTCAGCAATTTCAGGGGCAATTTGCGAGCTCTGAACCGAGCTGCCAAGACATTCTTAGGATACCGGTCATCCGTGAGACATAACAAGCGATGGTTTCTGTTCCTGAGATTCTTTCTCGGCGATAACTAGCAACCGTTGGAATAACATCGAGCGACACTCGCAATCAACGCACGAAAGATCAGCTGGGAGGGAAAACTGCTGTAGTCGACACATGGTTTGAACGATTGCTTCCACGAGTCACGTACAGTTTTCGTCCGATCCTCGCATGTTCGCGAGCTGTGGACATGTATACATGCAAGTACACAGGCAGGAGACATTATTAGACTTCATCTGCAACGCGCATTACCGAAGCTTGACCTTTCGCACAGACATAGTTCAGGCCATTTTAGGCTTTATGAAACCGGGACGTTTGCATTGCTGCTAGTCCATCGGAAATAAGGGCTCGTGCCGCTACAGACATTGGCTGGTCTTGACCGTATCCATTGATAACGGTGCATCTAACAGCGAGCAGTTAGGCTGTTATCGGTTTTTTATCGTCGTATGTATGTAATAAGCGACAATGGTACAGGCGAAAGATGATCAATCACTTTCCATCAAGCAGTCTAAGGCAGGTTGGTTTTGCGGAGCCCAAGTGGGTTTCCATTTAGTCTAGTCTAGCTGCCCGCCTGGCTTGCCTGGGCACTCTCGAGGCACTATGGAATACTGTGGGCCTGCTGTCTCGCAACTCGCGTGGCTGCCAGGGATACAATATTTGACGCTTGTCCAACCCCTGGCGGCCAGACAACCGATGCAGTACAATTGTCCGTTTCTCCAATCCTTTTCACGTGTAGAAAATTCCAGCATGCGGAGTAGTCCGACATCCCTCGAGGTCGATCGGCAATTTCGCAAGGAATGGGTCAAGCGATTGCCGAAGGACCGGATGCGCCAAATGCGCTTGTATTGAAATACTGTGTACTTTCAGATTGATCATCGATGACTTTGCTGGCAGCTATTCTTGAGCTTCGCCTTCGGCACGAGTATCATCTGGGGTACATCAGCATCGCGCGGAGTCAAATTGGAAGCTCTCGGGGCGCATAAATATCAAAGGCACGTGCTGAAGTAGGAAAGATGTAACCAAGCGCCCGAAATGGGAGGACAACGACATTTCTTTGCAACCTAAAAATTACCCAGTTCTGCGCATTGCATTCACTTCAAAACCCAAAACGGATGTTGTCATCTAGACCTAAAGCATGAAGGTTTTTTTTTTTCAGCCGCTTTGCTTCACTGCAGGAATTTTATGCTCATTGTTCCAGGAGAACACCTGCTCTGAAGCACCCGGCCATGCTCGCCCATCCCCAGATTCAGCTTATGTATGCCTTCCGAGCGCGTTTAGGCGGAGGAAGCATCGAGAAGTTTGTCTGACCAATTGACCACCATACTGGCACATACGAACCAAATATCGACCAAAGTACGGAACATGTTGCGCCTAGCGCTCACAATCCTCGAGGCCGGTCGCTGAACTCAGCCGGGACGGCCCAGTATCCCGCTTCCCCACCCACAAATACTCCAAACTGCCCTAAAAGCTGACTATCGAACCATTTCTGAACCTGACATCAGACATGCAGCCATATTGGATACAGCCTTTTGATCCTTACAACAAGGTCTCCGGACTCTGATATACCCTCCCTCTGATTCATTCCGTTGCACAGGGAGCACGAACCTTAAGATGCTACTTCGTGCAAAGCTGTCGGGCGTTTTAGTGGACATCTTGACATCCGACAGTAATACCTCATCTCTTATAGAAGCGCTTTGAGCCATGAAAATCCTTCTGATAATGTCGTACTGATCACTTCGCGACGTGCCTCACCGTTCTGCTATACGTTGAGTGCTATTGCTTTTTCTTCACAATAATAATAGAATGCTCAGCCAGAAAGTCCTTATCTAATCATGAATTATGTAAATCGAACTATTTCATCGAGCAAAACTAAAGTTGATCCCAAAATGAAGCCACTATGTGAGACAACTAGCGCGGATGCCGAGTCGGCATATTGAACAAAGTTTTACGATCACTAGACTAATGCTACGTAGCTATAATCGAGGGTATCTTGCGCCTCGAGGCATTGTATCAAATACTATTTTTGTCCTTCCATAACGATGACGGTCGACAATTTCGTGTACAATACGTGATTAGGTATAACCTGTTCATACAGACGGCACCTCTACAATCAGAGGTGGAAGGCTTTTGCCTGTGCTCGACTTCATGCCAACTGATTGCAGAGCCCGTATTCCGAAAAAAACACCAGGCTACCATATACACATTAGAGTAAGCGGCCGTGCAACATTGGAAGTATTTATTACACTCTGATGACCTATTTCACATTAACAATAACTTACGGACATACATGAGCATACCAAAGATCTGCACAGGTAAACCTGATAAAGCCTACATCATATCACCAGCTCCTATCCCAGCCTGGCCGCTAAGTTACCTCTAGACTACGAGAAAGGCGTCTTTGGCCTCTCCAGCTTGACCCCATCAAGCTCGATATCTACCTTCTCGTTATAGAAACACAAATGCCCCGCCACCAGCGCGCTCTCATGCGTCGGGTTCCGGTAGTACCACACGACGTCCCTGCTAACCTTGTCCTTCTTCTCTCCTAGCACCACATCGTAATAATTCGCCACCCCTTTGTATGGGCACTGTGTCTCCGTCCCGCTGTCCCTCAAGACCCTCCTATTCACCGCCGTCGGCGGCAGGTAATACCTGACCGGCAGCCCGGTCTCATACAGGTGTAGCGAGCCCGCCGCCTCGGCGACCTTGACCCCGTCGACGAAGACCCTGACGGGCCGCGCGGACGGCAGGATCTCGACGCGCTTGAACGGGTCTTTGGGGTGCACGTAGATCCTCTCGTCCTCCTCGAACCATGCGTCCACGGCGCCGAACTCGACCCGCACGTAGCCCGCGAGCTCGTGGCCCTTCCTCTCCCCCTTCTCGTCCCCCTGGGTCTCAGCGTCGTGCTGGTGCTGCTTCTTGGACTGGTGGTCGCTGGTGCCGAAGCCCAGCAGCCGGTCCGTAGACTTGCCCTGCACGTGCAGGCCCATGAGCTTCAGGGCGCCCTCGTCCCTGTCGTCGTGCAGGACGCCCCGGGCGAAGGACGAGAGGGGCACGTAGTAGAAGGGGTAGTAGGGGTGCTCCCACACGTAGAGGGCTGAGGTGGTGTCGGCCACGTAGACGCCGTTGAAAAGGATGCGGATGCGCTTGGGCGTCGGCAGGGTTTTGTGGGGGCCTTCCCTGAGGAGCCTCTGGCCCAGTTGGAGGAGGTCCGGTTTGGAGTGAGGGCTTGCCATGGTTTGGGAGTGCTATGTTTGTTTGTTTGTTTGTTTGTTTGTTTGTTTGTTAACAGTTGTGTTGCTAATACAATACAAGCGGCGTGAAAGTGTATAGTATAGCGTGCTGGCGTCTGGAGATCTACACGATGTAACGGAGCGACAAAACAGAACCTTGTTCACGTCGCAGAGTCGTTTGAGTGATTATGGAGTTCGATCAATAGCATCCCGCTGTACCGCAAAAGATAGCTGTCCCTTTAAAGCTGGGGAGGTGATGGCGTCACGGAGCATTGTGTGGGGTAATTAGGACATGCAGAGACAAGCTAGGATCGAGTACCGAACCACTGGGACCATCGTGGGGTAGCTTCGATGCAGCCCTATCATAGTATCGTGACAATGCAGTGCTGGCGTGGCACGACGGGGTTTGTGGTGTGTAATCTCGTTTAAGACGCATGTGCTACTAAGCGAATGGCCTCATGTATGGTTTGGTTGTCATGCGCAGGAAGTATGATTGTCTTGTTTCACACGCCTTGAGTCAATCATGCATAGGTCAGGTCCCTGTAAATGTTCGTCCTCTGATGATTAGAATTCACGAGGTATGAACGTGTAAGTGCTTTTCCCGTAGGCTAGGATGATAGTTCGTCACAAGTTCAAGTTGACGTGAACAGCAGACACTACTACTCAAACTTACAGGCAAGAACGAAAGGACCATATATGGCTTGTATTCGCAGCACAATTTGCCTCCGTCTAAACTCTATCAAACGTATTGGGTATCTCAAATGATCCGGCGTGCCTGCAATACAGTACAGTGAAAGTTTGCACCACCTTTACCATGCTACCATGCCGCCACAATGCTGAAAAGGCAAGAAAAATGACAACCTTCATGTGCAATATCCTTGACCGTTACCATGCTTGTGCAATACCCTGTTGTTTTTCCTTTCCTAAATGCTCCCCGTTGCATGCTATTATTGTTTGATTCCGAACGCCCCAAGCATGCATACTCAAACCAAGACATGATCGCTGTGTACCATTTCGCAGCATTGTCGAAAGTATAGGCCTTACTCAGTGTTAGGCAGTATACGCTCTCTGTGATACTTGGGGCGGCGGCGGCGAATCGGTGTCTGGATGTTGACACTCTGGTCGAGGAGGCGCGCCAATCTGAAGGGTGTGGAAGGACTGTGTCCTTTTCGAGGAGCACACCCCTAGTCGTCCTCCACGAATGGATCAGCTCCAATTTCCAGTCGTTTCGCAGCCGGCTCACTTTGGTCCTCAAGTATGCCGTATTTCTCCATCCATTGCTTCCGTAGCACTTGGTAGATGAACAAGTACTGCAGCTCTGCCTGTACCATCATCTTTCGCTGTTCTCGGAGGGTGTTGACTGTTTCGAAGACGAGGTCACCCTGGACCTCATCGTACATCTCGAGGTCTCCCGAGTCAATCTCGCGCATGAGGTGCTCCAGGGCAATGAAGGTGCCGCTGCGTCCTACACCGGCAGAACAGTGAACAATCCGAGGATTGTCTTCGCTGGCATTCTTGTCGCGAGAGATGCTCATGAGCTCGAAGAAGGAGTTTATGTCCTCGAGGGCGGGAACACCAAAGTCGGGCCACCTCTTGTATAGCAAATGCCACACTTCCATATGGTCCTCGCGGCCGTCGACCTGGACCTGCAACTTGCGCATCTCGATGGCGCCGTCTGCCTTTTCTTCTATACCTACACATCTTACTTGCGCCCGCCACCCATCTTGAAACTCATCGTGCTCGCCAATGACAATGGTACCGTCTATGGCACGCGGATAGTAGGGGAAGCACTTCTCTGCGTTGTTCTCATGCGTCTCAGTCAACATGACCATAACAGCCGGGCTTGTCAACTGTTCTGACACCATGCGCCATACATGCTCCGATGTTCTCTCAGTTGGACCTTGCATGGCGATGTACTTGTGCGGCGGTCTTCTCTCTGGCGCCAGAGGAGAGTGCAGTACGATAGGCGAGGCATTGATGTAATCAGCAGCGCCTTCGGGAACTTGCAGCCTGACTCGGTTGTTGTTCCAGGGCTGGATGTTGCCATATCGATCCAGGGATCGGAAAGCCAGGTCGACTCGCGCAAACTTGAAAGTTGGTGACGCATTCGTCATGCCTTGAAACACACGATTCCGCTCATTCCAGGTGATTTCGTTGTACTTGGCAATGATGTCTGCGATACAAAGTGGTAAGTCCAGAAGTCCATATGTCATGTAAGACGGTCGAAGAGAGACATCATGCACATACCCTGCTCGGAGAGGTTCAAGAAGGCGGGAATCTTAGGCGGCTGCCGCTCCTTGGCGCCTTTCTTGCTCCCGTTCCCGTTCTTCTGTTGCTGCCCGCCCTTGGCGCTGCTTGGAGAGATGGAAGCAGTATCCTTATTGGGTGGCATCGTCTCGTGGCCTACAAGACCATCTTGCTTGACGATAGCGGGCGAAGTGGGTTGAGGCAATGCAGCGGGTGCAGGAGATCGTGCGCGCTTGTTCGAGGACCGGTGGAAATGCAGCTTCCCAAAGGTCGAAGGGGACTTGATTGGACGGAAGATGCCGTGGCTAGACTTGGGCGGCGTGGTAGACGTCGTTATGGTGAGGAGAGGAGGTGCGGTGGTGTGAGTATCTGGTTTTATATTCGTATCTGCATTCGTATTCGGTGAGGGCGAGTGATGGTTGCCGTCATCATTCGTGGCAGTAACAGTAGCATTAGCATTAGCAGTAGCAGTAGCTGCACTGACTGGCGACTGCCCGGGCGAAGAAGTAGCAGAGGTAGTATTGCTACCAGCAGCATTGGCCTTGCGGCCGGTGCGCCGGAAGCGGGCTGAGAAACTTCTGTGGTCCATTATCGTCGGGCGTCTCACCAGTTGGTGTCCTGGCAGGCAGAACTGGGAAAGACGCCGGGGTGGTGGGAAGGCCACTATCGAGGATGGATCAAGTATTACTTGGTGGTGTGGTGGAGGAATGACGCAGCTCGGCGACCCGGAGTTTTGGTTCTTGGTTAAGGCCGTGAGCTGAAATCGAAAATCGAAAATCGAAAATCGAAAATCGAAAATGGAAATGGAAATGGAAGTCGAACTCGAACTCGAACTCGAACTCGAACTCGCCCGGGTTTTGGGGGCTGACTATAGTGCCTAAGCTGTGCTACTATTTCAGGACCAAAATTTCCACATCGGTGGCAAGAAGGTCCCAAGAAGGTCCCAAGTCGTCGGAGGTGGCAGGCACAATGGATGCCCCGACCTGCTGGACTCCTCTTGCCTCACCTCGAGAAGATCGAGTGACGAACCGCCAGACCACGCACACCTACGCACAGGTTTGTTATTGATGATTCGTCAGGTGGTGAGGCGTGTGTCGCATGGATGTGTTCGAACTTCGGGCTCGAGAGGATCGGCCGGAAGGATCAATGTGTCGCGTAGTGTCTTAATATAGAGCGAGGCCCCCTGAGTCAAAAGCCTGCCGCGACCAATACAAAGTTCCCAAAGTCAAACCATAACCCAAAACGACCCGATGGCGCATTCCCACCGCGGAGTTTGGGGACTTTGGGAAATTTACCAACAAGAATTCTACAGATTTGGGGGCAGCAAAAAGGAGGGACTCCGTCCCAGGGTCTTCGTAGGAAACCGATCCTTCAAGGTGGGAGTCACGAATCACATTGTCAGCAGCATCTCAAGCTGCAGGCTGATTGATGATCTCGATTCTCCACCCCTGTTACGCGACCTATTAAACCTCGTCCGAAATAGAGGGGCTCAATGGATCCCAATCAGGCCTGCTGCTCGTGTGCTGCAGATTGCCATTTTGGAACCATATGCGCAGAGGCGTTCGCCGGCTAGGACCTGCCTGTGAGTTCGGGCAAACAGAAACAGTGCCCAATGTTCATGCATTCCTAAGGCACCATGCCGATCATCCAGCCTGTCGGGGTGCTTAGCAGTCCAAATGCATGCAGTTTAATGCGTGCCTGCGTGCCACTGTGGGCGACGCTTCGGCACTCGTACCTAATCACTAGCTCCCGAGCAAGCAGTGGACACAAGAACATGTACATGCATGTAGGCACACCATCGACCTCGCAGCTACTGTAAGTTACATAGTAATCGACTGACTTATAGTGCATATTACCCACTTATCACAACCCGGAATGAGCAAGAACTATAGACCGCCGAAATCTGCCAAAGTAAGGTTAATTGATCTAAGGTTAGAAACGTCGACATAGGCCTCACTGGTGTAATACAGAACGACGCAAGGAAATTGTGGTCATGCCAATAACAGTAAGCCCTGAGGTGACTGTGCCGATTCTTTGCCGAGGTCCTGCGTGAACAAAAGCCGCTATAATAGTATTGGCAATTTTGGGCACGGCATGGGTAGGGCAACCTCGAGCTCAGACTTCCATGCTTAGTTCCGCACTCAATGGAATTGTGGCCGCGTTGCGCTGTTTGTTTACAACAATAACCTTAAGTAAAGGATTGCGAAACCGTATAATTTGATACTAAGGACTTGTATGATTCCCGCCGTATGAATGTTCGTCCGGCTGAGTTGATACATCTAGACAGTCTAAGGATGCAATCATGTTGTAGATCAAATTTGCTTGTGAAATCTAATGACTTGAACCCTGGAGTATGTTTCCGTGCCCCATAGGAATGACGTTCATCTCTTCTTCGTTGTTTTCAACCTGATATACAAGATAACGATCATCTTTCTATGAGAGAATACAGAGTAAAATCTCTCCAAATACATGGAAAAGCGGTCGCTGGCGCCACCGGTCTCTGGCCCAATTTAGTCGGCCAGCAAACTTGACGATGAGCACCACGTCCACAGATGAGAGAGAGCCAGCATCCCAAGTTTTCTGGATTCTATCGATTATAGCTATGGAAATTCATTAATTAAACCTGATGAGGAATGAATATACAGCGTAGTCCTATAGTAATGATGACTGATTAAGAAATTGGATATTATGCGTATGAAGATCTTGACATGGTATTTCAGGGTAAGACGAGCAGAAATACAACAAAATCTTGTACGTGATATACAATGCTCAAGTAGGCTCTTCATGTAATTAAAATTTCTAAAACATCAACACTTTGAAGGGACGACCTATCCAGATCAACCCACTTAGGTTACAAATCAAATATATACGTACGAAACATCTGCCGTATGGCCTTTCCATCTCTATACTTTGGAGGTTCCAATAACTGTAGTGTTTGCGCGGCCTTTAAAGGACTCTTGTTTTCTACCCCAAGTATCGCTTTGAGAGGATCAAATGTTTGAAAGTTGAGATGTTTGATTTGAGAAATACACATGTCTATAACCTCGAAATGCCCAATTTTTATTTATTTATCTCCTCGAACTTGCTACCATGCCGTTCCCCGAATATTTTCCCCCTCCCTCCCTTATCGCCCAGCTATATAACGAACTCGTCACTTCGTCTTTGAACATGTCTACTTGATACATAACATGCACATGTGAGATTCCTATTTCATTTTTCTTCTGGCTTAAGCGTTGAGGCCAGGCCATTAAATTCCAGAAGCATAGGTGATAAGAGAACCGGACCAGAGGCACACGCCCTTATACACCTTACACCTTGACGCAGTCGTACTGCGAACTGAGAACATGCAAATGTCGAAATATATTTGGTTCAGTATCACCTGTCAGCAACATGTGGGCGCACACCGTTTGGAACTGGACAACCGTGGTCAGCAAGAACGGCCAATCCTCTCACACCGCAGAAACCTGATACTCTTGTAGCGCGCTATTGGGGACGCACCGTTGGTAAATCTCCTTAGTATGAGATTAAATCCTGAACTCTATTCGTGAATGCGCCGCTTCTATGCGAACAGTCAGTGGACTCACTGGTTGAAGACCGGCAATCGATAATCATTGAATTCGACGACAAACACACTATTGATGTTGTTGACCCCGTGGGCGATGACTGTATAAAGTGTAAGCTCAATATCAATTTTGGCTATAAAGTTCAGCTTCTTACATGTATTCCACCGACGAATTCACGCTCGCGGAACCATGCTTCAAAACACACTTAAATATTTTCCGAGGGTACCTATGGTTGACCGCGAAGGGCTTTATACCGTTCGATCTGCCCGGCCAATGGTACCCGTAATAACAATACGTTCAGCGTATTTCGCATTGGCAGTGATCTACCAGAAATATTAAACGTACGGCCTCCGTTTGCAAAGAAGAAAAAAAAGTAAATGTCGAAAAAAGCATGGACCATGAATTTAGGGTCGACTTTACTAAAGTAACATAATTTTCTTCGGTGAACTTTTGACGGACACATGTTACTTGTGTCGCATGGGAGCTTTTCATGAGTTTATATTCCAGGTGTGAAAGCTGCATCATAGCTGCGACAGTCATGAATAAAGCATGAGTCATAAAGAACTTGATCCTCAAGGTAAGATTGTTGCGTAAGCGAATCTAAAGGGCATTTTTCGATGATTACCTTGAGTATGATAAGAATGAGCAACATCAGAGAAGTAGCGGCGAGTCTCCTGATAGAAATTCTAAATCGTCTATCTACTAAGGAAAAAAAGAACAATAAGTGATGTTAAGGTCTATACATACGGATGTACACGTAGCATTGTGTGGACAAAATCCTTGCGACCAGACCACTAATGAGGAATGCACCTTGGTCGCCCTGCCCCGGCCAGACCAGTGGACATGAGCAAGAATGAGACGAAAGTGCGAATGTCTTATACTTGGGTCTAACGTGTAAATTGGGTTGGATCCAGCTTTCGGTCAGGCAGGGGAATCGCGTGGAACTTAGGGTTAACAAACCACAAAGAGAAGACCATAATGGATTATTCATGGCTATGTTTATCTCCCTCTATTCCAGTATTATACTTTATGCCGTCAGCTCTCAAAAATTGTACGTCTCTTCTTGTCTCAATATTAGCTATTGCCTTGTCCCGCATGTGGTATTGTCTTGCCAGTGAATATGCGCTGTCATACAACAATAAGGTACTTGACAGTACCCAGGCTAACCTAGTAATCATTTAACTGTTAGGCCCGATTTCTGGAAGCCACAATCCAATGAAAATTCCGCTTTACTGTACATATATTGTTTTGTTGGTTGATATTCCTCTTTCCACATGAATTGTTGAAAAGAAAAAGGCTTGAAAACATGAACTCTTCTTGTAGCAGCTGCAATTTTACTGGTCCTGTGGTTCCCAATCTGCAACCGAACTTACAAGGAAGTCGCAGTCCTCGCAAGACTGGCCAAGCACTTGGCATGTATCCCTGTCAGCTTCGCCGCAAATCTTTGGGCGCCGCTGCGATCTCACTTCGAAATGTAACTTGATTGCGCAGTTTCTCATCAAATTGTACCTTTTCGCGTTGCAATCCATTGAGAGCTCGACGTTACGGTGGACTGGCACCACGCGCCACCGCATTTGGACTATTGAACACATCGGCACAATGCACTTGAAGCCATTTCACGTTTCGCGCCTCGTACTTGGCATATTAGCCGTCTCCATCAACCTCGTTGGAGCCCAAAATGGCACCAACCAAGGGGCTAACGTTGCGGAGGCAGATTTGCTGTGGCCACGGGAGGGTGAGACCTTCGCACTTAACGGCAAGGGAATGGCCATGGTAGTTGCGATTCAAAACTCCGCCGAAGCCCAGAAATACGGCTGGAGAGTGTCTTGGCTAATGTGTCAAAACCGTACAGACATGTTTCGGGAGTGCGCCTTCACGGGCGACTTCAGCGATTCACATACGGCTTTGAGGAATGACTCGGTAGTCGACGAGAGAAGTGGCAACGACCACGGCAACGATGTCTACATCGAGATCAGCCATTCCTACTGGTATTCTGGTTCTGGGAGCGCAGACTTCGATTATCACTTTGGCGGAGTGTACACCTTTGAGTGGCGCTTCTCGATAGGGCCATGGTGTGAGTTTACCAACACGAGCACATCGTATAGCATATCTCAACTCATCAGTCGTGGTGTGTTCAATGTCACGCTGGCCCCATCCGCGCCTTACCCAACGCCAACACCGACGACGTGTGGCAGCTTCTTGGGAGCTGTAAGCTATGCAGGGGCGGCGGAATATGTGTTTGGCCATAGCGTTGCCAACTCACCTGGATGCGTTCAGACGCAGCCCGTGACTATCGCTCCAACACCATGTCGTGCGACGCTCGGCGCTGGACAATTAGCCACAGCGGCCGCTCTTATGGGCTGGGATCAATCAAATCCAAACGCTACATCAGCCATCTCAGTCCCGACGGAAACCGGGAAGAGCCTCTCCAGCACAACAGTAGCTAATGGGTTGCGTGTTTTTGTTGCTTTATTATCCGCTATCATGCTGCGAGATTACTTGTGGTAACGATGCCATTGATTAGCAAACAGTTCATTACGTCTTCAAAAAAAAAAAAAAAGAAGATCCTGTTCTTTGACAAGGCTTACACCAGCTGGTCCTAGTTTATTTAGATGGAAGGTTGGCTACACCACTATTTTGGATGATGTAGAAAACTACCTCAATTCGGCACAAATATCCATGAATTAGAGTGGCTATGACTAAGATATATGAACAGAAACACTGCTCTTTGTTCTGTAGGTCCTTACGTGATCCTGTACAGATTCTTGTCTGTTGTTTATCGACAAAATAATGTCAAATGTACCCGCAAGCCCGAAGAAGTAAAATAATTCTTGTTTGTATAAAGGCCGTACTAGTAGCCGTAGGGTGGCTCATGTATACTTATGTACATAATGGCCCCTACCTCCGTTGATATATTGAAAGTCAATCAAGAACTACTGGAAAATCATCTGAGTACCGAACGAACCTGCCTCATCTTGGGCTACCTGCTGCTTATTAATCGACACTCAGATGAACCACGCTTCTCGAAAATCACCATGCGCATAAGGTATATATTCAAATATGTAGGTAATCAAAACTTATTAATTTTCATTTGTGAAGATCATGCTAACGTGTTACTTTCATTTAGGGACATGGCTGTAACATGTGTGAATTCAAGAAGGCATATCCAGACGACTGCCACGATTTTCTGGCCAAGATTCATTCGAATAGTTATCTTTTTCCACAGTATTCACCTTCCAGCTAGTTATTATAGTTGAGTAGGAAGTCGCTCCAATAAAGGCACATTCGTGCTTATGTGTGGCCCGGTAAACTAATTGTGATTGGAGATGATAATAACCTAGTAGGTTGATAAATAAAATTGTAACCATCTAATATTACTTTGAAGTAATGTGACCATGCTCACTAGCCTTGTCTTTCAGTGCCTTACAAGCCTTTTCCCAAGCAGCATTCTCGGGGTATAACGCAGACAAGAGATACGCCCAAGTCATTCGCTGGGTGACCGCCAATCGCTCTGCATTCTCATCATCCGTCTCTTTCGCATCCCAACCAGCGACGCCCCCAAACCCATGACCGCCACCGTGCAACGTCAGCAAATAATCCGCACCGGGGCCGTGATGGAACGGGTCAGCATGCCATTCGGGTCCACGGTCTGTGAAATTCTTAGAGTGATCAGCATCTCCAATAACGACAAGCGTTTTTGTGTTAAGATGTGTCCAGCCCGTGTTCATCACAGTCGAGTAATTCTCTCTCGCAAACTCATTGAGACTGTCTCCGCCGTTGCCCGGTGCACCTAGAAGCACACCCGTCTTGATGCGCGAATCGCTCAGGTCTACATTCAAGATGTTGGCCTTGGGGTCGTTGAATGTGGCGCCGAGGAGAAGCCCTGCAGTGGCGCCGCCCAAGGAATGTCCGACGACGGCGACCTTGTCACGGTCGATCCGTCCTGCTAAGAACGATGCTTGCGCTTCGATCTCGTCGAGATTATCCAAGATGAGCGACATCTCTTTCGGGCGAGACTCAAAAAACAGCGGACCTCCTGGGCCATCAGATTTGAGGCCCGCAACCTTCGAGTTTGCGTGGGTGGGTTGGATGACAACAAAGCCGTGCTCCGCGTAGAAATTGGCTAGAGGTGCGTAGCCATCTTTCGAGGGAATATAGAGCGATGGTCCATGACCATGTGATAGCAAAACAATGGGTAAGTCTTTGCCAGTTGTTGGCGCAGTTATCCGTACCTCCAGAGGAGCACCACGTTCCGGTGCAGGTATTGTAACTCGATTGATAGAAAGTGTTATATTCGAGTCGCCCACGGGGATCTGTGATGCATCCTTGATAAGATTATTCATTGTTGTTTAATTTGTTGCTGCTTCAACTGAAATGGTGTTTGTTATTGCGAGGTTGGGATTTGAGTTGATGATAGAACGAATTATTGTTTCCTGACTGGTAAGCAGTAGATGTACTGACTGTCTCGAGGTTTACTCTTGTATTTATATTCACTTATCTTGTGTTTGTATTAGACACAGTCCATGGTGGACTTAGTATGATCGAAATGTGCGACGGACTTAAGCAGCTGTGTTCCGCAACATTGATCTAAGGTTAGTGGTCTTATCCAATCAGCGACAGGGCTGTACTCCACCACAATGATACGCCCACCATAGCTTTAGGAGGCTACGGATCCGTATAATGCAGCTAACAATCTAGGCCTATCGCACGGCACCTGCTAGGCTTGATTTGGAAAATGCTTTATTCGTAACGCGTTCCTGCCAAACCCATAGATTCAATCTTAACCCCGATTTATAACAACTATGCACCATGTGAGCCCGGAACTAAAGTGACAGCAATTCGTTCGGGCAATGTAGAATTCGATATGAAGATGAAAATAGAACGAGGATCCATATTTGGAGTAAACTATAATCATCTAACAACAACCAAATCAGCAATACACCCGTCAGTACCTCAAGGAGCCTGCCATCCACTCGAAGCATACCTTTTTAGAAACTCAAGCCTAAGTGCGAGAGCGGCAACTCGCCAGACGCGACAAACAGCATGTGCGGTGCGGGCAACTGATCTGGGCAATGAAATCTCAGAAAATTGCCTCTCACGCCCAGTAGACTGGTGTATTGCAACGCTGACCCACACACTAACCGTGGATGCCTCACCATGGGCTTTGATACCACTCGCGCCGACAAGCAAGCGAGGTTGTATATCGAGGCAAGGGTTGCGTGCAAGGCGGAGGCGTTCGGACTCCGTGACGTTGTAGCCGCTATTGGTGTAGAAATAAAGCCACAGACGTACGAGTCTGGGTGCTGCCAACGTTCACAAGCTGAGTGTTCCAGCTTGGTACTGATGACCAGGCAGTTGGGATTATGATTGTGGCCACGATGTTCGAAGCTGCAACCGCGCAAGTCTGCCCAAGTGGCTGTGCGCTACGGGTGTCGTTTGGCATTATCGCCGGTGTACGCATGCAAGCTCTTGTCGTAAGTCTTCCTGTGAAGGGGGCGACCCGAGTTAGCTCTCAGCACCTTGTCATGCCAATACCGAGTTCGGCTCATACTCGAGCTAGGTCTGAAGAAAGATGACCATGCTATTGAGCAGAAGGCTACCCCAGCAAGAGAAGCGTATAGTCGATTTGCAAAGGTAGTCTGAATTGTAATCAAACATTTGTATCTGGCCGATTGCGGGGATCAAGTCATTGGTGTACCACGAGACATTACCAAGATGGGATGCGAACAGTTTTAAACCACTGCTTGCGCATATATTTCGTGCTACTGTAAGCCTCATCTTCCGTCCTGCCCTGGGAGCTGCTTCTGTCAAAGGTGAATCAACCATGTCCGGCAGGCGGCTCTCGTCCAACGCAAATTATACCCTTCGACACCACCAGAAAGCGATCTTCCGCGCAGCACCTTGATTATACCGCCATATATTACACTCCACGATATCAATTGAAACCACGAATGAGTCATTGATAACCACATGGGAGCGCAACGCTCCACCAATTCGTCTCAAGCCAGAGGTAATTCTTATACTAGAGCCATCGCTGAAGTTGATAGGGCAGGGGGTTGTCAACCAATCAGTCAAGAAAGAGGCAATGGCAAAGAGTGATAAAACTAATAGGAAGTTAAACATTGATATTAAGAATCCAGGGTTTGGCACACGTAGCGGATGGTTTCACGATTCCTAAAAGACCAGTGGAAGAACAAGGCACAACCAACAGGACTCAGGCTATTGCAGGGAGAATGAAGAGATAACTAGACTATTGGTGAGAGCGAAAGGAACCATTTCTGTCGGAATCCTGTCCCGAGTTTTGTATTATAGGGTATCTTATTTCGAAGCATGTTAGGTGCTTGCTCGTCCGGCGGGACTGATATGTCCCGATCGATGAACCGCTTCAGTGACTTCGCTTTACTATCACCCTTGAGTGGCATAGATCCCTGCTAGCCTACTTGGATTATATATAGTTCTATCTTCTGTTCGTTTCTCGTGATGTTCGACTACTACTCAATGGTGTTGGATGTCAATTTGTCGGCTCACAACAATACCGCCCGGCACGTAAGGGTGAGCCGCCCCTCGAGAAGTGCCCCGGCCAGGCTCCATGATGACTTTTTGACTATCGCCATCGCTCGATACACTACTCCGGTCACCACCTTGTATTTGAGTGGAATTCATGTTCTTCTCTTTCGTAGAGTGCAGTGTTCCGAGTTCATGGCCCGCATCGAATGATCTGTACGGATGCGTAACCTTGCTGGGTAAACCGTTTGGGGTCATGCCACTGGGTGCAGTACCTCCGCTGGAGCCGCCGAGTCCGAGAATGCGACGGAATAATGGTCGTAGTGTCGACTAGCAGAGGTTAGTTATAAGAATTTGAAGAGCACGAATGTGGGACGTACCAGATTGCCAACAAACATGCCGATACCATTTTCACAGTAACCCCAAATCACAATGTTGGAAAGACCATAGAGGTACTCAGTTGACGACGTCAAGTTGACTGTGTACTTCAGACGAATGCAGGCGCTGACCGATGCACTGAATATGGTTAGCATTCCGAGGCACGTATAAACGTCATTACGTAGGTCTTACAAGATACCAAGACCCAAGATAGCACCAACAGAAATTTTAGCGTTTGTGTTCATTTTGACGTTCCACAGAAGAGGGATAGGCATCAGCGCTGTAGCCCAGTCCGTGAAGATATTGACGGCCGTCGTAGCATAGTAGATATCGGCCAAAATGTAGGCTGGTTGACAAGTACCAATATCGGTCCAAGCAGCAGAGACGGGACTGCATTGGAAGATGATATAGAGTGCCGCAATAAGATTCATTGTGGTAAACATTGCCATGATGCCATACTGACACCATACAAACCAGGATTTGTTTTCAGCAATGCGCACAAGCATGAAAGAGATACTGAGTTTGATGGGAATGATCGCAACGCAATAAAATACTTCGAACAGGAAAAACCACTACAATCATCAGCAAGGCCCTGAAATCATTTAGGGATAAGACTCACAAATAGACCGTCTACTTGGTAGTGGACATTTTCCGCCAATTCCAGCCTCCATTGATGTATGCCAACGCCATAAAGCGATGCAAGGATGCATGCTATCGATAGGACCAGAAGAGGAAACTGGACAGAGAGTATTAGACTACGATCAAGGTCAAACGATACTAGTTTAACTCACTGCTGCCACAGTCATCAGCCAATCTTCCGTACCCCATGATCGCCTCGTGATACGAGTGTAGACTCGAAGGCCAAATGTTATGTATGCTAATAGCATGACAGTGATGACCGTTCCCGCAACATGAGGAGCATCGTCCTACAGCAGTCATTAGTTGTGAGAGCCCAAAGATAGCCCACCACAGAGCCAGACATACCATAAAAATGGCCATGTTGATGCCTTAAGGACGAAAGAAACAGCAAACTCAAAATCAACGTCCAAGTGGACGGCAAAGTTGACGGATGGGCTTAACGCAGTGAATGGATATCAAAACAAGAAAGTGAAAGAGCGAAGGTTCGTCTGGAACAGATACAGAAAGCAAGAATCCGGGGGAAGTATGACACTTCCAACTCCACCCATTAGGAGAAGGAAACAGCTTTGGCAGCGGTACACCCTCTCAGATATTAACTGCTTCAACCCTGGAACGGTGGATACTATACTGGCTCCAGGCAACGCACGAGGGACACCCCTGAAGTGCAAATGTACGAAAAGGTGAGTAGTAGGAAATTCAAAGGTCTCCATTAAATGGGCCAGCCATTGGGTTGTCTTCCGACTCGCAATGGTGTGGTTATCGCCTATGTATCATCAAGGCCTGGTGCGAGGCGCTGAACGGATTTGCTGCAGTAACAAGAATGGCATCTGGGCACTATATGGAACCGCATAGCCCTAACCAGGCGTTGTTGCGAGACTGGGTCTGGAATATCTAGCGCAGGTCCGTCTCACAGAGCGGGTCCACTATAGAGCTATAAGTCCCCACTGAGCCCATCGTCTGTGCCGAAAGAGTGAGATGTGCAAGCATCTTTACTGTAATGAGTCTTCTTTCCGGTGCCGATCTCCAATTTTCGACGCATAAACTAGATGTCTAGTTTCAAACCGCATTGCTGGGTACGTCGGTTCATCAAAGGTTTGCAGTGACCTAATTTGGTCAGAAGTTGTCGCATCGTATGGCGCGATGATGATACCTCGCCCATATCCGAAGCCCATTTGGCCAAACCTGTTCGTGACTTGACTGTCTCACGCTAACCTAGGCATCAACAGTCATGACATTGTAGAGTTGGCCAACTCACGGACTGGTCATTGCTCTACGGAGTGTGAATGATTTTACTGCAACTTTCGTGCCGTGTCCTGAGACTCAAAAGGAACAAATGCGCTGCGGTCCCCGAATTACTTGCCGTTCCAATCAGATGGGTTTTTGTCGGCGCGCTTATGCATTAACACAGCTGTAATTGTCATCCTTTGCATTTTTGTGTGTATATGCAAGGAACACCGCGGCAGCCTCGGACAGAAAATGTGGACAAAATTGTTCCAGAATGGAAATCATTACCGTGATAAAACGGTGCCAGCAATATCTGTGGAGTAAACGTCGCAAATAAGACGGACGATTGTTCGCACGAAAATAAAATTCTTGGCAGGGCAGGCGGGGGCTAGTTTCTGACAGCACGTTCTAACGGCCCTCCAGTCTTGATTATTTCCCGTAGCTGAAAAGTAAATGGCCGCTTCAGGACTCGTCGATAGTTCGTCAGCAACGGCGCGGCTGCCATCGTCATACAAGTAGGATAAGGCGAACTGGTTCAGGTATGTCGCACCGCATCCGCATGAGCAGCAAGTATTTGAACGTCAAGACCGTTTAGCTAATGAGTACCCCGGGTAACTGTGGCCACAACAAGGCTGGGCCTCGGCGGAACACTAGATGCTGGCGGGTTGCCAAAACAACTTGCGATTGCAACTGGTACCCAGTTGGTCTCATTAAATTATGTAAGATCGTCTTTTCTGAAATGGCCTGCTGACAATTTAAGCGCGTTCTGATTGAGTAGCTACCGGAACCGATGCTTATATGTGTCCAGCCCTGCAATCAGCCTTATCACTCAAAGCTTGTGGCTGGCTTCTACTTGGCACTTAATAGGATCTGGTAGAGCGCTAATATCTCGGAAACATTTGATCTGTACAAGCACAACTGATATGTCTCAACTATGCTCAGTCCGACCATATTTGCGGCCAGCACGCAACTCAACTAAGGAGAAATAAGTTTGAATTGCTCAGCGGCCACTTTGCTGCAGTTCCTCGAGTGATGTGCGAAGCAAACGCTCCTTCGATATTTGGCGTTTGGCTTGAACTCAAGTTGTCCACGAATTTAATGGATAAGCGGGCCCCCGAAAGCTTGTCGCACGCTGCCGCATTGGCGACCAGGCCAGTCTGTAATGGAATCCGATACGGTAACCTCGGCAAATTAATCCTCACCAGCCAGGTGGAAATACAGGGCTACAGAAGCCATTTTCGGCATCGATTTTCAAAGGGGTCCCCACCAATTTCTGGCGGCGACGCGGCTGTGAAGCATTTGCTACTATGGTAAAGTCAGAGCCACTGGGTGATCACAGCACTCGTTGATGCTACCTACCCAGGGTTCGCCGGTTACATACCCGCCCGTGTGCGCAAGCATGCTTGTTAGATCTGTCCATGTCTCCTTGTGCTTCATTGGATCTGTAAATTTCCGTCTTACGAGCGTCTCCATCAATGATCTCAGGAGGCAATATTTACCTTGCATTTTGGTACATGCTCACCGCTGCACACTGTGTGCTAACATGGTAAAACCTAGTAAGGGCTGGTAAAGTACGTTTGTCCTAACAAACAGCCGAATAACGCAATACTTCAGCAATAAGGCTTTGTGAGCATTCCTACATCAGTACAGTAGGCAAGCTCGTTTTTCTGTTGTCTAATACGATGTCTTCGAACACGCGTCTCTCACAATACCAGTTATGCATGCTTTTAGAGTGTCAGAGAAACATATGCTTGTCTCGGAAGGAAGGCTCGGGAACACGACCGCCCCGTAAGAAAGAAAGGAGCCGAATGACTTTGCCGACCACGTTCATCAACCGCTTTCGCCATGCATGCCGCAAACGTATTAACCACTTTTACAGTTCGCGAACGTTACCGGGATTGAGGCCTGTCGGAATACATGGATGTTTGCTTCCTGCAGGTGTTTTTGAACAGCGGCAGGGTATTTCGCCGACAAACCCGGAAGATCTCTTCAATGAATGGATCTGCATTTCCAAGCTTGGAAAGATGGTCGGTATCCAGTTCCAGGCTCTCCCAGTCTCGTGCATAGTATATCACTCCAAAGCGAACGGCCGCACGGCGCTGAGCGCGAAACAGCCTTGTTAGTCCGTAACAGTGGTTTTGCGTGGGGAATAGCTCATCATCGTTGTTGTAAAAGGGGAATCCCAAATTACCTCGGCATCATCGACTACGCTGGGTTGCTCTGATAATGTTCGATCGCTGCTACTTAATTAAGGTGTTCGCGCCTGTGCCAGGAATACTTCTTGAGGTAGAAGGGTCGTCCTACTATAAAGGACAAAAGCGGCGTTTTGTGTTGAGGCATACTATTCCGAGGCCTGCCTTCTTGCTACATATTGTAGCTTTTCCATCACTGCAGATCGATGGTGATACCGTAGTACGGACGGACTATATTGCCCTCTAGGGTATAGGATTTACAATTGCCTGTCCCAGAAACCTGGATCAGGCCGGTTGGAAGGGCCAAACCCCTTTTAAGTGAAACACTGAAACTTTCACGTACTCCGCCCCATCCTCGTTCGTTCATTTATCTACTCCGCGCCGAATCTGAAAATGTATACTGGAGCCTTGTCCACAACCCCGCGTTTGCATTATCTATCTCGCTAACGGGTTCCGCACATAGTCAGTCACGTCCCGTGGGAAAAGAAAAAAAAAAAAAAAAAAACACCATCTCAGATCTTGAAGCCAACTACCGTGGTTGGCCGCCATACTCCTCGTCTTGGGCTAGTTGAGCACCACACTCATAAAGGTCGGTTACGGAGCGCCAGGGACTTATTTTAGCCGCCATCTCCTACGCGTCTGTGTTAGCATCTCGTTTGTGCGGCGGACTTGGTTCGCATAACTGATCTCACGACAATTCATGATAAAATCTCAATTGGATTAAACAACAGTTATATCAATATGATAAGTTCCAGTATTGCAGGGCTGAAACTTGGAGTTCGTATAGTCCCAGCATTAGCTGGCGCTATTGAGCCCATTCTCCGGTTTCTTAATTTATCAATAGTCGATGTCAGCTGAGCCGCTTACAGCCGGAAGTCTTTCGCCTTTAGGATTAATACCAACGGTTTGTTTTGTGTAGACGTTCGTCCCACTTCTTGTCGCTTATCGGTGCTCGACGGATGATGCGAGGCACCGGTTCATCCTGTGACTAGCCCTACTGACCTGCACATATGTCCAGCTGGGGACTATCTATATTTCCTTCTCCCCAGAAGATCTTTAATGTAGTCTACTGGTGTAGGCACGAAGGTTACGATCGTAACCACCCCCCACCTAAGGACAATATGATCCGATCACAGCACTGACATAATCGCAGAATGATGAGACAAGGGTTATTTATGGCTTTATCTGTACATTCTGTTCCACTCGCGGCATTCTTTTTTTGCAAAAGTGAACGTGGCTTGAATAGTCTCGATCAATAACGCTATTTTCAACTTCTTGATAGCTTCTAGCCACCTCATGCCTTGGCATATAAAGATAACGTATTGTAGTGAGTTGGTTGGTGATAGTGTGTCGACGATTCAGCATAGCAATCACGCGAAGCTGCCAACAGACGATACCAGGCAGCGAGCCTCGAGACAGTTTAGATTAGGATGCGCATGTCTATACGTCCTTAGAGTCCCCATATGGAGCTGACTAGGTGGGAAATGCTCGCGCTGAGATCTCAACCAAGACCAGAATGGGTTTGGTTTTGTGATTGGACAACTGGAGCATCATGGCAGGATAGCTTATTGGCCCCGGCAAGGCTTTCACCTCTGAGTGGTGTTATATCGTGGGTGAGTGATGTTCGTTCTTTTGGAACGTCTTGGTTCCCAGGATTAGTGTATCATGTAGCCAGGTGTATTCAGTCGAAAGGCTGAGAGGAAAGAAGACGGCCTTGGCATCTTGCGAAGAGCATGGGAAAGCTGGTAACGAAAATTGACAGCCGTGGGGACCAACACAAGAATGGAGCTCGTAACGTTACTGAATTCATGGATGCATTTCGACAGCTGGGAGATTTGAGGTATTTGGCCAGATCAATTATGATTCCCGAATCGACCATACGGGTGTGTCTCTGAGCACAAGGGTCGGGCATGGGGCTGAAGGCAATGGATGGGTAATAACCAGTGATAACCGCTAACATACCATATATGTGGTGGATATTAGCCAGCGTAGTCAAGTTAATGAACGGCTCTTGTCCTCTTATTTGTAATATGAATTAATATGGAGTGTTCAGATGTGTAGTTCTAGAGCATAACATTATTTACAATAAACTGTACGTATTGGGGTTTAAAATCTAGGAAATATTCTGTTTTCTTTTTGCTAGGCCTCCGCCGGGCCCTTCAGGAGACATACTGGACTTGATCTCGTTAAGCTTAATATAGTAGTGCTCTAACGGGCCAAGAGCTTGCTTGGTAGGATATAACCCGTCTTACTTGAGGTTGACCAAGAATGTTCGCTCTGTGCTGCTTGGCAGCTCAACGGTTTAGACTGAACAACGTGCCTTGCATGAGACACAAGCACATTACTTTCATGATCGCATTAATCTGTATAGTAACAAAACTATGAGGAATTTTTATCTAGCAACCTGTTAGCACACTTAAAGTGTGGAGTTGAGCGTGTTGGTAAACTCTGATGTTTACTTAGGAGCGCATTTGAAGAATCGCTGAAATTGCATGGCTCGTGAAATGAGAGGCCCAACTGGTTGGAGCGAGGGCTCAGGTATTGTAGTCTAATAGAAATAGGATATACATTCAGTGTGTTGTCTGCGGAAAATCAGAAATATTACCACATCATCACTCATCCTATAATCCGATCTTCGAGGCATCACCCACCGAAGCACACCTGCCCCACAAACGTTCTCTCCGCCGCTTCTAGAATTATCATCGTCACCATGAAGATTGTACCATGCTACTGTCTTCGCGCTATTAGCTTGCCAGGCCATGGCTCTCCCTTTCGAAGAAGTCCCCCGGGCAAGCAGTGGAGTATTAGAGCGTCAATGAAAGCTCACGCAGTCCTCAACGCGCTCTGGACAAGCGTTCAAACTATAAGCCTCTTGACAATGTTGACCAAAATCGGAAGCAGTAGTGCAGTGTAGGTTCTATTCTGTGTCTCTAGAAGTCTGGTCATTACTTCTACGAACACAGATCGGTTAGCAAGTGTAGTCTACATGGCACAAGGGTTATGCACGCTCGCCCACGGTGTAATATGTGACCTTTGTATAAGGGCGATTAGGTTGGCATTTCACATGGTGGCAAGACGTTCTCCACCTGGCATGGGTATGGGTGACTGCTTCGAAGGACTATACGATGGACTAGGTTGCTTCATCGGCTTCGTTGAGATCACAGCGCCAAATTCTACTAACCTTGGCGCCTCATCTCCGAGAGTCTAGCGTTACAGTCACGTGATTATTGAGCAATGTGCATCCAGTGGCGCTACCCCGCGCTCTGTTTGCTTTCTTACGAGCCATGCATGAGATACCATTGCGTCAGAATTTAGCAATGCTAAGCGGCACAGCAGGGGATGCTGCAGAGCGGGATGGCCGGAGTTACGATAAGAGGGACAACCGCAAGAGGTCCGGTAAGCCGAAAGTCAAGACTGGGTGCATAACATGGTAAGTGTGTTTGTTCTCCGCCCAATATCATTTCGCCCCCTTTTTAGCTTGAAAAGCTAACAGTCTCCTACAGCAAGTGAGTATCCACATCCGGTCACTGTTGATCGTTGTGACTTACACATTAACAACGGTCAATTAGGATTCGACGCATAAAGTGCGATGAAGGCCGTCCTAGCTGTCTACGGTGCACATCAACCGGTCGGAAATGTGATGGTTATATCGAACGCTCTCCGTCCCCTAAAGGACAGTCTCCTTCGCGGAGGTCGTCAACCGACACCTCGGTAGTCAGATCTCATAGAGCAATTCTACCACGTATTGTGAGGCAGATCAGTCCAGACATTCAAGGGACAGAACACGAGCGCTTGTATTTCCATCGCTTTCGAAATGAGGCACTGAGAGGCCTCGCTCTCCATGCAGCCAATGTGGGCTCTTTAGTAAGTATTTTCGGTATCATTTCTACCCTCTCTTAGCATGTATACGAAGCCGACAGTTCCTATCAGAGACAATTATCTCTTCGTGACTATTTCACGATACCCACGAGTATCCCTTATGCCATTCTATGGGGAAAAAACTACTGACCCTAAATGGTGTAGTGGGAGCGTCTGGTGCCGCGTATCGCGCACTATAACGATGCTGTTAGGCATGCGCTCATAGCGCTGGGATCGGCGTATGAGTTGCAACAGCGACGCGCATCATCAACGACCATTTCTGATGTGTTCCAGCTCGAGGTCTTCACCCTCCAGCAGTACAATATGGCGATCCAATCACTCCGTACACATTTACTCTCACCGTCTGACGACCACGTTGGGATCACATTGTTATGTAGTCTCATCTTCACTTCCCTAGAAACATTTCGCCAGAACCCCGAAACTGCTATTACCCACTTCTCTAGCGGGACTCGAGTCATTGAGCAATTACCGAATAGTGTATTGAACGATATTATGTCAACTGCAGGATCATCTTCCGGGAGTTTCGACGGCCCGATTTCGAGAGCTGAACTCCGGGAGTTTATTTCTTTCTACCAAGAATTTGAGCTTGGGACGAGAGTCCACGGTGTGCCGGCCAGACCAACCTTGTCACTACGCTTGCGCGATGTGACCCAAGAAGACGACGGGCCGTGGGAGGACTACAGAAGCTTGAACGAATGTCATGCACATTTTCACACATGGGCGCATCACGTGTATGCAAGGATGTGGGAGACCCGATCACATAAGGACGACTTCACGTTTTGGTCCCAACCTGAGCAGAGAGGCTCGCAAGCCCGTCTCATTAATCAAGGACGCCGGGTCGTAGCTATGACAGACCGTTTTATGTCAAGCCCATTCGCGCCAGACCGCGAAGAAGATAAGGCTGGTTACATTTCCGGACTCCTGGACAAGATGCACGGACGAGGAGTCCTGTTGACAGCCCAGTGTATGCCTAAAAGCTATACTCGAAGGGAATTAAGACACTTCGATCCTCTTTGGCGCGAGGTCTTGACGATAATTGAAGATATCATCAATTTAATCGAGGATCAAAATCATGTTCCGGATGGGAGAGGAGGCACTTCAGCGAGTAATCAACGAGGCCCTCTCATCACGCTCGATTCCGGCATTCTGATTGGGTTTCACGTGACCCTTTATGCCACTGGGGACCGAGATATTAGAAGGCGAGCTATGGGCCTTTTACGACGTATAAGAAATAAGCGCGAGGGACTTTATGATGCGACCGAGCTCCTGAAAGTCTTTGAGGCACTTGGGGCAGATGGACAAGGTACTTACGCCGACCAGCTGCTTCTAGATGATCCTGCTGGACCAGGTCTTGGTGGGTTGGATGGTCCTTTAGGGCTTGAGAATAGGCTCGCGGCATTAAGTCTGAGCGAAGGACGCAAGAAAACTCCTGGTAATACTTGACGTTGCTCAAACTCATAATATATTTCGGATGCGCCGCTCTCTTGTTCTAGGCGATGGGTGCGCTTCATCTCGCATAGAGATTGGAGCATAGAATAGCGACATCTCGAATACTAACTCGATGTCCTTTATGCAGCGGTCGAGTGCCAATATTAGTAAAAAGGTGCATCAATATCCTCAACCAATCACAATATGATCGTGTTACCTGGATATATTTTCCTCTTGAATTAGATCGATAAGCTCATAGTCCGAATAAACTGTGATGAACGCCGGGTTGATCTACATTTGACCAGCTTTATCACCAGACGCAAGCACAGAATCGATGGAATGCGTAGTTTCACGGTGATGTCTACGAATGGGCTCATGTGGAAGTGATTAAACCATTACCTCATTAATGTCTAAGAACTAAACCATATTGTCTATCAATTGTAAAGGGATCGCATTTATTGGCACCTGCGGTCCTGCAACAGCAAAGGCTGCGCCGGAAACATCGCGGTATCGTCGAGACCATTTTCCATTGGTTACTCGTTGAAACACAGCGCATAATATTACCAATGCGTCGGCCAAAGTCCTTGTAAATTAACATCAAACAGCTCAAAATTCGGTACATAAAAGAACGCAGTAGATGGTTGGAGGGCCCATGCAGACACTGTCTTGCGACCTTGTAGTACCATCAGCAATCGTCCATCTATAAATGTGTAGCAGGAGTTGGCGATATACTGTCATGAAGGCGCTGGAGGCTTGAAGCGATGCCACGACGGACATACTCAGGAGCAGTGACGACCTCGTTCTTATGGATGGTTCCGATGTAGTCGGATTCCATATTGTAGATGATGGTAGCGATGCTTTCGGGCAAGTCTCGACCATAGGCAGAACACCTGTATGAAAAATTAAGCATTATTCAACCTTCAAAAACTCTGTGTTGGAATGAGAAGTTACGGGGGCAAGCTTCGGGAAACTTACATTATATCCAAATGCTTCTTGGCCAGCTTTGAAGACTTTTCAAACATGGTCTTCTGGTTTCGTTGCACCTGCTCGCAAACGATATCTCTCATGCGCGCGATAGATCCTCGACCCTTCTCCTGTTTGCAGCTTGACCAAGCATTTGCCATGGCCTGCTTTATGCCAGGGGTAAGTTCGCGATTAGCCTCTCGCTGCCAACCGTCGATATTTTGGCCAAACTCAGCCTGACTACTTTTTATGGCTTCGATGTGCATCATCAGCTGAGGCCGAAGCATGTCGATGCGATTGGCTGTTCCCTTGTGCTGCACATCAGATCGAATTCTCCCATGGAAACCTTCGATCGCGATTTTGGTCGTTAGATAGAAGTCATTCAGGATTCGAGGTAAGTCACGGGAGAAGGTGGCTTCCCATGCATCGGCTATCAACACCTTGAAAGGTTTCACCAGATTTTCGTTGAAATCGATCTTGTCTTGCCCTTTCCGAGCGTATATGCCGCTTGTTTTTCAATCGTTAGTCTGTCGAGTCATGAAAGGGAATCTGAACTTACCCGCGACGACAGACGGCCCCGTACGTGGCCCAGTGGTATAGACCGCCTTCGTCTTTTGGTGTACCCCAACCGCTTGCGATGTCAGAGACAGACAGAGAAGCCTTCTTCACAGCGATATCAAAACCTCTGTAAAGCTGTTTGCGGAAGATGTCCCGGCAGTCAACAACACTCTTTTTGGCGGCAGAATCAAGTGTCTATAATCCATGAGAAGGGAACCTTTATCATGCAGCTTGTTTCATAGTCATACCTTCTCCAGCTCGAGAATGCAATCTTTCACGATCTGTATTTCCCTTGCGGCTTCAGCTTCAGAGATCGAGACGTCCAGATCCTTGACGTCCAGCCATGCCCTCAAGCTCTGGAAGACTCGGAGACAGCTACTGAGGAACTTTGTGCAAGCAGCGACCCGGCCAAGTTCAGTCATTCTTTGTGCGTGCGCCTTGAGCTGAGGTATCTCAGTCTGGTCAAAATCGACAAACCCTGCGAATTCAGCATCCGCCTTGGTAGGGTACATTTTCGCCTGGTAAGCTCGGCTACTGACGCAAAACACGGGCAGGGAATCGGCAATCTGCTTATAATCGCGTATTCGGTGGTTGTGATCGAAGTTTTCGGCATTTTCTCGTATGGCCGTCTCTTGATCAAGCCTATAACTCTAGTCAGTATAGTTAGATGACTCGCGAGCCACATGATAGTGACCTACAGTTCGATACCTTGAGCGAAGTGATTCTGGATATCCGTTCGCGAGTACTTGTTCCGCTCCGTAATGCACCGAGACAGAAGATTACTTTCCGATTCCTTGCACTTATCCTCTAAAGCCTGAGCATCGTCGTCGATAGTGATGATGCGGGCTTTGAGTTCTCGGATGTTCTTCTTGATGCCAATATTCTCAACCGCCAGTCGAGATAGCATCGTTTGAATCTCCTCAGCAGACAGTGACCTCCCGTTCCCCGACGCATTGGCATCCTCATCTTCGTCATCGGTTAAATCAATGATAATATGCTGTGATCGACGTCTTTTGCTAGATTGCGAACTTTGAGTTGTGCATTTTCGCTTGCTTCCCTCGGTCAGCGGGGCAGATACCGGATGCCCCTGCGCCTGCTTGGTGGCCAGTGTCTGCCAAACTTGAAGTTTCTTGTTAAGGGAAGACGCTTCTTTTGACGCCTTAGTTATTGTATCTCTAAGCTGTTCAATCTCAGCTATCTTCGCGGGGACTTCGACATCTACTCTGTCCTTGAGCGCTAGTAAATCTCTGTACTCGCTGTCAAGATTCTCGCATCTGTTCTTGAGGCTCTCTACAGCCTCCTCAATTAGAATTTCATCTGTTCGAGAACACACGAAAGACACTATAGAGAAGCCACCGTCAAACTTCAACTGCATCTTGAAAGTTTCTCCAAGCAGATGCTGTGCTGCCTTGTTGTCGACGGCTCTGATGATGGGCGCGACAACCCAGATGCCGTTGCATTTTTCAAGATACTTGTCAGCAACGGTTGCTCGAGCCGCGTTCGAGTCTCCAACTCCAGGCAAATCAACCAAAACTATACCATTCCTCAGAATCTCAGACTTCAGAAATATTCTTACCACTTTAATAAGCGGCCAAAGCTCCGAAGGACCAGAGCTTTCTCGAGAGTCCGAGTTCTTCTCCTTGCTATCGATGTACTGATGAACCCGTTTATATAACAGGTCTGCCGAAGGGGCATAGATCTTCTCAGTGGAGCCCAACAGTCCTCGAATCGAAGCGTCGCGGGCGAGACAGCTCTCGTTAGTCTTGGTGAGCGCCTCCAGTTCCAGTAGAGGATATATTGACTTGATCTTAGCCCAAGCTACACCAGCATCGGAATCCTTGTTGTTAGTCGTAAAGGTGCTACTGTTACTGTCTGAGAGATCGCTGAATAGATGACCCAGCTCGGCGCGCCACTCTTCCCGTGTGATGAATTCAATCTCGGCTTGATAGCGCTCTTCGGGCAGCTCTGACTCGTTCCATGATATTTCTGTCGAGACTGCAGTGCAAGCGCGCATGCAGTTGGTGGGAACAATCTTCTTTTCACCGATTAACGCATTGATGAGACTGCTCTTGCCAGAACCCGTCTCACCCACCAAGCCAATGATGATATGTGCAGCTTTGTAGCTCAGCATTAAATCTTCGACACCCTTAAGACAGCGACTGGCGTTCGGGTTGTCCGTGAAACTTTGTAGAAGAGGAGATATGTTTCCAAGAGTAGTTTTTGTGCAATCGACTACCTCCTCTAGTTCAGAGGGTATGCCTCTAGCGATCACCTGGTTGAGACGCTGAATTGTGATCCCAGCAATCTCATCTGAAGTCGTATTGATTGTAGTAGCCATGGGAGACGAAGATTTCCTTATTTGATCTTTATCTTCAGTACAATCCGGAGCGGGCTGGGAAGGAAGTGATTGCGTGGACTCCAGTGCAGCTGTCTCAGCCTTGATAGCGATGGTCACGTCTTCTGTAGTAGACTGGTTTTGAGCTGCAACTTGTGTGTAAGATGAGTCTGATGAGATTTTAGGCTTGGAAGATGGACTCTCAGCGTGTGCTTCTTGCTTGATGGCCACATTCCGGGAAAGTACTGGAGTATCAGATGTGATACGACTGGCGCCGTCTATATCCTGTTTAGCTTTTTCCATTCTGAGTAGAAGTCCAAGGTCAATGGGCTAGATTTATAAATCCAAAGAGAGATGGATGGATAAAGTGGTATGACAACTCAAGACGATAACTAGTTGAAGGTGTGATGACAGTATGAAGCTGTTGTTGATTGACCACGTTGATTAGTTTGATGTTGGCAGCGTCTGTAACCACTGCTAGAGATCTGTGTTAGTTTGAGGTCTTTGGTGGGTAGGTATGATATTGCAGGAAAAATACTGCGAGATGGATGGAATCTGTCTCGGCTGGTGTTGGCGTACGGCTTGATGGTAGTTGAGGCAAGAGCGGTCCGTATGCGTGTTATGTGAACAGTTGAGTATAAGCAAAATTAAAGATTCTGCTACAGAGGAGGAAGGCACATCTCTAATGGTTGTGTCAAATCGTAATATAGATTTGGGTAGGTTAAGAGAATTGCGTATTTCCGAGTGTCTTATCTTATGTGAAAGTGATTTTGTCATTCACTTTCCCTCGTTGTTAATGTTTCATAGAGTGCTTGATTGATTACCCTATGAGTTTTTTGGCCACTAGACTTATTTGCAGAAAAAACCATTTTATAGTTGCAGGAGTTTAAATGGGAAACCACGAGAAAAGGGAAGAAGGGGAGGGGGGACCTGGACTTCCTAGGACCAAAATTTGAGTATACATAGCAAACCGGATATCGGAGCATATGTTAATAATTCGACTTGTAATTTAAACTAAACCACGGCTTTTAGATGCGGCTAATTTGTATACAGATCGGTATCATTTGTCTTGCATATTACGTGTGATGTCTCAATCAGCGTATTTATACCATCTCGTTCCTTCCAGCTCTGGAAACTTGCACGTAGGTTGTATGTGAAATACAGGGCATCGACGAAATGTAGTGTAGCGCTTTCACCAAGAATCCTGGGCATTGAGACACGTTTAGTATTCCAGGGTCTCCTATACTAACGTCCATGCTTAACATCTCTCCGTAGTGAATATATCCTGACCCATGATAGTCAGAATGGTCCGCTATACTGACGCTATGGCTTGTGCGTTGTGGTACTAGCGAAGAGCTGACGTGCATCCACGAATGAGACCACTCAAAAACTTTCATGATTGTTGAGCTATGCGAAACATCACTATGAAGTCTACGAGAAGGCTCCTTTATTTCTTCTTTACGCTGAGATGATCCGAGAAGACCGCACGAACGATGCTGAACTTCAGAACCAGTACCCTCTACGTTTAGTGAGTAAGCCTAGCTTTTCTTCCGTCTCAAATCTTCTGCTATCGAGTTTGATGCACAAACATTATCTTACATGTTACATTGGACAATGACTATTGCGTTGTGACCATAAATCTCACGGCGCGGCTTTGACAGTTGTCGTTACCGTATAGAATATAACTCAGTATATCATAGCAGAAGATTTCAAAGACGATGTAGCCTCGATCAATGAGAGCATAATAGCATCAGCATGGCTGAAATCGTTTCATTTTTACCATTAAAGCAACTATCAATACATTCCATACATTATGCGCAAATAATGCATTCTAGTCCATAACTGCCGCCCGAAACGTTGTGAATATGCTGAAACTAGGCTCAGCACAATAGACAGTCGTAGTTTCGGGACATTTGTTCCTGTTGCTTTTTTATTTCTTCAGTTTCAAAGCATAGCCGGAGCAGTATCATACACATGAAGAGGCTTCGTCAAAAATACATTACTGTGTCGACCTCGGAAGGTTGAGAGAAAAGAATTCCTGAGAATGAAAAGCCGAAGAGGATGGTGTGGGAGTCAGTGATGATGCAGACATTGATTGACATAACCAGTGATCCGCGAATAGTGCGCGCGAATCCATGTTTCTATGCGGGGGGTTTACCAGAAGTCATCGTCCTCCTGCTTTACATCGATGGTGTCGTCGGTGGTGTCATATGCAGATCTAAACTTGAAAAAGTCGTCGACCTCGGACAGAAGCATTTGTACTTCTGATCGTAAAACCTTGGAAGAGCTGGATATCTCTTGTCCAAGAATGATAAGTTCGTAGTCCATGGACAATGTGTCGACAATTTCGTGTATCTTGAGATACATATCCTGCTTGATCTCGCTGCAGAGCGCAAGGAGGCGCTCCTCCACAGTGTCGCAGGATTCTTCAAACATTAAGTCGCTCTGTTGTTGGATCTGATCTTGCATTACTTCTTTCATGCGCATAAAACTACCAATACCTAAGTGGCCCGTTAGATCGTGTATCAGTTTGCGATGGACTATGAGCTTACCATATTCTGCCACGCATGCGACATAAGCGCCATCAAGGGCTTCTACAATGGCTGGAGTGAATTCTCTGTTTGCACCTCTCTGGAGAGCATTGATCTTGTTGCGGAACTCAGTAACCATGTCCTTGAATACTCGGCAACGTACTTGGTTCTGCGTATCGAGCATCGCGATGTCATTTGCATTGATCTTGTAACGTAGACGACCTTTGTGATCAGAATGGAACTGTTCGGTCGTGTGTTGTATTTCGCCAGAGAACTTCTCTAATATTTGAGGCACGACCTTAGCAAATACTCTTTCCCACGCATTAGCGAGCGCGAACTTCAGAGGCTGTATCAACTCTTCGTTGAAATTTCGATAGCCTAAGCTGCCAGAAAATGAACCGCTACCTTGTGTTAGTTCCTTGACAAGTAAAAGACTGGCTATCTACTTACTCGCGGCGACAGGTGGCCTTGTATGTTGACCAGTACATCCCACCTTCTCCTGCCTTTTTGCCCCAGTTGGCAGCAATCTCAGGCGCTTCGACTCTCGCCTTCTCAGAGGCAGATTCGAATAAACTAAAGAGATGCTTCGCGAGACTTCGTTCGCAGTCCTTGATTGCCTTGTCCGCAAAACCGACCAAACTCTATGAAGACAGATTAACAAATTTTTCTGGGAGAGTAGAACAGATTTTACCTTGAGCAGTTGGTCTGTAACACCTTGTAGATAAGCCATTTCCACTTTCTTTTCACCGTCAGATAGTAGAACTTGTGTATTCATATCTCGAGCCCAAATAGACAGCGAGTTGAGTCGTTCGACGAAAGCATTTAAAAATTTCTTCGCTGCATTCGCACGGGCTTTTTCCGTCATCAAAATAGCATGCTGTTGTAACTTGGGGATTTCCGTAATGTCTTTATTATCAAAGCCTGGAACGTCGCCGTCGCCACGAAAACGGCCGCTGAGGGTTTGGTATGCAGTAGAACTGACACAGAAGACAGGCAGCGAAGCGGCAACCTCTGCATGATCTCTCATATCGTCCTCGGGGTCAAGTTTGTCTTCGTCGATATTATCCTGGTCTGCCCTGCATGGGAAGATTATCGTCAGCTGGAACGAACGACGCAGGATTGGGTTAATGGATTACTTACTCCTTGACACCACGGGCAAAGTCCTCCCGTATAGCCCCACGAGACTGGTTGTTTCGAGCCCGTATGCATATCGCTTTTGCGATAGGCTGCAACTCCAGAAGCTTGTCACTCCAGAATTTGTGCTCCTTGCGAAAGCACAAGATATCTTCCTCGCAGTTTTTCACAGAATCTAGATTTGCGGTTTTCTTTGTTTGACACCCCTTCAACGTCGACTGAACTTTCTGGCGGGACATGGGCTGTTTGTCCGGGTCGAATGGTGACTCACTTTCATCGTCATCTTTGCAATCATCGTCGTTTCTATCACCATACGAAGAAGTCGGCAAGGGACGGAACGTATCATTGCAGACCTTTTTCGTTGTTGATTGAGGCGGCCCACTTTGTCGCAACCCCGAGCGTTTCTGGGGAACCTCACATGGCAAGTATACGACTTCTCCATGTTCTTGTTTTGCTGCTAGCTTCTGCCAAATGTCGATTTTGAGTTCCGCATCGGCAAGAGAGACCATTTCTTCTCTGAGAATGCGCTCGCGCTTGTCTAGCTCTCGCTTCATGTTTCTCTCCTGCTCTTTGGTTTCTTCGAAATGATCGAGTACCTTGCAGTTTTCCTCAATTTCATCTGAGAAATCGAGATCTCTCATGGCCTCAGAGATGCTAATATCATCCGTCTTTGATGCAATGAAGGCCATGGTCGAAAACGAGCCGTCGTATTTCATTTGAAGTTTGAAAGTCTCGCCCAGCAACTTCTGAGCGGTCTTGTCCGACACTGCTCGGGAGATTGGAGCCACGACCCAGAGGCCACTGCACTGCTCGATATACTTATCGGCTACAGCTGCTCTAGCAGCGTTGGAATCATGGACGCCAGGCTATCATCTGTCAGTTTGAGGCTGTTTGTACCGATATATTGCTTACCAGATCAACAATCTTTGCACCAGTTGACAAAGCATGAGCTTTTGTGTAAATTCTTACGACTTTGATGAGAGGCCAGTATTCAAGCTTATGCTCACCGGTTGTTTTGTCTTTTTCTGGCCGGCCACGTCTTGTTGGCTTCCCTTCTGTACTATCAATGTACTGCTGCAGACAAGAAGAGAATGTCTCGACCGACTCTTCTGAGACTATCTTGGTGGTCCCTAGTATTTGGCGAACCTTGTAATTTTCTGAAAGCTCATTTAGGTCGGTCCGTGACAGGTCTTTCTTCGTAAGGTGAGGGTAAACTGCTTTGATCTTTGCCCATGCTACACCAGCCTCAGTGTCTCCGTTTGAGCTCTCGTGGGATACATTGCCTTTGGAATCCATCAAGTCATCCTTGAGCTGCTCCAACTCCTTGTCCCAGTCTTCCTCCGTGATGAACTCAATCTCACCTCTGTAGCGTTCCTCGGGCCTCATAGAGTTGTTGTAAGACAATTCTGTGATGACAGCAGTGCAGGCACGAAAGCAGCTGGTGGGAACCAAGCGTTCCTCATCAAGAATAGCATTGATGACGCTACTCTTTCCGGCTCCCGTATTTCCAACAACTCCAATGATGACTTGGGCAGGTTTGTTTCTGGCCTTCAGTTCCGACAGAAACTTGATCCATCTAGACGCATCAGCATCTTCCTGTGAGGCCCCAAATATAGTGTTCAGCTTGTCAATGACCTTGCAAGCAACTGATGCATATTGCTCCACCTCGTTCAGAGAACCATGGGCTGAAGCCTTCTCAAGCTGGTTGAAGTGAATGTGTCTTGTCATTTGACTGCTGCTGAATCCAGGGGATTTGACTGATGGAGAGGGACTACCCAAGCGGACGATACTATGAGGAGCTATAGTGGTGGTGCGTTCCGAAATATGAACCTGTTGGGTAGTGCTGACAAAAGTAGGCTGGGTGGCTGGAGCCGACAACGGCGTCTTGCTATCGCCATACTCTGGATAAGGTGGCATGGCGAAGAGAACTTATGGTACAGTGATGACAAGAATGGAATCTAACATGAGAATATGCAACACAAAATGATGTGGAACTTGGAACAACGACGAAGTGAATGAAGTCGCGCGATTGACAGCTTTAGGCATGCAGCCAGCTGAATTGTAGTAATAATCACAGAAAAGAATGAACGACAGCTTCAACGAGGATGCTTCAAAATTCTTATAACGGAGAAGCTGGTTTCAGAATGATGAAAGAAGTTTTGATGGTAGAAAGTGACGATGGTCGAAACTTGGTGAACGTGTTGAGTTTCAGAGACCTCGAAATTGCGGAACTGAAAAGCTCTCGAGTTAATTCAGCTAGGATTGTTTCTCAAGGCAGAAACGATATCTGGCTATTTACCGGGCGACGAGAATCGAACAATCCTTCGTGTCTTGTGACCCCTAACGAATAAAAACAATCAAGCTATGAAAACAGGTCTTTTGTTACCACAATCGAATAATCGTATCCACCCCCACAGCAGCTTGTAACATGCCCGTCGGGCTCTCTGTAGTATGTTCAGGTCAATATACAATACTAATCTATGTCCATAGTCATGAAATCGTGTCTTGCAGTCATATCGGGGCATCGGGTTTCTAAATGAGCACCGGACTTAACCTTCCAATGACACACCCCTTTCACGAATGCCTTGCCCACACCCTGGCCGCTTGGTTTACTTTACTTTACTTTATGTAACTTTTTTTTCTACCCTTCCTTGTCCTTCTTGCTCAGCTGAACACTAGGCGGGTTCCCGCTCGTCCAGGTGGTGGCCTTCTGCATGGTCTTCTTGCGCATGATGGCCATGATCTCCATCTCCATCTTGTCGATGCCCTTCTCGATGTCCTCATCCTCGAGGGCGTACTGCCGCTGGCGGCGGCGGTCCAGCCACCACCAGGACCCGACGATGGCCAGCGTCAGCGGGACCGTCACCGCAAAGTAGACCCAGAGCCACTGAGACACCTGCGCGTCTGTGCCGTCGTTGGGCCCGCTATTGTTGTCCGGCCCCACGTTGAAGTCGAAGAAGGTCATGGAGAAAATCGAGGCCAGGAAGGTGCCCGGCAGGAATACCGCGCCGAGCAGCGAGAGCGTCTTCATGGCGGTGCTGTCGCGCTTTGAAGCGTGAGCGAGACGGCGCTGTTGCGCTGCCATCTCCAAGTTGAGTTTGGATTCCTTTTGAGCTATAATATTGTAAAGCTGATCCAGCCAAGTCAGCAATCACTACCAAAAAGTAAACGAAGGAAAAGAAAATCCCAAACCAGTCTCGGTAGAAGAGCTTTTACTTACAGCCTGCCGCTGGATGTTCAGTCTCTCCAACGTCGTATGGGCATAATTCTCCACGCCCAGCAACTTGATACGATAAAAGTCCAGCCGACTCTCCATGCTCTTGTGCAGAGCCCCCGTCTCGCCATGGCGGCCCCTCTCCGGGCGAGATCCCTGCCAGAACTTCGCCATGGCAAGCTTCATCTCGTCGATGATGCTCTGGTATGCCTGCGGCCGCTTCCAGAGGACTTGGCTGTGGCACTCGACCAGATCGCGGTTGAGCACTTCCAGGTCGAGCTCCCGGTATCCTTCGTGCTCCTCGATCTCGTTACGCATGGTGACGGCGTTCTCGAGGCGGCGCAGCCAGTCACGAGCGTCGCGCTGCTTCTGGTCCGTCTTCGAGGACAGATCGTGCGACAGGATGATGACCGGCAGTAACATTGGGTGGCCGACCTGCGCGGCACAGGAGCGCAGGTGTGTCAGGGACTCCTCGATGTCCGAGGAAGGGGTACCCTTCACGTAGCCCGTCGTGATGGATGTGTTGAAAGAATGAGAGAGCATGATCTCCCAGCCGCGAGTCTTGCCCTTTTTGCGGACATCTGACTTGCGGAAGATAATCTCTGGATATTTCTGTTAGTGCCGGAGGGCATTTAACGACGAGCAAATATTTTCTAGACCCCTAAGACGAACGAGAACTCACGTAAGTGTGGATCGCTGGCGTCTTGATCAAATGCAGCCCAGAAAAAAGGTCCTACGACACTCGTTCCCTCAATGCCTCGGAAGGGCAACCGCATAGTTCTGACCATGCCCTCATACTGAGCCGGGTCCAGGGTAATATAATTTGGCGTGAAAGTCTCATTATGCTTTGCGTTCTTCTGGACACTGATCACGAAGCTCAGTATATATATCTCAGCAGGGACACTTAGTGGGCGCAACTCACACCAGTCGAAGGCCGTCTCTTAACTTAACGTCCTCGGGCAGTTTCGGTGGCTCAAAGGCTCCCTACAGTAGATCTTCAGGTCAGATCACCGTTCCTGCAGATAGGCCGTGATTGGTTCGCTCAGCGACTCCAAGGTCTCATCCTCCGGCGCGGTGCGGCTCGTAGGACGCATCATCCCCGCTCGGCACACCAAACTCCACCCCCCGTCCGGCAGACCGGCACAAAATGCGATCAAGGGTGGGCACAATCGGCGTGGCGGCGCCGTCTTTAAAACAAGGTCGAAGCCGGTTTGGACGACTTACCCGGCGATTTAGATAGTTCTCAAACTCATCGGGCGTAAGTGGATGCTCCTCAATCGTATTATAGACCGGATCCTGGTACCCCCCGTTAGCTTAAAGCCGGCAAAGCTGACGATGCACTCGGGCGGCGGTGTGCGCGCAAAACCGCAGCTGAAAACGAGCGCAGCCGTTCAACACAGCCCCAACTTGGAGTATGCTAACATGCAACGTCCAATTGGAAGCCGAAACCCGAATTGAAAGTACTTGCCGTATAGTTAAATATTTCTAGATAACTGGTATTCTCCGGGACGTGTTTACAGCTCGTAACGTAGCTGCGGAACATATAATCATCCATAATGGGCACTGACTTTCGCTTATGATCAATGCAAAAGCGGAAGGAATAAATCAATGTAGGAATCGAAAAGGTCAGGAAAGTATCACAGCATCTCTAGCAGCCAACTATATGCGTCGAGCTACGTTGTTTTGCCGCAAAAAGCATCAGAAACCCGGAAGTCTCGTGCAGTAGCCAACGGTTCTTCAGGAGCTTCGCGGTAAGAGATCTAACTTTATTGAGAATGGAGCCTCAATCAGAGCAAAAAAGTGCATTTTAGAAATTGGAGAGGTCGGTCGAGCTAGAACACCCCTGTCATGGTTGAATCAGACCATCACTCATGTAAGCAGAGGTGGGGGAACAGGGCTTCTTTATAGTGTGCATAAAGCATTGATGCGCTGCACAATTGGCCTGGTTTCTGAGCTGTTGCCTCACATGCACAGAACAAATATGAATTCACAAGTGTTGGGATGAATCTATACTTGGAGGTTCTCTCAGTGTCAATGGGGCTTTGCGGGAAAATCGGTATTCTGAAAAAGGAATGAGCTTCGTCGATAGTTTGATTCTTCTCAATAATGCTCCTAGCATAACAACCAGTCATTGCTCTACCGTGGCAGATAATGGATCGCCTTCGACCCTGATGGATACTAGGATGCGCCAACACCTTTACTATAATGCAAACCTAAGAAATACGGTCTCCAGGCCAAGTGCAATCCATCCCATCCTACAACTTTATCCTTTGCCAGACAGGCCGCAACCACCACATTCCCACTTCAACGCCACAACTTAGAGTAACTTGACTCAGAAGTCCCCAAAAAGATGTCCGAATCTAAGCTTTGTCAGCAAGATAAGATTTACCCAGAGGGAGGGAGGGGGGACGTACTCGTCGTGGCCCACAACGCCATACTTTTCTGTCTCTTCAGGATACCTATCGAATTGACTTGCGTCACCGGCACCAGCCTTCACTGGAGGTGTGTATGGAGCATCAATGTCTTTCCTCGATAGTCGATCCCACGTAACTTCGGCAAACCAGGGATGATTCTTGACATCTGCCGGCCCGCTGTAGAGATTGCCCAGTCGTTTCGTCAAGTCGGGCGTGATGAGTCGCTCCAGAAGATTATGCGCATCGGGATGAACATATTGAGGATACTTAACTTTTCCTTTCAAGATGTTTTCATAGATCTTCATTGGCGAGCCGCTATCCCAGAATGGAGTATAACCACACAGCATCTCGTAGATCAAGATGCCCAATGACCACCTTTTTGTGACATCAGCAACTCCAACTTTCTCTCTTGAAGCCAAGACAACTTACCAATCAACTGATTTGTTGTACCCCTTGTTACTAACAACCTCTGGGGCTAGGTAGTCGGGAGTACCGCACAGCGTCCAGGTCTTGTCTGGAACTCGCTTGGCAAAACCAAAATCCGTTATTTTGAGGTGGCCATGGCGGTCTAGAAGTAAGTTCTCCGGTTTTAGATCTCTGTAGATGATGTTTTTTTCGTGCAGGTATTCTAGCGCCAGAGTAACTTCTGCCGCATAGAACTTCGCGACAGGGTTTGGGAAGCGCTGTCATTTGTCAATATCACATCGCTATCGGGAGGGTGCGAGAATCTGGTTTACCCCTGATTTCCTTAACAATGAGAAGAGCTCTCCACCTTCGACGAAATCCATCACCATGTAGAGATTCCGGGAATCCTGGAAAGTTCCCCACAAGGTAATGAGGAACGGGTGCTTGACTTCGCCTAGCATTTTGCGCTCATCATTCGTATGTTCGACTTGCTTCATCTTCACCACTTGTGCTTTCTTCAACACTTTTACAGCATAAAACCGCTGGTTGTGCTTCGACTGCACTAGATGGACGCGCCCAAAACTTCCTGTGCCCAGTGTCCGTTGTATCTCGAAATCGGCAAGGGAATATTTGCCCTTGGTCACTCTTGTCTCGGACGCTTGCGGCACAGGTTGTTGTTGTTGTTGGACTTGCTGGTGCTGTTGTGACTGCCCATGCTGTCCTGCACCACCAGCACCTATGCAGTTGTCAGTAGAGCGAAAGCAACAAGCTGACACATTCGAGCCATACCGTCAGTCTGGGGCATATTTATGAGGTTATTGATGCTTGGTAAATTCTGTGGTGCCCCGACCTGCCCAGGGCTAGGGGAGGGCTGAATGCCAAAAGGCGGCTGCTGGAGCTGATGACTCTGCTGCACGACATTCATCTGCTGCCCTCCACTCGCCGAAGCTGGCTTTTGCGCTTGTTGATTCGCGGGTTGGTTCTGGGAGGATATGGTCCTTGTGTGCGAGGCTGTGCTGCCGGTGGTGGTCTGGGTCGGGGTATGACTGAGTTGGCTTTCGAAGCTATGCGAGGTAGTCGGCGTAACTGGGCTTGTGGGCTGGCTAGATGAGTGATCGGTCTTGTCCTCCCTCGTCCGCTTCTTCTTGAGGAAGCCTAAGGATGGCATGTGATATAATTTTGAGGGTATTCGAAGGGAAATGACCCCTTGTGTTGTTCCGTGGAGATGGACTGTAGAGTTCTCCAACACTTACGCAGCAGGAACGCGATGCCGGCTACGGTTTCCGAGCACAACCTTCAAGCTAGTGACAATCTGTTGCTTCGTCTGCAGACTCGTTGCTCGCTGCGGGGGTTGAACTGGGTGAGTAGGCAGTGCTCAAGGACAGAGCATTCCGGTGAATAAGTGTTCTAGGGACCTTGACTGGTGATCGCGACGAGTCTGCGGCGACTCATGGATCAGTTATGTGACCACGAATACGGGGGCAGGCCAGATAGCCAGTTGTAGATGCACTAACCGCAGTTGAATGTGCTAATGCTGATGGGTCGTGGGCGACGCAATTGCTTGCGGCTGGCCAAGAAAGAGCTTTGATACAAAGAGATTCAGCTCCAGTGCATACGTCAGAGTCAATTGAAGCGTTGCAGGTTGTCCGCCGCCCTTTCTTTGCCCTTGGAGGAAATGAAGGCAAGGGATTGCGTAGGTTAGCTCAAAGAGGGGTGACTGGGCGTAAGTTCGTGAACTAATAACTGGCGCGGTTCAAGCTGGCTTCTGGTCACCTCGACGTCGATGGAAATATTCGCAGTGCCTCAAGGCAGATTGGATGGCTCGGTATGAGATACTGTAGGATGACCTTCACTTGTTGAAAATTGGCACAAAGTCGGAGGGCCTGAATGGATAGAGGAGGATAGGTTATGCTACGGTATCAAGAGAGGAGGGGTGGATGAAAGCATGCGAAGGTCGATTAAGGTTCCGTAGCCTGTGAGTCTCTCAGTCGCGGCCAGAGCTAGGGAGTGTTCGGTGTAAGTTCAAGTTCAATACGGCAAAGCATGTCGCAGCACTTCAGGATGGACAATGGCACAACAGACAACTGAGCGATGGATCGCACAGGGTGGGGTTCATCTCGATGTTGTAACCGCAACCCAAGATCTAATTAAGAGCAGATGGTCGCAGTGGGCTGGGAAGGAAACGACAAGGATCCAGCGCTTCACGTTGCGAGAGCCGCGGGGTCAAAGACGGCGCCCAAAAGGTAACAGTATGTAGGTTGCAGGCGGGCTTGAGAAAGATGGGGCCGAAACCATGAATATTGCTTCTCCAAGACTAGAAAGGCCGCAGTGTATGGGAAAACTGGCTGCGATGATCCTTTTTCAGCTCGCTCTCGCACTTGCTATATCGAGTCGGTGTGCAACCGCCTGCTTCCTGCCAAAGGGTTTGGCATCCGCAATGGGCCGCAACTGTTGCGGTCAAGGGCTCTCTTCATTTACATATGTACAGAATTTGACAAATGATCAAACTCCGTCCAACACTAGGACAACGCATGGTAGTGACGGCAACCGGTGGATGCCAATTGACACTCTAAGGTTAGTTAGGTTTGAAGGCGGCTTGTCCATGAGGTTTATACTTCGTGGATGACATATTACACGTGTTTCGGCAACCTTGCCGCTCGTACAGCATAGACTCAAATTTCCACACAGCCTATATTTAAAGGTATATAAGTTATATATATATATATATATATATATGTATGCCTTCTTGTAATTTCCATATTTTTTCATGATTTCTCTGCCTATACATTATCAGCTAAGGGAAGCCCTTGACCTTTGTGGGGTAACAATGGCCAACTTCCTGGATGAATGCGTCATAGTCTTCTACTATTGGACAATTAGCCATTGCTTAGTGTGTTGACACCTTGAACCATAGCTCGACCACCAGAAAGCTGGTTGGGTTACATTTCAATCAGTCATATGTAGTAAGCATCTCTCGATGAATCAACAGGTTTGGTATCAAGTTTAGACATTGCTTTATGCTTGGGCCAGTACAGATGAACCCCAAATAGACCAATCAGAAAGTGTCGTTTTACGGCTTCGTGCCAAGTCACTTGGACATGGGCAGCGGCTCATAGATGACAATATCTTCAAAGCCGCAAGAAACAACAAACTTTTGACATATCGAACAAATATCAATACACATCCTTACGCCAGTCCATCTTAAAACCTAAGCAACACGATCATGAGGCGTGACTAGTCCGCGTCACAAGTAAATTATCCCGTTCGATGCAGATGGTATATACGATTCGTCCCCGATTCTGGGGTGTGGGCATACGCCAGAAATCACAAGACCCAATCCCTGCGGACGCGGCTCAACAGGCCCTTTAGAATCTGTGCGTCCTCCTCTTGCTGGTGCGGTAAGCAGTGAAGCCAACGTAGCCACCAGCCACAACCATGCCAAAGACGAGGAACTTGAAGAGGAACCATCCCCAGCCACCGCTCTTCTTGTTGTTGTTGCTGCCAAGAGGCTTGTTCTTTCTGCCCCGGTTGCCGCTGCCGGGAGACGACTTGCCAGTCTGGCTGCCACCCGGTGTGTAGAGGTTCTTTGCCTTGACCGAGATGATATCGTGGTTGTCACTTAGCTCGCCCGTCTCGGCGCTGAATCCGAGGTAGGTCACGGATGGAATCGCTGGGGGCTGGTCGGTCTCGAAACAGAGCGCCCACTCGTCTTCGCTCTTGTACTGCAACTCCAGCTTGAGCGACTTGTCCTGGAAGTAGGTCAATCGTAGCTTGGTGGGTACGCTCGCGTGTCGGAGTCCTCGAGCAGAGCAGCCAGCAAACTCCGTGTCCTTTCCGTCGTTGTTCTTGTTGTAGCTGGTCTTGCCATCGCCGATCATGGCCATGACGTAGGGAAAGACGACACCCGGGCGGTTGTTCTTGTAAGTATCGACGAAGAGACCTAGACCCTCAAAGTTATCCTTGTGTCCGAAGACAGGACCGAGCTCCCCGCGCTCTTTCGTGAGCCACATGGCGAAGCCATCGCCGTATAGCTGGTTGTGTCCGTGAACCTTGAACTCGACCTCGATTTCCCAGTTCGTGGCAGTCAGGGGCACTCTGGAGAACAGCCAACCGTTTTGCGAAGGTCGATCCGACGTCAAGCGGATGTATCTGTGTATAGGTTAGTTTTCATGCATCTTGGTGCTCTGCTTTGCTTTGCTTTGCTCTGTGCTGCGTGGCACACATACGAGTCGGTTCGAACAAGCGTGTCGCCCCCAAAGTCATACCATCGGCTGGCCATATCCGAGTCGAGGTAGGGTTGCTGAAGCGTATGTGTACGCAGCTATATAGGGTCAGAGGAAGTGCTCCAGGGTGACACAGATGGGCGTCGAGACTCACCGAAATGCTTCGCACGTTGCCATCATCGTCGTGGCTGACGGCTCCGCTGGCAGCAGTCGCCGCCAACCATAAGGTCGACAGTCCTGTGAGCCACCTCATCTTCCAGACGTGGTGGGTAGTGAGAAATAAGAGTTAAGAAATATGCGCGAAACAGAATCGAAGGGAATGTATGGGGTTTGTCGAAAAAAGAGGTCAAAAGAAATTATGGTCTGGGCATGTGTCGTAACGGCGCAAAAGGCCTGTAGTTGCGTTGTGCAAACTGGACAGGGTCGTGTGCTGCCAGAAGAGAGTTGCTGGCCTTCTCGTGCTGCAGGGCGCTCCGGGAGGGAAGGAATAATTGCAATTATCCCAGATAATTCACTACTGGAAGTCAACGGGACCGCACTTCTTCATGGCACCGTTCAACGTAACACTGGTGGTCAAATCTCGCGGGAAGAGCAGGTTGACAGTAACTTTCTATTATTGGTTCTTGATCTCCGGTGTCCTCGATATATAAATCGCCTGTCATTCAATGTTTTACAAAGTTCAGCATGCTGCCACCTCATGAGTTGTGTCTCAGTGTGCTTTCGGCATACATATTCAGTTAAGCATAACGGACCCCTTCTCCCAAAAGTTCAAAGTGGCCAGCTTGCGAGCTTTCGTTTCATGAGAGCTACCCCTGCTTTTCAGGTGGGGCTAGCGCACCAAAACTATGGGCCAGCATAAAGTTGGCAGAGCAGTGAAAGCACCAAGAGCAGCAGCTCTTGAGGCTTGAGGCTTGAGGCTTGAGGCTTGATTGAGGCTGTTACTACATATGTGTGTAAGTTAGTGGTACTCCGTACCGGAGGTAGACTCCGTCCAAGCCTTGCGCTAAAGAAATAATCTTAGCCTTGACATCAATGACATCTCCAGGTCGAGAAGGTTTAGACAAAATACAAGGTCATTTAGGCTGCAAGCTCTCGTCGGTTACTTCTTCACATACGCACGCCTCGCCGTTCTCCAAACTCCAATCGAACTCACATTCTCGCCAAGATGGACTCGGAAAGCGTTAAACAAGAGGTTATCAAGCAGGTCCGCCAGCAATATGTCATGACCAATGCCCGGGAGTTGATCGAGGTATGGAGCTCCCTCCCATGGACCACAGCTTGCTCCAGCAGCATCCAGGCTAACTTTGTGCAGAAAATCAACGACCACTGCTTCCAGAAATGCGTCCCCAAGCCCGGTTCTTCCTTATCGAGCGGCGAACAGACCTGCTTCACTCAGTGTATGGAAAAGTACATGTCGGCATGGAATCAGGTCAGCACCACATACATCAGCCGGATACAGCGGGGAGACTAGACGTGGAACAACGAAATCGCGACCTACAAAACCGATCGCCTCTTTCTCTGCATATTGACTATATTTTAACTCTATAGTTGGCAGTGTATGATATCAATTGTGTACAAACTATGGCTGAAGGGGGGCCTGGTGGCCTCGGGGGGGTATAGAAACAGCATGTGCGCCGGGGGTATAGAGTGTATTATCACTTGTACAAGCAAAGTCGTGACTGCTTTGGGCAGGAAAGGCCCATCGTCAGGAGTCCAACTGCAAAAGCAGGTGTATAAATGGTATCAAAATTCGACTAAGAGCCCATCTTTTTTGCCTCTTCGGCAGCCCTTTTTCGGGCCAAATACCGTTCCTTGGCACTCGAAATATCTGATTCGGTCTTTCGGCTTTTCGAGGCGCGCTCGACCTTCTGCCGCTCATCTTCCTCCTCTTCTAGAGATCTCTTGAGTGCCTGTGCCAGCTGCGCTTCCATCATGCGAGATTGTCGTTCGCGCATGGCCTGCTTGCCACCGGGCTGGAAAGCGCCTCTCACGTCGCGGTCTTCCCTCCGTTCTGGTCTTGGGTCTTCCTGACGAACGTCGGGCTTCTTCTTTGCGACTAGATTCAGGCCACCCTTGAGGAGTTCCCGCTTGTCCACCACTTCTCCATCCTCGTTGATTGCAATGGAGCCGCCTTTCGCATTGATCTCCTTTGCCCTTTCCGCCGTGCTTGCCGGCCTCTCCTCCCCCGCGTCGTGGTTGTCGGTCTCCTGGGGCCCATTCCTCGCCCGCTCTTCAGCGGCCTTCATCATTTCGGCATGCCGTTGATCCCCCCTGTTGAGCATGTCCTTGTAAAACGCGGCCATGCCGCCACCCTTGTTCTTCTTCGCTTCGTCTTCCTCGCGGCGCTTTTCTTCCTCTTCTAGTTTGCGATTCTCCTCCTGTTGCTGCTTGTAGGCTTCGGTGACGAATTTGTCCTTATCCGCGAATTCGTCGCCCTCGGCCTCCCGCTCCCGTGCAATCTTTTTCTCCTCGGCGATCAAGGCGTCGCGCTTCCTGACTGCGGCAGAAGCTATGAGGTTCTTCATGTACTTTGGGCGGCGGTCCTGGTCTTGTTGGGTGGCCTTGTTCTCGGGCTTCATGGAGTCGTAGACGCCATCGTAATCGTAGACAGAGGGGTCGAGCTCCTCGGCAGCTTCTGCATTCTTGCGGGACTCAAGGGCGGAGGACAGGTCACCGTAGACGGAGGTTTGAGGCTTCTTGGGCCTGGGTGGTGCGGTCGGGGGCGCGGGGGCGCGGTGTTTTTGTTTTGAGGTTGGCTTGGTGAATGGATTTTGTTCCGGCTCGTCATGATCCGAGTCGGATTCGTCTGCACCGCCGAATGCGGTGCCAAAAGCGGTCCGCGGCTTTGGTTTGGAGGGCGCTGGCTTTGCGCCGGGCTTCTTGGCCAGGTTTAGACCAAACGAGAGGCCTGGTTTGCTCATGATGCTGGCAACGAGAAGTGTGGCCAATCAATCGATTTGCTAGGGTTGGCAATAGCAGTGGGTTATGCGACAGGACTGGCGAGGGGTATTGGATTGGGTGGATGGAACTGGAATTGAAATTGGAGTTGGAATTGGCGTTGGCATTGCACGAGAGCGAGCCTACGGGCAGGTACTGTAACAAGCTTCGAAGCTTCCCCAGCTGCAAGCACGGATCGATAAGGTTGATTAAAATCAGTTAATTCTTGGAGCCTTATCGGGGATTTTTCCAGGGGTCCCCCACCCATTCCCATCCCGCCTTCCACCTTCCGCCCTCCGTCATTTGGCACTCCATTGCATTGTATCCCATCGTATCGCGTCGGGGCGCATCGCGGCGCATCGCATCGCATTGTATTTCGTCCCATCCCGTCTCTCCCCGCCGTATCCTGGAGGGGGTTTTCCCAAATCCCATACCCAGCCGCAATCTCGACGAGTCACGAGCGGCACCGTCGTGGCCCCCGGTAACCACCACATATGATGCTACTGCGGACATGACAACAGAGCCATCGTCGCCCAAGCGGCGGCATATATTGTCAGCTTACAACCCTGAAGAGCCGCCCCCGACTTCCACACATGAGGAGCACAACGCTGCACCCGAACAACCCGTCTCTGTATCACCGCGCCGCTCCACGGCCACTCCGCTAGCCACAGGTGACGGTGCCGCACCAGAGTATACCGAAAACCACCACAAATCCTCAAAGTTCCGTTTCAAGTCGAGCCGTCGATCCCGTCGCTCATCACGACACCGCCAACGGGATTACGACGACCATGGCAAGGAAGCCTCGCACCGCTCATCGACAAAGCGTCGCGATGGAGAACGTGATGATGGCCACGACAGCGACCGTGATGAGCACACCAGTTCCCGCCGCCACAGGCACCATCACCACCACCATAGACATAAGAGGCGACGCGACCGCCCGCGCACCCGCTCGCCTACGCCGCCGAACCCACATGGACCACCCCCACTGAGTCCCGAAACGGCTTTTCGCGAGTCGCTCTTCGACGCCATGGCCGACGACGAAGGCGCTGCGTACTGGGAGGGCGTCTACGGCCAACCCGTACACCTATACTCCAACCAGAGATCTGGACCCCAGGGCGAGCTCGAGCAGATGGACGACGACGAGTACGCTGCCTACGTCCGACAGAAGATGTGGGAGAAGACCCACCAGGGGCTGCTCGAGGAACGAGCGAGGCGCCAAGAGCAGGAGAGGCAGAAAGAGGACAAGCAGAAAGAAGCGCATAAGCTCACCAAGGAAATGGAAGATAGTCTTCGGCGTGGTGACGAGAGAAGAAAACGAAAGGGCTGGAGGTCAAGGTGGGATGCCTACCTTCAAGCCTGGTCCGAGTGGGACGGCCATGTCGAGACCATGAGCTGGCCAGTAGCAGGAGGCAGCAGAGCGGACATCAGCAGCGAAAATGTCAGGGACTTCTTGATCAACGGCCTCGACCCCCTCGCGATAGGTGAGAAGGAGTTTCTGGCCAAGCTGAAGGAGGAACGAGTTCGATGGCATCCGGACAAGATTCAGCAGAGGCTGGGCGCAAGGTTTGATGATTCCGTTCGTCAAGACGTGACAGCAGTCTTCCAGATCATTGATAAACTATGGTCCGACACTCGGTCAAACGGATGACATGCAAAAGGCAAGGCGTTTTACTGGTCCTGTATTTTTCTCAACATTTCACTCACAAGATACCCATGGCTATTAGAACAAGAACTGGAAAAAAAACTCATATTCTCTCGCTATGCATAATATGTACCTGTCAACATGCCACCGTGGAATCCAACGAATAGGCGCCTTGCCAACTATGAATCACTTTTCCGAATCACTACCACTTTCCTCTCCTTCTCCTTCTCCTTTTTCCTCTTCCTCTTTCACGGTATCCTGCACTAGTTTGACCTGCCACGATTAGTTCCTCGAACCCTACCGCCGATACAAGGAATGTGACTTACCCACGGTCCGTGAATCGCTCCCGTACCGGCACCGATCAGGATGCCAAGCCCCGTCGTTGGTATCGCCGCTACGCCGCCCACGATGCTTCCTATCACCGTCCCCAGACCACCAGCGACGCCCGCGCCGATACCTGCGCCCGCCGCACCACCCTGAAACGCACCATTTTGCACTGATAATTATTCAGCATAAGAACTACTCGCTACCAGTGCAGCGACACGAGGTAGACTGACAACAAAAAAAAAGAGGAAGAAAAAAAAAGAGGAAGAAAAAAAAAGGGAAGAAAAAAACAGTACTCACGCCGCGACGCCTGCTTGATCAGCTTCTTCGCCTTCTGCTCCAGCTCACCGGCCTGCGCCCGCAGCTTCTCGGCCTCCTCGGGATTCTCCTCGGCGAGCTTCTCGGCTTGCTCGCGCAGCTGGGTCGCCTGCACCTCCGCGTCCTTGGACTCCTCGAGCTTGGCCGTCAGGTCCTTCATCAGCTTGTCCTTGGTGCCCCATTTGGACTTGGCCTTCTCCGAGAGCTCCCCCGAGCCCTCGATGGCCTCTGACTGCGGGATAGGCTTCTGCTCGCCGTCGGCCATGGTTCTGCGTTTGACTGTCCTTTTTCCGGGGGGTTGTTGCCTTCCTGGGGGGTGGGCGTGGGCGTGCCGTATCAGTTGCTTTCTGTTGCGAGACGGCGATATTAACAGATTTTTGTTAGGAATCGGTTATATTACGTGCACCTCAAGAACAAGCTTATCGAAAGGTATCATAAAGGTGGATTTTCACTATCACGCATCAAATATGAGCTGCGCCGTTGACCTCACGAAGACCCTGTTTCCACTGCCCGCCGGGGCTGGTGGGGCTGCGTATGACGTACATTCGCGGGTGATCTGCATCGCATAGTCTCGGGTGGTCGTCTTTCGGGTCACACTGGGCTTCGTAACATGAGATTTATATAACCATGTAACAATCTCGTCACGCGCATCGCTATCAATATACTTGCTCCGTCTGGCAGAAAGAACTGTCTGGCCAGGATTGTGGGAGCAAAGGAATTGGCATCGTATCCTGACATATTGTAACATCTTTCGAGAGCTACATTCAACAGTGCTATCATTATAGTTTATAGAAACACTATGATCATCTCTGATTTTTTATCATCACTGATTTTTTATCATCAATCAGCGCTTCACCGTGTTTGCAGAGGGCGCATTGCACAGATAAAACAAAGCTGTCAGACCGAAAAAAATTCAGAGCTTCGCCTTGCCATCCGGTCCGAGGAGGTAGGACTTCTGATATGGCAGCCCCAAAAATTCATAAACAAAGTGCCATCTTGATTCCGTTAGCCATTCAGTCTACATTGTACCTCTGCGTCTCAACGGACTTTGGGGGGAAGAAAAAGAAGAAGAAGAGGAACGAGAAGAAGAAGGAGAAGAAATATGCACTCACCGATCAGTCCCAAAGAACGGCTCGCTCTTCCCTTGGTCGTTCGTGACCCAGAGCCAAGGCGCTCCAAAAGCGCCTCGCTCGAGAGCTTCTTCTACCGTGGTCTTCAACTCGGCCTTCCACTTGGCTTCACCTGTTGCCTTTAATATATTCTCAACATCATGATTCGAGAACAGTGGCTGCGAGCTTTGCTTCTCGCTTGCGCCACCGAAACCACTCCGTACCTCGGCCAGCGCCTTGGCCAACTCCGCGGCCTCGCAGAGGTTGCGTTTCGGCGGGCCCCAGAACAGGTGCAGGAAGTAATGCCAGGTCGTTAGATATGCCTCGAGCGAATACGTTGCCTTGATATAGTGCAGGGCCCTCAGCGGAAGCATCGTGCGAGACACCGCCATCAGGTCTTCAGGAGGAGAGATGTCTGGGAGACCGACGGCGTGCTGGGTGCGGTCTGCATCGAGGCTACCGTACTTGGCTTTCGCTGGTACGGTCCATGGTGGTCTGTTTCCTGCACGACGAATCAGCTTTTTGTTGGTCTTCGATTAAGTGTATGCAGCCTCAAAAAAGGGGGGTTTTTTTTTCTTCTTCTTCTTCTTCTTCTTCTTCTTCTTCTTCTTCTTCTTCTTCTTCTTCTTCTTCTTCTTCTTCTTCTTCTTCTTTTGTCTCCGTTCTGCATTGATTGCGGAGATATCCCGTTCAAGCAAACTCAGTAGACTCTCGAGGATTCCTGACAGATAATCTCCAGAAAGATTACTAAACAATCTCTACGGAATTCTTAAGAATATCCGTATCCGGTATTATAAGAAACTGGCAAATAAATAACAAAAGAGTAGCCCGTTGCATGAGCTCCAGCACGAGTAGTGTACAAGCCCCATGCAAGTTACCGGTAGTCAGGTCATAGTATATAAAGCACTGTAGGACTTAGAAATGATGACGACCTACCTGAAGCAGCCATAATACCGCCGAGAAAGAAAGGCTTGATGCTGTATATACATCAGCACACGCGCAAAATATTATTCATAGAATGGCTTACTCTACTTGTACTCCGTGAGCTTCCAAAAGCGACCTAGTGTCGAGGAGCTGCTTGAAGGCTACATAGCTGTAGAAGGATACTATTTACTTATCATCAGCCTATCACGCACGTCTACTCGGACTGTTCGGGCTCACCAATGTCCAGGTAAATCTCAATTCGGCCAGTCATGGTCAAGGCTCAGCTGGGGGGGGGGGGGGGGGGGGGGGGTTCGGCTGTTAGGATATTGTACGGTAGTGAGCGCCACTGACCCCACGCTTATCAAATCGGTGGTAAACCAGGAAACGGACTTGTGACTGGAAAGTAGTTGAGTTATCTTTGAAAGTTACGGCTTCGATGGCGTGCTAGAGGTTTTGATAGTACCACTGGTCGAACTGAGGAGTCTTGAGTCCTATTGTGTCATCACCAGGGGTCGTGCTGGAGAAGAGCCTCGGTTGCCGGCAGCACGGCCCCACCTAAACTCCGGGCAGCTCGATTAGTGATCCATCATCACCTGCCGAAAGCTTCGGCGCATATTACCTAGACCTCCAGCCAGCGTTAGCATTAAGGGATCCCTCCCTCTATATCATGTATATATGCGATCGATTACCTCGGGAGTGTAGCCATTGTTGAAGCGTAGCAATGGATGAGAAGAGAGTTGCCCTCGTCGTCGGAGCCTCCAGGGGTATCGGGCGGCAGATCGCCATTGACCTTGCCAAAAGTCAATATGCGGGTGAGCTCAAAATCAATAGGTCTATGACTATCGTGAACTAAAACCCGGAAGTTGTGGTTGCCGCGAAGTCTACAAGTGATGCAGCGAAAGTTACACCATTCCCACCAGACCCCAACTCTCCCGAGTCGACAATCTCGACCGTGACGCGGGAGATCCTAGAATCTGGAGGAGATGCGGTAGCTATCTCTGTCGACACTCGGGACTATGCAAGCATCGAAGCCCTCATCACCAAGACGATAGAGACCTACGGTCGTCTCGATGTGCTAGTCTACAACTCTGGCGCCATCTGGTGGGCATCCGTCGAGGACACGCCCATGAAAAGATTCCAGCTAATGCAGCGTGTGAACATCGAGGGCCTCTACGGCGCAGTTCAAGCAGCCCTGCCGCATCTCAAGAAGCACAAGCGGGGCCGGATCATCGTCGTGAGCCCGCCGATCTATTCCCGGTTCTTCAGGGGCAAGACGGCCTACGCCATGGGCAAGGTGGGCATGAGCGTCTTGACCAAGGGCCTGGCGATGGACTTCCAGAGGCAAGGGCTTGGGGAAATGGCGATCACGAGTATTTGGCCCGCCGCCGCTATCGAAAGCGGCGCGACGAAGAAGATGACGGAGAAGAACCCGGGTGAGGCACGCGATCTCAGGAAGGCCACTATCTTCTCTGATGCGGTGTTGGCCATGCTAGAGGCTCCGGCCGAGAGTGTCAACGGCAGACTAGAGCTGGACGAAGATTTCCTCAGGACTGATGCTGGTATCTCTGATTTCTCAAAATACGCACTTGTTCCTGGTTCGACGCCGAGACGGATCATGCCGACAAAGTTACCTGATTTAACCGTTGAAGAACAAGACGACGAAGGCAAGAGGATGGATAGTGCCTTGGAAAAGTCAAAATTGTGAACGCCAGGCGTATCCATAATATCATCACCTATTGATTTACATGTACAATTACCTGCAATCTACACATGCTCTTACAGTCTACACATGCTCTTACAGACTACATAGTGTTAAAGCTCATGTGTCGAGTTAACGTACTACCGCTTCACAATTTTTTCACTCGAAACGAGTTATTGCATAACTTCTTAAGACACCTAGAGCTTCTAAAACTTGAGTGCAAGTCGGTTTGAAAAGGATTTCCCTTAAGATTCCCGAAAGGCACCGCTCAGTAGTCGAGAACCTTACAGATACCCACTCAAGATAGAACACCAACAACCAGGCAGAAAACTGCGGAAGGATCGGTGTGCAAATGCCTTGTGTCGTGTTTCTCAAGGCAGATACGGACAGCGCGACAAGAAGTGGCGGGATATTCTGTCAAAGACCATGACTGTTTCACTAATTAGGATCTATGAATCAAGGTTACAAAACAATACTGTACATATGTCCACTTAATGCAATTTACCAGAGGCTAAGAAGTTAATCCCTGGACGTCGAGTAGTGCAATCAAAATGCCGAATTACGTATACCGTACTTAATATCCGCTCTCGAGGTCAAAGTCGCACCGGTCTCAATGCGCCTCATGTGATCATCGTAAGCCAAGGTCTTTCGCCATCTCACGGACTTGGTCATTAATTTTACTGGTTTCTGACCCCAAAGTGTGAACAGCACGAAGCGCATGGAATTTTGGCACAATGTCTCAGGATTCTGCGCTTGGTGTAAGACATGCCGCTGTCACCCCCACACACATAACAGCTTATCGTGGTATACGACCAATAAACATCACAGAACTCTTGTCCTATGCATTGAGATTCACAAATTCACAAATTCAACTTCACCCCTATGCAGCGATGTGCGGATTCTCAAAGGAGTGGGATCCTGTTTGTCGAGAGCGCAGACGTACAATAAGAACCAGACATTATTCTCAAACTGGCCACGATGGCGCGTAGAGAGAATCACTGTCTTAACGTGTGTCAAGGTAGATTAATCTTGTGATGACCTGGGGGCAAATTATAGTTTGACAGTCTGGGTCGCCAGATGTGTTTCGCGCCACAAACCCATCACGACGGGTGCAACAGGCAGCGTTATCAACTTGAGAGACCCCCCGAGAAGGGTGAGTAGAGCTTGCCGCTGTAGACTCGTTCTCATCTCTGCTGCTCATTTTAATACTACTGCTTTTCGAAAATATGGATGCGTCTCAAGCCGGACGTAGGTCCTCCGGCGAGGACGACACACTCATTGACCCGGACTATTTCACAACGACCGAGGACGCCGGGCTTCTCGCAAATGAGAAGCCCAATCAACCACTATCACGCTGGCGGCGGCTTATCGGAATGAGAGGAAAAGCGTCGACATCCCCGCATGACGGGTCCTCCGCGGGGCCAAGAACGTCTATCCTGTCGAGAATCATGCCCAATGTACTGGCCCTTACCGTCTTCCTTCTCCCATCATATTTCCAGAGCCTGTTCTCGCGCTCTTCCAGGTCGGCTAACGACGCGAAAGCCAACAAGAAACCGCTCCACGCAACCGCGTACCTAGACGGGCTCCGCGGCGTCGCCGCGCTCATCGTCTACGTCTACCACTGGAACTACCTGTGGTTCCCGTTCCTGCGCAAGGGGTACGGGTCGCCGGCGGCCGAGAACGTGTTCCTGCAGCGGCCCATCGTGCGGATCCTGCACTCGGGCCGGGCCTCGGTGACGCTGTTCTTCGTCATCTCGGGCTACGTCATCACGCTCAAGACGCTGTCCACCATCCACGCCGGGCAGACGGGCAGGGCACTCGAGGTTCTGTCCGGGTCGCTCTTCCGCCGGCCCTTCCGGCTCTACCTGCCCATCATCGTGCAGACGCTGGTGATACTGGTCATGATCCGGTGGGACCTGTTCCAGCACGACGTGACGGGGTTCGGCTCGCCGCCGAGGATGGAGACCCTGTCCCAGCAGCTGGACCACTGGTGGATCAACTTCCAGTTCATGGTCAACCCGTTCCGGGCGATATCGGGCAGGCAAAACCTGTACTCACCCCCGTATAACGGCCACCTGTGGACCATACCCATCGAGTTCAAGGGGAGCGTTCTGGTATTTGCGCTCCTGCTTGCCTTTGCGAGGTGCAGGCGCTGGATCCACCTCGGTGCCACGGGCGCCTGCGCCATATGGCTGGCGCAGATGGGTGACATGGACATGACCTTGTTCTGTGCGGGAATGATCCTGGCAGAGATAAGCCTGCTGTTCCCGCCGTCCGACGGAGAGGCGTCTTCTCTGCCATGGCAGCGGACACCGGCGGTGAAGAGCACAAAGCAGATCAAGACGATCAGGCTTTTCCGCCACATGGCGACTATAGCCTTGTTCCTCCTCGCCGTGTACTGCATGTGCTACCCGGAGCAGGACGGCCCGGCGTCACCGGGCTACATAACCCTGACGAAAATGGTTCCGGTATACTACAGAAGCCGTGAGGACTTCATCGAGTGGTTCTGGACCGCCACGGGCTCAATCCTGTTCATCCCCGCACTCATGTACTCGCCCACGTCCTCTGCGACACTCTTTCCCTCTCCCCGGCGCCTCCTCTGCTGTTTTGGGGCGGTCGCAGGCGGGCGATTACGACTGAGACGCGCACCACAGGACATAGAGCAGCAGCAGCAGCAGCAGCAGCAAAACACGGCGGCGATCGAGCAGTTGCAACCACAACCCCAGCCTCAGGCACAGCCACTCTTGCAGCGCATGTTCACGCACCCGTTCTCGCAGTACCTGGGGCATATCTCGTACGCGCTGTACCTGACGCACGGGTGCGTGAACCACACGATCGGCACGCAGTTCCTCAACCCGGCGTTCGCGGGGTGGCGGGCGGCGGAGCAGAAGGCGGCGGCCAGCCAGCAGGAAGGGGTCGCGACCGTGGTGCTGGCGGCGGCCTGGAACGCTTACGTGTGGAAGGCGGCCTGGGCGACCATTGTGAACACGTTCGTCCTGTTCTGGGTCAGCGACGTCTTCTGGCGGCTCGTCGACGCCAGGGCTGTCTTACTTACCAGGTGGCTGGGAGAGAAGGCGAAGGCGAAATAAGAGTAAAGAAAGCCAAACGGTGTGGTTGACTTGTGTCATTTGTCGTGACTTGTAGGAATATTGTTTGTGACGGTTGTATTTATGTACGTATTAGAGGTTATGTCAGTCGGAAGTACTCTTTTGGGGACTGCATAGCACATTGCGATGCAGATCCATAACCCCTTGTGGGTAAGCGTTCTCGGAGACGAGACAGCATATCTGGTTCATCTCATATGATAGGCCCAGGCAGCTGTTTGGACTTCCTATTTCGAGCAACATTCGCAGTTTTTCAGCAACTACTCCCAACATCAAGAGAAAGAGCCATTTAATCATCAAGGTTGGAGAGCGAGCCTAGAATGTAGAGAAATTTTAATGATTCATTGACATCCTGTACTCCAACAGATATACAATCCAGGCTGCACTGCCATCCGAACGCTCCTCGATGCCGAACTCCGTAGAAAATGTTTTAGCCTAACCAATGATGCCTCCATCCAGTTGTGTGAAGGTGGTTGTTGCAAGAACAGGCGTCATGACCCCCCGAGTGATTATGTATACGTAGCTGAGAACTCGCCGCCATTGTGCTGCACTCTTGCCGCACACAGCAGGTTATGACATGTGGACACTAGAGCTGCTGAAAGCTTGGCGTCCTGAGACTATTGTTGTTCGCCACGTAACCGTGCCTGCACCTTTTCTCTATGTGCCCTGTTCTTCAGGTGAACTTCAAAATTAATGGCCGTCATCTCCGGTCCAGGGGTGTAGAGTTTTCCAGGGCAATCAAGACATCGAATGCGCGGTAAGAAGCAGAACTTGATATTCGGTGATATAGGGTTGCCTGCCTGCGGCATTGAGCACGGCACATTTGTGGTAGCATCAAGTGCAGTGTATCGCATCAAGCCTTCGAATTGGTCATTGGCGTATTCTGCCGTTTCTTTCCATGCCTCTAATGCTTGAACAAGCCAGGCAGGAGGTGGAGGCTATGCGATGGTGTGAGTGTTTGCTTTTGCAGTGAACTAGGAGGGGGCAGGGACAGGGAAGAAGGTGTCTGACTTCAAACCATCCTTCATAGATCATAGAGACTGCTAGAATAACGGAATTGTGGGGTTCTAGGTCTGTTCAAAAATTGGGCAAGGGGGCTTACAGGAGTGGGCACAGGGGTCGTAGGCGTAGGGGCCGGAGCATCCACACGGCTGATCTGCCCAGGTGCTACGCCATTAGCTGGAGGTTTTGCCGGGACGGTTGCAGCTGTGCTTGAGGCATTAGGGGTAGACGGAGGTGGCATTGAACTCGACACAGATGCACTAGGTGCCCGCGTGTGAGGCATTGAAGGTGTTCGGGTTGCCGATGGAGTGCCCTGTTTCAGCTTCAGGTCGCGATAGAGCTGCCTGAGTTTCTCCTTTCCAACCCGCAATGTTACGATCATGTGCTGTGGCTCTTCAGTGGCTTCCCTGGTCAACTCGCGGCCAGATCTCCGAGAGGTGCGCGTTTCGTGATGGTGTATCGTCGCTTCAGGCGTTTCAGAACGGCCGATGTTTGCCATACGAGAGACTGCAGCTGACGCAGCACCCCGCATTCCTCGTGTTCTAGCAGTGCCTTGCAACTGTGCGGCTGCAGGAGAATCAGGCGAAGAATCTTCACTATCGTCCGAATCAGACAGGTCATCCCTCACCCGTCCCTTGCGTCCAACTCCAGTACCAGCGACTCTCTTATACAAGGTGCTGTCCTCGACATTGATGGCTGCACCAGGTAGGACAGATGAGACCACAAGCGTACGAATAGTCCTCTGCCGCTCCTTGAGATCAGGTAATGAAGGACCACCCCTCCGGGTAACTGTTGCTCTCTTCTGCCGCCGTTGTTCGCGCTGAAATATTACTTCGTTCTTCTCCAATTCTTGCTCGGAGAGCTCATAAAGGTAGGGCGCGTATTCTTTGGCTTGTTGCTGAGGTCTGAATACGGTGGGCAGGGGAGAAGGCAGGAACGCAGCCACCAGATCAGGATCTTCTATAGGGCGCCCATCGAATGGATGTCCTATGCTATACAAACTCCGGGCAAAAAGATGTGTCTGTTCGCGGATGCAATGTGCAATGGCCGTCACGAACTCGCCACTAAGAGACATTTCCTTGGCCATGCTCGTGGCGAACTCCTCGGGTGAATTTAGGGGGTTGTTCATGTCCCATTCGAACTGATCGACCAAGGTGAGCTGTCCGATGGTAATGTTGAGCTTGATCAGGACGCGCATCTCATCATTCTTCCAAGCTGAATAAGGCAACTCTGGGTCCAAGGCATCCTCATCGGAGAAGACAAAGGGGTAGAAATCATTCAGCTGCTCCTTCATCTGCACAATGACTTGTTCGTAGATTGGTTGAGCGACGGGGGGCTTGAGGCCCATATCCTCAATCAATTGCATGGCAAACAGTTCTGGCGCAGCTAAGCGCTCGTGAAGGTTCCAGGTAAATGTGTCGCGCAGCCGAATCTTGTCCATATCCACATCTAGGCGCACAGGTATCAGCTCTTCGTGCTGTTCTGCCTGCTGTTTCATGTCCCTCCGCTTCCATTTGAGGGGCGGTGTAGTTTGTTTGCCAAGCCGTGGCTTCTGCTGAGGATACAGCAGCCTCGCAGGACCGCCAAGCTCTGTCCGTCCGTTGCCATACCCATTATAGCCTTCACCGTATAGTCTGCTCGGGGGGAATGCGTGGCGGCCCTCATTACGAACCATCTTGTAATCCTGAATCATCTTGAACGTGTCCTTGTTGTGGTCGTTGAGACGTCTCTGATCCTCGACAATGGCGGCTGCATGGAGATGGTCTCGGGTGATATACTGGTTGATGCGCACCTGGTCGAAGGAGTCCTTGTCGCGGAGGGGGAGCCGCGTGGCATTCGCGTCAGGCGCATCCTGTCCATATTTAGGAGTTGAGTTGGATGAATGTTCTGATTTGGCGGTGGACGTTGAGGACAAGGCAGCGGCGGTGCCAGCGCCAGCGCCAGGACCAGTGGCAGAGCCCGAGCCAGCACCAACCGCGGCGCTGGAGGCCATCTCGTTGTCCTGCGTGGTCGCCATGGTGAATAGAGATTGCGAATTACATGTAGCGACTCGGAATTACCGGGTGTGGATCATGCGATGATGCTGTTGGGGCCTGCGCGCGGCGATCTGGTTGGCTGAATATTGGCCGACGATGAAGTTGACGAGGCTTGCGGAACTCCAACCAAGTCGCGATTGAATCGAGTGAAAAAGAAGCGGCCGGCTATCGAATGAACAAGCACCTGGGAATTGGCTTAGTGCTCCTGCCCGGACATACATAACTAAGGTTAGTACGCATGCAGTACGCGATCGCGCCCGACCTTTCCTCTTTTGGGACAAGTACGATTGTCAAGCTCTAACCTTTGTGTGTACAGTAACTTATGTAATAAAGGGGCACGTGCACTGGTCTGGCCGAAGGGGGAGGCAAGGAGGATAGGAAAACTGAAAACAGAAGACGCAGCCGCCACGGGCTACACGCTTGCTACATACACAGAGCACTTGATTGTCATCAAGAAAAATACCAACTACAGCTTAGACCGTATTCGTGTGTTGTTCATGTGTTGCTACACGGTAGTTACAAACGAGTGTCAGGCTGCTGGCTTGTCTGCATGCAGATCCGAGCATTCACTTGATTCATGCCATGCCCAGACTATCTTATCCATCGGTGAACACTCTTGGCTAGAAACATGGGGAAGCCTTGTATGTTACCCTCTCGGGAGATCAAGCATTGTGTTGCCTTGGTCGTCAGGTCCGAGATGCCGTCCACCTCGAATGCTCCATTGCATGGCTATAGCCTATACGGATTGGGATGTTGAATAGGCTAGGTTCCCTACATCCCCCGATGGCAAACCACCAAGCGGAGGACTTCATGTTCATGCCAGAAAATCCATTGAGAAGTTACTCTTTCCCATCCTTAGTTGCTTGTCGCAAACAGTCTGGCCTTATTGTCCTTGTTACGCGTGCTTAGTGTTGCATGCCCGGGTGGTTCAGCAACATTGCATCATACTGTCTACGGCAACAAATTGCTTGAGGGGCCTTGGGATTGAGATTCCCATGTATAAGTAGCTACTGTAGGCCAGGTGAATAAAATCCATGCTCAACTTGCATAGCAGAAGGGGCAATAAGTCATACCATGTATGTACCTACATTAATGTCTGGTCTAATCTAGGATAGGCCAAGCTGCACCGCGTTGTGCTGTGCTGTGGTGAAAGTGGAACTCCGTTCGCGAGCTTTCAGTGGATAGACGTCACTTGTTGATTGAAGCTCAGCGGGGGACCGACGATTACGTTTGTAACAAACCGCAGTGCCTCAGTTGAGCAAAGCTTCCCACAATGCGGGGCACAACAAGTAGGGTAGCAAATAATTGAATGCAAAACCACCAAAAACCCATAACTATCCATACCTTACTTTGGTCCACGCCCTCGCCTTCCTCTTCTCTTACACACCTGCCAGCTTTACAGAGAAACCAAGCCCAACCCAACCCAGTTCACTCACTTGACATTACGAATATTTCAACATGGCCGACACCAAGGAAGTCGTCGGTACGTACTAACCATAAAAGACACATCACATCACATCACATCACCCCCACCTCCGTATACATACATACACACACATACATGCATACATATAGCTTGCGCGCTGAAGCTCAACACACTGAACTACCCCGCCATTCAAAACACAACATCACATTCCCAAACTGCGCTCGCCTGCGTAGCACGAGACTCTATACCGTGAACCAAGAAATCGACTGACTTTGCTTCTGCCTGATAGACTACAGTCTGAACAACCCAGACACACTCACCAAGTACAAGACTGCCGGTACCATCTCCGAGAAGGTGCTTGCCGAGGTTTCCAAGCTTGTTGTCCCCGGCGAGAAGATTGTCGACATCTGCGCCAAGGGTGACAAGCTTCTTGCAGATGAGGTCAACAAGGTCTTTGCTAAGACCAAGTTCAAGGGTTAGTAACACCGTTTCCGAGGAGCTGCAGAGTCGAGACTATTTGATCCGGTGGCAGCAGCTTACACAATTCTGCTCAGGTTTCGCCCACCCCACAACTGTTTCTCCCGCTGCTTTCGTTACCCCGTACACTCCTCTCTCCTCCGACGAGGCCGAGGCCAATGTCACCATCCAGGCCGGTGAGCCCATCAAGATCCAGCTAGGCGCTCAAGTCGACGGTTTCGGTACCATTGTCTGCGGAACTGTCCTTGCCCAGGAGAAGGGCAAGGAGTCCGAGGAAGTCAGCGGCCGCGAGGCAGACCTGTTCCTTGCGACTCACTACGCCAACGAATTGCTTCTGAGACTCTTGCTCCCCCCTGGAACACTGTCAGCAGGCACAGACGAGGAGAAGGCCAAGGCCGCAAAGGAGAAGTCCCCGACGCAAAGCAAGATCACCTCTCTCTTGGAGAAGGTCGTCAAGAGCTATGATTGCAACTTGGTAGAGAGCACAACCTCGTGGCTCTTTGGTCGCAACGAGATCGAGGACAAGAAGAAGATTGTTCTTGCGCCAAGCGAGGGCACCCGAGGTGATGGAATCCCCGAGATTGGCGAGGTCTGGGGTGTCGAGATCGGTGTCAGCCAGGGCACCGGCAAGGTCAAGAAGTTCGAGAACAGAGCCACTCTGCACCGTCTTGCCAACGAGAACGGTATCGCCAAGAGACCGTCTTCCAAGAAGTTGATGCACGATGTCAAGACCAAGTTCCACAAGTTCCCCTTCAGCTTGAGGCAGCTCGAGAGCGAGCGTGACGCCAAGCTGGGCGCCATGGAGTGCACTCGTAATGGATTCCTTCGCGAGTACGAGGTCGTTGGTGACAAGGAGAACGCCCCTGTCGCCCGTCTCCTGACCACCGTTGGTAAGTCATATCTACCGCGTCCAGATATATGAGCACCCTGGGGCTAACATGATGAAGCTATTACCAAGAACGGTATCACCAAGCTTGGTGGTCCTCCCGCCCTGGACTTGAGCAAGTTCAAGTCGGACAAGAAGATCACTGACGAGGAGGTCCTGAAGATCCTTGAGCAGCCCCTGGCAAAAAACAAGGGCAAGAAGGTCAACAAGAAGAAGAAGAAGCCCGCCAAGAAGGCCGCTAAGAAGGACGGCGAGGAGAGCGAAGATGAGAGCGACGACGAGTAGGCCACGCTCCCAGATACTCGGGAGCAGATGTGTATTAACCAAAATTTCTACAATATCGGCGATCATGGCATCCAAAGGAAGCAATTATATATCAAGCATTTTAAGGCTGAAAGTTTCAGGGACTATCTCTCAGTGCGGTTGAGTCCAAAGCAACCATGGCCTGCGGTTTCTAGCGAGAGCATGTCGTGCGCGACACTCTGCACAAGCCTCGCAGAAAAGCTGCTGTGCCCAGGATAACTCAACTGCCCAAGCCCAAGTCCAAGCCCAGGCCACATAGACTACTAGAGATGCGCAAAGATAAAAGACAAAAAAGAAAATGCAGAGTCTCCAGAATTCGATGGCGAGTTTGCGTGAGTCATTCATCAGGCGCCTCTTGATACCGCGTATGAATCTGCACGGCAGCCTATGTGTACATGCGGTGGAGGTATGCAACGTGCAGGTGCCACGCCCTCCTGACCCCTTACTGGCAATCCACCCGAGTGTGAATGAGTGAGTTCGGACCAGCAACCCCGCCACATCCGAGGAGTGATCCTCCAAGTCGAGAGTGAGAGACCTTCCCAAGGCGTAGATAAGAAGAACAACAATCCATTACTTTGCTCGCATTCTTGGACCCTGATCGTGGTCGGCTACCTTGTCAATACGGAAGTAAGGCGTGCATGATTCCACGCGGGCGCCTCGGGGAGGGAGATCTGTTTGACGACCAGCACTTCCAAGACAGCCCTGCTCGACTGGTCCGCAACAGAAACAACTGGAACACCAGAAACGGGTGGCCTCGTTAAGCAATCTCGGAGAAGCTCCAAATCCACTCAGAAAGGAACCTTCGGGATTTTATATATATATATTTTTGGGGGGGTTAGATAGTATAGGCGTTGATCGCGGTGGTATTACGGTGGCAGGGCCTCGAGTTTGCGGACCCTCCTGGAATGAGCCCCCCTTGTCCCTAGCGTCTCTCCGTGTGGCACTCCGAGAATTTGGCCCTCCCAAAACTCCCATCCTTCAATCGCGTGCAAGCTACGTCAGGACGCGCCGATTCATCGTCGAAAGTGCTATTGTCCAGGAAGGTAGGTGATGCATTGTCCATTCCCATCCGCAGGTCGCGAGCTAACTAGCAATTAGACGCGACGAGAACGAGTGCATGCCTATTGTAGTTGGAACAATAGGGGGCGTTTGCCCACGCGCGAAGCCATGATGCCGTCCACCTCCAAGTCCGCACGCTCGCGCTTCTCGAGCCCACTGCACCTCTCCAGCTCACCTTCGAGTCACAACAAAGGGGTCACCACCGATGGACAGAGGAAATTCTTGCAGCGCTGGCTGGAACCACCTGTGCAGAACAAAGCAAGCTTCCAGGAAGCAGGATTGATGCGAGGCGGTGTCGTCGAGAACATGGCGCCTCTGGGGACGCTGCCGAAGCAGGCAAAAAAGCTGACACCGGTGGGAGGAGAGGGCACCCCTACTCCTACACCGGGTCCTGTCTCTGCGGTGAAGAAGATTGTGCTCAAGAAGCCGGCTACGAAACCTGCACATGTGGAGGAAAGCATACTGCAGCCTGTTGCCACCATAGAGTCACCAGATAGGGATTCATTTTCGCCAACGCGCCCCATCTTCCCCGTAAATGGACTCGACGATGAGGACGACGATGACTATATGCCTATGCCAAAGAAGGCTCCAAAAAGTCGTCGATCGTCCACTGGGCAGGGCGCGAATCCCGGTTGTGTTGCTGGTAGTGCAGCACGCCCCGTTCGTGCCGGCCGCCGCAGCACCGCAGCCCTTCAAAAGAGTTCTTCACCTTCGCCCTTGACACAACCCAAGCCCCCCACAAATGAGAGCCAATCACGCTCGCATTCCCAGTCAATTTCACACTCGTCAATTCCTGCACAAACATCTCAACCCGACCGACGATCCCATCAAACTCCACAGCCGCAGCCACAGGTGGTCGTCGAACCGGCAACACAAACAGTGACTGGTTTTGCACATATCGCCATGGCTGCGTTCCAGGCTCCCGCTTCGGTTCAAAGACTGCCTGAGAGCAAGGAGTTCGTGGACAACATTGTGGAAGCTGCTGTCGACGAAGCGCTACGTCACAATCGCTATCCAACAGCTTACGCGCTTCGTAGTCTCTACGATGAGTACCATGAGAATCCCCACTTTGTTTCCATGTTCGAGGACGTTTTTCATCAAAGAGCGGATATTGATGCCTTGACAGAATTCAATCGCCTTGTTCAGACGCGAAAGAAGGATGGGAAGTTTGAGAACAAAGGTTTTCACTACTGGGTTCCTCCTCCAGCACATACCCAGCATCACACACCCCCGAAACCGATGGCTGCACCTTACGGCCAGTTGCTGAGAATGGACCTCACTCCAGCAAAAACCAAAGTTACCAGCTTTGATTTTGATCAGCATGTACACAAGAAGCAGAAAATCGAGGACCAAGACAACGCTTCTGCCGTGGCGGTCATGGCTTCACTGCCGAGTGCAGGCTCAGCTTACATTCCTTCCAGTGATGGGCCTACAAGTCCGCCTCCGGCTCCAACGTCTGCCCCCGACGTCGTTCCTGCCGCTGTTCTACCTGCTGCGCCAACGACAGCTAACGGGGCCCAAGAGACAAATGGAACACATGGCATCAGCATGGTGAACGGCATCAACGGCTTCAAGGGTCTCAAGGTCCACAAATCTCCGCACAAATCGCCTCACAAATCTCCGGGAAAGATAAAGAAGCGGCAGCAGAGATCTGGGTCCGTGAGCAGCGACTCATCTCTTTCTAGTGTTCCTGATGACGCGCTGGTTGATTACGATGATTTTATGGATCAGGTGGACGAGGAGCTGGGCGTTTCGCGCCCTAGTACTGCCGAGCCAAATGATGCACCAACCCCGGCAAGCTCTTCTCAGCCAATCAACGCCCGCCAGAAGAGACCCGCGTCCAAAAAGAAGATCCAGTCCCCCGAACTTGATCCATCTCTGGACATTGCTTCTACTCATCATCCTCTACCCTCCCCAGATCTTGACATGCCCGTCGCCATCGCGGTCAACGGCGCATCTCATCAACGCAACCAAAAGTATTTATTCCACAGCAAGCTAAAGAGCAAATCTGCTGAGCCAGATGACTCCCTGCGTCTTATCGAAAAAAAGGTGATTGCCAGAGACGGAACACATGCACTCACGAAAGGGATCGTGGCAGATAGCTTTGTTCGTCCTCCGTTGGCATCAGATCCCTTTGAGGACAGTCTGCCCACATTGGCACCTGCCCCCCGTTCTGCACGAACGCCGGCTCCGCCTCTATCTCTGCGAGCAGTAAGAGCAGCGAAGAGGCACAATGAGCTTACGGATGAGGCCAGCTCGCCCACCACTGCTGTACGGGCTGATCTCGAGCCCCCATCATCAGCACGCAGTTCAAGAGCGGCGACGCCGTCAAATGTGCGTGCCAACAAAAAGCCGCGGGTTGGATTACGCGTCAAGACATCGTACGTACAAGAATCTTTCAATTTTCTCTGTTCACGTTTTATCTGTGGCTGGGTGTGCGAGTGACGCTCGCGACCCAACAGCCTTGATTTTTTGTTGAAAATCAACAGCTCATTCGCGTAGCCATGTGGCACCACATAATCCTGCATTGGGTGGAGGCAAATCCAAGTTTCAAAATGAAACCGACTCCTTAGATTTCAGCAGCGAGTTTTTATGGTGCGTTTGCTAATCTTATTCTGTGTCTGCAGGCCTATGAAGAAGAAGGGGACATCTGCGGGAATTCCTCGTGGCGGTGGGGAGCGTCCCAGCCCAGTTCTGAACGGGCCTCAACATGACAAGGTAAGCTATCTCCTCAAGTTGACTCGCAAAAGTCTAAAAGATACTGGCGACCATGTTTCCGCGCCAATTTTGGATCTTTTGGGCGGCTTCATGGTGGCATGGCAATGGTGCTGCGCCAGGTTGCGAACAAGTGTTCGTGGTGGCAATGCCCGGACTCCCGCTTTTGCCGAACTCTGGGGCAGATTTCGTCCATCAGGTTCCACGTCCATCATGCTGACCGAGATCCGCTAGGATGAAAACGACGACTCATGCTATACCTGCGGCGGCAGTGGTGAGCTTGTCTGTTGCGACGGGTGTAATTATTCCTTCCATTTCCTCTGCATCGATCCTCCTATGGATGAGAATATCATGCCGGACGACTGGTACTGCAACGAATGCACGCATAAGTACTTCCCAGAGAAGCTCACGGGACACCGCGGCGCCTTTGGGACGCTACTGGATGCTCTTGACAAGAAGAACCCTCGAGCCTTCAGATTACCACAGGATATACGTGAGTTTTTCGAAGGCGTCAAGACAGGCGCCGATGGAGAGTATGAGGAGACTACCAGCACCAAGCCCAAGTAAGTCCAACCACGTTCAATGGCACGTGCGACCATCCTGCTAACGTGGTATTCTCAACAGGCCGAACAAGAAAGGCTACGAGGAAGCGTTTGACTTCTTCAGGGTCAGAAATGCAGACAACAAAGCTGTATTATGCTACCAATGCCATCAAGGTGTCACAGCTAACAGACCAATCATTCCCTGTTCTGTCTGCGGGCTTAACTGGCACCTAGACTGCCTTGATCCTCCTCTAGCTGTACCACCTGTCCTGCGAAACTGGCGGTGTCCTTGTCACGTTGAGGATGCCTTCATGGCTGATCTCGCCCCTGCACACAAATATCGTAAGATCAAGAATGCGCCCGTCATTGAGCAGGCCTACAGCCGTGGCATGCGAAACAATGGCTGGATTGAGATAGAGGAAGATGACGACGATGAAGAGGACACCTGGGCAGCGACGCGCAGAGACTTTGGCCGTGTTTACCGATTGCCGGAGAAGGGCATCAAACTGGATTTCCTGTCTCGGTGAGTCTCATAGGACTGCCCACCACTAATTTCGCTAGGGCGCTAATCAAACTCGTTGCAGGGTGCACGAAAACCGAGCCAAAGCTCGCCCAGGAGCACAGTCCCGCTCTTTCGACCCCGCTTTGTCCCTCGCCTCCCGTAGCATTGAGGAACAACAGGCAGCACTGAACTTGTCTCGGCTCGCTGGCAGCTGTGGTGGTAATGGCCTGGACCAGCTTGTGAGCACTCTCGTCGTAAGTTGAGCAACATCTTGTCTCTCGAAAGTGTCATGTCACTAACATCAGCGCACAGGCAAACGCTCCTCCTGCTGCTATCTCCTTGATTGCGTCGGGTGACGCTACACATTTTGACAGTGGCAAGTTGGCTCAGACAGATCAGAACTCTCTACACGCAGTCCTCGCCCATCTTGATGCTATGCGAAATAACGTGGTCAAACTCATGGAGAGCAACGCCATTTCACCCGCTCAGGTGGCAACTCCTCAGAATAGCCAAAGCGAAGATTCTGCTATGCAGCTGGACTAATCATCTGGTCTTTGGCTTACACACAATCCAGCCTTGTGGCTACCCGTTCTGCCGCTTGCCATTGTTAGACACTGCTTGGCATCCTCATATCAAGTTACTCCTCAAGCAGATCTCTTAGATCACGATTACGACTCGCTCGCCTGTTAGCAAGCGGAGAGCACTTGGAATAAGTGCTTTCTCATTCTGCTTTCTGACCAGCACTTAACGATCGCATATTGTCGATTGTTTTCTCAGTCAAGGGGCCCGCTGAATATACTTTCATCGTTTGTATGTATGAATAGGATCCAGCCCATGCTTGTCTAGCAGCGGTGTTTTCCTAGGCTTTCATGGAGTCCTGGTTGGTTGGCCGACCGGCCCTCTGCAGTTCGCTAGTCATCTTGTTTGCCCAATCGGTCGTCAAATAGCTCCGTTTGACGTTCCTTGTGGTCATCTGCTCCGTTTGCTTTTGCAATGCCCTTTCGACATCGTTGCCTTCTGAATTCTGGAGTGTCGAACGGATTGACTCGAAATGCGATGGGAATTCAGTACATGAAAGGATGGAAATGGAAACTGGCGTTCACAGATAGGACACATGGAGTGGCTTCTAGCCATAGCGTATATTAGTGAAATTGATCCCATCAATATTCTTCAGGATATGCTTGACCTCTTTGCCTTCTCTGGCGCAGTCGACCATATAATTATGTGTTTGCTTTTGCTCTCTGCTGTGCTAATCTATCTACAACAAAGCTTACCTTGACACTCGGACGTATTTCTTTCCGTTGGGCATTCTCGCACTAATAAGATCGCTTCACAAGCTTCTACGGATCCGGTTCTTTTTTTCCTTGGTGAGGTTGGATTTCTTGTTCATGGGAGTTCCAGTCGAGCAACAATGCTTCGACCTCCTCCCCCCCCCCCTTTTTTTTCCTTCCGGTTTTCACCATTTCCCCAACCCCCCGAATTTTTTTTTTGGAGAAAAATTTCCCGAACTATGGAGGAGCTTCCTCCATCGTAACGCGCCACGTCAGCCCACTGTCACGACTAACAAGGAAACCCCAAAGCAAAGCGAAAAGGGAACATGGTATCTCGGGCGCACATGTGAGTGATAGAATCGCGCCACCCATCATGACATTCATACTTTTTTTTTTTTTTTCGAGTGCTGCTAGTCGGCGGCGTGTAGCTTTCTTCGCTGCTGGTGCGGCCTGGGTCATGGCTTGAGTACAAAGCCAGCCGGGGGATGAAATTTACAGACATGATACACCAAGCCCGGCGTCGCCCGGTCTGATATGACATCGGCACGGCACAGATCTATATTTTCGTCGCGGGCACGTCTGTCTGTAGTGATCCTGCTTTTCGCCGCGACGTTCAAAATCCACTACTCGGCATGATCTCATCTCATCTTGTCTTACTCCATCGTGGGATGGGTGTGGTCATCGCGTGTTTCCCACGCCGGTACCGGGTCATAATTTGTGTAAGAAAAACTTTAATAAAAAGAAAAAGACCTTTCGGCTTCGTGTAACGACAAATTGTTTTCTGCGTGGGCTGAAATATAGTTCTCAACCAAACAGAAATTCATTTAGGATCTTGGCCTTGTAGTACGTGGGCAAATAAGATTTAAAGATGTAGTAAGTACCCAGCGATGGCTTTAGTAAAAAGTGACAGATCATGGGCTCAGTCAAGTAATGTGATGACACGAGACAAATGAGCAAGAGATCAACCGGCTTCTGAAATAATTGGTTCTTCATATCATATACGCTCTAAACATACAGGCGTATCTATCGCCTAGCGATTGGCCATGCTCCATCTAGTTCAGTGCCAGACCTTCCAGAATCAAGCTCGCTCCCCAGCTCTCAAAATCAGGACCTTGACCTCTGAAATCTCTTTCCTTCCCTTCGCGTTCCCAAAAGGCCTGCAGCTCAGGTTGGGTCTTAGCCATGAGAATAAGGTTCGTACATGATTCAAACATCATGTCAACACCTAGGCGGCATTGAACTGCATGGGTGGTTTCCCAGAAGCTGCGTAAAGGCCATTGGGCGAGCTCACATTGAGATGCACCATTGTGATCACCTGTCTTAATAACATCATAATCACGGCTCGTCAAAACGTGACATGTAACTCCTTTAATCCATAATCATCGAACTCCGTACCCGAACATTTGGTCATGCCAAAGACTTCAGAAGAATGCTTTTGTCTAGCCAGAGATGATGTTCCGGGAAAGGAAGAATCATCTCTACAACGTCACAGTCAGCACGGAGCGTCTACGGTCGAGGTGATTTCCTGCCTCTGTGGGGAGGTTGACCTACGCGTCCGCGCCTCGTGTTGACTGGTTGTTCTTGCATGTAGGGCATGTTTTGCATTCCGCTGATGCCGTTGTAGCCATAGCTACCCATTCCCATTGGCATATTGAAGCCTGGGGGAGCAAAGCCTGAAGGTGCTCCTGGCGGCTGGATAGGACTGCCGTTCGCAAGGGGTTGATTACGGTACTGGTCGATAGGCGGCGTGGGACTGTTGTATCCATTGTAGCCAGCTTGCATGCCCGTGAAGAAGTTGTTCATGGGCGGGTTGCCTCGTGGCAACATATTCTGCTGATACTGCAGCTGCTGCATGTTGGAGACCATCGCAGGGTTGTTGCCATTGAACATGCCACTTTGTTGGCCGTATTGCGGGAAGGGAGGCATGGCAGATTCATTGCCATCACCTCTACCATAGCCCATGTCGTAATTGCCGGGAGCACTGGCCGGGTTGAGGGGGTTCAAGTACTGGCTGCCATATTGGGCATTTTGCTGAGCTGCCGCTGCGTTCGCCTGCGCATGACCCTGTGCCTGTCTCGAAGCTGGACGTTGTCGCTCAGTTGCGCTGATAGAATGATCCCGAGAACCTCCACCATTGCGAGTGGACAAGCCAACCTCATCCATCAGGCGCTTGTAACCTTGGTTGGGTTGAGCCTTGATGCGAATGAGGACGTTCTTGACGTTCTCAACGACTTGGCTTCGGATGCTCTCATCAAAGAATGGTGTGGTTAAAACCTTGAAGATCAAAGTTGCACCACAGGCGTGGTCGCTGAGAATCGCCTCCAGGACCTGGTCCTTTGGTGTGAAGAACAGAGCCTTGAGGATTGTGTCGCGGGCGTCAGCCTCGGCTTTTTGGTTAATGACCTTGAGCACGGTAAGGTAGGCAACCTTGTGTGTGCACAAGTGAATCAAGTACGGAACTAGCTGTGGTGCTAGCACGCTGCGTCGCTGCGGGAAGGTGCATGTGTCAAGGAACCAGGTCAAAAGCAGAGCACCGTTTGCATTGGTTGCAAGTTGTACACTGTTCAGAGCGATCGCTCCGGCAAGCATTCGCTGCTGGTCCTTGGTTGAGTGGTGGCTCTCAAGACAGGCTCTCATAGCCCTTGCGCCGTATCGACCTTGACCAATATCCCACATCTTGCTAAGCATAGTCTCGAAAATGAAATCGTTGTAGGGGCTGCCAAACTTCAGGCAACCTTGCAAGACGTAGTTTCCGTATTGGTCCAGGAACAACGGAATAGTGTAGGGTCGGACATGTTCGACGATCAGAGTCATCTGCTGAGGTGTCTTGCACACGTCAATGATCTTCTGTGCAGCCCAGGTACCGTTCTTGTGCACACCAATCTCTGCCAAGTGTGGAGCAATCTCGCCCAGCATGGCATCACGGATGTTGTCAGAGCAATGCTCAAACAATTTCTGAACTACGGTGTTGCCAAGATAGTCTGACGCCAGTTCAGCGATTTCGGGAAGCATGTCGAGAGCAATGTTCTCGATTTCAGGCTGGGATAGACTCTGATTGTCAATACGCTTGCGGATATCTCGTAGTTTCGGTGCATCGTGAACGCGGGTGTGAGTTGGCTCTCTGACAGGAGGGATCTCATCAACAAAGTTGGTGAACTGAACAGCGGAATTCAGACTATGCGAGATCCTGAAGGTGTCCTCATCAGTAGCACCAAAAGACTTGACGATTTGAACAATGTCCGCCGTGATTTCGTGCAGAGGAGGGATCACAGGGGCTGCGTTTGCTTGTGAGGCAACCCCCGCTGCATCCACTGCATTGGCAGCATTCGAGGCAGAATTTTCACCGCCCTTGGCAAAAGGGTCTGGACTGGGCGAGGGGAAGACCCCGTCATGGCCCGGAGTGTTCGAAGCAGAGGGTGGCTTTGCAAAGTTGATGCGGATTGGACCAGCTCCGGGGAAGATCTCCTTCCCATTCATGGCCGACTTGGCAGACATGGCGCTGTCAATGCGCTCGAAATTGACAAAACCACAATTCTTGTGCGTCAAGACTCTCACTGAAATGATGGGGCCGTATTGCTTGAACATCTCCGTCAACGTCGAGGTGGTGGTAGAGGTGGGAATACTGCCCAGCCACAAAGCACTCGTGGGCCCTTCAAGACCTTCTTCCGCGCTGAGCAGACCATTGTTACGGCTGTTAGAGCGCCCCAAATTCATTGCAGCTACAGCCTGGGGAAGATCATCAAATTCTTTGTCGTCTGGCAGCCGGAGCTCAGTAGCAGTCATGGAGCTGTCCAAACGAGAAGGGGTGTGGTAGAAATTGCGGAGACCTCGGGAGCCTGCAGCGGTCAGATCCAAACCGCCCACGGTTCTGGCCCTTGGTCGTGCCATGGTCTGGGCAGCCAGGTTTTGAAGATTCTGAACAGCGATGTTGTGATTGTGAATGGCTGCTTGCGTAGCCGCGAGCTGATCTTGAAGGAGAGCTGCAGCATACTGGCTCTCAGGGTCATCATAATCATCATCGTCCTCATCGGCGTACTTGTCCTTGTTGTTCACAGAGTACGAACGGAATCGATTTGCTTGCTTGGTGAAATCGGCAAGGCCAGGCAGGTAAGGACCGGCCAGCTGTGCGCGGGCAGGCTGCGGTGTCTCGGCCAGACCAAGATAATCCAGCGTGCGCATGTGGACGTCATTCTCACCATTGCCCTCTTTCGAGAATGCAGACTGCGCAGGTGAGCTCGGGCCGTTCGATCCAACACTGGCGATACTGGCGAGAGTGTTTCCTCGTTCGCGCCCAGAGGGGTTCCAGCTGCCGCTGAAGAGGGTCGGTCCAAAGGGGGAGCTTGTGCCAGGAATGTTGGCGAATGGGCTGCGCTGCGGCATGGAGCCGGCTCGCAGTCTCGAGAGTAGGGAGCTAGAACCAGACGCGGTTTGGCCAGAGGAGTCCGTCAGGCCTGGCGAAGGGGATTTGCCGAACGGGCTCTGCGACGGGCTCACGCGTGAAGACTGGGCGGCCAGAGTTGGAATACTCAGGAGTCCATTTCCAACGGGTGCTCCTGGGAATCTGGATGGAACGGTGCCAGCACGACCACGGCGTCCCGCCGACGGCAAGCTGTCGGCAGTTGGCTGCTGGACGAAATCAGGAAAGCCATCGGTGGGAGACTCCGGGATATTCTCGCGCAATGGAGTAGAATTTCCGCTGGTAGGCGGGCCGCCCCAAGGGTTCAAGGGCACGCCTTCCTGGGCTTGAATTTCGCGAGCTCTGCAGATGGCTGATTAGCTGCCTTGTTCATATTTACGTGGCATATAGCTCTGGATTATACGCTAGAGATGAGACATGATGTCTAGCTTACCTTTTGGAAAATAGTCTGCCAGAGCCAGGTATGTCATGCGAAGGAGAACCTGCCCCGGATCGCGTGGCTCCTGCCATCTTGTTACCAGCGGCGTTCAATCCGCCGGACATGCCAAAGGGGGACCTGACACCTGATGGGCCCGATGCCTCAATAGGGGACTGCGAGGTGGATGTAGTTGGTGAAGAGGAGCGACCCTGGGTTGTAGGTGGGAAACCAAGGGCCAAATGTTCAGATCTAGCACTTGACATTATCGATTATTCGTCCAACCTTTCATCCGGAGATGCGATCTGTATATGTAGATATCGGGTAGTAGGTTGGATATTAACCACTGTTTAGTACTAGAACTATGATTTTGAGGTCGTGCCGTGACGATGTTGGAGTATGTGCCGATCGACTGAAGGGGGGGCGTGTCGGCCGATGTGGTCGATTCGAGGTGACCGGGGCGATTGATATTACGTCGTCCAGACTCGATCAATTGTGGGTGTATAGAAAGTCAAAGGAGTGGCGTTGTCGAAAATAGTAATCCCAACGGCTTCCTACAGAAATTGAAGCTGGGCTGGGTTATTACAAGGCACGGCTGGTCAGGACACTGTCTAGAGGTCCAGATTCAAGTCCAGGTCCACGGGACACATAGGCCGTAGCCGTGGTTGGTCTCGAAAAAGATGCGAAGAAGATGTCGAGATCGGTCGTGTTTCGATTTGATGCAACGAGTGTCGAGGCCGAGTATCTAGGTATCGGGCTCTTGCTGCGAGGTTGGATTTCTTGACTTCAGGATGGAGTTCAAGAGGGTCGGCAATTGACTGTCCTAGCAGGTTGCACTCTTACTCAATCGTCTCCCAAGGTTTGATAGACTCGATTAAGACTCGGTATGACGTTCTCAGATACGAGCCAGCGAGCTTGCAGCAGGGAAGAGATTTCGAAACTGGGGAGGAGACAGACGACGGGGTGGGAAAAATAAAAAAGAGAACCAAGCCAACGGATCAATATACAGGCTGCATTAGTTAAGGTCCAGTTTGGAGATGGAGCAGTGGGAAAGCCTGGAGAAAGGATAGAGGGTAAAGAAATCCAGGAAAAAAGGAAGAGGGCTGGATATGTGTGTACTGAAATGGATTACGAGATGGGGATGGGGATGGGGATGGAGTTGTGGATAAGATGTGTCCTTGGATCTCACGACCGAAAAAAAAACCCCAATCCAGATCAAGCAAGCAATTGGAAGCAAGCAGACAGACGCAGACTCCAGAGGCAGACACACAGGCAGAGGCAGAGGCACACGCAGACGCAGACGCAGACGCAGACAGAAAAGCAGACTCCAGAGCAGCCAGTCTTTTTCCCTGGACCAATACATACTAACTTACAATTTGGTGTGATGTGCAACAGGGGGGGAGAAGCCTTGCGCCCATGCCCCCCATGCCCCGACGCCCCAATGCCATGCTATGCCCGTGCCTGTGCCTGTACTGTGCCTACCACCTGCTATGGATGGTGCAGTAAAGGTGCAGCGTGGTGGGGTTCTTTAACGCCTGTCGCACTCGATCCAGGAGGCGAAAGACTTGCACTACGGGCCACTCACGGCCTAAAACCGATGTACTGCAATACAAGTGAGGCGTTGGAAGCATTGGCACTCTAGAAGAGAATAGCGGCGGTTTGGGAAAAGATGAAACAACAGATTCAATTTAGGGGCTGCTGCACATCGACTCCAATGGATCCCATCTGTACAAGCTGCACCAACCAACCAATAGCTTCCTTTCTTTCCTTCGCAACCTCACCCTGGTAGTCCATCGTCTTGCTTTACCACTCCCGAGCCTCCATATTACATACAGAGCCAGAGCTGTTCAATCTGACAGCAGTCGTGCTACCGTAGGCAAGTCTCTTCTATTTGATTCTTCTTCTCATATTATTAGCCATCATAAATACTCTGGTCTTATTCAGGAATTCCCGAGGACACTTGCTCGTGTGCTTTAGGTCATCTGCCTCAATATGTGTGACACTGGGTAGACATTTCTTTTGTTCCTTGCCGGAACTTTTAAGGCGGCCAGACCATGGCCAGACTCCAGAATCTCACTACTACAAAGTACCGCCTTTTAGTCACTCTGGGCACATCGTCATCCTGCCAGTTCCTCCCCCCCTCCCCCTTCTTATTAGCATCTACCACGAACTGCCCAGTGCTTTCGAAACCTCAAATCAATCCAAAGCACTGGGTTCTGATAACGCATAAAAGAACACGTCAAAGTCTGATGCTTCTTCCAACCATGGCTTCTATCGCTGTCGCCGCAAGGAAACAGCTTGAGAATCTTACGAACCTCAGCGGCCTTTTCCCCACAGATCCTCAGATCTAAGACAACGTACAATACATGCATGCCCAACTAATGCGGACCGCCAGTATGCCCACAGTCTTGCCGTCTCGAAATGATGGCGTCTGTCATCACCCGAAACTACAGTGGTACGAACCACTCGATGATTGGCAAATATTCTTGCAGCGTCTGCACAATGTGACTTTCCCACCAATAGCTTTCCGAACAACGGCAGCCCATGGAAGTGGGTTTCCATTACGGGTTTTTGCCCACATTCATAGCCTAGTTTATTTTATAGGCCGCTCAAGGAAATCTCTTTGTCTGGCTGGTTGGCCACGCACATGTGAAGTTTCAACTTCGTATAAATTCACCAAGCATGCCACTTGTACGGTGCTTCCCAATGCTTGAACGACACCTTGAGACTGTCCCAATCACGACTCGTCCTGGGATGAAAAAGGAGATGCTATTTTTGACATGTCACGTCTAGACAGCATTGACCTTGCTGTGGATCTTAAGACGATACAGCTTCACATATATGATGTGGCACACTTGACGTTGTACTTTACTCTTTCGGGGTCGTTTTGAAGTCGCAATACCTGGGGTACGCTAATTTGGATCCGGCAGTGCAAAACGTTCTCGAACGAATGCAGAACGTAAGATACTTTTTGGACGCAACCTCGCTGTCCTCGTACCTGGTCGACCTGCGAAGTATATGCCGAAGCTGTGATACGACCAAGTTGATTGCGTTTCTATCGCATTGGCCTTGTTCTGGTCGGGGTCGACCGTGAAGCAGGCAGATTGAATCAAAATCCAAGGACGGCCGTTGAAACGCCGAGTTTGTGCGCTCTCATTCTTAGCACAGAACGGTCAAACCACTACAAAGCTCATTTCAATATCTAAGAGAGCTGGTGATCGACAGCAATCCCGAGGCCGCAATTTCTCCGCCTAAGAGACCCGTGTTCTCTTTCATGCAGGCTACTCAAGAGAGAATCCCCAAGATAGCTATTCCATTAATGCCTCGATGTGAGAAGGCTGGCGAAGCAAGCACCCTGCACAAGTCCGTCGTTGCGGACATTTTCAGCTGAAGTTGGGTGATCGCCGGTCAGCTCGAATCTCTCGGGTCCAACCGAGTTGTTCGACTTCTAGTACAAGAAGATAAGATGCCTTCAAATGCTCTGAACGATATAGCCGGCGACTGCAACTAGACGGGATGATGTTGCAGGGCTGCAAATCCCTGCCTCTGTTGGCCTTGCTTCGGAACGATGCCTAGCCAATCAAAGGATCTGGCGACATCTGAACCAGGGGCAAGCAGAAATCTGAAACGCAGCTGCACATGACGCGATATGCGAGCCTATGCCTGTGGCCAGCCATTGCATGCTTCGGTTTAGCTGCTTTTCACTGGCATTGATAAACCACCGCCAGTGCAAGAGCCTTATCACCAAAGCGCTCGCACATGCCCAATATGCGAATCTCCTCCCGATTCTTCGTGTTCTTTGCATGCCTTGAACTTGCTTTGCTCACCACCGATACAAGAATGTAGCCAGCATTGCCCGCCCGATAAGCGGACACAGTAGTTCGTGCTCGTATGGTATCCGCCCTCCCTGTCGGGCTAATGGTTTAGCATCCATCACCCCTATAACCGCGGGAGATCGGCTCCAGAACCTCGAGACTCACAGACCCGCAGCTGATGCTCATAACAAGATGTTAAACCTATATTTATCTCTTGCACGGTGCACCTGCTACCTCCTGGGGCATGTTGTCCTTCATGCATAATTGAAAGCTCCGCCGGGGGAGTACCTGTCCTCAAGCCACTATCAGCAATGACGTCGTTTCGCAGCAGGAAGGAAGCCTTGGTTATCGTCTCTGCCTCAAAGGAATCCGAGGGCGCATTCGTTTATGCGCAAGATTTACGCGATGCAACCAGATCAACGCAACACTTCCAATACTCATGGCTATATTTATGCCACGGGATTGAACTGCTTGCTTTGCCTTGAGTTGTACACATCATGAACGCTGTTCAGATAGCAAAACACAAGCATTCGTTTTCAAGTACCTACGTACCTCGCATTAGCCTCAAGTGGCTCGTATGCTCAAAATACAACAGCAGGAGCTTGTATTGCTGCATATGTCATGTGTGGGGTGAACAGGTTAATTTCTACATCCGCCGATATATCGTGAAGCATGCAAATCGCCGGGCTATGCTCGGCAACCGTGAGCAGTCTAAGGCTTTGTATTGTTTGGCGCATTTGATAATGTCTGCTTTTCCTTACTTGATCTCCAGCACCGCTGGAGCGTTCGCGACTGAGTAGCGAATTATCTCAACGTGTTTTTTTGGGGGACATTTGCTCCAAACAGGAAGAAGAAACAGTAGGCTGAAAACTCAGCGGCCGGTGTGAAGTACAACAATTCTAATTCCGCGCATTTGAGCAAATTCTCAAGTACTCCATAGGCCTGTGCCTATCCTCCATTACCAAATGCGTCCCTACATGCTCGCTTAGCGCTGCTGCTCTCTTGTGATCGGGATCTTGTTTGGCCAGTGATTTTTCTATAGCCTATGACAGTGGTCTGGATCTTTCATCCTCATAAGAGTTTTACACAAGTGGGCAAATCACGAGGTCTTTGCGCTGGCAGCCCTGCGGATTGCTTGAAGTTGCAATTCGTTGGGGCTTATGTCCAGCAACACTGTTTCTGCAATGTCATATCTCGTCCTCGAACATCCTCGAAAAAGAAAAGGAAAGAAAGTGCCCAGAATCCCAATCTACCCCATGGTATAACCCTAAGCGCCAATGTTGTTTGATGCCATTTCCCGGTTACTCCTGTGACAAAAACAAGAAGGAGAAGGAGAGGAAAAAGGAAGAAGGAAAAGGCTTCCCCGCCTCCACCTTCAAAAGAAAGCCGCGCCACCGATCATGCCGACCTCGGGACAGTACTTCATTATCTTGGCCATATTGCCCTTCTGCCACCTCATGGGCTGGTGGAACCCAAGCGGCATCTCCTCGGACCAGACCGTCTCGACGGCGAACCTCCTCGCGACCTCCTCGCCGGGCAGGTTCGCCCCGGGCGTCCCGTCCGCCCGCGCCGGCAGCTCCTGCATGCGCGTGTACAGCCACTGGTCCTCGAACTTCATGTTGGCAGGGGCGCCGGGGACCTCGCTGTCGGCAGCCCAGCTGTGCCGGCCCAGGATCTCCAGGACGAGGGCGCGGCTGCGCAGGCTGAGGCCCCCGTTGTAGCCCTGCCCGTAGGCCCGGTCGATGGGCGCCCCGATCAGGTCCCAGCGCAGGAAGTCGTCGACGCGCTGCGGCGACGCCGAGCAGACGATGCTGTCGTCCTGGAACATGAGCACCTTCTCGTACGGCGCCAGGTCCTCCCAGATCCACGCGTCCGTCAGGAACAGCGACACCGCCCGGTGGCTGCTCAAGGACGCCGTCGAAGGCAGGAACCGGACCTCGATGCGGCCCTCGTCCACGGCCCGGCGGAACGGCGCCGACACGCTGAGGTTGGCCGCCGTCGCCGGCACGGTGTAGAAGATGATGGGCCACTCGGGCCCGAGCACGCTGTGAAAGTGAAGCATCACGGGGATCAGGTTCTCGAGGGGCCGGTTCTCGATGATGACTGCCACGCGGTCCGTGTGTTTCTTCACTCCGGGTAACGTCGTAGTGGTGGGGGTGGTGATTACTTGCTTTGTTGGCTTCGGGGACGCCAGTAGTGATGTTGGCGTGGACGGGATGTTGTTATTGGTGTCACTATTACTATTGCTGCCATCTTTGAAACTGGGCGAGCCTATATCACTGTCCACTGGGATGCTGACGTCTATTGTCTCCTGGTTGTCTTGTGGTACTATTGTTACCGTGTCTCCATCATCGTTGCGCTGGTGGGGTTGGTGTGTAAGTCGTTGCCAAGAATCATATAGCGCGGATTATACGGAGAGGGGCACTGCTTGACAACAGACGGACAACTTACATGGAAACGAGAGAAACCAGCTAACAGCCAGAAGAATATGAGCAATGTGAAGGCCTTGATAACCGCCGGCTTACTGATACCCAGGGACGATCCAGGAAAACTCGGGGACGTAGGTGACGATGAAGATGGTGGAGGATACATCCTTCTATAAGAAAAGGAGCAAAAAAGAGTCAGGGTATATGAAGACAAGTGTAACACTACAAACTCTAGGAGGGACAGAGACACGCAAGAAGCGTCCAAATCAAAAGTTCTAAGTGCTCAACACAGACGAATCATGAACAACGGGGGATGTCAGGCGCACAAAGGAATAACGCTTTACACGCGGAAGCTGGCAAGAGATTCAAGAAAACAAGCATGGTGAGAGAGGGACCAATGCGAGGAAGAACGAAATGATCGAAGCCCAGGAATCCACCCCTCAGCTCCCTCCCTGCACGCCGTGTATGTCGGTTCATCCGGCGATAGTCATATCTAAAGCGAGCGAGACCCCGTACAACAACCCTCGCAGAGGATCAGCTACGTTCTACTCCAGGGTCTCAGACACAAAGCGAACAATTTCGACTAGCTTCCTGTTGGTGCACCATGGGCCTTTACCAAGTCGTACGTACCCTTAGCGCCATTGATGTCTAAGACTTGTATTTTTATTTTTTTAATTGTCCCTCTCTGGCCTGTGCGCCACACTCTCTCTCATCTTACAGGTGTCAACATTATTTTACTTTAGCTGAGTCAAAGTCAGTGTCATGCTACCTTCTCGAGTACGAGGCAGTTTCATCGATACCGGCTGATGGCGATCGGATGAGAGTCGGGTTGCGAACCTGGTCGAAGGTCCATGCACAGTCCCATCATCATGGATCCAGAGGCCACGCAGTCTTGGCGCTTCGAGAATAGATGTCCCCACATCGGCCGCGCAACCTTGTTGCGTAATTGTACATGCGAGAACCGATCATGTAAAGCCAGCCCCAGGGGCGTTTTCGACTTGCCAGCACGTGGAAATTATTATTCAAGACAGAGCCGTTGTCAAGTTTGTTCATGCTTTGGCTTAAAGTCTGGCAGAAGTCTTAGAGTTTGGGACCCGTCTACTAGTCGTGTTGTGAAACAAATGAGGTCGATCGTGGAGACCCAAGTTTACAGGCCACGGAGCTGATTGCCAACGAGTTTTTCCTGGTATAATACGAATTTGCCTTGACAGTTACAAGATATCTAAGTGTGAAGCTGGTCGTATAGCACGGAATACATGGAACACTTGGGTAGGAGGTGAACGGTAGAATTCATGTGATTATGGGTCTGTGACTTCATGATCACTGACTGAATATCTTCTGGGTATCAAAACTTCCTATGCTTGCGTGATGCATGTGTTATCCACAGTGTCCCTCAAGATATACACCGACTCCAATATCCCAAAATGTATTAAAAGTTTCGCGGGGCCGCCCAATCAATGGGGAGCGGGAGCTTCGGTATATGCCTATAATGCCCATTCATTTTTATCGTCGTCCACCGCGATGAAAGGCTCATCGATGCGCTTGATAGCATATTCGCTACAAAGAATACTGAACGCAGAGTTAATACTGAAAACGGACGTCTCTAGCAAGGGAGATTAGTCGGAACGACTTACCATGCTGACGCAACAAGTGCATCCAACTCAGCAACCATGGCATCCTTCTTCGAGCCACTGACAAGCCCTTTGCTAATCTGGACCTGGCATTCCTTTATTCTTTTGCTTCTGCCGACACCAGCCTGTTTCAGGACCTCCTTTCCGAGACAGTCAGAGTGAAAGGCGTGCTGGCAAGGGAAGACGAAGAACTGCCTGCTCAACAAAGGGAGAGCACAAACATAACATTTCTCGCCAGGCTCCACAATTGCGTATCGGTGATCTAGGGCTGCGATATCGATCTTAATGTTTGCCGCTGTTTGTGAGCTCTCATCCATCTCTTGCTTAAGACCGTCAATGTTGCGGCTATAATCTTCTAATGCATTACAAATCTCGTCTTTGAAGTCGTCTATGACAACAAAATCCGGGAAGAACGGGATCAAGTCTTCTATTTTCAGCAGATCGCACCTCTTGAGGAAGTCGATCGCTGTTTTGATGCCGTTAGATTGCGAGATAACCTTCTTCGCTACCGCTAACCAAAGCTTTTTGCGAAGCGCCGGGTTGTCCATTGGCCTGTCTGCAATGATAGACGCATACTCTATTTCGTTGTGTGAAAGAGCCAAGTCGACAGCCTGAACGTATTGTCCCATATTCGTATAGATGTGCACACAAGCTAACGTACGCTTATGCTGTATGCAGAGCCGCAGGGCAAAGTCGGGATCGAATCGAGGCTCATCACCTTGAGACTCGAGATAGCTGAGAAAGCCTGATTCATCTTTATTCGGATGCGATGCATATATGGACACTAGAGTGTTGTGAACTGCGGCGTCCGATGAGTTGAGTTGGTTGATAACATATTGCAGATATCGAACAGCTTGGTTTTGCACCAATGGACCGGAAAAGTAGCGGTCATAATCCAGTAATGCAGGTATGATGTTGCGCGGCTTTAGGTTGGGATGCCTCATCATGATTTCGACCAGTTCGTGGCCGACATGTGTCATTAAAACACTACTATACTTGTAGAAAACCTCGGGGTCCGTCTGCTTCTTGAGGACATTCAAAGCCTCGATCCACCGCTCTCTTTGCACCCAGTAAGAGAGGACAAAGTTATAATCATTGACGGCATTTGCGAAGAACAGAAGCTCTTCTTCTCTGGCGTGGCTGCTGATGACGTCGTATATTGTTTTGCTGTCGAGGTCCGACTTGTGCTTGTTCACAAAGCTCTGAAACTCTTCTCGAATCGTGCTCAGTTGCTCTTTTGACTGATCCGTGTTAAGGTTTTCCACCAGCTCAGCTTCGGTTTTGATGGTGTCCTCGAGAGAGTTGAGCTTTGCCATGAATATTTCCACCAGCCAAGTAGCGATCATGGTTCTCTGCATAGTCTGTGCCTTTTTGTAGCTCATGAGCTTCGTGAGGAGATACTTCCGCAATGCATCATTCTGATTGTTGTCGATGAATGCAAGGGCGACCTCTTCGAAGGGTTTGCTGCTCTTTCCATAAACGCCGGCGGCCTCTATAAACTGGCCTTTGGCCGCTAAATAGTCCCCGGAAGCCATGGCAATGGCGTCTTTCTGTGCGGGGGTGTGTGCATAATGCAGGGCCTGGTCGAACTGCTGTCTCTCGAGCATTATCCGCCAGATGTCCCTATCCTCTTCTCTGACAACAATCTCAAAGATGTTCGTGGCTGTGAATAGCCAGAATGTGTTTTTCTGCTGGTCCACGTAGAGGCCTAGTGCTTTCTGATCTGCGTCGAGGACGACTTGGTCATATATGATCGAGCCAGTTAAGCGGTTGGCAGCGACTACGCGCCTACCGACTAAACTTATGATATGCCACTGAGTTAATATGGCTGCCTCAATGACTTCTCCCGACGCTTTCTTTCGACCTGAGGTGTCAGATGAGACCAGCTGAGATCTGGGCAGCAGCTTTGATTCGCCGTAGACTTTCGACCCCAGTTCCGCGGTTGCGGGCGTCGTCAGCAACTTGCCATGATAGACACCAAGCGAGGAAAGCCAAGCGAAAGCCCTTTCCTGCGCTACCTCATCGTAGGCATTCGTAGTAGGAGTGTCAGGCGTGACAGCCAGACTCGAGGGTGCCGTCCCCGAGCCTCTGGATAGTTCGTGGATTGTAGGTTGTTCTGCGTCGAACAGCTTGGTATATATCGAGCCGCTTCCATCGTGGTGATGACGCCCGACCTTGCCGACGAGATGAAACAGTCTATTCTGTGTGCTTATGACCACCCTCCTAATGTCGGTTTTGCCGCCCACATTGTCCACCCATAAGCCTGTGACGGGCCCGTCGGGGAGCTTCTGCAGGACCTTGAGGTACTTCTCCTCTTTTCTGTAGAACTCGTTGGTGCTCTCGATGAATGTCTCGTATATGTTGCCGTCGCTGGCGCCGATCAACATCTCCCTCGTGGATGCGGTGGGGAGACTTGGGTTCCAAGCCACGCTCTCAATGGTAACACCACGCAGACGTCCCAGCGGCCGCGGCTGCCGACTCTGCGAGTGCAGATAGTAGTTCTCGCCCAGGCTGGTGGCGATGATCAGATGCGAGGCGGTGGGATCGAGGAACATGCGGCGGATGACACCGACCTCGGACGGGCGCTTGGGCAGGTCGATGTCGTCGATGTCCTCAGGGCGGTTGAGGTCGATGCGCAGGATACGGCCGTTGGAGAGGGCGAGAACCAGGACATTGTTGGCGACCTGGGCGGCCACAAAGTCAGCCGCGATGCTGAACTGCAGCTGGACGGGGTCGACATCGAAGATGGGCAATCCACCAGCCCCGTCGTCGAGCGAGAGGCCGGCAACACCATTCGTGGCGGCAGGGAAGCCGTTAGTCCCGTCTAGAGCCATCCCTTTACTCCTTCAGCTGTGCATGTCGGCAGTCGATTTATAATATGGTTTTCGTCGCCGTGGAAATGTGTGACGACCAAGCAGCAGCTGAGGCGCAGTAGCTTTCCGAGCTGTTGGAGCTGTTGTTACCTTGGGCTGCAGACGTGCTGAGTGAATGTTGGGGTACGGGGTAGCAGCGGAATGTCTAGCCGGGGTTATGCACGTATTGAGGGCCGGGTTGAATGACATGACGTAACTTACTATACTAAGTAGGCAAGCACTTTTGTAGCTATATGATTTACTTCAACCCGTGGTAATTTTACGATATTGTGAAGAGTCTTGTCAAACTCCCAGTGACGTCTATTGTTCCCGAGCCACGTAATGTCCCTTGTTCCCAGTCGGCTTTATGGCATGGTTTGACTCATGGTTCAGAAACCATCTTATTCTGCACTTCCTAGCCCAAGACCAAACAAGTGATACAACCCAGCTCCGAGAGAATTGATTTTATTATCCATTCTCCAGACTGATGCTATGCAGGTTCGGATTGTCAATACAACCCATGCGCGGCTCACTAATTCTTCAATTCCCGTCTTCTCTTTCGATGTTGCTATATGCGGGCCTACACTATGATCATCTCGGCCGATGGAGAATGCTACGGATCAGGCTTGCAGGGTACCTTGCGGGCTATATTCTACTTGTTAGACATACAACAGTTACCAATGACGAGAACCAATAGGCATCGGTCGTAGCTGTGTACTGAGAATGCATCTCAATGTCCCAATCAATGCTTGCGTGGGAATACATGGACTCTCACTCCTTTGGAATCATTCCTGGGTTCACTGAGAAAACAATCTACAGCGTGGTCGACGTCCCTCTCCCGAATCACGTCGTAGAGCTCGAGGTCGAACCGCCGGAATACCTTCGCCAGGCCTATGTACATCTCTGCCCAAGCAAGACTTGGCAAGAGAACTGTCAGTCCAGGGGTTTTCTGCTCCACAGTGAGACACTTACTTCATTCCGATGCAGTTTCTGTGGCCTCGATGAAATGGCACGAAATGACGGTTGTTTTCGGCAAGGTTTGGGTTTGATGGAAGCCAACGTGTCGGGTCGAAGCTTGCCGGACTCGGAAACGTCGCGGCGTCCATCATAAGCTCTGCAAGTGTCATGCTCACAGGTGTCTGGCGGGGAGTCTTAATTCAGCTGCCCAAGGTCGAGTAGGTAGGTGATTATGTGATCTTCGCTTACATTTGGGGGTATGGCCCAGTCCTTGTACCGCAGCCATTCTGTCGGTGCTATTAATGGTGCCCTAGATGTGATGAGGGCTGCGATCCGCAAGGATTCCTTGAGCACGGCCGTCTTTATGTGACAAGCACTTATAGTCAGTTCAGAACATGTCTTTTGCTTCGACTACAGATTGTAAGCGTTTACTTACAAACCATTGGAGCTGCTCGAGTTCCGCGAGTCCCACCTCTGAGTTGGGACGAGGCATCACGGTCTCAAGCTCTTGCCTCAGCCGCTTAAGATGTGGCGGGTTGGCGAGCAGGTGGTATATCGCAGTAGTCATCGTACGGCCTACCGTGTCCCCACCCCCTGTGAGAAGTGCGAAAGATTCCTCGGCCATCCGGTCGGAGGTTTTATCCAGTGCCGTCAGATCTGACGAAAGTATCGTGAAGTAAAGGTTCTTTGAGTCTCTACTAGAGGCGTCTTTCTCTTTCTCATAACGGCGAGTCTCAGACCTGCTCTGGGCCTGCATGTCCTGTATGCGTGCGGGTTTACGTTAGTCTGCCCACAAACGAAAGGCGTAAGAGTGGGAGAGCAGTCAATCATGGGTGCCTTACCTTGTGGATACTCAGCACTCGGCCAAGTCCCGGCGAGATCACTTGGACAAGATGGAGAGGCAACTTCAATACATGGGGCATTAGCCAGTAGAGCTGCCTAACTACAGGCGTCATATACAGCAATTGTACAATATTCCGCCGCCAATCCACAGCACGGTCCCAGTTGATGAGAAGATTCATCTCACCGAACTCGGGCAATACAATGGCGCAGACCAGATCCGTCGAGTACGCCAGCACGGGCACCCGGACATTGATGGGCACGCCGTCGCGCCTGGCCTTCTCAAAGACTTCGCAGAAAAGCTCGGCCTTGCGCTGCACCAGGTCCAACTTCCCGATGATGGCTTGGCGCGAGAAATAATTGGCCACGGCGCCGCGCCGGCGGCGGTGCATGTCGTGTCCCAGCGTGCCAAACATGGCCCGGGGTACGCCTTGCACGTAGGCAGTGGGAGCGTACTTGTCGCGCTGTGCAGAGCCTCCGGCGTACAGCATGGGAAAGAACTCCGGGTCGCTTACGTGCAGCTCATGGGGGTTGATACGCACGATGGGCCCATAGCAGGCATGCATGCGCTGGATCTCCAGACTAAACGTCGTTATGATTGCCGCCTCCCCCAGGGCGTTGCTGGCGCTGGCACTGCTGAGGTGGCGTAGGATCACGTCGACGTAAAACTCGTACCATCCTGTGAATGCGGTAATTTTGGGTCCAGGGAACCTGGCAAGGGGATGGAGGGTTAGGCGGTAAAGACCCAGAGCTATGGTATACAAGAGACTGACTGAGATCAGGTAGGTGAGTAATGATGATGCGGAACAGCCCCAAATATTGCAAACCTGACCGGGCCAGCTAGTAGGAAGTAGCTTTGTCATTTCTGCGGATCATCACTTGACGACAGGCGTGATACTATTTAAACGACCTCCTCAGCTTCAGGACAAAGACATAAGCGATGTCCTCATTGTTGCCTGTGGGGCGTGAAATGACTTGACCCAAATTGCACAAGATGAAAGAACCTATGAATCCTATGAGGGGAGGGGAGACGGAACTTTGACAATTTTTTGGGAACGTGGACGGGCTCTCAACGTCTGGGTACTTTGCGCACTATGAGCTGCACGGCTTACTCTTCCGTGTTTATGGATCCTTACTAGACGTGCCGTGACGTGCCGATCGTGGAGATCTAAAGACTTATATGTACCCTACCGTCTGCATATTAGATATACCTTGGGGCTAGAATGGACACTGCAGGTATAGATGCCCAGAAAGACGGACTTCATCACCCAAAAGGGCGTAGCGCGTGCAGCAGCAACCAATGGGACCCCAAGTGATATCACTATGCAGAGCCTACATCCAGAGATGAACAAATCGGTAGTTTGTGGCCGGTAAAAGACCATAAGCGCTATATTCTCCCGGCCAATGGACGACCTCATGCCAAGTCTTTGTGGTCTTCCGGCGCAGCATCTATACAAAGGGTATTGTGTCGTCTTCCTCTACCATCGATCCCGTGGGGGTACCAGCTGAAGACAAAGATGCCTGACGAAGTCTCACCACAAGAAGAAAAGGAGAAAGGAGAACCGCACAACCAGCCGGCTTGCTTCTCGTCAGGCCCTGCCGTCGCACACAAGAATGGAGCAACTTTCTGCGCGAGAAGGTATACTTGAAGCCCTGGATGGGCGAGAGTTCCGCATTGCAGACCTCTCCGCGTTATTTTCAAACTGGCCCCAGACCGTTAGCCCTTGTCTTGATGAGTTGCGTGGCCTGATACCCGAGATATTGATGAGGTATATGTTGCCAACTAGACTACTTTGATGTAATGACTGAAAATAAATGACCAGTCTCACGACCTCTTCTGAGAAACTTTTCAAGCTGAACAAGGCCGATTTTGCGCTCTTCGCAACTTCGTGGTGGCCGGACGCGCCATTGGGGAGAGCTCATATCCTGGCCTGTCTTGTTGTCTGGGTGAGAAGTCTAAGATCTAATAGGAGAGGTAGAGGCTAATCTAGGCCAAGCTTTTTGTATGGGACGATGGCAAGTAATCACGACTTTGAGCTTGCTCCGATATTCGCTACTGACAACTCCCAGAGATTGATGCCGAAGTTGGTACTATGGCAAGAGACTTGAAGGGGGCTCAGGAGTTCCGCGACGAGACGACCGAGTTTATGAGGCAGTACCTCGGGCTCTGCGAGCCAAAGGTAAAAACACCACGCAGCAGGATCATCGCCTTCTTCAAGGTGATCGGCGACGCCGCCTGCGAAACGTATTCGCTCGGTATGTTTCCCTCGCTGTGCTTGGCTCGCCTTGGTGAGGACTGTTCACTAATCCCCAAAGCCTTCAGGACACCGCAAGCTTCTTTTCAGCGAGCTCGAGTTCTTCATGAAGACTTCAGAGCTGGAACAGAGACGACGTCTGAGGGTCGATCTGCCCACATTGGATGAATATGTATCGTGCCGCATGGGAACAAGTGCCTGCAATGTCACGACCTTTTTCAACGAGTGCGCTCTCCCCTGGGCGTGTGTCGTAATTTGAGGGACAGCGAACAGCTCACAAGCGTACAGATTTTCCATAGGAGTCACTATACCGGCGCATATACTCACGAGCCCTAGCATGCGGAGGCTATGGGATGCGACCAATACCATTATCTGGGCGTGAGTACACTGTTGAAACGAAGTCATTTCCGTCGCCATGGTCGCTGACTGTCGACAACTCATTTGTTTAATCCAGTGTCAACGATCTGCTCTCCTTGAAGAAGGAGGTGGTAAGTGCATACCAACTCACACAAAGCAGAACGGTGACCCACATAGCTGACAGGATGGCCGAATTAGGCACAACAAACAGTGGATAGCCTGTTGCCATTGCTCTTCTACCAATACGGAGATCTGGAAAGATCGGCCCAGACGGCCATCGACCTCATCGCAGCTAACGTGGCAGAGTTTGACATGGTCGCGGAGAGGCTGCTGGAGAGGTGGCGTACGGACGACATCGCCGACTCCCTGAGATTATACATCGACGCTTGCAGATACAACTGCACTGGGAATTTGCACTGGAGTCTACGTACTGGGCGGTACGGAATCCACCAGGAAGCCATATCGAAGGGTATTATCGTCCGTCTCGAGTCGAAGATCTAGTGTATCCCTTATTACGCACTATACTCCCGCGACCGCGCCCTTTGGATGGTCCATAGAGGGTCATAGGTACTATTTATCTGGATCCAACTACATTCGCAAGTACGGTAATTATAGGGAATTTTACATGTCCAATACCATCAGATCACTCTTTTTTTAATTCTTAAGTTTTACTTGTTTATTAAAATTAAAGTAAAACGAGTCAACCATCCGTTCTTTGGTATTGTGATGCCGTTCTTGTTAGTCAGAAGCCAGCCTTTAATGTTTACAGAATACAGGCACAGTCAGCGAGTCTACAAGAGCGCAAAAGCTTACCAACTCTTATTTCTCATAACAGACCCTTTCTCAATAAGCTGTCTTCAGTTTATCATCACTCTGTGACATTCAGCTATTTGGCAGTTAGCAGCTCAAGGCCTTGAGATTTAATGGACGTACTGCGCCTTATGCTAGCTGTATGTATCTACGCAAGAGACCTGAGAAGCAGAAACTCTTCCCTAAATGTAATGAAGTGTGATCTCACCGAGGGAAAGGATGAGGTACGACGATGTGTCGCCTAGATGTGGAACGATGGAAAGTGCAGGTGGACAGCTTGAATTTACCGAGTGATAGATAAAACAGTCACCATCATATCCAACATAAGCTCTGCATATATCTCTCGAGGCAAAGCAGTAGTTCTCAATATATATTTGAATCAAATTCAAGTTATGATAAACATTTTATTAATATCAAGCGACAACATGGAGGGGAGCCAAGAAGAAGAACGCGCACAAATATACCAAAAACTCCCATTATATTTTGGGTATCAGCAATGAAAGTTGGCTTTGAGCTCTCCCGTCTTGCGTGGTTACAAGCAGCGTAATCTGTCGAGATATGTAACGTGCTCCACACGCACCGGGATATTTTCTTCGTCTTCTTTTCTTTTTCTTTTTCTCCTTTGAATAATCAGCTCGGGCCTATTTATGGCTTCGGACACTTCTCAGAATACCGGACTTGCAACTTCGCGAGTAGTATTGTCACCTTGACGAGCTCTGCTGTGCTTTTGTTTTCTCAGATACTGCGTGCATATTTTTGGGTCGTGTGTTAGTCGCAAGTCGAGGTAGTTCCTCGGCATTAAAGGTGTGACTGTCTTGGTCCTCTACTGCGTGTGCTTCATCCGCGCCAATGGTGCTCTTCATCCAGTTGACACGTTCAAAGCCTGGACTTTCAACTTATTGGCGCGGGGTTACATGGCCTGAATTTGCTTCATTCGACGTAGCCCTGTCTTGTGCTTCATATCCCGAAAGAAAGGAAACGTAGGATATGTTGTTGTCAGGCGTACTACCGCGCGTGTCGACATCCGTTGCGTCGTCCTTAGCAGTGGGTTGTGGCTCCCACTCGTGCGGTTTTCTTCCTGTAAGAACTTTAATCTGAACGTTGAGTCCCTCGGACATCTCTGGATCCAGAGCCATTTCTTTCAACACCTTTCTGAACTCATTTGCTGCAATATGCACATCTTCTGGCGTATACCCTTTGTACTTGCAGAGAAGCCGGAGAGCTTGTGCTTCAATGCTATCCAACAACGACTTCAGGAAAAGTTTGCCCGTCGACAATTCTTTGGGGCCTATCGGTATCCTTTTGGTAACCGATTTCACGTCGACAAAGCCAGCATCTCGAAGAAATTGAGGCTCCATATGGCCAACGCCAATTAAGTATCCTGACTCGATATGAGCATCTTTCCAGTCGAGCGCAATCTTGGCTGTCTTTGACTCTGAAAAGCCTGGTATGCGTGAGAAGTAATTGCCAGGCATCCACCTATCGTCGTCGTCCAATATTTCGATCCAGCCTCCTGGTTTACAGACTTTGAAGGCTTGCTGGTACACGAAAGGCCAGTCTCGAAAAGCGCCCGACATGTTACGGAAGTGGACCAAGTCGTACGAATCAGGCGGCCGTAGCCACTCGAGTTCAGCATTGTCGATCTCCCAGAACAAGTTAGGGGCAACGAACTTGGGGAAGATATCGGCGATGTCAATGCCGGTGACTTCGCAATCGGGATGTCGATCAGCTACATCAATGGCCCATTCTCCTGTGCCAGCGCCGACATCCAGTATCATCTGAGGATCCTCCAGCGGCGCGCTAAAAGGTTCGTCGTCGAACGCGCTCTTGTAAACCTCATGTACCAGAAAGAGACGGGTCTGTTCCAGTTCATCGTTGGGCATGTAATACGAGCCACAGTACCTCCTTCCATACTCCCAGATGTACTCTACATCGTGAGGGGCAATCGACCGAGTGGTAGCACCGTCGTCGTAAGATCCGGCAAGCCCACGGTCTCTGGACGGCCCCATGAAATGACTACATGGGTATAAAGACGTCGCGTCTTCGTTGGATAGGGTCTGTCCCGAGCGTTGGTTCACTCTCAGAGGAGCCTGGAGGCCAGTGTGTCCCATTTTTGCGTAATCGCTCGAATACTCGTCTACGGATGTCTGGTCGTCCACTTCAGGCATGTCCTCCATGATCGGCTCGTATGTGATTGTTCCTCCCTCGCGCAGTCCTGGCTCTATGGTGGAGCGGCTCAGTCTCTTCTTCTTTCCCATTTCCGCCTCATCAGCAGCACAGGGGGTCGCACTTGGCATATATCCTTGCGCAGTTTGGTCTACTTCGCATTGTCACGTAATTAGGTGAGTTGGTTCGTCAACACACGTGAATCGGTACAGTTGTAGTCATCGGTCGTGGCTTGTTGTCCGGCGTCGCGCAATGTCTTGAGTCTGCGGGCTACGAGTGTGACGAAGCTTCTTTCCCTCGTTTGTCCTTGTCTCAGCAGGTCATTGAGCCCAATTGCGTAAGTCGCACACTTGTCGCATGGGATGGATCTGAGACAAGGCAATATAGACAACCCCGCAGGTGCCTCTGGGGTTCGAGTGTTAAGGAAGGTGTGCAATCAAGAGCTCAAATATGGGCGTGAGTTTACGGAATTCGGAGTTGAAACCCCCAAGAAGCTCTAGAAAAGATGAGTTCGCGAGAGCCAACAGACTCGTTCGAGACCCCAAAGCTGACAACCACTACCCATTCGCCTGGGATGGCACGGTTACACCTGAAGCCAAGCTTTCTCTCCCGCCCTATCAGCGGGCACCCTCACCGAAGCGGCCTCCTCTGGGTCGATTAGTCCCAGGATCCGGGCTGCTGGGGAGGACCTCCGCTATTGGGTGGATGAAGCACGAAAAGCAAGTCTTAATGCACCCTACCTAACCAAAGGTCTTTGTGGGTATGGGCGCCATGTTATGTCAGACACTCTAGACGACGACAATATAGATGAGTGTGTCACCATTGACACCTGTGACAGCAAGACACCACAGACACGATTGATGCACCAGCAAAGGGGTGGAACATTTGTGTCTGGCCTATTATGTGGCTGAAATAGTCATATCTTAAATTTGCGTCTATGGTTGGAGCTACGAGTTAGGGCGGGGATCTAGCATTATTCCTCGGTCACTTGGCCATGATTCGAACCTTGCTCAGCCTTGAGAACAACGAGGTGCGAATGAGGTCGCCCATTAAGGTTAGGACAAGGTTACATTGCATGCCTGCATACCCAAATGTGCACGTGGCGTGTCTGTTCCGACGAACTGAGCCCTCAAACCCGGTTCTACGGCCGTTATGTTCAGAGAATATGCCGTGAATTACTGGTTGCTTCAAAGAATTACCCACGAAAAGAAATGCCCTAATACTTGAATATTGTGCTTTCTCACTGTGTCTCGCATATGCGGAGTAGTTCCTCAAAATAACTATCCGCAGAGATCGCCTCTGGGGGAATTTTTATCAACTCCCTTAACTCCCAAGAAACAAACATAGTATCATGATCGTACATCACCAACACCAAGCTCAAATTCAAACAGCTACAGCTGCATGCTTTCTGTTCGTTCCATTCGCTTCGTTGACAGGATTGGCTTTCCTCTTCTTTGCTGACTGAGGCCGCTCAGTGACCTCGGCATCGGGGTCTTGCACAACAGTGCTGACATCGCCGTCGCGCTTGACCACGGGGAAGGGGCTTAGAACGTTACTGATATCGCCCCACCATTTCTCTCCAAACTGCCTATACCAGCTGACGGTGATTTTCAAACCCACCTCAAATGGGGTCTTTTGGTCCCAACCCAACTTGCGGAGCTTGGTGCCGTCCACGGCATACCGGTGGTCATTGAATGGTCTGTCGTGTGTATACTTGACCCACTTGTCAAAGTCCGCCTTGCTCTCATTGGGGATGTCCATCTCCTTGAGGAGCTTGGAGCACAGGTCCATGTTGGAAATCTCATCGTATGATCCGACGTTGTAGACATGACCCAGCGTGCCCTTGTGCAGGATAGTGTCAAAGGCATCTGCCGCATCCCCAGCAAAGAGATATCTTCGCGTAGGACTTCCATCGCCATGAAGTACCACAGGCTGTCCACGATTCAACAGAGCAGTGAACTTGGGGATAATTTCTAATCATGGATTTAGTAACCATTTTCTCCGAAATTCCTGGGAAAGCCACCTACTCTCTGGGAACTGATGAGGCCCATATACGTTGTTACTTCTGACAATGATGACAGGCAACTTGAAGCTCTTCATATAAGAGTTGACAAGCATTTCTGCTGCGGCTTTGCTGGCGGCATAAGGGTTTGTTGGGGCCAGAATGCTCGTCTCCAACAGATCGTCATCATCGTCATTCACTTCACCATAAACCTCATCTGTGGAGATGTGAATAAATCGCTTAATGCCTACTTTCTTGGCACTCTCGAGCATCACATGAGTTCCATAGACATTTGTATGGGTGAACCCATACGAGTTGCCAAAACTCAGGTCCACGTGAGACTGGGCTGCGAAATGGAAGATGGTATCGATGTTGTACCGTTCCATACAGTCGAGAACCTCTTCGGGCTTTGTGATGTCGCCATGGTAGAACGTGAAATTTCTTTTGTTGTTGAGCATACGGGTATTGTTCAACGACGCGCAGTAGTCCAGCTTATCGAAAGAAACAATGTTGTAGGCATCCGGATAGGTCAGGGTCAAATGACGGACAAGCCAGCATGCGCTGCAATCTTGGTCAGCTACACCATCTTCATTTTGCAAAGAACAAGCTAAGGATGTCTCACATAAAGCCAGCTCCGCCAGTGATCATGATGTTCTTGACATCGGGTAAGGGCTCGAATTTAGTGCTGCCAGTCAAAATGGGTGCATCTTGCCAGACATCTGAGCTGCTGTAATTATACCCATTGCCATTTGTGGCGGCTGCCAGAGGTCTTGAGTCAGTAAACTTCCAGGATATAGGAACGAGGAGCCCCATACCAGGGTGGTTGCCATTGGTCTGACGTCCGGCGGTCATTTTGCCCAGTTAATACGGAGTATGGTGCACCTTGAAGTCTGGCTGCAAGAATGAAAAGAGACGAGAGGAAGATCCTTAAAGGCGAACGGGCAGACACTTAATGGTCAGAAAAAGATTCGTGGTCAGTAGAGCGGTAATTTGTGCAATTGCCTCAATTGAACCGCTTCGCCGCCACCCAGTTGTGGCTTTCAACGATAGGCAGTGTTTGTGCGACAATCCTCGGTTGCGACTTGGACAATCAAGGGCTGACGGTCTTGGAGTCCAGGTTATAGTTGCGATATGAAACACGTTTAATGATGAGCGGAAAATCACGAGTGAAGGGAGGTGAGAATTGGGGTGCGAGGCGGATGTTGTCTTATTTGAGTGACGTCTGACCAGATAGTGGGTTCAGGTTGGCTTTGAACGTGAGAGTCTGACACCCAGACAGTCCATAGGGAGCGCCGGCGTTCCCTCTTTTCTCCCGTTGCAAAAGTGGATATGAAGAAGAAAGAAAATGGTGCGGCTTGAGATGAACAAGATAACTGGGTGGCAATCAAAAGCAGAGCAAAATCAGGAAAAGGGTTGAATGAATAACTACTGCTTGTCCAGCCCGAAAGATTTGGTGAGGTTGGCCAAAGTCAATGGGCATCTTTTTCCTACTGTACGGAAAGAGCGTGCATGTGGGCCCATCAGACTCGGAGCCGCGTACGATTGTCAGGGCAAAATAGCACTGCTGCGCGGCCGTGTTTCCCGCTAGTGCTCCCAGCCTACCTTAACTAAAAGCCGGAAGTCGTGTCCATACAAGTCTGTGTTCTGCTGTCCATGAAGCTCACCATTATCATTGATTTGAAACCTGGTAGAACAGCATAACAGGCATTCAAACCATATTTTGTGCACATATTCTCAAAATGCTTGGCTTCCAAGCCGATCTACACATGGGCGCAGACGTTGTCAGCTGTTTTACTGCCGTCTTCCGAAGCAACGGCAGTCCGAAGCTCTTCCCAAACTTTATCGGTAACAGGGGGTGGTGAAGTGGAATGGAGTGGAATGCTTTTAGCCCAAGCATAGCCTCGTTACAACGATCTGGGAATGATCTGGAAAATGATCTGGAAAACGATCTCAACATGGATACGTGCCCGTACCATGTCATCGGCTCAATCGGAATTGTTGACTTGGTGGCACTTTGGTGATTTCCCATTCCTTGACATCTGGCGTTTTGCACTTTGCTAGCGGGTATGCGACCCTTGCCAAGAGATCTGGGGATGGATTACTATGTACTATGTACGGGCAGCCGAGCCAAGGGTGTTTGGAGGGGCAATTGCGTTTCAACCTGGGTCAGCTATGGGCACTTTATAGCACGTGGGATGATGGCAGAGCTGGATGGCAATGCTTCGTAGTTGTGATACTCCACCAGTGCTAATTCTGATACAAGTCCACATCACCAAGCTAGCCATGATTGACGTCGGCTCAGAAGGCGGTGCGCCAAGTGTGTGTGCAGATTGGCAGAATAGTCTAAACGCCGCGTAACCATTATCATTGTGCTTTCGTACGCATGCGGTTCAACAGATGGGCTATGTGATGTGTCGGGGCACCCACCATCTAACTAGTGATCAAATGACGTGCCTGGATTGGTGGCATTTAGCTATACAATTTCCACAAGTGGCTCCAATTGTGATGTGATACTCAGACTGTCTTGCAAGACATGATGTTTTGCTTTTTTTTTTTTTTTTTTCAAGATAGACAGGAGCAAACTTGCCGCTGTCAGCTCAATATGTCTGGTGTACGGGCCGGAGCCATATACCAAACAGTGTTATAAGGCATGGTTTGATGTGACAATGTCTCATAACTCGTGTATCTTGCGACTGTCAAATTTGTGTTGTAGATTGACGATGTTAGCCCACGCGCTGAGGAGCTTAATCCGATCTTCAATCGTGACGTACCTTGTCAACGTTACTTCCCGCAGGCGATGTGCTGTGTAATGTACACAACCTTATGAAGCCCAACCAAATTATTGGGCCTCGGTCCATGCTTGGCACCGAAACAAATGGTTGCATATAACCTATGGCGACCGAACTCTAGGGCTTACTCATAATTGTTGCTTTCGTCTAAAATAGCGACCACTTAGAGAAACGAATTGCTGGACCGCCACGGTCTCTTTCGTTTCGGTGTTCTCTACGAGACGCCCCGAACTGGAACTGTTCATTTCCAAAGACGCAGATCCCCTTGAGCTGCAAACAAGATTTGTGTCTGACTGTCTCGGGAAACAGTTCTTTGTATGTTCTCGAAGCTTGTGCTCCCGAGGCATGAACACCTAATCAAGTGATCAACTGGTGGGCACAAACGTTCCCGACGGCCACAACTATTTGCTTTGAGGGATTCATAGAAAACCACATAATAATCTTGGTATTCACGAAACTTTAGTAGTGGTAATTCTGAATGGGAACCCTGTGGTATTATGTGAGATGGAAGAGACGGCCTTGTCCAGGTATCCGAGTTGTACGATTCGTGAAGTTTTATATGCCTGACGCACGGCTGCCACCCCCCAATGCAACTTGATTGCTTGGCCAAACCCCCCCCCCCCCCCCCCCCTGTGTCCAATCGTATGCTGGACAGCGGTCGATCCCAAGTTCAGGCCTGGCAGTTGAGATCTGCAGACAATCCCGGCTGCAAAGCCACATGCAGATGACGGACCGTGGATGTAGTTTGTCTTGTGGCATTTGATTCTAGGAAATGCGGAGAGTTGACAAGCCAGTGGGTGGTCTCAATACCCAGGAGGGCCAATCTACGGTTAATTGAACGAGGAGATTGAATCCAATCAAACCATTGAATGCTAAATGGAATGTCTCTGTGGGCTTTGGCACGAGGCGACATAGACACTACTTCAGGGCTACACAGCAGAAATCCGAAGCAACAGGAAGGACTGGCCTGAAACTATAATGTTAGTATGTAGCTCGCGACAATTCGGTAGTGGGTTTCCTGCCGACGCTGCCGTTACGCCATCTGTGCCAGACTCCCTGCTCCCTGCTCGATTTGGGCGCCAGCTAGGCCAAACTCACAGCTGGAGGAGTGCGCAACCCCCCTTAGCGCCCCTCCCCAATGGATAAAATGCTAAACTAGGGGTACTGTGTTACGGTTAGGTATTTGAATTTTGGGCCGTACAAAATCCCTAGGTCCAAGTCCCAGACCAAGACAAGTGCCGTTTGGTTCCAAAAGTTACCTGCTGTACCTTCAATCCCCCCCTGGCGCTCGCCAAGTCTCCAGGTCACAGCGTCCCCAAGCCCCAGTGCATCTGTGCCATCACTTGGCTCTCTCGACGTTGAAATTATCGACATCATTCTGTCTCTGCAACGATTTCTGGGGCTGGACCACCATTCAGAGTGCTTTGCGCGGATTCACCTTCTCGGCCCGTTCTTGTTTGTTTGACTCTTTGGCTGTCAAGTACATAATCTCAGTCCCAATCCCAATGCGCGATTGAAGGGTCCTGGTGATCGATCTTCCTTCCCGCACCACCTGGAATCCTGCCAAGTCAAGTCACCTAAGCTGCAGTAAGCACTACTCCAATTTCGCCATGGCAGCCAACGTCTACAACAACAGCCCGCCGGCATCCAAGGCATCCTCCCCCGTTGTCGAATCCCACGACGAGAGCGAGAAGTACAAGAGCAGCTTTGAAGACCCGGACGGCGGCCGCATATCACAACACACCGCTGCCGGTGACCGAGACGGTCACGAAGAGGAAGGTCTGCTGGAGAAGGATGCTGTACCGCAACAGGCTCAGCCACCTACCAAGGAGGGCAGCGGCATGGGCAAAGCAGTCGTCTGGATGGTCATCAACACGCTGGCTACCATTGGTATAGTCTTCACCAACAAGGCCATCTTCTCCGATCCGTCCCTGAAGCTTGCCCAGCTGAGCTTTGCTTGCTTCCACTTCTTCATCACCTGGTTGACTCTCTATGTTCTTTCGCGACCCCAGCTCGGTTTCTTCCAGCCACGGAGGACCACCATTCGCGAGATCATTCCTCTGTCCATATCCATGTCTCTCAACGTCATCCTGCCAAACCTGTCTCTGGCTTTCTCGAGTGTAACGTTCTACCAGGTCGCTCGGATCCTGCTCACCCCTACTGTCGCCCTCATGAACTATGTCTTGTACAAGGCGACAATGCCGAGAAACGCAATTTTGGCTCTCATTCCCGCCTGTCTTGGTGTGGGCATGGTCTCGTACTACGACTCGCTTCCGTCCAACGATGCCAGCGTCAAGACGACGTCTGGACTAGGTGTCGTCTTTGCCTTTGCTGGCATTTTCGCTTCCTCTCTGTACACGGTCTGGATCGCCAGCTACCACCGAAAGCTGCAAATGTCAAGCATGCAACTTCTGTTCAACCAAGCTCCTGTTTCAGCTTTCCTGTTGCTCTATGTCATCCCATTTGTGGACACCTTCCCCGTCTGGTCTGAAGTGCCGATTAACCGATGGGTCATGATACTTATGGTAAGCCCACAATGGTCGCACGTTTGAACCAATCTAACCAACTTTAGTCTGGAGTGTTTGCCTCCCTTATCAACATATCTCAGTTCTTCATTATCGCCAAGACTGGGCCTGTCTCAAGCACAGTGGTTGGACATTTGAAGACGTGCACTATTGTTGCGCTCGGCTGGATGACTTCCGGCCGATCTGTGGGAGACAAATCCGTTTTGGGTGTATTTGTCGCTGTTGGAGGCATCATAGCGTAAGCAACGTCAACCATTAACAACCTGAGTGATTAGTGTTCACTAACGAATGCAGATATTCAATCGTAATGATCCAAGAAAAGAGGCGCAGTGGTGCTAAGGCTTAGCAGTACCTTCCCCTAAAGGCATCAATGGGAGTTACGGTGTTTTCATATGCATCATTTACAGGAGTCTTGTGGGACTGAATATACTTTAACATTTGTAAGGATCTTTTTGAGTTAAAAACGTAATGAGTGTCTGTTTCAAAGGCATGGCATTGAAATCAACCCGGTTATCCTGAGCCTGTCAACCTTGTATCAGGACGGTCATTTGCTACTTCTATGTTCTGGTAGTTACCGCCATTGCGGTTTGATAGTGTTGTCGGACAATAACCAAAACAAAACAAAAAGTTCAAGATACGCATGCAACTTTTCCAGTGGTAGTGCAACTGACTCTGTATTATACAAAGGGCCCAAGAGGCACTTGTTAAAATGTTAAAACAACGAAACAGTCATTACATTTTGTTACAGCGTTTCGGCGGCGGTTGATTGGATGCCACGAGCGTCCCTTTGGGTTGGGGTATACGTATGACTAAGCGCTGCCAAGAACATTTGGTCAACTATAAACGCCAACAACCAACAACCAACTGATAATAGTCAGAGGGGGAGACAGAACCTGATGGGGTTTTGGCCACTGCAAGGGTCAATTCAGTTGGTCGCACAGAAAGTGGCCTGTTCACAAAGAAGAAATTGCATTGTCCCACCAATGTTTTCAGCTGGAATTTTCATTGAGACAGTATCGTGTTCCCTTAGTCTCGATATTTTGCCAGGAACGTACTTGGTGAGGGAAAACTATGGCGTTATTCCATCTCATTCAAACCCCTTGCATCGTGGCGTACACGCGTATAGTTAACCGGTGGGGCGGTAGTCGTCAGCTCACAGCCCACCGGACGAATACCGAGAACCCACTCTAGCAAAGCGGTCGTCCTTGAGGTAGTGACTTCAGTATTCCACTCTTTGTTCACTCGCCCGGGCAATTTGATGCCATGGCGGTCATCACGTCTGGTCCATATTTGCATCTACTAGTCTTATGCGTGTTTGCCTGCATCCTCATACCGGCTCTGTCCCTCTACGGTCAGACCTCGTTTGAATACAGTAAAGGGGTCGGTTCTCAAGTCATAGGGGCCGTCACATCACATATCGATAAGTGGAAGAACCCTAACAAAGAACCTGGGGTTCGCGATGAGTACCTAGCCATCTGCCTCGCTGTCAGGGACCAGGCTCTCGACCTGCCCGAGTTCCTGCAGCATCACTACCACGCCATGGGCATACGGCGCTTCTATCTGCTCGACGACGGCTCGAGCCCGCCGCTCGAGGACAGCCTCGATACCTATGGCGTCCCCGCGGAGGCCGTGACCTTCGTCTACTACGACGAGACGCAGCGCGTCGGCCAGATGCAGTACAAGCTCTACAACGACTGCGCGCACAACCACGGCGTGAACCACACCTGGCTGGCCTTCATCGACGCGGACGAGTTCCTCGACACGCCCGGCGGCGAGCCCCTGGAGTCCGTCCTGCGGGGTCTGGAGCGGGACCGCGGCGAAGAGGTCGGTGCCCTGGGCATCAACTGGCAGATGCACACGTCCAACGGCCAGCTGTTCCGCGCCGCGTCCGCCCGCGAGGCCTACACGCAGTGCATATACGACGACCCCGAGCACGGCGGCGACGGGTCTGACAACCGCCACGTGAAGAGCATCGTCAGGGTCAGGGACTACGTAAGCCCCATCAACCCGCACATGTTCCGCTTGGCCCCTGGGAAGATCACGGTCGGGGAGGACGGGAACAAGATCGACCACTTCGCCTTCAGGCAGCCGATCACGAGGGATAGGCTGAGCCTGCACCACTATGCTGTCAAGAGTAAGGAGGAGTACGAGGAGAAGATGATGAGGAGTAACGCTATGGGCCAGCCCAAGGATTGGGCGTTCTGGAATCATGTTGAAAATGAACTGCCACATGTACCCTGCGAGGATATGTTGAGGTGGGTAGGTTAGATTACCATGACCACCAATGTCATTAGATGCTCTTACGAATGGGATATTTGAGGCTCGAAAGTGAATGCTGTCATAAGACTGCTGTATCCAATGCAAGATTCCATCTTGCCAGGGGGTTTGGAGCCCAGCTATTTGGAAGCAGAAAACCGAACACTCTTCCAGGGTCTTGCTGAAGTCCAAGGGGCGGATTTCCGTATCAGTGAAGTACTGTCATAGGGTAGGGTCCTGGACACCTCCACCTATCAGTCACATTCGCGTGTACATATCCAGAGCAAATAACTTTGCCTCCTCAATTCTCTTGGCAGTGACTACTGTTCAACATTTATTTATTTGAAGGATTAGTTGTATGTTCACATTGACTACGAAACCCGAACGACAAGAACTGTTACCCGCCGGCATCATAATTCTGACCGGGTCTATTTTACGGGACAATTCATACGTCCGAAGACGTTTTGACAGGTCGGTGAAGTGGCCGAATTTCGACAGCTATTTCGTACGTCGGGCAATTGTACGACTTGCCAGTCTTAAATACCTATGATAGGTACTAGCATCCCCGAACCAAACTCCAAATCACGACTACAAAATCTTTGTATAGTGTAAAGAAGCGCTCTTGATCGCCTTCTCACCATATAGCAGCTGAGTGACGTGGTTGAAACGTTGCATACTCCAATACATGGACTCGGCTCCGAGCATATGCCCGGCATGCTCATAGATATGGTCGATCAGCATCCCCACCCGTGCCCCTGGGTGCGGACGCCCAGGATCTGGGAACATGATGATAAATTCCACCGAGTGAAAAGCGACACGCGTCACCTTTCCCGTGAGGATTCGGGTATGTAGTCAAAGCCCCCACTCCCCTGGTATTGTCATGGACGTGAGGTCTACTGATAAAGCAGTATGATGCATATGCACCCAAGCGCAGCGCAAACGGCAACCGGGCTTCATAATCTAAAGAAGCCTCAGCATAATTTTACACTGCTACTGGGGTTTCTTTAAGACAGACCCTGTAGATGTAGTTGTAGCCCGCCTAGAGCTCGCGCTATCGGGGACTCATCTTCTTTCCAGATGGAACGGATTGCGATTGTCACCATGTTTGCAACGTTTAGTTGATGCGTCTGATGGTGATAATGATGGTGGGGCTTACAACTTTGGTGCTCAGCTCACTGTAGGACATCGCAATCTCCGCAACTTCAGGTACCTACTGGTAGGAAGGCTGTATAAGATTGAGACATTTACGACGCAGCGTCCGCGAACAAATTGAGATAAATCAGATATTGCAGCGAGTTTCGATAAGCTTTCACATGACAATCGCTAAAGTGGAAGCAACCCCGTTGATTTGCAGCTGGAAGAGGGAAGATCTCCAGATCACGTGGTCTTCATGTTCTGAGGCTTGCACTAGATTGGCAGTTCACATTTCTTGCGTAGGTGAAGTCAATGTCTTGAGTAGATGACGAGAAATTTTCAATTGATTTTCTTTATCAACCCAATGCCCAAGGCCATAATTGACCAGTACTATTGCACCCAGTGTCTTTGAACGCCCGGAATTTTGTCCCTGACAAAACTCGCCATGAAAACAAGAAGCATATGTCGGCTTTGATGCTTTCGGCCCAAAGGTGCCCCCGCTTAAGTCTTACGCCGTGAGGTCATCCGACTCTCTAACAAAATGGTATCTCGTACGCCTGCTATAACCCAGAATTCGCCAATCATATATCATTCCTCCGATAACTTATGCTGGTGTACCCCACGCAGCAGCTTCGGATGGATCGCAGTCAAATCGATAAAGTCGCACTTCTCCATCTTCACCGCCACTCGCCAAACGACTATCAGACAGCCCTACACAAGTCACTGGACCTTCATGACCGGTAAATGTCCTTTCCTGTAGAGAAAATTGTGTTAGTAAAGATTGAGCTCGTATCTGTCATGATATAAGAGTAAAACTTACGCATCGACCGGTTCGCGGATCCCACAACTTCACGGTCGCGTCGTTCGCACCGGTGACATATCTCAACTGGTCAACCTGCAACGCCCAAATTCCTTCCACGTGTCCGAAGTGGGTTTTCAAACAGCGGCCACTGGCTGTGTCCCAGAGGCGCAAAGTGGCGTCTAGGGAACCCGTCAAGAAATAACGAGGCGGCAGTTGGCGGCTTGTGTCTTCGGCAAACACAGAACCATATGCCGATCGCTCCTCGTCAGCTGGCGGCGATGGCAAGGCACCGGACGAGCACGCACCCGGGGTGCTACTACGACCACTCGCCACCGATGCATTATCAGCTTCGTGACCGTCCTCCTCCTCAAACTCGAAATCGTCAGGTAGGGCCATGACTTGTTGGACTTGTCCCACGTGGCCTTCATATGTGCGTATGCATCGCTGGGTATCAAGATCCCATAACTTGACCGTACAGTCGTCGCTTGCAGAAAGTAATGTGCGGGATGCCACATCAATACGGACTTGATTTACCCAGTCACCGTGGCCACGCAGACAGATGATCTGTTGAGTTTTGAAATTGAAGACCTTGATGCTTCTGTCCATGGACCCCGACGCGAGATAAGGGCCGTCCATATGAACCGTAATGACTCCTCCACTGTGAGTAAGCGTATTCAAACACTGACCGGTTCTCCAATTCCAAATCTTGACGGTCCCATCTAATGCACCAGAGACCAGGACACGATCATCAAACTGGATGGCTCTGATTCCCATGGTGTGGCCCACTAGGGTCCGGATAACTTCAGTCTTCTCGATGTTCCAAAGCTTAATAGTGGAATCATAAGAACCCGTTGCTAGCATGTCCTCGGAAAATTGGAGGCAGGTAATGCCGTTAGTGTGCTGGTTTCGAAACACCTTTATGGAGCAGCGGCCATGCTTCCAGTTATAGCCGATCTTGTAACGATCCCTGTAGACATCCTTCCACGGGCGCAGTTGACGTTCCATGGAATTTCTCTGAGCGCCCTCGCTGCATTGTCTCTTGACACGCGAAGCCTCGCTGTCGTCGAGACCGGAGGCATCTCGCTTTCTTGATACCAGTGCAACAGCAACTTCGTTGGCTGTGGTATCGGTATCCTGAATTTCAACTACCTCGGCCTGTCGAATTTTTGCAATGGCAAGTTGATGTTGTTTCTTCCAGTCTTTCATTCTCTTATTCTCCAGTCGTGGTAAGGCCCAGCCGCAGGCCGTGCACTTGCGCTCGATGTGTTGCATGCACAGGTGCTGCCAGACAAGATCATCGTCGGCCAAGGTCCGCCATCTATGGCTGACCTGAGAAGCCTTGCAAAGAGATACACAATCCAGGAACCGTAAGATCTTCAATGACACCTCAGTGGGAAGGGCGCCGAGGAAGTCGATCTTCAGTGATTCAGATATCTCTCTTGACACCATGGATAGTTGTGGGAAGCAGCACTGGGTGATAACGCCTTGCAGCATCAACTCCCGGTGCTTTGCAGGTGCGGCGGAGAATAAGGACCAAACGTGAGTGATGGCCTGTTGATCGGCTTGCGGTAGTCTCTCGAGTGCACTCTGGATTGCGCCCATCTTGGACTCGTCAGCAGCCCTTCGGCATTTAGAGTCCGGCCGGTGACGGTAACAGAACTTGCTGTTGGGATCCTTAGTGTTGTCCGAGTTGTTGATAGTGGCAGGGAAGTCGGGCTTTCCAATAGGTGCGTACAATCCAGGAATATGTTCTCTTAGGAATGGAGTGACGGACTGGCCAAGCAGTTGTTGTGACATGTTGGGCAGTCGAGATGCCTGGTGGCATTCCTCGTTGGGCCTCCTCCGGTCGCAAGAATCCTTCAAATGTTGGTTGTTGTCATTGGTAGCGCCGTGTTCAAGAAAGGGAAAGGAGGCGATGGAGGACGGTGAGGGTAGGTTGTGGTGACAAAGGCTAAGAGAGGATGCGCGGCGGTGTTGCCTCAAGGAAGCAAAAGACAGTTGTTGATTCGAGGGCGGAATGATGCCATCTTGTTGGCTTTGGTGCGATTGCGAATGCTGAGGCGCATTGCCGGTTGTATTGAAAGCGTCCATGTCGGACGGAGTGTTGGAAATGGCGGAATGATAAACTCAAGCCCACAGCCCTTGGCTTGGTATCGACCGGTATGTCGGACAGAGACAAGACAGGGCTTCTATGCAGGTGTAATGAGCGCTGTGATCATGGCACTGACCAGGTAGCGCTGCGTGAGCAGGAATTGGACAGTTGAGGTCAGACAAGTCGATATGGCGTGCTTGAGGGTTGGCAATGCAAACAAGTCGGGTTCCGGGCCAAGTAAGTTTGTGTTTTAATGTGTTGCTTGTGCCACCTCACTACCCAAGGTTCGAAGGGATGCCCAATGGGTTTGGCCGAATCTGTTGACCCCCGAACTTTGGAGAAAAAAGCCTTTTGACCGCCTGTAACACTGAAACCAGCCGAAAGAAACGTGATAAATCAGGGCCAGTTGCGCAATTCGTCGAACAAGTCCCCGATGTGGTCGGCGATGATCCTGAACCAGTCGAGTAATATGGGCAGCGTATGTCGTAAGATACCTTGCAGACCAGACCGACAGTTTGAGAAGAAGCAACGGAAGCAGCTAATTCGGCAGTGCAGATTCGCAAGAGACCACTGAAAGGTTGGCACCGAGTGCGGAACAACGCTTTAATAATAAGTGAAAGTTAAGTTGAAAAGCAGGCCGAGTCAAACGATATCTCTGTCAACTTCTACTTCTGTCGAATGTTGAATTCCTCCTTGTCTTTGCACCATATCAATTGCAAATCTCGTCGGCTGATGGCAAAACCATACCTGTCAGTCATGCCATGCCCTGGGTTTCCAAGGGCCCTTGCTTTGCGACGGCGCCGATTGCGTTATTGCCAAGCAGAAGCTCGTCACATCCAATGAGACGCCTCATTTCCATCCAATCAGCTTTCATTTCTCGCTCTAGTTTCCACTGGGGGACGGTTGTCGGTCATCCAACCGGGCGGTACATTCTGGAACAATTTCTGGAGTACAGTAGGCACTAACCGGTTAGGCGACTAGGCACTACTGTGTAATTCAGGGCCCTAATCCCCCCCTTCTCTCCTCCTGCTCTCGTGGCCCTGTACGATGTACCCCAGAAATTGCTACGAAGCCTTGCCGTAATTATGGAGACAAAGCTCTTGTCACCACGATCTCACCGTTTGCTCTCAATGTTTAATTAGCTCCAACTCAATGCTGACAGAAACCTAGCTTCACCCATCACGCAATCTGGCACTAGATGTTGTGCACCCCCAGATTTCCCCTGGAGAAGTCTTCGTCTTTGGCCATGGTCTGCGAGTTATGGCAATAAACACGTTCCAGCCAGCTCTGCTACCCAACCCGATTGCCGTCAGCTCGCACGGCTAGCACGCCGATCACCGTCCAGCCGCACCGGCTGTGATCACGTAATTTGTGCATGGATCATTTGCTGCACCGGCACCTTGATGTCGTGCTTTCGCCGAACTTTTTCGTCTTCAGCCCATGAGCCAGGTCTGAGCCAGACCTTGCCATTAATGCTCCACCTGTCAGTCTCGAAGCTGGTGACATACACCGAAGTTCGCTCGTGATTGATGGCATTGCCTAGCCAGCTTCCTATTGAGTAATGTATGACAAGGTCATGCTGAGGAATCTAATTTGGGAGTCGGGCGGCTTAGATGAGGCTGTTTTTCTCCATTTCATTACTGTCCGAGTGCCGCCGCCGTTTATTGCAATTATTGCGATTATTTCCAAAATACTAGTCAGCACCAGCCGCAGGTTTCTAACCACAATCATTGGCACTACCGAGTATGTGGCTTTCGATGGGTGGGTAGTATATCTATGAGGTATATTCGGTGTTACAGATTGACCAATCGTACGGCGTTGTACTGGGGTTAATACAAACTTATCTGGGGATATATGTTCTAACAGTTTCGCAGTGTCTTCTCATTGGCTCTTACCCAAGGCTATCAGCAACTAAGTCCCAGTATATCGTCAGACATTTCTTATTAAGCTATCATAGTCATCTGAGACACTCGTGGGCATCACTTGTTCTACTCATGTTGAGCGTGTTGATCGCAGCCGTCTTTGCTTTCTACGATCGTCGTTCGTGTGTGATGTAAATTGAACCTTAATTCATTGTGTAGCAGTGGTTGTTATCTTCCATATATGGAACCATGCCTCCAGCTTGAACTGTCTCTGGCCTCGGCTCAAATCGAAACAAGCTCAACTACGCGAGTTATGGGCTGATGCAATGTCGAAAAATGTGCACCCGAGACCTAGTCAGCGCGAGGTTGGAAATTGAGCATAACTGTTATCCTTCAGCTTTTTATTGTTTATACCTCACGCTGGTATTGTTCTGGTATCATGTCAAACGCTGTACTCCAATCCACCTACCTGTTTTATGGTAAAGTCCGTACAAAGAACTACAGTCGTTAGCAAAAAGCAACCACCACGCTCTTCGCTCTATCCACCCCTTTGGTATGTCTTCCTACAGAGCTTTCTCGTATGATTTGGGACATAACCTTGGTGATTCACCTTGCCTCTTGCCATGTGGGTTTATGTAGCTCAACCTGCTCTTGATTTGCGATCACCTATCGGTCTGGCCGTTCGCCACGTGTCACAAGGAAGGCACATGTTTGCGAGCAAAATATTTGCAAACTTAGTTCGGACTCTGGTTTTCTTGTGCAGGCATCGCTCAAACTGGAATACCATGCGCATAGTCGCGACATAAGTACCTCCAGCGAGGCCTTTCTAGCATTTATCAGCAAAGTCAAACCGCAGGTGGCCGAGATGCTCCAGGATCGAAACTTAACGCGCCGGAACGAAAAGGAATATATGTCCCTAGTTGTTGAAGTGGAGGGCTTCAATAGCCTGGTATATGAATAGACATAAGAGGGGCTACTAATTTTCGGAGAGGAGTGTACCGTGCTTCTAAACACCTGACTGGCATCTTGAGCATTGTTTCACTAACCAACGCTACTAAATGCAATCTCAACACAAGGGCAGCACACAGCATCTTCCATAAAAAAAACTTTGACACAGGTAAGTCGCAGTTGGTGCTTTCCTAGTTAAGCAATTAGACCATGGACCTCACGGTATGGAGCAAAATTATGCATATGAAGTATTACTACTATATCAACTCAGTATTAGAACCAGTGGTCTTTAGATTTAAGCATATTGTATACCGTGCCTCGTGATATTTTAGATGACTATCTTAACCGCCAACTCGTTACGGATACCCTCTCTTTGTATGATAATCTCGTTGCTGAGATTGGATCCACCGTGTGGCTGGAGTACTAAAGCACTTTTTTGCGTTCTGTGACCACTACATCCGGGTCGAACTGCCTGAAATACTGCTTTTAATATACCAAGCAAGAAATCTAGGTATACAGCACAAACAACATGGGATGTATTACTTTGATGTGAATGAAAAACAAAGCAGAAAGACAGAATGACACCGGAGCTGCAAATCGGAGGCAGGAAGCACGCGGTTGCGTGATACGTCAAGGCGCCATACCATATGACTACAATGAATACGAATACTTCGATTGAATGGTGGGAATGATTGGATTCCTAAATTATGATCATTTAAGACATTTCTTTCTCACTGTAGTGTTTATAGTCCGTGGGTATTCCAACAGCAGCACATGAACGACTTAGCATTAGTTAAGACAAGTCATCTTTGAACATAGATCAGTCACCCTGTCCGAGCGAAGTCCAGCCGCCAGGATTCAATGGGAGATGGCATTGGGTATGACCATAACCCCGTGCCCTATCCATTTTAATGTACCAATCAGATCAAATGGGCCTTGGTGCCTCCGCCGAAGCGCTGCGTAGCCAGCTTCCTCCCACACTTCATGCAAGTGTGTTCAGCATTCTTAAAGTGGTCCATCGTATACGGAAGAAGCGCCAGAATACCCGTGGTGAAGAAGAAAAAGGTCGCCATCCAGCTTTGAAGTAGCGTCAGCGCCCTCCTCTCCATACTGATACATGCAAACCACTTACTGTGTTCCTTTTCCCGCACGGTGATGGACGCTCGTAGGGCCCACGCTTCGGCAGCCGGGGCACTCAGCCAGGGCTGGATAGCGTGCAAGGAGCGGCAGCGGGACGAGGTTCGATGAGGGGCCATAACCAGGAGTGTGCTGGCAGTCTCGTCCGACGTAGGCTTGGTGGCGGTGTTCGGAGCGAGAGCTATGTTCGAGCTCACGATCCACCATGCCTACAGCGTATGGAGGTGTAGGTGAATGTATGTCGGGGAGGCGCGTTGTGGACATGGTATCTATCACTGTTAGTTAATGCACAATTGGGGCAGAGAAAAGAAGAAACAAACCGTAGTCAAATTTAGGGGCCATTATAAACGAGTGTTGTTATTGTTGAAATACGTTATCGGCCAAGTCATGGATTTCTTGTTACAATTGCAACTAACATACTAGGAGTCATTTTACGTTGGAAACGCAGGAAAGTAAAACAAATTTATAGTACGTTGATCCATTGATAATCTATGCCGGGATAGAATATATTGGTTAAACGATTGGTAGGTATTGTAGGAGACATGAAACTGGTCAATTGTCGAGATACACTGTGCATGTGTCGCCCCAATGATAGAGGGGCGGAAATAAATCCAGCAATAAACTGGCAGTACAGTGTAAATAGTGAGTGACATCTCACCAGAAGATGTGTACCAATTGCTTTCAACTGTGGGTGTTTGTTGTTGTCCAAGGCAGCCGAATTCTATACTGCCTGATTGGTTGTGGACTTTGTGGTTAACGCGAAGGAAGCACACTGCCTCCAGAGTAGCGGGGTATCGGACAACAACACGATGAAACTCTGCTGATCGGAATCGTACTTCGCCTTGCAAGAGTTATGGGAATAATAGAATACTTCGACTCATCATTAGGGGTCGTCTTGTCGTGAAAATTGAACCTACAGGCTAACTAATCCCCCAAGCAGGGCACAGCTTGAGAGAAAACCGGATCCAACTCGTGAAGTAAGTCAGCGTTTCACGAGTAATCCGCAATGTCTTATCTCTATTCCTAAAATCACACGAATGGAGCAATGAAAATCATCTCATCTCATCCATGCTGATCTGGTCTCCCTGAAAGGGCCCTGCTGCTTCCAAGCAATAACCCGGGACCTGAAGCACCAAAGGACGTTTTAGAGACACTGCCGATTACCCAACAGAGTACCCATCAAATCAAGTACATTGTAAACTGTACAGGTACTCCATACGCCGATTTATTGGTTTTCTATAAAAAGCATGAACTGGTGGCATAACTGCAACCAATTTGCGGTCACATCCTTTCAGCCGGGACCGAACATAATTATACCGCGATCTTTAGGGTTGCGTGGACATACCCGCCGTGCACACAATCCTTGGCGACTGATCGAGCAGTATCCTAGAAAGTTACAGGTATCTGAATGCAGTGCAGAACCGTCTCCTTCTCCGGACTGCAAGAAATTGCGCCCCTCAAGATAAGCATACAAGAGAAAATGTCAACCGCATTAGTGAACAAGGCCAGTAGACACAATATTTTGACCCCGATAAGTCTGCGTTATTCCGTACGTCCCTAATATACAAGTAGGCGAACCTAAGCTTACACGCTCCAACGTCCATTGGAGTCATGCTCAACTACAACAAATGTTGGATGTTGAAGCATGTATTATTACCTTTGTGCTTGTGAACAATTTTTACTGCCCGCCGTTCCGTGAAAGTTGTTCGGCAATGCCATGAGCGATGTAATCGGCAGTAGCCATGGTCGTTATCATTGGGTTTACACCGCTTGCACTCGGGAACACGCTCGAATCTGCCACATACAGATTATCTGTTCCCCATACCCGACCCTTCGGGTCTACAACGCCATCTGCCACGTCTTCGCTCATGCGACAAGTTCCCATCTGATGCGCCGAGCCGAAGGGAGTGACCGGGGGCTTGTTTCCAACCTTATTTAGTGACGCAAGCCATGCCACAAACTCGGGATCGTTGATGTCATTACCACCCGATTTCCGCGTCTCTTTCCTGACGAAGGGCCTCGACCCTGGGAGAAAAGCAAAGATCTCCCGGGCGCCTTCAACATAGCAAAGCTTCGCCAACGCTAAAGTTCCCGTCAGGATATGGGCGCGGTCAAAGTCTGAAGGTGTATAATCAATCCTCGGAGCTCCTGTGACGGCATCCGGATACACACGGCCCGTGTCACGGTCTCGAGCCATAGATATGAAACCATTCATACTGCGGAATTTCAGTGCGTTTAGTTTGAACTCTAGACCACTGTACCAAGGAAAGTTGGCGATTGTCATGTACGGCTGACCAATAATCAATATCACTGTGTGTTTGGATGGATGAGTTGATTGAGTGCTTAGACTTACCAGCATATTTACCGTCTCCAATTTTACGCCGTGCCCTTCTCCGTCGACGTTCTCAAATTCAGAACACAGACTGGTAATACTACTTCCTTCCCAAGGCTGTATATCTTCGTTGAAACGCGCAAGGACGTAGTTACAAGGATGAAGGTGAAGATTCCTTCCGATATGGGTATTCTGCCATAGGTTAGTGCTATTTCAGCTGGTATTTAGTAGTCCATTACTCACCTCTAGGCCACTCCGGGAAAGTAGAAGAGGGGATTGCAATGTGCCAGCAGCGACCACTACTTTTTTGGCTTGGATACGGAGAATTCTTGTCACGCGATCAGCCTTTGGTGTGCTAAGACTCCCGCTGTCACCCCTCGCAGCCCAAGTCCCCTGCACGCCTACCGCTTGTCTCGAGCCGGTAGACTCGTCGAAAAGCACCTCTGTCGCGTCGAAACCTTCAATGAATTGTGCGCCGGCCTGGGCGGCAGCGGGCAACCAGCTCACAGTAGGGCCTTTCTTGCCGGCCGAGCCACAACCGAAATGACATCTGCCACAATAATGGTCATCGGGGCCCGTATTCTGAGGACAAGCTTTGGCTTTCCAGCCGAGCTTACGCGACCCGTCCATTATAACTCTGCCACCATGGTTGTGCCGAACATATCTATCACTGACACCCATGAAGTCACATACCCGATCGAGACACTTCTGGTACTCATCTGTCGCAAAGAACGGCAACCCCTGAGCAGCCCACTCTTTTCTCACAAAGTCCTGAGGCTCCAAAGACACGCTCCAGTTGACTGTCCCGCCACCGCCCCAGCAGCTACCTGCGAGCATGTTCATGCAGTTATCATCACTACTAATGACGCCCTGGCCTTCGAATAGGAAGTTGGACCCAGACTCTTGATTCATGGGCAGCTGCGAGGGCGGGAAGTAATATCCTTTGTCCACTACCACAACTCGGTGGCCCGCCTCTGCTAGGATCTTGGCGCATACCGCGCCACCACAACCAGACCCTACAATTACAATGTCTGTATCCAACACTGCAGGCTCATCATCGGCCTTGAATTGCAGGAAGTTGAAGTCAAATCCTGCCGCTGTCCTATAGTCTAGCGGGTGGTCTGTGAAGCCCAGCAATTGTTGATATAGAGGATCCGCTTGGCTGAAGGATTTCTGCGCAATCGTCGAAAATGTCCTTGCAAGTAGAGGAAACATTTTCAGCCATGAAGTAGCCCATGACTGGATGACTGCATGTCTCATATGTACAGGTTGCTCCGAAAATGGTATACAATAGCCTGTCAAGAAGAAACTGCCGACGCTTGTGCTGTTTAAATAGTTAGTCGTGTATTTTGTGGAGGGTAAGATTGAAAATGATGGATGTCTTACTCGAGAAGATTAAGTATACTGCTCAGTTTTTTCCTAGCCTCTTCTGGCACGGTCTCAAATGTGCGTTTGACATTTTGCACAAACCGCGGACTGTCGGATTGGCTTGTCCTGAGATATTCCTTGAACTTTTCGGCATCCGGGGACTCTACCATTGTCATCTGAATCGTACTGTAGGCTTCATCGTATAGATCTTGCGATATCCTGAGCTGTCTTTGATTGTCTGTGACGTTGTTTTCCGAAACAATTGGCGGTATAATAGCATCTACAATTGCGAGTAATGTGTGCCATTGCTTCTCGGCTAGTCGTCGCAATAGATATCAGCTTTCCGAGAATTGTGAGGCTTTATTACGAATTCCATTGACGAGTCTTGTATAGCGATTGGAAACCTATGGGGAAATTGATACAATTTCTCAGATATTGCACTCACTAAAGTAATCCTCGGACCTGAGCGGAGGAAGAGGGACGAGAATAGGGGCTGTAGCACCGTGTGATACTGCCATTCTGGGAAACGACATAACTTTCGTTCAATCGTTTAAACGATCGTAAATTCAGCGCTGTAGAAAGAAAGAAAAAAAAAAAGACCCTCGATGCGCAGAGTCTCATCTATCATGGGGAGGTTTGTATTTCATGATTGATGTCTTCAAGCTACTGTAACCTGCCCTGAATGCGTTCGTCGGGTCCGTGCTTCAATTCATTGGCCGCTGGACTACTCAAAATTTTGGTGGATCCTCGGATCCAAGTTATATCGTAAATCTGAGGCATTGCTTGAGCTACTAGCATAAAAGGCAAGACCTTCACCACCAAGACATCAAAAGACGGTTGTTTCCACGTGGCCAATAGGCATGTTTTCTCATTGACCACTACGTTTGGCATGATATGAGATCTCCTGTGCCCCAAGTCTCCTCACAATGCACACTATACGCGGCGAAACTCTACTGCCAATCAGAGCCTTTTCTATTGGCGAGTTAGCGAGTAATGTTGCCAGGTATTTTGTCTCAAACATTATTCGAGCAAATGGATTTCGTCCACGCAAGCAATCAATGTGGTTAGGCTGTCGTGGATTCGTTCACTAAACTGTATGTAAGTCGCTATAACGCCGTAGGCCTGTGGGTTCAGATTCATAATATTGGGGACGAAATACTGGATGTTAATGTTCAGGTATCGCTAGAGTATCGAGCAAAGGCTACCATACTTCACACCCTACACTTTGTCATTCTGACCAGGAACCAGATATAATTTGAATATTTAAATGAATGTTTATGAGACAGCAAGAAGGCTCCTAAAGGTATAAACTAGGTGAAAGAGTAGGGATACGATAGACAATTGAAAGAATGCTAGTTGTTGGCTCAGAATGAAAATCTTGGAAAGGCTGTCTACGCGGGATCGCGTCTCTACGCGATGTCGACGCGATTTTGACGCACGCTGTTTGGTCTCATTTTGGTTGGCGATGATGCTTTTGCAGCTTGCAAGTTCAAAGTGCTTTGAACCCCGGTCATTTAGTTTGTGCATGTGACAGCCAGGCCTGGGCGCGACATTTGGCATGTGAAATCCCATTCAAACAAACACCGAGGACTCAGGGCCGTCAATAAATCCCAGACGGGCAAATGGCCCGGTTTGTTGAGGATAAAGTACTGCAACGATCGTCTGGAGCCCTTGAAGCTGCAACGAGCCGGCTGGCTGGGCGTCTTTGATAGTTCTTCGTCTTGGTTGGCATCGCTTTCCGTGCGTACGGCTTTTGGTTTCTCTCAAATGGATTCCTATCACAGTTGGAAGCCCTACATGGTAGGTGGCAAGCACCCCAGAAGCATGGACAGAAAGCTGCAGGAATGCGGACAGCCCTACGCGGGCGCCGCGGATTACCCTTGAGCCTTAACACCGACAAGGACAGTTCCATGATAGGTATCCTCTCAGCCAAATCCATTATTCTAGAAAACTTCTGCATTCGTTGTATCTTTTCGCTACCCCCGCAGAATCACAAGCCGGATGCATTGGTGGGATAACATGGGGTGCCTGAAAGCAAGCCGGAACTGTAGCGGCGCATCTTTGGTACTAGTCTAGCTAATGAGTAGCGCGTCTGCCCCAGCAAACTTGGCACTGGCTTTTGTCGCGTGCGAGACCACACTTGCCAAACCTCAGCGACGGACAAACTCAGTTGCCCAAGTTTCCCCAACAAATTTCTGAAGAGAAAAAAAAATTTATTGCCCCGCATCTCAATTGATCAGGAACCAAAGAGATCATTTCTACCCTCTGCTGCTGTATCTGAACTTTTTATTACGGTCGCATGGCCGAAATTGGAGTCACTAGAAGTAGAAATTGCCAAGCTCCTGGCATGCCGTGGTCGACCTTGAGGTTTTTCATCATCACGAAACCGAAAACCCGTTTAAACAGAGATCGACCAATTCGACCTCATGCCCGTAATGGATTTTCATGCAGGAGTCTCAGTATTGTCATGACGCTTTGGAAGGTATTTCGTGAGCGCCTTCTCTTCTACGTTTGGAGAGGACCTGGTCGGTCTCCTATGTCCCAATTGTTTCTCTGTAATGCTTGAGCTTCTACGGATTTTCGTTTCATGTGCATGTCGTCTATGGAGCCCTAGACAAATTTAGGCACAAGCTCATTGGCTGCGGCACAACGTCATGCCTCGTCTACAGTACCAAGACTACGGATCCGTATATCCCAACAGAATCGGCTTCGAGACATGAAGCCTAGGCGGTTGAACTATGCCATCTATGGTAAACCGCTGGAGTTGCTGGGATCTATGGATCCATCTCGGAAGCGATCGTTGGGTTGCCGTCATATTTGCGATGAAGTTCAAGTGCCACTGAGCCGGTGAACCCCTGCTACCCGTGTAGACGTCGCTTCCAAAAAGTTCATCAGTCACATATTTCGGCTGTTTCCCTTGTTCATTGTTGAGTTTGTTTTGTATTTTCAACTTCTTGTCGGTGAAAGTGCTTCACACAGTCTACAACCTCCTGACGCTCTCCACTTGGACGTGCCCTTTCGCCCTCTTCATTCTTAAAGGTCCTATCGCAAGACCTGCCTGGTACCCCGGGTCTTTCTTCTCCGTTTCGAATCCGAGCCTCAGATCTTGAAGCGCAAACTCTACGCGGCTTCAGGACGTCACTTTCCTAGCTTGGTACTACAGGGCGCGAGATTTTATAGCAAACCAGTCACCATGGCATCTTCAACTTCAGTATTCTTGGATACCCCTTCTCGGGACCTCTTCCAATTTCCTCCTCCCGCGGCGCCGCATGCGATACCACCGCCGCACTTCGATTATCCCTTCACTATACCAGACAGCTGGTTCACAGCAGCGCTGGATCCTAAAGTCCCCATTACCATTGCAGCAACATACGCCATTACTGCGAAACTTTTGAACAAATACAACAAGTCAACTGGCAAGAAACCATGGGCTATCAGTAAGACTGCGCCGTTTCGCTTATTCGTTGTGCTGCACAATGTCTTCCTTGCCGTATACTCAGCGTGGACTTTTGTCGGCATGGTGGGCGCTCTTCGGAGGTCGATTGCTAGTCCCACCGGTCCCAATGGCCTGGCTGGCACCGTTGATAGCTTCTGTCAGCTCAATGGCCCAGCAGGGCTTGGCAACGCCGCCACGTATATCGATCAGGAGGGTGGCTGGCAGACTCAGCCGAGTCGTGTTGATACTGGAAGGCTGTGGAACGAGGGTCTGGCCTTCTACGGCTGGATCTTTTATCTCAGCAAGTTTTATGAGGTTCTGGACACCTTCATCATTTTGGCCAAGGGCAAATACAGCTCTACCCTGCAGACTTACCACCATGCTGGTGCTATGATGTGTATGTGGGCTGGCATCCGTTATATGGCGGCCCCCATCTGGGTCTTCGCGACTGTCAACTCCTTCATCCATGCGCTGATGGTAAGCCGAGAATCCCGATTATGAAAGGTAGATTTTCTTTTGCTAAACCATGAAACAGTATACCTACTACACCGTCACCGCTTTCAACATCCGCGTGCCGAGCGTGATCAAGCGCACGCTGACGACTATGCAAATCACCCAATTCTTGATCGGTGCGTCGTATACTATGTTGCACTCCTTCGTGTACTACACGATCCCGGTCCAGGTCCCTACCACGCAGCCCGTGGCCTCAGTCTCCAGTGCTGTGGCTGCCGCTACCGAAGTAGTCAAGACCGGTGGCTTCCTCGACGGTCTCAAGCAGGCCGTCTTTGGTGCTGCCGGTGCTGTCGAAGCTGCCAATGTCGCCGCTGTTGTTTCACCCGAAGCCGCTGCTCCTACCAACAGCATTATCTACGAGACACAATACCATACTACTCCTTGCATCACGTCCGCTGGTCAGACCTTCGCAATCTGGCTGAACATCTTTTACCTTGCGCCTCTCACCTACCTGTTCGTTTCTTTCTTCATCGCGAGCTACCTTAAGCGAAGCAATGCCGAGACTCAGCGTAGCCGCGCTGATAAGAAGACTGGTGGTGCTGACCGCCGTTTGAGCAATGCCATGATGACCGCTGAGAAAGCCGGCTGGGACGCCGCCAAGGGTATTGAGAGGGAGATCTACAACCAAGGTGGCGAGAACGCTATTATCGAGGAGGAGGATGTCGTTGTTGTTCCTGCCAATGGATCACCAGCCAAGGGTAATACCAGGGCCCTGAGAAACCGGACCACCCACTCCCGCAAGGCCTAAGCTTGGTTGCACCGCATGAAGGAGGATGAAGATGTGCATTAAAAACAAAATGAAGTACTGGCGCCATGGCTAGCCGCTTTTATCCGGGCTGACAGGTGTTTCCGTAAGGGTTGTGCCCACGCAAGAGGATGTGATGTTCCCATGCGTTACGAGACAGCATGTATGCTTATTAAGCGCCGCGAGCAAATATTGCGCTAGGCAGTGCTTCTCTCGTCATACCGCGAATTCATGTACATACTAGGGGAATCATTGGGAGTAGGCGTACGGGGTTTGTACATACTAGCCAGAAATCTCGAATTCAAAAGATAATCATTTACACCATCTTACCGGCCTCAGGTAGTGATGTTCGGACCTGACCGCTCTAGATGTTTGCCCGGGACGAACTCTAGTGTTACTCAGCTGATGACTGTTTCGCAAGACTCCAGGCGGAGTCCTCCTCCTAGCCGCGCGGTATGATGACTTTCTCCTTGAGCTTGGTTCAAAGAATGATTGGATAATAGGCCGAGTCTTCCCCTAGAATCCATGGCCGTCTCACTGGACAAGAGGAACGAGATACTCAACTAATGCTGGAACACATCCCGTCACCGCATAGACGCGGTACAGCCACGAGCATTCCCAAAAGGCTTATTTCTCTTGTACTCCCAGCTGTAGTACAATCTGGGGTAGCTCTGCTTCTTACTGTGACGGGGTCAAAGGTAAAAATATAAAGGTTCCTAGACAAAACTCAATCCATCTGGCTCCGTCTATAGCTTGTCGATAGCTGTCGGTGGCCTCGAAGCTTCACGCGAAGCCCACACACTCTCTCTCCCTCCCTCTCTCTCCCTCTCTCTCTATGTGTATGTTTCTCTCTCTCTCTCTCCCTCCCTCTCCCTCTCTCTCTGTGTGTGTCTCTTCTCTCACACTCACACACACATACACTCATATACACACACACATAAACAGGCCGAAGCAGGCTCGGGGGTATCGTGTGAGTAAGGGTAGGGTAGCAGACCTATGGAAACCAGCGAGCTTGAACTAATCTGTGGTGTGGAGAGCCGAGATGATGGATTTGTCATGCGGTTCAAATATCCCACAGTAGGAATCGTGTAAACCCGGTGTTCATCACCAAAGGACTGGGAAATCGTGTCGTTCGTAATGTTGAATGCTTGAGTTGCCTGGCATCGTCTTAGCATGGTTGACTAGAGAGATCTATTCACGTATTTGGTCTGAGCCAAAGCAAATAATGGCCTCGTTGATTTTCCGGTTCCTTGATATGCGATGCGAGATGCTACTTACAGGCTAGAAAATACTGGCAAATAGGGAAAGGCATGTTGCCGGACGCAGGCTGCTCAGGTTAGAAAGTCAGTGGGTGAAGAAGTATAATGCCGAGGCACCTCTCAAACCATCAAATACATGCATCAGTCATCCAAAGACAGGAGCAGGGTGATATTGGGAATTATGTTCAATTTATTCATCTCTCGCGTTGCAGCCCGGGCGAGTCAAATTTGCCTTTGCTTCCGTGCACTCTATGCCCAGCAACATCATCATTATTACCGGCGCTGATAGGCTTATAGCACAGCCAAATTCTTGAAAGAAATAGAGATTGCCCAAAACGCCTTACGTAAATCGTGGTCTTCGGCCCTGCAACGGGCGAGACGTATTAATCTCAGAAAATTCGCAACGTAAGTCTGGTAGTTGTCCAGATGTTGAGTCTATACCACCGACAGTTGTTCTACCCCCCTTGGACTTCCGCGTCCGCTGTTTGCTGCTGATATTCTTTGTCACATCAGCGCTTGGCCTGTGTCTCGAGAAGATCGCTGTACCCCTCCTTCCTTCGCTGGAAATTCAAACTGGGGTATCATGTTGGAGGGGTCTGAAGAGGTGCCGGTGAGAGGCTCCAAATATCGAAAAGCCGGCATGGAGAGTCGTTCGCGGACACGGCTTCGTATCGTCTTCTAATGCGTCCAGTCTAATCCTCCTCTTTGTTGTATACCATTCTAGTCTATAATGTTCGTTCGTTCTTCGGCCGTTTCGTCATGACGAGTGGATCACCTCGGCTCAGAGTAAGGTCAGGCCCACAGTTGCTGAGCTATGTCGGGTGTCCACATGGGATTGTGTCGGGTGCCTCCATGGAGAAGGTGGCCCGAGAGATTAGGTAGGGATGTTTGTTTGATGAGCTTGTCGCCTCAGAACGTGCTCCAGTTCCAGTCTCGCGGTACGCTCGCTGCAACCTCGGCCCCTTGCGGCAGCCTGCCCTTTCCTGGAGCAGCAACAGCTGTGGGTGTGCTGCCAACGGGGCTGTCGGGACCGTTCTGCGAGCCATTCGCCGATGCGGCATCGTCGGATTGCTCACTGTTCTTGCGACTGCACCAAACCTCATATTCGGTATGGCAGTGGGAGCATGAGCGGCTGGGAGTGCCCCGGGGGTTGTAGTTTGCATTCTGATCCAAGGGCACGTCGTAGTTGGAGTGGTTGTCGCAGAAGATGTTACCACACTTGCGGCAGTGATGTCGCCGCGTCCAGTAGTTGAAGTGGCGCATGCAGGAAGGCTCGTCGCAAATGGCAGCTTCGGTGTCGGGCTATTTGAGGACGCTGTTAGCTTGCCGAAGGTTTAAGAATAAAAAAAAAATAAAAAAAGAATAAAAAATAGGCGTTCTTTCAGCATGAAAGCATAGACCGGATCAAGTAAATGAACATGCAAAGGCAAAGGTTGCGTGTCACACGGCACTTTCATAAAGCTGCAGATGAGACATGACCCCGGGATATCATGCAGCAAATGAAGAAAATGCTTAAAGCCAAGACTAGACTCACCTTCCAGTGGTCGCGAGTGGGCTGCGCCGTGGGCTTGGGGAACATGTCCAAGTTCAGTTCATTGTCCATGCACTTGCCGCTGTCGCCGGTAGAGCGTCTTGTCAATCGTCCAAGAGCACCGAGGCCAGTCAGGCTGGACCAGCTGCTGCTGGCCTTTAGGCTGTCGTCGTCCTCATCATTGGCGTTCTTCCTCGTCGGCGTCTTCTTGGCCGGGTAGTCTGTTGGCCGCAAGACAGCAGGGATGTACAGAGGTCTCAGTTGACGTCCATGGTACGACTTGGGTGAAGTGGGCGATGCGTTATTAGAGGTGCTGAGTGGTGAGATCTGGCGACTGCTGTTCCCAGAGTGGATTTGTTGCTGGAATTGTGCTTGTGATTGTGCTTGCGACTGCTGTGACTGTTGCAACTGTTGCAACTGCTGTAGCTGCGCGACTTGTGACTGGTTTGTGAGTTGCGACTGCTGTTGCGCCAGGTGAGGGTAGAAGTGACCGGCGTATGGCTGCTGTTGATCGGGCAGCCGTGGCATTATGAAGTCGGTAGCCATCATGGCGGGATTAGGTTTCCGGCGATTAAGGGAAGTGAACCAAAAGAAGAATAAGAAGAAGAAAAAAACCCGATCGCCTTCTTTGTTCTCGCGAAACCGAGCAATTATTTGGTTGCCTTGTTCCTTTGGTTGGCCGAACGAGCAGGTGCTCTCGTACTCTGTGGCAATGGCCAGTTGTAACTCTGGATTCGTGGTAATAAACTTGCGTGAGCCGCCCCCCGCTGGTTCAATGCTCGTGCTTTAAGTTTAGGTAAATTATCGGGACGTGACAGATCGAAAAGATCAGGACCCCCGCCGACGAAACTGCTCGCGTGATACAGTTGCAAGTGTAGTACGCAGGCAGCCCACAAGACAGCCTTGAGAATGAGTTGCTATAGTATTATTATGAGATGACGGAGTAGGTTATGGTTGTAGAGTACGCGCAGCACGTAGGTATGGGGATATGCTTCGAGAAAGTCAAGTTCAAGCGGATGGGTGGTTCATTTCATTGACTTTAGGCGATACGTAGGTATTGAAAGTAGTCCCAGTCGCCTGCGGAACTACTGGGTACTTGACTAGTAATATCAGAGCAACAGTACGTACGGCCCATATAATGGGCATGGATATCGTCGGAAATCTGCACACAACCATTGGCCATCGCCTGGGCCTGCTCCAGCTAGATTAGTGGTCCTTAGTGCTAACTGGGTAGTGCTGCGCGGCGAATGGTGATGGGCGGCGGACCCTGAATCGGAACTACAGGCAAAGTACTACGTATGGTTGGTACGAGGGCTTCCCACGGCGAGCATGGATCGAGGGGGATGCAATGCAAAAGTAAGCTCAGCCACTACGAGATAAGATGCGCCAGGCTGGCCAGGGTTGACTCGTGTGAGTTTCCACACCCACAATAAGCTTCCCACTCCAGCGACGAGTGAGATTGAAGCGATAGCAAGCCTAATCGCTCCAATACCATGCAATGCGGTTACCGAGTAACTGTGCGATTCCTTAGTTTTTAACTGTCAACTCTATACTGCACACAGCATACGCTTGCTGTTTCGGAAATATCGCCGGCGACATAACTCACACGCTCGAGTATAGATTCCCGATTTGTTTGGTTGACATGCGTGACATTGACTCTGTGGGCGAGTAAGCGAATGCAGGCGGCAGTTCCCTCTCGATTGTCGTGGCAGGGTATGGGCGGATAAGTGTCCAGAGACCCATGCTTCTTTGCGGTGACGGTCACCAACACGGGTACGTATCTACTACTACTGTACATACATGCGGTAGCAAATGATGGAAGTCTGCTCGCGTTCCTTCATCTGCCTGCTATCTCATCCTTGCTTTCTAAATACGTGGTGTTCCAGGATCTTCCTGCTTCCAAACAATTATGTTCAACGACATCAGCGACGGCCTCGAGTAATGCGCTAGATAGGCTACGGTTTTCTGTCGCTTTCATTAGCTGCATGTAATAAACGCCGTGTGGCAGCTGTGCATAGTAGACGGATGAGATGTGTTTGCCATTCGTTTAATGGGACAGCAGTAATGTGCGACGTCGGAAGTACGGTGTATTTCTGGCAGGCGGGACAGTATTGTCCGCCAATGTTGCATTTGAACACGGTACGAGACTGGACATGATGGATCGTCCCCCATCGAGTGGCCACTCTACTGTCTATACTGTGGTATGAGGGGGACTAATACTTGCTCATCAATCAAGCCTACTTCTTGACAAACGGCTATGATAACATCGTGCTGCCCTTCGTCAACTTTAGTCTACTGCAAACACCAACTTTCTTTCCGTCCCATTGCCAGTGCTGGTCTCGATCGGGAGCTCATCTCAGTCAGTCCAAGTTATTGCTGCAGCAAATATGCAGGCAAGCAAGACGTGCAGCAACGGCGCTATCGGCTGTCGGTGTATGATCCTGGCAGGGGTATGCAACACCAGGCGCTTTGGAAGCAACACTTCAACGGATTCGTACGTCAGCTCAAGGTTTCAATAATTCTAGCGAACCAACCTAAAGCCGTAAATGGGAATCTTGCACGTTCTTCACCGCGGATCGCCAATATCCCTTTGATTGCTTTTGTGTTGCAGCATCCTATCATATGGTATGAAGGAGGTTTGGCTCCTGCTGGATTCCATTTACTGTTCCAGGGAATATGGCTTCGTCTTTGGCCCACCTAGCGGAAGTCTCGAACCAATATGTATGCAACTGCACCACCTGGGCCAAGTATAGTTACATTATAAGCCGCCAGAGCCGTTGCCGTTTTGCAGCAGCAAAAACGCTGAGATGAGGGGCGCCGCTCGATGGAACTAAAAGTGCACATGGGTAATTTTGCGAGGCTCCTCACTACTGTATCGAGATATGTTGCTCCACGACTCCACGACACCCGCTTCACGATGCCGCACGTTATATTGGAAGTTTGGAGTCGTTTCCACCTTTTCGTTGTGTCAAGGACTCCTCTGATCAACACAAACTAAATTCAAGCGCTGGGTCTCGCCCTAGTCCCCGAAATGCTACACACGCGACACTTGAGGACAACTCTATGTGTCCAGTTCGTCTAAGGGCCGAAGAAAATGGATTCTGTGAGTAACAGTAACTTCATAAGGCTCCACCAAGACACCCAACGCCTCGGGTAGTTGGCTTTCGATTCAGGAAAATGTCTCGTTGCTCAGCCAAATGCTCGTCACGGTTCGAAATTCGCTCGGCCTCGAACGCATTTGGCTCGGACAAATTGATTATAGTGCCCAGCCTCGCTACCAGTAATCCGTCGTCGATGCGCTCTATTGTCTACACCAGTTTTCGCCCCTCCTTGTCAGCAGCACTGTCTTCACGATGCCTTCGTTCCTCTCGCATAGCGCATTCGCCGTTTCGCCGTTTCGCCGAGATAAGTGCGCAGCTCAGCTAGAGGATTACACACGCCTCCCCAGACTTCAACCCCAGGACTAGGTTGCAAATATCCGCCAGTAGGAGGCGCCGAAAATGTTGAAGCGCAACATTTGCGGGTCACGGTCCTGGAGGGGTAATTTCTAGAGTCTTCGTATGTGCCTATGCGCTCATCTTGTGCCTGGTATTAATGCCGCCTCACGTTGACGGGGCTATTGTTTTGAGAGTTCAGCGGGAGCGAGTACAACCAAACCATCTGCATGTAGAAAGTGGCTCGCTTGCTAAAAGGTTTCCTGCCCAGTCTCGAGTTGCGACGCCAAAATCAGTTCACTGATAAGTATCCGCCGTCAATGACACAAGAATGGTCCAGTGCAGCGTAGCTGTACTTTCGCTAGCAGTCTTGCATTAGCACAACTACTGCAGCCACAACAATCTCTTTGAATGAACCAAATAGTTGCCTCCGGTACTTCATGTGGCTTTGCAGTAGTATCACTTCCGACACAGCTGTCCACATGGTGAAATTAGAACTTTCCCGCATCAACCATGAATACAAAGAAATATTTCTCCAGTTTCTTCTACGGATCCATAGGCGCATCAAACCCTCCGGCTCACAAGGACTTTGCCTGCCTCTCTTGCAGGGATGAATCAGTGCTCTGTAATCCCTGTAATTCAGGGTCCAGTTAGTCGGACCTCTGAGTGGCCAATAATACCAGCCTCTTATCGCGGAGCCCTGATTCGCCGCACGCTCTCTCGGTGCCCAATGCGGTAACCCCAGCCAGGACTTGCGCGGAATGTTCGGCGCAAGAGCCACAAACCCAGCCAGAAACTCAATTCGGCCTATCCGGCTTGAGGCGCAATAGCGGACCGTCCTGTGAGACATCTGCGTAACAGCAACGCTTTCCTACCGCTAAAGAGGCAATTGCCGCTCTGCCAGCGCTATGTGCGAAGTTCGGAGAAATACTCCTCTTTTTCGGCAAGTACAACTCCGTTCAGGTTGGATCAGCACGACTCCTCCAAGTGAGCGAAGCCTGGAGTATGTAAACGGAAGAGAACGCGAATCACAACCCCATAGCCCCTGATTAACAAACCTCGCATGCCCGGCCGGCAGCGATCTTGTGTCATGTGAGTTGAACAACGAAAGTGCCCCGCGGAGAGAGCTTCAACACGCCGTCATGGGCGCGTGTTGTTATCGGCGTTGATCGATCGGAGCGGCTCCCGATAGGAGGGAGATTGGCAGAAAGGAGTCGCGCGAGCCCTTGACCGACCGCGCCGGTGACGTAGCGATCTGCTTGGCAAGCGCATTTCGAACGATCCTTCTCGAGGCTCATCGAGATGCAACTCAATCCAACCTCGTGGCGGAAACGTGGCAGAAACAAGAGCTTACTATAGTACGCTCCTCTCTACCAACACTAAGGAATCTCTTCCATCCATTTGGCGCAGGAATGTCTCCGCAGAGCAGTGAACTTAACTGTGGATGATTCGGAAAAGCCATACTGCGAACAACGCGTGCCTTCTTTCGCCGCGCCTGTAGTCACGGGGGGACACGCGACGTGCGCGTACTCATGTCTCTACGGGTCGACATTCACAAAGTGAAATGTAGCACCTCGTTTGGCCGCCTTGTGGACAATACCATGGACTTGTCCCTGGAATCACGCAATTGATTACTTAGATCTCGTGGATGGGACAACACATCCATGAGCCTTTGGAACGGCGTCAAAAGTAAAAGCAAAACAAAAGCCCAAGAAACCGTAGTGGCGCCCTCGAACCCACTCGAGTCAAGAGGAATTGGCGCTAGGGAATGCGGCTTCCTTCTGTCACAGAAAGATTCTTGAAGTTCAAAGCCCAAGGAAGGGCTGGCTCTTATGAAAAGGAAGGGCTGTTGGGATAATTGCGGTCAACCAGTTGAGTTAAATTGGCTCGGGCAGCGGTGATAAGCCCGGGCAGAAGATGATGCGACATGCACATACTTGATTCATTAATCTGTTTACGATCATCAGGACCAGCGTCCCTGATACACATCTTTGTAGGGACGATGCTGGACATACAAAATACCTTGGATGGTTGCGTAGACTGGATGTGTCTTAGACCAGAGAAATGAATTATATGCACTAGAATTTAATATTCAACTAGATGGGTACCGGTCGTTTGTTTCCCTTTCCGAACTGTCAACTCTCAAGACCCAGCTTCTTCCGACATACCCTCAACCCACCTCCCGCTCTTTCCACCTTCTTTGAGCACAACCCGTAGTCCTTCGACTACCATGCCCTTATCCACAGCCTTGCACATATCGTAGACCGTGAGCGCCGCCGTAGATGCCGCGGTGAGAGCTTCCATTTCCACGCCCGTTTTACCTTCGCAAGAGACTGTAGCTTCGATGTTGACCTTTCCACCCAGCGCGCCATCCTCAGGGTCGACCACAGCTAGCTCGACCGCAACCTTGGATATCATGATAGGATGACAGAGCGGGATGAGGTCCGGTGTCCTCTTAGCTGCCATGATGCCTGCAACCCTGGCGACACCGAGGACGTCGCCCTTCTTGAGCGCATTGTCACGTATCAAGGTCGTGGGAATAGGGGAGCTGAATCGCACACTGCAGACAGCTTTGGCAGTGCGGGACGTGGGCTGTTTGTCGGAAATGGACACCATGTGTGCCGATCCGGAGGCAGACACGTGTGTTAATCTGGGCTCGTTGTTGGATTTCCCGTCGTCGTCACGAGCTGAACGAAGGTTTCTAGAAGTTGAGAAGGGGCGCAGTTGATATCCCTGAAGCGGTGCCGCGCCAAAGAGATGGAAAGGCACATTCTGTGCCGCAGCTGTATAAGGACTCCATTTATGTTGGTATTGTGACAGTGACGTTGGCATCGAGTTCTGGCGACCTATGAATCGCTGCTTAGTCTTCCGTTCGAATAATACGTGGTAGATTGAATCAGAGAGAAGTGCATACTTCAGATTGGTGTTTTTCTGCCGCCGAACAGCCGTTGCTAGAGCAGGACGACGATGGGATGTTCACCCACCTATCAAAATCATAGGCCTGTTTGGCATATTTTCAAGCTCGCCAATACCGGCGTGCTTCTCTGCCTTCCGCTTTACAGCCATGCCAATAACATTGAGGAGTTCCTGTTCGTTCGGTGCCAAACCAAGGGGTTTGGACGTATCAACAAGCCCTTGCCTCCGGTCCATCTCGACCCTCTTCATGGCTTCAAATGCTTCCTCTTCAATTGGCTCTCCATTGTTAGACTTCCTCAAGATGTCTCGCAGCGAGACTTCAGCATTGCCGAACAAGCAGACCTTGAGATTTCCGTCGCTCGTGATGCGCAGTCGATTGCATGTCCCACAGAAATTGTGCGTCATGCTAGTGATAAAACCGATCCGACCCATAAACCCAGGTATCTTCCAAGTCTTACTCGTGTCATTCTTGTGGTCCTGGACCTTCTCAAGTCCCGGATACGTCTCCCGAATATGGTTGACCATCTCTTTGTAGGTGAACATCTTGCCCTCATTCCACTTGTTTCCGCCAAATGGCATGTACTCAATAAACCTGATCTCAATGTCCTTTTCTCGTGTCATCTCCACGAATGGATTGATCTCTCGATCATTGACTCCACGCATGACGACACAGTTGATCTTTAGCTTAATGCCAGCTCCGTGGCGGTTGAGCTCCAGAACCTTGTCGATGCTTTTCACGACGGCATCGAAACCTTTCCGCCGCGTCATGATCTGGAACTGCCATGGATCAAGCGTATCAAGGCTCAGATTGACTCCAGTCAGTCCGGCTTCTACCATGCCATCAAGCTTTCTGTGAAGAGCCAGTCCATTTGTCGTAAGGCAGAGCTCTTTAAGACCATGAGTTCGGAGAGCGCCAATCTGCTGCATCAAAGGTAAAATGTCTTTCCGTACAGTGGGCTCACCTCCCGTAAGCCGGATCTTGTTGACACCTTGCGCCACGAAAACTGATGAGAGCATAACAATTTCGGGTGTAGTCAGAATCTCTCTCTGGGGTGAAAGCGGAACACCTTCTTCTGGCATGCAGTAGACACACCGCAAGTTGCACCGCTCGGTGAGCGATATACGTAAATAGTCATGCTCACGATGATGTGTGTCTGTCAAGAAGTCCGAGAACGGCTTGGCGTTCTTGAGCAACTCGCGCCGGCGGTAAGGTTTTGGTGGATCCTGCACAGTCGAAACAGGCGAGATTTCTTCCAGATGAGGCATCGGCGTCCCTTCTATCGCGGCAGACGTCGCGACTCTACGCGCCGTCTGATGGCGCGTCCGGAACGCAGCTTGGGCATGTCGCCAAACTGCACGTCCCGGCCTTAGCGGAATAGCCGTTGACATGGTCGGGCGGAAGATAACGGTGATAAAGGGTCAACGAATGCAGACCATCATGTCAGAACGCAGCTATAATGTCTAGACGGGACACTAAGTAGGATCCGGTCACTCAAGTGAAGAAAGCCTCCGATTAAAAATACTCGAAAGTTTATTCGCTACCAATCCGAAGACGTTCAAATAAGTCTATGTGCGCGGAGAAGTCGGTGGACCAGTGAGTCAGCAACCAGAGCTATCCGGCCAATACTGGCCGGCTCCGACCTCGAAAAACTCCGATGACATAAACTTGATGAGTACAGCATGGAATCATTATAAACTGGGTAGGCCAGACTGCCATTTGCACTCATTCGAAATATGATTATGTCCATGAAGACCAAGCCTCAGCTTGGTCCAAAGCCGGTCGCACTATGATCCACTTGTCATATACTCGGCTTTTCAATGCGCGTTTTATGTTCGATATCTGACACTTAGACGAGAAATCACCGTGATGCTCCCAAAAGAATCCAAAATAGAAAAAGTGAAAAGAAAGAGGAAAACCCCTCCCTCCCCGGGAGACTCTACTCCTTAAAATGGGAGGTATGGAAGCGCAAACTCTCGAAGGACAGCTCTGATATCTAATGAAAACAGATTTCCCCACTTGATAGCATCATCTCAATCGTTTGTCCTTGCGTCGAGGTTTGGATCACACCACCAGGTACCGTGAGACACCATTGTGCTGTGGCGTCTGACGTGCTGAGATAACCACCTACCGAAGATTAGGATAATATTTTGCAGCTGCTTTTTCTTCACAACACGCAAATACAGAACTATTTCTGTGCTCGCCACTTCCCGGATGATTATTGAAAAATTCATTGCCTCATAGCGGTGCGCCTAATTTGTATATGAATAGTGTCGCACATATTTCAGTACTTCGACAGTATTTCAGCACCACATCAAATCGTTGTCAAGCTTTGCTCCGCGCAAAAATGAACAATCAGTAGGCGGAGTGGTCAGCGACGACGACCTCGTGCAATTGCATTGGTTGAGCCATTCATGCACCGCCGTTAAGCTTCAAGCATTCTAGTCAATCCTTTCAAATGCTGCAGCCTTGATTTGTTTTTCTGAAAGTCGTGGGATATTGAGCACGAGGCCCATATTAGTTGGTAGATTGAGCCAAGTCATAGCTACCACACATCTGTCATCACACCATCTACAGGTTCACCGGTTTCAAATCGTCTTCGTCACTGTCACTGCGTAGGACTTCAGATGAGCGATTTGGACAGAGTTAGTCGTTCAGCTCGATAAAATGCAATACTCACCTGTCTTTAAGTGTACGCATGCCCCCCAACCCTTATCTTCTGAACTGTTACAACCACTTGAGCTTCGTTTCTACAGTACCCTCATGTATCACAAGTAGACGAGCCGCATATTGATCACAACAAATAGCTTCCCCACATTGCCTCCCAAGCCCAAATGGCAAGTTCATTGCAACGATCTTGCCGTCAGAAGTCAGTATCAGGGCCGTCGAAACTCTCGATGTTGTGCGAACCATCAAGCTACGTGCAGATCTTGCTGCTGCAATCACCACATTTGCGTGGTCGCCCACAGCCGAGAGCCTCTTACTCTCCACCAACGACGAAATACACGTGTACTCTGCACCAGATGGCGACCTTCATGCGACCATGCGTAACTCTTCTACATCCGGAGCAAATTTGAGTTTCGTGAATTTTGGCGCTACTAATAGGGAGGCTTGCGTCTGCTCCGCTCACGGGATCACACTGTCACTTTTCAATCTCGCTTCTCTGAAGACAATCGAAATAAGCAATCCAAAGTTCTACACCGCATCGTCTGCCACCCGCGGGTACTCAATCCGACCACTTACGCATCATTTAGCACTACTTACCAGGACTTGCGGCAAAGATACGGTCAGCATTCATGCTCCAGAATCGAGACAAGTGCAGCGATCATGGAGTCCCGATCTTGTAGATGCACAAGGCCTATCTTGGACTCCAGATGGTAGATGGCTGATTCTGTGGGAGTCTGCCGCGCAAGGTCATAGGGTCATATTCTACACACCAGATGGTCACAAATATAAAGACTGGCGGGGATCGCTCCGGTTGGCCTCTAGCGACATGCATGGCCGGGGATTAGGTGCGGGTGTCAGACTCGTCGCGTTCAGCTCCGAAAGCCAATATATGGCAATTGGTGACTATAGCAGATGCATTTCTGTGCTACCACTGGGCAGTTTGACAGATGAACTGCAGCTCTGTCACCCTCACACCATTGAGCCCAAGGATACACTTCAGGTACGTTTGGTCTAGCATATGCAAACGGCCGCCGAACAATGCAGAGCTAAACGAACAACAGATCTGGCAGGAACAGCTTGATAGTTCTCATGGGCAGAGCCTTGTGCACATGTTCGCCAGAGCCTCCCAGCCCGTGGCGCCGGTTGTACGAATGCCGTCTAATGCACAAGAGCTGCGGACAGGCCCCCTTTTTATACTTTTCGACAGTTCAGCGGCCTTGCTTGCGGTCGCACTAGAAGATGCACCAAGCACGTTATGGATTTGGGATGTCTCGGTTTCTGAACTACGTGCAGTTCTCATTTTCCATGCCGAGATCTCTCGTGTCGAATGGCATCCATCGCAGCCCGAACTTTTACTTGTGAAGTGTGAAGGACAAGACCATGCTGGCAAAGTCTTTGTCTGGGACCCGCTGAGTGAAGGTCCTCGTGCTGTGGATTTTACATCACATTTTGCGGGAAACGTGAGTGGTAGATCATCTGCATATTGGCTGCAGCTCCCGGAGGGGCCCGCGTCATTGTTCTTTACGGACAGCGAATCTTACCTTCTCGGATCCATGGCAGGACCAGAAGATGGCAATGTCCCATGGCGTTTGTATCAGTCAGCACCATCGGCCAGTTCTAGACAAGCTGCACGATCTCCGTTGTCGTCCGCTAAAGAACATGACATGGATGACAGCGACATGGGTGGAGATGCCAGTCAGTTGGACGATACTTTTCAATTCAAGAAACTCGGCACCGATTAGGGTGCATTACTTTCGTTGTTGCAGTGCACGTTATGTGACAAGTCAATAACGACCCAGTGCCGTGGATCTGCTCGGGCTAGTTCTGGCGGGGAACAACCTGTCATGTCCCGGACTGCAATGCAGGCTGTGTCGTCACTTTTACAGCAGTACTACTCTTGTGTTCGTCTGCTATTTTGCTGGACTGAGCAACCGAATTGCCAAGGTCGCTATGTTCACAGTTCAGTGGCAGTGGGCCCGTTGGCGCGTCCCCACATGTGTATAATCGTTGCCCGTGGGATTCCCCCATCTCCAGAGAGAATGTGTTTGTTTCGTGAGTAAAGCGGTATACTCGAGCCGAATACTGAGACATGAACGATAGTGGGGCACACATGGTGGAGCGGGAAGAGCTAGAGGCGCTCAACTGCTAACCAACCACGCCATAGTTGCTGCAGTCAACATGCTATGTATGCAGCACGACCAACTTGGAAGACGTGATTTTCCTTGGATACATCCTAGGTCGTGTTTGCTGCTTCCTTGTCGCCTCATTTCAGTTGTGCCAACAAACATGCCAATGCTTTTCATGTTGTTGAAATTCGAAATTCGTTCTGCATCCACTGCGACCCTCTTATGTAGCTCTGGCGTTGCATTTGAATATGTGAAAGAACAAAGTATGAGCCAACAAGCTATCCAACTGATCGCCTGCAGTGGATAGCTGCAATTACATGGGGCTATTCTGCGAGGGTTGCGACAGGATGCAACTTTTATCCTGGTCCCTTGTCGGCAGGGCAGCTGTATTACCACCTCAGGCCTATAGCGGCAACTCTCATCTGCAGAACACACTTGGGGTCTGTTCTTGATATAATTGTTCTAGCCCCAGTTAGCCCCCACGAAAACTCGTGATTCCGGGCTGGCAAGATGAGCCGCACGCAACCTGACGAAAAAAAAACCCAGATACCGGGGATTTGAGCGCCCATTCACTATTATGGGATCCTTGTTCCTCCCCGCAAGTGGCTAAGCGCCGAGATCTATGCATGCCTAGCCAACACGCCTCGCGCTGGAGCTTCTCATTCCGTCTGAGTACATCGTTTGCATTTTCTGTAGTTATGTATTCTGTCTAACTCGTTGCCAACTGAGGAGTACCCTAGCTAGACTTGTTGGCTGTGCCCGGCGAGCTGCCAACACATATGGAACGGTCTCGACAGGTGACAAACTCTGCCCATGTCAATTTTCGCCGTCATTGGCAGTCACCATAACAGCGTACGTTGCCCATCTCGTTGCTTTTTCAAAATCAAACCTGCAGCGCATGACACTTACCATGAGCGGGCCGGAGTTCCATTGGGCCGTAGAATAGGTTGAAACTGCATGTAGGCTTCTGGTACCTTGTCCAGAAAGAGATGGCCGCCTCATCATCACAATATAAACTCATGGATGTTGACTTCGCCAGTTCTGGTTGTTGCAGGGCCCTGTAATACTGTACGCACGCATGCATGTGAACATAATTCGTTGTGCATGAACATGGGAGTTGCTCAATATGTCTTATACATCATAAATCATATATCCGTTACAGAATGCCTTCCGCGTTGCCCCCAAAACAGGGGGATCTCGTATAACATATTATAAAAACTCGTCAGCGGGCCGTCCCAGGGCCCCCTTTGTTCACACGATTTGCTGTCCCATTGTGTTCTCCACCTTATCAAGCTATTGTCTTCTTAATGTGGCTGCCCGTAATGATGTCGACGCATACTCTTGCCAGACAGGTTCCTATCAACAACACCATTCAGGTGAATGTTGCTCCAGGAGATGAGACCGGCCTGTACCATATTTTGATTTCCAATGTATGTGACAACGAATTGGCGCGACTAGCTCTTGGCGGCTAGTAGACAGCAGACTGATTCAAATAAAATGTAGTTACCCTGGCAAACCTCCTGGCAGCAAGTGAAGGACCATGTACGAACGGTTTGTTCTGCAGTTGAGAGGGTGGAGATCTTCAACGAGAGTACAGCAGGCTGGATATCTGTGCGCGGACGTGAGAACTTCGATGCAGCCATGCGTACGAACCCCCGAATCTAAAGTGTACAAACAAAATATCTAACGTGGCAAAAGATCTGCTAGAAACGACGCCCTTCAATGGTAGACCACTCTGGGTGGATGGTCGAAATGCCAAGGCAGAAATGCCTATCAGGAGGCTTGTAAACACGCCAGAGATGCTTGCACCCACCTCACGGTCACCTCATACTCCTCGATCAGCGCCCCAGGTACCACAATACCCAGCTGCGACGTCTCCGATGATGATGTCGCCCACAGCATCGGACTACAGTCATGTGAGTCGCCTGGTTATATCACGACAGCATGGTTCGTACTTACTGGATCAGTGGTCCTCTGGCGGCCCTGTTTCGATGATTTCTAGTCCAACAGCAACATATGGCTTGCAGTCTGCGCCGATGATGATGACTCACGCGCACAACGATTTCGGCGCTTGGAATTCCGCTACAGAATACACCTATGGAGAACCATCCACCGCTCTGCTTTCCTACCCGACTGATATCAACTATCAATGTCCACCTACAGCTTACTACGGAAATGACCTCGTGTACTCCCCACGTCAAGACTCGGGGAGCACCAGGCCTCAAACGGACCAGTATAATGCCCAGGGCATTGTCGAGACGGTGTTCCGCAAGATACACATCAAGGGCCTGCCGAACTGGGCCCAGAGTGAACAGATTAAAGGGCTTCTGCGCTCAAGATGTGCGTTCACCGGCGGTGAGGTGAAACACATCAGCGTCCCGACATCAAGCAAAGGTGGTAATAGAGGATATGCCACCGTTGTGTTTCTAAGCTCTGGGTGTGCCACGAGGGCCTTTCAGAAGTTGGACGGGCACAAGTTTGACGGGAAGCGTCTGGAGGTCAAAATCACCAAGGAGGGTGTCTCAAAGGACGAGGAAGACCGGCACAAGCACCATTCGAGCAAAAAGCACCGGGACGAGAAAGAAAAGAAAGGGAGCAGCTCCAAGTCTTCCGAGCCTCCTGAGGAGAAGAAGGACAAAGCGATCAGGAAGGGTGTCATCATCGCCAATGGTTCTTCGATCAAGCCTGGAGGGAGTACTAAAAAGTCGAGCCACAGTAATGATCATACCTAGCGAGCTCGGAGTTGACGATTTGGGTATGCTTTAAGCCGAACCTAATCCGAGAAGCTAAGCCACGCAGCTTCATGTTTCTATATCTCATGTATCTTAACGGGCATAGAAAGATTTGGGAGGTTGTACTGAATTTGAGTTTAGCAGGTTGTCCTCAACAACGACCTCGTTGTATGGAGTATTCTTAGCATATCAAAAGTTGTTTTTTCTTCCAATCACTATCTACTCTAGTGCTATAGAATAGCGTGATTCCGCCCCAGCTGTTTCTTGCTCACGTTATCCTACTGATATCCATCCATACTGTATCGACTTCCCTATAACTACAGGCCATTGGCTTCTGAGACAAATTTGATGCCGCACGCCACAGCCATAACCGCAGCCAGGCACATAATATGTGTCACATGAGCTGTCACAATAGGCGCAATTCACTCATTCTGGACGTACATCTCATCACACAGATCCGTTGACATCCAGTCACATGGCACATTTGGTAGTCAAGTTCCGGGATGACTCCGACTATACGTCAACTATGTCGTGCGACACATGTGGGCTAATGTATGATTTTGAGTGTGCTAAACTGGTCTTGGCTCAAACGGCCGCCTGCATATGGCTTCCCATGGGGACGGCTATTAACATGCATCACCCAACCCCCTCGATCGTGGCCACGGAGCGGAGCGCTCGCCCGATGAGGCCCGTCCCGCAACCTTGTCGATGTTTGATGGGTGTGATCCTAGGCACGTCCTAAATTTACGTGATATCGCCCCAGTCCTCAGTGAGATCGATGGCCGAGGGGCTACTTTTCCGGGGATCCAGGATCGGGTGTGTGCAGGTGAAATGTCGGCAACATGATTTTGGGCCAAAATGCGTCAGTGCCCATTTATACGTACCAATGATAAGGGATAAACGCCTGGGCGGCCAGGAGAAATCTCTCACGTTTGGTGCGGCTAATTGCGATATGTCAACAGCATACTCAAGATAATATTAATCTTTGTGCATTGTCAGATCTGCAGTTGATCCCTACTCTGGCCGATTTCGAATTAATATCTTCATTGGACGAGAATTACAAGTGGTCTCTTACTGTTACCGATGATGGCTACTTCCATGACCCCCACGACAAGATCACGACTTTTTATATGCCTGGCTTCTGTGGCTTAACGTCTTACTGTCCAGTTCCACTTTTATGGTATCCGATTTAACCCAAGTCGTTATCTGTTATATGCTCGATATGCTGTCTTACACACCTCCAGGTGAGACCATGATGACCTGAATCCAACGGTGCTGTATTATTAGAGCATAAATAGAAGCTGTAACACCTTGACACGGTGTGATCAATTAGTGTACTGGCTGGTGTAGTACTGCTTCATAAATCGAACACCTTTCATCCCAACTTCGGATGATCTCGATGATGCCGGTGATGTGACCGGGGCGTGTGCCAACAACGGGCCCTTATGAGATATCATCCGATTTGCGCGAGATATGCCCAACTTAGACTTCGATGCCCACCATATGCCAGTGTCCTCATGTAGTGGAAATGTCCATGCCGGTCCTGTCCTGCGAAGCCTCCTTTGTTATCTATCGAGGTCCGGCGGCTGTGCTTCACGCGGTGGAAGTGCAACTTTGCGCATTAGGCGGAACCATGTCGAGGAGTGAGGATAGCAAAAGAAATACTATGCAGACTGTATGCAATCGCCCGCGGGCCCGGAGTGACAAGGGGCATGGATCGGGAAAGGCTAAATGACCGGATCCATCATGCTGTGGACAATGCGGGTGAGGTTCGTGTGACCAGGTACTTATATAAGCCGCGTCATTCATGCATATATCCTTCTGTTGTCGGTCATATATCATTTTGTAACGGGTCTTTTCTATGAAATACTCAGTGAATTAGTTCTGCCACGAGGAAGATAGTACTTTGCTGAGACAAGACATCATGAGGGGTACTATTCGTGCCCGATGACAGGACTTGAATCATGCGAGTTTTATGAGTGCGGGTTTATACGATCCAGTGGAATGTCTCTTAGTGTTTTGTTTCTCCGATTTATCCGGTTTTTATAAGAATTTTGCCCATTCTCCAAGTACCCATTGGCAGGCAAGATTTCTGTCAAAATCCTTTGACTACTTCTTCGCATGCGGCAGTACCAACTATGAGGCAGTGCTGCCCTCTTGCCTCTCAGTCAGGTTATTCTTACAGATCTGTCCCAACAAAGGACGGGCCATGAAGCAGTTGGGGTGCAAATGCCGCTGAGAATTCCGTGGTGTATGAGTCATGTTGTCCTATCAAACGTTTCATAGAATGTTCAGTATGATCGAATATACAGCAAGAATTAAAAATATGACCCTTATCATGTAAGACGATGCAACACCGTCACATAGCCCAGTCTTAATACGATCGTCGAGGTTTTTCTTTTTCTTTTTTACTGCCGCACTATGGGCTTCTGGGTACCAGGGAGAGGGAAATAGGGATTGAGAAACAAGAAAATCTTGGAGCCACAACTGAATAGTGGGATGTGAGTCTTCTTGAGGAATAGACCCTTTTACGACTGTTTGGGAGGGAATTGTTCCTGTCAAGTCCAGTGTACAGCTTTCGGGGATGCGCGAGCGTTTCAAACTTCGTTACTTGACGTACACAGAACCATAATTATACTTCGTACTAGATATCTCGGTCTCCCGTAATTTGTAAGTATACACGTCGACGGAGGAAGAAAAAAAAAAGAGGGTTGTTATCGGTGGAGTGAGCCGACTTGCTCACACTATGCGGTGGACCAGCCTGCTGCTATCGAATCTGAGGAGTGAGCAATTTAGCAGCGAGACACAGCATTTCTGCTATACTCCAAAAGAAAAGGCGTAGAACTGTAATTATTTAATTCAAAATGAGATCATGCCCATGTACAAATATGGTCCTATCTCTAAGTTCGATGATATGCACTTCACCCTGCCACTATATCGGTCTCAGTGAACTGCCAAATAGCTTTTTTATACTACCAACTTCAAGCACCGCACTCTATGAGCATTGACATACGATTGGAAAAATATCGCAAGTAATGATAACATTTTGAAAGAAAATTGCGAATCGATGAAGGGACTGCATCGCCGCGACATACTGCTATGCATTAGTGGTAATCGAGAGCATAGCTCGCATTTCTTCACCACATTGCTAATGAAATCGTTAGCCATCGACGCAGTCGGCACAACAAATCGGGTTGTATTCACAAACTAATTAAATACCTTGGCCAAGAGTTTCTCTCATGGCAAATAGGAAATATTTCTTTAGACATTCCACCACAGGAGACACGGAACATAGACATCTTCACCTTTTTCTTCTTAGTTTTGCTTCTTAATTTTTCTTCTTATTTTTTGAATGTCACTCCTCAGTTAATGAACAGAGTCTTGAGTATAGAAAGCTGGTACATTTGTCACAGGTATATTATAATCCCAAATGCAGCTTTTTCTCTCATGTTTCTAGTCCTGACCTTTACTTTGAAATGACCCTGTCTACTATTAGAATGTTTTCAGAAATAAGCAGAGTGGTAGTCCACAGCAATTTTTTATTTGTCATCCTGATTCTCCTTGATCAAATGTTGTAACCCAGCGAGTACTTGTCCCGCACATCTGGGGATAGTTCAATCTCATAAAATGCTCAACAGGACATACGAAAAACCTCCAAGAGATTTCGTGGTTGTCACAGATCAATTTGGAATGGCGCTATGCAAATTTCTTTTTCATTCACAAACACATCTGTACACAATCGGTAAGAGCTTGATCTAGGTCCTATTTGTGAACGCACTTGGCAGCATACCTTGGCCGTGTCATCAAAGCAAAGCTTGTGGCACTGGCTGTTGGGTGACTTCCTGCTTACAATAGGATCATGTCTCACCGTGATCATTCCGGGGATATACGATGCCTAGGGATGAGATCAACTCTTCCCCAGGTCCAACATCCCTGTTCGAGACGCGTGCGCCTGGAGATAAATCCATGCGCTCACTAGTTTTTGCTCTTCTTCTTTGTCTTTCTGAGCGTAATTAATCAATTCGCTATCGCAAACTATTCACAAATGGGTGTGAAAGGGCCATTTGGGCCCACATCATTCCATCGCAACTACGAAGAGGCTCCTAATTCATCGCAACTTTTAGACCCCCGAGAAATGAAATTTCTGTAGTCAGTACATTGTGAGCAAGCTCATTTCAGAGCTTGTAACCAATCGCAATGCCGCAGGGCGATCTGTATATCTCACTCCATTTCCATCCCAACCATCGAGTTGGTCCCATAAACCCATTGCTAAATGCGGTTGCGCGAATAAATCAGAAACAAGTGGAATGCAATAACAATACCTTAGGTCAGATCATACAACCTCTGTCTTGATCGAAGGAGCAGCCTTGGCGTCGATAAAGGGTGCTTGGAAGAGTACATCAGTCTCCGACAAGATTGCTGGGATCTCATTTCTAGCTACCTGGGAGACTTTGACGAGATTCTTTTCGATGATGACATGACGATACTCTGAAGTTAGCTCTGCAATAACCAAGTCGATTTTGGTGAGAAGGTCCCTCTCAAGTTCTTCGCATAGCTTGTCCAGCTTCTCGCGGACGCTGTCCGTTGCCCTTCGAAACATAGAATGCTGATGCGTCGTGACATGGTCCAGCATAATGTCTCTCATGCGTTTGAAGCAATCCTTGCCTACATATTTATCAGTAGGTCTTCTACTCGTTGTTTATAAGGGCATCCTACCACTCTCTTCCTTGCATATCACATATGCCTCTTGCATAGTTCAGGTAACCGCGAAAGTAAACTCTCGATTTGCCTTTTGCTGTAATGCGCTCATTTTAACCTTGAAAGAATCTAAGATAGACCGCATGGTAGTCGTATGACCGCGCACCTGGACCATAAGCATGTTGATTGTACTGCTACTGGCCTTTGCCTGGATGCGAATCTTGACGCCAGCATGGAACTTTTCGAGGAGGGCCTTGGAAATAACAGGAAACTTGCTCAAGACTTGTGGGATGCGTCGATCGAATACTCGCTCCCAGTCGCTGGCCAGCATCTTCCTTAGGGGTTGGACTAGTTCCTCATTCAGATCACGGAAGCCTCGGCGGCCCGAATGAGCCCCTCTAGGAATGATCAGTATTCAAGCAAAGGAAATGAGGGATGTTACTTACTCGCGGCGACAAGTGGCTCTGAAGGTGTTCCAAAACATGCCACCGTCATTTGTCGATGCAAACCATCGCCCAGTAGTTTGTAAAGCAGTCTCAGCAGCATGCTTAACGGACTTGTCAAACATAGTATAGAGATGGTTGGTCAAGGTGCCTCGACATCCTGCGACGGTCAATTCGGCGGCTCGGATCAGGTTCTGTGCAAGGTCAGTACATGGCTTTGATTAAAGCAAATACGCGACACTTGCCATTTTTAGGGAATCAATATCGCTGAGAAGCTTTGTCACTTGGTCCTGCTTCTCGCAATCACTGAGCTGAACCTCAGCGCTGTGATCCTTTGACCAAAGGTTCAGGGAGTTTATAATATGCGTAAAATCCTCGAGGAAATTTTGGGCATTCTTGACTCGACCAGGTTCTGTTAAGCGCTTCGCAAATATCTGAAGTTGTGGTATACCAGTATGTTCGAGTGTTGGGAAACCTTGGACTGGATCCTCGCCCTCTAAACGGCCTTTTGTTTTCTGGTAAGCTCTAGAGCTAACCCAGAAAACGGGAAGAGAGGCGGCTTCTTCATTGTAATCTCTGTTGTCAGTCCCAGAAACGAACAAGTCACCGTTTTGACGCATGACTTTGTCTTGGTCCATTCTATAGGCGTTGTGTGTCAGCCGGGATGCCTCCGAAATAAAGCTATACATCGCAGCCTCGTTAGTACTTACTCTTTGCAACCAGCGGCGAAGTCGTGCCGGAGGGCTTCTATAGCGTAGGTATTTCTTCCTTGAATGCACAGAGACTTGAGCTGAGTCTCGAGAACAGGTAGCCTTTTCTTCTGGCTCCTGAAAAGTCGTCCCACTGGTTTGATCTCGGTATCAATATTGTCGTGGTCTTCCGATACCTGCGCTATCTCGTTTCTCAGACGGTCGAGCTCTTCGTGAATTATCTCTTTGGTTAAAGGCTTTTGCTCGGGTTCATTAGCCGTGTTTTCCGATTTAATAGCTTCCTTGTTGTCATCTTCACTGTCTGAAGGAAGCTCATCAATGTCGTAAGTCATTCTCTTTCGGCTCGCTGCTTGACGTGCTGAATATGTCCGCTTCTGAGGGACGGTGGTTGGAGCTGAGGAAGCATTGCCCTTGTCCAGGTTGATTGCCAGCTCTTGCCAATGGCTAATCTGTCCCTGGAGCTCATCCTCTTTGGCTCCCAGCTCCTTTCCTCGCTTGCTTAGTGCTTCGTAGGTCGATGTGTTCTTGGCAGATTCAGATCGTACTTGCTCAAGCTCATTCTGACAGTCGATCACTTCTTGCTCCCTGCGAAGGCTTTTGAGTTTAAGAGCTTCAAGAACCAAGATGTCGTCTGTCTTCGAGCAGATAAATGAGATTTGGGAGTACTTGCAATCGAACTTAAGCTGCAACTTGAAAGACTGCCCAAGAAGGTTTTGGGCTGTCTTGTCATCTACCGCTCGCTGAATTGCAGCAACGATCCAAACAGCGTCGCACTTTTGCATATAGGTGCTTGCCACAGCAGCGCGCGCCGCGTTGGAGTCATGGGCACCAGGCTTACTTATTAGCAACAAATTCAATAAAGGGGAGCAACATAATACTTACTAAGTCGACGAGGGTAGTTCCCATGGACAGGACTTCGGACCGGGTGAAAATTCGAACCACCTTAATGAGAGGCCAGAACTCCATGCGTTTCTCTTCCCCACGGAGTCTCTCTTGGCCTTCTTTCTCGTCGCTGTCGATGTACTTCGTAATGTTCGCGCGGAATGTATCTGCCGCTGCGTTGGCGATGGTTTGAATCTGACCGAGCACTGCACGCACATCTGGGGCGTTAGCCAGAACATCGACAGTGGTTCTGTTCAAAGCCTCCTTGGTCTATTGCGGGTACACAGCTTTGATCTTTGCCCAAGCTACGCCTGACTCAGTGTCTTCATCGAGAGACTCTTTCACAACGTCGCCTCTAGAATCCAGAAGATCCTCGTACAAATATCCGAGCTCCTTTTTCCAATCATCAATAGTGATGAATTCAATCTCTGCTCGGTAGCGGGCATCTGGATTGGTCGAGTAATTATACGATATCTCCGTGATGACAGCGGTACAAGCTCGCATACAATTGGTAGGCACCAGCTCTTTCTCTTCAAGTATAGCGTTGATCACAGAGCTCTAACCACCGCCGGTGTTTCCGACGACGCCAATGATCGTCTGGGTTTGTTTAAATTGAGTGGTTAGCTGATTAATGGCCCTGAGAAATCGTGATGCTTCCAAATTGTCTTTTGCCTTGTTAAGAGGATTTCGAAGCTTCCGCAGAACAGACTGGGCTATCTTGCCATAAAGCTCGAGTTGGTCAGCAGACTCTTCGCGAAGACACCGGGATACTAGAGGGAAAACCTCGAAATTCGAGTCAGCGTCTAATGCAACAAGCGAAGCTGGTGTCTTTGATGACCTATGCTCCATTGTAGTGCTTGAATTGTCACGAGTCAATGTAGGGTGCCTGTGATCTGAAATGTTTGAAGTTGAAGGGTGACCTCTCCTTCGACTGATGCAAAGATGAGTTGATGGCGTCTCGATTAGCGTGATGGGGTTTCCGAAGAAATTAATTGGAGGATTTTAGAGTGAGCTTGTATGGTATATTTTGCTTCCGGAGTATGTGTCTTCTGGCATACATATGTCTTGTGTTAGGTGTGTTGTGGTAGTGAAGATGATGAAGGATCAGGTTTGATGAGATCTGGAATGTGTAAAGGGCAGTAGAGTTGATGGAGTTGAGAATTTTGATACGAAGTTCAGAGTAAAGTGTCTGTCGAGTTATTGCTAGTGGTAAGTACAAAAAAAAAAAAAGGTAAAGTTTGACCGAGAAGTTGATCGGTCAAGAACTATGTTGAGACGAAAGAACGTAAGGAGTAACGCCACTGGCACTTGCCCTCGGGTCACAAACGTTGGCTTTGAATAGAACAATGCTGATAATACGAACGGTAGAACTAGGTATCGAGTTCTGTAGACATGCCATGTACGATTCATTAGAACGTCTGTTGTGAGAGTTTGCAGAAAACTACCGAGTTACAGTTGGATGATGCGAATGCCATTGATGATGGCTAGAGTTGCTCGACAGACGAGGAGTATTAGCGGAAAATGTCACGATAGGTGAGTTGGAAGATACGGAAAGAAACCTTTGAATGAAGCCATTACCTAGTATTTTTGTGTTATGCTGATCTTCCAGTCTCATCCCCTGGTACAACAGCACAGTAACGTTTCACCCAAACTGGAGAAATTACAACAACTACAAACTTGGCATACTATGTATACAGACAAACTGACTGCTCGATGTGTGATAAAACTTTGAGTGCAGGTCCTCCTCTTTGTCTAGCATGGCCCTGAGCGTCTACAATTCATCAAACTTTGTTCAACTTGCAATTCAAAGGCTCACCTCACCGTATAATCTTTGATTGCTCCAAGGTAACTAGGTTGATTCAGTGCATGAAAGGGTTTGATTTTAGAAATGTACCAAAGACAATGGCCATGCAGTATGACTCAACAAAATAAAAACAGACTGTGGTTAGATTGTTAGCATCAGATGATGTTGTTCTAGAAAGGGGCAGCGTATGTATATGTACATGTATGCTATGGCACCGGACAGCGTCCGTGCTGAGACCGCCTACAGAGAAGAGTCGCTGTCTGTAAAGCGGAAGCGGAAGCGGAAGCGCGCAAGCTGTCCCATCTTAGCGCGTTAAGCTATTGCAATAGCCTCCAGGGCAACTGCCACTTTCCTCAAGCTCCACGGTTACCGGTCAAGCAATTGAGAGCCGTGTATTTATCTTTCTGCCTCCATTCCTTTGCGCCACCGTATAGCACAATTTCCCGAGTCCGGAGTCAAGTACACGGACCTGAAGAAGTGACCTTGTCCGACAGTCGAGGTTGAACCGCAGTTTCTCATAGCTCGAGGCTCTTTCGCCTCGCTACAAACAGGCGGCCTTATAGCACCCGAGTTCGGTCAGCCTATACTGAAACGGCGCAGGTGTCACCGGGAGGGAGGAGCAACTACGTTGAGGAACACGCCGACCAATTGGTGTCGTAAACCTGACACAATGTCGACAGTCACGGCAAACGCACTACAGTCGGGCCACCCGCCGATCATCCCCCTCGAGTTCAACGCAAACCAGCCCAAGACGATCCGGCTGTATCCCCTCTCCAACTACACATTCGGCGTCAAGGAGACGCAGCCCGAGGAGGACCCGTCGGTGATAGCACGTCTGAAGCGCCTCGAGGAGCACTACCAGGAGCATGGCATGCGGCGGACGTGCGAGGGCATCCTGGTCTGCCACGAGCACAACCACCCCCACATCCTCATGCTCCAGATCGCAAACGCCTTCTTCAAGCTGCCCGGCGACTACCTGCGGCCCGAAGACGACGAGGTCGAGGGCTTCAAGTCGCGCCTGGACGAGCGGTTGGCTCCCGTGGGCAGGCTCGGCGAGGGCGTGGAGCCCGGCAACTGGCAGGTCGGCGACTGTCTGGCCCAGTGGTGGCGGCCCAACTTCGAGACCTTCATGTACCCCTTCATCCCGGCGCATGTCACCCGACCCAAGGAGTGCAAGAAGCTTTACTTCATCGAGCTTCCCGAGTCAAGTACGTCTTGCTATTGCTGTTGCTGTTGTTTTCCTCGTGCCGACTTTGACCATGGCTAACCTTGGTGACCTCACAGAAGTACTGAGCGTACCCAAGAACATGAAACTTCTCGCAGTGCCCTTGTTCGAGCTCTACGACAACACTGCTAGATATGGTCCCCAGCTGTCGGCGATACCTCACCTACTGAGCCGCTACAACTTCGAGTTCGTGGACGACAACGGCAATACTGTGGCGGCTACGCCTGGCACAGGCCCCGAGGGCTTCGTCCCCCAGACTCGCGTTCTTGCCGGCGGCGATGAGGAGATGGGAGACGTAAAAGATGAGAACGGTGGAAGCTGAAGTGCGACATCACTCTACTGACGATCTCGGTCGCTATGGGAAAGCCATGCAGGAGAATACAACGATTGGAAAGACATCCTGGGCTGCCCCGAAAGAGAGCGGTGTAGCTCTGCAGAGAGTCAGTTTACAGCCTGCTTAATGTTAAGTGGCCGTACTGACCAAGCGGCCGGTTTGGACCTGAGCCATCAGGCCTAGCTCATGCTGGTTCTATCGCCCCCATGGACAGAAGAAGCCGCTGGCAACTGCTTCAATAAAGATCACAAGGGGACAATGTCCAAGCCGCCTCGGATGCGCACTCCGTAGATCACAGCACCATTAGGATAAATGTATGATAACGTGACTAGAACCACATCTTAAGTCCTTTCGTGCCGGCGCTGATCTTTTGAGCTACCGTTCTATCTCTCATTCATTCGTTCATTGCACTCTATTTCCCGTACATCCCATATCGCTCGTCACTTAAGCTTTTTCACCCTGGATGGTTGCAACCACCTTTCTCGAATGCCTGCTCGCCCGGAATTCGAGGTACCAGATTCCCTGCCATGTTCCCGTTGCCTAGGATTATCCATATCAGCCAGCGGTCTTCCATACTAAACACCGTACATCAACGGCACCAGGAGAACCTTTCCCTTTCCTCTTCTTTTCTCTTTCTTTTACTCACCAGTTTTCCATTCTGGATGGGTATCGTGACGCTGGCGCCGATCAACGCGCTCTTGATGTGCGCGGGCATGTCGTCGGGGCCCTCGGCGCTGTGGCGGTAGAGGTCCTGGCCCTTGGGGCCGCTCTCGGGGGCGATGCGGTCGAGGGCGTCGGACATGTCGGCGCGGACGTCGTCGTCCCAGTTCTCGTTCAGGCTCAGGGCGCAGCTCGTGTGCTGCACGAACAGGTTCAGCAGGCCCACCTTGTAGTCCTTGATCTCCGGCACCGACTGCACCACGTGGTCCGTGATCAGGTACGAGCCCCGCGACTTGGGCGGGAGGGTGAACTGCTTCTGCGACCAGGACATGGTGCCGCTGGTTGCTGTTGTCGCCGTGGTTGGCGGGGTCGTTGTCGAGGAGAGGAGGAGGATGACGATGGCAGGATGGAGTTAGATGCGGAGAACAGCAGCGTGAGGCCACCTAATTGAGCTGCCCGCGCCAATTAGCATAATACGTAATTCAACTTGATTTCGTAACTATGACGCCGTACATCAGTCAAAACTACTCTAGATACATTTGCCCGGATGATTCTATTTCGACCTGACCGGTTCTTGCGTTATGCCCGGGCTTCCCGTATACTTTACAGCGTCGCTGACGTACCGGTTCCCGTCCCGAACCACTACCATTTTCACGCGATTCTTGCTGTATTTGTTGTGCATGTCTTTTTGGTCTTATAGATCTTCTGCACCTTATACATTAAGTGATCCCCTAAGCCGGACACGTGTTTTTATTCGCCTTGCGACGTTTGCTAGTAAGCGCATTTGCCTTTCACAATTCGGCGACCTCGGCTTAGAGGAGGGCTATCCGATCGATGTATAATCCCGCGCGCTCCTTTTCGGCTTGATGTCACAATGGGTACTAAGCCCAGTCCAGTACTGATGAAACGGAGTATCGGGGGTCTAACCGTTGAAAACGGATGTTTCCCAAGAGATGCACCAAATGAGAGGCTACCACGCGGGTCATACATCATCTTAAAGAAAATCCCATCTCTCCTGTACGCGTTGACACGTCCCTCGTTATGAACCCGGGGAGTTTCCGAGCCGTGGACCTGCCGCTCTTGTGCGAAATTATCCAAAGCCTTACAAGAAACGCTGCTGGGCAACATCGTTTCCTCAGTGCCACCGAGAGCAGTCTCCAGAGGGCGAAGAAGTCAGCGGAAACGTGATGGCTGTATAAGCTCGGAAGAGGCGATTCAATCCCACGAGCTTTTGCAGACCATATACCAGGACATGCTGATACCTGGTCTAGAAAAACCTCACGCCAGTTGTCTCTACTTTTGCCGCATCACCCCGATTGTTAGTTGGTATGCTGTAAATGGAACTTTGTACCTTTGCCCGCCTGGGTTCACCAGCTCTGTCTGTAAATTACCCAGCTAATTATGTATCTCTATTTTTGTGTATTCCGGTCATCTCGGGCAATACTCAGGTTTAACCCCTGTCAAGCTCAGGCTTAAAGCGGCGCAGCTTAGGTCTCGATTTGGCACCAAGGTCGCCATGGACAATCTACTTACGAGGTAGTTGAAGAATCTGGGGAGAAGCCTACGAAGAAGAGGAGCAGCAAGAAAAAACTGTACCAGTTGTAGTGTGCTGAATGTGCTGTGGATGACGGCATGGCGATAATCGTGCAATGAGATGCGAGCAATTGTCGATTACATAGTTTGGCGGGGCAGTTTTGAGCTTGGGAATTTATACTACGTGATGTACCTTTGTGATAGCTGTAGACTGCCCGCATTGAAGATTGGCTACTGGGCAAGGAGCGGATTGACGGTACGCGGTTGGGAAGTTGCAATGCGGAAATAAAATCAGAAAAAGAAAAGAGAAAAGGGAGAGCAGTCTATTGACACATAGCCTACTGAACAAAGCCACCGACTTGTAGATGCTTTGTCAGTACTTGTGATCTTTGATTTTGGTCGCTCATATATACAGAATCACCAGCACATCTCCACATGCTTTTCAACCTTTCCGGCTGTTGGCCCTTAGACACCAGTATTGAGTACACATCATAAACTATCGATCTATGCGAGAGGGTAAGAGGTTGCGGGTAGAGATTCAAGGTGCTTGCGGTTGTGCTCGTTGGCCTACAATGTGTCAGTATATACTATACTATGTGTACAGCGAACCTTCCAAGCGTGAACTTGAATCCGGAATTGCAGAACCTACAAAGGGAAGTCCGCAGTAAGTGCAGGCGGCGATTTCGGGCTTGTCGGTGTTGATGAAGACTCTAGGATGTCCCTCGATGCCACCGCCACCGTTACATGCGACAACCTTGTCGTGCACCCAGGTGACAGGCTGCTTGTGGATGAGCTCGATAGCTGCTGGCGCTTGAGGCTATACAACAACAGGTGTTAGTGGAACGCTGGGAAGCTTGACCTCGAGTGGCTTATAGTCCTGACCTGGAGATCAAAGTCGGTCTGCTCGAACCGAGGACCCGACATGGCCTTTGCTCTTGCCCGTTGGCTCCTTGACCATATCTCTGTGCGGTTGGGCGACTGCTTGAGTCCTCTCTCCTGATTCTCGGAAAGGCCTAGCGAGTCCTCCTCGCTCTTCACTTCAGGCGTGGTCTCGGCCTTGTTGTTCAGGAGACTGTCCTTGGCCTCACTGGTCTGGTTGAGTCTGGGAGTCGAGGTCGCGAAGGCCCTCTGGGCAACGCCGGCCCGTTGGGACAGGCGCAAAGTTGTCCTAGCTGCCAGTCGTGGTAGCATGATGTCGAATGTGTGTGGTAAGGATGAATTGGCTCGTTCCGAACGAGTTTGGCCCGATTACAGACGTTGAGGCGGCTTCGCGTGAGGTCAATTCGGTAGCACTGGAACATGCACACGGGCTGCTTGTTAAAGCTCGGACCACACATACAACAAGACGCAACAGCTCAGATACATAGACTAGACTAACCTAACCTAGTCTAATCTCGTTAATGGGCTTGGGCCTTTCAGTTGCCTCTCAGTTCGCTTTGGTCTTTGTGGATCAACTTCACTCCCTTTATCGAGGCTATTTCCTTATCGGGCCGTTGGAACTCGGAATTTCTTGAACCATTTCAACCAGCAGCACAAACTTCGTAGAGGCACTTGTGATCAGCCAGCTGGGAGGCACGCATTTCTTCACGGAGTAAGAATCAAATGCAAGGTAGCTCGCTTAGAACCTGTCCAGCCCAACAGCCTCAAAGCTGATTCTCGTTTTGCCCTAAATCGGCACACCTCTTATCTGGAAAATACCTTCCAAACGAGGTCTTAAAGCTTGCTCTTAAGAGTGGCTGCAACCTGCCTGGATAAGGATTGTGGTGGTCGTCCCGCAATTCCTTAACAACATCTCATCTGCCAACTTTTGTCACAGTCACATCGTGTCCTGAGTATCTTCAGAGACCACTGACGAGATGGCGGCCCAGAGCACCCCAAAGGGCATGTCCTCGAGACTGCTAACTATGAAGTTCATGCAGCGAGCAGCAGCCACATCTTCGCCAGCATCAGCATCCAATCCAAGCACGCCCGTTTCCGAAGAGTCCTCTTCGAAGCGACGCAAGATCTCTCACAGCCGCTCTAGTAAACAGGACCCTGATGTCCTAGTGGATCGCCAAAAGATCCAAGCTGCCATAGACGAGGACGAGCGCAAGCGTGAGGATGCTATAGTGAAGCGTGCCGCAGAGCTTGGCGATGCCCGATGGGTACTCGACGTCGCCGGCCTATCTAATCCTAGTGCCGCAGCTACGAAGCCTCTACAGGTTGTCCAGGTTGGCTATGCTCAGATTGATTCACCTGATAACTCAGAAGACGACTCAGAGCCCGCCGACGAGGCGCACAGCAGAGTACCGATTCGCCGCTACAACATGGCAAAGAAAAAGGCACGTTTTTCTTGTTCTTGTTCTTCTTCTACTCTTCACTTCTTTATCTTTCTCTCCCCCGGCTAAAGAACCACACTCGTCTCCTATATACTAACACTGTGCCATAGAGTGCTCAGGCAAATGATTCTAATGACGACTCCGATGACTCGTCTGATGATGATTCAGACTCATCCGACGAAAGCTCATCAGCAGATGAAGGTGGCCGTGGTTCCCGCCCAAATTCAGCCAACAGGACGAACTCTACTCCCAAAGGTGGATATGCGAACAAGAAAAATGCTGAGAAGGAAAGAGCCAAAGAGTTTGCAGATAAAAGGAGGAAGAAGGAAATCAAGTTGAACCACAAACCCCAGTCTCCAGGGCTGTCGTCGATATCCAACGCAGGGGGCATGCAATCACTGTCCTCAGGAGGTCGTCCCACGCAGCGACAATCTGGTGTTTTCTCGTTCACTTGTCATAACTGCGGACAGACTGGCCACAAAGCCGCCGATTGCAAGAAACCCAAGCATCGCTCCCGATGAAGCACTTGCAGCACGGCGATTGTGGCCAAATATTCGTCGATACAAAACTAGTCATTGCTACCATGCCATGATTTGAGGGCCCGAAACCTTGTTTGGCCAAGGACGATACTGAGCGTTCAAAATCCCGCATTGCCATGTGCACTGCTTGGTTCGTTTCCCATAGGGACTTTGACGGGATATTTCACGTAAGAACCCTGTCCCCCCAGGGACTATGCCGCCGTATGTGGCAACTAGTGGTCTGGCAGTGATATCAGGCTCAAAAGCAACATTTCCCACTCGGGAAGGTTGCCATATCTGATTATATTACTTCAGGGCGAAGTATCCTATATCAAGAGATTGAAATTCTTGGTTTATGCAATACCCTAGAAGTTATCAACTCGCAAACAGTATGGCCGCCGCGCTTTTCCGAGGTACCAATACTAGCGAGTTAATCTCACGGAAAAGAAGAAAGTCCAAAAACCCGGTAGTGTCCTATTATTGTTGATACGCATAAATAGGAACAGTTGATTCGCGCGTGTACCTGCACAAACCCGATCATACCGACATTCGATAATCAGGGAACTGCCGTTCCACGCCATTTTGAAGCTCGAGGCAACGTCACAACTAGGGCTGCGTTGCATTTCTGAGTACACAGTAGATGACATTCCGAGATGGACTGATCATCTCCTGACGTTAGGAACAGCAGAATCCGGTGGCATATGTGTCCCCCGGGTTTGCGCTCATTGTTAAAATTGTCAAAACATCATTTAGAATTGCGGGCGTCGCGTTACCTAGTCCAACCGGCCAGTCCCAACTCTGTATCATCTATCATATCACTGGAGCAACATTGTTCATAATGACTGTTTGTCTTGAAGCTCTGATGAGTTACCGGATACAGGACATTCTTAGGTAGAGCTACATAATCCATGTCGTTATAATAATGATGCTCACTGCAGTCATTTATATTCGTATTACTAGTTTCTTAACGCTTGAGTGAACGTGATGCTACCTTCTAATCTAGAATGTAGATACTTTGTGCATATCGACTTGTCAGACCTGCGATACCGAGACACATATGACACACCGAGATATGGTTGCTCAATCCTTGCACAATGCTATGAATGGAAGATCATACGGTATTTCGCCAATTTGGCCGGCTCGGCTGTCGCCTCAAAGGATAATGACGTCCAAGGCTCTGGGCCCTTTCATCCGTGGGGCTATGCAAGATGGTTGGACGCCAGTGCTCAGGTACCACACCAGCAATGCGACTGACTTTAACGAGGAAGGGACCAAATAACTCATGAACCCGGGAATATAGTGGAGTGAGACCAATTGCCGCTGTGGTACTCAAATCGACGATGATACTGTTACAATTAACATTGAAGATCTGGAAGAATAAGTGGACCTAATATAGCCCGCTCGGTTATTCGGGCTCTAAAAGTGAGGCGTAGATGGGGGTAGGCAAATCCATGTAAATAGCACCTGATTATATCAATTCCGAATTGGGAGGTGGAAAAAATACGAAGAAAAATTGAAACAGCAGCTTATAACATCGGCTAATAAAAATTAGGAGAAACCGAACCTGAGTAGATGATCTTGCTTGCTGCAATTGACCAGCAGTTTGACGAACTCGGCAAGCCTTAGGTACTACATGTATACGCATAGTGGTACCTTTATGGACAACTTCCGATAGGTGTTATGTGACCTTGTCACGAACCGTGGCATACCGAAGGCAAAGATGCATCACGACCATACAAAGTTCAACGCCTACATACTCTCTTGAACCGCCCAACACTGGGACATAAATGTTTGAGCTACGATAGTGGCTAACTGCGGAATAGGACGCCGTAACCTCGGGCTTCAGACTAGATAAGGAGCTGCCCATGATTTCTCAGTTACCAAATTACAAAGCTGCAGTTCAGAATTTCATAAATAGCACGGCGCCGGCAAATGTGAACATTCGAGCACAACATGTTCGTCAAGAACGTTAGTTCCAGGTTCTCTGAGACTGTTCTCTTTTCGTGATAGCAATTGGTGTCTTTCGGCGACATATCAGAAATTAATTATCAAAAGACACACAATTGCTAGCAGTCCAGATCCTCTCGTCCGATCTTTTTCGTGGACCCTGGGCCTGCCACCCAGCCTGCATATGTCTGTGCAAACCGCTACGGGATTATTCGTCGCCTGCAGGTCGTGAAAAAGATTAGATGGACGCATTGCTCAACATCCTCTCATGAGTTGCAACAGGGTCGTTACCCTGCCAGCTTCAGTGTCAGTCCTTGACGCCCAAACTAGTTGCGTAGCGCCACCTACCGGCCCGTATAGGCGACAACAAAACAAAACAACTTTACCAGGCGGTAACAGTCCTCAACATGGCCTTTTTGCATGCTGTGCAAGGATAGGCGCAATTTGTGCCAGAGCTCCAGATTTCCAGTGATGTGCGGTGATACAAGAGTTACAGGATTAGACCCAGTAAATGCGCATGCTGTAGCCTGATGATCTAAGAGAGGAGTTGTCGCATTTGGGTTCGAGACAAACATGTTTCTCCGATGTACTTGATGGTACGTACAGCAACGATGCTGCAGTAAACATGCAGTATGGTCGGTGGTCTATCAGATATCACAATACCCCGGCTCTGCCGTTGCTGGTTCCCCGGCCCCATTGATGGAACCTACAATTGGATAATGCTCCGAAGGAACATTCTTCTCGACGATCCAGGAAAAGCATGTTATATTAATATCGATACTATAGCAGATCGCGGCTGCAGATGCACCACAACGCACTCCTCAACGGCCGTGCATGAGCTCCTGACAACAGCTACTTAGGGCTCTTCTGGAACCTAGTCCTTAACTGATGCCCAAGTGTTGATTATTGGTATTTGTCGGTCAGGCCGTGGCATACTTAACAACCTGGAACGGACGTGCAATGCGCAAGGGATGGTCTGGCATGCATTCTACCCTTCAATTGCCAACGTGGCTACTTTGTGAACCGCCGAGTGAATCAGAAGCAAGACTTCCTGGAGCGTCTCCTCTGTACACCCCCTAAGACGAATACACATGGTCTGACAGTGTTCGTGGCGGGCTCTGCAGAACCTTCTCTGTCAAGGCAAGAGCGTAGCGTCCACGCCTACGACTGGATACCTATCGTGTAACAACTGCGACTGTGGCGCTTGTGGAGCCGCGTATCTCACTGCGATACCGCATGTCACCATCAGCAAGCGAAGTACCACTCTGACCTGAGTGACCAACGACGGAGAAAGAAAAACAAACAAAAGAAAGAAAGAAAAAGCATCAAGTCACGCGCAACAACGTCAGCAAGCTTACTAACCAGCATCGAGAGGTAGCCTCTGGAGGCCAGCTTAGCACATAAAAGCAACGTCGGCGCAGTGTCCCGTGGCCTCGCCCGACTTCCGAATAGAGCCTCAAGCATAGTTGAGCATTAGTCAAGTATCCAAACCCGATGCTGCAGAGTATACCATACCGGAACCAGTGAAGAGAAGGTACGATTTTTCCTTGCGAGTGTCATTTCCCATACTGCCTACGTCTGTCACACGGGGGCGGGACCACACACCTTCAGAGGTTCCACGCATGTCAAGAGTCAAGACTCATGCTCTCGCCCTAGACTAAGTATTTGCACATCTACATTAGCTCTTCTCCACATAGTCAGCACAGACCCTTGTTCGCTGTCACGCTGCCCGCTGCAACCTCCCTGACGATGTATTGACTAACCTGCTAACCTATGCGCAGTAGCTACTAACCTTAGTCTAGTCGTACCTCGACTATTCGTAATAAGGCTCTCCCATCCCCCCACCACCTACGTCTCGACGGACCCGCCAACCTTGCGTACCAGTGAGGTGTGGTTTTCGAAAGCTGCCTCCTCAAGTTCAAGCATACCAACGGCATCACGAGATCTTTTTGTCGATACAGCGAGGTCACAGACAAGTCAATATGCCGCTCACTGCAGGAGCGCCGAATCGCATAGAACAGGTCACCATGCGGGAGAAGAACCCTTCCGTAGTAAGGGTCACAGATCAGCTGGAAACCCCCTCGTTAGACGACCGATCCTACCGTGTGATACGCCTGTCCAACCAGCTGGAGGTTCTGCTCGTACACGATGCCGAGACTGACAAGGCCAGCGCCGCCATGGATGTCAATGTCGGTAACTTCAGCGATGAGGACGACATGCCTGGCATGGCTCACGCCGTAGAGCACGTAAGTGCCGTGTTTATTACAAGAGGACAACACTCTGAAGGTCCACCTGCTAACTTTATCTGCTACAAGCTCTTGTTCATGGGCACCAAGAAATATCCCATCGAGAACGCTTACAACCAGTATCTCTCTGCACACTCGGGATACTCCAACGCATACACGGGTGCCACCTCGACCAATTACTTCTTCGAACTCGGCGCAAAGTCCACCGACGATGGAGAGCTCACAGAGGCCAACTCGCCATTTTATGGTGCCCTTGATCGATTTGCCCAGTTTTTTATCGAGCCATTGTTCCTCGATTCGACCCTGGATCGTGAGTTGAAGGCCGTGGATTCGGAAAACAAGAAGAACCTACAGAGTGACCAGTGGCGGCTGCATCAATTGTCCAAGTCGTTGTCCAACCCAAACCATCCGTACTGCCACTTCTCGACCGGAAACTACGAAGTCCTGAAGACAGAGCCCGAGGCTCGGGGAATCGATGTCCGCGCAAAATTCATTGAGTTCCATGGGAAGCATTACTCGGCAAACAGGATGAAGCTCGTTGTCCTTGGCCGCGAACCGCTGGATCTGCTTGAGAAGTGGGTAGTGGAGTTCTTCTCAGGGGTGCATAACAAGGACCTTTCTCAAAATCGGTGGGAGACAGAACCGCCATTCCCGAAGAACCTCTTAAGTATGCAAGTTTTTGCCAAGCCTGTTATGGACTCTAGAGAACTCAACCTGTTCTTCCCTTTCCTCGATGAAGAGCATCTTTACGAATCGCAACCCAGTCGGTATATCAGCCATCTGATTGGACATGAAGGGCCGGGCAGCATCATGTCCTATATCAAGTCCAAGGGTTGGGCGAACTCGTTGAGCGCTGGAGCGTATCCGATTTGTCCGGGAACCGGCGGTATCTTTGACTGTCAGGTTCGTCTGACAAAGGAGGGTCTCAAGAATTACAAGCAAATCGTAAAGGTCTTCTTCGAGTACGTCTCGCTTCTCAAGGAAACACCGCCTCAGGAGTGGATCTTCGAAGAACAGAAAGGTATGGCTGATGTAGACTTCAAATTCAAGCAGAAGACCCCTGCGAGTCGCTTCACCAGTAAGATCAGTTCCGTCATGCAGAAGCCTTTGCCAAGAGAATGGCTTTTGAGCGGACAGAGTCGCCTCCGAAAATTCGAGCCGAGCCTTATTACCAAAGGGCTGGAATGTCTGCGACCTGACAATTTCCGCATGTCAATCGTTTCACAAGACTTCCCTGGCGGCTGGGATCAGAAAGAAAAATGGTATGGTACCGAATACAAGGCCGAGAAGATACCAGAGGAATTCTTAGCCGAGATTTCGAAAGCCGCCAATGGGTCTACAGAGCGCTTGTCTGAGCTACACCTCCCACATAAGAACCAGTTTATCCCGACCAAGCTCGAGGTCGAGAAGAAGGATGTGAAGGAGCCAGCCGTGGCACCTCGACTGTTGCGAAATGACGATTTTGCGCGGACGTGGTACAAGAAGGACGATACTTTCTGGGTTCCCAAGGCAAACCTCATCGTCAGCCTCAAGAACCCCATCATCTACGCTTCGGCTGAGAATTCTGTCAAAGCAAAACTTTTCACGGATCTTGTGCGGGATGCGCTAGAGGAATACTCCTACGACGCCGAGCTTGCTGGGTTGCAGTACAACGTCACTCTCGATTCTCGTGGGCTTTTTGTTGAGGTCGCAGGTTATAACGACAAGTTACCTGTGCTTCTTGAACAAGTCCTCCTCACGATGAGAGACCTTGACATCAAGGCCGAACGCTTTGATATTGTCAAGGAGCGCCTTACTCGCGGATACCGCAACTGGGAGCTACAACAGCCTTTCTCCCAGGTCGGAGACTACGTTTCTTGGCTCACTTCGGAGCATGATTATGTTGTAGATCAACTCGAAGCAGAGCTACCTGGCATCGATGTGGACGGTGCCAGGCATTTTCATAAGCAGTTGATGTCTCAATTGCATGTTGAGGCATACGCGCATGGCAACTTGTACAAAGAAGACGCGCTGAAGCTTACCTCCATGGTTGAGAAGATTCTTAGCCCACGGATCCTTCCCAAGGACCAGCTTCCCATTCTCCGTTCTATGATATTCCCCCCGGGATCCAACTTCTTGTACACGAAGACACTACGGGATCCCGCCAATGTCAACCACTGTCTCGAGTATTACCTACACGTTGGAGACAAAGGAGACCGCAAGATTCGAGCAAAGACACAACTTCTAGACCAAATCCTCCACGAGCCAGCCTTTGACCAGCTTCGCACAAAGGAGCAGCTCGGATACATTGTGTTCAGCGGTCTGCGCAGCTGTTCGACAACATATGGCTTCCGCTTCATTATCCAGAGCGAGAGGACATCTGAATATTTGGAGTCTCGCATTGACTCGTTTTTGACGCAGCAGCTCAAATCACTCCAGGAGATTAAAGATGCCGAATTCGAGAGCCACAAGCGCAGCGTCATCATCAAAAGACTTGAGAAGCTCAAGAACCTGGACCAGGAGTCTGGCAGGCACTGGGCTCAGATCACCGGCGAGTACTACGACTTTGAAGCTTGTGAGTGATTTCTATCGTTGAGCACGTTACACAAACGAACTAACACCGTGTCTAGCCCAAGAAGACGCGGCTGCTGTGAAGATGCTCACCAAAGCCGAAATGATTGAGTTTTATACTACTCACATTGTGCCAACATCAACTGTTCGGGCCAAGCTTGCGGTACATCTAATTGCGCAGGGTGTCAGCGACAAGACCAAGGAAGCTCCTGCAGCAAGTGAGATGGAGAAGGTGCCGGGCAATGGCGTTGAACCATACGTGATTGAAAACGTAAGAGACTACAAGTCTCAACTAGTGGCGAGCGCAGGTGCTCGCCCTTTCAAACAACTAGGTGACTTTGAAGACTTAGAGTCAAAGCTATAAAGGGTTAGCAACGACACTGCATAGACTATATACCTTCCCACGATGTAGTTCTGCTGCGCATGGCGTCGGCGTTGGGTGACAGGCAGAGGCAAATGAGCATTTTACCCAGCATGGTTCGGGCGTATCTTTGCTGTGCGGATTGAAGCTTTCAGGTTTTGATACCCAGTTCAACGAGTAGAGGGGGATGGTCTACATCAAAACATCCTAACATAGCATTGGGACTTCCTTTTGGCAGATTGTTTCCCAAACATGGAATGCGCAATGAGTCAGGGGATAGCCCAAAGATTATGAGGCATGAAGTGCACATGCCCGTGGATGGTGGAAAAAGAAAACCAAAAATTCTTAGAATAGAACTCATCCCTACATGCAAAAACGTTGACCAGCAAAAGATAACATGATACTATGGCTTGGTCTTTGTCCTGGATGTTCTGAGAAAAAGCACATGATGTCGAAGAAGTTTGATAGGCTACGGGACACTATACTCTGTCACGAAATGCATTTACATTTACGTTGGTTGTGCCTTGATACAATTGTGCATGGCATGGCTGAGAAGCGTACTACTGTACAATATTTGCTATACTTGGCTCACCGCTAGAGTATAGTAACTTTAGTCCTTGACTTGCCTGTCTTGGGTTACTGAAAGAATTTTTCAAAAAAGCCCCACCAAGTGTTTGTGACGTGAATTGATGCCTGCCAATTGCAACAAACAGAGATAGATACATGACGATGCGCTTCGTCTTAGTGCGGGGGTTATGTATTCACTGTTGACGCGATACGTACTGTAGCTACCTGGAAAGCGCACGGCTCACCCATGCCCACTCCCGCTATTTTTGTATTGCCCAGGGCTGCCAGGCTGCATCGACCTCTTTTGTGCAACATTGAACTTTACTGGAACCTCGCTAGACTAGACCCGACAGCTACAGCAAGCGCCGACGACAGGATTTTTATTATTATTATTTTAAGTTCTTTTTGGGAGATGACCACGATCTCACGCAGTGACACCGCTGACCCAAAAGAAAAAAAAAAAATAAGTCCATGCCTCTGGAACGGCTGACCCGGAGAGACTCCTTGACACGACGACTTTCTGCCTGCTCTAGATTTTGCGACGCGTCTTAATTGACGACAGAGAGGTCACCTACTACCCATCGGCGAGCCGTGTTCTTGGTAAGTGCTGTTACTCTTGCTACTGCTATTGGTCCCGCACAGTACCTGCTGTACTTGTAAATCTTGGGGCGCTTCTTTCTCTGCCCTTGAGGAATGCATGCCGGTCCCATGCACAAGACCAGAAGCTGCACTTACAGCAACTTGCAAAAGTCAAAGCTTGGGAACGCGCAAGCGTATGACACCTGTTCTACCACAGTATTCTAGAAGCATTAGTGCCCCTGTCCGTTCATGTAATACTGACTTTGTCACAGCCACCAGTTCCAGCAGTCTCTTTTGAGCAGAATTGGAATCGGACACCTGCGTTACTTACTTATGACGCCGTGTCCGGCTCAGATATTTGGTACCTACAGTCAAGGTTAATGTATGGAGTGTGGCGGGGTGACCAATAATTAACGGCGCCCACACCTAACCTACTTACGCCAGCCCAGGCCCTGATGTACCTTACTCGAGCAGAGCTGTAACCTCACCCCCCCACCATACACCGTCCGCCATTCACCATCCACCATCCACACATCGGCGAGTTTTACAATCCTCCGGCTTTCACTGGAACCCACGCCTCAACACCAAAAGGCGGCATCACAGGCTCGATTTAGTCCCCCACAATCTGACAACAGAGCTGCTCTCCGCAGCTCGTCGCCAAAACGTCTTACCCAAAGAGGAAGAAGATTAGGCGTTCACCCAGAGAGCCACAAGCCGACAGCCCCTCACCAGACTCTCCCATACCCTCCCTCGAAATCGACGATAGTGCCAACTTCTCCTTCACCGAGGCCACATTTGCACCCTCACCCCGCGGGGACTCGGTTCCGCCAGCGTCCAGTCTCCCGCCACACCTCTTGCCCGAGTACGCCAATTCCGTAGCCAGCCATTCTTCCGGCGGAGACAGTCCTCCAGCTAACAACAGCGTGCGAGGCTCGTCTCCCCTTGCCATCAAGCCCGCATTTCACAGGGCCATCATGGGTGGTGCAGCAGATTTCCCAGAGCGGGCTTCGTCGCCTCTGAAGCGCAGGGCATCCAGCATGGATCCGGAGACGGCCGTAAAGGAGGAGGACAACGCCAGTGAAGACGTGGACATGATCACAGCACCGCCCGAGACCGCATCAGATACCCCCCCGGCTGCGGTTACCGAGGACTCTCAGTCAGAAAACGCTGTTCCACAGCCTCCAGAGTCTCTCGAGGCGCACATCAAGTCGATACGGACATTTTGCGAGGAGTTTGATTCACGGCCACTGGAAGATGGGGATGAGGCGTATGTGGTGTCGAGAAAATGGGTTGAGTCAGTTATCGGCGGTTCAAGGGGTACAAAGAAGGACACATTCCCAGATCCGGCATCTGTCCGACCAGTTGACAACTCAGACATCATTTGGGAAGTGCTCGACGACCCTTGTGTCGGCAAGACCGCCCCGGTATTGACGAGGAAGTTCGTCCGACTGAAGCCTGGAATCGGACTGGAGCAGTATACTTTGTTCCCTGCCACTGCTTGGGACCTGGTGATGCAATGGCCCGGCCTTGCCCCTGGTCAATTTTCTATCCTGCGGGTTGCACACAGAACCAGTGAAAATGAATTCGACCACAATGTCCAGCTTGAGATGCATCCTCCCGTTTTCAATATATATCGTCTTTGGTCGGCCCACAGTCCTCTGCCGATCAAGCAGATCCTGAAGAGCACGCAGCCACCACCTCCGCGTTTGGCCCGGAGTCGCACATCGACCTGGAAAGCATTCCTTGCGCAATGCAAGCAACAAGCCAACATAGATTTGTCCCAAAAAGTTCGGGTATGGAGGGTGCCACGCAAGCTGCCTGCTAGCGGCTCTGCTGCTGGTCCGGCGCCGACACCACCTGCGTCACCCCCGGCTCAAGATTCCGACAGCCCCGAAGATTCATGGCCGCACATGCTTCTCGATGTCGCCAGCTTCACCGCACTGGATGACCCTGCTGATCGTGAAAAGGTTGATTTTAGAGACGTTACTGTCGATCTGAACTACAATGGCCACGTGACCTTGGAAAAATTGAGCTTGTCTACTGACCAGGCTATCGTCCTGGATGAGCAGATATCCGGCACTAACTTCGTCTCTACGTTTACTCCATCTCAAGCTGCCTCAGTAAGCCTTCCAGCTACGCGAGCCAGTTCAACTAGTTTAGTTGTCAACCGTGCCACTAGGAGTGGTAGAACCAGTCCCGCACCCTCAGGACCCCTAACTCGTGGCAGAACACAGAAATCCGGAAGGACTATCGGGTGCACAGGCTTGAGCAACCTCGGCAATACTTGTTACATGAACTCTGCACTGCAATGTGTGCGCAGTGTTGAAGAGCTCACCAAGTACTTTTTATCCGAAAAATGGAGGCAGGAGGTCAATCGTGAGAATGTTCTGGGACACAATGGCGACGTAGCTCAAGCGTATGCCTTATTACTTAAGGAGATTTACAAGGAACCTCCGCCCAGCTCCGTTACTCCTCGGCATTTCAAGAGTACATTAGGCCGTTATGCACCTGCGTTCTCTGGATACGGCCAACAAGATTCACAGGAGTTCGTTGGGTTTCTGTTAGACGGGTTACAGGAAGATCTCAGCCGCGTGAAGAAGAAGCCATACATCGAGAAGCCTGATTCTACGGACGAGATGATCGGTGATCCAAACGCTATTCGTGAAATGGCAGAGCAGGTCTGGGACATAACAAAGCGCCGAGATGACTCTGTTGTCGCAGATCTCTTTACCGGTCTCTATAAGTCGACTTTGGTATGCCCAGACCCTAGCTGTGGGAAGATTAGCATCACCTTTGACCCCTTCAACAGCCTGACTCTACCTATGCCAATTGAGAACAAGTGGTCACACACCATCAAATTCTTCCCTCTCAACGATAAACCTATCGACATCCGGGTTGAGTTAGACAAGTCCTCTTCCATCAAGAAGTTGAAGGAATTCATCAGTAGCCGAACCGGCGTTCCCGTCGAACGTATTCATGGCGGTGAAGAGTGGAAGAACAAATTCTACAAGCAATACGCCAATGGTGCGTGTGCTTCCGAAGAAATCGGCAACAACGACAATGGCTGGTTCTATGAGTTGGAAGCTGCACCAACAAACTGGAATTCGGCAGAGTCGAGAAAGTTTGAGGCCGGTACGAAAGGCCGTCGTTCCCTCCTTGAGGAAGCCGAAGACCCCGGTGCCGAAGTCTATGATGCTATGCTTGTCCCGGTCATGCATCGAGTGACTGCAGACACTCCATATGGTGGCAAACGGCGGCAAATAACTCTTGCGCCCCACTTCATCGTGGTCAACCCGGACGAGGTAAGCGCTCTCTTTATACATAATTATTTAACTTGCTAATGCGATCTACAGTCTCGTAACGAGGATGTCATTCGTCGCAAAATCTTGCAAAAAGTTGCGACCTTGACCAAGCATGAATTCTTCGCTCGCCGAGATGATACTGATTCATCAGACTCGACAGAGTTTGCCAACGACTCTAGTTCTAGCGAAGGTAAGGTTGTTGCGCAATCTGTACAGGGTGAAGATGATATGATTGATATCACCATGAGAGATGTCGGCGACTCTAAATCAACCCCTGGTGGGGATACCAACCCGTACGTTTCCTCAGCTAAGATTGCTTCTTGTTTGCACCTAACACTCTAGACAGTCCCGTTGGACACAACTTCAATCAAACGCCACCGTTGTGGGTGGATCCTAAGGAGTACTTGCCTGCGAAGCTTCAGAACATTTTCGAGCTGTGCTACTTCCAAGAAGGCGGCTCCTTACTGGTCAGCGGATTCAATACGCTGAACGAGTCGACGGAATACCCGACTCTTTCATCAAGAGCACCTGACACCACTGGCTCAGACGATGGCGCCGAAAGTGAAACCAACGGCACAGCGTCGAATGACGAAGACAGCTTGGATGAGTTGTCACAGCCAAGCGCAGATATGCCCTCAACGCGGATGACGGAAGAGGAAGAAAGCGAAGAAGACGAAGCCCCTGTTGTTAAGGTATGGCCAGTCCAGGCTCATTCCGGCGGATGGACAAAACGTGATCTCCGTCAAGTGACGATACCGCGACAACGAAGTAGATCTTCACTAACAGATAACCAGATCGCACACAGACCTAAGACCTCAAAGCTCAACACAAAGCCGCCTAACGGACAGAAAAAGATGAAGCCGCATAAGAAGTACGGAAAGAAGGGCAACAAACGAGCCCAAAGACAAGCGGTGGCGGCGGCCAGGAAACAGCAAGTGCACAAAGAACGCATCGAGGCCAATTCGCCGACAGAGACTGTGGACTCTGGCATCGATGGGGGACCGCTCATTCGTCTTCGGGAGGCGATTGTTGTTGACTGGAGCGAAAAGGCTTATGAAGCCTTGTTTGGCGATTTGATGGGAACGTGGGCCTCGTGCGAGACCATGCCTGACCCAGTGCTTGACAAGGCTGTTCAGTTCCGTGCCAGACGAAAGAAGAACGGTGTCAGTCTAGAAGACTGTCTTGACGAATTCGAGCGCGAAGAGGTGCTGTCTGAAAACGACACGTGGTACTGTCCTCGTTGCAAGCAACATCAGCGAGCATCCAAGAAGTTCGACTTATGGAAGACACCTGACATCTTAGTCATGCATCTCAAGAGATTTAGCTCTAGCGGATGGAGAAGGGAGAAGCTCGACATACTGGTTGACTTTCCCATTGAGGGACTGGATCTTACTAAGCGCGTGTTGCAAAAGGAAACAGGCAAAACTGAGGTATACGATCTGATCGGTGTCGACTGTCATTGGGGAGGCTTGGGAGGAGGCCATTACACTGCTCATGCCAAGAACTTTGTTGATGGCCAATGGTACTCCTACAACGGTAAGTCGATTGTATCTATCCTTTTCGGGTCACGTCTGACATGATAATAGACTCTTCCGTGTCCAAGGCAAGCCCGGAGAAGATTGTGGATACCTCAGCATACCTGCTTTTCTACCGTCGGCGCTCAGATGTACCTCTCGGAGGCCCGATCCTTCAGGAGTGCGTCGAGGTGTACGACAACCCTGATTACGACGAGAATATTGCCGACGCGGGGGAAGGGCGGCGACTCGACGAGGGCTCCTCCCCAACTGGGTCGTCGAGCGCATTCCAGGAGCAAGGGCCAGAAGCTACTCACCATCGTCAACAAGGAGCACGTGGTGGTAGGTCCATTGGTTCCAAGACCTACGAAGCGAGCAGCGATGATGGGATGGCGCACTTGACCAGCGCGACTTACAGTGAGGGCAATCAGACACTCCGCCGGAGCATTGAAGAAGATGAAGGCATCGACATGACTGAGAATCCTACGCATACCGCCACTAATGCCTATCAGCAGACGTGGGATTTCAACATGTTGACTGCCCAGAATATGGCACAGGGTAACGGAGTGCCTGGTAGTCCTCCGGGTTCCGGCGCAGCAACCGATGAAGCACAGCATGATTCCTCCGGCGACGAAGTCTTCAGTCCACAAGGTGGTCTTGATCCGGACACGGATATGGATAATGTCCCCGGTTTGAATCAAATCGAATTAAACAAACCTTCTGATCCGCCAGCGTATGGTGAAGGAGTCCCACCACCTGACTACAGAGGAGAGATTTCACGGGACGACATGTCTCAGTTCTGGAATGCTAAGCAGAGTGTACACGAAGTCGTTGATAAGGGCGAGGATCAGAAGTCTGATGAGGCTGTTGAAATTCGTCTTGAGGACGAAGAAGAGAAGGGCAAGCAGGTGTAGGACCCCAGCGCAACTGCCATAACTCAAATTTCTACAGAGCCGGTCACGCCAAGCTTATCCGACATTACTCGCGAGGCTCTAGGTGTGATGCAGCAACAGCAACCTCCGAGCCCCGTGTCTCCTTGTCCCATGCTCGCCGCACCAGACTCGGACTTAGACACTGAGATGCAGTTCGAGATGTTGATGTATAAATCCGATACGCAGTTTGGGTTAAACATCCGATAGTGTGCAGGGGCAATTTTCAAAGGCTAGCGACTCATCAAGAGGCTGTACGTAATCCTACGGATAAGTTCTAGACAACTCCCTGGGAAGTTGTTTACATTCACGTGGACATATTCTGTACGAGTTACGAGAACTTTATATACCACCTATGGATATGGCTTTTTGCTTCATGGCAAAGAGACAGAAATTGCCCAAGGGTAGAAAATTCGGTACTCCATCGATAAAGAAAGACCTCCCAGCAATCGCATTGGCAATGGTACCATAAGGCGTGGAAGAACCAGTAGCGAAGGACTGGGGCACAGCGGAAGGAACATATTTAAAAAAAGGCAGCCAAAGAAAAGAGTAAAAGTGAAAATTCCACGTAAATGGTCAAGGCGCACAACCTGCAGAGCTAAACATCGTTCCCGGGGGTGTGAAGAGAAGGGGGATACATAGAATTTGTCGGAGTAGCATTACATTCGGGGTCAAGATCATAGCATTCCAGCACGCATTGATTGCACGGCGTGAGGTGGCATGGCCTGATTGATTGAATGATCAGGGCCGTATGGTTGTTCTGGCAGCCAAACATAGAAGGATGAATACATGAATTGCATATGTTACTTGCCTCTTTCAGCCCCATCGGTAATCCTCTGCCTCTCTGCCGCACCTGAATTCTGCACGGCCTCCATGCTCGGCAGCCGATTGCCGGTATTGACAAATGCCAATACTAGCACACTGCACCGGATGCATGAGATTAATCCCGCGGACCGTGCTGCGAGCAGGACACCGCAGTCAACATACTAACTATGTAGGTTAGGGGACGTGTTGTCTTAAATTATCCACAAAATCCCACAATCGCATATAAAAGAAGTACCTATGCTGGAAACTCGAGTGATATGATGGGGGCTCCAGTAGAGCGTGGGTGGGATTCCAGCAAATCAATATCAAATAGCCATATAATAACAATAATCCAAAATGAGATGGAGTATCTGTCTATACAGGATAAGTGGTACCAGACAGGAAGCCACCTCTTGTGTCCAAATACTGTTACCACTTAGGCGAGGGTTCACCCAGATATGGGGCGTGCGAGTGCTTCGTTCGGTATCTTTGTGTGCATGGACCATGAGTCAGTGGCTGGCATATGCACCTTTTCTACACAGTGGCTTGACCTCGTGCTGCCGCCGCCGCCGCTGCTGCTGCTGTGGGCGTGATGGCAGATGTTTGTGTAGCTCCCGGAAGCTTTGGAAAGCCCATCCTCAGCATTTTAGCCAGCCCAACGAGCTTCTTCTGCAGAGCTTCAAGACCGTAGACGAAAGTCGTCAGATCCGGAAACGCACAGAAAGGGTGGGAGAAAAGGGCTTGTAACAGACAGCAACAGATAGCTAGGAGGTTCCCCTCCCCTTCGGGTCCCCTGGCCTTTGGGTTTGTGTGCCCGGCCTTTTTGGTTTGGTTCGTGTAGCTACCGAAAATTGCAGAAGCCACCAGAAGAGGCCCCTCTGGCGGTGATACGCCCCCTTCTTCCCCTCAGCGCCTGCCGCTTTCATACACACATGTACGCTGAACCGTGACATGAGCCGGCGACGTGATGTGTGCGGTTCTGTGCAGTAACCACCCATGGCTCCACCCGCTTGCCGCCGCCTTCTCGCCCACAGTCCACTGTCCGTGTGTGTCATCCATCCTTGGTAGATGTAGGTGCCACCTAGGTTGCACCATAGTAGGTGGGATTGCAACTTACCCTTTGCTGGTTTGATGCCTAGGTATCAAGCTCCCGCGGAGCATTGCCGGGTTCCATAGGAAAATGATTGCCCCTGTGCTCCATGACTTCCACATGGTGCAGGCTCTGGGGGTGGTAGGGGTTCTCGGCATACGTGAAGGTGCAAGCGAGGGTTAACAGAACCTATCATTAGAAAGCTCGAATTCGAATGTCCTGACAGCGGCTGGCGCTTCTTCCGATCGTCTTTGTACAAATACGGTATCATCCGTGGAGTCAATTCAGTGTGAGTGAGGGAGTACTTGCCGAGGAAGACTTCTCCGACGGCGCTGAAGGCGGGTATGGAACAATTACGTTCTGGAGAGTTTCTGATTGTTTTTCATTAATCGTTTAATTTAAAATCTTAATAAATAATATTGTTAACAAAAAAGAAAAAGAAATACGGCTTATATTTTTAATACCATTATAACATGCTTATAGTGAGTTCTATAATTAAGATATCAATTATACCCTTTGTTTATTTGTTTCTCTATCGAGACGACATCAGTGTATAAAGTCTCCGCTCACTGACTACCGAGACTCACCTACTCCTTAACTTCTCGCGTGAAGTGTATTTGTCCAAAGATTCACTAAGTGTCCCATATATTAGCAACCGCGTATCCGTCACTGGTACTTCCGACCAACTAGGATAAGCAGATACCCGAACTGGTGATGTAAACGAGTGACTAGAGCGCCTCGACAAAGGTAGCAAGCCATGCATCTGCTCATCCACGCCTGCCTGCCTGTCGGTGATGGAGATGGGTCGAGGAAATAGAGAACTTGATTGATGCGATGCTGTACCGTCCAGTCACTTCTAGAGTGTGGCTCTATCTTTTGTTTCTATTTCACTGCCGAATTCATGTTTGACACGTACGATTTGTGCAGGTTGATGAACATTAATTATAGGAGATTGTTTTTACTGTGACCTGCTAAACTGCAATGGCCTTGTTCAGGCACAGACAAATATGAACTGCTTGACCTAGCACATACGTATGGCTATGCTAGCAACGGTTCCTATGATCTCCCAGTTGCGTATACGACAGTCTATACACGGCACTGACCATGTCCTTCCCTAACATAGCCATGCGCAGTTCAGGCAATACTTACAACCAGAAATCTGGTCACGAGAGCTCACTCACCGACTTTGCAAGTTGACGCTAAAGATGAAGATATTGAATTTGACACAAGGGAATAAAGAGCTCCGTCTAAACCAATAAGCTGTCTCAGAAGCTGCAATGGATTTTCCGGATTAGGAAATACAGGATCATACTAAGCTAAAACGCACCTTGGGCCGGGTTACCTTACCCAGCTGCCTATTTAGGTAGATGCTCTTTCCTCTTGTGTTCTGGGAAGATCGTTTGTCTCGGGCCATTTGGAGCTTGGCGCATTCAACGTGAGGGTATTAACCATTGCTCCCCCATAGTTTCACGAGATTCGGCCATCGGTGATCGGCACTGATGTTACAAGATGGAGGGATGCGGGCATGAGGCCGCATCAGAGCCACGCTCTGCAAATGCCGGCTTCGAGTGTCACGTTGAGCTGCGATCTTCCGATCGGTGGTCTTTTATGCACTAGAATATGCAAGTGACCAGTCTGATAATATTACTCAGCGGCCGCCGCCGCCTCCTTGGTTTCAGAACAACATGTTCGCATACAGTTGTGATGCGATAAGCTAGATTTAGTAACCCGGTAGCCTCTTGAACGATCACAATACTGATCGTTTAGCTACCGTCCTTTCGTGAACGAATGAATTTACAAGCAGATGCGACAATCTTCTTTTCAGATATTCCATATGTTAGCAACACTGGGAGGTGCTTCGAATCGGGTTCACAGTACAGCCAATCGAGAAGACTAGAGACCGACTTCTCGGACAAATATCGTCTCAAAACACGACAAGACTGACAAGGTGATCCAGCCTGCTTGGCCGGTACCGGGCCAGAGTCACAGTGGGTATGCAATATTCCTGGGTGGCAACGAATGCCGTCAATTCAAGGTTAGAGAGTCCGGAGACGAGCCTGAGCAGGACCTTTTTGCCGATGGTGTCAGTTGAATGCCGGGCCAATGACATATTGGCGCCGGGAACAAGACTCTTCAAAGGACGGGGCCGGGGCATACTGCTGGCGAATGGGGCTTCTTTATGAATTATTTTCCTAGAAGCTCGTCATCTGGCAGCAAAAGTAGCTGGTCCCTTCATCTCGTTCTTTCCGGAAGCACTGCAGGTACGTGACGTGGATGAAGAAGAATTGGACGTAAGGGATTCTTGCGAGCACGTGCGATATGTGACTCCTGAGGGTTGGGGAGAACAAAATCCAGGCGTTCAGATGTAATGTATGTGAACAATTCGAGCGTAAAGGCGTCACTACATCCTTGTAAGAGATTGTGCTCTAATATTCAGCCGCGGTAGCCCTCTTTGCCCTCTATCTGGGGATTCAGATAGAGAGTGACAGTTTCGCTGTGGTGATGGGTACCCTAGCTACTCAAAGATAAGAAATCCGGTGGACCATCTCAATTGGGAGGAGACGGAGCTATCGCGCAATCGGATTCGGCCGCGAGTGGTTTAGTGGCTGGCTGAAGGGCTTACATCTAGCGCGGCTGGAAGTAATCAAAAGTCAAAAGAGGGCAAGATACTCGCTCTAGAGGCGATAATTAGGTGATGCATGTCGGGGTGGTGTGCAGGGCATATGGACTTCTGCAGTCGGGGGGTCTGGAGCTGGGGCAAACGGGACCCCAGAAATGCCTTCTGCATGAGATCGCGAATTCCGGTGTTTGATGACGTGCACGCATGTTTCGTAGCAAATCCCTCACATATTGCATCGTACTTGGGCGACTCAGACGATGACGGCGATGATCAGGGGCGAAAGTCGTAAAGTGCGTTAGCAATAATTGGTGTTTGAAGGTTGAAGTTAGGAAACGCCCTTAATCATCATGCGTCTCTGACACTAGCGTCTGTGAGTGTGCATGCATCACTGAGATTCAAAGTCGCGGTTAGTCTAGTTGCATCCTGTACAATCATGCTGTTCAAAGAGGAGACATTGGTACCACTAAACTTAGTCTAATCTATAGGTGTTTTCTGCAGATCGACGAAAACAGATTGAGACGATCGACTTGCAGCTTACCATTAAGTCGAATCTTACTATAACATACAGGCAAACTAAGATCCCACCTATACTCGCCAGTGCCTCACAAAGGTACAATCTCCCCAGATTTGTGTAGCTACATGCACTACACCAAATTCTATACCTTGAATCTCAGCCTTACTCTCGTCTCCAGGTTTTTATTTTTTTTATTTAAAAAAAAAAAAAAAAAACCCTTTCTTCTTCATAAGAAAAGATGAAAGAAGAATTTAACGATTGTTTGATGAATCTAGTAATTTTAGTTATATTGGAAACAGATACGTTTTTTAGTTTGTGTAAATACGCTTGGGCCTTATTTCTCTCGTCAATGACATGTCGCAGGTCCATCATTGTATGTATTTAGGCAAGGTGAAGACCGTGAACCGATTCTCGAACTCTCGCTTGTGCACATGCACGATCAGGCTTGTACAGAAAAAACCATCATGCAATTTGGGGAACGGTGGTTATCGCTTGCCCTGGAGAGCATATCGCTGCCTTGTATTTCAATGCCAGAGAAGATCATAGTTGTTCTCTTGAATGAGAAGGCGAAAGGATCGTATACTATCAGCTGACGATTACCTGATACCTAGCACAACAGATTAAGCGGAGATTTTGCAGCACGTGGCCAAGCAGACGCTCATATGCTCGATCCTTTCTGCAGGGTCTCGTCTTACCCGCTTGAGGTGAGTCGTCTGTTGTGCGACACGGCGCAGGTCTTAGCAACAAGCAATCGGTCGAAGTTGGACGAATACCCATGAATGCAATTGGCTGCGCCATAGTATACCGAGAACCGTAGAAGACACTATAGGGCATGTTGGTCAGTGAGAAAGAACCTTGATGGGGCTGCGTGGCTCGGCGAAAGGATTGCTGGAAACGGAAGGTCAAAGCTGGAGGGGTAAAGATATGTTTCAAGGTTTAATGCTTGCCTGTCCTTGAATAATGAACAGATAAGTACTGGGCACTCGTGTGGGCACATTGAACGCTCTAATAATAGGGCTTATGATTGAGATTGTGAAGGCTTGAGATGCTTGTCGTAGAGTCAATGGGGATGCCGAAGGATCGACATCAGCATGCTTAATCCTAGATGTGGATGAAGATGTGAAAGAGGATTTGCCCAGCGATTGGCGAGGAGCACCCCAGTCTTGTCCTGTGCCTTGAAGATGACTGCCGAGAAAGGAAATGCTTCCAAATGGTGTTGTAGGTAAACACTACCGTTTACAAGCTGTTCTGGAAGGAGCCAGGGGAGCTCTACATAGGCTCTGGCCCGTTCGCTCGGTCTTGCCTCTTAACATGGTCCAATTCATTCACCGTGGGAAGCATCATCCGAGACCTCCGCATTTGCCCTGTCAACTAACAAGGCCCACTCGCTTCGTAGATAGTAGATGGAGATCGTCGGCCGGTAAAACATAGCCACAATCCAGATTGTCCTCATGGCGACGCGCAAGCACGGTGTGCGACGTTATGATCTCAGCAAGGCAATAGGAATGCCCTGTCATGCTTGGTGATATCTTATCGAGAAGCCAAAAAGGCAAAGATGAGCAATTGTGGAGATTTGGGTGCCGAGAGGGAGCGTTTTCTAGAAGCATTCCTGCAACCTAAACCCGATGGATCACAACATGCCCCTTGAATTGGTAAATTGATAGAAGATCTTCCTGACGATGTCCTTCAATCGTTTTGTCTTGCTTCTCTCTTTCTCATACTTTGTAGGGGGCAAAAAGGAAAGAAAGAAAGGAAGAAAGAAAGAAAAGGAAAAACCACTTGATTGCTTGATGCACATAATCAAGTTTGGAAGAGTGCCAGTGCCACAAATGGGCTTTGACTATAACGTCCCAGACGTTACTAGGATTTCGGCTAGCAACTTTGAACACCATTACAGGACAAATTGGAATAAAAAGAATTGAAGGCGTGCGGCTCATAAAACTGTATTGTTTTAGTCACAATCATGGATAAACATTTTGATGGTGGTCCGCCTGGTTTGTGACGCCATCTGACGGTCCATTTGACTGGCACACGCGATTCATGAGTCCGATTCGATCGAGGGCGTGTAGGTTGTGTGGATTCAAGTATGAGAGTTCAGTCTAGTGGTTAGTGTTATTTCAAGATCCAAGCTAAGTGGACTGGCCGATCCACAAAATACCTTCTTCGTGTTTTCTACGCTTCCACAAGTTTTTCTAGAAGGCGGCCAGAAGCCTACGAGGCCGGGTAATGCAAGTGCACCGCATGGTCGTGCGACCCCACCTGCAGGGGATCCGTGGCCAATTGAGTGATTGGCGATCGATAGCTGACGTTGAATTGTCGTTTGCCAGTGATGGTTGCTGGAGTTGTACTGTATCGAGAGATCTCTAGCCTTGTTGCCAGTGCCTCAGGGCTCTCGTTAAAACAAACTGGGCGAGAACAACGAGGCCCTAGGCAGGACGAGGGATGGCACACGAAGGAAGTAGAGCGCTGGTGCCCGAGTGGAAGTAAGGCTTACTGGGCCCGTCACTAACAGCTGGAAGCAGGGCTTGTACTTGTTTTGTTGTTTTGGTGCCGCGATTATGACTTCCGAATTCTGTCTATACGTACTAGTTTTTCCGATAGCATGGCAGACTAATCTACGGAACATACCCGCTGCCTTCCTTCCCTGGGAAATAGGAGAGATAGTACTGTGTGATGGTACGTTTAGCGGTCCACGGGTTGAACAAGAAGCAAGCATGCACGCAAGTACTCGGTACCGGAATTCCAGCCTCGGGCTAATCCTAGAGTCTCCGTGTCCGGGCTAACAAATACGGGGGAGTGCGCGACGCAGAAAGGGTCTCTGATAGGAGCAAGTTACGAAGGAAACGGGGAAGGGGAAGAGGAAAAGGCAGAAGGCAGAAGGCAGAAGGCATAAATAGAAAAAGAAAATAAAGAAAAAGAATTCAATAGCATTCAGAGAGAAACAACGGGTTGCTGGTCTGTCTGATGAAAGTGCGCCGGCAGGTCAATGTTGATCCACTTTTGGCGCTCTTACTGCAGGATGACCCCGGCCATTTGTATCAGTGTTACAGCGTACTTGCAGGCGTTGTGCAACACTTGTCCCAGTCTGCCGTGGCACTAGAGACCCGTCCCATGCCCCAATCAAGTGCTGCGAAACCGCCCTGAACACCCAGAACCCGACCTACACCCTGCTACCCACCCCCCATCTTTGCCCCCCCCCCCTCCTCCCCTTCTAGAACCAAAGACAAAAGACCAGAGACCAGAGACCAGAGAGATCAAAGACCACAGACCAAAACCCTTGGGGCTTGTACTTTCAAAAGACTTTGGCGCTTGGCCTGCGGGCTTGTTTTGCGGTTGTTCGTTCACTTCCTCCTCTTGCCCTTCCATTTCTCTTTCTCGCTTGCATTGACATTTGATCCTCAAAAGACCCCAATCGCGGGCCAAATCGAGGTCGATTGCCTGCATTTCTAAGACGTACACATTGAATGAAATATACACGACCACCAAAATCTTCTCCTTTTTCTTATCACTATTACCCTAGAGCTATACAATTGCTCCAATTACTAGGACGCCAATTTGCTATCCCACAGACATTCGCATCCGTCCACATTCCTTTGCTCTGCTCTGCTCTCCCCTCCTCTGCTCTGCTCTGATAATTGCGCCGAGGCACCTTGCACCGGCGCCTGCATCTGCACCTACTGCACAGATAAAGAGAGAGAGTACCTATTTCATAGTACCTCCCTCCGCCATCACCACCGTTTCAATACCCTCATAGTTTCCCCAGCCACTCGCATCGCATTGCATCGCATCGCAGCGCAGCACATCGCAACACATCGACGACTTATCGCGGCTGTCAGGCACTGAACCTGGAAAGCCCCAGCTTTTATTGACTCAACGTCGCCCATTTCCTTGTCTTATAGGTAGCCGATTTGCGACCCACAGCATGCGATCGCATTCATTCAATCCCAACCCTTGGTCATATACAATCCACAGTCCCACCACCTTGCGAAAACGCCATTGCGACACCATTACCACCGCCACCAGCTCCTGTTGATGTGTAGCATAACATAGCATCTTCCACTTGTTTTTGAGGCCCCCATCCTGGGAAGCATTGGCAGCCTTGGTTGACTCTCCTACCGCCAGCCTCAATCAGGCACTTATCGCTGTTCGTCTGCTCCATGCCACCCAGTCGCCGCCCTTGCGACACTTTCTTTGCTGCTTCGCTTGACAGACTGGAACGAGTCGTCTGACCCGTCGAGCAGACACTTCAGCTGCATGGGCCAAATAACGAACGAATGGTCGACGACATTCTCTACCAGACTCTTGTCTGCCCAATCCGACACTGCCTTCACGACGACTGAGAGCCACATACATCCGAGGGCAATCATCTGCAACCGCTTTGTTAGCGAAAGTGCACTAGTCGTAGGACTGGTTGCCAACTCTTCTCTACCATGGACAACGCCAAGTGCAACGTCATCTATGTTGATCGTAACGTGCGCAACACCACAAAGCTAACGACGGCTTCGACGACATCAGATTTGGACGCAACACTAGGCGAGTCCGGCGAGCTTCGAGCGAATCTTTCACTGCTCATAAATGCTTTCGGCGAGGGTATGTTCATAGACACCTGCTTATTCACACCGCGAGACAGGACAAGGCCGTGGTGTGCTGCGAACAAATATGAATGACTGCTGATGGAGAATTGCTTTACTTAGTCCATGTTTCTGCCACTGGTGCCGCCTGTGTCGAGAGACTACTTAATTTGCACGACACTTCCAGTATTGAGCTCAAGCCGACGCTCGTACTCATTGAAACGCCTCGGAATGACCCGAACGCAGAATCCGACGATGCGTCAAGGGACCCGTCGCCTCACTCGAGAGGCTCATCTAATGCGACACAAGATACTTCTGACAATGGCATATATGGTTTGCGCTTGCTGGAGAAGCTTGTATATGAGACACACTCACGAAATCTGACCAAGCTGGTCGTGCCCATTCCGGTTGTCACTTTTCCTCTGCTGCAGGGCTCACCCCGACTCGATGGCTCAGACGGCCAATTCAACCAGGCCCAATACACTGAATATCTAAATCAAGAGGTCGACCCGACCGGGAAATCCATGACTAGCAGGGCACTCCTGAGGAAATGTCTCGACTCAGGTGCCGTCGATGTGCTAGCTAGTCCTATACATGTGAAAGCGTTGACAACGCTTGAGGTCCATGCTTACCGAGCGCATAAGGAGGCTCTGAGGGAACAGCAGGCTTTATTGGAGATCAGGCGAGGCCGCAAACGCTCGTGGGTCGGCGTCAACGACGAGCAGCCTTTCGCATATCTTCGCGAAGCCATGGTGTCGAGTCTTATGGGCGGCATCTGCCGATCGGGAGATGATAGTGATGTGTTGATTGGAAGCGTCAGGATATCTGTGTCCTCAGAGCAGAAGGCGGGTATTACCGAGGCCATTGGGAAATGGCACTTCTGTGCTCACGAATTTAACGACGATCAGCTGCTCATCGCTGCGAGTCTCATCTTCAAGCATGCCTTGGCCATGCCCGAACTGGAACCGTGGCGGATACCAACAAGTAAGTGGCGGTGGAATGGCGCAACGCGTTGCGTGATTTGTTATTTAACTTGATGCGCTTTCCCGCATAGGCACTTTTGACTGACAAAAACCAGATCAATTGACCAAGTTCCTGGTCTCATGCCGCGCTGCTTACAACACATTCGTTCCATATCACAACTTCCGCCACGCAGTAGATGTGCTTCAAGCAACGTTCAGTTTCCTCTTGAATATGGGGGCCTTGCCGCCTTATCCAGTTGACGCAGGCGATCATGTCACACATGCCAAGACTCCCATGGGGGCTCTGATGAAGCCATTCGACGCCTTAACCCTGCTAATCAGTGCTATCGGCCATGATGTAGGCCATCCGGGAGTAAACAATGGCTTTTTAGTTACCCTTAATGCCCCGTTGGCACAGCTTTACAACGATCGATCCGTGTTAGAATCATTTCATTGTGCTGCCTATTCACAAATCCTGCGCAGATACTGGCCCAGAGCTTTCGAGAACACAAAGATGAGGAACCTCATGATTAGCTCGATTCTCGCGACGGACATGGGACTACATTTTGATTATATGGGCAAACTGGCCATCCTGCAGAAAAAGCTGGAAGAGAATAATTCTACCGATGACTGGAGTGGCAAAGCTATCGAGGTTGAGACAGCCCTGATATGCGCACTGCTGATCAAATGTGCTGACATCAGCAACGTCGTAAGTCAAATGCAGTACATCATATCAAACCGTTTGCTGATTGATTTACAGGCACGAAGATACGATGCAGCGTTAAAATGGATGCACATCCTCTGCGACGAATTCTCACGACAAGCGTCTATGGAAAATGAAATTGGCATCACTTCTTCGCTGATCGCCGAACCGAAGAAAGATTTCCTCTCACTTGCCAAGGCACAGCTGGGATTTATGAACTTGTTCGCGATCCCGCTCTTCCAAGGAGTTGCGGATATATTACCCTGCATGCAGTACACTGTTGATGAACTTGAGAGCAACAAGGCTCTTTTTGAGAAGGCGATAGTGGACTTCCCTACCATGGATGAGCAAAGAAGGAACGTTCTGCAGGAAGGGTCTGTGTCACCGCATTCAATGGAAACAGCTGCCATTGCTCCAGATTCCAGGGATTCATCGTCGGGTACAACACTAGATGCATCGATTCCGATGGCCATCGAAATGCCACAGAACCATGCCGAAATGAAGAAAGCCGCCTCTTCGCCTCCTGGGCAGCCACAGCAGATTCCCAACATCGCCGGTGAGTACAAGGAAGTCAATGGCGATTCCGACGCGTTTGATCATGTCGCACGGTTTGCGGCCAGCGACCCCTTCTCAATTGCAGACGACAGCGAGAACACGGTGATTGGTCATAATGGGAAGCAGCGTTGTAGTGAAACGACCGATGGCAGCAATTCGGCACCGTACTCGGGCGACTGGGCGTCTCAGGCAACGAGTGCCACGACGGGGAAGATGCCACTATCTCCAAGCACTCAAGGCACTAGCATCATCAGTCAGGAGTCTGTGGAGCGTCCTTCTAGTAGCGTACCCGTCACCATGGTCACGGCGCCAGAGCCGGATCAATTGGATATTCCATTGCCCCCCATGGAGCCTGTCAGTTCGTACGAGGAGCACTCTAATGATAGCACACTCAAGCTAGACGGTTCACCTAGATCCGGGAGGTCGCCAAGTTCTAACAAGTCGTTGAGAAAGAAGCCTAGTCGGTTTAGGATGACCGCGATGAAACTTTTCAGGCGCGACAAACGAGATCATTCGCCTTCTGGCGAAAATGGTGGTTGAAAGATGCATAAAGTGCCAACATATCAAATCCCATTTCTACTTTTATTTTTTTAACGTGACGCACAGACTCAACAATTGAGCGTGCTATTATCACTGCTCAGGAGGTTATCAACCACTATGGGATAACCATGAGTTCGCAAGCCGGAATGTGCTTGCTGATACATATATAGTGTATATTATGGCTAGCGGGAACCCACATTTCTCTCGGAGGCTCTGTACGATTGGGATGTTGTACCCTTGAGCGAGACGACGAAAATCTAATTTTGCGTCAAAGAGACAACAGCAGAGCAAGTAGAGATGGACACTCGTGGTGTACTGCTTCAAGCAGCGGATATATACCACGATGGTGGAGTTAGTGATTCATGAGTTGATGATACCATAGGGCTTGGAAGGCTAAGGACGAATATCAAACGAAGAACATTGATTGCCTCAACCAAAGATCTCGAAGCACGGCTTATTTGTGAATGGTGTCTACATGCTTGCTAAGTAGGCACCGCCAGACGCCACAATTGTTTGTCCCGATTAGGTGCTTTCATTCGGCTAGTGAGCCTAGATGTCCTTCTACCATGTTGAAGCGGGTGGATTTCTGCTGGTACAGATAAGCCCACTTACAGTAACTAGTAAAATGCCTGTTAGTATAGGCATGATAAGCGTCACCGCTTCGAAACGAACCCTTGCTCCGCATGGTGGAGCTCAAGACTATAACCTTGGCATAGCCACTAGCAGGACCAGAATTTGTGTCATTCGGATCAGTTATCAATTATCCTATCTTTATAAGGTGGACGTCACGTCGAATCATGTGGGACCTATCAAATCGGCCTTGATCCGATAGAGCCCATGTCGCCGATCGACCGACATCCGAGTATGCATATAAAGGTTGAGTCGGCATGATGAATTGACTTGAACTGGCGCCTCGTCTTTCTCGATTTCTCCCCGTTCTTGCCGTACACTATGCTTGTTTCACGCTCTCTAGTAGCCCTGGGCATCGTCGTCGCCACCTGTGCTGCTCACTTCACGATCCCTAACGATGATCAAGATATGTCCGGGCTGACGGTCAACTCAATTCCATGGGAAAAGCGAGCAAGTTATATGCGGAAGGTAAGGGAAGAAGCACCCTCAAGTCCTGTGTGGTACTGGTTCGCTGATCGGGTTACCCAGACGAATGAAGCTTTGTACCGCCAAAGCGGCCCGTAAGACTTGTTTGCTGCTCGCTTGCTTGATTGATCGATTGATGCTCGAGCAACTTTGTCCGGAAAGCTAAATAAGGTACAAGGTGCCCGTTCGCGGCTTTCGGGGCAATTATTGTCAACCATACCGCCGACGAGGTCGTGTGCGAAGGTGCCAATTTCCGGACCGGCGACCCGACAAGTGAGAGCGTCTCCTGGCCCCCTTATCTGACTCCGCGGATTACTGATGAGGGATGGAAAAGTCCATGGCGAGATCTCGGCAATCAACGCGTGCACTGCGAAGTTTGCTGATATGGGCATGACTCCCACGTAGGTACCTGACGGGGTCCCCCATTGCCGCAGCTTGTGGTTCAGGGCAGTTGACCGTGTTCAGTGAGATATATGCCGCGTGGGGGGAGCTTTCCCTCTATACCAACGCCGAATCATGTCCTATGGTATGAAGATGCCTTATCAGCATTGCAAATGATGAATTGCTAATCAAAAAAACAAACATAGTGCGCGAGTGCTATTCGATGGGCTGGTTTCAAGGGTATGGGTTCCATCTGCGAGTATATCGTTCTTTCTAGATATACTGAATAATTGCATTGTATAGAATACGTGTATGGAACCACGATCCAGCACAACTATAATGTCGGCTGGGGCGTTATGACACTTAGCAGCGTAAGAGGCTCCCCCTTTCCCCTTTCTCGTGGTGAGGCGGCAACCGGTGGCAACCTTTCTGACGCCTCATAGTACGACGTCTTCCAGCAGTCTCGCCAATTGCCCGGGTATCAGACGGTGATGCTGGGGCAGATTCTGACGAACGAGACCGATCCCCTGTTTTCATGGCAGTATAATGCCAGCGCGGTTTGTCCCAACGAATGTTTTCGGGTACCTAGTGCGACGAGGGGCGGTACTACTTGCTCTAATGTGACGGCGAGCTCGAGGAGGGACGTGGATGGACTTTGATAGGCAGGCTGGTGTGACGTATATGAGGAGATGGTAGCCTGTGAGATAATCTCCACAGAAATTGGGCCAACAGTGGAACCTTGTGCATCTGATACTTTGAAATAGTAGTATATTGCCTGACTATTAAGGTGTGTGTCGACTCGAGAGCACATGAGCCGTGTCTTGATAGGTCGTACGCATGTCAAACGTATTAACGCAGGCTCACAAATAGTCGGAGGAGAAATGATATGAGTAATAGTGTATGGATTACGTTGACTTACTTTTGTTCGTATAGACGAAGGATTTGATCCCGAAGAAGACTTATTGTAAAATTATGCCGTTAGGCTACTCAACCAACGCATGGGTAGGTGTATGTAATGTATGGTGCATCATCATACTTCAACACAGCGAGATGGGGACAGAAAGTCGTCGTTGTGGATTTTACTGATTGGATCTGCGGGACCTGAACAAAGATGACCATGATGCCTACCGGGACGGTCCGCTGTGGAAAAAATTAGCATGTCCATGCAGAGCAACCTTTGTTCTCAATTCTCTTCTCGGCAACTTTAGCCTTATGAGAGAGGTCCAATTACACAAGAAAACAGTGCCTTACTTTCAACAAAGCAGTTCGTCTGGTTTTTATATTTTATTACAGCACGGCCACAAACGTGACATAGTCATCTGACAGAGTGTGATACTTCTAACCAAAGACAACAAGCACTTGGATTGGCCAAATCTGAGAGACGAATGCACGTCTGCACCGCCCATCGCATAGCCCCGACACAGCCTGCAATGCGAGCAAAATATCGTCCTGGGACCCTTTACGAGGGTTAAAATTGCAGTGAAGATTTAGAATGTAGATAAAAGACATGAGGGTCCATGTGTAGTATGGAATGTTCAGAGCACACTTGACCACTTGCAACAAATTTCTGCTTCGCCGAAATCTTTAACATATTGTTCTGCTGGAAGAAATCCGCCGCACTTTTGACTTCGTTTGGCTGAATGTCGGTGTACAACCAGCACGAGACAGTATCAAGCCTATGGTAGGGAAGCCCAAAGCCCGACCAGAACCAGCATTTGGGGGATTGCATACAGAGGATCTTGGTGATCACAATCGCGTGAGCAAGAGCTATACTGAAGGACGTCACAAATCGACTGGACTGTGATTCGCATGGATTTCCCGAACACAGGATTGTGTAAAAATACGACTCGTTGACCAGTACATATAGGTGGCAGAATCTTCACTGTGAACATGAAAACTCAAATCATGAAGACCACGGTCGTAGCATCGAAATCAATACAAGTCATGATCCAGTGAGGGTACGTTAAAGGCATATTTACTACTAATTTTGTACACTGTAAAAGTGTTCGAGGGACCATCGACTGCCACAATTCTTGGCTGGATATCAATAGCAAGTTTATATTGGCACAGCAAGTTGTGATGTGTCGCAAAACACGAAATACTGAAAGGGCCTCTATCTACTGATGTAAGTTTTTCGATGTAGTCAGCTCCATCCTCCACTTGTCACATGTTGTCCTCCCAAAAAATGTGTTATCTACAGAGACAAGAAGCTCATGTATTACTTGCACAATCTTTTGTGAGCTGTTCGTGGGGACTAAGCTCTCTTACCCATATGTAATGCCGCCCTTCTAAAGGACTACTGATATCATCCGCTTGTAGGCTTCATTCTACATGTCCAACCAGTTCTTCGTTCTCCCCACTCTCTCTCTCTCGCTCTGAGATGCATGCCCGCATATCAGCTGATTCAAGTCCTCGTGCGTCGCAAACAAGGCGCGTTTCGTACGAGTGTATCTCTGCATCATATGGGTCTTGACCAAGTGGTTTTGGTCGTTCGAAGTGACTACTCATGTCTGTATCGCTGTGCATTCTTTTGGTGCCTTTATATATCCGGGCATCTGGCGTAGAGCCAAGCTGACAAGAACTAGCGTGGCTACGAAGAAGACCAAGATGAATACTATCATAGAGACACTAGGGTAACCAAACGCGATTTTCGTGTCTGGGAAAGCCTAGTCATAGTGGATTGCCGGGAAGTCTTTAGCGTCGAAACATTATCCTTTTGCTACCAATGTGTAGAAATCATTCGACAGTGTCCAATGCAGGAAGATACTCATGACGATAAGCGCTCTACTGTATTTAGGCAGGAGTTGAAGCCGATATGTTGAGTACTGCTTACCGCTGGCTATTTGTTCAGCTCTTTAGTCTTTATTGGGGTGTATAGATTCTAACACACCTATGGCCGGTGACACATAACGCCTTGTACCTTCCACTGAACTGCTCTCATCCTCTCGCCACCTCCAGCTGGATGATGAGTGTGTTGTATGCCAGATAGAAGAACGACAAAAGAAGATGTGGACTGTTGACAAGCAACACAACGCTAAGGAACGAGCTTGCGACACGGTCGTCGTTTATTATACCACCTGCATCGCTAGGACCGAGTGAACCAGCCCTGATTAGCCACCATGAGAGATAGAAACAATATGGGACTACGATACTGCTGCTAAGGCCCAAAACGATTGTCAACAGACAACAAAGCATTTAATGCAAACTTTTCACGCATAGAGGACCGCAGAGAACTGCGCGCTGTTCTCTCCATACAGATTCAAGGAGTGTCAAATATAGAGACCCTAGGAGTGTGATAAGACGCTAGACGCATATGCAACGAGGATCCAGAGTTTCCGCCTCCAAATCAAAGATTCCTCAGCTCGTCAGGACAGAGCTGGCCCCATGTTACACCGCATGAGGCTTCGCATGCCACAGACAAAATCTTACAGGAGATTCACCCACATTGATTTCGCCCTCACCACAGTGCCTCTTAGAGGTGCCCGCCTCCCCCATCCCTGGCTACTTCGCTTTCAAAAAAAAGTTCACTGCTATATCAACCCTCATGAGCGGGACATCGGCACCATGTACGGTTCCTCGTATCACTGACTAGCTGTGCAATTAGTTGAGAGCCTTTGTATTTCTTAAGCTAGGTCTTCGGAATGACTATTAGCTCGACGAACTTTAGAGTATCAGGACCATGTCCATCTCATCTCTAAATGGCAAGGAATAGGTCTACAAGAAAGCCATGTACGGAGTTTCACATCAAACACCTAATTCGAGACCCGTATATCACTAGACCGAGGCTTCTGTATACCAACACAGCTCACACAGCTCCCAACCCCAATGTCTGTTCCAGCACACATACGCTGACTAACAAAGCATGCCAACCACGAAGCCTTTCCTTGATGGCCTCTGGTGCAAGCCTAAAATTGCAGTGAAAGAGATAATCTCGATCGGAAGCCGCCTTGCATGGCATATGCATTTGCATGCATCCCTCCAACACGACCGATCCCCTTCGTGAGGGTTAGAATTGCTGTGAACAAAGCTCTGCCATGTAGTGTCTACTTGGAGTACGTCTAGATAGGGTGTACAGGATCAATCGCAGTACTTGCCACGTTCAGAATCGTCATCATTCATTATCTTCTTTTTGATTCTATTTTATGTTTCACTGATAAGGGTTCACAGAAAGCGGCCGACGCAAAACGTGACGAAGTAATTACGAACCTTTTATTTGTTTAATAGAATAGAACACTAACTGATTACGCTGATGATCTCTTTTGTCCGCCCTAAGATGTTCTCATTCCCCGTTCGATCGTTGTCATATTGAACAAACTATACAATCTGCCGCCTTTTGGCCTACGTCCGTGTTGTTAGTCGTCCATGAAACTTAAAGACTCCTGCCGCTAGGTACATAGTATCGTCCTGTCCGAATAAACATGTACACAACTAATAGTATACAATCTGCTGCTTCTGGCTTATTTTACAAGAATGGCGAGCATCGCAATATCCTATTTACCACCCCGGACACTGCCGCGGCTTACCGTGCTGTATCGTCGCTTCTTGAGTGGCGCGCCACCACCTTCACTATCGGACCCGCTGCCACTATATCTTCGCTTCCGGGGCGCACTGCTCACACTACTTGTGTTTCTACGTCTCCTTGGTGGGGAGACGGACCGTGAAGCCGGCCGACCACGACGACCAGGCGGTGAAGGTGAACGAGAATAGCTACCATTGCGACGTGTAGTCCGCTTTGGTGGTGGTGAAGGGCTACGAGAATACGATGCCCGCTTGGCAACCTTTGTTGGGGCTTTCCGTGGCGGTGGGCTGCGCGATCGGGATGAGCTGTATGAGCGTGACCGCGAACGTGGTGACCGGGTCGGGCTGCGTCCACGGCTGCTATACGAACGAGCCCTGCCTTTGCCGTTCTTTGGCACCGGACTGCGGGAACGAGAGTCGGCTACATTGCGACGAGCTGTGCGCGGTGGGGGGCTTCTCGAATACGAGTCATCTCTCTTGGCAGCCTTGCGAGGTGGGCTACGGGACACGCTGTAGGACCGTGATCGGGAGCGGGAATAGCTCTTGCTACGGCTGTCGTATGAGTACGATCTGCCACGTCTAGGCGGCGTGCGCGACAGAGAGCGGCCTCTCGTGTCGATGGCTCGTCGCGGTGGTGTCCGTGAGCGAGATCGTGACGAGTAAGACGAGCCTGTGTATGATGAATAGCTAGAGACTGATTCCGAGTCTGAATCATCCCTAGCAGGCGGTGCGGGCAATGCGGGTTTGGGCATGGTCGCAAGGCGCTGTCGCATGTCCTCGGTAAGAGGACCCATGCCGATACTGGTGAAATAGTTGATGGAAAACCGGATGTTCTTGGGGTTATCGCGTGGGAACAGTCCCTCAAGGTTTGGTTGTAGAATATCATCCTTCATCCGTGTCTGCAACTTGGGCATACCAAGTTCCTCCGAAATCTCGTTGAAGAGAATTTTGATAAAAATACGAGAAGAACTCGTCGTCTCCTCCTCGTTGAGGCGGATAACCTCCAGAACGTACCAGCCAATGGCATCAGATGCGAAGAGATGACCGAAAAACTGGGCGATATTGCGAAGTCGGTTGTTCTCGTATCGATGAATGGTCTCGTAGTATTTTCTGAACGAATCCTCGAAAAGCATCATCTTATCTCGATTGATTTTGGCCAAACGTTCACCAATGAGCCCAAAGAATTTCGTATATGTCTTCTCTTGCGAGCAGCATTCAACGACCATGGATATTAGTTCATGTTCAAAGCCAGCAGGTATTTGAACCTTGAGAAGCTAAGGTAGGTGTTAGTCTCACAAAAACTCTTATTACAACAAGAACGGAGTTAGCTGGCCGCTTACCTTGTGTACAGCTTCCTCGGGATCAATCGCGGATTGGATAGTGAGGTAAATGGTTTTCCGCAGGTTGACCAGATCAGTATTAGACTGATCCTTGATCTCGATGGCCTTTTGTTCCCCGTCCTCCTCGTCTGAACTCTCGTCGTCCTCATCATCGTCGTCCTCATAATCGCTTCCCTCGCCGAGGATTTCGGCTCTGAGTTTCTTGTACGCCGCTTCGTTCTCCTCCCAGTTCTCATCGAATTTGAATATGTTAAGACTATCCTGAACATTGATATCGGCATCCAGGGCGATATTGTGGGTAATCTGGTCTTCCTCCTCAATCAAATCGAGCTCCTCTCTGACAGGCGGGTTGTCCTTGAACTTGTCCTTGCGCACTTGGAATGCCACCTCGACCATGTACTGAACCCTCTTGTCGATGTCGGCCTCGTGAAGAATGTTCCTGAACTGTTCCCAGACGGCATTGCTGATGGGTGCGGAGAACTCCTCGAGATGGGCGCCGACCTCCTTGATCAGAGCAATGGCAATCTCGACGGAATCGTCCGTGGGCTTTTGTAAAAGTAGAAGCAGAATCTGGGCGACGAGCATTTCGTGTACGACCTGCTGGTTGACCAGGTGCGCAAGAAACATGACCGAGGACAAGCAGACGGCCTTGTCATTCCTCTTGAAGCCCTTGCGGAAGGACATGACCAGTCTTGAGACCAGCAGCTCTCCAACCTGCGGCAGTTTCGTGTTTACAATGGCGGCGAACGCGGCGTAGATGGGCGTGAAGGGCAGCGACGCAGCCTGTGCCTTCATGATACTGCGGCAGAACAGTCCTCTGCCACGGACGAGGTTCTCGTTGAACAGCTCGGGAACAATGTGCTTGATGTTGGCGACGTTGACCTTGTTGATCAGACCGTTGATGGACTTCTTGAGGGCCTCCCAGGCCATGCGCTGATATTCCTTGCTCGTCTTGTCCGTGATCTGGGCTTGCAGTGCGCGCAAACGGGCGGGCGGGATGTAGGTGCCTCCAGATCTCATGGTCAAGAGCTTCTCGTACTCTGCGCGGGCAGCGGCCTGCTTCTCCTCCTCCGTGGGCGGCGCGACAGGTGCGGCCTTGCGCTTGGGTGGGGGGGAACGTGGGCGTCGTGGCCCGTCGTTGTTGCGGTCGCGTGCGCCAGGCCGATAACTGTCGGTCCCGTTGCGAGGACGGCGTGGCCTCTCAGCAGGACGGTCGCGTTGTTGTGATGGCGACCTCGAGGTCCTAGACGGCATGGCGGGTCGCTCCTTGATTGACGTGTCCCCATCATTGTCGCGAACTTCCGACGGCGATCCCGAGTCCCTCGATTCCACGGCTGGCCGCTCCCGGTGCGGCAAGGGCGAAGGCGATTTGGAAGACATGGCCGTTTGCTAGCACGGAGCCAACAATGACAGTCTCGGGTTTATTTCTATTTTTGCAGGAGAAGCCAATCTGCAGGTTCCAAATGCTGGTCGACAGATTGCGCCTTGCCTGGTACTCGTTCAACAGTGATGAAGGCACGGAGAGGAGGCGAGCCGCAGCTTGCGACGATAAATGCAAGTTTGGAAGTGCGGTTTCGAAGCTATCCAGACGCAGGCCCAAGTTAACTATCTACATGAGTTAGAACTTTTTGGTAGGTTCCAAACCTTGCCTGCAGGAGCTCTACGGCGAGGCTGAAGTGTGGGGCCCGGAACTTCAGAGTCGTCACCTGATTCTATTGGTCATTCCGTTGGTTATCCTGTTGGTGCGACGCGAAGCTCTACCTCGACTTTTGGCGAGCCCCCCCCCCCTTGCTACAGTACTTGCCTGCTTGCACACCTTAAGGTTACTCCGTGGAGTACTTTGAATCGAAGGGCCGCTGTTTCTTTCTCCGCGTTGGCAAGCGCGACTGACGGCTCCCCCCCCTGGCTCGACTTGACTTTCAATTAGGGGAAAGAGGGAGCTGGAGCTGGGACTCGGCTGAATTTCCGGCCAGCTCATCGCATTTGTGTCTACATATACGTCGTGTCGTATGTATCGCAAATCTTCCCAAAGATTTATAACGAAAGTCAGCGACCAAGCAGTCAGAAAAACACGCCTTCTACTCCTCGCGTCTCTTCTTTTTCTTTTTACTTCACTACACTCATTTGCGAAGGTTTGCCTTCTATCTTAATAATTGACAATGGTAATCCTCGACCCCCTCTCCCCCCAAGATGCAAACTCGTATATGCGACAGGAGACTGACCAGCTTTGCCGCAAATACAGCTCGACAAAATTGTCGGTCTCGCCATGCTTGTGGCTGCTTCCGCCGTCTTCATCTACTACACCATCTGGACGCTGGCCATGGTATGTTACCATTCCCCCACCCCCCTCCTGCTGGCCCCTCCCCATCATGGGAAACTTGCCCCAAGTCTAATATCCCTTTGTCACAGCCCTTCGTCGATGCAGACCACCCTCTCCACAGTATCTTCCCCCCTCGTGTCTGGGCCATCCGCATACCTGTCATCTTAATCCTGCTCGGCTCCGCCGTCGTGGGCTCCTTCCTCAGCGTCGTCATGATCCGAAGCAACCGCAAGAGAGCCGCAAAGGCCAAGGCTGCCGCTGCCAAGAAGAAGGCTTAAGTGGTGCAGATCGAGCAACGGGAGAAGGGGTGCATCCTGGGCGGGTGTTTATGAGGATGTGCATGTCACCGAATCCTGCACATCAGGGTGTGACGGGTTTCACAAGCCACAATCTGCGCGAACCTGCCATCAACGAGGCGTCGCAATAACGCCCCATCTACTAGGACTTTGTAATAATTCATACGACTACGTGCGATAAAGGAGACTATTTGCATGCACAGCACCAGTTTTCAAGGGGTAAATGGAAGGATATATCGAAATGACTGAGAATGTATCTATTTGTGTCCTATGACTGATTGGTGTGGGCAGCTCTATTGCTATGACGGTCCCAAACCACACGTGTGCCAGACTGAACTCCTATACTCCTAGTGCAGTGTCCTTCAAACCCAAGCGAAGGACAATGGCCAACCGGCCTACAAAATAGCTGGTGCGCTGGTTATGGTCTTGGAACGGAGCCTATGAGTGTTGCTCTTCTCGAGAAAACAGATAATGCAAAACCACCGATCAACCCACTCAAGAGTCCACCAATCCGTCGTCTATGTAAAACGTCCTCGCTCCCAACACACAAAAGTCGAAGAAATCGTATATAGAATCAGTCAAAAAGAAAAAAAGTATTGAGAACCCCCGTTTCTCAACTAGACTCTCTGGTCAGCAAAGTCGAGGACTTCACAGTCATCCTCGAAGAATCCGTCCTCGTCCCCATCAGCAGTACGGTTGCCACCCCTACGGCGCCGAGTGGTGATCACAATCTGCGCATCGTTATCGCCCCTCTGCATAACCCTTTCAATGGCTGAGGCCGGCAAGGCACGATGCTCGTCTAGACTGCTGCTGCTCAAATCGTCTTCCATCGCGACAGGGATACCAACGTCGATCCTCACGGCAGTCATCGCCTGACCAAAAGCCCACGCTGCAGACTTCACAGCTGACTTGCCCTGTTGCTGCTTCTTCTTTGATTTGCGCGGAGTCGCCGAATATTCCTCAAGCGTGGTCTCATCCAAAAGCTGTGTAACAGCGGCCAGCGACGTTTGTCCCGCTTCAACGCTATACTCAAAAAGCGCAACGCGTCGATCCGTGTGGAATGGTTGGTAAGGCGCACTTGTTTCTATCTCGGCGTGAGGGATAGCCGCCTCCGGACTCAGATCCAATTTACCGGGTGACGGCCGCGGATTCAACACGAGCGTGTTTCCGCCGTCAAATTCGGGATTTGTCAATTCCAAGTCCTCCTCTGGCTCGATGAGGCGCTTCACGATAGGTGCAAGCACATCATTAGGCAAGTATTTCACCTTGAAGTCCTTGTATCTTGTCCCGCGTGTAACGCGGGGTTTGCCTGTGGTTGTTGTCTTGCGTGTCTTGCTAGGGAATTGTCTGACCAGTCCGTCCCCAGCTACGAAAAGTGTGGGATATCTCCGGCCTGTGATCCAAGTAACACACGCGAGACCAGGAATTTGACTGCTCATCGGAAGACTAACACGATTCTCAGCGTTCTGGCGCATTTGATTGATCGCGGTGGCCGTGTTCCCTAGCGAATGGCTGATGCCTGCAGCGAGCACCTTGCCACCATAGCTGGCGTGATCCATCAAGGAAGATGTTGCGTTCGCATTAGAGCTACTTCTGCGACGGTGATTGATTAGTGGTCGTGCTGCGCCATAAGCCGAAGTCAAAACGTTGGATGCCATAGAAACAGCAGATGACGGGTTCTCCGTGGCTGCTGAGCTGGGCTCCTCAGCTTTCGCACGGCGACGGGGAGGCGGCCAAGCATAGGCGCTCGGCGGCATGTCTAGAAGGTGAACAGTACCTCTTTCGGTTACCATTGCAACGCGTTCTCCATTCGGCTTTGACCAGGCAACGTCGACGATCCGAGCTACCGTCATACGTGAGAATTGAGCGATCTGCCTGACTCGAGTCAAATGTCCATTCCCTGATGCAGGAGAGTTTTGCAGGGCTGACGATTTACTGTGCTGGATTCGCATCAGATCCCAGACAGTTTGTACGTCGCCTTTCGTACTGGCAGTGAACAACGATAGACCCGTAGGCGAGAATGACAAAAAGCTACAGCCGAGCGGTACCTTGAACGTAGTGACGTGATGAATAGAGGATGAATTGTTCAAGCTTTCCAGATCCAGGATGGAAACCAAACCCGGATCCTTTGTGACTGCGTGACCAGAGACACCGTATGTCGGGGGAAATTGCGCCGTTTCCGCTCTGCCCGAAAACGGGGCACTCCATGGTGGTGAGCCCACGGACTGCGGTCGACCTTGCGACTGAGGACTTGGCTGCTTCCAATAATTGTTCCACAGCTGCAGACTCTGCTTGCCTACCCAGCGCGCTCCTTGGATGACCTCTTGAGTGGTTTCTCTCATAATCTTGTTCATCACCCCGTTCGAATCAGGCTGATCCACGTCAGAGCTCTCGCCGGGCAGAACCGGGGACGTAAGTGTGTTCAAGCCAGGTGCTCTGCCATCTATAGTCACACCAATCGACGCATTGAGTGCTATCTGCGACGATGGTGCAGGAGGGCAGTATGCAATCCATCTTCCACGGATTGCAACAACAGGCATCTGTGGGTTTTGTCGCGGTGGAATGGGGCTGCTGCTTCTTCCTTCCTCGGGCGTCGCATCACCTGTTGCCTTCAAAGCTTGTTGCAGACTCGTCCACAGCTTACCCACACATCTAAACTCAACTTCTACCTTGTCGGTATTCTTGAATTGCCGGAAAACCCAACACTCTCCAGTAGTACCGGAAGAAACAACAACGCTTCCATTGTCAGCTCGAACTTGCAATGCGCCAGTCGGGGGCGGGCTTCGGAAGACCGGGTTCTGGATAGAAGATTTGATCGGAATTCTGGGCGCCTGTAGAAGAGTGCAAACTGTGCTGTTCGTCCTCAGTGAATAAATCTCAACTGTGGTTTGATACGCATCAATTGTGGACGTCGTCTTCGCTGTACCGATAGGGCGTTGACTGCTTTCTGATTGGGGAGTATTGACCCCGTCCAGTTTCGGGCTGCCCATGGCGTCGTATCGAGTTTCGACTATGTCAGGAGTCTGTGTCGGCAAGACTGGTCCATGGATGACCACAGCCACCAAAGGATATACTTCAGCAGACCCGGAGGAACTGTTCCAAGGCAGGATTTTTGCGTTGTAGACACCTCCACGCAGCCCTTTCAAGCTTGTCAGGTTTTCCAAGCCTCGTTTCGACACTGAATAAACATCCAAGCCTCCTTCATATCCTGCCAAAACAACATTGTTGCTGCTCGCACTATGAGTAGTGTGCAAGGTTGGCCATGTGTCAAACCCGAAGTAGTAACCACGCTCGCCGGCTTTGAGACCGTCTTTGGGGCCAAGATCTAAGTCAACCTCGGGCGTACCATAGAAATGAGCTTGAGCTTGGTGAGGCAAAGGTGGGTTGACCCGAGGTTGGGGGAAGGGAGAATGCATCGAGCTACGTCGGATGCCTGGAGGCGAAGACGCTTGTGAACGAAGGTCGTGACCTGGGAAATGATGATCCATTTGGAAACTCAACGGGCGCCTTGTTCCTGTGGGCGGTGAAACCGAAATCGCATAGTTGTTAACCGGGTTTCTTTGCTGTGCTGCCCATGCAGGATGTGCTTTTTGGTCCTCGTATGAGGATGGCTGAGTGGGTGGTGATTCACCCATCAAACTGATGAGATTAGGTGAACCAGCAAGCGCTCCGTGATTCTTTGTCCAATCACTCATGCTGGGTGCAGTGCTGGTAGCGATCGATGTCCCCGTCACACCATCCAAAAGCGGAGACACTCCAGCGTTTGGATTCCCATGGTTCGGGATCGTCGACGGAGATGAAGGCTTCATCTCGGGAGTCTGCTCTGGGCTTGGGGGAGATTCTGGTACAGGAGCCGGGTCTTTGATAGGGCTGCCATCCCTGAACGAACAGGTGTTTGGATTAGTGAGGGGTTCTACAGCTATATTTTGATGGCCTGGCGATTGTCTATGACGAGAAAATGGCGGCGATACTTACGAGAATTTGGCCCCATGTTTGGTCACCGCCGCAAAGACGCCTCCGGTATCTTTAGCATTCTTATCCTTCTTCTTTGAGCCTGAATCATCAGAAGCCTTGGTAAGCTTTTGTTTCCGTTTCTTAACCCCTTTCTTCCCGGAGGAAGACGAGGACGGCGAAGGATCTCGGAGAGACGAACCAGGCATTCAAGTAGTATGACTAGAATGCTGGGGGCAGTTTCCTGCTCGCCAGCAGAGCGGCTCTTGGGAGCCTAACTCAGAGTGAGTATCGCAGATTGTGTATTACTCCGAACGACGAACGACGATCTTCACGTGTGGGTTTCGATAGCTCTATGGCTCGCGGTGTGCGACAGTATCAAGTTTGCAAGATAGACGGACTCGAGTGGGATGACACGGAACGACAAGCGCGAGGGACGCGCCCGAATATCGCAACTGGCGGGAGAGGGGAAGTTGGGGATAAAGGAGCGGACGATCTAGTCCGGTCGAACAGGTGACCCAGTGTGTACGGAGGCACGGCGACGGCACAGATTGGGCCCGTTATTAGAAGTATGCACAGTATAGAAATCGCCAGGCTCAGTTGGTATAGTAGATGGGTTGTTGAATGGATGAAGGAGCAAGATGAACTGGTCAGGCCGGCAAGGGCGAGACGAGGACGAGACGAGACGGGACGAGACGAGGTCAGGACCGGTGACTCGGACAAGCAAGGCGAGGTGCGACGATACCTAGACAATGACAAGCGCGGGGCAGATGGGCATGGTCATGCCGAAACAAGGGTCAGCAGCAGTACCCAAGTACATGTGCTGGGTCAGGGATAGGCCATGGGCCACGGGCATGTCCAACAAAGGCCCAGATAGCAGGACAGATGAGCCAATCGCATGGGTCTGATCCAGGCAATATGCTTCTGGTTCCTTGTGCCCTGCATGGGGCATGGGCGCTTTAGGCGTGGCTGGAGCTCACTAATCCCACTAATGTTGAAGCCGGCCATTTGGGTAACAAGGTGCTAGCGGGTCGGCGGGGGATCTTGCAGCAACTTTGGGGGGGAAAGCAGCGGGATGGGATCTCCAGCTCCAGAGGTCGGACGAGATGACGCAGGTTCAGCCCCTCAATCTACAACAAGCTGAGGAACATCTTCTCAGCTATGCAGGATTCGATTTCGCAACACGATTGGGATGTTTTGCTGTCAGCGACTGACAAACACTGCCGAATTCATGTGAGACTCCCCAGAAGACTCACCTTGCCGCCACACACGAGGCAGCCCCTGCGCCATCTTGTTCTTTGTCTTCTGACCACCTTGGCTTCCCAAGCAATGCAGATACATCAGCAACTCCGGCTAACCTTATGGTTTGGCATGTCCTGGTGATGGGGGTACCAAATATTATTTTAAGCTTTCCGGATCGACGTGAGTTGATGGGATTTGGGAATCATCGATTCGAAAGTTTGCCCAGGCCCAACGGTCCAACGTGACTAAGTGACCTTGGAACATTGTCGTATGGAGCTCACCTACATGGAGGGTGCACAACGAGAATCGGGGTCAGCTGATGCCATCAGTGAGCAGCCCACGGCGCTTCTCTACCGTAGATAACCGACTGCATTAACAACGGCTTTTGTTGTGGGTTTCTGGAATGTACTAGAAGATGAATGTGTTGAGAACAAGCTGCGGGCACAATAAGGTGAGCCTGACTGAAGTATATACCTGCTTGCGTCACCGTGATTAGCGATTAGATACAGTGTGTATGCCGGCTTATCTTATCGCAATCTCGTCCAGTGATTGCGTCTCCAGCGACGACAGATCCAGGCTTGCATCCTGCTAGGCCAACACCGCCAGTGTCGTTGAACGTTTTTATGTGTAGCCCAAGGAGAAATCTGAATCTCAGGCCAATGATGGTTTCAGTGCCACAAACGCTGACAACATTTGGTGCGCGCGGCATGCTGTCGTCTTTACCCCTTGTCATGCTACGGTGATAGCCTATAGTGGCCACGGGACTAAGTGTCCCACCATCCAGTATCAGCACTGTAGTTATCCATTTCCAGTGGAGTGCGGATAAGCTCCACTATAATCGCATTTGCTCAGCGTCCAAACCCATCCAACCATCCTGCACCTTGAGGATGCATACTATAATTCAAGAGCGACGAAGCGGTCTGCTCTAGACCACCTGGAGGACGTCGGTTCCTCAATATGTCACTCGCTTGCAGCGATTCACCACTGCCTCCATCACTCTTCCCCATTGCGCCTTACAGCTTATCACGAACAAGGTCAATCGTTTTTTCTCTAGTCTAGTCTAGTCTAGGTGACAACAGAGCGCCCTACATCATCTAACGTTAGGCAATGGCAGGACTGGGTCGATATAATTCACACTAACCTTAGACTACTCTAACTTGGACTAAACTAAGGTTAATTGTGAACTTGTCTGGTCCCTGCATAGGCAACCCCTTCCGTTCTACTCTAGATACTCCAGAATGTTGTGCTCTATGAAGAAATTCCGTGACAAATCTCAAAGTAATGATTACTATCTCGTATAATGCTGACAAGGAAACAAAAGTGAAAGTGTGACTTAAAGACATAATTTGAGAAAGTGTATGTGCCCAGTCAACTTTCGGGGCTATTGTGCAGCATAGGCTACCTACCACTTTGACAGTGGGAAGTCACAACCACTGAGTGTCATTCATTCGAAGAATTACAGTTTTTCAGTGTGTTCCACAAAACACGACTCTCTAGCTACCTACTCAAACTCAAGTCAGAGCAGTTCAGTCCTCGTCTGCTGTCTTTCCAAACGCGACAATCAGGCTCCCGCTACAAACTGCAATCAGCAGTCATGATGACGCAGCAACTCGTCCGACGCGCTCCGCGTCTTGTGGCAGTTGCGACAACAAAGATTGCAACATCTCAAGCACGCTCTTTCACCAGCGATACAAAGCTGAAGGGTGCTAGTAACACTCTTCTGGTACTTGGTGGGTTAGGTTCAGCCTTCTTGGCTTACGAGTATGCTGCAGGTGCCGGCGTCGCAGGGCAGACCAAGGACGTTGGAGCCAACAAAGTCCCAGATTTGAACAATTTGGGCCCGTCAGACAGGATCGATTACTCGCCTGCTATCACTATAGAAGACGTTGAGAGGCGACTAAACGCGGGCGCGTTCTCCTGCCGTGATGGAAATGTTCGAGGTGTCGAAAGATACGATGGCGCCGAGCTTGGCTCCAACGCTATCAACGAAGATGCATCTGTTCATGGAAAATTCGAAAGCCCGCTGAAGACCGGAGATGGCTCAGAGTGGATGGCATGGGGAGTATTCGATGGACACAACGGCTGGCACACCTCAAAGCTTCTCACCAAACAATTGTTGCCTTACGTCCAGCAAGCTCTGCGAAATATTGAGCCCGAGAACGGTGTTATCTCTGATGCTCAGATCCACGAGGCAATCGGATCCGCCTTCAGAAATCTCGATGATGCTCTGGTCAAATCGGCAAAAGTCATCATTGAGAGCGACTTGCCATACTCAGAAAAGGTCGAAAAACTGAAGCCTGCCCAGTCTGGCGCTTGTGCTCTGCTCACTTTGTACGATCCATCGTCTGGGAAGCTGCACGTAGCAAATACGGGAGACTGCCGAGCGGTTATAGGCTACAAGACGCCCGATGGCAAGTGGAAAGCCAGAGCCTTAACCAAGGATCAAACCGGTCGCAACAAGGACGAGATCGCTAGGCTGAAAGCACAATTTCCCGATGAACCCAACATCTTCCTCAGCAAAGGCCGTGTATACGGCATGATGCCCTCGCGTACATTTGGGGACGGTCTCTACAAATGGGACAAAGAGCTTCGAGGTAGGCTTCGTGACGAGTACAATGATTTCAGACAACCGAGTGATTCACGCTACCCTGGCTTCGGAGACGGTCCATACCTCACTGCTTCCCCCGTGGTAAACACGATTGAATTGCCAAAGAGCGGACATCCATGCGTTTTAATCCAAGCCACAGACGGCCTGTGGGATACGATGGGTAACCAGAATGCGATTGACCTTGTGAGCCGCTGGTCGGATTTACAGAAGAGTCCCCAGCCTGAGCATGAAACAAACACTTCCGTGCAGTCTCCAGAGCCAGTAAGGTTTGGTAATAGGGCTGCTTGCTGGTACTCAGAGGCCAGGGCAACTTACCAAGACTCAAATGCAGCGGTTCACCTGATTCGTAACGGTCTGGGAGGAAAGCATGATGAGATGGTTCGAGGTGCCTTGAGTTTTACTTCACCGTTGTCAAGATGGATCAGAGACGATGCCACTGTTCAAGTTGTGTTCTTTGGGGGGAGGCGAGGCGAGTAACTTGGTTCTTTCTTTGGGAAGTGACCAGAGGTCTGTTCTTTTGCGCCCTTTGGAGTCGATTGTGCCCCGTCGAGTCTGTCAAGGTCCACTCGTCGTACAGTCAGCCTGTGGTATTGACGACGAGTTTTATCACATCGTGATGTTTCGCCATTCCATCACATAGAATGTTGCATGAATTAAAATGTACATTACGCGAATAAACCAAGTAAACAAACTGGAAGTTGATCACGGCTCCCACATTCCCTAGCCTCGCATTGTAGAGATTCCACTGTGGTTATACCGAAACATATATCTATTATGAACGCACTTCGAAGAATCAGTCTACCAGTACACAAGACTATCCCAACTTATAACAGGACCTTCTCGTGGTTTGATTACAATATAACACAACGCATAGGCCTAAATATGTTTCTGGTAATTATACAAACAAGCAATAAACGATGAAGCTCGGTATCATACCAAACGCCAGCAAATGCTTGATCTCGCATGCTGTTAATCCATGCGCAACAGAACGAGTAATAACGTTACAAGCCTATCGAAGAACAACCCCTGCGTGAGTCAACCACACGCCGAGCTGCTCGAGATGCTGCTGATGTCCTTCGGGATCACACCGGCACTAACGCCATCTACATTCAATTTGTCAGTACTTTCAGATCAGCAACCCAAGCAAGGACTGGTCAGGAAATGACCTACCCTTGTAACTCCACCTGTAATCCCCGAGGTCACTCTTGTACGCCCAGTACGTCCAACCGCCCGTGCTCTTCTCGTACCCCTTGACCTGCGCCGCGAACCAGCTCGAGTAGAAGGCCTTCTGGCCGTCCTTGCTCCAGCCGTCCGTGCCCTCGACGTCGTCCGGCGGGCTCAGGCTCCACTCGGTCACGTATGTCGGGGTCTCGCCGTCCGCCGGCCGGTCGCTCCCGCAGCTGGCGGAGATGTACGCCTCGTGCGACACCTCGACGCTGGTGTCCCACTTCAGGTACCGGTGGTCCTCGAACGACACGTCGCCGTAGCCCGCGGGAAGGCCCTGCGCCGGCGAACCGGAGCCCCAGAGCGAGCCCATGAACTGGACGTGCAACCTCCTGGCCCCCGAAGGCTCGGCGTCCCGGATCGCCTTGTACGCCGCCGGGTAGAAGTCCGATAGCAGGGAGGAGACCTTGCTGTCCCAGTTCAGCGGCTCGTTAAGCACGCCGATCGTGCCAACGGTGCGCATCTCGCTGCGGGTGTGTGTGAGGTTCGCCAGCCAGGCGACGTACTCGACGCCGCGATCGTAGTTCTCGGGCGTGTAGAATCCTGGCGAGGTCGAGTGGCCTGTGAAGGCGTTGTTGGATGCCTGGGCTCCCGGAGCACCGTGTTGGCTGATAATTTCCCCGTTAGCAATCGAAGGGGAAAATAATGCCGAGAACAGAAGAAGCCTACTCGAGGACCACGTAGATATTCCTCTCAGCCGCCCAGCCGCAGATCTTCAAGAGGTACTCTAGCCCTCCCTTTGGGAAGTACTCTCCGTCCTTGACCAGGTTCTCGTTCATCCAGTAGCCCGTCGGTATCCTCACGGCGTTTAGCCCATAGCTTTTGATATTATCGAAGTCAGACTCCTGGATCCAGCGGCCCCAGTGGCCTTGGAACGCGGCATCCGCCTTCTCCTGGCCGAGCGACTTCACGCAGCTCCACTCATCGTTCTGGCCAGAACATCCCATTTTGCTCCATTCATCACTCATCATCCAGGGTTCGACGACAAACTGGCCACCGAGGTTCACACCCCGGAGTGGGGTACTCGGGGGCAGCCATGCATGCACCACGGCGAGGGTAGACATGAGTGCCAGCACGCTCCTTTGCAAGGACGCCGTCTTTGCTGAAACACTCGACTATTGGTGCCCCTCTAACTCTGCCCCTTGAGTCACAAATGTGGAATATCTGGGGGGGGGGGGGGGGGGGGGGGGTGGTTGCTAGAATGATGATGGGATAATGATCAAGATCAACGCAGACTTGCGATGTCAAGGCAAAGAGTGACAGGAAGCATACATATACTCTCTACTTCTCAGCCCCCCTGCTCACCGTCCCCCAGTATTACACCGATGCAATGAATAGCAATGAGCCATGGCCCATGGCCATATAAAGGAAACAGAAATGATCTGCTGAAGATGTAGTTCGGTGTTCAGACGAAGGAAGCTTGGCTTCGAGTTAACCCTGCTAGGGGATGGGAGGAAGGGGTTTCCTCAACAGTGACATAACTCAGTGATTAGGGCAACGATATTACCAGACGGGATCATGGAAAACGCCCCAGCTCAGTAAGACATGCTCACTTGTACGCCGCGGGCTGATCAACAGTCCCATCGTCATCGGCCAATACAGAAGTGTGTAGAACGGCGCGAGCCGAAATAGGAAGCGCTGGATTCTACAATGATGACAGAGCGCCGGGAATGACGTCCGGCCGCAGGATTTTACCAGCATGTCACAACAAATGCGTTGCTGGAGAGTCAGGTTGCAAAGATCTGCGTGACCACCTCAAAAACTCCTGCTTGAAGGGCTCTGTCCTTTTGCAAATGCTCCGAGGTCAATGCCGTCCTATTCATCACTCGATTTATACAGCCCTGAGACCTTTTATGAGAAAAAGCCCCTCTATCCCAATAAGCCGATTGGTGCACTCTCTTTTCCAATACAAATGATTGGACCCCCCACGAATACAAAAAGGTAGCACCGGAAAATACCTGCCTTAAACATGGCTTCCACCTTACTATGGTATTAGGTCTTGAAAAGGGCATCGGGGGCGAGTTCTTTCGAAGAGAAGGCACAAGTGGCTCGGAGCTTAACATCGCGGAAGAACACCCATGCAATCGACTTGGTACCTGCCCCGTTGCCCTCCATACCATAGTACTGCAACTCGGTCCGCGTGATGTTTCTATTTTCAGAACGCGGCCCCTGCCTGGAGGTGCGTTAGTGGCCCTCCTGCTTTATAACTACAGCTACTGTGCGCCAACTACCTTATATCATCTCTCCGTAGCGTTTCGGTGACGATTAACCTAAACCCCGGACCGTGCCACGTCGTCACTCGAATCCTTTACGATCTCAAGTAAAGTTGATCCGTCACACGCAAGAGGCAAGATCAACACCCCCAATGAATAGGGTCATTCAAAAAGAAAGTAGTAGCAAAGCAAAGCAACGGACAGCGGGCGGTGCACGCTGACGAAGATTCAAGAGGGAGCCCCAAGGTTTTCCAGCATTCAGGGTCGACAACCCTATATCAGTCCCATTCAATTCCTGGAGAGAGAAATGAGAACAATACGATTGAAAAATCTGATTTTGTAGGCCTCGTTCCGGAACACAGATACGAACTTGACCCGACTGAGAAGGAAGTCTAGGCCTTGAGGAGATTTGCAAGTGGTGGTTACAAGTCTTACAGGCGCTAGAATTGGTTGTTAGCATAGTGGACTTTTATGTTTATGTCATTGGATTTACTTCGAAAGTTATGAGAGTAAACTGCGATTCGTGGAGCCAGTAGCGGTGTTAAACACGACAAATTCGGTTGTTACGATTACGCTGGTAGATGTCCGTCTACGAATGACTGTACGATGATTTGACATGAAAGGACATCTTGGTCTATTTCGTAAATACTTGAATCGCCAATCTACCTATGGTCATAGACAGAGTAAACGCTTTTGCATCTGCCCATGACTGAACGCCCGAGTCTGAAAATTTCCCCGATCCTGTGTGAATCCGCACCCAATCGCTTTTTGTGCACCATCATATTTGTGAGGCCCCATACCTTTGTCCGCTATGGCGTTTCAATGTTCATAACAAGCAAGTACGTAAGGATACCGTGCTCCCGTCCGTACCTTAAAATCCAAGTATATCGATCCGTGTATGCAACTTTAGACGGGCAAGTCGCCCGAGTCGCCCTCCCCCTTTCTTTCAATGTCTCTCGTGCTGTAAATGTGCCCGGTGCAAATATGCGCCTTCCGTGTGTATTAGATGACCTCCGTATAAACTGACACTATAGCCCATTACGATTGTAAGTTAGGTGATGCTGAGTATTTCCAAGAAACGAGTTTGACGCGAATAAAAACATGACGGTCCCAAGTGGCAGCGAAGATACTACCGTGAGGCTTCAGAGCATATGATCTTAGCCCACGACGCCGTCAACGTCTACAACCTCGGGTTGGCCATTGATAGAAAGAGAAGCATCAACTGTTGCTTTGCCGGTCTCAGCGACTGTCTCATCACCAGACTTGGTGCTCGGAGAACTTGCGCTCTTGGGGCTGCTGTTCTCACTTGTTAAAGCTGGGGTGTTTGCTGTGGTGTGGACGTCAATGTGGAGCTCAGCCTGCTGAGCTGAACCCGTCTTCGCGTTGGCTTCGCGCTCTTGCTTATATTTTTCCAGTATTTTCTCGATGACCCCCAGTTGGCGTATGGTGCGGCTATCGGTATTCCTGTTCAGAACTAAGAATCGTCGCTCCATCTCGTCCAGAAACTTAGTTCTATCTTGATCCTCCAGGTGTTTAATACCCTTCTCTGTGTAGCGTATTAGTTGATTAACCCCCAAATCCCAGGTGGAACCGAAACTTACGAATTACATAATTTCCGAACTGGTCAAGCATAATCTTGTCAAGGGGTGAGCGGCCCTTGGAATCCGCTGTAATGAGCTTTGTCAGGATGGCACGACGGTAGTCGACCGTACCAAATTCCAGACATTTCTCTACAACATTCGAAGCACACTTGTTAGTAGAGAACTCAATGAGGTGTTCAACAACGACATTGGCGAATCTGTCCTTGTCCTCCTGGGGCGCATCTTTGCTTTCGAAAACCCATTGAGCGACATAGTTGCCGAACATATCCATGATCAGGGGAACCGCACATGCATGAATCTCCGCCATGAGTTCACGTTTCTCTTCGAGTGTGCCGTAGTCTATTATTCGCTGAATGACACGACAGCCGAATTGGTTGGTCGATATACTCCTGATCGAACCACGGAAAGTAGCCATAATGAAAGGAAGGATCACGCGAGGTGCCACAGACATGCATTTCTGAACCACGTGGTTGCCGTTATTGTCCTTCACGATAGTTTCGAGATGTGGCTTGATTTCCTCAATGATATCTTCCTGCTGGTCGACAAGGACATGCTCTAGGGCCTGTTGCACCGTCAGCTCAGGTTAATCGTATCAGTGGAAAGAGGTCCTGGTTTGGCTTACCGTTTGGACAACCCGGCACGCATATAACTGCTTAGACAGGTCTGCAACCTTCCCCTTCATGGCTTTTGTAAGAACAGTCTTCTGGACTTGACTGCCATGCTCGAAGAACTTTTGTATGACGTAGTTGCCAAAGACGTCCTTCATAAGCTGAACAGCATTGCTCTTGATCTCCTGGAAAACCAGGTCCTTCTCGTCGCTATTGGCACTTTTGAGCTTCTCTTGGATAAATCTGGACCCGTGTTGGTCACCACTGAACTCAACCACATGACCAAAAATGTCCTACAAGTAAGATTAGCGATAGCCCGGTAAACTTGGATCAAGAGGAGACCATACTTTCAACTCGTAGTGTTTATTGTTTCGATGGCTTTTCCTGAATTCCTCAAGCAGTAAACTTCTGATCCCCTTCCCGGGATCCTGGTCCCTGCTCGGGCGGACAGGAACCGAGACTTGTGGCATGTATTGATGATTCATTAAGCCATACGAAGACATGGGCATGGGACTTCTGTATCCGCCGTTCTGACTATAGATATCATATGTCGGCATTTGCTGGACATACGGCGCGGGAAAGTTGTTGCCGTAGTACGTGCCATTGGGGTAGTAGTTGCCGGAAGCTTGCGAATACGCTGCAGCAGCATGTCGTTCAAATTCATGGGGAATGGAAGGGCCTCGCGAGATCGGCCTACTTTGGGACCACGATTCTTGCCGAGATCCGTTACCAGGGGTGTAGCGTGGGCTAGGTACACCATTTCTAGAGAATGAAGCGCTGACGGGAGAGGCTCTGTCGATCGAGCCTCTCTTGAGATCCGTATACGAGATAGGAATTTGGTCGAGATATGGATCCTGTTGCTGATAAGTCTGATTGAACCCTCGCCCGTCGGTTGTTGCATCACCACTCCAGGGCTGTTGCAAGGGATCAGGATTGAATGCACGAGTTGTGGGATTGAAGCCATTGTCGTTGCCACGGTTGCTACTGATGCTGAGAGAGCCTAAGAGGCGGTTCGAGAGACTTTGGTCCGAAACAGGCTGTGGCGGGGGTAAAGTTCGATTAGGGATAACACTGGCGGGGTAGGAGATTGACTGGTGAGGAGCGGATGGTCGCGAGATGGAGCCCCTTGATGTCCCGTCGAATGGATACTGTGGATTATCGTGGCTGATTGACCCAGGAGTTGTCTGGCTGCTGAACTCATTGGCACGCTGGCCAGATATGCTATTTTCCCGATTCTGACCAAAGCTTGGGAAGTCCCCTTGCGAACCCCTTTTGAAGGGGGCAGTCGTTTCGAAAGCGGAGTTTTGGTTCCCAGTCGAGTAGGGCAAGCCGTTGTCTAGGCTATCGTTGGTACCGCCAAAGGCCTGCGCAAAGCTATTGTTGGTGTTTGTACGCGCGGGAAACCCAGCGCCATTTTGCACTTTACTGGGCCGTGTTTGGAAAGGGCGAGGTTCCGGGAGGCTCTGCTGGACAAGAGCGTCTCGCGTTTGACTTGGTGATGCAGTGCCAGAACTGGATCTTCCTTGAGCTGACCCGTTCAGAGCACCCCAGGTGTTGGAACGGTTCCAGATAGGCGTGTCAGCTTCAGACTGGTAAGTCAGTTGCGCTGAGCCAGACACAGTTGTGGGTGAAGCTTCATCAGAACCCCTCGAGCCTGGAGGATCCCTTTGAGAGGAGTATGTGCTGCCGATGACATTCCTGCCGTTTGACCAGATCGAATCTGGCTTCCAGCCGTTGTTTCCAAAAGAAGGCGTCATGGTCTGAAGTGGATTTTCGATCGAGGTGGTATTGCTCAGGCTGTAAGCTGAGAAACGTCCTTGAGCCTGCAATCAAGACGGTTAGCTCATGTACACGAAATAGTGAGCACGCCAAAGTGTCGAAAATGAGCACAGTGTAAAACAGCATGACGCTTGTCAAAAGGGTCGGTAACCTGGAGCAAACAAATGCCCAAATATTGTGAGCCAGTAGACTGTGTGAAACATGGACTTATAGGCCAGAATCTTGTGCTGGGGGGTTTGGCAATAAAACTTGTGTAAAACGACGATGATTTCTTCAGTGAGAATAGCCAGGGGCGTATTTGGAGGCCGACGTTTTCAGTTGAGACAACAGACAAATCTCCAAGCAGTAGACCTGTCGGTCCATATTGGACTACCCAGGATAGCCAACAGTTGCGCTGCCAGTCCATGCACTCGCCCGGTACTCTCAGCATGAGCCAGCACTAGCTGGATGTGTTGGAGCGTGCCGTTTACCAGCAGCCTCGTAGCATAAGATCTGGAATGATTTGATATCTGGTCTGACCCAGGAACCCATTTTCCTATCAATAGAGCGAAGCGATGCAGAACAGCCTTTGGGCAAAGGAGCCAGATCGGTACTCACGGCGGTCGTCATAGTGACAGCGCGCTGATCGAGTGCCCAAGAGGAGATGCAAGGTATACAGTATATATACAACAGGCCTGTCCTCTGGGCTTCAAGGCAGCGTGTGTATCCGCTAGGGAAAACAATATCGAAGTACGGTGGTATAGTATTGACGTACGGTAGAATGCTAACGTACAGTGGGATGGAATCGACGTACGGGAGAGCAGAAGTAGTGGGTCGCAAATGGTGGTAGTCGAGCTGGGATCTACCACAGTATGTTCTTGATTTTATGCGGAGGCGCTCAGCGTGATATGACGAGACCTGGGACAGGCGGAAGTGGTCAGCGAGGGATGCGCCAGTTCGGAAGGGGGGAGGGAGAGGGAGAGGGAGTCGCGGAGGTAGTAAGGCTGACAAGAGTCGAGGGCTAGGTCGCGGTGTGGTCGTGCACACACTGGTAATTGCACTGCCGTAGATAACAAACGGAATAAGCAAGTAACATACCTGCGTGGTGCGCTGTCACCTTTCAAAGGCTGCGAATGTGAACGTGAATGTGATGGCGGATCCGACTCGCAAACGGGTGCAATATACAACGACTGTACTTAAGTGATGGATTTGTATCGGTCGAATTGATCGTCAGGCGCGATAGGGCAGAACACACGTGTGGACAAAAAAGTAGAGAAGAGAAGAGAAGCGAAGAAAAGTTTATGTACGATGAGCAGGTAGAACGAACGGACAGGAAAATTTCGAGAGGGAAGGAGCAACAAGAACACGAAGCGTGATGAGCAAGAATAAGATAGATGGATGGATGGATGGATAGTTGGATGGATAGTTGGACGTTTGCGGGTCGAAATTAGTTTCCAGTCCAAAATATAACATGCTATGCTGTCAGTTTTCGTTTGTTCGGCGAGCAAGTAAACGCAAACGTAGACTACTGTACGGAGTAGCAGTCCAGTCAAATGTACTCGCAGTTCCGCGGCAGCCCTGGATAGAGTGCTAAGTTGGAGGATGGAGGAGCAACGTTGTGGGTATCGGGGTAAGTAGCGTGTTCTGGTGTCTGGCAATCGTGGGCCGCGACCAGGTACTGTTTGTACTATTTCTTAGTGGTGCTACGCCCGGGACTGGAATTTGAGTGGCATGAGGTTAGTTTGAACCTTTCACTTTCGAGAATGCCAGTAACAAAAGTGCCCAGTGGCCGCTTGGTATGGGATGGGATTGGGATGGGATGCGATCAGGTTGCGTTGCGTTGCAGGTCTATGTATGCTCTTAAGCTTTCCGGCCCCCATGCGCTGCAACGAGCATGAAAGAAAGAAAAACAAAAAAGGAAAGAAAAAGGGGAGCGGTTGATGTGAGTGAGCTCGTTACAACACCAGGGGTCTTGTGTGTGTGTGCGTGTGTGTGGCTGTTCACCCCAGAATTTGAGCTGTAATGCAGCAGCCAACTGACCGGATATCTGCACACTTGGCCGGGCACGCTGGCTGGCATGTAAACTACCGGGGCTGACTGGGGTTTGCTTTTAGGCGAATGTTGTCTTTGCAACACTCTTCCTGGAGCCTCTCTCCCTGGTACTTGCACGGGGACGGAAACGGCATTGCAGCTGTGACTTGTGATAATCGTGGAATGGCTGTGCTTGGATGATACTGTGATCGGGGCTGGACATGAATAATTGTACTCACATTACAGACAGCTGCACGTCAAAAAAAAAGTCAACTGATCTTTTCAGCTTCCGTCTTTGATCAGTCTGGAGTTCCTTCCAACCAAAGGCAGATCCAGGGTTCAACTTAAAAAAAAACCCAAAACCAAAACCAAAATCTAGTCTGGGTGTTGCACCTCAGACTTGGGGGCCTGTCAACCGAAATTTTGAAACTCTGATGCAAGAAAGCCTCGAGCCTCTGGCCTAGCGCGAGACCAAAGTAGCCCCCCCGGCTCCAGGGATCTCGTGCTAAAAGTCGTGTGGATGGACGGATCTGGATGTGAGCTTGTTTCTAATGGGGCCAACGCTGTAAGCCAATTGGGGGTCGTCGCAATTCTAGACTAGACCTATTCGTAGAAGTTCGGAATCTCAAAAGTGGATTCTGCCGACACGACTTTTGATCGGGAATGACGATACTGTAGCTATCATGTGCTTCAGGGAGCCTGATTCCACCAGATCCCGATGTTGCAGCAACCGTTGAAGATATGTCCCCAGAGATTTCGGTAAAATGTGGTTCGCTTGGCCGTTTGGGAATGTTCAGACTGGAGCCGTATCCATACTATCCTGAGCGGGCTACTTGCGTCAGAGTTGTTGATCCGTGCTTTCGGAGGGGGATCGACAAATGGACCCGGCAGAGGGTGGCTCCTCTTTTATGGCGCCTCAAACTGTACCGCACGTTATGGGCCAGACTCGATGAACTTCCCCGGTTGGTCGGTGGAGGCGATGGCTTGGGGGGTAGTTTTTTGAGCTTAGATGTTGCTACCTCTCAATTTGTCCCACGCAAATTTTGACAGGTCTATCCGTAAATCGATCGAGCACTCTGTTTAGTGACGTGCCCGGTATAGCAGCTGCCTGAATACTCAATATACCAATGATTAAGTTCTCTCGGTGAACAGGGGATGTCAACCTTGGCAACTTCTATTTACTATTGGGGCCTGGTCGGCGGCTTTCCAATTGCGAACTTTCGGGGTGGGTCTGCAAAGTACCAGCAAGCGTACCTATGTCAGTGACTGGACGTTGAATGATGTGTGCTTTTCTTGTCTGCGTTGGGGCTATGCGGGGGTCTGTTGGCTGTAGGCGGGTTGGCTACCGGCCTGGGATATGTTGTGCGGCCAGGTATTCTTGGACTCATCCGAACTTGCCAAAGATCCAGTTCAACTCCTTGGAGGTTGCTTGTATGATCTGATATGTGCTTATTTGTTGATCGCTATCGTATATGCTGGTGGCGATTTACAGGCAGGTCTGATAAGCTCATAGAAAACAGCCCACTCTACTGAAGACCACGTCAAGAAGAAAAGACGGAAACGGCAAGGAATATAAAGTTATGGTTTGTACGATACTGCAATATACCGACGCTTAAATTGCCTAGCTGCTGTCCGATTATCCCTTCTCGCAAAGGGCAGGACGCGGACTATATGTAAGCTAGGAGAAACTAGAAGATGGAAAATCGAGCAGAGGGAGGGAGATGTGAGAGCAGTGACCAGCGCCTTATATGACTGAGTCGATGTCACGGTACCCGCCTATCAGCAGTCGTGGCACTGAAGCACAGTGTAGTGGCACAAAGCAAATCATGATTGTAGCGCCCCAAATAACGAAGGAGGTCTAGCTCCTCCCGTGCTCCCGTGTTTGTTTCTCATGTTCTTGAGAGACAGCACTTTCCCAGGAAATCAAGACTATCATCATCAGTGCGAGCTTTTGTCCGCCAAGGCACGTTTGCAGCAACTGCGTGCGGCTAATGCCTTTAGGTGCACGATAAATTTTATATTGCGCGTCAGTAGACTTTATTGATCGTCATCAGCATTCCAGCCTGCTCAATATGATACGTAGGTGGGGTTCTACGTGTACTGCCAGAAACGAAGTAATATTATTGAGAATGAAAGTCAATATCGTGACGAGCAGGCCTAGATTCTGAAACATGAAACACAAAATCAGTGAACGGAATGGCCCCTTGCTGCTGATCCCGCTGCTCTCGTTGACTCCCTGTCACCAGTGCCCCGGGTGATACTGCAGACATAGGAACCTCAGTGCAATTCCTAGAATGCCACCTCCGATATGTTCTGACGTCGTACAATAGTCACGGTTCGCCTCTGTGATCAGGATGGTTGGCCAAGGAAGAAGCCAGTAAGGCGGCCATGTTTGTTCTTGCATGCGTACTTGCAGCACCCGCGCACCTCACAGGTTTTGCTGGATCTAGACTAAGGGTGAAGTCATGGAGCCGGCCGCAGGATCAAGAGTCAAAGCCTACCAGCAAGCACTCCCGTCCAGGATGACCATGGAAATGGTCGAGGATGAATATAAAAAGTAGCTGCTATGCCAGCAGATAGGCATACCTACTCAACCCACTCTTAGGAGCGGGCACTAGCGAGAGTGGCTAACGTGGTATGGACCCCGCAAAACTGTCGTATGTGTACAGTATGTACATATGTACATGACCAAGCTAAGATACAAGCTAACAAGGTTAGACTACTTTTAGCTGGCTTTCTCCTGCCTTTGGATCTGAAACACCCATCCCAATGTAGCGCAAAGCCTCAACCTTGCGCAGTATTCATATGTAGCGCTGAACATCAGTTTGAACGTTGCAGAACATATCGACTCGCTGCAGAGGGACATTGAAGGATTAAAACCCGGTTCGTTCTTGTATAGTTAGCAGTTGATCGTCCATTACTCTACATAGGTCCCCGTCAAAGCTGACTATCACTGACTCACAGCCGCGTGTTCGGACTTGGTAGTCATCAGCTACGGCGGCCTGAATGCTAGATTCAAACTGGCCGGACCCAGTTTGGCCGGGAGCCGCACCATACGTGATAGGGGACAGAAATGCAAGGCGGGCAGATGCAGAACATCTGCCATTTGCGCCAGGTGTATTGATGTGGTGTTACGCTGCCGTGCTAGCCGTCACCAACGAGTGAAGGCATTCGTCATATGTAACAGGGACTTTACCACTATCAGCACTGGTATAATGGACGACCGTGATTGGCGTGGTGCAATTGTGCTTTACATAATAAATCCATATTACTGTACGTCCTTGAGGCTTGGTAGAGAATCAGAAAATGTGTTGCCCCATAGCCATATGGTCGGTTTTTATGGGACTCGAGGAGCATGTAGTTACATGAGCCCATTTCCAAGAAGCGCAGTGTCTCGGTTAGATGCGAACTATCCATAGAATCCGACAATGCATAAGGGAAGCCTGCCGCTGTCAGGACGGTCAGATAGCTTATGCTCGAGTAGGCTTCGATTGAAGTATCGCCAATCAATGATGGTGAAATAGGATTAAAAAAAATTGAATAAAAAGTTGAAGAAGAAAAAAAAAACCCAACCCCTCATCTCAAGCGCGTCCAAGTGGTGGACCAGAACGAATCATCCTGCATGAACGGAAGGGAAGCGACAGATCAGGACGCTGGTCTAGAAACGCTGCTTGTGCCATTCATTGTACGTGTAAAGACTGCAGAACGTGAACCACATATCCTGAAGGCCAAGACAGAGAGGGAAGGAAGCTGGAGCTTGATAAGCGCTTTAATACCGTGTCGCATCATGGACTACTCGGTAGGTGAAATACCAAGATTCAATAATACCATCGGGAGGCGCATGGTCAAGTTGGCTAGGCGGTGTCTATCGTTATTTTTATGCTGAAGGGGATTGCGCGTCTTTTCTTGTTTATTCACAAGCTCGATGCACTGCGAGGTTCATCCATCGCAGGCTATGCTGAAGCTGTGACCTCCCTGTGGCTCCTCCTCGTCTCCTGGGGGGAACCGTTTGCTAGTACTAGTACGTTTCTTGCAGGGTTATGGCTCAGATTACCCCCCACTATTCTGAGTCTAGAACGCAGATAATTGGGTATTCTGGAAATTGGCAGCCGCCATGGCAGCGTTTCCATGAATGTTTCGTCGAATGGGATCGCGGTGCCTTTTTCTGATCGGCCGCCCCCCCCTGCGTCTCCCTGCGTTCCCCTGTGTCTGATCCCTGCACCACTCTCGTTAGGCCTAGTCAGGTCGCTTACTGGGGTGTGATAGTGTGGCATAGGCCTGAACGGGCACCTGCCCACCCGTTGTCTGGCAGATTGCAATTGGATTGCACGCCCGGAACCGCCAATCTCGTCGACCAGACCTGAGCTTCAAGTTCACTTACTATGGACGGAGTAAGACCAAGACTAGATGTGCACAAGTGCCTGGTGCCATCCAATGTCACCTTAGCCTAGGCGGCGCAGCGACCTTGCAGGTGGCCTGTTCCTGACGCTTCTCCTCTTCAAGTCCTTCTCCGCCCTTTCCTTTTCCTTCTGCTTTTGTCTTCACGATCTCATCGTCGTTGCTGCCGTCAGTCGCTGTTTAGAAGAGGTCAATAATTGCTTTGGCAAGCCGTCGTTCATTCCCTCCACATTCATTCCCTAATCCCCCGGATTCAACTTCACTCTTTTAGTTGTGTCTGTCCTGTCTTTCCCTACTAGTTGCCGAAACCAAAGATTATCGTTGGTTCTTGAAGAGTTCGGCCTGGTCAAGACTCTCCCGCCCTTACAAGTGAGTCAACCTTGATTTCCGATCCCTTGCACCAGCTTTCGGCACGTTTCGAGCAAGCCACCACCCGCTCAACGGACACCCTCTGCCGTGCATGTTGTGCTTCGATCTACGGTTGTGTGTGCATGTATGTCTGTATGTCTGTATCAGACAGGGCTGACATTGGTCTCAGTAGAGCTAAGCCATTCATTCGACATCACTTAATATACGACTCCTTGACGCAGGATTTCGGGGAAAAAAGAAAAAAGGAAAAGAAAAAGAAGAAAGACACCAGCTCGTCAATCATTTCCCGAATCATTATCCAGCATGTCTCCCATCAACAACATAGTTGCCCGTGACCTCGGCGACTCGAATAGCATGATGAACCTGATGGTTACTTTTCTGGGCCTGGCCTTCTTTGCCCTCATCCTCGTAGCTGCACTCATTATGCTGCGGAGAATAAAGCGCAACCGCGCAATGCTCCTCGAGGATGGTCTTCCCCAGTACAATGATCTCAAGCATGAATACAACGGCCACAACACCCGCCGTCTAACCATTACAGCGCCAGATGGTCGGTCTAGTGTTGTGGTCCTCAACGGACGTCCCATGCTGTCTGATCCCAACTCACCGCCTCACTCTCCCAAGAACATCCCCGAGATTCACATCACTTTCCCCGATGAGCACGACGAGTATGGCCGCAAGCAAGACGGCCGCGTCATGGTTGTTAGAGTCGGCGAGACCACTGTCGGTATGGAACCCGTTCGCGAAGAGCAGCTGCCCGCCTACGAGAAGGAGAGCAGTCATGGTTTTTACTCTATCGATATGGAACAGATTGGTGGTTTGAAGGAGAAGGACCGTTCGCAATTCCATTAAAAGCTGGACAGACAGGCGCTTCTGTCGCCTCGAGACTAAAATTCACCATTCATCCTTAACCATATCTTTGAGGCACTGGCGAGTCGGCTTCTGACCGCAGTACTGATGCCTCGACTCTCTATATACACAACCCGGAAGGAGTTCTTGACGACCACACTACACATCATGCATGAATCACGGAGTACCCATTACAATTTTGGCAGCGAGTGCTTTTAGGGCTAATTTTCTTAATCGCCTCTGGGACCAGGCGCTATTTACGAGAGTTGGTTCACCCCCGGCTAGTCGGGCAAGTCATGGTGCTCTAAACAAGTGCCATGGCACTCTCGGAGACACTTTTGGATATACAACCGGTAAGGGGCAGCCGTACATATCTCAACCGGCTCGATATGCTCTTTGCGCTGACAACGGACCGACGGCCAAGGCAAGGACATACGGTCTATCTTGTATATTCTATTACTGTATTAAATAATGTTTCAAGACATCGAAAAGCTTACAAAACTCCTTTTCAGTGGTCCCTGTGTGAATGTGTGAGGATGTATATTTTCTCGACGAATGGCCACGCGCTGGGTAGTTGGGTCACGCGAGCCTTGCGTGCGTATCCCGCTTTCACGTGGGGGAAGTCATCTTGAATATGACCATCAGAGCACGTGGTATGAAACCTTGACCAATGTTAGATTTCAAAGCATGCCTGCCGGAGACAAGAAGGTTTTATTTTTATTTTTAATTAAAGCTAGTCTTGGAGTTTAATTCTCGAGACCGTTGATAGCCTGCATTTTAGGGAGGCACATGAGAAAGGACCCTTCATGCAGGTTGCGAGCTAAAGTAGACCTGGCGCTGTTTCCAACCGCAACTATGCAACTTCCACTTTGCATTGTATACTTGTGCTCGAGTCATTTTATGGAACAAACGGGTTTGCTGCCAGAAACCTCTTATGCCATCTTATTTTTCATTTATTTTTTGTTTAAAATTTATTTTTTCAAAAGTCATATGTAAAAGTGTTGACAGTTATGCGCTTGCCCGACTCTTGTCGCTTTAATTATCTATCGTGAATAGACACACACTTCCCTCGAGCGCTTCTAAGCCAGGTCAATGCTCTCTATATCAAATATCCAGTCAGGAGCTTTCAAAACCTTGGGCTCGTTTGCCCTCGGCCTTCTCCTTGCTAACAATGTTCAGTGCCCAAGTTTTGCTTGGCCCACTGAGCATGTCTAAGTCTGCACTAATATGCTGACCAATGTTGAATGCGCTTTGCGTGCGCAGAACTCCTGTCATAAACGGATCCTCCTACATATATATATATATATATCCGTGGTAAATTTCTCTTCGTTGATGTCCGATCCATGCGTGAGTTATGCTGTTTGCAATAAGGGGTATCATCTGGTAAATGTGGTCGTTAGAGCTGCCTATGGCTAATACCATATAGGCAGCTCCTGTTTTTAATATACATGTATTACGCACGGAATCGTCGTAAAGCCCTGTTGTCTTATTCCATACTTGGCTGCATGAAGGCCGAATGTCAGCTGTAGATGTGCGGATTCCTCTGACTTTGCTGTATCCAAGGCGTTTGCGCTTGCTCGCTAGGGTAGTAGTTGGCCTCATAAGGAACGAAAATGCCCCCATCGTTGGGATTGGAATGCATCGGTGTCGGTATATGTTGTGGGATTTGAGAAGCCGGAGGTTGGCTGTAAGTCATGGAATTATGCATGGTCGGGTCAATAGGAATTGCCGATCTAAAACCATCGAAGATCGGTCCCATAGTTGGTGCTAGCGCCGAGTTGAACAGAGCCGCCGGTTGCTGCTCTTGTATATCCATCAGGTGCGTTGGCGAATAATTGCCAATTGTAGGTGCCGCAAATGGGCCTTCCAACGATGAATCTTGAGCTTGGCGAAGGCAATACGGCATGACTGGCACCGGCAAATCTCCAATCTGAGAAACGCCATTGAGACTCATCGCTTTCTCATTATACGAGGCCGATTTCTTTCTGAGAAATCTGTCAGAGATGGACGATGTATCGTCTAGACTCCTCGGTGAAATAGTCGCATCAAGCTGGGTCTGTGGCATAATGTTATCTGGCCCTGGCAAGCTGGTAGGGCTAGGGGTTGTTCCTTGATCCTCGTCTTTGGCTTCTAGGTACCCATTGGTGTTGATATCGTCCTCGAAGTCTCTGATCTTGTCAATTATGGTGGTTTTCTGCGGCATCATGTCAGTTCGAGGAGATAGAGAGACTGTTTCGGGTTGCACGCACGTAATGCTCGACTCTCGGTAGATAGGCAGCCAGATCACCAACAAGCTTAACAATGCTCGCAATGAGAGAAGCCAGCAGATCATCATCAATTGGTTTCAGATAACACTAACCAAACTTGTCAGCAACTTGTATCATCCATAAAAGACCTTGTAGATTCGAAAATTCGAGCATGCAACCAGAGGGGGTTTAGATGCATAGCAGACAGTGTGAAATATATTCACATGTATCACGGGTGACGTGATGACACACTTACCATCTGGGCACTGGTGTTACTCTTGAGATTGTTATACAGCCTGTACTTCCTCGCAGCTAGCAGGACTTCTACTACATCCACGGCGCAAGCCCCTATCATCCAGTCGACTGTGACAAGGCCATGCCTGAGGGTCGCCGATGGGGTTCTCTGGACATTCTGTAGGCAGTATTCCCAAGTCTGTGCAAGACATATAGCATACGAGACAGCTTGTTGCTGTGAGCGTAAAAGAAAGTCTCGCTGTGACCTTAGGAAGAACTCCCATGGTACAGAATCAGGCGAAGTTGATTGTTTGAGTGCGTGCAAGGAGAATGAGTAAAGCTCGATATGCGTTTGACAGTACCAAGTATGGAGCATAGTGTAGCTTGGACGGTTTGGTCGGTGGATATGTGCATCAACGTTCGACACGGATAGCTTTAGATGTTCCGGCAGAGAGTCGGTGAACCTGTACAAAGCAGTCTGATATTGATTGACGTGCTGCATAAACTGCTCAGGCCGCATCGGATCGGACATTTGGCCTTGCGAAAAATCCGTGAATCGTTTCGTAGCTCTATACCTTAATTAGCACAATACCCAGGACAAGCTTTTCATGACCACCCTAATTTTTGACGCAGGTTGCAGTATATGACATGACTGACCTTAGAACTTGGCTTCGAATTGTTAGTAGTCTCACATGACAAGCGTCAAGACTATAATCTCCCACGGTAGAAGGGATGGAAGCGTTTTGATTATACGTTTCCATCGTAGAAGGCAGTTCATCTCTGAAAACCTGATCCGAGCAAGGCAGACGGATGTGTATCGAGGAAGACGGCAACAACAGATGCTCATCATGTCCGCCAGATAAGAAATGGTCGATGATATATATCTGCCAGACACTGCGCCTTTGGATCTCCCGTTCTGGATATGTCAACTGTGTAGACCGCATGTCTGGCTCGTAGTTGAGTTGTAGGCATTTGATCAAGCGGCTTGCGGTCGCACTCCACATCCAGACTTTTGCCAAAGGACCGGACATCCAGTTGTAAAGTGTTGCCAGAAGATGGTAGACAAGATAATCAGGACTCATGAACCCACAGTGCCGGAGTGTGAAAAACTCAAGCTGTTCGTTGCATCGCAGGGCGAGGGCGCGACCTGTTGCACCGGGAGACACAAAGTCAGCAGTAATCGAACAGATTCCGGCTGCTAGAGCTGGGGGAAGCTTGTCCTCGTCAATCAATCGGTAGATTGTGCCAGGATGCAGAAACCCCATACAGGGCATGTGGAAGAGCTGTTCGAAATACACATCTGCATGCTTGAGGATGACTTCTCTCTTGAGCAACTGGTCCCTAGTACTCGTCAGCTTTGGACGAGAGGCAAAACGCTGCCCTACTTACTGGCATAATGGGCTTAGTGAGAGCCCGTTCTCCAGGGGTGGCGTCGTCTTCGGTCCGTTGACGTTCTGAGGAGTGTCTTCCTCTGGCGTAACCGGGGCTCCATTTGGTGTTGGAGTTGTGGCTGCACTAGATTTACCTGGTAGATTGGCAAACTTCCTTTTAGATGGTGTGTATTCGCAAGGCAGATCGTTGAGCTGGCATCTTGCACACCTGGGCAAGTCACCGCTACATTTTGTCTTGTGAGCATGGCATTGCTGACAGGCTGCGATTGTACCCAGTCAGACGTCAGAATCAGTGATGGCTTTGCCGAAGGGCATTTACCTCTTTGTGCACGCTTGCGAAGCGTCCCAGCTTCAGTGACTGTGCCGTTCGGGGTAATTCTTGCTACTTTGTCTAGAACTTGAAATGTCAACCCAAGAACAAGCTGAGCAGTACTGAGCACATGTCTGATGCGTACCAGATGGTTGTGAGCCGTTGGGCGGATGTGCGAAACTGCATTTAAGCTTCAATCTGCAGCAGTTATCGCAAGGGTCGTCCCTCGATTTACCACTGCATTTAACCTTCAATCAATGTATCAGCCCGGGCTGCGGAAGAGTAAACGTTTGACGTGGGCCTACCTTTCTCAGCTTGCATGTGACACAGCATTCATCCGGGTTGTTGCGTCGTCTTTTGGTACTGGAGACCGCGGAAGATGATGGAGAGGGGGATGCCGCGGCTACAGAGTCCTCAGCGCCGGCGTCGCTGGGTCTCTGCGACTTGGCTCTCTTCATGCTTGATGACCGTCTGCACTTTCCGACAGAAGCAGCGCATTCTTCTGTATCTCATTATGAAAAGCAACGCGAGTGCCGTGAAACTGACGAGTTCTCAAGGTAACTTATGGGCAGTTGACAAGGCGCGGGAGTTTGACTCGCGACGGAATTTGGCACGTCCTGGGCTAGTAGGGGGCCCCGAAGAACCCAGTCCTGAAATGGAACGAGGTGTACACTGGCGAAGACGTTCAATCTGGACAAGCCAGGCCCATCGCGATTAAGCCGTTGAAGCTAGAGGTACATTACCATGTAATAAAGACCCCACCCGAGGCTGGCTGAGCTGTGCAAATACTTGTCCATCACTGGAATATCCCAGGAGAGGTGTAGAAGAGAAACCTGGCTTGGCCTGGTGTGTCTACTATTGGCAAATGAGCCTACGGGAGATTCCTCAAAGTTGCAAAGACCCCTGTCACATCGTCTCATTGAGCGCATGATATCCTCATAATAAAGTTCGACTAACGCCTAGGTTGCAGAATTGTCAAACCTCCCAAACTCTACAGCCTCTATCCTACATAGACATCAGCGCTCTATCCGTAGAGCCTAACTGCGAACTGCTAGTGCCAAGAGGCCGACGTGCCGATGCTCTCACTAACTTGACAGCTTACAGATCTTGTAGCTCGGAACACGGAATCATTGGTTGTTAAGGATGGGGCTTACTGCAGAATCTCAGCAGCATGCTCAAGCGAGTTTGGAGTATATACCTGGGACGACCTCGAAGATGCGGTTTCACTGTCTTGGTGATCTGCAGCATACCTCCCAGCTCGAGGCTGGTTTCGTATTCGTCAAGAGGCTCAGCATTCACCCACCCATGGGATCAACCACGTGTAGATAAACCTAAACAGGCCACTCGAAGCGCCAGGCGTAGCACTCCCCCCCGACAACCCTGTATAGCATGTACGGTAGAAGCCGCGCTCGCCGTGGGGACCGATGCACAGTGACAACCTGACTGATTATGACAGAGCCCAAAAGGGAGGAAACTCGGCCGAACATGCAACGAGTGCCAGCACCAGTCCGGCTGTCGCCGGTACTATTCACTATTAACGCCCCCACATGGTGGTGCATTCTATGCTTGGTACGGCAGTTGATGCGCAAGTGCAGGGGGAAGCCACGAGGTGACGAACAAGGCGCAACCTGCCTTCCAAGGCTGTGTGCTAATCTTGGCCATGGCGTAGTTGAATCATGATTAATGAAAACAGGTTGCTCATGACTTGGCAATATTATATACGATCTCATGGGCAACACCCATGCTCAGCTGTCGTTGTTCTGCAATTTCTCAATGGGATCTAATCTCTTCGCCATAAATAGGTGCCCGTGACATGCAGGGACCCATTTGAAATATCTTCACGAGCCTGGTTGGTTGCCTATCCGCACGAGTCATTCGCTTGCATGCGCATGTTGTGATTGTATGGTCGTTGTCTGCATTGGCTGTGCAGTACAGTTCAACCTTGATTGATTGTTTATTGAAGAGAACGGGAAGACCGGACAGTTGCATTGGCGCGGGTGCCTTTCGCGTTATGATATGATCGAAAAATACTACGATACAGCCAGAGTTGCCCTGACTCGGTACGGCTGCTGGGTTTCCAGAACACTTGCCCCATTGGCTTGAAGAACATGCAGACCGAATGGCCAGGTTTATTCGTCATAGCCGTCACTCAGCACTATGATTCCATATCCGGGGTCTGCTAGGTTGGGCAATCTAACGTGGCCCGTATGACCAGAACTAGTCACACGGATGCGATCCGGTAAACACCCCTTCCATCGTCACCTGAAGCAATTACCTGGGCCAGAAGAAGCCAAGTATTAACTATGTATGTAACCTAGATACTCCGCCGTACATGGTATCGGAATCTGCCCACATTCCTCCCCAGCTGCCGGGCAGTTGGGCTGGGCTGGTCGGCAATAAGCCTTACCCCACTAACTTATTGCAAATGCCTCGCAGCATCACAAAGCTCCTGAGGCTAATGTTCATGGTTTTGGAGGATACCTACCGTAGACTAGACTAGCTTCCATGAAGCTGGAATCGACAGCCAGACGACCTGTAAGCCCTGCAAAGATATCACCATATACGTTCTTTACGATGCTTCGGTGAGCTCGGCAGATTAGCGCAATCTTGACCCTCAATTGCGAGCCAATGGCAGCATTGGCCATTGCGATTTGTACACACCACTTTATTTCATACTACTACCTACCACTGGCTGACCACCATGCCGCCCCCTAATCCTCGGCCCAAGGCCCCTCCACCCGACTACCAACGCATTGCAGCTCAGTATGCAAGAGCGAAACGACTGAAAGAACTCGAAGATGCCGCCAAGGCCAATGCTGGCTCCGCTGCGGAGAGAACACGCGACAGGGAGGCTGAGCGGCAACGGCTTGCTCTGGAAACGCGTCGAAAGAACACATACGAGAAGCGCTTCAGGTGGACGGTTGGGTTCTGGCTATGGATGCTATGTATCCATGTCATTGGACTATACTTGTTCACAAGCGGCTTCCTCCTCACCCGCTTGGTCTTGGAAGAACAATCCGAATGCGCGAGTCCCCCGATTGAGCCTCTGACAAGATGGAAAGGACAAGGTACGGTAGAGGCTGGTTGCTGGCATCCCAAGACCTTCGATAAAGCTGTGGTTGTTATCGTAGATGCCCTTCGATACGACTTCACTGTGCCGGTGCGAGATAGCAGTAAGGCCGAGGTTTACCACAATGCCTTCCCCTTCCTGTACGAGACATCTCGAAATAAACCCAACAATGCTGTCCTGCTCCCTTTCATTGCCGACCCCCCGACAGCAACATTGCAAAGACTGAAAGGATTGACAACGGGAACATTACCTACCTTCGCCGACATTGGAAGCAGCTTCGGTGGTACAGCAATTGACGAAGACAATATTTTGAAGCAACTCAAAGGACTTGGCAAGCGGATCGCCCATCTCGGAGACGATACATGGACTGCTCTGTTCCCAGGCTATTTCCAGCCAAACATCAGCAAAGCTTACGATAGCTTCAATGTGTGGGATTTACACACCGTAGACAATGGCGTCCAGGAGCACATCTTTCCTTTGCTCCAATCTGAAAGGAAAGGCGAGTGGGACTTGCTCATTGGCCATCTACTTGGAGTCGATCATGCCGGCCATCGTTATGGCCCTAGCCATCCTGCCATGACGTCAAAACTCCAGCAGATGGACAAGTTCGTGCGAGACCTGGTAGCAAGTCTCGATGATGATACCCTTCTAGTGGTCATGGGAGATCACGGTATGGATGGCAAAGGTGATCATGGTGGTGAGAGTGACGACGAAGTTGAGGCTGCCCTTTGGATGTACTCGAACAAACCAGTCTTTGGGCGGACCAAATCTGAATACGTGACACCACCTGCGACAGCAAAGATTCGACCAGTAAATCAAATCGATCTTGTGCCTACACTGTCTCTTCTTCTAGGTATACCGATCCCTTACAACAATCTTGGTCGGCCGATTGAGGAAGCTTTTGCCGGACCGAGAGGTAATGCCTGGAACAATTTGGCTGCCGTATCCAGCATGGCGTCTGCTGGGATTAGGAGATACCAGGCTTCGTATTTTGGAACTCGTGGCATTGAGCAAATCTCGAAGCCAGGATCGCCGGCTGAATTCTGGGAAACTGCCACTGATGTTGCCCGGAAGGGCCCCAAGTATTCCGAGGCTATCTACCAAGCCTACGTTCGATACCAAGAAGAAACGCTGAAGCTATGCAAAGACCTATGGGCCCGCTTCGATGTTCCCAGGATGGTTATGGGAATAACTGTCTCGGCTTTAGGTGTTGCAGCGCTGCTTGTCTATGTCTCCCGAGATGAGGACGACGATCTTGCTGTTCTTGATGACCCTGAACTCGATTTTGCGGAAAAAAGTCTTGAATTGCAAAACCAACACAGCAATTCAGGCACCGAACATTACCAAAGTCTCGATAAGAGTCTCGTGAAGTCAGGGGCTATCGGAGCAGCACTGGGAACAAGTCTAGCAATTGCATATCTTTTCCTCGCTGGTTCACAGGATTGGCCATTGGCAACTGCTGGCACTGCATCTGGAAGTATCCTCGCAGTATTCGTATCCCTCTTTGGGCTCGGCAAGAGCATTGCCAACATTCTGCCTACCACATTTTGGGGTTGGCTATCGGTGATCTTTACGGTCAGTCAGTCCATTGGCTTCGCATCCAACTCATACACCATCTGGGAAGACTCCATTTCTCTGTTCTTTCTCTCTTCCTTTGGCTTGGCTTCTGGCGTTGCAGCGCTCCGGCGGGAAGACTTTAAGGAACGTTTTTTGGGCGTATACCATGCTGTTCTCTTCGTTGTTCTTGGCCGAATTGCATCCTTCTCAAAACTTTGTAGGGAAGAGCAAATGCCTTACTGCAACTCCACTTATTATGCTTCTGCGAACTCCTCAACTTCTGCATCATGGCAACTAATAGTGCCTTTCGCCGTCTTCCTCATCCTTCCCACGGTCATCAAGGGCTACCTAGTACCACCCCGCTCCTATGAAGGCCTCGCACCAGCGTGGATAGGATATGCACTGCGTGGCGGTCTTTTCTTAGCCGCTTTATATTGGACATTAGATGCAGCTGGTAATGGTGAATGGTTTCCCTCCATTCCCGAGGCAACACTGAAGACAATTCAGGTATCTGTGGCGCAATCAGTTATCGCACTAGCATTTGTGGCCGGTACAACGGCCTACATCTGGGCACCACCATGTGTCTCGATCATTACAACAGCCTCCGGCAATGTGCGTCGTGCCCAGGTCACTGTACTGGGATACGGAAACGCCAATGGCGCCCGTTATCTGCTCTTGCTAATTAACTTCGCTGGAGCATGTATTCTACTCTCAAAACCGATGGGTACTGGAGCTATAGCTTTGATGTTATGGCAAATACTATCGCTGGTCGAGATCATTGACCTGAACGGCATCACTATGGAGACCATTGGCCCCATCACCTTGGCTGTATTGGGAAACTTCTATTATTTCAAGACTGGCCATCAAGCTGCTCTGTCCTCCATCCAGTGGGATAGTGCCTTCATCCCACTGAAGACGCTTCGCTATCCGTGGTCTCCCCTCGTTGTGGCTCTCAATACTTTCGCCGGCCAAATTTTAGCTTGTGTTGCCGTCCCGCTCATTGTGCTCTGGAAGACGAATCCCAAGCGCAAAGCGGTGCTCGAAAGCACTACACGCGCTTTAGGTGTCTTTGTGGCCTACTATGCCGTCGAGAGCTTGGCCACGATGGTTTGGGCCGGACACCTACGGCGCCATTTGATGTTGTTCCGAGTTTTCAACCCAAGGTTCATGATGGGGGCTGTCGCGTTGATTGTAGTGGACTTGATCGGTATCGCCATAACGCTTACTGGCGTGAGAACGAACACGTTGGCTGTTAGCGAAGTCTTTGGCTGGGCAGATTGAGTACTTGCTGCTGGAGAGGGATAAATGAGTGGATTAGGCGCCTGGAAGCAACTCCAAAAGCGAAAAAGAAAACAAGAGTCTTGGGTCAGGGCAGAAATTCGCTGGCCGTCGTAACTACAATTGTCACTCTGCTTTTTTGGCGTCACGTGAAGTGAAGCCACTGTAGTATAGGTGTCAGGATAGATAAAAATAAAGTTGGAATGTGTACGAGTATCGCGCACAAACAGTGCTACCGACTGGAGCAATTACAACCACGACAGATAACAGAGTCAGCGCATGTATGTAATACGGATTTACATTCCGGTTCGATAGTTCCCGCTGGTCGCAAACGAGCGATCGGCAAATGTCAGGAACGTCAAACACGTGTTGTGCAAGTTCTTGTTTGGGGAGGATTTCCCCGGCCGTCCTGTTTCACATGTTGTGCAACTTCGTATGTTTAGATTGAATCAGAAAGGGGGGTGGGGATGCGGAAACGTGTGACCCCAAAGCTGGTTGTGTTCTAGCAGCCACGAAGACGGCGGCGAGATAATGGTTCCCAAGATATGAACGTGATAGGCGAGGTCACGAATCAAAGAGATACGCACAACCCACGGAGGCAAAATGTGGGCGAACCAAATAGAGTTTTTGCCATTCTGCTTCTTCGGACCCAATATCGGGTAGCAGCTATGGGACTGCAGCGTCTACGAGGGAGTTTGTCACGCCAATCTGCCAAAGAAAAGTTTTTCCCAAACCCTCCCCCGACAACTCCTTCCTTATTGCTCATTCGTCCTGATAATAAGCTTGACAATGTCTTGTCGACACCTCCAGCCTCCCCCAATCCTGTGGAATTCCATGTAAACCCTTCCGTGGGGAATTCTCTTCCCGCAAAGTCCATCCTCGCGCCCTCCCATTCCATCCCTGGTGATCCCAAATCGGGGTTTGAAGTATATACAATAAAGTCGAATAAGGTCTAAAGTGTAGAAATAATAAATGTTGGTTATAAGAGCGCCATAAGCAGGAGCGAGTATGGGGGTATCAAAGCGCTGCGCCGACTGGTGGGAAAATGAAGAAAGAAGAAAATATGTGCAATCGTGAAGCGGCGCCGAAAAATAAATAAAAACCCAATATCCGTTTTCCAAAATTTTTGGGGATACCGTAAAACCCATTCCCCAGTTGACTCCGGCTACCAAAATCCAATGCTGCTAATGTGATGTCGTATATGTGTGCTCGGCTAGATTTGTTATAGGAGCCATTGAGATAGCGCCACAATAAGCAGCGAAAAGAGCAGCAAAGATGGAGCTGGCTGTGTCGGCCCGGCGAAATTGCTGATTACTGCCTCCGGTAGAGTCGCATTCACATAACCGCTGCCGCACTGCGCGTTGACGGCGTTCGCGGCTTTTGTGTAGGTATTGGCTATGGCCGAGCTCCTGTCGGCCGTCGCAGCTTGGAAGAACCCCATCATGTGCTGCGTACATTGATTGCAATCCGGCGTCGTGCTGTTCGGGTAGCTGATATTCAGCGGCAGGTAATAAAGATAGACGTCAGCGATGGCGCTAGAGTTTGTAACGGCGTTGGCGAAACAGTATGCCGATGTCTCGGCGTCCTGTAAGCATGACGCGCTGTATAGAGGCTGATAGGCTTTCAGACCTTGGTAGACCTGTACTACCAGCGAGTTTTCTTGCGCATACTCGTCGGCGCAATTTGCTGAATCAACCAGGTCGTCCGCCACACCATCCAGGTAGTCCTCACAGAAAGTGACGTTGGCGCCACAAGTTGCGTCAAGGACTTGTGTTATGCTCACAAGCGATTTTTCGGCGTTAAACATGGACATCGAACCCTGCAGGAAGGTGTTAGTTGCGTTTCCATCGAACCGTACGCGAATGGTAATTATTGGTTGCTGGCGACGAACCTGAACGAGCATGGAAAATGGGTAGCATTGTTTGAAAGTCGAGTTTGACAACAGATCCGTAACGAAACTTTGGCAGCCATCGCCGGAGAAGTTTGAAGCGATCGAGTTGTCGAAGGGACTCGGCAGCGCACTTGCAACATCGGTGGTCGTCGTCCTTCGCGATGTAGTCGTCGAGGTCGTTTTCCCTGTGCTGGTGGTAATTCCTATTGAGATTGTGGTTGTCTTGACATTGTCACTGGTGGCTGAATCCGAGCCCGACTCTGCATCTGCTCTTCTTCGAATGTATCGTTGGTGCTCCTCCCGAGACATCATGATCCAATCATCCTCGATGAGAACAGGAACTCGCGTGTCGACGATCAGCGTCTCGTGTGGATGTGGGGGAGCGATGGCTGAAAAGGCCGCGGCCGTGGAGACCCAGCAAAGTATTAAAGCGAAAATCATTGCCCTTTTGTATCTTGGCCCAGCGCGAAACCTGAAACGACAGGGTGGAACGGTCCAGCCCGAGGGCACTGCGCCCAAGCGAGTTGCTTGGTTAAGAAAACCTCGGAGTTGATCCACGGAATAAAGCAGATGCTGTATGCAACTTCAGAACGGCAGGTTACCGGTCTACGAAACGTCCGAACATCACTCCTTGTCTAACCACAGATCTGTTTGTTCGGGCTTTGTGGTCTGCAATACAGGCGAGATGATTTTGACCATATGCAGCAGAACGACAAGTCCGAGGAATCGGGATGCTTAAAGAGTTGCGGTCAATATGTATCAGTTGGCCATTCAACCCTCCAGTCTTTCACTTGCAGCTGTATATCCTCTCTCTCACTGTCGGTCCAATGTGCGGCCTGGCGGGTAAATGAGTCGTTATGCGTTATCGGGCACGGCAACACCAATGGGATGCTCCGCGACAAGTTTCCGTATATGCTTAACGATACTGTTGTTCTGCAGCTAATGAGGGACGGGACGGGAACGTTCAAGTCACGGCGCGGTGAACGATTACCGAACAGGATGTATTAGGAGAATCGCCCACAAGCAGTATTAAAGAATTACGGGGAGTATAATCGTCTAATATGAGGACCAAGAACAACAATGGAGAGCAGAGGAGTGCCAAAGGCCAGGCCCAGCAACCTTTGCGGGGGCGGTACCTAGATATTATTGCCGGATCTCTCTTTGCAGTACATAGTTGGAGCCCTAGCATAGCAACAAGATCTAATGCCTCCTTCGGGTACTAGTGACGCGAGAAGAAAAGCCATTCTTTCCTAGGATGGAGCGCTCTGTCTTTGCTCGCTTGCCTAGGCAAGCCACGCGGCCCTGTCACTCGACGACTGAATATTGGCTGGGCCAGACCTGAATCAGCCAAGCGGGTCTGCGCGAGCGACGTTGGCGATGCGGGAGGGTGGTATCGCTGCAAGAACAGTCGATATGGCTCCTCCAAATCGGGCAATTGGGGGCCCAACCTGTGCTTCCTGGTGGCGGACAATTACAGGGGTCTCCAAGCGATGTCATCCGTTGGCTCAGCCCATTGACTGCAATACATAGTATTGAATTTCTGCCATGCAAGTCAGATGGGGCGCCATGTCTACTGTGTACCCTTGATCTCTTGGCGTTTCCCAGTGGAGGGATCTGACAGGCTCATGGAATCGTGTTAGACTTTTGACAACGGCCTCTCAGTCATCCAACGGAAATGCAGATCTGGTAAATCTGAGTTGCGAAACCTAAAAAAGAAGTCAAGTCGATGCGAGCGCGCCATTTAGCGTGCGCCATGCGTAAGAGGCGCTTGGGTTCAATAAGGAAGTTTGTGGCCAAGCGTCCAGGCCCTTGCAGATGGGCGTTGCGCTCGTGGAAGGCGGGCTTGTGAAAGAAAGCGAGCATTGCCGTTGGCCGAAGAGTTGCCCGTTGTAACAGTCACTGTAGGCGTCGGCTAGCCCTTGAGCAAATGGCCAATAACGCTACATCTAGCATCCCAGTCTCCATATGCCACTGACATATAGGCCCGTGAAACATGACAATAACTGCAGATGAGTCGGCAAGGACTACCAAGCACTGTACACACAGCCGAGCCATAGAACTAGACGTGTGCCGCACAGACAGGAGGGACACTTTGCTGTGACACTTGCAGAAGTCGCTTTGATTTATACAGAGCCGTGCCATAAATAATAGCTAGGAACGATATATGACAGAATGGGCAGCTTCAGGTAAGTAGCATTGCCAGTTCAGGGTACGCGCTTTCATGTGCTTCATAGCATCGGGCTAACCAGGGGATGCAATGTAAATGGATGAATGTCACCGGGTCTCGGACTAATATTGGATAAACGATTGTTTGCTCCCATATTGCCTGGCAGACCCGAGAAATCAGATGCCAAGACTACTTGTACTTCTTCTGTCGAATCGCGGAATTCCATGCCGAAGACCAGCTGATCTGGCTCTGGTTCTTGAGGCAAAGCTCCTCTTGCTTTGAGCTTCCCAGCAGCCCGAGATCATGTTCATGCATTAGCGGAGATCCTTCTTCCTTTCCCCGGGGGGTTCGCGGCCTCGAGAGACTTTTGAATCCAGGCACAAGTCTGCTGCTAAAGGCTGAACCTAGTCCATTCCAGGGGGGGGGTGATTACCATGGTGGAACTATTGGATGCCGGGGCCACGGATATTACATAGCATTGATTACATAGTACTGCGCCCTCTCTCGCCTTTGGGACCGTTTTCTTCTCCACCTGCACAACATTCACCGTTGGGGATGACGACTCTGCGGTGCCCGTTATGCAGGTGGAGAGGGGGAAAAAAAATTGTAGATACGATAGTGGATAATCGCGTGTCATGCTGAATTGCAGGACACTCGTGAAGATTAAAACACGTGAGAGTTCAGGTGGCCCGTACCTTACCGTAGCCCGCAACGGGGTACCTGAAGCGTCCTAAGCAAGAAAAATGAAAAATTGGGCGCGGGTCCTCAAATCTGAAGATCCGGTCAGTGGACCGGATCAACAGCCAAGAAACCCAAGGCACGCAGAACATTTTGCGTGGTCACCCAACTATCGGATCAGATGGGAAAGTCTTCAGGACTTTGCGTTTTTTGTCAACCAACATTTGGTGTCCAATGGGTCGTGATTCGCCCATCCAATAGTCCCTACTTAGCCGTTGAGCAAGCGCTGCTGTATTGATCCTTCTCCAGCCCAGCAGGCTTGGCAGGCACGCGAGAGGGGCCCAGAAATCCGGCCCCAGGCTAGACTAGAGGCTGAAAAGGGGAGGGGGTTCGCTTCACGGCAAGACTTGACGGACGAGGCAGTACCATAGCTCTATTTGACGAGATTTGGAGGCGTTCATAGTTGGTTGTGCTTTGCATGTGTTCAAAACCATGGCCCCCTTACATGCCAGAACCGCGACAAAAACAGCGCGCCAACGGAACAGAGCAATTTCTGTGTTGATCAACCAGTCTAGACCGGTAGCCTTCTGCGGTAGGTGCAAGCAAAAGATGCTAACGTAGATCAGCCTGTCGGTTAGTTCGTTGCATTTCGCGGCTTACAGGTCACCACGATAGGCGGTCCTGTCATCCTGGCTTTCGTTTTTCCAGACGAAATGAAAACGCCACACCTTTGAGATCTAAGACAATACTTCTTGTCTGCTTGACGAGAAACTCGTGTGTATGTGCAGATCCTTGCATAGGTAGGTCATACGACACCGATTGTCTTTCATTGGCGTCAAGCAAGGAACACTGTGGCACAATTGTTTTATCACTTTCACAATGTGACATCAAGATTTCGGGTTTTCCCCCTTCTAGATGTTGAGAACAGATATATAGAAGCTGTTGAAACCCAAGTTTTGGACAGCTGTTGAACATGTAAGCATGATCAAAAGTGATCGACAATGATTATATACACAAGAAAACACCCCAGCCAGAATATGGTGGCTATCTTTTTACTCCGAACTCCAACACAATGCGTGAAAACAGGCAGCAAATGCTTTTCAGGGGAATCTTTCAAAACTTCTTCCGACACATCCCACCCCCACGCCAACTTAGATCGACCAAAATCACAACCGAAAATAGGCCCGTAGGTTGTTTACCTGGTCTTCTCCAGGCTCTGCAAGTTGACCAACTCAGCATATCTTCCGTTCTTACGCATCAGCTCAGTATGCGTGCCCTCCTCCACAATGCGGCCCTGGTCAAACACGTAGATAACGTCGGCGCGTTGGATCGTGCTGAGACGGTGGGCCACGGCAATAGTTGTTCTTCCCTTGGCGGCCTTATCCAGAGCTGCCTGTACAACATGCTCGGACTCTGAATCCAGAGCTGAAGTAGCTTCGTCGAGCAGCAGGATTTTAGGGTCGCGGATCAGTGCTCGGGCGATAGCAATACGCTGCTTTTGGCCTCCTGAGAGCAGGGCACCCTTGCTACCCACCACAGTGTTGAATCCATCTGGCAGGGAAAGTATGAAGTCGAAAATGTTGGCCTCCTTGCAGGCAAATTCAATAGCCTCATCGGTGACCTCGTGGGCGGCGCCAAGCACAATGTTCTCTTTGATGGTTCCCTGGTAAAGGGTAGGCTCTTGAGACACAAGGGCAATGAAGGATCGATACTCGTTCACGTTCAAGGAGCTGATCTCCTTGCCATCGATATAAATACCACCAACCAAAGGATCGTAGAAGCGCTCAAGGAGAGCGATTGTGGTTGACTTGCCACATCCTGATGCGCCGACAAGAGCGACATACTGGCCCGGGCGAACAGTGAGGTTGAGACCGCGGAGCACTGGCTGTTCAGGACGAGTTGGGTATCGGAAGTGGACGTCGCGGAACTCGAGAGTTCCATCCACAGCCTCAAGGCGCTCGCCATCCTGGGACCACGTATCCACAACAGGCTTCCGGTCAAACAGAGTCTTCAACTCTGCTGAAGCGTGGTGCGCCTTACCCATGTCAGGGGCAAACGAGAAAATCGTACCGGCGGACTGGGCACCGAAAATGACGGCTTGGAAGCACACGAAGAACTGAAACTGATTATATTCTCCCTTGGCGATAAGACTTCCTCCGTACCAGAAGCCAAGAGCAAAAGCCAAGAATAGGAAGGACTGGGAGGCGGCATACAGAAGACTCGACTTGAGTACAGAACCCAAACTCGACCTTTGCTGGGCTGCAAGAGAGGTCTGGTATTGCTGTAAGACATCAGTCTCCCGAGTAAGCGAGGCAACAGTACGGATGGCGGAAATGGCCTCAGACGCGTAGGTGGCCGACGACTCGTAGGCTTTCTTTGAGCGGCGTTGGAAATGTGCGAGCATGTAGAAACGGAAGAAACCGCAAGCCAACAAAACAGGGATAGTCGAGATACAGACGAGGGACAGCTTCCAACCGATGCACAAAGCGAGAACACAGGCTGAGACCAGGGTCGTCGTAACAAGCAACAGAGTACCTAGAGTGACACCACTGATACCAGCAACATGCGTAGTTTCCGTTGATAGGAATGATGTAAGCGCACCAGCAGTGTTCTCGTCCTTGTCAAAGAAGGAAACATCCTGTCGAAGCATAGTTCTGAAGGCACGATCACGCACGCGGTGGATCAATCTCTCAGAGCATCTTGCAAAAGCGACACCTTGAAGCACGTAGGCAAGAAATTGCACGATTGCCAGCATCAAGAACATGGCACTCCAGAAATCGCTGTCCTTTTTTATCTGAGCACTGTTGGCTGGGGTAACCGGCGTGCTGAGCGTCTAGAATTAAATTAGTACTGTGCAAGAACGTCGGATGCGGATTGTATATGCTTACCATAATCTGTTTGGCAAAAAACACAGCTTGAGTAGGGTTTCCACCACCACAGATGATAGACCAAAACAGTCCCCAGCACATAAGCTTCCATTCTTCGCGGTTGAAGGATGCGATTAATTTAATCAAGGTTGAAAGACGGTACTTCTGTGTTTCCTCCGGCTTACGGCCCTGAAGGACCTTGCTCGAGGCAGATCCTTGGGTCGTTGAGCGGTTCAGCTTGGCACGCATGTTGTCATCTGGATCTTCAGTGTAGGTCTGGCCGTCCTTGGCAGACATTTTGCGAATCATCTGTTCATCTTTCTCATCGATTGCAGCTTGCTCCTCGGCGGTCAACTCCTGGACAGCTGCGATGTTCTGCGCTGTGACGAGCTTGAAGTATGCACCGCGTTTCTCAAGGAGTTCATCGTGAGTTCCTTGTTCGACGATAGACCCCTGAGTCATAACGACAATGTTATGTGCATCTCTAATTGTGGAAAGCCGGTGAGCAATAGTGATTGTTGTGCGACCAGCAGCAGCGACTTCTAGAGCAGCTTGAACGACTCCTTCGGATTTGGTGTCGAGAGCACTGGTGGCTTCATCAAGCAGAAGAATTTTGGGATCGGAGACAATGGCTCGAGCAATAGCGATACGCTGCTTTTGTCCACCAGACAGGAGGAAACCCCGCTCGCCGACGTTGGTCTCATATGCTTCAGGGAGGCCGGAAATGAAATCGTGGGCGTTAGCTTTCTTCGCAGCTTCAACAACAAGTTCACGCTGTTTCTCTTCGCTCTCGTTCTCGAACCGGGTACCGATCAGACCGTACTTGATATTGCCAAAGATGGTAGTACCAAACAGGGTGGGTTCCTGACTGACAAGCGAGATGTGCTGACGGAGCCAGCGCAAGTTCAGTGTACTAATATCACGGCCATCAAGATAAACTTTTCCACCGACTGGATCATAGAAACGTTCGACAAGCCCGACAATTGTGCTCTTTCCAGATCCTGAGGCTCCAACGAGCGCAGTAGTCTTTCCAGCGGGAATCTCAAGCGACACGCCGTTCATGACGACTACGTCCGGCCGTGAAGGATAGATGTGCTTCACGTTTTCCAGACGAATAGCACCTTCGACGTGATCAGGCTTGTCTCCTGCATCGTTTGTTGGGTCCAGTGGAGACTGGCGGTCGATGGTGTTGAAAATCTTAGCAGCAGCAGCGATAGCTGTGGCAAAAGCCTGGACATTAGGTGCGACGTTTCCAAGGTTGAATGCACCAATCATGACAGACATCATGATGATCAACACCTTGGAGAGCGGGATACTGCCGTCGAGCAGATATGTGGAGCCCATCCAGAAAGACAGACCGTAGTTCAAGTACACGATCAGCATCATGCCAGCGACCATACACCCGATGGTGCTCTTGGTCTTGAAACCGTACTTCTCTGCACGGATCAGGTGAGCGTCGTACTGTTTTGCCAGGCGGTCCTGTGTGCCGAAAGCAACAGCGTTCCTAATAGATGATATGACTTCGTCGGCGACGGTACCACCCATCGCATACGCCTCAATCGAGTGTTTGTTGTACTTGATCATGAACTGAGAAGCGGTGCCCATTACCAAGACGATGGCAAAGACAGTGGACATTAGAATCAGCGTCAGCTTCCAGTATTCGACGAAACCAATTACGAATGCGGAAATAAAAGTTGAAACGGCTGTGATCGTCAAGCCGACTTTTTCAGAAATACCATCCTGGATTAAGTTGGTGTCAGCCGTGATTCGAGTTGTGACCTCTCCGGCACCGAGGTTGTCGAAAAATCCAATGTTTTGGCGCATGCAGCTTTCCAAGTAGTGCTCCCGAATCTTTGCGCTAATGTGCTCGCCGGTGTAGATGAAGCCAACGGTCGCAATATAGATCGTCACAAACTCTCCAATAGCCAAGTAGACGAAGTATAGAACGAGACTCGTCATCTCATCCATGAAAGCGTCATAGGATGATTGGCCCGTGAAATAGCCCTGGAAGGTACCTTGCAAGTTACCAAAAATCACAGTCATCAGGGGCAAAGCAGCACCGCCGGCTATAGCGCAGATGGCGCTGATGAACATGATAATCAGATCATTCCGCGAAGCATATCGATACAGGATTGCAGCACCGGCCTTGACAGTAGGCGTATTGACTTGCCTCTTCAAGATATCGGCTTCATGCGCAGGTAAATGTCTAAACGGATCGGTGTCTTCCTCCTTTGCTTGCTTTATGACCTTTGAGTCTACCTGTGCTAAGGGCGCCACATCTGGCTTTGCGTCCTTTTCAGAGACTGGTTGCGTGTCCGACGTCGACTCGTTGCGGCTTGAGGCTCTCGAACGGCCCTCATTGGCCGGCTTTTCTGACATTTCGGCAGACATATTGCCTGTAATGGCACTCGACGACAAGGTCAGGGGAACCAGCGCGACCGAAAAGTCACACAGCCAACTCCTCGACAGAGGTCGGTGCGACGGTTCTCGTTGGCGAGCTTATTGCTGGCTTTCTTCAACGGTTTCTGTGTTGACTGCGCCCCTCGAAACGTTTGTCTGGTTGGGATTGAGCCGATGTGCTATTCCGAATGTGGGGAGTGGGTGCTGTCGTAGAGAAGGGAAAGAGAGAGGCGACAGAGCAGGGAATTAGTAGGAATTAGAAAAATATTCGAGGGAAAGAGCAACAACTTCAGCAAGTCCACGACGACAGAATAACAGAGCGGGAGCCGAGACTGGAATGCGCAGCGCGGGCGGCTTTCACTCTTTTGAGTATTCTTTGCCCGCCCGTCCATCGTGGGGAGGAAAGGATCCGGGGTGGCTTGATGTGCACATTTGTGCAACGGAAACCAGGGATTCCGAGTCACCAACACCGAGCATGTGCATGGAACTTTCACTAGGTTAGACTAATTGGAAGTGAGCTGGGAAAGTGGACGCTGTTCCAAAGCCAAAGTGCCCCAGGGAAGTGGGCCGCTAGTTGCCGAAAGCGAGATACGCACCCGACATAATAACTAACGACCTGCTGCATACTCCTTTCGATCGTGTTCTAGTGCAACGCTATTTGCGGCCATGAAAAGCTCTATTGGAGCGCTCGTAAGCTTACCCATCTGTACACAGGGCCCTGCGTGCGTAGATGAGTCTTTTGCCGCAACATGATGCTAAGTTATGACTCCGCCGGCAACTCGTCCAGGCGCACTATAACCCACGTGCAGCCCATCCTCGATGACACACACGACGTACGCTCATTGTACCTATGAAGGTTACCGAATGACTCGATTGATCATTGATTTGATTCGCGAAAGAAGTTCTCGTGTGAGGAATTCAGATACCTCGAGGCGTCACAGCATCGCGCTACACCCTCAGCTTTACCATCCTGATCGAACTCTCGCCTAATTCACTTGATATCCGTTGGAGGACCTTTTTGATGTTTCGTAAGCAGTGGAGCGGGCCGAATCACCAGGGGTTGTGATGCAGGAGCCTAGCTAGAACATCGGGCGAAGGATTAGAGTAATTAGATATCGATGGCGGGCCTCCTCTGCATGGTTTCACGCGCATGCTCTCGCTTGTGGCCCCGCTCACCGCGCAAGTAACGCTGGCATGGTAACACTGTAAGATGAACGCTGATCGGGGGATATACCCGCAGTCCCCTCGACAGACTCTCATCTTCAACGAGAACATCACAGCTACTACGAGAATCTGCTTCAATGTTCAAGAATCTGTGGCGTTTGCATAACTCTATCGATGCAGTGAGACATACAAGCATTCAGCCCTGCATTCTAGAATGCTTCCTTCGGTGTCCCAGTGTCCCATCTGCTCCACCCGGACTCCTAGAGATAGCGATTGCGGAGAATCGCGGAGCCAGACTTCGGGCCTCGGGGTCTACAAATCACCGATTCCCCATAGCATCTTACATAGAGGCAGAGACACAGAGACACACCATCAAAACAGGACTGCAATTCGTACGGAACACTTATGCAGCTATCTTGATTGACGCGGATTCAGGCTTCTGTTTTGAGATCCTGGCCCGCTGGGTACGGTTGCAGTACACATCTCAGATCTTTGCTAAGCCCTGCGGTTTAGCGCCCTAGTTCTATCTGACTGCTCGGCCTCTGCTCGTATACGTCTACGAGTTTTACGAGTTTTACGGAGAGTACAAACGAGGATTGTTAATAAAGCCCAGACGACCAGTCGCCACAAGACGGTCCCTAAGTTTTAACATTACATTATCAGCTCAGATGCGTTGGCACAACTATAGTCCTAACGTGTAACTGTAGTGGCGAAGTATTGGCTTCGTTTTGATGGCATTCGTCTTGGGTGGGCTTCTTCCCGACTTTTATGCTTTAGAGAGATTTGATTCAAGCACTCTCCAGATCCTCAGGATGTGATGCATAGGCAACGATCATACAAATGTGCTTTCCTTAATCACTTGAGGTCGAGATTACTGGTGGTGCCTGTAACGTGTGATTATTTTCACTCCAAATACTCGAACGCCATCGCCTTACATAATAGCCGCATGGCGAACAAAGGACGCCACTTCTTGGGATAAAGCTTGTTCGCTGATCGAGGGGCAAACTTGCATGCCCGACTATTGATTCGACAAACCCCTTTTCTTTCAGCCTTGCACAACAGGCAGCAAAGCGCAACTGCCATCTGTCCTTTGACTGGTCTGGTGTTTCTATCGCAACTAGTCTAATCACTCAAACTCATATTTGAAAGGTTGCCGTCTCGTATCTTTGAGCGACCAAAAAAAAAAAAAGCCTGGTCGACCACCAAAATGACTGAATCCATTTTCTGAGGTTTGCCACACAAAAACACCACGAGGGGCATTTTACATCCTTGCCAGTACGCCCCCCCCCCCCCCCCCCCCCCCCAACGAGACGTCATCTGATTTCCTAGGCTGTAATAAACCAGCGCTCAGCCTTGCGCTCAAAAAGTAAACCCAAACCATATTTCCTGCACAAATCGAATTATCATCGCAGGACGATCTCTCTTGAAAGCGAGAGAGAGAGAGAGTGTGTGTGTGTGCCAAACAATGGCACGCTTGACACAAACCAGGCTCAAAATGCCACACCTCCCACCCTCCCCCATCCTTTCCTTCCTCGCACTCCTCCTGGCCCTCTCCTCCCTCGCCGTCACGCCGGCCCTCGCCGCCACCAAGCCCAAGAACGCCATCCTGCTCTCGGACGTGCAGTCCCTGACGCTGCGGTCGGGGGCGCAGACGACGCACCGGCGGGTGCCGGCGGCGCCGCAGCTCAAGTGCGTCTCGTCCCCGCCGGTCTGCGCGCTGCACGACGTGGGCCTGATGCGGTGCACGAACCAGGGGTCCGGGTACGGCGAGCAGGACATACAATGGTCGTGCGCGGCGGACCTGCCACCGTCGCTCAAGCTGGGCGCCACCGACGTGGTCTGCGAGGGCTACGCCCGCGCCGACGACGAGTACGTGCTCAAGGGCAGCTGCGGCGTCGAGTACCGCCTGGTGCTGACCGAGGAGGGCGAGAGGCGGTACCCGCACCTGTCCAAGACCGGAGGTGGTGGGTGGAGCAGCAAGCCAAACTCCCAGAAGCCGGCTGCAGGGCCGCAGGGTGAGGGCCTGGATTGGAGCGGGGTCATCTTCTTCATCATATTCGTCGCGGTTCTGGTCTGGATAGTATACTCGGCCTGCGTAAGCGCGAACAACAATTCAAATGGTGCTACGATGAGACGGCCTAGAAACGGGGGAGGCGGAGGCGGGAACGGAGGGGGAGGATGGGGTCCAGGAGGTGGCGGCGGTGGTTTTGGTGGATGGGGCAGTGATGATCCGCCGCCGCCCTACCCAGGATCCAAACCGAACAGTTCTTCGTCGTCATCTCAGCAGGGCTGGAGACCTGGGTTCTTCTCAGGTGCCGCAACTGGCGCGGCGGCTGGCTACATGGCAGGCAACCGCGCGGCGAACCGTACGCAGCGGGAACAGCAGAGAAGAGATTACGGAAGTTCGGGATATGGAGGCGGTGGAGGCAGTAGTAGCTGGTTCAGTGGCGGATCTCCGTCGTCATCATCATCGAGCCACAACGACAACGACTCTAGTTCGAGCACGAGATATGAGAGTACGGGTTTTGGCGGCACTAGTCGACGCTGAGGAGCCACGGCTGCTACGCAAAATCATGATGCCAAGAGCATAAGGCTTACAGCGAGGCGACCAAAACTTTCGAGTTACATATGCCCGACACAAAAGCAATTTACGTACCTACTCAAAATAATTTCTCTGGTGCACAATCGATCCTGTAATGTTGCTGAAATTCTCTTTATTGTGTCGGGTTCAAGACTCCCTTGTAAATGTCCTTCCGACATTGCGCACATCTGCTATGCGCTCTAAATTACTTATCCTGTTCGAATTCAGTTGGACCCCAAGCAGTGAAAATTTGTAACCGATTTTCTCGGGGCGTTGCATATGGTATCAGTGATAGTTTGTGAGTCACTGACCATACGACAACCCGGCTCTGAAACAATTCAAGCACCTCTAGTGGCTCGTTCAGACAGGCCCGAATTTCCTTCTCGGTGAAATGGCTCTGGCATGCAAGCCTGAGAGCTGGCTTTTGGAAAGTCTATCGTCCCGCCGCATTCTCCTTCTAAATGGCTCCTCAAGAACAGCAGATTGTACTGCCCACTCATGATCCGCTCTCAGCGCACCGTTGAAGTGCTCTCAGCACTCAAAAGAATGCGATCAAACCATCGAGTACCCTCTTTCCTGGCGCAACTAGTGTCGTCCCTTCTAATCGATACATAAACTCTTACAAAATGCTGGCTAGAACTCGTTCCTTCTGCACCTGAGCTCCCACAAATTGAAGCCGCGTTTGTGGATCAAGAATGTCCCGGTTTAGACCAATGTCTTTACAAACGAAGCTACTCCGTCGCAACGAGCAGATCAGAGCTGGCCCAGAATCTAGACATCCCCCTTCGCACGGATTCTATCACGGGCTGGCAGGGTCGAGTGGCCGTGGTGCAAGTCGATTTGAGCACATGTGATCCAGTCAACCGCCCAGACACCCAACAGGGGTGGTTTCTGGCACGATTTTGCCCGAATACCATATCCCGCTCAAAGATGAACAGTCATGATGTCCAGCTTGTCGAACATCTTGCTGCAGTTCGGACATTTCCTCATCCTATTAGCCACACGATCGTCAATGCACGAACGGCAGAAGATGTGTCCGCATGTTTTGAGTGCCGTGTTTTTGAAGTTGTTGTGGCAGACGGAACAAGTGGCAAGTTTCTGTGGAATTGTTAGTAGGGTATCTTCGGAAGTAGTTTCGGATAAAGCTTACCCGTAGCATATCCTCCTCTTCGGAGGAATTGCTCAATGATTTGGACTTCCACTTGTCCCTGTCCTTTGAGGTACTCTCAAGGCGCGCCTTCAGCTTTTCATTATCCGTTTCCAAGATAGATGCACGCTCTCGTGCCGTGGCTGTGGCCGCGTCTTTACTTTTTGCCAGATTACCCAGTTCCGTTATTTGGGCCTTAAGCGCTTCATATCGCTTCAGGAGTTCATTGCTGTTGGCCTCGGTACGCTTGCTTTCCGAAATCGTGTTGTTGTTCGCGGCCTTGAGATCGGCAATTTGCTTCTCCAGACTCGCGGCTAGGGCGCGGGTTTGACTCTCATTCTCCTTGAGCTGAGAGATGACTTCCGAATTCTTGGAATTGTGCAATCGCACTTTTGTGAGCTCTTCCTTCAGTGTATCGTGATTGCGACGGGCATCGAAATACTTCTGATTAGCCTTGCCCTTTTCTGCAAGTGCGATGCTGATGCGCTCTTCCACGGCCGCCAGATCATGGATCTTCTTGTTCGCAAGGGTTTGGTACTTCCTGACGGCGGCCGCCATGGTAGGAAGCTCGATGTTGATGCTATCAAAATCCTTCTCGAGCTTCTTATACTTGTCTCGAAGATCGTCGACTGAAAGGCTTTCGAGATCAGGCCGGGGGGACATGTCAACATCTTCGCTCGGTGACAATCGTTGTACTTGTGACTCCAACTGTCTTATGCTGTCCTCATTTGCGCTAACAAGCGCCTTCATTTCGTCTGCAGCATGGCGCTCCTGTTCCTTGCTGCTCTGCAATTTCTGCACCTCCTGATGTAGCTCATCGCGCTGCATCCGAATTCGAGCAAGATTAGTGTCCGACTGTTGCAGTTGGTCCTCCAGTTCCGAGGTCAGTTGCTGCGCCTCGTTCTCAAGCCTCTGCTTGTAAGCGGTTCGTTCGGTTTCAAAGTTTTTGTTTGCATCCCTAAGCTTAGTGTTTTGTGCTTCGAGCAGGTTAATCTTCTTGATCAAATCATCTTGCCGGATCTTGAATGATTTGAAGGCATCAGTTCGGGCGTAATCCTCGTCAGTCAGGCCAGTCAGCTTTATTTGCAGAGTGGTGAGCTCTTCCTGCAGTGTTTTGCTCTCTGCTAATGCCGTTTCCAACTGCTGTTTCTGCTTGTCGCTCACAGCGGTAGCCTCCTTCAACTTCTGCTGAAGCTCTAAGCTATTTCCGTTGACTTCAGCAGTGCCGTTCTCCTGAGCTGCACCTGCAGGTCGTGCAGTTGAAATCGCCATGGCTTGTTGCTCCAACTTCTGCACCTGGTTGCTCTTCAATCGATCCATCTTGCGTTCGGCTTTCATGTATCTGAGCGTAGCGGTATTAAGCTGATCTGATACACTCTCCTTTTCGGCAGAAAGGCGGTTGATCTTAACAAGGAAGTCCTTTTGTGCAGCCAACAGCTTGTTCACTTGGGATTGCAAGCCAGCAACATCAGGTTCGTTGTGACGCTTGGTGACCACGCGGGCAAAGATGGCGTCGACCATTTCCCGGATAATCTTGGCCTTGTCCGAAAGGTGAGCCTCGAAGTCTTGGACGTCCTTGAAGGTGGTGTGTGTAGGGAAGGCCTGATCGTCCGAGTCGGGCTGGAAGGGTATCGTCTTCTCGGCCAAGAGCTTGACCTCTTGCAGAAGCTGGCACCTGGGATCAGCGACTAGTTCTTCTTGTGGTCTATGAGATGGCAATATCTCACCTGAATCCACCAAGCATCGATTATTCTCAAGTGGTCGTCGTGGTAGATAGAGCGACGCTCCATCTCTTCCAAGCTCGTCTCTAGCGTACTGACGGTGCGCTTGTATTCTTGCATCTGTCGAAAGATGGAGCCTTTTGTATATTCCTAGCCAAGCCATGACTGTCAGTGATGGGTGTTCCCAATGGTCTCGTCTCTTCTTGATGCGAGGTGTGTTGCGAGGTGATGATCGGCGGAAGATAGTGAACAGGCAGGTTTTCTCTTGCATCATGTGACGAAGCGTTGCAGACAAATATGTTGAACATCATCACTGAGATGGTGAGTATGGATTCCGCGATAGAAGCAGCGACGCAAAGCAGAGGAAGAGAATCCTGTGCGGCGGCGACGTCGATATACCAGGGGCCAAGCATGTGGTACAATGATATTTGCCCTGGGAGGGTCGGGTTGTGATGAAGAGTTGAGGGTGATTCAGGGACAGGGTGTCGTCGAGGAGAGGAGAGGAGGGGAGAGGAGAGATGTGAACATGGGGACCTACCTCAATCCATGAGTCCTCCTTGGTGTCATCATCTTTGGCGGCATTGGCGCTGCCATTGATTTGTTGACGCTTGCTGGGAGGAGCAATGTCGTCGGTGGCACTGAGCGCGGGTCTCTTGCGGTCCTCCATCTTGACGAGAGGGGACAGTGGCGCCGATGATTTGGTGGTGGATAGAGGCATGAAGAAAAACAGTGCTGAGCAAGTACGGGGGGCGGGTTTAATTGAGCTCGAGCAGGAAGAGGAGGGGGGAGGAGAAAAAGAAAAGGAAGAAGAGGGAGGCGGAGGCGCAAGAGTGGTCGACGGAATGGAAGCGCAGGCAAGTCTGATGATGGGATGTGGTGGAAAATGGTTGACGAAATGAGTAAGCTCTGCCCCCGTGATCTCGTCTGTGGCCGACGGCTACTGCACTTGTACGCAGGACTGCTGGTTTTGATCTTGAGCGAGTCTCAAGGTCGCAAGGGGGACAAAGGGTCGGGCTCTCATGAATCAGCTTGTCGGGGGGGTGGCAGAGCTGGCGACAGGAGGATGAGGACAGGAGGGGAGGAAGGGGAGTTGTGTCTCTCCTCAGGAGGGAAGTCAAAACGTCGTCTGAAAACTTGGAGTTGGCCAGTTCAACCAAGTCCCAGGCCAGTCCCGTGCAGTCTTGTCTTGTCTTGTCTTGTCTTGTCTCTCTGTCTGGGCCGTGTCCGTCTGTTGCCCCCAACCCGTTTAGTTTCGTTTCCATTTGCAACGCCAACGCCAACGCCGACGCGAGGACTGGCGCTAGACCTTTAACATGCTAGTGGCTCTGCTGGTGAATGGGCCACTGCAGACTCAGTGGGGCCTTCCGCCTGCTTATCAGCCTATCAGTCCCTGGGGCCCGTGTGTTTATGCCAATTCTGCCCCTCCTCTTCGAAAAAAGCCCAGCAACTCCATGCTGGGAAACAGACTCTCTCTCAATAATTAATTCCCCTTCTATCCCATCCACATACGACATATCTACTCTGCAGCACAGCAACCATTCGTTCACCACCGGCATTCACTCGTTTCCCAATACGCCAACCCTGTTCTCGCATCAAATCATCCCATCTCGTCTCACTTCACCGGAACTATAAATATTGAACCATCAATATCTGGAGACGCATAGCCGAGGGCTTTCTTTGTGCAGCTCAACAATGCTCCCTGTTTGATTGTGACTCGGCAGCGGACTGATACCGCACTCACCCGAATTACCGTCCTCGTCCTCGTCGCATTGTCACCATGAGTTCCTTCATGAAGAAGACCGGCGGCCTGGCCTTCAAGCCAAAGGTCGGTCGTCGTCCTGGACCTGCAACTGCAACTGCATCCGCATCCGCATCCGCCTCAGCATCGGCAGCTGCGTCACAAACCACCACAAGAGCTCCGACCGCAGAACCCTCGCAACCATCCTCTGTCACTCCCGCTCCTGCGGCACCTACTCCTAGTCCTGCTCACGCGCCTTCCGAAGAGCCTGCAGCAAAGCCGCCTTTGCCCCCGAATCCAGATGAACCACAGCCACCACCTGCCCCCACAGCTCAGTCTTCGAGGCCTGCCGAGTCAGCACCAGCACCAGCATCAGTACTCGCTGAACCGGCCAATCCAGCTCCGAGCCAGCCAACAATACCTAGGCAAACTCCCTCGGCGACCCGTACAGTTCCAGCATCACATGGCAGACGCCAAAATTCAACACCGGCGCCGAACGCCGGACATGCCCAGGCCGCAGTTTCTGACACACCTGGGTCGAGTCTTCCTGATTCTGCCTCACGACATCCCCTTCCTCACTCGACAAGTAGATCGCAGCCTCTAGTGTCTCCTGTGACCCAAGAACCCTCGACTGGTGTTACAACCGCCACTGCTACTGCAGGTCTGCCAAGCCCTGCCGTGACCGCTATTCGTCAACCATCAGCAGCGCCTGGTAATGCAACCCCATCGCCATCACCCTTGCCCAGCTCCGAGACTGCGCCGCTTCCCACACCGTTGAGTCAGCCTCAAGCAGACGGCACTCAAGAGAATGGTGCCACTGGGGTTACGCCGTCTACGGCCGGTGCTCCAGTGAAGAAGCGACAGTATCGCAGACGCAAGCAGCCGGCTGACGCAGAAACCGAAGCCCAGGAAGGCGAAACACCCGCCCTAGAGCCAAAACGTCCGAGGAAGAGGAAGGCCCCTACAACAGCTGTTGAGGGGCAAGAAGCTGAGGCTCCAGCAAGCGGCGAGGCGGCGGCAGCAGCAGCACCTCAGCGCTTCCGCCGCCGCCGCATAACTCCCGAGCCTGATACTATACCTGAGGATGGGCGGCCTGATCATACCACAACCAAGATCGGTGATTTGACGAGAGACTTGGGCATCGGAAAGAAATTCAAGCATGCAGATCTCATCGCGGAACGTCAGCGACAAGCTAAACACGATGCCAAACTGCGGAAGCTCGAGAGACAAAAGCGGGCTATGGGCTTACTCCCGCCAGAAGAGATTCCACAAAACGGTTCACGCGGGGAAATGCCTGCAGGTGGTGAGGGCGGGGACAACATTGCTTCAGGCGCGCAGGGCAACAGAGGTCAGGGTATTGACTTCGACATTATCGATGGTCAGATCATGATCAACCAAAGCTCCCTGGTCATTAATCAGCACGCCGTTGAGGCCGACGTTCAACTCGAGACGGTCGAGGAAGACGAATTCACCCACTTGACTACTTCCGCATCCTACATGCGGCCCTCACGCGCCCTGGGCCCGAACCACTGGGATGATGAAGATACAGAGAAGTTTTATAAGTACCTGAAGATGTTCGGTACTGACTTTGAAACCATCAGTCACATGTTTCCAGGCAGGAATCGTCGACAAATCAAGCTCAAGTTCAACAGGGAGGAAAAGCACCGACCTAACCGCGTAGACGCTGCTATCATGGCCAAAGGCGAGAAGAGAGTGGCGATCGACATCGAAGAGTACAAGAGCAACCGTTCCGGGTTTAATGACCCATGGATCACGCCGGATAAGTTCCATGCGGAACAGGAGCAGCTACGACAGGAACAGGAGAAAGAGCTCGAAGCGAAGAGGCAGGAACGAAGAGATCTGGGCCTCTTGGAGGACGAGATCGATCCCAGCAAGAAGTCTGGCACCGACGACAGCAAAGGACATGGCGAGGAAGAAGTCGAAGAGGAACTTCTCGTGGACGATCAAGATGTTGGCGGCGCAGCAACAATGGTCGCAACCTGACCTGACGACCAGCACAGCATAAATGGTAACCGGACAACGGCTGTCAGGATGCAATGACAAAGTAGCGAGATGCTTGTTTTGATACCCCGTTTCCTTAGCATACTCGCGAGCTCTGTCCTATCGCCGAGCTTCTCATGGAGTCAACCAACATTTTGGTTCGTGGCTTTCGAATTTGGTCGCGTTCTTCGCCATGTCCGAACTTCAGGTCTTTTCAAACCTGAGGCTCGATCGATCTCAAATACATGACTAAATGATGGGTTCACCTAACCATTCGTCACGGTCAAGTATGATTGAGATTCCTTCTCCTTGACTGCATGCAGCTCACTCCCCCTGCTCTGGCAAGTAATGGAGAAACGCATGCTTGTGGTTGCTATGTCATGGATGGCTGCAGCATCATAAAGTCCCAAGTCACGTCCTGGAAAAAGAGAAGCATACGAAGACGCCCCCATAGCTCACGAAATCATGCTTATGCAAATAGCGAATTGATTTTGATGCTCAATCATGCCGTGCAGTTGTTGCTCGGCTACCGAGTTCGAGGGACCAAAGTGATTTGGTTTGATCAACGTGCATAAATACATGTGTATGAAGCCTATGCTGGTCTGCTAACTGCCGTGTAACCATCGCGTCTAGGCATAATCCGTCCGCCTCCTGTCACGGCCGACTCGCAGCATGAACCGCGTCTGGGTCACCCCTCGTGGCATCTTAGCGGACTAAAAGCTCCCTATAGCCACTGCTTAACTAAATACCTTCGATAGCGGAGCTAGCTATAGCAAACTCTTTCGAGCAAATGTTCAGCAGCCAGTACGGTCTGCTTTTGTCTCCGCTGCCAGCGTTCGGGTTTGAGGAGAACAAAAGACGGAAAGGGTCGTATACCTAATGGAGTTGGGTCAGTTTTCTGCTCCAACATACCCACCTTGCTTCTATCTACAAATCTGTCTAATGGCAACATCGTTCCGTGTGGGTTTGAGTCCTTGATTACTCAAGAACTAGTGCTCCGTGGATATCTCATACATTCCATAGCTAGCCGACGTAAATACTATCTATTTTGAAAACATCAAAAAAGAATTTAAATAAAAATTCCAACTTAACTAAAAGCTTGAAAGTTTCTCCGGAGAACTTCAACATGTCTCCTCATTGATATCAAAGTATGGCACCAACCAGCAGGCCACCAGGTCGCTCCTCGCGGAAGCGTCGCCCATCTCACCAGCAACGAAAATAGCCCCAAGGCGGTCCCCCTTTGCCGTTTTGTCCCGTCAACCACCCCAGGTATATGACTCCTCTCGGCCGAGCAGCGGGTGAACAACAGTGGCCGGATGAGCCCCAACTTTTGCAGAGCAGCAGCAGCAGCAGCAGCAGTCATCAGACCAACAATAACGGGAGGCGATGATATATTTACATCCAAGGGCGGTGGCAGGGGAGGGGGGTAAACAGCGGCGACACCACTGACGACGACGGCGGATACGATGATATTAGACGTGGGCAGTTGGCTAGGCATGGGCCTTTCTGCAACACGAGAATCTTCCCAGCAACGTCTTCTGTTTAGGAATCTCAACATCGTTCTGCTTCACCACAAATAGTCCCAGCACGGTGTATCTATGGGAATGAGTCCAAACAACGGATGGTGATTTATCAGATTGTTCAAGAATATATAGACACGATAGTCCACTGTGACCAGTTTCAGTGCCCATGGACATTTGTACTGACCACCTGCCCATGTCAACCACTTGGAGAGTACTGATTCATAGGGGGTCGAGCTGTCATTGGTCAGTTAGTAATGAAACTTCAAATCCATGCCTAGCGACTTGGTGGTTTTCCGATATCATTTCGTTCTGATCTGCTTCATTATTTTGCGGATACCAGGCTACCTACGCTATCTCATTCGCTTCAACCAATGTCGACTCTGTCTTCACCATAAGAAGCTGCGGGTGCAAAATATAGCCGCCCTGTGTTGTCTAACCGTCCAGAACTGAGAGGACGATATTTTTATTACATTCGCTCTGCAATAGACAACCTTCCTCTTTTCCGCCCAGTAACCAACCAGTCTGAATGCTGATTGTTGTTCAGCCAGAGCTTTGAGTAGCGGGGGGAAATCATGTGAAACAAGCATGTCATTATAGTTGGCCGACTCGTTGTGTAAACTGGTGGACGCTGGATATATAACTTCGACAGATAGCGAGCCTACTGGGGCGGCTCGTCCAGATCATCGCCCTGGTCGAACAAGAAGTTTGCGGCCAGTTCCTCGTTCTTATCGCATGCGAAGTAGGCTTGAATGGCCTGGTCCTGAGTGAAACCAAGTCGGCACAATCTCTCGATGGCTTCTCTCTCCTCCTCAGTCACGCTAATGGCCTGAGCACCAGGGGGAAGAGCGGCATCATCATCGCCATCCTCGCCCAGTAGGTTCAGGAACTGCTCGGGATGTGCGGAGATGAGCTGAGCCAGTTGAGGGTTGCCAGCACCAAGCTGTTGCAAGATGGGCTCCAGCATCTGAGGTTGCTGCTGTACGACCTGGCGGAGTTGTTGAAATTGGGCATTGTTGCGCAGGAAGTCAAGGTTGCCAAGGCTGCCCGCTGCTCCTGCTCCAGCGGCAGCAGCAGCGGCGCCTGGGCTGGCTCCACCGCGTGAGCCGCCGCGTCCATGTTGTGCAGCGAGATCGAAGAGGTTAACACTGCCGTCATCATCACCGCCATGAGCGGGCTCGGCAGCAGCCTGAGCGGGAGCAGACGGGGCCTGGGTGGCAGGTGCAGCTTGCTGTTGTTGTTGCTGCTGCTGCTGCTGTTGACGAGCGCTCTCGGGGATACCCTGGATATGGTTGTCAGCATTCAGTCCCTGTATTGCCCAAGAAGAATATGAAGTCGTACGTTCAAGAGGTACTCGACAGCCCGGTCGGGGTTGAAAAAGGCAGCGCGCATAGCGGCATCAATTTGCGAGCGCTCGAATCCCATAGCCTCCATGTTGGCAATGACCTCTTGTCTTGCAGCTCCCATGGCCATCGAGGTATCGGTAGGGCCCTCGGACGTTGCGCCAGTGCCGGCGGGTGTGGGAGTGGCTGGCGGAGCAGCAGTAGCACTGCTGTGCGCCGGGGCAGGCGGTGCGGCCGGTGTTGCTGTTCTGGCCGAGGCCGGAGTCTGAGGAACATTGGCGGAGCTCGAGGAGGCAGCCGGGGCAGGAGCAGGAGCGGCAGCGGGCGCAGGCTTGGGCTAAGGCGAGGGTCAGCGGCTGGATAACTGAGTGGGCGCAGCTGAGCATGATGTTGTCTTACCTTGTTGACCATGCAGACTACGAAGCCCTTCTCCTCGATCTTGTAGGACTGGACTGTGTCCTCATCCTTGAGGATCTTGCCTGGACGCGAAAGGTTAGTTAAACTTGGCATGGTTCTCAGCGCAAAGCAATACGAATGGCACACATACCAGAGTAGATGAGCTTCTGGGCCTTCGGGTCCCAGCCCTTCTCGTCGGAGATTCTCTGCTTGACAGCGGAGATCTGTGATTGTACCTCGTTAGCTACTGCACTGGGCAACACTGCGATGGCATATGTGGCTATTCCTCAGACGGGAGGCGGCGCATCGTCTGTGACTTGGGTGGTGACGATGGCATTGCATTGCCTTGGGAGGTGGGGTAGTTGCTATCGGGTAGGCGCGAGGTGGGTTGGTGATGGATCATCATGACATACCAGATCAGTGGGCTCGACATCAAGTGTGAACTTCTGCTGCTTCAGATCCTAGAGCCGAGGAAGAGGCAGAGGTTAGTCTGGTGATGCGACAGCAGCTTCGGGGCTATGGGGTTGTGGACATACCTTGAAGGTGACCTTCATGATGGGCGGCTGTGACAGCTTTGTATCAGCTGCGAGGAATATTGGGCTGGGTGAAAGTGCGTGATGGGGAGGGGTTCGCCGAGGTCTAGAGGTCGGCGAAAAATAGGTAGCTGATGAAATGCTTCACTTCAATCAGAATTTTCAGTTGGGAGGAGATTGTGGGGGTAAATCTAATGGAGAAAGTGCTCTGGAAAGCTCGTCGATTCTCGATTAGACTTGTGATTGGGATGGGGATGGGGATTTGGGTCTGCTTCTGCTTCTGGTTTTGGTGTTGGTTTTTGGTTTGGGGGCCCAGGCTGGAATTCAGGTAGCAGTTAATGATGTGTCGCGGGGCGGACCTCAGCACCAAAAGCTCTTGCCTACGGCACCTAAAAGTCCACGGCTACAGCAGTCTGGCCAAGTCACTTGCTGAAATACCTACGGTACTAATCAACTAGTTAGTCTGCGGTTAGCCTGGCCTACACTAGACGAGACTAACCTAACCTAGACTGAACTGAATGTGGCGGGACATGAACGAATGGAGCTACATAATAACAACAAGGCTTCAAGGTGGGGGATTTTTCGAGGCAATGAATCTGCACCTTCCCATTGGTGAACACAAAGGTTAAGTGTTTACTATGCTGCTGTGGTAGCAAACTACATACGCAGTATGCATGCATTCGTTGACCACAGGTGCAAATGCTGCATTCCGCTGACACCTACAGGAGGTAACCAGACCCACTGCATGCGCCAGATGTCTTACTTGTTCACTCTCATCAAGCATTGCTGACGCTGTACCGAGTACAGTAGACGTTGTGTCGTCCTCGCAACGCAACGGTGCTCGTTATCTATATCGTATCGTATCGTGTGTTTAAGATTGCTTAATGACAGACGATGTCTACGTCATGGACTTAAAGGTGCTTTGAGAAAATGCCCAAGACAACGTCCGGGGCTAGCACACATGTTGCCAGATCCCGACAATCACTATGCTATTGTCACAAGCCTTATTTCCATGTGCACATTTTCCAAAGCGATAAGAGACTGCTTGTTATAATAGTTTTACTTCTTTAGATTTTAGATTTTAGATTTTTAATTTTTACTTTACCACTACATAGCTTGTGGTATGACCTGAAGCTCCAGTCACCAAAAAAGGCAAACTGATGTCTCCCAAGTCAACACCCCCCTCTCTCTAGAGGGGGGGTTTCCTTCCCAGAGTTCGCCCCTCGAACCAAACCAAATGAGCAGGATAACGCCGCACTCCGGAACAGGTATAAAAAGACAAGTGGTATCTCCCAACCCAATCCTACCATCCATAGCACTCCAAAGCCTCTGGTAATAAACAAAAGAAGGAGTAGAAGAAGATAAAGATAATAAAATGCCAACGACAATTGTGCTATGTGTATGCCTCTAGCAATACAGCTCCTATGTCATGGCAGCCATCGTGGATCATGAGTGTCATAAAAGAAAGAAAAAAAGAAGAATTACGTGGTTACGGCGAATCAAGGCAAGATGCCGAGACCGCTGTCCACCTTACTTTCTCGGTCGAGATCTCGCAGCTTCCTCGACTGGTACTCTGTAAGGCTTGAACGCGCACCTGCGTTCAGGATCCATTCAGGGAGCGGAGGTGTCATTTCCCTCTCCTCGATGGGATCTATCGGTGTAGGTGTGACGTAACCACTGCCCGGCGTGGGTGATTCACCTTTCATGCTGTTGTAGCTGGATTGTCGGCTCAAAGGACTCGACGAGGCTGGAAGACTGCCGCTTCGCATGCGATGGAGTGTCTTGGTCGAGAGAGTACGGGCTGCATCAGGCGCCGCCACGATGACTGTTCCTAGTGTCGCGGCTGGTGGCGGTGTCGGGCTGTCTGCGCGGAAGAGCGGGTGGATGTGAAGATCACTAGTGGAACCGTTGGAATCCAATGCCGGAGGGGGGCGTGGAACCGGCGAATAGCTGCGACTTCTGCGCGCGGCACGCTTCGGAGGCTCTAGATCTAGGGGCGTCCCAGGCGAGGGACTCCTGCTCACAGTGGGGCTCGCTGGAATGGTCTCCAAGGCACCAAGAAAACGAGTTCCGGGAGGGGACGAAGTGTCGATTATCTGACGGGTTTGAATATCGACGGATGACGTGTCCCAGGAGTCGAAGCCTTCTTCGACGTCCGGGAAAGACTCAAATGATGGCTGACGCCTTCCCCTCGATGCTATCGACCTGATCGACTGCGTTGACCTTGCAGGGAGGAGCCGGGTTCTGCTGTCCATCGGCCGAACCGCGTGGGAAAGTGAGCTGCGAATCGAGCTCATAGTCTCGGCCATGGAACGGCCACTGCTGGTGCCGGGAGGGCTCTCCAAGTCAAACGAGGGCGTTCCCTTGGGTTCCGCACTGCTGGCCGCAGTCTGGGCGTAGGGTACCGATTTCATGCGCATCTGAGGCGCGAGTCGACCGACTTCAGGGTGCTGCGAACCGTTCTCGTTCCTGCCGCCCAGTCGACTCCCGACGAAGTAGATAACAACGAATGCGAGTTGCAGGGTAAACGCAAAGCCCAGAGCAATCGATGTTCCGATCAGGTAAGGCATCTCCTCCCCACCAAGTATTTTCGCATTCTCGTTCTCCTTGCCCAATATAACCAGAACCACAATGGATGCAACTGTTGCGAGGGAAACCGTTACCAGGCAAAGGGGGAACCAGACTGCGCCAAGCTTGTTGGAGCCATAGTATGTAGAGTGTCTAAAGGACATGAAGACGAGAAGTAGAATTGCCAGCAGCACCAACCCTTCGAAGGCGGTTGCCACCGCCGCAGCGGTCTGCACATTCGGTATGCTTCGTGGTGTTTGCGCGTTTGCAATTTCTAGGACAAACACAGCCACTGTGGTCAACAGCGCTGCAAGGCCGAGGATGGCCAGGAAGGCCCAAGACATTGCCATGTCGGAGCGGGTCGTGAAGGTTATTGATAAAATAGCGAGAGGAGCAGCTGAATGTATAGTTTAGATTAGTCCAGTACAATCTTGCCACCTATTCGAGCGAACAAAGAAATGCCGAATGGAAAGCACTCGAGTCGGAGGCGTGGGCGCGCGGCCCTTGAGTAGAAACCTGCACCAATGGTAGAGGAGTGAGCAGATCAATGAATGAAAGTCAAAGTATCAGTTGATCCGACTATACGGTTGCGATGCTGAGATCGACGGCACTTGTTGTGGGACCAAAAGCTAAAATCGGGCGGGCCGGGATGGGATTCCAGGCGATTGATATAATTGCGGTTGCGACGCGAGCTGTTTGATGCACGAGTGGATGCGCAATTGAGATGTGACTGGAGTGTATCAACTATGCAGTCTGTCCGTCAAGTAATTGTGATGAGACGCTTCGTGCAATATGGACATAGATGTCGCGGCTTCGGGTGCATGCAGCGTTGACTGATAGGTAGTGGCGGTGCAGAATAATACCGAACCACTTTGGGGGAAAGAAGAGCCGAAACTAAGAATATGATCAAAATGAGTGGATATCGATGGTTGAATAAATGGTCGGCCAGAAAGTATAACGAATGAAGAGTCCGGGTCGTGATTTTGGCCGTCTCGAATTGAGCAATGGAGGAATGATTGTGTAAAGCGTGGCTGAAAGCGGCAAATTGGATGAGGATGAGGATCGAGGGATGCTGGACCAATTGCTTGCTCTTGGATGCGGCCTCTGCCTATTTTTGACGAAACGCGTGAAAAATCGCGTTCTGGCTTGCTTGCATCAAGAACCCTGCACCTATACCCGGTTGCATGCAACGCCTTCTCGTCCGTCAGTGTGGAAGGTACGCGGTCCAGGCCGTTGGTGATGAGTGAATCCCACGATAATACCCCAGGTCGCCAATGAGGTCGCAGGTTTCCAAAGAAAGTGTGGGTGGGCCCTTGATCGATCTGATTTGCGTCGCGCTGTATGTGCAGAATGTGACTGCAAATATGATGATAAATATGCGTGTAGTTGCCCGGCACTTTTCCCAATTGCCTCCCCTTTTCCTGTCTTGAACAATAAAACAGGAATTGACTTTTTACTAAGAGCAGTCTAACAGGCGAGCTCTTGTTATTATCACCCTGCACGATTGACTTCCGGGGCTGTCGGGCGAGCTTTGATGAGCCAATTGGGGGTGTTAATGCAGTCCCGGTAATAATAGACGAGGCCAATATTGTTGGATTGGGTGAGGAACAGTTGGTTAAAGTAAGAATGGATTGGCCCGTTGTCCAGATCTTGGAAGACACCTTGGATCTGTTCAGTGCACGAAGGAACTGCTGAGCCGGCTTAGCACAAAAGAATGATATGCAAGTTTAGAGAAACCTTTCCGCCAAACACAAGTCAATTACTACATAGATGGGAGTCCACGATCTATATTGAAGGTTAAGTGACCGTGCGACAAGCAAATTTTGCAGTAGCCCCGGACTCCCCTCCATGTTATGAAATCGGTTTATAGGGATCCATTAAAAGGTCCCACCATTAGACTCTCAAGACCTCCTGTTCTCCATCTTGTTTTGTTTACAATGACTTGGATCAAGCTAGAGGGGGCTTCCGTTGTTACGAAAGCGCATGCTTACTGTCCTTGCGCAGCCAGGCCTAGCAATCAAGGATATCCGTGCAACTTTCTGCAGCAATCTGTCGCTTCACTACTGCAATCGTTGTATTCAGCAACTCCGAGCCACGTACACCTGTGTCTGTTCGTGGGTGACTTGCACCTTGCACGTTCGCCGAAGCCGTCAATCATCCCTCAAGTTTGCAGCATTTCGAGTCATACCAGAGTGTCTAAGCTATTCCTGTTGGAGAGAATTGCGGGCACATGACACTACTGGAATTCAATCTCAATATAGGGTTTGCTTACTGCCATTATATTTGCGGTTCCAACCCATCGGATTCGTGTTTTTGTTGCGTTGCGTTTCGTTGCGTTGTTCTGTTATTGTTGTTATTATTATTATTTACATAGTTGCCTGTTGTGGTTCATGATCCAAGGACCGGGACCACCGGGGGCCAACGAGAGTTCAACTACACCCTTGTCACCTGAAGTTTAAAGAGAGATCCGAATCTGAAACAGGGTTACGCCTGGTTGTCGGTAGTTGCCCATATATTCCACGAGGGGCGGAGCACCGGGCTCTGGGTTGTGGATCTTAGCAGGCTAGGATGAGGGCTTTTGAAACGTGATGCAAATGAGAATTTTCTATTCCCAGCTGCTTTGGGGGTCTTCAAATTTCTAGAAAGGCACCTTTGGTGTGATTGATTTGTATGAATCATGGCCATGGTACTCATATGCTCTGTGCGAGATCTTGGGAGCTCAGCAATTAATTTTCATCCTTCCCATTAGTACGGAGAAACTCACCGGGATGGGCATCCGGTAAGCTGGACGTCACATCGCCCATGTCTAGTCTCCGAGGTTGAGACAACGGCGCTCTTCGAGAGGTGCTTTTAGCAGACAATTGGCAGGGCACAGATGCAGTTGGTGTTCGTGCTGACTGCTTTTTTTTGAGCAGTGTAGCGTTGGAATTGGCTAATTTCATTGGCTCCGGGCGGATTGATCCATGCGTCTTCTCATTTCACATACAGCTGGCCAACTGTTTTTAGTGCTGCGTTCCTCATCGCCTCACTGTACATAGTACACAAGTTAGGTAATTTGGTCTGGAGTCAGCTGGGAACGTCCCTGCCATTCTCAACAATAAGCTTCCAAATCGTTACATGTCAGATCACAAAGCAGCTGACAAGCCTCATGGGAGCTCACACATTGAGGCATTCAATTCGTTGCTTTTTGTGTCGAATATATCAAGGCGTTGGTCATGACTCGTTTTTTTGGCCTTGCTTGGCAATCATCGATCTTTTCCCAAACGCCTAAACTGGCCAAGAAACCAAGGTACGTCTAGTCCTTATATCGCAAGTTTTATCATGTTTTGCTTGCTTTTCCGCTTCCTCTCAGCTCGAGCCTCGAGGTCAGACGAAACTTCCCCAGAGACATGCATTACATAGTCAGATTTTAATGCATTCATCAAAGCCATGGCCAGCCTCATGATGATCGCCGCTCATTGATAGGGTCAACGCCCTTACTGCAACGTCTTCTCGTAAAAAGGAGTGGGCTGACTTTAATGTCGGAACATCGGGGCATCTCAAGCAGGTTCTATCGTGAGTCTCCATGAGTCTGGAACGTCGAAATGGATATTGCAACCACGTCATAGACACTATAATGCTCGTCAAACATCCACAATGCACCCGGTTCCTGGTATCTGATCTTTCTTACCCCTCTCGTAGTGCCGTTGATGGCTTCTTCATTTAGCGAAAATTGAATCTTCAAGATTTGCACGTCGTGGAAACTTATTAGGAATCAATCAGCAATCATGATCACATGCTCGTATTGAAAGAAGGACTCTAAAATGTGGATGGCTTGGCCGTGCTCTGCAAGCATGATAACTTCATTTCGGTGACTACCGTACTCTGCTAGTCGATTGCTTGTACATATGCTTCTTCATGCATTGCCCCTCACAACAAGGCACCACGACAAACTAACAGTTCTTAGTGAGTATTCTTTGCGGTCTTGGTCGAGCCGTTAGATATTCTCGGGATATAATTTCTCGTCGCACACCTGCTAAATAATCGCGCTATGTACGGCAGTAAATGCATTACAGCTAACCTAGTCTAGTCGAAGAGCTTACAGCTATGCTTGAGCAAAACATGATTGAGATCTCGTTGACTTTCGGATTTTAGTTATTGTGTCGGAACTAGTCACAACGACTGAACTCAATTTTGAGTGCGGAAATGAAATTATAACCACACGCGTCGTCGACGCTGCCCTATGAGGCCCCAATGCAGGAACCAACGCAGCATGTGGAGATGGCGTCACTCAGCGCGATGGCTTCGGAACCTCGGTCGTTCTACCCCACAATCGCTAATTATACCGCACGTGAAGACCACCAATCCCGTCCTCGAGTTGAATGCATCTCGCGTCTGGACTTCCGTTGCTATGAGAGCCTTGGTCACGATGGGGTCGTTTGGTCAAGAAAGCTTTTCGTGGTCCACTGCTGTCTGCTTTCGACGAAAATTCCGCAATTTGGAGAAAGTGAGAATAATACGAGTTTGTGAATATGATGTCATGGCTGGATTATGTTGCTCGCAGGAAGAAACATGACTATACTCTCGGATCTAAGGCGGTCGGCCCATCATTCTTGCCAGGGCCCGAGTTTCTCTGAGTTGGAAGAAAATATCCCGTTCCCCGAACGTCCTCTCTGGTCTTAGTACACAACCGCCGAAGTCAAAAGTCTGGTACTCTACACCCACTTGCCAGCATTCTCCAAAGACGTATGCCCGCTATGCGGGGCTCGGTGATGATTTTAGAGCCAACATTAGGCACGATGTCTGCATATTTTGCGGGATGCGAGCCTCCTGATTGCCGGAAATTCCTTAAGATATCATTCCAACTTATGCTATGATCTCCACGCGTTCATGATGTTTCAATACGCCATTTGTCCTTCCGGCGGAAAAGTTGGGATCTTCGCCGGGGGATAATACGAACGTTGCTACCTTGGAAATTGAGTGCCAACATTAACAAAAGGCAGATCCAAGCCATGGAAAATTATGACTTCGAAGCCAAGGGGGGCTTTTGATCAGACTTCGAATGCTTGTCCATACTACACGATGCACCTGTTAAGAACTGTGGCTGCAGCCCTCGGGCTCGCCTATGGCGTAGCTTGTACTTCAAACAATCTCACAGATGCAGTCACATGGGACAAGTTCAGTCTAAGTATCAATGGCGAAAGAACATACATCTAGTCAGTAACGTCTCCATACAATGAAATTTTGAGACCTATTGTGGTGTTAACGGCGATATTGCAGCTCGGCTGAGTTCCACTACCAGCGAATGCCAGTGCCTGAGTTGTGGCCTGTGAGTCCTCTAATTAATAGCTGGAGCATGTTAACCAATACCCTCAAAGGATATCCTGCAAAAGTTCAAGGCCAATGGCTTCAATGCAATCAGGTACATGTCAAGATCGTGACCACATGCTGGACTTTCCTAATGGCTATTCAGCGTGTACTTCTTTTGGTCTTACCACAGCCCGAATCCCGATACCTATGACTTCAAAACTGCCGGCAAAGATGTTCAACGACTATTCGATTACGCAAAGGAAGCCGGCCTATGGGTAATTGCCAGAGCCGGGCCATACTGCAATGTAAGTTTACGATTGAAATAAGTTAGCCAACCTAATGTAATGTATTGAACGATTTCAGGCTGAGACAAGCGGAGGCGGTCTTGCACTTTGGGGGTCTGATGGCAGTATTGGAAAGATCAGAACGGCTGATGAGACCTACCACCAAGCGTGGCTTCCATGGATTACGCAAATCGGACAAATCATCGCTGCAAACCAGATCACTGAAGGCGGAGTAAGTCTAGGCCTTGCCTGAAAATTCTTCGATTGCAGCTAATAAGGTCGCAGCCTGTCATCCTCAATCAGATTGAGAACGAATATTCGGAGAGCACCCACTCCTCGACCGCCACGGAAGTCCTCCATATGGAGCAGGTTGAGAAAGCTTTCAGAGATGTCGGTGTCATTGTGCCCTTTACGCATAACGAGAAGGGCATGCGAGCTCAGTCGTGGTCAACAGACTATCAGAACGTTGGCGGCGCCGTCGATATCTACGGTCTTGACAGTTACCCCGGAGGTCTCTCCTGCACAAATGTGAACACTGGTTTCAATGTTGTACGGACTTACTACCAGTGGTTCCAGAACTATTCCTACACTCAGCCCGAGTACGTTCCAGAGTTCGAAGGAGGCTGGTTTTCGGCTTGGGGAAGTGACACGTTTTACGATGAGGTGCGTTGTACTTGCAAGACACGCGCTGGCTCACACATAACTGACGTACGAGTCAGTGTACATCCGAGCATGACCCTGCATTTCCTGATGTCTACTACAAGAACAACGTAAGTCATTGACTTTGCAAAGTAAATCTGTCCCGGTTGCTGACTTGGACAGATTGGCCAGCGTATCACGCTCCATAACATCTATATGACTTGGGGAGGCACGAATTGGGGTCACTGTAAGCTCTTTGCAGTATTGACGCACGCCAGCCCTACTGATCAATATACTAGCCGCTGCTCCAGTCGTGTATACCAGTTACGACTACAGCGCCCCGCTTCGCGAGACAAGACAGCAGTGGGACAAGCTCTTCCAAACAAAGCTCATTGGCCTGTTTACCAGGGTTTCTTCGGATCTGTTAGAAACAGAAATGTTTGGAAATGGAACAGGATATAAGGTATGTTTGTTCCACAACCACCGGATGCACGAATATACTGAAATTATTAGCTCTCCTCTATAGCTGGCTTCAGCTGGGTTTTGAAGAACCCGGAATCTGGAGCAACTTTCACCGTGGTTCAACAGGCTAGCACAAAATCAATGACGAATGTATCTTTCGCTGTGGATCTCGATACTAGTGCTGGTACCGTGACAGTTCCTACCGTTGAACTATATGGGAGGCAGAGCAAGATTCTCGTGACCGACTACAACTTCGGCAGCCACAGTCTCCTATATGCCTCTTCTGATATTGCAGTCTACGGAGTCTTCGATGTGGACGTCCTTGTTCTCTACCTGAAAGAGGGTCAAACCGGCGAGTTCGCATTCAAGACAAATCAGACACTGTCATACAAGGTCTACGGTGACAGCACATTTGCTGCTAAGACACATTCCTCGAACGGTACCTACACCAACAGCTCGAGCAATGGCTTCACCTACACTCAAGCAGCAGGCACTACAGCTATCAAATTTTCGAACGGTGTTTTAGTCTATCTCCTGGAGCAGGCAACGGCCTGGAGACTCTGGGCACCCCCGACTACATCAGATCCTGCTGTGCGTCCCGATGAGCAAACTTTCATTATTGGGCCTTACCTGGTCAGAGATGCTTCAATCGAAGGCACCCAGCTTATCGTCAAGGGCGACAATGACAATGCCACCACCATTGAGGCTTATACTGGCACAAGAATAGACACGATTCAATGGAACGGTCATCCCTTCAAAGTTCAGGAGACTGCTTATGGTTCTTATACAGCTGAAATTCCAGGAGCCGAGTCGCGAAAGATCAGCCTGCCATCGTTGTCGGAGTGGAAATCGACAGACTCTTTGCCAGAGATTGCAGTAGATTATGATGATTCGAAGTGGACCATCTGCAACAAGAACTCGACACCAAGCCCTATCAAGCCAGAGTCACTGCCGGTTCTTTATGCTTCTGATTATGGATATTATTCGGGTGCCAAGGTATACCGTGGCTACTTCGATGGTGCGAATTCCAGCTCTGTTTACATCTCAACTTCCGGCGGTCTCGGTTTTGGCTGGAACGCCTGGCTGAATGGGCAGCTCATTGGCGGTCATGAGGGCAATGGAAGTCTTACGAACATTGCTTCCACCCTCACGCTTCCTTCCTCCGCGCTCAAGCCGAAGAGCAACGTCCTTACAGTCGTTGTTGATTACCACGGCCATGACGAAACTTCGACTGCTAAAGGTGTTGAGAACCCTCGCGGAATACTGGGCGCTTACCTTCTTCCCGGCGGGACCAACACGAGCACTGGGTTTACGCAGTGGAAGATTGCAGGAAACGCTGGTGGTCCTGCAAACCTCGACCCTGTCCGTGGTCCGATGAACGAGGGCGGCCTCTACGCCGAGCGTCTCGGGTTCTTCTTACCTGGTTACAGCTCGAATTCAGGATCTAACAAATGGAGCAACTCTAGCGTGTGGGGTAGTTCTAGCCCTTTGGATGGTTTGAACGAGTCCGGTATTGCCTTTTACACCACGGACTTCTCACTCGATATTGATGACGATCTTGACGTGCCGATTGGTGTCGAATTTTCTGCGTCGGAGGGCACGGTTGCGAGAGTGATGCTCTGGGTCAATGGCTATCAGTATGGTAAATACGTGCCTCATCTAGGTCCACAAACCAGGTTCCCCATTCCTCCGGGTGTGCTCAATAATAAGGGCGATAATAGGCTCGCCGTGAGTGTCTGGGCGCAAACGGATGATGGTGCAAAGCTGGATGGGGTCACCCTCTTCAGCTACGGGCAGTATCAGACCAGCTTCAACTTCAACCAAGACTGGGAGTATCTGCAGCCAGGTTGGAGCGATCGCACGAAGTATGCCTAAGTGGAGCGCAAGATATATGATCACTTGAACTAGAGCACGGCGTCAGCTTTGGTCTTTACAGTGTGGAATTGAGAATGGTGAATATGAAAAACACACAGAATATAATCTTGATACCTGGAGCATATTGACTTGGAGGTCACCTTCCCGTGTCCGAAAGGGGAAACGACACGATGCTTGACACGACAAATCCATAATTATTGGACATGCTAAGGTTAGCGAGATCGGTCTTGATGCACCCTCTTTCACCATGTGCTGCGCGGAAACCTCCTAACCTTATCGCAAGAGCCACTATCTGAGCTCCCCGCCTTTTCCCAGTTTCGTATCGCATATACTTTCCGTATACCGCTTAGACCTCGCCGAAGTCAAGCTTCATTGTGGGGTACAAACATGTCGTTATCTTATCGAGCTACAGTAGATGGCTATCGCCGTCAGTGATCCAAATGCAACCAGAACAGGCCGGCTAGCCAAGGCCAAGAAGAAAGCTGACAGGATTGAACAGGTCCAATGGCAATTGCTTGGATTAGGAAAGCGTATGCGGCCAATTGACTGGTGAGTTATGGCTGTTCACCATATCGGTTTCCTGACTATTGTTGTGCAGTAACTGTATCCCCCAACCTTCGTCACTGTACCCCTGTGGCGAGTCACTACCCCGAGGATCGCTGACGCAAGCCAATTAGACGTCATTACGAGCCCCCGCAAAAGCTTGAGAGCTGCAAGTCGCCGTTTGCTTTCCCCCAAACGTCCAAGTCCTTAAAGTCGTGATAACCCGCTTGTATCCTCCTGCTTGGTATTCTGTAGTTCCCATTTCTAACCTACCCTCCCATACCCCTCTATACATCCTTTCGAAGTATATACACCAATTTCTACCTGACCAATTGTAGTCTGTAGCATTGTTTCCCCTACATTCCTTGTGAAGAATCACTTACAGTGGGAACCAGTGAAGATCAGCTTGGTACTTTGTGTCTTCGCCAACAAGAGCGTCAACTCACACAAGATGGCATCTCTCCGTGCTGGTGGCTTACGGCCACTCTTCACTGCATCCAAACGCATCTCCCCTTCCCCAGCTATCCGACAGACTCTCCCACGACAGGTTGCGGTAGCAACCAGCCGAATGGCTTCCACTTTCTACAGTGGTGAGCCGGAAAGCCCTATTGTCAAGACAGATATTCCCGGGCCCAAGGCCCAGGAGCACATAACCAAGCTCGACACGGTGTTCGACACTCGCAGCTTGAACATGCTCGCTGACTACACCAAGAGCTTTGGTAACTACATCGTGGACCCTGACGGAAATGCTCTCCTCGATGTGTACGCCCAGATCGCGTCCATCCCAATTGGTTACAACAACCCGGCCCTCGTAAAGGCTGCGCAGAGCCCCGACATGGTCAATGCCATTATCAACAGACCGGCATTGGGCAACTTCCCATCCCACGACTGGGACCAAGTCCTCGAGACCGGTGTCCTTAAGGTTGCCCCCAAGGGTCTGAACCAAGTCTTCACTGCTATGGCCGGATCCGATGCGAACGAGACAGCATACAAGGCAGCATTTATGTGGAGGCGACAGAAGGAGCGAGGTGGCCCTGCTGTTGAGTTCACCAAGGAGGAGTTGGAGTCATCCATGAACAACCAGGCGCCCGGTGCTTCTGAGCTCTCCATTCTGTCTTTTAAGACTGGTTTCCACGGTCGTTTGTTCGGCTCCCTCTCGACCACACGTTCCAAGCCTATCCACAAGCTTGATATTCCTGCCTTTGACTGGCCCCAGGCCACTTTTCCTCAACTCAAGTACCCCTTAGAGGAGCATGTTGAGGAGAACGCCAAGGCTGAGGCCGACTCACTTGCTGAGGTGGAACACCTCATCAAAAACTGGCACCTTCCTCCGGCTGCTGTCATTGTTGAGCCCATCCAGTCCGAGGGTGGTGACAACCACGCCTCCCCAGCTTTCTTCCGTGGTCTGCGCGAGCTTACCAAGAAGTACGATGTTCTCCTGATTGTTGATGAGGTCCAGACTGGTGTAGGTGCAACTGGCAAGTTCTGGGCTCATGACCACTGGGACCTCCCCACGCCTCCCGATATGGTCACCTTTTCCAAGAAAGCCCAGACCGCTGGTTACTACTTTGGCAATCCTGAGCTCCGCCCAAACAAGCCCTACCGCCAATTCAACACCTGGATGGGTGACCCAGCCCGTGCCCTGCTCTTCCGTGCCATCATCGATGAGGTCGAGCGCCTGAACCTTGTTGAGAATACCGCCAAGGTTGGTGACTACCTATATGGCAAGATCGAGGCCCTGGCGAAGAAATACCCCAATGACTTCCAGAACCTCCGTGGCAAAGGTCAGGGTACTTTCATCGCTTTTGACAGCCCCAAGCGTGACCAGTTCCTTGCCAAGGCCAAGAAGTTTGGTGTAAACATTGGTGGTAGCGGTGCTACTGCGGTCCGTCTTCGACCCATGCTGATCTTCGAGAAGCAGCATGCTGATATCTTGGTTGAGGCTATGGAGAAGATTGTCACTAGCTGGTAATATGTTGGAAGAAATAATGACGAGGGCACGGCGTTTATGCGGCTGCAATGAATTTTTTTCTCTCTTGCATATTTAAAATGCATGGAAGTACTCACGACAGTGAATGATTATGATATCGCAGATGAGAATTAGCATTTGATCAGTTTACACAATTATCTCTTATTGAAATCAATAATGTATCCTCGAACGAATTTTGGAACTTCACATGTTAGCTGTCCCTGAGCCATTCTTTGTCGTTATGTATTCTGGCTCGACTCAACGATAAATGGCCAGACTGCGCAACCAAGCTAGTCTCGTTGTAAGGCAGTGGACAAGAAAGTGGACGGGATCGAATGAGTCCTACGTACTATTAGCGGCGTCCATCTACGTTACCCTGTATCAAAAAGTAAAAAAAAAAGAATCATTTATTATTCGCAATATTTCTGTCATCTATCTGGTAGTGCTTGCTAGATTCTAGCAGCTTGTTGCTTTTGTTCTGTAGTATGATAATGGGTGGCCGATTGACTGTGAGCTGAGTGGCGTAGCAACCCTTGATCATGGCCACTGTCCACCAGTATTTCAATCTTTCAAAGAATTACAAGGCAGACTCGTCTCGCTTTTGAGCTTACCATATAATCATTGCTTATACCCAAGCCCAATCTCACCAAACCCAGTCTTCCTATACAACTGTTTCGCAGCCGCTTTCTTGGCCATGCTTGCTATCCATGTCATCATCGTTCTGACTGACTGGATATTGGAGACCATCGGTTCTTGGTCGTTTATACCGTCGTGCTCGGAGTTCAATTTGTAATTGTAGTGCTGCGTTTCTCCTAGCCCTCACAACCTCCGGCAGCAAATCAAAACAACATCATGGCGTTGGCAACGCTCTGGAGCGTCTCGGTCCATCTCCACCTCAGACTGCTCTGATTTACTCCGGTGAGCGCCAGCGACTCATATTTGGGGTCTTGCTCCCGGTAATCCAGGTGTTTTCCGGGTGAATCACATCTTCTCCAGCACATACCACTCCCTCTTAACCGTGCGCATGTGTTCCAAAGCCCTCACGGTAACGCTATCCCGCGCTATTGCGAAATACCTGCGCGAACAGTCATCAATAGTTCCTGGTGTGTCGACAGTTTCTCTCGTGTACAGTTTCGATACCCCATCATATGTGAGATGCGGCACCACAAGACATTCATTGTGTTGCCTGCCAGGGTTGGGGATCCCATTGTAGTCCCACGGACGCCTGACAAGCTCTGGTGGCGGTCGAAAGTCATGAATTTTTTTTCCCCCCGATGGCCTTCCAGATCGTGACTCGCATCTCTGGTAATTGTCTTTCCGAATAGCCTGGGACTACATGACCCAGCTCTGGCGAGATAGTTTCCTTCTCGGACGGGGGCTGCTCTGTCTCCCCAAGCTTGGGGGTGTCGCCCAGTTTGGAGCATCGCGTTTCATGCCGTTGATGCAGTCGCATGGACCTCCCAGGAAGTGATCGCAGGCTCCAATAATCTCGGAGTACCTCTTAGCCATGCATGTTCCTTCTGTAGCATCCGTAGCTCTAATGTTGTTCTCTAATCTGGTACTGTCGATTTATCAAGATTGCTATGCCCATAGGTAAATGAGAAGTCTGTCTGACTAGTGCCATTGACATAATGCTCCTGAAAATACAACTGTGTAACAAAACTTTCGCGAAAGATGTTGGTGAGCATCGAACTATGATGTTGTGTTGATTATAGCTGGACTGTGGAAGGCGCAAGGCCGTTCCGACGTTGAGGGCCACTGTTCATTTTCTGATTCATCGTGAAATTACAAGGGCGAAATTATGTAGAGATTAGCGATGGTAGAAAGTTTCAGACTAAACAGAGATGGACTGGAGAGCGAGGTGTATTGATTCTTTTGAGAAGATAACACTCGGCACTATATCATGCCTTAGAGCCTTTGTCACGATTCAAGGTGTCTCTGGATTGACAATCAAGGCATATTAGATACTGATTTCTTGTTGTTGCCTTCCGTGGGACAAGTAATACAACAATAAAACGATTGAAGCTGGCATAGTATGACACGGAGCTGGTGTACACTGTAGTTTGCTCGTTTGAATAAAGAGAGGTCTTTCGAATATCTGTCTAGCTCTCTTTCAATCTGCACTATTTGGGCTGTAAATATATCAAAATGCTTATAATGGTGCAATGATATGAACTGCATTGTTGCGATTGTAGTTTAACTGCGGCGTCACTCATTATAGTCGAAAGGTTTCTGTTGAGCGACTCTGAGCATGAGTTCGACCACAAATGAACTAACCTTAGCTGTGAGGGATGATGGCTGTTTAATGATTGAATAGGAATTGATTACAACACATTTGCCATGAAACTTAAAGTGTGGCATGCTGTACAACTCTTATGATCGAAGAACGCAGACTTGGTTTGTGAGGCAGAAGACTAGGAGTTTGGCTTTGAACAGAGCAGTCGGGATTCCACAGAGTAAGCCGGAAATTGAAGAAAACACCTGGCGAATACACTTGAGCGTTGACGTGTCAATATAGGATAGGATATATGAGGAACAACTGCGATTGTAGTATCCCCTTTGGAAGCCAGTTAGACTAGTTCTTTGTGTCAATTTGCAACTCTTGCCGCACAGAAGTTCCTGCTGAGTTGGAAAGTCAGTTGTATCTACTAAATCTAACAATTATACCAACCTTGTCACGGATGTAGCTGTTCGTGAAGAGTGCTAGTGTATTTGGTATGTAAGGGATATCTTAAGGAGGTCGGAACTACGCGATTAAGAGACATATTTGAAGATGAGCGGAATTATGGCGCTTCGCACATGCGTCGCGCTCGTACTTGTCAGATCTGATTAATCAGGGGCTGGAGAGCAACGCTTGACGCGTGGGTTTATGCAGTTGTTGCTTTCCAAGATGCGTCTCAGCAATCTAGGTTCGCACAACCCGCCTGGCAGATGAACGGTATCCGGAGAAAGGGTGATGCTTACTTTGAGATTATCGAACGGGCCTTGCAGGACAGTGGAGTTGCATGTGCATTGAACTCTGTATAATAGCGCTATGCAGTACTGCGCTCCAAGCTACTGATGAATGCAAGATGCTAATTGAGGCCGGGCTCATAGGATATAGATTGCGATGTTCCTCGTGACATACGCAGAAAGTGTCCCGTTGCTAAACAGTCTAACTGGGCGATCGCAATGGTGCGCTATGTTCTAGTTGCTCCGCCTAGTTGATCATAACTTTAGCATTCACGGTATGCCGCCATCGTATGTTTTGTCTTCAATCGAAGCTGGAAAAGGGCGACTCAGCCAAAGACACAAAGTTTGTGTTCATAAGACCGGCTGCACAAAACAAAATCCTCTACGCCAACGGTCGATTTACACTTCGAAGACTAATTGAGTGCACAATGATCGGACATCACGGGGAGAGGAAGATGCATCCTGTCGTTCGGTTTCTTGGCTTTGAAAATAGAGTAGCCGCTAAAATATAGTCGGGCTTGTTCCTGCATGCAACCCCTGACAGCGTGCATCTTTCGGGACTTGTTAGAGTAGCTGTCAAGCGCCACCAATTTCCCATTGTGATGGCTCCAACCTTGTGCAGTCTCTATTGTTGAGATCAAATGCTATGTTTTTCCAACAGGTTTCAGAGGAAGCGGATCGACTATCGTGGACATGGCATCATTGGTAATCTGCCACCCAAGACACAAGGTTTCGCTCGCGCTTCCCGTACTTCCCGTGATTGTAGGCTGGTTTGCAAGTTGATAAGATGATGCCGTATCCCTCACACCCACATGTGGGTGTTCTCTGAAAGGTAGCGATCTTTCTGTCTCTCTAGCTTTTCACTTCCGCCTACCAAAGGGACCGTGTCCCTTGCCGTTCATTATCAAAATGCATATTCAGTCGTTCATTTCTATATCTTGCTTCGCTTGGGCGATCGTTGCTCATGATGTTCCTAGAGGACTCGAAGAGCGACCAACATATACTGTAACAGTCCAGTTGTCACAGTGCACAACAGGATTGACGACAACCTCGACCTCGACCACCACGGCAACAGTGCGCACCACGGTTTATTCATCCAGACCGACAAGCCTGGCTGCACCTCTGGCGTCGGCTTGTGCTTATTGGTTAGAGAATGTAAAGCACCGAGGCATTGCCTCATTCAACGAGGATGCCGGAAATTACACAGTCTTTCGTAACGTGAAAGACTACGGCGCTCGAGGAGATGGTGTGACAGACGACACGAAAGCAATAAACCTAGCCATCAGCGATGGCAACAGATGCGCACCAGGCACTTGCGCTTCCTCAACAACCACGCCGGCCCTGGTTTACTTTCCTCCTGGTACTTATATTGTCTCCGGCGCCATCGTCGGCTACTATTATACTCAAATTATCGGCAACCCCAACTGCTTGCCCGTAATCAAGGCTTCATCGGATTTCGATGACGCTTGGGTTATTGATGGCAACCAGTATGGAGCAAACGGCCTCGGTTGGGGTGCTACAAACGTTTTTTGGCGCCAGATCCGGAACTTCGTCATTGATATGACTGATATACCAGCCACAAAATCCGTATATGGCATTCACTGGGCGGTGTCCCAGGCCTGTTCACTTCAAAATATTGTCTTTCAGATGTCAAGCGCTCCTGGTACACAACATGTTGGCCTCTTTATTGAGGAAGGCTCCGGGGGATTTGTCACTGACCTTGTTTTTCATGGCGGCTTGTACGGCTTGTACGTGGGAAACCAGCAGTACACCATGCGGAACTTAACTTTTTACAACGCAGTTACTGCGATCAGACAGATCTGGGACTGGGGTTGGACATACTCCGGTCTCAGCATCAACAACTGTCAGATCGGATTGAACTTAACTTCTCTTCGAGTCGATAAGTCTCAGGACGTTGGCTCTGTTGTTCTTTATGACAGTGAGATAATCAACACCCCTATCGGTATTTGGACAGCTCGTAATGCTGGCTCCACACCTGCATCTGGAGGCAGCCTCATACTCGAGAACGTTGCTTTGGATAACGTCAACGTTGCGATTCAAGGAATCAACAAAGAGGTGATCCTCGCTGGATCGACCAGATCAAGCAAGATCGCTGCTTGGGGTCAAGGACACGCGTACACTGCCACAAAAGGACCATTGGCATTCCAAACTGCGATCAATGCGAATCGGAGACCGTCGAACTTGACGACTGGGACGCGATATTATACTCGCTCGAAGCCTCAGTACGAACACCTCCCAATGTCACGGATCATTAGCATTCGCGCTGCTGGAGCCACAGGAGACGGAAAAACGGATGATACCAACGCCATCAACGGAGCTTTGCAGTATGCAGCCAAGTCTGGCAAAGTCGTTTTCTTTGATGCAGGATACTACAAGGTCACCAGGACAGTGTTCGTCCCAGCTGGGTCCAAGATTACAGGAGAGGCTTACCCAGTGATTTTGTCCAGTGGCAGTTTTTTTGCCGATATCAACAACCCCAAACCAGTGGTTCAAGTCGGCAAGTCGGGTGACAATGGCACTGTTGAGTGGTCTGATGCGATAGTCAGCACTCAAGGCGCACAAGCTGGTGCTATTCTGATTGAGTGGAATCTTGCCTCTAATCAGAAATTCCCATCGGGTATGTGGGATGTCCACACCCGGATTGGAGGGTTCGCTGGTTCCAAACTACAAGCTGCTCAATGTCCCAAGACCCCCACTACAACAGTGACTCAAGCCAACCTGGATAAGGATTGCATCGGCGCGTTCCAAAGCGTCCATGTGACAAAATCCGCAGTCAGTCTTTATATGGAAAACTGTTGGTTCTGGGTTGCTGATCACGATGTCGATAATCCCTTGCTGTCTCAGATAACTGTTTATGCTGGGCGCGGTCTACTTGTTGAAAGCATAAATGGAAACATCTGGTTGGTTGGAACAAGTGTTGAACATCACGTCCTATACGAATATCAGCTTTCCCAAACAAAGAATATCGTCATGGGCCAAATTCAGACGGAGACAGCCTACTACCAACCCAACCCTGATGCTACTATTCCCTTCCCAACGGTCGCAGCCCTCAATGATCCTATTCTTTCCAAAGGTCAAAATGGATGGGGTCTTCGCATCGTCAGCAGCAGCGATGTCTTCGTTTACGGAGCTGGGTAAGTTGCGCATTGCCTTGCGAAATTCGGGATATGAACTAACCTTAATTCCTAGCCTTTATTCTTTCTTTGCCAACTACAACGTATCATGCGCACAACAAGATGTTGAGGATAAGTGTCAGTCGCGCATTGCGAGTATTGAGAACAGCCATGTGTCTGTATACAACCTAAACACCGTTGGAGCGACATCCATGGCCACCGTAAATGGCAGGGACCTCGCGAACTGGGCTGACAACAAGAACAATTTTGTCTCGACGATTGCTTGGTTGGCAACCTAGTCATGTTAGAGGGCTGATGGAAATTTCGGAGTTCAACATTGACAGGTGAACATGTACGTATCTTGTGTAGTCACGATCGTGTTCGCGTCTTAGTCCAAACATGTTTCGCAGATCAGGATTTGAACTCCTAAGAGGCTTGACCACCCAATACAAGCTTCCGGTTTCTGATCTCGTCGGGTTTGCCATATTGAGTGAGCCAAGAAAGCCAAATTCACATGACTAGAATTCTGGAATAATCGGAAGGACTGGTCCTGCGTTTCCAAGACTCGCCAATAATGTCATGAGGCTTCTTTCTCGACGACACTCAAGGGTGCTGTTGTTCAAAACCGACAAAAAAGCCAAGTTGAGGCAGTGTAGCGCATGAGTTTTGGGCACAAACCGGTGTCGCATTAATGATCGGCAAAGAGATGCTTAGATCACCCCGCCAAGCTCACTCCCGTCCGGCCAAGCGGCCAAGACGTTCCAAGAGGTGATTTTCCGGGCGTTTAGTGATCGGCCCATGCATTCTCCGGCACCTCTCGATAAGCGGAGGGAAGCTGGAGTGGGTAGTGGGTAGTGCGCTCAATCATGACCAGGCAACGTCTCAATGTGTCCTTGCATCTTGAGTCTGGATGAGAAAATGCATCTAACCTAGACTCGATTGAACTTTTACTGGAATTCCGCTGACTTTCAGGTGGCTGCGGGAACTAGCTCCACTAAATCTCATATGTTATAGTGGCAAGTGGAACGGTCTGGCGTGAGGCCCACCAGTAACACAGCACTAAGCATTACCTAAGGTCGTAGTGCTGGTTCTCGTTTCAGTGTTCTCATTACATTGCGGACAGAGCCTCAATAGTGAATGGTCGCACAGAGTAGTTTCTGAAACGGATCTCAGCATATCGCCAAGCTCATCGCCAAGATCAACTAAGTTGATCTCCAGCAAGGTAAGCTCGCGGTTTTTGTGTGGCTGTAGCACTAATACTTTGTTGCGATTCGTTGTGCGCAACTCTCTTGGCTGTTTTGCAAGTCGTCTCGAACTCGCCCAAACGGCACCAAACGACACAAAAGCAATTGGCTTGGGCTAGCTTGAGTATTCCTTCTGGAAACATCAGTGGCTAAGGCTTCATCACGAAGTCATGTTCAGACGATGGAATCAAGAAGTCGTCCAATTTCACTGCAGACGAAGATGCATATAAGGATAGGTTTTCGTCAACTCTAAACGGGATTTTTTCTTCTTCTCATCATCAGCTTCATCGTCTCAACAGTCTTTCGACTCTCAGCTTTACTTCATCTCCTAATTCTCAATATCAGCCCCGGTGGCCTTTATAACTCTACTCTCTTTACTCTCAAGATTACTATCTCTATTTTTTAATTCACCCCTCTCAATACCATCAAAATGAAGTACTCTTTGATCCTCGCTGCTACCGGCCTTGTCGCCTCTGTCTCCGCTCACGGTGTTGTTACCAAGGTTGTCGGTGCCAACGGCGTTGAGATGCCCGGTCTGTCGGTCGCTGACGGCACTCCTCGTGACTGCTCCAGCAACGGCTGTGGGTCTCAGGCGGACACTTCCATCATTCGTGACAGCGATATCAGTAGTGGCAAGACTGGTCCTTTGGGCAAGACCCAGGGTAATGGTCCCGTTGACGCTGCTACCATGATCAACAGCTTCATGGGAGCTGGATCTGCTCCTACCAACAACGGCACTGGTACTGGTGTCGAGGATGACATTCCTGCTAACGTCGGTGGAAAAGCCACCAAAGCCACCAAGGCCAACAAGGTACGCAGTGCTAAGTTCCGCAGCCGACAGCTCCTTGGTGGTCTTCTCGGCGGCGGTGGTGGTGGTAGCAACGCCAAGGGTGTTAAGTCTACCACTCCCCAGGAGACCATGGTCAAAGCTACTGCTGGTATGGGTGCAACCATGGGTCTACCCACTGCCTCCGATGACGGTATGGTTGAGCTTCAGTTCCGCCAGATCAACCAGGATGGAGCTGGTCCTCTTGAGGCCATGGTCGATGGTACCTCGGGTGGTACCGATATGGCAGCCTTCAAGGAGGCCGACGTCATGCAAAATGTTCCCGGCTTAGTCGCTGGCATCTCGACCGCTACCAACACCGATTTCGCTGTCAAGGTTGCTATGCCCCAAGGCATGACCTGCGACGCCACTGTCGGTGATGCTCAGAACGTCTGCGTTGTCCGTGTCCGCAACAGCACCCCCGCGGGTCCCTTCGGTGGCTCCGCCGCTTTCACTCAGACCACTGCTGCCCGCAAGCGCGCCATCGCCTACCGCCTCAAGAAGCGTGCTGAGGAGGCTGCTGCCGCTGCTCACTAAGCGATTTTCTCTAGCTCGATAATGATGGGGAAGGCAAGCCACAAATGGTGCACTTCAAGGAACAGGTCAGGGTATAGGGAATAGGTTAACATGGGTGGGCCCGGCTGGGAATGGTATATTTAGAGAACTGGACAGGATTCCGGTGATCAGAAGAATTATAGGTTATTAGATATTGGATTGCTTGATGATCATATATGTATACGCACAATGGAAGCCTTCCAGTTGTATAAGTAGCTAATCAGGTTCACTAGGTAGCTTGGAGCAAATAATGGGAGCTTTCAGTACGTTCTTTGAACTTTACCTTCTCTTGGGGCTTCATGTGAAAAATGATACAATTCTTTGAATAAGCGACAAGTGAAAGTTTCTGGCCCATTTATGATGTCATATCTCTAATGATGGGTTAATATCACTGCATTCCGGAGCGTGCAGGAAAGCGGCACCGTCAACGGTCTACTCATGATTGTGTAAGTATCATGTGCGATCCGTCTCCGGACACTCCTGACTCTAGATTGTTCCGTTCATTTGATGTCAAAGCCAACCTCTATAGTGGGAGAGCTTCTGGATCCTGCCATAATAGCTGGTAAGCCCGCAACTTTTCTAAAAGCGCTCAACGATTGACCCCGCAACACAGCAATGGCAGCCGGGTGCGAAGTGGTCAGTGTCAAGCGCCACAGCAAAGACAGTTGGTCAAAGGGGTACAAAACAGACATTGAAGCAACCTACAAAAAGCCTGAATACTTCTTGATGGCTATGGACCATCTAGTTCTAACGATATGTTATGGAAGCTAAGTAAAAGTGTCAGCAGATAACACATTAACCGCCGCCATGCTGAAAGCTATAGAAGAGTTTGGAAGTCACAAGAAGATCCAGCCTTGGCTGTCAGACAATTTTTGGATCCGGCTGGCTCACGGTATACTTGAGGACGATTTGATGGGCGTCACTACTTTGTAGGGTCATGATACCGATCAAGTGTGTGTATTGATCCTCAGTAGAGTGTTGCTCAGTTGTGAAGTTCCTCAGCTATTCTGAGGGATTCCTGAAGGCTATCTATCAAGGGTGGACTGTGCACCTCAGGCATCTACCTAACTGGTGGCCCCAGGCAACCATCACGATTCAACTTCCTCGTTCTTCTTGGCCACCTTTCGTGACCTCAGCGACAAGCCTCCTGAGCCTGAGCAGTTGGTCTATGTTCTGGCAAAGCTACACGCAACATCTGTATCATGAGCAGGCAAATTCAGATTTCACGTCACCAGGTTCAACAGCATAGTGTCTTTGGTGAACGATTGGTACGATACTTGGGAGGAGTATTTGTCAACTTCGATCTGATATTGAAGAGATGCACAGCATTCGAGGCCATGATCCAAACCTCGACTACATCCCTGAGAATTTCTTTGGCTAAGTAATTTATAGGCTCCTGCAACTATTTTAAACAGTTGGCACGAGCATCAAACTTGTTCTGTGCTACGGCGACCTTTATCTCGGCAACGTGCAGGTCGATTAGGAGAACTAAAGAGTCATCTTGTTCGACTCTTGCTGCTGCTGCTGCTATGGCTATAATGAACATAAGTGACTAAATCTTGAATTAGTTGCAATAAGTTAACTTTATAATTAATTCATACGAAATCCACGGTATTAATTCACAGGCGCACATGGATTGTTTGTATTCTCATCATCATCGTTAGGGCGAAGAAATAGATGCGGAGACTTATCGAGAAGCATTCATTTGGATTCGAAGGTTTCTGCAAGCGCAATAAAACTTGAGCATCGAGATTATGCTATCAAATATGATCAAGTATCATCATCTAGTGTAAAGTACCACAGTACAGCAGAAATGATCAGTCCAAGATGCCACTTTCCTCATAGCAATTTCGGGTACCAGTTACCTCACGATTAGAAGGCTTAATAATTAGAAATACCGCACTAGGGTAACTGGCCGCTGAAGTTGAAAGGGCAAAAGAAAAAAAAGGGGGGGGGAGGGGGGAGAGAGGACCTTCTGACTCATGCCTATCCGGATCTCGTTGAAACTCAATAGCCTGGTCCACTATATTGCAACGGGAATCGACGAGATTAATATATTTGCATTTACTCAACTACCACCTGGCTCCCTGAAAATACGGGATGAGACTAACTAGCGTCAGATTTACACTACATACTGCAGCGGCTAAGGAATGGACGCAGTATGGACAACTGGTGTGGATTCGAAGATTGAGAAAGCCGCAGAAAAAATCAGGACGGCATTTTTGTAACATTTATCTCTTATTATCTTATATAGTCCTCATGCCTTTGCGCGAAACACACTTCTATGGCCGGTGCTAGAACTTTATTTGGCCAAACAACTGTATGGTAGGATAACGACTTAAGATTAGTTTGCTTCAGAGCCCTGAGCACCACATTTTTTTGAGCAGTAGTAATTCATCTGGTGCCAAAATGATTAGTACGTGCAGCATAAATATCCGGTATGTAGTTTACCTCGTCGCCACCGATGTGCCAACCAGCCGAGTTACAGCCAATGCCGTCCTATGCTAAGATTAGAATTGCCAGAAGAAGTATTTAGTGTCATCCAACATACAAAAGTGCAGTCAGGGCAGATATCCCACTGATTATTGCCAGTGTCGCGGTTCCGGTAGTAATCACAGGCGCACTTGGTCGCATCTGGGAGGATTTCGTAGTTCTTGGCCCAGTTATAGCTAACACTCCATCCAGTTCCACCGACTGGCGCTTCGACTCTGTTTGTCACGCAAACTGCTACGTTATGGAGATCTGCAAGAGCACTTGGTAGATATCAGCAACTGGAGTGAGCGAATCATGTAGAGTTAGGAACAATTTACCATGGAATCGCTAATACCACCATGGCCAGGTTCTGGATCAGGCTTCTCTGGGCGCGCATTTTGTATGGACTTGCAAGAGAAGTTGCCGCTATCCCAATCGGTGGTCGTTGAGTATATAGATGAATAAGGTAAAGAGGATGTATGGCAGGCTGCACTCTTATTCGAGGGTGAGATGAGTAAATGGCAGGAAATGCAGTGTTTCTAGTGGCTACTTGCATCAAGAAGTTGGGACATTTGGATAAAGAGATGGGTTTATATTTCTCATGCGACTGCTACTACACTACACCAATCTGGCGATCCCGTAATAATTGCAAGCATTGCTACTTTACATTGGACTCACCCAAAAGGGAGCCAAGAACACTTTTCCGCTCATCTCGCATCAATTCGCCTAATTTGGCTCCTACAGGACTCTCAATACGAAATCCGAAGCTGCACTCGCGACGATCTATTCTATAGAGCTGTACTGTCGAGAGCCTCATTACGGGGCTTAGTCCTTGGCAGTCTGATGCTATACATGAGTCGCACAATCGATAGCCGTGACGGCAGGGCTTAGCGCCCGGGACTCGCTTGATAATGAGCAGTGGCAGTGCAGGTCACCCCATGTAATGGACTGTTCCCCTGACTCGTGAACAAAGCATAATCATCGTCGGTAACCTAATCCTGCTTAGTCGTACGGGACGGCATAAGCTTATTTCACTGAAGACGGCAGATATGCATAAACCAAGTCCTATTCTGGTAGATTATCAAGAACATCACAATAGGCCGCAGGGCTCCACCTATATAGTGAGGTTGATAATACCTCATTTAGTGGTACGGTAAGAAGAACGACGCATTCCCCACATTGCCAGATATCCTCGAGATCCGTACATGATACGAGTCTCGTCATATTTTTGGAAAGAAGTTCTTGATGTGGAATCGCGATGCAATTACTCTGGGCTGAAACCGACGAAAGGGCCTTGGGCGCTGAGTATATAATCTTGAGTAGTCTCCAAAACATCAGGCAAACTCGACACGCCTCGCATCCGCTTCCAGACTATGTTTCACCATTCGTCCAAGATGAAAACGTCTACCTTGATTCCTCTTTTTCTGACAAACGCCTTTGCTGGTGCATTGTCGATTGGTAGAACCGACCTGGTTGACCATGGTCTCAACACAGCACTCCTACCGGGAGAATTTATCCTAGCGAATGGAGAACATCGTACGTCACATCATCCTTCATAGCCATGATCGATTTGAAAGACATTTGCGCTAACTGCATCGCCTAAAGTCGAGGTTGTCGATGAGAGCCGACTTCAAGAGTTCTTGAAGATCGAAGGTATTCTTGCTGAACCTCCAGCTTGGGACGAATCCTGGCTCAATTTTACCTATGTCGATGACATTAATTCGAGATCGTCTGAGATCTCAGCTCGTCAGGCCTCCTGTTCCGGCACTACATCTTATGTCACCGACAAGACAGATAGATTTGTTGATTGGGACGTCCAGATGTCACCTGTCGTGCTCGGAGCCGGAAGCGGTGTCGATGTCTCCGTTTCTTCTGGCTGGAGCATCGCCAACTCAGTCAGCGTATCTGCTGGTCTCGACATCAAGGTCGTCAAGGACAGATTGGGCGGCACCTTTGGGGTGGACTTCTCCCGTACCTGGACTTCTACAACATCTCTGCAGTACAAGACCACCATCAAGGATGGCGATGCTGGGACATGGATCACTCGGCCCTGGACTAATCGCAGATATGGTCGAACTTTTCGGGGGTGCCCCGGTTCTTTGACACAGACCGGAACGTGGATAGCAGATTCGCATGAGGATGGAAGCTATGATAATGCAAAGTGGGTGTCGGGGTTTATCACTGCTTGTATTAAACCCGCCCCCACAAGTGGTCAACTTACCCGTTGCCATGGCGGGGGAGTATTCAAATAATTGGTGGTGGTGCCTTGACTTCGTGTTCAAGTGGGGATTCATTTTCTAATTGTCCTCGCGGAGATGATTGTTTCTTATTGATAGGAAAGTGTTCCGGCTTTCTGATTATTTTCGACTATTATCGCTCGAACCGATGAAATATAGAAACTTTAAGAACTCCCGATCAGCCCTTTCTCGAATACTTGATTATTTCCCTCTCAATGATTGACAGGCTGTCCAGGTCCTCGTTCTCTTGCTTTAGCCTCAGAGCTTTACGCTTGTACTTGGGCTCTCCAAAAATCTTATCAACAGCACCAGCGATCTGCTCAGCTGTTGGGGTTTGAGTTTTGAGGTTAATGGCAAAACCGGCGTACTCTGCTCTTGCTGTCACCTCTACTTTGTCCTCTGAGATGCCAGCTACAACCATAGGCACGCCATTGATGACACTATGGGTCATCCCACCGTAACCGCCATTGCTGACGAAGACATCCGCGTACTCGAGGGCAGCGTCATAAGGAAGGAAATCGACCACGCGGACGTTGGGAGAAATCTCCAGGTCGGCAGGCAGGGTTGCGTCCTTGACACCTAAGATGGCTATAACGATAACGTTCGATTTTTGACCGAGCGCCTTGATGGCGGGAATAATCAGATCAGTGTAATCGATAGAGGCGGTACCCTGGGCCACCGGGATAACCTTCTTCCTGTGTGGGGAGTCTATAGGGAGCGCGGCATTCTCGGTGATTTCGGACCACCACGATGGGTATTTGTAGTTGGGAGCAATGCCTCTCTTAGGTAATGCACCAGCATAACGAACCGACGGATGGAGGTCTGACCGAGGATATTCAAGACTTGGGCTGCACATCTGGAAACACGTGTCATACGACTCGGCCCAGGCATCGAACATGAACTGTTTGGGTACACTTGTGCAGCCAACATCCTTGAGAATTTGGTGGAAATGTTCGTTGATAGATGCAAACGGCCCTTGGTAGTACATCAGCTGGTTCAGTAGCCTGTTCCTGGCCCGGCCAGACTCAGTCGAGTCCGGAGGAAGACCAGGCCCGAATGGTGCAATGTCATCACTGGACGATAGGAGAGGGACGACATTGATGTTGATGACCTTTGGAAACGTATCGTAACCCTTGGGCAACGGTGCACCATACATAAAGCTGATCGCCGCAAATGACACTGTTTCCGCGACAATGACGACGTCGCGATCTGCATCTCGCTCGCGGACCATCTCCAATAGTGAACGGAAGTTGGCTGCCCGCGGAGCCAGGTTAGGTAGAAAAATACTCTCCATATCGTAGATGAGTCTTTCAATTCCGACTGGGACAGCGTCTCTGCTTTCAATGGTACCCGGTGGGAAGAAAGATGATGTCTCATAGTATTCGGCGCCCACCTTCTCCGCGTTTTCCTTCTGGTCTGGCGCCGTCATGAATATGACCTCAAACCCGCGTTTGATCATCTCCCGAGCAATATGGAACATCGGCGCTGAGTGGCCCATGATGGGTCCTGCAGACATAACCAGCAGCGGCTTCCTTGTGTCTTTCGTCATGTTGGGTAGCCCGTTGACTTGACCGCTGTGGTTGATCGTCATGTTGGATCGTATGATTTGTTGCTGTATATAGCAACGGTGATTTATATAGCTGCAACTGTGATGGATATAGCAATCGTGATGTTTGATGACAGCCTTTTGAGACCACTGGAGTGATCCTACTTTATATACTTTCTTTTTCGAGCAGGCCCTTGTTAGTTTCAAAGCTATATTTATAGAGCCTGTCCAGCTGCACAGGAACTCGGCCGGCGGGTTAGCGGCCGCTAGAATCATCCACAGTAGGTGCTATAAAAAATCCTACGGCTAGCAGCTGGGACTAGACTAGGTTTAGCATTTTGGCCGCCGTGGGTGTCAATACCCATATTCGCAAAGTCTCTGTTGGACACAGACCGGACGTTGTGCATCCACACTGACAGCCCACAGGTAGAAGCAAGAAGCCGAAGCCGTTTTGTTTTGTGGGCGCACTGCATCATGAGATGGTGTGTTATGGAAGGGTCTGCATAAGCTAAGCAATGCATCATCGCTCAGCGCCAAACGTCCTATCGAGCACCAGTAGTCGTGTAGTTTTTTTAGAAAGACGTTTGTGGATGGTGGACACGCCGGAAACGTGCATACATATATGTAACCTAACCTAGTACTAAAGCTTGGCCCCCAAAGCTGCGGCTCTAGCACTACATATTACTTAGCTGTTGCCTCAACTAGTTCGTCCCCCCAATGCTATCTTGGCCTGTTGCGATGGGAGGGTGCTCCCCACCTCTAGTCCTCCGAGTAGGGAGCCTGCATTCTCCTCGCGTCGCAGCCCCTCGCCAGTTCACTGCGCCATTTTGCTCAGAATAAGTGAAACACAAATCGTAGCTTAGTGTACCATGTACGCCTTATAAGGGCGACACAATATATAAAAAGAAAGGACTTTGAAGAGAAGGTAGTTACGACGATAGCCAGGATAATAATCACGGTGACTTAGCTATGATGATAGCCTTACATAGTGTGTAGATAAAGAACGCTAGCCTAAAATAGATTAGAGTTCTCATCGACCAGCAATGATTGTCAGCCCTGCTACAACTCGATCACCCTCCCAGCCTCCTACTAGGTTAGTTATGTACACGTCCGGTATGCTGATCCTGCAGCTGCACGGGCTAAGCTATAACCGTAGGATCAACCCGGAAAGCTGACAGCCTTTCTGTTTCTTCACTCGGTTACACATCGATATAGAGCCCCTTCACATTCGGTGAGCGGCTTTTCGTATTCTGTTCCAGTGGCATGCGCGAGACTTTCTGCAAACCGTTCACAAGGCTGCAATACATGCAGGGGCCATTGAACCAGGAGCCCGGTATAAACATATTCAAGGGTAGAATGCGGCCGCTTCCCACTTCCTCGTCTCTTGATTGGTTTTAAACGGGTTCGGCTTTCAAGCAGGCTCCAGGTGGCCATGCAGAAAATGGTTATCAATAAAATGATCAGAAAGAAGCATGCAAGCCTACGTGACACGTTGTCTCAACCTATGAGCTGTAAAGCTGTACAGGTCACTGACGTTAAATATATCCTAACTAGCTTTTGTCTTGACTTCATGTTGGCTAGCAAGTGGTCTGAAATGCGTAGCCTGCATGGATCCACGTACAAGATTTTGAGGATGGATGCCCATTTATTATGTAGTCTAGTACACTGTATGCAATGCTCAATCTCCACGAGACATGGAATCGATGTCGAAATAGCGGGTGTTACTAATGATACCAACAACGTTGAGCTGGACATGGACCAGCATTATTCCTGGATGACGAACGTTTGAGTTCCATCGTTCGTACACGAACCTGAGTCCAGGAAGCGACCATTTCCAGGCTCAAGACACGTGGCATTTGCCGCGTCCAATGGTGCGAGAACCAAGCTACTGCCGCCAGTGTAGGGAAACACTTGCCCGGTATTCGTTTCTCCCTCTGTTCAAATAGTAATTAGCGACTTTCGATTGCTGATTGGAACATCGACATGAAAACCTACCTCCAGCGGCACGACCACCACACGAAAAGATCGTTACAGTGTCTCCATCTCCACGCCGTCCGTCATGGCTGATGCAGCCATTTGTCTACAGCTGGAATTAGAAGTGGGCGCGTTGAGCTTGAAAGCATAATGACGTACCAAGCTGCTGACTACCAAAGCAGTATTTTGAATGTTGTTGTGTTTGCCGGCAGTAATGATATCAAACTTTTCATTGGGCGTCCCAGCACAGTCGACCAGGGAAACCGGTATTAAATTCTCTCTAAAGTCCCCTCCAGTGGGATCAACGAACAAACATTGTCCATTCGGTGCCCGAATGGACACCGATGTGAAGGCTCTGGTAGCCGCGTCGTCTCGCTGATGGGACTCGGCGACTGCAGATGGCACCAATGTACCACCAGCCCGGGACACAGGAACGGCATCGGTAGGATTGGCGATTGCACCGTCCGCGACGCTAGTCACAGATGGAGACACAGTTGCCGAGGTGATGCCTGTCGTCTGTGTAACGGATATGGTAGCGCTTCTGGTCGCAGTCGCAGTTGTTGGTGCTGCGCCTCCGGTGCTTGGTAACGAATCATCGCCGAATGTGAAGGTTTGAGTTGTGTCACCGTCGGTACAAGTAGAAGTATCAAGCAGGTCACCCTTCACGGTGAAACATAAATCGGCTTGGTTCTTAGGAGAAAACGACAGGGGCCCGGAGCCTCCGTTGAAAGTGAACAGTTGCGAGTCGGTTACTTCGCCACCTAAGATAGCATTCAGTCCAAGTGCTTCTTGACTGATACGGATCTTAATTACTCACCACCGTCAGCTCGTCCTCCGCAAGAGAACAGGAGAACCTGATTTCCAGCGGCTCGTCGTGGATCAAAGTTGAAGCATGCTTGAGTCTTGACTGTTATCAGCATGGGACATCAGATTGTAGAGTCAAGCTACGTACCAGAGTGTTGACGACCAACATCGAGCCTGCTACATTGTTGTGCTTCCCGCTAGTCAGGACGTCCCATCCCTGGCCGTCAGTCGTTCCACAGCCCGCGACCTGGATAGGCGTCAAGTTTGCACGGAAGTCTCCTGAAAGCTCATCTACAAATAGGCATCTCCCATCAGATGTCTTTACCCAAGTTAGCTATCTCCATCCAAAACAACATGAGAAACTCACTTTGATTTGAGTGTTGGAAAAAGCCCTGGTTGCCGCGTTGTCGCGTTCCTGTGCCTCTTCAAACGCAGCTTGGTCAAGTTGGGTGACAGCCCTCTCACTTAGAATTGGACTGGCCACTGACAAAGCCACAAACGTCGCAAATACGGCTGGAGTGGTTGAGTGCATGGCTACAAAGGTAAATTTAAGCTGAGACTAGAGACACATGTGACCAGTGATTATTTGATGAACCCTGAATCCGGGCTTTTCTTAAAAAAGAGCGTACTTGGAAGAAACGAAGTCTGCACTGCAGCTAATGAAATTGAATCGAAGACAAACACCACAAGCCCAACTTTCGAGATCTCAGGCAAACGCATCACGAATATAAGGAGTGGTGAATGGGGATAATATACTCGTCTAAGAAAGGAGGCACACTTAACTCTGGTGCATCCTGCGAGCGCTTATTCAAGTATGAGGCTGAAGCATAGGATCCAGGAGGCGCACCTTGATGAAATAAAATGTTTCCAGTGAGGTTTCACCCCTGCTGCGCATAGTAGTAGAGCATCTCCCTGGGGTCATTTGTTTCGATTTATTTTTTTGGCTTTAAGCTTATTTGAACAACTGACTGTGCCCTATGGTCATTGCGAGTTGAATCCCTGGCGCTGGCCAAAGATCAGACCAGTCACTCGGGACGATGAAACAGAACGTGTCGCGCGAGGGAGGATTTGCACAAGAATTTGGGGTTGCATTTGCCCTGATGCGACTGATTGTGGGGCAGGCAATTGACAGGTGAGAAAGGCCAATCCTTTGGCGCTGCGAGAGCTCTGGCTCGAAATCAAGCTTAAAATATGATTTGTCAAATTGATTCGATACAAGAGGTTACAGAAGTGCGGAATGCATGCCATCACATGTCTGTAAAAGCACTGTTGATTGTGGTGTCTGTCGCATGGCCTCGAAGAACACCATCATGGCCGCGCTGTATCTGCAAGCATCTGCTTAAACCTCCAGCTGACTGAAGGTGTAATTTCTGAAATATCTTGATCCAGAGCTGGGGTTCTAGGTCTTAACAATTATTCTTTAGAACTTCGGTGTTGAAACTCAACTACGGGGTATACTCTCACGTATTTTACCCCCTTTTTATTTTTTATTTTTTAGGTTAGGGGTGGGCGGCTCTTTTCCCCTCACAAATTTCTACTCTTTTCTTAGTGACCTAGATGGCTATGCCGGCCAGCAGGACCAATTGTAGAATATACGGTCTCTATTGGTACTTCACTCGCATTGGTAATTGGCCACGTTGTGCTTTCCAATTAAGACAGCCTCCACAGTATTACCATCGCCGTGCCGTGTGTGGCCCTTGTACAGCATGACTGACATGTTGACAAATGCTCTCGGGTGTTTGCTAAGTGACATGACTTCTTGCGGGGGGGGGGGGGGGGGGGGGGGGGGGGGGGTTTCAATTTTCTTTTTCATGCATACCAATCGAACTTCGATTTTACGATGTAACAATATCCAACAGACATGGGTCGTGGCTGACAGCTGCATTTTGGAATCAAGAGTCATTTCTGGTGGTCCGGTAATTACAGATCATTATATTTCAATTGAATTTCGTGGTATCATAACAGAATAGAGAACATAATTTTCGTTACATAGCAACAACCTTCGAGGAAGCTCGCCACGCCAATAATGTGCTTAGTATGCAATCTGCGAGTTCAGACCAGCTGTCTCACGATCGAAGTTTTTGTGGCTTGCAATTTGGAACCAGAACTTCTCCAAGAACTTAGTTCCCTCCTTAGCAATAGTGACCTTCTCTGTGAAGTGGTCCGACGAGACTTTGCTGATAGTAACAACACCATATGATTCGATAGCCTCTTCAGTCTGGGACACTGTGATCTCCGGGAGACCGAAAGCAAGCTTGAAAAGCTCGACCGCCTCACCAGTTCCACCAATCGCCTTCAAGTGACCAAAAGCCTCGCGCAGCCAGTGTAACGTACGGCCGCTCTTCGACAAAGTCTTGATCGACTCAGCACCGCCCGGAACGAAAATTGCATCAAACATAGTTGAACGCTGGCCTTCGAAGTGATGGTCAGCAAATACACCGTTGCCCTTCTTCTTCTCAGCACCAGCCGGGAAGATCTCAGCTCTTCGGGGTCCAATCGTCCATGGCACAGCACTGGATGCAAGCAAGGCAGCCTTGACTCCGTTGTAGGCAATAGAATCGTAGCCGTCCGCGATGAGGATTGCTACTCTTCGGCTGGCAATAGTGGGCACCTTGGGGGGGAACTCAGTCTGGCTGAGCTTGGGAGCCCTGTTGCCATGGTTGGGTCTTGACGCCTTTTCGGGAATAGGACCGCCCACCATTTCAGCGACCTGTTGAGCGAGATCCAGATCAATATCCGCCAAGCGAGTAGACATGCGCTCGTACACAATTGGATCGTCGCAGTGGTCCAACTCGAAGGCAAATGCGTCAATCAGATGGCTTCTCTCGGGGGCCGACAAACTGTTCAGGAACAGCTGCGCTTGGTTGAAATGCTCCCTGAACTTCTTGCCCTGGGTTCGCTGCTTGATTCCAACAACCTTCTCGGGATATTCAGGATACGCCCCCTCCTCCGGCTTGGCAGGAGGGTTCACTCCGAAGCGGTTGGGCCAGTAGTTAACCGTCCCCTTGGTGATGCGGTGTCTACCTTGTCCATCACGGTTGAAGTTCATGTAAGGACATACAGGGCGGTTGATAGGCAGCTCTTGCCAGTTGATACCAAGACGAGAAAGTTGTGTGTCGAAGTAACTGAAGCTGCGACCCTGCAACAAGGGATCGTCCGAGTGGGCAATACCAGGGATCATGTGTGCTGTACAGAAAGCAACCTGCTCAGTCTGAGTGAAATATTCATCGACATTTCGATTAAGCTCGAGTTCACCAATATAGCGAACGGGAATCTGATCTTCAGGCCAAACCTTGGTAGCATCAAGAATATCGAAGTCAAAGTCGTGTTCCTTGGACTCGGGAATAACTTGAATACCAAAGTCCCACTTGGGGTAGGCGCCACTGTCTATGGCCTCTCCAAGATCCTTTCGGTGGAAGTCGGGGTCCTGGCCAGCCAGCTTGAGAGCCTCATCCCACACAAAAGAATGAACTCCGAGATGAGGAGTCCAGACAAACTTGCAGAAATGACGCTCGCCATTCTTGTTGATCAGTATAAAAGTGTTTACACCAAATCCTTGCATCATACGGTATGAACGAGGAATGGCACGATCAGACATGGCCCACATAAACATATGAGTAGCCTAGATAACTTAGCACGAGTTCAACGAAGAAAGATCACATTTTTAGCATACCTCGGTGTGAAGGTTGACGAAATCCCAGAAGTTGTTATGCGCTGACTGAGCTTGAGGCACCTCGTTGTGGGGCTCAGGCTTGACTGCATGAACAAAGTCAGGGAACTTTATAGCATCTTGGATAAAGAAAACCTGATAGTTGTTAGTAAGCTGTACGAGTACGCGTATTGGGTGCGCCATGAGCGATTTCATACTTACTGGAATGTTGTTTCCAACAATATCCCAGTTGCCCTCCTGAGTGTAGAACTTGACTGCAAACCCGCGAACATCACGAACAGTATCAGCGCTACCACGGCTGCCTTGGACTGTGGAGAATCGGACAAATACAGGTGTCTCGCGCGATGTGTCGTTGAGAACGGGTGCCAGAGTGACATCCTCTGCACTCTCCTTTAAGCGGAAGGTACCGAACGCGGCAGTGCCTCGGGCGTGAACAACACGTTCGGGAATGCGCTCGTGGTCGAATCGGTGAATCTTTTCTCTGGCATGATTGTCCTCGAGCAGCGATGGGCCGCTGGTCTCCCCATTGGAAGCCTTCAACCAGTCGTCGGTGTTGCCCTGCTTGACACCGTAATCTGTAGTGATGCGAGTGTCCTTGGTGTGCTCAACAGTGTCCTGCTGGAGCTGAGTGGACTTGGCAGTCCGTTCACCAGCGACGGACTCCTCCACTTTCTTGACTGTGCTCGAAACGAGATTCGAAGCCATCGTGAGGTTCGTATGGACTTTACTGGTCCTGAACTCTTTGTTGCTTCACAAGAAGGTTAAGGCAGAGGTAGTTGGTGAAGTCAAGAGACACAACTGGACAAGGCATTTAGCGGTTGAGAAGCATGCTCCCTTTAAGAACTAACATTGAGAGACGAGCTTGTTAACCTATCACTGCTGCGACATGTGTAATTGGAGGCTAAACTGAACGCAGTGCGCGCGTACTCATGATGTCAGAATAGCATCAGAATAGCTGCAGCTGCTGGGCCCCGCAGGACAATGGATTGAGGCATGTCTTAATCCCTGCAACCTGGTTTTTCGAACACCAGCTTGTGGATCAAGCAAGTGCTCATAGGCTGAACCTTCCAATTCTTCTTTATTTTTTTTCGTGATTATGCTAGGATTCAGGGCTATGATGATGCGTACATTTCTGATCATGTTGCGAATTCACATAGGGCCAGGGCCATATATTTGCCCCACTATAGACCTCCATTACCCCTGGTAGCTACTGTAGCTGGCTTCTGTACTGTAGCTAGAACGCAGATTAGTTAGAGCCGCAATTACCTATGCATTCTTGGCATGTCTCAAACTGTACTGGCGCAAGCGGCGGGGACTGGGTATTAGGTTCATGTACCGAAACATTGCCAATCAGAAGAAGGAGGTTTGATAAACTGATAGGTGCAGCTTTCCCACTTGTGCTAGCTCGGCAGCTCGACACATGCAGAAACGGCTTTCCATTGCGTTGTATGTGTGTACCTAGAAAGCTAGGATGTACGGATTAGTGGGGGAATGCGCTTGAAAACAACCCCAATCTCGATCACCCGGTGACGCATATTCTATGTAATATTGTAATATTTGGGGAGTGGACGCCGGATTCGATCCTTATTTTGAGTTGCATGTGGAATCAATCATTGGAGACATTGATTCTCGTTACGCCTTAATTGGCTACCCCGGATTTCAAGCTGGCATTTCTCCGCTGAGAATAGTTGACTCTCAACAGCAGTGAACAAAAGCCCCCACAAATTCCGAAAAAGAATATGTCTCGGCTAACCATGCCAATAGTTCCTTCGACTTGATTAATACAGTTACTAGGATCTGCCGGAGCATACAGTCCGATACGGTCATATCGGTGGGACATTTAATGGGTCCATCATAAATGTCTCCAGACTTGCATCCTACTATGGTAAGGTCGAAGCGGGGAGGAAGAATGTACTCATCCCAACTCTGGGCACTCTTCTTTTTCCACACGATGACACAATAATACAGCAAACCGAAAACTTTTAAGCAGATGCCTTGTTGTGCTTCCAACTCAAGTAATGCACTGTTGCCATTGTCAATTCGAATGATGTATTGTTTCCTTCTTAACAACCAAGCTGGACATGTCAATTAGAGACAAACCTAGATCTTCCTATTAGTCATAGCTGATACTTTACTTAGAATGCCGCCAATGTCAGCATCCCACCAATCTACATGGTTTTGATGTATGTTTATTCACAAGTTTGCAGAATACTTTGCCACATGTTTTCATTTCCACGTCACGACTGTGAAATCGACTCCAGGTGTTCCATACCGCTACATGATCCCAGGCTTGCAATGATAGCGGTTGTTCGAGCTATGATATACAAGACCCGTATCAACAAAACATAGTCGAATTTTTCGTTCTTTCATATTGGATCCGTACGGGGCTCTTTCACTGGGTAATCATGGCGTGCTACACTCCCTCACCGTCGGTCGTGAAGTGGTCGATGCCTCAGGCCTTAGCCTGCCCTTCATGAAAGCATCCATGGTTCGCATGCCGGAGCGTTATAGAACTGGGTTTGAGGACGCTGACGCAACCGTCGCCAAAGACCACTCAATGTACTATTCTGATCCAGACACGCTTCCGCCACTGTTGTCCCAAAGAAGCTGGCCGACGCGAAGCACAAAAGGGCCAAGTATGATGCGAGACTCGAGCCGGAAGTGGAAGACGCTGCCACTATGGAGCCCGAGACATACGGTACGGAGTAAGTGTAAGCTGGAGGACAGCTTCTCTGCGAAGGTTCATCCTTCCGAGGCCATTAAAGCGAGGATGCGGTACACGCTTTCATTTGTCACGTCAGTTCATAAGGATATAATTGCAAGGCGCAACTCGTGGGGAAGCGACGTCTGTTGTGCTTCCAACCATGATGAAGCTTTGGCGCACCAGAGCTGACTACATATAGTGGGCTTGGTTTCTGGAATCACTAGTCTTCAGTGACGAATGCCTTCGCATTTCAGATCCATGACATCGGTTTCTTTGGTTCGTAGTCTACCATAACCGCCGAGATTATCGGAAGTATTACCAATAATGGGACACTGCGAAGGTGTTATCAATACATAAAATTGATTCTCAACGAGCAGATAGTTGGGTTAGATATGGCCATATTATCGGTGTCCTTATGCCGAAGTAGACCGGGTCCCTATAACCGCATCGTCATTAACTGTTCTAATGTAACCATAAGTGATAGAATTCCACATCATCACTGAATAAGAGGCAGACAAGATAGTGATGTGAGAAAACAGTTTGCCAAAAGACAGTGGTGAAAATTGAAAAGATGAAGGTATATGATATAGATGAGTTCATCAAGAGATTGATCACTATTTGATCAAGGTCAGAACCTAGAAGAGACCATTAGCCTCATACTTCACTCGACCGTAACAAAGTGAATTATATCCTGTTGATGCACCAGCCACTCCACTATACAAGAAAATTTTGCTGGCTAGCATCCACATTTCTACGTTGTACATAATACAACTTACAATACCTATACCGCATCGGCGCATCAAGCGCTGAACCCGCCTGGTTAGCTCAATCGGTAGAGCGTGAGACTCTTAATCTCAAGGCTGCGGGTTCGACCCCCGCATCGGGCTCAATTCCTGATGCATCTCAGAATACTGAGATATCTGTTTTTTGCATTTGTCTTTGCTATCTATCTCTAGATGTACTTCTACATGGGTCAGGTTTGACGCTAAAGATTCTTGGGGACGGAAAGTGGGTTTTAACCGCATATTAGCCGACACACATAACTTACTAGGTGATGCTTGTCTTACTGTACTTGTTATACTCGAAGTTCAAGAAAGGGCATCTGAAAGTTTTATTCTATTACTTGGCAAGCTACATAGGGCGTGTATGTGTGACACGTAATCGCCGAACGTTGCGGCGGATTGTTGTTATCAGGTTGAAGTAAATGTCCATGAAAGAGAAGAACCCGATACCTGAACTGGTTTCCGATAGTGATTTTCCATGCGCTGGCGGCTGATCTCTTGGCCTGAGCTCGAGATACCGTGAGGACCTATTGCGTTGCACCCTTCAAATCAGCTCACCACCTAGAGAGGACCGCTTGAGACGTTTATCTAATGTGACCGTCATGACGGGTGACAGGCTTGCATGACAAGTTGGTCGATGGGTAGTGTAAAGATCAAAAGCTATGCAGCATAATAAGATAATGCAGGCTCACAAGCTCTCTGATTAGGAGCATCTTCCCTTCTACCTCCAGTAAGAGAGGCTGAACACTGGAATTGTACACGAAGCCAAAGTCAACTAAACTAGTGACTATCGCTTAGGCGAGTCGATGTTTTTGACCGCTGCGCAAGCCGCCTCGATGCTGCTAGCCGCGCGCCGGGGCTTTTCTCTCTAATATATAGATAATACGCGGTAGTGACTGCGTTCACAGATTCCCCCGGGGGGAGGGATGTATGGATAACTGTAATAGTAACACTACTTTCTTGAATGGGTATGTGGGTCTGCTCGATACTGTGAGAATGGTGACAAGTGTCCGACCAGGGACAGGAGATCTTAGGTCTAATTACAGCGATGACCGCCGTTATAATCGGAAGTCTGATACTGCTTGTATTACTACCGACCGCCAGTCCCCGGAGCACAGGTCGACATACGCAGCTCACTGGACCAGCACCGGGCCACCGATTCGCAAGATCGTTGATTGTTTGGCTTTTAAATTATTCTGAAAGTGATAGGCTGCTGACTTCGTGTCTTACTGTGGAGTGGTTCCAGAAGTGACCCCATCATCAAATTTGGATGATGTACATATGTCTCTCCAATGAGTAGCCAGTCTGTGCCACTAGGACGAAGAATGAACGGCAGATGTCCTCCGAGCAAAACAACCACGATGTCGCCACTTTTCGTTGCAGCAGGTCCAAGACCAAGGTATCCAGTAGAAGTCCGATATAGCTTCCGGTTTGCACTGGTCGCTCGTATGGTGGTCATGAAGGATTTCGCAACGATTGGAGGCAGTTCGGCGGGTATGTCAACCGGTTTAATGATGTGTTGATACGTAGAGAGTGGTACTCTTCGTATATGTGACAACCAATGAGCTAAGCAGTTTTTCGCATGCTGTGTCAGGGCATCAACAGAACCTAAAGCAGCCAAGGCCTCGTCTTCATGAATAGTCTCTTTACGTTGGAAACTAGCATATCTCACGGCTGATCCCAAGGCGCCAGCATGAAGTGTCATCAAGAAAGCGACTTCTAACGAAGTGCATCCGTCGATATAAGTGGAATTGCGCTTATGGCGTGGGGAGGAATGAAAAAGCTGCTCCCAAACCCGGTCCAATGGCTTCGCGTCATTGCTATCAAGCATAATTGTGTCCGTGATTGTCAAAACGTGGTCGAAAACAAACCCTTCCAGCTGCAATACATTCGGACGTAGTGGGTTGACCCCGTCGGCAGGGAAGTCATGGAGCCGAGCGCTTTCGGAAATCCTGCCACGATAAAGGGTGCCAGCCTGATAGACTTGGTAAGTAAAGTAATTCGTAGAACTCGGTATATCGAATTTCGGTACCCAAGACGGGAATGAAGTACTACGGGGATCGTCGGTGTGCTGTACGTGAAACAAGACATCTAGCACACAAGGAGGCCGACTCAAGCAATAGCGCGTGAAATCACGGTATACCTCCAAGGCTGACTTGGTATAATTCGGGGCCATAGCTGGATTTCGCCAAAGTTCAATATTCGAACCACGCCCATCCAGCTTTTTAGCAATCCAGGCTAGAAACTTTTCTACTCTCGATCGAGGAGGCTCCATAGAAGCCCACCCGGTGGAGTGAATGCCTTGGTCTGTTATCCCTAAAACTGCAAAAATGCGATCTCTAGCATCTGTGGACTCGAAGTTCCGTATTTCTCGGAGGATGAGTAGCATATCCCCCAACGAATTTTCAACAAGGTCAGAATGAGGCCAATAGACGCGGCCTCTTTGGGAACGAATGAAGCCCCAGAACGAAAGTGTACTGGGTGGCCAGGCTGGAAGACCTTCGCTGTGCTTCAACGCTCCAATATACTTGACGAGCGACAACAGGTCAAAAAAGTCTATTTCGTCATGGCCACTTTTCGCAACGGCTTGTCGGGATGCCACCACTTCCTGAACGCACCAGACACGGCGGAAGTATCTGTTGTCGAAAAGTTTTATGAGTGCTGTGCCAGACTCTCTTTTTGAATCGGCTATAACAGCATCCAGCATAGTCTTTTCGACCTGTGAGCCTGAGTAGACGGATAACATTTCTTGAGCATCTTCACGATGTGTGTCCATCAGCAGTATGCGGTACTGACAGAGCTCCTTGGCACGGGCAATTGCAGCACGGTTGAGGTCATTTGAAGGTCCCAGCCATACGATCACTCTGTCGGCTTGACTATACACCAGTCGCATGTAACCAACCTGTCGCTCACGTTCGGCCAAGTCGTTCTGATTGATGCAAACGGCATCGACCCACAAAGTTCTGATTCCATCCCTTAGACGCAGACTTCTCAAGGCCGTCTCGAGATTCAATGTGATTGGGATGTCGCTACTCTGGCATCTTAACGGGTTCGGGGCCTTATCCGTTCCCCACATGTAGGAGAGGGCCTCGTAGCGGATGGTGGAGTCAGTAAGATCTAAATACGCAAGACTACCTTCTAGCGGTTGGTCTCCAGTCCCCGGGGCTAGCATCAGGAGCCGAGTAGCCAGTATGGTCTGGCCTAACGAGTTGGGAGGCGGGAGAGCCTCGTAGATATCTGGCGCCATAGTTGACGTGTCACCGAGGCAGCCTACTCCGTCACGCTCTCGCATGTCCGCATTCTTCTCCTGGCGATGTTTTTCTTTTGACTTCAGAGACCGCACGAAATCGGGATGAACGGACTACTGTATGGAAGTCCCGCGAGAAGAGCAACATGACTGGGCTATGCAGTATTGAACATGGTAAAAGTAGGAAAGGCTGGACTCTGGGCGTCTTACTCGTGTGTTTGCACGTACTGTGTAGTGGGAGGGGGGGAGGTCCACCACGAAGCACGTCTTTCTTGGTGGGCAGCCTGCCGCCTGCCGCCTGCAGCGTGCATCTGATCAATCTGCTCAATCTGCAGCAGATCTGAGGCCCGAGCTCAAGCTACGCTGAGCTCGGTATGAGGTACCTACAATGTGAAGCTTGTCCCTCAAGCTCCGCCCTCCGATTGTGCAATTCGGGGCTGGAGTGACATCAAGGTCAACGTCCAACGTCAACGTCCCCAATCCCCTGAAGCCGACACGGGACAGAAATACGTGGTTGAAGAGACAGCTTTCGATTATTCGGCATCTCGAGCACTCACTTACGCCACGTTCTGATATTCAGTCCAACTTACTGCCACAACCGACAGCCCGCCCCCCGCCATCGACGAACAGCCCCGCCGACCATCGGCAGCCCACGATGACTGCTCGTGAGGAATGAACACAATGATTGCCCGGAGCCTTGTTAGGGCTCCTACGTGTCGCCCAACATGCGTCGCATTCTGTCACACAAGGCCGGCCTCACAATTGCCTCTTCGAGGCCAGACACCCTCCCGAGTCTTTGCCACCTCGCAGAAATACCTCTTCGGCCGATATGCCTCAAACAACGCGCGCCCGACCGAGTCCGGGAAGGATGGCCAGAACACTGCCGTCATCCCGCCCAAGAAGCCTGTGGTGTCTTCAGGGGATCCGTTGGCACAGGTAGACAAGTCTGCGCAAGAGCAGCGGAAGGCGGATTGGGCTATAATGAAAGAAATGTCTCGCTATCTGTGGCCGAAAGACAGTCTCTCCACCAAGCTTCGAGTAGGCTTGGCTGTCGTTCTTCTAGTTGGTGCCAAGGTCCTCAATGTCCAGGTTCCATTCTACTTCAAGAACATTGTAGATGCCATGAACATTGATGTCGGCGCAATGGGCGGGAATGCTGCTATGATTGCGGGCAGCATGATTGTGGCCTACGGGGCTACCAGAATAGGAGCCACCTTGTTCCAGGAATTGAGAAATGCCGTCTTCGCGAGCGTCGCGCAAAAGGCTATCCGCAGGGTAGCTTGCAACGTGTTCGATCACCTATTGAGGCTGGACCTCAACTTCCACCTCACGAAGCAGACAGGAGGGCTCACGCGTGCCATTGACCGTGGTACCAAGGGCATCAGTTTCCTTCTGACCAGCATGGTCTTTCACATCCTGCCCACCGCGTTGGAGATTACCATGGTCTGTGGTATTTTAACATATCAGTACGGAGCAAAGTTCGCCGCTATCACGGCCCTGACCATGACTGCATATTCCGCTTTTACTATTTGGACAACTGCTTGGAGGACAAAGTTTCGAAGACAGGCCAATGCGGCCGATAACAAGGCGTCGACCATCGCCGTGGATTCCCTAATCAACTACGAAGCTGTCAAGTACTTCAACAATGAAAAGTTTGAGGTCGGTCGTTACAACGGGGCACTTCAAAACTACGAGAAAAGCTCAATCAAGGTCGCCACATCGTTGGCTTTCTTGAACAGTGGACAGAATATCATTTTTTCCAGCGCCCTCACTGCTATGATGTACCTGGCCGCAAATGGCGTCGCAGCTGGCTCGCTGACAGTCGGAGATTTGGTCATGGTGAACCAGTTGGTCTTCCAACTGTCCGTACCCCTCAACTTCCTTGGCTCTGTATATCGCGAGCTGCGACAGTCGCTCTTAGACATGGAGACCCTATTCAACCTACAAAAGGTCAATGTGTCTATCAAGGAGCTTCCCGATGCTAAACCTCTTCAATTGGTGAAGGGTGGCCAGATCAGATTCGAAAATGTTTCTTTTGGATATAACAAGGAGCGGCCGATCTTGAAGAACCTCAATCTCACCATACCTGCTGGCAAGAAAGTTGCCATTGTTGGTCCCAGCGGATGTGGAAAGTCGACATTACTGAGGCTACTTTTCAGATTCTATGACACTGACAGCGGTCGCATCTTCATTGACGATCAGGAGATCAAGAGCGTCCAACTTGACTCCTTAAGAAAGTCCATCGGTGTTGTGCCACAAGACACCCCGCTCTTCAACGATACTGTTGGACACAACATCAAGTACGGTAACTTGGCAGCCGATGAATCTGAAGTCATTGCAGCCGCCAAGAGGGCAAGAATCCACGATATCATCGCTAGCTGGCCAGAAGGCTACGATACCAAGGTTGGAGAGAGAGGCATGATGATAAGTGGAGGTGAAAAGCAACGTCTTGCCGTCTCACGACTCCTGCTGAAAGATCCGCCGTTGTTGTTCTTTGACGAGGCTACGAGCGCCTTGGATACGCACACTGAGCAGGCGCTCATGCAGAACATTAATAGTATTTTGAAGGAAAAGGCGAGGACAAGTGTATTTGTTGCCCATCGCCTGAGAACAATCTACGATTCAGATTTGATCATCGTCTTAAAAGAAGGCAGTGTCGCGGAGATGGGGACACACAGAGAGCTTGTCGATCGTGGTGGGCTCTACTCCGAGCTCTGGAGTGGTAAGTCATCAACATTGTTCCTCTAATGCTTGGCAATGCTAATCATAACACAGCTCAAGAAAGTCTATTCAGCACAGAAGGAGAGAGCGAAGTGACAGCTGGTGAGAAGGGAAAACGCGCATAGTAGATATCCCAAAGAAAACGCTCGCGAGAACGAGAAGAAGATCCTGGCCCGCTATCTTGTAGACGCAACCATAATTCAAACCCTTTCAGAACCGTTAGCCAATTCCACTGTCAGCCTAAGATATGTTCTATCGGTTCTGGACGGCACCTGATGCTGCATTCCAGAAACCCGTCAGATAACAGTGTTGACCATGATGGATCCTTCAAGCTAGAGTCAGAATTTGACATTCATCCAGGTACAAATCTGCCAACAGAGGTGTCTGGACGCGGACTGCGTGTATTACGAACCTACATGCTGACTGATAGCAGTGTTCTAAAGCTTATGCGACCCCAGAAAGCAACGTTCATCTCTGATTTGAAGTCGTACTTGCGAACCACCGAGCGATCTAAGGCCCGTAGAGCATTCAGATAGTTGACAATTTAAAGGCCGCATCACCTTTGACTGTGTAGGCTGGCTATTACCATGTATGAAGTTTGTTTTATGCCTCAAGCTTCAGCTCTGGGACAGTTCTTCTGTTTCCAGACACAAATACAAAGTCGGTCCGAGGTCTAAGACGGCAGGAAAACATTCAGACTGCGTTCGTGTCTCCTCGCTCGGGCTCGGTTTTGCTGGCAGCGCTTTTGAAAAGGGCAAAGCTTGCGACTTGGAAATGGTTGGATATGCAATTTTGGATGAAGTGACAATTCTGCGTTAGGAAAAAAAAACTATTGATGCGCTATCCAGACGCTAGAACGCACGCCGCACACTCGGCTATGGCGGTTGAGTTGTAGGACATGGTTAGCTAGGTTAGTGCAGTCAATCGCTTCAACGGTCACGCAAACACCGGATCGTTCGGGAGTTATGAAGGAGCAGTTCGCGCTAAATAACAACTACTATGTAGATTTCCATGAAAAGCAGCTAAGCTGTGCATAGGAGTTGTTGGACGAATCTACATGGTATACCAGAATGACAAAACTTTGCCCGGGTGACCTCGAGGAAGCGTTATTGTGTGGCTCATACGCTTAAATAACTCGAACCCCATGTGGGTTTCGTATACAATTTCATTTCATTCAAGGCCTCCATGGAGGGCCACACTGCCGCAAAATCGGCTTCCCCGCGAGCACTTATTCTTAGACGGCCGTGTGAACGGTGCCAGAGCCACGCGTCTTCTACCACTTCTTCTAGAAGCTTGGCAGCAGCTTCCCACACGAGCTCATTTCCTAATCCGTAGTTCATGTCGTGCGCTTAAAAGAGAACCTAGCAACCGAAGCGATTGATCAGCGATGGGCATGTAAACCGCCCCAGCAGATCTAGAAGAGTGGAGAACCAACTTAACAGATCCGCTGCAGAAACCCAAACCGAAACTAGATGTATTCTCCGAGAGATGCTGTGAGCCAATCCCATTTTGCTTCGTCCCGCAGAAAAGTGTCATCATCGCTCCTCAAATTCACGCTTTAACAAGCCATTCGGGGGCCAGCCCAATCAGAATACTCCGTTCCAGCGATTCCATCTAGTTTTGGTGCATAGTACATGAGGGACACGGCTGTGAACTAAAGGCCATGAGGTCCGTTTGTGGAGTATCCCCTGTACATTCGCGATGGATCAGTATGCACAATCGAAATTGCATTCGGCAAGGCCTGCGTTGAAATCGGAAACCCAAAGGCGCATGACCAGGCATTGAAAACATCGTCAGCCGTCAGTTCCAGCCAGTCGGTGCTTCTGATGTTACTCTGGTTCTGATCGATCCCTCTCGGTCCCTAGTCTGTCGTGGTTTGGTTCGGATCATTCCATAAGATTGCCAAGATGAAAGGCCTTTTGCTCTTCTCGTCATTTGCATATGGCGTGCTTGCTTCACCCTGCAAGCCGTCCAAACATCTATCTGCTACGGTATCGGGGTCCTTATCAGCCTTGCCGACAGCCTCCGGTTCGTCCTCGAGCGCTGAACATGCTACATCGTCATATGTCGTATCTGCGTCTTCCGTCTCATCAGCGTCCCTGTCGTCCATTCCGTCAAGTGTCTCGGCCACATCAGCCAGCGCTTCAGCCAGTCCTACAGTCGATCTTGGATATGAGATTCATGCTGGAACCCTCAATGTAAACCTCCCTATTCTAATCTCAGTCCGGCCGAGTTACAACATGAATTGTTGTTGAACCGTCACCCGATACGGAAACGTCTCTTAACCAAGTCTCATGCTGACGATGTTTATAGGAAACTGGCAACTACTATACCTTTAGCAACATCCCATACGCGCAGCAGCCGGTTGGTGAATATCGATTCAACAAGCCTGTCGCAATTAGCGGGACCAGCTCAGACATCAACGATGGCTCAACCACAGGCACTGAGTGTATGCAAGCTTACCCGGAATGGATTCTAGAGCTGCAAGCTGCTGCATATGGTGTTGATACCGCTACTGTGGCCGCCATACTCTATGCCCAGGCGGCTCAAACCGAGAGCTGCCTTCTGCTAGACGTTTACGTTCCTGTGGATGTCTTTGAGAATGGCCTCGAAGGTGAGTAATGCCGTGTTTTGATGACTGGGGTCTGGTTACTAAGTCTTTATTCAGCGCCTGTACTATTTTGGATCCATGGTGGAGGGTTTACTTACGGCTCAAAGACAGGATCCGGTGATCCAGCAGGCCTTATTGCCCGATCAAAGCTGGATGGCTCTGATGGAGTTATTGTGGTCTCTATCAACTATCGTCTTGGTCTTTTCGGTTGGTTGGCTGGGGAGGGGGTTACGGCCAACCTCGGCCTCTTTGACCAGCGAATGGCTCTGGAGTGGGCTCAGACTTACATCTCTCGCTTCGGCGGATCGTCTGAAAAGGTGACCGTCATGGGCGAGAGCGCCGGTGCGGCCTCCATTCTTCACCATATTACCAGCTACGGCGGCGCCGAGGACGTTCCTTTCCAGGCCGCCATCCCGCAATCCCCTGCTTTCGAGTTCAGCATCGACTATCAGGCATCGCTTGAGCTGACATTGACTGCTGCCGCAAGTTACATTAGCGGAGTTGTTGGTAATGCTACCAACACTTCGTCGGCTCAAGTCTCAAGTATCAGCACAAACTTTGATGCCTTTGTAAATGCTCTTGAGACCTTTGAAGACTCAGCCATCTCGGCTGCTCTGAAGTACATCAACCAAGCCGTTGTTGTTCAGGCTAGTGCCGGTCGGTTCAACTATGGCCCAGTTGTTGATGGTGACTATGTACCGGAGCACCCTCAGGTACTGCTTGCTCAGGGCAGCTTTGACACTTCTTTGACTGTGAGTTGTCTGCTACCTAGTCTAATCTAATTTTCCTATGCTGACAATCTCCAGGTTATGAACAGCCACACATCTAACGAGTCTGTGCCTTTCGTACCCACTACTATTGCAACCGAGGGCGATGTCCGAAGTTATATTGAAAGTGCTCTAAGTGCAGCATCGAGCGACACTATTGACTATATCCTGACAACACTATATCCTGCTGTTTTCGACGGCACCCACTCGTACTGGTCTGAGTTCGGTCGCGCGGTTCAGATGAATACCGATTTCTACTTCGCTTGCTCGAGCAACTTCTTGGCCAAGGCCTACAATGCAGAGACTCACAACTACATCTTTGCCTACCCGCCAGGCTACCACGCCGAGGATGTCTCCTACGTCTTCTTCAACGGCGACACTACTACTCTCGATGACGGCCTTCCTGTGAACGCCACTCTCGCTTACTATCTGCAGGACTACATTGTGCAGTTCGCCAAGACATTCGACCCGAACAGTGACTCATTGCCCGAGTTCCCTGCCTACGGAAGCGAGGGTCACGTTCTGGCGTTCACAGGGGCAGGATTGGTCGTCGAGGTTGATGATATGAAGAACGAGAGGTGCGATTGGATACAGAAGGCTATGGTCGACGGCTTGCTATCATAAAATTGTTGGCAAATCAAACGAGCGCATTATAATCCTCACGTATTTAATCACTTACAGTAGTTTCTAATTTTAAGAATGTCTAGTTTTGACAAGAGAAAATTATACGTGAGTGTGTCGAAAACTCGGAGCGGCTGATGAACGAACGGCGATTGTCGAACATTAGTCAACGTTCCGTGCTTTTAACTGTCTTTTACTCTGCAGGTCAGCTGAGCAGGGAACACAGGCAGAGGAATTCTTCTTGTTGAGGATTGGTCTCCTGTAGTGTTGCAGGCATCTGTACTAGAACTCACGGGACACAGCCAATGCTCCGGAAGCCTTGGTAGCTGGCTTCACTAACGAATTGCGCTCGAGGCACGGCTTGAGGGTGCCAATCAACTCCCGAACGCATCATAAGGTCGCCATGTCGCTTTGTATCTATAATTTGGGCATGAATTAGCTCCCCAGTAATCTCACACGCATTCACCATTGCACACTTTATTTCATTCGGTACAACGGCAGTAGGAAGTACTTGCTAGTGTATAACCTATCTGTTCTTGCAATGGTATACTTGCAGGACCTGGATCCAGGTATACAAGCAAGTAAAAAGAGGCGAAGGCGTGTTGGTGACAGCCGGGAAGAGGCCAAGCAGATAGCCTGTAGGAAAGCAACAGCGTACGCTGTAATTGATTGCACACTTTGTCCGTCAAACTCAATGCACCTCAGTCCCACTGCAACGACAGATAGATAACCAGGCTCCGCTTCCATGGCTTTTCTACTCACGGCACCTTGATCGTTTAGCGCTGCCTATGTAAGAAGACTGGTGTTCCTGCAAATTCCATGGCGATTTAGGTCACAAAGCGGCTACAGCCACCAGCAAATCTGGGGTAATGGGGCGAATAAGACGATGAGGCTCAGGCTTTATTTGATTGTGGGCAGGGGTCGTCATTTGCCTCACTTCTTAAAACATGAATCATCAAACACCCACTATCGATTACAGGGGAATGCAGTCACAGTTATCCTCTCATTAGAGAAACAGGATTGGGTACTATAACTGGCGGAAACCCTTGACAGCTTTTCCACCAATAGGTCGAGCTCCCATCTATGTGGACCACGCTTGTTGGGGTTATAGCCGGCCATAGTGGAGAGATAAGCTAGCCTCAGTGCTGCTGAGGGGAAAAGTTGGGGAAGCTCCCCTACAGTGCGGAGAAATATCCTTGTTAGCCTCCAACTGTTTATATTGTTGCTTGCGAAAGCTCATTTCCGAGGCGAACCCCATGCTCGGTACGCCGGCATTCTACATAAAAGGGTCGCGATGTGGCCAAGATGAAAATGGCGTTGCTTGGTCTCTTGTCCTAGAGCTTGGCTTGTCATTCGTTGTCTTGTGTCCTTGGCTCATCTGTTGCATTGCGATGAAGCTCTCCCTAATTGCCGCCGCCCTGCCATTGGCAGCCGCCTCTGCTGTCTCTTTCAGCTCACAGAAGAGAGACGGTGATCACATCTCTACTCGGCCCGAAATCGTATACTCGCCCGAGGCACCCTCCGTAGCCCCACCCAGTCCCAAGCAGCGTTGCAAGACTTGCTTCATTGACAGCCACGGCGACGGCGTGACAGACGACTCTGAGGCAATTCTCGCAGCTTTCAACGATTGCAACAATGGCGGCCACGTTGTTTTCCGCGAGAATGAGACTTACATTATTGGCACCGCTATGGACTGGACCTTCCTCCAATCCATTGACATTGGTAATCCATTGTATATCCATCATATTCTGACTGGGACTAATCGCCCTCGTAGATATCCAAGGAAAGATTCTTTTCACCAACGACACGACCTACTGGCAGGCGAACTCATTCCGTTTTGTCTTCCAGAACGTGACATCCTTCTTCAAACTTGGTGGCGACGATGTTTGGATATACGGAGGTACGTACAGCCTTGGGGAACTTCTAGTTCAGGGCGCACTGCTATGTGTACCAGGCCAATCAACTATGACTGACTAAGTTTACAGGTGGTACTATCGATGGTAACGGTCAGGCTTGGTATGAAGCATACGCTGCCAATGCCTACACCCTTCGCCCGGTCCTGATCGGCGCCGACGGTCTGACCAACAGTATTATTTCGGATGTGGTACTTCGATACTCTCCTCAGTACTATCACTTCATTGCCAACTCAACCAATGTTGTCTTTGATAACATCAACATCGCTGGTGGCAGCCGAAACGCCAGCGTCACCGCCAAGAACACTGATGGTTGGGATACGTACCGCAGTGATGCCATCACCATTCAGAACTCGGTCATCAACAACGGCGATGGTGAGCTATATTTCTTGGTCGCTTGTCAGTTATCACTTAATGGCTAACCTTAAAAAAACAGACTGTGTTTCTTTCAAGCCCAACTCCACCGATGTCCTGGTTCAGTCGCTTTTCTGCAACGGAAGCCACGGCATCAGCGTCGGTTCTCTGGGACAGTACAAGGGTGAATATGACATCGTCGAGAACGTCTTCGTCACCAACATCTCGATGCACAATGCTACGGACGGTGCCCGCATCAAGATCTGGCCCAACACTGCTTCGGCTCTTTCCGATGATCTGCAGGGTGGAGGTGGTGACGGACGTGTCAACAACATCACCTATACCGACTGGACCATTGACAACGTCGACTACTCCATCGAGGTTGACCAGTGCTACGGTCAGAGCAACCTTACGCTCTGTCTAGAGTACCCCAGTCCTCTGAAGATTACCAACGTTATCTTCAACAACTTCAAGGGCGCAACGAGCAAGAAGTACCAGCCTCAGGTTGCCACTTTTGCGTGCAGCTCCGACACAGCATGCTCAAACATCGTGTCCACTGACTTTAGTGTGCTCAGCCCCAACGGTACCAACCAGGCTTTCTGTCTCAACTTTAACGAGACGTCGTTGGATGGTGTTGAGTGTACAACTGTATTCAAGGGATTCAACTAACCTAGTGCGCTGTCACGTGCGCGGGCGCCATGTACACTTGTAGTCGAGGGGTGTAAAGTAAAATGACTTGGTAGTGTCGCTCTTTGAGCTTGATAGAAAACTTGCACATAAGATATTAATGATAAATAAGACTGCTTACATGACGCGAAGTGAGCCACCCAATGTGGCTCTGCTCAAGGTGGTAATAATTAGAAGATTCAGCAAACCAGGGTGATCGAGTCATTGACTGGAGCGTGCAGGTTGTGTCTATTGTCCAAATCAGCTAACGTTGGAAAGTTTGCCTTTATGCGGGTGAGCCTCAGGCTCGGCAGGCAAAATGTCTTGAACCAGTCAAAAGGTGGCACAAGTGCGCTGGGCATGCTGCGCGGATGAGCTCAAACCTACGACACTCGACCATACAAAGAGCTTCGTGACCCCCGCTCGTAAAAGGCCCCTCTGGCAAAGCTCAAACCTCAGCATTTCCGTCTCAACTTCTTGTTTTATTATTTTCCCTGACAGTGATAAGCAACGACCGATCGAAGTCATCATGGATTCATCGGCGCCCTTCAATGGGTCACGGCCCAAAGACATGTCTGAATATATCGCCACAAAGTCACCCTATTGTCCACTTCGGGACTATCAAATGCAACTCATGTTTCTCGAAGAGCAGAACAAGAGACGTCTCAGGATTGCCCGAGAAAAGCAATTGTCATCTCCTCAGTCTCAAGAGCGAGATAATGCACATAACATGAATGTGGAAACTCATTTAGACCAGCTCGCCCAGAAGTTGAGAGGACAGCCATCGCTTGTGGAGTACCAAGCACAATTAGACATTCTGGAGCAGGAAAACCAAGATCGGTTACACAAAACATGTCAGGGACCATCCGAGGAGCCACAGACACAGTTCTGCAAGACGGCATGTGGGACCCTAGACGTCTCTGTCTCGCCACCTAGTTATAAGCATGGATCTGTGGACCTCGAGGAATACCAAAGTCCACAGTCGAAGCTAGAATCATCCCTGCAAAGGGAGCTAGAGCTGTCCATGATGTTACAAGACATGCGCCAGGGACTGGAGGGAGACATGAAGAAAGAAGAAGAAGAAGAAGAAGAGTTAAGTGAAGAGGATACCCAAAATCACGGATCTATTTATCAACAGCCTCGGCCAATTAAAGCACCAAACATAAACACCACTATGGTTCGCTCCCCTCACGACATGAATGGCTGGCCAAATCAAAGCGAGTTGCCAGATATTTTCCCGAGTCAGCCAGCTGCACCAGAAGTGTCATGCCAAAACAAGGTGGAAGCAGATTTGCGGTCTCCTCACGACATGAATGCTCTACCTGATCAAGAACTACCGCTAGTGGATGAACCTGCACAGGCCAAACAGCCAGAAACACCCGTAGCTTCACGCGATGTGAGCGTTGGCATTCATGCTCTGAGGCGTCAACCAGAGCTCCATGATCCCGACGTTAGGAAGCAAACAAGTCAGGCTGAGTATCCCCAATTTGCTCCTGCTTCCTTCGAGTACCCCGGCGTCGATCCGACGTATGCCCTTGATCACCAAGACACGGGAGCTGCATATCCTCCTTATTACGGAAAAGACGCTGTGGAACCACCGCCTCTCCATTTCGCACCAGCCTCGTTTGAATACTCTGGCCAAACCCTGGGAGACATCTGCGAAAGCTGCGCCAATAAACCAAACCCTCGCGAAGATGGAAATGCGTCTGAAATGTCCCAGTCAGCCTCAGATCATGAACGCAAGATGGTTGAGGACCTCAAGCGCGACGACCCGGACGCTACAGCGGAGTCGATTGTCCATAACCATGAGGAGCGCAAGGCGGTCAGTAAATCTAAACGAGACCACCCAGAAGCCGTCGCACAGGCGAGGAGGCGTATCCGGCAACGGCAGTCCCGTAGCATGAGCCCACCGCACAATTTACGGGTCATGCGGATCCGGCGTCGGGCTGGCTGTCCAGGGATTACGAGAGTGCCTTTCGCTTCTGCCGGGTCTCTCTCTGAACGAGAGCAAAAACACGAGACCGAGCCGGTGCTCACGGACATGTCCTTACACGAGGGGGTATCGCTGGCGATAAGATTGCGAATGGATTGAATTGAAGGGCGTTGCTGATGTAGTCGTTATGGCACGCTTAGCCGTTCATCCTTATGGTGAAAGGCATATCTGTCGCTTCGATCGATTTAACAGGATGAAGTACAGTTCGGGGGGTATTCTATTTGCTAACAGATTGACGCAGCGGGAATACATTTAGGTTTAGGAAAGGCTAGGAACAAAAATGTACAAGTGAAATTGTACTGAGGGCTCTGGGAGATTCCACACTGCGACGCACGAGTTGTCATGGAATGTTTTGATGAACTGAATGACTGCAATCGGGGGTGGTTTTTCTTTTCCGAGACAGAAAGATGTCATGGAGATGTTCTCGGAAATGTGGGTAAACAGTCTAGTCGCGAAATGCCAGAGCTGTTTTAAATCAGATGATTCATGTCCATTCGTAAAGAAGTATCTATGTACAGCGAAATAACACCATTTAATGCGTATCCGACATTATTGCGTCTTCAATGCTTCTGCCAACTATACGCAGTAGAAACTATAACCCCCACTAAAGCCGTGTGATGAGCGTGAGCCTGATCGCGTGTTTGTTGCGAGTCCAATGCGCCGCGTCTAGTAGAACGACCCCGAGGTCTTCCCCCTCCAATAAAAAAATAAAATAAAAAACCCCCTGCATTGCAGCGTTATCGCTGTTGTAACCAAAACATGTGGCCACGCATGGTGTTGCGGGTCAAGCGCCGTCTTTGTATCGCCTAAAAAGGTAACACGTAATATATATCCAAACAAGTCATGCTCGTTGCTCTTTACAACCGTGTCTCAATCCTCCTCCAAACCTCGTCGGCTATCATCGCACCTCTTGAACATCGACGGTATTCGTCCTCCAGTCCTGAGCGCTGGCCTTGGAAAGCGAGCCAAACCCGGGCATGGAGGAGAATCTGTTGAGCTTCTTCTTCTGGGCGGGCGTCTGAGGCTCTACGGCATACGACGGCGACCTGGGCTCGTCTACGCTGCGGCGGCTACGGCTGCGGTCTGCGTTTGGCGACGAGACGGATGAGTTTTGTGAGGAACCCGTGCTGCTGGGTGTTTGGTAGACGTATTCGCCGTCGACGTAGACGGCGCCGCTGATGAATGTGGTGCGTCGGTTTCGGTTGCGCGTATAACGCTGTTCCAGCCGGTATAGCTCAAGCTTGGCCTGGATCTTATCGAACAAGCCCATCGTGACTAAGTTGGCGCAGTTGACTCGTGTTTTTATGGGCTATTGTCTCGGTATTTGGGTATCGTGTCTCAACGATAGTATGGAGGAGCTGTAGTGTTGCTCGCCTACTGCTTCGCCAAGTTCCCCCCTGAAGTACACACGTTCGTGGTGGAATTGGTTGTACTCAAATCACCTCGGACGATTGTGAGGTGCCAAGGCAGATATTTATTAGACTTCGCCGGGTTGGTATCTCGGACGTCTAGTTTATTATTTTACTCGGTTGGCGTAATTGGTACAGAGAGAGTGAATATGATTTAGGTTTGTGATCAGCAGAAATTAGGTGCGCTGAGTGGTGAAAGAATGTATGGGCCAGTCGAGTGTTTGCTCCGTAACTGTACTCGTACCGTATCCTCAGGTGATTAAATTGAAAGGTTGGGATCTTGAGCAGGGTCAAGGGAAGGATCGCATAGAAGAGAAGTGAGGGATTGCGTGTGTGCTGGGTAGGAAAGGAGGGGAATCAAGGTTGGGAATCGTTCCAGAACTCCAGCACGAATTGAATTGGATGAGTGGATCATCGAGTTCCCCTGGCCCTGACCTCAGGCATGAGTCGATTCTGGAGGGTCTAGGTTAGCGGGAGACTGTCCTGCAAACATCTCGAAGCAATGGGTTGCAACTGCAGTCTGATGGAGCCGCAGACCGGCTAGCCGTTCAGGCCATTCAGGTCACTTTTCAACGACAGGAACCGTTCTCCCATGGCGCTGGACGGCGGGCTTGGGCGGGCCTGCCTGGCTTTCGCCCACGCCGCATTCAGCTAGAATCGTGCCGTCGAACCTTGTTGGCGCCGCTGTTAGTGCTAACGCGCACAGATCAGACCGTTCTAGCACGCATCTCGACCCCCTGTTGAGTCAGGAAAGCCCCCTGGTGAAACTGGGATAATGGGCCATAATGCATTGAGCCGGTGATACGCTGCCCGTGTCGCGTGGGATCGCTATACCAGTTGGGATTGAGTGGCTCCATCTGAAGACGCAAGTCTGGCAAGGGCTCCGAATTGTATGCAAACTTGCCACGAGGTTTCCCTCTTCTCCTGTGGGTGGTACCCATGAGACGAGACAGACGGCTGCAACTGACCAAGACAGGCTGTTGCCCCGGTCTCTAGCAGTGGCGGGGATCTAGCCTCTAGCGGGGAGTAACGGAATTGCGAAATCACGCCGGGGGGTCAATCCGTTGGGAAATGGCTCAGCCTTTTCTTGAATGGCCGTGGACCGGCTGCCAGGAAAGATAGTTAGCTGTCTTTGTCATTGTATGCTCATCTCGATAAGCCTTTTCACTGCGAGATATTGTGACTGCACTGCGCTTGATATCTAGTGGAGGCGCAAAAAATCAATTCCTGTTGCGTGCGCACCAGGATGGCTTCAATAGTAGTTTTATGTTTTTAGTCAGAAGCCGGTCCTGTACTCCGTACATCGTAGTCTCGTCTCGGTTAAGCATGAGAGGCATTAAACTTGACTAAGAATTCCCAAGGTCCAGAAACTGGCGATCACTTTAGGCCATCTCCCACGTTGCCATGTGAGAGAGATCAGCAGTTGGTCCTGGCATAGCGGCCCCGCCCCTTCTCCAGACCCTGCCAAATAGTTAACCTTAGCATGAAAATTTCAATGGTCAATCCCGACAAAGTCCACTGGAGCTTCTTCACTTGAACGCTTCAGTACTGCTTCATGCTTACACAGCCATCATAATTCACCAATTATTGCGGGAATACACGTCGGGAGTTGGGCTTTGCCGTTTGATGGAGGCCACCCTTGGCTGTGACGATTGGAACTGCGCGATTCTCAAGGTCCGGTTACAGGTCTAGCATTCGGCTATCCGTACCCCGTGTGAAAGGGAGCTAAATTTCACCCGTCGGCTGTACCAATTCGACACATTCACTAAATCCCTTATTTAGCGCAATATTGAATAGCCATTGCTCATTAGAGCCTGCAAATGATGTAGCTTGATTCTTTCGCAATGAGCTGCTTTGACATGACAGGTTATTCCACGGCCCTCAGCTCGTACTGATCATTGCAGATGAAGTGCAATTTCCTTCAGCCAGGGCTGAGGGCGGTATCAAACTGATGGGTCGTGATGGATGGTCTGTGCGCTGGGTGTGTACGAACCACCAGATGTCACATTGGCTACAGGTAACCTCAACAGCCCTGGTCTTTTTATTCGCAGCCTTGTGAACTGTATCTCGTGATGACATGTTTTTTTTTTTTTTTTTTTTTCTTTTTTCGGTGATTCGATGCATTGTATATCGCTTCCTCCCGTTGCGTGTGGGCACAAGGAATTTTTCCGGACTCTCGATTTTATGCCAAATGAACATAGACCTCTGCGTTCTAATCCCGACCAGACCGTCCGAATTGGTGAAGAGCTTAGAGGGCTCCGACTGTTACTTGTCCCACCGCCAATACCTTCTATGAATCGGCTCTCTTCTCTCTCTCGTACCATACTTGCAACAACCTTGAGGCGCGTGCAGCTGCCGTACTGGCCTCTTCTGTTGACGCTTTCTTCGCCAGTTCCTCGAACCTTGATGCCCAAAATGACCATCTCTTGTTGCTCAAGCCCGGCTGGCCGTCAAAAAGAGAACCGCCCTTGAACATCTGTGCTTCTGCATCGCTAGGTTCCCAGCCAAGAACGAGGAGCTTATGCAGGATATGGCCGTCATATTCGACGTACTGAGCAGCGGTCAAGAGGCGATTGTCCAAGACCTTGCCTTTCACCTCCTCTTCATCTTCGAGAGACTGCCGTAAGGACCAAATCGCAAAATCCCTCACAGGGATCACGCCAGTTCCCCCTAGCCTCGCCCAGAAAGCATTCACATTAACCCAGGCGTTCAGGATCTCGTCTGCGTGCTCCGAGCCGGCATGCTGCGCCGAAGGCGCGAAGTTGAACCAGTCTCTTATCACCCAGCCGAGTTGCGGCAAGTCTCGCCAGGCCCCTGCCGTTCCGCCGGATGGCAAGAGCATAAGCTCTCGGACAACCTTCACAAGCTTATCTTGGGCAAGATCATCGTGTTGGACCTGCTGCGCTACTTGGAACAATTGACCCCATGTGTTCCAGACAAACTGGTCAACTTCGTCTTTTCCAGCATCAGGAACTGCGTCGTCAATATGTCGTGCGACAACCAATGCAGATTGGGACGTGGAAGATCCGAGATAGTCCTCGAATATCCCGAAGAATTTGTCTTCCAGTATCAGTTTGTCCTTCGTATTCCTGGATTCCTGCTTTAACTTGAAACCTTGTGCCATGGTGATTCGTGATACTTTTTCAGTGTTGCTTGCTGGGAAAGAAATGTTGACGATGCTTACAAGTCGCCTCTGGAGTAGAATGTGCTCGGATTGTTCTCTCCAAACGGTTGTGCATCTTATGTATTTCGTCGCCAATACCCACTGCCTAGCAGTTTTGCTGTACAGCTGCCTATTGAGGGTAGTGAATGAGGTCTTGGTCCGTTGCAGATACGTCATGTGCACGGACCATTCTGGTGTGTTACCCAATTCAAGGTGACATTGGGAGAACGTGGTTTCTTTGGTGCAGCGTCGGTCTCCGCCACGACTATGAACTGAAGCCACGTCTATCGCGGCAAACACCGAAATGCTATCTCTGGAGCGACTGGTTCTATTGTTGTGTAACTGATAATGATTGGATACTTGTACCCTGGCGGCCACCGCATCAAGAGGTAGCTGCCCTCAGAGCAATATTGCAAACCGAAAGAAAAAGCCGGCATATCTATCTACATCTTCTGAAAACTAGACAGTCGATGCTGACTGTGGGCTTATCTCCCAGCCTTATACTGGATTCACTACGAGTGCCGGGGCAGACCGTACCAGGATCGATGTGTATAGAAATGCGCTTCTGAGCCGGGAGATGGATGGATTCTCTATTTATCACCCTTAGCGAATAAGTATGCGAGTCGCGACCATTGATTGACTGACTGTGACTAACTGCTGAATTACACCGGCTGGCTCAGCTAATAATCTACTCCAGTACATTTTGTAGCAGTCGCGTTCGGATCCTCGATCGTGACCCGGAAGCAAGCAAAAGTCAAAAAGGTGATATCCCAGTTGAACTGGGCACCTTTGGGAATTGAAACCCAACCAGGAGCCGCCCATGGGTGCAAGAGCACCCCAAACTACCACTGAGCCACGATGAATGGGACATTTGCCCCAGGGTCCTTCAATGTTCCCACGCCGGGGACTGGTTGAAATTCATAGGCCTTGACTGTAATTATATGTCTACATTCCATTCAATTCCTAGGTTATGGATCGATGCCGGGTGCCTTTCCAACAACCACTCGTCCATCTGTGGAAGTTCAATTCAAGGTTTTCATGAGCAACTTAGGCTAGTTGTCTGAAATAGTGCATGAAAGCCTCTGTTTACATTTGTTCATGCTCTCGATCTGTCGAACTTGCCGTTAGTACTTGGCTGCTCATAGCTACCTAACACAATACCCCGGAAATTGAACAATTTCCTCAACCACTATACAAACCTGTGTCTACATTTTTCCTTCGTGGCGAACTAGTGGTGGACAGGGAAAAAAGTTAACGCATATCACAACCATCTTGCTGCTTGTTAGAGCTGATAGTACGGTAAGGGCTTTCCACAACTAGGGATAACGAATGGTAAGGCAGTGTTACGATGTAAGAAACAGATAGAAAGATAGCTTGTAACAATCACGCCAGTGAATGTTCAACTCTTGTGTAGCTTTTTGAATCTTTGTGTATGAACTTTTTACGGCAAATGACTGTCCTTCTAAAAGTTTCTAAGGCCATTAAATATTGACGAACTGAATTCTCAGATGAAATCCTCACTCCTGGCCGGGCTCGTCGGGCTCGTCAGACTCGTTAGGTTCATCAGGTACCTCGGTATCATCGTCATCAGTACGAATGTCCACAAATTCATCTTCACCGTCTCCCTCGTCAATAACGTCGTCGTTTTCATCACCATCAATGTTGATATCGTCGTCAATGATATTATCGTCTTCATAGTCATCGCCATCGTCGTCAGATTCGCCCTCGACGATGCCAAAGAATGTATGAGTCGCACCAATATCACCCGGGTGAGGGGTCTCAATGCGGTCGTATTCCATGATGCGGCTCCTCATATCCCAATATTTCATCCAGCCTCTCTCATCCTTTTCCATGTCGAGACCAGGTGCCATCTCAGCAGTCTTGTCTCTCAAGTCTTGAATGGCCCTGGCATGCTCCGCTCTAGCTTCCTTGAACTTCTCCTTGTACTCCTCAGGCGTAAACTCTTCTAGAAGTTCGTCTGGCAACAGGTCACCCGGCTGCAAATAATCCCAACAAGGCTGACCTTTCTCTACAAGATCCAGAGTCAGCATTTTTTATTTCTTTCTTTGAGATGAGCCAAGATTGCTTACTGTAGGCCCTACGCAATTTCATGCGTCTCAGACCGCGTGCCCTGTCGCGACACTTCAGACAAACCACTAGGCCGAGTTCATACACAATTAAGTTGCGTTCGTCCGAGGCGACACGGCGGGCCTCGAGGAAATGCTCGCATTCGTCGTACACCAGGTCCTCCCGGCACTTTGGACATTGACAGCCCGGGCGTCGGCTGTTATTCAGCTGGGACAGCCAGCGAGTGACGCAGGCACTTCCAAAGCGGTGGCCAAAGGTGCACGGAAGGTCCACAAACTCGCTGGATGGGTGTTTATCCCAGCAGATCTCGCATCTTTCCGCTCCATCGGACGAAGCTGTGCTCATATCGTTATTCATGATGCTAGTGAAGGAGGCAATCGCCAACCCGAAGTAGTCACCAAGTTGGTAAATGAAGCAGTCGCTAAGGTGGTGATGAGGCAGTCGCCGCCCTGCCAGTGAAGTAGTTGCCAAGTCGACAATGAAGTAGTAACCGAGTTGGTGAAGAGGCAGTCGCCGATCTGGTGATGAAGCAGGCAGTCTCCGAATTACTAATGAAGTAGTTGACAAGGTGGTGATAAACAGTCAATGAGTTGGTGATGAGGCAATCGCCGACCTAGAGTGAAGTGATCATCGGGTTAGTTTTGGACGTGTTCAAAACTGTGAATTTACAGATTGATTGTCTGGAATTAGAAATGGTTGCCGAGTCATTTGTCGAACCAGGCTGTGAATGTGCAAATCCATTGTTGAAGGAACTGCAGGCTTGTTCGGATGCAGCCTGAGTTGTGGTGCGAATAGACAATCACTGCGGCAACCGCCTGGAGAACAATAGAACAATCGAGTGGCTGCCAAAGTTGGTGGAAGTCTGTGCCTTACCTATGGATGCATGCCAAATACAACAATGTATGATAATGGGAAACAATACATAATACGACATATTTTGCGACTGGAGTATGATACGTTTTGTGATAGACCTGGCATGATGTAATATTACGCGCAATCAATTCCCATCTTTTTACTTATATTCCAATTGGGCTTTTATTATTGTTTCAATACGCCATTGGCTCACCCTTGCTATATCTGCTGGATAATTCCTCACCTGAATATTGTTGGGAGATCTGATTACTTCTAGACTAGTACCGAACCTGCCAATGCCACAGACAAGCTGTTGACTGTCTCCCTTATACCTCTGTTAAGCTCTTATCCTTTTGCATCACGTATGCTACAGTTGTTATTGATTGGAATCCCTCGTAAGTTCTTTGTAGTCCCCAGTCCATCATATCTAGCAAGGTGTCTTTCGCCATTGAGCGCAAGCAACTCAATCCCTTGGGCACAAGCTGGATGGGGACTCTCAATTGCCATAGCAGCCTGTTTCGATGGCAAAGTGCATTTCAAGTTCACGAGAAGTCATCTATAAAATATGAAAGATAACTACTGGTTGAGAGCCTGCCACAGAAGAAGCAACCATAGTTTATGTGTTTTGTCCCTTGACTTGACAACAAGACGTCGGACTATTCTACTATAGATAGAAAACAAGTTGAGATAAGCCCTGATGTTTGTGGTAACAATAAATTAGCATGCTCTTAGTGAACCTTTGGGGTACAAGGTCTTATCACGTAGTTCGAGAATGGTCGATTTCTACTATCATGTTCTGCTCTGTATCCTTTCGATATATGATACTCGCAGAATTGATGAGGAGGCTTCTTTGGAGCCATCTCTCCCAGAACCACAGACGTGTTGGATTAGGCATTGCGTTAGGCCTACATTCAACTTGTCGTGGCTTCCATTCACTCGGTAGCACTTGGCCATTGTGCCTCAACAGGTGTCACAGTTTCTCATCTGAAACGTCGTGATCTTAATGGCAGCAGAACCGAGTCTAGATATATAATGATCGCTCATAAGTAGTTTTGACTAATAATATAATCATCGTGTTTTCATTATCATCATCATCGTCTTCTTCTTTTCCTCCCTTCTTCTGTGAATTATCTATGCTGCGAGTAGAGCTTACGGTTTCGTAGGAGGTAGTCTAAAATATCACATTTGGTTTTGAGCATATAGACGCTAAGTATCGCCCATTGACGAACTAAACTTACTACGCGTAGCTTTATGGGTTGCATTAGGGGCGCGTTTGCAAAAATGACTACACAGAGAGGGACAACTGCCTTGAAAACGTTGAGACGTATGTCATGGAAATCGTATACAATGGGCTACAAGCCTATCGTAATGTCTTTTTGCACCGAAGTCGCAGAACAAGCTTGTGAGGATATGAGATTCGGGAAGCTGTACTGTAGAGTCAACCAGCACTGCACGCCTTGTGTCAGGACGGTATACTTAAAAAATGTCCGACATATGATTTGGGCGGCATGGTCTGACTGCTAACATGACAAGTTAATAATTACGAATAACAGGGTACGCAGAATGAAGTTTCTTATTTCCCTCTTTCAAATGAAATATGACAACACCATGTCCAGGGCAGAAACCCGTCCACGGGAGATCTATGAAACTTGGGGTCGGTTATTCGGCAGTCAAAGCGGTAATCTTATGACGGAGAAAGTATACTAACGTTAGTGACGTAGTCGTACAACTAGGTACCACCAGGAGTGATGTTCAAGACAACTCTGAGGAGGAATTTGGCAAGACGTGATCTGGTGCACCGGTAACGGGGTTTTCAAACAGGCACCTTACCTGGGGTTTCACAGCAGTTTATGATCTGCCTCACCGTTAGGGATGAAATACGAATGTACACATCGATCCAACGGTAGCTAATTGGTATTGGGAGGTGCTGCGTGCATATGTAGAAATCGCATATGTTTGCGGAATCATGGAGACTGCAGCCGGAGGGAGATAGGAGACGTTATGAGCGGCTCGTTGCACCAGAGGTTCAGATGTACAGCGCAAGTTGCCAGCCACCAACGCTGGAATTCTGGAACGTCGGCAGGTTGGGCATGCAACGCTAGGTTAGCTCTTTCGAGTTTTAGCTGTCAAGGGGGTCGCAAACCAGTTGTCTTGGTTGATGTAAGCAATACATATGTAGATACAGTCGTCAGCTGAAGTTTAGTCTCAAGTGGTGTTTACGGATTTTCAGTGATATTCAGTGATATTCGGTGATATTCAATGATTTGCAGGTCGTTGATGGCATCTCAGTGGGGAGGGCTTCGCGTGCAAGTCGAGCCCCGATCATGATTATGCAGCGGATATCGGAAGTAGCTGACGCGCACCAATTGCCGCCTTTCCGTGCCAAGAATACACATCCAATTGCTGGGAAAGGGTTAGGAGGTTGGGATGGTGATGCTTCACGCTTTCAAACTTCATGCATGATCCCGTCGACGTATTTAGTGTAGGTCAAGCCGATAGTAGTATGGTGTTTGCTAGTTCTGGCACGAGAACAAGAACACGCTTAAAAACTGAGATCATTACACTTCGGGCGGCCAATGACGACGGAAAGGGTGTTTTGCTGGCTGGCAGGCAGGGTGCTTGTAAGTGTGAGGACTGAATCGTTCAACAGATGTCATAGGCAATTTCTCCGATTCACGGGGCGCAATGGTGCTGTGATGGCGTTCTCTAGTGCCCTCTTGACAGCAAATCGCACTTTCCGAGTCTGCGACCCGCGAAACACCCCTAACTCACTTCGGAATAGCACCGCTGCAATACAGACGTGCTATCGACAGGCCCCTTGGCGCCCGAACAGCCGGACCGCTCTGGATCTCCTTGTCGCAACTTTTTCCTCCCAGCGCATGCGTTTCTCCTCCTTGGTTGAGAGCTCCATGGCGCAATGATAGGGTCCTTGCGTATGCTAAACATCAAATAAGGATCGTAGGGCATGACGTCGTGGGGCTGGACCCTTGAGATCCCTAAGAGTCCTGGGACTGGGATTCATCATGACTCTTGATATGGCGGTCGTGGGGAGCTGCTTAGTATATCATGTCAGACCGCCCTCCCGTGGGATCCGATAATCTGGATCTCCCGGAACATAACCTCGTCTGCTGTAAGGATCTTTCATTACATATTACCGCGCTCGCTGCTGTGACCTTGTCACCCCGTCCATCGCTTGCACCCTCTTGCCCTCGACACCCCCAATCAGAGTTGTGGTCATCCCATTCCCAGCCACCTTCAGGTTCACTATCAAAACCGCACATATCACCAACCTCTTCTATTGCTCGACACATCCAAAATGAGCTCCTTAATCACCACGGTTATAGTCGTCGTCGTTCTCGTCGTTGTTCTCGGTGGCGGTGTACTCGCTTGCGCTCTTGGTTGGAACCGCATCATGCCGGGGTGGAGCAGAAAGTCAAAAAAGCAGGAACAATGGCCCTCTGAGAAATACCCGTTTCCTTCGAGAAGCTCAGTGGAAACCGACTGGGTCGGATCACCCATCTCATCACCTGCATCATCTCCTGTTGCTTCACCACGTGCGTCAAGGCAGAGCTCGGACATAACGATCAAGCATGGTCGGCAGTCTTCGATGCAGGAGAATGTCTAAGACGTTCGGAGATTTTCAAACTACATAACCAACACATATACCACTCTTACGACAACATGACTTCATGAATTGGATGCAAGGATCACGGATTTTGGAAGGCGTTCAGGGTTATGCATACATTACACGGGTAGCATCATCACATTTCGGATTGCATTTGGGCATTCGCGACATCATCTGCGCATATGGGAGCTTTTTATCATCGAGATACCATATACAAACCCCTCCCTGACAAGGGACATACTACAAGGCGCAATTTCCTTCTTTGCACAAAGCTTGAATTAAAAATCGAATCCATACGCTATACTAATGTTTCGCTAAGTCTTGTGTTGTGTGCGTGAGTCGAGTGAATGGCACATGCGCATTGGGGAAAGCTGTAAGGTTTTAGCGAACATGCGGTCGAAAAGTTACAAATATCTCAGAAGAGTCACATGTACAGACGTTAGTCAATCATATCAACCCGCACATTACAAAGAACGGCCTCCACGTAAATGGTATACTGTAAAGTGGGATGCCCTTGGCATAATCTTGATGTTTTGAGCACGTTAAAAGACAGTGCGTTCACGTGCATTGTGTCAATCATATTAGTTTGAGTTTAATCATTTCATTATCGTCATACTGCCATATATCTATCTATACATGATGTTCCTTATACACCAGTCTCATTTCACATGTCGATGCGTCCCCGAGTCAAATCGACATCGGCCAATTTGACAAACTTTGTCCTAAACACCAACTTGTGTCCAACATAGAGAACCACAAACAGAATTAAACTAATGTACGCCGTGAAGAAGCCACTGGTGCTCCAGTCGATGAATACCGTAAAACCGTTCGTGAGCAAGATGAGAATGCAGAAGAATAGACCATACCAGGCGAGAACCGGCTCTAGAGGTGCCTTGTAAGGCAGGCTGTCACGAGAAATACCGTGAAACTTGGCTGCAGCCATGAAACGGAGGTGGCAGATGATGATGCACGACCACGTGATGAAACCAGCAATGGAGGTGATGTTCATGAACCAGTCAAAGGCCTCGCTTCCGGTTGAAGAGAGGTTGAGGAATGCCAAAAGGCCAAACGCCGAAGTAAAAGCCACAGCGATGTATGGGGTACCATTCTTGTTAACACGGGTCATGAAGTGGGGAATGTGCTTCTCCTCAGCGAGCGCGACAAGAATACGACTACCCGAATAGACGTTGGACTGAGCAGCTGACAGAACAGCAGTCAGGAGCACGGCATTAAGGATATCAGGGAGAACCTTGACACCAGCGAGGTTGCAAGCAATGACTAAAGGAGATCCAGAGGCATCACTCGAACCGCTCACAAGTGCGCCGTTGTCGTAGGGAACCAGCAATCCGATGAAGAAGATGGTCGAGACAAAGAGCGAGAGGATACCCCAAAACGTCCACCGGATTGCTGATGGCACAGCCTTTGCAGGGTCTGCGGTCTCACCCGCTCCGACACCCACGAGCTCGGCACCCTGATAACTGAAACCGGCTGTGACCAAGACTGACCAGAAACCGACAAACTTGCCGACGGGACCGGATACGATGGATTCTGCGAAAGGTCCAGGGTTTACCCAGTACTTGAACCCGATGTAACCCTGCTCTCCAACACCGGCATTGATGCAGATGGCGAAGATGATGAACCCAACGATAGTGACAACCTTGATGCTGGACAAGTACATTTCTAGCTCGCCAAACCATCTGACAGGGAGAAGGTTGACTCCCGAGAAGACAACCCAGAAGATGGCAATGAAAATCCCAATGTTGAGGCTCGAGTTCCAATACTGAATGAGAATTCCCGCAGCCGTCAACTCTACTGCGAAGGTCATCGCCCAGCTGAACCAGTATATCCAACCCATTGCAAACCCGAGCGACGGGTCGACGAAGCGGGAGGCGTAGACGGTGAAAGAACCAGGGACCGGGATGTAACTGGCCATCTCGCCCAGAGACACCATGACCGAGTATACAATTGTGCCGACAAAGATGAACGCAATTAAGGTGCCGACCGGACCGGATGTCGCAAGAGCTGTGCCGCTACCGATGAAGAGACCCGTACCAATTGTACCACCGATCGCAAGGAACTGAAGGTGATGAGCTTTGAGGCCACGCTGGAGCTGCTGCGTGTCGGCAGCCTCGATATCGTGCTTTGAGCCATTGGACGAGGAATCCGATTTCTCGTTGGCAGGCTTGACCACAAGACTCGTGGTCTTCTCCATCGTGTTTTCCATCATGTTGTTGTTAAAATGTTGTTTCGTGGGTCAGTTTTGGTATTGTCCTGTCCACTAGCTGTTATATGGGCCCAATAGCCACGATACTATTCACGGATTGTACGTTGAGCATGCCCGGCTTGTCAAAGAGCGATGGCGCTCGAAGAATACTTAAGTACGGTCATCGTGCCTCCCAGTCCGTGCCTCAACGCGAGTTACTCACCCACAGGTCCGGCTCTGGAGCAGGCTTATCTTGCGTGGCTCCATACATTTGCCATTACGAAAATTTTCTCGTGCCGTGGTTTTATGAAAGTCTCTTCAGACTCTGGAGTAACGTGGGAATAATTGTATTGCGCTCTCGTTCTAGCGGCTAAAACCGGGGGCCGCAGTGATCAAACCCACTATTTATGAAGATCGACCAATAGGCGACGGTACTTGACTAAGAGAATCGCCTCACTACGGTCCGATTGAAATTTTCACGTAAGCGGATTGCGCCGTCGCCGAATCACTTCGCGTGGGAGTTCCTTTTCGATGATTGTGATCTGAAAAAAATAGAGTCAACGGTATTGGTCACGGCAGCTGGGATATTATCACCAAGTTGTGCAAGCTGTTCCCATGGCTGTGAAAAACGACGGAGCGGCCCGCTATATTATACGTCTATGGCCTGCATCGGACGCGCTCATGGTGCTATGTCATAAGATTATACTTAAATTACCGACTTGTGATTGGTGCGCCAAATTCACGCTTTTGGCGTTCGATCTATAAAGCAATCGGTGGACTGGAAGACTACCATACTATAGTATGTGCGGCGGTCCACGGATCCGTAATCCGGCACACTCCAGGTTCTAGCCTCATCCTTGATTGCTCCAACAGCTGCTCACTTGAAATCATCTACCGGCCCACTGAGCTGTCACCAGACGCCTTGTCTTATGATACTATGTATATCGTACCACTGAATCTTTGATCGCTATGTGTTCTAAAACACTAGTTTGCGCCGACTGGGGCAGAGCGTGTAAGATATTTGTGCCCGCTCCGCCAAAGTTGTGAAAACAGATTTTCTTAAATGTATCCACACTGGTCTGACTACTCATCGATCGAACTATAGAGTTGTTTGCATGCATGCAGTACATAGTATCAAGTCAAACTATCGCTTGCTTGTTATGGACTTATTTGTCGGGCCTGTAACTAGGACAGGATGCCACGAAAGGCCGAAAGGCAAAAGGGTTCTCAGTAAAAGGAAATTGAAAAAATTACGCCTATGTTTTGCACATACAGGCTACCTCGTAGAAGATGCACCTTCGCCAGAGCGTGCGCAGCAGGTATTGTCAATTACAATAGGTGCCGGCGGAGGAATAATAAGGCATGTAAAGGTGATAATATTGGATGGAGCCATCATACTCTGGAATGATCCGCGAGTAGCCTTCTAATGCTGTATTTGTACCTTTCATGTATCGTAGGCAGGATCCAGGTATATGAACACGTTACAAAGTCGGTCGGAGTTTCTGACGAAATCCGCAACATTCAAACACGGTAAACCTGCTTCTGGTACATCATTTGAAATGTGACAGTCTGGTTTCGCATCCTTGTCGTGACCTTCACGTTGCTACCACACATTCTCCTGTTCTCGGCCTGGCGACTCGCTGGCCAGCAGCAAATTAAGCAATTAATGTACGGCCCTGTTTCGCTATGACAACTCACCTCGCTTCAAAACCTAAATCAACAGGAGAAACTGAACAGCCTAATTCACGAAAAACGCATATCTTCGTTGTTGGTCGATGTAAGCTTTGTTTATAGTAAATACAAACAGTAATTAATATCTCTATTTGTCGGCTCCTGGAATGATCATCAAATAAGCTCATGCGGGCAATCTGGATGTATTTACGGCTTGCCTCTGGAAAATGATATTTGCTCAAAAGAATTAGCTCGCTGTAATGGAGATTACAATAAGTTTTTCTTCCAGCCCGCTATAAAAATCTAACAGGCCAATTTTGGTCTTCGAAATAGGACAAGGAGACTTCACTTACTTTCGATAGCAGTCAAGCAATAGAACAAAATGGACCATAACCAACAATTAATGATGCAGGAACTACTGCAACAAAACACTCCGCAACTGAGCCTACGGCAGGAAAATCTATTACAACCGTACCTGCCACAACAAAACATGCTGCAACAGAACCTGCCGCAACGGTCCATTTTGTCACAACAAAACATAACACGACAACTCAACATATTTCAGCCAAGCCTATTGGCACCACATAATCAACAACGGCAAACTAGCCTGAGGCGTGGGTTGTTACAACAAAATATTTCACAGCGTCAAATCGATAACACGTATATGACCCAGAGCCAACAGTCCGCGATGCTCCGACACCGTATTTTGCCCGAGCACAATTCAATGCTCCAACAAGCAACTAACAGACAACAACTGACTCCTCAACATCAGGTAGCTTCTCGGCAGCAAGTAGTGCTTCAACAACAACGACAACCAACACCTCAACATCAAGCAATGCTCCAACACGGATTACCAATAAAACAGCAACTTCCATATCAAGAGCCGCCGACGTATCATCAGCAACATCTGCTTCAACATCAGGTGTATGTATCCCGACGGACCAACTACCTGCGGAACAATATGACGGATCGTGTGACACACGGTCCAGTCGAACTGCCACCAGGACAGGAAGTGAGACTAATAAACGGACAAAGATGCATCTTCGATACTGCTACGGGACGGTCATCTACAGCGCTTCCACTCGACCTAGAGATTCTTGGGCTGCCTGAAGGCTGGGGCGTGAGATATACTCTAGAAGGTCAAGAGTATTATCTTCTGCACAGTGATAAGTCTTCAGCTTCACAGTCTTTTGAAGGCTCCGACGAGTTTGTCCAGAGATCCCTCAGCCAATCTGATTCAAGACTATCCAGCCGCCGCGTCCCATGATCTGGTATCTATTCATATAGAAGGGAGGCTCGTTCGAGCCACAAGCTGTGGAACATGAAAAATACGGTATGATCGGTACAGAACATATAATGTTGCCTATATCCACGCTCTGTTCGTGGTCAGAGGATCGGAATGTTATCTTGAGCACTTTGAACCACTAGTATAGTTAAAAGTCTCATAAGAACATCTGAACTCTGAAAAGAAGCAATTTTTGACTGGTTGCTGTGTGTGCATATTTTCGCAATCCTCTTGCACTCCATCCACATCACTAAATTTATAATATCTTGCTATAGTAGCGGCACTTTTCGGAGTATTTGAAATTGCAAATTCTGCACCCTCCTTCATGATTATTGACGAAAGCTCTGGATGTCGTGATTGGGTCGTAGTCTAGTAACCAAGCCCCCCTTGTCGTCATCCAGTTCCTTCCATACAACATTGAGATCCAGCCACGCTTCGCAACTACTTCGGAGGCGTGAACTGGATAGCAGTTACCAAATGCTTACGACGAACTTGCCCGCTCATTAGTTGGTAAGTCTTTGATAGTATCGTAAATCTCATTGTCAGCTGCCCCCCCCCCCCCCCCCCCCCCTTGAAACACCATGAGCGCGAAATAGGCATAAGTTTCGGGAGGCAATGTAGCGCCCATTTATCTACAAGAGCTACGAAACCTGGCAATAGCTTGGTTGTGGTTGTTGCTGACTTTGCAATCGAACAAGAAAATTGGACTGCTCATCTGGTGTGATAAATTTGCACATACTATGTGCTGAGAAAAACTTTACCGGCGACAGTGATTGCCCAGTGAGTGATACCTACAAGAGATGGCTTCGCAAGTGCTCTTGAGCATATTTTGAGGATTTGCGCTACTAGTCTAGTCCAACCAGAGACAGGGCCTGAACTGTGCATGTCAGAAGCTCAAGTCTTGAAATCGCGCTGGCGGTACAAGAATTAATTCAACAGTGAACGTCAGTGCAAAGCGAGACGGCGGAACAGCCCCAAGCGGACTACTTACGATATTCCTGGAGATGATAATTTCGGCGATTGGACTGAAATGGCCGTCCGGGATCGTACGGAGTAAGGCTATAAGTTGCCACAAAAAAGCGATGATGTCATGGTTTGCTACATAATCTATTCATCAATCTATGACTCTTTCAATCATCCAAGCAAGACTCTGTCTGCCAGTCTTGTCTCGTGACTCATAATATGTCATTCACAGATCAGACCAAATAGTAAGGCAACATCTTTTCTTGATCAGATGTAGTACATGGTGTTTGCCATGTTCTTGCAGATAGGTCGAAGCACCTGTCGGTCAACTTGGCTTTGACGGGCTGACTAGACGAGATTTGGCACAGCTCAGCCGCATAGTATACGGGATCGGTTGACGATTCGGCCTGAATTATAGGTAGACTTGCATCAACCTTGAAGCTGTACTCTGACGGGCGATTAGCATGAATCGCTATGAGGCAGTTGGTGTCACTTGCGTCGTTGATAGTACTCAGCAACAGTGATGTGGCCATCCTGGTAGGAAGCCAAGTGCTGTTTCATCGCGGGTGTGTGCTTCTCACTTGCACTTATATGAAACGATACATTTGCCGGGCCAAGAATGCTCTTAGCAATCGTTCCAGTGGAAAAAGGGAATGTATAAATGACTTTCACCTTGCAAAGTTGATGATCAAGGACCTTCGATTGCTTGAGGTAAGTAGTACACTCGTATGGTTTCATGTGAATGAAATTATGCATACAGGCGAGGTTGCGCAACTTGATCACATCCGACAAGTCTGGCTGCGTCTGAACACGGCGTAGGCTGTGTTTGCATTCGGCAGGAGTCTGCCCGTAGCTGGACGCACACTCTGGAAAAAGCCTCGATTAACCGTGAGCATGCTGCGTTGACCGAGATCTTGTATACCTTCAGAATCACCCGGAAGATTGATATTGAAGAATTTACCGCTCTTGAACGAGTGGATATTCACGTTCTTCCGTACCTGATGGTCAAGGATGAGAGCAGCAGGGTTGAGCTTCTCAGCGAATTGTGTAAAAGGGTTGGCGTCGGTAGCGATGTCCATGCTCTTCAGAACATTGAAAAGAGGACCTAGATCGATGTCCTTGTCATTTTTGAACTTGACTTTGTACTGTCTACTACTACGACCGCCAGGTTGTTCGATACTCACGACACATTGACCAAGTTCCGATCCCTCGAGCCGACGATTGAAGAGAACATTGCTCTTGAAATCTGAGGCAAAAGACACACCATTCGGGAAGAGCTGCTTGATTGCCAGTTCCATGATGGTCCTGAGCTGAGGATCTCGTGGCTGGTCGACCGAACCGACAAGCTCGGTTATGGTAATGCCATAATGCTGCCACTTACAGAAATAATCGCCGTCTACACCAATTTCGTAGTAATTGGTCACGAGCTTGATCTGTGTGCCCTGAGATCGGAAGGCTGATCGACATGTAAACACACCATCCTTGGACAAAGCAGTCTTCACTTGGGTGAAACCACCTTTGCTCTTTACAAGGCCCTTTGCACCTCCCTGGGGTCGTGCTCGGGCGCGGATTTAGTTGTTTTCCAGCGCAGTCACATCTTGTACTGAAGGTAAATGGGGGCCGCCTCTGATGACAAGGCTTCTGAAAGCCATATTCAGTAGTCTTTTGATAGATACAGGTTGCTGACTGCTGATATGCTGAGGAACTGAAAAAGACGGAATGACGGACAGAACTGCAGGGAATTAGGTCGATAATATACTTCACTCGTCGCAGCCATAGTCATCGTACCAAAACATGACTTTGCTAATTTGTTTGAGTTGTAAATCACATGTAGCAATGACAGAATGTTATTAGGTCCACTCTCACCGGTGCAAACGCTGGTGTAGCGGAAGGTAGCAGTAGCGACGCGTCAATATGTCCGTTGGAAAGGTTTGCATGCACAAATATCCTGAATTTCGAAAAGTTCTGGTTCCAACTCCACATAGTCTGCCGTTACACCCTTCCTTGCTTGACTCAAAAGAATTGCAGTGAAATTTGTTTGGCTGCCTTTTCAAAGCATAGTTTAAGGTTCACGGCGTAGCAGGCCGCAAACAAACCCTGCTTGAGGTGCTTGAATACTGCAGGCTCTTTTAAATTAGTGAGGCAGCAGGGAATCATGCGAGAGCGGTAAAGTCTCATTGGGATGGAGAAGGAAATTTGCATCAATCGTGGGTTGTCGGCTCAAATGATGCAACCTTCCAGGAATCATCCCTTAAAGGGTTGGGCAATCGAGATGTAATGACTGATATTGGTGTGCGGATCGAATAATATCTAGAGCTTTCGCTCCGTGATAGCCCACGAAGCTTCACAGATCGCCAAAAAAGAAATGAAAGGGGCCGAGAAAAAAAAAACCCTTTCCTATCAGGAGCTATAAGCATTATTAAAATCATATTGCGTAAAGAAATTTTGGGTGTCATTGGCTTAATAATTCATGTTTTTCGTCGTGGGCCAGCCATCTCATCTAGAATATTCCCAGCCTGCACCGGAAATATAATGAATTTAGACTGCAGTCTATCTCTGCTTATTTATTGTTTGGTCTTCCATTTACCTCAGCGCTCCTCCTGGCTATGCCGCCTTTCTTCTATGATACGTGTAAGTTCATTTAATTTCACTGGCTTTGTTAAAAACAAATCTATACCGCTGGCAAATGCCTCTTGCTGAGCGCTGGCCGATGCTAAACCACTCAAAGCGTAAACACTGCAACGAGAAAGCTTTTTCTCGCGTTCCAGCGCACGAACACGCCTTGTCGATTCAAAGCCATCCATGACGGGCATAGATATATCCATGAAAATACATCTGTACTGGCCATTCCCCTTTTCAAAAGCTTTGAGAGCTTCTAACCCATCAGATGCTGTGTCATACGCGTGACCCAGCTTTTTCATGTAAGTGGCAAGGATTCGTAGATTAATCGCGTTGTCATCAACAAGTAGGTAGCGCGCAACACGGTTCTGTATTTTTGGCGTGTCTACCGGCTTTTGGGTAGAAACTGGCGGAGCATCTGATGGCTGTTTCTCTGGCGTGTCCGTAGTTTCTGTGGGCACTTGATCCGCTTCTACAAAGTTTGTTTCCGTGGCTTTGAAGGGATCTAAAGGTTTGGGTGTATTGGATCGTTCGGTCTCATCGAGAGATTGTCCAGCAAATTGACGAGCAAACACATCGTCCAAATCTGCTATTGGTGATGGCCTTATTGAGGAGCACTTCTCCGTACAATCTGAAGGTACCCGAGTAGACAATGCTGCCTCTTGAAGTCTAGTCCAACGTCGGAAGCACTGAAGCAGTACTTTGGCCAGTTTCCGAGGGCCAAGACTACGTTTCGAGTTAGCAGATTCCAGTAAAAGCAATGGATATAAGAGCTTACGGCTGAGAGATGAACTCATAAATCCCACGACTAGAATGAGGACTAAACCTAGGCGATGTTGCCAACTGGCGTGCAGCTAATGCGCTGCGGCAGATAATTACAATGGGTGTTGAAGAGTCATTGCGTCCTCTTATAAAAATGTCTTCTAAATGTCGGTCGCCGCAGAGAATGAGATCCGGAAGAAGCTCTTGCGCTTCATGCTCCTCAATTACGCGCATTTGAAGCCAGTTCTTGCATACATCTGTCAACGAAGTATACTCCTTGAACAGGGCCATCTTTGCGGTGCCTTGGGATAACTGGTCTGGTGGATATCCTGTAATAGAAATACGAAGCCCCCGAATCTCAGCAATATGAGCGAGAAAATCCTCTTGTGCCTCGTCGCCGGGGATTTTGTTATTAGGTGGAGACGGCGGTACCTTGAGTGGAAGCTTCACCGTTATGGTAGACCCTTGTCCAACAGTACTTTCGACGCTTATAGCTCCTCCAAGTGCACTGACAATCCTCTTCACCAGGCTCAGCCCAAGCCCTAAACCAGCTGCCAGGCTATCCTCTTGCATAAAAGGTGTGAATAGCTCATGTTTAAGGAAATCTTGTTCAATTCCCCGACCAGTATCCGAAATAGTTAACGTGACCAAGCGCATGTTGGAACGCATCGTATGGGGCTTCTCTTGTGTAAGGCGTACCTCAACAAAACCTTGACTAGTAAATTTGAGGGCATTTCCAAGGATATTCATAGTAATTCGTTGGATAGCACCAGGCTGAGTATCAAACACCCAAGGCAAGGAGGCATCGATAGAGAGTGTCACCACGACGCCCCCCAATGCGATCCGAACATCTCCAGACTTTTCTTTATAAGAAGCCACATTCTCCACAGCCTGCATGCTGTCAAGCATACGCATCGAATCTACATCAGCATTGCCAGACTGCTTGTCTTCAACCATCCGCAGGACTGCCATTGTCTGAAAGCTATGGCCAGCGAATATGCTCTCAACGACTTGCTCGGCGATGGCACCGACATCAACATTCGAAGTGCGACTCATCATGCCCGCCTCAATAGATCGATTCGGAACATCAGTAGTGCCATGTGTTTCTTCGCTTCTTGCACCTCGGCGGCCGGTCAATGAATCTAGTTTGAATTTGTTGATCTTTGTCCAATCAAGGAGATGATCGATGGTGCCCATAAGAGTTCGACAGCAGTTCTCAATCGAATTAAGGACATCTCGCTGGAAAACATCAAGCTCAGTATCCTGGAGAAGCTCAGCACCGAGAACGACACCGTGTAGCGGCGAGCGAAGTTCGTGGGACAGAGAACCAAGCAAATCAGTCTTGGTCTTGTTGAGAAATGATTCCTGGGTACGGTGGATCTCTGCCATGAGGATGCTGGCAAAAGCGGAGAGATAACTCAGTTCTCCCTCCGATGTAAAAACACGACTGGATGTGTGGGTATAAACAAACCCACCAGAGAACCAACGTTGCCGATGCGAATCCCAGACTGGAATAAATGCCACACTGCGACTGTTGGGAAATACTTCGCCTATCCGCTTCGCCATGTCCTTACGTGAGAAGGACGTTTTCCTGTTATTCCTAGCCGGAGAATTCGGCCTTTCTGTTGATATTCGCGTTTGACCCAAAGGGGACCTCAAAGAATGCGTAGTGTCTTCGCCTTCCCCAGAAGAAGGCGAACCGTCCGAGTCGAAGTTGAAAATTTTGCCATTTGGATAGCACTTGATCAATCTGCTTAACAATCGCTCTGATATTGCTGAGTGACCTTCTGAGACCAGACCTCCATCGATGCTTGATGCCGATGAATTCGAGAAACCAAGGATACGACAAGGAGTATTGGTCTTTCTAGTAACTCCAAGATTTGATGAATCTTCACTACTACTGGAAGACGAAGAACGAAGGCCATGCTGGCCTACGCCACCGCCGAATGAAGATATTGAGGCATCTAGAAACAGCGCACCTTCGACCTCGATTGATTCCCTCAAGATGTTCGCAGCCTTGGAGAAAGTGAGCTTGGTTACTGTATCCTCTGACTCCTGTTCATCTGTGGGGAAATCCGGGTTGTCGGTGGGCACCTGGGATGGTTGGCCAAAGCTCGGAACATGGACATCCATGGGAACTTGAGAAATACTGTCGCCGTCTACTTTTCGCCGCTGCAGGGTTTGTTGCCTTGCGTTCAGGGATCCCTCAGATATTGTAGGATTATCCTGAAAAGATTCGGTGTCCGCGCCTCCTTGCCAACCAGCCAGACTGGATTCACCCTCTACGAAGGTACCGACCCCACGAACCATTCGATCTGCGCGGCGATGCCCGTCTCTTGATCGGAAGGCCGCGAGATAGTCCATGATTGCCCGAGAGATATCTTGCATCACCAGCACGGATGTGGCGTCAAGTTCCTCGCGCGGATCATCATCGTAGATACTTAAAACACCAATGTTAATATCTCTAGATGTGCGAATTGGTACACCTGCATAAAATCGATGGGGCCATGATTTGAAGTATGGATTATTGGCAAGCCTGGTAGAGGTGTCTTGGATGACGGACACTGGCAAATCCTCGCCCTGTACTTGTGTATTCTCAAAGTTCTGGAGAAGGACATGGTCACAAATGGCCACCGAACGTGGTACAGCAGTTCCGCAAAGCAGCAGCTGTTCCCCCTCACTAGCAGTGGCGGAAGGGTGCAAGGTCAGACGAGGTGTAGCTTCGGCGATAACATACTGCCAACGCTTGTCGAACAAAGAGACAGTGGCACGGGTAGCGTTTGTGCGGAGAGCAACAAGCTCAGCAAGGCCGGTGAGAATGGTGTCCCGCGATGTACGTAACGCTGAAGAGTTAATTAGAGCTGCATGTACTTGATGGGCTGATCCGGCAAGCTGGGCAGCAGCGTATCTACCACGGGAGAGGCTTGATCAGAGAGGACGCGCGTGGTAAAGGCAGTATTCACCAACTCACTTGTAGGTTTCCCTTTCCCGTGCGAATTCAGAAGTTACCCTGACTGCCATGACTCCAAGAACTCGTCGTCGTGGGATCCAATAGTAGAAGGTGGCGAGAAATGTGAAACAAAGCCAGATCTACCATGGGTCCAAGATGACGGACTAGGATACGCAGAAACGCACAACATGCGGCTGGGTGATAACTGCTATTGGCGCAAACAAGTGTGTAGGGCGGGATGAGACAATTCCCTAGGATTAATGTGTAACGACCCGCTGGGGCAAGTAATCTTAGACTTCAGCTGAAAGCGCTGTGGAAAGAGACGTGCAGTGGCAAATCGCGGATGGTAGATTTGCGAAAAACCATGGCCGGTTTGAATTGATGGAAAATCGCATTTCGATGATGGGATTGTGAGAGATCTCGATTATTAGCGGAAGGCCGATCGAATTCCTCGCAGTAAAGAAAAGACCAAGCTCCATCATAAGCCCCTCAAACATCAACTTTCAGAGGCCAGCAGCTCGAAGGACGGAAAGAAAAACAAGAACCCACCGACTGCGCACTAACCCGTGTTCATCTTAGCAGCAATAAGGCCTGCGTCTTGAAACTCTTCAGCAAAGCGTTCATGGCGGGCATGAAGACTTAGCTTAAGTTGAGTACCTACGCATTACGCCAATAGGAAAAACAGAGGGCCGGAGAGTGACGTTTAGCACCGATATTTTATTGACTCTTCCATATTCTCTGAGGAGTCGAGAAAATCTTCAAAGTATTAAACACTAACGGCCAAGATGGCAATGCCTCTCCTAGACTGGTACATGGGAAGTTGCGGAGGCAATCAATCCTGCGAGGCCGACGCAGAAAGGGAGAATTCCCAAATTCTCAAATTCCCATACCCCACGCGATGGCGAAATCCATAACCCCATCTAGAAATCGGGCGCAGATCTTGGCTCATGGTGCGGGGTGGACTCCGCAGCCCAACGATAGGCCCTTCTTGAAAATAACGTGTTACTCTAATTCGGATAAAAGTATACGAAGATTTAATGACAAAGTTAAATTATAATAAATAACAATAAATTTTACGTTTTATTTAATATTAAAGTAATAATGTTAGCTATAATACAGCGTGGGGCTGTTATAACGCGCATATATAGTGGGATAATAAACATATTAATAGCTTATTAACATTATTATAATTTATTATAACTTTAAACAAATAATATAAATCACCTTTTTTTAAAAAAAAATAAAAAAAAAGTATTTATGTTTATTACATAATAATCAAAAGTTATAAAGAAAAGAAAAAGAGTTCAAATTTTACTAGGAAATTCTTCAAAGAATGTGCGCTACATAAGCGGGGGAAAATGCTACAGGGCTTAGGCTTATATCGGCTCCGCCTAAGAACTGCTTTTTTTTAACTGGCTACTGATATTCGCCACCTCTAGGCCCTATGCATTGTTGTCGATCATGTGCAGGTAGACTTGGTAAACATACAGCAAACATAAGCTTCTTGTGTTTTTGAGTCAACTGATATATGCTCATTTCTTTTCAATTAGTTAAGCAATATGACCGCCGTCCGTCAATAGCAGTCAACAAATCCTCTTTCAGAGAATCAAATCCCGTTATTGTTATACCTACAAGTCTCGTCTATTCCGCCGTCTGTAATCTGCTGCATACCAAACCTGTAACTTGACGGAGTTATACCCCCCTCGTCGATTGATGAGATACTCCGATACGACTTGCAACCACTGTTAGGTGGGCAAGAATCCTTCGTTCATTTCTGAGACGTTATTGGGGTCGTTATTTGGAGTTCGAAATCATAGAGATCTCCAGTCCATAGCGATTCTTACACTTGATGTCAGGTTCGAAAAGGTATAGTAGCTAATCCGTCATAAATAAACAGAGATTGAGGTCTAACAGCAGTAGCCCGAACGATGATAACAGTAAATGGCCCATAACCGAGATGGGTGCTCCAAATTTCCCTGTCACCTTCGGACCTGGATACCGTCCGGCCACCCACACTCCTTTGTTGCGTATCTCGACGCCGCCAGTTCCAACAGCATCTCGGAACGATGAAGCGATTGTTCTCTCTGATCAGTTTATGAATCATGCTGGTCCATTGTCCTTAACATCAACAGAGAGCCCAGCTGAGGTACCTTTGGTGCGGGATGAGATTCGACAAGAAGGCATACAAGATATTCAGAATATCGTAACGACCATTGCCGGTTCGGAGCTGACGTACATTCAAGGGCTTCAAGAGTTACATCCATTGTTGGATTGGAATGTCTTGAACCAAGATGCCGCACGTCATATTCAAGAGGCGTCAGCATCTCAAGCCACATGTGATTATTGGGTGCAAGATACCTACGCTGATCTGAGTCCGTCCAACCCGAGACCTTTCGAGATATCCCAAGCCTTGCACAAACTCGCGATTCGTTATGCACCACAGGTCAACATTGACATGACGAACACATCGCAATCCTTTGTTGTAACGGACATGTGGCAACCCGACATGCCTATCATATATGCTTCTTATGGCTTTGAGACTATGACTGGCTACAGCCGTGAAGAGGTGTTAGGAAGAAACTGCCGCTTCTTACAATCTCGAAAAGGTGACGTCAAACCTGGTGCTAGTAGAGAGTTTGTGAGCAGCGCTTCTGTCTACGAATTGAAGGAGAAAATTGCCTTGGGCCAAGAAGTCCAGCATGTTATTATGAACTTCCGTAAAAGCGGTGAACCGCTGAAGAACCTGTTGTCGCTTGTTCCAATTCCCTGGGACACCATGGAAACGAGGTTCTGGTTTGGTTTCCAGACGGATTTGTCACAGAATGAAACCCCGTTAAACCTGTCATTGCACTCGCTTGATGATGGGTCACTTTTGCGTCGCAGGAAATTTCGTGTCCATCCCCGCGAGTCTTCAACTAGCACTAACCACGAGCTCCCAGTCACGAACGGCTCAGATAGCAGAGCTGTAGATACAGTCAGCTCGGCCACAGCGACGTCTCCGGTATCAGCTGGTCAAGTTGATGACATTGCAGATGTCAACCCAGTTCATGCGTCAGACACATTTACAGCTCTCTTGGCCTCGCTTGGCGCTTCCGACCTTCGAGAGGCGGTCTTTGAAACCTCAGCGTGGAACAATTTGTTGTTACACAACGCTGATGAGCTGATACAAGTACTCTCATTAAAGGGTACTGTAGTATACATCTCACCAGCTTGCCAGCAGCTCGGATACAACTCCACATTGCTATTGGGGAGCTCAATTGGGTCTATCTGCCATCCTTCGGATGAACTCGTTGTCTTGCGTGAGCTCAAAAATGCATCTGTTGACAAAGAGATTGATATGATCTTTCGTATTAGACAGCATTCAGGTGGCTATGCTTGGTATCACAACTATGGTTCTGTTTGGGCCGAAGGTGGGCGCAAATGGGCGATTCTTGTTGCACGGAGACTGGATGTGTTCTCTTTGAGCAAGCAAGTCTTAGGTAGCGTAGGCGGCCTAGGAGTACGAGACATTTGGATGAAGCTATCAACATCTGGTCTGGTGCTTTCTGTCTTCCCAAATCCCTTGCAGGCATTTGGCATTCCTGCTGACAAGCTTGTGGGGACCAGTTTCCAAGACATGATGGACAACGGCGATGATATAGGAATGTTCAAACACCTGCTAAACGAAGTCCGGACAGGCGAAGTTATTGCTTCGGCTGTCGCTATGCGAAGTGCTCGAGGCCATAGACTCGATGTCGAACTCACTTTGCATCCTGGCGATCGAGAACATTTACAAAGTTGCAGGCCATACTTTATGTTTGCTCAATGTCGGTTTATCAAAATTGCTTCAAGTAAAAGTAAGTTGCTCATATCCTTCAGTGGCAAAAGTTGACCAACGCTGACAACTTGAAGATAATTCAACGCCGTCTCATGTGACGCCGAAATGGTCCATAAAGAGATATACCTCTTCGCGGTGCCAAGATCCCGATGATAACCTCCTGGCGAAGCTCGAAGCAAATCAGTGCGGAGTCTGGCAGTACGATATGCATCAACTCGTAGCTGAAAATAACAGCTTCAAAACGGAGTTACACAACCTCGAGAAGTTAGCCAAGCAGCGAAAGCGATTACGACTTTCTGGTGATACCTTCCGTGGCTGTGCAAATTGCCATACGCGACAAACTCCGGAATGGCGGCGTGGTCCAAGTGGTCAGCGAGACCTTTGCAACTCATGTGGACTAAGATGGGCCAAATCGGTTCGTACACACACACACACACACACACACAGTCCCCACCCTACAGCGTTGAAATACATTTGCGAGGACAAGTTCTAGTATGACTCCAAATTTTAAACATCACGGAACAGACTGACAATCGTGTGCTTGCGGAGGGCACGATGCACCCTGCCTATTTGCTAATGTTAACACCCTAGATGCGGTTAGCTGACCCGAAACTGCAGCAAAGCAAATAACGAAACGTTGCCACGGATGGGTAATTTGAGTTGATTCTTAGAGTTGTTGATTACACGTGATTCTGGTACAAGCTATAAGGATAGCTTGGTGTTTTATTCAACACTAACACAGGGATATGAGAGGAGGGTTTCCTCGTCAAATGAGATTATGTGTTTCGAGCCTGCTCCTGCTGTAGTCAAGTTGGGGAAGCAATCTGTTATTTTGCTTTTGCTTTTGCTTTTTCTTGAATGACAACGTCCCATTCATTGTTTGTGCAGCCTGATACATTGAGTAAGTTCGTCTTCGCCTAGTATATTCCACGTAGGTGCGATTTCGGGGTGCTAAGATTCTCACATTGCCAGTCAAAGTCGACTAATTCTCAAAATGATTAGGTTATTGGTAAGATGACCTTTCAATATGTCTTAATAACAAGTTCTGAGGGATACCATGTGCTATCAGTAGCAAGCCCTTTAAATAGGGAATATTTGCAAATCTACAAGGAAACAAACAATGGATTGCTCCTCATAGGAACATAAGCTCCGAGGTCAAAAGGTAGTTTTGTATGTCTACCGGTACTTCCTACTTGTTATGACATCATACTTGGCCTTCGTTCATTAAGACCCTGCTGATGAAAGTGGCATTCTTATGCGATCTGGCTACAAAAAGGATCGTTATACAAGCCCACAAGTATAACATATCACCCTTAAGACTACTCTATCAACCACAAGGGTTTATTAATGTTGTGTTGGCTGCTTACAAGACAACCTGATGTCGTAAAAAACGAAGGGTATCATCAATTTAAGAGGGTGAAATGAATTGACTTTCTATAATTGAAAAATATGATGCAGAATTTGTCAGTCAGCTACTTGAAACACCGCAAATTTTAACCCATTGGTTTTGTCATAGTTCGTGGCTGTCTAGAAGCTTTGTTTGCAACCATAAGAGTTTGAGAGCATAAATACCAGCCAGGCATGCAGAGCTTGATATGGCGGGTCTGTTCCATTGTACCAGTAGGTTGTTTCTTACCATATATCAGGGGGTAAAATCATTTTGTAGTATGTCCCTACAAGGTTGATTGCCGTGGAGATCATGACTAAGATACGATTAGGAGTGCTCAGTCACTATGTATATTCATGATACAATAATCTCTGCCAACACTGGCCATATGAGTCTGGCGACAGACCCACCCCCGCATCCGCTACTCCTGCCCCGCGGTAATACCCGGCTCCGACACTCGCTCGAAACTCGTGAATCCTACACATTCGGATTAACTTTGCTTCAACTCGAGCAAGTATCTGTTACGAGTTCCAGCGACATCGACATCGCATATGAGTGTTATCAGAATACCACGTGTTTCGTGCTTGCAAAATCCCAGACCGATCTTACACTCAATTTTGCAGCTGCGCATACCTTCTAAGCCAAGACCAACTAGCACGATGGCTGACAAACAAGGTGCTCCCCAGCGGCGGCTTCGTAGGTTCATCTAATGGTCCAATCCATAGCTTTGACAAGATGACTGATATCAAACAGAAAGACCGGCCATCTTGTAAGCATGGTAGTCTTACTAGCGATGCGCCCCCAGCTGATATCTGTCTGCCTCATTCCACAGTGTTTGTGATCTTCAGGAGAAATTCCGCAACGCCATCTGGAATTTTGATAAAATGTGAGCATCGTATTTTAAAGCCTAAAGGAGATCAATCGCTGATGTATATATAAATCAGCCTTCTGACCTCTCAGAAAGTGCTCCGGGCTGCTCAGATTCTTGACATTCCAGTCTACGTCACGACACAAAGCCGGGCCAAGTTGGGCGAGACGGTCTCGGAACTGAAGCCCCTGGTCGAGAGGGCCACCGCCGACGTTGACAAGACGTACTTCAGCATGTGGGTTCCAGAGATCAGCAAGCATTTACAGTACTCTGCGCCGTCCGAGGTCGTCATCGTTGGCATCGAGAGCCACATCTGCATAACGCAGACGACTCTAGACCTGCTCGCCAACGGACACAAGGTCTACGTACTGGCGGATGGGGTGAGTAGCTGTAACAAGGAGGAGATACCCATCGCCCTGGACCGACTGAGGAGGGAGGGCGCCGTGGTGACGACGAGTGAGAGTTGGATGTACGAGTGCATCGGAGACGCGAGTATCGGCGAGTTCAAGGAAATCATCAAGCTAGTCAAGGAGACAACAAATGATACGAAGACAGCACTAGGCGCCATGCTGAGCAGAATCTAAGTATAGTGGGCGAGTTGAGTCAATCATCGTGAAGACAAATTAGAGTTTATGGTTCATATCGTGTCAACTAGAGAGAGTTGTCTAGACTATAGAATACGATTGTCATGTTTCTACCCGCAAGATCTATCATATGACAAGAAACCATTACTGTGTTAAAATTGATTAACAAGCGTCACAAATTCGATGCATCTCCGATAGAACACTAAGTTTAAATGAGAGCTGCCAGGCTCGGCAACTGTGACAACTTCGCTTTTTTTGCTTCTTTTTCCTCTTGCGAAAGGCCAGGTCGAGAAAAAGCCCAAGCTGACGGCGCAATCTTAAGTCTTACTCTGCCTCTAACATAATATTTAGACCGTCACTGATCTTCTAAATATGGTCAAGGATACTTGTTAGTAGTGTCTAGAATAGGATGTCTCGTTTCGGGATGTAAATTCCTTCGATTCTAATTTCGACCATGATTCATGATTTATCTACTGGAATGATCTTGAACCCCCTATATCCGTCTGCAATGATCGCAGCTTGTCGATCGCGATAGTTTTTCAATCCACCAAAGAAGAACAAGACGTTATGTTTCTTGCCAGGAATGTTTTCTCCAAAGACCCAACCGCCCGTTTTGTGGAGTAAACTGCCTTCCACGATCTTATTACTCAGCTCAGTCCATTCCTTTTCGGCTTCCGGAGTCGCTTCCACCGTAGCCTGAGTGCCCGCGTGTGCAATGAGGTTGGCGATGAAATCAACCTGGGCCTCGGTTTGTGGAGGAGTGTTGGTGAACGGATGATTAGGCCCAGAGATAGTAAACAGGTTCGGAAAGCCGGGAACGGCCACGCCGAGGTACGACGACGGAGTATCCGCCCAATGCTCCTGAAGGGTCTTGCCCCCACGGCCCCGAATCTTGATCTTCGTGTAGCTACCGGTGACGGCATCGAATCCGGTGGCCAGCACAAGTGCATCTAGCGGATGCTCAACACCATCGGACGTGACGGCGCCCGTTGGAGTCAACTCCCTGAACGGCGTCTCCTTCAACGAAACAAGGCTCACATTATTCTGGTTGAACACTTCGTAATACCCATTGTTACAGATCGGTCTTCTGGCGTAAAATTCCGTTGGAATCAGTTTGCGGACTGTCTCCGGATCTTTAACGGTCTCCTGAATTTTACTTTTGATAAAGTCGGTCGCAGCCTTGTTGGCCTTTTCATCTGAGGTAATATCCGAGAAGGTGGCGAACATGAACCTGAAGCCGTTGCCTTCGTCCCAAGCCTTCTGAAAGACCTGTCGGCGCTCCTCGTCGGAGACGCTGAAGGCGGGGGTTGTGCTCTCGGGAAAGCCGAAGGCCACGGCAGAATTTCGCACGCGGTCCCATATCTCATCGTAGTGCTCGTTGATGTGCGTGCGCTCTTCTTCCGTCACAGGTCTATTGCCGTTGGGAACGTTCCATTGCGCATTGCGCTGGAAACTGGTAACTTGTTTTGCTTCCTTTGCCAGCTCAATGAGAATTTGGCTGCCTGTTGAGCCGTTACCAATGACGCCTACACGTTTACCGCGAAAGTCATGGTGCTCTGGCCAGTCCGCTGTATGATAGAGATCTCCTTTAAAGGAGTCGAAATTCTTGATGTCCGGTATGTTTCTCTTGCTGAGCTGTCCTACTCCCGTCACGAGGTAACGTGTCGAGAATATTTTGTCACCCGAAGCCTTGATATGCCACAGATTGTCGGGCTCGTTAAATTCAGCTTCGAGTAGTGTTGTTTCGAACTGAATATGTTTTCTCAAATCGTATTTGTCAACTACATTTGCCAAGTAGGCCTTGACCTCTGGTTGTGTTAAGTAGTGGTTTGGCCAGGGATAGGTGCGTAGGTCCTCCTTATCGAAAGAGTACCGAAAAACGAAGGAATGCACATCTGACGACGCCCCCGGATATCGGTTCCAGTACCATGTTCCACCGACGTCTTTTGCGTTGTCTATCAATAGCACGTTCAGGCTGAGTTGTCGCAGCTTGTAAAGGGCATATATGCCAGAGAAGCCGGCGCCGACAATAATCGCGTCGTAATCAGGAGAAATGGCCATGATTTGATCTTGAGAATACCGATTGTAGATGTAGAATACTAGTCCAGAGGAGTTTGGATCCGCTGGGTTATGTAGCTATCGTTTTGCGTGTGTTTTCGGGTATGTCGTGATTATTGAAGCCGGCGCTGCGGCAGATCACGCAATATTAGCTCCGTAACACGACAGGCATCACGGCATGGCGTCACGAAACGCCCACCGGACGCTGATCATGCCACGAAATCTTATTACTTGGAAACTCAAATTATGACCAGCTTCCAGATTGCAGTATTTCTCGGGTACAGTAAGCATAATGATAGCTGTGCATAGCGGGCTAGCGCACTTGTTCGAGGGATAGCGTTCCGCCATTGCCCCATTTTCAGGCGATTGCACCAGCCGAAGAACGCTAAGCGATTCTCACTTTGAACTGCCATCGTATAGACCACACATGTCAGGTGATGAGCCTCGAGAAATGAACACAAGGCATCTCAAATACAAACATGAGACATTCGGGTTTACGAGCTTGATGTATTTGTGGGAGGGATGCATGGGTATTCCTATAGTAACTCATGGTCTCATTACTGGGAAAAGAAAGGGAACAATGTACGAGAAGATGACACTTTGCGTGCGTAGTCGCGTCTGGTGGGAAGCAGCACCGAAGCATATATCGTAATCTATCACTGTGAAGAACAGGCTGTGCGTATCAGCAGGCACCACTGTTGATACCCTAGAGGAACGAAGTTCGTTGTCACCAACGTTGTCTCGAACCGAGCCACAAAAGGCGTAACCACTACGGTACTTGGTGTCGGCCCCGATCGCGAAATAATCCCCATTACCATAGGTTGCTTCTGTGTTGGGGAAAAAGTAACCGATGTCCTTGGAATGCCATCCGGCTGTTGCCCTTCGGCGTTGTTGTTGGCCGTAGGGCAAACAAAACGGGAGGACCACACAAACTAGAATACCTGGCTGTTCTTGACTTGAATGTTATGTATCTTCTTGAGCGTATTCATGGCTGCACGGAATGGCTTGGAGTTGGTGGGCTGCCCTGCGGGGTGGAAATCCTTTAGCGTGTCTGTGATATCCTCGCCATCCACAAATCCCTTTTTGGGGGTGGCTGTCAGGATCTTCTTCCACAAGTCCAATGCGTCCTTCGCGCCGCTTACGGTATTTTTTGTTGTTATTGCCGATGAGTAACAACTCATTGAAGATTCTAGAGTTGCCATGGTATGCGACTGGTTTCAGCGCAAGGTCTCCCGACGCGTCGACTATGCCATCGTTGATGTGTTTGTCTTTATGGGCCTCATCGTGCTCGTATTGAGCGAGGTCGATGTCCCCGTCATGGTCGTGCTTCTTGAAATGTCGGGGAATTGGTTTGTCGTACCACAGCATGATGGGTGAGGTAGGTGGTATGCGGCGGAACGCGCAGATTCCAGGTCGGGGGCCCGCATATCGTCGCGCTTACACCCATCATTCATGAAGATCTACTCAAACGAGCTTCGTTTCGAGGAGTATTGGAAACTTTTTCCCTATCTGTGCTTCATAAACTCCACCCCTTAAACAATACACCCGCAAAGCATAATAATTCTTGTCTTATTATGCCAACGAAATGTTTGAGCATTAAGGGTTACGCTGCCGTTCACATCCTAAGCATGATGAACGGATTTTTTTCATAGCTCGTGTGAATTCCATCCTGGTATATATCGAGTGGAGCGTAGGGACAGTTTAGACCTATCTTCAAATGCAAGGGGACTCCAATGGATAATCGTATGCAGCGTTCCAGTAAGCAGTGTCAAATAGATTGTCGTCATCCCACATTGTTTGAAAAGCATCGGGATCTAGTGAAGGAGGAATATCGAGACCATATGGAGCACCATCAGGAGCTAATGGCGAGGTTGTTTGAGTGACTGCTGGCACGGTCGCCGAGGGGTCCGGCATGGCTTTGAGAACAGATACGACTCTCTTCAGGTTGGCTGCCAACTTTTGGAATGGATCCTCGTATATCCGCAAGCCTCTAGGTTCTTTACCGTCTGGCCGTGGCTTACGACGCTGAAGAAGAATCTCAAGCTCACCAATCTGTCGTTCAACGAGCACACCGAGCCCAAGATTTTGCCGAACCAACGAAAGGTCCCAGCCGGGTGCTTGGAGAGTGATAAGCTTCAGACAGGTGATAAAAGCATACATGAAGTCGACGGACGCTATGCACAGAAACCTAGGCCATTCGGTGGCAATGGACTTCTTGAAACGTAGAGCCAAGAATGACTTTAAAGAACCCAGTAGCGACCAAAGCAGTTCAAGTCGTTCCTTGCCTTGCAAGCTGTCGGGATCTGTAGGAAACCCATGTATACCGACCTCATACAGGAGGCATTCGGCAATGTGGACATGTGCCATGAGGCTAGCTAGGAATCGATCAGCTCAGCTATTCTAGGTGAAATCATAACTCTTACTGTGATCTCGAAGTGCCACCGATAGTGATGCTTTAAAGCTCTCAATTTGTGCTTTAAAGCACCTCATCAACGCCATAAAGGGAACAACAGACAGGGCTGGACCAGTACCTGGTTGCACCATAAAGCAAATACTATGTGCTAACTTCTGTACTTTGATCATGCTAACCAGTAGCTCATCAGTTGGATGTTCGACTCTGTCTTTTAGAGCTCGGCATATGGTCTCAAGATGAGCCGTGCTCATCAAGGCGTCTGGCCTTCTGCTGGTGGTGAATACACTGTTACATATTAGCTTATTGGTTCCGCTATTTGTGAAATAATACCCACGAAGTGATCAAGTAATAGGTGCCGGCATAAGCTCTCATCTGTTCGAGTCGGTGTGCTTCACAATTCATCTGCTTCGGTCCTAGCCAGGTTTCGTTGAAGCCAAGACTCAGGCAAAGGGATCGCGCCAGCCCTAGTAAGTTTGTAACTTGGAAGCTGGTCAGGCCATGATGATACCTGCACGATTCGTAAGCTTTGTGCCGTCTGAGAAACTACAGTTGTATTTACCATGCAATGTACAGTAACAATCCTTGGAGAAGATCGAGACTTTTCTTAGGGCGGAGCAATAGGGCTTCACTTAGGTCCTCGAGTAGTTGCATTCCAAATTGCACCTGCCTAAAGCCGTCGAGGGTGCAAGCCTCCAGCATGACTGCTTTCCATAAATATGGTCGCTCTTGGTGAAGTTGATCTGAAGTCACGTCCGCCGAGATCATGACGAATGGGAAGAGAGGCATCATCTCATAGCGGTATTTGCCCAGAAGGATGTCTGCCTCTTCAGCTTCGGGCCATGCAACAATTTCCGTGTTGTCGGTCTGCCTGTTGTCAGATACTGATTGGGGCAATCCTCGTTGCGGCTCAACAGCCTCCTGCAATGCCATGTCATTTTTGTCATTTTTGTCACCTGGAAACAAATAGTCGTATGAGATTAGATGTCTTCTCCTGCGCTTGGTCCCTTGGGAAGTATACCCAATAGGGGTTTGAACTGCACGGAGTTGAGAGTTCAAATCCTTCAATTTTTGTTCCAGCATGGCAGTTTTGGTGTTTTTTTTCTGCTTTCGTGATCGCGGCGGCGCTGGAGTTTGTTGCGAGCATGGTTTGCCCAAGCGATTACATCTACAGCATGTGTCAGTACAACTTCTCTGCTTAATTGTTCTTCGTTGATGTCTGGTGCAATTTCATCACGACAGACTCAACCTTTTGACAGATATGGTATATAATGTAAGGGCGTGACAGGTTTGACGCAGTAAAATGAAAACAAATTGCAATCGCTCAAATCTCAAGTCGCGCACTTAAACATCTTCACCTTCCCCTGTACGTGCCACAATCGCCGAGCTCAACGACAGGAAGAGAAATACAGGCCAATGTATTTGCAGGTAATCATAAGACGTGGCGTAGCATACCTCTCGCATTTCGAGGGATTCGTGCATTGAACACATCTGACTTTTGCTTTTGCGCAGGTTGTACACGCTCGCGGGCCTACGTTATTCGTCCCCATCACTTTAATGCCGTCCTTTCAAAGTCGCGCCGTTATGGATGGAAATTACTTCTGTAAGACACTATGAAGTGATATACCGCCTATAAGGAGTAGTGGCAAAAGACTAAGTTTGCATGCTATTATTGCCGAAGGATTCGTTGTCCTCAAGTTAACTAAGCTCGTTGATGTGCGAAGTCTTGATTCCATAAGCACTCTCCGACTCCAACGGAGACGGACGATCCATGTCACTCCGTCTCCGTTTGGTGCCGCTGAGCATTCCTCAATTCTGCCCCAATACCCACCTTGCTTGTTTAAGCGCTGTGAGATCTGCGACGCGCAAGTAAGCCTTCCATCCGTTAATCATCCATCCGTCATCTTACTTGACTTTATAATACCAGGGACTATCTATGTATACATCAGCACTGCATTAATTTAACTTCGTCGGCTCTGTTCCTGCACTATGGAAAGAGCTTATTGAGTTTGGCTCATTGGACGAATTCAGTAGTGATTTCACAAGCCGACCTTGAAGGAAGTCCTGCAGATCTCCCACGTGCACTTTCGTGAACACGATGGACGAAAAGAAAACAAAAGGCAGTCATTGTCAAGGATCTTATTGTGATCAACACATGGCCAACCAAGTCTATCCTAATGTACACAGTAAAAAGAAGAAGAAGAAGAAGTAGAAAAGGCCAAGTCAGCCGCATTACAAGAACGAAAAGGATGCGGAGCATCAAAACAGCTCCCACTACGCATCCGTGCAGGTGAGAAACACCAAAGCCAATCCACATTGTTTGTCCTCCGCAGAGGTATCAGTCCATCCGAAACGCCGTAAGCATTATCGTGCTTTCCACTTCAAATTAGAAGAAGAGAGAGAATAGCAACCAGCATCATGACACAAGCGCTGCCGGCAGCGGTAGTTTGAGTGCCGCCAGGACCACCAATGTCGAAGGGGCCCTTGGCACGCTTGGAACCAGCCGAGACCGGGACGGATGGGACGCCGGTGCTCGTATGATTGGCGTGAATGGTGTATGTGCTCTGAACAACTACAGTAGTACCTGCGGGAGTACCTGTACCGAGTGTGCTGATTGTAGTGCCTGTGCCGACGACGGTGTAGTAAGTAACAGCGGGTATATCGACAGTCAACTGAGTAGAAGTGCTCAAGTCGGAGATGCTGTGGGACAGCAAGCTGCTGCTCGAGTAAGAGCGAGCTTCGGAACCTGAGGCGGAAGCAGTTGGATATGTAGTCAAGCCCGTGTCGAGGGTTATAGTTTTAGTGGTCTTAAAAATATCATCGGAGATCACAACTGTTGTGTTCGGGGAGATAGAGATAAGAGGGATATTGGAATCCGAGACTCGACGACCCCAAGGGCTGGGAGTAGAGGTAGAAGTTAATTCGATGGTCGAACTTGGAACATTCTTGATAGTGATCTGATCGGCATTAGGCACGACGGTAACGGTCTGCATAACAGTCTGCATAACAGTCTGCACAACGGTAGCTGGCACAGTGACAGTCGGGGTTGGGGCACAAGTATCCGCAGCATGGGAAGCAATCGAAAGAGTCAGGATGATTGTCTCGGTTACGACTGGGACAGAAATGGTCGTATCTGCGACCTGTGAAGTGCACGGGAGAGTGACTGTGATTGTCTCTGTTACATCGTGGGTGGAGACAATCGTATCTGACAGAATCACAGTTGCGCCCTGAGCTGAATAGCCGCCAAGGTCAGAGGCAGTGCTCGTCTTTGTAAGAGTTAAGGTTTTGGTTGGACCGGAGTTGCCAATAGTTTCGGTGACAGTTGTGCTAAAGGGCACATCAGAGGAGGGCTCTGCGGATTGTGTATCCCCGGTGGGAAAATATGAGAGAGTCCATGTCTGTGTAGAGGTTGACGTGGCGTCCCAGTTGGTGGCAACAATGGTTGTAGCGTTCACGCCCACGGAGGACTCTGCAGTCTGTGTAGTCGAAATTGTATTCAGACTTTCGGTGCATGTGGTGCTCAGAGTTGTGGAGGCTCCGCTGACAGGTGTGAGAATAACCATTGTGCTGATGGGAGACGTGGTGAATAACGACAAGGCAGTGGACTCAACGACAGAACCGGTGAAGCTGACGCCATCGTTGCTAGGGACATGTCAGTAATCTATTCGGCATTGGAAATAAGAACTTTTTTACCTGGTAGCAGTTGAACCCGAAGATTCGGTGCAACTTGTGCTGTTGGTAGCCGAAGTAGAAATAGTGAAACCGACAGTACCGGCACTGGCAGTGGGGCCAATGTCTGAGGAGAGGGTCAAGTTCCAACCAGCAGAGTTTGAGGGCCAAGACGGAGGTGCGCCAGTGATACCTGCTGCAGTTCCTGTGGTGATAGTCGAGGCGGGCAAAGGTATCACGATACCAGAAACAGTAACGGTGATAGGATGAAGGCTGGACAGAGTAATGGTCGAATGTTTCTCAGATGAAGCGGTCTCAGTCTCGATCACAGCGCCAGTCGAGGTTACTGTCGCCGTGTTGGCAGTAGGTGTTAAGGTCAATGCGGTTGCATTCACAGTGATTGTGTTGTTGACGCCGACAGTAACAGTAACAGCCGAAGGACTGACACTAGACTGAACGGTGGGAGTGATTGTATGGTTGCTCTCACTGGTGATAGTCTTGGTGATAGTGGACTCCACGCTAGGCTGCATGGGTGAGACGGTTACAGGAATACCTGGAGCGGTCTCGGAGAAGCTCTCTGTGGTGCTCATTGTGATACCTACAGAAATGCCAGTCTCGGTAGCAGTGGTGACGACAATGGTTCCGACAGTGGCAGTAACAGAGGTTGTGACATTAACGGAAGGGCGGTAACCGTAAGAGTAAACCTGTCGCTTGCGCAGAGCATCCTGAGCCATGTTAGTGGTAACAGGAGAGATGTTGCCATCATTGACCCAGCTCTTGATGTCATCGAGGGTTTCTGCCACATTCTTAGCATCGTATGCCTGCGAAGTAAGTTATCCGAATGACTTACGCATATGATTAACATAGCAGATGCCAGCAGCAATGCTCATGCCAGCAAGGACGCACAACAAGAGAATGCTAATCATGATGGAAGCACGCGGTCGCTCTGTTGACAACGTATCAGCAAAATAACTTTAGATAAATATAACGCAATGCAAACTTACGACTGCGCTTCTGATTACTGGTACCGCCACCAGCCATGTTCATCTTCAGAGTGGAAACGTGGCTGAAGTCGGAAAGATCATCACGAATGTTAGGTGGCATGGTCGTGCCACGCTTTGCAAAGAAAGCAGGCATTGTGGTTTAGTGCGCGTGATGAAGCTGAATTTGAATCAGTATGCACTCAAATTATGATGAAGAACGAAAGAGTTGTAAGAAGAAGAAGGATGGTGTAGTGAATATGTGAATATGCGATGATAGTGGGGTGGGGAGATGGGTGGTGGTTTGGTTGAGCTTCAAAAAACGGAAATCACGAACGGAAATCTCTCCGAAATAATAGTTTAGACGCGTTTGCTAAAGCCTAAATTTACGCAATCAAAGGTTAGAGGAGCTTACCAGAAATCGAGAGACTGACTAGAATCTTGGTTGTGGAAAGGCAATGATGTTGATGATCGAGAACAAGTGTAAACACAAGAGCCTGTGTTACAATGGCCAAGCGCGGTCTGGAAATGTAACGAATGAATGTATGTGTCAACTCTTGGTGATTTTTGGCAAGTTCTTCCAGAAAGAACGATTGTTGTGGCTTGAGGAAAAGAGTGAATGAATGAATGGTTGTGGTGAGAAGTGATTGTTTCCGTCGGTAGATACGTTGCTGTGGAAAATCTTTTTGGTGCCAAAACACGGTTCTTCTGAGGCAACAAACAGCTTCGACTTGGCCCAGAACTAGGCTTCTGGGGCATACAATCTTGCACACCTGAACATCAACATGGCCATTGGGGTTCAGACGGGGGTCAGGAGAAATGCGACGAATGCATTTTCAGGACCATGTTCACTTCTCTTCCGAGCTTTCATTAACCTTACGCTGACTCTGAATGACGCTTCCAAAGTCGGAGTCATGCTCAAAATATTGTTATCTAGTTGACATACACTACTACCATGATAACTTCCACTACGGCATTACGAATATGCTTTACCTAGGTAGCAATTGTAGTGACATGAATCAGAAGCACTGCCGATCTCCCGTGTCTCCCTATATAGATATTGATAGACATATTTTGATACCGTTAAATGGCACCATCGAAACTGTTACTCAATCTACATTCCATTAGTTGAATAATTGAACTTGGAACGGACAGTTTGGCGCTATCGTGGGATATTTTGACTAATATATTATGCTATTCTCGTATGCAGAATCTATTACAGTACCAACTCATATTTAATTGCTGTGTTCAATTCTTTTGATACTATATTCATGACATGAGACAAACTTCGTACATATTCGTGAAAGTAGAGTAGTAACAACGGGTCCATTATAATTCCATTGCGTGTCCTGACCCGGTTATTTGCACTTGGCCCGGTAAACCAACATACTTATTCGTGCTCCAGATGTCACGATTGTTCCATGTTGTTTCTGTGGCAGCGAATCCACTGTTCATCGACTGGGTGCTCACCAGCAGGAGTGCCTGGTGTCGAAAAAGTATAAAACAGTGAACCCGATTAGAGTCTCCCATCATGCCCATGCTTGAACAATTAAGTACCCATGTGTGTTAACATGTGCCATACAACAGAACAGGCTAGCTTGCTTAGTGATTAAATTATTCTGACAATATGCTAGGTGCTGTTGCAGGAGTCCGATCAGCTCATGTAACATAGCATGGAAAATGGGAAGATCGTTAGGTCGAATCCGATTTGGGCCATTGAGCTTGTGCTCTTTGATTATTGCTTCACTCAAGGAGACCTTTGTGTAGTTGCGTCTTTCGGGTTGGCGGTTAACAGTGCTGGATGCGTAAATTGATTATCGATATCTCGCGCTTCTTTAGTTTATAGATGGGAAAAAACTAGGACTTTTAAAAGCAGCAACGTTTATATTGATGTTGTAAGTCTTGCAGTATTAGAAATGCAAATCAGCACACCTGACCACCGCCGCGAGTTACAACATTATAATATAGCCAATTAGAGCAATCCTGTGAAGCGGAGATATTTACTCAAGTTGAATAAAGTCCACGCCTAGATTGTAATTTCCAGAAGAAGAAAAAAGAATACCAGGCCGTGTATCAGTCGACATTGCCCACCTCCGACGGACCGATGTGTGGCTACCGCTTTCTAATAAGTTATATGCAGTGGTGATTTTGGTGGTTGAAATAGGATCAGTAATGAAATTTGTATCTAGACTAGACGCGCGTCCTGGATAACGAATGTCGGAATATGGTTAGACCCGTACTTTTACGTACAAATTTGGAAGGCGATACTGAGGCGTTGTCGCTTGGAGCTAAGCGAATGCACTCCTGTAGTTAATCTGCAAAGTCACATCGGGGCGGTATTTGAAGCGAAGCGATCTACTGGCCACCTTTAATTCACAATGCCACTGTGACATTATGAAAGCACAATAGAGCGATATAGCGGACCTTCCTGGCTGATGGTGGATATAAATAGAATTGCTGGGAGTCTATATCGAGATAATTCAGCACATTGCAAACCGCCACATAGGCGCGGGCGTCACAATCTTGAATGTAAACAAAACTCAGATTCTGTATATTGTACTCTGCCTAGCTGAAAAAATTCTGTTTATCGTGCCAATGTGGAAAAAGAAGGCGTTGCCAAGCATTGGGTAAAAGGGGTTATGTGACCATATACAAGAAAGCTAAGAGAGCTTCTGTATATGGTCTACGGAGAATTGAAGAGCCGCAGCAGGTTGTGTAAAAATTGTGTTGTTACAAGTAGGCGAAAAAGACTGACTTGCACACAGTGGAAGCCCCCTCATCTCAACACTTGTAGGAAAATCCTCCTCCCATCTATCCTTGACATGCAAGTGGTTTCCTTGTTTTCTTTTCTTTTCCGAAGCCGGGAAATGCAGGTCTGGCCGTTAATTGTCCGGCCATAGGAAGACACTTGGAAGTGCCGCTTATCGAGTTTCGATGTCCTCCGGACTCAGTTGATGTTTGGATTTACTGAGGAGGAGGGAATGGCTGTGGCAATCAGTTAGAAATTATGTGTCTTGGCGATGTGCTAGGTATAAAACTGATGGGAGTGCGTACCTTGCCGGTTGGCTTAGGACCAGGGCTGGTGGTTATAAAAAGTCAGTAAAGTTTCGAAAGCAATGCTCCACAACATGTACTTACGGCTTGCCAGTAGGCTTGGGGCCGGGCTATCTCGCGGGTCAGCATTTTACGTCTCTCTCATATCTTCCGTGTGAACTCACTGGCTTTCCGGTGGGCTTGGGGCCGTCCTGGCGGCGTTCAAGAGGCTTGCCGGTGGCTGCAAAATGTCAACGTTTAGGCCTGCGTAAAAGAGGTTTGGGTGAACGAACGCTTGGGGCCAGGTGCTAAATCATAAAGGTCAGTATTACTTCTTGTCTCACTTGACCAGGAAATGGACTTACGCTTGCCAGTTGGCTTGGGACCCTTGCTGAAGTCAGCAATTTGTCATGTTTCATGTAGCATGTGTTTCCAACTCACAGGGGGCTTGCCAGTGGCTACATCATATTAGCAAATCCATTCGCAGTGAATTAGTGGTATATCACGTACGCTTAGGTCCAGGGGGCTTTCCTGTTGGCTTCTGGCGGCGGACGAGACCAGTGGCTGTGGGCGTTTTAGCAATCGTTTTTCAAAGAGGCGATGGTGTGTTGACTAACGCTTGGGAGGAGGGGGGCCTGGAGGCTTGCCTTGAAAGCGAGCGTTAGATAAAGTTGACTCTGAAATTTCTAGATATGCTGAACTTACCGGTAGGCTTGGGACCGCTAGGGCCGGATGGCTTGGGTGGAGGCTATAACCACACCATGTCAGTTTGACTTGACTCAGTAGCCATGAGCATCAGACTCAGCCTCTTTGGGAGATGGAATTTTGGTGATTCTTGAGGTATACGTACAGGGCCGGGGGGGCCAGAAGCTGAGGTGTTATCAGTATGGGCTAATTTGTCGAAAAGGATCGAGAGGTCTTACGCTTAGGAGGCTCCGGGAAACCATCACGCTTGCTGGGGGGAGGGGGGCCGGGCTAGAAAGAATGGTTTTAGCGACTGCTTTCTTCTGCCTTTTCTTCTTCGTCTTTCCGAAAGAAGGCTTGGTAAAGCTTCATAATTATTGCTAGGGTCACAGAAGCCCAATAGCATGTCTCAAGTACATTATACTATTGACGCATGGGGAACAAGAACCTTCTAAAATGCACTTACGGGGCCGGTGGGCTTCGGAGGAGGAGGACCACTCGGCTTTGGGCCGGGAGGACCCTATATCAAGCGGAGTTAGCGATCATTGCTTCAGATAGTCGGATTTGTGCCCAGGAGCACTGTAATATGCCTGCACAGCACAGAACGTTGTACGGCAAAACTCGTCGCCCAGTACATGCCATAAGGAAGAGAAATAAATGGGTTACTACTTACGGAGGGCTTTGGGGGGAACGGGGGCGCCGAGGGGAAAGGGAACGGGGGTTCGCTGGGGAACGGGAACGGCGCGGGAGCACTTGGCTCGGGGCCAGGTTGAGGCTCCTGAGCAACGGGAGCAGCAACAGCAACAGCCGCGAGGGCAAGGGAGAGAAGAGAGAACTTCATTTTGTTGGCTAGGAGAGAATGTATCCTAAAGAGTGTGAGGGAAGTAACCAGTGTGTGCGTTGGCAGTTGTAAGAATGATGAGACTAGAACGAGTGCAAGATCTGATTATATATTGAATATTGAAGTTGAAGATATGAACATTGCCAACATGATGACAAGGATGAGCGCACTAAGGTTGCACATGGCGAAATATAGTAAAGCACTAAGAATTGCCGCTTAAAATCCCCGTTAGGCAGGAGAAGGTAGATGGACGCGTACTCACTGCTACTGTCAATGGAACCTCAAATACCGACAACTAGGTATGATGCTACCGCTAGCTTCTAAGAGCGGAGAGATTGATTGGAGAAGGCTAGATCATCATATGTCGTCAGATCAGAGACAGTCAGGTTCTAGAAACCTGGACCGTATGCCGACGTCTAACAACCTTGTGATGGTTATGAGATCGTGTCATTCCGCAACGCAGGCACGCACGCTGTTGGAAGGCAGTTCAATGTAACGTGCAGGGCGAGAGATGGACAATTAAGGCGCTTTTACGTTGCATTGCCAATCTAACAGGCATGGTAACTTACAGCTCCCAGTCAAGTTAAAGGACCGACTTGGTGAAGCGTCACAGCAAATGAGATGCGTGAAGGATGATGTGTTCTGATCTGCGGACGCTGACCGCGGCACAACTCCTTGGGTAGAATTGATTGTCACACTTTGCGATGGGGATGGGCTCAAATGGTATAGATTCATGCCGGTAGCTGATCAAGGTTGTGGTCCCAAGTGCGACAAGGGAATGTGTATAGAGTTGCATTCAAGGTTAAAAGACTAAATGTGAAATTGCCGGGATTGATAACTTCCACAAACATGGAAAACGGCCGTTGTGGAGCGCGATTATGCAGGCTGAGCAAGGAGCAGCAGTACAAGACATGTTGAGCGTGCCAAGGATGACTGCCGTCCCTGGATGCGATAGATCTCTGCTGACGCGATCTGATGACAGAGTTACGAGCATCAGGGGGGGGTTCAGAATTCGATGTTCGCGAGATCTTGGCAGGTATAAGAGTTCTGACGGTATAGGGTGGCCTGGAGTATGCAATCAATATATTAGGGCGGGTATTTGAGGCTGAAGAGGAAGGAGGGTTGGGAGCACCAAGCAGGCAGGAAGCACGGACCAGAGCTTCCGGGGACTTGTTGTAAGCTGGAGCAGTACCTAACAATACCCTAAGGTTAGAGCAATAGCGCATCGATAGGCCCTCCGCTCCATAAGTTACCATGGTGAGGTTAGTGAGTTGACTGGTAGTCGGGTTCATGCAGCTAAAGCCACGGGCGGGGTCTGGCGCGTTAAGTAAGGCAGGCAGGCAGGCAGGCCCAGATAGGCCAAGGTAGGCATTAGGTAGCACGCGCCTTCCCCATTGGCAGCTGCTCCAGGCCAAAGAAGTCGCGTCAAGACACAAATCTCGTCCCACTGATCTCATCCTCACATCGCATCAACGCCAGCAATCGCCAGCAATTGGTGTTGCCCTCAGGCTCATCAACACACGCCTCTCTCAACACCTCAACACACCCCCATCACGCGTGAAACTCAGGAATCCGGACCAGAGCCAGAACCGCAATCACAGTCCGCGTTGCACCCTTCCCTGCGTGTGTTGGACCACGAAGGCCAGCGAGGGCAGGTACCAGGCACACACACGACCCGGACCATACGCGCTGGCTAGAGGCAACAGAGCTGTCGCAATTGTCCAAGGTTGGAACCTTGCCTCTGCCAGCACCACTCGTACATACGATCGATCGCCCTAGGTTAGGTAGGACACCCTCGGGATCACACGTGGGGCCACCGGTAAATATTGTCAATTTCCGCTCGAAACCACGTCAACTCAAGACACTCCTATACTGTTCGCCCACCCATCCGCCTGTTCGTTCCGAAGCCGTCACAATGGCCCGAGCGAGGGACGTCCCGGCCGAGGAGGAGGACCAGGAAATGGAGGAGGAATTGGTCGCCTTGCAGTTTGACGAGACACTATCATGGCGGGCGGGTAAGCCCATTCCCACCGGCACCCTCCTGAAGAGGTTGGAGAAGCTATCACAGGAGCTTGTCGACATGGATCAGGATACTGTCGATAAGGATTCATTGACAAAAGTCGCAAAAGAGCTCGCTGCACACAACCTGCTGGCACATAAGGAAGGAGGCGTCAAGGCCTACGCCGCTTCTTGTCTGGTAGACATTTTGAAGCTATGCGCCCCAGACGCACCCTTCACGCCCTCCCAGCTCAAGGTTAGTTAAGCATTCCGCCCAACTTGTCGAGTCCGACGCTGACATGCCACTTAGGACATATTCAGCCTCTTCGTCAAGACCATTCTCCCAGCCTTGTGGGATCCCACCAACACTTACAACACACAACACAAATATGTCCTTACTTCACTTGCCGAGGTCAAGAGCATCCTGCTCATCAATGAGCTTGCAAACGCTGAAGATCTTCTTCTACACTTGTTTTCATCGTTCTTTGATGGCATTACCGGATCGTCCAAGTCTAGCTCAGTGGAGCAAGTAGCCAAGGATGTCGAATTCCACATGACAGACATTCTCGTCACTTTGCTCGAAGAGGGTCCAACCCTGCCACCTTCTGTATTGGACGTGATCATGGCCCAATTCCTCCGAGCCGCGCCGCCTGGAGGGTCCCGAAGCCGCACAGAAACCAATGGCAGTCAAACAACCCTTTTGCCAAAGGAAGAGCCCGAAGCCTACGTAATGGCCAAAACCGTATGCAATCACTGCCCAGAGAAGATGGCAAGATACGTCAGCCAGTATTTCAGCGATGTGATCATGGACATATCTGGCAAGAGTGGCCAAACTAATGGCCATCGTGATGACCACGAACTTGAAGATGACGACGCGCCCACCGGACCTTCCGATTCCGATTTTAAAGAATTGCGGAAAGCGCATCAACTCCTTCGTGAGCTTTGGCGAGCCGCGCCAACGGTGCTAGCAAACGTCGTCCCGCAAGTAGACGCGGAGCTTTCTGCCGACAACGTGCAGCTACGACTCTTGGCCACCGAGACTCTGGGAGATATGATATCGGGTATTGGTGCCGCAGGGCCGCCGCCGCCACCTGTGCTGGACCCGGCCGCATATCCTCCAATCACGTTGGGTGATGACATTTCGGAGGAGACGGACTCTGGCAGTATTCTCACGACGCCAATCTCTCCTCTCTCTTTCGCACAGACACATTCTCAAGCTTTCCACAACTTCGTCAGCAGGAAAAACGACAAATCACCCCTGATTCGTGCAGCGTGGACGACCGCCGTTGGCTATATCGTTTCGACATCGGCTGGCGGCATCGGACTGAGTCGCGAAGATGAGCAAAGTTTTGTTGATGGTCTCAAAGACAGGCTCAACGACCCCGATGAGAAGGTCAGACTGGCCGCGGTCAAGGCCATTGAAGTTTTCCGCTTCCGTGATATCATCACAAAGCTAGCTGTGGACGGTGGCGTCGCCAAGAATGGCACTATTCTCTCTATTTTATCAGACCGCTGTCGTGATCGACGCGCTCCCATTCGAGTTGAAGCCATGGCTCTGCTGGGCAAGCTATGGGCAGTTGCAAGTGGAGAATTGTTGGCTGGCAACGACGTGGTGGTGTCTGCTTTGGGCGGCATTCCGTCCTATATCTTCAATGCTTTCTACGCCAACGACCTTGAACTGAACATCTTGCTCGAGCGTGTCACCTTCGAGTGCCTTGTTCCCCTGTCATATCCGCCGGGTAAGCCCAAGTCTTCAAACGGCCACTCTCAGTCTCAAGCAAATACCGATGCAACCTATGATCCGGATCGGATACGTGCGGAGCGCATTTTGCTTCTTGTCAAGAGCCTCGATGAAAAGGCGGCCAGAGCATTCTTCGCTTTGCAAAAACAACAACCACAATTTGCAAAAGTCCTCGAGACTTTCGTCAAGCAGTGCGAAGCCTTTAATGGCGGCTTGCCAGAAACAAATGGGGATGTTGTAAAGCAGAATCTCAAGAAAATCATCCAGTACTTGACTACATACTTCCCTGATGCATTGAAAGTCGAAGCCGATCTTCATAATTTTGCCACTCTCAATGACCGAAGGTGTTACAATCTTATCCGATTCATCACCAGCCATGAGAGCGACTTCAAGACGATGTATCGAGGGCTGAAAGAGTTCAACAAGCGCATCCAGGGAACAACCAAGCCTCATATACTAGATACAATGCTTCCTTTACTTTACCGGTCCGCTTATATTATCATCAACAAGAGCCACTTAGCTGCCTTCATCGACTATTCGAAAAACGATAGGGACGGCTTTGGTGCAGCCGCTCAACAAATAACGGCAGAAGCCTCCAAGTCAAGCGGTGCCCTGTTCAAGGCGCATATTGGACAATTGTGCAAAGACCTGATAGAAGCAGCACCAACGGCATCCAGAGACAACGATCCTGGTACGGTCGAGACACTGAAGGCTTGCTCGTCGTATTCCCGAAAGTATCCTGAAGAGATCCCACAGGACAAGAAGTTTACACAAGCTCTCATAAACTATGCGCTTTTTGGGACACCAACAAAAGCTGCCAAGTATGCTGTCAACATCCTCATGGCACGGAAAGATGACAAAGCTCTGGTTTCTGCCACCGAGCTTCTCCAGAAAGTGACAAAAGACTGGAGTTATGGCTCAAAGCATTTCTTGAGTAGAACTGCTGCAGTCAGCCAGCTTGAGCTTCTGGCCTCGAGTGTGACTGCCGATGCGAACGACAAGATCATGGACATGGCACTCAAGGAAATTCTTCAGAAAGTGCGAACAGAGGCGAGTGATTCCGACTCCGAATGGGTAGATGATGCGGATCTCGAGGAGGAATACTTTGTCAAGTATTGGTCATTGAAGCTCATCGTAAACCGTCTTCGCGGGACTAAGGATCCCGAGGAAGTCAAAGAGGTCACACCTACTGTGTTCAAGCTCCTTCGGACACTACTTCGTGACCAGGGAGAGCTTTGCAAGACACAAGATACCCCCAAGCATCACAAAACTCGCCTACGACTCTTGGCTGGCCAACTGTTGTTGAAACTTTGCACCTCAAAGCGATTCGAAGAGCTTTTTTCGCACACGGACTTCAACCGGTTGGCTTTACTGACACAAGATTCTAGCGCGCATGTTCGCCGTGGCTTCGTTGAAAAACTACAAAAATATCTTGTGAACAGGAAGTTGCCTGCGAGATTTTACACAATCATCTTTTTGACAGCATTTGAGCCCGTTATGGACTTTAGGCAAAATGTTGAAACCTGGATCCGCTCGCGGGCACGATACTTCCGCGAGAACGCCAAAGACAACGTGAACGTGATGGAAGCCATATTTGGACGCTTGATTTCATTACTTGCACACCACCCTGATTTCAGTACTGAAGTGGGTGATCTGCTTGACACGGCCCGCTACATCATCTACTACATTAGCAATGTGGCCACCGAACAGAATTTTGCACTCATCTTCAAGTATGCTGAACGGGTAAAGCAAACACGAGACGGAATCGCACCAGAAAAGAGCGATAATCTGTACGTGCTTTGCGACTTGGCTCTAGCGACGTTGAGGAAGTGGCAGGAACGTAAAGGATGGAGCTTCCAGGCCTATGCTGGCAAGACTGGCTTACCAAAAGGCCTATACACAGCTCTGCCGAGTCACGATGTCGCACAACAGATTGCGGAGAAACAGTACCTGCCTGAAGGCGTTGAGGAACGGCTAGATGATTTATTAAGAACACTTGACAAGAAGAAGGTTCGCCGAAGAAGACCCCAAACACAAGGCGTTTTGTGCATACGCGCTGACATCATACCTTTACAGAAACGCAAGAGTACAGACGAGCGCGGCGACGGTCACCCTGCCCAAAAGAGGGCCAGAACAGTACAGCCGAGATCAGCTGCGGCAAAGACTGACCGACCCGCCAGCAGTAAGAGACCTGCCGTCAAGAGCAAGGCACCTAAACCTCGGAAACAAAGGTCATCCCCAGCACCAGAGTCAGCCGATCGACGACGAAGTGGTCGATCTAGGAAAGACTCTTCTTACCTCGAACGTGATTCATCGGATGATGACGACGACATGCTAGAGGGAGTTTCCAAGTGGGACTACTACGACAAGGCGGGAAACAGGGTCCAAAACGATGATGAGGAGGCGGAGGAAGACGAAGACGTGGATGAGGACGACAAATCTGAACTCTCCAATGTCGAGGAGGAAGCCGAGCCCATGGTCGAGGACGAACCAGAACCAGCTGTTATGAACAGTGGGGCGAGTGGAACGCCTGAAGAACAGCCAGCTGACGAAGAAGAAGAAGAAGAAGAAGAAGAAGGGGAGAAGGAGAGTGAGGGTGCGGCGGCGGTGGTGGAGGAAGATAAGGAGGAAGTTGAAGAAGCGGAACCTGAGGAGGAGGTACCTGCTCCGAGGTCAAGCGGTCGTAGAGGACGAAACGCGACCGCAACGCTCCCAACAAGAGGCAAAGCAGCGCCAAAAGCTGCCGCTAGCCCGGCGCCCTCAAAGTCGAGTGCATCGAAGGGCAAGGCGGCGACTGCAAGCAAGGCAAAGTCAAAGCCAGCACCAGCAACATCTAGCCGTGCGACCCGTAGTAGGAGAGCAGCTGCCGACGTGAGCGAGGCTTCAGACTAAATGCAATGTGCCAATCGGATTGCTATTCCTTTGCCACATGTACACTAAATCGTACCACCGAACCCTTGTTCAGCTGATTGGAAAGAAACCGCGGGATGGAAGGTCAAAGTCCTTGGATTCCACGGCGTCCAGGTGCAGAAATAGCAGACTGAAAAAAGATCTGTTCGACTGGCAGGTCTCGAAGCTATGAAAGACGGAGTCGGGCACTTGGGCGATACTGACCGATGCGGGATGGGCATCGGTATCCAGTTGTGATATGAATTGGAAGTGGTGTGTCTTTCTAATATTATACCCTTGTTTGTATCAATACAGCGCGTAACGTAACTCTTGATCTGACCGTTTTGATTCTGTAACATGTCGAATGTTTAATCCGCCAGTCGAGGTCGCGGAGACGCTCACCGCTCGCGCAGGATGCCAACGACGATGTCAAATTGATTATGTGCCATTCTCCTCTCTCATTATAATAACAATAACACTATAGATTACATTATCCGGCTCCACTAGGCTCTCGTCGTGATAGATCAGCAAAGAGTATAAATCCCCACGGACCACTTGACACCATGCTATGACTGATTGTCATTAGTAATCTCAGGTCAATCCCATGCTTTTCTTGGGGTTTCAAATGTTCTCGTGCTACTGAGAAACCACCGGATGGGAGAGAACTTATTGGACAAACTGTAACGCCGCCCGCCATGGTACGATTTTATTCGGCGGTATCTAGAGTTTTACCTAACTTCAAACTGGATATCATCTTTCTCCACCAGAACGCCTGTTACGCCGTGGTCCCCCCCTTTGGTTGGGGGGAAAAAAAAATTTCATTGCGCCTTCTGCCGGCTCTTAGCTTCGGCTTCCCTGCGCTTCCACTTGGATCTGATATCGGGAGCAGCATCAACCAGGTCGTCCTTGGTGACGCGGCCCTCGATGGACTCCAGAACGCTGTGCACCACGCTCACGTGGTTGCCGTTGTGTTTATCGTCGCGGAAGCGGTAAAAGCGCCACCGCCGCTGCTCGTCCATGTAGGCCTCCACAATGCGCTCGTCGAGGGGGTCGTTCAGAGCCTTGAGCTCCTCCCACTCGTCCTCGGACAGGTAGAGCTCGCCGAACTTCCTGTAGTCGTCCTTGCCGCCGTGAAAGACCAGGAGCTCGACCCTGGGTACGCCGTCATAGTCGACGTAGGGCTCCGTGGCGCCGTCGGCCAGGTCTTGCTCCTCGGGCTGGACAGTGTTGAAGTGGAACTTCCAGCGGAAGTCGACCGTGTTCTCCTCGGCAGGCTTCCATTTGAGGATGTGGGGGTCGGTGCCGTACTTGTACTCGGTGCTCAGGCAAGTGAAGATGAGGCCGTCGTTGCCGTGTCGCAGGCTGGGGATGACCTGCTTGAACATCATCTCGGTGCCGTAGGCGAACTGGTGGTCCTTCATGCCCAGTATGTAGGGCTGGAAGGCCTTCTCCTGGGGGTACTTCTTGAATAGGTCCTTGTAGGGCTTGTAGACCTCGTTGTGGAAATAGCCGAATCGCTTCTGCAGGCCACGGGTCATGAGAGCTTGTCCGTGCATGACGAGGCAGTCGAAGACGAGGTAGATGGGTTCTTGGGTGCCGTCGGGCAGGGTGTCGACCACGAGCTCGCCGTCGAGGATGGTGTCGCGGTGGAACATGCCCTCGCCTTGGGCGGTAGGGAAGTGTGCGTTCTTGACCCACCAGTAGTCGTTCTTGCGGTCGATCATGTAGTGCACCTCGTTGCCCTGGCCATCGTCGGTCAGGTAGAGCAGGTAGCGGATTCCATCCGACTTCTCGCAGACGTAGTAGTCGTCTCTGCGCAGCTCTTCTAGATGCTTGCGGGCAAAGGACACTGGTTGGGCGCCGGGAAAGTTGGTTTGGTCGCGACCGAGTAGTCTCGCGACCTCTTGCCGCAGGCCATGGAGTAGGTCGCCCTCGGCTTTCCAGCCGGGACGGTCCATGGACTGGATTCGTGGTGATTCCTCTTCCATCGTGTCTTTCTCAAAGAAAGCCACCCAACGTGGATAGTCTTGCGTGATGGACAGCCGACGAATGCCTTTGGGAGGGAAGGGGGGCGCGTAATGGGAATTCAAGTGCTGGTGCCGGTCTTATCGGCTTATCACCCAACCTACGGTGGACTCCAGCGACCTGGCGGCTTGCTTAGTGGGGCACGCTCTATACCACCGTTTAATTCTGCCGTAGCTGTTAGTTACATGATCATGGGGACTCAGCAGGGGGCGATGACAGAATTGTCACTGCTTTGTCGGCCATCGGTGACCTTAGAACTAAGCAGGGGTTTGTCAAGTTAGAATGTTGCAGCTGAAAACGATACTGCCGTAAATTCTGCATTTGAAAAAGAGGGAAAAATGCATTAGGAAAAAGAAATAAGAAAAAAGAAAGGACCTCAAAGTCGATCACATGGTGAAAGTACTAACCTACCACCGATGGCTGGCCACGTAGATAAATATTTCTCTGCTAGGTACAGCAAATGTATTGGTATGACATGGAGCACAAGCAAGCGACGAACAACAGGAAATCTGCAAACCTCGGTGGATAGGCTATACCGATATAGAGTTGATACGTTCTCGGTCTGATTGCTGCGGTCTTCGGGGCTTGTTCGCACGAGCTGGTGAACTGGCATTGTAGTGAGCGCATACAGAAGCAGTGGGGATTCTCAAAGTGACCATTAAGGGCATCTCCACCCTGACAGCGTCCACGGCCCTCAAACCCGAGATCTAGTCTGTTACCAGTAGGCGTGCGCGGCTTCTCATGATTTTGTGTGGCATATATAAGCATCCGGGTCTCTTTACCAAATACTTGTGTCTCAATTGTCGTCGTCGTGACACATAGAGAGGAGAGGCTTTCGTGGTAACTTGGCAGTCCAATTACGGGGTTCTGAATAGCGTACACTCCAGGCAAGACGTCCCGGTTGTGTTGTGCTGATAATGGCCGTAAGTGGATATTTCGCACAAGGCATATCACAGTCCCCGAGCTAACTGAATGTCAAGGCGTCCTATGACCAAGTCGTCCTCTTTGGCGACTCTCTATTCCAGGGAGCTACAGACCTCGCTGAAGGCTTTTCGTTCCAAGCGGCCTTGCAGAAACGTGAGTTGGTCATTGAGGGATGATGTCTATGAGGAGCCAGCTCACCAAGTTTGCAGACTGCATACGCCGTCTTGACGTGGTCAACAGAGGTTTCTCAGGCTGGAACACTGAAGATGCTGTCAAATATCTTCCCGAAATCTTCCCAGCAAAATCAGAAGGAAGCCCAGGTCCGCGCCTAAGATATCTGGTAAGCTTATTCATTCCATGCACCACCGGTCCTGGTGGCTGGCTGATTGCCGTCACATAGCTTGTTCTACTCGGCGCCAATGATGCTTCTCATCCCTGGTCGCATCCAACCCAGTTCTGCGCAAAGGACGAGTATAAGGCCAACCTGAAGAAGATCATTACGCACCCGAACGTTGTAGCGCACAACCCCAAGATCCTACTGGTGACTCCCCCACCTCTGGATGAGACAAAGATCTACCAATTTGATATCGAAGAGAATGGTCTGGACAAGCTCACCCGCACTGCCGCCAACAGCGCGGAGTACTCACAGCTTGCCAGAGACGTCGCCGCCGAGGTTCCCGGGACCATTCTCATTGATCTCCAGGATGCGCTGACCAAGCATGCGATCACATTGACCCCGGAGTATGATGCCTCAAACCCTCAGCACCATAATGGAAAGATCCCGCTGCTGGGGTACATGGAAGGCAATGGTGGCAAGGGCTTCCGCGGCGGCCTAGGTCAGCTGCTTCCTGATGGCCTGCACCTGAGTGGTGAGGCGTACCGCGTGCTTTACGGCCTGGTAGCTCCGCATATAGGGCCATTCCCGGCGGCCTTGGACGAGAAGGACCAGAAATCCGAGTTCGCCAACCCATTCCCAGATTGGAAAATATTGGCGGACGAGAGGGAGGCGAGGATCAAGGCAGAGGGCCTGTAGGCGTCTTTCAAGGCTCGATACATCCAGTATTAATGACTAGAGATTATAGATGGCTGAACGCTCGGTTCTAGCTGATACAATGCGTGTTCAACACAGTCAATTATTTTCCCATTCATTTCGAAGGGCTTCAAGTGTTGAAAAATGTCTCGTTGAGGCATTATTTGATTGGGCCGTTCTACCCTTTAGTCCTATATTGTTCAAATGTATAGCTACTCGAGATATAGTGTCCCAAGCAATTGTTCTAATGCCACTTTGGTATGAAGTCGTACATACTCTAAGCATAATGCTACATGCTAAATAATTATTAGTACTGGAATGCAAATATGTCGGTCAATATTACAACGTGCATGAGCGCTGGGATGCCTATCTAGGTACGATTTCTTCGTGGGAAGGCAAGAATATTTTTGTTTCATTTTCAATTCTCATATTAAATTCTTTTTTGGCACTGGGACCGAGTGACGAGATTTAATATCAACATCAAAACACGGGAGATACGCAGGAAACTTCTCTTGATCACATGACACAGTGGTAGTTTGAACGAACTCAAAGAGCCAAAGGAGCAGAAAACAGAGGACGTTGAAAAGGCTGAGGAAGTAGAAAACTTGAGAAACTGCAAGAATCTAAGAAAATGCCAGCAGTTCGAAAGGCTTGAAAGCAGAGCCCTGTAAGCGAATAGGTGAGCCATCTGAAGATTAGTCATTAGACTTATAACGCCCTCGATGATAAGCACTCGGTCTGCTGGTGCCTGTCTATAGATAAAACATAGTAGGCATAAAGACGCATTTCTGGTCCGAAAGTCGTTGCATCTTGTTGCTTTGGTCATCGTAGATGTTGTCTCCTTGTTGGTATCCATTTACTGGTCAGGTTGGCCCCGTATCCTCATTGATTGACAATCTCTAGGCCAGTATATTTCCCGTTCTCGTCTCATAGAGCAGAAAATTGTTGAAGTAGACAAGTCCCTTCTGAAACGGACTATGAAACAGTCATCATCTAACATGGCTAAATACAAGTCCTCGACAGGCACATAATATTTGAGCATTAACCGTTTCCAGAACAACAGTGCCGTATCACTTATGAATCTTGAGTACGCCTTTCTCCCCAGAGCGTACTTCAGCCCATGCCTCAATCTCTACCAACATTGTTTCTCCAGCGAGATGAGCCGCCACTAGATGTGATGTTGTTAATTTGGTTTTAACGATTCTCGCTTGGGCATCGCTGAGCAGTTGACTTGCATAATTTGCGGAAGCACAACATGAAATACGGGATTTTCACTTACCAAGTGTGTTTGCCGGCAAGATACCCTCGCAGGCAAATCGCGATCCATGTGCACGACTGACTTCCTCCGTATACTTCAAATCTTCCACCATGATCCTTGTGCGCACTACATCTTTCATACACGAGCCTAATGCCTTTAAAGCGTTATCAATTATGTCCAGAATCCATACCGTCTGGCTGGCTGCTGATAAGCCGCCGATGTTTTGGAGCTCGGAGACTGGCGAGTTTGATGTCGTGCCCGATACATGTATAGTATTGCCTACGCGAACTGCGCGACAGTATCCCTATCCGGATTTAAACCCAGAACTCTCGAGGCTAGTTGATTGTCGACTTACTGCAATGGGTTCCCATTTGCTCCCGGATGAGTACTCAAGTCGCTGTCCTTTCTCTACAGCCTCACGAACCAACCGATCCTTGTCATCATCTCCCAGATGGTCACTCAGATCACCAGCAGCTGTGAGAAACGGGGCTCGGCGATACTCGTCACCACTATCGCCGGGTATATCTTTCAGGGCCTCCTGCGCCTTCGTAATGAGCGCGTGATCTTCTTCATCCAGGCTGAACGTGAATGCTTTCAAGTTGCTTGCGATATAAGCCTCAGAGCTCGGCCCTAGCCTCGACCCCACAATCACGCCCTTGACCGAGGGAATATCCAGGACGTAACGAGTAGCCACCGCCGAGATTGGCACGCTGTGCTTCTGTGCCACGTGCTGCAGTGCTTTCAGGACGCCCTGATAGGCGTTCCAGCCTCCAGCCGCCCAGATAAACCTCAAGTACTTCCGCAGACTCCAGTTCAGCTCATCAATGTCATCCGGCTCTGGCTGGTCAACCCACCTCTCGCTCAGAAACCCGCCCATCAGTGTGCCGTAACAAAGAAGGCCGACCTCGTTTTTGAGGCATACTTCACTCAATCGGCCGCGTTGGACGCGAAGATCGATAACTGAGCAAGCCACCTGGTTTGTGGCAATTGTGAAGCCACTGTCTATCAGCATCTGCAGATGCGCCGCATCGGTATTTGTAAGACCAATGTGCTGGATCTTACCAGCTGTCTGAAGGGCTCGAAGATGGGTCAGATTGTGAATCCAGGTGTCGTCAGAATAGTCCCATGCGTGGTCTCCGGTAACTTATATCAGCATGACATCGCGTCGGTCTGCGTCGTAACTCACATTGCAATAGGGGCATACTCTTCTGCCCCAGTCTGCTCAATGCAAGATCGACGGCCTTTTCGGCATTTTCGAAAGTTTTAACTCCATCTTCTGGTGGGCACCACTTCGTAAATGCTGTGATTGGGGTCTCTGAGTTGGAATTATGATGGCCGATCACAAGTTCTATTTTGAGTAAGCAAATCCCACAGTCATTCAGAATTGAGCTCCGCCTGTTGATTCACCTGCATCTCCATAGTGGTCTGCCATATCGAAACATGACAGGCCAGCTTTGATACTGCGATTGATGTAAGCATGATAAATTTGAGCAAGTCGCACGATTTACTCACAGAGGTTCCATGAATGAAGTTGCTATAGCTATATCAATGTTTTTGTCGTGGCCACCAGCAAGCTGCCAAAGACCATTGATCATCCTGGGGATCTCTAGCGTTCCGCCTACCGTAGTTCGTTCTGGTCGTATCATTTTTTCTTCGGTCATGTTGCACATACCAATCTCCTAAGGTGCGGTTCGTCTTCGTGTCCTCGGTATTGTGATGGATAGTGGAATTATGAGGTGCAAATACAGGTTGAGCCAGCACGTTTGGTAAGGCACACCGAGTGACGGGTGCCTCGCAGGTTTGACGTTTCGAAGCTATGTGCTGCACATTGAGTTCCACTTGAAGATGAGTGTTAGGGTCCCGGCAACGTGCAGATGTGTTCTATGCGCTGGTCTCTATCAAAGGTGTCTATCGTTACAGAGGACATAAATCGATGCGACCATGTCCGGGACTCGGGTGGAGTAGGGGCTGCAGATTGGTGGGGTATCCAGTATGTCTCGCCGTGATACAAACAGACATAAGCTCGGAACTACCTTGATTTGCACAGAAGAGGAAATTTCCAACGACAAAAAAATCACAGGTCTCTTGATGATTTTTTGCGATCTCCTTAGATTAGTGGCGAATATAAAGATCTAATGTTGGTTATGTCTTCGGCATGTGTATCCGGCTAGCTCGCGCCAGCTGTCATCCTAGACGTCACAATGCTGGCAAAGATAATCGTGATAAGGGAAATGTTGAACGTTCCCAGAACTGAAACTTCCCTATACCCGCCCAGCACCAATTCTCTCTTGACAATCCCGAACGTCTCAGACCGTCCTAAGATAGTTTCTCTTTGCTTCCGCGTTCATTGTGAACAAGACACTAGGAATGATATCTCATTGTTAAACGGACTCGCAGGCTTAAAGCTTAATTATAACGTAACGATATCTTTTCCCCTCTGTGTAACCCCCCGTATCACATTCATAATGCCGGCTTTTAAGCGCTTCATTATGAAAGTCAACTCTTTTCTTTCTTTCTTTTGGCGAACTAGCTAATGCGCCAATGCCTTAACTAATTGTCCCAAGATAATCTAGTCGTCCATGTTTGACGTATACCGTCCTAGCTAACGATACTTGCTTAGGCATTAGCAACACTGTTAGCATCACAGAGGCCTAATTATTATCTTAAAACTCGGTTATTGGCAAGGCTCCTTAGCAACCAGTTATTCACCAAGACATATTAATCCCGAAAGCTCATCGATATTAATATTTACTTAAGTAATCTTCTATATAATTACTTTGTACTAAATAACATAGTTAGAGCAATGATTACTACGACTATTATCACGTAGCTTTTTAAAAAAAAAAATTCTTTAACTCGAGGCGGTTAACAACATGACTAATTAAAGTTCATTAACTTATAAATGACTCGAGATAATTTTATATGAAAGCATCTTGTTTTAACATTAGAGAATCCAAACTCCTTGGAGTACTAGCCTTATTGCCGCATATTATACATGCCGTTGAGTTAAATTCGCTTTAGTTTATAGATAGCGAGGGCAATCTTCAGACATTCTTAACACAAGTGCGACAAACTTTGAATTGGGCAGGTAGAATACCTAGACTAAGACCAACGCTTCAAAACCAATATTCAAACGGGTACCAAGGAAGACGTCCGCCAGAGATTGGTCAAAGATGATGTGACCAACTTTTTATATGTAGGCGGTAGGGACCCATTTGGCGAGATCCGAGGGAGCCTATTCGAACAATGTCAAAATTGGATTTGGCTGCATTCAAGATGCTTTCGAGTACGAGCGACCTAGTGTAGATGATCGAACAACGTTTCGCGAACTTGGATGCCTTAAACCGCTTCGTTTTTCTGGCATGTAAGAGTTGACTAGACGGTGATAGTCTAGGCATCTTGTTGGGAGTTTCAAAAGCAAGCCACTAGCAGGAATCTCTGCGCGTTGCTCAGACCCTCTACTTAAGCAGTAGCTTGATACTTTCCTTAGCACCTATGAAAGTACTTGTATCAAAAGAAAAAGAAGAGAAAAGCATTGATTAAAGGCGTGGACCGCCTGAATTGCGGTGATCATCATATTGGCAAGGTCCGTAGGAATGGCGTTTTCTTTATGTCGTGCCGTACTTTATACTCACTTACATCCATTGCCAACATCCCGCGGACTTTTACCGGCTGTAGCCAATATGGTGTTTGGTGCTACAACGTTGTGTAAGCCACCAGTCCTCCCTGCTTTCCTGCCTGTATAATAACAGAGTTAGCAGCTTGACGGATTTGAATCGGAGAGTCTATTGAATCTGTTACGACCCCAGGACATCCAACCATAACGAACCCTGTAGTTATATAGATTGTCAGTCGTTTGGGCCGGAGGTAATTGCAACGCTCAGATTGCCTTCTATACTTGAAAACGGCACATGTATATATATAGGAACAGGCTTGCAAACATTGGTCTAAATGGCAAAGAGCCATTAGACTTCATGCGTCTCATGGTATACTGCTTCAATTTGCTTGTGCGATATATAACTAGATAGGGGTCGAATTTTGTATTATCTCGAAAAGAAGTGAGGAAAGCTGCCACATATGGCGCTGCTATATAGTGACTGGATGAATTGAATCGCCTAGCTCTGCCTTGGTTCGCCACCCGAAAACCCTTTGTGACCGCGCCGCAATAGCCACAATCATCGGTCAACAATATGCTGCGCTTGCATCCTTTTTACTCCGGAGGAATACCAAATCCTCCGGTGGGCTTTGGTCCTTTCCCGGTGGGCTTGCCAGTTCCCTAGACAACGGTCAACGTTGTTGTTGCAAAAACGAAATCTCTGTTTGTTCAGATAAGTGAGGATGTGCTTACCTTGCCTTTTCCAGTTGGGACTGGGAGACCAGTAGGGCGGCCGGTACCCTGCGTAACAATTAATATCGAAGCGTTGTGGCTAGGGAGTCTTGCAGTGGCTCAAGATCAACATACCTTTCCTTTGCCCTTGCCAGTGGGCGTGGCTTCAGCGCGCTCTACAACAAGGTCTTCATCACCTCGTGGCGGTAGTGGGCGACCCGTTGGGACTCCCTTTCCAGTAGGGACAGGAAATCCGGCTGGATACCCAAATGGTTAGCCTTCTCTAGCTCTTTCAGGGATGATTCAAGACACACTGAAAGCCAAAGACTTCAGCGCTTGATATGTTGTATAGCTTAGAAAAGAAAGTGTTTGGATATATGGATACTTACGAAAAGAGCCAGTGGGAATTGGGAATCCAGCTTGACAAACCAAGTCAGTCTTCCTCCTTCATAATAATTCCAATATCTCTTTGAGGAGCCTGAACTCTGGAATCCGTTTTGGGGCATAACACGGGAGGAACGGTGGTTGCATTCATCAGTACTCACGGAAACTGCCTGTCGGAACAGGAAAACCAGGCTGTGGACATCCCATTTTAGCTCTTAATTCTTCAAGATGACAGGAACATGGTGTTTTGTGTCTTGATGCTTAGTGTAACAAGAAGAAGGCTTTGGATCGTCTATAGGGGTTGCTTACGAATGATCCGGTAGGGATGGGGAAAGATCCGGTAGGGACACCGCTGCCCTTGCCAGTTGGGAATTGACGTTCTTCAATAGCGTTGTTAGGGGCAGCCGGTGCAGCGAATCCTTCACGCAGCATAGCTGCCGCCATGAGAGCGGAGATCAAGCGGACCATGGTTAAAACAATTCTGATATTGGGAGTGACTGTGAGTAGTTGGTCGTGAGTACCAAGCTATCAACAAGTTGGGGTGAAGACAACTTAAATAGAAAACGAGTCATAGTTGGTAGCACATCTATTGGCTTTGTTTGGTTGACTATACATCAAACATGTATAAACTCCCCGTCCTCGTTGTTTGCACGTTGGCCTGGCTCATTGGTTTCCCGAGATATCGCACCATATCCTCTCTCATTGGCGTATCAACATCTTCTTTGCCATAGGTTTGCCAGAAAGAATCGAGACCTTTTCATTAAGAGATGTTTAATATGTGGTCTCAGAGAAATACGTAGCTTACCGGGGTCGAACGTGGTTCGCTTGAACAAGTTTATTGGTGGAGTGACTATAGGTGCGACAAATTGATTAGGCAGATGGAACTGTTATTACATTACGGAGCCAAGAGATCCGATGGAACAACGAAGCGCCCGCAAAGGGAGCCCGGATCTCTGGTAAGAGGAAGTGGTTGGATTTGGAGATTGGTAATAAAGTCTGGGGTTCGGGTGCGACGCAGACTTCGACGGGGTTGCAGCTCTAGCTGGCAACATGTTAATTATAGGCGTCTCCCTATATGCCGGTCTCTATTATCATTGGTAACGATTGGCAGATCATCCACTAGAATTGGGCTTCTCCGCAACGTTGCAACCACGCTTTAGCTTGCCAGCGGAACGGATAAATGGGATGGCAGCGGGCAGTCCTCCCACAATCCGGTGCCAGAACTGGGGTGATCGCCATTCTGGTACTATATCACGTCCTTTCTGCGACTGCCGCATTTCATTTATGCAAGGCACTGAACCGAGTTGCTTATCCCCACATACCATGATGATCGCTTGGGTTGAATCGTAGTTGCTACCCAAAAAACTATTAAGCATAAAAAGATCAAGCCTCCGAATACTTGCCGGTCGACAGGAGTATTCTTCACCTTCAAATGATACCTCGCTTACGGTGAAACGGCCATGGCTTGCTACATTCGGCATTACAAAATATCACTGATTCGAAAAGATATCTAATTGGTGAAAAATCGGGGCTGTGTATAATTACGAAGTCAACCGAACGCTGGAAATTTGGTCTGTTCTTTATTTGACAGCGTCACCTTCATTCTCCTAGTTCTTTTTGGCTCATGAGCTAAAGTTATTGTTGTCTGCCAAGCTCATCCCGGTGAGGCTCTCCGTATTTTGTTGTTTTTAGCCGGAACTTTGAATGACGATCAAACGCGCGTCCATGCATACACAGTGATTCGATGCAACTCAGGAAGAAGTCGAGGCCAAGAATTCCGGAGACAAAACTGCAACTTCACATTAAATACGTTGAAATTTGACTTTACTGGCAACCTCGGATGCCAAAGCCGACAGTAATTGCTGTGGCAAGGAGTGAGCTTCTGTTGAATGCCTTCAATACGTCAGACGAATTAATTATACCATAAGATTGAGAACGAAATGTAACCCTCAATTTTAATTTCGATGGATCTCCTCAAATGATAAAGCCCATCGAAAGATACAGAAAATTGAGAGCTGATAGCACACCACTGCAAGGGGCAACGACGCCATCAAAACTTCACGATACAAGGGCTTATTTGCATGTGAACATGCTCTCCTCTCTCAACCAGCGTTCCATGTTCAGCAGTTGCGGATACTCCGCCCGCCTTTCCCGGATGTTTGCCTTGTAACCTTCAGAAGCGAACCACCCGATCATCAACTTCAGCTCCGTGACCATGTACGTCAAGACACTCCCCAAAAACCAAGGAGCCATGGGAGCTGGACTGCCGGTTGCCCTTTCGAATACTTTGCTCATTTGCTGCATTGTGAGCTCATCGCCAGCAAGTCCCTATTGCAAAGAATATTAGTCATAGATATCTCAAGAAACGAACAGCGTTCGGCTTACAATAGCCCGCTTGTTCCAGGTTCCGGGATTCTCGAAAGCTTTAGCAGCGAAGACGCCAATATCCTTGGTAGCGATCCACTGGGTCGATTTGCCTTGCAGCCAGTTGTTCATGGCTGCCATGAAGACCTTGGTTGGCATACCGGGTGCAAGGTTGTCCATGAAGGCTACCGGTCTCAAGATGGTCCAGTCCATACCTTCGACGTTATGACTCCTTGAAGTGACATCCCTCAAGTACCTCTCAATGTGATACTTGCTCTGGAAATGGGGGATTGGTGTCGGGTTTTCCCAAGAATGCTCATCTCCACCACGCTCAACGCTGCTATAAACATAGTACTTGACGCCTCGCTTCATGGACTCATCGATGAGAGCCTTTCCCTGCGCAACTTCGCTTTCCATAGTCACCCCCTTACCCATGGAAATTTGCACCGAGTAAACACCCCAGATAGGCGTTGACTCGACCCGCTGAGCCTCATCGAAGAGTGCAGCACAATCGTCAAGATCACCTTGCACGATCTTGATCGAAGGTGACCTCTGTTCCAATTTCTTAGCACTACCACCGGCTGCATTTCTTGTTACAGCCAAGATTGTGAAGGGGCTGCCTTTTAGCTTCAATAAAGCATCTATGACGGCACCACCTTGCTTGCCGGTGGCACCAGTAACAAGAAGAACTTTGGACATGATGGGAATAATGGTTGGAGGCACAGTGTTTCGAATGGAAATTGAAACCAAAGCGGAACAATGTACGTGACTATATTCACCTGTGTAGAAAATATTGTGTTTTATGGCCTTGGTGAAGATAGTTCCTTTCTGTAAATCACATGTTGACTACAGACTACTCACGCTTGCACTTTCCGGACCTGCAGCTAGCTCTCCTGGGGGTTGTGATTGATGTCAACAAACTTTGTCCGTCCGGCACGTACCTAGACATAGCAGCTTCATCGGAGCCCCGACCGTCGTGTCACACGGAATATGATATCAGCCGCTTATTGGGTCTTGACGAGACTCTCGCACTGATCGAGGTCCGTCGGGGACTTGTATATCAAGCTCTGATGGCTATACCATGTTTTGTACGCTCGATCACCTGTGCCTTGGCCACCTTCCACCCATTTCCCGGACAAATGAGCACCCAATTCAGGATATCCTAGCATCGATTCATAATTTTTTTTGTCATACTTTTGTACATAGACATTGCTGAAGCAGAACATCATGGCACCAAAACCGAGTTCGCGCATGCGCACCGTTGACAAACTGCTCGACGCTTATGGAAGTCTCTCAGTGCCGACACTTCTCGAGCCTTTGGCCGATGACTTCAACCACCGCGTCTTGCCCGAAAGTCTAGAGATGCCAGCTCGAGATAAGGAATCGTTCTCGCAACATGCATCGCAAGTCTTCGGCATCTTCGACAAGTTCCAGATGATCCCACTGTCGATATACGAGGATACGGACTCGAGCGCCGTAGTGGTACATGCGCGCATGCAGGGCACCTTGAAGCGCGGCGCTAACGAGTGGCGCAACGAATGCATCATGATGATTCGTCTCTCGGCGGACGGGAACAAGGTTGTCGAGATCACCGAGTTCGTGGACAGTGCCAAGGCCCAGCAGATGCGCCAGAAACACGCCCCAAAAGTCTTCCAGGGGAAAGCGACTCCAATCGGACGGATCCCCAACCTTATGTTTAGCTTCGGACAGATCATCTTGATCTGCATCTTATACCAGCTGGCGCTGATCTTGGCGTTCAACCTCTCGAAACCGGACTGGCAGCGTTGGGTTGAGCAGATGGGAGGCCGGGGCATGTCTTACATTCAACAGATGATGCAAGATAACAGGAGCATCGCCCGCGACTACTTGTAATAGTGTGAAATGAAATTTGGTACCGTTGATGCAAGCACAGGCCCAATAAATAGATTTAACCTATAATCAAAGACTAGAGGTACGATTGTACATGATACATTGCAGATCCACCTTGTTCTGCGTGAATATTCAACAAAACTCAGTGCAAAGGACTTGTCTATATCGAGATAGGTATAATAAAGTTTGAACGAAATGAGCGGGGTTTGGTTTATTATGCTGCAAGACTTCTGATTACCGATTACCCAACAAAAAAAAAAAAAAGCTTTCCCTCAAAGTTGCTATATGATCCAGATTTCCAATTTAACCCACCCTGGCGTCCTCCTACTCATTCCCCACCACCAAACCCGATATGACCGATCATCGCCCAGTTGCTCCATTAGCCTTGAAATCATAGAGAGATCAAGGTCTGCCACAGTGCAACAGTTCCGGCAACCAAGGGCATAACCAACCGGACGGTATTGTAACTGATCCACTTCCTAGCATAGCTCTCCGCCCTGGCGGCATCGACACCGGGACCCTTGGGCTCTTTGAGCGCATCGATCTTCACGTTTATGGGCTGCATGTTGAGGGCCGAGTGCACAACAGTGATGAGATGGCAGGCAGCCGACACGGCGTATAGTCTCCAGTCGCCCAGTCTGTAGTTTCCAGACGAGGCCGCGGCATACGCGGTGTAGCCGTACCCGAAGATGCCGAAAGTGCTGATGGGGCGGAAGAAGACGTTGCCCACAGCCCAGAAGACGGGCCACTGGCGACCGAGCAGGCGGACACGTGCTGCGTGATCGGGAGATGTCGGATGGGGGAAGTCTACCAGGAGCGCGGGCACGCCCATGAACGACTGTGTGATGGCATTGCCCAGAAGAATGTAGGATAAGGCGATGGTGGTGCCAACTACAGCTTCGGGGGTGATGGAAACCATTGTGAATAGTGGTGATACGGGTTGGAATCGGACAATTCTGCTTTCTGATGAATGAGAACAAGGATTGCAGGTTTGCGAGTAAAGTATCTGTTTTTGTTGAATGCTGCTTCAACCCCTCGAGAGATGATTCTTTTGGTATCGCGCAACAGATATAAAGACATACAGTCCAATCAATCCGCCAAAATCGAACCACTGAGAGACTCGTTCCAATCATGCCATTTCGGGAGCCCGTGGCATTCGGTCTTGGACCTGCCTTAGCGCATGTGCGCCGCCCTATAAAGATCTGCCCGGCTGAACCTTCTGAGATATCTGCTTTCCACGAACCGAGCGGACGACCGTTGGGGTAAGTCGCTTAGAAGAGCTCAGCTGAGCGACAGCCACAATTTGTGATGCTTGAGCAAAGTGTTTTGGTCCGATGGTAGTCGTCATCGACTTCCCTGTATTGCATCTCGTAGACGCTTTGGAGGCACTTCGAGTATGGAGGTACAAACTCGGCAACTTGCAATCGAGCGTAAATCTGGCGTGGTTCATAAGCTCCTACAAGAAGGGGGGGAGGAATGCCAAGATTCATTTAGACTTAGCAGAGCTTGTCGCTTGCAATTAGAAATTTCTTTTTGGGAAGAAATCAGAATGTCACTAGATGACAATTTGTTGATTATGTAAATGAACGCGCGTATGCACTGATACGACATACATCGCAAGTCTTGATGAGGACATGAAAACAGCCATAACAAACATAGAAGATCCCTAATGCAACCATCTAATGACTCCTTTGAACGGCACCGGCCTAGTAATTGGCCCTATTGAAGCTCGGTATGCAATACCCAAATCTCAAATTCGAATTAAAAATCCCACTCTCAATCCATCAGTGAAGCGTGACCCGTTTCCACCGTTTTGATGAAATGAGACACCCTCTCCGATTTCTCAGAAAGGACGATCTGAGGCTTCCGCATCGCCTTCTCATCCATCAGCTCTACTGTGGTGGCAACGCCGATTTCAGTCTTCTCGGAGCTCGCAGCCTGGGCCAAGAAGTCTGCCCGCTCTTTCAGGTCATAAGCTTCTGATTCAGCCCAAAGTCTAAGTGCCTCCTTCTTCTTTTCCTCGCTCCTTGGCTCAAAGGCCATCTGGAATGGGTCCGGCTTGATGATGAGCAATGAGTTGGACTTATGGAGCGGCACATCTATGTTTCGACCTGTGCTGGGGTCGACTTTTTGCTTCATGTTAAAACACCACGCAAGGGCACCGCAAGCAACAATAAGCTCATCCTGTGTAAGTGTCATTCCGAGGCATTGACGCTGGCCCCAGCCAAAAGATGACATGCCCTTAATGGTAGGGAACTGAGTAAGAGGTTCCTGGTAGGTAGGCCAGCCAGGCTCAAGCCAACGCTCGGGACGGAAATTATCTGGGTCAGGATACTTGTTCGGGTTGCGTAGGAAAGCCCTATGATTTATCAGTATGTTTGTTAACTTGAGCGTGATTGACGGTCGAGACTTACCAATCCAGCGGGAGGATACGCGTGCCCTTGGGCAGGTAGTATCCTTGATACACATCGTCCTGCTCCATTTCATGGGCAACACCAGTGGGCACGTTTGGCTTCCATCGCATGGTCTCCTTTATACAAGCTCTTAGGATTGGCAACTTGGCGTAATCCGCAACCGTTGGCAGTTTCCCCTCGCACTTCTCATCAATCTCCTTCTGTACACGGGCTTGCCATTCGGGGTGATGAACCATAGAGACCAAGAAATACGACAGCGGCCCGGCGACAGTGAAGATACCGACAAGCGCCAACATACCCAGAGATGATGAGCTCTCGTAGTCGCCAGATAGCACGTTTTTCTTTTCCATCTTATCAAGGTATTGCTTCGTCCAGCAAGCCCTCTGTTGGTTTGATTCGATTTTAGCGCGGGTTGCGAGCAGTCTCTCCATCCACCAGGCTTGTTGGTCGTCGTGGCGCTTCCTCTCGGCACGAAGCCAGGGGTTTAGGTGCCAGGGGAGATGCCAAAGTGGAGTCAGGACATTTGTGATAGGACCTGCAGGAGACATCTGAGTGAGTAGACCCCAGGCGCTCTTGGTGCAGTACTCGCTGAGGCTGGGATCGTCCCAAGTTAGTGTACACATGACCTTGGAGGCCATATCTTCGAGAGAAAACTGAAAAGCGTCCGGATTTTCGATCAACCGTGCGATCCAGCGCTTTGCTTCGTGGTTCATGACGCCGTAATAGTGCGCATTGCTTGCTTCGGTGAGGTATGAGTGTTGTAGCTTACGCTGACGAGCCCAGTATTCTGATGATTAGTGAGCATGATATATCTAATAGCTAAATAATGGCAGAGTGGTTTGCACTTACGGTTCCTACCCATGAGTGGAAGGTATTCCATAGAGCCATGTGTACTCTTCGAGTCGAACAACGACCTGATGACTGGGCGATCTGAGTTATGCTTGGCCTTCTTGACCAAAAGATCCTCGATGACTTTCTCCTCTGAAACAACCAGGAATTTCGCTCCCAGCATATCTGTCATATAGAAACCTCTGTCGCCAGAATATTTGTCCGCCCATTCCTTGAACTTCAACCACATGAACTCGATGGGTAGGTCGTGGATACGTCCGATGAATGGTACTTGCTTAGGCCCTATGGGGTATTTCGCGTCATTTTTCTCCTTATAAGACTGATAGGCCTTGAAGGCGGTGAAGCCGATCAGGGCCAGAGCCAGGACGGCTTGCGTGAGCAACTGCATGGTGATGCTGTGTCGAGGAAAGATCGATTACATAACACACAGGTATAACTAGCAGAAAGAGTTTCGAAAACGAAGTCAAAGAAACCAGTCTGTCGGGTCTGGGATATAAGAGATGAGGCCACAGTCAGGCCATGGGGATACCTGGGTTAATTAGACAGAGACACCACGCCTCAAGGAAGCATCTTTAGGAAACGATTCCTACTTAGGGAACCCACCATCTCGGCCATCTGTCTCATAGACAGAGATTGCGAGCCCTGCAAGGGGCAATCCTGATGAACTTGAGTTTGTTTTTTTTAAACTAGCAGGGGATAATATGGAGAGCATGTGTAAATGCCAGCGGACAAAAGGTATAATGGTACATTGCAGCCCCAGATTTGTTGGCGCTATAGGCAAGCTCTCGCCGAGAGCTGCATAGAGCTGATCGTAGGTGATCATGCCCGAATCGGTTCTGGGCCAATCGATGAGCACATTCCTGTCACATCGGGTAAGAATCAGCCATTGTCTCGTGCATTGGAGCACGGGGAGATTCGGGGCTTGCGTTTTACGTGAGGCTGAAGGTCTAGTACCAGGGTATAGTTCAAACCATAGACAGTTGCGTGGCAACTATTCAACGTTAACGTTCACTCAAACTAAGATCAAGCCGTACTGCCGAATATGTGATCGAAGAGCTTGTTTTTCCATTCAGCTCTATCAATCTAGTAGTTGTGAAACCACGATGATATGACATGAGTTTACTATCACATGCACATCCCACGGTCTCTGAATACTCGGATATCCGACGCATATTGGACTATTTGTGACAATGTGACAGTATTAGCCGTCCGTTAAATCGTCGCCTACTAATATTCAGCGTTCTGTTCGTTCCAGCGAGGTGAATTATGTCTAGCGCTTTAGGTAGGGTAATGGATTCTCAAAGGTGCCACGCGCGGGATTGCACTGGGCTTGCGATGTCTCCAATATCCCGTGTGCTAGCCAAATGTGCATGGTGCGAACATGGGCAGCACTTGGTGTACGCGGGAGATCGCATGTAATGACTCATGACGTCTGACATACCTTTTCGCATTGGTCCACATAACATAATTTGGGTATGCGGTGTAACCTGACTGTATCTGTAGGAAATAATTAGAAGAACGCGGTATGCAGAGTCGCGCTTGCGCTCGGTGCAAGATCACCCAGAACAAGCCTGACTACGATCTCGCTTATCAGGCGGCGTAAGGTCAACTTCATTGATTGTCGATCATATAGAGTTTCAGGCGACCGCTAAGCAGAACCTTCGACAAGAAGCAGCGCCATGGTCTTATCCACATACTGTCTATTTCTCGGATCTCAATCCAGAGCACCGCTATTGGATGGGCTTGCATTGCGTACATTGAACCTGCTTTTTGGGACAAGAAATGCTTGGCACCAGTTGGTAGGGGGTTTGACCAGCTCTGCTCAGCACCACTCAACACTCTTTAAAGCACAGCATTAGAGAGTGGGGCACTCCCACCTTAACTAGTAGCCGATCGCTTGTGCATATCAGACTGTCTTTGCGGTTGTCCCTGACTTCGGCACCGAGTGGGCCCCCGTTGGGGATTCCCGGACATCGGATGGTACGATGCTCGCGATGTGCCAACACCTCCGAAAGATCAGTCTCGGCCTCTGACATGGTTCCGAATACGCGACCACACATACCAAAAGTTATATGAGGCAGAGGGAACTGACAGAATCACGAATCCTGCAATGCTTCTACTTGCCATAACAACTCTCACCAGAAGAACTACGATTGCATCTTGATATATCGCTTCATAGAAACAGACAATCTTGAAGTAGAAATTCCGCCTAGTCAGCACAACAATCATGGGATCACTCGGCATCTCATCAGACTCAAACCCGGTCGGGTCTTACCCATCGTCCGGCATTGAAGTGCTGATTGTCGGAACTGGTCTTGCTGGCCTGACAGCTAGTATCGAATGTATTCGTAAGGGACACAGCGTACGCATCCTTGAGCGCAATGACGACATCAACACGGCAGGTGAGTCGCGTAATTCTTTTTCGTCTTGACAACAAGGGACGATGTATGCTGACCTAGACTGGCGAAGGTGACATGTACTTCATGGGCCTCTCAGCAACCCGCTTTTTCAAGCATTGGCCAGAGCTCTCAGAGGAGTATGACTCCATCTCTCTGCACAATGCGTGGATTGAGACCTTCAAGCATGACGGCGAGCGAATGATTCCGCCGTCGTATGTATCGGATCGTCTGCGCGCCCAAGGCCTAGACCCAAAGACACCTCCTGGCACATTTCAAATGCGGCCGTTGGTGTATAAGATGTTTGTGCGACAGGTTGAAAAGCTGGGTGTGAATGTTCAGTTTGGCACCAAGATTGTTGATTTCCATGAGGACGAGGCCCTGGGTAAAGCATATGCCATCAGCGACAAGGGTGAGAAGTTCGAGGCGGATGTGATCATCGCTGCGGACGGTGTCGGCTCCAAGAGCCAGAAGCTTGTTGGAGGCCAGGTACGCGCCATGAGCTCAGGCAGAGCAATGTGGCGAGCTGCCTTCCCACGTGAGGTTTTGGACCAGAACCCCAAGGTCAAAGAGTTCTTCAAAATGGTTGGTCCTAATGACAGTGAACCAATCATCCGAACATGGCTTGGTCCAGGCACATACGCCATGACCTTGACGCGGCCAGACACCATGATTTGGATCATGAATCACGATGTGACTGGTTCTGAGGAGGAGAACTGGAATAACACTATTGACGCCGAGGAGGTCCTGCAGAACATGGACAAGGGTGTCGGCCCCAAGCCATGGGCCCCTATGTTCAAGGAGCTCATCAAGCTCACACCGCCCAACACCATCATCAACTTTGAGCTCTTCTGGCGCAATCCTCAACCTAAGTGGGCTTCGCCTGCTGGTCGTGTTATCCAAATCGGCGACGCTGCTCACTCCTTCCTGCCTGCGTCGAGCAATGGTGCTACCCAGGCCATCGAAGACGCCGTCTCCATAGCGTCATGCCTGCAGATTGGTGGCAAGGAGAAGATTCCGCAATCCGTAAAAGCGCATGTTCGCATCCGCTTCACGCGCGTCTCATGTGCGCAGAAGCTCGGTTTCTCGAATGCTGAGCTGCTGCAGGATACCGACTGGAGCAAGGTCAAGCTTGACCCTCGACGAGCACAACCCAAGCTTCCCAGCTGGGTTTTCAGCCATGACCCCGAGAAGTATGCATACGAGAACTATGAAAAGGTCGTCGAAAGCATGAACAAGGGTATTCCATTCTCTGAGGATGACAGTATTCCACCAAACTATCCTCCTGGCTACAAGTACGAGCCATGGAGCATTGACCAGATCATGGACGATGTGAGAAATGGTCGGCCAGTCAATGTAGGGCCTGGCAATTGGGAATAAGCGTTACCTCTCAATCTTTTGCGATCGACGCTACAAGCTCGAGGGCAATTCCAACGTGATGCAGATTTGCAAGAACTGGCAATTAAGAATCTTATGATAAGGATAATATATAGGTATAGAAAGATAATCAAGGCAACCGGCAGCGTAATTAATCTATTAAGTGTTCTGGGTATCATGCAGTCTAAAATGATCGCCACAGTTGTCCATTAACCCCGTGCCTCAATGATTGATTTCCTATCAGGAAACCACAACAGTTGTGTGAGGGTTGATTGACAGTTTAGGGATCGTATTTGTGTCCGCAAGAGCTTGAGATGATGGTGTAGCTACTGCAGTTGTGGCTGCGCTTGTAGTGGCAGCGGAAGATTGGATCGCGCCTGTTGCCACGACAGCAGTTGTGGTTGGGTTGATAGATACTTGAGGAATGGTCTTCGTGTCTGCAGGAGCTTTTGATGATGCTTGGGATGCCGCACTTGTAGCTTCACTCGTCGCTGCGCTGGTAGCTGTGCTCGGAGCGGCAGAAGATGATGGCTTGACTCCTGATACAACAACGGTCGTACTCGGATTGATAGATACTTGGGGAATTGTGTTGGGATCTGACGGTACTTTCGACGATTGGGCTGCTGAACTCGCGCCTGCAGCCGATGACGCTCCTGTGGCCGACGCCGAAGGTATCGTAATGAGAAGTGTAGCTGTTGACGAGGGGGCGTCTTCATCAACAGTCGACGATGGCCCAACAGTAACGAAAACAGTGGTCGTCAAAGTGACGTCCGCCGAGGACATTTCCTCCGCCTTCGCGGAAGATACGACTGTCACCGTTACCGACTCAGTCACGGTTACAGGTTCGCAAGTCACTGTAATTAGTTGCCCAGCCTGTGTCGTTTTGCTCGCTGCTGCAGATCCGGTAGGTTGGCTCGATGATGTCGCAGTTGAAGGTGTGGCCTCGTCATCTGACGCCGGAACGTCGACATTTCCGTCGCTCTCTGAGGCTACAGTTGCAAAGGTGAATGTTTGCGCAGTGCTGCTCTCGTCACAGTCCGCGATTTCCACGCTGTTACCCTTTACAGTGAAGCAGGAGGCAGGCTGGTTTTCCGGTGCAAGTGAAAGCGAAGTAACGCTGCCATCACCAGCAAAGAGCTGTGAGGTGTTTGAGGCACCGCTGCCGTCTGCAACACCACCGCAAGAGTATAGCATGACCTGCTTGCCGGAGGCCTGCGTGGGATCGAAGGTGAAGCATGCTTGTGTCTATATTGGGTCAGCAAAGTCTCCCAACACAAAGTTCGGCTCTACTGACCAGAGTGCTAACGATTAGGATCGAATTTGCACCGCTATTGTGTGCGCCCTTGGTGATGACATCGAAGCCTTGACCATCCGTGGCACCGCAAGCCGCCACTTGAATTGGAGTCAGGTTTGCTACAGAATCACCGGACAACTGATCAACAAAAAGACATTTGCCTTCAAAAGTCTAGTCAAGGTTAGCTTTCAGGCGACGACTACATGTCGTTCATGCCTCGTACCTTGATATTGACGTCTGAAAAGGCCCTCGTTGCGCTATCGTCCCTTTGCTGTGCCTGATCGAAGGCGTCTGCATCTAGTGCGTCAACAAGTCGGTAGACGGGACCTGCGAGGACAGGTGCCGAGAACGCAACGAAGACAGCTGTATACTTGGCGATCATGACGTCTTAATTTCTTTGGAAAACTGAATAATATGCGCTTGTGTATTCAACGAATGACTTCAAGCCAAGAGAAATAGATGCTTGTATTCTAAAGAACGACTGATCCCGCTCAACGGGTTGGGGGTGAGAGACTGAACAGCAAGGAGTGGACGCGAATGCAAAAGTTTCCCAGCAGTGTGAGCGCGAAGCAAACCGAGCATCGCGAAGGAAAGAATGCTCGCTCGAGGCCAACCAACAGATAATGATGGAAATCCGTAGCCATCGTGGACGGGTCGCCAAGGCGCCCACGTAACAACTCCTGGGCGCTTGTCCGGCGCAAAGCAATCTGGAGAAATTGGAGCTTCAGGCGCCGCGCCCTCAGCAAGATGAAAGGCTCTTCTTGGCCTTTGTCACAGTCCCGCAACTTTTCAAGGGCCCTCGTCTTTCTAGCTGTGAGCCTCACCGACGCGACTGTTTCGTTTTGAGTGCCAAGAGGCTACAGTGAGAGGTCATCTTTTTGTTCCTGGAATTGTCAGGGGTTATGAGACGAAGCGCGTCGCAGAAGCTGGGATCTGCGGAGGGTTTAGGTCGATTTCGGCTCTGGTTCAGACCACAGTGGAGTTGATTGGCCCACAGCCGTCGGCAATCTCTCTGGGTGAACACGCTGAAGCGCCGTCTTTCCCGCCTTTGTCGAAGTGCCAACGTCAAAGCAACTCTCCCCAATTCAAATGCTACTGTAGACCGTCTGTCACCGATTTTGAAGCATCCACGCCCTGACTTTTTTTGCATCGGGTAGTCAAGCCGGTCTGATGTTTAAGCATATTAAGCTATCGGCCACCGCGCAAGCTCGTGGGTCTTAGATAAACGGTGTCCTGCGTTGTGGATCACTGTCGGTTCATGCCGAGATGGCAGCTGGTGAGCGAGACTCTCTGAGTCTCTGCCCGCTCAGTGGCGTGATCTTTATGATGACCTACTGTGTGTAATCTTGTTGCGGCGTCGTAAGGGACTGGTGTCACGAGTTGAAATCTTGCCCTCGAGTGCCGTGATAAAACAGACGCCCCGACATGGTCCCATGTGTACTTGTCCCGTTCCGTATTTGGTGATCCCTGTGAAAACACGGAGTTGTTTTCTGCATACTCGCATTGACAAGGGTTGAGCAGTGATAGCTCGGTAGCAAACCCTAACAATCGAACCACGGGACTCTCATCACACTACATAGTAGACCCGACGTTTGCAAGTGACGACACATCTATCATCGTTTCAAGACGATACTAATGACACGTTTTGAGGTTGGCGAAAGCGAAGGGAATGGTTTTGTTTCATGTTTTTACGAGGAATACTTGATAATGCCCTCGTCTAGCCATCAGCTATGTACATAAATATGGCCGCCCGCTGCTTGGCGTCAGAGTAGCATAGGGTAGTTCGATCAAGCGCTGAGGAGCGAATTTAGCACTGTCTTGACGCCGTTCCAGATCTCGATACCGCTGGGCAGAATCTCGTCGGCAGGCAGCACGAACGATGTACCACGCAGCTCGATGGCCCAAGCATATGTGGCTTTGGTGACATCAGTCAAGTAATCAGTCGAACCTCCGGTAGCCTGTTGGCCGTTAGCAGAAGTCACATCGGTCGCAAACACACAGCACTAACCTGGTAGAGGGTGGTGCAGATAGGGCCCGCCACAAATGAAGTCCCATAAGCCGTGGCGATAGACGACTTCATCGAGTTTGCAAGACTTTGCTGTGTCGCAAGATTCGCGACTTTAGCGGAGCAGCTGTACCCGTACGGCAAGAGAATAGCCTTAGAATAACTGTGGAAGTCGATGTACCATGGAATGCCGTGTGCGGCCGCGACGCTGGTAGAAAACGTGGTGAGAACCTTGCATTCAGGGGTATCACAAGCAGCTTGGCCTTTGTAGTCTTCAGCAGACGGCGTAGTTGAAGCCCCTCCTGACACGTCCCAGTGAGACGGCCAGTTACGATTGATGTCAGTTCCTACGGCTGAGATTCCAGAACGAGTTTGTCGGTTCTTGCGCCACAAGCGGTTGGTTCCCTGGCTATAAACAAAACCGTCGGCGTTGATCACAGGGATGATGTAGAAGTCATAATTGTCCAAGAAGGTCTTGGTGGTACCAGCGCTGTAACCAGAGACAAGGGAGTAAAGAATATACTCTGCAACCATCGTTGCGATCCATTCTCTCGCATGAACCGTAGCGTGGTAGTAGATAGCAGGTTTGGAACTCTTTCCACCGCTACCCCAGAGATGAATACCAGTAATGGCTCTCTTCTCAAAAGTCTGGCCGACTACGAAGATCTCTGAGTTGGAGGGGAATGCCGCCTGGACGTCAGTCAAGTACTGCAGATGGTCTGCGTATGAGTGGTACGCGCTGAACCAATCAGTGCCGGGCAGGGCTGATGCTGCTGGTGCTGCTCCTTTGTCAGTATAATCTGCCTGACTGTTGCAACATTAAAAACTAACATGAATAAGCAACAAGAGGTCCTTCTGCGGCAATGGCAGCACCTAAGTCTTCCTCGACAAGACTACCATTCAGTCCGAGTGCGTGAAATGCGTCAACCTCGTGTGCAGGGACTGCAAAGTCCAGGTGATCATCATGGCTGCAACCCTGGAGTTTGACAGTATCTTGGAGCGACGAGCTGATACTGTATAGACTTGACAGCCCTTCGGTCGCATGGGCGGGAACGTCGACGTGGAACAATTTGTACCCATCATAGTTAACCTTGCTGGACGCCTCAGGAAGAACAGCAGCTGTGGCCAGGGAGGCTGCTGACAGGGCAATATTGACAAACTTCATGATGTATCCGATTTCGAATAACTTCTCGCCGTGGTTCTAACAGAGATTGCCTAGATCAAAGTGACGACGATCAAGCAAGTCCCTAGGAGATGCAGAAAGTCGAATTGAGGAAGAAAGATCAAGCGACGGGTTTCCCAAAGAACTTAGAGATTCACATGAACAGAAAGCCTAGGCGGGTATTCCCTTGATGAGTTCCCGATGCAGGAAAAGCTATGCAGTACAGAATACTGAAGCACAATGCCAAGCATATCTAGGAACCTGGGAGACACAAATGTTGTGGAGCATGGAGTATTAAAATACCCAAGTAAGGATGCTGTCTGGGGTAGCTCCTCTACCACAGATTCTACGAAACAACTTTCTGATAGCGAGTGCCGGATAGCTTTGGCCGACTACGACATCTGGGCACTCGACGTCGCCTAATGCGGCAGGCAGGACTGAAATAATCCATCGACAATGAGGAAAGAGGCATTGATAATAATACGTGCATCGCCTATCCCGATGTGACAGCAAAATGGTGCTATCCCCAAGTAGTGGAGGCAATGGACCTATTACAAGGGAATATCGGTTGGGGAGAGCTCCTCATCCGCTCGTTATTGAAAGAAGTAATTGGAATAGCCAATACAAGCGTCAAAATGCTCCAGGAGAAATACCTGGGGTAGCATGAAAGCGGGATACACCCTGGACCAGGCCGGCGTATCTTTTAGCCAGCAGTGTTGTGATCGACCCAGCTTCCTAATACGGTTATGTTCTGGACTGCGATCGCCTAGGACGTGATCGTCTGATCTGGGAACCCCCTGACGGTAAGTCGCTGCAGCTGCCTTCGCCAGAAAAAGAGCCGACGCTAACAATAAGCTTAATTGCATGTTTGTGGGCCTTTTTGTCGGGATACAGAATATTGACAGCGAATAATATTCTTGGAAAGTCTTGTATTTCCTGGGCAGAATGAACATTTTAAGGCCTCAATGATGACGTGATAGCTCGAGATTACCGTCGTTTTCGATCAATCCACGGAACCGTCCCCGCGTTTCTGAATTTCTGAGCTGCAGTCGTCCAGTGAAATGTCAGGAGAACAGCTAGAAATACTAAAATAGATGGAGATCGTCCCGGTAGTCCTTGCGAAAATGCTACAAAGGAAGATTGCTAGTTCATGGTTCCGAAGACTGCGCAGGTAATTATGTCCGTGTCTGGTAGCTGCACACCTGCACCACGATGAATAATCCAGTGTCTGTTGTGTCATGAAGGTCAGTGCTTCTCTTATAAGCATAATTCAATTTCCTGGAATTCTCATGAACGTGTCTTTCGATTTGCCGGCATCCTTCACGAATGCCGCACGAGAGAATCTGACGCTATTTTGAGGCTTGAAGCTTCTGCGTCAACCCGATAGGCCAGGGATTTAATTCTTTGTACGACTCAAATTGCGGGTTTGCTGGTCTCATACTCCTATACAGACACCTCTTCGCTATATGAATAGTACATTCGCGCAACTATAGGCAGATGATATACTCGCACACTTCCCGAAGTTTAAGGAAGCACATACACTTCATTATTTTGTCCCTTAATTTATAGGTCTGCTATAATTTTCCCATCACTATTCTATAAGAACCAGGATAACTTCTCCAACTTCCGAAAATAAAACTATTTTTGTCGAGGTTTTAGAAACGAGTTAGTGTGACTAGTTAAAGCAGACTATACGATCTTAGTTTTTGAGATTGCCAAGACCTCGATGTTAATTAATTTTCATGGATCTCCGGCACTGACTCAATCCCTCGCATTGTTTCCTGGCTTACTTGAAGTGTACTTTCCACACGCTGACGAAAGCCCGGGTCTTGCTCGCCTTCCGTGGCGGCGTTCTCATTGCGCACGATATCCCATGTGGCCTTGAATTCTCCTAACTGCTCTCGAAGAACCCGTCTAACCTCGGTCTCGCATCTTGTAACGGATGCCCGGAAATGGGTTGTCGTTTCCCTCAGGATACCATCGAAGAGCGCCTCTTGAGAAATATGGCGATTCACGATGGCTTTTCGCCGACTGTGACTGCCGGTACCTGGCCAAGTCAGTATGGTGTCATGAAAATTTTGTGACAGGTGTTGATACCAGACTCCATGTTGCACCCTCTGTATGCCAATTCCATGGCTTTCCCGACGAAGGAGGTGCGGATACCGGAAAATACATCCGTCTTCAAAGTCCTATTACCCGTGAGACTACAAATCTTCATCTCCAATTAATTAATGGAAGCCTTACGCTAGGTTTGATGCCAATTCCTCTGTAATCTTCTCAAGCTCATCTCTTATTAGATCCTGACGCGACATCATGGCATCAATGAGGGTGTCGGACAGTTCTGGCGAATTTTGGATATTTGTCTCTGTGAAAGGTTAGTGTATACTTAAAATGAAATCACATAATAGGCAGCGCTGTACCAAGATGATGAACCATCGATTGTATTGTTCCTTCAAGTGAGGCCATAAAGGTTTGTTCACCGTCATGGATTTTTTCCATCAAGATCTGCCAGGGGTGAGTCAGATCACGGACCATCGTCTTTGTAGCCTCTTCATTCCAGTTTCGTGAGCCGACGGCACGGGTGCAATGGTCCCCGTAATTTCGGCAAAAGGCCGCGTATGTACCTTCTCATGTCAGCAAGTTCTGCTGGGAGCGCCACGCTTGAACATACCGTGATGCCACTACCAAATTGGTTAACAACCTCTGTACGGTGGGAAAATGATATAATTGAACTTACCTCGGACCAATTAACTGCAGCGTCTCTCGCGGCCCGACTCCATTCAGCGACGTCCCCTTTTCGTAATGATAAGTTCTTGGTCCGAACATATTAAGTTGATGTGGACTACATACTTTGGTGTTTTTGAATCATTTCCTCGAAAGTTACCCTCGCAGATGGAACAAAACTTCTTAGGTGAGAGGGGCGTCCCACGAGAGCCTAGTTTGAAGCGAACTTAGTCTTTGCGACAAATTGATATTTCCACCGACATTCTTACGTTTCTCAGACAGCGCTCAACAACGTCGACAGCTTCTCTAATCTCTTGTTTTCGCTCGGCATCCAAACTTGGCGCACCCGATCGAACCCAAAGCTCTATGTCGCTGAACAGAGCCGCAACGTCATGCCGAATGTACTTGATGGCGCTTTGATATTGGCCCTCTGAGACAATCGATATGCAGTGCTTACGCAATGAGATGATGCCACTGAGTTGGAGCAATGGCATGGCTTCGTCCCGTGGTGAGTTCCTTGTCAACCAATAATCGTCATTACTGACGCAGAATACTTTGAGGCCATGGTCTGGGACCAGATGCTGATAGTTTTGTCGTAGACTAAAAATCACTTTGCGATTACGCATCTGGATAATGTATCGTTTGAGTCTATTGTTGCATTGTGAGTACCAAACTTCGAACGGTTTTCTAGCTTGGACTTACTCAAACTTCTTGTTGTTTGTTTCTCTCCTAGAGGCGTACACCGTTAATACAATTCCACATATGCCGAAACATGGAGGTAATTCAAAGACAAATGACAATTTGGCGATGTACATGAGGTAGTACACCAGTCATATGAGGTAGGGTGGGATGACTTCAACATGTCACAAGTTGAGAGATGTACTCACGAGAGTCGTGCCAGGTCCCTTGAAAGCTCACGGGCTATATCTCTTTCCTCGTCGCTCAAGTCGTCTTCATCATAATCTCTTAATTCTTCCTCTACTTGCTTGAGCTGCTCTTCGCTTGAGTCAACGTTGTCCATCAGTTGTCGTATATGAGCAGCTGTCTTTCCCTTTGAATCTGTGAGGGCTTCATTGGGTTTGATGTCCTATCTCCTGTCAGCGAAACGCGTGTTTAATGGTGCTTCCGGGTACACACATCAGACTTCGTACAAACAATGCCGACGTTGGACAGACTAGCTCTTTTGGCAAGATCAATAACACATTTGACACCTTCGTCGCTTGCGGCGCGGCCGATTGCTGCTATTGCAAAAACTTCGTCGCAACCGAGAATGTATCGCTCGGTAATGTTCCGCCTGGCAGTGTTCAAGTCTCGAAGTCCTAAAATACGAATCATTAACATGATACCATATGCATTGCTTTACTTTCATAAAAGCTTACCAGGAAGATCAGCAAATATTAGACCTTTGCTCAAAACATGCGCTTTCAAAAACACGCTGTATCATGTAAGCATCAACTGTAGTGATCATAGCCGATAAATTCTCACCTGAGCCGCTTCACAAACGGCCACACAGCCCTTTCAGTGGGAGTGGCTGGGTCAGAAGTGAGTTCAACAAGACAACCCGAACATTCTGCCAGCGAAGCCAGCACCCGGCGACCTTCGAATATTTCAGCAGCATTCTCGTGCGCCCACGAACGCAAGGTTGCCAGAACTGCTTCCTCAGAGTCATCTGTGAGCATTTGACTGCGGTTCATCAAGTGATTCCCGAACATGGACTGGAATGTGTACCAAGCAATCCTGTTTCGCTGCTCGCATTCCACCTTTTCATCCCCAGCCATCTCATCCCCGTAAAACTCATAGTGGCGGAAAGCTTGTAACATGTCTTGAAGCATCTCGTCAAGCTCGTCACTGCTAAAGATGTCCACTTCGATAGCGAAGTCGTCGCGGTCATGATAGTGATACTCCGTGGCAATGCATGTACAAGCTACACCGCCGTTGCTCTGTTAATATTGTTAGTATATAATTCTTGGAATAGAATCTGGAGTGCTTACTGTGCGTGCAAGTGCACGGAAATCTAGCAGTGAGTTGAGCAGACTGCTCTTGCCTTTGGCGCAGTCTTAGTCGCAGTCCAGGACGAAACTTGCATATGACTTACCAACACCAGAGTCTCCTACGAATGCAACAGTTCTCTCAAACGGTTTACTGAAATCAGACAATGAAGAGGTCTTCTCATAGAGTCGCTGCACCGTAGAATCCGGCTGAACATGTAATTCACTGCTCCCCAGAACAGCCTTGAGTTGTATCACTCGGTCTTTAGTCTCCGATAAAGCTTTCTGGAGCCCCGGTTCATGAAATCGATCTTGCGGAGGTTCTTCCTCCTCGACTACATGAGGCGGCTGCCTCGTCCGCGGACTAGACCGTCTTCGCGCAGTTGGGCGCGGTGGGGGAGACAAATGCTCCGACGAATCTGGGGTCTCACATCGGTGCGATCCCCTTGGGGTGCTCGTAGATGATGCCAAATCATCGATGGCCGATTGTAACTCGGACACACCGAAGTTCCCGCCCGCGCTGGATAAGTGTATTTTACCAATTCCATCGGCCAATGCTGCATCTTGGCTTCCTTCGGTCAAAGTCGAGGATGGATGGAGACCCGCTCTATCCGCAGCAAAACTTCCTGAATCATGTCCGGTTCTAGATTCTTCGTGAGGGAAGTCGTAGCTTTTTTCGCTTTCAGTCGACGGGGTAAGCGCTGTTGTGATGGATGCACTGGAGCTGGATTGCCTTGTGCCGGGTTGAGAACCCGACTGAAACAGGACATTAGAGGAAGATTGCAAATGCACGAACTTCTAAACCGACATACCTTTCTCGTCATGATTCTGAATACCGAAGGGAGTATATACTCGAGTATAGTTGCAACTAGGAATGATTGGGGACAAACAATATAAAACGCAAGTATATGTGCCATTTACTTTGCGGGTGACCACGGCTTTGTTATAGACCTGCATAAACCTTTACAGGTATCTGGTATTCCAGCGCCCCTCCCGCCGCGTAGAGCCTTGCAACATCTGTAAATAATGGCAAGGGCCTAGGTGGCCTCCTGTAGGCTTCACGAGGCACAGCCAGCGGTTCATACATGGGTCTACAAATATGCAACGTTTGTAAGCCAATAAGACCAGGTCGGGCCGGGCCACGGCTGTGACACACCAGGATTGCGCATAAATCACAGTGCTTCACAGCCTGAAAGTCCTAACGCCAGCCATCCTACAGCCTCCAGAAAAGGCCCTGCCTGGACTTTGTTGGTTTCAGGATTTGCAATTAACTATGTGGTCGGTTTCGCTGACAATACCGTTATATCGGACTCTGCACGTTGTTCACACCAAAAATGTTCTGGTCTAACGTACCAACGGAAGGAGATACTAAATATCCACGGCTCAAGCTACTTATGCAAATGCTGTTATTGTAAATCAGTATTTACTGAACGCTCTTTGGATCCATCCGAGCTTTCCTCCAACGTATGCCATATTGCTTCAAGAGCTAGACAGCCAGAGTGCCAAAACTACCACTCCAAATGCCTAGCAATGTGAAGAAGAGGCACCTTGACGTGACATTGAGAAGTGGCTGTGTGATAGAAATTCCAATAGCACCCATGGAGCATCGTACGATACTCGCAGCGACAAGCGGCGGTGCTAGGGCACTCAGGATATGTGTCAACGAGCAGGATGTTGTAGGTGAAGTAGAATGACGTCCCCAAGCGGGTCATCAAGCATTACATGGCCAGGAAGACTCCCACATGGGCACCGAAGTGGAGTTCCCAGGCATAGCTCACCAAAATCGATGTATTGAGGAACAGGAGGATGTAGCATCCTCTTGATCTCACCCTTTCGATCGAGAATTGTTCCATATCGTCTCCAGTGACATTGTCGATGGCCCAGCCAATACTTCGTGTCATCCACTTATAGTCGTGGTCCTTCAACTTGTCATTTAGCCAGGCGCCAAGAATACTTCCAAGGCTTCTATTCAGATAAGAGTGACCGGCGTAGAGTGCATTAAATTTGTATAAATCGTCAAGTATATCCGGAATCGTCGCTGTGACTATGTAGTCAATAGTGTAAAAGCTGCCTCCTATCCATAGAATCAGAAAAAGTATGTGCTTTGAAAACCATTCGCAGTGAGCGAAAGGATTGATTTGACGCAATCTAGTCCATACTCCTCGCTCATTTACACCAATCTGCACTGAGCCGCCCTCGCTGCCTCGTGACATTTCTTCTGGCTCCGTGCGGGCACTCCTGATCAACTCTATCAAGCTTTCCGGCCACCTTCTCCTTCTGATCTTTAGATCAGGATAGTCACCATGGGTGTCTAAATGTCGGCTAACTCGCGCAACAATTCCAAGGTCGCAAGGACGAATTGTCGGAACGACCTTTCGTGGTTTGGATTGGCCTCACAATTCTAACATCCCTGTCTCTACATGCAAGATAAACCGTTGGTTCTCTCTCGCTGTAACGTTGGACATGGTGCTGCACATCCAATCGGGGGGCACAGCAGCGAATAGCGGCGCGTGTAGCCGTCCTTTGACCCCGGTCACCAGCATTGCCATGCCGCAAAAGTGCAGAAGAGACGAGAGAAACAGGAAAAAGATGGACCAGAACCTCGAGCGGCACATCGCAGATGGGGGCTATCTTGTAAGTAGCAAGTGCACCGCCTAGCACAATCCACAAAGTCAGGCAGGAAGACCGCGGAGGAACGATGTCCATACTAGATCACGGCCCGAGAAGGCTGCCCGCCTAGATGAAGGATGGATGGGTGCACTGTAGGACGAGGCTTGATTTCCTCTTTTCCCTCATTCTGTCCTTTTTCGTGTTTTGGTCTCTTGGTTCTGCGGTAGATTCTTTTACTCTAGATTGGCTTGAGACATGACAATTTGAGACGATGAAAAAGCCGCGACTGCTCGCTCCTGCGGCGCAGCAATTGCTACTCCTCTTCGGTAAGCCACCCTGGGTACACGGCCCGATTTTTTTGTAGTGTGAAGTCGGCTATCCCAGGAAGCCATCTGCAGATTCGAGGAAATTGAATAAGCCTCAACTTCTAACACTCGCAGAAATCGTGGCAGCAGCATCCGATTGCGGTGATGGATCCGCGACGACCACAATAACTATTGCGAACTCCGGCGATGCCAGTTCACTGGCGAGTGCGTGCGCGACTATCGAAGCCTCCGTATCAATCGGCGCCGGTGCTGGTGGCGACATAGAGCTAGATGGTGTGCAAGTCATTCGAGGCGAGTTGCAAGTAGAGAGCTGTTCGGCACTCGGATGCGACGAAGAAACCACGACGAGGATCTCGAGTTCAACACTTGAGCTCGTAGATGGCGACGTCAACATTGCAAATTTGAGCGGGCTGCAAAACTTATCGTTTCCCGCCCTCGGGGAAGTTAAAGGGCAATTCTCCGTCCACGATCTGGACAGCCTCGATACGCTCAACCTGAGCGCGTTGAGTTCTGTCGGGAACTTGACCATCTCAAATGTTAGACAGCTATACTACCTCAAGCTTGGTATCGCGCAGGCCAACAAGGTCTCAGTAACAGGAAACAAACAACTGGTCTTGCAACTAGACGGTACAACCACCAGCGACGACACAAACTCAGGCTTGGTATCATATCTCGATATCTCAAGGATCGGCGAACTGCGCTGGGGCGCCTCGAATGGCGGTATTGTCGTCGGTAATCTTGCCGTGCACGACACCGGGATTACCGAGCTTCCGTTGCTGTTCTCGAGTGTCCAAAGCCTCGACGTCTGGAACAACGAGGATCTAACAGAGGTGCTGTTCCCAGCCGACGAGAACGCGCAGACGCGGTTGTTTTCGCAGCTGAAGCAGATCAGCATTGGGAACAACGAAAAGTTTAACATGACGACCATCCGCAGCGTCGAATGGAACAGCACGGACATGCTGAGCTGGGTGTGGCCGAGTGAGAACCTGGACTCGGTAGTGCTGGATGGGATCATACACATTGCGTTCTTGTAAGCCATCTCTGCGGGGTCTGGAGAAGCAATCAAAAAAAGGTTTGAGGCTCAGCAGCTGACATGCCCTCCTCTTATTTTTAGTCAACCCCTGATCGATACACATCAGTATACCACGCCCAAAAATGCGGAATCGAGTGGGTCGCGGGTGGTAAAGAACTTCAACATCACATCATCCGCCTCGACTTTCCATTGCGAGCCGATTGACGAGTTGAGGAGACATGGCGTGTTTCCGGGGAACTACAGTTGTAACGGTGATCATGTCGATATACCAAACAGTGGTGGTATCCGAGGTGGAGGACGTTCAATGATGATACATCTCATGACGGTCGCGGCAGCTGGACTGCATGTGCTGTTATAATCTGCGGGTCTAAATTCCTGGGCGTATTGCCTATTTTCAGAACGATGCCACAAATATTAATTTACTTGCAACCACTAGATGATTAAAGCGGCATGCTGCTCAACCCAGGTAAATTAGTACATATACAGTTGACATTGGGGTGGTATCTAGCAATCTCAACTCGAATGAGCAGGAGACAATGCTTAGGTATAACAACGCTGGCCGTTACAAAACCAGTCATTTCCCAAAACAATTAATGCCAGTAATGCAACCGATTTTTTCGGGACATAGTAGTTTTGGAAGGCGAACCATCTCTTGATCAAAAGACACAAGCCGCCGCGATCAGGTATAGGTGTAAAAATAAAACCAACTCCGCAACATCCGGATATCAAACCCTGTACATTCCATTACCATACCCCATACTCCTCTGAACCTAGTTTTCAGTCGCAAAACACACTGACAATACCTAACGCCTTTTCTCCTCATAAATGACAAAGTGATTTTCTTGTTTTTGACTTGCTAAGGATTGGGATGACTTGCCAGAGCAGCCTCGTAGGTGTAGAAACGCAATACCGCCCCAGTGGGTTGTGCTCTAGAGGGATATGAATCCACCTGATGACGAAGATATCTCATCTCAAGACTCACGGCAATTCATCGTAATAATTGTCGCCGTTTGGCGAAGGCGACGTAGGGGCCGCTTGACAGGATGAAGGAGGTTGCGGATAAACCACCGGCTCCTGGCGTGCGTAAGCACCTGGGGCGTCGTGGAGAGCAGGTGGACGTTGCGCGTTGTCCTACATCACACTCTGGCCAAGCATTCCATTTTCCATGGTGATATTGTCGGCAAGAACGCCCATCTCGCCATCTCTTTGCTCCATACCGGACATTCGCGCATCCATGTTGATCACCCTCTGTTCAATGTCACCGAGTCTCTTCTCAATGTTGTCCATCTGTTGCGCTATACGTCCCATGCCTTGTGACATGTCATGTCCAATGCGATCAAGCTTGTTTGTCAAGCTTCGGATGCTCTGGGCGATGGGCGTGTTTTCTTGTCCCGGAGGTGCAGCGGGAACCCGAGCCTCGTGGTTGTGTCTGCTGTCCTGAACTGCAAATCGCCACTGGTTTTGCAGGGAAACCTCGCATACGGCTTTTGCCCGCCAGGGGCAGTCGACCTTGCGCGTGCTAGGATTCCGCTTCTTGGCCGTGCTGTTGTACTTGACGCCACCTCTGTCACACACCAGGTCGTATCGTGTGGGCTTGCCATCGCGGTAGTTGCTTGCTCGCAGCTTGACTACTCCATAACCTTGGTCCTTGGCCACGCGCTGGACTGCCGTGAGCAGGTCTTCGAATGTGCGGTAGATGCCCTCGGGCGGGGGCGCAAGTGTGCCCGGGCTGTCGAGGGTGCCAGGAGGGACGATGCGCGAGGGTGTCGGGGTGGGAACAGGGACAGGCGTATGCTGGATGCCGTGATGCCCGTTGACGGCGACACCAGGAGTGCCATTCGTCAGTGCCGCATGGCCACCGACGGCCGCCGTGGGCTGGAGGGGGGTTTGGAGCGAAATTGTGACGGTGTTTTCAGGGGAACTGGGGGAAACGGGGTTTGGGTTGTGTTGGTTTCTAGTACGATGATTGGCAAACGGCACACACAGTCCAATACAGTTCCCGGTATTCGAAAACTGAATACTGTACTGCTGTACGGGGGAGTGGTGGAGGCTTCTCGCTCGTAGCTGGGTTGTCGCTGTGACGTCGTGGGGGGCTTTTATTATGGCGTACCGCGAATGCTATTAAGTGCCCCAGGGTCCCGTAAGTTTTGGTTTGGAGGACGGATGTGCAAGGTGCAGCTGGTTCCTGGCTCAAAGTGCCGTGGGCGCCGTTGAGATATGGGAATTCTTACTGTGAAGGCGCTTGTAACGTGTTTTAGGGGGGAAGAACTTTGAGCTGGAGGGGAGAAGAACGTCAGAAACACAAATCGCACGGCCCGACCACACAGTTCCCGCTCGGTGCTTGAAATAATCCAGCGCCGTCGGGATTAGGCACAGGAAGCAGCGGCCCGAGACAGGCCATCACATCACATCACTGCGAGAAAGCCAAGGTTGCGGCTTCGTTACATACAGTACATAGTACATACTAGCAGTACAGAAGTTAGCGCTCTCCCACTGCCTCGCTAGCGCACACTTGGTACAGATCCCTACTACATACACATGGGCCAGTAGAGCAGTAGAAGCCTGCTTGAGGGCCCTTCTTTATCCTTATCGACATACCGGTAGCTAAGGTTAGGTAGATGATAATCCCCGCCATTGTCGGTCATTAATCTAGTCTCATGTAAGGAAGGCTGATGAAGCTGAGACAATACATCCCAATGAGCGGCACCCGCAACTCCTGTCCCAACCCTACATAACTCGTATCCGTGCAAGAGATGATTTCCTTGCTCTGACTGACCACCTAACCCTTCTGCGATTAGACAATCAGAAAGCGTTGCAACGATGGCGGCAGACGCTGCGGCTCCAAAAGCAAATAGTACAAGCCCCCAGGGCGAGCCAGATGAATGGAGCGAAGAACAAATACAAGACGCTCTTGAGCAGCTGAAGATGCTGCATATCAAGGTAAGATCCGCTCACTCACGATCCTATCTCATCTCGCCAAACCTTCCCTCTGCACCTAGCACATGATTCGAACGCATTCTAATGCTACCGCCTTGCCAGTGCCGAGAGCTCCGCACGACGGTCCCGCGCATGCTCGAGCCTCTGACTTCAAGACAAACTACCCGTACGTGACCCTCGAAAAGACGGCGGGAGCATATGTATCTAAGCCTGGCCATTTGTAGAACAAGACGCCCTCGTTTCCTTTCGAAAGTCGGTTGAAAATGCTGCAAATGAAATGCAAGACTTCAAGACTCTTTACAACAGCGACGAGACCAGCAAGGTCTTTGGACAGGCAAAGAAGAGTCGACAAGCACAGCCAAAAGACATCAAGGCCTGGCGAGCTCGAGACCACCCTGACTGGCTTGATATGAAGGAGAAGAAACCGACCACGTAATCACCAACACTCTACATAATTGTGCATTTCAGGGCGTTTGAGGGGCGGTTGCCAAGAGAAGAACGAAGACCGTTTTTGTTCTGCATATGGACGACCATATAGATTATGGCCTACGACGATTGGGCTGAGCTGTATTAACATGTGGGTTTGGAGTTTTACTGCTCTAGAAGGAGAGCTTCAATAGGCACAATTGATACCCTGGGGATTATCTGATGCTGGTTTACCAGCGCACTCTTCGTATGTTCCCAGGCAAGCAAACAAGGTGCTCTTTTGTCGAATGAAAGTTGATTCTATCCGTGCAACTTGGTTCCTGTGGCGACGATTACATGTTAAATTATTTCCGTGTCTCTCGAGTCTCCTATGTAACACGGCGGAGGAGAATTCATGGTTGGCAGTGGGGCACAAGTTTGACAGCTGGCACCAACGATCCATGCAGTCATGAAGCTCTCACATTCTACTCGGTACTCACACACAGGGCAGCATATCCAAAGGAGAACGTGTGCCTCTGGGTGACTTCAACGATCATATTGTCCGAGGTGGAAAGATTTGCCCATAGACTGTGCCTCAATTTTGACTTTGACTCGTTTGCATCCCTTGCGTGACGCATTCATTTACATTTACATTTACGGTGTTTTGCAGCTGGGCGCCTTTTTGTATGTTCTTTTGTTTTTCCCTTTTTTTTTCTCCCTCCCAGCACTAGCCCCAAGAGATCAGGAATCAAATCCTGTCCTATCGCCCACTGTTGCCCACTGCCCCACCAAAATTCACCAAAATTTCGAAAACTGCCCTTTGACCCCTCCCCCAGTCAGAGCCTGGAAATCGCGTTCGGGTCTCACTACTATCCAGCCGGGCAGGTCCATCGATCCTTCGTTGACTCACCACGAAGCCACGCGCAACTGCATCTCTCAAACCCACTCATCACTTTTGATTTGGTTCGATTCAGTGATACAGCACCACCCAACATGTCTCGATTTTTCACTGGCGGTGGCGACAGCTCCAGCGAGAGCAGCTCCGACGAGGAGGAACTCTACTCTGAAGAGGAGGAAGCACAGGACAAGAAGGCGAGCTCCGACGAGGACGAATCCGAAGAGGACGACGAAGATGACTCGGACGACGATTCCAGCGACGAGGACGAGGGCGGCAAGACTGGTGCATCCCGTTTCTTGCGTGGCGAGTCCTCGGAAAGCGAAGACAGCGACGACGAGAGAGTCAAGACGGTCAAGAGCGCCAAGGACAAGCGATTCCAGGAGCTCGAAGCCATCATCAAGGCGATTGAGAACGGTCAAAAGATCAATGATTGGGGTTCCATTTCGACCGGTACGAGAAGAACACCACACCCATCCAGTCCAATCCCAATCCACAAGCACGCGCACCACTAACTCTTCTTGATTTAGAATTCGACAAGCTCAACCGACATGCCTCCAAGATCGGCGACAGCAGCAAGCCCCCCAAGGTCTACATCAAGGCCGTCGTGGAGCTTGAGGACTTCATGAACGAGACCATCTCCAAGCAGAAGGTCACTCCCAAGAAGATGAACGCAACCAACGCCCGTGGTCTCAACGCAGTCAAGCAAAAGATCAGGAAGATCTCCAAGGACTTCCAGACTCAGGTCGATGCCTTCAAGGCTGACGAGGATGAGTTCATGAAGTCTGAGGACGAGGCCCCCAAGCCAAAGTCCAAGAAGGCCAAGGCCGCCGAGATCTACACCGAGCCCACCGGCGAGGAGGGCGAGGGCGAGGGCGAGTTTGCTACCGTCGGCAAGGGTGGAAAGACTCTCCAGTTCACCCCCGAGAGTATTCCCAAGCACCTCCGCGCCATCCTAGAGTCGAGAGGAAAGAAGAACACCGACCGTACCGAACAGATCAAGATCATGGAGAAACTCTACGAAGTTGCTGCCACTCCTTACCAACAGCTCAAGGTCCTGTTGGTTCTTATCTCCGCGAGATTCGATCTCAGCACTGGCCCTTCCAACTCGATGCCCGTGGAGCAATGGAAGGCCGCCGAGAAGGACATCCAGACGCTCTACAATGTGCTAACCAAGAACGAGGATCACATCGTGGTTGAGGGTGCTGAAGAGTGGGAGGACGATGACAAGCAACCCCAGATCCAGCCAGGCGAGAAATATCTGAAAGTGCCTGGATCCATTGTCTCCTATGTTGAGCGATTAGATGACGAGCTCACGCGATCTCTGCAAATCATCGACCCCCACACCTCCGAGTACATTGAGCGTCTATCAGATGAGGGCGCCCTCTACAACGTCATTTTCCGTGGTCAGCTCTACTACGAGCACCTCCGCAAGGATGCCTCACTCGAGGTGCCCCAAGACAGCATCAACCGTATCGTGATGCGTCGTCTAGAGCATGTCTACTTCAAGCCCGCTCAGGTCGTCAAGATTCTGGAAGAAAACGCGTGGAAGTCGGCACCTACCAGCGCCGCTTCAAGCATCACACAGCAATCCGAGACCACAGAGGCCGACAAGCTCCTCAACATCCTCTGCAACTACCTCTTTGCCAACAGCGAGGGTATTATTCGTGCCCGTGCTATGTTGTGCCAGATCTACTTCGCTGCTCTGCACGATGATTACTACAAGGCACGTGATATGATGCTCATGTCGCATTTGCAGGAGACGATCAACAGCTTCGATGTTTTGACTCAGATTCTCTACAACAGAACCCTTGTGCAGGTCGGTCTCTGCGCCTTCCGCAAGGGCTTGGTCTACGATGCTCAGAACACACTGCAAGAGATCTGTGGTAGCGGTAGACAAAAGGAGCTCCTGGCTCAGGGTGTGATGATCCAGCGCTTTGCCCAAGTCTCTCCCGAGCAGGAGAGACTGGAGAAGCAAAGACAACTACCCTTCCACATGCACATCAACCTCGAGCTGCTCGAGTGTGTATACCTTACTTGCAGCATGCTGCTCGAGATCCCGCTTCTGGCACAGACTGGTTCCTCGCCTGATGTCAAGAAGCGAGTCATCAGCAAGACCTACCGTCGCATGCTTGAGTACCACGAGCGCCAAATCTTTACTGGTCCTCCCGAGAACACCCGAGACCACGTCATGCAAGCATCGAGGGCTTTGGCTGCTGGCGAGTGGAAGAAGGCTATCAACTTCATCCATGACATCAAGATCTGGGAGCTTATGCCAGATACCGAGAACATCAAGACCATGCTCTCGAAGCAGATCCAGGAGGAGGGTCTCCGTACATACCTCTTCACCTACGCCCCCTTCTACGACACCCTTGCTGTCGGCACCTTGGCCGCCATGTTCGAGCTTGAGGACCGCAAGGTTGCCGCTCTTGTCAGCAAGATGATCAGCCACGAGGAGCTCGCCGCCGCTCTCGACCAAGTCACAGCAACAGTTATCTTCCGCAAGGGTGTTGAGCTTTCTCGCCTCCAGAGCTTGGCCCTCACCCTGTCGGACAAGGCTGCTGCGCTCATTGAGACCAATGAGCGGACGCTGGAGCAACGCACACAAGGTACGGCCAATGCCTTCGATAGGAGAGGGCAGAACAACCGTGGTGGCCGTGGAGGAGGTCGTGGAGGTGGCAGAGGAGGTGCAAGGACAGGAGGTCCTCCACGACAAGCTGGTGGCACGCAGTTCACCGGTGGTGCACTGGGTGCTGCAGTTAGGGGCTAAATCGCGTTGTCTGGGTCTCTCGGTTCTGTAATTAATGCATATGGAGTAGGTTTCATTTTCGCAAAACAAAGGTGTACCGGCATCATGTTTATGCCAGTCCACCTGGGACGGACGGTCATGAATAGAGAGAAATTGAGCATTCTTTCGAGTTAAAATATCGATCAGTTCAAGTATCATGCATCCTGTATCAGAATTAGTATGTCACAAGAGCGTCGTCTTCGAACACCAATGAATTTCGACCAGAACGGGTAGGTCACCCAAGATTACAGATAACCTGGTAGAACATATTCAGGTATCAAACATTGAAGATCTGCTGCACTTGCACATGCTCATAGAAAATAAGTGGCTAACTTCAGTCTAATGCTTGCAAATGCAAGTTTCTTCAGTCGCTGGCTGGGCTACGGATTACAACCCCACCCCACCACAAACCCGCCACCATGAACCCGCGCGGGACCGCGAACCCTTTTTTGTTTTTTTCTCTTGGGCGAACCGTCGGCACCCAAATTGCTTTGCAATAGCTGACTTATTCAGAGATTTGAGACTAACGTCCTCCCCCCCAAGTCAACCAACCTAGCAAAATGGTTTCGCAGATATTCTTGCAAAAGGTTCCTTGAACTCGTATTCTTGTGCTTTTCCTTCTCCATCGATCATATATCAATACATATGCCCTTTCTGCGTAGAACCGCTCGATCCGCTCTCGTTGCCGTGAGATCCCGTTTTACGACTCAGCCATTCGTTCCATTTGGCTCAGCAACTATAACGACTTCTGGCGCCAGAGTGCAGACACGAGCAGGCAGACTGTCACAGAGACGCTCAGCAGCCATGTCGACAGCAGCAACGGCGGCGCCAGCAAGCCCCAACGCACCCGCACCACCATGCTCCGAACAGCAGAAGACGGCGACGGGGACAACGACAACGGAATCTTCTTCCTTGAAGGACGTAGCAGCAGCAACAACAACAGCAGCAGCAGCGGAGGAGGAGACGACCAAGCCCAAGCTCCCGCCCTTGACCCCGGCCGAGTTCCGCATCTACAACCACATGGCCGAGCACATGGAGCTCTTCCACAACCACTTCCGCGCGACCTGGAACCTGCTGTGGACGGCCTGCACCACGGGCCGCCGCCCGGCCGGCATGTCCCTCAAGGCCTTCGTCAACGAGGGCCTGCAGTTCCTCAGGCACCTCGAGGTCCACCACAACATCGAGGAGACCCACATCTTCCCCGTCCTCGCCCGCAAGATGCCCGAGTTCAAGGCCGGCAAGGGCAACGGCGCCGCCGAGCTTTTGAGGCAGCACAGGCAGATCCACAAGGGCATGGACGGGCTCGAGGAGTACCTCAGGGATGTGCAGGCCGGGAGGCAGGAGTTCGATCTCGGGAGGTTGAAGGAGAGGATGGAGGGCTGGGCCGAGGTGCTCTGGACTCACTTGGACCAGGAGGTCAAGACCCTGGGTGCGGAAAACATGCGACTCTACTGGTCCGAGTCCGAAATGCGCAGAATGCCCATGTGATCCTAGACATGGCGAGCTAGATATGTGTGGTCTATGAGAGGTGTGCATCCTGCTGGCCTTCGGGCTTTAGAGATGTTGCATGGCTTCAACTACTATACAGAGCATATAGAATGGGGGGACTGCTCGTCTATAGAGAATATATTTCACGCAGCTGGCCATATGTTGCGGGCACGGGCTCAGAGCCAGGGCTTCTTTCACGTCATCTCAACCGATTGCAACGTCTTGGGTGTAGAAAATTTCGGACATGGTGTATGTGAAAGCGATGCCTACCATATTCATATGATTGCCGCTGATGTGACGGGCGTCGTTGACGTTCTCTGGCGACTAGATATTATGTTGCAGGGCCCAGACTGGACAATATGCAATGCCCTTCGTGAGGGTTAAATTTGCAGTGCAGTCGCATTAATTAACACAGGTACGCGCGCTTACCATAGAACGACTAGAAACAATTCCCAACAGACCCCTCTTCAGACGCTAGGGTAGGGGGGGGTTCATATGCATATTGACTATGTTATGTGTATAGTTACGGAAACGCGACCGTGGTCCGCAATGATGCCGCATCATACTGAGAAGCCCGGAGAGCCTCGCAAGTAATCCGGTGCTTAGGCGAGGTAGATGAACTACAGTTCTGGATGGCCCACACCAGTTTCCTGTATTCCTGGTGGTTGATCCGGCGCCGAGTTTGCTGTTTGTTTCTGGTCGTAATAACTTGGATATATCACGAAATGGCATGACTTACGTTAGGTTCTCCTTGTCACTATCATGAAGCTAGATTTCATGGTTCCCGGTATCATGAACGGCGATCGAGTGAGAGTTCTAGAATGTAGCCAGGTAGCCAAGGGGTTCGTGATTCGTTAAATGCCATTTATGTTGTGGAATAGGATGAGATTGTCATTTAGCGGCACACATAATATAGGAGAGACCAATTCTACAGTCTAAAATATTGTGCATGCAGTGGTAAGAAATTTATCAGTACTTCAGCCTGGAAGATGGAGACTAAGATGCGTGTGACATATATGTTAACATCAGATAGATACAGGTTCTCCAACGAACGAAGTGGTCAAATCTACCGAAAGAATTGAAACTTCGTTGAGGCGCTCCTGCAACCCGCGCCACCCTGAGTAGAGATTGTACTATCATGAGAGAAACATACTGCATTTTTACATATGTAGTGCTTGTATGCATTTGGTTTTCCACGATGAGAAATATTCTTTGTCCTTCTCGTACAACCGCCCGTGGTGCTCATGGTTCCAGGCTAGTCTAGGAGAAATGACAGATCAGGAAGTGTATCCTCCTTGTTAATGCAATTTGAAGATTATACGTCATGAATGATGATATCTTTGACGGGACACACACGATATAATTCAGCAATATTCCGCCCGCTTGAGTACATCTTGGAAGCGGTGCTTGGTGCAGGGGCTAACAGAGTCACATACCAACCAGGCAAAGGACAAAAAGATTTGCACTCAAGATTTGTCTCCAAGATACTAGTGGCAATGATTGAGGCGCTGATGGTGATGACGATCCGCCCGATGAAGTGCAATCACTATACTCAGACTCTCGACGGGTACAAGTAAGTACGCCTGTATTAAAAGCCAAGCCATTTGTAGAGAACAGCCGTCGACTGACTCTACTTGTGAACACTCTGAGGCATGCCTCACACCATCAAAACGCTTATCTTGACGGCAGCTCCGATGACAAAAGATCCGGTCGATATTGTACAGGAGCACGGCATGAGCGCCCTGCATATTTATGGAATATGCTGCCAATGGCACTCTCAGCGACCTGATACAAAGAGCAATCAACTTAGAAGCAGAGAAAATGTTCCAGGATTGCATACTATGGAGATTCTTCATGTGTTGTAAGTTTCCTTACGTATAGTTGTAGTTATGAAGTCATAATAATTTCAAGCGATGCAGTACTGAGGATTTGCATCGAGATGGCCTTCTATGATCTGCGCAATATGCCAATTCTAAGGTCCCATAATGGCCTCAACGGCAGACGCGCCTGAGGCATGCGAATACATTCTCAGTGTTATAGCGAAAGTGAGTTGATGTCTCCTCCACATATGCGAAACAAAACAAGGAACATGGTCCAAATGGCTAATGCCGTTCACATGTTGTATAGGTTTCGCTGAAGCACGTATTGCTCCAGCTCGATTTTGACCCGGAAGCCGGTTCTGAGGTTGTGATCACGGTGAACAGTAACTCGTTTGCTTTGAACTGTGTACAGTTCTGGGACCAGTATCAGAATCTGATCGCAGCCAGTGTCAAACCCGACCTTGTTTAGCTGGTCCGTTGGTACCCTTCTAGTGACCCTAAGAAGAGGCCGGTCCTGGTGGAGTTGGCCTTTATTGCTCAAGAATATGTGAAGAACTGAGATTAGGCATACTATGGTGGAAGAGACGAGGAGTCTGATCGTGCCATTAGGCGGCGGATGACAGGTCTCTTGAGTGACACTAGTATAGCTGCACCAGCTACATGAAGTGGAGGTGTAGGAAACTGTGCAAGGTCAAAAGCCCCATGTAGGTACTAGTATTATTCTTATATAGTCATTCAGGTTACGGGCTGACGTGATCCGATCAGTATTTAATCACAGTGATATGCTCTAAAGAGCAGACAGGTATATATGGCAACGAAATCACAACTTATTCCGGTACCCGTTGTGATTCTTCTTAGTAATTTAGATTCTTGGCAGATTCTAGGTGCTGTTGTTAAGATTAACTATCTTGTTGGTGTAATAAGACCTTTGTTAATGAGGGGCCCAGATCAATAATTATCTGGTAATTATCAGGGGGTCTTAATAACGTGACTATACACCATTGCTCTCGCGCATGACCAAATTTTGGACTTTGAATTTATCAACTACTGATATAGTATATGTTCTGGCTACTTACTACACACAGTTCGGAACCTCAGCTTCAAGTTTCTGGATGTGACAAGCTCACTACATTTTACAAACAAAGAATTCTCTAGTAGCCATGGCCGGTATAGATGGTGAGAGGCTGGATATCCTCCAGTAATATTTCGTTGGCAGCCACTATACATTCAGAGGCATCCTGAATCAAGGGATGGCCAAGAAGTATATCTACATGATCTACCCGGACGACACTTCACTTGCCGACTCGGATGACTTCAACCGTAACTGGAAAAAGGAATGCGATCATGAAGTGGGTGTATTGCGGGTACGTAACTCTCAGACAACGACCGATGCCAGCTGATTCCATGCTGAACACTAACGATATTGCCACAGAAAGTGCGCATTTGTTTACGTCTCTTGTGCCTAGCTTGGAACTTTCGAGGCGATCCCTTAAGAAGGAAACTCGGAAAGGACGCTATCAAACACGGTATGGGCAGCTGGGTATTGTTGAAATATTACGAGAACGAGGAGGAATGGACACGTATTAAATTTCAAAACTGTATATTCTAAGGGATTTTCATGTGTTATAAGTTTACCAGTTACTTTTTGGATTTACTTAGGACAGTATGTACCTAGTCCATATGCACAGTGGCGAGATCTATTGTTGAAATATCTTTCCACGCGTTACCAGAGTTTGACACCAAGACAACGGCCATTGAAAGTCCAACGAGCTCAAGGCTGGATAATCGCGCATATAACAATATAAGGGACGAAAACGTTGTTATAAGAGCTCTGCTCCCTGATATTCAGCATCCTAAGCATGAAACCACACCTATCTTCAAGCTAGTTGATTTCGGCTCGTTAACATATATTGAGACAGGTCAAGAAACTGTTATATTGAGTGATGAGCCGGAGGTGTAAGTCGGGGAGTGTTTTAGATATTTGGAGAACGCACATGCGCGAAATATTCGTGAAGTAGCGATGCTAGTTGCAAGATAACAGCCGCAACATGATTTATGACACTGAGAGGCGAACAACTAGCGACGGTTTTTAGGCTATAGGTTATGCAGCACCTTATCAAACATAATCACCCAAATCCTCCCGAGACTGCGCCGTCACAAACCGTCTTGAAAACAAGTAGCTTGGCAGTACAGAAGACATTTCCAAACTATGACCGCACTGGTAGTTCATTTACAGCTGACGGCATCGAACTGTGCACTGAGAAGAAGGCTCTGATAAGAAAGAATGTCGACGGACAACTAATCGACTTAGTATGCTGGTGTCTCGCTAAGAATCCGTGTAGGAGACCTGATTTGGTATTATTTGTCTAGTAAAAAGTGGTTACTATGATCAAGTAAGCGTATAAGCCGGAGGACGACAATGTCTTTACAGCGGATGAGACGATCAAAGCCCGAATGATTAGGCTCCTGGTCAACGCTGGTATTGCGCCCCATGCGCTCATCAAAATCCGGCCTTGGCTCTCATTTAGCTCACCGGGTTGAAGAGTCTCATCTCACAGTGAGAGTAATTGATATAATTTTGCTAAATTCGACTGTGTCTACATGGCGTAACTGTTCATATGGGAAAGGCCGGGAAGATTCACACGAAGAGCTAGGGTTGTGTTCTAGACCTCTCCACTTAACGTCCTACTATCACCGTTAACGACCATCAGGATATCGACGATGATAACTTTAGCATTTTTGCCAATCTCTCATTGTTGGAATATACTATTCGCGGTCTCGTACGACGGTTGACTACGTAGTATAGGTAGTCACCGGCGTGCTGGCAGTAAGCCACCACAGCCACGATGTGGCTGTCGGCAGCCAGCAGCCGTGCGGGTGAACCCCAAACCCCTATCTATAGACCACGTACGAGGGGAAGAATCCCTTCTTCTCCTTCGTACGATAGCGCTGAATAGATCTATTTGTCGCCCAAACTGTACGGAAAGAAATGAATGGAGAAGCCATTCCACACTCATGGTATTTATGATCGAGACCTGACACTGCTATTTCCATATAACAAGATACGAGTTTTAGTTACGCATTCCCATCTGTACTGGAGTTGTCTTAAGCTAATAGCAATTAGCATCATTGGCTCACTCTGATATAGTACTTGCCAGTTATGAATCATATTTTAATGCTCGCAATTAGTGACACAACCATAAAGTACTGCGTATTCTTCCCTGGCCATTAGCTTAAAGAGCCATGGTTACGAATCGAATAGCAAATAGATCTAACGGAATATGATCGTGGCAACGGTGTGGTCAACAAAGGGTATGACAATGGTCCCTGCTGTGGGTGCTCGTTCGAGATAGCGAGGCATTTGTACACTTCTAGGAGGAAGCTATTCATACGCCCACATTTTCTATTACACAAAGCTGATGTGGGTCACATTATACATCGTGTATAAAGCTTATTATACTTGTTAGTTTAGAACCCCATTGGACTGAAGTATCACTGAGTCATGGATGCTTAGATTGTATTTTGGATCTTGAAAATCCGGGTTACACCCGAGGCACCTGGCCTAACGATTTGGAAATAGGTGTACAGAAGATCTGGTGATTTCGCACAAGGCAGAGGTTGAATTCAGAATCAAAATCGCTCGAGGACATGAGAAGGCAGTATAGTCCTAAACAGTCGACTTACAGTAAGAAGCGCCCACTGCTCATAGTGAGAGACATAATTTGAACCCACATCATGCCAGAATTTCGCCAGGACACCTCGTTTTGTAGCTTGAAGTCATATGGCTCGTGTTCCTTTAAACTGTTTCATATTATAGAATCAAGGAATAGTGGCAGTGATTGGACGGGTGCACGGACCTTTGCATCTGCCATTTAGGTGTACCACCATCCTTCCGAGGCCCAGCTCATCAGAGTCATTGATGGCGCTACCACATATGCATTGAACGACTCTTACTGACTAAGGCAAAATAGTCATCCCATCTCGTACGACTTTTAGATTCGTCCGCGCACGGCGTTTGAGCTCGGCGCTTGAGCGTTTGAACACGATCTGCGTATATCAGTAGTCGGCGACTACTCGGGATTCCGAGCCTTCCGGATGCGGCCCGCTAATGCATCTTCAGGTAGTTGTGCGGATATTCGAGATTCAAAAATAAGAGCGAGGCGCGACAAAAGCATTGTCTGCGACAAAGCCGCCTACCGTATAGTGGTAACAGGGATTGGTGCAGGTGCCGCAACTCCGGGCGAGCGTTGCTGCGCCGCCGTTCTAGAGAGGCCGTTGCCATTGAACGCGTCACTGCAGTCGAGAACAAAATCAAATACCCAAATGGTGATGAGATACATGAATCATTCGGTTAGTTGCTGCCCAAAAGGGTAGAAGAAAAAAAACCACCCCCGGACGGCGATCCGCCAATCTCGACACCTGGCTTATCGAGTCACAAGATCAATTGAAGAAAACGTGGCGATCAGCAATAACCCTGGCAATAAGCCTTTACACTTTCGAGATCCGGCTGTGGGGTATTATGGTATTTGTCAATTGAAATTCAAGAACGTTATCCAGAAAGCTTGGCGTACACTGTTTTGGTAATGCGAGTGTTGTCGCTAACACGACTCGTGGGGGAAAAAAAGGTAACTTACTGAGTATGCTTGTTTCACCTGCCGCTACTTCAGGCTCGGTGCCTTGGAACAGTCCTTCGGCTATCGCGTCCCTTCTCTACATGCAGATCATGAGCAAATGCCTTGGTTTTGTGTAAAGTCCAAAGATGATTGCAATCATTTCCGTCGTTTTAGCTCTACACAAGTTATCGTAGACCACTCAGCCTTAGAGGAAGACCCTGATGACATCATAGCTTTGGAATTAAGTTTGGTGTTAACAGGAGGATCAGGACCAGCTACTGTGACTACACAGTAGAAGATCAGTAAGCAAAAAAGCAAAGCTACTACATATGTCAGTATGTGGAACAAGCCCGTGGTTCTAAGTTGTTCTAGACGCATCGAATTCATCCTGGAGGAAACACAGGGCAATAACTTGACTGCATGTTGTGGTCATCATGGAAGTACTTGGTCGCACATACACGTCGATCTTGTCCTAAGCGGCCTCGTGTCGCGGACAGAGCACCGATTCTTCGGAATTGACAGGAAGCCGGCTCCAATTATTTGACTTCGCCCACTACAATCAGAGTTTCCCGCCTATATCGAGCTGTTGATCATGTAAAAAGGCTTCAAGGCATGGACAAGGGAAAGCCCTTTCGAAGATCTGCTACTTCTTCTTGATTGTTTCTCGAAATTATGCATCATGCCCCGGCCTCACCGCCCCAAGGTGAGGACTTCAGGCATGGAAAGATCTGCTTGGCGAGGCTACCCTAGTTTCAATGTTCTGACGTGTTCTCGCAGGGTATGGAGATGCCGAAATTTGATGCCTTAGCATGCCGGTTGGATCCTCTAATTCCAGGTACGCGGCTTTCAAATGAAGCCAACCACGAACCAACTATTTCGTTCTGACGGGGCACCAATGCCTTTGAACTAGTTCTAATGCGACTGGCTCTCGTGATAAAACATGCCTAAGGGGTAGAACTTGGGACTTATTTGGGGTTATTCTGATTCTTGCGAGTAAATTTTTGTGCTGTCCAATTGTGAACATGTAAATTTTGGAGTACCAGACCATTGGCTCGCCGTCCTACAATGCACTACTACGTCGGCAGGTCGGCTGCTGATATCTTGGCTCTCAAGGCATGCGCTCTATTACAAGTTCTGCAAAACATGTCCAACTACTCATGATAGCGGGGAATACATATTGGGGTATGATTGGTCAAGACTAACGCATCGTGCATCCGGTGATTCCCTTCATGCCCTGTTTTGGGTTGACCCCGGTTGAAGCACAGCCTTTTGAGGCAAGTTATCACAACGTTGAACGAATGCGTTCGCGGTTCCGAGTCAGCATACAACCAAGGTTCGATTGATGTCTCAACGTAGCCGTTCTCCAGTTCTCGGGAATAATTTTGGATTCCAGCGCGAGGGGGAAAAAGAAGTATAGTTTGTTTACCACAAGTGTCGCGACGCGTCATAGGCCGATGAACTGTGCTATGGCCATTTGAACTGTTCCAGGCTCGGCACGGCTGCATTTTTACATAGAAAATTTTCATCTTGCGATATGAAGCCGATGGTGCCGTCAAAAGTGAGGGGCGCCGATAGCCCGGGGATTCCTCACTAGGAGATAGTGTTCTCTAAAGGGTTTTAGTAGCGTCGAAGCGCCCGCATTTTGATGCCAAGAAACAGGCATCTTTCACAGAACACTACATCATAGGCAGATCATCTGCAGATAACCCCAGTCTATCCGCAGGCTTACCACTGGAGACTCGAGAGAATTCATGCTGGGATCCAATACATGTGCCGCCCGTCACTAGGTGCTTGGTGCTTGATTTCACCTTAGCAACACAAACACGATATTACACGTACATACTACTACACACTCACCGACATACCTGCACTACTTCCTGTCCCTTTGGATTCTTTACCGCTCCATTGTCGAAATATAGGCCTTCCATTCTTACGACGACCAAGCCGGCCTGTGACTAGAGTCCGTACTGTACACTATCTCGCAAATCTACCCACCTAAGTTAATCACACCGCATCGACCAGTCCGGCGTCTTTGCGCTCTTTACAAACAGGTGTCGGCGCGGGGCATGAAATTTGAGACACGCCTTCCAACCGGGAGCTTCCTTTGAACAAACAGGCTTAACGTTGCTTCCAATTGCCTTTCTACGCGAGTTTCCTCTCTTATCGCAAACTGTTGTGGTCACTTTGTGTGCCTCGCTGCTTCCAACAGTCAATCACGACTCTGTTGTGAGTTTCTGGCCAACCTTAGAATCGTAGGTACTCCCCGATTCGTTCTCTCGCCTTGTTTCTCTTGGATGTTTGCATTCCTTTGTCCTTGTCCTGGCGCAGTTCCAGTCGCAAATTCTCTTCGTGCCCTCTCCGGGTTCCTGTTTTGGGTGCTTGACATTCTTGCCCAACCATATGTCAAGCCATCCCTACATACTATAATCCTGTTCTCCACGTCTAGACAGCGCATTGGGTCGAGATTGACCTATGCTTGTGAGCGCGCATGAATATTGCAGGACTACAGACATTTGCTTGACTCGTTTGGCAATCTGCCATTGTCCACTCGCTAGTGGGCACATTTTACTTCACAGGACTTGTTGTCGAGCATTCTTAACTCATCTCATATCCTGTCGCTCTTTGTGGATTAGACAACGTCATGCTTGGATTCTTGTTCTAACGTACGCCACCATGACAGACATTGAAAGAATATATCGGGTAGATAACTACCAACACCCACAGGCTGGCAGCGTCTACTACAGACCTCGGAATAGGGACATAGAGAACAGCCCGCCGACTTTTCCTACACCACGGATACGACCTAGAACGCGACGACCTCAGTCCATACACATTCTTTCATACCCATCAGGATATATCCCCCACGACGTAAGATCTGGGTATACCGCCAAGCCCAAGAAGGTAACCAGGTCGACAGGACGGAAGGGGAAGGACGGAAGGCACGCACAGAGCGCAAAATCTACGCCGGGGTCTTCAAGGAGAGTACTGGAGAAGGTTTTGTCACCAATAAAATCCCATCTTGCGGGTAACGTCGTGAAAGACGTTCCAGAGCCATCGGGCGTCCCTGGCTCTTCTAGGTCTAGCACCTCTAGTTGGCACAACGCTCCTAGACCCCAGTCCATGTTTGTAGTTCCACCTCAAGGGACATCACCAATGTCCACCTCGACAATGGTTGATACACGACGCGCTCCATTCCTAGGAACGGCTCTCCAAAACCCACAAAGGAATGGGCTTATGTCGATGCGGTCAGCCAAAAGCATCATGAGCTCAGCAGTGACCGAGATCCCGAAGCCAGTCGCTTCTGGGTCCGGTGTCTCATGTTCAATCATCCTGGCAGAGCCGAATATCTTTTTGACGGGCTTTGACCATGACGGTCGTCCGCGACACGAAACCTCAAACTCAACAGCACTGCTTCGGGGCAAACTACAACTTGACGTCACAAAAAACGTCAAGCTCAAGTCGGTAACACTGAAACTCTCGGGGAAAGCAAGAACTGAGTGGCCGGAGGGAATCCCACCGTTGAAGGTGGATCAATTCGAGGAGGAGTCTTTACGAACCCAGGTCCTCACATTCTTCCACGCCATGCATGAGACTTGGGAGACAGAATATGGCAACCAATGTACGTACAACATAAAGCGAAGTGCTGAGACGTCATCAAATATCAACCTGTCTGCTCCATCGCAAACCCAGCTCTCACTTGGCCTCCGGAATCGACCAAATGGTAATCTCACCGCGAAAGAATATAAGCGTCTTTCGTTACAAAACACCCAAGCCCGTAGTTTTGGAAAGGGTGATTCGCCAGTTGCCAGCACAGTGCAATTGAAAGGCTACAAGGTCTTTTATCCCGGTACTTACGAGTACTCCTTTGAATTACCAATCGATCACCACCAGCTGGAAACTGCCAAGTTGCAATTCGGATCAGTCAAGTGGGAACTGGAAACGATAGTCGAACGTGCGGGCGCATTCAAGCCGAACTTGCATGGGACAAAAGAGGTTTGCATCGTTCGTGTGCCCGACCAGCTATCGTTGGAGATGACAGAGCCCATCTCCATCAGCAGGCAATGGGAAGACCAACTTCACTACGATATCATGATATCGGGGAAGTCTTTCCCAATCGGTACCAAAATTCCCATTGCTTTTAAGCTTACGCCCTTGGCCAAAGTTCAAGTGCACAAGCTGAAGGTTTTTGTTACCGAATCCATCGAGTATTGGACCAACGATAGACGCGTCACAAGAAAAGATCCAGGAAGGAAGATCCTGTTGCTTGAGAAGTCTGCAGGAAAGCCTCTTGATAAACAGTACGAAAATTCCGAATTCACGATTCTGAGCGGTGGTGAGCTATCACCAAATGAAAGACATGAAGCACGGATTGCGGCAGCACGGAGGAGAAGTGTCGAGGCATCGCAACACCACACAGTACCACAGCCATTGCCAGATCCATCAGACAATCTTTTGGGCGACTTGGACTTGGGCCTAGAGTCATACTGGGGATCAACGGAGATCGAAATGAATGTCCAAATTCCAACATGTGAGCAGATGGCAAAGGACAAGAGCGTGCGCCTGAACCCCGACTGCAGTTGGAGGAATGTTAATGTTTACCACTGGATTAAAGTGAGTCTGATTCGATCATATCGCCGTTCACATGTACTAACTTGGTACAGATCGTCATGAGAATATCTCGGCTTGACCCAGATGATCCTGCTGGAAAACGAAGGAGACATTTTGAAATCAGTATTGATTCGCCTTTTACAGTACTCAACTGTCGAGCGACACAAGCCAACACCAGCTTGCCTGAGTATTCTGGTTTGGAGCAGCCCATGTACAGGCAACACGCCTCATGCGGTTGCCCAGATGCCAATATTCTTGCAACCAACCCTTCTCCTGCATCAAGCACTGGAACGATCCCCTCTGTAGAGCCCACTCCTATCAGTGACATTTCAGCGCCTCTTCCACCGCCACCTGCTGCACATATTGGTACCCAGGCACAAGCTGGGGGTACTCAGGCTGTGCAGCGTCCGATACACCTGCTACGGTATCCATCATTTAATCCTCCGGCATTTGACGAGGACGAAGCACCACCACCAATGCCAACGCCCACGCCACCTCCTCAATATGACCATATTGTTGGCACACCTAGCGTGGACGGTCTTGCCGACTACTTTGCGAGGCTGGCAGACTATGATGACAATGACAGCGACAGTGCTGACGAGGATTTTGGCCATCCGAGCAGGATCGTGGAGCGAGGGCGTGTTAATGTCGCCAACCCTCGCACTCCAGGCGGTAGAATGGTTCCAAGTCGCAGTCTGGATATTGCCAGACCAGCTATGCGATTGAACATGACTGGAGCCTTAAACGAAAGGCGTGCTTAGAGACCGCCAGCCACAACAACAACATCAGCAACACTTTCCAAGGGCATTTGCTCTTGCTGCTAATTACAGCTTAATGAGTTTGGATTCACGAATCTTGTCGGAGTTTGGGATGTGCCCTTTGGGATGATACCTCTGCGAATTCATAGCATTGCATTGCATACCGCATGGGTGGAAGGGACGTAAAACTTTGGATGCTGGCATATTGGATTCTTGGATTCGGTTTGGAACGGTGTTGCATCATAGACCGCATTATGACTTATCTTGACCAGGCGTTGGCTTTGCGACCGAGACGAGTATGGATATGGAGAAGACTTAGCTTGAGATTACTAGCACTATTATACCTTTTGTCAATATCAAATTCCCTCTATTGCGACTACATGGGAATTAAACGAACGAAAAGAAACTTGCTCGGAATGCAACAAGAATAACGAACGAGACCATATCCTGTTCTCTCACGGTGATATATGGACCATGCCAGCTGGATTGTGAACATGTTGACTGCGTAGCCGGAGATACCTAGTCATTCCCACAATCAATGCGACGTCAAGTTTCTTGTAGGTCGGAGAATCACTCACCAAATCCGACAATACTCGAGTCCATCGCCAAGCATTCCGTGCCATGTGTGGCAAGGTGCCGGAAGGACAATCACCGCATACAAATACGTCCGCAGAGCCTCAACGCCGGTTGGTGGAGAATCGTCGAGTTGCGCACTGCGCGCATCGCTGATGACGAAGACATGCTGCATTACCACAATTACCCAGCATTTCGGTTAGCATCTGCGAACCTTTTGCGCTTCTGTCTCCAATTTATTACCTATTCTGCTCTTTCGTGCCTGGCAGTCCGTAGAAAATGCGCAAGGGGCGTTTCAGCCATAACCGCTCCTCCGCAATAAAATGACAGGCGGATCCCAGGGGCTAGGCTACTCCACCTTATTTTCTACGCCCCTAGTCCGTTGGTGATGTTTCTTTCTGAGCGCTCGCTTGGGAGGAACGAGCCGAAAGGCTGAAGAAAGTTTCTAGCGACCATGTCGTCTGAACTTAATTGATTCTAGGCTCGATCGGATGAGCGGCAGGGATGCCCGGGGACAGGCACAATAGTTATGATCATGGGTTCTACATGTGTACATGGGTCATGTCGTTTATGTGATGGACCCTTCTACTTCGCGGCGGCAAGGGGTGACACTTTCACAGTAATAAGAAGGGATGGTGCCCGTGTTGTCCTTCCGGAGCCGCTTCTTTTGGTTCTGGTTATCACGACTCTGGAAGTCTTGAGATTCTGCTGTTCACATTCTCTTCATTGACCCTTTACTACGAATAACCCTCACGTTCCTTTACTTACAACATAACCAACCATGCGTTTCTCGACAACAGCAGCCGCAGCGGCTGCTCTGAGCATCTCCGGTGTCTCGGCCAACCTAAATCAGCTTGCAGTAGCGGCTGGAAAGAAGTACTTCGGATCGGCCACGGACAACTCTGAGCTTACCGACACGGCGTATACGGCTATCTTGAATGACTCCACCGAGTTCGGACAGATTACACCCGGCAATGGTCAGAAGTGGCAATACACCGAGCCCACCCAAGGCACCTTCTCGTATACCAGTGGTGATCAGATTCAAGAGCTTGCAGAGGCCAATGGACAGCTCCTTAGATGCCACACGCTTGTGTGGTACTCTCAGCTGCCTTCGTGGGGTTTGTGAAACAACGGCTTACCAAAATACATCATTCATTCCTAACACGGTTTACAGTTTCCTCCGGCTCCTGGACAGCTGCGACCCTTACCGCTGTAATCCAGACTCACATCGCCAACGAGGTCGGTCACTACAAGGGCCAGTGTTACTCCTGGGATGTGGTGAATGAGGCTATCGCCGACGATGGCTCTTACAGAACATCGGTCTTCTATAACACTTTGGGTACTGACTACATCCCTATCGCTTTCGCTGCTGCTGCCGAGGCCGACCCGGATGCCAAGCTCTATTACAACGACTACAACATTGAGTACTCAGGCAGCAAGCACAACCGGGCTCTTGAGATTGTCGAGATCTTGAACAACGCCAGCGTCCGAATCGATGGTGTTGGTCTGCAGGCTCACTTCATCGTCGGTAGCTCGCCCGGCCAGAGCGATCTGACCAACGTCCTGCAGTCGTACGTTGACCTCGGTATCAGCGAGGTCGCCTACACCGAGCTCGACATCCGCTTCTCCTCCCTGCCCGCTACGGACTCTGGACTGCAACAGCAAGCTACCGACTACGCAGCTGTTGTGAAGGCCTGCCTTGCTGTTGACGAGTGTGTTGGTATCACCATCTGGGATTTCACTGACAAGTACTCTTGGATCCCCAACACCTTCTCAGGCCAAGGAGGTGCCTGTCTCTATGATGAGAACTTGAGCAAGAAGCCCGCCTACACCACCGTTTCTTCCATCTTGGCCGCTGCTGCTACCGGTGGATCCAGCGCCACAGCTACTTCGGCTACCCTTACGGCCACCACGGTCAAGGCCAGCAGCAGCACCGCAGCTGCTACTTCAAGTGCTGTCGCTTCGAGCTCTACTACTCTAGCCACCAGCGTGAAGGCAACTAGCACCACTGCAGCTGCCACCTCGACCACGGTGACCTCGTCCGCTGCTTCAACTGCGACCTCCTCAACTGGTGCGGCCCACTACGGACAATGTGGGGGAAAGAGTAAGAGAAGACGATCTCATCACTGAGATCTTTCAATTGCCTCTTAATTTTTAGTTGTCTCTTTTGTTGCTCCTTGGCTCGTTCTGGAAACGTCTGTGGAAGCAATACTGACACCTGGCTATCCTAGGCTGGACCGGTGCGACGAGCTGTGTTAGCCCATATACCTGTAAGTTGAGATTTCAGAGCTGCCCCTTATCAGATATTGAAACGATGCTGATTTTGGTTTAGGCACATACCAAAACGACTACTACTCTCAGTGCCTCTAAGTATGGAGGATCTGCTGAGCTGCTCCGACTGGAAAGGAATTCTCAGAGCCGTCTAGGGGCTATTTCTATTGTACATATTCATGCACGCACTTGCACGCATTACATACAAAAATGATGATCGAGCGTTTGAGACTCGAAAATAGCACTACCACCTTATGTGATTTCAAGCTACCTCAACCCAATGACATTTTTATTGATGGCGACCGTCAGATCAAAACAGGACCATGGCAACCAGTCGTACGGGAACACTCTCTCCTCGGAGTATAGCGTTCGATTGGGGACTCCACTATACGGCGCAAACTACCGATGATGCTATTCCACAACCATATTGCACCATCGTTTGACAGCGGCTTTGGGATTCATTCGACCACGCGAACAGTCTGTCCCTCAACTGCACGGAATTCTGTCGTACACCAAAGCTGAACCCCCATCTGCAGTGTTGAACCTCCCTTTCCCCGAGGCTGCCCGAACTAAGCTATAGGGCTCAACGGGCTTCGGCATCAGCGTTAGGCCGCGTGCATACAAGCAGGCGGGTATCGCCGGTAGGCAGTTTTCCACCGTCTCGCGGGTTTTTTTTTACATCCTCACAAAGAAAAGGGTACAATTTGTGTGACAAACTAGAACGCAGCTTTTTTTTAATAAAAAAGAATAGTTCAGGTATACTTTCTGTGTTAAGTGCTGCTACTGCTACCACTATACGCCCCTGATGGGAGCAGCAAAGAAGCGCGTCGCTGTGATAGGCGCAGGCCCATCCGGCCTCATCACCATCGATGCGCTAGCGCAGGAGAAGGCGTTCGATGTGATCAGGGTCTTCGAGAGGCGCGAGGCGCCGGGAGGTTGCTGGTAAGCTGCATGCATGCAAACACACCGCAGCACTTTCTTCTTCTTCCGCTCTGCCGCGCTGGTCGCTGACTGATTGTCTGCATGTAGGATCGCGGAGGGTAACAGACCTGTCCCAAACCTCTCAGACTTCGAGGCTCTCGCGGCGCGGGCGGCGGATCCCCCGCTGCCCGTCCCGGATCAGTTGCCGGCGCAGACGGGCAGGTCGCCCCAGCCGCGCTTCAGCGAGTCGTCCGTGTACCCGTACTTGGAGACTAATGTGGATGATGTTGCCATGTCTTTCTCGCAGGAGGCCATCCCGGATGTGCGGAGTAAATGGTCTGTCGGGATGCACGGCCCAGACACTCCGTTCAGACACTGGACGGTGATTCGGGACTACCTGCAAAGTCTGGTGGAAAGAAATGGGTACGGGGATCTAGTGTCGTACAACACCACCGTGGAACGTGCAGAGAAGATCGGCGAAGAGTGGAAGGTCACGCTCAGGAGAGAGGGCGAGGAGAAGGATGAGTGGTGGGAGGAGTGGTTTGATGCCGTGGTGGTCGCAAGCGGACATTACTCGGTGCCTTACATCCCGAAGATCCAAGGCTTGGAGGACTTTGCCAGGGAGAGGCCAGGGAGCGTGATCCATAGTAAGCATTTCAGGGGCAGAGAGGCATATCGTGACAAGGTAAGTTGCATTCCTTTTCTCTCGCATATAAAGCAACGTACTGACTCCCTTGCAAGCGAGTGATAGTGGTAGGCGCATCCGTTTCGGGTGCGGATATTACAGTCGACTTGACCAAGACCGCAAAAACGCCAGTTTACGCTGTTGTGGTGGGACGCAACTTCAATGGTTACTTCGGCGACACAGCCTTCCAGCACCCAAAGATTGATAAGCGCCCCTCGATTTTGAGAATTGATGGTGCCACCAGAACGGTACATTTCGAGGATGGAACTTCTGTCTCAGATGTAGACCATCTGATCTTTGGTACTGGCTTTTCATGGACTATACCGTTTTTACCTGGTGTGAAAACGCGGAACAACAGAGTTCCCGACCTCTACCAGCACACAGTCTACCGCCATGATCCCAGTTTGTTGTTCGTTGGTGCTGTAGGCGCAGGTCTGACGTTCAAGATCTTTGAGTGGCAGGCTGTGCTAGCCGCACGCATTCTTAGCGGGCGAGCCAGGCTTCCACCGACAGACGAACAGGAAAAGTGGGAGGTGGAGAGGATAAGGGTCAAAGGGGATGGTCCCAAATTTCCAGTTGTCTACCCAGATTTCGAAGAGTATTTTGAGACTGTCCGCGACATAGCTGGACCTGGCGAAAATGGTTTTGGCCGGCAATTACCTCCCTATGACCCGAGTTGGTTCGACAGATTTATGGCAGGACATGAGTTACGGAAAGCTATGTGGAGAAGAGAGAACGACAGAGTATTGGAGGAACTATCAGGTCAACAGAATGAAGAGGTCCTTGTGGCTTTAGATGAAAAGTCTAGGGCGACGGAAGTGGAAGTTCATCAAACGCTTGAGGTAGCCTAAGCCACGCGTTCTATACCATACGGAGTGGTCGAGTTAATAAAATGATGGCAATTTTGTTATTTGAGGGAGCATCTGGGACAACTGAGTTTAGCGCACAAAGTCACACAAAGCTAGAGAAAGAGAGCTCATGGTTGTTGTGAAACGTTGATTGTATAAATTATTTCTATAATAAACATTGAACATATATTGGTATCCTGCCATGATTGAGTTGCCTCGATGTCTTATCCTGATCTTGTGTATAAAATCACCCTAAACCCTGTTGTACAAAATAGTCTAAACTTTTCGTGTATCGCTCGCTGTGTGAAAATGACCAAACAAGAAATCTGTGGGAATGTGCCTGGTCTGTTGAATCGACAGAGACGTGATAGTCGTGAGTTCTGAAGAAAGATATCGCCTGGTTCAATGGGTGTTTTGTGTTTTGTGTAATGATACTATGTATCTGGTTTTCTGTTTTCTGTTTTCTGCTTTTCATTGCCATCTTCTCAGTGAAGAATTTATCAAAGGTCCAAAGGGCCATTATGAAGTGGCAGCAGGAATACCGGTCTGTTCGCAGACCTGGCAGTCGGGGTCGGCAGTGTCTCTCTCCTCGACCACGACCTCCTCAACGGCCCTTTTCGAGTCGGCGGGGAGGACCTCGGTTTGCTCGCAGACTTGACAGTCAGGATCGGCAAGGTCCCGTTCCTCAACCACAATCTCCTCGGTCGCCCTCTCGTATACCTCAGTAGGCACATCGTTTATTTCACAGACTTGGCAGTCCGGATCGGTATCATCTCTCTCCATTACCGGCTTGATATCGATCACAACAGCATCAATGGCTCTTTTGGAGTCAGCAGCAGGAACACCATTCTGCTCGCAGACCTGGCAATCGGGGTCGGCCGGATCTCTTTCAACCAAAGTCGTTGCGTCGACTACCAGGCTGTCTATTGCCCTCTTTGAGTCGGTAGTAGGAACAGGAACATTGGTCTGCTCGCAGACCTGGCATGGCACGGGGGCAGCCATAGCGAAGGTGAAGAGGCCGGCCAGAAGGACGGCCTTGAGTGAGAGTGGTGCGTTGAATGGCATAGTTGATGATTGGCTAAGCAAGAAGCTGTCGGTATGCGTATATGGGTAATAGAGTTGATGAGGCTTGATATTTCTTGATATGGGAGTTCTGTTTGTCTAATTGATGGGATGAAAGAAGATAGGCAGGTGTGAAGGATGATACGTGATCCTTATATCAGCATTTTGAGGCTATACTTACAAGTCACTTCGGAACCGTATTCCCTATTCTTCCACTTGTCTGCCTGACTCACCAGGCTACGGGTGGGGATGAGGAAGAGGAGGAGGCATAGAGCGTAATAGTGTGCCTCAGGTCAACAGTCACAGTTGCATAGCCGGGTCAATAATTTGAAGCACCGGTGTCCCGTGGTTCCATGAAACATGTGCACACGCGCAGTAAGTTCTCTTTTGAGAACACCGAGAGTCTGGTATCCCCCGTGGGAGACAATAAGCAGATGCACTATCCAATACGACCGTCAAATCAGCTCCCGTTGGAGGATCGTAAACAGCCCCGAGGGTGCAATCACAGTCATAAGCACGACTGGGCTCAAGGCAGCCTGACCCAATGGAAAGAAACCTGCATATGGTGCGGAAGCGGCCTCGCCCCGTTCTCCTCAACGGCCCCCATACTCAAAGCCATAGGGCTGTAGGGCTGTGTGAGACCCGCTCTGGATGTCTTACCGAACCGTTCGATCACACCGAAAAACCACGTGCGTCAAATTTCGTCTTCTTCGCCAATCTAGAAGGATGTAACCAAGAAGCCAATATCCTCGGGGTTTTAATTGGTCGGCATTGAGAGCTTGGCATTCGGTGAAGTGATGATGCTGACTCATTCTGTGGTAGCAGTCTCATTCAGCTCCGTGGCGAAGGCAGCTATTTCAGGGGGATGCCTAGACACAGCCCCTGCGCCACAATCTGATTGGCTGCTTTCCTACTACTAGACAAATATAATCCTTCAGCGTCCCCGTGACAATTCTAGGCAAATTTACACTTTTTGTGTTCCCGCGGCGAGAGAATTCTGCAATGGGACATATCCATCGAGGAGGATTCATGTGCGTAATATTCGTCCGCCTCGACCCACGTGTGCCTCAGAGCATGCATGCTTACTGAACCGGGAAACTACCGTGACCTCTGCGTCAACGAAGCGGCTTGATTGGCCATGGCAATTGGCCATGAAAGTAAACTGTGATTGGGCGGTGTCGTAAAGGACACAGTAATTCCTTTATATGATGAGTGCGCCTTCCGAGTTCTGTCGGGAATGCCTTCGTGATAGTGATGACCCCCAACCAGCGAATGCAAGAGATTGCTCGGCCAGACAAGACGTGCATTCAATATTGGGAAGAGAAAAGAAGCCACCTGATTCCCTTGAAGGTAACCAGGCGATTTCGGTTCCGAGTACCTCTATATGTCTGAATATTGACTTCCCAGGAGGAAGCAGCTGCGCCCAAAACACTTCACCCGGCTACGCTCTCCGCATCGGCTTGCCGATAATTGAGCTGCAAGCCGACGGATGTCAAAACTCAGAACTGCCAATAGGCTGGCTGCAGCCGTATGGTGTCACCGGGATCCAGTTCCTGCTGACATGCAGATTATATTGATTTGCGCCGCGGGACGGCGAGCCGTGAAAACGTCTACGTATGTGTTCAGAATCTCCCCGAATCGTATGTTATTTGAGCATGGATATCATGCCCGTGACAAGTTGCAGCATCAGGGTCGGGACTGTGCATCAAATTCTGGGAAAGATTAGTGGTCATCAAATGTCTCGCTAATTGTGTGGTCTGGCAAGTCGCCGATGCTTGCTGTTTTGTTATGCGACACACGACTAAACTGAGTGAGGATGCCGAAAATAGCCCAAAACCATATGCCGTGCCTGAGAGGCGTCTCATACTTCCTTCCTGTGCTATCTGGCATTCATTGGCCTTCCTAATTTAGGATGTAAGCTGAGAATTAAATATATCAGGAAGGTTGCACGAAAAAGAACAGCTCCGGCATAGGGTGAAAAATGTAAGACCACCCACACCATTCGAACTAATCGCTTACGCAAGCAAGTTTATCTTAGACTTAGTTATTCGTTCGATCTGCAGCTTGAAATTGTGGTCAAACACGGACTATAAGTGCACTTTGAACGAAACTTACCGGCCACTGCTGGGCTATATTTGGTTTATATTGACCCACTTACTAAACAAGTAAGCGAAGGGCTCACCATTACGCATAATCATTATGTACTACTAATATCTACATGAGACTAAGTTTTCCACAACCCTAACAAAAGAAGGAAGAAAAAAAAAGCCGCAAATGTACACATCATTTCTCTTACGCAAGGACAGACATCAGAGGCGCAAAAAGAAGAACAAGAGGTCCGAACGTGGATCGAACACGTGACCGTCAGATCTGCAATCTGCTGCGCTACCACTGCGCCACCGAACCATTGATGAATACAATATGCTCTTGTGCACATTCATGTTGCATTCAATGTAACGTGTATTCGTGCTACTCTAGTTGTGATGCTCTCGTGTACGTAACAAAATGCTGTGACTGTGTATGTATGCTACCCGAAATACACTATGGAAGACCCACACCATGCTCTGAACAGATCTTGACCAGCTCCGCTTGTCTCAAATTGACCTGGCTGCAAGTTGCCTTGTCAAGGATTTCAGTACATTTTCGGTAACCAAGTCCACTTGTGATGTGCTGAAAGACAAATGGCAGATTTACAACTACTATCTCAATATTAATATCGTTGCGTTGTGGCCGAACTATGGTGCAGTGGTTGACAGCATAGACAATCAGAAACGAAAGGTGTTTTCATATGCCAATGTCCTACGTTACCCACGGCACCAAGATGGTCTGGATCTATCCTAAAATAAAATAAAATCCTTTTTTTTTCCCTCCCATGTATGAACTTTTGGTGTCATTTCTACGGGGCATTGGTTGCCATATAATTATGCACTTGTGTAGGTATGGATGGGTTGGTCGTTCAACTCCACCAAAGGGAATTAGAATACGCAATACCGGCCTAGGCAGGCATAGCAACGTGATACTGTCGCGGACTCAGGTGACACATCACAAAAGGAAAAGAAGAAAATTAGTGTTCATAGTTGGCGGCAATTGATCCGGAAGACCATGGTCTCGGTTATCGACATAGCCAGTCGCACTTATCGTTCACGTCGGTCCCTTGCATTACTCAATGGAAGGCGAATGGCACAGTGCTCCCTAACATAAGGTACCACAGATTGCAATTGGCCAATGAATGAACAACATTTCTAATTTTGGTACGTTCCGCCTGTCCTGGAAGTCCAGAGGGAAAAGAACAGCCCTTGGTATTGTTTGCTCCATGTCAGAAGTATTTGCAGTCAGCCGCTTCTCCTCAATACACCACTCATGGCGGTTTGCGTCAAACAAGACGCTTGCATGCGGTGAATCAGGCACAATCTTTAGAACCGAACAACGCATCGAAGGATCGTTTCAGTGCTATTGCACGACAGACCTTCCTTGAGGCGGTTACTGGCTATTTTAGGCGTGCGTAGGACAAGAGGCTATTCTGTGGCCCCTTGGACGTTCGAAGATATAGCACATAAACAATCGCGGACTGCATACACATAAGTGACAGGTTCGTCCCAACTTCGATCCAGTACTTTCAACAGCACTTATTCGCGAATCGATTTTAGGTTGCCACTGCTCTCTTACACAGAACAAATCTGACCATTCAGCAATAACCTCGTTCCTTTAATAAATACTTGAAAATGACCACTCCCATTGATGCCCACTCTCGCCAGTATTCCCATGTCAACGGCTCAATCAATGATCTTCTGGAGAGGTTCGCGGTTTCGGAGCTCTGCAAGGGCTGGCCGGTGTACCGAGACTCTTCCGAGTGGAAGAACTATCGCGACGTCTTCGCCAAAGACGCCACTGTCTGGACCAGTAAGTTCACGCCAGCATCCTCACCCCCCCATCCCCAATCTGACGCTGCTGTCCATCAGCATGGAGCAAGGGCCGCTCCGTCGATGACTTCATCGCCGTGTCCAAGCAGGGCAAGGAGAGGGGCGACTTCATCATGCACCGCGAATGCGGGACGCTTGTCGAGTACTCGGCGGAGCACGGCCGGGCCGTGGGCAAGATGAAGGCCACGATCACGCAGCGCTTCAAGGTGGCGACAGCGGAGCTCGCGAGCACGGCGTGCCCGCTCGGGACCGAGTTCGACGTCGACTGCGACGCCCGCTTCATCTTCTTCTGCCTCCGGGACCCCGGGGCGGGCGGGGCGTGGAAGGCCAGGTACGTCAAGCTGTTCTACGAGAAGGACAAGATCGTCCCCGTCGACGGCGTCCACGCCCCCGTCTTCCCCAGGGAGCTGCTGGACTCCTTCCCGGCCGGCTACAGCTACCTAGGGGCTGCTCAGAAGACCCTGGGATACCCGGTCACACCGAACCTGCCGACGCCTGGTGACCTCGACTCCTGGTTCGGCATGTACAACAAGAGTAAGTGGCACTATTGTTCGTTCTGGTAGATCCTCGTTGGCACATTTTCCTTCTTTCTTTCTTTTACATTTGCTATACATACGCCGCACTGCTTACTCTCCTTGTGCAGTGGAACAGTGGTTGGCTGGGGAAGAGATTGACCTGAAGGTTGGTGACGACAATTTCTTGGAAACGGAGTCTGGAGAGAACACGCCAGTCAAGGATAGCATCAAAGGGCCTTTGCCGTCCGAGACTGGCGGAAAGAACAGCATCAGCTTTGCAAAACATGGCGAAAAGGCCGCTGTGACGGTCAGTGCTTAGCCCGCCCTCATAGGAAGATTGATAGAGATTAGGATCGGAGCACTCAATAGAGCTGACGTTTCAATTGACCGAATGTATTGAGAGATAATTTATTTGACTGTCTTCATTCCTTGTCGGTTCTGTACAATGTAATCCCACTCACTGTCGGATGATTCTCTTTGCAAGCCCTGCTAACAAGTATACAACAAATCCCATCAACGCGCAATATGGATCATCGAGTATGAAGCCAAGATCTTGATATTTTCGTAATTAATGTTTAAATTCAATCAACTTTGCCGAGCGATCATTCCCAAGTTCCTTGACCCCTTGCTACGAGAAGGGATGGTGGATCTGTGGAAACCCATTTCTCGCCACGGGAATAGTACTCGAGCTACGATTCGGTCCTCTTTACCGCCCGGCTTTCCCTTTTGTAACAATGTTGATCCACATACCAATCGTCTATATTCGATTAAGAACGCTACTGAGAAAATATATATAACCTCTGCATTGGTGATCGGACTGTATAATAAAGGATGGAAGGGTACAACTGTCAGTATGATATTTATCAATGGTAGTATTGCTTCTTTTATTCAACAGTTCACTAAGGTAGTAGTAAATTCAAAGGTATCGACGGTGCTAGCCAAACAACCACAACACGCTAAGGTAGACGACGCAAAGCAACAGTCCAAAGCAAGCCACCAGACGCCTTATACAAGAGATGCGCCTCATCCGCGTTCGCTACGTTCCAGCCTGTGCCGGACAGGCTCATGGCGATCATGACGGACCAGTTTTTCATATCCTCTTTGCCGCCGAACCTAAAGTCGTTCGCACTACCTCTCCTTCGGTGCGCGGACTCTGTTATTGTCGACGCTGTCCTGGCCTCTGCCAGACTCCTTCTCAGTCTGCCGTTCGTGGCCGTGAAGTTGTCGATACTGCCAGTGTATTGGTTTGCCGAGTCGGTATCAGATCTCTAACCTTGTACCTTGGCATTAGAAATTTTGAAGCTATCTGCCCGCCTGATGCTGTCTATCAGCTCCGGTGAACTCTTCTTACCCAACTTGGCAACCAGAAGGGTGTTTTGGCCCTGTAGCTCGCCGATCTGTTCTTTCAGCACATCGATCTGCTTCAACGCTACATCTCTTTCGGCCTTGACCTTCTCCAGTTCCATGGATAGGTTCTGCTTGTTCTCCTTCTCAGCCTGCTTTCGGGCTTTCTCTTCGGCCTTGCGCTGCTCGTTTGCACGCTTCTCATCCAGCTTCTTGAGATCCCTTTTAAATTTCTCTTCCTGCTTCTGGATATCACGGTCGTGTTTCTCCTTAAGCTTGACAAGTGCCGCTTCGTCTTTCTCAGTATCAGTGCCCTTCTTGGAGAGTGCCCGCTCCCGTGCACGCTGCAACTTTTCTGTGGCTCTCCGCTTCTTGTCTTCAAGCTTTCTCAGCTCTCTTTCATGATGTGACGGAGCAGTGGATTTTCCTGCTGCTGACTCCGATGAAAGAGTCGACTGGACCTCTGCGTCACCGGAGGCCGAAATAACTGGCGAGATGATATTGTTCTCATCGGTGGTGCTGATTTTGCTGTCACCATCAAGGTCAGAGTCGATGCTGTGGAAGCTTTGTATTGAAGAAGAGTCATCGTCATCAATTAATCTGGATGCTGACAGATCGGATTCAGTGTCGCCGCCTACTGATGATCCAAGTGGGTTGGGTAGACCTTCAGGCAGGCGCGCAGCAACTGCACCGAGTGCTTGAGCAATCATTCCGTAGAAGCCACCAGGCCTTGGGTCCTCATATTCTTCATGCTGCGGCTCTGGGCTTGGCTTTAACGTCGAGTCGCTGTTGGTCTTTGAGACAGGATCAATCGTCCCTTGAGACAAGGCTCTTGGTGTTGGTCGGGCACTCAATGGCTCGGCCGGCGATGGCTCACTGGCAATCTTCTCATCGGTATGCGGCGCATTTGCGAGATCCTCCGGTCTTTTTGATTGAACCCATTTTAGGAACTTCTCGGCGTCACCTGCTATGCCAGCTGGAGTGCCTCTCTCGACCATGAACCTGGGCACACTGCCGCCAGGATCGCTTCTTGTGACCATGATCCATTCAACCAAGGTCTCAACGTCCTCATCACCCTTGTTCTCCTCTGCAAAAGAAATGGTCTTGCCTCTTTTGCGGCCTTCCGTGCCTGCCGAGTCCGAGGTAGTGCTGGCCATGGCGGCACTGCGAGCTGAGCGAGTTAATGCTTCCTTTGCCAAGTCATCGGGGGCACTTTGACGCGTTGCTGCCGCCGCTTCTTCATGGCCAAGATCTAGCGAGGATCGCACTTTTCGCAACGGCCTGTCTACTTTGATTTCTCGAATAAACTCGACCGACTCATATTGTCCTCGAATATAGTCGCTGCGGGGAGGGGTTTCAGGGTGATTGCATGGCTTTGACACGAGCATATAGTATCTTGACTTGGCCAAGCCTTCCTGCGAGCCCGAGTCAACAGCGGAGTCGGTGCTAAGGAGCAGAGTAACAAATTCTCTGGGGGTCGTAGGCCCGGGGAATTGAGCGGATAGCTGGTAGACTTTGGCAGCACGTTAGCGGGCACATACTCGGCAGAAGATTGTGGTATGGCATCATTTTACCTTCCATTTTCCCACAGCCATCGACTGTGGTGTCGACCACTTTCCTGTCAGCCCCGATGCCACGAATCTTTCCGGCGCCGGCTTCTCCTTGCACTTTCAAACTCTCAGCAAACTCGGCTTGCATGCCGAGCTTCCAATGATCGAAGGACAGAACGTCATGAACGCTGCGGCGCGCAAACCAGGCGCCCTTTTTGTCCTTGGATGACATCTTGTAGATGTTGACGCCCAAAGGGTTATCCTTCGGGTTCAGTGTAACGTCCTTCCACTCCTTGCGCAGATGTTCCGCTTTATGTGAGGTCTTGGGAGCCCGGTCGGGAAGCTTCGCCTTGGTAGGGAGGCTGACAGGTATCGAGTCGATGAGACATTGTGCTTCTTGGAAAGTCTCGGTGAGAAAACCTTTGAGGTCGTCTTGATCAATCGTGTCCCAATCGATAGGCGCAAGCGCCTTGAAGACGTCGTGATGACTGGGACTCATCGTGGTCGAGTGTTTCTGACTGCGCCCAATAACCTGCGGTGTTTGTTGGTGTTTGAAAGGTCAATAATTAGATGCGTGTTCTCAAGCAGAGCGTGTACGTCGCAAGTCACATGAGGGGTCAAATTGTCATCTGGTCTCGCGGGAATTGGTTGTGTTTGTAGGTCTTGTCATTGATGTGATACTTTGTGTGTGTGAGGCGACAGGATGGGATGAGCAGGCGGCCTTTGCATGTTCTAGAAATGGTTGAACGTAAGTTAATATGTACACGTAGACATGCGACAATCTAGACAGAACAAAAGCAGGGCCCAGATCCATGAGGGTCATGAGGCTCGGTAATGCGGCATTTGGTAATTCGAGACCGAGCAGAGGCCAGCGGTATCCCGTCTTCTCTCAATTTACTTTTTATGTTTCCCGTCCTCCTGGAGCCCATGCTGTACGGACGTGGGCTCGCCATGTCGATCGTCACCAAGACGACTTGGTGGGAATAGTGGGGTACTGGGAGGGCACTGGAACGTCTCCAGGGCCATTCGTCGTCTTTTTGCTATCCCAAAAGTGTCGGGTTCTTCGCGATTATGCGAGCATGACGTAACATCTGCCCAAAGCTCCTGCCTAAGACACCTCTAGTGAGACCCCTAGTCGTATGCGACGTCAATTCCCCGGATTCGTCCCAGTCAAAACCAAGTTGCGGAGCTAAGCTCCGCCCATGCAATTTCTCACCTTCATTGCTTCATTACAAGGGGTCTGCTGCCAGTCACCAGTGGCCTGCAGCTTACCTTCTCCTATAGATGCGTACTTGGATGCTGTCCTTGTTCCATAACCTGGCCTCGTCCACATTGTACCAGTATCGACCAGGTTTCCAATTTCGCTCCAAGTCAAGTCGTAACCGAGGCTGCTGAAGTCCACATTCTCCCACCCCCAGGTGATCTTCATCAATTACGACATACTTGATCTCGATCATATTAAATCAGCAGAAAAGTCCTGACCGTCAAGTGATTTCATCATCAGGAAAGACGGCCTAATGGATAGGTTATAATGCACCGATACATCCGAAACTGGCAAAATAGTACATGCTGGCGCTGTCTTTAGCTTGCATTGACGTGGGCTTGAGAAGCTTCTTCTTGACGTTGATCCCCCAAGCCAGAGCTGAATAGTCTAAATTGTGGCCGCTTACTTACTAGTTACATATATTGTATCAGATACTAGACTAGTCTAGTCGAAGGCCTACGCTCAAAGCCATACCCTATGCGACCTGTTCTACCCCATCAAGCAAGCGCTCCAAGCATTTTTATGCAAGTTCGTGGGTTCCGCGTCCAGCCCACGCTTCAGTATTAACTAAGCAGCATCATCACCATCAGGTGCAGGCCCGACGGCTCATCCTTGATCAGACACTCATGAGGCACTCAAAAGTAAGGTCGTAAGGTGAATTCACCTCCAGCTAGGTTCGATCGAAGGAATGATTTCCTTCCCTGGATGTTCTACTTGGTACATGATCGTTTGACATAGCTATGACAGAAGGGGGAGTGAAACCTGAAATCTCTCAAATTACAATATATAAGCTTTCCAAAGGCGCGTTTGGAAGTGTAGATGTTTGTGAGACTATAGAAGAAATGAACAAAGAGTTTGCTGTTCACAAATTTGGTTCACTATGCAGCAAAAGCATCTCTCCTGCCAAAGCGGCCACGCCTGACCATCTTCACGGTTTTAATAACGGTGGGCCGCCCGTCCTCCCCGATCTTCGTGGCATGCGGTCCTAGGCTCCTCTTCCTACTCCTCTTCTCTTTCTGCGCGCCATTGCTCCTGTACACCGAGACCTTGTTGCTGCCACCACAGGTCTGGCCCTTGTTGCCCGCACACTGCATGGTGCACTGGTCCGCTTGCCCGGGCGAGGACAGCAAGGGCGCGTTCTTGTTGAGGCCTCTGGCGCACCAGCACTCCTGGCCGTACTCGAGCCCGGCCCAGGCGAAGCCCTTGCCGCCGCATATCCCGACGCACGCGTCGACGGTCATGGCCGCGTCCGCCGCCCTGAAGTCCCCGACGGCGCGCCCCTTGCCCTCGTCGTAGCAGCCCGCGTACACGTACCCGCCGACGCCGGGCACCCAGCTCGCGGCGCGCACCGTGTCGTTCTTGTAGACGGACAGCAGGGACGCCCCTCCGCAGGTCTGCGACTCGTCGCCCGCGCACGGCGTAGAACAGTTGCCCCTGATGCCGGCGTCGAGTTGGGCCCCCGAGGCCAGGGCGTTGCCGCACCAGCACTCCCTGCCGTACTCGAGGCCGGCTGTGTGGTACCCCTTGGTGCTGCAGTAGGCCAGGCACGTGTCGATGGTCATCTTGGAGTTGGCGGTGTTGGCGGAGGCCAGGGCGCGGCCGTTCCGCGGCTCCGATGCGCAGCCTATGTAGCTTGCCCCGGGTACTGTATAGATTCCGCTTGCGGCTGGAGGCGTAATGATAGTTGCAGTGGCTGCTTTGGTGGAAGAAGGTGATGCTGCAACTGATAGGGTTTGAGATGTGGTAGTAGGCTTTGGCACCGAGTAAGTCCCAGTCGTGGTTATTGGCTTGTTGAGTGTAGTGGGCTTGACTGAAAGGAGCAGATGAGGCGGTGTTGATACGACATGAGGATAGACAAAGACGCGAGATACGGATATGTGTGACAAAGTATAGAGATCTAATATATGAAGGGCAACTACCCAAATGTCAAACAAAGGAAGTTCATCAAGGGCCCAGTGACTTGGCCGCAAATACGAGCAGCTGGAGAGTTACTTTGAGCTGATCGATCCGAAGAAATGAAATACCTACAACGGTCAAAGATAACTGTATAGCTCAATATATATATATAATAATAATAAAGCGAGAAGAGAGAAATTTCCATCAAGAGCCTTGTTGATCCTGGAAGAATAAAACCTGTCAAGATTACAGGTAGTGTGGAGCCGACTATAATAATACCAATGATGACAGGAGCTTTTAAGGGCACTTCAAAGTATCTCTACTTGACCATTATTGTATAGCCGATGTTCAATTTGGGTTGAGAGGAAATCGAAAAGGGGACGACGGCCAACCACATATGCACGAAATGCAGGGGTTAGACCGTCCAGATTAGGCCAAATCAACAACGCCTCGGCACATTTGGAGCTAAGAACAAGCTTTCTACCCCTACTGTATTTGAATTGAATTCCTACAGCACTGCTGTTGAGGTTTCCCGTACAGAAATTTCGGCCATCCTTTGCTGCGCGATCGCCGATTTTCTTCTTGTTTCCGCACAATGGTGTCGATTTGGAGTGTTTTCCAGTCTCTGGACCCCTTCCTGGAACCTGCACACATTTGTCAGACGTTTTTTATCCTGGCAGCATCAGCTGTGCTCGCTGTAGCAGCTACACCACGATCCGCGCGTGGATTACTTACGCAATACGGGGCCCGAAGTTCATCACCTCCACGAAAAGACGGACCGGGCGGCAATGCGGCAGGGGACAGATTCACGGACTTCATCAGCTGGGTCACATCTATCGGCAATGTACCGCATTCATGGTTCATTCATTTCTACGTCTTGTCCGTGACAAGCTCAGTATTCTGGGCTGCCCAGTATTTTCTTCATGGCTCCATTTTGGATGCTGTTGCCCAGATTCAAGGCACTTGGAGTTCGTCACCATCAATGACAATACACCAGGTCCAGCTGGCCTGGCTGCTCATGGCATTACAAGGTGCCAGACGACTATCTGAATGTTTGTTTGTCATGCGCTCCTCGTCCTCTAGAATGTGGGTCGTCCACTGGTTGCTCGGCTGCGCATACTACCTCTGTATGGGGGTTGCGGTGTGGGTTGAGGGATCCGGTAAGTTTGCATTCCCGCTCTAAGCTCCAGTCTATATTCATGTTCTTTCTAGATGCGATTCTCCGATCTGATCGATCCTCACACCTGGGCTGGCCTTCGGTCAAGGAGCTCATTGGCTTGTCGTCCTTTCTGCTTGCTTGGTCAATGCAGCACAGATGTCACAAGCATCTGTCGGACTTGGCGAAATATTCTCTTCCCAACAGAGGAATGTTTCGGTACTTGATCTGCCCACATTATACATGTGAATGCCTCCTGTACCTCTCGCTTGCTATTGTTGCAGCACCAGAAAAGCAACTGTTCAATAAGACACTTCTGTGCGGCTCGATATTCGTTGCAACCAACCTTGGTGTTACTGCCGCCGGGACCAGGAACTGGTATGCTGGTAAATTTGGCGAGGAGATGATCATAGACAAGTGGAACATGATACCGCTCATCTACTGAGCAGTAGGCTTATCTGTCGTTACTACTTCTTTTGAAACATGGCGAACTTGTTTCCGAGCTTCGAGACTTTCAAGACATCGCGGTATGTTAGACTTGTGCGCGTGGCTCGGGTATTACAGCCTTGGACGAAATCATTGCTAGAACGAAGTAAATTCCAGTTTGCGACTGTAGTTTCAGACAAGTTGACGTCTTCTGTAACATCTGCGATGCCGTGAAGATATTCGGTGTATAGATCCTCGGTAGTGATGAGAAGGCTCCGCGGCTCCTGAAGGATTCTGAAAACGGGATCGGGTTCGAGGGCTCCATTGTCTTTACTCTTATAGATGTTGAGGCAAAGGCTAGCGCCAAGGCTTACCGTGCAGACAACGGGATGGTACGCGCTTCCGTCCTTGTGTGGCATGATGCCAATACCAGGCGGATACTCATTAATGAGAACATGGTTCGGTCGCTGGTGCGGGCTATCAGAGAACAGGTCGGGTGCATCGGGCTCTTGCGATAGAGGTATGGACTTCAAACGAGAGATGACGGGGTCACTAAGCCAACCAGGCAATGGCGCATCGACCAACTTGTTGCTGACCAGATCGGAGGGCCATGTCTGCAGGCGACGATGCGTGAGTTGCTTCCAACGAGGCTTGGGTGCGGACGCAATCTGTCCTCCGCGGTTAGATAGAGCAACCAATACCATTACTGCCTACCGGAGCCACTGTACTTTATCTAGAATGATTCGCTCTTCGTCTTCAGTGATGAAATCCGATACGTAGTATGCAGCAGGCGGGAGAGACTTGACGCGAACATGATCCAACGAGACTGGGAGGACGATGGACGGGACAGAGGTGGCTGAGCCTGCGTTCTCACCCATTCTCATGCGGGGTCAAAGAAGGCGGAATGCAGAAGGGTACCACTAAAGGGCCTGGGATGCAAAGAACAAAAACAACAAGTGTACGACAAGCGTTGGTGGTAGTTCTCTTGGCCCCTATTTAGTCAACGGAATTGTTGCAGGGCGGAAAGCGATGAAGCGGAAGTGTCAGATCTCGGGCGGGGACCTCCAGGTTACCAGGTCAGACGGAGGTGCAGGAAGCCGAAGGAGGCCAACATGCACTGGCTACGAGACGAGTTGCTGATGTCGGTAAAATGAAAGAGACGTTGCGCGGGTTGCTTTTTCAACATGCATGAGAGATTCCCTTGCGCCCGCGTACGGAGTATTTTCGACAGCACCGAGATGCTCAGATGGAACGGTCGCGGTCACACGGATCAATGAAGGTTATCACGAGTGGTAAGAAGGTTTGTAATGATGTCGTTGCAAGGTTCGACTGACTCTGCGACTTTTGGCATGAGGAGAAAAGACGCTGGGTGGAGATGAATGGTAGGGTACGGAGTAGACTGATACTTATTAATCATGATTATCATGCAAGCTTATCGCCCGGGGGGGGTTCAGTGGGAGAGGATGGCAGAGATGGCTCACGGATGACATAGGCGACATCCGTGCTCCAGTCGTGCGCGTGTACGTGTATGGAGTCATTACATGGCGATGTGTACAAGCGAAAGATGGGAGAAAGAAAAAAAAAAATAGTCCGATGCGCAGGGACGATCAAGTCAACAACAAAATGGGTTTCCGCCAGACGCCAGACCAACAAAAGTCCTGAATCGACAGAAAGGAAATGAGGAGGGGATTGAAAAGACTGGGCTTGCTGGGGGTGTCGCGGGTCTTGATTCGACCTGGTGTTCAATGCACCCAGCTTTTCCCAGGTCCGCCCAGCAGGCCGCAGCACCTCTGCTTTTGCTCTGCCATTTTTTGTTGCGTTTTTGGCCTCAGCCGGCCGCCGTAGTGCTCTCTAGCTCCATGTCCACCTTTCCCACTACCAATCAAAGGAGACAAGTCGGGGGTTTAGTGGCAACCGGGTCCTGGGCTTGCAGGTTTCAATGAAAGCTCCATGGCAGGCCAGTGAGAGACGCTGGTCCTTGCCAGGTTCCGATCTGGTGTGGGCTGGGGTTTTGCTTTGGTTTGCTTTGGCTTGCTTGACTTGCCTTGACTTGAACTTGCCTTGCGAGCCGTTGCTTTGCATTCGATTTCAATCTCTTTGCCCAGGTTGATTTGACTTGACTGCTGCTCGTGCTTGTACTTGTGCCTCAGGCGCCTCCCATTCAAAGCCATCTTACAATTCCATAGCCCATACCGAGACTCACCCTGTGAATTAAACTCCTTCACCGAAAGAAAAAAAAAACCCACGTCCCCCCCCCTTGTACTATTTTCATAGCCCTTTTATCACGGTACATCGCTTTCGAGGTTCTTTAGCCAGGTCTTCTAACTAGAAATCCATTTGCATCCAGAAGGCGTCTTATTTTATTTATTTTTATTTTCTTTCTTTCTTCCTTTTCCGAATCGGAACTGGTTGGCTCTTGTGTTTGATATCGAGACCCGCGCGGCCCGTTCGTTCCCCCCCAGGACTGGACTCGTCTCGTATTCATTCGACGAACGGCGACTTTGACCCTCTTTCTCGATCGGCAGACAAACCCCTTACTTTGGCGCCCACCCTGTTTTGTCTCGAGTCCTGTCAATAGTCCCCCCATGAGTGGCCATCATGGTTCACTATTCCTGAATAATTAAATGATATGGATGCGCAGAATGCTGTCGAGTCCACAAGCGCGAAGCAGCCTGCTTCTCCTAGATGGGAAAGAGCCGAGCTTGCAACGAATCACTCCAGGACCAGATCGCCCGTAGCCAGCAAGACAGCCTCCGCGACGACCAAGGAGACGAAGCCCATCACTGTCGCATCGGGCCCTCCCGATGAGGACACCGCCAACGATCGTGACTCGGACGCCGAGACAATCGTGCTGTCTGGTAAGGATGGCATCTCGCCCTCCAAGCCGCGAAAAGTAATCAAGCACGAGGACAAGAGTGACGGTGAGATCGACGAGCGTGTCTTGCCGGTTCCAAGGAAACCACTCAAAGAGCTCAAGGACACTACAAAAGATGGTGACCGACATCATGTCACTGGTGATGAGTCCATTTCCTCGCTGGGCAAGAAGAAACGGGTACTGGACAAACCCCGTGCACGAGATGCATCCGCCGGACTCAGTTCTGCACCAGCATCTCCCCCCTCTCATCAACATCGCGAACACAACCCATCGCATCGACGTCACAGATCTGGCAACGCTGACTCTGGTTCTGATTCCGAGGTCTCAAAGCCTAGATCACCCAAGCCGTCCAAGGACAAGGCAAAATCTGTCGACCGCCATTTGGCTCAGAAGCGTAAGGCTCACAAGACTGAATCTGATGACGAGGCCGATTCGCGCAAGATTCGTCGACCGCGTATCTCTGAGGGCAGTTTAGAAGGCAAGTCTTCCAGAGACCCAAGACTCTCGTCTGGCAGGCCACACCCGGATCGCCAACTGTCCTCACGTCCACGTTCAATATCTCCGCATGGACGACCACATCGCAGAAGTCTCTCGACACAACTCCCGGACAAGTCTTCGGCATTCGGGCTCGCCGCGAAGAAACGGCGTATTCCTGCTCCGTTACAGTCCACCGACTATCACTCCGATGATTCCTCCGCCAGTGGCAGTCCTCATCCTCGCAGTTCACGTCTCAAGAGCATCGCGACGCCAGGCACAGGAGATTCAACCATGTCTCCCCTCAAGATCGCCCCACACAAGAAACACCTGGATGCTCACGGCCAGACATTGTTCGCTAAAGCCTGTGCAAAGGGTGAATATGACGTCGCGAAATCCCGCCTGGCGGAACGGCCCGAAGATCTCAACTTCGCTGACCATGCTGGAAACACGCCACTTCAAGTTGCCTCCCTAAACGGCCACGAGGATGTTGTTGAATTATTGATCGGCGCCGGCTGCAAGCTCGAATGCCGAAATGATATGAAGGATACACCACTCATTGATGCTGTCGAAAATGGGCATTTGGAAGTCGTGAAGCTTTTGTTGGCTGCAGGTGTCAATCCTCGGAAAGCGAACGCAGAAGGACAGGAACCGCTGGAGAAGGTGCCTGATGACCTTGACAATGCTGAGGAAATAAGACAAGCGCTGCGCGAAGCGAAACAGAAAGTGGGAGAACTACGCCGAACCTCAGAAGATCACTTACCGCACGACAATCTGGACAATTCGTCACATGGAGCGAACAGTCCACGCCGGTCCCCCGACATCTCCATCGGTGCAGTGCTGGCAGCCTCGTCCCGCAGAGGCGGCACAGTGCGGTCCACCAAGACCAGCAATCATTTGCTCTACATGAGCTTAGACGAGAAGACCTTGCGGCAAGCTGCAGCACGTGGAGATCACGAGACTGTTACGCGTGTTCTGCAGGTCAAGGAAAGCTGTGACGATGCAGAGGCCTTGGTAGCAGCTGCCCGTGGTGGCCATAACTTTGTTATGGAGCTTTTGTTGGCATTGGGTGGTGCGAACCCCGACCCTTCACCTGTGCCCTCTTTGCCCTCGGAGCACAGCACGCCAATGCTGGCTGCTATTGGTCAAGAGAATATTAAAGTCATCGAGCTGCTGCTGGAGCAGTCCGGCTTTGATCCGACGCGTCGATTTAGAGGAGAGACTTACTACGAGATAGCCAGACGTCGTGAAGGCCCGCAATGGAAAGAAGAGGAGCACATGCTAAAAAACGCCTATGATGAGTATAAGAAGGCTCACAAGGGAATTTCCAAGACCAAGTCACCTTCGCGGCGGGAAAGGGAAAGAGAACTCGCGCAGGAAGTTAAGCGGAATGCACGTGCGGAATCTTCTCAGGAAAAGGATCGGCTTAAGCACAAGCTACGTCCTTCGAGCCCTTCCAAGGACGCTGAGCCCAAGAAAAAGATTAGCTCGAGCAAGACTGCTACCAGTCCCAAGGAAAAGAGAAGGTCATCTTTCAGTCAGAACGACGATGCGACCTCCCCCAAGCGTGGCCGCCCAAAGAAGGAGGAGAAGCTCCCAACCATCGCCATTTCTGACCGCGAAGCATCCCCAGCCTTATCAGCTAAAGCTCTTCCAGTGAAACCGAGACGAGCAGAGTCGGACATAGCCATGTCTTCGGAAGGTGAAACTGCTAAACCCCGGAGGAAGCTCATTTCTGGCAAAGATCTCAAAGGCCAGCGAGAGAAGCAGCGCCGTGCCAGTATGGTATCTAACAACTCTGCGAATGACGCCCCTGAGCGAGCTAGTTCGAAGCCAGAGGAACTCGTGGAAAAGCCTCGTACGGAGCGCATCTCAGAGAAATATCATGATAGAACCAAGGCATTGAAGCGAGACGACTCCCGGGACAGACTCTCTCCTCACGACGCATCCGGCAAGAGACATCGCGCAAACGACACTCCACCTCGGCATGGTGCAGATGACAAAGATGAGAACGAGGCACCGATAAAACGAAGGAAATTGGATGCGGAAGGCAAGGAAAACCGGGCATCCTTGAAGACCTCTTCTTCAGAGGATCGTCCTCGTAAGCGTGACGATTCACGCGACCCTCTGAAGCGCCAGAAGTTGTCGGAAGGGGATCGCAAAGATACGCTAGAGTCCAAGAAAGCCAAAAAGCTCATACGCGAACGCAAAGAGGCCGAGAAGGGATCTTCGTCAGAAAACGCTAACATAACGATCGCTGCTGAGGATATCGACATGAAGGATGCGCCAGAGGTAGCATCCATTGAAGATGGCGAGATCTCTTCCGAAAAAGATTCGGAGGAGTCCAAGAAGCGACAAGCCGAATTGGAAGCCGCCGCCGCCGCTGCCGCCGAAGAGGCACGCCTGAAAGCAGAAGCCAAGCAACGCGAAGCCGAAGAGAGGCAGAAACGTGATGCCGAGGACAGACGTTTGAAAGAAGAAGCTGAAAAGAAACGCCTTGAAGTGGAAGCAGAGCAACGCCGCGAAGAAGCTGAAGCCAGACGTCTTGAAGAGGAGGCGAATGCGAAGTTGGAAGCAGAGCGACAACAGCAGGAAGAAGAAGACAGAAAGAGGCGAGAAGAGGACGAACGTAAGCGGAAAGAGGAAGAGGAGCGGGCACAGCGTGAGGAGGATGAGCGTGTTCGCCGTGAGAAGGAGGCGGCGGCTGAAGAGGCACGCCGTCTGCGCGAAGAGGACGAACGACGGGAACGCGAGCGCAAGCGGGCAGCACGAGATGCTGAATTGCTCCGTCAACGACAAGAACAAGAACGAGAACAAGAGAGGGTGCGTCTGTCTAAGCTGCCACCACTACTTCGGTGGCTTGATGCCTGTCCAGACCCGAAGCAGAGGCGATATGCCGAGCTGTTCGCAACCATGCAAGGTGTGCGTTACGACACCATCAATCCACGTGCGACTGGACCTCAAGGGAGGGAGCAGTGGCTTCTTAACACTCAGGTTGCGCTACTGCTTGGGGAGAAAGACTTGACACTTCAAAGATGTGAGTCACGCTGAGTTCTTGACGTTGATATCTGACTAATAACATTATAGACACTGGGTGGGAGCGTATTCCAGTATCCAGTATTGCCAAGCGCGTCATTTGGCGATTGGAACAAGACAGATATTCGCTTACCGCGAGCAAGCTGTATCACTTGGGTGAGCAACTGCCTGATTACTACGGCGGTGACCCGAACAAGGTCGGTTACAAGCGCCTCGAAAAACTCCGCGGTGATGCCTCGACACTTTTCCTCGATATGGATATGTTCTTTGTCAAAGAATCCGACTTGCTCTTCGTCCTTCCCACTATTCCACATCTGCGCAACGTCAAGCTTTCTATCTGCTATCGAGAGCTCCCTGAGCATGAGAATGAGCTCAACTGCTGGACAGCGCCCGCCAAATGGAAGACAGATCCAGATGCGAACAGCCGGGAAGGCTTCGCACCACGCTCCAAGTACTATACCAACGGGCGGCTCGACAGTGAAGACCGACCAGGTCATTATAAGCCGAGCAGTTCTCCGTTTCCTGATCAGCGCGTACCTCGCAGAGGCGGTCTCGTAGCTGTAGGTCCAGAAGATCCGGATTACCCTCAATTGTGCCTAGAGCAAGGTCTATGCCACCTGCTTTCGGAGCAGCAAAAGCTTCTAGCCATGAACGGCGCGCACCTTACGCCGAAAAGCATGACATCAAACGGTACAGCCGACGGCCCGAACGAGGAGAACATGTCCCCTTCAGCAGAATCTCCCACAGAGCGGGTCAACGGCGCTCATAGTACGGAAGCCTCAGAAAGGCCTCTCGTCAACGGCATCAACGGAGCAGCTCATTGATGCTCCATACTGACCGACATAAATATATTACCCATCCAATGAACCCATATTATACGATATCATGCCACATCCTCTGATCGCATCATACCCGCACTGGCTATGGAAATGGTTTTGTTTTATTCAGCGACACGAGCCTACGATACGAAGCAAATAGCAACTCCCTCCCGCATATACATCTCTGTCCAAATGCATTTGCAGTCGTCTAAGCTGTACTGTTGGCTTCGAATTGTAAAGTCCTGCAACAACTGGTTCTTCGGGGACAAACTGCACGGGGCTTACCCAGGATGAAACAATATGCAGACCAAGGCGTTTGGCGCCGCTGCCATGTTTAGGTTCTCACGGAAATGGAGGACCGATCACCTCATAGAAGAAAGCGTATTAGATACTATTACTCTTGCTCAATACCAATTGATAATGTCCATATTGCTTCTTATGACGCTGATTTCGGTGACTAGCATTGCTATTCTATTTGTACTTATACTCCAACACTGGTCTCAGCGATTACAAGTCCACGTGACCTGATTGACATGTCGAACTGGGTTGTGATGTTGATGGCACTACTGTCTCGTTACTGCAAGGCAAGAGCCGCCTTTGACTGGCTAATCGAGACTCTCTTCGACGTCGCACCTACCTAGTTCATCTCGACATCCATGAGCATGAAATGGCCGGCGCCGCCGACAGGGGTGCTACGAGAGATGACAACCTCAAGCCAACGTAAAGATTCGCCATGACTTGGGTCACTCCCACGTCGCCCTCTTTGACGGTGACACCCCACAGTCCAGATGTCTGGTAGGTAGGGGTCCGGAGCAGAAGCATCGGCACACGGCGTTCGGAGCCTTATAGTAGAGAGCACAACCGGTGTTAGTTTCAGCGACAGCGGTGTAATAAGCTGCCTGTACACCACAGGCGATAAGAGCTGCTACGTCCCACCGATCATTCCCAATCACTTCAGAGCACACTGCAAGCGTCGCGATGTAGAGTATGGCGTTGCAGCCCACCCAGCTGAAATCCTCGCACATATCGTAGTAAAGAATTTGAACGTTGCACGCGCCACCGAAATCGAGCGGGCTGAGGTCCCACCAGTCGGAGAGGCCTTCACATAAATTGCCCTCGCCCAATGTGTAGTCTAACTTTGTATAGGACACGAGGCCGGCAGGCAGGCGTAGAGGGACACTGTGGTGCGTGAGAGTCAGCGTTCATTAAACGCTGCTTTAGCTTCGACCGAACGATCAGTTCGTCTGCAAGCTCCTCGGTTCGCTTGCGGCCCTCCAGCATTTTCGATACTTTGGGAATTGTGACAGGCGACGCTGCTGGGGTAATTGTGCACGATTGCCCACTCGTGCTCCATTGATAAGTCGCGCCGCCTAGCGTGATAGTGATGCGTCCGTAAAAGTCGATGCTGAATATGGTAGTAACCCTGCCGCCACTAATAGCCGGCCCAGTCGTCATTTATTCACGAGAATAACCTGTCCGTCCACGGTCATGGTGACGAACTGAGCTGTGTTGCCGTATATAATGTCACATATACCGTCAGTACCTTCGGCCGCTTGGAGACAAAAGGTGGGCGCGGTGTACGTCGATGGGTTGAGCATAGGGTCACCGGTAGTAGTGGGCTGCAATAGAAGATCAACGGAGCCGGTTCTGCTGACCATGGGCAAGAGGTTTTCATCCAGGACAAGTGAGCTTCCAGAATCTCCTAATCGAGTCAGGCGTCGACTTACAAACGGCGATGCCGGCCCTAGGTTACCATGCATGGGATTTCTGGCAAATCCGTTCCGGATGGTTGAGGGATACCACTCGCGACTGGCGGTAACCCTGTGGCATCCAAAATGATCTCGAACTCGGTATATGTGTATATCGCCATAAAGTCCTTGTCATCAGTCGACCTCGCTTTCGCTTCTGCAGTATACTCCGGACTGTCGCTTGGTGTGACGGATGGGGTAACATATCCTGAGAATATCACACTTGGTCCTGGTGCAATAAGCATAGTAACATCGGCGCTGGTCACCGTGTATGCAAAGACAGACGGTCCCCAAGAATGATTAGCTTAACTCGTACGAGGTAGCCTGTATTTGGGCAAGGATTCAACCACAGAGACCACGGGGGAGGGGAAGGTTGCATCGAAACAGATGACCAGATCGCTCGTGCCCAAGGTGAAGTCCAGTTCCAGGGCGATGGCATACATGCTACACCGGCAGCCACTCCGGATCTGTTCAGATAAGCTCTCACAGTTTGCTGTCGGGCTATCGAAGATAGTAGCAGAAATGAGGATTACTACACTCAGCGGCCTAGTTCCGTAGGCTTGACAGATCTGAGTAGGTTCCGGGATGGTGGAGCTGGGCGAGTTGGAGGTGGAGATAGTGCTGCTGGCGATACTCTCCGAGCTGATGGTGTTGTATAGACTTGTAGTGTTATACGCACTCGTGGCATTCTTGAGGCTGCCGTATTTGGCAGAGGCCTAGCTGAGTGACGCTGACAGCGCCAGGAAGCGTTGGAGATACATATTGCACTGGAGAGAGGATTGCCTGCTGTGAGATTCCTCTTTGCTCGCCTATACAATACTTTCTTCTCGGATAGACACATGGTGTCACTTGTTGTCCTTCATTCCCGTCTGCCCCTATCAAGTGATGAGTCCAAATTATTGACTACAGTGAGCCGTTCTCGTAAAGATTTAGACTATTGTCAATTGTTGCTAGCGCTAAGGGTCGTCTACTGTGTTGCTGGACCCCCTAAGCTCCGTTTGGGGTACTATCTTTACCTAGACTAGTGATCTGAATAGTCGTTATGGACTAACCTGGCCAATTGGCCGTCAATACATGTCATTTCCTCAAGTTCAAAGCTGAAAGCTGAACAATCCCATTCAACACTCGTCCCTGCACCCATACCATTCAAAATTCCATGAAGAAGAACCTTGGCGCTCTGAAGCAGGTACAACGGAGGGCAACAAAGAGTCTCGCGGCGCTAATGCTTATGAGGAGACTGGAATGCAGCCAGATTGTGGTTGCAGGAGACTCAAAGCCGGCTGAGAACAAGTTCATCAGATGACTCCTGACCATCTATTCCATCATAATATAAGTGTCAATCATGGCTCCGCGATCTATTGCACCCGCTGGCCACTTTTTCAATTTCTTGCAGCGGCCTTCATAGCCTCTTCGGGTTTGGCTGCCTCTCTTCGCGAGATGAGCAGTATGCGCAGAGTGTCTTCGAAGACAAGAAGCAACACGTGGTATAGAGGGTCTCTCGAGAAAGCTATTTACCTTAGCTTAACCATTGCTAAAGACTGTGGTGGACCACGGCCCACTCACGTACCCTAACCCACAGACTTTTCGTATCAGAAGTATAATCCCGGGATAAATATCCCGAAGCCATCATGGCCCCTGAAAGGTTGTTCCTAGGCCGCCTTGTCCGCTTCACCGTTCCAAGCAGGCTTTATAAACTCTGTAAACGGAACTCGTCGCACTGCCTCATTGGCTCACCGGTAGAGCGCCTCACTAGTAATGAGGAGGTAACTGGTTCGACTCCAGTATGAGGCATCACGTCTTCTTCAGACATCAGCATGCCATGTTTTCTTTTCTTTTTGCACTCATTGCTGTATCATAATTTACATGACATGAAAGTCTGGATAAGATATAGACACGGGCGATCTATTGTGTATCGCCAATCACAGACTGCTTGACTGGGATGCTCTCATATCTCGAAAGGAGATAACTTTTTAACGTAATATGTCTACTTCTTGGAGTCGAATGACACAACGACAAAATAGTACTTGTGACTTACAGTTAAAGCGCTGATTACTTGATACCGGAAATACGTGTGGTTAAGGGCATAAGAACCCTCGCGATACCTTTGATCATATGAAGCGAGCATCTACTAGAATAGCCTTGGTCCCGCAAGTCATCTGGCAGTGGTAGCAGCAGAGACACTCGTTGCCCATGGCACTCGTGCAGCATACGTACTTGCTGATCCAAGGTATTTACACCATGTTGCTACATGACGATCGCCGCTATTCTTTTTGGTCAGATAAGCTTGCAGTTGATCGTTCATGTCAGCTCCTGTCGTTCAGCGACAAGGAATATACGTGGGGCTCGGTCGAAGGTCTGTTGCTCACTAGGAAAGTATTAGCGAATACATACACTCCCAGATACCGAGCATCCCACATACTAGAAACTATATTCTTTTGTTTGTTTTGTGAGCATAGTCCAGCTAGTGAGACATGAGTGGGCTCGTCCAGCGAAGAGTCCATGGGGCCGTGGCGCACGGCACGTTGAGACGGCGTGGATTCACAACATGGTCGCGGCAAAGCCGTTGTAATGCGGCACGTCAGATGCGGTTCGTCGCGGCTGCAAACATAAGAGCACCCTCAGCTTTGAGATGTACAGTTAAATCCTATGCCGTACAGTATACAGCCACATAGCCCGCGCTTCGTGGCTTCCATCGCGACCGGGGTTCATGTATGTCTCCCGTCGTTCTCGATCGTTTGAGACTAAGACGACCGTGTTTCTGGCCACGGCTCATGTGTCTGATGCTTATGGATCGATGGAAAATGGCCAGCTTATGAACGAGATTAGGACGAAGCGAAGTCGATATAGAGTTCGTGGGGAGCATGGCCGCCACGAGAGTCTCGACCAGTCGACCTCAGCGGCATTCTGTATCAGACTAACCTTATAGTGACCTTGTTAAGAGCCGCAGCATAGTAATTACTAGCTGATAAATTACGGCTACCCATAAAATGAGCTATTAATAACAACTGTTGGTTCGAACAGGTTTGGGATCAAATATACCCACCAGTGTTCGAGGAAAATCTTGCGTAGGAACTGCCGAGTCTTTCACCGTGACCTATTTTCTTGCTTGTGAGGTTCATCTTAACATGAAAAAGTAGACTCCGGGGCGCTACTAGTTACAGGCCCTAGAACTATGGAATGAATGAGCTATCCTTCTCATCCGCTGCTATAACAGGTTGTGGATGGACTTGCCCGAAATGCGAAGCCCACGTGGTTATCTCTCTACCTGAATTACTCGACATGGCATTCAACAAATCAAGCGGCATTAATCAAACATGATGTGACACGGCATCAAAGATACATTAGCACACCGCTGCCGTCCAATCTGGTGGTACTGTTGTTTGGGACGCGGAAGAGCCTCCCTGTCTCCGCGGTTGTTAGCTGGCCACTCAAGTCCAGTGCGCCTCGTCCGGAAGCCGCAGCTCTATTTGCGCAGCTTCTGCAGGAGACTTTACCGATCGAAAATTCCTACAGAATGTTTATCGCCATCGGCCTGTGTACATGACAGCGGGGTTTTGGGTAAAGTTCGCCTTTGTCTCAAAGTAGCCACGAATACATTAGTCCAAGACAAGTGCCACGCGGTGTTGTCTCACGACATGACGACCGGCAGAGAGTATACCCTCCCGCAATTTGTGGCATACTTCAGGCGTTTTTCAACCCCAGCAGACCGACTTGCCTTTGCAGAGAACGGTGAGAGACAGAGAGAGAGAGAAAGAGAAACAGTTCAATGTGGGGGGGTTACATTTGACGCAAAGCTATCTGTAAGGGATAAAAGCTTATTTCTTGCTTTTTATTTAAAGGCCGTGAACGCTTCCTTGCGTCCGGCAGCGGGCATCAGGGGCCGGCCCTTTCCATTTCATGCGGAGAATAATTGAGCACCTTGTGGAATCATGATATGTTTTGCAGTAGTGAACTTTTACTAACTCATAACCCATACATCCATGCCTCAGCGAAAGCCGGTGTGATTGACAGCTGAACTGCATGGCATGCCTTTGATTTGAGAGGCTCAGCAACGAGCGCTGTCACTTCCATTATTGGTCACACTTTAAAATATGTGAATTGCATATGAGAAGCCCACGGGAGCTACAAACTCAAATCGGATGAAGACGAAAGCAATGTTGGCCGGCAGGCAGGTAGTATACACAAGAGTTGGTGCACCAGCAGGTGAGGTATAGTGGGCGCCGCGCCAATTCCTGCATCTACTGCCTCGCACGCACCACGTAAAAGCGTGGTCGACACGCGCAACAAACCTTACTTATTCCTGTGACTACTTAACATGCCTAATAGATGGCAATTATTTCGATGTGCAAGCTCGAGGCTCAGGTAACCACACCCTTTTACGAAATTGTTTGGATGTGTTTACTTGGATGGTTGCGGCATCAATGCGTGTATAGTGACGATTCATAGAGATGAAATGTGATGCACTTAAACCTTTTTATTTTAAAATTCAAAATGAATCAATCATACATGTTTTGTATTCAACGATTGTTAACAGGCTTCTTTCTTGCTCCTTGAACGCATGCACTTTAACGAACCAACAACGGGTAAACTTCGGCCGAGGCGACCATCCGCGGGGCTTGACATCATCCTCAGGAATTTTCGACATTTCGCCCCGCCAGACCAACTAACCGCCATTTCACATATCGTGGGTGGTTTCTTTTGAAGATATCGCAGGTCAAAACAGAGAAGCACCAGGTAGTCCGACAATACCGCAAAGATGTCGACTACAGTGGACAAGGTAACTACCCCGCGTAAAATGAGTTGTCGTCCGATTCAGTGCTGACACCTTTCCATAGATCAAGGATATCGAGGCCGAAGTGAGTAAAGATCCCGTAACATCAAACCCGTAAATAGGGGACCAAATATACTAAACCACATGTAGATGGCCCGAACCCAAAAGAACAAGGCAACTTCGTTTCATTTGGGTCAGCTAAAGGCCAAGTTGGCTAAGCTGAAGCGAGAGCTGCTCACTCCTTCCAGCGGAGGCGGCGGTGGTGGTGCTGGTTTCGATGTTGCAAGAACCGGTGTTGCTAGTGTTGGATTTATTGGTTTCCCCTCAGTGGGAAAGAGTACACTCATGAGTAGACTTACTGGACAGCATTCCGAGGTTGCTGCTTACGAATTCACCACCTTGACTTCGGTACCGGGTCAAGTCACGTACAATGGTATGAATTCACCCCTTAAACAAATGCGTCAAGCCCAAGAAGCAATTTCGATGGTAGAAACACCGAAAACTCCCATTTCTGATGCCATTGATAGGAGCCCCTCTGCAGATGATCGATCTTCCAGGTATTATTGAGGGTGCTAAGGATGGTCGTGGACGTGGTCGTCAAGTTATTGCTGTCGCAAAAACGTGCCATCTTATTTTCATCGTTCTCGATGTCAATAAACCACTCACGGACAAGCGAGTTATTGAGACCGAACTGGAAGGTTTCGGTATTCGTATTAATAAGGGGCCACCAAACATCACTTTCAAGAAGAAGGATAAGGGTGGTTTGAATATCTCCAGCACGGTACCTTTGACCCACATCGATAATGACGAGATCAAGGCTGTGATGAACGAGTATCGTATCAACTCTGCCGATATCGCCATTCGTTGTGACGCCACAGTCGACGATCTCATCGATGTGTTGGAAGCAAAGAGCCGTAGTTATATTCCGGTCATCTACGTACTCAACAAGATTGACGCCATCAGCATCGAGGAACTTGACCTGCTTTACAGGATTCCCAACGCTGTGCCCATCAGTTCCGAGCATGGCTGGAATATCGACGAATTGATGGAAGCAATGTATGTGCTACGCCCCATCGAGGATGGCACATTACTCCTTGTCGTACAACCGTTACACAGCACTAACGCCATCGTGTCACAGGTGGGAGAAACTCCAGCTAGTACGCGTGTATACCAAGCCAAAAGGCAAGATGCCGGACTATACTCAACCTGTCGTGCTCCGTTCGACAAGATGTACGGTCGAGGATTTCGTAAGTTGCTTGCTTCTCTGGTACAGACAACGTTGACTAGAGACAAACCTTGCTGACTCGGGCCGTTTCTTCCACAAACTAGTGTAACGCAATTCATCGTACCATCGCGGAACAATTCAAAACGGCTATCGTTTACGGCAAATCTGTCAAGCATCAGCCGCAGCGCGTGGGCCTGAGTCACGAACTAGCGGACGAAGATATTGGTAAGCATTGCTTTTTAGTTATTTATCTTATTATCTTGCTGGCATGCAGCGTGTCCGGGTCCACAAGGCATATGTGATTTATTGCTAACGTCTACCCTTCGTAGTTACGATCGTCAAGAGATGATTGCTCGGCTGTATGTGGATACACGAAAAACTCTCGGATGTCCTCTGGGAGATGCATTTCCAATATCTCGGTCAAAGCGCATATGCAGGATTTATGGTGGTATAGAATGGCGCCGAGGTTGCGGACCGTACCCGAGAGTGAAAAGAAAAACACTTTCCTGGCAAGGTCGTGTGAAGAGGAGCCAACGGATGACGATTCGCGTAGATTCCTGTTCGTGTGGATGAGGCTGCGGACAGCTGCATTTGCAATTGGGAGCTGGCGTATGGTTTGCGGGTTGGCGGATCGAGGCCCAGTATGGCTGTAACCGATTGAGAGGAGGACACAGACACAACTTGCGACAAAACAATGGAATGGCGTTGTCGGCACGGGAGTCGGGAGGAATAAAGTTCATGCATAAATGAATTAGAGCGACTATCGCTCAGCTGGGGGTGCCCATTATCGACGCAGGTCCAGCTCGTCTCAATAGAGCCAAAAACTTGATAAATGACGAAAGTATAAGACTAGGTTAGAGCGTTACATTCAGGCGCGAGTGGACGCCGAAAAGGCTGAAATCGTTTGCAATTGACGTCTTTCCCCCACAATGTGTCTCAGACCGTTTTCAACGCCACGCAGGATCTCGAAGGGGCCATTGCGAATGCGGAGTTGATGCTTGTGAAGGCGAAACTGTGAACCAGACACATGGGGGATTGCCCATCATCTGCATAACCGAGGGCCTCTGGTTATGCGGCCGCCGAATCCGACAATCAGGCTTGAGATGCAGGTGCACTGCATCTCAGAGACCCAACTCCAAGTTGGGGGCATTGGGTACCTACCTGACCTACCATAGCTCTAACCCTCTTTCTTGCCCGACTCCACCCATGGCCTCATGTGCTTCAACGGCGCTTAATGCGCAGAACATTGCCGTCACTACATGGCGTCTTGCGTCGGAGTTTTTATTTTATTTTTCTTCCTATTTTCTTTTACCTTGCTTGATTTCATCTTTGCTTTTTGACGTTTTGTCGCTATCCCTCCTTCGTGCGATTCACCCTCCACTATTTCACACCAACAGGGAAACTTAGACTGGATGGGCTGCGCGAGTGAGGTAATGCTGACCTTTCACAATGCACCGCTTACCGCCAGTACGCCGATGACGGTCGACAGCATATGAGCAGTATGAGGTGTGCGTAATTCGTCAATTCGGGGTCTTTGTGGCCGGGTTCCTGCAAATCCTGGCGAACATCTTCACTCCACGAACACACCGCTGACGTCTGTCTGTTTGTCGTGTTGCTTTCTTCCTCTCATTCCTGCCCTGTAAATGTATCTATCTGCCTCGTGCGCAGTTGACGCCGGCCCTGAATTGCCAGGCACAACCACCCAGGGATGAACCCTGTCTAGAGCGCGGGAAGAAATGGATAATACTAGCACGATATGCCACGGGTAGCTTTAGTGCATTGCATGGATATGGTTGTTGGAGTGCGCTTGAATGACGCTGTGACCATTTACGGGCCTGGACGGTCCTCCCCGAACACTATTGTATGTAACTTGTGACGATTGTTGTGCTCCTGCAAAGCAGATCAACTAGAGAAGTCTGAGCCTTAAGAGCAGAAGCAATGCTAAGTTGACGAGGAAAGGCAGTCATGGGTCGAGCAGAAACCGCAAGATCTGTCAGGAAGGTGGAGCACGGACATCTCCAAAATCCTTCGTTATGGCCGTTGGTGATAATCCTGGCGTCTGCCTGTCGCTAGACTGCAATATCCCTGACTGCTTCCAGCCCGGAGCAAGTCGCCGAAGAGATTGGAAGTGGAGATAACGGGTTGTCCCTTGGAGCAATGAGCGACTTATGGCCTGTTCGTAAGGTTGATTCCGGGTACACAATCAGGTCATCATTGACAATCTACGTTGAGATCTCGTCCCCCCCCCCTTTTTTTGTTGTTGTTGTTATTGTTGTTGCTGTGTTGAAGTCGAATTGATAACGAAAGCAATCTCCCCGTTACTTCTAGGTTGATGCTGCACCCTTGCACGTTGGCTCAACTTGGAGTTGCATACGTGCTTGATGCGACTCTGAACCTGGGGTTGCCCAACAGAGGCAAGAATTTGGCATGAGGTACGGGTTACTATGTAGGGAAGTTGGGATGACAACGCCATTCCCGGTTCGACTATAACTCTCGGGAGCATGCGTCTTGCAGCTCTAGACCGCAGGAGATTGGTGAATTATGGGTTTGAAAGCTCCGTGCCCTTCCTTTGAATTGGGAAAGGCCTCCCGGATTCGTCACGGTAAGCAGAACAAAGCCTTGTGTGATGCAAAAGCCTTCCAACGAGCAAGCCTCGTTACGGGTTTGATCTTCATTGGAGACTGTTGGTTTTGCTGGTAGCTAAACTCGAAACGGCCCAGTAACGTCTAGAATACGAGCAAGCCTCGTCAAAGGCATCGAATCGCATCGCATAGATAGTCAAGGATCATGATAAACTGAGCCAACAGGATTGCAGCCCGGATACTAGGGTGAGCTTCGGCCACATTTGTGCCCAATTGGCTCCGGTGAAGAAGTAATATCGAGCGTTCAAATGTTCTGCGCCAATGATATTGCCATAACTTTCTCTTGCTAGTGTCGTATTGTTGATTAACTTGCCATCTGACACGGGAGCATAAGGGATTGGCTAGCATGCTAGCATACCATCTATGATGGAACGTTATGGGCTTGTTAATATTGTTGAAGAAAAACAAGGTCTGGTGCGGTTCGATCTGTCTGAACAACGGCGATACAAGGGCCGAGCCTTCCTGCCCTAGAGCCATAATCTGATCCGAGATCGTCACGTTGGTATGAGGCGTACAGACTGGAGAACAGGGACTTGGATGCCTTCGTACCATTGGTGCTCGTTCAATGGAATGAGAATCCCTACTTGGTCGGTGCCAAGCATGTCTAACGGGCAGATACGCACGAAAGAACCTCGAGACCCCCGAGAACGACGTGAGCGGCATAAAGATTCAGTTGCTGCAACATCATCACACCTTTCTGCGGCGAGGTGCTGGTATTTCGCAGAATCTTCGCAAATAGGATGTTTTTTCTATGGTGCCGCGAGTAGAGACTTGGCTGCCATGTCCTGAGCTGCTAATAAAAGAGATGGTCGCATCCGGGAACTACGTATTGTGAGGTGATAATAGCCGGTGTAACTCTAGCGACCCATTTGCAAAGTGATTTCAAACATATCGCTACCATTAATGGCTTTGAAGGCGAAGCCTCCTTCGACAAAACATCTGAGTTTGATATGCAGAAACGCAGTGGACAAACCCTGGTTGCATTAAATTAATCTCCATTGGTGCTGCGATATTCTTTTTGTCAGGAAAGAGTTTCCGGCATTGCGGACGGGCACGGCTGCGGTCTGTCACCAGATACATAGTAGAGTCGCAAGCTAGGTGCGGGGAGGCCGTCGAGCGATTCGAAATGGTCAGGTCGGCCCATGTGCTCGCGAATCGTGCAGACAGGGACCCATAGCAAATTCATCCCCATTAGACTTAGAGAAACGTTAAGTGCTGACGAATGGTCATTTGGAGCAGTGAATTAGCATGGTTCAGCATGATCACCGGTCTGGCGTTCTGGCGCTCCTGGCGTCTTGGTGGTCATGACATTTTCGCAAGGAGGGAATATCCCATGACCAAAGAACGATGCTCACGTTCAAGAGTCAACCATTTTGATATCTCCACAAGAGAACTAGAGGCCGGCGCGCTTCGAAGGACCCGCAAGAGGGCATGACGATCGACGTAATATCAGTACGTAGTGACGATGGATCTAATATACTACTGGATATGTTTTGAGCCATTTCGTATGCGGAGAGGCGCAAGTGAAGTAGTTGAGGCTTTTCGAAGTTTTGGCTCATTGACGACTGTCGAATGAGAGCGCAACGCCTCAATATTGACGGTTGCGGGAGGAAAACGGTGCCAGATAGTGATCCTATGGCTGCCCTATGAAAATCTCCATTCGCCAAAATGACAGGGACTAGCCCTGCTTGACTCCGTCCCACATACGATCAGCGGGGACGTCAAAAGAGCCCAAGCTCTTTCCGAATGGCCACGAAATACCTCAATCAGCAACATCACAGGGGTGGGAAATACCCCATTAATTGATCGTTGAAGCAATAGATGAAGCGAGTATTGCATGTTGCATGCTGATTCCATCGAACTGCTTTCTGAGGCTCATCTGGTTAATCACATGCCCAGGTCTAGAGGAGAATCAACCATTCACCGCAAGCCCTTAAGTTGGCAGGGGATGCTATGCTTTGCTCGCTTATGTCTCGGCGGGGTTCATCGTACTAAATGGCTATTGTCGGGGTGTCTGAATGAAGCAAGGTGAAAGCACTGGGAAAGTGATGATAGATGATGCGTTATCTTGATTGAACAGAAATTATTGCTGTTGTCGTATTCTGCATCATCATTGATGAGCCCTTCATTTTAAGTTCACTTGCATACTTTATGGTTGTTGCTTTTCGAGTCGAGTTTGCGTGGTGCGATGCCTTGGGACCGTATTTGTGGAAGGGCAGCTCTTGCCCAGGTACTTACTGTAGATTAGGTACGGGGTCTAGCACAGTGTCGAACTTCGCTGCTCAATACGTACAATGCTACCACGACGAATCTAGCTGCCGGCATACCGGTTTATAAGTAATCACAGGTTACAGCTTGCCCTAAGATAGACTACGCGCTTCGTCGCAGATCTGCAAGTGGTATTTCAACTATTAGGCTCATGCGGATACCTCTTCACACTTCAGAGCAGGTCGCGTATTGGTTCATTAGTCGATCATTCTTGGCCTTTGGCGACAAAACCGGACACAGTGCCAGTTTCAAGATTCGGCGTCTAGTCGAGCTGGCCAGGTAGCTCTTGCCTAGTACATAGTATTTCCCTGGCTCAGCTTTAGACCTCGGGAGCATCCTTCATCCGCTCTCTAGTCTCGCACATCAGGTTGCTTACCACTAGCTTCAGCAAGATCAGCTCTCCTCGGCACATGGGCATCAGTGAACATGACGATCTTCAACAGTAGCGGATCTATTGATTATCGACGTCTACAGCGACTCCCGAGACTGAAGTGATAACTCTGCACAACTTCTCCAGATGCAGAAAGATCTCAAAGCGCACCCATGGTGACTTTCTTGGACGTATCTGTATCAACGTCTCTTTTCCTCAAACCGTTCTCATCTTCGCCCAGCGCCCAGTTGGCTCCTGCTTCCTGCTTCTTTTCGCGACAGTACTCCATGGATACGTCTCTAGTTGGGGTGTGTCACTTCGTAGCATTACCGTCGAGGGTGTTTTCACTTCGTCCCCCGGGTACACCAACGTCTCTCCCACACACTCACACTCACGCACAAGCACACACACGCCTCGAACTCCGACGAGCTAGAGGACAGTAGCATTGAGGTCATGCTCCCTACCCTGGTCTGTACAATCCCCGTCTGGCCAGCCAGCCCTCTTCACGGTCAAGGTCTGTCCTGTCCATTGCACCTTAATTCACCCGTCTCTCAATATACCCTAGTCCTTGTTTCTACTAGTCATACCCTACTACTCCCCCCAAGTCTACTTCTGACACCCCCATCTCGTCTTTCGGCTTGGGTTCAATAGCCATTCGACTGTGATCCCGGTTGTTGCATACTAGTTTATATGTATCAATCTACGGCCCTCTCCATGTCTGCATCTGGCCCTGCTTTTGTCATGCGTCTGATGGTACTATCTGGACAAGACCCGACCGTCTAAGTGCATTGCGGCGTCAAACTCCTGCAGTAGATCTTTTCTCGTTGGTGAGCTCTGCTCATTCGGCCTGCACTTGCAGCTTGTTTGCTACACCGTCCAATCCTTCCATCGGTCGACTTCTTTCGCGCCGCTACAGGTGTCTTCCGCCTGCACCCTCACTGTCCTTTACGAAGAACCAAAGTATACAGGCACCGTCTTACTAGCCACGACTCGGTTCATCAGCATTCTCTTACACTCGAGGTCGTCGCACAGGCCGGCAACTCTGAGGCCACTGGCAACCGTAACAAGTGTTTGTTGGTTGCTGATTTCATCATCCCGGCTTCACTTCCCGCTCTTGGGTACATATAGTTGATTATCGACTGTAGACAACCTTCTGCGCTTCTCCGCCATTCTCTTTTAGGAGACTTGCCGAGTCAGTCTGCCAACGTTGCTGCAGTTTCCAACCCGCATGCGAGGGTTTCGACCTACATAGTAGTCCACTGCATCGCCCCTTCCGGGACTCAATTGGCTGAATGGTTATGCATGTCGTTTCTCGCCCGTAAAGGTCAAATCGCCAGTTCAATCCGGCAGATCTCCACTGACCTTGAGCACCAATCCTTCTCATGGTGGATTGGTGCAAATACATACATCTGTGCTGGGGCATATCTCGGATTACGACGTGATCTCCAGTCAATGCAGCCTGGACGCAGAACACCGCCAACATAATCTCTTGTACAAGAGGTTGCGCTAACAGACGGCATGCACAACATGATCAACTCCTCTGGTATGGACCAGGATAGCCATCTTGCTCCAGATAATTCCTTCGCGAACGAACACTGGGCTGGAATGAATCCATACAATCAAATATCTATGTCGGGTTACGGAAGCGATTATTTTATATCGGCAGCCACTCATGGGCTGCCCTCCGAGTCTCTCAATTCTAATCGCATGGCACCACCACCAATCCCACATCAGCTCCAGCAATCGCAACATCAGCACCATACAAACCAGCACTATGCGAATCAGGTACCGCACCAGCTGATGATTCCAGGGCAGGTAAGCACACCACAAGTCAGCTGGCCGAGTCTACGGACAAACCCAAGCCAGAACTATGCGAACCCCCCGGTTCGTATTCCGCCACAGGCACCGCCTATTGCTAAGCAACAGCCAAAATTACCGTCAATTACGACATCCACTCCACGGAAGACATTAACAAATGAGGACCGTCGACGAATGTGCCAGTATGCTGAGGACCATCCTAAAGTCAAGCAAACGGAGATTGGCCTCAAATTCGGCGTCGAGAGAAGGTATGCTGTTATGTATTTCTTAGTACCGGCGCCGCTAATCTTCAATCCGTAGCACTGTTTCAAAAGTCTTGCGGAAGAAGGACTTGTACTTGAACCAGGATGATCGAGCTAGCTCTCCAGTGAAGAAACCCAAGGGGAAGAATGCTGGCGAGCTTGAGCGAACTCTCCAAACCTGGATCAGAAATCAACAGCGAAAAGGGGTTGTCGTGAATGACGAGGAACTAGAATGTCAGGCAAGACTGCTTTTTGCTGGAACCGGTACTTCTGAGAGCCCAGAGAAAGTCATTAACAGGAACTGGCTTGATAAATTCAAGCAGAAAAATGGATTGGGGCCGGGCAAACTCCTTCGTAGAGCATCGGAGACGGCTATCCCAGACAGCGTCAAGCGTTCTACCGAATCGCCAATATTGTCTGCGGCACAAACGCCGGGCGGAGCTTCGCCTGTATCCCCTGAGGGACCGACATCGCCGCCTGTGGTATCCGCCACACCAAGCAACGAAGAACAAGACGCTCTTGCTGTATTCTCGGGCTTCGAGGGCAACCACTACAAACACTCCCAGAGCAACGCGTCTTTAAACAGTGCAATCACCGACCCATCCTCGTCAACGTTTTCCGCAGGTGCTTTCAGTCCCACTTCACAATTCACCTTTTCTCCGGATCCGAACAGTGGGATGTTTGACCAGCGACGTCTACCCCTGGAGGCTTCAGCTTTCCATCGACCCCGGAGCCAGACATTTCCGAGCCTGGACATAGAGTTCATGCAGCAGCAATCTTCGGAACCGCCTACGCCGAAATATAGCGCCTCAACTACGGCTCCTTCTTCTGCTTTGGAATCTCCAGCGCATGAACTTGCCGCCCAGCCGTTTAGTGTTGACTCAACTATCGCGCCGATTTTACACCACAGTCGCAGCAACAGCAGCTTGGGCGGTAGGTCAACAAATACTCCCATACTACCAAGTGCTGGTGTATCATCACCCAGCTCGCCTACTCAGGAAGATGCTCGTCGGGCAGCTGATACTCTCGTGAATTTTATGCAAGGACACGGATTAATGACCAACGACGAGTTCGTAACAATCATGCGATTGACTGAAAAACTGAAGCTCCACCAACAACAGCATCAAGTTTTCAAGACTATATTGCCTGCTGGAATGGGTGGCTTACCCAGAATACCGGAAGTCAACTCAGAAATGTCCAATATCGCGACGCATATGATTGGAAAGGACGAGCCCATGATGTCAGGATAGCATCGATTACAGTCCGACCTAGGACCCTCCCGTAGTACACTACTCTCCCGTGTTTTTGTTTCATTGCGGGGTTTGAAAATCGACTCTCTCGGATGGCATAAAGGACTTTCATTTTCCACGGCAAACAGATTTAGTGAACGACAACAGGAGCACATTACGCATCAGAGCAACAGGACCGCACTACTGCAACCCATGACACTGTATCCAAGGGGCAGCCCTTCGATATTGAACCCTTCACAGACCGGAACTCGTCTCACGACGACATATATACCCATCGCTCGCGCGAACGGAACCGAAACGGCAAACCGACCGGCTGCAATATTCTTACCATCGCTTTTCTACATATACCATCTTCAATCTACCAAGAATTGTCCACGCTCGCGCGTTTATCTGGGCACCGAAAATTACTCTTTGTTTTCCGTATATATATATACATCGATCACTCGATTTTCTGCGTCTTTTTTCTCTTATTGTTTTCTGCATTCAGGTCGTATTGTGTGTTATTTGTTCATGGGTCAGTAAGTGGCAAGCACGAAATAGGCCATACGGGGAGGGGACGCAGACGGCATGGACTGTTCGAAGGATGAGAACCGCTTCGAAGTGCCGGGCGGGGGAACGCCAGATTCGTCTGGCTCTGGTTGTTGACTTTCTCTACGCTATCTTTTGTCTGAAGGCGCTGCTCCGCAGCAACAGATACCTGGAAGGGGGGAATAATCATGGAGAAGTAGGAAAAGGATTTTCTTCCAGGCAACGTAGTAGCAAGAAGCGACAGCAACCACAGTACAACAACAACAACAACAACAACTGTACCGAGTGCCCGTTTGCTCTTTCTCCCCACCCCTTTCGCTTACCACATGCGCTCGTTACGTCTCTCTGCTTCTCACTTCTGAGAGGGCCGGTGAATAACAAAGAATTCTATTACGTTCTACATCTCCGTGTTCCTCCAATGAGCGTCATTCTAGGCATAATCTACAGAATGGGAGTATCAAAGTCTCGAAGCAGACCCTAAACGCTATCGTCACAGGGGCAATGGAATGATAGATCGTGCGCGAAACCCTTGACCCCTGTGGGCAGACAGACAAGCCTTCAGGATCCAAGCCTTGTCCTTGACTGGTTCAATGCACTAACCGGGACTTCACCCGGCAGGCATCTTATTTGCAGACATTATGACATGACCTTTTACAAGCTTAACGGGCATTGGGTATCGATAAAATCTAATTACAAGCACAATCGCTTAATGTCTTTTGGGTTCCCACCGACCCCGTCACATGCGGCTCCTTCCTGCGTCGGACATTCATGATGCGTCTGTGCGAGCTGACTGCATGTCTCGAAGATCGGATCTAATGGAGTCTCTCCTCCCATAATTCAATGATGCCTTTATCAGCCAGTTCGGGCATAAGACGCACAAGTATCAGTTCTAGCATCCCGTACACGAGGTGTTTGTTACAATAAGCATCCGAAAACAAGTCGAGTATTCCTGTTTCGATCTCGGATAAAATTCTATCCTCTTCCTCATCGGACGTTGACGAGGAGGGGGTTTGGTTGATGCGTTCAGCTCCGCTTGCCTGAGTAGCCGTAGTTTCGCATGATGCTGGGCTCACATCAGAAACATTATGGCTTTTCAAACTGGACTTGCTGCCCTTGTGGTTTAGCGATCCAGATCGTGAAGTGCTCGCGTTGTCCTCATGTTGGGGTGTATTAGGCGACGATTCGTTAGAGCTTTGCCAAAAAGAGAGCGAACCATAATATAGTCTACCCACACTCTTCGGCACAGCCGCCCATATTGCGCTAGCGCACCTACGCTTCAGTTCAACCAACTCCTGCTCGGATGAGGGGGCGACCAGACTCGAGGCGCCCGGGGCATTGTTAGGAAAGAGAGCTGCACGGATTGAACGTAGCAGTGGGGGTAGCCGGTCTGGGACAAGCATGCCAGAGTGGATGTGGTGTGAGATTAGCCTGCGAGAAATTCAATGTTAGTACATGGTTTTTCTGGTTATCTTGAAACCACACGAATCTTCGCATACAGCTTCTGCTTGACGCGGGGGAATTTCAGTGTACGTTGTTTCTGGTTAAGAGACAACTGAACATAAAGTGGGCACACGGGTATCAAGATTCACCCGCTATTTACTGAGGCAGGAACGATTTCTCAACCCACGATAAAACGGCCGCGATCAACTAGATCCCATCAGTAGATTTCGCAAACCGTCGCAGGTAAGACAACGCGCTTCGGCCGTGGGATCGAGCGAATTGAGAAGGCAGTCAAGCCCCAATCAGCTCTGGGCATTGCGGGGGCCACTGGCCCGATCACACCCGGTGTTCGGCGAGTATCCATGCGGCCATCCCTCCAGCGTTCTGCGACCATGAAGCACAGCATGTCTAGTTCTCCAATCTCGCAGCAAGCACTTGATGCTGAGACACTATTTCCTGATGGCAACAGGGACTAGGAAAATCGCCAACATGGACAATCTCGGGGTAGGCGCATCGATTCCTGGACCATGTCAAGGTTGCTTCCGTGATGCAGGAGTGCCGCCTTAACCTAAAGTAGTGGCAGCAGCAAATCATCGTGATATGCTGGAGACGAGGCGACTGTCATTTTTGACAGCTCCGAGAAACATGATCAATCATGCTCATTCTAAGAACTACTTGGCGATCAGAAGTCTCGTGAGGGAGACCATGGCCGCTTAGATTGGCAGGACGTGACGCTAAAGAACCAAAAGAAACCCAGCGATGATCTTAAAAGCCATTGTATAATGAAAAGCTGAACTTTCCCACCATGGGCGGTATGTGGGGCATGACAAAACGAAAGGGAAAATAGCTGGTAGGGTAACACCAGGCAGTAAGATCGAATTAAACGGGATTGGTGAGAGTCTGGTTCGATTGGGAAGGATCCCTGCAAATTCCTTGTTGGGCGCGTAAGTGAGGCTTCCGGATGGTCAGGCCGGCCCCCGCACCGCGCCGTTTATTGAGCAATCGGATGAAGAATTGCTAGGTTTACCCGGTTATTGGTCAATGGTGAGGTCGACGGCCAGCCTAGTATGTAGTATTTTCGGACAATAATGAAATGCTCCAATGGTGGTGCGAGTAGAATAACAACTATTGGACCGGCGCGATCTTTCGTACACTGTATCGAAGGGTTGCACCACGTTCAGGAACTAGAACGCGCCCGAGTCCGATTCGACGGCACCGTCTGCTGTGTCTCTACTTTCCACCCAGATTGGATGCTTCATCGTGCACACGCGGACTAGCGCCGCACCAGATGGAGATGCTTGCTCTCCACACTCGTGAACAGAGGCTCTCGGGGACGCTGACTGGATACTCCCAGATCCAGTGATCTGAAGTGTATGCGGTGTAACGCAGCAGGGCTTGATGACGAGGGAGATGATAGAAAGCCACAGCCTACCTGTCGATGATTCCATCATATCCTGCGATCCTTCCTGGGCCTCTCGTCGTAATCCATTGTAGCATTGACAATGCTCCGCCAAGCCAAGGCATGCGGGAGTCCATTTCGAGCAAGTTGGCGGTGGATGACCAAATCTTGAAATCAACGATTGGAACTCTCACTGGTACGGACTGGGACTCGAAGGCTGCGAGTGGCTGATGGGATTTTTCGCTCCCGAGGTGACTAGTCGCATGAGGCTTTTGAACGAACAGGATTGTAGTTCGAGGGGGGAGAGAGCGTGACAGAACCAAGGTGTTGATCAAGACACGGATGGCGTTGACCAAGAGGAAGCACCATTGGACTGAAGACCAGAACAATGACTGAAATGATGGGCTCCTGTTAGTAGCTAGTTGTGGATTTTTGGAGGATATTGGTTGGCAATTGTCCAATTCAGCGGCATCAACAGGTGCGGTTTGATCTGTTGGCTCAGACGACCCTTTTGTTAGACGTGTAAGCATAATAAATATCTCCAGCAACAGCCATGGTTCAGATAGTTTGTTGGCAACTAGATTGCCAATGATGAGTTCGGAGAAAATCTGGCTAACCAGTGACGTCAAGCACTCATTCTCAAGGTCTTCTGTCGGAAGCAACAACACCAGGATTCCATGAACCAGCAACTGGCGATACGCGGTTTCATTGTCAGCCTGTGCTTGTATGCTGCTGGCATCACCTGACTTGGGTATTGGAGACAGAGCTGGCAAGGGGCATAACGAGTGGTAAATTGTGCGATGATCCGACTTAATAGGCGGTCTGGCTGCCGAAGTCTGGGCAGTGCGATATGCTGCGTATCCACATTAGCCAATGCCCGTGAATACACAAGAAATGTCCGGCCGATGGCGTGAGCGGATGGTTCGCATGAATACAAAGGAATTGCATCTGCGAAATCGCTTGCCACAGCCACAAATTATCAGATCATAAACGCACCTGTTATGTGTGCGTCAATCAGTTCAGGCAGCTCATCAAACAACAGACTTTCGAGGTCAACATGCCTCAGCCTTTCTTCGAGTGCTCTAGTACAATGTGCAATGATTTGTACAATCTCGGCGACGAACGACTCGTCGGCTGTGATATTGTTGTACCATTTCTGGACGAACTCCTTCAGAATGACTGATATGAGGGCGTAGAGCTGTAGATCCACGTCGTTTCGACTGGTCAAAGGAGGAAGCAGCTCTTCGATTGGTGCCGGGGAGTTCCTCCCCCTATCAGCTAGGTGTTGGGCGCATAGCGTTCGACGAATGAAGGCCGTTGTAGCTTTGTCCGACAAATAGTCCGAGGAGGCTGGCCGTATCGGGCGTCGGGGTGACGACCGCGACGTGTTTGACCGAGGTTGTAGCTGCGGCTTGATTGCAGCAGCTGGTTCGGCCGCAGAACTCGAGGTAGTCGCTGGTGCTTTCAGGTTTGGGTTTTGTGCCCCAAGAGGTGGGATCGCGGCCGTTGTCGCCATGGCCGGATGTTATGATATGGTCCTATTGCGGTCTCATGGTAGTGTCTAGTTCCTGCTCCCATAAAGCGGGACTGCTGGTATCAATTTACGCCGAAGTGTTCTTGCTGGGGATCGTCATCAAGGCGAAGTTGGGGCATGATCAAGAGATGAGGTTGAACTATGGGCCTGGGAATCTGCGACCCGAATAAATGTCATGCACGTTGTTACCGCTAGCGTGGACTCTAAGAAGTGGTAGGAGCCGCCTGTGAGGTCGCTACTGCACGAAGGCACGTGCGTCATCAAACGGCTGCATCTGCAAGTGCAAGGATCATAAACAAATAAAAATAATGAATAATAATTAAACTCACCTGCGGCAACTCGCAATGCGATTTAGGTACTACAAAATTCGGTGCACCTGAAGGCTGCGAGTGGTGAAGCTGCCTTTTCACGCCAGATTGTGATGCTTCTCTCACCAGGACTCTCGGAATGCTCAAAACTGGAGGGACCATCAAATGACAGGGCTGACAGATATGGGTAAGATCTGGGTACGCACTATATACAACTGGGGATACATTTACAATGCATTGCATGTACAAAGTGTTATACATGATCAGACTCTATGTCCCTGTCATCTATCTGTACATCGCCCTTCAACAAGACGCTTGGATCGGAAATATGTCAACGCAAATCCGGCACATCTACAAGGAGCATATTCCTCTATACCAATAAGGTTCTATTCGACGTCCTTGTGGGTAGCTTCGTATCTGTTCACATGGTCAGTAATCTGTATTTTTAGTAGTGGGTACCAGTAAAACATACCTCTTTCCACGGAATGCCCAGACACCCCAGTTGCCACATGTGACATCCTGAGGATCCAGATCATTCAAGTCCCAACGCAAGCTCCTGAAAGTGTTCTCACCCGGCTCCATGAGTATGTCAAACTCGCCTCCACAAGTCTTGTTAACCCATTCGATATCCCGCTCCATATCAAACTGGGTGTAGCCGGTAGCAATGATGGGTGCTTTGGTCTCGAGCAATAGTGGTATAGTCTCCGCCCACTCGTGGGAGCTTGCAGGGTGGCCCATACCGGGATGAAAGCAGACGAAGCAGTCAAAGTAAGGGTCATGAGGCTGGAAGTAACCAGTCTTGTGGATGGTATGGTAGTAATCCACAATCGTGCTGATCTTCATCGAAGACCAAACTCGATCTTCAACAACAGCACCGAATGGATTTGATGCAGTCCGTGGTGGCAGTGGGAATTCGTCGTCGCGGTTGGCCATGCTTTCCGGTCCAATGAAGACGAGATGAAACTTGCCTCGAGGGAACAGGTGAGCAAGCTGCACCCACACGTTTCTAGGCAAGGAGGACTCGGCTCGAGCTCCCAGGATGAATATCCGGACCGGAGGGGCCTCTGGTCGCAGGCCGCGGATACCGTCACCACCTCCAGTTTTGGGAGGATGCAGGGTATACCGTAACGCACTGAAACTCTTCAGACCCTCGGCGGTCAGGCGGCCGCCCTTTCTGATGTTGTACGGACTCAACTCGTGAAGGATGCTTCCAATGGTCAGAGGATATGTCAACAATCTGGTGACTTGCCTCATGTTACGATCGTTGTTGATTGCTTCAAACTGTCTGGTGTACAAGAAGGTGTCCCAGTTGGTCATGTTTACCACTGCCTCCTCCATCTGGGGTCCGGCATACTCGAATTCGGGGAAGAACCTCCCGGACCTGAGATCGTGGTCGTCCTCATTGATCTGGCGTAGAGTATCACAGGTTTGCAAGTGCGCCTCGTAGTCCTCTGCCCAATGCTGCTCACTGCAATAAACAGGTACTCCACAATCTGGGCACTCAAAGTGCACATGAGCCGGTGGCTGATTTCCCGAAGTTGCGGCTTTGTCTACATCATCCGAGGTCGTGGGAATGCGCGTGGGCCGATGGTCGGGGTGAGGACATAAAGCATGCTGCCTCATGAAAGCCGCTCGGTGCCGTATCTCTGGGATAGGAGAATTGGTGTATGAGTGGAAGAGGTCGTCTGGGCGGAGGACCAGCGGCTTCTTCTGCTCGTTTGCTGCTGACGGTCCTGGTCCAGGCACAGGCACAGGCGCAGATGAGCCGAAGGAAACGTCGGCCTCTTCCGTAGGCACAGGCTTCGTCTTCCGGCCGAAGAGAGAAAAGGGTCGAGCATTCTCGTCGGCTTGAGATCCGGGACGTCTGGGATTAGACGGCTGGGGCCGTAATGCGACTCGGGAGAAAGCTCTCGAGGTAGTCGGAAGTCTTGCCCTCGGGGCCTGTGAGCACCTCCGGCACACGTAGGAAGCTGCCGACCGCATAGTTGGCTCCATTGGAAATATTGGTCTTCTCCAACCCGAGTATTGGCCAACGTCGTCGTACGATATCGCAGCTCTCAGTGCAAATACAGTAGCGCCCTTCAGGTACAGTACGTAACTCCCTGGAGCTCCCCGAAATTTCCTAGGGGGATCAATGATATTCCGCGGGGGTGAAGCTGAGAGCTGAGCAGCGCTGATGAGCATGCACGCATCTTTTAAGTTAGGTTACACGCACCACACGCGTATGTACTTGGTACTGTGTACATAGCACCTTGAGATTACCTGTATACGGTTAGCTCTGCACCAACTAGCTCCAGCTCTACCATATGTAGTACTGCACACGCAGCAACTTAGCTCTGGCTCAAGCCTCTCGCCCGAAAGCTCACTGCGAAAGTGGGCTACTGCAATGAGTTTTAGGCGTCGGGGCTGCTGGACTGCTACAGCACGCGGCTGGGCGGCTGGAGCTCTCTTCTGCCATCTCGGATGAAATTTATTTTGGAGCTTGGAACCTCATACCATGTTTTGCTATCTATTGTCTTGATTAATCCACCCAGTCCTGCCTTTTCGTATAATTCCCAGTCAACCAATAGCGCAACCGTACTCCAAGCTCGCGCGGTCTTTGCGCAAACCTTTCAAGATGGCGGCGACCTCGAATATGTTTCTGTATTCCTTGACCATCCAACCTCCGACCACCATCACGCAGGCCATCGTGGGACAATTCAGTGGTACCAAGGAACAGCAGATCCTCACAGCTTCGGGGTCGCGTCTCACCTTGTCACGACCCGATCCCTCACAAGGCAGAGTCACCACGCTTCTGTCCCAGGATGTATTCGGCATCATCAGATCCATTGCCGCTTTTCGTTTGGCCGGGAGCAACAAGGGTAAGCCTCCCCACCTCCTCCATTGTGTGTTGGGCTTCACTTAGTGATTGTTGAAGCTGCCATGATAGACGCGCATTGAGGACCGCTCTCGGGATTAGAGCATACACTGTGATATCCTCAAAGGTCCGAGACATGTTGCGCACCTTCTCTGCCGCACATGCTAACTTATTCCCGTAGATTATGTCATCCTAGCTACAGACTCTGGAAGGATCACCATTGTCGAGTACAACTCCCAGCTGAACAAGTTTGTCCGTGACAAACTCGAAACATTCGGTAAATCAGGCGTTCGAAGAGTCATTCCCGGCCAATACTTGGCATGCGATCCTAAAGGAAGAGCATGCATAATCGCTTCCGTCGAGAAGAACAAGCTTGTATATGTCCTCAACCGGAATTCTCAGGCCGAGTTGACCATTTCCTCACCCTTGGAGGCCCACAAACCCGGCACAGTTGTCTTGGCCATGGTTTCCCTGGACGTGGGCTATGCAAATCCCGTATTCGCTGCTCTTGAAGTCGAATATACCGAGGCGGACCAGGATCCCACAGGAGAAGCTGTCAGCGAGATCGAGACGCAACTTGTGTACTATGAACTGGATCTCGGTCTGAATCACGTCGTCCGCAAGTGGAGCGAACCTGTGGATCCAACCGCGTCTATGCTCTTCCAAGTTCCCGGCGGCAATGACGGTCCTAGTGGTGTGCTTGTGTGTGGCGAGGAAAACATAACCTACCGTCACTCCAACCAAGAAGCATTCCGTGTCCCTGTTCCGAGGCGGAAAGGCGCCACTGAGGATCCCCAGAGGAAAAGGACTATAGTGTCCGGTGTCATGCACAAGCTGAAAGGAAGTGCCGGTGCATTCTTCTTCCTTCTACAGAGCGAGGACGGCGACTTGTTTAAAGTCACCATTGATATGGCGGAAGACGACGAAGGAAATGCGACCGGTGAAGTGCGCCGTTTGAAGATCAAGTACTTCGATACCGCTCCCGTGTCTACCAGCTTGTGCATCTTGAAGAGTGGGTTTTTGTTCGTGGCCAGCGAATTTGGCAATCACCACTTCTATCAGTTCGAGAAGCTCGGTGATGATGACGACGAGCTAGAGTACTCTAGCGATGATTACCCTACAGACCCCAAGGTGTCATACACACCAGCTTACTTCTACCCAAGAGCAGCCGATAACTTAAGTCTAGTGGAGAGCATCAACTCCATGAACCCCCTCATTGACTGTAAGGTTGCCAACCTCACGGCAGAGGATGCACCTCAAATCTACTCCATTTGTGGAAGCGGTGCTCGAAGCACCTTCAGGACACTGAAGCATGGTCTAGAAGTTAACGAGATCGTGGCCTCGGAACTTCCTGGCACCCCATCGGCTGTATGGACAACAAAATTGTCCCAAGAGGACCAATACGACGCATATATTATACTATCTTTCAGCAACGGTACTTTGGTGCTTAGCATTGGAGAGACCGTTGAGGAAGTGACTGATACTGGCTTTCTGCCCAATGTACCCACATTAGCGGTCCAACAACTGGGAGACGATGGACTGATCCAAGTTCATCCAAAGGGTATCCGTCATATACGCAATGGTCGAGTCAATGAGTGGGAAGCTCCCCAGCACCGATCGATCGTCGCAGCTTCGACCAATTCCCGGCAAGTGGCTGTTGCTCTCAGTTCTGGCGAGATTGTCTATTTCGAGATGGATGCCGATGGCTCACTCGCCGAATACGATGAGAAGAAGGAAATGTTCGGAACAGTGACCTGTCTCAGCTTGGGTGAAGTTCCAGAGGGACGACTCAGAAGTTCATTTCTGGCTGTGGGCTGCGATGACTGCACCGTCCGTGTGTTGAGTTTAGATCCGGAGTCCACTCTGGAAAGCAAATCCGTACAGGCTCTTACAGCGGCACCAACTGCTTTGTCCATTATGTCGATGGAGGACTCCTCGTCCGGGGGATCCACCTTGTATCTTCACATCGGTCTCCACTCTGGTGTCTATCTGAGAACGGTGCTTGACGAAATCACAGGAGAATTGACAGATACACGACAAAAGTTCCTTGGTCCCAAGGCTGTCAAGCTATTTCACGTTTCTGTTCAGGGCCGAACTTGCGTCCTGGCATTGAGTTCCCGGACGTGGCTCGGTTACTCTGACCCCATCACGAAAGGTTTCATGATGACGCCGCTCGATTATGGTGATTTAGAGTGGGGATGGAACTTCAGCAGCGAACAATGCGAAGAAGGTATGGTGGGAATTCAGGGTCAGAATCTCAAGTAAGTTCTTATTTTTCCTACTCCTGATTGACGCGATACTACAAGACGAGAGTGATGAAAACCTGGGATCCTATGCCAAGAGCATTGAGGACAAACCTTATTTATTTGTACCAATTGTTCCTACTGACTCGCCATCACATTATTTTTCTTTGGAGAACGTCTTCGACACTGGAACTGACCAATGAAATAGGATCTTCTCCATCGACAAATTGGGAGATACGCTGTTGCAAGAATCCATCCCTCTTACTTATACGCCGAAGCATCTTGTCAAACATCCTGAACAACCGTACTTCTACACCATTGAGTCCGAAAACAACACTCTAGCCCCCGAACTCCGAGCGCAACTTCTGGCGGACCCGTCAGCTGTCAATGGCGACGCGCAAGTCCTACCTCCTCAGGAGTTTGGTTACCCTAGGGGCCGTGGGCGTTGGGCATCTTGCATTAGCGTTGTTGACCCTTTGACGGAGAAGGCCGTGCTCCAAACTCTAGACTTGGGCGAAAACGAGGCTGCCGTCAGCGTTGCCACAGTCTCTTTTGCCAGTCAAGACAACAAGACTTTCCTCGTGGTAGGCACCGGAAAGGACATGATCCTCAGCCCAAGGCAGTTTACCGCGGGTTTCATCCACGTTTACAGCATTAGCGAAGACGGCCGAACTATAGAGTTCATTCACAAGACAAAGGTCGAGGAGCCACCAATGGCACTCATCCAATTCCAAGGTCGTCTTCTGGCTGGCATTGGAAAAACCCTACGCGCTTATGATCTGGGTTTGAGGCAACTACTTCGAAAAGCGCAAGCTGAAGTTGCACCGCAACTGATCGTGTCACTACAAACCCAAGGCAGCCGTATCGTCGTTGGTGACGTCCAACAAAGCGTCACGTACGTGGTTTACAAATATGAGAGCAACAAGCTTATCCCTTTCGCGGACGATTCAATTAACAGGTGGACAAATTGCACAGCAATGGTCGACTATGAATCCGTGGCCGGTGGTGATAAGTTTGGTAATATCTGGATAGTCCGCTGCCCCGAAAAGGCCAGCATAGAAGCTGACGAGGATGGCGCCGGTGCTCACCTGCAGCACGCGAGGGAGTATTTACATGGTACAAATCATCGTGTAAGCCTCATGACCCATTTTTACACCCAAGACGTCCCCACGAGTATCAGCAAGACCAATCTTGTGGTCGGTGGTCAAGATGTGCTGCTGTGGAGTGGTATCCAAGGCACTGTGGGAGTCTTCATACCTCTGGTCAGTCGTGAAGACGCCGATTTCTTCCAGAGTCTCGAATCTCATCTCAGGAACGAGGACCCCCCATTGGCAGGCCGAGACCATCTCATTTACAGAGGATATTACGTGCCAGTCAAGGGTGTTATTGATGGCGACTTGTGCGAGAAGTTCACCCTGTTGCCAAATGACAAGAAGCAGATGATAGCGGGCGAACTGGATCGATCTGTCAGAGAAATCGAGAGGAAGATCTCGGATATTCGTACACGTTCTGCTTTCTAAGCATCTTGGACCCGGGTTTATGACGTTGAACAAGAGATGTATTTGTACAAGGGAATGAGAAGGCAAGCCGGCGTTCGGCGATAAAAAAAATTTACCAATGACACGATTTATGAGAAGAACAGATCTATACGTACGCCCAAGTCAGACTGTCATGTGCCTCCCCTCCTGAGAAAACTCCTGCCCCTCCCTAGACCGAACCCACCACGTTTCGCCGCGGCCTTTCCCTTGACAGGGTGGCCGGCCTCCCACTCCTCATCCGCGATATAAGCTACTGTCGCTGCCTCCAAGTCATAGTCTGTCTGCTCGAGGTATAAGACGGCGACGTCGTACTCTGACACTTTGCAGGCGACCATGAATCTACGTATCTTGCCCTTGCGGAGCTCCTCTTCCTCACCTTCGACGGGTCTTGGCGACAGGCTAACACCACCTTTGTAGTACTCGCCAGGAATGATGGCTGTCTTTCGCCCCAGCAGCAAGTGGTCCGACGTGACGTTGTTGGCGCGCCGCAAGACTCCGGCGGGGACGCCGTATCGCAACGAGAGAGAGCTGATGGAGTCGTGGTCGTGGTTCAGGAAATGTAGCACATCCTCGGCCGGCTCGTCGTCCAGTGGAACAGACTTCTCGTCGAGCGGGTCCGGTCGTTTCGTAGCGGCTGCGGAATAGGGCGGCGGCGCTTGGACGAACGGGTCCCTCGAGCTCTCGGCGACGGCGTTGTACGAAGGCGGCTCCTTGAGCCCCTGCGGAAGCCGGGTGGGTACGCTCGAGATCTGGCAGTATGGGCAGTAGTTCTGGAAGCGCGGGGTTTTCTGGGGAGGACGTATCAGTTGCTTTTATCCTCCACCCGATACATTGAATTGATTGTGTCCTTGGTCAACGACGTACATATATACAATTTCCACATATCACTCTTGGACAGCAGCCCAACGGCCTATCGTCTGGTAATGGCTTCTCGTTCTCGCTGTAGCGGGGCACCTTACTCAGTAGAGTGGCGCATGTGCAGCATGCCTGCATCGTTTCTCTCCTCATTCTATCCAGGGTTCGCCAAGAGACGTGGATGATCGAGGACGGTCAATTTACGTTACGTTACGACAAAGTGGTAGTAAGTTAGAGCGACTCAGAGATAGGGAGCCAGTTTCATAGAAAGCAAAACTACAGTATCCTCGGATGAGGCAAATGGTCCCAGGTGTATGTAATAAGTCGAGATGAGTGGCGGTTCACACTACCTATCCATGACGCGCTATCGATAGCAGGGTCTAGCACTAGGTCAACCTTGCGGATCCGTACTGTAGGTTAACCATTAGAGACCCGAGACCACCGAGACGACAGACACGCGGCAACGTTAGTTAACTCCGATGGGATTAGAAGGGCTGTACTAATATGTAAAAATAAAACCTGGGGTTCCCAGAGGCGCCGCTTTTCTGACGATGCAACCTGTCTTGGCTGGCGCTTAGCATTTGATGATGATGCAGATAAAGGATTCTACTTGATGTAGGATGGATGGATGCCTCGGAGTGCCTTACGGGACAGATCGCATTATTCGTATTTATCATATCGAAGCTGAGCTCCATCCCAAACTACCGGGTTAGACCCTTTTCGTACCGTACAGAACTACGGATCCCGTACGAATAATCTCAAAGGCCCCCGTCTCGGATTCTTGCGAACATTGCAATTAGATTAGCAGACCCCTGCAGACCCTGTACTGGTAGTTTACGACGCCAAGCCCTGAGAGCTTCCTTTGTCCGGGAACGTCATTCCCCGACTGGAACCTAAAAGCTCCCAACCCTAACCTATACATATACATACACGGACAACAGTCCCGTCCGGGGAACCCGCCATCAGACTTTTGACATATGCTCTTGCTTCTGTTTCAAATAGGAGAGTCTCCCAGTACCTTATACATGCACACGTGCCACGAATGCTCTTGAGGAACATTCTGTCAGACGCAAGCATCGCGGATGAGCTGTACATAACCTGCCTACCACCCATGCGACCCTGACAGGTTCTCGCACACGACCTTTCGCCATGTCAGATCCGCCACCCGCTGCAGAAAAGGCGCCGCCGACACCAGCGGCATCCAGCGTCCCCGTCGCAGCGTCGCGGCACGGCAACCCCCTGATCTCCGTCCTCCTCAACGAAGCCGGCCTCGACTCCCCGACCTTCCGCAGCAATGCCCTGCACTTCGCCGACCAGATCGACGCCATCGAGCGCTGGCTCGAGGGATACAGCCGCACTGCTGCCAAGCTGTCACACGATATGCTGGGCCTCGAGGCTGTTGTCAACGACTATCTCTCCAAGATCGTCCCCCCTCAAAACGTCGTCTCTCTCGACCACGACTACACCGCTCTGGCGCTGAAGCGCATTTCCGAGGGCAGCAGGGAGTGGTGGACACACGTTCTGGGACTCGCCAAGAACATGGACACCATGAGTGCCGAACCGGTGCGGAACTTCCTCCAGAACGACCTACGGGGCTTCAAGGAGACCAGGAGGAATCTCGAACAGACTCAGAAGACTTTCGACACCACGCTGGCCAGGTACGTGAGTCAGAGCAAGTCGAAGGAGCCCAGTGCGATAAGGGAAGATGCGTTTGCTGTGTACGAGACGAGGAAGGCTTACCTGAAGGCCTCGATGGATTTCTGCCAGATGGCGCCACAACTAAGATTCACACTGGACAAGCTGCTCGTCAGAGTATCGACAGATATATGGCGGGAGATGAAAAGGTCCAAAGATACGGCCGGCAGCTTTGGAAAATGGGGCTATCAGATGGACCGCGTCAGGGGTTGGTCCAAGGAAATGGAATTGACAGAGTCAACCTTCAAGCGGGAGCTACAAGCCGCCAGGCGCGATGTTGGAGAGAACTCGCTCATATCATTCAAGCCTGCGAGAGAGCTCGATGCTTACAGTGCGAGTACAGTACCTTTCCTAGGTAACAAAGGACCCTTGAATGTCAAGACCGACGAGAGAGCTGGAGTGTACTCTGAGAAACAAGGATGGCTATTTCTCCGGACCGTGACGGGGAAGCCTGTGCGAACAAATTGGATCCGCAGGTGGTACTACTGTCGTGACGGCATCTTCGGTTGGCTTGTGAGCGGGCCACAAGGCGTCTTGACAGGTGATGAGATCGGAGTCTTGCTTTGCAACGCCAAGCCGGCAATTAGTGAGGAACGCCGTTTCTGCTTTGAGGTCAAGACAAAAAATCAGACATTACTACTGCAGGCAGAGACACAATCTGAGCTCATGGGTTGGCTCGAGGTTTTCGAAGTCGCCAAGAAAAAGGCATTCGAAGCAAGTGTTGGACGCGATACCTCGTCTCTGCCAGGAGGTGTTGACCCAGCATTCGCCATTACGCCGCCATCTATGCCCGAATTTTCTGCCAAGTCGCTAGACGCTCAGCTCAGCGTCGATGAGACGGTGCAGGGCCATGAAAGGACAAACACATTACCAATCCCTGGTCAAGAAGCGGGCGGTTTACATCCGCGTGCTAGCTTCGATGTTGGGCAAGTCGCACCAAGACGATCTGCGACGTCTCTCGGGCGTGAAGAAGGAGAGAGTGGACGTGACCATGCGGCTAGGATAATGCAAAAGCTCGACTTGCATCGCAAAGCCAACTACTCCACGGACACCAGCGCCGGACTGCCATCGCCCGGCCCCAGCGGTGGCATTGCAAGTCTCATTTCTGCTAGTCATGGTCTTCTGCCTGGGTACCCGTCCCCTATCGTGGGCCAGATGGCACCTCGTACACAGCAATCACCACAACCGCCCACATTATCAGGGCCAGAGCCTCGAGCAGGCAGTCTTGCACCGGCAACACTTGCTAGTCCGCCAGCACCCACTAGTCTCAGTAAGACTGCTGTCGTGTATAGCAGTGATCGGTCTCTCAGCAATGATGCTAGCTCTGGTCTACCCACTGCCATCATGGCAAACTATTGGGGAAGCAATGCGTGGGCTCAAGAATATGCTCCGAAGGCGGCCAAGCCTCCATTCAACCCCGATGACCCGTTTGGGCCCAACTCGCCGTCCATCAAAATGACTATGGCCAACGACAGTGGCGACCTGAAACCGCCTACTCCAGCTTCAGTCCACAAGAAAGCAATCAGTATGGACGCCAAGATTGTGCGTCCTTCGGCTATCAGAGAGAAGGCAACACAAGAAGAGTTTCCGCCGGGTTATCCGCTTGAGTTGAGGACGAATACAGCACAGTTCAGGCTGGTTTTCCCAAGTGTGCCCCTGGATGAGAAGCTCGTCCTGGTCTTCCGGGCGTCTTGGACAACCAGCATGTCTGAGCGAACCAAGGACTCGCCAGGCATGGCTGGTAATGGTCGCATCTATGTTACTTCAGATAATATGTATTTCTACGGCCACCAGATGGGTCTGGTCGTTGCGTACGCTATTTCTCTGGACGGCATTACAGAGGTAACATCCGCACCAGGTAGAGACTGCGACTTCATTTTCCTTCACTTGAATCAGGATGCGCCGGATGTGCAGTACAGCAGGATATCTATCAAGACTTTCTTGGAGGATATGGACCTTCTTCACGCTCGTCTGAACTTGCTTGTTGATGATCTACAAGCAGAGGAGCCTATGGAGGTGATGGAGCTGATCAACACGTTGATCGGCCTTGAGAATGAAGAGTACGACAAGAGAAGCCCAAGTGCAGAGAGTTGGGAGGAGGTTTCGACGAACACGCCCATGGATAACAATACTCTTGCCGGCCGAGCAGTCAGTCCTCGAGCAGACCTTGCATACAAGACACGGTTACGGGGCGCACGAAAGCCTGCTCCGAAGTTGCAGCTACCATCACATCCTGTTTTTTACGAGCCCGAAGACATGCAGAGAAAGGTGACGGAGCGCACATTTGAAATCAGTGCCAAGGCCTGTTTTCACGTTCTTTTTGGCGATAAGAGCTTTGTGTTCCCGAAACTCTACTTTGAACGAAGAGCAAAACAGATCGCGCAAGGTCCTTGGAGGGCAGGCGAGAATGGACGTCTGCAGCGGTTATTTAAGTTCAAGGTCACATACGGCACAATGTTTCAGGGGCGAAAAGCTGAGGATATCATCGACGAGCAGACCATCGAAGTCTTTAGTGACCATGTCACCTATGTCGTTACACATGTCAAGACCCCATGGCATCTCCCGCATGCCAAAGACTTCAAGCTTGTGACCAAAATCGTCATCACGCATATTGCAAAGTCAAAGTGTAAGCTGGCTATATTCACAAAAGTGGCCTGGTCAAAGAGCCCACCGCTTTCGAAGAACATCATCGAGCGACAAGCCCTTGATGATGCGGGCCTGGACGCCGATGGACTAGCCGAGGTAGCCACGGATCAAGTGCGAAAGATCGGGCCCCATAGCCGTACAAAGCGGGCCATTCAGATATATGGCAATATCGGCCAGCAAACGCAAGTCGTGCTCTTCTCCCCTGCGGAAACCGAGAAGACTAAGAAATCGCACATTCGTCCGCACAGTCTCACGAAAATGCTCTTCGATACTGTGAGGTCGTGGGCTGAAAGTGTGGTCACCTCAATCATCATGTGGGCCTTCGCAGTGGTGAAGAAACTATGGGATGTTGTTACTGCTCAGCGCCTCCTACTAGTAGTATTAGCCATGAGCTTCCTACTCAACCTCATCTCGTCCTATCAAGGTACCTCGACCTGGTGGAGCGAGCGCAAGGCTGCTGGTTTTATGCACCGCCTCGGTGTGGGACCAAATATCATAATGAGCAAAGCAATATACTTGCGTGACCTGGATGAGGCGGCCCGTTTCTCGTCGCTAGACAGCTCCTGGCCCGCCGAGGATAGCTACTGCTACTCTACCTTCCAGTCTATCACAAACAGTACGGATATCGATGCGCCGTACGAGGACTCGGGTGCCACTCTGTCGTCAGCTACGAGCCGGGCGACCGCGATGAGGTTGAAAAAATCCAGGCAGCGCCTCGGCGCCTACAGACATGATCTGCTCGTCGCCATGCGCATGGTGAACAGCGTCGAGCGCGAGATGATACAGGGCGAGTGGGAGAACTGGCTTCTCGACGAGAACTCGAGATGCGAACAAGTGGGCACCGTGTTGAGGCTGTGGAATTCCACGTCTAATAACGGCGAGAAGCCGGAGAAGGCATCCGGCCTGGAGCTCGATAGCGAGGGCGCGCAGAAGGTCCTCAGAGAGAAGGATGACAGGAAGAAAGAGGCGCTGAAGAGCTGGTATGAGGACTACTGCGGCAGCTGTAGACACGATAAGGATGAGTTGATCAGGAGCAGGGAGGCTGTGACTTTGGGCTAGTATTAACTGGTATAAAGCGAGTGAGGGGGTAATTACCCGATAATGATAGCGTTTTGAAAAGGCGGGAGCGTATGATTGGAACCAGCAGACATCGAACGGATACTCGGTCCTCTCCTTGAACTTGGCCGTCCGGGGTGGCGGACGGGGCTTGTATATTTACATTGCACACTTGTATAGATTGTGTTCGCGTTATATTGAATACCCCACAAGCAGTTTTCGTTTCGTTTTTTATCCATAGTCTTGGTGTGTTGCCCCACAGGTTGCGCGAGCATCCCAATTTCCAATATGGCTATTTTGTGTCTTTGACGTCAAAAGACCACCGACCTGGCATATGCCCCGCGAGCGGGCTAAAATTGCAGTGCAAGCAAAAACGAGTGGACAAGAGACGTCAACGGTGTGGCCAGAAAGGGCTTACAGGATATGTCTATGGATCCGTGAAGCCCAATACATACGGCGACGTTCCAGGGTAAGCTACCAGGCTAGTAGTCACTGGGTGCTTTGGTGGCGGGCAGTGTCCGGTTCGGTCGAGAATTGTCCTGCAGGCTGGGGAGGGAGTCGCAAGTGAAATCGTAATTCGCCCATTGGTTGCTTGTTACAGGCTTTTCCCAGCTTGTCAGCGAATGTGTTATGAGCTGGAGGTTTGACTTGGCGAATCAGCATTTCGAGGTCTTCCTCACTGCCCTTCGTGATAGTTAAAACTGCAGTGAAGAAGAGGCTGTGCGCACCCACAGCTGAGATCGGGTTCTGCTCCTGTTGTGCAACGCAAGTGGGCTTTTACACATCTGCCGCACGGTAGGCCGCGTGCCCTGTGATTGGTGATCACTTCAGCCTCTCCTGGGTCAGGACGGTATTGCGATACCGAATCACGTCGCGAGGCTACCACTTCATGCCTCGTATTGGGGTTAAAATTGCAGTGTAGTGCGGACCAGCCACCCCGTTCTATAAATAGATTGTCAAAATCGGTCTTCTTTGTAAGGTTAAAGTTACCGTATTGAGGGGCATAAGCCTTACTCAATGTTGTATTTCCGGACTAGACTAACCGTAGGTTAGTATGAACTGAAGTGAGCAGGGTTTGAGACTCGCTGCCAGAAGCGGATACCGTTGTAGGTCGTTATAGCTTTGCAATGACCTGCGCTCCTTGAAATACACGGTCTGGCTGGTTAACCTACGTAGGATTCTGGACTAGAAAGCTAACGTATTGACTATAACAGTGCCAGGTAAGGCATAGTTCGCGAGCAAGAAGGGCCCGGCAAGAAATCAGTGACAGTGGAGGGCTGAAGCCTGGTTTGTCAATGTCTGTCCTGCAGGCTGAGGCGTAACGGGCGAATGGGCGTCTCGGCTCCCCGACCAGATATCATCCCTGGGTATTAAATCAATTCAAGCCACATTAAGTGGTGGCTTAATCATAATTTGAGACCCCCTGCAAAATATAGTGATACAAACGTGGAGAACTTATATTCATGCTCGGATATGGTTAAGACTTTGCTGCTTGTCAGGCGTTCAATGCACAAATACAACGTAACTGCTTAGACGAACCAACTCCTCACTAATTACACTTATAGCACTTATCCTTCTTCTATGCTAGAATAGTTATCTCGAATTTTCGATCATCCAGGGTTCATTTGCTGTTCAATAACACACTTACTAAATTACTGATATTAAGGCAATAACACGCAGGTACTCTCCTCTCTTTCATTTATCTTACTAGGAGAAGACTTCGAACAGAAGTTCGAACATAGGTACATTCTAACTAGAACACTAAGATCTTTAATCCATCGAAATCGCCATACGTAGCTTGGTATGTCATTGTGACAAAGCAACGCTGGGGAAATAACAACATAGGCATCTCAACTTCACGATGAAACAGTAGATGGCATGTCATGGGGATATTGTTGTGGTCGGTCCGCATGATGCTAGTTTCAGAATGTTAGACGGTGTTCCAATCTAAGAAGGACATCCCAGAGACCTAGTAACTCCCCAGAGAGCCTTCATTGTTACATCGTGACAACAAAAAGTAGAAGTGATTAAGACGAAAGCTCGGATTGAATTGAGTCCTGGTTTTGCTTTTTCTCATAACAAGTAGGGGTTTCCAAATATTATGAGTTCTTGTGTAAGCAACGCAAGCAAGGAGCTAAACCGCTCGGCGGAGTCACCAGAGCAGCTACCTTCGGGACGGTCCCCGATGGTGATGGGAAACATCAACTGTTGAGATCCATGTATTGTGTTTCCTTTCTTCATTTACAAGCTACAAGTTGATGATGCAGTTCACCGGAGTACAACCGTGGACTACCGATGGTCGACCCATTGTTCAAACGGTTCATCACGGGAGTATCATTATCTGTAACTCGCGAGCTCCAGCCGTTGAGTCTTATTGACTTGTCATGTAACGTTCGTTTGATATTTGAAGTCCATTACACATACACGCAGCCTATTCCCTGATGAATAGCAGCAAAGTAGACCTGGAGGTCACCACAATGCCGAATAGTAGTGGTCTAGTTAGAAGGAATCATAAAACTGTCTATATCCAACTTCATTAACTACCTAGAAACATGACTTTTCAAGGAACTGGCGACGTATCACCTGGCCTCACACAACTCCAGCAAGAGACCATGGAGTCTGTGTTGCCTTCCCAAGTCCACAAATCTCTCTAGTTCATTTTTGACCTCCTCGTTGCCCTTCTTCGACAAGGCGACAGCAGTCACCACAACCCGCGAACATAATGCGAAGACCGCAGGTTTCGACGTCCACCCCAAGACCCCGTCATCACCAGAAGCATGTTTCACCAAGTCCCGTAAACCAGCGATCGTCCAATCGGCCAAAGCCGTCACCACCTTGTTATCCCCGGTATATGAGAGTGTATCAAATACAGTCTTCCAGCGTAGCGTCTCACGGACTTCGTCGACATACAAATTATGCTCCTCAACTGCAAAGAGCGAGCCGTCAAACTGCAGCGCCTTGGTGAGTTGGGCGGCGGCTGGTGTCCAACCGCTTAGAGCCGCACTTCTCATTTGGGGGGTCATGGCTACATGACCGATCATGCGAGACGCTACATGCGTGCGGAACTCATCGGCGTCGCCGAATCGCTCTGCGAGCCAAGAGAGAAGTCGTACGCTTGATTCGATAGAGGCGAGCGGTTTACCGAGAATTGGGATTGTCCCGGTGGTCGCGATCTCACGGATTTCGTCGTCGTCGTCGTTGAGATAGTCGTAGAGCGCTAGGAGCCATGGTAGGTTGGCAAGAGACGAGTTTGGTGGCCCGCCATGTGACGTAAATGACACAATCGCGCGAATTCCAGCCATACGCGTATCGAAGCCCTTTGATTGTGATTAGCTTGTCGTGCATGAGAATGTGGGGATATGGGCCGGTCGAACCTTGTCATCTGACCCAGCATTTCTCATCATTTCACCCCATGGTCTAAACCATTGATCTAAACTCCGATCTGATTCCTCTTGGATTTGTGTTGAGATTGCCTTCATAACTGGTCCGCTGGCACGAATGATGGCATCTGCCAAGCATGGATTCATGGGTTGACTTTGCAGTTTGGTCCATAACAATCTAAGCTCGTCCACGGACGGTAGCAATTCGCGTGTGCCATGCTTGAATATTCCGTCGAACTGCGAAGCGAGAATCTTCAGGGCAACTGTGCGTGGCTCAGGCGCGTCCGTGTTACGAAGCGTCGTCAAGCAGATCTCTAATATCTGAGCTGTCCCGATGGTGCCGAACAGGACCTTCTTCTCGCTGTCAGTGTATGCGAGAATGGTCTGTAGTGCGTCGCAGGCAACGTTTGTATCACTAGAAAACAATGGTTTTATATTTAGGTTAGTTGCTGGTTGCCCCGAGAAGAGTAGTCGTTCCATGTCGGAAATGGTACAGGCTTGTGCTTCTTTGGATTCTTCTAGCGCCGAAGGGACAGCCTTGCGATCTCTAGTTGAGGATGGAGGAGTATAATCAAGCTCAAGCAAATCGACTTCTCTAGTACTAGAGGAGAGCCTCTCTTTACTCTTCAGTGCGTTTAGAAAGCCAATGATTTCAAAATACACAGCACGTGCCTCGGAACAAGCCTGGAAGCTGCAAGATGCCTGTGAAATTTCCTCAAGAAGCTCAAATAAAACATCAGGATAGTAACCTAACACTTGATATAAGCCTTGAGGAGATCACAGCGACTTGGAAAAAACTTACTAAATAGTTTGTCAGGCATGGCTTCAAGCAGCCGTTCAAGCAAGAACTTGAGCGTCAGGAGTGCTCCATGGATTTTGTTAGCTGAGGAGTAGGACTTTTGAAGGAGCGTCCTGATGCGCCCCAACCAGTCTGCCTGGAGCAAGAATGAACAAAGTGTGCGGGCTGCAATTTCTCGTACGTGCCAAATGGGACTTCCGAGGTACCAGGCAACAACACCGTATAGCTCGCTCTTGAATTCTTGCGGTGGTCCAGCTCTGCGAATGATGTCCAAAGCAGGGAACACAGATTCGGCTCTTACCATACCCTTCGACACATCCTGAGTGGTCTGTCCCGATTTGAGGAGGTTTACTAGAAGCAAGGGAAGAGAATCATACTTGTGCCATGCTAGTCTCGTAGTTCGGCCATCCCAACCCGCCTCCATTGACGTTTTGCTCTCACTGGTCCCGAACAGAGTGTCGATAAGACTCCTTAGGAGGATCAAACCACAATTGCGGATAGCCCAACTGCGAAAGAAAGACACGTTAGTGTATCCTGCGATTATACACAAGGGTGAGGCATACGTACACTTCAGACTTGAGACTGTTTGCCGCCAATTGTAGGCAATCCGTGAGATACGGCTCAGCACGCTTGCTTAGCATAGAACTTTTGAAAATATCCTTAATACAGTTTGTTGCATGAACTTGCGGTACATTGGAACCGTCCGTTTCGGTTATACTAGCAGGCTGCTTCGCAATTTCCTGTAGTTTCTGCATGACGTCGTGAAAAGAGGGTTGCTCAGCGCTCGATGATAGGATGCCAACAACAAGAGCAGGAATTCCTGCAGATCTTCTTGTCGTTGATGTTTGAGAGTAAATACACGAAAGAGCTCCCTATCATTGTGAGTAATTGTCGCAAATGGAGATCGGCCAAAATTCTCACCTCATACCAAACATTGAGAAGCTCGCTGTCCCGGCACGATGATGCGGCAGCATATTTTACCAATTGACAGCAACTGGTAAAAGTCTGCGATACAGTGGTAAATGCACCTCTATGCCTCAGGTTGGATAGTTGGTCGAAAGTCAAATTGCCAATGGCCTCAAACTCGTCATAGGAAGGGTGGATGAACCCTGCCTTCGAGGACCTCACTGTACTGGCAATAACTCGCAGGAGATGACTAAAACACGACGTCAGCTGGCAAGTTGTGTACTGCCATACCTAGAACTACCATACCTTGATTCGTGGACAGCGCGGAAACTGTAGCTTAGCAAATCTTTCGTGTCGAGCTCATCCACTTCTTCAAGCTCCTCTGGCAGGTGGCCTTCGGGTGAATCATCGCAAAGTACCAGCCTCACGGCGTGCCAAATTCTCTGACAACATCCGATCGCGTGTGATTGTAACGACTCCAAATTCTGAAGTTCTTCTGGACTATACGTGATAGTGGATAGCGACAACCAAACATATCTGGGCCAGTCAATAAGTTGAAGGTGATTCCCAATACATTTGAGGTACATACCGAAGAGCAGCGAAAGCGCCATGTATGGGTGCCTGTAAAACAGCTTCCGCTAGGTTCGATTCAGCTGCAGACAACTTGTTTTCGATATCAGCCAGTATCCGAGCAGGGATCGTGAGTTTGTCGTCTCTAGATGATAGCCACCGACACAATACTTCGTAAGATCTTGCAACTCCATCTGAATGATCAGCACGAGCAGTTCTGCTGGCAAGTTTTTCAGCTCTTGTGCAGAACTCTTCAAGTTCTTGTAGCATATGTTGTGAGTGTGCAAACACTTCATTATCGGCACCACTAGAAGATAACAACACCAATAGACTTGCTGCAGTTTCTCTCACGTCGTCGAATGGATCCATTAACAGGTCAAGAACGGCTCTTAGCCATGCATAATCGGTAAGAGATAGTGTCTGGCCTGTCTTGTTCGTGATACTACGAAGGTCGGATTTTAAGACATATACCATTGCTTTAAGCGATGTAATGTGTCTCTGGTACGAAGCAGTCGGGATTAGCTCGCTTTTGAGAAAGTCGAAGTACCACTGGAGAAAGCTGGTGTGTAGCGAAAGAAGGTCCCGGAATGCGGCAATCTCAACGCTCTCTGAACTGCTTGCATCGTTCTTCTTGTTCTTCTTCATCTTACGATCCAGGTCCTTCGTAATTCCTCCAATTGCGCCAATGATCCTGGATATCATGTTTCTTGAATAGCCTAAAACGTCATACCTGAACTTTGCATCGCCATCAGCGTGAAATGCCGGAAGAAACTGTTGCAACAACTCTAAAGAAGCTCTGCTGTACGGCTTTGAGGTCGATGGAGACGCAATCAGTATCGAAACAGCAGATGCCCGAGCCTCCTGAGAACTGTGAGACAGGAGATCTTCCAGCACGTTTCTTTCTAGACGCACGACTCCATCTGTCTGTGCACTTTGCTCAGAGCCTAACTTGGTCAGCATGCAATCATCGGTAGGCCAAAGTGTACAAACCGGTCGATGGTTCCCCCACAAACCCGACTTTCTTTCCTGCCTCTAGAGCCGAAAGCCATATCATTTGAGTGATACTAAGACTAGCTTTAACCTCGCTCGAAATTTGTATCGAGAACAAATATTCAATATATTTGAGCATTTGTTCCTTGTCTGACGTGAACAGTGGTATCAGAGTATAGAGCTGGATTGGCTCAAGAAGACTAATATCGGCATCCAACCCTGCACATAGGAAGCTATGCCAAGAGTCTGGGAGGAACCTAACGTTTTTGCTCTCGTCCCAGGGCCCTGAGAAGATGGTTGCTAACAACTTGCCGGCTATGGGGCAAATATTCTTCATTTCCATCCATTCAAACACTTTTGAAATGAATCTAGTCCAGCTCTGCAGACGTTCCTCGGAGATACGGTGAACGTGTTGAAAAGTAGCAATAACGTCATTCAGGTAGAAAACGTCTTTCTGCAGGAAATAGTCTAGAGCTGTCATGGCGGATTTCACACTTGGCTTGGTGGATTCCAGTGTGATGAAAGAAACAACATCTGTGAGGATCATGTCCTTGATAGCGTGGCCGACTTGGGGGTCTATGTTCTTCAGAATAGAGGTCTTAAGAAAATCGAGTATGAGTCGCATAGACCTGTGTTGGTCCTGCTCGTTCCATTCCACGTAGATATTGAGGAGGTTGTGAGCAGTATCTTGGGCGAAAGCATACCTTCGAATTACAGAAGATTCCGACTTGGAGCATTGCTCAACAAATCCACAGAGCTTGACGCAAGCATGACCAGATGTTTGCTTCGGCTTCGAGGCGGGTTGAAGTAATTGTCCGAAGAGATCACATGCATACCTTTTCTCATAAGCAGCCGTCCATCAAGCCTTTGACTTTGACAAAAGAAACCTACGAGACTTGATTGGGTGCTGGTTTCTGCTCGATCCAGTTCACAGCATTGCGCGGGTTGAACTTGGGCTCATGCAGGCCGGGGTAGGCCTCACGGGCCACAGAATTATCCATGTTGTAGCGATTCTCTCCAAAAGGACGGACGGCCTGGTTTGTATACCTGCCACTTTTGACATGAGGCAGAAAAGAACCAGAGGCGGCAATTCAGGTCAGAACATCCATGCGTTGTATGGAACTGGACGAGAGATTGCAAGCGGCTTTTGTTTTAACCGAAAGATTGGAATCTTTCCAACAACCCAAACTTGAATCCAAAATTTGAATACCCAATATCCCTTTCAAAATCGTGCATGCGCCCGCCTGCGCTTTCTGACCCGACGTAAAGTTTCTTGCAAGTGCCAAAAACCGAGCCAAGACCCACTATTAGCTCGTCCGCGACTTCCCAGACCACAACCTTGTCTGTGCACGGACCATCTGACTTAATCGCGGACCAGATTTTTTTATCGACAGTCGGCGGCCATCGGGAGCTCTCTTCCCACTTGGAAGACGGAAGACAAAAGACGAAAGACAACCTTTTCTAATACAGCCAGGTCGGCACCCGTGCGGCAGCATTACATCAACGTCCCCAAGCACTTTGATCTCAACCTTCCAAACCGCCCCGTTCTTTGTGCATATCATTCTATCTGTAATATATTCCAAATTCCACAATCTACATACTACGTACCACCTCGGACCCTTTCACATCACCAGACAGACATCATGGCCATCTGGGACACCCTCATGGGGCGCAAGCCGTCATCGTCGTCAGACCAATCTGCGCCTCCTAGCCACGAGCAGTCGCCGACGCCGACACCTACCACAACCTTCGCCTCGACACCTTTTGACCCCTCGGAAGCTCAAGGCGTCGACGCCTTCCTCAAGAGCTCGGCTTTTGCCGATCCTTCACAACTACATCCCTTGGCCGGCCTCAACAGGGACAGCTTGGAGTACCTTACCCTCGAGGATGCCGCCCTCGCAGATCCCAGTTCACAGTCGGTTATCCCTTCTCGAGGCTTCAGTGACGATCTCTGCTACGGAACCGGTATTACATATTTGTCCGCCTTGACGATAGGTGGCGCCTGGGGTCTACAGGAGGGATTGAGGCGATCAGCAAACCAGCCCCCCAAGCTGCGTCTCAACTCGGTGCTCAACGCTGTCACCCGTCGTGGGCCTTTCCTCGGAAACTCGGCCGGTGTTGTCGCAATCACATACAACCTGCTCAACTCCGGTGTTGGATATCTCAGGGGCAAGCACGATGCGTTCAATACCATCTTGGCTGGCGGACTGAGCGGTATGGTATTCAAGAGCACGAGAGGCCTGCGACCAATGTTGATCTCTGGCGGTGTTGTTGCCTCAATTGCTGGTGCCTGGGCCGTAAGACGAAACCACGCCCTGTTATTGGAACTGTCAGACTAATTGCTGTCATCTAGGTCACCAAGCGCGTATTCCTCGAGGGCGACGAACCCGAGCGAAGACTATAAATGCGACCCTTGATACGAAATTCCGACTCAGACAGCTCGCCGCCATATAGCGGTCGCCCAACTACTGGGCATACCATGTACGATATTTGGACTTGACCCCTGTCCGTCCTCTTACACGATGTAATCACTTATATTTTTTGGTCTGAACGACGGTGCCTCCTTTGAGGTTGGTCGCATAGCGAATGGATCATCTCTCCTCTGACTGGACGTATGTAAATTAGATGGCAAAGCGCATTAGAATGCATTCCATGGCTGTGGATGCGACGGTTAGGCGTTCTAGTCAGCACTGGGGTGGCAATTGACTTTTTATGACCTCGAATGCGGTTTCCTGTTTTGATGAAATTCGGTTGGTCTGGCGATGGGCACGGGCTCATGAGCAGCCACCCACCATGCAATCGTCAGGTTCGAACATGTACTGGCATAGATGCGATAACTCGTCTTACTCCATTCGCCCCTGCCAAGTTTCATCCGACGCAGTTCCTAAAACCTAGCAACGGTCGAGATTGTTCCGTATGACATCAGTGTGAATCCACGGCATTCAGTTGTAGCGTCGCGTGCTTCTTTTCACCTCCCACTTGCCACTTCTGTACTTTACATATCCTACTCTGTCCAACTACATCAACTTATCGGAATTTAGTCTGTCACAATGCTCACCCCGGAGCAGCTTAAAACCCACCTGATATCCTACTATATCTCCAATTGGCGCGCTAATGGAGTACCTGTGACCTTGAGAGACGTTCTTGCACAGAAAATCCAAGGGAAGCTCGATTCAGATGGGCCCCATACCAAGGAGATCCGTGGAGTGAGCGAGCAGGCAGAGGAAGTCTACCTCTCCATGAAGCATACCCACTCCTACCTCAAGGTCCGCCTTGATGATTCGCCTCCGAAGGACGCGATCATCAAGGCTCACTATGCGGATATCAAAAACTTTATGGAGAAGAACGCAGATGTGGTCTCCTCCATGTCACCGATACTGGATCGCCACATAGAGCAGCATAACTTGGTTGATTGGTATGACACTATGCCGATGGCGCAGATGAGCATGAAGGAGAAGGTCAATATTACAAAGGAGGTACGATTTTCGCGACCAACTAATAATACTACTCTAGGTTCAGCTTATTGCCAGACATGAACTTGAGCTTTCCGACGAGCCTCGTCCTGCGAGCTCGCCCATACTACCCACACTCAAAGTCTGCCTTATCAACATCGGAGTCAATCATAAGCTCGGATTACAATTTCACGAAACAACAGTGTCACGAATGAAAGACGAGCACGAGAAATTTCTTATCTGGCTGGAGAGCCTCGCACCTCAGTGTCAAGCAATCTCCAACTGGGATGTCTACAACTCCATTGGAGATGACTGGGAACCGAAGGCATTAGCCCTGTACGAGCCAGAGCAGCAGACTCTACAATCAAGCGATGATGGTAGGCTAGCCGTTAACCGCAGCTGGTCGTACAAGAAACTTGAGCTAATTGGAAGGAATCCACAACTCGTTGAGGACTGGAAAATATTGAAGACATGCGAAGACTTTAATGGCCTTCTTGACGAGTTCTTGCTAAAGCCGAAGGTGTATCCAGTCTTTGTCAGGGTATTTCCGACTCTCGTTCATGTTTCCTACATTCCAACTGAATTTGGTAATAGTCTTACATGATTCCGGATTCAGAACGTCACACAGTACAAGGCGGACACAATCCAACAACTACAACAACCGATACCGATGGCTTGGGGGAGGATATTACAGGATGACCCAGAAGGATGAATATATACACGCAATTAAACCAAAGTCTGCCATGGAAGAAGATCGTGAGGCCAGCAGCAGGTCAGTTAGATCAGAGACGGGCTCAGCCACCGGTTCTAGGGACAACAATAGCTCGACATAAGATGTGAGCATTGGTCTTATTCATGACAACTGTTTCGAAGAACGTACATGACAGCTTAATCCATGCCAACAGAAGAGAATCCAGAGAACAGGAAAGTATGATGTATTATCAAGCAAATGGCAGACAATAGTTTTTGGAGAATGAATCCGGTGCCATTAGACACTCACACTCTGGTCAATCCAAACCAGATAAATGCATCAAACTTTCTATGTAATGCTTGGAAATACTATGGTTGGCTAAACGCTTCATGTGCCCATGGGTGCGGATTGGCATCACAGAGCAGTGATAATAATTAATGATATTTAGTAGCATAGAAAATATTGCGGCAAGTGCTAACTGGCCATGGTTGCTCCCACCAACGCGTTGCTCCCTATTTTATCAGAGCTTTCGTCCGAGCAACAACAAACACGAAGGAGATGCCATACTTGAATTTATTCGACGCAGCCAGTCCTACTCCCCCATAACCTCATATAGTACCATTGAAACACATCGCAGAACTGACACGGACAACTGAAAACACAATGTGCTTGCAGTGCTGGCCGGTAAAAGATATTGTTCTCGAGGAGGAGGACATGCCCGAGCATCGCCAGCGGCAGATGTTCCAGTATGTTTGGAACGGCCAACGATGGGTTCCTAGAGTAGGAAATACGGTTAGTGTCTATGCTTTATTTACTGTCTGTTTCATGCATGCAAAGCGGCCTGGGTCCAGCGTGAGTGAACAAGTCCATGCCTTTTATTTCGGCCAACAGAAAGCCTGCCAACCATTCCATCAATGGTTATTCGGGGTGAGCTTATCCTCCACGGCAGACCTCAATCACCGCACTCAGCTCGCACTTGAACCCCTGCCTGAGTTTACCCGAAAACTTTTCATCACAAGGTCAAAGATACTTGAACTCTCTATTCCACAAATCTACATTCCCGATTTACCGCCAATATACACATCACCCATTGCTGGTTCTTCTTTCATTCGTCGTCGCCCATCGCCTGTCTATACTTGCCAGAATGCCGGAAAGAAAGGGCAAAAAGGTTACAATCGAAGACGACACTCCCACTCAGAAGCCCTCTGCTCCTTCCAAGAGCCCTGTCGTGAACGCCGAGCCCAGCAGACACGCCAGTACCGGTACCGCCAGCGATCCTGACGTCCGAGGCCCCGGCGTCCAGCAAAGTTGGCAGAATACCAACAGGGCCAGTGGCCAAGCAGTCAACGCGGCTGCCCTGAATGGCCACAACCCTACCTTTGGTCAGCTGCCGAGTGTTCACCAAACTGGTGGCTTTCTTCCGCCAACTCAACAGGCCGCAGCTCCCGGAGCTGGTTGTTTCTATCATAACAGCAACCCTCTGCCCCACCCTGGAGCTTACCAGCTTCATCAACACAATCCATATTTCATAAGTCACCCTCAAGCAAACTTGGTCAGTTACACAAACACTTACCAACCTTACTTTCATCCCCATTGTGTAAGGAACTTCTCTGTCTTTGTTCCCGATCCCATAGATCCACACTGCTTCATACACATATACCTCCAGCTCTTGATTCCCACTCAGCATCACTATCACCTCGCCACAATGGCCGGATACGGTAATGGTTCTATGCCCAACATGGGCCAGCACTTCCAGCCGCCCGTCCCTGACACCACGTACGGCCCAATGGTCCACACTTACCGTCCTCGCTTCGACGCCGGTGTCCAAGTCGCACCCGGTGGTGGTTCTGCATTCGTGGCCCAGCAGCCAACACCCTGCACGTGTCCTTACCCAACCACACCCGCACCTGCACCCTGCGGTATACCCATGCCTCAGGTCTGTACTTGCCCTCGACCGGCAGTTCCGACATCTACAGCCGTACCAGTTGCGCGAGAAGCTCCGTGCTTCTGCCCTTCTCAAGCAAGTCTCTCGCCTGAACATAATTGTCTGAATACTTAGTGATGTATCATACCATCTTGATGATGGACTGAGTAGCGCTTCTTCTGCGGGCAATTGACAACTCACTGGTCTCTCAGTCTTATTCAAACACGCTTAACATATGTTTTACGGATGCTCCTACTAACAGGTTTTCTCATTACAGGTCCAGACTGGTATGGCAACTGCCCCTGTTGCTATGCCCATCATGTCTTACCAGCCCCCTGTCATGGTTCAGGGCGGCCAGAACATACAGGCTATGCCGGCAGCGATGCACTCCCAGGGTTTTCCCGCCGTCATGCACAGTCCTAGCATGCCTCAGCCTGTTGGCGGACCTATGGGTGGTCACGTCATTGCAGGAAATTGCGCTCCCAATTTACTCCCTCAGGGCATGCTCTACCCCGACATCATGGGTGTCGGCCGCACGCAGAGCGAGAACACCATTGAACTGCTCAACTCTATGCACAAAAACAACACGCTCGAGCCCCAGGGCTTCAAGCCTGAGGATGACGATCCCTCTCGCATGTATTGTGTCAGAGAGCTTGATGGTAATTGGACGCAGCGCAACCGCATGACCATTGATAATCTGCCCTGTCGATGGTACATCACTCCGCATGGTGCTTTCTATGCTGTTCGACTTGAAGATTAGAGAGTCAAGCCATGGTATGTCCCTCCAATATCAAAGCTTTTGCTGCTTGCTGCTTATATTACTATCAGCGACCCTAAATGCTGGGTGCACTAAGGCAATCGCTTGGCGATATGTCAAATTTGCAGCTTTGTAAGTCTATATGTCATTTGCTAAGTCGACGATGTGCGCTGATGCTTGAACATAGCGGTCTGGATTTTCCTTACTCTCCTTTGTCTTCTTCTCTGCGAACGAAGAAAAAGAAACTAGCACAGGCGACTTTTCATATTTCTGTGACCAGCTCACTTCGTAAGTCCTCAAATTTCACTTCCCTAACAGTCTAACGTACTCTGACTAACAGAAGTTGGCTCCAGCTCTCCTACTCCTCGACAAGCATCTGTCATGAAAGACTTCCACCAACTTTGAGGCGAGCAGCAATACAGCGAATACCAGGGTCCCCTAACGATCTTGCATATGATGGACAAAGGGAGGGAGAGTATGGTGTTTCTTCAGTCAGCATTCATAGTAAGCTGCTATGTTCTGCGGTGTGACATTTTCGTCGCCTTTCTTTTGCCATCAGAGCAGAATAATGTAGCCAAAATCACAGAAGAACGCAAAAAGGAAATTGTAAAAAGTTTAACACGGGGAATTCCCCAGTAACCACCCACCTGAGTACCAGTCCAGTGCTTCAAGTACATACCTACCAGGCGAGAAAGGATCACTTGCCGCGTATCAATGCAGGAACACGAACACGCTTACTATCATAATAGATAATACTAGTGCCAGTGAGTTTGGGTTAGTACTCGCCGTACTTTTCAAGGAAGTCAGGCGTGGAGCGGAGACTCAAGGGCCATTCGTGCTTCACTTCACGAAAGCCATGTAAACTTCAGTAGGCTTTAGTAAAAAAGCCAGGTGGAAACCCACGAATCATAGGGCTCGCGTAGGAAGGTTCGTGTAGGAATCCGTGAGCCATGGATGTAATGACGATCCGGCTCAGCGACGGGAACTGCTTTATACCGTGGCTCAAAGCTTCCGCATCAGCACCCAATGCTAGTATGTCATCCTGTTAGGCCAGGAGTTGCTGGTAAGCGGCAAGTGCTCTTCTTTAGTTTTCTGCTGTCTCTCAGTACAATTGCTACTTATACCTTCGTCCATTGTAGCAACCTTTCTGTGACAGTAGTCACGCTCTTCTATTGTTCCAACACTAATCTCGCAACTTTTTGCGAACCATTCAGGACATCATTCTGTAATCGTCATCCTGGGCAGAAATTTCATGGTCGATTTATTGTGGAAGTCGCGTATCATCCCAGACGGTCTCGACGACTCCCCGACGAAGCACGTCGTGGTTCGCTATTGCGCATATTGGCAGATAAGAATACCTTCTCTCAGCGAAGCGATAACTCTAAGCCTAAGCATTTACATGTCAGGCGAAAGTTCTTAGCTTCGCAGTTAGACAAGAGTGATAAAACCGCCGAATCTAGCTCGGTAGGAAGGCAGTCCAAGCCGAGCGGAGCTCTGGTATAATCCAATTGATATGTTATGATGCCCTTTTTTAATTAGAAGTAATTCGAGATCCTGGGGGAAATGTGGTATTAAGCCAGAATGGTAGAATGTTATGATTAATCCGAACGGCGAGAGAAATTTTGGGGGAAAAGCAGAACAGTGGACGATCATACATCATTAAAAATCCAAAGGATGGGCATATATAATTAGCGTTTGAAGTTTACACAGCTTTTGAACCCTAACATAAAATGCTTTAAAATCCTACGATAAAATGAAGAGGTCTATAAATACGAGGATGAAGAACGCGTCGCGCTGATTTATATTGGCCGAAACTTTATTGGGCCTTCTTGGTATAGTGAGTTATATACCCCGACACTATCCACGCGAGGGTGGTCCCCACACGCCCCACTCCGCTTCTGAGCAACTTCCTATACAGCAAACCACCCTTCGAACTCTACTGAATGCTCTCTTTCCACAACCGTTCTTCTACTGGTCTGTGGACCTGCAACCTTGATATTCGTGCAAATCTGCACCTACAAAGTACGCAGCACCAACCCATGTTCTCTATTGACAATAGTGCCGTGTCTTCAGCAACATCTATCGCGACGAATCAAGGGCAATCTCGGCATCCCCATGTGGTCGATCACGGTTTCTCTCAATGGATTACAAGCAGCTAACAAGCCGCACGCTTGTACGAGTTGGGGGTGAGACTCTGGAGCAGAAAGGGCCTCAAAGGTAATGAGCAAGAGACCGCTCAATCGTATACTATGGACCACTTCACGCTCCAGCGTCATGACGGACTAATTGAAGAGTGCGAAACTGTTTTCCAACAAGAGAGGCATCTTTGGAACGAAAGCACTTGCGCCTTGTTCAAGACGCATAGCAAACAGGTTCTTAGCACTCATGCACTATGTAAAGTCATCTTATTGGGCTCAGCGATATCAGCTGTCGGCCTCTTGTTTGGTGGGAGTTCGTAATACCAAGCCGGAGAATATATAATGAGAAACGAGCCCTGTGTGGATGCTGCTCGTCGCTACAACGTCCCAGAAGACACAAGCGTTCAGCGGACATGGGATCGAAGAGTTCCATTCAAGATGACTGGGCAACCTAGATGGTTGTGCCTCTGATGCTCAGTACTAATGAGCAGGCCAAGGACAACCGACATGAAGCATCAGGCAAAGGAAGAATGTTCCTAGCTTGGCCATCTTGCACAGGCGGGACTATGTGCGTATCAAGGGCTTGACAATTGTGAAACTAGGCACTATAGGCAGTGAAAGAATGATAATACATGGCTGCAATTGAGGATGAGGGAGGTATCAGACCACAGTGAAGAGTGCGAAAGGGTGCCTATATTCCAACTACAGAATATCTCTGCCCCTCCGTCCTGTTGCAAAAGTCCTGGCATATATATCTGGCTTAGGCTGCTTTCTAATCCTCACTGCATAAGACGTTAGCCTGTGCCAACTGAGTTCCGCATAGGCTGCAAACGCTGGGGGGTTATAAACGTTTTGTCTTCTTTAGAACTTCTCTATAAAAAAAAGAGCTTATCCAATTCCACTGCTGCTACTTAATGTGATTTTCACACATGGCTGCACCGTTGAGAAGCTAAGGTCTAGGAAGTATCCAGGCCAATACTGCTGCTAGACGTGTAAAGGTAAGCGCTGTCGTGACGTATGGGGTGGTCGAGACGGCAAATTCGTAGACGATGCTACACGTCCTGCCCATTAAAGCCGGGAGCTTAATCTGGCCGGTGATACTGACGGCCACAACTCCGAATAAAGTTAATGTGTAGACACAGATCGTTAGCGGAGTTGCTGCCGAGCTGTATAAGGTCGGCGAAATCCTAATCACGGGGGGTTTTGGAAGCGAATCTAGGGGCGTCTCACGGCGCAATAGAGCCGCCAGCGATTCCAGAACTGGCATATTAGATAAGAATAGTAGAAGCAGGGCCGGATTTAGGTTAGACTATATACGTAAATTCGCTACAGTGGTCGTTAAATTGGCGATACACATGTTTCCCAGCGTGTATACCCTTGATGTGCTCTCTTGACACACATTATGGCCATGCGTTTTTGTTGTCTTGGTGATTGATGATGATTAGATACCTAGACTTTCCACAAGGCAGATGATACTCCATGTTGTCGGGGTCTTCCTGTGGCCAAGACACTTACCCCACTGCATATTCGCTTTCCGGCCATTCCACATTTAGCGGGGGACTTTTTTCGACGAACCCCCGTCAAACGTTCCACAACCTTTGCCCACACCACCACATAACACCCACATGCCGTGCTTGTCCAGGTGTCCCAGCTAATGTCTCTGCGAAAGGAAGGTCACTGAATGCTCGATTGAGATCTTCTAGAACCCTTTCTGGCCTTGGTTTTTGACAATGCTACGGCAGTCGTATCAATGTACGCGCACGCCAATACTACCGAACATTTTCTAAGATAACAGTATCTGTTCGTTAAGGTCGCAACTTTCGTCTGAGCTGCACGCAAGCTGTTTAGATGCTCAAGATGGCGCAGTCTCATGGTTGCTGTCAGATAAGATTCGACGGATATTGATTCCAGATCTTGACGTAGGACGGCTTTATTGTCTGTATTGCACCGGGAAACACCCCAGCCGCCACGAGTTCGTGGCACCCTTAGTGGCTGTCCAGCATGACTATTGACACTCGCCTATCTGCACATGTTACACCCAAGGCCATCTAGTGTCTCTGAAGCATGGAGCGCTCAGATCTTGCGTTCTTGCGTTTTTGGGCCTCTTCTCCATAGTTTCTCCACAGGCTGTGAAGCCACAGTCCGGGGCAACATGTAACCTGTACGTGGCAGCACAATCTAGCATGATCGTTGCGGGGGTCCAGCGGCTGTCGGTTTCCCATTTTGTATACCTGTCCCGGATGGCCCGCCCACACCTTGATAGGATGCGGCTCCCACATCGGGCATGTGAGACACCCCTCGGTCGTACAACGGTGCGGACGCGGAGCCTATGATGTCTTGAGGTGTTCGTGCCGATGGGGCAGGACCCCTTGACACCTGTTCTGGTTACTCATGCGTCAATCACTGGGTGGGAGGGCCTACGTATTCATATGTCACAGCAATGCACACCTTGACCTGATATGTGAGAGCAGAGGGATCTTCCGATGTGCGGAGATGTGTTGGCCACCTTTTGCCGGCGGACGGGCGCGGCGACCTCCCCCATGTGAACCTAGTGTCAAGGCATACCTACCGATACGGTAACATCAATCTCTAGATCCGGCGAGAACACTGTCGAATTTGTGTGGTATCTGATAAAAGATGGAAACTCCCGAGATATACACATACGACCAGAGACACTGCTTTCGCCTGCCTGCCGGATCGCACCGAGTGCTATATACGTTGTCGATAAACCCTCCCGCACGTGGAAAATTGATGCCATTTCTAATTATGCTCATCTCTAATGCCCTCCATTTGGAGCGGTATACTTGTTATTATACAGACTTGTAATACATTCATAGTCGTTGACCCACGAAATCAAAGTAGAGGCATTTGCTTGTAGCCATGGCGATAGGTGACGATGATCGCGGCCCGGAGATGTTCGATGTGACAGTGTCTCTATTAGCGGCAGCAACGGTTTCGGTGGTGTTGAGATGCTACGTGAGAATATTTATGCTCAAGTCATTCAGAATAGAGGACTGGATGGCACTGGCGACACTGGTGAGTAGCTTCACGCTCTTCACCTGGAGTTCGAATCAATTGACATACTTGCAGGCCTCCTTCGCATTCCTCTGCGCCTGTGTTTTCTTGAGCGTCGAGAACGGTGCCGGCAAACACCTCTTGGCAGTAAACTTTGCCGACCTCCCCAACGCCCTAATGGCCCGCTGGCTCGGTGAGATAGCTTACATCTTGACGTCGGTTTTCCTCAAGTTCACCGTGGGCATCTTCCTTCTGCGCATCTGCTCGCACCGCTGGCAGACCACAGTCATCTGGGCCGTGCTGGCCATCGTGTCGATGTTTAATATCGTGTACCTGTTCATCGCCATCTCGCAGTGCCAGCCCGTCGACTACTTCTGGAACCGGGTATCCTCCCTCGGGGCCAAGGGAAGCTGTGTCTCCAAGGAGCTGGCGAGCGGCTCGACATACGCGGCGACCGCGGTCAACGCTTTTGCGGACTGGACGCTTGGCCTGCTACCTATTGCGCTGGTTTGGAATCTAGAGTTGAACAGCCGTACGAAGTGGAGTATTGCTGGTATATTGGCTCTGGGTATTATGTAAGTCCTCCCTCCGCTTCATTTCTGGACTCCTCGCCCAGCGTTTCTCTTCCTTACATGTCCCCTGTCTCGTCTCTCAGGACGCACTCAACACAAGGATCTCAAGCCACTAACAAAACACGTTTCTACCCCACAGCGCCTCGACAGCAACAATAGTCCGCATCCCGTACGTCTGGCAGCTGACGCACAGCATCGACTTTCTGTACGTCTTCACCGACTTCACCATCTGGAGCACGGTCGAGAACGGCGTGGGCATCATCGCGTCCTCGATCGCGACCCTGCGCCCCCTGTTCCGCAAGGCCCTGGACATGACCGTGCGCCGCAGCACCACCACGGCGCTACCACCACCACATCATCACATTATGCTTCGCCGCTCCTCCTCCACGACGGCCAGGCGATCGACGAACTCGGTAAGGAGCACCGCGTTCCACTGCCGCGGCCTGAGCTACGACTACGACATCGAGAAGGGCGTGGCGCGGCCTCCTCCTCCTCCTCCTCATGCCAGGAAGGTCGTCGTCAGCGGCGAGGTGAGCTACATCGAGAAGCCGATGCCGGCCTATGTGCAGCCAGGGGAGAAGGGGAAAGGGAGACAGACGAGCCCGCAGAGGGCCACGTATGACTGCCAGAGCAGTACCAACAGCGGATGGTCGTGGAACTCGAGAGATCCCACGCGGGACTCGAGAATCTCGAGGAACGACAAGAGTGTTGAGGAGTGGGTCGAGAACTGGGGCAATTCGGCACGATCATCGAGGAGCCGGTTGATGTCGGCGAAGAGGACTACTTGGTAGGACCGGCAAAATAAATGGCTTTAGTCGATGGAAGGATGTCTTGTCGACCCCCCCCCTCCCCTTTTTTTTTAAACTCTCTTAAAAGGTTATATGGAGTTCCGGATCTGGGTATGAGACTCATGATGTGATTGGTGTACGACTTCATGAGTAAATTGATGAAGAATGAACAGGGAAAGGACAGGGCAGCGGCCAGCACTGCCGGGAAGGCACTCGCGTTACATACACTCTTTTATCATGCTACGGAGCTCTGGCGTACAGCATCAAATACCCCCCAGGTGGTCCGTTGGGCCCCCGACGTTCGTTTAGAAAATTAGACTGTACACTGTACATTAGACAATGGGGCTACATAGCGCTCGTTTGGAGTCGAATCACTGACTATATAATTATATGAATGAGAATCAATGTGAATACAACATTTAACCAGAACCACGACCAGGTCGACAGACACAAATCTTTAGTTTTAATGCATCAATTAAGTAGCACCCTATATGTTTCACCATATAAAATCAACATGTAAGTTCATATCAAACAGGCATCGCATGGCGACCTCGTTCATTAATTGGTCGTGTACTGCAAATCAGTCGAGCCATCCATTTTGGGACATTGAGCATCAACTCCCCTGCTGTGCCTACCCAAGATAGGAGCCAACTCAACGGTGTCCGAAAGTGGGGCCGAATTTTCATCTTTACTCATGTACCTAACCTTCTCGTCTTCACCTAGCACACTACTTCCACGTTGCGCAGACGAAGCCAGACTTGTAATATTATTACTTAAAAAACACCACAACGTCAAACTTTGCTCTTTGGCCTTTTTCCATTCTCAGAAAACCCGCTGGGAGTTTTATTTTTAATTTTTTTTTAAATCACGAGAAGCGAAGGGGGGAAGGACGCGATGTGATGGGCGATTCAACCAAAGTGCAAGCGCCCAGCGCGTCGTCGTATCAGTCCGCGCTCGCCAAGGTCCAGCCTCTGGTACCGATCTTGGCGGGCTTCAACCACCGCAACAGGAGTCAGCACCGGCACGCGCGGTGGTGGGCCGCCTTTGGCTCGCTGCGCCGGAACGTGGGGAGACTCGTCTCGGAGCTCGAGGCCGCCGCGGCTAAACGTGATGCTCGGAACCCGAGCAAGAAGCGTGGGCGCGGGGGGCAGGAGGGAGGAGGAGGAAATGGAGGAAAAGCCGTGGAGGATAAGGCGAGGTGGATGAGGGACTTTTTGGTCGGGGAGGCTTATCTGTGAGTTTAAACCGACGGGCTATCCTCCAGGTAAATGGGATGTTGAAATTTAGACTGACTGAAGCGGAAAACAGGGATTTCTCGCAGCTCGCGGCAGACAACCAATTCGCGGTACTGGGAATCGTGCTGCTGGGGGTCCTGGCCTCGGTGCACGACGCCTGCATCCAGCTTGTGGGTGAGGCGTCCAGCCTCGTGGAGGTGGCGCTCGATGAGCTGTCGACTGCCATCGCAGAGCCTGCCGTGGTGGTGGAAGTGGTGCAGAAGGATATGGCGAAGAAGCCAAGCGTCAAGCGTGCTGGCTTGGCAGAGAACGATGTCGATTTCGGGCAAGTGGTGTCCCGGGAGGAGGTTGCTGCCGCTGCTACTGCTGCCCAGACACCAAAGATTCGCGAGGCGGATGGGGAACCGTCAGTCAAGCGTAAGAAGAAAGATGTGGGGAAGTCGACCAATAAACCTATAGAGGAAGTGGCGTCAAGGGAAGAGGTTCCGAAAAAGGACAAGGCTGCGAAGGAGAAGAAGAAAAAGAAGAAGAGTCAAGGTGATGAGTTTGACGACTTGTTCAGTTCTCTGGTATAAATTATGTATCGGAAATGAGCATGCCTGATTCAGCACGCATGTAATTCAGTAGTCTTACTGTAAACTCCGTGCTGCTTGGTGATCATCAGTGTTTGAAGGTGATGCTGCGGAGGCAGGTCGCAGGAGCAGAACACCTAGAGACTCAGTGACTAGTCACTCGCTAAGGGTTGGTAATCTTGTTCAATGGTGGCTACCAAAACTGAATTCGTATTCAAACAAGACAGCACCGCCTAGCACGTTGTGTAGACAAGTTATCTATGTCCTCCTGCACCAATCCCCTTTCGTCTCTACGCATACAACGGGTAACGATCGCATCTACATACAAGACTACTCCATATTGAAACTCCATAAAACACAATACTGCAGGCTGCCCAACAGTAAAAGTTGGGCTCGCAAATAGGCCTCGTACTCGTGCCGGTACATGCAACTGAATCGCTCTCAACCCCATGTTTTGTTCACGGGTGCGACACGCCTTTGCAGTAAGCATTCAAGTGCGACAGATTCTTGTTCTGCTTTTTCGTCCGTTCGCCATACCGGCCTTTTTCCGTCGCGATAATGTACTACTCGACTCGTGACACCAGCTTGTTTCATTTACAATACCATACTATCTCATTCACAATACAGCCTATTCCATTCGTGATACCATACCACTTCGTGTTGAATAAGTGTTTCTTTGTTCATAGTCCGGTCATAGACCACGTTCATGACACCGATCTGTAAGACCAGATACGGGCTCTCATGTCACCAGAGCCAGTGGCAAAGTAGCCTCCTGTGGGGCTGGGTGCCACGGAAATAACGGAGTTCTTGTGTCCTTGAAGCATGAGTTGTGTGTAACCCGTTCGTGGGTCCCAGAACTGGACGCCCCGATCCTTTGAACCGGACATGACCCAGTTGGCGTCGGGGGTAAGCGCAACGGACAAGACAAAGTCCTATGAAAACGTTAGGTACGGAAGAGACGAATAAACCCAAAAAGTTGGACTGGATGAGAACGCGGATTAAATGAAGGGTGGAACAAAGGAAGCAGACGGAAAACGTAAACAGGTTAGTAGGAGCCATGGAGATGGAAGCACTTACTCTGTGACCTTCAAAGGTCTTGACACATCTACCCCCCTTGGGTGGCGGGTTGTTGAGTCCTCGGGGGGACGAGAGCTCCCACATCTTGATGGTCTTATCCAGACTACCACTGACCAGGTCGCGACCATTGGGCGAGAAAGCTACACTATAGACACTGTCCTTGTGGCCATCTGGGCCCTCAAGCCTCTCGACCAGATATCCTTGAGAGATGTCCCAGACGCGGACGCTCTTGTCGAGCGAACCAGCGGCGACGTACTTGGTGTCGGGGGAAATGGCAACAGTGGTGACGCCATCTTCGATTGTGAGAGTCAGCATGGCAGAACCAGACTCAATATCCCACAGACGCACGGTGCGATCGCCACTACCAGATGCAATCGTACGACCATCGCGGGCAAAATCGAGCGAATAGATATCTTGCTCGTGGCCCGAAAAGGTGTTTCGAATAGTCCGGCTTGCAATATCCCAAACGCGGATAAGCTTGTCCTCGGCACCTGTAGCGAGATATTTGCCGTCGGGACTAAAACAGACGCTTCGGATGTAGAGATCGCCGGAGATGTCAACATTCTCGTCAGTGAGGACGCAGACTTTCTCGCCAGTCTGGACATCATAAATTTGAGCGGATCTGTTACATCCCGTAGCTACGTATTTACCGTCGTGGCTGAATCGTACACAGCAAACAACGCTCTCGTGGGCGAGAGTGTGAACCAGCTCAACGTCTAGCATGCGAGGAACCTGCTGGTTGAAGATGACAAACCAGTCGTCCCTCGTCTTCTTGGAGTGGGCTGGGAGTCGGTCGGGATCGAGATCGCCTAGGGAGTTGTTGACAAGAGGACCAGGGGCACCTGGGTGAGGTGGGAGCGTGCCGCGGTGATCAGGGGTTGGCTGGTTGTGGACCTGAGGAGACGCGCCGGGACCTGGAGGATAAGGCATGGGGTTGTTGATCTGCGGTGTGGCAGGGCCAGTCGGGGGTCTGCCGCCTACAATACCGCGCTTGCTGCCGGGACCGGGACTAGCTGTGCTCTGAGGCGGCTGCCCGGGAAAGCCATTTGGGCCAGGACCTTGGGGATACGGCTGTTGGAAGGGGGGTTGTTGAGACGGAGGAGGCTGAGGAGGAGGAGGACCCTGAAGGCCGGGAGGTGGTTGTTGCATCGGGTGCTGCTGCGGGCCAGGACCCTGCTGCTGCTCCTGCTGCGGCGGCGGGGGCTGAGGTGGCAGACCACCTTGACCACCTTGACCCGTCATAATACCTTGGAAGAGGTTGTTGCCCATTCCAATAGAAGGAGGGGGGACGTTGGAAGGGCCACCGTGCTGAGGAGGGCCAGGCATGCCAGGTTGAGGAGCGCCTCCACGACTGCCGGCCTCGAGCTGACGGCGAAGTAGTAACAACTCCTCCTCGTATCTGATAGTTTGTCAGTTGCCGTGCGGCCATGGGTTGATCCATCCAACTTACTTGGCCTTGAGTGTCATGTGCGTCTGCTCAAGCTGGTAGACCTTCTCGCGAACCAGCTGAGCTTCTTGAACCTGCTGCTGAACTAGAGAATTATTAGAATTGAATCCAGTAGAACAACAACAACAACAACAGGACGACAGTGATAATAGTGATACACGCCACTAGAACACTGCCGGAACAGTGTGCAATCATGTTTTTGGTCGGTATGGACTTACTCTGCTGCTCATAACCCTCGTTGAGTCTGACTTGGTTGTCGAACTCGGCGCGAATTTGTTCCAGCAGCTCATTCAAGCGGCTGGCGTTTTGGGGAAGGCCCCGATGTTGCGGGTACATGGACATCTCGGCGGATGAAAATGTGAAGGTCTCTTGTTGAAATGGGCAAATTCCGACAAAAGGAGGGTGATATGACGCGATACCAAAGTGTTTTTTTTTTTCTTTCCTTGGGGTTTGGCGCGGTTTGACGTCAATGCTTGCGATCGGCGTCTACTATTGCTCGCGACAAGGATTCCAAATGGCAACGGCGCGATGACGGCGCAGTGGTGTTTTGCTCTCGCAAAAGTGAGAAAAGTTGCGCAGCTCGGTAGCTTGTCGTCAGGGCGGGCAGCACGCAGCTACTGCTGATGGACACGACGCGGTGAGGCTGTATCAGTGCCGGTGATGTCAAGCCCCTTCAAACGGCAGTGATCATATCGGGTCTAGTCGGGTGAAGATGATGCCGACCGGTGCTCGATGAGGCTCCGATTGCTGGTGTGAATTGAAGTTGAAACTCGATGGCGCGGCGGGTATCGCGACAGGTCGGATTGTGATGAAGAAGGTGGAATCTTGGGAAAAACAAGCGCTGGGGAGCACGGCAGAAGAGAAGAGGAGTTTTACCCTTGCCAGCTTTGAACCTACCAAACTCGGGCTGGGCTGGCTGGCGCTGGGAAAGGGAAGGGAAGGGAAGCGTCAAGCGTCAAGCATCAAGCACCGAGCATCGAGCACCAGCAAAAGAAGCACACGCGCTACTGCTGCGGATCCTTTGATCCTTGCTACTACTGCTAATACAATATCTACAAGTACACGCTGGGGCTCGCCTTTTGCTTGAGCACGCCTCCAGCGGTAACTACATGGCTACTGTACACAATAGGACGTGCATGTGGGAGACTTGGCGAGCTAGGTTAGGGCACAGGGGGGAGGTACATTGCATGCCGTACAACATATGTAGGGGAGAAAGACGACACCCGGGCGCGTCTGGTGCATTGACTGCCTCTCGCCTCTGTTGCCATGTACAACACTGCTAGGTCAGTACTCTACCTCTTTACAGTATTTCTTACTGCGAGTTGTCACTACGTACTGTTAGGCTCAGCGCGGTTTGGCCCCATCCAGCATGCCGTCACACGCTGTCTGCAGCTCGCTAGGCTTGCTAGACTACATAGTACCTAGCAGCAGCGTCGAGGCAAGGGCCTGCAGCAGCTCTGCATCCGCTGAATCCCTCCGCTGCGCGCACCAAGAAGCCAGGCATGGCGGACATGGGATGTTCTTTTTGGGGACCCGTAGCCGAACGGCTGCAGATTGAGCCCACTTGGTGCAGTAGCGTGGGTAAGGGTGCCATTGCAGCAGAGGTACCTACCAACCTTGTAGTTGTCTGCCTCGCCCGCCCACCAAAGCTGTAAATTTCTACTTGCTGTGTACCAGATTTCTAGGTATGTATAGCAGGCAGCGCCTGTTTAGCTTTTGTGTATAGTGTCCAAGTAGTGGCATGGGGGCCATTTGGCTCCTGTAAGTGGAGGGGGGTGGTCGCTTTTCTCGCAAAGGGGGTCATTTTCCAAATCTGAACCGCGCACCACCGTGCCTAGATATACGTCCGTATGGGTAATCATGAGAACAGCCCCCTTCCAGCAAGATGCCCCCCGGACACATCTGAGCCCTGTGCGTCCCGAATCTTGAAGTCATCACGAGATTAGGCTGGTATCAACAGGTATCACCCCCATGTCTGTCATATGTAATGACTGGTGACGAAGAAATGGGAACCTCTTTCAGTTTTATACATCTCAAAAACTTGAACCAAGACAATCACGGCGTAAATTATTCTCCATCACTCTTTGTCTGAGAGTTGTGCAACGTCACTATCGCCTGGACCAAATAGGTTCTACGAACTCATACCTCTGACATAGCGTGGGGATGATGTACATGCAGCACCATTTGTTTTTGTCGCTTCAGCATTTATCGATACCATCAATAACCGCGGGGTCAAACCTGCCACTGCATCGAGCAGTGCCGACATTGCCACATCGATCTGCCTGCAGCATATTCTCTCGTTACCTTACATATCCCTCTTACATACGTTATCATGTACATACAGCTCGCACTCCTTGCCTTGGCAAGGAGTTACAATTACTTCTCTGATGGCTGCACTCGGGTTGATATATGCATGTGCAACCCGTGCCGCCACAAAATCATTTCGAAAAACTTTGACGTTATTCGCTGTGCTGCCAGTGCGTACGTAGATTACATTTCGGCGATGCGGATAGCGATTGGATTTAAGTGCTCCCTGCAGGGCGACACTGAGCTGCAAACCATAATCGCAGCCAATCTTCGATTTTGCCTTGCTTATTCTCACCGAAAAAGCCACACGAGATAAGGGGCAGTGTCTTATAAAAAGGAAGATATGTCGATATGAGGGCCCATCGCTACACTGTCATTTGCTGATATCTGACACATTTTCAACCTTCTCCGACTGGCCTATCACGCATAGTCGTCTACCTTGCTTCATTGTCATCATTTCTTCATTTTCCCACGCAAAGCGATGGGATCTTCCGGGCACGCACCGACCCATTCTGGCACCATTTCCGAGACTCCCACATCTGACCGAGAACAAGTGGGCTCAACTCGGTCAGAAACGTGTTCTTTGGCCCACCGATAACCCGCCAAGCCCGTCGACTCCCACACACGGTCGGGTTGCCGTGGCCAGCGAGTCCAGGCCAAAAAAAGAAAATTGGATAAGTTTTCCTGCATGGGGGAGTTTACCGGTGTCTCGGGCTTAGCCTAACCCCTTTCCCCACGCAAGGGGTGATTTTAGCAAGACCTCCTCCTTTGCATGATGTGTTCAACACCAAGACGGATCTCACGTTAGCTCATTCATGACTCGTCTCGCGGTGTTGACGTGGAAAACAAATAAATAACCAGTTCTGAGTTCAGCCCTTTGGCGGCGCAGACTCTAGCCTTCCCGAAACCATTTGCATCATTCCGTTCCCACTTTGGCACTCATCAGGTAATGAAAACCAGCTAAAGCAAAAAAGACAACTGCTTATTACCGAATATCCACTAAGGAGTATTTCCGCACTATGTTATTTAGCACCGAGCACGTGTTTTTGACTCGCACTTTCTTTCTAGCCCCATGGCAAGTTGCCGTATCGCATGCTGTGTTACGGCATACCCTTGCTACGGGGAACTTGTGTTCATCTATCTGTGGCCCGTCAACCCTGGGCAAATCAAGACGTTTTGTAAACTAATGCAGCGAAGCGGCGCTGACTTGCGCATCTACACACACGCAAACGGTTGCCTCGTCACTCTAATCATGGGGGTGGGCGCCCATGTAGTATAGCATGGCGCTGAGGGGCCTGCAGATGGCCGTATTTGGGTATGTTGGTCAGATGCAGCTTGGCGCTGCAGGGCGCGACAATGGGACATCTCAAGCATTGTAAGAGGTGGTTTGTCAAGCCACACTTGTTTCGATTCTTGGCAACCACAAATTGGATTGCTCTTAGTTGCGAGATCTGAAGCCGAGCATCCCGAGGTTTTGTATCGGTTGGGTTGATGAGACGTAGGTAGGTGCACAACGCGGGTGCAACTTGCAAAAAGAAATTTTGGGAAGGCCAAGATTTGTCATACCAGGGCAACCGTGGACTGAAGAAAAGCAAATGACCAATAAAAGAACCTGAAAATAGGTAGATATATCATGACGGAATAACGGGACGTCGATAAGCAATCTGCACCGGATTAGAGCTCATAGACAGTATTCTCAACCATCACCGGCACGATGCAACTCCTTGGCGTTAGCCCTCTGGCAACTCGCCACATCGTTAGGCTCTAATGCCAATACCCACAAAGGCTGCGCATCTGACAGATGTATTGTCTTTCCCTGGTGAGTCTCACGCGAGAGTCTCCGGAAGCCATAGCAAGTCTCATGGGACGAGCGTGACACCTCCATGTCGTGACGGCGAGCGATGTTTCACTGAGTTTGTACATAATCATACTTTGTTCATATACCGGACCCCACACGTAAGCACCGACGATCTGGAAATCTGTTCTCTCACACTCCAAGTCAGGTATTGGCGTGATACAATCGTGCGCGAAGCGAACTGTCATCCAAGGCAATCAGTCGCACCTCAGCCATCACAAACAGACTATCATCAGATCATCACAAAGCAGCTTGAGCTCATAAGTCGTTCAAAATTCTCATTATGTATTCAGTTTCTCTATTCACACATGGCACGAGAAGAAACACCTGAATTAAGGTTTCCTCCAAGTGGTTCTATGCAAGCTAGTTGTGTCGGGCGTCTCTAAGCCCTGAGACGGAAAGGCGCATTCGACCTTCGAGGGGTATCAATTAACATAGCCCGCGGTATTCGATATCCAAGGCGCCGGCAGTCCTTTGTCTTCATCGGCTGCCCGTGGTGCGGTCGTGAGGACCTTCGGACTTGGTTGCTTGGTAGGGGGGAGGTCATTGATCATTGTGCCTGAAGCACTTCGGCTCACAGATAGCAAAGCAGTTTAGTTGCCCTTAGTGGCCTTGGTGGCCTTGCCCTTGTGATGTCTGGCCTCGAGCTCCTCCCTCTTGTTGTTCTTGCCAGCCCTGCCCTTGTGGTGAGGCTCGCGGGTCTTCAGGACATCTCCCTCAGGACCATCGGGCTCAATGACGGCCTCGAAATCATCCTCCTCATCCTCCTCATCCTCGGCAGCAGCTCGCTTGTTGTTCTTGCCGGCTTTGCCCTTGTGGTGAGGCTCGCGGGTCTTCAGGGCATCTCCCTCAGGACCATCGGGCTCAATGACGGCCTCGAAATCATCCTCCTCATCCTCATCATCCTCGGCAGCAGCTCGCTTGTTGTTCTTGCCGGCTTTGCCCTTGTGATGTCTGGCCTCGAGCTCCTCCCTCTTGTTGTTCTTGCCGGCTTTACCCTTGTGATGTCTGGCCTCGAGCTCCTCCCTCTTGTTGTTCTTGCCGGCTTTGCCCTTGTGGTGAGGCTCGCGGGTCTTCAAGGCATCTCCCTCAGGACCATCGGGCTCAATGACGGCCTCGAAGTCGTCCTCCTCCTCCTCCTCATCCTCCTCAGTGGTAGCACGCTTGTTGTTCTTACCGGCCCTGCCCTTGTGGTGGCGCTCCTCAATGGCGGGGGCGGCCAAGGCTGGGACAGCGTAGGCAACAAGGGCACCCTGTGTAGTATTAGTAGGTTTTCGTCTCTAATCCGGGACAGACTTCATTGGAGTGGGAACTTACGGCAAGAGGACGGGCAAGGTCGCGGGGGCCGGTAACCTGGAAGCCACTGACGGCCGAAGAGGCAAGGAGGCCAGAGAAGGCCAACTGGATCAGAGAAGGGGCGTGCATTTTGAATGAGCTGGTTTGAGAAAAATAAATAAATAAATAACGTGTATGAAACTGGCCGGCAGCTAGCAATGAATGACAATACAGTAAGAAGTGAAGCGAATGGTGTCAAACCGAGAGACTAATGCAGGGGAATACCGAATGAGAATGTTTGTGTCGAACAGAAAGAGAGAGAGAGGCAGTTTGAGAGGTTTATATCGAACGATGGTGGCATGCTAGAGTGTCTACATAAGGCCACGGGATCCCATCCGTTGCGGTGCCTGTATACGTACCATGCTTGTGGGTTTGGGCCACTCCCGTACCTATCCAATGATAGGTAGAGCGTTCTGCTAAAAGGGCTCTCAAACTTGAGTGAAGTTGGGATCTGTCTCGTCTTCTCGAACGTCTCATCGTCCAAGACGACACTTGACTGAATTGAGACGATCGGCTCGTGATGCTAGCCGTCAAGCATTGAAGGAGCCGTGGTTATTCCCGATCGACGGCAGGCATGATCAGGACTTCACAGCCAGTCACCGGCAGTGCCGTCAAGAAAAAGAAGGGGAGCGTCGCGAAGATGTTTTCCTATAGCACTGCTGAAAGAGATGATATCCACAAATGACAGTTTCACCAGGGATGATGAGAATTGGCTTTCTTGGCACAGCCATGGTTTGGAATTGTGGGGTTGAGGCTCGAGCTGTAACGGCAATGCGACCTATTATGGTCCAACTGATGTCGAGGCTCAAGTTTGATGCGTTATAGTTTGTGGAGTATAGCCATGGTTCGGATCGCAGAGCCGCAATGATGCGAGGGGCCAAGTGATGTTAGTCTTGGATATGGGCAACCAGGTAAAAATTCACTCTATATGTATGAATAAGCATTGATCAGAAGGATCTGCCTCGTCCCGTTGCTCAATAGTCTTGGGCTTGAAAGTTACTTCTTGGGGATTGGCCTGGATGTTTCTCGTACTGCGGTATGGTCCCTAGCAATGGTGTCTCACACCCCTGTCTGAAACGACTGCCGCCAAGGAGAGACGCGAAGGAGGGACGATCGCACATCATGTGGATGAACTCCGAATGCGAATTCACCATCGTGAACATATTTGCGCCATTACTTGGACTCGCGGTGAAACTGTATCGCGATCATGCTTGGGACGTGGCTAGCTTGGTCCGGCAAAAAAAAAAAAATATTTTGATGACGTCCTCGTGTCTGCTGTGATACAACATTCAGCGGGTGATAGACAATGGTAATTCAGGAAACCACTGCCATTGTTGCTTGAGATTGAGACCAAGATGATGTACGACAATTATCATAACTACGAATGGTTCATAGCTTTGGCAAGGTTTGGGCTAACATTGGTGTCGAATACTGAATAGTATGCTAGAATTTGTGGGTGATGTTGTTGCCCGGAGTCGAACTTTGGAGACAGGAGTAAACGTTGGAAGGCTTAGTAATCGCAACCCCACAATCGGTTAAGACAACCTTCTTTTAGCGCGGTACCCACCGAGGGGGTATGAGACGTCTCGACAGCGTTTGAAGCTAGGACTCATTTTGTTTACTCTGATCTTTATGACAATTTTTAGATGAGCATTCGCAGCGGTGTTTGTGAGCGTTACAATGGTATCGTGCGATGTTTCAGTAATCCCATTGCAGACTGTCCAAGTGGCGGTTGCCGCGAACGACATGCCGCCAAGTCCGTCTATGCGCCCACAAGAGACTTTAGGAAAGATTTGCCATGAGACCGGAGTTTTCGTCTCAACTTTCTCCTACTGCATTTCTTTCTCAATTCTAGCGGTCGCCTTTTTTTGTTTTCATTCCGTTCGCTTCTTGATTGCACCTGGTGTGCTTGATGTAATTTGTTTCGTTTCCCAAGATGCCAAAGACGTACCGACATTTACAACCCATTGAGGAGGAAGAGCCTCTCACAATCGGTGGCGATGTTGCGGACGAAAAGCTGGTGTGGAGGGCGCCGAAGAAGTCTATAGTTGACAGGCTGGAGAGACTAAGTCCACACTGGGCTTGGTTTGCGCACGCTGTATTGTTGTCGATATCCCTGACATTTTTTGCGCTCTCCTTCTGTGTAAGGTCAGCAAAGCATGGGGGAGTTGACAGGTTACCAGACACATATTGTAGGTTACGCCGGGTTGACATCTGATTGACCAAGGGCTAACAATATTCTCCAGCGCCGGCACTGGACGCTATCAAGTATGAAATACAGCACTTTGACCTACCGCCCATGGCAGAAGGTCCATTCATTGGGAAAGGTGACAAAGTAGACGCGATGTGGGAATATATCACCGATGGCAGTAGGTCGCTCTGCTATGGCATTTTCTCCAATGATATACTGATTTAGTTGCAGTCCCGGACACAATGATCAGCCGCGAAGAAATGATCAAAATGGGTCTAGATCCGAAAGGAGCTCTCGAAATCACCGATCCGCGAACGGGCAAGCGCGGCTACCGCGTTGCCGTGGAAGTCTTCCATCAACTGCACTGCTTGAACTTGCTGCGGCAAAACAATTACAAGTCATATTATAAACCAATGGGAGGAGACACGGCTGACGAGGCTCCTGACCTGTCGGGTCACATCGACCACTGCATCGATGCACTGCGGCAGTTTGTGATGTGCCAGGGCGATGTGAATGTGTTTGCATTCAGGTTTCCATTTGAGGATAACGATCCTTGGCCAGACTACACGACACCTCATGTTTGCAGGAACTTCGAGAGCCTTAGGACCTGGGCGATTGAACATGGTGTGCCAAAGACGCCTGGGGAGCCGGATCACTGAGACGAAAGCATTACTATGTTACCAACCACGCGTCAACGAATCCCAATAGAAAGAGAGCAGCGGTTGACCAGGACATGTGAGCACCTCATCGACTTTAGTTGGTCCTGGGCCATGTTTACAGGGCTTCAAAAGTATGATGTTTATTGAATTGGCTATCTATATTCGATGGTGCAACCAATGTGGCTTGACATGCCGGATATTCTCTTGAAAGGCATGGTCCGACTAGGAAATGGCATATTGCACCGCCTGCCAAGGGCCTGAGAGGCATCGTTGACGGATTCGAGTGTTCCACGCAAGGCATTGAAACATTTCCTTGAAATCACTCGAATAGTCGATTTGCCTGGTGCGCAACCAAGGTCTAGGAATGGGCTGCCCCGTGAGGCTTAGTTGGCGGCGATGGCAAGTTTACAACGAATAACTATAAGTCAAGATAGCCAACCCTACATCTTGGCCACCATAAAAGCTTGAAGAAATCAGTGAATTATGCAACATGTGGCAACTGCGAGGTCTCGGTGAAATGAAGATGGCGACTATCGGCGCCCGGCAAGTCAAGTTCGGCCGTTGAAAGACATGGTATCTGGGTATGTGCTGCAGGAAATGAGCAATCTTATCAGATCAAGCAGATCTTGTCAATTCTGCATGAGTTGAAGAGTGGGCCAGCAATTCCTGCCGTTCCGGTTCGAAAAAGTGGAATACGAACACGAGTATCCGGATAGCTGAATCCTCGCATGCAGTTTTGATACTACTTTGGGTATAGTGCGTTATGGGTCTCTTCAATGTATGGATAATTGCATACACTTTTGGTACCGCTTTGGGTATGGTGTGCCACAGCTCCCAGACCAGGGTCCAAATACCGAGGAAACAATAGAGTTCTGCAAAAAGGCTCCTGCAAGCTACCATAGTAGATTTCTTTTTGGTGGCACCCATCACGACAGCAGGCTTGGCAAAGTCATAACGGGGCGACAAACCGATTCGCGGATGAAGACTCGGCCCCTCTTCAAGTGCTTCGGAGACTCCAACTTCCAGGTGGTCTGACTTTTGCGACGAATCAGAAAACACATGCATAGTCTTTGTTGGGTGTGAGACTGTCCAATTAGAGTCAACGCTCCCCTTTCTTGTCAAACATTATCTGGAACGGCTCGGGGCATGTGCAGGTGTGACGAAAAGCTACAGTTTTGATGCACGTACCATGCATAGAGTCATAGAGTTGTTGTAAGCAAACGCAGCAGCTCTACACCTCACAGATCCCGAAGCAAAAGTGAGCGATCAAGCTAGTCACTGATAATTGAGAACTACGGGATCCGTAGATTGCCCCAATGTTTTCTCTTGACGGGTATCCGATCGCCGGCGCGAGCTGATGTCAGTCGTTGGGATTAGAAAATGGAGACGAAACCGTTCGATTATCCGATATTCGCCTTTAGGGGCATGAAGGCAATTTCCCTTGGAATCAACCAAAAGAACATCAGTTGCCAGAGAGGACTTGTTGCTTTCGTTTTTTGACTGTACTCAGTCACAACCGTTGTGTCTTGGTTCTGTTGGCATGTGGAAAGGACTCGGTCAACGCGTGCGACGGTTTTCATGACTGATATGAGACTTTCCAGAAGCCAAAACCATTCCTTCTTCGATCTGCAGCTAAAGTAAGTCAAACCCATCCTTTTCAGTGGTCGGCAGTGGCGCGCTGGACCCCCTGGAGACCCTCCTGGATACCCTGTACAAACCCCGGCTCGATTCGATTAGCGCTCAAAGTTGCGTAAATTGCATCTGCATCTGCATTTGCATTTGCATCTTCCTCTGATCCAACAAATAACCTCGCAATCTGCCACACACTCTTTTCCCTCTGCTACTTACTCCTCCCTTCCTTCCCTCCCTCCCTTTTTTGGTGCTTCTGTTTTGCCTGCTTTGCCTGCCTTGCAAGTACACGAGAAACTCGAGCCTTCACTCCTTTTCAGAGGCGAACAGTAGCCAGCCATGGATATCGTGAACGAAGTCTTCGACGCCTTTCTGGCAGACTACGTCTACGCCAAACTCTTGCCGGCGCAGGCAGCTGCCTCTCCCTACGATTATCCAAACCCTACGAATGCTTCCAGTGCGCAAGTCTTTTCGACATGGCAGTACAAACCTGCCACCAAGTACTTTTCGATCCAGCCGAGCCACTATGCATATGAGAGTTCCCTGCCTAGAGACAACGTCTACAGGCAGGTGACCAACCTCTTCCTGATTACATGGTAAATACAGCCCACTCGGACAGGACAGCAAAGTTCTGCGTGCATAGAACGGAACGGAGCCAAACCAAACCAAACGGCACTAACAATGCTCGGCAGGATCTTTGGTGTCTTGATATACTTCGTTTTCGCGACTCTGTCGTACATTTTCGTCTTTGACAAGGAAACCTTCAAGCACCCTAAGTATCTCAAGAACCAGATCAGATTGGAAATCAAGCAGACCATGAACTCTATGCCGCCCATGGCCGTCTTGACCGTTCCTTTCTTCCTCGCCGAGGTCCGCGGCTGGACCAAGTGCTACGATACTTTCGAAGAGGCACCTTTCCCATGGTACAACTGGATACAGTACCCCTTCTTCGTCCTCTTCACCGATTTCTGCATCTACTGGATTCACCGCGGTCTACACCATCCCATGGTCTACAAGACCCTCCACAAGCCTCACCACAAGTGGATTATGCCTACTCCCTACGCCTCCCATGCCTTCCACCCCGTTGACGGATGGGCCCAGGCTCTGCCTTACCATGTCTTCCCTCTGCTGTTCCCGCTGCAGAAGTTTGCCTATGTCGGCCTGTTCGTCTTCGTCAATTTCTGGACCATCATGATTCACGACGGCGAGTACGTGGCCAACAGCCCCATCATCAACGGCGCTGCCTGCCACACCATGCACCATCTCTACTTCAACTACAACTACGGCCAGTACACCACTGTCTGGGACCGCTTTGGTGGCAGCTACCGCAAGCCCAACGACGAGCTTTTCGCCAGAGAGACAAAGTTCAGCCAGAAGGAGTGGAACAAACAGAGCAAGGAGATGGAGAAGATGGTGGTCGAGGTCGAGGGCAAGGATGACAGGACATACGACCCTGCCGACGAGAAGAAGACCAACTAAACGTAACGGCCGCAAGACGTTGGGGGGGGAAAACTATGAGACAGAACTGCTGCTTGGCAGCATGGTCTACGCATGACTGCGCAATACCACATTCGCGCACAGAGTGATGATACTATGGAGAAGTGGAGTGTTGTACGAAGTGGAGGATCCGACCTCGAGAATGCTAAAAAGCCACGAGGTTGTACATAGTGACGAAAAGCTGCCGGGTCTCACTCTAGAAGAGACCACGAGCCAGCGGGCGTTTTGGTATCATGACATGGGATGGGGTGCATTTCTTGACACCAGGGAGAAGCCGGCTTTTTCCAAATTAGAAGCCTTGACCATTTGATGGGAAGGCCAACCCATCGCTACCTCTTGTGATGAGATGATGGACGATTAATTACTTATTTTAATGCCGCAAATTCTATAAACTAATATCAATTACTTTATGATAACAAACCTTCCACGCGTGACGCTATAGTTTAAATCAACGCAAGTGACCATCGCATTCCGAGACAGTAATAAAGGTCGTACACTATGCCGTTCGCCATATTTACGGTTATTTCAAGATTGAGAACTATTCTATTCCCCACCAAGAATGGAACTGGGTTCTTACAGATAAAAGCGTTAGCTTCCCATTGAATATTTAAAGAGCATCTTTTCAAAAGTTTAAATTACCAGATGTGCAGAAGACAAGACAAGTCTGGAGGGCATGACCTCCAGACGACTGAGTCCCGAGTCCTGGGTTCACGCGCAACTTTGCCGAGATAGTCGTGGGTTGGAGCTGCCGGAAGCTTGCATCACTACATCGGAAGGGGGAGTCCAACTTCTCTTCCGAAGAGGCGCCAGTGCCTGAAAGTTCGGGTGCCATGTCATGATATCGTCGCTAAGGTGCTTGTGAGGCCAACAACCATGACCGAAGAATGGCCTGGCCCTGGTGTTAATGCATACCTACCCTCCCCTCCAACCCAAACTAATTCATCCGCTTGCCTGCCCAAGCGAAGACGTCGACAGTTTACTTGAATCGTTGGGTCGGAGAGTAGATCCAAGCGAATGTCATTCTCTCTCGCCAAGTAGGCAGTCGGTGGGTTGGCTCACTGACTAGCAAAAAGCAATCCATCTTGACTTGAAGGCAATACCTACGATTAGACCGTCCATGGTAAGGTCTCGGTTCCGTTGAAAGCTGCCATACAAAACTTGCCTTACCTATTTCGTTTTCTCCTTCAGGCCCTTTTTTTTTCGAGGCACTGTTTGCTTTCTTATGGTATATTCGTTTGGGGGGTTGTCACGTTAAAACTGAGACTCCTTGCTTCGACCGTTATAGCTGGGGGGAAGGGTTATGATCCATGAATGAACAACGGTAATAAAAGACGTGGATGAGATGGGCCTGGGCTGCTTTTGGGACAGAGCATGGCGTGGTTGTGAGAGGCACGAATCACCCGCTTCGAGGACGGCTGTCTGGAGAACGACGTGCGCTGCCAGTCTTTCGGCCAGTCTCTGGTAGTGCGGCTACAAAGCCTTTCTGTGCACTGCTCGTTATCAGAGCAGTAATGTATTCCAATGTGTGACCCGAATAGTGGACCCGACTTTCTTAGAGTTTGCCTCGTGGGTTACGATAAACTTGTATAGAGTGAATTTTCCACGTTCGAGTTAAAGGAGGCCCAAGGTAACGCAGCTAATATAATAGAAATTTCACTTAGACTAATCTCAAGTTGTAGCGATGTCGTTTGCTATCGAGTATCCAACCAAGTATGACCGATAGTGTCTTCTGAGTCTATCTTAGAAAGACAACATAAAGTATAACACGTGCAAGACACGAGCTCAGAGTATACCACAGTACCGAGACATAACAGTGAATGACATGAAGTCAAGCGCCCCATCTTAAGAAACTAATTCGTAAGACGAGTCAAATTATAGTTTATGCGGAACTCGTCCGTCAACAATGTATTATTGAAAAATTGCCATTGCGCAAATGTGACCTGAGGTATTCAAGCCCCTTTCTTCCAAAATCCACGGAACACCACCAACGCCATGACGCTAGAACACAAGAAAACAATGCCGAATGACTCAAATCAACATCCCTGGGTAGAAATAAAAGCCCCCGAATCCCATAAAAGAAAGAAGCAATGTTCCGAGGCGAGCGGAAGGCGGTTATCTCGTTGCTTTCCTCCAGCTGCTGCTAGAGGATATCGCATCTCTCTGGGGCCGCTCCTTCGTTCGTAGGATTCCAGCACATATTGCATTCGTGCCCGGCATGGTCATCTACGACGACCTTTGTCCTCTTATCAGGAGAAACTGACGAACTTGGGATCCCTCGGCCGTCCGTCAGGCCCGATGCCGTTGGCGCTGAACCTTTGCTCCATGTAGACCTTCCTCGCCTGGTCGAACTTGAGGCGCCTCTTCTTCATGATGGCCAGGATCTCGCGCTTAGCGGTATCGTCGAGACCGGCCCTGGCGTCCCCATCAGTCACGTTGCCGGAGAGGTCGAAGGTGTCGCTGCTGAGTCCAGCCTCGATGTCGCCGGTGAATGTGGAGGGCAGTCGCGCATAGAAGTAGTCGCGGGGGTTGGAGAGGTCGGGCATCAGATGCAGCCACGATGACCGGGTCAGGTATAGGACTGTGCCTGATACCAGGACGAGAAGGGCGAGGGAGGGGAGGATATAGGGCATTTTGGCGTTCGGAACAAAGTGAAGGCTTGGCTGTATTTATTGACTTTGGCCTTGAACAATCCGAAACGGATTTGTAGGTACTGGGATATTGGGAAACCAAGGAGAAAAGGGTATAATAAGTACGAAACAGTAGTTGCAATGCAACCAGCGATGGTCAGCAGCCGATACGGGATCGTCGGGGCCTGGTGGATGCGCCGACTTGGAGGCTGTGTGGTTGGAGAACGGGAGCAAGGGAAAAGAAAGGAATGGTGACAAGTTGAAGGAAACTATTGCAGATATGCAGTCGCAGCACGAAGCTGAATCTGGGCCATTGAAGGCCTTTGGTCGATAGGCTTGTGTATCTCAAGGTGGTGAGTGTAGATTATTAACCTAGGAGGCTCACGATGAAGAGCAACAGCCCATCGATGCACTAAACTAGGAGCTGAAGAAGGGGTGACGACGCCTGGGAGCTGGGCAGGAGGCAGCCCCGGGGGGGGCAGCATGATCAATGTGGGTCGGTGCTCTTTATGCGTGTCGTCCTGGCTTGGCTCGCGTAGAGTCCCCCAAGCCCTGGCAAGCCCGGAGGTTGCAGGTGTTGAAACTCCAATGTTGGGGCTAGACTAGTCCGGACAGGACGTCAAAGTCAAAGTGGGGTACTTCGTGAACTGACAGATTTCGAGCCCAGCACCGCCACAACTGCCTGTGTGTCAGCAAAAAACTCGACAAGTTTTTGAGGCTTGGGTTGCTTGGGCACGGCATTGCAGTGCAATCAGTCACAATCAAAACCAATTCTCGCGCTAAATCGCATGGGGAAACCTAAGCGAATCCCACAATCGTAGCGACCCGAGTTGTGAGAAATCGCCTGGTGGCCATCATATTTCGACGAAATTTCGAGATCTACAGCATCAGAAGACCAATTCCGATCAAACACACGACAATCAAAATGGCCAGCGCTCAAGTTTCCTCGGACCTCGTTTGGGAGATCGTCCGTAAGTTTTGAGACTCGAAAGCAAGAAACGGTTGCAGGCCCCAAAGCATAGAGCAGTCGGCTAATACAGGTTCATTTCTGTCTAGGCTCCAACAATGCCTTCCTCGTCAAGCGCAAGGAGTCTGGTGGTGTCCAGTTCTCCCGCGATCCCTTGAACTTGACCAACAAGCACTCCCGCAAGCACGCCGGTTTCGTCAACGAGAAGGCTATCGGTGTTGGCCACAACGAGAAGGGTGGTGTCCAGGTCTTCAGCAAGAAGGGCAGCTCCTACAACAAGCCCGCCGGTGCTACCACCTCCACCACCTACCACGGTGGCAAGAGCTCTCGCAGGTAAGCATCTCTGACCTCCGTCTCAACGAAACAAAAAGGAAACAAATATCTGACTCTCTCTCGCCTCTTCTACAGCACCTACAAGGCTGTTGCCAACCACAGCGCCAAGAACGGTTACCGCCCTGACCTCCGTGAGACCGCTGTCCAGCGTGTCTCTGCTATCCGCCGATCCCAGAAGGACCCCAAGCCCACCCCCGAGAGCAAGCCCCGTGGCAACAAGGCCAAGAAGGCTGCTGCCGCTGCTGAGGAATCATAGATGTCTGTTTCATGTCATGTAGAACGATGATGGAAGGATACGACAGCTCTCGGGAGGCTAGGTTGGCGAACAGGCGTATCTCTGCAGTTAGTTGTGTATGACCCAAAGATGGTCATTGAGCAGCTTGACGAATACAATTGAATCAACCTCAAATTCCTATGCTGTGCCATCTCTCTTTTTGCTTTTATTGTCTTCATTGTCTTTTTTATGCCAGTCTAGAGACCGTATTGCCACATCACGTTGGATATCCCAGTAAAGCAGACTTGCCATGTTATTCTGGCCTCTCACTGCGTCATTAAATACCAAGAAATGGCTGACTTGATCGCGGACTAGTAGGGTACGAAATGCCTATTCCCTTGCCCGCGGCATACAGCTTGGTTAGGCCAGGATGTGCCGTTGCTCAATAAACTAGCCTGGTGCTTTTAGAGAAACAGTTTGCTTCTTCGAGAGGACTGGCTGGATTAGTTTCGGGCACTGGTTCAGATTGGCTTGGCTGTGGAGCTGTGAAACTGGTAAATTCGACAACGTCATTTCATCATGATGCCGAGCACGGCTGCGACGCGACGGAATCTCTCGGCGTAGTACTGTTTGGCGGCCTTCAGCAATGGAGCATCACGAAAATGTGTACGATAATGGTAGCTAGTTGTTACCGGCTGTAGTGGTGGAAGCTTGAATACTGAAGTCCGGTCTTGCCCGAATGGAGACAGCAAGTTGGATGCCTCGGAACTTGACCATATTATTCGGCCTGCTCACCGGTAATGCAAGAGGATGTACGGTAATTCGACCAAGCCTGCTAGTTTGCATGTGTGCCATGGCTTGTGTATCACGTCTTGTGTCGCATATGTACAACAAAAAGTCAGAGTTGCAACGTGATCATTGTTGCTTAGCAATAAGAAAACAACAAACATCCACAAGTCAGAAACTTACCAAATCACCGAAACTCGAGACCAAACGCTTGGCCTGTAGGAAAAGCAGGACCGGAGCTCAAGTCAAAGCCCAAAGCCAAAGCTCAAGCCAACCATCGGACCCCGAATTACACATGCAGGCGTGGAGGTAAGTCTCGCCGCGTGCTTCCCTTGATCGGCTGGGGAGCTGCTGCTGCTGCTGCTGCTGATGGCGGGGTAGTAGCCGGCCTTTTAGGCCTTAGGCCTCAAGTCGTCAGCCCCCAGCAAGTCCGAACACACCAAGCATCCCGGTCCACTAACCCGAAACAGTCCTTGAGCTTGTGAGGATCCCCCCAAAGCTTCACATTTGCCCCGCCATAAGTATTGCCTTCTTTCTCCAAACAATATTCCGTACCTGAGTGAATATAATAAGCAAAGGTCAGTCAATTCATCGTCTCCCCAGAGAGTTCACCGACTGCAGGCACGTAATCTTCCACTGGCCCGGGTTTTCTATATAAACTCCTCCCAGCAGACCAAGCTCATCATTTTCCTTCTTTGTTACACCATTCCTCATATAAGTCTTACCCAGTCTTCTGACCCCGCAGCGTAGGTCCGACCTTCTCACTCAACAACAAAAACCACAACTCCTACGCAGTAAAGCAACAAGCAACGCAGACACAATGGTCAAGGCAGGCAAGTAGCTGTCATATCCTTCACAGGTGGTCGGCGAATATTAACAGTCTCTCAGTTGTTGCTGGAGCCGCTGGTGGCATTGGCCAGGTTTGTACATGCTTATAAGCCTTCACAGCTCGTGGAACTAATAAATGGTAGCCCCTCTCTCTTCTTCTCAAGCTTTCCCCTCTTGTTGATGAGCTCGCTCTTTACGATGTTGTCAACACACCCGGTGTCGCAGCAGATCTGTCGCACATCTCATCCACAGCCGTGAGTTCTCCCAGAGAAGCTGGGTTAGGTATGCCGGCCGAGCTGACACACTATGTAGAAAGTTACTGGCTACCTTCCCAAGGACGATGGCGGAAAGGCCGCCTTCAAGGATGCTGACATTATCGTCATTCCTGCCGGTATTCCCAGTAGGTGACTCCTATGTCCAAGGTGATGATATCTAGGGAAACTCATTATCTGTGCAGGAAAGCCTGGCATGACCCGTGACGATCTCTTCAACATCAACGCCGGCATTGTCAAGGGTCTCATCGAGATTGCCGCCGAGGTCGCCCCCAAGGCCTTCATCCTGGTCATCTCCAACCCCGTCAACTCGACCGTCCCCATTGCCGCCGAGGTCCTGAAGGCCAAGGGTGTCTTCGACCCCAAGAAGCTCTTCGGTGTCACTACTCTCGATATTGTCCGTGCTGAGACTTTCGTTGCAGAGATTGGTGGCCAGAAGGCCGGCCATGAGCTCACCGTCCCCGTCGTCGGAGGACACTCTGGCAAGACCATTGTTCCTCTCTTCAGCAAGGTCCAGCCTAGCGTTTCGATCCCTGCTGACAAGCTTGATGCCCTTGTCAACCGCGTTCAGTTTGGTGGTGATGAGGTCGTCAAGGCTAAGGACGGTGCCGGTTCGGCAACTCTCTCCATGGCCTACGCTGGCTTCCGGTTGGTCTCTACGTGTCGTACCTGTGTTTCTTGGACTAACAACTTGACAGCTTCGCCGAGAAGGTTCTGAAGGCTGCCAAGGGTGAGAAGGGTCTCATTGAGCCCAGCTACGTCTACCTGCCTGGTGTGCCCGGGGGCAAGGAGGTTGCTGAGAAGTACGGAGTCGACTTCTTCTCTCTTCCTGTCGAGCTCGGCGTAAGTGCAAATTATGAATACCCTTTTTTGTTATTTTTTTTTTTTTTTTCAAAGTTTTGTGTGTGTTATCTGTTAGCTAACAAGATTATAGCCCAACGGTGTTGAGAAGGTCGTCAATATCCTTGCCGATGCCAACGAGGCCGAGCAGAAGCTTCTGGCAGAGGCCGTTTCGGACTTGAAGGGCAACATCGAGAAGGGTGTCCACTTTGCCCACAACCCTCCTCAGAAGTAAATCTACCCCTCCTGATCTTTTTCAGACCACGAGAGAATTCGTGGATGTTTGCGCCTTTTCATTTTTGCGATGGAAGCATGGGACACAATAGACTGCCTGTGAAGGCGTGGTGTGTAGACAAACTCGGAAGCGTTGTTGCTTAGCGATTAATGAGACCAAGTGACTGATAATATGCTTTTTCCCAGGCTGTAAACGTGATTTCTCAAGAAAGTGATACTTTCCGAGTGATATCTCCGCGTGTGGATTTGGATCGAGGGGTTGCGTTGACGCATTGAACGGGGGGGCGACGGCGCATTGGGGTTATGAAATCATGGGTGGTCGTTTGATTTGGTCAGAGATGCCAGGGCACTGTGAATATTGAGAGAAGTACATAGACCATACAAATAAGATAAAATGTCAAAAACGCCACAACGCCATGCTCTTCAAATGCTCTCAACATGCTTTGGTCCATGGTGATCTGATATGGGGATTTTACCACGCCAGCCACTGAAGCCGTCATTCCGCCAGCGCCAACCGTCCATTCCTACTGCCTTCATGACTTGGCCGGTATCGTCTTGATCTGGAACACAGCGCCAGGCAGCTCGTTAGACTCGGCCTGCACCGTGGCATTGATACCTAGCGCCGCGAGGGCCCCTCTTACTATGCCGCAAGGAAACCATAAGAACTGAAACGCAAAATATGTCAGTCAGTCTTTGTATTCACAGACCCGTAGTTTTTCGACATCGTTCTGTCAGCCGTGCTGTCCCTCCCCCAATTTTTTTGCTCCGAAAACGCCATGACCACGAAACCCCAAAAGCGAAAGGAGGAAGATAACCAGGATTGCCTTTTCTAGAAAGACGGAGAGAGGGGGAGAAAGAGAGAGAGGAGAGATGAACAAAAAAGAAAGAGAGAGAGAGAGAGAGAGAGAGAGAGAGAGAGAGAGAGAGAGAGAGAGAGAGAGAGAGAGAGAGAGAGAGAGAGAGAGAGAGAGAGAGAGAGAGAGAGAGAGAGAGAGAGAGAGAGAGAGAGAGAGAGAGAGAGAGAGAGAGAGAGAGAGAGAGAGAGAGAAAGAGAGAGAGAAACCACTCACAGGCTGCGCCCTGACAATCGCCTGCCCACCCGCATCCGTGCTCATCCTCGACAGAGGCCGGAACATGTTGTCCGTCAGGACGTAGACGCCGCGGTGGTTCGTCTTGAGGTTGTCGATCTGCTTCTTGAACACGAGCGTCCACAGGTCCTTGCACAGGAACTTGATGACGTCGAGGGTGTCGTTGAAGCGCGGGCGGTCGCGGGAGAAGCTGTTTATATCATGTTTGTTAGCCAAGCCTTTTCTCTTTTTGTCTTCTCTCTTCTTTTCTTTTCATGCCAGAGTGCGAAACAAGGACGGTGGTAGTATATTATGAAACAACGGGGATCGAGAAGAAAATGGGAGGAAGGAGGAAAAGAGACAGAGACAGGGAGAAGGAGAGACAGAGACAGGGAGAGGGAGAGAGAGAGAGAGAGATGTATAGACCACATACCGCTCGACCAACCCCAGCCCAACCCGATACCCCAGCGTCTCGAGGCGATAGAACACGGCGTCCCGCTCCTCCTCGTCGTCCAGCTTCCTGTTGCCCGAGGTCGTGCTCCCAGCGCCGCCCCCCGTCGTGCTGCCCCCGGCGCTGCCCCCTTCCATTGCTGCGGTGGCGGTCGCGGCGGCGGCTAGCCGGTCCGCAGACGCCACCAGGTCGGCGGCGTCCAGCTCGTTGACCAGCCGGTACGCCATGGGCACGATCTCGATGAGCAGGAGGTCGAGACAGGAGCTGTTGAGGAAGGTGGCCGAGGGGTCCGAGGCGTTGAAGGGCGGCAGGGGCGGGTCGAATGTAGACATTTTTGTTTTTCTTGATTTGATTTTATTATTTGATTTATTATTATTTACTTGGCTTCATGTGTCGTCGTCTTCGTCCGCCGGCGCATTGAGGGCGCGCAAAAGAAAGAGGAGAGACAGCTCTGTATGGCTTATTCTGTCTCTGGGAAGGGGGTGGTGTTTTCGCCAGCACCGGGGGGAAGGGGGATATATCTCCTGTTCGTCTTTGTTGGCTCGTTCGGGAGGGAGCGCAGGCGCAGGAGATGCGGAAAGGCTGATGTTCCTGCTGGCGGGTTCGCGACTTTCTCTACGTGTCTCCTCTCTAATCCGTATACCGGAAGGCGACAGCTTGGGTTGGCTTGGTCTTGGCGGACAGTTGTATTTGTTTATGTACGAGAGACCCGAGGCTGAAAAAACAAGGGTTGGCTGATAGATAGGTTGACGTTGGACAGGGCTGAAGCTTTGTGACCGCACCCTGACGTTGGGGCGCGATTGGTTGCGCTGTGGGGGAGAGCTGTAGTGGGGGTTCTTTCAATGCAGCTGCAACTTCTGCGGGCCAGAAATTCAAGGGGGGCCAAACGTCGATAGTAAACGTAAACTGTGCATCGAAAGTGGCGGTTAATGTCATGGGCAATTTGAGCATTTGACTACTTTCGTTACCTTGTGAGTTCACCACTACACACCGCAATGCTTGTACAATGTTCGTCACTGGCATCAACTTGTCCTCGTCAGTGCATGTTTCCATAAAACTCCTGGAGCGTCCAAGGCGAGGCATTGTGTGGATGTAATCGTTGCAGGGGATACCAGTAGTATTTGAGACTTCTATCACCTTCGGCCAGAACAAAAATATCCATCCATTGTGGCATATCCACAGCCCCTGCGCAATTCGTAGCTCTTAAGGGCATGTCGTCCAGTGGCTAGTGCAGCTTTCTGCTCTTGAAATCTTGCCATTCCATACTTGTATCTCTTCAACTGTCGAGTAGAACGGCTGTCAAGCGCCAATCTCCTGTGGCCAGGCCTCAAGTTTGTAGATCGGAGTGCAACACCCTAATCAAGACGCTTCCCTCTCTCAACGACGCCCGAGAAAGCAGAGCAGTGCGAACTGAAAGAAAGTATACCAAGAGCATCGCATGGCTGATGCAACTCCTATCATGCCAAACCCTCATGATACATAAGAAACCTTCTGCAATTTCTTCCCAAAAACCGGCGGAAGAATTCTGTGGTATATCCGGGGTTTTCCCCTTTCCCTGAAAAATCAAAAGGTCCCTGCCACCAACGCCCAGTCCATGCAAAGTTTTCCTCCCATCCTTCGTTACGCTCAGTGATATCCTGCGGGAAGAGGCCAGTCCGACATCGAGGGAACAGCACTAGTGTTCTGTCTCTTCGGGGGCGGCCGGGGAGGCTCGTCGTCGTCATCGTCGTCGCTCAAAGTCAAGTCGATGACTTCAGCAGTTCTCTTCCTGCCGTTCGGAGTCGATGTTGAACCGTTGCCGGCGTTCGAGGGCGTTCCAATCATGGATCGGTTTGGGGTTTGTGTATTGCGACCGCTTGCTAGAGGTGAACTAAAGTCGTCCAGCGCCACAATGTCATCGTCATCGTCCAGCTTGATGCTGGACATGGAATGTGCTGCCGAGACCCTCGGTCTCTTGGGTACGGGTTCTGCCCTTCCTTCAGTCCTCCACTCTCCATCCGGCTCAATCGTGACTTGTTCCGTATCCTCGTGCGTTCTGTCCAAGATATCCTTGACGTATTCGTCGACTGCCAAATTCTCAAAGGTAGCCGACTTGTTGCATATGGGACATATCCACTGCGGACCTTGCTCTTGTAGGTAGAGATACGAGGTGACATCGAAGCACTGAATATGGTTGCACGTAGTTGATCGGCAGGGGTTCTTCAAGCGTCCGTATGTCAGAGGACATTTGAGCGAGAGGACTTGTGACGTCGCAACCACGTCGGGATCGTTGGCCTTCTTGGTGAGCTCCTTGAGGACCGAGGCCTTTGGGATCTTTCGGCCTCTGATCTTTACAACCAGATCTTCAATAGAGGAGACCCTGCAAAGATAGATGGCAAAGTAGTACTTCTAAACTCATGGTCAGCATGTATACCTATGATGGAGGCGAGACGAGCTCGGGATAACAATGTTCGAGACGTGTGAGCACGGGCACCACTTGGATCCGAGAAAATAGCAGTGCTCACTTGACGACTCTTATCGTATTTGTTCACCTTGGTCGTAAGCGCATATGTAAAATCAATGTTGTTACCATACGCCACCTTATCCAAGCGCAGAGAGTCGGTGATATCAACGGGCCGGGTAGAACCTGGCTTGCCCTTTAGGCCTCTGAGGTTGGCCTTCATCTCGCCGCCGTTCACCTTGAGTTCGGACTGATAGGGAAACGCAATATCCTGGACGCCTTGGTTGTCGGCTGCGCAGAAGACCATAACGCGAAGGCTCTTGTCGGTCACGCAGCGAGCCAGGGCGTGGTGTTCACTGGTCTTCAAGGTGAGAGTGGTAGAATTGCGGTGTTGTGCCATGACTAGAGAGAGAGAGAAAAGGTAAGTCAGCCCGACATGTATTGGGACGAGGGCGCAGAGTTCCCGGACTGATCCTTGTAGTGGCCCAGTTGTCTGGGCCAGCTTTGCAAATCGTGCCATGATGCTAACGAGCAAGCACGCAAAGCCGAGGAGTGAAGCGGACTGCGCCCTCGGGGGGGTTCGACCTACCTTCGAGCGTCTTGATTTGGCCAATCATCTGATCCACGCGATAGAAGGGGCTTGGTTTGAACTGAAGGGCTGGTCGATTCATTAGCCCAGGAAGATTGCCGTAAGAAGACTGGCGGAGGGGCAGCATACCGGGCCTCTGCGGCACGGCAGCTGGTGATGTGCTTGCTCCAAGTCCGCCACTACCGCCGCGAACCTGTCCGCCGTAGCCAGCCGCGAAGCCGTTCTGGCCGAAGACGGGTTGCTGCATATGCGGGGCCGGCGAGATGCTGTGAGCGCTGCCGTTGGCGTTGCTGTAGGCGCCTGATGCTCCTCGTCCATAGCTGCTAGATGGCGAGGAGTCTTTGGCATGATGGCCACCACGACCACTACCGGCCATAACGTTGTTTATTGATTCTTTGATGTGCAGGTATGTCGCCGGGTCCTTGGTGAGGTTCTCGTATAGAGCTGTGTGGTGGGGAAGAAATACAGTGTCAGCAGGAGTTTCTTCCGTATTGGCAGAAGAGTTGTTTGTTCACTGTAGGAGTCTGAATTGGTGGGATGCGCAATCGTTGAGAACCATGAGCTCAGCGGCCAAGCCAAGACTTCCCTCTCTCGCAACAAGTGGTGTGTGACGGAAGGCCCTTACCGATTGTGATGCGCCTTTGTAAATCGGCCTTGACGCCGCTCGTCTTGAGGCCGGAGACCTGACATATGTTTTGCAACTGTTTGTTGAGAAGAGTGCGAAGTTTGAGTCCCAGCTGCTCGATCTCTGCTCGCCCGTTGGAAGCCATTATTATTATGGTGGTGTTGACTGGCCCCGCGGCTGCTACCGACTGGCAAGGCACTTATTCGGTCGTTTTGGACGCGGCATGAGGAAGGAACGATGGTGGCTCTTCTGGATTCGTGGATTCTCGATTGCTGAGGGCTTCGTGTGATCGGACTGGTCGCGCAACACCCCAGGTATCAATCCGCCGTGGTCAACCGGAGCCCAAGTGGACGGGCGAGCCTCTGCTAGGCTGCAGCAGTATCGCAGCCCGAGGAACGGATGCGGGATGCGGATGCGCAGTCGGAACGTGTCGATCACCGTCCAACTGCAGTCAACTAGAGCGGGATGTGCCAAGTCGGCGATCACAAATAGATAAAAAGGAGGATTGCTAAGACAGGAGTCCAGCCTTCACCAACCATAGTCGTCGCTGCCCACGGTTGACAATGACTTGACGCAGTTGCGAGCCGGGCGGCGACAAATTCCACCGCCTGCCGCTCTCAGCAGCGACCACTTTAGCAGTTCACCCTTGTTCCTCTAGCGCCTTCCCCAAGTTCATTGGCACAAGTGCTATGGTACAAAGAGCGCATTGATAGCGCCTGCGATAAACGATAACGACCTAGAAGGCCTGTACTGTAATTTTCATTTTCTCAAGGGATGCCACTAAAGAGGCCCCGCCAAAAAGTTGCACGTCTTTTGTCCTTCCGCAGGTCACTGTCCGTCCGACACTGACACCACCGACACTGACATTGACACTGATACCCACCAAACCAAACCGGAATTCCACAGACAACAGCCCCCAGGTTTTTCACAATGGCAAAGAGTTCAAGAGCCAGCACGGTGAAAACCAACAACCAGCGCCTCAAGGCCAATGTCTTCGGACCCGTCGAGCAGGCTCGCATGGAGCGCCTCTCCGCCAAGCTGCTGGAAGTCGCTGCTGCCCCCAAGCCCCCGAGGCCAGAGCCCAGCGAGATGAAGATTGTCGATAAGGCCGAGGAACAGGCAGAAGATAATGCCGCTGACGAGAGTAAGCCCCCGTTCTTGGCCCTCGATATGAACCCTGGGCTAACACAGGCGTATAGCCATGGAAATCGATAGCAAGCCTGCTCCCGCCACCCGCACCTCTGGTCGCATTACCAAGAAGAAGAAGAAGAACTCCAAGATCGTCTTCCCAAAGTACGGCGACCGAAAGAAGACAGGCTTCTCCACCAAGAACAAGAAGACCGCCTAGTCTTTTTTTGAATGTCACGAATGCATTGCAGGAGTTTCTGGCGTTGGAATGAATGGGTATCATATGTATTTGCAGCGCAATGCCGATTTGGTATTCTGGCCTCTTCTGCTTGCTGTCTATTATTCATACAACAAAACGTTCCTCATAATCATATTTACACATATCGTACAAGGCGTCGCGCGCTGTAGAAACTTATTGAATCATTGGTGCAGGATTCGCAGGTGGCGTAGGCGCAGCGGCCGCTGTTGGAAGCGGTGATGCTGGTGTCGCCAGAGTCGAGTTGCCTGCCACCGCAAGCGTCGGTGCCGATTGAGCCGACACTGGAGCGGCCGAAGGAGGTCGGGGAAAAGTCGCCGCTGCGTTTACTGACCCCGGAGAAGGGCTTGCCGCCACAGGTGTAGGTGGCATTTGCTGTCCTTGCGTACTGGGAGTCGTTGCCGCCGCTGGTGGGTCCGCAACTGCTGCCTGGGCCGGCTCCGGTGTTGCAGAAGGTTCCTGCTTCACAGGCGAAGCTGGTTTTGGCGGAGCCGGGGCGTCGGGGTCAAGAAATCGAGCCGGCACTCCTTGCGCAGCGAAAGATCCAGTGCCAACCCATGCGCCAACCAGTTGGCTCCATTTGTAGTCGCCTCGCTGTAGCTTTTGAATCTCCTTATAAGCCTTGGAGTCATAATATGGCAAACCTGTCTTTGGATCTTTGTAACGTGCTGGCTTATTTGTGATGATGCACTTTGGCGGTGGTGCGGGTTCTGCCATGTCATTAACAAATGTGCATGTCGAAGAGTCACATGAAATTACTCACTCGCGAGTTTGCCTGTCTCCTTGCCGAACAGAATGCGCTGTTGTACGCTCTTCTGTTCTATGGCATTCTCGTCAAAATTTTGCAAGATTATAGAATTGCGCGTTGCCTTCATATTCGGTGGTGGAGGTGATCGGGGCGATGGTGGTAGATCCGGCAGCCCTGGTTGTTCCTTGGCTTTCTTTGAAGCATTGGTATGGGATGGCTTGAGTATCCCTAGCGGCTTTGGCGCAGGCTGTGTCAGCGATTGCTGCGGCTTTGCCACAGGAACCATCGAAGGAGGAGCTATTGGTGACTGTTGTGATGGTGTTGGAGGACGAGCCCTTGCAGTAGCGGGGGGAGGGGGAGGCGGACGAGCATTGGTCTGTGGCATAGAGAGAGGCGATTGTCTTTGCCCAGCATTTGGCGCAGCCAGACCGTTTGAAGGCTGGTTGGTTGGAGGGGGGTGAGGAGAGTATCCAAGCACGGGCATCGAAAGGCCGCTCGTGCCTGAAGGCGGTGCCAAAAAGCTATTAGTCGGTGGCCTCATCTCAGGAGGTTTCATGACTGGGCCTTGAGCTTGCAGAGGAGGGGCGAACATGCTTGTGGTGTAAGGACCAGAACTGGGAGGTTGTAGGTCTGGTGGTCGCATCTCGGCCGGTTTTGAACTTGAAGGTGTTGTCTGTGTAGGCCTTGTTTCTGAAGGCGTTGTTTGTGGAGGTGCTGGTCTAGGAGGCGGTTCTTGTATTGTCGGTTCCAATACTTTTGTATCAGGCGCTTTTGACTCTGTAGTTGGTGGTGGTTGAGCAATCTGTTCCTCTGGCACTGCCATGCTGGGGCCTATCAAATCTTGTTGCTTCGAATCCATAGTGTGAAGTTGTGGGGTCGTCACTGATACAGACTTCTCAATATTTGCAGACTTTGGACTTGTCCCAGTACCTGTCGTATGAGGGTCACCAGCAGGAAGGACGGCTGCTTTGTCACTTGCCACCGGCGCAGAAATTGTGTCGGCGGGCGGTTTGCTGACCTTGCTCTGCTCATTCTGGGCTGGCTCCTCTTGTACAGGAACATCGGCCAACTTCTCCGCCCCTACGGTAGATAGGCGCTTCTTAGCAGGCCTCTCTTCGATAGTGACGCTTTTCCCGAGATGCTTCAGCTTGCCATCGACCCATTCGCCCATCCCGCTCCAGAACGTGACCACGGGCCCGCTCAGCTGTCTGTTGTTGAGTGCTGCAAGTTTGGCCTTGCGCTCCTCCTCGCGCTGCTTTTCTGCCTCCTCCCAACGGTTCAAGCTCTTAGCATTCCGCTTCTCGACCTTGGCAGCCTCTGCCATGCGCTCAGCTTGTGTCATGGGAGGCTTCTTCAAGGCCTCCATCCTCTTGGCTTTGCGCTCCATGGCTTCCATCAGTTTGAGTCGTTTCGCCTCTCTTTCCACCATTTGCTGGTGCAGGGCTTCCTTGCTCAACATGGTGGTCTCGCGCTTCGAGGCCCTCGTGGGTAAATCCGCAAGCGATGGTAGCCAGCTCGCTCGTTCAGACTTCTTCTTCGGCCTTGGTGCTGGCGTTGCTGTAGAGGAGCTCGTAGCCGTCGGATCGGCCCTGACCTTCTTCCTGAACTTGACAGGTATGGCCTCCTGCGCCTTACGCTTTCGCGTGGCCAGTTTGCGTTCCCGGGCCTGCTTTTCTAACTCTTTTTCTCCTGCTTCGTCGTCGCCTTGATTTTGGGCATCTTCCTCGTCGGAGGAGGAGTCCATTTGCACATCCGAATCACCCTCTCCGACGTCTGTGAAGCCCGCGTCGTCTGCATCTTCAGCGAAAAGTAGTTCGAGCTCGTCATCGGGTTCTTCAGCCGCTAGCATAGATTTCATGCGATTTCCCGCCGTTGATCGCTTCGCTCGGGTCGTTGCGAGCCATTCTACTGGCGGTGGTCCGGCTTCATCGTTGTCGGAGCTTTCAGAGTCGCTGCTGGACGGTACTGCATTCTTCTCTGCTTCCTGGTCCAGCGACATGGGCTGCTCGCCCCCTTCCTCCGCCATCGCTGCGCCCGATCGAGTCAGAATGAGCCGACTAAATATCTTTACGTCGTCATGAAACTGAAATGTCTATTGGTACGCATCGATATTCGGGCACGCTATTTGTTTCGAGTCTGCAGATAGCTTGAGGAAGATGCGGGATCCGCGTTACTTTACCTAGCTGAGTCGCGTTAGGGGAACTTTTTTTAATTGATCGGCCCCTGCAAGCGGGTTAGCAGCGATGATGTAGGCGCACAGCCACGAGTTGCAAGGTGCCACAGGTTGCACAGGCAGGCTTTTATCTTGTCTTATAGCGGTTTAAGTGTTTCGTTTATCAATTCAATTCTAAATGACAGCTAGGCCATGACTACTAAATGGCTACTGATATTGAAGCGCGTCAGTAATCACAACCATATGCTTCTCATATCGAGTCTTATACATGCGAAGTGAGCTGCCATGTCATAACTCAAGTCATTCGCCTGTCGTTCATCATGAGTAGGTATGAGGTTGGTCCTTGTTGTCCTTTCATCCATTCAACTTGACGTATATGTAGAATTCAACTTTTCTGCCGTTTGGCTAGGGGCAGAAGTCCCGATGGTGATTTCGCATTGGATCGCTTTACACCTTGTGCTCTGGGAGGGCCAATGACGCCCTTCCGCCCAGTCTCACCTTGAGCGTCATACCAGTCTCGCGGCTCCATGATATCCAGGTGTCTGAGCTGGCTACCCGGGGCTAGATATATCTTCAGCAAGGAATAAAAAATAATGCGTATAAAACTTACTATACCGTTCGTTTCTTGGCAGAGGCCGTAGTCCCGGTGCCATCATTGTACAGATGTTCTTGGTAATAGTAACGACGAATGCCATATCCTGCGTTGGTACAACGGTCGCAAAATACTTCTCACCTGCCATCAGATCAACGGAGTCGATACTGACAGACCCCTGAGAAACTTTGGCAACGACCTGCGGGCAGCAAATCTGTGACATCACTAAGTATCGCTCAGTCTTATAATTTGAGGTTCGAGTTTTCACTAGGGACACTTACCATCTCTTGCCAGCAACGGTGCCTTGAATCCATGTTCGCATGTAGACATCCGGTGAACCTGGACAAGAATATCTTCGTTGACTCCCCAGCCGACACTCAAATTCCAGTCTACGACCAGCTTCGAACGTGGGAAGTTACTCAGAGCATCAATAGTGAGTCCTTGTTGAATCCGACAGCAATCGTACATGCGTTGCTCAACTTGGATCCTCTCCTGCTCCTTTGATTTCTTTCTCCCGTTGCTTTCTGTTTCTGGGAAGACATCGGCCGCCATCTGGTCGACCACATCGCCAAATAGATGTTTGGCGGTGTACAGCACGACCATGGACACCCGAGCATCGGGGCTTAGGCCTAGCTCTATGGCAGCGTCGGCTTGAGAGAACTAACTTTTATGAATTCTCACCACGTCTTCGTCCTCGGTGTACAGAGACTCAATGTTCATCCCGCCACCTTCAACGCATCGAAGAGTAATGCCGACTGTCTGTCGACAAGAGCGAAATGCTGCACGCAATAGGCGTGCTACCTAGGTAGCGAATGGGTCCTCGGGTATTGTTACTTCGCGGGCAGCAAGAAAGCGCCTTGACTGCTCCTGCTCGGCCGTCCTGATGATGTTTCGCGATGAAGGATGCGTTAGTAAGACCCTTTGAGTCGAACCCCTTCACGGCCAAGGCCACGGATGATCTGAGCGAGCCGCGGATGCTGTGATATGTTAGCCGAACCATGTGTATCAACCATAGTTTAGCGCATACCTCATTCTTCTCTGCACTAGAGTAGTACTAGTTCCGGCTTCTATCTCCTGAGAAAAGGTAGTTCTTAAGGCACAACACTGTGCTGCCGGCCATGGTCCGTTCAGCCATCGATACATCCGCGCATTCGGGCCATTCGCAATTGAGCATCTCGTGCATTATATCAACTGTGGCGTTACCATGCTGCCTCAGAACCTCCGTCCACACATCCTGGATCTTCTCAGACTCCTCACGCGCATTGACAACAAACTGTCTATCACGATTCGTGTTTCCCTCGCCAAAGTTGTAGCCAAATACCAGTGGTTTTCCGGTCATACTGGCAGAGGAGCGATATCTTCCAGCACATGCGGATTCCTTGAGAAGTAGGCCTTTGAGATAAATATTGCCTATGAGCGATGCCCCGACCAATACATCGCCGACTGGTGTCTTAGTTATTTGATAATCTCTCATGGTTTGTTTGCAAGAACAATGCCGCCCTTGTCCAGTCAACGAAGTCCTCACGGTCAACTCTTGCTGGTACAAGCTTGTTCTTGTCGACTTTATCCCTGACCAAAAACTCTTTGCCAATGACGAAAATGACATCCTGACTAGAATGTGGCACGAAAGGAATCAGCCCACTGCGGAATGAAGCCTCTGGTCTGACAATCACCTTGTGCACTTCATTGCCCAGGTGCCTGTACAGTCTCGCCACGAGCTTGCCAGCTGTGTCGAAAGTGAAGTTCCAATGGAAGCCGCCGGTGAGGCATCGTAAGGCAAGGTTCCGCGGCTTCTTTAGGAAAGCCAGCAGCGCTAAATTGAGTCCGTCACCGTGCTGGCCTGCCTGGTTCGAGACGCCCTGTTTTGTGGTGCCACCCAGGTCGAGGTGCCAGGGCTCAATGGCAGCCTGAGGGCTGACAATCTCGACAGAACCAGCGCCACACTTGTTGGTGTAGCGGATGTAAGCCAGCCATTCTTTCGGGTTGCTTCCAGGTCGGGCGAGCTTGTATATGATCTCGTCCTGTCCTCGCTGTGACTTATCGTCACGGACCACCTCGAAATCAGCTTCGGCGAGGTCTAAGGCTCTGATAATGCCATCACGCCTGGCTGAGAGTTAGCTCTTTAGATCCTCTTGTCCTTGTACGACTTGTGCTTGCCAGTTTTGTACGAGCTCCCGGAACGCTTGCCAGGGTTCCCATGGCGCGTAATTCGCTCGCAGCCCGAGTTGAAGGGTCTTGGAATGGGCAATGTCTTTGAGGTACACGGCGCCGCTATCATCTTCACCCAAAGGATCGGCTGAAGAATTCTCGCTAGTGATATTTTGCTTATTAGACATCTTGATATAGAGTCCAGATGAGCTTGTCGTGTGGGAAGGGAAGAGAAGAGAAGAGAAGAGAATAAAGTACTGTAAAGATTAAAACTACGCTGAAGCTGTCGCTGGACGTGGGATATGTGGAAAGGGTAAAGAAGGTTCCGTGGACTAATATCTAGTATAAAGAAGCCTATTGTCATGGATGATGTTTGGGAAAGAGCTATAACCTTAGTGGTTAAAGACACCAGCGAAGTAAATTATTGTGACCTCCATTCTTCGAAAAGTCTTTCACTATGCAATAGTTACAACTTTATGGTGTGCAGAATGATTGTAATTCCATTTGATGACTACATATCTTATAGAATACGACTTAATCACGAAACCAAACCTCATGAGTCTGAGAACTTGGCTAAAGTGGACTCGTCCACGATGTATCCATTTGGGAGTAAGTGTTGAAGCAGCATAATTTGGTCACTACGAGGTTCAAGCAGCAACTGAAACTGATACCCTGAGGACTGTCAAAAATATAGCGTTGGGGGGTCTTGCGCATACACTCGAACATATACATACTGTAGACACTGGTAGGAATGGGCAAACTAGAGTTGAGTCTTTCAAGTGTTCTTATTGTAGCCCAATGCTGAGCTCGAGTTATGCTACCTAGGTATATTTCCTCTACCGCAGTCTGGTACTAGCGGGTAAAAGATTTGATACAAAATGCCAATGTAAACTCCAACCCGCCGATGCGCTAAAATGGTATATCAATCCAGAAAATGCCGAGTAGAGAATTCCTTGACGTCCCGATGACTAAGTTCAGGTAATGCCGATGCAAAGTGACAAAGGAAAAAAAAGAAAAAAGAAAAAAGAGGGCCTAATGCAAAACGCCAATATGTTGCCCGTCCAGAATGGCTTTATGCAATCCGCCAGAGAAGCCGAAACCCGTATGCTAAGGCCCGAATCCGCTCGAATAATTCCGTGGTACTTTTAATCAATAGTTCCCCGCAAAATGTGCATCCAATGTGGCCCCCATGCTTGAAAGGACCAGCCTGCATAAACCGGTGCAAGTGCTGACGACATGGAAGAGTCCTCGTGACCACGCTGGGAAGAAACCGTGCAATTCAAGTTGCAGGCTCACCTCACCACAGTTGCAGCATCGCGTCCACCGACCGCCATTTGCGGAAACAAAGTGAGACCCAGGCAAAAGCCATCGGCAGGGGTTACTCTTATGCAATATGCAATGAGCATGTGTCCAGGCTGAAAAATTGGGGTTGAACGTGGGGAAGAGGCGCCTATTGATTACCCTGAACCCCGAGGTAGAACCCCCCGCGTTTCACTATTATTCGCAATATCGAATACAGCCTAGGAACTCTGCCAAAAACCCAAGAGCAGCAACCCCCCACACTATTCTAACCTTAACCCCAACAAATGTTGGCATGTGTAGAGTTCTACACAAATCGATGCTGCAAGGTAATCTCCAAGCCGTCCCAAGTGCCGCTGAAGCCTGAATCAGCGGCCGACCATGGGGGTTACCAGTTCGATACTCTTCGGTCGACTGTAACCTCCCGGCCTCCTTGATGGTAAAGGCCGGTCAGCAGGCACGTTGGTTGTTGTGTATCCGTAGTTGTAGCCAGAGGCGCCATAGCCGGTGTCATAGGTTGAGGGATAGAAGTTTGACGACTGCTTGTACGATGTGCTTGGGCTAGTGGTCGCCGTCTTAGCGAAAGGCCAAAAACTGGAACTGGTTGTCGTCGGTGATGGCGGGCTCGGTGGCCGAATCGTCAAAGACTTCAATGCGGATACAGCACTCGTATATTGTGAGCTGGTTGGTGTGGTAGGCGGGGAGAAGTAAGTCGAGCTAGGTCGTGAAGGTGAAGCCCTTGGTATGATGTCACGAGGTTCCGAGCTGCCTGCAGAGTAATAGGGCAGACTGCTATAGCTGTCATAACTCTTTGAAGGAGGGTATGGTGACACTGCAGAAGTTGGCATCTGGTCATGCTTGCGACACCTGATTGCGCGTTAGTCTGAGCCCCACCATCTGGCTGACCGAAAAGATTGGCTTACGAGTCTGAGCAGTATAGATGCCTCTCTCCAGAAGGGACGAATTGCTTCTCACAAGTCATGCTGTAAATTGTCCAGTTAGCATATCATTTCAATTAACCAGTGTGATGCAGGAACAGCAATGCAAGCCCTTGATTGGTCCGACAAACAGTTACACGAGCCCACCTTGATGATGGCCCGCCCACCCATCAGATGACGATGCAAGTGACCACAACGAGGGTGTGCAAACTATCAAGCGTCTCGGCAGGCTGATATAGGAAATAATGGATGTACACAGTAGCAGTAGCAGGCCGACAAGCGGAAAGTAATGCGTAGCCTGCATGGAAAGACAGGCACCGGCAGGGGAAACATGGTGAACTGGGCTTCACTCACCAATATTGAGGGAAGCTCTCGCGCTCATCTTCCCATCCTCGTTCCTCGTCCCACTCCCTTTCCCTGTCTCTGGGATTCTTGCCAAGCTTCTGCACAACTGAAGGCGTTGTCCTCCTGGATAGAGTCTGAGGGCGTTTTGGTCGCGAAAGATCCGAGACTGTGACAGCCTTACGAACATCCGTCATAGACGTGTTGGTTGAAGCATGCCCGGACTTGCGACGCTGGTGGTGCATTGCGGCGAATTGCTGCTGGACCCCAGTGATGCTCCTGGGTCTAGCCAGAAAATTGTGGTTGGTCAAATGGGTATGAAGGGTCCCTCCAACTTCAATGAAGCGGGGTGTGTCAATTCCCGCAGGTCAATTCAACTAGACACCTCACACGAGGAGTTCTGGCCTGAATTAACAAGTGAAGCTCTTCCGAAAGTCCGAGATTTATATGATCTGGCTTTATCTCTTGGGATGCACCAACCCGGGTGGTGGTTTGTTGATAGAAGCAAGTATCCCACCTTGCCGCTTACTGTTTTAGTGTGATGCTGTGATATGCGAACCGTAGTCGTGAAAGGTTATGGTGTTATGCTGTGTTATGGTTGACCGACTTATACTTTTGATCTTCAGAGTTGCGCAAGGAGGTGAAATAAACCTTAGTGCAGGGACGCTATTAATAACGTGCCCGGGCGATGCGATTTCGATTTCTGACAAAGACCGATGGCGTGCTTGAGTTTAGGCTGGTCAAAATGCGAAAAGCCGTTGCCTGTGACGAATATGACGAATGAATACTGAGTGCGGTTCCCAAAGTTGGCCCGATTGCGGTGGATGCAAGTGGCTCTTTAAACTTCTCAATCTTTGATCTTGTTCTGGACAAGTTCAATTCGTCAGATGATAAGAGGATCAGGTAGGCAGTGTTGTGACTGTAAAGGCAACTGTAGTGAACGATTTGCTTGTCGCGCTATATGCGCTTGTAACAAGTATCAGTTGGGTTTGGGTAGTTTGAATTTCTGCCCGTAAGAATGGACGACCCGTTTAATAACTAGACTGCCACAACTTTGTAAGTACAAAGACGATCTCGATCGTGAATGGAGTCTTTTCAGTTGGGAAAGGAAAAGGCTAAAAACAAAAATTTGACGTGTAGCCTAGCGTGTCTGGGCTTGACCGCAATATCAAGATGGTTTGCAAGAAGCTAATGAGAGAAGACGCGAGTAATAGGTGAAAGCGTTGTGTGAGTGAGTGCGTGAGTGTGGATGTTATATCTCAAGACCGTACCTTTCCTGCTGGGTGTAGTCTAGCCTGTCGATCAATGTATAAGTGCACGACGCTGTAACGGTACAGTGTACTTGTAGTACTTGTGGGCAATGGTTGTCCGATCCACTATCGAGTGACTCTTCAAGTTCCCAGTCCGTCCGTAAGTGCTTAACAAAGCCGAAAGCGGAGATGGCACGATGATGGGGTTTCGGCCAATTGTGTCTCGGCTTCAATGTCTCAAATCTCACAATGCAGTGCCCTGGTTCTTCTCGAGTGAGCACCAAGTTGCGGATTGCAGGGATCGACGAAGAGATTTCTGGTTGCTGTGCTGTGCTGTCCTTCGTGTTGGTGACTGGTCGTCTCAAACTATACTCTAGTTGCGGTGGGAGTATTGCGTTCAGCGGCTCGGGCAATGTAAAAGTTAATATGTTAGTGAGCTAGAGCCAGCCCTGAAACCATCCAACCAAGAGGACTGAGCTTGCTTCTCAAGTTAAAAAAGATTAAAAAAAAAAAGTCAAGGCCACTCGGATAAGATTCAACGAGAAAGTGGTTCAATAAGCTTGCAAGGTGATGTGCAACACTTGTATAATTCACGACAGAGAGTCTACAAGCGGAGAGGAGAAGTGTCTCGGGTCTTATCAATAGTGGTCAAGAGACACCCGTGAGGGGGTAACTGCACGACGAGCACGGAATTTCTTGACGGCGTTGCGCAGCAGACCCTGACGCAGCGTTAATTGGTATGCATTATCTGCAAGCTGGCGTGGGATGGGGGTCCAGCAACTAGGCGAAGCCACAACGCAACAACGCAGACAGCTCGTGCAATAGGCGCTTTGCTAACAACCACTCCGGGTATCTTGGCTAGCTGAAGATCTTGTGGATATCCTCACCAAGAATCGACGGAAATGGACAGAATGGATACCACTTTCAGATTTTATCCTCAAGGTGGTCCTCCAGGTCGGGAGTCATGGTTGACCAGCATGTAAAATGGTACACAGTTACGTTACGGACTTAGTCCTCCTGGCGAATAAACGTGGCAGAAACCAACATAGCTGAACCCTACTCGGTTGAGAGAAAATTTTGTCTTGTATGTCTTGTCATGAATATTATGAAAACTCTTTACCACCCAAGTGCTTGGATGGGGCCTCGTGTCTGACCGATGTTTGGTAACAGACAAAAAAAAAAAAAAAAAAAGCGTTCGAGCCGTTAAAAATTTTCTCTGCTCACCTCATCCACCGTCGCAAGCACGTTTCCTTGGCCTTGGTTGGAAAGCCCTGGAGCTGGATATCCTTCTCTCTAAACCTGGATGGGCGGGACCCCAATGTATTAGCTTTCGGTCCCCTTTGCAGCCTGAACCTTGCCCTGAACCGCCTGGGAGTCAGGCAAGTCTCCGTTGTTAGCTCCATCGTAAACCAAACCGGATCGGTAGGACGTGATGCACGGGTTTTTTTACCCTCAGTAAATTTTGTGAAGTTACCCCAGTCCAAGCCCAGCGGCAGAGCCATGTCGCAATTGTGGGGTTGAGCAACACGAAACATGAGCACGTTTCTATCCACGAACTCTCAGCGGTTGTATTCGATATTTCCCGAGCAATTCCCAGCTCACCGTCTCCAAACTTCTTTGTCATAAGTACAACTTACACCTCGAACTTGAGCATGCTCGTGGAGCTTCAGTTTTACGTGTCGTAGGGCCGAAACCAGACGATTCCAGACCTTTGCACTGCGTCATCCTTTCAGTATTCATGACCCGTCGCATTGAAACATCTAACGGCCATCAATGCCGGCCTCCCGGTGCACATGATAGTATCCATTTCCGAAGCAAGGCCTGATGATCCCTAATCCTTACTGCACATTCTTTATTTGTCTTTCTTGCACATATCTTTTCTGTTTCAATCGATTGGATTTGACGAGCCGGCATAGTGCCGAGCAAGGCATGACTTATCCCTCCACAGGCTTCCAGGATTGATCCACCCAAAAGATGAACATGTTAGTAGGTTTGATCAGGTATGATGAGCGTATGAAAATTTAGATGCCTTCATTGCCTGCTAAACGCTCATTCTAAAACCCTTGTTCTAAAATTAAAAGTACCATGATTTAATTGAACAATTACTGGTCACGTTCTCGTGGGGGGTTGTGATCTGGAGATGATTCGGCAAATATAAACCCGACAGTGAAGTCCACTGTCCAAGTCTGGACTCTATATACGGATCCAGTTGAAATCCTTCCCCGTCCAAGACTTTGAGCATCATCCGAACTCAAGCCGTTTGGTTCCAACCCACTTCCTTGGTTGCATGTCCCCATGTAATCTGGGCCGAATATTTTCCTAGAAAATCCTACCAGACCACTCCCAATTACAGAATGCGACACTGTCTAGTTCGGTATGCCGTTTTCGATACAACACAGCATAACTCATCCCACGCTGCAGGGGCCTCACAACCTTTCGGAGTCAACCCCCTCTCGAAGGCCCCAATTAAACCCGGCGGGAATGCAGTTCATGGTGTCATCCAGGCACAGATATGCAGCCAACTCTTAAATTGTGAAAGGGTCACAGGCTGTATCGGCTTGTGCTTTGAAGCCAGATTCAAGATATCGAGTTCTTCCGAAAATTTCATCATGTTGAATCTCCATGAATATCCAAGTCACCCCCGCACTTGAAATTGGGTTATGATAAATTTCCTGAGTCTAGGCTCCCTACTAAGGTCCTGTCAAATCTCCGTATTCCCACCTGGCTCTTGGGCCTTCGGCGACATTATTTCAGCCCTGTTGGCTTGTCTGCCCACGGCAACATCGTGCAAGAATTTTCGTTGGCCAGTCACATACGGACTCGGGGATCGTGAGCCCTTTGAGCATAGAGTGGTCGGCGGAAAACGTCGGGAGGCCACAAATTTGTGGGTTGCGATGTGCGCCGCCTACCCGGAATCGCACAATGCGAGATAAGAGAGCTGATGAACTTTTCGACATCCCGATATCTCCCACGCCTACCATAAGCGAGCATATCGGAAGTCAGCAATCTGTCGTCGCATATGTAATAACATGCGAAAGACTATAGCTAAACCATTATTTTACTTGTTCTGACGTCTTCTGAGATGCTGCAGGTACCGTGACGTGTCATATTGCGAGTCATGATAGCAACCCTTTTGCCCTTATCTATAGTAACTGTGTGGGATGATGTTGTTATCGAATGTAAACCAATCACAGCTTAATGTCGTGGAACTACATAGTACAGCGCTGGTAATTTCCACTTTTGGACAAGAAGCGGCCGCGAGCGGCGCCATAGTCACAAATGACTTTTCCTTATTTCATTGTTCAGCTTCAAATTTTTCGACTATCGTATGCTCGATCACAGGGGAGCCGTCAGCTTTTGGAGCCTGCGTGCAAAATATGTATTATGGCCAGAAACGTGCTCGGTTACTTTAACGTTACCCAATATAGTAACAAGCATGGCTGTTTGAGTTTCTTAGACGCAACTATTGTCGGCCTACGCTAGCATCTTCGGTCTAATGGCGAAGATCTGGGGTTCAGGGTAGCACACTGAAGCTGATCTGCAATCTCCATAGTATTCACATGAAGCAACTTGGTGTAAATCGCCTCGCGGTCCAGTGGAGAAGCCTCACAGTTGCTGTTTCATAGCTTCATAGTCTTCTTGTCCGCATGGTGATTCCTCGAGTCGCAGCGTCTGGTTCTCCATCATATTGGTCACGGCATGATTATGAGACCCAATCCCACACGTACACATGACAGCCTAGCTCGAAGATCGTCCAAACAATAGTTGGTATGGTCACATCTCCTGCACAGCCCATTCGGCCAATATGTTCACTCATGCGAAAGCTTCACTCTCCGTACAGTACATACCTGCGGGGCATAAAAATGATATCACTCCCGCCTCATTGATAAGGCAAGCCCAGAGGTTTGACAACCCCAATAATGCCTTGAATCACACCTTCAGTACATCCTGGTATTCACTTCTAATAATGGACCTGCCTATTGTTTTGGTGTTAAAATGGTCCATTCAGGATGCACATCTTCGTGCGTCGCAATGGGGTACGTGGAGGGGGACCTTTATGGCCGGTCTCCACCACCACTTCCGCTGCCGAGGGTCTAGATGATATCATCCGGGAGGCCGATAACCGAACAGTACTGACAGACCTCGGGAAAATATCATCATGGCAAGCTGCTGTGCATGGTTAACTGGCAACAATAGTACTGTGTATAGTTGCAAGCATGCAGTATAACAACATTGAACACAATAGAATAAATGAAATTGTCTCATCGATCTGCCATCGTGACATGCAACATGCAGATGACCTCATTCGGGATATTGTTGGCGTCAACATCGGCAATTACATAATTTACCCCAGAAAAAAAACACCAGGAACGAGATCCGCTAGACGGTGAGACAAGACGTGCTACATAATCAAATCCCGTGACTTTGATGGCGTCGTTTGTCGTGCTACACAGACATAATTTCATTGATTGTGCAATACAATGCATGTAGCACCCTGCATACCTAGCGTTCGAGCCTCAAATGTGCAAAAGTAAACATTAGGTAACGGATACGGCCTCCGTATTTTATGCTGAAGCAAGGCTCAAGATCCCGTCATCTTGGATGACCATTGCTCACCGTGTCTAATTTGAGATAATGGAGTAGCCAGGGCTAGACCAGACTCTCACGATGTCAACCTGTGGCTGTTGTGACAAACAATGATTTAGCATTGCTTCTAGGAAGCAAGGCATAACGTATCACAGTTCGAGAATCAGTACCTTTCACGGCGTTGTGTTGTGAGGTTCACCAAGGGACACCAGCACATGTGCCACAATGTCTCGGGGGGGAAAAAGCTTGTAGTACCGCGGCTCTGCAGCAATGTTTGCCGGTATAACACCTGTATGGGTTCGTGTACTACATGGTGTGAAGGGAATAAGCAAAACTCCGATCTGCAAGGGCGTTACACCAAGTCTGACATCTGCCGAGCCGGGGGATGGGCTAGACTTCGAGAAGGTTAAAATACATCTGGCGGTGTGCTTACCTCACATGAGGTTTCGGAAACTCTGCGTGGATCAATCATGCCGTCTGCTATTGTCAAGATCACCAGAAGAAAACACTATGAAACCTCTCATCCACGTTCAACAAAGGTACCATTCAATTCCTGTAGCTTTCGGGGCTTCTTGCCTCACGCGGGCAGGAGTACGGCCGTGGTCGGCATCACTTCAGATTCCTCTACGTTGAGTCTGTCACTCAACTGCCTCTCAAATCGCAGATTACTGAGAGCTTGTGTATTTTTTTCCTGCTCGGGCAAGGCAAGATAGTCTTCATCTTCAATAGCTTGTCGTACATCTTTCGTAGTTGATGGGCTAGTGATGAGGATTTTGAACACTGCTCGTTCCTTCGTCAAGTCCAGCAGAAACCGAAGAACAGGTGCCATCTCCTGTAATGATTCCTCGTCACGCTCGTAGAAGTTGATACCATCTATCACACAAAAAACGGTTTCGGTAACATTGACCTGCCGGATCAGTTGACCGAAAACATGACAGAAAGTGTCAATGTCTCCACAATCCATCTGATACACTATCTCGTGATCGATAAAACCAAGATTGAAGTTCTGTTGACGTAGGAGCTGCGCGAGAAGACTGATTATCATTGTTCTGGCTCCACCGTCATCCTCATACGGGTGGCAGCCACAGAAAAATACCAAAGATTTGAATTTATCAACCTCCTGTAGGTTTTGCATTAGTATGGCACAGAAGAACGAGATTGGTGATATCGGTCGTGGTTCTGATTTGCCATGAATGAGCAGCTCCTTTGACGAACCATCGACAAGCCAAGTCCTGAAAATGGCCGAATTCATAATTTGAGTAGTCCGGTCTTGACCACCTGAAGTTAATCGATCTTGAAGTTCGAGGATGTAGCTGAGATCTACATAGCCAACGCTCGATACATCGAGGAACTCTAGTACATCATGCTGGGATATAAGTGGCTCGGGGTGTCTGGTTTGGGCCGGAAGTCCAGCATAGGTATGTGCATAATTGTGTGCCTGCTTGGCTTTCTCAAGCTCGAGAGCCATGTGACCAATTTGCCGATTGAGTTGTGCTGTCTCTTGCTCGTACTTGATTTCCTTCTGGCGAATATGTTCTTCAAACAATTCGCGGAGATTGTTGACAGCAGCCTTCGTACTATCCACTCTCTTGATACCTATCATGTTCATTAGCTTATAGTATATACCCGGCTATACGGAAGATGCATACCGAGTTTGACGTTCTCCGACGCTTCGTGTGTTTCATGCATATGAGCCTTGTGGGCTTCATGAACGAGCTTCTTGCCATTATCGCTGATCTTCTCGAGACACAAAAGTAAGGATTCTTCATAGAGTGTACCACTCCAAATGGCGTCTAATCCTTTGATCACTAGCATCGATCAGTATTGCCATGTCAAAACAACGCTCCCGAGTGGTTTACCTATGTGCTTAGTATAGAATCCAATGACATCTTCTATAGCTTTCAACATCGAGACATATAACGTCATCACGGCATCCTTAATTTTCTCACTTGACGAGTAGATGGAGAGATAATCATCAACATCATCAAACTTTTCTTTTAGCTCCTCAATCCCATTTTGTATGGTTGTGCGAACCTTTCCTGTGCGTTTGAAAGCCTAGACACACGTCATCAGTTCCGATTCATCAATTTGACACAGGTCTCAACATACATCTAGTAAGATCGCCAGCACACCGGTGATCGGTTTTGAGTAGTCAATATCCGGCACCAAGCTCGTGACTTGCTTTATGACGTCGGCCTTATCTCCGATAAGCCTTGTGGCCCGTCGAATTTTGCCCTTGAAGCCCGAATTCGATGAGTATGCCTCCGCCGACGAATCCAGGACCTCTAGTATTTCCTCCCAGCTATGACTTGTACGTATACTGCAATTCTTTTCGCAAAGCACTTTTGGCTCTATGGGGTACTGTTCTTTGAATTGGACCATGATGGTAGAGAATTCAATAAACGGAATTCTTGCAGTAAGCCCTATCTGCAGTTCAGGCGTTAGTTTGAGCGGCTGTCCGTCTTTTGTTGATGCAGCATTTAGACGTGGGCCCTCTTCTTGATATGGTTTTACTTCGTACTGATTGGTTCTTGTGTCCAATTGAGTAACCATTTGGTCCAGAACCGCGCAATGAGTCCCCAAACGATTGTCAATATACTCAACAGCCGGGGAAACCAGCCGACGCCCCGTTGACCGGTCCATCAAAATCCGACGGATTGTTCGCCCAGCTGAGTCTGTCTTAACTTCTCAATCTAATGCAGTGCTTACAAACTGCGTTATAAGCACAGACAAGGCTATTTTGAGTGATATCCAAAGAAGCCACACTAAGTTAGGAAATGGTTCCCTTGAGATCATCTAGGTCGCCACGGCGTGAGCAATAGCACATGCAACTAGGAAAATCCCATATGCTCTACTGCTGCCGACGTTTATAAGCGCTGAAGTTCTGTCAAGATGATATCAAGTAATTTCGACACCGTTATGCCACAAAACGAATATATATCATTCAGTTCGGGCGTGGTCAACGTGACTTCAGGAGACAATCATGAAGGTAACGAGGGGACGAGGCTCGACAAGGGTGTATTGCAGCCCCCTCCATTTCTACAGTGTAACGGAATCTGGATAATGCGTAGCCGAGATTGATCGGGTCGAGCTGTGTACGGCGTGACCCCTCTTTCAACCTACCTCTATCCCTTTCGAATAAACAACCTCATATGGACGGCTGTGCTTTATAACTACCAGTTATTCTAAAAAGTGTTTCACTTGTCCACCAGCCAGTGTCAATGAACTGTGCACAAATCAGAACTAGAGTCTTGTTGATGAAAGAAGGGTCCTGTTCCAGCATACAAACCATAAGCTTACAAGAGTTTCGTCTTCTGGATCCTATTATAGGGACCGATTTCCAAGATGGAGGAAACTCCTGTTGGAATCCGCCATACAGTCGGCTACTTCCCTCCAAGACACCCAGGAGCATCAGCTGGCCTCCCAGCCTTGAGCTACTACCAAGATGATGATCCAATCGCTTTAAACACCTCAAACCCAGAACTAGAGGCTAACCCAGTCATTGAAGTCGTCACGATGGTAGAAGCTGTAAATTCTGATAGTGGGTATGGATTACCAAAAGAGACTCTGCGACTTATGCAGAGTATCGCAATCACGGAAATCAAGGGGGCTCTAATTATTATACACTCGGGAATATTGACGAAAATCATTAGAGATCTGGTGGAATACTATCCCAGGTCAGCAACGTAAATCTGATTCTATGAGTACAACTAAAAATCACCAAGTCAAAACCTCTCCGGGGACGCGCTCATCATCCACGAGCCGTATTCGATTCTGATGCATCATGTATCGCAATTACGAGGATTGATGGCCAATTTTGAGAGTGATGCAGACATGCAGAGAAAGGCCAACACTATCATACAGCGTAAGCATCTGCAGGTCCTCCTGGATTTCATTGGGCCCAAGTATCAGGAACTATGCTCTGGCCCTATCAAAAGACTGTCTCAGGCACTGCCGACGATACACTTTTCCGATATTTGGTATCTAATGAAGCCCGGCTCTATGGCTTACGCTAGATGGGAAGACCAATGGATCGGATGCGTCATCGAAAGTTCAACGAGGATACCACCAAATCTCTTCGAAAGCACCCAGGAAAAGTGGGAAATTACGATTTGGTTTCTTCGTGCTTCTTGGTCTTCCGACATAGTGGGTTGTGCTACGATGAAGATGACAATCGACAATTTCGATGGGGAGAAGCATATATACCATCTGCCTATCATACCACGTGAGATCCATGACCGCTCTGATTCAAATGCGAGAAGAATCCTATTGGAAGAACGGGGTTTGAAAGTCTGTGAATTCCTCCAAGGAAATTCCAGGCATCTAGGCTATAAGGGAGAATGTCTAGACTATGCTAGGACTCGTGTAAGCTACCTATAATTACAACAGCATACTCGATCACTAATGCTAATTTCATAGTATAATGGTCAAATCATTCTGGGCCAAGCTTATGGATTGGACATTTCCTTTCCACCGAATAATTGGACTTTTACCTGGAATCCATTGAGCAGCATCAGCCACAGAGGTCTTATGATCACATCTGAAGGCGTTGCAGACGTTTTGGATGCGGAGGCTAACAACTTCGATGTCTTTTCGTATGACCATATGTTTCTATTGTCCCCATGCCTGAGTGCGTTCGTGTTGAGTCTCAAGACTTGGTGTAAGTAGTGCACTTATTCCACGTGATGGTCATAACTAAGACTTGCAGTTCCCATCAATGTGTCAAACATTCACAAGTTGATGCACCCTAGTCGAGATAGCATTCCCACGCCGATAATCGACCCAGAGAAGCACGCTCTAATGCTTGCCTTGATCGAATCGCAGTTGCCCCGTGGCGGTCTTGAATTTGCTGACTACTATGGGGAGAAGGGAAATGGTGTTGTGTTGTTATGCACAGGCGAGAAGACAACATTAACTCATACACTTGATCATGTTCTAACTTTTGGCAGGGGGTTCCGGCGTTGGCAAGCACCACTACGTTGGTAAGTAGCGAGCGAAATGACCCCGACTAGGTGCACCATAGTTGACTTGCGCAAGAAACTATTTCAATGCTTACGAGAAGACCTCTTATAACACTGTCACGACGGGAGTCTAGTGCATTCCGATATCAGACGGATCTTGAGATTATGAAGTGGTTCTTCTTGGCCGAGAAGTGGAATGCTATATTATGCCTGGACAACCCCGAGAATCCAGGTTAGTTTCATAAGAACAACTACAATATTCTTGGCTAACATTCGATCTTACTCTCAGCTATCATTAATACTATCGAATATTTCGGCGGGGTCCTGTACGTGTTACAGACTTTAGGGGAATTGACGAGTTCTAGACCCAGCATACTTACATCGCGAGCAAACCTTGTTCTAGATATGTATATGCTTGATGTACCACAGAGAGCTCAAATATGGAGGAATCTGAGTGTCGACATTGAGAGTCGATATTCCCACATACACTTAAGCCAAGGTGCTCAGGCATTCCTTGATTCTCAAGATTTGCATAGCATCGAATGCAATGGCCACGAGATCGTTCGCTGTTTCCAATCAGCTGTCGCACTTGCCACGTTTCGTGCGAAAAGTTCGAAGGTCAACCCGAAGCGTGCGGCCGAGTCTGAAATCATCATTGAAGCGGAGCATTTCAAAGACGTTATGAACATGGCTTATTCATCTAAACAGAATAAAGCAACAACAACTACCGGTACCACCCGCATGTCACGTTCACAAGAGCGGTTTCAGGCGAAAGTCAAAAGCTCGGGGGATGCCCAAGATAGTGCAGATCAAGAGGAGGAAGACAGTCAAGATGAGCAAACCTCAACACAACTCCCCACTCTCTCCGCCACAGCTCCCTCAGCCCCTATTGTATTGAACAGTGACGTCAACTTATGTATCCCAGACTTAAACTTTGTCGAGTGGGAGAATTTTCAGATTTTGGGTCGTGGTGAACTATTCCGCACAACCAAGTTTTATGCAATCGATGTTCTAGTGGATGAACCTATTGTGCTTCTAGACGCACAAACACAGCAACAGAAACGACACAGAAATGCGGTACGCACCAGTTCTAATATTGATACTCTGCATCCCATCAAAACCCAACAAAGAATCATTCCGGCGAGTCAGAATCCGTTGCCTGAGAGAATCCGAGTCAACTCGCCTGCAATCAGAAAGGCGTTTCGCGAAATTCACGATGAAGAAGGTCCTGGTCATGCCAAACCATTCTTGATATTTCGGCCTTTTAGGTCTCTACTCTACTACGAGGAAGACTTCAAGGAGTTGGCCGCGAAGAAGTACAAAAACAAATCAGTCAATGAAGAACCAGGACAAGATGGAAGCAGTAGAATCCCGAAAGTCCATCAACAATTGGGTGCAGATCCAGAGCTGGAGGAGATCCAATGTCTCTTGTCATTCATTGATATCATCAAGAAGAAACAGCAGGCATTTGATGACTGTTCATGCAAGAAGGTCACTTTCAGTGATATCTGGCTGCTCTTCAATCCAGGAGATGTAGTGATAACCAAAAAGGTTACTCAGGCATATCGGGTGATCAAGGTGGTGAATCCTACTCATCGATACAAAGATCCAAGAGAGAAGAAATCCAGATCTTGGCAGGACCAGACCAAGGCCGAGATCGAAGACACGCCTGTCCAAGTAAATGTGGTTCGTATTGAATTTGACGGAAGCTCACTTGGGCCGGTCAAAAGCACCATCAACATAAAGCGATTCGATGGCGAGAAAGATATTCAATCGTTGCCTATCTATCCATTGAAATTTTCAACACAACCTCAGCACCGAGCCAGCCTCATCGAGCGCGGGAAGCTCTTCATGGAGGTAAGCCCACGGAAGCATATGCACTTCTCTGGTATCACGCTCGAGAATCGGGATGAGGTAGATAGCCAAGTCATCATTGACTTTGATGAAGCATTCTACCGTTATCCTAGATGGAGGCTCAAATTGATGTCTCTGAACGAGATAAATTCGGCTGAGCCCCGAATCCCAGAGAGCGAAGACGAGTCTGACTTCGACTCCGAGAGGGATGTTAGTAATACGCGACTCTTCTCTTACAGAAGATCAAAAGTTCGGGAGCGGGGGCACATTGACAACGAGGATAGCGATGGACAGCACGCCACGCCTAAAACCACAAGTACTTTGTTACGGTCTTGCCTGAAAGAGTGCTGCGCCAATGAGCTATGCTATGATGACAAATGGGTGGATGATCGACGAAGGGAAGAATATATTACCTCGTCCATCAAAAATGCAGCGGCGAAGAAGCCATCTGTGGGACTTGTGTCTCGGTCGCTCATTCAGACCATGGGAGATGATAGTCTCACGGAGGACGATCTAATGATCTTACCACACCGAGTATTTGGATTCATCTTGCGCAGCCGGAAGTGGGGTATGTTACGTTGTAAATTATTCTTTAAGCTACTAATGCCTTGTTAGCTAAATTGGACCTGTCGGGAATCAGCCGCGTAGCAGTGCTAAGTGATGCTGAAGGATTTGACCAACTCGTCTTGCCACCTGGGCACAAGGAAATGGTAAAGTCAATGATTCGCCAGCATTTTCGTGAAAAAGCTATATCACCGTTCGAGCAGGACCAAGGAGATGTTGTGCGTGGCAAAGGTGAACACTGAGCTCCTCTGGCCTCGCCGAAGGCAGCACTTGAATTATGAGAACACTCTAACATATATCAGGAAAGGGATTGATTATGCTCTTGCACGGCGTGCCAGGTGTTGGGAAAACGTCGACAGCAGGTATGCTAACCATCTTCAGTCATTCGTGCTTCGTGCTGAGCTAATACGAGTGAAGAATGTGTTGCAGATTCCTTTGGCAAGCCACTATTCCAGATAACAAGTGGTAAGACACCAAACAGGGCTTCTACGATAATATGACTGATATGCTAAGGCGATCTTGGAACCACGGCCAAAGAAGTTGAAGCAGCGCTCGAGGAGAACTTTTCATTAGCAAGTCGATGGGATTGCATTCTGCTCATCGATGAGGCGGATGTATTTTTGGCGGAAAGAACAAAAGAGGACTTCATTAGAAACAGTCTTGTAGCAGGTTGGTCTTTCTCCGTTTTATTCTAGATCACGTACTAACACAGTTGAGTGTTCCTGCGTGTACTGGAATACTATGCAGGTGTTTTATTCCTCACCACCAATCGTGTGGGTGTTTTTGACGAAGCATTCACTTCACGCATCCATATCAGTTTGTACTACCCCCCTCTCAAGCGAGATGCAGCGCACTTGATATTTGAAAAGAATATGGACAAAATAAAGTCGCGGTACGCGAAGAGTCAAAGACAGATTGATATCAAAGTGTCAGAGATAACGAAGTTCGCGCTAGACTACTACGATCAGAACGACCAGGGGCGGTGGAATGGCCGGCAAATCCGCAACGCATTTCAAACTGCACTGGCGCTTGCAGAACTTGAGGCTCTCGGACCAAATGAAAAGAATGTTACCAACGCTGTCGTCACCCTTGGACGAGCAAACTTCGAGACTGTTGCCACGGCTTATAAAGGCTTCATGGACTATCTGAATCAGACATATGGTGGGACATTTGCTCGAAGGGCCCGTGAGAATTTGTGGCGATCCGACACATTTGGTATGCCCAGGGTGCCGAACCCCTTAACAACAAGACTGAGATCAACGGGATCTGAACAACGAAATCCTGACTACTGGCCTCGGCAGAACTATTCCGGGTTCAATCAAAACAGTAATGCACCACAACAGTTTCCTCCACAAGCCAGTGGCTATACTGGCTATTATAGCGAGCAGCACCGAGATCCGCAGCTCGGTCCTCAGCTAGCACAGCAGTATCCTAACCCGCCAAGTGATACCGCTCCTCAACCACACTCGGCTGGGTATGTCGCGTACCCTCATCGGACGCCTTCCGAGTTGCAGCCGGACGGCCACAGGATCCCGCCATACGCTGATATACATAATGCGCAGCACACAGGGGCTCGACCTGGCTTCAGCGGCCATACCGGCCATGAAACATCGCCACAAACAGCATCCAACCCTAGCCAACCTGGCTATGGCAGTCACTCTGGCGCAAGTCTACCACCACATTGGCCTGCAAGGAGTTGAGACCAGGATGATGATTGTCCGGTTTTTCTTTGCTTCTTCTTTTCTTTTTGACGCGGTTGGAGTGTGCGGAAGGATCTGAAGGGATAAAACAACTGGAGCAGAGTGGACTAATGATTTTGACTCTCTCTGCTATACACACACACACACACACGACATCCTTTCATCGCCTCCTTCAATTTATAACGTTGATTCACTCATTTTAACTGTCGAGATTGGTATAAATATTACTATGAACCGAAGGAAATTTATTTTTCGAAAAGAGTTTACGTAGAATGCAAACTCATTACACCAGGCAAAGCCGATGAACGAAAATTCATTTGCCATCGACACTAATGTTTAATGGACTTATCACTTACATCTGTTCCGAGATATCTCACAGAGACGGAGACACTTGATGATGCTCTAAAGACTGAGTTGCTGGTGAAATTTGTAGATAATTAACTTTTTTCCGTTTCCCTTAACCCATTCAGGCTATATGAGACTCTGACAGTTCCACACACGATCACTTCTGCTTGGTGTCGTCCTTCAAATCTTGATACTGCGCCCGACCCACCTTCGTCGTCTGGTCCTTTCCATGGTCTGCTTCTGACTGGGCGTTTGAGCTGGAGGCCTTCTTGCCCGCTCCCTGATCCGGGCCCGGTCCTCCAAGGTTGTGCTTGGCTTGAACCCATGTTCGAGTCAGTATGATTTGATAACCAGGCAGTTCAAGTATGGTGTCCGGAGCGGAAATTGACAGGAAGACGTACCATCCTCGGCCAGCTTGTCCCCGGTGGCCTGGTGGGTGATGTGGTCCGACATTGTGGTTTCCTTTTTCTTTGAGTATGGAAATGATTATGTAGGCACGTTGTTTTATCAAAAAAAAGTCTTGGAGCACCTTGAATATGAATATTTAGAGATTCAACACAGCAGATCTAGAGCATGCTCTATTTATGTCGTTATGGCTAGCGCAGTCCCAGCTGGACTTCTTCCAGACCCCGCCGCGTCACACGTTCGTACTACGTGTACTTTAATCCATATATTTTCAGTACGGTAAGAATTGCGTATGCTTTGCTCTTCCCAACGTGCTCCGGAAAGTTGTCATTGATCGCGGGGTTGCATGACGCCCCGGTGACGACATCATTTTATTTAGCAGGCGGGATCATCCAGGTCGGGACACGACACGGTCGTTTTTAAGTTACACGGAACGAAGTGCAATTACAGTAGATCGGTGCTTGGCCGTGTTTCCAAGGACATATCGGCTTGTGCATTGTGAGTTATCAACTTGGGGACCGCGGACTAAGCATACCTTTTAGCATCATTGTATATAGCACATCTCACTTAGGAAACAGACAGATTTTGCTCCAATTCGACATGAGAAAAAACAAATGGTGCTATTAGGCGAATAACGAAACAAACTGTGCTTCCTTAACTTCCAAATGTTCAATGCCACTAGCAGTTGTGCTGGATGTGCAAGTAGCATATACAAAATTTCACGGAGGGCATAGTTAATTCCTACCAGGTTAGTATATCCGATGTTAATAGGTTAGTCAGCAAAAGGCACTACGACTTGAGATTGACACGCTACGTTAAAGTTCCGGGGAGCACATTTGTTACAGAGGGCGATATTGTATTAGTCATTGGTTATTGACGGCGCCTGCGTCATGCGCGTCGTTGTTCCAGTATATGATTGTGAGTGTGACGAGTTTGACAGCTCATAGATGTCAAGGCTTGCAAGTGGATGTAAATTTAAGAAATTCCAAGTACCAAGCTTGTGCTTGATATGAGGCTCTATACCATACACTGAGCCAATTACCGCCATATGGGCGAGGCTCGATCCAGATTCGTGAGTGCCGATTTGAAACACCGGCATAGGCCATGCTCGATTTCTGAGACTCTCCAAAGACCAACCTCGGACGGCGCACCCGATCCAGGTCGCCTCCTGCACAATGCTCAACTCGTATAGAGAGCACGGCATAGATGGAGAAGCACAGTACACATGCCGTCAGGCATCTCCTGCAAGCATGGCCGGCCCGACTTGACGCGGTACCATAGAAACGACTACTTGGCTGCTGGTAAATAGCGTTCAGAGGTGAAGAGCTCAGATTCTCCCATTGGTTTCATGCCGTGGTCAAGATAAACCCACCAATCGTGTATTGCCGTGGTCGCCCGAGAGTGTTCGCCAGGTTTGGTACCGCAAGCACAAAAGTTACATCACAACTAACCCCCAAGATTGCGACACCCAAAAGCTTGACGGCCAGTCGCCAAGCAGAACCGGCCACCACAACCAGTCAATCAACAGGTACAGCGGAACCGGGTTAAGAAAGGAGAAGAATAATATTTAAAATAAAAAAACAAATAAAATAAAAGGTCACATGTCAATTCTATTCCGCTCATTCCAGTATCCACACCTGCTGGCGGCACTATGAGACCCGACAACATACGTACAATCCCCTAGACACCGGCAACCAATCCACATTAACAAAACTTCGACAGAGCAAAGAACAGGGCAGTAAAACTGCAAAAATATGGAATCTGATCCGAGGCGGGCTCGATCCGCCGACCTTCAGTGTGTTAGACTGACGTGATAACCAACTACACCATCGGACCCATCGTGAGTTTTGTCGTCGCTGACCCAACTCTTGATTGATGAAGATTTTGTGCCCATATTGCTCCCTACAGGCTTAGATTTGTGTCTCACAGCAGCGAGTCGGAATTTGTATCTCCTTGCAAGCGTCCAAGAGCCGGATGACACGAGATTCCGATGCGAATGCGAAATTGATGCGGGATGGGCCCAGGCAACCCGAAGGAGTCGCAGCAAATAACTATTACCAAAATCAGTCTGAGTATTATTAGATCGGAAAGGCACTCTAGAACTATATCCAACAGAGCAAGCCAGTTGAAGTCTGTTGTAGTAAAAGTAAAAACATTGCTTTGCATCTCTGGGCCAGAATTTACCCATGTGTGCTGCTAAAAGGGTATCATTCAGAACCTCTCCTTCATCTTAACACCACAACCCCCCAAAATGAATCGAAATGCCTGACGTCCTAGAACTGCAAAAATACGAACAAATGAACAAAAACGGCTGCCATCGAGGCATTGCAGAAGTCAACCCCCCCCCCAACCCCCCAAAAAAACCACCGTATCAGGCGTTGCCGATAAGATATCCTCGTCATCGCGCGGGCTCTCTCTGTCTTTCTCAAAGCCGCCCCTAATCGTTCCGGAACTACGACCGGTACTAAGGGTCTGGACTTCGGGCGGTCAGAGGCGCCTCGTCTTGGTTCCTCGGGGGCAGATTCTCCCCTTCCAAATCTTCTTGTACGGCCTTGGAAGCCTTGCGCCTCGCTTTGTCATGCACCTCCTTCGCTTCCTGCGTATCACCTGGTAGAAGCTTCTTGTCCTGCTCCCTGCGCGTGTCCAGACTCTTGCGAACGTCGTCACTCATCCTCGACCACCCGAGAACAGCATCCACATCCTCTCCCCTCTTGATAGCGGCGATGGCTTTCTGGGCAATGTCGACGCTCTCGAAAGCCCGGCCGTTGCCCCACTTGCCGAGCTGCTTTCCCTTCCTGGTGTGCTTGCTCATGCTATGCTCAATGCGCCCCAAAAACCCTTGCTTTCCGTTTTCCTGCATGATGACTTCGCCGAGCTGGCGCATGACGTCCCATCCGTGGTAGGTGTCCTCAGATACCGTCTTCTTCTCCTCTGGACTGAGACCTTTCATCTCGTCTTGAGCCTGTACTATGCGAGCTCGACGTATATACTTGATTGGTTGGTTGCGTCGCTCAGCTTGCTTCACCACACCTTTGAGCGCGTATCCGAACGGTGAAATGATGGCGGATATATCCTTGAGCACGAAGCCGCCAATCCCCATAGCAACACCTGCGACGGCACCGGGAACACCGCGTTCCTTTGCTCCTTTCACTGGAAGCCGGACTAGTCCTGTAACACCGTCATAAATGCCGTAGGTGAACTCAGAGCCGGCGGCTTTGAACCCAGACTTGATACCCGTGATACGGACAGGCTTACGCACCGTGTCGTCGCCATATAAACGCGGTGCATTATGAAATCCTTGAGCCACGGCCACGGCCAAGTCCACCGGAGCGCGTGCGATGGCCTTGCCGGATTGTCCGAAACCTTCACCCACTTGTTCTGCATACTGTTCGGCTGCGTTATCAGCGCCAGGGGTAGTACCAGTGGTGAGGAGGGAGGTGTTGGTGCGCTGCGTCGTGGCTACAGGCCTGCTGTTCCCTGCACCTGGTTGCTGGTCCGCCACCTCGGTGCCTGCTAGAGGAAACGGAAATTGAGTATTGTCGTTCTGCCCAGCATTGCCGTTCTGAGCAGCACTGTCAGGGTGTACCAATGGCTTTGGTTCTGCGGCCTTCTTCTTCTGCTCGAGTCTCTTCCGGCGCTTGTCCTCCTTTTTTTTCTTGTGCTCCTCACGCCTCTTTGTGACTTTGTGCAGGCGATATGGCACGCTACCAATACCACTGAAGAATTGGCCAGCGGTGCCAGCCAGCGTACCAGCAATACCGGTGATTGGCTCTCCAGGGCCTTCAAAATCGTTCCACTCTTTGTGTCGAAGCAGCCGCAATCGACTCCAGGAAAGATACCCTTTCTCGTTTAGTATATCCGCAGCTACGGCGCTCAGCTTGAGGCTAGTATCCTTCACTTTCCAAACAGCCACACGGTCACTCAATATCGAACAACGCATAGATTCTTCACCGCTAAGGGTAAGATGCTTGTGGAACGAGTGGACGGCATTTTTAGCTCCGTCGCCTTCCAACTCGATGGATTTCGCGATCTTCTGCACTGCTTCCAACGCTTCGTCCGTCAGACAGTACTTGATACCTTCAGCAAGCTTCTCCGCGCTGAGCTTCTTATAAGGTACGGCCTCCGGACCCGCGCCAGACTGCGAGATCTCCGATCCCCAGAAGTGCTGGTCACCGAAGAACGGCACGACCATGATCGGCTTTCCGCACTTCAGCGCAGCGGCAGTGGTGCCAGCTCCGCCGTGGATGACACAAGCCCTGACCTTTGGGAATAACCAATCGTGTGGAGTATTCTCAAGCATAAAAATATTGTCTGGGGTGTTCTCGCCACCAAGACCGCCCCAGCCCTTGGATACTAACGCACGTACTCCTGCTAGCTTGACTGCCTCAAAAATCATTTCAGTGAATTTGTCGGCATCGTCAACCACGATGGAACCGAATCCTATGTAGATCGGTGTGTCACCTGCGTCTAAGAAATCTACCAGGTCTTGAGGAGGCTTGAAGTTTGAAGCCAAGTCAAGAAAGACGAATCCTGCAACATCAATCTCATCACCCCAATCTTGAGGCTTTGGCACGATACCTGGACTCCAGAGATACGTGAAGGGTACATGCAATCGGTATGTCGAACCAGGAGCCCACAAGGTTGATACTGGGTCCAGACCTAAGGTCTTGACTCTAAAGTCGTTCACGAGATCTCCAAGACCTTGCCATACCATCATCTCCACCAGAGGATAAGACATGAAATTAGTATAGCCAGGATCGACGTTAGACTTCTTGATAGTTGCCAGTGGGTGAGGGAAGGCCTGAGTTGGTGTATAGGGAAACGTGAACATGAGGTGCAAGGGAATGCCCAAAGCTTCAGCACAGTGTATGTGTGCGAAGCTGGGTGGGTTAGCGATGATGGCGTCTGCTACGAAGGGGCTTTTATCGCCCATCAGCTTAAGATTCTTCGGGTCCTTCTCGCTATCGGTGGCGTTGATGCAGGCTCGCCAGAAGCCCTCGAACATTTCGGCCATTGCAGCTCTTCGGCGGCCGATGTCTCCTGCCTTGACAGTCTCTAGCTTCGGGATCATACCCGGATTCTTCACCATGAAAGCCATGAGCTCTGAGGGGTCGCCGCCCACGGAGAAGAACTCCAGGCCGGAATCCTTCTCAACGAAATCCCGAAATGCTGGATGCGTTGCGATTCGAACTCGGTGTCCATAGTCCTCCTTTAAGACCTTGCCGATCTTGAGAAAAGGCTGGGCGTCTCCCCTGGAGCCAATAACCATGATCACAATATTAAGTTTTGGACGTCTCGCCTTCTCTGATGTAGCAGTTGTAGTTGAAGAGAGCCTTGAAGGCGCCGGTCGGTTTTGTGCTCCTCCATCGCGCGGTTCGACGACCTTCTTAAAAGCTCCACCTAAAGCTTTTGCGAGATAGCCGGTATTACTCGTGTCGTTGACGGTAATGTTGAGGCGGCCATCCTTCTTCACCTTTCCTTTCGTATTATAATGCTCGTTGGCTAGATTGAAGCGACCAAATCTGTCACTTGTTCCTTTGCGTTTCGGTTTGGCTGTGCTACCAGCCGTGGAGGCTCTGGTGGTCGGACCTCCGTCTTCGTCCTCGTCGTCCGAGGAGGAACTAGAGGAATCATCTGTATCGACATCCTGGTGCCATGTGGGCTGTCGTACTTCGGAGATATTGGTTCCTGTGCGCTTGATGACTGGTAGCGTAGACGTTTGACGGGGAATGCGCTGCGGTAAATCCGTTACGAACTTCTTGTCAATGGAGGGCCTCTCGATCGGTTTCTGGGTGATTTTGGGGGCGTGATCGTGCGTTGATCTTGCAGTATCTGGTCGTGGCTCCAAGGTGGTCCTCTTAGAAGCTTCATTCGGATCCGAGATCTCAGGCGAGTCGATACCTGGTGGGACCTGTCCAGGATATACAATATTCCCGTATTTATCACGTAGCAAGGCAGCTGCGCCTGTGTCCACATTTGTTTCATGGAACTCAAGGTCTTCATCAGACGAATCGGCGCGTATGGGTGCCGACGGCGGCTTGTCGAACTCAACAGGGCGCGACATGGCAAGGGCTGTTAACGTTTCTTTGTCGAGATGTCTTGAGGGAGTCGCGCGAAAGAATTGGGTCCCCCGGGAGTCGTAACGCAAGAAGATCTGGTGCTGTGGAAGCTTCCGCTCAGGCTAGAATGCGCATCAAGCAGTCATAATTATCTTATTAAGGTAGTAAGTACACAAAGGAGTATGTCCGTAGATGTCAGGTTCGCAGGAAGCATGTATGCAAATTATTGTGGGAAAGTGAAACGATAAGATACGGCAGGCATTAGTAGATCTGTTATGATCACTCAGAGCACGTCGCAAAGGTCTGCTCGAACCCTTTTGGGTATTACAATGGAGCTTGTTCTGTTCTGTTGTTTTCGGCGGCGATCAAGTGATGCGGTAGCGATGGAGCCCAAATTGAAGCTCAAAGATGCATTAGCAGCGGCCACTACCGATCCCCTGTAGTGAATGACATCACGCCCAGATTTGGACAGCGCACGCTGTTCAAGGTTTATACAAGTGGTACTTGTACCTCCGTGCGCCGTACTACGGTAGCACAAGTACATCACGGCCCATAGTTGCCGAGGAGTTATTGGCGGCGGAGCATAATCACCGGAGCCCTCAAATCAGGAAACCTCTGCTAGTAAGTTACTTGCAATCTCAAGCCCGACAAGGTTTGCATGGGGGCTCATACCCGTTTCTCCTTGTCAAACATTTAAAAACAGGTAAAAGGAGAGTCTGACTACGACAGACAATTTCAAGGAACCATCAACGGTGCATCCTTTTCCCTGCAAAATATGCTTGGCCACGCACTCGCCACAGCATACTGCTGCCCGCCGGTCGCATGTTGCCCTTTAGTTGTTGATCAGGCACAAGTTCAGCCACTTCACTGGCGGTGTCGTCGCAGGGGCCTCGTTAAAGAATATTAGCGCCTGCGTACCCCATATTGATCTGCATGTAGCGCGGCCGCGTTGATTTGGCATTCCAGACAGCAGACAGCATGCACGGAGGATTTCCGGTAAGATTACGTGTTCTTGACACAGCCGTGTCAATTGGTGGGCTTTGTTTCTTCTACGAATGGCTTGAACCAGCGTGGCCTGTAGTCTATGTTTTGTACAGTAGTACTGTTTCAGAAGCACTCTCTTAAATTCCTTGGTTTGGCCTCAATGTGTAGTCGTTAGGCCCCTTGAATACACTTCCCCGCGCAAAATTCAATATTGCCGGCAGTGCATACCGAACACGCACTCTTCCTGCAACCACCGCTTTCCATAATTCCTATGGCACGCTGGGCGTGTTCGTACCTCGACAGCACCGATCCCTGGGCTTGAGATGTGTAGTCCGAAAACTAGGCCTTCTGCTTCTTTTTCCTGCAATTGTGCATGGCCATAAGACTTTCGCGTTTCACTCGGAGCTTCACAACAAGTGAATCGGCGTCCTGCTTGATCTGAGCCTGCTTCTCGGCCTGCTTCTTATCGCGCTCCTGCTGTTTCTGCAGCTGCATTCCACTAGAGGCTCCCCTTGTGCCATGTGCAGGACCGTTTGTTTCAGAGGATCTGTACCGATTAGAGACAGAGGCGATCGTATCGGTGGTTGTTGCTTTCCCCGGGCTGACGTCGTAAACGCGCGCATTGCTATTGCTGCTGCCGCCGTCGATATTGCCGCTAGCACCAGCGCTCTATGCCGGTGCAGTCTGATTATTCGCCGCCTTGAGGGATGCGAGCTCGGTCTCCTTCTGCTTTGTCTGCTTGTTGAGCTCCATGATCATGGCCGTAACCTTCTCTTCTGCCTCCCTCAATCTCTTGAGCTCCAGTTGTTCGGTCTCGCGCGAGAAGGGCTGGCCGGGCTTGTTGTTCAGCGGTATCATGGCGCTGCGCTCCCTCACATCTCCCTCCTCTTGCTTGTTGGGAGCTGGTTTCCCCTTTCCCTTGCCCTTCCCGCCTGCCGACGACTGGCCCTTCTTGTGGGCGCCCGTGGTCAGAATCTTGTAGAAGTCCTCGAAGGGTTCATTAAACAGTTGCTCCTCGTATGTCCAGGCCAAGATCTCGCCAGTGCCATTGTTTCGCATGGCTTCCCTCTCCTCCTCGGTCCGGCCGTAGGGGTGCAGCCTCAGGTGATGGTAAAGCGTCTGGGGCTTCTCCCCGCTCTTGGTGTCGTAATATAGCTTGATGGTGATCTCGAATTCGCCCCAACCGGTCTCGCTGACCACGAAGCCCTTCTGCCTCTTGCTCGGCGGCTTTCCCTCGTTGTCCCGGATGATTTGCTCAGCATCGCACGTGCGCAGGTGGTTCGGGATGGACTCGTGTAGTTTGAACTGCACACGGCGCAGCCAGTAGAAGATATCCGTGTCCTCAACGCCCTTGACGAAGACGGTCCAGCTGTGCGTGTGGTCCACGGGGACGTGCGGGGGCCGTGGGTTATCTGCGTCGTTGAAGGGGCGCGCCGTGGTGCCGTAAATGAAAGGGCGGTAGATCTGCACGCCTTTCACACGCTTGCCGGCGTTTGCGGGAGCCATGTCGACTGAACTCGCGGAATGGGCGCGTCGTCGATGGTTCCACCGTGAGTTGCGACGAGCTATCCGCAACAGAAGATTGCAAGAAGAGGAGGCGAGCTAACCTTAGAGTTCAGGGAGAGAGGCACAAGGTAAAAGAAAAAGCTCAGCCTTGAAAAGCCAGGGATTGGGTTAGTCTCGGTTAGAGCATTTCCAACTGGGGCACTTTGGCGGGGCTCAGTAAGGTGCTCAGTGCATCGTCCACTAAAAAACTGTGCTCAGGAGCTGGGCCCAGGCACCGTCGATTTCTTGGGGCTCTCAGCCTTGCAGGTGTGCCGATGATGACATGACTTGACGGAGCTTTGATGCTGTGTAAGTGAGAACTATAGATCCGAGCTTCCACCTTGGGATTTCACGAGCGGATTAATTTTCTCGGTTGAACAAGACTTATAGCTTTTGGGTTCAATCATTCGTCCTTACCATCTGAAACCTTTCAGACCTTCAAATACACCCACTGCTGGCCGGCTGGAAGCGCAGCAGCAACGCCACAGCCGCACTTTGCTTAATATATCCACTACGGGCCTTAATCCGTCCGTCTTATTAGGGAAGCCACCCGACCACCACCGATACATATACAGAAGAAAACCAGCCTGGGTGCTGTCTTCGCAGAACTCTTTCATTAGCCTCGCGAAATGTCAGCAAAAGCTACTAAACGTGTAGTCGTCGCCGGAGGAAACGGATTCCTCGGCTCACGCATCTGCAAATATGCTGTAGCCAGGGGGTGGGACGTAACGTCAATAAGGTAAGGAACTCATGTATCTGGCTTGCTTCAACGTTCATGGAACTAAATGTGATGCCTAGCCGATCAGGAGAGCCAAAATGGGAAGCAGTGACCTCCTCCTCCACGCCACCCAACTGGGCGCGCCGCGTGGCCTGGGAGCGCGCAGACATCCTGAAGCCCTCAACCTACGTCTCCCTGCTGCGGGGCGCCGACTCCGTCGTGCACAGCATGGGCATCCTGCTGGAGGCCGACTACAAGGGCGTGCTCCGCGGCCAGGAGTCCCCCATCTCGGGCCTGCGGAAGGCCTTCTCCAGCGCCAAGCGCCCCGGCAACCCCCTGGAGCGCGGCGTCGCTGACGACCAGGACATCCGGCCCCCGGAGACCAAGGAGCAGCTCACCTACGAGAACATGAACCGCGACAGCGCCATCATGCTCGCCAAGGAGGCCGCCAAAGAGAACGCGTCGAGCTTCGTCTACGTCTCCGCGGCCGGCGGGGCGCCGGTGCTGCCCACAAGGTATATCACCACGAAGAGGGAGGCCGAGAGCACGATTGCCAGCGAGTTCTCCCAGATGAGAGGTATCTTCCCTAGGCCACCCTTCATGTACGATTCGAGCAGGGCGTTTACGGTGCCGATGGCTGCCATGACTGGCGCTGGTGCGCTCTTCAACAAGCTTACGGGCGGTGTGCTAGGAGGATTCATGGGAGCAGCTGGCGCCAAGCCCTTGAAAGTTGATGTGGTAGCCGAGGCTGTTGTGGAGGCCATGGAGGATGATAACATCCGTGGCCCGATCGAGGTCCCTGAGCTTGAGGCGCTGGCTAACAAGGCCTGGAGGAAGGGTATGCTGTGAGGAGACAAACGTAAAAAAAGGGACTGGCGTCTTCAAAACCATTGTATATGCTTGTAACCATTAGCTCAGGCGGTGAAACACCGTACCGAGATTTGTACTATTTCTATAGAGCCACTCAACCAAAAGTTTGTGATTGTTTGATGAGCCGCGAAGCAATGCTTCCTAATTTTCGGCAGCAGGACTAAGCTTATTTCTTTAGTCCAGGGAAGATGCTCTTCACGTCAGGTATCATAGTATTGCAACACCGCGAGACGCACGAGAGTTCAACGCGGTGCGGATAGAGTCGCCATTGAGTACGGGATGGGCTATCTGGAAATACCAGTGTGGCGAAATAAGCCTGTAATGGCCGATTAAAATTGCATCAAGACAGGAACAACCATTTTCATGAGTATCTTGTGCACAATTGACGAGAGCCTGCTTTGTGTTCATAAACTTTCCAAGCTTGCCATCCCACAACTCCTGACTAAGGTAATATGGTTGTTTGCAAACCAGTCCTTCAGGCCTTATAGAGACGAAGATGGTCCTGTTCAAGTATCTCGTTAGTTAGCACTGCTTCATGATGATAATAGACATGTTCCCGGTAGAGAAAGTTTCGATCGTCACCACGCTGGCCCTAAATTAGCTTGAACATCGTTGATTTATAGTGAACTCATTGTGTCTATTTTATGCAAAGACAGGTTACTACCACTATATCAATGATATAGATCAGACGATCGAGAAGTTCTGTTCTCAAATTAAGGGGTGAAAATAAATAATGTTCGCAGTTTTTGGGCTATTGTTGTTATTGGTGGTGTTAGTGGTGATGTTTTTGTTGCTGGTATCGCTATCTCGCTGGCATGTAATTTAATTCCAAGGCTTCTGGCCGTAATTTCTCGGTCCTCTATATGTAAGTCATATGGATGTTCTTTTTTACCATCTAGCACACTATTGATTTAGCATAAAAAGGCGATTACGTCTGTTAAATTCAACTTAGATCTGCACGTCCTTACGTTCAAGGCAGTTTTCTAGCCTTTCAGTTGTAGTATCTTCCCTCGTGCCTTCCTTCTAGTGTTTGGGCGTTGATCTAGGGTACGGTCTCCCCAATGACTAGTAGGATATGAACAGGTAGGAGACGATTGCTTGTTTTCTACAGAAATCATCACTGACATTTAAACCGACCCATGTTAGAGGCATAAGATCATCACATCGAAGTTAATCATAATCAGTATAACAGTTAATCTCTGCCGCTTGTTGCTAGCACTCCTACTCTAGCTTTAGGATTTCTCTTACCTATTATAAGAACCTTGCCGATATTCCGTTTGTAGAAGAAAAAAAACATTAGATTGACACGAACTCTCAATTTACTATCAACATAGGTTTACAAACCATGGAGATGGCCCAGCTTTTCGTTTTCGTCACCATTTTTGCAGGTGGCTGGTGGCTGTGCCATAATATATGGTTATTTGTGAGTATGTGGTGCCCCAGGAAAATGAGTTTGTATTGATGAACGAAGCCTTCTCTCCACGACCACGGCAAGGATAGAGGTTGCGGGCCGATCAAACTGCTCCCTTCCTCTTGAAAACTACCCTTCGGCATCGACCAACTGCTCAAATCTATCAAAGCAGAACAGGCACGAAAACTACCCATGCTCTCCCTGGAAGATCACGAACAACATTCCATCCCTTCATTGGTGGCCCACGGAAGTGCCTAGGAGGTATGTCGGCTTCCTTTTACTGAAACTTTTAGCCTTTACTGAACTGGTCAACTCATTTGCTTACAGGAAATTTACTCTCAAGCTGGCAAAGTACACAACCTGTCGGCTGGTCCAATGTTTCAGCGCCATCACGTTGGATAGTCCCAACATTGAAGTTGATTTTGACTGGCAGGGGGAGATCAAGTACCATATCGGACTTACGATGTCCCCGGAAGATGGTCTTCTCGTCAGAATGAAGACTACATAAACGGCCGATCACTAACCGGCTGGTTCATCCTGTGTTTGGATATTCGAAGTTGGCCAGACAAGGGATTGTGTGTTCAAGCGATAAGGCATCATGCTAGACATGTTATGACATTAATCAACACTGGGTAGGTCTCAGCTTTCTGCAGAGATCCCTCATCTCGCCAAGGTACAAGGAAGGCACATTGGAATCTGGAAGATGGCAATGGCGACTCAACCTTGATAATCATTAGCACAAAGCCGGCCTGGCCGGACATTCCGGTTGGTGAGGTGCAACATTCCAAAACCCAGCGCCTAAATGCATGATATGATTGGACGAGTAAACAGGCATATCCTCAACAATCAATACAAAAGTACCAAGGTGGCATGGTTATATTTACAACATCCAGAAGCACTGCAAGTTATTTAGCTAGCAGGCTAGGCAGGGTGCCAGAGTAATGGGAAATGTCCCAAGACAGGGGAGCTATGACTACAATCCTTGTAGCATATGCGCTGAGCAACTAGCTCGCCGTCCACATGGAGAGGTGAATGCAGAGGGCAGGAGAGATGATGAAGTATTGGCGCGTGATTTGTAGCCTTCTATCAGCATCCCTGACAATGCAGTGCTCCTACCAAGTACAGCTTCAGGGCTCCAGGGCTCCAGCCTTAGCGTGAACTTGGAGACCGGCTGGTGGGTACCGTAAGCACTAATTCACTTACCGATCCTGGTGGTTCCGAACTCGGTTTACCGCAAATAAATGTGCGCTAGCTTGGCCCGAGGAGACGGTAGAGCTGGTCGTGCGGCAGCACTTGTTGTCGCCCATTGGACTTGAATACGAGCCATCTACTGAAGAAATGACCAGCAATATGACACAATTATTCTTATACAAGCATTCCGCCATCTACTTGTTTCAAAGTTCCAAGACGAGACGACCCCATCACGTACAAGCCGATTTCCTTGGCAGAGGGAATGTCTGAGATCATGGTACTTGCCTCAGTCGGCGACAGGTAAACCAAGACCCGGTGTGTCATTTCCAGTGTACTCAGACGCTTCAGGCTTCGCGGTCGTGACTTGGCCCCATTAAAGCCTTGCGTAGAGTTACATAGCGGTGCAGGACCTACTGGCAATGACTCCATCCTCATACCAATTATTACGGTGACACTATTCAACAAAACGGCGTGCCTGTCTATAATTTCAAATATAGATCTGATTTTGTAATATGTGCACCTCTCAATCGTCTAGAGCCGGCTCCAGTGGCTCAATACGTCCGCAGCCTCCATACCTTACTTAGTCTGCTGCACCCACGATTCGTAATTCGATAAAGCACATAGACAAAACTGCAAGCCAAAAGATTTTGATACATTTGACTGATAAAAATACCTAGCAAGTTTATCTCACTGCTTCCACAAACCCAAGATTCAGCAGAACAAACGGAGTACAAAAACACTACATAGTTCCAATGCAGTGTGTGTGTTTGGAAACAGCCCAGTTGGAGGACTCAATCCCATAAGGCATGTTTTTGATATTCCGCAAAGAGCTAAGGGAGCGTACCGAGGATCATGCGAAACTCTCTCGGTTATTTCTTCAAAAGTTTTGTGTACAGGCAGATGATTGGACGACTCCGCATAAGGGTTTAGTGGACGATGCAAGTGAGGGATATCGGAAATGAGACACGCTTATACAGCCTCGCCGTGAGCGACGAGGGCACAAGCAGACCTCTGTGAGTGGTGGTCACGCCTGGCCGCCAAGCGTATCGGAATCTTGTCTGGTACTCCATAATACCTCGTAAGCAGAATGTCCCATGTCCACCTAGGTGCTACATATGGACCTCAGCCGCGCCGCTTCAAGGCTGAGCACTGCGCATTCCAAAAAAAAAAATTGTAAACCAAACAAAGCGGTGAGATTCCGGAACGGACGTATTTAAACGTGTTACTGTATTCCACGTCAAATTTGACATTCCAAACGTGACAAAAGAAAATCAGAATATATTCCTGGCCAGTAAACCGTTTCTTTTATGGGATGAGGATTGCCCGTCCCGCACTGGGTGGCGCTCCTTCGCACGGCATACATATCTGTTGTTGCCCAAGAGGACTCGGGGTAATCACTCGACCTGGCTTGAATTTGGAGAATAAACAGGGATACTGTCCGACTGGTGGTCTCAGCGAAGTCAGGTCCCGTCGCTGAAATCGCAGAACTTCTAAGCTTGGCCGTCCAACCCTTGTCATATGCTACCCCGAACACGCATCATCGGGGTCGAATGCAGTCTAGATGACATGAATCTCTTGACTGTTGAGCATGGATTTTGTCTTCTGAATTAGGAGGGATTAGGGAGATGACTAGAAGATCCATCGGTAATTCCGGACATGGTATTGGTATACAGTTCGAATCTTGGTCATGTACAAAAAGGGACATTCGGGCCGCCTTTTTGGTGATGGATTAAATTAGGACCGGAAGTGGTCACCGAAACGCTGCAGAGAAACAGCTTCAACACAATCGCACCGGCTCGAATGGACAAATACGGCTTGTTGAAAGTTCCGTGCAGCTGCAGGTACAAGGGGGCTTCCCTGTCATCGAGGGCAATGTGGTAGCATGGAGTCAAAGGAAACAACCAATTTCAACGCAGATACAGGCTCGGCCACGAAACGATAGGTAGTCCACCCTGTATCAGCTTGATATTTCGTATTCAAGCCTGAGGTCAGTGAGCCATACCTTGTCTGTATTCATGTATATAAATCAGTACGGCCTAGGCGGTTCCGCCCGTCCAACAACACCCCCGACGCTGTCTCTTATCTAGAGTGTGCTCTGACTATTCGGCAAGCTGCCAGTTTACTATCGCTATGGCATCATCAGGACCGCAAAAAGATGAAAAATCCAAGCTGGATGAAAAGAGCTTACGGCAGAACGGTATTGACTACTTTATCAAATGGGAGACTATGGGTCCTGCCCCCAACCACATCAGCACACTCTGCGAAACACTCACCGACATTAGTTGCGCGTTATCAGCGAGGTTTGTCGATGACTGCACCGGTAGAATGGTCATCAGGACAGACTTGGAGGAATTCAGAGAGGACATCGAAAAACGGCTGGAACGATACCGAAGCATAGCAAAAGCTGCAGAACGTCTTCATGGTAATCAATCGGACGAGAACGGGTGGAGGAACCACTACAAAACCAACTTTCTAGAACCTCTTCACCGTAGACATGAGCTGGGTCGTCATGACTCAAGACTGTGAGTGCGACCATATTGAATCAAGGTAGCGCAAACGTCACCACGGTCAGCTGATGTTTGACCCAAGCACTTCTCGAACTAAGTTCTACTATGATTATTTTCAGAGGTACGACAGAGCAATGCTATCAATGGACAGTGTGGCGCGGGCTTGTGCTTACGGATTTGCGATAGGCGAGAGGACATAATGTGGACATTATTCCATCGAGAAGGACCATACCACGAGCGCCGCCAGAATCTCAAATACCCGAAACCGGACTGGGTGGCTCACTTCCCAATATGCGATTTAGAGAACCCGACAGCATCGGGGTTCGCCCAGAAACCCTTGTGGGATTGGTCGAGCAGCAAGAACGGGAAAATGGTCCACGAGTTCGATGGCCAAGACCTCCAGAGGCTCACTGACTTCGGACTCCAATGTCACGTCGCCAGGGCGTTGCAAGGGAAGAAGAACGCTGGGAATATGGACCCGGACAAGATGTTCTCGTTTCCGTGGTTCATTGTCGAGTTCAAGAGAACCAGGGGCGAAGCTAAGTACTGTTACTGCCAGGTTGCCAATGGAGCAGCCTGTACCCTTCTTATGTTTGAGACGCTGAGTCGATACGCAGACAAGGAACATGAGCAAGCCCAGATCCCTCCTATTATCACCATGACAGCCGTGGGTAAAGACGTCAAGCTTTGGATAGGGTATGCGGGGCCAGATGAGGAACCTAGAGCTGCGGGTGCGAAAAAGTCAGATAAGGATCCTAATGTGGGTTAATCCTGGCATCAAGCATAATCCCTTGTTGGCATCTACTGGAAATTTCGAGAGGATAAGCTAATACCCTTTGATACCGTAGTGGTTTCACTCTCGGTGCTTCTGGACGGGTGATATGACAAAGGTCAAAGATGCTATGGACCTCGAGGCACTGCTCGAAAATGTTTACACATGGGCGATGCGCGTCCTAAGACCGCGCATCGTTCAATATCTGAAACAGTGGAGAACACAAATGGAGCGGAATACCCATACGCCGTTGCCTCGACCGCGGCCTAAGAAAGGGGACGACGTCCTTGAGTACGTGCGGTATGGATTCGAGGAGACAGACGCAAGACTCCGGAACATCATGGTCGCTTTTCAGGATGACACGCTGGAAAAGATGAGGGAGATGCTGTCAGATCACCTAGCCAGCGTCAAATCACTAATCCAGAAGGACGCATGATTGCAGACAGGCACCTCGTCACAGATGGGCGCAGCGACCCAGTCAGATCCTTCTTCCATCGACGCAGCAACCCAGGTAAAAATATCGTCCAAGACAAATTCACCACCATATATTACAACGCAGTTTATCGGAGAGCCGACTTCAAAGGTCAGCAATGTTGAGTTCGACTTCAGATTTAAAGAGTAACTACCCAACAGATACACCGAGCTGGCCTTGGACGTGCGACTTGAGTTGCCACAATTGGCTCATAGGTCCATGCATGCTATGTGCGCTTAGAGACCTCGAGCGTTGAAGCCTTCGCCTCACAAATGGACGGTGGTATTGGACCGTTTGGTTGGGGCGTTCATCCTCGCTCAAACCATCGACTTTTATGAACGTCGCAGGATCCATCCGGACCGCGCGAAACTATTGGCACGTGCGACCTTCAGTCGGCCAACGAGGAAGAGCTCGATGTTACTTGGGACCCGGGCCGCTTTCCTGCAGGGAGTTGACTTCGACATCTGTGGCGAAGGAAGTAGAGACACGAGCGCATGATGCGCTACGGCAACGAGGGAAACAAGTGGTTTCTAGAGGTGCCTAAACCGCCTAGTGGTAGACAGAATAGTATAGGACCCGTCGGTGCCTGGTATGATGAAGCCCAATCGTCTGCCCATAATGGACGCCCCTATATTACATTGCATTTGAGAGCGAAGAGCCTCCGCCTTGACTCGGGGGGTTTTCTTCTCCAAAGGGACCCGTGCAAGGTTGACGCCGCCGGCCGATGATAGAGCTGGCTTGATAATGGGAGTCGGAGATGGAATTGTTGCAATACCTACCGGGAGCCGGGCGTGTAATTATGGCTTCACGGTTGAAGGCGTGATCTTTGCTTATCAGCTTCACAAAATCGCTTCTAAGGGACGGTAAAGCCGGACAACCGTCCACATAGATGAATCTCACAATGACGCTGCACTCTCCGATGACGGCCATGAGTAGAAGCGAAACCTCTGGTGATTGAGCAAGGGCCCTTCACCGGCTCAGATCTTAGTCATGTATAATCGCAGCCACAACAGGGCCATGGAGACGTGCATGTGTTGCTTTCAATGGGGATTGGGACGTCACAGGCGAGAAAAGTTTTGTGTCAAGCGATATGTTCGATATCTTGTTCATTTGTATCTTTTAGATAGGAGTGATTCTCTCTAAGGACCTTGAGCCTTGAGCGAATGTCATCCATCCTGCGACTATATCTCCAGAGTCCACCGGGATGACATTGGAAACTGCATCACAAAGCCGAACCCCGTCCCCAACCCTCTTCGAAACTTTCTATCGCCGCTCTAATTCTCCTTCTCTGGTCTTACAATTCCTTGCTTTCTCGTCTCTTCTGCGGAAGGCTTTTTCTCGAATCATAAGATAAAGGAGACATATACTTTCCAAAGAGTGATTGACGAAAGTCTTCATGCCCTGCCCCCAAAAAACCAAAACCCGCTTGGTCATATCGGAACATCAATTCCGTCAAGAAAACCAGAGACCGATGACCCTTTTTTTATAAGATCCCGCGCCATGAACGCCTTACTAGTGCTTCCCAAAATACACATTAAACACTAGGATATCACCAATCCAAAAATCCACTGAACACTCTCATGTGTCAACGCTATCTCTTCTCGTACAGTCTGACAAAAGAAAATGCTCTTCAGCAGAGTGGCGAGTGATGTCTTATCTTTTATACATCTATTGTGTAGCTTCATAAGCGGGAGGGGGCATGTCGTCCCTCTCAGCCCAGAAAGTCGGGTTTCTTTGCTTCTCATCATATACCCGGCGAGCGATCTCGCCCGCCATCTTTGTGATCCAGGCTTGCTCCAGAATCACGGAGGAGGTCTCAGATCCACCGTTTCTCTTACGGTCCAAATTAAAAGGGCTCTTGGAGGATGTCATAGCTTCCGCAATCTTCTCCTGCTGCGCAGCTGATGTCTTGGTCTCCTTCTCCGATGCCGAATGGACAGCTGCTTGGACTGGCTCGTTGTAAATTTCCATATTCAGAGGCGCCCGCGAAATTGCAACTTTCTCTTCCGCAGTTCTGAAGCGTACAGTTCTCGGACTGCCCTGAGGCTGAGTTGCCTGCTCCTCGGGCTCTTCTGGAATTGAGATCGACATGAGTGGTTCTGAACTCGGCACAGCTACGGAGTTCGTTTCAGACGCCGAGTCTCCCATTTCACTGGTAGTCTCGCTGGCCGTGCCAGTCTGGGAGCGGCGCAGATTGACAACGCGAGTCTTCTTCTTCCTCGATTTGGTGTTTCGATTTCCACCAAGAGTCAGGCCAGTGGTAGCAGAGTTCAAACTGATCAACGATGGCCTTGACGAGATTGAACCATTATCCTGGCTGGCGGAATCTGTAAATGTGTAGGTCGTCGAGCTTCCCTGTACGGATTGAGTCCTCACCAGACTGGGTGTTGCGATTGGTGTCGAACGCCCTGCCTCAATTCGCTCCATAGGACCCAGCCAGGCTCGGAACATGGCATCCTGAATGCCAGGAGTGAAAAGCGACAAGGTTCGGTGTGACTCGTTGAGAGCAGCCAACTTGAGCAAGTTCTTCTGTGAGAAGAGCGAATGCACCTCAGCCCCGCCATTCAGAGACAGAGATGCAAGTTCATTCGCATCAAGCACATGACCTCTCGAGTCGACTGCATCTGCTGGTGGAGCTGCGAAGGGGTCGACTTCAACCTCGTCGTCAGTCCTGTCCTTCGACTTTTCAGCGTCGTCTCTCGGCAGCTGATCCGGACACCAAAGTCTTAGTGACAGCTTGTGGATGATGGAAGGTAGCTCGTCCATGAACAAGTTACGTAATTGGCCTTCGATGGTCTTTTGCAAATAATCCCGGACGAACTGGATGGAGTCGAAGGTCGATGAGACCTTGATAGACTCGAGAGGGTCATTGCGGAAGACTATTGTCAGACCCTTTTGTTTCGAAAACACCAATATCACAAATGCAGACAGCTTGATCTCTGACAATGTGATGGACAGAGGTATCGTAAGCCCCGCCGCGGCAGCCAATGGCTGCGGCGATGTGAAAGACGGCTTGGCCGATAGGTAGGTGGCCATCGGATTTGCCTGTGTTGATATATTAGCCCTATGCTATAGTGCACTGGTGCTTTGTGGTGCGTTGGAGAAAGCGTGAATCCCTGCGACGCCAATTTCGAAGATTCATGCGAAGATCCACCAACGCGACGAGCGTGAGGAGCATGATGGGGGATTTGCATGCTGATCCAAATAGAGCGCGGGGAAAGGCAGAAAGAAAAGGGGGAAGCTCGAGAGCTCGTGAACGTGATGGGAAAGGTTGTCGCTGAGCGAGGTTTGAGGGTCGTCGAGTAAGCGCTTGCTCGATGACGATAACATGTCACACCAAGAAGACCCTGAATATTTTGGAGCCCACTCATTCCGAAATGATCTGGGGAAATTGGGGGGTTGAATAGGTGGAATAGCCCGTCTATTCGAGTATAATCCATCGTGCCAAGGAGCTTTGGGATGCAAGGGGGTTTTCCGCAGAAGAGTCATCCATCAATATAAGAAATCACATACCTGAACTCTCGTCCTGAGCGTGATGTGTGCATCGCCCGAGTAGCACATCTTGAAAATGCCCCTGAAGCGATCCTCGGCTAGGTCTCCTATCTCGAGAATCTCCAGCTCGGGGGGGACGGTGCCTAGGTTGAGTTCGGTGACGAGGATATCGTCGACGATGATGGGCGGTTTAGGCGACTTGTTCAGGGCGGCTGTGAGCAGGTCGGTGGCCCGTTCGTAGAACGAGGCGTCCGCAGTCAGCGGCGACCAGTTGAAGTTGAAAGCCATTGTTGGTTATTGAGAGCAAATGGCTGCTTGTTTCCTCGAGATTATAATCGCATCGTTTGGTTCGGTCGTTGCGATGTCGCCGAGGTGGAAAGTGCGACCTGGAATAAGCGTGGTGTCGAGCTGGAGCTATCTTTTTCTTCTTTTTTTTTTTTCTTTGTTTCCTTGACTTGCGACTGGCGAGTATAAGCCGGCTGCTGCGGATGACGCGTTGAGCTCGATGCAGCTATTTGCGATGGACGACTAAACTAGTATTTAATGTCGTCGAGATAATCGTAAAGCAGCAGATTGATAAGCGTTGAAGCTGTATGTGGTATATTCTACAAGGTTGGAGGTAAGAGATAAAGGTAGGCAAGGAGGAGGTGCGGGAGGTGTATTGTGGAAAATATGACGCTATGCGCTGCTCGTGTGCTTGCTCTGGATCCCTTAAAAAAACACACACACACAGATGGACTTCGGGTTCGGGTTCGGGGCATTTCGCTGGGTGGGCTCGCTGTAATCCGTAGCCTCTGCAGCGTCTAACCTTGGAATTTTTTTTGCATCAGAGGGTGGAGCAGGAGGGAGTCAAAATGTGGGCCAGAGGAAGAACCAGGAGACAACGCGTCGCCGGAAAGGGTCAAGGTTAGCTTAGCTCTTGTTCCTGGGCCCAATGATCCGAAAGTCCGGGTGATGGGTGTCACATCCACTACCGCCGACAAGTCACGCGAGCCACTGGAATGGGCTGCTTCTTAGAGTTCTGTTGCCCCGGCTTTGTCCGCCCTATCTCGCGAGGGGGTTTTAACAAACAAAACATGGGGAAACGCGGAGCAGTAGTTTGGAGATGTATCGTATCCCTGGACGAAGGATGGGGGGACTTATTGTCTCTTTGCTCACGGTCGTTCCGAATGGCTACCATAGGTGCGGTTTGGTTCGATCATTCCGTTCATCAGTGGCGTGATGATGGTCTTACTATGCATCAGTCGAATGACCGCCGCAAGTGAGTTCATCCTCGACGTTGATTAAGACATGCAGTCATTCCCTGATTATGCATGTGATTGAAGGCTGAATTCCACCACCCTTGCACAGTCAGCATACTGTATGTCGACTCATGATCGGCGACACGGAAAATGTTGCCGATGAGGATGTATGGTGTCATGTATAAAACATGGAGTCACCAAAATAGTTTATAATTATCTGGCGTATCATATTTTATTTGACAGGTAGAAGAGAAGAAGAAATAGAAGAAGAACCAATTTACGTCGCTAGCCATGAACAGTTGAAATTGCGATAAATCAACGATTTTGCCCATGCCAGTATTTGGGGGCTATTCACAGCCCGTTAGTGATGGCACTTATTCAAGTCGTCAGCGCCTATCCGTTGTGTTCCCATGTTACAATTTTTTCGTTAAAAGACAGAAGACGAATATGCTGAAATGGTTTTGTAATTGACGAGGGACTGAGCAATGACATCTGTATTTGGTTTGACTTCTTCTTGAGGGATGATGATGGTTGTGAGTGGTTTCAATTGTCTTAATGTAAAGCAAAGCTGGATTATTATCATTCATTATATAGGCAATTCGATAACTGACATCTGCCCTGTATCTACTTGTTGTGAGCCTCTAGAGTTCGTGGATAAAGAAACCGAGAGCTGTTTGCGCCGAAATAAGCACAAGGAACTCCCCTCCCCCCCAAATCTACGCAGCCGTCCTCTCAAGAACGCATTTCGTCGCCATTCTCGGACTTTCTGTCCCGTGATAATACCCATTGTCCACCAGATTCGTATGACTGTGTTGCCAGTACTCGGCCTTGCTCTCCCAGTTCTTCCTGTCGACGTCGGCAAGCTTGATCTCGACCTCGCCCTCCCCGGTCCTGGACATGCGCACGAAACACGTGCAGTCCCTCAGCGTCATGGCGAGCCCGAAGCCCTCGGACTGCGGGTTCGTGAACATGGTGTCCCCGGGATCGCCCCGCACCTGCAAGTCCCTGAGCTTCTGGAATATGCCGGAGCCGGAGAAGGCGTCCCGGAGACGGTGCTGTTCCGAAGGCGACCAGTCGGGCGCGAGCAGCTCCACCGTGTACAGGACGTGTGCCGGGTCCGGATCCACCAGGCCTATAGGACACACCGGGGTCTTGGTCGATTTGCCCTCGGCCTGCTTCTCGTGGTTTCTCCATGCCTCGCGCGCGCACGTGCGGCAGCGCACGGCGTCGCCGGGGGCGATGGGGGACTGCGCCAGCCACTTCGGCTTGAACTCGAGGCCGAGGTCCCCGTGCCCCGCGCGCGGGTTCATGTCCTGGATCAGCATGGCGAAGCCCGCGGCGATGGAGCTCGAGGGCTCCTTGCGGCGCGAGCGCAGCTCCCTCTGCTCGTTCATGGCCCTGGTCCCCTCGGCGGGCACGCTGACCATGAGCTGCGGCACGAGGTGCTTGGTGCCGACCCTCGGCTCGACGACCGTTTCTCTGTACTTTTGCAGCTCTTCATAGCTGTGCGGCGTGGCGCCCTCAACCTGCTTGGGCACGCGCAGCAGCCAGCCGGCCAGGTGGTCGATGCCGGGCGCCGAGTTGACCTTGAAGACCGCGTTCGCGCGGCCCTCGGCAATGTATTCGAATTCTGCTGTCTTGATAACACCCTCTACCAGCTCTCGTAGAAGATCTTGCTGCTTGGGCTTGCCTCCATCAGCCAGAATCTTCAAGCCGGGCTGCAGCTCTTCCAGCCCTCCATCAACGCCGGATGTCTCTGACAGCGTCGAGCGAACCATGGCCCAATAGTCTCCCAACCTGGCAAGACCGTTCTAGAACGTTTAGTTATTGTCGACGAGAACCCGAACGTGTTTTCACCAGTTCGACCAAGAGTTGAAAAATGACGACTGCTCAAGGCAGTTTCTGTGTAGGGACACGCTTCTTTGTCCCCGTCTAGCTCTGAGGTAGCCTATTCAAGAAAGTGTCGTGTGACCAAGCAAAGCCACGACCTAGTATCCGAATGATCAAGCGAGTGACGTAAAAGATGCAATAGTGAGCCGGCGCCCTGAAGAGGCGTTTCTTTTATATATCTGAAGTGAGAGTGATGTGGTATATCGAACAAAACCCCGACGTATCCCTGAATCATGCATGAGGACGCATCACCCCTGAGGCTGAGAGCGTCCGGTATCCGTTGAATACGAATGGGCAATCGCTGACGCACTGGGCGGCTAGTCACTTTTGGGGCCGGGAAAGAACTGACCGGCCGCCCGGGATGCCACTCCATGGAGGCTTGGTAGTGGCACGGCCGGGAAAGGGTCAGATATCTGCATTAATCCTGTTTGCTCTGTAGTTCTCGTACGTCTTCCTGCACAATTCCGGTGGGTCATGTTTTGGCCTCGATCCCGATATTATAGGAGACAATTATAGGAGTTGACATCACACAACGCTTTGGCCAATGCTATCAAAGGATGCCCAAGCAAGGAAGCGGAGATTATCCAAATCAACCGTGCAGCGCACCTGCAGCTCTCTGGCGCTGGGGAAGTGGACAGGGGGTTCTTCTCCACCGTGAGGCACTGGGACAAGATGGTATCTGGCCATTGATGAAGCTGCTCAAAGGCTGGGCATTCCCGAGGTTTCACATTGCCGCATCTCAAGTGTTCAGAGATCTACGTAACCCACGGGTGCATGCAACATGCCTCGACAAAAATACAGGGACGACCACAATCATGTGCACTTCAAAACTCCGAGTTTTAGAAGTTTTGGTGGTCATATACACGAATTATGTTAACGATAGCTCCGAGATGATTGCGATGCTTGGTTCGTGTATGTAGGGCACATCTACACTATATAACTGTGTAAATTCGAGTAATGGTTCATATGCGTGTATATTTTATACTGCTACCAATATCATGCTTGGGCTCAATGCACGTCTCCCGGAAAGCACAGAACGCCATTTAATGCTTATGCCAGAATATGCTTACCTGCTTTAATACAAGATCCTCCCTGGAATTGGTTCGCCGATGTTGCCGCTTTAAATCCCAGCAGCAGTAAAACTCAACAAACTTCCAAAAGTCAAGCCCGCCACAAGACACAGGCCCATGAAGCCGCCACTCGCTTCCCTCTCCCGTTCGTCCACCCATTCGCCAGCGGCCATCATACAGTTGCTCGCCAGCCAGCCGTTCGTCAGCCCAAAGGGGAACTGTACCAGCAGCAAATAGAACACGTCGGAGTTGATGACCGCCCCGTTGCCATGGATGTTGCACAGGGCGTATAGAGGCAGGAACAATATCCTGAGGACGCTGACGCCGAACAGCAACGCCGGTCTGTCGCGGCAGGGCAGAACTAGAGCACTGGCGCGGCCACCGAGGTCACCGAGATTCCAGAAGAAGAAACCGAGGGGGATGAAAGCCGCAGGTTGTAGCAGCGGGCTGGAGGCATCGGGATCGGACACTGAGAGGACCTTGGGCGTGAGGACGGGGAAGAACATGGCGATGGCAAAGCACATGAAGACGGCGGCGGCAAACCAATGAAGCTTGCGGAAGAGAGCCGGAATGCTGACCACCTTACGGTTAGCGCGCTCGGCTTCTTCGACCGAGTTAAAGGACGCGGCCATGTTTTCGACCATGCGCAACTCGATGATCTGGTTGTGCCGGCGCACAAGGGGGATGAAGCCAAGAATTGCCACGAGCGAGACAAAGACGGCTGTGAGAAAGTAGAGGAAGGCGGCATTGCTGGCGTCATGGTCGCCCTCTGCAGCGGGGTCCTTGGGAGGCGCGACAAGCACCGATATGATCTGGGTCAAGGGTGGTAGCACGCCAGCAACGCCTTGTCCAGCCATGATTGCCTGCATGTACTCCGGCCTTCCAAAGCTGGCAGCGAAGGCAAAGGCGCCGTTCTGCATGAGACCAGCCGCCCAAGAGCAGCCAGCTACCATGACCAGGAGGAAGCCAAGATACTGACCAGGTCTGGCATCCAGGAAGGCGCTCGTGGAGATGGTCAAGAGCGAAAACACAGCAATGTTGATATAGAGGGCTAGGTTGATTCGGAACGGATACGAGGCGGTAGACTGGATATTGGTCAAGATGATCATGGCCACCAGATTCGTTATCGTAGATACAGATATCACAGCTGACTGGAAGTTCTGTAGTACCCATTCGTCCGTTTGGAAGCGGCCTTGAAAGTATGGGGCTGCGGCGAGAAACATGTTCCTGTGAGTACTACCGTTAGTTTTCTTTTTCTTTATTCTTTTTTTTTTCTTTTTCGCCTGCAATATCATGTCGGTAGATACTGAACATACCAAGCCCACAGCATGGCAACTCCGAGCAAAGCGAAGATGCCATATTCCAGCCACGAGAACGGCACATTGTGTTCCTCTTCCTGTGATGCCGCGCCTCCAAAGAACTGGGTCTCTTCCGTCAGGGGCGCGTACTCCTGCTCGGTCTCCTTCTTGCGGAAGAGGAATTTTATGCGGTCCATGATGTCTTTTTGTCGAGTTGAGGCGAAGTGCCTCTCCGGTGTCTGCTGCTGAATGTTGTTACTGCATCTGCGGAAGCATCGGGCAGTACTTTAGGGTATGTTATGGTGTGGTATTGTGTTGGTGAATAGAGGCCGAGTTTCGGAGGCGGAAGGCACTCGACGGGTGTGAGAAAGAAGGAATGATCAGGCGCCAGTCTTTAGAAGAGAAGACCTCTGCGGCGCTTTCGATTCGTGACTTGTTGAAGCGACGCTATTTTCGTCCTGGCGCAACTGGTGACGCTAGGTTGGTCGACGCGAGGGTTGAATGCGTACCTCGAAGGGGGGGTCATTCGTGAATGTCATGCGCAAGATAAGGCAAATAAGGGTCGCTGTGACTCGCTAACCTAGGTTAACGTTAAGGGCGGCTGCGAGATATCCATCCGCTAGCACTGCCTTGACGTTAGCGGTGGCATCCCCCACCATTCCCTCGGGTAGCTACCCCGATCCGCTGAACGACCCGCTGAACGATCTATCGGCAGTGATAGGCGGGTTTTTAAGCTTGTTTCTGTATTCTGCGTTTTGCATTATGTATTTTGCACGGAACAAGAGTCCGCTCTTCACTACTGCGCAGACGGATCGAAGAATAAACCCCAGGCATGTTTACAAGTCATTTGCAAGCCGTCTATGATGTATATTTAGCAGTATGGTATCAGTCCGTCCCAAGAACCAAAAGTCAAGCGCACACCATGCTTCCAATCATGCATCGCACCAAAAGGGAACATCAGAACTCCGGCATTTTCAAGCTTGAATATCTATCCTCAGCCTGTACGCACAGTATTGTTGTGCAAGACGTGACTCGAGTCCCACAGTGAAATGCCCTTCGTACAAACATCAATTTCGTGCCTATGCACGTATCGAAAGGTTCATACCTCATGCATTACATGACCAACCGGACAAACCATCTTGTCTTGTTCCGACATTGGCCTGCGATTGCCTCGTATTACTGCCATGGCCCCTTCGGGTGCGTTCTTTACCGTTTGAGAGCCGCAAAAATCTTTACATGATCCCACGGATCGTGGCCCTGTAGAGAGTCATGCCCCGGAAGGCTCTGCGTTTCGATATACTATTATTCAAACTGCTTATTTCGCGTGCTTGCGGAAAGCAAGGAGCTCTGAAAGGCTAGGGACTGGGCAGCCGTATTTGAGGAAGTCGTGCTGCAAAAGCTCGTCCGAGGAAGCACGGCTCTTGACATCCACGCAGAGACAGACCGACAGGAAAGCTTTCAGCTCTTTACTGAGTTTCTCTGGCTTCTTGAGGCGTGGTGTTCCGTTAGTTGCGATGAGGTACAGGGCCTTGAGAGGCTCTTCGTTCAGGTAGGGTGGCTCGGACTCGATCATCTCGATGGCCATGATACCAAGTGACCAGATATCAACCTTGGGGCCGTACTCCTTTTGCTTAACAACTTCGGGGGCCATCCAGTAAGGTGTGCCGACCATGGTGGCACGCTTGGACTTTGTCTCAGTGAGCTTGGCACAGAAACCAAAATCGGCTGTCGAAGGTTAGTATGTCGATTGCCAGCATATATAGCAAGCATCCACTTACTAATTTTCACGCTGCCACGCGAGTCCAACAAGACGTTGTCAGACTTAATGTCACGGTGGATAATCTGCTGCGAGTGAAGATGCTGCAGACCGCGGCATGTCTGGAACGTGTTAGATGGACGATCCTGTCTGTAAAGCACTGTGAACTTACCTCCAGACAGATCGTCGAGATCTGCTCCTCAGTGATAACGGGGTTGTTGTCAATGACGTCGGTCAAAGCACCACCCTCCATGAACTCCATAACCACCCATAACTCGGAGTTGTTGTTTCGTAGGAAGGCATCAAGGAAGTTGACAATGTTTCGGTGCTTGCTGTCCTTCATTACCATGATCTCGTTCACAATCAGCTCCTTGCGAGGCTGGTGAGCAAGGTCCATTTGCTTAATGGCAACTTGTGCCCTAGGACCCTGTGACCGGAGCACCTCACGGGCGACCGGTGAGACCGCCGTCTCCTTGACTTTAGCAACGTAGACAGATCCAGAAGCTCCCTGGCCAATCTTCTTCTGCTTAGAGTACGACAAGTTGGGGTCGTCCTTGGAAACAGCCTCGACCAACTTCTGCATGACCTCTTTTTCGGACATGGTAGACATGCGGACATCCTGCTTGCGCTCTGATGCTGATGGCTTGGCAGTCAGTGCTGCTTCTGCTGCCTTGATACCATCGTTTTGAGACGCCTGGGGTTGGGGCTTGGCAGGAACATTCAGGGGCTTGACGGGTGTTGGTAGTTTCTGAGCTGGGGGTTGACCGTTCATGCGAGGCTGAGAAGCACCGCTGCCGCCGTTGGTGTACTTTTGAACGTTGGGGTTCTCCGGTCTTGGTGGAGGACGCTGTTGCTGTATCGACGAAGAGCTTTGCTGCGACGTAAGGGCAGGTCTTTGAGCCGCTGCAGCACCGGGAGCAGGAGGCGCTGGCCGTTGGGCCTGAAGCCTGGGAGCCTGTTGGGCTGCGGGCTTCGGTGCGGGTGGCGCGGCACGACTTGGGTTATACCGATCTGGCGAGGGAGCACCGCCGTATCCGCCTCCGATCTCCTGCTGTGCCATCGGTACCTTTGTCTTGGGTAGCGAAGCGTTGTATTCCTCCATTTCTCTTCGCTGTTGCTCCATTTCTCTTTGTCGTTGCAGTTCGAGTTGCTGTTGTCTCTGCTGCTCACGTTGCGCGTCGGGGGAAACATAGTTGGAGGCCATGCCCTGCATTTGCTGCCTCTGCTGCGACACCTCTGACGCGCCCGGGCGGCTTGCATTGGACATGGACTGGTTTGGTTGCATTGGACTATAGCTGTTGTTGCGTTGCGGTTGCGATGGAGGCATCGGCCGCGGCGGCGCAACCGACGTACCGGCACCGACATAGCCAAGCTGCTTGTTCCCTTGACTGCTGGCCGGAGGGGTGGGTGTGAGACTGGCATACTGTTGAGGGTTCTCTGCTCTCTTGGTGAGATCAGAGTAGAAGTCGAGTACTTCAAAGACTGCCTGAGGGTTGCGCTCGTAGTCCTCCTTGGTAATAGCCGACGAGTTGAGCAACTTGGACCACTCAGGGGGCAAACCAACAAACTGACCCGTTTGCGGGTCGAAACCAACGTGTACTGCATGCGAGAAGTTGGTCGGATTGCTCACGCCTCCCATAGTTGGACATCGTCCATAGAGCACATCGATCCAGTCGTACAGATCGTCGTCGCTCTTGGTTCTGATTTGTAGGGTCCTGATGCCGTTGTCGTCGTCACCAGGGCTATTTGATTGCCCATTTTGTTGTCTTTTGATTTCGAAGATGGTACCAGCAGCTTCGACTCTGCCAACTCCCACGACATCCTTCAAGAATAGCGTATACGAGACCTTGCCGCCTTCGGTTTTATGGAAATCTAGCGCTTCTTTTCGTAGGATGAGGAACTTCTGTTTCCAAGGCTGAATGAAGTTCCGGCTCTCCTTGACTTGTGCCCAGCCCTCCTTGATGATGGCAACGCCGCCCATGCCATCGTTGAGGTTGGATCTCTCGCGGGCCAGGGGCAATGATATGGTTGAACCTGTGTATGTCGATGTGGCTGTGCGAGTAACGGGCGATATGGTCATACCGGCCATGCTGCCGGGTAAGTTGCTACTAGGGACGAGGTTCAGGCGCGGTCGGTCAACTGGTGGACGAGGGGCCGGGCCAGGATTCATGAATTGGCCAGAAGTGTAGATACTGCCATTGTTGGCCATGGTTAGTTATGAGGGATTCAGTAACGCGGTGAGGCGAACGGGTCGAATCTCAAGGTTCAATCTTGAAACATGAAAGGATCGCTGGGCGGCCGAGTATCCAGGGCTCAAGCGCTGCCGAACTCTGTTGCAAGAGGGTCGCGAGAGGGTCGACTCTCTGACGCCTGCAATAGGAAGGCAGCAAGTGGATATGGTAATAGAAGAAACAGGCCCTGGGCAGGGTTCAACAGACGGTAGTAAGTTGTAACTCGAAATGCCCCGCCGCCACTTAAGGGGTTTTGAGCCTGTGCTGAGCCTCCAGGGACTGGGATTGGGGCCAGCGAAGATGGTCAAGTGATGGGTATTTGCGGTCGCTTGTCCCTTGTTTCCTGCTCGCGCGGCCGGAATAATTGGATAATGAAGTGGGTGCAGAAGGGTTCATCATACAGCGGCTGGACAAGGGAAATGGAAAGAGAAAGGGAAAAAGGACATACTTGTTTTGCGACGCCATTGTGACTGAAGATGCGACCAGGACTTTATGACATGAATGATTTCACCTGAGGTCAATCCCAAGTGAGGACTTGTCTCACCTGCAACAATGGATGAAGCGCTCGGCTACGAGAATGGAGGCTCTTCTGTCGACGCAGCACAGCGCTAGAATACCCAAGGTCACTAAGTAACGTAGCTGTGGTATTAGTCCTAGGACCGCCCCGATCGCAATTTGACGCAGTATGTATTGTATTGTATTGAGAGGGGGTTCAAGCTTTCAAGCCTTTTAGGCTGCACTCACCGCGTTGAGTTTGAATCCAATGCACCCGGCTTGCAGCAGAGCCGCCGAATTTACAATTACATACGGTTTCAAAAACAAATGCAACGACGTGTGGCCTGGGCAGTTTCCCACCTTGAATCGTTCTTCGAGGTCTCAATTCAGTGGAATTGTGCAGTCGACTCGGCGTATGCTCGTTACTCGGCGTATGCTTGTTACCCGCCGAGAGGTTGAGGAGAGAAAGGGGTCCCTGCAGATCAGCGGGAGGAAGCCGGCGTGAAAGCTTCTTGGAAATCGCTGTGAAATCGCTGAGACCTCGTGATCTGCGAACGGCACCCAACCCCAGCCACGCTGAATGATTCTTATTTGCGCAGCAGGATAGATGGCCTGAATGAATATTCAAAATGCCCTTGTGGTTCATGAACCATGTGCATCAAAGGTCGGAATCAAACGGCGATTGTGTGTGATTTTGAAGATTGTTGGCGATAAGGTACCCTGGCTGCAAGTGCATGGAAGCAATTGGCTACGGTACAACAGCAGTGAGGGGATTGGCTGTCCCGGCGGCTCAGTTAGTAGATCCCAAATGATCCCAACGCCCAGACCCGACTCCATGGAGCCAATCTCGGCCCCATTCAGGCTAGACTGGCGCTGGGTACACTGGCTCGACTGAGCCTGCCGCCCAGTCGTAGGCGAGAGCGTCAGCAGTGATCTGCCCGTCTCCTTTGTTCCATACCAGTCGCATGGGTCAGAAGTCAGGCCATTTTGTTTGACAATGTTTTCCCTCGTGCATTGTTCCGTGCATTGAATTGAGGTTCTGTAGATTGTCTCATACAGTGCAGCGCGCCCCCCCCCCCCCCCCCCCCTTTTTTTTTGTTTTGTTTTTTTTGGCAACTATTCCTACATGTTCTCCTGACGGGTCATGGACATGTGCTCGGTGTTGAACTGCTCTCAAGCTTAGTTGCAGTATATACTATATGAGAAACGGCCGGTAGTGCCAGGCCCTGTTTACCACGTCGTGTTTTAGAAAATATATCAAATCTTCAAACCAACACTTCAGAGATGCATAGACCTGATGTTTTCCAAAAATCAAAATTGTCAAACGTTTCAACGACTATGAGGTAACCGACAACAGTCCAAGCATCGCCAAGTATGGAAGCCACCGCAGAAGTCTTCTTCAACATGAGAAGAAGAAGAAGAAAAAAGAAGCAAAGGCCACCGTCGCGCACCGACCTGGCAGCCACATTCTCCTGGATTTCCCCGCCATGCAAGTATTGACAGGGGTTCTGTGACAAGATCCGCATATTGGAAACAATATGCAACGCCTGTTCTTGCGTTTCGACGTCTTCTGCAAGTCTGCGCACCCGCGATCGCGGGCCGGCTGGTGCTAACTGAATACAGTCGTAGTTGATTCAGGTCCAGGAAATTGAGCATGCCCGCGTGTTCTGCAATTTGGCATATGGAGAATTCTTCTGTTAGAGTAGCAGTAACGGTGAGCACAGGTAACCAGGGGTCCTGCCAGGCTTTTTACATGATACATGATAATCCGTATAGTACCGCTGGAGAATTTCGAACCATTACCTGTCATCATCCGGATTACGGGGGCTAGTAGGAGTAACTGCTGAATACAATAACATGTCTTTTGAATTGCTGCCCCTGTTCCACACTCAAGTTACATGGAACCATGATGTGGACTTTTCTAGAGTCAGGGGGTATTTTTAGAATAATCGAGGGGGTTGAGAACGACACACAATGGAACGAGATGGTTGGCTTCATCATACTTATAGTGTTTGAGTCTATGAGCAAATATACGAACTAGACTAGTAGTTACTCCGCCATCGCAACGGAGTTGAACATCAAATCTAGAACCTGCTGAATTGCCATTACTAATAATATAGTTTCTATTGCCTCCACGCCGGCGCACATGTATGCTGCTGAAGATGGATCTAGCAGACGAAGATAGCTTACAAGCTGTGCCCAATGCTGTCAACGAAGGTATAAACGTTGAAAAGAATTGCTGAAATCTTGACCTTGACGTGGGATAACCTGGCGAACTATGGCCAAAGGAGCTATTTCCTGGTGCAATGTTGTTTGCTAATGCGCGGTATACCTACAAATGCATCTTACTCGTGTCTTCGGTGTATCTAGCATCACCGTCGTTTATACCAAGACGCGAGTTGATAGGCGAGTACAATTATAACTCACAAGAGACAGTGGATTTCCGATGATCTCTATCTGTCTATATTCCCCTTTTAATTCTCTTATCCATAGCTGCTTTCGTCACTGCTGTCCTACTGGTAGTATCATGCTATTTGAAAAGCAATTTATCGTACAGCAACTTCGACCTCCTGACCCTCGAAAGCAGGCAGCTCGGCTTGGATGTCTTCCCATGTCTTGTCACCTTCTACGACAGACTTGATAGCCTCAACAATTTTGTCCTCATCTGCACGGACCTGTTTTGTCGAGTCACGATCTCTGAGAGTGATTGACTTATCTTGAACGGTCTGGAAGTCCACGGTTATGCCGAGAGGTGTACCAAGCTCGTCGTTACGGCTGTAGCGCTTGCCAATGGTTGCTGAAGAGTCATCAATACGGCTGGAGATACCCATTTTTCGCAGCCTTTGAGATAATCTTTGGCAGAATGGTCTGAATTGCTCATTGTTAGACAAAGGTACGATGAGAACCTTTGTTGGTGCCACAATAGGCGGGAAGGAGAGGACCTGGATTTGTTTAGTTTCATTTTCGTTCCGTTGAATAGCGAATACTTACGCCTCGGGCCTCGTCGACACCCTCAGTGCCACGTGTCCAGTATGAATGCTCCATGAGCGCGTATAGGATACGACCAATACCGAAAGAGGGCTCAATAACATTAGGAGTGAATTCCCGAACGTTCTCGACCCTCTTTTGCTTCGCAACAGTGATAAGCTCTTTAGGCACGGTTGCTTTGCCATCACCAACGCCAGGCACTTCAATTGTGATGGAATCGGCAGTCTCGAGAGTCTTAGAGAGCTCCTCTCTCTTCTCCTGAGAAGTCGCTAGGAGAGCCGCCTCGACAGTCTTGCCGTCCTTCTTGAAATGAGGGCCAAACTTCTTCTTGTCGAGCGTGACTTGGTATTCCTCGATTGTGATAGGCTCATCCAGACGTTGACGCACGATAAGCGGAGCACCAGTCTTCTTTGCGTGCACGCTGAGGTCATAGGCAGATCGATCAGCACAACCAACACACTCAACCCAGCCGTATGATGTGAAAAGTTCAGCGTCCCAACAATCAGCGGCCTGGTTGCAGAAAAAAAGTTAGCCTCTTCGTTTGTTTCCCAATGGACGTTTCTTGACGGATTGGAACCGAAAGCATTGTGGTATGCATCTCGCTTCAGAAGCCACCGAAAAGATAAGCCGAAGGCAGTGTACCACTTACATAGTGAGCCATCTCATTCGCCATGTGTTGACGGAAACGGATCTTGCTCTGATCCACACCAATCTTCTTCAAGAAAAGGTGAATACGGGCAAGGAAGTAGCCAAGCGTTTCATTGTCGACAGTTCCGTTCGCCACGGCTTCGCCAATGGTTACTTTCTCCACGTTAGTTTTGCCAGACAGTTGAGTCTCTCTGTTCAGCAGAACAAGCTCGACATCCTTCACATCTTGGAAGCGGGGGTGCTTCTTGCCGCCCTGAGGATCGACAAAGTGCTCAATCTCGGCCATCAAGAACTCTCGTACTCTGAGTAAGCCAGCTCGTGGGGAGATCTCATTTCTGTATGACCTGCCGATAGAGGCTGATGCGAAGGGCATCTGCTGCTGATTGTACTTTGGGGATCAATCAGCATCTCTCCATTTTAAGAACTATTTGAGGTAGCAATTCATACCTCGAGAAGTTTAGCGAAGTTCAAGAACTGACCCTGAGCAGTCTCAGGTCTCAGGTAACCAGCCACGTTGCTGCCTGCAACAAGTAGAGTCAGTAACTACTTCATCTGAGAATTTTTGGGGCGAAGTCTTCAGGGAGCAACAGGAGTTGAGTGGCTTACTGGGACCAATGGCAGTCTACCCATCCCGCACAAGGTTAGTGATTTCTCCAATCAAGGCATTCCAGGAGCACGTTAGACTTACTTGGAACATCAAATTGAAGGCCACCTAGGTAAAAGAGATTAGCATTACTCCATTTGTGAAGATACAAGCAGTTGCAAACCGGCTCCTGAGTCGGCGAAATGATGTAGGTGAAAATGGTGATGAGGGAATCTGGGAGTCGCATACCGGGGGTGATGGCTGAACACCGGTTGCCGCATTTCTCATATCATACTTCTTGATCAGCTCACCAAGCTCTTGACCGTTGTAATTGTCGATCTTGGCCAGGATCTCCTCATATTCCTGCACGACAGCATCTTCGAGCTTGACGGCCTCGACGGCGCTGTAAGCTTGTCAGTTGGCGGTGAATCGACACTGGACGATGGGGAGTTGCAAATACCCCTTGTTCTTTCGCTTCTTCTTCTTGGGGTCTTCCTCCTTCTCCTCAATCTTCTGACCACGTGCCTCCTTGTCACCCTTCAAGCGGGTCTCCAGGACCTCTTCCACCTGTAGATTGCATGAGTACTATGGTTTTGGTATGGGATATCTCGAGGGGGCAATACAAAGTGGTCGGCTCTCAAGATCTCGCCGTTTTTGGGATCTTTGCACATCCAGTCGGCGAACTTATCAACATGGCCACTGGTCTTGAGGACTTCGTGAGGAGTGAGGACGGTGCAGTCCACCTCGAGCATATCCTCCTCGAGAATGAAATGCTTGCGCCATTGGTCGATCAGGTTGGCCTGGAGGCTGCAGCCAGGAGGGCCGTAGTCGTAGAGACCGGCGACACCACCGTAGATCTCGAAGGCGGGAGTGTAGAAGAGGCGGCGTCGGAGCATGGAGTCCAACGTGGGACGATCGAGGGGTTGACCCTTGAGGGTCGTTGCTGTGGACGTCATCTCTTTGGTGGGTTTAGAATGAAGGGTGTATCTGTGGGCGGGCAGAGAAGATCGAAAGGTCCTGTGCAGCTGCAGTGACAGTGACGTGGTGACTGGTGTGCGCCAGAAATTATTGTTTACACCATTTAAGAATGGTTTAACAGAAATGTGAGGGCCCCTCATTCATGCAAGTAGCTTGTGTAGAACTCCGAGTATGCGATTAGACAATGTGAGTCACTCTAAGTTACCTGACTCTTAGGTATACTCTCCACCGACACACCAGACGCGCGCTCTGACTGTGGCTCTGGCTCGGGGCGAATTGAGTCAATGGAAAATCTGCGGTCCTAGTCTCGCTGTCCAGCTACCCCTCGACCCCGCCATAGCCATGTCTGCCACGGGCCTTGCGCCAGCCTACTGTATGTATCTGGCATCAAGCTGCAAGTTAGTTAACTTACAACGGTGCTTATCGATAATAATCGATAATCAACAATCGGCAACGGGGGGTTCCATGCAGCTAAAATCGTTTTGAGAGCGGTAACTTTCCGCAGCCTCTGCTACGCCGTAAGAAATTTGGAATTTTAGTTTAAAAAAAATAATAAGTTGGCATCGCGTTTCTACGTACTGCATAAGTAGCCAACCGATCAGCTCGCCGCCCCGAATGACATGCCGATTTCGATGAGGAATTGAAACTGTCGCATCTGTCCTCCGTCTCGCCCAGTACACCGCATTGGAACCAACCACCCTGGACGCAGAATGGCTCCCGCTTCCAGTTCCCTGTCGAAGAAGACGGGCAACAAGCTTCACAGAAAGAACCTATACATAAAGAGGAAAATCGAAAACAATTCGGAAAAGAGAGCAGCCAGGTTTCGACAAAAGAAAGAGGAGGCTCAAGATCCCGAGGCTAGAAGAGAGCGACTAGCGAAGAATGTTCCCTTGACGCTTGATCGCAAGAGAGTATGGGACAATACCGACCAAGACGGCTTATACTCGAGTGTCAACCTGGAGCAATTGCTGAAGCGTCGCCGCGTGGAACAGGAAGAGTCTGAAGAGCGAGCTGCCTTGGAGGCTGAGAAGGCTGCAGAGGATGACCAAGATGACCAAGGCGATGTCGACTCCATGCTTGGATCGGATGACGAAGGTGAAGAAGAGGAGAACGAGGCAGCTGCACAAGCTCGTCTCCGGAGGGCCCTGAGAGAAGACAGTGTCGCCGTGTCCACAACGAGTACCAATATGGACCTCACACCGCAAGATCTGATAGACCGATTCCCTTCCTTGTTTTCGGACGCAGCCTCGGAACCCAAGGTGCTCATCACGACCGATCGTAATGCGACCATTCACAAGGTAAGAAGAGAACTGTGTGTTCAGAAAGACTGGCACTGACCCTCGGTTCCCGGAATAGGAAGCACAAGCATTGGTTAACTTCTTTCCGAACGCTTCATACATTCCGCGATCTTCCCACAAGTACGGTATGTAACTCACAAAAGCCTTCTATCATCCTCTGCAGATATTGTCTTTGTTGTCTAGGAAGCAACTTGAAATTGTCTGTCTATTTTTGATTGGACTAATATTGACCTCTAATTGTTTTTATAGGCCACAAGTACTCTGTCCGGGAGATTGCCAAGTTTGCGTCCAACCGTGGATATACTGCTATTGTTGTAGCACGTGAGGATCTGAAAAGAATCCATGGCTTAGACATAGTACACTTGCCAATAGGTCCGACGTAAGCAGTTTCCGACGTCATTTTACGTCAAGCATGTACCTGGAGCGCATTTTTGGCCTGAGTGGCCCTTTGTACTCCTGCGGCCACTCACACCGCTCCTAAGATGTCGCTTAGTGACCTTGAGCAATAATTGCTAACTATAACAGGTTTCATTTCAGCATCAGTAATTGGATGGACGTGAAGAAATTGCCGGGACATGGTAACCCGTAAGCCATCTCCATTTTCGACATCTGAAGCAATTGCTAATCCTGTACACGTAGAACGAACCACTATCCTGAGCTGTTACTCAACAATTTCTCGACGTAAGTTATCCCCGGTATCAATTATCACTCATCCAAACATTTACACGGATCGCGAATCGGCCTGAACCGTGTTTTGTGTTCCTGAAACTTCTCTCGTTGCTCCTGGAGTCTCACCAAACAACCTCGAAGAAGCGACTACTAACTTCATGTTGCAGGCCCCTGGGATTTCTCACAGCTACTCTTCTCAAAACTCTGTTCCCGCCCTCCCCTGAAATACAGGGTCGACAGGTTGTCACTTTCCACAACCAGAGAGATGTAAGATAACCAACTCCCATTTTCCCAAAATATTTGCCGAACAACCTTGAAAGAAATAATTACTGACTCCATATGTATAGTATATCTTTGTTAGAAGTGAGCTACTCATTCGTCATCGCTAACCAATCTCGAGGAGTTTGTGACTTATTAATTTTTTTCCAGGACACCGGTACATATTCAGGGAGAAGAAAGCCACCGAGAAATCTGTCGTCGGAGCCGACGGCAGAGAACTCAAGGGAGTCCAAGACATCAGAGCTCCGATCCAGGAACTGGGCCCTCGTTTCGTACGTACTTCAGAACCTTTTTGTCTTCTCCTTTTCCTTTTTTCTTTTTTTTTTTTTCTTTGCGCTGTCACGGGACAACGATTGATGATGATGATGATGACTGACCCTCTTCCCCAGACACTCAAGCTGAGACGAATCGACAAGGGCATCGGCCGGGCCGGCAGCGAGGGGGATGACGCCCTCCAGTGGCAATGGAAGGCCAAGATGGAGAAGCAGAGAACCCGGTTCAACCTCTAGTCTAAAGCAGTGCTTGGGCTTGTCTGTAAGAGAGAATTTTATACCCAGAACAGAGAATGTCGAGTTTTTCGTGCATCACAATTCCTGACAATCTACTCCATCTTCACTTCGGAACTTCTGGTAAGTGTGGCTTTGTAAATATTTAGGAGGCTACGATTGTGGTGCTTGTTTTGGGGAGCATCACGTGACTCTCGGACCACGCGCTGGCAGCGCGCCCATACCCATGTACAAGAAGCTTAGTTCGTGTGATAACGTCTATATACGTGACTCATATACTCCTTTTCTTCGGTGTGACAAGAAGCAGTTTCCTCTAGATAGCGCCAAGAGGTTGCGGCTCGGCATACAACATTATCCGGAGATAATTTGGAAATTTGGGGGGCATTCTGATGTGACAAGACACCGACCTGCATGCTCCTCGCAACAAAGTAAATACAAAATACTCGTTCGTGCCAAAATTCAAACCCTAGATCCCCCGGTGGTGGGTTCTTCAAATCGGAAGACTCTTCAATCTGTCCACCAGTATTGCCAGATCCATGGCCTGGGTATTAGGCAAGCCCTCAAACTTGAGAGTCTTCTCCGCGGCCTCGATCAGCGGCTCTACAAACCTCTGCTCCACTGCAGCTCCCACTCCGGGAGGCAACAAGTCCGTCCTACCCCCAAACAAGAAGTATGCGAAATTTGCAACCTGCAGCAGGAAAATGCTGTTCTCGAACCAGTACTCGACTAGTTCATCATCGGAGTTGTCTTTGAGTGAGAGGCTGTCCGGGAAAATGTCGTACTGTAGACGGTCGATGATATCCGGCGAAGAAAAGATGCCAGACGAGGAGGATTTCCTTGTCGATATGAGCTCTTCTTTTAACCACGTCACAGCGCAGGCCTTGAGCGAGGCGAATGCACAATTTTCAAATAGATCTTCCAAAATCTCAAATCGACCTTGATCGTCAGGGTCTGAGTGCAGTATCGTGCCTGCAAACGTGGTCGCTGCGTTGCGGACCTGGAGATCTGGGTGGAAGACGGCGATGAGCGTCAGATGGTGATGATATGCCATGATATTCACTTCAGCTCCTTCCGTGATCAGATCTCGTTGGTACAGGGCGAGTCCAATGGTGAGTAGGGCGTCGCCCATTCCCGGATTCCGATCGATCTCGGTTTGAGCTGCAGCACCACTCAAAAAGCGCTCCAGCAAAGTCAGATGATCTGGGAAGATGTGCATTTCTGGTTGTGGGTTGTCGGCTTGAAAAACGTCGGTGGAGAAAAGCCAGTATGCGATTAGACAGACAATGCCACCCGGCGATAGGCGGATCTGATCGGGGGTGCTGAAGTCATCATACGATGCCATGGGATCGAAACCGGTAGCACTTTCGTAAATACTTTTGACGAAAGATGCCGATGGGTCTCGTAGGCCCAAATCCCGGGTTAGTGCCTGCGGTAAATCAGCAATAGTTTCGGCAAGGGTTGAATATCATGTGCACTTACAACAAGCTGTCCCACGGTATGATCCCTCTGGTGGAGCTCATCGTCCTCGTTGTAAGCCTGCGTAATCGTCTTGCCGCCTGGGATTTTCCTTTCTGGGTGATGCTGTTCCAGTAGCCTTGCCGACCACTGCATCCAGTTTTGATTGACATATCGCTGAAGGACACAAGTCACAAAAGATTGGAGTAATTTTTTTTGTAGCTGCTCTTCAGTTGGGTCTTCTTGCTCCGCCTCTGGATCTGGCGCATTCTTAGAGGCGTCTCCATCCTGGTCCGGATTGGCTACATTGATGCTGGACTTTCTTGTCGGCAGTGGAGGTCGCTTCTGGCCTGAACGAGATCGAACCAAGTTTATGACGGCAGCCGTCATCTCAGGAGTCGGCTGGTAGGCTTCATATACCTTGACCAATGATTGGGCCAGGAATCTTGACGGATACTTGGTCTTGATCCGTCGGTGCAAGATAGCCAACATGCCTAAAAGCGTAACAAACTTTTCCGGTGCCTTGATTTCCGGCGAATTGTCTTCTGCTTTTTCTGCAGCGTCATCCGCAGCTTCGTCGCTTGATTTGGCACTCAACCCGTCCAAAGCCTCCATGACCTTGATGATGACTTCTCGAGGATTGCCCAGCCGGGCGACACTTTCCAGGCATGTTTCGGATCCCTCGATGTTCAGCAATATCTGGACCAAATCCCAGCCTATTTCCTGGGTGAGTTTGGGATTTGACTCGAGGACTTGGCTCAAAGCCGGTAACACATCTGGCGAGGTGACATTATACTGCAGGATGGTTAAGTAAGTGAAAGCGTCCTCCTTGGCGCCCTCCTTGATGGCGGTGATGGCTTCGGACAATTCTGGCATTTTTGCAAAGTTGGGGCGGGTTACAGAGAAGCAAAAAACGATCGGCGCCTTATGCGAATGGGCTGAAGAGAATGCTGAGTTGAATGAAGGACTCTCTAACCTAGATTGCTTGGCGGGTGTGCTGGAGCAGCAAGTCGCGTGAGTGACGTTACTGAGGGGCATTTACGGATCCCGCAATGGACAGCTGCGCCTCACCCCACCTTTATTAGAGATTCGAGGCTTCCTCAGCTTAGAAGTTCCCTTTTATTTTATTTTTTTATCTTTGGGCGGGTCACAATAAATCAATAACAACCGCCCTGGGCATATTTTAATCAGTACCGAACTAACCTAGCCTTTTCTTGGAACGTGTGCCTTGTTACGAGACAGGTGTCGGCGCCTCATTTTCCACTCTGTTGAGAACAAGTCGTCCCACCACCAACCAGATTTGGCGTTGTGAATTCTTCTGTCGACCACTCCGAGATACAGTGCCCAAAGGAGAAGCACGTGCGGGAGAGTGTGGAAATCTTGGATTCAACGTGAGAGAGGAAAGCATTGAAGCAAGCAGCACACCCAACCTCTCCACCCCGGAACGTTTTACATATATTTTGTGATTTTGTTTCTTCAAAGTCATAATTATGCAAATCTAGTCGCTATGCAAGACCCCTTGCAGCCCTGCTGATCCGAAAAATGCACAGAATCCTCCACCGTTTCATTGAAACAAACAAGTTCTTGTAGCAGTCCCCTTAGATCATGGTGCCTCTCTCGAAACTATCTCTAATCTCAGCAGTATACTTGTTGTAGAAGCGGTCCAACTTCTGGTTGAACTGCTTGTTCTTCTCGTTGATGTACGTGACGTCGCCATCGTCTCCGTTCTTTTCCATGCGCTCTCTCCTCTTCTTGAGCTTGTTCTCTTCGGCCTTGCGTATATCATTGACGAGGCGATCCACATTCGCCTTGTCGGGCTTGTTGTCGATGAAGCTCGTGCTGTCGGCGGTGCTGTAGAAGCTGCCGTCCTTATCCACAGCGATGAGCTCCCCATCTTCGGTCTCGACGATATCCAAGCCTCCACTTGCGGCGGCGCGCTCAATGGCGGCCATCTTGTCCTTGTTGTATTTCTCCATGTCGGGTGCGTCCATGCCCTTGATCTGCCGCTTGTACGTCTTGTTGCCCTCGACCCTGAAATCCTGAAAGGCCGTGTTGTCGCGGGCCGTCGCCCTCTTCTTCAGGCGCTTGTCCCATTTTTCTGACTCGTCGATGGTCCAGTCCCAGGCGCGCTTGCGCTCAAAGTCGTCGCCGGCCTCTTCGGTCTCGGCCTTGAGCAGCTTGGAAGCGGCGACGTCGCGCTTGCGCTGCAGGGCTATCAGGGCGGATGGGTCTGAGGCGAGTCGCTGTGATTCCTTGGTGGCTTCCGCTAGATTTTGCGAAGATGATTTCTTGGCGCGGGCTTGCAGGGCGCGGAAGCGGGCGAGGCGGTCCGTCGCTGCTGCTGCTGCTGATGAATTTGATGTCGAGGGTCTTGAGGAGGAGGAGGCTTCTATCGTTTCTGGCGTGCTGTTCTCAGGCTCTGGTTTTCCCCCTGGTTCTTGTCCTGGTTCTTGTTCTGGTTCTGGCTCTGGTATCTGGGCCGGTGGGTTGGAGGGTTCAGTTTCACCGATGGGCTGGGCGGATGTTCTAGTCTTTCTCTTCTTTGCAGGTGGCATCGTGGCAGATGTGTGTCTGGGTTGGTGATGTATATCTCTGCGCTGCGAGCTGTGGTGTCAGAGGTCGTGGCTGGCGAGGGCTGGCGTGGTGGTGCTGTTGGGGGTTTGTTCGGGTTTGAGGTTGGTGTCACTAACAGTGGTGGCAATCCTGGCTGAATCTGGATATGCGCAACCTGGAGCAAGCAGCTTTCCGGCTCGCACTGCATGCAGGAGTCTAGTACGGATCCGTGCTTGGGGGCAGGTCGGATTATCCAGATGCCGAAAGACCGGGCTCGGGGCCCAAAGCTCAGCTTGCACGTACACTACTATGTACATAGCTTGTTCGTTAGCTCAGCACGGCAAACGCTCCAGCGCACCTGGCTAGCGACGCCACTACTCCATGCTCGTACTAGCGGCCAGACGGCTTCCCGGGCTCGCTGTCCCCGAGCGCGCCGTCTCCTCAATAAAGATCCGCCATTCATCTGGGGAATCTGGGGGATCTGCTCTCCCATTCCACTTTTCACTCCACTTGCCGCCCAGCTCGAGCCATTCCATCGTTGTGTGCCCTCTTCTCTTGTCGTGCCAGTGATTCTCTGAGACTATTGTTCGGGTCGCTGGCCTGCGCTCCCTCCAATCCACCTCCCAGAAGATGTTCGGGCGATACCGAATAAGCCACATTCGCTCGCCATATTCCCGGAAATGCACCGCTTGGGAAGCACGTGGCCTGTCCACCGGCGGCCGATACATCCCCAGCCCTACCACCAAATAGTACGGTTCGTCAAGAGGCAGGCCTGGGGAGTTCTGAAGCCAGAGTCTATCAAGCCAGACACCCCTACTTTTCATGTCAACAACCTGCTTCTCGATCTCGATTCCGAAGCCGCCCAAAATGTCAGGCAGTTCCACCCAGACATCGATGGCGAACCCGAACACCGCCTTGCAAAGAGACGGCGTCAGCGCTTGGTGCGTTCAGACCGCATCGAGAAATTTCAGATGGCATCACAGATCGAGAAGCTCAACTTCGATAACATGGTCGCCGACCGACTTTACGCGTGGCACATAAACGATTTGGATATTGCCCATCAGGCGCTTCGAGGCTTCAAAAAGAAGAACCACTCGACAGCACAACAAGCGACAGCGACGGCGACGGCGACGGCGACGGCGACGGCGACAGCAACAGCGACAGCGAACATGGACATGAACACAAGAGAAACCGCCATCGAGCCTCCCAGAATCATGGCCCGCGGAGAAAAGACTCGCGCATCATTTCAGGACCTTGGCTTGCAGTGGAACGGAATTCCAGAACACGCTGCCCGCGACCCCACCCGACTAATTACTTACATGTTGCATAAACAAAAGGAAGCACAGGATCGAGCCAGCACCATATTATCGGACCACTTGCTGGACCACTCTCTGTCCGCCTTGATTCGCCGACAGACGAGCTTTATCAAACTCCAAAGGATCGTCCGCTTCCTCCTCGAAGCTCCAAATGGGGCCCAACTTGTATCCAAGCTTAGCGGAGAGATCGGGGAAACGTCCCTCGAACTGGCTCACCGCGAACAGAGTGTTTCCCTCCAAAGCGATCTGGCATCTGAAGCACTCGTCTTTTGCAATGACGTGGTCTTGAATCTTTTAGAGCAAGGCCTACCAGTCGAGAAGCGCCTCTGGGTACCTGGCTTGCACCTGGCGGTAGCCAACTCAGCATTTTCGGCCGCACGAATGTACCTCGCAGCAGGGCTGCGCTCTGGAAGTAGCATAAGGGACATGGATGATAGCTTGCTGGGAGTCCTTGACTCACTAATTGATTCTCTAAAGGCTATAGATACGAGCCATGGACACACACCCCTCGGGCCCGTGCTTTCTCCTCCGCAGCGCCGAGCCGCAATCTTCAGCTTTCTGACAGGATCCCAAATCAATGGGCGCCACTCTCCTTTCTCAATCCATAGCATGATGCAATCCCTCGAAAGTTCAGACTACAAAGCCTTCAGCCGTTACGTCGAACTCCTGGGCGAGTTGGGAGCATTGAGAACGTTGTGGCATATCTACCAGCAGTTGGCGCGAACCTTGCAGCCTGAAAGTTCTGGTCGCCCTTCGCTCAATGAACATGTCGGAATGCCACCAAGCATACCGGACCGCGTCGTGAATGCATTTTTGCGAATCGCGCGGAACGTCACAGCCGGGCACATTTCGCCAAGAAACTACAGACAAGAGAACCTTAGTGGGAAGTTTGAGGAAGACTGCCAAAAGGATCTCGAGACCATCAGTAGAGCCGCTGTTCCGTGGTATGGAGGCAGACAGCCCGTTGAAGTCACCCCTGACCCGTTGTTTGTGCAAAAGGTGTACAAGGCGTTTGGGAATCCCCAGATCACGGAATCCATGAGAATGCTCCGCAGGTTGTTGGGGGAAACCACAGGAACGGCCCTCGAACATGTTGTACAAAATACAAGGTCATAATATGTATCATAATAAGGTTCCGGCATCCCACTCAATTGAGTTCAGCTCGTGAAGATCCGCTTTAGGTCCAGAGATGTGCAACATAAAGGGGGGTGCACTACCCGGCCCCAACTTAAAAGCAAGCCACAAGCAAATGTGGACACAGGCATATACAATAAGAAAGCTTAATGTTTCGGGTTTTCACCTGATCAATAGTTATCAAGGTGTTTGCTGCCACCCTCCCAGTTTTGTGCATATCTTACTAGCATTATGACACCACGTCTAGGAGGTCGTCGACTCCGTGAAATTCAACGTCAGCAATTACAGGTGTAACAAGTAATATCGTGCCGAGTCCTTGAGCCACGCTGAGCTGAAGACTTCAACCAGATCATGCTATGTGATGATTGGCCAAGTCTGCGGTAGGTGGCCGCATAGAATCATTACTAAGGGCACCGTCCGTCATCTTGGTTCGCCTAGTACGTCCTAGCTTCCAGACCAATGCATGCAGATATCCTAGCGGAAGCACTCGTGCTTATGACCCGACTCGCATACATGTATCTCCTCCTGAGCCATCAGCACAACCGTCCACCTCACGCATTATCGTGGTACATGTAATGTACATATGTTTGTGGGCTCACCTGGCTTGGATGTAGACCTCTGCCGGAGCGCTTACGTGCCAATCATCGTCCTGGGTTCTCAGCCCTGGCCCCGGCCCTTGCAAAGTCTGACACGAGGTTATCAGCATCTAGGACTGGTCGGATAATGGAGCGCAGAGCTGTTTGCGGGGCTCGAAGGCTTTCGCGATCGGTGAAGAGCCAGTACGCTGCTAGACAGCTGCAGCTGATGGGGTCCAGGCAGCCTACTGTGTAGTCAGGGCAGGTTCCCGATATCTGGGCCCAGATCGTTCACTTCCCTCTCGAGGTGCACGCCGTCTACCTGTCATGTCGTGAGGCTGTTGTGATTCTTTAGAGGGACGACCCCAGACTTGTCTCACACGAGTTTTACATTCGTGTCGTTGTCGAGTCGCCTGCATACAACTATGCCCAACTCCCATTGCCTTTCCTCATGATGCCATTGTCGTGCCGGCCAAGACGGAGAAGGGCTGTCGACCTGGGCTGGTTGCAATGGAAATACAGCTCCACCGCTGTCGCCTCTAGCATCACTTCATTTAGGATTCACAAACCCTGTTCTGCGACAACCTCACATCTTTTGGGTGCATTGTTCGTCTTGGTATTCCTGTTTTCAGTTCCATCGCTGGCTCAGCGAGATCCGGTCACAAACTTTTGTAGAAGATTCGGTCATCAGACGGCCGTCATCGACAGGAAGTTATACATCGATGGCGGTTTCATCAACTATGCTCCCTTGCCGAGTAACCCGACGAACTACACGAGTATGTCCATTCCAGACCCTTGATCTGTGAGCGACAGCATTACTAGAGATTTCCGATACTGATATATCTCAGACACCTTCCTATCGTATCATGACCTCGACCATATTGGGTCGGGTGGCATGCCACAGCTCTATAGCAATTTGTCCAAAAATGCTACCATTCCGACTGTCAATGGCGGGATCCTCTGGGCCGATAACGTAAACAAGAACTTCTATCTGTTTGGTGGGGAGTACTTCCAAACACCTTCTAACGACCTTTCACTTTACTCTTTCGATACCCTTAACAATTATTGGACAACTCTCGACGATATACCCCAAAGCATCGTCAGTGGGGTTTCTTACGGTGCCGGTGTCTCCATCTCTGAACTGGGCGATGCCTTCTACTATGGAGGGTGGTTGAGCAACGCGAGCGACCCGGGATGGGCTGGTTCGCGGATGGCAACCACAGGATTGATCCACTATGATATGGATGGGAACCAGTGGGAAAATATCACCGGCCCAGACAACGTTGGAAGAGCAGAGGGCGCCATGGTTTACTTGCCTGCCAGCGACAAGGGGCTGCTGGTCTATTTTGGTGGGATCCAAGATCCGGGAAACGGAACTATCATTGGCCAGCCGATGGACGAGATCTTTGTGTTCGATATGGCTACCTCTCGATGGTATAAACAGGCTGCCAACGGAAACGTCCCCGGCAGCAGAGCACGCTTTTGTGCCGGTGTCACCTGGGCGGAGGATCAAAGCAGCTACAACGTGTAAGGAACTGCCCACGCGATCTTTGCTTCCCTTTGTGATCTTACACGTGTTAAACGCCCCCTCAAGATGGAAGTCTAACACAAATGCAGCTACCTTTACGGTGGCTTAGGTATGCCCGGCTACACTTCAGGATATGATGATGTCTATATTCTGTCGATGCCTTCTTTTACTTGGATCAAGATGTATCCAAACAGCACAGTCGGCAACCAGTACCCGCACAACTCATTATCATGCAATGTTATCGACCGGTCACAGATGATCATCATCGGGGGTAGCTTTCCATTGGATGATGTAGATTGCGATGCGCAACCACAATTCGGCAGCCATAACCTTGACATGGGAGAGCAGAATGCGGACAAGAGCCCGGTAAGCGCTTCCCCTTTCAACGCTTCTATGATGCCAAATATACCATGATGTCATTGCGCAGAACCATTATATGGCCAAGATTACCATCACCATGACCAGTCCAACATGTTTTTGTGTCCTAATCAAAGCGCAGTGGTTTCTGTATCAACCGAATATCACCACCTACGTCGTCCCTTCCATAATTACGAACGTCATCGGCGGCAATGCCCAAGGCGCAGCAACCAAAACCGCCCCGGACGCCGGATTCGATGAGCCCGACCTTAAAGTCCTTATATACCGAAAGTACACCGCTCCAGCACGCGCCCCAACCCGACAAGTCTCACCAGGCGCCGCGCCTCCGTCTTCCTCGCTCTCGAGCGGTGCCATAGCCGGCATCTCAGTCGGCGCCGCCGTGGCGCTCATCGCTCTGCTGGCCGGTCTGTGGTTCTGCTTCCGCCGCCGCCAGAAGCGCAAGAACAGCCCAGAGCAGGTCACGCCGGCCACGTCGAGCGTGGTGCCCATCCGCTCCGCCGCTATGTGGAGCCCCGGGTCGAGTAACCACACACCCGCCACGCCGAGTGCGTATGGGGTGAACCATGCGTGGCCCGCCCCACCGTTCGCACAGGCCCCCATGCCGAACCACCCCGTCGAGCTGCCGGGTACGGTGCATGACTCGGGGGCCAGGGAGATGTACGGCGAGCCGCCGGTAGCGCTGCATTCCGTGGTCAGCCTGGGAAGCGCCGGTGGTTCGAGCCCCGCGCTCGTGAGTCCGCACTCGACGACCTCGGATCCCGCCAAGTATGGGAGCGAGGGCGGCTGGCCGAGCCCCCTCGGGGGCCCCCTTAGGGATTCGTATTCTGCCAGCAGAGTGGAAGATACGACTATGTTTGGGAGCGGCGGGCACGGGCCGCAGGAGTTGGGCACGGATACATCGGTGGCCGATCCCGAGGGGAGGAGGCACGATACCTTTTATCACAAGTAGTGAGGCTAGTGAAACGGCGGCGGGGAGGCGTCAAAGATGTTGCTCGTGTGAAAACCTGCACAAAAGTCTTGAACCAAATGTTTTGGATATCTCTCAAGATCGTCTCTCGAGTGATAAATTTTATTATTGAGCTCTCTTGAAGAGACCCTAGTTTATGAAAAAAGAAAAAAAGAAAAAAACACTGACCGCTATGGCATGTTGAAGGCAAGTCTGAAACTCTCGTCCCAATTTTGCACAAAAGGCGTGGCATCCCATCTGATATGTAAGAAACACATGGCATATCATCATTCAGCGGACTGGTGTTGGTCAGTCCGTTTACGAGGATAACAGAAGTCGAGCTGGAGACTATCATACTCTTTCCGAAACATGTCCGGTCAAGGGCTTTGTTCTTGCCGAAGAAAGCTCTGGAACACCGGCCATGGTTATTCTTATGGCCCCTTGGTTATACGTAGAGCCGAGTACCGTCAGAGTAGCAAGGCTATTCAAGTTTCCGTAGACGAACACTTTATATCACATCAAAAGCGGAAGGGAAAGCGTGACTTCCAAAGTGGTGTTAACAAGAATGGCACGCGACTGCGTTGATAGCTACTTGAATGAAAACCGCGGCAAACTTTTCGGCTGGGTACTGAAGCCTAATGGCGGTATTGTGTGACTGTTCATGTAATTGGCAAACGGCATAAGGTGTGACTTCGAAGGTGCTGGTTGACCTGCGCCTCGTCATCCCCCTGACATCATAGGCTATCTCGCATAGTCTGACTGGTGGAAGATGAGTTTCTACCGCCCCCTTTTGGGGCAGTCAGTATAGAAAACATTGCGTCTTGTGCTTGCTTTGCTCATGCACGGCACAGATGCCAGCGTCGAACTTCATAATCTGGGAGGCAGCGCATCGGAGTCCACTTACGGAGCCTTGAGTAAATATGAGCTGCGGTAAGGTAATAAAATTAGCGAGGGAGCTGGAAAGTGAGCATTTGGGTCCAAGCAGTAGTTGATTTCGGTGCAGACGTTGATCTTCCTGTAGCCCATGTGGCAGTTTAACCAGTGTGAAATGATACCACCGGACATATATTTAACGACCCCAGCGTGTGTGACGGCAGCAGTGGTGGAAAGGAACCATGGCGTTGAAGCTGCTTCGAAATACTATAAATGCTGGTATGTTCGACTAGAAATTATGCCCCATATCTCTGAAATGGCGGAGGCTAGCCCTGCTCTCTTATGCCCCTGGTGAGGATTAAAATTGCAGTGCAAAGATTTGCCACCTCGAGGCCGACCTTCATTCTTCAGGCCTTGGCGTTTTCGGGTACTTTGAGATGCCCACCTACTTCTGGGCAATTCAGACGTAATAACTTCTGAAGAATTTAAATGTTCACTCTCATAATAATTAATCAACACTGCGGAATAATACATGATTGTTTGGTGCTTAAATGATAAATGTAAGGAGCAAGAATGCCGCCATGGATTACGCTTTATCGTGAATAATGGAGCAATAGATTCGCGATCTCACAGCACAAGTTGGTCTTTTGTTTTGAATACAAGATTTTTCTATGATTTTAATCTATCTATGTGCAGTAATCCGTATTTCAATCTATATGGGCTGTGAGCGCTCCTTGATTATTATGCTAACCCGGAAATTAGCCTTCATGTGTAGTCTGCCGTGTTGTGATTTCATCACCTCCTCAGAATCAAGACAAGCCATGCGGCGATTCGGTAACCGACAACGATGGCCATCATTATCCCCACATTACGCCCTAGATGTCCGCTCTCGTATCCATACGAATCCAGGACGGCCTGGCCCTGTATCAAACACTGGTCTTCAAGCTCGCTTTCGAACATGCAGTGGCACCCTCCGGTAGCATCGCGGGCACACTCGTACGTTCTTTGGGCAAACTCGTTGACCATCATACCCTCAAAGACCCACTGCAACACGGAAATCAACATTTGTACGCCAAGTATGACATGCAACGGCCGCGACTTACTTTCTGATAATCCCAGTAGTGAAACACATATTTGTAGAAAACGTTGAGAATGTTGGGAGACACGAGGAAACCCCCAACGCTCATCCAAAGGCCGTTGGCAAACGCGACCAGGGCCAGCGAGATGACGAAAGATGGGAACAACGAGGTCATCAGGACTACCAGGGACTCCGCTGCGAGTAGATCGAGAAATAGCCACATGAGGTAAGTGAAGAATGCCGCTGCGTCTGGCCGGAAATTCGAGAGCCAATAGGAGATCACCGAGAAGATCACGGAAATGATGACTGCTGGATGTTAGTCACGGCTGAGAGACACAAGTGTGGAAAAGGAGAGTACTGACATAGGTAGGGTATTCCGATCAGGAAATTCGCAATCATCAGCTCGGTAGCGCCGTATAGACCGTTGAGATGCTCCTTGACATACTGTTGGCGGTCTTCGAGGAAAGCTGGTACGTAGGCAACTGCCATGAATGACATGAACGCAGAACCGAAGAACTTCCGAAAGTTAGTTTTTTTTATACTATTGTATAAATCATAGTATGTGCAGTTTTTTTAGGACTGTACTTACAATTCCATTAGTAATAGGTATGATTGACGACTGATCTGTGCCCAGTCGTAGCCATACCGTCCCCATCATGACTGCGAGGCCAAAGTACATGGCTACGCGTATGCCATAAGCCACGACATCGCGATAGCTTTTGATAAAGGACCGATGCAGGAGGGTCAGTATAATGCCCAACATGTTTGGCTTCTGTCGTGCATAATCGAACAACCGCTGACCGTCATCATCCTTCCCATCGATTCGTACCTGCACGATCTCAGCGTCCACTGCAGCACGCCCGGCCGACCTTTCCCAGGCATTCTGCAGGTGTTCGACCTTGTGCTGTGCCGAAGTTTTGTCAAGAGCAAAGTCTGTATTGACGAGCTCGAGCAGGTATTCGGCTACGTTTGTGTGTAGCGGAATCGGCTGTCCGGCTTGCGTATAGTGCCCGGCAACATGACTGACTGAACCAAAGTAATGTGTCTTGCCCTGGGAAAGGAGCAGAAGCTTATCGAAGAGATGGAAAGTTGAGGCAGAAGGCTGATGGATGCTAGCAATGACGATCAAATTGTTGCGTCTGGCGACCATTTTCAAGTAGTTGACCACTTCCCAGCTTGCAGCAGAGTCGAGGCCGCTAGTTGGTTCGTCCAGGAACAGGATTTTCGGACTTGTGATGAGTTGACTTGCGACGCCCACGCGTCTCTTCTGACCGCCGCTTATGCCTTTCCGTATAGGGGTTCCGATGATTGTGTTGCTCTGCTCACGCAGGCCGAAGGCGTCTAGGAGACCATCGATACGGGCCTCTCGTTCCTTTAACGGAAGGGAACTGCTTTTAGTCAGTGCAAATCACAAAAAGCGTTGCTGACCATTAGCATACCTCGAAGCCGTGGAGAGGCGAGAGGCGAACTCCAGTGTCTCTCTGACAGTGAGCGATCCTATCAGAGCATCCTCCTGTTCCACAAAACAACTTATTTCTCGAAACTTGGGCATAGGCACCTTTGAGCCATTGATAAGTACAGATCCGTTTGTGTTTTGTGTATTGGCATCTCGATGTGCGAGTATATTCAACAGTGTCGTTTTGCCACACCCAGATGGCCCCATGATCGCGCACAATTGGCCTAGCATACTTGTTAGCTCGGGGCTTGGATTCTTGTTTTCATATGAACGAGACTGACCGGCTCGGACAATGCCGCCAACATCTTCAACAATATTTTTTTGTGATTTCGTAGCTCTATCCTTCACGGAAACCGTCACATCCTGCCACGAAATGCTCTCGACGGAGGTATTCAGGATGTGGGCATCCACACCTTGCTCGATATCATAGAGATCAGTGCCTTTGGTACCGTCGTATATCTCCTCAAGAGTGTTGGAAAACATAGTTGTAGCTTATCCAATGATTTGTGAAGCAATATCAATAGGACTGTGTAGAACCAACAACCTTAATGCGCTCAGGACCTCCGGTGTGAGGAACGTTATGATTTTTACTGAAGAATTGATGTGCAGTACATACAGACTGCAGTTTTATATTTTCCTGCCCGAGGAATCGCCAAGGCTATCGCCAGCACTCGTAGGCGGATTCCTCTCATTTCATTTTTCCCCCCATTGGACGTGACAGGTCCCCGATATCACTCAGGTCAGCTGTAAGCGAGCTGACATAACACATCATCACGCGCGAGTGCCGCTTATCTAGTCAGCGTTAGAGACGTTACATTTCCTCCCATCCCAAGCGCATAGATCTGCCGCTATGGGTGGAATGGGCTGCCTGTAGATCCCCGGAAGGGTTAGGTTAGCATAGTCGGCGAGCCGATAATGCGGGGACTGTGCTCGCCGATAGCCCTCTTCATAGATATAGTGGAGGCCGAAATGAACGGCAATCCTCTACAATCCTAGGCATTTCAGGCCTATAACAAGTTCTTCTAGTAACTAAACCATGCGCAAGGGTCATCGTAATCGGATTAGTAAGTGGTGGTCATGTTTTTTTTTAAATTCCGTAGTCATAGAATACGTTACCTATGGCATGCAAGCCCTCAATCCCTCTCCAAATCCAGTCTGGAAGACCGCCACAATGATTATTGCCTGGCCACTCACTTGGTTACCTCACGCCAAAACAAGCCTCAGATGGCCATATGACGCAGTGTGTCGACGTTCAATCAAATAATTTTTCGCAAACACCTAGCACCGACCCATGGTGAGGACAAATCTCCAAATGTGGTGAACGGGTTCCAGTTTTAGCCACAACCTTAAGTAAGCTCCAGCGCGCATCACATCACCCCAAACGCTAGGCGCGGTCGCTAGACCATGCAGCAGAAGCCCAGCCATGACACAATCTAAATCCCGCTGACCACGCCAACCTTGCCCCAACGTCCTTACAAGGCGAGCGCTAGGAAACAGCCGTCCGAGGTAACTTCGCTGGGTGCATGTCATCGGCGAACTCTAAAGAGTGCGCCTCATGTCACCTATAAACTTACTTCAGCCTCTTACCTTTATTGCTGATCGCGGAGCCCTGTCGTTCGGCGCCCGAGGCGTTGGCCAGGGCTCTCGCTGTGTGTCTGCTTGGGCTGGCCCCTTGCAGCTACAGATTCACCATCAATCAGGAAATTCAAAAAGGGATAGCAGCAGCAGGACCGAAACTAAAGGCAGACAGAGGGTTCTGTACGATAGTACATTATCCTAAAATGCTCATAAAACTGACATGTAAAGCCCACAATTGGTAAGACCAAATCTATGCACCTGTCGACTTTTTGCTCTACCCGGCCACTATCCATTATGCCAGCACGTGATTCCTTTTGTGTGCACTTTCCAGCCATTAAAATAAGTGACATGTGTACCCCTTGTCACGTAATGCCGAACGCCGTAGCAGACTACAGTACACTGCACTCAGCCCATGAGGGTCCGATTATTTCCGATACTCAATGAAATCTTTTTGTCTTCGATTGGGAACTTCAATAGCTTGACGAGACTAGACAAGCCAGGTACCAATACTGAGTAGCGCCCCACTGCTTACGCGATGGTAGTAGTCGGCTGAAGCATTGTGTTGATCTCGCTCATGATAGTTTCGTCCGCAGCCATGCTGCTGATGATCTCATCCTGCGTGAAGCCAACGTAGAATTGGGCGTTGGTCTGTTGTGCGGCCTTCTTTGAGCGGTAGATCTCCTGGGCTACACCTCTGACTTGGCCCGATGCCCTTGCTGCCGCGGACCATACTGTGCTCAATTTGTTGAGGGCACCGATGTTAAGACGAATCAGTTGCCGAAGATCGTCGTCGTTATTGACGAACCAGAGCGCCCATTTGCTTAGATGCACAATCGAGGACATGGTCAGTACGCAAGTAAAAAAGTGCGTATGGCATGTGATCGGCACGGAATAGGTTACCATTTTACTGATCTCCGAGGCGGCCGTGACAATGTGGCGCGTGTGCGCGTTGAAACCATCGCCACTGCGGACCATCTGATACGGTGCACAGGAAGTCACATCTCGGGCCGGGGAAGAGTCCAGCTGGGAAAGTGGCTGATGTAGCATGATTGAACAACTACAAGAATAACTTGTCAGCAGCGATACATTCGTTGGATAGTAGAGGGACTTGCGCATGGTTGATCATCCAGGCCTGGAACATCATCTCATCTAATTTCATGTCTTTGTCCAGACAGTCCTTCTTAGAGGCTGGCAAATGCATACGCCAATTAGAGAGATGTGATTCCATTCGGTTGACATTGTCGTCTCCCGGAAACACACTCTCTGGGAGCCGCATCATGCGCCCAAGATTCCTCATGGATGCAACGCGGTATGCGAACGATGAGAACTGGTACTCCTCTCCACTGAAAATCTGGTCATCAAAGTCTTCAAGGAAGAGCGGCCGTGGAATTGACTGTCACTTTGAATCAGTACAAATAGTAGAGACTATCGGGGAGGGTGTACTCACTCCTGAGAGATATTGGTGCTCTTCACAGGGCAATCCCGCATCAGCCACTATGTCGAAGAGCAGAAAGTTGGTTTGCCGATGGACGCCGGCAACCATGCCATCCACAACGAACAGGTCCCACCATGTTCGTCGCCAGCTCTCTTCGAGCATCGGGTTACCTTGTCCATTGTTCGTCGCATATGATCTCTGGAAAAGCCCAATTTCGATAGCGATGCGCTCTATATCCCCAAGAAGTTCTCTGGCCCTTTCTTGCTGGCAGCTACCGTCCAAGGCAACCAACAAGATCAACATGGCCTGGATGAGGAAGCCATCTTTTGGAACCTCTGGCGCGTAGGCCAATCGCATGGCTTCCTCAAAATAGGTAGCACGAGCAGGGCCTACTTCGAAATACAGTGAACCTGCCCATCTCATTGCTGCTAGTAGGTGATCCAGGTTTCCCCCTTTCGCCATTCGCAGTAAATGCTCTTTTGGCAGAACAGCCGGATGACCGGGGTAGAAATGAAAATAGAACGAGTCAATGCATCGATCAGGTATGCTTTGGGGAGCTTTGTGTGGATTAATCTCAACCAAAACTCCGTTCGCGTCGATATATGGTTGTTGTCTATATAGCTGCATGCCAGATGGGCCAGGCGTGGCGCTCAACGCCGAGAAAGGCGTCTCCGGGATGCCCATAGCAGAATTGAACATCGCCAGACTTGGCGCTGCTGGTGTCGAGACACTTGCACCCAGTAACATTGGGCAAGATTCGCCGCTGCCATTGGATGTAGGTGAGCTTGAATCAGAAGCATGGCGCTTGTTCGGGTTCTGCGCGGTGTTTCTTCTGGGACCCTTGTAACCACGCCGCGAAGCGACATATTGACAAAATGTTTCGCTCGTGTGGCATCGGGAGCATGGATTCCCGCCATCACACTTCAGATGTTTGGAGCGCTTTCATGGTGAAATGTTAATCAGGCATACTTTCTAGGTGAACAAGCCAAAGTTGAACGAATTGCAACTCACACAAGCTAAACAAGCAGCAGGAACAGTTGCCGCTGACGGCTTCAGCTCGGCGCTTGCTGGTGTCGCTGTTACGGCAGCCGTTGATGAAGCCATGGTCGGCGGCGCGGCGCGTAGAGGCTCGGGCGGAAGTTCTCCATTCACGCCATTAGTGTACATCTGAGGTGGGCCGATTGGTGGTATATTGTGGCCCATACGAGTATAATCAGGCGAGTGGTTCATACTGAGTGGGTTGCATGGGAGAAGCGTCGTTAATCAAAGGTGCAATTAGTGTCCATATATCTGGGTAATAGATAGTGCACGAAGTTAGAGATGGAAATGCTTTAGACTCGGGGTGGTGCGAGGTGCGCGTGTGCTGCGATGTAAATGTTGCCGGCACATGCAGATGCAGACCCAGTTCGAGTTCGGGCTTTTTTGGAGGCCGCGGGGTCAAGATAGCCAGCAAACCTTCTTTTCGTTCCTCGCCCACGCCCCTAGAAGAGCCCAACGACAACAACAAGAACAGCCTTGATCGGTCACAATAGCTTACAGGGTCACCCTTGTCAAGCCCTGCCACCAGTATATGACCTTGGAGTCTTGAACCCCACGGACGCAGATCAGGGGATCTCAGCTCGTTCAGCACAGTGAGTGAACGCCAAACAGCACACCAATCGCGTCGACTCTGGGGCATGGATCTCAGCTGGATGGATGCCTTCCGGTCGTTCAAAGTACGAAGCTGTGTGGATATCGCAATGGTTGTCTCAAAGGTTGTTAGATAAGGCAGCCACTAACGTGCGCTGGAAGCAAGGGGGCCGTCCCGTCTGAACTCTGCCGAGTGGCACATATCAGGTATTTCGAGGACGATCGAAACTTGTCGTAAAATTTGATGCTACCTGGCGAGCTTTTGGATTGCTTATTGTGTGGCACCCACAGTCGTAGTGTCCTAGTGCTGGGATGAGGCCGAGCCTACCGAAAATCAGTACAGGGATTCAGCGGAATATTTGGTCTACCATTCCGAGATCTGATCGAATAGGATCGCCATACTTCGAACCATGTGGGAATATGCAGGGGCAACGATATTTGCTGAACTTATCCGCGTCACCTGAGACCTATACAGCACTCTCCACGAATGTTTGCCCCCGAGTCAGGTGTCAGGAGATCTGAAGGTTTGCCAGAATACATAGAGATAATCTAAGCTACAACTGTAGCTAGGTACATTAGTATAACGTCCCTGTAGGATCGATGTGCCAACCCTAAGCGAGCGGATCGTGCAGGCTCGTGCTGCTGAGAGGACAGCTGTATGCAGATCGCTGGTAGAGCTGAAAGCTGATATTAATAGTATAGTATTATGTACAGCACTCCTTTTCCATCCTCTTTCCAGGAATAGACACAATTCTGTTATCGGCACGGGGGATTCATTTTTTCCCATTGTCCTTATGATAACTAACGGCTAGGAACAATCTAAAAAACAACTAGACTAACAGCATTTGTCAGGCTAGTCGCAAGCGCCCGGCCGAAGAAGCCTCCGCCCCGCTGTTGGAGGCGCCACGGCGGGACCTTTGTGTTAACTTTTGTGTCGGGTTTGGGGCGATATGCTGAACTGGATCAGAGCCATTGATTATCCTTACCAGCCTCGGGTATCGCCAATCACACAAGCAAAGGAACCGCACGCACCATTTAGTACATCACGTCCCTTTCGATTTTGCAGTGTCACTTTGATGCAGCATTGAAAGCTGTGTGAGCTTGAACTTTCTGTACAGGGAACAATTGCACATTGTGGGAAACGGCTGGCAGCCAGTTGGCATTGTCTGTATATATGCTAGGGGGTGGTAGAAATCCCGTCCCTGCATGAGAAATTATCCGTAGCCTTCATGCAGCATCAGCGTCGTACAGTGATCAATAGTCGTGACGATACCGTCACACGAGTTTTCAAAATCTCACGGACACTCCGATATATCCTGTCGCAGGCTCGGACAGTGTCTGCATGACCAAGTTTAGAGCACCGACACTTGCGCTTGCGGGATCACGCACATAGACAAAGACGCTTCACCGAGGACCGCCATGGATCCTGTCAGTGCTGCTGGTCTGGCTATCGGAGTCGCCAGCATTGGTCTTCAAGTCTATACTGGGTGTGTTCAAGGTGACCAATGCAGATAATCAAGCGACCAATGCGTTCATACGTTGACTGCGAAGTAGGAATACAGCTACTAATCACAGCCAAGAACTTTCCCGAGGAGTATAAATATCTAAACCTGCGACTCCGTATGGAGCAGCAACGGCTGTTTGCCTGGAGTGAAACGTCTGGATTAGCTGATCTCGGCGGCAAAGGCCAACAAAAAATACTTGAGACCAATACTTTCACCCTTCACCGTACGACTGTTTTGGACTTACTTGTTCAAGTGCAGTGCCTCTTCAAAGAATTTCAGGATGACCAGAAGCGGTATCAAAGGCTTCAATCCGTGACCGGACCTGACGAGTCATTAGATAATCCAGAGCAGGATGCATTGGATGCCAATGTTCCCTTACCGCAAAGACGGCGGGACTTTATAAAAAAGGCTATGTTACAAATTAAGGAGAAGTCAGCAGAAGGTGCTCTCCGTCTTAGGTGGGCAACTTTCGACAAAGAGGGTTTCGAGAGACTGCTTTCCAAGTTCGCAGTACTCAATGACAATATGACAGACATTCTCGATGCTCAATTACAAGTCGAAATACATCATACTGTTCAGGATACGAACAGGGGCATGCTTCAACTACATCACAAAATTGCAGATTTGTCCCGTCTGGTTATGGCACTTAACTTGAAGCTGGACTCTAGCACTCCGCAGATACAACCGCCACTATCAAGTTCACAAAGAGAGGCAAGGGCGAAAGACGCGTCGGGGTTGGAGCAGCTCTCCCAATTAGCAAAATTTAAGGCTTTCAACGAGTCAATTGAGTCTAATACGTTCGCTTCTCCCGACGAAAAGGCTGCTTCGCATCTAGAGCTGGGAAACTTAGGCGAGCAGAGGAACCTGAAGTTGAATGCTCAGATGATCGAGATCAAACTAAACTCAGCGTTAGACGGGTCACAACGTTGCGAGGCGGTCTTGAAATACGCCAATGATACGCGGAAAGAAGTTTGGATTGAGTGGAAGGAATATGACCCACACATGCCAAACAGTGTTATGCCTCCGAAGCAGCTTATTTTGGGAAGGATCCAAAAACTTGCCGCACTGCTGCATCATCGCCCAAAACCTGAAGCATTTAGGACACCTCATTGTCTTGGGTTCTTTGACCAAGCAGACTGCAAAGATGAGGATAGCGACGATGATATTTCTAATTTACGACTCGGGCTGGTTTTCGAGCGACCTGAAGAAGACCAAATTCACAAAGAAATGCCTCCTGTGAGCCTCCGAGAGCTTTTGGAGCGCGACCCTAAAACATACCGCAGACCAAGTCTTACAGACAGAAGAAGCCTGGCTCTCGCTGTGAGCAATTGTGTGCTTGTAAGACAGATCTGGACGTAGCTCGAGATTATTACTAATGCTGCCGATAGAGTCTGCATTTAGCCAACTGGCTGCACAAATCTCTGCGGTCCGATAACATCATATTCTTCCGCACCAGCAAGGGGCACTTGGATTATAGCAAGCCATATATCTCCGGCTTTGATTTTTCCCGGCCGGCCAGGAAAGATGAGATGACCGAGATTGCCGGTGATGACGTTATGCACAACCTATATCGACACCCGCTAGTACAAAGTACGAATACTGATGAGCGACCACGATTCAAGAAAAGCTTCGACATTTACAGTATTGGAGTGCTTCTTGTAGAGATAGCACACTGGGCGACTGTAGAAGAAATACTCGGGATCAATTTGAAGGTAGCCCGTGGGCGACCGTCGACAATAGCAAGGGTACGAGACAAGCTGTTAACCGACGAGATGCGAGAGGAGTTGAGCGGATATATGGGCAAGATTTACGAGAAAGCAGCACGCCGTTGCATCGCTGGTGGCAAGTGGCTCAATTTGCTCGACACTGACGATGAGACTAATGATCAAGTGGCAAACACTTTATCACTTGCTTTTTACGAAAATGTTGTCAAGGAGCTGGAAAGTATAGTAGTGTAGACCTTGTGGTCAATGCTACCATTCACCTAGTCATGGGCATACACACTGAATGCAAACTTCTCACCACGGTCTTTGTAATCCCAGATCTTGCCAGCTGAGCAATATAAGTTTTCTAGGTAAGGCAGAATGTTTTAAGCAATTCCTCCCAACCCAGCCCCCCCCTTCCCCCGGGGATGTTTTATAGGGACTTACTAATGAGAGGAGATAGCGTAAAATCCGAGCTGGTTCACCGTGCTGTTGTATACATGTAAGTCTTGGTAGAATTTAGGTGGTTGTACCCATGATCCACCACAGACTCGAAATATTCCGATTGGGCATTTCAATCCTGATACCTTCTATTACTTTGCGAGGCACACTATGGCTCGAGTGACCATTTCGAATCTCATCGCCCACAGACTGCATGCTATAAATCCCAATTGATTTGCAACTATGTAAATTGAGGCAGTGCTGATTAGCGGTTGTGCGATGCAAGCATATTGATTCTCATAGTCAAGATTGAATTGAACTACCAATCGAGCTTGTGAACGAGAAACAGCAACATGACGAAATATGTTAGCAAGTGCATGGTGTGAACTTGTTGCTTTGCATTGCATGATGAGGCAACTCGTGCCCCAAATGACATGATCAAATCACATATCGCTGAGGTTAGCTGTGTGGGTATGCTGACCAATAGAGTTGCTCGGTAGCGGGGGTCTTTATCGCCGACTCAGGGATGCGAGTCCTGCATGTCAACGGTATCATCGACATCGAAGATAGCTTTCCTCCTTTAAACCTCTTTCAATTCATACATAACTGTTTGGAAGAGCAAGAGTTTTTAAGTTTCACAATGTCAGTTCAGAAGGTTCTTGGCGGGTGGTGGTCATCGTCGGCCAATCCCACCCTGAAAGGCCACCAGCTAGTCATCGTCGCCCCCACGCCGCCAGCGTCCGAGTGGGTGGAAAAGGTCAAGAAACAGCATTCGGGTCTCGACGTGGTGTACTACAACAAAAACCCATGGGGACTGGACCGCTCGGTGCCCGATGATATTGACTGGTCAAACGTTACGGTATTGTTGACGGGTCCATTGGTCCCGACTGTTGAGCAGGCGCCCAAGTTGGAGCTCGTGCAGCTCCAGAGCGCCGGCGCGAATTATTTGCTCGACAACCCGCTGTTCAAGGATTCTGATGTCGCCTTCTCAACGGCTAACGGAGTCCATGGGTAACATCTCCCTCTCTTGATGGGTGGTATTTTGGTGCGATGTTTCACTAACAGGTGAATAGCCCGCAGATCGCTGAGTGGGTCATTACCACTTATTTATCGCATCAGCATCATCGTGAGTCAGTCCCGCTAAACAACTTGAGATTACGCTGCTGACGAGTTTTCCAGTCCCGAAATACTACGATCATCAGAAGGCGGGCAAGTGGCAACGACTTCTAGATCCAGTCCAGGATGCGGTAAAAGCCCGAGTGTAAGCGGCATTTCACTGATATATGAAACGTTATGTTGAGCTAATGAATCTCAGTGGAATTCTTGGCTACGGTAGCATCGGCCGACAGGTCGCAAGGGTTGCCAAGGCGCTGGGTATGGATGTTATAGCATACACCAACGGCCGGCGCCCAACGCCCGAGTCGCGAAAAGACACTGGCTACATCGTCCCTGGAACTGGCGACGCAGAAGGAATCTTCCCCTCTAAATGGCTCTCAGGGGCTGACAACCAGTTTGAAGAGTTCTTGAGCTCTGATTTGGATTTACTCGTCGTGGCAGTTCCTCTGACTACCAGCACGAAAGGGTTGATTTCGGCACCTGAGTTCAAGCTTCTTGCCAAGAACAAGACTTTCCTTTCAAACATCGCTCGGGGACCTATCGTCGACTCGAAGGCCTTGACTGCTGCTTTGGATGAGGGTCTAATCCGAGGAGCGGCGCTGGATGTCACCGACCCGGAGCCTCTGCCAGATGGCGACCCGCTCTGGTTCAAACCGAACGTCATCATCACTCCCCACATCAGTGGTAACTCTAATGAGTACAACAAACGAGTGTATGATATCCTCGAATTGAACCTTCAACGGCTTGGGGATGGAAAGAAGGAGTTTGTCAACAAGGTCAATAAGAAGGAGGGTTACTAGTGGGCGAGCGTACAGTTTACACCTGAAATCTCATGATATCGCACTTCGAATCGGGTTTTAGTCACGAAATACCATATCAAGCGCATGGAGCATACGTATGAATAATATGTCGATTTGCACTCAAGGAAAACTGTATTCTGTCTTCGTTTTTGCACCAAATGGTACTCTGATCTCATTTGCAACCACGTATTGCTCAAAAGCATCCCAGTCACGTTATGTGTGCAGGTGACCCGCAACAGTCTCGATGTCCGTCTCGTCTTCCCTAAAGTAGAATGGGATCGTGCTCATGTCGGCACCACGCATGAGAGCCTGGCGCGGGCCGTCGATACAGTGGTCCAGGTACAGATCCGCAATGTCCTGGTCGACATGGTAGCGCTCTGCGAACGGGCGGTAGTGATCAGGCCAGATCTGCTTGCGAAGTTCGTCGAGACAGTGGAGCAAGTGGAACACGTCGAAGATGACTGCGTGGCAGCCAGGGTCTCCTGGGATTCCGATGGTCTGGTTGGCCAGTAAGGCTGCCTGCTCTTCTGGGACGCGTGTCATGTGTGTGTATAAGCCATACCAGGTCTTGTCCAACTCCGCCGATGGGCGAGCCTTAGAATTTTGAAACTTCTGTGAAGCCATTGGTGAAGATAACTTCTGTGTACTTGATGAAGTTTTGAGCGGGGGCTTTAGAATATCCAAAGGTCGGGGGGGGGGGTTTAAATCTCAGGTAATATCACGTAACCTGGGTTCGTAGTTGGACTCACAATAGCTCATTTGACTCTCTGTGACGGACACACCTTTCGTTGCGTATATGTGAAGATTGAGAAGTAGATGAGGAAGGACACTAACTTCCTCGTAGACAACATTGAAACTTCCCATACTCCGCAATTGTGCGAAGTCTCAAGGAAGGCCGGGAGACATAAAGACTAGGTGTGAGGAGCTTACGCTATAGAAAAAGATTTATCGTTTTAGACTGATTTTATTGATGGTAGCTACCTGAAGATCGTGTTTTATCCGTCGAGAATTTCGTTCTCCCAAACTTTTGACAAAATGTGGTCATATTGAGGCAACAGTTAGTGCTAATCATGTGAGGTTGTTGTCGTATTTTAGTATACATACCGTATTCCAATAAAAGTTGAATCACACGAGCATACTGAAGTGTTGACCATAGAAAACGCCGCTGGTGAGTATGCAAGGAATGATTGATATATCTGGCTGGCGAAAACCTCTTATCTATTTCCCCATGGTTTGAATTAGTTTGAATTATTGTGTGCAAGCTGGAAATCTTGGCCCTGGGGTATATGTCCCTTGCATCGAAGCAAGAGCAACACTAATACATTCAGATGGGAATGGCTATACATTCCAACACACCTCTGCCGTGATACTTCCTAGTTGTTACTATACTTTATGCTGCACGATAGGCGGTTGTAAAATAGGGAGATGTGATAAATATTACCTGTATAGATTAAGATACTACCGGAAGCTGATTATAGAACTGTATCCGTATAAGTAAGGGTATAAAATCTAGGAAACACTGAGGCTTTTGAGGTATCCCAGATCGAAATTTAGACTTCAATAACCGGATGTTAAGTTGTCTCAGTAAGTTTGACAAGTTTAAGGAGAATTTACTAGTCACCAACGCCGATCAACTCTACACAATCTTGGCGCTCTAATAACTTCACCCATGTTGACTGAGCAACTATTCCTTGTTTCGATATCTCAAGCGCCTAAAGTTCACAGTATCACAGTCGCATCAATGTTTTCCAGGTTGTGCCATATATTCTAAAGAACCATCTGCACTTAAAGTTAGATGCTGTAGCTACCAGCTTAACCGCATGATCCATGTCGGTCTCAAGTTGGCGAGGCTGCTCGCCTTTAGGCCCCACGTTTAATAAAAATAAGAAGGGAGTCTCTCACTTCAACAACGAAGCCACAGAGTAACCAAATTGGGCCACGCAGGATTCTAAAATCTGAGAGTGATTTTCAGTATTAACAATAGCCGTGATTTCCAGGATATATGGTTTCCCTATCATGGAACAGGCCATATGCGTGGGCTTACAAACAGAATATGCAATCACATATAGTGGAGCCTCACAGCTCACGTCATAGAATTCTGACCGGAGCCTCCCCTTCGTGATACTGCTAAAACTACACCGTACTCACGGGATCTGCGAGTCCTCGAACCCCATCACTTCCCTCCCTGCTCTAACAACCATTTCACGCCCTTGACAGTATCCTCAACGAATGTCCGGCTCGTCTCTAATCCCGGCCAGTTGGTCCAAAAGTAATGACCAAGCCCTTTGTATAGATCCAACTTCGTCTTGACCCCGGCTTCATCCTTCAAAATCCTCTCATAGATCAACGCTTCATCCCTCAGGGGATCCAGCCCACAAACCTGAAAATACGCCGGCGGTACCCCCTTATGCCCCCTTTCCGTCTTGCCATAATGGAACGGTACCATGAGCGGGGACTCTGGGTCAGCCTTCAAAATCTTCATCAGATTCTCTCCACCTTTGAGCTTCAGTACCGGATCAGTCGATGGCGTGACCGAGGGGTGGGACAGATAGTCGGGGCGGTATCTTTCGGGTATCTGGTCGGGCGGCAGGAAACAGGTGATGGCGGGCACGCAGAGGTACTGACCAGTCAGCGGAGGGCTGAGGTCCTCGTCGCGTGCCACGTGGGAAAGGACAGCGGCGATGTTGCCTCCGGCCGAGCCGCCGCCGACTAGGAAGCCTGCCAATGGATCGGCGCCGAGACAGGCGGCGTTCTCCGCTGCCTTTGTTCACATGCGTCCATATCAGTACACATGCACCACTACTGTACCAACTGAAAGATATACTAGGCGAGAAAGCTTACCCACTGCAAGGCGTCCCAAGAATCGTTGATCCACGTCGGGAAGGGGTGTTCCGGCGCGAGCCTGCAACACATGACCACGTTCAGCCACTCCGGAGAAAAGTCGAGCAAACATGTACAACCAACCGGCTGTACGAACTCACCGGTACTCGACGTTGACGCAAACAGCCCCCAGATCCCTCGCAAAGAGCCGGCAGTTGACCTCCTCGTCGCTCAGATCGCCCATACTCCAGCCGCCTTCATGGTACATGACGATAAGCGGCCGCCCCTTTTCGGCGTCGGGTGGCTTCGCCGGGGTGTAGATCCGGACGCGTATCTGTGCGCCCTTGCGGACAGGGATCATGCGGTCCTCCTCTTCAACCTCGTCCGGGATGGGTCCTGGCAGGTATCGGAGATGGTGTTTCTCGCGCAGCGTGGCGGCGCGATGGGCGCGTCTGGCAGAGTGGCTGTCTCTGCCATAGTACGGATCTGAGGGCTGGGGGTCTCTGATCGGGTTTTCCTCCAATTGCTGTTATGTCTTTTTGTCAGTCGCTTCGCTATCCATACGTGGTGAGAGAATGTTTTGGTAGGTTGACGCACAGCTAACAGTGCGGGGTCCGGGATGCGGTATGAAAGAAGTTCGTCTCGAGTGCGTGATCCCATGTTATTGATATCTATCCGGCCTTCTTTGCACGAAACACAAAAGTTGTTGAATCTCGTTCTTGCAATTAATGGAAGGTTTGCGTTTGCTGAACTCTGGGGTATGAAGTGACCTTACGTTATAGTCACCTCTCATTGTGAGGTTAGATGATCAAGCTCTCCACCCCGACGTCATACAATTAAATTCGTATAGGCCAGTTTCTTCTCAGGCATATGCAGATTCCCACTTACTTGAAGCTTTGCTCATGCAAGGTAATCAAATGTAGTGCACCCATCAGGGAGATTCGTCGCCCTCTATGATACGTTGAAGGTCAGTATGGCTTGCGTCGAATCAAGTCACCCAACCAGTGACAACGGTTCACTGACGAAGGATTAATTATATGCATGCACAATACACGGCAATGTATAAGTACTTGGTTTCGAGAGCCACCGGTAAGTTCCTTTTAATTATTTACGCCGTGAAAATGCCTCCTGGAGAGCCAACCCTCATGCCAATGCAGTCCGTTATAAGCCGAAAATGCAGAGGGTCCATCAAGGACCAACCTCATGGTAAGAACCGATACCTGAACGCCTATCCTAAAGCCAGATTCGGGATCTCTTCCGCAGTATCACAGCTTCGCTCTTGGTGTCTAGTAAACCCACGCATGCTTCTCTTTCCTCCTGTACAAAAACATGCAGACGCTCTCTACTGCCATAAAATAGACCGCTTTATGCGAATTCTTCGCCATGGTCCCCGCTAACATGGGCTCAAACAAAATAAGGGGGGATCTCTCTCATCGCATAAATACACAAACATGATCACCCTCGAAAACAAAGTTGTTCCTTCCAAAAACGCCGTGACGCTATGCTCCTCAACATCAGAATATGATGGTCGTGACAATGCTGTGATATTGTGAGATGTGCGTAAAAATAGCACGAATGCAAAAGGGGTATGTATGCCGAACCAACAGCCGATGGCTGAAAGGGGTTGAAGATAAAGATGGTCAAGCATCGGCTGATCACGAAAGCGTCCGGCCGCTTGTGATCGTCTGCACGCTTGGAGTTCGAGGTGTAGCAAGGCTTGGTCGAACAGCCGATGTTGTGCTGTAGTCCCCAACAAAAGTAGCGGGTCGACTTGATTCCCAGCTCTCCTCGTTGAGAACAGTCAAGTATCCATTTCCTACCTGGTCTCGCAGTGTCTCTATTTTCTGCCGGTAGATTTCGCCACTTGTGCTCCAATCTTGAGTGTCTTTGGATGCCTGGAATGGGGCGTTTGAGAAAGTAGGAAGTTCTGGATTTCCAATACTCGTGTTTATACGAGGAACTTCAGCAGTATTGAGAGGGGCCATCGGTCTTGACTCGCTCACACCTGCTTTCTGAGACTCTTGGTGTTGTGAAATACGATAGTTGCTCTCTACGCCAGCTCCGATGACGCCTCCGGCTGCCAACTCTTTGATGTCAATAGTCTGACTGGGTGTCGTGGCCAAGTCAACTATTCTACGTTTCGGTGTCCGCTTTCGTCGCGTTGAGCTGGTGTTGATCTCGCTGGCGACGGCTTTGGGTTGTGGCCTCTCCTTCCTGATTGCAGCTGCTTCTCTCGGCGTATCGTAAATAATTGTGGGCTTACTCACGTCGACTGCTGGCAATTCTGGTACAGGTGGTCTGACCACTGGGACAGCGGCGGGGATAGCAACCCGTTCCACGAGGTATTTCTTTTCCGAGTAGGTTGGGCCGGAAGCATCGATGATAACATCCTCGGTGTAACCAGGCGTTCTCCGGAACAGATTGAATATTGTCACACGATAATCGCGGTGCGTGCGTGTAAAGGGATTGCCCTCAACCCATATCTCCCGAATCTCCGGAATACCAGTCAGGCGCGCTATTTCCAATGGATCCGTCAAACGGTTGTCCCGAAGGTCGAGTCTTTCTAGTGGGTATAGCTTTTCAATACCGGCGATAGACTGCAGACGGTTGGCACGCAGGTTCAGGGCCGTAATGGCTGGCAGAGGATTGCGCGTCAAAGAGTGTAGCGAATCTATCATGCAGTGAGACAAATTTAGAGCACGGAGAGCAGTAAGAGTTGCCAGGCTGTCGGGGATCTGAGTAAAGAGGTTTGTAGACAGATCCAAGGAGTACAGCGTATTCGCCAACGGAGCAAGACTTGGCGCGGGAATAGCAGTCATAGAGTTGTCTGCAAGACTAAGATGCTTCAAGAAACGCCATTTTGACGCTGGGAGAATGCCCATAGCTAACAGGTTTGAAGTACTGTTCCGAGCATTGTGCCATGAATCAGACAGGCTGGAGTGCGAACTGCCAGAACCGGAGCGCCTAACCTTATAGGAATGCCTAGTCGTAGCTGGAGTGGTATGATGACGGGAGCTTATGGGGCGTGAAGGGGAATGGCTTCGTGGACGACCAGACTTATTCGGAGATTGTGGTATATCGGTCTCAATTCTAGCAACTGACGGACGTCGACTGCCACTCGGCGAAGAGGAATCCGTACCGACCGAGCCGACTGGGAGATCTCCAATCGAGCTGTGCGGGTTGGGCGATCCCGGCGTGGACCCAGACCTGTGCAACTCAGCGTGCTGCAATGTAGGACTTCTTCGGGGGCTGGGATTAGTGGCCGTCGGCGAGTGTTGGGCCTTGCCCGTCCGACGCCGTCGCTTGTCCATGTCATCCAGAACAATGTCAATGAGAATATCTGCAGGGTCATCGATACCGGCTCTTTTCAAGGTCAGAGATCGGAGTTGGTCAGCAAGGCGGTCCCAGCCGAAGAATTGCCTGTAATCAATACCACTGATCTCCAATGCCTGCAGGTTCTTAAAGACGTATAGGGGGACAGCAGAGTCAAAGGGGAACTCTTCGTAGCCACGTATTAGCCTAGCACGCCAATCGGGTGCCAATCTGAGACACGGTATCTTGGTGAAAGCTGAGTAGAGATACTTCATGTCCGCAGCAAGGGCTGCCTTCTGCTTCTCCTCTCTTGCTGCGGATATGCCCGAACCAATGCCAAAGCTTGCCCAGAGAGCTGACATGCCAGACATGACGCTTCTAACGCTCGAGACTGATCGGATAGATGCAACATCAGCACTGCGGGTTCGTGAAGAAGGGTTGAGGAATGACACGTAGTTGGCCGAGCTTGAAGCATCATGTAAATTCTCCAAGCGGACCTTCATCGGACCAACATTGATGCCCAGTTCTTCGAAGCGAGAGAGGAGATAGAATAGGTGGTGTGGCGTAAGCGCCAACTTGGCGGGCTTCAGGCTTGAGGAGGTGAAGCTGAAGGAACCAAGCGACAGAGCAGCAGCGAGTCCTCCAGCAGATGTGGAGGAGGAGGTTGAAGGTCGTTCAGGCACGGGACCTAGTGATTGAGGGGTCGGCAGAACCGACACGCTTTGTGAGGCGCCATGCCTGGAGGCATTTGACTGTCTTCGAAACTGCAAAGCGTTGGCCAGCGCTTTCTCGTGCGTGCGCACGAAGCCGGCCAGCTGCTTGATGAAGAAATCCCCGTCCTCTGAATCCATCGTTCTCGTTTAGGACGACATGAGGTGTGTTTGTTTCGTGAGGTGTTGGAATCGGGAGAGGAGAATTTGTCGACTTCTCGTAACAGAAAAGGCCGCCCAATCAGGTAAGATGTCTATAGTCCAACAGTCGAGTATGCTGGCGGGCAAGTGATGTTCTGGGTTGAAGAAGACCCTGTAAAAGTGATATTGTCAGCCGCCGCACGTGAAAATGATGGGCATCGCTGGCCTGCATGTCAAGCTAAAAAAGGTGTGATTGTGAGAGTCAGGTCGTTCGCCCAGAATATGCAGCTCTCGTAGGCCAAGTATTGTCAGAAGCATGTGTATGACTAAGATGGCTGCTGCCCATGACTCGCAAGGTTCGAGGCAGCCGCCGAGTCTTATAGGCCGGTTTTGGGGGTGCTTCTTGCTCTCTGCCTTTTTGCCCGTTGATACCGTTGGACGTTGGCGTAGGCGTAGGCATAGGCGTAAGCGTCGGTGTATGAGGTGAGGCAGTTAGGGTTTCGTCAACGAGCGACAAGTCTCGCACAATATCACACAAGCTGCGACCGACACATGGAACGGGCGACAGACGATGGCTCAGGGCAGGGGCAAAGGTACTTGTGGTAGGTAGTGCAGCAGGGCGGCGGAGATGAGGCAACTCTCGTGTGCATTCCAGAATCAAAAGCAGTATCACAACAGGCGCGAAGATAGGGATTCGAGGCGAAGATAGGCGAACATGCGAACACGCCAGTTCAGGCTGGCGAGGGCGGGGGTAGTGCTGGAATACATACTGAGAAGAATTAAAAAGCCACGGGCGCAAGACCAGCTGACTTTGTACAGAGACGGCGATAGCGATCTCTGGATCGTGCAGAGCACAGGAGGGGGGGGGGTATTAAAGGCGAAGGGAGAGAAGCCGTCGAGGTGTAATGAAAGGGGATGACTCCTGTCCTTGTCCCTCGTCCTAATCCGAACTCTAGAGCCCTCTTCTCGCAAGTGCAAACGTAGCAACCACCAAGTCGGAAGAGTGGTGGGCTGGGAGGATCGTGAGAATGCTTCTGCTTCTGCTTCTGCGTCTGCTTTCGCTCCAGCTCCAGCTTTGCGGCGGGTCGCAGAGGGAAATATAACAAAAAGAGTCGAAAAAGAACGGCGGTCCACTGCCAATCAGAGCCCCACATTCACTAGGCTAGCACAGTTCGACTTCTCGGTCACAAATGCTGGACCTAGTGCTGGGCTAAGGTGGGTGCTGCAGCTGGGATGGGCGAGCAAAAAGTGGGTAGTGGGCTCAGCGACTGATATGAGATACGCTGTACAGGTACATGCTCCCGCCAACGGCGTCGCATTTGCTCATTACAGCGCCCGAGCCTGTAGCGGACCTGCTCTGGCTTTAGTGGACTGCCAGCGGGGCCTCCAGCGGGTAGCCGACGGCGTCCCCTGGAACCACCCCACGATCCGACTCTTGCTCGCAGCCCGACAAAGTAGCGAGACTTTGTGGGACACGCATTGGCGGCAAAGAGTCAGATGGCACCATGAGGTGACCAACCAATAGGTCAGTCTGCTCCCTCAACGGGCCAATAATCGGCAACTGTTGATGTCGCAGTAGCACTTGCAGCCTCCTCCACTGCAGCCATTACATGCAAGTCTGAGTTGAGTTAAGGCCTCCTTGGTTCTCATGGATACCTTGCCGCGCCCATCGAGTTCTCACTCACTGCATCCAGTCGGGACGACATGTAGGCGTAATCTGAAGTTCGAGTCTCTCTCTCCTACTAGCCATACTTATACGCCTGGTTTTGCGTCTTGTTGCGTTTCAAAACAATCAACAAGAGGTAGGAAATCCCGCCGACTAATATTCAACAATGCTCCAGCAACCAGCCGCCTTGACCGGGCCCCCATGTTCAGATAGCTCAAAGGTCCGCTCCAAGTAGTCTTGAGGGCCCCGGCTCCTCGCGAGTTGCGATGGGTGTGTGCCACCCTTGCTGATAACGAACGCTTCCTAGACTTTTAGCATGTCACCCTCAACACCCACATGAGTTGCACAATTGTCACGATGGCTTCTCCATGTCAACACCTGCTCTTACATAGTACCATAGGTACTGAGTAACGGCCCACAATGTCCTCAGCTGCCTCATTCAACCGCCTCATCACTGGCATACTGCACGTTATCGTTAAGTGGTTCGCGATGCTTATCCCCTAGGTAGTAGCGCATACGTAACTGCAATGGGTTTTTCTACAGACGCGTCCGGGAGCATTGTTTATCTAACTGCTGATATTTTGTTTCTTTGTCTCTAGCTTCCGACTCGGACATTGCATTTACTAGCATTTACTATAGCGAACATCATGCACGGCCATTCAAGTGGCTGCTCGTAATTTGGCGAACGCCCCAGGCATAGCATGGTCGTTATTAAAGTCCCACGCCGACGACGAATCCCCGCTAGGGAATCCAGGTCGTGCAACCTCACCGCAGATGCCTGCACGCAGTAGAATGTGGTTATATGTGAGTATGAAAATGCAGCGGTCGCTTTCAGTCGTGTGAGCCGTGTCTGGATAAACGACCAGTCAGAAGTCGCAAATGAGTATCCGAAGTTTTGACAGGTCCTTCATGCGCGATATGTATTTGAGGTTCCGATGTTTATTTTACCTATCGGCCACAAACTCAGAGCACTACGCTACTCTAGTGCTTGAATGGCCCTTGTCCTTCATCTCAAAATTCAGGGTCCCCTAGTCAGCAGTCATGGGACCCTTCATCTTCCTTCGCTGAAAACACCAGGGTTTGTCGCCAATCTTGGCGACATGGATCATCCACACTTTTCAGCTTCCGAGTCTGTGCGCTCATAGACTTTTTTTTTTACAACACCAAGCCGCTCCCGAGCAGAACAGCGACCCAGAGGAATACGCATCGGCTACAGCCATCAAATGCGAGGCATCGGCCATATTCAGCCTGCCGACACACGCATTCCTCTACAGTTGAAAATATACGGAGTGTCACCTCAAATACTGCTCAACTCATATGAATTAATCCCCTCTTTTGGGACGCGTGTCTCTATCCAAGGTTTGGGCCATTCCGTTTCGCGCCGATCTGCCTTGCTGATCCGCTGCCACTTGACTGATTGCTGGTCTTGGCTACGATCCAATGCCAACTTCTAACCGCCTCATGAGAGTCTTGGGCACCAATCACTATCATGGGAATCTTCAGAAATGGGCATATCACTGCCGAAATATCCATTCCTCAGCTTCATGACAATCAAACTGTCACCTTTGGGGGCAATTATGTCATACTCCACATCCGCCTGACAAAACAGTCTCTGATTGGGATACCGTCGCTAAATAAGCCTCTTCCACTCGCGAAAATGGAACGGCTCAATGTCATACTGCTTCAAAACCCCACTAAACTACTGCGAGTCTCTTCTCTTCCCTTTCCACGCATCTTCCAAATGGGTAAGGTTTCGACGTTGAAGTTTGGTTTCATAGCATCATGGCGGGGCAGGGAGGGGTTGGGCGGTCCTTTGGAGGGGTACATGTTCGCCAACTTCAGTAGCCGCTCTTTTGGCCATCAGTATTGAAAGAGATGACATTCTGGCAGATATTCGAGCAGCAGGTATGAGGTCGGACAAATATCTTACGATCACTGCTTAGCGCTGCTTAGGCGGAAACATCATGACTGACAGATGTTCTGTTCCACAACAGGTGAATTGAGCGTTGGTCATGTTTCATCGATAAGATTAGAGGCGAAATAAATCCGTGTAGTTTGCCTTTTGTTGTCAACAAGCGACTCAATCAAGCCCAACGTCTCATAACTTTCTTCACTTCATGCGCAATCCAACTTAAAATGCCAATATGAACTTCAGTCTGTGAATCAAACTTCTGTACGGCCCATATCGTCGACCGGTGTGAATTTCGAAGAAAGGAGCAGCTGGACGAAGTGCATCGTTTCGACTTGAGACATCCCTAACCTTCTGAAGTTGATGGTTGCTGGTGGCCAGTTGATGACCACCAGCCTCGCAGTTTACAAACAGGTCTTACTAAGATCAACTTCCGCCTACCACGACCAGATGGCCGGCCCTTTCGCTAGTTCTCTTTGCTTGACTCTAGTTCCTAGTGTACCAGATGCCTGCCGCATCTCAGTTCCTTCGCAAGCGCACTGAGTGTTCCGATAAGGCGATGTTCTCCCTCAACACGAAACTCGACGAAAGAGAAGACTTGAGTCGAAGTGAGACATCTCTCAAGCATTGCAACGCCGACAGCATGGAATGGCTGGGATCCTGTAAGTTGATGTGCCAGCCGGAAGCTGGCGGGCACAGAACCGGCAGGATATGGGATACACTGCAGCAAAGGTGTGCGGCTGATAGGCATGATTGGTTGGTTTATAGGCACGCTCTGGACCTACTTGCATGGCGAGATATTCAGTGGACATTGCATGAACATTGTACAAGATAAAACCAAAGATCACAGAGCTTTGGTCTGCCTGTGTAGCAGCAACTGACCGTGCAACAAGCACCGGTCACACCTTACCATTGACTCCTCCAGAAGTCTGACTGTCCTCAACACATTCCTCCGTAGGTATTTGGCCCACGAGCAGCATGGTATGTTACGACCAGAGGCGCAATCCGAAACGGTGAATATAAACCGGTAACTATCGGGTGGCATCGCCATTCTGACGAGGGAATTGTGGTTTTACCTACTAATTGGGAAATTTGGAAAGCAGCTCAAACTCTGGTTGCAGCTCGCTTGGCTTGAAACGGTTAATCGTCATCGCACTTGTTAACTACATGGTTATAGCTCGTCTATCGTGTCCAAGACTATCGATGATCTTATTTGCTATGTTTCACATGAAAACTAAGTCTGCTAAGTCAGCAACTCCTGGCGCTACCGGCGGCAGTTTTGGCAATCAAGAAAATACTGTCAAAAGCTCGAGCAGATGCCCCGCACTGGAATCGGACTAGACTAAAGCCAATGGAGTACATACAAGCAGAAGCATCGTCCGTCCGAAAATAACGTATTCCCCACTAGCAGTTTATGGTATGGAGTGGATTGGATTGGATTGGATGGGTGTGTTCTCCTCGGGTTGCCCAAAATCGTTCTCCCGCAACCAAGTAATGAAGGATGAAAAATTTGGCGATACGCCAATTTCTTTGCTCACCGCTTCCACCGAGAACCCAAACGAAGAAGACCCCCCGTCGTGGTACATACTTTGGTCATGTCGTGCATGCATCCTATGCACTTTTGCTGAAAGAATTGAGATGTGATGAGCTACGAGGCCAGGCTGCAGAAGAAAAGGCACACCATTCGACAATGTCGAGAAGGTCGGTTCAGGCCGGTGGGCACTACCATGAGGCGGATCGTGTGGGATCGTGTCGGTCGTCAATTGTTTGCTTCCTAAATCCGACGACTGGTGAGCTGCTAGGTTCGATGACTGGGGCCCTGGTCTTGGATCTGTCCCTTCGTGCATATCGTCTAGCGACGAATCAGGTAAGTGCTGTGGTAAATCGTGGCTCACTAAAAGGTCTCAGCGATCGCGTGGGGAAATTCTTCGACGTATGAAACAGTTGACAACGACCATAAAGCTGGGAGCAGTCATCCAGCGTAGCGCAAGGTCGACTCTAATTTTTCCAAAAGCAAATCAACACAGAGGGTTGCGTGTTCTCTTCTGCTAATGACTCGAGGCTGCCGCTCATGCTTAACATCCCTCGATGCAGTACGAATCGATTGGCCTGTTGCTTGACCGCTCAGGGCTACATTGAGTCCATTCGAACCTTTCTGCTCCCGGCAGGGTACAATGCCAACTCGTAGGGACATATTTCAACATCTTGTAGTACTGCCGTGCGCCACCCACCCAAAACATCGTCCTTACGAAGCGGGCCAGAGTACAACCCGAGATGCACCGTAGTACTAACTTCGACAAATTTCAGCACTCGAGACTATTTACGCCCATGGTGGCGTCTCACCGACAACGTAATCCAGCCGCAAGTAGCTACACTGCAGATATGAGGCTGTTTACAAATACTCACCCTGCCAGCTGCCGTTGCAAGGCCACTCGTGGCGGTTAATTAAGGGACTACCTGCACGGGCCCGGAAAAGAGAAACGGACGTGGTGCGATTCGGATGTATCTTACCATGCATACTCTATCGGTGATGAGATTTGAGGCCAGCTTTGAAGATGTATCGCCGATGGACATTCCGAAGCCCTTTTCCATATCACGAATATGCCCTTCGGTTTGAATGCACCATGACTGGAAAACTACGAGGGAGCACACGACTGTAATTCCTGACCAGAAGTAGATAATTGTTTTGAGCGGCAAAAGTGCTTTGCAAGATTCTCCAAGATAGGGGTCTGACACAAATGAAATGCGCACTGCGTAGCAGGTGTATCATCATTATCATGATTGTATCAGTAAATAAAATAATACATCGATGATCTCCGCCGGATCTGGTTTAAAGTCGCCGCTCTCCGGGCGCCAGTAAAGCTTAATCTCCCGCATCTTCTCCGGGCCTTGTATTGGATTTGGATCAACCATTCAGTCAAAGGGTCGGGGCGATATGTGCACAGCCATTGTTTGAGCCTCTTCCGCATACTACACGCTAGTCTAGGCCAAATAGTAATGGTTGATTATTCTCAATTCCAAAATTGGTTTTACCCCTGCTCGGATCTGATAAAACCAAGTTTCGACAGATCCTACCCGAACCATTGACAGATAGTGGGCCTCAAAAGGTCCACATAGTCAACTTTAAGGATGAGGCTGACAGACCGCCACTACAGCAGCAACCCAGCTTGACAGCGAGACGGCGCAGAAAAAGCCGTTGAACTTTTTTCCCCAGCAGCCGGCGAACTACTCTACGTTCCACTTGGTGATCTATGATTCATCCTGAAGCGGTCGTGAGCAACAGACAGCGGTGTCCTCATGTTCCTCGAACCGCGTTCTTCGGACTAGTCACGACTATAGCCCACCGCCAACCTACCAGGACCGTAAACATCGTACTATGTACTAGTATTAGCATTACACGAGTTCCGACCCCGCCCTCCCGAAAATGGCTCGGCTGAAAAGCCACCCGTGCTTGACTGTGCTCCATATAAGCCATATGTGAGCACGGTGATTCGCAGTCCAAAGGGACTTATGACGTGCATTTTATATCCCTAGTTCCCAGACGGTGAACCTCTGTGTCAAGCTCGTCCCTGCTTCGTCCAGAAATCTGTCGCTGTCCAATCAGTTACACACTAATTAACCGCTTGCAAGCCTGACTTATAGTTGCCGAAGGGACAGATTTCGTCCCATCATCGGCGAGGAGCACACAACTCGGTATGGAGAACCCACGATCTCCCATTCTGGATCTCCATTTTTGGAAACGTCTCCATTCAAACTGTAGTTTCAGCTGCCGGACCTTGTGTTTTGACCTGGCAGCCAAACGATGGGATAATCCCCCTCCCCAACTCAACATGGACGACGCTTCTACTCGGGAGATCGTCATAACCCCGGAAATGGATCCTGACCGCTTCTACATTTGAACTCGTGCCGAGGTTTGAATCTTGTGAGGGGTTTCGGAAGACCTGTGTTGCTATTCGCAGTCGTAATTACTCGGTCAACTCGACACACCACGGCGGTGAGGCTCCAAGGGAACCCCCATCACGTTGACGGCGCTTATGACTTCGAAGAGCCATGGCAGCTCGCCCCACGAGAGATCCGAGGTGCCCGAAGACATAGGCATGTATCTCTACATCAGAGTCTCGTTGACACTATGCAATCGTAGACCTTGAAATTTTCTGGATTTGGTGCAGTGATTTGGGTAATTGTTTTGGCTTTCGGTAAGTTGTGAGTCAGCTGCGTGGAAAAGTAAATACGAGCTACGGAGAAATACTACCACCGCCCGATGCGCACTTGCATATAGGCGGCGAACATATCATCAGGTCGGCCGAATCCGCCACAATCGCCTGACCTACTGGGTCCCTACGCCGTCAATGAGTTGGTTTTTCTCAATTGGTCCGTCTGCTCGTGCGTCCGCACAAAAAAAGCAACTAAGAAGTAATATGATAGTGGGCAAAATCTAGGCCCCAGCCTCTCGAATTATCATGGAAGGCTTGATAGCTCCCACATGGCCGGGCAGAGTGCCAGCCGTTCCCATTCTTCTATGACTCGCCCACATGCATCGTGGCGTTTGGGTTGCGGTTGACAGACGGGAACTTGACAAGGGCATATTTGAGGCGCGAGTACGTTCGGCGGCAGAAGCATCATGCACCACCAAACCCTCCCACTCAATGTGGCAGAAGATTAAAGAAATTATGCGCAGTTTCTGGGCGAAACCTTAACAGTAAATTGTGGAACAAGTATACGATATGTACGATATCGCACAGAGGTCCACCATGTGGAATCTTAACAAATCATTGCAAAGATTGACGATACTGCTAGGGAACGGTGGATATGAACACACCACTCCTTCGGTGTTAGTAATATCGTTGAATGTATAAGTATATATCTAGTATCTGTAGTCCCACCATCATATGATGCATCGCAATACATGACCAGCCCATGCCCCAGTACTTAGATCTTCATTGTAGCTTTTTGGTTTGTGACTTGGCATGGATATATGTTCCAATCCTATACTCAAGTCAAATGTTCTGATCTGGCTTCGCTTGTGTGGCACTCATATGGTCTCAGAATCACCTATGAGCACAACGAGCCGCTGTCACACCAGGAATGATTGTGATTATATGCTAAGTTTCGTGTCAGATCGGACCATCACACTCTGGAACCCAAAGACTTAAGACCCTAGTGATACTGAAAATGCTTCTATGAGACTATTTTCCCCCTCCCGAATTCGCTCGTGGGTTATATGTATGTGATCACTTTTCGTTTTTTTTACAGTCGTTGTTATGGCAACTATGACTACAACTAAACGTTCGAATAGGTCTGTCTATGAATATCGCATTTAACCATTTAATTACTGGTTTATCTTTTTGCAACAGATCAGACCTGTAGCGTCACACTGGTGTATATCATTGACGCGGTTTAACGCCCATTACCCCTTATCCCACTAGTTCCCCGTTTAATATGTCTTTATATCCTCGTGTTTTATGATCACGAAGACTCCTCCGGGACTATACTCTACCCGCTCTTTGAGTTCGCAGTAAGGAGCTACCGTCATTTCATGAACCTCCTCATAATATTTGAAAACCACCGGACTGGCGTACAAAAGATATTTTGCCTCCTCTTGAATGGTTTATTTTCTGGGCCATGAACTTCTCTCACATTATCCGAAGACCGTGTATGGACACATTATATCTATAGCATAAATTGAAATGCAGATTAGCCAATGATTTCGCGGTTCTCGATGGGGAGAAAGCGGCGTGTGGCTGAATGTGCCGGTGCATCAAGTCCCGAAGGTTGAAAGGATCGGTATAAATCCAGGGAGTGGTTGCTAAAGCTCTCATCATCTCACCAAGTCCGTCAATAGTGTAGTTCACATTAGCTTCGTCTGCTCTTCTTTGGGATATATCCCCAACGCACAGCGCTAGAAATAGAAATCCAATAGTCGAGGCGTGCTCGCATCGAAGGCGAGAAGGTCAGGAGGTTGTGTACGCCTCCCTATCCATCGACGCGACGAGAAATGATGCATCACTCCAGATGCTCGCGCCGTGAGTCCACTGGCGGAGTCCTGCGCCGAGCTGGTCAACAAACGGGATCCGTCGTTCGCGGGCGCGGGTTCTCGCTCACCATGTGATCGAGAGTGTTTCATAAATCGTTCGTGGTGGCCGGCGAGATACTTGAAGAATCATCCGGCCCACAAGCTTTCAATTACAGTTCGAAGGCTACATTCGAGATTGGCGCTGAAAAAAAAAAAAAGGGTATTTCACCTGAAACCACTCACAACCATCAACGCGAGCAGAGCTTCGACGGAGAGATAGCCTTTCCATACGCCTTAATACAACTTATAATTATCCGGCCGTCATTCGTCAGGTTCTCATGTATATGCTGTGGGCCTAGGTGACTGGGCTCTTCGAACGACTCCTCAGGAGCTGTGACCAGAAGGAAAAGACAACATTGATTGCTGGCTTGTATCTGGTGTCTCCAGATGCTGCAGGTGATCATTGAGGTTTTTCGTTGTTGCATCGCAACTGCAGAAGCCATATGACACGCACGCTGTGTTCTCAGAACGAGAAAAAAAAAAAAAAAAGAAGAAAAAAAAAAAAAAAGAAGAAAAAAAAACCCCTTGAACATTTCAGGTATATAAGTGAAGTTCACAATGTGCTGACGAGGATGTTAATATCTGCATGTCTTGAAAAGTATGGCGCAACAAAATGTGAGGGTCCTTGGACAAGATTCTGGTGGTTATCCCAGAGGTTTAGAAAGGTTGAATTTGGTGCAAAGCCGGCATTCCAGTTATCAGAACGCAGTGCAACTGTCTTGATCATGTCAGTACATATACTTATATCTTCTCTTTGAGAAACAACAGCTACAAAGTCGAAATCTTGTTAATCGGATTCACCCAATAAGTACCTCTAGATCTATAACCACATCCTATGAATCATAATCATCAAAGTTATCGTCATTTGCCAAGTTTTACTTCAGTACACATCAGTGTTATCATAAAAGCATAACAGGATCAAATAACACTGCAAAAAAAAAATATGCAAAAAAAAAACTCTATTATATCACTACAGCATACCTATGTCTGGAGAGTGTCATACCAACCAATCAGTCTTACCTCTAGTCCATGATAAAATTACAAACTCATGCGCAACACCAAGAACAAGACCTTTTACCGATGCCCGAACTTCAACAAAATTCTACTCATCACTCTCCTGTGTCAAGTCCGTATTGATCACAAGATCGTCCTTATTCTTGAGATGCATGACAATGGTCAAACCCTCAATACCCAGCGTCGAATCCTCGCATGCGGTTCCATGCTCCTCTGTCTCGACACGTCCCATAGTAGACATTTCAGCCTTGAGCTGTCGGACCTCAGATGTGAGATCCATATAACGGTCCTTCCAGCTGCATTCATGGTTTGGCGGCGGCACGGCCGAAGGACGATGCAGATCAAGGTCCGACCGCTTGTCGACGCGCGTCAGTGCCTCTTTGCGGCCCGAGGTGAAATTGGTGGCCTCGTGATCACCTGGCGCCGTTCCCTGTTCACGACGCTGGCTAGGGAGGAAACGCTTGGGTTGGAGGATCTGCACCGGTGTAGAGAAACCACTGACCGTAGGCCTGTCGGAAGGTGCTCGTTCCGGACGATCTCTGTGGTTCTTGCTTTTCTCGACACGGAGGCGATTCAACTCAGCCTCTGCCTGGACAGTGGCTTCTTTGTAACGCTCCTGGAGATGCTGACTTTGGTGCCGGAACTCTTCCAGGTACTCCTCGGATGCTGACATTGGAGTCTTTTGCGCTTCAGTGGCACGGTGTGTGTCTTGAGCCATTAGTTTTTGAGACGAGTAGAAATCGTTCCCGATGCCCAGATGCTCCAGCCATTCTTCACTCCCGGTCTTCTTGATTTTCTTGTTGGAGGACTGCAATTTATCCAGTTGCTTTACTCTCTCTGAGATTGGTAGGGGAGGTTTCAAATATACAGGTGACCTGCGTTCTTGAAAGGAGGATTTTGAACGACTGGGCGAGAACTGAACTTCCGGATGATGACTCTTCCATGCAGTGTGTGGTTCAAATGAAGAGACATGACGAAGCTTTTGATGCACCCACTTCTGGTCAGCCTGCTTTCGAGGGTGTTTCAGCCAGTCTGGTGGAGTAGTCATTCGGGCTGATGGGATATCGGTTTTGAAGCCGCCTGATTGGGCTGCATTCCCACTCTGAGCCTTCATTAGCTCCGCTTCCTGAATCTTCTGCTGCAAGGACGAAATCTTCCTGGTAGCAGCATTTGTCGCATTCTCGGAAATTTCGTGTGCAGCTTCTCGAGTTGTGTGGACTGACTGTTTCTGAGCAGATGTTTCTTGTTTTCTCACACGAGACCGAGCTTCCTCGGTTGCATTATTCCAGAACTCTGCAGATTCAAACCTTCTGACCCTATTGTCCACGTGATGACGGCTTGTAGCCTTACCAGCTTCTTCCGTTCCCGTTTGGTCGTGGTGTCTAGCGCGATGGCTAATTTCATTATGCTGTTTGCGTGTTTCCCCGTGATGATGAGCAGGCGATGTCGTATTATTAACTGTCCTATGGTGGGCGAAGTGTTCGCTGTTACTACTTTCGTCGCCTTTATCAAGCCTGCCAGATTGTACATGCCTTAATTTGTGCGAAGGATGCCCGGAAGGGACAGGATTTTCGGAATATTCATCTGTAGTCAATTTTGTAGAGGCTTGCACAGGCGTTAACGGCTTGAGATGTTTGAGGTCAGCCACATGTGAACCCGGTCGCTTCCGAAGTCTGCTACGTGCTGTCTCGGATGCTTTAGCTTGCAATTCTGCGAAGTCACGCCCTGCACCTGCAGCAAGATGTTCAGATATATGAGATGCATCATGAAATCCAAGTGAGTGGTGCGTGTGTATGTCGTCATGATCGTCATGAATATCTTCCATGTGTGACGTACCATGGCCCTTCCGTTCTGCATTAGGTAGCGCCTTCTTCAAAATCTCTCTTGTTGCAGCATGGCTGGATTGTTGCGATATATCATCCTTTCCACCGGCTCGTTTATCTGCAACTAAGAAGGGATTCTGTTTTAGAGCTCCAGTCTGTCGGTTACGTGGTTTGCCTGCTTCTGTGAACCTTGACTGAATTTGTTGATGCCATCCGGATTCATGCTCCGTCAATATTTTGTCCGGCATCTTGTGGTTTGTGCTTCCCATACTTGAAGAACGTCTAGGCACGGCGAAATGATGTTCTCCGTATTTCATCTCGGTATGAGTTTCTTCGCCATGCTCGGTTTTGGTTGTATGCTGCGACTCGTAGTGCTTGGTAGTAGTAGTTGTTTCGACAACTTCTTGTTGTTGCTGCGTTTGCTCAGATGATGCTTCTTCTGCTCTTCTACTTTGTCGCTCACAGGCGCAGCGGCCACAAAAGCGATGACCGCAGGCTGTACATTGTGATGGTGCTAATGTACGATAAGAGCAGACGTGGCAGATGTGACAACATAGTCTCGGGCTGTTGGCCCCATCTCTAGACAGTGACAGATCCGAGTCTTGCTCATCGGACAGCCAGCCAGCAGGTTCCGATATTCCAAATTGGTGGGATAAGTCTATAGTTGATTTACGTTCCAATTCGACGTTAGCCACGTGTATAGAGTTGCTAGAGCACGTGGAAGCTCTTCGGCCACGGATCAGTCCGGTCGATACAGCTGAACGAAGGTGGCGAGATTGCTGGGCAATGCAGGCTGCGCAGTCAGAATTGTGACCATTGTCTACATGAACATGAGCAATGGCTTTGGAATATCCATGAATATCACTATGTTCCTAACGAGCGACTTTTGAGCCAACATAAGAATGTTCAGGCCGAGCGAAATGGGCCGGTGAGCGCTGTCCCTAACTAATGAAGACGTTCTCTCGATCCCATTCGAGTAGTAAATTCGTCGACGGTCGCAGGTCTCGAGGGATAATACCATGCGGCTGACGGATTCGGCAGGTGATTGTGCCACCAGGGATGAGATCACTTGATGGTTCATGGCTGGAACCATCGAAAGCAGAGAATTCAAACTCGTCGTCCGATGCAGTGGCTGAGCCGTGCAAGAGTGTGGCCATCACGTCTGGAAGATCATGTCCATGATCTGCATGCCTCGGGGGATCGGCTAATTGGTTGATAGTATGACCTGTATTCAGTGAAAATTTACTAGAGACTAACGATACCAGATCGACGGAGTTAGCTAGGGGAATGAGGTTCATGTCGTTAGAATGCTACAAGCAGAGGCGTAAGGTCGGCACAGCGTCCTCGTGGCAAAACATAGGTAAGGCTTCGTCGTAGGTTACATGGCAAGTACGATGTGGCCTGAAGAAAGCACGCAGGTAATCAGGGAAGGAGCGTGTATCGAGACATCAACAATGCTGAATTCACACGGCCGTGCCTATGCTGATTATAGGAAAAGTTCTTGATGTACACGTTGCAGACCCTTGCACTCCACTATACGCTCTATTTCAGGACAGCTTGCAAGCTCTCCAGAACCTATACATTATTAGCATCATGGGTTTCATTGGGGATGACGTAGTAATTCGGGCAGACGCACCTCCAACTCAATCTTGGCCTCAGCAATATCCTGCTCGCTGCCGCTACCGTTGGCAATCTTCTGAGCTTCCGAGATTTGGGATCGCACAGCCTCGGCGCTGAAGTCCTCGATGGAGTAACCCTCGATAGCGTTGATGCTCATGACGGAGTTGGGCTGAACAACGGCAAATCCACCGGACACTATACGCAGTCAGCACTTCCAAGTTGCTCCTTTTCTTCTTTTGTCGGGTTCTCAACTGTCGCTTCGTGTTCACGTACGGAAGAATTGCTTGCTGCTGCCACCATCCTCGATGACCTCGATCAGACCGGGCTTGAGCTGCTCGATGGCGGGAACGTGGTTGGCGAGGACACCCATCTCTCCGGACTCGGCAGGGATGTTGACCTGGACGACATCTTGGGACTTGTAGATGGCCTGTTGCGGGAATTAGTCGGGTCCGTCTTTCAACCTGCACCTCGATTGTCGCGCCCGTGATGCAACCCGATGGCGTTCGTCTGTCATAGTTCGCTGCTTCATCGTGGGTCTCGTACCTGGTGGGGAAGAGCCAAGCTCAACTTGATCTGTGATGGAGTCAGTGACTGCTGGGAAGGGAAAACTGGGATAGCTCGGATGCAGTTGGCAACGGACCTTGTCAGGGGCAGCATCAGCGTAAGTTCGGCGCTGCAGAGGAGCGCGGAAGACTGCGGGACGAGCTCGCAGAGCTCTGCTGGCGACGCGAAGAGTGTTCATGATGGGTGGTGGTGCCAATTGAGGATATGCGTATCAAACCAGCTTCGGGTACGGGTACGCTCACGATGGTCGTCAATCGCAAATTGAGGAATAATGTTGCTCTCGGGACGAATCGGCACCTGCGCTCCGAGTGCACGGACCAAGTTAGTTGGCTTTGGGCTTCCTTCGGCTTCAGCTTCAGCTCAAGCTCAGTTTTTTTTATAAAATAGCAAGAAACAGACACATCACGTGATGTTGCATTCATTGTAAACTGATTTGACAGAGCGAATGTCCTACGGATCTGCTACATCTACTGCGCAGAGCTTCAAAGCTTCGAACCTCGCATCATAAAATCGGTATCATACAGAATCACTCGTGCCGCATAACAATATAAGTCTGCCATCGATATGCTGTGTCGAATTACGACAAATGTTGCTTACACCTGGGCTACTTCAGCTGTGCTGAATTAATCGATTATGATAGTTGCTCACCACCACACCAGAACGGTGTAGTAAGCACCATACAAGTTTCATCGTACTGTCCATGATGTTGCGGCTTTGAAACAGCTGCGTATCCTAAGAAGTTGTCTTGGCATGCACCCGCGAGGCCTGCGTTCTGCCGTGTCACTGGCCCTCCAAATGGGATATCTTAGATACAGCCAAAGGCCGCACAATATTTCAAAGCTTGGTTGTGGTACAGCATCAACTAATTAGCTTAAATAAATGCCTCAATTATACAGCATCACGCAACTTGAACACAAACACAGCATACGCACAACCCCCACATCCTAACCCGTAACTGCCACATCGAAATGGTCCGAGGATGAAATGAGGCCTCGTGATCCACGAGGAATGCGAGAAACAGTAAGCGATGTTTCCTCCTATTTTCACGGTAATACTACCGTATCACATGCTGCACTCCTCGTTTAGTAGTCAGGGCGCTTGAAGGTACCCTTGAAAATCCGGGATACCCTTTACGTCGCTCTGTAACCTGACTTTGGGGCATGTCCAGTATCATCACGGAGACAATTGAACTTTACATCGAACCATGCAACTACAACTGGGCCGTAGTTCTCCAGTCATTGCCAATTCCCCGGTAGGACTCCAGCCTGGAAACACACTGGTATACTTGCCCCATTAGACCGCCGAAGAGGGGTCCATGGAAGACCGGCATCGTGGGCAATTTGAGGCAGCCAACTCTCATTTAATCCTATGCGCTGATGCCGCTATTCTCTGGTTTCTAGCGTTCCAACCAGAAGAATGCGGGGTCTGCATGTGTAGGTGAAGCCCTAGACAATTGACATGTGGGGTTGAAACAACTAAGAGGACTTGGACAACACTTGTCATCTGCCCATAATTCTACGACGATTCAGCCTCTTAAACTGGAGGTGTGCGATTCTGACCAGCATCCCCAGGCCCTATCAGGCCATAGGTCGCGGAAGCTATCCATGAGCCTGTCGTGCACGACGAATGAAGCCGTGCAACATCAGCAAATGTGGAAAACGAGTGCCTTAGCACCCTCCACACCATGTGTGCCATACGTATGTACAACATGTGCGTTGCTCATGATCGTGGTTACATTTTCCCCGCCCTTTCAAATCAACAGATCAAAGTATCAAGTTATGTAATTTGGACCGTTGCACCAGGATAGTTGGGATGGCTTCCCATGATGGAACCTGTCAAAGAAGGGAAGTCAACCTGAAATGGGGAGCTCAACGAACAACCAAGACAATATGGATGGACCCGATGGGAATCTTGACAGATTCGCATGTTGTTCATCTCCCGTGGTGCCTGTCGCATTAGCAGCCTCGGCGCCTGAATTTGACAACTGACACTGCTGTAGTCGAGTGTAAAGATAGAACCGAGCGTTGCCAAGGACGGTTCGTAGAGCCAAGCTTCGGTATCCTTATGCTTTGCAACACCTGCATATGTCCACAAGCTTGGGATAGAGTATGATGTCACAGGATTTGGGGTGCTACAGATGTGCAGCTCCTCTGGACCGAAGACAAATAGTAATTTCTAATGATGGCACCATAACAATGCACCCCAAAGTCACACAGGACGCACCAAACCTGCGGGTCGAAAAATAATAGCTTTGTTCAAGTTAGCGGCTGATGGTGCAGAACCAATCTGTCTTGTGCAGCTTCCAGCAGCACGACGAGCTGCATGAAAGAGTACGAATGCGGTTGAACTATGTACGCCTTTATTTGCTTGCACAACCCAACTTATGTCAGATCATCATAAACTTGGGCACGTTTCATCAAATGACTATCGCGTGAATCGGTCATGACTGTCTAATCTCATGATTATGCTACCATTGACGGAGCTGGCCAGCTAGCCATGCTGCTTACTTGTGCCCAGCTAGATGATTATAATATCACCTAAGCATTGCAAATTCTATGATGGCGCTAGCAAATATACTTTGAAGGCATGGCTGATGAAAGTCACCGCCTCTCTGGCACTCCGATTCGTGCCGTCGTAAAGTCGTAAAACGGCTTCCAGCGGCGCCAGAACAAAAGAGGATTACGTTCTATTTGTAAACACGAAAAGTTCGACCAGCCACAGTGCTCGCTTGAGATACAATGAAATGAGGATAGCTTCCCTTGATTTGCTGACACGATCAAGTTTGTGGGACTGATTCAGGAAGAACATTTCCAGTGACCCAGCATACTGGCATAGGACGGCCGGAAAGAGACGAGACAGTGTGAATCATGGTAGCGTGCGTGTGTGTTGTGTTTTTGGCACGAAATCAAATCACTCACCAAAACAAAACCTGTTGTGCAGGCTGCACGTCTAGGGCATCACGGTCTGCGAGTCATCGCCAATTTTAGGGGTACTTCATGCACGACAGCATCAAAATCAGTTAGTACTGTACGCATGCAGGGCTGGGTGGAAACTTTGGAGCATTGCTTTAAATCAGATTGGATGGAGGTTTCATTTCAGCAAGCTCAACCATGACACATGGGCTGTACTTGTTTGTGCACTGTCCTGCAAAAATCGTCTCCGGTTCGCGCAGCTTGCCAGCGCCCACAACTGACCGAAATAACCCCCCCAATCCCTACCGTTCGCAGATGCGCATGTAACCCACTGAAGAACACACTGTGTTTCCAGCTACTTTAGCTACCGGCAGCACAGTAAGGTCAATTCATGTACAGAAGACCATGGCCACGCTTGAATCTTTGCACCAATCGCACTATGTCGGACGACCGTTCCGGATGCTAGATGAACTACTTTGTAAGAGTTTTCATTTTCAAATTTTTCTTCTTTTCGCTTTGACAGTGGCTACAAGCCATCGGAAAGGAGAAGTGCGCTCTCAGAAGCTTTACTCAGTTGCGAGACAAAGCCAATCATGGCATGCTGATTTGAGTCTCCCCCATCCCTCCAGGGTCAGGGGGCTTCCATTTCACGAGTCACCCACACAGTTCAAAGACAATCCAGACCTTAAACCCCACGCGCACCCAAGTATGAATGTTACCAACAAAGGCCGTGGCCACCCACTGGAGCACTTTCCGATCTCCCCAAGCTAGTCCGTTGCTACAATGACAAGGAAAACGGAGAACCCTTTCCTCTGCGGCTGCTACCACAAACAGGCAAGCCGGAAGGGAATCCCACACCCCTAATAATCACAGCAACACCCTGCACGAGAAAGTTCCGCTTGGCTGTTTTATTACCCGCAAGCAAGCGCAAGCACGCACCTCAAGCCCAGTCTCCAGCAAATAATTTCATACCGCTTGTTGTCTCCCGTCAGACCGCCCTGCTCTTGTTGGTGGCTGTTCTTATTATTAGTGCCCACTGGTGCTTGTATTTTTGTCACCTCCACTTGCACGCATCCATCCAGCGAGGTATTTGCTAGGGTATCTGATTGAAACCCTCTTTGCTGAAGAGCTTCTCGCTCCTCACATCTGGACTTGACGCGCCGGTTGCGCCCTCACAAAAGCTGCATTCCTCCCACTCTCGGGTCTTGCCATCCACCTATCCTGTCCCTTCCTCTCAGAATTGACTTGCCATCCCCCCCAAAAAACCTGATATTGGGTCTGTACCCATTCAGGCGGGCAGCCAGGATCTCTTTGCTTGGATTCCTTGGAATATCAACCTTGCTTATTTGTGCCATATTTGCAAACCTCGACGTAGTTAGCAACGACGGATTTATTCCCGTTCTACTGAGCCACCAATTCCCGACGTCATATTGGCTCATCTAGGGAAACTTGGGACCCGAAAAAGGCCAAGATTTTCCAAGGGACCTTTTGCGCCCGCGCCCTGCATCTTGGTGCAGATCCTACCATACGTCCACTCAGCAACTGCCACCACCAAGACACTTCCCGCCGTTGCGATTCCGTAGTGCCACCCGCATTAGACGGCACTTGTGACCATTCTTGTCGACAATAACATCACAAATCCCTACCGAAAGCAAATCAGCCATCTACTCTCCTACTACACAACCACACAACCTTCGATCATTCCAGTACATCAAAGTTCAGCATGGGCTCCCAATTATAGCAACACGGTCCCTAGGGACAACTCTCGAACTTCCTGAGGCCTGCACATGGTGCAACCTTCGAAAGCTCCTCGATCAACTCTTAAGTCGTCAACGATTCTAGATTTCCGACCGCTTTCTTGTTGTTCATACTGAAATTGTCTCACACATTTCGAGTATCTGTCCCAATCGCAGCATAGAACGACTTCACGACTCCTCGATATTGTCCCTGGCTCACCCGGACCCCTTGCCACTTGCGCTTGGCAACGACCGAGGAGTGTTTTTACTACCATAACTCTCTCTCTCTCTCCCACTCTCTCACATATACAAAACCTCAGATAATCATGCACAACGAAAGGATACACGATGCGGCCACGTCAAATGTATTGGCGTGGTCGCGCCAAAGCGTACACACGCAGCATGACCCTGATGAAGAGGTGTCGGCTGAAGCCGACGAGCCTCCGGACGATAGTACTTTCCGGAGAACTGTTGTACGGAAGTATTCGGATCGTCCCACTCCGTCCCTTTTGACTCGGGCTTTACATCACCAGTCCGACGAAGAAGAGGAGGTTCTGGATTTCATAAGTCTTCCGTTGAGGCGCCGCTCGATGAACAGCAACGTCAGCTTTGCTTCTACGACGGATCTTACCTGTGATACAGGCCTCACAAGTCCAGCTAGGACGAGCACGCCAAGCCCTCCGCCTCCTGTGATCCGGCTTGGCAAGTTGAACGTGGGTCTCTTCAACTCCAGGCCCAAGCCGGTCAACGGATCAACAATTGTTGTTGACCACGATACAACTCCAACTAAGAAGGTCATTGAGGCGCCTGCTGCAAACCGAACAAAGGACCCTGCCGTTGAGGCGCTTGCTAAGAAGCGCTGCATTTCTTTCGCCTGTGGACCGAAACCCGAGGCAAAGAAACCTGCAGTTTCACCCCAGGCAAGCTTGCCCAAGCTAGCCGTTGACTCCGGAAACCCACCTCCACGCAAAACCTGCATCCAGTTCGCTTGTCCCTCGAAACCAGCCCGTGACGAAAAGGTGAACAAGGACGCAGAAAGCACCAGTCGAGAGGGCTCTCCAGCGACAATCAGGAAGCACAGATCTCCCTCGATTGGCCGCTCACCTAGGTCATTGACACCCAGGCGCCGACCGTCTAAAAGTCCAGCAGCAGGCAGGTGCAAAAAGTACCTATCGGCTGATACCGTTGACCTCAGGGGAGAATCATCGCGATTCCATGAATTCGCTAGTGATGAACCACAAGAGGATGACTGGATTCGTCAGCAGCTTCCAGTAGCTACACAACGACTGACTATAAACGATACTCTGCGAAAAGAGAATGAAATTCGTAAGTTGGGTCGTGAGGCTGAGGAAGAAGCTCTACAAGAAGAGTTTGAGGACGACGAGGTCATTCAAGACGATGAGGAGAACCAAGACGACGAGGATGTCGAGGAGGATGAAATTGATGATGTTGAGGACGATGAATCAGGTTACGGTTCTGATGATGATTTCTCGGATGGCTACAACACGGACAATGAGGGTGGCTTTGCCGACTCCGATGGTGATGACGATGCCGACGAACTCGATCTGTGGACGCACGGACATGCTGCTATGCTTCAAATATCTGGTGCCACGCCCATTGCGCGTCGCCCTTCCCTGGCGGGTGACCGATCTGAATCCTCGTCCTCAGAAGCGCCTGCTCCGAGAAGACGCAGTACTGGCGAGAAGACGCGTCGTATCAAGATTCGACCTGGAACCCCAGAGTTGCCTGATAGCACTGACTTCGTCTGCGGTACCCTTGATGAGGATCGTCCCTTGGAGGACGCCTACCTGTCCTGCATCGCCCAAAAGCGGCGCGAGAAGATGCATCTTATTCCTCAGGATATTGATCCTAGTTTTCCAACATCCGAGCCTGAAGACGAGGAAGACGACGCCGTCCGTGAGAGCGATGAGCACGTGATGATCCACGGCGAATTGGAGGATCTACACCACGAGGACCGCGCCGACCGCCGAAGAAAGAGGAGCAACAATAACTCACCAAAGCGCTTCCACTCACCTCCACCGAAGCGCCATCACTCTCCGGCGCCGAAGGCTCGTGGAAGATCACCACCACCCCGAAGATTGTTCGATCGCCATTCTCCTAGACGCCTTGTGTCACCTCCCCCTCCGGGACGGGTGATCAAGTCCCCTCCTGCCTCCCTTACGCAAGCCGTCGTTCGCAGAGCCGTCGCTTTCCAGACGCTGGCTGGCAAGCCTGAGATCACGCATACCAAGTCGCTACCAAGACCTCTGGCCTTGTTTCCCAACAGGTATAAGGGCCAGCGTTCAAGGCTTGCAGCCTACACCGGCGCTCAAGGCCATGTCCGTGGTGCCATCGACATCGTCAAAGGCCTTGAGCACAAACGCCAGAGGCGTCGGGAGAAATACATTCAGAAGCATTGCAACCGAGCCCGCAAGGGCCAGGCTGCCGGCAAGAGGCCAGAGCCTGGCAAAGGTGCGCAAAGAATGCGTGAACTGGGTTTGCACATCGCTGGCAAGCCAACCATCCATGTCCTCTCAATTTGAAGGGGTTTCTTGGCTTTTTCTACAATATCTCATGGGGGCATTGAGCATTTTCTTGTTCTTGGGAGCATTTTCTAAGGGACGCTGCATCATTTTGCATATTACTAGTCTCGGGTGTACATAAAGCTTTCTGTAACGAATTTCCTTTTCATGACCGCGACCCTCGCTGGAGGGGCGGAATCACATCGTCTAGCATTTTGGCGGCCGGCTCATTGCAATTTTAAGGATACCATTGGGGCAAGGCATTATTACATAGCATTAGGCGGCGATCCGGTGAATTTGCAAATGGAAACACACCGTCACCAAAGGGTGGCAGGTTCTGACACTACATGAATCACTGATTGTCTCCACGAGGTGTTTGTGACGTGCTTGCTTTCGACGCTGTTTGTGGCAATTTCTAACACTGCAAGCAAGAATGTGTGGCACGGCGTGGAGATGCTAGCTCAGCAAGATATCTTACTGTAATGCTCGTTGGAAAAAAAAAAAGGAAAAAAAAAAAAAAAAAGGTAGGGAAAAGGGGGAGGAAACGGGGGACAATGAATTCCACTGCCTTGCTTTGGTGTCGCCTGGCTACTTTGTATGGCATTCACAATACCTCCCTCCGCTGTCATTAAGAGATATACATCGGTAAGTTAATTGATGGTTGTGATTGATTGATTGATTTGATAACTGTAGATGAGCTGTGGCCTGGTATCTGAGGCCACAATTAACAGCTGTTGATCGAGTTCTGATTGGTTCTTGTCACAAGTTCTTGCCAGCACTTGCTTTTGGCTAGGTTTGCCCAGGCCCCGGGTCTGAGCGACGTAACTGCTAAGTAACTCAAGTTTATCTTTCCATTGTCGTCGGTTGCATAGCAATTTCAACAGCTGCATCAACTCAAAGGAGTTTATTAATAACTCTTGCCGCCCACACCAGCGCTTTTCAGCATCTCGACGACCTGCTTTCCGACCAGATCAGAACAAATCAAACGCACACACGACTTTCTTCACCAACATGTGGATCATCAACTGGTGTACGTTCAGAACTCGATGCAACATCCCTTGAGGACCTTGATGCTATCTGTCCCGTCATCGTTCGCATTCCTCGAAGCGATTCATAAGCTGACATGGAATCTTTACCAAACAGTCTACGACGTCCTATCGTCGCTCGGTCTGCTCAACAAGCACGCCAAGCTCCTTTTCCTCGGTCTCGACAATGCCGGAAAGACAACACTGTTGCACATGCTGAAGGTGCGTGATCAAATTCCGAATCATGAGCAGATGGCGTCATGGGAATGAGCCAGAACTGCACGACACGAACACCTAGTACTCGGACAAAGAGACGCTGATGCCATACACTTCTAGAACGACCGAGTTGCCATTCTGCAGCCTACCCTCCACCCTAGTATGTTATTCCTATTGCGAAACTCGCATCTCTGGGTATCTCCTTGATACAAGCACGTGGACGCATACTGACAACGCCCTAGCTTCCGAGGAGCTCGCCATCGGTAACGTGCGATTCACAACATTTGACCTGGGCGGTCACCAGCAAGGTACGCTTCCTTTGGGCACGACGGTCGCCTTCCTCGAGATACGGCGGTCCTTTGGTCAGGTAGAATACATAACGGCTAACAATATGCGCGCAGCCCGCCGTCTTTGGAAGGACTACTTCCCTGAGGTCAACGGCATCGTCTTCCTAGTCGACGCCAAGGACCACGAGCGCTTCCCCGAGGCCAAGGCTGAGCTCGACGCTCTTCTGTCCATGGAGGAGCTTCAGAAGGTTCCCTTTGTCGTCCTCGGCAACAAGATCGACCACCCCGATGCCATCTCCGAAGAGCAGCTGCGTCACGAGCTCGGTCTGTACCAGACGACAGGTAAGGGCAAGGTGCCCTTGGAGGGTATCCGCCCCATTGAGGTTTTCATGTGCTCGGTCGTCATGAGACAAGGTATGCTGAGCCATTGGAGTCGCGTAATGAAAGGGAGACATGCAGCTAACATGTGCCAGGCTACGGTGAGGGTATCCGCTGGTTGTCCCAATACGTCTAAGCACGCCGCTTTCAGTATAGGATGCAGTCAGCATCTGCCGGCATATCCAACGGTGTGGCATGCAAAACCGGTGAAGAAGAAAGCTTCCCACATGGTGTGTACGAAGGTGACAACGTTGATGATCTGCACGCTTGATCAAGTGGGGAATGGAGTTTATTATGACATCTTGCTGCTTGCATGGTTCATCTGCTTTTTCTATTACATCGTCTGCGTTTTCTTACAGGGCTTCTCGGTTCTATGGGAGTCCCAAGGCAATAGAGGCAAATCGCAAAATTTGAATTAGCATCAAGTCCGTGCTGGATTATTTTGCTCTCTACCAAGGGAACAACTATGAAGCTGATGAATGTGGAGTGTAGATTTTTGTGTGGCTGGTAATTTATGAGCACCCAGCATTCAAGGGCATAAATTCTAGATGCTCGAGATATGGCTGGCTCACATATGTCTCACACTCAAGTTGGTCCGGTGAACACTATGATTGGGGAAATACCGTTGGTACTCCAAATCACCGATCATCAAATTTGTGTACTATGTTACCAGAACGCGATTTGCTCAAAGCGATCAGCATCTTTGATTTGCACACGAACGCAGACGCACACCCGGCAAAGTCTGACATTAACCTCTCACGTCAATTAAAAGTAGACCTTAAGGAGCCCCGGGCTATAGAACGGAGACTTTTGTTGGGGACATGCGCCAGATGCTAGAGGCGACAAACATGTAAAAAGAAAAAGGAAATCTCCCGATGTTCATATGTTTGTGGTTCCTCGGGCGCAGAAGCTCCTGCAAGATCGTGCTCGTGCTCGTGTGCCCGCCCCCCTGTCGAGATCAAGTCCAGGGGTCTCACCTACCTGAGCGAGGCTCGCTAAAGCCCCCTGGCCCTCCCCCACTTCTAGCGCTTCCCCAACCAAATTAGAGCCCGAGAACCCCGTGGCTAATGCCGACGTCATTTCGATGTTGAGCTGTGGCTACATGTCATGTACATGCAATTTGTACTGTACCATTCCTCGATTACCTCCGCGAGAGCACATGAACGCGACGCCACGGGATCTTACGGGGTTTTTTTTATAACTTATTTATTCTTCTACTTTCTTCCACGATAACTGTCCCACGACACGGAATCACAGTCTGTGCTCCCATGTCCCGGCTTGCTCAACACAACCTGTAGACTCTCATTATGCAACAACCGTTCAGTCGCCGCTACTGCGATCATGGCGTCTGAAGAGAATAAGCAAAAGAGCGGCCCCACGCCCGCCGAGGAGGTCAAGGCCGCCCGCAAGGTGACTTTCTTTGGTCTGGGGAAGCCTTATCACGACTACGGCTTCCCACCCGAAGCCTTCGACCACACGCGACTCCCTGATGGCGACGTGGATTTCCTCTCAGCCGAGGACCTCGAGGCATTTGCACAGGCACTAGCTGCACCCGATCCGATCAACAACTCCAATGATGACGGCTCGTTGCTCAAGAGCCCGACCTTGGGCCGCAGTGGTAGCAGCGCCAGCCAGTTCGAACGCCAGCCCTCCCCGAGCCCGTCCTTGTCCCTGGCCGGCAGAGAAAAGAGTGCGACGGCCAAGATCAGCGATCGGAATAGACACGGCAGCCAGGGCAGCCTGCTCATATCCGCCCAGAACGACTGGGCACCCGTGAACGAGAAAATAGGGAAGCGGCGCCGAAAGAAGCGCAAGGCGCTTGGCCGCAGCGTCGACGAGGCGCGAGAGGGCTATCTTTACACTCTGCTCCGCTGGCCTTTCCTCATGGGCACCTTGGCGTGGATCATAGGCCTAGGCGCCGCGTATCTGTGCACGAGGCTCTATGTGTGGGGCTACGAGTACTTTATCGCTTGGAGGGGAAAGAGAGAACAACTGCGTCGAAACATGCGGGCTACGAGCAATTATAAGGAGTGGTCCGCCGCTGCCAAGGAGCTGGACAAGTACCTGGGCAACGACAAGTGGAAGCAGGAAAACGAGTATGCTTATTACGACTCGAAAACGGTTCGTCGCGTGTGGGAGCAAATCAGGAAACTCAGACGTGAGGCCGAAGAGCAAGAGAAAGGCAACCTGTCGGAAAAGCAAAGGAACAGGGAAGGGAAACGTCCAATAGAGGAGTTGACAACCCTGATCGAAGCCAGTGTCAAGAGCAATTTTGTGGGCGTTGAGAATGCCAGGTTATACAGCGAAACGTACTTTGGCACCAAGAACCTGGTGCAGAACTTTATTGAAGAAGGTCAGTGGCTCTGTGCAAGGTCCACGAGAACGGGAAGTTGCTGACATGTCAAACAGTCGAGAAGAGTACACGCCTGCTGGTTGATTCAAACCAGCTGCCTCTTGAGCAGAAGCAGACTTTATTCAAACATCTGCATGCCAACTACGGTCGCACAGCGCTATGTCTTTCCGGTGGTGCCACATTCGCATATTACCATTTTGGAGTTGTGAAGGCGTTGCTAGAGGCAGACCTGCTGCCCGAAGTTATAACTGGTACGAGTGGCGGTGCCTTGGTCGCGGCGCTCGTTGCCACACGCACAAACGAGGAGTTGAAGGAGCTTTTGGTCCCTGCATTGGCACACAAGATCAAAGCCTGCTCAGAACCAATAGCCACATGGGTCACCAGATGGTGGAAGACTGGCGCCAGGTTTGACTCCATGGACTGGGCGCGTCAGTGCGCCTGGTGGGCTCATGGATCAATGACCTTCCGAGAAGCGTATGAGCGGACAGGTCGCATTCTGAATGTCTCCTGCGTACCAGCCGACCCGCACTCCCCAACCATTCTCTGTAATTATTTGACGAGTCCAGACTGTGTCATCTGGTCAGCAGTATTGGCCTCGGCTGCGGTTCCCGGCATCCTCAACCCGGTAGTGCTGATGATGAAGAACAAAGATGGAACTCTAAGCCCCTATTCCTTTGGCCACAAATGGAAAGATGGCAGCCTACGGACTGATATTCCCATCAAGGCACTGAACTTACACTTCAACGTCAACTTCACCATTGTCAGCCAAGTAAACCCGCATATCTCGCTGTTCTTCTTCTCGTCGCGTGGCACTGTTGGCTCTCCCGTCACACATCGAAAGGGACGAGGCTGGCGTGGTGGCTATCTGGGTTCTGCTACTGAGCAGTACATCAAGCTCGACCTCACAAAATGGCTCAAAGTCCTCAAGCACCTCGAGCTCCTCCCGCGTCCCCTGGGCCAGGACTGGTCTCAGCTCTGGCTGCAGCAATTTGGCGGAACTATTACCATCTGGCCAAAGTCCAAGCCGAGCGACGTACTCCGTATCTTGTCGGATCCGGACCCAGATCGCCTGGCGAGGATGATCCACGAAGGGCAGCAGAGTGCCTTCCCGAAGTTGCAGTTCATCGCCAACCGGCTCAAGGTCGAGCGGCAGATCGAGAGGGGACGCCGGGAGATGATGAATCTACGCAAGGGGAGCTTGGAGAACATCATCGATGAAGATGATTTGCAGAGTCTGCTGCTGAGGGGAAATATGGTCACGGACGACGAAGGGACGGGCAGAAGTGAGGATGACGACGAGGAAGAGGAAGAAGTCTACGAGAACGGTAACTACGAGGATGCCGTGGAGAGCCCCGGCGAGTACAAGGACGAGTTGATTGAGAGTCCTGGAGAGTCTCAGGACGACGATGCGGATGTGGTCGGCGAGGAGGAGAAAAATTCCTAACTCCATGATCGAAAAAGGGAATCGAAAGTGTAAGATGTTTGCGTGATTTGATACCATCATGTGGTTTTATGTTGCGGGTGTCAGGGAGTTCCGAGAAGCGAGAGAGAGAATCCTCTTTTTGTTTGGTTTCTCTCATGACGATAGGTTGTTGTCTCGCCGGAACTAAAGCATAGTTTGCTGGTTATTGTTATAAACGTAGGCATAGGCGTCAGATGGTAGAATCATCAATATGGCTATTGCACTAGTCTTGAATCGAGATGTCGCAGATCACTGGGCATCATTTCCGGTAGGAGCCAAAGGGGCTGCTTCGGTCAACATTGTGTCTACATCGTTTTCGTCCACTCACTGAATTCGAGACGTGGCGGTTAAACCTAGCTTTCGGTGCCCGCATTCGCACACTTGACTCCTGATACCACCTTGTCCGTGGTGCTGTTGCTTGCACGTCCGCTCTCGCGCGGCTCGGTACATATCTATACTGATTCTTCTACCAGAATGCGTGTCAGATCCGAGTTTTTTGCGTCTATAAACAAATCAACAACACACCTCGCCGTGCGCTAACATGCCGAATGACTCTCCAAAAGTCGGTTTTCCAATGACGATCCGTCGTCATGAGCAGCCCGCCATTTCGCTACGTTGAGGCAGCCCCGCCTCGTCATTTTTTCGTCCGTACGTTGGACCGCAAAACGTGCCTTTGCATCGATATGAGGGTGTAAAGGCCTCAGGCTTAGTTCCGAGAGTGGACCTCGCAGCAGGCTGCGGAGGCGACCGTGTACGGCTTCATCCCGCGCACCGAAGAGATTTGACACGCCTGGCAGTATGTCACTGTACCAAGGGGATTTCCAAGAATTTCCCCTGGACCTAGTGAATACGCTGAGCGCCGACGGGGTCGCCGATATGAAATTAGTTTTATACCAGCTCAAAACAACTGCACCCAACGGCTTGTCAAGATATTCCTCTTTACTTCATGCGCTTCTACCGCGATGGCCAAACTCACCGTATGGGAGGTGAAATGAGTACAGGTGTGGTGGAGCACGAGCTGTGAGAGCGTGATACGTCTTCGCACAGTCCGTAAATAAGGTATACGCGGATTCCGGAATCTTGGCAAGAGGACCCTTCAACCTCCGATCTATTACCTACCCAGGTCTCAGGGTTCGAGCAGTACCCCAACGCACGCAGTCAATAGACGCATGTTGAAACGATGTACTGGACGAGTATCAACCAATAATAGCCATAAATGCAAAATTATGAAAACCTTTCGTGGTTGCATTCGCTGCATGGCATCATTATGTGCTGCAGCGCTAGGCGTTGTGATGCCGCTTGTCCGGCCATTCGAGTTGCCGCCAGTTTCCTGTATACCGGTAACACACTCAATGCCATCGTTGTCTATGAGAGCTTGGCTGAGAGGTTTGAGCACTATAGCGGCACAGCCCTCTCCTCAACCGTGACCGTTGGCGCCTTTGTACCGCATACGTGGTCGCGAATCAGGGGAGGCCCTATGCAATTCATGCTCCGCAATATACATCGCTGGGTTTGATATTCACGTAACCCTCGCGATGATCGCACTTGTGGCATCGCCAGCGCGGAGGTATTGGACGTCATAGTGGATGGCAACGAGACAACTTGAACACGCTGTGCCAAAAGTAACAGACGGCCCTCTCAAATCGGAGAAATTCTATACCATATTCGAGACAATGCTGCGTGCGACTCCATTAGCCGCATAGGTTGATATAATCTCGGGGTTAAAGAACGCGGCGAAGATTAAGGAGGACCATGGCTTTCTATAAGATAGATGGAGAGCACACAAATCGAGGAAGTGTAGACCAGTCTACACACGCCTGCCTGGTCATTGACAGATATAAGAGGCAGTGGAGTGCTTGGAAGTTTTCCTATAGTTGGAGTGTAGCGTATGAGTCTTGTGGTATAACTGCTGAAAAACTTAAGTGTCTGAACACTGGAGTGCATCTGCAGTGGTCTTTCGGACAAGGCCTGGGCGCTGGGAAAGAGCATGATTCTTTGGCTGCGTCCGAATCGTGGAGTACAAGCACTGACACCTAATCACCCCTATCAGGTAGCAACCGGCCGAAGCTCATTCATCACCAAAGTGTCTTAAACCTTGCAAAGTACATATGCATGTCTACTTGACCCGGCCTAAACAAAGAGCCGGTGATGAATTACATCAACAGTAGCTATGAAGCATTGCACTGCTTTTGTGTCACACGAGAAGGCGTCCTTAGGTCACACAGGATAGCCACCGAAGGTGCTCAAAAACCATCGTGCAAATGCATTGTCATACTTCCTCTTTCGATGTTGCAAATTGTCAAGGGTCTTCAATCACTCGGTATCAGCAATGGGCCCGAACAATTCTCGAAATTCTTAGATGGTGGACTGGCTATATTTAGTCGCACAAACATCAGCCTTGATCTTCTGCGCTTCCTTGTATCGATGGCGGGTGGCATCGCCCTTGGTAAGACAAAACTATGGTGACACCTGATTACGGAGCCTCGTTGTTTGCTAATGGAAATCTCGACTAATGTTCCCGTTGCGGTAATGTTTCCAGCTTTTATGTTGAGCTTTTACGGAACATTAAACATGACGGCTTGCAGGATCCAATTGGAAATGGCAAGTTCATGACAAACAACCTTTACAGGTAAGTTCCATGCGCAACGTAAGGAGTGGAGTTACGCCGTAAATAAAGCAAACATCGGCTGTAATGCATCCACACTCGTACACTGCAGGCCACTTAGTACCATGTTGTAAACGTCCTTCGAGTAAGAACCTTGAGGTGTAACGCCAATGACGAATTCAAACTCTCCTGTGATACATGTATATCGTGAATCGACTCTCGAAACGATCTCGTCGAGTTCAAAGCATACGACAAAGAAAGCCGTCACACTGCCTGCAGCCGCTCTGGCCTCAGCACCGCTCGGGATAATTTTGAGCACTCCCAGTGGAGCGGTCCCCTGCAGGTTTTAACTCAACGGGTTGGTAACACTGCCGTCACTGTTAGATGCAAGATCTGCGATCAACTGATCACTCCACGTAAAGGTTTCAAGTGCTCTGCTCGATAATGAAAGGTTTATGTATGGGTTGTAGAAATTTTTATATCTGGATCAAATCAGACCTATACCCAAGGTTCTCTGCCTACGAACCTGCCTACGAACATGCCTACCTGCAGGCGTTCTTTATTTCCCATTGTTTTGTAGCATATTCATATTGGAACTGAGTTACGAGAGGTTGCTCCAAGTGTTAGCCCGGTTGATCGACATCTGAAGTCGATGTTAAATATATCTATTTATTATTGTCATACATTTGAACAGTTCTCGAATACCTTCCGTTCCGTAAACAACAAAATTCATCCCTGGGTTGCCGGGACAAGCGCGGTGGACAAGACGGCCTTTGGGGGCTAGCAAACTGGGCTGTGAGTATATAATATGAGCCCCGGCACGTTCATTTAGATAAGCCAATACAACGGACTCACTACTGCTCAACGGTTCCCGCCACTTACAAAGTTCAATGACTGACGCAGCTCAATATTCCTGCAGCATATGAGTCTGAAACTCTGACCTTCCATGAAGAATACATTCATTCTTTACTCTTTGGGTCAACACAAACCACCATCAAAAACTCTTAAGACAGACGGCAGAATGGTACCGAGTTTGGGAAGTGGAAAAGCCACCAATAATGACTACGATCCTCATTTCACGGATATGGTTATTGCAGCGACTGGTCCAGATGCTCACTCTCGAATGGCTCAGATTATGCCCAGTCTATTGAGACATCTTCATGACTTTGCGCGAGAGGTTGGTCTCACAGTTGCCGAGTGGACGGCAGGTGTTGAAATGGTAAGTACTGAGGAGTACTCCGAATTAGTTCAAGAGAAGGTGAACAATGATAGCAAGCTGACAGGCACTCATAGATCAACAAAGCCGGCCTAATGTCCGACAACAAGCGTAACGAGACACAGCTAATATGTGATGTGCTCGGGCTTGAGTCCCTCGTCGACGAGATCACATCCAAGGTTTTACAGCATCAAGGCTCAACAGCAACGCCCTCAGCGGTCCTCGGGCCCTTCTACCGCGAGGACGCTCCCATCCTGGCCAACGGGTCTAGTATCGTCGGCCCCAGTATAGCACAGGGCTGGAACGACGCAGCTTCCAAGTTGCTCACCCGCATTTCTGGGCGCGTCCTCAACGCTACCACCAGGAAACTGATCCCCAATGCTATCGTCGATGCCTGGGAGGCGGGTCCCAATGGTATGTACGAGCAACAGGATACCACGGGCACCCAGCCCGATATGAACTTGCGGGGACGCTTCCGCACCGATGAGCATGGTCGATACTCCATGGTCTGTCTCCGACCTACGTCGTACCCGATCCCCTTCGATGGTCCTGCCGGGCACTTGTTACAGTTGCTGGACCGCCATCCGTACCGTCCCGCGCACATCCACTTCATTGTGACCGCGGAAGGCCACCGATCGCTGACGACACAAATTTTTGACGGAGAGGACAAGTACACAAGGGATGATGCCGTGTTTGCGGTAAAGGAGGAGCTGATTGTCAAGTTTAAGGAGGCAAAGACGAAGACTACTAATAGCGTCAAATGGGAGCTAGAGTACGACTTCTACCTGGGAGAACTCTAGAGAGAATTTCATGCTCTAAATGATATGTGGTGTGTTTGCAATGAAGCAGGCTTGCATATATCGTTAGCCAGCGACGAAGGAACGTTATATAAATAGACAAGAATGTCTCATGCATATTTAGAGACGTCCGACGATCCGTGAGAACATGTGTTGGTCGACATTCATACATTTCAATACCGCCCTTCAACAAATTATGTTTGGTAGCTAAACCATGTCTTAATTACCTACATACAGTTCTTAATTTCTGTACGACAACTCACCGTTAACATGTGGTAAACCATCCACACAAGTATATCCATTACCAATGTGAAGAGTCTAGCCGTTCAAGCAAATATTTATCTCGTAAAATAAGTATTCAAAGATGAACGAACAGCAAAACATTACAGGCATGCTAGATGCCAAGATTGGAACGGTAAAAAGTCGAAAAAGAATCGATGCCCCCTGGCGGAATTGAACCGCCGACTTTCGCATGACGCAGAAGATATACAAGTGCGACGCAATACCACTATGCCAAGGAGGCTCGTATTTGTTGGAGAATGTGCTTGCAATTTGTTGTTATGTTAGCGTAAGCGCACTCCACATCAACCCAATTTGCAATACTTCAGCAGTCACCACTATTAACATGGTAGCTTATTCAGAATCTCCATAATACTTAAATTCTTACTTTCATTTTAATATTCATGCTTAAAATATGAACTTGTCGCGGATCGTGAGTCTAGTTCAATTTGTGTTTTTGAATGCGTAATTCTTTTCTTGTGTCCTTTTACAAAGAGTACACTTGCACAGTCAACACCATTCGATTGTTAGTTTACTAATCACGCATCCAGCCTTTTTCGGACGAATCAGTGCAATGGATGTCAATTTCCAAGAAGTGTTCCGTCCGTGGCTGTTTGGCACCGGAGTTGCTTCTGAACATCAATAGGGCAACTGAATGCCATCACCACTGGCCGTCATGACGATATAAAAACTGTCCAATAATATGCCATATATTATAGAAGTCCTTTTATTATATGGCTGCCAATGATTACTGTCGATTGCATTGCAGGAATGCGACCATAGATGGCACCCCACCAAAATAGCCAGATGTAAATGCCGGGTCTTGGCGTTGACGGAGTACCAATAGTCTGGGACTCTGGGGTGCATACCAGTTTCCGTATATGTTATATTGCGGTGTAACAATTTAGCCACCGTCAGACCAGGATCTACTTGTTTTGAGTGTCCACGAAACACCCTAACCCGGGTAAATGGGCCACATCGTGCTTCTGCTACCAGTCGATCCATTGCATCTAGCTGAGGAACAATAAGACGGTGTAGCACAAGGAATTAAGGCACTGTTGCCGAGGTTCACGCAGTAGTAATCGTTGACTGCCGAAATTATGAAAAGCGGTCATATGGAAGGAGGATCATATGACCAGGAGAGGACGTTAATTCTGTCTATGGGTAGCCCCTAAATGAGGGAGGAGAAGCAGTTTTCACTTCACTTACTTGGAAACCATTCAGTCCTCCCTGAGAAGAAAGACTGCCACTATTACCAATACAGTTGTCATCATGATGTTTCGAGAGTCCTTCATCTTCACCGTGCTGTCGCTGGCGTCTCTGGCGATAGCACATCCGACGGATAAGTTTGACAGACGCGAGTATATGGAAGAGCTCGCGGACGCGCACGCTGTGGCCGAGGTCAATGCGAGAGCCCTTGAAGCGTGTCAGAATAGACCTGATGTCCTTGAGCGCAGAGAGCGTGCCGTAGCAAGACGAGCTGCGACGTTCGAGCGACTTCGTCAAGAGAGGGATCTCAGTGACGGTATGGAATTAGTCTATGCTTGCACAACACGGAAGCTAAACTGACTCACAGCTGATTTCCTCCATCGTCGAGACGCAGCATCGCTTCGTCAATGGGCGGCGAACAGTCACGACAAGAGCAGCCTGAAGTACACTAAGGATACTCCAATCGCTGACATTTTTGGCTCAAACACCAGCTGCATCCTAACGCCCGATAATGCCAACGGACCCTACTTTGTGTACCAGGAGCACATCCGCCAAAATGTTGTGGAGAACGTGCAGGGTGTCCCCATGCACCTGGAGCTTCAATTCATCGACGTTAACACTTGCAAGCCAGCCAATATTCTAATTGATATTTGGTCTTGCAACAACCAGGGCGTGTACAGTGGTGTGAGTGCTGCTGGCGAAGGCGGTCTTGGCACCACTTATCTGCGTGGAGTTCAGCCGACTGACAAAGACGGTGTTGTCAATTTCGATACGCTTTTCCCAGGCCACTATCAAGGACGAGCTACACATCAGCACATCATTGCCCATGTCGGATCCAAGGTCCTCGATAATGGCACTTACACCGGCGGCGTCGTGGCACACCTGAGCCAGCTGTTCTTTGACCAGAAACTTGTAGACACTATCGAGGCGACTGCCCCTTACAACACAAACCGCATTGCTAAGACCTCAAATTTGGCCGACGGATTCACTGGCTATGCAGCGTCTCCCAAGTACGACCCATTCCCCAACTATGCTCTACTCGGCAATGGCGTCAGCAATGGGCTTTTCGTCTGGGCTGAGCTTGGCATTAATACCAGTTCTAACTGGGATTATTATGCTCCATTTGCGAGCACATGGAAGGAGGGTGGAGGTTATGATAACCCGAAGTTTAATTTCATGGTTGTCGCCACAGCTCCTCCTACACATGGATGAAGCTCCATTGATGATGGTTAATAACACGGTTTAAATCATCTCTGTTAGAGATTCGTCTAAATGAGAATGGCGAAGACAGTATGGATGCAGGTTTTGGCTAGTGCTACACATGTTGGGGACTATATGAGTGTTTATCATTTTCCAGTCAGAAAATTACGTCATTATTATCAAGTTGGTGCTAGTTTTCGAAGCATTCCGAGTACCTCTAGTAGTACTGGACTTACCTGAGAAAATTAAAAATTGCTCATGTCCTAAATTCTATAAATGTGGCTACTTTACATGCTGTTTCAACAACACGTCACAGCACCTCCATCAATACAGCTGCTTCAACACATGCTATCCGATTTGCGCCGATTTGCAGAGGCGATGATAATGCACTCATCCTTTGTTTGGGTTCAAATCAAGGGGAGTCATGCCCAAGTCTGTCGTGTAGCCAAGTCACAATACAATTACATCACACGACAACTACCGTGTGCTATATAAGCCCCGCATCTTACAGTGATCAAATTTGATTCAGATTATATTGTTAGAGGTCATGAGGATATTGACCATGTTGCCGGAAGATAATTTCTTGGATGATCAACCAAATCTCAAATCAACACTTACCGATAGGCTGGCCAGCATTGTTCTAGTTGAACAGCAGTCTATGTGTTACGTACACCAGGTGACATCGGCCAGTGTAACGGTCAAGCGAGAAAATCGGCTTTGAGTGGGTACGCTTCTCCATCATAGCTGAATGCCACCTGCGAATAGTCTTGTGTTGATCAAGAACACCTCATTCGGTAGGTGGCACGGATAATTTGCCTGCCAAGAAAACATGTTTAATGCGGAGATTCAAGCCGTCCTGTATTTGGTAATATACCCAAGGTTTTTTCTATAGACATTAACCGTAATCTTGACCTGGGGTCATGCGGGTCTTGGATCCTTGTCCCGCATGCTTACTTGCATTGGGGCACGACACAACGGTGGTGCATTTGCCGGTGTCTTGGGCTAGTGAACGATTCCATTGCAAGGTCAGATTCTCACCATTATATCTAGAATCATGATTTGGAGGAGAAGTTAGCACATTTATCCTGTTCCAAGAATGGTTACTGCCTATAAATGAAGCCAAGACTAAGCATTGAATTCGACATTTCCACATCGTTCATCAACAGCTACTAGTGCCCACAATGACTCGAATCATATCTTTTGTTCTGTTCACAGTGCAGCTCTTGCTGTTCTCCAGCATTGTCAAGGCGGATGCAGTTCTAGATCTGTGGACGAAGGGACTCCCTAGTCTTGAAGCACAGCTTGCGAAGTCAAAGACATGCACAAAAGACAAACTTCAAATTCGGAAGGAATGGTGAGTTCGCTCCATCTGTTTTCACTAGATATTCTTTCCATCACGGTTATCCTAATTTGGACCTCAGGGGTGACCTTACCGACAACGAAAAGAAGTCCTACACCAATGCCGTATTGTGTCTGCAGCAGGCGCCGTCCAAGTTGCCGGCAGGAAAATATCCCGGAGCCAAAACTCGATTTGATGATTTCGTCGCGGTCCACATGAACCAGACGCTAAGCGTCCATGGCACGGTATTGTCATTGTTCACAACCGTAATGAGCTACGTGAAGTGGCTGACTTGGCTAGGGCAACTTCCTATCGTGGCACAGATACTACGTATGGGCATACGAGCAAGCTCTCAAGAACGAATGTGGTTTTAATGGAACACAGCCGGTATAGTACCTTGTGCAGTTCTCACCACATAAACTAAGGCTGATGGATATTGTGCTACAATAGTACTGGAACTGGGGACGATGGGCTGCCGATCCAGAGAAGTCTCCCATTTTCGATGGCACAGCGACGAGCATGAGTGGTAATGGCGAGAAAATTACGCACTCAGGTACGATTGTCACTGGCAATGGTGGTGGGTGCGTGACATCGGGACCGTTCAAGAAGTAAGTGTGTGCAGTAACGTCTTAATCTTAATTGTACTAACGACTATTAGCATGACTGTAAACCTTGGGTAAGTTGAGCTACTCTACAGCGAATACTCGTCGATGCAGAGCTAAAGATAGCCCAAGGCCCTTGAGCCCAGCGATTTCCCCGGCGCCTCCAGCCAACCCAAGAAGCGACGGCTTCGGATACAACCCGAGATGCCTGCGGCGCGATGTGAGCAACAAGCTGAGCACGCAGTACTCCCGCACCGAGGACATCGTTAAGCTCATCACCACGAGCTCCAATATCGGCACTCTCCAGGACACGATGCAGAGCGTGTCGCCGGTAAACGTTCACGTAGCCGGCCACTATACCATAGCGGGAGATCCCGCTGGTGACTTTTACGTCTCTCCTGGCGATCCCGCATTCTGTAAGTACTGCACCGGCTTGTGGGGGTTAAATTGCCACGATTCGGGCTGATGCGATATCCCACAGGGCTCCATCACGGCATGATTGATAGAACTTGGGCCATCTGGCAGTTGCAAGACCTTCCCAATAGGTTGCAGGTCATCGCTGTGAGTTGAGGTGATTGCTTTTATCTTGGCGTATTCTAATCTTTCGACAGGGTGGAACCTCCATGATTGGTTTCAACAGCAGAGCTCAGAGTCTGGATGACGATATCGACCTGAACATCCTTACACAGAAGGTCTGGAAGATTCGTGACTTGGTTAGCCTCGTGGATGGGCCATTCTGCTACTACTATGCTTAAGCTGTACATTCACTGACTGGAGACCTATCCGGTCCATGCACAGCTAAAACCCTCCTTTTCAGATAGTGCAGGTAGTTTCATTCCACCGAGGTATTCTGTAATGATTCTCCAAGAAACCATTTCTGTTTATAAATACTACCGATGAGAAAAGATTAAAGTTGTGACGTAAAGGTACATCATGATGAAGTGCAGATGCCCAGGCAAATTTCGGATATTGTATACGACACCATGTTTGACGCTTTGGCGTATCTACGGGCTTGAAATCAATCGACCTTTTAGCGGATGTGCTTAGAGTAAACCCGATAATTGTGGTGATGATAAGTTGACAGCAGGGGTTTGCGAACAGGTAAATGAGAGATGGATGACTTGCCAATGCAACTAAAATGATCGGCGATCCGTAGTTAGTGTGCTTGTGCATGGCATCTTGGTTAAATAACGATGCAATCACATGTTTTTGGAGCTCGTTTTGGCTAGTGACGAGCTCCGTAATGCTTGTTCCTGAGGACCCCAAGGCCGACCCGCGTATTTATTTGTAGTTGACACGACCTCGAGTCATGGCATTATGGGATAAGCTGTTGGGGTAGTCAAGTTCACCTGGGCAAAGTAGCGGGTCATCAGAGCGCGAGCCCACAGAGCTGTACTTTGACATTTCAACAGTCGCAGGGCCCAAACCATACCGTCAATCAACCCGTTTAAGAGTGTACGAAGCTGCGCTGTTGCAGTTGTTGCAGTAGTGTGCTCATGCTGAATGGGCATAGCTGCGGAAAGAGAGGTCTTGTTGGTATGTCCAAGCCGCAAGGTTTGTACGAAAATATGGACGGTCGCAGTGCAGGTGATTTGCGACAGAACCAGAGACTGCCGGCTTTCTCATGCGAAAGCGCACAATGCATTGACAAGGATGGAAACAGTTGTCATTGCATATGGTCTAGTCCAGCTGTATGACACAGATCTGCATGAGCCAATAGGCGAGAATTAACAATGGGAAGCTGGATACCATAGGGCTGAAACATTGCGGAATTGTCCGCGCCTTGACAACCAGTGCAGGTTTATGGGTGTATGCTGATAATCACAAGATTTCGTCATTCGAAATGGGACAGACGCTGAACAGGGCTTGAGTGCTTGAACTTGCTCAGATGTGTCAGGTTCGAACTTTGTAGTGGAAGACGCGAGTGAGCGTCAATCGAGATGAATGATGGTGAGCAAAACAGCCAAAGCCTCTGCCTTGAGAAGATTTATCGCCCACATGAGACTATCAATTACATAAGTCACGACGCATCGCATGTGGATGATATGGGGTCCTGCCCCCGTCGTGAATGGGCCCAAATCTAATCTCGGGCCTGAAAGCCAAAATCCGGGGTAGCAGCTCAATTTGATAGCAGCTGTTGGCTTTTCCTGCTGATTCAGCGAGACGCTAACCGATAATGGTCAGGGGCGTCGCTGCGCAGGGGATCCCCGATACGGCTTAGCTTACGTGTAGCTCCACTCGTCCAACTTCACGCGTGTTCTGGCTGTTTTTCGCCCTTGACTTCACGACGTCCCCTCATCAAGGAGTCTACTTGTCCTGAGTTTTGCAGTCCTGAAAACGCTCAGTTCAGCCTGCCCACCTGCTCACACTCTTTAACCAATTCTCGCTGACGCTTCCCGATGCCTGTTCAGCCCCATAAGCCGCACTTGGAGCACATCTGCCACCTCGATGCGACGCGCTGATTAGGAAAAGCAGAATACTCACCATAACGCTAGAAGCGTATTCAACTGCGCACACGATGGCGCCGAGTCCTAGGACACCGCGTTCGGCTGCCAGCAACGGCCGTCCCAGCCGCCAGAGAGCAGGGGCCCTCCTAATCACAGGTTCAAGAAGGCGCGAGAGAGACGCGACTGCCGCCGCAACTGAACCGCCACCGAAACGACGACGATATGTTCCCGGTGGCCCCGGTGGAGGTGGTCGTTGGACCGATAAAGACGGCAACGATCCTGGCGCTCGACCAAGCGCCGCACCCACCACCCAACCCCGCCCTCGAGCGCGGCAGATCTCCTCGACTGCAGCCACGATACCTATATATCCCCGCAGAGAGCGCAGCACACGTATTCGGACTGCTACGCGCTTGGAACCCGATGACGAGATGCAAATCAGCTCTGCCGCCGCTGTAGCTGCCGCTGTGGTACAGAGCGAGGGGTACAAGCCCAGAGAAGAGCGAGGGTGGGAAGAATTCCACCCAAATCTTGACATCGATGCCAATTTCATAGTCTTCCACGCCGATGATGTTGATGGGGTTGCCAAGTCAACACCAGGGACACCGTTAGCACTTGCGCCCAACCCTGAGTCCAACCACGCTGGGAGCCCTATTAAAGACGCAAACATAGCTACAGGCAACACCCCTTTACCTCCTACGAACGGCGTAATTTCAGGACCGCTCGAAGGCCTGCCCGGAACACCAACGAGAAGACGCTCCAACCGACCAAGGGACTCGTACTTCCCCTACGGTCGCGATATTGGCGCAACTCCGAAAACACCCAAGGTTTTGCCCATCTACAATCAGACACCTAAAGAACGCCTTGATCTGAGGCAGCCGCAATACCGGAAGACCGACAGAATTCTTCTCTTTGAGAGCAAGAAGTTCGGACAGGCAAAATATGTCGATAAAGCGATGATGAATGTCGGGTACCAGGAGAGCGACAACTTCATTCGCGATGATCAAAAGCTGATCAAGGCATTCGACGCGAATGTCGAAGATGAAGCGGATAGCCCCTCTGCGGCGAAAGCCGAAGTGGATCCTGCTGCACATAGCCATGCTCTGGGACGCGTTGAGTATGATATGGATGAACAGGATGATATGTGGCTTGAAGCCTACAACGAACAGCGCAAGTCGCAAGGCTGGAGCACAGTGAGCCGAGAGCATTTCGAAATCACCATGACCAAAATCGAAAAGGAATGGCATGCGCTCGAGAAGAGGATACCCAAGCCAAACCCAAAGCCACCGCAAACACACCGCCCGCGTTCCAGCTCCGCCGCGGCCGTCAATGGCGAGCCGCAGGCGGGCGAAGAGCAAGATAGTAAATGTGCTATTTGTGACGATGGGGATTGTGAGAACACGAATGCTATTGTGTTCTGCGACGGCTGCGATCTTGCAGTTCATCAAGAGTGTTACGGCGTCCCTTTCATTCCTGAAGGTCAATGGCTTTGTCGGAAATGTCAGCTTATTGGACGTGGCGTACCGGTAAGCAAACCCGAGTCTCTGCATTTTACACTGTTATTAACTTTCTGATAGACTTGTATATTCTGCCCCAATTCGGACGGTGCTTTCAAGCAATCTAATTCGTCAAAATGGGCCCATCTGCTATGTGCCATGTGGATACCTGAGGTCAGCCTCGGGAACCACACTTTCATGGAACCAGTGATGGACGTGGAAAAAGTGCCCAAGAGCCGTTGGAAGCTGACATGTTACATCTGCCAGCAGCAAATGGGTGCTTGCATTCAGTGCGGTAATAAGTCCTGCTACCAAGCATTCCATGTCACTTGCGCGCGTCGTGCGAAATTGTTCCTGCGCATGAAGAACAGCTCTGGCGCTCTTGATGTCCTTGATGGCAGCACAAATCTCAAAGCCTTGTGCGATAAGCACTGCCCCTCGGAGTATGCCAAGGAGAATGGAGTGAGCAAAGCAACAAAGCGTGCCAAGAAGTACTACAAGAAAACCATGCGGGACCGCATTTGGGCCAATACACAAGCGAATGCCATGGCTTTAGCCGCAACACATCGGAATGCCCTGACAGAACATCCTCCAGACGAGTCACAAATGACCGGGGCCAAGGTGTCGGCTGTGCTGGGCGACCAGAAAAAGGGACAACCTGGGAAACATGTGTGGAAGCTACCATCAGGTGCTCCCATTATCCCTCAAGCTGTCTTTGATATCGTTGACACATCACTCGCTAGATTCTCAATTCTTAAGAGAAGAGAGTTTGTAAGCGATGCTTGCCGTTACTGGACACTGAAGCGCGAGATGCGTCGTGGTGCGGCCTTGCTCAAGCGTCTTCAGTTGCAAATGGAGACTTTCTCCTCAATGGAATTGACCAGGCGCAATTTCGCAGCTATGGGACCCTCCGGGAAGACACGCTTGTCAAGACGCATTGAGTTTGCGGAGACCTTGATCAAAGACCTAGAGCAGCTTCAAGCCATGTCTGAGGAGGTGGTCAAGCGCGAGGAAGTCAAGCTTGAAGAGGCCAAGCTGCTCCAGACATTTGTTGATACGTGTTACTTCCCAGTCCATAAAGCCTTCCCAGATATCATGGTCAAAGTTTTCAAGTAAGTCACTCACACTAACGCATCAAGGCTGTGCTAATAATTCAATTAGCGCGGATGATGGCAAGAAAGTATTCACCGATGGTCTGGTTGATTTGGAGGCGAAAGTCAACGAAAGGTTCTACACGACTACGCTTGCGTTTGCTCATGATCTCTGTGAGGTCATCCATGTCGGCATCAATAACGAATGGGAGAAACCCGATGAAGCACAACCCAAGCTTGAGAGTGTGGTTGCGCCGCTCACCAAGATTGATTTCTCCAACATTCGCGAACGTAAGAAGCTTGGCAGGAGAATTTTGAAGGGCGTCCAACCAATGCTTGAAGGAGCTCTTCATAAGGAGGCCGGCATCACGAACAAATCTTTCGAAGACCTAAAAAAGGAGCTCGAAGGCATGATCGAAGCTAGCTTCGAAGTACAGCAAAATGGTGGCGGTGGAGCGGATAGCGAACAAAGCAAAGATGTGATCATGGTCGATGCTTCAGAAATCACCGTTGCTGACCCCGCTGACGAAGAAGACGCGGATAACGAGCCAGATGAACAAATCGATGTTGTCATGGCAGAACCTGAAGAAGAAGCAGGCAGAGAAGAGGGCAACATTGAAGTGAATACCTCGACTCTTATCAATGCTGGCGCTGAAGAAGAGAAAGAAGAAGCTGTCACAGTCAACCCGACAGGTGCAACAGAGCAAGAGGAGATCAAGAAAGAAGACGGCCAGACAAGCGGCAATGCGCCTGATACACCACCTGCTACCAATGGATATCAGACGGCACCGCAGTCATCTCAACCTGGCCCACCGACTCCTCCCCAATCAAACGGAAGTCTTGGTCAGGACCACACTAATATTCTTATTGACGGTGGCGTCCCATTCTATCTCAAGGAATTCGATCCCTTAGGAACTTCTGCTCTATCTGAGCCAGGAGCGGCTGACCAGCCGAGCTCTGCTGCTGCAGAGGAGCCTTCGCCAATGGATGAAGATGAAGCCAAAGAGCTTGGTCCCGATTCAAACGACGTCATCACTGCCACATCTCCTTTGAGTGCTACAAACGCAGAAGCTAGCGTTATAGGATCCGCAAAGAAGCCGGCGAAGGCTAAGAAACGTAAGACGACCACTTACCGGGGACGGAGATGAGAAAATGACAACCAGCGGAGGCTTGTATAAATAATTGGCTAGTGTTTCGTGTTCTTGGAGGGCCCTTCATCGTTTCCGGGGCCGTAGAAGATCATGTTTTGTTTTCTAATGAGTATGGAGTTCAGAGAGGCTTTGCACACAATAGGGCTCTGACATTTTCGCCTACATACCCCAAGACCGGGCGTTATAGGGAGTCGATGGTCAGATGAGATGGCACCGCAATGCTTTACGTGTGTATTTGATAGTGAATAATAATTCCTTCATGAGTTTTTACTCAGTTAACTTACCATCAAAATGCATACATAGTCAAAGACCATGCTGCCCAAACAGTGGACGTAGACGTCCGTACGGTCGCTTAGATCCTTCTCATTACCGTACGACAAGCACCTCAGTCTCGACCATTTCAGACCTGATCTTAAATTTTAGGCACACTGATATTCAATTACTTGAAAGAAACTCACCTATTTTCGCGGGAAATATTTCACTTCTATTTTCCATAAAGTTCTCTTCTATGCAGAGGATCCCCAAGGGTTCATTCGAAGATAATTCTGTTTTGTTAGAAACTTATCAGGAAAAGCCCGGGAGCACAAAGCTTTGACTTGTGAACCACAGCATGATGTGACTTCTGAGTACGTTGAATGCCCGACCAATTGTACGGCGTTGTAATGAAAGCTCAGAGCAACAGGCTTTGTGTGCCATGCCAGTTTTGCTTCTACCCCTTAGTCGACAGCCGTGAGAAGGAAAACACATTGAATTATGCCGCCATGGAGACCCAGGAGCTCGAACATTTTAAGGCAGGCGGCGCGTAATTCTTCAACGTGAGGACTGGTCTGCTGTGGCAGGCACAGCCCTCCTAATGTCCCCAACTGTCGACTGTCGACGTGGACCAATGAGATGCCCAAGTTGATCTTCCCCCTGGTGCGGTCTCAGAACTGACGATTTCTCCTTTCAATTTGAAGTGTCATGACCCGGCATCTCGTCATCTCGCCTGCCCAGGAATTTCTTGGGCCCATACAATACCGTCTTGAACACGTCTCCTTGGCTTCTCATACTCCTTTTGTTGCCCTCTCGTATCTATGAGGCAATCCGAAAAACACAGGACAACATACATGGCTGGCCGATCGGCGCAGGTTAGGTATGACTCAGGGAATGCATTATGGTAACTAAGAAGCAGATGTTACATACGTATCTGGGCTGATATGCATTGCGTTAATTAATCCAAAGACGAGGGGAAATCCACCAAGGTCACGCCTGTCGATCATCTACTGTGTCGCTTCACAAGTGATCGTATGGCTTGGAGACGATTGTGTTGGACACGATATAGACAGCCCGCCCGTCATTTGTCAATCTTGATAAGGCGGATATCTTATCGTTTTGCAATGATTATGGGGCAGGGTGAATGTTTATCTCATACTTTAGTAACAAAGTTTACTGACGACGGGTCAACGGGCCTCATCTTACGTTTTCGAGCCTGGTTACAAACCAGTACTAGAGCCAAGCTTGGATACTACAAGAATTAGCGGTTAACCAACAAGCACGCATTATTTCGCGTCAACAGTCTTTCGGTTTTGCCTCAACCATCAGAAACTTTTAACCTTTAACTTCACAGAACTCACGCGGGTTTTCGTACAGACTTTTGCGCGAATCACTTGATCGCTTGGAACAGATCATGTGGTTACGAGAATCACGACTATGGCGGCAGCCTTTGCGTCTCGCAGAGGCTCTTCACAGATCTTCATATACCATACCAGGATATCCAGGGGACAAAATATATTCAATCTTAGGACTCATGTACGGCGGCCCTGCATCTGTTCCGTTTCCAAGTTATTCACAGCCGACCACGGAGATCAGCAGAGACATCTCATAACGCGTAATAAACAAGACAAACTCGCTTGGCATTGTTGTCTTTCGCAACTATCCCGGCCATTGGTTCTAAGATTGGACCGACGGTAGCCACTATAAAGGTTGTCGAATATTCAAGTCCTTGTGGAGGGAATGCTTCAGGAAGGTGATTATAGAGATGATGATGGTAGTGTTCGCGTTCGCGGTGAACCTCTAACACGATGGAAAGCCTGGTCAGCAAGGAATCCCGTTATTTCCCTCCAGGGGAACTAGCACACAAAAGTTCTGGAAGCATGGGCCAACCAAGTGGCCTCCAAGTATCTTTTGTATGGTTTGGATCTCTGCCTAAACTCTGTGGAACATGTCCCCTGTGACTTTTTTTCTTACGTGGGCCAGCATATATGGCCAGCATATATGTTTGGATCTCTAGCAGATGCGGATGAGAATGACTTGTTGAGGGTTTTCGAAAATCTCAATTCTGATTCAAATAGCTCTGCTATAGGTGGAATCGCATTGGATTCGTCGAAGTGGTGGCGTTCGGATCTCTCCAGGCCGTTTAGGCCGCACTCATCTCAACGGAGAGCTCTAGCCTAGAAAGGAAATCGTAGCTATAGTTTGTGGAAAGTGTTGTTGGAGGAATACTTACTCCTCCACATGCAGGCACATTAAAATCTCAGCCGGTATGCGACTATGGAAGACGTCACTTGATAGTTTGGGCTGGTTTCCTGCAGCATCTAGACCTAGTGACTTGATCGCCGTGCTCCAGGGCTGTAGCGTACCTGTCATACTTCACAAGCGGAAAAGAGGAGGTCGCCAAATTATTAGCGACAGTATAATACATGGAATGATGTTCGATGAAGCTAATGCCGGCTCAACATCCTGGGAATCGTCGGCCAAAACCCAGATCTACTGAGGTGGGTAGATTCTGTACTTCTACTTGGTGTTGGAATAAATCAAGATTAATTGCGACATGTTCTTTATACTCTCGCGGAATTCATATTACGTCGTCGTGGCTAATGCTGCAGGTGTCTTGTCACTTCTAAGACAACTCAAGTATTCGTTGCAACCGATCTTGTTACTTCATTTGGGGTAATAGATTGGGGACACATTTGTCATTATTGACTACAAGTTGATCAATTCCTAGAAATTCTCATACAATGGTCGAACACAGGTTACTGGATCCGACACATTCCAGACTGGCCATTTAAATACTGAAACCCAGTCGACCAGCTTTTATGGGAGCTTTAGCCTCGCTCTATACACGTGACAGACAGACAGATATGAGGCGCACCGAACATGTTCTACCCAATTTTATAGCTGGTGACATCGCGGCAACAGTCGAGGGCTACACAAGATCCAATCATGGACGGGTGCGCATCCGCTACGAGGCCCCAGACCGCTCCAAACGACGAATCCCTTTCATCCTGCTCGGGGTATGATCATCATCGAGACCGGTTGTGAGACCCTGAACGAGAGTCTCAACAAGCACCCGCGTGTCCGGGGCCAGGGACGACAGGAACCTTCCATGTCTCTCCCACAGAGCTCGCTCCTCCTCGATGGAAGCGACGTCGAGAAGCCAATCAGGTATCTTCTATTCGACCTGCAGTTCCAGCAAAGAAAGGAATTGAAAGGAATTCTACAACATATGACCCATTTCAAAGGGGGCAAGCAGTCACCGTCCAAGACCTCAGGTATGCCCATAAGAGACCTCGTTGCGCCTCTCTGGACCTGGCGGCCGGCATGCGGTTTGGGGGAAACCAGCCAGGGGCAGAATGCGGGTTTGGCTCTGCCATGCGTCGCGGCCCGGGTGACTTGGCTGCTGTGCTCCCAGGCTGCGGTATTCTGCTGTCATGCTCCACGGACGCGAGGGAGCGAAGGAGGGGGGGGTGGTACGGGATCATGCACGGCGAGGCCCTTGTCCCACGAGGACTCTGGGCATAGCCCTGTGTCTGGTCCCCGCTGCATGACCGTGGAGGCAAGTCCGAGGAACGTGAACAATTCCTCAACTGTAATTCATGTAACCTACGTCCAGATGGACAGCTAACTCATGTGGCGCTCATCAGAGGGCTTTTTTCTTCTAAAGATTTTTTAAGAGGTACCAACTTGTCATACACGAGTCGACAGCATTGAGCCAAAGAGACGTCTGGCTTGCCTTGCCCATGGACCAGTTTCAGCAGTTCTCTCTCAGCCGATGCTATGAAGCACCTAAGAAGACATCCCAGTGGTATGATTATGCCCACGTTTTTGGCTTCCCCTGCTGAGTACTCCAGGTAATCCTGTATTTATCCATTGAGTACGCTATGTTTTATATCTCGCTCACCTAGATATTTCTCTCCACTGGTTTTCCTACCGGACAAATTGTGTGTGCAGTTTTATGACGATAGTGTGAGTTGCACATTGATTCATGCAGGTCAACGCCATGGCCGTGTGTTTCCACTATCTACTGCATCAAAACAGAGAGGGCAAGGAAAAGAAGAAAAAAAAAAAAAGGCAAGAAAAATTGCAAACAAGGACTTCACGATGTACAGAAAAGACGGCAGGATTATCATACCTCATAGTGTCTTGGGTAACTAGCCCCATCCTTTGCCCTGCTTCCCAAGCACAGCATGGTAGTGAGCTGGTCCTGAGGTATAGTTTTGGTTGTTAATAACCGACGCGATAAATCCAAGAGAATATAACAAAGAAAAATTGGCGGTTGATTCTAAGCTCATCCTGGAGTGCAGTTGAGTGACCCCGTTCGGATTGGCAGGGCGGAGACAAATACGATAGTGGACGAATACTTGAGCACATGATTTGTGAGACCACATAGCAGGGCTTGATGCAAAGATGTGTGAGAGAGCCCCGTCTGGGCAAACAAAGATTAACTGTCTAGACCCCCCTATTGGTCTCCATGTCCACCTGTCCATACAATGCAAGCCGCATGAACACGTGGGCACGTCATCATGAACCATTCCAAATATGAAAAACTGATTTTACTGATTTCCGCATAAGAGCAAACGTTTTCATCGTTCATCGACCGTCGGCTTCATTCGTCAAGGGGCGTCGATCGGCGGAGGTAGGTGGCGAGAAAATATTGTCGTCGGACCTTGATTAGCACTCGGACAACCGAAGAGAGGTTCCAAGCTCGAGAACCGCAAGTAACCATGCTAGGAAGAGTTCCCATGGTCAAGAACAAGGGCGCTCGGAGTGCTCAGTGAGTAGCAGCTGTCTATCGCCGACCGAACCTAGATGGAAAAATTTTTTGTTGGCATGAATTCTCACTTAGGGTTTGGATTGCTTTCTGGGGGTTGCGGGACTACTGCCTATTAAGCGGCCTTGGACATACTTCTGCTTCTTCTCGGCTGGCTTGAGAATCTAGAGAGGAAATATAGTCAGCTGCTGCTACTGCAAAGCAGGAAGAAGGGGGGGTGGTTCAACACAAAAGACAACATACCTGGAAGGAACACAGCAGACTCTCGTCAACACTCATCATGGCACCGGCGTTGTCGAACTCGCCACAGTAGTTGGGTGCACTGAAGAGAGTGACCAGTTGCCGCTTGGAGAAGAATTCGTATCCGTCCTCAACCACTTGATGGGCACGGCAGATCAGGTCCATGTCGTGCTTTTGCAAGAAGCGCGAGACAACGTCGGGTCCGAAGGTGAAGGACACACCACGGTCATTCTCTGACCAGCCAGTTATGTCCTTGTCGGGATCAGACCACAACAAGTCGCAAAGCAGACCGCAGTCGGGGATCTTGGAGAATGCAGTCAGTACTTGTTTGTCCATGCCCAACGCAATTCCGTTGCGGAGGAGTCTCGACATTAGGTAGGACACTGATGGAGATGGGGCGCAAAAAGAGAGGCTACTCACATCTGTCGGGCGCATGACACGTCGGATCTGCTCCATGGAGTTAAGATCAGGGCTGAGACCACCGTGCATGGTGAAGATCTTCTCGTCAATGATGGCTGCAATAGGCAGACAGTTGAAGCAGTCCGTAAATGTCTTCCAGAGCTTGATATTGTAGCGGCGCTTGCACTCGTCGTAGAAGCCATAGATACGGTTGATGGAGGCACATTCGTGGTTGCCACGCAGAACGAAGAAGTTCTCTGGGTACTTGATCTTGTACGCTAACAGGAGACAGATGGTCTCGAGAGACTGCTTGCCTCTGTCGACATAATCACCAAGGAAGAGGTAGTTGGCCTCGGGGGGAAGCCACCATACTCGAATAATCTCAGCAGGTCGTAGTATTGGCCGTGGATATCACCACAGATCTGGTGCCAGTCAGCGTCACAGTCGTGGTATCTACAGACAGACATGTATCCCCGGCGAGGGACATGCCGGAAGACGCAAGAGCGCAGCTTACCTTGATGGGTGCCTCAAGCTCAAGCAGGATGGGCTGGCTAATGAAGATCTCTCTGGCCTTGGTACACAAGTATCTTATCTCAGTCTCAAGCAGCTGGACCTGCTTGCCCGGGCGGCTGCCACGGACCTCCAAGAGACGATCGATGATGGAGTCCAGATCAACATCGTGTTGGTCTGCCATCTTTTATCCCGCACCTGCCTGTGAAACGGTCCTCAAGAGTTGGTGTCGGTTATGTGTGCAGGGGAGGGAAGGGGGGGTAGTCGCCGCGTGGAAACTGCGAAAGAGCCCAGTCAAGAATATGATACACTTCTTGGGCTAAACGAGGGAGAAGAGAAAAAAAGGTCAGCCAAAAATGGATCATCAGAATTTGTTCTGCTGCATGCCGTGTAGACACTACAGATACGGAGAGACGATGCCGACAGTGGAGGAAACTCGGGGAGTTTGGTGTTTTGTTTCGGCATGGCTTGCCCGCAAGTGCCGTTCTGCCGCGCCCAAAGCTAAGGCTTGGAGTTGCATGAAAATGAGGGTGGTGGTAGGGAGGGAAGTGGTTTTCATGGACAACGGAGACGCGCGGGCTGGTGGGATTGCGATGTGATGGGGAAATACTCACAGTGAAGTGATCTCAGCAGTAGTTAAGCTTCTCAAAGAGGCCCGCTCGGCAGTTGGTAGGACTGCGCAGTGTCGGGCGGCGGCTGATGCTCGAGTGAACGAGTTCGTCAAAGGTGCTGAGGCGGGTGAATTTTTCTCGTCTCTAGGTCGGCGTTTGAGAAGTCAAGCCAAAGTCGTCGATGACAGAAAAAACTCGAGGAATGTCGAGTAGACACCAATGCGGTCGGCGACGCGAAGAGAAGAGGGTTGCCGTGGTTTCTTCGCCTGGATGTCTAGATGCAATAGTCAAGATGGCCAAATGATGACAAAAATGGTACCGTCTGGATAGTCGAGTGCTGGGACCCGATGTTCGCCTAAATGTAGCAAAAATGCTGTTTCGCGCGGGTGTCGAATACGGATGCAACAAGTCAACTGATTAACTTGATTGATTGCTGAGGCGACGCTGGGGGTGTGTTGCGGGAGGAATTCCAGAGAAGTTCCCGGGTCGTCGTTTGAAAATCGCTGGTGTTGTTGTTGTGGTTGCAACGCGCACTATCTTTCGTTTTCTCACTCAGTGGACTGTGACTGGTACTGGGGACGGACCCGGAGGCAAATGCAAATCCAGAGGCAATGGCAATGGCAAAGACAAAAGGCAAAGGCCAAAGCAAAAGTAATTCGGGGGAAGTGGGTGCGTGGGCTTGGGCTTGGGCTTGGGCTTGGACTTGGACTACAACTTTGGGCTTTTTTTGGTTTTATTTTTATTTTTATTTTTAAACCGCGTCCCGAGGGGTTTCAAAAGGCAGGGGCAGTCGTTCAAAACAAATGGAGAGTTGTCGCATGTGCATCAGAGTCAAATGTCACTCACAGTGTATATATGTCTCCTCGATGTCGGGCAAAGAACAAATATCGTCCGTCGTCGTGATCGTCACAAAAGAAGTCGAAATCGCCTGGAAGTTATTCGCGGGGTTCTGACTTTGGAGAGGAGGGAAGAGGGTCAGGATGGGCTTCGGCTCTGGCTTTTGCTATGTATTGAAAACGTCAGAAAACTGTCTTGTCGGGTCTGACATTTCCAATCAATCCACTTGTCATCCAATCCAGGCAGTCTTTGGACCTCTTCAGATTCCTCTCGCCCAGCGGCCAAGCCAAGGGGGGAATCTCCTCATGGATATGGGATATGGGGGGGTCTCGACACTCCGATTGGTCCACTGAGGCAGTGCAAAGCAAAAAAGCAGGTGCCATTGGATCACTTTGTCGCTGCCCCGGTCCACCCTACGCATCCCTACTGTAGGTAACTGGAGCTCTGCAATTGCCCACTAAAACCCCACTAAGGTTAGGCTCTTCTGTCTTACTATGGTACAGTACAGCACTTCTGCACTATGCGCAACACTGCCTGTGATAGTCCTCAACTCTATCCAACCTTGCCAGACGCGCTGCAGTTGTGACAAGGAAGCATTACTCGTCTTCGAAAGCTGTGGTATGGAGTCAGACAGCAGGCAATACGTGTAAACCAGTAGTAGGGACATCGCCATAACCTGGTATGGCAGGGCATGGCATGGCCGCAAGACAAACGTCCTTCTTGCTGACGCTACCTAGAACCAGGAACACGACAATCTCAAAAGGATTCCTATCCCTCATCTTGATCAATCTCAAAATCGCACGCAGACGATTACTGTCTAGACATTCGCGTACATCTTGCCTCCTGCGAGTGCTCTCGTACTGGGGTGCCCATTATGCACAAGAGTTTGTAGTCTGTCCACTCAGCGCTCAAGAAAACTGAAGCGAAATCAAGGTTGACTCATTGCGCCTATGCAATCCCACTCAATTCCATCTCACCCGCCGACCGGTGCCTCTCGTTGAACCTCAAAACCTTAGCCGCTAGATGTTGCTTGTCCGATGATCACCTGAGTCTTCCATCGCATGATCCTCTTCGTGAGCGGGTGATGATCACGAAGACATGTCCAACTAAATAACCAACCAACTAACCAACCAACTAACTAACTAACTAACTAATTGTTCAAATGTCGTGTCAGCCCCTTTCACAACGAGACAGCCTCTTTTACCAAAGTCATTTGCAGCTGCCTCCGGGGAGCAATCCTCAAGCTCCCGTCCACTTGAGCTAAGCAAACACAGGTCATAAACTTCAACTCTACTAATCCGCTTGGCGCCACAACAAAGTCCCTTGATTCGTTTGGCTGCTTACACCGTCTTCTTCTGTAGCTCTAGCGACGCTGTTTGTTGCACTGGCTGAATTTCACTTCATGTGCCGGGGCCCCACGGATGACAGCATCGTTGAGCACCCGACGCATCTGGCTGTGACTGTGACGAAGCCATATCTGCCCCTCATCCCCTTTTCCAGCGACCCCTCATCAGCAACACAACCACATGAGATCAGTTACTTGTACGCGTGTTCGACACATCCGAAGTTATGGAGAGAGAAAAACCCCAACAAAACCCACCTTATACGCCTAACCCGATATATCCATGTCCCATATCACTAGGAGTAGCTACAACAGCACAACGAATCACAGGACCCTGGACCGATCATATTATCTCGATCTGAGCATGTTATGACTTCAATCGATCGACCATCACTGTCATATAGTCTACTGTTGACTTCGTCATCTACTTAGCGAAATCATGAAACCCAATTGCTGGTAGATCGGCTCCGAGAAGCAACATTTTCAAGCGCTGAGCACTCGCTATCCGAGTTGCGCCCTTTGAGAAGCTTCAGCGCCAGAGAGCTTGTCCTGACTCGTCCGGCTGGAAGATGGCCTTATTTGCGATGTTGCAGCCATACAAACCGTGTGCTAATCCATATCGAGGATGCCAGCTCCAGCGCTGCTTTGACGCCATCAATAGGTAGGCTAGCCGCTTGCTAAATCCATGCTCGTATCAGGCCTGTTCCCACGACCGCCGCATTGGGGGAAAAGGTTCGAGCTTTCTACCTTACCTGGACTAATCGTCACATATTATTCGCCCATTATCTTGCGCGGGAACTTGTTCTAATTCAGGGGTCCCGAGCGACTAGGTGACCCCATATCGGGATACGTAATCAACCTGTACCGTCCCGCCCAGACCTCTGGAGCCGGGGAATTTTACTCTTGTCCTATATCTGAAATCATGCTTCCCGAAAACACCGATTGATTGTCTTGCTGTGAATGCCGCCCCAAATGCAGGTCGACGCGCCTGAATGAGCATGGTGGGTAACACTCAACGGTTCTCTGCCGTGCGCCCGCATCACTGCGGGCGTGCTGGTCGGTATGGAGGAAGAAGCTCGAACCCCCTGTCAATCAAAGCTGCAGTTGGTTCTGTAAACTGTATAGTCCAGCCAAAAATATGGCCCTGCAGGCATTTGATCACGTGAAAACAGTTCATGCGAGACATTGCAAATCCTAAATGTACATGATCGACCGCCAGCTCAGCACAACCGGGCTGATTGGGTATCGTTAATGTCGCTGATGGTGTGGCAGCTTCATCAATGCTAGACTCTATTGGCCAACTTCATTTTTCGCCTTCTTAACCATTAAGTCTGCCCCTCACACTGCCATTTGCCATATTGCAGAACAAGTTTTCGATCTTTCGAATTATTTCGTGAGGTGTTTGGCTTACTCACTTGCATGGAGCCTCCGTTAGCCTGTTTATCGTCAATGTAATAGATCTTTACTGAACGCTTTGATGGTATATAGTTCATAACACCAGCCAATCACCGAGCTATGGCGTTAACCAAAGTCCTCGACACCAAGGCGGATAAGCTTATTGAATACCGTTACAGAGTAAGACTAGCTACAACTTTCATGACAGTTCAGCTTTTTCACAGCAGTCACAACACCTATCACTCTATGCTTACGACATGTGGACAACATCAGTGGCCATGGAGGTAATTTTCAGACCGATGCGCTATACTCATGGCCACCCCCGAATTCACTTTTGGACTGCGAAGTATATAAAAACGAGCATATCCGCCATATCCACTAGTCAGGGCAGCTACGCGAAGCAAACTCGTATCTAGACTACTGCCACAACCATATAGTGATCAACACAACTATACAGAGCGATACTCAAATTGTAGCAATTTTATTACCATCATATTTCGCGTTTCATCTATTTAGACACTAACTGTATTCAAGATCGTCAGGACCCCTATACTCTGAGACAGTATGGCCAACCACCAGCTTGATCTCGTCCATAAGGACATGTGAGTCACTTGTCGTTTACAGTGAGGACTTTTCAAGAAGTGTACTTGAGTGAAGCTCATCGCCCGCTCTCATGCGGCTGGACAATGAAAGAACTATAATCCCGCCTGACCCAGAAAAAACGGTCAATTGAGGCCTGCATGGGGTGAACCTTATAGGGAAACACAAAGCGAAGCGCACGTTATCATCAGCTCCTCCCTCGCCGTCTCTTGAATGCTTACAACACTCATGGCTTTTTTTATTCTTTTTTTATTTTAATTTATTAGTTTGGTGAGATAGATGAACTTCAGTGTGAACAAATGGCGTAAAGGAAATCATAATGTCTATTGAGACGTAATACCAGTGGTGAGATGTGCGGTTTCCATGCTTGAAGACCATGTCATTGCCGAGATAGCCGTA